AGAACCATTCAATCGTTAAACAGTTTTGAAAAAACCCTTTTTTTGGACGCTTTGAAAAACCAAGAAGAGTTGATATCTCAAAACAAACGAGTGTTCACCAAGCATCCGTTATTGCCTTGTGGTCCATACGGCTTACCTTCAATTATATTATACGACAACTCCTCCCCTGAAGCATCATCCAGTGTTGGCTATCCAAGTTCATCCCCAAAGTGCTCGCTCTCTCTTGCTTACATGGCTGGTAAGTTCAAAACCAACAACTCATGGAATGCCCCAATTTATGTCTTAGAAGGCGGGTTCACCGGTATCCAAACCCACTACAAACATTTGCTCGATAACGGCGACCCATTCAAATCGACAAACTATGATAATTTGAAGTTGCAAATGAAGCTTGACAACTCAACTTCAGAAGAACAACAAGCGATCTCAATTAACCAGCACTTCACTGGGGGAACCGAAGAACCAGTGAGCAACAAACCAGTGTTTTCTATGTCCCTTGATTTACCTGACCAACCAACCTCATTAAACGGTGGCCAAATCCCGTTCATTTATCCTCCACCATCAAACCAACATAAGCGTCAACAATCATCATTGACCATCGACACTTCTTCGACCACCAGCACCGCCAATTCCATTTCCACCACCAATAGTACCACTGGCGGCGCTGCCGCCGTTGTTGGCGACAATGCTTCATTTTTGACGGTGTCATCATATACCAACGGTGAGCTGCAAAATGCGTATCCCAATTTCAAACTTCCTTTGCTGGCCCAACAAACCACCACCGTCCCAACATCATCATCACTGGGTAATCTGCTGCTGTGTTTGAACCTGGCGCTGTTACTGTCCGCGACAAGTTCGGTATTTTCAGGGTTCCAATTGCCAGCCGCAAAGCATTTTTTCAGAGTCAGACAAAATGACGAACTGATAAGTATGGAAACCTGCAACGAATTTATCAAACTTGCCAACTTGGAAAAATTGAACCGTGAAGAAATGCAAAGACTTCCCAAATGGTTCAAAAACGCGGTCACAGACGACAACAATGATGGATTGTTGGAAAAAGATTTTGCCTCAAGTTTCACCAATGATGAAAAAAATAATTGCTTGCCCATCAAGTTTAGTTCAAAACCATTGACCACCAAGTTTGATTATTTGGAAACCCAGGAACGCAAACGAATGAATAGAATGATGACCAATGAAGCTTATGACGAATCTGTGGGTGATTATTCTTTGCTAAACAATGGCCAAAAAACTATCGATGGAACATCAATCAGTGCTCCGATCACCCCTTGCGATGACCGTGACTATTCCAAATCTATTAGACCATATCTTCCTGAATCTCCATCGCGTGTTTGTGGTGTGGAAATGGGCCACAAAAATCGATACAAGGATATTTTGCCATTTGAAAATACAAGAGTCTGTCTAGGTCGGACCAGGGATGATGCTGATGCTGATCATGCTGCGGCGCCTGCTGCTGCTGCTGATGATGATATGGATGATGATAAAAGCCACAAATTCAACCCGTCCAATGTTGATGACAGAATCGGAGTAGACTTTGGCAATTATATCAATGCCAATTATTTGACTAGTATTCCAATGAAGTTGAAGCCCCAAGTTCCACCAACCATTTCCTCACGCACTTCAAATGCCAGTACCGCAGTGTCAGGTGTTAGTTCTGATGAAGCCATGGTTATTCTGTATACCAATGATGAGGAGGAGAAAGAAGAAGAAGAAGAAGAAGAAGAAGAAGAAGAAGAAGAAGAAAAAGAAAAAGAAGAAGCTGATGATGTGGTGATGGGTCACGATACATTAACTAGAAATATTGGCCAAATGAGTCTCGAAGATTTTGGTAATCCTATATCGAGAATACCTAATAATGTCACGAAATCTCCTGACAATGTGGCTCACTCCCTCAAATATATCGCCACCCAAGGTCCACTCACGTCCACCATTGGCGATTTTTGGTATATGATCATTACCGAGAACTCGCCGCTCATTATTTCGTTGACAGAAGAAAAAGATGGCCAAGTGGAAAAATGTGCAAATTATTGGAAAACTCAATCGGTGATGTCGACGGTGGGACAACTCAATATTCAAGAATTGGAATCGAATTTGCTTGAAAATAAGATTTGTGGGTTGGGGAAAAACGTGGTGTTGCGTCGGATCTTGGTGGATGCCATTGATTTGAACCAGAAACACGAGGTTATTCAATTGCAGATTCTCAATTGGCATGATCTCGGGACTTTTGTCCATTATGACGAGTTATTGTCAGTGGTATTTTTCAAAAGATATTTACTTCAAGCGACGGCACAATATAAGGGTTTAAGTTTTGATGATAATGCCCGAGTGGTGGTTCATTGTTCTGCTGGCTGTGGCCGTACCGGAACTTTCTGCACCATCGATGCCAGCATTAATTATGAGCTTGACAATTATGGATTACAACTGAGTTCTAAAGACGACGTGGGGGAGAAAACCGTTACTTCTACTCCAAGAGTGGGTCAATTTTCTTTTAATGAAGATGTCGAGACCAGTAATGATTTGTCTGGCGAGAATGAAGATATACCGGGAAAAGCAGACAAAATGAAAACTCGGGAAAACGATTTACTTTTTGATCCGGTGTTTGCCAACGTCCAACGGTTCCGTAAACAGCGGGTGAGCATGGTACAAACTCTTCGGCAATTTATGTTGGTATACGACACTTTGGTTATTTTTTACAAATATTTGCAAGCACACTCTTTGAAGGATTTTGAAGGTTCTGGAAAAGAATGTGGCTTAGTACAACGATTTTTAGACGATTGGCAACGAATTGAGCAATGATGATTTTTTTTTTTTTTTTCACCACCTTTTTGGGTTATTGTCTTCTGTCAGGGTCAACCTTGATTCCAGCAGTTCAACCTGCATCTTATATTATAGCTACACACCAAGCAACAACAACAACAACAACAACGATAACTAACTTATATTATTACTAATACTCCTTTTTTTTTTCTTCCTCTCACAATTGCATGCTAGAATACTATTCTTCTTCTGGTGTGCCAATGTTATCAAAATTTCTTTTTGATTTTATTTAATGTCTCTTTATGTTTTTATATTATTATGGAAATAGAAAAAAAAAAAAAAGATCGAAATTTTGAATTTATTCTATATATATATATACTTTTTTTCTTCTCTCTCTCTCCTCCCCCTCCCCTTATTTTTCTCTCTGGGTTTTCAACTGTTATGTTCTTTTTTTTTTTTTTGATGGAGGGATCTAAAGAGAGTATATTTATTTTATTTACATAAAAATGCTGACTACTAATAATAATGACTTTATGGATTTTTGTTTAATTAATTTCATCATCACAACAAAATCTCGATGTTCCATCCGGGCGGGACCCACCGAGGATTCCCGGGCGGGCCATCCGGAGTGGAAAAATCAAAACACAGCATAGCAATGAAACAGAAATTAGTATTATTATATATATATATATAAATATCCCCAACTTCCACACTTTGTTGAGGAAATTGTTAATTACTGTGATTAATATTGTTGTGATACCTGGTATTTGTTTCTGTTTTATTCCCGCCCGGTTTATTATTGCCAATTACTATTATTATTGTTGTTGTTGCTTTCCCAGGAAGATTTTTTTTTTCCATCGCGTCTTATTGCTATTACTATTATTATTACCTTGTCATTGGGAAGTTTTTGGCGGGTATCTATCTATCTATCTATCTATCTGTGGATCGATCTATGAATATTAGCCAGGGAGGTTTTCATTGCGAGTAGTTTGGGGGATTCTAGGATGTTGGAAGAATCTTTGAGGAATGACAAGGAGCCAGGAGAGAGAGAGTCATCAATATCAATATCAGAAGAATCTTTGAAGAATAACAAAGGTTTAACAGAGTCATCAATAACATCACCATGGAATGATGAGAATCATATTAGTAGGAAAGAAGAGCTGTTGACCAATGATGATCATTCACCATCGTCGTCGTCAATAAACCAGCGGTCTCAGATAACGTATAGTGGGACCAATGTTCATAGTGATACTGGAACAGATGAGGAGACTAAAGTCAATGGTATTTCCCAAACAGATAAAGAGACCAAAGTCAATGGTATTTCCCAAATAGATGAGGAGACCAAAGTCAATGGCATTTCTCTAAAGTGGAAGATGTTGCTCACCATTGTGGTGGTGGTAGTAGGTGTAGGGGCTATTATGACTTACCTTCATCAGATGGAGATTTATGACAATACCATCCACCAGGTATTGCAAGTTAGTAATGTTGGAGAAGAACACCCTAATAGAATGACCATTGCCACCCATGAAATTGAAGCAGCTACAAATTATAATATCATTGAATCGATAAAGACTAGATGGAGGCAAATTCAAGCCATTTCAATGAAGTCAGCCAGACAAGTGATGCGAGATGCGTTTGATCAACACCAAGAAGTCATTTCCAAAAACCATTATGGGGATTGGCGGAATAAGTCTCATCATGAGAAAAACCATCATTCTTTATCATACGGTGATGAACATGATAACGCTGATAACACCACCCAAGTGTTTGCCCCCGTCTACGCAATCTCCATGTTGACCAGCCATATCAGTGACTTGACCAATATCACCAGCACCGGGGTGGCGATGTTTGTTTCGTTTGTTCTTCTATATGTCTTGCCTTCCCACTTTTTCCTTCTTTTGAATTTCCTTCTTTCCATCAAGTCGCTTTTACAAGATACCAACCAAGACATATTCTGGGCATTAATGATAACTTTGCGGAACAATTTGGTTTTCTACTGTGCTAGTTTATTGGTGGCCACCGCTATTAGCTGGTTGATCAGCTGGATGAGTAGCCAGCTTAATTTCATGAGTTACGCCATAAAACACTACGTCAATAAAAAATTGGAGAGGTCATTGAAAGCCAAAAATCTTAGTCTACAAGTCGATGGGAGGTTTGGGATCTATAACCATTCGGATTTGAGTTTCTCGTTATTCCATCTCAGTGGGGGTGATCGTCATAGGATCGAAATCGCGTCATTAACCATGAAATCATTGAATATTTCCTTGGTGATAAAAATCGTCCAAGTCATATTGTTACAGCATTTACCCAAATATCTACTTTTAAAAATCATGAAATTAGAACACTACCTAATTTTGTTTGAAGGTGGACCCACCTCGGATAATAAGTTTGATGTCCCAAAGATTTTCTTTTGGAGAATCTTGAGAGTGGCGGTTAAGGTCGTGTCAAGGGCGATCAAAATCACCAGGAAGTTGTATTATGGGTTTGTCAACCATATCTTGTGGCAAGTGGTTCCAATCTTGTTTATGAGTCTTGGAATGATGGGGTTTGGGTTCTTAGGGTTCGGGCCTGGGATGTTGGGAGTGGATATTGGAGTACGCCATCATCGGGAAAGAATCATGAACCGTAATAGAAAAACTAATCCGTCTGGACAATCTCAGTTTGGGGGTAATCTCGACACCGAAAAAATCACCATTGATGACGTTAAGGTTGTGATCAATGATGCGTTTGTCGATTACATTAAAGAAGCAAGAAAAAATATCGACGAGAAAATTCCCAGTACCACCACCACCAAAGCTTCGCCGAAACGTCGATCTTTTCAAGCTTTTTTAATTGAAAACATCCACGCTGTCAATAGTGGAATCCTTGAAGTTATGTCAAATTCTCGATGGTCATGTTCGAGGTTTTCACTCGAGTTACCAACAACCTACTTTATGTCGACCAACAGTGACCGCTTATTATCGAGAAAATTAGCGGTGGATCAGTTTTTCAATGATGAACAATTCACGGCGGATTTGAATAAACTATTCCACGGGGCGTTCTCTGGAACTGAGAATTTGATGCAGCTGTTTGAGAATAACTTGGGCACCAAGACGTTCACCAGTGAAGCCGAGAAATTGGAATTCGAAACTACAATGACCGAATGGTTGAAAAACTTGAGCCAAGGCAACGATCATTGGAAAGAATTGGTCGGGGTGTTGGAACAGTTTTGTGATAAGTGTTGTACCGTACAAAATGAAGCAAACAGTCCTGAAGTTGTCACGGATCCCTTATTAGAACCTATGAACCAACCGTCAGATGAAACGATCTGTGATAGAAAACAAGGTGGGTATCCCATCAACCAAAAAGTACCGGTGAAGAATTCCCTCGAATTCATTGATTTTTCGATTTTTTTCTCCTCGTGCATTCCTGGTAAAGTGCATAGAGACCCGTTTGAAAAAAGCTGTCGAATGATATTGGGTGAATGTGTGTTGACCTCTGAATTTTCTAGGGACGGTGGTGGTGAGGGAATCTCGGGTGAATATAATCGCCGATCAAAAGTTGATGGTATCAAAGAGAAATTGATAGAGGAGCTTCTAATTCATGCCAAGTTCCACTACGATCCTGCTGACATTACTCACGGTTTCATCAACAATGTAAAGGTTAACTCAAGGGTCGGCAGCATTTCCGTGCCATTCCATTTCTTGAAACATTATAATGAGATGCTACCCGCTTCTAATGGGGAAACAACACGAAATCTGCGACTCGATCAACAGCCTTGCAGTGGCAAAGAAATGAACGGAATATTGAAGTTTAAGGAATACGTGGATTTTTTCAGTTTAATTGATTTCAAATTGACGAATCTCAAAGTTTTCAGGAAATTCTATTTCCATGACAATTCCGGAATGTTGGAAGTACTGAAAACCAAAGCCATTGAGATCAGTATCAATAACATTATTCTTTCTTTCAGGAAAGTCACCCAGTTGGAATACGGGTCGTATTTTGAGATCAAGGATCTCCCAAACAATTTCCGGTCTCATAAACCACATGATGCAATCAGTGCCACCGATTATGCGGTAGATCACGTATCGCATGAGATTGTGACTTCCATCACCGGTTTGAAAATCAAGATGGTGGACGATGGCGGTACCATTGATGATACAATCGTGTATATCCCATTGTTTTCCAATAATGTGAAGACCAATATTTTCAGATTAATTGGGTTGATGATCTCTGTTAGGCATTTGCGGTTGGTCAAGGCGATGTCGGAAGTTTTACGCAAAGGTATGGATAAACATCGGAACGAGAATTATATCTTTCAAATGGACTTGTCTATCAGTAATCCGTCATTCAATTTCTATCCAGAGAATATCTATCCATTGGTGCTTCTCCTTAGCCGGTATTTAAGAAAAGATACTCTTCTTGCCGATGATGAGGAAGAAGAAGAAAAAGAAGAAGAAGAAGAAGAAGAAGAAGAATTGCCAAGAAAGAATGATTATGAGGACGGTTGTGTCACCAATAATAATATTAATAATGATAAAAATTATGAGGGCTCTCATCGTCGTTCCATCATCAAGAAGAACTTGGAATATATCATGTACATGTTCCCGCTTGTTAATATTAAACTTTTGGTGAGTGATGTATTTTTGAAGATTTCCAAACTCCAGTTCCCGGTGATAAACAACACCTGCGTGTCTCATGAAACCGTGACGTTTGTCGCGGAAATTCAGAAAGTTTTCTACGAACTGCATTCGGTGAAACCTCGCAATTTGGATAGCCTATTGGTGACGGTTAGTGATACCGACTCAGACACCGCGGTGGAAGATTCCCGAAGCTATGATACTCGGACCTCGGGGAAATTGCAAAATTATTACCGGTCAGAAAATACCGATATTGTGGCGGTGTCCGACAACACCAACTCTATTGTTGGCGATACATCGTATATGGATTCCACTTATATTTATAACTCCAAAAGCAAACTCTTTAAATCATTGAAGAATCTTTGTTTGGTGGACGTGGTGGTGTTAAAGAGTTATCATGTTTCTGACGCCGTGGAAGGGTCGGGGGGAATATTGATCCCATTCCCAGTGATGCATTTCAAGAAATTCGAATCTGAATCGTCGATCGATGTCAATTTCGAACACCAGGCCAGTGAAGCGTGTGAAAAGTTGGGAGAATACGTGTTTGAACATTTCAACATCACTTGTGATTCTACCTCGGCATTATCTAACGTGGTGATTAATTTGACAAAGAAACCAATTATTTTTGGATTGTGCAATTTGTCAAAGATGTTCAAAAAAATCAACCGGAAAAAGCGTGGGGAAAGCTCAAGGAAAAAAAACCAAGAATCACAAATTTATCAACGAATTTTAAATGTGTTAATCAACAGTCGTTCAAATATGGTCATCGATGGTATTGTGATTTCTATCGCCTCCAGAGGATTTTTACCTAGCGAAGTGGTGGAGGTGGCTGATAATGATGGAAAACTCTGTTTTGATTTATCTGATGGGCTGAGAGGTATGCAACTATGTTCTGGTCAGATCATACTCGATATCTCCAGAACCAAATGCTATAAGCCTCTGAAAGCCTCGAGTAATCCAGATAATGATTATGACGATGATGATGATGATGATGGTGGTGGTGATGATGATGCCAATGTCACGATAGATGTGGATTTCAGTGCTCAACAATTCAAGATCTTGACGATTTATGAATCAAACGATATTACCAAGATCAATAACAAATCCTCGTCCCATGAGTTCATCAGTATTCCCACCGTATCACTACGTTATTCAGATACGTTACTAATCATCTTGCCGAAAGTGGAGCTTCATTTCGATATCACGATTGTTTGGTTGATCATGGTGATGAAACATTTGACGAATTTAATTCAAAACCACATAAATTACAGTATGGGGAAAATTTTGGCTACCCAGACGACAAAATCAAACAATAAAAAGTTCGATAAGCTCATCAATCTTGATATAAATCACATTGCTCTTGATATGGCACTTTCCAATAATGTGTTGTTATTGATTAGCGTGAATAAGTTGTTGGCATCATTGAATCCCGCCAATAACGAACATTCATTGAGCGCCATCAACATGAAGGCGTACACTCCATTGAAGAATAATGAACATAAGGGTCCGCTATTTTGTCTCCTTAATATCAACGAATTTAACCAGAAATTCAAATTTGATCCAACAAAGAAGATGAAAGATCAGGATATTATCGTGGATTTACAAGAGTTAAGGTTCTCTTTGCCATTCAGGTTCCTTCTTTTCAATATCACCGATGCCATTGTTACTTTGGTGAAATCGGTAAAGCAATTGAAACACAATTTTGCCGATTTAAAATTGGGTAATCCATTATCACCATTAGTGCCATCGAAGGACGACGCGTTAATTCTCCCAAATATCCAAATCAGGACTAATAAATTGAGTCTTGAAATCAAGGATGACAAATTAGAAGCAGAATTGTCGTTAATTTACAAAGCCGGGTTGGTCGAACAGAAAGAACGGTATGAAAAAGATCTTTTATTTGAAGAAAAAGCTAGAGTGTTAATTTCCGAAGTCAAGAGCGGTGTATCGTCTCCTTTAGAGAACGGCGATCTTTCCGACGAGGATGAAGCGCAAAGTATTATTGATCGATATGATGATATGGTAAACAACTTGATTGCCGGGACAAAACAAAAAAACCCAAACCTCCACAAAACACCTGCTGGTGGGAGTGGGAAGCAAAAGCAAACGATGGACGATCTTGTGAATCTTTTGGCAGAACGGCAACTCAAATTATTTGAAAATCATTCTAAGTCATGGATCAGAAGATTCCACAAAGCGAAACAAAACAGAGACCAGGCTATTCAGAATAAGAATGGGGTAATTTTGGGCGAAGATATCATTGACCAAGAGATTGAAGCGGCTTATAATATCGAAGACATTGTCCTGACCCCGTCGTTGTTATCGCTTTTTTCCTCCAATTTCTGTTTAAGTTTCAATAAGTTCCAGTATAAATCGACGTTGGAAGATTACTTGTACGACGTTGGTAAAGGGATGCCCAAGGACACACAGTATACTTTGCTCATTCCGGTGTTTTTGAATATAACTTGTGATGTCTTGACGGTGTTATTGAGAGATTTTTATTTACCGATTATTCATTTCCCAAGTAATTCACAATCAGATGAACCGGCGTTAACTATCAAAGGCAACATGGTGTTTGCTGAAAAATTGAACGTGAAGCCTACTTCGAGAAGAAAGATTTACGTTCCATTTGTTCCCAGTGTTGCTTCGAGCATTGCGGAAACCAAATTTGCTAATCCTTTTTATGGAGCCCACATTTCCAGATCTTTAGACCCTGTTAAGCTTTATAGTGATGTAAAGGTGATTTCCAGATCCCAACAATCCACGATATTTTGCTGGGGTAAATCTTTGCAACCGATCATTTCCACCGTTATGCTTTGCTTCGATTGTGCCAGTAAGCCACCGCTTGATGCTTCACCGAAACTCGGGTGGTGGGATAAGTTCAGGCTCATTATGCACGGGAGATTTCATTTTGAATGGTCCAGTACCGTGAATTTATACATCAAGGGGTCGTTGAACCCTTATAAATTGACGGAAGACGGGGCAGGGTTTGTGTTTAGCTGGAACAAGGACGTGGTATTGTATATCAACCCAGATGATGACCCCGAAAGGTTTTTGGTCACCCATTCCAAACAATTCGTGTTTGGTATTCCCCAATTCTCATCGAGTATCACTGATTATTGGAAGTACTCTGCCAACGATAACGAGTCTACTTGCTCGGCAATTTATTTGGAAGGCAAGAATTACAAGAAGATCGTTGCTAATTTGGAAGGTGATGTCGAATGGAAATTGGGATTATTGTTCGAGAAGGAAGATAGCGATAGCAATTATCATTTCCCAGGCGAAACCCCAAGAACTAACAAATTCAAGCCCCATTACCTTGTGGAACGAACTAACCCTGCATTGCTCAGTGATCCTGAGCTGCATGATTCGTTCAAAGGGTTTAGGAGTGAATACATCCACTTGGCGATTGGGTTCAGTAATAATAACGAAAATCCTGAATGCTCTCTAAAAGACACTTACAATGCTTTCCATTCATCGCCTTACACCACGGCATTTTTCATCAAATGGTGGGGTCTTTTCAATAATTCTCTTGGATTACCATTGAGACACGGGCCGTTGTTTAAAGTTGAAGGATTGGATATGAAACCCGAGAAGAAATTCGGTGCCGCGCTTTATACCGCCAAGTATCAGATCGAATTGCAACCGGTGTTCATTGCTCATATGTACCGTCATTCGAATACCGATCCGTCGACACAAAAGAATCAAATCGAATATACCGGGTTGAAAATGAAGACCAACTCTTTCAAATTGGACTTGCATCAACGGAAGCAAAAAATGCATTACACTAATGATTATTTGGGGATTTCTAAGCCGGTGTGGCATATGAAGATGAGCCAGGGGAAAATTGACTGTGATAGTTGTGATGCCCGGTTGATCAACACGATTTTCAGCGAAACTTCCATTGAAGACTTGTTAGCCAAAAGTTTGGGAATGCAAGGTGATGGAGCGTCATCCATTGGGTCGGAAGAGTCTGACTCTAGTTTTGTGATTTTCCCTGACATGACGAAGTTAAATACTACAAAGTTTGGTGATAAGCTGGAATTGAAGGTCGAGAATGCCGAGCTAATTCGGTGGGTCGATGATCATGATTATCTCGAACTAGAGTTTGAACCCCCAGTGTCGACTAAACCAAAAGTGGAGATCATTCCATTGTTCATGACCCCGAGATTTTCGTATTTAAGAGAAAATGATAAGAATACCGTACAACAAGCGTATCCATTTGGCGATGAGCCTTCTCACGACTGTTTGTACGATACCATCAAACCCCAAGAGGAAACGCTGTTGAATATTGTACAAAAAAGATCGAGGGAAATAGAATCGAAGATCAAGGTTTACAAAGCAAAAATTGCCGCGATGGAACAAAAACCTGCCCACAGCGAGAACGATTTGAATCATTATAAAATCCAATTGCATTCCCTAAAACATAATTTGAAAACCATTAAGACCGTCATCAATGAACTGAAGGAGTTTTTCACCTACGCGTCAGTCGAGGAACCTGAACGAAGACGGTCGATTCCTGATACTTTGCTCCATCAAGCGGCGTTGACGAGAACGAGGACTGGAGTTTCGAGTCATGTGTCATTTTCCGAACTTATGAATACCAGCTTCGCCACTAGTAACCATAGCAAATTCAGCAATCGGTTTATTGCCAACAACTTGTTGATGAAATGGAATAATAAGTTGCGGGATCATTTGATGCGGTATTTCACGAATATTAGTAATTTTAGAGCGTCGCGTTATTTCATGGGCCGGAATATCATAAAATATTTGGAAGAATTGGCCGGGAAGCATGAGAAGATGGAAGCCACCGAAGAAGACAAGAAGTGTTTTGCGGATAGTGTGGAAGAGTTTTTGAAGTTCTGCAGCCATGATTATTTGAGGAATTTTGATTATGAGTTGGGCAAAGTGGACGAGTCAGTGGCAGAAGTCGAGTATTCTTTATTGTTCAAGCTTGTTTGTCCACAAATTCAAATGCAATCTAAAGAAAAGAAGTCATCGGTGCTACTTGTTTTGGCCCAGGACATTGAGTTGAAGGTGCTTAATATTAACGCGAACTATTTGGATAGTATTTCGGACGATGACCAAATCGCTAGGCTTATAGAAACTAGATATGGGTTGTTCCTAAAAGAAATGCAAACGTTTGTGGTGAATTCCGACACCGTGGTGAGAGATGATGGAGTATTGTTTTATGGGAAAAGTTTTGGTAATGATGGGATTAATGAGAACTGGCCTCCATGGATCAATTTCGAAGGGTTTTATGATTCTTCATTGTTGAAGCATTTATTATTGTCAGAAAAATCATCGGCAGTGTTGAGGTTCGATAAGGTGAATAATCTTTTCTTCAATGATAATGGGGGCATGGCGAATTTTAATTGGAAAGACAAAAATATTCTTAGGGTTGACACCCCACAGTTCATTATCAACTGTGATTCTTGCCAGTTTAACGTAATTTATACCATCGTCACCGATTTGATTGTGTTCACCGATTTCCAACACGATAAGAAATCGCAAAAGTTGAAACAATTGGTGTTGGCGTCGGATCTTGAAAATGTTCAACGGGTCGACAAACTTGTGGAAAATGTACAGCGCCAGCTTCGTGCGATGAAGGATACCAAGCATAAATTGGAAATGAAGAATATGGTTAGTTGCAGTGAAGCGGATTATGAGAATTTAATTTTGGTCAACGTATGGATCTCGAAACTTACTTTGAAATTGTTGTACCTTGTGCGGGCAATCCAAGGATCAAATGATAAAGCCAGCGCGTTTGTTAATGAATTGATCTGGAGAATTAATTCCGATAAGATCATTTGGCATATCCTCGATGATAAACGGAAACCTTTGATTGATTTAGAGTTGGGCCGCTCGAGTTTCATCAGGCTCGATCATTTGGACGGCTCATCTTCCAATAACCTTAACGTTGGGGTGATGAGAGGAGTGAACTTGAGTGAGAAATCGGTATACCCGGAACTCTTGAGTCCGTACGTTGATAATCAACAATATTTCCCGCCAAATGATGAGCAACGTGATTTGATGCTCCAAATAAAGTGGAAGATTCGTCAACCGGTTGGTGGTATTCCTACCATGGACAATTTATCGTTTGATTGTAAACCACTAAAGATCCAGATCGACACTATCACCGCCAGAACATTATTCGACTTTGTGTTTGGGGCAAGCAACAATAATAATCACAAGCTGAGTGGTAATAAACGGAAACATCATCATCGTGTTGAACTGAGGAGCTCGGAATTCTCATCATCGGAATTGCGGTCCGTTGAAAGTTTTATGCATTCCAAGAGGAAGGATTCTAAAATCATTGACGATGAATTGACAAACGATGAGATTGATAAGACAACAACGGTTGTTAAGAAAGTAGATCAATACAGAGTGATGACCGAAAGATCTTCTACGTTTGTTCATTTCAACAAGACAGAAATTAATAAGTTAGTGCTATGTCTTAGTTATCGAGGTAAAGGACGGACCAGTGTTGCCGATGTCGAGCAATTGTTGGTGAAAATCCCTCCACTTACCTATATTAATTATATATGTTCTTTTAAAGAGTTAGCGCTTGCGATAAAGAAAGATTTAGTGAAGGTATTGATCCATCATACCGGTGACATCATTGGTAATAAGTTCAAGCGTCATTTTGGGACAGTTAAACGGATTCATTCCAACTCATCACCACCATCATCATCATCATCACCACCACCGATCACGGTGAATGATATAAGGAGGGTCTCTATGGAAATGCCACTGATTGAAAGCCATGATTATGGAGATATGAATGGCAGTGATGCAACGGGGAGAAACACTTCAAAAAATATTGATAATTCTGCTCCAAGGTATTTGGAGGATGAATTGGATGATGAATTGGATGATGAATTGGATGATGAGAAAGTGATTGATGGAAATGAAGAGCTGGTGAGTACGGTGATATCTGAGTTTGAGAATAATCCTGATATTATCAGATTCGATGCGTCTACAATTGGTAGATCTGAATGATTTTTTTTTTGTATTATTAGTATCTCTATTATTTCTATTATTTCTATTATTTCTATTATTTCTATTATTTCTATTATTTCTATTATTTCTATTATTTCTATTATATTTCTATTATTTCTATTATATTTCTATTATATTTCTATTATATTTCTATTATATTTCTATTATTTCTATTATTATTTCTCTTTTTTTTCTTCTCATTTTATATTACTTTTTGGGTTATTGTTACAAATACATTATGGTTTATTTTTTGATTTAATTTCCATTGCTTTATGCTACGGTTACTGAATATATAGGATCTTGGAGATAAAAATTGTATTATATTCCTATCACCTTACCCACATCGTTGCTATTTTATAGTTTGTGATACATATAAGAGATCCAGCTCCGTCCACTTACTCTCGCAATTACACATAATATCTATCTTTGAAATCAAAAGACACCCACCCTCAAGAGGAAAAATCAGCAGCGAGAACAATAATTGAACCGGCTTACTGGCTATGCCATTGCTCATTGGAATACACCAACTATACCACTATCCATGGAAACCCCCCACCACCCCAGTGGTTCCAGCGATCTTGGACTTTGTGATAAAAATCTATACCACCAATCATCAGTTGCCCCCCGGGGAGCCTAGCAATGGTTCTTCTACCAGCATGTCTTCCAGCACGAGTGAGAACCATTCTGTTAGTACGCCATGTTTGCCCTGATCTCCCACGATGATGATGGTGGAAAGCAAAAACTGAAGGGTCGTCAACGTATCCGTGGCGAAGATAAGTGATTAACGCATGGCACAAACGACGCAACCTTCGAGAGTATGAATGGCGAGGACGAGGAAGTGATCTCATTTTCATAATATATATATATATATTACATTCGTTCTTATGATGGGTAAAACCTTTGAAAAGAAAGATTTCATATATTTTCAGTTTTGTGAGGCGACCGTTTTTTTGTGTCACCACCACGCATGGCAATATGCACACATCAAACGGTACAAAACATGACATCGCATACAATGCAATGCAATGCAATGCAATGCACCAGAGTCACATGACTGAGATAACAAAACCCATACACACACAAACATCCCAAAATACAAGCACCCGCACACAAGGAGACAAGTAACCCGAACACCAGATAATTGGCACGTGTCCAGCCCTCCGCAGCGGCGGTGATAAGTGATAAAGACGCACAGGGCACCGCCCCGGAACGGTTGACTCATATGAAAAAAGAAAAGCCCAAGAGAAATTGCGTGCTTTCCCCCCCTCCGCATACATAATCGGTGAAACCCGTTTTTTGCTGCTGTCCTTCTCTCTTTTTTCACTTACTGCCAAAACTAGCTGTGAAATTGAGAATTACACACAAATACACAAACAATGAAGGTCACCGACAAGTTACTTCAGGCTCACGAGACCGCGGACCTCCCGGCAACCTTCTCGTTCGAATTCTTTCCTCCAAAAACCGAACAAGGGATCCAGAACTTGTACGATCGTATGGATCGGATGTATCATCTTAACCCAACTTTTATCGACGTTACTTGGAACGCTGGCGGGAGGGTTTCCAAAATCTCTAATGACATTGTCAACACTTGTCAATCGGTGTTGGGACTCGAAACATGTCTCCACATGACGTGCACCAATATGTCTGTGGAGATCATCGACACCGCGCTCCGTGAAGCTTACGAATCAGGATGTCAAAACATCTTGGCCTTGAGAGGTGACCCACCATTGGATGCTCAAGTTGACGCAAACGGCCAGCTCATCCATAAAGGAGAGTTCCAGTACGCTAAAGACTTGATTAGCTACATCAAGAAACAGTATGGGGATCATTTTTGTATCGGGGTCGCTGCGTATCCTGAGGGCCACCCGGAAGAAGATAATTGCGACCGTGTGATTGACTATCTTAAAGAAAAAATCGACGCTGGCGGGGACTTTATTGTCACCCAAATGTTTTATGATGTCGACAATTTCATTGAATGGTGCCACAAATTGAAAGCTAAAGGTATTGAAGCTCCGATTTTCCCAGGGATCATGCCGATCACTACTTATGCTTCTTTTATGAGACGGGCCAAGTGGTCAGAAATTAAGATTCCTCAAGGGTTTTTGGATATCTTGGAACCTCACAAAGAGGATGATTTCAAGATCCGTGAGTTGGGTTGTGAATTAATAACCAAGATGTGTAAAAAACTCCTTGATTCTGGGGTGGTGAACCATTTGCATTTTTACACCATGAATTTGGAAAAAGCCACCATCATGATCTTGCAACAACTTGGGCTTGTCACCCCAGAAGTCAACGATACCGGCTTGACTGGTGGTGAGATCTTGCCATGGCGTAAATCTCTCAACCCAAACCGTACCAATGAATCAGTTCGTCCAATTTTCTGGAAAAACATGAAGTTCAACTACATTGTCCGGACAAAAGATTGGGACGAGTTTCCAAATGGTCGTTGGGGTAATTCGGAATCTCCAGCTTTTGGGGAAATTTCTCTTTTCGATGGTTCTTTGTTGCGTCATTCGGGTAAGAAATTGTTGGAGCTTTGGGGCAGACCACAAACCATGAAAGATCTTAGTGATTTGTTTATCAGGTACTTGAATGGAGATTTGGCAATGTTGCCATGGAGTGATACCCCAATTAATGCGGAAATCAACTCGATCAAGCAAGACTTGATCACCCTTAATGAAAAGGGGATTTTTACCGTCAACAGTCAACCGGCCGTCAATGGAGCACGGTCCGACCACCCAATTTTTGGATGGGGTCCAAAGAATGGGTACATTTACCAAAAACAATACTTGGAATTCTTCATGCCTCGGGCTAAACTCGATACCCTTAGAGCAAACATTGACAAGATCAATCGCATTGAAAACTGCGGTACCAATGACGATTATAAAGTGTTAGCGTTCTTTGCCGTGGATAAGAATGGTGGTTTGCAAACCAATTTGAAAAATGACAGCGTGCCAAATGCCGTCACTTGGGGGATTTTCCCAAATACAGAAGTTATCCAACCAACCATTGTGGAAAAAACCTCTTTTCTTGCTTGGAAGGATGAAGCGTACCATATTGCCCAAGAATGGCAAATGGTGCTCAAGCAAGGAGATGACGGGTCTATCGACTTATTGGGCAAATTACTTGACGACTATGTCTTGATTAACATTGTGGATAATGATTATGTTGGCGAGAACAAAATTTTCAAATTATTTGAAGGTATTGATTGCCTTTGATTTTTTGCTTTATTGAAACACTTTTTTTTTTTTTTTTCTGCTTCAACATCAGTTTGTCTCTAGATACCTCAACGTTATTTCATTTCCTCCAGCCATTTCTTCAACCAATGGTCTGATATTATTCTCAACAATTTTTTTTTTTTTTTTTTTTCAACTTTTCATGGTTTCATTTGATATACTCATTTGTTCTTCTCTCAACAGTTTTTAATTTTGTGTGAATACTTTATTTTTTCCTTCACATTATGTTATTATTTCGGTTATTTCAACATACTTTCTTTCTTTTTTTTTTTTTTTTTCCATCTCACTCGCTTATTTTTATGGTTCAACGGCATTATTCTCCCTAATTGGTTTGTGTTTTTCTTTCAAAGAATTTGATTTCCTTTTATTTTATTTTTTTTCATCCTTCTTTTGCTTATTTTTTTTTCTTTTCTAACCTCTGTCTGTTCTTCTGTCATTCAATCGTTATGTGGTTCGGCTATCTATTCTATTGTTTGGTTTTTGATAATGTTTATGACGAGGAATGATTGATGATTCTTTCACACACCAAAATAGAGAATTGATTCATTTATTTTATGAGTTTTTTCATATCTATCTACCTATTTACATATTTTCACTTTTGCATCGCGACTTCAACCGTCGCGCTCCCTTTGGACATCAACTGTCCTAATAAATTAATTATTCAATTGATTTATAATTGAAGATTGTTGTTTTGTATCGGTAACCGTGTGTGGACTAGCGAATAATGGGGTTATTCCCTTACACTATAACAATACTTACCTTCATTGGCCTTGAGTTAGATATAGTAATAAGTAAGTTAACTAGCTATCACCATGATTAGTCTCAACCTATTTGATGAGCACACAACTCTTCGAATGGCTCCGGAATATAACATAACAACTTGTTATCGCCATGACTTTTGTGGGTGTAAACACAGTAAGACGTTGAAATTGGGTGTTTTTTCAAAGCTTTGCCTTGCGCTCGAATCATTAGTATACTTCAACATGTGTTTCATTGCAATAATCTTCTTGATGTACACTGCTTTCCCACTTGATTATTTGACAATTTACTAAGATATTGAAATTTCTGTCCCTGATTTGACTCCAACCTTGATTGCCATTGGGGTCATTCACATTGCGTACATTGAGATTGTTTTCGGGACAACATGTGTGATCAACCATTGATGTAACAATAACCAAAAATCAGCTGAAAAACGAGGACAAGCCACAAAGAGCTTGGCTTTCTGGTTTGTAGGTAGCCTAATTCATTGGATCCCAATGATCTTTTTCCTTTCATTTCATTTGTTTCCCATTTGAAGTTTCTTTGCTGAGATATTGTATTTCGACTTTTCCTTTTTTTTTTTTTTTACTAAATTTGTTAGAATTCTACAAGGTCTAAAAAGTACTTCATTATATATATATACGAAGTAAACTTAGTCACATATAATAACAAACACTTTAGATAATGTCATTAAATATAGAGACAATAAGCTGTCTTTTCTTGTACCAATCCAAAGGGACGTTGCCTCAAAAAATGTTCCTCAAAAAAAAAAAAAGGGCCAAAAAAAATAAATATTTTTTTCTTACTTTTTAATTGATGGAAGAAACCACAATGCAAAAGTGTTTATTATCCAAGGTCCTCATGAATATTCCAAATCAGAACAGAAACTTATCCACTTATAAGCCACTTGTGGTGATTGTTGGCACCACCGGGGTCGGGAAATCCCAATTCTCCATTGATTTGGCGACGAAGTATCATGGGGAAATCATCAATGCCGACTCGATGCAAATGTATTGTGGGGCACCGTTGATCACCAACAAGCATCCGATAAATGACAGGAACGGCGTGCCGCATCATGTCATGAACCATGTTCCTTGGGAGGAAGAGTACTTCATTCATAGGTTCGAGAAAGAAGCATTGCTGAAGATCGATGACATCCATCGCCGAGGGAAAATCCCCATCGTGGTAGGAGGGACCAGCTACTATTTACAATCATTACTCTTCACCAATAGGGTGGTACGAGAGGACACAAACAAAACAAAACAAGAAGAGATGGAGGAAGATAATGTATTGTCGCAGGAGTATCTTACTAAAGAGGAAGCATTGAAAGGGTTGACCAAGGAACAACAGGATATTTTGAACGACACCCCAATTAAAGTCCACGAAGCATTGAAGGCCATCGACCCAGTAATATCACACAAGTTCCATCCTAATGATACCAGAAGAGTGAAACGGGTGCTCGAAATTTATTTCCGCACCGGCAAGAAACCCTCAGAAATCTATGAAAACCAGACCACCACGTCTTCTTCTTCTTCGTCTATTACCACTGCTGGTTCGTCACAACTTCGATTCCCTACTCTTGTATACTGGCTTTGGGCAGATCAATCTACACTTAATCAACGGCTCGATACCCGAGTTGACTCGATGTTTGAAAACGGAGCGGTAAATGAGATCCATGAATTATACCAGCTGTACCAGCGGCTATTGACAACTCCTGAGAACCGTTGCCAACACGGAGTGTTCCAAGTGATTGGCTTCAAAGAATTCTTACCATGGTTGGAAGACGGTGCGACAAATGACGAGTTGTTTGCCCAAGCCATCGATAAAATGAAGGTGAAGACCAGGAAGTACTCCAAAATGCAAATCAAATGGATTAGGAACGTGCTAATTAAGGAACTACAGCGAAACACTAGCCCTGAAGGATTATTTTCGGCAGAACTTGATTTGTTGGACGCCACGGATTTGAGTAACTGGCAAGAAAACGTTGCTGAAGAGGGATTTAAAAAATTTGAGCGATTCTTGGAAAATGATAATCGTGGTTTGAAAATCGATATTCCAACAAAGATCAAGGAGGTTTTGTTGCCGAACGATGCTGGTGCCGATGAGACTATTAAGAGCAAAAATTGGCAACTGTTTACTTGTCAAACTTGCGTTGATAAAGATTCCAAGTTGCCGCTTATTTTGGTTGGGGAAGATCAGTGGAAAAAGCATTTAGCTGGAAGAAAGCATAGATCAAATTTGAATAGAGGAAAGAAACGTGAAGAATACGAACAATGGGTTAAACGACAAAAGCTTGTCAGCGAAGAGAAGAGCAATGATACAGAAAGCCAACAATGATGGTCTATTACTGATATTTGATGATTTAATGTTTACAAACTTTGTAATAATGGTCCTCAGCTTATATTTTTCAAGTTTATATTTTAAAAGTTCATTCCATCCTTATAAAAAAAAAGAAAGATAAGAAATTAAAGAAACAACAAAGCAAAAGACCACCGTTTAATTTAAAGAATAAAGATAAAAAAAAAATATAAATAAATCAGTATGAATATAAAAAGATGACAAAACATAAAAGATGACAAAACATAAAGGATGACAAAACGTAAAAAGATGACACAAAAACATAACAAATGACAATATTATCAATAACAAAAAAAAAACCCCAAAGAATAGTTAAAATCCTCAAACTCACACTTTATAAAGCATCCATGGTATAATCATGGTAAATCCCTGGGGTGACACTAGCAATAAATTTCAAAAAGATAACTAAGTATTGATCTACTCTAATAACCCCATCTTCTTCGTCTTCCTCTTTATTATTCCCTACACCTTGTACATCTTCCCATTCGTCATCACCTCCTGTTTCTTCACTATCTTTCAACCCCAATTTATTTATCCCCTGAGTGATATCCTTGGTGGCGGCTTCCGCGGCTTCGGCCTTCCTGGATTGTGCTGCAATTTGGGCTCTGGACATCAAGACTTTCATTACCGTGGCATGGCGACATGGGTGGATCGATACCGAAGTGGTGTTTTGCAAAAATGGCGCCTTTTCAATCGTTGCGGTTTTATCACGGTAATCGGCACTAATATCCTCAAACATTTGGTCAGGAGTCAATGGAATACCATCAGCATCGAACCCAACAAGATACATCTTTGGCACACGATACGATGTGGAATAAGTAATGTATAAATCATAATTACGACGGGATTCTTGCAGCAGCAGCACGACGCCGCCGCTAGGGTTCTTACCATCTTCCACTACTGGTTCAATGTCAAAATCATCATCGTCTATATCCTGGATCTCTTGATCGTTTATAAGTTCATGGGAATGATCATTTTTTGCCACTGCAACTTCTTTCTCGTTGTCACCCTTCTTTAACATATGGGTGTGGGTGGTGGTCCAGCCATCTTCATCGGCAACATCTTCTTCATCATCTTCTTCTGCCCCACCATTGAGATACGACAACGCACGCTGGTACGATGGGACTTTCCTAGTGACGAGAAATTGCCTATCCTTGGGCAAGAACGTCTTTTCAAGCGAGTCATCGGCGACAGGACACCATTGCCATGTAGGGAACTTGTAGGACAAATAATCTCCGGCAGCCACAAACTCTTCGGGAGTGATTTCCCCGGTGGTCTTGAATGTTGAGGTATGAGTCACCGGAGTAAGGTACTCTCTAAGAGATGAGAATCTCGATCTTATATTATTCATTATTATTATTATTATTATGTTGTTGTTGATTTGGTTCTATTACGATAAAGATGGCAACCAGAGAGATGAGCTTGTGACGGCAAAAAAATAAAAGTAAAATCGAAAACAGCGAGAGATCACGTCACGTGCATTACAACGTGACCTTCCCTGATGCTCCGGAGTGGAAAATAGTCCGGGACGGAAATGTCTATTTTTTTTTTTTTTTTTTTTTAATCAAAACAGCTTCTTCCTTCACACCTGAGTCTGATTGAAGGATAGATACTCATATAAATAATAACCCAAGATGATTTACAAATACCCACAGTTTCCCCATGTTCAAGTGCTTGGGGTATTGGCAACCAATGTTAAAAACATCGATACTATCAAGCAGGCGGTGATTTCCCTTGACCAACGATATGATTACTGTTTTATCAATGCGGCGAACGTGGTGAGCGTTGAACAAATCAATTGCGCAATTTTTAAGACCTTAACCAATTATTATTTCAATGAGAAGAAGCCACTTAGAACCAACTCGGTCCATGCAGAAACCATCTTGAACCTTTCGCCAAATGCCAACATTACTGACTCATTGAACCGGTTTGGGATCTCGAAAGGAAGCGCCAATTTGATCATCTTGAAAGTATATGGTCTTGGAGGACCACAGCAGCGACAGCAGGAGAATGAACTGTTGTTGCCGGATGATGCAGCAAAAGATTTACAAGGGGTTATACAGCGTGATTTGCAAAACATAAAGGATGTGGTGGAAGCAGAGGTTGCTGAATTGGATAACGACGAGCAGCTTGTAGGGATCAGTGATTTGAAATTGATCAAGAAGAATTATAAATTGGGAGATATGATGGTGGAGGACCGGGAAGTGTTATCCAGGTTGCTAGTGTCGGTATTGCAATTAAGTGATCTCTAGAAACGTACAAGATGTGATCTCTAGAACGTACAAGGTGTGACTATTTAGCTTTCTTTTTGTTTCATAGAGTGAGTTCCAGGAAAAGTGTATATTATTTTATTTTTTAATGTTTGATATTCTTCAGAAACATTTTCCATGATATAAAGTAGGCCAATAAATGAAATCATAAGAATGTTAACAATAGGAAGATTGACTCATTTGCACATGCTCGCTAGTCTCTAAAGCCTCTTACAATCTTATTTGTAATGTTAAAGACAATTATCTCAAAACATATTACCCCATATAATATAACCTAAAGAAGCACACACACACAGATAAAGAAAAGGGCAAAAATAAAACAAAAAAAAAAAAAAGATAATAATCTTGAGTGTAATTCGATGTTTTGTTATTATTGGTTAAACAACCAACAGCAGCAAAAACAATAAAAAAAAAAAAAAATTATATCAATACAATTAGCAAACCAAACATCTGATACCATCAAAGACGAAAAAATATAGGCAAAATAAGAAAATAAAAAAGATGAGCAAAGATAAAGTATAAAGAGCTTTTTTTTTCAGTCTAAAAGAAATGATTCACAATTCTAAATGAAAATAATATCAAATAATAGTAGCTCTATCATGATAGTGACAGCTTATGCTGAATGGAATGGTGGATCGGTCTTGATAAACCACTTCACCATTTGGTTCAAACTGCCTTTATACTTTCTCAAATCATCGGCATTAACCTTCAAATCATCGTCGGTCATCCAGTCAAGGAAATTGTCATATAATTGGTCGAGGAAAGTCACTGGCAACCCGGAAATCACTGACCAGACTTGGGCATTCAAATTTTGATTTAAAATCCTCTGCTTGATTTCAAATGGGGACATGGATTGTTTGGTGAATTTTGGATTCTTTGACTCTGACCTTACCCCTCTTGGCAAGCTAGAAGGTTTGGCATAAATGGTGCTGGTGGCCAAAAAACTGGTGATGATCAAACGACGAAGGCATAATTTGTCACTATTGTTCTTGAAAACACGGTGCTTGTTGTTACCCAGGTGGATATTGTTTGCTAAACGGTTCAAGTATAAAATCCCGGCAAGAAATTGGTTCAATGGCATTCTGGAACGGGTCAAGACTTTTTCAAGGAAATCAATCAAGTTGTTGATGATCAAGTTGTTGCGATTATTGCAACAATCATCGATTGGGAACTTGGTGATGAGGGAATTCGCGACAATCCTCACAATGATCTTCATAATCACTTGACGTTCGTGATGGCTATCATTGATGAAAAGTTGACCAAAAGCATCGCTCATCGATCCTCTAGTGGTGACGGTCTCGACGGCAGATCCCGAAGTCATGGAAGTGTCGGAATCTGGACCAGACTTCTTGATACTAGCATATTGGTTGATTGGGGTGATTCCAATTTCATTGGCATTTGCATGGTTTTCTTTACCGTCAATTTCAGAAACATCATCCTCTTCATCAAAAGATTCATCGTTACTACCTTCAGTATCGGTCAAGTCAGGAACAGACACCGGGCAAGAACTGGAATGGCCTTCAGAAAACTTGGCAGCACCACTTTTTGTGTTGACGATATTTGTCTTCATGGTACTAGTAGTGGCGGTGGTAGTGGTAATATTCTTGGTATCGTTGTTGTTCAAGAGAACTTTATCACTCCTGTGATCGTCAATATTAGCATGGATTGACGATTGGTATCTGGTGTCATTAATTAGATCAGACAGGTCTCCAAATGCCATTTTTCCCTCCCAAAAAGAAAATAAAAACTAAAACGAGATTTCTTAAAAAAAAACAGCCAGTAAAATAATATAATAGAGCAGAGCAAAAGTTAAAAAAAAAAGTGATTTATGTACGATATCTGTTGAAAAAGGATTCCACAAAGTTATTAATTTGATGAGCTGGGATCTCCTGTTGAAGAGAACTTGATGATTACTAATTTATGAAAGCAATTATCTTCAAAACAAACTTATCTGAGAGTTGGAGCCCACAAAAGAATGCTGATAAATGGTTGGAGAATTCAAAAAGATGAAATGAATAAAAACAAAAAAAACTGGCCTTGTTGAAACGGAATGTTGTATTGTAGGTGTGGTTGTTCAAATAGATATGATCAGTTCATTGGTGTTTTGATGACAAATACAACACAATGACGACAGGACACTAGCAAACGGGAAATAACAAATATTTCTATCTCTTCAGAGACTAATTGAATATTTGTTACTTCTTTTTGGTATTTTCTAGTATTGGCCAGTCAAGCTAGCAAGACAAAACAAAACAAAAAGCTGGTTTATAATAAAGGAAAAAAGAAACAGCAAAAACAAACCGAAACAAAAAGAGAGAAGGAAGAATAAGATACCAGGTACACTCTATTAATATGGGATAAGTATACGAATATCAATTAATATATATGTGTTATTGATGATTCTTTCTTCTTCTTTTTTTTTTTTTCTCCTTTGTTTTAGTAGGACTTTTGCGTGAGATTTTGGCGTGGTTTTAAGATTTGGTATTGAGCCGTCAACGTTTTTTCTTATATGTGTAAAATTTTTTTTTTGTTTTTTTGACTGTTTGATGAGTCACGACGGCCGGTGTCCCTACAATGCACCTGTCATGTGGGGTGGACGGGGCGAAGATCCTCGTACATCCGTCGGTTGCCGGTGGTGGTTTATGATATATGCATTATAGTGCATTGTGATGATACGCGCATATTGCTGCAGTATACCACATTTACCTCATCGCACGTGAGTTGACCAAACTTTAATAACCGAAAGAAAGCTGCCAAAACAACCAATGCTGACGGTCTCTTGGATGGTTAGCCAATCTTTTGTATGGTGATCTTGGTCGATGCTAGACAGTTCTTTAACGTCTGATATCTTATTTCATTTCACTCTGTTTGGTTGTCCGGTACTTCTGCTCACAGCATAGCATAGCAATCCCTACTCCATACATTTACCATGGAAGCCTCAGAACAGATAACAGGGTACCAACACAATAGTACTCCTCGACCGCCCAACCAACAACGACGACTGAACATCATTATTGACGATCACGACCAACAAAAAATCCTCCTGGCCCTTCAAACGGTTTTCGCCGACATCGAATCAGTGCATCACCATCCCGAAGACTCGAAGTTCTTGGAGAAGGCTGCTGAGGCGGTACTATTGGATTACTGGGACCGATTCGATCAGTATAAAGGACGTGTGTTCCGTAAGAATCTCCAGAATGTCTTTAGAAACTCTGACCAAAATGATACCGGGGCCAAGATGAAGTATTATCGCAAATGTTTGGATGAAGTGGTGAATCATTCAAATAATCATTATCAGCCTCCCCTCAGATCACTGGCACTAAGTTCAACTTCAAGTTCTTCTATTGGCACATCAAGTTCTCATCAAGCGGCTGCTTCTACTTCCACTGCTACCCGAAACCATAGTGTTTTTAATAATAGTGGCCTAAATAATTCATCCTACGGGTTCGGTTCAGGAGATTTAGTATATTCACAAGAAAACAGCACCAAAAGATTGAAGATTGATAATATTTTGGCGTTCCCGAAAGTCGAAACCGACCTCTTCCCCAACCATTCATATTCCTCTGCCAGTCAAGGTCTTCTCCAAATGGCGGGACTATCACTGAATGAACCAAATTCCAAGGCTGGACAACTGTATTCCTCTGATATCTACGAGTTTGTGTCGGCGCTTAATCATTTAAAGACCGGGGAGTTGCTGTATCCTCAAGCCACCGCTGCCAATGGTAACTATCAAGGAAATGGCAAGGCTCCAATACAAGACTACACACCATCGTCACCATCGTCTTACAAAATGTCAGCATACGTGGACAATAGGAACACCTCGAGCACAACCTCATCACAGCTCACTAGCTCTGTATCGTCATATGATAATCACACTAGTAAATCGTTAGGTAATGTTGATGAAAACACTTCTTGCAATGATCCGGTGGAAAAAGTATTCAAGTGTGGTTCTTGTCCACTTTCTTTCAAGAGGAACTCCGATCTCAAGCGACATGTCAAGACCCATCTGGCCACCCTTCCTCATATTTGTAACAACTGTGGCAAATCGTTTGCCCGGAAAGATGCCTTGAAGCGTCATTATGGCACGCAAACGTGCCATAGAAACCGAGACAATCGCACGTACATTGATAACTTGAAGTTATTGACCGAGGAAGAACGCAGCATGGACATGACGGTAAATAGTCGTCAAAAGAACCCTGGGTGAAAAACAAAAAGAAAATGTCATCTTATTTTTTTCTTTCTTTTTTGTTATTTTTATCATTGTTATTTTTAAGGGTGGCTTATTTAAATATATTTGTGGACATTTTAGATGACTTTTACGATAAAATCCATTGATTAGTGGTGATGCTTTGGAGAATCAAAATTTCCTTGTTTTTTATTTGTTTTTTTGCTGTTGCTTGTTTTATAGAAATGAATATTTTTTGGTGACGTTCAATCTTTTATCCGTTAATTCATTATATGAATTATTATGATTATATGTATCTGTAGTTATGTTTTTAATATATCCAACAGGTGCTGTTACTGTATGACGCAAGAATTCAAGACTACCAATACGAATAAATGAATATGAACAAATACGTCAATATATCAATATAATAAATGTAATTTTATAACTTCTTCCCAACCAAATACTACTAAAGGAAGCCGATCGACTACATAGTCATTTCTTCGAGTCATTTATATCATATTATCACAACATAAAGTTATCTCTTGGTATCATTTCATCCATTCTTTTGGCATCTGCTACAACTGCTGCTCCAATACGCAAAAACGCTACCACCATTGCCAATGAAGGTTACTTTGGCTCTCCGCCACCATCATCGTCTCTTCCTCCTCCTCCTCCTCCTCAAAACAATAGTCCAGGTGGTTTTGGTATGCACAATATTGTCAACTCAACCACCACTTCCGCCTAGATCTTTTCCTATTGAGGCTCAAACTTGTAACACATTTCATCCTGGTGATGAAATATCTTGTGTGCTATTATATTTCTTCTTTTCTCTGATAACGCTTTTCATATTTTTTTATTCACATCACACTACATGAAGTAGTAGACATTCATTTCTTTATATGTAGTATGATTACCATCATCATTTAACTTTTGATTCATATTTTTATTGGTTTGGTTTTGAAACATCATAACTCTCGTGTACTTGGCTTTAGAAAGTTACAGACGTGAAAAACTTCATAAAATATGGCAAATCCGGGGTATACACACACACAAGGTTCCATGCTCCTAATAAGGCAAGACCCAATCTTCATCCGGTCCTCAAGCGTATAATAACAGAAAATAATAAAAAAAAAAAAATGTGTTCAGATCTCTGTAAACACATATTTTATTCTTCAATTTCCAACAAGACGCACTAAATTTGCAGCCATGATATACTATCATTGATTTCTCCTTCGCGCTTTTTCTTTATAACTCAGCTCTTTAGTTATTTTTATTGTATCACCAAGTTTTTAACAATACTATTATGCCTATCCCTGTCGTACGTTAATTTGAATTCCTCCAGTCTTCAACATTTCTTTGCCGCCAAACCGATCATAAGCATAAAGCCCTATCCCAATAAATGTTAAGCCAGAAAATTGAGAGGCAGATATCCACGCAAAATGATTAGCCCACAACATTCCAACGGTAATTATCACAATCCGTTTGAGCAATGATGCCACAGAATATGTCACAGTAGGTAGAGATCCAAGAAGATGGAAAGCAAGCAAAGCTTGGCAGAAATGCGCTAGACCATTGAGACAAAGAAGCCCCCAAGGAATTTCAAAATTTTTGGTTGCCAAAGTCGACGTTTCAGATAATACTATTCCATCATTAAGATTTTCAGTGAAAACTTTTGCTTGTGATAATTCACCAAGAATTTTAGGAAATTCCGAAAAGAGGAAAACCGGTAATGAAAGGGTTGCTCCAAACACCGAGCAATACAAAAGCACAGTAAGTTTATCCGGTCTAGAACTTGATTTATGAGATTTTGATGAATGGTTATTGGCTTCTGGCACCGATAAATTACTATATGATTTCAATTTTTCCAATTCGGATCGCGATTTTTCTTCGAGTCTATTGAGGGTCACTGATGAATTATTATTGGATAACGGCAATAAATCGTGGGGTTTTGCCACTGAGGCCAAGGCAAGCAGTGCTGGATCGGTGGGACCTTGAAAAGTAACCACTCTTTTCCCATAAATGTTTTGCACCACAAAGACAAAACAAGAAGCAAGGGCAAAGAAATATCCTTTGGTTTCGTCCAGTGAGAGCCCAGTGGTATGTCTAGAAGCGTTACTGGTGACAATAAGCATCACCCCCGCGGCAATTGGCAACAATGTGAGATAAGTAGTGTAAGGAAAACGAATGCCGTAATATAATTTATAAGTTAACACTATTAATAATGGATTGAGGGTTTTGATGCTGGAAGCAGTTGCCACGGGAATCAATGATGTAGCAGCATGACTCAAGAATTTACCCACGAATTGGAAAATTCCCATGGGGAACATTAATTTGGCATAATAGAGGGAAAGAATCATAAACCTATTGTCTTTTAGATTATCTGGGGTGGGAATGGATCCTTTGGGGAATTTTCGGTGAATCGCAGGAAACTCATATACGATTCTTGTGGTCAAGCAACACAACAATGCTGCCGAAAAGAACTGACATTGAGATAATGTCAAAGGGTATGGAAAACCAGTGAGAATGGCTTTTGATAGTTGAGAAGTCAATGAAGAGATACCATACCACAAAAGGCACAAGATCACCACCCGAGCAGAAACTGATAACTTACGAGTCGATGTTTGTAAGTTATCCATGGATATGATTTCAGGGGCAAGTGTCCTATTCAATAACTTTTCACAAGAGCTGGTAGTTTTTTGCCTCTGGTAGTCATTCAAATGAAAGCTATTACTGCTGAATATACTCATATACTAAACAATATAATAAGTGAGTCGAGCACCAGTGGAATTATCCCCAAGTGGCATTTTGTTGGGAGTGACGTATACCAGCAGTTTGGGTCACATGGTGATATGCCATTAAACCACAACAGCTTTGTTGACCCAATGATGTTTGAACGAGAATTTTACTTATGCCTTTGATTGACATAAATGGTAAATAGTAGTTTATTATATCTTTAAAGAAAAAAGAAGAAGAAAAAAATGATGAAAATTGCAGTTTTTGTGTATCCAGCAGTAATCGCTTATCATGGTATGGTATAAATTTAAGAGACAGGAATGGTGGAAATTAGAAAGGGCGCAAATGAAAACAAATCTAAGATGAGAAGGAGCTATAAGAGCAAGAAAATAAATAAATAAATAAATAAACAGGATAACGTTTAGTACAATGGTTTATTGAAGAAATCAGCAATCTTATCCAAAATGCTTTTTTTGGACCCATCTTCATTGACTTGGTAACTCTCCTTTTGTTCACCTTCGACACAGTTTTGTTGGTCCCCCAAGTAGAAGTTAGACTGGAAAACAACACCAATCAACATAATTGAGCTGACACCAACACCCATACAGAATAAAACGTGGTTGACTTCTTGGTAGGCTTTGATGGCTCCCAATCTGTTAGCTGATCCCCAAGGTTCGGCATGGATGTCACTAACAGATTCAAAAAACTCGGTAGCCTTAGTTGCATCTGGAACGTATTTTAGCAAAGCTCCAGGCATCTTGGAGTTCCAAATTGCGGCGGTGATAGCAGTACCGATGGCAGCACCAATCAGAGAATATAATGATAACACCGAGATGGTAGCCGCCATATCTTGATGAGGAACCGCAGCTTGAGCAGCAATTTGAGTACCCATGACATTGGCAGCGTCACCAAAACTGGTGATGATCAAACCAGCAATAAGTACCCCGATACCAGGACTCTCTGCATACGTGCCGGCCTTAACATAAAGCCCCATACCGATCAATTTGATACAAATACCAACGACTTGGAAAACTTTGTAACGATGGAAGATTCTGAAAACGATACCCCAAACGATACCGAAGAAACAAAGTCCCATAGTAACGGTATTGGAGAAGTAAACCCAGTCTTGGGTAGACAAGTCGAGGACAACCATGGTGTAAGAGGTGAAGTAAAGCAAGGGGAAGTAGCCACCCAATTGATAAATGAAGTCGATAATAACACAACAAATGAAAGTACGGTTGAACAATACTCTTTTTGGTAACAATGGGAACGGGGCAATCCAGATTTCGTAGATTACATACATGATAATAAGCACCCCACCAACAACTTCCATGGCGATCATGGAAGGATTAGACCAGCCGCCTACAGCATAGGGGTAAAGAGAACATGGAAGCAATATCAAAGAGAATCCAAAACCGATAAGAAGAAGACCAATAGCATCTATTTCAATGAGGGCTTCCTCAATAAGTGCACACCAAGCCTTGAAAGATGATTTTTGAGACTCAGCCACTGTTCTTTTCTTTTCGAGGAATGGATCAGAGCCAATCGGGATCTTGTTCTGGGAATTGGCTTTGTGATCCAACCAGTACATGATCATAACTGCGGGAATAAGAGCCACTGGGGTGATAATAGTGAACATACCGTAACCCCAACGCCAGTTAGTAGCGACGATTTGCTCAACAATGTAACCAGAGACCCAAGTGGTAACCAAGTAAGGCATGGCCAAAATAGAAAGCATGAAAGATCTCCATTTCAAAGAGATCATATCACCAACAACAATGGAGTTCATAAGATCGATACCAGACTGGCCAATGGAAATGAATACTGAGCCAATAACATAAGCTGAAATGTTAGGAGAACAAGCGGTTACGATGAAGCCAATAACATAAAGAACAATAACGACGATGTAAGTAGTTGGTCTGGAAGTGAAATCCGCGATTTTAGCAATGAAAGGTTTACAGACAGCACTAATGACAGAGTTGGCAATTGTCAAAGTAGACAACATTGAGTGACGGCCAAAAGAGGAAGTAGCATAAGGTTGATAGTTATAGGTGGTAGAATTATCTAAAGTAGCCACCCATGCGGTCAAAAATATAGAAAGCCCAAAAATCCAGAGATAGGTGCGGCTCAGACTGGACTTGACTGCCTCAATTCTTGTAACCCCTCTGGTTTTGACAACATCATCGGTTTTTTCTTTATAGAAATCTTCCTCTGACATCAAATTTTCCGGATCATAGGATCTTTTGATATCATTGGCGGTAGAGACACCTTGTTCTTCGGACATCTTTTTTATTTGTGTCTAAAAGTGTCCAAAAGGATTGTTGTAATGAGAGCGCTATATGTTGAAAAAAAAAAAACAACCCCCTCAGTTCTATGGAAGGAAATTGTGAATTTATATCCTAAATATTATTATCCATAATATTATTCTTTAGTTTCTTCTTCTTCTGCAAAAGACACCCCTGTGTCACATTGTGTGATTGATTGTAAAAAAAATTTTTAATATATATGAGGTATTTCTTCTGCATGTCAAAGCAAAGTCTGCCTCTACAGCCAGATGCTCTATTGAAGTTTGATACCCTTTCTAAGGGTGAGACAATAAGGTCTTCGATATTATCTCAGTGTTTATAACGGTTATTGTTATAATAAGGCTCTATAAGCCAAGAAGTTGATAACTTCGAGCAAGAATATTGGATAATTTCTAGCATATTTTCCCATCTCTTCCAGAGTAGTTTGTAAAGTATATTTCTTTATTCTTTTATTCTCCACTGAAGCGTATTCCATAAAGAGAAAGTTGCGTATTTTACCTCACAAGGAAATGAGATATTTACGATTTGCACGGGGTCCCGATTAAATCCAAGATCATCGCTTTCTTGGTGGTAGTTGCGACAGCCAACGAAAACAAGAGAAATATTCTATTATATAGATGAAACACGAAACAAAATTGGTCAGGCCACCCAATACGGTGTATCGTCTTTATTACTCCATTAGTGAAAACCTGTCAATGCTTGCGGGATTTTAAGAATTATAATCGTTCACAGATCATCAAAGCCCGAAACTTTTGATAGGCAATGCAATTTTTTTCTTTTGTTTTTTTGTTTGTTTGTTTTTTTCGGTCAGGCACTCTTTCGACAGACTTTTACCAATTGAAATGTTTGTTCTCACCTTCATCACTCACCATATTCATATTATTTCTAATTTTTTGGGCTTCAATAAGCTGAAATAAAGCATTTTGCACGCAACAATTGAAGGACCCTTCGTACTCGGTTTTTCTTCTGGCCACCATTACCATCTAAGAATAGCTATAGACTGTTTCATAATAATCTATAGGGAGCAAGAAACATTCACAATGGCTGTGGAGTATGAATGAATGAAATGTATAGTAATGAGTCACAGAGGTTCTTTCCAAATAACATGCAAACCGGGCACATTAGGGCTCTTTCTAATAGGTAAAATAAAATACTATAACCTTCCTGCATCAAAAAATCACATTCCTTGCATTAGGGACTAATCATGTCACCGGAAAAAAGCAAACAATCTCAATAATCACGATTATTGAGGAAAAAAGGTGCAGTTTGTGTTTGTTTGAAGAGCAGGAAGGCTACACACGAATATTGAAGAAAAAGAAGCCTTTGAACATTGGAGATATTGTTTCATTTCATCATATAAAAGTGTAGCCCAATACAAATAGACATTTCCATGGTGCATCCAATTGCGTGCGCTATATACCCTGATAATTCAGTAATATTTGCCAAGTAGTATGTCACAACAATGTGTATAAGTTTGGCTGTTCCCAATCGGCGGATCTTTCAACATCAGTGCCCTCGTGACTGCCCCACCACATCCGATTGCCCCGCGTTTTCATCTTTCTTTTGTATTTTCAATCTTCTGTAACACGTTCTTCCTTGTCTTATTACGATATTCATATCATATTGCTCCGATAACGCAGAATCAACCAACACCGTCTCCTCCCTATTGTTGATAAGACTTTGCCTATCTTTGATAAGATAATTCCCTATCTCGTACTATCGCCTATATCTAAAAAGGGAAGTACCCGCACGCACCCACAACAGGATCATTACTCATAAGAAAAAAAAAAACCCAATATTTAAACAAAATGATCCGTGCAAGAATCCTCACTTCAACCTCGTCTTGCTATTTTAGGTCAGTTTCCATTCGTCAACTCTCTGTGAAAACAATGTCCTCCACAATTTCTTTAAAAAACTCATCACTTCTTCAAACCCAGGCCCTTATTAATGGGGAGTTTGTCAATGGCTCAGTGGCTGCTGGTGAAACTACCTTCGAAGTGCAAAACCCTGCTACTAATGAACATCTCATATCAATAACCAACACCAACAATAAGGATTTCCAGACTGCAATCAATGCGGCCAGCGCTGCTTTCACCGGGTTCCGTAAAACCACGGCCCGTGCTAGATCAAACTTACTTTACAACCTTTACGAACTTGTCCTTGAGAATAAAGAAGATTTGGCAAAAATCATCACGTTGGAAAACGGGAAATCTTACACTGATAGTTTGGGAGAAGTGGCTTACGCTGCTTCTTTCTTGCAGTGGTTCGCTGAGGAAGCTCCTCGAGTGAATGGCGACATCATCCCTTCCGTCAACCCTGCTAACAGGGTCTTGACCATTAAACAACCTTTGGGTGTATGCGGGGTCTTAACTCCTTGGAACTTTCCTGCTGCCATGATCACTCGTAAATTAGGAGCTCTTTTAGCTGCCGGTAACACTGCCGTCATCAAACCTGCCGCCGAAACCCCATTGACCGCGTTGGCCATTGGTAAACTTGTCATCGATGCTGGGTTTCCTAAAGGGGTGGTCAATATTGTTCCAACTTCTCATAAAAACACTCCAGCCGCTGGAGAATTCATTTGTGAACACCCGGTAGTCAAGAAAGTTTCATTCACTGGTTCTACTGCGGTTGGCAAGCTTCTTGCTCGTCAATCTGCATCCACAATGAAGAAACTCTCATTTGAACTTGGGGGTAATGCTCCGTTCATTGTTTTCGACGATGCGGACCTCAAAAAAGCCATCCCTGGGGTGATTGCCTCGAAATTCCGTCAATCTGGTCAAACTTGCGTTTGTGCCAACCGTATTTTTGTCCATGAAGCTATTTACGACGAATTCGCTGCCAAACTTGTCGAAGAAGTATCGAAATTCAAACTTGGCCATGGGCTTGTTGAAGGAGTCACTCATGGTCCATTAATCCATGAAAGATCCCTTAATAAGATCAATTCTCTTGTCCATGATGCCAAGTCTAAAGATGCCAAAGTGTTGATTGGTGGCTCCCCAGCTACATCCCTTGGTCCATTTTTCTACCATCCAACGGTTCTTGGAGACGTCACTCCAAAAATGGATATCTTCAATGAAGAAATCTTTGGGCCGGTTGCATCACTTGTCAAATTCAAGACTGATGAGGAAGTTATCGCGTTAGCCAACGATACATCGGTTGGACTTGCCGGTTATTTCTACTCCGAAGATATCTCGCGTATTTTCAATGTCGCCGAGTCTTTAGAAGTGGGCATGGTTGGTGCTAACACTGGTGCCATCAGTGAAGCTAGTGTGCCTTTTGGAGGTATCAAGGAATCTGGGTTAGGTAGAGAGGGTAGTATGTATGGTATTCATGATTGGTTGAACATCAAAACTATTGTTATTGGTAATATTTGAAGTTTTCGTATAAGGTTTTGCTCTATTATTTTGCTGTCATTTCATATTCTTTTTTGTGTATTTATTTGCTTTTAAAACGAAGTTTATATGATTTAAAGTTTGATATTTTAGTGTGGTATGAAATGACGCTTATTATCTTTCAATAATAATAGCTTGTAAATGGGGCTGAAGATACAGAGTAGCTTCTGGTGTAACAATAATTTGAAATGCACCACTATTTAAAAGCTATTTGGATTCCATGTGCTGTTACAGGGTGAGAGCTGCGAAACCAAAAGCAAATATCCTCACACCACTAAGCACAACACCATATTACACAGTAATTACTACCTTCACACATATGATTTGCAAAAATTACGGCGATCTGTAACGGTTACTTTGCGACAATTCTTAATGAGATTCTAATATATATGGATATTTGATATCATTAATCAGGCTGGAACGTAAAACATGAAAACAAAATCTGGAAAGTTAAGAGAATAAAAAGAGGCACTAATTTAACAATAGGGAGAATAAGTTGAAACAAAATGGCCTTGGCTTATTATCTTCAATGACACCTGCCCGGAAATACTCATAGTCGTGAGTCCGCTCCGGTAGAAATTCCATATACCATCAACACGGGTTCTAGTCACAACAGCTAGGTTACCCGGATATGTGACGTAGTTTCATGCGGGTACCATCATTACGGTTTATTACGTTCAAATTTCCTTAAGAATAAAACAATCAGTTTTTTGAAAGAATAGTGACTTTTAACTAGTGTAATGACAATATATGATTTGAATGAGCTGCATTTACTTGCCATAGTACTATATGACGATTTTTTTCAAATATATTGCGCTCAAAATTGGTGTTCAACAGCGAGTTTGTAGAGCTAGATATTACCATGAGTAGTTAATCATCATTTCGCTTCAGGTCCTGTTAAGTTCTGGAAACTATGATATTTGTTTTGGCGAATAATTAGCCAGAGAACTTTCTATGACGGAACCTTTCGAAACTATGAAGGTACAGCGAATATCAAAAATGCATTTCTCCCACATCTTACAATTCATTATCCTTTCCTTAGTTGCTAAATCCCACCCACTTGGACCCTTAGAAATCTAAGATGGTTCAGTGGTCAATGATCAAGATAGTTTAGTGACCGATTATCAAGGTATTCTCACCAAAGGACTGTATGTTACTCCTATCTCAAAAGTACCTGCTCATCACGGACGTACCTTTTCCGAAGTTAGAGAAACTGTCAATAATTCTTCTTCAATCCACAAACCCCTGAGCCGTGCCTTCCAACCCACACAATTGCAATATTTGCAGTGCAATTATAATTATTCTTATTTTTTTTTGTTATTTTTATCTTTACTTGTCTCTTTTTTGCTTTTATAGAGCACTAATATAGAACATGACTTCAGTTAACTCTTTTCCAGTTTCAATTTTTTTTCTATTGGAGACTTTTCAGATTTTGCTCACTGTAACTGTTCACATATATTGTGTGGATCGAAACTGACTCTACTGGCTATGGTGATATTGAAAAACAAAAACAGTTATATGTTAAAGTACTTGATAATCATTGAATGATTAATAGTACTATCATTTGTTTGAAATTAATGGGCTATTCGTGGGGAAATATCATTTCATCAGCAGTAACACTGGCTCAAGATTTGTAGTATTACCTAATAGATCTAGTATATCATGATCATATATATTCTACCCAATGAGAAGGGATCGAGTTTTAACCAGAATATAAGTATATAATGAAAGATTAAACGCCTATTTTGCTTCCATGAGAAAGCTATATAAGTAAAAAAAAAGAAAAAAGGAACTGGTGCAGGTTGAAAGGGACAAGAGAAAATGATGTTGTCAAGAGATTGGAAAATTTTTATTCTCTTTTGCTGTTAGATTCTGTATTATCTAATTGAAAATGCAGAGAGTATCACTAAAACAATGGTTCCTTCAGTAATAACTTTCAAAAGTAGAAAAAATGGAAACAATAGACTTCAGAAATTTTGCTCAAAAGAGCCAAGCGTTCCTGCATGCCAACTTAACAACTAGATAGGGATACGCCATGCCTGTAATGGCGGTTGGTCGTCTTTATTCCTCTTTTTAATAATTGATTTATAATTTGCCCAATACACTTTCCAAATATTTTAGTGTGTATTTGAAGATAAAAATTCAGAAAACTACCTACGAACGCTGGGGGAGGGAGGTACGGTATTATATGCAGGATATATTGTAAATAATCCTATCCATGGTAGCACAACATATTTTTTTAAAAAAGTGGACCAATTGAACATAGTTAAAAAAAAAAAGTTTAGTTGATTATTCTAATCACTCAATATATAAATGATAGCAACATAGCTTCAATTTTTGCAATATTTCATATGTATTGGAAATACTATATGATTCTCATTTTAACTGCAAAGATGCGTCTATCCAAGATCTTACAAATCGCAGTTCTTTCTATGCTTACCCAATCCTACCCTCTTGGATCGTTGGAAGGCAAGGGAGATCAGGGAGATTTTGCCAAATGTGAAGACCAATTTTGTGATTCTCATATGCTGACTCATACATCAGCAAGAACCCGAATCACCAAACCAACAACTTCTAAATCTATAGCAGCGTATGCAACTTATAGTGCTCTGGAAACTCCTGTTATTACTGCAATTGGTCAAGAAGCCAATGCTCAAATGATTCTTGCTAAAAAGGCAAACGATGGAGAAGTCTGGAGAAACCCCATCCAGTATTCTAAATTAAGTTACAATGAAGAAAGTCCCGCAGCTACAATTTCTAGACAACATGCTTCTGATGGCTCAACTAGAACCGTTCTGGTTGATGAACTTGTCACAAATTCTAAAGTTGCTAGATCATTCATGCACGGTATTGAGTTTGTTGGCGAGTTAGCTGGTGCTGGGGCCGCCCTTGATGCTTTTATGGATGACTTTGACAACGGCTCTTCTACCTCCTCCTCCTCTTCCTCTTCCTCTTCTTCAGCATACACCTCCTCAAGCACTTGTTCTCCGACACTCAATACATTGTGTCCGGTTGGTGATGGCACTTATAGAGACAGTAGAGGTGACATCTACAATTCTGTTGGTGTGTTGATCAGCTCTGCCACTGTCACTGCTATTGCCACTGTCACTGTACTTAGGATTTCAACTGCTACTGCTTAAGTGGGCGTTCTCATTATTATCTTTGCGATGGAACATTTTTCTACAGAATCCCTTAATTTTTTTTTTTGCTTTCATAGATTACTTAATTAGAAAATAATGCATTTCTTATCCATTTTCAGTTCTATTTCCCCTCTCTTTCAATTATAAGCCACATTATTACAAATCTAATAATCATCGCATTACGTAATATTAACTTGATTTATATAAATCATACATAAGGAATAGGCGGTTTAGTTCCACTTTGAATAGATAATAAATATAGAAGTGTATTAATGAGATAAGTAATAACATCAGTAATAAGATAATTAATAAGATCGGGAATAAGATAGAATAAGATCGAGGATAAGATAAGAGATCAGGAAATAGATACAATTATAGAGAATAAGGTCGGGAATAAGATAAGAGGCTAGGATATAAATAGAAAAGATCTGGTAAGAAGTAATTGATTAGATAATGAATTAACGATACTGGTGGTATATGTCACACTTTATGTGATTTGTAGTAAATATTTTATCAGGAAACCGCGATTTGACAATTAATTCAATGTCGGCTCATAGCAACGGTGAAATCAGACCAAACAGAATTATTGATTATAAATAAATGGAATTGCCTTTAAATTCCTTTTGGTTACAATAAATCCAAACTTTCTGATGTCTTTTCTTCATTTGTAACAACCTTTAGCCTCTATCTGAATATTTTTAAATGGTCCCATCATCCAAACTGACAACGAATTTGGGTTCGGTTATCTCACTGTCCAAACAGTATTGTTCTAAAGCAAGTAAATCTATAACATGTGTCATGCAAGGTTTAGTTTTAATGCTAACTCAATTGATTAATTGCGTATGTTGAATAATAGTATCAGCCCACAAAGGGTACTATGAAGGAAACCGTAATAATATTTTCTTGTCGCTTTTTGTGAGAGAGATGGAGATGGATTCCGAAAGAAAAAGAATATACCAGTTGTTTGTAGTTGATGATTATCCAGCGATAGATCAAAAATTAAAATACAATTTGCATGCTGCAATGAAATATAAAATATGTTTATAAGAAAATAAAAAACATTTTTACAAAACAGATTAGCATGCTTATTTTTTCATCCCATTATTCTTCAAGCTTTTCATGCATCCCATCAAAAAACGTTCTAATCTTATCTTCAGTCACCACCTCTCCTTTTTCGGCGAACGGTTTGAGGAATTCCTTTAGTTTATTTTTGATCATTTCGTAAGCCTGTGCACCCTCAATCGCCTGTTCGCGGGGTAGCTGCTCCAATACTTTTGATCCTAGCTCAAAGATTGAGCTTCCTGATTCAGATTTCAAATCTTCATCTTCTGGAGGTTCGTAAATCGGTTCGTCATCCCATAAGCATTGGTGGTCCAACAAGAATTGCCGAATGGCGCCATAATCCAGCAATTTGCACTTCTCAACCAGCGGGGAATTTTTATCAATGAAGAGTTGCTTCAAAGAATCTTGATAATCATCTTTTAAGAAAATCAGGTATTCTAAATAGTTTTTTACTGTCGTAGCCTTGCCATCTTGTTCCAATTTGACCCTTTTCATCGGTGGCGATTCACTATCCAATGACACTTCGATTTTTTCAAGACGATCTTGTAGCGATGCAGCCGCTCCCACATGATATACTGGATCAAGACAAACTTGGTGTACTTTGAGCAATTTGTTGAAAAATGTCTTGTGTTGGTTGACACATCTCCAACAAATGAACCCTTCAAATTGCTCATAGTCAGGGAAGCCTTCCAACGGAAGTGGTCCTTCATCATCATCATTATCATCATTTTTATCCTGTTTGTCCAACCCTGGTTCAGTGCCAATAAACTCTTTGGTAATTTCTGAGTTATTGACCGCTTCATCTTCTGCTTCCGGTAAAATATCTAACACGTTAACACCATCTCCAAATTTCCGCCTGAACATGAATTTCTTGTCAACAGCGACACGTTTTCGTTCACGATCGACCATTCCCGGTTTCAAACCCAAAATACATTCTTCATGATACCATTCCTCATTACACGCACCGCCAAAGTTGCACTGCACCATATTCCCAGTTTCTACTGCGGGATTGTACTGTTTTCCGCACGAGCAAAACAACCCTTCGAAGTTCTGACTGTAAACATTGGAGGTCGAAGCAATGTCATCGGGGGCGATTTCTTTCCATACTTCTTTGAGAGTACTTCTGCGTGGGGCAGTTATCGCTGTCAAATCAACCACCAGTCCAGCAGCAGCAGCATTATCATTATCCAGTGTTCGATTAGTGGGTTTTTGAAGAGGGGCATACCGCAATTTGCAGCAACCGTTCGTGGGGATCCTGGTAGTCCCACAATCACAGGCAAAGTTTCTTTTGGTGAAGAGTTCGACAAGCTCATGATCGTGATGACACTGGATGCTGCAGCTATAACAAATTCCATTCATTTCCCGACTAGGGTTATTCCGATAGCAAGTGAGACATGCAAAAAGGATCTGGCGGATTGGACCGTATGTGTATGTGCAGACGTTCGGGTCGTAAGGCATGATTTCAGAAGCAGCTTTCTCTAGCAAGGTCTGGTGGTTGATGTAGTCCACCGCAGTGATATTTTCTTTACCATTAAAGCTTTTGGGAAACATTGTACAATTGAATCTTTTAACGCCTGCGATTCCTGGAAATCAAAAGGGAAATAGGGGAATACAAATAAATATTATGATGTATATAATCGCGATGGACCATCATCAGTTTTATAATTTTCACGCGTCTCGACAATCACGTGGAGGCAGAAGGAATTTATCTTGTAGCTGTGCTTGGTAGCAAGGAAGCGCAAGTGGTGGGAATATGACCTCTAGTAAGTAATCTGCAGCTAATGTTAGAAGGTAGATCTTGAGACTATATGATTCGGAGACCCTCGAAGCATTGTCGGAGTTGCGATTCCAAGTCAGTCCTCTTTCTCACCCCTCATTGACAAAGCTCTTGAGCACAAACCTATTTAGTTTTTATTGAATGTTGATGAAACCAGTGACAACCAGAGACCTTTATTGGAAATTGAAGTCTTTCCTCTAATTAAGATTATGGGAGATTTATGGGGTATCATTTGACAGTACGAGATATAGACATATCGGTTTCCAAACCTGTCTCTCCTGTGGAATTATTAGAAAATATCAATTGCTCAGCAATTGAATTCTTGAAGCTTCATGGTGAGAAAGATGATATTTTGGAGGTATATTTGCCAGTGTAAACGATATCTGTAGACATGATAAGTTTAGCCAAGGATTTCTCGCACTAAAGAATTGTTGTCATAACTCAAAGAGCAATTTCTCAATGATAGATACCCGAATTTGTCAGAATTCTACAGGTCTGAAAAGTACTTCAATATATATTAAGGCGAAACAAACGCACTCACGTAAAATAACAAACACTTTAGATAATAAAGTTAAATATAATGGTAGTAGTAATGACAAACAGTATGACGTCTGAAAGAGATGTTTTCGTTTCATTTATCATGTAAAGTTCATTTGCAATTTGTGTGAATACAAATAATTCATCTTCAAGTTCAATAGGACTTAGTATACTCCTCAGTATTTTATCGATTATTCTTGCTTACAATAGATATTGGTTTATTTTTATACAAGCTTTTCCTTCACTTGCTCTCTTTGTGTTTTTTGTTTATCAGCTGTATTAAATATCTCTGGAGTAGATTGATATTCAATTTGATAATGTTTTTCTATGTCACTTATACTCCCTGGATCAATAACATGCGTATCTGAACCACCGTCTAAAAGAAAATATTGATTAATGCCCCCGTTTTTCAACTGCATTCATTTCTTTTACATTCTTTGCTTTGTTATACTTCGGTTTTTTGTGCTTTCGATCATCTTTAATGAATGATGGTTTCCGAACATTTTCTTGTTTTTTATTATTTTTGTTATAATAACATTCTCTGGCAAAATGTCCATACTTGTTACAAGAATAACATTTAACTGATATTAGTTTTCGTTTCTTGTGTCCAATATTCTTTGATTTTGTATCCTTATTTATATTAAGAATCGAAGGTATTGTCTGAGGCACTTCATATTTCATTTTTAAATCATCTATTTCTTCAACTAGGTCATTAATGTTCTCTATCTTATGTCTCTTCATTTCGAATACGTAATATCTATTCTCTTTGATTTCACAAAGTTCTTCAATTAATTCTTTCATTGAAATTTCATGATAAAAATCTTCGAGATAAGTGACGTAATCAAGAATACAGTCTGCATATTTGAACATGGTTTCTCTTTGACACAATTATTAACCATTTTTTATAATCATGATCAATTTCCATAATTCCGCTTTCAGAATTATATTCTTCTTGGGATTCTCCATTTGCATCAATAAATCTTCTCAATTGATTAAACCGATTAGTTGACTGATCAAATGTCCCAGGTTCGGTGCCATGTTGAAGATCGCTCCTGGCTTCCTGGTCGCAAACATGACCTTTCGGTTGGGACGTATTGGTAATAATGTCACCATGTCGGTTATTGTAGTTGTTGGCAATTGACATGCTGAATAATCAATTCTTATTTTGACTACACGTTCAGGATGGGGGGCAGGATGGGTTGGTTTCTGTGTATTTCAAGCTGAGTGCCAGTGATCTTAGAATCGTCTTGTTCTCTCTTCTTCTTCTCACTCTAAGCTCCCCTCCTACCTAATGGTGTAAGGTACCCAATGGTACGATATTTATATTTATATAGACATCTAGCTATAACAATAGCTAGGTAGACTCAGGAAACTTATTTCCTTACTTATTTCCTTACTTATCATAGCAAGGATATAATACCTAGAAGGAAATCCGCACTACCGTTGTAATGCACTTAATAATCCTCTCTTTTCTTGTAAAAAGAGTTATCTTTTTATTTGGTGTAATAGTTCATCTTCTTCATCCATACTTATGGGTCTAACTCATACAATCGTCGATATTCATAAGCATTCAACTTCTATGACCATATGGGAACATTTTATAAGTATTCTTCATCTATGGATTATCTATAAAATATATCAACAGCTATTTACATTTTATCATAATATTATTTCTTGTAAGATATCAACATACTATTGTTCAGGGTATTTTTACTCATGCAGCTATCTATGGTGGAAGATTAGGATTTGTGTATTTTATTGATTTTACTGCTAGATAACTGTGGACTCAGTTATTTAATATTCCTTAATTCTGTTATCCAAGCCAATAAGGAAAAAATAATAATATAGCTACGGGTTTCGAAAACCATTTTAATCCAAAATTACAAAAAACTTCAAGATATTAAAATTGCTTTATATTTATATTGTTACGAAATATCAGCATAAAAAAAAAAAATGAGATGAATGACCACCGGGGTAAAGTAATAGAAGATTTAAGCATAAAATAATAAGGGAATAATTAGAAAAAGAAAAAATATAAATTCTAAATCAAAAAAAGTGGAGAATAATATATAAACACCACAAAATCTTAGACATTGTCAATAACAATACCTGGTTGGCCTGGAACAGCAGCTTCAATGGCCTTGACCTTTGGAAGCTCCACTTCTTCACCAGTAGCGAGATTCTTACCCTTGTCCTCACCATTGTTGAATGTGATAACATTAAGATCATTGACGGTGACCTTCGCGGTACAAATCTTCAAAATGTTCAAACAGGTCTTAACAATTTCCAATTCATCAAAAGTTAATTTTCTGTTGAAAACTATTTCAGGACTTTCCTTGGTCAATCTGGCCTTAATACCAGACACAAATGGCATGACCTTCTTCATGTCTTTGCCTTCAATCTTGGTCTTGACAACCTTGTTATCATCCAAAGTGTGGGCTTCGAATAATTCGCGAACAATGGTTAAGTATTTGTCTTGCCATTCTGGGAAGGTCAAAGCAATGTATAAGGTGATGTTAACTGACTTGTTAATGTCCAAGTTTTTAGCATTCTTCCCCTTTTTAGGTTTCAAAGCATTCAATTCAGTTTCTCTAATAGATCTAGCTAAGGAACGGATGTATTCCAAGGCATCAGAAAGAGCGATGTCGACTGGTTTGGTAGCTCTTGGGAAGGCAATCGAGTGAACGGTGAGATCCTTTTCACCTAAAATTTCATGAACAATGTATTCAGCAATATGTGGGGCAATTGGAGCCAACAACAAACTTTGAGCCTTAATGTAACGCAAAATCAAATCACGGTGAACGTTCTTAACACCACCACAAATATCAACATAATAATCTCTGGCACTTTGGAAATCGAACAAACCGGCTTTCAAAGCGAATTTGTAATTTGTTTCATCGTAATTCTTGTAACATTCTTCGATCAAAGCGTTCATTTCGTTTTCAAAAGCCAAGTCAAAAAAGTTCTCTTGGATTGGACCATTACGCAAATTGTCGACATTCTTGACAATATCTTCGGCCCATTCCTTGAGAGTGAATAAACGCAAAATGGCAGCAGAAGCATTTTGTTCATCAAAGTTGGCATCTTCAATAGAGTCACCAGAATCAGCCAAGGCAATTCTAGAAGCATCAGCACCATACTTATCGACAATTTGTTGCAAAGTGTAGAAGTTACCGGTAGACTTAGACATCTTGGCATTGTTCAACAATAAGTGACCGTTAGCTCTAACACCACCTGGCCAGAATTTCTTTGGGTAGATAGCAACGTTGGTGTAAATCCAGAAAGTCAAATGGTTTGGAATCAAATCCTTACCAGAAATAGATTCATCCAACGGGTAGAAGAATTCGAATTCTCTTCTCATGATTTGTAATTTCTTGAGTGGAATATCAGTTTCAATGTTTTCTTTTCTCAAGAAAATGTATTCCCAGACATCTTCGGTCATTTGCTCAGGCTTAATATTCAAAAGGCCTGGTTCCTTACCGTAAAAGTCAGAGTGCAACATGTGAGCCAAAGTGTAGAATGCTTGGTAAATAGTAGAGTCCGACAAAGATTCAATCAACAAGGATTCATCCCAAGGCAATCTAGTACCCAAACCATAAGATCTGGTCAAAGCCCAGTTCTTTAACCAATCCAAGACACCTTCGAAACCATGAGTGGTTTCAGCACTGAAGGTTCTCATACCGTGCAAAGCTTCCAAGGCTCTGGCTTTCCAGTTTTCTTCACCATAATCAACGTACCATTGATCTTCCAAAGAAACAATACATTCATCGTTACTTCTGGACATAACCAAACTTTCTGGTTCATTATAAACAAATGCTTCACCAGAAGCAATCAAGTCAGCCTTAACCTTTGGCTTGGCGGATTCAACTTTTTCACCAATGTAGCTACCGATGATCATCTTACCATTGAAATAACCTTCCTTGTAGGCGGCTTCCTTGGCCTTGGCCAATTGAACAGCATCCTTTGGAGATTGAATCTTCAATTGTTCAACAAGAGTCTTGGCGGTAAGATCACCATATTTTTCGGTGTTGATAACTGGAATAGCTTCAACATCAGCCCATGATTGATCAATCTTGTAATATTCGGATTTGTTGAACAAGTCCTTCATGGTGACATAATCATCTGGGGAGTCAGATGGGACACAAGTAACCACACCAGTACCCTTGTTTGGCAAAATAGTTTCCATTGGCAACACTCTCAATTCCTTGTGAATGGCTAATGGAGCATGAATCTTAGAACCAATCAAAGCCTTACCGTTGATAGACAAGACTGGAGTGTGGAAACCACGCTTAGGAGTCAATTTTTGGTAACACATGTTTTTGAAAGCTCTTTCAGTGGTGATGAAATATTCACCATTACCAGCGTCGAACAAACCATAATCAATCTTTGGAGAAACAAAACAACAAGTTTGACCGTACATAGTTTCTGGTCTTAAAGTGGCAGCAACAAGGAAAACCTTTTTACCAGCAACATCAAAGTTGTTTTCTTTAAAGACAGCGGAAACTTCGTCATTATACTCCATCAATTCAATCTTGATACCTGTATATTCTTGTGGACCAACACCTTCACCACTTTGTCTGTCGTGATCCATACAAGCTTGACCATCCTTTTCAGAGTAAATAGTGTATCTTTCCCCAAACTTGATCTTACCCAAATCTCTCATTTTGTTGATGGACCATCTGATAAAAGAATCATAGTATGGGTTGACGTCAGTGGTGATCATAGATCTTCTCCAATCAACTCTACCACCAAAGTTAACAACATCAGACTGAGTGTGTGGTGGGAAGTAGTATAACCAGTACATTGGATCGGCAAACTTATGAATTTCTTCCAAAGGAACATCTAATTGTTGAATGATTTGGAATTGGTATTTTTTCCCACCTTGCTTTTGAACTGCCTTGGCCTTCTTAGCCTTGAACTTGGAGACATCTTCGTTGGCTTTGGTAACTTCTTCCTTCTTTTCGGTTTGTGTTTCTGATTCTTGCTCTTCAAAGAATTTTTCAAAGTTTTGACCAAACATTTCAAGTTCTCTAGCAATCTTATCGGCAGCAGATTTAATTGGCATACCAGTACAGTGGAAACCCAATGGGAACAAAGCTCTTCTTGGAGTTGAGCCTTCCTTGTAGTTCATTCTTTGGAAACCAGTGGTGAATTCAGCCTTGGATAAAGTGAAACCGTGACCAAGATGTAAACGACCATTCATGTAAGGATAAGCCATAGAGGCAAAATACTTTGGGTTGGAGTCACGGAGAGTATCACCTTCGATTTCAGCTTCGTATTGTTCGATGGTTGGCGCATCGACTTCAAAGACCTTGTCTTCTTGCCATTTCTTTTGATACTTTTTTTCAATTTCGATTAAAGCATCTCTTTTGGAAGTGTTTTCAAGCACCAATGGCGTACCAGATGCTGGAGCAGCTGCAACCATTTTTGTGAAATGTTCTTTAGATTTTAGATTTGGTTGTAATGAGTAATTCTTGAAAATTGACTAATTTTTTTCGTTTTTCTTTTTTTTCCAATTGAAAAAAAAAAAAATGGTGAGCCCTAGCACCGCCGTCCGGCCGCACCGGGATGTGGTGCCAACTGACTCTTTTCATAAAAATTACAGAAATGATATAATTATCAAATATATTGTAGCTATGTTATATTACCAACAGCTCGAGGGAATTAATTATATATATATGTAAAAGAAAAAAAAAGTAAAAATAGGACACACGGACACGTTACACAAAAAACATGGATAAAAAAAAAAATTCAAAATCAGCTCAACAATAAGTAGGTAGCCAACATACTCACAACTTGAGCTTCTCTAAGCTGGAAATAGTATTCTCCAAAATATCAATATCAGCCTTGATGTTTTCAAATCTTTCTAATGTAGCAGCTTGAACATCTTGAGAGGCCTTGGCAGCAAAATCTTTAGCGTTGATCAACTTTTCTGTGTTTTCTTTGCTCTTCTTAGCCTTTTCCAACTTCTTAGAGATCTTGGTGATTTGCTCATCAATATCAATTTGACCCTTAACCAAGACATGGACATTAATGTTGGAGTTCACAGCACCGGCACCACATCCACTTGGAATTGCGTCACCACTTTTAAGAACTTCAACCTTGTTAACACCCTTGATCAATGAAACAATCAAATCTTGTTGAGATTGAGCAATTTCATAATCTTCGGTTGTCAAAGCTTCAATGTAAACTTGACCGTTCTTAATAATGTCGTATTGGGCCAACAAGGAACGGATAGATTTGGTGATGTCCAAAATCAATTCGTATTGGGAATCGGCAGTTGGGAACTTGAAGTATTCTTGGAACTCTGGGTAAGCAGCAATAACAATGGATTCAGTAGTGTCGTTAGGACGCTTTGGTAATCTTTGCCATAATTCCTCAGTGACGTATGGCATGAATGGGTGAATCATCTTAAGAGCAGCTTCGATACAAGTATAAAGGGTGTTCTTGGCAGATTTTTGTTGTTCTGGAGTACCTTCGAGAATCAAATACTTAGAGTTTTCAATGTACACATCACACAATTCATTCAACCAGTAGTTGTAAACGGTGTTAGTGGCAACCATGAATTCACGGCCTTCAAAAGAGTTGTTGATCGTTTCAGCAGCGGTGTTCATCTTGTTGAGGATCCATTTTTCAACCAAGGATTCTTGACCAGTTGGCTTTTCAGAAGCGTTTGGAACAAAATCATCGCCTAATCTCATCAAAGCAAATTTGGTGGCTTGATACATCTTGTTACAGAACTTTCTGTAACCTTCAACTCTAAGAATGTTCAAGTTGATGTCTCTACCACCAGTGGTGTAAGCACATAAAGCAAATCTCAAAGCATCGGCACCACATTGAGCAATACCCATTGGATAAGATTCCTTTTGACCAGCTTTTGCCTTTTCAATTTCTCTTGGATCCAAGTTACCCTTGGCTAATTTAGAGTGCAAACCTTCCAAGGAAATACCGGTAATGACATCCAATGGATCAACAACATTACCGAGGGACTTAGACATTTTTCTACCTTGAGCATCACGGACCAATGGATGGCAGTAAACTTCAGAGAATGGGGACTTACCAGTCAATTCAGTACCCAACAAAACCATTCTGATGACCCAGTTGAAAATAATATCCCAACCAGTTTCCAATAACGTAGTTGGGTAGAATTTTTCAAAGTCAGAAGTCTTGTTTGGCCAGCCCAAAGTAGCAAATGGCCACAAACCAGAGGAAAACCAGGTATCCAAGACATCTTCATCTTGTTCAAGGGTGAAATTTTTACCAGCAAATTTCTTGGAAGCGATTTCCTTAGCTTCTTCAACGTCTCTGGCAACAATCCAATATTCACCATCGCCACTTTCATGGAATTCACCTTCAATGTTAACAAACCAGGCTGGGACTCTGTGACCCCACCACAATTGTCTGGAAACGCACCAATCTCTAAGAGATTTAGTCCAGTTAAGATATTCAGCTTCAGAGGATTTAGGACTAATTTTAAGCTGACCATCTTCGAGAACCTTCAAACCGAGTTTACCCAACTCACTTTGACGGACCCACCATTGTGGCTTAAGGTATGGTTCAATCATGTCACCAGTTCTAGTACATTTTGGAATAACCATCTTGTTGTCCTTTTGTTCAACAAAGAGACCCTTTTCTTTCAAGGATTCAATAACCTTCTTTCTAGCGTCAAATCTCTTCATACCGGCCCATTCACCACAGTTGTCATTCAATTTACCATCTTCAGTGTAAATGTTAATGAATTCCAAGTTATTTCTCTTACCGGTGTTGTAATCGTTTTCGTCATGGGCTGGGGTAATCTTGACAGCACCGGTACCGAATTCCATTTCGACGGTTTCAGCATCGGTGATAATTGGCAATCTTCTGTCCAAGAATGGATGCAAAACATACTTACCGTGCAAGTGCTTGTATCTTTCATCATTTGGATGAACAGCCACAGCAGTATCACCGAAAATGGTTTCAGGTCTGGTGGTAGCAACAACAATAGCGTCATCAGTACCTTCAATTGGGTAGGAAAAGGAGGTAATAACACCAACTTCAACTTTTTCATCGTAACCTGGAACCTTGATAAGAGTTCTACCTTCGTATTCCACACTTTCAATTTCAGAGTTGGAAGTGGCGGATCTTAATTGAACACACCAGTTAACCAATTTATTTTCACGGTAAATGTAACCACTCTTGTGCAATCTGACAAAAGCTTCAATCACAGCCTTGGACAATTCAGGAGATAAAGTGAATGCTTCTCTGGACCAATCATAAGAGGCACCAAGAGAACTGAATTGGGACTTGATCTTTTGATGGTAGACTTCTTTCCATTCCCAGACTTTTTCAAGGAACTTTTCTCTTCCCAAATCTTGTCTGGTGACCTTTTCAGTAGCCCACAAGTTTTTTTCAACAACAGACTGGGTAGAAATACCGGCGTGATCGAAACCTGGGACATACAAAACAGTCTTACCCTTCATTCTGTTGTATCTGACCAAAGAATCTTGAATGGCAACAGTCAAGGCATGTCCAATATGCAAGGCACCAGTGACATTTGGTGGCGGGGATGGGATGACAAAACTACCCTTTGGTGAAGTATTTCCATCAGCATCCAATTTTGGCTCGAAGAAACCTTTCTTAACCCACCATTGATACCAAGAACTTTCGGTGTTCTTTGGGTTGTAGGACTTGAAGGCTGGGTCGTCAAAACTGACCAAAACCTTCTTTTCCCCTGGAACGGTTGGATCAACCCATTCAGGAATAACTTCCTTTTCAGCCTTGACCTTTGGCTTCTTTGGTTCTTTGGCCTTACTGTTTTGTTCTTGTTGTTGTTTCTTTGCTTGTTTGGCTTGGAATTTAGCCAACTTTTCAGCCTTCTTTCTTTCCTTTTCCAATTCTTTGGCAGTTTTTGGTTTCTTCACCTCACCCTCAGCCGCGGCTGGAGGGGTAATAGTAGCAGGTTTTTCAGACATAATTGTTGAACAACTAGAAAATGGATTTACCTTTCAGGAACTGTTAGTATAAAGAATCTTATAAATTGAATAAATCGCGGTGATCGTTCAAAAAAGAAAGATAGGAAACAAAAAGAAAAGAAATTCCAAAAAAAATAAGATAATGGCATTAAAAGCTAAACAGGAAAATATGAAATTGAGAAAAATAAACTAAAATTGAGCATACTCTTGAGATATTATAAGAAGATCTGAAACCAAGTGAATAACTACTGTGATATGACGTTCTTGTAATGAGATTGATTCTATTCAACATCAACCAAATAAACCAGATCTCACAAAATCTCGCAATTTCTCTTTTTGGAAGGGGTGAGATGGGTGGAAAACTAAAGCTAATTACCTTTGTTCTATTTATTCTCCTGGGAAAAGTTCTGGTTGGCTTTTGGTTCTTTGTGAGAGGGAAGCTTTCGCACCACCACTTAATATCTGGAAATTATGACTGAAATTTTTTCAGCTCTCAAATGCGTGTGTCATACTATGAATGCATAATAGTGCATAAATGCCTGGGTAACTTTTTTTTTTTTTTTCCTTTTTTCACTTTACGCGTTTTTATATATTATATTATTTTATCCCTTTTCCTTTATTTACATTCATCATTTACCTAAATAACTCGGACCACAATAGTTGCTACTTTATTATTTTGCTATTTTCATATCCTGCTGATTATTTTGCTATTACAAGTCTATTAAATCTACAACAAACACCACTATTTTGCTATATACTAAAAGCTTTTTCCCTTTTTGTACGCGTCTGGCCTTTATCAAAAAAAAAAATAATATATTCTCCTAATGTTCTACAACCAAACTCTCTTATCTAATGAGGGTCCATTGGCAACCGTATGGCTTGCTGCAAATTTGGATAAAAAATTGTCAAAGAATCAATTGATCCATACAAATATTGTCAAAAGTGCTAAGGCTATTATAAATAGCGAAAATCCCTCCACCTTTAATGTGGAAATATCAGATAACGGTTCGTCACAATCACAGAATTCAAAAAGCCTTGGCCATCTTGTGGCATCTCAGCCAATTGCTCTTCGATTGTCTGGTCAATTACTTTATGGGGTGGTGAAAATTTATTCTAGAAAAGAGAAATATCTATTAGATGATGTCAGTAACGTGCTAGCCAAATTGAAATCGATTTTCAAATCCAATAATGTGCGATCAATTATCTTGCCAGCCAGTAAAACTATGGCAAATGTCAATAGATTGGTCTTAGCAGATACTATCACTGAGTCCAATATCGGCCCCCAATTGCTTCAACAAAACCCACTTTCTCTTGATTTGGATGATGAAATTCAGGCCGCAACCAGATCCGACCGTAGTATTGCCGAATCTTCTCAAATAATGGCCAGAGAGGTTGCCGATAACACAGATTATCATATGGGTCTTGCATTTGATGACTCGATTGAACAAGGTAGAAATGCCAGTAGAATGTTCAGTGATACGACCATGGGATTTGGTGATATCACGGGGATTAATAAATCAAGAAGAACCGGAAATGTGACAGACGATGACAATGATGATTTTATGACCTCAAAGAGAGGTGGTGATTTGGCTGGTGATGATCTTGCCACTGCCGATCCAGATGAAGATCTAGTTTTAGACTTTGGTAATGATGCTGATATCAATGATGATGTCAATGATGGTTATTTTGATAACGATATGCCTCCTGACGCACCAGGGCAATTCTCTGATGTTGAAGAATTGTACATTGATGAGAATCAGCAAGATAATAAGGATAACGGAGCTGTGCAGAACAATTCCACTCTACCCTTAGATTTTGCCGAGCAAACTGTTGAGCAAGGTAGAGATGCTGCTGTTACTACTTTGAATGAACTTACATTTGGTGCTGATACCTTACTAAAACAGGCTGATATTGCAGGCGACAATCCAGTTAATGTAGAAAATATCTTTGACTCTGAACCACTTGAAACTGTTGAACAACAAAAATTTGAGGAAGTGAACACAGAGGAAGGGGACACAGAACAACAAACCAAGAAAAAACAAAGAGCTAAAACATCAAGATCAAAAACTAGAAGGGAAGTCCGTAAAAGGCTAGTCATAGATAATGAGGCATCCTTCAGTGATGAAACATTTAGACGTCTAGAGCCTACCCCATTGAATGCTGAATACCAGGAAGCAAAGAAAAAATTGGAGAAGATGACTGGAAAGTTGTTAGCTCAAAAAAGATTATTTTATTTGAAGAAAGATTCCAATCCTGGAAATTTGTTCATTAATTTTCACAAATTCAAGAATTTATGGGACTACAAGAATTCAAAAATTGTTGATGATGGTGAACGTAATAAGAGACGGAAAGTTAGTGAACAGGAAATTGCGGAAGACGAAGAATACTTTGATGTTGGAGGTTTCGATATACCTCCTTCACCAATTTTGGAATTTGATAACGTTACTACTGATAAGGCTATTATGGATGAAGTGATTGAAAAAAAAGAGCATGCCGATGGAGAACCTGCTTCTCCAATAAGGGAAGCACCGGATGTTGATATGGGGTTTGATTTTGATTTAGATTACGGAGATCATTTCAATCCAGACGATAGCCATAGTGATAAAGAAAATCACGATTATGATGAAATCAGTCACGATAGAGAACCCAGTTCGGAATCATTTATACAAAAGATGTCTAGTAATGAGTTCGCGTCTTCTATGGCTGAATCAAGTAGATATCATCAAAGTATTGATGAGGATAATCAGTCCCAAGGAAGCAGAGGGAAAAAGAGAGATTTTGAAGCTTTCTCTCAGATCGAGAGCCATTATGACGATGAGAATGAAGGTAACGGAAACTCCATTTCTAGATCTACCCTTCAAATTGCCTCCATATTGAGAGACGATTTCCTTGAGGATAAGAATGCGACTATTACTTTGGATCAAGTAATTGAGAAGGACTCAGCTGGTGGTAGATTTGGTGGGAAGTCATTGAGTAATAATCCTAGAAAGGAAAGAGTTAGATGCTTCTTTGAATTGTTGGTTTTGGCCACCGGTGATGCTATCAGTTTGAAGCAAAAAACCACTCCTTTCGGTGAAATCAGCATAAACTATAAGGATGCTTTGTTTGAAAGATTCTAACTGTCTACACAATCCTTGTGTTTTTCTATGATTTTTTAATGTAATATATTTTGTAACTTCGATCTTTGTTAATAAAGAGGCATTAATGTAGCATTTATGATCCCCAAGTAAGGTATTTTCAAATGGAAATAAGCTTTTTCATCTTAGGAAATCTCAATGTTAGTAGTTTACAAACAATAACCAGTGTAAGAAAGAACGAGCATAATGAAACATACAAGATAAGCATCAAAAGAAAATGAAAAGGAAGGAGAATTAGTAAAACGTCTTTCGTTATTGTACATGCGAGGCACGACGCCCGTATTTCACGTGACCGAGAATTTCTTTAAATTAAGCAAACTGATCTGATGTACGTTTTATCATACAAACGTTGCCTGGAAACTTAAAAGTAAGCTCTAAAAAGCAGTCATTACCGTAACATAGCACAATGTTGGGTATTCCTAGAGAAGGAGGCAGGAACAGGACCAGGACGCTCTCTGTGGTCCAGTTTTCGGACTTGGAAAAGTCGAAGATGGAATCATCGATTGAACAATTGGATGCCTTGATCAAACAAGTTAAAAGAAGCTGGAAAATCCTGACCCAAGAGAATTCCAATCCTTTGGAGATTGCCTTGCCCTTGCTTGATAACACCTCTGTTGGTATGGCATATAAGCTCCCAGACTTTTTAAAACTCACAGGGAAAATATCTCAATCTTTACAAGTGGCTGTCAATGAACATTACCAAGCCTTCAATAATAGTGTGGGATCTTACGACACCATTTGTCGTTCGATTGACGAATCACAGCAGACCGTGAAAACTGTGAAGTCGACATTAAAGCAGATCAGTTCTGATATATCTTCGAAAAATCAATTTTTGAGTGAACTTAACGAGAGATCAAAACAGTACGGTGATATGATGGAGATCTTGGATGTGATTGAAGATTTCAAGAAATTGCCTAATCAAGTAGACAATTTATTTGCTGATAAAAAGTTTGGTTTGATCCAAGAGATTTTATCCAATGCCGAATCGGATGCTGAAAAGTATAAGCTTTGGAGGATTCCTGCATTAAACAATATCAAAAACTATCTTTCTACCGCCAAGAAAAATTTATTCGATATCATTCTTGAAGAATTGAATTCCACAATCTATTTGAAGTCTAGATCCTCTTCTTTGCTTTCATTGGTTCTCAACAACGATAATTCATCATCTAATATTTCAAACTTAGAAGAATTCTCTAACTTAGAATTGTATATCAACAATATCGTCAATATTGATGTTCTTGAGAAATCTTCATTAATCCAGACGAAGTTGAACAATTTCTTGAAAGAGATTGACAGAAAAAATGGCGTTAAAGTCATTCACCGTCAATCGGATTTTGAGAATGATCCTTACAGTTATCTTCACTTTTTGTTGGCCACGCTAACCAAATTGAATCAATTACCAAAAGCATTGGAAATGATTGCTCAGAGGCACCCGAGTGAGCTACACAAGGTTGTCAATGATACTGCAGATGAAATCAAACTCAAACATCCAAACCTCGTAACTTCGTCTCTGAAAAATGGAAAACACAGAGGCAAAGGTAATAATACACCTAAAAGCAAACCTGGAAAAAAGGAGAATGATATTGATATGAAGAAAAGTGATGAAAACCTATCTCTAACAGACTTTGGTTTAGCCATTGGTGACTTGAATAATATTGTTTTACAGGATTTTTTTTGGCAAATATTTACGAAATTTCTACTTGTGTTACAATCTCATAGAGTGGTTTTTGAACTTGCCAAAAAACTTTCAGGCTTGCCAGAGGAACAATTCATTTCCAACTTGAATTCTTATAATTTTGTGGAAATTTGGAAAAATATGTCAAGTGAAACCAGATCATTGATGTATTCCTATCTTAGTAGTGATGCAGTGGTCTTCAATGACTCTAAAAATAATATCTTATCTACTAGCTCTAAGAGTTTCAGTACCCCAGCCACACAAATCTCTGAAAACTGGAATCTTATTAATTTATTTGATTCAACTAAAAAAAAACAAAATAGCTTGAGATCAGCAACCGTGTTCCAGTTTGATGAAGAAGAGTACCAAGAGAATGAACGGGGTGAAAGTAGGTCTCTAAATGATATTCACTCTGAAGAATTGAAAACCTTTTTGAAAGAAGTATTTCCAGGGTTCAAAATCAATGAAACCTTGTCGAGAACTTTAATCAACGATACATCTTCGCCATACTTGGAAAATGAAGAACTCATTCAACGGGAAACTTTGGTGCCAGGCAATGTTTTCAATATGAGAGTTATTTTAGACTCCTTTTTAATTTTTATCCAGGGTTCCAAATCTGTTTTCCCAAAGAAAGCTGGGAATTCAAGCCCTGATTCTAGCGAACCATTTAATTTCTTCATCGATTTTATGAAAAAAACCTTTTTACCACAGTTGGATGATACATTAGAGTACATGTATAATAATACGGTCAATGTTAACCCTTTCGATATCATATCCATCTCAAATTATAAATCGTCAGGTGGCTCGTTGGTCAATGTCAATGCTGGCTCTGACACCATCAGTGATATTCAAGTTTTCAAATCTAGTATTGATTTCTACAACTTGTTCACTAAAGTTTGTGAGACCTTGAATACTTCAATTAAATTTAGAGAGGAATATTCATCATTGACAGTCCAGCTATTAGTGAAATTCTATAATAAATATGATGAATTATATACCACGTTATTGCCAAATATTGATCAGCCAGTCACAAACTCTCAAAACAATTTCAAACAATTAAATAGATGGTTGAAATCTCCTGAATTAGCCCATATATCTTTGCAAATCATCAACACGAAAACTAAATCCGAAAAACGTTTGCTTTCAACGGAAACTGGAATGCTTTTGGCCAATGGCTCCACTTTGTTGAAAAGCATTGATAAGACACAAATTCTTCATCCAAAGAATTTTAACTCGTTGACTCATCTTTTGGGTACTGTTGATTGGATCTTAAAGTGGTTGCCAGAAATGAGAAGAGTAGTTGCCGGTGAAAATAACTATGATGGCGTTAATATAGATCAGTTACGATCCCATTGGGAATTGGGGGAATCTAATCCAACTAGTTTGTCTAATATGAAAAAAGTTCAACTCACCTTTGAAAAAGATACACCTTTGTTGAACCAATTTGATGGGGTTCTAAAAGATTTTGAACAATTACTTTCAAATACCTTACTTGCTATTAGATATGATATCAGATTAAGGTTGATTTATTATATTACTGCGACGATTGAAAATAACTCCTGGAATCCAAATTCTGATATCAATGCCATCTGTCAAGAAATCAAAGAATTATGCAACTTGGTTCAACTTTATAAATCCAAATTATTTATCCATTTGCAGCCAGAATTGGGGGAGAAGATTCTTTATGGTATTCCAAACTTAATTGATAAATTGTTCATTACTGGTGCCGAATTGATTCCAGTATTAAACCAAAATGGTATCAGAAAGTTGTATTTGAACATTATCACTATTCAGCAATCCCTCAGAGCAATTATGAAATTGCCAGAAGATGTTGACTTTACCCATTCTTTGGCGTATTTTGATTTGTACAAAAAGGGGGTTGAAAAGATCATTGATCAAAATAGACAAAAAAAATCATTGTTCAACTTGAAGGAAAATAAGAATATGATCAGATTGATTTTCAGTCAAGAGCTCAAGGATCACGAAAGTCAAAGTGGTCCTCCATTGATTATTAACAAGAAATATCATGACGCAATCAAAGAACTTGAAAGAGTGCATGCAGCTAGTGGTTAGAGGCTTCAATAAACTAATAAATGTTTTTCTTATTATCCTTTTTTTAAATCTTTATAAGCTTCACACGTTCACAGGCATTGATATGGCATAATGTAAACCCACAAATATTCCAGTTTGTTTCATTATTATTTGATTGTTTGTTAAAATTCCCAACCCCTAAAAGAATTCAAGACATTCTTGATAGCACACAATTAACATAAAAGATACCGATGGGAGAGATATGATCAGATCAAGCTCTCTCTCTACAGTGTTTGATGATATATGTAAACGCCAAACTGGATCACACGTGATATATGATCAGAGTCACCCGGCACGGAAACACGATTTTTTTTTTTTTTTTTTAAAAAAAGGAAACTCACAAAAACACTGGAATATTTTGTGGGTAAAGGCCCATCACATTGTTTCTCAAACTGGTGATTTCATCATAAAGAAAAATATCAAGAGTGCCGCTATGGATCCTGCCCTGGCCTACTCAAAACACAACATCCAGCGGGCATTAACCGTGAGTACTATTATTGTTATATTGCCACCATCTCTCTGTCACACACGCCTATAGATTTATACACATTTGTGATGATCGCGTTGATATAATATTAAATTCAACGCGTACCGTTTTCCTTTGAAATTTTTTTTGAAGGCATTGAAAGGCAATTGCAATTCCCGAGAAATTACTAACCATTGTCATTAGCGCTTCAATCAATTGAAGGCTCAGCTAGGTCAGAATGCCCCTGCTAATCAAGAGTTTCAAAATCTCACTCGCTACTTACGGGCTCTGTCTCAATACCAGATGGAGTTGCAAAGACTTCAACAACAACAACAACAACAACAGCAGCAGCAACAACAACAACAACAACAACAGCAGCAGCAACAACAACAACAACAACAGCAACAACAACAACAACAACAACAACAACAACAACAACAACAACAACAACAGCAGCAGCAGCAGCAGCAGCAGCAGCAACAACAGCAACATCTTCGTCAAATGCCAATTGCCAATACAGACAATCATAATTTTGGTGGTAATATCCGAAATATTAACCAATCCCATCAAGGGGCTAATGGTTTGATCAATGGTTTTGCCAACAACAACAATAATGGTTTCGTCAACAACAACAATAATGGTTTTGTCAATAACAACAATAATGGTTTTATCAACAATAACAATAACAGTTCAAATAACAATACTATGGATCGCAATACCAACAAGAGCATTAATAGCAATATCAATAACAACTTACAGAGCAACCCGGGGACCCCAAATTCAATGCAAAACTTCCCAATAAGCCCACATCAACAATATGGTAACCAGCAACAGCGAATGCCTCAACATATGCCTCGACAAATACCTCAACAGATGCCTCAACCGATGCCTAGACAGATGCCTCAACAGATGCCTCAACAGATGCCTCGACAAATGTCTCAGCAGATGGCTCAGCAAATGCCCCAGCGAATGCCTCAACATATGCCTCAACCAATGCCTCAACAGATGCCTCAACCGTTGCCTCATCAAATGCTTCCACAGATGCCTCAGCAAATGCCCCAGCAAATGCCCCAGCAAATGCCCCAGCGAATGGCTCAGCGTATACCTCAGAGTATGCCTCAGAGTATGCCTCAGAGTATGCCTCAGAGTATGCCTCAGAGTATGCCTCAGAGTATGCCTCAGAGTATGCCTCAGCGAATGGCTCAGCGTATGCCTCAACAAATGCGTCAGCAAAACCAGCTGCGGCAACAAATTCAACCGTTGTCGCAGCCATTATCACAACCGGTAGCACTACAACAAAATCCTCAAAAACAGAAGCAATATTCACAACAGCTGTTTAATAGCCAGTTATTGAGTCCTGAAGATCAGCAACTCTCAAAAACCCAAATCAACGCGTTCAAATTACTCTTCAGGAAAATGCCTTTACCGCAAGATATTTATAATGGAATTTCTACTCATTATCAACAAATAAAGGGCAAAAATACTAAAGGTCAAAATAACTCGTTTACTGCGAGTCCTCGGAAGCCTCGGGAGGCACCTTTAGTATCTTTACCCCACAAATCTGCTGTACAACATATATTTAATTCCTCTAAGGGTTCGATGCCAGCGCATCAGCTTATTCGACGAAATTCACAGTCTCCGATGGTTGTCGCTTCCTCTCCATTAGGTAGACCACCATCAAAGCATTTCAATGTTAGGAAATCAAATATTTCCTCTAGTGCTTCGCCAATCATGCCTCCGCCGAGGGTACAAAACGGCCGCGCACATACTAGACCATTGAGACCAATAACTGTAGTTGATCCTCAACCTCCAGTTCCTGACTCAGAGATTATGAAGAGATATCGGACTTCAAGAATTATCAAGGTCAAGGATCCAAGTATTTTAGTCGATGCTTATAGTTTGCCTGTTAGTAATGAAAATGTGTTGTTTAATGTGTTAGAAAAGGCAAGACTCATCTTCCCAGGGGTTTTCCCAATAGGTATTGATGTTGACGGGGCACACAAGATCAGAGAAACTACAATATCATGGGAAATCAAGGACACAATCGAGTATTTAGAATACTATTTGGAGAATGGGGAAATTGAAGATGAACAACAACGTATCGAGCTTGAGATTGATTTACGAGCCCTTAAATTATTAATAGTGCAAAAGAATTTGAGAGGAAAATATCTTTCATTTTCCTGGTTCCAAAACACTTTGTTATCAAACACTCATCCAAATTTCCTTGCGCGTATTAGACCGGTGACGATTCAAGATGCTATTTTGACAAGTAAAGTATACACTGAACAACAAGCAAAGATCAGGATTTCCAGAAGAAACAAGAGAATTATTCAGGTTTCGAACCAATTGGCCAAAACTCAGCTGGTTTGTCTGCAGAGAAACTCAGTGTTTGATAAACTTAAAAAATTCGGTAAACAAGTGACCAATTTCCATAGCAGTACAGAAAAGGAAGAACAGAAAAGAGTTGAGCGTAATGCCAAACAGCGTTTACAGGCCCTTAAGGCTAATGATGAAGAAGCTTATATTAAGTTGTTAGATCAAACCAAGGATACAAGAATCACCCATCTCTTAAAACAGACGAATCAATTTTTACTGTCACTTTCAGAGTCTGTTAAAGAACAACAAAGAGAAACTAGAGGCCTCAGTGAGTCCGCAGGACACGCTATTGAATCCGAAGAGGAATTACGCAAACAATTTGGGGGTGATACTGATGCTTCAGATATAGATTATTATAACGTGGCGCATAGATATAAAGAAGTGGTCACCAAACAACCAAGTATTCTTGTTGGGGGCACTTTGAAGGAATATCAACTCAAAGGTTTGCAATGGATGGTATCATTGTTTAATAACCATCTAAACGGTATTTTAGCCGACGAAATGGGTCTTGGGAAAACTATTCAGACTATTTCTCTCATCACTTATTTGGTTGAAGTGAAAAAAGTTCCAGGTCCGTTCTTGGTAATTGTTCCATTATCCACTTTAACAAACTGGAATATTGAATTTGATAAATGGGCTCCATCGATTAAAAAGATCACATTCAAAGGGTCTCCTAATCAACGTAAAGCCATGCACAATGACATTCGTACTGGGAATTTCCAAATTTTATTAACCACTTTTGATTATATTATTAAAGATCGTCCACTTTTGGCCAAGATCAAATGGGTTCATATGATTATTGACGAAGGGCATCGTATGAAGAACAGTAAATCTAAATTGTCTTATACTTTGACCACCTATTACCATACTGATTATCGTTTGATCCTAACTGGTACACCATTGCAGAATAATTTGCCAGAGCTTTGGGCGTTGCTTAATTTTGTGTTGCCAAAGATCTTTAACTCTGTGAAATCTTTTGATGATTGGTTTAATACTCCATTTGCCAATACTGGTTCCCAAGATAAAATGGATTTATCGGAAGAAGAAACTTTACTTGTGATCCGTCGTCTTCATAAGGTGCTTCGTCCATTCTTGTTGCGTCGTCTTAAGAAGGACGTTGAGAAAGATTTGCCAAGCAAGATTGAAAAGGTTATTAAGTGCAAGATGTCAGCATTGCAACTGCGGTTATACAGATACATGTTGGATCACCGCGTTCTTTTCGCCTACAATCATGAATTGAAGAAAGTGTACCCAATTAAGGGAAATAATAACCCAATTATGCAGTTGAAGAAAATCGTTAACCATCCATTTGTGTACGATGAAGTGGAAGATACTATCAATCCGACTCATGAAACTGATGAATTAATTTGGCGCACTTCGGGAAAATTTGAGATCTTGGATCGCATTCTTCCTAAATTCAAGGCGTCTGGCCACAGAGTGTTAATTTTTTTCCAGATGACTCAAATTATGACTATTATGGAGGATTTTCTCAATTTGAGAGGTCTTAAATATTTAAGACTTGATGGTGGTACTAAATCAGACGATCGTACCAACTTATTGAAAGTTTTCAATGCCCCAAATTCTGAGTACTTTGCATTCTTGTTGTCTACTCGTGCTGGTGGGTTAGGTCTCAATTTACAGACTGCAGATACCGTGATTATTTTTGACACTGATTGGAACCCGCATCAAGATCTTCAAGCTCAAGATCGTGCCCATCGTATTGGGCAAAAGAATGAGGTGAGAATTTTGAGATTGATCACCCAAGATTCTGTCGAAGAAATGGTTCTTGAGCGTGCTGCCGAAAAGTTGGACATTGATGGGAAGGTCATTCAAGCTGGTAAGTTTGATAACAAGTCTACTGCTGAGGAACAAGAGGCGTTGTTGAGACAATTGATGGAAGCAGATGAAATGAAGAAGACTACTGAAGAAGAGGAAGAACTCACTCCTGAAGAATTGAATGATATCTTGGCGCGTAACGACGAAGAAAAGATATTATTCAAACAAATTGATTTACAAATGGAAAAAGAATGGTTTGAGCGTAATAAGCGCAATGGTAGCAGCGTCCCGCGTCTTTTTGATATCTCAGAGCTACCAGAATATTATAGGAAGGAACCGCCAGCTAAAAAGAGTATGGTGGTGGATGGTGCTCGTTTCAAAAAGAAGATTTCGTACATTGACGAGAGTATGTCGGAATTTGAATGGTCAAAGGCTAATGGGTTGGTAGAGGATGATGGTACAACGGATTATGGTGATGATATGCCTAGAAAACGAGGACGTAGAAGAAAAAATTATCTTGCTGAAATCAGAGAAGATGGTGATGCTGAGGATAATCACCTTGGCGATGATGATGATGATGATGATAATGATGTGGACGACCTGGATGATGATGACGATGACCTTGATGACATTGATGTTGTTAGACGGAAAAGAAGACGGGTTGTAGAAGATGACGAGGACTTGGGGGCTGATGATAGTCCTCGAATGGGTGCAGCAAGAGGCAGAGGCCGTGGAAGAGGCCGTGGAAGGGGTAGAGGTAGAGGAAGAGGCCGTGGAAGAGGTCGTGGAAGGGGTCGTGGAGGTCGTGGTGCTTCCAGAGATCCGATGAGCGAACCTGAGGAATATGTGGAATTGACGGCTGAGCAACGTGGTAAATTACAATTCAATCTTAAAGCGATTCTTAAAGCTGTCAATGAATACCAAGAAGAGACCGGTTATGAAGAACAACCATTGCGTTACTTATCTGAGATTTTCAAGGAAAAACCATCAAAGAGATTGTATCCTGATTATTATGCGATTATCGAACAACCAATTTCTCTTAAAGAGATCAAGAAGAAAGTCACAGGTTTTGGGTACTTCAAGGTCGATCAGCTCATGAGGGATTTGAGGTTGATGTTTGCAAATGCCAAGAAGTATAACCAAGAAGGATCAATCGTTTACAATGATGCGATTAAGTTGCAACAGGTTTCCCAAGATGTGTGCTCTAAGCTTGAAGATTTACCCGAGCCAATTTTGAAGTCGGCTGCTGCTGCTGCTGCTGCTGCTGCTGCTGAAAGTACGAAGCAACAACAAGATACTACGGCCACTTCAGAACTTAGTGCATCAGTGACTCAACAACAACCACCGCCAAATATTGATACTGGTAAGTTGAGCAGTAATGATGCGATAATTTCATCAAATGATGCGTTAGTAGGGAGCAATATTATGCCTGGGTTCATGGATAGTAATCCAGATGAAGAGAATACGATTAAATTCCTGCTTGATGAGGAAAGCACTGGAGATGGAGATGGTTTTTGTTTATAAATTAGAATTGTATGGGCCAACCAACACTTTACTAGGGTTTACCGACGACGAGATATGTTAATGATAATGTATATTTAAAAAGAATTTCTTTAATTTTTCCCTTGTTTTTTTTTTTCTTTTTGTCTTTTTTCTTTTTTTTTTTTTTTCATTTCGGTTGACCTTTCAATCAATCATTTTTATTACTATTATTTTATTATTATTGCTTTACTATTTACTATTGTTAATATTTATTATTGTTACTATTCATTTATTATGAAATCCTTACAATGTAATCACCATCGAAAGACTGGACAGGGGAGGGTGTTATTTTATATATTCCAGTCAAGCAAGGATCGCACGCTACACATGGATATGGTGCTCTCCAATATCGAATAACCGTCATCAAGAAACCAGTTAAGCTTGAAGAAATTCCTCACCAGCTGATTTAGCTTGCACATTTTACTTACATCTGTAAGATATATATATACATATATAATTTCAGAGTCAGAGGACCTAAAGCAGATTGAATCCTGTATGTAAGGAGCTACGCCGCCGAAAATGGAAGTGTCACGCTCGAAGTTACAAAATTTTCTATAATCATTCGTTAAAATGACAAAGTTTAAGATAGATAGATAGTACCGTAGGCGGTTGGTGATAGATAGTTTACAAAAACATCACCACCACCCGAGCCCGAGAAATCATCAATGTTTTTTTTTTTTGAAAAATCTAGGCTAATACCAACTTAGCAAGATTGTTTTACATTTGATTATTAGCCTTTGAGAAATGAAATAAAAAAAAAAATAAAAAAAAAAAAGTTGAATTGAGGGGGAAAGCTTGGTGGCATATCCGTATCGTGCTTACTTACCAATAATATATGGTGGGAATTCCCATATGATCATTGCGGTTAAACAAACGATTTGTAGAATTTTTAAACAAAAAATGAATTTTGGCATCAAGCCCCACATAATGATCAAAGAAAAAATAATAGGCATCAAAAGCAGAAAAATGATCAAAGAAAAATAATAGGTATCAAAAGCAGAAATGAATTAAACTATAAAAACAAAAAAAAATACACGGAATCAAAATTCTATCAACAACATCAATGAAAAGCTTGATCCATCATCATCATCATCATTATCATCAATAATAATAATTCATCATTAATCATAATGATAACATGGTATGGATGGTAACATCGCAATCTCTGTCGATATCAATCAACTAACTATCCAACAATAGCCCCGATACACTTTCTAACAACTCCAGATTTATAGTTATTGACCCTCATCCACAACACAATAAACGCTATGGCACGATAGCACACCGCCATCACCGCCAATAACCCAAAATATAATTTATAATCCACTCCGAGCCCATATGTGTCGATCACATCTTGACCATTGTTGAAAATACAACCATCACCATTTCCCGAAGCCCCCGAGTCTGCAGTACAAGTGAATTTATCCTCATTTTGGAAAACAATATTACTGATTGCCATCACCCCATAATGCATAGGATTCACCCAGTTGATACCTTTAAAGAATGGCGGAAGTTGTAACGCAATAAGACCGGAGATAATCACCGAAATGCTGACAAATATAGAAATGATGTTGATGGCAAACCCGGTGTGTCGGAAAATTGTATTGAAGAAAATCCCCAAAGATTCACCACAAGAAATGAACATCCAACCAACGTAAACAAAACTGAAGAACACCAGGCAAGTGCGTGGTAAACCAATCGCAAACACCGTCAACACCGCAAAAACCACAGAGGCAATGAGTTCCAACCCTGTTTCGATAATGGAGTACAGTACAAAGAATGGAGTGATCCCGTACACTTTATCGGCATGCTCTTCATAAAAGAAGTCACGTTCGATAGGATATAGAGCCACGTTATTCAACATCCCCACAAAATACAATGCCGAAACTTGTTGGGTCAATCCAATGATGTTCACCACTGCGACATAGTCGTGTTTGAGAGGCGCGTAAAATAACGCCGAAAGAATCCCAGTACCGGCTGATTGAAGAACTTTAGCAATCAGCTCACCAATCGTTACATTAGAAAACTGACGACCGAACACTAATGGGAATGCCACCCTAAATGACGCAGGAACTTTCCGATACTTCCCAAACACTGCTTCTGAATCGTCAATATTCTTTATCAGCTTATCATTAAATTGGGGAGGCTTCCCCCCATTCCAACTGTTAACTAAACTATTCACTCTAGCTTTAGTCGATTTCTCTAATTCCGGGGCTTGGGTATTCACAGAAACCAAATCTAATACGAAATCAGCAAAATTTGTCAATTTAGGACATATGTGACCCAATTTTTCAAAATAACTAGCCATAGATGACGGTGGCCCGTTAAATACCACATTCCCCCCCTTTGACAAAAGTAATATCTGCCCAAACCTTTCAAAGATGCTATACCGTGGTTGATGGATTGTTAACACCACCGTCCTTTTTTCAACAGTGGCCAAGTTTTCCAAAATCGTAAGAATTGACAACGCTGTAAAACTATCAAGTCCCGAGGTTGGTTCATCCAAAAATATCACTTGGGGATCATTGAGCAATTGGATACCAATAGATACACGTCGCTTTTCACCACCAGAAATCCCTTTCACAAGCTCTGATCCAATCAAATTATCTTGGCATTCCTTTAACCCAAGTTTCATAATGACATCGGTGACCCTTGCGTCGATTTCTTTTTTAGTTAGAACTTTGGCAAGACGAAGTTTGGCAGCAAACGCCAATGTCTGACGAACGGTTAAAGAAGGCAATAAACTATCATCGTCTTGAAGAACATACGAACAAATTCCTGCAAGAAGGTCACTGGTGACAGGATACTCGTTGAACAAAATTTCCCCCTCTTGGGTATATTCGGTCACAAAATTGGATTTCAATTTACCACTGATAACGTTAAGTAGCGTAGTTTTCCCAGAGCCAGACGGTCCCATGATTGCGTTGATTTTGTGACGTTGGAAAGTGGCATGGACATGATGAAGGATTTCTTTGGCTTGAGGATCAAGATTGGAAGAGAACTTTTTACGACGCTTCAAAAATTTAAAATCTCCACTGATTACTCTTTTGAAGATCCCTTGGAAAGAAATATCAAACACTTTAACTTTGAGGGAAATATTGTTCAAGTAAATATCGATACCATCTAAAGCTGGTTTATTCTCTTTGAAACTGGATATTGATTTCGAATCGGTGGTTACTTCGACTTCGACCTCATCATTGCGAGTCATTGGTTTACTCTTTTTGGACTGTTTGGCAATTGCCACATCCACCCTTCTTGTCATTAACACCACCGCTGCCAACCCATGGAATATCCAAATGAACGCAAACATCACACATAATGGCAAAGTGATCCAATTTTCCCAGAACCCCAAGTTTTCAATGATGTTAGCTCCGGTGTATGTCACACATCTAGGGTCCAGAGGGTCATCATTATAAGGACAATCACCGAAAAACCCTGTGAATTGTGATGATACGGTGACCCCGTAACCGTACCACACATAGCACAAATACTTGATCCATCGAACATACACCGGCATGGTGGTTAGATTAACAAAGAAACCACAGCAATAAGTCTGGAAAGTGAAGTTGATGTTCCCGAGTAATGCGGCAATTGTGTAGTCTCTTGACAAAGATACTGCAAACACGGCGTACGCCATGGCGATTTGATGATTGAGTAAATTGATGGCCCAATAAATGAAGAATTCTTTGGCGGTGCTCTTGAATCCAATCATGAAATAAGTAAAAATCGTAAAAATCGTTGGTACTGCCACGTCCTGTGATATAAACCTCGATAACCGTCGAGATATGAGGAATCCGGGAACCGTAACGGAGTTTTCTGCCCGTTCACGATCGTACACCCGAATATCAGTGTAGCAAAGGCGGTATGTTTCAAAAATTAACATGAGGTACCCTTGTAGACCATTAACATTGTAAATGCACCCAGTCAATGACCTGATACCCGTCAAGGAGTTATCTGGACGGTAAAAAACCCATCCTAAAATGACCCCAACAAATGCGGCTTCACCCCAGAGAGCCAAAGAAGTCAAGGGATCTCTGGAAGTTAACACTAAATCTCTTTTGGTGAGGGTTATGATTTCTCTCCAAATGTTAGCCCTTGAATGTTTAAGAATTTCCAGAGAGTTGTATAAATTGCCGGAATTTTCAATGGCATTAGTTTTGTCAATGGTTTTCTCATTATTATTATCTTGATAAATTTCCAAGTTTTGTTCAAAATTCCTCCAATTTTCTTTGAGCATTTCTAAATTCTGCAAAGTTCTGGTTTCACTTTGTAAATCCCGGTTATCGACACTAGTGACATCAATCAAATAATCCGCGGGATTGACATTTGCTTCGACTTTATAACCCATTTTGCCAAAATAATCCAAGGCTGCATCAGTGCGGTGACAATACACTGGTGACCCACGGCTCAAAATGCATAAGTAATCAAATAGAAAGAACACATCTGATGGGGGTTGATGGATGCTTAGCACGATATTTCTGCCCTTTTTCGCCAAATTTTTCAACGTGTGGACCAACAAGATCGCTGAATGAGCGTCTAGTCCTGTTGTAGGTTCATCAAGAAACAAAAGACTCGGGTTCGATAAAAGTTGAATCGCGATACTAAGCCGACGCTTTTCACCTCCGGAAAGCCCTTTATGGAGATGATTACCCACCATGGTGTGCTTGCAATCCTTGAGCCCTAATTCATTGATGATCAGATCAATCAATTCTTCCTGTTTGGCTTCGCTAACCTTCAGTGACAATCTGAGAGTGGCGGCATACTTGAGGGTTTCATAGCAAGTGAGATTGGGGATTAAAATATCTTGCTGGATGACGTAGGCATGGTTGATGGAGTTGAGGTTTGATGAGCCGTTGTACAAAATTGTACCGGATTGGCAGAGTTTGGAATTATTGATCGACGATCTTTTGGCCAAAGTATTGAGCAACGTAGTTTTACCTGATCCTGATCCTCCCATTATGGCAAAGAGTTTCCCAGGGGGGATTTGAAAAGAGATATCATCAAGTAAACTCGACTTAATTGAAGACTCGGTATCTTGCTGCTGTTTCTTCTTGGTGCTCCCGATTTTCTTCAAAAGTGACGACCCATTTAGATGAATAGAAAGATGGTCTACCAGAATGGACACTGGCATAACATTATCGAAGGACAAATTGTCATAACCCTGGAATGGGAGACCAAGTTCTTGTGATTCATTATAGTCTTTTGGTGATGATGATAGAGGGTGATCCTCTATAGTGGTGCGATTCATACTTTATTCTTATTTTTTATTTTTTATTTTTTTATTTTTTATTTTTTTCAATTATTGATTTCAGAGCGTAGATGAATACATTTGTGAGAGAATCAGCTAGGAGAGCCTCTAGTTATAGCAATTTTTTCAGACGACAGGGAGGCAGTGAACAAGTATAACAATGTCGTAATAACCAACAGCCGCAACACATATAATTGAATTAATTATCTTGTCATCATCTCGAAGACAACAACGTGACGTCAATTGGGGACAGAATTACCGAACTTCTTTTTTTTTTCCTAAGGGAAAATCAAAGAAAAAAACTGCTCGTTTACAAAAGTTCCTGAAACAGCAGCGGTTTGAACGACGATGACGGCGTGTACACACAAATAAAACTCTTCTCATCAACAAGGATGGTCAGGTCAGTCAGGGATGGCAAAAGTACACAGAATAAGAACTGAATCTACAAGCACTTGACGATACGATGGTTTGTTGTATTAATTATTAATTGCAGCTATCAATGTTCTTGAGGTTGAAGAAACTTATCGACATTAACAGTTTGAAATGGGGAGTTCTTGTGATTACGAATTCCAAAAAAAAAAAAAGGAGCATCAAAGGGTGTGTGTCTTATATGAGAGTGGTTAACAACATAAACCAGACTGGCTTATATATATATATATATAAAGTGTTCTTTCCACCACCGCCAACAATAACAACAACAACTAATTTCGTTCTGACAGAACAGTCACGTGACTGAACCGCGCCAGTTTGTTTTTTGTTCCCTGTTAGAAATCCCCAGCCTCTGTGGGGGGAAACTCCTTGTACTAACAGCCAACAACAACACATTATATAATGGATAGAGGAACATACAATCTACTCAGCCAAAGGTTGGATTATTTGGAGCTAGTGGCAAACACAAAACACAAACTTGATGACGCCACCCCCTCGTATCTCGCGAGACTATCGAAGGTCAACAACGATCTCAATCAACTCATCATCTCCAACCATCCTTCGTTTCTAAGGATCATCGAACTATTCAAACAGTATGGTCTATGGGATAGTATAGTACTGGAGGACTCTCCAAATAATATCAATGACCCTGATCCGTCGTCAATTGAGGCCCGAAAGTTGATGTTGTTGGCGAATCATGAATATTTTGTATCCTTGATCACCAAAATCCAGAGTCTTATGAACCTCAACCCCCACGAAGTTATTCACAACCGCTTTCCGGTACAAGTCGTAGAGCATCAGCAATTGTTGGGAGAGTTGCAGCAGTTTTTGACAGCCGAACTTATTCCCAAGAGATTCAACCCGTTAATCATCAATTCCATAACGGTGATTGAACGATACGTTGAAATTATCAATGATTATAACTTGGAAATCGACCGCTTGAAAAACCAATTAATGGAATTCAATTTATCAATCACCAAGAAGAAGCTACAAAAGGAGCGAGAGGTTGGCGAAAACAGTTATTAATATTCTGTGGTTATTATTTATGTAACGATTGTTGCAATGATCAATTGCACCACCACAAGGGCACCCTTATTCTATCTAAAAAAAAATCCAATCTTTATAACAAAAGGAGGGCCCTAATCTTCTAAACTAAAGTTGATGCAGTAATAAGAGGGCCAGGTAGGGAATTCCTATTGTGATTAAAGCGCAGTTTCCAGGCAATCAATAGTAGTTATGTGGGGTCGGAATTTTTTTTGTTGGCCATTCATAATAATAATATAATATGAAATAACAAAAAAAATTATATAACAAATGTAATTAGCCAGTTATTTGATACCATTCATAACCTACTCAAACATGACAATATTCCTCTCGTGATACACCAAAAGAATAAGGCTGCGATGTCCACCTACTATCTATAGGCCCACTTGAAAAATGTGGCATCGAATATATCTATCCACCACATTTTCAGATATTTTATAGCCATCAGTGTCCACTTATATATCAACCCAATCGGAATCAATGTAAGTCGTGACTGCTCCATCCCAAAACTTCATCAACATGCACATCGACCTGGTTTCTGTTCCGTCGGTGCCTTGTCCATCATCCAACACCAAGATAAGCTTTGTCAACACCAAACACCAAAACTTCAAAAATTTTTTGATCTGAAACAACGTCTTGGGTGGTTTGAAAATAACCCTTTCTTGAGGTTTTGATATCTTCCATTGCTTCTCTTTCCCCGCGCTTTCGAGCTCCCATACAGAAAACAATGAACTATCAGAATCAAAATCCATCCTCATTCCATTGTAAAATTGGGCTTCTTGTAATTCAAAAGCCATTGGAGTGTTCCTGGTAAAAACCATTTGCAAACTCCACTCTGCCCAATGGGCCTTCATCATCCGAAATACGGCGTCCAATGAAGTCATTTCTTGTTTCCATTTTTGGAAAGCACTATATTCAATTGATATAGGATCATATGATATAATGAGCCGCTGGAGGTAGTGTTTGAATAGTGTAAGAGTGAGGGCTTGTACATCGTGAAAGATCTTGGCACAGAATCTTTCGGGAGATCCCAAATTAAGATATGGGTTAGCAGTTTTCTGGGGCGGTCTCTCAGAATTCACAATTTTTGATTGTGAAGGTATTATATTTTCAAAAAATGGCTTTTCCACAGAATCTGTTCTCCCAACTCTATACTGAGCCTCTTTGTATATCACATCACCGATAAACTGTGAATTAATCCCTTCAACAAAACTCACTGTCAACACATCCTCCATTAATGCCTTGACGCAAATATTACGGTCGTTGCTTAGCAAGATCACCAACCCTTTTTCCTTAACAGAATCGTGAAAATACATACAGCAATCAAAGATCGCATTGTCTTTTCGTAAAGACCGGTCGATTTTCTCATGACGGGTTTGACCCCTGATGGTACTGCTTCTTGCGGCGAATTGGTTGTAGAGCCAGGTATTGGCTCTCTGAGCAAGTGTACCAATCTTGATTTCCTCCCCTCGCGGACCACGACTGATTCGTTTTCCTTCTTTTAAACCGTCCAATTCTTGGATCACCATTTCTGGAACAATTAATTGATAATGGTATCTTACCGCCAAGAGGTTCAAGTTATTGACAATATTGAGGTTCGATATAAAGAAATTAGTGTCCACCACCAAGTATATCTGGAAATCAGGAATTATTGGTAACGGGCGCTGAGCAAGCCGGTCAAGTTCTATTGGTGATGGCTCGGTATTTTTTGTCGACTTGGTGGGCTTATCAGAATCATCATCATCATCATCATCATCGTTATCATCATAATTATCATCGGCGTATCGAGATTTCAAGAGCCCCTCTTTCGGTTTATGTTTATTCTGTGAGGATTCATTCCATTTGGCATCAATAGAATTGGCATATATAAGGTCGTTATTATGGTTTGTATATTCGACCAATTGTAAGGTTTGATTTATTTTCCGTGATTCATTGACGTAATTGGTGATATCTCTGGACTCTTCAGCAGATACCATATATAGATCGCCATCTTCATCTGGGATCGTGGTTAACGGATTTGGGGTTTGTGAACCACGGAATCTTTTTGTGTTTGGACTACCGTCAGGAGATGAAAGATGGAGATTTTGATGCTTTTCTGGGACTTCCTGTCTTTCAAAATCGTCCAATTCGTTCATTAAGTCGTCAAGAGTTTTATTTTTCTTTCCTCGCCCATTATGATGCCTACTATTTCGAAGGCCGCTAGGATTTCGTGACATCAGCAAGAATATCTCAACTTAAGGCTATTTATCTGGGTCACGGTTTTTGTCACTTTGAAATTGTTATCAGGAGAAGTGTAAAGAGAATAAGAGCCTAAATCAATAACAATATTAATGATGCTAATAATAATAATAATATATAATCAACTGTAATAAAGTAATAAGCAACAATATTATCTGATTGTCAACTTGAATTTATATATTTATATTTATATTTATATAATTCCTCTTATCAAAGATGATGAGTCTCTTGACGTATTTAGGATTTTCCCGCTCAATTTTTTTTTTTTTTTTTTTTTAGGTATATTGCACCATTTTTTGTCTACACCTGTTATTATTTATTTAGTACTATGTGTCGAAGATTGCAATGGCAACAAACAATAGCAATCATACCACCCCTAAGAACATCGTCACCGAGAATCCTGACTTCGGAATGGACCCAGTGACGATCCCTTCTTCGGTGGAAGCTCACAATATCTACGATTTATCAACCACCATTCTAAATAAACCACCGGGAGTACCACCCACTGCTATCACCAGCCGATTATCAGCCCTCTTGATCCTTAACCAGCCAATAACCCTTCCATTTGAAGCTTTCTCAGAGTTGTTTCGCTCTGCATCGCTTATTGTTTGTGCTGATGGGGGAGCCAATCAGCTACACGACTATTGTCTAGCTAATGAACAAATTAACAGCTATGTTCCAAACTTTATTGTTGGAGACTTGGATTCGCTAAAAGATGATGTGGAGAAAACGTATCAGAAACTTGGGGTGCTTGTGAAAAAACAAGGATCACAATATGCTACTGATTTCCAAAAAGGATTGGCGATGGTGGACTTGTACTTCAAGTTGGGAAAAGAACTAGGCGAGGAGGGGTTTGGCAAGTTTATATTGGATGATGAGATAGGATTGGTCAATATCAACAAGACAGTTAGATCTACTGGTAATCATCATCATGATATCATGGTCAATTGTCTTGGGGCTCTTGGAGGCCGGTTCGATCACACTATCCAACTGATGAACCAGTTACACAAATCATTTTCTGAGTCTCCTAATTTGCAGCTCTATTACATTGGGGACCAAGATATAGTATTTTATTTACCCCCGGGAGAGAATTATATCAAGGTGCCATGTCAAATGAAGGAAGAATGGGCCAAGGATTACAGCTCTAATGGGGGAAAATGGAAGGGAAACACCTGTGGGATTCTCCCGATATTCGAGAAAGTGATATTGACTACCAAGGGACTTAAATGGGATGTTGAAGAATGGGAAAGCGGGATGGGAGGTAACATTAGCAGTAGTAATCGGTTGTTGAATGGTAGTGCATCAATTAATGATGGCGATGATTGGGTTGTTTATGTCAAGAGTAATGGGGCTTTACTAATTAATATAGAGTGGTGATATGTATATTATGGTAACAATAATAATATAATATAAATTTAATGTTAATTTTTCGCTGATACTATAAGGTCGCTGGCGTGATCAGACTGTTACTTGTTGGATGCTTGGGATCATGTAAAGTATTTATTATGGGTTGATTAAATGTTTTTTTTTTTTTGGTTTCTCAGCGGATTTATCTGAGTCTACTTTTCATCATCATTCAAAGTAAGAATTGGAAAGTCATCAAAAGGTTCTTCAACCATAGTTGTTCCATCTTCCTCAATATACTCTTCCTCTGCCATGTATTCATAGTCATAGTCATTAGCACTGATTTCTTCCTCTGCCATACCATACTGTCATCATCAAAGCCATATTCCATGATAGGCTCCCCGTCATAGAGTTTTGCACTGTCATCCAATCATTGTACTCAAGTCAAAAGAGATCCAAGGTAGCTTTTTCGTTCAATATATGTCTAGTTGGGGGGGGGGGGACCCTTCGTTGGTTATATTCTGAATGCCATCTTTCAAAGCAGCTCTTGGACTTTGGCAAGGGTTTAGGTTGCATGCATGTCTTCCAAAATGGTGGTTCGGCTTTAATTTTGTTTAAAATGGCACTGAATACCATAGGACAGATATTACATTACAATAGAACCATTTGGTTAGAACAGATTTCAATTCGCTTACAATTCTAGAAGTATGAAATTTCATAATAGAATACAGCACAAAAAGAATTTATCGAATAATAATAAGAAGATGACAAACTGAAGAATAATGGAGAAAAAAAAAAAAAAAGAAAAGAAACATACAATAACATAAGTCTATAAAAAAAAAAAAAAAGAGCAACAATAATTAATTGATTGAATAATGAAACCCTCTTAAAATCACCAGGGAGTTTGCTGATTACTTTACTTCCGGCAGGGGCACACAGCAGCGAATGTTTATTGTTGAGATTGTGGGTATCCAACAATAAACATAATCTAAAAAGTGTGGTGTAATGAAATATAATCTAATGAAATAAAGAACTATATCCAATGTCCTCACCTGAGCAGGAGAAGTACTGTCTTAAACTTATCATATCCATCAGAGGACACTCGAAGAACTCCATATCATTCTTTATTTCATAATCTTCTTCCTTGAGGCTGATAGTGGCAAAGGTTTGATTCCCTTTACTCTGGCTGTCCAGATGTTTGGCTTTGATTACTACTATATACTCCAGGGTCTCCCCACTTTGTGAATCTCGGAAACCAGCAACAAACATGAGCAATTCATTCTGGTAGGAGATTAGCGGGAAATCGACAATACTGGAGACGCTACTGGATGTTACTTTGTGGTGAAAGTGGTTCATTGTATGATATATTTTACCGTTCTTTGGTAACTCTTGTGGCAAACTTTCCAATAACAGGAAGTCTTTCCACTCATTTTCAAAGCTCTCTTCAGACCATTCTAAGCTATGGTACATTGATTCCTCATTTCTTTTGAGAGTCAACATACCAAAGTCATTGGCTATGCTTTTGACTCCATAACGAGACTTCTTGTCAAGCTTTTTACTAATGGCATTATCCATCTCAAGCCCGTTGGTGCAAAATTGGGATAACGGTCCGTGGATTTTGAACATCTCCCACAAATGATCATCCAAATAGTGAGCAGGGAGACTCCACGGAGATTTCAGAAGTCCTTGAGCTTCATCAAGCACTTTCATTCTAGCAACAAAATTCTGGATTTTATTATTCAATCCATCATAGTTTCCTGTTGGATCTTTCCAGCTAAAAAAAGCAGCCTCACATAAAAGTATGAATGATTCAATGGCACCTTGGAACGTTATTATGTCTGGTGGTAAACTATGCCCAATATTAGCACAGCGCTTGAAGATTGGAAGAATGAAACTTATTTTGTTCTTCAATTCAGTGGTGCTGAAGGATTTATCCAATCTTGATATGCTGGCCCAACTTTTTTTGTTATTATAACTTGGAGAATTGAACTTGATTTCACCTTCCCATGAGATATCTTTCACTTTCATCATCATCTTCTACAAGATTCCGCGAGATTCCAGAAGACCCCAGAACAATACAGTAATAATGCTACGATTTCTAGACGACTCAATACCACTGCAATTATATCATTCATTATCTTACCGATTAATATAACCATCTCATTCCTAAGTGATTAAGATGAGATCACACTTATATTACATCTAGCATATATGTTCAAAACTAAACTTGACGCATGATTGTACCGTGTATTACTAACCGTAAAAAAAGAAGAGATAAGAATGGGGTCAAAGTAGAAGTAAATAAAGACATACTAAATACAGCAAAATTATTTATGCCCAATATATGCCAGCATATCTGCAAAGACTTACAGCAAGCTTCGTTACTAATAATAATGTAATTTTCTTTTTTTTTTATTTAATAATAACTAGTATGTGACTGAAGCCTCTTCATGAATAATGGAAAAAAGAACCAACCAACCATCTTACCTGCTACCAAGGAATACCTAACTGTGCGTATGTACATCCCTAGAGTTCTTTTACTATACTGTTATAGTTTAATGAGGCTTGGTTGACTGTTCAGAACTCACATTGACAAACGGTATATATGAGGGGAGGGGAAAAAAAAATAAAAAAATATCAAAGTTCTGAAGATAAGGCGGTCTTAAAACTGAATGGCTGGTATGCATAACCTTCACCTTCGAAGAATTTACTCATACTTTCAACCCAATGTAAACGTAAAGAGTGCAACATTGCTGACGTACCTTCCATAGCCACGAGGACAGCACACGTTAAAACAAACCACATTGTGAACAAGATAACTGTCATTACAACTCCAAAGATACCAGTCATTCCAAATGAGTTCGCAAGGGTCATACTCCACAAAACTTGGGATAATTGGGCGTGGGCAAGAGAAAGAGCCCAAAGACGAAGATAAGATGCAGTGTGCGACACACAATTGAGACAGAATTCAATAGTGTGAATAACTTGGTGAATCATGATATCTCCAAATTCTTCGGAATGACCACCTGCTTCTTCATCATCGTCGTCATTTTCAATGTGGACGGCATGTCCGTTTTCTACGACATCAGTGGTGAGCGCCTCATAAGCAGCTTTCTTGTCAATTTGACGTTTCAAATACAATGGCTTGAGGAAAAGCAAACATGGGACACAAATCAATGCAATGATCAAAAAGAAAACTTGAAGTGGAGCCTGTCCACTGTAGAGTTCCTCGTCAACTGTACCTGGTGACAAAAACATAGAGATCAAGGTATTTAGTAAACTTGGAGCCGGTTTTTCAATGGCAATCCAATCGACACACCACTTGTAGATAATAAGCACGGATAAATAACCAAAGATAGAATTCATGAAAAGGAAACCTGGGATAAAGTTACCGAAAATATCAATGATCAGATCAAAGTGAACGAAGTTGACAAGGGAGAACATATAAGAATACAACATGTGGAGGTAACCCATCACAATTGATAATTTCATCTTATATGAGTTGAGGAATAACAAACCATTTTCAGTGCCGTGCCAGATTGGATCAATACCAATTGGATAAACCCCTATTTGCCTAGCCTCAATTAGGTCGCCCTTCTTGAAATTCTCAGGCCATTTCCAGCCAGACTTGAACCACGTCATGGAAAGGGAGAAAATATCATTGTAAAGGAAACCAGTGTATAAGGAGCAGACGCCCATAAGCAACACAATGTAACGGCCAGAATAGGCCATGTCAAGAATATCCCCACGTTTCATTTCTGACAATGACTTCTGGTTAAGCACAATAGCAAGTCCAATGAGGGTTAAAATGAACCCGTGGCCCAAATCACCAAACATAATCGCAAACATAAATGGGAAAGTCACAATAGTAGGCAAACCTGGATTCACTTCGCGATAGGTTGGAACACCATAGGCATCACAAATTGCCTGGAATCCTGAAGTGAATTGATTGAGACGGTGATAAGTTGGTGGTTGCTTGGTAGTTGAAAGAATATTGATAATAGTGGTAATTTCAGAGTCGCCTTCCGCAGACCGAGAAGCTGCACCTGAGGATCCCAAAGAGCTAGTGCTATCATCTTCATCTTCATAATCTTGGTAAGCACCATTGGATGAAGGTGAATTAACTTGGAACAAATGATGGCGCAATGCTGGTAGATCCGCAGTTGGGGCCCAACCTTCAGCCACGAGGATTTTACGGCTTCTGTCATAATTGAATAAGTTGAGGGATTGATAAATACTTTTTTCCTTCATAATAATTGTATTCCACGACAATAATTCTTGACTGAGGGCTGTAAGCTCAGCTTGAAGTGTAAGATTTGTCGTGTCAAGGACAGCATCAATATCAGCAAGTTGGGAGTTGATGGAAACCATGGCCTCAGATCTAGCAGGCTCCGCGTATTCAAGGTCATACAAGTCGGCATCGAGTGATTCAGCAATCTTTCTAATTTTATTTAAAAGAATTGCACCATGAGAGAGCACAATGAAAGTTGACTTGCGGACTGAGGTTTTGGATTCTGGCTCATAAATAGGCTCAATAATTTCGTGAGTTTTGAAAAGCAAATTCCCACGAAGGGTACGCCACAAAATACGTTCGAGAATGACGATTTTCTCTTGGGGAATAATCCCAGCAACAAATTCAACATTTAACTGGTCACCGGAATTAGAATCGTCAGCAAAAAATTCTTCAGCAGTGGCCAACATGTAACGTTGTTGGACAAGAGTCTTCTTCCTGAGTTCCAAAGTTTTCAAACTTTCAATGAGTTGGGTTATTCTTTGTTCAAGAATTTTGGCATTTTCCACATAGTCATCGACGTCAGAAGTTTTTGGAATATTATCCATACCAGTGTTTCTGAATGGGTTTTCTATCAATGGGATATCATAATCGTCTAATTGGGTTCTGAAGAAACGGTACTGACGCTCTATTTCGTCTAATCTTCTAATTTCCTTCACAAATGAACGTTGGAAAGAGTTGACTTTCTTGTTAAGGTCTCTAAACTGAACAAGTCCAAGGGAGCCAAGAGTGTACATGGTTTCACGAGCTGTCTCAAGAGGTATGAACAACTGGATAAGCGACATTTCCGCAGAACGAAAAATGGCCTCCTCCTCCTGTCCACCAAGAGCTATTTGAGTAGACTCCATAGCTGATAGCGGTTGTGTTGATGTGCGAAAGAAACCACTTAGATTATATCTAGAGATAAGACACTTCATAACAAACAACCAGCGGTGCCAGCAATAAAAAAAAAAAAAATTAGGGAAAATGATATTACCGGTTACCCGGTGATTTCATATCTGGGTTTATTCCGGAAATGAACTAACAAGGTAAGGAAACCGTGGGTTGCCTTCAATATATAATCGAGTGAATAGAGGATTGCTTTTCATCATTCCTTGACCCAGATGGAGCGGCAAGATTATTAAAAGGTCTATTGCCTTACAATAAAATACTGACAAGTGCTCTGCGCTGTGTTGTTCACCCAATGCGCGGCAATTGTTTTCAAATGTCGTAAGGTCTGGCCTCAACATCAGGGAAAGACCGTTTGTATATAACAAGTGAATTTCAAATACATGAAGTATAGAATATTGGCAGAATATATCACCAAAAAATTATAGTAAGAATAGTGCCCAAAGGGGCTTGGGTGTAAACGCACCATGATACGCTTCACGCATTGATAGTGGTGTGTTACTGTTATTTGTATTATTGTCTAGATAGATTCTTATGATACAGAGATACATTGAAAAGTTTATTAGAATCGTAGAGATCATCAGCCAAAGTGTTGACCAATCAGCCATTTAATAAACAGATATAACTCTACTTACTGTCTATCAAAAGACCTTGGATAGTCTGCAAACAGAGAGCATTGATAATTATTGAGCAATTCCTTACTGTCCGAGGAACGAGAAGATAACCTTAATCTTTGAGTAGATACCCAATTTTTTTTGTTTTTTTTTTTTTCAACAATATCATACTTAGCTAGTGACATTGGTCAGGCAGGTGAGGTCTCTCGTGCTTCTTGTCAAGTCGCGTCGTCAGCACTTGTTGTTGGCGTTCTGTAATAAAGATTGATCGGCTACGCATAAATACTGTATAAAGGGTATTGAGTGGCCACATGTCAACAGTTTACAAACAATATACAAAATGGCCATTCGATAATCATAAAGTCCGGTGTTTCCTCGTCGCCACACATGTCTGGACATCGGAGCCAACATGGATGGATGGCATAATAAATAAAACACAAAAAATACATCCGGGTGGCAAAGGCAAAAAGGCAAAAAACGTGACCCCAAATTGGAATCCTCCAGAAATTTTTTCTTTTCTTCTATTTAATTGGAATAACTCCTTGTTGTTTGTTGATCACCAAATAGGAAGATCCACCAAGTGATAACCAAATAACAATAACAACAACAATAATAATAATAGAAAATGCCTAGATCATCCGGTAGAAGACCAGCCGTTGCTGCCAGACCAGCCGCTAAATCCCCATCCACTACATCTTCCAGACAAGCTTCCACTGCTGCTTATCCTCAACAACACGCCCAGCAAGCTCCTCCTCCAGCCGCCACCGCCGCTCCAGCTCAAACCCAACAACAACCAGGTATGTTTGCCCAAATGGCCACTACTGCTGCTGGTGTTGCCGTCGGTTCCGCCGTTGGTCACACCATTGGTGCTGGGATCACCTCAATGTTTGGTGGCTCCTCTTCTTCTGCTCCTGCCCCAGTTGATCAAGCCCAAGCTGCCCCAGCTCAACAAGAACAAGCTAAGGCTTGTGACATGGACGCCAGAAACTTCACTAGATGTTTGGACGACAACAGCGGTAACATGCAAATCTGTGACTGGTACTTGCAACAATTGAAGTCTTGTCAAGAAGCTGCTCGTCAATACTAAACCATGATATAACTAATTTGAACATATTCCAATTGCAAAAAGAATGAAAAAATCTAAAACAATTAAAAAAAGACGAATGAAAAAAACAAAAAATTCAAAAAGTCGTGTATGAATAATCGATATATTTTTGGTCTTGTACATAAGTTTAATCATGAATGAGAAAGTTAATGATAAAGTTACATATTTTGAAAGCTTCGTAAGTGAATTGGCGATGCTGAGCTACGGTGTAAATAGTATCAATATATACCATATTGATATATAATACTAATAATATACAAGAGATGTTCCCATCCAATGGAATTAATTATAACCGCACCGCAGTGAATTTTTTACCGAAGAACAAAAATTTGGAGAATCAACAATAACTCACACCTTTTTACTCTCAACCTGGATGATAACTTCCTCTGTATCACTCTTTTTTTTTTAAGTTCTTCAGACTAATCTTTTGGGCATCCACTCCCATCTAAACTCATTTTTGTCATTCCCTTCAGTTCACTTTTTTTAATTATTCTTCTTTTTTTTTTTTTTTTTCACATAAAATTCTAGAAGAAACAGAAATCCAGCTTCATATATATAATGGATCCATATCTTGTCTCATTAATAGTACGTTGCTCTACGATAACTTTCCAATATTCACTTCATCATCTTACTAATCTTTCTACTCTAGAGTGGTGGTTGTGCTGGTACTGCCACAGATTTGGCATTCTTCCCAATAGACACCATAAAAACTCGTCTTCAGGCGAAAGGTGGTTTCTTCACCAACGGGGGATGGAAAGGGATTTATCGAGGTCTTGGAAGTGCCATTGTCGCCTCAGCACCATCAGCGTCGTTATTTTTCATCACTTATGACGGGCTCAAACGTAACTTGAATCCAATAATCTCTGAACATACCAACGGTAATGAGGGTCTTGCCAACATTTTGACCCATCTGATTGCTGCGTCTGCTGGGGAAGTTGCTGCTTGTTCCGTCCGTGTACCAGCAGAAGTCATTAAACAGCGCACCCAGGCATCACATTTCTCATCATCCTGGCACTCGCTAAAACATATTATCACCAACCAATCGGGTGAAGGGGTCTTCAAAGGTTTGTACCGTGGCTGGGGGGTTACAATCTTCAGAGAAATCCCATTCACAGTGATCCAATTCCCGCTATATGAGTACATGAAGCTTCGCTGGGCAAGAAGCGAGAATAAGCAAAGGTTGAGCTCATGGCAGAGCTCGATTTGTGGGTCGATTGCCGGTGGGTTTGCTGCGGCGGTCACCACCCCATTGGATGTCATCAAGACAAGAATTATGTTACACGAATCTAAAGTTAGTGTGATGGAAATCACCAAGAGCGTCATCCAAGATGATGGGATCAAAGGTTTCTTTAGAGGCATTGGTCCTAGAACCATGTGGATTAGTGCAGGAGGAGCGATTTTCTTGGGAGTTTACGAGCTTGTGAGCGGGAATTTGAATGGCCAATCTGCAAATAAATTGGAGTGATATATACCTCTTAGATTATTAGTTAAATTGCAAATATTGATAGAATGACTATTTCCTATTTAATGAATTGTAAAAGTTTTTTGTTTTTTTTTCTTGTTTTTGAAGACAACATATTTTTTTTTCTAATAAATATGACTGGAAAGAGTTTTTCCAACGTATACCAAGATGATGTGTGCCCAGTGAAATCACCGTAGTGCCAAATGTTATGGGATGATAACATCGAGAATGTCCATTGCAACGTTGCCTGTCAGCAGATACCCTAGCCACTCACACCACAGGTATTTCGGCAATATGTATGTATGTATGTAAAGCTGTCGCCATATATAAAGAGATGTTGATCCGAGAACGGTGTAATTGATAAGCGATTGGTAATCGGGGTATGTGCCTAATCGCACCTCACCTCACGGAAGAACGCATGGCAATTTCCCGGTGACCAACACTTCTCGTTCACTTGATTATCTCTAGAGATCCCACGATGTTATCTCTTGTGTTATCTTTCTTTCTTTGTTTTTAAGATGCTGGAGGACGCAATATTGGCGAAGGTTGACAGAATACACCACGCTCAGAAGAAATATAACATCTTCATCTCCACCAGGCCCGTCAATGATTTGCGTAACCAGATTCTCTCCAACATTGATGATGATAGACCGTTGACTGGTACGCTTTGCGCTATCAAGGACAACATTGTCACCAAAAATGAAGCCACCACTTGCGCGTCAGCGATTCTCAAAGATTATCAGGCTTCTTTCAACGCAACAGTGGTAGAATTATTAGAAAATAACGGGTCAGTAATCATTGGTAAAGCCAATTTGGATGAGTTTGGCATGGGAGCCAATAACACCCACTCTTTCACGGGTCAGACCTTGAATCCCATGTATGATGATGAAAAGTCCAGTGAAACTTTGTTAGATAAGCACAAGTATGTTCCTGGCGGGTCTTCTGGTGGGTCAGCAGCAGCGGTAAGTGCCGAATTGTGTGATTTTGCCTTGGGTAGCGATACCGGGGGATCAGTCCGGTTACCAGCAGCTTATTGTGGAGTTTATGGGTTCAAACCGTCGTACGGTAGGATATCTAGATACGGAGTACTTCCTTATGCTGATTCATTGGATACTGTGGGTATTTTGGCGAGAAGTTTGAGAGTCACCAGGAAAGTCTACGATGTGTTGAACCAGAGCGATGTAAAAGATCCAAGCTCTATCTGTGATGAAGTGAGGTCGAAAATAAGTAAGACTGTTACAAGGCTTGCCAGAGTTGAGGATACAGAAAAAATAACTATCGGGATTTCCAAAGATTACTTAGCCAAAGGAGTCACTCCAGACATCCTTGTGACATTAGAATTAATTGCCTCCAAGTTGTTTGAATCAGGGTACACTATTGTCCCGGTAGATATCCCAAGTCTACCAATATCGATCCCTGCCTATTTTGCCACTGCCTATTCTGAAGCAGCCTCCAATTTATCTAGGTACGAGGGGGTAGAACGCGGGTATTCTAATATTGCCACCGATGGTTCGGAAGATTATAAATCATTCATTTCCAAAAATAAGCTCCAAGGGTTTGGCAATGAAGTCCAGAAAAGATTATTAATTGGAAATTACAATTTGAGCTCCGAAAAGTTCCGAGACAATTCTCGGAAGGCCCAAGCTATTAGAGACCGACTCCGAAATGAATTCAATTCAATCTTTAAAATGCCCAATGCTTTAACAGTCACGGATTTTGAAAATGCTGAGATCGACGCTATGTCTGTGGATTTCATCATTGCCCCGATTTCCACCACTAAAGCTCCAAAGTTGGAAGATCTTAATAATAAAAGGAACGTCGACCCTATAAGTGCCTATGTCAACGATGCTTTTTTGATCCCATCTTCTTTGACTGGATTGCCTTCGATTTCTGTTCCATGGCATAGTAGTGGCAGTGAATACCCTACAGGATTGCAAATCATTGGGCAATATGGAGACGATCAAAGGGTTTTGGATTTCGCCGAGAAAGTTGGAGAATTGAATACATTCTGATTATTCAGCTTTTTTTTTTTTTTTTCATGATTATTATTCTTATTCATTTTATAGTATAGACCCTGAGCTATAGAGACATAAATACACTTCATTGAGTTTTACAATAAAGGGGAGATAAATCATGAACTTGTAATATTGAGGCCCCCGACAGGGTGACCTGCATCACGATAAAATGTAAAAAAAAAACAACATGTAAACAATAGCTGTAGCCATAGTTTTTTTATCACCATATCGATAAACTAAGGACATATCCCCTTATATTTTAACGACTCGCGTAGTCACTAGACCCAAAAGATGTCTGACGTCTTCTATGATGAGTACTTGAAGATATACAAAGCCCTGCAGATCCCCATCCTTCATCCGGAATCTTTTCAACGTCAACACGCGACACGCAAAAACAGAACGCCAAACTATTATTCCCAGCTTAAGACCATCATCTCACGAATCGCCTGGGATATCTACAAAGAGTCTCTTTACAGCGGTACTAATGGAATTTCTAAAGTATCGGGTGTCTTGATAACCAAAGCGTTACAGTCGAAAGCGATAGGGCCACCACGAAGAAGCATCTCCAACGAAAAAGCCCTAACACCACGGTATATTAAGTCCCATACCCTGATACTATTTAAACAAGAGACTTTACTTGACAAGCAACAGAACAGTTACGTTTTAAGCTACATATTAGTGAAATTTCCTAGAGAACTCAACTTGAAACGGCAAATCATTGTTTTTGCCCAGTCGACAGACAATAGTGATCGGAAACCCTTTGATACCTTGATTCTTCTTCGAACTTCAGTACCGAAACTCACCCATACTTTCCTAAAATGGTGTGAGCTCAAGCTTGGTGCTAGTGTGATGTTGCAACCATGGCTACCGACCCAGGAATTTCTATTGAGAACCGTGGATTTGGTGTTCAATCATCATTTTTCAAGCAATATTGCTGGATCATCTCTTGAAGATGCATTACAACGACTACAAAGGTTTGGCGATTTGGTGATAGAGTTCAATATATTAACGAAATTGAATGCATTAAGTAGCACGAAGATCCACGTCGCTAATGAGGATCTAAAACAATATGTGCATCTGATTATCAAGAGGAAGCAAAATAAGCAGAATGATGATGGTGGTGATGGTGGTGATGATGATGATACTGATGTTTTTGGGTTTATTGATATAACGGATATATTATTTTCGCATTTCTATGCTTCAACAACAATTGATTTCCGCTCCTTGAGGATATCTAAACTCAGGATCAGTAACAACCTTATCTTTTCCATGGACAGCGCTGGAGCAAAAATACAATTTTATAGTGGGGGTTTGGATATTTCCAGATCAAGCAGTCATAGCAAAACCAGCAAATTTCCATTGAATATTAGCGATTATATTTTCGAAATCTATAAAACACTTTAGCTAACGATTTCGCGGGCTAATTTTGATTTTTGAAGATCATCTCCTCTCTAGTTATTGTGTAACATGATGATTGACTATATTCTCGTCAGATCTAATGTGATTATGAAAGATTCAGAATGTGAGTCCCATTGAAAAAAATTAAACCACCCCATTTTATCAGGCTTCAATATCGTTTGATATCTAACAATCTGCACCAAATGATATTCCATCATTAGGAAGACAAGGAGCTTTGCTTTTTTTTGTGTTACTATTATTATTATTATTTTAGTGCACTATGCTTCTATACCTAGCTATAAGGGGTTATCTTCCATCATTACAAACCACCAAACATAATTTGAAAATTCAAGCCAAAACAAGGGATGCATTAGACCATTGGGATTTTCAAGGACGGAAGAAAGGTGTTCTAGATGGGGGAGATCAGGGCAAAACCACTTTTGGCAGATTCTGCGGAAGGATCAGGACACGCTTCTTTGAACAGGTCATGATAGGAATCCAAGACTATAGTTATCGAAGATCGCACAGTATCTTGTGGATGGGGATGGAAAATTACTGGAGAAGCATCAATCGCAACCATGGTTATTTTTTCGGTCTAATATTTTCTTGAATCTTCGCTTCTATTTAGGTTGGTGCTCATAAAATCCCAAGAGGAATGAAATTGTCAATTTATTTCTTGAAGATTTGGGAAACAGAATATGGATGGGTATGGGCTCTCCCTCCCTGTTGCATCGTTGTCACCACATGGATACGCGTAATTACATAATTTCGCCTCCAGGGCAAAAGAAAACATAAAAGCAAAAAGGGAATCAGGAATTTGGCTTCTCTAAATATAATGGAAATTGGACAAATGAATTAATCCTTATGGACCATGTGGTCCTGGTGGTTGGTGGTGATGGAACAAATCTCTTTGTTCAACATCTGTCGATTGGAATATCTATTGGAGCAGCGACTGCAGCAGAGGCAAAAAAAAAAAAAAAGTATGGAGGAAATAATGGTGACTGGAAACTTCATATCCTAATATATTCTGCTTTGCAACTGGAGTATAACGAAGAAAAGAGTGATGAATGTCATTGAAATTTTTGATTCTTCATTGGCCTTTATATAGAGGGTTCTTTTCATCGCATTAACCATTATAACCATTGAATATTTGTGTGTAGTGACAAAGGCCTCAAAATCCAAAAAGACTTTTCTCTTGTAATCTAAGTGATCTGATAAATGGAGAGCTAAATTTTGACACACGTTCTTGATACCAAAATAAATCTGGATGAGGAATTCCTCATTTTCCAAATATGTTCCATCTTTAACCTCGTTGCTTTCTTTCGCACTATACAATTGATCAATTATACATATAATAGGGGTATGTGCATCTATTGTAATATTACATATATGTGAAATGACCTCTTACTAAAAGTTGAGTCGACCAGATTTGGTTTCCCCAGAGCATTGGAGATTTTCCGAAAGCTCCTACGTGGCGAAGCCGTGAATTCTGATGTACTAAGGCGGCGTTTGTTACTCGAGGAAGCATGACACGCTGTTTCTAATCTATCTAGTCCATTAGTTAATATAATAAGTAAGTGTTTGAGAAATATGGAAGCTTCCCTATTATATTGTCGCGGGAGTTCTCAAGAGCATCCGGACTGTTTTTTTTTTTTTTTTTTCACTGCTCATTTATGTTTCGTAGATATGCAGAGCAAAAGACGTAATATATGAGAGCAAAAAGACGTATATGATACAGACAACCAAAATTGAAGGGGAGGGAATATCCCCCTCTCCTCTCCTCCCCCACACGGTAATGATGATAATAATCTTTAGTGTTAATAATAATAATCATGTATGCTGGCGGGAGGGCCCCCAGGCTTTCTGATTACGTAATTGATTATATGTATATACTACGCGCACTCGCACTGGCGTAAACAAATCGGTGGTGAAATCAAACAACATCTTCATATACTATTCTACCGTAAGTGAGATCCAACGACACCAACACTCTAGCATGTCTGATTTCTGGAGTGAAAACAAAGGTACTTTCAAGAAGGTTGGTATTGCAACCATCAAAGGGACAGCTAAGGGCACGGTATTCTTGACAAAGACCGGTTACAAAGCGGTGCAGAATGCTAGAGGCAAAGAAGGTGTGAACCAAGAGAACAATAAAAAGGAAGGCGAGGATGAGGCCACAGAGGGATCAAATGCTTCCTCTACCTCTTACGGTTATAGGCCACCACCAACCAGAAGTTACACTACACCAACATCGTTTGCCTCGCCTCCTACCCATCACTCAATCTCGGGGGGTTCTGTCACGAATCAACCTCAGGCTCAACAACCAACTTATGCTTCCTCTGTAGCATATCAGGCAACTCCAATACAAACAACTATATCATCGCAAGCTGCACCAATTTCTCAAGGCTCAGTTACTCAGCCTGGTTATCATCATTATCAGCAACAACAACAACAACAACACTATAATTTCGAGGCTTCCAGCGATGAAGTCACCAGGCCTACCAATTTATTGGCACAATTCAGATCATCGACTAGTCTGGTGCCGAAAATCAATAGCTTTTCAAGCGTTTCTCCACTGTCTCAACCACAATCTATTTCAAACACGGTCAGTGATTTCGGGTACCAAAGAGCTGCAGTGCCTTTGCCTCCTTCTCAATCTCAACCGGTTGCCATACCGGTCGCAGCCATTCCCCCACCTACTATGAAGAAGATTGACATCTCTGCATTGCCTCCTCCTCCAATACACAAAGATAGGGGCAAAAAAATTGACGTTGCACCAGAACCAAAAAATGCTACTTTGAATACCATTCAACAACAACCTGCCAGACCAACAGCACCACTCTCAACGGATACAAACCCTCCGAGCCCTGTGGTTCTCGAGGATCGTGCTTCACTACAAGCCAGGGAAACGACGGGAAGCGGTACTAACTTGCAAGCTACTACCAAGCCTCCTCCATCATTGCCTTCTCGTGTAATCCCCCCTCCTCCAGTATCAAGAGGCACTTCTTCTTCTTTTTCTTCTTTTTCTTCCTCAAATAATGCTTCCAAGGAAACCTCCCCTGTCCCACCAGCTTTAAAAAGACCAGTGGTTGATAATACCAAGGAGATCTTTGCGCCACCTCCAAGACCTCATGGTACCAAAAGCTCTGTGGCCAAAAGTCCAGAACCAAATATGCCTGTTACATCAACTACCGGCCCATCTTTGAGATTGCCTCCTTCTAGACCGACACCTCAAACCCCTGGAAACTCATCAACACCAACACCCGAACCTCAAAACTCGAGGAAAATGACGAGCCCTATTGCCTCCACCGAATCACTAAAGAAGTTTGCACCACCTCCTAGACCTTATAACTCCACTGCGCCTGTGGCGAAAAGTCAGAACGTGTTTGAAAAAGTTCGGCAGCAAAGGGAACAAGATGAAAAAGAACGTTTGAATAAATTGAAGAAAGCGGAGGAATATAACGAGTATTTGACAAATAAGCTTTATTCCGGAGAGAATCAGGCACAGGAAAGTGAAGAGGAGAAGGAATCTGAAAAGCGAGAAGTTCCTACACCTCCTCCCGTGGTACCTAAAACAGCGTTTCCGCCGCCACCTGTCAGAGCTTCTACTCTTAAAGACGGTGGTATAGAGGGCTGTGTAAAGCTCAAAGATCCAGAAGGAGTGCAGGAAAAGGAGAATAAACCATTTGAGTTCCATCGTAGAAGAACTTTTAAGAAAGTTGAAGAGGTTGTTGTGGATCCTATTCCGGTGTCAATTTCTGAAAGTAATAATGTATCAAATGAAATCCAGGCTGACGAGGAACTAAATGAAACCATAATTAAAAAACCTTTATCGAAACCAAAACCAAAACCAAAACCAAAACCAAAACCAATACCAATACCAAAGCCTAAGCCAAAACCTAATGCTACAATCTCAACATCTGGAGGCCAAAAGAAACCACCAGTACCAAGACCAAGAAATTTGGTAGCAGAAATTGAAACTAAGCCTAAGGTTGATGCACCAAGTGCTCCTAAGCCAAAGCCAGCAGTACCAGCCCCTAGGCGTAAACCGAAAGTCCCTGAAGTTCCTCCAAAGGCTCCTGAGGTGAAAGCGAAGCCAAAACCAGTTGTCAAGCCCAAACCAACGCATCTCTCTATGAAGAAGTCTGCTGCTGATACTGCTTCTTAAGAGATCGCCAAGTCTTTTGTGATTTACAGAATTTAGCATTTATTTTTGCGATTTCAAGAAGCAGAATCTCAAAATACAGAAATTATAGGTAGGATCTCGACTGGTCCCGTTTATACTATGGTGCAGCAGTTCTGTGTGATATCATACGCTGATGAAGTTGGATAAGTGAGATAAAAAAAAATTTCCTTTGGGTCTATTACTCTTGAATAGATAAGCATCTTATAATGAATATAATACAGCTAAACAACCCATCTTTAGCGTCGAAATGTATATAATCCAGTAAAAAAAAAGTTGGCATCGGTTGCCACCAAAATGATTTCTTTATAATATCATCAAAGAAGCTACGTATTTCATGCGAGCGATGTAGGCTTTAAGGTTTCGGATTTTCGCATATCATACTTAGATGACATCCTAGTACTGTTACAATTGTACCAACATCACTACTGGTAAGAAAACGTATACCCAAATAGGGTAGGTACAATTAGTTTATGAAACCCCCCCCCCCCCCCTCTCCCCAAAGTTAGCAATACATCACAAACAAATGTATGAAATGAATTATTGTTATTATAAAGGTATAAATCCTTATAATTGGTATTTATTCAAGTGTTTATTACTTGAGATCTGGTATGATGGTTCTCCTTTCCTAAACCAGACAGACCGCAATCACCCTGTATATAACCTCACTGTAGCACATAGGTCCTGGCTTAAAAGTACTTCGGAAATTTGTCATTTCAAGAGAGATGCTTTCAGAAATGCGGTTAAAGCATTATTAAGGAGCTTATAAAAAGCTTCTAGAGAAGAGGAAACTTGGACGGGTGGCAGTGGAGGTATAGAGAATCCCGAGTTATTATTGGATCTCTACCATCTATTTAAAGATAAAGAGGATGGAGGGACTTTGACAGAAACTATTGTAGAATTTCGAGCGAAGAGAAACGAAATTAATCAGCAAAAAATAAAAAAAAAAAAAGGGGCAACACAAGGAACGCAAATGACAGTATGAGAGAAGTATCGCAAACATTAGATTGCCATTTTGACGGAGGATCGAGTACGCCTGATTGATATCGGCGAACTGCTTCGTTAAGATCTCTGGATAGGGGACACCACCGGAATTTAATAGTGGCACGCATAATAGTCGTGTGTTGAATGCTGCTTCAAATGAGTCCCAAAATAATCGGTCAACTTTGCCTGCTGGAAATGCAAAAGACCAAAGAACATAAATCATTTTTTTTCGTCTGATAAGCTCGCAGATCAGTTCACTCTTTGAAAATATGAGACAGAAGTAAAGGTTTATCTAATATATATTAATTGCAAGCTTAAATAAAAATTATGTTTCTTCTTCTTCTTCTTCTTCTTCTTCTTCTTCTTCTTCTTCTTCTTCTTCTTCTTCTTCTTCTTCTTCTTCTTCTTCTTCCATTAGAATCTCATTGTCATCAGGATCTTGTCCAGGTATGTCTGAAGAGCAGAAGCTGCCTCATTGCACGTCGTAAGGACAATCAATTCTTTCCATGGATAAGTACTCCTCTAGGGAGTAGTTGGCGCTTTTTATTGCGGTCTTGAAATTAACGAACAAGATACTGATACTATAGAAAAGTCCTATGGGGGATAATTTTTCCCCATTTTTTGTTTTCAATTTAAAAAATGGAAAATTTGAATTGAATGCTGCGATTTCACATTCAACTTGAGTTCGCAAGGCGTTCAAGTCATAATTTTGTGTCTTCATTTTTTCTACACAAGATTCAACTTCATCATCTTCCAATTCTGGGAAAACCTTTGTAGGGTTACAAATTTCATACCGTAAGTAGGGGTTTTTTTAGTACAGAACTTCTAGGATACGCAGCAGCACCACCATCATAAAGACAACAGCCAGGGAAGGAATCAGAAAATCTCTTCTCCAATTTGGCTTTTCGGTAATGCTCAGAATCATGAGTACTACCAGCTGTTGGGCCTATAATGCCTAGAAGCATTCCATCGGTTCCAAGAATATATTGAAACTTCACACAGTAGGCCTTCTTGTACCTACTATAATAAACCTAGTCATTTTCGTTGGGTTCACAAATGTCCACCGTTGTAGCGTCGATGAAACCAATCAAAGTAGGATGGTAATTTTGGCCAGACAAGCTCTGCAAGTCATCAATTCTGCTTTTCGGCATTGTGTAACACCCAATCTTTAACAAGTACCAGTACTTGCGATAAATGTAATTGCATAATTTGATGACTGATGAGCATATAACTTCAGGCGAAAGACCAAGTAGCACCGAAATATCAGCAAGTCTGTAAGGTACAGCAAAACGCGATAGAAGGCATAGCAAGGCATTTAAGGGCGAGGTCCTAACTTTGAACTCTTTTACAAAACCTGAATCAATTTTCAATATATCCAACAAATAATAGATTTCAGCCTTAGTGAACCTGAAATGTAAAACAGCGAAACGGCTACTGTAAGAATCCAAGCTAAACTTGAAAGCTGGTCTGTTAGCACCATCATTACGATAAGCCACGCTTAATTCCTTTTCTTTTTCTCTTTCGGAGGCAATTTTTCTCCTTTTTGCGTCATTCAACACTTTTTCGAGAACACCCAGCCTATCGAGTATCTAGTTCATAAGCTCATCATCGAAACTTTCTATGGATTTCTCCACCAATTGAATTTGTAATTGGCGTAGCTGCTCTTGGTTCATTTCTGGTGTTTGTTAGTAGTCTAGCAGTTCTTTCGATACAGCTTTCATTCATGTTGAAAAGTTTCACAGGGGGATATCCGAGGGTATGTCATGCTTTTAAAACGTGATATGATTTCCTAGTTGTTTAACGCACAGTACTGTAGCAGTATGCATACTAATGCACATGTCTTATGACCAAGAAGCTCGTTCGCCTTCTCTAATGGTACTCGTGATGCCGTTTTCACTACAAAAACTGCCAGTAAGTAGTCCTGCTGGCCTATCTCTGATATGGTACCAGGGGGATCAGTTCTTATGAAGCTGCTTCTGAAGATGTCTCAAGTTCGTCGACAGTGATCATCTCTAGTTAATGGTAACATTCCGGCAATTGCATTGTCATTCAGTTGCGCTGTCTGTTTGCTTGCAACGGCAGAGAAATGGATTCGGTTTTTTCTTTGTAGCCCATCCATCCCATCATAGTGAACGCCCCTTTGCCTCTGATGGTATTCCTTTTTCTCAATCCGGAAAAGAGCTACCGAGTGCGGTGGTTGCGTTTTCAGCAGCGGATTCAACCAATCGCAGGCTGCCGTTGAAGCCGCAAGTACCACGTTACTATTCTGGTGCATGGATGTTATGGGTATATACGAGATATGATGTATGATATATGATACATTATATATTATATATTATATATTGTATTCTCTTATAAGGATTGTTTTCTTTCTTACTCTTCTGTTTTTCCGCGTAGCGTAGCAGTGCTTAAAAGTGGCATAAGTTATATCTATCCGGCGGTTCCCACACCCGAATCAAAAAAGTTATCCGAACGCGTTTTTCTCTTTGTGCCTCCTCGATTTAGCCGTTGAAAGATCAAAAAAAAATCTTTTTCTTTTTTTTTTTTTTGCTGATGAGATTTTTTACGCCAAAAAAAAAAAAAAAAAACATACACACACCCACCTATATAATTACTATATACATCAAATCTTATCGCTGGCATTCAATGTGTATTTATTGTTATCATCTGTTTTTTCTTTTCTGGTCATAAATTAAATTTATTAATAGTGTCTTATCCTTCTACTCATTGAAATTCTTGACTATTCCGCTCGTTTGTTTTAGTTTGTTTGTTTTGCCTCCGATTGTTTGCAGGTCTTGCCTTCCATTTTTCTAGAAAGCTCACCGTCATCAAAATAATGTCGTTCGTGGTCAGAAATTTCCAGAAATATTTTCTCTCTGAGAAACCAATCACCCCTCCGGGGATTGCCAGTGTTAGTGACCTCAATCTATCCTTTGATGTCAAGCAGTCTTTCCAGAAGTTGAAGAATTATGAATTCACAAAAACAGAGATTTTACATTATGGATTCTTATCTCTTGTTATTGTGTTTGCTTTTGTCATTGCTCCTGCCCCCTTCGTTTTAAAATTTCTTGCTGCTTGTTTATTCGTGTTGATTCTCTCAGTTCCTTTGACCAGCCAGTTTTTCCTTAACGCTTTGCCGATTTTGGCGTGGTTGGCACTTTTTTTTGTCACTGGAAAAATTCCTGCCGACGTCAGACCTCCTATTTCTGTGCAAACGTTGCCTGCCATAGAAACCATTTTTTACGGGGACAATTTATCCGATGTGTTGGCAACATACACTGCTTCGGTGTTGGATATTTTAGCTTGGGTGCCATATGGTTTGATTCATTTTGCTTTCCCTTTTGTGTTGGCCGGGCTTTTGTTTTTGTTTGGTCCACCGACTTGCTTGAGAGCTTACGCATTCGCCTTTGGTTACATGAATTTGTTTGGAGTCTTGGTACAAATCATGTTTCCTGCCGCTCCTCCTTGGTACAAAATTATTAATGGGTTGTCACCGGCTAATTACTCCATGGGTGGTTCCCCTGGTGGTTTAGCTCGGATCGACACTCTCTTAGGGGTGGATATGTACACTTCTACATTTACCAATGCCCCAGTTCCTTTTGGTGCTTTCCCTTCTTTACATTCTGGATGTGCCACCATGGAAACAATGTTCTTGAGCTATTTATTCCCAAAGTTTGCCATTGTGTGGTGGGGCTACACCATGTGGCTTTGGTGGTGTACCATGTATTTAACACATCATTATTTTATCGACTTGATTGCTGGGGCCTGTCTTACGTTTATGGTTTACACTTATACCAAATATAATCATTTGCCTGTCCTTGATACTAACAAGTTTTGTCGTTGGTCATATGCTGAAATTACAAAACCAGACATTCATTTGATAGATCCATTGTCTTCCAATACATATGAGCACTTGAACAGTAACATGGATGACCTTGAAAATAACTATGTTACCAGGGATAATCCTAATGAAGAATTTGAAATGAGCTCGCTTGTTTCTAGAAGCTCAGTATCTTCATCAAGACTTTCACTTAATTTGGCGTCTCCACGCTCCATGAATGCCAGAAATTCGGCAAACATTAATGGACCACCGATTCTCAATACCACTTTTGATGTCGATGCCATGGGTTCATCTGCTCCTCCAAGTGCAATTTCATCAATCTATGACCCAGCACAAACTAACGGTGGCTCTCCTAGTGTCTTGAGCTTTGGTACTTTAGGCACCTCACCAGCTACTTCAGTGTTTGATAGTACTGCACATGGTAGCAGAGGCAGAGGTGACGATGACAATGTTTCGATTACTTCATCTAAGACTTCCATTGATTTGAATTTTGACAGAGCCCACGCTCAAAATTTGTTCAAGAGCCCAGGAAAGAGAGATTAGGATTAGGAAGTCCCCAATAATTTCTTTTTCTATTCTTGACTCCAACCTCTTTTGTTTCACAAAGGATAGATTAGTTATTGCTAGCAGCTGTCTAGTATTTCTTGTCATGATGATTTATGGTTATGATTATGAGTAACATTTTTCTTTTTCTCTTTTTTGTCCCTGTTAATTCTCCTATTGTTATTATTATAGTGTGAGCACCATCAAGCTTACAGCAACTCATAGTTTTGGAAACGGAATTTAGTTGTGTTTCTTGTTGTTGATAGACTACTCTGACAGATACATCTTTCTGCTCCTAATATTTTAATCGTCCACTTGGCATTTCAAATTACCCCTAATAGTTTTCTATTTCTTTTGTTCTAACTTTTACTTCTTCATTTGCCTTTTCTAGTTAATTCTATCTACTCTTTTTAATGTTTTCTTATTATTTTGTTTTGTCTTGTTTCAATTATGCATTGATTTTTTTTTGTTTTTTTTTTTTTTTTTACTTTATGATACAGTATAACAATAATATTGCCTATGTTAATATCCATCTTTCCATAATGCACGTTCTATCTTTATTTTTTATTTCCTTATTTGGTCACAAAATGTATTTGAGAAATTCAAGAAACCTAATATTGCAATGTGGTGAACTAAGGTCTAATAGGACGATGGAAACTATTGAGCAAATTATATTTAATTTGAAGAAAAAATAGGGCAGAATGAAAGAAGATTTTATTGCAGGGAAATCTGAGACATTTAAACTTGTTTTCCAACTTCAATTCATGTGAGTGCGGGAAATTACATCAATAAACTTGAAAAGGATAAGGTATTTTAGAAGAAGAAGAAAAAAGCAAAGAAGTATATTTGATTAAATTGAAAATAAAAGAGACTGATCAAAGAAGATGATGATGAGGGCAACAACTTTTTGGTGAAAAAAAAAAAAAAAAAATGCTTTTCCTCACGATTCAATCAATTTAGACTGGTTTGAAATGAAACGACTACACCAAAAGCTACTGCTTCCATACATTCTTTAAAGTCCGGCATTTTAAGCATTCTTTTTGGTGAGATCGCCTGTTGCAGCAAAACGTGGTTTGTTGACCACTTCGCCTATCCCAGTTCCTAGTAGTAATAGCGGTCTTTTTTTCAGCATTTTGTCGAGCCGGGAATATACAAGTTCAGGAAACCTGCACTTTCACAACTCTCAAGAAGGTCACAGCGCAGGTTTTGTGACTTCCAGGACCTTCATTCACCAGCAACTTAGATAATTCTGGCTTCATGTTATTATTCAATTCAGTGTGGGATTCTCCAGAGCTTAATAGGATTTCAAGGCATTTTTCATGTTTTGTATGAGGTGAAGAAATGAATTACTGTGCTTTTCTTTCTCTGTAACTTTACTTAATTTTCACAGTTGACCCGGATTGAATGTCATATTTGGTTATATACAACTAGGTCTATGCAACGTCTTTTATTTTGAAAAGTAATAGAAACCACAAAACCAATACAAATGGATAAAAAAAGAAAAAGAAAAAGAAAAAGAAAAGTGACATGGGTCGTGGCAAAGGGATAGATAGTGTTTTAGATTGGGTACATGTCTGAAATTATTCAATTGTACCACACACCCCATGAATACTTTTAGTTGGATCACCCCCTCCCCATATGCAAGGCTATATAGCCCATAGTGTCAACCGAGCCAAAGAAAAAAAAAAAAAAGAAGTACATTATTGTCAATTACCGACTAATTTTTTTTTTTTTTTTTTTCTTAATAATTATCATTGGTGAATAACCAATCATCACCGGCCACTCCTCGTGGTAATCCATATTTTTTAATGATGGTGTAGATTTTTATTTTTTTTTGCATGCCATTGCTATTCTTTTTTTGATTAGGTTCATGGCGACATTCACAGATATTTAACTGATGGTAATTATATTGGTGCTATGATTTATTCTGAGTATATTCATCACCTGTTGAAAAATAGGCTGGAAGGATATTGATAGTTTCCAACGAGCATACCATTCCACGTTCCCAGCCCTCTATTACCATCATAGATGTATGTCTCTGATGATGATAATGTGAAAAGATTGGATATTCAAGAACATGAAGCATGGTTCCTATTTTTTTCCATGATTTCCCAGTGTTTTAAGACTCAACTCTCAAATTAAAATTAACGGTCTGCAATTGTGAAAGACGATTTGCTCTCTGAACAATAATAAATGTTGTGTATGCAATGCAATGAAATAAAATAAAATTAAATAAAATGGGATAAAGCAAAACGGAAAGAAGAAAAATGCAATTAATTAAATGAATGAATTGAAATTAAATACAACAAGAAACTTTAGTTTCTCAAAATGGAAGAATTGAAATCAAAAAATGCAAAAAGCCTTCAAGGAAAGGCAAAACAAAAACAAGAATGAAAAACATTGACGTCCAGCGATCAATGCAACTTATTAGAATAATATGACTTGAAAGAAACAACAACAACAACAACAAAAAATTGCTAAAATATAAGAAAGATGCAAAAAAAAAAAAAATATATAACTAAATCAAGGATCTGAACATGGATATTGCGACTCTTTTCCCTTAATTTTTCTCATTCTTCTGCTAGTCTTACCCCGCGGATTATTATGAGTTTTGAAATGTTGCATACAATTGTCATGTCTTGAGAATCTCGAATTACAATCAGGATAAGGACACTCATATGGACGAACGCCAGTGTGAATGGTTTCATGGCGGTTTAGATGGGCAGCAGTCATGTACCGTTTCCCACAAATGTTGCAACGGAAGCGACGAGGGGCGGCTGATGAAGGTGAAAAGGGGTTCGTTTGAAAAATGGTAGGAGATGAGCTGATAGGGTTATTTTGAATAGAAGAAGAAAGTGCCAGAAGTTTTTGCTGCTGTTGCCATGAGCTTGAAGGGATCAGGTGCGGGCTCGGGGATTGAGACACTGGTGTAAATCCAGCAGCCAATACAGTACCAGTAGGAACTGATTGGTGCATCAATCTGGTGAAATTCTGCGACATGGGAGGGAAAGCACTTCCCATACCAGATGTTGGAGGGGAAGAAGGATAGGAATCCAACGAGTCCGGCGAAGAACTTATTGGAGTTGGCAGGAGAAACCTTTGATTTTGAGAAGAGGGAAGAGGAGGATAGTCATAACCGAAAGAAGGTGTGGAATTTCCAGATGGGTGGGGGGAAGTGAATTTTGAGCTTGGTTCAAAATGAGAAGAGGTGCTTGGGTTCAATAAGGAGGCAATTTTAATAGAATCTCTGTTGAATGACCCAGAAGAGTGCCTAACCAATCCAGAGCCTCCAAAGTTAATCGGGGGTGTCTGAGTGGTAAGGAATTCCGACGTTGAGGCTTTCATCTTTTTTGGAGAAAAAGGGGACTTTTGATGATGAGGCGCCATCATACGGCAATAAGAAACGGTTTTGTTTTGTTTTGTTTTGTTTTGTTTTGTTTTAATTTTTTTTTTTCTCTTTTTTTTCTCTCCCTTTGAGCTTCTTCTTCTTCTTCTTCTTTTTTCTTCTTTTTTCTTCTTCTTCTTCTTCTTCTTTTTCACGATCTATCAATGGGGATGGAAGTGGGTCACCTAAGGTGCTTGCGTGTTGTGATTTTGTCTAAGGATGGTTTGTTGGACAGGAAACCCAATAGTCTCTAATTGATATATAAAACCACATGTGCACACACACAAGCGGCGATAATCAGAGTGGCCACCAACAGCCACCGGAGAAGGGCAACGGTGGTGTTATATATGAAAGATAAACACCGGTAATTGTTGTGTGAGACAGACTGTGCATGTGGAATGGTTCTGGTAGTGCGTCTTGACAGAAAATGGAGGATATTTATTCTCTGGGTGAGTGAAGTGAAGTGAAGAAAAGTGAAGTGAAGCAGCGCGGCTTACCCGTCAGTGCGCACCCCAACGCAACAATAGTGTGGTCGCGGGGAGGGGCGCTGACACATCACATGACCAAAACAATAGCAATAGATAAACAAAGTAACCTCCCGCCCCCCCCTCTCAATCCTTCAGGCTCATCATCTTCATCTTTGATAACAATAACGAAGAGCTCAACGTATCACATGGACGATACTAAGCAAACACCCCCAAAGTACCCTCAGGTTGCTGGGGCGCTCGAAATCGACCCTTGGCTCACTCCTTACGCCTCCGTCCTTGCTGATAGAAGAGCGTCTGCTCAGAACTGGCTTGACACTTTCCAAGAAAATGAGGGCGGTATCCTCAAGTTCGCTGATTCCTACAAAACATACGGACTTCAAGCTCACCCTGATAAGTCGATTACTTACAAAGAATGGGCTCCAAATGCCAAATCCGCTTCGTTAGTTGGTGAGTTTAATAAGTGGGATCCAGATTCCCATGTCATGACAAAAGATCCGTACGGTAATTTCCTAATCACCATTCTTCCCAATTCTTCCAACGAATATGCCATTCCCCACGACTCCCTCGTCAAGATTCGTTTGAACCTTCCAAATGGTCTGACAGTGTACCGCTTACCTGCGTGGATCACCAGAGCAACCCAAGCTCCAGCGACAGAAACCATTGACTGCAACGTTTACCAAGCTCGTTTCTGGAACCCTCCTCAACCGTATCAATTCAAGCACAAGAGACCTCAAGCTCATAAAGATCTCCGTATTTATGAATGTCACGTTGGTATTTCTACCCCAGATCCAAAAATTGGATCTTACCAAGAATTTACAAAGAACGTTTTGCCATTGATTCGTGACTTGGGATATAATGCTATTCAATTGATGGCTATCATGGAGCATGCCTACTATGCTTCTTTCGGCTACCAAATCACCAACTTTTTTGCCGTAAGTTCCCGTTATGGTACACCAGAAGACCTTAAGGAGTTGATTGATGTTGCCCACTCATATGGGATTGTTGTCTTTCTTGATGTTGTTCATTCGCATGCCTCCAAAAATACTGCTGATGGCCTCAATGCTTTTGATGGTTCTGAATATCAATATTTCCATGGGGATGGCAAAGGTAACCACTCCCTTTGGGACTCAAAACTTTTCAACTATGGTAAATATGAAGTGCTTAGATTCTTGCTTTCTAATATTAAGTTTTATCTAGATGTCTACAAGTTCGATGGGTTCCGTTTCGATGGTGTCACTTCAATGCTTTATCTTCATCATGGTATTGGTGCAGGAGGTGCCTTTAGTGGCGATTATAATGAATATCTTGGCTCAAAATCGTGTATTGATACCGAAGCATTGACCTATCTTATGCTCGCTAATGAACTCATTCATTCTGCCGGTAAGGCCGAAGATCGTAACTTTGTTAGCATTGCTGAAGATGTTTCAGGTTACCCAACTCTTTGTCTTCCTGCAGCTGATGGTGGGGTCGATTTTGATTACCGATTAAGCATGGCCATCCCGGATATGTGGATAAAAATGTTGAAGGAACAAAAAGATGATGATTGGGATATGGGTAAAATTACCCATACCTTAACCAATCGGCGTTACAAGGAAAAATGCATCGCTTATTGTGAATCTCATGATCAGGCTCTCGTGGGCGACAAGACTCTTGCCTTCTGGCTTATGGATGCCGAAATGTACACAAATATGTCAGTGTTATCCCCACTTACTCCAGTAATTGATCGTGGTTTGGCATTACACAAGATGATCCGCCTTATTACTCATGCTTTAGGGGGAGAAGCCTACTTGAACTTTGAAGGAAACGAATTCGGTCATCCTGAATGGCTTGATTTTCCACGAGTGGGTAACGGAGAGTCTTTCAAATATGCTCGTCGCCAATTCAACCTTATTAAAGATGATTTATTAAGGTATAAATACTTGTGGAGATTTGATGCAGCAATGCAAAAACTTGAGGAAAAATTCAAGTGGTTGGCCAGTGATTCCTGGACTTATGTATCTTTGAAGCATGAGGGAGACAAAGTAATTGTATTTGAGCGTAACGGCTTGCTCTTCATCTTTAATTTCCATCCAGCTGAATCGTACGCAGATTACCGTGTTGGAGTAGAAGCTTCGGGTACTTATAAGATTATATTAAACAGTGATAGGGCCGAGGAATTTGGTGGACATGACAGAATTGATGAAGAGAAGTCCAAGTTCTTCACTACTGATTTGCCATGGAATGAACGAAAGAATCATATTCAAGTTTATATTCCCAGCAGAACAGTTCTTGTTTTGGCATTAGAAAATGATCCGAGATTGTAATTTTTTTTTCTTTCTTTTTGTTTTATCGTCTATTATTCATTTTCTTGCATTTTATTTCATCGTTATTGTTTTTGAGAATTTTATTGAAAAGTCGATGATCTGTATTGAGCCTGCTTGGTGTGAAGTATAAATAGTTTCCTTTTATTTGCTATGTTCTTATTTGCTATGTTCTCTCTCTCTGATTTCACTTTGGTCTTCTTTTTTTTTTTTTTGTTACGCTATTTCTCAAAAAAAAAATCATGAAAGTTTGTCAAAAGCTACTAGTTATTACTCTAAGTCTCGAAAATATATGTATATTTTATTTGCAGAAAGATACCCTGGGTGAAGTGAGGTCTTAAAAATTCTAATTAGTATAAGTATTTGACCCCACAGAGAGGTCGTGAATACAGATAAAACTATGAAACATTGATTATTAGATACATCAGCAGAAATAATAACAAAGGAAGTATTAAACAAGAAAAACAAAATTCAAGAATAAATAGAAATAATAAAACAAAAGGAAAAACATTATCTATTGATTAAACAATTGACTGATCAGACCACTTTATATTTCCGACCCTCCTTCCTGATCTTTCACCACAAGAAGCCTCCTCCAATAACAACAACCAAGAATGAAAGTAATTGAATCATCAATCCTGTCAAAACTGGAAAGAAAATTCCAATATTGTCTTGTGTAGCATACATGAACCATCTTAAAAAAAAAAACCAAAAAAAAAACATCTTATCAATTTGACAGCAGATCATTGGGATCCAAATAATTATACTTCTCACAAACCAGAAAGCTAAGATTTTTTCGTAATTTTTACTAATTTTTCAGATGATTTCATACTATTGTTAAATAAATGCCACAAAACACTGGCAAGAATGTTATCGAAAGCCCCAGTATCGCAAAAATCGAGATAACGGAAACCAAGTACCAAGAAAGCAAGTACTTTCTGCGAACAATATAGATGTACGACATGAAGCCAATACCCAAAATCGAGGCAACAGTCACCAAAATAATGTTTTGTTGCAATAGAACCGCAATTTGTGATTCCGATTCTCTCTATTCGTTCGGCACATTACGGTGAAAATAAATAACGAAAGCATGTAAAGCATCCCAAACTTCAATGCCACGACCGATTTTCTATCGATAGCAAAATAGAAAAAACAAAGAACAAACGGTGTCAAAACCAATAAGGATCATTTTACTGATACTAAGAACATCATAAGAGCCAGGAGCAACCTTGTAAGAGAAGTTGATACTGATCACCAAATCATAAAGAATGAAAAATCTGTTTAAGATCAATAATGCTATGTAGTCCTGCACCACAAGCACCATACTTTCTGGTATTAACATGAAGGGAGATTTGAAAATGTGAATACTGGCAATGTTTTTGGAATGGTTTAGTAAAACTATTGAGAAAATTGCTATCTTTAACGTTCTCGATTTCAGAGCCTAACAATGATCAGTATTTTATTCCGAGAGCTCTGGAGGCTCAACTCTTTCCAACATTCTTTTTTGTTGGAGAAATCAGGAGTTGGGAAGTTAGTTACCTTCAGAAATTGTACGCTTATATTTTCTCCTTTGTCAAATTCATCCTAGAGTACAGAATTCTGTCTCTATGTGTGTTGCGCACTTCTTCTTCTTATCTCGGCCTGTGGGATTATCATTACTGCTCTCTTGTACATGTCAGTCTGCATAACCACAAATACTTCCACTACTTTTGTAGCTTTTGACGATTAATAGTTACCACTATCATGTTTATAGAACAATAAAGACTCACAGTAAAATTCCTGTTTATATATTATTCAACGTATACATTACATCGACAGTGTTGCACTCTATATGCTTAGGTTGAGTTACAGATATGAATAAATTCTAAGAAAATGAAGGTTATATTATGCATACCAATCATTGAGTTTCAAGACCGCGTTCTCCTCAGAACTTTGATATTTTTTCCTTATATTTTTTTTTTTTATTAATTTGACTCCTGAAAATTCTACTAAGTCTTCCCAGTCTAAATTCAGCAAACTACGAAAGCTTAGCAATGGGTGGCTAACATGCAAGCCATTGATTGTACAGGAGACAACCAGATTTTTGAACTACTCCCAAACGAGCCAACCAAGAAAGCTGAAAGGACATTCTCAAACTTGTACGAGCTGGTTTGAAAATATATTAAGATTTATACGGCTTTTTAGATGCAAATACCATCGTTATCGTACTCATCAGTCGGGATATTCTTGGCGAGATTGGAATCCTCGAAGCAGCAGCCCCATCGTACTTATAAGTATGCTTCGTAGTGAAAATCCGGGTAAGTCTATTATATTATATCAATTTTTCAACCCAAACAATTACACGCAAATTTGATATTTCAACGAACTATCACACTACTTGGTCATTTGTTTAATAGTGAATTATTATTGAAGCAAACAATGGAAGCTTCCAAAAATGCTCTGTCATCATTGGGGTGGTGGGAGCAAGCTAAGAAGCGCTCTTTGGAAGATATTTCTGCGTTCCCACAGGAATTTGGAAGGATACTCGTAGCTGCTTTGGAGGTATCCCCCAATCAAGACACTCTTCCAGTGATATCCTGGTGTCTTGATTTCTTGATCTTTGTATTCACTAATGCTATCGATGATTCCGAGTGTGATACGAGAATTGACGCGGCACTCAAGAAAAGCTTGCTATTGACAAAATACCTGATACACGAGAATACAAATGGCCAAAAAGCCGAAGTTTACAACGTGATGATTTTGAAGTTCTTGAATGAATTAATGGTAAGAAAATGCTGCTACAGCGTGGAAGTATTCCGAAAAGTGGTTCAATTAAGTTGTATTATTTACAATCAGTCGTTTTTGAATGTGCTACAAAAAAGTGCGGATTATAATGAGATATGGGACGAGTTGGTGATATTGAAATCAGCAATCTCTTCAAAATTAGGAAATGATACTGCTTTCCCAGTGAGAACGGATGATGTAAACGATGTGTCGCACTTAATTGGCCCGAAGTTGTTGATTGTGAGGTTCATTGGTATCGTCGTACAAAGTCAGCTTCCAACCCCACCAAAAGACCCGCGTAAAAGAGATAGACGCGGGCGTATTAAGAACGACGAAGACGTTTCAATTTCCATGACCAGGTCACATCCTTTGATTAATGAAAACTTGAAAGCTCAAGCTATGGGGTTGCTAGATCTGTTGCTAGTGATCATCACTGATGAGGAGAAAAACGTTCCTCAAATCATATCGGCAATTATGTTTCTGTTGATAAATATAATTAAAAAGAGACCTTCTATATCGCTGAAGATATTAAATCTGCTTTTGAACTTCGACTCATCTCGTAGAACCACTCCTGGGTGTGAAAATTCATACCATGATAACGAAGCCAAGATATTGAATAAACTTTCTAGAAGATTTAGCGATCGTTCATTCAAACTCTTATTGAATAATCTTTTCAAGAATGGTACTTTGAATAACAAAGAAAAAGGAGTCGAGCAAGATCCCCTATCGGCGAAATTTTATACAAAAATTAATTACATCCATCAATACCAAGATAAACAGCGGAAGGACAAGAACTTATTAAAAGATTTACCAGAAGATCTTCAATACTATCAGTTTTTGGAGCGAAAAGCAGATGAAGATAAGATTCTGATGTTGTTGAAGGCCAACCCGAAATTATCGAGAAGAGATGTTGACAATATTGGCAAATATTATCCACAGGTAAGCTTGAATGAAATTACGAATGCTGATCAAGGTGCCACGATGGGTGGTCTGGAATCATACTCTTCATTGTTCACATTGACTGATGTCAATAATGATTTGAACAAATTTGATGCCGGCTTATTAAATAACGAAATTTTAACCAAACTTATTCTTATTGCTATTGAACGCACCCGACCAGAAAAACTTTCTAGTGCCCTTAATGTAGTCGGTGAAAGATATAGAACTCTTAGCCAAAGGCATGAGCAAACACATGGAACCCAAGGAGGTGATCAAAAGAGAATTAAATTGGATGCTGGGAATGACTTGGCCATGTATGGTGCATCATATACCAAACTTAATGGAATTGATTCGAATTTAGATTATGTATTGCCAGCACCTAAAAAAATGACGCCCGCAGAAAGGAAAGAACACTTGAGCTTTATCATTTCCAATTATCTCAAATTAGCGGAATCAAAAGAACTTCAGACAATTATTGATTCTCAAAATGAACTGAATAATAACAACCAGGAATCAAAGGAGCCAGGTCACAGTCAGGGGATTATCAAGATGTCGAAGGTGGCAATTTCTCGTTGGGATAAGAATTCATGGGCCACTTTGCTTATCAGATTGGCCACCAGAGGCCTTAATAATGGCACAGATGATGAGAAACAAGAGATGAGCGATATGATTCGTCAAGCATTATTCAACCATTTCTTGGAAAATATTCATAATAGAATTGATATTGTTATTGATTGGTTGAATGAAGAGTGGTATTCTGAATATGTGAAAGGTGAGTCTTTGATGGTTGAAAACGGAGGGGAACTCAGTGAGGAAGATATGAACGGAAAGATTGAAACTCCAACATATATTATTTGGACGGTAAAGGTTCTAGATTCCATCATCCCGTTCCTCGAAACAAAGGATCGGAAAATCTTTATCAGACTTCTTTCAGATTTGCCATATTTGAATAAAGAAATCATCACAAAATTAAAATCTCTCTGTCTTGATCGACTTCGATTTGGATTAGGTTTACAGAGTTTGCAATATTTGGTTCTCGTTAGACCGCCAGTGAAGGAAATTTGTATTGAGATGTTGATTGAAATTTACAACGATGTTAAAGAGGTTAAAGAAGATGGCAACGAAGAAGTATTTGAGGCCATTGAAAAATTATTGAAAAAAATTGAACCCGCTGCGGTGAATACAGAAGTTGATAAGAGGAATGAGACATCAACTGCGAATGATTAAAAACTTGAATGATTATTGCCTCAAAGGAGCGAACTAAACTAATAACAAAAAAATCATTTGCTATTCTAAATTTTAAACTTATTTTTTCTTAAAGGCGAGTCTCAGATAAAACTTTTTCCTCTGTAATATACGATTGATGAATTTTTAACTAATAGTAATTATACTAATCATACTAATGATACATAAAATTTTATCCATACGTAACCGTTGTGTCAATCATTTGACATAGCTGCCATTGAATGTTGCTTTCAATAGATTGCGGCTGATTGAATAACAGTTAAGTCGCCTTATTTTTCATCAGATTCTTCTAGGTCCTTTTTTGGCTCTTCATCGGTGGTCAAATTTGAGTAAATCTCTTCAATCTCTTCCTTCGCCTCATCGACGCTGACGAGCGGGCTGATTTGTACCCTGCTGACCTTCAAATACCCATCTACGAAAATCCAATGGGATCTTTTGATACCATTAGGTGACTTTTTTGCGCCTAAAGGACCAATCAACTTCTTTTCAGGATCACATAGCAAACCGTCGAGTTTCAAAGATTGCTTCACCATGAAATTTTTCTGAGCCTTTGGGGAGTCAGATGAAAGACCAAATATTTTGGCCTTTTTTGATAAATCACCATAGTTCTGACTAAAACCGCAAGCCTGTTTTGTGCAACCTGGGGTCGACGCCTTCGGATAGGCAAAGATAGCAACAATCCTGTTTTCCAGAGCAATCTGTTTCAAGGACACGTCTTCATCATCTTGATTCTTCAACACAATGTCTGGGATCGCATCATCAATCTTCAATGCTTTGTTGGCCGGTTTCTTTTCTGGTTTCTCTTCTGGCTTAACAGCAGTCTTTTTGGAAGATTTTGGTTTTTTTGCAGGTGCAGAAGGAGCTGGCTCTTCAAGCTTGTGCTTGCTTGCTAGCCTGGAAGAACGACGAACGGAAGAGGACATTTTTGGTTCACAAAACAGGTTATGCCAGAGGATATGGTTGATGGGTGACAAAACAGAGTTCTCTAGCAGGATGGGGAGCAGGGAAGTGAGAAATTGATAACCGTGGGGGATCCCTCCCTTCCTCCCCCATAAACGATGTTAGCCTCACATGGTCACGTGAGAAATACAAAAAAAAAACACAACAACGGCAACAACAACAACAACAACGAAAGCAAAAACGCTGTCTACAATGCCAAAATATCAGAGTATTTATTATTAAACCGCTTGTCTCCACTATGGTAAAAGGGTATGCGTTTGTGCTTGCATTGGGCTTAGCCCTTGAACTAATAATGACCATACTCTTCCCTTCGTTTTCCGGCTTCCTTGACTCGGCAGTGGAGTTCTCGACCCCAGTGACCAGTTGGAGAAGTATCGAGGAAGGGATCTTTCTCTTAAAACACAATATCGATCCATACGATGGCGGGGTGGTTTATCATCCCCCTGTACTTATCAAACTTTTTTCACAAGTCAAAGACCTCTTCGGCACCAACACCACGTCTTGGAGAATTGCCAGTGGGCTTATATTTCAAATCGCCGATATTCTAACCAGTATTGAATTGATCCAGATCAGCAAGAAGTTCCTACGCGAATACAAGAACCCTAAACAAGGTACATACACTGTACTCATTGCCATTTTCTATACCTTCAATCCAATCAAGATCTTATCGGTTTTGTCTAACTCTTCCATAATTTTTTCAAATCTTTTTATTGCCTCAACTTTGTATTCGATGGTGGTGCTAGAGAATGTGGCATTGGCGGCGGCCTCTTTGGCCATGGGTACGTATCTCTCTTACAATCCTTGCTTTCTCCTATTCCCTTTTATCGGTATGGTCATAAACTTGAAAAACCACTTATCTCCGTGCTCCTCGATCATAAAATCAATACTGGTAGCGCTAATACCGTTCATCGCTACTTTCACAGGTCTTTTATATTGTAGCTATATCATTAACAATAATAATTGGAATTTCCTTATGGCAACTTATGGTACAAACATTTTTTTCACAAAAATCAATCCAAATTTGGGTTTGTGGTGGTACTTCTTTATCGAAATATTTGAATTTTTCTCCAAATTCTTCATTGGGGTTTTCAACATTTACAATCTTGTTTACATCTTGCCTCTCACCATCAGGTTCCAAAATTCCAAGTTTTCCAATTTACAGATCAATAACAAGTATCTCATATTCCCCTTTGTGTTATCATACGGTTTTGTGGTGTTAACTAAGGCGTATCCTACACTCAATGATCTTGGATTCATTTGCCAGTTACTTTTGCTTTTAGTTTTTCAGAATGATTTGAAGATTCTCAAGTTCTTGAGATACCCAATTGTATCAATCCTTTTAGTAATCCACGCTGTTATCTTGAGCCCTATATTCTATTATTTATGGATCTTTAGCGGTAGTGGCAACTCAAACTTCTTTTATGCAATCAACTTGGTATATTCTCTAGGATTAGGATTTATGTTGATCGACTTTATTTGGAGTTATCTATCTTTGGAGTACTTGTTTGAGAAGAATAATGGGAAAGAAGTTGATTATGATGCCAAATTAAGATTGACACAAATATGAAAGTGCTAGTGATTTGGGATTTTTTTTTTTTTCCTAATTACAATATTTAGTTTGTTTTTCTTTATGAGCTACTAAAGTTTTTTGGTTACGCATCATTATTATTAGTAGTAGTATTCCCAATATATCGGTACATGAACAATGAACATGAATTCAAATTATAAAAATCTATTGTACAAAATTAAAGAAACGCCCCGATTCCAAAACAAAAATTATTCTTTCATCTCTTTGTCTTGTTCAGACTGCTTTTCACCAATGAACAAGACATTATTGCAACGAATGAATATTTCCCCAATTTTCCCCTGCTCAACATCATTCATATATTCAACTGCATCATCGATTTGTAGATTCATGTAATTATCCACGGAGACCAATGTTCCACGATACTCTGTTCTATTCCATTTTAAGCGTACATTGACTTGTTTATCAATAAGAGATTTCAAAAAAGGTTTTGGATTAGCCTTTTCTAGCTAATATCGGTTAGTATTTGTTATGAACTTATGTTATATTGTTTGTGCCTTCGTTTGTCCAAGAAATCTTCTTTTCGAACTTTTCAAATGAAAATAGACAAATGATACTGTTGTATCGTAGATTTTAAATACATACCGTCGACATAATGGAATTTCTTGATGGGTGGCGGGCACTGTTTGGTTTATTCTGTAGCATTATTATATGTTTGTGCTAACCCATTTTCTTATGAGGAAAAAAAAAAAAAAAAAAAAAAGGAAGTATGCTCACCAGGGCAGCTAACAAAACATTATAATATAGAGGAGTTATTTTAGTGACACATATAATAATATCATACAATTTGGTTACAATTTCTACCATATAAATCTGACAGAACATCGAACAAAAGAAACCAAATAAACGATAATATTTTTTGATTACAAGAGCAAAGTCGTCCCATCTTGTGCTCGGAATAATATACATAACATGATAAAAACTAAGATAGCAAAATTAAAGTGTAAAATTTTCTTAATTTTTCAATCAAACAAATTGTGAGCTCTACGTCTTCTGGGACCATGAGACGCATTGTTAGGGGCGATTCTATCTTTGAGGTCTCTGGCGACAGGTGACCTTGACCGTGAGCTGTGATACCCACTCGGTGATCTTGATCTTGATCTTCTGCGTGGTCTGTGGCTTGGGAACAAATCATCATCATCAGCATCATTGTGCCCATTAAATTTATCAGATTTCCATCTATTCTGAATATCAGTATCATCCTGGTCCATTCGATCATCTCTGGCGTTGTTGTGATTGAATGCCTCATTTATTGCCGAACCACCACTCGACAATGAAGGGAATTTTCCTGCAAACAAATCATCTTCATCACTTTGACCGCGACCATCACCACCCCTAGAGCTACGGCCAGGAACATACGTATCTCTTTCCCTGTAATTGTTTTTCGAATAATTTCTTCTACTAGTGCCCTGGCGAGGTCTGCGACTTCTCTCTGGTTCTCCGTAAAGTAAATAATACCTTGATTTGTCCTTGGCATTTTTTTCTTTTTTGTCAGTTTGGTAAGCCTCCCTGATATATATTTCATTCTGTTGTTTTTGTTCTTCTCCAGTTTCCTTTGGCTGCTCGCCAAAGAAGTAGGTCTTAGCCTTTCTTTCTGTGGTGGAGTCAAACCGCGTAACATCATCATAATCATTGGTCAACATCGCCAATGCCTTTGAACATGATTCTGCATCGTCGAAAACAACACAAATAGAAGTGTCGTTGATCCATTCTATCGTAAACCTGTTGATTCTTTGGTCGACACTGGCAACTGCATCCTTGAGATGGTGGTCAAGATAACGTTTGATATCGTGGGTTGAGAGAGCATCAAGAGTGAACCTGAGAAACATTGCTTCGTGACGCACACCATGTGTGTCAGAGCTGGTGCTGGGTGTCGTGTTTATTTCGTTGGCATCACCGATTTGTCCTAGTGGCTAAAAAAATAAAATGTAAGCATTAGTATAACACCCCCATCAAGATATACAAACCACCAATAGCCGAAAATACTAACATACCTCAATATCCATTAACTCATCCATTTGTTCAGACATACTTGTATCATATGTAACTTCACTTCCCAGTGACACCGACAATAATATCCTTCGTCAACGTCACTCTCGACTGGCTTCAAATCGCTTTTTTCACTGCAGGTACCCGGACGGAGAGACAACCCTTGACCAGATCACCGCACGCTCACTGGGTGGTAGTATTCCCTCCATGGCTCACTTGCTGAGGATATTTGCCAGTATCTTAACACCATGATATCTTTTTACCCCATCTATCATAAATGAAGCCATCTCCCTCATAGCCAACAGTAAGATCCTCGCCCGCCACTTTCTCTGCTGCTGCTTCTTCTTCTTCTTCTTTTCTCAAGGTGTGCGCCGGGCAACGCAACGCAACCATTTTTTTTTTTTTTTTTTTTACCTAAAAAAAAATCAACGAATTTTTTTCACACTTCATAGGAGTAGCCACTTATTCGCCAACCAAATCAGAGGGACAATCAGACCTTGGGCATATTTACCGAATCAGTCTGATACCTATCCTTTTACCCCACTATCACTCAAACGTTGCAGGTAGTCTTTTCAACAGGTTCCCTCTCAAGCACGTTTTATAACATTTAAAGTGTCTTACCGTGGTAATCAATCAATCATATCATATCCAATTGATCAGCAAGAAGAATCAATTGTTGGTTTCAACCTAAACATGCCTACCAATCCTACTGGCTCATCTCACAGTGGGTCCAACCACTCCAACCCCAATAACTCCTCGGGAGGGTCTAACAATAATGGAGGCGCCGGCAATAGACGCTCGAGCACTACCAACAGACAACAGTTTGATTACGGTCAACCAATGAATAATTATATGTTTAACCAGCAGGCATTCGCTAATGCTAACATGGGTTACATGAACAATGGTGTGGGCGCGCCTTTCCAAGTGTATGCTCCTTATTATCAAGGTTATTCAGGTGATTACTCCGCTGGCTACAACATGCCGTTTCCTAATCAAAATATGAGACAAGGAAGCTTCAGTGGTTATTACCCAAACCAAGGTCAAAACTACGGGCATAATCAAAATAAGCACTTGAAAAATCAGGGTAGTGCCAACTCTTCTCCAGTGTCTCACAAAAACAATTTGCATTATAATAATAATCACAACCACCACTCCCACCATGCTCATCATAACAACAATAATGGAAACAATACCAACGCTCTTGTTTCTGGTACTGGCAACACCAGTAGTGTGTCTTCTCCTGCTACCAGCAATGCCTCCCTTTCAACTAACCCAAAGGCTCCAAACACTCCAAGCAAACCAGCACATGCCACTCTCAACTCTCCTTTGGTTGCAACAGCAGGCTCTATTCCTGCTTCGACTGGCAAGGTTACCATCAAGAACCCTAAGGGTCAGGATGTCGACTTGTCTTCTTTGGCTAATAAATCACAACCTTCTTCTCGTATTTCAACGCCAAAGGCAGCAAATAATGCTAAATTGGCCTCTGTGAGCTCACCATCAGGTTCTGCTTCTGATGCTGTTCGTGATGATTTCAGATTAAAGGTTGCTGCTCTAGCCAAGGCCAAGGCCGATGCTGTGGCCAAAGCTAAGGCTGAAGCTGAAGCAAACTCTAAAGAAACTGTCACCGAAGAGAAACAAGAAAAAGTCTTAAATAAGGAGAGCTCAAATGAAGCTGAAGCTGAAGAAGCTAAGCCTGTGGAAGAAAATGTCGTTGAAAATGTCGTTGAAAAGGAAGATGAAAAAGAAGTTGAAAAAGAAGATGAAAAAGAAGCTGAAAAAGAAGTGGAAAAAGAAAAGAACGTCGAGACTCTGGAGAAATCTGAAAATGCACCATCAACGGAGTCTTCCAAACCTGAAGTTGATGAAACCAATGTTGAGCCAGTACCAGTAGTCGAATCCAAGGAAGAAACCAAACCGGAAGCTGTGGAAATAAAGGAAGAATCAACTAAGGAAAGCGAATCTCAAGAATCTGAAGAATCTCCAAATGTTAAGGATGTTTTCAACTTGTCTGAATTATTGGAGGCCATTAGTAAAGCTAAACCAATCGAAGACCCATACAGCTTCAAATACCCAGATGACTGGGCTATTCCTGATGAAAGATGCCATGAACATTTCAAGAAAACTGGTAAGCCAAAATATGATCCTAGGTTTTTGTTACAGTTCAAGGAACCATTGAATTTAGAAGTTGATCCACAGTGGAAAGAAAAACATGCCCATTTGTTCAGTGTCGTTGAAATGAACAGCCGTAGTGGCTCAATGAGAAATTCTTCAAACTTTAGAGGTGCTCCAGGTCAATTTGGTTTGGGTTCAAACATTGGTAACTCTAGAGGAATTGGTGGTAATATGAGATCTCAATCCAATAATCCTAGAAAAGGATTTGGAGGCGATTCTAAATCTGGCTCAAGACAATCCTCGAGAAGAAGAGGTGGTTCTAATGCTGGTACCGGTTCTAGAAGAGACGGTCGTTCTGATTCGAAGAGAAATAACTCCAAGAGATATAAAGACAAAGAAAATGAAGTTAATCAAGTTTTGGAAAATATTGAAAACCAAATTAAGGATAATGAAAAACCAGCTGAACCAGTTAAACCATTGGAGAAATCTGCTAATAGATGGGTTCCAAGATCTCTTAAGAAGAAGACTGGTGAAGTTAAGAAGAATGCAGATGGCTCCGAATTCTTGAATGAAGAAGAAATCAATAGAAAAACAAAGTCCTTATTAAATAAGTTGACTCTTGAAATGTTTGAAAATATTACCGCTGAGATCATTAAGATTGCTGAACAATCTAAATTTGAAGAAGATGGAAAATCATTGAAGCAGGTTTTAGAATTAACCTTCCACAAGGCGTGTGATGAACCACACTGGTCTTCAATGTATGCTCAATTATGTGCTAAGATGGTCAAAGACTTCAGCTTGGAGGTGAAGGATACTACGTCGATCGATAAGACTGGGGCTCCTCTTGTTGGGGGTCAATTGGTCCGTAAATGTTTATTGACCAGATGTCAAGTAGAGTTCGAAAAGGGTTGGGCTGATAAATTGCCAACAAATCCAGACGGTAGTGCGTTGGAACCAGAAATGATGTCTGATGAATATTATGCTGCTGCTGCTGCCAAGAGAAGAGGTTTAGGTTTGGTGAGATTCATTGGTGAATTGTACGCTTTGGGTTTGCTTTCTGATCAAGTTATTGTCTCTTGTATGCACTCACTTTCGAGCAACTTCGAGGATCCATCTGAAGAAACTTTGGAAACTCTATCTCAATTAATCACTACTGTTGGTCCAATAATCGATTTGTCGAACAAACCAGGTGATAATAGAGCAAGAATGATGTTGGCAAAGGCCTTTGAAAGAATTGGTGTAATTATTAACTTGAAGATTCCTGCAAGAATCAAATTCAAGTTGATGGATTTGCTTGATGCTAGATCAAGCAACTGGAGTGAATGGAGCAAATCTAAGGGTCCAACCACCATTGCCCAAATCCATGCTGATGCTGAAAAGCAAAGAGAGGATGAGAAGAGAAGGAATGAAAAGAAGATGTCGAAGGGTGGTAAGAGCTACGGTGGTGATTCCAGACAAAACTCTAACAGCAACTGGGCTCAAAGTACTGTCTCTAGAAATGATATGAAAAATATTGGTGTTGTGAGAAACTCTAGTGATAAAGCCTTGGGTCCAATCAACAATTTTGCCAAACGCGGGGCAAGACACTCAAGTAATAATTTGGCTGCCGTTAACTCTAGAGAAAACTCTACTAGATCTGTTAGTAATTCTATTGCCTCAATTGGAAGCTCTGCCAATCTTGCCGCTAATGAATCTAAGTCCAACTTGTTTGATGTCTTGAATCACGAAGAATCTGATGAAGAAAATGGTAGTGATGAAGAAGAGGAAAATGGTGAGAATGATAATGGAGAAGAAGCAGAAAGTCAGGCTGCAGATGTCGATGAGGAATCTAAGGAAGAGAAGGATTGAATCGGATTTTGGGCAAACATAAATAAAAGTGTGCATTTATCTTCTTTTCTCTATTTTGTACAAGCGCTTTGTACTCACTATCATTTCTCGCTTGAAACCCCTTGTCATCTGTTCCTATCATTTTTTTTTTCATTATTGTTACTCACTGAATTGTTATTTTTTCTTCTCTTTCGTGCTCTTATTTTCCATCCGTTAGAAAAAATAATAATAGAACCTTTACTCACCCCCTTTTTCAACTTACCTTGATGGTGTAATTTTGTCCGTTTGTTTTTTATTTATTTATATTTTCGTGAATAATTCTCGAAATAATTATCGCTTTCTGGTTATTTATACGTATCTTATTTGATTTTTTATTTATTTCCTTCTTCTTTTTCACTATTGTGTCTACTAGCATATTGTTAAGCAAGCATTTCATTAAATAATCAAATTTGTCCATTAGATCTTGATAGTTATTGATGAAAAAAAGAAAAAGAAAAAAAAAAAGCTCGTATGGAGCTCAGTTTCCCATCGACTCCGCATTAACGAAGGTAGGTATACATACATCAGTTGTAATATTTGAAAGTTTTGATATATTTTAAGGCGTCCACTCGCTAGTATAATACATCTCAACATTTTATAGCGTTATACATTTTATATTATTATATCTATTATTATATATTTTGTAGTATTGTAGTATTATAGCATTATAGTATAAAATGTTAGAAATCACACCAACAAATTCGATGATGGAACACCTCATGAGGAGCTTACACAAAATTTTGCCGCCACGTCCAAAATATGGTATCCCTACATAAAAAATAACAGTACGAGAACAATAGAAATAAGTTTTATTATAATACAATATCTAATATTACGCCTCAGTTTCCTCTGGTAATAGGGCAAATGAATTGACAGGCGCTTTTTCAGGCTTTGTTTCCTCGTCACTCTCGATATCAGAATAGGTCTCTATTTCTTGGTCTGGCTTCAGGCTAGTCTTTGTGGATTTTTGAGGTTTTGACTCTTTTCTCATTTCCTCATCAAGTTGATCCCAGGTCATCTTTCTTCTTTGAATATTGAGTCCCTTGTTTATACTTTTTTCAATTTTGGCACTCAATTTCCCGCCAAAAGAAATGGCCCTTTTGACTTTGACATTATTGGATTTCATGATACCACCTTCTCCTAGCTTTCTGGTTTTCGATGTATCCTTCTTGCGAGCTTCTTTCTTCTCAAGTTTTTTTTGGAGAAGCTCTTCGTTTTTATTGGCAGTTCTCACGATGAAATTAGCAATATCTGCCTTACCAGAACTTCTTGGAAGCTTCGATAGTTCTGCCACTTCAGAATCTTCTACCTGAGCTCTACGAGCAGCTCTGGAATGTTTAGATATCTCTCTTTTACCCATAGTTTTTTATTAGTCTGTGTTTTAGTGGATAATCTATCTAGTGAGATTGGTAGAACTTAAAAAAAAATTTTAACTGATTCGATGAGGTATGTGATACATGCATCATCATACGTTAACAAATTGCAATCATGATTTAATCATATACTTTCTCACACAATAATGATAAGAGATTCTGTCAGGGAAGTAGGGAAAGGGAGATACATATATATTTCCTTCTGGTGATGTTTTTCTTTTATTATACTAACTCATTAGGATGTAGTGAGTACTAATCATGGAAAGCTACAAAAGTAGTGGGAGTGTTTGGTATAAGAGCTCGTGGCTTTTGAGTCATTTTGAGAAGCCTATGCTATGGGCAGACTGACATGGTATATTTTCTTCTCGTGTTATTCTTCAAGTGCGCATTCTTTGTATAATGTCTTGACTGAGTCTATTACAGCGCATTATCTGATTTTGAATTCATCTTGGATACTTTCATTTACTTCTGCGTCTGTAGCCTCAGTTCATATATGTTATCGATGGTGACTAACATCTCAATATCTTCATGACTTAAGTTCCTTGTAATGTGAAGCTTAATGTTACCACCCAAGTGTATGATATTCATTTAACAATTTCGGCTTATTATTGCTTTATGGATATGCGTTCTAATAACACGGATTTCGGTGGGGAGATACCACACATTTCCAATAGGAACATGTTATTTGTGTTTTTTGATGTGGTGGCGGCTGGGTACGTGATTTTTGCATTCCCTTTGGCACTTGCTTCTTCTTTCTTCTTAACTTCTTCAACTTTTCTAAGCTTGTCTCCTAATGGCATGACTCTATCATCGGACTTCATGATGCTGTCGCTAGTAGTCTTTCTTTCAATATCCTGTTCTCTTCGCTTATATGCTTTTCTCACATTTTTCTACTGGATCTTGCACAAGTTACGAGCGTATTTCAATAATACCAAAAGTTTTAGATCAATAAGACTAACCGATGGCGTAAGCAATATTTTCTGGAAAAGACACTCGTCAAAAACATAAGGGAAAACTCTTTGAGACTTTGCGATAAATAGACCGATTGCGGTAAGAAATTCCAATTCTCAATGACCTGTTTAGAGGCGAAGAAGATGCTGTCTTAGTTGCTTAACACTACCATCAGACAAATATTCGCACGGGTCAACAACCTGTAACTATGGATAAATGGAAAAAAAAAGGGCACTAGAATGAACAAGAAATATGACAACTATCGATAGATTAAACAATAGTTATCAGTATCACAATACCATGAGCATGGGCTATCTGACACAGGGTCTTTCATTTACTCACCATGATCTTATTTGCAAGTTTCATAGATGCTGTTTCAATATTTCCTTAAGGAAAAAAATTATTGTAATAAAAGCTTTTTTTTTTTTTTTTGATTCTCCAGTTGGTTATCTACAATCTCAATTATATACGTTATTTGTTTTAGTAGCGATGAAGTGAAATCAGGAACAAAAATTCCTGCATCTTCATAAACTGAACAAAAGAGTAAATACAACAAAACACATCAAAATTGCAAGGGCTGATGGTTTTCCTTTTCCCATTGGTAATAAAGCTTCCAAAGCTGGATCATACACTTCGGTTGCATATGTATCAAACTGTTGCTTTGCCTGTTCATGTGATGTTGAATTATAAGGTCTAGCATGCTCTGTGGTTATCAAATTCCCTTGGTAATATGTGTAATATAGGAATTCTGGTACAGAGATAAAATATGAATTTTCATAGAAGCTATAATATTGGCAGAGATGGACAATAATAAATTACCAATAATACAAATAATAATAAAACATGGCTTACCATACACACCATTCTCTAAAGTGCGACGGTTACCATGGTAGTTCCGTTGGGCACTTTTCTACTCTTCGATGATATATTCTACCATATTCTATACCTTATATACTCTTTGTTAAGTTGTTTTGTTATTTCCCTGTATCAATCAGGAGTTTATGGCACTTGAAACAGTAGCATCCTTTTGTACCGTTCATATATTTCAGAATATTTTTCTTGAGCTTTTTATTATTTATTTACTGTTTTCACGTAAGACGATCAAGAGAGATTGAGTAATGACAAAAGTATAATAATCAAAATTGTTAAAAAGAATAAAATGAAATAACATAAAAGAAATAACATAAAAGAAATAATGACAACTGATGTGACGATAATACTTGACCTTTCTCGAGTTTCTTGATCAAAATACTGGATTATGGGTTTTAAGGTTTTTGATACCCCTGCTTCACTTTTGGGTGTTCTGTTGTGCACCTTATATTTTCTGGTTTCAGATACTATAGAGTTTACTGATCAAGGCAAGAGCTGGAAACCTCCGGTTTTGGAGACCGATGTCATGATGTCGAGCTGCACATCATTTGCAACTTATCCACCCTCGACGAAAAACCCATCATATCATCAATTACCACACAGCATCCGTATAAATAATATAAATCAGGTATCATTTTATTCAAGTATGTAATATATATAATCTACTGGCAGAATCAGGACAATATTCAAAGAATTAAAAAGACAGGAAAAAAATAGAAGTTTGCACTCAACAAGAAAATTTAAAAAAGCTATGCAAAGTCAAATAAAAATGAGACAATAGTTAAAAAAAAAAAAAAAAGGAAAAAAAATTAGAAGCGTGATTTGGGAAGGAGAATGATCAATACCAAGTCAGTGTTGAACTTCTGCTTCAGTACTGCCTGAATTAACAGCTCTCTAAAATTTCAGTGCTCCTAGATTTCATTGCTTGTAACCAGAGAATCAGAATCAGATTCGTTGGCTCCCAAATTAATTACGATATCCTTATAAAGATCGCTACTGAATCTATTAATTTGGCCCAAAATAACTTGTTCGCTTTGATTAGCCACAGAATCGGAAGCATTATCAACAGTGGCCATGTAATCTTCGACGGTTTCCAGGTCAGTGCTGGTATTAGAGCTTATCTTGCTACTGGTTTCGACGCTTTGGTTATGTGTTTTCTCAGAAGACCCAACAAAAGTATTAGTTTGCATATCGGACTTATCAAGAAATGGAGCACAGTCCAACTTAGAGTCATCCTCACTGCGACTTTGATTGTCAGGATCTTCAAAAATATTATCTTTATTGGTAAAAAAATCGTTCATTTTCACGTCTGGCGAAGTTTCACGGGCAAGCTCATACAATCTGAATCGTCTGTAGTAATCATCAATGATTCTGTCGAGGCTCTGTAATGCTGTTTGGTAAGCCCTGTGATTGTGTTCAGTAGCGTCGTGAAACATATCGAGGACATCCTTTCGTCTGCATAGACCCTCTAAGGTGTCTACAGGCTGCTGAAGCGCTGTGATATATTGGTCAGTTCTTTCCAATGTCAAGAATTTTTTTAACCAATTGTCCAAGCCTGGAAGAGAGACATCATGCGGAGTAATAAAAGTTCTACCACCTTGCACAGTAGTACGCCGAGGATCTCGATTGTGCATTGTTGTGGTATGGATGAAAAGATGTAGAAATCCGAAGGGCTTTGGAGTTTTTAGGGGCCGGGTTGGATATATTATTGAAATAGTAGATTTAATTGCCGATAGTGAATCGAGAACCGGATGAATTGTAATATATGTATGTGATTTTTGTGAATCATCCTTCACAAATCTGAGCTAGGCTTGCCTTATTGATGAATATGCGACTATACCCTGTACAGACAGAGCCTAAACCTTTCATGCATCGGATGTTTCAGTTAATACCTACATGCGGCATCTCTACATGGTCCACAAATGCCTTCCTTATCTGCGTCTATTGTTTTTCACTGATTCCAGGTTGAAAGATTGGGTACTGGCATTAGCAATCTCTGTCATGGCACCATGGCCCTCCCTATAATTTCCTACTAATAATTTATGCACACAGTGAGCCCAAAACAATCAAACACATTTGATGATGCCTTCAAATGAGGTAGGTACACGGAATCGTCATCGTACTTCTTCTTCACTTCTTCCAAATAATCGTCCATATATTGTTCTCAGATCACAAAAGATTTCTCTGAAGCAAACTGCTTATTTTTTTTTTCTAATCGCCAATTAGACTCCTACGTTGTTAGCACCAGCCATGAAAAAGCTTTCCCCATCAAAATTAGTCCATAGCCAACATAATCAATAATTTCCTTTTGGTTTTAATGATCCATTGATTAGTTTGAATACACGCGGTTACTGCAGGCCAGATGGAAAGAAATTTTCTATGAATAACCGCATTTTGGTACCGGAGCTACTTCCGTCAGTAATGAAATAAACAACTTACTAATAAAAGAATCTCAAATTGATTCGACGTTGCGAAGTAAGCGAGAAGCAATATTCCTTCAAAATACTTACTATTTTTAAAAAATACTACAGCCATAATAGCTCTCAAAATCCTTAATCTCTCCAAGAAACTATACTATTGCTTGGAGTGAAATATGTGTTCCAAAGTGCAGACATCCAAGACACCGAGAACTTGACTTGACTTGACATCAGAAAAACGCCAAACTTAGAATACTTTTTGATATAAACAAAAGATAAGGCTTGGCTCTAGACCAATGTTAGTGTCATTTTGTCTCGTCTCAAAAGTTTAAATATTATCCAGACAGACTAAAATTATTCTCCCCTATTTGGCCGGATACTTATTTGTAGACAGGATTTACGGGTCATCTCAGATCGATGATGAAAAAAAAAAAAAAAAAGATTTCTGTAACAACCTAAAACCATAGATCATCGGCATGCTGTTTTTTTTTTCTGTTGTTGTCGTATACATACTGCGTCAGAGATTTCTGTATCCCGCACAGAATGTTAAGGCGCTTTCTAATACATCAAAACAGAGGGGATAGGATCGATAGCGATTGAGTTCAATAACTACATCGTTTCATGAGTAGTTAACCCAATAAATAACCAATTAGCATAAGCAGTGTTTGTCTTTATGAGCTCTAAATTATGACGTTAAAGGCGTTCTGCAACAAAAAAAAAAAAGAAAGAAGAAAAAACGATACAAAAGTAATTGCATTTCTCACTAATTCATTTTGTCTCTAAGGCTAATACTTACAATTCTTTTCATTTGAATGACATCAAATTATTGCGTGATAATACATAGCCAACGACAGAGCCCGAGGAATGGTATAGCTATCAATTTCTAGATAGTATACTATTCTATAGATACTCAAGGAGAAAAAGTATATGTTTCATCTCCAGACATAAGCGTTCGCATTCACAGTATTGAAGGATTAAGAAAAATTATTTTATGCCCAAAAATTATCAACGATAAAACAAATCCATCCGCCGTAAGAAATCCAGGAGAATATTAGTCTTATTATCGGATTGGAAATTTTATTAGAAATTGTAATACAAGTATTGGCCCCCTCACTTTCAATGCCACTTCCCATATTCAAATGATTTCTCACGGTGCAGCCATCCCAGAAGTTCCACCATTTAGATCGTTGACAAATATTTTCTCTAAGTAGGTTTTTCGCTAAAGGTCCTCTTGGACCATCAATGTATTTGTACTCCCAAGGAGACCAAACTTGTCTAGGGTCTTTAGGATCCATCTTTTTATCGCCCCATTGTCCCATGAAGAATAACCAAGGTCCATATTCTCTTTCCCTGTTATTGTATTTATAAATAAAATCGGTGTTATTGGTTATTCTAGAAGTCTTGTTTAGTGAAGGAACCAAATTAACTCCATCCCAAGTATACGCAAGATAGTTCATTGCCGGATCCCACAATGGGCCCCTATCAGTAAAATCCGACAATATGGAGTAAGGTAAATCATGCGCGTGTTGACCAACTGAAGCATAATTTGCATGCGTACCCCTGGCACTGAAAATAACTGGGCGTTGGTTTTTGGTTCCATTATTTCTTCTGCTATTTGGATGATTATGCCACTCACCTTGGTCAAATTCACCAAATTTTTCAACCGCGTCAAATTTATAGCCATTACCCCCTCCATGAGCGCTCATCCAAACATGGGTCGGTGTGCCGTCGTAAAAACGCACAAGGGAATGCTCCCAATCACCAACGTGATTACCATATGGACCACAACCCATGACAAATGGTCCTAGATTAAATGAATAAAAGTAGAACCAATAAGAGTCTACCCAACCATTGCCTTTATCAACAACAATCAACACAGCTGGGGCATCAGTGATCTCGCCATTTTCATACCGAGGCTTGTTGTGCTTTCCAGTGATCCATTCCGGATCAACCGAATAATCTTCTAAGCTCGTCATGAATACCTGTTCTTCTGTAGAGTATTGCGCAAAATCAGCAAGACGAGATAAATTTAATGGTAAATCAGCATGTGTGGTTAGGTTTGTGCCATTTCCAAATTGCAAATAGAGATGTGACACAAATTTATTGATATCGTATGGTAGGTATCTTTCCTCCGAATATAAATGAACTAGCGGAGCGAAATTTAGCACATAATCTGGAATATCACCCGGTAGTATAGTAGTTTGATTTTCGTCAGGGTTTGTTATTATTGGTGGTAGTTGTTGTGTCTTCAGCTGTAGCAAAGCAAAAGTATCATGGTCGTCCCAAGGGTTTGATAGGCCAAAACTAGTCCTGAAATTGGGAGCAGGCCATCTCAATTCCAGTTTTTTGCCTTCCAATAGATCGCCACAACTCACCAGCCGTAGCAATAGGAGAAAATTGATGATTTGATTTAATAGCACCATTGTAATTCCATGGATGCATTGAGAAGCTTGACTAGTGAGCAGAAGCAACATTTTTCTCCCCATCACTGTCCTTCACTAACTGAACTGATGTAGCCGATGTCTCTCACGTGCCAGGGAATACACATACAAAAAATATGAGTGTTTTTATTCTTTGGTAAGATGAGGCAAAACAAAAACAAAAAAAAAATAATAATAATAATAAAAAATACCGAAGACCCTTATAAATAGAGGTGATTAGATAGTTAGTTTTGAGAGATTGCCTCTACTGAAGAATATAATAGCTTATTCAAGAAATCATCATCAAGGAGAGTTGAAATTTTTTATGCTTTCGTTGATCAAATTCATCTCTTTAAAAAGCAAAAAGAGAGAATAGAGACATCCATAATAGAAAATGATTAATAAAGCTGATCATTATCAGCAGCTTGGAATCTCAAAAAATTCCACTGCAAGCGAGATCAAATCAGCGTACAAGAAATTGGCCTTGAAATATCATCCGGATAAGAATAAAGAGGTTGGCGCACAAGAAAAATTCAAATTGATAGTTGATTCATACAACGTGCTATCTGATCCTACAAAGAAATCCGAGTACGATAGAAAGAATGACAATTCTCAGCAATGGAGCAGAAACAATTATAACGCAGGAAACCCATATAATGTCAACACCACTGCGCCTTCGTTCAAAACATGGACGCGCCCTAAACCTTCATCATTCTATAGCAATTTTGCAACCAGTGCTAATTTATTCGAGTCGATGAAAAGTGGGAATTCATTCAGTAACTTCAAAGATGCTTTCAATTTCCATTCTACTCAAAATAATGATATGGGTGAGGAATGGTTTCGGTCAAGTGCCAATTCATATCGTACCTGGAAATCGAAACCAACATCATTCGGCAATCCGAACGTTAACTCATATAATACACAGCAAGAGCATAAAGCTTCGAAATACCAACAGAGTAATCAGGCTGATAATTGTACTTCCCAACAACCTTTTCACCAACAAAATGAAAAACAAAAGGAGAAAAAAAAGGCGAAAAAAAAAGATAGAACAAAGCAATACAAAATGCAAGGTAATATCTATCCAGATATACATAACAATCCACCCCCGAGTGATAAAGAGGACCCATCAAAAAACGAAGTGCCAAACGAAACAATAAAAACCTCGAAGTCTGATGTTGACAGTAATATAAAGAGTACCGGCAGTGGATGTCGGAGTGGATCAAAGACCAGTTACTCCTATGTATCCACGGAGAAAACATATATGCCTAGGAGCAGCATTAAAGTTAAACCAGCTCCACAGAAACTGGATGACGTTGATTTTAAATCTGAGCCTATGGGATCTACTTCTAAGAGTGGTAAGGCCCATTATTACGGAGGCTGGGCTGACAGCAAAAATGAAAACCAAAATGATGGTAATGCCAGCACTGAGAAGAAGGTCAAAACAGAGATGAAATCGTCGCCAAAAAGAAAATCTAGCACAAGTAACACTCCAAAGAAACAAAATCTTGCTGAGACCAGAATGTCTCCCAAGAGCAATAGAACCGCTGCGAGAGATACCGAAGATTTTCTGGACAAATTCGAAAAGTCTAGAAGAGAGAGTAATTGCAGCGAAGGAACTGAAAGCAATCCTATAGTGATTGACGAAGATCGGCCTGCTTCCTCTGCAACTGCTTCAACTTCTTCCACTTCCCCTAATCCTGTTTCAAATGGTATGCTGAAAAAGGATGGAGGATGTTTTAATTATAAGCCAGAAGCTGCCAAAAGCCAAAAAACTGATAAAGAATTGAAGGATGATCTTCTAGAAAGCCTATTACGTGAGGGTGAGAACAGTATGGGAGCGGCATATGCCAAAAGACCAAAGGTGGGTCCTGCAACACCGATGAAATCGGGAAGGTTTCCTGATATTTCTCAGTCGACTTTCAAGTCTGAGCACCCATTTCCAAATTATTCTGGAAGAGGTATAAGAACGCAGTTGGAGGATTCCGACTCTAGTAATGATGACGATGATGATGTTATGTTTATTGAAAAAACAAAATATGATAGCAATAATTATTACAAAAATAGCGCTAATGACAGTGACTCTAATCATGATGATCGTAATAATTATCATCCTCATGGTGCTGATAACAATATCGATGGTGATAATGTTGATGACAATAATGAAGATAATGGAAAACTAAATCATGAGACATTTGGATTTAACGGCACAAATTCCTCGACATCGGAACTTGGTACAAAATTTACTTGTTTTGATCAATCGCGTTTTGGTTTTGATAATGATAGTTCAAAGCTTCATTTCCCCAAAGAAACAATTGGCTCTTCGGACTCAAATTTCAACATAAAGCGTGTAAACGCTACGGTCAGAAATGAAAACACTGGAGACAAAAATGATTGGCGTGCGAGAACCCAAAAGATTTTCACTGTAGAGGATGATGATGATGGTGATGATTATGATCAAGACTTGGAATCCGATGTTGAGGTAAGACCCAACATTTTCCCTAGTACAAATAGTGAACCATCGGGATCCAAAAAAAGAAAGAAGGCTTACATTGATACCACTACTGAGAATGACAAAGGTAGCGCTGAAAATTTGTTTCTGATGCCCGATATAGCTAATATCCCACCATTCACTCAGAATAAACCGAAGAATTTTGATTTTGAGATTCTTAGATCAAGTCTTGATCATCATTATAAGCTGCAAATAAATGAAGATAAACTGCTGGCTACAAGACAGACGAATCAAAAGCCTGATTTTGAATCTTCTACTGGAAAATATGAAAGTCTCCATACTCCGGTGAACAAAACATTACCCTTTGTTCATTCCACGTTCCGCAAGTTGACTTCTCAAGATTTTGCTGTAGATCGCCAAATTTTATTGAATGCTCCGCCGGTAGGACCTCAAAAAATGGCTAATGCTTCAAAATTAAGCTGGGCAAAATATTATACGGAAATGAAAACCTACAATCAAAGGTGGTTGAACTATCGCCAAAAAGTGGACTCTTACCATAGACATCGTCTTGAGGCCTTGTTTAAATATTTTGATGATGCTTTGGACTCGTCAGTTAATCTAGAAGTTTACATGGCGGGCATTGAACTAGATCAACAGGTACTGGAGGAATTTACGAGAGCCCAGAATGCTTACATGAGCGCTATGCAAAACTACTATGGAGTTTTCTTTCACCTAAAAACTCATGGTTTTAGTTAAGTTAGATGATGCTCGCGGTTGTGTTAATATTATTTACTAAATAATGCAAATATTAATGAATTGAATTACCATTTGTAGTCTGAGCTGGATCCATTGTAAAGGAGAGGAGTACCAAAGAGTAGAAACGAAAAAAAAAAAAAAGGAAGAAAAAAGTATGGCAAAATGAGAATTTCCACCTATTGTTTTCTATTATCATTATACATCATACATCATTATTATTCATGCTCCATGGATCATCGAGATAATTTCTATGGATCGTAGATACTTCCGTTATGCAGGAATATGGTGAAACAGTGACATGCAGGTATTTCCAGGAATCACAAAAAATGTCAATTATTGGGACAAAAGTAGCCTGGATATTCAAAATAATTATATATAAGCTCCTTTTATGGTCATATTTACAGTTGAGAAACACTCTCTTGTATTTTATTATCTATTCAATTAAAATATTCAAACCATTCTCACTCCTGGGGTTTTGTTGGTGCATTTCGTTGATCAGAAACACAGATTACAAAGATTATTTCTTACTTCGCTTCGAAAAAAAGATCCGATTATTTCTCTTAAATAAGAATCAGATTCAAATCAAAAAAATGCTTTTTAAAAATCTCTCGATCTTACTTGCTATTCTTTTTGTTGCCACAGAGGCCGCCCCAATACCAGGGATTCACTTCGAAGGGGCGAAACTCTTGGCTCTGAAATTCGATAGCACTGATAGTGAAAGCAGCAACTAGACGGTATTTCCGATATATCACAGAACATAATGATCCCGATATTTTAAAAAAAAATATGATCAATTGTTATCTGATACAGCTATCTAGGTGAATACAGTTTTCTTCTTTTTCTTTTTCTTTTTCTTTTTTTATCTTTTCTTTATCCTTTTAGTCATTCTAGAAAATTTTGTTACATAGATTTTTATTTATAATAGATAAAATTATTAATTTACTGATAGTTGAGTAGCAAAATGGAAGATATGCTATTATTGCCGAAATCGCGGGATTGTGTCTTATAGTAGGGTAAGCTTTATCTGCAGATAGGGTTTAAGAATATCGGACTTTAAGATAATTCTGGATAAATACGAGCAGCAAAAAGCCAACCAATAATCTGCGTTCCTGTAAAAGCACGTAACTCTAGGCAAGATACGCGTAGAAGATTTTCCTCAATTTGAGACAAATGGCCCAATGCTATTCCATTGCTCACTACTACAGGCAAAAAAAAAGTAAAACAGTAAAATAGAGGAAAAGTTCTTTCATCATCTTTATTATCAGGGAATAAAATACTTATCATTCTTATGGACGATAAAGCCGATATACAAAAACCCAGCCCCAAGCTAGGAGCCACCGGAGGCCTTCCACATCCCCAAGATGACCTATTCAATATTGACGAGTCTTTGAACCTTCCTACTCATGAAGTACTCCATCTCAATAATTCCCAACACCCAAATAAATACAGTTCACTTGATGGTAACTCCAAGAGGGACCTGTTGAACAAAAAGCAGTTGGTGGTTGACAATGGCGGTGCCATTCAAGAGCGACCACAAGAAGGGGAGGCACAACCACACGGTAACAAATTCATGGAGTTTGAGGTTGAGAACGTTAAAGAGAGAAATCATCTCAAGAGTTTCACTAAACCATTCCGCAACATGTCCAATATCCAAGTCTCTAAATCCTTCTATGTTTTCATTGGGTTTTCAGTTTTGTCCACCATCCTCATTTTGCCTTTCCAAATCTTCCTTTTTTTTGATTCCACTCATCTAGACAGTTTCAATGGTTATCTGGGTTATCTGGTTTTCACAACTAAAGCTATAACAGTATGTTGTTCTTTACTTATCTTTGCCAGAGTGTATCAGATTTTTATGTCTGTTACAGCACTAATTACCAAGAACACCATCCAAGCTTTGTATGTTCTTGTGTACTTGATATCGGTATTTGTTAGTTCTGTTGACTACATGCGCGAATTTCCAGCGAGTTTGAATTATGAAACCACACATGGCGATTTCATCATGGTCAGATTTAGTAGTTATTGGATTATTTGCATATCGGGATTGACAATTGTTGCGCAGGTTGTGTTATTTGTTTGGAAATTAGGCAAAGAACTTAGTTGGCAAAGCTTTAAGTCAATGAAGAGCTCAATGAGCACCAGAAGTATGGTGCTTGTGGTGCAGAACTACAAGGCATTATTGATCTTGAACGGCTTTTTCATTCTTTGTGATTTGGTGATCTGTATCAACTTCTCTTACAAGGCTACTCATGGCTCTTATGATGCTTTCAGTATTATTGCAATGATCCTTATTGGATTGACACCATTTGTTTTTTGTTACCTTTACTTTGCTGTCGATAGAAAATCGGTCGTGGCATTGAAGTTTGGGATGTTTTACATGCTTTCGTTATTTATTTTCACCGTAATGAGTAGTTACATGGCCCCATCATTTTCAGGCATGTATCGTTATTATCCAGATGTTTTCGACGGCAATTCAGAATCTTTTGTGGATAAATCTGTGGAATACTATCTGTATATTGATCCTTTCCGTGGAGCGTTTGCGCCTTTCCATTACTTGTTTTTGTCATTCAGTTTTGTGGTGTCAATCTACTTGATTTCTATTTTTTACAGGGAAAGAAATCCGAAATGTGCTGGACTGTGGAAGAAACCGAAAAACGCAGAATTACCTAGCGATGCCAATTGCGCTGGTGAACAGAACGAATTGGAATCACAAATTGCCGTTCTATTGCAACAAAACATTATTTTGGTGACCGTTGCTTCGATTTTGGGTATTGGCTTCATGTCGTACATCTATACTGTTCGCAGAAAGTACTTGCTTTCTTGGTACTTGGTTTCTATTATCTCGATTTTTGCAATCTTGGGGCTTTCGATAGCTGCTTACCTCTATTTTGTTGCCACTGTTACTGATAGCTGTCCAAAGTATTTGAAAATATTCAACAGAACTGGCAAAAGTACACCACTGCAAACCAGCATTTTGATCAAAATCACCAAGATCAAGTACTTGTTTGTTGCCTCGATCGCCGCCTCGTTCATTCTTCTCAATGGAGCGGTCTATTTCACGTTTTTCATTGTCAATCTCTGCCAATATTATAGCTTCTATGAAAGTCTATATATTAACTCTGTACCAGAGTGCCTATTATATATAACTTACCAAGGGATTTTGATAACCGCAGAGCATGCTAGACCTTACAATTCAACATCATATGAACAGGCAAAGCAACAGCTTGATACATATGCAACCGAAGTGTATGATCCAGCTTTGGAAGCTTTATTACCAATGGGAAAAGGAAAACCATCAGCCCTTGCAATTTTGATGTGTTTTGTTGCATTTACTCTTTTGTTCAGGCAGAGTTTGAATTATTCCAAACTTTTGTACTTAACTCACAAGTATATTTCATTACCCCAGCAGAAGTTCCTCAATGTCACAGCAAACGAGAAGCCATCACAATCACCATCAAAAGATATTACGGCTGTGGAACCCGTGGTGACTACAACTAGCTTAGCTGACCCTGTTGAAGAACCAGTGAAGCTTTCCGCGGTTTCGAAGCTTTGCCTAGGTCTTGTATCACTAGTATACTTTAACATGTATTTTATTTCAATGGTCTTCTTGATATATGCTGCTTTCCCTCTTGATTATTGGCTAATTTACGAAATTGAAGGAGTTTCTGTTTCTCTCCCTGATTTCAATCCAACCTTGATTGCCATCGGGGTCATTCACATCGCGTATATTGTGATAGTTATTGGAACAACATACATGATTACCTATTTGCGCCACAAAAATCTGAAATCATCTGAAAAATCAAGGACAGCCACAAAAATCTTGGCCTTATGGTTTATGGGTAGCGGGGTGATTTGGATCCCGATGATCTGTTACCAATTTTATAAAATGCTTTGGATCTTCAACATAGTTGAGGGTTCACACGACAATGTTACAATTTTCTTTCCGGTTTTAGCGGGATTGATGGTTCAATTGGTTTCATTCTTGGTTGTTATTATCGGGGGAGGGTTCTTGTGGTGGAAGGTCAGGCAAGAAGGCCAGAAATATGAAGTAGTCTGATCAGTGAATTATTCAACCAATAGATGTTTTTGTTTTCCTTTTATTTTATTTTCTCTTTCTATTTCGAATTATTTCTTATTTGAACTTGCTTTGTTGAGATATTATTTTTCGACTGTTTTTTTTTTTCGACTATTCTTTTTCATTGACTTAAATGTTGATGTTCTTATTTAATACTGCTTTTGTCATTGCTTTTTCTCCTATAAAATAGTATAAAAATAAACATATTTTTTACTTTCTCTATTATTTGGAATGCTTTGTGCTTAATTGCTGTTCTTGGTTACAAACAAATACTGGTACTGATTATAATTAAATTCTTTTTTATTAGTACATAAAACAAACATATTATGAATTTACCTATATTTTACCCAATCAAAACGTAAAGAGCGCCACAATGTGGAGCACAAGTTAAAATAAACCACACTTAACAATATCCTTGTCATTACAATTCCCAAGATAGGAATCATGCCAAATGAATTCACAAGGTCCATACGCCACAAAACTTAGGATAGTTGCGGATGGGCAAGAGAAATTGCACAAAGAGGGAGACAACACGCAGTGTGCGTCTCACAAATGAGACAGAAATTGGTAGCATGAATAACTTGATGAATGAATGATGTCTCCAACCTTCGGAATGACCAAGTTATTCTTCTTCGTCGTCATTGTTTTCAATATAAGCAGCATGTCCATTTCTTCAACATTTAGTGGCGACTGCTTCTAATCAATTTGACATTTCAAATACAATGGTTTGAGCAAAAGCAAACCAGCTAAACCAACTTGAAGCAGAGCCTTCTCACTATAGGGTTCATAGTCAACTGTAACTGGTGACAAGAACGTAGATATTACAGACATAGAGACCATAGCATTCAGTAAACTTGGGGCTGGTTGTTCAAAGTCAATCCAATCCACATACCACTTGTAGATGATACGCACTAATAATCAATAGAAGATAGAACTCACGAAAAGTAAACCTAGCCGGAAAGAACTTGCCGAAAATATCAGTGACCAGATCAAAGTGAATGAAGTTGACAATAGAGAGCATATAAGTGAACAAAATCATATTTTCAGTCCCATGCCAAATGGGATGAACACCCATTGGATAAATATCAATTGAAGAACCCCCGAATTAGCTCTCTCTTTAAATTCTCAGGCCATTTCCAGCCAGACTTGAGCCATATGATAGAAGGGGATAAGATATCTTTATAGAGAATACCCGCGCATAATAGCCAGACACTCATAAGCAAAACAATCTAACGACCAGAATGGGGTACATCAAGAATATCACCACATTTCATTTCTGATCAATCACTATGGCAAGCACAATGCAGGGGGGGAAGTTAAAATGAATCCAAGATCCAAATCACAACAAATCATCACAAACATAAAAGAGGAAATCACAGTAATAGACAAAACTGGAATCTATTTGAGAGGCCATAGGCGTCACAAATTGGGTTGCTTGGTAGTTGAAAGAATATTGGCATATGCTTAGTCCCTCGTCAATAATTGAGTACCAGCACACTAATTCTCGACTGATACTGTGAGCTCAGATTGTAGTGTAAGATTTCTCGTGTCAGGAGCAGCATCAATGCCATCAAGTTGGTATCAAGTTGGTAGTTAATGAAAGCCATGGCCCTAGACCTGGCAGGTTCGACATATTCAAGATCATGCAAGTCGGAATCGAGCGATCGGCAAAACTCTCTGATATTATTCAAACCATAAGAGAACACAATGAATAAATAAAAGATTGAACAAACATATAATTAGTTAAGTTCCGAGTAAACATGAGAACACACAGGATATAAAGTAGGGTGACCACAGTACCAAACAGACGAAGAATAATAGATATCACACCCCTCTTGATTACTATTCTGCCTGGAGGAGGTCCCTGAACTTGTGTTAACCTAATGCATCTTAACTTCTGGATGACATGATACTTTATTGTAGCGAGTTTACTCATTACATTATCTTCTGGAAGTTAACTCTAGCCGTCGCCACATGAAAAATAAAAAACATAGCGCGGTTAGTACATCGGACACTTACCTACTTACTTACCCTTACTGCATACCCAAAGGTTAATTTGTCCCGGATACAAGAGAAAATCAGGTGTCACTTTTTTTTTGCTGGAAATAAAAAGCTAAAGCGGCGATCCTTATCTCACTAATACATGTCCGCTCTCCCTTTTTTTTTCTGCCCCTCTTCATCTTCACCATTGTTGATATTTATTATCCATGGATATTTTAGACATCGGATATATCTACCATGTCCCACCGATTACATTCCCCCAGGTCTGCCTCCTCATCCTCTCGTAGACACCAAATATCCAGCCCAACCGCTCTGACGTACTATTCTCCTCTGGAATCTTTCTCCCATCACTCCTCCAACACCCAGCCACCAGACCGCTCCCATTATCGCCAACCTTCGTACGATCAGTACGATGGGGGTATCACCAACCAACAACTCAGTATTGAAAGAAAATTCCACAACTATGACTACCAGGATATCAGCGATTTCAAGGTCAAAAGCTCGAAATCCGCAAAACTTAGAGCCTCCATTGGTGTTTGTGCCGCTACCATAAAATCGTCTAGGAGTGCCAAAAGCTCTAAAAGCGTTGCCAAAGTTCAAAGAGAATCGGCTTCTCGTCCCTTATCTTCTGGCGGCTCGTACTCCGCTAATAGTTCCGTTAATATCGATTCGATGTCAATAAGTATGCATTCGGTGGCCATATCTTCGGTACATCAAAAACACATCCACGTTGGGCCGGCAGAATCAACTTCAGGGGCCCAAACAAACTACGATAAACAGAAAGTCAGAATGTACTTGGAAAAAAAGGCCTTGAGCTCAGATTCCCAAACTGCCTTCGATTTGGTAAGCCTCGACAGCGATAGATCTGGTCCCTACCAACAATCACCGACTTGTCACGGATCAAATAGAAAAGCCAGACCAAGGGGTTCCAACGCATCATCTAAAAGGAAATATTCTTCTCTGCAGCCAGTAAATAGACAATCACACCGATCTAGATCGAGTCAGGAATATATTGATGATAATCAAGTATTTCTTATCAGCAAAGATTCTTGCATTCCTCTTAATGATGACCAGCATTCGCTATTGGATGATATCTCACTCCATCAACCACCGCCTCGCAGTTCCAGTCATCCCAAAATCAATTTGACCAACAACAACAACAACAACAACTCAACAGGATCCACCGACTCAGCCGGTTCTTCGAATTCCAGAAACTCCTACAATTATTACAATTCTAGTAGTCCATTAACATCTCCGGAAAATTCTCCATTGACTAACCCAAAGCAATCAGTGTTTCAACAATTTGACGGTCATCATGCTAATCCCAACTCCATGCAGAACTCCCCGCAGTTGTCGAATCTTTCCACTAATCAAACCTTGGATAATAAAACGTACCAACCTTCGTCAATTGTGAAGGCAGCCATTCCAAAAGAGGGCCATCTCTCAAAACATCATCATCGTAATCATCAAAACCCACATGCGACTTTCGTACCTCAATATAAACAGATACCCGAGGAAACTGCGTCAATGGGTAAATCGTTAAGATCAAGAAAACATTCACATCACTCTCTTGGATCTAAAATGGCGCCAACCAATGCCCACCATCGCCACAACAGCAATAATGAGACACTCAATAACAGTCATGGTAATGGAATTACTGGCCAAAACGTTGAGACTAGGTTGCCAAAAACAGTTTTCAGTCTTGAAGACACTTTGCGTGCTGACAAGGATTTGAGCTTACCAACCCATGAAGAATTAAAGCGCAGTGTGGCCACCAACCTCCATAGGAAACCAACCCCAACCCAAACCCCAAATATGAGTATGAGTGATGGCAAAGTGAAGAGAAAATCGGGAGGGTTTTTTGGATTTTTGGCTAATTTGTTCGGGGGTAACAAGAATAAAAAGATTGATAAGAGGAAAATTGAGGTTGTCAATCAAAGAATTGGGGTATATTGATTATGTCAATCATTTTCTTTACTGTTTCGTTTTTTCATTTCCATTTTCATAAGATTCCTTTTTTGTTCTCTTGGCATTTCGTTTTTGTTTTTGTTTTGTTTTTTCGTTTTTTCGTTTTTTTTTTTTTGTTATTCAAATTCTAATAGGACTTAATTTGCTTCTTCAAGCATTGAAAGCTTTCATATTTTATGTTCTCTTGCTCATGTTTCATATTGCTATATCTTTCATGCTACTACATCTTTCATTTATTTGCTGGTGTCCCACCTATAGTGTGCCCGCCATTCCGGTTTTGTTTTTTTTTTTAATCTTCTTTTAGTGTAATTATTATTTATATTCTGTCATAATACTGCCAATTGTATCAACTTTGGCAACTTTCTGTTTTTAAGCATTAGAAATTAGTTTATGAAGTTTCTTTTTGAGAGTAAGAGATTTGACTTAGTCCATTTGAAGACGGTTTGGAATTAGGAGTTGATGCATTTGTTTCAGTATATCACTCCCAATGGATGATATAGTTTTTTTTTATCTCAATCAAACTACATTTATCCTGCCACTAAAACAATAGTATCAATCTACCAAACATCGAGACTTGTCATTTTAATAAGCATGAGTTTATAATAAGAATACACTATTCAATATATATTTCTTTGATACCATAAAGCATGATAATGCCCTATGACGTCTAGGGATGTTAAAAAAAGGCTGTTTGTATGGTTCCACAGGTATTTCAATAATCGGTTACTGAATTTTTGTAAGTTTTGTTGTCTTTTAATACCAATTACTCCAGATCTTTTATCCTTTTATTATTGTTTCCTCAACTTGCAAGCTCCAGTAGTTAAATTTGTCTATCACTTAACTTAAGGGTAATTTGCAGCACACTTGAACTATATTAATTACCTCTTCTGGGCTCTGTAACTGCAACTTTGAGTTCTTGCAATCAAGGGGCCCATATACAGGTCTTATACTAGGAACCATATCATTAGATCTGTACTAATAAATATTATATTTGTTGTTCTAAAGGTTATATTTACAGTCATTATTGGATTAAGATTGTTGGGTGCCGGGCGGTTTTTCCTTTTTACCGTTCTCGCTGTTGCCCTTACTACTGTCATTATATTTAAATTTATTATCTAAAGTGTTTTTTTTTATTATACCCGAGTGCGTTCGTTTCGTCTTTATCTATATTGAGGTAATTTGTGGACCTGTAGAACTCTAGCAATTTCACATTTATTTTTCGTATCCTAGAATAAGTAACCTTGCTTAAATTCTTTTAAATTTTGTCTCCCCTGGGTGGTGCAGAAATTGGCTTCCATGTAACAAGTCATCTTAGATTAGGTATTGTCATCATAAAGCGTATACGCTCTGGTAGGTTATTGCACAATTTCATCAAATTTTGCGATATTCTACTACTGAGGAATATTTTTTATTGTTATCGTTGTATATTGAATTCAGTTGGGCTTTCACAAGCTCATATTTGAAAATTTATTGTACATAGCTGATAAAACAGATGCCGCTAAAGAGGGTTCCACTCCGCAGTATATCAACTTTTCTAGTATTACTCGTCAAAACTAACAATATTTAGTAAAGGTGCTGTATACCTATCATACAGAACACATCTCTAGCAACACAAATTTGCAAAGCACTGACATAAAAAAAATAATTACCCAGTTTATAGGATAAACTAAATAGAGCTTAGCGACGCTTTTCAGCTTTAGTTTCAGACTGCTCAGAAGATGAAGTCTTGGCCTCTTTCTCCTCCTCTATGTCTTCCTTATCCTCCTTTTCATCTTTCTTTTCAGTTTCCACTTCCTTATTAGATTTGGCGTCAACAGAGTCATCAATTTCAGAGGTCAACTTCAACAATAAAATAGCAAGAGTGCCAAAGAAGACAGAGAAAGTGAAGCCAAAGACCCCACCATAGATGAGAGCTTCATTTCTTCTTTCAGTTAGAACATACACTGGATCTTCAACGAGATCAACCATGTAGTCATTAGCGTCTTTCAAGAAGCTCTTACCAGATTCGAAAGCAATTTGATAAATTAATGATAATTGATCAATAATAGTAGCTTCTTCAGCCTCGTCAGACACATTAGGAGCCTCGTCAACTTGTACAGATTCCTCTTGATGAAGTTTTTCAATTTGTAATTTTTCAGCGAAGGTTTTGTTGCCAATAAGCTCCGCTTCGGAAACAGAATGACCCAAATAAATATTGTCAAACAAGAGATTTTTATCCATAGTCCATAATTCGAAACCTAAACCGCCAATTGGCTCTAAGTTGTGGGCCTCGGTATCTTCATAATAATCTGGATTTTCAATCTTTCTTGGTGCCCATGGACCCTTATAATCTGGGTTAGGAATCATTGGCTGGATCCACTTACCCTTGTAGTTAGGATTTTCAATGATTGGTGCCTCCCATTTACCACATCCATGTTCTTCACATTCTGGGTTTGGGATTTCAGCAGCAATCCATTCTCCATCTTCCTCATCATCCCAGTCTTCTGGTTTTTCGGCTTCTGGATCTGGAATATATTCAGGAGTATCTTCATCCCAGTCTTCTGGCTTTACAGCTTCTGGATCTGGGATTCTTCTTGGGGCATTTTCGTCCCAATCCTCTGGTTTGTCACTTTCTTCTGGATCTGGGATCTCAATATCATCAACCCAGGTTTCTGGTTTGACATCATTTGGATCGTCAATTTCTTTTGCTGGGTTGAAAGCTGGAGTAAACAAAGCACCATCCAACAAGTTGCCAGCTTTAGCCACTTCGCCGTTGATTCTAATTTCAAAATCGTTATTTTGCTTAATAATCAAGGTATATAGAGAAGATAGCCTGGTCATTTTAGCCATTGGGGAAGTTCTAAGATGTTTTTCCTCGTATTCGCCAGTGTGAGGATTCTTTCTTCTGATAATGAAGTGAACCTTATTAGTCAGACCACACTTATCTGGGCCAAACATAATTTGGTATGGAGTTTCGTTACTAAATTCTTCGTCCAAGTTACCGTCGGCTGATAAGAGCTTGATGTAGGCACCACCACAATTCAAGTCTTGTTGAAACTTGGCTTCATATTGTAAAATCAAGTCCTTGTCGGTGTTGTCGTAAGGCTTATTAAAGATATATGAGATGGCGTGGTGGGATGCTGGTGATTTAGCCACCAAACCTTTATCACCAGGGATGGCAACATCATTTGGTTCTTCAACAGCCCATCTACCAACATAAGAGAACTCGCCGTCTCTTTTGGCGTGCGAAACCTTCCAACGACTGTCCCATGAGTCGTCAAATTGTTCGAGAATAGCATCATCATGAGCAAGTTTGGTTTCCCAAGGAGCAAAGCTGTCTGCGGCTGCAACGGCGGCAAGAACGGCAATTGGAAGAGTAGAAAACTTCATGATACACAGGTTGTTGATAAAACAAAGAAATAAAAAAAAAAAAAAAGGCGATTGGCTTTGTTTCTTTGTTGGATTAAATACTGGGACGATATGTTGTAAACAAAGGTTACCGCCAACGTGGTGAAAAAATGGAATTTTCCAGAAATCACAAATCTAAACGCACTACTGTTTAGCATATATGTTAGTATACACTCAGTCAAGGTTATAGTTCCTAAAGTAGTATTTCTTTCGCTTTTCGTTTTTATACCACTAGAGTCGTAGTATATTTACATAAATACCCTGGTTTTGGTTTTGGAACAGTAATTAAGCTTATATGGTGATGATCCATCTCTGAATCACAATTATCATGAAAGGGAATTGCATTGAAGTTTGCGTGAGAAATTTTGGAAGTTACCAAATAGGAGTTCTCAAGAATTCGTAACTGGGAATAAATACTCTCCAAACCACATCAGTATGGTTGTTTCCTAACCTCCCTTTAAGCTCCAATTACAAATGACCATCAGTGAATGGCTCAGACCAAATTAATTCTGATATGACTGCTCTCCTGATTCCTATCATTTCTAAAAATCAAGAAACTAGAGATTCATTATTTTATTATATAAGCAAGTATTTAAACAAACAAGCAACATCGCTAACAAAAGAAAATCTTGGGGTAATTAATTATATAAACCTTTTCTCCTGGAATTATTTGCATTCGCCTACCAGAAAAAAGAAAGAAAAAGCAACAAACAACCATTAGTTTATTATAGAAATATTCAATTTTATATTACTCAAACTCACCTTTTTAAAGATCTCATAGCATTTTCTTTAGCTGAGCCAAAACGGAATTCAAGAATGGTATTATCCTCATTTAAATCACCGATAGTACGTCCATGATCCTCAAGAAAATCAATCAACAATTTCTTTTTCTCTTCTTCTGAAATGCTATCAGGATTTTTCAAGGATCCTTGTAAAAGGCCCCAAATTAAATTATTCTTCTCTCTGATTTCGATGTCCTCACTGATCAGTTCAGCCCATAAACAATCTATGGGGGTAGATAGATTATTAAAAATGATAACAAGTTGACTAAGAGTGACACGCAGTAGAGTGCCGTAGTGTGAAACCTGAGATGTCAAAAAATTTACCATGAAATTATCTAAAAGTGCGCCGCTAAAAATGTCAAAAAGACTTGGATTGATTTCATCTGCATTATCATAGATTATGTTTATGAAGGTGTTGATATCCCTACTCACTAAACAAGTTATGATGTCAAATAATAATTTGTGTTGTGCGTCATTTTTACTAGTGTTGTGGGACTCTGTATTGTTTTGGCTAGCGTTTCGCGATTCCATATCTGATTTGTGTGCTTCAAAGGATGTCAAAAAATTACTGAACATATCTTCATTGTGCAATAGTGTTTCATACCTTTCATCAGATTGGTCATTATCATTATCATTATCATTATTATCCGTATCCTGCTTTGTTTTATGGTAATTTCTTTCCAATACGCCCCAGGACGGGTGTACCAAATAATTGGTAAGGATTGCAAAGCAAACTAAGTCACGGTTGTGAATAAAAACATTGTGTTCACTTAAAATCTTGTTGATACTGGCTTCAATTAAATTGTCGTCTTTCGCACGCTCTTTATTCCCCGCGTTCATACCCGCATCCTCGCCTTTGTTGCTAAATCTACCCTGTCTCCTACTGGTCCTAGATGATGTACTATCATGAAATTCTGAAATTTTTAGAATTAGGCTCCAAAATTGGCTTTCATTTTCAAGAATGTTGGTGCCTTTATGAAAATATTTGCTGCCAAGCTTGTCTTCGACTGTCATTCCAAACTCTGCAGCTCTATTATTCGTCGAATGACTCAGATTAAAAATATTTTCATTATTTAAATTCATTTGGGACAATGGTATTTGTCCTCCGCAACCACGAGTTTTTCTTCTCCTATTATTAAGCAAATCAGACACAGGCAAATTTGAAACATCAAAACCACAAGCAGCGAAAATATTTTCAGGTATTTCAACCCTAAATCTGGAATTAATAGCTAATATTCTAGTAACTATAACAAATTGTGAATGTGCTTCATCAAAATTACCAGAATGAAATGAATTCAAAGCACCAAAATAATAAAACTCAACCAACTCATCATAAAGAGACACTTTTTTGTTGGAAACATTCACGCTGTAAAACTTAAAATCAATATCAGTAACAGCACGAATATTTTCCATGGCAATGTCGTATTCCGTGCTATCATAATCTCGGTCCTCCAAAAGATGATACCTATTCACCTGGACAATTGGCCAAAGCGGAGTAAACTGTTTGAGATTTAAATCACCAATATAATGCAGTATGACTTTTGCATACATTTGGGTAACTTTCACTGTTGCTTCCAATTTAATCGCTAATTCATTCAACAATGTAACGATATTCCTAAAATATTCAAAACAATAGCACAAAATTGGCTCACCATGCTTAACAGCTGGACTTATAGCAGTAATTGTGCTGTGTTTCCCTGCAGTTCCGGTATTCAAGTTCATCAAATAAGTAGTAGTAAGTTCAAATACTTCGTTGAATACATTTTTGTAGGGATTGTTGTCTGAGCCGTCTGCTTGTGCTAGTTGACCACCAGTAACAGATAAATTACCATTCACCACAATAGCAAGCTTCACCAAAAGTTTATTAAGAATGAAAGACCAAAGCAAGGTGTGGTAATTGGGCTTTCGATCTTTAAGGAGATCAAGTGAGAAATTGAGAAGATCAGCAAAGACAAATTCTTTTCCTTGTAGGAAAACGCTTTCTAAACTTGGGTTCAAATCATCGGTAATTGAAGCAATAATCGTCTTTAGAGGAAGAAGTTTCTCTGGACTCAAATAGGACTTATGTACCATCACCAATTATTGCAACCTTTATAATAATAGTACTTACAGCCAAAATGGGAAACAGAGTTTGTCCTAGTTTTGGAGTTTGTGATTCTATGAAATTAAATCATCAAGTCACGTGGATGACGATAAAATCCTGTCAAACAAAAGAAGAGTACTTTCCTATTTCCCAAATTCTCCAGCAGGCGAGCCGTTAAAAGGTTTGTCAAAGGCGATTACGTCGAATAAAAATTAGTACTACGTTAGATAATCACAATTCATCTCGAAAAATATTACATTAGACTATAAAAAGAAAAAGGTGTGTTGGTGGGATTATTATAGATAATTATAGAGGAAAACTAAATATAATAAGTTTATTTCTTGTTCAAAACATCAGCATCATATTTTTCCTTGAACCACTTGATGGTGTCTTCCTTGTTGGTCTTGTGGGACAAACCGATCTTACCCTTACATCTCTTTCTGAGGGCGACTCTACCACCTGGTCTACCGACGACAACGTAGAAGTCCATACCGTAAATACCAATACCTGGGTCGTACTTGATACCCAAGTCAATGTGTTCGGAGATACCGAAACCGAAGTTACCGGTTTCAGAGAAGTTTCTTTCCTTCAATTGGAATTCCTTGACCTTCAAACCTCTTTCCAAGATTTCTTCAGCCTTTGGACCTCTGACAGTAACGTGGACAGCAATCTTTTCGTTTCTTCTGATGCTGAAAGTTCTGACAGTGTATCTAGCCTTGGAGTGAACTGGAGTTTGACCAGACAATTGTTCCAAAACCTTGGAGGCTCTGGTCAATCTGTCACCAGATTCACCAACAGAGATATTGAGGACCAATTTCTCAATACGCAAGTCACGCATTGGGTTTTGAGCTTTAGATGCGGCAGACTATAATAATTGTTAGTAAAATGATAAACACAAAGATTTTAGGCTTGTTTTTTCGGCCTTTATGAAGCAATAGTGTTGCTTGATTAGTGATGACTTGAGTGGGAAAAAAGACTTTAAACCTCCATTTAGAACTTTTGATTTTTTAGTATATCCTTCTGACTATAGAAACGCTTTAATAAAGATTTCCATCTTCAAGAAGTATTAATATCCAATAGATCTCTGAGCCTTCAACTTCATTTTTTGTTGTGAATTCAAGAGTATAACAAATTTCCCAAATAGTGATTATCTTGGTAAAGGAATATTCATCATATATAGCTGCTTGTTGTTTGAGAACACTTTCTGGTCATAAAACTTGTTGATAACTCCCCATATAACTCGATGATTCTGAAATTTAAGATCACAAACGTTTTAAAAAGAATATACATTAACTTGATACTTGATTCCAAACAAACAACACATTACTTTCATTAGGCAATTTCACTATTCTAGATGTCTCCCACATACCATTTTGTTGATTTTCGCTATATTCCTGTTGGCTTCTATTATGATAGAGAAAAAAATTTCAATCTTGTTTTCACTTTTTTTCACCTAACCAGGCTCTCTCACCATAAATTACTAAAAGCACCAGAAAAGATGTAGGCAAGAAAAACTGATTCCGCAAATTCTCTTTCTGTCACATGACTTACTGGTGTCACAGTCGCGCCCTATATATTTACACGTGGCTCGCAGTCGTTATATAGGGCTTGGTTATTGCCAAAGTTTTATTATATAATATGTTATATAACCGGTTATCCGCATTATTATGCAGGATGGTACAATCTGTGTTTTCTGATATCATGTAAAGTACATGACGTTTGACACCGTCGCACACCGATTGACTTCTATGCTCAGTGATTTGCCTTCAACATGACAAACTTGTGACGTTTGCGTTAAATCTTTTCAATGATACGTGATCCGTGGCTCTTCGTGTGTCTGTTTTATTTTATATGAGGTTTCGTCAACCTGAATTCTATCATGTAAGCTTCATAAATAATGTACCTAAAGGGTGACACAAACAGTTGACGACCACTCGGATCAGGTGTCATTTAATACTTTTTGAAGCTTAAAATTATAGGAAATCATCCCTATTGGAAGCTATTGATTCCTGTCTCTTTTCCTATTATTATTATTATTATTTATTTATCTTTCTTATATTATATCCTATATTCCTGTTATTCGATTGGGGTTTGGGTTGAGAAAAACAAAATAAGGAGATTCCCGTTATCTTTAATATACAAACAGCAACCCATTTGAATTACTGCGAAGGTAATACATTATAAAATCTTGTTTGGATAATGTTTTTTCCAGTTGTTTTTTTTTTTTGGACAGTTATAACGAATAATAGACCTGTTTGGTGAGACCAGCCAATCCCTACATACAAAAGATTCTGATATCATCTGCTTAAGGGAGTTGCACGAATGAATATTAGTGTGACCGTTCTCCCTGAATAGAAACAAATATATATATTATATAAAGACAAAATGCCACTCAAATGATAATGTATCATCCTCACTCTCAACGTTGCAGATCGTATGCCCTCATTTTCTCTCTACAGTCCCACCCATCTAAAAATTTACCTATAAATAGACGCTGACTCCCAGAAACTTCCTCTGTGCTTTGTTGTTTGCTCTAATAGTTAGAAAGCACAATCATTAAAATAATAATAATACTGTATGGCATCATCGTTTGACACTACAGGAAAGCTCTTGGATATTAAGAAGCTTATATTCATAACCAAAAGATTCTCATGGATGGATGAGGGAATCACGGATCCTGACAAGCCATTATATGAAGCTACTGCCAAATTATATTGTCGCCTATGTGATGTTCATAAGATAAATGATTGGGAAGCTCACATTTTCACAAATAAACATTCTCACAATAAATACCGCTATAAGACTTTTTATCGCATCTGTTGTGGTCTTCTCAGTGGCTTCTTGATCGGTGTTGGCGCCTTTCTAATTATTGCTATTTGATTATGTTTTCTTTTTAAAGTTGATCTTACACTATGCTAGTTTGCGAATCTTTCGTATTGCTTTTCTTAGCTTCATCAAAGAAATGCTTTCTTCATTTTAATCTAACAAGTTCATGATGAGTTTTTATCAGTCCCCTCCCTCAAGGATAATATCATACTATATTTCTTCATTGTTTCATATTATACCATATCACATCATATTATATTATATCATATTATATTATATTATATTATATTGCCACACCGTCGACGTCTTTGTTGTTAGATCTGACTCCAATAACGTAGGAAAACTCGCGATGTTTTCCGTAATGCACTACATCCAACAAAGAAAACCATGTTTGTTGTGACCAACAACTCTTTACACAGCCCAGTTATAAGTCTATAAAGAAACAAAGGAACGAAAAAAACAAAAGGTGTTGTTTCCATAACCCCATTTTATGACTTTTTGTCCTTTGATCCTTTTTATTTCCTCTTATGGGAAGATCACCGTTGAGGTTCGGACCCACATCAACATACAGGAACGGAATGGAATGACTTACGTTCCCATGGTGAGCTACAAAGGGAAGGTGAGATGAGTATACCCGATTACTTTATTTTGAATATGAAGCAAGGATGAACCCGGGTGTAATCAGCTCTTCTGAATAACAATAAATTCCACGTTAGTGTAATTTTCTACAGCATAGTCCACAATCAAGGTAGATATTGGCCAAGCCCTCACTATAGACTTTTTGATTCATATATATATATATATACATTGATATCATTAAGTTTTGTAAAATTATACTGATACAGAATAATATACAATTAAATGAATGCCTAAGAATACTAATATGGTGGAAGGAATTTAAGAAACAGCCATGAATAAATCTCTACCAAAGAGCTCGTAGAAGTGATTGCCCTTGGCCATTAAATTTGTAGACAAGCATACCACTCATTTTGGAATAAATCTCAACAAGCCATTGGTCAAAACAAATCCATATCCTGTCAAACTGATAGTATTGGCCATATTGAGCAACAAGCTCATGCCATGGTATTTACCGAATTGCTTGCTCATATGCTGTAACTCACCTTTCAATTCTTTGACCTCGTCAGAGTTATCACCATTTTCCTCGATCACTGCTGTTAATTGGGCTTCCAATTTCAATTTACTGGTCTTCAACTTTTGGACTGTTGGCAATAACCAGAAATAGTTGAGGAATTGGAATGCCGATGAGGCCCCTAGAAGAATAATGCTGAATTTTCTGAGACGCGGATCATAAAGCACCGGAGATGTCAAGTATAAACCAAGCGGGACAATTGCTTCCGCAAGAAAGTACTTTGGAAGGATTAAATTGGTGACATGGCTGAAATCTTCACGTTTGAGGTTCTTGAATAGGATTGGGGCGTTGATGTACGAATGGAAAATGTTCGTTCCGAAAGCGAGGGAATAGATAAATAAATGGTAAGGAGCTGGATTGTTGAAGAGACCAATTGTCATTTTCGAAAGTTCTTTTATTTTAGTTTCATAAAATTTAATGAATGAAAGCAATAGCAAGATGGGGGATGGAGTGGCGAATCATAAACTTTTACACTGGTTGTTTTCCTCTTGTATTTTTCCTGTCATAACTCACAGGGGGTGCAAACCCCACACCACTAATGTGTTTTAGAAAGACAGTCATATAACTACATTACTTTTAATACTATTTATAAGCAAAACGACGGGAAAAAAAAGGAGAAAATATCGAAATAATCACAAAAAAAAAAATCCAAAAAACCCAAGATAAATAGCAGCAAGCAAACAAACAAACAAACAAACAAATAAGGCTCTTTTTTCATAATCGTCATCAAAAGGAACATCCACGAAAGCTCAAATCAATGGTAAAAAGTTCCCGATAATCATCATTGGAATCCCGAAAACATCTCTTTTTAAAGTCCAGCAACATTTTGTTCTGATTTTTTTGTCTCCCTTAGGATTTACTAAAACACATTCAATCATTCCTGCACCTTTGTAGTCCTCGTATGCAATTTTACTAAACAACTCAAAATATCCAATCACTGACTCATCATCCATGAGCTCGACAACAAATGTGATTTTAGATAGTAGCATTTCCACACTCCAACCAGTGAGCATGGTGAACTCCTCAGAGACAAATGATATTTGCCCTGTACGTCTCCAAATAACCGTTGGAGTTCCAGAGATTGAGAGATATTTGTGATACTCTAACAACGCACGTTGGAAACATTGCTCCATAAATATCAAGTCTTCTTCTTTGAGAGTCATGACTTGAGCAGTAAAACTAGGACGATACTGGGCCATTGATTTGACAAGTTTCACTAGTACAGTTTTATCATTATGGAATCTATGACGCAAATAAACCACTAGCAAATGGAAGCCTGTAGTGTACGAAAAGGGTTTCTTGACCTGGGAATAAATTTCTTCTGGTTCCTTGAATTGTAATCCCCATTCCATATGATCATTACGGTGATGATGATGATGAACATGTTTGTCGGACTGAACCCCGATGGCAAATGATAAAGTTGATCTATGGGGCCTGGCTTCTTGATCTATTGTATTTTTCTCAATGACATCACGAATGTCTGGGTAAGTAAGGTAAGGTTTACTATCAGGCAATCCAGGAAGTAAACCAAGGAAGTATTGATTTATTGAAGGATCCCACTGGGGACAGATATCAAAATTTGAAGTAGTTGACGATGAAGATCGGTTCATTGATGACCCATCATTAAAATTATTAAAAGAATGCTTGGCATACTGGATCATGTGGCTATTGTAATCATAACCTTGTTCAGATAACCGGTTATCGTTTGGGGATCCTACATATGGAGGTGTTGGGGTTTCCGAATAGGCACCACTGCTGGTAGTACGTAAAAGCGAATAACCATTATCGTTGGCGGGTACGCGATGTTGGCTATGTTCATGGACATTCTTTATGTCCTTTGGCTTTTGACTGAAAAGGGAGAAATTTGAAACCAATTGACTGTAGTCGTTGCTATTTTGTGGCAAGGTTTGCATTAATGATGGCTTCAAAAAATCTAATGATCCATTATCATTTAAAGGGTTTTTGATGATATTGGTAAGCACGGCGTATTCTAGATCAGCTGCTGCCGAAGAAAACCGGGATTGTCGTTTACTTTTAACTTGAGATTGTTTCAAACCGTCACCATCATTAATTATTTTTTGGTTATTTGCCTTATTATCACCTTTGGCCGAAGACAGGTTCTGCGCAAGGAATTGATCTGTGCTAGTATTCAACAACTGGTTGGTTGTTGGAGCTTGGAAGGCGTTATTTTGAGAAAAGAAGCTAGTTGCCGAATCAAATAGTAGTGGATTAGTGTATTGGTTACTGGATGGCGGTGTTGGTCTGGCATTGCTCTGGAAACTGCTATTGGCATCACTAGCAATACTATTGTTATTGCTATTATTCATTGAAGGAGGGCATGATGTAGTTATTTGAACATCGTCTACATCCATCAAATATTTCTTTTTCTTTCTGGGAGCATCAACACAAGTGTCGGCTAATCCTTTTCTAAGGCATCGATTACAAGGTCGATTACTATCACAAGTCAAGTGGGCACGATGGCAATATGTACATGCTCTAGCGGTCTTTTTCCTCGTCTTTGGCTGAAAGGAAAAAAGAAATGTTTGTTAGTATTCTGTAATATTTCATGAACTATTTTTTTTTATTGTTCCTTCAGCTACTATCAGACACATACCTTTATACAAAGCTTTGTCGCGTTGGACATTTCAAAGAGATCACTGCATATGAATGAAATAGATATACACACTAAAGAAGAGATCCATAAAATATAGTGATTTGATGTTATTGATCTACCTGATATTGGTGTAGATTCTATTATTTGAAAAAAAAAAAAAAAGAGAAGCAAAATAAGTCACAGCACAGGATCAGTCCGAAGAATATTTTGTAAATGGCCTGTAGCTCATCTCAGGCTTGTAAGATCTTTTTTTTTTTGTTTTTCTTTTCTTTTTTCTTCTTCAGCCAAATCCTTAAACATTGTTTTTCACACAGGATTTATAGACGGGTAATGCGCATGGCAGGAGAGCACACTGGTAATAAATAACACAGACGTTTTCTTCAAAAGTTAATGATTATTAATGATCGTATTGAGATAAGATACGTAACTCGTAATGTGGCTTTCATATAAAAACTTATTCATATATATCAAGGCATACCAATATAGTGGTTTTCATGCGCGAAAACACTCATTAGTTTGTCCTTTGACCAATACTGGATAGTTTGCAATGTCCTACAATACTTAGAAACTACTTACCATATGTTTAGTAATATAAGAAATCTGATTTCAGAAACTTACACTTTGCAATGACAGAGTCTGCAGTATGGCGGTCCTGACACTCTTGGCCACCAATCCCCTTTGGACCACCCTTAACTAAATAAAGAGGAACTATTTTCTGCAACACGTCTATTTTAACGATCGTCGAAAGAATTACCAAAGGGGGAGCAGTGAATAATAACTCCTTCGCTTTTCCACTGCAGAAGGATATGTCCTATTTTATATACCTATATAGGTTCTGTGACATATACTGCCAGTATTTTTCATTCGTTATCTTTATTATTACTCCATCCTCTCTATCTATTTGAAGTCTTTTTCAGGCTTGATAATATTTAGTTACTATTTTTTTTTTTTTTTTTTTTGATACATGATAGACACTCTATTTTATAGCTACGATACAACAGCGTTAGGAAATCTCTAAGCAGCTAGTTCCTTTCTGTAATATAAGCCTGCTCTCATGTTAATTGACGGATTGGGAGTCTTATATTAGAACTATTGGATAGTTCTAAAAGGGAATTCTTCGAAATGCCTGAATGTTCTACGAAGGATTATTAGTGAAAAAATACATCCTATAAGGGCATTAATAATAGTATTATGATACCTTGAGCATGTCCTATGTTACACTTTTTTTCTTTAGCAGACAGAAATCCAGCAAATAATTTCAAGTTTACAAGGTGAATTACAGACAAAATTTTCATGTACAAAACCAAAGCACCACTGATGTGGTATTAGTTTGTAATATATTATTTTAAAAATTTTTGACTAACACCCTCACAATACACATTAACGGTGTATTGATTTCTATGACTGACAAGCACTGGAAATTTTATTCCGCCCCTTTCACCAAAAATAGCCACTTTCGACACGCCCCTTTAAAGTTTGGGGTTTTGAAAGGGGCAACTATGTCAACAATCACCTGTTCTTACTTTGCACGTGCACATAACCGAAATTACCTGTCACGTGTGGCGAATAATAACAATCACTGGAAAATTGCCAAAGCAACCATCGTCACTTACTACAATAATTTATTATTGCTGCATACGTATCCCCACACCCCTGGATGAGCAGACTCCCACGCCTTGTATAGTAAAATATCGCTAGTACTTAATACCTTCATTTTTTTTTTTTTTTATTTTTTCTTCTGTTTTTTTACACTTCTGTTTGGTTTGTCTTATGTTCCTCCCTTCAATCAGAACCGTTGGATCACATACACTTCGTCATATCCTGCCACTAACCCATCTGGTCAGATCTCCCCAATTATTGTTTCCGCGCACTCCCACAAGAATCATGCTCGCACACAACTTGGTCACAATCTCCTCATCAATAGTGGATGCTTTAAAGAAGCACGAGCTTTTTCCAGAGGTCCTTGATGAGTTCACTCCCCAAGGACTACTAACCATTAGCTACGGCAAGGACTTGGACGTACTCCTTGGGAACCAATTGAAAGTGAAAGATACCCAAACCTTGCCAAAGATCCAGCTTACCTTGGACATTGGCGATGATGAGCTTGTATCTACATTTTCTGCCTTAGACTACTTCACTTTGGTGGTCACCGACCCTGACGCCCCATCCAGAACCGATAAGAAATGGTCAGAATACTGCCATTACATCAAAACCAACATCAAGTTGACCCAATCCGATGGCGCTAAAAACTCTGACTTCTTGAGCGCTCAGTTGGATCTCAATGAAGGCCCGGACTATTTGAAATACGAGGGCCCGGGTCCTCCTCCAAAGACCGGAAAGCACCGCTATTGTTTCTTCCTCTTCAAACAAAAGGCAGAAATCAACCCACCTCCATTAACTGGAAGACCTAACTGGGGGCTTGGGAAACCGGCTACCGGGGTTCGTGAATGGAGCACCAAATATGGGCTTGAGCCGATTGCCGCCAACTTTTTTTATGCCCAAAACGAGACTCAATGAACTCACTATTCAAGAAGGCGACGGGTGTGCCATTATGGCTATTTATTAAATGCTTTTATCTGGAAGATTGGGGTGGTTTCTTTTGTCTATTTTTATTTTATCAACGTTTACTATTATTATTAATAATATTGATTTGGTTTTTTTCAAATGTCCTTATGATGAATATATTTGTGCTTTTGTATCTATAAGTTTGGCCCGCCCTCGCTTTGGATATGGGAACAATATCCTGGAGAAGAAAAAAAAAAGGGGGAGAGTAATAGTAGCAAACAAGTAGAGAGATCTTAAAGATTGTGTAGTAATAATGTATATTATAATCATTATCGTCTTGTCCTATGGGTAAGGGATGTTTACAACCGGGTGACCCAAACATTCCCGATAGGGAATTGGTAAACATTGCAGCGAAAAAAAAGTGATTTGTTTTTCTTTTTTTTTTTTTTAATAAAAGTTGATCTGTCGTTGAATTAACAACAGCATCCATTTATACACCTGTACAGTTAGCAGAGGTTTCCCAGACAGAATAACACCGAAATAATTGACACATTTTTTTATTTTTTTCTCTCCCATATATAATGGTATGTTGTTGGACGTCGAAGATATTGGTTTCTGAAATGATAGAGTAACTACAAAAAAAAAATAATCAATAGAAACGGAGAAAGGAAAGCGACGGGTAAAGAATAGTGTCAATGATGATCATTCTTACTTTGTGGATATTACTTTTTTAATTATGAGTATTCCATTAATCCAGTCACTATTGTTTTTCTTTCCCCTTTTTTGGTTTCTTGGGATAGTTATGATGTCGGTTTTCATGTTGATTTTCTTGTTGAATAATAGATACTAACAATCCTAGTCCTCCAATACTAAGACTTACAAAGACGCCTTCTCTCTTTTTGACAAGAAGGGAACCGGTCGCGTTCCACCAGAAGCTCTTGGTGATCTTCTTCGTGCTGTTGGTCAAAACCCGACTCTTGCTGAAATCTCCGAACTCGAACGTCAGTTGCCAGGTCAATTAGATTTCGACACTTATGTGAAAATCATCAACCGTCCAGACGGGTTTAAGCCTTTGGGTGACCCAGAAGATTATATCAGAGGGTTCCAAGTATTCGACAAGAACCTCACAGGGTTCATTGGTGTTGGTGAATTGAGATACATCTTGACTTCCATTGGGGAAAAATTGAGCGATTCCGAAGTCGATGAATTGTTGAAGGGGGTCAATGTCACCAAGGATGGTAATGTTGATTATGTTGAATTCGTCAAGTCTATTTTGGCTCAATAGATGATCAATTCTTAGTCTCGCTTCTGAGCTTGATTTATTACTTAACTCCCCTTATCCAATTCTTTTTGTTGGTTTGTTTTTTGTTTGTTTTTGCAATGATTATATGATAAACAATTGATGTACTCTTATCGCTTCTATTCTATTTTATTTTTTATGGTCATTTTCTGTTCCCACTATTTAAAATTATTCCCTATTTTTCTTAATATACCGATTGTCTGCACTTGTTCCTTTTTACACAAAAGGAAAGTAATATTGCCCATCACCTTCACTTCTCTCGTTCTTTATTTTAGTGTTTGTTAGGAATTATGTATGTTTAACTGTTTTCTATTTTTATTTTTGATGTGAAACTAGTCTCATTCTCCATTCTGTTATACGGAATTATGCTATTTCGCACGTATCTGGGGCACTTGGAAAGTTGATCTTCTCAACAAAAACAATTGAAAATATATTGGCCATGTTATCATTGCAGAGTACTACTATATTCAATATCTATCATTTCTACGCGGATTGCTATGCGAGCGATGTGCTGCTGCGATGATCATGAACGTTAAGGACCATCAATTACCTTAAGCAGACTTGTAGCCCGTCGTTAGAACTTCAGCTTATCACACTATTACAACGTAATGAAATAACACAACAGTTTTCCATATAAATTGTTAAATCTTCAAACCCCCCGAAAAAAAAAAAAAAAAGTATAGAATAAATAACAGGCTTAATTTGACGGCAACATTCGCACCCAATTGCACATCTCGGAAATATTCCAATGAAATATGAATTGAGTGAGTGAACCAAATGATATAAAATAAATGCTATGAAACATTAGGAATTAGCTGGGTACCGGGAAAAGAGAAAACTGCTTAAAGATTCAAAGATTAATTCTGAGAATCAACTTCCTTACCATCTTTGAGAGTTTTTGGAGTGATCAAGATCTTCACATGGTTATCCTTATTACGAACCAACTCTTCAAAACCCCCGTCAACGGCATCTTCCAACATAACTTTTTTGGTGATCAACTTCTTGCAATTTTCTAAACTGATCCGATGATCTGCCATTGCATTGATCACTCCTTCGAAATCCTCTAGAGTGTAACACATCGATCCAGTGATACTTTTTTCACCACTTGTGAAATCCATAGGATAGAAATCCATAGGGTTAGTAGGCCAAATGGCCAAGTTGACTAATTTACCCCGGGCCTTAATACAGTCCAACCCAGTTTTGAATGTGATTGGGAACCCCGAGCAATCAAAGGCATAATCGAACCCACGACCACCAGGAGAGAGGCTTTTCAAAGTTTGAACAGTTTTTGAGAAATCGTCGCCAGAATCTTTTGGGTTATACACTGCATCAACCCCTAGAGCCTTTGCTTGCTCACGACGTACTTGGGCAGGCTCGGAGCACACAATCTTACCGGCCCCGAACGCTTGGGCTGATAAAATACACCCAATACCAATACTACCACAGCCCACAATAAGAGCACTACTGCCTTTTTTGAAGCCACAAGTCCTGAAAGCATGGTAACTAACAGATAAAGGTTGGACAAGGGCAGCACAGTCCATAGGGATCCATTTTGGAACCTTTACCAAATGGTGCTTGGAAACTACCACATATTCTGCAAGCCCACCGTCAGTGCACCCAAGCCCAGTGATCCCCATATGCTCACAGATATTGGTCATTCCTTCTTCACAATATTCACAATTAGGATGCCCGCAAATACTGTTATGGTCGTTTTTAGGAGGAGGGGCATCTTTTGCGATTTTGGAATCTGGCCATCTTGGTTTATCAGCACAATAGCAGGTTGGCTCACAAACCACATCATCGCCAAGATTGAACTTCCCTTCCGCACGAACCAGGTCACCTACAGCCACAATAGTACCAGAGAATTCATGACCCATCACCTGGGGCAACTTCTTACCAGTCAAAGGATGACCGGTATCCGGGTGGATCTTGTCAAAGAAGTGTGATCCCTTCTTGTAAGACAACAAATCGGTACCACAAATTCCACAATAGCTGATCTTGATCATCACTTCATCTGGGTGACTAATTGTAGGCATCGGGATATCTTTGGAGAACCTCAAGTCGTTAGGGCCGTAGTAAAGTACGCCTCGCATGGTTTTCTTTGTTTCTTCTGTCATTTTGGTGGGAACTAATAATTAGTAAAGTTTGGAATGGTGATTGTAATTATCCAGTTTTACTGGAATGATATGTCGTACTTCTTAAGCCAACGCCGAATATATATATATATATATATGGTAAGGAGAAAAAAAATATATGCCGGGAAGCAATGTACAGTATTTATGGAGCAGCCTCACGATAACGGATAACGGAGATTTTTTCTTTTTTTGACACCGGCAAATGTGCACTGAAAGAGTGAGTGATATACAGCATTTAGGGCAGTGAATGCGTTTGCAGAGAGCAAGAAATATGATAAACGTGGCAGGAATCGGATGGATTAGACAGCCAGCAAGCCATTTTGGAACTCACGGAACAGGCACTTGGTTGTTTCTTCCCACGTTTGGGGAGTGGAAAAGATGACATCAATCTAAGAGAAAACTATCTCAATACACTGATGGTGTTTCGGTTGGATGACCAAAATCCTTCAACGGTCAATATAAAGAATAACAGATTGCCATGCCATTAGGATATATATATATATACAGGATGCTTAAAAAAAAACCCCACAAACAAAAAATAAAAATAAGAAATAAAGTAGCAGTAATATAATCATAGTCAGATAAAGCATTATTAAAACACAGCAGAACTTGAATGGGTAATTGTATTGTATTAATAACTTGTCTGCCAGACATTTAGCAAGAAAACAAAAACAATGACAATTAAAATAAATCAATAAAGATCATGTTAGTGAATCTTTTGTGAGGTCTAAATGAACGTTTTTCTTTCAGCCAATTATTATAGTATTCTCAACTTACCTTCCTGTGTTTAAAAGTTTAATTCTGACCATTATGATAACCATTTCAGCAACAACAAAAAAAAAAAAAGAGAAGAAATAAACATTAGCCTGAAAATCTATTGATCACGTCTTCCAATTTTAATCATTTATAGTCATTATTTCCTCATAGATGATTAATTTAGATAATATTCTATTTTTTTTTTTGGTTTTTATGGATATTCAGTTTTTTTTTATGAAACTCCTCAATTATAATACCTTGGCATGGATAACAGTAACATGGAGACTTATTGAGGAGACAGCAAAACTATTTGATGATCAATGAGAAGGATAAGAAACTGGATGAATAGCAAAATGAAAATGAATATGATGATTATGTCAAAAAATAATAATAATAATAATACCAAACCAAGAGTAGTGAAACCATTAAATATATTTGCATGAAATAACAATAGCAATAAAAACAACACAACCATTTAATAGATCCCAAAAATTGACATTTATTCAGTGGTGTCAATGCTAGCATCACCCAAAATGTTGATGATAGCCAAAGGTGGCTTGATAGCAATCATTTGAACAATCAAGTCATACACAGGTTCAGGAACAGATCTTTGATAGATCCCCAAGATATCGGTTGGGTTAGGGTAGACAGACAAGGCTCTGTAGAAGCATAAAGCCGATTCAAATTCTTTACCTGGGTTGGCACTTAATTGTTCACCTTGGCCAACCTGCTTCATGAAATACTGTTCTTTGTCATTGATATCTTTTGGAACTGGCTCTTTTTCTAAGCTTGCCAACAAACGGACCTTCAATTGTTCCACACGGGCCTTCTTTTCCTTCTTTTCTTTCTTTTCGCTTTGTTTCAAGTAATTCTTTTCGGATTTCTTCAAGGATTGACGGAATTCCTTAGAATTGTGACGTTGGTAGTCAAAGTACAAAGCATAAGCAATGGCAGAGGCAGCAAAAACACCGAATGTAATACCGAATTTACCCATATTCTTTTTCGTTCTATGTCCGCTTTGTTTATGCTGGTATAATATAATAATATATTAATATAAAAAGGGGTGTTCGAAGGTTGAACAAAACAGTCAGAAAGAAATTTTGGAGGAGAGAAAAGAAAATTTTTAGCCAGGGAGATTTTGTCACGTGAATGAACACTTCCCTCATCATCAAGAAAAAAAATAAAAAAAAATTTATTTGGGGAATTTTTTTTTTTTTTTTTTTTAACGTGAAAACCATCTTTATTGTGGTATACAAATAGTATTTATTTAGTGAATATGAGCGGCAGCGGAAGTATAGAAATTATCCTCAAGAACCCTACTGATGTGATCTCCCAGATATTGCAGGATCAGTCTGCGGATGGTGCTTCCAATAAGTTTTCCCAGACCATCAAGTCGATATTGGATCCAGTCATCACGCTAAAACAGACTCGGACTAAGAAGAACCCAGTGTTGGACCAAATTTACATTGAAGGATTGGACTCTAACCAAGTATGGGAGCAGGCGAAGTTGGTCATTGACGACAATATCGAAGAGTTGATGTTTGAAGATATACCAGAATTGAAACTGAGAATGGGAAATGTCGGCGGTGCTGCAGAGCTAATTGAAGAGGATATATCAGCTAGCGAAGAAGAATTATCAGCAGATGAGGAACAAGTAGAAGCTGAAAAAACTGTGTATTCAGATGACGATGATTATGAAGACTATAGGAAACCTGAAGCAAGACAATATACCGATTTGGATGATGAGCTATCCAATGAAATTGGTGTCGAAGAAGATAACGAAGAAGATAACGAAGAAGACCAAGAACACAATAATGAAGACGATGGGTTTGGGCTAAATGATGGTTTTTTCGCTCTTGAGAATTATAAAAAGCAGGTTTTGGAATTGGAAGATAAAGACGATATGCTATCAGATGGAGAAGAAGAAATTGATTATTTTGGAGAAATTTCAGATGGATCGGATGACGAAGTTGATTATTATGATGATTTTTTTAACAAGCCAACTTCCGACAAGTCCAAACCTGATCAAAAAACTAAAGAATCGGCAAAAAGTAAGCATAATGATGATGATGATGAAGAGGATGACGAAGAGGCTGACTTTGGTGAAGATGAGTATAAGGCGGCTATGAATCATGCCATGCTTGACTTGTTTGCAGATGAAGAAGAAGCACAATCGAAATCTAAGAATGGCGATGAAGGGCTTTCAACTTTTGAGAAACAACAAAAACAAATCCAAAAGCAAATTGCAGAATTAGAAAAAGAGGCGGTTGAAGAGAAAAAATGGACCATGAAAGGTGAAGCTTCAGTCAAGAATAGACCAACCGATGCCCTCCTTGATGAAGAATTGGAGTTTGATCGTAATGCCAAACCTGTCCCGATTATCACCAAAGAGGTTACAGAATCGATCGAAGATCTTATCAGAAGAAGAATCCAAAATTACGAGTTTGACGATTTACCAAGACGTTTGTTTTCCGATATGGAAAATGACAAATTCAAATCGACCCCACAAGTTGACATGGACGAGATGGGCAAGAAATCACAAAAGTCGTTGGCGGAGATTTATGAAGATGAGCACTACAATGGTGTTACTGCGGATTCGGTAAAGAATGACGAGTTGGAGGCCAAGCATGAAGAAATTATAGCATTATATCAAAGTGTGACGTATAAATTGGATGCATTGTGCTCTGCCCATTACATTCCAGCGCCAGCTGGTAAATCTCTCGAGATCAAGGTGAATACCTCTACCATCACTATGGAAGATGCTCAACCACTTATAATGAACTCGGAATCGACCTTGGCCCCACAAGAGGTGTTCAAGGCCCAATCTGGAGTTAACAAGGAGACCAACGAAGTGAGACTCGCTAATGGTATGATTGTTAACAAGGATGAGCTTACCAAAGAGGAGAAGAAGAATATGAGACAAAAGAATAAGAGAAAGTTACATAAGCAAAACGAGGCAGCAGCAATCAAGAAGAAGAGCAAAAAGAGCAAAAAGGAAGATGTGATGGATACATTGAAGAAGGCAAACGTCCAAGTGATCAGTAAAAAAGGGGTCAAAACGGATATTCGTGGTAACATTATCAAAGAAGGAGGGAAATCCAAAAGTGTGGGATTCAAGTTGTAGACTAATTAATTATTTATTGTTATTTAATACATCATTCTGTCATATATATGCATACTTTGTAAGTTTTGTTGATTTGGTTTTCCATCACAATGCATGTCAGGAAATGAAAAAATGAAAAAAAAAAAAAAAGTATAGAAAATTTTTTTCTAATGCGATGAGATGATTTGATTATCCAGTGCCCACGATTCGAATTATATCTCAATAAACAATAACAAATAAGAGTCACCAATAATTAATAATAATAATGGTACGCATTTTCATTTTATTATTCCAGTGTTGTGCTGTATCGACAGACCAAGGACATCTGATTACTAACCACTAACAGGGTGTGACCAAAAAGAATGGCAAATCATTACGTACCAAGCTACGGTCGAAATCACTACATGGTGTTCTGAGATCGATGACAAAGGATGACAAAATTGTGAAAAAGGTGCATAACAAGATCGAAGCCAAGCTTGTTAAATCATTGACCCAGGAGGGCAAACCAGACGTGCCTACAGATGGCCATAATGTCTTAGACTCGAACGATCCAAACTACAAGAATTTTACAAACGTTAGCAAGAGCTCAATAAGGAGAAGAAAAAGAAAGCTTCGTGATGCGTTGAAACCAAAGATGGACGACATGTTGGATACATTGAATGAGATTGGAGGACATGACAAAACATCGACAATAGCGACGACAACATCAATAACAGGCCCAGGCAAGAACACAAAGTACGAGTACTTGGAGACTAAAAACAAACATATCCCCAACCCTCATAAGTCCAAAGGCAAAGCGTTCGTGGAGACTGCTGAGCGCAAGAATTTCAACGGGACGCTTGCCAATGGTAGCTTTAGAAACAGTCCATTTGCTACGTTGAAGGACAGGATCGCCAACAATTTGAACACCATTGGTTAACCAATAGATTTATATTAAAAATAAAAAATAAAAAATAAAAAAACATTAATAAATAAATAAATAACCAAATAATCCCCGCAATATATTGCACAATGTACTATTATTTAATGAAGAAGAGTGATTTGTAGAAGTTGTGTTGGCGGGCGCACGGGCTGCGTAACATTTGGGTGGGCGGAATTTGATCGTTGAATTTTTTTTTCTTTTGGAGAGACAATCTTCATGATCAGCAAGGCGTTCACTTTATATACATATATATAACCATTACAAACAACACTAATGGCCGAGCAATTTGTCAACTATAAAGTGGAGCTTGTGCTCCATGACTCGTCCAAGATCAGAGGTTATGTGAATGGTATCAAGGATAAGGTTTTAACGATTACCGAAGGTGAGTTTGAGGGTTATATTACAACCACATTTAATATATATTATTACTAACTTCGTATCTCTATTAGCCGAGTTCGTCGGCCAAGATAAGACCCTCGATCACTTCACCATCTCAGGCGACAAGATCAATGATTTATCGGTGGTGGACATACCTAAGGAGGCTTTGGTACGTAATAAGAAGGACAGCAACAACAACAACAACAGTGCAAAGAAAAACCAGCAACAACAACATACTCCATCCAAGTCATTGATCGATGATGCGATATTATTTCAAAACCCTGGGTCTAAAGTGGGAACTCCAAAAGCACAGCATAAACATCTTGTTTCTCCAAAACTTCAGCCACAGCAGTCGTTTGTCGACGACGCGATTCTTTTTGCTCAACCTTCCAAAGCATCCAGTGTCGCTAACTCCCCAAAAGTCCGCAAGAAGAAAAGTATCCTCAAAAATAACAAGCCGAAGAATCAACCACAGCCACAAGCACAGCAACAGCTACAACAACATTATGGAAATGAAACTTGGGTGGACGATGTGGCGCAAATCAAAGATTCTCAAGATTTTGACTTCGCCACCAATTTGGCTCTCTTTGATAAAGCTACAGTCTTTAAAGACTTGAAATCCAAGGATAAGATCAACTATGCTGACCGATTGGCTGGTCATAATAAAATTGAGAGCCCTGCCAAGAAGGTCAATTATGATAATAATGAAATGGTCCTTAATGGCAGAGAAGACAATTGGGATAACTTGGGAGGTGCTTCATCATCTAACACTATGGATGAAGAGGACGAGATTGAAGAAGGTGAGCAGAAAATGTCACAAGCGGTTAAGAAGCTCGATTTCTCCAATCAACCCCAAAAGCCAAAGAAGAAGTTCACGATTCTCAAGAGACCAGAAAAATTGGAGACCAACGAAAATACTACTCCGAAGAAAGCCCCTGTTGCCAGTAGACCGCCAATTTTTTCACCAGTACCTCAATCTGATATTAAGTTCAGTTTGAGCTCTGGGACCACATTATCTTTGTGTTCCCCTGTCCAATTATTAGAAATTGAAAGGTTGTCTTCGGAACTTTTTGGGGCTAATGACCAAATGTTTGCTGAGAATTCTGGTATCGGTTTATCAAAGTTGATAATTAGAACTTTGGGAGGCTCCAGTCGCTTGTCCTCTAACAATCATAACAAGCCTCCATTGGTGGCCATCTTGGTGGGTAATAATAAAGCTGGTGCCCGGGCGTTGGCTGCTGGAAGACATTTGTCTAACAGAGGGTTAAGAGTGGTTGCATTTGTGTTGAGCAATGATATTAGTGACGTTGTACATGAGAGTAGAGCTTCTTCGACAAGCAGTGACAGTGATATTTTTTACGATGCTAAGGAAGACTTTGACACCATTGTGAAGGATCAATTGAAACTTTTTGTTAACTATGGTGGAAAAGTGTTCAATGAATTACATAATTTGAAGAAAACTATTGCATCGTTAGACTCGCCTTTGGAATTGGTTATCGATGCTTTGCAAGGTTACGATACCAATTTGTCAGATTTCTGGGGGGAAGAATTGAAGAAGTGTTTGGGATTAATCAAGTGGGTGAACAGCTCACGAGCTAAAGTTTTGTCTATTGACATAGCTAGTGGTTTAGATGCTGGCTCAGGCCAATTTTCTTTAACCGCCAGCGATGTGGAAGAACTTGCGTTAGATGTCAGCCCGGATGACTTCCGTATCAAATCCAATATTGTGGTATCGATGGGTCTCCCAGTTATTGGGCTAATGCACGCATACTACTTGGGCGTTATCGAAGCTGGCGACTGGATCCACTATCTCATTGATTTGGGAATTCCTCGAAAGGTCTACAGTAGTAAAGGATCGCTTAGGAAATTTGACAAGACATATTTTGGAGACGAATGGTTCAGTGAAGTTGACGTCAATCATTCTTGAGTATATATATTATGAACCTACTGCGGAAAAAATTATTTAACGAATAAAAAAAAAAAAAAAACCAAAAAAAAAAAAAATTAGTGGATGATTTATATGATGTTACAAAAGTAGTTTTTGGAATTTTAATGAAGACACTATTTGTGTGTGCTGTTACTTTTTGTGTGTTAAACTGCAAATTCTGCGATACGTAATCTTGTATCAAACGTAAGTCTCGTACAAGAACAATAGAAGGAACGTCAAGTGAAGAAAGACCCTTCACAATAACTGGTGTTTCAAGAGTGATATCCGTTATAGTTGAGTCTTGGACTGCTGCGCGCAAGTCCATATAGTGCGGTGTGTAGTGGTGTTTCAGATGTATGTTTCTGCAGATTAAAAATCTTTTGACGGCGCCACTAAATTTTATGGCCTGGATAATAAATACTTGACGGATTCTTAGAGATATGATAAATTGGCACTGTTTTTATTTGTATACTTCTTTACATATTATTTACAGCTTTGCAGGCGCCCCTCTCAACATAATGAATTTTGCAGAAGAAGTATTTCAAGGATTCAATTTCTCACATGATGCCGCAGACATCAAAACAAATCTCCCGATTCATCTTCAACTAGTGGAAAGGAGCGAGTTCATGAAGAAATTGGAGACCAATGAAAGTAGTTCAAGTCTAGGAAGTCTAACTCCAGAGTCAAGCTCGTCTCTTGATTCTCCTGATCCACCATCTTTTGGCAAACACAGATACTCAACATATTACGAGAGGCTGCCGTTTTTCAAAAACCCATTTTCCCCAAATAATAGAAAAGCCCAAAAACTAAACTACTTGACGTCTTCTATCTCCCCAAACTCTAGCAAATTTGTTCTTGTCCATTGTGATAAATGGTTGGTGTACTCCGTGAATGCCGATGAGCCAACGCTATTGTGTTGCGGTAAAATAAACGGTGACCACGGGCCTGATTTTGACTCCTTGACCAAAGAATCAAGGATTTCTCTCAAAAACAAATCATTAAAATACAAATCCTGTGCTATCAACGAAAGACTATTAGTCTTGACGTGCACTGATGGGTCTCTTAGAGTTCACGATATGATGGAATGCGGGAAGCTCCTATACCAATATGGGGCTGGCCTCCAAATTGAATCCGTGGATATATCTCCGAAAAACGAAATGATTGCCTGTGGATTACAAGGCAGAAACAAAGAAACCAGGGGAAGTATCATCTTGGTGATAAGCCTTGATTTCAAAAAACCTAAAATGGCCGATGGGTTAACTCCAGAGCTTGTAGCAAAGCTCAACGGTTTGAGTCTTGGTGATGGTCGGGATTTCGTATCCCCACCTCAAAAGAAATTCTTGAAAAAAATTGGATCCAAATCATCGTTGAAAAACTTGAAAAAAGCTGCCGAAAAACAAAATGAGTCGATGACCGTCAGTGCCCCAGTTCTCGAATTGAAGCTTTACAAATCAGACAGAAAGCTTATCACCGTGCCGTACCATGGTATTGTCGATAATGTCAAGTTTTCTTCCACTGGTGATCGTTTGATCTTTTCTACTTATAAAAGCGAATCGAAATTCGTAGTCTTTGACGTCACAAAACCTCTGAATATCAAATTGCTTATGAAGTCTTCCAGAACCCCAGAAAAGAGCCCTGTCAGCGAAGGGATCACTGATTTTCAATTATTTGGCAAAGATGATTCTTTCATGTTAATTTCTTCCAACTCGCCAAACGCTCCACCAATGATCCTCAATACCAAAATTGATACAATTATCGACAAGGACCAAAAACCAGTCCAGCCAAAAAGAGTCTTGAGATTGGATGGCCTTGGAAGCAAAGTCCACAAATGCTGTATAAACTCTACCAACGATTTGGCGGCTTTTTTGACCACCGACGGTAAGATATGGTTAGCCCAGTTAACCAAAGATGAACTGCAAAATTATATCCTCAAGAAATTGGAACTCATTGACAAAGTATCTGGCTCCTCTTGTTATAAAAATACTGCTAGTATGAGATTTTCCCCAGACGGTACTAAGATGTTGATTGTTGACTTGAAAGGTGTCATGTTTGTCCAGAATTTCTCCAGTATTTTGAATAAAAGAGCCTAAAAGTATACATCCATGCGTTTCCCTCTTTCTCTTTCTTTTTTATTCCTTCTTTTGTACCCATTATTTTATTATTGCAAGATGCTTCGTTTCACTTCTTTTATTTGAGTCAAAAAATATTTTTTTTGTATTTATACTTATATTTATCTTGCTTTACTATTACTTTTGCTTTTGCATAATTATTTCAATTCCTCATTGCAGCTATTATTGTTTGTTATTTTTTTGTTATTTTCGTTTTCCTTGGCATTATCATTTGTGTTTCTTTGTTTAGTTTTGAATATTTGTCTTTTGTTTCTAAAATTTTGCATTGTTTTCTGCTCTTCCATTAATTTTTTTAATTTCCAGTACTTCTTCATTTGATAAAATAGAATATTTCTACGATCTCTCTGAAAATGATTTCGGTCTTACAAATGTATGTGTTTCTTTTCGGACGTAGTCTAAGACGAGCAGTAACAAATGAAGAAAGACACTTTGGAATTGAATAGTCAGCTGAAGAAGAATGTTAAAAAAGTGCACTTCAATAGAGATTATTATGAGCACATCAAATCAATCACTAAACATGAAAGCTCCTCTCAATAATTTTTCTTATTACTCATGTTGAATGCAGAGCTTCTTTTCTTTTTTCTCGTGGGGTCCGTGGAATTGGATTCCCACAGAAGCCCTTATCCATCGCTCGCTCTTCAAGTTTGAAAAATTTTTTTAAGGAAAGGGATTTGTATTGGAGAGAAAACAGAGGTTAATCTGGTAATATAACAAAGCGAGTGATAGAAAATGAGTGAGGAAAAGCCAGTCGAAGCTAATAATTCTGTTAAAACTACAGAAGCTGTTTCTGTGAAGCAAAAAAGTGCCGATGACACCACTTCCAAACAGGAATCTACAAACAATGTTGAAGCCAACAACACAAACGAAACTGAAAATAAAAACCAAACTGAAACTGGAGTTGAAAGTAAAGACAATATCAAAAAGATTGATGATCAAGAGAGTTCCAAGAAGCGTGGCAGAGGAGGTTCACAGAGAGATAGGGGAAATAAAAGACAAAGACCTGAAAGGGCTGAAAAGATATTCGAGCCATGTCCTGTATTATTCGATAAGGATGGGAACGAAATTCCAAAAGAACCTAGAAAGCCAAAGAGAAAAGTTGCCATGATGATTGGTTATTGTGGTACTGGTTATCATGGAATGCAACTAAATCCACCAAACAAAACCATCGAAGGCGAGCTTTTTGACGCTTTCATCAAGGCCGAAGCCATCTCGAAAGCTAACTCCACCGATCTTAAAAAGAATGCTTTCATGAGAGCAGCCAGAACCGATAAAGGGGTGCATGCTGCTGGTAATGTTGTTTCCTTGAAGATTATCTGCGAAGATGGTGTAAGTGGTGAAGAACTAACCGAGAAGATCAACTCTTTCTTGCCGGGCCAAATCAGAGTTTGGGGGATTGAAAGAACAAACAAGGGGTTTGATTGCAGAAAAATGTGTAGTTCCAGAATCTACGAGTACTTATTACCAACTTATTCATTATTACCGCCAAAGCCATCTTCTGTTTTGGGGACAAAGATTTCTGAATACAAGGAAAAATTCCCAGGCGTTTCCAGGGAAGACCCTGAAGGGGATGAATGGTGGAAAAATGTGAACAAAAAGTTGTTGGAATCAAATATCACCCAAGAGGAAATTGATAAAACGCAGCGTTACTTGAAGGAGAACAATGGCGAAACTGAAAACCCAACAGCTGCTGCCGGTGGTGAAGAATCTCAGCACCTTGTTAGAAAGATCAAACAAATTGAAAACACTCTCAGAAGAGACTACAGAATCAGTAATGATCGATTGGAGTTGTTCAAGGAAGCCATGAAGACCTATGAAGGCCACCACAACTTCCACAATTTCACAATTGGTAAACCTTTCAATGACGCCAGTGCTCAGCGTTACATGATTTCCACCAATATTTCCAAACCATTTGTCATTGAAAACACTGAATGGGTCTCAATCAAAATCCATGGCCAGTCCTTCATGTTGCACCAAATCCGTAAGATGATTGGTATGGCCTCGTTGGTTATTAGAACCAGATGCCCGCTTGCAAGAATCAGCGAAGCATTCAACTCTACCAGAATCAATATTCCTAAAGCCCCAGCTCTCGGATTATTGTTGGAGTGTCCGGTTTATGAAGGCATTAACCCAAAGTTACAAAAATTTGGCTACAATGAGTTGAACTTTAATAAGTTTGAAGAAAAGATGCTTGAATTCAAGAAGAAGTTTATCTATGATAAAATTTATGCCGAAGAAATTAAAGAAAATTCTTTCCATGGCTTTTATGGATTCATCGATAATTTCAATGGTGAGCCAATCTTTGACTTCTTGACTGCTAAGGGTATCACCCAAAATCAACCAGCAGAGGAAGTTAAAATCAAAAATGACAAGAATGATGCTGACATTGTAGAGTAGCCTTTCAATCGATATTTTTTATTCTTTTTTCTTCTTCTCCTTAGCAATGTTTTGGTCAGAATATCATTTTGCATATGATCAATTGTATGTTATTTTTTTTTTTATTTTTCCTCTACATTTAAAGTAAGTACTTTATACAAAATTATTGTTTATGAATACAAATTTATTACGGAACATTCCAGCGAGAAAAAGATGTGAAAGATAAATAAATTATTATGCTTAATTATATTGCATGTAACGACTGGTTGAACTGAATTTCATATTACCCTTGATAACCTTTTCAACAGCTGCTAAGAAGTCCTTTTCAGAGGCAACCTTTCTTCTAGCTCTAATGGCAAACATACCGGCTTCGGTACAAACAGATCTTAGTTCAGCACCTGTGGCATTAGGGCACAATCTAGCAATCAATTCCCATCTGATGTTTCTTTCCACGGACATTGATTTGGTGTGGATCTTAAAGATGTTTGCTCTACCTTCCAAGTCAGGCAAACTGAACTCAACTTTTCTGTCAATTCTACCAGGTCTCAACAAAGCAGGGTCCAAAGTATTTGGTCTATTAGTGGCAAACATCACTTTAATGTTACCTCTAGCATCAAAGCCATCTAATTGTGTAATCAATTCCAACATAGTTCTTTGCACTTCATTATCACCACCAGCACCGTCATCAAATCTAGCTCCACCTATAGCATCAACTTCATCGAAGAAGATGATACATGCTTTCTTAGTTCTTGCCATCTCGAATAGTTCCCTCACCATTCTAGCACCTTCACCAACGTATTTTTGCACCAATTCGGACCCAATAACTCTGATAAAAGTGGCATCAGTTCTGTTAGCCACGGCTCTTGCACACAAGGTCTTACCGGTACCAGGAGGACCGTATAACAATATACCTTTTGGAGGATCAATACCCAAGTTAACAAATCTTTCTGGTGATAATAATGGTAATTCCACGACTTCTCTCAATTTTTCAATTTGTTCTTTACAACCACCAATATCACTATAAGTGACATCGGGCTTCTCTTCCACAGTCATCATTGTAACACTAGGGTCAATTTTTGGAGGTAATGGTAGCTGAATATCATATTTCATTCTGTCAACACCAACTCTCATACCTTCCTCAATATCTGTCGGAGATACCTTTTGCCCTAAGCCAACCACAAACTTGGCAATCTGTTTAATATTAATTACATATTTAGCCTTTTGGGAGCCTTCCGAACTCCCAGAACTGCTACCAATTAAATTTGTTAAACCATCTGTTTCACCGCCCTCTTGATTGTTTTCTGATCCATTACCACCTACAATGATTTTGGTGCATCTTGCCACTTGTAATGGGGCCTCTTCAGCCAATCTCTGTTTATCAGCCATAACATCCCATAAGTGAGGAGGAGCTAACCCAGTATCACTCTGCTTGACACCAATCTTCTCCTTAGTTTTCTGTTCCACATCTTTAATATCTTTCTCAATTTTTTTGATATCATCAGAGTATGGTGCTGCACCATACGCCTTTAATACCTGGATATCCCCTTCACTTAATGGCTTTATTTTTTCGTCTATCTTGTCGCTTTCATCTTCAAGCGGAGCTTGGTACTTCTCCCAATCAGCTTTTGGTGCCATTGTGAATGATAATAATTAATTGTTAATGTTGTAGTACAGATAAATTTCCAGCTTGGGAGGCAAATTGTTTGGTTTTTTTCTTGTTGGTTTTGGATGGACACAGTCGCCCGGCAGTCTACACAAATTACTAAGAGGCCTACAGGCATCAACACCACTGAAGACAATAAGCAAAATACAGTCTTTGATTAAAATATTATAATACAATCGGAATATCTAGATCATCCCCACCATGATATAGCACCCATACCTTCTGTTTGACAACTGGCGATCAACGCGTACGGTGGCGGAGTGAGATCCTTCTTAGGTGGTTTTACTTCGACCTCCAGAGTTTTGTCTCCCTTTGATGCTGCTGCTACTTGTTGCTGTTCCTCTTCTTCCTCTTCTTCATCATCCAATGCTGGGCCTGTCGGCTTTATGTTTGTGAAAATTTCTTCTTCTATTCTAAATTGTATCTTTTCATTAACATCAAAATAGACGTCAGATTCTGGGTCCTCGGGGTCGGTTCTCCACACCCAGAGGTTTTCTGATTCATTCCAATAGCAGCCCTCGAATAACATATCTTTTGGAATGAAAATCTCATCAAAGAAATCTAATTTAATTTTGATGCCCTGTTCCGAACTTGAGTCAATCCACCCAATCAATACTTCCCCAACAAACGGCTTGAACACTATTAGTCTAACAATGACTTTATAATAAACAGCCCCGTCACTGGGTCTTAAAAGCCCGTCCTGAACATCTAGCACATCCCATACAGCAATGCCTACTCCGAGATTAGGGATCACCTTGTTTGCATATTTGGAATTGAGTTCTCTTATTATTGCCTTCTTCAAATTGATATCGAAAAATTCTGGTTTCACCTGAACCAAATCTGATATTTTTGACAAGATGAACATGCTTTGATATAAAATGACGAGCAAACACTCTCTCAGACTATAGTTCTAACTATTGATCCTTTTCGTAAAACATCAACAAAAAAAAATTTTAAAAAAGAAAAAAAAAATATTCTTCTAATCGCACCCCGCGATAGATGAGAGAAATATCGTTCTAATAGAAATATCCTCGCAAAGTTGGCCGGCTTGGATGAATGAAAGGCCTTATAAACAAAGCTGTATATTTTCCTTCAAATAATTTTTTTTTTTTTGCTATATGGAACAGTGGTATCTAAAGATTGTTAGTCTTGCGTACATTTGCTATTTGACAGAGGCCTCACGTGCCACAAGTACATAAGGACAAAAAAGCGGGAGATGAGCTATGCCTCATCCATCATCGACAACACTTTAATTCTCGTTGACTGGTAACATTTCCATAACTAACTTTGCAAATAATAAGAATCTTCCAAGATTTAGGTTAGAGAAAAAAAAAAAAAAGAAAAAAAGAAAAAAAAAAAAACTGAAATAAGAAATAAAATTAGATTGAATCCAACATATTCTTGAATAAGTGTTGATAACATTTGAAGTGACAATATGGGTCAAAAGAACTCAAATAGTAATACCACATCTAGTAATACCACGTCTAGTAACACACTTTCAGTGAATGGTCATGATATTCCCATCTATGAAAATGAACATCATGAACCCAGTGATCTTCCTCCGTCTTACAATGAAGCAATTCACACTCCTCTCTCCCAACAAGAACAACTTCTTGAATCCAACCAACTCCCCCACCGACAACCGCATCCCCATCGAACCCATCAGCACCAAAGTATTCTGACCCTAAATCTTGGGCATGCTAGTGCCCAGTATGGCCAATCCAATAATCGTTACTCTTCATCAGCATCTCTGCTAGGTTCACCGTATCCAGGAAGTTTCTTCCCAGGGTCGCCACCTCCACAACAAAACGTAACTAATGCAATAACTCCCCAGACACCTTGGATATATCCTCTTGGTTTTCAATGCTACAAATGCCGAAATACCGGCATTAAATTGAAGAATGGCTTGCAATGCATAGATTGCTGGAGGCAATTTGCACCCTCTAGTAGCCATGTGAGAAGAATCACAACTGCTGCTATAGATAACAAAACAGGTAGGCCTTTATTTTTAAATGCTGGGGATCCTAAATTGGGTGGCATGGTATGTGGACTGTGTAGAGGGCAAGGTTACATCGACAGCTTTTTGTATTATGATACCTGTTTTGTGTGTGGAGGTATAGGGAGAGTAGAATTCAACTGATATTGGCAATCTTAAATGACCATCAGTATCTGAAATACAGTAATCCACGATATATTTCCAAAAAGTTTCAGGTCTACAGTGTAAAACTGTTTTGGGATTATATGCTTATTTGTTTGCTAAAGGCACACCGCGTACCAAAGACGCGTTTTTTCGGATTTTTTTTTTTTTGGCGTTTTTTTTTTTTTTTTTAGTTCGTAATTTTTTGAGCTTGAAAAGCTCAAGACAAGGAACGCTAAACTCAATAGAAAAAGGCCATTTACTAACGCTGTCAATTGATCATGGGTAGATTGGTTGGTTTAGAGTTGCATAACTTTAAATCATATAGGGGAACGGCTTCTATTGGCTTTGGCTCGGGAAACTTTATCAGTATTATTGGTCCCAATGGTTCTGGGAAATCAAACATGATGGATGCCATATCGTTTGTTCTCGGTATTAGGTCATCGCATTTAAGATCTTCTAAATTGAAGGATTTGATTTATAGAGGTAGAATTGATGATGAAAAGTATCCTGCTGACTCTTCTGACCTTGAAGATCAGCTTGCAATTGAAGATGATGAAGATGATCCCAATAATCCCCGTACTGCTTACGTTGAAGCCATTTATGAAAGGGGAAAGGACGACTCCGTTCGGTTCAGAAGAACAATCACTGTTCAAGGAACAAGTGAATACAAAATTAATGAAGAACTTGTCTCTGCTTCAGAATATTCTAATGTTTTGAAAAAAGAGGGTATATTGATCAAGGCCAGAAACTTTTTAGTCTTCCAGGGCGATGTTGAACAAATTGCGTCACAGTCTCCTCAAGATTTGACCAAATTAATGGAAACCATATCAGGATCAATAGAATTTAGAAAGGAATATGAATCTCTATTGGAAGATCTTGAAAAGGCCCGCGAAGATACCAATAGTCTTTTCCAAAGAAAGAAAATATTGAATGGTGAGATGAGACAATACAAGGAGCAGAAATCTGAATCCGACCATTTTGAAAAAAAAATGTCCGAAAAAATTAATTTGATTAAGAATTATAGGTTATGGCAGTTGTATAATATTGAAAAATCGAAAAATTCGTTGATTGATAACCTTGAAGAAAGAAATAGTGAATTGGACGCCTGCAAAAACAAGATTAAAAAAGATGGGGCCAAATTGAAGAAAATGAATGCCGCTTATGCAAACGGAAATTTAAATATTATTAGCCACAAGGCCAGTGTCGATAAACTGAATCTCCGGTTAAAGGGGCTTAATAAGAATTTAGTGCCCCTCACCACAAAGAGAGATGTCGCAATTAAGAAAATCGCTGATCTTGAAAGAAAATCTGAAGAAATTAAATATGATATTCAAACCCAAAATGCGAACATCGAAGAACTAAAGAAGCAAAAAGCCATTGTTGAAAAATCCATGAAAATATTTGAACGACAGCACTTTTCTAAGAAGCAAGAGTTCGACTTGCCAACCGATGGTCAACAACAGTATGAGATATTAAGACAAGAGTTTTTATCCAATGGTGGTGCTATTCTAGAAGGCGAGCTTAATATGTTGAATAATGATAAGGAATCCTTAGTGTCCAAAATCGAGAACCTTGAAAAGCAGAAAAATAATTATCTTGGGAGATCATCCAGTCTTCAAGAGAACTTGGCAAGCTTCAACAGTCAGCTCTTAGACGCAAGGATTAAATTGCAAGAAACCATAGAGGAAATTTCATTCAAAAAGAATTATCTCAACGAAGCAAGAATGAAGAAAGAACTATTGTTGTCTGAGGAGTTTGAATTGAATACCCAAATCAAAGATATTTTGATAAAGTTGGACGAGCTCAATGCGTCTCAAAGAGAAACAAACCGTGAAAGAAAACTTAGGGAAAATGTCTCTAATTTACAAAGATTATTCCCAGGGGTCAAAGGGTTGGTTTGTGATCTTTGTAAACCAAAACAAAAGAAATATGAGATTGCTGTTGCCACGATCCTTGGTAAAAGTTTTGATTCAATAATCGTTGACAATATGACGGTGGCTCAAAGATGTATAAATTATCTCAAGGAACAGCGTGCCGGGGTTGCTTCTTTCATTCCATTGGACTCTGTGGATTCTCAACCACCAAGCTCAAACCTCAGACACTTGCATCAGAGTGCCAAACCAATATTGGATATTATTGAATACGATCCAGCATTGGAAAGAGCAATGCAATATGCTTGTGGTAATTCAATTGTTTGTGACGACATGGGAACTGCCAAATACATAAGATGGCAAAGAAAAATAGACACAAAGGTCGTCACTTTAGATGGATCATTGATTCATAAGGCAGGTTTGATGACTGGTGGTGTAGGTAAAAAACAAAATGGGATTTCCAGGTCTTCTACTTGGGATAAATCTGAGTTAGTTGAATTATCTAGAAAAAAGGATGAATTATTGAATAAATTGGAAATGATTCAGCAAGAAAAACCAAATGAAATTGTGGAAAAACAGGTGCTAAATGACATCAGTGAATTAGAGAATGACATTCCATTGTTGCAAAGCACGGTTAATGAAATGGAAAGAAATGTAAAAGATGCGAAAGCAGAAATTGAGTATCAGCATGACTTGTTAAATAAAGTAGAAGAAGATTTAGCTTTCAAGCAAAACTCTTTGATCGAAGTCATTTCAAGCAGTAAGGCATGCGAGAACAGGGTCCACAGTTTGCAAACCGAAATTTACAGCACCTTTTCTGAAGATTATGATATCGATATTGATGAATATGAACAGGCTCATGGTCAATCAATGCTTCAGCAGGAGCAAGAAAGGGCCAAATTCATAAAACAGATATCATCATTAGATAACAAAATTGAATTTGAAAATGATAGATTACAACAATCTGAAGGTCGTTTGGTAAAAATCAATAATGAACACAAGAGACATATCAATGAATTGGAAACAATTAAGGAAGAACGAAACAAACTTCAAGAAGATATTGAGTTGCTAGAGTCTGAAATTGAAATTGCTACTGAAAAATCCCAAAAGATGGAAGCCTCGTTGAAAGCTGATTTAGTGGCTATCAAGGAGAAGGAGGAATCCGTCGCAGATGAAAGGCTTAATTTCGAAATGATTTTCAAAAAATGTTCCACCATTGAACAAGACATTGAAGCAGAAATTTCCAAAAAGTTAAGTGCTTTGAGATCTAGCAAAATTGAAAATGTTTCTATTCCCTTACTTGAAGGATCTTTAGATGATATTCCGATTGGTGAAGCCCCTGAAAATTTACTTGATATTTCTGAAAGCATCATCATAGATTATAACAAATTGCCAAAGAAATACCACGCTATTTCAGACTTGAAGGTGCTTGACAAAGACTTTAATGACAAAATTAAAAAGATCACTGAGGAACTCGAAAGTCTTTCACCAAATACTAAAGCGACTGAAAGATTACAGGAAGTCGAAACCAGACTCAAGGAAGTTGATCAAAACCATTTGAAAACCCGTGAGCATGAATCATCCCTTAGTGACCGATTTGATGAAGTTAAGGAGAAAAGATACAATCTCTTCATGGAGGCATTTGACTTCATTTCCACAAAGATTGACTCAACTTACAAAGACCTTACCAAAGCCGAGGCGTCGCCGCTTGGTGGATCTGCTTACTTGACTCTTGAAGACGAAGAAGAGCCCTATAATTCTGGTATCAAGTACCATGCCATGCCGCCACTCAAGCGCTTTCGTGATATGGAACTATTGTCCGGTGGCGAAAAGACCGTTGCTGCCCTTGCCTTGTTATTCGCTATCCATTCTTTCCAACCAAGTCCATTTTTTGTGTTAGATGAGGTTGATGCTGCGTTGGATAATGCTAATATTCAAAGAGTCGCTAACTATATTGTGAAGCATTCGGGGCCGAACTTCCAGTTTATTGTTATCAGTCTCAAGAATGGCTTGTTTGAGAAATCAGATGCGTTGGTGGGTATTTACAGGGAACAGGTAAAGAATAGTTCTAAAACCCTAAGTATAGACTTGAGAGAGTATCCTAGGTAATTTGCTCTTTTTAGTTAGTGTCTTACAATATTTTGCTTTCTTTTCTTTGCGTTTTTTTGATCGCTGTCAATGTTATTGTGGGTTTAGTATTTCTATTTTTGCTTTGTGTTCATGTTTCTTTTAATTTAGCATTTTAATCTTAGAGTTAAAGCGTAGGATGTATTATCTAGAAAATTAAGTGATAAATTGGTTGTTAAATATATTAATATCATATTTATAAGATAATGTCAAAATAATGAATAAAAAAATCAAATAAAAAATTGTGGAACTTTTTATATGCTGGCAAAAGCAGCAAAACATAAATCGCCCATGCTCTCGTTAAAATTCACACTTCTTCCGGTATAATATAGTTCCTTTATGTGGGAGAAATACTAGAAAATCGGTATAACGCAACTCAATAAAACAATGTTTTTCCCCTTCCCATAACAACTTAACGTAACTCATTATGATTTAAAAAATTCCTGTATTCTTAAACGGTCCGTCATTTATTCGTCGTCTTCTTCGTCTTCATCTTCAGCACCATCACCGCCAGCTAAGATTCTTGGCTTGATGTCCTTCCACAATTTACCTCTGTTGTGGTATTCATACCATTTGGTGACACCAACATCGAATGAGGCTTGGAAAACGAAAGCACCAGTGAAAACAGTGGCGACAAACACAGAGTTTCTCTTGTACAAGATGTTACGAAGGGCGTTATAGAAAACCTATTTATTGTTAGTTAACTCGTCTCTAAATTATCAGTCTCAAACGATGAATATTGCGAAAGAAAGAAAGAGAGGTGCTACAGAGCAAATCGGTCATCATAAGACACATTTCACATCATAAGATACATTTCACATAATAACCAAAATAATGACCCAACACATTGTTCATCCTATTATTTTAAAAAGACCACTTTATTTCAAATCGCTTTCAACTTCGTATTTCGACAACTCTCCATACCATAATCATTTTTTCTCTATTTCAGGTTTCCTCCTCTTTTTTTTTCCATGTTTGATATCTTTCCATTAATAATACAATCTCGATGTATATCTTCTTGATGACCAGTCAATTTCAATAATAAAACCACAATCCAGCTCAGCACCCTTCTAATCAAATGATGAGTATTCAAATAAGTAGCTGTTTCAATTTATATTAGACACTTACCATTTTTGAGTTATTGAAGATATCAACTATACCTATCTAGTATTGGTTTGTCCTCCTACGCTCAAAATTTGAAATTATCCACCCTAAAAAAATGGTGCTCTTTTTTTTTTACCAATTAGGTTGACCTTATTGGTTGTTCTAACGCGCCAGGGCTTCATATATAACACCCGCGCCCGCATACATAATCTCACCAATACTTACATTAGCAAAAGAAATTTATGAGGTTCACTATTAAATATATGTCATTATCCGAAGCTACTGAGTATCATATTTTGCAAACTATTACAGCCAAGAAACCAACTAATAAGGCCATGTGGCAAATATTTACCGAGGAAATCATATGACCGAGATCCTCTGCCAACATGGGCAATTTTCAAATCCCTTTTATACGTTACTTTCTTTGATGAGTTGATATCACTGTATAGCAAGTCAAAGATTTTGTAATTGAGTTCACGCAAATTGGCACCCCGAATGTTGGGCGAAGGTCCACTTAAGAGACAAATATGCTTGAAATTTGAACCATAAATGGCTTTCATATGATCTCCCCACCCCAATATTTGGTTTTGTAACTGTATTTTAATTTTCTCTTGCGTGTCCTTGTTGCTTGAGTGGTTGAAAATATTAAGAGCTCCAATTTTCAAACTAATCACTTGTAGATTTAAAGTATTATCGGTGATGATTTCTCTAGCAAAGGATTCAAAAATGTAATTCAAAGAGTTTATTGCAACAGTTTCTGGAGCATGGAATGGTAAATTTATTGATGAAACAAGATTGGGCGAGAGAAAAATCAATTTGGTTGACATAACATTCAAACTTTTATCACCAAATTCAATTGAATTGTTTTTCCGGATCACATTGACAAACTTATTTGAAAAAAGCACTAATGGTGACATGATTTTTGCATTCAAGCAATCGGACCAACCTTTTAAGCCAATATTTTCAACCGGGCCAACGGGATAATATAAGTCTGGGACTATTAGCACGCCAATTAATTTCAAATGGTGGGCCTTAGCTTGTGCAAATGGAACAACCGGTCCATTTATTGTATTTCCAAAAGATTCAATCTGGGTATTAAGAGTCTCTTCGTCTAGAGAGTCTAACTTGAAAGCCCTGATATCTTCAGAATTCTCAGCATTGATTTCTTGAATTTCTCTCTCGTTGATCGCTGTAATGTATACTATAAACCCTCTTTTTTCAAGGTCGTTAGCCACAATTCTGATCAAAGGTTCTAAAGGTGAACCAATAATAATCACAACATTGGTTCTAGCACCATTCTTTAATCTCTTTGCTCGGCGCGTCTTATTTGTCTTGATATATTTCTTATTGTTTCTAATAGTTATTATGTTCTCATTCTGATTCTTGAAGTAAAAATTGTAAAAAATTCCGCCCACAATAGCACCTCCAAGGAGGAAAGAAATGAGTTTCTTATTGTTATTGAGAAAATTTCCGATACCTGCACCATGATCTATATCTATTTGAGGTACTGGAGATTTCCTTCCTGGGAGTTTGTCCTTATAAAAATCGAATATTGAGTCAGTTGTTTTATTTATAAATTCTGAAGTATCCACCAAAACATCGCTGTTAGTAATGTTGTCCAAGGTGGAAGTTACTCGCCTTTGGGCATACTTTGCCCATAGAATCGCCGTGTCCACTGGATCCATTAGAAACTGTTTCCCCTTGTAAGCTACCGATTTGTCTAATATATAGCTCCTTAATCTAACCTTTGTTCGAAGAATTTTTGCCTCCATCTCATCTCTCGATCTCATCACCGGTGCTCATACCCCCCACCCCCCAAGCACTTGACTAATCCCGATTTACACAGGGGTGCATTTATGTGTAAATTATAAATCCCTTGTTATTATTGCATAATGTCAGGGCTGTCACAGTACTCGTCTCTTTTCCCACTGAGGAATAACTACATAGGAGTTGAACTATAATTGCCGTCCCCCATATTCCGTCACATAGCAATAGAATATACAATTTATTGTAAAAGCATGGCCATCAAAATCAATAATCCAATCCCAAGAAGCTTGAAAAGCGAGTCGAAGTATGTTCCTAGTTCTCTTTGCATCGCTTGTATTCTCCTGATGATATTTCTAACATATTTCTAGGAAAGCGGCAAGAATTCTTGCTTCCTTCATTAAGCCAAACCAGATAATGGGGGCCGACCAAGTCATCCCCCCATCGGTGCTCCAAGAGGCCAAAGGGTTAGCGATCATTACTGTTCTCAAAGCCGGCTTTCTCTTTTCAGGTCGTGCTGGGAGTGGTATTATTGTTTCTCGTCTTCCAGATGGGTCGTGGTCTGCTCCGTCTGCTATTATGACAGCAGGCGCCGGTGTCGGAGGTCAAATAGGTGCCGAATTGACTGATTTTGTCTTCATTCTAAACACAAAAGCCGCGGTGGAATCATTTGCACAGATGGGCTCTATTACCTTGGGTGGTAATGTTTCCTTAGCCGCGGGTCCTTTGGGTAGAAATGCGGAAGCTGCTGGTACTGCGTCTTTAAAGTCTGCCGCAGCAATCTTCTCTTATTCAAAGACCAAGGGTTTATTTGCTGGTGTTTCTTTGGAAGGATCGGTCATTGTGGAAAGAAGAGATGCTAATAGAAAATTCTATGGTGGAAATTGTACAGCTAAAACAATTTTATCTGGTCGTGTGGATCCCCCTCCTGCTTGTGATCCACTATTCAGAGTTCTTGATTCTAGAGCCTTCACAAAGAAACTGTTCAATCATGGCGATGAATATGATGATTACTATAATGATATTCCAACAAGCTTTAGTGATGATGACGAAGATGGTGACAGTTCATATGATAGTAGGCACAGGAATAAAAGCCCTGCTAGCCGTCGCAATCGCTCAAATATTTATGATGATGAGGATAGCTATAGAGATGATTATGATCCATCTTCAAGACCTCGTTCAAGCACTAGAAGCTTAAGAAGGCAAGAAAGTAATGGGTCTTGGGAAGATGATGTGTACGACACCAGTAGAAGTGGTCCTGGTAGACCTAGTTCATCGAAACCAAATTTTAGTGATAATGCTGCAGATGACAACAAATTGGTTGATGATGATGATCCTTTTATCAATAGTAAAAGTGGTACCAAAGCTGTGGCTTTATATAGTTTTGATGCCGAACAGGAAGGTGATCTACCATTCAAGAAAGGTGACGTTATCACCATTTTGAAAAAGAGCGATTCTATCGATGACTGGTGGTCTGGTGAATGTCACGGTAAAGAAGGTATTTTCCCTGCTAACTATATTGAACTTATCTAATTTTTGCAAGGCAGATAATTTGTCATATCATTCAATTATCGCTTATTTCTGATGTTACCTTTCTTTTTCTCTTGCTGCTCTATTTTCTTTTTTTTCTTCGTTAAAAATTTATGCTCCTAATTCTGGTAGATAATGCGGTTATTTGATGATCTTTCTATTGAGATGGAAAACAAAGAGGGCAGAAGACAATGTTTGTATATTAAGCAAAAATAATATTTGATAAAATAAAGCAAAACAAGAATAAAATAAGAATAGTAGAATCAATAAGGAAAAAAAAATCGTGTCAAATGAGGTCAAGATTCCTCAAATTACGAACGGCTTTTTCAAGTTGTAACCTTATCAAACTATTGTCCTTTTGGTTGACTTTGTAACCGGTTAATTGCTTACTAAGAGCAATGATATCGTTTCTCCAATAAACTTCAAGAATATAATCAGTAATAATCTGGATGTTGTTAACAGCAATATTAGTAGAGAGTTTATCTGAAGTTCTAACAATGTTTTGGATTATGTTTTTAAAATCTGAAATTGTTTTCTCTATCATTTCTCTCCTTTCCAAAAACCTATATCCATTAGTATTTGGAACTGGCATTATATTTGGGATCAACAATTGAGGATTTGGAAATTTCGCATTTAAGGGAATATTCTGAAAATTATGATGTGGTACAGGGGAAATAGGAATCATCCAGGGTCTTTGTTTGTCAAAAGTCAAATTGGCCATGGAATTTTCATTATAGCTTATTGGGATTCTTTTCTCTTTCTGTTTCCTACTCCATGTGTTGTTATACATGTTAACTTCTTCTAATAAATTACTTCCTGGATTGTCGCCTAGAACAAAGCTTACTGAATCATTTTCCTCATCCTTTTTCTCTGACTTTCCATGCCACATAGAGATTTTCCAAACATGATTTTTTGTAGCCATAGTTTGGTACAATTTCTCAGATACAGCTAAGGCCTCTTGTTCGCTCTTCATTTCAACTAAAGCCACATTCTTTGGCTCATCACTTTCATTAGTGATTTGAAAAACCATACTTTTCACAGTGCCAAATTTTGAACACATTTCCAACAAGTTGTTTTGAGACAAATCAATTGGTAGATTTTTAAAACAAATAACATTAGACGGTTTCAATAAAGATAATTTTTCGTTGCTTTTCTTTTTAGCAATAGAACAAGATATTTTATTGTCACCGAACAGCTTTCCATTCAATTCAGTGATCGCATCATTAGCCTCTTTTAAGCTTTTAAAAGTGATCAATGCCCAACAAGCTGCAAGTCGGACGACTGGCTTTATAAAAATGGAGATCAACTGTCCAAATTTTTCAAATTCAGATTGCAAAAGAGGCTCTGATATATTAATTGGCAAGTTTTTAACAAAAACGGCAACCTTTTGTTGGTCTTTCACAGTAGATAATATTAATTTTTGTTTATCTCTCTCTTCTTTGGCAGTGTGGATACCAACGTATAAGGTTGATCCCATTAAATTTTTCTTGTTAAAAGTATCAACCACCTTCGCTGCATCCTCTCTCTTTTTGAACAAAATGAATCCCTGTTTCTTCCCGTAATTAAGTTTACAAGATAAAATACCACCAAATTCTTGGAAAGTCTCATAAAACTTCCTTGTAGTCAATTCTTCCGGTAAATTCGAAAAAAAAACATTGGTACCCCAGCTATTGTTCCTTTTGGTTTGATCTCTAATCGATGGCATTATTCTAATTTCCGAGCTCAATATTTTGGTGTAATTCAAGGTCTCCAAGGCCTTGTCAGCATCTGCAGAACTGAAAAAATTAACATAACCATAACCTAAAGAGTCACCAGTGGTTGTGTTATAACAGACTCTCACAGATGCAACTGAGCAAACTCTGGAAAATGTTTCCAATAACACGTTGTTAGTGACCTTCTCATCTAAATCACCAACATACAAAGCAACAAGCTTCGATTCAGAAACGATTCTTGGTTTAGAAGCCGTGATGGAAGCATCGGCTTGGGAAGCTGTGTCAATGGCGTTAGTAGCTACTGCCTTTGAAAAGTGTGCTAAGGCTGGGGAATACGTAGATGTTTTAGTGTCAGCTTCTGTTGATATTGTCTTAGGCTTAGAAAAAACTTTGCTACCTGTAGAAGCCTTGATAGTTGAAATATTGTTATATTCGTACCTCACATTTTTATCATATGAGGTCTCTTTTGGATTATTTTTCTTCAAATCCAAGCCTTTTTGGATGTTGAGTGGGAGTGGTTTCAATACATTTGACTTAGCGCTAACTTTGTTTTGTGGAATACTGACCGCAGTAACGCTGATAGATTTCTTCATGATTCTCGATTATTAGAGGAATATGTCTCTATGCTGACAACAAACAAAGTAGGTTTTTCTACTGTGATTTTTCTTTGAATAATTTTTATTCTGTCAGTTTATCTTAGACTCTTTGTATTTCTAGAAGGATAAGGTTGATGGATCCATAGAGATACAAACAAAGAAAAAAATAAAATAAAAAAGTAACAAGAACAAGAGAAAGAGATGAGGAAAGTAGTCACAGAAAGCAAAATGAGGATAAAGAGATTTTTATGTTGTTTTACAGCCCCCTTAAAAGTTATAAGCCGTTGATAGAAATTTGTTTTTGTGTCATGTCGAACAACCTCTGCATATTAAATATTTATGGGCCCTGCGCGATATGATTGGCCACACCAGACATAACTTTGAGGAGCAGCAAACAGTCGATTATCTAGAAAAAGTTGTCTCTCTGCCTTCTTAATGTTAAGCCGTACCCTCCCTCCCAAGTCCGTGCTCGGCAATCCATTTCTTGGTGTTCTTTGTTCTTGTATTTTATATGTGTGTCGGGTAGTGCGTTTGACGGCTGACGTAAGCTAAAGCTCACCCCATCCTGGAAATTTATTGGGGATCCCCCTTCTAATTACACCCACAATTTTATGGGATCTCGGGCAAAAAGTATCTCAGGATAGGGTTACACTTATCGGTTAGCCAATATATATTATCATATAGGAGGTTGCAAAATATCAACCTGAATTCCTCATTCATACTTGTTCGTTTTTGAGCTTCTTGTTGAGTACCCGGCTATTTCCCTCCTCCCCTTTGACAATGCTACTCCCTAGATCGATGGCACTCCATCGAGTAACGAGGAGTCGTTTGCTTGCCGCACAATCCACGACTATTAGCAAGACCCAGCTAAATCTTCGATCCTTCAATACCTTTAATGGGCCAAACAGTATCCACTCGTCCAAAATATATAGAGCAACTAATAAGGCGACTACTAAAAGTGGTGAAGTCGTTGAATTACAATATTCTTGGTTAAGAGATAGTGCGATTGGTAGAGGTTTTAAAAAAAGTGTTTTCTTTCTCGGTGCTGCTGGGTTATCGGTCGCAGTCTTACTAGGTGCTTTCTTTATTTATGATTCTACCACGTATTGTGAACATGATCCTACTAGAATATTGACTGTTCCTGAGCTAGCGCTTAACCCTAGACTTGGGGGTGATGAAAATTTGCCAATTTTGGAAGAAAAATTGGATGACTATGACTCTCCTGAAAAGGAAATGCTTAAATTTAAACCAAGATTGGTGATCCTAGGGTCAGGATGGGGTGCTGTTTCGTTATTAAAAAGTTTGAGACCTGGTGACTATAATGTTACCTTGATTTCTCCAACCAATTATTTCTTATTTACTCCGTTATTGCCATCTGCTGCTTCTTCTACATTAACTATCAAATCTCTCACCGAATCTATCAGAAGAATTTTATTGAAGGTTCGCGGTCTGTTCTTAGAAGCCAATGCTGAAAAAATTGAATTTTCTAATAGATTAGTCAAAGTATCCACCAAGGATTGCGATGGTCAAACCAAGCAATTCTATGTCCCTTATGATAAGTTGGTTGTTGCTGTTGGCTCAACCTCTAATACCCATGGAGTTAAAGGTTTGAATTACAGTCATCAATTGAAAACCGTTGCCGATGCCAGAGCCATTAGAAGAAGAATTACTGAAGTTTTAGAAAAAGCATGTTTGCCAACTACGACAGACGAACAACGTAAAAAATTGTTGTCATTTGTTATTTGTGGCGGTGGTCCAACTGGTGTTGAATTTGCTGCTGAAGTGTATGATTTTTTGAATGAAGATTTATTGAATAACAATTATCCAGAGATTTTAAGACAGGAGATTTCCGTTCATATCATTCAATCGAGATCCAATATTTTGAACACCTATGATGAAGCGATTAGTAATTATGCTACCAAACGTTTCCAGAAGGATAGCATTGATGTCTTAACTAATTCTAGAGTTCAAGAGATTTTGCCGAATGAAGTGATCTTCAAGCAGACAGATCCAAAAACTGGAGAGACGGAATATAAACGCTTACCATTTGGTCTTTGTTTATGGTCCACAGGTGTGGCTCAAAATCCATTAGCTCGCCAAATTGTTGAAGATTTGGGTGAACCATTCCAAGGCAACAAGAGGGCAATCGAAACTGATTCTCATTTGAGGGTCATTGGGGCTCCTTTGGGTGACGTTTACGCCATTGGTGATTGCTCGACAGTTAGAACAGATTTGACTGAAAATACTATTGATTTGATTAGACATTTTGTCACCAAGAAATACTTGACCACTTACAATGAAAGTGTTAGTGCTGCTGACCATCCAGAGGCTATAAATCTTAAAAAGAGATTCCTTACAGATTCGGAAATCAAAAATTTGAAGCTTAGTCATCGTGAAATTCAGCAACTAGCGCAAGATATCTCATCATACCTCCCTCAAACTGCGGAACCGTTCAAATATATTGATGAATTGTTACCAAAATATGATTTGGAAGGCAAGGGTGAACTAGAATATAGTCAATTGGCTGAGCTACTTAGAGAAATCAATTCTAAAATTACTTCTTTGCCTGCTACTGCGCAAAGAGCCAACCAACAAGGTAAATACTTGGGAAAGAAGCTTTCTAAAATTGCCAAACAAGCTGATAACCTTAGATTACATGAGATCTTAGATGGTGATATTGATAGTTCTATTTATAAACCATTCCAGTACAAGCATTTGGGATCTTTGGCATATATTGGAAATTCTGCCGTCTTTGATTTAGGGCACGGTAATTCATTCTTTGGAGGGCTCATCGCAATGTACTTATGGAGATCTGTTTATTTCTCGCAGTGCGTTAGTTTCCGTACTCAAGCTTTGTTGTTTATGGACTGGTTAAAGCGAGGTATGTTTGGAAGAGATAGTATTGGAGCCTAAGTTTGCTCATCGTATATATATATATGGTCCGTCTATTTTTTTTTGTTATAATAAAAGAAGTCAGCGTTACACTTAATTGCATAGTGATCCTAAAATTTTGGATAGTACTCATCATTTATATTATGTTTTAGATAGCAATCTATACAATCTATTCATTAGAGGATTGCAGCGTAGAAATTTTGGGGAATGCCCAAAAATGAGACAGGCCAGCTCTTTCTGTGGAAACGAATCTAGTGCCGTGGGAGCTAAATTTTCCGATAATAGCATCATGTTAAGTAAAACGTAACGTCATTAGTACAGAGATACTATTTTTTATCGTTTCCTTTGTCTCTTTTTTTCTTTTTCTTCATTTTCATTTTCTTCATTGGTTTTCCCATTTCAAGTTATATCTGGATTCTGGAATCTTGTAATTTTCAATTTGATCCAAAACTTCTTCCAAAGTGTTGGCAAACACAACAATTTCCTTTTGTGTTCTTTTAATGAACCCTTGGTCGATACAGTGTTCAAAGAACGTCTTGAGTCCATCAAAGAAACCATTAATATTGTAAACAATCACTGGCTTGTCATGGATCCCAAGTTGTGACCAAGTAATAACCTCAGCTAATTCCTCCAAACTACCGTACCCGCCTGGCAAAGTGATGAACCCACTAGAAGCTTCATTCCCCATCATCCTCTTACGGGTGTGCATGTCGTTGACAACGGTGGTTTTACCATATTGACCATCAACAATTTGAGCATTTCTCTCTCTATCGAAAAGGGCTTGAGGAATAATACCGTGGACATACCCATTGTTGACTACACACGAACGAGCAACACTACCCATCAACCCGCAGTCACCGCCACCGTAGACCAAACCATAGCCTCTTTGGGCAAGGGCTTTGCCCAATTCATTGGCAGCTTCGGTGTAAGCTGGGTCAGACCCTGGTGAAGAACCACAAAAGACACAGAGAACCTTCTCTGGTTTGGTAACGGATTTGTTAGCAGCCTCGATTTGCATTTTAGCAGAAGTCATTGTTTTTTTTTTGATAGCAATTGGAAAACGAATAAAATGAAGGGAGTAGGAAAAAGGGAGTAGGAGAAAGGGAGTAGGAAAAAGGGGTAATTATATATCTGTTTAGTAGCAGATTTTTTTCAATATTTCTATTTTTTTTTTTTTTTAAGGAAGGGTATTTGGGAAGCTGAATTGAGAGAGCAAGGAACAGGAACGTTGATTCAAAAACGGCAGTAAGTCACGATATAGGTAGGTGAGTATGAGATTGCAGTACACGAAGTTTGAGTTACTCTATCAAGTGGAGGAATGATACAATATATAAGAGATTAAAAGTTTATAAATGAAGTACGTTAATTATCCTGTATCAATAAAATTCGCAAATTTAACTTAATTAACATACTGATAACAATCGTTGCCGGACAATCCTGGAAGAGATAGGGCAACCGGAAACCGCAGCAGCAACGTGACATTTTTAACATTGCATATAAACAACATAAAACTACGACGGATTAGGTAAAAAGCCTTGGAAAAATGTTGAAATCTATTCTCAGTGGCTCATAAATAGTTAAAACTGTCCCGGATCGTGCTGCTCAGATTTCCTATATCGAATCCTCACGCAACATAACTCATGAGGCAGACGAATTTTATAAACAAATCTCACGAGTAAAAATATCACCATAACAAAAACAATATTTATAATCCCATGTGTCAAAAATGATCTGTTTTTGTACTTGAGAATCATGAAGGAGCCGAATATTGGGACGAATATTCCAATAAAATTACGAAACAACAAGTACACAGAAGTGGCGGAGGCAGGGTTTTGGGCATAAAGCTCCATTATGTAAAGTAGGGATGATTGTTGAATTAGGAAAAATCCGGTTCCATACAATACCTTAAAAGCACATATTCTGTTGAGGTTATTGAAACTGGAACCTGAGCTATAAATTAGAAACCCCGGAATTGTACTCAAAATAGAACCCAAATGATACATATCCGGTGGTGAATAATATACCAACATGATTGGATCCGCTCAAAGCTTATTAGATAATTTTAATTTTTTCAACATATATTTCAAGTATTCACACGAGATTCTTTTTGAAGCAGCGTTCCCCTATTGAACAAAATTTTTACTTGTGTATGATTTTCTTGGGCACTATGATTTTCATCATAATTATTTTTATACTCTTTTCCCTGTACATAGCTTTTTCCATGATTTTTGGTGTCTTCAAAACTATCGGCTTTTTCTGCGAAGCCGAGCAACTCTTGACAATTCTACTTTCAATGCATACTTTGACAATAATTCCACCGACTGAGGACGTAACACCAATAGTAACTGATATGATACACAGTGCAAAAGCTCTGACTCTGTCATAGTATAAATCGTCAATCACCGATCCCCCAAATAAAAGTACCAGACCCCCAAAAAAAAACCAGAAAAGAGCATAAGTATCAAATATAGCAAAAAATAGGTTGCAACAGTAGATAAAAAGGTAATCACTCCGCTGGTGAATGCCATTTAACACAAAGTATTCTTTCTTCCATACAAATCACTCAATGGCCCACAGAATAAGATACTTATTCCCATTGCAACTATAAAAATTATCATCGTCCGCACTGCTGAAGTTATTTCTATATTATATCTCTCTGCAATTTCCACAATCACGCTGCCATTAACTAACAAATTAACCTGAACTCATATGCAAAGGCCGGTATACAGTTCTACAACATAAAGTTTCTTATACCGTGGAAATTGCCTCGGATTATGATAGTCACACTAATCAGAAGAATCTATAATTTTCTTCACTCCAGGTATATTTTCCATGCTCGCTATGGTCTTTGCAATCTGCGTCCCATATCTCAGCATATTCAGATCCAGTTATACCATACCCTCTGGTAAAAGGAGAATGTACTTATATTAAAAGACCAAAAATATTAAAGAAACTCATATAAAGCTCCTTTTTTTTTCATTTTTTCTTTTTGTGGTTTATGGTCGTTTTCAGCATGTCCAAAAAAAAAAGCAACAGAATAACACATCATATATACTAAAGATGATCGTTAATTTCCAGGAAATTCTTGTCCTTATTTTTGCTTTTGTGATTATAGGTTTAAATGAAACTGAAAGATTAATATTGACGGACGATGTTTTCCCCGTTAAAGTCACTCCCTGCATCCTGGTGTTCCAATCCTTTTCTTAATGCATTGACGTTACACCTCCCGCAGTGACAGGCCAAAACGGAAGACCCACAAACAAAGAGAAAAAAATTGACACTAAAAAAAATGAGAAAACAAAGTTGGTAACAATAAAACGGAAGCTAAAGCTAACAATAACACTTTGCACAACCGAAAACGCCTCTACATCACATCACAAGATCTTCTTGGTTCTTACAACTCTGAAGAACATCGTCTGAATAACAAAACAAACTTTTACTATTCTGAAATTTTTTTATCAATCTTGATCCATCACGGCTGTGCTATAATTCCTTGTCAAAATTCCAATGCATGATGAACAAGTTCAACAATATAATAAGACTTAGTAGGATATCAAATGGCTTTTGCTTACGTTTATTAGGTTTATCACTATCCTTTTTGGTTATTGCCACGATTTATTTTTCCTCAGATATGAATGACAATGTCAATAAGGTCAAATTATGGTCATCAATTAGCAGCACTGAGGATATTCTACCTCAACTGAATGTTATTCAAGCAAATGAAAGCCAAATAAATGAAAAATATGAGAGATTTCTTGGTGTCCTACAGAAAAACCTTGATAACAATCAAAAATCAACAACATCGTTATCTAAAGTCGATAATTTTCACGATAAGATCACCTTTCCTCTAGGCTTGATGACCCAAGTAGTAGACAAGAAATACCTCGATTCTTTCATTTCACATAGCAGTTTCGATCCAAACTCTGATACCAGCATCAAGCAATTAGCTAAAACTGATGGAAGGCTCTATTTTTACATGTTATTGGAAGACCTTGATACTTATTTCAAGGCAATGAAGGACTTCAATTATGTTGATGATAGCAAGAGCTTCAAAGTCAAATTCAGATGGGCCGATCTTGTATTTAATTTCTCACCCCATCTCAATTATTTTGAATATGAAGGTTTTAATAAATGGGAAGAGTCCGTTCACAAATTTGTTTCAAATACGGAAACATTCAGGGCTCCTTTAGTTTATGCCACAGACACCGGTGAAATGAATAATATCACTTGTGCATTGATCCTAGATCGCATTGCTCTGGTGAATAACCTTCAGATAACATCGGAAGAGACTAATATTGATTGCAAGAGTATTAATGAGGGTCTATCTTTCAACTACTTTAAATATTTGGAGCGCCCTTCGTCTGCTTCGCTATATTGGATTTCAAACAGATTAGATTATAAATTCAAAAAGAATCCATTGACCTACTTCAACGTGGATAATTTGGACTATATCAAACTTATAAATTATAATTACCGTATTGCTGATATGGCTCAGCCATCGCAATTTTTAATTCTTGATGACATATTGGGAACTTTCAAAGTGCCTGTGAATGAGGACTCGGGATCTCACACATACTATTATAGTTATTATTTCCGCAGACTACAGTCGTACATTGAAAAACTAGGGATGAATTCATTCCCTGAGAATCTCAATAGGCTTTTTGGAGGTATTAATCCCAAGAAAAAATTGAGATCACATCAGGAATTAGTTCGTGATGACAATTTACGATCTTGTTTCCCGCATTTGAATATTGACACTCAATTCATTCCCCCTATTAAAGCTCCGGGGATCATGAAGACTGAGAGAATTAATGATTCTCAATTCGAATATTCACTTCAACAAGTAAGACATATGTTCCAGAGCACAAACTCAACAAGAGATGATATAAATTATGAACAATCTTTACTCGAAAAGTTTTCCTCTCACATAGATACGAATGTTTTGAATTATGAAGATCTAAATTTTATTGAACTTGATGAGTTGGGATTGTTTCCTTCAAGCGGCTATTTGGCTTCACAGAGGTCCAAACAAAAACTGGGAAAGTATATACCACAGTATTTTCAAGAGGAGGTGTTTAATTATTCTCATCGAAATTTTGATTGGAGATTTTGCCAAGGAGTGGGAATTTCAATGGACCAAATGTTGTTTATTAATAATAGACTTCTCAGGTCTTGGTTCAAATTCACTCGGCAATTAAACATAAGCTCTTGGATATCCGGGAATGATTACTACACTTTGAAGAACTGGGAAGCATATGGGGTTTTAAACGCTGATACCTCTGTTAACCCAGTGAATGTGGAGATTTCATTCCAATCATTGTTAAGATTGATTAAGGAAAATTATAACTATACTATTTTGTATGATGGCACCTTCGATGACAAAAACTATGCCAATGCCAAGGTGCTTGACTTGGGCTCCACTGCCTTTTTACTCGATATCAATCCATATTTCACAAACAGAAAAAACAAACAGGCGAATTGGCAAAATGTTGTTGATGCTAGATTAATAGATATAGGAAGTGGCTTATTTATTAATATTAATGCATTGGTAAAATTAAGCTGGGATGAAGAAACAATTGATGAGTTTACGAATTGGAGTGGTCTTGATCAATTTGGGTTACTCAAGTTACATGATAATAATAAATCGATGAGGATTAATGAAATCATCTATCAATGCACAAAACAAATTTCTGCTGATCAGACAGATCGACCATTCCCGGAAACTGCGATTATATCCGGTGAATCAATGGCACGGCTGGAATCATCGAATGATTGCGTTCAGGGGTTGACAAATAATCTTCCAAAATATAGGGAAGAATTCTTGAAGAATATGTCGGATGCTGTTTCAGCAGGACAGCCTCCGTCAATTTACCATGACAAGAATAATAACTTTGAATATCTCCAGTATGGCGAACAATTTACAGTTATCCCAGTCTTACTAGATGGCATGATTGTCTATATTCCAAAGTCTTATGCAAGACACTTATTAATTAACGAACCCCCAAATTATAAAGAGGACAGAGTAGTGAACACTGGGTATGATGAATCAATTTACCAAACCATGAAAGAACAGCACGCAGAACAAATGCTGGTTCTTAGTTCGTTTACTGATGATGAGCATGTCCCGGCGTTAGAGGAGCACGCGTTATTTAGAAACGATCCTAGGATAAGGAACCTTGCCTACCATTAGAGTTATTATTTATTTGCAGTTTATAGACATCAATTTACTTATTTAATTATTGATTATTGATTATTGATTATTCTCTTTCTTACTGCAGACCGTTATTATCAGAGCAAATCAACTGAGGCCCGTGTTTGTCACGTGTAATTTACCGACCAGAGGGGAATCACCAGATGTCAGAGGTGCAAAAAAAAGTGCATTCTACTTTTTTTTTTTTTTTATTTTATTGGAAACACTGTTGATTCTTAAATTTAAACTAGTGGCTATTGTCAATCACCAACAAACTTGCCTTAGTAAAGAGTTACAGCCTAAATAATGACTAAATTCTCTCCAATAGCAAAGACTGCCCAATTGGCAAGAAATGCCATCAACAACAATGCGCTCAAGACTGCGGGGGCTGCTCAAAGTTTAAGAATGAATTTCCCAGCCACTAGACAAAACTCCTCTGCCACTGCTGGTGATACCGTTACTGTTAGAGATGCTTTGAACCAAGCTATGGCCGAAGAATTAGAAGCTGACAAGGATGTGTTCTTGATGGGTGAAGAAGTCGCTGTCTATAACGGTGCCTACAAGATCTCCAGAGGTTTGTTGGACAGATTCGGGGACAAGAGAATCATCGATACCCCAATTACTGAAATGGGTTTTACTGGGTTGGCTGTTGGTGCCGCTTTGGCCGGCTTGAAGCCAATTGTCGAATTCATGACTTTCAACTTTGCCATGCAATCTATTGACCATATCATCAACTCTGCCGCAAAGACTTACTACATGTCTGGTGGTACTCAACCATGTAACATTACTTTCAGAGGTCCAAATGGTGCCGCTGCTGGTGTTGCTGCGCAACATTCACAAGATTATTCTACCTGGTATGGTGCCATTCCAGGTATGAAGGTTGTTTCTCCATACTCTGCTGAAGATTACAAGGGTTTGATGAAGGCCGCTATCAGAGATCCAAATCCTGTTGTGGTTCTTGAAAACGAATTATTATATGGTGAACACTTCAAGGTTAGCGAAGCTTTCCACTCCACTGATTTTGTTTTGCCTTTCGGTAAAGCCAAGATTGAAAGAGAAGGTACTGATGTTACTATCGTTGCCCACAGTAGAAATGTTGGTTTCTCTTTGGAAGCCGCCGAAATTTTGAAGAAGGACTACGATGTCTCCGCCGAAGTTGTTAACTTGAGATCTATCAAGCCTTTGGACGTTGATACCATCATCAGCTCTTTGAAAAAAACTAACCACATCATCACTGTTGAAGCTGGTTTCCCAGCCTTCGGTGTTGGTTCTGAAATCTGTGCTCAAATTATGGAATCTGAAGGTTTCGACTACTTGGATGCTCCAGTTGAAAGAGTTACTGGTTGTGAAGTCCCAACTCCATACGCTAAGGAATTGGAAGACTTTGCTTTCCCTGATGCCCCAACTATTGTCAGAGGTGTTAAGAAAGTCTTGAGTTTGTAATCGAGATTAGTGCATTTCCCTCCTCAACGACTTGGTTAGCAAGTTCTGTCTTTTTCTATTTTTATCTCAACAAATGGATTGATTCCTAGGTATTATTATTGTTCTTCGTTTTGTATTCAATTGTAAGTGATTTTGTAGTTTTCAATGTGACCCTATCTGTCTCTCTGCGTTGCTTAGTCAGCTCAGAGCTAAAGGAAAAGCAAAAAAAAAAAAAAAATTCAGTGGCGCAAACTTTGAAAGCACACACCCTATTCTATTATTATTCTATTGTTATTATTTTGCTCCAATAAAAAACTATCAAAAAATGTCAAATGCGTATGTATAAATATATAAATATGTTAATATCGGGACCTTCAATCATAAAACTTCATCCCACTAACATGTATCTTTTCTAGAGACCAGAAAGTCCCAGCTATTTGTGAAAAATGTCTTGGTTCAAATCCATACTTAAAGATGATAAGGGAACCACAGGGAGATCAGTGTAGAATTTGCACTAGTACATACAATTTGTTTAAGTGGAATGCTAATAAGGGTAGTAAATTATCGAGGACCTTAGTATGTTTGGAGTGTGCTAGACAGCGAAATTGTTGTCAATCATGCATGTTTGATTTGACTTATCATATACCCATGCTGTTGAGAGATGCGGCTTTCAAAATAGCAGGCATGGGAAACTTTCACGAAGTCCTTGATTCTCCAAATGCAGTCACAAAGAGATTCAATGCTCAGAAACAACAGCAAAAGTATTTGGAAGGGGGGCAGCCGGACCAGCAATTATTGACTGATGGGGAACCAGAGGTTTCAGAAGCCCAAGCTAGAAAGACCCTCGACGAGATTCTCCAGAAATTAGTACAGAGTCGTCAGGCATCGGACAACAGTAAATTCAACCCAAAGAAAGAAAATTCGCATGGTGCCGAATCAAGTAACAATAACTTAAAGAATACTGATATTGCCAAAATTTTAACGAAACTTCCTTTCAACGGGAATTTGACCCTTCCAAAGAATACTTCCATCACGTCTTTTTTCATATTTGGAATTAATAATGAAATATCAAATGGAATGGTCGCTGAATACATTGAACAGAAATTAGCGGAAGTTTCAGAAAATAAAGAGATTAAGTTGAAGTCAATAATCTTGAATCATAGAGCGAAATGTGGGTTTATCTGTTTTGAAAAGAGAAAGGTAGCAGAGAAATTGTCAAATTTAGTCGATAAACCAAGGGGCACAAAGGGACCTGGTATCATGTTTATTAAGAATATTCCGATCAGAATAACTTGGTGCAAAGTGAAGAGTTTGGGATGCAGTAGTCTGGAAGAGATAAAACTTGGATATGTGGTCAGAAGACAGATGAAATTGTTGGCAGAGAAAGATCATAAGGCCATAGGTAAAAAAGCAAATAATGGAGACTCAAGCTCTAATATGGAAACATTTGAACCCCCAGGACCACCAGGGTCTAAATCCAATTATAGCTCCCAAAATGGTAATTTTGAATCATAGATTATTTGAATAAATTTTTTATAGCTAATCCTCAAATCAATATAAAATGATGTTATTATGGCCTATCTTTCTTCTACATTAGTAATATTACTGTTTAATTTATTAAGAATTCCTCTATACTATCGGTCTCTTGCGTCAACTTTTAAAATCCTCCATTAAGCAAATGCTATTTTAATTGAATGTTCAGAGGATTTTAATCTCTAAATAAATATGAATATGGTGGATTTTAGAAGATAAATGGTTGGACATACCACTAGTGGTGTGTCGCAAGTATCGTCAATGATCAACTGCTAACCAAACAACGTACGCTGTACATTGATAAAAGTACCGCTTCTGTGAGGACGGCATCTCTTAATCTATATAAATTATACGGCCTCGAGGTAGACTAAATTGCTTATCTGATATCGAAAGTCTAATGTGAGAAATCCCTTCGCTAACAACCCTGTGATCCTGCAGTTTACCGAAATAGCAGAAGTATATAAAAGGTAGTCTAAAATAAATCAAGAGTGTTGAAACCTTTACGTATCAATAGAAAATAACAATTGAGAACTTATATTTACTGATAACCATAATTGTTGGTGTAATATAGTTGGAAAAAAATAATACAACATGTAGCAAAGTTCAGTGTTGACAACTAAAAAATCTCCGCGACGGGGAATTGAACCCCGGTCCCCCGCGCGACAAGCGGGGATTCTAGCCACTAAACTATCACGGACTTGTTATTGAGTTGAAAACACATCAGGAGCAGGTGTATTTCATAATTACGTCTGTTACCCGGCCTAACAGCAAATTTCTGTAAATGCATAAAGACAGTTGTTCTGTGAACTTATTGAAATATGTGCAGGCACGGTGGCCGAGTGGTTAAGGCGAAAGATTAGAAATCTTTTGGGCTCTGCCCGCGCAGGTTCGAGTCCTGCCCGTGTCGTTATTTTTTTTCAAAGTTATTCGTAAACCTGCCCTACAATTTTAATGCATTGTTGTCATTTTTGAATCATACAGAGACTCCTTTTTTCAGGATTTCTAATTATAGTTATCTACTTTAAGTTTTTTTGTTTTTTATCTTTATTACTTATTATTTTCTGTTACTATGCATAGGCATTCCACTGTTTTTCTATTTGTTATGAAAAAAAGGCTCAACATCACGACTTATTTATCTTATATAAACTACAGATTTTTAACTTAAACAAGCTCATCTACTCCAGGATTTTCTTGTGCATTCCATATTCAAGTGATGAGTACGCCAGTTATTGATAACTTGATAATGATGACCATTATATCTGCTACAAATTGGCGTATATTCTCACATAGTTTCCATCGTATATGGACTGCACAGATATCCCCCGGAAAATTTCGCGGCAATCGATTTTAATCTTCGCAAAGAACTTCAAGTTAACATTCGTAGACACTTCCCTATACCTATGAATTTATTAATTTTTCTAGAAAAAAAAAAAAAAAATTCTAATCTTGCTACAAATACTTTAGATTAGTACATCAAAATTTCAAGTCTCACGATTACGATGTGCATCCTTCGATTTATGAAAACACTTATTTTCTAGTTAAATATATCTAATAAGTAATAAGTAACCCTATACTATACAAAATATGCACTTCTTTACAGTAAGTGTCAGAAGCAAAAAAAGAAAACCGAAAACAAAACCTATATAGATACCGCGTTCATTTCAATCTCCTTGAGAGTGGCTTCCTGTTGTGCTTTTTCTCTGGCCAATTTTTTTTTCAACTTCTCTTCTTTTCTGTCATATTTCACATCAGCAGGATTGAAACCAGCCTCTTCAGATCCCCAGTACGCCCAGCTTGGAGTCTCACTAACATAATCCATTTCGTCAAAGTCATCACCCTTAGTTCTCAATAATTCAAAGAACTTGTCATAATTGATATGTGTATGCCATTTACCATCAATTTTATATTTTGTATGACCAACCAAGATACAACATGAATGTGCATGCTCTGCCGCAATACCATACGTCGCATTCCTTTTGGCCAATTCATCATTCAATGCAATGACAAAGTTTTTACATTCTTCGTAGAATGGAATGTTTTGCATAGTTAATGGGTTACCGTTACCGGAAGAAGAGCCACAGAATGTAGCGCCCTTAATTTCAATCAATGATGGATTGGCTTTTGTAATTAAGTCAGCATATTTATCAACTTCACTCATGTTGAAACCCTTGACAAGGGTCAATCTGAAAACAGTTCTTTGGTGGGATTGGACAGTATTCAATATATCCAAACATGAGTTCAATCTTTCCCAGAAATCCTTGAACAAAGGTCTATCAACCTTCTTTAAATCTGTCTTTGTTGGGGCATCAATGGACACATACAATTGTGTTACTTTCTTTAAATTCCGCAATTGTTCTGGATGTTGGGCATTACATACCAAGAAACTGGAAATTTCCTTTTCATGTAACATACCAACGAACTCATTGATATATGGATAGAAAATAGGTTCACCAACCAATGATAATGCACAGTGTCTGATCCTAAAAGCTTCCTGGAATCTTTCCGAATTAATACCCGGAACACCCCTCATTTGTTTGATCTTTTTATAATGGCCTTCCATTGCACCATTTAAAATTTCTTCCGGTCCATCTACTTGCCATCTCCAATTGGTACCTACTGGGTTAGTCCCGTGTCTCCAGCAGAAAACACATTTGTTAGAACATGACAATGATGGGGTTGTTTCCATACACAAATGAGAGCGGATACCATAAAAGGCAAATTTATAACATGAACCACGGTTTCTAAGGGCAGACTTGGTCCAACGACAAATCTTCACCCCGGAATGTGATCCAACCACGGTATAACCTTGCTTTGTAAGGGATTTGTAAGTTGGGGAATCTTTGGCAACCATTTCTTTCACTTCTCTCACCTCAGTTTCAGTCTCACTTCCATTATTTGATTTTTGCATCATGTTTCCCATTTCTTCGATATCTACTAATGTTGAGCCTTCACCAGAATTTTCACTCTCACTATTAGATCCATTAATATCATAATCTTCATCATCTTCTTCGAAGTATTCATTATCGTCCAATATCATTGCATCATTATCAGTTAAAGAATCAACATAGAGATCACACCATTCGCGAATTTTCTCATCCTTATCATTCTTGATACAGAATTTTCCAAGAGGGAAAATTCTTCTAGCTCCTAATTTAAACAAGTACTTATCTGTTTCAGTTGCTTGATAACAAAATTTATTTGGATAATGTTCACGGTCACCAATCCCAATCACGGAATAACCAAGAATCTTTTCTTTCAAAGGATAACTGTCAATTCTGAAATCGTTAGCATTTTCTTCCAAAGTCTGTAAGAAAAAGTCAATCGGAGAATCTGTTTCATAGGATGGCAAAACCATAACATAGAGGATATTATCAATATCACGAGGAACATTCAAAAAGTACTCATCCAAATCATCAATATCGTCATCAATGTTAACCAATCTTGACTCATTTTTCACAGATTTATTTATGCTAAGCATATTATGGAGATATTTTGCAGTTCTTTCCGATGATCCAGTTAATGAGGAATAAAAGATGAAGATATTAGATTCCAGAAGATTGGTATTATTTTTCACTAAACGTGGCAGGCGCTTTGGCAATTCTTGCTTCCTTATGATCTTTGGGCCTTTTCTTCGTCTAGGTTTTCCAGAAGCTTTAGTACTATCAATATTCGATGTGTTGGACGCCGGACTAAATGACTTTGTGAAATCCACGGCAACCGTATTCTTGAGCGCATTCGCTTCCTCCTCAAGACCAGAACCTCTCACAAGTTGGAGCTTATTGTTCACTTTTATATACCTTAATTTTTGCCCTTTTTCCTCACCCGTGCTCTTCTTAAGATTCTTTAAGGCCTTTACATTCTCTTTATCATTTTGATCTTGTCTTTCTTCTGAAATATCATCAGAATCCTGTATTCCTATTCTGTAAAGAGCATAAAGTGTAGCCACAAGAAGCCCCACTGTTGGTCTTCCTCCGAGACGAAGATAAGTCACAATGCTTCCGCCGACCAAAACGTCCTGAGCAAGCGAAGACATATTACTGACTTTGGTATCTAATACAGTTTCCTTTTAAAAATGGAACATTATTACAAAAAATTTTCAGAAGAGATGATCCTTTAAAATATCCGGACCGGAAGCATGATCATCCGTAGTTACCGTATTGGTTAAAGATAGCTTGTACAATGTGCCTTGGAACATTGTTTAGTAGTAATGTTTGCTACAGGCTTATATTATTACCCATATTGTATGTGAGGTTTATTCATGTGTGAGATTTCTCGTTGTAAGATTGAAGACGTGCATATATTTCTAGGTGAATTTCGTTATCTCCTCACAGCTCCCCATTCTATTATTGGTTGGATAGTATAATCTTTTTACATAGTTTTGCTAAATAGTTCCAAGTCAAAAATCGACATATTCCTTGCCCAAAGAAAAATTCTCATTTTAAGAAATATAATTATGGTTGGTTATTTGTCTTGTGTTTATGTTCAGCTTTGATTGCCTCAAGACATGTTATATATATTTTTTTTTGCATATGTGCCCTGTGCCTATCTTTGATGTTAACATCAATCAAATTAAGCCATCAATGGAACTGCCACATACACATATATACATGCAAACGCGCGTGCAGAGGCATACAACAGATGGTTTATCAACGAGAATGATTTGAAGAGAATACAATTGCTATATTTGTTATAATCGAACGAAAGCTTGGAAGCTTCTAAACATTGGAAAAACTATATTTGCGGAAAAGAAAAATAAAATAAAATAAAATAAAAAAACACAATGCTGGACATTTCGCTACAGGATCTCAATAACCCGTCAGAACCTCACCAATGTCCGAATACTCTCCCCAAGATTGCAGCAAATCTCCCACTTTCACATCCTAGCTGGACAGTTACGTTAGTTGAATGCTGCGAGAGAATTTCTTATTATGGGTTAAGTGGTGTTTTCATGAACTATATGTCCAACTCTCCAAATGATAGAATACCGGGGGTATTGGGTCTTGGACATCAAAAGGCAGCCGTGTTTAGTTACTTCTTCCAGTTTTGGTGCTATGTATGTCCTATTCTAGGAGCTTGGTGTAGTGATACCTTATGGGGTAAATACCACACAATTTTAATATTTTGTTGGATATATATCGCGGGAATTGGTGTGCTTTTATTGAGCTCACTTCTGGAAAATTCTTCCACTACATTCTGGGGATTTTTGATTTCGATCATCGCCATTGGCCTAGGAACCGGTGGTGTAAAGGCAAATGTTTCTCCTTTGGTTGCTGATTGTGTTCCAAAGTTTGATTCTTTTGTCTCTTTGCGAAACGGTAATTCCGTAATTGTTGACCACTCAGTAACAATGCTGAGGGTTTTTATGATTTTCTATTTGGCCATAAACACAGGATCTTTAGCAGCAATTATTACCACCGCTCTAGAAGCCAAAGTCGGTTTTTGGGCAGCGTATATGTTGGCATTCATTTTTTTCTGTATAGGGTTGCTAATATTTACCAACGGAAAAGAAAAATACGTTCATTTACCTCCTTCAAGAAATGCGATTTCAAACAGCTTTAAAATCACTTTTATGACCGTGAGGAACAATTTCGATATTCAAAGATGCAAAGGACACGGTCCCTGGGAGGATCTGTTTGTTGATGATGTTCATCAAGCTTTGCGTGCTTGCAAAGTTTGCATTTTTCTTACTGTGTACTGGGCAGTTTATGGTCAAATTTTGACCAACTTTATAACTCAAGCATCCGAAATGGAATTACATGGCATTCCCAATGATTTGATGGGGAATATTGACCCTATCACTATTATTATCTTCATTCCTATTTGCGATGGATATATTTATCCATTTTTAAGAAACAGGCTACATGTTCAATTCAAAGCAATCACCAGAATCACTTGGGGTTTTTATTTTGCTGCATCTGCAATGGTATATGCGGCTTTTGTGCAATATTTGATTTATTCTGCTGGCCCGTGCTACGACAAACCTTTGAGATGTGGTGCTGATCAGCAACCGAACCAGGTACACGTTGTTATGCAATCACCGGCGTATTTCTTGATTGCAATCAGTGAAATCTTGGCATCAGTGACAGCGCTCGAATTTGCGTACACAAGGGCCCCTAAATCAATGAGATCGTTTATCATGAGTGTGTTTTTGTTGACTTCTGCTGCAGGATCGGTGGTTGGCATGTTTATTTCTCCTTTTGCTACAGATCCTCACATGATAACTTTCTATCTCTCATTAGCTGTGGCTTGCTTTGTTTCTGGAATATTGTTCTATTGTTTTTGTAGCAATTTGGACCAAGAGGATTCAGGTAAAGCTAAAGAAGAAGAAGAAGGAGAAGAAGAAGGAGAAGTTGAACAATCTTTACTTTCAAATAATCCTGAGAACTAACACTACAAATATCAAACTTCGGTAAACAATAACAATTATCATATATTCTATACTATACACACCACATTCTATACCATCTCATTTAAGTTGCTTGAGTTGTTCAAGTAGCTTTGTAGCATCAGTAATCGGGGGAGCGATCACAGAAGTGGTCACAGTAGGAGCAGCCACAGCAACAGGTACATCGATCTTGAGCTTCTTAGGCAATGGCTCCTGGTCATCTTCTGAATCGCTGTCTGAATCACTATTCTCATATTTTGGAACGGCATAATCATCAGCATGGAGTTCGAACAGGACCTTTTTCTTTGGCGACGAAACTGGGCTATATGATGGTGCTTCTAATTCTTCTTTCTCTTGTGTGGCATCCAGAATAATCATTTCTTCTAAATCTTTTTTTGTTTCCAATATCTTTTCTAGTTTGCCATTCAAATTTTCTTTGTTCAAGAATTCCTCTAAACTCTCCATTGAACTTAGAGACTTCTTCTCTGTTGCAAGGAGCTCTTCAATCTCGGAAAGGATCTGCTTCTTTTCATAGACCAATGATTCGAACCTCAGTTTGATCCCATTGTTATGGATATTGGTGAGGTTTTGAATCTGATTGAGAAATATGGAAGGCGATTGCAAATTACTATCTTCGGCAAATAAATCATCGTATTCAGAATTGAATTTTTGAATACTTTTATTCATTGATGCACAAGTTTCATTATATTTAGAATATTTATCGTTTAAATTTTTTAACTCAGTTTTTGCAAAGTTCACAGATGACTCGGGTTGAGATTTTGCAGCGGATGAAAGATCAACAGCACGATTTGTAGAGTCACTGGAATCAATTTCCTTGAATCCATCCAAAATCATATTGAGCACACTCGAAGAAAGGATTCGTCTCTCTTTCCAAACATTGACAGATCTCTTGATTTTCAGTCTGATTATAGAATCGTTCACTTCTTGATAAGCTTTCAATAATGCAGGTTGTAAAATTTTGCCAAACTCATTGATGAACTCGGTTTTTCTTTTTGCCCTGGCCTGCTGAACAACGTCATTTGCCAAATATATCAACGGGAGCTTCTTATTTTTTGGTGACGTGTCTAGAGATTTGTGCCATGTTTTAGCAATTCTCCCAGCTTGTCGATGATGAAACAAAATCCATTGAGATAGCCCCACTATTGAGGCTTGCGTCTCATTTAAGGACATAAACTTTTTTGAAAGGGTCTCTTCTGAGAAAGCAGACATTCGAAAACAATTATTTGAGGAGGATTGTCTGATGTATATTTGACATTAACTGGTGGTGAATGAAACTATTATTATCTTTTTTTTGTTTGTTCCCTCATTTTTTCTCGCTCCGTACACTGTTTTTTCTCGCTCCGTACACTGATTTTTCCCCAACCTACCCAAGGAAACGGTATATTACACCATATTTTATTTCCAGCTTCCACGAAATGACTTTATTACAAAATTCTCAGTATTGATGCCCAGTAACTTCTTAAATATATAGTGAAAAAAGCTTCTTTTAAAAATTATCCCAATCTTTTTTCTGTTCCTTTAGTTCAAATAAGGATTTTACAAGTATTACGCAGCTACTACCCCCTGCTTGTTGGGAGTCCTAAGTTTACTTAGTGGAATATGTGAATTCCCTTCAGAATGAGAAATTGGCCCAAACAGATTATTAGGATGTTACCTTTTCGTCGTTACATGGTGATTGATAATATTTCTTATGGATATCTTACCTTGTGAATTGGCGTAATACATCGTCACCTTGTGTATTTTAATACCATCACATATAGCTCACAAATATGTTTGTATATAGTTGGTGGTGATTTACATTAACTCCGTCCAGAATCGAAATTAATAGTACTCCAGTTTTTAAAAAGGCAGTATTGTCCTCATCGATTTATGTGGATTCTGCGCTTACACATTCTTGCGCAATACCTTATAAAACCAAACTACACCAAATCACAATTTAGTCATCATTAATGGAAAAGCTACAATATCTCATATTATATTGCAAGTACTATATACAAGAATTCGTCACGGTCATCATAAAATATCAAACTTAGAAATTTCAAAAGGTAAATCCGGGGTAAATTTGTATCAGGATTGTTTAGTTCAATACCGGGAAACCATTAATTCCTGAAGATCAAACAACTAAAATACATTCTCTGATTCACCTTTCAATCTAGGAACCCTTACAGGTTCCCAATCTTCTTCAGCCATGTGCTGCAATCTGTAATATTCCTCCTTGACGTCCACTTTTCTTCTGTTTTTAGCAAGGTTCAAATTCTCTTCTTCGCCAACTTCTTGGACTTTTCTATCGCGACGTTCATATCTAATAGCAGTGAAGTTACTGAGAGCAACCGATCCAATACCCATCAAAAATAAAAATGGTAGGCCAAAATACAAGAACGGTTTTTTCTTCATGCCCTTTTGGTATCTCCCAGTAAGGGTCCTGTCGTATTCTAGCTGTTGAGCCTTGGTTCTAAATACCTTCGCACCAAATGATCCCATATCATAAACAATAATATACAGAATTTGTCTTTTTGGATGATATAAATGAAAAGATTTTGCATGAAACCGATCCCCCTTCAAAACGGTCATATATGTCGATGTTTTTTCCTCCATCTTCTTCCTCCCCGTGATCGCTTACATAATTACTTACCTCGTCTGTAGTAAATTGATACCCAAGAATCAAACGACTTTGTTGCCATATAGTATATTGCCGTACACAAATTGTAATCAGAATTTTAAAATTCCAAGAGTATACTGGGGTTATGATATGATTTATAATAATAATAATAACAATACTAATACGTCTTCCAGTGATAATAATCAATCAATCATACGTCATATCAATTATCTGATCCACACTTACCACCGGCAAATACTTAAACACCCTTGGAAATCAGCGAAAAGCTTCTAGGCTCAAACAATGCTGTGATGATTTATAGTTACCAGTCGCAGTTATCCTGTCACAACAACAAAGAAGAAAAGGGATAAAATAAGTCTTTGCTACACTATCACGTGCCATAGTCAACGATCTGGCACAACCTGCTGCATGGGTACCTCAGTATGGTGTCAGTGTGCTACAGTAATTGGATGAGTATATGGTGACCTAACTAATGTTACGTTTTGCATATTAGATTATGGCTTAGATTCGTATATCATGTCACTACCATCTGGATTGTCAGTCTTATTTGGTCTTTAGTTAGTTGTCCAACCATACCCACATTCCTCATAGACATTTTCTTTTCTTTTTTTTTTTTTTCTTTTTTTTTCTTTTTTTTTATTTTATTAATTTATTGAAGCTTACAAGATGAGATTCATCATAGCTTTCATAGTGGTAATATTATGGTGTGCATTGGGTAATGGATCTTTTACTGACGGCCGTGGTGGTCTTTATAACTCTAATGGTTATCTTATCTGTGAGTCTGGTTCTAGTAATGCTGCTACCACTGGCATTGCCTCTGCTGGTACTGCTACTGCTACTTGAGGATACTAAGCTTTTTCTCAGTAATGGGACCGTTCATTATCCATCCATCAGATTTTGTTTCATAAACGCCCAAGACAAATGATAAGAAAAAAAATTTGATTTTATTACAGCCTTCCAAACAAGTTCTTGAAGAATATGATCAAACATTTAATAAGATGTATCTAATGGATAAGGTATAGAAATATTTCCCCCAAATTGGAAATTCAATAGAGGTAAAATAAAAAAAAAAAAAATTAACGGCGACTAAAAATTTAAAAAAAAAAATTCTCTATGTAAACTAATTGGCATTGTTGTTGATGAGAGCATCTTTGGCAACTTCAGCTTGAGAGCCACTGTTGGAGCTAGCAAGATCAACCTTTTCTTCAATTTGCTTTTCGTCATCATAGATACCCAAGTCTTCGACATGTTCCTTGATTTCATTCATGGTTAATTTAGGCAAGTTTTGGGCAACTCTGAATGGCCAAGCCTTGTCCAACTTAGCCTTGGCATAAATGATATCGACTTCTTCCAAAGATCTGCCGGCAGTTTCTGGGTAGAAGAAGAAAATGATTGGGATCCAGATCATGTTCATGATAGCAAAGAAAAGGTAACAACCCCAACGTGTGTTGTTGACAAACAATGGAGTAAACATGACAACGGCAAAGTTACACAACCAGTTAGTAGCGGTAGAAATGGAGGAACCGACAGCTCTCTTGGATGGTTGGTTAATTTCTGGTGGGTAGACCCATGGAAGTTGCAAGATGGTACAACCAAAAAAGGCAATGAACAAGAACAAACCGACAGCAGCACCCTTAGCGTTAGCCTTGGTATCCTGAACCAAACAAGCAAAGGTGATCAAGAAAGCGACACTTTGACCACTAGCACCAACCAAAAACAACTTTCTTCTACCAACAGAGTCAACCATGAAATAAGCAGGGATGGATGCCAAAAAGTAGATAGTGGAGAACACACCACCCAAAATGGAAGCTAATTTGTGAGAAAGACCAATAGAGTTTTCAAAAAGAACGGTACTGTAGTAGATGGCAGCATTACAACCAGTAAATTGTTGGAAGAATTGAGTTGATGAACCAATGAGAACTCTGGCAAGGTCAGAAGTCTTGTTTGGTTTGAACAAATCCTTGTAGGAGCCTTGGCCATTGAATCTTTCGACGGTTTCGGAGATAAGAGTCATTTCAGAAATAATGAAGTCGTCATTTATATCCAAATCATCAAGTTTGGCGAGAATTTCTTGAGCTTCGTTATTTCTCTTTTTAGAGATCAACCATCTTGGGGAATCTGGCAAACTAATGGCACCAAACATCAAAATACCGGCAAAGAAAATTTGGAAAGCAATTGGGAATCTCCAACTGACGGAAGTATCAACGTAACCAATACCAAAGTCTAACCAGTAGGCAATGAAAGTACCGAAGGCAACGGTAGAACCTTCAATGTAAACCAATCTACCTCTGTTTTCTGGCTTGGACATTTCAGATTGCCAGACAGGAATGGTAGCAGTGTTCATACCATTACCAATACCAGTAATAACTCTACCAATAACGAATTGACCAGTACCCCAGGAATCCCTGAAAGCAGTGACAGAAATGACAGTACCAACAATGATGATGGAAGCACCAATAATAATCATAGGCTTTCTTCCGTATTTTTCACCTCTAAGCATAGCAAACAAAGCACCAAAGAAACAACCAATTTCATAACATGAGACAACGGCACCTTGGATAACAGTGGCATGAGAATCGTCAGAACCGTTTTGCTTGGTACCTGGAAATTCATAGTTGAATTGAGAACTGGAAATAATCGACCCCATGACACCCTGATCATAACCGAAAAGGGAGAAACCAATACAGGCAATGATGGTGATCGTCAGTCTGAGCTTACTGCCCGAAAGACCAAAAGAACTGGTTCTATCAATCGACTTATCAATTAAGCCGGTTAGCATTATGTGAATATTTCTGATAACAATAAATGAACGATAAGAAGCAACAATCAGATAACTAATAAACAAAAACAAGAAAAATAATCAAGAGAGAACTGTTTCCTGTTTATATTATTTGTTGATTTATATAATATATTATTATGTACAATTGTTGTGGTGAGGGATACAGGGATATGGCTGATATTTATAATAATTGTAGCTGCGTTCTGGACTGTTGCTTTTTCTGCTGTCTTTTCTTTTAGTTGTACAGAAAAAAAAAAAAAAATTTTTTGTTGTTGTTTTTTCCACATATTACATCATACTAGAAAAGGGTATCTGCGGGCTGGCAGAATTGTATGCAACGGAGTAGTCTCTCTGACATTGTTAAGGAGTTAAAGGATTATTAGTGAGTGATACATCTGGGAGTCAGAAGCCACCACTTAATAGGCAAAAACGGGCTAAGCAGTGGGTACTATGGCGGTGACATTTGGCTCTGGTATTATTCCTGGGATGATTTCTTTCTGTTTGTTGGGTTTTTTTCCTTCTTCAGTTTCGCTTACCCCGGTGCTACACCAGTGAAAGAAAGTATGGGGGATGGGGAAGGTTGCAACAAATTTTGTCATATAAGCGGACTTATGCAAATAGACGCACTCTTACTTGTACTGACGTAAAAGTATGCTGCTTTTGGGAATAAGTGGTTGTTGTTAAGGTTTGTGCCATATGCATCAGGTCGAAAAAAGAAAGAAAGAAAGAAAGGAAAAGAAAAGTAAAGAAAAGTAATGGTCGTTTTATCATGGGAATTCAGTTTCTTTTTTCAATTCTCAGATACGATTCTGGTGGTGGACATTAATCTCGGAAAAATCCCAGTGTTATTCACCCAACCTCGTCTTCTAGTATATGCCGGGATGCGATCTCCCTCGGGACGGCCGATCATTCGATCACTTTCTTCTGAAACATCCACCCCCGGAGACAGTACCTCGGAGGCTCGTAACCTCATCACCAATACATCATCATTCTTACCTTCTTTTTTATTCATTTATGGATTTTATCGATCTATTTCCAACACATACGGTGTAAGTTATCGGGTAGCCTTTCCCTTTTTCACTACAATTTGCGACATACCCTTATTACGGCAAACACAGATAAGGGGTTCCAACATGACATTTTACATAGTCCAGGGACTCGATGTACAATACATACAAGACCCTTCTAGTAACCAAAGTAGCTGTGATCGAGAGGACTTTTGCTATACTCATAGGACAACTTTTATTTGTTTTTTCCTTGATTCCACTCTTCTTCTGTAAAAAAAAAAAAAAAAAAAACGTTGGCTATTTATATATTGGTAAATGAAAAGAAAAACAGAAGAATGGATTTCTGGTTTGTGTGTTTGCGCGCACAGAATGCATTCCAGGTTAAAAAGTTAAGGACTATTGTTGGGTTCCTCGTTAAGCATAACAAAAACACACAATAAGATCCCAAACCACAGAAACATCATTTGCTAAAGGGTGAGAAATAGCAACGGCTGAAGTGTGGCCAGAAGTCATGTTTATTCCCTTTAGGAATCGGTAACGATGAGCCTTGGATAATTGGTCTGGGTTTACTTGGTTGATCATTTTGGTGTACAGAGCGGTGTCAAGGTTCTGACATCGTTCATCCAAGGATCATGCGCCACACAATTCACCATGTTTTCACCACACTGAGTACAAGATTGCTTTTGTGAGGGGTTTAGAAGCCATAGTTGGTGGAAAAAAACACTGCATCACTATTTTGGGAAATACTAATGATAGAAAAGAAAAAGTGGGTGTCATATTCGCATAACATTCAACAAAAATTGCAGGTGGAGAGGACTGTTACTGAAACAAAGATAGTTAAACGAAAATTGTGTACAGATTAGATTCTGATACACCCACCAAAGAAAAAAAAGTGACCTTACTTGTTGCATTAATAGAATTGGTGGAGGGTAAGAATACCAAGAAAACCTGGTTGCCCACGCTTTCTAAAGTCCGGGCTTATAAAAGAAGAAAAAGGATTAATCGATAGTGATGGAATAAATCACACGGATTCTTAATTCGTAACCATATCCCATAAGTATCATATTATCTATTAGCTGAGAGGGGTAATGTTGATTCTCTTTCTTTTCTTTTTAAGGGCGGGGTCCCGGGAATCTGGAATTCCCAGGCATGTCAAAAGTTTTCACCGTATACAAAAAGGGAAAAAAGAAAGAGCGAAGGGGAAAAAAAAAAAGAAAAAAAAAGGTTAAACGCACCTTCATGCAGATACGCGCCATGTTGAGGAGACTTGGGGGTGGCTGGGTCACAGGACAATTTCGTGGTTGTTAGGGGGTGCAACTGAAATTTACAACCAAAATAAAAATGTCTTTTTTTTTTCTCCATGAGAGATCTCTGCAGAGAATAAAAACAAGACATGTCTTCTTTACCTTCCAAGAGACCACTACAGTTCGTCTATCCCAGTATTTTCGTTTTTCCTCTTTTCTGTTTGTTTTGTTTCCCCTTAAAATTAAATAACAATAATCGTAAATCATGATAGTTACGACATTCTAAGTGATCACGACCAGACTAATTAACTCTCCAATTGGTGATGTCCCATTTCGTAGTTATGCCGCTAGTTACATATATGACGTAATAGGTTCCGGAATAAATAACGTTACTGATTATATATTTTTTTTTTCAAATGAAACAATAATTTGATGATAACATAAAATATTAAATTTGCATGAAATCTCTTTGTTAATATAAGATGCAAATTGAATTATATATTTTGACGAAGCCACTCAGTATTGGCACGTTGTCCAGTGTTGTAGTTTAAAACGGCCTGCACAATTTGTAGCTGCAAAATTATAACATGGGAAGTACTACTCTGTAACACCTTTTACGAAGGCTTTGCAATATTTAAAAGACGGCTTTGCAAACAAAAAAAAAAAAGATAGACATGGAAGTACAATTGAATGTGTATAATATGTGTAATGTATACAATGTATCATACCTTATGAGAAGGTTTCTCTTTATTTTTTTCTAAACAGAACTTTTGGTGGTAAATTGATGGATGCCCAGGACTGCTAAGACATCATCAACATGGCACGCAGGGAAGGTGGGAAATTCTTGGTCTCCAGTAAAAACGGCCTTATAAGCTGCTATGATAACAAAAATTAGGCATTCTTTCTATTCATTAGGCAAATTTGGATGAAGAAACTACCACATTGATATGAATGGATAAATAAACTTTGTCAATATTGACTAGGTCATCTTGGGAATGGTAAAGACTTTCAGTAGCTCCTAGCTTGGGGCTGGGTTTTCGCCTTTCGGTTTTATCGTCCATAAAATTGATCAGCATTTGATTCCCAGATAATAATAACGATCACGGAACTTGTCTTTTTTTTATTATTTCATTATTTTTATGTGGTAATGGAAATGAAATTGTCCAACAATCATAAATACTCTTTATGTGTGTGATTTATCTAAGACCTTTATTAACCCAGTTGATTGGCCATAACTATCGATTTATTGAATAACTAATTCATAAACACTGGTTGAGAATATATGAGACTCTAATGAAAATTTCATGATATATCTCCATCAAAATACTATAGAAATAATATTACAAATAAGAATAATACAAATAATAATAATACAAATAGTAATAATACAAATAGTAATAATACAAATAATAATAACACAAACAATAATAATAAAACATTGCACACACACACACCGCTTCTCCAATTGCTCAGCCCTCTTTCGTAGCTAATGAAACAACCTACAATCTTGGATCCCTCAGACTTATTCTGCTTAAAGACATAAGCAAAAAATTCAACTTTGTCGAGTGTTTATTTGTTAAAGAAACCACATGATTTGATGAAATAGACCGTTAAGACTGTTTCTCCGAGTCCCAATAGACACCTATGATATCGTATTGATAGAAAACTCATTCAGAAATACTATGAAGGATAATATTCCAAAAACTTCTGATGTCCATGGTTATGTTGAAAATACCAAAGTTCTTGAATAAACAACCACCCACCTCACTGAAAGTTTAAAAACCATGGAGCTCAAGAAGAAGACTTTTTCCAACAACGTTACATACTGGATGGTACTAAGGAATTTGCTTTTCAAAAACTCACCAAGTTCCAGATTATTCAATCTTGAATATGTAGAAGCTGCCAGGTTTATGGTTTCCATCAACTCTCAAGTTGCTGGCATTGATGCTGTTCCTGAAATGAAACCCTACACTGCTTGGTGACGGTCTCTTGGGATCCGCTTATGTTGTTGATTTTATCACTGATTTTCAAATCCTAATCGTTCAAGCTAATTACAACCCTGGTGTTTCGGAAATCATCTTTTTACAAATAATTGATTTGCTGCCTTGATATTATTATTAAAGATAAAATTTGAATGTAAGTATGTCATAGCCATTGATATCATTAATATTTGATCATAAGATCACGGAGAAAAAAAGTACAGTCATCATTTTCTTTCCACGAAGATTTTTAACAATTAGAAGGGGATTCTAATTGGAAATGTGAATTATTTGAGCTATTTGAGCTATTTGAGCTATTTGAACTAATTGAACAATTTTTTCAGTATTCTATAATGTATTGGTGGTTCTCATCCGAGGGTCCAGCTAGCGTTTGTTACACACTTCCTAATAATTATTTAAATAAACACTTATGAACACAATAAGGTTAAATCCCGAGTTCTCACACAAGACTATCTATAGAAACTGACCAATCTTTTCCGATTTAAAAGTAACTATATTACTCTAAGGTTGAAGTGGTATTTTATTCCTTAAAAATTCTACACGCACTCAGAATATATTTGGCGAATAACTGAGGTTCATCTCAAAAACCGTATGGCCAAATATATTTTTAGAGTGATACTATAAATATAAATAACCAACAAATTTTTTTTTCTTTTTTGAGCTGAATAACTGTCTACAATTTTACAAGATCTTTTGGAAATAGCTTTGTGAGGCTAGATAATCACAATTCCGTGAGCGGTTTAATTGACTTTCGAGTCTCAAAAGAGCATAAATGTCGCCCGAGCATGAAGTACCAATATTATGACAAGAACATTCGTACGATAAATCGGGCGTATCAATCTCGGATCCCCTACCCATGAAGACCAAAAGGCGCCACTAGTTCATCGAGCTCCAACAAGTTGAAGGAACATAACAGCAAATAAAATGGGGGCGACAAGTCCAGAACTGCAGAACGCAGCTGGTCAAGTCTTTGTGGTCCATGAGGCTGGGGGGTGGGGTCCTGATGGTAACAAATGTTGTTAAAGAAAGAAGAGCAGAGTAAGAAGAGTAACTGGTGAATAGTGGAAAATTTTGTAGTTTTATGCTTATGAAAAGAGGAGGGTAACATTTAAGTTCATTACCCGGTGTCATATCATTATCTTCAAACATTTCTGATCCACTTATTTCATTTTAATAATCGTCTACAATTCCTCATATATCCACCGAATCGTAGCAGTGTGTTTTAATTAAATCAAATTTTAAATTAATGATAATACACAAAACGGGTTACAAATTCTAAGCCAATGGTTTGCCAAATATCATTTTGTCTTCTTTAGTTGGCTTAAGATCTTGCCCATGTCTTGCAAAAGTATTATAACCGTAATTGTCGTGGTTATAGAAATATTTTCTTTCATAAGGATTCAATTCCCAGCCATTTCTCAATTTTTCAACAATGTCAGGATTAGAAGTGGATGGTCTGCCCAAACAAATCAAAGTTCTGTCATTGGCATCAACATCTTTGATAATGTTTGAAAAATCTGAAGGATTGCGCTTGTCGAAATAATCACCAGCACGGATAATATCGCCTTTGTAGATTTCATAGACCCATTCATTATCACCCACAATATCCTCTTCCCGCAAAGTCACTGAGCCATTGGTTCGTGGTTCCACAATACTGACATAGGCGAAACCGTGTTGCTTCCTTCTTTTTTCTAGCTCACTGAAGATATATGAAAAAGTAGCAATTGGGTGTGGATCACCATTGGCGCCAGCCATGCCCCCATGAGTAGCCCATGGAGAGATTCTGCAAGCAACACGGTCACCACCGACACGAGCAATTATGGAATCGACAACTTCAAAGAAGAAACGGGCACGGTTCTCAATGGACCCACCATATTCATCAGTACGATTATTGGATATCGATTGGAAGAATTGATCGAACAAGTACCCGTGAGCAGAATGTATTTCGACAATATCAAACCCTGCTTCATTAACTGCCCGGGCGGCAATATCTGCGTAAAGTTGGATGTACTCTTTGATTTCCTGCCTGGTCAAGGGGGTCAAAGGGTTGCCCAATTTGATAGCCTTTTGCTCATCTTCTTTACTGATATAAATGTTGGAAGCGCTCTTGTATGGAGTTCCCTCTCTGACCAACTCTTCGATCGTGGCAGTTCTTCCCAAGTTCCACATTTGACAGCACATGTAGGATCCATTGGCGTGGACTTTATCGGTAATTTTTCTCCACGCTTTAGCTTGTTGCTCACTCCAGACCCCTGGAACGCAAGCCCAACCGGCAGCCTTTAACGACACAAATGTTGCTTCACTGATAACGAGGGATCCCGGAGTTTTCGTCAAGTCATCGTAGTGTTGAAGCATCAAGTCGGTAGGAACATGATCAGGGGTGGCTCTGCTTCTCGTCAAAGGGGGGATAACGATTCTGTGAGAGAGATTGATTGATTTGCCGATTGTGATCGGCTGGAATAGGTTTGTGTTGGCTAATTCAGAAGGCATATTTTGCAAGCAATGAGTGATATTGCTAAGGTAACGATCACGATATGGCAGTATTTACTACAGTATCATCTATGTCTGTGGGGGGATCCACAGAGTATTTATACCCTATACATAGGGTATCTCACCCCCGCACAATATGTAAGCCTGCTTATTAATAATAAGATGCAAAGAAACATCTTATGTTAATTGGTGGTGTTGATTATTTAGTAAGCATATAGCTTACATGAAAAGAGCAATAATGTATTCATTAATAATAACATTTGTTCCCCTTGGTTTTCTCACAGTTGAACGTCCATATAATGAAAAGCAATTGGTGAATATGATCTTCATTGCTAAACCTTGGGGATATAAAAAACAACAAATTTTCCCAGATTCAGAGGTTTTCAAGATTGAGCTGCTAAATATTGATTTCAAATCCATTTTGAGCCTGTCCACGTAACTGGCGTATTATTTCATCCCAAAAGAGAATTTTCAAAATCAGTGTTTAGAAATGTGGACATTCCTTTCCAAAAAATGAGATATTTGAGAAACTGGTTTCAATAACACCAGAACCTTAAAAAATGAGGGCTCATCGTAAGCATGATAGAAAATTAACATTTGCTTATGGCAATTGAGAAGTTTTAGAAAGACCTTGGGGTATGACCCAAACGATTGGTACACATCAAACTGTTCCGACGGGTAATGGTAAATGATAACTTATAAAGTCTAATAGGGAAAAATTATATCCATGCAAGAATTTACAAGCATTTAGCATAAACAAAATACAATAAAGATGATACTGAAGAAACTAGCAGAGAGTGAAAGAAACCCTAACGCTACCTTATACATCGGGAACACCCCAGAAGAACTAGATGAGCATCTCCTATACGAACTACTTGTGCAAGCCGCTCCTATCAAAAACATCAAAATCCCCAAAGACAGAATCACAGGCTTGCCCCAGGGTTATGCCTTTGTCGAATTGAAGGTTGTTAACGATGTTGAGTATGTGGTTAATGTCATGAATGGGATAACGGTATTTGACAAGTCTTTGAAAATTAGAAAAGCCAACACTAACCAAACATCAAATAATAATCTTGGACAGAGCTCTCTCCAGGATTTACAAGACTCATCAAAAATCATTGATATTGGGGCAAATATCCATATTTCCAACCTAGATCCATTAATGGATGACAACTTACTTATCTCAACATTCTCGAATTTTGGTCAGTTGGCAAAACCTCCTCATATAGTTAGGAACAATGCCACGGAGAATAGCACTGGAAATTGTTTTGCATTCATAAGCTTTACTGACTTCGAATGCAGTGATAAAGCAATCAAAAGCATGAATGGGCAGTATCTTATGAATAGAGTTATAAAAGTAGACTATGCTTTCAAAAAAGGAAATCAAAAGGAAAAACACGGAGATAAAATTGAAAGAGAGTTGGCAAAAAGAGCGAAATCTAACCATTATGAAATGTATTAGATATAAATCATATAGAAATATCTAAAAGCTTTATGTTGTGGGACAATGCATCTTGGAGTGATGTGTGCTTTATTGTGGCATCCCTCATGGTAATATCTATCCAGCTACTTTTTTTTGATGACTAATGATTGATGAATGACTTGTTAAGAACTTTTTACCCTAACTCTTGTAAAATGAAGCATCGATAATTATGTATAATCATAATTACTTTAATTACTTTTAGTTTCATGTCGAGTAATTAGATTTCTTACAACAGATTTCTTACAACAGATGCAAAATGAAAACTAGGGAATATAAATATTTAGGCATAGCAGACGATGCATACACAAGAGCCAGATAAATAACAGATAAATGCAGATAAACACCGAAAAATTAGACTTTGCAGAGGAACAAAAGCAAAAATGAAATTATATGTAAAAAAATATATTTGGAATTCCAAAAATATGAGAAAGTCCGCCTAAAAAAAGCAGAGGTTAAAATCAATACCAATGTGGAAAGCTTTTTTTTTTTTCGGTATATTCTCACCATATACGTTGCCATACATTTTTTGGGTTTCCTGATTTGTCGATCCGCTCAACGTTTGGCAAAAGTATCCACATAAACAACATGAATGAAATCAACGCAATGAAAATGGGGTTTAAGATCCACGTTTGGAAGTACTGTGACATGATACCAATCAAGAACGGGAACAATGCCCCACCGCTACTTCCAAAAGCAGACATAATTGTCATAGAAATTACTTGCACCTTACGTGGTAAAATCCGTGTCACCAATCCAATCATCAATGGATAAGTTGGACCAAGAAAGAAGCCAACTAGAGAGGCCATAAAACCTGCGGCAACTGTATCGGTGATAAACCATGCTAAAATATCAAACGCAATTACAAGTAACGATAATACAATGATTGAGCGCCTATTACCTAAATATTTCACTCCTAATGGGGTCACAAGGAATCTGCTAACGGTGACACCAAACCAAAAACCAGAAGCAACGTAACGAGAAGACGCTTTACCATGACGATAATCAAGTAAAAACGTAACATACCACGACCCGAAACCAACTTCTGCACCTTGGTAGAAAAACACAAAAAGGGAAATAAGCCAGGTCTTGATGAGTTTAACAGCTAATGTGAAATCACTAGGAAGCTTGACAGACTCTCCTTCAACATCTTTTATGGATTTGGTGTGTAATATATCATTAGTAGATTCATTATCTGCCCCTGCGTTTACATCAGCCCCGGTGCTCAATACCTGGTCTTCCAATTCGATAGATGAAGCAGACTTTGCCTCTTTTACTAATTCCTCTTGGTTTTCAAAAGGTGAGAAATCTTCGGCAACATCTCTAAATGCCCACCATAAGAAAAACGAATTGAAGGTTGATACCCCCACCAACACCAAAAAGAAATAATACCACATGATTCCTGCTTCCAACATGACTGTAGCAACCAATGGGCCAATGGTTGCACCAATCCCGTAAGAGCCATGAAAGAATCCTAAATATACACTAGCTTTATCAATTCGACAAATATAGTAGTTATGATTTGCCAACCCACATGCTAATGCAATACCGCCGATAAAATAGGCAAAGACAACTACTGGGAATTTTGTCCCGGAAGAGACAATCCCATATTGGATCGCTTGCAATATTGCTGGCGAAGTTACTAAGAAATGAAGCCCAAGGCGCTTGCTTACCAAGTGGGAAGTAGAAGCCACGAGAATAAAACCAATACAATTCCCTAACCAGATAAGAGAAACGATGGAGTATGAGATATTATAATATGATTCAATGTTAGGTAATAGCGGTCCGATACAACCATCCGAGATCCCACCGTTGAAGCACCAGAAGCAAGAGGCGAGAAGTCTCCATCTGTTCATTGGTGGGTTACTCAAGGTCATCATCGTTGGATGTGTATCCTTGTTATCAGAACCTGCATCATCGACAATAGGACTCTCAGGGTCTCCGATCACATGAAACTCATAACCTTCATCTTCCCCACCATCTTCATATATTGATGGGCTACCTGTGATCTTTTTCCCTTTTGCAAGCTTCTTGGTTGGGACTTGTTGTTGGTTAGGAAAACTGTTCAATCTAGTGGTACTGTTGGCAAACATCCCTCCACTCTCAAGCTCAAATCCCGGGGTCGTAGGCAACAGCTCTGGAATGACCGGAACATTGGTCGAATCATCGGTTTGAAGAATGGTATTGAAATATCCGGGGGTGAATGATGGTCGAGGGATCACATTGCTATTTGATCTTTTGGTTAGGTACTGATCATCGATTCCGCGAGCTTGCGAAGCGCCGGCTTTAGCTTCAGGAGGCGCCTCGGGATGCCCTTCATCATAAAATGAAGATTGTGGGACTTTAGCAATGATCTCAGTAGTTTTGCCCATAATGATAACTATAAATTGATGATATTTGATGAGTGTGGATGGAGTTTGAAATTTTTTTTCTTTTTTTTTTTTTTTTTTCTCCACCTTAGATAAAAGTTTATCAAAAGATCGCTATTATATCCCGCCTGGACAAAATCGAGAGCCCACGTTCTTGGATATATGTAGCAACAGTGAGCAGAAACGCAGAAAAGAGGGAGAGAAGTAAAAAAGAGATAAACTTGATAAAGCACGATTAGTTAGAGATAGAGACGGTGGTACTAAAGGAAATCCAATAAAGATCTGATAAAAATATGAAAACAGTAAAAACCACTAAGAAATAGTTGCCGATCCCCTACGAGATCTCTAGACTCTCATGCACTCCCTATGCACCGGGCCGCGGTCCCACCCAAACTAGAATTTTGTGGGGGGGGGGGGGGGACATTTATCATCTAATAATAATCTATTATAATATATATATATATATATATATATATATAAGAAACACCCACCTAGAAAACAAACACAATCACAGAATAGTGGTAAAAGAAAAAAAAATAACGAGAAAAAAAAAGAGTAAAAACAAAAGATAACCGTCTCACAATAATACAATAACGAAAAATATAACCAAGAACTAACAGCACGAGTTCAAATGATCCCTCCGGTGATCTGCCTGACCCTGCGCTTCTTTCTCAGACTTACAATCTTTCCAGACAGATTACCTACCAACAACCTGATAGAGTCAGAACTACCAGAGTCACTGGAGCCACCAATTAATGAGCTGAGCGAACCATTTTTCCTTAGCGGTTTTATGATTTGGCAATTCACTCTGGATTTCATTAAGGGTGCAGTGCATGTTCTGTTATCGTGTTTGCGATCTACCCATCTCTCAGAGCCACCTGTTAGCTGCCAAACCAAGGGGTGATCCGGGGATTGGTCAATCACCATTTGAAGGAATTCATCAGAAGCAAACATTTTCAAGCATTTCACAACCTTAAATACCTGAGTTTTTGGAATTTTCGGTAGACTGTGGCTGGAAATTGTCGATCTCATAACACTTAATACTCTAAACCATGATCCACAATTCTTTCTAACCTGGATTGCAATATGTTGCGACTTAGGCGGTGATTCTAATTGATTCCTCATGATTTCTTTCACATCTTCCAAAAAACTCAAGTATTGACCAGTCATTCCATAATTATTTATCTTATTCATGATCAAATTCAATGTTTTAAGAACCTTCCTAAACGCAAAATTTATCGTCTTCGGTACCATTTCATCAATATTTGTATACTCATTTCCCAAAGAGTTGAAAACCGTTAAACTGCAGTAAATGAGCTGTGATAAAATTTTAAAAATGTTCCCAATATTTTCTAACTGTTTGGTACCTCTATTAAGAACATCAACAGATTTTTCAATAATCACGAATAATTCACTTCTCATAAATGTGCTCAAGTAGAGTTTTTTTATTGCCAAATATTTTATAATTACATAATATGATTCTGGTTTATATCCTCCAATAATAATATCATTATCATCATATTTCACCCATTCGTTGATTCTTTTACCACTGCTCCAAGCACCCTGGCACGGCTCGTGGGCATTCACCACCTGATCCCAGAACTCTGACTCCTCAATGGATTCCAAATATACCTTAATTAAGTAGCGCTGCATATACCGATATTCATATTTAGAACAAAATTTTATGAGTATTGGCATCAAATGTTTGACATTTTCAAAGTTCTTGATGACTAGGCCAATAATTTCTCCCACGATAATCCACTTAAAATACTGAGGCTGCATTCCCTGTAATAAATGATACCACTGGCTTCTGTTTTCAAAAACCAATTGCTTATTTGAAATAAATCTGCCATTATTTTTCAATTGACCAGCACCACTATCGCTATCTTCTGAGTCGATATCTTCAAACGTGGGATAATCTTCTGTGGACCTATTCTCATCGCTCCCCTTGCCCTCAGCTCTAGTAGATTTGTTTTTTTCGTTCAATATCATGCTGATCCCAATTTTGATACTAGTTGATTCAGAGAAACTTCTTAAAACCTGGGGTTCTTGTGATGAACCAAGCTTAGTCATTAACACTTTGAATTCTGTGTAGATCTCTGATAATGGTTCATAAAATTTATCGGGAATATTCTTTCTCATCATCAACCAGTCATAATCTCCTGGATCATTGATTTTCAATATTTTTGTTGTAGCATGGTTATACTTAGCTGACGGCTCGAGATTGATGACTTTCTTACATGATTCATATTTTTCGTCCTCCGAGTTTTCATTATCAGCATAATCCTCATCATTGTAGTCACTGTCACTATTATCTCCCTCAGATTCGCTAGGACCATAATTATCCCCACTCTCGTTATCGGGTATTATTTCTCGTGATCGCCTTAGAATACTCAATTTGTGTTGTAGAATCGGTATCTCCTCATCGCTTTCCTCACTTTGGGACTCCAAATCGATTCCCACGATTTTGAAGAGAGCGCTAATATCTTCGAAATTAGAGCTAGTTATATTCGCCACACTTGAATGACGCAGAAACTTCAGCCGGTAAATGTTGAGTCGTGATTCAAAAGGTCTTAATACACGACTACACCGTGAAATAGACCAAGGTGATGTGATGGAATTGGGAATGGTTCGTGAAGGAGGTCTGGACGACGACCGCGGCCGGTTTTTTGGAACTATTGTCATTTCTATGGAGTCCCTTCCTTCGGGTTTCGCTTCCTCCAAAGGTTTCCTTTGTGGGCGTTTCTCTTCAATATTGGCTGCTATTTTTTTTCCCGCAGGGTTCAACCAAACAAAATTAATTACCAATGGATCAGATATACTCGGATTTAGTCTCTGTATGAATATGCATGAATATGCACGAATCACACTCAACTGCAAGGATCACAACATTAAGGCCAGGTAACCTGTAACTTTTTTTTTTTTATTTTCAACTTCATCTTTAAGGAAAATTTTTTTAAACATTCCCACGTTTGTTATTGCATTTGCTAATTTTACAACAACACAACATCTCACAATGATTATTTTCAAGGTATGTGCTGAATATTTTATACCAGCTTGTTTGATACGTGTCTTTTCAATCTAAAGGTAGCATTTTCTAGCGCCTGGAGAGCATTGTAAATTACAATTTTTTCTTTTCTTTTTAAAAAAATGAACGAACAGCTTGTGATAGTTATTATAGACTTTTTACCAAGACCTCCCTACTAACAATTGAATCAGGACATTATTTCTGGTGACGAATTGCTCTCTGACGCTTATGAACCAAAATTGGTTGACAATGTCGTTTACGAAGCTGACTGTACCATGATCAAGGTTAAGGCTGGTGCTGATGTTGATATCGGTGCTAACCCATCTGCCGAAGACGCTGAAGAAGAAGTGGAAGAGGGTGTTGAAACCCTCAACAATGTTGTCTACTCTTTCAGATTGCAACAAACCGCTTTCGACAAGAAGTCTTTCTTGACTTACATCAAGGGTTACATGAAGTCTGTCAAGGCTAAGTTGGCTGAAATCGACCCAGAACAAATCCCAGTTTTCGAAAAGGGTGCCACCGCCTACGTTAAGAAGGTCATTGGTTCTTTCAAGGAATGGGACTTCTACACTGGTGAAAGCATGGACCCAGATGGAATGGTCGTCTTGTTGAACTACCGTGAAGATGGTGTTACCCCATACGTTGTCATCTGGAAACACGGTATTCAAGAAGAAAAGATCTAAGCATATTTTGTTTTGATTTATCTATTTTGAATTTTCTACTGGTTTTTCACATTTTAGTTGGTAAAAAGATTTTTTTTTTTTAAACAAAGTAGTGTTGGTTTAAATGAATCGATATTCTATTTTTTAATATTAACTTGCTGTAAGGCGTTTCATTTTTTCTTTTTACAGGCATTATTATCTTTCATAATGGAAGATTACAACTGCCCACCATCAAGGGTTTACGGAATAAAAAAACATCATAAATCATTATTATTATCATAACATTTAAGAAATAAATTCTACTAAGTTCTTTTCAGGCATCTACTTTTACATTTAGTTTATTTATCTTCATTCTTTGGAATGACGATCATGCAAACATTCTCCAAGGAAATATCCAGCTCCACATATCGAGCAATCTTCACATTATACCCCTTTTCCCTCATCGCAAAGACTCTACACTCATCAATGATCCTCCTTGCCTTCAAACCCAATGCCTCTCTTTGCAAAACTGTTAGATTGGATGGATGATTATTAATATCGTCGTCAGCCATTCCAGGGCGACGTCCATTAGTGGCCCACGATACGAGTTTGGTGAGAACGTTGAAAATTGAAACGAGCTTAGACAGAGAGCATTCGAAAATTTGGGACAAGAATCTCTTTGAATCAGGTAAAAACATAGAATAGTCACAAACATGGCGACAGCACATGGCAACGACAAGTCCGCCGAATTGCGTCTCCAAGGTTTTTGCATTCAAAATGCATTGAAGAGTAAGATCTGTAGCACAGCCACACAAGTGTTTTGATATCCCTACAAATTTCCTTGAAATTTTCTGGAATTGAGGAGTTTGAAGAACGTCATCGAGGTAAAGATCTTTAATGTCCGTTTTTAATCGTAGGACAAATGGGGCTAATTTAGATAACTCGGAGGATGCCACATCAGATTTGGTGTTGGAAGTAGACAAATCTATCAGTTGTCTGACCTCCATATAATCTTTAGCAATTTTGCTGTCCATTTTCATTCGACTACCAGACCTATCAATCAATAGAAACCCCGGCATACTAACATCATCCAACTGATCTTTATGCGTGCACAATGTCCTATAGACAATGTCCTTGGCCAAATATCTTGATAATTCTGCCCTGCCACACCCAAACTCAATATAATCTTTGTCATTACCATACAATCCATTTTCAATTAAGTGGGAAATGAGGGAAGACTGCTGAATAATGTGTTTTTGGTTACCAAGTTCCTTGAATCGCGATTTTATCACTGACAGAGATTCTCCTTCACCAGATTTGTTTTCTAGTGGTAAAATCTCTGAAAAGCTAGCATCTTGAGCTTGGAGAATTGAAATGAGATTAGCAAACGCTTTCTCTACAACTGGGATCCAGTATTTGTAGTAATCTTCTGATTTGGTATCGAGGTTGTTGCTCTCACTAGCTTCTTTATGTGCTTCAGAGGAGCAACTATTGAAGTTCTTCCTGAACCAAGACTTAGTCTCTGGCTCTTTTATCGCCTTAGTTTTGTTGCATTTTTTTACGTGACTTTTTAAGTTCCTTTCCCAGATACTATGCGAAGGATCCAAGGGACATGGGATTCGCTGGCTCTCAGTACCTAATTCCTCACTATCACCTCCGTTATTATTCTTCTGCTCTTCAGTGGCTGCAATAATATGCGCCGGACAATATTTCTCCAGTTCACGCCTCATCATTTTGCAGGATCTATTCTTACTTTTCATGAAATAGGTACAATGGAACTTTGGTTTTCCATCTTTCTTCTGGGATTTAGTGATTTTCCGTTTTTTGGCATTTTGATCACCATCAAGAGTTTCTAGAGGAAAAGGTTCTTTTCGGGGAGCATCATGAATCTCTCCCATCTTTCAGAAGAGTTTTCCGAGGAGATTTTTTTCCCTATACAAGTGTAGATGTTGAATAAACTCTTTATTTGATTTTTCACTGTGGAGTTTGAATTTTTTTTTCCACCCACCACTCCGGATATGGCTATCATCAAAAGTGCGCTTAGACCTTTCAAAATAATTTGTGCAACAAACAAACAAAAAGGCACTTCTTTCGGCTATTATTGTAAGTGATTAGTTCCTCGTATCCATTGAGAAGTCATTTTAAACCATCGAACTCACGTTTTATTTTGTTTTTGACTGAAGCTTCTGCTTTTCTGTTTTTAAGTAACTCATTAGAAGCTTTTTGAACGGCTATTTTCATGAAGAAGGGGAAAGATATCTTGTTTAACTTAAGGAGTGAGCAAGTACAGGTGGGTATATAGATACAGACACACACATATATACACACCAGAAGGGATTTAACTCAAGCTATAACAGCTTGTTTTTAATAAATCCTCGTCATGTCACCTTCATATAATCAGTCAGCGTATATTCATGATGGTACCAGAAGACTGCTGCAAAAACTGTCATCTCGTCATACTATCAGTAGACCTTATAATTCTAAGAACGAATCACAAATACCAAAGGACAGCCAGCAAAGAAAAATACTGGACGGTAATCCACAAGTCTCGGTTAATATGAATTCAAGGATAGCTGAGAATATCTATCAGAGGTATCACCAGGATCATAGCACGCCCAATCATAACTCTTTCGGCGGAGACAATCATAGGAAAACTTTTAATACCATCAAAGCAGAGAAACTAAATTTCAACACAAACAGTAATATTGCTCCACAATCCAGGAGATCAAGTCTGTCCACCAAAAGAAGTGTTTCGTCTGAAGGTAAAGTTAATGTTAATAATGATAGAAATATTTTGATTGCGATCAATCATGCTAAAATTTTTAGTTATAATGCCCATCAGCTGTCACTGCTTTATCGGTCTACCTCAGCGGAATCTAATTCCCTATATTCTTTGAAACGAGTGGAGTCAATAGATTCAATACGAAGTAATATTTCAGAGATTTTAATCAATGAAGGAGTGGATAACGGGGACATTAGTAGGGATGATACTGTGAGCATTAACAGTAAAAATCGAATTAGGACTTCAAAGGGAAGGTTGATGGCACACGGAATACTACAAATTTATGAAATCGAAGGTGGAATTTCATATTTATCGTGTGGAGGAGGCATTAAAACTACTAGAGACACATTTGTACATCCGTTATTACCAAAGCTCAAGATCTTTAAGATTAATGAGTATTCTTTCATTTTAATGTTATCGCATCCGGAACGATTTTGGAAGATCTTGTTTGATGCTGCAGCGATCGATAAAGAGTTTTCTAGCACAAATACTTTTTCAGGTATTGATTATTTGGAACAAATTGGGGAATTAGAGAAAATTTTTCAAAAACTCTGCTTTTTTGTGGATATTCTTCCAGCTCCAGCGTTAAGCTCTAGCGATGAAGGCGAAAAGTTATCAGGGTGCCAACTTGTGTCGAATAATATTAATAGAGATGTGAGCCTGGGATCAAATCAAAAGCATGGTGCAATAAAAGCCAAACCCGTCAAACAGAAAGTCCCACAACGATCGAGCTCTATGGAAGACGCCAGGTCCAAAATAGTAGATAGTTCAAAGAAAGGGAAAATTGGAAATCGTTTGAGTAAACTCTTCAAACACAAAGGAAAGATAAAACTTAGTGAAGACATGATCACTGCTGGCGAGGTCCAAAGCTCACTATCAAGCTATAGTCCAAGAAGGTCTCTGTTTGATAATACCAGTTCTAATATGCTGAAAAGTAATTTAACAGATAATCAAAGCTCAGCGGCTACGAATTACAACACATATATCGATAAGTTGATAGAGGAAAAGGTGGAAGAGAAAATGCGAAGGCGTTTAGAGCAAAATGCTTCTCAAATGACAGCACTGAAAGCAATTTCAAGAAGAGAAGAAGAAACTAAAAATTTCACAAGTCCTTTTCAAGTGAAGTCTTCTAAAGAATCCATTGCCAGTTCAGAATCTTCTAGTGATAGTTTACTATATCGTATTATTGAAGAACATCATGACGTTGAAGCTGATCTTGACAATCCTAGATTCTTGAAGGATTTAACCGAGAAGCTAAACAATGATGTAAGCAATGAAATATTTTTAGAAAAGAAAAGACAGTCGGTGATCGATGGTGAAAGTGATTTAGTTATGGCTCAATTACAAGAAAATATGAGCAAGAATTTCAATGGATATAATTTCGAATCAAATGGTTTGGATATTGTCAAAAGTCAAAAATCTGGCAATAATAAAGGGACATTATATGATGAAACAAGCAACTGGATGGATATTAATGAAATTCAGCTAAAAGCTGATGAAGCGGGTTTTGAGGATGATGAACATGAAGCAGAGATGATGTTGATGATGATGCGACCTAGTATTGAGAACGCTCAACCAATGAGTAAAGAGAGTAATCAAAAGTCATCGTTTGGAATGAAGAGTCTTAATAGATCAAACTCAAGGTTAAGAGCCTCTAGATTTCACGTTAGATATCAACCACATCCCAACCTCAACGATGACATTAATAGTTATTATAGCTCTCGGACTTATGCCGCTGGACAAAGGAGAAATGCGAGCAAATTTGGCAGTGTTAAGAATTTCAATAATGCCCGTTTCGGGGTGAATAATAATGATGGAAAAGACGATGATATGAAATCTTACTATTCATTACGGTACTCAATTCTTGGAGGCCGAGGCGGTGATGGAGTTTCTGAAAGATCAAGAAGAACTGGCATGACACTGCTTGGTGCAAACAGAAATGATGGCGACAACAATATTTATTCTAGGGAAATTTATAACCTTATTATGGATGATCAAAACGGTGAGGTGAAGAATCCCCGAAATGAAAATGACCGAGGAAGTGAGGCCAATAAAGGGCTATTATCGAAGTTTTTAGGGTGGTGATGATGAGATATTCATATTGTGGATTGTAATTAATGTAATATATATATGTAATTTAGGCTTCAACCCAGTATTTCTTGTGGTAGTGCAATGTTTTTTTTTTAGTTTGCTTTGGAGATGAGGTTGGTTAATGTATGCATTTTTTTTCTGGTGGAATTCATTTTCAGAATTGAATTTGTGCGTAACGGTGGTATTGTTTCAATTTTAATGATTTTTCTGAAAAGATTCAAAAACTATCAGGAGAACGGAAAAGTTAGTAAGACATGGATCATAAATGCATGTTGAGGATAAGAAAAAAAAAGAAGCACTTCTTACCCGCCTGCAACACCGAGCAGGCTGGCGGGTTACCAATTTCCTAGCGATAATTTAAATGAGTTACCTGATATAATTCATCTGTGACTGTGAGCTTCCAATGAGTTTGACAGATACATTCATTGGAATAAACTTTGGGTATACCGTTTGTACAAACAGCTAGACAACACAAGGGGTGGAAATATGAGTGCCGAACAAGCGAAAAAGAGAACTTTGTTGGCAGTCATTGGGGATGAAGATACCATCACTGGTATGCTTCTTGCTGGAATTGGACAAATTGATAACGATGCTGGTGAAGACTATAAGCAAAAGAACTTCTATGTGGTGGATGCGAAGACTACTGACGAGCAGATTGCTAGCTGTTTCGACCACTATACCATTGACAGAGACGATATTGCGATTTTGTTGATCAATCAACATTTGGCCGAAAGAATCAGATACAAGGTGGAAGACTACACTGCGGCCTTCCCAGCAGTATTAGAAATCCCATCAAAAGACCATGCCTATGACCCAGAAAAGGATAGTGTCTTGAAGAGAGTCAAGAGACTTTTTGGAGAGTGAATTTTCTGCTTTTCAGTTAGTTCGTTTGTTGTTTGTTTTATTTTTCCTAGATGAGAAATTGGTGTGAATTGGCAGTCGACAGTTAAGACTAGAGGTATACTATGCGGCAGAAGAAAAAGTTTTCTATGGAATATATACTAAATTTCCAAAAATTCAAATTAGATTACTGTTACTGAAGCGGATATACAGCGGGGGGCATGGTTATAAATTGTCAATATGGATCTATTTTGATTATTTAATTTTAATTTTAAGCTCTTTTTTTTTCATTATTTTTATTTTTTTCCAAAAAACTTTTTGTTTATTTTCTTTAATGTTTTCTCTTTATGACAGATTTGTGATTCGACAAATATAAAACCAAATCATGACAATTGACGTTTGTAGAGACACTTTTAGGAATGTTGAATATTGTGTTCAGGGGAAAAAAAAAGATTTTCAAAAGTTGGTGAGGCCAACGCAGTATAAGATTACAAGAGATAGGAAGACGGTAAAATAGAAATATAGAATAGAATATTAATTAATATTTATCATTCATGTGATAAAATCCACTGAATACTTTCAGCTACTCCTTCACCAGTCTTACAAGACATCAACATAATTGCAAAATCTCTATCATGAAGACAGATTTCAACCGAGTAATTTTTAGGAATATTTTCAACAGTTTTGAAATTTCGAGCTGCGTCATTGCATTCGGAAAGTTTTAATTGTTGGAATAATTTGAGGAAATCTTCATCATTTGTAAAATCTTCATGGCTGAGTCTAATGAAGAGCTTATCGTCATCTTCGTCTTTCACAAATAAATCCAAGTCATTGGCTAATTGATTTATCGAGATATTTTCCAGAACTCTCAAAGGAGGACTTTTTTTTAGGGCATTATTAGCATGCCTATACTGGTTAGTGATTGTCTGTTTACTCAACAACATGTCCGTTGAACTGCTTGCAGCCAGTAGGCTTGACAGTAGATTAAGACAAAAAGCTGAAGAGGTATCGGAATCTTTTTGTTTGTTGCTATTACTGATAGCTGTGGTTGATGAAGATTCTCCGTTATCTTCAGATAATGATTCATATTTATCAATAACGATATCAAGTTTATTACCCAAGATTAGCAAAGGGGTCTTAAAATGGTAGGATTTAAGAATCAACTTTTTCAACAACTTCCTTGATTTGATAAAATCCTCATGTCTTACCTCATGTGTATTCCTAATAAGGTATTCCGAGTAATCGAAGACGAAAATAATTACTTTATCATTATCATTAGAAGTCAATGTGCCCAATAATTGCTGCTGGTACTTATTTTGTCCTCCATAATCCAGACTTGATAGTTAGTACATATTTTAATAAGCTGGCAAATTATTCTCTAGTAAAGATACTCACCAGATTATAGAAGTGTCGTCAATGTATGCTCGAGAATTTTTGTGGTTTTTTGTGGGAACAGTGTTGGCATCAAATCTGGAGGTGTCAATATTTGCGGAGGATGATGATCCAGCGATAAGCAGGACAAAACTTGATTTACCAGAATCCATGGGACCACACACTACGAGCTGCAACTGAATGGGCTGGAATAGAGACCACAAAGCATTACCAAAATTCCATATGCACCCTGTATTCATCGCTGCTGATAATTGAGTGTCACTCAGGCTAGGATTTATGGATATGATGAATATATTTGGTTTATTTTATTTATTTATTTACTTAGTTTTTTTTTTTTTTGGCAGATGTCATTTTGCGATGGGCCCGCAGGCGACAACGATAATAATAAGCAACGAAGACATCACAAAACAACCGAAAAAAAAAAAAGATCGCATTTTAAAATAATCATAAAAAACATTAGGAAAGAGAGAGACATATGACACGAATACCCGAGGGTCTTTGAAGTGCAAAAAAACAAGTCTTGTCTACCACTCAAAAACAACGTATTATTATTACCCAGCCGGGCAACACCTCTATCTCCCAACCAAAAATTTCACAAATGCAGTCGTAAGATATTATTATCTTGTTGATAGCACATACCCACATAGACAGCAACATAATAATTATAGAGAGACTTATAGAAGGTGTTAGGAATATTGAATTGCACACATCATCACCATAAAGAATGCAATCCTCAAATACCGCTAATATTGTCCTCAATATTGATGGTGATGGCAGTGCTCAAACAAACCCTGAACCCAGACCGGCTTTTATTTCAGAAAATAATAGAACTAAGAGCGCCTCCCCTTCGCTTATAGATCAGCTACTAGCGTCTAGTAAACAGAAGAAAAAGAAGAAAAAGGGCCCGCCACCTTTATATAGGACTATCGGAGTGAGAAGCGCTTTCAGCAGTCCTGATGGCTCAACTTGGAGCATCGATCATATCAAACAAGCTAGACCTCCATACCAATCAAGAGTGTCTTTCGATACCGTCAATATAGATGTGCTGCCAAGTGAAGGGGTGGATCCTGAGATTTATCCAGAGTACTATGGTATCGATCCTTCGCTACGTCTTCAAGGTACCCGAAGAGTTAGTGAGACTCATGCAGAATTGCGCCCAGAAATTCTTGCCAGTATGTCTGATCTGGATTACAGAAAGTATCAAAAAAAAATCAAAAAGGCAAATGAAGCAATTCAAGCTATGCACAATCAAGTTTGCTGTTATTCAAAAGAGCATAAAGATTTCAATCAAATCTACGTCAATTATAACAACCGAGACACAAAAGCTTTGAGACCAACTGATAAGCTTCCGGCGTTTCCCAGAAGAACAATATTGGTATATATTTCTGGAAGAAAGCATACATGGGTAGCACTCGATTGGGCAATTAAGAAATTGTTGAAGGACGGTGATCATTTAGTGGTTGTGGCTTCAATCTTTCCCGAATTAATGGAGAAATTAGATATTTCTTCTAGCGCAATACATTCTAGAAGCGTTAGCAGAAGTCCAAATAGAACAAATAGATTTGACACATCTGGTAATATTGGTATAAGAGGCTCACGATCGAATTTGGGTTCGAGATCAGGGTCAACTATGGGATCAAGATCAGCATCAACTATAAGAACTAACCGTTTCAAAAGCCTCAATATGGACAGGGCTAGAATTGATGGCGATGATGATGATGATGATGATGATGGTGATGATGATGATGAATTACATGGTTTCAAAGTATCTGCAGGCTTCGCTGATAAAGATATACTTGATATCAGAAAAAAAGCCAAATCCATCATCCAATATATTATGACAGTGGCGGATCCTGACCTTATCATTAAAGTTACCATTGATTTAAGTGTCGGATCTACAAAAGACGTGTTGAAAGATTCTTATATTCTTTACACTCCAACTTTGGTTGTGTGCTCTGCTAAACCAAAAGAAGATTCTGCGCCACTACGGAGCTGGAAAAGCTCTAGACTATCTGATAGGGTAGTTAAAAATTTTACTATTCCGGTCATAATTGTTCCTGCGATGAATATGAATAAGTTTGTCAGCAAATTGTTTGAAAGTCTTTCAGAACGAATTTCCCCTGAAATTAAAACAGCATCTTCGACGTCTGTTGTTAGTGCAACCCAAATTAAAGCTGAACTACCACAGAACAACAGTGCTCCTGCTTCCTTGAATGATTTGGTGAAAAAATCTGATGATGACGACGACTACCCAGTTTCTACTAATGGTAGCATACGACAAATCATGGGTGATATCAGCTCTATTGAATCTAGACAATCTGTTGACTCTGACAGTTCAGACAGTGAAAGTGATGCCGAATCAAGTGATGAGGAAGATACCTCAGACAGTGAAAGCAAGAATTCCATCAGTAATGATGCAACATCGTCCAAAGATGCTATTGAAAAGCCAAAAAGAACTCCTTCCAAAAAGAACTACAAACCGAGACCAAAATTATTGCGGATTAAAACATTGATTTCTGAAATGAATTATGATGAGGCGCCAGATTTATCTACAACACAAAGTATTGAAGGGTTTGTGAAGACACAAGAGAAGAAATTGGATGAGAACTTGAAGTTAATTCCCATGATATTGGATGAGAGCACGGATGATTTGAATATGATTCCTAAATTTGATCCAAATTACTTTAAGAATCAACTAGACTTGGTTTCTGGAAGCTCATTATATATCACTAAGAAACTAAAAAGCAAAGATTTCACTGAAGATTCAGAAGTCAGTGAACTTGTGCGGAGAATCACTGGCGATGTTTCATTATCTCAACCAAAAAAATTCAAGTCAATGTTGCTCGATGTTCCACCTCCTTCCAAACCAAAGGGAAGGGTACCGGCGTCCACTTATAACGCTCGTTCAAGCGGTGGGCCAAGTACATTAAAGAAGCCGTCCGCCATCAAGTTCTCTGAGCCAGCGAAGTACGGTAGCGGATTGGCCAAAACTACTAGTCGACACACCATTCACAGCATGCCTAGTATTTCAGTAAAAACTTCGAGTGATAATGCCAAGAGTTTGGTTCCTACGAAAAGTAACCCTCAGGATTCTATTCTTAGACCGTCACACTCGAAGCTGTTTTCTCCAATTAGTAGCAACGACTCTTTTTCAGGAGATCCCCTCAGTGCTGGTAGCAGTAGGAGCAGGAGCAGGAGCCTTAATCCTGAAAAGACTGAAACTTCCAAAGGAAGCATATTCAAATTCGGTAAGAAAAGCAAATCTAAGTCCAAATCTGCTTCTTTAGGAGGCCTCGTGGAGCTACACAATATGATTGGTGATAAAGAAACGCCACATTCAAATAATCTGAAAGATGCTCATAAATCCAGAAAGAGATCATTCCTTGGTAAGTGGAAGTAGTTGTTTACTATTTCCCTATTTTTGGAATGTGCTGAATTTTTTTTGAACAAAAATGTACAAAATCCGGACCCACTTTTGCACATTTTTTTTTTATAGTGCAGGTCACTGACATCATGAATAATACACTACCTATAGATTTCACCACCCATAAATATAAGCTTTTCTAGTGAAATTCATCAAATTTATTGTAAATTACAGAGTAGCATTCTGTAAGCTTTCAACTAGAATATGATTTAAATCGTGATACTAGCATAGCAAATTACAACAAGCTTCAAAAAAAACGGGGGCACTGAAACACCAATAAGAATTAAATCGACCACCTACACGGAACCAAACCACCAAGATGATCTAGGGATGCCAACCTTCAAGGATTTGGATATGTGAAGTATTTTTATGGTATAAGATGATATTTGTTAAAATAACAATATCTGTGCTTTTTCTTTTGAAATAGAATACGTGTAACAAAAATAATTATTAAAACTTGGGGATATGACTGTGAGATGTCGTTCAATGAATGTTTGGTGCAGGTAGATGATCACCCGAGTCAGTCTTCCAAAGTAGGAGCTGCTATTAACATTGTTATAATATGATATGATTACTGACCAATATTTGGTATTATTATTTCACTATGGCTCGTTACCTCATCTTGGATCACAGAACCAAAGGGGAATTTTGTCTGTTTTGATTTTTCTTATTTTTTAGAATCGAATGTTATTTTCTTTTAAATTCTTTGCGATTAGGTTATCCATAGTTTGGGATCTATTAATCAATCCTATAATGAGTTTCACAGCTATTAATTCTTCATCTCTACAGATCAGCTTAGACTACGGGATCACAAAAGTGTCAAATAATTAACTCCTTTCTGCGATAAATGGAAGCCCCTTACTATTCCGAGTCAGAAATACTATGATTGCCAGCTCTGGTGTTACACATGCCACTGGTGAATGGATAGGTAGCCCAAATTTCACAATAGCGGTCTTTAACAAAACATAATTCAAAGAAAATATCGCCACATCGAAATTACAGAAATACTTTTATGCAGAGATTATATTAATGTATATTTATGCAAGGATCATATGGAATTTTTGTTTTTTAGGTCCCTTCCCCAACATAAGTTGCTATATAGATATATAGATAGATTTGTCCTGTACTCTATTACGAAATTGGCTGATAATATTAATCAATAAAGAGAGTAATAACTATACTTTATGAGATTTCATTATTGGAATTAATTGTAAGCAAACTGAAACTTTTTTCTAACCATATGTTTTCCATGAGCACATCATCTTTCATAATGTCTTTCTTCTGGTATTCGACCCGGCTAAAAGATAGTTTCTTGCACTCTTCAGCATCGTTATCTCACTAATTTGTCATTATTTAATGAATAATATTTGTTAAATGCTGCTCTTGCAGTAAATAAAAATTATGATCACTTTATTACCTGTTATTCATACAATGAAAATCAAAAATCGCGCTGAAATATATCCAGGAGGCAAAACACCAAAACTAAGAGAAGAAAAAAAAAAAGCTGATAGCTAAAATATCAATAAATATAGTATAATGTGCCATTAGATGCAAAAAAGAAAAGAAAGAATTCAGTAATGAGCATATTATATAAAGTAAAGGAATACTCTTGACAATTTAAGCCACATACACAACCTTTACAAAATTCTAATATATTAGGAATGTGACTCTATCAAGTCTATCTAGCATTAGCTATAAACTTTTTCTTAATATTATGAATACTAACTAACCATTGATTCACAACACTTTGACTTTAACTCGTGAATCATTGTTTTCATTAGGTCTTTTTCCAAAGTATCCATTTCATATTTCATATTATACATATTTTAAGATTCTTGCCAAATTTCATGGAAAGCCTTTGTAGAAACTTTTTACTTCTTGTTTATTACTCTCAAAAGCATTATTCCCGGAAAATAATCCGAGAGATCCTGCTTTAGAATCGAAGAAAAGAGTAATAAAGACAGCATATCGAAAAATAATAATAATAATAATAATAATAATAATCATTCGTATATTAAAGAACAATCCATCAACGATATTCAACAAAAATTATTATTCCACTCGAAGAGCAAGATTGTATTGTAATAAAAAAGTATGAAAATCACAAAGAAAACCATCCAATAATAGGAAATTATATTTATGTTTTTATTTACATACACCTTTTTATTTTTTGCTAATTCGGATCAACTATTTGAATTGAATCCAGGGACATTAATATCATGAGAAATAGAGATAAAGATTAAGAGCTAACAGAACAATCATCTGTGGATCAAAGGGTATCCATCAAAGTGAAGTGATTATTAGCAGTAAATTAGGGATGGACAAACGCTTATTTGTTAACCTTTGATTCCAAGACACGAACGTGCTCTTCCAATGAACTAATAGTCTTTTCCAAAGACAAAACATCACCGACAATTGCCTTGTTAGCGGCTCTGTACTCGTCAATCAAGTAATAATATGAGCCAAAACCAGTGACAGAGACCCCCAACAAGAAGCCAAGGAAGCCGCCTCTGACGGCGCCAATTTTACGTGGAGGTTTGGCTAATGAGGCAGTGGAGGCGGTAGTTGTGGTAGCATAGGAGCGTCTCAATGTGTTGCGTAGTATTTGGGAGACCATTGCCGCTGTTGATGTTGTTGTTATTATTGTTGTTTTTTGTTAGTATGGGGTTGGGAAGTGGTGTTTAGACAGCGGACTTTCTGGGGTATCACTGTAGAGTGGTTGATTGGCCTTGCCAATAGTGGATTTGTAAATAATTTAATTACCCGGACGGTACTGAGTCGCGCAAAAACTTACAGTCACGTGAACGAGTGCGGAAATATTTTGTAGAGTATCCGGGTAAGCAGAGGGAGAGGATCACAATTATTATTCTCACCATGGCAAAATATCAATGAGATGACCAAAAAAAAGATACTTGGGGTGGGCTAAATGCTACCAAAATACAGAGAGCTAAAAAAAAAAACAATAAAAAAACAATAGAAAAAGTCAATTGTGGTTAAATTGAATTTAAAAGGATGCGTAAGATTATGAACTTTGCTCTGTAGCATTCCTAGAGTTTTTATGCTATTGCAAGGTATATCCGTCCGTGACAGATGCTATCAGAAATATGTCAACCGAACAAGCGTAACGGAGCGTGTATACATGACACACACACACACTGATTCTGTTTCTATTTGTTCCATAAGTAGGAAGTTTAATAGCACCCCTGTCACAAACATGTTGTTTTTTCTCCACCCCCATATGTCTTATCTCCCTTGTGCTCCGCTATTATTCCTATGGTATATTACTTACTCACGTAGTCTATATCATTTCACCAGTGAGAAACTAATAACATATATATTTTGCTTATTATTTTTGCAATAGTCATTTTAAACTGCAAAATTGATCTGTTGTCGTACTATACGTGATTTTTTTTTTTTGTCACTACAGTTTCTAACTTCCGATGATAGTCACCAAGGGGTCAATTTTAATTTTAAATGCAAAATTATAAATAACAAAATGAATAATTGTGTAATTATTATAATCTCTTGAATCTTGTTATTTACCTCTCACTCAAAAGAAGAAAGCGAATGGCTTTGTTTGATTTGCATTGTGCTTTATCTTGGTTTATTGATATTTATTGAGACTCCGCATTGCGAAAATACATGTCAAATGACCTATTTAAACGCGCCAATGGGCTATTTTGGTAACCCAATGCCAGACACGAACAACTTGATAGATTATTCCTACACATATCGTGAAAATGGATATATGAGTAGTCTGTCATCCTCTTTACAGTCATTTGCTCGATCTCCTATTAATAATGTCATTTATTCATCTCATAACAGTTCAAGTTATTGCTGTTCAAATAATAATCTGAGGGTTAGCAGCTACAAATCTATTCATTATGACCCAACACCTGATGATCGTTTTGCAACATTCAAGTTATTGAAACTCCCGACGGAAATAATTGTTAAAATAACACATGTTTTGGATCAAAATGATTGTTTGAGTTTATCGCAATGTTGCTTATATCTTTATACGATTGTAAAGCCGAGAATATGGAATTTCATTATTGTTGATTTGAACTACAGCGAATTTAATAGAGAAATGATCAATATGGTAAAATCCTATAACCCGGACTATTCTCCAACATTCATCAAAACGAGCTTCAGGCTCAGATCTTTATTTAATATTTTGAAAAAAAGCAGCTTACCAGCATCAAAAAAATCGGATTACGAAACAAATCATATCAAAGAAGAATCTTACGAGAAATTGATTAAAAGATTTCATTTGATCAATATTCCTCAAGATTTTTTGGATTACGAACTTAAAGGCTTTATTAGTTCTGGAGTTTTCAAGTATTTGCCTGAACTTGAAGATATAATTTTCAATATCAAGCTTTCGTCATTTCCGTTGTCTAACTATGCCAACAACTTCAAATCTCAAACTATTAAATCCCTATCGATATCCCTTGACTTAGCCAGTGACGATGTATCAACGTATACTACTCCTGGTCTTGCCCGATCAGAGTATGAGGGATTATTTCCATTTCAACAGTTGGAAAAGCTATCATTGTCTTTAAATTTTGATAACAACCACCACAATAGTTTGATTCTATATTATGTAATCAAAAGTTTGGTAGCATCTGGCAATAATTTTAAAACTTTCAAAGTACTTGAGGTTCACAATAACTCCAATCTATTCAATTCTGATACCACTTTGTCAAATATTTTAATCAACAATCAACCGAGAATCTCGAATGATAGCGATAATTTGATAGATGTTCATATTTTGACAAACCTTTTCGCGCCTATTATTGAAAGTAACTTGACAATGGAAAGCTTAGTGAAATTAAGTTTAAGCGGGTTTCTAGTGATTCCTAGTCAAGCTTATTTATTGTTGAATTGTATCAATTTAAGTAACTTGAGAATTCTCAAATTGTTGAACTTAGCAGAGTTTCAGTGTGTTAATAGTGTCGTTCCAAACTCTAATGATTATTTCACAAACAATCGTGATGTATTATTGTCCAAGTTAAAACCAGGATTTTTGGATATATTATCACGAGGATCCACTAAAAATTCAAAGATAGAGGGAAATAAACTAATTAACCTTTTAGATTTGGAGGTGGATTACAAAGAATGCTTGAAGGATTCTGTGTTGTCCTTTGTTTCTAGGCTTCCAATAAAATCTAAATTGCAAAATTTGGTGATTACCATTCGTTGGAACATGAAAGCCTGTAGATCAACTACTGATTTGCTGAGCTATGCTAATGATTTATTGGATATTTTATCTAATGGATTCAAAAAATTGAATAAGTTATCTCTAGATATCAAACGGGAAATAAAAACATCATTCAATATCAATGCCATAACAAATAATATGGTTGAAAGAGAATTGGTGGATAAAAACGCTTTTCTAAAGCATTTAAGATTGTTCAAACAGTTGACAAGCCTTCGAATTTTTTGCCATTCACTTGATGATTCTTTTATACATCACTTACTAACCAATGATAATATTTCATTATCTAATCTTCAATGTCTTGATATCTTTGGTCCTGGTGCTGGAGGGAAACCTAATATGGCTTTGCAAGTGACTCATGTTGGCATATATGATGACTGGTTCAAAGTCCAGCATATTGCCGTTCATCTTTCAAAGAAAAATCTCGTTAACTTGAAATTTATCCGCATAAATAATTGTTTGTTTGAGGTCAAACGAGTGCTCACGAAAGATATGATGCATGGTAACAATAACTATTGGCAGGATATTGAGATTGTTCCAAGGGAAGCCTGTGATGATTGGTTTGATAATACCGTGAAAAGCAAGTATAGGTTCTTTGACATATGAATATTATTATTATAGTCAGCTTTAATAGGCTAATATATTACGAAATTTTTCAAAAGAGAATAAATTGAAAGTGTTAGAATTGTAAGATTAATGATAGCATAGTATAGAGAATACATGAAGTGGAATTGGAAGTGAAGAATTAAACGTAAAAAATTGAATCGAAAAAATTAAAAGTGAAGAATTGAAAGAAATATAATAGCTTGCACATATTGCCCCAAGGAAATCCTTGGTTAAAACGGCGATAAAAGATATGTCGCATAAACAAAGAGACAGTCTTCAATATCCAGTATTGAAAGAATCTGTTCTTAAATGTAATACATGCAACCGGCATTACAAACACCGTAAAGAACACTCAAACCAGTGACTTCCCAACATTGATCAACTTTGTTTGCACCAATTCTGATTTGATCACAAAGCTTCATACAAGCACCAGTAGTTAAACTAGATCCACCAGTAACGTAGCCAATGATAGCACCAATTCCACGCTTATCCATCTCCGGAAGACTGTTTTCCTGGCCAATGGCCTTGATCTGCTCACTAGTGATGTTCTTGGCATTACCGTACTTTTTTTGAATGACGTACAAATATTCAGCCTGTAACTCATCATTGATATCAACAGCTTTCTCAAGCTCAGTATTGCTAGTAGAAATTGGAGTATAAATGTCTTTTCTGAAGGTCTGAACTGTTTTGTTCAAATGTGGAGCAGTGAAATTGAAAGTTGGCAAAGTTAGGTTGGACCAAGTTGGTTTTTCTTTAGTAGAAGATTCCCATTGCATTGGGTATCCACAAAGCTGCTGCTTGGCAGCCTGATACCAGAATGAAGAGTTTAATTGTTGATATGCATCAGTTTTGGAAATACATTGACCAAGTTTCCAAAATCTGCTCAAAGCAGAATCACACATTTTATCAAAGATGCCTTCATATTCTCTTTGCACTTGCGGTGGAATTTCATCGTCTTTGATTGTAGTTGTGGCCCAAGCAGTGAAATTGAAACTTGGAAGCTGCGGGATTTTGAAATCAATATGAGGAACTGGGTCAACAGCAGTATTAAAATCACCAGAGAATCCATCAAATTCATCAGCAAGTTGAAATTCAAGTTGATCAATATTAAAGTCTTCACTTGAAAATTCGCCTTGAGCACTTTGTGTACTGATTTGAGTGACTGCTTTAGAAGCACCAAGATTCACTCCTACTGGCGCGGCATTTGCGAGCATGGCCAACGAAAGACTGGCTAAGAAAACAAATGTTGATCTCATTGTGGGATGATTGGTTGATTGGAGGAAATGCGAAGGAATGCTAGGGAACTTAAAACGTTTTTTGTTTTTGCTTTTTATTGCTTTAAAAAAAAGGGTCAAATCTATTAATTGCATTGATTAGACCTGAATATCGAAGGATATTTATACTTCCTGACCTTTGAATTTAACATAGCGATAAGAAATGTATGCTTCATCCACTTTATGGCTAATCGGCACGGCATTGAAAAAACCCTTGAGATGCGGCGGGAATGACAGAGCATAACCCAGAAAAACGGCACCTAAGGCCTTTCCAAGAAATACCACATCTCTTTTTTGAAGTCTGGAAGTATCCAATACAATATTTTTATTTTTTCATTAAAAAATTGTACATGTTGAATTTATTAACTAAGAAGTTTTATGACAGGGCGCTGCAGAAAGAATTGAAAGAGAAGAGGAGGTGAAACAAAAAAAAGGAATGAATGATTAAAAATAGAAAATGATGAAGTCATTGTAGTGAAATGAATATAATAAAAATGCTCGAGGATTAAATTATCACAAAATAGTGCATCCAACCTCACAAACCCCGTATATCACTGTCATGCTGATAATGGACCAGCAAAATTGAAGTTGGTCTATGCTTTCTTGAATTAAGCTACATAGATTCATGCATTGAGCTTTGCCGAAGGTTGGGCTGAGCGGATCTGTATCATTAGCATCAAGGTTTTTCTTATTGGCGACTGTATCAACCCCCCAGTTTTTGAATGGCCTTTGCATTGTAGTATTAGCCAAATTGAATAAATACTGAGCATCTAATTCGCCAGTAGTATCGTTATTGGGAAGTCTTGCTAATTCTATTGCTCCTATAGGAAGAGAAGCTCCAGGGAGATATAATCTGCTATGTGTATTATTCACGCTGGCTTTGACGTTTTCACCACAAAGGGTTTTTTCAGCAGCTTGGTACCAAAATGAAGAGTTCAATTGTTTGAATTCTGGTATTTTAGAAACACATTCACCAAACTTCTTCATTCTGGAGACAGCAACATCACATAGTTTACCAAAAATTCCATTATATTGTTTTTCGTAAACTGGTACTGCAGAGATGACCATCAGCACCGAAATGAGTTGTAAGAAGTAGCACAAGAGTCTCATATTCCAAAAATACTAGCTATAGTTTGCGGAAAAGTAATATTTTTGGCGAAGAAAAAGTTCACACTTACGAGTGGGCGCTCACACGATTATATATGTGGAGCATGGCAAATTTATAGATCAATATCTGCTGTTGCACTTAGCACTTAACTTCCCACCCCTTTTTTAATATTCTTTGATGCACGTATCACAGGCTGATTGTTTTCCCGTAGAACAAAATATAATTACTTTTTACATCATCCTGGACGATACGGGGTTAAAATATTATGACCATTAAAGACAAAAGTATAATGCGTAGAACATTGGCTGCCAGTCATACAAAAACTAGCTCATTGAATAACAAATATCCAATGATATTTAGAGGGTATGTATTTTTTGGTACAATAATAAAAAAAAAATAAAAAAAAACAAAACATGTATGATTTAGCTTTGACACAAGGCAAAAGGAATGGTTAATGCATGCTGGGCCTTTCCACGTTATGCAGTAAACTGCATATCCCGGAATTTGAAGGTATTTGGATAACACAAAATAGCTGAGACTTGAAAATATTGCTCGTAAATTTTGGTTATTGGTTCCATCATAAATTTGGGCTTGGACGAGGCTATGATTAATAGAACAAAAAGAATAGGGTCCTTGAAATTTAAATCACAAATGACGGAAGTTTCATCAAAAACAACTATCAAAAAAGTTGCATCTAAATTTTTCGAAGATTTAAATGAAAGATATTGATACCAAATAGCTGTTTTATATTTTTGCTTGAAAACAAAGTGTAATTTATTAAGAAGTCCGGTAAAGCAAAGACGTTAGAAGAATGATTACAGAACTTTAGATAGAGTTGCATCAATATTTGCCTTGTAAAACAATCCTTTTTAAAAAATATAGTGATCCGAATAATAATGAATACCTTGATTATGTAGAAAATACTAAAATTATCAAATTTAATATAACAAGATTTCTTAATGGGCAACAGGATAGGTAAATTCAAATGGGCGTCACCACATGTGTGGTTTGCAGCCCGGCGCAGCAGCAAAGTTTAAAGCCACAAAACGAAAAAATACAACAGAAACAAACCCTTTCTTTTAGCAGACATTATCAGAGTCAATACGAATCAGTGACAATTATAAATCTCTCCAACAACATTTTTTATCCCCATTACACAAAATGCTTGAGTCATTGGTGGCAGGTGTTCTTAATAGGACTTTGGTAAGTAGAATTATTTTTCGTGTGGTTATTTTCCTGGTAGCGTTCATATGGGCGTACTAACATATTGATTTGCGTTTAGGGGAATTATGTTGAGAACTTCGATACAAAGCAATTAAATATTGGTATCTGGTCTGGGGATGTTACATTGAAAAACTTGAAGCTAAAAAAAGAATCTTTAGACGCTTTGGAATTGCCAATTGATGTACAGTATGGATTCTTGGGGCAATTGACCCTTCAAATCCCTTGGTCAAATCTCCGTGGGAAACCCGTAAAAGTTATAATTGAGGATGCCTATCTTTTGGCCACCCCAATGCTAGTAGATGAATATGATGAGGAGAAGATCAAGGAACGTGAGTTATCATTAAAGAGGAAAAAGTTGCAAGATTTAGACCTCATTGAGGAAAATAAGTTGAAGCTTGCAAAACAAGAAGCCCTCGATCCGACTTTGGATGACCAATCTAAAAAACAAGAAAGTTTCACTGAGAGTTTGATAACTAAAATTGTTGACAACTTACAAGTTACAATAAAGAATATTCACTTGAGATATGAAGATGCATCAGTTTTCACAAATGCTCCATATTCTGTGGGTATTACATTAGATGAATTATCTGCGGTTTCCACAGACGGAACTTGGGTTCCAAGTTTTGTTTCTCTTACAAATTCATTTGCACGAAAGTTATTGACATTGAAATCTTTAAGTTGCTACTTTAATAGTTATTCAACCTCCTTGATCGATATGAATAAGGAATTTAATGAGGAAGAATTGCTACTACTGTTCAAGAAGTTGATCGCCAAAGAAAGTGATGATAATGAGAATATTGAAATTTTTAAGAACCATCATTTCCTTCTTCGGCCAGTGACTGGAAGTGGGAAAATTACAATTAATAAACTTGGAAGTACAGAGCTAGACCCGCATATTTTGTCGGAGTTATTCTTCAAAGAATTTGCAGTCAACTTGAACTCAGATCAATATCGAGATATATTGAATACGGCTTCAAATTATAGATTCTATGTTAAAACGTTTAAATTTAAGAAGTTCCGTCCACCCAAATCCATGAAACCTATGGAACATCCAAGAGAGTGGTTTCAATATGCAGCAAGAGCAGTTTTAGACGAAATTCATGAGAAGAACAACAAGTGGTCCTGGGAATATTTTAAAGAAAGACGAGATGATAGAAGGGCCTATATCAAGTATTTCAAATTGAAAATCCAAGATGAGCTGAGTAATGTTGCTGTTGACCAGAATACCCGAGAAGAGCTCCAAAAGTTGGAAGACAAGATTAGTTATGAGGATATCAAATTATATCGATCTCTCGCAAAGACACAAGCACGCAGGGAAAGGATAAAAAACATAAAGGTCACAGATGAAAATGCCAAAACCACTTCAGGTCCTGATGGAGAAAAGAAGTTGGGAAGTGAAGATTCAAAGGAAGACAAGGAGGAAGTTATTGACCCGGATGCTGCAACTCAGACAGACAGTACCACCCCTGTAAACAAAGGTTGGTTTAGTGGATGGTGGGGCTCAGCTCAACCAGAGAATGGGGATTCTGATTCCAACCCAGAAGGGAATGTGGAAGCCAATGATTTGATAATGACTGAAGAACAGAAAAAGGAATTATTTGAGGCAATTGAATTCGATGAACAGCAAGCCCTCACTGAAGCAATTGACATTCCGAAGGATCGGGTTAAATTGAAATTATTTGCTTCTTTGGAAAAGGGTTCCTTCAGAATAAGAAATAAGACATCGAACTTGGCTGAAGTGATGTGGGAAGGATGTAATTTTCAACTTTTCGAAAGACCAAATTCGTTCCTAAGTAAGTTCACTCTTCAGGAATTCAAAGTTGAGGATGGTGATGATAGCTCAACTTTGTATAAACATATTGTTAGTATCAAGCCAATGCAGCAAAATATTTCAACTGAAGCTGATGTTGATCCTCATCCAAATTCAGAAGGTGAAAGTGAATCGAGAGAACCTTTCTTTCAGGTATCCTTCGAGTCAAATCCCTTGGATGAAAGCGCTGATTCTAAGTTGATGGCAAAAATGAAAAGTATGACCATCTTCTACCATGCTGGTTTCATCGAGAAAGTGGTCAAGTTTTTCACTCCTCCAAAGCAACATCAAGACACAATCAGTGCAATAATGAATGCTGCCGAAGCTACAGTCGAAGGAATCACGGCGCAAACAAAGCTTGGCCTTCGATATGCTTTGGAAGAACACAAAACTTTGAATGCACAGCTTGATTTACAAACACCGTTAATAATTTTGCCTTTGAATCCTGATGATTGGAAGTCTCCTTGTGGGATTATTGATGCCGGTCATATTAGTGTCATGAGTGATTTAATTGATAGAAAAAGGGCAGATGAATTAAAAGCAAAGCGGTCGACTGATTTTAACGATATGGACTGGTCAAAGTTAAAAGATCTTATGTATGACAAATTTAATTTACACTTGCATGATGCACAATTCTTAATTGGACCAACTATCAAATCAACAATTGAGCAGCTACATGATGACAATAGTGCCATTGGGCTGGAGTGTCCTCCACCAGCATTGATTTTAAAGAATTTTAATACAAATTTCTTATTGCAAGTTTCGATATTGCCCCATGCTTATAACTTGACAAGATTCAAGGTATCAGGAGATGTCCCATTGATTAAAGCAAAAATGTCTGATTATCAGTATAAGGTTATACTCCAATTATTCAAAAAAATAATCCCTGAGTTTGATGAGACTGGTTATGTGGATGATGAAATTTCAGATGGCTATTTCACTGATGATGGAGATTCCTTGTTAGATGTTTTTCATAATGCTCTAAATGAAAATGAATTTAGCGATGCATTGTCATTTATTGACAGTGACGATGGCAATTATTCTGACCATGATAATACCAACTACAGAGATAGTGTTGATGATCATCCATTGACGCTGCAAAAGGAAAGTAGATCAACAACTGCTACCAGGCAACATACTCCTACAGTATCAAACCCATTGCAAGATACACAACACCAATTTGATTTTGATTTCAAGGTGGGTGTCTTCAATTTGTCATTGTTGAAATGTGAAAAGACAGCATTTAATCCACCCGAAGAAATTGTCGATTTAGTCTGTGAAAACTTTCAAATGATGTTTTTTAAGACCGCTAAAAATATTAATGTGGAACTATCATTGTCAGATGTTAATTTCATAGATAAAATCGAAAAAAGTGGTCCTGAAGAATACAAAAAGATTGTTTCTTCTAATAACTTTACCAAAAATGATACAGTTAATTATCAGCAAAATAAAAAGGAGGACTTGGTTAGAGTGAAATATTCTAGAACTCAGAGAATAGTGGAAGTGAACAATGAGGCTATTGAATTATATGATCTGGATTTGAACTTAAATATTGCTGCAGTCAAGGCAATCATCAATAGAAGGAGGTTACTTACAATTTATACTTACATCATGACAACCTTTACAGACCCCAACACTGAGGAAACTCCAGCAGACCTTCTTCGTCATAACACTGAGGATAATACCGAAAGTGCTCCACAAATGATGAACGTCACCATTGGTCTTGAGCGTATTATTGTAATTTTGCTTGATGAGCATGTTAAATTGGCAACTCTTCAATTGAATACAGGAGAAATAAATGTTTTGCTATTGCCGGAGAAGATGAAAGTTCAGTTCCAATTAGGTGCTTTAACTTTACACGATGAGGTAAACGAAGGATCACCAAGAGATTCTGTTTCTAGAAGATTAATCAGTATTGACGACAATGATTTGGCTGAAGTGCAGTATGAAACTTTCGATGCGACAACTAATACAAACTTGTTTAGTTCCAGTATCAAGTTTAAAACGGGCTCAATGAGAATTAACTTTGTTGAGGAACCCTGCAAGAAAATTCTAGGCTATGTCATGAATTTATTGAAGATGAAGGGACTTTTCGACTCTGCACGAGACTCCAACTATAGTAGAATAACACCTGCTCAACTAGACAATAATATGAACAATAGAATGTCATATGATATTTTGATCAAAACTCCAATTATAGTTTTCCCTAAATTAGATGGCACTGACTTGCAACATTTCGATGCTTTGACAGCTTACTTAGGGGAATTCAAGGCATCTAATAGCTTCGAAAAGGTTACGGAAATGAACGATGAGATCCTCACAAAGATTGCTGCAAGTCTTACATCCACAAGACTTACTTCAGATTTCTATTTTGATGGGAATAAACAGTTTTTGGAAATTATTGATGGAATTGATATGGAATTTAATATTGATAATGGATTTTCAGACCCAAGTATTGGCCTGGATAGGGCATCATCAATAATCACAGCCAAAATGTCAGACTCGGAAATGAAGCTTACCGAGTTTCAACTTGAATATTTGTTACAGTTGGTGCAAACAATTCCTTCAGTTCTACAGTATGATAACGAGACTGACTTGTTGAAGCAAATAGAAGAAGATGCAGTCAGAGCCTCATTGACCGTTCTGCCGGAATACCTTGATTCTCCAACTGTGAATAAGGGATCTAGTGAAGTTTTCAATACAGGTGAAAATAAACTGATTGAGATCAACGAGAACCACTTGAAGCTTGATTTCAAGTTTAAGGCTGGGAAGTTGGCTTTATCTATTTATAATGATACGAAAAATGTCAAAAATATTGAAGATGTTGAGGAACACAGATTGTCCAGATTTTCGTTGAATGATATAGGAATTGATTTTCAAATGAAAGAGAACTCTCATTACAGCTCGAACATACATACTAGGTCTTTCACTATTGAGGATATCAGAGTTAGAGAGAATAATTTGTTCAGAGAAATTATTCCAACCGTTGACCATGACAACTATCAATTCATGTGCAAAGTGGACACAGATGGCCCTTGTGAAGATAAGCAAATAACTTGTCTGTTGAATATTGACAGTCCAAAGATGATTCTCGCATTAGATTATTTGTTTTCATTAAAGGAATTCATCTACAAGGGATTTGGAATGGCTAAAACCAATGATGAGAATGAACTTGATGACAATCCAGATTCAACCGGAGATGAGGATACAGACACTGTTTTAGAGAGTTTAAATTTAATAACATCAACAGAAACCAAAAGTAGATTCTATTACTCAATTAATGTGGTTGATTTTTCTGTTATTTTACTCTCTGATCCTACGGTGTCAAACACTGAAGCCATTGTCTTGAAGTTAGAGCAGCTATTGATTTCAAGTCAGAAAACTACTACAATATTGGCGGACAACGTTGGTCTGTTCTTGTGTCGTATGAATGATTATGAGGGAAGCAGACTACGGATCATTAATGATTTTTCTGCATCTTTCTCCTTTGATTCTAGAAATTCTACTCCGACGAATCTCCTTAGTAGTGTTCAAATTGCGATTGAACCATTGTTACTTCGTTTATCCTTGAGCGATATTCGTTTGGCATTGAATATTATTAACAAAGCGTATGAGTTGGCTGGTATCACATCAAGCAGAATCGAAGTTGAAGAACAAAACTCAGGATACACTGTCTTTACCAAGGAATTTAGAAAAAAGTTAACCAAGGGCTTCTATGTAGGCTCTATCAACTCAAGTATTTCTGGAAAATCTTTGGTAACTAAAGCTAATGAAAGTAATTCGCAAGCCATCATTAAGGCCGAAACATTGACAGCTGACTTTGAGGGCCTAAGACTTGTGATTCTTGGTGATGTTCATGAATTGCCTGTGATTGACATGAATATAAATCAATTTACTGTGCATGCTGAGAATTGGTCCACTACTCTTGACTTGAACGCTCAAATTGAATCTTATGTCAATATATTTAATTATGCTAGATCGTCTTGGGAACCTCTCCTTGAGCCTTGGAAAGTTGGTCTTCATGTTTCAAACACATTGGGCAAAGATGGTAATACGCTTAATGTGAATGTCATTTCAAGAGAAATAGCTGAAGTTACATTAACATCAAGAGCTATCACCTTATTGTCGCAAATGTACTCGTTAGTCTCCTTGGATGCAAATATAGCTCCTCGTGGTACTAATACTCCTTATATGATTTTGAACCAGACGGGTTATGACATCAATGTGTGGATAGATTCTGATGATAAAAAATCGAGAACTAATCGGAAAACCATTCGACAAAATCAGACTGTTCCTTGGGAGTTTGAAGATTGGACTGAAATTCGTGAGAAATTGGACGTAGATACTCAGAAGAATTCTATCGTCGTTGAGCTAATTGGCTCACCGTATAAAGCAATTGAATCAATTTCATTAATTGGAGAAGGGGAGGAATTGTTCATGATGACTCCTCCAATTCAAGGTGTCCATAATAGACTTGCTTGTTCGATTACTTTGACAAAAGATAATGTGAAACAGATTGTTTTGAAGTCGACACTTACTGTTCACAATACATCAGGAGTTGGAATTTTAATTGGAATTGGATTGGCTTCTGACAGAGGTGTGAATGAAATATATCCTGTCGCTGCAGGTGAATTATTTTCCTTGCCAATTGATCATGTTTATAAGGAAGCATTAGCAGTAAAACCTGATCTTCCAAACTCCTCATATGGATGGTCATCATCCCGAATCCGGTGGAAGTCTCTTTATGACAAGCCTTCTTTACTAGAGTGCGCTGCCAATAGCGACAAACTGAAGGGTGATAATGTATCATTTTATTTCCAAGTGGATGCTGAAAGATACTCCAATAGTACTAGAAAAATTTATCCTCATTTGAAGATTGTTATTTCCTCGCCATTACAGATCGAAAACTTATTACCATATGACATGATGTATCGTATTTATGATAAGACAATCAGAAAGTTTTGGTTAGTTCTGCTTAAGAAAGGTTCTTCATCCAGTATCCATTTTGTTAACATCAAAAATCTTCTTTTGATGAGCGTTGAACCCTTGAATTGCGGCTTTCAAAAGTCTGAATTTGTCATAATTCATGCTCCTGAGGAAAGTGGCTTCCCAACGGACTCTAGGTTGGATTTGAAACATGATGATGGCCAGAAATTGCATCTTAATATAGATTATGGTGTTTCCAAGGATGGTAATAGCAACAGTGGCTTGAATGTTACGATTTACTCACCTTATATTATCTTGAATAGAACTGGTCAAAGTTTGATTCTTGGAGAAAAATACAATGCTCTCCATTCCATTGCTACTTCAAGTTTAGAAGATCCAAATAAAATGAAATCCTCTCAACCAAAAATGTTTTCTTTTGAAAATGATCAAGATAGACAGAATAGAGCATTCTTGAGCGTTTCTGATTCTGGATGGAGCAGAGAGATAAGTTTGGATGCCATTGGCCAATTTTTCGATCTTTCTATGCCTGTTAATGGCAGAAGAACAGAGATCAATGTGGGAATTGATATTAAAGAAGGTGAAGGTAAATATCTAAAGTCTAAAGTGGTAACTATTTCGCCAAGATTTATTATTACCAACGACTTGAGTGAAGAACTCAATATTAACGAAATTGGATCCTCAAAGATCTTGAGTATCAAACCAGGAGAGTCACTACCGTTGAACCAAACGTGCATCGGTGAAGACAAAGAGCTTAGAATAAGATTTTTGGGCTCAAATTCTAAATGGTCATCCCCATTTAGTGTCAATGATATTGGTGAGATATTTTTAAAGATATTGAAGCAAGAAACAGGACACATTCTTTTAAAAGTTGTTGTGATCTTGGAAAACGCAACATTATTTATTCGTTTTGAAGATGCGGGGAATCATTGGCCATATTCTATTAGAAATTTTAGTAACACGGAATTTGTTTTCTATCAAAGTAATCCTTATATTGATGAACAAGGGGCACCAGTCAAGAAAGATAGTCATTTCAAACCTATTTTTTACAAAATTCCGCCAAAAAGTGTGATGCCATATGCTTGGGATTATCCCGCGGGTATTGTTAAGGAACTTGTTTTGAGATCGCATGGTAAAGACAAAAGCATTCAATTAGCAGAGATTGGTAATATTGGTGTGATGTATCTCCCTCAGTTCAAAAATTTGATGGCCGCAGCTACTGATATTAATATTGTTGCTGATGGCCCTACTCAAGCATTAGTTATAAGTGATGCTGACCCTCTGAACATATACAGCAACTCCAACTCCAATTCTAAAACTAATTCTACCACTGCCATTGATACCGTTAGCAAGATTGAAGCAAAGGAACAGGAACATTATTCGATGAGGGTTGCCATAAACTGTAAAGGTATGGGGATTTCTTTAATTAATTCCAAGCTACAAGAATTGTGTTACATTACGTATAGGGGCCTTGAAATCAAATATAATGAATCAGAGCTCTATCAAACTTTTATCTGGAATTTAAAATGGGTTCAAGTTGATAATCAGTTATTTGGTGGGACTTATCCTATTGTTATTTACCCATCGGTTGTTCCACAATCTAGTCAAGAGGTTGAATCACATCCAACGTTTCATTTTTCTGTGAGCCGTGTTAAGGATGATAGTCATGGTGTATTATATATTAAATATGCCACCTTGTTATTACAGGAAATCACAGTCGATATTGATGAAGATTTCCTATTTGCGGTATTGGATTTCTCGAAGCTTCCGTTGGGTGTTGTCGAGGAAAAGAAACAAGATGTATTATGTGAAGAAATTATCGAATTACCAGCCCCATCAAAGAGTAGAGTGGGCCAAGATATTTATTTTGAAGCTCTTCACTTACAACCTACCCAAATAAATTTATCATTTGTGAGAACTGAAAGAGTGAATGCTGCAAGCAACAAAACTGACTCTCAAAATCCATTGATGTTCTTCTTTAATGTGTTAACCATGGCCATTGGTAATGTGAATGATGCTCCGATTAAGTTGAATGCTTTGTTTATTGAAAATATTAGGGTTCCGATTCCAATTCTTGTGCACTCAATCAAGACACACTACAGTCAGGATTTCTTTTTCCAACTTCACAAAGTTCTTGGCTCCGCTGATTTCTTGGGCAATCCAGTGGGATTATTTAACAATATCAGTTCTGGTGTCATGGACATATTCTACGAACCATACCAAGGCTTGATAATGAATGATAGACCCCAAGAATTGGGTATTAGTATCGCTAAAGGTGGGTTGAGTTTCTTGAAGAAATCTGTGTTTGGTGTTTCTGATAGTGTTGCTAAGTTTACAGGGTCAGTAGCAAAAGGTTTATCTTTAGCTACTTTAGATAAAGATTATCAGGATAGAAGAAGATATAACTTGAGAAGAAACAGACCAAAACATGCCCTAGTCGGGTTAAAATCTGGAGCGACTTCACTCTTTGAGTCGTTGAGTAGTGGTGTTAGTGGAATAGCGTTAGCACCAATAGAAGGGGCATCCACAGAAGGTACATCTGGATTCTTTAAGGGTATTGGTAAAGGTATTGTGGGCTTCCCTACAAAGGCTGCTATCGGTGTGTTTGACTTGGCTTCCAGTGTTAGCGAAGGGATCAGAAATACTACAACTGCTTTTGATAATAATGCTCTTGAAAAAGTTAGATTACCGCGAGCAATCAACCATGACGGAATTATCAGACCCTATTCCCCTGCAGAATCTCAAGGTCAATATTGGTTGAAAACAATCAATGGAGGAGAGTTTTCAAACTCAGAAATATACTTGGCTCATATGGTTTTGCCTGGTGGTGAATTAGTTATTATGATTACTTTCAATGATATCATGTTGATCTCCATTAGTAAACAAGAGGTCAAGTGGAAGATCAGTTTTGAGGAAATTAAATCAATCGTGTTGGAGTCAACTGGAATAAAAATTATATTGTTTGATAATAGACCTGGTCCTTTTGTGCCTATTCCTGATCTTCAGTCCAAGAGGTACTTCTATAATCGTATTGCTGTCGCTGTGAATCAATACAACAAGCACTCGCAATCTGTTTTATGATTAAATCCCCCTTTTTTTTCTTAGTTTCTATAGTTTTTTTTTTTTTTTTTTTGATATTGCGATTTTTAGTTTTTAATTTTAATGTGTTTTGTATTTATTCTCAGACGTATGATGAAGGTGGTGAAGGACTATACAATTAAGCACGTGAGATTTTTTATTTTTTTATTTTTTTTTTCTTTTTTTGGGGGAAAATCCAAATTTTCAAAAATAAAATAAAGGAATAGCCAACTCGTGTCTTTGGCAATCAACTTTTAGATTATACAATTGGATAAGGAACTAGATAAGCCAAAAATGTCCTTAAAGTTGCCAAATGCTCCAAATGCTGGTCTTTTCAAGCAAGGGTACCAAACATATTCTAATGCCGATGGTGCTGTGAATAGAAATGTTGAGGCATGTAAAGAAATTGCGTCGATGGTTTTAACATCCATTGGCCCATGCGGTAGAAACAAGATTATCGTGAATCATTTACAAAAGGTTTTCATCACAAATGATGCTGCCACTATGTTGAAAGAGTTGGATGTTGTGCATCCAGCCGTGAAATTGATGGTTATGGCTTCCGAACAGCAAGAAATGGAAATGGGAGATCAAACCAGTTTGGTTATCATTTTGGCAGGGGAATTATTGATCCAGGCACAGAAATTGATAACTCTTGGGTTGAATCCAACTGAAATTATTCAAGGTTACAACATGGCCAACGTACATGCTTTAGAATACTTGGAAAAACACTTGACCGTTGACAAAGTGGACGATTTTTATGACGCCAACAGCTTACAAAAAATCATAAAGCCAGTTTTGGCGTCCAAACAATATGGACACGAAGATGTTTTGTCAGAGTTGGTCATTGAAGCCATCAAATACGTTTTGCCAAGACAGCAAGGCAATGATGGTCCAGAAAGTGGTGTTTTGAAGAATTTCAACGTTGACAGTATTAGAATTGTCAAGATTCTTGGGTCATCAATAGAAAACTCCTACGTTATCAAGGGGATGGTCTTCCCAAGAGAGCCAGAAGGACAGATTAAGAACATCACCCAAAAATCCAAGGTGGCGGTGTTTACATGTCCTATTGATATTTCCACCACTGAAACTAAGGGTACCGTGTTATTACATAATGCCAAAGAAATGTTAGATTTTAGTAAAGGTGAAGAGGAGCAATTGGAACAAATTGTTAAGGAAATCTACGAAGCTGGCATCAAGGTGGTTATCGCTGGCTCTAGTGTCGGTGATCTCGTTTTGCATTACATGAACAGATACGGTATACTATTATTGAAGGTTCCATCCAAGTTTGATTTAAGAAGAGTTTGTCGTGTTTGTGGTGCTACTCCATTGCCAAGATTGGGTGCTCCATTACCAGAAGAAGCTGGGGTTATTGATCTTGTGGAAACCAAGGAAATTGGTGGCGACAGAGTCACCGTCTTCACTCAAGACAGTGAGGCTACTAGAACCTCTACCATTGTGTTGAGAGGCGCAACTCAAAATTCTTTGGATGATATCGAAAGAGCTATTGATGATGCTGTTAGTTCCATCAAGGGTTTGACCAAAGATACCAGATTAGTTCCAGGTGCCGGTTCTTCTGAAGCTGAGTTAGTGGATGCCGTTACCAAATATGGTGAAAAGACTCCAGGTTTATTGCAATTGGCCATCAAGAATTTTGCGGAAGCCTTCGAAGTTGTTCCAAGAACTTTAGCCGATACTGCTGGTTTGAACTCTACAGAAATCATCCCAAGATTGTATGCTGCTCATACCAACAATAGCAAAGAAGGTATTTTCCAAGGGATCGATGTCGATAATGAAAATGGAACAGGTCTTGTGGACGTGAGAGAAAGACAAATCTATGATCTTTTTGTAAGTAAGAAGTCTGCCATCAACTTGGCAACTGAGGCTGCTTGTACCATTTTATCTGTTGATCAAATTATCATGGCTAAGAGAGCCGGTGGTCCAGTTATGCCTAACCAACCAAGACCAGGTAACTGGGATCAAGCTGACTAATTATTTTAATGTGTGTGGTGCAATATAATAAATATCCCGTTTCTATGTTTGTTGTTTTTGTAGGTGTGTTGCATGATCAGTTGTGTGTTGCATGATCAGTTTTTCCGCTTATAAATTTCGGTACTTAATATTTTTACTAAGTATTAGCTAATGCATAATTGATGACATTTTTTTTTTTTTTTTGATTTATTTCGAGACATTGCATTACTGTGTAGGATATCCTATAAGTTGCCTGTTTTTCTTTATTTTTATTTTTTCTCTTTGAATTATTACTTTCTAAACAATTGCTCTGCTGTGTTATGTTTGGAAGTCTGTCTCTTAAGTCCTTGCTTATTATCTCCGGAGTTGTATTGACACTTTCTTATCTTTTCAACACGAATTTTTTTACTAAGTTCACCAAAACTGCATACCCCTTGGCGCACAATAGCTCTTTTATTGATCAATCTTCTTCAACCGTATCCTCTATTGTTAATTCTACAATGACTTCTGTTCCTCCAGTATACTTTATCTCCCACGGGGGTCCGACCTTCATGTTCAATGACGACTTTGGTGGGAACACTGGCTGTTTCCAAGCCATTAAACGCATTGGGAAAGACATTAAAAATAAAATCAAGCCAAAGTATATAATTATCATCACTGGCCATTGGGAATCAAGATCATCCGATCTCTTTGAGGTTGGTGTACCAGACCTTTTAACTTCATCATCGGTCGATGAAAAAGGTGGAGAAAGCTCAATGGGCAGAAGGATCGCGAGAAATAATGCCCATTATCAGAAAATTGATCCAAACGAACATAGTTTAGTCTACGATTTCTTTGGTTTCCCAGAAAAAATGTATGAACAAAGGTTCCACGTGAAAGGCTCTAGTGAAATTGCTAATAAGATACAAAAACAACTTACAAAAGATGGCTTGAATGCTAAGACTACTTCCAGAGGTATCGATCACGGTGTTTGGGTTCCATTGAAGGCTGGTTTGAGTGATGGGAATATTATCACCGACAGTGGGGAGTGGGACATAGACTGTCCATTGATCCAGGTGTCGTTGGCAAAATCTGAAGATTTTGACGTCCATTACAAATTAGGACAATCCTTAGCCAAATTCCGTGATGAAGGTGCCTTGATCATCACTTCAGGTTCATCTGTCCACAATTTGAGGGATATTGGCTACGCCATGAGTTCTGGTAAAAAGGCTCTACCATATGTGACAGAATTTAACTCCAAATTATCAGAAATTGTGACCAAAAAGAGTGGTGTTGCTGCTTTAGAAGCCTTCAACCTTTTGAAGAAGCAAGACAGAGCCTTGTTGTATAAGGCACATCCTACTTTGGACCACATCATGCCAATTGTTGTTGGTGTTGGGGCATCCAATGCTGCTTTGGCTGAAGAATTATATACTGATGCATCGTTGTCCTTGGGTTGGAACCTCTATCAATGGAACTAAGATGACGGCTAATCATGTAGCATTTGACATATTTGTGCTACTTCTTTTTATATACCTTATATACACATATATGTATTGCGATTCATCACTAATAAAACTACCTTTGATTGCTTATATTTCTTACCTTATGTAAACCAAAGGCATGTTTATACTACAATGAATGTAGGGCTGCAAAAGGGCTGCAATATTGATGTTGACGACAGTAGTGAGTTGGGTTTGCGTATCAAGTATATTAGGGCTATGTAGGAGATATGTTATTTCCTTGGTTTTTAAGGCGTGACCTTTCCTAGGGCTTCTTGTGACATGATAATAGCATTTTTGTTCATGGTCACATGCACGCTTCGACATAGTGAGCAGCCTCTTTGGTTAAGTGCCCGTGACTATCGAGCATCCAGAGGGTTTGTAGTGGGAGCTGAAAATTAGTAGAAAATTTTTTTAAAATTCAATAGTAAGTCAATAGAGAAGATTTAAAGGTATAACAAATCAACAGTAAAGGTATGTCTAATTGAGAAAGGATTGATATACTGAATACAAAGAACAAACTGAAGTGTCACTGAAATGAAAGAAATTGGGAATATTTTATCGAGAATTATTATTACAAATTAAGTCTAAGGAATGAGTAAGGTGAACTTTATGAGATTGATTCATTGTGAAATAAGATAATTAAGTACATTGATAACAAAAAAATGATACTGAGGTCCAGTACATATCCCAAATCAAGTCAGTCCGTTTATTGGTTTATTATCAAGTGTCAATCAAGGATTTGTAAAAGTATTGAAATGAGTGAAATTTATCAAGAAACATGAATTATTATCAGAGCGATTTGTTTGTGGGATGGTCTTTGAAATACAACACATCATCTTTTCAATTTTATGAGAGTGGTCAAATAGCAAAGTTTCCATCATTTTCCAACCTATATCAGCAACACAAATCAAACAAATGTAAAATGGGTATTTCAAATCATCAATCAATCATTTCCACGATACTACTTGATACCTTCATTGCTTGTTCTATTGTTTTTTCGGTATTAAGAATTATTATCAATTGCTTTGAAATCAAATACTAACATAGTTTCAGATGGCTGCCTCATTACCACACCCAAAGATTGTCAAGAAGCACACCAAGAAGTTCAAGCGTCATCACTCTGACAGATACCACAGAGTCGCTGAAAACTGGAGAAAACAAAAGGGTATCGACTCTGTTGTCAGAAGAAGATTCAGAGGTAACATTGCTGAACCAACCATCGGTTATGGTTCCAACAAGAAGACCAGAGGTATGGCTCCATCTGGCCACAAGACTTTCTTGGTCAAGAACGTTACTGACTTAGACTTGTTGTTGTTGCACACCAAATCTTACGCTGCTGAAATTGCCCACAATGTCTCCTCCAAGAACAGAGTTGGTATCTTGTCTAAGGCCAAGGCTTTGGGTATCAAGGTCACCAACCCAAAGGGTCGTCTTGCTTTGGTTGCTTAAATGTATTAAGTTATAATGTTTTTTCCCGAATTATAATTTTAATGTATAAATAATCTTACACATTTCTAAAACGTTCCCTGTAATTTTCATTTTTTCTATGAGTTTTTTTTGTGTGATTACTCTTGAAACGGAGGTGAGATGCCTTAGATACTAATGTTTTCTGGCCATTCTACTTGAAAGACCATTAAGTTTGGTAAATGTTCGACATGTAATTTGAACAATAAGTGGTTTTTACATGAATGTAATTGGGGTCGATTTTATATATATATATATATATAGTGAAATGAATTTATTAATCTATAATGAAATTAAGCTTTAAAATACAGCAGAAAAAAAATATGACAATAACGAAATGAACAGCGTTAAATGGTCTGTTAAGGTTTTAATCGACCTAGTAGTGTAGCATCTATTATGCAAAAGATTATTAAAATATTCAAGCATCTAATTTAATTTCTTTGAGGTTTGTATCACACCAGGACGGGCCTTTTTCTTTCTTTCAAGGTATAATTGGTACTCCTCTTCGTAGCTCATGGCACAGTAGTAAGAATCCTTAATATACCAACACTTGACAAACCACAAGTTTAACCCCCATTCAATCAACCCGATGTCTCTAACAAAAGAAACTACAATGAAATAAGCGGCACCAATAACACTGCCAACCAATACACCAATCACTACTTGGTCAACTTCATGGTACAACAAATACACTCTGGAGAAAGCGGTGAGGCAACAAGCAGAGTACAATAAGATTCCGCAAAAAAGTCTACCCCGCAAGGTCTTGAGGTTTGTATTCTGCAATAACAATCTCAAAAACACATATGTTGCAAAGTACCCCATGAATTGCGAATGAGCAGATGGCATCCCATAGTCATTTTGTAGTTCTGGGAATTCGGTATATTGATATAAACTCAAAGGCCGCGGCAGTTTGACCAATCTCTTCACCACGTAGTTGATAACATTGTTACATACCTGGCCAAAGGCTAAAAATACCGGCTCTAACTCTCTTGAGGTGATGAACCAAGTAAAATAAAAGATGAGAACCCCGATTGGTAAAAGTGAAAAAATCACACAGACAAGAGAGAGTGGGTCCGATGGGTCATAGAGAATGTATGTCTCATCAAAAGGAACTATATGATGGGTGTCTAACATCACTCTTTAACTTCTCTGCTACTGATGATCCTCTTGAAGTGGTATTTAGTTGTGTCTAGAGGCGTTGGTTATCTTTTGTTGCATTTTGAAAAGTCCCTACTGTTTCAAAAAAAAAAAAAAATCAACAGGGATATACCATACATGCGGAAAGATGACATACATCAAAAGTCTCAAGAAAACTACACCTTGCGGTCTTTATTAATATTACTAGTGATACAGAATTTTTATACATTATATCGTGCTTAGTCCTCTACCTACTTACTCACTGCCCGGTTCAAGATTCGGCAATTATCTAATAGCACTTTAATCGTGTCTTCATATGTCTGGTTATCAGGGGTATGGAGCAAATTATGAAAGGTTTCTAGCAACCATTCAGTTTCTAATTCGACCTCCACTTCGTGATTCTGTTCTGGTTTGTTGTCTGCCACATTATGGAAGGTATATGTTTTAGTTAGATCGATTTTGTTTTTGCAAGCCGATGTAATGTAACTAGTTCTAATTTTTCTCCTCTTCATGTTGGCATCACCTTTAGCAATAGATTTTGGAATATCCACAATCGGAACTTCAAGAGACAATGAAATCCGAAAGTCTAAAATGTTTGAAGGGCTGTGAATGAACAAATCCCCAATTCTTCTTTTCTCAATTTGATCAATGGTACGGTTGGTGTCTTTATCTTGTGAAACACGCAAATCATAAGGTTTATCCCCACGTCTGATTCCATGGTAGAAATAGTCTACCGTGTCAGACTTCAAGGTTTTAAAAGTCTCGGCATTGTTTTTTGCATTGAGTTTCATTATGAAATCCTCGAGAGTAACAAACATTGAATTCTCAAGTCCTGGTCGGAATGCATAATTGATCTGATCTGTAATAATTGTTTCGGTAGACACTGGAATATCGATTCTTGAATCAAGTTCCTTTGACCAAATACGACCAAACTTGATTTCAAGTTCAATATTATGCAAGAGATTCCCTCCATTGGCAGCTTCGCCCACTGTTTGATCTTTGATTTCTTGTAGATGTGAATAGAGCCATTGGGATACTTTTCTCGTTAAATCCTCATATGGAATCACTTTCGTTATTGAAACATCAAGATTTGGATTATAAGCTGTCCTGCCACGTTCTTCTTCAACTTTATTATAACCTGAGTTCTGAACACCACTATTTGACCCGCCAAGCTTATTTCTTACCATTGTTGGAATCCAATCTTGCGCCCAAATTGGTGGAACTTCATATTTCTTTGGTTTCTCTGGAGTGGTTTTCTCCAATTCATCCAATTGCTTGAGTTCGTGAGAAATGGATTTTCTCTCTGGTGACAGAGATTGTTCGAAATTAATAGAAGAAGCCAGAGGGCGTGGTGAAGTTTTGACTGTTTGTGAGTTATCAGATAGAAGCGAAGCTATACTGCCAGTTTTTCTAGCGCTGAACGACGCGATCGATGGGTTTGAAGAATCATTATTGAGAATGTTTGAGGGCCTCAAAGCTATTGGTGAGGTTAATGAGGTGTTATAGTTTCGCTGAAGTGGAAAGTTTGGAGAGGAACTTTGTTGATATTGTTGTTGTTGTTGAGCTGTAGCCGCTGGAACCTGAGGCGGAGATACTAGGTGAACCAGCGAAGGTCTTCCAACAACAGGAGAATTGTTGACACTAGAACTATTTGAAGTGCTAGAAAATTTCGTAGTGATGCTAGGCGTTTCGTTCCCTTTTATGTCAACGTCATTATCGTTGGTGAGCGAATTGATGCTTGGTTTTCTAGCTAGTACAGGTTGTTGCGATGGCGAAGAAGCTCTATCTAAAAGCGGCAAGCCTCTGACTTGGGAAAGCGCACCTGTAGGTTGAATATGTGGGAGAGTGGCATTATTGTCGTCGTTTATCATTGAGTTTATGCTGAACCGCGATGCAGATGAAGTTGACACTGTAGGCTGCTGCTGTTGTGCTTGTTCTGCCAGGCTGCCATCGTTTGAATGGTTGTTGTTTAGAAGGAAGTTCATCTTCATCAGGGAAGATCCTGTGTCACCGCCCATAGTGTTATCCAGAAATTATCCAATTATTTTCTTGATGGTGAGATATACTATTTACGACTCGTTCTATTTTTGCAGATTGTCCTTCCAAAAATTGTCCAGGAAAATAAAAAAGCTTAATGGAGCGCGTGTAGTACTAAAGCACAATAATGGCACCGATAGCACGTTAATTCAACACATAAAGAGAAACCAAGAATAAAAACTGAATGTTGTAAATGATATATAAATAGAAAAGAAGAAAGGGGGTTCTATTGAAATGTGGAAAGTTTTTGACGATAAAACTTGATTGGAGCTTTTATTTCTGGTCGGTAATTGTCGACGAAGGAGCAGCATCAGCAATGCTATTCTCGTCTTCTTCCAATTTCAATTTTTTCGATGGTTCAGTTTTTTCTTCACTGATATCTTCCAATACATGTTTTTTCGTTGGTGAAGACTGGGTGGAAGGAATTGCATCATCGTGGGGCGGGAGGGCATTGTCAGCAGTAGTTGTAGCGTCTCCTAATTCACTTGTTTCAGTATTATTGGATGGTTTAGGATCGGTAGGAGTTAGCTTCTTGTCACCAGCATTGGCAGTAGTTGAAGAACAAGAAGCAGCAGCTGTAGCAGCAGCAGCAGCTGCTGCTTCTTTATCTTTCTTTTCATGGTAAATTTTGAGCTCTCTATTGTAGCGCTGTCTGTCATCCTCGTATAATTTCACATATGGTTTCTTGTCCTCATCATTCAAATGTTTCCATGCTTCAGTTAGGGCTTTCGACATATCATATAAGTGACCTGGTGGCCCTTCAGAATCTAGCTTTTGTTTAATCTTGTCCTTTTCCAATTCACAAAAAATCAAGTATGAATTGGTAGGTCTTTTTGGTTGGTTTGGATCTCTTTGTTTCGCTTTAGCCTTACCAGCCCCATTCTTTCTTCGTCCATTTCCAGTTGCTCCATTTGCCCCAATGTCCAGCAACTTGAGGGCTGGAAGTTCCGGGCTTGGTATTGATGAGTAACTTACGGTTTTAGAATCGAACCCTTTGTTCGCCATTTCTTTTGCTGAGGCTGATACGCCAAATGATGAAGGATTTATCTTTTTTTCTAATCTTTCTAGAAGAATAGCAGACTCTAACCTCAATCTCTTGATGGCAAGCTTTGTTCTACCAAGGGCAATTGTCATTGCTTCATTGTTCTCATCAATCTCCCCAACCCGTTTCTTCAAGTCCTTGCATTTCTGCTGAAACTTCAAATTATCTGATTCTGAATTCATGATTTTGGCGTCCGTACGGGAAAAGAAACCAAATAAGATCAAAATTGAAAAGAAAATATAAATAACTAGTAAAATGAAAATTCCAAAGGCTTATTTTACCGACTTGAAGTTGTATTATTGCAAAGACACATTAGCAGGCTAGCTTTTGTTTCCCTCATGTTTTTTTTTTTCTCTGTTTTTTTTGCCAACTACGAAACATGTTTTTTTCCTCTGGCTTCCTTTGTTTATCATTTGCCGACCACATTATCAAAAATAGTCTCGAGGAATATCAGCATACACCGCCAACATGGTATGGTACGTTTGTAGATCAGAAACAAATCAAGCGTTGCTGAGCTATACAGTAAGTATCTACTAATTGCTAAGAGTATATTCCTGACTTTTCTTCCGATAGTCTTATAAAGAAGGATTGAAATAGAATCATGCAGTCCCACAGTATCCAATGAAAAAGCCACAACAAATAGAAATGGCGAATACAATATATCTTGTTGTTTGATTCACCCGAATTATAATTTGTAATGAGTTCTACTATCCTGCTTATTTCTTACTCCAGCACTCCAGGGGCAAAATACTATTGACTGTTCTCTATCCACTTTTGGAGCCATATATCTAAGCAATATCTTATGGTGACCATAGTGGTATCGATATCATCATACTACTAGCAACACACGATTGAGAAAGAGCATTCACGATATTACATGAGAAGTAAACTGAGGAATTTATGGATGAAAGACTATAATATTATAAAAAAACATTAAAAGCAATTATTTTATTAAGATATACAAATGATCAATAATTAAATAATTTATTCGTCATCTTCTTCTTCGGCATCTTCCAAGGTTTGAGCAGCAATACGGTCCAAATCTCTTTGACCGTTTTCAGAGATCTTTCTACCACCCTTTGGAGAGATTTCTAAAACCCCCAATTTTTCCAAAGCTTGAACAGACTTTCTGTTAACGGAACCGGAACCGTTAGCGTGCTTACCTGGTCTGCAGCCTCTGTTGATGGCACCACCGTACAATTTCTTCAACTTACCGACACCAACTTGCTTTCTCAAGTAGATGTGTCTGGCAATAGAAGCAGAACGCTTGTAGAACCACAATTCAGCTTCTTGTGGTGGCATTTCATTGCTGACAGAGGTCTTGACCAATTCAACGTATTCTGGAACTTCCAATTTACCTTGACGTTGCAAGAATAAAGCGTAAGCGTTGATGAAATCTTGAGCTGGAACGTCTCTATGGATATTTGTTAGTATGAATGTTTAAAAAAAAAGCAGATTTTTAAAATACTAAAACGAATGACGTAAAGATAGAATGGGCCTTGTGATGATGTGTTGAGATTCTAGTGTGAGTAGGATTTTATGGTAGTGACAAGGCTCAATTGTAAAACGCTATCACAAAAAAATAAAAAAAAATTAGCTAATCTTTTCCATTTTCTAAACTGAAAACCTTAGAAATCCCACAAAAATTAATCTTTGGTTGAAATATTTATCACTTAGTCTTTCATGATATTACAATTATTGCCTTTGAAAAGAAACATCCATCTCACTCATCACCAAATACACATTCACTGAACAAAAATAGTTCACAATAAAATCCAAAATTCAAAATTGGAAGTAATTCATGATCTCAAGTATTGATTGGAAAACAGCTGCTTCAATAGTTGTTGATTTGAAAAATAATATTGATCTCCCCCTTGATTTCTTTGAACCGCAAATACACATTCAAGTTACGATACATTAACCTCACACTCATCATCCCATTCCTCTCATTATCGTCATCATCTCCCATAATATCAGTGTTTCACTATATCACTAATCACGTACCTAACGGAAACACCTGGCATTTTGGCTGGTTATTATTATTTAGTGACCTTTTTAATCTACTATGAGTTCCTAATTTGAAATATTCAAAATCAATAGACACCAAATTTTTTTCAGAGTGCAGCCTGCTCCCCCCAAGCGCTCAAGACCCGCTTCTAGGGCTTTGTGACGTGTGTATTCAGTCATGTGATATTGTGAAGTATCACTTGTGCGCCCTAATGACATTACCAGATATACGTGCGTACCTGCACGACAACGGTTTTGACATAACTGCACCAGTAATAATATTAAACTGAGCATGCTCACCCAATTGGACACAAGGCAAGTCAATTCGTTTCATCAATACTCGTTTCTCGTTCTTCACATGTAAAGTATCCTTGGTTACTAATATTGTGATGGAGCTGAGGCCAGGACAATCATCATTTGAGAATGTAACGATTGCATTGAATTGATGTGTATATAGGAAATATATAAATATAAAGAATACATAAATACATAGATCTAATAACTACTGCTAACTAACAAGAAGTGAAAAAATAAAAACAAAATAAGAAAAAGCAAAATCCACAGAAATTGTATGAAAATTAACACTTTAAAAAATAAACCAACACTCAAATATAATCATCTCCATTAGACAATAATAAAACCTAGTAAGGTTGATAAGAGCCACCATACTTGTGGGAGTCCCCTCTAGCACCACTATCCCTACCTCCTCTGAATGGAGGACCTCTGCCTGGGGCAGTAGCTCCACCAGGGCCTCCTCTACTACCTCTGGTACCAATAGCGCCTCTATTGGCACCAGTTGGCCCTGTAGAGCCGCCTCTACCAAAAGAGCTTCCGCCGCCTCTGCCCATTGGTCCTCCTCTACCACCTCTGTTCACAGGTCCTCCTCTACCACCTCTGCCTATTGGTCCTCCTCTTCCTACTGGGCCTCCTCTGCCAATAGGTCCCCCTCTGCCAGTTGGACCCCCTCTACTTGGAAAGTTGTTTCTTTCCCTTGGTCCTTTTGGAAAGTTAATTCTGCCATCTTCATTGGCAGAATGTAATCTAAAAGGACGTTCACGAGCAGCATCCGGATTATTGTCGTTTTCTGCATTTGGAGCCTGGCCTACACCTTGGTTTGAGGCTTTTTCTTGGGTTTGAGTCGCAGGACCATTAGGGCCCTGTCCTTCCATTTGTTGACTTATCATTGCTAACATTTGTTGAGATTGTTCAGGATTCATGTTTTGGTTGCCTGATTGTCCATTAGCGCGTTGCATTTGCTGGAATTGCAACCAGTATTGCCAATACTGTTGCATTATTTCTGGAGTGTAGCCAGCACCATTCATGGCTTGAGTAGTCTCACCAGGGTATGCATTTGAGTATTGCTGATAACCGCCAGGTGGATTTTGCAATTTTATGGCAGTGTTGGCATTATAACCTCTGACACCCCCAAGTCTTTGCTGTTGTTGGCCTCTTGGTTCGGCTCTTTTAATCTCCATTCTTCTCCCTTTCAATTCCAAATATTGGTTTTGACAAACATTGTCGACTGCTTCAGGAGAGTCGTAGGTGACAAACCCAAATCCTCTTGATCTTCTAGTATCCTTATCGATCATCAATTGGGCATCGATGACGTTACCAAACTTTGAAAAGAATTCATCAAAATCCTTTTCGGTGACTTCTGGAGCAATCCCACCGACAAAAATCTTACCAGTTTTATCTTGCTCTTCTCTTGGAATGGCTCTCTTAGGATCGATCACCTTACCATCTAAAATATGTTGGGTTTTTACAACTTCATCAACGGATGAGGAGCTTTTGAAAGTCAAAAAACCAAACCCTCTGGAACGGCCGGTGACATTATCTCTCATGATGGTCAAATCAATAATTTCACCAAATTTACTGAAATACTCCTTCAACTTATCTTCGGAAGTTTCCCAATTTAATCCCCCAACAAACATTTTGCCTTGATCTCTGTTGAAAAATTCTGATTTCTCTTGTAATTGCCTACCAATAGCAACACTGGTCAACCCACTGCCAGAGATTTCCTTTGGAGATTCCCCAAGTCCTCCAGTATTTGAGCTGGAAGGCACTTCAATGCTGGTCTCGTTCGGTTGTTGGATAATAGTGTGTGCGGAATCATCAGCTTTAACAGTGGAGGTAGCCGTACTTGTAGCTTGAGTAGTGGATGCTACCTCTTTCGGTAGTTCTTGTCTGATTGCTTTAGTTTCATCATCACTATCCTCACCATAAATATCTTGGAAAAGAACATCTGCGTCATCCAAGGAAGCCATTTTTAATTGATTAGGTACTGAAAGAAAAAATTCTCCGGAAGTTTGTTTGGAGACCAAGTATTCTTTTTTTAAAAAAAGACTTTGGAATAAGGAGAGACTGTTACTAGTTATATATTTTTTCAAGAACTATCCGAGTGTTTTTGGGTATGGATGGTTGTTGATACCGGATTGCTTTCTGTCTTCACGATAATAGTAAAAGAAAAAACGAACTCTAGTTTAATTTCCTGTTCTTGTATATTATCACAACTATTTAGAATATAGCTATATGATAATAACTAGTGGCTATCAACTATTGTATTCTATATGAATTAATTAAATACTCCAATTATTTGAAACTGGTGAAATCTCCAAGAAAAGTTTCTGGTTAAATCTTCAGTTTCCCAAATAAACACAAGCCAATATAAGGTTCAATCAAATTATTTTGATGAATTGAGGAGCTTGTGTAACAGCAAAAAACAAAAAGAAAAAGAAAACACGAAAATAAAGTAAACTAATATCACTAACACTGTTCTGGAGTGGAATTAAGGAGGTCCCTTATATATCTGACTAAGATTACTGTCCAACTCAAGGTGGCAAATTATCTTTTCACTTTTTTTCCTCTTTCCTCATTTTCTCTGACCCCACCGGGCTGATATCCATCCGGCTCGGAAAATGAATTTCCGCGCCATCATCAAAAATCTTCACTTCATCCACACTCTTAACTAAAAAAAAAAAAAAAAAAAAATTAAAAATAGATGATAATATTCAAGGAAGGTAAAATCTGTCAGTGACTGGTAAATAGATAATGGGAAACAAATATTTGCTCTACTTGGCCAAAGCTCACTTGGATTTTAGAAGGGCAGAGTTGGAGTCTTTGGCAGACTTGTACAATCTCAAAGTGGACTTATCCAATCTTTCAGAAGATTCCCCATTTGTGATCGTTGAAATTGAAAACGATGATCTAGCAGCCAAATGGATAAGTAGGTCTATTCTTTGTAGAGGGGTATACGAGTATTGGGGTGAAACCACTGAGGATTGGGGGCAATTACATGAAAGTGTGAAACAAAATAGCAGATCCAAATGGGAGAAATATGCTAAAACGTCGTTCAAATTTGATTTTATTGGATATCAAGGTTCTAGAAACCAAAAATCACAAGTAGAGGTGATCGAACAGTTTTCCTACCTCCCATTCACTGGGCCAATAAGAATGAAGAAACCAGATGTGGTCTTTACTGTCATTGAACAATTCATTGAGAATACCGAGACCTCAACGAGGAAGTTTTTTGGAAGAGAAGTGGGACTTTCGGAAAGAGAAAAAGGGGTTCTTGATAAGTTTGACTTGAGAAAAAGACGGTATGTTGGAACCACTTCATTTGAAGCAGAATTATCTCTCGTTACTGTCAATGTGGCCCAAACTAATGTCGGAAAGATCATGTACGATCCATTTGTGGGGACCGGTAGTTTCTTGGTTACTGGGGCTCATTTTGGGGCTCTTACCATTGGATCAGATATCGATATGAAGCCTCTTATGGGCAAAAAAAAGAACACAATACAGGCCAATTTCAAGCAATACGGCACATCATTGAATTTCCTTGATACGTGTACTATGGACTTTACTCACAATGCTTTCCGTAAGGATTTCATCATTGACACGATTTGTTGTGATCCTCCCTACGGGGTCAGAGAAGGCCTCAAAGTGTTGGGAACTTCTAGACCTGAGCATTTTGTTGGAAAAGAAAATATCGAAATCGATGGAATTAAAGCATTTTTAAGAAAAGATTATGTTCCAACGAAAAAGGCTTATTCTCTCGGAAACATGTTAGATGACTTGTTGGATTTCGCAGCCAAAAGATTGCCTATTGATGGAAGACTCGTATTCTGGATGCCGGTAGCTAACGATGAAGATTATACCACTTCTATACCCCACCATGAGAAATTGGAATTAAAATACAATTGTGTTCAGAAGTTTAATAAATGGAGCAGAAGAATGTTATGTTATGTGAAAAGAGATGATGGCTATGAAGGCCAAACAATTAGAGCTGGTGAGGTGATAAAAAATGAGTTCAGGAATAGATATTTCAGTGGATTTAATGAAGCCAGTTTAGATTAGATGTTTTGTATTATATTGGAAGTTCACATATTGTTTTTTTTTTTTTCTTGGTTGCTTAAATGAATTGTAGGTCATTCTAAAATAAATACTTTTGCAATAATAATTAATGTATTATAGGTTTTCATTATACCATTAGTAGAATAAACGGTAATGGGTACTGAGGGTGATAATAATAATAAGAATAATAATAATAAGAATAATAATAATAATAATAATAATAATAATAATAATAATAATAATAATAATAATAATAATAATAATAATAATAATAATAACAGGGTATCTAGAATATAAAATACAGTAAGGATTAGCAACAAGACCCATATTGTGAAAAAAAAAGAGTATGTAACAAATGGAAAGAAAAGACCAATGCCTATCGAAGAAATGAAAACAAAAAACCGAATCAATACAAGAACCAAATTAAAAAGCAAGCAATTCAATCATCAAAATGCAAAATCATTAAAAAAAAAAATTAAAATAGCAAAACAAAAGATTAAAATAGCAGATAAGCAGAAGCACAAGAAAATAGTGGGAGAAAATATTTGAGACAGATGATCTTTGCAAAAAGACCAGTCTAGGAGCTGCATCTGCGATCAACAGCAGGAATATGTGGTGACTATTGTTTCTTTCTTAGCCACGTCAATAGTCCTATTGTGTGAGCCTCTTCTAACTCGCTCTGTTTCAATTTCATCTTCATCTTCTTCTTCTTCATCTTCATCACTTTCTTCCTCCTCTTCCTCAATATTATCATCAGTGTTTTGTTTCTTGCTCCTAGACCATTTATCATCTTCATCACTACTATTGGTGCTCAAACTTCTTCGTACACACTCGCTGATAAATGTTCTAAATAAGAACTTGACATCGTCGAGATATTTGGCGCTGACTTCATAATATCCAGCAATCTTCACTCCCTTTTTCTTGTAATGTTTATTCATCCTGACTGAAAATTTTTGTAAGTCTTCAATGAAAACTTCCCGCTGATCCATTGGTTTATCTCTTTTGTTTCCAACCACGAAAAACACGATTTTCTTCAATTCATTGCTGGAGTTGTCGATACACTCATTGATCCAGTGGTCAAGTTCATCAAAGGTTTTTTTGTTGTTGATATCATAAACTAGTAGAATGCCCTGAGTATCTTTATATAGCGATGGAGTGATGGTACGGTACCTTTCTTGACCTGCAGTATCCCATAGGACCACTTTGAACAATTTATGATCCACGTCAACTAGCTTGACCTTCAAGTCGATTCCAATGGTTGTTTTTGAATCAAACTCATCAAAGTAGTTATCAGAATATCGGATCAACAATGCACTTTTTCCTACTCCGGCTGATCCTAGTAGCAAGAGTTTGAGAGATGGAATATTATCATCATCTAGTTTTGTGTCATAGTCGATCAACATGCTGCGCCTAACACCATTCCTTATTTTTGCCTTGGAGGGAGCAAACGATTCAAAGGCTGATGAAGGGAAAAACGACGGCGACGTAGGGAGTCTTGGACTCGGTGAGGCGCCTTGCATTTTATTATCGTGAGGCAATGGAATATTATGGCACCGTGATGGCTTGACGGTGGTCTTAATATTGGCCGGATGGGATGGGGAAGGGACACACAAAGACAAAAAAAAAAAAGGGAAAAAAAAAGGCTAGACAAAACAAAACTTCGTTGATTATTCTTGCAATTAGTGGGATATATTATCAATGGTTGATTTATGGAAGGGTACTAGTGTGTTGGTTTGGATCAGATGGCAAGTACCAACCTTGACTAATAATATTTTTTTTTCTTAGGAAAGTGTTCAAAAATTTCAAAATAATTATCAGGTGTCTTGCACATATATGATGTGATTGGACGATCCTGCGTCTTCAAAATAGTTCCTGGCAATGCGTCTTTGCAATTGAATGTTGTTAGTGATGCTGAGGCTGAAACGTAAATCTGGGAAAGGACAGATGTTGTCAAACTCCAGGCACTTGATGTGGCCATAAAGGAAGATCCAGTGAACAGGGTTTTTTTTTTTTCTTACTGTTTTGAGTTTTTGTTTATTATTGTGTTTTTTCTGTTACGTAAGCCAGGGATGACAACAATCTCCGGAGGTGTTGTAATATGGAGAGAACCAACAGATACAATAATATACATATATGTATTTATGAACTCCGCATTATCTTTATATTCTTGTTATATATCTGTCTATGATTGCTTAAATTTTTGGTATATTGTCAACCGGCTGAAGAACATTGTCGCATCACCGAAAGTAAATAATAACAATAGTCATAGAAATAAAAAAATTGAAAACCAATTGATGTATCGTAAATTACCAGGGATCTATATTAATTAACAAAAGTCTCAGCCTCGCTATCAAATATATTTGTATAAATAATAATTACATATATAAAATGATTCAAGACGTCGTGCTCTGGCAATTCCGCGTGCCTGTGCCAGGGCATAAAACCGAAGATGCGCGCGCGCGAAATAATTATCTGACCAAATGCTTAGCACTGATTAGGCAGAAGGCAACTACACCGAACTAGGATATCTTGCCCCGTCAAGATGGAGAAACTCCAGACGCAATTCGTGCAGTATGAAACAGCAAAAGAACTACAAGCAATCTCAGCTTCTAATGATGACCCCAACAAGCTTGTTGTGGCAGGTAAAAACTTCCTCCAAGTATTGCGCATAGAAGATAACGCCATCGATGGTTCAAGAAGAGTGGTTCCCTCAGTTGATTTGCTCAGTGGTACCAATTTGGCCAACGATGTCAAGAATTTAGGGTCGATCACCGACATCAGATTCGGATTCAGAGAACTCTCGAATGTTGTCGCATCGGTATCAACATCGGGAAAAATTTACTTATTTGACATCAATAAAAAATCACCACATTCACACCCAATGAAAATTTCAGCCCATAAGCGAGCAGTGAATTCTATTGCGTTCGCCCCTCATGGTGGAAATATTCTATTGTCAGGATCACAGGATGGGGTAATTAAAGTATGGGATTTACGATCCAAAAACTCCAACTTAACGTTTGGTAATGAACGGAAGCCATTGGGTGAGTTTGTCAAGACATTTGATGGGATTCGTTGCAACGAGTTTTCTCCCCACGACTCCAAAGTCTTTTGTTCTGCTTCTGACTGCGGTGATGTCACTAAATGGGACTTGAGAGTACCGCATAAATGGGTCAATAATATCAAAAATGCCCACATTAATGGGGCTTTGTCTTTAGAATGGAACTTGAAATTCAACTATATTGTCACGGGGGGTAAAGACAATAAGATCCAAGTTTGGGATATGTCAAAGGATAATACTAAAAAGCCTGATTATATAATATCCATGAATGACACAGTGACAAAAGTCGCCTGGTCTCCTTCCAATAATAATGCTAACAACATACAAGATTGTCAAATTTCTTCCTGTTATTTAACAAATAATGCTTCAGTTGATGTATGGGACTTGAATAGAAGTCATATTCCTGCATATTCACTAATGCATCATTCGAAGGCGGTCACTGGTTTACATTGGCATACAAATAATACACTATGGACCGTATCTAAAGATAAGTCTTTCATTGAACATAATCTCGATAACGAAATTCCATTCGCAAACTTATTAAGAAAATCAGTGGTAAAGTTCAATCCATCTCGGTATTCCGAATTCGTGACCGTATTTCAAGATGAAGATTCGTATGTTAAGACTTCGAATTTGACTGGAAGCCTTCACCATGAAAAGAGATCATCCTATTCTTTCGAAAACAATCAGAATCTAGGAAGATCTGCGACACTTGAGGATGTTGGAGAAGGAACCAAAAATGACGACTATTTCTCCAACACATTAGCCCCAGCAAAGACTGATAAAGTTCTGTCAAAACCTATAAATATTTCATCTTCAGAAAGCAATAGTTCAATGATTGAAAATTCAAGGCTTTCACCAACCATTTACAATAATGTGAGTGTCGAAAGTAATAATAATAATAATACGAGACCAAGAATAGGATATGTTAAAAATATGTCTTATTCTCCGAATAATCATGCCAGTGGCTCAAAAGCGATTCCTGTACCGATTAAGGAGTCGGAAACTAGAGAGGCTATTGCGTCTTCTTCGATTGAAAAAATGTCACCAACTTTCTTTGCCAATACCCTTAATGTTAAGACGTCACCATCCAAATCCACCAGCCAGGATTCGGGGTTTCCTAAACAGCCCAATCAAAGTGAAGTTTTCAAACGAAGTAATTCCAATGGGGCTGATGATACTATTGATGTATCCGATTCCAAGCCAAAACTTTTAAGATCACGTACCACTGCTTCGATGGCCAAAAATTTACACCGCCATAATAGTTCTGACAATCCATTGGTTTCGAGCATGATTCAGCGCTCAGGTACGGAATTTTTTAATCATGATGTTAATAATAGATCGCCAATATTTAATGGTAAAGCATCATCGGGAATAAACTTAACTATGACACCAATCAATAGAGCTATATCAAATCAATCTTTAAATTTTTATATTGGTGGAAACAATTCGCCGAGTTTGTCGAACAGAAAAAATTCTTCTAGTTATACTGGAAATAATAGCATATTCCATCAAGTTCAATCTTATTCCACGTTAGCCAGTAATCAAAGGCTTTTACTGGTAGCAAGTACTCCTAACAATGGCATTAATAACAATAGCAGTAATAACGTCACGAATTTAAGATCAAATGAACCGATTGATTACAATGAGAAACAAGTCCCATTGATATACATGTCAAGTTTGGGAACTGTATTCGACAAAGAGTATAGTGAGGATGGTGCACTTTCTACTGAATTGTACAAATTATACGTGATGCAATTCTATGAATTTTTGAGCAAGTTTCATGCAAGAGATGTTGATTACAATGACTTGCTTTTCCAAGATTACCAACCAACCTATCCATCTTCTAATCCTAGAAAAAGAGCCTCAAAAAATAGATATTCGACAAGCAATCGAAATCCTCGGACAAATTTGAATAATGATGGTGTGAGGACGGCTAACAGCAAAGTACATGGACATGATAAATCTGCTAAAGCAAACAAATCATCAGATAGTCATAGTCGTGAATCTTCAAAAAATGAACTTATTGCCAATTTGAAATCGATTTCCAAAGAATATTATTCCAAGATGAATCTAGGGACTTTTTTCTCATTTATTACTGAGTCAGTGAAAGTTGCCCTCGAGAAAGGCAACACTACTGATCTTCTACGGATCATTGTGGTGGTTTTTAGGGGCAAGAAGCCCGGATTTGATATTGTTGATTTGATTGTTCAATTGAAATTTGCTGTATCATTATCTGCTACATTTAAGGTCATAAATTATTATAAAATCTTTAAGATTCTTCTACATGGTTTGATCATTGATATAGAAGGATTCCTTGCTGATATTGATTACTACGCCTACTTGTTTGCCATTTCCAAAAAAAGCACATACAAGATAAATAAGTTGACTCTCCAACATTACAGTTTTAACATGCCAAATATTGGAAGTGCGGGCAAAAAGGGGCCATATCGTATTCAAAATTCTGGGATCAACACTACTGGTATAAGTAGAAGAAATTCTTCATCACTTGGTGTCATTGGTAAACCCGTTTTTGCAGTTGATAAAAATAGCCGAAAGAAAAATCAAAATGAGTTTAAGCTGCTGAGCGTTTCTGAGACTTGGGACTCATATGATTATAGAGGTAGGAGTGCTAATAGCAGAGATTCTTTCGAGTTTCAATATCGAAAAGATATAGACGATGATCCGGGATATGAAGAGAAGGAAGATGATGACGATGACGACGACGACGATGACGACGATGACGATGACGACGATGATGATGATGATGATGATGATGATGATGATGATGATGATTATGAAGCAGAATATGAGAATCGAAACCGAGGATTTGAAATAAATGATGACTGGTTTGAAGATTTGGATAATCTCAACTTGACTGAAGATGAATATTTTTTGGGGCACGACAGCTCGTATGGAGGCTCATCCTCAGCATTATCTATGAGCTCTGCTAATAATTCTTCTACTAATGTCAACGAAAGTGTCAGAAGTTCACGCCACAGTAGTTCTGATTTGTACAGTGGTGATGAGGGACTGAAAGATACTTACAACGATAGGTCTAACAGTGGAATTTATAATGAGAATGCTATTACTAGTGATGATACTGATATTGATGATACACGTGAAGAGCCAGAACTGTTGCACAGTGTACTGACCTCTGGCGGAGACATTACCAAAGCAGTGAGCAAGCTTCAAAAAAAGTCATTGAATATGAAGTCGAAAATCTTGGAGAATAAAGATTTCGGGTATTATCGAGATGATGTTTCAGACGATGGGTTTGTTGATAGCGATGATGAATTGAAGAAATTAAAGGATGAAGAAAAGTCCACAATGCTAACTACTGGGGCAGATGATGATGAGAGAAATATAAATGATTCGGAGGACAGTGTTGATGAATCAGACATGAATCAACTACCGCGCAAGACTAGACTTTCAACTACCGAGTCTGATGAACCGGTTAAGAAAGCAAATAGGAATTCTAAGTCAGGTGAAAGGTTATCTGTGTCTAAACCATCCAGTAAAATTCTGAAAATTGATGAAGGTGTCACAGCGGCAAGTATTAAGCCTTCATCTCCCGATGGAGCTTCCCAATTGCCATTATACATTGGTCAGCCAACCTTCAAAAGTGCTGGCTACCGAGGTAATTCTTTTTCGGACCGTCGTGGAAGTATGAAGGAACAAGCGCAAATGACGAAATCTTTTTCATTCACTTCGGGTCCTATTTCAAGAGACTTTGGAACCGCATTTAGCAATGCTAGATTCCCCCGCCAAAGCAACGACATGTTGCCAGTGTTAGGAAAAGATTTTGACGCTACAAAACAGATTCCCGGGGCACCATTGAGTAATTTAACCAGACAACTCACTTCAAAGAATGGTAGTTCTAGTAATATTGCTAATGTTAATAGAAGGCTGATTGAATCTGAAGTTCCTATCGGTATCGGGAATGAAATCGTGACTGGGTTGATCATCAAACTCGAAGCCAAGCCCTGGAAACTAGAATTCTTGATCCGCAAGGCATGCAAATCTTCCCAAGAAGAAGGGGATGTGTTTATGTTGTCGATGTTGACTAGCTTATTTTACGAGTTTTGCCAAAAGAGAATGAAACATAGAAACATCAGCTATGATTTCCAGGATTGTGTTATACAAGCACCCCAGGCCAAACAGTGGATGTCTCTATTCCTTGACCACTTGGTGGCCAGAGACTTATATGTTGTGTCGGCGCTAGTTATCAAGTATTGCCGTATTCCCGAGATAAAAGAAATGGGACTTGTGAATACGGAAATCAAACGGTTTTGTCCACATTGCAAAAAACTCATCGTTCATGATGCGGAATCGAATCCAAACGGTGACCACAAGTATGCAAACTGGTATTGTGCAAATTCGAAGTGCAATCTTCCTACCGGTAAATGTTGTTATTGTGACACCGTGATTCGAGGTATGGGGGTTACATTGCTACATTGTGGACATGAGGGGCACCCACATTGTATGAAGGAATGGTTTATTGAAGGGGGAGAAACCGAGTGTCCTGGGTGTGGGGAAGTTCCAACTGAATTAGAGAGTATGTTTAGTCAATTAGAAACTTCAGTATGTTAAAAGTGAAATCAAAGAAAAGTTGAAATAATGTCTCCAAAACGATCGTTTATAATAAATGTAATTTATCTAAATGGGTTATGTTAAATTATCAATTGTAGGCTAGTTAATTTATATAAGAATAGTAGATGAAGATAATTGTTGCCTTACTATGGGTGTGCTCTCTTACTTTGAATGAAGGCAACTTCAATAAAAGACTTTCCAGGACGCGTTTTTTTTCCCCTAATGATACGCGTCAGGCTTTGCCGCTCAACAGATTATCATGTAATGATTCTGCAATTTCATTTTTCCTTTCTCGTATTATTTTTGGTAGTTTATTTTCTTTTTTTAAAAAAAGAAGATCCATCCATGTATTTATTGTTTTAATAGATACAGAAAACTCTGTATAAAATTTGAATTTTTTGTTGATTTAATAACTTGCAAGAAAAAAAAAATTCACATTTATTCTCATATCATAATACACAAAACATAATAAAAAGTAAGCGCAAAATGGAAATTTATCTCATAAAATCCTGTACTTTTCCTATGAAGTTTTATGCTAATTAAAAAGGACAAACAACATTATCATGACTTGGTTAGTTCACTTAGTTCCAACCATCATAATCCTCATTAAATATTAAACTATTTTTTCCTTTGGATAGATACGGTTATAAATTTTTATCGTTGTTAACGTTTGAGCTGCGGATGTGCTTTAAAATAGACATGAAACAATTTAATTTGCAGTTATTTTATCATATCTGTAGCGTTAATTTTAAAATATGTTTTATCATCGCTTGTTCTTATGGATGGTGTGGTTTTTCGGAACTTATGAAAAACTTCTAGAGCACTCATTTCAAAACAAGAATTTGATAGCTAAGCCGTTGGAGTAATAAAACTTTTAGATGATTAGCATGGTAATAAATGACTTGTTACTTTTTTCTAAATCTTTCGGTTTTTGTTTCTTCTTGTCCATATTGTTGGTTTATTATTTATCTCTCTAATGCAGATGGCGCGTCGAACGAATATACATATAATATAATTATTTACATGGTATATAAAATAAATTCTTACTAGAAAAGTAATTTTAACTCTTTCCTTTGTATCTAGTAAATAAAAATTTGAGGAATAGTGTTATCAAATATGAATCTAGCTCCAATGAAACGTTTGAGATTTTCCAAAAGACAAAAAAGCAAGATTGGATACTATCTTTCAGAAAAAAATTTTGTCAAAAAAGAATATCTTCATTTATCGAAAGTGAAACCGCACATTTTTTTTTGAAGATTTGATTTTAGGGCCTCATAATTGTTATTGTCATATATTTCCTTTTCTTTTTTCTTTTTAACAGGAATTGCAAAACTGTTTACAATGAAGTTGTGGTTCAAGTTTGGGCATATGTAAGCAACTTTCTGATTTAATGAAAGCATCCATTTTGATGCTAATAGTAAGGAGTCGCAATTAAATTTAATGATTAGATCCGATAATTCCTTGATAGGAATAATGACAAGTAATTGTAATTATATGGTGTAAACACTGCAGATTTGACAACCTTTTGGTGGGAGGTTCGCCAAAATAAAAAAAAAGTGAGCTAGTTGATAAGTTATGTCTCCCAACCCTATTGTTCATTATTATTTGCTATTAATAATTATGGTTAAAATATTCAGTGAAAAAAAATGGGGGACCTCACTATTAAATCTTCCAAGCTTACTTTATACATATAGCAAGTATAAGGGATTTTATACAAACACGAAAACTGTATTGCGCGACTGTATTAATCTTTCCAACTGGTTTCACTCATAATCCTGTGCTATCTATCGTACTAATAGTGCGAATATGGTAATCTTACTTTAAATTTTATTATTTCATCTTATTTCATCATTGATCCTACTATTATGATTGACTATGAAATCGATTAATGCATTGCTCTATTTATTCTCAACAATATATTTCTCACGGTGTTTGCTCCTGCGACACTAGAGCAGTAAGTAACAAATTGTGTGCCCCTTAAATAGTTTGGCTCTAATTGTGATGATAACTATTTTACTGTATTATTTCTATATCTAATGCGAGAACAAGTATTGTTATAGTATAAGGAATTAACTCTACGTCCTTATTGGTATTAGGCACAAAAATCCTTATATTCATTTCGAGAGTGCGGATAGCCTGAATCTCAAAAAAAAAAAAAAAAAAATAATTTGGTTATAGCGAGACGAAGTAAGTTTATAATTGATCTTTATTTATTAAAAAATATTATTAATAGCACGGTCACCAATAATTGGGCACTTTTTTTCTTTTTTTTCAAACATCAATAGAAACCATACATAAAACCAGTTATACAAATATCGCCTGACTTTATCAATAATATCGGCCAATTAATCCACAAAATATGTCATCTTCCAACATTAACAACAATAACAATAACGCATTATCGCTTCTGCGAAATAAATCAAAGAAGCATTCGTTCCAAAGTGATATTGCATACATGATGGAAGCTCTTGGATTTGATATTGCCCTTCCTGAGACTCTTGACACCTTGGAAGATATCCTCATCACGTATATTGTTGATTTGTACAATGAGGCTCTCCGGTCATCGGAAATTCATGGACGAACTAAGGTGAAGTTCGATGATATCAAATTTGCAGTACGGAAGGATAAAGGAAAACTTCATAGAATGGATGAGATCCTGAGAAATATTAAGATCATCAACCAAAACAAGAAGGCTTTTGATTCGAAGAATAAACAAGTCAAGGATCTAAAAGTGTTCGAAGACAGTGATGGTGATGTTAATGGGATCAGAGGAGTGAACGGAGAAAAGAAAAAGGGTGGTAAAAATAGTAGCAGAAAAGGGTTAAAGTATAAGAAGAGAAAGAAGGAAGAGGTGACGGATGCCAATGGAGAACCAAGAAAGAAGAGAAAGTACGTGAAGAAAGCACAGCGAGAGAAAGAAGCCAGAGAAAAATTGGAAGCAGAACAAAGAGAACGGGAATTAGCACAAAAAAAGCAGCAAGGAATTGCAGATGATGAAGAAGACAATTATTACAGCGATTGATTTGTGTGGGTATTCCAACAAGCTGGACGCTACAATATTATGAGATTGCAGCATATATATACATATACATTATATCACATCTTTTAATGAACATGAGGAATATTCAGAAGTACATATCCATATATATAAGAAAAAGCATGGTGTATGGCGATGTTATTAGCATCATAAATCATTCATAACCTTCTTGGCCACTTCGACACCGACAAACGTAGCCGCATTGGCAGGGAAACTTCTGAGTAAAGCCGGACCAATGCCTGGGAAAAACGCCTTGACCCCACCTTTGGCATATATATTTCTCGTTACTTGGGCTATTGATATCGAAGAATTGCTTGATTGTTGAACTGATTTGATAGTGTCAATCGGGAAGACACCACACCACATTGCCACACCGGCAAACCCACCGGCAATAGAGATTGCCATCAACGATAATTTCCCATCTTCTGTATCCTTCGATAATTTTTGCTTGAGATATTCATAAGTGGCGAAATATAAAGCGCTACCTGGTCCATCACGAGCGAGGGTCGCCAAAGAACCTTTGAACAAAGACCTGAGACCCCCTGTTGCCAATATGGATTTTACGGCACCCACCATCGATGTTTGATTTGATTTGTTTTGGATTTGTAGCACCACTTTTACCCTTTCAAATGGGGCAGCGATCGCAGTGGTGGGAATTGCACTGAAAAACCCAGCAGCAGAGATTTGGGCAATTGTCATTTTTGCAGGGTCATCAATATTGGAGATAGAGCTCACAAGTTTCTTGCCCATATCATAACCCCAGAAGCTGACGGCAAACATTGGAGTGACTCCCAACAAGGGTGGTGAAACTCCGCGATAAAACCCTCGGATACCATCTGTTTTGACAATAGATGTGAAGGCGTTGATGGTAGATGAAGCTTGGTTGGTTTGTAATCTGACCTTCATCAAATCAAACGGATGACCTGTTAACACTGCACAAATCCCACCAAAGCCACCAGAAGTGAAGGATTTGACATTTTCTACCAATTCAGACCTATGTGATTGAGAAGAAGTTACTAGAGACTCCACCTCTTCGCTCATTTTGTGTTGTTGTTTGTTCTAGACAACCACAACCAGCAGGCAAAAAAAAAGGGCCAAACTATGTTGCCTTTATAGTTAGCCAGGGATGGATGCGCAAAGTGTTTTGGTAACCATGAGTGATAACGCGTCACATTACCAGAACTGCTGACAACAGGGTCCATGAGGGAGGAAAAAAAAATGTTTAGTGTGCTCATTCATGTCATGACACCATCGGTAAAAAAATGCGGGGGGAAATCACATCGACCGATGGGAGGACGGAAAAAAAAAAATTTGGAATTAAAATATATTAACACAGAATCTTCCACCTTGCTCAATAAGTGAGCATCCACGTCACTTCCAGGCTGTTATCGATCCACAGAAAGATACAATAGAAAGTGTGACACAGGGCCCCGGCAATCTCACTGGGCCAATGGCTTTTGCTTACGGTCATCCATAAAATGACGGCGTGCGTCTAAATGATGTACGATTATGCAGATATCACGATATCAGTCCCACAACGCCAGCAACACCGTGGGCTTACTATACTCTTCCAAATCCAATTTCGCCAATTCGTTGCTCCAAAATTCTCGATCCTGCTTGATACCCAACCTTATCATCGCTTGCATTTCATGGACCTTCATATCATAGACGTGTTTTACCAAAGAGCGTCCCGTTGGAGTTGGTGCTGGTTGGACATTAGAAATCGCCTTGAGAGAAGCAACACTATCATTACCACTGTATTCTTGAAGTACCCTTCTTTCCATTCTACTTCTGGTATTCTCAAAGCAGGCCTCGGTGTTTATCAGTGATATAGGCTCAGTATACTCTATCTCATAAAGTTCAAATATTCGAAAATCGGGAGAACAGTCCCCAACTCGGCCATACCTTGGAACTTTAATAGGATAAGTTCTTCCTTGATGTTCTGCATATTCCGACATTTTGGAGTCATGACTAGCAAGAATATAGGAATCAACAGTTGACCAGGCCCAATTCAATTGCAATTGTGAAATTCTTGTAAAGAATGGCCTCTTCTCAGCCACGACTATCCCATCATCTTTTCTTTTTCGTTCAAGATCCTCTAATTGGGAAAGCTCCAAATTATGGATGAGATCCAACATCACCAATTGTGCGATTTGAAAAACCAGCTCAATTTGCTTTTGGTAATTGAATATCAATTTCAAATTTTGCGAAGGTAATGATTTCAAAAGCTCAATAATTGGATTAGAATTTTTCTGATGCATTAGTGCCATCATGGGGACAACAAGAGTTGATCCGTAAATCAATTCAAAGGTAAATAACTCTGATGGCTCATTCACCTTTTTACGTAGAAATGCATCTCTAATTCCAAGAATACTTTCTCTATTAGTGTAACCAAATCCCTTGATAACATCCAATTCCATGGTTAGCTTTCTCATTTTTGGTAAGGTATATAACATTTCTTCGAAAAATTTCACTCCATAATCTCCAATGATCTCAGCTTGATTTGCAGAGCTATTGCTGTGGCCGGGATGCAATGATCCGCCATCCGCGGTTCTGAATACAAGCCTTTGCAAGCTTTCTGAGCCCATTGAAGTGATGAATTTCATCACTCGGCACAGTAGTGGCATTAATGAAAACCCCTTACTAACGATATTTATTTCTTTAATTCCTGCCATCGTGTCACTTTTTTTCTTTGCAGCAGACGAGAGTGATTGTCGAGTGTCATATAGATACTGGGATCTGATCATTTCCAAGTTCTTGTTCCCATTACACCCCACTACTATATTTGAATAGTCCAATAACATATCCAATCTATCCAATCTGTCGAATCTCATAGTTTTCAACAATTTTGATACCATGTCAGGTTCACAGTCCAAAGGAATGCATAGATACTCGATACCAATTTTCTTGGATATATCATATTCTTCACAGGATACCTTGGGAAGTAATTCTGATAACTCAGCCTTGGTTTTGGTTAAACTTGGAATATTGAAGAGCTTGACGCTTTTTAAGTTCTGAAGTGCAAGAGCGGGAATAAATAAGTATTGGTCAATGGTACATTCTAGGAACTCAATTTGCGGGAAAAAACTGGTGGTCCAGGTACCAATACTAAGATCAATGGGATTCTTTAATAAGCTGTGGAAACTTTCGCCTTGATGCCAATGGCCAAGAATCAATTTATCACCCATTTTCTTTGCTATTTTCCCATTCCTCACCATTCGATTACTTTGCCATTCATTATATCTCACCAATGATACAAACCCAAAAACGAGTCTTCCCACAATGATTCGAAGGCGGGTACAAGTATTTGATAAATTAAGCAAATCATGGTTTATCTTCGAGGTGTAGCTGAATTGATGTGCGATCGCGGGTAAGATGGATGGTTGGAGCATGGGCGACTGCATTAATAGATGATAGCATATTTTGATCAACAACTCATTGGGAAGCGATAAAAGTGACAAACTCTGTTCTTCCCTGTGACAAATATACTGGCTCATAATATACTAAGACTTATTTGTACGTCAACAAACATTGTCGCTTCCCACTTAAACGGTTTAAACCTCACTTTTTTTATTTGACCCATTTTTTTTTTAGATCCGCATCATCGGTATAGCCAGTAACAATAAAATGTCTTCTAATTATGAGGAAAGTTTCAGCGAATGGGAGTGATAGCCCATATTTTTCTTTGTTGGTATTTTGAATGTCTGGATTGCTCTACCCCATTCATTGGAATGTGTAATAGTTTATTTTATTTTATGTTCTATTACTATTAGCCCTTTCTTTCTTCTTTCAGTTGTCCCGCGACTAGTTTTGGGATGATTTCATGAAAAATTTTTTCGTTTTGGGACTTTCTTCTCTTGGCGATGTAAAAACTCAGCGACTTGGTGATTGTTCAATTAATAAAGCCAAAGTGCGTCAAAGCTTATGTCTACAAAACTCTAAATATATCAGTGGGAAACTTTGACATTGTTGCCCTTTTTTGGCGACACTTTTGTGGAACATTTCAATCTTATTCTATTTCTCTGTAGTAAAATGCACTTGAAAAGGAATATCATTAATGAAAACATTTACATATATATATATACCGCTATACTCTCACTGATTTTAAGATAATCACTACTCTTGTTATGAACATCAATATTCATGATGAGACTCTTATTTTCTGTCCTTCTCTTAGCCATAACCAGTCCTATCTTGGCGGCCACTACCATCACTACGACTCTTGTCGACTCGGTGACTTCTCCAACTACTACTACTATTGTAACCACCACTACTCAGGAAGCCATTACTGTTGAAACCATCACATCTACTGTGACTGATGTTGAGACCGTCTACGTCAGCCTCGTCACCGTCGAAACAGCAACCTCTGGGGAAGCTGTCACCGTCACCGTTCCGGGAACTTTGTCCTTAACCACCTCCATTATTAGTGAAACTGAGACAGTAACTATCACTAACGAATTGACAGAAACTTATACTATAACCCTGAGTACTACTTTTGTTACAATCACTTCCACAAAAGCATGCCCTACTGTGTATAAGAGAGATGAATCTCTCGCAATCGTATTAATGACCACCACCATCAATGTATGTCCGGATAACACTACTAAAAGTCTCACTAACTCCACATCTCTTCCTACTTTAGCCCAAAACACGACCACTTCCAGTGTTTCCTCCTTTTCTGCTTCCTCCTCTTCTAGTACAGAAGAAACCGTGACAGTCACTCAGTTTAGCACCACTATTGATATTGATTTGCAAACCGTCACCTATGTTGTCTCTACCGGTATTCCAGCCGTTACCACCGACACCACCGTAACTGTTGCTAGCAGCACCCAGAATACTGTCACCTCTACCTCCACCACTTATGTTGTTGATCCAGTGGTCATTGTGTCGGTTGACCAAACTCACATTGTTTCTGTCACAAACATGGTGACTGCCACCACCGAAGTCACGTCAACAATGTCGTACACTCTCACCCAATTGGCTACTGTGACATTGACCACCACAGTTTGTCAGCAAGTCACATTCGACAGAAGAGACAATTTGCCAGAAGTCACTGGTACTACCACTTCAACCATTACTACTTACTTATGTTCTGATGCTACCACTAAAAATTCTGCTTCGTCTGCAATGCAAACCTCTCACCCTACAGGTATAAATAGCAGCAGCACCGCCTTGACCACCACTCTCACCAGTTTGAATCAGACTGCTACAGCGGTTTTATCAATTGTTGATGGTACAAATTACAGTACAGGGGTCACTGTGGTTACTCTAACCATTGATGGTACTGTCACTTCTTACACCACCTACTGCCCATTATCGGATATCATTACGGGTGCTACTGATGTTTTTGGTCCAAATATATCGGCTACTATTACCGGTAATTCTGGATCTTTCATTTCAAAGGGATCAGTTAATTCAGCTAGTAAACCTAGTACTAATACCACAGTTGGTGTGATCACATCATTTTCTGCAATGGCTTCTTCTCCAATCAAGGGCAGTAACAATATTTTTTTTTCGGCTATCTTTGCAGGTATGGTTGGTTTGTTGCTTACTCTTTGAGGGTAGCGATAATTAACCATTACTACTGAATTACTTTAGAAAAATGATGGCGCAAACCAATTTTCATTCTACCTCAAATATACGAATCGTCTATTCATGCATATATGTTTCCGTGATTAATTGGGTCATCTAATTTTGGGTCTAACGAATACCAAATTAAAAAAAAGCTAAACATTAGCGAAGAATTAAGAAGAAACGCCATGATACATGCGTACACATTAAATCTTCTTGTTGATGTATTGTAATGTTGAATTATTGCTAGCTAATGTTGCTAGCATTGTGGCGGAATATTTTATTGCTATTGTACAATACCATCTCCTGGATAAATTCTATTCCATACGAATGACCCGAAGATTTACTGTACTCTTTGAAATTTAAGATTTGAACATGTTGAAAATAAAGGGAATGATTGATATTCATCACTTTGATATTTATCGATGTTACAGCACTTGAATGTTCATTATTTTATTTTTTTTTTTTTCGAAAATTCATTCTCCTGAGATGAAAGCACTCATCATTTTTGTGGTTTGTGTGAATGCCTAAGAAAAAGAACCCAGCAAAAAAAAAACCTTGAAGAAAACTGAATATACAAAGAAAAGTAAAGTAAAGTTTGCGGGGAAATTACGCAGCCTATTCGTTCATGCATCCTAATAGGCGAGCAAATCTGTCAATTGGCACTCTTCAATCCGCAATTTTCTTACCAACAACAGAAAGTGCTAAAAGCTTGTTTTAAAAATTTCGATGTCTGTGAGAATCTAGAACCTCTTTTTTTTTTTAAGTTTTGTATATCAACTGTCGTTGGATGTGATGCACGATAGATCTTTGATAGGCTGATCTGGCACTCGAGAACTTGGTTTGGGTTCTATGTTTTTTATTTATCGCAGGTAAGAATAACTTTTTGTCATATATAACCCATCCTTCTAAGACAACTGGAATCTCAGAATCAATATCTAAATTAGAATATTGAAATACTAGCTTCATGCAACATGAACCGTTATTTAATTAAATTTATTACACATCACTGATGCGTATGGTCAGTAGTATCATTGACGTCAATACCATCTCCGCACTTTCAAACTTTATCAGTGATACTTCTTCTAGTAACCTTCTCAAAGATTCGTGTCAGATAGTTTGGGCTCAACTACTCCAAAAATATTAACTCTTACCAAAATAATAACAAAAATATCATAAATATTTTTCGTTTCAAAATTGTGCCTCCAATTAGCGTAGCTTTTACCTCTTCATCAGAGATGTAGTAGTGATTAATGGTCCATAAAACCCCATATTTTGATGATTGGTGGCTCGCGATTTCTCTGGGGATCGAATATTAAACTTTTATCAAAATATTTTTGTTTTGATTGCTATCTGTTAGCTGTATATTAATTTGCAAATTTGAGAGATTGAAAAATATTCAAAAATTATAGATGCCGCTACATGTATGCCTCAAAAAGGCTTTCGAAAAGGAGAAACAGGACGGTGACTCTTTTTTCCCCCACTTGATGTTCTGAAGATAGCTACAGATTCTTTTTTTTTTTTTCAATTATTAATATTCTTCTCTTGTGGAATAAAATTGTTAAAAGATCTCCTATTTGAGTCTAAGGATTTGTTCTACTCTTACCTGATTTTTTTTTTTTTTTTTTTTTTTTTTGCTTCTGTGCATTGCATTTTAGAGTTGACATGCATGACAGCCTCAATTTTAAATTCTTTCAAATGTCTGGATTCTTGTTTTCTCATCTGCCAAGAAACATCTTAAAGAAAGGTCAAATGGGCTTGCCCCAAAACAAAGAATATTTCTTAATCCTTTGCTCTGTTGGTTCATTTTGGGAAGCAAGTTGATTCTAAGAAGCAAGTCAATTCGACATGGAAAAAAAAGTATAAATATTGGGGTTGTACTCAACAATAATCTCACTTCTTTGTTCTGTTTATTTTTGGAGTTCACCAAAAACTTCAAGATGAATATCAAATTACTCTCTTCTTTGTTATTTTTAGGGTCCTTTCTCACTGACCCTGTTTTTGGTGTTGCTTTACCTGATATTGTGATTACCGAAACAGTTGTTACAAGCGAGACTTCATTCGCTATAACTGGTGAAGATGTTACTGAATATGACTCCGAATGTGAGATAACCGACGTCATCTCTAACTATGTTACATCTACATCGACAGTTAGCTCATTAGCCACAACCACATACTATTCCGTGACACAAATAGTTACACAAATAGTTACACAAACTGAAACTATCACAAAAACTCATGATGGTGGTGACAACAACAACCAAGGTGGCAACAACAACAACAACCAAGGTGGCGACAACAACAACAACAACCAAGGTGGCGACAACAACAACAACAACCAAGGTGGTGACAACAACAACAACAACCAAGGTGACAACAACAACAACAACCAAGGTGGCGACAACAACAACAACAACCAAGGTGGTGACAACAACAACAACAACCAAGGTGGTGGCAGCAATAGCCAAAAGAAACGGAAAAGAGATGAGAATGATGATATTGACGGTATTGTGTATACCACTGTCACCATTAATACTTGTACTGAAACTTCTACCTCTTCTACTTCCAGTTCTTCTAGTTCTACCAGTTCTTCCAGTTCCTCCAGTTCCTCCAGTTCCTCCAGTTCCTCCAGTTCCTCCAGTTCCTCCAGTTCCTCCAGTTCCTCCAGTTCCTCCAGTTCCTCCAGTTCCTCCAGTTCCTCCAGTTCCTCCAGTTCCTCCAGTTCTTCTGAATCTAAGAGTTCTACTAGCTCAACTGACACATCTGGTCCATCTACTTCAACTTCATTTACTACATCTACTACAACCATTGTTGTTACTATACCAAATACTTCGACTATAACTTCGAAAGTGATTGATTGCACGGTATATTCAACACTGGTTAGTACTAGTGTCATCTTTACAACCGAATATGTAATGACAGTGTCCTTACTTCCGACTATAACCGAGTCAGTGACTGTGACTACCACGTACACAAGACCAGAAGACGAAAACGATGTACGTACACTAGCACCTGTGAAGAGAAATCCTTTCAAAAAAAGAGATCTGCCTAAACCTCAAACCTCCACAGTCACTGTGTACGTATGTCTTACATCGTCATCAAGTTCTTCCTCGGTAACTACTTCATCATCAGTAACTAGCACTTCTTCTACGATGGCTACTTCACCACCTCTGACCAACTCCTCTTCTACTTCTTCATTATTCTCATTATCAAGCAGCGCTACAAGTATCGTATCCACTACTACCACAAGCATCGTATCCACTACTACCATCACATGCTCGGATCAGACTGCTACTGGGGTGATTTATGTAGCTGATGGCGTAACTTACACCACTGGTATAACTTTGGTTACACTCACTGTTAGCGGAACTGTAACTTCTTACACCACCTACTGCCCATTAACTGATATCATTACTGATGTTACTGATAATTTTGAAACATCTAAATCTACTGGAACTGCTGGTAATTTCGGAACATCTACCTATATTAGTGTTACTGGCCATTCTGGACCATTCACATCCACTGGAGTGCCTGATCACCCAGGACTTACTACGTCTACCGGTGTTGTTAGTGGTTCTAAGTCATCCATTTCCACTGGAGTTACAGGCTCTACTGGTTCATTTACTTCTACTGGATCAACTGTCTCTAATACTGCAGCTGGGTCTAGTGGGACATTGGTTTTTACTAGCTCAGATAATTCCGCAACTGCATTTGGTTCTACTAGATCATCAGCTTCTACCAATTCAGCTATTTCTAGTGCTGCAACTGGCTCTGTTGTATCATCAATTTCTACCGGAACAAGCAAGTCTGCAACTGCAACCATCTCTACTGGATCACTTGTCTCTGACACGTCTGGCTCAACTGAATCTTTTGTTTCTACTGAAATTGTTGAACAAACATCAACCACTGCTTACATTACTACATTTGCTGGAATGGCTAGCTCTCCACTCAAAATTGATAAAGGGCTTTTCTATTCAGTCTTCATGGCTATTGCTGCTGGTTTATTGGTGGCAATTTAAAGAGAGTATCAGTTAGCCATTTTTTTTTTACTATCCGAGAGTTTTTTTTTTTTTTTTTTTTTTTTTTTCAAATCACATATTGATTTTCTTATATCCTCATGAAGGCTATTGCTTATATAGTTATTATCTTGATTTTCTATTTTTATTTTTCTTGATTTTCACGGCCGTTTGTGTGGCAGTTTTAGCTACATGGTATTGCAAATCAGTTTTTCCAACAATTTACAAACCTTCTATCTGTATTTATATTTCTATAAGTAATTCCTTACGCAATCGGGGTATCTATTCCCCAGTGAGCATAAATTGTGTGGTAAACAAACAGAGAAAGCAAAAAAAAAAAGGAAAAGAAGCTATGCAATACCGCCACAGCCTTGACGCAGTACAAAACCATTTCAAGCATTCTCTGTAACCCTTGCTCGCAAAAATTTTGCTTCCTTTTCATATTAAGAGAATTTCATTCAGAAGCTCTAGTATTTTGGCTCGCTGACACTACTAAGTGCTGCAAAACTTCATAACTGCAAGCTACAAATGAACCGAAGAATGTGTGATTTTCGCCTTTTTTTTCTTTTTTTGAAGGAATATGAATGTGACACTATGGATAATCGTATGACATTTTGACTCTAGGTGAAGTTATATCCATAATGCTGAAGCTTATTGGTCGCAAAGACTTTTTCTTTTGTCTTTGTAATTTTTCTTTTTTCTTTTTTACTTCTATAAAATATATTTTTTACCACGCCATAATATCCAGCTTGAGCGGGGGGCGTTGGGCTGCATTGCCCAAATATCTGCCAGAAAAAGGGTTCTCTGAAGAATTACGAAAAAAAAACAAAACATTTTTTTCAATTTCACGACCGCTGATTCTAAAATATAACCTCCATTTATTTCGTATAAAATACGCACATATACACTATACATAATATTAATTGAAGCTGGAAGATAACTTGCGAGAGATCTATTGTTAGCAATAATTATCAATTTTCGATAAGCGTGGAAGATGTATTATTCCCTACTTCTGAGATTGTTTTTTTTCCTGTCGAATACGGCTGTTGCTCCAAGCACGGCATTATTAGCACCAAATTGTTAGAGTTTCTTCTAGGCTGGTGCTCGCGATTCTAGAAAGTATTGATGTTTTATAATTTCATACCTTTTCTGCAGCCAGTAATTATACTTGTATTATTGGGAAATCGTGATATCATACCAGAACTTCCAAATTATTTAAGATAGGTCTCGTATCATATTATTAGAATATAGTCTGGTAAAAGGATATTTCTTGCCCGAATCAAGTTGCACCGTGATAGTATCCATTAGGGAAACCATAATGTGTAATCTGGAAAGATTCCCAGTATGTATTATTGTGCAGGAAAAGATTTCGGTGATCTCCAATTTGCGTCGATCGACGGTTTGGTTGCTGCAATGTAAATGTATTATTGATGCAATAAACAGACGTATTCTATTTTAAATTTATAGCTGTTGTTTTCAATTTTATCCATGTCTTTTTCCTCTTTCCTGCCTTAGCTCAGATGTTAGAATCCAGATATGTAGCAAGATTCCAATGGGTGTCACTATTACCTATGTAGTACTTAGTATTGATTATTATTGAATAGTAATCAAAGGATCTTTGGAGATTGGCATACTAGCAGTAAAATATAAGGTTGCTCATTATTATGGATAGTTGATAATCTCGCAATACCAAAAAGGACTTACTAAATAGAGGAGGCCAAATTTGGCAAAGATAATAAGTGAGTGAGTGCTCTTTGCATGCCTCAACGCGGCTGTAAAAGAACTTTGCGAGATGAGGAAGCAGATCTTTCTAGAAAATCAAACTACATTGAAGCTGGGCGCTGTTTTCTTTACGGACTCAATAATAGACCTGGATAGTTATATAACTACTTATACATTTACTGGTTATTAATGCTTATGTGTTGCTGTAACACTAGAGGCTCTGTATAAGTTGAAAGATCGTTTTGCCCCGCGATTGTTAAAATTTTTTCTCCTGTCTCTCTTTATCGTTTCTGCGTGCTTTTTTTTCTTTTTTTTTTAGTTTGACATGCATGAATAGGAATGCACCCAAATTTTTGTTAACTACTATTCTATTTTTTTTTTCTTTTTTTTTTTTTCTTGAATTCTTTCGGTGTCGATTAGCATAAATACTTACATAAATATTCCACAAGAGCCAATACGAAAAATAACAAAGAACTAAAATAAGAAATAGAAAATGACTGATGGCAAACTTTTTTTTTTTAAGCTTTCACTCGGCAGCAATACTGTTGCATTTTTTTAATAATTTATTTCATCTCTCCATTTTGGGAATTAGCTTATTTGTAAACACAAAAAATATAAATACTGAGAATAATCAACAACATTATTTATATTTTTTTGTTAGTTTTTTTTTCTTTCCTCATCTCGTTGTTCAACTTCAAAATAAATATGAAACTCGTGTCTTTGATTATTTTGGGATCTTTGATTTCTCACCCTGTGTTTGGTACTGCTACCATCTTACCAACTCCTGATCCTGTTGTCCCTGTTGTTACACCAGTTGATACACCAGTTGATATACCTGATGTGGTCACCAAAACCCAAACATCTGTTGCAACCCAAACACTCACTACACTTGGTGCGGCGATTACAGAGTACGTTACTAGTTGTTCAGTACACTTTAATCCCTTAAGCTTTTACAGTGGTGCTCCTACTGTTAGCTTGTCTGCTACTACCAAAATTGTTTCTGTCACCATCACATCAACCATTCATCTGACTTACCTGCACACTGTAACTTATGCTAAAAGAGAAGCTTCTCAAGGTGTTGAGTATGCAACAGTAACTGTTAACTCCTGTCCTGCTGGTTCCACAAGTGGTTATAGTAGCAACACCACCGTGGAGTCTATATCATCCTTGCCAATCAATTCTACAACCTACAGTACTCCAGTTAGTGGCACTTCCATGGTTTCGAACTCTACTTCCTCTGTTACTGAATCTCTTTTAACGCTATCTTCTAGCTCAACTGATTTATCGATCATTAGCAATTCTACAACTGTCATCTCCCCACTTCTGAGCATCTCGGTTATTGTGACTTCTCCTATTGCTGTTCCTGTTTCCACTAGCTCTACAACTTCCACTAGCTCTATAGCCTCCACTAGCTCCACAACCTCCACTAGTTCTACAACTTCCACTAGCTCTACAACTTCCACTAGCTCTACAACTTCCACTAGTTCCACAACCTCCACTAGTTCTACCAGCACATCTGCCCCATCTACTTCAACAGTCACTACTACTTTCACCTCAACAACTGTTGTTACTGAACCAAATACCTCAATAACCACTTCTACCATAGTAGACTGTACTACAACTTCTACAAGTACTGTTTACTCCAACCATGTGACCTCATATGTGTATGGAACAACTGTGTCTATGACTACAAGTGTTACGATCACTCAAGCACTGGTGACTACCGTATATGTTCTTCCACTTTCTAAGAGAGAAGAAATTGAGACTTCCACAATAACTGAATACGGATGCTTATCCTCCGCCGTTCCAACCTCTTCATTTGGCGGTAACAGCACTGTCTTGACTAGAACCTTTACCAGCTTGAACCAAACTGCTATCGAAGCTGTATCTGTTGTCGATGGCACAACTCAAACCACTGGTGTCACCGTGGTCACTATTACAGTTGATGGAACAGTTACTTCTTACACTACTTATTGCCCATTGTCCGAAATTATTACTGGTGGTTCTGTTGGCATTACTAGTAACTCAGGATCCAAAATTTCTACAGGCTTTGTTAACTCTACCACCGCTTCATCTGGTTTTGCCAATGTCGTTGCTGAAAAATCCTCAACTAGCGCTGTGATTACCGCATTTTCTGGAATGGCTAACTCCCCACTCAAAATCACCAACAGCGTTGTGTTGTCAGCTATTATGGCCGGCACTATTGGTTTGTTACTTGCCCTTTGAATGTAATGGCATTAATCATTCGTTGTTGAATTGATTTTTTTTTGTTTTTTGTTGAAATTCTTTTACTAATTAATACCGCTTTTCTTTTTCTTCAGTCCTCAAAGTGGACATTTTCTTCTTCTTCAATTCTGTCTATTAGCATCATTCTTTGAGTTTATTTGCCTTAGAAGTTGTTGTGGGGTATCTCACAAATTATAGAAATTTCCTTTTATCACCCTTCCAGTTTTCTCTGCTGTACATTTATTTAATAAGTTAACCACCTAATGATTTTTCCTTTGAGCGCGTTGGTCTGGTTCGGCTAATGGATGCTGTCACTAGGGGTAGGCATAGTGGATTTCATCATAGCCAACACGCTGGAGACCATGGCTGTCGGGCCATGTTGAGAGGTCTGTACTACGGGCAGACTGGCAGAAATAAAGAACGAGAGTAAGATGAACATCTTTTTTCAAAAAAAAAAATGGAGAAAGAGAAATAGATACATAGCATCCTAACAAAGAAAATGACATGTTAAAGCGTCGCTGATATACCAATATACGGAATCTTTAGAATCTTGTTAAGAATTTTCGTATTCTGCGTGCTATTTAAGGTTTATATGGATAACAGTTTAGGTTAATTAGCATTCACGAATTCTGCCAATTTAGAGTTGAACACTTTTGTGGTAAGTTAATTAACCACTGGCGGAGCAAAAAAAAAAAAAAAGAAGGGCCCACATAAAGCTGACTTTATTTTTGCCAATATTTTTTCCTCCAGAAGCTTGGGGTATTTTTTTTTTCTTTTTGTCGCATCTCTTTTGATTATTGAAAAATCTTTCTCTCCGTTGATGATGATTTTATTGTAACCCATATACACTACCAGGGTCAATACAATTGATTTAGATGCTACTTTTGGAATAATCATTACTACAACAACCACTACCGCTACCACTATTTCTGCCTCAAATGTGGCTGTTGTGCAACCAACCATCACCACTTTTTCTTCGCTCTTTGATGACTGTTGTTGTTGATTTGACATATAATATTTAACAATTTAGTGGGTTTCCTCTGGGTATGCAACTGATAAGGCGAATAAAGACACAAAATCCCAGATAGCTACAACGCTTGTTCATAACAAGAAGGATAGGAAATCGAAATTTCACCCTCCACAATTTATTACAGGCGCGCCATTTTTCACCAAAATCCTATCGAGGTTTTGCTTATTGGTGGCCCAACCTTTCACGCTTGAAGGAACGATATTTGTTTACAATACTCTATTGAAGAAATCATTTTCATTTCAGAATTACCCCAACCTTTGCAAAAAGGAAAAAAATAGTCAGTCCTTGTTCATGCATGTACACCCACCCTTAAGTCCCGGGCAATCAATTGATCCGGACCGCACGTTCCCACCCCCTCTCTGTCTCTCTCCCCGCACGCACCCACACCGGATCATCTCACCGACATTTTCCCCTCTCCCTCCACCGAGAATATCACCCCTCGGAGAATTTATTCCTCTTCCACGGATTAACCGCTAAAAACACCACCCCATACCAATTGTCAAGACACACCACTCTGGTGACACAAATGCTACAAAGAATATTGATAATTTCTTTTTTGGAAGCGATAATATAAATTATAGGTACATATTATTAGCCATCTTCAAAATAATAATAACAATAACCATCATCATCATCATCATCATCATCACCACCATCTAATATTCCACAGTGAACAGACGCTATACTGCATATACCCCCGGCAGGGATTTTCCCACGTCAAAAAAAAAGAAAAACAGGAAAAATCCTAGCAAATTTCCTGAAAAAAGGTTTTTCCAGCACGCACCGCAGGAAGAAGAAAAAGAAAAGGAGGCCGATCCCGCGAATGTAGCGGGTAACAGGGGGCAACACTGGATGATTATGAGACTTTTTTTTTTTCCTGTTTTCGATATCACCCAATTTATTCTTCTTCTTCTCCTTACTTACACCTACAATTTTGTTCACTTATATTTCACATACCGCAAAATGTCATACTTGAATCCGTACTATTCGAGTAAGCCTCGAAATATAAACGTGCCAAAAAGTTTCACAAACAACGCTCGGACCCAGATCCATCAGCAATTAAAATTAAAGCACGGCCCGTCACCTTTAGCCATCTCCTCAACCATTAGCAACAGTAATAGTGGGTCATCAAGCACAATAAACTTATCTTCCAGTACGAATAACAATAATTCAGTGAACGATGGCACCTTCAATAATAATAGTGATGAAAATTTATTTAGAGTCTCGTCAAATTCAAGTTTATCATCTACTTCATCTAAAAAAATGAAAATATTAGGAGCTTTCAAATTAAAATCTAAAGTATCAAATGATAATAGCTCAGGCGATTCTGTATCGTCGACACCATCGATATTCAATAAACTAAAACGACCAAACAAGCATGAGCAAAACAATAATGTCAAGCAAGCAGTAAAAACAACGCCAGCTTATGATAATGATGAAGATGTTGAAATGGCCGATATTAGCTCAGATACCCAATCAATACAATCAACAACATCCTCAGCAGCAGAAGGGTCATTAATGACTAACCAGTCCTCGCTATTCTCAATAATGTCAAATCAGACTTCAACGATAACCAACCCATCTCTATCAACAATTAATTTATCTATCTCTACTCCAATAATAACCTTGGCTGAAGCATTGCCAACCTCTTTCAAAGACATGTACCCTTCGCAATATTTTGAGCAGTCTTCGCTGGCTAGCCATGATGGTAGACCATTGTTTACTAAACGTCCTTTGATAGATTGGCAATTGAATGACTTGCGTTCTTTGTTGATTGTTTGCGATTTGAAAATGGAATGGAACCATCAAGTGCCAATCATTTATTCTCCTCCAGGATTTAGAATTCAATACCTTCCTTTGGATGCCTTGGATGACCAAATTGTAGATGTGTTGGTGAAAAGTGACATGTATATGGAAAGAATCAAGGACCATGAGTTTCGGTACCAGATTGCCAAAAGAACCGTCGAGGCCTCGAGAGATCGTCACAATTTAGCTGTCATGGAATCATTATCATCCAACAAACTTACTATCAAAGATCATTTTTTACACAAGTATGAATGGCGGAATTTGATTGAGAACTTCTTGTTGAATTTGGCGATCGAGGCTCAATGTCGTCATGATTTGAAGAAAATCGTTCTGAGTTTAAAGAAACAGCGCAAGGCAATGATCCAACGCGGCGAAACACCAAAGAAATTTGTTCCGCCACCGCCTTATTCCTCCTCCTCCTCCTCCTCTTCTGCCTCCAAAAAACCTACGGAATCGTTATTGAAAAAGGCAATTTTGAATGACTATACCATCTATTCTAAGTCACAAGGTCAAGCGCCAACCCTCCCAACATCTTCCTTCTCTGGTAGATCATCATCAAATAAGATTTCTCCTTCTGCTGACACTGGCTCTGATAATGGTAGCACTGGTAGCAATGGTTACACGTACGTTACCAAAGATGAAATCAATTTAATTTGGGGTCAAGTACAAGAAAATGTGTATGGAAGATTGGGTTTGAATTGGAAACCTGATGTATGAGTATTTCAAACTATACTATCCTATCACTTTGTGTGCTCGTCATTGGACCTGAATAGATAATCTTATACATTAGATTTTTTTCTCTCTATTGACTTGTCAGAGATGAGATATTTCACTCTCCTTTTTTCGTTCCACCGTTGGCAAACTAAACACCTTTTCCTCTTTTCACTTTTTAACATCTAGCTTTTTTAATTTTCCACCATCGGCTTTTTAGTTTTTTTAATTTTGGGATTTATCTGGTTCTTATTTTGGTTGTTTTGGTAATGTTGTATTTTTAGAAGTTTTAACTGTCAATTGTATTATATCTTAATCATGGATTCTTGTTTTCTTTTGTAATAATATTTTTTTATCTTGAAGTCATAAATAATTGTTGAAAGTCATAGAAGTATTTTATTTTCTCTTTTGATATTGTAGGTTGTTTTTCATGGTGATTATGCTGGTTGATGATGAGCTATACCTACCCTGCACCAATGTATGGCCCAGACAAAGTGTTATAGGAAACAAAAAATATATTATTTCAAACAATCTAAAATAACTTTGTATGTTTTGAGCAACAATACAAGTCAGCGTCAACCCTGCATTTTATTAGGTGGTGCACATAATATCTGCAGGAAGGCTCAACATCAGCCGCCTCAATTCAAAAATTTTTTTGTCACAAACACAAAAAGTGAAGGAAACCCCAGCAGCAACAGAAAATATGATACTATTTCTTGGTCTTAATTTTCCTGAATTAATCTTTTCTAAAACATTATAAAAACTTTTGGCTATCCCCTATATACAAAATTGAGTAATGATAATAATCATCATCTCCCCGAGATGTTGTTTTTTGAAAACCACTCCATCAATTCTCATTCCTTCACTCCTGAATCCGAACCGTATCTTCCTAGCTATCCCGAGGCAGCAAGAACATCACCTCCACGATACTCTAGGGCCATTCTTCCGCAAGAAGATTCAGTATGTCTTCTTCCACCAGCGTACGCAAGAATCACTAGCCATGATGCTCAATACAAGGATGGTGATGACGAGCTACCACATCGCAACACTGCAGCATGGGCGTTAATATGTGGACTAGTGATACTAATTACACTTGGTGTGATCTTTGCCACGATATCTTTCTTAATAGGAAGACAAGAAACAGTGCCAGATTCCATAGGCGCCGTGTATTACATTCTCATGGGTACTGCGTTTTCAATCCTTCTTTTTGTTACTGTTGCTATGGTTTAGGAAGTTTGCTTGTCACTACTTTCCATTCTATTTAAATAGCAAGGTTAGATCTTCATCTGCTGGATAACATTTTGGTGTAGCAATGGCAAAGATCCAAATCTATGAAATAGCTACTTTCCTTAGTTTTGCTTTTGCTTTTTTCCGTTTTTCCTGTGGCCTTTGTATTTAGCTATAAATTAAGATAGATCTTACATTTTTCACTTTCATTTCTTTCTTTCTTCTTCTTTTTAAAAATTAATCCCATTATATTTCTTTTTCAGCTATATTCATAATGTTATACTTTATTAACTCAGTCGTTTTCGAAGAAGAAGATTTCCCTGAGCATCCTACTACTGCAATGATGATCTCACCAAAATACATTGATAATGAGAAAAAAGAACTTCTACTGTTAGGAAAACCTATCGCTGAAGAATGCCATCCAAAAACTATCTACCGAGATATTTTACTTGATAACGAACCCCCAGAGCAACTATGCTATAAAGTGGAAGAACCAAAGAACTTGAATATCGTGTACTGCAAGTGCAACAAATATCCAATTGTTCATGCACGTCGTCCATATAATCCTTATCGTCCTAGATTCATGGATAAGCATAATGAAGTGTTTGTAGTGCTACTATCGGTTTTTCTGATATTCTTAGTGATGTTCATTTGCATGCTTGTATTGTCTCTTGTCGTCGAGACTACCAATGATGATCAACGGTTCATTATTGTTTCTTCTGTTGGATTTTCCGTCAGCTTGGTTGGGGTGATTGTCACTTGCCTCGTTGGCTATTGTGTCAGATTCAAGTCTGAATTTGATTAATGGTTTTATTATTATTATTAATGATTTAGTTTGACAGTTTTACTATTATGAATAATTTAGTTTCACTGCAAGTTTGCCAAATAGAATGAATTCATTAGCTTCTTTTGGCTGTTGTCTCTTGGTCTAGTACTTGTTATTTAAGCATTATTTCATCTCATTTTGTATAGAAGAACGATGATATTTAAATAGAATATTCACTTCACTATTGATTTATAATAAATTAAAGAACTTGATTGATCAACGTATCTAATCAGCAGCTCAAAAAAATATACCGAGTGGAAAAGAAAGGAAAAGAAAAGAAGAGAAACGGAAGTGAAAAAGGAATCCTGCTGGCAAAATGAGGGATAAGGAGACGAGAAAAAGATATTATAACAGGGAATACGACCACTTGAGCGCACTAAACAAAAATAAATAATTAATATGCAATTTACAACATAAAACAAAAAATAATAATAATAAAAAGAGAGGCAAAAAAGAAATACAACAACAACTGAATAGAAAAGATGATTAGTTTAAAATATCACCAACACGAAACAAAAGGAGAAGAAATTGTTTTGTACTTCTTTAAATAAGATCCGTCCATTGGATCTTACCAATAACTTGAAAATAAAAAAGTAAAATAAAAAAATAAACAGCTGTATTATTAAATCATTCTTATGTTTTCTTTTAAACAGATTGTGTATGTACATTCACTCAAAAAGATAATAAGTCTAAATCGTTCGAGTTCGAGTTCGAGTTAGTTGGTTGTGAAGAAGAAGTTGCTGGGACGCTGGATGTTAAATCACCAAACAAATCATCGTTATTATTGTTATTGTTAGTGGTGGCAGTGGCTTGTCTTGGTTTGAAACTGGCATTATTAGATTTAGCAGAAGAGAACAACGAGCTGAAGGCATCAGGTTTGGCGGCAACAGAATTGATGGCAGCACTTGGTTGGTTATAAGATGGGGTGATATTATTGGTGGTGGCAGTGGTAGTTTGACTAAAGTTGTAACTGGAAGCGAGGATGGAAGAGGAAGAGGCAGGTTGGGATTGAGTAGGAGTATTCATTGATAAACCAGCCAAGAGATCGAATTGTGAAGACGGAGCTGGTGCTGGTGTGGCACTAGTAGATGGGGCAGCACTTTGGAAATCATCGAAATCATCATCATCATCATCGACATTAGAAGCGGCGATAGTAGTAGTTTGGGTGATAATAGTAGGAGCGGTAGCAGCTGGCTCATCATCATCATCAAAGGAGAATAAATCTTGAGCGACTTGAGGTTGTGGTGCAGCAGGAGCAGCACTAGCTGAAGTACCATTGGCTCTTCTTTGGGATCTTCTAGCAGTCTTTCTGGTGATTGGAGGAGCAGCGGTGCTTCCAGTATCGTATTCTTCGAAATCGCTTCTGCTTCCACCAGTAGGTCTTTGTTCTTCGTATCTAGCACCATAGACCCCACCATCACCATAAACCATATCAGCGGCACCACCAAAGCTTGGGGTGGAAGAGAAATCAGACCCGTATTGAGAAGCAGCAGAAGGAGCACCACCAGCAACCCCTCCGAATTTTTTGGCGTTTTCACGGGCTTTTTTACGTTCTGATCTAATTTTATTATCATCATTGAGCAACGCAATCAATAACTTGGCACGATTACGGATATTTACCCCTTGGTCTCTACCTTGTGAATCAATGTACTGGAAGGATTTGAGCATGGAAATAAGACTCATGTTAGATCTGGCGTCGTCGACAAATCTTTCGGACCCGTGTTTGACGATATATTCCAAAAGGATCAACGCTTTGTAAATCTGACGCCATTCGTTGGCAGCCTTTTCAGTGAATCTTCTGAAAATCATCCCAACAATTTCTTCTCTGTCACGGTAATTGTAGGTCCCATCGGCGATTTCTTGCATTTTGCGGGACGGAGTTCCCCAAGGTTCGTTATTGGTGGCTTCACGAACTTTTGCTTCCATGTCCGAGTAGTTGAGCACCACGTTCTGGGCCTTCCGCACCTGCTTCTTGACCTCATAGAGGCTGACGTTCTTCATTCCTTCCTTGATCAAGTCCATATCGGATGGTTTATGTATTAATAAAATAAATATCACAAAGTGATGTGTATAGTAACCATTGTAATAGACGCAGATTTTCATTCAATTTCCCTGAGAAAACTTCCAGGCTGTTGTTATCCGTAGTCACGTGTGTGAGACTTCTCTCTCTCCACTTTCTGGTGGTGTTGATTTATATCATTGAAGGACGGTTACTAGATAAATAATATGAATATATATATGTATTTGTGCATATAATTATATTTACGATTATGATTCCAAATGTAATTCCAAAATGGTCAGTTATCAGGAATTCTCCGTTGTTATTGCCACCAGATTGTGGTCATTGTTGTTATAGTGACTCCCCATCTTTTATTGTTTTTTCCTCTAAAGCGAAAGCAATGATATAATATATATATACATATATATATACATATATATATATATATATATATATATATATATAAACCTCAGCAATATGCCACCATATTTTACTTCCCTTCTCTTAGATAGCTGTAATATAATAATAATATAATGTCCATCAAAGTGCAAGGGTTCAAGTCCTCCGACCTCCTCGATCAGGTCAACTCACAGCTCACCAACGACCAAGGGTTCCGTAAAAATGCCATTCACACCGTTGGGGCTGCTATTGTCTTCAACGTCAAGAACAAGAATGGCCAACACCAGGCCTGGGTGTTAGATCTCAAGGATTCTGGGAAAATCTCCAGGATTGACCCCACCGACGTCAAGAAATATGACGCCCAGATCATCACCAGCGACGCGAACTTAAAGAAATTGATTGCGGGAAAGGCCAGTGCACAAGCATTGTTCATGTCTGGCAGACTCAAACTTAGGGGAGACGTTGCCAAAGCTGCTAGTGTCGAATCAATATTCAAGCAAAAAGTCAAGGCTAAGTTGTGATTTTCTTATAGTTAACTTCTTCTCTTACCAAAGAATCACTAGTGTGTTATGTTATAGAATGTCCTCCCCTCTCGCAAATTCATTTCTAATTTATTACGCAAATACTTTGTACCCATCAGAAATCAACATGAATGATAGAATTCTATAACAATGAAAACAATAAGTAAAACAACAAGAATTGTATAATAAACATTAAAAATAATAACAAGAAGAACCTCATTCCTGTAATGCTCTTAGTCTTTCTCTCATTTCATCTAACGCATCATCACCATCCATTCCTTCCGCCACCATCTCGTCATGCTTTTCAGCATCCTCTTGCAACCCTGTGTCCAAACCACCTTCTGGCACATTACCAATCTCACCCAATTTAACATTGGTAACATCAGCAATCACTTTGTTAATCTCTTCTTCGGCCTCTTCTTCAAACTCGTCGTCCATTTCCGCAAACCCATCTACCGTGTCTTCAATCATCTCATTGATGATCCCGCTCTTCATCAATTCCTGTTGTAACTGATTCATGGTTCCCGTGAGTTCTGGAAGACGTACTAAAGTATTCACTTCCTTCATGATCCCTGTAGTACTACTTATCTTGCCTTGGAGTTTCAACATCGTGAATGATTCGTTGATTTGCATCCCTATGGAATCCAAATGAGCTTTTGATGTCACAAGTCGAGACTTTTGCTTTTTGATATTGATTAGCTCTTTGGCGTATAATTTAGCAGACTTCACATCATTTTTCTTCACAGACTGTTTGATCAACAGCTCTGTCTTCTTGATTAAAGGGTTGAGACCGTTGATGCTACGATCTAGTTGGTTCTTATTTTTCCGTAAAAGAGAATTACATTTTCTCATCTATACTGATGTCAGTAAACCAGTCCGCAGCTCAAATGAACAAAAAGAACAAACAAACAGATAAGGGCATTTCAAACATACCTGTTCTTTCGGGTCTGGTCCCCATATCTTCTTTTTAATAAAATCCATTCTTTTATGATTATTGATTGATTGATTTATTTATTTATTCTTAATAAACCAACACCATTAACCAGCGCTTATCGGTTTGTTTGGGCGAAAAAAAAAAGGAAAACTCATCGCCGCACGCTCATAACTGTGAAGATTCTCGACTTCCAAAATGACGGTCAACAACAACACCAGTGGGGGTTTTTTGTCTTAGTTTTTACCATTTTCATAGTAACAGTGGGTTTTAAATATTTTTATAACCGAATATTAAACATCAATATATTAAATTCTATGAGAAAACCATAAATAAGTTTTTTTTTTTTATGTTCTATTTCTTCAATAGCCCATCTTTTACAAACCGCACTTCACTAACTACATTTAAATCACTGAAATAAGCCTTGAATAAACTATTTTCATCAGCTTCGCCGCTCAACACCCATGGTAATGCCAACTTCACATTCTTCACAATCCCCAAGTTCTCATCATCCAATATCCAATCGACATTCTTCCAATCGAGGATTCCTTCATCAAACAGTTTGGGGGTACTGATATACTTTTCCCTATCCTCAGGTCTCACTGTACCGACAAATATGTACATCCCTCGGACATCTTCCTCATTGACCTCGCTCTCATCTTTCAATTCTACTTTTTCTTTGCCTTGGTAGCGAAACATCATATACCATTCCATGATACCACAGCATCGAAGATCGGTGATCTGTGTTTCAGGATATGGCAACCCTGACTCTTCACGAATTTCCCTCTGGGCACCAATTAATGGGGTGGAGTCACGGTGTGACTCAAGTTTCCCTCCAATACCGTTCCAATTGCCCATCCATGGTTTTTTCTGACGATTCAAAAGAAGAACTTGTTTCGAGGTAGCATCAGTTGGATCTGATGATATGAGCAAGCAATTTGTATATGGATATTTAGAGTAATATTGCGTTGAGTTGTGGATTGTAGAGTGGGTCATATTTTGCGGGAACTGTCGGAGATAACGAGTAACGATCTTTTGTAGCGAGGTTTTTTTTTTTTCCAAATTGAGAAGTTCGCACTAGAAGCTATTAAGATAGAAAAGTTAAATTAATAGAATCTATTTTTAATATAATAAAGATGAATAAGAAGAACACAGTTTCTTTTTTCTTTCCTTCATTTTATAATTTTTTTTTTTTTTTTTAAATGACGCGTGGAAATTCTTAAAGCCGACGACGCGTATGCCTACCCTTTTTCCTTAAATTTACTTATCTCTACGAATATATAAACTAAAAAGATATAGTTATTGTTGTTCTTTCATGAATATATAACTTATCACATCACTGCAGCTTATCACTTCTCAAGATCTCTTCATAAATCAACGATATGTTCTCTTGCACTACAACGTCATGTATTATTGATCGACCATTCCCGGGTAAGAAAAATCCCATCATAGATCAAAAAAAAAAGTGCCAAATAATTGTAAGTAGTGGTCGGTCATTATGGAACATAATAGATGGTGAATTATTATATCATCCGATGAATTGCAGTGCTGGGATCACCAATACTATTATAATTCATTCCCATTAAACATATATTCATATACAACATAGCCTCTTACCGTTCTCAATTTATTACAAGTTCTACATTCAATATGCAAAGAGGTTACATGAAGATCTCTTCAAACGTCATGAATCTGGAACTTTTCAAAGACACCTTGTCGCCATCTCGAATCTTTGCCCAGATTGTGCTCCTTCAATGCACCTACTACATAATTGCCACTTTACTTTTTTCATTCACAGCGTCGCTTTTCGGGTACCAATTCACATTCAACTGGGTGTTCTCGTGGCAGCTTGTTGATATTTCCAACACTTTGGGGCTTGTCCTTTTCTTTCTATGGTTGCTCGATACTTTACTTTGTGTGCTCTTCATGACAATTATTGTTGGGCGCTCTAAATTAGCCTGGGACTTCGCGCTTACTGTCCATATGATTAACTTGTTTGTGGTATGGTTATACTCGAAAGAATTCCCAAGTAGCTTTTGGTGGTGGGTATTACAGATAACCAGTTCAGGAATCTTGGTATTTTTGGGAACTTATACCACAAGATGGAGAGAATTAAGACAAACGTTCTTTGATGGGTTGGTTGACAGCGAATTGGCCAGTAACCAAAGGTCGTCCCGAACTGACGATATTGAAATGCAAGCAATGGAGAACCACCATAATGAAGAAACCACTAATTAACTTTGAAAGGCCCAGCTGGTTTTATTGCTTATTTTTGTACTATATTATGTTTTCTTTTTTTTTTTATTATTTTAATTCGCTATTTTTCAATAGAGCATATCTGTATATGATTAGTTATTGACTGTCATTGCATGTCATGCGGTTTAACTATTTCTTTCTTTTCGTTCTGACTCTCTGTTACAAAAGCATTCTGAATAATAAAATCAAACTTAAAAGAGAATCACAATTTTGTGTAAATGTTCCATAACTTGAAAAGTGGAAAGTTTTGAAAAAAAATAAAATGGGAAAACCTATCGCGCTATTACAATGCCAGAGACAACAACTATAAGAAAACAAAGGAAAGTCCCACATAACATATATAGAGAGTAAAATAATTTATTGTTTGCAAAATGATGATATCTGATGATATCATACCATATTTAATTAAAAGTAAATTTGTGTTAAAAGGGCTTGCTAATGATTATGGAAGCATTTACATCGTGCCAAAATATTATGGAATCCGGTTGACATTACAATGTGGTACCGGTTGTTCCGCTAGAAAGTATTGGTCATTAATATGTAGTACCGATCACCCGAATCGATTTCAAGTTTACAAAGATTTTTCTGGAGCTGAACAAGTTTATTAAAAGTTCCACCACTAAAAATGCAAACAATGGATATCAATAAGTGGAACAAGAATTAAACACCATGTTGAACTGTAAAAAATCAAAATAACATAGCAAATGAAGATGAGAAACCAAAGACGAACAAAATCAATTGGATATTAAGTATTAAGAATAGGATATATCTAAAACAACACAGGAAAAGCCAAGCCAAAATGAAAACGAAAACAGAGCAATGAAGAATGTTTTTTTTTTTTTTTTTAAAAAAAAAGACAAAACAATTTAAAAGTAGTGAAATAACGAAAAAAAAAAAAGAAAAAAATGAGGGGTTCAAGTCTATAGTGAGAAAATTCATCCATAGCTCAACAGCATACCCATCCCCATCCACTACCCGCAGAGTTCCCAGTATATCTAGTTGCCCGTCTATTCAACAAACTTATTGTTGTTGGCTTCTTTCTAAGAAGTTGCCCTCCATTATTGTTATTTGCAATTTCACTACTGGTACTTTGGATATCCCATTTCGATAAATCACCGTATTGAACCCCCGATAGCGGGTCTTCAGGATCAATAACCCCGATCTCCACTTTCGTAAGGATCATATTAGAAAGCTTATCGAAAATGTAATTGATATTGTCTGCCAACAACGCACTGGCCTTGATGAACGGGATCTCGTACCCGATTTCACGAGAATAGTACGCACAGAATTCTAATACTTCTTCATCAGAAACTACCGTTGTAGGGTCTATTGGGCCATCATTCCCACCGGAACTGCTGTTTTTTCTCCCATTGTTCCCATCCTTTGACACAAGGTCTGCTTTGTTTCCTACCACTGCTATACTAATAGTGTCATTCGTCAAACTTTGGATATCTGCCATAAATTCATGAAGCGCCTCGAAGGATTTCTTATTGGTGACATCGTATACCAATACCACCCCAGCTGAGCCTCGGTAATAACTTCTTGTGAGACTTCGGAAGCGTTCCTGGCCTGCGGTATCCCAAAGTTGTAGTTTCATGTTAATATTGTTAGGCGACGGGCTAGGTCCAATAGAAATGATTTTTGAGCTGAATTCCACCCCAATGGTCTGCGAAGCTAAGACATTCCAATCCCCACGGATAAATCGATGAAGAATACATGATTTTCCCACTCCAGACGGGCCAATGATGATAATTTTTGAAAGATAGTCATATTCTATCTAAATATCTTGTTAGTGGATATCCCTGAGAATCCAAAAAAAACAAAAAAAGATCATGATATACTTACATCACTGGAAGAAAGTCTTGATATATCTTCCGACAGATACGAGGCATTGGGGTCTCCCAGTTGACTGAAATTCATCATTAATATCTTTCTGATACTATTTTTATTTTATTGTCTGTTAAAGTTACTTTATTTTTTTTTTTGACGTTGGTTGTGGGATTGTTTTTTTTTTTTTTTTTTTCTTGGAAGCGTGATCAGCTGTATAGAGAGAACACACAACATCTCCCTTATGATAAGGATATATCTACTTTGTAATATTGTGTAGGCATTGTCCTGGAATAATAATTCTCTCGATGCAATCAAGCTACGCTAACATCAGCAAGTGCAAATATTGAAACTACGCGTATCCATCCATTTTTTTTTTTTCGTTTAAAAAGTTTATTATAATTCATCAACATATAACATTAACTGGAGAGAAAATTTAAGCAGCCTGAGGGATTTCGAATTCTTTTGGAACCAAGTATGTTTCTTCAGGGTAAAAAATCAATCTTTCAATTCCTGCTTTTGTCAAAACAATCATTCTGATGACCCCACCAGAACTACCATCCCATTTGATGGCTTGACCCAAGGATTTTCTAATGAAGTTGACGGTTTCGTCTCTGGTCATGTTTTTTCTAAAATTCTCGTTACAGTACCCATAGATAAACCCAGACCCAGACCCAGCGATCGCGAAATCTTGTTTATGAATCGACCCGCCAATGGGTATGGAATACACTTCACCTTGTTGTTTTTCTTCATCGTAACCAGCACAGATGATCCCAGCAGTCAAGTTGTCTTTGTTGTTGTAACATAATTCCTGGAAGATCGAAGCAGCAACGTTCACGCTAGCAGGACGCTCAAAATTATCAGACCCCACTTGATACGTCAAATAACTACGCACAATATCAGTGATTGCTTGTGTATCAGCAGCAGACCCTGAACGACAACACCAGATCTTGTCGTATACTTGGGTCAATTTGTCAGTGACACGGTTGGCAATATAAGCACCGGTGGTGGTTCTACTATCGGCCCCCAAAATCACACCGTCTTTGAAAGTGACGGCCATGATCGAGGTACCCAAGTTGACTTCGCCTTTCTTGAGATGGTTGATATCGACAGAAACTCCGTTCATTATTATTATTATTCAAAAAAAAAACAAAATACAAAAAATAGTAATATTCTGTGATCCAATGGTCTCTGATGATGATGAAGATAATTAATAAACGCCATTGCAATATAGTCGCCACCAACTTGAAAATCGCCTGAAAAGTAACCAGCAAGAAATAGGGTTACCCGGCTTACTAAGAGGGCTCGCAATCGGCTACAATATTGCCATTGATATTTGCGAGTATTTGCAAGAATATATTACATTGGGGAGTTTGGAGGCCGCCGTAAAGAATTAGCTTATCAATAAAATAATAATCCTGGAAACAATTGCGGTGATATTGTGTTGTGGGTGTTTTTAGGGGGAAGATTTCTAAGCTGCATAATTTGAAATATCCTTTACTGGAAAGCATTGACCGATATTATACACCATTTATAATTATTATTCTAATTTATGACAGTTGAAATGCTACAATGATGGATGTGAGCAATTAAACAACAGAATAATATAAATGTATATGATTGATGAAAACTGTATCAATTACGGGCGATCTACAACTCTATCCACTTTGAAATACCACCAAAATCGATGTCCAAAGTGTCACACTTTTCGTATCTATACTATTGAGAGATCTCTCAATTGATTATTGCTTTCACTATTATTATTAGTAGTATTATTTCCTATTATTCTTCCTGCTACTTATTTCTCTGTGTCTCCTCCTAATGGATCCTCATATTTGGCGACCGGGTAATCACAAAATCATTTGTCTGAAAATTTTTTTCCGTACTATTATCATAGATCATCGTTACAACACAGTGTTACTTACTTACTCATTCACGATCGTCAAATAATAATGTCTGATCTCCCATTTTCTCTTAACTTCTTGTCCTCCCCAGAGAACCCATGGGGTCCTCCAAAAGCGGTTCCTGCGTCATTGAACTTCCACTCGATTCCATACGCTCCATTCTCCAAGTCTGATAAATTAGGTAAAGCCTCAGACTGGTTCAGTGCCGAACAATTCCAAAACCAACCACAAGGCAAGGGCCAAAAGAATGTCAGAGACCCATTCCACGCCTACGGTGCCTCCGCTGCTTCCAAGTTTGCTGCCGAAGAAACTTCTGATAACGTTAACAGCTTTGAAGTTGTCGACAACAAACCATCGACCACTACAGCCAACCAACAACAAAAGACTGTCCTTAGAGGAAGAGGTAACAACAACAACAACAACAATAATAAGAGACAAGGTGGTGCTAATGCTCCTCAAAGAAATGCTTTCCAAAGACCTGCTCCAGTTAAGAAGCCTGTTTCTGCCGTCCAGACTCCACAACAACAACGTGCCAGTTACTGGAACACTCAAAACCAACTCCAAATTGATGAAGCGGCCAAGAAGAAGAAGTATTCTATTGAAGTGAAATCCAACTTTTCTAAGGTGACCGATATTGAGCTCAACAAGCTCACCAAATTGAATTTGGACTTGGGGGCTAACGGTAAAGGTGAAACCTTGGCTGTCAAGGCTAACCCATCTTTGATGAAATTATACAATAAGACTTTTGACAAATTATCATCTAGCTCCAACTTGAACAAGAAAACCATTCCATTGAAGGTGTTTTCTAAAGAATTCCCAAAGACTTACGTTGACACCATGAACGATGAAACTTTGATGAATTACGCCAAGGATGGTACCGCTGATGTGTTGATCACTGACGAAATTTTGACCACCATCATGGCTGCTCCAAAATCTAACTTCCCTTGGAACTTCAAGATCGTTAAGGACTTGAAGAACAACAAGTTATACTTCTCAAACTCCGAACTTGAACCACAGACAATTGTCGATGAAAACGATAAAGACTTATTCCTTACCAGTTTCCTTGCCGATGACAATACTCTTAACAGTCACGTAAGATTGGCAAATGAATTCAAGGGTATTAACTACAACTTATCCAGATTTGTTACTGCCTCAACCAACGGTGCCAATATCCAAAAAATCACTCCAGACACTGCCGTTAACAAATCTTCTGACGTTAAGACTAGTAAGATCTACAAGTACAAGCTTTATAAGATTCCACAAGTGACAGTTGGTGAAGATAATAAGAAGCACCGCAAGTTGACTTTAGCCAAATCCGACGATGAGGAAGCCGAAATCAAGTACATTAATGTTGGTATTCGTACTGAAGCTGATCTTTTGCAGAAGCCAAACTCTGGTGACGAATATGAAACTGTTGCCGTTCATGCTTTGAACCAATACAAGCCATCTCAATTGGACTGGAAATCTAAATTGATCTCTAACCGTGGTGCCATTATTTCTACTGAATTGAGAAAGAACAACAACTTGTTTAGCAAGTGGATTGTCAGCTCGATCTTGGGTGATATCAACAGCATTAAGTTGGGTTTTGTCGCTCGTGACAGCTTCAACTCTGCCGAGAAGCACAGTGTCTTGGGTATGTTTAACTATAAGCCAGAAGACTTGGCCAGACAATGCAACTTACAAATTGGTAACGGTTGGGCCATTTTCAAGAGCATTATCGACATTGTGAACCATGAGGCTGAAGTCAGCAAAGACAGTAAAGATACCGTTGAATTCATGTTGGCCAGAGACCCTAGCCAACCTAAGTTGAATATCTATAGAGTCGATTAGTTTTTATATGTATTATTTTTCCTTTTCTACTCCATTGATTAATGAATGCACCCGTTAAATTGTTTCTATGATGGTTACTCACAATGTATACACCTGAACACCAGCCAGCCAACCTGCCACATTGCCCACAGCACCCGTGCACCAACCCTGCTGCGCTTTCAATAAAATTTGCGGCGGGTTTTTCTATCTTGCAGTAATGGGGTGTAGAACCCCTGATATAGCTAAGGCAAACAAACAAAGGGAAAAACGTGGGCATCCATCAGCGATGAGTTTATCATAGCTTTTAATGCTGGGCGGCTGGAAAAAACTAATTTCAAGAGAACAACACACTGCACTTTTCTTTTTTGTTCTTCGAACCCTCACTCAAGATTCAATCCATATATCTCAGGTTGGTGTACATAAGTGAACGACTATGAAGTTTGGTGAACATCTTAAAAGCAGTCTTATCAAGGACTTCAATTTCTACTATATCGCGTACGATGACCTTAAATACCAATTGAAAAAAGGCCTCAACAAGAACGATGATACCTGGTCAAGCGATCTCGAAGAACAGTTTCTTACTTCTCTCGAATCCGAATTAGACAAGGTTTACTCCTTCACCGTGCTCAAGAAGGGGGAAATTCAAAAGAGAATTAAGAGCACCGAGAAATTGGTCAATGAGGTGGTGGAGGCCGTGGATTCTGATCATCCGCCACTTGAAGAGGACTTCCTCGAGTTGGAAGATGAATTATCGGATATCATTGCCGATACCCACGACTTGGCGAAATTTACCAAACTCAACTATACCGGTTTTCACAAAATCATCAAGAAGCACGACAAGCAAACCAAATTCCATTTGAAGCCGATTTTCCAGGCCAGATTAGATTCCAAACCGTTCTTCAAGGACAACTACGACAATTTGATTGTCAAGTTATCGAAGCTCTATGACTTGGTCAGAACTAGAGGTAATCCTGTCATTGGTGACTCAGCCGCGGGTGGAAAGCAACAAAATTTTGTGCGTCAAACTACCAAGTATTGGGTTCATCCTGACAACGTCACGGAATTGAAGTTGATTATCCTTAAGCATTTGCCAGTGTTGGTTTTCAATTCCAACAAGGAATTTTCTACTGACGATTCTGCCATCACTTCGATCTACTTTGACAATAGTAAGATGGATTTGTATTATGGTAGATTAAGAAAAGATGAAGGTGCCGAAGCTCATAGATTACGTTGGTACGGTAATATGAAAAGCGACACGATTTTCTTTGAAAGAAAGACCCATAGAGAAGATTGGACTGGGGAATCATCGGTGAAACAACGGTTTTCCACCAAAGAAAAACATGTCAATGATTTCATCAAGGGTGAATACACAGTTCCGCAAGCTTTTGAGAAAATGAGAAAGGAAGGGAAGAAAAGTAGAAAAGAGATTGAAAATTTGGAAGCCTTGGCATCCGAAATTCAATATGCAATGATCAAGAGAAAACTAAGACCAGTCATGAGATCATTTTATCACAGAACTGCTTTCCAATTACCAGGGGACGCGAGAGTCCGTATTTCTCTTGATACGGAATTGTCATTGGTGAGAGAAGATAATTTTGACGGACACGACAGAACTAATGGCAACTGGCGTAGAACCGATATTGGTATTGATTGGCCATTCAATCAATTAGATGATAAGGATATCTGCAGGTTCCCTTATGCAGTTTTGGAAGTTAAATTGCAAACTCAATTAGGCCAAGAACCTCCTCAATGGATTCGTGACTTGATTGCTTCCCACTTGGTCGAAGCAGTACCTAAGTTCTCTAAATTCATTCATGGTTGTGCTTCTTTGCTTCCAGAAAAAGTTGATTTGATTCCATTCTGGTTACCTCAAATGGACGTTGATATTAGAAAACCAAAACTAGTTGAAGGGGTAGGTATTCAAAAGATTCACCATGACAATAATAGCGATAGCAATCATGCTACCGCCGAGTTCTTGGACGAGGAAGAACTTCTTGGTGGTAACTATCAGTCAACAAACTCTGCCTCCATCGTTGCTAATGTTGGCGGTGACTCAGAAAGTTCTCCATTATTGATCAACTCTTATTCGGCACGCAAAGTGAATACTAACGGTTTCTCCCTTGTGCCAAAATTCATTAGAGATTACTTTGATGATGATAGGGAATATAAGATTCCCCAAGGCACAGTGTTTGAAACCCGGATCAAGGCGCCTCCAGGAAAGCAAATATGTGTTCCAGTGCGGATCGAACCAAAAGTATACTTTGCCACTGAACGTACTTTCCTTTCGTGGCTTTCTATTGCTATGGTCCTTGGGGCTACTGCCACCACTTTGCTCAGCTATGGTGGTTCTGGAGCTTCACTCGTTTCATCTATTGGGTTTTTCGTTAGTGCCATTTTAACAATTATTTATGCCACAGTATTGTACATTTGGCGTGTATACCAAGTTAGAGAAAAGAAGGCAACCGACTACACTGACAGAGTTGGGCCTGCTGGTATTTGTGGCTTGTTGATGATCTCTACCTTTTTGACCTTTGTGTTCAAGTACACTGAATAATATTTTTTTCCTTTCTTTTACAGTTTTATCTTCTTTATTTAGTTATCTCTTTTTTTTTTTTTCATTCTTTCGGCATATGGTTGAATCATCAATTACATGTCTCCTATTTGAATCTTGTTTACAAAACGCAACCATATCTTTTCATTTAATAATACTCAATACAAAAAAAACAACATTCATAGAACTATTCAAGATTATTTTTCAAACATTTAAGACAGGTTAATTTTAACAAATGGAGAACGTCAATTCAAACACCTAAAAAAAAAAAAATAATGATGAAAAAAAAAATAGCTCCTGTGTTCATTTATATACATACATATATATATATATATATATATATATAAATATATATATATATATAATATACTGACAAGACTTAAACGCTCAAGCTGACAGTGGCATCATTGATGTGCTTTTGGAATGGCTTCAAAGCTTCAGCAACATCCTTCTTGACAAACTTGTCAGTTTGTTGAGCAGCTCTACCGACAAAAGTGGATGGGTCCAACAATTTGTCCAAATCGGCCCAGATTGGCTTGAAGTATTCGGTGTTTTTGATTCTTTCAATCAAATCATTGTCACCACCTTGTTGCTTGACAACGGCACTGGCTTGGTGGGACAACACTCTAATTTCTTCGTGACATTCTTGTCTAGAAGCACCTTTTTCAACCATGGCCATGATGATGTTTTCGGTGGCCATGAATGGCAATTCAGCCATGATTCTTCTTTCAATGACCTTAGGGTAAACAACGAGGCCGGAAGTGATGTTCAACAAGGTGGTCAAGACGATATCAGCGGTCAAGAAAGCGGATGGGAGGGACACTCTTCTGATGGCAGAATCGTCCAAAGTTCTTTCAAACCATTGGACCGATGCTGTTTGCACGGCATCGGAGAAAAGTGATCCCAAGTGTCTGGACAAAGAACACACACGTTCACTTCTCATTGGGTTTCTCTTGTAGGCCATGGCCGAAGACCCGATTTGGGACTTTTCAAATGGTTCTTCCATTTCCTTCAAGTTAGCCAACAATCTAATATCGGTGGCCATCTTGTGCGCGGTGGCTCCCAAAGAAGCCAATGGGGCCAACACGTCAATATCAATCTTTCTAGAGTAAGTTTGACCAGTGACAGGGTAGGCAAAGTCGAAGCCCAACAATTCGACGATCTTGGCATCGAGAGCCTCGACAGCATCGTGATCACCGTGCAACAAGGACAAGAAAGAACCTTGGGTACCGGTGGTCCCCTTGGCACCTCTCAACCCCAAATCGTTTCTAGCACGCACAATGTTTCTCAAATCCCACAAGAGTTCTTGCAACCATAAAGTGCTTCTCTTCCCAACAGTAGTCAATTGAGCTGGTTGGAAATGGGTCCATCCAAGAACTGGCAAATCCTTGTATTCGAGAGCAAACTTCGACAATCTGTCAATGACGTTGACCAACTTTGGGATAATGACATCGAAAGCGTCCCTGAGGAAGATCAAGTCAGCATTATCGGTGACATAACAAGAAGTAGCCCCCAAATGGATGATCCCGGCAGCAGCAGGACAAGTTTCCCCAAAAACGTGGACGTGGGCCATGACATCGTGTCTAACGATTGCTTCTTGCTTTTTGGCAGCCTCGATTTCTTCATCGGTGATTTCGAGATGCTTTTCCATTTGTCCTAGAGCCTCGTCGGTGATGACGTCCAATCCAACGGATTTTTCAGCCTTGGCTAAAGTGAGCCACAACTTTCTCCATGTTGAGAAACGGTTTCTCAAAGAGAAGATCTTGGACATTTCATCCGAGGCATATCTCGAGGATAATGGGGTGGAGTACTTGTCGTTGTCAGACATCCTGGTACGAAGAACTTTGTTAGAGAGTTTTGGGAGTGGGCGATTGAGCTGTTGTTTCTTCCTGCTAACAATCCTCTCTCAAGAGAAAAAAAAAAAAGACTATTGTACTCGGGGCAAGAGTCATCACCATCTATTTATCCGCGGAGGTTGAAAAAATTTCCTGCGCTGCCCGTACGATGATATATGCGCGTAACTGCATATATATGCATCACGAAACATGTGACATTTTTTTTTTACAGTTGTGAGCCCCTGGCAAGTGCCCCGTGCCAAAAAAGTTGCACGAAAAATCACCCTCATAACATATTACTAGCTAGCACTTGCCTAATACTTCAATCCTTTCTTTTGCAGACCAAAGATCGATCATGGCAGAAAATGCGTTTGTTCCTCGTAAGTGCATCATCATTATCTCATATCATCTGCCAAGTTAAGTCGTGGCTTGTTTGTTGTTATTGAAGCATACTAACCTCAATAAAACAGAAATTGATATTTTAAATACCCAATTCACAGATGTAACTTCGCTCTTCTTATCTCTATCTGCATCGTCAATTCCCCCAAACCAAGTAGTTCAATCGTCTTCTTTTGCATTATTTGAAGGTACCCATGCATTGGAAATTGCAAATAAACATTTGGACACTTCGGCCCTAACCTTTCCTGCTACGGAATCAACCGTCGCTGATTTCAACTTCAACAATGATTCGCCGCTCCAATTCGACGATATCATAATCATTGTTGACAAGTTGTTCAGATTGACTTTCCTATGGTTGGAAAATAACCAAATGTTGAGCACCACGGTACTATCGTGCGTGTACGTTGAAAAATTATTATTAAACTACACCAAGGGGAAGAAAATCACCACAAAACAAGATTCGTTGAAATTTGCAACGCTTTGGGATTATCAAACCGAAGAAGAATTGGATCAATTATATTCGCAATTGAAATCCTACCAAAAAGAGTATCTCCAACTTTCACAAACCGATGGCCAATCTCCAAGAGCCAGGTTTCTCAAAAATTATATTCTCACCCACACCACTTTCCGGTCGCTTTTGATCGGGTTGGTGAATATCATGAGTCAATTGATCCAGCTTTTCAGATCCGGGGTGGTTTATGAAGAAGAAGACGTGATTTCTCAATTACCTCAAGGATTGGAAGTTTGGAATAAGATGGAGGATTCTGTGTGCCAGGAATTGGTGATGGGAGACATTTGGGCTAAAAAAGTTGAATGTGTAACTGAAGCAGATGCGGCCACCACCAATGGATTGAAGCTTGAATTGCTACTATCATATTCTAATATTTTCAAAAAAATGAACGAACTAACTAGACTCTTAACCCGATCATTCAATTTAACCAACTCTAACAATGATACCATAGGAATTGGTTATGGGTCAGAATTTGTTGATAATGTCGATGCTTCTACACCCACCAATCCTAATCCGACCCAAGTAAATACCGAGTTTCTTGAATCCATGGTATCTTCTCTCTCATTCTTCGAGTCCAAACAACCAGAAGTTACCAAAATCATCCAAACCAATACCAATATTTATTCGGCACAATGTTTTTCGCAAGGAATTCAAAAAAGATTGAGTAATACTCGACCACTTAACAAACTTCCGGCATCAGAAGACATTGCTGGGATGAGTTACGCGGTGATTAATGTGCGATACTTCAAAAGTTTGATGAATTGGCTCAAAGAAGTGAATTACTTGATGGCGAATTTCAACGTTACAAATTTCAGGAGATTCTTGGAATTAGTGTTCTGGAAATCAGGATCAGTTGGCAGCTTTGATTGTGGAACCACATGGGGAGAAACTGTAGTTTGGAGATCGTGGGTCCAATTATTCATGATCCGTGATAACAAATCATTATTTGGCAGTGACGTCAAGTTATGTGAAGTGATGCTTGGTCAAATGAACTGGTTTGCCGGAATTGAAAGTGGATGGTTAAACATGGCATTTGGTGGGTGTCAACCAGAACACCCACGGGTGAATGCGTCTTCTTCCAACAATGTGCAACATCAAGGAGTTTTTGGAATTATAGATACTGATCCCATGGAATTCATTCAACGAGATTTATCGATTCCTAAATCCTACCATGGTGGGGATGCTGTGGGTCTACCACCAAAACCTCAGAAGAAAAATAAAAAGAAATCGAAACTGAAGACCAGATCACCTGCTGATGTCGGGTCTTTATCTTTATCATCATTCAATGGTGAAGCTCCTGCTTCAATAATGAGATCACTCGAAATGATCATCAACTATGATTTGGTATTTATGGAATCTGCTAAAACGCCGTATTATTGCTCTTCATCAAACATCAAAGTCTCGCATCGAGAAAAACTCACTGAATTGTTGGGCCAGGTGGAGTCCACGGTATTTGAATGGATGTCGAATATCTCAAACAATCCATCTCGTCAACGTCAAATATTGTCTCGATCAATTGTGAATTTTGACTCTCTCCAAGTGGCGGCAGAAAGATTTGATCTATGGACCCACGAAGAATTGGGGATCAAAGAGTATACGCAATTTGTCCCTCGAAAACAACAATTATCTGCTATTCTCAGAGATTTACCACCAGCATTACCATTTGCCACGTACGTTTATTATCTTAAGCTTCAAACGATGTTGCAATATTTGCTTAAAGGTACACCGCTTCAAATTTACAAGCCTTGGGAATGGAGTTGTGTAAATTGGTACGGGGCGTATTTCGCGGATAATTTAATAATCGTCTTGAATCGTATGAAGCAATGTAATACCGCTAAGATGCAGAAGTTACGGTATAAGATCCGCGAGGTTGAAAAGTTGGAGAATCCTGCGAAGTTTGCCAAGTTAGTGGAACTAATGAAGCAGGATTTGGTATTCAAGTATCATTTATCAGAAGTTAATAAGTTTGCTGGGACCACCACCACCACCACCTCCTCCTCCTCCTCGTCACAATCAGTGTATAAGACTTACAATCATCAATGTCTCGAGATTCTTCAATTGAAATTAGCCAAGCTCATGAAAGTGGAGGATTCATTATTGGACGAAATGAACTATTATGAATCATTGAAGAGCATGTGCCGTGGAACCCACCAATTATTAGAAGTTTATAGTAACTTGGGGGTTCTGGTGGTGTGTAAACCCGAATTCACATGGATTGAAACGGTTATTGCCAAGGCAAGTTCTTCTTCTTCTTCACTGGTTGGTTTTTCTGATGACGATTCATTCATGGCGAAACTATTTGGTCTCAGATTTAAATCTTTCTCATCGGTGGGAGTGCCAGATCCACTAACTTTTTCCCAGTTTGTCATTGCGACCACTAAGGATCAGAAGTACTTGAGTGACAATAATATGGTCAACTGGGGTTTGTTGAAGAGCAATTTCGATTCGATATTACTAGAATTCTCTAGGACCAAAAAATTGGTAAAGGATCAATTGGATAAACTTGAAAAGGAATCATCTGATGGTGTTAGCAATAGTTTTGGTAAATACAACCAGCTTACTAATCTACTTAAATGCAGTATTCAGCATTCCCTTACGATCTTCAAGACCAAACAGATGATTGAAACCCTTGAGCCAGAACTGCCAATCATGAGCAAAACTGATATTGCAAAGTTGATCAAATCGCAGAATTATGCTGGAGAAATCCAGTACGAGGTAGGCGAAGGCGAGGCAAGCTGGTTCCCATTAGTAAAGTTGGTCAAGAAATGAATGATGAGAAATATCGTTTAAATAGTTGAATAGTTACTTTGTAATATTAAAATGAAATAAACTTTTAATTCTTCTTCTGTGTATCGCTGTAAAAAAGAATTTCCAGACCCATGGATAAGGCGCCCCATGTGATGTGGAGCAATAATAACCCCTCATGAAGCCAGCTGAATTTGTATACATCGATATGACTTCATCCCCATAATATACAAAAAAAAAAACAAAAAAAAACCTCATATATCCCACAAAAACCCTCAATCCTCATTTTTGTATAATAATTTATAGCCATTAGATTATTACGGTTATCGGTGATCATATAATACACATATAAACTATGGCCAACGTTCCTTCACCCCTCGCTCCACCATTACCTTCGAGAGCCAGCAATGGTGGTGACCAGGCTTTCGCTACTACTCCATTTACCAACCAAGAAACAAACTTAACTAGGAAAATCCACGATATCGACGAGCCGTTTCCTGACCCATCGCAACTTTTGTCAGAACGGTTAGACAATTGGTTGCATTGCGTGAACATCTTATACGAATATGTCGATACTTATACCACGTTGACCAAGAAACAAATTCAAGGGTATGAGAAAATTAAAAAATCCATCTCGACTTTACCCCGGTTCACCAGATACGAAGGGCATTTGGGAGGGGTGGTTGATGGTTCTGGTACTGGGGCTCCAACTTTAGGAAGAACGACCGGCAGCACCGGCAGCGAGCCAGAAGGAGGGAGTATCTACGTTCCTAAAGGTGGTAATCGGCTCATTGGAGGTACTAGGACCAATACCATGGGGAGTAGTGAGATTGTATTGGATGCCTTAAATGGTTCACTGACCGCCCACCTGGCCAAAGAAGTAGAAGTGACGGCGGCAGCCCACGATGCGTTGCCTAGTTATTCTGATTCCGGGAGTGTTCCTGATTCGTCTGCCCAGCAGAAAATCATTGAGAATAACGAGTTTGCCCCGCATAATCGAGGGATTGATGGATTATTCGAGATGTTGAGGGTGAAAAACGACATGAATTTGACATCGTTGCAAAATTTGGATCAACAGGTGAAAGAACAAATTTTACCGGTGTTCAAGGAATTAATTGGCGAAGTATCCAATTATAAAAAAAAATTCAATAGTACCATTGAGAAGAACAATAAAACTTTAAAAAAAATCGACAAATCCAAAAAAAAATTGGTGGGTGAATTGGAAAACTCGATCAGACAATACAATGAAAACGCCTCGGCTCCTCTTAAGTCATCTACGGGGATCTTGCCTGCGGATAATATCAATTATGATAAAGATCCGTTCTTGATGAAGAAATTGTTCTTCAAGAATTTGAATGAACAATTTACCATGGAAAACACGCTCATTGAACAAATGATCACTTTGAAAGAAGAGATTTTTGGATTGGAGATCAAAATCGTCGATACCATAAAGAAATTAATTGTGTTATTCAACAATTTCCAAATCAACAGTTGTGAAGAAATGATAAATAATCTCCTGATCATTAACCAAGAATTTTCTTTGCTCGATGACAAGTTTGAAATATCCAAGTTTTTATCCAGCAACGTGGAAACCGGGGCCAAAAGCAGCAAACAAGAAATTGAGCAGAAAGACGAAATGTTGCTATTATTATCCAGTAAATTGCCTACCGATAGTAAGTTGGTGCAGATGAATTTGAAAAGAGATATAAAGTACATTAAAGTAGACGATCGCAAACTTCTTGGTACCATTAATCATGATTCGACAATCCCGATCCTCAAAGAGTTGATCACCTACCAAGAGATTAGAAAATTGTCACTTAAGGATCGAATCCAGAAAGATCATATGAAGAATGATTATTTTGCCTTGACCAAGTTGAAGTATTTATTTGTCTTTGGCACGGAAAATGATATCAATAGCAATAATGGCAACGAAAAATCTCATGACACGGTTGTTGATGTTGATGTCAGTGATAAATTGTTGACTGCTGTGGATAAAGATATTTTGAAAGGCGAGTTGGAGCCATCGTTGGTATTTTATTTACCAAAATGCTCGGTTATCGAGGATATTGACAGTGATGAGGATAATGACTCGGCCAGTTCGTCGTCTTCCAATAATACTAATTCCGGAGGTCTTTCTCGTTCAAAGACTTTGAAATCAAGATTTGGCAGCATCAAGCGGAAATTGAAATCTGAAAAACCGTTGAAACCTAATGAATACCAAATCAAATTTGTTGGTATTGATCTTAACCACCGGCTTTTGAATAAATTCAGTAAAAGTGCCCATAAACGGACCATTGTGATGAAGTTCTCCACCAAAGACCAATATCAAGTTTGGAACAGTTTGATTCGAGAAATGAGTGGTGATTTGCAAGAATTGGCAGAGGATTTTGATGAGAGGTTGGATATTGGGGCTGTCACTAGTAGCAGAGGTAGTACTCCACCAGCGCAAAGTGGATTGCCAGTTGCCGCCGAGGAGGCTACTATTAAAGAGCCTAGCAAACAAGAAGACAGAGCGTTGTCTCAAGATGATGATGAAGAAGAAGAAGCAAAGGACATTATTTCAAACCACTTGAATGAAAGTTTCACACAGAATACTATTGAGTCAAAGGCTACAGCCAACAAGAGGGCGGAGACTGTGATGAGCAGTGAACATCCTAGTGATGAGGATTTTAGTGATGCGGGAGCAGATAGTATTTTTGAGTTAAGAGAAGCAATCAAGAAGGACAAAGAAAAAGAAGGCGGGAGCGCAAAAGAAGGCGCGACGTTTGTCGAAGACTCTCAGATACAGTAGTATTATCACCATTGATGCTGTGTTTGTTATTACAATAATCTGTATTTGCACGTCAGTCAGTTGTGTAATTAATATTAATATACGAGAGAATCAAAAATTGCCCACGTCCTCGTAAAAAAAAAAACTGAAGCACACCGCACCGCACGTGGTGATACTTTCATGTGTCAAAGAAGAAAAAAAAAAAAAAAAAATTCCATTTCCTTTGTTTGTGTTATCAGCCATAAAAGTTTTCATATACAAGAGCGAAGCAAAGACTGAGGCTGGCTGAACACTGCATACTCTGGGTGGGGAAATAGCCAAATAAGTGAATAATTACAAGGTGATTCTCTCTTGGGTTTCTGCTCTCCAGGCGGTTTTGTCTGTATCGCCTGATATTTTTGTTTTGCTTTTGCCATCATTACCAGAGATTACAGTTTATTAGCGAGCAATCTTTGTACTTACCGAGCCAAGCGTCAAACACCGCCAATAAAACGTAAAAATACCCAATACTGAACCACAATCCACAAGAGAAACAAAATACGGGAAACATAACAAAATATACATCCACTTATCAAAGAGTTGAAACCCTCCTCCTTTTTTTTTCTTTTTTTTTTTTCTTTCTTGCGTTTTATCATCTTCCCATTGAACAAACAAACAACATTGAAACTCAAAGAGATTCAGCACAACAACATTGCATAATAATAATAACGATGATGATTCTAGAATACTTTCCTCAAATTTCGGTTATTCAAGGATTTACCATGAGCTCTGAAGTTGAAATTATATTGAAGGTGTCGATGGTGATATTGCAAATGATTCAGTTCACCAGCGGGTTGCTTTCTGTATTGATAATTGGTCCTGTTGTGGGATTGGTGTTGTTTGATTTATTGAGATATGTGTACCGGCTACTCAGCTCTTCTTCTACCACTAAACAAGTTGTTGGTAAAAGGAAGATGGATTGACCCATCACCATCTTGTGTTTGTTCCCGATATGCCGTTACATGGTGGATATTTCATATTCTTGCTGGTTACAATTTCATACGCTACTCCATATATACTATACTGAATGCTGCTGTTTCCTATTTTTATTATTATTATTATTATTACTTCCTATTCTCTGTGCTTTATGTCTGATGGTGGTTTGGTGATTTAATGTATCTCCCTGCCTGATGTCTGGGTTTTCTGGTTTGTGGCTTTTTTTTTCTTGTTGTTGTTGTCGTTCCTCTTTTCCCTGTGTGTGTCTGGGTGTTTTTGGAATTTTTTCTTGTTGTTTCCCATTTCTGGTTTTTTTTTTCTCGTTTCCTTCCTCTCCTACATCTTTTTCTCTTGTTTTTTTTTCTGTTATTATTTGGGCAGAGAAGAAAATCAGAATTATCATCTTGAAAGATGATTGTCTGTGTATTGGTCATTTGCTGGTTCTTATGACTCAATTACAAGGTATGTCGATTGTCTTACCAAGTTTTATTTTTGTTCAATTTGATTGCCAATGATGAATGTTTCTTTTTAACCTTATCTACATTACATGAGAATTTTAAAGTGATTAGGAAAAGATTTTCTGAGTTGTTGTTGTTATTGTTGTTGTTGTTTCATCAATTTATTTGTTCACTAAGCTGATTAATGGGTGTTAATTTCTTGGAATGTTTCTTTTACTAACAATAAGACAGATAATCATCGTCAAAACTTTGCGTATAGTTGTTGGTATATTTTTTTACCGTTACAATTTTTCCGAGAGCTGTGAAATATGATGATTATTTTTTCTCTCCTGCTATCTATCTATCTATCTATCTATCTATCTATCTATCTATCTATATACATATATATATCTCTACTTATCAAACGATTATCATCTCTCCAATTGTTATTGTAATGAGTGAGTGCTCCAAGTAAGAACTCCCCTCGATGTCCTCCACGTGACCAAGGCAGAAATTACACCGAAATTTCAACCGCCAGAAAAATAAGAGAAAAAATTTTGTGAGCTTCTGCGATGATGATACACTACACACAACAACAACTACAAATATAAATAAATAAATATATCACAATGTACGGCGGTGCTTTTCCTCGTGTTGCTCAAGAACCAGAACCAACTTCCAGATTCCAACAGTTCAAGAAGACCCCATTGTACCCAGTGTTGGTCAACGGGGTGCTCTTCACCGCTGGCGTGTGGTTTATCCAATCTCCATTGATGGATCTTTTGAACCCTCAGTAAGTGGTGTTTTTTCCTATTATTACCAATTTGCATTCACTACGATGATTATTAAACTAACGCATTTTAGATTCTAAGCTAAATTAATCACAGTTATGGTTGTCTTGTCTTGTCTTGTCTTGTCTTGTCTATGTTTGGTGATCCCTCATGCTTTTGCTTCGTCGCTGTTAATGTCTAGTTTCTTTTGATGTTCAATTAATCCTGTAAATAGAATAAACACACTCTGGGAATAATTTTACACGATGGTTTTATGATTTTCATTTTTTTTTTCTTTGCTTTTCATTGTAAAAACCAATTCCATATTTCAAATCAAAGGATTACCATTTGGAGAAGTATAATTGCTTAATCAATGATAATGGGATTAATCATTTCAATTATATTTGATTATTGTTTTTTATTGTTGACTCTCCTTTCTTGTTTCTTACTTTGGGGTGTTGTGCTCTACTTTACTTTTCACAATTAAGGATCCCTCCTTCCACAACCTCAGGAGCATCACCACACCACATTTCATTTTAATGGCCACCACTTAAAAGTTATATACCGTTAACAATAATATTATTACTATCATCAAATATAAATATAATGCTCTCTTGAAGATAATTTCTGTAGTACATCTATTCAGCCCACTTTATTTCTTTTTCTTAACTTTCATTTTTTTTTACACAAAACGTACATGTTATCGGTCGATATTAAAACATAGTAAAGCAGACAGGTATCAACCTAACCATGCTCGAGTCGCTACTAGCTGACTTCTTCAGCTTAATATTTATTGCAGTCTCCTGTGTCACCTACTACATATGGTGCTCGAAATTTGTCTATCCATTTCTTCCGTCATTTTTTGCGGCTGATCAAGATGGGCTGGACGAAGACGTCAACGATGCCAGCTTCGAGAAACTCCTCCACAGGTTGTTCGCCACCACTATATCTTTATCCATGCTACTAATCCAACTATATTTATTCCAAATCATCAATTTCCTTTCCAGTGGGGTCAATAGACTAGCGTTCAAGTTGAGCTTGAATTGTTTGATGTTTTTGATTGTATTGTTGATCCCATTGATCATCATATATCTTTTGACAAGCCACTTTTACCAATTCTTCGATATCGATTCGAAGATCCTGAAGTTGCTCGATAAATTGCAAATCAACAATGGCAACCTTAGTACAAAACAAGTCACGACATTGACTGTGCTATTTTTCATTTGCTGGTTGACATGCGTCTCGAAAATTCAATTATTATTCCCATCGACCAGACAAGAGGTTCAGGAAACCACGTCGAAATTGATCAAAGTCTCGAGCAACGATTCCATAACCGCAAAATACATCATCAATATATCACTAATAGGAATAACAATGATGGGATCGATCACCGGGTTTAATTCTTTGATCACAATATACAAAAACGTCTTCAAGAAAAGCAAGCCAACAGCATCATCATCATCATCATCATCATCATCATCATCAGAAATTGCCAATTCCAAGCCAGAACAAATATCAATACTCAAACAAAACCTCAAAATTTTATTGAAAAATCACCAAGAAATTCTGGATCTATTAGAATCAAGACGGCAGAAATATTTGATGTTGAAACGATCCGTTGGTTTAGAAGCATATTCCCAACAAAACATCAATGATTTACAAAATCAGGTCGCTACATTTCAAAATTATTTAAAAGTTATCAAATCAAACATTCTAAAAACCAAAAACAAAATCAACAATTTGGAGGCCTCGACATCCGTATTCTTCGATATCATCAATTTGAATTTCACAAAGTTTTCTAGTTTATTCAACAAAATCATGGTGGTGTATTGCTCGTATCGTTATATTTCCATCATTCTAATAAAGTTACCGTTATTCATATATTCATACTTGTTTACCCCCAATAATAGCAGCAACCATTATCATAATCATAATAATATTGGTAATGATAATGAAGAACAAAATTCCCATTCGTCATTATCTATAAATTTGAAAAATTACCTTTCAAAAAATTACTACCAAAATACTATTGACGAACTATCACTTTTGAATACCATCGAATTATTCATCTCTATTTGTTTTTTCATCACCTGTTTCACCGGGGTGTTGAACACTTTCAACAATTTAATTCTCATTGCCTCGAAGATCTCATCTGAAAGGAAACTTTTAAGTTCAATGATGAAGTCGTCCTCGTCGACGAAAAGAAATCTTCACAAAAGGATGATTTCCGAACCTATCAATGATAACCCATATAGTCAAAGTATATCTAACTCGCCGATCCAAACAATAGAAATATCCAACCAATCTCCAAGAGTTAATAATGACATGGGAAACCCATCAATATCGGTTGAAAACCACCAGCTTCAACCAAAAATGTCTTCGCCTCTCAGGACACCAAAACGAGAATTCAGCAAATCTATCTCTACTGGTTCGGCAAGGATCAAATATTCCCAAAATGTGGCGTTGACCCCCACCAGGGGAAATTTCATCAAATCTTTGACTCCATTGAATTCACGATTACAAGAGGCCATTGCTCTTGAACAGGATCCGGATTCGGTGTATGTTAACAATGATCATCAAAAATATCAAGAGCAGCAGCAGCAGCAGCAAACAGGATTGCTTGAGCCGTTCCAGACGGCTGCTCAATACTCAGAAATCGATTTAAAACAACCACTATTGAAACCTGCTAGCCATTTCAACGATAAACTCACCATAATCTCGCTGCATTTTGATAATTTGAACATTTCTGAGAATTTGGAGCTTTTTGCTAGTCAAACCAACCAAGCAAAATTAATTTCCTCGTGTGAAAAATTGTTGATTAGTGAATTGACGGTGATTTATATCATTTCTACCTCGTTAATGATCAGATCCACCTTTGGTAACCAATCGGTAAATATCATCAATAACTTGTTTGGGTTGTTTGAGTTCGATATCCATTATTTGGAAAATTTGTTTGAATTCTGGTTCGTGGTCGCTAGTGCCATCACCTGTTTGGTGTTGGTCTTTGATAGGAAAAAGAGTCTTATTTTTGGTACGTTGATCGGCAATGATGAAGGATTTTTGGATGAAGAAAGTAGTATAGTTCAAAACTTCCAGCAATATTAAGAAAAAAAAAAAAAAAAAAAAGACCAAAGTGGTTGATGGAAATATACAGGGAATTGGGGGGTAAGGTTTTGCCATTCATTATGTTTTCTTTCTTTCTTTCTTTCTGTTTGTGTTTTTAGAGGTCATGGTTGTTATTTTTTTTAGAGCTTATGATTTTCTGGAAACCATTTAAATGATCCATTGGATTTCAAATTTATTATTATTATTATTATTATTATTATTATCATTCATTTCTTATCATTCGTCATGATCATAGATTTAATATACCTCATCATTATCTTCAATTTCATCAATACTATTGAATAACGAAATTTTCTTTTTTTTTTTTTTTTGCTTACATTCTGAAAAACATTATACTATCATACAACATCATTATTGGTTCCGTCTAATTGGATCCTTCAATCTATGAATATCAACTTGTGATGAATCAAGGCCTTTTATGTGACCTACATCCAAAGGGGTGATGAATATCGTTTGGGATTTTGGAGAGCCTCTCAAATTCTTCAAGATCAAGTCCATCGAGATCTTTCGGTTCACAGTGTCCATGAAAACATCGAATTCGTCAAGCCCTCGCACTCGGGATCTCATGGGACCCCAAATTGACAAGAGCAACGCAATTTGGGTGAATGATTTCTCTCCTCCCGATAACGACGTGACTTCTCGAGGCTCTTGTCCATGTTTCCCCACTAACATCTTCAAATTCTCATTTTTGAAATCAAATTCAAGGTGGCCTTGGAAACCCCGAAAGTTGAGAGAATTGATGAAACTGGTATTAGCAAGCAGACAAAACATATCTCGATTAAGTTTCGACGCCTCTTTTCTATTCCGCATCGATCTGTATAGTTTCTTTCGCAATTTCCCCGCCATTATCAACTCATCACGGGCCGCTCGATACTCCTGCATTTTAGCTTCTCTATTCTTCAAGATCTCCTCCTCAGGTTTGCCTAATTGGACACTTATTTGACTAGCCTGCTTTGAGAATTCGTCTAATTGTTTCTTGATCCCTTCCAAGGTCTCAGTTTGGAAATCAATCTTGGCTTCACTCAAAGAACAGTAATTTTCGGCTTTCTGGGAAAATTTCACAATCTCGTCTTTGGCGGTCTTGATGGAATCCTGGATTCGATTAGCAATAATCTCTCGTTTCTGCACCTGGCGTCTTTCGTTTTCAATCGTCTCTTTGATTGCTTCTTCTTCATCTTTGAGATCCTCAAGTTCTTTATTTATTGACAATTTTGATACGCTGCATTCCCCGATTTTTTGCGCCAATGTTGTAAGGTTCTCTTCAATCTCGGTGAATTTCTGTTGTAACTGTTGTAGTTCTGTTTCGGAATCTAGCAACGAGTATTCTTTAATCCGTATTTCATCATCAATATTGCTGACATCTGATTTCAATACTTCAATCCGTGATTGATGATCATCATCATAATTCTCTAGCTGACTTTGAAGTTTGATGATGTCCTTTTCCACTTTAACAGAGTCTTCTTTCAATCGGGTATACTCCAACTTCAAAGTATCAATTTCTCCTTGCATCAGTCTTCTCTCGTGGTGCGAATGGGTTTCAAATTGGTTGATTTCAATTTGATCTCCTTCAATTTGTAGTTCAATTTTTCTGATTTCACCTTGGTATCCTGACCCGCCAGGCTCAGAAGAGGCCCGGATTTTTGGTAATTGGTTCTGAAGATAATAAACTGGGTCCAGTTTGAAACCACCAAACATCGATTTCCCAAATTTTTTAGCCGATGATGAATCAAACAAGCTGTAACAACTGGAAATCCCATAAAGGTTTTCTTCTACTAAACATCGCGCCTCATCTTGGCTATCGGATAAGAAAATCCTCTCGATCGACGCTACGTCAATAAGGGTATATTTGACATCTTCATTGGCAAATTTCAAAATATCAAGGATTGATAACACATGTCGTTTTTGTCCCTCGCTCGGGTTGGTCTTGTAGGCAAATCTTTCAAAATTTCTAATAATGATTCGAAGATTCAAACTAAATTTCTTGAAAATCCCTTTTAGCAATGTTTGGTCATCGAAGCTTTGGACCACGAAGGCCATTGTTGGCAAGATTTTCTCTAACAACGACAGGAATTTTTCATGGCCTGGCTTGATGTACATATAAAAGCCTAATGGTCCAATAGGCTTCGATTTGAATCGATGATCTTTTTGGATATCTTTCAACACTTTTTCCACTTTGTCGCCATAAGGAGCAAACTTGTCCCGTTCAAACCTGTGTAAGTCATGTTTATGCTGTTGTAGTTTGGAAATCCTGGTTTTCCGTTCTTTTAATTCCTCCAGAATCATTCGCGACATGTTTCCAAAAGCTTCCTGTTTACCATGGATGGCTTCGTTCAATTCCTGTTTTCTTTGCAAATGTTGCCGCTTCCTATCCTCTAATAAATCCAACTGGGACTGGATTGACTCTCTAGACCCGTTGGATAAAGAATCTAACCGCTTTACTTCCACTTTGATTTTATGTTGGAGCTTCAGTTTTTCTTGCATTTTTGCGGAAATATCGTCATTTAAATCTTGGATTTTCCCATCGACGATATTGAGTTGCCGTTCAATGTCTTTCAAACTGGTCTTCACTTCGGTCTTTTCCTTATCTAAATGTTGAATGTCCTCTTGATACTTTTCTTGGTCTGTGGTTAATTTGAGGATCTTGGGCCTGAGTAACTCGGCATTTTCTTTTCCTTGAATAATCAATTCTTGTGAATTGGCAACCCGCGAGATCGCTTGGATCTTCGCCTTTTCCAACCGTTTCACATCCTGCTTTCTGGACTCTATTTCAAACCATAAAAGTTTCCCGCTGTAGAATTTTTGGAACTGTCGCAAGTTCTTGGATCTATGGAATAAGCTGAATTCTTTCTGGGCTTGCTTTTCATCTTTATCTAATGCTTTCAAATGCTTGTGTTTTTCAATGATTTCCAAATCGACTTTCGCCAATTGGTTCCATGAATGCTTATATTCTGCAAGCACAATATCGTACTGAAGACCTTTCATGAAATACCGGTACTTGTCCTTGTCAGTGCTGCTGGAAAGAAATGTCTTTGCCTCTCCTTGGGATAGAAACGATAGTGGGTTGTTAACGGTTATGTCAAAATACTCGGTGATTTCGTCCAAATCGCTTTTTTTATGCGATACCACTTTCCCAGTTTCCGATCTTATAGTATAAGTGTTTTTTTCATCGGTCCTTAGCAATCGTTCCACGGTGATGGTGTCCCCATAGATATCTCGTTTAAACGATTCTGAAATATCTCCTTTATTAGCGAGCACGATCGTGATTTTTGCCAATTCTTTGCCCCGTTTGATCAAATTCTTCAAACTTTTCCCCCGGTCGGTGTCTTTGGCATTACTCCCCAACCCCACGGAGATCCCGGTTAGTATCGCACTTTTCCCACTGCCATTGCGACCAATGATGAAGTTCAATCGTGGGCCGAGCTCTAATTCGAAAAACTCGTGGCACATAAAGTTTTGTAAAATGATTTTCTCAATGATGCCGGCCGCGGCGGGGATTTGGGCAATATCACTCGAGCCACCACCATTGCTATTGATATTGCCAGTGCCACCATCGATAATCTGCGATAACATCACCTCGTTCCTGGCCATCATCGCGGAAACCCTGCCCTCGTCCGCCCCCTGCGAGAAATAGGTATCGATATCCATGTCGTTCTGCTGAAAGTTAACAAGCGCATCTTCAGATCTTTGCAATGATAGCATTTTCTGGATTCTGAAGGGATCCAACAATGGAACTGATGGAAAGAAAGAGCAAAAAAAAAAAAACGAATGATATGAATAAAACAGACAGTGATATAATTATAGGGGGGGTACCCTAAGCTTTTTTGCGTTTAAGTTTGGTCCGACTTCTACCTCAAAAACTCACCCTTATTTGGTGTTTACGTTGTTTTTTTTTTTTTTTTTTTTGTTTTGTTTTGTTTTTTTTTCGTGTCTCACATTCGAGTTGCTTACAAACCTCTTCATTTCGTTAAGGACAAATAACAACCACGCCTAGATCCAATCACTTCATATTTATATCAAAATATGATCATAATACATTAAGGTAATTAACTATATAAGCAACTATGTTTGCAGAGATTTAAGGTCGGCCACGGCCACGATCAAACGCATAGCAGAAAATCCAAGATCTCTAACTGGAAGATTATAATCAACGTCAAGCGAGTTTCCAATCCTGAACTTAATAGAATTGATCTCGTCTTTGCTAAGAGTCACATCAGCACTACTGGATAACTTAGTCTTGTATGATTTTAAAACTCTCTTTAACTTTGTGGTTGGTTTGATTTTGAAAAATGTTGGAGCTATCTCCGCTCCTTGAAGATCGATTCTAATATTCATTGGAGCATCGCTAGATTTATCACTAGCAGTGCCATCAGTATCCACCAGCCCTGCTCTTTTATCACTATCGATGGTGTTTTCTTTATTAACCTGAGGACCAGCCTGGTTTTCATTAGAAAGTTTCGCTTTCTTCAAAGCAGGCTCTTCATTCTTATTGTCAGAGCGCTCCTTAATTCTGTTTGTCAGAGGGTTACTGACAACAATGCCCGCTTTGTCAGAAGAAGGTATCAAAGTTTTAGGAATTTTGTCGGTGTTCTGTTGTTTCGTGAGATCAGGGCTATCATCAACATCAGAACTGCATCTTTTTCTATCGTTGGAAATGGTGGCAAAACTAGCATTGGAGGCGGTGGCGGCAATGGTGGCAATTGGGACATCATCATCAGCAGAGATGGCGTCGATGTCAGTGATAGCAGCTATGCGTTTGGAATTTATAACAGGGGCTTTTTCGGCACATTTAGCAACAGTGACAACCCCAAAATCCTTGAATTTTTCATAAATATCATTGTCTTTTTCAAAAGAGATCTTCTCGTTTCTTAAGGCTTCGATTTCACTGGCTAGTAGGTCAAGTTTGTAATCGTAAGAAGATACAAAACTAACCTTCTTTGCAGCATCAGCTAATTCTGACTTGAATTTCTTTATCATTGCCTCCTTTTGCTTTAAAAAAACATTCTTCTCATCCTTAAATTGTCTCAAACTGTCTATAACATTAACCAAATTCTTGGAAACATTTTTCAAAGAGTTAATGCCTTTAGCATCTATTTCAATTGAAGTAGTTTTCAATGATTCGTAAGATTTATTCAACTTTTGTGTAAAGTTAAGCTGATCTAAAACATTGACCTTTCGCATATCAGCAATGCTCTTAGGTAAGCTGCTCGCAGTCAATTTTTCAAAGGCGGTAGTTTCACCTCCAATGTAGTTCCAATCAACTAACTTATCATAAAAAAATACCGACGTGGATTTGTCATTATCCCAAACTTTATTCAAGTTATAATGAATATTATTACTTCTCTGGTTGATGTTCGTTAAATATGCAGACATTTTCTCCGCAACAACTTTTATATCTGCCTGTTGCCAGACATCACAAATCTCTTTTATTGACATCCCTTTCATTTGCTGATCTTTTTCAAAAAGGATGATGAATATAGTGGACATAACAGTATCGTTTCCAAAATATTGCGGTAAAGGTTTTGGTCTCCTTAAATTATTAAGGGTATTAGCATCCACTTCCGTCGGTAGAAACGAGTCCCCGACTTTCACATTTTCTGAAATTACCTTGAGATAGTCAAAATCAATAGGATCCAAATTGATTTCTGATTTTATTGACTTGTCTATGTCACATTTGGTGACTAATGAATGAAGTTCACTCCTAAGGTTTTCCATCTTTGAATGGAAACTGGTTAAGAATAGCCCGTATTGGTTGTATATATCGATGGCATACTTCCTGAAGGAAAATTCTGCAATCTGTAACTTTTTCTCTACTTCTTGTCTGCGTAATAGGTCCTCATTGTGAAGCTTTTTCACTTGCAAAAGCTGTGAATTAGCATTCAATTGAGAAGCGTGACTTTCTTGCTTGATTCGGTCCAGCGCTGCCACCACGATCTGTACTTTTTCCTTTAAAGAATGAATTTCTTCGTTTTTTTGTTGATCTGCCTTTCGCAATTCTGCTACTATTTCATTTGCTGAGGATAAGTCATTTGCCAACTTCACCTTTTGAGTTTGTAAACCATTAACCTGAGTAAGTTTTTCAGAGAGAACTGATTTTATCCTATCTAATTCTCTCTTCAAACTATCAGAGCTGACTTCATTATTACTCTTCAGATTTTTCACGTTTTCAGACAACATCCGATTTTCAGTCGCGAGAGTGGAGTTTTGGTGGTCTAATATGACATTTTTTTGAGCTAGAACGATATTTTTCTTTTCTAGGCTTTCAATCTTTTTTTCAAGTAGTGAATTCTTTTCCTTCAACTCTGTTATCATTGTGGATATCCCACCACCATTAGCTTTGCCACTTCCAGGATCCAATCCCATGCCATTTGGCGTAAAATTTGAAGCAGAGGTCGAATTCAATGACTTAATTTTATTAATGAATGCCGCGTACTGGGTAAGATCACAGCTGATAATAATATTTGTGTTCGCCGTAATATTCAATTTATTTAAGCCAGCGCCCATGTCAAGAATCTCCTCAACCTTCCTCTCCGAGTTTTTGTATGACACTTTGAAAAATTGGACTTTGTCTGATTGGAGAGATGAAGAAGCTACGGCGCTTTTGGAAAATGTTAAATGGTCGAGCAAACTTTGGTAGAAATAGTCAAAAGTACAATCTTCTTCAACTTTCAACAGTACGGTCTCATTCAATACCCTGAACCATTCCTTCCCTGGGATGGTGTCATTGCTAAATTCCACAGAGATGGGGATCAATTTTTTGACCAAAATCCTGTCGCTTTCCTGCAACTCCAAGTCATTGACGGTACTAGAAGGATTTAAAAACCTATCGCCTTTGTAAAACGTCAAGTCAGAAGGGTCTTGTTTGGAAATCAGGGCAAACTTCTTCAGTAATGAGCCAAACTTACTTTGTTTCCGTACCTTGAACAAATAGTCATTCTCACTGTCGTCAGTTCGGGTATTTAACTCGGGGTTCCCGACATTGTAGAAGCGTAGCACCAAAACAATTGCATCCATCATGGTGCTGTTGGTAGATAGCAGTCCTCTTAGTTTTACTATTGTTTCCTTTGTCTGGAAACTGCTCCCTGGTTTGTCGCGTTTGTTTGTTTATTATTTTCTTTTTTAAAAAACGTTGAGGGGATCATCATCACGTGGAAGGATGGGTGATATTTCCTGGTGTTCCAGCGGGGTGGGTGAGATCACTAATTCATTATCGTTTCCATTGAGTTTCTCGTGTATTGTTCTTTTGGTTACTTATCTTAAACTTTTGTTTGGAAAGCAGTAGACGAGAAGAAAGTGTGCATCGGTTTATTTGTATAATGATGACACAACCTTTGGTGTTTTCCTAAGTTTTGTAGCTTTATTGTTATTTTTACTTAATTTTTATTTTTTCCCCCATTTTTTTTCTTCTTCTTCCTCTTCCTCTTCTTCTTCTCGTTCTCCTTAAGTGGGAGAGGATGTTTAGCTCGTTATTTGGGTATATGAAACAGGATAACAAATCAAAAGTGAAGACCCTTCAAGAATATGTGAATGATTATATCAAAGAGCTCGAGCTACAGCGAAATAACAACCCAAACGAAAAGATATCTCGCAGTAAGAGAAAAAGACGAAGAACCTCTAATCATCATGATGATCAAGATGCTGAAGACGTTCATGAAGATCGAAACAATAGCGAAGAAATAACTGATAGTGAAGAGTATCTTCCCGATACTGATGAAGAAGAATCAGAGGGAAAAGCAACGGTCACCGAAAGACTCGGCGGTTTTACTAGCCAAAGTTGGATCAAAAATGCGTTTCTCGTAAGGAAGAGAGGATACGAAATTCTTCCTGATATTCATCCACTGTTGAAACGATTGAATCCAAATCCACACCGTACTTTGAAGATGAATAAGGGTGCTCTCACAAGCAGGTATGCGACTTTTGGAATGGGGTTCACAAAACGGCATTATTCCACACTCAATAGTCTTTTATTTGCCCTGATTTATCAACGGAATTGGAAAAGGGCCTATAAAATTTATTCCTTCTTTATAAAAATACACCTCAGTGGTGGCGTGAGAAAACTTAGATTTAATGATATTTGGCCCATTGGACTATTCATTTTGAAAAATCTCGAAAAGGAAGATCACAACGCCAGGTTACAAAACACTTTGGGGATTAACCACGAGCAATTAGAACTGGCATATGATGAAAGTATTGAACAAGGATCGGTTGACAAAGATCTCCAGGAGTTCTTGAATTCCGAGAGACAGGGTCGTTTAAATAGACCATCAGATAAATTTCTCCAGTGGTTGGTAAACTTCAATATCAAATACACCAAAGCTGGAAGAGAAAAAGGGATTGTGATCATCATTATGTACTTGTGGAATCAGGTTACAGGTATTAGTGATTATGATCATACTTTTCTTTGCAAGACAGACAGTAATTATTATTCATCTATGGAACAAGTCTTCCGGAAAACCAACTCCGAGGTTTCGGATTACATGCTTGAAACTTCGTTTTCTGGAAATAGTTTAATCAAGTACTTGAAACTTTTGCTTATAATTCTTGAGCTCAAGTTTTTGGTTGGGAATTACAATAATAATAATAATAATAATAATAATAATAATAATAATATCAATGGAGATGGGATGAGAATCAACGAGCTATTTCGTAACTATAAGGAGGTTTATTATGAGTTATCCAAGAGCTCTTCATTTGTATTTGATGAAGAAAAAGTTGACTTGGAATTCGATAAAATCAAGAAAAGCTATCCTCCTTATGAAGAATTACACGAAGATAAACCTTCTGATCAAAAAGACTCATCCTCAGATGAGTCGACCAGCACAGATGATAGTGATGATGATGATGATGATGATGATGATGATGATGATGATGATGATGATGATGATGATGATGATGATGATAGTAATGATGATGATGATGATAGTAATGATGATAGTAATGATGGCGCCAGTGTCAAAAAGGAACCAAAAAAATCAGAGCAGTTATCCACGGTATTCATGTCCGATGACTCTGATGTCACAGATGAATCAGATGTAGATGATAAAAATACGAAACTGCAAGATGAAGATTCGGATAGTGACGAAGAGAAACCAAAAGACATTAAAGTGCAAGAGCCTGAAGAATTCAATGATAATTTCGTGGTGAATGATGAGCAATTTGAAGCATTCTTGGCGAGTCAACAGCTTACGTTCGGTATGTTTGATTGATTTTTGCCATGATTGTATTATACGTTAAAAATATTTGTATTATACCAAGTATAACACTAATATACCTTATGGGATGTGTATTCCTCCTTTATTAAATCATAATATCGTATTTTTTTTTTCCAGTTTAGTCGTATTACTATTCTAAAATTATTACAAAAGACAAAACAAGACGTAGAAAATAATTATAATGAAAATAATGACGCATTTAATCGAACAAATCATGAGTCCGTTTCTTCAAAATTGATATTATCAACTTCATCTAACTTTTCTCTTTCGTAGAAAGTTTCCCACAATTCAATAGCTTCCTTTTGGCTTTCGATTAAGCTTTCCAAGAAAGTTTCCACCGCGTTTCTAAAATCTTCAATTTTTTCAAACTCAAACCGATTGAGTTCTTTCTTGATTGTGGCAGAAAGTTCTTCGAACTTTTGTTTCAACCCAGAGCTTTTAGTTTCATAACTGGCAACTTCGTTCTTCATAGCCTCGATTTTGTCTACCTGGTTTCTGTAATTCCTAGTAAACTTCTCCAATGCTACCTGTTTCTTTGATAACTCATGCTCAGAATTAGTACTGGCGACAAGGGCTTTATGACGCTGGGCAAACACCGCCCTAATTGACCCCAAAATACGAATATATTCATCCAAAACCGAACCCAAAGTGATTAAGTCTTGCATACTTTGACGTTCGAGTAATTCTTTGATTCTATGATGTGTATGAGAGAATGCCGATAACAAATTATTAGAATCTTTAGAGGTTTCAATATCCGCCAAAGATTGTACCGCATTAGCAAATTCTTCGGTGACGTTACTTAATTCATTCCGTTGCTGGACAATCAACTCAAAGTTTTTATAGAATGATTTCAAATACATATCCAAATCTTCAACGTATGCTTTTTGATCCAAGAAAAAATCATCTTGATCGGTGACTTTTGCGGTGAATGAAAATGCCCCACCTAAAGCACTCATGAACCCACCAGCTCCGGAGCCTGAACCACTCGACCCACCCATATCATAATCGTCACCAGCGCTAGAGGCTCCTGAGCCCGTGAGCTTTTCACGTTCTTTAGCTTCATTGCTGAAATTATTGGATTGCAAAAACATTAAAAAGTCAGGATCCTTTTGTAACACTGGGCTGACACTAATTTTCTGTAACATTTTTTCAAGGGCAAATCTTCTGCTTTCAATAAACTGTTCATTGAATCTTCCCACAGCTTGCTTGAGTGGCGGAGGAGGAATGATGTATCCTGGATTATTGGATTGTAGCTGATGATATAGCCAACGGAAGTCTTTGTAACGACGAGTAACCACCACTTCACTCGAGTTTAATAAATTAGATTCCGTGGCGGCCCTGACGGTGTATACTATATGCGCAGAAGTAATATCACCAACTTTAGTAGGATCGCCTACATAGACCTCCAATTTTTCAGTGACCCCTTCTGGTTCAGGTTTGGTGAGTCTTTGTTCCATTTTTTCTTGTTGTTTTTTTGAAAAAAAATCTCCTATTTGGTTACTCAATTCAGGATTGTCGGTCAAGCTCTTATGAGTTGGTGATACCTGCGAAGGTTTTTGAAGATTGTACAATGGAGCATCAACTTCTTGCACAAGTTTTGCCCCTCGACTTAATGGTGCATCTTTGGTATTGGACTCCTTTTCTTCAAGTTTCAATTTATTGTTCAACGCTTCACCCAAAGGACCCAAGTTTTCGGTTCCTTCTATCTTTGTTGCCACAGTGCCGTTTTCAGGAGTATTCGACGATTTCTCTTCACCATTTTTTGAAGTCGTGGTAGCCAATTTGTTGCGGCGTACTCTTGGGGCACGATACATCTTCACTGGCAAACTATTATACTTTTTGGCAGGTTGTTGTTGATGATGATCACCACTCGAGGAGCTACCTATCGTTCCAGCACTAAAATCATTGAACTTGTTATCTTCCATTACGTTGAATAGAGAGTCATCTTTACCAACGTGGTTTACGGTTTGAGAAATCGTTCCGAATGCCGAGTTTGCCAAATTCAGAATTCCATCATCTTCTATGTCCTTTGTTAAAGACGATAACAAGTTCTGGTTTTTCGCCCTTGTGGCCTCATTATTGATGCTTTTAGTGGCTTCGGTAGAAGCATTATCATGGAAATTTGTGGATACTGGACTTTGGGTGGTTGTTGGGTACTGGTTTGATGGGTCATTATAATCCCCAAAAGTGGATGTATTCACGGTATCGGTTGGGTGTAGGTGGTGATTAATTTGTGCTTGATGATCGTTGTCAGTATTATCAGCCGGGTTGAAGTTCGAAGTGTGTGAAGAGTAATCATATGATTCGTGGTGTTGTTCTGGTTTCTGGTTTTCTTCATCTACCTGGTCTTTATCTTTATCTTCATCACCATCATCATCATCATCATCATCATCATCGTAAGAAGGTGGGGCAAATTCATCACTTTGAAGAATGTTGGGCAATTTGCTTTGGAAAGGAGAAGGGTCTGACCCAGTATATACATCGTCCCAGTGGGATGCCGAAAGATCTTCGTTATCCATTAAATATATATTGGTATCTTTGAATTTATTCAATTGGTATATGGGCCCTGTGGGTGTTGTTCTTTAAATTTGCAGTCTTTATCAAAACACCTTTGGTGTGGAGGTTACCCGGGAGACTCTTTCTCTCATAACCCCCCTTTAGCACTTGATATCATTTCATCTCGGCCACTTATTAATTGATGTTTCAATAATTGAAATGAAATATATCCATTGATAATGAATATATTTAAGTATATAAAGAAAAGAAGAAGAAATGAGGACCCTATTGAAGCATTACCCAATTAATAATAATAAAAAAAAGCTGAAACATGAAAGCTCAAATCTATATGAAGGCCTTTAATGAAATAGAAATAATGAAAGAAAACTATAAGAATACAATATTATACACTCATCTTCATGTTGATCTTTCCATGAGGATTGTAATCGATGATTTCAAAGTCTTCAAATTTGAAATCATCGATATTCTTCACGTCTCTTTTAATCTTCAATTTCGGGAAGCTTCTAGGCTCACGTTTCAATTGTTCTTGCAAAGCATCGATATGGTCCTTATAAACATGGGCGTCTCCCATAGTATGAATGAATTCCCCACAGTCCATGTCACAAACCATGGCGATCATCTTGGTCAACAATGCGTACGACGCAATATTGAACGGCACCCCAAGACCCATGTCACAAGATCTTTGGTATAAAAGACATGAAAGTTGAGGTCTACCGCCATCTTTTGGAAAGTTGACGTAAAATTGACTAAAGACATGGCATGGAGGTAAAGCCATCTTTGGGAAATCTGGGGGGTTCCAGGCACTCATGATAATTCTTCTGTCGTAAGGATTATTTTTCAACTTGTAAATTACTTCTGCTAATTGATCCACTCCTTTGCCGGTGTAATCAGCATCACAATCGGTATATTCTGCTCCAAAGTGTCTCCATTGAAATCCGTATACTGGACCCAAATCTCCCTCACGGTTGTTTTTAAGCCCAATGCTATCCAAGTATTCACGAGATCCGTTACCTTCCCAGATCTTCACACCCTTTTCCGAGAGCTTTTTCCCATCAGTGCACCCTTGAATGAACCATAAGAGTTCTAATATGATACCTTTGGAAAACACTCTCTTGGTGGTGATCAATGGGAATTGGTCATCCTTAAGGGAAAACCTGAGCTGAGGAGGGGCGAAAATCGATCTGGTACCAGTTCCAGTACGATCAGGGCGGTCTTCACCTTCGTTGATGATTCTTTCACAAAGCGAAAGATATTGTTTTTCTTCGATATTAACAGGAGCTTCAACAGTCATTTTAAAATGGGATGGGAATAACAGCTTGTGGATGGGAAATGCTCGAGCAAACAATAATGATGATGAATCTGATGAAGAAAAATTGTATGAGCAGGAAAAGAAAAAAAAAAGACGCGACGCGTTTCAGGTCACGGGACTCAAAATATGCGGTGCTTATCAGCATTTGGTGTTAGAAAATATATCTGATAGGATATATATATATATATATATATATGAACGATTTCGCCACAAGGCTTCCATAGAACCTTGATTTCATAGCAGAAACCCATTTCACTAATCATCAGCTATCCCCCAGGTAGTCTGGCAATAGTTCTTTTGTCAGCTTGTCTTCCAGTACGAATGAGAACCAATCTGTTAGTTGATCTTTCATGATACCGAAAAAGAAGAAGAAGAAGAAGATTCTGATGATGTTGATAATGATAGTGACGATGATTGTAATGAGCATGGAAAGCAAAAGCGGGATGGATGGACGCCAACCTATCCTTGGCGAAGATAAGTCACAGAACGGCGAAACGTTTGAGGGCGTGAATGGCGATACTGAAGGAGAAAACTAATACTGGAATATACATCATTTTTATTATTTTTCACAAGAAGTAGAAGTATTTTTCACAAGAAAAATAATTCACAAGAAAAATAGGACTTTAACTGAATGATTTTGTATCATATCTATTGGGATCGGCCACCCTTGATAAGCCATGGCTTGCATGCATGCATAAAAAAAACAATTGACGCATATACCGACATATATGCATGCACAGAGAGACGCTGAAAAATGCCAGTCACCCGGACACTGTATCGTTATCACGTGATTGGTCACGTTTTGGAGCTTTGTAGTGGCGATGTGGATCCCTCGCTAATCTATAGATTGTCGTGATATTAAATAGATCCGGTGTTAATCGACAGAGCAAGCGCGTCTTCTACTATAATTCGAGCTATAATTTGGGGAGTTAGAGGGGGGTATTGAAGGGTAAATATGGGTTAAGTATGTGTGAATAATGGGTGGACCGTGTTGCGTGAAGATTTTTTAACCAGAGATAATAACGCAGAAGGGAAAAATGGAGATGGCCCAACTTTTGAAACTTACAGACCAGCTGTAGATTAATAGATCCTGGTGGTTATCTTTGGTAAATGACCCACAAAATTGGCAGTTGTTAGGATGATCATGATCTATGATAATATAGAATCTAAAGTGCTTGAAGCATGGTCTATGCCACAATATGGATGTAGATATATCAGTTTCGTTAGAGATTTTCCATGATGATATTGGGTTGATCTGTTGGAATTACATGTGATAAATACAGTGCGGATAATGGAACTTTATAGGGGAATGAGATGATGGGGCATGGTTGAGATCAATAAAAGTTCTCCTAATTGATGCTTCATAAAATTGCCGAATACCAATACCAATATTCACACGACAAAGAGAAGACAAACCAGGAAAACGTCAAGATAAAAAAAAAAAACAACCGGGTTCGCACCAATTAGAAAGCTCCTCCCCCGCGGTAACGGCCGGCCCCGGGAGGACGGAAGTCTCCACATTTCAGAGGTGTCACCAAAGCGTGGGTCTTTGCCAGTTGCAAACTCAAGGGCTTCTATTGGTTGGCGGTGCCACCGCTGCCGGAGCCGCGCGATATGTGTCAAACCAATGACCCATGAATACCAACCCTCGTAGTGGACCAGAGGCAGGCAGGCAGGCTGTTTCAGGCACCTTCAACCGCAGTGTTTTTTGCCTCGCTTGCAACAATACCTCCCGCGAACGAATTTCTCCTTCCCTCCCATCACGATCAATGGGCACCGGTGCTATCTATGTTACTGTAAAAAAACCATGGTGTTAAACTCCGAACTGCATTCCCTTGCTAACTGAGACTGCTGCCGGGGCTCCTTCAGGGTGCGACCGCAGTGATTCCCCCGTGTTGCCGGCACTTCCCTGACCCATACACGTGACCAGATCACGGCCCTGCAGCGTTTGCCAATATTCTTTCCCTAATAATTGGCCGGTTTTTCTTCTTTCTCTCCCCCAGATTTTCATCTCGATTCTTCTGTTCCCCTTATCATTATTGTGTTGGTTAGTGAATACTTCTCCCCTCATCTCGCTTCATCGTTACGGGATAGAAACACAACATCATCATCAATAGATACATATAACATCTTATTAGATCTATTTATATAATAAATATAAATATATATATATATAAGTATATTTGAAAACAATGTCTGCCATCCTCAAACAAAGAGTTAGGTACGCCCCATACTTGGAAAAGCTCAGAACCCCTGAACAGTGTGTTGAGTTCTTCAAGCACGGCCAATACATTGGTTGGTCTGGTTTCACTGGGGTTGGGTCTCCTAAAGCAGTGCCAATTGCCCTTGCTGAACACGTTGAAAAAAATAACTTACAAGGGAAACTCGCCTTCAATTTGTTCATTGGGGCCAGTGCTGGTGCAGAAGAAAGCAAATGGGCCGATCTTAACATGTTGTTGAGAAGAGCCCCTCATCAAGTCGGTAGACCAATCGCCAACGCCATCAACGATGGGAGAACCCAATTCTTTGACAAGCATTTGTCGATGTTTCCTCAAGATTTGACTTACGGATACTACACCAAAAACAAGGAAAATGATTTGTTAGATTACACCATCATTGAAGCCACTGCCATCAAGGAAGATGGTTCGATTGTTCCTGGTCCTGCTGTTGGGGGTTCTCCAGAATTCATCAGTGTTTCTGACAAGGTCATTATCGAAGTCAACACCGTCACCCCATCATTCGAAGGGCTTCACGACATTGACATGCCAATTAACCCTCCTTTCAGACCAGCTTACCCATACTGCCGTGTCGATGACAAGTGTGGCCGTGATTCCATCCCGGTTGATCCAAACCGTGTTGTGGCGATCGTTGAAAGTACCCACAAGGACAGAGTTCCTCCAAATACCCCATCCGACGAAATGTCGCGTGGGATCGCTGGTCATTTGATCGAATTCTTCGAACAAGAAGTCAAGCACGGGAGAATGCCTGCTAATTTGCATCCTTTACAATCAGGTATCGGTAATATCGCCAACGCCGTGATTGAAGGGCTTGCCGAATCTTCATTCAAGAACCTCAATGTGTGGACGGAAGTGTTACAAGATTCTTTCCTCGATTTCTTCGAAAAGGGGACTTTGGACTACGCCACCTCGACCTCGATCAGATTGACCGAAAAGGGGTTCGAAAGATTCTTTGGTAATTTCGACTTATACAAAAATAAACTTTGCTTGAGATCCCAAGTGGTGTCAAACTCTCCAGAAATCATCCGTCGTTTGGGGGTTATTGCCATGAACACCCCTGTCGAAGTCGATATCTACGCCCACGCTAACTCCACCAACGTGTCCGGTTCAAGAATGTTGCACGGTATTGGTGGTTCTGGTGATTTCCTCAGAAACGCTAAATTGTCAGTGATGCACACCCCATCCGCTAGACCATCCAAGACCGACAAGACCGGTGTATCATGTATCGTGCCATTCGCCTCCCATATCGACCAAACAGAACATGATTTGGACATCGTGGTCACCGAACAAGGGTTGGCCGACCTTCGTGGTATGTCTCCAAAAGAAAGAGCCCTCGAATTGATCAACAAGTGTGCCCATCCAGACTACAAGGACCAATTGAAAGAATACTTTGACAGAGCTGTTCACTACACCACCAAAAAGAAGGCCTTGCATGAACCACACATCTTGGCCGACGCTTTCAAGATGCACTTGAATTTGGAACACAATGGCACCATGAAGTTGGAAAACTGGGACGTGAAGTTCTGAAAACTTTTCGTAGCATCATCTTATCATTGGATCGCCAAATTTTACCTAAAGGTGAGGTCAAATTATTTCGTCATCCATTTATTTCTCCGTGGTTGTTAGACTTTGCTTATATAATGAACAACCATTAAAGATACACGTGTATATTCATTTGTTTTTTTTTTCTGCTCAACTTACTTCTCACAACAATAAACAACAATATAAGCATTATGATGCAAAACGTAAGCCGCCATGATGAGTTACCAAATTACTGTGACAATTAATAAAACATTGTGACAATTAATGGAATTCAATGAAAACCAAAGAAATAAATTTTATACTATACAAATACCTCCATGTAAAGTGAAATTTGAGTTCAATTATATTGATTTTGATCAAAAAAAAAATTCAACTAGTATTCCTTCAAAGTCTTCAGTAATTCCAAATCAACAACTACAAACCAGAATTATATTTTCAAGCAACATTTAATAAATAAAAACAAATAAATAATACTATATAACAAGCTCCATAATAGGAGAAGAACAAACAGAGAAGAAAAAAAAAAGAAAAGATCATTTGAAAAAAAAAAATTTAGAAAAAATCATTTAAAGTATTTAGCAAGTTTTGCCTTTTCTTCGGCACTCAACAAACCAAACATTTCACCGAGCGCATCGACAGTTTCTTCTCTGTTAGAACGCAAGGTGTCGGCCAATTTTTGTCTGATAGCTTCGTTCTTCAAGTTGTTGATGTAGCTGTTCAATTTATCACCATTAGCTTCAATCCATTCAGCAACAGCTCTGTCATTATCATAATCCAAAGATGGTGGGTAGTTAGCTCTCAATCTACTAACACGTTCCAACTTGGAAGAAGTCTTGACATTCTTGTTGATGGCATTCAAGTACAAGTTTTCACTTAATAATCTTCTGATTCTCCAGTAGAAGTATCTTCTAGAGTTTTCCAAAGTCAAAGCCTTCTTGATAATGTTCTTTTGTTCAATAATTTCAGCACGATCGTGCAAGTCAGCAAATTGAACAGCAAGTTGGTGATAGATGTTCAACAACTTAGATTGTCTGGCATTCAATTCTTCAGTCAACTTGGCAGTTTCTTCAGCACTCAAATCGTTTTCAGACAATTTCTTCTTCAAGTCAGCATATGGTTTATCCAAACGAGCCATAGTCTTCAACAATTTCTCCTTTCTGAACTTGATAGAAACCAATCCTTCAGGTTCCAAAATGTTATGACGAGCATCGACATCAGAATACATTTCCATAAAGTCTTCATTGATAGTTGGATCCAAAACAACCCAAGAACCACCTCTCAATTCACCAGTTGGTGGAATGTAAATGAACATTGGTTGTTTGTATTCGGTCAAAGCATCAACAATCATAGCACCGTATTTCAAAACTTCATTGAACATATCTCTTTGACCACCACTGAAACCTCTCCAATTGGCCAAGATCATCAATGGCAATTGTTCACCATTGTTGAAATCCTTGATGGCTTGAGCAGTCTTGAAAGCAGAGTTAGGGTACCAAACTTGACCAGCTTCATTGACAAGGTTTTCAACAGAATCGCTATTGGCTGGATCAGCAGGAATGACATTTTGCACAGACTTCACTTCAACGGAAACAACACCAAATGGAATACCACCCAAACGAGCTCTACCAGTGACAACAGTTTGAGCCCAACCTCCCAAGGTTTCAACAAAAGAACCCTTATCAAAGATACCACTTTCAAAGGTACCATCGGCAAGTTCACGACCTTCAATCAACCATCTGCAGTCGTAGAGTTCCTGTTGTGGTGGGTAGTAGCTAACTTCTCTGTCCCAAGAGTCAGTAGATGGCAAAATTGGCAATGGACTATCTCTCTTTGCTGGAACATAAGATAACCAATCCATAATCTTGGTAACACCATTCAAGTCATCACTAGCAACTTGGTGAGAAACACCGTTACGGTACATAACAGAAGTACCACCCAATTGCAAGTTAGAAGAATAAACTTCCTTACCCAACAACTTATTAATAGCTGGAGCACCAGTCAAAATAATTGGTTGACCTTCAACTTGAATAGCTCTTTGACCCAATCTGACCAAGTAAGCACCAATACCAACAGATCTAGCGGTAACCAAAGTGATGGTGAAAATGTCCTTGTAAGCTCTACTAGTAACACCGGCAATCAAACCAGAACCTCTAAGAGCTTCCACACCAGCATTATCACTAGTAATAGACTTGATAATGTGTCTAACTTCACCGTTAACAGTAGCTCTTTCAGTAATCATTTGAGTAACAGAACTCTTGTCAATGGTTTCTTTACCAGCATTGTCAACATAAATGTATTCGAAACCCTTTTCTGGCTTGTTTTCTTGTTTCCAAGCAACCTTGAATAAGGCAACCAAATCATCAGCCAAGCCAATTCTGGCACCAGAGTTAGCAGAAAGGTAGATACGTGGCAAGCCCAATTTTCTAGCCAATTCAGTGACCTTGTAGAAAAACAAATCTTCTTGTGGACCAAAAGAACCAATCTTGAAAGTGATATCATTAGCAACAATGATAAATTGACGACCCTTAGGGAATTCAGGAGTCTTGGCACTGACCTTGAAGGCCACCATACCAATCTGGTTAGCACCAGCTTCTCTGTTAATTTCAATAACATTAGAACCATCGAAAATCAATTCATTGTAAGAGAAAAAGTTTTCTGGAATCTTGGAGCCTGGAGCCAATTTCTTCCATTGCAACAAAACAGCTTGACGGAACAATTCTGGGAAATCATAGACATAAGAAGTACCGAGAACATGAGCGTGGTAACGCTTTGGTTGCAAAAATTCTTTACCACTGTAAGGTTCATCAATTTTTCTAAGGTGCATGGAACCTGGTTGGTTACCAATAGATTTGAAGACCAAATCACCACTAGCGTTCTTAACTTCTTGGTAAATTTCACTCTTAACAACGTAACCACTGACATTGGTGATAAGAGCACGGATTGGGTATGGGTTACCACGTTCATCGGTACAAGTGATACGAATTTCAGCGGCAGTGACACGGAGACGCCACAAACGACGGCCGAAACGTTCCAAGAAATCACCAAAAGCATTTTCAACATCGTCTGGAGTAACGTTGAACACGGCACTGAAGTTGATGAAGATGTGGTTAAGATCAGAATCACTCAAATCCAAAACACTCAAACTGTCAAGAATATCAGTCATCAAACGGTTGGCTTCGGAAGTCAAATATTCAGCAGTGGAGATGTCTTCTCTAATCTTACCAGTTCTGATAATACCACGGGTGAAGTAACGTTTGTCAGCACCAGAATTCTTACCAACAGCTTCATAAATGTGGATGTTTCTGTTAGCAGTGAACACTGGTTTGATATCAAAGTTAGACAATCTCTTCAACTCCAATTGGAAAGCCAAAGATGGTTCAATGTTACGGATGATTTTATCCTCCTTGTAGTCTGGACCTTTGAAAGTGAAATACTTTGGATAAGCACCAACCTTATCAGAAACAACAAAAGTGATACGACGGATGGCAGCAGTAGTCAAGTCTTCATTGAAGTCTTTCAAAAGTTCACTAATTCTGTCAAGAACATCCTCGTCACTCAATCCAAGAGTATCGTTGACAAAAATGTTAGCGACATTGGTCAAAGTGGTTGAGGAAGCAGATGAGTTAGCAACTCCACGGTTTGGAATTGGACCGTCAATCTTGGTAGTGCTACTGTTTGGAGAAGAGCCATTAACCTTTGGCAACAATTCAAGACCCTTAATCAAATTTTCTTCCATTTCTTCAATAGTTGGAGTTGGGATGAGAACACCAGTTCTGACTGGTTGTTGAGCATTGCTTTCCACAACATAAGACAAATCACTGACACTAGCAGCACGAACCATAGCAGGAGCGCCACTACCTGTAGTCTTGGAGCTGTTAGCAATATCCAACATTTGGAAATCCCACTTCAAGATTGGGGTGTTGTCATTGACAACATCATAGCTGATATCACGGATATGATAGTTACGGTAAGATCTTCTGATGTAAACTTCACCAGCAGCCAAAGCAACATGTGGATCATTGTGGCACAAGAATTGAGTAAGCACATCAAAGACAACATACTTAGAATCAATGATATCACGCAAGACATCCAATTGTGGCTTCTTGTGTTTGACACCAATTTCACCGTAACGGGTTTCAGCAACAGATGTCTTCAAAATGTATTCGAGTTGGTCGGTTCTTTCCTTAACACTTGGCAAAGAACATTGGATCAAGATTTCACGAGCCTTGATAGCAACCTTAGATGAGGATTTGCTTTCCAATTCACTAAGCTTCTTCAAAACCGGTTTCAATTGAGCAATAACAGTAGAGTTTTCACGACAAGAAGCGGCATATTCAGCAAGAATTTCGGAAACCAAAGAGTTCTTACCCAATTTTCCAAAGTGGGATCTGGCTAATTTCAACACAGTCTTGTTGTCACTGTTGGAACGCAAAGAAAGCAAAGCGTTAGCAATACTTTGTTTGTCAAACAACTTCTCAATGGTGTAATAGTTTTCAAGCAAAGTAGTAACAGCATTCAATTCATTATCCAAAGCACCATTGTAGTATTTGTCAATGATTTGAACAAGTGGTTCACAAGAAGTCTTGAGCTCTTCATTAGACTTGGTGTACTTCAAGATGGTGGATTTCAAAGTTCTAGCAGGGAATTTCTTACCAGCACGGCTTTTTTCAATAATGCTTGAAAGTTTATCGCCAAGCTCGTCGCCCAATCTAGATTCCAAAGAAGAGAACAAAGCTTTCCATTCAGAGTATGGCAAATCTGGGTTACGCAAAACATCGATGAAGGCGGCAACGGTTTGTTTCATGACAGAGTTGTTATCATAACCAAGCAAAATGTTTTCAAGAACCAATTGACTGTTCTTGAACTTGTAAACAGGCTTGGTGCCAGCAACCACAGCTGGGCCAAAGTCATCAACGGTACCTTCAAAGATCTTGGCATGTTTCACCTTGGATGGATCATCAAGAGCAAGAATGGCAAGAATATCACCACCATCGACAGTTGAACCTGGTTGTTCTAATAATTGGATAATACCATCTTCAGAAGCACTAAGAGAGACAACCATCTTCATAACTTCAATTTGAGCATAGTTTTGACCAGCAGTGACATGATCACCGTTTTCCACGAGGTATTTGATCAATTTACCTGGAGATGGGGTTCTCAATTGAGTTGGATCATTTTCAATTTCCAATTGACAAGTCTTACCGTCAATCAATAATCTGGTAGATTGAGGTTCTTCAATGTAATAAACGGTGTAAGCCTTACCGCCAATAGAGGTCAACAAACCACCATCGCTGAGAGGTCTAGCTTCGACATCAACAGTGGAACCATTGATGAAAACCTTGAAAGATTCTTCGGAGGTTTGAACACAAGTGAATTTGAATTTTTCGTTTTCGTAAATGAAATCAACAGGGTAAATGGTTTTCAAAAGAGTCTTGTCAGGAACTTGACCTTTATCAAGCAAGCTGTTAAATTCGGCGACAGCTGTTGAATATTCAATGTAAGCTTTAGTGACGGCACCACAAAGAATAGCCACGTTCTTTTCAGGTCTTTCACTGGTCATTTTTTTAGAAATCAAGTCATCTAACCAACCAGTAGAGATGGTGTTGTTGGTGAATTCAGAAGTTTCCAACAACTTGATCAAATATTCGACAGTAGTTTTGAATTCACCACGAATACTCAATTCCTTAAGAGCAACAACCATGTGCTTTCTACTTTCTTCACGATTTTCACCATAAGCAAAGATGTGACCGAATTGAGAATCACTGAAAGAATGGATGGTACCATTTTCTGATAAACTGAAGTAACCCCAAACGTTTTTACTTGTCCCAAGATCCAATTTGAGGATACGACCGCCCTTTGGCTTGAACCCGTTTTCAGGATCTTCAGAAGTGATACGACAGGCGGTGGTGTGACCCTTTGGCTTTGGAGTTCTTTGGGTCTTGTGGGATTCAGGATTGGAAAAGTCGAAATCAATCAAGGATTCTGAGTGAGGGTCCAATCCGTACAAACAACGGATGTCTCTAATGAAATGCAAAGGAATACCCATAGCAATTTGCAATTGAGCAGCAGGCAAATTGACACCACTGACCATTTCGGAAGTTGGATGTTCGACTTGCAATCTTGGGTTCAATTCCAAGAAATAGAATTTGTTATCGGCATGAGAATAAAGATATTCAATGGTACCGGCAGAGACATAACCCACAAGGTTACCTAATCTGACAGCAGCTTTTTCCATTTGTTTGAAGGTTTCTGGAGGAACAATGGTGACCGGAGCTTCTTCGATAATCTTTTGATGTCTTCTTTGGACGGAACAATCTCTACCAAACAAAGAAATGGTGTTATTATATTGATCGGACAAGATTTGGACTTCAATATGACGAGCGTTACCAGCCAACTTCATAATGAAGATTGGAGAACCAGGAATTTCGTGAGCGGCTTGTTCGTACAATTCGACGAAATCTTCGGCTCTTTCGACTTTTCTGATACCTTTACCACCACCACCTTCGGAGGCCTTGATCATTACCGGGAAACCGATTTTCTTTGCTTTTTCTAACCCATCTTCAGGGGAGGTGGAGCAACACTTGTTGTAAGTTTTATCGTCGACAGAAACCAATTTTGTTTCATCGTTGACCACGACATCATCGACCCCAGTACCAGACCAAGGGATACAAGGAACATCGGCATGTTGGGCAACAATAGTAGAACTGATTTTATCACCAAGAGAACGCATGGCGTTACCAGGAGGCCCGATAAAGATGACTTTCTTCTTGGAAGCGGCCAATTTTTCAGGCAACAATGGGTTTTCAGAGGCATGACCCCAACCGGCCCACACAGCGTCGACATCAGCTCTTTCAGCAATATCAACAATCAAATCGACGTTGGCATAATTGTTGTTGTTGGTACCGCCTGGGACTGGGATAACCTGGTCAGCCATACGGATATATTCAGCGTTAGCAGTGAGATCTTCTGGGGTGGCCATTACCACAAACTGTATTATTCTTTCGTTGTTAAAAGTAGCGTAAGCCCATTGTCTAACAGAACGAATGTTTTTAACGGCTGCAATACCGTTATTGGCGATAAGAACCTTGCGGATCACCGAGTGACCGTGAGACTTTTCGACAAACTGGGCGAGGGCATGGAGAGAGTCTGAAGATGAAGTTGAGCTGGAGTTAGCTACGGTTTTGAGGCCGAAAAAGTTAGAAGGCAACTTCTTGTGCAACTCTTCAAAAGATGTTGACGACGACATCTTTGATCTGGGTATTATGGGGAAGGAAGGAGGATGACAAGATGATGAGCAGTAGCGCAATAATCTAAAAGGGTGGAGGGACGAGAGCAGTAGTTGCGGATGCTGCTTAGTGTAAAGAGAAGGAGGATAAATGTGACGACCAGAAGATAATATTAAAGAATGCTTTTGGAGCAACCACCTTGGCATATATCAGAAGTCTTCTTTCCAAAATATAATTTTTTTTTTTAATTCCTGAAGAAATTACGCGGTCTAAAAGCCTGTGGGCGAAAAATTGTTGATTCCAATTTACCAACAACACGAAACAGAGGCAAAAAACCCAACAGAAACCGTCCCCTTGGCCGGAACTCCCTGAATGGCCGGTGTGTGTCACGTGTGTGTGTCTTCCGAGGGGGAATCTCCTCTGGCAGTTCCGGGGGAGGGAGCCGTCGGTTGTTGATGGGGGGGTGGATGTGCTTATTGTATCTGATATATAGATATATATTTATCTATATATACATATACACAACTATATTATAGTAATATTTCATGGTTATGCCATCCACCACCAGAGACAACCAATCCACAACATTTTGGTCCGCTGCCCAACGGAGTTTCCTTCCATCGATTCTTTCTGCTGTTTTTTAATGTGCGCCGGTTGATGTCATCTTCGCACATACCACCCAGCAGGGAATAACAGCGACTCGCGAAAGTGCAAACCCCCCGTTAACACAATAAATGCCACCAATCAATAATTTTCCATCCGACAGAGTAGATACCAGGGATGATGTCAACCATCGTCGCTCCGGATTATTAGTAATCGCTTACGGTGTGATCTATATATATATATATGATTGTATATATCGTCCCTCCCGCCCCACTGGTATGCGCGCCCTCAATTCCCACTCACGTGCCGGTGATTTTGGTTTTTTTCTCTTTCACACAAATCATCGATCAAATGGCAGGCACCCCTCCATTACCATTTAAAAAAGCCCTCTTTGACGCATTCTTGTGCTGGACACAGATATGACCGATCTAACTCCTTTCTTCAATCAATGCTTGTCAATATACAATGAAAGCAATCTGGCAGTAATCTCCCAAAAACACCACCAGCGACACCACCAGCCCAATAACCGTCGTCTTCAAGTTCAGGACAGCTTCCATAAGGAATGCCACGACCTATACACAGAAATCTACGGGCTTCACGATTTAATTGAATCTGTAAAGCCAAATTACTTAATCTCCAATACCGCTTTGAGGGATTTCGATGACGATGACGATGATGACGATGATGATGATGATGATAACAATATCGATGACGATGACGATGATGATTTTGACATTGACGATCTAAATGCGGTGGTGGGCGAATCAAAAAAGAAACCAGTGTCATCCAAAAAGAAAAACACTCTAAAGGCCACTTTCTCTGAGGATGATCGTGATCTATTCGATTCGCAATCCAATCTATTGCTCCACAAGTTCTCCCAGAAATTGAACCATTTAGAAACCTACGAATCTAAAAGATTCGACGCCATGTGGTTCAGTGAAAAATTCAATCACACTGACGATCCCGCCAATAATAAATCTAGCAACCCATCCAAAACGTTCTCATTGATGAAGAATTACATTTCGTTCTCTTTGAGAAAAGACGAGTACCAGCAAATTAACAAACAAATCCACGCTCATCGTGAAGGGGTCCTCAATTCATTATCCCTCCAACTTAAAAGAATATCCGCGACATTGGGCGATATGCAAAGCATTAGACTTCGTCGTAAATTGGAAGAACGATCCAATGAATTGCATGCCCTTGGCACTCACGATATTGTCGGTGATTCCAGCCCCGAATTGCAAGAATCTGGAGTTGATCGGATGGCCGACAATCTGCCACAAACTACTACTACCACTACTACTGCTACTACTACTACCGCCAACAATCCCGAATCATTCAATATGTCGTATAATGATCAACTTCAAATCGATGGTGATGGAGCAATTAATGATGAGTCCCTAGAATTTTACCAGGAAAGCCTTGCGTCACTTTCCCCAAAACAAGTCCAACAATTGCAGGCGGAAAGCTCGGCGCTTTTAGACTCGAAACTTGCCGAGCTTGCTAAAGTTAAAACCCTCCAGAAATCAACCGCTGATATTGCTAATTTGCAACGTGAATTAGCGGTGCATGTTGAAGCTCAAGCAGAACAAATCAAGTTTTTGCAAGATGACCAAGAGATAGCAGAGTTGGATATTTTAAAAGGGAACAGAGAAATGAAAAACGCAAAACAGCGGGGTAGAACGGCAAGTAAAATTATTGTGTGGGCCAGCGTTAGTTTAGGGGTTTTCATCTTATTATTTGATGCTGTGATCATTTAATTGAAGGTGCAATTGGAAAACTGGGAACGTTTCAGAAATGGATGTTTATTTTCTTCTATTTGAATTCTATAGTCTTTTTGGGGAAAGTAGCTATGATTTTCTTTTTAAATTTATCAATTTTTCGTGATAAACTCTATCAAGGTTTGTAGGTGATACAGCTTTTAAAGCTCAGGAATATCTAAAGCATTAACAACTTCTTGGGATACCTACTATATTGATGTTAATTTTTATGACTTTCCTACATGGCTTCTCTGGAATAAACCCTTGTAACTCCCTTTGTAATTCCTTCGAGACACGCAAAATGCCAGAGTTTCCCTCTAGAATTGCTGGTGATTGTCATCTGAAAAATGAGACGAACCACTGGCTATCTTCATGAATAGATCCTTGCTTAATAAACGTGCCTGTTTTGTGTGATCTTGAGGGTCAATGGTAAGGTTATTATCTTGGATCGAATTATCTGTAGAGGATACTCTTACATCCCATCAGGGGTTCAAGAAACAACATAAAGACATGTGTATGTCTTCAATAAGGAATCTCATAAACACTGGTCACTAGAATTTTATATTAAGAAAGAAACTTCAAAGTAGATGATACTGTATTGAAAGCTTCCAAAGCGATTTTTTAATTGTTTTCGATGTAGTTTCATAGGTTCTATAATTTTGCTTTTGTAGCAATTAGATGTGATACTCATCTTGTTAATGAGTCACTATCAAATTCCACAAATTATATCCAGGCCTTGAAAAATTGGATTCATCAGTGGTTTACGGCTGGTTAGATGAGTTTTCTAGACATTGGTTAGTTAGAGGATTTACAACGAAGAATTTGGCATCGTAGAAATAATCTTTTTTTTTTTTTTTTTTATGAGAGTATTAAAGAAAAGTGATTTCATTCTAAATTGTTCATTTTTAGGATATGATCTTTACTCAATATTTCAAGGTGAACAAAGATTAACTAAAAGATGGACAAAGAGAGAGAGAGAGAGAGAAATGACAAGATAAACATATTATTGATGAAGGTATTCCATATTATTAGTAATAGTACAATTTAGCTGAACCTGTCTCAGATCAATATAAGAACCATATATATTGTGTGAATCATAGTTCGGGGAAATACCAACAGTATTTGCAAACTCCAGCTAAAACTTTGAATCGTCTATTCTTTGATCTCATATATCATAAAAGTACAGAAATTTGCACTGTTATTGAATAATGATGTTTTTTTTTTGTTTTTTTTTTTTAATAATTAAAGAGATCATTTTATTGCTTCATTGTAATTTTTTAAATAAACTAGTTCCTATCTATCTACTGTACAGCGGGAACATGAGATTATTATATGATCCTTAAATAATCAAAATGCTCCTGGAAGCTTTACGTAATGTAACCCGACAAGATCTCTATCGTTGTGTCTCAATTGTTCCGCAAACTTGAGACTTATAAAAGCTGCCAGACTAATAATCACAAAGCTAATGATGAGAAATATTGATCTTTTTTAGAGTGTATTGGTCCAGCAGGAAATATATGTATATGGGTGGGATGTGATGCTTGATCTACTGCATCCCATATATGTGATTTATTACGACATACGGTAATTCAGACTCCTTCCTGATTGGGCAAAAGCCATAACATAGGGTCCAAAAATCTGAGATTTTATACTCATTCTATCGAAATCGCTCGAATAGGAAGGCACTTTCATGCATGAATAGCCCTGAGCCCATACTGATCAATACTCATCATACATTTTCTCCCAGGTAACTGTAGTACGTGAGGCCAATACACAAAACTGACATTTATCACCACCTGACCAAGAATATTTCGTTCATATGAAGGTGTTAAGTGGGTAGGGCTACCTAGCTTGCATGCCTGAAGAAATGAAAGGATAATAATCTGTATCTTATTAAACTTTTTTTTTTTTTGAAGAACAGAACATCAATATTCTTGATTTTTCCTCAAGTGTTAACTAACACACGATACAAATAGAATTTACAGTGAATGAATGGTGCAATTAGTATTCGCTTAAAGACTAGTTCTTCTTTATCTATATTCTCATAATATATCACAATCTTTCAAGATCCCATCATTCCAATGACCACTGGGAAATCTTGAATAAGGGAAGGACCCATCAATAGAATATCTGTATCAGTTCTCTGTTATTCTCACAATGCATCGCTCATCAATGATATACAACTAATGGTAACCTAGCACATATCATTGACCAGCCCAAGAATACACGAGAGAACAATGGCACGTTCTGATAATCAGTTAAACAGAAAGAAGAAGAGTAAAAGAAAATAAAATCACCTCCCTTGCAAATCCTTCCATCATCAACGAGGCTTGGGAATTCCTGCTCATTCTCCTACCATCATAAATCGTTGCAAATACTTCCAGAAAGGCAAGTGTAAGTTCGGGTTGATGTGTATGCTCCAGTAGATGTTAAAGAAAGATCAAATTAAAATGTGAAAAATCAGAATCGAAAACTTGGAATTCCATATCCCCCACCATGATTGACAAATTACTATTGTAAACTTTTTTTTTTTTTGCACCATTTCACTTCCATTGTAACTTTTCTCTGATATCTTACAAAAGCAAAAAAAAAAAAGTACAACTAACTGCCTCATCATTTTCTATAATATATATATATATATATATAAATGAAAAAAGCTTCAATGAAATAAAATAATTAAGGAAGATGAGGAGAAAAATAAGCATCATTTACATCGTTCCATATCGATTATTTCTGCAAATCTTGGGCCCAGAAATGTTCAGCTTCGACAATTGTATCATTGTTGGCCTTCATCTTGTTCATAGTTTCGATATATTCATCATATGGATCGGAATCATGGACAATCCCCCCACCAGCTTGTAAATATGCTACACCATCCTTGTACACCATGGTTCTAAGGGCAATACAAGTATCCATCGATCTACCATCGTACCCCCAATGACCCACCGCACCCGCGTACACCCCACGACGTTCGCCTTCGAGTTTCCCAATGAGCTCCATGGCTTTAACTTTTGGAGCCCCCGAGACGGTCCCGGCAGGGAAAATCGATCTAAACGCATCGAATCTCGATTTATCCGGACGTAATGTCCCGCTAACTTCACTGACCAAGTGCATGACGTGCGAGAATCGTTCGATGGTGAGTAATTTATCGACGCTGGTGGTTTGTGGGTCACAAATACGGTTGATGTCATTACGCGCCAAGTCCACCAACATGATATGTTCGGCACGGTCTTTGAGTGACGATTTCAATTCGTGGGCCAACGCATCATCTTCATCCTTGGTGGTACCACGACGAATCGTACCGGCAATAGGATGAGTCACCACCTTATTGGCAGTACTGGACTTCACCAACAATTCCGGCGACGCACCAATGATTTGAAAATCAAGATAATCGATATAAAACAAATAAGGTGATGGGTTAACGGTTCTCAAATGACGATAAATGTTGAATGGGTGCAATGAAGTTGGGCGAGAGATCCGCTGAGATGGCACCGCCTGGATGATATCCCCTTTGAGAATATGATCCTTCAAAGTCTTGACGTGTCCTTCGTAACCTTCTTGGCCGATATTTGAAGTGAATGGTTGATCAGCAACGATTGGCGGTTGCTCAGGAAGCACCACGTCGTCTTCGAGAAGCACTGCCTTGATGAGATTGATTTCTTCACTGAGGGCTTGGTATTTTGCGGTGATGGTCTCCACGGTATCGTGAGGTTCCACCGAGACGTTATTGATGATTTGAAGTCTTTGATACACGTTATCGAACGCCACCACACTATTGAACAACATCAAGTAACTCTCTGGTAATTTCAACACGTCTTTAAGTTCACGTCTGGTCTTTGGTTCAAAATATTTAATACAATCATATGAAATATACCCAATGGCCCCGCCACTAAGGGCTGGGATCCCAGGCAATGGGGCTTGTCTGAAATTCTTCATATTTTGTTCCAAAACGTCCAAAGGATCGACTTCCACCCCTACTTCTTCGATATCACTCACCGGGGTTCTTAAAGATTCGTCCTGTTCTGCACTAAGGGTCTTGATGGTCTTTAGAGGTTTTACCCCAATAAAAGAGAACCGTTCAATTTGGTCACAGTTTTTGGCACTTTCAAATAAGAAACTAGGAGAACGGACCCCATGGTTCAATCTATTGTCCGCATGGGCAAGTTTGAGGTAGGCAATGTGTGGAGTCAAAGAGTCATTAGGAACGTACTTGTAGATAGGGTACAAGTTTGGGAGTTCGGTAGGTTGGTAAGCTGAGCGATCTTTGGAGATGATCTCAAGGAGACCCTCCAAGCTAGGTTGGATTTCGGTAGGCATTGGAAATAGTTAGTTAAAACAAAATATACCTATCAAAAAGATTAATGATTATGACTGAAAAATCGTCAAAAAAGGGAAAAAAAAAAATAAAGAAAAAAAAATAAAAAAAAAAATTAGTCAGCTGACTGTGAAGGAACCGTACTGATGGTACATTCCCTTCAATCAATATAGGAGGATTACGTTATAACGTAATCTAAAAGAACGAAAAACGATATTACAAGAACGATATTAAAAGGATCATAAAATTAGGAAACATATTCTTTATGAAAGAGAAAGCTCATTCAGCAAACTCATTGTCTCTCTTATTAATACCATGATATCGTGTAGAAGATTAATTGTCTGATGGTCGATTGATGGCATTTTGAAGATCCAATTCATAATTATCCAAATATTACTGAAATTAAGAATTTCTTTTTTTTTTTTTTTTTTTTATTTGAAATCGAACTTGTGTAAAAATATCTTGAATATAAGAAAAACCAAATTGTAAAAAAAGATCTCTAACCAAAGAATGATGTATATCCCAAAACAAATATACGAGTTTCCAAGCTATAGTAAGACAAAAATAGGATAATACTGAAGAAAAAAAAAAATACTAATAAGAAAGAAACAGATAGACAAAATTAAGTTTAAAGCAAAAAGATATATATATTTATATATATATAAATAAATATATTCGTGGACTAAGAAAACATTAAATGATAACAAAAAAGTCTGTTGTGTAAATTGGAAGATGAATTGATGAAACATCAAAAAGGTTTCAATCAACAAGAACAATCAAGAATGAAAACACTTTATGGAGCCAACCTAAATAAATAAATAGCCGAAGATATTAAGGAAAAGATAATATATGTAAAAAAAAAAAAGTATAAGTAGAGCAGCATTAAATAGATAGAGCAGAAAAATAAACACATTTTTCTAACAAAAAAAAAAACAAGAGTAGCAATTGTATGAAATAATTTAGGAAAAAAAAAACAAAATCAAATCACTCTAGCACGATTGTACCATAGTGTAAATAGTAGAGGATTTGATAATAGACAAGCAAATTAACACAAGAAAAGAGAAAAAAGAACAACAAAAGGAGATTTAAAGTGTATCCAGAATATAAAGGGGATGGTGAAAAGGGGGGGGGGGGTGAAAGAAAAGGAAATAATATTATAGCCAAGCAATACCTGAAGAACAAGATCAAACAATAAAAATGAACAGCAAAACAAGTCAGGGAGAGCCAGAAATCAATGACAAGAGGATGAATAAAAAGGAAGAAGAGGAAGGTAATTCTAAACAAAGCAAGCAAGGCAACCAATACGCTCTTCATTTCCTTGGTAGCAAAGTTTTCTATGATCCTCTTTTTCTTCTGAGTTTTCCTCCAGTCATTATATTATCTGGTCATTATTATTATTATTATTTTTTAATTTTTTGTATTTTCAACTTTTTTTTTTTTTTTTTATATTTTATTTTATTGCTTTCAATAGAAAACCATACCAGTCATTTAATCATCAAAGTACTTCTTCCATTTACAAAATCACACACTTGTTCTTCTTCTTTTGCTTGAGGTTGCCCATCGATTTTTTGTTTTGAGGTCTGGCTGGTGGATTAGCTCTGGAAGCTTGGTTAGTTCCTGAGTTACCGTTATTCTTCAAAGGAGGCAAGGCAGGTATTGAATGATTGTCATTAGTTGGTGAGGTCATGGCTTCTCTAATCATGATTTGACGAATAACATCGGTGAACGCTTCTTCCACGTTAGTTTTCACTCTGGCACTGGTTTCGTAGAATGGGACTTTCCCCCACTGTTGGGAAACATTGATACCGTCTTCGGGACTCAAGACTCTTTCATTACTAAGGTCACACTTGTTACCAATCAAGACCATTGGCACGTTGGTGCTATCTTTTATTCTCAACACTTGTTCCCTGAGGGTCAACAATTCCTTAAGCGAGTTTTCATCGGTCACGGAATAAACGAGCAAGAACCCCCGTCCAGACTTGATATACAATTCCCTCATTGCTGTGAATTGGGCCACCCCTGCAGTGTCCAAAATTTCCAACTCGACAGTTTTGCCATCGACTTCGATTTGCTTTCTGTAAGAATCCTCGATTGTCGGGTCATACGATTCAAAATATACTCCTTGGACAAACTGAACGGTGATGGAGGATTTCCCAACACCACCGGCACCGAGAACAACTAATTTATAGTCTTTAAAAGAAGGAGGAGATGAGTTAGTATTGTGAAGACCCAGACAAAAAACAAAACAAAAAACAAAGGGTTATGCTCTAATATATATAAAAATGACACCCATGCAGATAGTGAAAAAAAAAAAAGGAACCACACGAGGAAGAGCAAATATAGTAATAAATAATAAAATGTGTTTTGTGATTGTAGATTAGTACTTACCTCTCATAGTAATTATGATTTATTTATTGGATGGGGGGAAAGAGATGGAAATGAAGGAAGAAGAGCAGGCCACAGATAAGGTGTGTGTGATTTTGAATAATTGATTGGCAAGGGTCTTTCCTTGTTGTTGTTGTTGTTGTTGTTGTTGTTGTTATTATTGTTGTTGTTGTTGTTGCAGGTTCACACTCGTTGGGTTATGGTCTTGATAATATATATACGATAGGTGAGCGGATAACCAGAAACACTTGTTTATTTTGGTGGTTTGTGACGGAGGTTCTGGGAAGGGGCACGAGTCTTGGTAGATTTGACCTGTTTTGTGTCTTTTATTTTTTTTTTTTTTTTTTTTTTTTTTTTTTTTTTTTGGGGGATTTTTATGATTTTTTTTTCTGCGTGTGGCAGGGGGAGTTGGGGATTTTTTTAGTGCGCACATACACAATTAATAATGAACATGGATAATAACAATAATAATATCAATATATTCATAATAAAACATATACTTTCTCCTCTAGTAACAATAAACAAAAAGTAAGAATAGAAAACAAATATAAAAGAATCAACTATAACAGCATTTGTCCAGTAAACACTCGACAACACTGATTTCTAACAACACAATAAAATAGAAATCGACTAGAAAAATAAATAAATAAATAAATCAATAGATAAATAAAAAAATAAACATATAATTTGAACATCCTCAGAAGTACAGAGAACTAGTTAGCCAAAAAAAAAACAACAAAACAAAACAAGAAAAAAAAAACAAAGAGAAAAAATCAATTAAAAAACACTAAAAATAAATAAAAAAGGGGAAAAAAAATCAAAATCAAAATCAAAATAAATAAATAAATAATTAACAGTCAGTCACTCACAGTGATCACTCGATAATGTTACGCGATTGTCTCCAATTCAACACACTTCTTTTTGCCGTAGTTCTATGAGAAGAATGGGTATGACTATGGGTAGAATCAGTTCTTTGAGAATTATCCGAACTATTACTGTGCATTCTTCTCAAATAATCATGACCCTTTATGCCATTGTTGGCAACGTGCACATTCATTGGCACTGGCAATTGGATGCTTGGAGCATTCAACATCGCAGCATGGCTGGAAATCCCGTTATTGATATCCTCGGTTTGAATCCCAATTCTTCTGATTTCCTCTTCAAAGTTCTTCTTGAACAAGTCGACCAAGGTATATTGTGACTCTTGCATTGATTGAGGCACCAACTTGGCATGGATCATCAAACAACGTCTGATGGTCATCGCCAATTCATTGAATTGAATACGTAAAGTCTCAAGCTGCAACGCGTAAGCTGGGTTCTTGGTGAACGATTCAGAACCAAAGAATACACGGTATTGACCGATCCCACCATTCACTGGAGCATCGATGGTACCACTCAATTGTCTGGACATCTCGCTGAAAATATTACTCAAGTCTTCTTTTTCCTTCATCGCCTTGTTGGCCATGGTTTCAAGCCCAATCAATTCTTGGGTCTTAGACGTCAACGATCTCAAAGCGTTTTGCAATGGTGACAACTTCACGGTAATCGCAGATTTAATTTCACTTCTGTTCATCAAAGTTGGGAAAGAGGTGTAAGTTTCATAAGTGGTTTCTTCGACCCACAAGTCCATGACCGAGCTGGAACCTGGCAATCTTCTGGCGTTGGTGAATCTTGTCAAGTTTCTGTTTTCCATGTACAATCTGGCGCTGACCGTCAAGTTACTGATATTTTGCGGAACATTGACCCTTGGTTCGACAGTGGTGATGTGCAAATATCTACCCGATGGGATCGATTCACTCAATTTTCTGGCTTCATCATCGTCACTAACAATAATCGCTCCGGGATGCAATCGCAACAATCTATCATGAATACTGGTAATGTGCTCGAATGGATAACCTTCGTAAATATATTGTCTACCTCTCACCGATTTAGGGAAACCATAACCAATGAACGCAATTCTGAAGTACGATGGAGTCAATCTTTCAATGGTTTCCAAATCCAAATAAAGACCCGACAATTGCTTATGAACGTACGATAATCCTTTGAAGTCATACTTGATGGTATCATAAACATGGGCCAATTGCTTGTACACTTCAATGGCTTTTTCCAAAGCTTGGCCCTTAACGAAATTATGGGCCATCATCTTCATAAGCGCTTCCTTACGTTCAAACGACGATTGTTCTGGGAATTTTGGCTTGATACACACTGGTAACTTATCTTCGGTGTTCCAATCATAAGTACTGGCCAACAATTCCAAACTCAACCCAGCTTGTACAAAGTTTTGTTTAGCAACATTGCCTTCAACCATTTCACTGATAAAAGAATGCAACAATTCTGGCTTGTTGACATGTTTCAAGAACCCATTGATGTTCAACTTGTGGAAAGTTCTATCATCGTCGAATTCCGGTCCTGGTGGGACATTTTCCAAATCATTAAGCACTTCCAAGAATTCGTACAAGTTTTGGATAAAGCTGTCGATCGCCTCGAACGCCTCATCTTCTGGATCAATTCTAATCGATGATTTCAATTTCTTGATGAAATTTCTTTCTTCATATTGACCCGGCTTATATCTGTTGCTGTGGAAAATTTCGTACAATCCAACAATACATTCTCTTTCAATATCGATCAATTTTTCATTCAATAACCATTCAGAAATAATAATGGTCCAAAGCATCTTGACCCCAACTTCTTGACAATTGGCTTGTCTTTGCAAAGACAACAACATCAAATCTTGCAACACCCCGTAATCGTAATTGATGAATTCCACTTGATACCCTCCGAATTTCGTCAATTGGAATCTGACAATATCGTCATCAAGAGCATCCCACGCCAAGCAATCCCAGACTTCGTTAATCAACAGACACACTCTAGTTCTCAAATCACCACTGATTTTCCAACAAGCTTTTCTTGGAACGTCGGCCAAATGACAAATGGCCACTGGCATCGCGGTAGCAAATTTCATACAAGTTTTCAAATAATTACCCCAAAGCAATCGATCGAATTGATCGGCATTATCCACCGGTGGAATGTGATCGGAAATCATAATGTTTTTCAACATTTCAAATACAGTGGAACCGGCCTCGACAAGCAAACCGTGCAAAGATAACCATTTAGTGGCCGGATAACATTTGGATTGGATCATCAATTTGGAAGTTTGGATGATATTCAAGATTTGTTCTTTATTCAAACTCTTGGCGAAATAATCGGCCTTATTAAACATGGTGTCACTGATACTGGCTTGGAACAAGCTTTGTAACCCTTTTTCCCCACAAACGTGTTTACCAAGTTTTGTCATGTAAGCAAACAACGTCATCAACTCGATCAAAATCTCCACAAATGATTCATCATTGACAATCGAGTCCATAGTGATTTCATTAAATGGGTAAGTGGTTGGGAACAACGTGGTGAAAGTTCTCTTTGGTTTGAACATCCCATTGGCTCTAGCAAACTTATTGTAGTGCAAAATGATTTCGGAAATAGATGGAATCAACCTAACTACCCCACGACACAAGTAAAAGTCTTCGACCCTGTTGGTTTTGATGATATCCCAACAAAGGGAGCAAATGGAAACCAAGATCCCGTTAGCCAATCTGGAGGCTTCCATATCGTTGTGGCCCACCAAAACTTCCATGGCCCAGTTGATGGAGGTCAAAATCAATTTGTCACGACAAGCAGGGGTTTCCACGACCCAAGAGTGCAACAAACGACGAATCAACAATAACTTGGTGATAATAAACCCAAACACTTTGTCATTACGCTTGTTGATAGGTTGGGCACCGCCTGAAACGTCGACAGTAGATAACCCTCTAATACCAACGGAATCAATCAAGATAATTCCGAAATTCAAAGTGTCCTCATCCATGAAAATGGTTCTAAGACTGTCTAACCAGAGATCAATCACTTCTAAAATGTAAGATTGATCAGAGGTGAAGTTTTTATCTTTGGAAGATAAGAAGGTGGCAATCGAGCTCAAGAAAGATTTCCACGAGTTGATGAAAGAGTCCACGGTTTTGGAATCGGTGGTCTTGATAGCTAATCTCAAAATCAAAGTGGACACACGACATACCGATCTGTTGAAATATTCCCACGAAGTTTGGAAAGAAGAGAAGTATTGCTCCATCTTAGATAACAAATAAAACCCGACAGATGGCAAGTTGGTGGCATTTTTGATGAAATTTTCAAAGAAGTACACGTATTGGTCTTTTCTAGCGATGACAAAATCAAGAACGTGAACAATACTTTCAAATACCGATTTATTCAAAGCTGGCAAGCTCAAATCAATCGAAGCTTTGTAAACTTCCAACAATGAGGTCAATAATTCAGGGAAGTATTTCACCAAGTGCGAAGTGTCCAAGTTATTGAATTTCTTGATCAATTGAATGAAAGTGTCTTCGTTGGCTGGTAAAGAAATCAAATTCTTCCAATTCAATAAGGTATGGACCGAGTGGTCGACGTTGAAGGATTTACCAACGTATTCACTGGTGATTTCGAACGACACGGCCGAGGAGTGGCTGTTGCCAGCACTATTCAATTCGACCAAGTGGGTCTTCTTATATTCGATAGCTTGGTTGCCTCTTCTGATCAATAATCTACCTTCAGCAACCACTTCACCATTGATGAAGGCATGGAAATACAAGAAATCACTTTCGGCATTGCTCATAAGACCGCTATTAGCACCGCTGCCAATTCCACTAACTCTGATCAATTCCCCTACCGATTCATCGGAATGAACTGATGGAAATTGCCATTTTTCAGTTTCAGTTTGGTTAGCCCCTTTAACAAAACTGATACTATTGTTGTTGGAAGTAACTTGAATAGTGACAGGGAAACCTTTCAAACTGGATGCTTTGACGTGAACTTTCCCCAACTTAATGTAGAATCTTTCGCTGAATTTGACCAATGGATCATAAAACATGGTTCTAATTTGGGCAATTGGTCTTAAACCATTGGTGTCAAAATCACTCATGAAATTCTGGGTAGCGCTTTTGAATTCTTTGATGCTGACCACCAATTTCTCGGCTCTTGGGTTGACCGCCACCCCTTTATTAGAACCTCTAATAATTCTATCGGTTAATTCACCCCAACCGAAATTTTGGTCGCTTGGAGTTTGTGCTTCATGCTTGTTGATGTAAGAACCGAAAAGTTTGATCTTAAAATGGTGGGATTCTCCAGTAGCGGTGATGCCTTTTCTAGAGAATACTCTGGAAATATCAGTGACCCCGGCAGCCACCCCTTTTCTAATCTTACTGATAGAATGGGAATTGGAACCGGATTTTGGATGAGCGTCGACTGAGTCCTTTGGAATTTCGATTTCTTCGGTAATGAGGGCCACCAAATAGATTCTACCTTTGTCGATTTCTCCAGCAGGAATATTTCTGAAAAGCGCAGCACTCAAAGTATCCATATTGAGATCTTTATTGGCATTGATTGGCACAGAGAACGCTTCGGTAAGTCTTTCTTTAGAATTTCTCAAGTACAAGAAAGCGGTCATCCCGATAAAACCTTTTGGAGATACCGAGGAACTAGAAATCAAGTTGGTGAAATCAACCAAGATTTGTGATGGCACTGCTTTTTTGAATTTTGAGTTTGCCGGTGGGTTCAAATTGGCCAACTCGGCGTCGGATAATGGGTAATTGGAACACAAGGCAAACATGAATTGATTAATGGCGATGACATCGGGAGTCGCTTGTTTGTTAAGATCTTTGGCACGATAATCAAACAATTCCCCGGTTTCTGGGTTTCTGGCCAAAATGGCTTCGTAACCGGCGGTATCGTATTTAATGGCGGAGCTTTTTCTATCGACTTTGTTGATACCTTTCGAAGACAACAATTTGGCGATTTTACTCAACAACAACGCGACACTTTTTCTAGCGACGTTTTTTTCGGCTTTGGTACACAAATTATAAGATAATTTGATTCTAATTTCGTCCAATTCGTAGTATAACGACCCCAATTTCAAAGATAAGGAGAATTCACCCACCGAATATAACGAGTAGATATGGGAACTCAAAAGGGAGATTGCCGGGGTGATTTCGTCCAACAAGTCGCCGGAATCCAATCTAAGGGCAGGTAAAGGAGGTTTGAGGTGATAATTTATGTTTTCGCCTTCTCTGGCTTCGGTAGCGTTCAACTCGGTTTCATAGATGGTGGGGACGGTAGGATTACTGACAAGGGCGCCGTTGGTGATGAGCTTGGTTTCGTAATTGTAACCAGTGACATCAGACACCGTGGTTGGTTCCTGGGTGCCAGAAGACGAGATGGCGTCCATGATTTTTTGATCGCCATTCTGGGCCAATTTTGGGATTTGAATCTTTTCAAAGATTTTGACGTGAGATAACGGCAAGATCACGACGGCGATTCTTTGATCAGGCAATTTTTCCAAGTTTGAAGTGATGGCAATGAAATCGGTTGGTAAAGGCTGGACCAAGATATAACCTCTGGCCCATTTATCACTAGCTTCAAAGATGTAGACTTCATCACCAGGGTACAAGTTTTGGAAATATGAAGGCAATTTATCCAAATGATTCTGGGGCAAAAACGACTTGACCACTCTACCATGGGCCAACATGGGAAGTGGCTGCCATTTCTGTGCACTTGTCATGGTATATTGTGGTTAAAATGAAGCAGAAAAAAAAAAAAAACAAGAAAAGAAGAGATTAGAGAGAAAAAGGATTGTTATTCACTGGTGTACTTGGATTTTGGGGAAACTTTGAGACAAATAAAGAGAAAAAAAAAGAAGGAACGAAGAACACTAGCAGAGGGGATGGAGGTGGTGTAGCTGGTGTGGGACGATCCAAAACTCGGGGACAACGCACGTATGATGATGAAATGGACAGGTATGGTTGGTTGGTTGACGTATATAATAGAATAAAGAGTGGGTCGATTGGAAAGAGAAAAAATTAAAGGGGAGGGAGGGGGTGATCTGGTTGGCTGGCGGAGGATTTTCATTTTTTTTTTTTTTTGGTTTTCTGTTACGTGTCCGGGACGGCCGCGGAGGGCGAATGTCTGGGTGTTTCAGCTATGCTGCCACTACCGCTGTCTGTGTATGTGGGTGGACTAAGTTAGTTTGTAGAGAGAGACGAGTAGAGTAGAGTAGAGTAGAGTAGTCTGCTTTTGTACAGCGTGCCGAAACGTGTGTGATGATTACAAGTGGCGTATCGTATCTCCCACTCGGTGGGTATCCTGCATTATCACTAATGATTCTCTATAAACAAAAAAAATCCAACTATCGCTCAAATCATCAGCATTCAAGTTATTCATCACCATCGATTCCTACAGAGCCATCGCTGATCTCTTCATTCAATATCATCATCGTCATCTCCATTTGTTCATGATGACAGCCCGCTCCTGTTCTTTCAAGCTCTATCACCATCAGTTGACGACGCAGATTCAGCAATTCCGTAAGTTTGATAAATCCCATCATGTTGAAAAAGAGAATTACGAGTAGGAGGATCTTGCGCATTCTCCAAACATGTTGCTGTTTCAATTTCTTCAGTGACTGGGATTCTTGTAGTTCAAGATCATCGTTATTGTCTTCACGTTCGATCTCCGCTAACAAAGCAGCATGCGATTCTTTTTCATCAATAGCCATTACTTCTTACCTTACTTTACTCACACCGTAGGAATTGTTATTTATTTTGCTGATGTATAAGAAATGTCAAAAGCAAAAACAGAACATAACAAAGATGGTGGAATTCCTATTGTTTATATTTATCTTCGGTTGGCATTTTTGCTAATGCATGGTAACTTGAACCCGGTGACAGAGCATTACCACAGAAACATTATTGCAGATTAAAATTTTCAAAAACCCTGGAAGCACTTAAGGTATGATGCTATAACTATATCCCAATGCAAGCTATATATTATATATAAGAGTTGAAGGGGTAGTTATCAATGGAAAGTTACCCATCATTTGACAATAACAATTATGATGTATAGCAGACATCTCCAAACAAAATAAACATAAGGGGGGACTGACTGACTCTACTCTACTCTACGAATACCCTTCCGCATTCATTGCAACCATTCCAATAATCTTTCTCAATAATAATAATTATTACATTTGACTATAAATAAAGATAGGTGGGCACCCCAAACCTGCGGCTCAAAGCACGAAAAACATGGTAACATGGCAATTCATTATATATAGAAACCAGCGAGTTAGATTCGACACACACACACACACACACACACACACACACACACAAAAAAAAAAAAAGAGAGGCTTAGGATGAAAAAAAAAGATTGATGATATTAATTATCATGGATAATAATCTCTCTAGAAGGATTAGATCAACAAGTCACCGTGGCGAAGAAGAGCCCATGGGATTGTGCAGATATACATAAATTTTCTTCGACATGCATCGCCTTCAATTTTGAGGTTTTACGTAAATGACATCTGAGTAAGCGTCTAGTATTTGAAAAAGAGAAACATAATAATAAAAGCTATAATAATCTCCATTTGTAAAGAGCATATACAAATAAATTGTCATTCCTACAATCACACCAAAGCATCGAATGTTTATACAAAAAACTATAAAAGAATATTATCAATCAATCTAGTAACATTGTCATCGGAAGAGTTGGTCACATAGATTGCGCATGTGATGCACCCACCCTTGTTGGTATCTATCTCTGTTAATTCTTCCAAAGTGTCTTTATCATTGATGGAGATATAATCAACCTTCATCGCCCCATCATCTACAAATGGCTGGATCACCGCCATCATTTGCTTCTGTAATTCTGCCACACTGGTGATGTTCTGTTGTTCGTACAAATCTTTACCATGTTTCAACATTCGGTAAATATTGGTCGACATTTCCACGGTGGGACCATCCAAATACTTGTTTCTTGAACTCAACGCTAGTCCCGAGTCATCTCTGTAAATATCACAGACCACAATCTCAATATCAAACAACAAGTCCTTGACCATTCTGCGGATCACCAACGACTGTTGATAATCTTTTTGTCCAAAGTATGCTCTGGTCGGGGTGACAATGATGAAGAATTTCGACACCACCGTGGCGACCCCACGGAAGAAATTTGGTCTAGTTTTCCCTTCGAGCATTTCACTAAGACCGAGCACAGATACAAAGGCCCCAGACTGTTGTGACACATCTAGAGGGATTCCCGAAGGGTACATTTCTTTGACGTTTGGAAGGAACACCACGTCGACCTTGGTTTCTAGCCCGGCATGGGTGTCTGATAATTGGGAAACCAAACTGATGTCGTCTTCCACGGTTCTTGGATAAGCATCCAAGTCTTCATTAGGAGCAAACTGCGATGGGTTAACGAAGATGGAAATGATGGTGGCCCCGTTATTCTTAAGCGATTGTTTGATCAATGACAAATGGCCTTGGTGGAGCGCCCCCATGGTCGGGACCAACCCCACGGTCTTGTTGGCGAGGGTACACGAGAGTCTCCATTTTCTGACGTCGGCAATACTGGTGAGCACGAGAGGTCTGTAAGGCTGTGATTTTTCTTGTTCCATTGTGGCGTGGCCGGTAATCAAAAAATAAAAAACACACACACACAAGTGAGAAAGTGAAAGAGGGCCTATCCGAGGGGGAAATAAAATCATCAATCATCATCATCATCATCTTCTTCTTCATCATGGGGGCGGTTGTGCGAGCGAGCGAGCGCACGAGCGAGAGTAAGCGAGAGAGCAGGGCGCCGCACCCCCTGAAATGATTCTGGAGAGCGACGGCCGGGCAACGTGACGCGATAGCACTTTTTTTTTTTTTTTTTTTTTTTTTTTTTTTTTTTTTTTTTGATTTGTTTACAAAATATGTTGTTGTTGTTTTTTTTGTTTATTTTCTGTTTTACATCAAAACATCTGCTATTATTATACAGCTCGCATGTGTCAAGACAATAATACTCATAATCATAACAGTGCTCTAGCAGTATAATGTCACAGGACTACGCCTACAAAAGGCAAAGAATATCAGAATCTCACCCAACCTCGCACACCCCTCTTGCAACCCTCGATAACAACGTCTCCCATATTCCTACCATGATGAGCAATTTCAAGAAGAAAAATGGTGCTTCAGGAAAAAGACTTTCCATGATCAACAAACGACACTCAAGCATCGGGCCTCCGCGATTATCTTCGTTTGGTATCCCCTCGTCAGCATCGTCGCTCAAGAAAACCCTTGATTCTCCTTCAAGTCAGTCTGGCAAGGTCAAAGGGGCTAATCTCAATCCAAGGAAAGCCCTGACCATTGGAAGAAACCCTAAACTAAATAATAACAATAATAATAATAAAAATAACAAAAATAATAATAATAATAATAATAATAGATTGTCAATTTACTCTCAACTGGGAATGTTCAACGGAGGGGCAGGCGCAGGAGGAATATCATCTGCACTACTTCCAACCCCGTCAACGTCCGCAAGCAGTTCACAAAACAATAATACCCATACCATCCAAAGAGACCCTAGACCTTTACGAGATGGTCAATATCAAGAAACCATGCGACAAGAAATCCACAGTTATTTGATCGACAATCATTTTGAAATCAACACCAAGCACTTACTCACGGAGAAAACTTTGAGAGCCCCGACCCAAAAGGATTTTGTGGCGATTTTTAACTGGCTCTTCAAACAAATTGATCCTGGCCACACCGTCACCAAGTCTCTTGAAAGTGATGTCACTCTTCTTTTGAAAGTCGTCCAGTACCCTTATCTCAGTACCATAAACAAATCCCAAATTTCCGCGGTGGGTGGCCACAATTGGCATGTGTTTTTGGGGATGTTACATTGGTTGGTGAAATGCAGTTATTTCGATCACCAGGCCGCCAAAGAAGTTATGAATGACGACGAGCTTGTCAGCTCGAGCATTGAAGAAATTGATCTTGGTGATAAATTGAACAACATGTTTTTCAAGTATATGAAGAATGCGTATCAATTATTTCTGATGGATAAGGACAATTACGAACCTTTGAAAGAGGAATTACAAGCCGAATTTGACGGGTACATGCAGTTGATTGAACGCTCGGTCACCGATGTCGAGGCAGAATATCAACGGTTATTCGAAAAATATAATCGGTTGGTAAAGGAAGATGAAACCATTGAACACGGTAATAAGCGAAGCCAGGCTTTGGAAACCGATATTTTGAAGTTCAAAGAATACATTAAATCCATCGAGGCGCGAAAAATCAAATGGAATGCCAATGTTAATAAGATGACGTCTGAAGTCAATAACTTGAAACTGAGACAATTAGAGCTTGCACAGGCCAATCAAAAGGTGGTGCAAATGTTGACCGATCATGGATTGAATTTGAATGACGTGAAAGGCTTGATTGATGACAAAAGAAATGTCATTGCCGAACACGAAAATATGTTAAAGCTGGTTGAAGAATCGACTGCTCAACTACGAGAACACGAAAACGAAGCTCGAAAGCATTTTGATGTGTTGCAGGATTTGGCGAAAGACTTTAATAGTGATATCTACTCAATTTCTAATATTGCCGCGTCAGAATACCAGTATGATTTGGATATTGAAATTCAATTGGATGATCTTTTGGCGGAAGAGAAATTGGGGCTTCGGTCAGATGAATTACTTAAAGGTCAAGATCTCAGGACAACGAAAAAACAATCGCTCAAAGATTTACAGAAACGAGCCCGAGACAAGAATTTCAAGATCAAGGATGAAATCATCAAACAGCAAAACAGTATTGATTTGCTCAGTGAGACGAGTACGGAGAAGACCGAATATTATAGTAATTTGGAAGCTAAGCTATCTTTGTTGAAAATCCAGTCGGATGAGTTGTACAATACCATTACGTTAGAGTCGAATGCCTCTAATACTGAGACGGAGAAGCTTGAAATGCAACTCCAGTCATTACGAACTACTGTTGATCTGAGTTTGTTAGATATCGATCAGAAAATCCACTCCAAAGAGATTGAACACGACGGAGTTTTGAACGAAACTAGAGTGAAACGCGAGCAGTTACATAAGGACGCAGAGAAGGTGATTAATGAAGTGATCTCTTTCAAAATGGATATCCAAGAGTCTTTGGAGACTTTAAGCGAGGCGGTACTGGTTGAATATCTTGAGGAGACGGGGTAGATATATATATATATTGTTTATTGTTATTATTATTATTATTATTATTATAGTACTGTGTGGTATATTGGTCACAGTTTTAGGTTAATTATTTTGTAAAGTAACATATTATATAAGATGAATATAATATAATATAATACATGAATGGTGATAATAGTTGAGGGTAAGCACCCACCGCAGCGGCACCTCTCTCTCGACTCACGATCAGGTGACCAGGAAGCAACCCCCTCCTTAGTGTGAAATCCGGAGAATTTTATTGGCTGCCTGCAGAAAACCACACTGTGTGGAAAAAATCAAAAAACGAAGGGAAAAAAAAAATATCAGCTCTGTGAAACCCTCGTCTGAAGAAGGCTAGATAACAACCACCATCCATCACCATATCTTTCTCCGATGTTTGCGTTAAAGTCTGCTACTAAGCGTCTCAACAGTGTGAGTTAAAAACATTGCTTTGTTTTTCATTATTATTTGCGGTTTTATTTGAAGGAACTTTTGAAGAGAAAAAAAAAAAAGGAAGGAAGAAAAGAAGGAAGGAAGTATCAAAATCATGACAAATGGTCGAATCGTTTATGGAGTATGCTATCTCTATTATAGAAATTGGATACATGAAGAGGACTACCAGTTAATGATATATCTCTAGATTCATCATCTTTGAAACGAAAATTAATCTCATTAATATCCGGGTCAAGGGTACTTGAACTTTATCGAAAATTATTATTATCGTCTTTATGTTTATGTTTTTTATTGAGCAGTTTTTTGGGGGAATAATGGGCTGAAACATGATAGAAAGCATTAGGTGATCTGTTTGGAAAGACAATGGCTTTATCGAATCATAATAAAAGTTATTTATTTGATTATTCTTTTTTTTTTTTTTTTTGAATTTTTGAATTTTTGAATTTTTGAATTTTTGAATTTTTTTTCTTTTGTTTATGAGGGTGTGCTGGCGTCAAAATTTTTGGATATTCTATTTGGCTCATGATAATGGTTGTTGGTCAACCGAGTTCTTAATGGTCTCTTGAGATAAACGTAATTTGTTGGTGAAACTTCCTAACTTTTTCAGATCGGAACAATTGTCATTCAAATCTTGTCATTTAATATGATCTATCCAAACTTCATACTAACAACAATCATTAGAGAGCCTTTTCTACCAACACTGCCGCCAATGCCACTTCATTTGCAAAGAAGGCATTCACTGGTGGTGTTGCCGCCACTGGTTTGGCTGCCTCTTACCTTTTGTACGCTGACGGTCAGACTGCCGAAGCCATGACCGCTGCTGAACACGGTTTACATCCTCCAGCTTACGGTTGGTCCCACAACGGCATGTTCGACACTTTTGACCATGCTTCTATCCGTCGTGGTTTCCACGTTTACCGTGAAGTTTGTGCTGCTTGTCACTCTCTTGACAGAGTTGCTTGGAGAACTTTGGTTGGTGTTTCCCACACTAACAGTGAAGTTAAAGAAATGGCCGAAGCCTTCGAATATGACGACGAACCAGATGACCAAGGTAACCCAAAGAAGAGACCAGGTAAGTTGGCCGATTACATTCCAGGTCCATACGAAAACGAACAAGCTGCCCGTGCTGCCAACCAAGGTGCCCTTCCACCAGATTTGTCATTGATTGTCAAGGCCCGTCACGGTGCTTGCGACTACATCTTTGCATTGTTGACTGGTTATCCAGATGAACCTCCAGCCGGTGTTGTGTTGCCAGTTGGTGCCAACTACAACCCATACTTCCCAGGTGGTTCTATTGCCATGGGTCGTGTGTTGTTCGATGACTTGGTTGAATACGATGACGGTACCCCAGCTTCCACCGCCCAAATGGCCAAGGATGTCACCACTTTCTTGAACTGGGCTGCTGAACCAGAACACGATGACAGAAAGAAGGACGGTTTGAAGGCCATCATTGTTCTTTCCTCTTTGTACTTGATTTCTGTCTGGGTCAAGAAGTTCAAGTGGGCTCCAATCAAGAGCAGAAAGATTGTTTTCAACCCACCAAAGAAATAAAAGTAGCAACCGGGCTATAGACACATGAATCTCTGAGAGAAAATGAAACAAAAAAAAAACCCCCCAACAACAACAACAACACCACCAAAACAATCATACAAAAAGACAAAAAAAAAAGACATAAATAATCCCATTTAAGTAAGAAAATTAACATTACTATTGTTCAACCCCTTGAAAATAGTCCATGAGACGGGAATTTTTGGATAATCTTCCGATTTGATTCTTGATTCTTATTTCCCTTATTACTCGACTTGAACAGATTTCATGACCCCACTGACCTCTGTGCACTTATTCCATCACCGCCAAGTTTCTTTTACATATACTTCATTAAAGTTCCTTAATAAAAGCATTTTATTATTATTATTATTATTATTATTATTATTATTATTATTATTTGACTCAGCTTTTTTTATTTGATGTACTGTAGTTTATGTTCAGGTGTTGTTTGACGCAAACGTTTGTTGGAAAAAGGCCAAGACGGCTAGCCGACTACTAAGTTGAAATGAAAGGTGTAACAATCTAAATCTATTGAGAAGTAGGACTATTATATGAATAACCAACCTCGAGAGGAATATAATATAATAATAATAAACAGGAGAGAACTAAATGAATAAAAAAAAAAAAAAAGAGAAAAGATTCTTTCATGACATGCGGAATACCCGGGAAATACCAGTGGAAATGGTGAAGCTGAATATGGAATGAAGAGACGTATTGGTGGTAATAGCGCGGGGAGGGGGATCAGAACAGAACAGAACAGGATCATGAACCAATTTTTGGTTTGTGTGGGAAACTCAATCGAGTTAGGTTATTGTGTGTGTATATATAAATACATGCTTCCTGAGAAGGTCGATCATGTCGCCTCCCCCGGGTATGATGTAAGATTTAGGAACCTTCCTATTGTCGTCGAGATTTTCGCTGATATCGAGGGTTGGAGCGCTGTGAAGCAGACACGCTGCGAGATGGAGCGGAAGAAGAAGAAGAAGAAGAATAATAATAATAATAATAACTGCCAGCAAGTACTAGTAGAAGAAGTCTTTTACTCTTCCTTTGACACAGTAGGGACACATCATATGGTTACATCGGTAACAGTTGAAACTGTACGGAAGTTGCTCTCGAGACCCATGGACCTGGCCGCACTGGCAACAGTACCACTGGATGATCTTGTTGGGGTCGGTGTACCCGGGGTTGGGGGTCTTTGGGAGAGACAGCTGGGGATGGTTGTGATTGCCCATGGTGAAAGAAGGAGGATTCTGGCAATTTAAAAAAAAAAAAAAAAGAGTTGGTCCTCCCGCCAAACTGGTGGACGTCGAGAAAGGAAAAGCGACGCAAAAAGTGTGCGGTTTGTGTCACTTTTCTTGTGGGCGGTGGTGGTTTGGTGGGCACGCCTTCCAGAGCGGGGTCTCCCACCCGGGTGCGTAGGCTATTATTGGATGTGATGGATGGCCATTTTCAACATTCTGCCCTTGTTTGTTTGTTCCTGTAAATAAATAAATAAATATGCCCTAAATAAATAAATACCAGGCGGCTGCTGTTTGTCACCCCAGAAATCCTTGGTTGGTTGGTGTATATGTATATTCACATTTGTTTCTCTGTACTTCATCCATGGCCAAACCATTGGTGCTTCAATTGGGCGGTCCCATCCGCTACAACCTCCAACAGTACTCGCAGTTCCTGCAAACTTTCGACATCGTCGAGGTCAAGGATCTCGCCCGGCCCCAGTTCAAACAAGCCCTTTCCAATGGCACTTTCGGTCAATTCTATGCTGTTTACCGGCCGTTCTGGAATGACGGGTTCCAGATGGGCCAGTGGGACAAAGAATTGATCGATCTCTTACCGTCGTCATGCAAAATCATCGCCATGGCCGGGGCGGGGTTCGACTGGATCGATATTGATTATTTGAGCTCCAAAGGCATTGTCTATTGCAATGGTGGTTGGGGCCCCACCGAAGCAGTGGGGGATAATGCCATCTGGCATATCTTATCGACCTTCAGAAACTTTTGCTGGAGTTTCAAAGCAGCAGCGTCGTGCGACAAACAACAGTTTCTTGACGCCCATACCAACTGCGTGCTCACGGCGTTTAATCCCATGGGCCATACTTTGGGGATCATTGGCATGGGGAAAATCGGGTACAGGATCGCCGAGAAGGCCAACAAAGGTTTAGCAATGAAAATTGCTTATTATGATCTATTCCAACGGCCTCGGGAACAAGAACGTGCCATTGAGGCAACGTACTATAAGAATCTCGAGGAATTGCTCGCGGTGTCAGATTGTGTGGTATTGGCCACCCCAGCATTCGCCGATAAGTTCATGAATCGCCAAGTATTTTCGAAATTCAAAAAAGGTGCGCGGTTCGTCAACATTGCTCGAGGTAAGCTTGTCGATACCGACGCCCTTGTCGATGCCATCAACAGTGGGCATATTTATGCCGCAGGCTTGGACGTGTTTTACGATGAACCCCAAGTTCCCAAGCAATTGGCCGAGTTGAAAACGGTATCATTGACTTGTCATAACGCTGGAGGCTCGATTAGTACCTGGATATTCTTTGAAAAATCGGGGATGGACAATATTTCGAGTTTTTATCGGCATGGTAAGGCGGTCTCCCCGGTGAACTTGGGGTTGCTTAATAAATCGAAATTGTGAATCATCTTTTATGAAGTTTTTGGAGATTATGATAATTAATACGAGGGAACTTTATAAAAATATTGAAATTTTCAAAAAAAAAAAAACAACTAATGAGGGATATTAATGATGTATAAACTATTCTAAAATGAGAATTAACCATATTTTGAATAATTATAAGATCCCTGTAAATGCTGCTCGGATGGAATATATATTAATACTCCAACAGGGGGAAATAAACGCTTTGAATCTTCAAATTGCAGAAACCTTGTTATGATGGAGCTCTCCAAGGAACGATTATTGTGTGACAATATTTTTGTCGATAGCGATCCGAAAATCATCTAAAATAACACTTCGAACGTTATCGATGCCTGATGAAAACACTTACACTACCCATATTTCATAACCCCTGGTTGTAATATATATATTACATACCAATGCTCGGCAAATCTTAGGTAGATATTTTCGACTTTTGGAAGTATTGTTAACCATCGAAAAGTGGCAAGTTGCCATGCCATGCGTGTGTTCCCAATCTTTGGGTCTTTGGAGAGCTGAGTAAAAACCACAGAGATATTTCGTTCGACAAAACCAAATTGTTCTCCGAGAAATTCAAAAAAAAAAAAAAAAACAGCAACAAAAATAACAAGATTGTAAATGTAAATATCTGATGGCTGATACTGGACATCCTATACAGTTTCAAATATCCATTATTAACCAGTGAAGCCCAAAAATCATTCATTCCTTACCTTCTAACCATCTCAAGCTCACATGGACTTCTTTACAAACAGATCCCGGTCACTTCACTTCACCGCTTACATTGACAATAGCCAGACCTTTCGAAAACACTGATTATCATTCCCCACAAATTATTGTTCTGTAGCTGGCAAATGTTGTTGAGCCTCAGAGCCAAGACACCTTTCTTTCGGGTGGGCTCCCAAGTCGGCACTACAAGAAAAACAACCCAGGAAAAAAAAAAAAGAGCTTTATAAAATCTACACCATCTACATAATCCTTTCCTAGAATAAATAATTGGCTTTCTTCCGTTGCTCTCCATTTTCTATTTCTTTCCCTTTTTTTTTTTTTTTTTTTGGTATTGCTCTTCTTTCGCAATAATGTCAGGCCCAATAAAGCATAGAATCACCGTGATATCATCCAACAAAGTGGACAACACCGATCTTGACTCTCTCCACCTTTCCAGAGCTAAATGGGTATTACCTAAGGGAGATTACCAACGTCAGGATAAATTCCTGTTCCCATTCGACAAATTCGCGTCGTTATTTATCGAAGATACCACGAAATTCGACAACATTGCCGAGTTTGCTATTCAATGGGGGGTTTTCAATAATTCGTTAGTGGCAAAACAATTGGAACAACGTAATCAGGATTTAAAAAACTTGAATAACGCATTGTCAAAATACGTCGAACCTGGATACTCGGTGTTTGCTAAGCCAATCCAAGGGGCTACTGGTGATACCCTTTTAACCGACCTTATGGATGTCATTGGGAATATCAATGATTATGGCATTGAAGCATCCCAATTCATCAGGAACCCAATGTCATGGAACTATTTCAATAATGATTACCACTCTACCAGCCAACTTCCTCCAAAACTTGCTAGTTTCTTAGAAGAACTTATTTGTTCTGCGGAGATTTCATCAGAGCATAAGGAAACTTGCAAAGCGGATTACTCAAGTTTGCTCAAACATCTTTCATCTCTATCGCTCGAATTCAATAATAAACTTTCCTCTTCGAACAAAGGCGCCGATGATCTTCGTGATCTTACCATCACATTATACTGGAATACTGGTGCTTTACAGAATGTGCCATCGACAACAATCCACAAAGTTGACAACAACGAAAGGCTAACCCGTGAAATTGGAATGTTCGAAATCGACCACCGGGCATCCACACTTAATGATCTCAATCTTTTCGGCATCAGTGCCCAACTCCCATCGAAACTCGAACCAAAATTCAATCATGACGGTACCCCACTCTTCAATTCCGAAGATGACGATACCCTCGTGGCCCAGAAAACCATGTTCTACGTCCTGCCACGCCACATAACTTTGGATCCCAGCGGCGGTCATTTGGTGTATTCCCTGAAATTTCAAACTCCTATTGGTTTACACCCACAACACCAAGTGACCATCGCCGGCAACAAGCAGGATTCCATCAAGAGAAACACTACCTCAGGGAAACTCGCGCTCGAGCCGCCAATGAACCCAAAGATGTTTGATTGTGAACTTTTCAGTTACTATCGTCTTCCAAATACCCTTTTCCTCGATCGTAATGAGTTCACCTCGGATAATGGTGATGTGGAGCTTGTTGGGGTCTGGGGGGCCACCGATCTTGAAGCCCCACTGTACAAAACTCCTGAATGGGGTAGTGATGCGTTATTGCGGGTAAAGGTGCAACCTCGCGATCCAGATCAATTTGATATTAATGGAGAATTACAACCTTTGGTAAATGATGATGATGATGATGATGATGATGATGCTACACTCTACTCATTGAAATTGCATTCCCGGTATCAATCGGTGGACACTACCCCATATTATAACGGATCGATTGCCAAACCCGACGTGTTTTGGGCATGCGAACTTTCGGAACATCGTCTCGACAGCTTAGTAGACGAAGGGTTAATCAAGGCCAATGAGGCGGAGAATATTAAAAATCAATACGATAATGACCTAATTTACAAAAACCCATTGGATACTAAACTTGGAGTATCAATGGAAGGAATCTTCACCGATAACACGGTGTTCTATCATTTTGTCGCCAACGTCAGCGATATTTCTGATAATGCGAGCTTCCAAGATAATTTCACTATTCCAAGAGGTAAAAAAGAAGACTTCTTCATCATCCAGGTTGCGACGTTGGTGGTGGTGGTGTCAAGTTTATTATACTTGTTAAGAAAGGCTGTGAACGGTTTTACAGCCACCAAGAACCAAAAAAAGTCCAAGGATGATAAAAAGAACCAATAGTAGAGGATAATCAATTCATAATATATATTTATTGCCCTGGCAAATTGGTGTTTCATGACATATTATTGTAAGTCGTGGGTGGTGTTGATGCGCGCTCCAAACCGGCATATTCCCTAAATTACAGCGTACGTTGCACATCATCAAAAAAAAAAAAAAAAAAAAAAAGTTCCACCCCTCGCTCTCTATATATTATATGCATACTGATTCCTAATTTCATAGGATAATATATCTATATACATAGAGAGAGAAAGATAGAATAAAAAAAAATGAGTGTCAAGGCCCAACAGCCCACGCAGAAACCACATAATTATTCACTATGGAACATCTGGGTCGCGGGATTCTTCCTCAAACTACTATTATTCACCACTTATCATTCGACCGATTTTGACGTCCATAGGAATTGGCTCGCGATAACCAATGGTCTTCCCATGAATAAATGGTACTATGAAGCCACATCCCAATGGACTCTAGATTACCCTCCATTCTTTGCGTATTTCGAATGGGTATTGTCACAATTCGTGCCGCAATTGGTGAAAGACGATGGATGTCTCGATATCGTGGAAGTAGGGGAATACTCTTTACCCACGGTGTTTTACCAGCGATTGACGGTGATCGTCTCGGAAATCTTATTGTTTGCGATGTTACAATGGTATATAAACACTTGTGAATCAGATAAGGCCCGTAAAGGAGGGTTTGTGGTGGCAAGCAGTATTGCGCTTTCCCCAGGTTTCTTGATCATCGATCATATTCATTTCCAATACAATGGGTTCTTATTTGGCTTGATTGTCGGTTCGATTGTCGCCGCAAAACAACAGTACTATCTCCTATGTGGAGGGTTGTTTGCCGTGGCACTATGCTTCAAGCATATCTTTCTTTATTTGGCCCCGGCGTATTTTGTGTTTTTACTCAGAGGTTATTGTTTAAATTTACCGAATCACAATATTTCACTTATGGAGATTCTCGAGATCTTGGGGCTCAAAGCAGCTTCTGCCAAGTATAAACCGGTCCCCATTTGGAAAATTATCAATTGGGGAAACTTGTTGAAACTTGGATCACTAGTGATTATGATTTTTGCCGTGGCATTTGTTCCATTTGGGTATCCAGAAAATCAACTTCCCCAGCTCTTGACCCGTCTTTTCCCATTCTCCCGAGGGTTGACCCATGCATATTGGGCCCCTAACATTTGGGCATTATACTCGTTTTCCGATAGAATATTGTCACAACTCGCCCTCCACCTCCCAGGGTTCGCCAACCTCATGGTGAAATTCGGATTCCCGCAGTTTGCTCGCGACGTGATCACCTCCAAAATCATCGTCACCTCCAATACCAAAGGTTTAGTCCAAGACGTATTATTCACGGTGTTGCCAGATATCTCCCCACGCACCACTTTTTCACTCACCCTTTTCTACCAGATCCTCGCGGTTTTCCCCCTCGCTTGCAACCCAAGCTACGCGAGGTTTTTAGGGTCGTTGACCCTTTGTGGATTTGCCTCGTTTTTGTTTGGCTGGCACGTCCATGAAAAGGCCATCATGTTGGTGATCGTCCCGTTTTCGTTCGTCGCGGTACGTGATCGTCGGTTCCTTAGTAGCTTTGTGGTGCTCGCGGCGTCCGGTTACGTCTCGTTGTTCCCATTATTATTCACCCCTGAACTATGGACTTTGAAACTATTGTATACCCTTGTATGGTTCTTGATCTACTACGCGTCGTTCCGTGAAGTCGCAAAGACCGGACCATCGCAAGTCAGAAGGATTTTCTTTTTTGATCGATTGACCTTGATCTACATTGCGGGATTATTACCATTGGTGGTGGTGTGTGGAATATTAGATGTGTTGGGGACCAAGGCTGGTGCTTTAGGAAGATTAGAGTTCCTAAGGTTAATGTTTATCAGTGTGTACTGTTCAATTGGAGTGGTGGGAAGTTGGATCGGTTTGAGTTGGTTATATTTCTTTGATGAACTTCTTTGGACTGATTAATTTTTAGTTGTTGTTACAAATAAATTAAGTGTCTTTTTCTTTTTCTTTTTTTTTTTTTACATTTCTTCCTTCCTCATATTTATAGTACATTAATTTACAACATTCATTCAATAATAGTTAAAAAAAAAAAACAACTGGCATAATAGTGAACAACTTATAGTATACAATTTTTCATTACTCATTATCGGAAATGTTAATGTCAGATAACGGACTAAAGTAGCCGTCATTAAGGAACGTTTCCACAAATCCCAGGATCACTGGGGTTTTGACTTGATGTTTTGTTTGTGTCTTGGTCTTTGTTGGGGTTGAAATTAAAGGGTGCACTTTTGCTCTGTTGGGAAATTTCCGAACACCAGCAGCCTCTTTTGTTGGTGATTTTGATGATGACACCACTTTTTTGGCCGAGCGTAACTTTGACAAAGGTTTCGCGACCATAGGCGAAATAGCAGTCTTTCTTCCAGAACGTAAAGATCTTGTTGGAAGGGTAGACAATGGCACCATCGGTCCAACACCATCATTAATTGACCCCGATGATCTTAACAGCCTCATTGGTTTTCCTTCCACTGAGCGAACAGCAACATCTAATACATTGCCAGCGGATCTTAGTGTCCTTCTTGAAGGCACCTCTTCCTTGGTTATCTTACCAGAAGACAATACTGGGGTTTTCAAAATAGGCTTGCTTTCAAGTACAGGACTAGCCAATGCCTTACCACCGGATCGCAAGGACCTCTTCACAGGAGTGATTGGATGCTGCACCACCTTTTTTTTAACTTCGGTTTGATTATCAGTACTGGACTTTGCAACAGTGTTCTTTATCACTGCCAATGGCTCCTTCAAGCTGCGGTCACTAGGTTTGGCCTTCTTTTTGTGACGCAATACACTGTCAATATCATCCACGATAGAAACAATCTCACGGTTTCTTGTTCTCAAAGGACGTGTAGCTTCCAATCTTGGTCGTAACTGTGGACCTTCTTGTGAGGAGACCTTGCCAGAAGGCAACCTTGGTTTCTTTTCCAGTTTATCAACACTAGGCTTTTGTTTTGATAAATGTTTATCTCTGCACCATGGGCAATACCACTTATTTCTTTTCCCGGGTTCAAAATTAATAGGTATACTAAGGCATTTGTAATGAAACCACCCTCCATATTTACAATGGTCATCATCGCAACCAATCATTTTACCAGAAGATCCACTACGACAGATACAAAAAACACTTTCGTCGACTTCCTCTTGGTCTTCTGCTTCCTGTTCAATCCCCGATTTTCCACTTGCCTGTGATCTTCCCGCAGAGCTATAAGTTTCGGATTTATTTTTCCCAGCAATTTTATTTATTTTGAGTTTGCTTGACTCCGACAACCCGGAAGCTTTTCTTTTAAGCCTAGATGATATATTATTAGAGACAGGGAAATCATTAATTAGATGATCTTTAGATAGCGGATGTCCTGATCTAATGGTTAATTTAAGTTTTGGGGTAAGCGGAGGTGGTGATTTCAGAGTTTCAAAATCAGAGTCACTGGCCAGCGACTCAACATTAGATTTGGTGTTGGCAACTCTTAATTTGAGCTTATTTGATGATGCGACGTCCGTAGGAGTTGGGTTGCGAATGACCAATCTCATTTTCGGCTGCTCGTAACCATTTAAGTTGAAGCACCTATCAAAGGTTTCATTTTTTGCCATAATTGACAAAGCAATTTGCTTTCGGACAAAGCCGTCTCTTTCCGATTGCCTCCTCTCATTTTTCCTAGAATCCCATGATGATTTAATGAGCTGTCGGAATTCTTCATCGTAGTCTGAAAATCTTGTAATGGTGTTACTATCATTAGGTTGTTGTAAACTAGATGAGGATTTGAGAAGTGTATTAAGCTTCGAGGTTGACGGAGTTGTTACATTTGGGTATTCTTTAGCAAATCCAGTTTTCAAACTACCTATCCCTCTAGAGTTCTGAGAATTAGTAAAGGCATCGACGAATTCTTCAAGTTCAACTTGATTTTTAAACCTCGAAAACAATATTTGGATCAATTGATAACTTGATGCGTTTAGGAAGCGTTTTGCATAATCTAATAACAATCGTAGTTTTACTGATTCTCTTATTGATTCCTGATGGATCATCCTTATCTCAGAGTCGATTTGTTTGATTTGTTGTAATAGCAGCAGCTTCTGCAGCTCGAAGATCTTGATGGTGCTCAAAGACTCAAGTAGTGCTTTAACATTGCTGGAACGGGTTCTGCCGAGTGACGCATCGGTGTCGAGCACCTGGAACTTGGAGATTGATTTTAGTAGATTGATGATATTGTAGAGATCTTCTCGGCGCTCGTTGAACCGTATGTTTAGCGACTGGACGACCCACAAGCATCTGATGATATCTGCCGGAAGGTGATCAGTGATCGCGAGGTTGTTTGGGGTTGTTAGTGTCCACATCTGCGGCGAGCATAGCTGAGTAGACAGTGGCATATAATATATATCTTGCTAACCACTGGTAGCGGTACAGCATCCACAGATCAGCGTTATATTGTTTGTTTGTGATAACAACAACAACAACAACAACAACCAAACGCGTAAACAAAAAAAAAAAAAAAATTGGCGCTGAAGGGGAACAAGCACCCGGACACCAACATGGGCCGCCCTCTCCATAAATAATAATAATAATAAGAATAATACCGGTAATACTGATAATAATCACTTACAGAAAAACAAGAGCGTGGCAAGATACACTATTACTCGCTATGTACAGAATTCGTCAGTCATTAGCATCACAAAATCAACAATATCACATCATCATCATCATCATCATCATCAACAACAACAACCATACCATCTAATCCTTTTTAGTTCCCCAATTCATTCCCAAGAACCCGCTTCCGTTTCTTCCTCTGCTCATTGGAAGTATCGATCTTCTCATTGGTGGGGCAACAACATAGTATCTTTCATTATCGACAATCAACATCAAAGAACGGATCGTGGTTTTCTTGGTGTTGGCGTCCTTGACTGCTTCCATTTGTACAGTCCCGCGCTTCTTCGAACTTTCCACATGGTATCTCATATAATAATGCTCATTACCGGTATTCTTTTCAATGGTCTTAGTCGAGTTGACCTGTCTGTTTCTATTACCCCAACCGTTTCTGTTGCCCAATGTGTAGTCTTCGCCGTGTGCTGACAACGTTTCGTCACCATGGGCACACTGCAATAGTTTTTGACAATGTAGGTTATTCTGTATCAAGTTGATAGATCTATTGAAAAGCTTTGTGTCACCAGAAGATGAAAAAAGTTCGGCCCCAATGGCGTAAATCCCAAGACCAGTAAGCCCCAATGAACCAACAACCAACAACGTGCTAAGGGCAAAAGTCGATCCTGACTTCAACTTGGTGAAAAACGATGGGCCAGTAGATGTGTCTTTTTTTTTAGTATCAGTTTCTGGGTTTTCCTTGTGGGTTGCATAGTTTCTGTAATGGTGTCTCAAAATAGAGGTTCTGGTAGCACTCTCATAGGCCAATGGCAAAATCCTGCCCTGCCTAGCAATAACACTCATACTAGGCTAAGATTTTTCCGGCAAACACTAACAAAATTGAATGGAAAAGCCCTGCTAATATTTATTGTTACAGTTCTCATCTCTTCTCTTTTTCTCCTCCCCAAAGAGATTTTTTTTCCTCCAAAAAAAAAAATTCAAAATTTCTTGAGGATTCCTGCACGTGACAGCAAATTGAAGGATTTCTCTATTTTTGATTAATAGAGGCAAAAATTAGTATTAGAAATCATCTTTGCGAGATTTCTTTAGAGAAACATTGCACTCTCTCCACAGCAAAAAAGTAATATCTAGTGTTACCAACAGTTTCTTTCAAAATGGCTAGGGTTGCTGGTGCGCTTCAACAAAGTCTTTCTCTCGAACACAATGATTCTGACTTTTCTTCAGACACTTCAGACACTTCGTTTGATTCTGATGATACCAAGAACCCCCGCCAAAAGAAGGCCAAAGCTGTGTCAAAATCATTCCAAAAGATAAAGCCACAAAGTGGGTTTGTACCTGATGCGGTCTCCAAGATCTTCAACGGTACTGATTTCTCATATTTGAAGTTAAGACCAGACCATGTTTCAAGACCCATTTGGATTTACGAGGCAGTGGATAAAATCATCATTATTCTTGAATCTTTTTCCCCACTAGCCGAACAGGCCCAAGATTTCCTAATCACCATTGCCGAACCAGTTTCTAGACCTTCCCATGTCCATGAATATCGTATTACCCTTCATTCGCTATATGCTGCAGTATCGGTGGGGTTGGAAACCGAGGACATTATTGTGGTGTTGAATCGATTTTCAAAAGTCCCGATCGCCGACTCTATCATCAATTTCATCAGAGCGGCTACCAAGTCTATTGGTAAAGTGAAGTTGGTTTTGAAACATAATAGATATTTTGTGGAAAGTCCTCAGGCAGATATTTTGCGAATGTTATTACAAGATCCGATTATTGGTAAATTGAAAATTGATTCTAAAGATTCCATCAAGAATGGGGACTCAGAACAATCGCAGAATGCCCTGACGACCACTAATGGACAGAATAATAACCCTTCATCATCTAATGATCCAAATGAGAGGCTTCTTAATTCTGTGGTTGGTGAAACTAAGGATGCCGGTAATGGGATTGAAGATGAACAGGACGATGATAATGATGATGATTTTGATAAGGTTCACTCTTTCGAAATCGCGGTTGAATCGGTGGAAGACGTAAAAAGAAGATGTTTAGATATCGATTATCCAGTGTTGGAAGAATACGATTTTAGAAATGATTCCATCAATGCAAACTTGGATATTGGTTTGAAGGCGTCGACAAAAGTTAGACCGTACCAAGAGAAATCTTTGAGTAAGATGTTTGGGAATGGTAGAGCAAGATCCGGTATCATTGTTTTACCTTGTGGTGCCGGTAAAACCTTGGTGGGTATCACTGCGGCCTGTACCATTAAGAAATCCGTGGTAGTATTGTGTACCTCGTCGGTGTCCGCGGTTCAATGGAGAGATCAATTCTTACAATGGTGCACAATCCACCCTGATAACGTCTCGGTGTTCACCTCGGACTCTAAAGAAATTTTTAAAGGTGATGCCGGGCTAGTGGTGTCGACGTATTCGATGGTGGCGAATACTAGAAACCGGTCACATCAATCACAAAAGGTCATGGACTTTTTAACTTCTAGAGAATGGGGGTTCATCATTTTAGATGAGGTTCATGTGGTGCCGGCGGAAATGTTTAGAAGGGTGATCACCACAATCAAGGCTCACGCCAAGCTAGGGTTGACGGCGACGTTGGTTCGTGAAGATAACAAGATTGGCGATTTAAACTTTTTAATCGGTCCGAAATTATATGAAGCCAACTGGATGGATTTGGCGCAAAAGGGTCACATTGCCAAAGTCCAGTGTGCCGAAGTGTGGTGTCCGATGACCAGTGAATTTTATCAAGAATATTTACGACAAAACGCCAGAAAGAAGATGTTGTTGTACGTCATGAACCCAACGAAATTCCAAGCTTGTCAATTCTTGATCCATTACCATGAAAAACGAGGGGACAAAATCATTGTGTTTTCAGATAACGTTTATGCTTTAAGGGAATACGCATTGAAGTTGGAAAAGCATTTCATTTGCGGGGATACCCCACAACACGAACGTTTGGATATCTTGAAAAATTTCCAATTGAATGAAAACGTTAACACAATTTTTCTTTCGAAAGTCGGTGACACCTCGATTGATTTACCCGAGGCCACCTGTTTGATCCAAATCTCGTCGCATTATGGTTCTCGTAGACAAGAAGCCCAGAGATTGGGAAGAATCTTGAGAGCCAAAAGAAGAAACGATGAAGGTTTCAATGCGTTTTTCTACTCGCTTGTTTCAAAGGATACCCAAGAAATGTATTACTCTACAAAAAGGCAAGCATTCTTAGTTGATCAAGGTTACGCTTTCAAAGTTATCACTCACTTGAATGGGATGGAAAGTCTTCCAAACTTGGCGTACTCATCAGCAAAAGAAAGAAGGGAATTATTACAGGATATCTTATTGAAAAATGAAGAGTTGGCAAACCTTGAAGAAGGTGACGATGCCGATGACGTTATTGGCAGATCCGCAAATGCCGCTAAGAAAAGAAGAAATAAGGCAAAAAGAACCGCTGGTTCTTTGGCAAGTCATGCTGGTGGTGAAGATATGGCTTACGTTGAGCACGGTAGAAATAGAAATAAGGAATTAAGAGAACACAGTTCTCTTATGCAAAAATTATATTATAAGAAATGAAAAGGTATGACAAACGATGAGAGAGGGGAAAAAATTTTATTGTTTAAATGGTGATACCAAAATGTATAAAATAAATATATTTAATGTTTGTTCTCTCATTAGGTTTTATTATTGGTTTATTTGTATTTACTTTTTTTTTTTTTTTACTTCCTTCTTTCTATATTACATTACATATAGCATTAATTGAAGCATTCTGTAATCAGATTATTGGCACTTTATCTTTTGATTTGGAGTTATTGACCTTGTTTTCATTAGTGGAGATTTGCTTGAGTGGCTGCCTCTTTGCATCACTTTTTCGCTTCTTGTTGGTCTTTTGCTTTGAAACCCGGCCGTCTTTTGATCCAGGCCTTCTCATTTTGGACTTCAAGGATGGCAACGCGTAATTGACAGCCTTGCCCCTAGTTCGTCTCTGTGGTGCAATAATCAGACTAGTGTCATTCAGATCTCCAATAGCCAGATTTTTAGCTGGGTTATTCCGTACTTTTGATGATACTTGCTTTATGTTGTCTTCAGTGACACTATTATTATTATTATAGGCGTTATCTTCAAGGAGCACATCATTAGAGTGTGAATTGTTCTGTGCAGCTTTCTTTAAATCACTAAACCGATGGCTTGATCTTCTCAGGATGAATTCATTTGAAAATCTCCTGTGATTATGATTTCCTGGTTTTAATAGAGAGTCGAATTCCAGAATGTTATGACTTGTGTTATCGCCTTCGGATGATTCATCACTCACCGACACTATTGTCTTTTGAGCTCGTTGTACCTCTTCACTACTACTATCAGAAGATATCTCATAAACTCTTGCTGCTTTCATTGGCTGGTCAGATGATTTAATATGTTGGGGAGGACCATTAATCTGCACCATCAGCCGTATGTCGTCTTCTCGGTTTTGAGGTTCTTTATCATCATTGTTCTCTGCTGCTGTTGAATTATCATCATCTTCACCAACTTCGCCCAGCAGCAACATGTTTGCGTCCTCCTGGATTTCCACATGTAATTGTGTTGACTCATTCGTTATTTCATCTCCAGTATTACCAGTAATCTCCTTCTCATTCACCATGACGGTATCCCCTCCTAATATTTCTGAATCCCAGTGAGACCCGGTGCTGTCTTTAGCTTTATTTATGGTTCGGAAAGAAGCTCCATCGTCATCAATTTCTTCTTCTTCTTCTTCTTCTTCTTCTTCTTCTTCATGGTTGACACTCTTAGCTGGAGCCATCTCTCCATATTTTCTGTCTGAAGAGATGTAAATTGATTGTCTTCTTATTGATTTTTTCTTTTTGTTCATTGTACTAATACTGGTGCTTCCCGAGGATCGCAGATCATCATCGAACCCCGCCAATTTCTTATTGATCTCCATCGGCGGCGATAGGCCTTCTTGTTTCCTTATTTCTTGGAACATCAAATTGATATCTTGAAACTTCTGGTTAACACAATTCTCAATACCCATCAACTTATCCTCGAACCAAGCTTTACGGTTCTGCAAATCATTGATACTCCTCCGCCGAAGTTGGAGGTTTTCGGCAAGAAGCTCGCCGACTTTTTTCTCGAGTTTGGCAATTTTTGTCATCATAAAAGAAGTTCTCTTTGCCAACGCGTAGTTATTGCGTGCTAGATCCTTATAAGTTTGATGTTGATGTGGTTGTTGGTGCTGTGGCTGGTGCTGCTCTTGTTGTTGATATCTGTGATTCAAGCCGTCCATATCATTATTGTATACTATTGGGGAAAAATTATTTGTGTGGAGACGAGTACAATTGTGTTGTTATTATTATTATTATTATTATTATTAATATTCTATAATAGTAGTGCCCCGACCCTTGCGATGATAGATATCCATCAACAAAACACACAAAGCTACAGCTAAAAATTGTTTTTTGTTTGTTTATTTTTCTATTTTGTGCATGAATGATTTTGACGGTATTTACCCGGTAGACACCACCTTTTTTTCTTTTTTGACACCACAATGATAAGCACATTCAAATAAATTATCATTGAAATATATCAGGTCAGTGGGGAATCCCTCCCCTCCATTCAATGGATACTCATACTGTTCCAAAACTGCGTGCAAAGATTAACATGGCCCAGATGGTGGTCGTTTGTGTGTTTGTGTGTGTGTTTGTTTGGCTATTTAAAGCAGGGTAATCGCTTTCCCAAAATGAAAACAAAAAAAAAAAAAAAACGATGAGGCTTTCCCGCGAATCAAAACAAAAAATCACTAGATATTTAATGAAACCTGTAATTGAAACTATTAAACCAAATCATACCAGCGATAAGAAGAAGAAAAAATATCAATGGACGGGACGAATATCAGATTATCAAAAATTCAAAAAGAGCGTGAATTGATGGCGTTGCAGCAAGTCTCTTATTCGGTGGAACAGCTCAAGCATAGATTAGAATCGATCGTGGACCGATTTGAAAAGATTAATGAAGGTACAGAGGCAGTGAAAATCGTATTATCGAATTGGAATGATGTGAAACGGGTGATATCCATGGCCACTTTGAGTCTTGCTAATTATTCAGACGAGGATTACCGGAACCTGGGTAAGTTGCCGTTGACTGAAGGTGCGGTTCGTGTACTAATCGAGAATGAAGAGATAGCAACAGCTGGTGATAATTCAGATCTACCTAAAGAAATCCAAAAAGATAATGATGATGATGATAATAATAATAATAGCAATAGGATGAACGGTGAGGAGGAAACTACATAATCCCATAAAAGAAGAAAAAAAAATAACGTCATTTTTTTTTCTATTAATAATTAAATTTTCCAGTATACAAAAAAAAAAGCCATCAAGCAAGCTCAAGAGTTTGATAATTTACAACCTCTTTTGATCCAGAATTGGTTTGCGCTGTACCGATAATCCCCTTCACATAATTCTCAAAGTCAAAGCTGGCCATGATATCTTTTATCAATTGCACTTCCTTGTCCAATTGCTCGGTCAAGCTTGCAAGACTTGCTTGGTTTAAATTCTTGCCATATCTTTTGGCAACCTCTTCTTGAGGAATTGGTTGGGTCAAATATTCAAGATCTGGTAACCTTATTTTACGATTATTGTTATTTGTGGCAAATAGATCATCCTGGAAACATTGCAACAATGTGATGCATAACGCACTATTTTCCATCTTTTCTTTGATGAACACCGGAGTTCTATTGACAGAATTGCCAATTTCTTTCCAATCATCAGCCAATATTGCCCGTCTCCAAATCAAAATCTCGCTAATATTCTTCTCCGAATAACTCAAAAATCCAGTTCCCACCAACTTCAAAGCCTGATAAAAATTCATCTTCATTTCCGGAGTTTTAGTATCTAGCAATGTGTATAAATCAATCAACTCGGTTGCTGGAACCGATTTGTTCGATAATAATTTAGACAAATGCTTTCTTAAATTCAAAAAATTCACAATTGGACTTCTTTTTTGTAAATAGCTGGTCAATAAAGCCAAAACTCTGTCAGTTTCTGTAACTAAATCCGAATCATCCTCAAAGTGAACGAGACCAGATACTTGATTATACAAGTTTTCTTGGATATCCAAAACCGTCAACCCAGTCTCAATATCCGCCAAGATATCATCACTGTTTGGATTATATTGATCTTCATCTTGGGCCAAAACACTAAGCTTGGCAACGCTTAACTGTAATTTCTTATTACTCACCAAATCATCAGCTTTATTGGCAATGGTGTACAAATCATAAGCACTATCAAAATATTCACCATCCAAAATGTTTCTAATCCAAGAGATTCTTCCGTGATTACCAGAGCTTAAAAACCTTTTCAATAGGCTATTGTATTTTGGAAATCCCAACAACAATTCTTGTAATTTACCATTGAGAACGTAATAATTGTACAAAGTTTCCGCAAATCTGTAACCAAACTTTTCAAAATAAGAATCCAAGCGCTCCTTCACAAATGTATCATCTAGTCCATTAGATAATACCCGATCTTTTTCACCATCACAAATTCTCACTAAAGAAAGCAAATCCTCGAAATTTTCCGCCAATTGCAACGCGGCATTCATTTCGTTAAACTCTGTCAATGAGCTGATCCAAATACCACGATTGCTTTCATAAACAGACTTATACCTTTGTATTTCTTCCCTGGTAGCCTTGGTCAAAGACTTAGCGGTGTAGAACGCCAATCCTTGATTGAAAGAGAAAAAAAGCGTCGACACCAACGATACCAAATGATTAGCGACCTCGGCAGTATTTGAGCTATTAGCAAATTCTGCCGCCGCTTCATGATAGCTATGATGCAAATCATTGAGTTTAAAACATAAATCACCTTCAAGAATCCATGGAATTTCGGTGCCAATTTCCAGACTGGTCATTTGGAATAAGTTCTTGATATCAGTTTCGACATCGATAGCTCCCTCTTTGATACTCTTGATGACTAATAAAACCGCTACCGAATAATTAGACTGATTGAAACTTTCTAATAACCGCGTGGTAATCTGGCTCAAAAACTGACCCATTTTATCAACGTGATAATAGAAAAAATTCTCAATGATTTGTTTTTCAACAGCAGATTCACCTCCAATGGTATCCTTTATACTGTTGCAGAAAAATTCAATGATCTGTTTCCCTTCTGGGGCATAATAGTACAGTTCAAGAACTGACCAAATCTTATAGGCGGCATTGATTTTCTCCAAATCACTAATAACCTTCATTTTAGTATTTGTGGTGATCTCATGAATGAAATTGACAGCAACGTATTCTGCCAAATTTTTCAATTTTAATAATCTCAATTCCAAATGGCCTGCCAAAGACGATAGTCTTGGAGGCAAGTACGCGGATTTTGATCCCACTAATTCGTCACCAACACTAATAATTGCTTGCTCGATTTCTGACTCTTCGATAATGGTGTTTTCTGGAACATTAAATAATAAAGGATTGTTATCGGTGTATCCGTAAAAAACCGCTTGTTCAATTTTAGATTTTGTGAATGAAGTAGAAGTAAACGATTGTTGAGTATCTTTCAAATCATCTGAACTGATGCATCTTTCAATTTTTAATACCCCAGCTTTTTTAGAAACTACTATTACAGAGGGCAAATTGGTAAATACCCCATCTTCATAACTATAATCTTCAAAACCGGTGCCGATGATTTTGACCCCAGATCTGAATAATACGACATCTTCCCACTTTCTGTTGGTCACCAACGAGTGCTCAAGCTTTTGAGTGACTTCGACAAGGACAATTGCGTCTTCAAACACAATAAACGCGGTCATCTCAGGTTTAGGCAAATACAACTTTGGGACAGAATTCTGGTATGGTTTGGTGTAGCGGGTCAATCTATAGGCAGAAAATACCATCAACTCATCGCCATTTCTCACCATGGTAAATAATATATAACAAGTTTCATTAGCGCCATTCTCGACAGAAGTCAACACCAAATAGGCTTCTTGCTCATCATCGGTATCAGTTGATAGTGGATGACTATCCAAAATAGTAATGTTGTCATTTTCGTACAAATCCTTTATTTCTCCCAATAATTGATCGGTCACCGAAGTCTCATAAATCTTAATGGCTTGACCATCACGGGCCACACTCCACAACGTAAATAACCCACTATCAGTGATAATTGATAGCGATTTCGTCCCATGACCCAAATCCTTACCGCCCTTTATCGAAACGATTTGGTCTTTTGATCTGAAAAATGGCAAGAACGACGACAGAATGATATTACTGATTTGGATATTTGGTTTTCCTGCTGAGTCTCTAAGGGAAATCAATATGACTCGTCCATGGGAAGTGGCAATGACAATCCCAACAGGCTCGATATTTTCATACATTGTAATGACTTCGCCAGCATATAAAGAGATTCTCTTGCTGACATTATCCTTTTGATAGATCATACTCACAGAAGAGTCGCTGAAAACGTATTCGTAGTATTTGATATCCCCGGTAACCGTATCTATTGAAACTAAGCCAGGCTCTTTGATTCCAGGAGATGGAAGAACCAATACTGGAAGGATATTGTTGCTATTTTTTTGCAAAGTCTCATCAGAGTCAATGGTATAAGTGATTGGAGTAGGGTCTGTAGAGGCATAGTTCCAAATATCCACAGAGCCACTTGACGAAACACACGCATATTTAGAATACTGGTCAATATAACCATGTAATCCATCACATTCTTCTTCGGCAAGAATTTTTGGGAGTGCTTTTAGTTTAGATACACGATACTGATCATTGCGGGTCAACTCTATCAGGTTGGAAGGCGCTTGGATATTGATCTCTTGGGGCGGTTCACCTTGTTTCTGAGAAAAAGTGGTGTCTTTTCTGCTTTGGAAACTGCTATCATCATCGATGGATGTCATGGTACTGTCTTCTGCAGCACCACCGTTTGGCTGAGTAGTAGCGGGAGTCGACACATTTTGACGAGCTGCAAAGCGAAACAGAGCCTGGTTAAAAATAGACTGGGAATCCATTGCCAAGGTAATATGTATAAATATTGGCTGCCACTGCTTCTTCTATTAACAAAAGACCCTTTTTCCACTAATACGAAAACTTCAATAAAAATTCACACTTTTTGTTTATTATTTTTTTGGCCTCTTTCATATTCTCCTTGGGGCTGCGTAACCAAAAAAAAAAAAAGTGCGTGCGGGTAGCGGGCATCGGAAAACTAAAAAAAAAAAAAAAAAAAAAAATTTTCTATGATGATTTCTATCTATCAAACAGTGAAAAATCAACACTTTTACAAACAAGATGATTAAAACGTATGTGTGGTTTGTTGGCTATTGATAATTTCCATTTGGAAAAGTCTGACGATGGATAATTATTTCACTATAATTGTAATTTTCGCCTGGGGTTTTGTTTCGTTACTAACTTTTTTTTTCTCTCAGTAATCCAAAGAATGCTCGTGCTAAAAGAGCCCTTGAAAAGAAAGAATCCAAACTTGTGGAAAATGTGAAGACTGCTCTTTTCATTCAAGGTTCTACCGGGACTAGACTCCTCCATGATGCCATGTGCGATCTTTCTGCTTTCAAGAAGCCAGATATCAAGCGTTTCCAAAAGAAAAATGACATTAAACCGTTTGAAGACGCTTCTCCTCTCGAATTCTTTTCGGAAAAAAATGACTGCTCATTGATTGTTTTCAGCAGCAGTAATAAGAAAAGACCAAATAACTTGACTTTCATCAGAACTTTCGGTTACAAGATTTACGATATGATCGAATTGCGTATCCAGAAAAACCATAAATTACTCATAGATTTCCGCAAAACCACATTTCAGCTCGGGTTGAAACCAATGTTTGTATTCAACGGTCCAGTGTTTGACAGCCATCCAACTTTTAAACACGTAAAGTCGTTGTTTTTGGACTTTTTCAGAGGTCAAACCACCGACTTGCAAGACGTTGCTGGTCTACAATACGTGATAACGTTGACTGCCGCAGAAGTGGAAGAAGGCAAGGCTTTGCCAAGCGTGTACTTCAGAGTTTACAAGTTGAAATCCTATAGAAGTGGCCAAAAGTTGCCAAGAATCGAATTGGAGGAAATTGGACCAAGATTTGATTTCACCATTGGTAGAGTTGAACAACCAAGCCCAGAATTAGAAAAGGAAGCCATGAAGAAGCCTAAGCAATTGGAAACCAAGACCAAGAAGAACATTGAAACTGATGGTATGGGTGACAAGGTTGGTACTATCCATGTTGGTAAACAAGACTTGGGTGAATTACAAACCCGTAAGATGAAGGGTCTTAAATCTAGATTCGACCAAGTTGGAGAAGATTTTGATGACCAAGAATATGAGTATGCTAATGATGAAGTGGTGGAAGACTATGAACCTGCCCAGAAGAAACAAAAGGTTTGATTGGGTTACATTTGTATAATATAATTATTTAGTAATGAAAATATTTTGGAGAATCGTTTTTTAAGAAAGGAAAAAAAAGATCAATGTAGATTTTCAGACAAACGAAAAAAAGAATGAATATAGACAATCACGAAGTATATATACAATAAAAAAAAAAAAAAAAAAATAAAAAAAAATATAAAAAAAAATATAAAAAATAAAAAAAAAAAAAAACGTTTAGACAATTATTTCAAATAGCCTTTCTCTCTTTTTTTTTTTTAATTTATGAGGTAGCATTTTTCTTTTCCTCGATATTAATTTGGTTATCAATCAAACGCAACAAGTTTCTCAACAACATCATAATAGTAACCTTACCAATTGAAGGAACATACAAAGAAGCCTTTTCCTTAACTGAAGGATCGAAATTTTTTTCACTAGAGAAGTTGATACACACGGCACCTGATTTGACATATTCAGTTGGGAACTTGTAGTTTGCAGATGGCACACCAGTGATGATAACATCGGCATTCTTGGCGGCTTCTTCGAGAGAAATGTCGGTGTCGACAGAGTGATGTCTGGTCATCTTGATACCTTCACCTCTGGTGAAAATTTGGGTATTCTTGATATCCACAGAGTAAACGGTGGCACCATCATTGGCCAACAAGGCAGCAAGAGGTCTGCCAACCACTTCAGAACGGTTCACAATAACCACATTCTTCCCGTACAATCTGTTACCGTAAGGCAACAAAGAGTTGTAGACCTTAAGATACTCCAAGATCTTGACAATTGCCAATGGGGTACAAGGCAAAATGGATTTAATTTGAGGTTCGGTACCAGCAGCCTTGGCTTCCTCGATATCCAAGTATCTGACATTGTGGTACATATTTTGGATGTACTTGTGATTCAACCCTTCAACGTCCTTGTTACGCAGAACCACTTGTTGCAAGTATTGGTCTTGGCCATTGTTGAAAACCGGGAAGTAAACCATGATACCGTTGACGGCGGCATCTTTATTTGCCCCGATGATGGCTTCTTCGAGGTCTTCTTTTTCAACTTCACGAAGCTCATAGTGGAACCCCAAAGACTCACAAGTTTTACCAGTCCATTTGGCGTACATTTTGGCAGCCGGGTCATCATTTCCGAGGAACCCCACGAGTTTTGGGACTTTTTGGAGTTGCTTCACTTTGGCAGTGATTTCCTCGGTGTAAAGTTTAGCAATGGTGCTAGCAAGAATAGTACGTCCAGACATGGTGAGGGCGGGGTGTTAAGTATAACTGAAGAGTTCGGCAAAGAGATGAGAGAGGAAGACAGTACAGTTAGACTGTCAAAGAGCTGAGGAGCTATTTCTAGGCTTGATAACTAAGAAACCCTAACCGGAAAAAGGAAAAAGGGGAAAAAAAAAAAAAAAAAGATCCGTCGATGCTCGATGCCTTATAAGATTATTTTTGTGAGAAAAAATTTTCTTTCTCCGTGACGGATGGGATGACTTATGCATGATTTTTCTCAACATCGATAAATCGGCATGTAATTAGTAGTAGAGTATTTGTAAAATAATCCGAAGACTTTCTAATCATTTGGGTGTGAAAAATAATTCGAAGAAAAAAGAAACTATTAACAATTAGATTTACAAAAAGAAAAAAAAAAAAAACTTGTATTAACAATCTTATGAAGATTACATAAATTTTCCAATATCTGACGTGCTTCTTGATTAATTCAAAATAGGAAACCTCAATATCTTCTGGAATATTTATTTAAACAAGCCAACTGATCCTCTATACACCAATGGGAAAAGAGTTCCTTTTTTTGTAAATGAAAGGTAAATACTTACTTGTAGTCTGTGGGAGATTAACCTAAGTATCCTTATGTATAATTAATTGTGCGGAGAAACTTGTAGAACTCTCAAGTTACAAGATTGACAATTTCTCTCATTTTAAAATACATCTTGTTAATTTAATTTTGCTTTTTCGGAGGATGATCACCAATCTTTAAAACTCGTTAATAATAATAATTTACAGATCTAAATATAAGTTTATTAAGCTTTTGTGAAGATGATGATTTAGATGTCCCCATCTTTTTTTGATCCGAAAAAGCTTTGTGAGAAGGGGACTGTAGAAAAAAGAAAAATGTCCATATAAATAATAGAAGAAATGAAATTGATTTTTTTTTTTTCTTCTTCATATTTGATATAAATGTCTGATATGAATGCTCATTAGTATCAGAAGATAATTGACCGGAGAGAGGGGTTAAGAGTAAAATGGTAGTGGACTGTTTTTCTTGTTCCCCTTAGTTCATTGTTATGGTGATTCTTCTATTTTATGTGTCAATAAAACCATGTTATATATCATTGCGTAGATGAATTTCTTGTTAGAAAGTTGGTTTATTCAAAAGTGAAAAAAAAAAAAAAAAGCATCTAACGGTACAAGCGAGGGACCTATGTGTGAGTTGATAACTATATTTTTGATCGCCGCAAAGAACTGTTATGTTTCCGTCAATTTTCCCAACCAAACCAAGAAAGAAGAAACTTTTCCAAAAGACCCAAGTTTTATAAAGATAGATGTCAATGCAATGGCTACTAGTGAGTCTGGTACTAAGAATGGATGCCCTTCTTTTATTCATACTGTACTACTTACTTGTAGTGGACCAGAGTCCTCTTTATATACTTCTACGGAAGCCACCAGTATCCTGCGAATATAGCCGGCTGCTTTCCTTGTGCCTTTTTATGGCACCGACGGGTATCATCTTAGTACAGTCAACAGCACAAACAGTTAATTGAAGTCGATGATTTGGAAAATGTTCATTATATCAATGATTGGGATATTGTCATCAATGAAGATAAAGAGCCTAGAGAAATGGGGTGTTTTTTAATTAATCTTATCATGTTGAAGAGTCTTACAATATTTAACAATCTTCTGAGCCTGAGACTCGTTAGTGTTGGATAACTTCCGAATCTGAAACCATAAACCAGTGCTAATTCTAGCTCCAAGCTTATGATGAAGAGTGGCTCAATATCTCATGTTGGTGGTGAATTTGCTAGAGTAGTCGGCATATACTTATGGTGGGTGGACAAAGTGCTATTTTGAAAAACCAAAGACATTGAAGGTGCTTCGCGGATTATTTTGTCTATTTCAAAGATTTTTGATAACAATTATGGTGTTTTATTGCCGAAAAAATGACGATCTTATTTGGAATAGAAATCAATACATCATTGCAGAATTTTCTAGAGTGAGTACATTCTGGGAGTTTGATGTTTAAACAAAGAGTTATTTTTTTAATGTTGAAGACTGTGAAGGGTAATAATATCGTCGATGATAAGGCTTATCTCGGTGTTGATGCCGACTATACTGATGCTAATATTAAGAAAGTTTTAAAACAGACAATTGCCTTGCATGCTCATCAATCGTCAGTGTTTCGGGTGGTAAATCAGATATACATGAAGTTATTGGCTTTATCCAAGCTGATTCCATGGGACCTTTTAATGTTGTATATAATTTGGTTACACCTGATACAGCTTCTACTTTTTCTGTTTCATATAGTTTTGTACAATTGTGGTCAAATTTTGGCAAAGACAGTCTACGAGAGCGCATGTTGATTGTGAAAATATTGTTTGGACACTACCGCTGTCGATCAATGATCTAGCTATGGGTGTGTGTGTGTGTGTGTGTGTGTGTGTGTGTAGTTGTTGATTAGAAAAAGAAGAAGAACAAGAAGAATATCAGTGCATAAGGGTCGGGCGCTTTGTATCTACATACTTTTGCTACATTTGGATTGATAGATACTCCATTTACCAAGACCTGACTGGCTGGAAGTGAGGCAGATAGAGAGATAGATAATAAATGCTGCGATAAGAAAACATCGCCGATCAACGAGAAAAGGCGATTTTTCCCACCTTCCGGCGCCGCAGCAGCAGGTGACATATCACATGATATCCAGTGCACCCCCTCTCCCCCCCAGTAACCACATACACACACACACACACACACACACACACACTATAGCCTCTGTGCCGATAACGTGGGGCCCACCCCTTCTCTTTCTGGGATTTTCTATTTTTATACCTGTTGATAGGTGGACATACAACATATATATATATATGTGTGTTGTGCACCACACAAGATAGGCACGGAGAGAATAGGAAATACCATCCATAGCAACAATTACAACCCCCGATTGGCCACTGTTGTTATTATTATTATTATTATTCTCTTAATTAAATCGTAGTGTTATTATATATGGATACCCACCGGTGTCCCACAGAAATGCTCAGACACAAGAAAAGGCGCATTTTCCAATGTCACCCCCTCTCTAGTTGCGAGCACACCGGTGGCCCAGACCCCCGTGTGTACCAAAGCCTCTTCGTAGAGGGGGTGGGCTTATCAAGCTTTTTTGGCAGGTGGGAAAATTTCACACATGCCATGTTTTATTAATATACTATATTATATTTATTAAATATTATATAATATATTTATTAAATATTATATAATATATAATATATTGTATGCTATAATATAAATCTAGGTATTTATATAAAGACATAGATACAGGCTATCAAAATATATTTCAATATTCTCCATTAGCTGGATTACACAAAAAGAAACAACCACACCCGGCAAGCATTCTATTACACACTAAAAAGTTCATACTTCTTTGTGTAGGGTTAGTGGTGGTTATCAGAAGAAACGTTTATCCCTTCCTTTCCCTCCTTTTTTTTTTTTTTTTTTTTTCATTATTACTCCCAGTGATTTTTACTTCAATAGGATATAATATTCTGTATCATCGTGTAACAATAGAAACGTAACGGAAACATAATTTTTGATTGCTGCTCTATTGAGTAGTTTCCGTCTAATAATGATTTATCTGTACCTATGTTTCCTCGGTCGAAGATTTAGCAACCTATTTAGCCTTACATGTGTATGAAATATCCACTAAGTAGAGAGACCCACATACCCTCCAAAGGTACATGAAAAATTTAATCTCTCTTTTATTTAACCCAAAACATGGAAAATTCGAAGGGAGCGATAATCAATCATGGAGAACAATAGGAAAAAAAAAAAAAAAAAGATGAAACTCATAATATACCTGGCAACGGTTACCATGATTTGGTAACGTGCAGGTATAACCGTGATGAAAGATATTTTAAAGATATATATCGAGAATGTAGTTTATGTATTATCTTATGCCAGTTGAAAGAATACTAGTGAGTGTGGTTGGTTTTGTTTATCCAACTATTAGTTTTAGGCTTGCACTTGGGAGATAATGGTGCGTCGGATCAAGTGTAGCTACAACATACTGGGTCCCCGTCAAGTATGCCCGAAGACATACCTGGGGCATAATTTATTAGGAGGGGGTATACCCAAACGTAATTATCCGCTGGAGATCAGGAATGGAACAGACGTGGGATACCAAGGGATATTATGAATGATAATTGAAAATAATCATAAAATAAGAGATAATACAATAGTAATAGTAATAATAATAATAACAACAACAGCAGCAGCAGCAACAGCAAAAGCAACAACGTGATATACCGATACTATAACCTTCGCAGTAGTGAGTGAGAGTACAATATCACATCATATCGGTCGTATCTCGCGGTGGAATATACGGCCATCCGTCCCAGGCAACGGGGTGTGGGACAGGACGAAACAAGCAGCTGCAGCGGACCGCAGCGGAACCCCCCCAGGTGCGAGCGACCTTGGGCACTAGCCAGTAGCTCCCACTCCACCACCCAAGGGCTAAAAGATCAGATCACACACTAATAATGGTTGATGCATACAAATCAAAAAAAAATGCCCCCCCTCCCCCCTCCTCCTTCTTCCAACTATTTAAACCTCTTCTCACGCCGCCATTAATAATTTTGTCAGGTTAATTAATTTTTTTACTGCCCCATCGATCCCATCTCGACCCTTCACTTCTCACCACTGATTCATATTCTCCCGTCTCCTTTTGTTTTTTCTTTTCTTCCTTTTGTTTCACTTCGTCTTCACTATTTCATTTTCTCTTCTTTCCAATTTAATTCTTCTTCTTCTTCTTCTTCCACTCTTACACCCCACTGGTTCTTGGATATCCCACAACAACATCATCACTTTAAAATTTTCACTTCGTATTTTCAAATCAATCACCCAAATCAAAACATGAGCGATTTACCAAATATCACCTCCACTTTGCCTCCAAGAAAGAGAGCCAAAACTCAAGAAGAAAAAGAACAACGTCGTATCGAAAGAATTCTTCGTAACCGTCGTGCTGCCCACGCCTCCAGAGAGAAAAAGAGAAAACATGTCGAATTCCTCGAAGCCTCAGTTCACAAATTGGAATCCAATATCAACTTGTACAAATCAAAGGAAGCAAAGTTGATTGAATTATCAGAAAAATTGTTATCCAAATTCAAAGAATTGGGCGGCGACTCCGAATCTTCGGATTTGGACTTGTCGATCTTATCAGAATCCCCAATCCCTGACATTGATTTGAACCAAGCTTTCTTTGGCGACGCCGTTGGTAAGTCGTCTTCCGACCCATCGACCCCTGCCGCTTTATCACCTTCCGCCACCGGCGCTTCCTCTTTGCTTGCCGATGACATCACCATGGTTAGTGATCCAGTTTCCGCTCAACATTCCCGTAGCGCTTCTCCAGCTCCTGAAGAATCTACCGTCACTCCAACAGAAACTACCATCACTGCCGAATCCACCGGCAAGAAATCCACTAACTCAGTGACCAAAACTAAGTCTAAAAAGACTAAAAAAACCAAGGCTCAAGAGATCGAATCCCCAATCCCGACTTCTCCTTTGTCTACTCCGTTAATCAAACACAATGATTACACTTCTCCTTTTAAAAATACCAATGAATCTTCAACCGAAGGTTTTGTTGGCAGCACCCTTGATATCACTACCGATTATATGTCCAGCGCTTCTTCCACATTTAGTGGCGAGTCCCGTGGCTCCCCAATCTCTAACGCCGATTCTTTATCCACCACCAATTTGGAATCAGGTCTTAACGTTGACGAATATTTGTCCAACTTGACCAACCCAATGTTCATTCCTCTGGACTCTTATGATAAGCCACAATCAGATTGGCAATTTTTCGAAAGAAATTTGAACCAAAACTCATCCTTGAGCCAAAATAATGGTCTCTTGGGTGATCCTTTCGATGATGACGTTCATGTCACCACTTCTACCAGTAGCAGGTTGCATAACCCAGCAGCGGTTTACTATGACTTTCTGTTTTGAAGATAATGATAAAAAAACACACTGTTGACTCTTATTGAAAATAATACCCTCCACTCGGAGTCATTTAGCTGTTTTGTCACATCCGGTATGTGAGGCCCTTCCGTTTTAAAGTTGGGTTGTTTATTATTGTCTTCTTAACACAGGTCCTTTCGTTTCTATTGTATGTTATGTTCTTTTTTGCTTGCTTTTGTTGCTATTTTTTCCCCCTATCCCCCTCCAATCACCACTTGGTTATGCCACTGTTTTCAATTACCTTTTGAAAACTGGCCTGCAGCGCCCGCTACTGGTATGTTGTTCGACATGAACGACTTTGTTTCATTTTGAAACGTCATCGAACCCTGAAATGTCTGGTTTGTTTCTGGTTTGTTTTTTTGTTGGTTGTATTTTATTCATGATAAAGACTTGACAAAAAAAAAACAGATCACACAAACCAATCTAATGATTACGAAAATTAATTTTGTTTGTTTTTTTCCTTCATTCATTTTCTCATTCTTCAATTTCTACATTTTATTTCTTGGTCATTGTTTTATCGAAACTAGATTGTTTCTCTCATTTCATCGTTAATATCTTCCAATGGCTTTGTTCAATATTTCGTTTGTCGCGACGGATCAATTTGTGGCGCGCCTTTGGTTGGTACTACTATTGGGCTGCGACTGGATCGAACGCTGATGTTTATATTAACGAGTTCAAAGAGATAATAATTGCCCCAGTGAATAATCTGATTGTCACTGGAACTGTTTTTTTTTATTCTACTGGAGAACCCTCATCCATTATTACATTTAGAGATATTATCATTATCATTTTTTTTTTTTCACGAAACACTTTTTTCTGGTCTTCAACTTGTTTTGATATTGTTTTTCATTTTCTCTGTCCATCCCTGCCATTTTTGTCATTTCTTGTTTATGTGTGTATTATTAAATTATATGGTTGAATTACATTTGAATACAGTGTTTCTCTTATAAATATATAAAATGGTTGAGTATTTAATGTCTTTTTCGCGTACATGGAATGGCAGTTGTTGATAACCGAAAGCAAAGACTTTGCTTTGGCATAAAAATTTTTTTTTTTTTTTTTTTTTTCACACTTATCTCCATAAATAATCGCCATATATACCATTAAAGTATATAAACACTTCATGACAATCAGCAAAGTAGTTTTGGTCAATAGAAAGATCAAGTACGGATTATTGTTGAAGCCTGGCATCAAAGGATACTATTTTGCACGGATGGCGTATCCTATTAAGATTTGCTAGACGATTATTGCACTTTAATAACCATTTAGATATTTTCATATTCTACTCTATTCTCTTCATATCTATTTCACATTCTCTGCTTTTCTCATTTATTATTAGAAGTTTTTAATAGTTATTGGCATAATCAAACATTAACATTAATATTCATGCTCATGTTCAGTACCCCCTACCACCCTCCCCCCCCTAGGCCCATGTGACCTGCGCGCCAAAAAGCTGCCGAAAAAATCCCCAGAGATTATTATTTATCTCCTGTCATCATCATCATCATCACCTCTTATAATTAATATATATATTTATATATACATATATATTATATATATATTTACCAATACCAACAGATATAAAAGAAAATACCATGGACACCGATTGGAGAAGAATTGATATTGATGCGTTGGAAGAAGGAAACCGGTTGACCGCTGCCGATCTTGTTCCTCCAGCAGAACCAGTGAGCTACGAAGACGTGGCGGTGATCAATCAACAAGTCAAGTCGTTGTTGGCGAAAGGAGAAAACTACGATGCTTTGGCGTACTCTTTGAGTAGCCCACCATACGGGGGTGATGATCAAGTAAAAGTAAGTACAGACAAAAAAGATTTGGATGGAAATTAATGTTGAATTGTAGAGGAACAATGAATGGTATTTTTGATGGATGGACAAAAAAAAAATGCTTGATCATTCAATAAATAGATTATGAGCAAATTTTTGGATGGGTTGATGATGATTATGATGATGATGATGATGATGATGATGATGATGGAATATTGATAAAAGGTATATTATCATTTGAAAAATACCATTCAATGAGAGATAATGTTTACTTTAACTTTTTTTTTTTTGTTTCTTTATTGATCCGAGAATTGATGATCCCAATTATTTCAAAACCACGAATTACTACTAACAAACTACTCAATAGGCTTTACACCTTTCTACAGTATTCGACATTTTGAAAACCACCAAAACTTCCCTGGTTGCCAAATTGGTCGGGGAGCTTTCCACCGATGAGCAGGACGTGTTGGTGAAATATCTTTATAAATTGATGTCGTTACCTCAAGGACAACAAAGTAGTGGGGTATTGTTGGCGTGGCTCGATAAAGTGGTGGAAGTGGCAGGAAATGGTCCAATTATACGTTACTTGAATGATAGAAGAACCGTTTGAATTTTTTCAATAGGGATTGGAAATAAAATAATTGAAAAATGAAGAGAACAGAAGAAAAACAGTCCAAGACACAAAAACAAATGCTGTAGTTCTTTCTTTTCTTTTCTTTTTTTTTTGGTAATCTATCATATCGGGATATATATTGTGGTTCTTATTTTTGCTGGTTGTGTGTCTGTCTGTATATTGATATTGCACGTTAAATGGATGTTTTTTTTTTTCGAAGGTTTCTGTCCTTTGAGTTTGTAATACTTTAAGTCATAACTATCCAAGTGGTAGTTGAATCATAAACCCAATGATATCATTCAAGTTTTCTAAAGTTGAAAGTTTATCGCTTTCATATATTACTGCCAAACCACTATCTATCATTGAAAGCAGGGTCTTTCTAGTTGATGATTGAAAAACTCACCAGTCGATGTTAAAAAATACTTGAGCTTGCAATACTTTGATCTCTTATGATCTACAAATATAAGAAATACCAGTAAGAATAATAATCTTTTTGATTTAACCTATAAAATACCTTCAAAACCCGCCAGCAGCTTTCTTTGATTTTTTCAATTTCTTAGTGGTTTTCAGCTTCTTTCGCTTTTTCTTTAGCGGCGCCAGCATCACATCGATTTCCTCATGTTCCTGCTTTATCGATACCTTACCCATAGCTTTTGATGATGATGATGCTGCTGCTGCTGCTGCTCTCGCTTCTCTTCTCACCACGTATTCAGGGACTTCAAAATCGTCGTCCTCTTTCTTCACATTACTCTTCTTCTTTTCCTTATTTGTTTTCTTCATCTTCTTGTTCTCCACTCCTGTCTCCTCGTCCTCTGTTTTTGTTTCTGGAACTTCAAAAATATCATCTTCCGCATAAGGATTGTCGAAATTGATCACTGGTTCGTCATTCAGTTCCTCTTTCTTCTTGTCTTTCATATACTGAGTGTTATCTATATAATCGAGGAAAGTATTGGCATACAAATCGCGACGTTCCCATACTCCTGCTTTGAGAATATTCATATACCGATCTTGCGGCCCAATGTTCTTGCCTTTTCGCTTTACAGCCCCCGCCCTTCTTGCCACCCCCCGTATTTCATCGAGCTCGTCCTCATCACAATAAGGCCCACCGTTGACGAGTTCCTTCATCCATTCTTCCACCACGATCCCCAAGGCAATGAGCGCCGTCTCATCCATAGAGTTCAAAAGATACAGGCCAGAAGACGGGAGTTTGTCCTCGGGTAAGGTGAACTTTGCCGAAACGTAATAATGCAATGCTTCAAGGAGTCCTGAATCCGGCATTTTCTGGAGGAGTTGCGGTGAAGGAATCGGGGCCTCCCATTGGGGGTTGGAGAACTTTTTCATTTGATTGCGGACAAGCACCTCATCGGGAGAAAATGGCCGGTTTTGCTGCCGACTGGTGATCTTGCCCAGTACCGCATCGTAAACGGTTGGGTGAGGGAGGTAAGAGCGCATCGTCATGTCATTGTTCCTGGTGGAGTAACGAGGGTCTATCCGACGTTTGCCACGTCTGACAATACGAGGCCCATCGGTTTTATTGGACTGTTGTTCCTCTTCTGGGGGTTTCTCTGTGCTCATTTTGTGGATGGTGTTTGCCGGAGATTGATTATAATAATATAAGGGTTGATTTTGACAAGAGAAAAACATTTTCAGAAGGAAGGGAACCCCCTTCCCTTTTTTTCTAGATCACGGGGGGAAAAAAAAAAAAAAAATAATAACACCAAAAAAGCTGGGACTTTCTTGCTTTAATCTTATTGATACAATACAATAATAGCGATATAATATTATTCTATAATACCAACGGTAATGAAATAATTATTCCATTAATAGGAAGATAAAATATCCCAAGATAACCAATTCACATATTTATTCACACACACGCACACACACACTCACACATACCATGGAGATCGGAGATATTCTCAAAGATCTCGAACGGAACGTCAACGATGGAAGATCCTCGCGATTCAACCTCCTCGAACAAAAACAACAAGATTTTGCCAAACTCAACCAGACCTGGATCTCTGAAAGAACCGCCCCTGAGCTTCTACCGTACCAGAAAGAACTAGTGGACTCCACGTTGGTGCGACTTCGAGACCAGGTAGAAATCATCGAGATCAACCTGATCGAACTTGAAACCACCGATGCCGATATCAAATTGAAATTATTAATCATTGAAAACGAGATTGAAAGAATCAACTTTATCATTCGATCGTACCTTCGCTGCCGGTTGGCGAAAATCGATAAATTTGCCGCGTACATCAGTTACAACTCGCAAACCATGATTGATCGATTGTCCGATGGGGAAATTGACTATATGACCCAACACATGAAGCTATTACAAGAATTATACTCGAAATGTTTTTTGCAAGACCTTCCTGATCATTTACAATTGTTGGATGATACCTCGGGAGGGATTTCCATGATCACCGAGCCGAACTTTGATAAATTTGTGTTCATCAAAGTGGTCACCGGGGATGCCAAACCAGTACGGTTCAACGATCACGAAATTGTATTGGAAAAAGATGATATTCACACAATACAGTATAAATATATTATGAAACAATTACAGCAAGGAGATGTGGTGTTAATATGAACAAATATTATGTATATATATGTTTGTGTTGTTATGGTATAATAGGATAAACAGTCATCAATATATATTCCCAATAATCATTAAGAAGCCATCAAAAGGTTTTAACAAAAAGTTAACTAACAGAATTTTGTATCTTATCATTATCGAGGTTCCCATTTTTTATTTCCCATTTCTTCTCTCTCTCTCTCTCTCTCTCTCTCTCTCTCTCTCTCTCTCTCTCTCTCTCTCTCTCTCTCTCCTCTTTTTCCATTTTTCATTTTTCATTTTTCATTTCTGTTAACATAATATCTTTCTAATTCTGTTTCGCATCTCGATGAATGAAAAAAAAAAAAAAAGATAAGGAATGAAAATTCACTGCAACCGATCAAAATACTGGTTATTTAACAACTCTCCTCCTTCAAAACTGTCGACGAACGTCCGGTCGGCAACGTTGATGGTATCAGAATACGATATGAACTCACTGAATATCGATGCCTTTGTCCACATCAACAAGCATCGGAAACACGCCACCACCAACGACGTAACATGACATCCGTTAAGACAGTGCATGTACACTGGACCATTATTGGCATCGATCATCGCCTCGATCACCCCAATCACCATATCGTGAGTCAACGGCACCCGTCGCTTTTTGCCCTTGCCGCCCTTGCCTACTTCGATATGAATCAATTTGATATTTTCCTTTTGGAGAAACTCGAGCAACGGAGCATCGGTATCACGAGTGATGGGGTTGGGGGTCAATGAGATTATGGTTTTGATTTTGTATCGCCGAAGAAATCGGTAGTTCTCCTTGCGAGGATACGACCCTCGGTGGATATTGGGGTGGATTGTCGAGAATCGTAGCGGGGGGATCAATGCTAGTGGGGTTTTTGGTTGTGACTGGTCCATGGTTATCTATAAACTAACTAACTAACTAACTAACTGACTGACTGACTATCTAATATTGCGGGATCATTATTATTATTATAGTTCAACCACAAAAAGCTTTGCTAAGAGAGACAGGAAAAGACAGTTCAGTTTGTTGTGACAGACCACAGAGAAAAAGTGCTACGGGCACCTCAGGGGGATGCTTTTTTCCTCCCTCCCTGCCCCCCTTCAAGAGGATTTTTTGTAAGCAAAATCCCTGATGATGGAACACTCACCCACATTGATAACCCATTGGTACTCATATTTATCATCATATCACCATGGACTTCATCACCGACCCAGTATTAGCAGCAACCACTGCCAGAAGTGCCAACAACTCTTCTGAAACCCTTACTGGACCACCACAATCTTCGAGCACCGCACCATCATCTAAGGTGTCCAATGCTCAACTTAACCAAAAGACCAATGAGGAGTTTGGCAAGTTTGAAGACAAGATCGAAGAAACTTACAATTTGGTCCAGCAGACCACTTCCAGCTGGGGCAGCTCATTCTCAGGATGGGTGACCAAAGTGAAGTTGCCAGAAAGCTTTGTGGAAACCCAGAGGAAACTTGAGACCTTGGCGGGGGACGTTGTTGCTCAAGGGAAGAAATTCGCGGAAAAGGGCAGCGAACAACTTGAAAACTTGTCGAAACAGTTGAATGAATCGACCATTGATAATGACCACCACGATGATACACAAGACAGAGATCAGCCAGTAGACGAGGAAAACCAAAAGCAGAAGCAGGCAACCAAGAAGAATGAAGGACCGAAAAAGATGTTGGAGCTTTTATCTTCGGCAACCAATAGTTATTTGGATGATTTGGATCATGAATTAGAACAAGTGGAGAAGTTTTCGCTCGGATACGCGAATAAATTGGGGACCCTTATAAAGAAGAATATTTTGGAAGACAACGATGATGAAACCATCAGCGATCAAGCGATCCATGAAGCGAACCGTGGGGATTTGGGCGATGACGAAGCGGAAATCTTGTTCAATGTCCCAGAAAACTCCAAGACCACGATATATGCCACCCGAACCGATGGTCAATTACAAGCGTTGCACACCTCGCAAGATTTGTACATCACCAACGCCGTTGATTCTGACTATGCGGAATTCGCAAAAGGGTTCAAGATCGACGAGAAGACCAACGACATTGCCGAAGTATTGAAAAAACATCCTGAATTGCAAAACCTCATGGCTAGTCTTGTGCCTACAAAAATCTCGTACCAAGAATTTTGGACCAGGTATTATTTTATGTATGGACAGATTTTGAAACAGGAAGCGGCTCGCAAGAAATTATTACAGAACAATCACAATAATGATGAAGGGGATTTCAACTGGGATGATGAGGAAGACGAAGAGGAAGAGACCACCAAGAAACCATCGAAGAGTAGTAAAATTGAACCACCAGCAGCCGAATCGAGAACTTCTTCTGAATTGACTTATGAGTTGAAATCAACGAATTCCTCGACTTTGGATGTGGTGGCCAGTAAGAAATCTGAATCGAAGAAGGAAGAGGAGTACGATGATGATGATGATGATTGGGAGTGATTGGTTTTGAGAGCAAACTAATAGAACTACTTTACTGTTTGTATAATTTCGTGATAACTTTGTTTAGTGATATAATGTTATGAACTAGAAATAATCATTATTTCTCCATTAACTTATTGTCTACATCATCTTAGTGTAATATTCCAGATTATAAGACTTTTAAAACCAAGAGTAGTATTAGAACAACTTTTAAAGAATAGTGACCCAAAAGATTTAATTAGTATGTATATATATATAAACAAAAAACAACAACAGCATCATTAGAATAAAGGATGGTTTGATGAGATAGATAGGAGAAGTGAAGACAAACTTCATCAAGAAGTTTTAGATATAATATATGTGAATAAGACGATCGATGAATGACTACCGATTTCTGGTCAACAGAATAACGAGTTTTGAGAGAGAGAGAGAGAGAGAGAGAGAGATAGGAAATTTCAATTACCACTTTTTCCTCTTGCGTTTCCCACCATTCAAGTGGGTTCGATAATGTTGCATACAATTATCTTGTCTAGCAAATCGCGACTCACAATTAGGGTAAGGACAAGCGTGTTTTCTTTCACCAGTGTGAATTCTCGTATGTCTTGCCAAATGACCAGAGGTGGTGAAGCTTTTGGTACAAGTTCTGCATTGGTATTTTTTTTGAGGATCCATTGGACCACTATTAGCACCACCATTAGTTTTCTGTTTATTAATAGGCGAAGCTGACCGAGATGGAGGAGCCGAAGTTTTTTTCCCCAGTGAAGGTTGAATATTATCATTATTATTATGGTCATCATTATTGTTCTTGTTCTTGCTCTTGCTCTTGCTCTTGTTCTTGTTTTTGTTTTTGTTATTATTATCATTATTATTAATATCTAGTGGAGAGGAAACTAGATCAGGAAGCAGGACAACTGATGAGGATTTTTTTGAGAAATCTATCGATATTGGGGGCAAAGGAGACAACAGATCGGCACTACTGGTACGCAGCAGCGACGAAGGGGATGATAATGAAGTGACGGACAACGGTAGGGCAAAAGGCCCGGTGGATATTGGCGGAGGGTTTAATGATGAGCGTGGCCGTACTAAGAGGGTACTACTGGAGATATCTAACGCTACTGAATCATTGATAGGAGATGCTATTTTCATAGGAATCAACGTGGGAAGTTTCTTTAACGAGTTTGACGAAGGTTGTTGATGATGATGGCTGACATTTAGGGCGTAGTAGTTTGGGGAGTATGAGTATATTGTTTGGTTGGTGGGAGAGAAGAACGACATGATCTGTCTTTCCTATTATATGGATAGATGATATAGAGTATGATAAGATATGGGTCGCAATTATATTTATAAGAAAAAAAATTATGAGAAAGAAAAAAAAAAAAAAAATAACCGCACGGAGGAGGGGGGTAGGGAGGTTTGAGAACGGCGAAGTTTGCAGTTTATATAGTTTTCAGAGAGGGGGGGAGGGGGACACTAGAAGAAGGGGAAAAAAGCGTTAAGCAACATTCACCCCCCGAGTACGAGGGAGAACAGAGGTAATACGACCAAGAAGACAGGAATATATAAATAAATAAAAGAAAGAAAGAAAGAAAGAAAGAAAAAAAAACATCAAAAACAGGAAAATACACAATGTAATAAATAATAGACATGGTACCCAGAGAGAGAGAGAGAGAGATACCTACTACGGATGGTGATTATTATTATTTTTGGAGGGGGGCTGCTCGGATGCTGCCGGGAACGGTTTATTCTTGGGCGATTGGTAAACGTTCATATTGTATATATATATACATATATATATATATATATCTAATTATCAATAATGCCAATGTGTTTTCTTGTTCACCTCACAGGTACATGTTGTTGTAGGGGACCAAGGGGGGTCTGCCATGGACAATTGCCAACAATATCCCTACTGCTTCAGTGTCTTGGCTCACAAGGCTTGGCTTGCTGAGGACCCTTGAAACCCGCAGGCCTTCAGTGATCGGGAAGAGAAATCATACTACATTTACGGTATTGTTCAACGTGGAACACGATGGTAGAGAAGAGTTTAAAAGGATGGTAGTCTTATTATTGGTATTGCCAGTCTACTCTTCTCATTCAATGATAAACGTGCCATTTCAGTGAACATTGTTGTGAAGAACACTCCGAAAATGACACGCTTGGCAAAAAAAAAAATCAGGAAAATCTCGCAAGGGCTATGCTTTTAGCGCAAGCTAGAAGAAACTAACCAGAAAGAATGGAAGAAAAGCAGGCAAAGCAAAGAGAATTGTCAACCAGTGATATATATATATATGTACATATATATATAAAATACATACAATTGCAATAAATAATACCCAGGGCGACTCGACTCGACTCGACACCACCCAGACCCCTGCCAAGACTTTTTTTGCGACCGCGGCGCGTCAATTTTTTTCCAACAAAGCACACCAACTCTGCACTTACATCATATATAACATATTTATATTTATATTTATATTTATATTTATACACATGGCCCACTCTGCAATTATTAATAGATTCCCTCTTCTTTCCCAGATACCAAACAGCAGCAAGCAATATTTCGTTCCAAAAACAAAAACTAAAACAAAAAAAAAGCGTAGCAAGTGGGCGAAGCCTATTACTCTTTTTTGGAATTCCTATTTTTGAAAACTGGTGCTGCCTCCTCAGCTTGTTCCAAACTTTATATCACTGTTGCTATCTTGTGCTGGTGCTAACCACCGCCGGCGATTATCGTCCTTACCCAGGGGTACCGTCCCAGTCAGTCAAGCCTCCTTGTATCAGGCGGATGGATCTTTTTGCAGCTGTTTGGGAAATTTTCTCTCGTGAAAGCCCCCATCCATCCATCCCATACCCTCACTTTCCCCCCGACTTGAAACAAGCACCCCTTCGATCCCTCATCAAGTGCCCCAATCCATATCTAAATCGATTTAGTGTTACTTTATAAATACGTTTTTGTTTGTTTTTTTTTTCTATGGGAATTAGTATCAACAGATCTACATTTTAAAAATGCTGGTCCGATCACTGTTGGATTCCACAATACTTGTGAAAGTTCAAAGCTATGTATTTCAATTCTGTATACGGACATTTGCATTGGATCTTGAATAGGGAGTGAGGGTAAGTTGAGTACTTTATACACCGACCCACGGTATAATCCTTAACTGTAAGGTAAATTATCACAGTACAAATTCAAAAGTAATTTCTAGTAGAATAAAAAACAACAACAAAAATAAAATGTCGATTCAATATTCCAAAATAGGTGAGTTAAAAAATAATATATAACAACTGGAACTGCTTTGGCGGCGGCCTTGCCTATTCTGGCTTTTCCCAAGTTCGGCATCACTTAAACCATTTGGCAAAATATACTGGCCTACTCTCCAAATAATAATGATTTTTCTACTATTCTTTCTTTTGTTTTCTTTTTTTTTTTTTTTCTGTGAGTGGGATCTCGAGTTAGCTACATACCGACCCATATGGCTGGGACATCCCTCCAGCAGCTTAGTACGATAATGTGGTTGATGAATAGAATGGAATGGCAGCTCCAAATAAGACAGACCTTATTGTCTCTCTGAATTTGTGGTAGAAAGTATACCTCATCACTTCATTTCGTTATCATAACTTCCTACAAATTAATAAATATCTCTTATTGACTTCCACACAGAGAGTATAATGCAATTAAACCATCAAAAAAAAATTTTTTTTTTTTTTTAAAGGGTCCTTGAATATTCCAGAGGAGCGTGTCGGACTATCAAGTGGTGTTACAAAACAGTTTAGTTGAAAGTCACCAATATTAGTACTAATAATACTTGGGACGAACAAATACCAAATATACAACGCGTTATGAAAAAGAGCTGTAGTAGTAGTAGTAGGATAGAAATTTTGATGTCCTTATTACCCGACTAGTATCCTCTCAATTAAATTGCACTGCAATATTACAAGAATCATCAACACCCACCTTCTAGACTCTTGTACTGTATGGAATGCTAAATTATGTCCACGCCTTATTATTATTATTATTATTATTATTATTATTATTATTATTATTATTATTATTATTATTATTATTATTATTATTATTATTATTATTATTATTATTATTATTATTATTATTAATTAATTAATTATTAACTTTGAAGTTGAAAATACCTAGTTTTGTACTGTCCACAGCATCAAACATGAAACGCATAGAAAGATTTGGCAGACCCAAAAAAAAAAAAAACAACCGTTGAGGTGCATGTCTCCATTTACCATACTGGGGTAACGTTCCATTCCTTGGGGCTCTGGAAACAGCCCAGCTCAGAATTTCTTCTTGAGACAACAAAAATCCTTACATTTTGCCAATGGCAAGATTTCGAACAAAACGTTTTCAATGTTTTCTACTAGAGTATATTTAGGGTGCAATATATCATTGGTAAATAATCCATTTTGCTATTATTAACAGGGTGATGATATATTTCCTTCTATAGACAAGGGTTATCGGTCTTCTCAAGTCACGAGATTGTCGTAAAGAGAGCCATTCTCAATGGCCAATCGATGGAAACAGATTAAGGAAATATAGCTCTTTTTTTTTTTTTTCAAGTCAACGAAGCTAGTCAGTCGCTCTAAATCTTAATCTCGCGCATACCACATGGATACATTTCCACATATTTCTGAAGTAAGCAATTCGTGGTGTAACATGTAGCACTCTTCAACATACCAAGGGGCCTTTGTTTGTGATGAGTATCTGCCTACAAAATAACTAATACATTAATAACGACAAGGCGATTATTATGAAATAGACATATCTATGGATACAGAAATGAAAAGCACTATAAAACTTCCCGAATGTCTCGGAAAATCTTTTTTTTTTTATTATTATTATCATTATTATTTGCTGATACTCCTATAGTTAGATATTATGGATCATCTGAACATTAATCTTATACTTGCCTAAGTGACTATTTAAATTTACCCCTACACCAGGCTGTACATACTATACTATACATAAACCCGCACACATCAAATTACAACACTCTTACTGGGATAATTATCAAAGAGCAGCAACACAACCATATACCCCCAATCAATGTCATGACACCCAAACAACCTTCTTTTATGCAGTTTCAATCTTTTCATGCCCATTATATCCCTCCCAATTATAAAATAGAAGTTCTCCAGCATCCGAACCGCGCCCGAGCTTGTGGCGCCGCTAAGCTATGTGAGTATTCGTTATATTGTATCTGTTTCGTTAAAGTTACTTTCCCCAAAAGCAGGCTTTACTTTTTTTTTTTTTTTGATGATCATTTCACACTAACAATATTGTGTAGTTGCTGGAAGAAGAACAATCGATCCACCACCAATTGTCAAAGTTTCTCTTATGGATGAAAGTGGCGACAACATTATAGAAAGAACTATCAATCAATTGATTCTCTTTGTGTCAGCTGAACCCATCACCGACCCCAATGAGATTCAAGCCCTGAGCTTGCAGTTCCCTTCAAAAAACAACAAATCAGACTCATCAAGGGAATCTTTACCGAATAGTGACAAACACAAGAGACCAAAAGTTGATTCGGGACCTCATAAGATAAGAGACAATGGAGAATTGTTATACGGGGAAACCACGGTCGCTGCGACGATCATGAACCCGGAATTGAGGGATATAAAAGACGATGGACTTAAAGGTTTTTTTGTATTCAACGATTTGAGCATTAGATACGAAGGTTACTATCGGCTCATATTCCAGCTATACGAAATGCCATATATTGATGGTGCAAGCTCTTCTAGCTCGAATATCAACATGGCCAAACTAGTTTTCAGAACCCTGGTCAAATCTAATGTTTTCAGAGTGTATACTGCCAAAGAATTTCCAGGGTTGGCCCCAAGTACTGAGCTTGATCAGGTTTTGAAAAATTTAGGTTCGAGGATCAGAATTCGAAAAATCACCGGAACTAAAAGAGGTAGCACGGGTTCTAGGAAAATGAAGAGAAATTCCGATATAAATCACAATCTAGATAGTGAAGGATCGCTGGAACCAAAGAAATCTTCGATGGTTAGCCCAATGGATTTGGGTACCACCAGTACTTTACCGAAAATTTCCAATTTACTAAATGCTGACGATGGCTACCCCCCTCAAACTTCCCGTACCAGTTGGGTGCCCACTGATAATAATCCTACCACGTTCCCGGTCAGCGCCAGTACCAGTACCAGTACCAGCAGCTCCAGATCCAGTATTAGTGCCCCTTCGTACCTTCTGCCTCCTTCTAGTTCATCCTCTTGTTCTGTTCCGGCATTTTTAGGTCGAGCACCAGTATTGCCTCCATTGAATTCCATGCTTCCCCAATCCGAGTTCCAGAATAGCCACCAAAGATACCACTCGCTGTCGTCGTTTGATTACCCAAAACAGCCTGATAGTGCATTATCGTCGCCTTTTCAATACAATAGTATTATTAATGATCCAACGGTACCCTTTACCTTCCCTTCACGAACCGGTAGCCCTTTCCAGCATTCGCCATCGCCGTCTTACCGAGAGTTCTGATTTAGCAATTTTCTTTTATTTCCTTTTATTTTCTTTTCTTTTTTCTTTTAGTTCTTCGTCTTGTTTTTGTTTTTTTGTTTTTTTGTTTTTGCATTGATCATTTTACTTCTTTTAACTTCTCTTGAATACTGGTTGCAGTGGGCCTGTGCTTTTATTTCCCCCCCAATTCTAATGGATGGATGGCCATCTTTCTTGTAAGAACCAACCAACAACCACGTCAAAGCGTCAAAGCGTTCCAGAATCCTGGGTCGTTTGGGGTGGCACAGCGCCGCCACGGAATTCTTCGCACGCGCAGGAAGGAAAAAAAAAAAAAAAAAAAAAACAGAAGAAAAAAAAAAAAAAAAAAGAAAAGAAATGGTGGTCGGTGTTTGGCGGAACCGATAAATAATATTTATTATATTTAGGGGAGTGCAAACAACCAGACCAGATAGATCCCCCCCTCAAGATACCACCGTCATTGGATGTTCAACAACACAAGCAAGAACACACACACACACACTCTCTCTCTCTCTTCCTGAGGAAAGGTAAATATATATATCACACACACAGTGCCTGAATCTCCACCCAACCCATCCATCATAACGTCAACTGCCCGTTCGAAGTTGGTCACCTTGGAGTGAAAGGTGTATTTGCGGCCGTTTTTTTGCCTCCCTCCCCCTGTGAAATATCTCACATCAAACTTTCCTGGGGAATTTCAAGAGATTATCTTTATTATTATTATTATCATTATTATTATTGGAGGTAGATTGTTTCAACATGACCAAGTCGCATAACTTTTTGCCGTTGAGAAGAGAACAGATCGGGGCAGTTGCACCTCGGTATCAGCTTCAAGTGATTCAACAACCTGAGCAAGCCAGAGCTACAGGAAGAAGCAAAAGATGTAAGTACAAATGATATTGGTTATTGGCGGCTTCATAATATTGATATTGATTATTTCAAACTATTGATACTGACATTTTTTCCTCCTCTTTTTAGTTACTGGAAGAAGAACTATTGATCCTCCCCCTGTTATCCAAGTGTCTTTATTACATTACTCTACAACTCTACAATCTTCGCAGGATGATGATATACGAATGGATGATGATAATATGACCCGACAATCTTCCATACCCACAAATGTTACGGAACACAAACATCTACTGGAAAATGGTATTGTTTCTGACACAGACAAAGATGTAGAAATGAAGGATGAGAACAATATTGCTGACTCAAAACAAGAATATAATTATAATAGTGGCAACCATAATGGTGGTGATGGATATATGGTTCCTGAGTTGAAAGTTGAAGATGCTGAAACCTCGAGCGATGATCAGTCGCAGAACTATGAACCAACCGATATCATTCAACATACTCTAAATCCATTGATTCTCGTAGCTTCAATTGTCGATGAAAACGCCCCTCCGTTGATCCAGCAACCAGTGTCCAGATTATCGACCAACTTTGATAGCGATGAAAAATTAGAATCGCAATCTGAAAATAACGAGGTCAATAAACCGATCATGGAAGTTGATGAGAAAAAAGATGATGATATTTCCAGCAGTAGTAGCCCGCCACCAACTCTGAACTCAGGATATTTTAATAATAATTTGAATAGGCTACCAGACTTTGAAAACCTTGTGGGTACAAAATCGGTAGTCGCCAATATGGTGAGCGATAAAAATATGGAGAAAGAGTCTTCGCCAATGAAGGCAGTGTTTGTTTTCAGCAATCTTAGTGTGAAACAAGATGGTAATTATAAATTGCGGTTTACCCTTTACGAATTTGCGAGTTATAATAGTTTATATAACCATAATTCTTTCACTACTCCATACAATGGGGACTCATTATCGGTTCGTCCAATGATTATTCCTCGAGGTACCATCGACTCGGCGGTTTTCAAAGTTTATACCGCAAAGAAATTCCCTGGATTGACAACTTCTTCAAAATTGTCGTTTGATTTGAAAAGTTCAGGTACAAAGATCAAGGTTCGCCATTCTATCAGATCAGGAAAGAAATCGCAATCTCAGGCGCTGGACCCTCGTTCTTTGATTTCTAGAAGTGGGATTTTCCGAAGAAATAGTTCAAATACCGACTCCAACACACCCAAAGACCCACAGTCCACTCAGGCGTCCATTGATAGTAATATGATGATGTCCACCCCTCCAAGTACGGTGCGGGAAGAAATCACTAGACGGACCAGCGTTGATCTGGACTCAGATCGCGCGGCAATTTATGTTAATTCTAGTTATTTGTCGCCTCATGGGAACTATACCAGTAGCTTATACGGTAATGATGTCGGCGATACCGGGTCCATCAATAGTTTTGCCACCGGTGCTCTGGCAGATTACTTATCAATGACACCAATTGTCACAACGATGTCGGCAAGCAGTACCTCATCTTTGCAAAGTGCTGCCCATTCCTTTGGCTCATTTTTTTCATTGGGCAGAGGTAATCATAGTCAGTCACAGCTGCAGCTGCTGCTGCTGCAACCACAACAAATCCTTCCTCATCTTCGGCCGTCGACTTCTTTATCTCACTTGAATTCGGAATTATCCCCTTTGAAAATGCTTTCTGACGTGTCTTCCCAACAAGTTCCGTTGGCGCATAACCAGCACCAGCACCAACACCAACATCAGCATCACCACCACCACCAGGATGGTTTAATTCCTTCACCACCTGGATCACCGAATCCCGAAGCGTTGCTCAGTATTTCCAATTCCAGTAGTAGTACCGTCAATGGTTATTATACCACCCCGGTTCAAGACCGTAATGGGTATTATCATCCATACCAGCGGTCTAGGGCCAATACTATTGCCAGTAACGCTAGCAGTATCACCAGATCCAACAGTATTGGGAACTTGGCTGCGTCGGTCAATAAAAGTCATAAACTGAGTTTGAGCAATGGTGCAAATAGCATTTATTCCGTCACCGCCACCACTACCAGTAATAATAATAATAATAATAATGGAATTGGAGGATCATACGCCAATAATTATGGCGGTAATGGAAATAACTTGAGTAACTCTAGCATGAATAATAGTGGAAATTTGAATTCTGGAAATAATAGATATGATCACCAATCTCAAGATAGTTTATCATCGCGCAACTCACAATCATTTTCCATTCCAACGTCAGTTTATTTCCAAACCCCTAACAATAATCATTTGAATTTGGCCAATAGCTTGGTGAAAAAGAGAAGTGATCAGTATTTGAGAGATGATGATTATGATAAAGATGAGTACCGAAATAATGAAAATAATGGCACTGATAGTAATATGAATAGAAGAGACGGCGAAAGAGGGGAAAAGGCTACAAAGAAGAGCAAAACTGAAAGAGGCAATCAATACAAAGCTGCAATAATGAAGATCCAGAACATCATTAATTGAGTATATCTAATATTATTATGAGCGCTTAGATCAAGTTTATTATTGTACTAAAGAATAGTAACAATAACAACAACAACAATAATAACAACAACAACAATAACAACAACAACAATAACAACAACAACAACAAAAAAGAGAAGAAAAGAAAAGAAAAAAAAAAAAAAAAACAATTTACATAGAGCATATCATGATGGTTTTCTTTACAGTTTGTTTGGTTTTTTCTTTCTCCCTCCTTTCCCCGTATTCTTCTATTTTAGTTTCACTGTGTCTTGATGAATATACGAATATATGAACATTTATATTTATGGACTTACTGTAAAATTGCTGGCCAGATATATCTGATTGCGTTGGGTGTACTTTAATATCATTACAACAAGGTAAAATAGGCTTCATAGATCATCATTAGTCATTAGATAATTCATAATATTTATTATACAATAGTAGCAATACAGGTCCATTAAAAACTCAATCAATCCTTGTGGGAAAGGAAATAATAATAATAATAATAATAATAATAATAATAATAAGAGGAAATTGATAAATCTAACATCAAAAAAAAAAAAATAATAATAATAATTATTATTGTTATTGTTGCCGTTCTAATTTTTCTTTGGCTTGGCAAGCCCATCATGAACAAAGTAATAAACAATAGTCCCATCATTGGCAACGACACCCAAGGTGATCCGTTTTGGTCGCTGATTCAATGCAATTTGCAAATTTTCAAATATTTGCGATACCTGTTTCAACGAGATCTTTTCATTCAACCCTACTGGGTAGACGTATTCTACTTTTGGCAGCTGTGGTATTTGTACTCCTGAACTTTGCTCTACCTCCATTTCATTATTATTATTAATAGCATTATTATTATTATTATTATTATTATTATTATTATTATCAACATGGTTTCCTTCAAGATCTTGGTTTGGGTCCATGGTGATGATGCTTGGAATTGGGTGTACTGGTTCTGGGGGAACTCCTGCAATGATTTTCAGGCCATCTTTAAACTCTATTACTTTTGTTTCATTCCAGAGATTATAATACGTCAAGTTAGTTTTCACCTGGTCCACCAATGACATGTTTCTCCTAAATATTTTAATAATAACTCTGGTAATCACCGCCGATGGTGGATGTCAAAATAAATAAAAAAAAAAAAAAAAAAAAATATCCTCGGGCTTCGCAGTGCGCGGAGACCCACTGACCCGGGTCACGTTTCGCCCTGGTTAAAGATCCCTGATTTGGTCACCGCCAGTTTGGGACGAAATGCTTCCCCACATTTTTACAATCACATACATACATATATATATAAAGGAGACCGGCTCTCTTCCTTCCTTTCTTCCTTCCTTCCTTCCAAAAAGAGTTTTCCCTCAATGTTGCTTCTTCATTATTATTTTCATTTTTTTTCCTCCAAACCATGCTTGCCAAAAGTTTCCAGAGATCATCGTCCTTGCCGATCTTAAGATCACACAAGAATTTGCGACTTCTTTCCACTTTGAAGTTGAACACTACGACGTCTTCATACTTCAAATCCCATCTTGAAGAATCTGCCAAACCTTATGTCACTCCATCATTTGTCAACAATACCCTTTTCCAATCCTCGTCTAACGAATGGTTCGACTTGCATGATCCAGCCACCAACAAAGTGATTGCTAAGGTCCCCCAGTCGACGGATCAGGAATTGGAAGATGCCATTGCTACTGCCGATAAAACTTTTGAGAGTTTTAAAAACGTTTCCATTATCAAGCGTCAACAGATGCTATTCAAGTATGTTCGTTTGTTGCGTGAGAATCACGATCGATTGGCCTCGGTTATTGTTTTGGAACAAGGGAAAACCTTTGATGACGCCAAAGGTGACGTGCTAAGAGGCTTACAAGTGGCAGAATACGCTTGCTCGATCACTACCGAATTGTTGGGAACCAATTTGGAAGTCAGCACCGATATGGAAACCAAAATGATCCGGGAACCAATTGGTGTGGTGGGATCGATTTGTCCTTTCAATTTCCCGGCAATGATTCCTCTTTGGACCATTCCTTTAGTCATTGCCACCGGTAACACTACCGTGGTCAAGCCTTCAGAAAGGGTTCCTGGAGCCACGATGATCATTGCAGAATTGGCCAAAGAAGCAGGAGTCCCGCCAGGGGTCATCAACATTATCCACGGCAAACATAAAACCGTGAACAAAATCATCAAGGACCCGCGGATTAAAGCCGTCACTTTTGTCGGGAGTAACCGTGCTGGGGAGTATATTTACGAAACGGCCAATGCGCTTGGGAAACGGGTCCAAGCGAACTTGGGGGCCAAGAACCACATGATTGTTTTACCCGATGCTGATAAGAAACAGGCCATCAGCGGCATCATTGGTTCAGCGTTTGGGGCTGCTGGTCAACGGTGTATGGCAATTTCCGTGCTTGTTACGGTTGGAGATGATGCCCATAGTTGGATAATGCCAGAAATTGTTGCCGCGGCTAAAGCGCTTCGGGTGGGGAGTGGATTCGATCCAAAATCGGAACTCGGTCCAGTAATCTCAAAACAAGCTCTCAGTCGTGCGGAATCGATCATTGAACAATCTGTCAGCGCCGGTAAAGCCACATTAGCCATTGACGGTCGGGGTTATAGACCTGAAGGGTTCCCTGAAGGTTACTTCATTGGCCCCACTATTCTTGAGAACGTTGCTCTTGATGCCCCATGTTACACTGAAGAAATCTTTGCCCCAATTTTATCGGTGGTGAACGTGCCAACGTTAAGTGATGCCATTAAATTGGTCAATGCTAATCCTTATGGGAATGGGGTGTCTCTCTTCACGACAAATGGGATCCACGCAAAGAAATTCGAGCGTAATATTGACGTTGGACAAGTCGGGATTAATGTCCCAATTCCTGTTCCTTTGCCAATGTTTGGTTTCACCGGCAGCAGAGGCTCGTTCTTGGGTGATTTAAATTTCTACGGTAAGGCTGGTTTATGGTTCATGACTAAGCCAAAGACAATTACTGCTTTGTGGAAAACTTCATTGATCAATGAAAATGAAGGTGAATCTGTGACCTCTATGCCAACCCACTCTTAAATATTCTAGCTAATATATTTGTTAAATCAACTTTTTTTGGTTTGTTCGTTTGTTTTCCCCCTCAGTTAATGATATAATACACAGTTTAATTTCGCTTTTTATTTATTTATTAGTATTGGAGAGAATCTTTGTATAACCATCCTGGATTATTTTTTTGTTTTCTCCTTACATATGAGAGACATATCTTTAAAGCCGAAACCAATGGAACATAAAATAAAAAACTATACGAATAACAACGACACACACATAAAAAAAAAAAAAGAGAGAGAGAGAGAGAGAGAGAAAGAAAGAAAGAATAGAGCAACTAATGGAGAACCAAAATACAACACAAATAGAAAACTGAAAGAATTTTAAAAAATACATGAATATTAAAAAACAACCTTGCATCAAAGATCTTCTTCAACACTATCGACAAAGTATAATTTGGACTTATCATCATTCAAGAACCAAATGTTCAAGAATGCATATTCATTAATACAATCGTTGAATTGGTGTTGAGTAAACCCTCTAGCAATGACGTTGGCTCTAAGGTGGTGCATTTCCAAAACTGGTCTACCATTTTCCATTTCATCACTCTGTTTAGCATAAATAGCGGCTTCTCTGATGATCTGGTAGATCTTGGTAGTGGCACTAGCATCTTGTCTTTCTGTTTCGGCGTCTTCGTCACGATACAAACTACTCTTTGAAACTTCGATCAATCTAAGTGCTTCCTCAACGTCTTCAATCTTAACTTCCTCATCAAATCTAAGACGTGCCAAAGCCTGTGACATTCTCATAATTGCCAAAAAGGTACGTGGTGTAGTATGGGAGAATTGTTTGATGGAACCTTCGGTAGATTTGGATTCTTGACGCATCTTGATATAAGAGTTGACGACGAATTCCCCAACTTCTTTTGGAACCACTGGCTTGTATGATCTAGCCTTGGAAATGAATTGACGGATAGTGGTGGCATCGACCGGTTCGAAATCTAAGGCTGGTGGACGATTATTCATATGCACAAACGCCACATGCTGGGCTAATCTGGCATCATTTTCTTTGGATGGGGTATCAAGCAACAAGAATAATACATCGAATCTGGAAAGTAATGCTGCTGGTAAATTGATGTTTTCTAAAGGTGAAAGTTTTGGATTGTAACGGCCGTACACAGGGTTAGCGGCAGCTAGAATAGATGATCTAGCATTAAGAGTGGTGTTGATACCAGCCTTAGATATACTAATGGTTTGCTGTTCCATGACTTCATGGATCGCAGTACGATCATTATCATCCATTTTATCGAATTCATCAATACAACAGATACCATTATCCGCCAACACGAGGGCACCACCTTCAAGAACCATTTCGTCAGTCACTGGGTCTCTCATAACTGCGGCAGTCAAACCAACTCCGGAAGAACCTCTACCGGTGGTGTAAACCGCTCTTGGGGCGATCTTGGACATACTTTTCAATAATTGAGATTTGGCCACCCCGGGATCACCCATCAAACAAATGTTGATGTCACCTCTAATTTTCATACCGTCCTTCATTTCTTTGGTGACCCCACCAATAAGCAAGAGTAATAATGCTTTTTTGACATCGTCATGACCAAAGATTTCTGGGGCAATACTTTTTGATAATCTTTCATACAAGTTACCTTCAGCACGAATAGCATCTAATTTGATTTCGACATCAATATCCATATTCAAACTTTGATAAGACTTCTTGTGCTGTCTAATAAATTGAGCTTCTAAATAAGTATCGGTCAACAAACCAGCACGCAACGCTTGGAAACCAGTGTATGGACTTGGTAAGAAAATACCAGTGATATCAACGGTATCACCAGGATTTACCGTACGGACCAAATCGCCATTGATATGGATATCCAAACTACGGGGAATGTGACCCACTGGGACTTGGTTTGCCAATTCTTGAATTCTAACGTCTTGGAAAGCCAGGAATTTACAAGCACGAGTGCTCATAAACAATTGACCCTTAGATTGATTCTTGACACATTCTTCAGAAGTACATTCTGATAATGGAGTGAAAGTTTTGGAGTTGACTTCTTGGAAAATTTCAAACCCACACTTGTCACAAGTATACGCATTGACTTGAATAAGTGGCTTGACATCAGAAACTCTGGTAACAATCCCACGAACGGTGATCAATTGACCCAACAAGTCCCCTTTAACTTCTCTAACCGCCAAGGCTTTACCTTTGCCACGATAAAGATCAGTCAACGGTCTGAAATAAAGACAATATCTTCTGGTTAATGAGGCAGGAAACAAGTCTTCTTGATTATTATTTTCCAAAGTGTTGGTAGTGGTGGTGGCGTTACCTTGGATATCACCCATTAGCCCTGTATTCATTAATTCTTCTTGGTTTTCTTGTTGTAATCTCAAGTTACGTAGCTTTCTTTGACGAACGATAACATCGAGAACATCATCCTTATAACTGATATCAACGGTTGGCTCAGGCATAATATCGTCAATGGCTCGGGAAAATAATTCAGTATAACGCAAAGTATTGGCACAAATAAAGTCGACCACCGAGTTAGATCTACCTCTGCCAGACGCACTATTTCTCAGGTTGTTGAATACAATGCTTTCTTCGTATGCTTTAAGATCGTCCAAATCGATGTATAAGGTTGTGATTTCTCTATTGGCGATTTTTTGTAGCAAGTACATATATTTTGGCCCATTACCAATGTCGGCGTTCTGTAAGTTCGAAGTTAGGTCGTCTATTTGGTTCAATTCTGGGGCCTCGAATGCCGAAAGATTGTTATCATAATTGGAAGCCTTGTAATGTAATAAGAAATCTTTAATTTTGGAATTGACGTCTCGATAATCCACATTGATTTGAATGGTCCTCAAAATACTAGCGGAGGATGACTGTGGAGCGACTGTTGTCATTATTATTGTTATTGTGGTTATATAATATAGTTGTTGTTTCTTTTGTAGTTGAATATATAAATGTGTAAAGAAGAAAGGAGAGGAAGAAAGAAAAAGTGGACGAAAGACGCGATTTTTTCGCTGCCTTTTTTTTTTTTAAGCTCCAAAAAAAAATGCTGCTGAGATTTCCTAATTGGGAAACTTTGCAAAACAAATAAATTTCGCGTCTTTTTTTTTTTTTATTGTGTTTTTTATATGAATTTGAAGAGGTACAATTCTGGTGAGCTTTCTGGTACAATAATTATAAAACAACGGTGACATATCCATAGTCTGTCTACTCACTGTATCAGATTCACTTCTATGAACCATTATGTTTATCTCTTCTCTGCCCAAGCTTCAGGTTGTGAATGTCACAAACTAGTTACGTATCTGCTTTAGGTGCTGATAACGTTTCTTCGCTTCTTTCCTGTTCATTGTTCGTATTTACTGATATCGTTGTTGTCCTTCCAATCTGTATCAAAAACATTTATAGATTACATTTGGTTATCTGCCTTTGCATTATAAATACCGAGAAATTATTGAATATTACCATGTTCTTGCCACGGTGTTGAAAGTTCACGAGGCAGAGAATCCGCGGGCCGTGGTGTACAGCCTCATAGCATTGAATTGCTTGGTCAATAGCCTTATGAGAACTTTTCGTAATTGGTTTATAAACCACCAGTTGTAGTTATATAATCAGGGACGTCAATTCCAGTGTGAACGGCCAGCACCGCATCAAAATCACAATTCTGGCACTTATACCTAATCAAGGGGATACCGTAGGAGAATAATATTAGTTTGCAGACCCTTTCAATTAGTTAGGAGAAGGCTGAGCTAATACTATCATAAACTGAGCTGAACCAAGGTGGCAATAGATTGATAAATTTAGCTGGCCTTGCTTGATGTCTCATTGCCACTGTCTGGTAGGTCTTGGGCACATCTTATAGTAATTAAATAACTAACTACGCTAACAATTACATTGGAAAACTTACTACCTACGATGAGCCATTATAAGTTATATGAATGATGATGATGAGAGGAGGCACACGGCTATTGCGTATGGCGACATCACACGGCAGTAAAAGCACCCTTCCCCCCCCAACCAGGAGGGCGCAGAGCACAAAAAATAAAATAAAACCAAAATCAAAAAATCTGCGCGGACTTGCATATTGCTGTGGTGAGGTGCTGCACAATGCAGATCGTCACCTATCGCTATTGAAGTGAAAAAGTACCTCACTCATACAGTCTGTTACTCCGATAGAAGGAGGTCAAGAAACAGGGATAATTAGGTCTTTTATATATTAGCCGGAGGTACTGAGTGATTGGCCTGTTGCAGTTTACCTGATACCAGAGTTTCAGCCATACAATCACGGTTCACTGCGTGGTATATATACTCTCACACCAGAATGAAACAGAAATGCCACCACGCCAAGTAAACTAATTAATTTCCAATAAGTATTTACCAATCATACAGCGTTTATTTATAGTCTACTTCACTCTATGTTGACTCTTGGTCGCTTTCTACTTCTCCCAGTGCACATCCTGGGGAGGAAATGATGTGCAAAAGGTTAATATAACCCCCGGCTATATATAGCTACATGCTAACAGCACCCAGAGAGAGAGCGGACCCGAAATCATCTTTCGATGTTGAAAAAAAAAAAAGGGCCCTGTCCCTCGCTATATAAAGAATGTCCCCGCGGCCTGTCATTATTGCACTTTTTATACTAATCAAGGCTCACTGCAAAACGGCTCAGCAACACTATCTTTTACCATGAATCAACTTCTCAGTAAGATTGGTAATTGGAAATCGTCTAAAGATGTCGTAGACATTATTATAAAATGCCGGAAATTCTGTCTAGGGTCCATCTTAATTTCTGTGTCTTATATGGACCCCGGTAATTACAGTTCCAATATTGCTGCCGGTAGTACTAATAGATTCTCTCTTCTATGTGTGGTGTTGCTATCCAATTTAATCGCTGTTTTCCTACAATCGTTGTGTATCAAATTAGGATCGGTCTCTGGTTTGGATTTGCCAAGTGCCTGCAAACTTCATCTTAACAAATACGTCAACTGGTTCCTCTTTGCCTGCTCGGAATGTGCCATCATCGCTACTGATCTTGCCGAAGTTATCGGGACAGCAATCGCCTTGAATATCTTGATGAAAATTCCTTTGCCAGCCGGGGTGATCTTGACGATTGTCGATGTGCTTATCGTTCTCGTTGCTTACAGACCAGGAAGATCCGTCAAATTCATTCGTATCATCGAATATGTAATCGCGATATTTGTTCTCACCGTGGTCATTTGCTTTTGTGTCGAATTAAAAATGATCCCAAAGACCGATATTAAAGACATTTTCCGCGGGTTCGTTCCTTCAAAAGAAACTTTTCAAAACAACGGGATGTATACCGCTACTTCTATCTTGGGGGCCACCGTTATGCCTCATTCGTTGATCTTGGGATCCAGTTTAGTCAAACCAAGATTGAGAGAATATGATGAAGATAATGGATATATCAGTGAAGACTGGTTCAAAACAAAGGAGGCTGCCGAAGAATTTTTCACCTACGATTATAAACCTACTTTGAAAGCGGTGAAGTTCTCTTTAAAAGCATCGATTATCGAACTTTCCATTACATTATTTACTGTGGCCTTGTTTGTTAACTGCTCCATTTTAATCATTGCTGGAGCATCGTTGTACGGGACCCCCGAAGCCGCTGATGCCGATTTATACGTGATTTACGATCTCTTAAGCTCATACTTGGCCCCAGCTGCTGGGAAATTGTTTATGATTGCCTTGTTGCTATCGGGTTTAATGGCTGGTATTGTTTGTACAATGAGTGGTCAAATCGTCTCTGAAGGTCATTTGAATTGGACCATTAAACCATGGAAAAGAAGAATCGTCACCAGATCAGTGGCTATCTTACCTTCTTTGGTTATTTCATTGACAATTGGTAAAAGCGGTTTATCTCAAGCCTTGAATGCATCGCAAGTTTGTCTTTCAATTCTTTTGCCATTCATTTCGGCACCTTTGATTTACTTCACCTGCAAGAAGTCAGTGATGAAAGTTGAAGTCAAGGAAGATTATAAGATTGATGTTAAACAATTCGATTATAAATTGAATCCTGATATGGAAACTGAGAATTTCGAATTAACCGAAATGAATATTAGACATCGCACAACTGCCGCTGGCGCATCATCCATAAACGATCAAAATATAGACTCTCGTGATGCTTTGCCAAAGGATATTGCTCCAAAGAGCAATGCTTCGACTTCTCAGCAGCAGATATGTAGTCAACTGATTGAAACTTCTAGCTCGACAGAAATTTGTGATAACGCTACATACATTAACATGGCCAATAACTGGCTTGTTTCGATAATTGCGGTTATTGTTTGGATATTCATTTGTGTTTTGAATGTGTATATGATTGTCGAGTTAGGAATAACTGGAGGACAAACTTAAGCAACATTCTTGTTTAATATTTATATATATATATATAAATAATAAAAATTATTATTATTATTATTATTATTATTATTATTACTATCATATTGTTAACGGTAAATAATGTAAATGATGAAAGAGATTGGTGATGAGATGACTACTACAGGGCATTTAACCTCAGTGCGTCTCCCCACTTTCATGGTTGTTATATATCACAAATGTCATTTTATTAATCATTTGATACTAAATAACAACATTTATCCCAATAGTATACTTACACATTGCTATTAGAGAAGTAATTGTATAAGCATTTGCATCTTATTAACAGAAATAGCAAGTGTGATACCAAAACCATCTTGTGGAGTTGGGAGAATTTTAACATACGTTGCGAGTCAATTTTCAATTGTTCTTCTTTATTAGGTAGGGATGGCTCTTCATTCTTTCTCCTCGTTGTTATTGATTATGCGAAGCTAGAAGTACATCATATCATCTAAGATCATCAATTTGCAGACTTTTACTTCGACTGCTACCTACGCTACCAATAGATGATGAGCGCCATTAGAGGAAAGATAAGCTTTCCTAGGGTGCTTTCCTTTGATGCTTTTGAAACGTTATACCTTCTTCTAGAACCACCATTTAAGACTTATCATAAATTTGGGTTAAAATATGGAATTGCTAAGTCTCCTGATGCTATTCTGAAAGACTTCATTGTGGGCTTTAAAGAGATGGAACTCCGATTTCCAAACTATGGTATCAATAATGATCTACTCATCGAGGAATTCAACGAGTTTAAAGTGGTTGATGAATCCAATCCGGTTATCCGATACTCTGATAATTGGTGGGGGTTATTAATTTCAAAAGCTTTTCATCCTTATAAAGTCCCATTTAACATGTCCAAGGATTTAATCGAGTATTTCTCTGGTGAAGCTTACTATACTGATTCCTGTCTAGTAAACACTATCAAAAAAATGAAGATGGTCGACTTGTCAAAGTTCGACGAAGGCGCTGAAGTCAAAGTGAAAAATGACAGACCCATATTATTGATTAATAGTAACGGAGACCCTAGGGTCAAATTGATTTTGAAACATTTACAATTGGTAAGCGATGAGATGATCGCGGAAGATTTGGTGTATATCAGCTACAATACCCAAGTAGAAAAACCAAACAAAGAGAGTTTTGAATATATTATAAATGATTTGGTGAAACGTGGGCTTTTAACTTTCAACAATGAAGCAGAATTATTAAAATACTGCTGGCATTTTGGAGATACTTATTGTACTGATTTGCAAGGGTCTATAAACTCAGGTTGGAACGGGATTTTGATTGACAGAAACTATGGGTATGATTATTTTTTAGAAGCCAAGGAACAGAACTTTGCAAAAATGGAGGGCGGATATCTATGGGATGGAGATAAGAAGTTTATAATTAATGACTACAAACAGTTAGATTCGATTTTCGACACATGAACATGAATGTTTTTTTTTTCTCTGTTTTTTTTTTTTGTTCTTTTCTCTTTCACCATTATTTAATCCTAATAAAATACATATTTATCCTTGAAATCTTTAGCTAGGTGTGCGATTTTTGGATATTTCAATTGCAACAAGCTGTTCAAGAACTGGTCTGGCAATGCCTCATTGCAAGAACTGATGATGAACCCAATCAATAGAATATCAGAACTAGAAGGCTGGTCACCAAATATATACGTTGAGCTTGAATTGGCTTCATCGGCTTGAGGAATTATTGTGTCATTGATATCGATTCTTTCGATATATTGTTGTAATAAGTTCAATCCTCTGAAATTGCCCGAAGTATCCTTTAATAGCTGCAAACTTTCGAGTCTCTTTTTCTGCAAGTCTGAATGGACACTACCCAAAGACGGCAAGCTCAACTCTTTTTCGATTCTTTCCATTTTTTCCTTAGCAAATTCCTCATTTTGTTGCTGTTCTTTCGAAGTTTTATAATATGAATTGTTTGACGAAGTTGACGATAGCCCAATGACCTCGCATTTTTGCAAGAGTCGCTCCTTTAATCTTACCGGGACATAATATTGTAATGGGAACGGCAAATAGAACCGGAATAATTTGATGGTGAATTTATCGTAGTTCGACTTATTCAAAAAATAATTGTAATAGCTGATCAAGAAAAGCTTTTGGGAAATGAAGTTGCTGCACGCGGTATTCAAAAGAGCGTTATTGTTCGATAACCAAGCGTCGAGATCGTACTCAATATTCAATTTCTTCAAATATCTCACGATGTTTTCGTACCCCTCGACAACTTTCCCATCGTTCGTGGTGTCCTTCAAAAACGGCAACCCATAACAAACATTATCCAAATACCCAGCGTCAACCGATGGAACAATTCGATGGTCGGTTTTCGATTGACTTCTCGAAGTTGCAAGTTTGAAATATATCGTCGCCGCGATCGATTCAGCACAAAACCCAGATATCTGGTTGGCAGAGCCCCAGACATGTAATTCTAACATCTTACTTGTTGGACAACCTTTCGGGATTTGAAATAATTGGTAGTGCGCTATCACCATAAACGTCTCCCCATCCCCCACTGGTTTCCCTCCAAAACGTTGGTGCTCTGACCCTAACAAAATTTTTGAAAGGTTCCAGGTTACCCGTGTGTTGTGTGGGCCAGTATATTAGATGCTTATATACTTTACTTATTGTCTTTCTTTCTTCTACAACTATACTCCTTAAGAATAATAATAATAATAATTATCTACGCAGAATTGTAAGAACTCTATCTGTTTCAATTCTAATATTCTCATAGAATTGAATCTTCAGCAAGTACTCGGAGTGTTGTTATCGGCTCATTTGGAGGAATCAGAATACCTTCGCATTCCAATATCCTTCAATGTATATATCTGATCCATTCCCAAGTTGCAGCAATATGAAAATTGAAGTTGAGATGGCGTCGAAATCAAAAGAGCCTGTTAATTTAATGATATTGGAATTACAATACCGGACTCTAATCTAGCATCCTCCAGTACGCTTCGAGAAATGTATTCAAAATTCTCATTAGTTCGATTGTTTCAGTCTTACTAGAGATATCGGCTAATTAAATTCAACAGTAAAAAGAATAAACTGTACATTGGAGATAATCAATAAGACCTATGAGCGAATAACCTTTGTTATCAATGGAAATAAGTTAATCAACTGTATCATCAAGGTGATGAAACTTTTGCTTTCATGTGATTTTTCTTTCCAAAGCGACAGTAGGGTCACCGAATATTTCCGGTAAACCTTCACCGGTAATGCTTCTTGGACAGTGTCATGCAGCTCATCATCCACACCCCTTAAATCCTCGATGACGTTATTTCCTGTCCCCTTGAGTACTCCTTGAGTATACTCTTACAAACAACCAATCTGAGAGAAAAAGCAGAAGAAACACATCATTTAATAAATATTGAACTTTAATAAACTATCTTCAAAAAAAGGAGGTAAAAAACTAAGCAGGCAATTCAAGTATTTTTGGTTGTATATATATAACCAGAGTTTAAAAACCACCTCTCAATCTAAGCACCAAGTGTAAAGTGGATTCCTTTTGGATATTGTAGTCAGATAAGGTTCTACCATCTTCCAATTGCTTACCAGCGAAAATCAATCTTTGCTGGTCTGGTGGAATACCTTCCTTGTCTTGAATCTTTGACTTGACGTTGTCAATAGTGTCAGAGGATTCGACTTCAAGAGTGATGGTCTTTCCGGTCAAGGTCTTAACAAAGATTTGCATACCACCTCTCAATCTAAGCACCAAGTGTAAAGTGGATTCCTTTTGGATATTGTAGTCAGATAAGGTTCTACCATCTTCCAATTGCTTACCAGCGAAAATCAATCTTTGTTGGTCTGGTGGAATACCTTCCTTGTCTTGAATCTTTGACTTGACGTTGTCAATAGTGTCAGAGGATTCGACTTCAAGAGTGATGGTCTTTCCGGTCAAGGTCTTAACAAAGATTTGCATACCACCTCTCAATCTAAGCACCAAGTGCAAAGTGGATTCCTTTTGGATATTGTAGTCAGATAAGGTTCTACCATCTTCCAATTGCTTACCAGCGAAAATCAATCTTTGTTGGTCTGGTGGAATACCTTCCTTGTCTTGAATCTTTGACTTGACGTTGTCAATAGTGTCAGAGGATTCGACTTCAAGAGTGATGGTCTTTCCGGTCAAGGTCTTAACAAAGATTTGCATACCACCTCTCAATCTAAGCACCAAGTGCAAAGTGGATTCCTTTTGGATATTGTAGTCAGATAAGGTTCTACCATCTTCCAATTGCTTACCAGCGAAAATCAATCTTTGCTGGTCTGGTGGAATACCTTCCTTGTCTTGAATCTTTGACTTGACGTTGTCAATAGTGTCAGAGGATTCGACTTCAAGAGTGATGGTCTTTCCGGTCAAGGTCTTAACAAAGATTTGCATACCACCTCTCAATCTAAGCACCAAGTGTAAAGTGGATTCCTTTTGGATATTGTAGTCAGATAAGGTTCTACCATCTTCCAATTGCTTACCAGCGAAAATCAATCTTTGCTGGTCTGGTGGAATACCTTCCTTGTCTTGAATCTTTGACTTGACGTTGTCAATAGTGTCAGAGGATTCGACTTCAAGAGTGATGGTCTTTCCGGTCAAGGTCTTAACAAAGATTTGCATACCACCTCTCAATCTAAGCACCAAGTGTAAAGTGGATTCCTTTTGGATATTGTAGTCAGATAAGGTTCTACCATCTTCCAATTGCTTACCAGCGAAAATCAATCTTTGCTGGTCTGGTGGAATACCTTCCTTGTCTTGAATCTTTGACTTGACGTTGTCAATAGTGTCAGAGGATTCGACTTCAAGAGTGATGGTCTTTCCGGTCAAGGTCTTAACAAAGATTTGCATACCACCTCTCAATCTAAGCATCAGGTGTATAGTGGATTCCCTTTGCATCTTAGGAGTATTAATAGTGTAGTGTAGATAAAAAGAAGATTAAATAAACAGCAGAAATTGTTTATGAATATGGGAAAAATGAAAGCCAGAAAAATAAAAATCAGGGAGGCAAATTGCTGTTTATATACCTCAGTCTAGCTCATCTGATTACGCAACCTGCCACAAAAAGAAAGGAAGAACAATACCGTAGCGGGGGTCTCCGGGTGACACATGCATACACCGGGACATTGCCACGTGCCATCCCGAGGGAAAACTTGCCTGAGGCTATGATGATAAGCCGGGTCTGATAAGGGAAATTACCTGTTAACCAGAACTGTGCACTAAGATGGCGAATGTAAAGCTCTTAGGAAGCTTATACCCCACTGTTATACAAAACACGAATAACTACTGAAAGATATATAGCATTGTAGATAATAATATTCAAAACAGGTTAAATAGAAGAAAAAAATAATTCCAAAAAGATAGATGGATGAGATGAGAAGTAGGTAAGACAAAATGATATACAAAAAAAAAAGAAAGAAAAATCAATTTCAAATCGTTCAATCAAATAATCAACCATATTGCGGATCCGATAATTGTTGCAGCAATCACCACTGTAATAATGCCCGCACCTGCCTTGTCCTTTGTATGAAGATCCAAAGGTTTAGTTTCGTTAGCAGTCATATCGATTAAACCAGCTGCTGGGTTCCCCTCTGAAGTACCACCAGTAGATGCAGTGTAAGGAGCAGGTCTGTCCCAGATTCTAAGACTTTGCATAATTTCTAAAGCAGCCATTTCTTCACCCAAACCATATTTATTATCATAAGTCCCTAAGAACCAGTTCTGGCCACAAGTGTGGCCATCTAGACCACCATCACAACTTGCTGCTGCTGCTAATGCAGATGCTTCGATCCAAGGCATGATGGTACCATTGGTATCAGGCGCCAATCTGGCTGTCAAACCTAAACATCTCGCGAAAATGGCTTTGAATGTTCTTTGATCCTCGTCACAAGTTCCCGCTGGCTGACAAGCCGCTTCATACATTGTATCATTCTTGAAAAAGACTTTACTACTATTCACCAAATTTATAGTTCTGGTCAACCAAATTTCGTCTAAAGTGTAGTTATAAAGGTAGGCACTACCAGCCATAATCAAGCCCATATTGTAAGTCCATTGCAATTTTGATACGTCAGTACAGTTAGTTAAAGCAGAAGCACCATCATAAACCGCCCAATAGCCCGGAGCAGATTCGTTAATGTATTGAACAGATTCCAACCAATACCAAACTTTATCAGCCCAGTCAACGTAAGAATCATTACCAGTGTATCTGGCTAATCTTGCAGCCATATGAAACAACGCACCATTGGAAATGGCATTTTTATAATCATAACCGTTATTCCATCTGAAGATTTGCCATCTCAAACCACCATTACAAGTAGAGTCATCCCATCTTACAGCCATTGTATTAAAGACAGCCTGAGAGAGGTATAACCAGCCTGGCTGGTCAGAAGTAGGGTTTGAGAAGTTTCTTTCGGTAGCTCCCATGACGGCTAATCCCCACATGGCCTGATCATCATTACCTTCTGTAGTTGATTGATTTGCTGGAATGTAGTCCCAATTATCCCCGGTTTGATATAATAATGCTGTTTTGGTCAAATTCACATATGACGTATCACCAATCAAATGCCAGTAATCAACCAAAGCACCAAATGCTGCGCCGGCATGCCACCAATAATACGGATATGAGAACATACCAATAGTACCACCATATTTAGTACCTTCATAATAATCTAGCATACCAGCAGCAACTTGACCTGTAGCCCCTTGAAGAAGACCATAATTGGTTATTCCAATTTCTAAAGCTGATATTGTCTGTGTCAAGCACGTTACTAAGGTTAAGATGGATATTTTCATTCTGAAACGAAACTAGAGAAAAGAAGGAAAATGAGTGAAAAAAATACAACCAACGAACTTCCTCTATGTGTTTCTTGATGTGTAATTTGCTATTCCACTTTGATTTGGAAAACTGTCACTGAAAACTGTTTTTCAAAACAAGAAAAAATATTGGATTAAGAGAAAAAATGTTTGCAAGTATTCGTGAATATAAACAGCAGAATTCTTATAATCCTCTATAGAGCACTTAAATAATGACCTTCCTGTTTTAGTTAAAATGAAATCAACAAAGTATCTCTTCTGCTAGGCTAAAAGAAAAATAAAAAAAGGGCTAAGTAAATCCATCTATTTTTGGAGCAGAGACCTTCTTTTTTTTAAGCAAAAAAAAAATCACACGTGATAAGAGTTCTTACTGGGATGCATGGATTAATATATTGGGGCACATTTAGACTCAAAAAGTTATCAAGTTCAATGCTTTCTATCTTTTTTTTAAAAGCTATTTAGTATCGAATATATTGGTATCTTGACCAGTATATTATGCGGCTATATTCATATATGATAGCAGATACAAGCTGCTCTAGAGAAGCCATTCCGAAGATCTTAAGTGATATGATCTATAGACACAACATAGCCACACGACCTTTCTTTTGTATTTAATAATCAATGTATCATTGATTGACGAAAAAATATTATCAAAGTTTTCATATAAAGGGGATCAAAATTTTAAAAAGTAAAAAAAAGCAAACGAAAATGAAGAGAGAGACAGAGAGAGAGACAGCGACCTAGATCACACACACACGCAAGCAAATGAGTACATACACCCTCGATTATTCCAAATAAGAACCAGCACAAAGTGCGGCACCAACACCACTACCATCTTTAGTAATAGTAATATCAATCTTCTTTGCAAAATCCTCGCCTAACTGGGAATATCTCAACCCTCGGTAAATATTTTCTTGGAACCCTGGATAGAACTCAACCACTGAACCGTCAACAGCAACTTCAACTACATCATCCTTCAAATGAGTATCAACCAATACACCTTTTTCATCTAATGTAACTCCCAATCTTCCTGTCTTCAAAACAACGGCAGCAATAGCTATGGAAGACAACAATGCAGCTCTAGTAGTAACGGCAGTGGTAACTTCCTTAATGATGATACGATCTTCGAAAGTGGTTGCAAGATGCAAACTTTCTTGTATGACCAATTCAGTAACCTTCAAATTCTTAGTATCATCAATTTGGATTTTACTCAAATTTTCGGTGGTGAAATTCCACTCAGTTAGAATTCTGTGAGATAGCTTCTTACTGTTTGGTCTTCTTGGTAAATTGGTCAAGTTGAGTAGATTTGAGGATGATGGAACAGACCTCAAAGTTGCTTCAATTTGTTCATAATTCTGCAAAATTAACTTTCTCTTGTGAAGATCCAACATCATCAAACGGACAATTTCACCCAAAAACATCCCGGAGATTCTCTTTTCAAAGACATGGACACCAGGGTTACTGGTTTCTGAGTCAACAATTTCATCATATATGGTAGTTGGCAAGAACTTCAAACAATTGTCAAATGATCCCCATTCGGTATTGATGATCATGTCATCGATTCCCCTGGACTTCAAGAGCTCAACGGTTTTGGAATCCAATTTGGCAATGTTGTCCAATTTTTCAGCATATGCACCATTGGTGCCTGTGCCAAAGATGGCCCCTAAAACGGTCTTCTTTTTCGATACTGATGAGTAGGCATTGGCCAATAAAGTTCCAACTGTATCATTAGTGATTGCCACAATCCTGACTGGCAAATTTAACGAGTCAATGGCTTTTTGGAAAAGCTCAGCAATATCCTTACCAACAGCATCTTCGATATTGAAACCCTTAGTCCATCTGATCAAAGTTCCTGTATTCAATGAAGTTTGGTCCAAGGGGAAGCTGAAAGTAAAACTCATTTTAATTTTCTCTGTATTGGATTTCAAGTAGTCAGAATGATGTAAAGATAAAAAGTACTTTATTTGTCTGGCTAGGTGACCAAACAACTCATCGGAGGTGCCTACCATAAAAGCTTTTTCCACTTTAGTCTTATACTGTTCAAGATTAAATGTATGGTCACCATTCAACTCGACAGAACAAATTCTAAAGTTTGTACCTCCCAAGTCACCAGCCAATGATAATCCAGTTTCGGAGCCATCTGGAATATGGGTAATAAAACTTGGAATCATTGGCATGTAATCATGAGATTCACTCTTATTTCTCAACCCATCTCTCATTTGCTTGTTGAAATATAGCACACCTTCCCGAATATTTTCTGGGGTAATTTTGAACTGGTCCAAAGTTCGTTCAATTGTTCTCCTAGTGACCTCTTCACTAATATCTTTCAAGGACATTCTAAATGACGACTATCGATATATATATATATTGAATTGAAATCAATCAAACAGAAAACTAAAAAAAAAAAAAAGAAGTGGAATGTGTATGTTAGTTCAAATGATATCAAACCCTTTATGATGAGAATAAGTATTGAAAGATTTCGAAAAAGTGATTGTAATGGAATAAAGTATAAAAGAACGAAAAAGGGAAAAGAAGAAAATCCAAGTATTGCTTTCCGAGTCTAATTTATACTACAAATTATATTTTATAGTGCCTGCCAGGAGAAAAAAAAAAAAATGTCTCCACATTCAGGTATAGGTAAGTAATGCTGACGACCTGCAGCCAGAGCAAGCATCTGATATTTTTGTTTTCTATATTTATAGCCAATATTCAATAAATACATATTAAAAATAGAGGCAGTGTAATATTAGCAATATTATCAATTCTATTATTTCATTATATATGTTATTTCTACTGATGCTCACTACCCAATTCCTCTTTAACAGGAAAGCAATCCAAGTATCAGGGTACTTTTGACATCGTGTGAGGGCTGGAAAAGGTAATCGGAATCCTTCCGGGAAAAAAAAAAATCTCACTTAAGAAACAGAGGAAACCGGAAACAAATAAAAAAAAAAAAAAAAAGAGAGAGAGAGAGAGAGAATTTGATGGGCTATTATGAATGATGTTTGCGGATTAAATTATCTAGTGGATGACGCATCGTTTGTTGCTATTCGTCAATGTTACCTGCCTTGGTCTCCCCCTCCCCCACACAGCAGTTGAAGGCGCATTTACTGTGCGGTTGCAGAAAAACGATAATCCTCATCACGCCTTTTGTCATGTGATAATATTTGGTTTTGTGCGCTGCTGAAGGGTGCAGAACCCCTGATGAGCAGAAAACAAAAAAAAAAAAAAAAAATTTTCTGCTTATTTTTGTTTAAAGGGAAAAATTTTCTTTTCACTTTCTCTACAATTTCTTTTTCTTCCATTCTCACACTACATTCAATTGTTCGACAAATATGGGTGTCCAGAAGAAAGAAAAAACTAGAAGAGCGAAAGAATCTAAGAATGATGGTGCTGGAAATAAGTTTGGTAACATCAAAGTGAAGGGTGAAAATTTTTACCATGATGCCAAAAAGGCTAAAAGAATGAAGATGTATAAACAAGATGCCTCTGTTTTACAATCTAAAGAGATTCCTACTGCCAGAATAGATCCAAACAGAAGATGGTTCAACAATTCTAGGGTTATTTCCCAAGACGCTTTAGAATATTTCAGAAATGCCGTCCAGACAACACAATCTAATACTTACAATGTGATCCTTAAGAGAAACAAGCTTCCGATGTCTCTTCTTGAAGAAAAATCTAATGATGTTGTCAACAATGGCCAGCTATCTTCGAAGGCTGTGGTTGAATTGGAATCTTTTGAAAATACCTTCGGTCCAAAATCGCAGCGTAAAAAGCAGGCGAAAGTTCACACTTCATTCAATGAGTTGATCGCTAGCTCGAATGACGATATTGATAAATTTCAAGACCAACAAGCATTGTCAACAACTTTGGGTCTTATGAACACCACTGATACTGATGGTTGGACGCAAGCGGCCAAGGATGCCATTTTCAGTAAAGGTCAATCCAAAAGAATTTGGAACGAATTGTATAAGGTCATTGATTCCAGTGATGTTGTCATCCAAGTTTTGGATGCAAGAGATCCAATGGGTACAAGGTGTGAAAAGATTGAACAGTTTATGAAAACAGATACCCCACATAAACATATGATCTTCGTTTTGAACAAGTGTGACTTGGTTCCAACTTGGGTTGCGGTATGTATTGTATTATTAACTTCAATTTTAGATAAATTACCAGTCTCTCAGATATTTTTTTCTTGATTTCCTTTTTTGTTATTCTTTTTTTAGTACCAAAGCTTTTGTCAGGTCGTCTTTTTCATGAATATTTATATTCATATCGATAAAATTGGACTGTTACTACTTTGGAAGATCAATCTTTTATCGCTCAGTATCCTTTCGTTTTGAATTGATACTACTTATAGAAACGTTCTGTTCCTATTACCAGATTTAAGTCGAGTTTTTAATGAGTTGAACCAGAAACTTTGACAGTATTGTCATGATTAAACCTTTTGGTTCTTAGTATAAAACCCAACAATTTTTTAATTCCTCACTTTTTTTTTAATTGGCTGACTGGCTGGTAATTTCAGGTTGATATTCATTCATGAAAATACAAATTACCAGAAAATCACATACTAACATTATTCAGGCTGCTTGGGTAAAATATCTTTCTAAGAGCTATCCAACTTTGGCTTTCCATGCTTCTATCAAGAACTCATTTGGTAAAGGTTCTCTTATTCAACTTCTCAGACAATTCAAAAAACTCAAGGCTGATAAACCACAAATTTCTGTTGGTTTCATTGGTTACCCAAATGTTGGTAAATCTTCAGTTATTAACTGTCTTAAATCTAAGAAAGTTGCTAACGTCGCACCAATTCCTGGGGAGACTAAAGTTTGGCAATATGTTGCCTTATTGAAATCCATTTTCCTTATTGACTGTCCGGGTGTTGTTCCTCCTTCTAAGAGTGATTCTGATGCTGACATTCTTTTTAGAGGTGCTGTTCGTGTGGAAAATGTTTCCAATCCTGAACAATATATCGACATTATCTTGGAAAAGGTTAAGCGCAACTATTTGGAAAGAACCTACGAAATTTCTGGTTGGAACGATTACGTTGAGTTTTTGGAAATGATTGCCAAGAAGAAGGGGAAATTGCTTAAAGGTGGTGAAGCCAATTTACCTGGTGTAGCAAAACAAGTGATTAATGATTTCAACAGAGGGAAAATTCCTTGGTTCGTCCCACCTCCGCAAGATGAGAAGAAGGAAGGTGAGAAATCAGGAAAGGAGCAAGGTGATGAACCTGAACAGAAGGAAGAAGAAAAAAATGAGGAAGAATGGAAAGGTATTCAAGATTAGTTTCGCTGAAACCTGGTGTCCGTTCATGTTTATAATTTAATTGTCATTTTCTAATATTTAGTTCTCTTTTTAGTTTTTCGTTTTTCTTATTTTGAATTGGGGTTTTATCTTTTTGCATTTGGTTTGATTCTCAAAATAGATCAAATTTATTAATTTGGATACTCATTTTATTGTAAAACCCTGTTGAAATCGGCACTGTTAGAAGAATGTTAATATAATCACATGACGTTGTGTAAATTTTTAGAACTTGCAGTTCCCTTAAAAAAAAATTGAGCGGTGCTGGTACTGTAGATAGAACACAGTCACTGCGTAATCAGATTATTATTAAAGAACAACACAAACACATAAATTAAATAAATATATGATATGGGTGCCTGTTTATCTATTTGTCTACGATACGATGAATATGGGAATGGAAATCATGAGAATGGAGAAACTGACCCATTGATGCCGGGGAATTATGAAGATAATGGAGAGATAAGTGCCGCTAGGAGAAAAGATGAGCTTGATAAGATTGTCAATGAGACAGTAGCGAGCTTTGTTGATATCTCATCATTTTTAGACATCAAGCAGTCAGTTCCAGCGAAAGAGTTTTTAAAGGATGCGCAGAAGAAAAACTTCAGATTTGGTAATGGGATGGTGAACCAATATGTCGCAGAAAACATTGACCAGCATTATATCAATTTAACATCAGAGTCAGTATCACCAGAAATGAAAGATAGATTAAAGAGCTGCTCTAAAGAAATCAACCAGAACTTGGAAAATCTTTTAGGTAAATTGGGTGAGGGCATGCCAAGTGGGAAAGTTGTGGGGAAACTATAAATGCTATAGAAATGTCCTTAATCCTCATAATAATAAGGTGTATTCTATTATAGATCTCTGTGAGGATAAACATGGGAAATCTGGAAGTTAAATTTAGGGATTTTTTACTTCACGGATTACCCAAATTTCTAAAATTAGTGCCATTTCCATCTGAAGTGTTCATATCTCAATGGTTACTAAAGATTGTCATTGTACTATATCCACTTGAAGACATTTACACTTGGGTTTCTCAAATACATTTCATTTCAAGGGTGCTGTATATTACATAATCTCTCCCCATCTCTATTCTGTATTTTATGTTATTCTTTTTTACTTTTCTCTCTTTCTCTCTTATGGTTTTTCTTGCAGATTTTTTGTGTTATAATTGATGGTACTTGAAATAGAAGGATTGTAAAAACTTAGAGAGCCCGTCATGATATTCTATCATGAAATTTCCAGGCAATACGTTTCCTCAAAATGAACAATTCTGTATAGTGAATCCAAATCTAAAGTTTCTAAATGATATCAGAATGAATTAAATTATACAGGATTTACCTCTAATATAGTAACAAAGTATTGCCGCTTCTCACCACAAAAAAAAAAGAGAGGGAGACACACACAGCAATGATTGTGCATATTCTCAATTTGTTAAATAATAGATTATAGTTTATAACGCTTCAAAAAATGAGGTCGTACCCGGATTCGAACCGGGGTTGTTCGGATCAAAACCGAAAGTGATAACCACTACACTATACAACCTTGGTTGAAAGCAATTTTTTTAATAATTGTAATATAAATCAATGTGTATTTTGCTACGCGCACGCCATGGTACCGGCTTGCATGTTATTTAGAACCTCTGTGACTCGTTAATATACAATTCATTCATTCATACTGGTTCTTATTTGATTTATTTGGTTTATTTGGTTTATTTGGTTTATTTGGTTTATTTGGTTTACTTGATTATTTTGACTTATTTGAATTATTTGGTCTATTTGATTATTTGAATTATTTTTTTACTTGGATTCAATTATTCTATTGATTTTCATTATTTTTATTTTTATTATTTTTATTTTTATTATCCCCCAGAATTCTGATGGTCACTACATTGAAAATACTTAGTATTTGAGATATAGTGCCAAAACCCCTCAACAAAGACCTCCATCTCAGTTCATGAAGCTCCTAGTGATGGGTAATTCACTAGTGACTTCATCTCATATTTTTACATTGCACCTTTTTTCCTTAATAATCTTGATTGTTGAGTTTTTTACCGGAGATGTGATTAATTCTTAAAGCAAGGAGAGTGAGGTTGTGAAAAAGTTATAGTATTTTACTTACCTATTAGAAAGACCGGCATGAAATGCCCGGCTTGCATGATATTTAGAACCTCTGTGGCTCGTTAATATACAATTTGATTTGATTTGATTTGGACTACTCATTAATTTACAATTCATTTATTTATTCTGTCGAGAACCACTGGGGATTCCAGACATTTTGTGTCTGGTGGGTCCCAACACATTCATTCATTAATAAGGAATAATAAGCAAAAAAATATAACAAAGGGTAAAAAATAAAGTACATAAAAATATGTAGGTAAATATAAAAATAATAAAAAGGTTAGTTGAATACTAGAGTCTCAATATGATTCATATATAACGAAACTTATGCTACAAATTTATGAATAAAGATGTAGCACAAAGACATATGGCATACAAAAACCCACCTACGAGAATGGAAGAGATTAATCATCACAAATACTTTTGCGTGCACCTCTAATGAATGATATCTTGAGCAGAAGTATGGAGCCTCTCACTGTGTATAAAACATGAAAATACATGATTTTGTTTTCATTGGATCTGCTAACTGTTGCGTTGAATAAGATAAAACCTACTGTTAAGTAATGTATATACTCTGTAGATGCTCACTACTATGATGTAATAGTACCTAAGATACCTTAAGCATGACTTATGCTACACAATTTTTAGTGCTTGATTATTTGGCTGCGGAGATGCATAAAAATATTAAATGCACAAAGGCTAGCCTAAAATATAATATTATTATTATTGGAACTCATATCTGGAAGAGTGTTGAAGAATATCCAGCAAAAAAATTAATACCAAACTCTCTATAAAAAAAATGGTCCCTGGCGGGATCGAACCGCCGATCTTGGCGTAACAATGCTCAAAGAGCTGTTATTAGCACCACGCCTTAACCAACTGGGCCAAGGGACCTTCTTGGAACAGCAGTTCAACGTCAAAACAAGTATGTGCCAAAATAATGGTACCATCACGTTGGTATACACATAGCAACTAGTGACTTTTGTTAACGTTTTAACAGCGAGAGGTCCCTGAAATCTCTGATGAATTACATACTGTTACATTTAATTATTCTTAAATAGCATTGAATATTACTAAGAGCCAAGGCAGATGATCAATTGATCGTTGTTATTTGAAACTTTTCACAGATGTAAATGCATGGTGTGTTTAAATTATTTTTTCTTTTACTATTCCCCTCAATATCACTAGTTACTAAGTGTTAATTTACTTCCATTTAGAATATTTACATTCCTTCAAAAGCGTTCTACCAAAACATTGTTGGATTTATGGATACTTTTCTATTAGTGGCAATGCCCAAGGCAGCAATAGACTTGAACACTAAAATTATATATTCAACATATAGGAATTAATGTGAACACAACATTTGCTCAATTCGTAATTGTAATTAAAGATCTATTCAATCCTCCGGTTGCGATTCTTTTCAATTCATATTTCAACCCCAATTTATCATTGTTGATTCTACCATTCAAGTACTCCAAGAACCCAAGAACTGTACCACCAACACCAAAATATATATCCTTAGCAGCTACCACGCATTTGCCACTCTTCAGAAGTTCAATCAAGATTTCTGATATTGTCGGGACAATGTCTGGTGAATATATGGTTTCTGATGTAAGAGTCAATGATTTGCGAGACACGTCAATGTAATTCAAGAAATCTCTACCCCAAGATCCGCTTAATATTTGCACTTCAATACTTTTTTTATCCAAATCTTCAAAAAATTTATCAATAAGCTCTCTTGTTATCTGCAATTCTGCATCTATGTCGGCATTGATTTTAAAAGACTTTTTCAACTCCTGCTTGGATTCAAGATCCAAAGAGGTGAACCAATTAATTACTAAATTTGGAACAGTCACTAATCTTAACACAGATTTATTATAGTCAGAAAGCACAAATCGCATTGGCCTGCTCTGGGTCAAGCATTCTTTGAACAAAAAGCAACTTGGAAGAGAAGTTCCACTGCCTAGCTCAATAATTTGACTAACTTCAAAAAATTCACCTGATAAGCTTTGTAAATGAATTATCAAGTCAACAGAACATTCCCAAGTTTTCAATCCACCTTCGTAAATATATTTCTTCAAATCATCGTTACCCATCAAAGTATCCTCCAAGTTTTCATTATAGATATTATCATCTTCAAGCATGAGTTGGTGCTTGACATCGAAAAGTTCTCTTTTATATATTTTTGAAAAAGCTTCAGAGAAAGTTAAGGGCACATCCAATAATGTTTCTAGTATTTCTTTGAGATTTAATGATGATGCTTCTATACCTTGGTCATGAGTTTTGTCAAGTGGATTAATCACCTGCTCAGTGGAATTTTGTTGTTTCTGATTTCCTTTATCCTCGTTTTCTATATCTTCATCGTCAAAAGCGAAGCTGAAACCCATCTCCTTTCTTTTTATCCGTATTTGTTGAATCCAAGGTAGTTACAAAAGAGGAATGGCATCAGCTCGATATTTCACAGTTTTTTTTTTTTTCCTCACATGCAGGTTTCTCGGAAACAAAATTTGATGAAAACTGAAATAATTGATGGGGCGCATGGATAGATATACAAAGTACAAGAGATATACATCAAGGCTTTTTCATGCAACGGTGGTTAAATAATAATAATAATACAAAATTTCAAAAATGGGCCAGGAACACACTGATGATCTAAGTGATGTCTTGAACATCTTCAAGGATGCCATAGAGTCACCAGCAGATATCAACAACCAAAGAAAAGAAGACACTGTTCCAGTGAGGAAGGACCCTAAACTTGGTCAATATCCAGAGACGATGTCCTGCACGACTGCTTTTGATGAATTGTTCGGTTGCTATTCTGTTGGTGGGCAATTCAATAATTATTACAGATATGGCGAATTGAATCCCTGTTCAGATGCTTATGAAAAGTTTTTGTTTTGTGTAAAAAATTCAACATTCGGTTCAAAAAGCGAAGAAGAGAAAAAAGCAGAAATCCAAAATTATTTTAAAAAACAGCTAATGATGACAAAGGCAAAAGGGAGCAGTGAGGATGTGTGGCAGATAAGGAAATGATCTGTCTTCATAAGGTCGTGCGAAATATTGGTTTTCGCTCTACTAATCGGATTTTGGTTCTTGTAAATAGGGGTTTTTATCAAAATTTTTCCATCTATATTTTTCTCATTCTTTGTGAAGAATCGCATTATTTTAATAGAAATCCTAAAAATCGTTCAAATCGTACATTAAATAAAGTCTGACGCTAGTTTATTTCTGGGATATCTTTACTATCCTTGAAGTTTAATGCAATTCCATTAACACAGTGTCTAGCATTTGTAGGAACATTATAGCCTTCACCTTCAAAAATATGCCCGAGATGCGAACCACACTTACTACACATCATTTCAGTTCTGGTCATTCCAAAAGAGCTATCAGTTTTGGTGACGATTGATCCAGGCATCGCATCATAAAAGCTTGGCCATCCACAATGACTCTTGAACTTAGTGTCCGATTTATATATAGGATTGTCACAGCCAGCACAATTATAAATCCCATCTTTCCAAAAATTATTGTATTGCGAAGTTCCTGCTCTTTCAGTACCACTCAATCTCATCACATTGAACTGACCTGGTGTCAACTTCTTCTGCCACTCCTCCATTGTTCTTTGAATTGGAAACTTAGGCATTTTCATATTATTATTACTATTTGAAATACTGGTCCTTGTTTGGAATATACTAATCAATTATGTGACTTAACGACAGTCCAAACACTTGTGGCAAATCATCAGACGGAACAATGCTTGAATATAATCAAGCTAAGAGGTGCCCTTAGCAGTCACATTATCCGGGTAACGAAACATTTGAGCATATAATCCCAACTCAAAATTTTTTTCAACGACTTTTTCTTTTCCCCATTTATCAAATATCAAAGGAATAAGGAATCGAAAAAAAAAAATGCAAAATATTCTTATTTGGTATGTCTTAGCTTCTTCATTTCTTTAATTTTGAGTTGTGAGATTACTGTTTAAACTGATGATTTATAAATGCATAGTTCAACTGATTGAATACTTGAAGATAAAAAATAGCCATTGTCTTTCGCTCCTATCTGAATAAACAGTAGTCAAACACGGCTTATTGATAGCCTAAAAAATTTCAGCAAGCTTTCTACTTCTTAATTTACTTGAATTACTAACCGTTACAGAGTATTGTTCACAATGTTAAACTGAATATTTTTATATACTCCACAATAAGATGCTTTGCATATACCATGAATGAAAATGTAAGATACTATTTCGCGAACGTAAATACCTTTTTCCTGCTTGGATTCTGAGAATGGCAAATTTATTCTAATTAACCAATTCCTGTTTTATAATTTTTAAAAAATTCAAAGATGTGGTGAATGCAAGGGGAAACAAAATCGGATAAAAAAAAACAGCACATAGAATATCGATATCGATCGAAAAAAAAAAAAAAAATGTTCCCGAGCTTTGGAACCCCATAAAGAATATAACCCCACGTAAATTAACATGGAGGAGAGAAGAAGTAAACTGCCAGGGGGAATAAAAGTCTTTGATGCGTTTCGTATGTTCCTTCAATATACTCTTTTTAGTTTTTAATACAATATTTCTTTCTAAACTAACAAAAATATTTAGCCAAAGTTGCAACACAGCACTCGGTCAGGTCATCAAGAGGTGGATCGTCCACCATTTTCTTAATGATCTTTGTGCTATTCATAGCCTATGTTGAAATAGGAGATTGGTTCGATGGTACCATGGATAGAAATTTTACCGTGGATAATAATGGTGATGATTCATTGAATATTAATATTGACATAGTGGTAGCAATGCCTTGCAACTTTCTCCATACAAATGTTTTGGACTTCACTAGAGATAGAACATTAGCTGCAGACTATTTGAGTTATGAAGGTGTCAATTTTTTCATTCCTTCAATATATTTGCTAAACGATCAGCGTCATGTGGTAACTCCTGATATGGATGAAATTATGAAAGAAAGTTTGTTAGCGGAATTCAGAATTGGGATTAGTGATCCAAACTCAGGAGCTCCTGCCTGTCACATTTTCGGGAATATCCCAGTGACCAAAGTGTCGGGAGATTTCCATATAACGGCAAAGGGATATACCTATAGGGATTTTAGATCAAATGTACCTCCACAGGCATTGAACTTCTCCCATGTTATTTCGGAATTTTCTTTTGGTGATTTTTATCCGTTTTTACAGAATCCCCTTGATTTCACTGCAAGAACAACGAATGCCAACATTCAAAATTATCAATACTTTCTCTCAGCTGTTCCAACACTATATAAGAGATTGGGAGTGGAGATTGACACTTATCAGTATGCTTCAACGGAAGAGGAAAAGCTGTTCGATAACCCAGGATTGGGAATGCCTGGTATCTTCTTCAAATATGACTTTGAGGCCATTAAACTAATAGTGGAAGATAAAAGAATTTCATTTACTGCCTTTGTTGTTAGGCTTGTAACGATTTGCGGTGGTCTTATCATCTGTTTTGGATGGGCATACAGAGGATTCGACAAATTGATTATTTTATTATTCGGTAAGAAAGTTGCAAGAAGAGGTCAAGAGAAGGCTGCGACGTTTTTAGCTACATGATTATCCTCTGATTAAGTTTATACAACATCCACAAAAAGATGCTTCAACCTGTTTTGCAATATGGTGACAATTATTGATACTTGTTTAGGAATTGAGAAAACATATTTTTTTACCCATTAACAAAGATGGGTATCATTTGCTGCGATAATTCAGGTGGAAAGGGAACTTCTTTTTTCGTTTTTGATATTCAAGCACACTTGACTACCTGTCCACGTAGATTTTTATATCCTGAATGAGCACTTTAGATTGAAGTTAACTTTATATAATTCACGACCCATTTTTATCTTGCTTCTTTTATTGTTATCATTTCGATACCGAAATTAGTTGAATTAAATGAAAGATCTCTCTTTTGGCCTACCATCATCTGCATATCCTTTCCAACATCGGTATTTTTCTTCAGTTTCTTTTTTTTTTTTTTTTGTTATAGTTGAATTCCATTTCCAACTTAAAGAAGTTACTTTTAGAAATAAAAATTAGTTCGAAAAAGCTACTCTTATTTAAAAATGTCTGTTGATCTAGATAACTCCAAAGAAAGTATTACTGTCTCCTTGCTTGCGGATTCCATACCAGTAGAGTCCTCTGCTGCATCTAGCGGTTACGATGTTGGAAGCACCTCATCACTTAACGCTGGTGTCGAAACTGCTTTAAAAAGCAAAAAGATCACTACTATGAATATAGCCAACGATAATAAGAAAAATGGTAATTCTGAAATAAAATCCACTGCAAAAAGTGAAAGTGATTTCTTGTCAATTGATGATCTCAAATCGATGAAGTTGATGATAAGTGAAATTCCAAAGATTTCGGGAAATAATTCATCCCTTAAAAAATTTAAATTAGAAATTGAAGAGTCGATTAATAAACTTAAAAGCGCTTCGTTGACAACCTCAAATAACTTTCCAACATTTGATTGGGAAAAAATTGGAAAGATATATGATGAAATTTTTGAGGATTACGGGCGTGAAATGGAATCAATTGACATGGAATTTAAGGAATTAGAGCATGTGAGTATATCTCATTTTCAAATCTGGCAGGCAAAGAAGCAATACAGTATACTAACACCAAAATATAGGAAAGATCCATGTGGATCAAGGCAGCATTATATATTGATGATCGTAAGGCCTTACAAAGGTATGTTATACCATTTTTGTATTATTTTTTCTTTTTCGATATTGTGATCAATCAATAACCTTCTTTAATTCTAACCATCTTCTTTAGAATTCAACAAAGGGCCGAATGGATGGATCAAAAGGAATCACAGGTAAACTATAACCGTCAACAGTTGATTAACTCTGTTGGTATCATAAAGAATGCAATTTGTGGTTTACAAACTGTGGAGAAGAAATGATATGTTTTCCTGTTCCTGGAACTTACCTTTTACTTGGAGAATTGTCTGGGTGATTTATGGAGATAATAATAGTGATATTCTCATCCTTTGCAGCTTATAAATGGAATATATTTTTTTTCTGGGATATCGGAGAGGTATTTTAAAAATAATGCTATAGTAATATATGATCTCTATCCGACATGAGATCTTTAGCAATAATCTCAACTGACTCAAGGAACCAGAGATATAATCCCGCGTGCGTCTAATAATATATACACGCTCCGCAAAATCTAATAAATGCTCTTAAAAAATGACATCGTAAGAATACGTACCCATCTGTATGTCAAGTATAAATAGTCAAGAATGAGCAATGGTAATTGTAGGTGTTATTATCCAATTATCGCTTGAAGTTTTTAGCTACTAACACTCGATAGACGATGATATATTAAGGGAAATCCCGCTTATAATTTCTCCTTTCTATAATCCTCCAAGACTAGTCAAATTACCACCAACCTACAAATCCTTACCATCACAGTTGCCAGCCCCACTCTACTACTCGAACTATCATAATAATGGTACACTGGATATAGAGGAACTAAAAAAACACTCTACGACAAATGATATACAATCTTGGAAAGACGAACTTTTGAGAACTAAGGAAAATATCCAACAGTTCCATAAGGACGATAAAGAAAAATATCAAAGCTGGTTAGATGAAAACATCAAGCATTATGCTCCAGGATACTTGGATACGAATGGTGGAATTCTTCAACCTAAACACACAAAAAGTAAAAATCCGGGCACTAATTCTGATTCGGTTTCTACGTCTTCTTCCCTGTTGAATCAGCTCAGTGACATCTTCCAGAGCACACCTTCGTCTTGATGTCCGGGTGTGATTTTCAAGCATCCTTTTTTTTTTTTTTTTTTCCTAACAGACTACTAGATTACTGCTTCCTACAATAGTAATAGAGGTAATAACAAACAATATTCGATAATGTCAGTTGCGAATATTGAAAAGGCAGAGTCTCTTCTTGGAGATATCAAACTAAAAAAAATTTCGCAGGGGGCTGAAGCAATTATATTTCTAGCTAATGAGCATCCATATTCAAATGAGAGAAACTGCCCAACTATTGTGAAATATAGACCAAGAAAACTTTACAGATACCCAGTACTAGACTTGCAAATTGTTAAGCAAAGAACCGCTTCTGAATCAAGAATTATTTTCAAACTTTTCCAGAGTTCAGTGATTGAGTTTAATAAATTGGAAAAGAAGAAAAATAGTGAGAAGATTGATAGATCTCTTGTGAACTATGTGATCAACAACGGGGGTGTCAACTGCCCAAAGCTTATTGGGTTGGATGTGTACAATGGATTTATTTTTATGGATTATATCAACGATACATTGGTAAACGGCGAATCTTCTTCCTTGAAAAACCATCTTTGGTTGTTGGAAAAGACTTTTGCCGATTCGTTGAGTGAAAAGTTAACGGTTCATAATTGTCAGAGTATTGTTGCTTCAAGAGAAATTGAGCGTGAAGTAGTGGCTTTAAATCTGAAAATAAAGGATTTACTTGTACTTACCGGTATTCAGTTGGGAAATATGCACATGTTTGATGTTATTCACGGTGATTTGACCTCCTCTAATATTATTCTAAAGAAATATGATTCCGAGAATAATAATGATGAACTACAGCCTTTATATATTCCATATCTTATAGATTTTGGCCTTTCTTCACAGTCCAGCTTGACTGAAGATAAAGCTGTTGATTTATATGTGTTGGAGAAGGCTTTGGAAAGTACACATCCACTTTTCTCAAAGGATTATTCAAAATGGGTATTAGAGGGTTATGAATTAGCTTACGAGATGAAGGGTAAACGAGAAAATGCTGCCAAACCATACAGGGTTAAACATCGCGAAATTTATAAAAGACTAGAAGCCGTTAGACTAAGAGGCAGAAAGAGATCCATGATTGGGTGAACGAAAGATGTGCCCTATTTTTTTATTTTTTTATTTTTTTGTTCTATTTTTACATGTGTCTCTTATTTTTGTGATATAAAATCATTAATTTGTGCTATTTATTTATCATTATCATCAGCTTGGAAATAAAGGAAAAGGAAAGTGTGTTTAAAAACTAGTATTAAAACCTGTCAAATGAAATTGTAAGTGCAGATCGAGGAGGGTATTTTTTGTTTTGTGTCCTGTGTGCTCTAATTTTCCGGATTAATTTGTTCATATTTGTTGAATTCATCCAACTTCTCTTGATCAATAGTATAGTTATATATAGACAATCCCAAAGCAATCAGGATAATTGAACCAGTTAGTGCTCCAATAACTCTGCCACTGACAGTCGAGGCATTATTACCTCCGACAGTTCTTGGCCCCCAAGGGCCATAAGAAATGAAATAAGAAGCCTTCTTTTCTTCGTTGGACATATCATTCCAATTTTCTTCTTGCTTGAATGCTAGATGATCGAGAATTTGATCCTGTTCATCTTCAGTCAAGTTCACCCATGTTTGCTGAATATTTTGAAAATTATGGGTTGAGATGCACCTTTGAGCATTCAATCTAGTGCCTGTTGAAAATATAGAAGGCTGAAAGCTTATTAATCTTATTAATGATCTATTCATTTTTCTGGTTTTAATATTTCTGGTGTTTAATGAAATTGATGTGGTGAGCACGCAGCCTCCACTTTCTAAATTGTTTTCTTTATTTTTTTTATTTTTTTTTTAGTCGGAATTTTTGCAGTTCCGGGGAGTTGAATATTTGTCAACCAGAACACTTACAAAGCATAACAAAACAATATTCATTAGATCTTACTTAAACTACTACTGAGTTATATAATTTAGTATTATTTTGTTAATCTTGGTTTATTTGGGCAGATATTTACTGAAAAGGGAAACAAAGTAACATAGACGACGTAAACGCTTCCCCAGTTTTTCAAAAGAGTTTCCTACCCTGTGACGATTTTTCCTGAAATTATATGTTACCGGGGTCTTTGCCTCTTCTAGAAATATTCATTTATTGGTGTCTGCTCTTCTCATCTTTAACTGGTTGTCGTTGTTCTTTTCCCAGTAGGGCGCAGCAATCTATCTACCTATTTGTCATTACCCCCATTGAACTGGAACAACAAATCCAAATAGTATTCATTTGCAATTCCCAAGTAATAGTAATTAATTTGAAACACTGATCTTCAGAGGCAATAGCTGGCTTGATTCACCTTTCGCTTAGAACGCTTTGCTGAGTTTCGAGGGTACCCATGTGATTATGCATGATTTAGAGTGCTTATATTTTTCATTCAACAAAATGGTCATCAAGGTTTCGGCGATGATATATAACTTCAGTTTGGTGCAATTATGCTTAGAGCTCTCAAACATTTCTCAAGATATTATTCAAATGGTCCTCGTATAGGAAATGTGAAAGCTTCAACAATTCCCAAGAGAAAAAACCGACCATGGGATGATAAATCAATTCCATCGCTTGAAGACTTCATGTTTCAAAGAAAGGTATTCAAGTTATATCGAGCCATAGTGAGAGCTGCCAACCGTAAGTGTGGTATCATTTGTGAAAAAAAAAGAAAATATTCTGATTACGTACTCTCAATATACTGACATATTACACTAGAAGCCCCTGATAAATTGATGGCCAAGGAACTTATTGAATATGCTAAAGGAGAATTTCTAGTTTCCAAAAATGTTAGTGACAAACATGAGAAGAGATACTTACTTTCAATGGGACAAAATCAGTTTAGGGATACTTGCAAAGGGATTGGCTTCTCCTTTCCAATAAATATTGATTTCAATGATATCAAGTGATGATTTAGTCAAAATGGAGAAATTAATTATCTAGTATCTGTACATACACATTAAAACATTGCCATTTTACGAAATAAACTTATTACTAAATGGTTCTAAAGTAACTTTATTAGTTGTCCTTCTTTATAAACTGAATTTTCCACTTGATAGGCGTTCTCTCCCTCTTTATCTCTTACTCTTTGGTTTGGCAAATTAAGCATCCTTATTAGTGATGGTCTAGCATTTCACCAATAAAAGCCTGTCAGTGTTGCACAAGAAGATAAAATAATGCAATATGCGTTGAATGACTTGAAATATCGGTACATATAACTGTTTTTGCCCCATAAAATTATATTCTGTTAGATGCATCTAATTATTGCTTATTGGTTTTAACCAGTGCTATTTGAGCATATTTTTGCCAAAGTGCTTTAAGGACATTATATATTGGTTTGATATTCATATTGCTTAAATGATGAAAATATTTATTAAAATTGATCTTGTGTCCCTTGTTAAATACGTATTATGCTAGGCTACCATGTACTGGATCCAACGCTAGTAAAAAATATCATATTTTAATGAGTAGCGGGCTAGGCTTTTCTTTGAACGCTTCAGCAGACCACCTTTGGATACGCCGTGATTAACTAGGATATGAGAAGTAAATCATTTATTTTTTCTTGAATAATTTCAATTTATATGTAATTTCGTAAGTATTTGATTAAATAACTTGATATTGAATGATTGGATGAATTATATATTAATAAGTCACAGAGAGAGGTTCTCGCAACATACAAGCCAGGTCCACTACGCCGGTTCTTCTAATAGATAAAATAAAATACTATAAATTTCTCAAAAAACCATACTCTTTGCTTTAAGGATTAATCACATCACAGGTAAAAAATAAAAATAAAAAAAAACAAACAAACAAACCAATAATCAAGATTATTAATGAAAAAGGTGCAATTTGGAGTAATGATATGAATTCGCTAGTAAGTTACCCATCACTAGGAGATTCATGAACTGAGCAATAGAGGAATAAATTACAGTTTTTATTAATAATGATTATTTCTACAGACCGGCTCATGCGCCTGGCTTACATGTTATTTAGAACCTCTGTGACTCGTTAGTATACAGTTCATATTATGGTGGTATTTGTAAATGTGTGTTGGTACTATATCTCAAATGCTAAGTATTTTAAAAACAGTGACCATAATAATCCTGCGGGGAATAGTAAAAATTAATAAAAAATAATGAGAAAAGAAAATAATAAAACCAAATAAACCAAAGAGGTCAAATCAAATCAATAAATTAAAAAATCATGAAAATGAGGGGTGTTTTTTTTTTTAAAAAATAATTTGGATTTATAATAATTCTCATAAGTATATAATTATGTAAACTTGCTCTTTGGGGTGATCTTGGTTTTCTTAGAATGACGTTTAATCGGGCATTCTGGTCCAATGTGGCCTGGTTTTTTGCAGATGATACAGTTCCGCTCAGGACAAGAGAACTTGGTATGTTTCCTGGAACCACAACTAGTACAATAGAAACAATGGGTCAATAATTTGATTTTCAAAACCTTGGATGAGATAATTGATAGTTCTGCATCTTTTTCCAAGCTTATCATACCATATAATCTATTTCTTTGGAAAGGGTCAGATGTTTTGCAAGCTTGCAAATCAACAAAATTAAAGGCATCTTTTGGAATCTTATGCTGTTGGAAGTGGTACTCCAATATGTCATTTAAAGCATCCATGTTACTAGTTTGAACTTCGATTTCAATTAAATGACGTTCAAAATTTTCGTCAATCACAATTTTTGGTTTATAAGTTGTGGTTTCAGTGCTGATTTGTAAAAACTCATTGATATGATTGATGAATGACATTTTCCTTTTTTTGAATCTGTCGTCTGGCAGAGGAAAATCAGGAAAAAAGCTTACAGGGATGACAATTTCATTATCATTAGAGTTGATATAAATGACTTCCTGGGAGTGTCTTAAATCATACTCCAATTTTGTTCTTTGATAACGTTCAGTTTCCTCGATGGTCTCAGATTCAATGAACTGTTGCTGTAGCTGTTTTTTGGCCGGGGTTTTTTCTTTGAAGACAAAATTTGGGGTGTACACCCTTACACCCCTTTTTAATATATTAATTAATTATATAACTATATATCTCATAAACTACCTAACGTAGTTTGAAAATTAAATTGTTAAGGGAAAACTGTTAATGGTGAAAAACCCTATTATTATGAAAAAATCTTTTTATGCGTTTTTGAGGTTAATTATTGTGGCCGGGTAACAGTTAGAAATTTAAGTGATCTTGGTTACTAAAAAATCTAATACTATCACGTGGCGTGGATGGTTTAGTGGTAAAATTCAACTTTGCCATAGTTGAGCCCCGGGTTCGATTCCCGGTCTACGCATCACCACTACATAAGTTTAAATGTTAGTTAAATTTTCTTATTTTTTTTTATAGAATCAACAACTAAAGGTTTTGGTTTTCAAAAATAATCAAGCTTGCTTTTTAATTCATGTAGATAAGTTAAGACTTAGGAGAAGCTTGCACTCGTAAATTTTTGCTTATCACTGGTGATATATACTTATATAGAAACGTCGGTTGATCAACCAATTAATTGATTAATTATCATCATACTCAAACATTGATTCAGGGAAGTAATTATATGCCTGTATTTTTTTGCATTCGTTTTATGGACCTACAGATTCGTTTCAATGATTTGCATTTGATATCATAATCATCAAACGAGGTGGCGGGGGGTCGCTGCGAAAACAAGGATACGGGTACGGCTACCGTAAAATATAACCTATTTTAGTATTATCAGTTTGAGATCTATGAAGCCAATTTAAGGGAATAGCCATAGGACATGAGATACCACGTTCGCGTGGTGCTGATTACTTTTGCTTTGCTTTTGAAGCTCAAAGTTTCTGACTAATTTTGGAAAGGGCTGCATGTCGGAGGAAAAATTTTGTGCCCAAAAATTCGACTCTAAAAAAAGATGACGATATATTGTGAGTATTTCTAATGAAGGTCAAATACGAACTCCCGAACAATGCTGTTTGATGTGCCTTGGCATACTCCGTATAAAGCTTGATAATATTCCTTTTTGTGATACCCACTGAATGAAAGTTTGTAAAACTAACAATATTTTCGGGCTAATCCAATTCTGCTTGAAAAGTGTCACAACATTTCAGGTTTAATACCTTTGTTTACATTATTGATATTATTACAACACTGAAAAATTCAAATAGAATGTCGAATCCTTACTTAGTTATTTGTTCCGTTGGGAATCCTGGTGCACGTTATGCTTACACTCGCCATAATATGGGCCATATTGTGCTTGATAAAATTAGAGAATATTTGGGATTCCACAGTTGGACCAGATCACCATCACTAAAAAACTGTGTTGTTTCCGGATCTCCAAGTTATCCGGTAATTTTATACAAATCTGAGACTCAAATGAATATATCTGGTGGATCAATATCGCGAAATTGGCAAATTTTAAGACGCCAGAAGCTTAGTGAAGGTTATGATCCGGTATTAGTTATTATTAATGACGAATTATCTTTACCGGTTGGTAAATCACAAGTTAGACTAAAGAATTCCAGCCCAAGAGGCCATAATGGCTTGAAGTCTATTAGAACTGCAATGGGTGGGAACTTCTTGAGTATTTCTGTGGGAATTGGTAGACCAGAATCCAGAGATCAAAATTCCATATCAAATTATGTTTTGAGCCGAATCCCAACGCATGAGTTGCAAATTGTTTATGAAGATGTGGTGATTGATGTTTGTGGATACCTTGAGCAAATGTTGGAAGGGAATTATATTGATGATTAGGGCGTTGTTGTTGATAACTACTAATATCTCAATATTCTTTTGTTTGTTTTTATCTTGTGTTTACTTCTGATTCTACCACTTGCACTGTTTAAATTCGCATTGAATTTACTATATTATATGACCACTATACATCTTGACATAAGTCTTTGGGAGTTATTTCATTTAGATTAGAGAATTTTTTAATTTTTTTTTTTCATTTCTTTGCATGAGGACATTATTTTACATTATTTTACACTAATATTTTACAATGACACCATACTGGATAGAACGTTATTTTCTTTTGTAATATGTGATATGATTATATTAACCACCAGGATGATTGTATGAAAAAAGTTGGGGATGAAGAAGATATCTTCAGAATAATGAGGACATCTTCAGAATAATAATGAAAGATAGTAATATACATTTCTCTTTCAACCAAAATTATAGATTCATGATACGTAATGGAACAATGCAGGCAATACTAATTGAGGAGTTTGAAATAATAACGAACTGAGGAAAGCAGGGAGGAGTGACCAAAAGAATTGAATAAGAATAAAAAAGAATAAATTATCATTTACTATTTCATTCATTTCTTCAAAGCGATGCTGTCTTCACCCAACATTTCAATGGTTTGAGACATTGGTCTTCTATAAGCAGCATCCCAAACACCTTGCTTTTCACCAAAGAGCTTTGGAACTGGTTCGGATTTATCTATGGAATCATATGGAGAATCTTTACCCAACCCAGTGACACTTTGACCACCCCAAGACACTAGACCCATAATACAACCAAAAGCGAAACCGCAGCCCACAGTTTTGGCGACATTTTTAGAGACGGAACCAATGATAGAACCCGAGACAAGACCACCGTAGAAGGCGTTCACACCATCATTTTTTTGTCTCAAGTTTCCTGAAAGGGCTTCAATAAATGAGTAGGCGGCAGCAGACACGGTAACGGCACCAACAAGAACGCCTGACAAACGAATTCTGTGGAAGGCTGGGGCTTGGGATTTATTAAGGGAGTTGTAACCAGCAGCGAACACAGAACTTACAAGAAGACCACCAATACCAGCATTGGTAGCGACTTCGATGGCATCAACAGGCTGGAATGGCTTGTTGAGCTGCACACGGAAGGTTGGGGTGTATAACTTGGTACTCTTCGGTTGTTGATCTTGTGCTTCAGACATTTTTTCTCCTGTTATTTTTTTTTTCCTTTAAACTCCGCTTGTCTTACTGACTGAAGATTCCTCAGAGCATGCACTTTCTGGTAATCACTACCAGAAGTTCTTTCAAATTAATTTTGTAATAGTGAGATTTTCTGCCAATTAGATTTCGTTTTTTTCAAATACACCCAAAAACCTTAACACCCAAACATTTCAAGAAATTATAAGGTTAGAAGCACCGGGGAATGATTGACAGATGATTAGCCTGTTAATATTGACACAGCTTCTTGTGCCAAACAGTATTTGATTGAAACTAATGATTTATTAAATGTACATCAATGACTGCCTTAGGACAATTTTTCAGCTCCTCAAGACAATTCATTGTTGTTGGCGCCTCAAGTAACCCAGATAAGTTTGGCTATAAAGTCTTAAATTGGTATTTAACTCGGTCACTTCCAGTGATTCCAATCAACCCAACCAGTAAGTCAATTCTCGGGGTGAATACATGTGCTTCAATCACTGATGCCTTGAATTTAGAGAATTTGAATGAAAACCAAGCTATTGATGGATTTAGCGTCTCTTTTATCACGGCACCAAATGTTACACTAAATATTATTCAAGAGTTGATTGAGAAAGGATACAATAGCGATGGAAAATTAAAGGCGTTTTGGTTCCAGCCAGGAAGCTATAATAGCGAGATCATTAGAAAGTCTAAGGAGGATTTAAAAGTAGACACAATTATCGGTAATGATTGTATACTAGTGAATGGCGATTTTGGGATTAGCGAGGCTAAACTATAGGAGTATTGTACATTATTTTTATGAAGTGAACTGTCTCTTTAACATATCACCAATTGTGCTATTTCTCTTTCTCTCTTTTTTTTTCCATCATTTTCTTTTGGTTTTTTTATAACTATGATTTTTTAAGAAGTCTACGGTGGCAAAGAAAAGATATCGTTTGAGTCATACCAGGCGTTCATATAGCTATATCGTAAGATGCATATTATGGGGCACTTTATAAACCCATTTCTCTAAGGACTGCCATTTCATCTTCATCTACTTGATCTTCATCGAACATAGTCATATCATCAGGATGTTCTGGGGCCAGAGATGTAGCCTTCAGTTTTGATTTTTCATCGAGCTGTGAAATAAGTTCGTCATCGTCAAAGTCATCATCAAAGTCGTCAGCATCATTAGCAGCAGGTTTGGGAGCTGAATGTGACTGCTGGGTTTCACTCGTCGAAATTATCAAATTCTCTGGAGGGGCTGCTACACTATTACCATGTGTGGTTTGTACTTCACGAGAAATAGCTCCTCCATCATCATCATCATCATCATCATCATCCACAAAAAGACCATTAGATCTGGTCTTCTTTTTCTCTTGTGTGCCTTCACGCTCTCGTAAATTTTCATTATCATTATTACCAGTAGTGCCAGTTAAAGGAGGTGTAATGGATTGTCTATCATCACCTTCATCATCACTTTCTTGAACAAATAATCCATTCGAGCGTCTTATTACAACATTATTCATCTCAGTATCACTAAAGGCGTTGTCATTGTTTGTGCTATTCGGACCATCATCTTTTCTCTTCTCACTGCTACCATCATCATTAGCATGACTAACGTTATTAGTTTCTTGATTCGCTATTCCTTCTTCACTTACAAGAGCCTGATTCTCCTCCATATGGCGATTAAATAATCGGTCTTGCTCGTCACTAATGCACTGCCGTCTGTAACTTAATACCCTTCCCTTGGAAAGCGAATGCTTGGTGTAACAGATCTGCAAGAAATTTTCAAAATTGGCCTTTGGGAAAACCTTATGGGCCCATAATTGATAGAATTGCAATAATTTTGTGGCATTATCGTACTCCGTGGTAAACGATACGTGTTTCTTGTTGGTAGATTTGGAGATTCTAGTGGAAGATTGGAACTTGACTCTTTTTTCAAGATTTCTTTTGATATATGGTAACCCATGGTTTGATAGGAGTTGATCTTCCGATAAAGAAACCACTTTTCTTCGAGTTTTAATATTGACATTATCAAACCCTAGGATGTCGTCTTCTTCTTTGCCGTTGCCTCCTGTACTATTGCTATTTACCTGAATACTCATTTCCAATGGGTCATATTGTGTATTTGATATAGGTTCGGTGGTTGGAAACTGAGACTCCGTATTATTCTCCTCAAATGCATCCTCGGTCACAAATAGCGGTTCATCATCAAATGCGGTTTCCTGTTGCTCTTGCTGTTTTGACAGCTCGGGTTGTCTCACAGTGACGAAACCATCTTGTTCAAAAAGATCTTCCATATTGATTTTTAGATAACGTTTACTATCCACGGTACTTCAATCCTTTCAGAGATAATTGTTACCGTAATTGCAGATTATTCCTTACGCGACGCGCTTCATGCATTTTTTTTGATCTCACTCTGGGTATGCACGTGATTTGCGTACTAAACGCAATATCTCAACATCTTTTCCTTTATCAGTATCTTTCCATTTTCCAAAGACTATTTATCGACATTATCGACATAAATAGCCTTATTCTTTTGAGGAGGTATTTAAATATACGTATTGCTTTCTATTGGATCACACCAGCCGTTTACGCCAAATAAATGGAAAAAAGAAAAGCAATCAGCCTGATTGAGAAATCATGTTATAAATAAACAAAATAATGTTTTCTTCAAGCTTGCAGACCAGCAAGCATTTTTTTTGGAAGATAACCTATTACCCATTAAATGGTATCACCATATAAACAGTCTTCTTTCCAGCAACCAATGGTGGAATAATCGCAATACATGTCAAAAAGTGGTTAGCGAGCCCCGCCGCACCACTGTACCCTTGAGGACACCCACATGGAGTAACAAAAAAAAAAACCGGAATTGGAGAGGGGCTAACTGATCAGATAAGTGGCAGATCAAATATAGTCTATCCAGCTTTTAAAGCTATTTTTTTTTTTACAAAGTTTTCTCAGTCCACATTTGAGAAATTGATGGGCCATGAATATCGCTCTCTCGGAAACAGTTTCTGGCAGTGGTGGTGATGAGAATGATGAGATCTTCAGCATTTTTCGCGACAATTCGGATCAATTGCACAGACTTACGAACATCAACTCATCAGAATATCTCGAACAATTGGCACCAATTATCAAAAGTGCTCTTGTTTCCGATGACTCTCTCGATGATTTAGTGATTAGTTTGGAAGATATTTCTCATGAGAAATCTCGCAATCTTGAACAAATTTGCAAAGAATCAGAAAATGATATTTTGAAATCAGTAACCAATATTTCCAAAATTAAGGCATCCAGTGCACAACTCCAAGGAGAAATCAGCGAAATCAGCTCAATATTAGAGAATAACGGCTCGAAGTTAATTGAAAAAAAGAAAAAATACCTCGCCTTGAAAAATAATTCAAATAAAATCAACCAATCAGTAGATTTGATCAATTCCTCATTACAAATGTTAGAGTTGAGTAACAAAGTCCATGATTTAATTAAAAAGGAGAAGTTTTTCATTGCTTTAAAGAATCTCGATGATTTGAAAAATGTTCATCTTAAAAACAGCGATATCAATCAGTTTAAATTTTCCATGCAAATCTATCAGTCGATACCAATTCTCACGAATTTAATCAAACTGAAGAGTTTTGAAAGCGTTCGGAAACTAATGACTCATTTGGATAAGAATTTCATCAATATGGGAGAAGTTTTGTTCAGTTATACCGAAAAATTAATGGAAAAATGGTATCAGCGAATTAATTCCAATAAGAATTCTGATCTTAATGAAATTTTGAAAGAGTTTTCGTTGAACTCTCCTATTGAATTGACCATTAGACTTAGTGATTCCAGCACCAAGTTGAATCCACTCAATAATGAATATATTAAAATCCCATTAAATCCAATCTACGATGCTCTTTTAATTTATGAGTCTATTGATGAACTCGATGACCTTCGAAGCAAATACCTCAAAGAGCTTACTACCAGAAAGGATAGATTATTTTATCAAATCCTCAAGACCAATAATACTGCAGCAGCTAATACTGTTGCTAATAGTAGCTCCTTTAAAGATGCAGGGTCCATTAAAGAATTCTTATTCAAGCTTTCAGCGTTTTTCATCGTTGACCTGATTATTAATAAAAACACTCATTTCAAATTGAGAGCAGCAGAAGCAACCGCCAATTTGTGGGAATCAGTGGCCGATAAATTGATCCCGGTATTGGCTTCACATATTGAAAGCGTCTCGAACGATAATATTGATGAATTAGTGGAATTGAAACAAACTGTGGGGATTTTCATCAAATTGATGGAAAATTATGGATTTTCTATCAAAAAGGTGTACGACGAAATTCTCATTTTATTATTTAAAAAGTTCCAGAAGATTCTTCTTAACAACTTTGAAGAAGAATTCAAAATTTCATTATACGAGGATGATTCCATGCCAATGAGAATCAATGATATGACACTTTACAAAAAAGTTTTGGCAGTCAGTTGGTATCAAACGGATAATCCCGATGTTGTTCCAATTTCTCCTATAGATCCACCTGCCAGTGGTCGTCATGATCCTAAGTCAAACGAATTTCCAAAACATTTACCATTTTCTCAACTATACCCAATGACCTGTGCACAGGTTCGTTCCTTTGTCAATAAATCTTTACAATTTTTGGAATTTAACATTTATAATAAGAATTATAAACTATTGAGTCAGTTATTAATCAGCTCTCTCGATGAATTGATGAGCAACAAAATCGGTAAACACTTGAAAGAAAAAGTGAACTCCACTAATCGTGAAGAAATTGCCCAGAATTTAATCAATTTGGATTTTTTTTACATTTCATCTCATGAAGTTTCCAAGCTTTTGACTTCCTTTAATGCTATGGTTGCCAACAACAACCCATCAAGCTCATCGATGTCCATTAATATCAATTTGATCAAAAGTTTGCCACAGAAAAATTTCATACTCAACTCAACCCAGATATTTAAAGAAATTAAAAAGAATGCGGAAAACAAATTGTTTGAAATGGTCGATGGTAAGGTTATGCAATTGATGGAAATGATTGATTTCGATTTCGAGACCACGATAACCAATAACGAACCATCAATGTATATTATTGAATTAGGGGAGTTCTTGAAAGCGATGTTTAGTTCGACGTTTAGCAATTTACCAGCGCAAGTGCTTAATTTGTTGATTTACCGTACATTTGATATTCTTGCCGATAACTTTAAAGCAGTACTCAAGGATTCTCCATTGATCACAGACGTTTCTATTCTCAATTTCGATTCTGATTTGAGTTACATTGAGAATATTCTTGATGAATTGCGTGAGGAAGAAGATGCCAACAATAGTAGTAAACTCAGAGGTAAATTCGAAGAGTTGCGACAAATCCTTTTATTATTGAAGAACGGATCATTTGAAGAGTTTAGAAATTTCAAATCTGAGAAATACAGCAAAGTGGACTATGATTTGGGGGCACAGTTATTGAATAAATTAAGGATTAACGGGAGAACCATTGGAGAAATCCAGAGTCAGTTCAAACCAGGATCGCCTGACATGGGAGGTTATGATCATGGTTCTATTTCAGGGTCGGAAAATAATGGTCTTACAATGCCATCCGTGATTAAGAGTCCTTCATCTATGAATTTTTCCAGATTCTATAAGTTTAGAAATCCAAGCAAATAGTGTGTTTGATGATGCATTAAGAAACAAGCTCCCATAAGAAAAAAAAAATGGCATTTTTTCTCTTCTCTTTATTTTATATTTTTCATTTATTCGTTTTGTTTGAAAGCTTAATGGATCTTTTTATTTTTTGTGCTTAAATGTAACTAACTAATTTCAACAAACTGTATTTTCCAAGTATTATAATACGATCCCAGAAATTATTCAGTTCTAATAAAAGAGAAATATCATTCATAATATATATACTAAAAGTTGCTGACCCATTAAGCAGCATTCCAGACATCTTGTAAACCCATTACCGAGGTCGCTGTACCCGCAAGGGCAATTTTTCCCTCATTTGAATGTAATAATTTACCCGAGTTCAAAGCGACAAAGAGATCCAACGAGTCCCATAAAAGTTTTCTTTTGGCCGCGTATTTTTTGCTTTTAATTGCGTGAGTTATCTCTGCATTTTTCCCGTCCTTATGAGTTTCAAGTTGTCGCAAATGACTACTGGCATCGTACCAATTTTTCACATCGTTGACAATTCCCAACCCGATGGCTAATGCCCATAGACGACCAGAGAGGATTGCGGCATTAGGAAACGATTTACCATCGATAAGTTTCAAAGTCTTGAAGAACATCACCTGGTCAAAGAATAAATACGCAATGAAGGTGGAATCTCGAAAAGCAGACACCGTGCGGGAGATCGGATCAACAGACGTAGCAGCATCAAGGACTTTTCCGAGACTCACCAAATGCTCCAAAGGTTTAAGGAAACGGAATGCTTTGCGGATAAATGATAAATCACCAGATACCGATTTAGAAAGCCGGGAATGGTCGAGTAACCCGATGGTGGAGAAATAGTAGGCCAAGAAGCGGGAAAGGTATTGGATACAACGGAAGATCTTATCGCGACCCGCTGAGTAAAAAAACAGTTAGTAACTGGTTCATAAATGATTTTTGCACTTTTTTTTTAGGAGCCAAACTTGAAAATGAATAAAGAAAGAGAGACAGAAAAATAAAAGCTTGGTAAAATGAGGTCAAAACATCAGAATGGTATGTATATTATTGTGATTTGATATTAATCTTTGGTTGTAACATACAAGATAAAATAACATTATCGTGGATATATGCTCTTGGAAGGAATGCAATGGATCATTGATACTCACCTGTTTTTGCTAGTAGTCGCACCAATTTGAGCAAACAAGCATTATGGGTGACGACCCGGTAGTCAACTTTTTGGTAGGTCATGATAGGAAGCCTTTAGGACAATTTCTTCAAATGGCTTGGCAAATAATGTTTAAGATAAAATAATGAATTTGCGAGGATGTAATTCCGCATTTTCTCGGTGGTGCAATATATATATATATATAAATGAATAATACATGATGGGCACACACCCTTCCTTTTATCCCCACAAGTCATTGATCGGCCACTTTTTTTTGCATTTGCATTTACAGCGCATGCCCCGGATCTTATGCCGTTAGAATTGTGTCTCTTGATGGAAGAGTGGAGAGACACACCACAACCATAGCGATGCCTATTGCAAAACAAATTTACCCTTGTCTATTGAAACAAAAGAAAAAAACAATACCAAAAAGAAAAAAAAAAAAGGAACTGAATCAATTAAGATATTTATAAAGCTAGATAGAACTATGAAAGCAAGTATTAATAAACTGACTATAGCAGCAGGAATATGGGTATACCAATACAGTGACAATACAAACAAGAAAAAAAGAAAAGGAAAAAGAAATAGAAAAGGTTTAGTAGATCTATTGTATAGCAAAACATTAAAACACCAAGTTTATATCTATGTTCTAAAATAACGCGATTCGAGGGGGAGGGGGGGAAATGCTCATGAAAGAAACGCCAAAAAGTTCCTGTTCCATATGATCTCTGATAATGGCATTCCATTTTCACAATTTTCTTGAATAATTTCAAAAGCTAAGAACGAGTTCAAATTGAAAGTTCCTTTGCTAAGTTCAAATATTTTCAACATAGCTTGTCGCTTGAAATCATAATTCAAGGTATCCACCGCTCCGCAAACAATAGCAAAATTAAGACAACTATTAAACATTGTGGCAACAGAATTATTCAACGAAGAGGAAGATGAAGAGATGAAATCAAGTTTTTTAGGTAACTCAAATGATAAGTTCAAGATTTCTGTGCTAAATTTCTGAGCAATTTCCGAATCTCGCGGAATCATGATTACTCGGCGATACAAGATCAATAAAGCAGAATACACATGAAGCTTATTGGTGGATTTCAATACTTCCAAACAGGCAATTGAATCATTAATTTTCAGATTATCGCCATTTGGAACAAGATTTTGCTTTTTCTTCAAAATTTCGCCATCTAATTTGGATAGCACATTGTTGAGTTTGGAAACTGCCTTTTTGTTCAAGACTAACGCTTCAGCAATCAACCCAGAGTTCATATTGAAAATATCCAGAAGTTTCAACGAGCTTTTATACCGGGAGGCACGGAACTTATTGACCAACTGTAGCTTCTCTTTAGATAATTGCATAATCTTGAGTAATTCTCCAACGAGTGAGACATCAAGACCCACCATATTCATATTTGAGGTCAGGGACTCAACACAATAATCACCACCAAACATATCTGGTTTCAAAATCAAAGAATCTTCTTTATAAATCGCTTCACGGCTAACATTAGTGACTTTGAACATGCATCCTGAAACAACTGTCAATGTAGAAAACCAAGTTATCAAAAATTCCAAGAAATGATCAAGCTGGCCACTGGAACTTGAACAACCAATATAATTCACAACAACATCCTGTAAGTCAGCAGTAAGAATTTCCAAATTAAACTCCATGGCCGTAAATACCAAATCAAGATCATAATCAAGCAATTTCCAGTGCAATTCTTTGCAGGTGATTTTTTCAAGATAAGTAACTAAATAAATAATCACCATACTCTCTTGATGGCTCTCATTCAGAGATAAGTTCAGCGTCAATTCTAAAAATGCACGAGACACCAAGTTTTGGATTATTGGTTTATGATAATTGTACTTGGATATTGAATTATTTGCGATACCCAAATTTGCCAACGTTCTAGCACTGGCGTGCAGCTGATCTAGTTCCCCAAGATTTAAATTTGAACAGTTACGCTTGAATTGAAGCAAAGCCGCAGAAATCGCAAGTAACATGCTCAATATCCCCTGGTTTTCAAAGGCAATGGCAGGAAGTTGATACTTGAATGGATTTTTTTCGATCAAGCACGACGAAGAATTATCAAAGTTTAATTTAGCATAAAATTCGTCATTGCAATTAAGCATGCAATCCGTAGCACAATTTATATAAAAATGGAACAATTCTCGGTAATACTTGACGTTTCTTAGCAAGTCTGGTAATGGAACAATGGAAACCTCAAAATTAGCCCGGATATAATAATGCATCACAGAATTTGGGTTATCATAAACCGAGGAAATATCTTTCTGATACATTTCGTCACCGTCATTTATTCGAGAATCAAGCAACATTACACCGACTGGAGCAAATGAATAGATATCAACATAATCAGAATAACCGATAATATTATCACTAGTCTTTGATAATGCACAGGCATTATTATTCAATATGCCACCATTGGCACCAGTAACGCCAGTGAAATTCGACAGAGTCGAAAAGAAATCATCTGATTCAGTAAATGGAATTGAAATATTTGATGATTGCGGCTCATTAATATCAAATAATTCATGGTTAAGGAAATCACCAATGTTCAAATCAGTAAAGAAATTTTCAATACCCATTAAGCTAGTTTTCTTTTCTTTCAAGTTGTAAGCCGCACTCTCATTACTAATTTTCCCACCCATAAACTTATTGCCATGTTTAATTGCCATGAATTGACTTGCAGTGCTTGGTTCTAATTTATAACTAGGAAAAAGTAATTGGTTGACCAAACTTCCTATAGTTGATTCAGAAAACTGTGGTAATGTGGCACCAACTTTCCATAGAAACATTGTGATGAGGGACTTGAGGCCTGGCTTGATGATTTCGTAAGTGGAATGATCCTGTAAGTCAATATTCATCGCGTTGTACAGCAAGAAAGAATCAAATTGCGAATTGCATGCAGTTATTGATTGCTGGGAATTTGAGGTCTGATTTGGTTTCTGGGTATCGTTATTATTCGATACAATTTGGCAGCTGTTCGAGTTATCATGATATGGCTCGCTGATAATAATGTCGTGTTGATGATGATGATAAGAAAACGAACAATTTTTCGTGGAATTCTCTTCATACTGCTCCGCTTTAGCCAATATTTCGGCAAAATTAGAGTAATCGTACCGGAAAGCATCATCAATTACTGAATCAGACCCATGGTTGGAGGTATCACACAGATCGGGATGTTGTGTATGGGTCCTGATTATTCTATAAGAGTCCAAATTTTCATTTGTGAGATGCTGAGCGGTGGAAAATTTGCTGGAAAATCCTATATCAACACTTGTCCTGCTGGTCTTGATGGAGCCATTACAAGACTGGGTGACACTACGATTACTCATCAAAGAAGATTCCGAATCTGTAGGGATGATAGGAAACTCATCATACGGATTGTTAAGGCTGAAACGGCTCCGCTTAGAAAGTGGTTGTTCAAGATCAATAGAATCCCCATCATCATTATTATTATCATCATCATCATCCAATGAACCAAGGTCAAGAGAAGTTGGAAAACACTCAAAATAACCAGAAACAGACTGGTGTAGTTTAGGATTAACCGTGGGAATCTTTTTACATTTTGTGGATACCAGAATGTATCTTTTCAGGGCCACTGGGTTGGAACTGCTTCCTACACCCCCATGATATTCTTCATAAATCCCCTCATTTTCACTGACGAATACATATTTGACGGGCAGAATCTGCACCTTAGCTTTTGCTTGGGCGGTTGTTCTTTTCTTTGGAGAAATGGTTTCAAAGTTAAATGATAATGATGATGGTTTATGGGAAGCGGTTTCCTTTAGTGAATTTTCAGGGCAAGGAAACCCACAATTCCGCATTGCTTTCTTTCTGGTTTCGTTCTTATAAGGCCTACCACCCCAGGATAGCTTGATGGAGTAATCGCATTTATTGAAGTGCTTTTTTGATTTTTGACAATTGGTACATTGCGGTTTTATTTCATCACATTTAATTTTCATTTTCTTGCAATTGTTGCAACCAAACCGGGACCTTTTGCGTTTTGGTTTGGTTGAAGAAGAAGAAGAAGAAGGCTTTGGTGTATTTAGGGGTACCATTGGGAAAGTTTGGGGTCAATGTGGCTATTGAATTAATCCTTGGTTTTGCCTTACACGAAATGTGGTAACATATATATATATATATATATACATATATATTTATGTATTGTCGGTGCAACGGGTGTCATCACCACCGAGGACCCCATCATTTATTCAGCCGTAATTGGAATTTTGACATAACCCGGTCCTGGAAACCTCACAAAAAGGGACATTTGGTGGCAGATATTGTGGGGTATCAGCACAGAGCCCCGTGGTTGTACAACTATCTTACATAACCGATTGGATAATCAGGGCACCCCATTCGGTCACCGCAAACAAACCCCTCCCATTATGTACGACACAACTCTCGTAATCTCAATCAGTACCAAAAAGAAATATTATTGCATATAAAATATAATTAAACACACATTAAAAGAATAAAATATAAATCATCAACACAAAAAGTGAAAAATACAAAATAAAACACAACATAGAAAAAAAAAAAGGCCAGAGCCACAGAAATCTCTGATTAATCACACATCTTCAGTGAAAAAAGATTTCCCTTTAGCTTCTTCTGGTTTACCAAATAAGTTAGCAATTTCAGCTTTTTGGTCACGAACCACTTCCGACCCTTGACTAAAGTTAGTAAACGAGTGCTCCAATTCATTGGCGTCTTTCTCTTTAACAACTTGCTTGGCCTCATTGTACGCTTCTTCATCACTATCCAAATCATTGTCAGAAATGGCACCTTTCGCATTATTGGTGACCGCTTCATCGCCATCAACAATCACAGGTTGAGGATCCGAACCTTTAACCTCTGGCGGAGGTGTAGATTTTGTGGCAGCATCTGCAGTTGCTGTTGCAGCATTGCCAGCAGTCGAATCCTTCTTGAACATCGCACCCAAACTAAAGCCACGTTTTCTCTTAACCGGGGAGCCATCACTGGCCTCTTCTTGAACATTTAGAGATTTATTAGATACTCCAGTGTTGATGATCTTTGGAGATTTGGTAATTTGAATCATTTTATTGAAAAATCCCTCTGGTTTGGATTTAGTTACCTCAGAACTACCGCCTTCAGACGCAGCAGCTGACACTTCACTCCTCTTTTGTTCCTTTTCTTCTTCTTCCCCTTCTCCTTCACTATCCGTCACATTGTATTCTTCAAATTTCTCCTTCATCTCTTTCCAATGAGCATCACTGCTCTTCAATTCCGCGATAATTACGTTCTCTCTATCAATTAACGCCTGCTTTTCTTTTTCCAATTCTTTAATAGTGGCTTCATGCACGGCGATAGCTTCTTCATACTTTTTCCGCTCTTCCTTCTTCTTGTATGCTTCTTGCCTCTTACCCAACTCTGAAATCTCTGCTTCTAGTGCTGCAATCTTTTCATTGTTCAAGCCAGGTCTCATAGTCGCAAATTCTCGTTCTTGCTCCAACAGCTTGATTGCCTCATTCTTCAATTCAATTTCTTTCTTATTCTTGAGAGTGTCTTGGTTGGACTTTTCGAGCTCATCGGTAGCAAGCTTTGTATCGGCTTGGCTCTGCTTGGATTCAGTAATCTTTCTTTCAACTTCTGCTTTCAAACGATCAACTTCTGCTTGAGCTTTCATTTTATCAGTGTCATCTTCTGCCTTGGACAAGTCCAATTCTGCAGCTTCCAAGCCCTTTTCAGACCTCAATAATTGAGCCTTGGATTTCACCAAGATTTCTTCAGCAGCCTTAACCTTTTCTTCCGCCAATCTAGCAATTTCTTCCAATGCTTCATGCTCGTCAGATAGTTCGTTGTACAACTTCTTTTGCTCATCCAATTTTTCCACAATTGGTTGTAATTCCGCAGTTAATTCATCATTCATTTTTTTCAATTCATCTTCTTTTTCGGTCTTGAATGCGGTCAATTCTTGGTATAGTTTATCATTTTCAACTTCCTTCTCCTTGGCCAACTGTTCCATAGTCAATGAATGCTTTTCTTCAACTTCTTTCAAAATGTTCTTTTGAGTAGCCAATTCTTGTTCCTTCAATCTTTCCAATTCTGTTTTCTTGGCATTGTATTCGTCCTTCTCCTTCGAAATCTCAGCTTTGTGAGAAGCGCTCTCTTGATTAAGTAAAGTCTTCTTTTCAAGTTTCTTTGCCTTCAAATGTTCTTCATGAGCCGATTTTTCCTCCTTTAACCTGGCTTGCTCTTGGGCATATTCCTCATCAAGCTTCCGTTGCTCGGTAGTCTTTAAGTCAATATCAGCCAAAACTGGAGCCACAAACTTACGGGCAATTGCCTCAACTTCATCAAACGGCATATATAAGCCGCCTCCTAAATTGTATTCCCCTGCTCTGTGACCAGCAGCACGTTCTTCAGCACGTTGACGGGCAATAGTGATTGCTTGGGCATTATAATCGACATTCAGATAAACATAACTTTCACTGGATGATTTATCAATATCAGCTATAGTCTTTGCTGCATTAGACCTTGCTAAGCTCAACACCTTAGAATCAATCTTAGAATAACGGGAGGTATCACCAACCTGTGCCTTGGATGCTAAAGAGCTATTTTGTGACATTGCACGTGAAGCACCTTCAGTAGGGGAGCTGGCATTAACGCTTTGATCAAGAACATATTTAGAACTTTGAGAAGTTAATGATGGATTCACGGCCATATATTTAGAAGCATTCAGGGACGCACGCTGAGTCAATTTCGAAAAGTCTATACTCCCACCAACCGCCGAAGTTTGGCTATTCATATATGGCGATCCAGCTAAAGAAGTCAATCCATGGCGGGAAGGGGAGGCCACTGGGGTTGTACGATTGTGAATGGCTTCACTGGCAGACTGTCTAGCCACAGATTGGATTTTCTCATAATTAATGCTGGTAATACTCTTAGTTGGAGAAGAGACCAACCCGTCCGAAGCAAACGAACTCTTATGTTGCAAAGAAGATCTTGCTGCTTTAGAAGAATACCCAGACTCATCAGCTACACTACCTTTTTCATATTGTGGAATTTTGGCGTTGGATGCTGCTGACTTGGAAAGCTGGGATGACGCATCTTCGAAAGTCACTTTCGAAGATTGATTGACAACCACAGCGTTACTTGACAATAATTTACTGGCAGCAGCTGGTGATAAACTGTATGTTGCTGAAGAAGGAGATTTAAGAGTTTCAACTTTAGGAATATGAGAACGAGCAGCAAGGGCAGCAGTGGCAGCTTCAGGGGATATACTATGCTCATACCCATGAATTGAGAGATCTGCCTTGGCAGCAAGGAGCGCTGCCTTTGCACCAGACGCTTTAGAGCTTGCTAATCCAATTGATCCACGGTTTGGGTTGTTGTAGACACCCAGCTTGAGCTTGGCCTGGTATTGGGCAGCCTCGGATAACGGTGCGCCCTGCTTCTTGTAAACTTTCGGCTTTGTCGGGGTCACAGTGGACATGATAAGTTTTGTAGTATCTCAATTGAGCTCGACTGATATGTGAAGAAGATAAGGAAGGAATTTTTTTTTTTTTTATTTTTCTTTTTTTCTTTTGTTTGTCTGTCTGGGTATGATGTTTATTATATAAAAGCAACACAAACCCAGTCCGTACTCAAAATTGCTTGCTTTTTTCCCATCAGACTTACCCAACCTGCCATCGCTATTATTTATGGCACGTGATAGTAATCACTATTGTATCTTTTGCCAGCAACATTGTTGTCGGCGTTCGAGGTGAAAAGATTAAGGGCTGAGGAAGTCTTATTTATATCATTCCAAACGACTATCTTTCAACAATCCAATATAAAGATCACCGATGGTCTTACTGTGTGAAAACACATATCACATCTACAGGACCAACTTGTTCACTGACTGGTTTTCCTATGGGGAAAGTTCCCGGTTACCCCCCTGCACCATGACGAAACCGTTGCTGCTACTCCAGCTCCACGGTACTTTTAGTATCAGCTGGTTGTAATTGGCTGCAATTGTAGGCTTTCCATGTTAATCATTAGTTATGTTAACCTAAAGTCCCCCTAATAATACGTCACTTATTATATATTTCAGACTTTGTGTCTTACATGCACCAGACCACTTTATCGTTGATTAACTACATTTACGGTGTTATTCAAATTATTCGTTTTAAAATTTATCATTGATCATAAATAAGAGAAGTTTTAATTTCGGTGAAAAGAGATATCCTATTGTGTCCCAATTTCATACTTAATGCTGTATCTCTCATAGTTGCTGTTCCTAACAGGATGTACATCCTAACTCACTATGACATGTTTTTATCAGACATCCAGACTGCTCCTAGGAAATCAAACCAGCCAACCTCTTCCTCACTGTATTCAATAAGCTTTCCCCGGAATTTAGGCTCATCAAAAGCACTAATCTTATCATACGCACACCACAAATAGCCATAACAAAAATGGGTTTGTAGCCATCCTCTTTCGGGATACCCTTTATCGTTAGCAAATTCCCCAAGAGTTTTAGCAGGCAATAGTGCTGCTTTTATTTTCAATGGCAGCTTATAGTATTTCCTAAGCTCCGACCTACTCATGTCTTTATACTTGGTTTGCTTTCTATCCCAGCCAATATTTCTCGCATCTTTGCAGGTCTCAAACCCTGAGTTGATCCAGAGTAAGGAATGGTCATCATTGTCCAGAATTTGTCCAGGATGGGTTGAACAAACTTCAGCAGAGCCAGAGGTCAGGTAAAGATGTTGTTGTGGCTGCGATACTTCACCAACCGATACCGCTCCGTGGGAATTGAATTGGTAATCCTCATCCCCCATTATTGAAAGTGCCAACCAATAAAGTTCTTTGTCACCCCATAGCATTTCCTTAATGGCTTTGTTCCAATACGTGAGTTGCAAGCTCATTAACACCCCGCCATAATGACGTTTTTTGTTGATGGCAATAAGGCCAGCTTCCATGAAATAATAAAAGTTTTCATTCAAGAAACGATTCTTCAAAGTGTGATCTGTGACCGGGGTATGGTCCATCAATGATTGGTCTAGCTCATTTGGCATTAAATCCTTAAAAAACTGAATGTCATCAGGATTGTTGAACTTAAGATCCGTTCTGTCTTGGAAAAACAACGCCTGGGATTCCTTATATTGTTTCATATTGAAAAACCGCTCCATTGGCACAAATGGCACGGTATCGGCATCTAACAATATCACATCCTCAAAGGTAGTGAAAATATAAGCAAAAATCTTCATTGCATACCCTTTGAGCTCAATATCTGGGGCGAAACATCCTTGGATATTTACAAACCAGAGTTCTTGCTTGGGGAAATTCTTAACCTTAATTTTCTGTTCCCCATTTAATGAATCAAAAGCAGTGTCAGGAATATTAATTTTATCTATCGGGTCTCTTGCTGCATGTATTAATTGTGAGTACTTCTTTTTGGTTAATCCACTATGAACGATTTGAATAGGCAATTCATTCCCAAGGGTCCTTAAAACTTTTATGAGGGCGATTGCTTTTTGCGCATATACTCCATTGGTAGTGATAACTATTCCTTTACCTTCCAAATTTCTTTTATAATAGCTCATCAAGCAAGAATCATGTTGAGTAATCTCAGGAGAGTAATCGAAAACTGTATCATAATCAATGTTATCCAAATCGGTTTTGTCAATGTTAGTGGGATAAATTGATCGGAAATTAGGAATCTCCCCGAATTTTTGACCGTCCCATCGGGTGAAAACCGGGATCTTATTTGAAAAATACGGGAACATCTTCCCATGCAAACTTGGACAGGTTATATCATCATCGAGCAACAGCTTCCCACCACCTAGTACGAAATTTTTCAAATGATACAAATTATCCAAGAGATAAATCGCTTTAGTCTCCCCTTTGACCGGTTCACCGTTCTGTATTTCTGACTTTGCATCTTCCCAATCCTTGGAGACATCTTTTAAATAACAATTGTAAAATGTTCTCAAATGTCTAACTTCATCATTCATCAGCATCCTTGTGTTGTCATTGATGACATAATGATCTTCTATTTTCCACTGTGGCAGTATTTTATCAAGATATTTGAAATACGCTCGGCATTTCTCTTTGCCATCAAGGTTTTTGAAATCAGGAACCGCAGATGTAAGGTAGGAATAATACTCTATTGAACCAGGATCTGGTAAGAAAAAACAATTGATGACGATTCGGTAAATCACAATAGCACTTATTAGTAGCGACGAAATGCGGAGAAATCTACCGCTATAAAATCCCTTGATCATAGTTTATGAGTCATGGAAATGGAGGCCAATAGTAAACACATTGAAACCCTTCAAAAATATAATGGTTTGGTTTGTTTTTATTTGTTATTTTTTTTTTTTCAAAGAGGCAATTTAATATTTTCCGAGTACTTTCAGTGTTTTTTGGGAGTAACTCGGCAGAAGGGGGCGCGCACAAGCTTCTCATTGCGGAAAAAAAAAATATGATTACACGTGATCAGACACGTTACTGGGACATCGTAAGCAATTAATAATCAGGCACACAGCAATGGTCATAAGGGGAGTTAACAGGAGAACCTTCTTTCAAGAAGCGATCATTGATAAATAAGTACCAGAATTGAACCGAAGATGAGACCAAGCAGTCGCAGGAGCAAAGACTCTGGGGAAGCTAAATTTAGTATATCTACAGTCAGTGAGCAAGTGTCATGGTTTTTCGAGACTTTTCAAGAGACTTCCATAAGATTCAACGAGATGAAGGAGAAGATGGAGGAAATGGAAGAAAGGATGGAAGATCTAGAAGAAAGGATGGAAGAAATGGAGGATTTGGAAGAGAAAATGGAAGATAAATTAGGAGACTTAGAAGAGAAGATCTAAGAAAAGACAGAAGAGAAGATCTAAGAAAAGACAGAAGAATTGAGAGAAATGGAAGACAGGATAGAAGAAATGGGTGAAACGGATAAAATCGAAGAGTTAGAAAACGAAATTGCTGATAAAACCACCCAGCTCACACGACAAGAAAAGCAAGTGACAGAACTACAGGAAAAAACCAAAAAAACCAATCAAGAGACACTGAAGCTTTTCCAGGCAGTTGGGGATTTATCTAACAGATTACTCTCTATAGATTTAAACACTGACAAATCTATGAAAAAGATTCAAAGAACCAATGATTACAAAAAAACAACTCAAGACAAATCCGCGGCTAAGCAGGCTAGATTAAAGGCTATGCAAGAAAAATATGGTATTGTGTCACCCAAACAAACCTTCCTAGAACGTAAATCGGTTAACGAGTTCCAGAAAGAAATGAATGAAAACCCACATCTAGACAGCGAAACTAGAAAAAAAATGAAAAGCAGGCTCTTCACAATCGATGCATATGCCATAGTCGACCAAATGAACGACTTATTGAATGAGGAGATTGTGGAAGCTATTGGTTACAATCGCAGAGGGCATCTAATTCTCTATTCTACAAGGGAATTGACAGATTTAGACGTCAGAAAATTGACAATAATCGATGATATTGAAGGGAGATTGAAACATACTCGAGGAATAGGTGCGTCATATGGCTGATATCATCGTATCGGAATGCCAGGTATTACAAAGTATAATAAATTATTGGTTGATTAATTTTGTAGTGACACTTCAAAAAATTGGGGAAGTGAAAACGCTTGTAACCACTGGATTCATATTCACAAGAGAGGTGTACGGAAAAAAGAGTATTTAGTAGATGGAAAGAGTTGGATCTGGGAACTGAAGAGCCCCCGGGGATGTATTCCAAGCAGTTGGTGCACTGTCTAGACTACTATGCGCACAATTTTGGATGATGTGCAAAAAGAACTGAAATACGGCGTTGTTTGCGGGTCCCTCGATACAATTTCAGCAATACTCTAATTAAATAATTCTGATAATGAGTAAAGAAATTGCCAGCACATACCTCCAGCTCAATGATGCTGAGAAAGCTGTTTCGGTTAGTAGTATTTTTCTTTTTTTCCCCATTATTTTTCATTAGAGGTGGGAGGCAAAATTGAATGGCAAATTCTAACCATCCTAATAGAGTATCGAGAGACTTATGGATAGTGTGGATATCAAGATAGAAAAACTTCTTACTGAAGTTGAGGCCATGTCTGAGGAAGCTGCTGCTAGCGGGGATACTAGTAAGTTGGAAAGTCTTGCGTCAAAGGATAAAGAAATCGGAGATTTGATCAAATTAACTGAAGAGTTGCGTGCCAAGAGTGAGATTGAAGAGTCCAAGTTTCAGGATATTCAAAAGAAAATTGATGATGTTAATTGATACCTTTGTTAGAAGTGCAAATTGAGTTGGAAGTGTTTGGTTTATGGTAGATATTTGAGATGTTTCATATTTTTGTTATTTTGTTAATTGCGCTGTTGCATCTGGGTGACAAGGAGCATTGCGTACTATAAAATACCCTCCAAGACCATTCTATTTGTAGCGTCGAGCCATGAGAACTTGCGCGACTGGATGGATAGTCTTACTGAAAATGATTTTCCTGAGAAGTTGAAAACTCAAAGAGAGAATACAATAACGATTGTGATGCAATAGTATACGTCATATATCAAGGATTTATAGCAAAGGCTTTGAATGGGTTGGGCCAGTGAGCGTACAACGGCGAGAGATAGATAGGTACATTGTATAAGACAAAACAAAATGAATTCTCTTTGATGAGCTCCTCACTCTGCTCTAGGGATAGGGTAGCTCACACTGTCAATTTGTGTATTCCAAAATGTTCTCTGTAGCTTTCTGAAAGGTTCAATCTTCTTTCCATCACCATTCATGTTTGTACTGTGGCAGGAACTATATATGTATATCACCTAATCATAGTTGTTGCAATGGCAAAAAAATACTTCTCTCTCTAAAAATTTCTGTTGATTTTTTTTTTTTTGATGGGCTTCTGTTGGTTTGAGGTTGTGGTTTATTTCCCCCACGCTATATAAGGCACGTTAATCGTAGTCTTTTTCATAATTTGCTGGGAGGAGATCTGTATGGTTATCCTCAAATGCCTATAGACTCTGCCATTATCCCATCCTACAGTAACCACATCGTCACCATTAACCATGGGCATAGGTGGCTTCTCTTGGATAGGCCCATGCAGTGGGTGTGTCAACTGTGGTGCACCTGCAGGAAATTTGGAGCACCACAGAATAAACTGCAGCCCACTACTCACTTTAGAAACGGTCTAAACATCGGGTATTAAATGGATCTGTCTTTTAGGATTCTCATTTAGTGAAAATGAAGAGATTGGTGTTTCAGCTCCTATAAAAACACCAGCATTGTCTGAAGTAAATATAAAAAAAAAAAAAAAAATGAAAGCTTGATTCAAATTTTGTTTTCCCTCTGTATAACTTTCAGAGTAATAATAATAACTATAGATAGCCAAAAATGTTGAGGTTGATCATTCTTTCAATAATATCTTTGGTATCATTGACATCCGCAAAAGACCCGAACATTTTGGCGGAAGGAATCTTGGGTTATGAATATCCTAATATGAAGAGTTATGAATTAAAAAGTTGGGCAATTAGACAACAAAGTAATATCCCTGGTTGGTTCTGGGTGAATGGGAAGTACGCCTTAGGGAAGCAATGTGGATCCTCTTCTTACGAGAACTTCAATGCTTGGGATTGGGCGGTTGCCATGCAATCACTTGTTGATGCTGTCAAGGCCACCAATAATCAAACTTGGATCGATGAAATGAAGCTTGTTTACACCGGGTTGGAAGACTTCTATAACAGTAATGTCGGTGCTTACTCTGTCACCACTGCCAAGAACACCGATATTGATCTTGATGATAATGCCCAGATCGCTTCTTCTTTCATTACTGCCTACGAAACTACTGGTAATACCACATATTTAAATAGAGGTAGAAGTTTGGTGGAGTTTCTCGAAAATGGATGGAACTCCAAACACGGAGGTGTTGATTGGGACTATAGTGGGGGCTACATTGCCACAATTTCCACCACTGAATCGGCTTTGGCTGCGTTGAGATTGTACAGAGCTTCAGATAAAAATCAAACCCATATTGAATTTGCTGATAAATGTTTGAGATGGTTATTCGAAACTCTCTGGGATAATTCTACCAACTTATTGTTCGATGGATATTCAACCACTTCAAATTCCATTGACAAGCATCATTACACTTACCATATGGGCACAGCACTTTCTTTAGCCACTTATCTTTACAACTTCACTAAGGAAGAGTATTATCTTGAAAGTGCAAAACTCCTCGCTGATTCATCTATCAACAGAAACTCGCCAATTTTCAATCGTGATCTCGCTGATAATTATCGGTTCTGGTACGATGGGGTGAACTTCACTCAGTTAATGTTTGAAGGTATGGTCGATTACGTTACCACAATCACTCCAACTAACTTGTCAATGATTCACGAAATCAAGAGACAAATTAGATACTTTATCGATGTCACCTGGGATCCTACCAACGATGGGTACTTTGCTGATCCAAATGGTTATCAAAATTCCCATTTAACCACCGTAATTTGGAATGAAGCTACTGGTAGAAGCGAGCCATGGACTGCCGACTTGTCTGAATATTGTAGCTCATCATCACTGAACAGGCCGGAGTTTAGATTGCTTTATGAGGCGTCAATGGCAAGATGTCTTTGGCAAGCAGTCAAAATTGCCAAGTACGTTTGATCCGTGCACACCCAATTGGGCTAAACCTTTCTTTTTTATTATTGCTTTTATTATTTTTGAGTTATATATTATAGAAGTATTTTTCATTACCGTTTTATCAATTTAATCAATGTATGGACACATTAGGAAAAAGAAAAGCGAACTGGACTTCGATTCCCCCAGGATGACTCACAGGCGTGGGAAAAAACTCTAAAGTGCTGGCGACTGGTGTGGATGCCATCAGAATTACCGTAAATTCTTGCATCTATCTGGTTTAGGTCACCGACGTCAAGGCCGTTGCAATGCAAAACAATAGTCCGGCACGAGGAAAAGCAATGCGGCCTGTTTATCTTGGGTACGACGAATAAGGTTTTAATCACAACTGTAATCGCCTATTTATTTCATGGCAATTGGATAACTCAAAATTTGAGGTTCTTGGACGGGGATTATTGGCACAGAATAAATAGGAGTTTGTTGAGAGTGGTGATTTGTAGGGCTTGGCAGTTATCGAATAGGAAAGTACCACTCATAAATGTATGGAGTATCCACTCAGTTGATGTAACATACATAATAGTAGTAGTAGTAGTAGTAGTAGTAGTAGTAGTAGTAGTAGTAGTAGTAATAATAATAATAGCATATCCTCTAATGTGAATGCTACAATTTGCAAAAAAATTGTCATGGCATTGGATTTGGTCACCGAGTATCAATTAATCCGAGGCGCTTTCAGTACCAGGCAGCACCAGGGATCTGGGGTGGCGTTGTCTGGTGGTCTGCAATTATCGACCAATGAAGCGGGGTCAACCAGGGGTGTTTGCACTATTTCAAATCACTGTTTGTTTGGGAGGGCCTGACATTATTGTGCCGAACGGCAACGTCTAATAATACTTGTTCGCCCTGCAGCACAACAATTTTTTTTTTTTTCCTGCGAGTATCCAATATTTAGATTTACATATATTTTCTTTATTCCTATATCTATCGTATATTTATTTACATGTTTATATATACAATGTATATCATATAGTGTTGTATCCTACAACCCCCCCGTACTGTCACCAAGATTTCTAATGGAGAACCATCCACCAAGCAGGCCTGCTTTATTATTTCATCTCCCTCTTTAAAATGTTGATCTACGACAACTCCGATGAACGAATACTTTATGATACAACTTTTCCTGGGTTCAGCCCTTTTGGCCATCCAGTAATGATTGCCCCAACCACACCAATAACCACCATTCCTACTTATGAACCCCCCATTCCTACACAATTCAGCCCATCAGTATACCTTGGCAACACCAATGTCCTCAGCAACCCTGAGTTCTTCAACCTTCATCGCGACATCAAGGTCATCATCACTTGCATGTCTTCGACCAAGATCAACGGTTATTTCCTCAAAAACCGCAACTCTCAGTTCAATCCTCCTGATTACTGTGTTTTGAATATCGATCCAACCTTCAAAGGAGCAAATCACCATGTTTTCAGCGATCCGAAATCGAAAACCAATTCACAAATTCTCAAGTTCATCTCAAAATATGGATCGACACTAAATGCCATGCTCGCCTCAAATAGCAATAACAGTCAATCAATAGATATCACCTCCCCAATGATAATCATGAAGGATAAGCCTTCGCTTGTGGAAGATATCGTCAACTTTATGACTATTGTCCAGGATAGTTTCCCCCTGGCTGGGATATTGATAGTCTACGACGATGACTCAGAGAGGGACCAACGTTACTCTATTTTACTTTCTGTTGCTTACATTATCAGTAAAAACCACCATTTGAATGTTTTGGATGCCATGCTACTATTGAAAAGCTATACTTCTATAGTCGATGAGCTTTCGTTGAATCAGCGAAACTTCTTCAACGTATTGAATGAATATAGATTAAAAATAGTTGCCAGTAACAGATTTCACCACTCTGATGGTAGACACGCTCATAAGAGACTGTCATCGAAAAGAACTTCACACTTCTTGAACAATCCGCCCCCCGAAAAACGAGTGAAAGAAGAAATATAATCACGGATAAAGGTGATTAAGTCCCAAAAAGTTTGATAATAACTTCATGATTCACGAAATGAAAAAAAAAAAAAAAAAAAATACAAGCATCATAATTCACGTTTATCTTTATGTTCTATTTCTTCTATTTATTCAACCCAATTTATTTTTCAAAAAAGCATTTACTTTCATTTCCTATTTACTCATTAATACTCTATCCTCTTTGTTCAACACAACAGAAATAAAATATGATAGACTCATAATTTGCATTATTGTTATTACATCATCACTCCGTACCTAATCTTCTTCGTCTTCTGACTCATCATCCAACTCTGGCATTGGGTAATTCAATATAACGGCAATACCGGTCATTTTATCCAATTGCTCGCCAGAATCGTGTCGACTAGAGAAAACTGTTGATTCTCCTCCTTGACTTCTCACTTTATCACTCAACCTGATGTAAAATTGACGTTCTTTAGGGTCATCACTTCTAAATAACGTATCGGTTAGAAGCAAATGTTTGACTGCCCCGGTTATGCCAATGGCCTTGACACAAACATCTTTACCGTACCATGCAATCCCAGTATCCTTATTTAATTCTGTGAAAAAATTCTCTAAAAGCAAGATGTTTTTAATGAATTTTGTGTTTTCCAATCGCTTTTGGACTTCTGGGTCTTTCAATGTGTCGTCTAAAGATTGCAAGTACCCGTTGAAAGAATGGGCAATAACGAATTTATCTTTTGATTGCAAAATCATTTTTTCTTGGTCTTTCGAAGCTTCGCTCATGATGTATTCGTATAAAGTTTTGGCAATGGTACCGGGAGAAGCAATCAAAATCACCTTCAATTTCTCCAACTCAAACTTTCGTTTAAACGAATCGTAACAGTATCCATAAAATTTCTTCATCGCTGTTTCATATCCCGACTCCCCAAGACCTCTTCTTTTTTTGGGTATCGATTTTTCCACTTTGGCAACCAATACTTTTTGAGAGTTTGTCAAGAGACAGAAATGGGCAATACCTTCTTGAAGAATGATTGTGCCAACCTCTGCTTTGTTAGTGATGTCAACAGCATCATGAATAACCTTCATGGCATACCGATCGATGGAATCTTTGAAAATCTTGAACGAATATTTGGTATCGATTACCACGGTATGGTATGATCCAAGAGGCACAAGTTTGTGTTCCTCTACGGTTCTTCCTTTACATCTAAGCGACGACCCTTCTGCTTCATAATGAATATCCTCTATTTTCACCACTAGTCTGACCAACACTTTTTCACTCTTGTTGGAACCTTCTTTGGTGACAATTCTAAACGTCGAGCAACTAATCCGGTCACCTTTCTGGAGAAAGTTGTAGAGAATCCAGATATCTTCATCATCTTCTGCTTGCACCACTACATAGCTCTCCTTCTTGTTAAAATTCTTGCCTAATAACTTCATCGCTTATAATAATGAAAATAATAATATATTCTGCTTTAATTCTAATGGATAAGGCTCTAAAATAGCAAACTGGATATCTGATTACAACTGTTATGTCAAAGGGAAGAAAAAAAAAAATAAAAAATTTCGTGGTAGTTAGGCGCACTGGCAACAGCCAAGTTTTTTTCTCATAAAAAAAAAAAGGCTGCCAAACTGGTTATTATTATCATAATTGTTGTGGTACTGGTGGATCCCTTTATTGTTCTTCCACTTTTTCTTTTTCTTTTTATTTTTCTTTTACAATGGGTTTGCCTCCAGTGGTAACGGGCCATGAGGACTTGATCCATGATGTCGAGTTCGACTACTACGGGAAAACTTTAGCGACGTGCTCGTCGGATCGACACATCAGGGTGTTTAATTTACAAGACGGTAAATGGGTATTACGGGATAATTGGAAAGCCCATGACTCCTCTATTGTCAAACTCGCATGGGCTCCTCCAGAATACGGCCAGATCTTGGCGTCAGTGTCTTATGACCGGACATTAAAGCTTTGGGAACATAAGAATGACGCGGTATCGAACTCCGGTACTTGCTATAAACGACTTGTCACCATGAATGATGCCCAGGCCCCGTTGTTTGACGTCTCGTTTGCCCCAGGATACTTGTACACTTTCAGAGTCGCGACCATTGGCTCGGATTCTACTCTCCGGGTCTATGAAGCATTGAAAATCTCTGATTTGTCCGATTGGAATTTGATCCAACAAGAACGCCTATCGAGTAAGAAATTGAATAGTAATTTACAAGGTAACTTCACCGTCAACTGGTGTCAGTCAAAATTTGTCCAAGAGAAAATCTGTGTCAGCGCAAATGATGTATGCTCCATCTTCATCAAGGGACCAAATAACACCTACGTTAAAGACCAATTTTTGCCTCATCACGGAGAATTGATCAGAGACGTTGCTTGGGCACCATCCATGGGAAGATCATTTGAATTACTCGCTACTGCCTCAAAGGATGGGTTTGTTAGAATATTCAAAATTGTTGATAAAACCCTTGATGACTACGGGGTTTCTGGCGGGGATGGAAGTAATAGTAGTTTGAACTACAATCAGGGCCTCAATAATAATATCCATATGCAAGATGCTAATGCCATAGAAGATGACGATGAAAATGAAACTACTAAAAAAATAACACGGTTGGATGTCAACTTGTTAGGGGAATTTAGTGATCATAAATCCGATGTCTGGTCGGTAAGTTGGAATAGTACCGGGACAATTTTGAGTAGTAGTGGCGATGATGGTAAAGTTCGTTTTTGGAAATCGGGTAGAACCACGGATTATAGATGTATAGCTACAACCTCAGTGCAAAAAAAATCCCCAAACTAATTTCATCAGTCATATTAGTTATTATTATTTTTGTTTGGATTTCGTTAAATATGTATACTATTTTTTTTTTTTTAAAAAAAAAAGAAATCTATCGTCAAAAAAGTCGTAAAAAGAAATGATCTCATGATAGCAAGAACTCGGTTTTCAAAGTTTCCACAAACTCCGTTGACAAATAATGAGTTTCAATATCATCCACCTTTTCATAAAATGCAAACAATAATTTGATATTCCACAAATCGTCAGAATTTCGAGGATCTTTAACCATGTTCCTGATTTCCAACCTCGAATTCTTAACTGACAAATCTCCGTTCAATTCATGCTCTTTGATAGTATTGCAGTTTTCAAATAATATATCATAAGCTTTGTCCACATTGTCCCGTTTCTTTTGGTCAAATTCCTTAGAAACACTCTGCACAATTGATCTCAATAAATTCGTGGATTTCTGGCTATCCTGCCTCTTGTAAACGAAAACTGTCAAATTTTTCTTAAAATGTTCATAAAGCTTCTGGTTCTCCATTAACTCATCAAATGATAATAGAACCGTATAATACTCTTTTGAAGTAGTCTCAATTGACCGGATGTCTTGTAATTTCGGTATAAGGCATGGCGCTTTAGTTTCAAAACTTTTCCCAGAATTTAAAGTAATTTTAATCTGAACTTCGACCGGTTTATCGGTCTCCACATCCCTGAAAACCAAGCACCTAGGTTTAGCTGCTAAAACCCAAAAATGTCTTAAAGCCTGTAAATAAATTTCAGACTCTGTACCACCAGCAGGTGCGGGATAAATAGCGGTAAACAACGCAGCAATTGAAAAATTGGAGTCATCAAAGGTATATTCACCACTCCCCATGAATAGAAACCCAAGTGCCATACTAACAGCGGCATAATTCGAATAAAGCAAACTTTTAGTGGTCCTGTTGTGAACAATTCTCAACCGCCTAAAAGTATTCAAATCACCGGTACCGGCCATGATTATTGCCAGAGACAATACGATGGCATCTTGAATGATCAATAACGAAGATTGCGTGATTTTCTCATCAAAAGAATTGGCTGCCATGATAGTGAGTCTCATAAAATGATCTAAGAAATACAAAATCGTTTCAGAGGCAGTAATATCACCGCTTGAAGCAAATTTCAAAGCAATCGAAACGCATGCACCACCGATACAGTTAAAGTATGGCAATTGGTCACTATCCAAGGACTTGATATCTGCGATCGAATATTTCTGAGTCAAACATTTGGGAACTTGTGATTTTACCCAGCTCTTGGTTTCCTGCACATCGTTCCACAATATCATATTCTTAACCACAATACGTAATAAAAGAAGGTCAGGTCTAATATAATCTAATAATTTTTCCGTTTCAGGTACCATCAATTTGTAAGCAATGTTATAGTTGTTTGTTCTGAGATAAATAAATCCCAAAGCAATGATCGCACCAGGTGCTGATTTATCGTATTCTTGGTCGCCCTGCATATCCTTCAATGAAACAGCCATTGATAATAACTGGTCAGTTATATGGGTGTCATTTAGTCCCTTCAAATGATTACCTTTTCCTAAATTTGTATAACCTAAAGCGATACCTGCTGCCAATCTATAACCCTCATCAACAACCAACCTATCATTATAGGAGATCTTATTGCTAATTTGTGAGAGTAAAATATCACTCATACGGCGATGCTGAGTCTCCAAATATAACAAACCAATTCCAACAAGACCCGCTGTTTGGACTGGCAAAGAAACATTCAAATCTGTAGCACCCTGAGGTAATAAAGCGACAACATGGACAGATAAAACTTTAGTCAATTTCATGTCCATTGTAGCTCTAGCACTGGCTGACAAACCCAATAACAAACCAACACTGGTATGTGTGTGCTTTGGACCCAAATAATTATACATATGCCATTCCTCAAGGTTTTTCAAGTGCCCATTCAAACCAAGCGCCAATAAGAAACCACCGTGCTGAGAATTGAGATTGTGGGGCTTGTTGAAAACTATCCAACTACCAACAATGTTCTTAGCATTTTTGAGAATAGTCATACCAGCTGATGCACCATTGTGAAAGTATCCCCAGTCAATAATCTCAGAAGAAATTAGGTTCTTATCCAAGCTCAAAGTTATGTTACTCGGCATAATCAATGTATCAAAATTCAATTTTGGTATTGGAAATTTTTCTGTCAAAATTGGCATTCTGCTTGAAAGAAAAAGAGCACCTCTTCCTAAAGGTATAGTCATAGTTCTTAGAGATACCAAAGTTGATAACTCCTTTTGCAAATTAACCATACTATATTCATTCATATTAGGAGGTGCATTTAAAGTAACCGTTTGGATTTTGGATGATTGTAAGATCTTAGTGATCTCGTAATATCGGCGATCCTCAGAGAATATAAGCTTAGTAATATGCAATTTTTCAGCTTCTGATTGCCCATCCCAAGCACCAATTGGATCATCATTCTTAATAGACTGAATCACTTGGTTCACGTCCTTATTGTTAAGATGATTATGATTTATTATCTTATGAGCTGTAGCCTTTTCTCCTTGGATAATTTTTGCAAGGTCTTTTCTTCCTAATAATTCCACAAACTCCAATGAAGAGTTTACTGTTGCATCTTCTATACACGAAGCCAAATATTCTTTTAAAGGTAAAGAAATTCCAATTGGGTAGCTTTCTAAATCGAAGCTGTCAATACCATATTCAACCATTAAATTTACAATATCGGCAGAGGTGAATTGCGGAGACACGATGGCTTCAAATATTCGCAAAATATAATAAGTTCTTGGGGTGATTATTTCATCAATTGCATCGTTTTCTTCAGAGATTTGAGAGAAAGTAATGTATGGGGTAATATTGTTTGAGAAAATGCTGCACAATGATCTTAATAGATTCGGCGGACTGTCAAAAGGTTGTAAAGTTCTGAATCTGCATTTCTTGTCAAGTATATCCGAAGGTTTAGTATCCAAATAATAATTAACCCAGGAACTTGACCATCCTGACCAACTAGCAAATTGTGCCAACAAGATATCAAATTTTTCAACTGTAGGGCCTCTTAAGATATTAAGTTTCAACTCTTCCCTTATCAAATGTAAAGCAAGAATGGCGTTTGGGGCCAAACTATTTAAAGATTGCTCATACTTCTGGCTGAGCTTCAAATTATTTGATTGATTTAATAGGTTTGCAAAATATAGTTGGTTAATAATAAAGTTTTGCAGTGGGGAATTAACCAAATCACTGAAATCAGTACCCGCTGGTACAATGATAGATAAGAGAGTTATAATAAAACTTTGCCAGCCGGAGCCATCTTTATCAAATGATAATCCAGTACACCATTTCAACCAAACGAATTCATACGCATAAGGCCCGAAAATATGTTTCAATGACTTGAGACATTTCATGTTCAATTCATCCAAGGGCTCTAGTAATAGTTGTACAATGCGAATTTGACTATTTGGAAATGTTTTCAAGGAAATACAATTTTCAGAACAGTGACCTAGAGCCTCAATATTTTCCTTGAAATTTAAAAGCAAATCATGGGACGTCAAGCCTAAAAAGGGGTTCACCAAACAAGCACTTTTACCATTTTCTTTCAAAGCTATCAAATATCCATCATGAGTTGAATCTAAAGCTACCGCATCTGAGCACCTGAAGTTAAAAGAACTTTGATAAGATGGCAAGCTAACAGAATTATTTGAGGAGTTGAAAATAAGAACCTCGGTGTTCTTGGTTTCTTTGTTGACAATGACGATTCCTTGTTTATCTGTGAAGTGTAAGCTAAAAACTTTCAAACTTTTTCTAAGGTATTTGAATTGAACTTTTTCAACTTTTGTCAACACTGCATCTTTCCTTAACGCTTCAATATTCATGAAACTGTTAGAAGCAGTGAAACTAGTGTCATTGATGTCCAAATTGGTAATGTCTGCTCCAGTGTTTCCTGAGGGCATTCTATCATAGAGCATTTCTGAGTGAGATATGGATCTTCGAGCTTGTATAGGATTATTCGCTGAATTATTGCTATCTTTGTTGTTATTACCACTTGGCTTTGGGGTACCCTCATTAATCTCAGTATCATTAGAAATGGTTGCGCCATTTGGCATGGAAGATTTTCTAGAAATTGACCTTTTGCGAAGTGATGTTCTTTTGCCTCCTGATGATTTATTCTTGTTTCTGGTTAAATATCTAACGTGATAGATAGTAATAATACTATTGGAAGAATTATAAGTTACGGCCAATGAGCAATCTGAATCCTGGGGAAACCATACCAATTCTTCATTGGGCGCAAAAGATGATATCGAAGATGAAACAAGCATTCCTAATTCTGATAATGGTCCTAGTAATGTCAAAAAGTTTGGTTTTGAATTTGACAGAGATGAGTTGCCGCTTGTGGAAGACGAGGGATCACTATTGTTGTTTATGTTATTGGTGTTTATGAAACTGGAAATCATTGGCGTTGAATCTTGTGATGTTGACTGCAGTCTTTCTAATATCAATCCATTTTCAAACAAAAAGGACTTTCTGACACTAAATGGAAAACTCACAATGAAAGTTTCGTCATCTTCGAAGTATATATAAGCTCTGTTTGTTAACACCACTGTCAATGCCTTTTTCTTTGATTTTTGATATGTCTGTTGCAGTTTGTTGTTGTCATTATTGAAATGCACAATGTGAGACAGTATTATCTTATCTTCCTTATTATCATACTTTAGTTTTCTCACCAATAAGTTATTTTTGAACCATAATACCTCCTGTGAGTTTGTCAAAAGGATCTCATAATTTGGATATAATGTCACCTCGTATTGATCTTTTAAACTCGCCAGATAAACAGCCGCCGTGGTTACATCAAGGCATTTTATTCCAATTGGTTGCTCAGTGACCATTATGGATGGTTTATGGTGGCTCCCTTGGATATTTGTCGCCATCACAAACACAAAAGGCGCTGATTCCCACCCAAACAATTGGAAAGTTTTCTGTACTTGCACAAAATATGCTGTGCGATTAGTACAAATTACGCTCTGTCATATCATATATGCTGGGATTGACTACAGAGTGACGAAATTACCTGATATATCACTTGAAGTTACTAATTTGAATTTTTTCAAAAAATATATGTTGTTTTCTTTATGAATTTTGATTGTGTTGTAATGTTCGCTTCATTTGCACCTTTACAATGGTAATATATGACAACGCGGCTCATCTTTTTTTTTTACTTTTTTTTTTATTTTTTGTTTTACAAAACGCACACAGTATCTGTCTCTGTCTTTTTGTTTTCCAACGGTTGATGTGTCACTTCTAATTTTCCCTTTGATATAAGCAAGATCTTTTCTGAAAACTAACTAAAGGAATGGTATTTTCCAAAATCCTACTGGTGGTGGTTGCCCTTGGTCTTATATATTTCCATATATTTGCAAACCAACCCATCTCGTCAGCAATAGGCTTCGCTATTCTCGGATATCAGGTAGTCATATACTTGATTCCAAGACTTGGTTCCTCTTTCATCAACATTGGCCTCAAGGGTAATGATTTGTCGAAACCTAATCGTCCTTTATTACCTGAATGTATGGGTGCTATTTCGGCAGTGGTTTACTTGTTCACTATGTTTTTCTTCATTCCATTTATCTTTATTCCAATCATGGTTGTCAATACCTCCGGCGGAGGTAACAGAGACTATGAAATTTCAAACTACAACCAACAGAGTAATGCATTATTCCCTCACTCTAAGTTAATTCAGTACTTATCAGCCGTTTTGTGTCTTGAGAGTCAGATTTTGTTGGGAATTGCTGACGATTTGTTCGATGTAAAATGGAGACACAAGTTCTTCATGCCAGCAATCGCTTCAATCCCACTTTTGATTGTCTATTACATTGATTTTGGTGTCACTTCAATATTGGTCCCAAGCGTGATTGCAAAGTACTTGAATCAAACTACTGTTGATTTGGGAGTATTCTATTACGGGTATATGGCAGCTATTGCAATTTTTTGTCCTAATTCTATCAATATTTTGGCAGGTGTAAATGGATTGGAAGTGGGTCAATCAGTGGTCTTGGCGTTAATATTTCTAATTAATGATTTCTGCTACATTTTCTTCTCGAGATTTCCTTCATCAATTTCATCTCATCTATTTTCAGTTTGCTTATTGATCCCATTTTTGGGCGTCAGTTTAGGTTTGCTTAAATTCAACTGGTATCCAGCAAGAGTGTTTGTCGGAGATACTTATTGTTATTTTGCCGGAATGGTTTTCGCCGTTGTTGGTATCTTGGGGCATTTTTCAAAAACTTTATTATTATTTTTTGTTCCACAAATTTTCAACTTCATTTATTCAGTCCCACAACTTTTCCATATTGTTCCTTGCCCAAGACATAGATTACCAAGATTTGAAGAAAAATCCGGACTCATGTATCCATCAATGGCTGTTTTGTTTGCTGATGAAGGTGATGAAACTTCTGGTAAGTTCAAGTCACCGAAATTAAAGCTTCTTGATCCAAAAGGTCAATTGATTCAAACCATTTTGAAGTCTCTTTCTAAACTTAAGCTTCTAAAAGTCGTGGAAGTTGAATCTGTTATAAGTTCTGACGATGGATCAACTAAAAAGGTGACCTTGATTAAAGAAATCAACAATCTTACTTTAATCAACTTGGTTTTGGTCATTTTTGGTCCACTCAGAGAAGACAAGTTATGTATAACAATTTTGGGCATTCAATTTTCTATTGGGTTACTAGCTATTGTTTGCAGGCATTCCATCGGTCACTTCTTGTTTGAGAATGATAATTTGTGGAAGTAGTCAAGAATACATAGACCGTGTACTATAATAATGATAAATTCAATTCAGTTTTGAAATTCAAAAACCTTTAATACAAGTAAGGCCGCATTATGCTGTCTTATCACTGTAGCCCAAAACATATGCCTACAAAGTAAAAGCTTGAAAAAAAATAAAGGGATCATAAATTGAAACGAAAATAACATGATTAGAATAAAGTACAGGCAAAGCCAGTGCACCCTCTTCTGAAATAAATATACTAGATAACTACAATATACTTCACTGCAACACTGATTAGTAGCATTTCAGCGCATCGTATCACACATTAAATGCTAATTTGCTTATTCCCACATGTTAACAACAGTTCTGATAACATTCCCAGAGTGCAAGTCATCAAAGGCTTCATTGACTTTGTCAAATGACTTGTAACCGGTAATATATTCATCGAGCTTCAATTCACCCTTCATGTAGTCATCAACAAAACCTGGTAATTGAGTTCTACCCTTGACACCACCGAAGGCCGAACCTTTCCAAACTCTACCTGTGACCAATTGGAAAGGTCTGGTGGCGATTTCTTTACCGGCACTAGCAACACCAATAATAACTGAGGTACCCCAACCCTTATGACAAGCTTCAAGAGCATCTCTCATAACTTTAACATTACCAGTACAGTCAAAGGTGTAATCACAGCCACCGTCGGTCATTTCAATCAATTTACTGACAATAGTTTCACCTTCCTTCAATTTGGTTGGGTTGATGAAATCGGTGGCGCCCCACTTCTTAGCCCATTCTTCCTTTCCATCATTGATATCAATAGCAATAATCTTCTTTGCCTTTCTAATCTTAAGACCATCAATGACAGCAAGGCCAACGGCACCAATACCAAAAACGGCAGCTTGGGCTTCTTCGTTTTCATCGACCTGGGCAACGTTGAAGACGCTACCGGTACCAGTTGTGACCCCGCAACCCAAGAGACAAACCTTGTCAAGTGGAGCCTTTGGATCAATCACCGCAACAGAAACGTCAGCAAGGACTGTGTATTGAGAGAACCCAGAGCATCCCATGAAGTGATAGATTGGCTTACCATCCTTGCTTCTGAATCTTGTGGTGCCATCAGGCATAAGACCTTTACCTTGGGTGGCTCTAACAGACCCACACAAATTGGTTTTACCACTCTTGCAGAATTTACATTCACGACATTCAGCAGTATAAAGAGCAATGACATGGTCACCGACCTTTACACCTTCAACACCTTCACCGATAGATTCCACAACACCGGAACATTCGTGACCCAAAATGACTGGCAATCCGTCATCATTCAATTCCGAGTCAGCGCCGCTCCAACTGTAATAATCAGTGTGGCACATGGCATTGGCCAAAACTTTAACTCTCACTTCATGAGCCTTTGGAGGTAAGACCTCGATTTCCTCAAGTGATAAAGGCTTGTTGAACTGTCTCAAAACAGCAGCCTTACAGAAAATCGACTAAATCTGAATTAGCAAAAAATACTCAAAAAATCGATATTTTATACCCTTGATACACAATGATAATTTACTTACTTTACCGGCAGTGTCAGACATTTTGTTTTTCCAAATAGTTAAATAAGATTCCTTTTATAAAGATGAGGAGTCAACTGAATATCACAAATCATTATAGAATCACTGAAAATTAACCATCAGTTGCTTCATTTTGCCACTTATTTTGGGAGATCCCCGCGGCAGCGGTGCATCATAACCATGATTTGTTTTAGTGTTTTAGTGATAAAAGACAGACAGCGAGCTTCACCATTTTGAGGAAAAAAACTCCAAAGGAGTCTAGTATAAATTTGATCACTGATTTGGATCTGAAATTACCGGAATTGCTCTATTATATATTATACTAATTCCCACACGCATTGGAATCTACCCTGCTGGTGTCAGATCACCCCTCCCCCGTCCCCCGTGCGGCGACTGTGACGGCGGCGGCATCAGCCTCGGGCACGGACACGGTACTCCTTTCCGGTCAGCCCAATCCGGGTTGGTTGCTGTGCCTGGGTGATGGGGAAAAAAAGGGCGGAATTTCTTTCTTCTTTGATGGAAATTGAAAAACCATCAATATAGAACGAAAATTGGGAATCATCAAGGGTAGTGCTGCTAGTTTTGATAAATTATAATATTGCCTGTTTAATATCATTGGTATAATAGCTTCTGTTCCGTTTTTTTTTTTTTTTCTAGTATCAGATATCATTATTATTTGTTTTCGACGCGAAAGACCATTGATTGTATTTCTAGGACATTCCTTTAATACGAACTGTGTCTCTTAAATTCTTTTCAATCCTTTGAGCACATAGAACCATTATGGAAGTAGTTGTTGGTCCAGTTGCGAGTACTATTAAGAATTGGAAAGATTTTGTCAGCATCGATAATAACCGGTCAAAAAAGGTGAAGAATCAGTTCAACGACAAGTATTTTTCTTGTGACGCCTACACTTGCAAATTTTGTGATCACGAATTTACTTATTACTCGAGAAACGGGCCCCGTACAATCATCAAACATCTACAAAGACACCATCCAAACGAAATCTACGCTGCTGAAGGTATGTCCATGACTTCCTCCTCGGCTGCTGCTACCGCTGCCGCCGCGGTCGCTGCCCATCATCAACTGTTGAATGATCCATCTATGGTCACCACTCCGGCCGTCACAGTTATTAAAGTTGACCCTCACCATAATCATATACCATCGCATGAAGAAGAAATTCTGAGTCCTGGTAGTAGTACCATGGTTAAGCATCTTCGCCATCATAATCACAATCACCAGGTGGTGCCACTTCATCAGACAAATGAAATCACTCAAACTAGCAGTTTCAACACAGACTCATTGATAATGAATGATATTCAAATAAAACCATACCAGCATCCAGGTAACTCGGTTACTGCAAATGATTTAGAATTAACAGTTAAAGCGGCTACCAAACAATGGAAATTCCATTTCACTTATGATGAGGGCAAAACTTCGAAGCTCAGAGAAGAACGTCCAGATTCAAGATTTCTCAATGAAGTTTACGACTGCAAGTACTGTGTAAAACAATTTATTTATTGTTCAAGGAATGGACCAGGTACTCTCGTCAAGCATTTGGAAAGATTCCATCTATCGGAAGTTTTGCACCAAAACCCAGCAATTGTGAAAAACTCGGAAATGTATAATGCTTTGAAGAAGACCATTGGACAAAATGACAATGTTTCTATTGATGACGCTGACTCATTAAATAAAAATGGAGAGCCTAATAGTACTGAAGGTCTTACAAGTAATGATGCAGTGAATCTTTTTGAAAATGAGTGCTTAGCAAATTTGCTACGTATCTCTAAAGCTGCAAAAGATTGGAAGAAACACTACGTCAAGAATGAGGGCAAAACCGCTAATTTACTTTCTCAAGCTTCAAATAATTTGAGCTATGGTGGTGACAGACATTCCAAGTTGAATCAAGAAGTTTATGATTGCAGATATTGTGGTATTTCTAAAATTTACATTTCTAGAAATGGTCCAAAGACTTTAACTAAACATTTAGAAAAACTGCACAAAAAGGAATTGTTAGAGAATAACAATATCGCCCCAATTTTTAATACTGAATCTGTTTCTGATAGTAGAAAAAGAGCTGCTCCCGATTCGTTGGTTCATGTTCCACCTGATCAAACTTCTAATGAATCACATCATATTGGAGCCACAGATTTGATTGAAATGGCTCTTGCTGGCAATTTGAAACGTCAAAAACCGAATGAGCCGTCACAACAATCGACAGAGCACGACTATTCTCATTCAAAATTCCATGAGGATATCATCAAATTCTTAAATGAGAACAAACTCTATATTCAGGTGGTAAAATCCCAATCTTTCAAAAACTTGATTCAAAATATGAGGCCGGATTTGGTTCCTGCTTTGGATGACTTGAAAACTTTGTACAGTTCATTTTTGCACTTGATGAATAATAGTCAAGATGATTCTGATGCCAATAATCATATTGGACCAGTGCCAGCTGGACTTGCTGAAGTGATTAATGCTGAAAAATCCAAAGAGAAAGAGAATGAGAATCTGAAAAATGCTGAGGTAACTATGGGAATAGATAATATCGCGACCATGACTTCGAGTATTGAAAATTCAATTACTCAGCACAATTTGTTGAACTCAAGTTAGGTACAATGGTGCCAATGCTTAATGTCTTGATCTAGAATGCAGCTGGCATTCAATCTATATATTATTTTGCTTCTGTAACAGTACTTTATTATTATATAATTGCTCTATTTTGTTTTACTAATGGTTTGTTTTCTTGTTGTTGTTTATATAGTTTCTGTTTCGATTTCTTTGAGTTATTATAAGCGTTACTCGTTGACTGTCCTTATTATTTTCAGTTCCTTTTTCTTTGTATATTTTATGCTATATTAAGAATGTCACACCAAAATTTGTTGAATACAGATACGGTTTTGTATTTATGTTTGATATTAGAGCTGCTGTTTATATCATAAGAAATAATTTTTGACTTCAGTGTATTATTATCCAAGGTCTACAGTGACATTATAATATATCAAGAAACTATGACCCGCTATAAGCAATGCCTTCGTCTTGTTGTAATTTGAATTATTCTTGTGTGATACATCTGTGTTTGTAATCAATTACCGAATTATGTTTATTATAGTTCCATAAATTCTGCTGCAAAAGTCAAAATAACAACACCAAATACATATGTATATGCATGACTATGCGTAGTGATGCACCATGGGGGCTACAAAAATAAAATGATTCATTTATTTAAAAATCGACCACCAGATAGTGATGAAGAAGCATCCCTAATATAGTAATAATATATGTCTATATAGGGTGCACCCTTATTTGTGCTATGACATTGTGTATGTGCATGCAGAAAGTGGCTACAGCTAAAAGAACATGAAAAGACACAATTACGCTCAGAATAGTAATTGATTTATACTATGGGGTGCACTACACCAGAATGATTCAAATTACGATCTGGATCATTGAAGCATTGTAACATTCTACATCTTAAAAGCGACCTGACATCACATTATTTCTCAATCTGCAAGGAGTGAGTGCTATGCTCAATTTCACATTTTCATGAAGTAGGAAAATTTTTTGGCTGGATGTGTGAACTATGTGACTCCAACACGTAGATTGTCAAATCCTGTATAGATAGGATCAAAGGAAACAGGATTTTTCCTGATTAGTTTGCCATAAACGGAATTATATCCGCTTCAATAAATGGACACCAAAGAAATAAATTATCAAAGCTAAATAACAATCTCATCTCTCGTTATGCTAATCCTGATTGATATAATTAGCTCAACCTCCAGTCCAAAGTAAGCCTCGAGCCATACAGCAAGATTCAATCTCAGCCTTTGATTTACAGTTTACTTCTCATGGCTTGAGCTATATTACGATTAGTAATGGATGCTTCATTATATCCAGAAAACCATTCCAAGGTTATCTTTGAACTCGTTGTCATATGCTTCATTCTTAATTTCACTTGACTCTCTATGTAGCGTGCACCACTTATAAGGTACTGACCTCTTAATGGATCAACTATCGTCCATACACTTCACTGGTGAGCGGTAGTCTATATGGATATTGAACCATGCAATAATGCACAACAATAGCACATATATATGGACTTAGATGTACGTGTGGAGCTTTCAGTTATCTTGGAATCAACGATCTCGTAATCCTGCGGATTATAAAGCACATTAAAGGTAAATATTTAGAAAATACAGTGTATGAAGGATCGAAGACTTTAGTGCCCTGGGAGAGTAAGTGACCTTCTTAGTTGAATTAACCATGTTAGTTCTTGGTTGGGCTACTATTGCAGCAACTCAAATATGTAGTAATTCTCAGTTGAAATACTATGTTCGTTACATTTCATAGATTTCAGAGTATTGTGGTCTGGGACCTACAAATATTTTGCACTTATTTATAATATTCTTTTCAAGGGAGTTCAAATTTTCATCTTAGATACAGGTTGTATTATGTTAGAGTTGACTCTGCTTACTAATATCTCGCATACAATGTTTGTAATCAGATGCGGTTAGTTGCGATGGCGGGCATCACTCACTTTCTGTCTATCTCCTTAGGCCACAAAAAATTTTGATATGATATGGACTTTCATGTTCCCTAATTGTAAAATATTTATAAATCCTTATTAGAAATGATATCAATATGACCGGAACTTTGCTTAATAGTTTTATAAGAAGTACCAAAAAGCTACCGTTTGATCAAATTTTTAAAGTTTCAATACCCAAACCAGCTTCCTGTTCTGCTCAATCATTCCATTCCACCTCGCTAATTAAGAACCGATATTGGGGGAATATGAATAGTGAAGCATTATTACAAAAATCACTAACCAATAAATTCAATAATCTCAATCACGGCTCAAATTTACACAACGATAATTATTTGAGATGTACTGTCTTCAATAAACATGGTTCCTTGGATCATTTATCTATCGACATAAAGCGAAAGGACTTGATCTTGAAATATAAATTGATGCCCCGCGATATCAGAAAAATAAACTACGAGCCAACGCTATCGACCAGTTTGGTACCCTACATTTCTGTGAGAAACGATTTTATCTTGATAAACCTTTTGCATATAAGGGCGTTGATCAAGAGTGACTCCGTTCTTTTGTTTGATCGAGCTCTCGGGTCATATGAAAAGGAACAGTTATTCCAAGAATTGCTGATAAAATTAAAGACCAGCCAAATTCCAAACGAGCTCCCATACGAATTAAAGGCGCTTGAGGCGATTCTTATGTTTGTTACCCATTCGCTAAACCAAGAAATTAAGATCCATAGAAGCGTGACCCAAAGCATTCTTAATGACTTGGAAAACCATGTGCATACCGAGAACCTCCGATTATTATTAGACCAAAACAAGAAAATTACTGGGTTTTACCAAAAAGCAACATTGATCAGAGACATCATTGACGATCTACTAAGTCAGGATGATTTGTTGACTGGGATGTATTTGACCACCCCGAGATCAGGTTTACAAGACCACACAGAAGTGGAGATTTTGCTCGAGACTTATTATAAGCACTTTGATGAAGCGGTACAAATTGTCGAGGAAATTACAAATAATATCAAAACAACACAGGAAATTATTAACATTATTTTAGATTCTAATCGTAATCAGTTGATGTTGTTGGGATTGCGTTTTTCTATTGGAATATTATTTTTGGGATGTGGCATCTATGTTGCCAGTGTTTATGGGATGAACTTGGAGAATTTCATGGAGGAGGAGAATTATGGGTTCGGCTTTGTTATAGGTGTAACTACATTGTTGGCAATAATATTGTTTTGGAGATCGATTAATAAGCTACACAAATTAGAGAGAATAGCCATCAGTGGAAGCAAATCCATGCCAATACATTCACATCAACATTTTCATCCGAGATGTTGAATAATGTTTATAGATCGAGCAATATCTCATGAATAAATATAATATAATATAGTATAATATACAGCTGTATCTAGTAAAAACTAATAGTGCAATAAATGTAAAGAAAAAAACAAGAAAAAAAAAAAAAACAAGCATTGATATGTTTCAAGTTAAAGATAATTAAGTACCATGAGAGGCATAATAACTTTCTTTTCTTTTTAAAAAAGAAAAGTAAGATAATTTGTTGCGAAATGTTTCAAGTTCATAATGATTGCAAATCATCCAAATCCAAAGTTCTTGTAAGGATGAGATTTTTTCTCTCCACTGGAGATGGTGTTAGTTGATTCCTCCAGAATCATTTTGGTGAAATTTTTGTACGGATGTGAGTCAACAGTTGGGTTATTGTTATTTGGAGTACTAGATTTTTTGAGCTTGAAAAAAAATGAGCTTCTAGAAGATTGTGGCAATTTGGTATCATTGAGTTCCGAGGAGCAACCCTCACTCAAATTAGAGATTTCTTTGGTAGAACTGAAAGTATTATGTGTTGACGCCGTGATTGCTATATTTAATTTCTTGGAAACATCAGTTTTAATTGGGTCATTGATGACTTTAGATGGTGCCATCGTGGAGGGTGCTGACTCTGACATCGCAAGTTTCAATATACTTGCAAGGTTTCCCACTGAGTCACTTCTTCTAAGCTTTGAAGGAGTAATAGCCGCAGCAGCAGTTATTGGGCCATCCAAGCTTTCAAGGTTACAGGACTTATTTTCTGGAGTGGGTTCCATAAACAACGATTTGGCAGATCGAAAATACAAATCAGAATCGATGTGATGAATCATCGATAATGGTGTGGAAGTTAAATTTGATCCATCTTTCTTTTTAGGAAGGATTCCAAGACCATTAACTTTTGGAGTTTCGCTAAGCTCATAATCTTCATCAATTGGGGCATTTGAACTCTTAGAAGCCTCAGATTTATCAAGAACATTGGAAGATTTGTTAGGTGAGTATTTACCCACAGAGGCCTGCTGACTGTGGAAACTACTATTTGCATCATTATAGTCATTCTTCCAATAGACTCTTTTATCCGCTTCATCACTCATCTTTTTATTGATATTGCCAACTTGATGAATCACCGGTTCTTCTATAATATTGGCATTAGACACTGCATCACTCATGAAACCAACTTGAGATGAGGTTGAATAGTAAGATTCAGCATCATCCATGGAATTGGTACTGCCACTTCTTTTGGTTTTCAATACGATAGCCGGATTCAACAATTTTAGATTTAATGACTTGGCACTCGCTTGAGATTTATTACGAGTGTGGAAATTGAAATTAGGCAAACTGGATACGACAGAAACGGAGTTCGAAGACAAATCACGAGGCAATCCCTGGGAAGATAATGAGCTCAAATTTGCAGGATTATTATTATTAGTACCACCATTAATCATTGTGCCATCATCACTATTACAGGAATCTTTTTGAATCAACATTCCTTTTTTAGGTATGAAAGCTTCAAACTTTAATTTATGAGCCAGTCTAGTTGAAGGTAATTCTGATTCAACAGCACTCCCATTTGATGATTGTACGAAATGTTCACTTCCCGCTTTTGTGAGTTTCTTTGGTCTTAAATCATTATCTCCAATATGGTATCCCCCATGAGTGTTGGAGAGCCTTTCCATAGATGGTGATATTAAAGAGCCTGTGCTAAGTGGGTTGGTTGTACTATTTAACTCTGATCCATTCCATCTGATGGTTTGTGATGAGGTTATATTATCAGGGTTTCGAAGATCAGGGTCAATTGCATTACTATCATTAGTAAATCCATTTCTAAGATTCAACTTTAATGGAGGTGAAATAGCAGTAGCAGTAGAAGGAGATACGGCGCTATTTGCAATATGCTTAAAAGATTGTGATAAAGACGATGACGGGGGTTGAGCTGTAGTTTTTTGGGATTTTAGTGCAATACTATCTAAGCTTCTGTTGGAGTTTGTGAATATGTTGTGAGCTGCACCATTGGAGTTCAAAGAATTGTAGGAATGACATGGGGAATCAGACGACAAATCATTTTTTGGCAAGCCTGAATTTGAACGTGATGATGGCTGAAGATATTTTTGACCTCTCCTGGCTTCCAAGTCCTGCAATTGCGGCAAATTCTCTTGATTTTTGGTTCCTGGCGGATGTAGCAATTTTTTCGTAGAATCATTTTTCTGGTCGCGTGAGAACATTTTAGATTTGGGGATTAGGCCTTTCATCGAGTTGTTACTGTTGCTTCTAAATCTGCTAGTTGACGTGTCACTATTATTGCTATTGCTTCTACTTCTAATATTTCCTAAGGGATTCTGAAACTTGGGCTTGTTAAAAAGTTCATCCACTCCAAGATAATCCAATATATTGTCTGATCTCAGTTTCTTAATTGAATTTGGGCTAGCTTGGCTATTACTATTTGCTGCTTGAGGCGGTACAAGAAGTTGCTGCTTCTGTCTGGCCAATCTCTCCTTTTTTATATCAAGCTCATGGCGGGATTCTAATGGTTGGATATTTTCTCGTTTGCAAGGTAGCGGGTCCGTTTTAAACCAATCATGATTCATTGCATTGTAGGCGTTGAATCTCTTGTTTGGGTCAAGGGTTAGCAATTTAGTGAATAATGACATGGCGATTGGATCCATATTTGTAGAACCGAACTTGGTCACCAAATTTCCTTCCAATTTCAATTTCAATTTCTTCAGGTCAAGAATATCCATGTTTTTATTACCGTTAGAATATTTATTTAGTAATTTCTCTTCCATTAACTTATCAAATAACGGCATTCTACCCTTTGTTGGCGACCCAACCAATTTGAAAATCTCATTCAATTGATCCAAATCAGACGAACCTGTTAGCAATGGTTTCCTAATATAAAATTCCCCAAATATGCAACCCACCGCCCATAAATCAATGGATGTGGTATAACATCTTTCTCCCAATAGAAGCTCTGGCGCCCTATACCATCGTGCCACCACAAGATTGGTCATTGGATGTAACCCACCACCATGACCTTCGTTTTTGACGGGGGCTGGTCCCTGATATTTTCGAGTGAGCCCAAAATCGGCAATTTTCAACAAGTTGTTCCTGGATATTAGAATATTGGCGGTTTTAATGTCTCTATGGATAAATTTATTGTTATGAAGGTAGCTTAAGCCATTTAGGATTTGTAGCATGAAGTTTTTGATTTCCGGCACCTTCAAAGTGATTGTCAAGTTCGAGATGACCCCGGCCAAATCACAGGCCATGTAAGGAAGCACGAGAAATGTGTCAAATGGGTCGCTATTATTGGCGGCTTTGTCATCCATTATCGACACAACCTCGAGGACCTGGAGTAGGTTCTTATGTTTTAATGCTTTCAAAGCAACAATCTCTCGTATGGACGTAATATGAAACCCCTGTGAGGAATCACTGTTAATAAGCTTCTTTATTGCTACCAACATTCGAGGCAGTCTTCGTTGGCGAGCCTTAACGACTAAACCAAAAGTTCCTTCCCCAATTTGATCAAGCACATCGTAACCTGGTAATTGAATGTTATTCAGGGTCAACTGTTGGGCCATTGTCCATCTTAAGGTCTCCAGATCAATTCCCGAGACCCTGTTAAAAGAATCGGTAGCGCAGAATCAAGGAGAACAAGAAATTGTTAGTCAATCAACTAAGGCAAGCTTTCAAAAAAATAATTCCTGAGTAGTAGCCTTTTTTTTTTTTCTTTTCCTCTTCTTGTTTGTCTAAAACAGGAGCGGGAAGGATTGTTGTTGTTCTAAGGGTCGAATGTTATTCAATTTGCCCCAAAAAATTAAAAAAAAAAAAGGAAAAATTACTTCCACCGTGCCACACAATAGAATCAAAATTGTGAAACTGTCCGCTAAAAAAAGATAAATTTTAAAATAGAATATTTAAAATAAAGGCTTGAATAGATCAATTAATACAGAGGTGGTAATAATATCATCATGAACATACCCAGGAGCCAGCAGCCTTTGATGGCCGATAGCAGCACGTTGACCCTAGGGACTTACAAGCTTAGAAAGGATAACAGCAGGGTCTCTGTTCTCACCAAGTACGAGATCATCGGGTATATTGCCTCAGGAACTTATGGGCGGGTTTATAAAGCCAAATCCAGAGATCCAAAGAAGCACGACAAGCTATACGCTATCAAGAAGTTCAAGGGGGACTCAAGAGACGGTGAAATTACTCATTACTCAGGGATATCGCAGTCAGCATGCCGTGAGATGGCCCTTTGCCGCGAGTTGAACAACGAGAATATCACAGAGTTAATCGAAACCATATTAGAGAAAAAATGCATATATATGGTGAGTGTGTTTGCCGAGCATGATTTATTGCAAATCATTCATTATCATTCACAAAATGGCATGCGGCAAATTCCAGAAACTTCCATTAAATCCATGATTTGGCAGATTCTCAATGGCGTGTCATTTCTACATCAAAATTGGGTTATTCACAGAGACTTGAAACCGGCTAATATTATGGTTACTTCAGATGGTGTGGTGAAGATCGGGGATTTGGGATTGGCAAGAAGATTCAATAACCCTTTGCAGACATTATTTGCTGGTGACAAAGTGGTGGTCACAATTTGGTATAGACTGCCAGAACTTCTATTAGGGGGCAGGCATTATACCCCAGCTATTGATTTGTGGTCTGTGGGATGTATATTAGGAGAATTACTAGCTCTAAGGCCAATGTTCAAAGGTGAAGAAGCAAAAATGGATAATAAAAAAAATGTTCCATTCCAAAAAAACCAAATGATGAAGATCATCGAAATAATGGGGTCTCCAACCGTGCTGAAATGGCCCTCACTTAATAAATATCCGGATTACAGGGCATTTCAAGAACTTAGGGTTCATCAGGCCAATTTACAGAGTTGGTTCCAATCCACTTGTGGGAATTTTAATAAAAAGATTTATCCATTGTTACTGGATTTATTAGAATATGATCCCGCGAAACGACTAACTGCTTACAATGGATTAATTCATCCTTACTTTTTAGATGGTGTTAAAGTATGTGATAACGTCTTCGAAGGCTCTAAATTTAAGTATCCAGCAAGAAAAATTGCTCACGATGCCAACTACCTTAACCAAGCTGCTAACAAGAGACAATACGATAGTTCCGGAGGCTTACACATCAAGAAAAAGCAGAGGTATTGATTGGTAGACCAAATCACGATCAATTTGTATTATAGAACCTTGACATGAATTTATGAAACTTTTTTTTTCTTCTTCTTTCTTTCTTTCTCTTGATATTGTAATTTTTAAAATATTTCGTATATATTATATGGTACTATACTTTGTTATGAGAGAGCGCCCACATCCAAAATCTTCTTATTAATTATTTTTTTTTGGTGCTTTAATCTGCTTTCTTCTTTCTAGTTTTCTTTTCTTCCCTTTTAACCAAAGATTCTTCCCGTTGCGACTTCCCGTTAATCTCATCAATTTCCTTCTGTTCATCACACATTTCATTGAATACGGGTAATAACTCCGCACCATGCATTCCCATATCACCATATTTCCAAATTGCTCCATCAAAGGCAAACTCGATTCCTTCGATTCCTGCTACCTGTGGCGGCACCTTGGCGTATCTTTGACTGAAATGAGTCAAGATTGTTTTCTTTGCTCGCATTTCCTTACCAACACCAATTGCTTCAGAAATCGTACTGTGACATTTCGCAATTGCCATGCTCTGCAAACTATCTTCAAGAGTGGCTTCGTGGATCAAGATGTGAGAGTCTTTTCCCATATCGGCAAAACGATGTACCGGTCTGGTGTCACCAGAATAACTCACTTTGAATGAAGTATTATCAACAGAGTTGGTGAGTTTGAAATCAAAGGTCACAGAATAAGACCATTGGCAATGATGGGCTCTAGTAATTAAAACCTTGTTGATGCTTAAAGCGTCGTAAAAATTATAGATCATACTATTTTGTCTGCAAGTCCGTTTATACTTCCGATCATTTGCATTGAGCTCATTATTTCCTTGATTGTTTTTTAGAGTTTCCTCCTTTGAGTCTTCCACAATCTTGACGGGTTTATCGATGCCTGCTGCATCATCATTGAACGTATCTTTTTGTGGCACATCAATGATTGATTTACCCAACATGAACTCTTCACAATTGATGAATACTATTCTTTGCATTTTTAACCCATTATCAATTACCTGAACATCGTATAAGAACCTTTGGTATTGCCATGGAGCAATGATATATAATTTATCCTCGTTGTTTTCGCCTTTATATTTAATCCATTCTTCAATGACCGAAACAATCCCTAAATGATGGTCAGCATGTAAATGACTGAGATAAATACATTGTAATTCTTCAGTGAAGAAGGTATGTAACTCTGAAGGAGAGAAAATTCGCTTGATAGTCCCCAAGGTATTTTCACCGCCATCCAAGAGCACAGAACGGTACTTGATTTGACCGTTTTGTTCGAATGGAATTCTAAGCATTGTGGATGAAACATTACGATGACCAGAAGGAATAGCAGACCCAGTACCAAGCGCAATTACTTGGGTGGTAGACTCCAAATATCCGATGAGTTCCATCTCTGAACTAATAGTCGAAGGCACTATTGTTGAGGTTGGAATGATGACAGAATCCGTGCCAGAAGAGTTTAACGTTTGAGAGATTGGTACAATTTTATCAGATTGAACGTTTAACATCCCAATGCCTGATTGGAATTCCGATTTCCAATATTCGTCTGTACTCTCGTGGTTTTGCGGGTTATCATTATGAGTTGTCGAGTCTTCTTTGTCCATCGTGAATGATTGGCCTGTGAGTAATGGATAAATCTTGGCATTCTCAACTTTCAACACAGATTCTAGCTTCTTCTGGGGCTGGAAGCTGAAAATTGGAAGCCTATAACTATTGTTGAATAAAGATTTTAACTTGAGAGTTAATGACCCAGAACTTTTGAACACGAGCGAGTTTGGAACGTAATCTTTGTGACTAACAACATGGTGTTCAACACCCAATCTTTCGGTAAGTAGAGTTATTAATTCCTTCAATGGCTGGTTATTCTCAAGCGTCACTGTGCCAGACATAAAATAGTAAACTAGACTTAAATTTTGAAACTTATTTTGGTTTTCTTCAATCAATTTGCCGACTATTTGAAGAGTATTTTCCAAATTTTCTTGAGACTTAATATCTAAAATCATCAACTTATTATACGTTCTGGGCGAGCTGACTACCTCTTCTGGCTGTATAACCCTCCCGTCCTCCAAAGTCACGGGCTTCCCGTTAGATAACTGGGCGTACAATTTACCCTTTGGGATGTTCAATTCAATAGCTTTCTTAATATCAAACTTTCCCCGCACAGGTTCAAACTCCACCAAATAGTTGGTAGCAAACCCCTTGAAATCGTTGATAATATCCATTGGTCTAGGAAGTCTAGTATTCACATAGCCATCGTTAAGATTTGGATCTGATTCTGTTATCTTTAGCAACTCTTCTGGGGACATTGAAACTTGGGTATTTGGCCTATTGGCTGGAACACTAAGGGGGAACATATGGCCGACAATTCTATTAAGAAATGAAATATATTTGGATTTCAGCTCCAAGTCTGGAGTACTGGTTTCGATATCTGCGCGAGAACTGATTGGAACTTGGAACCCTCTAACTGTCACTACTTCGTCCTTGTAAAAACTTTCATTGAATCCAACGCTATGGCATGACAAGGTTATACCTTTACGAAAAACAAAATATCTCCAGGTGGCAACTAAATGACTCAACAATTCATTCCCGTAACTTAAATCTAACTCAGTTTTTCCTCGATCACTAATGCTCAAGATCGAGCCTGGTAAACCACCAGTACGGGGCCAGTTTAATTCACCTGTTAAGAAAATATTCTTTATCCTATGAAGTTTGATCCCTTGTTCAGTACAAGACCTTTGAGCTCCTTCAAACACTGAGCCGAACAAGTAGCTATCACCTCCACTACTAACAATTGTGAGCAAAGGATCGGTGGTGTCAGCCGTTGGGTGACCACAAGTGCGTACTTCAAACATTGGTACACTTTTACTTATAGGCTTCCTTAAAGCTTTATGAGTTGGACCACGCACACGAGTTAGACCAGAATCCACCTCTTTTTTGGACAAACGAACACGACGACTGGAAAATCTTTTGAAAGGAGAAAAGGCAAGCAATGGCTTTGAATTTATGGACTTTCTAATCTCACTAGACCACAAATTGTACATCAGCCTCGATAAAAAAAAAAAAGACCGGAAAATCGTGGAAACCAACCTTTGTGAAGTTGATTATTATATTAATGAGGCAACAGATAACAGATATGTATATCCCACTTTATTTATGTTTCCAACAGCAAAAAATACCCGAGTAGGAGACCGACCTGACCAGTAACAACTAACACTTCTGGAAGGAAATAAAAAAAAAAAAAAAAAAAAATTTTAGTGTGTGATATGTACCAGTTACTTGGGTCTATCTGTAACTCAAAATATATGTGATCTAGTGTATAATAATAATATACTGTATACCATTAATCCTATTCACAAAAAAAAACAAGATATGATTACACAAGAAGCCATTTTCAATCCAAAATAAGGGAACCAATATGTTTTATTCAACAAAAATTACGGTAGGAAAAAGAAAGAAAACCACCAAAATAACAACATGTAAAATAAAAGAATCTGAAAATTGAAAATCCTTACCCACAAAATATACATAACTTGACTTTAACGTCAAAATATTGATATGAAACAGCAATCTAAAATTATTGAAGACCATTGTTCAATCACTATATTTTTCCCAATTATTTGGCTTCTTCAAACCCTGAACATCAAAGTACTTTCCTGAGCAACTGTAACCTTTAAAGGTGAAATCATTATCAGGATTGCAAGCACAGCTATGCGAAAGTCTAAAGTCATTATCAATTGGACAGTTTTGATAAACTGAGTGAGAATATCCCACATCGTTGAACATGTGGATTTCGTCCTTTTTGAGGAATAAAGAAGCAGCAATAGAGTGGATTGGCGCATCACCCCAACGTTCATAGAAGAAATTATTTGTCGCGTCCAAGTGCTGGAAATAGGCCTCGTAGGCTTCGCTCCTAAAGAAACTCAAGTTCACAATTTCAAAATTTGACCAGAAATGACACAAATTGTAAGTTGCCCCTCCATCATCCGAGATAAAATCAAGCAAGTTATCTTTAGCAATATATTGAGGATTGTCACTCAAGAATTTTTTAGTTTCCCCCCAAAGCGAGGAGATGGTGGCTTCAAATTCATGAATTGATATGGCAAATCCATAGACCTTATTATTATCTGCCATGTAACGGAATAAATCATAATTGATATCACAAAAGAATTGGATATCCGGTTCAACTCTCCAGTACCAATCATAATCAGCAAGCATAGGGTGTTTGTAAAAAAATCCCGACTCAAAACGACACATATGACGATAAGATACCGACTCGGCATAAATTACTCCTAAGTTCGAGAGATCTTCCCTTGCCTTGGCAGCTTTATTCAAATCCAAGTTTTCCGGAAACAGCCAATGTTCTTTGGGGATTTTCCCATATTTTGTTTTGCCACTTATTAATGACGATGTGACTTCTTTGAATTCATCAGTGAATTCTTCGTCATTGAAAAAAATCCAATCGTAGTTGAATTTGTTGTTGAAACGGTCCTGAACTGAACGAATAGAATCCACCAAGCCCCAAAGATCGGAGTTTCTTGCTAAAGTCACAAAACAACCATTTACCTTTGAAGTCAGAAGAGATTGGTATTGGATAGACGAGTATTTATTGATGATTTCTTCTTGGGTGAGACTGTTATCCGACAGATGTGGCTGATTTGTGATTGTTGATGGGAAGTGATCGATAGAAGATGAATATGATGATGATGACTGTGACGATTCTGATGAAAATGTGTACAGTCGAATATTGAAGAATATCAGTAACGCAATAAAGATGACTATTGATACTTGGAGATATTTAGCTTTCACCAACGACATTTTGATGATGAGGGAATGTTGTTAAATGATTCTGGGTGTGTTTTGATAGCAAGGAGAAAATAAGAGCCCAGTTGGATAATTTTCTTGGTTGTTAATTCTATTTTTTTTTTTTTTTTTTCTTTTTTCTCTCTATTTTTCCCTTTCTAGAGTAGCAATAAAACAAATTTGGGTTGTCCAATCTTAAGAGCAAATGTATAGAAGTTTGTTGATATTTGTCAATTTTTTTTTTTTTTTCTTAGCCTCAATTAGAATTAGATTTTTTATCTGGGCGGAAAAAAATTTTAAGGAACGGATGGATGATGTAACACGCAAATCTATGTTGTTGTTTTTTTTTCTTAAAAAACATACGTTTATTTCTTTTTAGATTTCGGAGGGCAGAAAGATTTAGTGATAAAGATAGTTGCTATTGTTTGCCAATAATGTTTTACTTAGTCTGTGTTTGTTTGTGGATCTTGTGATGACGAATTGGGCAATCAAATTAATTTGCAAAATAAACCACTGGTGCGAGTAAAATTTAGCCTCAGGTACGAAAACAGGGACAATCATTGAAACACCGAAACAAAGAAAAAGGCACTTTTTTTTGCCCTTTTTCCCAATAAGCCTGCAGGGAAAAAGTGCTGCAAAAAACAAACCGCCAGCAAAAAAAAAAGGAGGCGCAAGAGATTCAAAAGCTACACAACTGACCCCACCTATTCTGTTCATGTTGTATATATCATATCATCTCATTTCCCTAGCGGTGATAACAGAGCACCGACCACCACCGACAGTTGCTGCCATTGCCAGCTTCGGGGCACACCTGCCAGTGCTGCCACTGCAGGAACACAAGCGCCCTCTGCACTATGATATATCCTGTGTTAAGGTTCGTAATCATGCTTGTTGGTGTGTCTTCATGCGTGTATCAGAAGATTGTACATGTGATTACTTAAGCAATTGCTAATGGGTGTCTGGGTGCACAAAGCAGCTCATTTCCTCCCCCTGGTGTTGGGATGGCCTGTTAGAAATTAACTTATTTTTTTTTGGTTCTTTTTCACGGTGGTCGAGTATTTGGCAACATGCAATTCGAATCGTCTACGCAAGAAGGGAAACAACATCCACTCCCAACTATGGACACCGGTCCTTACAAGATAGTGGTGAGACTCTTGCCTCCCAAGCTAGATAAGCAGGTATTTTATGAAACAACTGCAAAGTTCATTGACGATCCAGCCAATAACTCATCAATTTCTCATACATACTTTGTCCCAGGAAAATATCCTGCCAATCCTTATGAACTCCCCATTTTCTCTAGGGCTTATCTCTCATTCAATGATAAAGTCTCCTTAACCCTGTTCCTCGCCAAAATTTCCGTTCCTGAATCAGAGTTCTCATTCAGTGACGATCGACAATCCAATGTTGTTCCCCAAGTTCAGATGTGTGATTACCAGGAAAGCACTTGGTTACCTAACGCCAAAGAAGATGACCATGATAGTATCCAATGGGCTAAGAAACAACCACTTAACAACACTTTAAGTCTGGACCCTTTGTTTGAAAGATTTTTGAAATTTTATAACAGCGAAGATCGAGAAAATAAGAAACCTTATCTCGATAGTCGTCAATTACGGAGACTAGATAGGTCATTTGCTCTGCTGATAAAGCCAAAGGCACAAAATAGAGCTCTACAGAAGAAAACTACCAAAAATTCTGAAGCCAAGCGCGTCAATTCAGAAAATCTGGAAAAATCGAGGCGAGATTCCAATCTCTCAAAAGAAGTTTCTGGGTCTTCTACTAATGTTAAATCGGATCTAATTTACATAGATACTCTGTTCCCCGAGTCAACCTCTTCCAGATCAAAGAAGCTGGTGCAGAAAAAAAGAAAGCCAAAAAAACTCGGTGAAGCCAAAAAGAGCAATAATGAACAAACTAAAGAATCGAAATCTTCAAAGAATGCGCCACAAGCAGATGATAATTCTAAAACTGAAGGTAAAATTAGGTCAGAAGACAAATCAAAATCTGTTGATACAAATCAAAAACCACCAAGAAAGGCCAGAAGTAGACCGAAACCAAAGAAACCAAAATCTGACGAAGAATCAAAGGAGAAATCTAGGCCAAGCGGGAATTCCAAGGACACTAATGAGAATCGAAAAGAAAAACAAAGGCCATCAAGATCTGATATTTCTGATGGTACTGCTTCTGAACCTAAGCTCAAGAAGCCCGCTGAAAGCGATGATACTAAAGCTACAAAGAAATCGAGGCCAAAATCGAAATCAAGAAGAAAGGTTGCTACTAAAGGTGATGACAATCTTGCATCGTCTACCGTGGCACAGTCATTTCCTTCTTCGACATCTGAATCATCGTCACATTCTCAATCAAAGAGCACTTCTCCCCCATTTAAGAATTCTAAGCCAAAGATCTTGAAACGAACTCCAAAACCTAACGATGACTCTAAACATAAAGCAAAGGTAGTTCTCAAGCAGAAAGAGTAATTATAAATAATCACTTTTGAAAATATCAAGAGTGGTTTATCGGCTCCATGAATGGTTTTAATGATATTTGAGCTATTTTAATACCTCCCGCTTTGGTTGTGTTGTTGTTTTTGTCTCCTCGGCTCCTTTAATTTTTTTTTTTTTTTTTTTAGGCTTCACGATTTTTTGTGTCGCTTGATCTCAATGTAATTCCTGAGTTTCTGTCTGCCAAAGTTACCAGCGGAAATGATTTTCAATCCAGAAATTGTTAATAGAGCGTTTATTCGAGCCGTTGTTAATTGGGTATGTCTTTGGATTCTTTACGAGAAATTCGCCTATAAGCGCTGTATTTCTAACTCCTTGTGTTTGATCAGCTATGCCAATTCAATGAACGGGCAGTAATTCCAGGGCAGCAACTTAGGGAGATAATTACTCCCCAGTCCATCAACAAGATTTTAAAATCTCTCATTGACTCTTCCATAATTGATTACTCATCCCAATATGATTATCATGATTTGACTTTAGATGAAGAGATTTTGAAGGTGAAGCTCAGATATTTTGAAGTTCTTGTAAACGTCATGACCCAAGAATTCATAAAGTGTAACACAAGAGTTATTAGTCCAAACGCAATACGATATGATGAGAATAGTATTGCCGATGGCGCTAATGTTCCTTATTCTAATGCTGATAATTCTATATATGATAATTTTGGTGATGGATATGGAGCACCAATATATGCAAAGGATAGTTCCAATAGGCCTTTTGCTTCTGTAACTAGGCTTTCTGTGAGTGAATCGTACAAGAATGATAGGTTTAATTATTTTTTGAGATTTATTACTCCAGCAAAATTGTTCGCTATTGTTGGGGAAGATACTGTCTTGACTGACAATGAATTGATTCAAATTCAGTCTTTATTTGCTCTTTTCATCGAGTTAGGAATACATTGCCAAAAGGCTGCCGTCTGTATTACCCTTTGTACTTTTCTTGACGAGAATGACCGAGCTGAATTTCAAGTTTTTTTTGGCAGAAGCCCTGATGATACTGAGTTGAGCTTATCAGCTTATGATAATGAAATATCGTTAACAAAAGGAAATTTTAGTTTTGAGAGTGATTTCAAAAGCAAGGAATTATTATCTAGACTCTCTAAACTTGAAAACGATAATTTGCTTCTAAAAAATGAATTGCTGATATCTAGAAGAAGGCAAGGGCTTTACTTGGAAAAAATAGCGGCAATGGAAGAATCAGCGAGAGCATATAAAAACAATAGTGAATGCGTTGACGACTTATTGAAAAAGTTTTTGGACAAACGGGATGAATTAGAAACATTGTATCAAGAAAACGAGGCTTTGTCGATTAAGGGTCAACAGGATAGAAGCAAGTACGAATCTATGATTGAAGAATTGAAGGCTGAAATTTGCATATTGAAAGAAAAATCTAAGAGATTGTCGGAGGTGAAGGTATTACAAGATCTTGCACCTATGAAAAAACTCTCAAAATCAATGGAGTTTCAAGCTGATGATTATGTTGAATCTTTGAAATGGGATTTAGATATCGCGAATAATTATATATTTGGTCCATCAATGGAGTTATTGAGATCCCTGAATTTTGGAGGAGTCAAGGGGAATCATAAGGGCTTAATTTTCAAGAATAGAGGTAGAGAGATTCATAATTTGTTTGCGGAATAGAAATGTTTTTTTTTTTTTTGCCATTGCACATAGTGTTTCAATAACCACTTGTATCATGTTATATGTCTGTGTGTGTTTTGATTACTGTTAGCTCTTAGAAATAGTACAATCTTCCAAGATAAAATAGTACAATCTTCCAAGATAAAATAGTACAATCTTCCAAGATAAAACAGGATGAAGTTCCAGTGGCTGAGTAAGCATCAATTTATTCTAGAAAGAAAGATATGTTTCAGCAGACACTTTCCCTGTAAAGTGGAACGCGAATTATCTTTATACATCTGTTAAACTGATGACCCAATAAATACCAAGTTGCCAAAACTGGGTTTTCTCAAATGCAGAAACTCCGAATCCTAAAAAAGTAAAAAGTAGCATTAGCCTGGATAGGGTATGTATGCCTATGGTTGTTTCAAAAAAAAAAAGGATTACGATCGTGATTCTGAAAAGAAGGAAGCATTAAAATACCATGTGCTGATAATAATAGTGGTAATCGTGTTGTTAAGGCTGATGCTGATGTTGATGTAGCAAAACTGAACCAAATCTGTGATTCGATCCGAGAAGAAGAAACTCCAAATTCCTGATGCCGTTGCTTTACAGCCTTTGACGTCATTTGCTATGGATGGTGCAAAGCGTTTTCTTTTTCTTTTTGTTTTTTTTGGGGGAGGCGGGAATTTATCCAGAAGAAAGAACTACGGAAAAAAATATGGAGGGGATTACCATGACGATCTACAGTGTCAGCACTTGTGTGTACTGTGTGTACACCAAGAGGCAGCAGCAATACACACCTCCCTCCCTCCCTCTGATGAAGATTGGCTGGCGGCTTGGAATTCTCTAATGGCACCGCCGTATTGCCTCGCCACCCCCCTATGTAAACAAAAGAGAGGTTTTGTTTACATTTTCCCGAGTCATGAGAAAATAAGGGGAGTGTTTATGCTTTTGTGACACACGGCGGTGTCGGTGTTCTTTCTTGCTACTTACTGCCTGAGTTGAGTTGGGTGGTGTTTGTTAGGTATGGATGGATGGATGGATGGTGGATCCGAATTACTGACTCACGTCTATATCTATCTATGTAAACCACATGGGCTTGTTTGTGGTTGTCTGTATGTTTGATTGATTGAGAACCCCTTTGTTGCTTTTTTGCCCTGGAGAAAGTCATGCACCCCACACTTTCCCCGGATTATTGAATGCATATATATGCATCTATGGTTTTACGGCCACCAGGCAATCAGTCCCCCAACTTATCAATACACTGTCGTTTCGGTGTGATTCTCGACTTTTGGAGATGATTGTACGAGAACTGTTAATTCTACATAAAGTGTATCTATCTCTCTGTCTCCACTTCATATGGAAGCTTGCTTTTCTTTGCTTCTCCTCTGTTCGTCCCAGACCCCTCCCCTGCTAATTGCAACACCAACACCAGTAGATCTGACGTATCTCCCCTATTGTGATGGGAAAATATAGAATCTCAACACTTTCAAAAGGAGAAGAAGGAAATTCCTCACTACTTTGTCTCTCACATGCACACAAGTGCCGTAATTGTGCGGATCTAGAATTTCAGAGAAGCCATTCGCTCACCTCCCCCCCCTCACTTTTTTGGCGGGCACTGGAAGAACTCTTTTTCCACTCGTTTTTCTTTTTCTCTTTCTCGGGAAGTATTATTGTTTTCGGTTTTGATCACTTCCCGATGTAACTAGATTTGAATGCTCTAGTTATACTCTTATATTATATTAAACTGTACTGTACTTCATATAGTATGTTAGAGAAGCACCCTGATCTGGACAGATAAACGATTTTCGCGTTTAATTTTCTAATAGACTCCCCGAGCCACTCCTAGCCAAAATGGAATAACATCACTCGAAAGTTATTAAGTGCGTCAGAGTGACGGCACCTTGCATACAGAGGTCACAACCCAATATCTTGGGCCAGCTATATAAATCCTGGGAATCCCTGCTACTCTAAAAATGTCAAAACCATTCAACAGATTCATCATCCTCACATTTTACATTTATAAATACTTATTTTCTTTTTTCCTAACAAATAAAAGATAAAAAAAATGTCTGCTGTTAAACCCAAAAGTTTCATTAGGCGTTTCGTCAATGTCGAAGAAAAGGGAGATGAATCGGCTTTCATGGCCATTTTTGTTGGTGTTTTTGCTGCTTTTGGTGGTATTTTGTTCGGTTACGATACAGGGACCATTTCTGGTGTCCTTGCTATGGACTACGTGCTTGAGACATTCCCTGATACTCCTGGAATGTTCACCTCTTCTGAAAATTCTTTGATCGTTTCCATCTTATCCCTTGGTACATTTTTGGGCTCCCTTGTGGCCCCATACTTCAACGATTGGATCGGCCGTCGCTTAACATTGATCCTATCTTCGCTTATTGTTTTCAACTTGGGTATCATTTTACAAACTGCTTCCACCGGTATTCCATTACTTGTCGCTGGTAGAGTGTTTGCTGGTCTTGGTGTCGGGTTGATTTCCTCTACTGTTCCATTATACCAATCTGAATGTGTTCCAAAATGGATCAGAGGTGCTTTGGTTTCTTTTTATCAATTCGCAATCACCATTGGATTGTTGTTGGCCAACATTGTTAATAATGCCACCCACAAGATGAACAATTCGGGGTCTTATAGAATTCCGATCGCCATTCAATTCCTCTGGGCTTTGATTTTGGGTATCGGTTTCATTTTCTTGCCAGAATCCCCTAGATTCTGGGTCAAGCGTGAAAAGAAAGAAGAAGCATTGAATTCCTTGCACCGTTTAAGAAGATTGCCTGTTGATCATCCTGAAGTGATCGAAGAATATGAGGAGATTAGAGCAAACCATGAATATGAAATGTCTCTTGGCTCTAGTGGCTGGTTGGACTGCTTCAAATCTAGTAACCATCAAAGATTAAGAATATTTACTGGTATCTCTTTGCAAGCTTTGCAGCAATTGACCGGGGTTAACTTTGTGTTCTACTACGGGGTGACTTTTTTCAAGAACGCCGGTATCAATAACTCCTTCTTGATTTCTGTCGTTTGTAACGTGATCAATTGTGTTTGCACTATCCCTGGGATTGTGCTTGTTGAACTTTTGGGTAGAAGACCATTGATTCTTAGTGGTGCATTAGGGATGTTTATTTCTGACTATATTGTTTCCATTACTTCTGTTGCATCCAATGATTCCGGAGCATCTAATAATGTGATGATTGCATTTATTTGTATCTTTATTGCTTTCTTTGCTGCCACTTGGGGCCCAATCTGTTGGGTTATTGTTGGTGAAATTTTCCCATTACGTGAGTATTATCTTAACTTTATCACTATTACTTTTAAAGAAAACATTTTCTTTTCAAAAACATACTAACAATTTAAAAAAAAAGGTGTCAGAGCTAAGAGTATTGCTTTGTCCACTTCTTCCAACTGGCTTTGGAACTTTGGGATTGCCTATGCAACCCCATACTTGGTTGATCTGGGCCCAGGTAACGCAGATTTAGGTCCAAAAGTTTATTTTATTTGGGGTTCTTGCAATTTATTGTGTTTGATTTTCGGTTGGTTCTTCGTTTATGAGACTAAGAACTTGAAATTGGAACAGATCGATGAGTTATATGACACTTGCAAGCCTTGGAAATCATCCAAGTTTGTCCCAACTACTTATTTGGGTAATCATGCTACTAATGAAGCTGGAAGTTATGAAGCTGACCCAAAGTTGGAACTTGACCATTCTGATTCCAGAGTCTGATCTCTATAAAATGGATACCCTTTTTTTTTTTTTTTTTCCTTTTGCTAAATGAGTTTTATTTCTTTTTTATTTCTTTTTTATTTCTTTTTTATTTCTTTTTCATTTCTTTTTTTTTTTTTTTGTCCATCTACGTTTCTTCCTTTGTATCGTTGTATATTTTTTCTACATTTATATATAGTCTTTTTCTTTTGTTCTACTTTTACTTGGATAATGTGGGAATTATTAAATTTACGTATTTTATTTTTATTTTGTTATTAAGCTTAGCATCATCTAACTCTCCAATTATAGGCAGTTTTTTGACGAAATTTACAGAGGTCTTATCACAGTATATGGATCATCTGGTTTAAATTTCAAGTTTTTTTTTTTTTATAAATGTATATACGCTTGTAAATGGCAAATAAAATGAAATAAATCGAAAATTAAAGAAAGGAATTGAATTGAGTTGAGTTGAGTTGCGACAAAAGGCCTGGCCTACCTAGCATTCTGACATAGATATTGGAGAATTCGAGAAAAATGTTGTGATTTCTGATGCCTTTCAAATCGACAATTTGCGCTTCCTCCATCCATTTTTCTTTTAATTCTTTTCCAAATAAGTTTATTTCACTATTATTTCCCATTTGTTCTTTCTCTTCACCGATTTGACATGTTGATATATGTAATGTAACTGCACCAAAAAAAGAATCAACCCGTGACAATTATAATAATAGGAAAAAAAAAAAAAAGAATATTACAGGTTACATGTACGCATAATAATAATAGCTTGACGAATTCAAAGGGAATAGTCAATCCATTAATTACCGAACAGAAATGTCCTCGGACACTCTTGGTGCCTCAATCAACAAGCTCATCAGAGATCGAAATCGTCGTCGAGCCTCATCAGTTTCTAACCATCAATTACCACTTCAATTAGTGCTCAAAAGACTTGCAATAAGGCTCATCAATGCGAAAATATTTAGGGTCATCGTTGTATCGATAGTATTTTTGATCCTAGCGATGAAGAACTCCGAAAAAATATACTACAAGTCCCTTGATATATTTGATCCCATTCATGTCAGTGAGCCATCGAAATTATTCAATAGCGGTATCGACATGTGCGAGAAATACCTGCTTATAAGCGATGATGGAAAATCATTGTATGATTATAGTAAAACCAAGAGCAGGGTGATGGATCCTGAATTTGAAGTGATCACGTATGAAGATTTGTACCATAATTCTAATAGAAATAAAGATAGCGTTGATGAGAATTCTGATCTGCCCAATAGTACCGTGGCTGCTGGATCAGTCAAGGATTCATTTTTCTTTGCTGCATTATTGGAAGACTCGACCGTTCAAAATTTCAAAAGTTTAGTCAATCGATTGAGTAAAGTTGATATCGATGGAAGTTTAATTACTGTGGCAGTTTTGTTGCAAGATAGTAATGTTGATGATGGAAGCATTGAAGCTTTTCTCGATAATTACTTCAGATTGAGCGATACCAATGTTCGAAATTTCAGAAAATTCATTTTAATCAACCAATATTCCGAGCAATTGCAAAGTGGAAATTCCAGAGAGTCAAAAAATGACGGTGGGGGGCTCACAAATAATCAACGGCTCAGCCAAGAAGTCAAGCTAAGTAACTTGAGAAATTTCTTGGTGAACACTGGGATGACTACAGAGCGGTACCTCATATCTTTAATAAATTGGAATGGATTTGATCCAGTGGCATTTAGCGCTCTCAAACCAGATATCGCCTCAACTAAACAAAAAATTTTAGTTGGATACGAGCCAAAGGGCAATACCGAGGAAGATGATGACGATGATCATCATGATCCGCCAGGATCACTGCCATTCACCGTTCAGTTTGTGGCGATGAAGAGTGTAATTTTTAACCAAGGTATACAATTCAATAGAATATTGCTCAATGGCAATTCTTGGACTCGTGGTGAATTGGCTGCTGGTTTACTTACTGAAGTAGAGAATTTATGTTATCAAGCAGATGCTATTGGCATCAGCTGCAACTTTGTTTCAGTGTGATTTCGCATTAAATCCTTTTATTAGATTTCCCTTAATATTCTACTTATCTTATAGATAACCACTTGTTTGTTTGTTTGTTTTACTTAGCTAGTCATCATACCCATGTTATGTTCCTGTTTTGTTTTCGTTATTTAATTCATCTTTTTTTTTTTTTTTAAGATTTCAACCAGTCTTTTATTTCTCACACTACTGACTAGCCCTTGTTTGCATGCTCTGCTGCTCTCGCTGAGGTATATTTTTTGCTATTATAGACTGCATACTTTTCTTGTTCATTAGCATAAATACGCCTTTTAATGTATTTGAATTAAAAAGTTGTTCTACCCCTAATCCAGGGTATTTTTGTGTGGACTAACTCTTGAAGTCTATATTTTATTTATTTTTTGATTTGGAGTATTTTTTAGCTTGAAACAAAAAATCTCTTTTTCCATTTTTTAGATCATTGAAGGATAATCAAGGAATTACCCATGTCATACCGCTCACTCGTTATTTGGTCTAATCAAGCATTTGGGCTTTCCAAGTGTGATTCTCAGCAATAAATAGTGAATTGCTGTCATGTCAGGCGCAAGCAATGGTGCTTTCCTCATGTTCACTACTTATAGGATCTTGGGTGTTTCAAACTGCCCAATCATCTGCCGGAAGCAGGTGGGACGGACCAGTAGCACAAGATGATACCATCACATATATCGGGAACGAGAAAGCTCATGATTTATTTTGATCCTAATTCTGGGAGTCACAACAGACATGAGGAGATATGCCTGATTAATCCGACAATTATTACAGGAAATAGAATAGATATATATATGATATCTGATATTAGATCATCATCCGCTGCGTGGTTAGCGGCACTGGAGAGAAAAAACTAGGCTTTTTTGTGAGTGAGTGATTCGATTTAAAAAAATCAGAAGATGCCCTTCCTCATGGGCATTATTGAGAAATAGTGGAACAGGAATAACGGGACATTATTACAACCTTTATTTATTTTCTACCAAGTTTTATACATGCCGGTTGTAGGGAAGAGTTGCTTTGAACTAACAAACTAAATCTTTCTAAGTTATTTATACGGAGCTTTGATTTTGATCATCACGAGCTTCCTCAGTGTGAAGAGAACTATATTTATACCCGATCGATCGACTCCATTGGATTATTGTTTTTTCCAATTAATCAATAAATAATCTACGGATTTTCATTTTATTGTTGTCTCCTTGTCTTTTTGTCTTTTTTTTTTTATTTATTTATTCGTTTTTTTATTTATTTTCCTATTATCGTTGGTCACAATGGGTAAGGAAAGAAAAGCCATGGATCTATCAAACTTGTCGAGCAATTTACCGCCTCAAATACCAGCTACCGAGTCACAAATATCTGATCTTGATAATAAATTGACACAAGAGTTCAAATCGGCTGCTAATTCAGTAGCGGCGCTATATCGGTTGTCGAGTGCTAAAAATGCCATGTTGAGACATAAAGGATACCTAGATTGTTTGGATGACTTGTTGAATATGATCAAACTACATCGGGCCACCATAACCAGGAGAATCCGAGCCAGAAATGACCAGTCAGGGAGACCAGATTTTGATGGAGAAGGAGGAAACAGCGATGGAAATATGAGTATGGACAACGATGACGATGAGATGGAACATGGGATGAGCGAGTTTGATATTGAAAGTTGGTGTTTAACGAAGAAGGCGGAACTAATGGGAGGTGAAAATATCAATCGAGGAATAATTTTTGATGATGACAATGATGATGTGAAAGAAGATATTAACGGTGGGGAAGCGGATCAATCGGCGGTGAATGATGACCTTGCGGAAAATACTGGGAATGAACCTGTCACCGATGAAAATGGAGTGATTCACTACGATTTTAATATGAACATGCCGGTTAATCAAAAATTTAGAGCATCTATGCCACTACTCAGTGTTGATAGGACAAGGAGTGCTAGAGGTCATGGTTACTTCACAAAGCCTACAAGAGTGACTAATATCAAGAAGCCAAATAATGAAGAAGAGGGCCAATTTAAGGCTTCTCAAGAAATATATCTAAATCACCAAAAGCTGAAAATCGATAGGGATGGATCTGTTATTAATAGCCATAAAGAGGAAACTGATCACCCAGAGGAAACTGTGGCTAAAAAAATGAAGTTTAGCACAAACTGATATGCTTAGTTATTATATGGATCAATCGAGCATATTATTTGCTTAATATTGGGGCGGATTCATCAGCAATTAACGGACCTTCTTTATTCTGATTTTTCATCTATTCATCACACAAGCATTTACACTGAAAGGATGAGAACAAAAAAAAATAATTATGGCTTTGCTCAATTCCAGTAGGTCATTTCATGTAGCGGTTATTGTGTACAGAATCCTCATATTCCAACCCCAAAAATTTCCTGAAACATATTGACTGTTTCTTTTACAGAAATACTCCTCACTGTTATAGGACCCTCAATTCTTGCATTTTTTTTTCCCCCTCTATATATACATCTTTTTCTTTTCTTTTCTTTTTTTTTTTGCTGCTTGCTCCCATATCCCCCATTTGCATTAATGAGCCAATCATTTATATTATAATTTCAATCAATGTCTAATCACGAGTCTCTTATAAGGCGATGTATTGGTCTATATATCTTGAATTTTGTAGGAAGCTTTAGTGGTATATTTAATATACTAGATTATTATATATGCTAGGGCTAAATTTATGCGCATGATAGGCATATATATGAACGGTCAAATTTTTTTAAAAAAAAATTTTCTTTCCCAAAGAGCGAAAGAATAATGGAATATCCGATATTACTGTGAATATAGTTTGTAATCTACGTTATAGAGAAAAGATATTACTTGAAATATAATTGGATATGTCAATTCTTTTTTCTATTTCTTTTTCTTTTTGTTTGTACACCGATTTACAGGAAATCAAATACGTGTATGGAAAGTGATCCGTAGTTTTGTAGCTGTATAATTAATATTTACTAGCTGATATTTTACAAAATAGATAAATCCATAGAAACAAGAGAAATATACTTCAAGCACGAAAATTTTGCGATCGGTATTGTGAGAAGGGGGGAGCTTGGGGCAGATTGTTTGACTTGCTTTACAAATGAGGTAATGTTGATTGGCTGATTTTTACAGAGATCACTAAAGATGGGACCATGCCCCACTGTGAGCAGTGAAAAGTGGTGATTCTTTAACTCTTTCTGGTCTTTTGTTTCTTTGAATATCTTTTTTTTTTTTTTGATTGATCTAGAAATCTCATATCGAATTTGGAAATTTAATAACATGATGGTCGTCAAGTCATGATATTGACGTCGTCGCACGGAGATGCTCAAGAAAAAAAAAAAAAAAAGTCCGTTAAGTATAGATAGATGTAAGCCTCAAATGAAAAAAAAAAAAAAAAAGAAAATTGAGGCCAACACCGTAGTCTTGCCAGTAATCTGTCGACTTTATTCTTTTCTTTAATTATTGTGTCATTACTTTGATCATCCTGATGGCGATGCAATTCTGTTTTCTTTTCTTTTCTTTTTTTTTTTTCTCCGTCCTCTTCAGACTGCCAAGCACTGCAAACTGAAGACAATACAAAAACACTCAAGAAGTTTAAAGACAACATAAAATATCTAGAAAAACAAGAAAAATAATAGTAAAGGGTAATAGAAAAGATCCTCTTAGAAAGTTCAATAGAAGGACATAACTAGTATACAATTAGAATGAATAAAATAAAATAAACAAAAGAAAGTAAAACACGGAATACTCGGCATCCACGATGAGAAATAAACCGCAGCAATCTATAGTACAGATGGGTATTTGATGATTCAGTGGACTTGATGTAGTGGAGGTAAAAGTAAGAATTGGGAGAGGGAAATCAGATATGGAACAGAACAGAATCAGCTTCGACTAGGTAACTGGAATGTCAAGTTTGAATTTGTCGACGAGCAAGTGGACGAAGCTCTTGATTTTGACACACTACCTGAAGTTGATCCGCTTGAGTCGGAATATTGGCATTGCTGCTTCATTTGACAACGATTCAAATAATCTTGTTTTTCATTGAAGTTTGCAAACTTGTAATTGCAATTGCTCTTCGAGGAGCTCGTGAAAAACCCCATATCCTTTTGGGTGGGAAGGGACGAGGTATTTTAATACCGGGATATAAGCAAAATATTATCAAATGGGAAATATTAATTAATAGTTCCCCACACTAACAAGCCCAGATACAAGATTGGAATAAATGATACCAATCAAAGTCTATAGACTATGGGCAGCAGTCTCAAAACACACACACGCAAAAAAAAAAAAAGCGACGATAGCAAAATACTAGCAGATGGAACCAGAATCTTGAAGCTCTCTTTTTCTTTCAATTATAATGATGAGATGATTATTTAAGCGTGATTTAGTTTGTATCAAAACACCATAATAATAATAATAATAATAATAATTATAGAAGTTTATGATAATAGTAATACTGAAGATATCTCACGTAGTTAGGAAAAAAAAAAAAAAAAGTAGATGTTTCCAGGGAGAAATTTTTGGACAAATTAATTCCTCTCTCCAATTGGTAAGGAAAAAAAAAAAAAAAAAAAAAAATTGCAAGATAATAAACTGATTTTGTGCCTCAGAAATGGAAAATGTAAAAAGCAACAAAAGATGTAAGACAACTAACTCTATTGCTGTTACCAAATAAAGCATAGCAAGTAATCCAGTGCAAAGATATCTATACAATGTCTATTTACATTTTGCCCATAACTGAGGGGACCACACACAATAAAAATCCTTGTACGCCCTCGCACAACATGACGTAATTCGTCTCAGTCTTGTGACACCCAAACACCAAAAGGAGCGCCGGCACCACCACTGCATCTGGTCTGATACACGCATTATTCTACAGCATAGTACAGGCTTCCTTATCATCCAAGATACAATTAATTACTTGTTTTGTGAGGGATAGATATCGTGGGGTCCAAAATTGCTAATCGAATGGGCTTCAAAGTTCTTTTGAGAATCACAAAAATCTATCTCGACAGTGTTTATACAGCTGGAGAAGTGTTGTGTAAAGCTTCTACTGCTTCTGAAACATCAACAGTCGCTCAGTGTATGTATATTAATGCTCCGAGGCTTACGAGGATCTCTCAAAAGTTGATGGATGAAGCGTTTGATTTCGAATATTGGCTAAGTTGAAAAGTGAAATTGAATTGCTAAGTCTGGGCTGAGTGTATGGGTAAGCAAATCGAGAGCTTTTCGCCAATTCCGTCTAGTTCGGCATTTAGATCATTGCACTTGGCATCATAGTTTGATGAAACTCAAGCCGTTTCTTCTTTTATAGTGTCATAAACTTCTTACAAATTGACCACGGTTTTGCTCAAGTTTGAATGATGGTTTTCAACAACAAGTCTGTCCTGATCACCAAAAGAATCCATGTTCATGCCACTTCCCAGAAACGTAATTTCCAGTTTCCCGATTCTATGGGCAAGCAAGCGCCTTGGAGTTAGTTCCAAGGTCCATCTTCGGCTGTCGTTCTTGGAGGAGAGCTAGCTGATCCACCTACCAGTTAGTTAGTTAGTTAGTTAGTTAGTTAGTTAGTTAGTTAGTTTCATTTCGGTAGTCAATTGATTTTTTCAATGCGCGAAGGATTGATTCTATAGATAAAAAATTGCCCAATTTAGTAATACGTTATGTAATAAGAGTGTGTCACATACAGTCCATACATAACATAGCCGGTGTATTGCTAAATTTTTTCTCTAGATCTTTGAAAAAGGTGATGTCGTATGGACCATAGTTGACTGAATATGGTAAGAAGAGCTCACAAAGGGTGCAAAACACTCCAGAATTATCAGAATACTTTTTCCATGGAGAATATGGTATTCTACACATTGGTAATTCCCCAATAACATAATAAATCAACGTGGAGCTATCACACACACACACACACACACAAGCAGAGGAAGCTTCTTATAATCAAGTTCCCCCCCTCCCCGCCCTACTCCTAAACCTGCGATAGAATAGGATGTATTTCAGAAATTAGTAGCAGCATGTACTAGTAATCTATGTTATTAAGAAATGGCCGAGGACCTAATAATAACCCCGATTCAACATTACTTTTCTTATAGTCAATTCCAAGGCATTACGCATTAATAGTTCTTTTTTCTGTAATTTAGCGGAATTCCTACCATGTCTAATTTATAACAAGATTAGATTATTTCTGAATCGAGGGATATCCGTTGTCGTGTGTTTGGATGAGCATATGGGGTGTCAGACCTCCTATTTACTTTAAAATCTTGTGAAAAAACATCAAAACAAAAACAAAAACGCTTATTTACAGTGATTTAATTTTTGATTCACTTCCTCTTTTTTTTTCTTTGTAAATAAACTCATACATTTTTTTTCCCCTTCTTTATTCTGAAAAAGGAGAAGAAGAAGAAGAAGAACAGGATACATTTTTGTGTGGCATTAACTAGAAACCTCAATAATAAAAATAGTCAAAATGGAGACCGATAACATAGATGTTCTTGGTGATTGCATTGTATCGCTAAACAATTGCAACCAATCGCTCTCCCATGGGATTAAATCCATTGATAGAATACTTCATCCAGATGACCAAGAGGATGATGAATTTCAGCGGCTTGCTCGGATCATCCGTCTCAAGAAAGTCTATAAGATCTATCCCATCAGTTATATCAATGAGCAAATATCCGATTACAATAGCATTAAAAACAATCGGATCTTGGCGCTGATCGAAACTATTGAGAAGTTAAATGAATTGAAATATAAAGAGAAAGAAAATCAGATGGGATTTGTTGAGTTGTTGCAGAATCGGCTCGAGCAATTTGTTAACCATAAGAAACGCGAGAATACTCGGACATCTATTGAATTATCAGCATCGCAGGAACGTGAAGATTTGGAAGAAGCTGACAACTATCATCATTTGACTGATGAGGAGAAAAAAGAGTTAGAAATTTTGCAAGAGCAAATTGATACATATCGATTCCAAGTGTCAAAAATTCAATTGCAAAAGCTGCGAAGACCTTGAGTTTTGTTTAATTTCAATAAACTGCTTCAACGCTGTCTATTATTGTCATTTTATATATATTGTTTATTTTGTTTTTCGGTTATTTTGTCTACACGGGGTTAATGAATTTTAATGGTTAGATTTTTCTATCAAAAAAAAAAAAAAGAGAACAGAGCTTGGTTATTGTATATTATATACAGATATAGTAAATAGATCTAGAAAATCTATTGAATAAAACCAGTCAATGGTAATTTATTCAAATAAGCATCACTATCATCATCATCCCATTGGAATACGCAAATATTGTCTTCGTAAATACCACTGGCATCTTTTGTTATATATTCATCAGCATATTCAAGCATAGTGTTTGAATAAAATGGCTTGATAGACACATTTTCCGTACCAAGAGTAATATGTAATCTGCTATTTCCATATTTTATAGTATCCTTCTTATCTTCTGGAACATTATGGACACCAACAATTTTGACCAATATTGCCGCAGCTTTGCCATCCCAAACGAGCTTATCAAGCTTGATGTCAAAGCATATTTTGCCAACAGGTACGATGGCTTTATTGGCAGTTGCATTATTCGTGGTGGAACTAAGGCAAGATTCCAACAACTGAGAATATCCTTTGAAAATAGACTTATCTTTGTGGGCAGCATGAACCAATGTGACATGAAAACGAGGTTGGATTCTTTGAGAATAGGCAAGCTTATGAAAAAAGTTTTGAGTGGGTTCGAGATTTAAAATATTTTGCTTTTTGTTTATAAGGGAGTACACACGACTAAGGAGAGTTGAGGGATCAGATATTTCAATTCCAAAATAATTTATTTTCGGCAGTCTTGGCTTTGGATTAGAATTATTCTCGTTCTTGTCCTTATGATTTTTCTTTTGTTTGTCTTCCGATTTTTTACCACTACCTCTAACAATCTTATTGATCTTTGGCTTGTAATCTAGCGCCTTCTTGAAGGCCTCATCAATCTCCTCTTTTGTTGGCATTTTTCCATTCAAAACTTCAGGAAATTCGCCGTACAATTGTTTCAAGATTTTTTCGGCGTTCACTCTAGAGCTATTATCTTCAAAAATATTTAAATCAATGACTGAATCAAAAGAGGAATCTGGGCTTTTCTTTGGATCACAAAACTGGAATCTACCAATAAACCCTTTCATGATTTTTTCAACATCTGCTAAATCTTTTTCACTATTCAATTTGATTGTTTGATGGTTATCCCCGCGATCCTTGATTCGTCCATGTGTGACGTTCCAAAGTCTATCATCGGCAGAAACATTTGCGTATGGAAAGTACTTTTTTGGCAAGAAATTCAAACAAATAAACTTCAACTGGTACCGAATTCTAACAACTTTCCCAGACGCATCAGTAACCAATTCTCCATCGTTGGTAAGATAACTTGTTTTAAGTGATCGCAAATATGAAAATAAGTCTTTTCTTTCTCTGAACATATGATTATTTCTATCCACAATTATCACATTATTAGAATCAAGAATCTTGTCCTTATTTTCTGTTTTATTTTTCTCTTTGACCATCGAATAAGGGTTTGAGCCGAATTTCTTTGGATTTTTCAAAAATTCATCTATTTCAACATTTAATTTATCTTCGTCGAGAACCGCAGTATTTCCCATAAGAAATTCCAAAGATTTTCTTTCCAATCTCTTATTAAATACCTTGTTTTTTATTAAATTATCATTCTGAATGTGTCCCCATTGTGGGAACAAATTGAGTAATGTCAACGCGGTTGTGGTCTTCCCACACCCAATAGTGGCTATTGGAATTAAGCAGTATTTATTGATTTGCAAAATTTCGTAGCCACAACCATCGACCTTTGGATCAGTTAACGGAGCAGGCATTTGAGCTTGGACTTGCTTTTCATCAATTTGCACATGACTTAATCCTTTGATAATTCCTTCAATGTCGTCTTCAACCTCTTTCTGTGTCATTGTTCTTGACAGTATAATCTCCTTAATATTTTGAGCCTTTTCATGGTCTACAGCCTTGGATTTGGTCAATTCATAACCTTCCTTCCCAATGAACTTCAAATATAATTTCCGCAAGTCAATAATACTATGGCCCAACAAGTAATATTTTCCAAGTTTTTCATGATTATTAATAATTGGCGCGACAAATTCAAGGTAATGTCTGGTAACGTCATTGTATTTCTTGAAAGAAGGGTCATTTAAATCTCTAACTTTAATGAGTTTTTTTGTAGCTTCTCTCCATTGACGGTACATCAAATAAGGTTCTTCAAATTTGAATTTCCAAAAAAAATCTGAATCTGTAGATTTTTCTTTACATCTAATGACAAATCCTTCCACTTCTTCACCTTCATACATCCCAGTTTTTGCTGATTTCTCAAGGAATTCGAAAAGCTTATTGACGTCTGATTCAACGAAGTAAGAGGTAGTTTTAAAGCCAAACTTCACCGCAAATTTCGTCACCAAATCCATAGGAAAAGTTTTAAATTCTGGAATATTGAAATTCAAACCATGAAGGTATAATCCAATATCATCACCAACGTACTGAAGCACATGCTCCTCAAAGTCATCATCACAATACTCAGCAATAGCAGTAACATTTAACTCATTTAAGGCCTTACCAAACTCTTTGGAGTCTACTCCTAGTTCTTTTAGTTGCCGCTCAAGAAATTCTTTGCCTTGTAATGAATGGTTTCTATAATTGTCAATGATGCCGGTAGAGTGCTTGGAACATACTACTAATGTGCCATCTTCTAAGCCTGAAATGAATATGATACAGCCGTTAGACTTTAGCGTTACCTCATATGGTCCTTGGCTATTATTCTTTATGGCATCAACCTTTGTTTCTTTGGCCTCATTCACATTGAAAAACTTGTTGTAGCCACGGACCACAATCTTGTGAGGGGAGTTTTCCGTGGTGAATAAGCCTCTGGCATTTGAAGGTAAGTTGATTTCAGGATTCAAATAATCCCATTCTTTGAATTTCCATGATGCCAATGGTAGATCTGGTTTATTGAATGTTGTTAACACACTTTTACTACCTTTGCCCTTCTTGTTATTGACATTCAATGATTTCTCTAATGAATCAACAAAACCATCAAGATCAACAGAAGAACTCCCATGCTGCTGGGCATAACTCTGGAATTCAGATATATCAATCATTATAAATTCAGAAATTATAGTTATTTGGGAGCAGTTATTTTATAAACTGTACTACAAAATGATTTTTTTTTTTTTTTTTTTTGCATGCCGTAATTTTTTCTCTATGGCAGAAACTGCGCTGGTTTTGTGCCCCTTGCGATGATTTGATTCAACATGAAGAGATTACTCACCAGCAAGTGCTAGTTTATCTTCACACCTCTGTATTACTAATACGCATCACTAATCTGTTTTTGAATAGGCTTGAAATTCAATTAACATGGGTGAAAAAAAAAAAGGATAGGTGGCATCAATTACAAGGCAAACTCTGAAAATCTTGAACGTAAAATATTGTGAGAAAATACAGATTCTTACGGCAAGTTCGGCCAAATGAGCATAAAAAAAAAGGGAACAGAAAAAGGATTGATACCAAGTGAAGTGTCTAACATAACAACCAAAATGAAAATGAAAATGAAAAAACTAAAAACAAAAAGATCCTATTTATCTGAACTTGCTGATCAAGACTAAGAAAATTAATATGATCAATACCGCAATAATTGCGTAACTCAACATCTTGTTCGCGGCCATTCTTCGACTCATAGTTCTCAAGGTACGTATACTCTTATCAACATATCCGTCGGCTTCCATTAAGGTATTTCTACTATTTACCAACTGTTCCCTCTGTCCTCTCAAGTTGTTCAAGATGTTGGCACCAATGTCCTCGGTTTCATTAGCAATTCTTTGACTATCCTTCAATCTATCAGAGGTCCTGGCTAATGAAGCATTGGTTTGCAAAAGACCTTGTCTTTGATCGAAATCAGAGTAATTTTGGCCAGACCCATTGTCAGTTCTGCCTCCAAAAAGTTCTCTTCTATCCTCATCATCTTCGTATTTTTTAAGTAAGCTTTCATGTGATTGTAATTGTGAACGGAAAGTTCTAATCTTTGAATTGAAAGAAGCGCGGTTGCTCGATGGCAATCCCAATATTTCGGTTTCCATGGAGCCTATTATTTCTTTGAGTTCATCTATTGACGACTCAAGATCTTTGAGGGCAGAGTGGCGGGCGTCACCTTGGAGAGATGAAACCTCTTCAAATTTCTTTTGCACATCCTGCGCAGTATACTGAAAGTCAGCCTCATAAGTGGATAAAAGGTCAGACATATTTTAGGATCCACAATGAGTCTAATGGTGGGTTATCTGTATATATATTTATATATCAATAATAGTGAGAGGGTGAGATGCTGGCGTGGGTGTCAACCAATTTTGGTTTGTCATTTAATTTTTCCCGGTAGCAGGGCACTGTCCATTAATTGCAGATTCGTACATAAAACTACTTCCATGATACCGTTTGCAAACGGTATTAATACGCTTAGGAATTTGGAAGCATTCATTAGTTGTTGAGAATAAAACCTTCTAATCAAGTAGATATCAGGGACCCACAGAAGTAGTAATGTCGTTATTCTAATCTAGGGACAGTAAAAGCTTATGGATTTCCCTATGCAGATACGCAAATATCATGTGACTGTGCTGATATTAATAAGGAGTATGAACTCTCATATCTTCCAAAAAACAGGTTCAATAAAAATAAGAATTACAGCAGTTTTTTTTCACTTGAAAAAAGAAAAAAAAAAAACCGTTTATACTATCAATATAATTAAATGCATTAAAAGATGAAACATAAAACATTATAGGTACAAATATAATTGAAATACAAATTTCTAGATGATTTAATCAACTTCTTCAACAGTTGGACCTTCACTAGATGGTTCTGGGGCACCAGCACCTGGGAAACCACCTGGGGCAGCACCTTCAGCACCTGGGGCACCACCAGCTTGGTAGAACTTAGTCATGATTGGGTTAGCAACACCTTCCAATTCCTTTTGCTTGTCCTTGAATTCTTCAGTAGTGGCGGTGGTGTTAGAGTCCAACCAAGAGATGGTTTCTTCAATAGCCTTTTCCAAAGTTTCCATGTCAGCGGCGTCAACCTTTTCCTTGAAGCCAGATTCACTGGTGGTGTTCTTCAAAGAGTAAGAGTAAGATTCCAAACCGTTCTTAGAAGCAATACGTTCAGCTTCCTTTTCATCTTCTTCCTTGAACTTTTCAGCTTCAGAAACCATTCTTTCGATATCTTCCTTGGACAATCTACCCTTGTCGTTGGTAATGGTGATCTTGTTGGTCTTACCAGTACCCTTTTCAACAGCAGAAACGTTCAAAATACCGTTAGCATCGATATCGAAGGTAACTTCAATTTGTGGGACACCTCTTGGAGCTGGTGGAATACCAGACAATTCGAACTTACCCAACAAGTTGTTATCCTTAGTCTTAGCTCTTTCACCTTCAAAGACTTGAATCAAGACACCTGGTTGGTTGTCAGCGTAAGTAGAGAAAGTTTCAGACTTTTTGGTTGGGATGGTAGAGTTTCTTGGAATCAACTTGGTCATGACACCACCAGCGGTTTCAATACCGAGAGACAATGGGGCAACATCCAACAACAACAAGTCTTGGGTCTTAGAGGAAGAGTCACCGGTCAAGATAGCGGCTTGAACGGCGGCACCGTAAGCAACAGCTTCATCTGGGTTAATAGATCTGTTTGGTTCCTTACCGTTGAAGTAGTCGGAAACCAATTTTTGGACCTTTGGAATTCTGGTAGAACCACCAACAAGAACAATTTCGTGAACTTGGGACTTGTCAATCTTGGAGTCCTTCAAGACCTTTTCAACTGGGTCCAAGGTAGATCTGAACAAATCACCACACAATTCTTCGAATCTAGCTCTGGTGATGGAGGTGTAGAAGTCAATACCTTCGTACAAAGAATCGATTTCAACAGAAGTTTGAGCAGAAGAGGACAAAGTTCTCTTAGCTCTTTCACAAGCAGTTCTCAATCTTCTCAAAGCTCTTTGGTTGCTAGACAAGTCCTTCTTGTTCTTACGCTTGAATTCTTGCATGAAGTGGTTAACCAATCTGTTGTCAAAATCTTCACCACCCAAGTGAGTGTCACCAGCAGTAGCCTTGACTTCGAAGATACCGTCTTCGATAGACAACAAAGAGACATCAAAAGTACCACCACCCAAATCGAAAATCAAAACGTTCTTTTCACCTTCATCCTTCTTGTCCAAACCGTAAGCAATGGCAGCAGCAGTTGGTTCGTTAATGATACGCAAGACATTAAGACCAGCAATCAAACCAGCATCCTTGGTGGCTTGTCTTTGAGAATCGTTGAAGTAAGCTGGGACGGTAATAACAGCGTCAGTAACCTTACCACCCAAGAAAGCTTCAGCAGTTTCCTTCATCTTGGTCAAGATCATAGAGGAGATTTCTTCTGGAGTAAAGGTCTTGGTTTCACCCTTGTAATCAACTTGAATCTTTGGCTTGGTGTTGTCGTTGATAACCTTGAATGGGAAGTGTTTCATGTCACCTTGAACTTCTGGGTCGTCAAACTTTCTACCAATCAAACGCTTGGCATCGAAGACAGTGTTAGTTGGGTTCATAGCGGCTTGATTCTTAGCGGCGTCACCAATCAAACGTTCGGAATCGGTGAAGGAGACATAAGAAGCGGTAATTCTGTTACCTTGGTCGTTAGCAATGATTTCAACTCTTTCGGAGCCAGATTGGTAAACACCAACGGCAGAGTAGGTAGTACCCAAATCGATACCGACAGCACCTGTTTTGGACATTGTGTTATATTGTTATGTTAATTAATAAAAATTGTGTGAACAATTCTATGAAACGTAAATTTCATATTCCATGAAAATTGTTGGACGATCTGATTTTTTTATAGTTATGGAAAAAAAAGGTGGAATATTCCATGAGGTTCCACAACACGTGAGTATCGGGTAACGAGTTTTCGAGAATTTGGGAGCAATACACCCGTGGGAATGGCGTTTTTTTTATGTAGAGCGATAACACCCTTATGAAATCAATTGGTGTACATACACAGACCAATATTACAACCAATTGACTTCCTAAATATTCACAATTTATTATTATTATTATTATTATTATTATTATTATTATTATTATTATTATTATTATTATTATTATTATTATTATTATTATTATTATTATTATTATTATTATTATTATTATTATTATTATTATTATTATCAGCAGCAGCAGCCGAAACAGAAGAATTCAGTGTGAGAGTATATATACTTATTGATTTACTTATTTATTTCAAATCAACTTTGATTCGCTTTTCATTAATCAACAAAATGTGCTGATCCATTCACTGATTTTCTTCATCATTGTATTGGAACTAGGGAAAATATGGGCACCTTGATGGCTCACCACAATATTGGTTCCTGGCTCTGTATTATTTTTTACAAACTCAAGTGAGCGTTCGTTGCTGATTACTGTATCTAACTCGCCAATCACCATCATACTTGGAAGTGATATTTTATTGTTTAAAACTTCCTGGTGTTTATCTACCATCAGCTCTTTCATCGCAAACCCTGAAACAAATATGGAAAACTTGAGAGTAGTATCGCCATTGCCCCACTCATTAATATTATTAACAATCATCTGAGCTAATGCTGCACCTTGTGAAAAGCCAATGATCCCTACAAAAGGTCCTTCTTTGATGATGATTTCCTTAATCAGAGTAATAGCTTGGGTGATGTCAAATGACTTTTGACCGTTTTGACATTCGGTGATCCACCAAGCTCGTAATTTTATAGCTGAGATAACTTCTGAGCCATTATCTTCCGGTTTTAGTTCGATAGGAGCATCTGCATAGTATAATTCTAGGCTTTTGCCTTCAAGGAGCTTTCGTAGACGACTAGTTTTCGCCCGGAAGATGGAAGCATTTTGTGCAAATCCATGAAGCATTAAAATCTTGTTGGGAGACAGTGACATTCAGTATGAGTATGATTCTGAAGTAATTAAAGGTATACAATTTTTGTCTATTTTATTCTTTTTCCTATTGATATTTTCGTGGGCCAACGGCGTTGTATATATATGTACTTTATTGGAGCTCCAAAATTTAGAGATGATTTTGTTGGGTAAAATTTGTTGCCAGCCAGGACACTGATTACTACTCTTCCCAAACTAAAAAGTTGTGAAATTAAGACTTCTTGTGATTAAAACAAGCAAATTTCAGCTTTACTTTATGATTTGGAAATATGTTCAAGTAGCTGACTGCCAAAGTTCCAAAGATTTACAGCATCGGTTCTATGTACAAAAATAGTCCAACACTTTTCTTTATTTTTCTACCGGAGCGGATTTCCATTTGCTATGATCGCAAATTTACAGATGTTATCAAATTTGGCTCCAGTAAACGTAATAAGTGCATGGTTTGATAAACTTGTTTTATATTTCTTGTAATTAGAAGACAGATACCATCACACATCATTAAGTTGTCGGCCAGGACAAAAGCCTTTGTGTACCGGCAGCCGCAGCAATAAAAATCAAGAGATCCAAGATCACATAACAAGCAGCAACTCACTTCATGAAACACAACATAAATATTTTGTTTCTAAAAAAAAACTGACATCGCGTCTTCTTAAACTATTATTAGATGGTCACATCTTTTAATTCTAAAGGTATTGTAATTGGTGATGTCCGCTATGTCTTCTTGCCTTTTTACTCTTCCGCACAGCACGGTCACATGTCCAATTAAGCGCATTTTTGTAATTCCTTAAAAAAAAATGCCACCAAACAGAAGCGCAGAAGAAGATGCCATTCGTCCACCTTTTTTGCTATTTAGGAATTGATCCAAAGAATTTTCAGATCACAATGTGTATGCTACTAGTTTTTCAACCTTAATGGCCCCTAACTTGATTGTCGGGATAAGTTTGTGTAGTACAGACGAGTCATTGTGTCACTCATGTGTTTGTGGCGCACTCAATATTGCTTCACAAGACTATATTTACTAACAGGAGTCTCCCCCAAAACAGCGCAAAAGAAAAATAAAATGTCATTAAAAGAGTTTATTGCGGATGACAGTACGTGTAGGAAGTTCAAATATTCTTGTTTATTGGTGTCATGAGAGTTTATATTCAAATTTTTGAAGATGGAATGGCACATTGGTTGAAGGCGTCTTAAATCTCATCGCCAATAAAGAACTTGCTTTATTCAAAGATTTTTATATTACATTGAAGGTCTCTTAACTAACATGACTCTTTATAGATTTCGGAGGCTCATGGGCCGATGATGATTTTGATCCTTCGTCGATTAGTGTACCAATCCGTGAGTATTATTATTATTTATCTGAATATCTTTGATCTATGGGTAGGCACGCGAGTGAGGCTCTTACCTTCACAGTGAGTAATAAACTACTGCCCAGGAAGATTTTCAAGATAATTACATGGTGTAATACCATAGATCAAAATTGAGATTGATGTTTAAAGTCCAAATACTAACTTTTTCGACAAGAAAACAATCCACATCTCCCAAAAACTGACAATAATGTTTATGATTGGCGCAAGCATAATCTTAATAATTATGATCCTGATGAAATTCCGAGACCAGTGCATCATTATAATGAACGGTCATTTCATCGTGATCATCCTCCCGAGCTTCCAGTAAATTTTCCAGAGCCATTTATTCTCAAATTTTCAAATCTTAGTCCTGATTTCAACAATGACTTTCTTGTCAAGCTTTTTAATAATTATTTGGATATTATTGGATGCTTTCCAGATTTCATTCAACAAAACCAATATTATTTCCGTATTCACTACCAGCAGGGCCGTGGGATTAGACTCAAAAAATTTAAGCTTTTCTGGGAGCTCAAAGAAAATGAAAACATTGAGACTCATAAAAAAGTTGCATTTGTGGAGTTTAATAACTTGCTAGATTTAAATCTTTCCCTAATGTGGGAACAACAGGGAATTCATAACCATGATATTATTAATTATACTGATTTCCTTGCAGGTATTAAAGCTCGGTATGAGAAGTACACTGATCAGGATCGTCTTCAGAATAAAGATGACCAAATTCACATTGAAGTTGCCAACTTCGAAGATTTCTCTAGGTACCAAAAATCTCAAGAATATCAGGAAAGTATTACTCATTCACATCATGAATATATTAAAAATCAGCAAATGAAGAGAAGGGGTTCTATTGGGTCGCGAACTTTCGGACATGGTAATGTGGCTCCCTCAAGTCCTTCATATGCACATGCTCAATCCAGTTCCAACTCACTTGTCTCAAACTTGGCACATCAACAAATTGTGAAACTTGTGGAAGCACCTTCAAAGCCAAAAGCAAACCCATTTGGGAATGCTAAGCCGGTTGATACATTATCAAAGGAATTGGAGCTCGAAGAAATTATGAGCAGGCATGCTATCAACTCTACCACCTTCAAATTAGGAGTAAAAGATAGTGAATTGAAGGAGTTCTCAGTTATTCACCCAGAGCCAATTGCTGAAGCCGAGGAAAATGCTAATGAAGAAACTATTAATGAAAAAACAGCTATATTTGAGAACACAGCTGATAACATTGAAGAAAGTACATTTGTTGAGCCTACAGTCTCGGAAAAAAAGGTCAAGAAAACCCCTAGACTTGTACTCAGCAAAGGAACGTCGAAATTCATGGAAGGTAATAAGACACAACAAAATGGAAAAAAGAATCAGAGAAAATCAATTGGAAACCTTAAACCATCAGCAGTTGCCCCTGGTGTTTCGTATTCGTCTGTGGCTGCCAATACATGGAAGTCCAATTCTGCGACACCAAGCCCAGGTGCAAGTAACAAGTCTAGTCCGGCACCAAAGACAAAATTTATGAAAAAGGCTCAGTCCGACTCTCTATCACAAGAACAATCAACTATTCCAAATAGGGCAACATCTCCCGTTATTCTGAATGCTGTGCAGAATAAGCGTGAGCAAGCGATGTTTAAACCAAAGATTTTGAAACGTAATGGAAATGAGCCTGTAATCCAACAAAAACCAAAACTTGTGACCAAACCTCTTCCTCCAAGTAATAAACCTGTTGCAGACGTTGAGCTGATCAAACGCCCGGATTTGAAACAGAAACCGATAACAAAACCAAAAGAAGATGTTAAAGAGAAAAGCGCTAGTTCAACAGCTTTGATGGCCAAAGAAGGTAAATCATCAAAACAATCAAAGGCACTTACAAGCGTTGATATTCGTGCTCTAGAGAAATCGAGCTCTACTTCACGTGCTATTGAAGATGCCCAACAAGCGCCAGCAACCAATTGTCGTCAAATAGGCAAGAATGGGGTAAATCGGACGAGGGCACAACCAACAGAAATTAAGGTTAAAGGTGAAACTAAAATTAAAGGTGAAAAGAAGCCTAGAGGTGAAAAGAGATCTAAAGATGAAAAGAAAGCGGAAGGTGAAAAGAAAGCCGAGGGTGAAAAGAAATCTGAAAATTATGAACCAAAACTTAGTGCTAAAGTAGCGGAAACCAATGGTAGCTCGACTGAGTCCAATATTACCATTCCTGTTGATGAACATCCAAATACTAGTGGTAATGAGAGGCATTCTGGAAGAGGTGGATATTTGGGCCGCGGAAGGGGAAGGGGAAGAGGAAGGGGCCGTGGTAGAGGCCGTGGTAGAGGACGCGGTGGGTATCAAGAAGGTGCCTATTTCGCAAAAACTACTGTCTTCAATCGCCCAAAAGAAAATAAATGAATATGAATGTCTTGTTGTTGTTGTTGTTGTTGTTTTTCCTGTTGAATTTCTTTTTTATTTAATTTAATGTTTGCTGCTATCTATACTTTTTGACGAATTTTTTACGCTTTCTTCATTTATTTTGATCTTTGTCTAGCTCTTTAATTCTAATTTGTCAGATTGACTACATATTTGCTTACAAGAATCAGAAAGGCAAAATAACAAAAAGCTGATTGCAAAAAATTAGGTGTAAGTATCGTAAGGTGCTATAAATTAGTGGGGTCAGAGAAGTATATTCTCTGGAAAAATTCGCATTTCCTGCTTGGGTCATCAGTAGTGAATATAAAAATCATGAAAATTAGCAAACTCTTCCCTTGGTTTTTCTGCAACTGTTTCAACCTTTTTGACTTGTTTCTCATTCAAAAAAGCTTTCAAACTCTTTTCTTTTTCATTGACAAATCCTTCAAGAAATTTGATGACTATTTTATCTATTTTAACCAATTTGTCACTAGGATCATTTGCCACTATATTTCCATATATATTTATGAAATTACTTAGCATTTCTTGGGGTTCGCTTTTCAAAAACTCAATTTCTTCGAAGTTACCATACCTCATGATTCTATTGTTATAATTTTCAGTAAATTTTTTAAAAAGAACACCTAACGCCGACCTCAAAATATCTTGAAACTCTTTTGGGACATTTTTGACATTGGAGAGAGAAACTTCGGGAACAAACATCTTCTTTTTGACAAGGCCATCTTTGACTCCTGTACCAGTCAGCGCCTTAGTTGGCAGCTTTGTGAAGGACATCAGTGAAGAACTGCCAATATGAGACTTTGTATATTCCTGCCTAGTGGTTACTGTAAATACCAATAAATAAAAAGGGAGGGAGAGAAAAAATTTTGGGAAAAAGAAAACCAATACTCCCATTTATTTTGTGTTTGTGTCACTTAAAAATCTCATAATATGCATCTCATCTTCCATGGAAGTGAAAGCGCAATACAAAGCAAATTATGAAGCTGGTACTTCTTTCTTTCTTGGATAACGCAAGCAGAAATGATTTGTTCTTATAGTTTTGCTACGAGTCGTTAGTTACTCCCTATTGTTTGTTTGTTTTTTTTGAAAGTTCTCACAAAACACATATATTCACCTTTAAAATGCAATTCATTCTATGCTATTTTTTCAACTTTTTAGATGGTTTCATAACTTTAGGACCCTTACGCTTCTTCACCACTGAAGTCAAGTCATTCACTTTCTTTGAGTCTCCAGCAGCACCGGTGGTTGAAGTCAAACTGCTCGTTGATGCAGAGCCTGAAAAAAGCTCCTTGCCGCTGACACCGGCCTCTGCTATCACTTCTCCCAATAGTCCTTTCATTATTTTCTCCTTCTCCTCCTTGAGGGGATCTTTGCGTAAATCTTCTAATCTATAATTCATTTCTAAAAGAACTTCCTCAGTTACTTCGGTGTCTTGCGGCGTTGGATTGGATTTCACTGCGCGAATTGCGGACTCCATGCATTCAACAGCTTTTTCACGGGACCCTGGAACATCGACAAGAAATTCGTACGATAGAGAAAGCTTGTAGTACGACTCGCTAATCAAAGCCGAGTATTCATGGTATAGCTCTTTCCTGAGCACAAGAGATGCGTCAAAATCTGTCGATGCCTGTAAGTAATTTTCAGCCTCAAGCGAAACTTCTCCAAGGATATCATAGGTTTCGGAGAGTTTCTTTTTCATTATAAGATAAGGATCTGTTGGAGCTTCTTGATCCTCGAGCTTCTTCGCAGTCGATAATTTGTCTTTTGATGAAAATTCTTCCAACTGCTTCTCAAAAAGAGATCTTGCAAGGTCTAAGATATTCCAAGCAGCTTCAAAATCAGTTTCCTCTTCTTCATTTTCATTTTTCTTATCGTTAGCATCACTGTCATCATCATCATCCTCTTCTTCTTCTTGTTCTTCGTTATCATTATCTTTTTCTTCTTCTTTTTCTTCTTCTTTTTCTTCTTCTTTTTCTTTTTCTTTTTCTTCTTCTTCTTCTTCTTCTTCTTCTTCGTCTTCTTCTTCTTCTTCTTCTTCTTCTTCTTCTTCAGCTATAACATCATCATCAAACTGAAATGTTTTATCCTTCTTTTCATCCGAATCTTCCTCTTTCTCATGCTTCTCAGCTTTCTTAGTCTCCGGATCACTCTTTTTACTTCCTCCCAATACTTCTGAATTAGAAACTGCTAAATGAAACAATGATTTCCCATATAGAAACAATAAGTCTGCACTATCATCTCCGTCGGTTTCACCATTATAAGTCTCACAAGCCTCTGCGTAAATTTCTACCGCTTTTTCAAAGTCCCTCTTAGAATAAGCTTTGGCCCCTTCAGAAAGAAGGTCCAGGACTGTTTGTGACAATTCTTCAGAGGACATTATTTTCTCTATTATTGACAAATGGTGTTTACAACTCCTAAGCAATATTTTCGCGTCTCATCATTATCATGAAAAATCAAAAAAAAGTTTTCGTGTCAAGGTCACGTTCCCCGTAATATCTACTCACATGGTGCTGCATCAGTGTATCACAGAACCACTTGTAGGGACCAAAACTCTACTATTCTACCCAGTATAAGGCATAATAATATTGGAAAACGATATATATGCACTCACTAACACAAAATAGACATAAACCCTCAGCCGCCGTACACGTTGTGCTTGTGTTGGGCAAAAGTGGGGCTACCCTCTATACAGTCCCACAACAATAGAGATGATTTACGCATGACCGCAATCAATTTGGGTCATGTAGTGTGTGATCGATGACATATAAAGTGTTCCTACTTTTCTTTGGTACTGGCGACATTCTTGTGAAAGTTTTCCCTTTCCCTTTCCCTTTTCCTTTTCCTTTTTCTTTTTTTTTTCCTTTGTTTAAATACTTCTTTTTGATACCCTTTATACTAAGAGTTTTATTTCAGGATACATAATAATATTAAAAATAATGAAGGCTACAGTTCTCGGTGCTGCTGGCGGAATCGGCCAAAGCCTTTCTCTTTTACTCAAAATCAATTGCCATTTGATTAGTGAACTTTCCCTTTATGATGTCGTCAATTCTCATGGGGTTGGGGCCGATTTGTCCCATATTTCCACAAACACCCTGATCTCCTCTTACTTACCGGAAAACGACGGTTTGCAAAAGGCTCTTTGCGGCGCAGATTTTGTGATTATTCCTGCTGGTATTCCAAGGAAACCAGGAATGACTAGAGATGACTTATTTTCTTTCAATGCCAAAATCATTGCTCTGTTAGCCGAAGGGGTTGCAAGATATTGTCCTGGCGCCTTTGTACTAGTCATCTCCAATCCAGTGAACTCAACTGTGCCGGTATTTGCGGAAACTCTTAAAAAGTTCGGGGTCTTTAATGCTAGAAAACTATTTGGAGTCACTACTCTTGATATCGTTAGAGCCAAAACCTTCATTGCTGATCTTACAAACAAAAAACCTCAAAGTTTTAGAGTGCCAGTTATTGGCGGTCATTCTGGTGCCACTATTGTCCCGTTATTCTCAGTTGGTGCTCCAGAAGCTTACTCAAGCTTGAGCTATGAGACCAAATCTGCTTTAATACATAGGGTTCAATATGGTGGTGATGAAGTTGTTGAAGCCAAAGATGGAAAAGGATCAGCCACTCTATCGATGGCTTATGCTGCGTATGCGTTGGTTAACCAGATTCTAACCGCCGTAACTAGTGGTTTGGATAACGAAGTTGTGTCCTACATTTATTTAGATGACAGCATCAAAGGCGCTAGCGAATTAAAATCAAAGATCAATGGACTAGATTATTTTGCTATTCCAGTGAAATTGGGTAAAGAGGGAATTGAAATCATTGATTCCCAAATTTTGGATAGAATTGATCAGGCTGAAGGAGACATGTTGGAAGAAGCTATAGAAAAATTACAGGGCGATATCTCTAAAGGTGTTAGTTTCATTAGAGGCCAGTAATTTTAAAAAAAAAAAAGATAATATTAACATGGTTATTTATATACTAATATGCAAATATTGGTTTGCTTTTCTCCTATATTTTTCGTTTATGAATCTTTGCTCTATAATAAAAGGATGCGGCGTTTTTTTAAGGGTTGTTTTTATTTATTTGTCTATCACTAGTATTAGTCCTTTCTTGTTTAAGTTTTATGTTGCTGTTTTGATAAAGTAATAATTTTCTTATTCTATATGGGACTGCTTGATGTAAGACTGTTTAGGCTCAATTAAAAAAGGCAAATTGCAAATTTTCAGCTCGGCAGTCTTCCTTTTATCTCAGAACATCCCATAACGAAGCATTTTACCGTAAAGTGAACATTCTAAACACAGTAATCATTATATTACAAGAGTTAATGATATTTTTTGACTTTTGAAAATATATTATTCAAAATGAGATATATTTGTCGTGAAATGCGAAACACTGCTCTTGATGATAGTTGACGAACAGAATAATTATTTGATTATTATCGATTATTATCGATGATTTTGCTTGTATCTACAAATATAGGGCGCAAAAAGGTTTTTAGGACATACAGTATAACTAATTGAAACGAACTTCTGAGAGTTTCCAAAGACCTCCTGAAATGATTCAACATTTGTGATCAATTAACAAAAAAAGGAAAAATAAAATTTTTGTAGAAAAGTTTTCCATAAAAGCAATTAATCTCAAAATTTAATATTCATTGTAACTCTATTACTTTAAAAAAAAATTGTGTTCTTCATAAGTATAAATAGAAGCCTAGTGTGAGGAAGGAAGAGGCTGTCTATTCTTGATACTAGTTTATGGAAAAAAAAAATTCACCCAGCGCCATTGAAAAATCAGAAAGATGAAGCCAAAGGTGGAAACCAACATTGTCATGAATAAGTTATTAAAGGAAAAAAGGATGGGAAAATAATATCCTAGTCTATTTTAGAACGCGTAATATTCTCTTTTCGGTTCTTCTTTTGATGAGCTTAAAATTATAATATGAATATCAATAATCTTTCGCTGCTGTTGAGAGAATCTTTTATTGAAATTGAAAGTTCCATGAAAGGTTTATTTTCATGGCTGATTTATATTGTATTTTTATGTTATTTTCTTTTCACTATTTAAGGATCATTTATCAGTCTGCAAACATCTTAGCAAATAGAATTTGCTAGAAAATTTTTTCTGAGGAGTATGGGTTACTTTGCAAGAATTCCTAAATGAGTTTAAAATAAGCCAAATGATACCAGACAACAAAATAATTACAAAGTTGCATTAGCTTTTAATAAAACTTGTATTTGCGTAGATGAAACTGGTTTCCAAATGAGTATGAGACGCGAGAATAGCAAGTTCTACAGTTTTGTTAACTAGAGGTCTGAAATAAAATTTCAAAAGATGAAGTATCTGATTCTTTACAGAAAAGTGACAGCTGGTTAAGGGAAGGTTTTTTTTTTTCCATATAACTTAATTCTTGGGCATAATAATACACTCATCAGATTGCAAATATACGTTGTCGATCTATTAGCACCAAGAGTCAAAGAAGCCATATATTATATTGCAGACTAATTTTTCAAGATCTTTTTATTATCTATCTTAACAAAAAAGAAAGGCCTACTCCTTTGGCCAAATTGGAAAAGAAAACATAATGAATTTAATTTTTACGCAGCAATAACAAATTTTGTGCTGTAGTGGGATCAATCAATGACTTCAATTACGAATAATCACCGCTGCACTTGATACTGAAAAAAACAACAAAAAACAACAACCAACCATAATAAACCTGGGTGTGGGTATTGCTTTGGTGTAATAATATTTACTCTCTTAATTTCTTATCAGCTAGAGATTCAAGAGACAAAATCAGACTAATAAGGATTCTCTAGAGGAAACGTTTGTTGTGAACATCGAAATGCCTGTGGAAACTATAGGAAGATTTTTGTCCACTATAGCAATTGTTTTTTATGTGACAGCGGGGCAAAGATAAGAGGTTGAAAATTAATATTTATTTTACAATTAAAGTTTTTTGAACAGAAGCTGCATTAACATGGTTTTCAAGGAACAACACGTTCTGTTTTTGCTTGAAACATTTACCTTCATTAGAGAGATGGCTGCAAATGTATCACTCGGGTAGTTGAAGAATAGCAATTTCCATAAAGTCTATACTTTAAGCGATGCCCCGCTTAATCGCCTGGTATTAAGAGACACTACGATATGCTTTGAAACTGCTGACTCACTTCATTCACTTTTTCCCAAAGCTAAATTTTTTCCTTGTCCAAACATGATTTTTGATTAATAATAATGTCCAGCACTGTACCTCGACTTGTTGAAAAAATAATCGCGATCCTTTGCGATCCTTCGCGATCCTTTGCGAAGGATCGCGAAGGAAGGAGTAGACCATTTATGTCACCCATATCGATGTATGTAAACTTCTCGTGGCAGCAACAGAGAATTTTTAGTGCTATTGTTCTTGATAAGTACGAGATAGCATCACTAACTTTAGTTATCTTGTTGGCACGTAATGCTTTAGCCCTGCCACGTTCATTTGAGTCAGAACCCCGTCCTAGGGCTTTGAATCTAGTAATTAATTATTGAATGCGTTAGCCCCAAGCTTAATTCCTCTCGCGGAATAAGTTAGTCCGACCCTTGAACGATCTAGATTACTCTAATTGGAGTAACATTTACATTTATGTGTAACACAATGTAAAGAAATATATGATTTTTCTAAATAAAAGTACATGACTAAACTTCAGTATATATATTTTTTAATCCGTTAAATCTTTTCTGTGCCAGACTTTTTTTTTTTTTTTTTTTGTGGACCTCTAATGTTCTTAGAAGTATGAGACCCGTCAATATGCAAGTGAAATTTGTCAACTGCAGATCAAAATCTAGACAAACCTTAAAAAGTGGAAACCTCATTTACAGTCAACAGTTTCAAAATCCATTGGCTGAGTACACATAACCAATATATGGATGTACCAATAAAAGAAAAAAAAATTCCGCAGAAAAAAGCGTATACCATGAGAGGCAGGAGGGGAATTTCAGTCTTTCTATAGAGCAATATGAGAGATTTTGAAGGTAATACCAGTAAGGATGATATTAATAATAAGAACAAAAAGATAATAATTGTATCTAACAATAAATGACATTATAAGACAACAGTAAAATTTTCCCTCAAATAAAAGTTTTTTTTTTTTTATCTAATAAACTTAACGAAAAATAACTAATTGATGTCTTAACCACTTGATTGCTGATGCACAGCCAAAAATAATTATTCTTCAAAATTATTTGATGAAATTTTTTATATTCAAAAATAGTCTTAACGCCGTGACTGGATTTGAAATGGAAAACGGTACTCACTTTCTATATCAATAAAACAGCTTGATTTTAGATGATGTAGTGAAAGATTTTCCTCTCGCCTTCAAAATGCTTAATTAATTGAAACTCTGCAATGAAAATGAAAAATCTTAATAACAGGAAAATTATACAACATTCTTTATTAAAAAAAGAATAACACTCCAAAAAAAAAACAACCTAATAAAACTCACCAAGATCAATAGTTCCTCACTTTTCATTTATGTGCACACCCATAGCATATTTCAATGTGAAGCACTTTTTTGGATAAGCAATAAACCGTAGAAGGCAACCAAAATCTGTATCATCTGAAAGTTCTAGGCTCCTATTATGAAATTTTCATGAGTGTACATTGATCATTAAACTAATTCTGGTGCTTACCAATTGGTAAGTGTACAACATGGCCACAGTAAGACACATATACGCTCAAGCCGGAGGACCGCCACGGGATCTTCTTATTACCGGGGTTTATTAATCGATACCTTCTATGTATAACCTCAGATTTTGCCTTAATATTTTCCTTGCTTTATTTTCAAATGTAAAAGTTTTCTTTAGCTTATTTAATTTAAATTTTTAGCAGTAGAAGTGTGTGAATTCTAACAGTGAGTCCTCAGGAGGTTTAGGCGGTAGCGATCGTCATATTTGGCCAAGACGTAATATCTCAGTGTTTAGGCGCATTCAATATGAGGATTATTTAAACATTATTATGACGCTGAATGAGGTCACTAATAAATAATGCTTTCATCAATAGTATTTCACAAAATAAAATGACTGTTATTGTTAATGATTAGGTGTCACAAAGCCTTTTCTGATTTCGATACGACCGAGCCAATCGGAGTCTGCTGTGGATTACACCCACCCACGACCTATTTTCCTCATTTCCAAATTAATGCTTTAAAACGAAAAAACCAAGAATTTCTGAAAGACCAGCGTTTGGAGCCTTATAATAACACCCGCAAATTCCGGGACTCTCTATGAGAGCTCTACAACCTATTGCTGGCTCTTGTGTGCACAATCTTGAATGCAAAAAAAAAATATATATATATTTATATATATATGTTGTTATTAATTACTTGATTGTTTCCTATAATCTGTCTGCCAGATTCTGTAAGTTTAGCATGACAACTTGCATTCATCGCATAACACAAGTCCGCGTGCCTGAAAAAATGACGCTAGGCTGATCACTATACAAAAAAGGCAAATTCACGGTTTAAAGAGTCGCTTCGCTCTTCGGACTAGTCACTGATATCAATAGATAATTAGTTACCTCAAAGTTCGACGCCAGATGTTTTAAATTAGAAGGAGTTTTTTTACTAATCAGGCTGAAGGTGAAACTAAAAAAAATCAAATTCTTCCACCGTTTCTAGGTCTTGAAACCGTTGGCAATTAAGAGCAGAAAAAATATTTTAAAAAGGTACACATAAATTTGTTGTGGGCACTTATGGAAAAGCCTCAAAAATTTCTTAAGCTTCCATGAGTTAGATAATTCACAAAAAAAAAAATAATATAAAATGAAGTAAGAGTCTATCACCGACACACTTTCCATTAGTTATGATCGATCAGTAGTATTCCATATAGTTTTTTTATTGTTTTTCTTGTGTGCCTGCGTGTGTATGTTCGGAGCGTCAACTTAGTGTCAACTTGTAAGTCTTTTTCCTAAGCTAATCCCCAAATGAAATTTGAACCAGGAAGGGAAGATATCAATTAAGCAAATTGAGGGAAAAAGATAAGGAAAATCCCCCAACAACCATTGAGCGTTAAGCTCTCGGCTAGTAATAGTAAACACCAAAACTATGACCCTATTCTTTACGTGGATTAGAAAGAATAATTTACCAGCCAGATTGAATCATATTCCATAGATTGTCGCCTAAAATTTTGGATTAATTAATTCCAATACGGACTAACGGTGTTTTTTTTGCTGAAATGTACAGAGAAACGGAAATCCAAATTGCTATAGATCTTAATTGTCTCCAAAATAGAGGAACATTTCTAAATTTGGAAATGACAACTTTGTGGTTGCATACTCCACATATCACTATAACAAATGTGAAGACGGAAACCTTGTGGCTGAGTGTAAGTTCTAGCTCTTACACAGTTAAGACTTCAGTTAGATAGTTTAATCAGAATGACTCCAATGAAAGATGGTTGATCGTTGAGTACAGCCAGCAGCTCACACAAAACTAATGTCAACATTTTTTTCTAGCACATTGTCTTTTTCACCTCTCATTTGTTGTTCCTCAACCACGCCGCTCACTAATGAATTTCACTCATGGATCTTGACATCGCAAGTTTGTCGATCATTTTTTTTGTACCTGAGCGCGAACGTGAACCATGCTGTCAATCAACAATACCAGAAGGTACAAACCACCAAAAAAAGAAAATCGTCGCTGCATCATGATACGCAATGGTAACCACCCGATTATTGTTTGCAACTATTCAACACAGAAATAAAAACAAGAGTATGTAATTACTTTAAGGGGTTAGCTGTAGCTCATGTAGCTTCCTTGCTGAGGATAGAAAATTCTTAGATAGTCGAAGGCTCACATTCTGCAACAAATTCTCGTGAGTAATAAAAGAAAGGATTATTTTTTTAAACTAAAAATACAAGGTGAGAGTTTGCAATCGAGAACTGGGTGCCATAGCGTATTTTTTTTTTTACAGATTCTATTTTAGGCATTGAAATAATTCAAAGAGGATGTAGAAAAAGTTCTAGTTGAGAAGAATTGAACATTATGTGTACCGAATCTTTCAAAATAGCGCTTTCGTTTATGAATTCCCCTAAGGCAGATCCTTAACAATAATAAATTTTTTTCAAGGAATAACAACAATAATTGATAAACAAGCAAATAATCATCTATGATGATCATTGATTGTTGTAACTGCTTCTGATGATGACGAGTCATGGATCAATTATTTCCGAAAAGAAAATACATCTGAATAAAAAATATCCATCTATCAAGTAATGTTAATCTCTTCCTTTTGTAATGCCTCCTGAAAAACCAATACTATAAAATAAGCCTTCGGAGTAGAGTCGTCTCTAAAACTACAGGGCGTTTGAAAAAAGCCCTAGCTATTAGGAATTATTCAACCTACAAAGAAAATTTTCAACAATTTGGGGCTAGTGCGGATGTAAACAATAGATTGGGTGCAAGTGTCGCTGCCATAATACATGAACAAAAATTTAACCTTGATATGCCTATTATTTCTTCAAATTTAAAAAACAAATACAGATAATAATAATAATAATAATAACAGAGAATAAATAAAATTTGAGGAATAAGAAATAGTACGCTGATTAACACTCGTCAATCTTTTCTTCAAATACATGTCTAATTGCAATAAAACCCTTTTCTTCTCTTGTTCATAGATCTCTAACACTTTTCACACAAATACTGTTTTTGTACCGGAGCACTCTCCCGCCGCTTCCAGAGAAAATTTACAGAAAGTTTCTTAATTTATCAGTAAATTGAATCTGCACTGTTAATAATAGGTATGCGTTGTATTCCAATTAACATTCACATCTCTTTAGTTTTTCAACTTTATTTGAGCCTGCGATCTACATGCATGCAGTCATGTCACATCATGCATTATGTAGATGTAATATGCAGTCACTGATGCAGTGTAGTTGTTTCCAAACTGGTTATGTCTAAACTGTGGACCACGAATAGGGTAGTCAACTTTTCAGCATATATATATATCCACCGTTTTCCCCTCAACTGAAACAAGTGATTAATTAATTAAATACTCTCGATAATTGATTATCTCTGATACACAATCCTCTTAACTTCTAGTAAACATTTTTGCTTGCTGCCTCATCAATATGGAAAGTTACACATACCCTCTTAACTACTCCTTTGTGGATGTTAACCAACCTGCGGTATACGACCCAAGTAACCAAAATCTTCAGTTTCAATATCAATACCAACCTAATTCTTCACTCTGGGACCCTTCGAATATGGTTTTCATGCAATCTCCAGCTGCCACTTCTATGAATGAAGACCACTTCCAACAATCCCCAGTTTATCTTTTGGCTCAACCAAACATTTATGCTCAACAGCCAGGAAATTTCGCTCCCAATAAAACTGGCTTCGGTATGGCTAGTGCATCATTCTCAGAGCCAATCTCTTCTAAAAGTTCTGTGTCTTCTGCTTCATCCACATCACAATTATCTTACGCTCAAGCACCGGCTGCCATTGGTAATGGGTACCTCCAACCACAACAAGACAATGTTTCTCCACAACAGATTATTGACTATGGTTACAACTCTTTCAGTAACAGATCTTCTCCTATTTATTCTTCTTTTTTCTCTAATACTGAGCCAATCTCACCGACTACCATGACTTCAGATTTCCATAGCTCAGTCGCTCCTCAATCCACAGCATCTATTTCCGACTCTGCTTCTGGACCAATTGAGTTCAACACCAACTTGTATCACAAGGAACCATCGGGATCTGCTGGTCTTGTAAATGATGCTGACAAATCATTGGGGTCAAAATTGGCCAAGAACGGCAAGTTTGTCAGAAAAAACAGTGTCTATGGAGAGTCATTCAGAGGGCGCAGTGCTTCTTACCCATCAATCAAGATCCCATTATTGGCTTCTAATTCTAACAACTTGAGTGCCAAGAAACCCTCGAACCGTACCACCCAGCCAGGGCCAATTCCAGCGTCACAACCAAAATTATCTTTTGACCAAGAGTCCGGCAGAGAGTTGGTCACCTTTTCTTATTCCAAGCACAAGATTATCACTCAATGGGTGGTAAAATGCCCAAGACCTGATGAAAAAGAGGCTATTCTCAAACAGTTGGATCCAGAATTCCTCAAAAATAACTGTATCTACAAAAGAGCTATCACTGATAATCTTGAAAACAAGGGAAGCAGACAAAAGTACGAGAAGAGCTGCAATGAGTTGGGATGGCAATTGTGTTTCTTAAACCCGGAATTGAGAAATTCCAAAGGCTTATTACAAAGAGCTGTGGACTCTTGGAGAAACACAAGAGCCGATGAGAAAGTGAGAAGCAGAAGAGTCAGAAAACAGAGTAAAGTTTCCAAATAATAGCTTAGCATCTTTCATTTTAATCATCACCCTTCCTTTCTCTTTCATGGCTTGTTTTCGTTTGGCTTCTGTTTCGCATCTTCGCTTCTTCTATCCTGTATAACTACAAACTTATACTTTTGATTACGATCATTACGAACTATTCTTTATTTTAATTTTCATTTACAGATAACATCTGGATATAATATAGCCCATACTAATTTCACCTTTTGCATATTTTACTTCACTTCTAATTAATGGTCGTTGATGAGGTTCGTCATACTGTAGATTCATCTACAGAGTGTACACATATTCAAATTAGGAAATGACCGCCTGCATTGAGTTGCGCTGTATGTTATGGCATAATTGTGCCAACCAATGATACAGAGAAAAAAAAAAAAAACCAGGTTGTCCGGACAAAACAAGCTTCGTAGTAATATGTACACATAATTTGAATTCGATGATATGTACACTGGTTCACCACTTCCCAGCCAGCAATATATGACTTGAAAATAGTTTTCCGGAAAACAGTAGATCCTAAAGGTACATTCGGATTCCCCTGTCCATCACTGCCCCTCACCGATAACTGGAGAATTTTAAAGTCTCTTTTGGTTTTCTTTTTTGTGTATATAAAAGCTAATTGCTGACAATAGTGCGAAGGTTTACTTCTTCAGGAAGCTTTGCAAAATAGATACTATAATAATTAGTGAATCTTCGTCCTCATTTGTTTTTTCCTGTTGCTACATGGTGCACTACCACTGGTGCGGCATATTGTAATTATGCTTCAACGCATCCATACTGTTTCTTGAATTTCTATTTAATTACTGAGAGTTATAAATAACCGACCAAGGCAGAATTTTTCTTAAGAGAATGAATACAAAATCTGGTTGCAGTATGTATAGACATGTGATGGTGGCTTCCACATCGCTAATTAAACAACCCTTGTACAGTACAAATAAACTTGAACAAACAGACGCATAACACAGTCACCAAGTTCCCGTTAAGGTACAGAAGTACTAGTCATCAATAAACAGAACTGTAAAGAACAACAAGGGATGTAGGATTACTGGGTTTGTCCCAAATCATCTTCAAATTGCAGCTACTAACGAAATACGCTGCTACCGTCTCTGCTCAACAAATTGGTTGCCAGTATTGTTTGTATTATCTGGATTTAACTAGACAGAACGGTTGTTCCTCGCTCCTGTGGAGCCGCGCAAATAATCAGTTTCAGCGATGTTTCTTTCCCTATTGGTATTTACTTTGTTACTTTGCCATATTAGGGACCTCCTGGATACCATCTGCGTACAGCAGAAAATTTAACAAGTCTTATCAACTATGCTTCTATATTCTGGGTATGTATAGTACTATATATAAATATTTTGTCGGTTTTCACAGTAATACAGATTCCCTAAATCTGAGTAATTAGTCCACTGTAGCGACTTCCTTGCTGGCGTGTTCAATCTCATTAACTTTTTGGTCTAATGAATATCTTTCATAGAAGTGGAAAAGCTCAAAACAGACTTCTATTAGAATAAGATAAATAATAATCCATTCTAGTTTCGATGCCTTGTCTTCGTTTAAAGTTGCCAATATTATACGTGACTCTTCAGTGGCGTAATCTAGTTTTTTATTCAAAATCTCTATTCTTGGAACAATATCCAAATTCTTTGAAACCTTCTTATATAAACTTTCGAGATTCGGTTCAGACCAATATAAATCAGGGGTGTCGATTAACTCAGAATATAAGTTCAACTCACCTCTGATTAAGAGTAGCTGGCCAATTAGTTTCAAGGTTTCCTTGTGCTGTTTCATCTTGCTTTTCTTACTGAAACCTTTATAGAAATCCAAAGTATTTTGCCTAGTTTGCTCCACACATCTTTCGAATAACGACTCGAGGATTGCCAATTTTGTTGATCTTGTCAAACCAAAGGAAAAGGCTGCCTTATCTAAAAGCTGCTGGTTATCGTTATCAGCATTTATCATCATGACGTCGTTATCCATACCACTTCTACTACTGTTATTATGGGCCGACTTTGTATCGTTGGCAAAAACGGCAGCACTTTCATCAAGCGCTTCTTTGTTATGGCTATTTTTTTGAGCGATATTAACCATCACAAAATCCATATCCTCACTTTCTGAGGCCTTGTAAGGATTGACTCTGGCTTTTTCAACCAAACTCAAAAAATTATTGTTCAAGAAGTTCTCATCAAAGCCCCAGGCCACCACGGAGCCATTCACAAGGATCAATATATCAAAGCCTAACTCATTGTAGTGACGGTGGTTACTAGCCAAGTTCTGGTTGTCGAAATTAGGAAAGGTTAAATGAACTGCCTCTTGTGGGATCAAAAAACTGGCATCTTTATATCCCTTGGAATGTAGTAATGCAATGACTTTGGCCAAATCATAGGCTTCACACGTCGTTATGGTTGTACACGGTAATAGGCTTTGATGATAGTCCGTGATATCCTTCTTCTTGCTTCGTCTGAGAGCCCGGGTTATTGGTGTAATATTCGAAGCTTTGGGAAGTTTGACAGCTTGAATAGATTTTGTAGCTTGAGATGAGGAGGTAGTCAATTGACGATTCGAATAAATCTGCAACATACGCAACAAAGGGCGAGATGTCAATGGAAATGCAGTAACAGGAGAAAGACTCCTTCTGCATACTAGCTTCAACATTTCTGTGTGATGTAACAAGAGGGTTGTCTGTTGAATGCTAGGTGTGACGGAGGATCTTTCTACTTTTTGGTACTTCACTTTTTTTTAGAGATTTTACACTGTGTGATATTTGCATAGTTATACAGAGCTCCGCATAGATATTCTAAGAACTCAGTTTTCAAAGTCCGTAGGCTATGGCTATTAGGGAATAGGATCCCACCAACCCTAGAGACTTTTCGAGGAATGTATGGAAAAAAATGGCAGTTACTGAAAAGATGAAAAACCATAATAGGATCACCACCAACACCATAACTTGCACAACGTAGCACCATCCCACTTCTCTACGGCTTTTTAGAATGACGATTAGCCTCAGGTATAGGGATTTGGTATTATTAATTTCAGGTTCCACTACATCAGTGGTAAATGTGATTAATTTCTTGAGCTCTAGAAGTAGTGATATACTTGCAGAAGAAAGAATCCAGAAATGACCGGAAATATTGATGTCTGCAATCTCCATTACCCTTCTCCTTAGACTATCACCAGAGAACCCCCCAAAAAATGCCAACCAAACACCAGAAATGAGCATGAATCTTAGGATCGTCAAATAAGCTTCCTTGTTCATCATCCACAAGGGTTGCATGCACAGCGAGACCTTTATTTCAATAAACCTACGCATAATCAGGATGGCTATGAACAAGCCAGTGTACCATACAATCATACAGTCAGCGAGCACGTAGTTGATGATGTTATTGGAATCGAGCAAATCAAATCCCAGGGATGATGCGTTTTCTGGTTTTGAAGGTGATTGGAAAGGATCATGATTGTCGATGCGGAGGATGATTGATAGGAAGGTACCAAAAGCAAAAGATAAGCCATAGGAATATTGTAGCCAACACTTCAGCGTGAAAAACTTTACGCTAGTATCAATTTTTGGAGCAATTAGTTCAATCATGAGTATACCTTATCATTGGAAATATATAATCATTAGCTCGTCTTCTCAGTGAACCGTTATCTGTGAGTATCATTTTTTTTTTTTTTTTTTATTTTTTTGGCCCAAAATAAATCCGGTTTGCACGTATCCTCTGAACAAAACTTTCCAATAATTAACAGGAAAGAACTGATTCCGCCTGCAAGTGACCTTATTCGTCTGAAATTATTACATCTTGATATTGGAAAGTTTAATGATACGGTCTCTGGTGCTTCCAAGAAGCGTCATGCCTGCCAGTAGGCACGAACACTTCAGATCTTCCAGGTTATTAAATTTTAAACAATAAAAATAGATTTCAGAGTATTGGAACCGAAATTTTGGAAGCAATTGGGTCTAATACGATAAATTGCAAACCTAAACTCTTTGATTATTATTTTCAATATTGATGATTTTTCAATGTCCTTTACAGTTTAAGTAGATCTTAAACAGCTACTGCCAAAAGGAATAGGAAGGCAAGCACATAAATCCAAAAAGCAACTATTTTTTTTTTCTGTAGAACTTATTTACTTGTTGGGGTCAGCAGGAGAAATGAAACTGAAATACTGGCTCCCTGGATGAAATACACCAAAGAGAGGAATGAATAGACCAATGGATAGACTCCAAAAGAGTGATTGGTAACGAATCTTGAAAATTCTAACAATAAGAAGCAAAATGAGGATTATCCTGTGAAGTTTTGTATTTAGAGTCATCGGTTTCGAAATTTCTTTCAAATCGCTGAACCTGTATCACCTGATTTTCGCTAAGAGCTGAATTTTTGCTTATAAAGATCAATCATTAGGAATTAATGATTTGAATCAACTCATCGCAAATCAGTTATGCATGTTGAAATAATTAAGAAAAAATTTTTTTTTTTTTTTTTTTACTAAAAAAATATTTGTTAGAAATTGCTCTCCTTGTGCAATAAGCAGAAATAATTAACGCCATAATATTACTTTCAAAATGGCTGGTGACGACCTTGATGATGGATTGGACTACTCGTACGATGATTTTGAAGAAGAAAATGATACGATTGCTGGCGAAGCCGTTCAGTTAGAAGACATGGAAGATGCGATGGCATCTGAAGGGACTGCCAGTGAACAGGTCCAAGAAGAGACAAAGAAGTCTACGGAAATTGATGCTGAAGATAATACTAATAAGAGAAAAAGAAAAAGTGACTCTTTTGTAATCAAAAAGAAGCAACGTATGGAACATGATATTGAACAAAAATTGAACCTTTCTACCGAATCACCTGAAAGGATTGCCGAGTTCTTTGGTTCCAAAGTCAGAGTAAAGTATCCTGATTTAACACCATTGGAACTCTCAGAATTATATATTCCGAAGAATGTATTTAAATATACTGGATTTTGGGAAAAGAAGAGAAATTTGGATGGGTTAAAGGGCTTTTTGGAAGACAACTTCAAGAAATACCTACCAGAAAAATCCCTAAAGAAGAATAATAAGAAAAACAAGGGCAAAAAGAATAATAATAATGAAGCTAATGAAAGTGAAGAAGACAGAAAGTTCATATTAATCCTTTCATCATCAGCTATCAGAGTTTGTGATGTTCACAGAGCCACAAAGGATATTTCAACCTCATCTATCAAGTTGATCTCTAAAAACAAACTCAAAGATGATATGAAGATCTTGAAGACTACCAGGTCTAGAATATTAACATCTACTCCTGCAAGAATAACAAAGCTCTTGAAAACCGAAAACTCATCCTTGAAATTGTCTGAAATTAAAGTGATCATTATTGATAGTTCTTATTTGGATCAAAAGAAGAGAAATATTTGGGATTCGGAAGAGTTGTTTAGCAATTTGAAAGACTTGACTATTGAGGGTGCCAAGATCCACCTTTTTTGAAAAATGTATTATATTATTATTTTGTATAGAAATACAAGTTAAAAAGACCGTTTAATTCCGGATAAGTCGTAAACTCTCTGTTTTATTTGAGACGAGACAAAAAACAATAAAAATAAATTATATCATAAATAGTACATATATGAATAACAACACAAAATACAAAGTAATAACGCGCTTCATAAACTCTCCTAGCTTCTACCAAAACCACCTCTGCCTCTACTGAAACCACCTCTGGAACCACCCCTGGAACCACCTCTGCTACTGAAACCACCTCTGGAACCGCCTCTACCACCGAAGCCACCTCTGGAGCCACCTCTACCACCAAATCCACCTCTGGAGCCACCTCTACCACCGAAGCCACCTCTACCACCGAAGCCGCCCCTGCCACCACGAGAACCACCAACATTCTTTGGTTTCTTTGGCTTTGGGCCAACAACCTTAGGTTTAGGTGTGAATCTTTCTTTTGGTAACAATTTGTCTCCGGCAATATAGAATCTGTCTCCTTCGGAGAAAGAAGTGGCCTGTACCCCTTCAGAAGGCTTGATGGTGAAATAGACGTCATTTAAAGGTCCCAAAATTTCATCGACTTTCCCCACTTGAGTTTTGTTTTCTAAGTAGATTGGAGCATTGAAGTATGGAATCTTGGTATTGATGGAGCGGCACACAATGTCACCTTCACAGGCATGGAGAAAAGCTCCCATTTCAAAAACTTGGTCTGGAGGGCCTTGTGGGGCAGAGTTTCTGAACCCACCACGGCCGCCACGGCCTCCTCTAAATCCACCTCTTCCTGACATTATTGTTGGTTGTTGTTTAATAAATTTGGGCTTGATGCTACACTTACAACAGACTTGTGAAAACTTTTCATAATTTTTTTTTTTTTCTCTGCGCAGAATTAAAAGCAAAAAATTGGGAAAAAAAAAAAAAAAAAAAATGAAATAACGATCACGTGCAAGACATAACATGCCCACATCAATGGATACTATAAAATAATTCACCAAACTTTACAAAAAGTTGGATATTCCCTCAGGGAAATCGCTACATTAGAAAGCTTGTACAAAGAATATTTCTCAGTATGTGTTACAAGTAACAGAAAAAGATATGAAAACGAACCAGAACATACAATGAAAACAGGAGCAGAAATAGAATAAAACAAACTAACATAAATCTCTATAATTAAAGGAAAATTTTCATGATACCCACAGACTATATAATGTTTCTTCTCATTAAGTTATCGAATCTCGAATAAGTATAACCGATAAATGGCAATTCGCCTAAGCTGTCTTCTTCCTGGCCTCCGCTATCGTCTCTCAAATATGGCGAGTCTGGCATCTGCTCTAATTCATCAATAGGGAAGAAACGAGTGTCTGTGATACTATTCAATCTTGGTATGAATGGTGCTTGGATTTGTCGTATAGTGGCCCAGTCCACACCCCTGAAGAAGGCATGGTTCTTTATTTCAACCGCGCCATTAAGACCAATTCTATTCTTATTGTCACACAAAAATTTCTTGATCAAATCCTCAGACTCAATACTCAAATGAACATCATCAGGAAACTCCAAAGATTGTCTCCAGTTAACAATTTTCATGTAAGTTTCTTGATTAGTATCCGAACAAAATGGTGGGTAACCAACAAGACATTCATACATAATAGCACCAAGGGACCACCAATCACATTCCCTACCGTACCCTTCATTTGTGAAGACTTCTGGAGCAATGTAATTAGGAGTACCAACGGTGGAGTAGGCAAGCATTCTTCTGGATTTTCTCCATGTTTGAATCCTTTCATTATTAGACATGGTTAATTGAATTGAGTCAACAATGGTGGTATTTCTTTTGTTTTTGTTGTTGAATGCACTATTCTGGTTGATATTCATCCCCTTTTCTAATAATTTCTTGTAGTAGTTTGCATCATGTGTCTTGTGGAATCCTGTTGCCAAACCGAAATCTGAAAGCTTGATGTGTCCGTCACTACCAATTAGAATATTATCAGGCTTGATATCTCTATGAATATAGCCCAACTTATGTACTTCTTCAATAGCCAAAACACATTCAGCCATGTAGAACTTTGTGATGTCTTCGGTGAAAGTATTCAATCTAATCAATAAAGTCATTAAATCTCCACCAGGCAAGAACTCCATGATAAGATACAAATACTTGGCGTCTTGGAAAGAGTAATGCAAAGCAACAACCCATGGAGTGTCACTTTGGGCCAAAATATCTCTTTCTGCTTTAATGTGGGCCAATTCGTTTCTCTTGAACATCTCAGATTTTAACAAGGTTTTCATCGCAAATACTTTACCATTATCTTTCTTTTGCACAAGCTTCACTTCACCAAACGCACCCTTACCAATAACAGAAACGGTTTGAAAGTCAGCCGCACTTAACTTTGTTCTTTTTAGTCTTAAGAATTGTGTTTGTCTGTGGATAAATTTTTGCTTGTACCTGTTTTTCATTTCATTAGAACCACCTTGGGATTCCAAGGTTTGTTCTAATTCATCAATTGTTCTCCTTATATCTCTAGCATCTTCGGCCTTTTTTTTATAATAGGTCTCCAACTTGAGACATAATGTGGCGGTCTTATTCTGGATGCTTTTAGGGAATAAGTCTGGCCTTCTTTCAAACTGAACGTATAAATTGGAAAAATATTGGCTAGCAGCAGCGGGATTCGTCTGTGCTTGAGGTAGTGCTTGTCTAGTATTGGACATTTTTCTACTATTATTCACTTGTTGAATTTTTTCTTGCGCAGACTACGCTGTTGATTAATGCTTTATTCCAATTCTTTGGTTGGCGATAATTATGGATATTTGCCGGTTCAACAAGAGCGACGAGGGGGAGAATATAAACGAACGAGGCTGTTGATGAGATATTTTCCTGGATTGGAATGTGTGCAGGAGTTTAATGGGGTATGATACACACGCAGACCAAGAGTAGCAGAGATAACAACTGGGTAGTACCAACAGTAGGTTGAAAACTCAGTTACATGGTGAAACCTGTCCCCTTCGCAAAATTCCTGACACGCAAGAGCCTAGGTGCACTACTCACGATATCATTGCATATAGATACGCTATGATACAGGGAGAGAGAACCCCTTACCCGGCAGATTGTGCTATTTTTGGTTGTGAGCGATTTCACGGGCGGGCGATGATGAGGCTAAAGCTGACACAACCAACCAGCTTTCAATATCGGGTGTGTCAAGTAGTTGCTACAACCAGCATTCTAGAAAAGCCATTATCGATAGGAATAAATACCATCCTGGGAGTTTGATATATTAGTTTTCTTTTCCAATTGTTTCGAGTGCTAGCGTTAAAAAATGTCTTTTTTACTGGCATTGAGGTCAAAGGTATCTGAACTTGGTCTCTTTGATCAGGCAAATGCTGAGAAGAAGCCTAGTAGAGACGAGTTATTCAGAGACGAGTTTCATTTACCTGAAAGCCAAACAATTCAAATTGACTCGGCCGCTGAGGTTTCATTACACTATAATGAAACCGCTAAGAACTCCCAAGATTTTTCAAGTCCAACCACCAGTCCATTGGTCAATGGTGAATCTCACGTAAACCATAATGACGTATTCTGGTCAGGTAGGCTCTTTTTGACCGAACAGTACTTGATATTCAAAGATGGCTTCAATGGGCGTGATTTTAATTTCACCATTCATTTATCAACAATTAGAAAAGTTGAACGATTGCCCCTGAAATCCTATGTTTTTGGATTGATTATCACTACGTTTTCTGGGTTGCGTCTTACCATTCAATTCATTGGGATAAGGTCCAATTCAGAACGGTTCTCTCTATTATTGAAAAAATCTTTGGACACAAACTTGGGTTGTGTCAAACAATTGAAGCCATTCTTAAAGACGTTATATTCTGAATATTTAATGTTCAAGAACTCTCCTGCTGGACAAGATCTGGATTTACAAATTCCGGCTGGCGGTTTAGGCTTGATGTTCAAGTTTCCGGGAAATACCAAAAAGTTGAGAGATAAATCAAAGATGAGGTTGTGGTTTGAGTTCATGAAAGTCAATGGCCGCAACTTGAATATCGTGAAACAAGAAATGTTTTATAAGTTGATCAGGGTCGGCTTACCAAACAGACTAAGAGGAGAAATTTGGGAACTATGTTCTGGGTCTATTTATTCTAGATATGAAAATATAGGGATTTATCAACAGATCTTGGATGATAATGCCGATAAGACCTCAATTGCCATTGAAGAAATTGAGAAAGATTTGAACAGATCGTTACCAGAGTACGCAGCTTATCAATCAGATGAAGGGATCTCCAGATTGAGAAGAGTATTGACAGCTTATTCCTGGAAAAATCCTGATGTTGGATACTGTCAAGCAATGAATATCGTGGTGGCAGAATTGTTGATTTTCATGTCCGAAGAGCAAGCGTTCTGGTGTTTATGTACTTTATGTGACAAGTACACTCCTGGATATTATTCAAAAACTATGTATGGTACTTTATTAGATCAAAGGGTGTTTGAAGCCTTGGTCGAGAAAACCATGCCAATACTATGGGAGCATATAACACACAATGATATTCAATTATCAATCATCTCATTGCCATGGTTTTTGTCATTATTTATCAATTCTATGCCTTTAGTTTTCTCGTCTAGAATCATCGATATATTATTCTTGCAAGGCCCTAGAACCTTATTTCAAGTTGCTTTAGCCATTATGAGAGTTAATGGAGAAAAATTGTTGAAAACTACAGATGACGGTTCTTTTATCCAAGTTATCAAAAATTATTTTGGGAAATTGGATGAATCAGCACACCCAACCTCCAAAAACGAAACCTATAGACAAATAACCAACTTTCAAGAATTGTTGGTGGTTGCTTTTAAGGAATTCCAAGATATTACCAATGATACAGTCAAATCTTATCGTAGAAAGCATAAGAATAGTGTTTTCCTGAACATTGAAAGCTTCATTAAACGTACACAAATTAGAAACTTACCCAAGCTACCAAACTTGGATACCAATAATTTATCCAATATTTACGACAGATTTTACCAGGTCTTAGAAACGGATAATATTCAGAAGGGAACTGGATCCAGTTTGATGAATTTTGAGCAATTTGAAAAGTTCTTGTCCCAAATTACCGGCTGGGTTATTGTTTCAAACGTGGCAGACAGTAAGAACCAAGAGGAATTTTTGCACCGTTTATTCGTCTCTTGGGATTCGGAGTTTCAAGGGGGTTTGGCGCTCTCCGATGTTGCTATAGGTCTTAACAAATGGACTTATAATGACTTAATGTCGATGATAAAAACGTTTTTTGATTTGTACGATTCTACAGGATCTGGATATATTGACAAAGAAGGAATGTTGCAAATGTCAGAAGGTATTATTTATTTGACCAGACCGTTAAGAGAAGGCTGGGTGTTTGATTCCATCACTCAAAGGGAAATTGACCAAGTAATTGCCAAAAGAATGAATGAATACAAGAAATTATTAGCAGAAAATCCAGATAACGAAGACGTTATTTCGCCACCGAATCTAACTGTGGATGAGCAGTTTTATAGACACAGACAAGGTGAACGTTATTTGTCTGCTGCTAGCAAATTCCTTCAAAATTGCTTTTCTTATGCCAGACCTGAACAGGAGATTGATGAACTTAAAACAGAAGACCATCTTATCAGCATTCACGATGATGATAGAAAGTCGGATTATGGAGAGTTAGCCACAGAGGAATATATTGATGAAAAAGATAAGAAAAAGTCACAATCTTTGAAGGCAAATAAGGCGTTAGATCCAGATCATCCTTTGGCAATGGACCTTCCAACTTTCAGAATGGTGATTTTGGCTGATGAGTCATACGAATTATTCTTTGGAGAAATTCTTGCCAGCTCCATCGATATTAATAAGCCGATTAAAAATGCTCAATCGCATTTTAATATCCGTAATATGTTTGATACTCTTGTTGCCGACGGTAGAAAAGTTGCTAATGAAGTTAGACGCCGAATTGACGATGTGCAAAGCATTACCTCTCCAACTGCTTCAACATTCAAAAGATCTAGGGCCACCAGCTCTGCGTCTAAGCATCAGGCCTCAGTTGATGAAGAAGAAGATGACGATTTCATTTCTTCTGATGTTGGAACAACTGATACTGATTTGCTCAAGGGAGCTGAAGTTAATGTTTTAAACGAATCTAAGGATAATGCGAAAGAAAAAGAAGCAAGCTCTGCCTGAATGTGGCGAACGTCGAAGCCTATGTGTTGATTTATTTTTTCTTTTTTCTTTTTTTTCTTTTTTTTCTTTTTTTTTTTCTTCTCATTTGCACCATTTGTCATCAATGATACATATTTCATATCTTGTAACCATATCTATAGTCATCTTAATCCACAAATTCATAATTCTCGGTAGAAAAATCTACATACTATAATCGGGCTTCATTACTTCTAAAGCTGACTGAAACTTATCAACTAAAGTAAAATAGGATCCCTTCATAATACTTTGAACCAACAATTTTTTATCAGTGCTTAATCTAGCATTTGCGCTTTCCAATACACAGGCATTAGCTACTTCAGTAAAGTCCAACAGCAATTGCAATTTTAACCCATTTGAAAGTTGAAATGTCACTTTGCTGAACGATAAATCCGCATCAATTAGTTCGATACCTTTCAAACTGGTTTCGACTTTCTCGAGCATAATTTTCTTTCGAAGCACCAACGAAAGCCTGGTATAGACCTCACTGACAAATTTATTCAAGTCAAGGTTCAAATAGCGGGATTCGAGTTCAGTTAAATGGATATACTTAGGTATGGTGTGCTTGAATATGAAAAACTCGTCGTTTTTGTCATTTCTCTTTAGGATAATATAGTACGGGGCTTGGAATTGCTTGGTGGTCTCATTATAAGTATCTAGTCGTATACCCAACAAGTGATGTTCATCGTTGTAAAGGCCCTCTGAAGAAGCGTTGTTTTGGGCATGAGATATAAAGGAAGGATCACTAACTGCAAATGCTGTTATGCCAAACAATCTTGTCAAGCTCTCAACCATTGTTGAGTCAATCAATTCCTGCTCTGTCTTTTTCTTGAGCATTTGCAACTTAGTTTCCTCATTTAGTTTGCCTTCTAGGTTATCAAATCTTCTTTTCCTGTTCGTAGTTTTGAAAAACTTAGATATTGATGGATCCATTTGGTCAGCGAATCCTTGACTATCTCTGGTTTTATCTAAACTTCCTAAAGAAAGTTGGGGGGCCTCGTTACTTGAAAATAATGGGTCCTCGTTGCTTATAATTTCATTCAATATCGTGGTTTCGTCTTGGGTATATTCCAGGTTCTCAAGATCAGAGTACAATTTCGTCATTAAACTGTGGAGCGATGGATCCAAGTGATCCCTCAACTCTTGAAGAAGTTCTTGATTTTCATTATCGATCTCGCTGAGTTGTTTCTCTAACTGTTCTATTCTCTCGTCCATAATTGGCATACTGGCCCAATATCAGCAGCTTTCTCCGTTATTTATGTTATGTACGTGATAGCTGATGCCCCAATGTTTACAAAAAATGAAGGGACGGTGCGCGTCATGCATTACCCGGGAATGATTTACACAGAAGCTATTGAAGCCAGATGACATTCAAAGATTACTGTTGTGAAGTTAAAAGGTGACATTAAATAGCAGATATATAATAGAATAAATATCGCAGAATCCAGAATAAAATGAATATAAATATATATTAGTAAAACACAAGTGTAAATGAACAAAAAGGAAGGTAATGAAAGTATTTTGATATAATTTGAGAAGAGAATTGAAAGCAATGTTAGTTATTAGTCAAGAAACTTTGTCCTGAATGAACAGTCTTAAAAATTTCAACTATGGTGGATGCTGTTAATACGGAGATTTCCTGACCATCGGCGCAATTGATAACACTTTGGTGTTGGTGAGCAGAGATGGCTAAAGATTGAAAATAATTCAAGCTCATCTCTTTAACGAATGTGAACTGCAAATTGAAGAGGATTTGGTCACTGCTCAAGTTATTTTGGAATCCAGAGAGCAACTGAGCTATCCCACTAAAGGAATGGTATCCATGGACCGAAAACAACAAATAGACCGGGTGATTGGTTGAAAGGACCTCTAGTAGCTTTTTATTTATGAATTGATTATTGGATGACCAAAATTTTGAATAGAATGCATTTTGGAGCTCAGTTACTGAGGACAATTTGATGTTGAAAAAGCGAGAAGATTCATGAAGATTGAAGTTTGGAGGGGAGATTATTCCAGGTTGGTGAGAATACTCATCGCTGGTTGTCTGCTTGAACGAATAATTGTGAGTATTTTCTTGTCTAGCAAACTCGAAGCTAGTACTGATAGGACTGTATGTTGAGGTGAAACTATGTTGATCAAAAGTGGATTCTTGACTAGAAGGAGCATACGAACTAGTCGATGATGGTAGCTCATATTGATTAACAGAGTATCTGCTTGACTCATTTCCGAATCTATTAACTCCTCCACAATCGGTATAGTCTGAATCACCTAATAATCTTGTCTCATGGAAACTACTGTTAATGTGTGGGGTACTTGACGAGCTTAAACCGGCAAAACTAGCTCCTGTTGGAGATGTAGTGGCATTTGGAGACCAGATAGAATTGGCAAACTCTACCGGTGAGGTTGGAAATTCGTGTCTTTTCTTGGGATTATGGCTTATATTGGTGTCTAGCTTGGTGAGGTAGATGTCTTCGGAATTTCTGCGGGTTACAGTACTATTGAAAACAGGAGACTGCATCTGCTGATCTTGAGGATGAACGGCATTATTGTTTGTATTGTAACCATCTAAAGAATTTCGACCAATGGAAAGATAATTAGATTGTGATAGTGATTCATGGGATTCAGGAATAGGCGTCGTTTGAGATCGATCATATTTTGGACTTCCAGTTCCTGTGAAAGCATTGAGGGATTTGTGTTGTTGCCTGGTGGTGTTAACGGTATTTCCTTTTTTGGTAGTCAACGATAGAGCAGAGTTGGTGAGAAAGTTTGTTTTATTCTTGATTAAGTCATTGGTCTTTTGGTTCAAGGTCAATAATTGGAACAAAGGTTGTCTCTCCACGGCCCTTTTGAGAGTCAGGTTGATGGGAGCGGAGTTTTTTTGCTCATTATTGTAGTTATTATTCTGGGTGATCGACATAAAGGAGTTATAAATTAAGAGAGGGTTGGTGTTATCTGGGGCAGTCATCTGATGATTACTGTTGTTGATCATATGGCAATTGGTAATATAGGGAAAGAAAGATAATAGATGGATGAAGATGGAAAAAAAAACAAAAAAAACAAAAAGAAAAACAAAAAAAATGAGGAACAAACAAGCTTTTTCTAATAGTCCTCAATGAATGATAATAACTGGTCGAAACATCTTCCGATTAAGTTGCGATCTACCACGCACTGCTACATACTGTTGTAGATCAAACGCTTGTGACTGTGGCGACCACATAAAAAGCTCAATAGATTTCTTTCTAAAACCCTCAGAGCAGAATGAACTAAAAGAACCTTATGTGCTGCTAAGATAGCAATAATATCTTACCAGCATTTGTAGGATTACGATATGAGATTATATCCATAGCATTGGATGTGGGTTCCTGATCGGGAATTGGGCAACGCCCTTTCATGTAAGGACATCATCCATTTTTTTGCATCGCCTTGGAAAAAAAAAAAGAATTTGGAAATCCGAGCATGGGAAAAATTGGCGAATATAATAGAGACTAGCCTAGTATATTAAACATATCCTCACACTTACTATGTGTAAGTATGGATGTGTGTGTGTGTGTGTGTGTGTGTGGACTATTGCGGTTCAGAATTGGTCTAAACTGCGGATACAATAGCCTGCAGCTCAAGCTATTGTTATATTGCAAATCGCCGGTTTGAACCCTCTGATCTCAACGGGAATGCATTTCCTTCCCTTTTCCTGTTGCCACCCAACAGTTTACGAAGGCTGGTCTCATGCGGAATGTGCTATTCAATCACTATACCAATAGATGGACACAGAGTATTCTGCTCATATACCTGCATGACTCAACATAAAAAAGATATAAGAAAATAAATAAATAAAAAGGAACAGGAAATCTTGCCATTCAAGAACATTATTGCATCGTTATCAATTAGCTAAAGAAAATGTTCTTGTTTCTGATTTATATGAGGAAAGCTTATTTTTTAGTAGACTGGGACCCTTAGGTAGGCAACAGTTGCTTCCACTTTTATTGTCCTGCAAATTTAAGACATCATACCAATCACGACTTCGGCATCTACTATACATGATAATACATCCATATGGAGAAAAATTACATGCTCCAGGTGAATGAGATGGCATTTGAGTTTCCTTATGTACTATAATCTCCAATTTCTTTCCTTATGGTAAAAGTATGTATATATAGATATATTAAATCAACTAGAAAATTTGAATCTTGCAATTGACCTTTCCTCTTCTTCGTCCTCTTCTTCTTCTTCTTCATCATCATCATCATCATCACCATCATCTTTTTCACAGTCATCATCCCCCGCAACCCTTCGCTTGAGTGAGTTCGATTTTCCCCTTGTATTACGCCTTGTATTATATTTGGCACCATTCTTAGTCTCGTACATAACTTCCTGATCATCTTCAGAATCACCCACAAAAAGATCCTGAGTTGTCGACAATGGGACCTGATCACAAGAAAATTTGAAATGATTTCCCGACTTTGATATACCCCCATCATCACTATCTTCATCGGATTCCTTAGCCTTTGAAACACTCAATTCGTTCTCGGATACTATATGTACGGTGCCAACTTCATCTTCCCCTGGTTTATTTTTCAATTTTCCGTCCTTGGCAAGATCATAAACCTCGAATGTTATATATTCTTTGTAAACCGATCCCTGGTTCCTCTTCAACTGTTGATTTTTCTTTGAGTTCTTAATGAACTTTTTGAAATTCTTTCTTGTAGACCAATCTGAGTAATCTCCGCTTTTTGTCATTTCACTTTCGTTCGGCTCATTAGCCTGTTTTCTTGTCACTTCGAACTCCTCAACCTTGACTTGTCGTCTGATATTATCAATTTCTTTCCTACTTAATTGTCTCTTCATATCTTCATCACCTCCAACTTCCTTTATTGCTTTATCATCTATCAGCTTCTTTGTTTTACGGACAGCTTCCATGAGGGATATTTTCCCATTATCTGATCTGTTTTCTGAGCCTTCTGACTCCGGAGTCATCTGTAATGGGACTTCGGGATCCTTGCCAAGAACAATATCAAAGGCCTTGAAAACTTCTTGCTGTTTGTCACTACCCTCGATACACTCTTTTTCGGGATTCGAAGGCTCTGCTTTCTTTTCGATGTGTAAAGATTCCTCCACTTTGGTATCTGCTAATTTGGTTGCCATATATGATACTTTTGAAAGGGACTCGACTTCGGATTTCTGTACAGGAACACCCACACTTTCTTGAGTAATCCCATATAGATCATCGAATGTTCTCTTCGGCTTTCGTTCAGGTCTTCTTCTTTTTCTTACATCAGTTCCTAAGGAGGCCTGTGTTTCTATTATATCCTCTTCAGTCTTTATCGCTACTGGTTCTTGGGTATTTGAAACTGGTTCTGAAAATTGTGACTGATTGGGTAAAGAATGAATATGTGCAGTGTGATACACATCCAGTGTTTTGGCGCCTTCCCTATTTTGCGGTATACTATCTGGGACTTGCATCACGGATTTTGGGGACTCCTTCAAATTATCTTCCTCTAATTTTTGGGCATATGATGATGGTACCGGCGAATTTGACGAAGATCCAGCTTGTGATTGCACTGGTTCGTTTCCGCCTAAGAACATCGACATTATATTAGTCCGATTCCTCGCTGTTCTTCTTCTTTTACTAGATGGTGCCTGCGGTGCTATTTCTTCATCAGATTTTTCTTTGAGGTCACTATGTACTTTTTCAATTGACTTATCCGACACAGAATTCTGCCCAGGCAATAATATCAGTGAGTCAGAATTCTTAACGACGTCAAAAAATTCCTGATAATTATGCAATGCTATTTTCAATTTAATCGAAGCTCTCTTCAACATTTTAAATTTCAATAGCTTTATTGGGTCATCCTCTGTAAGTCCCTTCATTAACACCAATTTTGAATCTGATTTGACTTTAGAACAATATTCATAAAGCTTCTCGCCCCCAAACTTTGAGCTATTCAGCGTATCATTAGCATCGATGTATGCATCGAGGTCATAATATATGACTTTACCTCCTCCGGCTTTAATAGTCTCCTCTAAATTTTGGAATTGGGACTTATCAGTCACAACAAAAGTGAAATGTCTAAATAAATTCAATCTTTCAGGATTAGGTCGATACACTTCATTTGGAAAGTAATCCATTATTTTGGGGAACTTTTTTGCCATGTCATATTCCAATAATGTTGTTGATGGCGGAATATCTCTACTAGGAATATTTTGGTCATCATAATTTTGATCAATGGCCATAACAGGGGTTTCCAGAAGTCTTTTGATCACTTTAACATAATCTGGGTTAACTATCAGAATATTTTTCACTAATGCCAAAGCAAGCTTGGTGGATAATTTGTCAGATTGTAAAAAGCATGTTGTGTTTTCAGTAATTCTTGCACAGTATTCAATGTTCAATCCTTTCAAATTACTTTCGAGAAATTGTTCCACTTCTTGTGTTTTATCACCGTCTGTTATAATGTCATTGGCAGAATACCCTATACAGATAGGTGACCAAATCAAAGCTAGTTTCAATTTAGCTTGATCTTTGCCAAACTCCATTTTTATTGGACTTGTATTATATTCCAATATTTTAGGATCCTTACCATCACGAATCGAAAACTTCTGTTCTTTACTTATATGAGTTTTTGCTCTTCCGCAGACCAGTATTTTAATCGGTGGGATTTTATTATTGTTATTTATTGGATCAGCTATTTCCAGAGCTTGGAGTTTGAACTGGATTTGTGAAACTGATTGTCTGAAAGGATGAGACGCAAGGCTAATATCCACTGAATTACTAGTTAGTATTTTGGAATTTGTATTTAATATTCTCAGATTTCACTCACAATCGCGGCCTCTTCCAACGGAATACTCTTTGTTCGGAAGAATTATTTTCTTGATGACTTCTATAATGGCGCACCATGTTAGTAATTTAGAAATTAGAGACACTCCAAAATTGGATTGCACAGCAATAACATTCATACCTCCTTCATGTGTGCCACTGGGCACTGATAGTATCCACATCACGGCCTGGTTCCAATATTGTACGATGGTGATATTCCTGTTGCCTTTGTGCCTTCCTCATCCCGGCGATTTTCTATTTGCCATGGTGCTTGTTGTACCCGTATCTTTGGTATAACTTTACACGTGCCGGGGTCGATCTCCATCACCTCTGCGAAAAGTGGAGAGACGAAATTACTAATTTTTGCAATCCGAGTGTAAAGACCTGATAGATTGTATGTTGGCTGTTTTGTCATACAAATAATTGAAATTCAAAACAACATTAATATTTATGGCCTTCTTCAATAGCGATCCTGCTTCATGCGGGCCCTCCAGCTCAGTTTCAAAGCTAACTAGCTTTGCAAATTCTAAAAATAATGTACTTAGTAATGAATATAATCCAAATGTCCCGTCAACATCGAGGAGCAAACAGTTTCACAATAATCATCTAAATACATTGGATAGAAGACTCGAAAATCAATTCAGCCTGTTCATGAATAATGATACGAAAACCAGCATCGTTGGTAACATGGTGGATCCCAGAAAAGGGATCAATGATTCACTAGTCAACCAGAAATACCGGGGACCTGCCAATGTACAACATGATTGGATTAAAGATTTCTCTCAAATGAGTGTTTCACAGCACGATCACTCCGTCCATATCCTGAAAATGAATTCTCAGAGCCCATTACCTCAATTTTCTCACTCACAGCAACAACTACCTCTGCATCATGCTCCTGCGATGTCACTGCAACAGAACCAAATAAGAATAATGCATCATAGTCACTTTCTACAAAACCAATCGATGCCAATATTCCAAAATACACGAGCAGAAGTAAATCAAGCTTATAATTCTGAAAATCCGCAGCAGTTAGAGAATGAAGATGATATTTTTGAGCAGGCGTTTTCCAACATTGAAAAAGAAATTGCATTACAAGGACTGTCTGAATTAGTTCTAGAACCATTAGCTCAAGATATCATCTCTGTACATCCAGAAAATGAGGTGCTTTCGAATATTGCAAGCAAAATCGCAGAGACTATGGAGCATGTTGACGATCTTAATACCGATAATAATCTGGAGCTTTCTCCAAAATTCCAAAATTCGAAATTTTTGAAATTAATGAAGGATATCTCAAATAAGAAAGTGGCTCTTTGTGAAAGTGGTAAGAAATTCATCGACACTAGCACCGGTGATAACATAAATGGTCTTGAAGCGGATGAAGTGCTTTTCACTGCTCCTCAAGCAGCAGCGATTGCACTGGAGAGAAGATTGGGTGATCCTTTAGACTGCTTGAATGATGGCGATGTTTTAGTTAGTTCAGACCAGGCTAGAGCTCTTATTAAAGGGAAGATTAATGGTCAGAATATTCTTCCTCGGAGCTCATCTGAAATCTTTAGTGACTACCTAAATGATGATGATTCTTTCTAGGCTTTTTGCAAAAAAAAAAAAAAAAAAATAAAATAATTCGAGATCAGGGGTTTGCAGGCATTTATTTGAGTTAATTAGAAATTAAGTCTTTTACTTTTTAGTTATTTTCTCTTTCTAGCTTCTCCAATTTGCAAACTTTATAATCGGTAATAATTTGTATCAAAAAAATGAGATGAGTGCGACGAAATATCAGTATTTAATGTACAAAATGCTCAGATATAGAAAAAAAAACTGGTTCCTCCAGATATAAAAAATGCTCATATGTAGAAAAATAAACAAAAAACTGGTACCTCCAGATATAAAACAAAACATAGTATGATGGTCATGAAATGCGGGTCTGGAAGAATGCATGAAATTTAGACCATAGGAGGTTAGAAGAAAAAAAAAAGAAAAAGGCATAAAAATGGGTGTAAATATTAACTCGAATAACAATGATATATATAGTTTAATGCAATGCAGTCAATTCAACTGTCTTTTTTGAGTCTTCCAGAATTCTCTGGAGAATGAAAACTATCCTTGAATTTTTCTGGGCTACTATCCAAATCAATTAGGTTATTGACCGAAGAGTTCTTCTGTTCAAAATTTCCCACAGAGCGCCTGTTATCATTCTTATTTACACGTTGTTCTTCTTCTTCAATAGAAAGGAGCAAACCATCCTTTACATCAGAGTAGAAGTTCCAAAGCGAAGAGGAGACAGTTTGTAAAACTTCATTTGGGTCCTTCGTAGGATTCAAAGATGGTTTACTACTAGCCAAATCGATGATTGGGTTATTTATCCCATTTCCAGCAGCACCATTATTCCCATCATCAAATAATTCCTTGAAGTTCCTGCTAGAGGCAGAAGAATTACTATTATTTGATCTTTTAGGGATAATGATTTTATGGTCTTTCATGTTAATGGACTTTCTATAAGAAGGATTCTTGCTGAGCTTTAAGCCACTTGCAGTTTTCTCCGACTTGTTCTTTGATAACACAAGCGATGAGCTTCTTTGAAGCGAGGATGATTTCTGACGCTCAGGTTTGGAAGGTGTGTTATGAGCCGCATTGTCATCAAAATCATCATCCCATTTGAAGAAGTCATCATCATCTGCATCATTATCCCCTCCATATTCATCTATTTCATTCATCATGTCTCTTTGTTTGGTTGGAGAGCACTTTTCTCTCACTTCTTTGGCTGACAAAGGCGAAGCAACTCCAGTTAATCCTGAGCCCGCTCCTCCGTTAATCACCCCACCGTTTGAAATTTTTTCAAACTCGGATTGCAACATGTTATCAAACTGAGAGAATAAATTGAGTGGCTTAGAAATACTGTCCCAAACAGAAGACATCCGCTTATTTGAAGGACTACTATTACCATTCCTGGATCCATTTTGATCCTCTGAGGCGTTATCATCGACTGATCCCTCTGTGGACGAAGAAATGGTTGCACCCAATATACCACCCAATAAACTATTGGCTCTGTTTCTACTATTAGTTATAGCAGAATTTTGTGGTGATAAGTTATTTTTGTTGGTGCCAGTGGATTGCCCGCTTTGAGCATGAGTGTGTAGCTTATTATTAGAGCTTCCCAAATTATTATATAAAGATTTTTGAACAAACTGTCTGAGTTCATGTAATTCCTTCATTTCAGTTTGTAATAGAGAGGTCAAATTCTTAATTTCATCCTTCAACTCAACAACCCTCATTTCCTTCAATGCCAAAAGCCGCAATTTTTCAGTAGTTTCATCAACTGGATCTGGAGAGAGGAGCGAGTGTCTTGAAGGAGGAACGGTATGTTCTGATTCGGTATCATTGATTGTAGAAGAGTTTAGTATGGACGTATGGTCAGTGTCGATATCAGCGGGTCTTTGGGGATTATCGCACGATATTTGGGACATGGAAGACGATATTGACAAAGATCTTCCAAGACCTCTCAGTTTCCTGAGATTACTTGCTCCTGTAGAAGATGTGGATGTGGATGCAGATGGTTGGTGATGATACAGCTTAGAAGGGTTGTGATACATCGAAGTGGATCTTTTAAGGCCAAAGGATCTGTTTTGGTGGCCTGAGGGAAACCCATTGGATATCACCGGAGAGTTGTTTGCGCTGACAGAATGTCTCTGTTGTATAACATGGTTACCTATAACTGGGGAGGGCACTGCAGAAATGCTTCTTTTCTGATGCTGAGATGAAGATCTCATCAACGGAGATGAGACTACTTTGTTTTGATCTGGAGTTGTGAGGGCACTATTTGGACCGGAATCTGTTATTGTAATACCCAAATTAAAACCACTTCGGGAAAATCTCCTGGCATGATTTGGTTTGTTTAAAGGAGATTTCAATGGTGTTAGCTTATTTTCATCAGCAATCAGTGTGGTTATTTGAGGTTCATTTTTGCCAACTGTTGGAGCATTTCTCACGCTTTCCTCAGTTTTTTCGTTGGCTAACAGATCATTGTGAGTCTGTGATGATACACTGCCATTCTTAGGCGCTGATTCTTTCCTTAATTCCGACATAGCAGCCAGCTTTCTTGGTGTAGACAGTTGTTGTATTTGAGGATCAACAGGTTTCATTCTGTCCACAAAATATTTCTGAAGGGGACAACGCACCGGTACGGAGCACGCGATAGACACCGCTGCGGCTTTACGGAAATAGTTTTTTCAAGCTGAGATGATGCGATGAGGCAGAATCATGGATACTTTTTGAGTTCTCCGCAGCCAACCATGTCAGAGAATAGCAGGGTTTCGAAGCTCACTTTGGAGCAGAAGAGAAAAAAGTTGGAGGCAAACAGAGCAAAAGCCCTACAGCGAAAGAAGGATCTACTAAATGGCTCACTAAATGGCCAAACCTCAGCTCAAAGGCCTGATGCTAGTAATCGAAATGCCAAAGATAATCGAAAAAACAAGAAAATGATCAAAAAAAGCGATTACATTCAGTATGATATATCAAACACAAAGGATACCAAGGGAGGGTATATAATGGAACCACGGCGCTCAGAAACAGATAAGACTTTGGATGAGTGGCGGCAACAGCAGGAAAAATCAAAAGAGATTCGGCGAGTGCAAGATCCTGCTCCACCGTTGGATATTTCGGCAGCTCCTAAATGCTATGAATGCAATACCATTGATATAAATCTGGAGTTCTTCAATGTTTATGGCTCCAGGGTTTGCAATAAATGCAAAGAAAAGTTGCCAGAAAAATATTCATTGTTAACAAAAACTGAATGTAAACAAGATTATTTTCTAACTGAATCAGAGTTGATGGATACCAGTATTTTCAACAAGATTGAAAAACCAAATCCCCATGCTAAATTTTCCAGAATGCAACTATTTTTGCGATATCAAATTGAGGAATTTGCCTTTAAGAAATGGGGAGGAAGTGATGGGTTAGATGAAGAATGGCTACGAAGACAGAAATATAAAATCGACAAAAAAGCCAAGAATTTTGAAGCAAAGTTAAAAGAAATGAAGAAGAGAACTAGAGCTGAGGAATATACAAGAAAATTAAGGGAAAAAAAAGATGATGGTTATGGCCATGCTCATGATTGGTCAGAGCCTCTAGACGTCGACGGCACTGTGGTTAGAAGAAGATGTAAGGATTGTGGATTGGAAACTGAGGAGATTAATTTCTAGTGAGAACTTGCGGACTTTTGTATTTATATCAAATCTAATATAATTTATACTCCTGATCTTTATATTTTTGAGCCATTATTGTAAATTTCTATTAATCTTTTTTCTTCATCTTTTGGTAAGACATCACCAAATGAAGTTTTCTTGTCACCATTAATGATACCGACTTCAAAGTCACTTCTTTTGCCATCCTTAAGTTGGCCTCCACTTGTAGACAATGAATAGAGTAGCTCTTCTTCTCCGATATTCCTTTTCTTGTCCCAGTATTCTTGTCCTTTGTAAGCTATCTGTGCTAGCTCATACAAGATATTGGCAGTGAGTCCCCACACGTTCCTAACTTGTTGGTTCTGTGCACCTGCATTACTACTCTCATCTTCAGAGGATAAGTCATCGACATCAGCTAACCAAGTAGCTTCATTTTCGTGATTACTCTGTGGATATATTAGCGATCTTAAACACCATTTGATTCCTGCCCAACTTGTGTTAACTGCCCGTTTCTCAAGATATTCACTAGACTTCTCTTGGAGCTCAATTTTCAAATTGGCTTCTTTGCTAACACTCTTGATTTTCCTTTGGTCAAAGAAATCCCTCAATGGGACTGAAAAAATGCTCGAACTTTCTCCAGGGTTTAGACTAAATTGCAATGATTTATCCAAAATATTGAGCTCATCTGACAGAGTTCTCAATATCCCAACACAAGGTCTGACAGCTAACACGGTTCTAGCTACAAAACACGGTAAAAAGTTCAACTTCTCGAGCTTGAGTCCAAGCTTCGATAGCTCTTCGTCTGATTTTGGAAATCCAATTTCTTCAAATGCCTCCCTTCGTGATGTTTCCCACTCTGATTCCAAACCATTATCAGCTTTCCCGCCGGGAAAAGATACGTGACCGGAAAAGTTTCTAAGCGACCTTGATCTTTTCGTCAAAATCACTCTAAGTTCTCCACACCTTCCAAGAAATAGAATTACCAAAACTGCTGACCTTCTTGATATTGGAAGCTTATGCCAGACCGTTGTCTTGGTGTTTGAGTGATAATATAGTGGCTTGTATGAAATAACATTCGGTAAGAAGCAAGCCTCGGTACTCATCGTCGCTGGTATTATGATATAATGAGATTATCGCTGCCCATGCAATGGGTAGTTGGCTTGTGCCGCTGTTCCTTATCGATTTTCTTAAACCTTTTTTTTTTTTTGTTGAGGTGCGTTAAGTGCTTACTAACAATATTGACGGGTTGAACGGAATATAAAAATACTTGGGAACTATATACAACAAAAGCTCGGGTCCTAGTTTTGTTTGACCCACTTGACAGCATTTTTGCTAAATAAATAAGAGCTTCCTCCAAGGACAGTGGTGAACCCAACAAAGTAGCCATAATACTCGAAGAGCATGTTCATCAACGATAGAGTATCAACATCACCGATAGTTGGCTCAACAACGGGCTTGAATATGGCTAACACTACATAGACCATTTGAAATGCCGTATTGTACTTCGAGATTGTAGTAGGAAAGACTTTAACGCTGGGTATGCTGAAGTCCCAATATCTCATAAATGTCTTTGGCGGTGGTAACGACTTGTACCGAATAAATATGGCAGAGATCCCCATTAGAATATCTTTACCCAAGATTAAAACCGCCAAATACATTGGAAAATCATAGTTGGAAATCGCTAGAGACGTGGTAGTTATGATCATCAAAAGCTTGTCTGCCATTGGATCAATAATCGAACCGACAATTGTCTTCAAGTTATACTTTCTAGCAATGTAACCATCAACAAAATCAGTAATACATGAATAGATAAAAAATGGCAAGGCAAATGAAATCTGCTGCTTAACAATGAAGTACCCTATTAGTGGAGCTGCAGCTATTCTAGTTAAAGTGAGGAAGTTTGGTAAGGTGTAGATATTCTCATGCTTTGGAAGAATATTTTTTATTGGGGCTGATATTTTTGACTGTAAATCTTTTGATTTATTGATTAACTCTTTGGCTTTAAGCTTGCTAGATACTACTTTTGAGGAGATATTATGTGAATTCTGGGTTATCAGCGAAGTTGTGAGACCTCGGTTAAATGACTGGCTTGCCTTAACGAAAAGGTTAAGATTGAAAGTCCGGGGAGCAAGTTGACTTTTCCCGAACCTTAGGGAAGTGACACCAAGCTTAGCCCAAACCCCTAAACCATTCATTTTTCACGCTAGCTTTTCTATTATATTTGTCTATGTATTTGGTCCTGAATGTATGACGCCGTCTAAGAAACTGGAAATTTCCGCTTTTTTTTTTTTTTTTTTCGTAGATTTTTTTTGATTTCTACGATGTCTGTCTGTCTGTTCCCCGGGACATATTTATCAAAAACCCCCCGCAAAATATAAATAAATATTACAACTAGATCTTACAACTGTAAAAATAAGAACAAAACGGTATCAGATGATATGAAAAGATTAATAACCAACATACATAACTGCTCATCTAGCAAAAGTAATATCATCGATTCTCAAAATCGACTTGACACACTCACTGGCAAGAGTAATGGCACTAATATTGACCAAAACTGGTTGCAAAACATTTTCAGTGAAAGTGTTGCTAGCACCAGATCTTCTCACTGATATACCAGCGTATTTTTCCCCATTTTCGTGCTTGTTTCTCAATTCAGTAACCACATTTATACTATTCAAACCAGCATTTTCCGCCAAAATTACTGGAATGATTTCCAAAGCTTCTGCGTACCCCTTGAAGCAGAAAGCTTCAGTTCCTGGTAACTCTCTAGAAAGCTTTAATAATTGTCGGGAAACTTCAATTTCTGGAGCTCCGCCACCAGCGATCAAACCTCTTTCTTTAACGATACAACGAATAACACACAAGGCATCGTGGATAGATCTTTCGGTTTCATCCAAAACTAAGTTATTAGCACCTCTCACTATGACTGATACGGTATTCGAAGTGCTTTGCTTGATACCAGTAATCTTAACGATTTTAGATCCATTAGAGTCTGTTTCTTCGATCAAATCGGCTTGACCTAATTTGTCTTCAGTGAAAGAATCAATGTCCGCAATTGGTTTGCAGCCCAAAGATTTGGCAATGAATTCAACTTCGTCTCTTTCAATCTCCTTAATGGCCATAATATTCAACTTCGACAAAAAGTGTAACGCTAAGTCGTTAACCGCATCTCTCAAAATAGATTTTTGGATCAACAATACATTACATTTGGATTTTTTGATCTTCTTGCACATATTCAACAAATAGGCTCTTTCTTCTTTCAATATTTTATCCATCTGTCTGTAATCGTTAATCACTATATTGTTTTCCATGTCTGGTTTTGGAGGTGACAACTGGAATTGAATCAACCCAATTTTCGCTTTTTCCACTCTGATTGGACCACCAGCAGATTTAATAGCATTTTGGTTCAATACAATCCCGTCGATCAATTCTGTGTCATCAATTGTGCCGCCCAATTTCTTAATAATTCTGATATCGTTCAAATCAACAGAGTATGGGTTATTAACACGATCATGAACTTTCAACACTGAGTCTACTGATAATGGAGCTAACAAATTAGAATGTTGGGAAACAATCTTCGAAGACAAGGATGTCGAAGCAGCTTTTATCAAGGCTTCACGGTCATCCAAAGAAATCTTTTGAGCCATATCTAACAAGATCTCCACTGATTTTGCAGCAGCTCTTTGAAAAGATTCTGCTATTATGGTAGGGTGGATACCTTTCTTCAATAACTTCTCGGCAGCACCCAATAAAGCACCAGTGACGACTACAACAGACGTGGTACCATCACCAGCTTCGACATCTTGAGCCTTAGAAACATCAACCAACATCTTGGCAGCAGGATGCAACACTGCCATATGCTTCAAGATAGTATGACCATCATTGGAGATGATAATTTTCCCCTTGCCGGTCTTGATCATTTTATCCATACCTTTTGGACCAAGAGAAGTCTTGATGGCATCTGCCACTGCTCTTGCAGCCAAAATATTGGAGTTTCTCACCTCTTGTGGCTTTTCTTTATCCTTGAAGGTGGCATTTGAAGGCGCCGTTTTAGCGGCTGAAGCTGCGCTGGACATTCTTTCAATTGCTTACTGAATAATTCTAGTCCTCTTTGCAATATTGCCTCTATTTACTTTCAAAAAAAATCAATGAATTTTCCAAAGAGAAGAAAAAAAAAGGCCAATGTTATTATTACCCTCTTGTGCACGTGATTTAACTCTAACACCTGGCAGATAAGGTTCCTCATGGTAGAACTGTTCGTTTGGCAAAAATTTATTCATTAATGATTTGTTTGTTTGCAAAAATATATTTTAATACAAGAGACTAATTCATAAAAGTTCTAAAATTTTACCGGCACCAATGGTTATTCCATCCCTTCTAAAGACAATTCTTCCCAATCTTTCATCATTTTCAAATGTCATTAAAGGAATTGGTCTTGGTAACTTAGTGCTTTCATCTATTAGCTTGACTTCCACAACTGCCCTCTTGTAAGAGCCTAAGTGCAAAATTCTCTTTTTCTTTTTCTTTTTCTTTTCACTATCAATCAAGTAAAGAAACTGGGTTATTTCTGCAGGTCTTTCTTGGCCGCCCGAGTGTACAAGAACCTTCGACCCCGGGAGCAATGGTATATCTCTCAAATCAAATAAATTCAATTCACAATTAAACTTTATAGTGGAAGCAATAACTCCAGCATCATCAACTGATACTTTCGAAAGTAAATCTCCAGATCGAACTAAATCGATGTTGCTCTTTAACTCGTCCTTTGCTTTCTTGTCCTTGAAAAACAAAAACACATTGTTGTCAAATTTTACTGTACAATCCCTTTCTTTATAGACTTCAATATCCTTACTAGCATCACTTTCTGGAGTTTTAATAGAGTCGATCTGCAATGGCAAACCACCTGGCGAAGAAATCACAGTCTCGCCAGTCTGAATAAATCCGGAATTAACTCTACCAGTAATAGAAAATTCTGAGGCTTGATGATAATCTGTACTGATATCAGAAATTTGAAACAAAAATTTCTCTTCGAAGATACTTTTGCTACTTTCATTTGCTGCATGTAAAACTTTCGCCTCATTTTCTAAAATTTCCAACAATGTTGGTTTACAGTTAGGATACCAACTGGTCAAACTCTTAATGGTCGGCTTCTTCGAGACATTGGTTCCATCAATTCCTGAAACAGGAACAAATATCAACTGCTCTTGAGTGAAGCCAACATCATTCACCAAAAATTCTCTTAGTCTTTTTTCAATATCATTGTACCTTTCTTCGTCATAATCGATCATGTCCAATTTGTTCATCACGATTACCAATTTTTTCATTCCCAATGAGTATGATAACAAAGCATGCTCCTTGGTTTGACCATCATAACTAAAACCGCTTTCAAAACCATCGTAGTTGGCATCAATAATTAACAAACCAATATCTGCCTGTGATAAACCCGAAATCATTCTTGGAACATAATCCTTATGACCTGGTGCATCAATAATGATGAAATTGGCCTCGTTAGTATCCACTGCAGTAGTACAAATATCAACAGTAACCCCCCTTTGCCTTTCGTCGATAGTTTGATCCATTATCCATGCCAAGGCAAAAGATTTCTTACCTGCCCTTGCTGATTCATCCTCAAGTTTCTTGAGAAAATTTTTGTTCACTTTGTTAAGAGATTTTAAAAACATTCCCATCAAAGTGGACTTACCAGCATCAACATGCCCAATAACCGCAAATGACAAATTTGGCTTTTCATTGGAAAAAATGCTATCCAAATCCAATTTCTTCTTTGGTTTCGTTGGTTTTGGTATCTTTAGATTCTTGACACCCACAGTTATATCCTCCACAAGCTTCTTCTCTTTGATTTCTTCAGTATCCTTGTTTGAATTGGATACTTGGTTACCTTGTGCGCTAAGCACAATATCATCAGGACTAGGTTTGGTAAAATTGGCCTTGATCTTATTTCCACTTGAAACTATAAGTTTGTCGTTAGTTTTTAGCTTTGTCACTGGTAGATAAGTACTATGAAGAAAATTATCGAACTGATTGACTTTATTTTGAATAGAGGGGTTACTGGTTGAGTTTTTCACTGTAATTATGGAAAATGAGGAATTTGTGCTGCTCTTTAATAACTCATGCTTGAGGCTAAATTTGGAAAATATACTACCATAATCTGAGGAAATTGAACAAGGAAGTTCAAAGATATTTTCCTTCGCAGGTTGTATTGTTTTCATTAGATCCTCTTTTATTTCTTTTCCTATTCCAAATTTCCTGGTGTCTACATTCACATCTTTCTTGCTGATCAACAATTCCTTTTGTTCTTTTTGTGGTGGTGCTATTCCTCTTCCTTTATTTAGTCGTAAGGCAGCCAACTTTGAAAGTTTTGAACCACCTTCTGGTTTCAGTTCCAAATTATCTAAATTATTATTGCCTCTTGAAACTTTGGGCTGGCTTGAGGTTTCATTCTTCAAACTGAGCCTATCTAAAATTGAAATGGATTTCAAATCCTTATTGCCATTCAGTCTGCTGGCGAGCCCACTCAATCCTACTTTACCCTCTGAAGAAGATTTTGACTTTTTGATTTTTGCCAATGCAGCAAGTTTGGATTCTTAAACTGTTAGCGAAACTGTTACTTCGTTTTGGTCATCTTTCTCAAAATAAAGTCGACAATCGCTAAACTGAAAATTTTCTTCCACATTTTCCTGATCCAAATGAAAAACAAAAAAAAAAGGTAGAAAAAGAAAAATAATGGCAAGTGGGACAATTATATAACATACCTTTAGGTGCTGGTTTGCTGGATGGCTTTTTTTTGAATTTTTCTATAAAAATATATTAGTAATCTTATAAAGACTGGCTTTCCACACTTCAGAATGGAGAAAAAAAAAACTCACTTTTCAAAGAGCTAATAGCCTCATCAACTTCCATATAACATTCCCAAATTTCGTTGTATATATCATCATAAGTAAACCCTGTGTACTGCGACAATTCCTTCTTCACCTGAGGAATGAGTTCTTGAATCTTTTCATCGTCTTCTGGACTGATTTCATCACCTTCATCGTAGTCATCATTTGCATAATCATGCAAGTCGTCTTCCTCGAGGTAAGTTGCCATTCTTCTATACACTTTTTAGCTACTGAAATCCTGGAAAGTAGATGTTTGTTCCAAAATCGCAGAAGCACATTGATTTATTTGGTTGACACAGAAATTGTATTTATGATCTCGTGATCAGGCCGGGTAATATGTTCTTTGCATCCAGCTAAACGTTACAGGGCTGACAATTACATTACACTAATGATTTATAATATATTATAATGTTGGATTGCTCTTTTAACGAAAAAGAAAAGAAGAAAAACTTTCATATAGGTGGGTTGTTTCTGTGGAATTCAGATATTTCCTCGATTTTCAGAAGTTTTATATAGGTTTCCAGTTTGTCGATCTCCCCGGCCGAACTATTTCTTTTCCCATTGAATCTGCCTTTAAGATTGACGTTGACTCCTTTGAAAACATTTTTCAATATAGCCACTAAGACCTTCATTCTTTCACCATTTTTCATAAAATATTTCAATAAGCTCTTCATCATAAGTGTCTCATTTCCTTTGCTTTCTCTCACTATTTCAATAAGCTTCTCTCTGGGAATTAGTAGGTTATTGAACATTAAAAGAATCTCAATTTGAGAGACCATCAATTCAATTTGCCTTTCCTCGTTATTTTCTGAAGATTCTTTTCTATTAGCTTCCCCATCTTTTTTTATCCAAATAGAAAGTTTTGATATCCTTGGTGATCTTATTGATACTTTTTCGTCCCAAAACTCCATAAATTGATACTTCTCAAGTCTGTTTATGAGTAACAAATCAATGCCATAGGAATCATTTGAATTAGATAGATAATTTGTCCTGATTGATTGAAATCTGTATGTCTTGGATATGATCTCTTCCCAAAGTTGAAAATGCTTATCCGCAAGTCCAGTGTTCAAATTCAGTAAAGAACTACCGCTTTTCACCATCGACACTCTGGAGAGATCCTCCAAATCAAAATTTGCACTATCAGTTGCTTTCATTGAGCTATTTAAATACGATCCAATATTTCCTTCGTTTATTTTACCAAAGAAATTCTTCGGACTATTTGACTCAGGAAGAATTCCACTTTCATCGTTAATGTACATCCTTAAAAAAGGAAATTTAATTTGTTCATCAAAATCCTTTTGGGTCATGTCCCTAAGCTTATGCTCTAAAGACATCAAGTATTTGTTAATTTCATTCTCAAGAGCTTCAGGTTCATAGTTGCCACTAACAATCGATATATGGATGCCCGTTGTATTTCTATATATTCTTAGTCCTGCGGTAACCACATAACCCAATTGCTTATTTGAGCGAAGTTCAGTGATGGCGTCCAACGATACAAAAAAGCTAAGCAACTTTGTCAAAGTCCTATTCTTTGAATCATCCCTTAAACCTGTTTGGATGAAGTACACTATACTGTTCGTGAAATCAGGACTAGATCTTTCAAAATAGTAATTATGACCCTGTTTGATGAAATGGGTGTTCGGACATTTATAGTTTAATTCTTCTTTGGGAATGTGACCTCTAAAAAGATGATTGGTTAGAATATCAACTTGGCTAGATATTCTGAAAGCTTGTTCTTTCCCAACATCTCCCTGAACAAATATATTTGTATACAATGAATTGTTTTCATTATGGAATATTTGGTGTACTAATTCTTCGATATCCTCGTAAGTATTATCACTGAGCTCTTCGAGTCGTCTTTCCAACTGAATGGAGTTCTCCTCCAACAACACCACTGATCCAGCAGTCGCTAACTGAAAGGAGTTTTGTTTGGCCAAATTTTCATAGAATTCTTTGATCTTTGACCTCGATTTGAAATACAAGGCATCATCAATCACTGATGCGAATCTGTTTCTTTTGTATAATAGAAGCTCATTCAAAATCAAAGTAATCAATAAGTCTATCCTGGCAGAAAATCCGCCAACGATTATCCCAATTCTCAAATCATTTTTACTAGAAGTAGTTAGGTTCCAGCTATATCCTAGAGGTTCACTAGAATGAAGTTTAGAGTATAATCTTGCACTTATGATTTCGCACAAGATTTCATTTGAAACTATTTGCTTCGCACTTGCCTTGGCTATACCAGTACTGACAATATCAATAGATACTATCATCTTCCCTGAATATTTTAGTAAATGTTCGGGCTTGTAATAGATTTGATGGTGTCTATCTGATTCGAGTAATATCGGTGGACCTTCAAAAATACTATTTTTATTGTTGCTGAACCCTAAGGAATTCTTTGAGGATATCTTGAAACTTTCTTCAAATCTCCTGAGCACCAAATCATATTTTCTGGCAAATTCTGGAATAAATATATTTTTATTGAAAATTATTCTCATAGAATCGATTTCGGATTTAACTGAAATACCATCGATGCCTTTCAAGTAGTTGACATTGATTTTGAAATATTTGTAAGAGAAACAGAAATGTGGATCCTCATAAAAGTCACTCCCTTGAATTGCAAATTGCTTGGAATATTCGTTGTAGTAGTCATCATCAATGAGGAATAGCTCATTGAAAGTCTTAATCAAATCCCCCTTACCATATACCAACAAATTGAAGTTATTATAATTAATATTTCCGACTACAAATTTGTAAAACTCCAAAGCTCTCTCTTCCCACCATTTTTTGGCATCATCATTTTCAGAGTGGAAGCCTTTGAATCCCTCAAAGTCATTCCAAGACGGCATACCTCTCAATATCCATTTAGGTCCCAACATTCTCAAAGATTGCTGCAAATTCACAGAATAATCTGATACTTCATCCATTGATGTTTGATTTACGTCCAAATATAGGTAGTTTAGAAGGTCTATAGATAAAGCGTCAGACAAGTAGCTCGCCAAACTATCAATTATTTCCGATTTCTTTAGCTCTTTCTCCTCGAAAAATAGCTTGAAAGTCTCATTTATGGTCCTAAAAAACATTGAAATTATATGGTCGATATTTCTGGATCCTGTCTTCGTTAGCTTCAACTGGACAATCAAACAGTTTGATCCGATTTTCAATTCAGAAATGAAACATTCCATACTTTGGATATAATTTTTTCTCTGAAGAAACTGATAAAATGTCGACCCAGAGCTCTCATCTCCTAATATTCTTACCATTATATCAGCAAAGAGAAGAGACTTCTTTGACTGATCAGCATCATCAGCATTATAATCTAATGGGAAAGCTAAACGAGTTATATTTTCTGTATTAGCCTTAATGACAAATTTGATGAAGATACATCTATTGAGCTGCTTTCTGTTAAACGGTTTAGTTTTGTGATCATAGCTCTCTCGGATATTCTGAAAGTCGGAAATATCTTCTTTTTCTTCCACGAAGTTGTATTGAGGGATCAGACCAAAACTTGATAGAACCAATTTTTGAATAAGATTGACGGACTGGGGACTCTTCACTACCAAAGCAAACTTTCTTGGTTTATAATTACTATCAAAATAGGTGATTAAAGAGTCGCGTAGGGTACTTGTCGGGACTTTCAATAATGTGGACAAATTTCCTGTGGCAAATCTGCGGAAAACATTTCCTGGGCTGGCTTCTGAAAGTAATCTAAGTCCATGAAAAAGAATCTTTGTTAAATTTGTCTTGTTCCTGAGATGCTCGTTGTCAATTGCCATCATCTCTTTCTTCATAAATGGCATGTTGAATGTTGGAGAACAAAAAGTATCCGAAAATACTTTCAAAGACTCATCCAAAAGTCTGAAATCATTATTTGGAGATTTCATTTGAAAATAAAAACACGTTATTTCCCCTGTAGTATAGGCGTTTAACATTCCTTCATTGGTGGATCCCACAAGTTTTTGTAAATGATTGGGTTTTGGATATTTCTTCGATCCTAAGAGAATCATATGCTCACAGAAATGAGCTAAGCCCGATATTTCATCTGGATCATTATAAGCACCAGAACATACTGACAATGATACAGCTGATGTATCTTCTGTTGGGTCTGATATTAAAAGTGTAAGTATTCCGTTTGATAATTGGATTAGCCTGTATGTTCTATTGCATAACCCGATAGGAATAAAGAGCTCATGTTCAAAGTTCCTGGTTTCAAACACCGTAGAATTCATATTTTTTGTAGCATTTTGTCAAAAGCAAAATGAGATTGTTTTCGTGTTGATCAGCATTCCTTTTATCTAATTTGAGATTAGCCTCTGGCGGAGATGCTGGTGTAAGCCAAGACTGCCATTTTGGGACAAATCAATAGAAAAATATTGAATTATCCTCAATGATTCAACGTTAATTCTCTTGAGCCATCTTCAATAATGAAAATCCCGTCATCGCACTGTTAAGCTAAATCTTCTGGTATAATGGTAACAGCCTGTGTATGATCTTGGAGTAGTTTCTTAATGTTTTGATAAAAGTGCACTGGAATTTGCCTAAACAATCACCTGTGAGAAAAAAAAAAAAAAAAAAAAAAAAAAAATTAAAAAAATAAAAAAAATTCAAGATGAGATGTCCTTCCACACAACAGTTAGTGAGAAAAATAAAGTACCTCAACCGGAAAGATAAATGGCTGAAAATATTTCCAAAATGTATGGAATTATAATTCAACTTCATATCTATTATTATATGAACTAACATTCATGCAGTCTAGTGTTGAACCCTCTTCCCTCGAAGATCGAGTCTGTTTTAAAGAAATCAAACCAGATAAATAAGTCTAATGGCCCGTTTGATTGTACTTTTTTGATAGGTGACTCGTTCATAGAAAGTATTGAAGTCCCTCTGATAAATGTGAATTGTAAAACTTATTTTTTTGAGGGTATTAATGATGTGCTAAGTATGGACAATCCGAAATCAAGCATGAAGGACAAAAAAAATCTTAGCTATATGGGAAGATACGGGATTACTGAAACAGAAAATGGGTTAAAAATTGGATTCATATCAGGAAAACTAAAAAAAGAAAACGATTACGTAAAATCTGAAGTGACTTCCATGTTCAGTGATGTGAAATTGGATATATTGATCAGTTACTTTTGGCCTCAGGCATATGCCAAAACCAATTCTGACATTGCAGATAAAGTTGTTGATGAAATAATAGCAAAGACTGAGCCGCGCTATGTATTTTCCTGTGGTAAGGAAAATGGAACATATTTTGAATCAAATCCTTTTCAATGGAAGCATACTAGTAGGGTCTCAAGGTTTATAGGTCTTGGAGAATATAAGACTAAAGAAAAGTGGTTTTACGCCTTCAATATATCCAAGGAGCAATCAAATACTGAAACTCCGGACAATTTAGTTGATAATCCTTTTGATCGTAATGATAGGTTACTACCTCAAGGCAAGAAACGCGCATTAGAAGAAGGTATTCAAGAAAATGACGATAAAAAAATTATTGAGAAGAAACGTAAAGTGATCAACCCTGATAATTGCTTTTTCTGTCTAGGAAACCCAAAGGTAGAGGCTCATATGGTTATTTCTGTTGGCTCATCTTGCTACTTAGCGGCAGCGAAGGGTCCATTGACAAAGCCTCACAAATTTAAAAATAAGCCGATATCGGGACACACTATCATCATTCCAATCAATCATATTTCTAGCGTCCCTCCTTTACTTAGATTTGGCAATGATAAAGGTGATGAAATCATATTAGATATGGAGAAATTCGGAGACAGCTTACAGAAATTTTATGCTACTAGCTTTGAAATGGGTATTTGCAAGTTTGAGATTAATACTTTAAATTCTGTTCATTACCATCAGCAGGTTATTCCAATTAACTTATTTCTTTCAATCAATAGGTTTCAGAAGCACTTGAAACACTGGGAAGAGAAGAATAACAAAAAAAATGACAATGATAGCAAAAGTTTACTTAATTTTCATTTATTGAAAAAAGAAGCAACAGGTTATGACCAGCAAGTAATGGAAAGCCTTTTCAATGAAGACAAAAAGGAATATATTTCTATTGAGCTTACTATCAATAATCTTGATGACAACAAGGCAGAGGGCACTTACTTATTTATTTCGGTGGTGGATTCCTCAAAATATATTGATTTACAATTCCTCAGAAAAGTTGTCGCTAACTTTTTGAATTTAAGAGAAAGGGTGTATTGGAATAAGTGCATTCAATCCACTGAACTTGAGACCTTGGAAACTGAAGCTTTTAGAAATTTATATGCGCCTTTTGATTTCACGTGTCAATGAGAAACAATTTCTGTGTTTTTATATGTACATTAGCTAATATATATTACAGTCTATTATTGTCTGAACCAAGAAAAAAAAAGTACGTGCCTAATCAGAATCTTCGCACAAATCAAAATCGAATGCAAAGCCACTAGATTGGCCTTGTTCTTCATTATTACGGCTTTGAACAACATCATGCCAGCCCTTAGTTTGCTTTTTTGAGTTTTTGACTTGATTTTGTAATATAGCACTTTCAAGCACTTCAGAATAACCTTTTTCAATGAGTAACTCCTCAAAAGCTTCCAATAATGGAATTTCACAAATTTCCTCATCATCATCAACCTCATCATGTAGAATATCCCTCTTTGCTGTTTTAGGTGCGCTTTTGGTTTCATGGCTATCGATATATTTTTTTAGAGATTGTTTTCTAAGAATGAAATCCGCATCAGATGAATCTATTTTTTCCATGCGCTCTAACAAAACATTCAATGATTTTACCAATTTCGCTGAATGGAACCCTGATATTTGATCCGATTTTCTTTCAAAAAATTCTAAAACACTTGGTAAAACTGGTGAAGGGACGAAATTTTGTGTTAACGCAACTGTATCATCTATATTAACAACAAGGTGCCACCAACCTTTAGGAACATAGTTACATTCTCCGGCGAAAACAACCGAGACATAGACCTCATTTTCATGATCCTTTGATAATTTTAAAATATCATTGAAAAAACCAGAGAGGAAGAACTCTGCAAGCGAAACAGGACTTGTTACCTCACTCTCGTCCTTGTCAGTTCCCACCCCAGGAGGCGTCAAGTGTGGAGGAATCATAATCCAAAGTTTACAACCGGACAAGACAGCATTCCATGCGCATGTAGAGTTGGGATCTTTGTGGAACGTTGAGCCAGTTCTTGACGACCCAATAATCAACCATCTGAAATTTGGTCGACAGTTAACTATATCTTTACCTTCAACGGTATCGCTTTCCTCATTCAATACTGTGAAAAGATCATTTTGAAAGCAAACTGGAACTTGATATTCCTTCGATAGTTGAGATATCGCTGAACTATCACAATCAAAAAGGTAGAGAGGGCTTTCGTCACTGTTTTCAGAAAGATACCTAGAATATGCTTCTAAAGACCATTTCACTGATTCTTGTCTAAAATTAACTTTTGGAAATCTCTCTAGTAGAGAAGCTAATGACCATGAGGGCCATCTATCACTGACTCCGGAGTTAGTCAAAATAAAAGGGTGATTTATAAGATTCTTTTCAAAATATTGAAGCGATACTTCTTTCTCAGGTATTCTAAGAACAGATCTATAGAATGAGTCTTTAGGTTGTTCAGTTATTCCTTTTTTGTGGTAGACTTTCTCTTCCGCTATAATCCTTCTGCAGAGTTCATTGTAATCTATTTTGGAGCACTGGTAGGGTCTAAATAGTAAATCAGAGCAAAGCAAGTTGTTAGGGCATTGAGGTTTTGCTTCTTCATTTACTCTTAACAATGTTTTTCTCCAAGAACCTTTCCAATCTATCGATAACGAATCTTCACCATTATGTTGAAGATATAAGTTTTTCCATAACTCATCTTGGTAAGTGAAAGCGTACAAAATTCTTGAAGCATGGCCAAAATTTTTGAGATCGCTGGCATTATCTATCAAAGATATGATTTCGTATAACAACTCATCTGAAAAAATGGATAGTAAACCCAAGTCTTTGGACCAACGCTCCTGAAAAGTTAGAACTTCCTTATCAGAAAGAAGAATATGGTTTCCTGATGGTTTGACATTGAGAGGATGTCTCGGGACAGCCAAATGGTTCATATTTGCCTAACGTCTCAAATTTACTTCACGATAATGAAGGTAAAAGGAAAAAAAAAAAAATCACCTCATCCTTTAGTATGAGAAAAAAATTCATAATTTAATTCCTCCGGAGTGCGTATAGTGTCTGAATTTTTAAAGCTTTTTTTGTGGAAATGGGAATGGAACACCATATTTGATGATTCAGGTATCACCGCCATCTGTCGACGTCATTTTCGCTTAGCTATAGAAAATGGCTTCTGAGGAGCGTAAGAAAGAACTTAGGGAAAAAAATATTCTGTCATGGTATCTTGAGGATGATGAATTATTCTTTTCCTCGGGGAAATATGACACATCCTTGAAGAAGAATAACTCCTTCATTAAAAGAATAAAGCAATCAATCACAAAGGAAAACCAAGAGGCAATATTGAATGATATCCATACGCTATCTCTTGAGAAGTATCTAACTGAAATTATTCATGCCTTGAGTGAAAGCTTGACAAAGTGTGTGAAAGGTGACGATGTCGCTGCAGCAATTGAAATAATATCAGCTCTTCATCAAAGATTCACATGGAAGTTCACCCCATTCATTCAGCAAAACATATTGGCGGCCTTTGTTAATGAACCGAATGTCCTCAAGAATCAAGATGCTGAATTTGACGCAAATATCAAATTGAGCAAGCGAGATCTTGAAAGAATATCACTTCAAAAGATTTATCTAAGGCTATTTATGGAATGTTACTTTGTTGGTCTTTTTGATAGAGTAGAGACATCTTCAATAGATGAGTACCCTCCTTTTATTTCTCAGGTGTACATTTCACTTAGAAAAAATGGCGAGCTGTTGAATGCTAATGATATTTTAATAGTGGTGCTCAAGGATATTTTACATTATGAACCAAGATTCGGTTCAAATATTGGCATCATCTCAAGTTTCTTGAAGCGCTATGGAGAAATGTTCAGCAGCTCAACACTTTCTGCTCAAGAGAATTATGATGATCTGTTTCCGTTACCTGTGAGAGAAGAATTGAATCATTTATTCCTCAATTATGGGAAAATCTTCCAAAAGTACACCATAAAGTTGTATCAACAATTATACAAGTTGAAATTCAGGATCAAAAAATCGAGTATAAGGATGGGAAAAATTTCAGAAGAATTGAACAATTCTTTAGAGTTGCGCATAGAATTCTTTGAAAGATATCAGGGTTTGTGTGATTTGATGGATAGTATCCTACATCTAGGCCCACTAATGTTGCCCGTTTTGGATGAAAACCTTCTAAGTGATGATGAGGATGGAGAAACAAAAATCACAGTGGGAAACAGCAATGACACCAATCCAAACGTCAGTGAGAATGGGATTACAATCTGGCAAAATGATGAAGAAAGAGAATTTTACACGTATACTTACGATGTCAAGGAAAGGCTCTCTGAAGACTTGTTTGTTGAAATAGGCTCAGATAAAGGTGAAGAAATGACCAAATTCATCAATGATTTGGAAGATTGTGATTCCAAGAAACTAATTGATGAGCTCAGTTTGGAATATTGGACAAGACAAATGAATAACAAGGCCTCTAGAAATAGGCTCTTGAGAGTTTTCCTTGATTGTGAGGAAATCAACAAGATGAAATATTATGGTAGATTTTTGGCTAATAATAGAGATGTTTTGAATGAATTAAAGGATCAGTTGGTGGAAAAATTGGATAGTTCTTTCAGGTTTTTGATCTATAATGGCCAGACTTCAAACATGGAGCAAGTTGGGCGAGTCAATATCAAGAAGGTTTACTTCTTTAATGAGTTAATCAAGTTTAATTTAGTGGAAATACATGTGGTATTCCATAAACTTCGATCAATGATTTTGAATTTGAACTCAAAATCTAGCAATATTGATATCTTGAATATTTATTTTGATCAATGCGGAAGATTCTTATATTATGTTAATGGTAAAGAGTCAAAAATATTGATGGAAGAAATGTTAGATTTATTAAAAACTAAAAAAATGGAAGACAAAAAGTTATCAATGAATGACAAAATGGCAATCGATAGTTTGTTGTTGATTATTAACCCACCATCAATCAAGGCCCTTAATGAACAAAATCTTCTAAATCAAGATAATGAGGAGGCTACTTTCACCATGGAAATGAAATTTATTAAGCATTTGATCCAAAAAGAGATGAGCGAGACTACCTGGCGTCACATTGCCTTGATCATTTTAAAATTAGATTTGACAGATTTTGAGAATTTTGAATTTTTAGAGAAGATCTTTTCCAAACCTGAGGCTGTGAATTTTGAAAATATTAGATATTTGGCAAAAATGCTACTTTTCTTCAAGCGAGAAAACATTTCGAAAACATTGTTTGTATTTATTTTGGATAATATTTTAGAATATATCCAGAGGGGCTTGGAAATCAATAATTATAAGTACAATAGAATAAGAATGGCTACGATCAAGTATCTTGGTCATCTTTTGAATTTGATTTTCAGTGATTACAATGAAAGTGAAACTAATGAATCTGAATTCATCTCTTTTTCACAGATATTATTTAAAACATGTTATAAGTTGATTGGTTTTGGTTACCCAAGTCCTGGCCCGAATTTACCCAAATTGCCTATGAGAAATTTCTTTAATGCTTCAGATTCACCAGATGATTATTTTAGAATAAATCTTTTAATAACATTATTAGACACCTTCAAGAACTCCACATTGATGAGAAGAATTATTGAGGAGAATGTCAATCAACGGCCTGGAGGCCTTGATGAGTCTGAGTTACAATTCCTGAAACAGTTTGGGACATTGTTGCTATTCATCAATTATTATGTTCTTGTCAAAAGTCAACCCGTTCCAAAAGATATAAATTTCAAGATTGTAACATATTTTGAATCTTTAAGTGATGAGGGGTTTTATGAATACAGTAGTGACTTGAATAACATTATGCAATTGCTTGGTGAGCATTTCCGGACGTTAACAGGAGTCAAAATTACTCAACCTACTGATAAGAACAATGACAATGTTGCCAAAAATAGCTATAATCATGTCAATCACATAGGTGATTCCCAGCGCCCCATGAAGATAAGGCCAACTGGTCATTCTACACACCGAATTCAGAAGGTTGATGCCAACGACCCTAGTGCTATGCCAATTACTTTATCGAGTAATGATAACTGTGAGGATAATGATGATGGATATGTTGATAACGTTGATGATGACGACGATGAATATGATGACGACGATGAATATGACGATGATGATAATAGTGATTATGTTGATGATAAAGAATTGGATAAAAAGTTACAAAAGAAGTTTGATCAAGAAATCGATGCTCAATTGAATAAAATGATTCTTCTTGGTATTGAGTCCAGAAGACAAGTGGATGTCCAAGCCGAAGGTTTGGGCTCGCTTAGGGGTGTAAAGCCTATTAAACCACCAGGAAAACTTTTAATGAATCAAAATTCGAAGAAGGTTGCGTTCTCATTGGTCACTAGAGGTAAGGATAATGGTGATCCTTCAATCAAAAATATCAAGATTTCAAGAGATGAGAGGATTGTTCTGGAAAAGCTTGAAGCAATTAAGAAAATACGAGATGAGAAGGATAAACTCAAAGAATTTGTGTTGAGGTCGCAAAATATCCTGGAAAATGGTGATGGTTTTCCTGATGATGGACCGGTTAATATTGTGAAAGGTGGGATTCTTTTAAATAGGCCACTCCCGACTAAGAAGAAGAACTACTAAAAGTCGCGTAAATATTTGCCGGTGATAATATATTTTAGTCTTTTTCTGTTGCTATTTTTTTTTTTTTTTTAGCTTTGTAACTTTAATCGAGTTGCCGCATCCCGCAGTGAACCCAAACATTTGTTCCCAGAACCAATATCCCCAGAATACTCAGGTGAGACAAATCGACGTGAGTTACATTGTTGTTGTGGCAACTGTTTTGCTTAATCGAACATTTTTCTTTTTAATCTTGTGCATATTTATTTGACTCCTAGGCTAAAAAAAAAAAAAAAAGAGTCAATTATTTAACGGTGTGACTTGATTTGTCACTCCCAAGAAAAAAAGAAATGAAAAAAAAGTGTGAGCACACCACTTGGTTTAATGTTTATTAAATGGATTCAAATTAAGTAGATCATCATTTATTATCCCCAGTGATTTCAGATTGCTATTATCTGGTGGTGCTTCTTTTGCCCGGTATTGACTTGCGCTCTTGTTTTCTAATAATTGGGATTTTCTGTTTTCGGATGTCACGTCATCTGGCGATTTTCATTGATGCGTTGTTGATTTAATTTAGATTGATTTGAAATTATTGCAAGGCAAGATACACAGATAAAAAGAGAAATAAAAAAAAGGAAATAAGGAGAAATTATATTCAATATTTCATATAGAAATATAAGAAATAGAGCATTTAGTATTACTGTGCTATTTTGAACTTGCTTAACAAAAATATTGAACGTCACGTCATACCAATTTACCGCTATCGCTGTTCTCAAGCACCTCCTAGGCCCCTTATTAGTACTGTTATTATTATTGCTATAATTAATTCCGCCATTTCTAAAACCTTGTTTTTTGTTTTTTGTTTTTTTTTTTGTTCTTTGTTCTTTCACATCTAAGGTGGGATTGTGTGTTTCCTTGCTTCGAGATTTCGCTTTATTGTAATAAAACTGATTCTCACGGTTCTCAGTTGCCAGGGGTAAGGTACCAAAATATAGTTTCATGGATCACATGAATATTAGAGTAACAATAAAGTTATAGTCTTTATTGTTTGTTTACTTGTATTCCTTTGCTTTCTAAAGGGTTCCTAATATTGTGTTTTTCAAGGCTGTTGTTATTTTTTTTTTTGTTGATACGTGAGGAGACTATCTTTTTTGTTTGTCTATTACCTTATTGCTCATCCTACAGAATATTTTCCTATCCTTTATCATATTTATTTTCAATTCCATCTCTGCTACAAACACTAGCACTCTTCTTCCTCTATTATCACAAACCAAACAAAAGAAAGCTCTTGATGGCCGGATATGATATTCAATAGATCAAAAATCGATAAAAAATCACCAGTGTACCAGCTGTGTTGCAATTTTGATGAGAAATCAGACTATGAAAGGAGACGTAAACAGCATCACCAACAACAAATGGAAGTTTCCTCGTCGATGAACGCCCAAAGCGGACAGCTAAAATTTCAGATACCTTCTTCAAAAAAGAACTGATCAAGCTCACAGGTCAACAGTTACAATCAAAATGTAAAGTCAAGACAGCATGAGTCGTCTTCATCAGAAAGAGAAGAAAAAAAAAGGATATTTCAAAATTGTACATTAATTATCATTACTGGCACGCATACTATACTATACTCTTGCTTTAATTTGCTTGGTTGGACTTTATTATTATTATTATTATTTCATATTTTTTTTTGTTGCTGGTCTTATTGTTTTACTAGTTGGCCTGTCAACCAACCAACTTTCTACATATTTTTTTCTGTTTTTAATGATTCATATCGATTATAAACCTCTTTTTCTAGGTATCTAGATATACACATATTTGCTTTCATACCCACAGCTTGTTTATCATCTTTTTCCCACCTTTTACATTTTTATTATTGTTCTTTTTTTTGTTTTGTTTTGTTTTGTATTATGTATAACATACGTACTTACTAGCGTCAAAAAGTTTAAACTAATGAAGATACGCGCTAATTAACTATTAATTGTACAAATTGAAAAATAAAAAATAAAAAATGAAAAATGAAAAATGAAACAAAACAAAACAAAATAAAACAAACTAAAACAAAATGAAGAATAAAGAATAAAATTATAACCAATAGCCAAATTTATGAACATGAACCAACCTTACCTTGCAATGAAATAATAAAAGAAATTCAGTATCTTAACTCAAAAGACAAAGCAAAAGGAAAAAAAAAATCCAAAGAAATTGCGAACTAAAAGAAGCATAAATCCTTAATCGATAGGCAACCAATAATATGGGGCCGTAGCTCGAAGGCGAAACACGAGGAAAGGATTGGTAGAATATATGAAATACCCAGTCTAGACAAAATAGCAAAAGCAGCATATGTAAAGCAGCATTTTAGAAAGAAAAAAAAAGAGTGAGAGAGGTAACAAAAATTGCAATCATGTACCACTTAATCAGAAATGATCTCGTTATTTTCATCATAACTTAAGAGGCCATCTAATGCTCCATCCTGTGTCCAATTACTTGTTTCATCATAAAACTCGTCAACCCACAGAACACGCTGCTTTAGTTTCCTGTACATTTCAGGATGTTTATTCAACCAAGTCAACATCACACTGTGTAAAAACTCTGCTTTATTATCAATGCAGCTTTCTTGACTTCTCATATCATCTCTGAATTTTGCAAACAGCTCATACGGAACGCCGTCAGTAATTTTATAAAAAATGGCCTTGATGTAAAAAATAAGTGATCTTAATCCCCTAACATATCCATGGTCATATTCTGTGGGCAATTTGGGTGGAAATGTAGCAGTAGATGGTAGCCTATCTTCGGTAGTAACACACTGGGCAAAATCAATGATTCTAACAATCAAATTAGGCACTAAGCCATCGTCTTCGCGAAAAATCCCATCGTACATTAACAACAATGAAGATCCGTACATTCGGTAACCTTCCAATTTTATGAAGATCTCTTGTAATTCTAGAAGTTTATCAATCAAAACTGGAATATTCTTGACCACGCATAATGCATCACGGCCATTATAAAGAAACCTTGTCAAACATTTAGCAAACTGTGATCCATTCTTCAAAGAGCGCCCAAAATATTTATCTCTCGCAATATATCCATCAGTCGATATATCCCAAACTTGCATTCCACACATTCTAACCCCGAGTGACAATGATGTGGTGCTTGCGCATTTTTTACGTTGTGACTGGCGCTTCTTTTCTGTTGCTTCGATACCGTATTGTCTGGTTCCCATCTTTAGATCTAGAACACAGGGCTTTTGCATTCCAATGGTCAAATCTTCCAATAAAATAAATTTCTCAATCTTTGAAACCATTTGACGACTGGATATATCCACAGTATTGGATTTTATAGGTTTAGACTCTGCTGAATGATCTGCTTTAACTGCTGTTTCTTTTTCTTTTTGGAGGTCTCTTGAATAATCATGCACATTTCTCTCGTCATCAAAAACTGCATTAGAACGTGTATGCATAATTTTTGCGTCAGTGGTATCTTTAGCCATTTCTTTTTTTTCTTTGTTTCCTTCTTCTTCCTCTTCAGAATCACCATCGAGTTGAAAGGATGATTTCTTGGGTCTACTATCATCTTTTAAGTCTTTCATCACCTTCATTGCATTAATAATTTGTTCGCGAGATGGGAAATTCTTTGTTGACTCTTCGTTGTTCATGCTAGATAAATCAAGTAATGATGAATGACCTTTTTCTAACTCCCCACATTTCTCACTTTCACTAGGTTTTTCATCTTCTCTAAATTCCTTAGCTTCACTTTGAAATTCACTAATTTCACTGCCTTGCAATGACAAGCTCTGTCTTTCCAAAGATGAACTTAAATTAGAGCCGTTCCCATCATCCTCAAACAAAGGTTTCGCATCAGACGACGGTGTGCTGAATCTATGACGACGTCTATTAGCTTTAGCACCTGGCTCTGGTCTTTGCAAATATAAGTGAGAGTCGTCATCTGTAGTACTCACCACACTTTTTGTATCTTGAACTTTATTAAAATCCGCAAATTTCTTATGTTTAGCATGTTGACGGTTATGCTGTTGCTGTTGCTTCTGTTTGTTTCTCACACTTCTAGCATGTTCTTCGATTGGAGCAAATACCTCTTTGATCACAAGTTCTTGAAGTTTTCGATTGACTGTTGTAGCACCAATACACTTTCTTCCCGCTTCGTTTGAAGGCAAAGATGGTTTTCCAGATAATCTAGATTCCATTTTCGCCTTTTCTCTATCTTCCAGCTCCAAGTTAATTGAATACGTATTCCATAAAGATCTCGGGATAATATGAGTGTTATCATCGAGAACAACTTCTGGGGGCAAAAAGTTAATCATGGCCTTGTCGGCTTTCTTATTGGGTTTCTTTTTGGTGATACGAGACAAATCAATATCATTATCAGTCACCAAGCTCTTGTAACGGACATTAAGGACACCTATATATTTTGGCATGAATTTAAGAAGCTCTGGATGTCGAATCTCAATGTTTTCGTACCAATTATTTTCACGGTTAACTAATGCCTTACACACCGCGCGATGACTGAATCGAAAAATCGCAGTATGCCCACCAACTTTGTTGACAAAAGGTGTAAGTTCAACCTTCAAAGGAAAATTCTCCATTTTATCAGTCTCGTTCAATTCTTTAGCTCTGTCTTTTTCTCCTTCTTTTTCTCTATTAACAGCGCTGGTGCAATTTTCATCAGAAACTTCGGCACTGCTTTTGATTGTTAATTTTGGGGTTCGAATGTGTTGTGATATTTTGTGAAGAATTTTAGTTGGTGAGGCTGGCAAAGAGTTCAAGATATTATGATTTTTGGCTTCAATTTTTGTTGTTCCTGATATGTGATCTTCATTTTTCTTCGGTATATCATACTCCTTCTCGGCAGTTAAGCGTTCACTTTTACCTGGCTCATGAGGAAAATATGTAGCAGAACTAACAGGCTTGATAAATTGAGTTGATGTATTTTTGGTTCTTATATACAAATCATTGAGAGCTCTTGACACTGGGTCATCATCATCAACAAATTCATCTGCCGACTCGCTATCAAGATCTTCATACTCATCCTCTCTTTCTTCCTCTTCTAACTCTTTTTGCTGATCTATTTTCTTTTCAAATTCATCAAAATTTAAAGTGTCGTGGAAACGATTTATTTCAAGTGTTTCATTGTTGTCATTAATTCTTTTCTCATTTTCGACTCTGCCTTCAGTTTTAATGAAAGGTAAAAATTTAGATCTGGTTCCTGAATACTCGCTATTATCTTCATTTTCATCCGAATCTGTTAAAAACACTTCACTTTCACCGCTACCGCTATATTCTCCGACATCGTTGTTCCCAGAATTATGAATACAAAGCTCTTCTGGAGTTTCGGTATACTGGGCCTCAATTGCAGCACTTGAATCATTGCTGCCACTTCTAAACAATCTGAGCGACCTCGCGGCTTTTCTGCCGATAATGGAGCGCTTCTTGCTCAAGACTTCATTAATTTTGAGGGAATCAGGTTCAGAGTCATGCTCATCACCAGTCTTTTTCCGGAAGTTTTGGTTATTTTGGCTGTGACTCAAAAACATCGCGCTAGAGGAAGTCTCATGAAGTGATGGTCTATTTCTTGAAGAACCAATATTGCTCAATATCTTTATATTTGCTTACAAGGCTCGACAGGTTAGGATCGCTAAGCTGGTGACACAAAAACGCTGTATTTATCAAAACCCACAGTGATTATTTGACGATAAATGTGGAGTATTTGGAAACTTGTGCGCTGTATGAGACTAAGGGAGAATAATTCTGGTGTGTTTATAAACAGTAAATTGTTTGAAACATCAACAATATGTTACTCAGCACTAATAACTCAATTGGCTTGTTGTTTAGTGCGATTTGTAGATTATTTTTTTTTTGCCTCATCAAAAAATTTCAGCCAAAAGAAACGGTGAGCTATGCACCGATGCGACAGGACGAAAAAAAAAAATAAGATCAGAAAATTCTCCACAACGTGTTTACCGTAGAGAATATCTAGCTATCGGAGGAAAAAAAGACCTGTGCCAAATTACTCAAAGTGTAGCTCCGGGATTATCGTGTCTGTGATGTTACAAGTGATAAGATTAACAAAACGTGGGTCACCCGGTCTTCTTTTGGAGCACGGTCAATACTAGTGGTAATAGTAGAGAGGCTTATTGTAATTCATTTGAATATCTAAAAGACTTTGAGAGCTGCTTCCTCTTGTGTGATTTTTTCCCTCTCCTTCATCTTTCCCTTTTGTCTGGGTTGGGGTTTCTGCTCCTGAACCAGGCTACCCTATGCATACAATTACTGATAAGCGAGATTTAAGTCTAACTTCAAAAAGCAATTGTTCAACAAATTCTATTTTTAATTGATATAAAGACAACTCAAGTTTCTTAATCTAATTGTTTCTGTACGATTCTAAGAAGCAAATACTAAATTTCTGAAGTCTTGCTGAAAATTGAAAAATGTTATGATATGGTAAAATTGGGCACCATGAAATCAAATGACAAAAATAGAGAATAAAAAGAAAAAGAAAAAAGAAAGAGCTCATCCTCTTATCAATCTAAGACAATGCAAAGGTGAAGAAATCAAAAACAAATATTAAAAATTTTATTGGATTAAAATGAAAGAACTAAAATGAAAGAGAAAAAAAAAATCAAATTCTAGCAGAGCATCAAGCAGCAACTTCATGTTTACGTCTTTGAATAATGCTTGCCTTATCTAAATTCAACTCAAAGATATTACCATTCGTCGTTCTATCCTCAGTGAAGATTTTATCCCCGCCATCTTCGTCTTCCTCTTCTTCTTCGAGAACATCAAAGTTTCCCCTAGTAAGCGTATCACGTAATAATCTTTCTTCCTTTTGACGATGCACTGCAGTGCTAACATCAAATGCATCCTTCATTAACATAGCAGCAGGCGATGCTAGAGCTGGGGAGTACGCTCCAGAATAATAAAAAGCTCTTTTTACTTTAATTCTGTCTTCCTCTTGCTTCTTCTTGGCCAAGGCTTCAGCTTTCTCTTGGGCAACAACTGCATCATATCCGGAATAAATATAATTATTATTAGCATCCTGAGGCAATTTATCTAAGAAACTTTTAATCCAAGGATCTTCGAAAAATTGGTTGATATCATATCTTTGATGAGAGTTTACACAAAGCAAATTTAACACGCAATTCTTTGCACCAGCACTAATTTCATCCCACCAAGGCCTAAGGAATTCATATTGTCCCTTAGAAATTTTTTCCGTGAGTTCGTCAATTTTTTCATCGTAGAATGGAGGAAATCCACAAAGTAAAGTATAAAGAACACAACCAAGCGCCCACATATCAACTTTTTTGGAATATCTTTCATCTTTAACGATTTCAGGTGCAGTATAACCAACAGTGCCACAAGGGGTTTTAGTCTTACTTTCCCAGATTTGTTTTGACAAACCAAAATCAGCAAGCTTAACGGTTCCAATACATCCCCCTCCAACGCCATAATTGAATTCTCCTTCGTCCTTTTTTGATTTAATATCATCAGATTTTCTTAGTTTTGAGGGGAAATCTTTAGAAGGAGTAAAATCAATAGGGTCGAACAATAGATTTTCTGGCTTTAAATCACGATGCACTACACCAACTTCATTGTGTAGGTATCTTATGGATTCAGCAACCTGGCATATAACATGTCTTGATAAATCTTCACTGAAATAGGTCAAATTGACAATTTGATTAAAAATTTCGCCACCATCACATAAATCTTGAATAATATAGTAATAGTTATCATCCTCCAAGAAATTATCAAAAGAAACAATGTTTTTGTGATCCAATCGACGTAATATGGTGACCTCCTTAAAAACTGATTGTTGCTGGCTGGTGTCAAGTTTTTTCTTACTAATAATTTTGATTGCAACATCCTCGCCGGATTGGACATTTTTGCCTCTAAGAACTTCTGAGAAAGCTCCTTCCCCTAACTTTTCGTAGTATTGGTAATAATGTTCAAGCAATGTTTGATACTTATCAGGTTTAATTTTCAAACTTGAACTCCGCTGATGATCAGTCAGGTTGTCAATGTTTGGAGTGGTATACTCGCTCTTGCTAATTCTGGCCTTTGTGTCATTGGCAGCGTCATTTTTTTGGAGGTCTATTGAGGCAAAATTATAGGAGATATCTTCGATTTTGTCATTGTTTGACTGTGAGTTATTACTACCGGTTACCGCAGATATTTTGTGGTTAGCCTCACTATCCGAGACACTGAAGGGATTTGAAAGCTCCATGGAAGAGCTAATAGTATCGACGGCGGCACCACTATTATTGCTTTCAATAGGATTCAACCCCGACTGTTTGTTGTTCTTCTTTTGCTTGATGAAGTTTTTTAGATTCTAGGATATAGGTGTTAGCAATTTTAAAGTCACGCTAACAAGAAAAAGAAAAAAAGAGACATGTTCTAGATCCATGAAAAAAAACATCACTCATTCACTCCACCGTTAATTATCGACCAAAGGTTCATGAAAGATGCTAGTTCACATACATTGAGCATTTCTGTTGGGGTCTACTTCTCAAAGAGAAAAAGGTTTGAATATGAATAGGATGCACAGTTTCTTTTTTGGAAAGCAGTAGAATCTAACAAACGGCGTGTTTATATTGGAAGAAAAAAAAAAAAAGGGGACGTTTTTCTTTGTAAGTCATTTGTGACGTAACATGCCACCCGCTGCATACCCTACCAGGGGTGTCACACCCTTATATTAACTGTGTGTGGGGCGCCGTAACATGGCAAATTGGAACATGAATTAGTAATATCTACTCAGCTCAATTATTACTACTCTGTCCTTACCATGAACAATCATCCCAAGAGGTAGATCGTAGGATGTAATCATCAGACTCTCAAAGAAGTACCTCCACCTTGAAAATCCGTGACTGGCTTCATCCATGTAACGCGTCCTGAACCAGGATTCATACACTTCGAAAAGTTCGTCAAATGTCATTCTTGAATCAAAACTCGAAACGAAGTCATCAATGCTGCGGATCCTATCGGGCGTTTCTTTCCGTTTAAAACTTTTTTTTGAATAAACAATCTTCACAGTCACAGTTCTTGGTCTTGTTAGATCCTCATGGGTAGTATTGGGGGAATCAATTTCATGAAGCAACGAAAATTCAAATCCAGTGTTACCTGTTGATATTGAAATATCGTCTCTGCTTATAGAAGTATTCAGCTCGATGTTAGTATTCCTCCTGAATTTTGGTTTATTATTTGCATGATTCTCTCTAGAGTTTGTGTTTTTCGTTTTCATGATTGAACTGGATCTTGACAACGGCAATTCCAACAACTTGGGTGCGTTTAGATTATCACCATCAGTAATTGACAGGTTCTTTTTACCTGTGCCATAATTCAAAACTGTACATCTGTCTCTAATTTTTAATTCATCTAAACTATCAAGAATATCTTCCTCTAATGCACTGATGTCATCCACTGCGTCAATTTCTAATTCACTATCACAAATTTTTCTCATCAGAATCTTCAATGCTATATAGGCTTTTCTAATCTTTTGATTGGATTCAATGGCCCTTCTGAACTTCAAATATAATCTCATTCGCTCTGTCTCTGTTGACTCTGTGCGGTGCTCCAACTGCTGCACTTTTCCTTCAAGAGTGGCATTTAAGCCTTTCATTGACTGATTCTCACGCATCAAAGATTCATTTAATCTTTTCGTTTCTTCGAGTTTTTTGACTAAAACCAAAGTTTCGTTTTTCATTTCATGGTTATTCTTTTGAAGCATAATAATTTGTTGTTCGAGGTCGTATTTGGTCCTCTTTTGACTCTTCAAATATTCCACGGTTTGGAGGAGCATGTCTGGTAAAGCATCGCCATTGTTCAAAGTGGAGTCTCTATTCATATTCTGATGAATCTTGTCTAAGATAAAATAACGTAAAGTACGATGCATTATTTCAAGAGCTTATATTCATCCACTTTCTGTAAAATGTCTAAATATATATATATAGCCCTTATCCTTAATTCGGGATGTTTAAGTAATGTAGAGTGTAAGACCGTTGTTTTAAACCAAACTCCAGCTAGAAATTTGACCATAAGCTGCCTCCATCATTCTATAAATTCTGATGATTTGAATCTACTTTTTTGAACTCGAAAAAAAAAAAATAATAATAATAAAAATGAAAATCACAGCAATAATAAATTTGCTTGACTAGAAAATTGGTAAAAAAATAGAAGGAGAGGTCGTACCCGGATTCGAACCGGGGTTGTTCGGATCAAAACCGAAAGTGATAACCACTACACTATACAACCATATTTAATTAGTTTTAAGTCTGTACCAATTACTCATGCTTAGAGCTGATTATTACTAAGCGCACTACACGCATATAGAAAGTTATAGTATTTTACTAAAGGAGTGTGAGGTTGTGAGAAAGTTATAGTATTATACTTATCTATTAGAAAGACCGGCATGAAATGCCCGGCTTGCATGTTATTTAGAACCTCTGTGACTCGTTAATATACAATTCATTCATTCATTCATTCATACTTGAGATTTAATATCAATCGAAATTATTTGAAAAAAAAAAATTACTTCCCTACATGAAATTCCCGGCTTGCAAGTTATTTAGAACCTCTGTGACTCGTTAATATACAATTTGATTTGACTTGATATATATAATTATATAATTATTAATAAATCGAACTTTGAAGGAAAAAAAAAAAAAAAAAAGACAATTACATCTCTCAAAAATTTTTCTGTTACTATTTCAGAAAATCTTATTCTAATTATTTATGTTTTATTTTCGACTTTTTTTTCATCACTTCTCAATTTCTCATCCTTTCAAAATCTTTGTATCATGGTATACTATTTCTAAAATATTACTTTAATTGATAAACGACACACTTTAGTAATACCGAAAATTATATTGATAAAACGTACACATTTAGTAAACTTCCACTGCAGAAATTTAATGGGAAAAATATAAAATATGAATAATAACAATCGTAAAGTTATCAAACTAACACTGACTCGTGGCAAACTATTATAATATTACACTGTGTGATTATGATCTTGCTTAACGTATGTATTTTCTATGGAAGCCAATATTTCTGATCTTTTTCAGAGATAAATTTTAAGTAACTTGGGATTTGTGATAAGCTCATATTTATTGCATTAGATACTCTCCATACAGTAATCATTAACACACATTATTATTTCGTTAGAGGAATTATACTATCTGCCACCTCTAACACGCACATTATTCTAAATTATATGCATAACTACCTCTTATTTCTGTTTGCTACAGACATTGGTATTAGGATTGATTGATATATGTTATATAGGATGAGCATTAGCTGCTTAATATATAATAATTTATCTATAAGGTAATATATACAACTGGACTACGAAAATAGTAGAAGCCCCCAATATCTAGATTCAGTGACAGATTCAAAGTTGGTACAATAAATATACCACATGAGTGGTGCATACTGACAACTGTAAATATTTTAGAAGCAATTGCCCATATTTTCTAGTTTGGACACGAGAAGGAGCTACAAGGAGAAAAATTATAAGAATGCTTATTCACGTAATTGCTTTACCTTATTATTTACATCAGAGGTCTTTCGAATGAATCGAATCTTTTTTCACGGCCCATTAGGTCACGTATCATATGACTACTATCATATTTAGATAGGCCATAACACAGTATTCCGATATCAGACAGGAGTTTTAAAACTTGTTTTAATGTAGCGCTAGTAGAGGTAAAATAGCCACCCAACCGCGAGCCAAAATTATGCAGTGCTAGTAGTGTCAAAGTAGAAAATTGCGATGATATAAATAAGATTGAAAAAGAGAAGAAAAGATGGGATCACTTAATAATAGTATGGTAAAAATCTGCTGTAATAGTATCGTATTTTCCTTATTTGCTGTGCCTTTTTACTTTCCATCTTCTTTTTGAAATCTGCATCTATTATGTGTCGGCTGCAATCTGGTTGAACACTTTTTGTACCCGCGTAGCACAATGCAATTTCATGCATGTGAACTGGCTGGCAGGGAGATGCTCTAACATAAACGAAGTGAGCCCGTCAAAATCCCAACCAGCATTATGGCCAGAAATAAGGTACAAACAAGAGTAAACTTCTTCAAATCTCAAAGCAATTGAAGTATATAAATCTCTTGACCTGAATTATATTAATATTTCATATTATGTGGATGAATTCTGAAGCATCCTCACCTATTAAACATTAAAAAAATATGAGATGTAGTTATGAGAGTGAGGTTTGCTAGCCTCAACTTTGCAATTAACTTTCCATTTTGGGTTTTCGTGCACCGTGAAATTAGACGAGGCAGTTTGATCAGTCTGCTGGTTTAACCAGTCGTCGGTGTCAGTCTAGATGTCAGTCTAGATGTTTTTAAATTTAATTTGAAGGCGGGTAGAAAATGCCATTTCTTTTCAGAGCTATATAAATTCATCAAAATTTCCTCGTCTACTCACTATTTTTGTTTATGTTTTTTGTTTACCCACATTGAAAAATTAGTATCGATATCTCTTTTTGTTTTTTTGTTTTGTTTTGCACAAACCTTCTTGATACCCGCAAAAACAAAGAAATAATCAAGTTATCCATTATTTTTTTTATACCCGGAAATATTGACAAGCAAATAATTGAAAAATGATTAAAAATTTACCAAATATTTTGTCATTGGCCTTGTTAATGACTGATAAATGTCTTGCTGCATATGTCCCAACTGGCTCTTCATCATGGACTACATTGACTCCAACCACCACTTTGTCCGGGGTTCAAACAGACTATTCCGGGACTTTTGGTATTGCTATTATGCCTGTTAACAGTGTCAGTTCTGCGTCAGGATCTGCCACTACTGATGATATAACTGCTTCTTTGATCGCCAAAAGAGATTATGTTTCCACTGTTGTGCAGCCTGTCAGCCAAATTGGTGATGGACAAATACAGGGTACTTACACCTATATTACAACCGTCAAACAGAATGCAGGTGCTAGTACTGTCTATGTCACACAAACATCTACTACCACAAACACTGCTACTCAAACACAGACACAAACAGCCACTTCCACCCATACCTTAAGTAAGACTACCACTGCCACTTCTAAATGTGACAACTGTGTAACTTCTAATACCGTTTTCACTTTGACTGATTCTGATGAAGCAACAACCACTGCCTGTGATTATACTACTTATACCACTGCTGTTCTCGGAACAACATATATCGTCCAATCAACTTTGGATAACTGTGAAGCAGTCGTCCCTTCAACCACCAGTGAAGATGAAATTACCACCATATATTCCACATATAGCAATTACCCAACTACTACTGCCAACTCCACTAATGCTTTCACAAGTATATACGCATCTGTTTCGACTACTCTTGCCACTTCTACCTACTCATCCGCTTCCTCAACCGCCACCGGAGAATCTTCTACCGGTATGACCTCTTGTAAGGTCAAAGGAACCTTGACTTTGACATTACACGATTCCATCTTAGTGGATTCCTCTAATCGTATCGGATCTATCGTTTCCAATCGTCAATTTCAATTTGATGGACCAACTCCTCAGGCTGGTGCCATATATGCTGCAGGTTGGGGTGTTTTGGACGGTCGCTTAGCCCTTGCCAACAGTACTGTCTTTTATCAGTGTTTGTCTGGTACCTTTTACAACCTCTACGATGAAAATATTGGGGCCCAATGTTCTCCAGTTTACCTAGAAGTCGTTAAATTGGTCGACTGTTGAGAACGTGCTCCAGCCTAATATTTTTTCTCCTACTCTTATGAATACCCCTTATTGTATATTATAATTTCCACTCCATTGTTTTAGCTGCTTTTGTCATGATCCGTTTCTCCGATTTCTTAATGCATTTCTTTTTCTTTGTTCCATTTTTTATTAATATTTTCTTTTTGAGTCCATATAATCGTCATAATTTTATATTTATAGAATATCAATGAACCTATACTGAAATATATCTATAATTCTCTGCATTCTTACAACTATTAATGTACATCCAAGTGCTTTTAGCATTCAGAGGGCTTCGCAACCGCACAGGGCTTCGCAAAAAAAAAAAAAAAAAAAAGAAGAGCCAACATCTAGTATTGTAGTGCAACACCTAAGATTATCTGAATGTCAGGATTTTAAAAACCCAGAAAGTGACTAGAGTAAAAAAAAAACAACTTCCAGAATCATTCACTGACTGAGGATTTTTTCTTTATACAAATCCAAAACTCTTAAAATCGAAATTCCCATTCTGCAGTCAGGGTGTCTACCAAATCACAAATCTCCGATGAACCAAAAGCAACGGCAAACTGCGCAAATACAGCTTGCGAAATTTGATGCAAGCAGAATAAATATTAGCCATACCCTTGATGAGATTCGTGCTACCAAAGAACAGATAGATAGGGTACGCCAGGAGTTGAACAGTTTTCTTACACAGTTCGCCAGCGTCCCTGATTCATGTGAAGAGGAAGCATTCTATCATGCTGCTGCTAAAAAGATGTTCGATCTTCGGGAGCTGTTGGAAATTCATTTAAATCGTTACAATAATTTGCTACCTATTATTGAATTGGCTCGCCAGGCAAATGGGTTTGCATCGCAGAAATTTGAAATCGTCACCCTTCATACTGTCGTTAGTGGTAAATCATACAGTAAGGCATTGCCTAAGAAACTACTATCACAGAACAGCCGACCTAAAATAACCGCATCGGCAAATTCCTTCAAGGCTCCAGGAAATAAAATAATGAAGCATGTCAATAATGGAGGGCAAATGGGAACAAACCCCAAAAGCTTTACTGTGAATGCAAGTTCGCCAACTCAGCCAATAGTTCTTTAGTATCATGTATCTTTATTCTTTCCCCTTGTTATAAATACTTCTAGCTTTAGTGTTTTATTTTGTTATTGAATTTTTTCTTCTACGTTTTGCTTCCATTGAAAGGTATTTATTTTTGCGTCGTTCCATTTTCCCCCTAAATCTGGGGTTCTAAAATATAAAATTTACTGGTTTATTGTTGTTGTTATTTCTGACAGTTACATTATGTCTGAGTGCTGCGTTCTCAAGTTATATTATATTATTTCTGCCTACCGTATCCTCTGATTATAGTAGTAGTCTCACTCCAAATTAGTCAAGCCAGCTTCGCCTATCATGATTGCTTATATGTTTATGGAGTTGTATGTTACAAATTTTCATTAAGGTTATTGTAGATATTCATTCTTCAAAAACATAAAACTCAAGCCTCACAGTAGATTAAAGGTTCGAAGGTTGAAGTAAACGGAAGGCAAAAAAAAAATTTTTAAAAAAAGATATAATAAAAAGACACCAAATATAGACTTTAAAGCATAAAAGAAAGCGGAATAAAAGAAAGAAAAGCAGCCAACATTTCCAACAGGTCTTTTCATTTCAAAGTAATATTTCACTCACTAGCTTCAGCAAATGATTCGTAAAGGTAAGAGTTCAATTTTTCAAATTCACCTCTGACAGCAGTTTCACCATCGCTTGGTTCAAAGAATTTAGCAGAAGAAACTTTGTGTTTAGCTTCAGCAGTAGCCTCGGCCAACTTAGACCATTGAGCACCACCGGAAACAGCTTTTTGAGCTTCGTCATTGTAAATGATAAAAGACTTCATCATATCATAAGTCTTCCAAATTGGACAGAAAGCGTCATAGGAAGAGTAACCATTTTGCTGCAAGAAATCTTCCTTAATCAAGGTGGCAACATCTAAAGTGATTTTGTCTGAGTCAGATAAGGCAGATTTACCAACCAATTGGACCACCTGTTCCAATTCTTCAGCATTTGACAAAATTTCCTTAATTCTGTTTCTTAAGACTGGGAAATCTGGATAGTTGCTTTCGTAGTACTTGCTCAAGGCATTGGTATATTTGGAATAAGAAATGGAAGTGTTAATAGATGGGAAATGCTTTCTTTGTGCTAATTTCTTGTCCAAACCCCAGAAAACTTGAGTGATACCCAAAGTTGATGTTGTGACTGGATCAGAGAAATCACCACCGGCTGGAGAGACGGCAGCAACAATAGACACGGAACCAACTCTTTCTGGAGAACCCAAAGCAACCGCTTTACCAGCTCTTTCGTAGAAAGAAGATAACTTGGCACCCAAGTAAGCTGGGAAACCTTGATCAGCAGGCATTTCACCCAAACGACCGGAAATTTCTCTCAAGGCTTCGGCCCATCTGGAAGATGAGTCGGCAATCATGGAGACATCTTTACCTTGATCTCTGAAGTATTCAGCCAAGGTGATACCTGTGTAAATAGAGGCTTCTCTGGCAGCGACAGGCATATTAGAAGTGTTAGCCACCAAAGTGGTACGCTTCATGATTGGTTCCTTCTTGTCACCAACAGTGGTATATAATTCTGGGAATTCCATCAAGACTTCGGCCATTTCATTACCACGTTCACCACCTGGATTTTGTTAGTATAAGGAATTATTTTGAATAATAATGGTTTTTTAAAAAAAAAAAAAGAAAAAAAAATGTATGAATACATACAACCAACATAGATAATAACATCAGAGTTAGAATATTTGGATAAAGATTGAGAAATAACAGTTTTACCACAACCAAAAGCACCTGGAATACATGTGGTACCACCTTGAACACAAGGGAACAAAGCATCCAAGACTCTTTGACCAGTCAACAATGGGTAGTCAGCAGACAATTTTGTTGCCACAGGTCTTGGTGCTCTAACTGGCCAGGTGTGCATCATGGAATATTTATATTTCTTACCGTTGAACTCAACTTCCAAAATGTTTTCGTCAACTGAGTAACTACCAGCTTCACTAATACTAGTAATGGTACCTTTAGCTCTTGGAGGCAACAAGATTTTGTGGTCATTAAGCAAAGAGTTTTCATAGATAGAACCAAAAATGTCACCACCAGAGATGTGGTCACCAACTTTTAAAGATCCCGGTTGGAAGTCGTATTTGGCAGTTCTGGATAAAGCTGGAGCATCGACACCTCTTGGGATATAAATGGATTGAGATTTTTCCTTAATATCCTTCAAAGGTCTTTGAATACCATCATAAATGGTTTCCATTAACCCAGGACCCAATTCGACAGACAATGGCTTACCAGTTCTCAACACTGGGTCACCGACAGTAACACCCGCAGTTTCTTCATAAACTTGGATGGTGGCCTTATCACCAGAGATTCTGATAACTTCACCAACTAAATTTTGATGACCCACCTTCACCAATTCGTACATAGCACACCCAATCATATTTTCGGCCACAACAACAGGACCAGAGACAGAGTAGATTTGACCATATTCGTTTTCGCCATATTCATTCAAAGAAAGACGATTAATTTCTTTACGGGCATTTTCAATTGCACCAGCCTGTAACACGATAACAAGTTAGTAAAGCTTCTCAATTTTATTTTACCGATGGCATCACAATAGATAATAATTGTTTTTAGTAGCTAAATATGTGCTTTCTATAATCAGACTTACCATTTTTAGAAGATATTTGAAAATAAACCACGATAATTAGATAAAGCTTTGAAGTATTTCTAGCCAGTAATTTCAAATTCTCATTTTTCTTGCCAGAAACAGCGATAACCCTAGTAACCCGCCGCTTGAGAGAGTCCAGCGTTCACGTGCACATAATTTTTTTTGTAAATACATTTTTTTTTTTTATCATTTGATAATGATGGTGCAAGTTTTTGAGATTTTAATAACTTTATTCTGATTGTGAGGATTGTTAGGAACTAGTTGGTCAAAAATGCAGCTATGTGGCCTGCCAAGGATGATTTAGGCTCAAAGATAATATACGGAATAGATGGTTACCCGTTGTACCTGACTGAAAACAATGGAAAAGGAAGATGGGACTTTCCAAAGACTCAACGAGACACACGGCTATTCAAGGTCAAATATTCGAGTAAGCGTGTGGTTAATGAACCAGATGCGTCAAATTTCCGACGAAGCAATGCCCTTGATAGTTCATTTAAACATGACTTGTCTCAAATATCTGCAGGCCTTAGAAAAGAATTGCTTTCTGAATCTGATAATTGGGATTCGCACTTCATATATGATCCATCAGTGGGACATTTGCTCATGACAAGCTTATTAAAGCAGTTAAGAAGCGAACATTGCATTCGTGTCGTAGCTTTCTCATCCGGATCAATTGCTAACGTTGCGGTGCTAGAGCTGGGCATTGATGAACTTTCCGTTGGTTTACCAGCGAACAACAAGCCAGAAGCTAAGGTACTGGTTGAATATCCTCGATTAGGCGCTCGTATGGGTATTGACGTTAGAAGTACCATCAAACAAATAGAATTTCCAAGCAACCCAAATCCTACGCTTGTTCCCTCTAGGTTTTTTGCTGTCAGAACGGAGTTTGAAGTTTTCATTTTTAAAGTGTATCCAAAGTATCATGTTGGCCCACCAGAGGTTAAAATTGAATTAGTTGGGTCAATCAAATCATTTGAAGTCCGATTAGATTCATTTTCTGATGTCACATTTAATTGTTGGGACCTTTCACAGTTTGCAATAATAGATAAAAATGGAAAATGGAAAACGTGGGTTATTAAAGAAAGGAATTTGAAACCATTGGTCGATTCTCCTGTTTTTGGAAATATTGGAAATTCTCAGGATTTGTCTAACTGGAGAAAAGTAATTTGGGGCTCATCTTCTAATGAAATTTTATTGTTTGATCGTCTTAATGTTCATAAAGTGACATGTGCAAATGGGAAAACTAAAACCCGGAATCTTTTTAAACCTGAAAGAAAGTCTCAATTTCTTCAGATTGAAAGATGTAACGATGAACCGAGTGAACTTTTCATTTTGACTTCTCAAAAGATGATGTGGGTCAAACTTGAGAATGATGAATTCAAAATTATAATGACGTGGAACCACCTTCTAAATCCTGATGATGTTTCTTTGAGGTTTTCCTTGAATTATGATAATTATGCTAACCTGAGCAGACAATTTCAGGCTAAGAATTATGATGATGGAACCAATTTTTCTGATTCGCGAAGGAGCTATTTGGTTATTATTCATTCATTTATACATTCATCAAATGTATTTCAAAGATTTGAATATTCCAAAGACCTTAATACCCACACCATGGTCGGCGATCCTTTTTTGGTAAAAATTAACCTAGACACCGTTGTAAGGGACACGTTATTGCTTCCAGTGACACTAACTGGCCCCCACAATGCAGAACTTAATGATATTAAGGAAGGTGGAGACATGGGCCCTCAGTTTTCTCATAAATATGCACTGTTTTTTCAGCTATCGCGAGGTTTAGGAATAACTAGGACATTGTTGTCGACCAACTCCTGTTCCACAATCTATAAGTACAGGGATTTGGATCTAAATGAGCTTATCACTCAAAAGAAGATAGATATTGACAATATCGTGTCGACAGAAATTGAAGAAATGGTGATAAGGTCAAATAACTTTTACAAAATTTTCAAGCCTCAGGCAAATTCTAATGAAATAAAAGGCATTCATAAAACTTTATTCACCAGAGTGTCTCATAAAAAGAAGTTTAATAGAGATGTTCAAGACCTTTTACCAGAAGAAAACGAGATTGCCTTCAAAAGCTTGTCTTTATTCCAACGTGATGTTCTTCGTTCTGTCATGATAAATGTTTTTCACACAAATTCAACTGAAAATGATAATGATATGATCGAATCGGCCAGTCAAGTTGAAGGTCAAATTCGATCTATTTTGTTAAAAAATGTATCCAATCCAGAAGCCTTAACTAACGTTATTAAAACTGTTTCTACTGAATTTATCTACGACTTACTTTCCCGGATGAGTAACTTGACTCCTGATCCTTTTTCTCTGGACTCTAGAAAAATCGAAACGCAGGAAGATGATGATCATATTGATGAATATGAAGACCTACAATCACAAATAGATAAAGAAGGCTACATTCTTGAGGGTTTCAAAATGAACAAATTACATGCCCGTGTCAGGCTTATTGTTGAACAATGGGACGGTGACAATGAATTCTCTCTGACAATGAATACATCTGAGAAAATAAATATATATAATGATGAAACACTTCTTATCAATACCCAAAAAGATAACACCGTTGTTGACTCTCAATATGAACGATATTCAAACTTCTATTCACAAACACAAACGCCTCAATTGATGCTATCTCAACCAACAGCCCTTGGACTGACACTCTCACAATCAAAATCAAAATCTCTATCACAAGCCCCTAGAAAGAAGAAAAGAAAGAAAGGAGGGTTTGCTTAAATTTTTCTATTGTCATTTAACTTGGTATCCATGGAGACAGAAAGCTGTTCTACATAATTCTAAGCTAGCTTCTTGCTTTGTAACGTTGAAATGAATGCTCTCATACCTAAGTCTTTTTAACAGATACTTAAGATGTGGTTGCCTTGGGTTATTATTGGTAACCCATGTCTTGATTCAAGTATACTATATTCTATATGTACTATATTTCACTTCTGTGTATAAAAGGTGTATCTTTTTTAATATAATCACTTGTCTGTTTCAGACAAGATTTTTCTCATCAATCAACCAAAAAGCTTTTGTGCGTGACTTGTAAGTAGTTAGGTTCCTGATTTACAGGAAGCTTAAATCAAAAAGGGAAGAAGGAGCAAATAAAAAAAAAAAAAGCTGCCTAAGATTATATATATTAAAGGAGCATGTTTTACTAAAAAAAAAAATGATTTCGCCCAGGATCGAACTGGGGACGTTCTGCGTGTTAAGCAGATGCCATAACCAACTAGACCACGAAACCACTTGTAAGCTAATTAGATTTATTGATCTCAATTAGATCAATTCTATAGTACCGTCGCAACGGTATATAAACCATAGCACTGGTCTATTTGATTTTGATTTTGATTTTGAATTTGAATTTGACAACATTCCGCAAAGGCTTCACATTATTATCTCTCACTAATAATTGAGGCAAAGAAATGGAATGTGAGTTAAAGTGTTCAGTTGGTACATTGATTTATGGAATCAGGATATGTGTCTGGACTTAAAGAGTGTGTGGTGACACTTAAGACAGACCCATGGTACTGGTTCTTATTTGATTTATTTGGTTTATTTGGTTTACATGGTTATTTTGACTTATTTGAATTATTTGGTCTATTTGATTATTTGAATTATTTTTTACTTGGATTTTATTATTTTTTTGATTTTTATTATTTTTATTTTTATTATCCCCCCAGAATTCTGATGGTCACTACATTGAAAATACTTAGTATTTGAGATATGGTGCTAAAACCCCTCAAAAAGACCTCCATCTCAGTTCATGAAGCTCCTAGTGATGGGTAATTCACTAGTGACTTCATCTCATATTTTCACATTGCACTTTTTTTCCTTAATAATCTTGATTGTTGAGTTATTACCGGTGATGTGATTAATTATTAAAGCAAGGAGAGTGAGGTTGTGAGAAAGTTATAGTATTTTACTTACCTATTAGAAAGACCGGCATGAAATGCCCGGCTTGCATGTTATTTAGAACCTCTGTGATTCGTTAATATACAATTCATTCATTCATTCATATGGAAATCACAGATATATGCTTTACGTTAAAATAGTTATTGCTTGGGTTCAAGGTTATTCTATAATGTTCTCCCTTCTACATTCTAACTATGTGCTTTCATAAAATAACTAGAATTATACATACTGGTTAGGTTAGAATCCCTAAATGAATGATTGATTTGTATATTAACGAGTCGCAGAGGTTCTAAATAAATTGTGAGCCGGTCTGTAAAAATAATTATAAATAATAAAAACTGTAATTTACTACTCTATCGTATTCCTTTTTCACAGATTTGTCACAACACTGGTGAAAACTTGTTAATTAATTATTAAGGAAAAAAGGTGCAATATGATTGCATGATTTAGACTTTCTAGGCTAATCTGTGTCAGCTAGTTGATACAGGGCGAGGGAGTAGGTGATCTGTTCAATGATTTGGTATGGTTATGAGTGAATGAATGAATGAATTGTCATATATGGTTATGAGCCCTTTTTACATTGTTTCAGTTATAAGCACATCAAATTTTGCTTTGGGCAGACGTGCTCCATCCTTATTAGCTCAGTTGGTAGAGCGTTCGGCTTTTAGAAATAAGGAACCGAAATGTCCAGGGTTCGAGCCCCTGATGAGGAGCACATTTGTTCAAATCTCCATCCTTATTAGCTCAGTTGGTAGAGCGTTCGGCTTTTAGAAATAAGGAACCGAAATGTCCAGGGTTCGAGCCCCTGATGAGGAGATTATTTTTGTTTTTGCTACTATTCTAAGTTTGCAAGTGCTTTGTTAAGGCTGTTTACCGAAAGCATTACCTGTAAATGTCAACAGCCTCTTTCTACCGCTAAGAAAACCTATTTTTTACCTTTTTACCCTTTATCGCCCCTACTCCTAAGTAATGCATCTATGAAGGCTATAGTTCCTTTGTCCTACCGGGTTTAAAATCCAGATCATGCATTTTTCACGATATGAATAGTGCTACGAGAACTTGTATCTTGTCCTGTTTCTTATAGACAATTTCTGACATCTAATTTACATACTGCAGTTATAAACAAGTAAATAAGTCTGCTCAATATGGTGGACAAATTCTATATAGCGGATATGTTTCCAAACCCTTCTTTCTAGGCATTATTATATACTAAGCATGAAATGAATCTTTACAAAATAAAGAGAATGCAATAAAACTAATTTTATTAATGGAGGCGCTGATAGAAGAGCATACAATTTTCTATTCTTGCTAATTATTTTGCTTTTTTTTTTTTTTTTTTGAATTTGCTTTGTGGTTGGTTGTTATTGTAAATTTAGTTGATTAGTTTCAAGCGCCCTTAGCGTCGTTAATTTTTTGTGTTAATTCTGGAACAATTTCATTCAAGTCACCGACTAATCCATAGTCTGCAACGTTATATATCAAAGCGTCATCAGCTTTGTTAATGGCAACAATAGTCTTAGAGTCCTTCATACCGGCCAAATGCTGGATGGCTCCCGAAATCCCGACGGCGATATATAAATCAGGGGCAATGATCTTTCCAGTTTGACCAACTTGCAAGGAATTATCGACAAAACCACCATCAACGGCCGCTCTCGAAGCACCAACAGCAGCATTCAATGACTTGGCAAGTGGATCAATGAGCTTATCGAAGTTTTCCTTAGAGCCTAAACCACGGCCTCCAGAAACCACATATTTGGCAGAGCCCAAATCTGGTCTTTCCGATTTCATAATATTTTCACCAACCCATTCGGCCTCCACTTTAGCTTCTGGCTCGACGTATGCCAATTCTTGGACGGCTAATTCTTTTGGAGCTCCGGCTTCCAAAGGCTCAAATGATGAAGCTCTTACTGAAGCTAAAACCAAACTGTCACTGGATTTTATGGTGGCAATAGCGTTACCTGCATATATAAACCTTTGGAAAGTTGATGGACCTTCAACCGCGATAATATCGGATATTGGCTGCACATTCAATTTGGCGGCAACACGAGGTAAGAGAGACTTACCTGTGAAAGAAGAAGGGACAATGAAATGTGTAAAATCATTAGATGAGTCGCTCAATATGGATTGTAAAAGTGGTGAGACCTCTTCAGGTAAATAGTGGTTATATTTAGAATCTGGGGCGATTAGCACTTTTTCGATATTGGCAGAATATTTTGGAAGCTCATCTTTGACGATTTTGGCGGAGGTTTTTCCCACCAATATGGCGGTGATTGGTTGATTCAATTTTTTTGCAGCATTAAGGGCTGATAATGATGCTGGGGTGATTTTATTGTTACTGCTTTCAACAAACGCCAAAGTCGAGGCAAACTTTGGATTGAATCCAGAAATAGACTTTAGAGATATTCTTCTTGCAGAGAACATTGTTACTGGGAAAGGACACTACTAGTGGGTGAATGTTGGCGTGTGTGTATGCCTCAAGTATATTATGTATATGGCCTCCGCAAATGAGTCAAGATCGAAGACGTGAAAAAAAAAAAAAAAAACGAATGCTAGAAGCCCGGATATAATACCCGGCCACAGTACGAAATAAATCCACACGTGACCGAAGAGATTAGCTCCCACCGCGAAGGAAAAAAAAACAAACAAAAAAACAAAATCCTCTTTGGCGGATATCGCGTCGGCTGGGTAACTACATTTTGTTATATTCTCTATAGATCTTTCTCTCCCTCTCTCTCTAATTCAGGAAGATCAAGATATTTGGCGATAATATACATTATATCACAATAACCATATTCAATAAAATAAAACTATAAAAAAGTACTGCCCAAAATACAACTGTACCTACTTGACTACAACAAAACAACAAAACAAAGAGAAAAGCCCTTTTGGTCCCAGATGGTCGCATACCAGGGTAACCGCCGTGCATCCCCTTTTAGGCCGCATTCTGACACAATGTAGGTTTGGGAATTTGAACACCCTTTTTGATCGCTTTCCCACTTGTTAAATGCCAGGCAACCTTGAAAAGATCTCTTCTTCTCCACAACGAAACCCTCTTCATACATTTAATAATCGTCACTCTTTTAATTAAACTCACCAACTTCACGTATATTCATTCGTTAACCTTGCCTGGTTGGTCTTCAAATCAAGTTTATTAATAGGCCCAAAGAAATAATTTTTCTTTTTTTTTTTTGTTTCTTTACCATACAACTCAAGGAGATTTATATCTATTCCAATAAGATAATCACATAACAAAATAAATTTCGAAGGTTCAAGCTGCCATGTTAGTTTTGCTTCTTTCCACCCTTTTATGGCACTCGGTAACGGCCTCCTTTTCATATTCTGGTTGTTATTCCAACACCGGTGTCTCTCTTGCCTTTAAGAACACTTACCCAAGTTCTCCAGTCGATCAGTGCTCTGCTCTCTGTAGCGATTATAAATACTTAGGGATTATTGATGGCAAAAATTGTTATTGTGGCGATTCTCAACCTCTCAGCAACTCAGTCTCCGATGCCAATTGTAATTCCAATTGTACAGAAAGTAGTCCTTATTGTGGCGGAACAGGTTATTATGCAGTTTATGCTAACCAGGATTTAGTTCTGTCAAGTTTATCTTCTTCTTCGTCATCATTTTCATCAACTTCCTCGGAATCCAGCAGTTCCTTGAGCTCCTCCAATTCCGCAAGTTCCACGGGCCCATCAACAATTACAATTTCTCCAAGCTCGTCACTGTCTTATGCCCTTGTCACCGGATCAATTTATAACTCCTCCTCCTTTGTGGTCTCGTCTACCTATGTTAACACAAGCACTTCTTCCATCCTGAGCTTATCGCATTCTCACCGTTCCGCAACTACTTCCCTTTCCAGTGACCAAACGGTTCTTACCTCTGACTCTGAGTACGTGGAAAATGGTGTTACCATTACCTCTGCAGTACTCCTCACTACACAAAAAGGCTCCGATGTTGAACTCACTCGTACTGCTGATAATGTAGTTTCTTCATCAGTAACCTTGGTTTCTCAAAGCAAATCTGCCGGTATGCGCAGTCAGGTAGCGGGTGGGGTAGTTGGTGGTACTGCTGGTATCTCAATGATTTGTTTCCTTGTCTGGTACTATACTAGAAGAGTTAAACAAAAGGATGAAGAAGAAAAACAACGTAATTTGGCTACTATTGCTGCAACAATGGCATCCAAGAACCTCACCGATTTGTCACATCTGGGAACCGTTCATGGCAAAGTAAACTCTTCTGCCAATCCTTTCAGCCCACGTAGTGGCACCATAATGTCAAAACCTTCGACAAAACGTGGTCTCGCAGCAGCCGATGATGAATTCAATTTTATGGGAGGTCAAGGAATAATGAGAATGGGGTCTACCGGTCGGGAAAGCACCGTGATCCCAATGAGAATGGGATCCACGGGTCACGAGGATGATCATAATAGTTATGGTGAATCCACCCTTGGTTCTTTCACATCCGCCTCTTCTGATGGGTATTATGCTCAAAAAATGGCTACTGCAAATGCTGTTGGTGGTCAACTTAGTAGAAATACTAGTTCGGCAACCGCTAGCACTGCTCGTTACTCATTTGCATCTTTTGAAAGTAGAGGAATAATAGTTGACGATGAAATTGCAGAATCAATAGATGCTGGAAGGGATGATGGATCAATAATGGAAGATTATCAACCTCAAGGATTTGGCTTAACAATCGCTAATCCGGATAATGAGAGCGATAGTGATGACGAGCATGGGCAACAAGAAGAAGAGCATAATGGTAGGTTGAGAGTGCTATTCTAAGACAAGTTTGTCAGTTAAATATTTTACTTTTTGTTTCCATTTTAATTAGATTGTTAGACATAGACGATTAAAAACCAGCTTTTTCTAGACTTGCTATCCCTGGAGTCCCCCTCACCTCCCCCCCACAGAATTTTTTTTTTTTTTTTGCTGTTTGTGAATGCTTGATGTACCATTATTGTTTTTAGTTCTTGTTGCTCGATTCCCGATTGGTATTTTTATATATATATATTATGAATCCTTTTGTCCCAGCTTTATTATTTTTTTGTCTTACAACTCCTTTTTTTTTTCTTTGGTTTGATTTTAATGTTTTTCAAGTTTCTGATTATATATATCTAATTCGATTTCACTATGTGTGTATTAGTATTCAAGCTGGTGTTATTGATTTTTTGTGAATAATCAAGAATCAAAATTTACTGCCTTTTTTTTTAGAATAAATATAGACCTTGATTTGTGTTCAAATAATCCCTTATTTTGCTTCACAGAAAAGCCAAATATATTTTGTATATCGAAATAGTGATATTCAATAGCGTACTATAGCAGTACCTTTAACAAGGGAAACCAGATACAGAGTAATTCCCCTATTCATGGAGAGTTTGGCAATACATGGTGCTAACTACGCTCATGTGATCACAACTTCCAAATCGATATGATACGTCAATTTGTATTCTGTTTCTTTCAATTCTTCAACAAAGCGAATATATGCCCCCAAAGGAATACTTGGGCAATATGACTAGGTTACTTTACAAGAGAGCAAACATAAAATGAAATGCCTGTCAGGAAGATAATCCCTAACATAAATCTAGCATAAATATGTCAAGCAACATTTTGGGTATTGAAAAAGATTATGCAACCATCCAAGATCTTAATAATTGAAAGTCACAGCAATATCTTTTGGCTTTGAAGGGGAATGGTCTTCTGTTATTGAATCAATGGATAAATCAATCAAGGATCTCGACGCTAATTGCAAAATGCACAAGAAAGCACTGGAGGCAAGGGACCTAGAGCATGCTTTTTTCCTTTTCGACCCATCCGCATCTTCAGGCTGTAGCTTTTCATCTCTTTCAGAGTACTTGCTTGGAGCAATATCTTCGAATGTTAGTTTGGCCAAACTTCCATCAAGACTTTTTTGGAACTTTGAGATCAATTCAGTTGGTATATCATCAACTGATGATGCCATTGAACCTGTCGCGTTTTCAACCGTTCTTACCAATTTTGAAGCTACTTTGTTTTGGAGGTACTCAAAAAACCGTTTGACTTGGCCATTTAAAACTTTTACAGTGTTAGGTTGCCCTTGCTCAACAGAGATTTCATAAAGTGGCTGGTTGATGAGATTAAAGGATTTGGGTCCGATGCTTTGTGAACGAGAGCGAGAGCGAGACATCGATCCAGAATGGCACTGGAACCTGCTATTTCTGCTACTGGATCTGCTGAAGTTTCCAAACAATACATCTCTTAAACCACCATCAACAGAAGCGGTTCTGCGGCGCTTAACAAGAGCATCTTGCAAATCAAGGTCAAGTGGCTGACCAGAAAAGTCTAAAAAGAACTCCTCATCTTCTTCAAGTGGGCGTTTTCCATTACCGTATTTTTTGTCTGCGAAATCAGTACCAAATGGATCGTTAGCAAAATCCATCATCATCATTTGTTCTTGGGCAGAGGCATCCAAATCAAGATCAACGTGTCTTCCAATCTCAGCTGTGGCCCTTTCAAATAAATCGCCAACCGAATTCTTTGAAATTGAAGCTGAACGAGAGCGGTTTTTATGACGCCCTACTTCAATTTGATACTCATCCTCTTTTTCCTGGCGGATGTGTCCAGTGGCTATACCAAGAATAGTTGTTCCAGCCAGAAAATGTTCTGTTTGGCGGATCAAATTTGAATATAATTTATTTTCATTTCTACTTCTTTTGATGATATCAATAGCACTGATTGGATTTCCAGTGATAGAGATCATACCAATTCCTCCCTTATACCGCTGCATAGCTCCAAGCCTTCTCTCCTCATGCTTCTTGCTCTCAACATCCATTCTTTCTTCAAAAATATCTCTATTGTGTCTTAATTCAGAGGTGCTAAATGCAGTGATATCATCAATTTGAATGAAGCCTGTTCCAGAGCGTTTCCAAGGGGTTTTGCTAGTGCTGCGCGATGGAGAAGTTTTGAGGGAAACAGCAGTGGGGTGATCTTCTAGGTTTTCAATGGGAAGACTAACCTCAATATTGGTAAAGTCAAGGCCAAACCCATCTGCTGCGGAAATAGCATCAATTGCAGGCCCAGGGACGTTGGGTGCCGGAGATGGAGAGGTGATAACAGCAGGGGAGGTAGGTTCAATATTATTATTAGGGTAATTGAATAGCAAATCGCCGGATTGATCAAACTCAAAAACCACGTCGCCCAACATGTCATTATTTTCATCGATTAGTGAGTGATGGTTATACTCATTGTTAGGTACAGCTTCAAAATCACTGATATTGGCATACTGAAATCTGCTGGTATTTGAAGGCTCATCACCACGACCAGGAGTACTATGTATAGGAGAAAAAACTAATGATACATTATAAGAGTCTGACTGGTCGTCAACATGGATCTGATTCATATGTTGTCGTCTTTGGGCGGTTTCCTTTGAAAATTCAGTACTATCATCTATGTTGGTTTCAGGGGCTTCTTTATCCCCAAGTAACAAATCAGCAAGAGCTTTGTCACTTTGAACCAAATCCCTATTGACATCGAAATTACCATCATCTGCTAGAAAAAGCACCTTAGCGACTCTGCTATTGGTTCCTCCGCTAATCCTTGAAAAGCTCGATGTCACAATGGGACGGATATTTGCTGGACCAACATTCAATAACCCTTGAATAGGTAATACATGGTGTCCCGAATCTTTGTTCAGAATCTTTTTGTATAGAATATTTTTTTGGATGTTATTCTTTGTTACGCATGCCTCGAGATAGAGGTAAGTGGTCTTTTGTTTATGGGCGATGCTAATACCATAAAGGAGTCTGGAACTAAGCTTGAGGGATGATGGTTCGACTTTGGAAGATATTATTGCGCAAACATCGGGAATGGAAACATCAGATATCTCTCGCTTTTGAAGTCTTTTATGGGAAGACTTATTGCCGAGGGTTGCAAGGAGCCAGATTGTGCCGATTCCCGTTGACTGGTCTTGTGTGGTGAGCAATCCCAGAGTCAAGAACATTGTTTTAGAGATTGAGGATCCAGGCAGACACTATAATGGAATATCTCAGAAGGAAAAGGAGAAAAACAAACAAACAAGGAGAAGCGAAGAAAAAAAAACAAAGAAAAAGAGACGCGTGCTTATATAGGTAGATATTGGGAAGACGGAAACATGTGCGAGAATTGAGAAACTAAATGCTAATTAAGTACGTAGCACATCTACCAATATAGGAACCAGTGGAACGAAATAAAAATGACTTAGAATCAATAACCTAAATATTGCTCTCATATGGATGGTGTTCTTGATGTACTAAGTTCCATTAGTGGAGATAATAGAGAGTGGGAATTCATGCAGATTAGGTTATGCCACTTATCTTCAACACTAGAGAACATCAGAAGAAATATTTACAGTTTGCTCATCTCCAGAAACAATTTTATCAGTAATAGAAGCAAGAAAAAGAAATATAAATGTTAATAATTCTCCTACAATAAAAAAAAAAAAAGAAAAAAAAGAAAAAAAGAAAAAAAAGAACAAGATAACAATAAAACAAATAAAAAACATGTACCCAAGAAGTAAGCAGAGTATCCAGTATCAGGAAAGATCATAGGTTTTTTTTTTAAAAAAAAAAGCAGACAAAAAAGAAGCCATAATATACAGTATATGTTGAAGCCCACCAACTTAAATTGAAGAGGGAGTAAGTTGGAACTGGGAAATGTAATGAAGAAAAAGAAGCAAAATAACAGACAAGAAGTGAGTGAAACGTAATGACATGAGTGAGAGTTGATTGAACAATCTTTTGAGAAGGATGCAGAAATTCAATGATAAGGACAAAATTTATAGTTTTTTAACCAAATGGCGCTCCCCCTACAGATTTTCTCAATCACTCAACTTCTCTTCCTTTTTAGTTGATATGTTACTAACATCACTTAAATTTCTACTGTGATGTCCATTATTACTGGCCCCAGATCCGTTGCCATGTTTGTCTTTTCTGAGCTCCTCGATAACCGGCGCCCAGTCTTGCAACAAGGAGGAACAGCTCTTATGTAAATCATGGGAACCCTTGAGGGAATCCTTTTTAAGTAGTTCTCTCAATACTTTGTGAATTTTCGAGGTCTTCAAAATCGTCACGGTGATTTTATTTTTTTTGTAAAATTGTTCCATTTCCCCAAGAGTTTTGGCAGCCTCCTCACAAGCTTCTCGGGTTGGTTCTTTTTTCGTTTGTATCAAACCTTTTTGTAAAATATACCTGAATCGCCAACTTGTCTCTAATACTTTATCGTTTGTGCCACTGCCGCTTCCGTGATCATGTTTGGCTTTCTTTTTCTTGTGTTCGGTGTCACCCACCCCTTCCAGAGCCGCTCTCGCCTTCTTAGCACTAGTAGCTTTCTTTTTTGGTTCACATTCGGCCTCTTTAGTCTTTTTCTCTCTATTTGGGTCGTCCTCATCGCTGTAATAGCCGTTATTGTAATCAGCCTCATCATCGGCAACTTCTCTTCTAAATTCCATGTAACTAATCCCAGTACTAATGCTTTTGAAGTTATCAGCCAAGCCGCTATCATCAACTTTACCGTTTTTATCAATGGCTTTCAATTTTTCATTTAGTAAAGCCTCATCTAAGAGATGAACATTCTTTTCGTCACACCAACCATAGTCTCCCTGATCGTAGTAAAACACAGGGATTTTACTGGCGCTCTTCCTGGCATTGAGGACCTTCTTGGTAAGGTGGCAATACTTAGGAATCTAAAACAAAAAGGTTAGTAAAGGACCAATCTTCAGAATGCTTTCAAGAGAGATAACAAAAAAGAAAACGACAACATACAAAAGCAGGCCAAGGGGGAAATCCACTCATCTTTGCTAATACACGATCCCCAGGCTGAAAGTTGCCATAATTTTTAGGGTATAATCCCTTTTTGCTCTTCACAGCTGGCATTTTTTTTTGTTATCAATTGTGCGAGAATTAAAATAAAAAAACAATCTCAACTTTGTTTGAAAATAAAAACAAACGATGAAAATGAATGATGGGTAAACAACAAATCCACACTATAAAGTCTTGATAAAGACCACTGAAACAGAGCACTATCAAAGAGAATTGCTTGAGCCGAAAGCCAATGTGGAAAACAGTAACGCAATTGAGAACGGTCTTCGCAAGGTAGATCCAGGTCTTGCCACAAATGGTCTTCTCAAAACAAATTTTCAGAAAGAAAGAAACAAAAAAAAATAAAAAAATAAAAAAATACACAGCAAATTGGTCTCGGATCCAACACGTGACCATGGTAAGATATATCATTCTTCTGGTGTTTCGTAACCAACAATTTACAATGGGACAATTATATTGGCACTTCAAAGTACTATCATTATATTCTATGTTACAAACGGCAGCAGGCGACTACTTCACCAACAACTTGGAGAGAGAGTGTGTGAGAGAGAGTGTGTGAGAGAGAGAGAGAGTGAGAGAGAGAGAGGGAGAGAGAGAGAAAGGAAAAAAAAGAAGAGATTTTGTATAAAAAACAAACAAACAAAAGTCGCAAATGACCCTGCGAGAAAGACTGAGAAGATTCGTCAATGACCAAACCTCCACCTTACAAACAAATTCTGTAACTTGCATATCTACCAGCGGTCTCGGATCTTCTAATGATCTTCACCACTTGGCCTCTCTTTAAACCCAAATATTTGGAAACAGGGTCTTCTCTTTGGATTCTTGGCAACTGACTTTCTTTCAATCTGTATCTTTGTAACAACTCCTTTTTCTCGTCAGTCGACAATCGTATGTGCTTTGGAACTAACTCGTGGTGTGTAATATTAACCACCAAATCACTTTCCTGGAAAATTTCAATACTGGCTGGTTGAACTGTTGGGACTAATTTGTGAGCTGAAGGACTGATGACTTTTTGGTAAATGAAAATACCAGTGGAGAAGTTCTTTTCACTAATATGCAAACAAAAGTTCTTCATTGTCTTGATACCCACGGATACTTCATCACAGAATTCCACCCACAAGGAACCTAATTCAGGGTATTTTTCACTGGCTTCTTCAGTTGGGTTAGCTTGGAAACACATCAACTTTCTTTGAGGTTGGCCCATGGCATCACATATTTTTGATTTGAATTCATCTAAAGATAAATCGATTTCTTCTTGCGGAATAAAGTAACCCTAAATATTTGGTTAGTGCTGATAAGATAAATAAATTAAATGTTTGATACTAAATGGTTTGTTGACAAAAAATAAAGAAAAAAAAAGTATCAATACACTTCTTTCAGACACTACATACCCTATCTCTAACCATTTCCTTCACGGTTTTATAAGTTCTCCACAAACGGGATGCCACTCTCGCTGAATCATCCATTTTTGAAATATTTGTTATTGCTTATATTATTAATGCTTTTGATTAAGAGAAACTCCCTTTTTCATCTCTGGCTGGGTTGTAAATTTTTTTTTTCTTTTTTATTTTTCCGCGAAACAAGAAAGGTCGCCCTGACGTAAAATTCCACCGGTCAGGATACCCGATGCCGTCTCGGGTGTCAAAGTCCCATATATTGGCGAAGTATCTAATTAGCATTCATCTATTGATAGCATAATAATCATAATAATAAGGGTTTAGAGTAGAGTGCGAGCAAATATAAATATATATAAATTATAGTAGGAGCTGGAGCTAGGAAAAAAAATTTTTAGCTGAAGAATTGAAACAGTATAATATAAAATAAAATATAAGGACATTATTCATTAAGGTTCCAAAGAAAGAAAGCCATCACTTGTTGGAAAAACGGGAATGAAGATGTTCAATGGACTGCCTTTTAGAGAGACCAACTCTATATCTGGCAGAGCTAGCAGAGGCTTTAGCACATAGATCAGCTAATGTAGATTTCCTTTTTCTCGAATGTTTCGATTCAATCGAAACCTGTGAGCTTCTTTTTCCAGAAAGAATAGCTTCTGTGGACAACTTTGTCTCACCTTTGGAAGTAATATCCGACACAGTATCACGGTGGTTTGTTTTAGCATCAGCACTATGGCTAACAATATCAGGCTCATCATCTAGAACAAAAAACGAAGTTCCAGCAGTGTCATTAATACCAGAGATCTCAGTAAAATCTCGGGAAGATGGTGAGCGTCTTTCACAATTTTCATCTTCACTCATTTCCTCAACTTTTGTGGAGATATCCTTGTCAAGCCCCATGATTCCTGAACCCGTTTTCAATGGCCTTTCTGGGGTTGATCTACCTGGAATTGGTATACTTTGCTTAGTAATAGGAATTATCGGCCCATCTCCATTTCTATCATTTAGTTCACAATATTCTTCATTGTCATAATCATTTTTACTGGAACGACGGATGATGCATTCTGAATTAGAGATATCTCGTGAAAGTTCACATGTAGTGGCAACAGAAAATAGAACTTCCATGGTTCCACCATTTATTATATCCCTTACTAAATTCCCATTCGATTCACTTAAATGATTTGCATTTATATTGGATTGAGAGTCATGTTCTTCATCATAAGACAGTTGAATAGCGACGAACGAATAATCTGGAGTGGCATCCCCATCTGGTGGATCATCAACCGAGTTAAGAAAATCATCATCATAATCTTCCACAATGTCTTTGTCATCTTCCAAAACACAATTTGTCAAATTGTCTTCCGCATCGGTCATATGAAAAGGTGTATTATTGAAACTGATCACTGTTTCAGCTGATTTTTGTGATATGCTAACAGCCTTGCTATGGATGCCATTTTCATTGATGGCGTCGGCGCTTAGCCTCATCAATGGAGGATCAGCAAATGGGCACGGGATTTCGCTCTCATTATCCCGGTAGATAGTGATAATGGAGTCGAAAGGAAATGTTTTGGAACGTTGGGTGGGTCTAGAGTTATTGGACAGAGCCATCGCCTCATTTTTAATGTCATCAGAGGCCTGTTGAGGATCAGAAGATGGACATGATGCTGGTCTGTTGCTTGCCAGCATATTCTGGCACCCAATCGGCATCCACGCTGGGAGAAAATGTTCCAGTTGGTGTTTCAATCAGTATTCTTCAGCCTTTAATAAAAGATTTAAAATTGGAGATTTGCGCTTCTGGGAATTATGCACTATTATTTCAAGTTTTTTGTTTTGACGTCTTCTTTACTTTCGTTTTTTTCCCTTAATTATTTTGTCCTCACAACGAACGCGTAACGCGATTTTTTTTTTTTTTTCCTATTTCCGAAAAACACGAATTTGGCAACCTTTATGCCACTGGCTATCAACTGGATGCCTATTTAGTATAACTATAATGAAGGGATGAGTTATAGATATAGAAAACCAAAGAATACTTATGGGAGTAAATGGAAGAGACCGTCTTCAAGGAATTTCAGTTTTGTGGAGCTTTCACCTACTTCGCATAGAGGAAGGTCGTCCTTGGAATTGAGCGAATGCAGCTCGTTGTCTGACATTGAGCTATCTAATGAAGAAACCCTTGAAAATAATATACCTAGAAACCCAATTACGTGCGAAATCAATGGCAAATTGCATGAAGAAAAGAAAGTCTTGGCTGAAGTTGGAGTGGCTACCCACAATGACTCTGAATTTTCTCAAACAGCTGCAAATGAAAAAAAAAAATGAGCACGATACAACAATAACACCAGAAAATGCCATCAGGGACCCTCTTAGAACAAATCGAAAAAATAGAAACTTTATCAATAGAAAGCATTCACAGGGATCCATAATTTCTGAAGAGTTTGAACCACCTCTCAAGAAAAAGCCAAAAGTATCATCAAATACAAATTTACAAGCAGCTGTTTCCTTAGTTTCACAAGAAGGGACGGAAAAAATATCCCTCGAAAAACCCAGTAGAGAGGAATTTGAATCTCCTTCTTCTGAACAAACTAGGACATGCAAGTCTGGAATGGGCCTCCGTTCCTCAGAACTAATTCTGAAAAAGCCTGAATTGGTGAAAAACATTCCAAACGACAAAAAACCCAATTTTTCTTTTGTAGATCATACAGCACAAAAGAATGTCAAAACTATTACAAAAAGCCCAACAAAGGAGAATACTGGCATGGAATTAGAGGCATGGGAATTGTTTGACAGTATTTTGGAAGTAAACTCTGTGAAAACCCAAACATTGAAACTCACTGATAAAATCACATCTTCTCCCGAATTTTATGACGAGGGCTCTTTTATTGATGAATCCCAGTTGGATCAAAGTGATGAAGAAGAATTGCAGTTCCATCAGGAATTATCACAAAACTTGCTTACTCATTTTCTGACTGGCGATGAACACAACGACCACAATGAATTTGAAGAACAGAAAACAGAAAATCTATATCTGCAAGAGTCCAATAAAAAGACTACAAGAAGATATAATAACAAAACTTATGGTGGAGAAAGAACTTATTTAGAAGAGCCTAACTCAGAATTGGAAGACAATGACGAACCTTATACCAGCTCTAATGAAGATGCTATCAGCAATGCGATTACTTCAGTAGATACTACTAAAACTCAAAAAGAATCACGATTAAAAAATACACAGAACATGAAAGAGCTGCGAACCTTCTCAAGGTTATCGGATGATCTCAATTTCATGCTAGCAGATTTATCCAGTAAAGATATAAACTTAAAGAGGTCTGCCATTTTAGAGATGTGTCTTCGAATTGCTGAGGAAAAACAAGATGATAAAGATTCATTCATCAAGTTTCTTAGGGTCGCTGGTTTACCAGCTTCATTTTACTATTCGGTTGCTCTAACAAATGATCCAGTGCTTTTTTTCTGCTTTGGTTTCATCATCAATGAGATGATAGCTACTAAGGATTCAAATGATTGTAATTGTGAATTCCTATTGCTTGATCAGAAAATTTTCTTCTTATTCAAATATGTTATCATCCAAATGTTGGATAATTCTGAATCAAGCATATTATCGGAGCTGGTGAAAATAAGGCCGAAACTTTCCAAGATTTCCAAGATTTCGTTGACGGAAGTTGTTAGGAAAATACTAATCAAGAAATTTTTCGCCTCAGACTTGAATTTTTTACAAACCGGGAAATTGAAGCATCACAGAGGAAATATCGAAGATACAGCAAATACCTCTAAGTTAAACTCCTTCTTTTTTGCGATGAACATATTGAATGTAATTAATCAGGCGATTGATCTGGGAGTGCTTTCTGATACCTTGGAAATTGCAAATTCATTGAATTTTGATTCAGGTATTATATCCAAGGTTTTCCATTCTATTACAGATACCTCAGAGCTTGATTTATTGAAGACATTTAAAGAAGGACTTTCTGATAGAGAGGCATCAGCGAATATTCTAATGGATTGTCTTGACAATCTTTCCCCCTTTGGTGTTATCAACTATTTATTATGTTTGAATCAGTGCGTATATTCATTCAATTTTAATGTGCGGTTCAAGAAAATAGATAATTTTGGCCAGAATATTGAAAATATAGAAATACTGTCAACCAATTCTGGAAGTTCGGAGGTGATTCTTGATAGTTTGTTTAATAATAAATCTAAATTGAACAGTATTTTCGATTCATTCCTCACAATTATCAACTTAACTGACAAGGTGATGGAGCTACAGTTAATTACACTTTCAAATGAAAGAAAAGAGAAGAAGGACTCACTGAATAAACTTGGAATAGAGATTGTTGAGACTATTATAATTTTATTAAACTGTTATCTAAATATTCTAAAGATTTTGATTACTTTAACTTCAAACATTGAGAAATTGTTCGAACATGACAAACGAGGGTTCACTAAAGACGATGAAATCTATAGGAGGTTGTTTGATCCAAATTTGGCAGCGTTGGTGCTTTCTATAATTGGAAAAATTAGGGCAACTGACAATTTCTTTTCATCTGATGATGGTACACTGAATGATCAACTAGATTCGTTATTTAGCAGTTTGAGCTTGTTTAGTTTCGGTTATTTAATGAATGTATCCGATGACGTTATGTGCTTTAAAAAGCTTAGTGAACGAAAGAATATATCTCAGCTCACACATTTATTTCAAAATTGTGAGCTCAGAAAAAATCAATTGCCTTTATCCAAAGAGTTAATTGTCCCAAATCAAAGTTTTCATGCCACTGGTTACCTCTGCTTAATAATTGGATTATTAGTGACCAGTAAACAAGATTACGATCATTCTGTGTTGGATTTGAATGATTACAGAGATTTACTGATTTGCTTGGACAATTTTATGTTGCTTATTCCATCAGAACGTGGAGAATCTGATAACTTTGCCCATATTAGAAGTCAAATTAAGTTGGTGGCTGACAAAATTAACCAACAGCTCAAATAGGCCTGTATTATATATACCATTATGTACCATTGAGTAAGCATCTTACGCTATTAATAAGAACCAGACGGAGGAGGAAATCCCGACTTCCTTTATTAAGTTGAATCTGTGTACTTGTGATGACCTTGCTTATAAAGCATATATGCTTATACGCGTACATCACGTGACCATGCTTTCGAGAAATGACTGATTTCAAATTCCATATATGATTCATATGATGATACTCTGAAGATCTTGTTGATAGTTTCATATATGAGTATAACATCAAATACAGAATAAAATGTCTGAAGAAAAGCCTTTAATCTGTAAGTGAGCTTGGTTTTGACTATGTGTCACTCGACTGTGGATACTAACTTTCAATTGTTACAGTCGCTCCGGAGACATACCAGTATGACAAGTTTCAGTTGGAGGATAGTAAAGTTGAAGACTCTCCTATAACTCAGTTCAAGAAATGGTTTGATGAAGCCTTGAAAGAAGAAGATATACCAGAATCTGTCACTTTATCAACTGCTTCTCTACCATCCGGAAGAATTTCCTCAAGAGTTGTTTTGCTCAAAGAGTTAGATGATAAGGGTTTTGTGATTTTCTCAAACTGGGATAAGTCAAAGAAAGCTTTGGATCTCCAAACAAACAAGTACGTGGCTTTGAACTTCTTCTGGAAAAAATTGCAGAGACAAGTGAGAGTTGAAGGTATTGCAGAATTTACCTCCAAGAAAGTGAATCAGGACTACTTCAATACTAGACCAAGAGGCTCTAAGATTGGTGCGTGGTCTAGTCCGCAATCTCAAATTATTGAAACCAGAGAGAAACTAGAAAAAATCGTTACAGAAAATACTAAAAAGTTTGAAGGTGTCAAAGATGACGAAATTCCTTGTCCAGAATATTGGGGAGGTATCAGAATTGTTCCATTGGAAGTGGAATTTTGGCAAGGTAGACCAAGCCGTTTGCATGATAGATTGACTTTTAGAAGAGAAAAAGTTACCGATGAGTTCGAAATGGTGCGTATTGCCCCTTAGGTTATGTCTTCCGTATTTACATAGGGCACAATTTTCATGATAGTTAAAGAACAATAAATTCAATGATAAGTCCATTGACATAAAAGTAAAACTTATTAATGTAGACACCAGGGAAAATGGCAATAAAACGGTCAATATAATGTACCACACTCTGGCAAGATAATATATACTGGTGGCTCATTCTCAGTTACCGTAGTCTACAAACTAAAATTAAGATGATTTCCATCAATTGCGTAATCTTACCGTTGACCTTTCAAACAATTTGTTTTCTGCAAAGCTTGAAGCAAACAAGAATGAAGTAGAACACAGGGTATAAACACTTGTCCATTATGAGCTGGATTATGGCATATATTGTTATTCTTATGCCCTAATTTAGGTTTGGAAGTTGTGATTACCTTGCACATTTCTCGCGGCAAGGTAATAATCCAGACTATTAGATTTTCAGTTGAGAGCAAATTAAAATGGAAACACAAACAATTGTGACCTATAACTCTGTACAACAGAATAACAAGATACATTTTTTTCTTTTTATTTGGAGGATTGTACCTCACACTTATTGTAAGTTGAAAGCTGAAACATGGAAAAATATTCAATTTAGCAAAATAAAACGATAGTATTGACTATTTGAAAAACCTTAAACTTCTTGAACGATCGATAGTAGAACTGAATGCAGTGGACGTACCAGCTGACGTTGCTTTCATCATCAGCCATAAATTGTAGATAAGAATTGAGAGTACTTTGTGACGATAATTGCTTACCTATATTACATACGCAGAGTTGAAAAAAATGTGGTGGTCATGTTGCTAGCAGAAATTGAAGCAATCCTGACTCACTAGTTTGGAGGAAAATTCTACAATACTTTCAATTCTCACTTGTGTTTTTCCAAAATAAGTTGATAGCCGCATACTTATTTGTATGGAGATCTGAAGTCTTCCATGTGCATCTATTGAAGATTGTATTTATAGATTTACACTGAAAGAGCTTCAGAGCACAGAAGTCTGTCAATGATTCTAATACCAAAATTTTACTGTTCCAAATAGAGTGCTGCTAGAAAATAATAACCCGAATTTCTGTCGCAATTTTTTTTTTCACCTGCAAAAAATTTACAGGATTTTTACTGATCTAACTATTATAAATCTATGATAAGGGAGAGGAAGCTGATCTGTGACTAGAAACAGATTAATAAAACAGTAACGAGCTCTTTGACAACAAATATGTCAACAATATACGGTTTAACTTTAGGTAGTATGATAATATGCAAATAGTTTTTCGAATAAAGGCAAAAAATTGTACAAATAAAGATATTATTAAAGAGTAAAGAGTTCTCAGGATAAGTGGCTAGGCGAGAAAGAGTAGTATGATTCCTATAATAGGACGTAGGAACTGCCAAAAAAAAAAATAAAAAGATGAAAAATTTTAAATGCTTGTCTTTTTATGAAGTCATTTTCCAAATATCCTGTTTATCTGGTGAATTAATTTTGTGACACCAAAGAAAAACCCAACTAAAATTATGACGAAATTAATTACCAATAGGATCAAAGAGTTGAACAAAAAGCAAGGAACAAAAATCTTCCACACCATTAAATGCCTTTTAAACCAGTTAGTGAAAAACAAACTGCTTAATGTGATGATTGTTTGTGACATTAATAGCGTCAAACAATTGACGATAATCTTTGATAAGAGACTTATTGGTTTCAAGTTTGGTGGAATCTTCCATATAGTGATGAGAATAACCGACAATGACACAATTATAAAAGGACCGAATGAGTTTAGTAAAATAGGAATGTGTGAAAGGGGGAATGTAACTGAATCAGATAGTTGGAAAGCCAATTCCCACTTGATGGAACTAATTGTTATTTGATGATTAGTAGAATAGAAGAAACTGTATCCAAGCAAGTTGAAGATGATAGGACCGATCATGTTGCTTCTCAAACCTAAAATGTCCAAAATTTCGAGGGTGTTGAAGATTTGGTAGACGAGTAGCATTAAAGATATTGACGAATATGGTTTGTTGGTAATGATGATTGCCCCAAGAAAGTTCAAGATGAGTAATAAGTAGGAAGATCCATATATGTTGTTCAAACCAATAATTCTTGTTTCATTAGGGGTGACATCATCCTCGAAATAAAGATCATTTTCTGGAATATCATTCTCGTTTGATTCATCTGGATAAACTAATTTGATACACAAAGGGCCTTTAGACCAGATGAAGTTACCAGCAATTAAACAGACACCAATGACACATCTTGCAATCGTTAGCTTTGCACTTTTTATGGAATCAAAGGAAACCTTGAAGAATCTGTTGTTGAAATCAGGATGAAATTCAATGTAATCCAATAACCAATAGACACAGTTGGCAAGCAACACACTTCTCAAGAGCTTCCCTATCCATACTTGTGCCGAGTTCTGATACGAATCAATCCCATTCAAATTCATGAAATGTCTCAAGATATTAGGGAAGATCAAAGAAACTAAAAAAAGTAAAACTAGTGATGTCAATGTGAAGTTATTTGTAGTCTGACATGCAGAGTTACCATGGGTTACTGTTATCAATTTTGGACAGTGATTTAACTGTTCTTCACGGCATGTCCTAATCAATGAATTGAGCTTCTGAATAATCACGAATGAGATTGAGTGAATAACACCTTGAATGATTTTAAATTTCTCAGATTGCACATCTACTAAGGTTTCTTTTCCTTCACCTCCACTTGATTTCCCCTTATTCTTCTTTTCAGTTGCTAACAATAAGTACTTCTTGATAAAGACGTATAAATTATATATCCCATAATTAATCAATAAGAAGTTGATAATGGAATCTTGAAATATAAGGAAACTATTCGAACTGTATGTTATAACTTCAACAATCACAATAAAAACCAAAGCAATCGCAGACCACGTAGAGTCATAATCGTTAATGAAAAAGCGAAATTGTTTTATCAACCAGGATAAATTATATCTATCAAATATAATAATAAGGAAACCAGATATAATACCCGTAGCCATACCTAATAAGTTTATTGTCAAAGCATCAAAAGATAACGAAGCAAGCACCGGTTTAAGCACAAAATATGTCGCATTAAGTGCAATTAACCAAAAGAAAATCATCAAAATGATCACTGAAAGGAACTCTGTTATTAGCTGATTGAATACTATTGACGGAATTGTCTTTGCAAGAAGAACAAGAATTAAAAGAGAGAAAGCTAATAAAGTTATACCAATATAAATAAAAAGATTATTGAATTTAGCCCAGATGTTCTTGAATTTTTCGAGCGAGTCTGTTTGGTATTCAATCATAAAGTCTAACACTTCCTGCAAATTCTCTTCACTCAAGGTCATTTCATTAACTTCTGTATCAATCACTATTCCGCCAGAATACCCTGAAAACTGACCCAAAATAGAATCAATACTATCAACATCTTTCACTATTTTCAAAAATCTAGCAAAGTGATCTTGATCAACCAAAGGAGATGAGCCACCATCATTAGATATTAATGCCAATTTATATCTTTGAAGGTTCAAGATATTCAAGTAGTTAACCTTTATTAATTCGAGAAGATGGTCAACTTTCCTTGAATCATAAGTTGGACTAGAACAGCTAACATAACAATTTGTAACAGAATGCATTTCGTTGACAGGTCTTCCAAGGTTATTAAAGGGGATAGGAATACCCAACAACATTGAATAACTAGGAACAAAGTCTATCTGATTGATTGTTTTGAAATCTGAATCTAAATCTGCTAAATTATACCGGTCTTGGGAACTAGCATTCTCAATTTCAGGAAAAACTGGCTTTTTCGAATATAAGAACAAAGTGCTTTCCAATTCTAGTTTGGAGTCCCCTCCATGATTACCAGTTTGATCCATTCCATGATCACCCATAATAACCAATAATGTATCATCATCAATGCTATCAATTAGTTTTGTCATTTCTTCATTCATTTGTTTTTGTTTATTAACCATTTCAAAGTTATCTGGCCCGTACCTATGTCCTACATGATCCAAACCGAGAAAATGACCAACAATAACTTGCCAATTTGAAGATGCGGGATAATTATCTTGGTCTAGAAGAGGAAATATATGTTCCAAAACACCATTGTCCACAGTATGGATATCCCACACGTTTAAGGACTCGTAAGGCCATGACATATTTTTGTTCAAATATGGGCGGAACAAGCTATCCCAGGTATCATCACCAATTAAAGTGACATTCTTTTTCGCGCTTTGAGAAAACTGATAAATTAGATTATCCTCATTGATTTCATCGCCATCAAAATTACTCCCAGCATCAATAAATGTCGGCAAGGATCCTGTGGTCAAACCCTTTAGTCTTTGTAAGGTTGTAGTAGGAGGATCAGCTAAGAACTTGAAAAGGAGAGAGTTTTCAGGATATTGAACAGACATATCATATAGTACCGGGAAGTTGTTGTGATAGTTAGGGTTGAATGAAGGATCAAAATCATTAATCGGTATAACGAAGTCAAATCTCAAGGCGTCAATCACTATGAGTATAGATTTATTAAACTTTGGTTGTATCCAAGCACCACCATTATGACTATTCTCAATTTCTCTTTTAAAAAGATTCCGTGATGATACACTACTATGTGTTGAAGGATAAATATCAGAATTTCCCCAATTGTCATGATAGAATTCTATGCTTTTTAAGGGGATCTCGTGTAATATTTCATTGGATAAGTCCTCATAGTTCGAGGTGTTTGGTAACACTGATCTACTCAATAAGAAACCAAGCTTGAAGAAATAGATAGCAATACCCTGCAAAACAAATATAGCCACCAAATTACAGAAATACAACGCGTTCGACCTTTTCAATTTGAATAATCTTGAATTTCTTCTTAATGCTTGTTGTCGTAATGATTTAAGCTTCTTCTCTCGTTGCTGATAAGCTAACAATTGGCTGCTTTCGGTGCCCTCATTGTCAGCAGAGCGTATTGTGTCCATATTAAATTTTATAATCGCTAGCAGATAACACTATCATTCATTTTCTGGAGTTACACCCAAAGCAACTTGATTTTAAGAACCACCGTTTGATCTAGTGTATTTTCCACAATGTGGTATTTTCAATTTTTTTTCTTCCGTCCTCCAAAAACCCTAGATCAACTATGCGCACGCAATAATACAAAGCGAAAAAACACCAAAACTGTACACTGATAAGTGTGCTACCTATGAATCGATTCACTTGATTACATATATATATATATATATTATAGTACTATTAAATATCGAATCTAAATTAAAAAATAATAATCTAATATACAGAAGACAAGAAAGAATCAAAAACAGAACACCAAATTATGAACAGAATAATAATAATACAAAGGACAATGAAGGCTGTTCATCACTTTTTGTAGCCCATCTCCAATTTGTAGCTCTCAATCTCTTGACGAGTTAGCCTATCATTTTCATCCCACCTAGCAGAAGAGCTTCTAACAAAATGTTTAGATCTAGTATTTGCGTCATGACTTTTGAAAATTTCTTCCAAATTCAATTTCCCAATTGGCCCAAAAAGATTGTCAGGATCAACCTTTTGCTGGGTTTTCAACAAAGATTTTAATTCAGGAGAGTTTGCCCAGCTTTTTAAGACACTTGGATCTTCATCATCTGAAGAGTCTGAATAAATTTCTGGCAATACGGTCTTGGGACTAGCATGACGACTCTTCTTTACTAAAAGGGGTTTTTGCTTTGGCGTCAGAGAGGAGAATGAAGATGAGGATAATTTACCAGGGTGGATAAATGAGTTATTTGGGGTCAACATGATTGGTGGGTTAATTCTTTCATGGTTATTATCAGTGCTAGACGAAGCAGAAGAAATTGCAGCATTTTTTATTAATGTCGATTTCATAAGTTGTGAGCCATTAAATTTTGGTTGATTAGGCGTCTCGGTATTAATAATATCATTAGAGACCCTTTGACTTTTCTTGGCAGGCGTATTTTGACCAGAAACAATAAGGTCTCCCGAGTTCTTGTTAAATGATAATCTAGTGATATCACTCTTTTTCTTGATAGAGTTTAATAGACTCTCCTTTTTGATTTGCTCCGAAATAGGAGTCTTAAATTGATTGATATCCACTTTCTTGAACTCCAGACTATTGGTCTTGCGCTTTTTTTCGATTTTATTGTCGTCATTATCATGCAAATTCTCTTCAGCACTCAATTTTCTCTTTGCTCGAGCTGCTGTTGATGCCGATAACTCAGTGACATTTCTTAAAGGACTTTGGATTTTTGTTGTACCTGAGCCTTGCAAATTGTTCAATTTATGCTTCAAAGAACTATATTGAGTCTTAGTCTTCGCGGAATTAGTGAGAGAGTTACCAGAATTGGATTTGACAGATGCCTGTAGCTTGTTTGGTGATAATTGTGGATATAAACTGGATACAGGATTATGGCCGATACTAGAAGATTTTAATCCAATACCAATTTTTGGTTTTGTTTTTGTGAGAGTTGAACTTTTATTAACAAATTTGGCAGCCTTTTTTTTTGTTGGGTTCGATTGATCACGCTGATTTTGATAATCAGCACCACCATCAGCACCACCATCAGCACCACCATCAGCACCACCATCAGCACCACCATCAGCACCACCATCAGCACCACCTTTCACAGACTTTGCCAGACTGGATTCAGTAGGTGCCATAAACCTTGCAAGTACAACGCCTGATCTACTTTCAGCACTAGTATTAGTCAGAACAGTCCCAATTGAGCTAGTAATTGTTCCCTGAGACGAAACGGTAGTTGTCGAGCCATTCGATGGTTTGATATTTGATGGATTGACAGCTGATAATTTGATACTCGATAATTCTATGGACCTTGAAGAAGAGCTTGAAGTTATTGTTTGTGTTCTTTCTAGTGTCCCTGGTGAAGTAGTTTGCTTGAAAATACTCTTTGCCTTGCTTATGGCATTGGAGAAATAGTGGGTAATACCAGGAGAAGTTTGTTCTTGATCGTTTTTATCTGCATGATTTAAAGTTGTGGTTGATGTTAGCTCCAATTTAGAATCTTTAGGGGCTCCTTCTTTTTTGGATTTGACAGATTCAGCCTGTTTTTTAGTACTGGCAGAAGATACTGAACTAATAGTCCTCAGAGGGCTCGCGCTTCTTTTGTTTGTTCTGATAGGCGATATTGACCTCTCTTCTCTGATTCTATGTATTGTCCTTTTGATGGTATTAGCGCGGCTTGCTTTACCTGTGATATGCTTTGAGTTTGAAGAAGTTTTTGTAAGAGCTGCTCCATTTTTTTTGACAGTCAAAGGAGGTCTCGATGGAAGTGGAGTGAATGACTTAGATTTTCTTTGTTCATCACTTTTCCGATTGCCTTTGGCGGATTCTTCGACTAACGGTACATTATTTTCAACTTCAAGAACTTTTTCATTAAGTTTGACATTTTCATCATTTCTTTGGAAATTTGAAACTTTGAGTGCAATAGGAGATGTTAGATACAAGGGATTGATAGCGATGGACGACTTCTTCTTTTTGGGTTCCGATTTTTGGTTGGCCACGTACTTCTCTAGATCGATACTTGTGCTTCTTGTGGTAGTAGTGAGTTCTGGTTTTTTATTGAAATCCAAATGTACAGGATGCAACTGTTTTTGCGTACCATTTTCCTCGTTACTTTCATCCAGTCCGATTCTCTGATCCTCCAACCTCACCGGTGATTTCTTTGGTGATTTTAATAACAATGTCATTTTACTGGCCAGATCGTTATTCGAATCAAAATTATCGTCAAAGTAAATAATTTCATTCACCTGATCATTCAACCAGTTTAAGTTGTTGTAGACCGACTCTTCAAAAGATTTTGATTGTAAACAAACCAAGGAGCTGAACTCTGACATCTCGGTAGAAATCCATTTTGAAGTACCGGGAAGCGCCGTCGAACTTGCTTGTTCCGAAGCCTGTATAACCCAAAAGTTTAAGTTTTCCATTAGCAAGGTATTTTTCAAGAGCTATATGGCTAAGGCTTTCTCTAGATGCTCCAGGAGGTGTTATTGTTTACAATTATTTTTTGTTGTTTTTGTTTTGAGTTTCGCGATGCGGTAGCCACGTGAGGGGGTGTAACACCCGAAAATATACCGTGTCCTTTGGATGTATAGAATACAAATGTTCTCTAAAGAGTAAATAAACCATATTAAAAGTATATTGAATAAAGAAGCAAATCGATTATATTTCATGAAGGATTTTTCTAAAGAACGCTAGTTCAGAATAAAATTTAAAAGTCTTGAAAAAAAAAACAGATATCATAAGTCAAAACGCACGAGAAAAAAAGAAAGGAAATCATCAATAATTAAAAGTGAAAATGAAGTAATTTTGTTTAGAGGCGCTGGTGTTGCATACCTATTTTCGGTAAGATCTAGTATGTTTTCTAGAGCTATTATTACCTTTATTATTAATGTCGTAGGCAGGTAACAAGTTGCAATTAAGCATACCACTGTTGTGCTGCATCTTCTCATTCAACTCTATAATTGGATAGTTTGGAAACTTCATTTCCACAGGAGAAGGAGGAGATTGTGGCTGATAATATTGATGCTTAACCGAAGGCAATGTCATGTTTTGCTTTTGGGCCTGAGGAGTTTGCACAGGTGTTTGATTGAGAGGAAAAGTGAATTTCTTGATGTCACAATCAATTGGTGAGAATTGCATGGCAGCAGAAGATGATGAGCTATATGTTGGTGGAGATCTCATGAAAGTTTGTTTATAGGACGGAATCGCGTTATAATGAATATTCAAAGATTGAGTATGCATATGCTTCTTCTTGGACATAGAATTGGAGAAACCAGAATTGCTAGCTATTTTCTTTGTTTCAATCAAATGATATGTGAGCTCAATGTCTTTGGTATCAGTTATTTTTAAATCATATCCTTTCAAGAATTTTCTCAAAGCCTCAGTAGCAACTTTCAAATTGTCTTCCACATCCATATATGTCAAAATTATTTCATTATCATTCAATAGCTTGATACCCACATTCAAGAAAATCTTGAAAGGAATTATTATTTTGTTCAAAAATTCCTCATTGGATTGGCTAGCAATTTTGCTAAGGTTGAAGCTATTGGAAACCGGTGAGCTGATAATCAATTTTTGTTCATTAGCAATGTGCTTTGACATTAATTTAAAAGCATCAATTGCACTTTTGGTGTCAATAGCTTTCAATTCAATCAATTCATAGAATCCATCACCTTTAGAGTTGGTTGGGAAGTCGCTAGGGAAATTAATGAAACTATTTGTCTTCTTTTCGATCTCGTTGATAATTGAGCAATTGAAGTTGTTCAAGAACATTCTGTGTTGATTTTCAGAGAGTCTGAAGTTTATGAAATTCAATTCCTGACAATTCTTAACCAAGTTCTCAAGCTCAAGCTTAACTTTTGGAATATTTATGGAGTTCTTGTTTGGACACTTAATCAAGACATTATTGAATCTTTTGAAACTAATCAGCTCTTGCTTCAATTCAAAGGTATTAGAGAACTTGATAAACACATTATATTTTCTCATAATTGATTGAATTAGGTTACCACCGATACCAATGATTTGTCTATGATAGATTTCAGGAATACAAAAAGACATTTCAGATGGGAATTCCAACTCAAGCAAGTTAATACCCATTTCCAAGTTCTTAATGGAATCACCTGAAATTTCAATCATAAAATTATACTCATTAGCAGATTTGAATTCAATTTTGGTGGAAGTCTGATTCTTAATTTTAATTAGTTTCCCGTTTTTCTTCCCACAAATAAACTCCTTTTCTCCGTTCAATAGTTCAATCTTAAATTTGTATTCAAACTGAGCACCAACATTATTCCCAGTACTGTTCACTTCATTGGTTAGAGTAGACAAGTTGTTGTTGAAATCAAGTTCATCAACTCCATTCAAAGCAACTGGAGGATTTGATAATGAGTCCTTCAAATTAGAAAACATTTGCAAAGCTCGTTTAACATTAGAATTGTTCCCAACAATCTTATAGCAAGATTTTTCATAATTCATTAAAATCCAGGTATTAGTGACGAAGCAAATTTCGGTGAAAACGGAGCTAATTTTCTTTTGATCGATTACTGAACATTCGATATTAATTTCTAACTCATAAATTTTGTTCTGCAATTCTGCTATCTCTTTCAAGGTCTTTTCAACAAAATATTCGTTGTTTGCCTGAATTCTGATCAAATCGCTGGATGAGCTCAAGTCTGGAAACTGAATGAATGAGCCATTGTTATACATGATCTTGTTAATTGAAGTTGCTTCATTTAGCAACATGTAGTTCATTCTTGTTTTATTAATTCTCAAGTCTTTGAAAAACAAGTTATTTTCTACCCTGGACTTCAAGTTCTTCAACAAATATTTGGCATTCAAGATTTGAGACTCAATACCTGATAGAAATATCTTGTTGTTGTCAACATAGTTATTGGACGAAGTATCAGATGGAACAGGTGATATTGAAAATAATTCAGGCATATAAATAAAAATCCCGGTCTGCTTGATGACATTTCTAAAATTTTCTAATTTATTACCACCGATCAAGTTGATTAGACTCAAGTCAACATCAATGGAGTCAATTTTTAAATTTTTGAGATCATCAATGAGCAATTTGCATCGTAACTCAGCAGCGCTGACGTCGGATTCCGTACCAACAACGTACAAGTAAAAATTGTTATTTGAATCAAGGGATTGACCATTGAAAAGAGATTTGGAGTCCGACAAAAAGATCTCGACGTTGAAGAACTTGGAGATTGAGTCCAATGTTTTGATGAAGCCGGAGTTAAGCTTCGAAGTCTTCAAATCAAGTAGATGATCGTTAAAAAAGCTAGAGTTGATAAGCAATTTACGGTAATTGTATTGCTTGACAAGAGAAAAAAGCTTATTTTGGATATCAATCAATGATTCTAAAGAAGGGGCTGAAACTTTAACATTCAAATTTTCATTGTAGGAATCACTGGTTAGGATTGACATTGATTCGCGCAACTTGGTTTGTTTTTTGAGAAAGTTCTTCATCAATTGGACATTGCTAAGGGCGAGCATGCCTTTATCATTTTTCTTCCAGAAATCAGTGTTGGTGGTTTGGTAATACAATTCACATTCAGAAACATTTGGTTTTGCAAAAGAAACGGCTTTCAAGGATAAAATGGTTGAAAATTTTTGCAGATGGGATTCTCCGGTTCTTGATTTGATCACTGTTGTTTCGATCTTTGGTTTGCTGTTCAATTTCGTTGTTGTGTTATGTCTACCATATTTGTTGGTGACATCAGAAAGGATTTTATTTTTGTGAGAACTAGTGGACTTTAAGTTGATCAGAGGATTTTTGCCAAAGTCCAGATGGATAATTGGGACATTGGCATCTGATCTGTAGTAAGTGAACTGGTTGTATCTATCCATATCAACAAAATCTGAAAAGAGAAGGGGGTATCGAATCTAAGGACTATGTATCGTGGGGAAAAGACTTAGGAAGCAAAACTGCACAAGATGAACAGAAGGGAAATGAATTTGTTTTTTATATCAGAAAGCTCTCGTTATGCATGTGCAGAAAACTTGATGTTTGGAAATTTCCCTTTTGGGCGGAAAAAAAGCACAAAACGGTGAAAAACAAAACAACTGACAATTCTGTACCCATGATATACATAACTGGACATAACTACAATCGCAGTGTATCCCATGGGCCATGGAAGTCAGCATGTAGTTGATCTTGCTGAGTCTTTCCTTGTCGGTGGCAATGCTACTTTTGAAAGTCCTCAACTCCTTGTAAGTTTTAGAAACACTCCTAGCTGGCAAGCGGAATGTACGGACGAAGGGCTCAATATTTTACACATAGATTCTTTAGATTCCCAAAAATAATAATCAGAACTGAGGACATTCAAGCCAATGTTGCTGTACCACATGGTATAGTGTGCCAAATAGTATACACTATGACAAAGGTAAACAGTAAAACGTAAACATTACACGCCACTCCAACCCTTTATTCTCAGGAAGTTAAATCCAATTGTAAACAAAAAGCTTCATAGATGTATCTATGAAGCAATCTATTAGATACTACAATTATGGTTCCAAGCACGATATATTTACGCTAATCGAGAATGCTAAAACTAAAAGATCATGCAATAAATTTCAAATGCGTCAACACTATTCAGATGTTAACACTTTTTCAATCAATTTCTTATTTTCCTCACTGGTCCAATTCTTTTTTATTATCTCTTTCAATTTTTGGGAGGCCAAGATATTTAGTTTGGAATACTGCTCATTCTTCTCTGAAAATTTACTCACCAAGTTCTTGTTCTTGAATTTTAAAGGCTTTGTTAAGATGAAAATACCAGACCATCCTTTATAATAGCTTTCACATAATTCCACACTTTTCAAAAAGTGTTTCAAGCTTAAATTGAAGAAATTGAAAAACTTGTCAATAGTAGCCTGGTTGTAGTTGAAATTCTCCCTTTTGTTGGCATTGTTGGAATCGGAAAAATCATACAAGATCTTGTATGCATATGATTGGTAAACTGCCCCCAATTTGTAATATATATTGTAGGCAAATGGAACGCAAAGCAAGATTTGCTCCAAGCAATAGATTGATTTTGTATAATTCCCCAATTTTAAATACACCTCAGATAGTTCATACCATGATTCATTATCGCTAGGTTTAACCTCTAAGTATGATGTCAAATCCTTAATGTATTCATTTGCATCAATATTATTCAACTTGCTAGCCAAATATGTTCTTCTTCTAATAACATTGATTTTTTTGCCAAATTGTGGTACAGATTCCAAAAATTTCGACGCTTCTTGATAATTCTTCGGTTGTGATCCTGTGGCTTCAATATAAACGGATCTTAAAACCGCAATTCTTTGAGATTTTTTGTAACCTCCAAACTTATCAGTGAGACGGCCTAACATCATTTTCGCCTCAGTATCATTTTTTGTGATGAGAGCCAAGTAGAATTGTAATTCAGTCAAATCATAAATATCCTTTTGACTATCTTGTGCAAGTAGCAAGTTCAGGGTTGCAATATTCAAAAAATTCTTGTTTTCATGATATAAGGATAGCGCCTGTTCCGGTGATAGATTATTGTACAAACCAGAGCTATGGACTCTCAAAAGCCTGTCTTTTGTTTCTTTGGACATTATCAATATGGTGGTTAATTCTTTTGAAACCCATATTTGGCCACTCTACTGATTACAGTGTTTGGAGATTTTGCCCTTTTTTTTTTCATTTTGTCTAATTTACTATATGCACTACATATATCAGCACATACCCAAAAGATGTATTACATCAAGAAACAAAACAAAAAAAACATTCCCAATATCATTCCCTATATCCTTCTTATTTATGCAATAAGTTCTTAAAAATCATTCCATGCTGTGATCAATCTGGCTCAAGAAATCATTATCGTCCAACGCAGATTGTATACCAAATTCGTTATCATCAATAAAACCAGCCATTTCATTGTTGAAGACATCATTATTTAGCCCGCCGGGTATATTAGAGTCATAACCGAAAGTCATAGAGTCAGCACCTCCAGCAACAACAGGATGCTGTTGTATGTTTGATAACTGGGAACCGTGGGATATGATCGATTGTTGTTGTCTTTGTGCCTGCTCCTGTAATCTTCGCGCCTCTTCTTCTTCTACCGCCTTTCTCTTCATTTCTTCTTCATATTTCTTTTGAATCTCAAGTTTAATTTGTTCTTGCCTTTGGTACCAATTTGCAGGGGCTTCAGAGTAATTTTTGGGTTTCAATTTGTCAATAGATTTTTTGATACAGTTCGAATCACGAAAGAATTTCTTGCTATCTGAGGTAGCTTCAAACTGGCCCATGATATCCATCATGTTCTCATTCATTTCGTCAAGATTAGTGGTATCTAGATGTCTCAACTTCCTTAATAGCTTTCCGCGCTCCATAAACTGAGGATCAAGCACCGTTGAATGTTGGTCATCTGACTTTAACGTATCACATTCCACGTTGTTCCTTTCTATTTGTTGCTTTACCAGATCCAAACTACCAATCCACACACTCATTGGATCATCAATATTGTGCTGTTTTGGTTCAGGATAGGGTGCTGGGGGGATGATATTCTTCAATGGAACATTCTTTTCTAGAATAACCTCCAATAGTTCTTGATTTTGAATAAATCTTTGGGCTAATGATTGTTTAAAATTCATAACTTCCGCTTCATCGTGAAAAGAGGAACTATTTGCGATCTGGCTTGCTGGGCGCTTTATTTGATGCTGAAGTAACTGTTGCTGGTGAGGTCTTACGTTAGCAGGATATGGACCTGGCTTCCCTGGAGGATATTTTGTCAGTACCTTTCTATGTTGCGGTTTCATCATCCTGATATCTAATATATTGTGAGAGAATATAGTATCAGCTTTACTACTAGGAGAAGTGCGGTAAGCGTTTATTTACACAAAAGAAAAAAAAAATGTAACAAAATTGACGAGTTGAATGTGCATATATTATTAGGCGCACTCTAATGTAAGTATCCAAACAATTGGTAAAAACGCTCTTCAAATAAGCCATTCTTCTTTTATCGCATTATAGTAGTCGCCATAATATGTATGTTTGGCACGAACTTAATTATCCAAAAGAGCTTTTTTCAATAAAAACTTTGTCTTTTCTGGAGTCTACGTATTCAGGGAGTGACTGTTGTATAAGGCGGCTGAAGTATCCAAAATTGAAAAACTTTGTATGATATATATTAGTATTACAAGATGAAATATGTATTTCATAATAGTCAGGTACACTTTAATTGGGTCAGGAAATCCAGTGTTTAAATATTAATCTCTGTTTACCGAAATCATCGAATCCATTTTCAATATCCTCATCAACTAGTTTTAAACAGGATAATTTTTCATCATCTTTAATGAGTCCCCAAAGCAACTCTCTAACTTCCTCAAATTTTTCTCTTTCAGGAAGCTCAAGGAGCACTGTTCCGTGATTTTCGAAATCTAAATACCGTTTGATCATATTAACAATGAGATAGGGATGTGAGGAAGAATAAACTGGGTCTGACAAAATGATTGTCTTAAATAAGTTAGTTGCACCGAAAATTCCCAATTCCTCGTCAAATGATGAAGGATCCTGCCAGTCAAGGGCCTGAACTTCACAAATTGACGATAAGTTATTCAAATTCACATTATCTTGCAAATTTGGGATAATCGCAGGTAAATCAGTCAAGAATATTTTATTCATATTTTTTGTCAAAGTATTTTCATTCTCCATAGATATGATGTTTTCTTTTTCTATTATCCCGCAAGCCATTCCAACTAAACCTGTGCCTGCACCTAGTTCTAGGATTGGGTGTCTAAGGTAATTCTTTTTCTCCTCATCATTATAATAATTCTTTATTAATCTTTCAGCCAATATCAAAGAGGATCCCCATGTTTTCAAACCCAAATTATCCTCTGTTAATGAGGGTTCTTTTAGTTTCACGTTAAACTTAGAATTTGCAACGCAGTCAAAAACAATCAGACGGACGAATTCAGGCTGGGCAGTTCTACCACAATTTTCTGCTAGTCTTAAGCCTGCTGCTTTCCATATTTCATCTCTGAGTTTGTTAGTTTCCTTAAGGGTAGCACCTTGGATCCAGGACAAATCTGAGGAAACAATTGATGTGATATAATTGAAGAATTCAAGTGGAGATGAGAACCTGAGATATGGTATTGTTTTTAAATTACTCGGTTTTATGAGTTTTGTAAGTGATAAATTGGTGAACCAAGCTATGGATTCTACTACATCCTCTTCTGATATTCCCTTGGAGTTAAAAAACTCTTTGTCATTGATGCTATCGTGGTTCACAGTTGTAAACCCTGCAGGTTTGGAGCTAAAATTGTACTGCACTTCAGGTTGAAATAATTTCAAAATGAACAAAAGATTTGAAAACGAAGGTTTCAATGAAATATGAGGAAGATCTAGTATGTGCACTACTTCCTGTTCCTCTTGTTCATCATCCAGATCATTTGATACTTGTGAGTCTTCTGGTGTTTCCGATTCTTTTAATGAACAGTTGGCGTGCTCCTCGATTTGGACATTCTCCACGGATGGCCTTTCATCGGGGGAAAATAAGTCAAGTGGATCAAAATCTTCCATGGAATTCTTCTTCGCTGTGAAAACGATTATGTGTGGTGATAGAAAATGGCTTTCTGAATAACGTCACACAGCATTTTTTTTTTTTTTTTTTGAAGAAAATTTTCCATCTGCTGCAGGATTTCCTTTTTTGGTGTGGCAACAATCTTTTGGGTCTTTCAGATAGTGATAAACTAAATAGCTATCGTTTTGCTCGTCAGTATCACAGGAGCATATATCCTTTTTTATTTCAGAAAAAGAGGCCTGCATTTACGAAGTAATTTGAGAGCATAAAGAAAAAAAAAGAAAAAAAAAGATAACAATCACGTAAAGGAATCATCAGGAAAATAACCGGGTAGGACTTTATAATAGAAATCGTCGATAATGACAGAAGATATTCGTTAGATATTAATTACTATTTCTATTTCTTTTCTATTTAGTCATATGTTGTATGGTATGTGTAGTGATTATCACAAAATAAGTAAGGCCCTCTTTCTCCAACTAATTACCGAAGAGCTACTCAAGTAACAGGAAAAAAAAAGATATCGAATACCTGTGCAATCTCACAGTAACCCCCTTCCCACACTGATTATATACTTTCTTGCGTTCTTGACCAATATTATCATCAAAAGCCTTTATTTATTTCCATATGAAGAGTTGGCGCATGTAAGAAGGATCACGGAACAAATCTTTCGCAGGTAATTAATTAATAGGGTATTTACAAAGAAGCAAAACAAAAAAAAAACGAGATTAAACAAGGAGCAAGAGAACAAGTCAGCACCTACAAAAGGGCCAAATATATTAAAGGGATGAAAAATTGCAAAGGAAAAATGAATCGTACTTTTGTGATCGATCCTCTATTCACATAATCTTTGAATCACGGTATCTTCCAATTCGTTACTGCTCACGTCCTCCATCTTTTCGACCTTCAACTTCTTCAAGACTTTGATTACTTTCTTTTGATCGAACCCCATGACCACAAACATTTTAACAGCCTCAGGCTCGATGCCTTCGTACGGATCAGCTGGCTCTTCCAAATTTAACATGGCGTACATTTTGGTCCAGTTCTTCGCAACTTGGTCAAACTTAGCCTTGTCAGTCTTGTAAACATTGGCAACTACCGCATCTTGTGGATCATCTGGAACTGGGGTTTGTAATAGCAATTGCAACGAGATCAAACATGCCTTCAAGGTCAATATAGGAGTCCAGCGATCCTTCAAAATGTCTAGACAGATTGCTCCTGTTTGGGAACTGATGTTTGGATGATAAACTCTGGTGGTAAACTTCATCTTTGGTGGTTTAAATGGGTACTCTTGAGGAATTTCAATATCAACTACGAATTTCCCACCAGCATACGGGGTATCTGGAGGTCCAAGAAACGCACCAGTTAATTTGGAAATATCAGACTCGTCTATCAAAGACAACGTAATATTTGACTTAGAATCATTTTTGGTATCTTCTAATTCTTTGATGACTCTTTTGGCTCTAGACATCTTTGGTTACTTTGTCACAGGAAATTAATTGTTTTGAAGCAAATTCAGGACACAAGGAGGCGAGAAGAGGAAACTCAACAGTGATGGCACAAGATGCAGCCAAATAGAAAATAAAATCCGAGAAATACACCCGAGAAAAAATAAGTCACTTAATGTTCGTAGCAGCGACACAAGTTAATTAATCACTACTGATGGACGATGGTGGCAACTCATCAACAAAAACATTCCCTTTTTTCCTGACCCAAAAGCCAGATTTGCCCTCACGTGAATTCGCAGGCAATGGAATGCATGTATGAGGATTCACAAATAGCATAAATTATGAGAAAATAATGAATTATATATTCCTGAATCATGACTAACTACCCTATTATTCTTATGAGTCATCTAATATTTTCTCTTATTGTCGGTCATTGGCTACAAGCAGTCATTATAAGAACCTTCATTTCTTCATCTAAATACCTCCGTACTTACACATAGTAAGATAACAAAACAAGTCTATTTAGACATATTTAAGATTACATTTTAAAGGAAATATTTAGCCTCTCCCCACATCACAAGCAGCAAATTTATAACATTTCTCAAAATAGAGACAAAAAGGAAAAATAAAGAAGAAAAAAAAAATTGCAAGAAAAAAGACAACACAAGAAAAGAACTCAATGCGAAAAATCAACTAAAAATCAAATGATGCGTCAATAACTTTCATCTACTAAGGTACATTGGAGATCCAACATTCATACCCATGTTAATTGCATGTTGCAAGGGGGTGCCCATTCCCATATTGGTATTATTGTTTACATTCCCTCCCCCGGTATTATTCTCCACAGCGGCAGCAATGGCTGCAGCCATATTAAAGCTGCTTATTCCGCCTCCATTATTATTGACATTGGAGCCCAAATTAACAGCGGCATTGTTGAGTAGCATTTCGTTATTTTTATCAATGCCCCAGACCAAATTCTTGAAAGTTTCTAGTCCATCACCATCCTTATTGGCATTACCAGAAGATAATGAAATTAATCTTCTGAGTTCGAAAAAACAAATACTTGTCAACAAAGACTGGTTTCCAGACTGTAAGTAGCTAGACTGCTGGACCGGAATGCCCAAGTTATCAGCCAAATTCTCTAAGTTAAATCTCTTAAAATTCACTTCCCCACTCGATGTTGAAGCATTATTGCCGTTATTGTTATTCGAACCACTGAGAATATTGGAGCCGTTAAACCCAGAAATGTGATTTGTATTGGCAGTATGGCTATTAGTATTGTTTGAAGGTGAGCCATTATTTGGGAATAAATTGGACTGATGTAATGAAATATACTTGATATCATAGAATTTATGATAGAATTTATGACACCACCACAAAAAGTCTTCACTCTCATTTGGCATTAAATTATTAATTAATAAACTCGACAAAAAGCCAAAATCATATCCACAATTGAAACTTATCCAAGTGATATCAGAATCTGAACCTAAAATCAAGCCAGAATCAATTAGCAACTCGGCAAATTCATTGTGTTCGATACCAAACTTATCGAATTTCTCAAAATTGACACCAGTCATTCTTAAGTCATTGATGCTCTCACTACCGAACATCTCATCTTTCAAATCAAACTTGAAATTGAATTGCCAGGTTGATGACAAACTGGCATTATAATTAGTCGGCTTCTTCCCGTTACTATCGCTTAGGGTAATAGATAATTGGATCATATTGGTTATATCAGAATTAACTCTCATGGTTTGATAGTGATAATCATTGACATTAGTAAACTTCCCAATAGGTCTGGCGATGATTCCGGGGATTTCGGTACTAAGAGAGATGAACTTGAATTTCTTGACCAATTTTCTAATAACCCCAAACTCTTCATGCATATTATAATTCCAGACTTCCTTGATAAGGTCAGGTTCAGAAATCACAGATTGAGTGTTTGTTCCCATTAATTGTTGTTGTTGCACTTGTTGTTGTGCTTGCTGCTGTTGCTGTTGTTGAAGCAAGGTATTAATATTGATGCTTGTGGCATTAATACTAGTTGAGTTACTGCCAGCATTGATTGCTGCGGTACCAACAGCATTTCCTGACCCGTGGTTCACAAGGCCAGCTGGAACACCAATACTGGCACCACTAATATCATTACCAGTAAGCATGTTTCCCATAGGGTTATAACCTGATGGCTGAGGATTGTAAACACCTGCAGTTGGTAAAAGCTGTTGTTGTTGTCCTCTAGTTTGTGATTGTTGTTGAGCCACTAGCCTCGCTTGATTCTGCTGTTGTTGCAAAAGTTGAGGGTTGAGACCATTGTTCAACACATTTAACGCCGATTGGCTGCTGTTGGCATTACTATTGCTGCTATTGACATTATTGCTACCTACCAAATTTATTTGATTAGGATTGATATTCAAGTTTAAATTAGGGTTGCTCCCTTGTTGCTGATTTAGCTTGATATTGTTTAGGTTTACCTGTTGCTGTTGGCGTTGTTGAATGTTGAGGTTACTCTGTTGGGGTTGTTGCATATAATACTGCTTGTATTGTCAGTAAAAAAAAAAAAGCTCAAACACATAAAAAATAATGTTGCAATAACAGGGGCATCCTGATACTTACCATCTTAGCTATTGTGTTGTGGAATCATTGGTGGTGACAGTCAAATCCAGTTCACCTCCGTTTTTTCCTCCAAATATTTTTTGTGAAAACGCACAAATAATTATTATCACATGATTTGTTGATCACGCGGGTTCCGTTAGTACGGAACTAATATCACCTTGCATGCGGCTATTAATAGCATCAATGTTATTTATCAGTCATACTCTAGCCATCCACCCTACCCTAAATTTTATGATACTCAACTAGCAAGCCATGGACAAACGACATATTGTGGTGATTGGTGCCGGAATAATCGGCCTTAGTGTTGCCTCTGAGTTGGCAGATACCGGAAAGTATACTCTCACTGTCATTGCTGATCATATGCCAAGTGACTATAATGTGTCTGAATTATCAAAGGATGGTTACTTGTATGACTACACTTCTCTCTGGGCCGGCGCTCATTATAGACCTTTCCCATTCACTTCAGAACATGGGAGATTTGAACAAGAGCTCACAAGGATTACTTACAAAAAATTCAAGGAAATATCCGCAAACCATCCTGAAAGTTCCATTAAATTCATGAAGGGAATCGACTTTATCGAGGCTCCTTCAAAAGCATATTTGGGTCAGCTTAATGGATATAGCGGTGAATATTTGGAGAATTTTGAAATTATTCCGCACCCTACAAGAAAGAACATCAAGTTTGGGGCACAATATGACACTTGGTCTTTGAATTCACCTATGCTTTTGAAATTTTTGCATCAAAAATTATTAAAGCAAAATGTGAAATTTGTTAAACTTCATATTAGATCATTGCTGCAAACCATGGAGCAGTATGAAAGTAACGAAAACTTTGTTGGAATTATTGATTGTTCTGGTAGGGGAATTCAAATGACTCCTATTGGCTCTCTGAATACTGATCCAAATTGTTATCCAATTAGAGGCCAAACATTGATGTTGAAGTCTTCTAAACTTAAGAACACCTCTTATTATAACAAGACTATTACATATCAAACCGTCAATCCGAAGAATAGTTCAGAGACTGATTGGACTTTTATTATTCCAAGACCACCATTGTCGGATGGGGTGTTCATTTTGGGAGGAACAAAACAAGAAAGACAGGAATCTCCAATAACTCCTAGAAGCGAAGATCGCGAAGTCCTTTTAGGCCGGGCCAAGAAGTTCTTTCCTGAAATCTTTGACTCGGATGTTCCTCAATATGAGATTTTAAAGAACGTGGTCGGATTCAGACCTGCAAGAGTTGGCGGCTTTAAACTTGAAAAGCAATGGTATCCAAGGGCTGGAGGAAAATTCATAATCTGCAGTTACGGTGCTGGTGGAATGGGCTATGAATTATCATTTGGAGCAGCTTCCAAGGTGCTTAAGTTAGTGGAGAGTCAAGAAAATTTTGCGAAGTTGTGAAAACATGCAAAAGTAAGCTCTTAGCTATTGCTTTTGTGTAATGCTTCAGTATGCATCTTTGAAAGATTTTTTTTGGTGTCAAAAGTTGACAATTTTTCCTCGGTATTTATATTCATGTATATATATTATTCCTAAATATATGGCGCTGAGTCGATATATTATGTTGACTGTTTTATATTCTAAATTGTTTTGAAGAAAGTGATACTATAATAGCCAAAGTTTAAATACAGCAAAGTGTCATGGGCTCATCATTGGAGTATTTTTCCAATAAGGTGAAATACAATATCACAAAACTCAAAATAGAAATAGCACATCTAATATACAGTCCAGGGTCTGATATCAAGAATATACAAAAGAATAAAAAGAAAGGAGAGTTCCTAACAAGCTTGAGATACGATCTTAATCAAGAAGGGAGTATAGATGACAATGGAAGTAATAATCAAGTATATGATGATAGCATCAATGATATCTTTGAGCCACAAATTGACGCCAGTGAAAATGATGCATTTCACAATTTCTCTAGTGTTGTTGAATCAAATAATTTCATGTCATTAACAGAATATTCAAGAAATTTTCAAGATCATCAAGCTGAAGCAACTGATTGTGAACAAGGTTCTCCAGAAAATGACAGTTCCAATTCAACTGTGATACATTTTACACAGGACCCTGATAATAAAAGTGATAATGCGTTAGGCTCAGAAGAGAAGAAAATGAAGGACTTAGTAGATAATAGAAAGACTTTCTCTAGAGATTTTTTCATCGGATTCAAGAGAAGAAAATTCCATTTAGTTAAAATCGTTCCCTCGCCAATCATGGAAAATAATTGCGAGACGGAGTCTTCGTCACAGCTCGGCGCTAATAATCACGGCGTGTCAAAAACCTTGCCTTCAGCAGCAGTATCAAGAGTAAATAACCAAAAAGATCCCTCTCCAACTCAATTTTCAATATCAAGAGAGGTTTTACACCCAAGAGAGTGCATATTATATGGAACTAAAGAAGAAGTGAACAAAGAAAATAATGAGGAATTCCGGTCTTCAGAAAATGAGGGTTCCTTGCATGCCCCTAGGCTATCCGTTGGTATATACACTAGCCCCAAAAAGAATTCAGAGGCAGATGGTAAACAACATGGACGAAAGGTTTTAGATGTACTTGACAGTGGATTTGTATCCGAAAAAATATCTAAAAAAGGTGGATGCGACGAAAAGAATACAAATGGGTCAGACGCTTCAAGAACCACAAACCTCTTCAAAAGGAAGTTGCCTTCCAAACAAAATAGCTCAGGAAATTTGGCTAGTAACGTAATGGCGCTGAGGTCGCTCAATAGTTTGGAGTATTGTAAATCTATTCCAAGATCACACTATAGTACTAAAACTATCGGAAGTATGAGAGCTGCTATGCACCATGAGCAAATGTATGACTATAGTGATTTAATTTCAGGCTACGCTTTTGATGAAAGCTCAGTTGAGTCGGAGAGAATTTCTTAATTATGTTTAGTCTATTAGTATGTGATTCACAACGAATGAATTAGACATTGTTAGTGCTTTTTTAAATAATCACCTTCTTCATCTTATGTATTCTTTCTTACCATATATTCAATGGTTCTTGTAGTTCTTAACAATTGCAAGCAATATAATGATGACCATCCACAAGCTATTTCATAGTTTAATGAAATCAGCAAATCATACTTTTAATAAATACACAATAGAAACTAGTTGAGCCTCCCACAGTATATACTTTATACTATATAGTACAATATATATCATTATTAATAATTGTTTCACCCTACTTTAAATTTTATCGTGTTAAATTATTTTGTTGTTTATTATTATCTATATTCTTTATTGTTATTACAAGACATGAAACAATCCTACTATTATTGTTCATTTAATATATTTACCTTCTTTGGTTTATCACTGTTAATTCAGCCTAGTACAAGTTGTTAAATACGAGCCACTTTTTTGAGTTGTGCGTTCTATCAGATCATTAGAGAACAAGTACGGTGATAACATCTGATCTTCTTATCACATATCTAACGCGAAGATCGAGTGAAGATAAGTATCGATATAGGATTAAGAAGTCAACTCTTCATCCCTTCCCTTTTCTGTTGTCATTTCACCGTCTCACGTGAAACCGGCAATAAAATGGGCTTATGTACTACACCCTTTTATCGTTGATAATTCTTAACCCATTATTATGTTAACTCATGATGATCAATTAATTATTCACCCATTTTATTTATACTAAATAATCATATACCTTACTGTGGTTATACCTTCAGAAGTCAGTGTTATAGCAAGTTGTTATATCCAGAACCATTCGTTGAGTTATGAGTTCATCAAATAGCTAGAGACTAATTACTGTGATTGCTATTTGACTTTCTTACTACTATTATTAACTCGAGATCAGCGAAGATAAGTATTGTTATAGTATAAGGAATAACCCTTCATCCTTATTAGTATTATTCGCTGTTACACGTGACTACTTACATGTATGTATACCACTCCTGTGGTTTTGTTCTCTCTCAAGTTAATCGATTATTAACAAATGAGTCAACTACTAATCATCCTCTTTATTGTGAGTGATACATTGCATAGACAGTGTGTTTTGGACTAATAATACATCGCAAGGATATGTCGTGAATACAATACAATTTTATATCCATCTTCCCAGTTGTCATGGAAGAAATGAACCGCTGATTGAGGAGCTAGCTACCATACGACATGCACTGCACAGTAAAGGTAAATAACTAGTGAGAAGAACAATTAAATACAAAATTTACAAATATATACTTCTTTAACCCAAACACATAGACTATGCTGGTATTCCGGGTCCAATTTTGCCATAGGATCTGTCCAAGTAAAAAGGACGCAGTGCGCGTAGATCGAACTTTCCGTGGTGTTTTGATGCAAAAAAAAAAAAAAAATCAGTGGAAAAATTTTGGAAAGTTGAAAGATAAAAGCATTTATAGTTAACCAAAAGGGAAACCACAGCACAACCTTGTTCTGGACTTACAGCAAAAGACAAAAAAAAAACCGTCTCCTGGGTTTTATTTGGAGATTCATATTCTTCTGTTAATTTCTCGTTCTCTATTTACACAGATTCAAAGGTGGGTTTTTAATTTAATTTAATTTAATTTAATTTTTTTGTTACTTGATCAGTTGGGAACCCTTTTCTGTCTTTCAGTATTTTCCTTGCCTGACCCGCCAAAAGTAATCACAAACTAACATAATTGCCTGATAGATTTGACTCTTTGTTTTCAATTGTAGAGATAATATCATAGTTGATCTTTATTATTATTCGTTTTTTCCTCGTTGAAAATTCATTTATTCCATTTCCCAATTTGAGTTGGATAACCAACAATTTTTCCTGATTCCATTTCTTGCCATGTCCACTGCGCCAACTAACAACAATACCCAATCAGATGACAACACACTAAAAGTGACTAATGAAATCATTGGTTGGTCTTTCATCAGATACTATTATGAAAATTTATCATCATCACCAGCCGATCTTTATTTGTCTTACAGTGTCGACGCCCAAGTTGTGCATGATGACTATGAAGCATTCTTGGTAGAAGAAAATCAAAAGTTGATCGAAGTCAAGGCCAAAGGTGCTGCTGATGTTAAGGAGAAGATTTATAGCAAAATGTCCGCCGAAGATAATTACAAAGTCATGGTTTCTCATGCCGATATCCTCGATATAGGTTTGGGGGGTACTTCCAAAACTATTTTGATTGTGGTTTTGGGGGAGATTGCCAAAGGTGATTCTCCAGCCTTTAACTTCTCACAAACATTTACCATTACAGCAGTTCCAAATAGAGAAGTTTATGATGTGACCAATGACGTGTTTAGATTCATTCCATTGGATGACGAAGCTAGCTTCGAAGAGACAGAAGATGTTGCAGCAAAAGAAGATAAGGTTGAAGCTGCTGTTGCCGTCGCTACCGAAGAAAAAAAAGAGGAGTCAGACAAGGAATTGGCTAAAAATATTGAGGAAAAGAAGGTTGATGAGCAAGCCGCCGCAATTACCTCTCCTGATCCTGTTATCGAGTCTGATGGTATGATTGAATGCGAAAAGAAGGAACTGGTTGAGGAACCAGCAACTGCTGACTCCACCATGGATTCCACTGAATGTATTGATGAAAAGAAGAAGGATACAAGCTCTGCGGCCACCTCAGTTGGTGACATTTCTACAGCGGCTACTTCTGCTGTTTCCACTCCTGGTAAGAATGAGGAACCTCCATTCCAAAAGACCACCCCTACACAGAAGAAGGAAACCGTCAAAAATGTCGAGAAGCAATCTTCTTCTACAGCAAAGTTCTCTTGGGCTGCTACTGCAGCAAAGGGCGCTAATGAATCAAAACCACTTCAAGAAGAAAGCAAGCCAAAAGCCAAACAATCTCAATTACAACAACCAAAGCAAAAAGCTGCTCCAAAGAATGCTGAAACTTCTCCAGTTGTGAAAGATACACCTAAGGAAGCTATTAAAGATGATGGCTTTGATGTAGTTTCTAAACGTGGCGCCAAAAATCAAACCAAGAAGGTGAAAAAAACGATTCAATATGAGTCAAATGTGACTGCTTATCCTGTTTACATTCGTCTTGAAAAAGTTAAGACCACTGATGCAGAGTTGAAGACTACTTTGGAAGCCAAGTATGGTAAAGTCTACAAGTGCGTTATTAAGGACAACATCGCTTTGGTTGATTTCTGCTCTGCTGATTCTCAAGAATCAAGCATTAAGGCGGGTCAACTTGAGATTGCCAATGGTAAAATCAAGATCGAACAAAGATTTTCCAAACCACAAAAGAAGCCTTATTTCAATCACATTAATGGTAATAAGAAGAAGCAGAACGGTGTCAAGACCGATAAATCTGCTTAAAGTGGTTTGTTATATTATAGCAAAAAAAATTCTTCTGCTCAATTTTTTTTTAGTATTATTCAACAGTCATCATCATTTTTTTCTTTTTTTTTTTTTGATTTATTATCGAAAAACAGTTATTGTTTACAAAAAAGATATCCCCGTCACATTCCCTTCTATCCTAACCCTCCAGTTATTTCATTGTTTTCCAATATTCAAGCCGATCCAAAGTTGAATTTGGATGAAGCACACATTCGTTGTTCTGTCTATATATTATTTCAATTGCTCTTGCTGCTCATCTATTCATTTACCAACCATTGATTCCATCATCAAAGAAAAACCAAACAACCTAAAGAAAGTACGGTGAACCTATGTTCTTTTGGTTTTCAAAAAGAGGAGCTTCTTTTTCAACATACACAACGGGAGACTCTAGTATAAGAAAGGAAAGAAAACAAATAAAGAAAAAACAAAAACAAAAAAACAAAAACAAAAAAAAAAAACCTATATAATTCCTGGCATAGTTTTGTTTCTTTGTTGCATTTTACCCCCCTAGTATTTATAGATCTTGTCTTTGTATAGTTGGAGAGCTTTCTATTGACAATACATGAGTTGTATGAAAATGATCAAAAATGATATATTAAGATTTGAAGGCTTTGTTTTTATCAAACAGTGTAAAGTAAGTATCACAAAATATTTTTTGAATTCCAACAATGCATGTTTTGGGAATCCTCAACATGATGATGATAACCAATGAAGCACAATGGTTTCTATTTTGCTGAAAATATACTGAAATACTTATAGACTAAATAGCAAAACAATTAATTGCTGGATACATTAAGAAAATGCCCAGCAGCAAGATAAGAGCATGATTTACTTGCGTGTGCACACACCGTGCTTTCCCATCCTTTCCGAGACGAGAGGTCGAACGGGTGCTTAATAGCACCTTTTACATCAAGGAATTAGCGGGATGGAATATGAATATACAGATTAAACTTCCTTTCCTTTGATATTTTAATGCTATTTATTGTCTATTACCCAAAATCATCTTTCCCCATTTTCGCACTTTCTATTGTGGGGCTCCCTCGTTTTTGTCGCATCATGTACCAGTACCGCGGGCCATTTCTAGAACCTTCTCGGCAATTCTGGCAGTTGCTGGGGAATTCTGGAGGTACAGAGAAGCATCACACACTTTCTCTCCAGACATTATATAAGCACGGCAAGGAGCCACATTGCCAATACACATTTCTACTATTTTTAATCATTAATTTTTTTTTGCTACAATAAATTCAATTGATAATTATTATCACTACAAATACAACTAACTATACTGCCCACAATCATGGATAACTCCAAGTTCACAGAAAACGCTTTGGATATTATTACCACTGCCCTTAAGTTGGCCAAGCAACAATCCAATGTCCAAATACTTCCGCTACATTTCTTGGGTGCTTTTGCCAACCCAGACAATCTTGAAGACGGAAGAATAACATATTTACAAACAATTGTTGAGAAGGCCAGGTACGACTGGCAGAAATTGAACAGATCTATCAACCAACTGTTGGTAAGATTGCCATCTCAATCATCACTTCCAGATGACCCTTCTTTGTCTTATTCTGCCAATGAGGTTCTCACAAAAGCTGCTAAATATATGAAGACCCAGAAAGATGATTATATTGCCCAGGATCATATTTTGTTGGCCCTTATTGAGGATTCGAGTGTGAAGAATCTTTTCAAAGAAAATGGTATAAAGGAAGATACTATCAAGAATACCATTTATGAAATTAGAGGCAATAAGAGAATTGACTCAAGAAAAGCTGATACCTCAGAAAAACATGAATTCTTATCCAAGTATGCCATTGATGTTACCGAGCAAGCTAGAGAAGGTAAACTTGATCCAGTTATTGGCAGAGAAGAAGAAATTAGGAGAGCTATCAGAGTTTTGTCGAGGAGAACCAAATCCAATCCATGTCTTATTGGTGACCCTGGTGTCGGTAAGACCTCGATCGTCGAAGGTGTTGCCCAAAGAATCATTGATGGTGACGTTCCAAATATTTTGCAGAACTGTAAATTATTTGCTCTTGATATCACTGCTTTGAGAGCTGGTGCCAAATATCAAGGTGAGTTCGAAGAAAGAGTGAAGGGAGTCTTGAAAGACATCGAGGATTCTAAGGATATGATTATTTTGTTCATTGATGAAATCCATATGTTGATGGGTGATGGTAAATCTGATGCTGCTAACTTGTTGAAACCAATGTTGGCTAGAGGTACTTTACACTGTATTGGTGCAACTACTATTACCGAATACAGAAAGTATATTGAAAAAGATGGCGCTTTCGAGAGAAGATTTCAAAAGATTGATGTTAAAGAACCATCAGTAAGAGAAACCACCGCTATTTTAAGAGGTTTGGCTCCAAAATATGAAATTCACCATGGTGTTAGAATTTTAGACTCTGCTTTGGTCACTGCTGCTCAATTAGCCAAAAGATACTTGACTTACAGAAAGTTACCAGACAGTGCTGTTGATTTGATTGATGAGAGCGCAGCGACTGTTGCAGTGGCAAGGGATTCAAAGCCAGAAGAATTGGACTCCAAGGAAAGAGAATTACAATTGCTTGAAGTTGAAATTAAGGCTTTGGAAAGAGATGCTAATACTGATCCACTAACCAAAGAACGTTTGAACCAAGCTAATCAAAAGAGAGCTTCTTTGGAAGAAGAATTAGCACCATTAAGAGAAAGATTCAATCAAGAAATTGCTGGTCACGAAGAATTAACTGCAGCCAAGAGAAAGTTGGATGAATTAGAAATTAAGGCCAACGATGCTGAAAGAAGGCATGATACCGCCACCGCTGCTGACTTGAGATATTTTGCTATTCCGGATATTAAGGCTAGAATTGTTGATTTAGAAAAAAAAGTGGCTGAAGAAGAAGAGAATGCCGGTGCTAACGCAATGATTCAGAACATTGTTGGCAGTGAACAAGTTGCTGAAACAGCTGCTAGATTGACTGGTATCCCAGTTTCCAAATTGTCTCAAGCTGAAAATGACAAATTGATTCATATGGAAAAGGAATTATCTAAAGAAGTTGTCGGTCAAGGTGCTGCAGTGAAGGCGGTTTCCAATGCTATCAGATTGAGTAGATCTGGTTTAGCCAATCCAAATCAACCAGCTTCGTTCTTATTCTTAGGTCTATCAGGTTCTGGTAAAACCGAATTGGCTAAAAAATTGGCTTCTTTCTTGTTTAACGATGAAAAGGCAATGATTAGAATCGACTGTTCCGAATTGAGTGATAAATGGTCTTCTTCTAAGTTGTTAGGAAGTGCTCCAGGTTATGTTGGTTACGAAGAGGGTGGTATTCTTACTAATGCCTTATCCCGCCAACCATATTCAGTGATTTTGTTCGATGAGATTGAGAAAGCTGCTCCTGAAGTGTGCACTGTTTTGTTGCAATTATTAGATGATGGTAGAATCACTTCCTCTGCTGGCAAAACTGTCGATGGTTCCAACGCTATTGTAATTATGACCTCCAATCTTGGTGCTGAATTAATTAGTGGCAGTCCACATTCTGTTCCTCCTCAAGATGTCAAGGACCAAATCATTAAAATTGTCAAGGGTCATTTCAGACCAGAATTCCTTAACCGTATATCAGAAACCGTTGTGTTCAACAAGTTATCCAAGGCTGCAATTGGTAAGATTGTTGAGATCAGATTGAAGGAAATTGAAGCCAGATTTACTGCCAACAATAAGAACATCAAGTTAAATGTCACCGAAGACGCTGTTAGATGGTTATGTGAAAATGGTTACTCTCCTGATTTGGGTGCTAGACCATTGAACCGTTTGATCCAGACTGAAATTTTGAATAAGTTGGCAGTCTTGGTTTTGAAGAGACAAGTTTTGGATAAGGAAGAAGTTGAGGTTAAACTTAATAGAGTTGGTAATGGTCTAGAAGTGGTACCAAATCACGAAACTGATGATCTGATGGATGTTGATGTTGACGATTGGGAAGATGATAATGATGAGGATATCATCGATCTTGATTGATCCACATATCTCATTTTAATTTTTTCTGTTTCTATTTTTCTGATTTTTAATTTTCTGATTAATTTTCTATGATTATATATTTAATATCTATATTTTTTTAAGTTTACATTTATTTATCCTTGTATTTATCATGCTAGTAATATGATATTCAGCTTTTTAACTGAATTTTTATGCACGGTGTCTTTGTGTCATTCTAACATCAATAAACCACAGCATGAGATGAGCGAAAACAACACTACAAAAATGAAAAAAAAAAGCCAAACAAACGCACAAATAACAACAAATTCAAGAGAATATCAACTGTTAGATATAGTATGGAAATCTTTGAATAGAGTGAATTGATCATTTCAAAGAGCATTCGGAAGCTGGGAAAATAAGGCATGGACTCGATTGGTAGGGCATTTTTCGAGTCTACCACTCTTTCCAACAGTGAAGTTGATGGTCCACTACAAAACTATCACCATAAAAGCAGGAACTATATTGAGCGCAATAATACACATAAGCGATTTAAAATCCTCTCCTCTTCAACAAGATATAGCATTCAAGGGCCACAAAGCAGTGGACCATTAGCTGCTTCAACTCAAGCAGAAATAGAAAGCCAGTCTACCCAATCTTCAGAAAGATCCCACGTGATATCAGAATTGGACCAGGATATAGGGTATACCATAGAATCCAATGCAATGTATGAACAAGCACCCTCTACTGAAGAGGAGCAGGTGATGAGGCTGATGGGCCCATTTTCTAAGTTCTACTATAAATTAACAAGAAGGTTATTGAAGAAACCAAGACTGGACAACGATTTATTATATGATGAGCATCAGTCATATCAAGCAAGTCCAGTTTCAGAAGCTGGACCAAGTAAGTTGCTGTTTCGTAGGGGGGATAGAACAATAACAAATGAAGGAAAAAAAATAATCAATGGCACTCCAAGCAACGCAATTATAGAAGCCGAAACACATCTTGCTGCCTTTCAACATTCATTACAGCGCAAAATTGATGTTTCTAGAAGTTTATATCAACCTCGGAGACATATTCATGGTCACCATAGACTAGCAAGTTTATTTTCATATAGAAGAAGAGGTGTCACCTATGCCAATGAGGATACGATCAGTGAGCATATACATGAGACAACACAAGTTAACGGTCCTAGCTCGTCATTGCCTGTCAATATGGATGGTGCAATGTTTACAAATAATATGGAAACACAACAGATAGGGGATGAATATGACGAGTCCGAAGATTTCAACGAAATCCTAGGGTCAGAAGAAGGATCGGAAATCTCTGAACAGAGACTATACTTTTGTCGCATGTTTTCACCAACTCAATTATTCAGAAACATCAAAAGTATTAGAATAAGCAAAGATCCCTCGAGGTCAGAAATTCCTGATTTTGGCGTTATAGCTGATGAAGCGCCTCTCAGCAATGATACTTTAGGAGAGCACACTGAAATTAACGTAGATGCAAACCATAGACCATTTGTCTCCACCCGTCTTCACTCATCAAGGGAACGGACTCGCGATGAACGGTCTAATCGGCCAGCCCTTGATGATGAAGAGCCAGAAGATCATGAAGAGTCAGCCAGAAACTCTTCCAGAAGATTTGAAACATCACATGAAGTTTTTCAACCAAGTACGAATTCAATAAGGATTCGAATAGACGACATCAGAGATGCTCAGGATACTAGTGTTCAAATCTCCAGAGTTTCAGATTTCAAGATATTGGAAGATACTATTTACCTTGAAGAACCAGGAAAAGATTTAGAATTAACATATTCTAGGAGCTTCAGAAATTTTGTTAAGCGCCTCAAGTTTAATGGAGCTGATCAACCAGTGATCACCAGTAATCCAAGGGTGGACAGGATAAATGATTGGTCCATTATGCTAGGATTAGGTAGCGAGAAGCAAGGTGGCACATCTTCAAATTATGGAGTAGGATAGATAATAATTGAAATATATAAATACTCCTAACAACTACAAATATAATCTAATGAATGCCCTTTGTAGTTCGTCATCGTTTGTCACGTGAATGTTCTTTGAATAATTTTTTGAGTAATTTTTTTACCTCCAAAAAGGGTACGCTGGATACCACTTCCTTAACCACAATCAAGCAACTTGAACTCATAAAATCACACGTAATGAGTGCTCCAGGGATCACAGAAAAAGTTGAAAAACTTGATATTTCCTCTAACAATACTACAAATGCGGCCTCTGCCCCTGCTGCTGAACAAAAAGTCACTCCATGGGAAGTTGAAGGTGCAGTCGTTGATGGTGAAAGTCAAGGAATTGACTACCAGAAATTAATTCAACAGTTTGGTACTAGAGCTATCTCTCAGGAGACTCTTGATCGTTTCACTGCAGTGACAGGTCATGAACCACATTTTTTCCTTAAAAAGGGTATTTTTTTCAGTGAAAGAGACTTCGGGAAGATTTTAGATCTCTACGAACATGGTGAACCTTTTTTCCTTTACACCGGCCGTGGTCCATCTAATGTGTTGCATTTGGGGCATATGGTACCGTTCTTATTCACCAAATGGTTACAAGAAGTATTCGATGCTCCATTGGTGATTGAATTGACCGACGATGAAAAATTTTTGTTCAAGCCAAACCTTACAATTGCAGATGTCAGGAAATTTGCCCGTGAAAACGCAAGAGATATCGCTTCTTTAGGGTTCAAGCCTGAAAGAACTTTCATCTTTTCTGATTTAGATTACATGGGGGGAGCCTTCTACGAAAACGTGGTGAAAACCAGTAGACAAATTACCACCTCCACTGCCAGAGCGGTATTTGGGTTCCAAGACTCAGACTGTATTGGGAAGGTTCACTTTGCTTCCATTCAAATCGCCACTGCTTTTCCATCGAGTTTCCCAGACGTTTTGGGTTTGCCACCAAAGACCCCATCTTTGATTCCTTGTGCCATTGATCAAGATCCTTACTTTAGAGTGTGTCGTGACGTTGCTGGGAAATTGAAGTACGCTAAGCCATCTCTTATCCATTCCAAGTTTTTCCCAGCCTTGCAAGGTCCAAGCACAAAGATGAGTGCTTCTGATGATACCAGTGCGATTTTTATGACAGATACACCTAAGCAAGTGACCAAAAAAATCAACAAGTATGCTTTCAGTGGTGGTAAGAGCACTATCGAGGAACATCGTAAGTTGGGTGGTAATCCAGAAGTTGACGTGGCGTACCAATACTTGTCATTTTTCAAGAGTGACGAGGAATTTCTAGAAAAGATTGCTGCTGATTATAGAAGTGGTGATTTGTTGAGTGGGGAGATGAAGAAGTTGTGTATTGATGTCTTGGTAGAGTTCGTTAAGAATTTCCAAGAAAAGAGAGCCAAAATCACTGACGAGGAGTTGGATAAGTTCATGAAGCCTCATAAGCTTAGCTTTTTCCAACAGGAGAGATTGGTTCCAATTAAACCTAGAGAAAAGAAAAACTCTAAGAAATAAATTATGTTCACTAGTTAATATTCTTTTTTTCATTATTTTTATTATTATTATTATTATTATTATTATTATTATTATTATTACTATTATTACCATGATTACTGTTAGTTATCGTTTTTATTTTACTTTTTGCTAAAATGTGCTTTCATACTATTGGTACTGCTCATGTTGTAATGTTGTATTTTGTAAGTGAGCTTTCCTGTTTGGAGATTTAATATCTATGCCTTCGGGGGTTCGTATTGTCGAATCAGCTTTGAAATTTCATCATAATTATTCGGATTTTTGTTGTTGACATCTTGATTGCAAAACGTTTGAATTGAAAAGAACATTTTGGAAATGCAAACAAAATGAAAACAGCAAAACTTTTGGGAAAAGAAGGAACTATCAGGATTTTTCGTAGACCTAATCCTATTAAAGTGCCAAAATAGCACTTTTTTTGCTAATGATATGCTCATCTGGATTACGTTTGGGCAGAATTAAGTGGTTAAGTGACAACAATTAGGACGCTTGAGGTTAAGCACTCATTTGGTCTTGTTGGGGAATAAAATGAGCACCTGGAGATAAATTTGGTATGGTTATCTGGAACCTGATAATTTACGAGGCAGTATACTTTACAAGTAATTGTTGATACAGGATGCCAGGAGTGTGATGTATCAAAGAAAATCTTAACAAGGGTGTTTGTCTTCATGTTCAGTTTCCCTTGTTCCTCACAAAAATAGCGGGGGGAGAACCAACGCACGTACTACTACAGCATCTCGCATCACAGGCAACTGATAGGAAGTGGAAGTGGAAGTGGAAGTGGAAGTGGAAGTGGAAGTGGAGGGGCATCGGATTGGGAGATGATTATTGCCAAAATGGCGGGGGAAAATCAGAGACAAAGAAGAACAACGGAGCTATTCTTGATGGTGGTTTAAAAAGCACACAATCTTCGATATTGAATAAAATGGGACAGCAGAATAATCTCTGTAGATTCCAGAATGATCGAAAAAGAAATATATTTATGGAATGAAAAAAAAAAAATGATAAGCATGTAGTATAGAACGTCGCTTGCACAAACAATAGAATAAAACACTGAGGGAGCCAAAATCAAGATCAAGGCTTTGTGGTTTGCGGGGCTTCACTATTTTTATTGTGTGGGCGTGATGGTTGCAAAGAAATGTTTGCGTCTGGCGCTTAACAAAACAGGATGATGGATGTATGTTGGACGGGAATCACAAGACACAAGCAGCGATCGTTGCATCTCACAAGATGGATATGTAATGATACTCAGGTAATTCTAGTCTTTTTTGCTCTCCTCTCATAATGCAATGGACCCCTCCTCTCTTTCCAAAGATTTTGCCTCTACTAGCTTGTCTATAAAAATATGTACTTTCATCGATATTTCACACCAACTCTTAATATCGATGGATGCAATAATAATTTGAATGGTGTTTCCCAATCATCCTTAACAGTTGCGACACGAGTGGGTACCTCAGTGTATCATCAACACCTCATTAGAAAATTCCACAACTCAACAAATGCTCGAGGTTACCACATTATTGTTTGTAGGAATAATGTATGTTAGCCATCGTATATGGGGACATACATGATGTGCCCTCATGCAGTACCAAACCTCAGCTCAGATCATCACAATCAACCGGTAAAGATAACAATCCCATCTTTTGTGCCGTGCAAAGAGATTTCTAAATCCAAGCAAAATGTGGAGTTTACAAAAAGGATAAGCAATGATAATATATCTAGTAACAAATTCTTCTTCTAAGGATTGCAGTTTTCGCAACATTCATTACTGGTAGCACTGAAAAACAAAAAGTAGAAACGCATAGCGATAAGCGAGAAGTGTATTGGAAGAGCATCACCAGAGAGCTAGCTTCTTCCACCAGGCTTACAATCACAGTATAATACCACTCTAAATACTTAGCTATCAGGTTGAGAAGAGTTCCTGGCAACTAGATATTGTCATATGTGCAAATTCAAAGGCGCTAGTATTTCTTTAAGCCCACTGGGCTGTAGTTGTTGTTATTGTTGTTGTTGTTGTAAGACTACAAACATGTAAGAACACTAGTGTGGGATCCAAATTATACATTAGATTATGGTAAAATCTGACGGATTCTATCAAATTTGCGTCTTTCGCTATTAGAACGCTTTTTTGTTGTTGTGTCTTTTCATCTGTTTACCTCCGCAATTCATTGGCAAGGCAGATAATTAAGATTCACTTGTGCATTATATTGACATCCATCTTGCGTTAATACATGCAACAACATGTGTCTAAACGCCTCCGGACACATCATTAAAATTTACTTTCTGTCTTCCCATCTCACATCATCTTTAGCAGATGGGATGACACAAACACAAATTCTGTGAGTCGCTAGCAAACCGCACCAAAAAGATTCCTTTCCCTTGGGCTCAAGTATAAAAGCAACTGATTCCCCCGCTGGGCTTTTTCTGATTTCTTGTTTTTTCTTTCTCTTGATTTTTGTTTTCAATATTCCCCTTACTTTTCCCTTTTCTCATTTTACATCTAACTATCATCTCACATCACATTCACGAGAGCGCACAGTGTTCCATCGGTAACAAGCTTTTGATTCTTATTTCACTTCTCCTACATTTTTCTTTCTTTGTATCTATTTCTTCAAGAACAAAGAACAAGGATAGAATCTAGAACCGCTCTTATTGATAACTTACCAGCACTTGTTATATCCTGAAGCTTTTCTTTTTTCTTTTGCATTATAAGACCGGTACCCTCAAAGGGTTAGAATAAGTCACATTTGTTTGTTATCCGTTTTTTGAACCTATTCTGGCTGGTTCTGTTCTCAGCGCTAATGCAAAACAACAGTTTACATTCTCATTATAATACTGTTTCAAGTTTGGATGATTCCCAAATTCAATCAAAATTAACAGAAATCTCTAAAACCTTGATTTATAACAAGTTTCAACTGTTGCCTAACGTTAACTCATCCTCTGGATCATTTTGCATTTACGACTCTGATAGTGAAGAAGAAATCATGCAAGACTTACAAGCTGCTGAATACCTTTTAATGAAACCATCTTCTCTGAGAACTTCATTTGCTGATAACGAGATGAGGAAAGATCGTATGTCTAAAAAAATTCCATTCCAAAACTCTGTTAAGCGTTCTGGTATTGAATATGGCGAAAATGAAAATAAGGATGAGGATACAGACGCTGCCGAGGCAGAAGAAAAAGAAGAAGAGCAAGAGCAAGACGAAGGAGAAACAAGCTCTTTTAAAGCTGATATCAATTCCAAAAATTATTTAGAAACCAATAGCAACTACTCTAAATTTTTTGATGACGATGAGAAGAAAGAAAAAGATGCTACCTACGAAGTAACCATCAGTGGTGTTAGGTTTAGAGCTAGACCATCGTCCTGTATCTTTGTGGCTAGTTTATCCAATGCTAGGTCTGAAAATGACTTATTTGAATCAGTTTCTACTTTTTTTCAAAAATGGGGTGATATTTCTGTTAAAGTTTTGAAAGACGAGAAGCAAAGACCATATAGTTTTGTTCAATTTACAAATGACAAAGATGCTAAACATGCTTTGGAGCAAGCCCAGGGAGCATTACTTGACGATAGACCTATTCGTTGTGAGCCAGCAAGAGTTAATAGAACTATTCATATTTCTAATAAATCCGGCCTTGAAATAAGTTATGATTCTGTCGTGAGAATGTGTGAAGAGTTTGGAGAACTTGAATTGGTAATCGCTAGTAATGATAACTTAGATGACTTAAATTTGAGATCCAGAAGCGACAAAAAAGCTCCAGCATGGTTTATACAATTTGTATTCAGGGAAGAAGCTATATGTGCTTTTTTGCACTTTTTAGAAAGTAGCAGCGTTGATACTGAATGGGCTGAAAACATTCAACTTCCGCAAAATGAAGGCCCAATCTCCATTGATAAGGCCGCTGTTTTCGTTGGACAATTGAGCTCCCTGGTCACAGAGCAAAAATTTGTTGAACGGTTTGAGCAACACGGGAAAATTAAGTCTTATACTTTTATTGATAGATCAAGCTCCCCATTTGGCTTTGTTAAGTATGAAAAAGAGGTTTCTGCTGCCAGAGCTGTTGAAAGGGAAAACCATGCTGTCTTCATGAACAAAACCATGCATGTTCAATATAAAGAGCTTCACCCGAAGGAAAATAGAACTGTCAATAAGATTTCCAAACAGCCAAGACTTGTTGTCGCTCACCCACCAGTCGGCACTAATTCCAAAGTGGCCTTTAATAGAAGAAGATTCGTCGCTAATGGAAGGATGTTTGGTGTTAATTCAAGAAATCAATTGAGCCATCATCATCATCATTATCATCCTCATCAATTGGAAAATTTTCATTATCCTTATAGACAAGAATATTTGAATTACAAGCCATACAAGCCATTAAATATTCATGATGGGCCAAAACCTTCTTCTCCTACGTCTAGAATGTCTCGCCAAAGAAAAAGAAGTTCCCCAACTAGTTCTGCAGGAAAGTCCACATTCTCTCATAATTATGCTAGCAAAAGCATCTATTCTGGTACTTCATTCACTGGTGACTCGGTGACAGAAGAAGATACTGGATCTTACTTAGGGAACCAGAAGCAAGATGGATTTATGCCTAGAGTCCTTCCAATGACAAACTCAACCCCTTTTTATTCTTATAATAGCTACAAGTCTCTTCCACCTCCTCCACCACAGCAACACCATATTCCACCAATGTCTCAGGGCCAACCACCGAAAAGTTCCTACTTCAATTACGCACCATATAACTACTACGGTTATGGTGACGGCAGCATACCATATCTTCCACCACCACCACCACCCGCAGATGCGAACCAATTTTTCTTATATTATCCACAAGGGAGCCAAGCACCACCACCCTCTAATTCCGGTAAATTCTCATATCCTCCAATGATGGCAAATGTTGTTACTGGTCCAGCTTTGGTTGGACAAACCAGTCCGGTTGCTCCAAACAACGGCTTCCAAAATAAGCACGAGTCAGCTTCACCAATTGATTATTAATTTTCCTATACTATGGGAATAGAGTAATCTCACTTTTGTTTCACACTATTTGAGAGTGGCTTAATTTTATATTAATTTTTGTTCCAGCTTTTTTCCTCTTTTTTTTTTTTTTTTTTTTTTTCTCTTCTTTTCCTGATGAGGCACAATACCCATTTATTCCTTTTCCCGATTTCTTTTTTTTCGAATTTTGAATTTTGGATTGGTTGGATTTGTTCCATTTATGATGTTCTTTACCAAGCTTCGCAACCAGCATATTAATGAATTTATTTATCTTTAAAAAATTTTGTACTTACAGCGCCCTAAATATCAAATACATGTAAGAATTCCTTTAAGAGGGAACAGACAAGATGAAACAACGCAACACAGAAAAACAAACGAAAAATATTCTAACAAGTTTATAGTACATTGAATTAAACAGAGAAAAAAAACATCAAAGAAAAACATAAAATAAAACAATTTTTCAAATTCAGTTCTTTCGCATTCTCATCATAAATTGTAATAGTGAGGATTCAAGTCTGAATTTCTCTTCAATTGACATAGACTTAAGTTCCTCATCAGTAACTGATCCAACCATGCTATTGAACCCTGCGAATATCGAATCAGCAGTCCTGGCCTTTTTGGTAACACGATTTTCTCCCAGAGGTAAATCATCATTAGAACTATCTTCATTATTCGAATAATGTCTCTTCAAATTTCTTGTTGGTGGCGTGACTGATACTACCTGTTTTGACACTGCTAATGACAGAGGACGTGCAGATTTTGGAGGAGAGGGAGATTGGTGCTCCAGAGCATCAATGTATTCTTCATCATCGCTATCAAGCAAGACTTCTGGATTCTTGAATGAAAATCCACGGGCAAAAGTGGTAGCAACATATCCATCATGCAGTGTAATCGTTTGCTCAACATCTTCAACCTTGATTTTCACAGGAGTTGAAGATGGAAGACAAGGATCAATAGAGGAGGAACTTGATGACAGCGTGGAGACGGTGGATTCTGCAGTGTTTTTGAGGCCACTCTTCTTGTGTAATAATGCATTTTTTTGAGAATCTTCTTGATTTTTAGTACCATCATTGCTGCTCGCAATTCTTTTCCCTTGACTTTCAAACATTTTACCATTTGGTGCTACAACAGAATTAGTGGGCTCTGACACTGACACATATTTCTCATTCATACCTGGTTGTCCCAAAGCATTCAGATCTGAGTATTTGTCACAAGGAGCCAACATAGACAAACTAGGTAGCTTATCATTATCTGTTAGATTAGACAGCGACATCCCTTCAGTGGAAGCTTCGACTTGCAGGCCATTAGCAGTAGCTGTGTTTTGTGACATCTCAGCCATATTAATAATATCTTGGGATTCAGAATGCAAAATTCTTGCTTTTTCAATGTCTAAATTTCCACTAGACGGTTTGCAAATGTCAGTACGGTTATAATATATATCTTCGGCTTGATTATTACCAGATGAAGGAGGAATCAATATACCTTCAGAGGAGATATCTTCTTGCTTGATATTTATTTTGAGATCGAACGTATTTTGTAACTTTTCTTCCAGCACAAAAATCACACCATTCTCATCAATTTCCACAATATCTTCGTCAGATGATACACCAATTTCCAAAGTCTTTTGCAAAGAAATATCAATTGATTTATCGCTGGAAACATGAAGAGGTTTGTCAAAATCAATGGTAGACGGAGGAACTTTGATATTATTGCCAACGTCTTGGGAGGAAGACTGTAATACTGGCTCCGATATAGCAGAGTTGCCATCAATTCCTAAATCTGTTGGCATTGCAGAGATTGAAAAGCTTTCTTCTGGCTCATTAAGTTCTATTCTTTTTTGCTCAGTAGAATTGGATCCATCTGTATGCGAACAAACAGTATTAGAAATTTCAACCACTGGGGACGCTTCAGAAAAAGCATGAGTATCATTAGCAAGCTTCTTGTTAGAAAGATCAATAAGGTTAATATCATGATTAATTCCATATTCGTCTTTATGTTCTAAAACAACTTCATTATTACTACTCTCCGCTTTCTGAGAATCAGCTTCTGATTTCAAGGGATTTTCATTGGCTTCTATTGTACTTAGGTTGGCACCTCGAATAATGATATTTGAGTCCCCCCTACCCTTTTGTATTTTCTCCATTTCAACGTAAAAATCAAATACATTTTTATCCTTCAACATTTCTTTATTATCGTCAACGAACTTATTGGTAAACCCCAAGTACCTCAGATCTCTGATCCCATATATGAGCAACCTATTAAGAAACCTATTATCTCCAATCCGTAACAAAAACTGCAATAGCCCTTGGTAAATTTCTCCTGCTTCACTACCAATGTCTGACCGGGCAAGAAAAACGCAAAAAGTCTCGTGCAATGCTTCTGGGAACAATTCGTAACTTATTAATGCCTTAAATGCCAGTAATTTCTCAATGTGTATACTAGTGCAATTAATCTTGGAGAGTAGTTCAAGGATTATGAGCGAGTCAATAGTATTGGATCCAAATTTCCGAAATTGCAAAATGCATTTCAAAAATGCCTCAAATTCCTCCATCTCAGAAAAATTAAGAGCGATGAATAGACCCTTAACGTTATCTTCAGTAAGTTTTGGTGATTTGATAAGCTGATCAACCAATTTTTTAACCATAGTTTCCACGTCTAAACCTTTCAAATTATGACTTCCAACAATAGTCCCCACAGTGACACAATCCACATTATTGAAATTAGAAAACATCCTTGACTCAAGATTAGTGACAATGAATTGTTGTATCTGTGCCAGATGACTGCGCGCTAACTCACTAAATAATTTCAACTGCTTGGAGGTTGGCAAAGTATTGAAAATGGAGCGCAAATGCGCAGAGCCTGCGTTCTCAAGGCTAGTGAGCACTGTGGTGATGAACTTCAATTGATTCAAATCATTAGCATGAACGATCTCTAGATACTCCAGAACAATTGGGATTGCATATTCTAATAATAGTTGTCCATCACCTTGAAGCCCATCAACGAATCTTTCAATGTACCCAGTAAGCTGCAATAAAGTTTTATAACCTTTAACTGATAACTCTTTATCTTTTTTAATTGCTGGTTTGATGAAGTTCATGAATTTTATGAGAAAATCATACTTTACCAGATTTGGAATTGGACCATTATCACAAAATAGAGAATCAAATATTGACTTTAAATGATCGAAATTATTGAAAAGCCATTTATTTGAAATTGATTTAATGTCTGCCATTTTCACAGATTCATTGGATAAAATTTTTATTGGAGTACTGACCCCGCAAAATCCCTTTGGCTTCACAGAAAAAAGTCCGCTATAAAATTCAGTGATAATGTTTAAGTTTTTGGAGCCTTCACTAGTTAAAATTTTCAAGTAGAAATTTTTCCAAATGTTATCCATTACCAGCTCCCATAAATCACGACAAATAGTTGAGTGAAACTTTACAACATTTAATGCATCACCGTGAGTGTTGCTAGAAAGATTCCGACTTGGACTATGTCCTCCGATTGAGTTAGAATCCAATGAAAGATGGTTGAAGACTGAGTAGCGGATCCGTAGACTCAAAGCGTGAAGCGCTTCAATAACTTCAACATTTTCGAGTTGGAAATTTTCACAAGCAATCCTTGTGAGTGGGTGCACTAGAAGGTTTATGTGATCCTGAGATTCTTGCAAAAATCTCAAGCGAGCCTTATCTTCAATCAATGCTCCGTTTTTATTAGCGTCTAGCTCATCCAATCGAATCTTCATGTTTTCGCGGATGAACTCACTAGAGACATAAATAATACATTTGTATGATTTAAGCGCGCAAATAATGACATCGGGATCTTTACTGGACACACAGAAGTCATGAATCTTTATCCAGTCAGATAAATAGTCCCATTTTGCGATGTTAAAACGCGGAACATGGGCTGCACCAACACCCACGCTCCCGTGATTGATTAATAATGTGATACAAACCCAAATATCCGTGGCTTGTTTGTACTGTTTTGATTTCATAATTTGCAATAAGCTTAGTAGAGTCTGATCGATCAATAATCTTCCAGAGGAGTTCCTATCATTTTTGGTCAATGATATTGATTCATTTTCATCGATAGACTCCATTAAGAATCTACTGCCTTGTTCTTTGACAATCCTGTTGTTTAGATAGCGCAAAAATTTCATTTTGAGGGAATTATTATCCAAGTAGGTTTTCACCATTTCCAAAAGAACGGTTACAGAAACACTCAAAATCTTCAGAGAAAATGCTTTAGCCCTGGAAGCACTGATGATATTCAACATGATGTTACCAACCCAGTGTGTGAAATGCTTCTCCATCATATTCGGGAATTCCAGAATGAGATTCCTGATAGCAATTGTTCTTTCAATGGTGATGGAAACAGAACTATAGTTCTGGATATTAATAACAGCATTCAACAATCTTTCAGAAAGTTCAACAGAAATGAAATATTTTTTTTCCGTGAATGTCTTTTTAGATTTGTCTTGCGGAAGAACTTTTTGCAAGTCCTGCAAAAAAAATGGCAAAAGGGAACTAGTAGATTTGGTTTCAACTGTCACTTGAGAATAAATCTTCTTTTGTTGTGCTAAACTCAATGATTGAAACTTACTCAATTTCTGGTCCTTTATTAGAGAAAGATAGGCAGAGCCAACTGATTTAGGAATTTTTTCACTGTTTCCCAATAGGTTGTCACAAATATGATTCATTATGAATCTCATATCTTCCTCAAGTAATATCGAAACTAACTCTAATCTGGAAGTGAAAAACGTGAGGATTTTGATAGATTGAATTATAATCCGGTTTTCAAACGGATCAGACGCTTTGGTTGGGCTGAGCTGGGGATTCTTCATGTCATTTAGCTTCTTATCAATGTTCTCTTCGCAAATCAACATATCTCTTTTGATAAAATTAATCAATTTTTCACAAATTTGTTGCAATTTAGGCAACAAAAATGTAAAAGAATTCTTTTGAATAACCAAGTTGATAGAGGCATAAATCTCAAACTTTCTACTGCAATGCAGATCTTCCAAATTTTTCAAACATCCATCAATTAAGGCCAATGATTCTTCACTACCGGATTCTACCTGAGCAATTGTTCCTGGTTGCCAAAAATCAATAGCATAATTACCCGAAGGAATATTTTTGTGCTTGTAATCATCTTCATTGAATATGTTATTCTTTATCGGCAGAAGCTTATCTTTCTCGCCTTCCTTCACTTTCAAAATTGATTTCAACGGGGAATTTTTTTTACTTGGAGAAACAGAACATGATTCTAAAGCCTCAGAAAACACAACCTTTTTCTTTCCACTTGGAGAGATGAATATATTTTCCGTGGAAGGTGGCAATTCTGATTTTAAAGGAGAAGATAATTCAGGAATTTTGAGCTGTTTTCGAACACTCACTTGCTCTGGAATTTCAATCATCATCGGGGTGTCAACTTGTTCTTTAGGTAGCTCAAAGTTTAGTTCATTGTCAAGTTTCTCCTTTGCAACTTTTAATTGTACTTCTTGCTCCCCTGAGACAACTTTCTGTTTATTCTTTGCGTTAGACTTTGGAGTATTTGCAGTTGAAGCAGCCTTGTTATTAGTTGTTTTTGGAGTATTTATTTTCATTCCTTTTCTAGGTGTTGATTTAGGAGTGTTTGATCTAGAATTGCGTGTCGACGAGCTTCTACTATTGGATTTCTTGATTTCATCGATAGTACTCTTCAATGGCGACAGTTTGTTCTTTGCATTCGAGGAATCTGTGGAACTCACTTTTGGAGAGGAAACTGCGCTACTTGACACATCGGTAGCATTTTTTTTCTGATTATTTGCCAATCTGACTGATGACCTTCTCTTACCATTCAATGGGCTGTTATTCTTCAACAATGGACTGTTATTCTTCAATAATGAAGCGTCCACTATACTCGGAGGACAAGGGCTAGCTCTAGGTGTCCGAACAGGCGTGGAATTGGAACCGCCTCTAGGACTAACACTACCCAGTTTCAGAATTCGGCCATTAATAGTGCTGTTTCTCTTTTTGTTTGCTGACTTTCTGTTACTATTGGTGTTTGGGGTAGTTTTCTTCACCTTGTTTGGTGTAGTAGTCAATTTTGCTACAGATTCCTGTTCTTTCTCCTTCGCTTTGGCCTTGTGGTTTCTCATCAGGGAAAAAAAAATAGGGGAAGCCAACAAAGTTCTCAGTGTGGGTTGTGTGTTGATAAATAACCGACTGTTTGATTCCTCAGTTTGCGATTTGTTTTCCACAATCCTTTAGTTCACAGATCATCGCCCATTTTTTTCTATTGGCTGAAAAAGGCATGCGTCAAAAACAGGAAAAAAAAAAAAAAAAACGCGTGGAAGGACGCGAAAAATTTACATTTGTGGTGTATGATAAAATTGCAAAATGCAACAATTGAATTCAAGCTCATAGTAGAAGGAAAAAAAAAATCTAAGTAACAATAAAATAATACATATACAGAACAGTATCCATAATTGGATAGTAAAGAAAAAAAAACATAATAACATAAATGAGTTGGCGAAAATTAAAATAAATCATTGGTTGACAACCAACTACCTTGAACATTCAATACAGATCAGTAATGCTAGGATGTCTCATTCCTATTAGCGATACCAAACAAATACCTCAACTCTCTTCTACCTAATCTTGAAATTCTGGTCATTGCATTCTGGTTTAATGCACTTTCAACCATTTCTCTTTTTTTCTCTTGAAGAACCACGATTCTATCCTCTACAGTATCTGTGGTTAGCAAACGGTAAACATTCACAGGTTTCATTTGTCCAATTCTATGAGCTCTGTCCATTGCTTGTTCTTCAATATATGGATTCCAGAAAGGGTCAACAATAATAACATGATTGGCACAGGTCAATGTTAAACCAAAGTTCCCAGCTTTCAACGAAATTAGAAGCACCTTTTTCAATGGGTTTTTGAAAAATTGTTTAATACAATCATCTCGTTGATCTAAATTCATGCTACCGTCATATCTTAGATACTTGATATCTTTATCTAGTAAAATCTTTCCTAGAAAATCAAAGAATAAGGTAAATTGACTGAAAATAATAATTTTGTCATCTGGGGAGTCCTCATTTACTTTATTAATAATCTCGAGGCATTTATCAATTTTTGGAGACGAGAAAAATTGATTATCTTGGGCTGCAATTAGCTCTTTAACAGCTCGCTGTTGATCAGTAGGCTTTGCGGAGGAAAAGTGCGGGTAAATTTGCTTGATAATAGTTGTTGATGGATCTTCATCTTTATTCTTATTGGAATTTGCAAGAAAATCTAAATCAGAATCATATTCAGAATCCGAATAATCTTCATCACCATCATTGCCATTTGTAATCTTTCTTTTTTCATCAGAGGTGAGACCGAAATACCGCAAGACATCCCCAGATTCTTTCGCCTCGATGCATACAAGATGAAAAACAGAATAATGAACAATATCATTTTTAGATACCAGCTTCTGGCAAACTGAACAATTGGCTTTGTTATTTTCGTCAGCTGCATTAGTTTCAAAGAAAGCTTCAATACATTCGGAACATAAAGGATGGCCGCAAGGGAATAATACAGAAGTAGTTTCACGTACCAAAGCATCATAACAAAGTTGACATGAAGACTCGCCTTCACCATTTTCTATAGTTTTTTCCACGTCCTGCACTGATTGTTGACTGAATCCCTTACATTTCTGAACCATATTCTTGATGATTTCAATATTCTCTTTAGGCTTATTGTCTGCAAATATTGCTGGCAATCTAACTTCCTTGTTCTTATATTGGCTGACACGATCACCGACTCTAACCAAGAAGCTGTGGTTACAAGCCTGCCTCAAACGCAACAATAGAGTGAGAATACTACTGTAATTGCCAACAGCTTCTCCTGCCAAAAGCTTCTTCGCTTCTTTGGCAGTCTTCTTAGCAAGCGCTTGATAAAACTCGTCTTCATCTCCATCCATAACAATAACATCCTTTTTAATCACTTTCGGAGTTAAGTTTAAAATTGGCTTGCCATCTATTTTGAAGTTTTTGGTTCGACGAAGTAAAATCGCTTTTAGAAGTCCCTGTAATCTTGTAAAAGCCATACTGGTATCTTTCTTATCATAGTTGTGGTTTTTATTTTTTAAAGGAAGAACAATTTCTTTACGAAACAATTCCTCATCATTATAAGGCTTAATTTTCAAAAACCGAATGATTGGATATAATTCTTCGACATTATTTTGCATTGGAGTACCAGTCAAACATAGCCTATAGTCTGATCTAAGCAAATGACATGCTTTGGAAGATAGAGTCTTCTTATTTTTGATAATATGAGATTCATCTAAAATAATTCTGTGAAAATACGATTCTCTGGAAAAGAAAGGAGACTTATGCTTTCCCCCGCCGGTTCCGAAGTCTGGAATTCCTGTTTGGGTTGTTTTTTGGCCCGCTGAATCCATTACTTCCTTATAATGTTTCTTAAATTCAGACGCTAGAGTACCGTATGTAGTTAGAACAATATCATATTTAGCCAAAGCTTTAAAATCTTTCACCTTATCCTGAGAATGATAAAGGTATGTTGACAATCTATACTCTGGTTTAATTTTATCTTCGAACTCTTGCATCCATTGGCGCATTAAAGCAAGAGGACCAACAATCAAAGTAGTTTTTCTTGTAGGGTCCGATGCTTTGTTAGCGAGGACGATGGCCATTGCTTGGACAGTCTTACCGAGACCCATATCATCTGCAAGAATGCCACCTTTGTTCGTTGAATTTTCCATCTTAGACAACCATTCAAGACCAAGACGTTGGTGTTTCAATAAAGTTATACAGAATTCCTCCGGGGTTTGTGGCAATCTTTGATCGTCAACATTATCCAACTCTGGTTCGATAGTTTCAATAAGGTTCGATATATGTTCTGATTCAGTGCTACCGACAGATAGCCCGGGTAAATATTCCTTCGTATCACTTTTATCGGCTGCATCATTATAAAGAGAATCATTACGTTTCCCTTTATGGGACCCAAAATGGCTTGCGAGAAGCTCTTTCTGGTGGAGTTTAGCTTCCTTCATCTCAGCGTTTCTTTGGGCAATTTTATCACGGAGTACTTGAGGATTGGAACGGATAAAACTATCATTACTTCTAAGCTTGTGCAAATTATCCACAGTGTTTTGAACCTCACTTTTTGCCAAATTTATTCTGGATTCCAATTGTCTGAGCTTCACCCTGTGATGTGCGAGTTTCAATTCATACATCATTCTCTGCGACTCACTCAGGCTCCTCAACCTAGCCACAACGAGTTCATTTATTTGTTTCAAGGATCTTTGCTTATCCACTTTGAGCTTTTGGAGCATACCTTCTTTTTCGCTATTCAACTCTGTTGCCTTCTGAACCTTGGCAGATAGTTCTGACAAAACATTATTCATAGTGATGTTAAACACAAGGTCTTGATTTGAGTTCGGATTTTGGTTAAGCTTAGCATTTTGGTTGAGATTTGAATGCTGGTTGAGATTTGGATGCTTAATAAAGGGAGGCAGTGGGAGAGGATTTATGAAAACTCCAGGATTTAATGGAGCTGGTTGATGATTCACGAATACTGGGTTAGGGAGCATTCCTGGTATAGGAACAGGTTTGTTATAAAATGGTAGTGGTGGATTTGATGTTCCCTTTTTAGTATCAGCAATAATTCGTTCTCCTGTAAAAATAACTTCATCATCATCGTCATCGTCATCGTCATCTATTAAAGTAATGTCTGCAGCATCATGCTTTGCTTTGTTCTTGTTCAATCCAAAGATTACATAATCTTCATTGTCACTATCTTCAGTTAGATCAATAACTTCAGAGACTTTAGTTTTCTTTGGTGGTGAACTTCTTCCTTGAATCACCTTCCTCTTCATAATCTCTGATGTCGAAGATTGTGGTGAAGCGAATATTGGTTTGATCTCCGCGGACTTATTTGATAGCTCTGGCATAATAGGAGCTCTATCAAAATATGAGCTCTCTTTTTTGTCTAGCTTCATTTTTTCTGTATCTTTTGCAATCGAACCATTAAAAGAAAATTCTGATGGACGCTGATTTATATCCCCTGTAGAATACAAATTATGATGTTTCATTAATGGGTTTGCGTGAGAAGTACCTTCCAATGAAGGTTCACTTTTGTTTGATTGTAACATATTAACTCCTGTTGTTGAGCCACTATGAGGATGCTCACTTTTGTTTTCGGTAATGTTACTGTCCACCACAACACTTTCATTACCACTAATATTAATATTATCAACCGGGGTCGAATCTGTCGCTGAGGAAACCTGAGTGTCGATATCCGTAGTTATGGAAGACGCACTTTCAGTTTGCTTAGATATCTTCGGTAGTATTATATTCGAGGCTATTATATTCGGTGGTATTATATTCGGTGGTATTATATTTGATGGTATATCTGCAGAAGTTAAGGCATCAGTTATTGGTGTTGAACTTTTTGATTGCAATATTTTCTGCTTCCCACTAGCAGTGGTTCCTTTCCCGAAAATGTCATCTAAATCAAAGCTATCCAAAGAGCCATCTAGATCGCTTAAAGAATCAGGTTCCTCATTATCACTAACATCAGTGGTAGACTCCTCCTTATTATTTATCACGGCTGAACTTTCAGTGGAGGCAATTTCCGGTGCATCTTCCTTAGATATTAAAGTGGCATGAGAAAGATCATAGTTAACACTGGGCTTTTCCATATCCCACAAGCTTTTTTGGTGTTAATTTTTCAGATAGGAGAGTAAGCAAGCAGTAAAACTAACAAACACACTATTTGGGTTGCAATAAGGAGGTCCTTGTGCTAAGGATTTAATTACGAGATGAGTCGAAGTGGTTCCTCGTGCTCGTTATTTTGTTTACACAAAAAAGTTTGAGTTTGAAAGGCCGGGTGATACAGGTCGAAAAAATAAGAAAAACAAGAAAAAATTGATGGATTCACTTAAACAGCATGTATCAGAAGACATCATCGTTGGTGTTCCAAGCCCACACCATTTTAAATATTAGCGATCAAGGCATATGCCGAAATACTACTGTGATTATTGCAAGTCTTACCTCACCCATGACTCCACTAGTGTACGGAAGTCACATTTAATTGGAAAAAACCATATCAAGTATGTCTGCGACTACTATGAGAGGGAGGCAATAAATTTGGGGATATGGAATTTTGAAGATGACGTAAAGATCATCACCATGGACGATGTTTATGGTATTGGTGCGCCAGGAGCTTTTGTGCCGAGCTCTTACAATGGTGAAAATAATGAGCCAGAGGAAACAGAATATCATGGGAGACACCAGCAAAAGAAAAATGAGGTGAAGCCAAATTATAATGATGAAAAGACCCAAGAGAGTTTGCCGAAAGATATCTATACCTTGGGCGATTCTTTCAGTTTAAGCATACCTCTTTCGCTTCCTTCTATGCCTAACCCTCCCCCTAGTGTTTTCAGATACTCGAATAACTATACAGACAAAACTTTGATGCCACTAAAGTCAACATCTGGTTACATGACCCCAGACCATGTTGCCAAAATGGGTCAGATTAACAATAAGGGCAGCCAAGGCAATGATGGTGACTTTTCTGCTGCGACTAGCTCCACGTCAGGTCAAAATAAATTCACTCCAAAACAGTATGGACATGGATACAATAACTACAACAAATATGGAGGGGTTCAGAAGTTCAATGCCAATCATAATAATAAATTCAGGAATAATTACGGGGTAGGGGGAAGGAGTTTTACACAAAATAGCTTCAATAAAGGTGGATACAATAACAACAATAATTTCAATAAGAATAACAATAATTTCAATAATAATAACAATAACTTCAATAATAATTTCAATGCTGATCACACGAATAATATCAACTCACATAACAATGATGCTCTGAGTAATAATAATTTCAATGGCGGTGGATTCAATCAAGGAGGATACCAGAGAAAAAATTTCAACAAGCGAGATTTTAGTAACAATAGACAGAACTATGCTGGTCGTGGGGGTCATAATAACTATCGAAGATAAATCCTGGATTCGTTAATCCAGATTTTACATTCATACTTGAATCAGGTTGAATGTATTGTTTTAAAATTGTATTATATATTTTTCAATGTACCATTTGCCATTCATATGGAACGGACCAATTTCTTTGTAGCGCTTTACAGATTTTATGTGCCTTAGATAGATAAGGATAACTTTAATAAAAACAAAAACTGTATATCTTTATGATTAAATATTTTATTGATCAATTATTAAATAAAACAATAAGACTGTATCAATCCTCATCTGAATCTTCATCTGATCCATCATCTGAGTCTTCATCACCGTCGTCATCAGATACTTCAACATTTAAATCTCTCAATTTACTTTTATACTTCTTCAACTTATCATCCATTTCTGACAATAAAAGCACTAAATCATCCATTTCTGATTTCGGAACAACGTCTTCTTCCTTCTTGCTAGTTTGAACAATAATATCTTCAAGATTAGTAATCTTAGTCTCTTTCTCAGATATTATTTTTGTTGTGGAATTTTTCAATTCATCAAATTCTTTATTTTTACTAAGAAGTTTTTTCTGGTTCAACTCTCTCAAGTCAGTAAGTTCCTTTTGATTCTCTAACAACTTGCTATGATATGATTCTTTTAGGCCATCAATCTCACGCTGCTTCAACAACTTCAATTCTTTAATTTCTTCACTATTTTTTTCTTTCAACTTTGAAATTTCCTTCTCTTTAATGGTAGAATGAGACTCGGCATATTCTTTCAATTCTTCAATCAACTTGTCTTTGGCAGGTATATGGCTTTCTTTTAATTCTTTCAAATCATCAGCAAGATGATCTCTAATAGCTCCAATTTTTTCCAACTCCTTAGTATGCTCATCCTTTGCTTTTTCTATTTCTATTTCCTTCATTTCTTTGTATTCTGCTAGCTCAGTTTGCTTTTCTTCAATCTCGCTATCTTTTTTTTGACAAATCTCACTCATTTCCTTTTCGTTTAACTGTTTTATTTTGGTAATCTCTTCATCGACTGATTTTTTCAAACCATCAAGTTCTTTCTCCTTCAAAGAAATCATTACTTTCAAGGACGCTACTTCAGAGCCTGAACTAGACTTCAATTCACTGATTTCTCTATCTTTCTCAGCCACTGTATTTTCTAATTTCTCGATCAAAGTCAGTTTCGTGCGAGCAATGTCTTCTTTTTCTTCCCGAAGAGATTTAATAGTAACATCCTTGGAATCCTTCAATGAGCTGAGTTCCTCAGCTAGTTGTTTTTCTTTCAATTTCAACGACTTAAGGACACTCTCATTCTCAGAATTCAATTTCTCAGCGTCCTTTAAATGGGAAGCTTTCTCACTGAGTTGTTTCTCATATGCAGCTATTTTCGATTTGTAGGTTGATTTCAACTCCTTATTAGAACCTTTTAATTTGGAAACTTCGGCCTTATGCGATTCTAACAAGTTATTCAACTCATCTTCACTGGATTTCAAATTTGCGTTAGCGGCTTTCAATTTTTCAATCTCCTCATCTTTGAATTTCAAATCATCAACCAATTTGCTAACTTTATCATCTGAAGATTTTATAGTTTCCTTTAAAGCATTCTTTTCCTTCAATAGACTCTCCAACAATATTTTCTCCTTTTTGGCCTTTTTATCCATCTCTTTAATTGATATCTCTAATTTTTTTACTTTATCTACTTTTTCTTGTAATTCCTTCCCTTTCTCTGCCTTTTCTTTCAAAGCTGCTAATCTCGCCTCCTTCTCCTTAGCCAACTTTTCCTTGTTTGCTTGCTCCCTGGCAGACTTTTCCCTGTTATGCTTTTCTTTAGCAGCTTTTTCTTTGGCTTCCAATTCCGCTTTAGCTGCCTCGTCCAACTCTTTCGTTTCATCCATGGTAATTTTGAGTTTTTCAATTTCGGATTCCCTAAGTTTGATTTCATCTTCAAGTAATATAATCTTTTCATCTTTTGATTTTAGATCAATTGATAGCGATTCAAGCTTGGATTGATCCTGTCTAATTTCATCTTCAAGTGAGTTAATTTTGTCACTATCAGATTTTATAGAAGTTTCCAAACTAGTGATCGTGTCATTTTTTTCCTCAATATCAGATTCAAGTGAAGAAATCTTGCTGTCACTCATAGAAATAGCAGATTCCAATTTCGAGATATCATCAAGAAGCTTCTGTTTCTCCTCTTGCAAAGATTTCTTAATATCATTACTCTTGGAAGTTTCAGATTTTGATTGCGCCAAAGATTTTTCCAACTTTTTTATTTTATCTTTTTCTTTCAGTATGGCAGAATTCAAGGTCTCAATTTCCTTTTGATGGCTCTCAATGGAGCTTTTATGTAACAGAATTTGTTTTTCAGAATCCTCAGAATTCTTTTTAAAATCTTCAAACTGCTTTTTTAAAGATTCAAGGGTCCCCTTATGCTCATCAATTTCCTTATTTAATTCCAGATTGTGACCCTTACCATCAGCTACATCTTTTTTTAGCAGGTTAATCTTCTCTTCACGAACCTCGATATCCTTATTTAGAAGACCAATTTTAGCCTCATAATCATCGGCATGCTTTTGTAGTTTCTTCAACTGATTTTTGTGATCTCTAACTACGTTCTCCAAATCAGTTATATTTTTCACCTTAATGTTGTTGTCTTTTTCCAATGAAGAAATTTTTGATTTGTGATCATCGATTTGAGCGCCCAAATTCTTCATCAGGGTCTTATTTTCTTCGATTTCTCTGGACAACTTTTCATTGGCTGATACGTTATCATTCAAAGACGCCTCATGTGACTTCAATTTCTGGTCTAATTCATTTAATTCCTGTGTTTTCTTTTCCAAATCGACATTGGCGCTTTCAATCTTTTCATTTTGAGATTTTGATTCTTTTTCCAAGTTTGAGATATGTTTCTTTTTCATATCCGAATCATCTTCAATTTCCTTCAATTTCTTTTCCAACTCATCCTTTTCGAGATTCATGGTACGAAGTTCTTCTTCATATTTTCTCTTGATATTTGTCATCTGATTATTGTTATTTTCAATCTCTTTCTTCAATTCATTGTTGGAATTTCCAGTAGAGCTCACTTGTAACTCTAAATCCTTAATTTTATCATTAAGTACAGTTAGCTGATTTTTCAACCCGGTAGCCTTTGAAGTAGAATCATTAAATTTACTTTGTAAACGAGACAACTCAGAATCTTTATCTTCTGCGGCTTTTACTAAAACCACATTTTCCTTTCTCAAAGTTTCAATATCAGAGTCCTTCTCTTTAATCTCTTTTTGTAAGGAGTCTAATTCGGAGATTTTGGCATTCAACTCTTTGGCCTTACTATCTGTTTCCAGGGTTAAAGAAGCAACTGAAGATGTTAATTCCTCAATTTTGCTTTTAAAAGAATTCTGTGAAATAGCAAAATTAGCGTTTTGGTCATCATGAGATCCTTGTAGCTCAATCAACTGAGCTTCCAATGACTGCTTTTCCGTTGACAAGTGATTTATCTTAAGTTCGTATTCTTTCACTTGAATTTCATTATCAGCCACGAGCTTCTTGAACTTATTGATTTCATTAGTCATAGTGGCAATAGTGTGATTCAAATTCTCTTTTTCAAAGGCCGCATTGGACAATTTAGTGGACATAGAGTTCAAATCATTAATTAAATTACGTTCATAATTGGCAAAACCTCTTTGGAGCTCAGTCTTCTCATTTTCCAACTTCTTGATCTGGTCAAGAAATTCATTATTTTTCTCTTCAAATTCCTTGACATTCAGCTCTAGGTTTGTAACCTTCTTGTCTAATTGGGAAATCTTATTCTCAAAGTTCTTAGTATCTGCCGATGCTTTTTTCTTAAGTTGAGAAATAGTATTTGAATTATCCTGGTCTTTCTTTGTGAGCTGGAATAACTCCCTTGACATTTTATTAATACCATCTTCAGCTTTTTTATTCTTGTTGATCAAATTTTCCTTTTCTTTCATCAATTGTTGGTTTTCAGTTTCTAACTTTTGTAGTTTTTTATTCATTTCTCTGATATCATTTTCCAATGTGGCAATTTTAGTGTTGAGTTTGGAAACTATGTTATTTAAAACTGATATCTTAGATAAATGTCCCTCATTTGATGTATTCAATTTCCTTGCATCATTTTGAAGTTCAATAAGCTTTGCAGAATTGGATCTGTGCTGCTTCTTAGTTTCCTCTAACTCTCTGCTTAATTCAGCCTTCTCTTCGATCAATCTATCCTTCAATTTCAATTCTGAATCATGATCCAATTGCAACTTATGGAGTTCACTGTTTAACTTCAAAAAGTCAGCGTATTTCAATTTTCCATTTGGATCAGAATTTGGATCATTTCCCCAACTATTAATAATTCTTTGGAAATTATCCTTAATAATTGAGTCAATATACAAATCACAAAAGTAAATCTTCGGCAAGCCAGTATTATCCTTTTCAATTGATGCAATGTCAGATGATTCAAAAACTGTAGTAAAATCTTCGTAATTCTTGACAAGAGGATGTTTTTTGAAGTTTCTCAAGGTGATCTGGTATATATCAACACCAACAATCTTCATAAAAAGTTCGTGGAGAGACAATCTAACATTAATCCCCCCATCATCTTCCAAAAACCTTGGGCAACTATCGTAAATTACACCTAACAAACCGCAGATCATTCCAGAAATGATAGCATCTTCCTCGCAAATATTACTCCGTTCTTGCTTTAAAAAAATCATCAATTTCTTCAAATAATCAGTCTTATTGAGTAAATCATTTCTCATAAATGTCTTTATGAGTTGAGTATTTTCAAAAAAATAAAGAGTAAGAAGCATCAAATATGAAATTCCAACACGTCTGTCTGTCAAGGAAAGGGAACTTATAAGAAGATCAAACATGGAATCAATAGCTGTCAAAACATGTTCCTCCTTAAACTCTGATTCTTCGCTGGATCTTTCATCATTATCTTTATCTTGTATCGTTATAGTTTCCTCCTTGCTTGTAGAATCATCTACTTCAACTTCAGCTGCAATAGCTTCAGATATAGGCACATTTTCGTCATCAGTCTCGACCCTTTCAGAATCATCATCTTTCCTTAGTGATTCTATACTACTTTCTTCGTCAACAATCATTTTCGATGCTCCATCAATTGCTTCAACTTCCACGTAATCGTGATCCTTGCTCTCTGAGGATAATTCCCCTGAATTACGTGCTACTTGGACAGGCGAACTTCCCAAGCTGCTAACAGTTGGCGGTGCTGTATCTCCGGCTATATCTGGTTCTCCTTTACTAGAACTTTCTGGAGTTAATACCTCATCCTTGGAATCATTATCTCCATCGTTGAAAAAATCATCAAATAAATCATCATCTGCAGTTGCAAAATTTTTGAGTTTAAACTCCTGGATAGTTCTCTTCAACTCATTTTTTTTATTATAACCGCCATCTTTCCCGCCAGTTTCCTCTTCCTCATTACCATTAATAAGATTTATCAAAATTAAGGAGGCAAACCAGACTTTGTATGGGTTCAACTTGATTTCATGGTCATACTCCAATAATGTAGTGAAAATATTTCCAATTGGAATCTTTTGAGAATTAAAGGCTTCTATCAACTCAATCTCCTCATTTGCTTCTTTATTATCAAGTAAATTGTCAGGTTTGATAAAACTATTGCCACCGGTCAACTTGTCAAACATATCGATTTGCTGCATCAAGAAATGCTTTCTAAACTCAAAGTTATTCGCAAAGTAATGCTTTAAAACTTGGAAAGATCCTAATCTGATGTCAAATATATGAATACTGTTGTTGAACAAACACCAGTTTAATAATAGTTGCAAAACAGGAACTAATGGCATACTTGCAGCTGTGTCTGATGTAGTAGGGGATGAAGCATCCAAATAAGGGACATCAAAAGTGGCCAACTTGACCTTTAATTCATCCGAATAATATATGATATCTGCCAATGTGAACAATGCGGTTGATTTGACCTGGTTTGGAATATATCCGAGGAAAACTATTTTGAGGATTTGGATCAAAATTCCAGAAGATTCAATTTTCTCCGAAAAATCAATAGAATTCTGTCTAGAAATAAATAAATTAGATACAATTTTCAATATCATACCAATATTCTCAATTAATTGTCTCTGGTTATTGATATTAATAGACATGGCCTCAGGAACAGTAAAAGATTCAATATAGTTAGATAAATTCCTCAAATGGTCTGATTCAATGAACAATTTCTGATTGACAACATTTGAGTCCAATAAGTTATATATCAAAGTGAAGCAATCTTGTAGGACAATACTATTCAGAGAAATTGCGCTCTCTGCATCTATAATTTGAAATAGTTTTGGGAAGATATCTTGGAAAGCGACCATCTTCTGTAAATTGTAATTGTTATTAACAATCGCCATCAATAAAAGGATAGACTCATTTCTTATAGGATCATAATCTGAATCAATATTAGCGGCAATATTTGGAATAGATATTGGAATGGAAGAAATAATTTCTTTGGCCTTTTGAGGTCTAGTGGAAATCAATGCTTGAAGTAGTTGTAATGAATATAGAGAAATGTAAAAATCATTAAATTCCAACGCATTAATGATCAACTGCGTTATTTCGAGATCAGATTGAGTCAACTCATCTGCTATTAAATAAGAAAATTGATCTATTGAAACGTCTTGAGATAAGACCACGGAAGGGGACAAATATTTACCATTCTGGAATCTTGATTGGTTTGAAAGCCAGCTGGTATCTTCCTTGGAGCTGCTATTCTTAATGAATAAAACAAGAAGGCACTGCAAAACATTTTTTGTGATTTCTTTGTCTAATTGATCTCTTTTGAAGCATTTGAGGATATTCTTTAATGAGTATAGGATGATATCTTCTCTATAATAATTGGCGAAGTTTTTAAGGGCCTTAATAGCTGCCCTTCTGTCCAGAATATTCACGGCGTTCGATAGCCTATCGGATATTGTTGGGATCACTTCCTTATCATTAACAGACATGGTTCAGCTTTCAGTTCGGGTACTTCTGATATACCAACCTCTATGAAGCTGTACACCTTGATGTGATTTCACAAAAAATCGAGGACATTTTGAAGATTGTCATGTGATAATACACGTATAAATCAAAGCCGCTGGCTTTTCTGAGTTGCTTGCAATCATAACATAAGCGCATTGGCATGCATGTGTATTTTCATGTTTTTGAACCTGAATTAATGACTTTTAACTACTAGGTATTGATTCATATAGATATTCGGCAGCATTTTAAATTACTGAAAAGTATAGAATATTTTAGACAAAAATCTACAAATCCTCATTGAGTTTCATTTTCGCAAACGCAACCAAGCTTTGATCAAGTTCAGGGTATTCGTCAAATTCAGAAACCACTTCAATATTTGGGAGCTTATGATTAGAGCTTCTGTTATGGGTGACAACCTCTGATAAATCGCTTGGTAAGTACCTCATCAAACCTTTTTTGAACTGCTTAGTACTTTTGCGGCTATCATCTTCAATATCATTCAATTCTGTGAAAAAGCTATTAATCAACTTCTTAATTTTCAAATTTGTGCTGTTTTTCCTGTTAATCTCAAGAATCAATTGGTAGTAGGACCTCTCAAACTCCTTCAAAAATTCCAATAACTTCAAAATCAATTTGATATTCCCCAATAGATCCAAATTAACTATACTAATTTCGCTAGCATTATGAACAAAGTTATTTTTCAAGAAATTGAAATTGAGATTATTCAAATTCTTTATTGTAAACTCGATGTTCAAATTTCTGTTTGTTTTGGTAAGAAAATCATTGACAATGAAATTCTTGATTATCAATTCTTCATAAATCTTATTTAGGTTAGAATTTAGATTGTTCAAGTTTTTATTATTTTTAAGTTTCTCAATTTTTAGTAAAAGCAATTTCAAATCGCTCAATACATTGGGTGCCTCTTGAGAATCATCATTCAATATCGGAATTAATTGACTCAATTGTTCATGATGATTATTATTCAATAGCTTGATAGACTCATTGCACTGACCATAATGGTTACTAAGGGATTCGATCAAACTAGCCATCTCTAATTCGTAGTAGTTTATCAAAATTGAGTATTTCTCATTTGCACCAAGCTGAGAATTACTATTGTCATTAGAATACAAATTCAACTCCACGAGGTCTTTGTAGAAATAGCTATTAATGCTCAAGAACTCATTGACCAAACTTTCACAAAAATTTTCAAAATTAACGAGGTTGCTTTCAAAAAATCTCAACTGGTTTTCAAGCAAATAGCTACGCAAAGGATCAAAATTATCACTAATGATCTCAAAGTTTTGCTGTAACTTCAAAAATTCTTCCAATGACAAATAATCATATAAGGATTTGGCTTGTTGGTCATCTTTTTTGTCCAAGAAACAAACCAAATTCTGGTCAATGATAATGCTGTTCAAGTTGGTAAGGGATTGGTTCAACTGATGGATTAAATCACCAAAATAATTCAAATTTCTTCTAAACTTTGACCTAAAGATGTTGTTAAATTTTTTTAGCTTTATGAATATCTGGTTCATTATTTCTATCAGGTCTTTAAGAAACACAATCATATAATTGATCTTCAAGATGAGTAGATTGTTATCATCCAACACTGACTTGAAGTATTTGAGAATGTCATTAGTGCTAATACCTATGCCTTCTGCCTCATTCAAATAGCCTCTCGCATTGCTCAACCAGTGTCCTAACTGTACTCTTGCATCAGACATTACTCATCCTGATACAGCCTCTCTGTCACTAATATTATTGCTGTACTTTATTTGCCTAATCAGTAACTGTATAGGTCTTCCCTAGGTGAGATAAATAAGTTACCCTGCCTCATACACCCCGCATAATAAACGAACACCCCCTACCAGCGAAATTATTGAAGGTATTTCTCACGATGTTTGCTACCTGGTTGCCATAAAATAGTCATAACCCACTGCATTTCATTCCTTTACTGCTACCAACTCGTCGTCTCTCACTTCAACAACACACCAACTTATGTCATGTCCTTAACGTCTCAGAAGCAGGACTATCTGAACCCACTCTCGCAGCTGTTGCCGACCAATGCCAACCCCACTGATATTCTAGCTGCCAGATTCACGTCTTGGAGAGCGATTATCAAAGGTTTGATAACATACTTGAAGGATGTTATCCTGGTACACGAGGAGGCAGTGTTGCAACAAGTGAGGCTCCAACATAGCATCTCTAACAACTTCCCATTGAGTGATGGCTCTAATATGATCGCCAATCCTCAAAACAACGGAAACAATGGTACCAATCCAACAGGCGCAATGGCAAACAACACAATTGAAGAGATTAATAGTATCAAGAAATTTTTCTTACCATTTGGGAATGGCTCTATCGTTGATGTTGCAAATTCTTTAAATGAGTATCACAAAATTCAAGGGAGCTATACCTCGAGGACCGCCAAAGAATTGGCTACCACAATTGTTCCAAGATTGGAAGACCTAAGAAGAGATTTGTCCATCAAAATTAAGGAAATTAGGAACTTAAGCTCAGATTTTAAGAATACTATATCAAAAGAGGTTGCCCAAACCAGAATAGACTTGGGGGAGTTCTACAAATCCATTGATCAAGTTAAGTCTATTGGCTCCAAGAATTCACCAGCAAAGGAAGACCCTTTTTTAACCAAGATTTATTTAGATAGACAAATCAAAAAGCAATTATTAGAGGAAAACTATCTCCACGAAGCGTTTGTGAATATCCAGACTTCTGGTAAAGAATTAGAAAAGTTGGTTTTCATGGAAATACAGAATGTTTTGAAAGTTTATGCCAGATTAGTTGGTGAAGAAAGTCAAGTTATATTCAATGCTTTGATTCCAAAACTTGACGATGGTTTTCTTGCAAAGCCATCTGATAGTGAATGGGACTCATTCATCAAGCAAAACCCAAATAATTTCATCAATACTGACGCTATCAGAGCCCGGAAGTTTTCAGATATATCCTATAAATACATTATTGATCCTTTAATCCTTGAAGTTCGTTCTTCATTCCTTGAAAGAAGATCAAAATTTTTGAAATCATATGCGAGAGGCTGGTACGTGTTGACCCCAACCGCGATTCATGAATTTAAATCGTCAGACAGAAAGAAAGATATCAACCCTGTGTTGTCTCTTTCTCTTGATGATTGTCAAGTTTCTGAACATTCCAAGAAGGATACTGCTAACCCAAATACTTGGCATAAATTTGTATTACATACAAAACAGAATGGTATAATTCATAGAGGCCATAATTGGGTTTTCAGAGCAGAATCTTATGATTTGATGATCAGTTGGTACAATGATATAAAGAAGTTGACTCAATTGCCAACCCCAGAATCCAGAGCTCACTATATTGCAGAAAAATTACAATTACAGCAACAAAAAAATAACAGAAAGTCTTTACAACTTCACTCCAGCTCTAATTTGAGTTTGGCTTATAATGTGACTCAAAGGGATTTGAATAATAAAAGCAGAAACTCTGATAAACGTATGAGTGCTCCAGTTGGTCCATTGTCTCATACACAAGGCCAATTCAGTGCTACACTTGGTAAATCACAAAATGATGATGATGAAGGTAGCTTAGTGACGAGGGATGGGATTATAATGACACCGGTTGACTCTATGGATGATGATAAGCAACAACAGCAGCAGAAACAGCAGCAACAGCAGCAAATCCCACAAATTCAGTATCCTCAGGCTCAATCTGTCCCTTTTGAAAGTCCTCAGCACCAGAGATCACTTAGTTTACAGCAACAACCTCACCAATCTATGCCAGCAGGTAGCAATCCATACTATGTCACTAGTAATTCTCCAGCTCCTCTCCAAAGATCAGCCTCGCTCGCAGTTCAACCGGTAAATATGGTTTTGCCAAATGGGAATATCGCCCAATCGGCAATGGCTAAAGGCATGGTAACAAGCTTATCAAATAATTCACAGGGCATGTTGAATAGATCTATGACGATGATGGCTTCAAATAATTACATCCCGCAACAGCCACAAGGGCAAATTCCTCAGCAACAATCATACATCCCCGTGGATGGAACAACCCCTCACCAACAGCAGTATATTCCAGTTGATCCAAACTACCAGTTGCAACAACAATTACAGCAACAACAACAACAGCAATACATGATGTTGAATAATGGTAATGGCTATCTTACTCCTCAAGATTTCCATTCAATTGGTCCTGCGATCTCTAATAATACCTATATTTCTAACAGTGTCCCATATAAACAGTCAGTCCAGGCGCAAAATGGTGGGAACAGTTTCACTAGCCAAAATTATAAAACTATAAATGCACAATCTGGAGTTTTATCTGATAATGGCTCAAATACTATTACTGGGGCAAGTCCAATAGAACAAGCTAGTGGGCAGTTTAGTCAAATGAACTTATCTGGCGATAACAAAAACGCGCCAAGTACAATTGTTGAGTCAGATACCGTTGCTGATGATAATAGTGTCATTAATCATCCAGTTGGTGGGATTGAGGGATCTCAGATTATCAATGAGAAGCATGTTGGTCACCAAGTGGACGAATCTTTTGGGACAAATGCTACTACTTTTGTTCAAAATAATAATAGTTTCACATTGAATTGATTTACTCTTGTTCTATCTAGTGTTATTTACTTCTCTTTCTTTTACTCTATTTTTCTATATTTTTTTATTGTTAATTGTCATTTTATTAATCAGAATATTCTCAGTTGGTGCTTACTCATACTTTGAAATTATACCATTCTATTGTGTAACAGCACCTTGGGATAACAGGGAACAGAAAAAATTGAAACGGCTTCATTTAGTTATCTAGACAAGCTACTACTAATTTGAATTACTTCTATACTATTTATAAAATCACTTGTAACAGGCGGGGTTCACAAACTCCCTCCACAGCGACGCGTTCCAGGACAATATACTGATAGCACCTTGGATGGTGTCCCCTCTTCCCACTAAATATAAAGACTCACTATGTTTCATGTCACCAAAAGGTACCTACAATAACCAATGCCATATAAATCGTGAATATATTGTATTTGTAAACATAAAATCTATTTAAAGAAACCAAACCATAACACCAAGTGTATAATGAAAATAAAAAAGTTAACGAGGATATCATTAAAAAAAATCCCAAACCAAAAACAAAAACCTAAAAAACAGAAGAAGATAAAACTGGAACACTAACACAAAAAATAAAAAAAAAAAAAAGATATACAAAAAAAAAAAAGTTTAACAATTCCTCATCATCTAATGTACATGAAAGATCTAGAAAGCAACTCATATTTGAAAATTTTGTCGCAACAACAAATCTGATTGTTGATAAATTTCATTAAAGTTCAACAACTCCGTGCCCAAGTCTAGTTGGTTATCAGCTAAACTCGCACCAATATTATCCACAAGTAAAGTTCCGTCATTTAGTTGTTGCTGGTTTTGATGCTGTTGTTCAATCTGTGCTTGAAAGCTCTTCAATTGCTGTTGTTGATGATCGGTGAGGTCATCGATACTGTCGCTGCCATTTGCACTATCTGGAGCCTGACTAATTTCGAGCTGTCCGTCTTGAGTATTGGTTGGAACGTTATCTCCGTCATTCCAAAAAATTGGGATTTGCTCTAGTGGAATAGTGCTTCTTGGGACATCACCATTTCCACCAATAGAATTCATTGTGTCCTCCATGTTGATATTCATCCCCATCGTCTGTTGCAACAATAAATTATTGATTGGTGTGTTTCCATCGGCTGACATGGCGTTATTGTTGTTGTTCATCATCATTGACATCATGTGCTGGTTATCAATGGTATAAGCACTGAACAATTGTTGATGGTGGTTGTTTGACATCGCTACTGGAGTAGCGGTAGCTGAAGGAGTAGCTTGATTAATACCTGGGAATCCTGCAGGAGATGCAAATTCTTCAGACTTGATGGATGGACTGGCATCAACAGAGTTGGTACTGTCATTGGTGTTTATCGTGGAAAACATTTCAGAATAAACATTGAATGATGGTTCGGCACTCTGGATGTTGAAATTTCTTCTTGGTTTTGGTTGGGCCAAAGGAGAAGAAGTATTGTAGTCTGAAGACAGGGCCAACCCACTTCTCAACATATCATTATAAGGAGTATTAAAATGCTCACCGGTGGTTATGATCTGAGGCAACGCTGTTTGTGGTCTTTTGATTTGATTGAACCCGGTATGCAAGTTACCAATTGGTGCTGGACTGTAAGCATTGTCGTTTCTATTAGCAATATTGACAGCAGCAGCCGTGGCAGCAGCTTGAGCGCTTTGGAAGTTTTGAAGCATTTGCAAATCAAGACTAGTGCCTGGTCGGTTGAAAACATTTTCATCCAAGCCAAAATGATTGGTGCCTGTCAATGAATAGTTCATGCGGCCATTATTGTAAGTGAATTTCTTATCAACTCTGAAACCATCAAGATCAACCATGTTGCTATGAGATCCAGTAATGTTTCTTTGTTTTCTGGCTCTAATTTTACACCCAGCTTTTTTCAATTCATTGTTCAATTCAGGAGACGCTTCCAAGCCATCGAAGGCAGCATCGGTATAGACAGTAAACACCGAAGAATATGAAGTTGCCTTATTCCTATGAACAATATTTGGCAGGAGAGAACCAGTTTTAGAGAAACTTTGTACTTCAAATAAGTCAAATTTTAAACGATAACTACCTTTGTATCTGACGGACAAGTTATCAAACACGGCACACGCAGTGTATGGAGAACCACGGTAGAATTGGGCACTGACAGCAGTGGTACCTCTTAAAACCTCTTCATCATTTTCAGTCTTTTCAAAAAATCTAGACTTTCTCTGCTTTTGGAAAAAAGATTCTTTATCATTAGAACCAAGGCACTCAATGGAAGCTCTGATGAAAAACATGCTCAAACTATGGTCAATAACATTATTGTCGATAAATTCGTTTTCATTCAATCTGATTTCAACTACTGGCTGAGGATCGACTAATCTTCTGCTGCTGTTACGTGTTTGTTTTCTCCCGGCCACCCTTGCCTTTACCGGCTGTTGAACAACTCTTAACAGATAGTTTCCTTGGATTGAACTGACTTTGGATGAGTCCAATGGTTGGACCGAATTCTTCAAGAATTTGACCATTTTCAAAAACAGCTAGTGATGTTGATATTGATACTGATATTGATCTTTATCTTCTTTTTTCTTCTTAAAGCTTATCTGATATCCTTGAAATGTGTTTTTGGTTTGTTTCCTCACGGCCACTAATAAGAAATGAAGGATTAGCACAGATATCGAGAGCAAAAGAGAAGAAAAGAAGAAAAAAAATATTATGGTATTACCAAAGGTCTATGGTGGAATGTAATATTATTTATATATGGAGCTGTTAGTGAAGCATATATTATGCTTGCTTGTAGTAAAAAATACTTACAACCCATGGTAATTGGTCCCATCCACTGATCAGTTGGAAGCATAACCGTTTGCTGAAGAATCGATGAAACACCAGCATGCATGAGTCGACATTGGAGAGGAAAATAGCTTTTTCTTTCTCTTTAAATACGATGGTTTGAAGCAGAAAATTCAATGGAAGTGGGTACTGTAAGGAGGCTTATTATTATTATTATTATTATTCTTCTTATTCAATGTTTGTGTGTTGATTTGCTTGAAGGGCAGTGTGGGTGTTACATTTTGTCATTTTCAATACGCATTATCCACAGTATGCCTCCAGTATTATCCAAATAAACAACAGGATAAAACCTTTATTTTGATAATCATGAAAGAACAATAATTATAGTGGAAAACACACACACACACACACACACATACACAAATAATTGTAAATTATATAGTCTGGCACTGGTCTGTTTGATTTAATGTTATTGCCGTTATCTTTTTTTTTTCTTAACCTTCTGGAAGCTGTGCATCTGCATCTGCACCTTCCCCCAAATCAGGATTCTATGAAAAACTAGCCTAATTAAGACTAATATACCTGCAATGACTCTCATGTATCAATACTAAATGACTAAATTTTCATAAAACGAGATCCCTTGAAGGAAAATATATCCCAAAACTAGCACTTGGCATGGCTAACTCTTATCAGCAACAAGCGGTTCCCCGATGCCATGGTGATGACAGGGTTACCCATCACCCAGAAGTACGGAGAAAGTTCTCCAGCGATGAGTAAAAGTCACAAATAATATCCCATCCTGGGCAGATCACTGTGTTATGATTAAAAGAGTCATGGAAGCCGCAGGAAAACCGTTGGTCAAGGCCACCGCCCAGAGAACTCAAGAGCTTGTTGGTAATTACGACGCCATTGGTGCTCAAGTCGCCGAGGCTTGCAAGAAATATCAGAGACCACAGTCACAAGTTCGAGTGTTGCCAGTATCAAAGTTCAAGCCAGCTAATGATATTTTGGCATTGTACGAAACCAAGGGTCTTAGAAACTTTGGGGAAAACTATGTCCAAGAGTTAGTGGAAAAATCCCAAATATTGCCAGAAGACATCCAATGGCACTTTATTGGTAATCTTCAGAGCAATAAAGTCAAGCACTTGGCTACCGTGAAGAACTTGTTTGTTATTGAATCTGCCTCAGGCTACAGTAAGATGAAGAAGTTGAATGACTTGAGAGAAGAGTCTTGGCCTATTACCAATGTGTATTTCCAAATTAACACCTCCGATGAGGCGCAAAAAGGTGGTTTATCATATGACGAAGTTGACAAGATCGTGGAAGAGATTAAAAACATTAACAAATCATGCGCCAAGCTTGCTTTCAAGGGATTTATGACTATTGGTTCCGTTGGTCAATCTACCAAGCATGATGGGTCAGAAAATACTGACTTTGAAAAATTGGTGAACTTGAGAAAACAGGTTGCAGAAAAGTTGAATATTGAGGAAAATGAACTTGATTTGTCCATGGGTATGAGTAATGATTACGAAGAAGCTATTAGACAAGGTACCAACCAAGTTAGAATTGGAACCAACATTTTTGGTGCTAGAGATTATTCCAAAAAAAACTAAGATCCATAAAACAACCTGAATCTTACGAACATTCGAATAAATTTTTCTAAATATATAATGATAGCTGTATCTTTAACAGTGGTATTTTTACGATTGTAGAACCATATCCTGATGGGGTATAATAAATTGGGTCATTTGTTTTTTGGTTCCTCTGATCGTCAAGAAAATTGCAAGGTGTTTGATGGACACCTAGATTAGGAATCCAAGTCATGGTGAGCTGGCTAAACTATATGTCACAAAGAAATAGGAGTCAATTTCACTGTATATGACATATTATATAATAAAAGAAACAAAAGAGATTTGGTTCCTCGTTTAATGGTACAAATTCACTAGCATTTTTTTTTTTTTTTTTTTGCGGATCCCAGATATCTTTTGTTGTCTACCTGTGAGGGTTTAGAGATTTAGATGGAAATCAAGTAGGAGGATTCTAATTTGGAATCATTATTCATATATAGCTTCCATGAGTATCGGAATTCTGTAATCTAAAGAAGAAGAAGAAGAAGAAGAAGAAGAAAAAACTAAAGCAAATATCATTGATAAACTGTTGGCTCGGCTCGAAGTGAATTTAATCTCAGCACAATGGATATATTATACAGAACAAAGTGAGCGTCAATAAGCTGAAACATAACTTTAGTTTCTTTCATTTTTCTGGTCTTCTTAGGTAATTTTATTTTTGATAAAAAGAAATCGCAATTTCATTCTGAAAATTTCCAATCATAAATGATTGAAATGTTTAAGCTGCTCACCCATAGGGTTCTACCTTTGTAGATCTGAGTGCCACTATTTTTATGTTTTTTAAGCCATGGCTCACCTACTTTTCAAAAGAAAAAGAAAAAAAGAAAAAGAAAATAAATACTATCACGGACCTTGTTGAACAATAATTGTGCTTTGAGGAATCTTCTAGTATTGATGAAATAACCTATTATCAGATTAGATCCTTCAACTGCTAATAAGAAAATAAAGTGTCTATCAAACGCGACAACGGTTAAACTGTATTAAATATCTACAAAGTACAAAAATATCATTTAGCTCACAACATCATAGAATAAAGTGGCAAAACACTGGGTTAGAAATTTTATAGATGTTAAATGATATTCCAAACATGGCTCTATCCTTTGTTATGTTGGCTCCCCCACATTTCCGTGCCGGTTAAAAAAAAAAAAAAAAAATAATCACAACAAGCATGGGGAAAAAGGAGACGAATATATATTTCAATGTATTTAAGTAGATCAATACGATAAAATAACGATAAATAATCTTCTATATATATATATGCTCAGACTCTCAAAGGCGATACTCCCCAGTGGTTATGGTTGTTGTGTTATTGGCAGATGCCATTTCACGCATGCGGAAAAAAACAACGTTGCGCATCACTTTGGTGAGAAAAATTTTCTGTCATTTCTTTCACTGTTGATGCCTCGCTCAGTTGACTCAACTACCCTGTTTATAAGAAACTTCTCTAGCTTTAAGATGTCTGAAAGTCAAGTTTTAACCCACCCAACCATCAAAGGTATGTATTGACAGAGCACTCTGCGGTGGGGGGGAAACCATAATACAAAACCCTCTCCCTCCTGCACACTTATTCCTCGAAGCGATGATTCAGCATTACTGACTTTTTTTTTTTGATAGATGGTTGGTTCCACGAAATAAGTGACACCATGTGGCCAGGTCAGGCTATGGCTTTGCGTGTCGAAAAGATTTTGTTCGCTGGCAAATCAAAATACCAAGACGTTCTTGTGTTCAAGTCTACTGATTATGGTAATGTTCTTGTATTGGACAATGTCATCCAAGTTACCGAACGTGATGAGCACGCTTATCAAGAAATGATCACCCACTTGGCGATCGCTTCCCACCCAAAGAAACAAGGCTTGAATGTGTTAGTGGTTGGTGGTGGTGACGGTGGTGTGCTCCGTGAAGTTTTGAAATACGGAGACGCCATTGAACAGGCCACTCTTTGTGACATTGATGAAATGGTCATTGATGTTTCCAAGAAATACTTGCCAGGATTGAGCAACGGTGCTTACGATCATCCAAAGGTTAAAACTTACATTGGTGATGGGTTTGAATTCCTCAAGACTTATGAAAACACCTTTGATGTTATTATTACCGATTCTTCAGACCCTGAAGGTCCAGCGGAATCTTTGTTCCAAGAACATTACTTCAAATTATTGAACAACTCCTTGAAGGAAGATGGTATCATAACCACCCAGGCAGAAAACATCTGGTTGCACATGCCAATCATCAAGAAGTTGAAAGAAACTTGCTCCAAGATCTTCCCTGTTGTTCAATACGGTTACACCACCATTCCAACTTATCCATCTGGTCAAATTGGGTTTATGGTTTGCAGCAAGGGCAAGACGGTTGATGTCACTAAGCCAACTAAGAAGTTCACCAAAGAAGAAGAAAAGAAATTGTTCAAATACTACAACAGTGAAATTCACGAAGCCGCCTTTGTTTTGCCAACTTTTGCTGCAGTTGAATTAAATTAGAGAATTTGTGATACTAAATGCTTATTTCTAGATAGATATTGGAATTGATGACTACGACATTTTATAATATTTTTTTTTAATGACACTGTAATTATAAAAACAATGGAAATGAAAAGAAATGAATGAGAAAGCAAAAGAGAAATGAATAGGAAAGCGAAAATGAAACCAAGACTATAATACAAAATACACCTAAAAAAAAAAAAATCAAGCTTCAGCCAATAAGTAACAACTCTTCCATGGTCGAATTTGATTGTCTATTTATTGGAGCAACGCTTATCTGTTGATCTTGCAAATCGAACACCAAATAAGATTCTCTGAAAAATGGGTCTCCCAAAGTTGCACTTCCCCCAGAATTAGTACCCATTCCCAAAAGACAACCTTCACTGGTCCTGCCAGTGGTCACATTGAATTGCGAAAACGGCACATCAATTTGCACTTTGCCAAAAGTATACCGGAAGAAATTATTTTCATTGGCCACGACGTCACAATCGACATAATAACCATTGGAATTATACAGAGAATGAGGAATATATGTGGAAACAAGTTCGATAATTGCTTGAGGGAACATATTCAAAGTCGATCCAGAATCAATAAGAGCGGTGGTGGGAGCAGAAGATTGTCTAAATTTAAGGGTATCATTCAATGATGGTTTACCGGAGGTGATATTACCTTGGTAAAACATCTCGATGGCGTCGATATCAACATAAAACCCGCTTGTTCCTTGGTAAGGTTTGTAAGGAATAGTGGCCAATGATCCTTGATACTTATAGCGATCTACAGCACCAAAGAGAATGGTTCCATTGGCGTTGATTTGCTGATTGGTCGATAAGTTGATGGAATAGGCAAGTTTAGTGAGGTTGTGTTGTTCACTGATTTGCATAGGTAAGTTTTGGTACTTCTGTTTACTGGCAATGTTTGTCGATTCCAAATCCGCGATCCCAATCCCCATGACCCCAATAGTGGAAGTACCACGCTCCACCAATCCAAAATTGAGATTGATGATCTCAATGCTGCCAATCAGGGCGTCGTCAGTGGCGTAGTGACCGGCACAAAATGTTCCATCACCATACATAAGTGATAGAGGAGTCGATTCATTTAGATGGAAAGTGGAAGATAAGTTTCCGGCAAAATAGCCTTCACCAAAACAATTTATTGAGCCATCTTGTGAGACTACTGCTGACTTGCTCTGGATCCCATAGACATCACTATCATCATCGCTGCTTTCAGACACGGCATTAGAACTGATTTGGGTAGCGGAATTAATGTTCAACACGTTTTTCCGTTTTTGAAGAGATTTTGAGCCGGCATTCAAGTTTTTTGTTAACATGGAGCTACTTTGATCATCTGCTTGACAATAAGGATTGGTAACTGATTGGATCACGATATCCGAGGATCCGGTATCCAACATGACTTTGAGGTTCTGCGGTGGGGTACCAATTTTGACGTCCACCAAGTAATATAATCCCTTTTCATCTTGCAAGCCAAAATATTGAGTGTCCCAGCTGGAGTAGGTGGAAGAGGATAAATCCTCACGTTTAACCACCTCGAAGCCAATTTTTGCGAACCCACCATTGGACGACCGAGTATCAGAAAGCTTTATCTTTCTAGAAGGAATTGGATAAGCATATAGTTTGACGATCAAAGAGAGATGGACGAGGAAGAGTAGGATCATTGACTAGGATTATCACTAGGTGAATAATATGATATTGAATTCTGGATTTTTTTTTTTCTCTTCACCCACTATATTGGGAAAGTATGGGTTTTATTTATCCCAGTACTGGAGCGGGCACCGTGGATGAATAGAAAGAAATGATGGATAACTGCTGCCGAATGGGTTAGTGCCGCCAGACCAGGGTGCGGAATGCACTGGGAGCCTAGCGAGATTCCTTGGATGGTGAAAGGTAGGCGACCAAATATTATTTTCATATTGATTTAAGAAGTATCAAATTGGTGTATATTTTACAGTTGACGGTTCCCATTTACGACGTCCGATACATATACGACGAAACGTATGCGATATACCCCACGAATATGGAGTGAGATAATATACTATACATGCTGCTGAACCATGATAAATAGTGTAAAGAAGTCAATAACAATCGCAACAACAACAATATTGTATGGCCAATAGTAGTAGTAATATAAGCATATATATGAGCACAAATTGGGTGATGGCCAGATCGCTGTCCCACGTGACGGGAATGGGTATTGCCCTGTCCTGATTGGCCGCTGGTGTTTTTCTTTGCTTGATTTATCTCTCTGTTTAACCCCATCACCTGTCTATCTTGTGCCATACTCCACGTCTTTATAATATACATAGTAATGCCTTCTGAGTCTCATCCTAATGGTGGCCAGTTGCCTCTGGCAAACCCGGACACCCTTACCTCTTTATCCAACGGATCAACAGAACTCACAAAACGCCCTTCGCTATTCAAAAATGCTAAAAGCAAGCTCAAGTTGTTTAACCACTCTTCGACAAACCTTGCTTCCCAACAACTGGGCCATAAATCCCCAGTAGCAGCAGTGTCCCACAATGATTCATTACCAAATAACCTGCCGGACTTGGTGCCCCAGCGCACAAATCAGTCTCTAAAATCCCTTACCAAGAAAGTGTCATCCATGACGTTGTCAAAGAAAGATGACGATGATCACAATAATAATCATTCCGCCAATACCTCTAGACAAGCCTCACGAGGTCACACCAATGTGGGGTCTGCTTCTACTGGTGTGACTACCGCAGGGACCTCTTCTCTTAAATCAGTCGACAAGTCATCGATCCTTCGGTCCGATTCCTTACCTACCAACAATAGCTCTCGTATAAGGGATCACCATCCTCATCACCATCATCCTCCTCCCCATTTCTCTCACCAACAATCAATATCACAAACTCCATCCCCATCGGATCAAAATTCAGCAGTGCATCACCATCATCATGGCATTGCAAAGCCCCATATTGGGCTCAAGCGGTTTTTCAAAAAATCCGCCAAGAAAGCTGCAGATAACGTGTCTCTTCAAACTTCATCGTCTGCCCAAGCTTCATTTGTCGATTCTAAATCTTCTGGGTCAAAAGCTGCGAAATCTCTTCAACAGCATCTTCAACTTCACAGTAAGGAATCAACTAACAGCTCTCAGTCCCGTCAACAGAGTCGCTCGACTCATAATGGCACTAATGCCGGAGATAAGATTTTGTTTGATGGCGAATCGGTTTCTGAATTGATTGAAAAATACGGTAATCCTGGTAAGTTACTTGGTGAAGGTGCTGGAGGCTCAGTTTCTGTGGTTGAAAGACCTAGTGACGGTGGTCTCTTTGCCGTCAAGAAATTCCGTCCAAAGAATGCCAAGGAATCTACCAGTGATTACAACAAAAAAATCACTGCTGAGTTTATGATTGGATCTACTTTACATAATGAAAATGTCATTGAAACTTTTGATATTCTTAAAGAATCAAAGACCAACATTTTGATCGTCATGGAATATTGTCCATATGATTTCTTTACAATTGTTATGAGTGGGCTTATGACAAAATACGAGATTTTTTGTTATTTCAAACAAATTATTAATGGAGTTAACTACCTTCATTCGCTCGGGCTTTCTCATCGTGATTTGAAACTTGATAATTGTGTGGTGAATAAGTTTGGGATTCTTAAACTCATTGATTTCGGATCGGCAGTGGTGTTCCGTTATCCATTTGAAGAAGAAATTGTCAAATGTAAAGGGATTGTGGGGTCTGATCCATATTTGGCCCCAGAAGTGCTTACTACCAAGTATTACGATCCTCGACCATCCGATATTTGGTCAATTGCTATAATCTTTTGTTGTATGGTACTTAAAAGATTCCCATGGAAGTGTCCAAAGCTCAGCGATAATAGTTTCAAGAACTTTGCCTCTGATCCATCGATTGTTGACGACGCCAATGGTGGTACCGACTTACCACAACCACCGGAAGCCATTGATTTGAACCGTCGTCAGAAATACGATGAAAACGGTAACTTGATAATCATTAAAAATAAAGCTAAGGGTCCGTATCGATTACTTCGACTTTTACCCCACGCGTCGCGTGATTTGATTGGCAAGATGCTCGAGCTCGATCCAAAAGGACGTATTTCTCTTCCTGATGTTTTGAAACACGAATGGTATAAACTGATTGATCATTGTCATTGTCATAACGACACTATTGCCTCTAAAATTGCCGCATTGAAGGACTCTGACATTTCCAAAGAGGAACTCGAGGATAAAATGATTGATATCCAAAACGAAGTAGTTTCAGAAAACATTGGCGAACTTGAAAAGGAGAAATTGATCAAAAAACAATTCAAAATGTTGGATATCAGTGATACCGAGGAGACCAAAGAAGGTGAGACCAAACGGACCCGGAAAAGTATTTTGGAAAGTTACTCCAAGCAGGATTTGGAATTTTTACAAAATTTTTACAAAAGTAAGAACCATAAACATCATTTAATCACCGAAGATGAATTGGAAATGTTGAAATTACATAAACAGTGAAATTGAAGAGATTTTTTTTTTTTTTTTTTTGGTATAACATGTCTGATGGGTTTGTCTATTACTTTTTCATTTTATTGATATTGCTATTATTGCTCCTGTTTTTTTTTTTTTTCTTTTTTCATTCTTCTCATCCTTTGGTTCACAAACACACACACACTTATACACACTCACACATACTGTCATGATATAATACATTCTACCTCATTTATTGCTTATATTTGTTGACTTTTTGACATAACAATCTATCAAATCAAATTGCGATATATTTCCTCTCAAACTTTTTTTTTATTTTTTTTTTATTTTTTTTTATTTTTTTTTTTTTTTTTTTTTTTTTTTTTTTTTTTTTTTTTTTTTTTTTTTTTTTTTTTTTTTTTTTAAAAACTTTTAATTTCATTGAGGAATCTGGTTATTCTTATTCTTATTATTATTAAATGAATGTTTTTAAATATAATCTCCCTTATTTTCTCGAACCAAGGTACATTTGTCATGTCAAAAAAATTATTACAATTTTTATTGTTAAACAAACTTCATTGATTGTACGTTGAAAATGTGTAATGAAAGACTAAATAAACACTCAAAACGATAAAGGAGATATACATATAAAAGTAAAAAAGAAAAAGGAAACTTAAATCAAATAAACAGAAAAATACAAATAGCATGAGAGAGAGAGAAAAAAAAATGTATGTAAAAAAAAACATGGCCAATTGATTGAAATCAAACATAGGAAAAGACAAAAACAAGAAACAAGAAACAAGTAAAAAAAAGAAATAGCAACCCCACAACTACTTGGAAATAGAAATGAAAAAGTACAGGTGTAAAATAAAAAACAATATTTAAAGGCCAAATGAGAAAAAAAAAATATATGCCCCAGATAAACATTTCAAAAAAAGAAGAAACAAATAATTTCAAAAAAACAGAAATCAAAAATTTAAACAGTAAAAAAACATCGCAATAAAATACAAAAAAAAAACAACCACTAATGGAAAATAATAAACAGTGACTTGATCTTTTTTATCATTTAATATTCAATTCAAATTTTTCTTGATCTATTTTTGCCTCCGCCACTTCCTTCTTCGACATTCTTGAACTTCATTTCACACATCAATGACACATGATCCGATGGGAAGTTTTGATCTGGGAACCCAATTAAATCTTCCAAATAATCGCTTGGGATTTTACCCAACATCCCCTTGACATCCACGCTTTGTGAGTTATACCAAATGTAATCAATGACTTCGGTGAAAGTTGGAGTGAAGTTGGTAAATGGCAATTCTCCCATATTACTATAGGCCGACTTGAATTGGAATGGATGATTAAACCCTTCATCGGTAAACTTCCCATAATCCACACCACGGAAATCAGGATGGTCCACACAGGTACCATTCGACAATAGTTGATACACCGCACTATGGATTTGCGAGTTGAAATCCCCGCAAATGAGGATCGGCACAGAAAGCGCATCTTTGAAGTTATTCGATTTGGAGTATTTTTTACAAAGAGTCTGTAATTCTTCCAACAACACTGCAACTTGAAGGGTTTTCACATCATTAAATGCTGGATCCCAGTGTAAATGGGTATTGACAACAATGACTCTCTTTTTAGTCTCCACATGTTCCAAATATGAAATGATCGCAATATTATCCTTATTAGTAAATCTATTAAACACGTCCTCGGTCTTCTTGAATCTTTCGCTACCAAGTAAAACAGAAGAGTATTCCACAAACACTTTATCAACAAGAGAAAACTTGGCATGCTTGTAGAAAACTGCACACCCGTCAACTTTTTTGCTATCGGTGCCGCCTCTTCTTGCTCTACCTTTATTGTGGAAAATCCCTCTATAACCATGTTCTTTCATAAGAGCCATCCAAGTGTCTTCAAAATAGGCGGTTTCCACTTCTTGTAAACAAACGATGTCACAATTAGATTTGATAACCTCGTTTAAGATCTTGCGTTTACGATAATCCCAGTTCAAGGCCCAAGATGGGGTGTAGCCATATAATTTGGTGGTGGCATAATGTTGACAAAGGGTATTGTAGGACAAAATGGTGAATGACGATTTATCGTTGGACAATGTGATCTGGTCATGTTCTTGAGATTCCCCATCATTGTTGATGGCCACCCATTTTCTAATGGCATGGTTATCTTCCAAGATATTGGTCTTTCTTGCTGGGTTGTTATCTCTAATGTATTTGATAAATTCTTTGCACCCTTTTTCCGCAACAATTTTCGCGTGGGCAAGATTGAAAGGATTACCTTCGATCCCCAAGAATATCAATTCGCTAAGGTTCCCAAATTCGTACGGAACGTCTTGGATTCTATTATCGAACAAGTAAAGGTATTTCAAACAAAATAATTGATTCATTTCCTTTGGTAACTCGGTGATCTTATTATTGGACACGTCCAAGACTCGGAGGAATCTCAATTTTTTGATTTCTTTAGGAATGACCTTCAAGTTATTATTGTTAAGGTATAATTTTGTCAAAAATTCATAACGACCAAACAATTTTGTAGAAATATTGCAAATCCCTTGGCCGGAAAAATCAAGTGACAGCCAGTACTGTTTTGAAGGCTCGATTTCCAAGAATTTGGTTTTCCGATTAGTTTCTTGGTCTTTCAACAATTTCTCGTCGTTCAATTGTAAGTCCAATTTCTCATCGTTTTGAATACGGTTTCTGAGAGCCGGCTGGGAGTGTTTATCCTTATCGTGTTGATGCTGCAAGAGATCAGTAGTGACATCCACCAATGAATTACCATCGAGTTCTGGCTTCAAGGGATTGGAATTACTATTGTTCTTCTTTTGTCCGAGTTTCAAATTCTTGGCAAATGCTTTGGCGTAAGCGTGTGGATGGTTCACTCTTCTGGAGATCGCCACCAACGTCAATTGTTGTTGCCAATGCTCAGAGTTCACCAAGCTTTCATCCAATTGAGGACTAATGGTGTTTGCGTTTATGAGTTGCACTCCTGGAGGATGGTTATTATTACTATTATTGTTATTACTGTTAGCATTGGCGTTGTTTCTGAGAATGTTGTTGGTGTTATTGCTGTTGGTATCATTGTTGTTAGCATTATTGGCATTATTATTAGAATTGTGATTGGAGCTAGTGCTGATCGAGGAGATTGGGACCCCTGGAGGAGTTTGCAACGAAGAATGTTGTTGAAGTAGCATATTAAAAGGTGACGATGTTGGATTGCCAGGGTTTTGTGCTGATGCTCCCGCAGTGCCCAAGATGTCGTGATGGGACATCTGGTAGGTATTCATTGTGATTTAGGGGGGCAGCAACGCTACTAGTATTCTATATTTTTTTGTGTTGTATGGTATAAATAAAAGATGTCAATGTTGTCAAGATGGTGTAATAATAATGATTGTCGAAGGCAAAGAAAAAAACAGAAAGAAAAAAAAAAAATGCACGTGATGATATATCATCACGTGCACACTCGAAGGGGGTGGTCGCTTATGCAGTCGTGCCAATATTATTACACGGTAACAAAGGTATATGAATATGGGTATATATTATATATTATTATTATTATTATTATTACCAGATTGAGAAATACAAACCATCACAATCAAGAGATCTAGATAAAATAAATAAAAGGAAATAGCATAACACTTGAAACTAGTTAAAGCAAATAATTAAACATTGTAAACGATAGCGTAAACACAAAAGAAAAAATATCGGCTGAATAACTAACGTGAAGTTAAGTCATTCAGAAAAGTAGTGAAATTGTGACAGCAAATATTGAAAAGAAGAAAAGCTTCAAATAGTAACACACACAGAGGATACGACAGAAGCTTCTAATAAAATATAGTACAAAACAAACAAAATAAGGTTGTAATGGAGGAATTCATTTGATGACGATCATTCAAGCCAATGGAAAAATTCATCGGACAAATAATAATAGATCGACTTACCAGAAGCTCCAAAAGTTAGGGTTGGCACCAACACCGACTGTCAGTTCAATTTCTTCTCTGTCTTCCAATCTGAATAAGTCAAATTTGTCGACATCAGCGGCTTTGTCAAGAGGACAATACCCAACACCTTTGCCACCCAAGGTGGTTTCAAAAGTTTCGAAACCTTCGCTCACGAGTCTTGCTTCAGCATTCTTCATTGTCGATTCACTGAGTTCGTCTCTTAACAATGTGATGGCACATCCACCACCTCCGGCACCGGTCAATTTGGTATCACCAATTTCTAATTCGTCACAGCACAATTTGACTCTTTCCAAAGTTGGATGGGAAACCCCCAAGGAAACCAACAAACCGTGGTTCATTCTGATCAATTCTCTGAATCTTGATTTGGCTTCGTTATCAAAGAATGGGCGAATCATCAATTTGTAGCCTTCTCTAGTAATGTAATCGATGGCATCCATAATGACCCCAGAGGATTTTGGAAAATCACTCACGAGAGCCGACACTTTGGCCACCAAATCGGCAGTACGACGTGGTTGCTTGGTATTGGTTAACAAAAGTTTCAATGGAGGGAAGTTTCTCATGGCGGTACGCACGCTAGGCACCGAAGATTTCATACGTTGGAACATCACCGCCCCACCATAACAAGCGACAGCGTTATCGATACCTGATGGGTTACCGTGGATACATTTTTCGGCTAAGAACGACCAACTGTGAATGAAATCGGAATCAGGAGAATCGGTGGCCACCAATTCGTTGATGGAAAGAGATGCAGGAGCAATATGACCACCGATAAGCGCTAACGAAGAAGCAAGACACACTGCTAAAGAAGCGGATGATCCTAACCCAGCGCCAACCGGCAAAGTAGATCTGGCAGTGAAAGTGTAGCCTGGCATTTTGCTATTGCAAATATTGACATAAAGATAGACAAAGGCGTAGGCGGCACTATAATGGGTAGGGTCATCGATGGTCACCAACATTTCTGCCAAAGCGGACACCAATTCGGGGACCAATTCATCAGACGATTTACTGAACGCAGCGCTATTGTTCAATTTACCGTCATTAGAAGGAATAACTTGGTATTTTGCGGCGGCTTCCCAAGGGAAATCAGAGACTTTCCATTGCTTGCTGAAATTGATATCCGGGAATATCAATGAGACGGTATCGGGAGATTCACTTTTGGATACCAGTAAATATGTTCTGAGGGACAAAGCTGCGGCAATTGCTGGCTAAAAGAAAAAAAAAAGGACTGAGTTAGTAAATTATCTAATAACAGGTGGTGAAAAAGAAACAAGCAATATTTCATTGGTACAACTACTCACTTTGCCATGCACCGCAGAATGCTCACCAAAAATGATGACTTTACCGGGGGCAGAAACCAAGAAAGGCACTTGGACTTTATTATTTTGATTTTGATTGGTTTTTGGGTCAGGAACAGTCATTTTTGTAATAATAGTATGGTGTAAGAATGGGTAGTTATGATTGATGATTGGTAAGACACAAATGCAAGGACACTAGTCACAGAAACGAAGGGATATTGGTCAAATAATTGAGCACTAGGAACAAGATAGGATGGACAGGGAAGAAGGGAAAAGAAGAAGAAGAAGGAGAAGAATGTATGTTTATGTTTAGGTGATGAGTATGAACATGCGAAGACCAACAACAATACTGTGTGAATGGTAGATAGTGCGATAATCCAAGAAAACTTTGTCAAAAAAATATACGAGGCCCTAAGCGACGACGGAGTGCTTAGGGTGCGGATAGTATATGATCATATGAAAGGTGCATATAATCGCATATTGTAAAAATATCAACACAATAACTGGGAATATTTTGAGGATTGGAGTTGGTGTGTCATGTGTCACCATTCAATAATAATCACATCCATTCTCGAAATAACCTTTATTTGCGGTGATTATATACACATTGTTATATGGTTGATCGAGGTCACGTTTTTGTTCCCATCATGTGAAAGAAAGGCTCGCTGCTGCCACTAGCTCGAGGACATTTACACACTTAAGTGAGATATTAATAGGAATAATAATCACCAATATCATTGGGATGGCTAACCACGGAGATTGAACTGCGATAGCCAAACTAACCGGGTAAGCAGCAGCGAGAGCCCTCTTATGACTTGGAGAGTTGTTTGCACCAACAATAGCGACCAACCATTCAATTGAAAGACATACCAGTAATCAATTACCCATAAGAAGAAGAAGAATAATAACAATAATAATAATCATAATACAACATCATTCATTTTCCCCCCCACACACCCACACACACAAACAAACAGAAAAAAAACAACTCAGAATTATTTCAATTGACAAAGATCTTTCGCATGCATTACTATGCATGCATGCATGTATGCGTGAATCACGGCGGTCAAATAAAAAAAAGAACTGAAAATGAATCATTTTTTTTTTCCCTCACTATTTATAATTGCCTAGTTACCCAGAGTGTTAAACCTTCTCCACAGATGCTGTTAATTTCTCAATATCTATAACAAGAAACTCATAAATAATGTCTTCGTCTAGCGAGAAGGAAAAATCGCCGCATCCGGTGTTTGTCCATTTGTCAAAACTATCTACCAAATTGGACTCTTTTGGGGTCGAGTCAAGAGGGATCGAACGTATCGAACCATATGAACGGTCCACCAACAAAACTAAAGCGATTCTCCAAGTGTTTGGTCTTTGGATGGCCGCTGCCGGTGGGCTTTCGTCGCTTTCCTCATTTGTTCTCGGTCCATTGGTGTTTGAGCTCGGATTCAAGGACTCGTTAATCTATGGGTTTTTTGGCCAATTCTTAGGATGTGTAATCGCTGCTTATTGTTCCATCATGGGTCCAAGATCAGGGTGTAGACAAATGGTCGGGGCAAGATACTTGTTTGGTTGGTGGCTTGTCAAACTTGTGGCGTTGGTGGCGATCATCGGGGTGGTTGGTTGGTCGGTGACCAATTCGGTGCTCGGTGGGCAAATCTTGATGACGGTTTCTAATGATAAGGTGCCTATTGAAGTAGGAATCATCATTGTTGCGTTGGTCAGTGTAGTGGTGTCGATCTTTGGGATTAGACAATTACTTAGAGTGGAAATCTTTCTCTCGATCCCTATTCTTATCTCATTCTTGTTGATGTACATTTCCATCGCCCCAGATTATAAATACATCTACCAATCCCAATCCATTGGAGATAAAGCTACCATTAGAGGCCATCAACTATCGTTCTTTGCCTTAGCATATTCCGTCACTTCTACTTGGGGGTCGATTGCTTCTGATTATTATTTGATTTTCCCAGAAACTACTTCTGATCTTGAAGTGTTCAGCATCACTTTTATGGGGATTCTCGTTCCAACAACTTTCACCTCGACTCTTGGGATTCTCTTGGGGAATGTTGCCGCAGTATACCAACCATGGAATGACATGTATTCCACCAATGGGCTTGGTGGGTTACTTACCATTGCCTTTGATGAAAACTGGGGCGCATGGTCACGTCTTTTCCTGGTGCTCTTATTTCTCTCATTGATCACTAATAATATCATTAATTCGTATTCTGCGGCCTTTGGGATTCAATTAGCCGGGTTGTGGTTGGCAAAAGTCCCTCGTTTTATTTGGGTGATTTTGGTCACCATAGTGTACCTTGTGGCGGCGTTGGCAGGAAGAAATCATTTCAGTGAAATTTTGGGGAATTTCTTACCAATGATTGGTTACTGGATCTCCATTTATTTCATTTTGTTGGTCGAGGAAAACGTGATTTTCAGAAACTCGCATTTCTATCCAAGATTATTCACCAAAGAGCATGAAGTGGCAAATGATAACTCTTGTACGCAATTCGAATCTTCATCAAGATTTTACAAACTTTACCATCGTCCACAGTTTTATAACTGGACCATCTGGAACGATTACGACAGATTGACTAATGGGTACGCTGCAATCGCTGCGTCTCTTGCAGGGGTTGCTGGTGCTGTGGTGGGGATGAACCAAACCTATTACGTTGGTCCAATTTCTAGCTTTATTGGTGCCGATGGTGGTGATTTGGGGATGTGGTTGAGTATGGCGTTTGCCGGAGTGGTTTATCCGGGCTTAAGATATTTGGAATTAAAGAGGTTTGGCAGATAAATTGATTTTTTGTTTGTTAAAGAGATGGACTAGTAATTTTTTGTTGATTTTTCCTTTTCTTGTTTTCTTTAAAATGTTCCTTCTGGTTCTTTGTTTCTCGAATTTGGTTCTCTTCCTATGTATGTATGCATGTTTTTAGTTTATAGCTTCACTAATTATCATTGATTTTAATTTGTAGATTTACTAATTATCAATATTCTCACTTTCTAGCTGTCCTACTTATCATGGGTTTTGAAAGAGAGAGAGAGAGAGAGAGAGAGAGAATGACTTTAGCCCTTAGGTCTAAATGATGATTAAAAAGCATTAGCCATGATTAGATCATCAAAAGTTACTAAGCGCACGATGGCGATGAGATGAATGTGAGAGAAAAAAATTTTTTTTTTTTTTTTTTTTTATCAATTTATTATAAATTATAGTAAAAAATACAGCATAAAAATCAATAGAAAGATAATAATATCTTTTGGGTCTTTTTTTTTTTTTTTATTTGATTTTTGTGGGGTTATTATTATTATTATTATTATTATTATTATTTTTATTTTTATTTTTCGCTTGAATAGTGATCTTGAAGTGTTTAAGAAATAAGAAGACAAAAGGATTTTATCATGAGTTCATCATTCACTTGCAATACCTGTGGGCTTGCGTTTCCTACCAGTGGGGGGCAAAAAGAGCATATGAGATCAGATTGGCATAGATATAATTTGAAAAGACGGGTCGCTCAATTACCTTCTATCAGCATGGATACCTTCAATGAGAAAGTTAGCAAGATGACAATAGCCGAGGAAGAAGTTGATCCAAATATATCCAAGAGAGAATTGAGAAAGCAAAAGAAAGAAGAGATCATGAGACAAAGAATGGAGCTTTTGCAGAAGGCCCGCATGGCGATGATGCAGAAAGAGGAAGAGAATAATAATACTGAAGAGAAGCCTGAAATGGAAGAAAATGATAAAGAGGAACACAAAGAAGACGAACTTGAAGAACAGGAAGATGAAGATGAAACCGAAGAAGCTGCCACTGATGCTTTGCTTCAAAAGAAATTGAAGTCTCAAATAAAGATTGCTCCAAATACCTGTCTTTTCTGCAAAAACCACGAGTCAAAAGATATCCCAACCAACCTTGAGCATATGTTCATGACCCACGGTCTTTATGTGCCTGAAAAAAAATACCTTACCAATGCTGCTGGTTTACTCGAATACTTGGGGGAGAAAATCGGGTTAGGAAATGTATGTCTCGTTTGTAATTATCAAGGGAAGAATGTCGAGGCGGTAAGAGCCCATATGTTAGCCAAACAACATTGTCGATTACCGTACGAATCAGAGGATGAAAAATTGGAAATCTCCGATTTTTATGATTTCTCCTCGACGTACGCCGCCCCTACCAAATCCGAAATCGCTGGTAATGACGAAGATTGGGAAGATGTTTCTGGAGGTGAAGAAGGCGACGAAGAAGATGATGAAGATGATGAAGAATTCGACCAAGATGTGCTTTACAACGATGGGGTCGAACTTTATTTGCCGACCGGTATCAAGGTCGGTCACAGATCATTACAACGTTACTTCAAACAAGATTTGAAACCAGAAAAGACTTTGACTGAAGGTCAAGGTACCGTGGTTGCTGCAGAAACTAGACATTTGGTTAGTATTGTAGATAAGAAAGAAATGGCGGTGCAACAAAGAGTTTGGAAAACAGAAATCTCTAATAAGAAGAGAAATGATAAGAGAGCCGCCAAATTCATCAATAACCAACCACATTTCAGAGACCCATTGTTGCAATGATTTTATAATTCAATTAATGAATGGGAATATTTTTGAAGCATTTTGAAAATTTGTAAACACATATAATATATATCTTGTTAGAAGTTTTCTATGTAATTCACGTAAACCATCTATCACCAGCTAAAATGCTCTTTCAATTTGTATACCCATTATATAGAAAAATTTCTACCTATTCGTACATGATCTATGGATTCTATATATAAAATAAAAACAAAAAAAAATAAAGAACGTCCATACTTAATAGAAAAATTATGCCAAAAAGTAGAGAGAATATAAATAAAAATGAAATACATTCAAACATGCTCTGTTATACAATATACACAAAAAAAAACCGTACAACATCTGAAATAAGAAAAAAGTAGAACGGTTTTTAAGAAAGGTTGTATGGGGAAAAAAAAAGGGTCTTTCAGATGATGGATGAGGAGATAAGTAACTATGAGTGAAAATAAAACAATCAAACAAAAGAGAAAAAAGACAAAGAAGAAAAGAAAAAAATGGTAAGGGGGGGTGGACAACGCGACACCAAATCGATAAAGAAATCAAGTCAGTTCAATCGTGATGAAATCAAAAAAAAAAAAGGGGAAAAAGGTCATTAAAGAGATTGAGGGAGGCAAAAAACCTTATACTAATTATAAATTGTTATAATTCAAGTACAGCCCCCGGTCAATTTATTCTTTGGGAATGAGTATCCAGCATCTTCCCAACTAGTCAAGTTAGGATTACTGTAGGCGTTCAAGTGATCTTGAATATAGTCATATGTTGGATAATCCTCCGGATCACAACCCATGTTTTCTTCGCCTTCAGGTTGGTAAATTCTCACATAATCAATTCTCATAGTCATTGGGAAATGAAGAGAAGCCCAATCGATATAAGCCCAATTGTTAGAAATGCCCAAATTTAAGTTGATAGACATTGGTTCTTTGGTAATTCTTCTCCAGCCAATATTACCATTTGGATGTAAAGCTTTTGCGTGAATTGTCAAAGTTGGATCGTCACCGATAAACCATTGGATGTAACCATCATCATTGTCATTTAAATATTCAAAACCAATTTTTTGGAATTGGTGGACTCCACCAGTGTCACCGAATTCATACCAGGTAATGTTCATTGTTGAAGTTGCAGAAACGGCTTGTTGGAAAGGACCGCCGGTATAGGTATTCATTGAGGAGATAGATGAGTTATGAATTTCCACAAAATCATAATCTGGGTAGTACCAGATATCATAAGGAGCCATTTGCAAAGATTGAGAAGCAACACCAACCCCAAGGGTAGTATCCATTTCCCCTTCCAAGGCATCAATTTCTGGAGCCCCTCTACCGGTACCTCTATTTGGATGATCTTCCCCTTTACAAGTACAAGAATTCAATCTTTGACCAGGCAAATAACTGATCCCATCAGGAGAAGATTGATTTGGGGTGATTCCCGCGTCACATTCTTCATACGAATAAGGCCAAACCCCGTCACTGGTGGCCAAATAACCGGTACGAGCAATATTACCCATTGTCCAAATACCAGGCCACAAACCAGTAACGTTACCATAGTTTGGCAACATGACACCAACTTCCAAATTACCTTGAGTAAAACACAATCTATTCCAAGTTTGCACCATTCCTGATCTATAAAATAAGTCATGATTCTTATAAGCATCCATTCTGAGATTCAAACTACCGTTTGCAGTACTAGAAGCATACGGATCATACCATTCTAAATCGTTGGTGGCGGCATAGTGGAAATCAGGAGCAAGGAAGAACTGATCGTCACCATCGTAGAAAGTTCTGCCTTCTTTATTGAATTCATCAGAAAATGCCAAATTCCATTTGGAGCCGTCACGGGCGGTTTTGGTCAATGCGGAATTTGGGGTATCTGGATCAACAAGGCTGGTTCTGATGGCAGATAATTGTGGATAAGTGTATTTGGTTAAGATTTCGTAAGTGACTGGGGCGCTCTTGTCAAGGATCCCCGAGTAGGTTAACACTGGGTAAACGACGAAAACCATGATGGCGCCAATCAAAAGGCAAACCAAGCCAACAAGCCCAAAACCAGAACGTTTATCCATGGTCTTCAAGTCGAACATCATTCTACCATGATCATATTTTGCATCTTCGATAGGGTCAGGGTTGTGCAAGTAGTCATCTGGTTCTTTTTCATCGATGTGTAATGGGAATGACGAAGCAGGATACCCACCAAAAGGCGAGAAATCGGCGTCGATTAAGAAAGGGTTGGTGGAGCGATCTGACATCGACGAGGTATCCGACATATCTGAGCTTTTATTGTGAGCGTTTGCTCCAGGACCTCCCAACAATGAGTTTCTAGAGTTAATGGAAAAGGCCATGGAGGCTACTCTTTGATTGCCACCATTACTAAGTGAAGGGTAGCGGTCAAATTCATGAGGAATCAAAGATTCGTGGGGGTTTGAAGGGGTGTTTGGGGATATTGGGGTGTTGGCGATATTATTATTGACGTTATTTTGGTTAGAGGCAGGGTTTTGAATGTTGCTAACGGAGTTGTTAACCGAATTAATATTTGAGTTTGAATTTTGCTGAGAGTAGAAGCCTGAGTAGTCAATGTAAGGCTTGGAGGCATTATTGGCAGAAGAGGCCATGATATCGTTTGCAGGGTTATTGACATTGTTCATTTGTGCGTCGTTGTTGTTGCTGCTGCTGCTGTTGTTGTTGTTGTTATTTGTGTTGTGATGACCTGTTCTGTTAAAATCGGAATCTGATTCAGAATCGGAATAGGAGCGTTGATCGTTAAAAGGGTTTGATTCCTCGTCCAAAGAGTTTGGCGAGCCTGAAGTCAAGTTTCTCCTAGACATTTTTTGAAGTCACCAATGTACTAATAGAAAGAAAAGAAAAAAAAAAGGCTAAGCAAGGTAATACAAGACGACGATTTGGTCTTCTGGAGAGGTAATGAGTGAGTGAGGACAAGTAACGAATGGCAATCGAAATGATAATGAGGGAGCAATCGACAAAGTGAAACCACAAACAGACAGTGGTTTGAAGAGTGTGGGACTAGAATAAGTACGGTATAGTCAGACTACCCAGGTAGAACACTGATATAATGGGATAGTAGACGAGGATATATGATTTAGAAGAAGTTGAAATTTTTTTTTTTCTGATCTGTTGTTTTCTATGTGTGGTTTTTTTTTTTTTTTTTTTGGAATTTTTTAGATTTCTTTATTGTTTGTCTTCTTTTGCTTTTTCCCAGGGGTGGTGGGTGGATCAAAGAGATTAGCTCGTGTATGTCGAAGGGAGTCTTTTAGGGGGACAACAGTTGTATATATGGAATGTTATATGAACGAGGAGTGAGTGTGTATATATAATATTATGATAAAACTACTACTAATAATCATAATAATAACAGTAATCTATACAATGCTGAGCAATAAGGCTGTGTGGGTCGGTGTTGCTGAGGCAGGGAAGGGCACCGGGTAACGGCAGATGGCGACTGCGTGTAATTGGGGGGTCACTGGGGGTGCGGCAGTGCATTCCAGGCACATTACGCTACTTATTACGTAATGCAACCCCCCCGTGACTCTGGGATATACATTATATTGTATTATGTAAGATATATAAGATATATAGGATATATATAAGATATACTCATCTCACCTCAAACCCCAAAAACTCCCGGGCAGCCCCTTCCCCAATCGCATACAACCCAAACAACGTCCCAGTGAAATCCCACGCCGTAACGTCCCCAGCATCGATCCTCCCCAACTCAACCCACCGATGATGATGATCAAAATACTCAAATCGATAAGTATCACGATCAGCAACTATTCGCAATGATAACCTACCCCCACCACCAGCATCTCCATAATCTGCTTCACCGTAACGAATATTGTTAGGAAGCCCCCGGGATTGAAAATACACTTTCCTCGTATCACTGCGATATCCCACTTCGAATACCCGGTACAAATCTTTGAATAAACAAATCCCCGACTTCACCCGCCCATCATTGCTTATTTGCATCGTCACTTTGGCAATTTCCAGTAATTGGCGCTGTCTAACGCCAATAAACGAAATCCCAACCGCTTCATCCACTAAATCCGCCTTCGAAGGTTGGATCTCGATTCTCCCTTTTCCAATTCGATAATTCAGTAAACAAGGATTCTTAATAAACAAATATTCCAACTTGTTATCTTGCTTCATAACTTCAAGTTTGCCAGGGGTATTGTCAAATTTTGGACCTTCCAACTTCAATGAAACTTTGTTATCAAACTTCGGCCATTCCCCAGACCAATCAATCCGAACAATAAATGATTCTCTCCCCATTGGGTGCTTCCCATTCTCAAATCTCACTGCTAAAAACACACACCACCAACTGCCATCGTCCTGTACTTGGAAAAAATCACCATGCCCAGTATACTGAATGTAATCTGGCTCGCCAGACTCATTCAATACTGGCGCCGTAAACTCCCCGCTAGGATCGGCAGTGAATATTGGATTATTTGGCGATTCCTCATACGGACCATCAATGGTTTTACTCCTGGCAATGGTTAACATATGATGAGTGAAAGTTCCTCCATCAGAAACTAAACAATAATACCACCCATTCTTCTTGTAAATATGGGGTCCTTCAGGAACCACCCGACATCCTGACCACCCTTTCCAAATCTCCCGCTCTTGTGAAAGTTTTTCCCCAGTATCAATATCCAATTCAAATTGTTTAATAGTAGTCCTTGCCTGTCCCTCGATTCTCGGGTGATAAGTGTACGATCCAGTGACGTAAGCTTTACCATCTTCAAAGAAAAGATCTGGATCAATACCTTGAAATTCGAAAAACACTGGGTCTGACCAACTTGATTCTTGATAGATATTGTCAGTGGAAATCACAAAATTGATATACTCTTTATCATTAGGTCTTGGGTTGACACAAGTGCAAATAATATAGAACCTCCCTTGGTGGTATCTGATAGTTGGTGCGGCAATACCCCAGTTGTAAATAAACGGTTTTGCATCATCATGAACATCACTATAGGTTTGGATGATCGTGGTAACCTTAGATAAATCTACTTGACTGTGTCGATTTAACCCATTACCAATATGGGTCCAATTGGCCAAATCGGTTGACGCGTAGATAGGGATCCCGGGAAAAAATTGGAACGACGAGTTTGCTAAATAGTACACTCCGTCAACTTGACAGATAGTAGGATCCGGACTGAATCCTGAGATGATTGGGTTATTGATGATCATTTGGTGGTGTCGACTCATCAAATTGGAAAATTGGTCCATCAATATGGCCCACGGTTCATTTATATGCGATGATAGTGGATAGCCTATCTGGCCGGGGAAATCTGGCCAATTGAAATAGGTGGGGGATATGTAATTATATCATCATTATAGTCATCATTATAGTCATCATCATTATTATTACTGAAATCTATTAAATGATTATTTTTTGCATTGATTTTTACTAATCCTTGTCTGATAAATGGCTACCACAGAATTTTTCGCTAATGCTGCACCACACATTCCCGTTGAAGTATTGCTTGCAAATAAATGAAATGATATGATAGCCAAATTAATGGCCCAAATATTGATCATAACTATTAGTATCGTAGCCACTAATATCTCATAAAATAATGGCCATATTATTAAAAACGAGATATCAATAATATTGCCTGTTTGCTGATTATTTTGTGTCTTTCACACAAGATAAGGAAGGCACCATGCGCATATTTTAATGACATGAGCCTTACACTATTAGCACAAACAGATAATATATAAATGATGGCTCTCTATCTATTTATGTATATATATATATATATATATGTATGTATTCTCTCTATTTAATTGCAATTCCCAAAGCATTTTCTTTAAAAAACAACAACTAAAAATGCAACTCTCAACATCCACACTTTTATCAATAATCGCCACATTATCATCCTTCACCACCGCTGCCCCGGCACAAAAGGCCGCTCCTCTACAAGTCGACTTTAACGTCATAAGATACGGGGTGAGTAATTCCAGTTATGGGGCCCAAAAATCGGTACTCAGCGCCATAAATCTCAATTTAGCCAATGAATACTCGTTATATTTGGCGGAAATTCAAGTGGGGACCCCAGGACAAACCCTTCAAGTCGATGTCGATACCGGGTCCTCTGATTTATGGATCCCTGCCATCGGTACTAAAGCCTCTAGTGGAACATTCAACGCCAGCAGTTCTTCCAGTTTTTCCAAGATCTCTAACGATTTCAAAATCGGTTACGGGGATGGGTCCCATGCTTTTGGTGATTGGGCCACCGAAAATGTCAACATCGGCGGGGCTCATCTTAAAGATATCAGATTGGGTTACGCCACCAACCAGACCGTGGGTAGAGGGCTTTTAGGTGTTGGTATGGTGGGCAATGAGGCGTCCAACGTTTATAATAATATCACTTATCCTAATTTCCCAGCACAATTGAAAGATCAAGGGATCATCAATAAGAACGCATATTCGTTATACTTGAACTCGTTGGATGCCAAAGCAGGATCGATCTTGTTTGGTGGGGTCGACCATGCCAAATATGAAGAGGAGTTGAAAACTTTAGATTTGGTGAATATTGACGACGAAGGAGAAAAAACTTCATCTCCTGTAGCATTTTTCGTCAATTTGGACGGAATTTCCCAGGGAGAAACTTCTTTCACCAATGATGCTTCTTATCCGGCATTATTGGATTCTGGGACCACCTTAATCTACGCTCCTTCTGCCATCGCCACCGCCATTGGTGAAAAATTCGGTACCAAAGTTCCATTTTTCGATGCTTACGTTACTTCTTGTAACAAAAAGGGTGAGGATGTCGAGTTCACCTTTGGTGACAAGACCATTAAGGTGCCATTCAGCAACTTGTTATATCAAATCAATGGTAAGTCTAATAAGCCAATGTTTGATGAGTGTTTGATTGGTGTTATGCCATCAAAAGATAATTCTTATATCCTTGGGGATGCCTTTTTGCGTTCCGCATACGTGTTGTACAATATCGAAGACAACCAAGTGGGGATTTCCCAAGCAAAGTATACCACTGCTTCAGATATCGAGCTTCTTTAAAAGGAGAGATTCATACATTTTTTAACTTCATTTCTTTACACAAAGGATAGTGTACATTGATTGTGCAATCTATCATATCTATATTATTTCCCCTTTTTTACAGATTCTATTCCTCAATACAACATAGTTTTCATTTATTATTATTATTATTATTAACATTATTATTTCGAAAAGTGGCAGGCTTTCTCAAAGGTTTGACATTAACCGGAAAATTATAAGATTAATTTAGAGCAACTATTATAAAGATCCACTAAAACAGTTTATCGAGAGAGCCACTCTCTCATTATATACAAAATCATAACTTTGAAACAGCTTTACGCTAACTCAATTTGAATCTTCCGATTTGTCAACTATTTTCTTCAATTTCAGTAACTCATTATCACATTCAGCCACCAAATCATAAAACCCTACTGCCCGACCTTTCAATCTCGCCTCCACAAGTAACGCTTTCGATTTTTCGACATTCCCAATATGTAATTCAATGACCCCTAATGAGTACAATGACAACGCCATGGCACTTGAGAGCTCTGGATTATTCTCCTTGTAAGTCGAAGGTACCGAATTACACAACCTAACCGAACATTTGTACCATTTAGATGCCTCATTCATTAAATGTTTACTGTTCTCTTGGTTCTCCGCTTGGTTTTCTGTAAGTGCCAACGCCTCATATGTTTCTGACCTTAGATAAAGCATCGACCCGCAAGAATTGATAGAATTAAGAATTTCCACCAATTCAAACCCGGCACTTGGCATCCATTGAGTGGTACAAAGTTGCACCGCCGCCGCTATTTGCTTATACTCCTTTGTCAGTCTCAGATTACAAATTGACACAAAAAGATCTCTGACGTTAAAGAATTCTTCACGAAACGGTAGCCATTTTGATTTGATCAATGGGTAGCCGGTAAAGAATGCCCCCGATTCACCAACCGTTAAAGTGTAATCCTTATTGGCGGATTTCTCATTATTAGAAAAATCAGTGACGAGTAACACTTCGGAAGCAAGGGCTGGATCAATATTCGGATCAAACACATTATTCCCACTGGCCCCTAATCTCTTCATCACCTCGTCCATTGCCTTTAATAAATGGGTGAACACAAATGATTGCAAGTACGATGACGCGCTAGATTTCTCATTGAGCAGGGCATATTTGGTAACGAGGCGTAAATCTTTTTGGATCAAATGACCTTTTAATTCGCTATCAATAGATGGATCATTTAATGACTGCAAGTATCTGGCAGATATCTCATGATATATTTCGGAAGCGGCTTCACTATCACCCAACTTTTCGTACATTTCTCCAATTTTGAGTTCAATTCCAGTATATTCGTCAGATATTTGATCCAACTTCTCATCATTGGCAACTTCCAATGCTTCATAATACAACCCCAACGCTTTTTTATAATCGAAATTTTCCTTGATTGATTCTGCCCAGAGGGCTTTTCTTAATACTTTGGCTACCGGGGAACTGAAAGTATGATGAGGCCAGTAGAAGTACCATCCAATGAACCCAACCACTCCAATGGTACAAAGACTATACAAAAGAATCCGTTTCCTCTTGGCTGATTTCTCCTCATGATGGAAAAAGTTCTTGTACGCCCTTTCACGTTCTGGAGATATTACCGCTTTCACAGACCTTCCCAGACAAAAATTTCTATGCGATGAGCTAAGGAATAGGGAATTTATAATTCTTGACCTTCTGATAACAAAAGCTGTCATTTTGTGGTGAGATAATACAGAGATAATAACGTATTTACATTTATTGTCACCTACATTATTATTATTATTATTATTTACTTTGCGGGTTTTTCCCTTTGCTGCCGGGTTCATAACATGTGGGACCACACCGCTCTCTTTGCACGCCAATATATCTTCCAACATTGAGTATAATATATGTGTATTCGTGATGAATGCTTATTGTTTATCTATTATCGTGAAATCTATCAAATTGTCGTTGGATATTTTTTGGCGGTTCGTGAGGTACCCTGCCAACTGCAAGCACTCTGTTGCAACATCGCTAATACATCGAAAACGCGATGATCCCAATGGGGTGCCCCCATACCATCTGGCGACAACAATTAAGATATTCACCAATTTAGTGCGATCTAATAACCCCTGTAGTCGCAACCCTGCCCCGCCTTCGCCATCGTCATGATACCCTTGGTCGACCACTCGAAGTGGGCTGTCGGAGTTGCTCGGCGAGTTTCCAATCTTGAAAGCGTACATTTGGGGGTGTGTGGCCTTTTTCAATGCCTTTTCTATTTCCATTAGACCTTGTAATGCTTGGGGGATATCTTTTCTATCATGGATTGCAATGCAATAACCTTTGAATTTCGACTTCTTGACCGTCAATACCGTCGACTCCGTCCATTTCGACGATACTTTTGAAGAGATGCTCCTCTTCGTAACTTCATTCATAATCCTCAAATAGCCATTCATTGGCAATCAAACCGGTATCTTGGAAAATAATAACACAAATCTAAACTGAATCGCACCCAGGAATGAAAGATCCAGGAGACCAGAAAAAATCATCGGGGGGTGCTTATCGCCGGGGCTGCGCAATCACACAACCGCCTGTTGGGTGCTTTCCCAATATGGAGTGCGCGGTTTGCAATATTCATGATGTTTGTTTTTATCGGCACAAGTGTTTTTAAGGCGCGAATACTGCTAACGAAGCTCTGTAAACTAAAACTCTGAGTTTAAAAGACTTCTTTCTCAGTAAATTTCATCAATTTGGTTCGAGTCTTTTGGTTTTCCGTATCTGATCCCAAAATAGAAGGGTTCAATATCACCATAAGCATTTTCCATTGATTTATGTTTTAATTGGTACTGTTCATATTGTGCTTGGTTTCCACGAGAAGTTTCTTGTCCCTCATTGTGAACCAACATAATAAACTCCCTTGTATCAGATGGTCCACATACATTTTTTTATCCAATACTAAGGCCACCTCCAAGGACATTAAGCCCCAAAAGTCCCATCCTTTCGGATCTTCTCCTATACACTGACTTTCCACTCTGAATAATTTCATCAAAAAACTCGAATTGTGAAATTCTATGATTCCATTTGATTCCATTGTTTGAAGGGAATATTGAAGGTGACGTCGAGGAAGTATAAAAAGGCATCTTCACAGAAATTGCGGCTGATTCGGGTTATTGCTTTAGTCTTATGAAATGTTACAAGGTGCGTTCTTTGAGAGGAATTTTGCTGATTTATAATTGAGATATGGGTGAATTATACCAATTTAATAAACTGAACATACATCCAAACTAGAATCAGATCTCCATGACTTCTGATATGATCATCTCCCAGTTCAACTAAACCCCCCGTTGTTGTTCATTGGTGGCCGGGTTATGAAAAAAAAAAAAGCAGCCCATCAAATTATTCCATCACCAAAATCATGGCCCCACTAGTTGACGGTTAACCTTTTTTCTTATTATTATTGTCTCTCAATGCCCCCCATAATGACCGATAATCCTGCTATTTTGCCAGACCATTACAGCAATGGCCATGTGCCTGTATTTACTCCGGTAGGTTTTTTTTTTGTTGTTGTCTTAGTAACATTTGTTGACCATGGACTAACAGAACCACTCCTAGACAATAGACCAATTTGCTGATTTCAACAAATTCGTGAAGGCCATCAATTCATATGGTATGGAATCAGGGATTGTCAAAGTGATTCCTCCAAAAGAATGGGTCGATGCATTACCACAAATCACCGCCGAAAAAATCCTGTCGGTGAAGATCAGAAACCCTATTGTACAAAACATCAACGGGGCAAAAGGAGTCTATGTAGCGGAAAATATCGAAAAAAAGCGAACTTTCAGTTTACCAGAATGGAAAAAACTTTCACAGATGTCGAACCATCAACCACCGTATCCAAGAGGTGCGAAACGAAGACAATCGATCGTGAAAAACGAGGCTGCTGCCCAGAAAGTTGATCAAACCGAGTTTGATTATAATATCAATACCGATGATTTCACCCCCGAGCGTTGCGAGTTTTTGGAAAACAATTATTGGAAAACTTTGTCTTACGCTCAGCCAATGTACGGAGCAGATTGTCTCGGATCGATCTTTGATGACTCCATCGATTGCTGGAACGTTGCCCGCCTCCCGAACCTTCTCGACTACTTGGACGCCCTGATACCCGGGGTCAACGATGCCTATTTATACGCTGGTTTATGGAAAGCGTCATTTGCCTGGCATTTAGAAGACCAAGATCTTTATTCGATAAATTACTTGCATTTCGGGGCCCCAAAACAATGGTACTCGATCCCTCAAACCCAGGCTCAAGAGTTTTATTCATTAATGGTAGAATCGTTTCCCGAAAACCATAAACAGTGTTCGGAGTTTCTACGACACAAGACGTTCATGGCCAGTCCAAGTTTCTTGGAATCAAAGGGTATCCAAGTCAACAAGGTCACTCACCATCAACACGAATTCATCATCACTTTCCCGTTCGGGTATCATGCGGGGTTCAACTACGATTATAATTTGGCAGAAAGTGTGAATTTCGCCTTAGAAGAATGGCTTGATATGGGGTTGAAGTCCAAAAAATGTGAATGTATTGCCGACTCTGTGGGGATTGATGTAGTAAAATTGATCAACGATATCAAAAAATCTGGAGATAACGAAGAAGTAAATAATTACCAATTACCTGAAGATAAAATGGCTGCAAAATTCAATGAAAGGCATTCATTATCCCCATTGTCTAAGGAGCCTCTAATTCAAAAACAAGATGATGAATACGTGGGGGTGAAGAAAACTGAAGTATTTAAACCTCTTAAAATAAGGTTGAGGTTTTATGGTGATGGAATTCTGCAAAAGAAAACCAAGAGAAAATATACTACTACTATTACTACTACTACTAATAATAATAATAATGATGTTGATGATGATGATGATGATAATAATAATGGTACGATTGAATCTGCAAAGAAACCTAAAATTAATGATGGGTTTCTTGCCGTATAGCTAAACCATTAAATTTCGATTCCTTACCATATAGCTAGCAACTTATATAAATGATTTATGAATATATCTGTTTATTTTACACACACACAAAAAAAAAAAAGGGAATTGTGTATCTACCTGAATACTTCATCTATTTTCTTTTTTAGAAAAAATATTAATGCCAAAACTAAAGAAAAATGAAACCCAGAATTTCTAAATGAAGTCAAAAGACACTAGAAAATTGAAAAAGCTAATATGTTTGAAGAATATTTTTCAACACATAAATGAAAATGAAAATAATTAACAATTTCAAAGTAAAATATTATAAGAATTCATAGAACAAAGAAAGAAAAAAAAAAAAAAAAAAAGAAATCATGATAAAAAATAAAATACAATTGAATACACGCATTCATTATCCCCGTCAAACTAACAAGAAATGGTTAGCCGGTGCCTTGTTCAGTCTTGATTTGCTTCCTTAGGCTATCATCTTCACCATTATCTAAAGGTCGCTTCAACAGACTCGATGGATCAGTTTTTGGCAAATTTGCTTCTGATTTAACTGAAATTTCTGACTTAGTTGGTGGTTCCGATTTATTAGCGTTGTTGGCACTTCCATTTGGCTCAGTTTCATCATCATCGTCATCATCAATGGCACTTTCATTAATCTTTGATAAATGATCACCCGCATTATTCCCATTAGGACCATGGAACAAATTCTCTTCTCCTGCCAAGAAACGATCAAGATTTTGTTCGAAAGCAATAAGAGAATCGGTTCTCTTCTTTGGAACTTCCAGTTTAACCGGCAAAGCTTCTTCGCCAGCAAGTAATTTATCCAAGTTACTTTCAAGGGCAATTAGCGATGCAGTTCTAGGTTTCTTCAGAGGCGCCGAAACTGATGATGGTGGTGGTGGCGCTGGCGGAGCAGTTTGATTCTGTCTAACAGGTTCGATCTTAACCGGAGTGGCTTTGGGTTGTGTTATTGACAGGGTGTTTCTGGCTATTGAAGGAATTGGGGCGTGGATAATCGTAGGTTTCGTGGCACTTGTAGGCTTCAATGGGATTAAAGGAATTGAGCTTGGCCTCAAGTTTTGAATGATATTTGGTTTTGCAGTAGTCGCAGGTTTTGGAGCGGTAGATTTCACTTTTCCCGAAATCAATTCTGCAAATGTCATTTTCCCATTAGTTACATGGGTCGTAGCATTGTTCAAACTATTGGTTAAAATCTTTGTCAATTGTTGAGGATTCTTTTCCACATACTTTATTAACGACTGCCCATTGGCGTTTTTTTGCAATTGGTTCATTGTGGAAGATAATGCATGAGTCAACAATTTGATCACCGTCTCTTTGTTCAAACCTTTGATATTTTTGGTGATCTTTTTGAGCTGTTCTTGCAAAATATTTAAAATCTTTTTATTGTCCTCGGAAAGATTCAACTTATTAGAGGATGATTTATTATTCGTGGCTTTATTATTGTTGGCGACTTTCACAGCAGCAGTCCCTGAATTTGCCTTGGAATAACTGGAATAAGTACTACCAATTGCGGTGTTTGTTAGTGGGAGGGAATTAGAAAGAAGTGGTCTTGAGGATGGAATTGTCGATGCACTGTACTGGTTAATAATACTATTTGGTAAGAGCATACTATTAACCAAAGGAACATTGGGTAATACCCTGTTGATTGGTTCAATTGGTTGTTTCTTCTTCGCTTTATCCTTTTCGGCAAAATAATCCTCATCGATACCCCATAGCCAACCTTTCCCTTCTTTAGAAATTTTCTTAAACGCTTTATTCAACGACAAATTATGACGAACCGAACTTTGCCAACCGTCTGGACAAAATTTGTAGTACGGATACAAGTCTTGGATAGACTTATATATCTCGGATAATGACATCCCTTTATTATCAGTAGAATAAGTTCTGAGGCAATGGATTATGATATTTGAATAAGAGGTTGCTGGCTTGGTACGATATTCTTCGGGAATCTCTTCGAGGGTGTAAACTTTTTTCGGAGGTTTGGTGGTGCGCTTCTCTTTCTTTGGAACAATGACATTTGGCTTTTTCACTTCTTGTTGTTTTTGTTGTGTTTCTTGCAAATAGTGATTGGTTAATGGAATTGTTGAAGTGTTGATGATTGTTCCTGTAGATTTGGCAAGGGCAAGAATTTGATCAATGCTTTTATCACCCATGGGCGTGGCCATCACCGGATCAGTTTTTAATGCGGTATTCGTTAGAGGAATGTTGACGGTTGTCGGAATGATTGACAAAGTTTCGGGCTTTATCTTAGGTATTATATCCATAGCATTATTGTTGACAACAGCTTTCGGTTGCTTAACTTTTGGTGGTACTACATTCGAGGATAATGTTTCGGGTTGTTTTGGGGGGATCGGCTGCTGCTGCTGCTGCTGCTGCTGTTGTTCTTGTTCTTGTTCTTGTTTTTGTTGTCGTTGCTGCTGCTGCTTCTTTTGAACAGTCTGCACTTCTGGCTTTGAAATCTTTATATCTTCGCCATTTGGAAGCACAAATGTAAATGTAACTTGGCCAATTTGAATCTTATTGTCGTTTGACAATGGCACTGTCACCCCTTTCTCCACAAAGTTGTTGTCAATGAATAACCCGTTTCTTCCAAGCACCTGGATTTCAAACCTCTGGGTGCCAAAATTGTAAAATATCTTCGCATGTTTCCGGGAAACTGCCTTTGTTGGGCCCAAATGAACATCAACCGAGTACAGTTGATCATTGTTGATTCTTCGTCCCAAAAGCACTTGTAAAGTTTGGATATAAAAGGTGAAAGAGCTGAAATCTAGTCTCGCATAAGCAGAAATCTTGGTACTATCGCTTCCACTGGGTTGATTTGAATCCATCGGCACAAATGAATTCATGATTTCATTGTTGATATTATTCTTGTTATGGTTATCGGATTTGTTGTATGTAGATGATTGCGGTACCGAAGTGGTAGACGGCAGCGCACTGGTCACACTCAAATCCATGGTTATATTCCGAACAGTCTCTCTGATCTTGCTTAGTCTAATTCAATGACTGCAAGATTCTCCAAGTTCCGAATTACTATCGAGAGCTGCTTTCCAGCAAGAGAATAATAATAAATTTTTTTCTTCTGGTTATTCATGTAATTAAAGAGTATTTTTTTTTTCTTTTTCTTTTTGAGAGAGGAAAAATTGGCATCGCGCTTACTAAGCATTTACGCAAAGGATTATGTAATTGGTGATTCTTTTACAACATATATCTTCAGAAGAGAAAGATACTATTAACTACTGATAATGATGACTTAAAAATCTATGCTATAGTTATTCCCTAATATTCTACAGTGTATTTGCCAAAATTAATCTAAGAATAGTAAAACCCACTAGCGACATCCACTAATTCATCGTAAGAATACTCAAAACTGTCTTCTTCTTTGGTCAGATATATATCATTGATTGTATGCTTCATAGATTTAATGGGTGCCAGGGTCCATCCAGTGTGTGTGTCAATTAATGGACTTATATCAAAATTGATGTTTTTCACTTGTAAGAAGTTCCCCTGTTGTTGTTGAGAGTCCAAAGAATGAGAGTCGCTAGTGGTATACATGTCAACAATTCTATTGTTATAAATGTCTGCGAGTGGTAAAAACTGCAAAGTTCTTTTGATATCAAACAATTCTTCCACATGCGACTGAGTCTCCTCCGTCACCTTATTGAGTTGGAAATTATCCGCCAACAAGTTCAAAGTATCGGTCCATAATGTGGCAGCCCTGTTGGTATCTGTATAGAATGTGAAAAACTCTCTATTAGAATAATTGATCAAGGAGATCTTTGTGACAACCTTCTTCATATTTGTGAACATCTGGTTTCTTGTGACCGCAGTCTTTTGTCCAAGAAACGCTAATGATTTGATGGCATCGGTTGATACACCAAAGTTCGACCCAAACAAAACGTCTCTTCCATAGCTGAGCTTTTCGGCCACCACTTTCTTGATAGATTTCACAAAGATATGTTTCGCGTTTTTACCATCTAGTAAGCTGTGCATTTTATCGATATCTTCTTCATCGTCCCTCATATACAGTGGTAAATTTACATAAACCAAAGAATTCCCTTTGGGGGAAATCGCAAAGAAAGCCCTGCAAGAATCTGGATTACCTGTATTATCGAGTGGATTCCTGGTATAACACATCATCCCTTTAGTCAATTCTAGTACTCTTTCATTCACGATAAACATCTTCACGCTTTCCATCAATGCTTTGTTATACATTTTGAAATCTTTATCATTCAAGTAATCCAAGTACTGGTCATCTTTGAGAAATCGCATTTGAACTTGTCTGATTTTATCATAAGTGAGATCATATTTCAACTTACTGAATGCGGCATTAAAACCACCAACAGATACCATATTATAATTGAGATATTGCAAGTCCATTTTCAATAGGTTCATTATAAACAGGCAATCCTCAAGATTGTCATTACCGGCTTCAGAATGTTTCCAATATCCAAGGGCTTTTTGGAGTAAAACTAACAACAATACATCAACATATATAATAAAGTTTTTCACCACCTCATGATTGGGGTTGGAAGGGTGGAAAAACTTGGTGTGTAACATTGAAGCAATTTCCAAAACAAACCGGATGGTGGGAAATCTTTGAGGCATGCTACTAGCCAAACAGTGCTGTTTAGAAACGTCTGCAACAAACTTTTCAGTATAGGTTGCGGTGATGAACACTTTAATTGTCATTATCGTTGATGCCAGAAAATTTTGCAAAATATAGGACTTCAAATCGTTTGTGAAACCACATTTGGCATAAATTTCGGGTTCGGACATGTCAGAAATATCGAAGAATGTGAATTTTTTAACCCCCGAGCAGATATCATTCAAATTTTCATTGAAAGTGGTGTCTTGTGAATAATCATAATCCGGTTTTTCAAAGATCCCCATGAGTTTAGTAGCATTGTCACTAAATGATTCGACAATTGTTCCATATGTGGCCATGGGAATAATTCTATGATGGTATATCATCTCACAAATAATATTGGCCAAGCCTCTCAGCCTTATATGAGGAGCTAACGTCAAACAATAAGACCAAAGAGGAGGATAAAGTAATACTGTATAAAGGTTTGTCAAGAATTGTAAATTAATGGCTGCCATTGCATGATCAATAACTGTTGTGAATCTTATGGCAATATTTTCCACAAACTCCAAGTTTTCCATGATCACTTGGATGAAAAGATCGTACGATTCATTATCGTTATTTGTTGAAAGGGTAGTTTCCTTCAAGAAGTCACCTCTCAAATAAGTAGTGGCGATAATATAAGGCGAATGGTCGAATTTGTGGGCTATAGAGTACTGTACTAGCTTTGTGAGAAACTGCTTATTATTGAATAGGCGATTGAACTCATGCGATCGGGGTAACAAAAACACGAGACTGGAGAAACTGGTAAGCAATGGAGCTAACTCATTTTCACCCGGAGGATGTTCAATAATACAAGTCCTTATTCGCGTCACGATTTGGACGCCTAACACCAAAGGGATTTTCTTCCCCAGGGATGCCAGACATGCTTGGATTACCAGGTTCGAAAGATCTTGTGGCGAGCTGGGGAGGGTGGCAGCGAGTGACATGGATGTGGATTGAGGAAAGCAAGATAAATTATAATACTAATAATAATAGCAGTCAACTGTTGTGTGGATTTTATTATTGATTATTATTATTATGAGTCGATCCCATCTCATCTCCCAATTTATCCCTGCCAACCTCGTGCATAAACTCCGGACAGGTCTCGAACCTAGTTTAGTTTTCCCGCTCCGGACGCGCCGGTTGGGGGCCTTCGAAGGGAAGGGCTACGTGAAAGGAGGTTCATCAAGTAAATACTAAACATATATCGGTAAATACCCTACAATAATCATACCCATATATATCTATATATAAAAATCCATTTGTCCATATAATACATTCGTTTTTTCTGACGGGCGCCTTCCACAAGAAAACACCCAGAACCATATATAATATAATCTTTCAAAATTGAATCCCGCTCAACAACCCACTTAATTCGGCATTGTCAACCTCTCCCACCTCGCTTAGCAACTCCTCGACTCCCATCAACACATTTTCACTAAATAAACCATTATCCGTGAAAACCAAACCTTCCTGGTTAGCCTCCATCACCGAAGACTGTCTTCTCTTTTTCATAGCCTTGTCCACTGGTTTACTTAACAAAATTTTTGAGTCTCCAGGGGCATTTCTTAGGACACTTTGTTTAATTTGTTTTCTGATCTTGTTTGATTTACTAACACTGGAGTTTCTAGAGTGCCTTGCCCTTGGTTTCGCGTCAGCAGTAAAGCTGCCCCGACTACCAGAAAACTTTCTACTATTTTCGAACTCCGCTGGGCCAGTGGATGGATGAGACTGAGAATGAACCCTGTTTCTAAAAGCGGTTAGCGGAACCTTTCTTTTATTACTGGTACTGGTGGTCAAAGCATTCCAATTGAAATTATCCTCGGTTCCCTCTTCCAATTCACTGAGATTGAAAAATTCATCAAACTTCAAATCCATCCCCATACTAACATTTCTTTTGTGATTAGGATTGCTGGCATTACTTTTAACACCTGTATTTTTCATGGTATAAGGAATAATAGATCGTGTTGACAACCCATCGATAATTTCAAACGGTACATCTTTGGAAGCAATCCATGTAGCCATTCTTGGAGCGCCACCCCCATTAACTTTAGCAGATGATAATACTTCTTTAACCGATCTAGAGCCAATATTTTTAGCAGTCGAAATCGGTAAGTTCTCTTCAACATCGGTCATTTCGTTTTCATCTTCATCAGAGAAGATGGCTTGGTAGTCCATGAAGCTTTGGTTGGTTCCAAGAGTTAAATCAAAATTCATAGCATTTTTACCAGCGGTTTTGTTAACTAATGTCTGAGCCCCACTTGAAAGTTCTCTTGTACTGCTACTTCTGTGACTTTTACTTCTACTTTTCCGCTTTTTAGATTCGGTTTTCTTCTTCTTCTCATCATCACCTAATAGATAATCCCAGAAATAGGCATCATCCCCCGTTTCATCGTAAGCATCAAGATACTTGTTACCAGTAGAGTTGTTTATGTTGAAGAACCCTGATGGTTTATAATATAAATCATCAAATACCGATAATTCAATTTCACTTTCTTCATCTTCATCATCATCGTCATCGTCATTGTTATTGACATTATTATTGTCGTCTGAATTTTTATCTCCATTTTTCTTCTCCTCATCATCTGATACAAATTCCAAGACTTCATCATCATCATCATCGTTCTGTTTACCGGATCCTTTACTTCCAATTTTATCCCGAAGTACCACATCTTTGTGATTTTCCACAATACTCATCCTTGGTATGATTGCTGGTCTAGTAAAATCATTCAATAAGTTATCAGTTTGGTGGCCCATAAAAAAGCTATTTCCAGATCCAATGTTGAACTCATCATTCATAAAATACATGTCATTATCACCCTTCATTTCCTCCAATAAGTTCTTGGTTTCTTTTGCTAGCAAGTCATCGTCGTCACTCAATACAGTTTGATCGTTATTGTTGGCATTCCTCTGCTTTTTCAATTTCATTTTTTTCATTTGGGCCAATGTTTCATCATCGTAAGCATCAGCATGGTCTGCCTCATCAGCAGCAATCGCTTCTGCCAACTTGTCATTGTCGATTTCTTCATCATCCTTATCGTCATCATCGGCAGCAGCATGTTTGGCCAATTCTTTTTCATCAAGCACTGGATCCTCATCACTAGAATCAGTTAAAATAGCATTTTCATTATCAGACTTATCAATATCCGATAACGGAGAGTCAGAGTCGTCACCAAGCTTTGGTACCGGCAAAAAATTAGACTTATCAAGATTTGTGAGTCTTCTTTGAATACTTCTGCGATAGTTCTTAGGGTTCTTCACGGTTCTTGATCCCTCTACTTCTTCACCGACATCTTCTTTTTCTAATCCATGATCGTCTTCAAAAGAATCGAAATCAAAAGAGATATTAATATCAGAATCATCACCATCATTCGCTTTATTATTTTTTGAATTATTATTTGAGTCCGCATTTTCTTTATTTCTCAATCCTTTAGCTGCTTTGAGTGCTCTTTTCTTTCGCTGAGCAGTTAATTTTACAAAGTCCACATCCGATTCATATTCAGATGAATCATCATCATCATCATCATCATCATCATCATCATCATCATCATCATCATCATCATCTTCTTCTTCTTCATCATCATCGTCATCATCATCATCAACAATGACATTTCCTTCTTCATCTTCATCTTCTTCATAATCATCAATTTCAATATCCAATGATCCGTCATCACTCTGTTCAACATCATCGGCAGAACTGCCATCACTTATCAAACTAAACCTTCTTGAACTGGGTTTATTGATATTGCTGCTTTTTCCACCTCCTGGTCTTCTAGTTTTTAGTTTACCAATACTTTTTCCTCCGACCCTTGGTTGTTCTTCGGGAGATTTCCTTAGCTTAGCAAGGTTCTTGGATGAATACTTTTTAAAAGACTTTGATGACATTGGGTTATTCTTTCTTGATATTTTGGGTCTGAAGGCAGTATTCTGACTGTGTAATTTGCTGTTTGTCTTGTTAGCTGGATTACCACCCATAACCTTACTGCTATGGATTGGTTTTGAACTATTCGAACTCATGCTGACGGTTGAACGGGGCAATTTGTCTTTATATATTTTTCGTATCTATGATTTTCCTTTATCCTTGGCACAATAACAAAAAAAAAACCTCCCCTAAAACTCTTAGTCTGAGTTTCCCTATTTGATGATTGAAAATCAGGAAATGATAAATGTAATGTGATATAAAATTTCTCCTTGTTAATTCAGGGAAGCACTTCTAGATCAGTTGAAACAAGCTTGTACGGTACAATCACACTCAAAAAAGATAATATTAAACGCCCCCCAATGAATTGAAATATAAAAATAAATAATAAAGAAGTGCTCTAATTTGAGGCAATTTGGTGTTGGTATATTCACGTTTTCCAGGGGTTTTAATAGTGAAGTAGTAACGATGGTTCCAGTGTGTTTACAATTTTCCACTCCTTCGTGCTATATGATTTTATTGATTTTTTTAGGGAGAAAAAAAAAATAAAATAAAAAAAAAAAATTTTTTTCTTGCAATGTCACGAGACCTTTATCAATTTACGCTTGCGATGAGCTTCTTCTGCTACTTTAACCTTTACAGTAGTGACAAACAATACCATTTTGTATAGAAAAGTTATTTTTATTATCATTATTATTATTAGACAAAAACGAATTAGTAAATAGTGAAACTCTCACTCTACTAAACCACCACGTTTGGCAAGAGAGTAGAAGATCAGATCATGATTCTGCAATAATACTTCAGGTTTATCAAACTCCGCAACCTCACCCTTTTCAAGCACCAAGATCCGGTCACTATCCATTATAGTGTTGATTCTATGAGCAATAGTCAAAATGGTTCTTTCGCTAAACTCTTTTCTGATAGTCTCTTGGACAATCTTATCGGTTTCCACGTCAACTGCAGCAGTAGCCTCGTCCAACACTAAAATTTTAGATGGAATTAATAACGCTCTGGCTAAACACATCAATTGCTTTTGACCAACAGATAAGTTACCCCCGTTCTCTGTGACTCTCACACTCAACAAATCATTGATCTTGGTATCTGGAGAAGCAGCGTTCTGTTCATCAATCATTTTTAGGAGATGGGGTTTCATATGGGATAATTCAATGGACTTCAAGATCTTTTTGTCATCAAACGAGCTAGTTGGATCTAAATTGTCACGGATAGTACCTTCAAAGACTTGTGCATCTTGTGGGATAATAGACAATTTCCTACGCAAATCCGCAAGTCCAATGGCCGATGTGGACATCCCATCAATTACCACTTCACCTTCAGCTGGCTCAATAATACGATACAAAGCCATAGTTAGTGAAGATTTCCCTGCACCAGTTCTTCCAACAATACCAATTTTTTCTCTTGGGTTGATTTTCAAGCTGATGTTCTTCAACACCAAGTCCAATTCTTTTCTATATCTAGTAGAATAGCCCTTGAACTCAATGGCACCTTCTGTAGGCCAAGCATCGGCAGGTCTATTGGATTCAATTACTTCTGGAGCTTCTGGTTCTAACTTAGAATATTCTTCAATTCTTTCGACAGAAACAATATTTGTTTCCACTTCAACAGTCATTCTAACAGTCCAATTCAAAGACCCAGTAATTTGTAAAGCATAACTCACACTCAAACCAATCAAACCAGCACTAACTTTACCAGAAGCTAAGCCAAACATTGGCAAGGCAGCAGAACTGAAAATAACTAGCGAAGCCAAGAAATCCAATCTGGTTGCCAACCAACGGTTACAATTAACTGTTGAATGGTAAGCTTCCAAGTTATTATCAACTTTAACTTCATTAAGTTTGACAAACCTATTCTCTTGTCCGAACCCTCTGATTGTAGTGATACCGTTCAATGTTTCTTGGAAATGGGCGTAAATTGGACTTCTAGTGATAGATTCCAAACGCTTCAATTCTCTAGAGGTTCTCATATAGTATTGTTGGTAATAGATATATAAAACACTCAATGGGACAATCACCAACACAAATTGCCAAGTAGAAAAGCAAATAACCAAAATGGTGAACAAAACCTTGATAGATTGTTGGAAGAACGATTGGAAAACTCTACCCAAAACATCATCAATCTTGTTGATATCGTTGGAGAAACGGTTCAAGATTCTCCCGATTGGAGTGGTTTCGAAGAATGACATTGGAGCTCTAATGACAGCATTAGCCAAGCGGTTGTGTAAGTTTTTAGAACCCTTGATAACACAAACATTCCATAAAATAATACACTGAATCATCAAAGTAATACTTCCAGAAATCCCTAATAAAGCATAAATCAGAAGGTATCTCACCACGTGAGGATTATAACCTTCTTTAGAGTTAAGTTCTGACCAATATTTAAGCCAATAGTTGGCAGCGACATTCAAACCCATATTACTAACCGCCAAAAACAAAAACAACACCACAAATCTTGGATTGCACGCGTTAGCATAAGTCAAATAAACATCCCATTTGACATTACCACGTTCCATATGTTCCTTTCTGGCCTCTGAGGTCTTGTTCCTTTCATCATCATAAGTAACCACAGCATCATTCATAGTTGCTGTACTGGCTCTTCTCAAACTGGCAGCATCGTTGTTTTCTAATAGGTCATTCTCAATCGAGGCATTATCTTCAACCAATTCGTGACCCTTGAAAGTCTTGACATCATCTTGATCTCCGTTATCTGAGGACTCCTCTTCTTTATTTGCATCTTCGTTAACAGACGATTCTTCATCTTCAGTCTCTGAGGAACCGTCAACTTTTTTTTTACCAAATTGTTCAATCAATTGGGAAATTTTAGAAGTAGAACGTTGTTCATCGGTCATTTCATTCAAGGCTTTTGTAGAGGTCTGTTCAATAATTTCCCCATCTTCTAACATGGAAATGTTGTGGGCAATATGTAAGAAATGAACAGAGTTGGTAACCAACACTTTACATTTATGATGCAACATCCCTTTTTCACCAAACACATGATCGATCAAGTGTTTTCCAACATGTTCATCAACGGCAGCCAATGGGTCATCTAAAAGATACAAATCAGCACCCGCATAAATAGCTCTGGCCAAAGAGAGTCTTGCCTTTTGACCACCGGATAGGGAGATACCTTTTTCACCGACTTGGGTAAGATCACCATCAACAAAATTCTTCAAATCAACATTCAAATCACAAGCGAAAAGCACCTTTTCATAAAGTATAGGATCATACTTGTGGCCAAATAAAATATTTTCTTTGATAGTACCATTCATAATCCAAGCCACTTGAGACACATAGGCAACTTTCCCATGAATACTCAATTGACCTTGATATTTGTACAAATCCCCGAGCATCGATTTAATGAATGAAGATTTACCAGAACCGACTTTACCAATGACACAAGAAAGTTCACCTTTTTTCGCAACAAAGTTGATATTTTTGAGGGCCAAGTAGTTGTTGCTATTGTTAGCATCGGTGTCAGCGTCAGAGTAACGTTGGTTGAATTTGTTCCAAGAGTACGAGCAGTTGTCAAATTTCACCACTTCTTCACCCATTTTCTTAACTTTTCCCATACGGATAACAGCATTTGGGTCCAATTCATCTAACTGCAAGAATTCATTAAGACGATCTAAGGAGACACCACAATCTATGATAGCGGTGATGACATTAGGAATAACATTTAATGGGAAACCTAACAAGTTAAACAAGGCCAAGGCTGGGAAGACAATATCGGTTGTCAAAGGCTGGTCGTAAATCTTGATAAAGCCAATAAAGGTAGAACAACTAACAAAGAATGGGATCATATTCCACATAGACATATTGATTGCCTTGAAGACAGAAATTTGTGCCATGTTTTTGAGTTCCTTATCATTTCTCCAATGGTCTAATTTAGCTCTGTAAGGGTTTTCCCAATTATATAATTTAAGCGATTTGATATTACTCAAAATTTCTGAAATGACCTTAATTCTGGTATCTTTGAATTTCATTTGCTTCTTTTGTAATTTCTTTTGGAATCTCACCAACGAAGTGTTAACAACAACCATAATTGCCATAATTGCAAACCCAAACCACATTGAATTCTTCAAGATACGGTACAATGAAATTAAACATAAAATGATTTGAAATGGCGCAGACCAAATGACCTGACCAAACTCAGTAATATCTTGGATTCTCTGGGTATCAATAGACATCAAGTTGACAATGTCACCGGTCGATTTCTTATTTCTGGATTCTGGTGACAACACTAATGACTTGTCATAAATGAAACCAATTAATGAGGATTTGATTTTGATTCCGGAACTATAAGTGTTGAAAAAATATTGATTGATGCAACAACCTTGAATAATCGACACGAAAAGCATACCAAAGGCAATAGCAAAACCCTTGATCAAAGGAGGTCTAATGTCGTCTGGTTCACTATTAAAATCATTAACAAATTTGATCAAAGCTTTCAATAGTTGGGGTTGAGTGAAATTTAACACATCAGAGACGCACTTGAAGCAAGCAGCGATGAATACATTATAGCCAAAACTTTTCAAGATACATTTGAATAAAGACACATGCTTAGACTTCTTTGCCTTGAAATTGGCGATTTCTTTTTCATAATGTTCAGCCAAACTTGTAGTGACCAAACCATTTTCAAACCCTTTTGGCAAGTTTGGCAAATCGTTCAATGTCAAATATTTGCTGTAGCCCAATTTCATCAACTTTGTCATCCATCCAAAGTAAAGTATAGAAAGAACGTTGGCCGAGTCCAATGGATTCTCCTTTTCCTTTTGAAATATCAAGAAACTACCCAAGGTGGTGGACGGGGTCATCTTCTTTGGAACTGATTGAGTGATCAAGATAAAAACGGAGTTAATGAATGTTAATACGGTGAGAGTCACGTTAATCTTGGTAATAAACAAGTCATCAACTAATTGCAAGGAATGGGATTGATAGAAGTATCTGACACTCAAGTTGAAAACTTTGAAAAAATGGAGCAAAGAACCAGCGAGCCAGTAGATCAACAACACTGCAGAACTGGTTTGTAGCTTCTTGAAATCTAAATAAGTCAAAGGTAAAATGATGACAAATAATACAATCAATTCAAAGAAGGACTCAAACTTGATAAGCTCGGATGATAAGTAGTATTCACCATTATCAATTGCCACCAAGAAGAACTTCAAAAGGAATTGGAAAACAATCAAAGCAAATCTTGAGATCACAAACGCGTCTGGCTTATAGGTATTATTACTAAGTGTAGTAGAGTTTCTGAAGATTAACTGGTACAATACATAGGAACCAGCCACTAAGCCGAAAATGCTCAATGCATTGAATAAAGCACCATACAAGAAGCAAGGAGTGAAATCAAAGTACTGGGACAAAGGTCCCCAGTCCTCACTACTCTCGCACTGTAAGCAAGATAAAGAGTATGGGTATATCAGAACCATTATTTGTACAGTGATGTTTGAAAGAGTGGTTAGTTATCGTGAAAAATTAATGGGTGATAACATTTTTCTTTTGGTAATTACCAAGCAGCCGATGCTGACAAACCAAGAAACCACTTCAGTGGTATATGCATTGAGATTTCTCATCACGTGCCTGGGTTTTGCAGTTTGTGGCACTTTTCAGCGATGTTTTGGTGGAAAGGACGATACCTCAACACTGGCTAGCAATGATAGTGATACAAATATGACAGATTCTTTTTATTCGACGTCCCATTACCTCTCTCACAATGTCAAGGTTCATGTTTCACATGCTGCCAACCCTTTCTTTGCTGGTGATATTGTTAGAACATTGATCACTTTCCTACACATTGATCCAGGCCAACCTTCAGATCCCGCTGATGATGCTGATGTACATGCTGATGATAATAATAGAAATGATGACGCTGATGATGATGATGAAACGAATCAATCCAGTCAAGAAAATCTGTGGAGTAGAAGAATCTCCAGTCAATTCTCCCGGTCTCTATTTCTCAGTCAACTAGAGGAATCGGAACGTAAGCTCATTGAACCTTCTAAACAGTCATTTGATACATCAGAGACATTCCTTTCTGGGAGTCTCCAGCTATTTGGTCATTTCTCAGTAGATGATGAGGTGGTTGATATTTCCAAGTTCGAGAAGCTTAGGCAATCGTCAATTATTGGTGGGTGCGTTGCTGGTGTTCCATCATTAAAAATCTCCACAAATGTCCCTAAGTCCTTCTTTCAAAATTTGTCTTCTAACCTTTCATATATCTTAAGCTCTGATATTGGCGAACTAAATCATATAGTGCTCAATGGGGTTGCAACAGATTCTAGAGGGCCATTAGAAGCTATTCACCCATTGTTTGTCACAAATCAATTGCTAATGTTTCCCTCTTTGACATTGAAGCCCGGAAACATTAAACAGTATTACTTGGAGTTTAAACTTCCGCATTCCCTTCCACCAAGCTATCACTCAGAAAATCTACTGATATCATATGATTTAATCCTTAATGCTGAAAGATTGCGAAATATCAGTTCTGTGCCTTCCAACATCAGCATAACCTTTCCTTTGAAGATTGCCATAGGCCCAAATTCTAAGGGGCTTCAAGTGGTTCCATTATTTCAAAAGGAATTTTCTCTTAATAGAAAATATTTACAAAGTAAATTAACCCAAAGAAACGTCCTAGTTGAGCTTGATAATGATGTTCCGTATGAGGACTTTTCATTTGTGTCGAATTTAAAAAATGACGTTTCCAATATCACTTCTATTAGGGAAGAAGCTGAACTCTCTGATGATGATGAAATTCAAAATAGAGAGAGCATTTTTAAGACTGAATTTATCAACACAATGAAAACTTTGATGAACGAGAAGAGTCTAACTACTACTGAACAAATTAAAAGTCTTCCAAATTCACCTTTGATCAACAACCAAGAGTTCACCAATATTGATGCTGTCATTAGTTCTAATTCCAATCCTTTTGAAAACGCAAATTTGCTGGCAGATTTACCGTTCATTTCTGGAAGAGAATGTATTAAACAATTTACTCTGGCTGTTACTTCCGATGGCCTTATAGGACTGAATTCTCAACAAAATATGTACCTTGATAAGGACCATGCATATCAGCCAATAATTAAGAAATCTCAATTGAAGACTCAATTTCTTGTTAAGTTTAAAAATAAGTTTACGACCAGGCTAATTTTTGATAAACCATTTTATAAAATTGGAGATTCAATCAATCTATGTTTCGATTTTGTGAACTCATTGCCAGACCATAAGGATTCTCTCACAGTTTCAGGTATATCTGTTTCTTTGGAATCGGTGGAAAGATTCAAATATGAGTACTTATTGGACTATCAAAACTCAATTGAAGAAATGCATAAACAATTTCAAGAAAATCCGCAACAGGCATACAAAAGCTGGAAAATGCCATCTCCAGCCAACGGTTCACAGTATCAGCAAATGAGCTATGAACAAATCAATGATAATATATACATTGAGAGAGAGCTCAATAACACAAATCCAACCTATTGGAAGAAATTTACACATATACATTGGGTGAAAAAGTACTCATTGTTGAGCAGCAGTTTCAAGAAATTTAATGTCAATGATTTATTCTTGGACTATTCTTTAACCCCTCAATTCAATAGTGACATTTTCAGGTTGAAGTATTACTTATCCTTCAAATTTGTCATCTTGGAGGAAGATGGTGAGAATACACACGGCGTATACTTAAAAAATCTTCATCATGATACCAACGGTGATTTATTCGGGGTTAAAGATTCGCTAAATGGGGTAACATTAGGTATAAAGATTCCTTTGAATATCTTGGCTTCTGATAGTGATTTTCATAACATCAACATATAAGTCTTTGCGATGCTCTTTTTTTTTCTTACACTTATATGGACGGTATCAATAATAAGACCTCTTTATATAATGCTCTATATGCTATGGTTTCGTAAAGTGTAACTCCACTTTATTATCTGTCAAAGTATCCCAGGCATAATAACTCATTAAATTTCCTGATTTTAAATTAGTGAATTCAGTTCTTTTGGCAATCATTCTCTTGATATCTGAAGATTTACCTTCTGGAACACAAAAGATAAAATTATTTAGTGATACAAAATCGAGTTCGCTCCAATTTTTCCATATTTCGCTAAACTTCAAAATCGAATAATTCAATTTCAAATTATCTATCTTGATATGATGTTTTGGATTCAAATTAAACTCCTTGATCATTCCTTCTCTCTTGTTCTTGTCTTTGTAGAATTGAAAAATCAAATATATCAAAGTCTTGTTGAAATTCTGGAAATATTGAATTCTGTCAGGTAAAGATTTTATACCAGACTGCAAGTTCCCTGATGTTTGGTAAATTGCATGGAAATCCCAAACCATTCCGGAGTCCAAATGGTTCACCAATAAATTATAAACGAATTTCAAGTGATCACTGCAATCTCTATCAATTGGATTCTCTTTTATAAATAACAAATGTTCGTACCCAAGGATTCTGCTAGCAGTGTCCAAATTTGACTCATTGTTTTTGAAGATAATTTTGGATGTAGGTAAAAAATCGTGGCGTAACAAGAATTCCAATGGCAATATTTCATTATTCAAATCATAATTGTTCACCAATACGTTCAAGTATGTGGACATTTCAAACTTGAATCTGAGTACGTTTTTAATATATGGAGAGTCCATTAAATTGAGTTCACTGACTTTATGGACTAACACTCGATGTGTTGGGCTATTATTATTTGTACTGTTGGTACCGCTGGCAGAATTGTTATTAGGTGGTATGTTGTTTATATTGAATTTCTTGGTGATTGGAGAGCCGGTTGGTGTAACAATGCCATTGGAGAACTTTGTCTTTCTAGGGGTGGTTGAAGGCGAAGTTTTGGAAGCCTCTTTGCTTTCGGCATCAATAATTTTGGCAAACTGTGACCTCAAATCGTTGACAGACTGCTTGGCTTTCAATATATCCTTCTCAAATCTTGTAGTACTATGATGATTAGCAATATTATTAATTTTGGAAGGAGACTCGATATACAAACTATCAGAAGATCCGTTGGCAGTGCCTTCAAGGCTAGCGCTGCTCATATTATTTAAAGCATATATGCTCTTTTTCTTTTTCAATTTGTTCACCTGCTCTTCATCCATATCATCCAATAAATATTTACCTTTCAACAATACCCAAAAGTACAAATAATACAACAGGTCGACTAAACTGGGTTCTGAAGTAGCGACAAACCATTCGAAACGGTAACTCTCATTGGCAATCTGCGGTTTATTGTGCAATTCATAATTCTTTTGTCTGGCGATTTCCTGGATCTGGAAGATGATTTCTTTTCTCTTCAATTGGTCATCAAGCAATAGATGGAACTTTCTCAAGAATTGGGACTTTGATGATTCAAGAGGCTTATCGTGGATAGTGGGTTCATTAAACACCGTCATTTGTGGCTGAGAGCAAAAAAAAAATGGATACTGAATTAATATATATGAAAAAAAAAAGAGAGAAAAAAAGATAGAAAGGGGATGAAAATTGCAAAATGGGAATAATAGGAACCGCCGATTTGATGCCAGTGGTAAGAGCGATGCGGGAAGGTACACAGATAATAATTAGTGGGTCTGAATTAATAGAAAAAAAAAACGATCTGGCACTTTTTTTCTTTTTGGGAAACACAGGGCTTTACGCACGCATAATGAAACCCGCGTTGAAACACTCCTGACATGAGGATACTCTCTGTTGGACTGATACTTATAAAGTATTCAATATCCTACGAGATTGATGTTTACATAGGTATTTGCACTTGTTTGGCACCAATTCTTTACTTAGTAATCCAATTCTGGAAACAAAAAGCTCGCCAATCTTGGTTATCAATCATCCCCCATTCCATTCATTTAAAATAAATATCAATAATGTTGGCAAAGTCCTTGATCGCTCTTTTGGTTTCCTCTGCCCTATTATCTACTCTGTTTGCCGAAGTCATTCAGGAAAACGAGTTGAGAGCTATTCAAGATTCGTTTTTCAAAAGAGATGCCGAAGCTGAACCGGCTCCAGTTGCTCAAGAGTTTGAAGAACTTGAGGCCAGAGCGGATGCCACTACTTTCACTTTGACGGACATTGTCACCGTCACCTCCTCCACTGATGTTGTTATTAGCTTTACAGGCCCATTCAGTACTTGTCCAACATCTTCTTTGGCATACCACTCTAGTTAGTCTCAAAAAACCAGAAATTCTCAATTAATAATCACTATTCTTCTTCCCAAAATTCCATTTTCAATTTTTCATTATTCTTCTGGATGAACTTCTTTTCAATTCTCATTGCTCTTAATTGTATATCTATAGACTTAATTTAAAACTGCAATTATTTTAAAACACTGTTAAAAAAACAAAATTCAAATGTTTCACATTATATTTCAAAGCTTATTCAAATGACGTGTAATGCAACTATAGACAAGGATACGTGGTTCAGTTGGATCATCTTTTCGCCTCGTTCGTCGATTTCCACTGATATAAACGTAACAGATTATTTTTTTGTAAATTCATTGCCACTACCTCTTTTTCTTTACTACCGTCTGGGTCTGAGAGCGATTCCACTGTAACTTTCAGGTTTACTAATGTCATTAGCTTTCGCTGATGCTGTTCCTTCGATATACTTAACATGTAGTAAGAGTTACCAAGATCATTATTATTGTTATTGGTATTATTGTTATTTTTATTATTATTATTATTTTTATTATCATTATTATTATTATTATTATTATTATTATTATTATTATTATTATTATTATTATTATTATTATTATTATGAGATGGTTTGGTGCCAACAGAATACCTGACATAATCTTTGTTGTCAAAGACTTTCATCTTTGAAAACTTGCTGAGACAATAATTCAAGTGTGTATCGAACTCTTCTTTATTCAAGAGTGACGGAGCTCTTAAAAATCGAAATGAGAAAAACCCGTGGTACTTGCTAGGAATATCACTGTCGCTCATAGCCTCAAAGGCCTTTTTCTTTTCATATTTTGTCATCAGTTGGATATTTTCTTTATTTGCTACCGAAAGGAAAAAATCTTGGACCTTATCACGAACATGACATCTCGCTCTCCTTCGGATAAATACTGCATCGAGAGGATCTAGACTCCCTGCAACAATCCTCAAATCATCCAACACAGAAGATAACTTTCCAGGGGATCCAGATGTATGCTGAAGCTTCAGCATTGGGATATTATAAACAGTAGAATCTTTTCTGGCGTATTCATAATGAATGGCAAATGGGTAGGTTTTTTGAAATGCTGAACAATAAGTATCTTTGGGAAAAAATTTAACATGAAAGTATGGGCACTTATAAAAAAGGGGTAAACCTGAAAGATCACTTCTGTATAAAAACGGCACTCCTCTGGCCACTATCCCCTTTATCTTCATTTTTGATAATCGAAAGTTTCCTCATCGTTATCAAAAGCACTGACATCGCGCAAAAAAATTTTAAGGATCAAAAATACTATTACTCGCACTACTGAAATTCCCAAGGTTTTGTTACAGAATATCACTAAAAGCAAAATATCCAACAAAAAACAGATACAATATATAATATATACTATTCGTAAAGTATGAATAAGAGCAAGAAAATAATAGTAGTGAAAAAAAAAAAAAAATGAAAAAAATATTAACCAATAAAATGTATCATTTTCTGACCCAAGAACTCCATGAAGACATCCAAGTACCCTTCTGACTTTGATTTTCTTGATTATTTTTCTGTGACACCTTAATTGGATTGTTCATCTCAATTTCGTCATTAATTGAGTTCAATATCGTCAAATCATCTAAAGAGAAAGAACCAGATTCTAATGTCGAGTACTTCAAACCCTCTTTGCTAGAATGTTTATCAACCCCCAGACTAGAGCTGCGCACTGAACCGTTATCGTGTGAATTTTGCGTTGATGTGGACAAACTGTTCACATCAGAATGCTGATAACTATTTGAATTTCGGTATAACAATGGGTTGTTCAGTAATCTATTCTGGACATTAGCTCTTAAGAAGTTTAACCCATCAATAAGTTGGTTCCGATTGTAATTTCTATCAAATTCCTCTTGCTTTTGGTTGAAATTGTCTGTCATTGCAACATGTAATGGATCGAAAATGTAGAAAATTTCGTTGTCAGTTAGTCTATCAAAGGCTTTATAATTATCAGTGGACATCCAAGTTTTCATAAAATGAAGATTGAAGTTATCAATATTATTTATATCAACTCCTGATACGAGCATGGACTGATTAACCACTGGGTTTCTTTGTGGAGAAGTAGTTTGGTCCACGAAAGTAGTCTTGTATCCCAATTTATTCAAAAATTTATCATATTTCACTGATGATAAGAGGCCCAATAAATAATCCTCAAAGAAAAGTCTGATATAATCCTCTGAACCATTGAAACTGGTTTCCTCTTCAATAAAATTCTCGTCGTTATTCTTATCCGCGCTATTGTAATAAAATTCATCAACATTTTTGGTCACGAAATCAATAAATCTTCTATCGCAAGATGTTAATGAAAGAGCTGGATTCAATTGTTTGTTGACCACCTGTACAGAAAAATCATCCAAATTAACCATCACATCACAGTATTTCTCCTTTTGACCTAATAAGAGGTCATTTGATGAGCCCATAACATAATGAGTAATCTTATCATTAGAGGTGATATCGCTGAGTTGTTGTAAAGGGGTATAAGGGTTGAAAACACCATTTAATCCAAACGGTTGTAATGGCAACCCCAAAAATTTCAATAATGAGTACCGGTTTGAAGTCTTCAAATTCAAAGACTTGGAAGAATTAAGCTCAAGGAAATTCAAATATGGGGAGCCACAGTCATTCAAATTCGAAATCAAATTAGGAATTAACGAAATTAAAGCAAGTTGAGCGTTACATAATTTTTCAATGTTTTTACTGAAAAATAACACCTTCTTCTCCAACAATATTGCCTTGAAAATAGTCAAAACATTTCTTTTAAGGAAATGAATAAGCTCCTTTAATGATAACCCGACATAGAAGTCATTTTCTTTCAACACACTAGTGATGCCTTCATTGACATTATTTGGAGAAACCTTCAACACTTCACTTCTTTGTTGTTCTACCAATTTTGGATCAGGAGAATACAAATTGCACAAGTTGTCAAATAAGATTTTCAAGAGTGACTTATCGGTAAAATCCTTTTGCAAGAAAAACGATTTCGTGATGATACTTAACTTTTCTTTCAATTGACCAAAAATTGGTTGACGACATAATATGACAATTGATTTTTGCACCGAAGTTCTGGTTATGCCTGGACTCTTAACAGTTAACTCATCGGTAGATATCTGTCTGACGCAAGAAATTGCCCATAATGTAGTCACATTCTCATTAAATTTAACCAAATCTTTTTCAACTTCATCTTCTAATGTATCGTTTTTCAATTTATTATCTAGACTGGAAACATCGATGTTTCCATTCAAAGCATCGTAGTCCTTTAGATTCTCATATTTTCCAACATCACAGAGATTGTTTAATGTCATTCCGTTACTCTCATCGTACAAAACATTGAAATACGAAAAAGTTTCTTCGAAGTCATGAGAGCCATCTGGTAAAGCTTGGAATGGTAATACCGGCCACTTGGAGCTCATCAAACTAATGGATTCTGGAGATTCATTAATATCAATTTCACCATTCTCATCGATCCAATATTCAATTTCAGGACCTCTAATATGATTGAAATCACATAAGCAGACCGCAAATACGATACTATTCATCGGATCCATTTTCGGAGTTTTTGGGAACTTCCGCTTATTCAAAGAAGGAAGGGGCAATGGTAAGTCAGAGGATATAATGGGCTTCGATCCCCTTTTGCTATACATTTCTTTGATTTCACCAGTTACACGCTCTCTGGTGTTTGGTGACATCGGAGCATCAAGAGTTGATGGAGATGGTGAGTGTAGCACTTGGTTCCTTATCACTTTTGGCGAGCTATCGAGTACTTTAGGGACTCCCATGAATGGAGAAATTTTATTGGCATATGGGTTGGTATTTGGGGATACAGTAGTAAAACGTCTATCCATTTCCAGAGCAGGTGAAGAAACTCCAGAAAATGTTGGTGATTTTTCAAATAGTGGACTTTTATCGAATATCGGCGACCGTCTTCTAGAGCCGCTGACAATTCTTTGCTTTGACGCTTTAGGTGAGAATATAGGAATTATTGGTGAAGATTTCACGAAGGGCTTGAATTTAGGAGAAACCACCTCTCTACTAGCATCATTACTAACTCTTCTAGAACTGCTTATTGGCCGAAGCTTGAAGTTTCCAATTTCTGAAGGTGAGTCATCGATTTTGGACACTACCTCCAGATCTTGCATGATATCAACAGAAGCTTCACTGGCAGGAGTTGCTGTAACATCAACTGCAAATGGATTAACTTCTGCAAAGCTTGAACCTATTGGTGAGGCTATAGATTCAGACTCTTCCACTGCAAAGTCAGATGTTGTTGTTGGGCTTTTTTCATATTCATCATCTTTCAACTCTTGGCCAACTTGAGAAATCTGGCTTCTCTTTTGCTCAATCTCCTCTTTTAAATCCAGTCTATCTTCTCCGGTGCTGAGATCTTTTTCACGGCTTTCTTCGGAACTCCAGACATTATTCTCCGGCTCAACTGTAGCTTCGCTTATAATTGGGGATTCGAAAATTGAGCCATCATTTCCTTTAGTATCTTGAACGCTCAAAAAGTCTTCCTGCTTACCTTTTGCAGCTTTGCCTCCTCCTGTGTAATCATCTGAACTAACGTCATCAAAAGAATTGTTTCCAGAGCCAGCTTTGAAGGCATCTGTTGAGTGTTTTTCAGTCTGGTTTGGTGGCAATGTGATTTCCTCCAGCAATACCTTTCTGTCAAAAGCAGAAACGAAGTCTGGGTTATCAGATTCAACAGATCCTATATGCTCATTTGGTGGTTCATCTTTTTGTGAGTCCAACTTCAAGTCTTTTTGCAAGGCATGTGAAACATCGACGTCTGATCCCTCGCCGATCTCAAGCTCCTTTGATTTGGAAATACGGTGGTCATCATGGTTATGGTTTGAAGTAAGTTGTTCATTGAGATTTCCAGTCACAGAAAATTCAAAATCGGATTCCACTCCAGGGGATAAAAAGGACCCTGAATCATCTATAGCAGAGCTTAGCGCAGTATTATACGGATCAATGTCACTAAGATTTTGAGCTCTATCGATTGCAGGGTTGATATGAAGTTTTTTGGCATCTTTTTCCATGACTAGCATCCCATGGTTTGCTGGGAGATGTTCTGCTTTCAGTGTATTGGAATCTTCCTTCAAAATAATTACTTTGTCTTTTTCATTCTCATGATTGGATTCTGTATCAATTACGTGAGTATTGGATTGACTTTTAGAAGGAGCTCTAGCTTCTTCAAATACAAAATCAACATCGTCATCGTCATCACTATCTTCAATGTCATGCAGTTCAACTTCACTCTCTTCAACATTATGATCTGCTTTTCTTTCAACTTTTTCGGTGCCTTTAATATTATTAATATCACTACCTTCAGTATCTGAGAGTATATTTTTATCCTCATGATTGTTATGATCATTTTTGTCTATTTCTTTTGCGTCAATTGAGGCAATTGGCTGTTGCAGACGGGAATCCTCAAACACAAAGTCATCATCATCATCATCATCATCATCATCATCATCATCATCATCATCACTGAAATCTTCGAGCTCATCAAAGTGCTGTGTTTCAAAGGTAATGCCTTCCTCTGTTTCCATGTGGCTGTTAGATGTGATACTTGCTCTCACCACAGAGACATCATCGCTGCCTGGCTTGGGACTTGACACTTGATTCGAATTATCATTTTCCTGAACTGATTTGTTATCCAACAACGGACTCCCAAGATTCGATTTTTTTCGCAAACTACTGTCTTTCTGCTCCAAAACAGGGGATTCAAACATGTGTTTTAGTTTGTTCATTTTGGGGCTCAACACTTTTTTTGCTTTCTGATCTGATGTGTCGTCAGCTGGAGGAACATTGATCTCCAAGCCCTTTTTATCGGAAAGCGATGCCGTTGTGGACACCGATTCTACATCCAGATGGGCGTCATGCAAAATAGTATTTTCGGTGGGTTCAGACATTGGATAAAATCACCGCCTTGTCGGATGGTCTTACAAATTTTGTTTGTGGTACCGGGGAAGGCTGATTTTGAAAAATCGATGAAAATACAGACACGTTACGCAGCCCCTTCCTTGCATCTCTCAGATGTATACCATCATGCCGGGAAACTTCTCGCTGATTTTAGTGGAATTGGCTATAAATCCAAATATGTTTACTTATTTAAATAAAAAATTTCAGCAAAACAAAATTCTGCTACATTGGAAAAACAAAAATATTCTCTGAACCAAATTTATCCTGTGCCTACTACTGCTTCAAATTACACAACATCGACTCGTTGTGGCAGCCCATTTTATCAGGAAACAATAACACGATTTCTTTGAAAATTATTGCTTTACGTTAATCTTAGCCATTAAGAGGCAGGCCAGAGTAGAATTTTGAGATCTCTGGCCTGTTTTGATTCTTCGTGAAAAGCAAATGAAAATATTAACTAGTTCACACAAATGGCTTTCCAAGTCATCAAAGATAAAAAAAAAAAAAGTAGAAGAATAGAAAAAAATTGAACAATAATAATTTTATATTGAAAATATAATACAATTTCACATAACTTTTAAACTATAATACATCTAAGTTTTTCCTTGAGATCTTAGTATGATGGGAAAGTGTGCATAGACATTTCTGTAATTTCGTCTTCAAGTCTCTGGAAAAAGTCGTTACTTGACTGGCCAGAGTCATTCTGAACTTCGGGCTCCGAAGCATCTGGTGCTTCTTCGTTCTTGTGATCTAAATGTACTGGAACATCTTCATCGCTATCACATTCCTTAATTTTCTGTCTCTTTCTCATTACACCTCCTTTTTCATCTTTTGTGTCAGAGTCACTGTCTTCAAATTCTCTTTTCCGTCTTGATAGCAACTCATGGTCAATATTTAGCTTATCAAGGGGATAATAACAGCCTTGATGGTCAAAGTTATATTTAGAATCCAAATAGATAAATCTCGGTAACGTAAAATTTTGAGATTCGAATTTAAGATACTTTTTAAACAAAAAGTCATAAATAGCAGAACCTTTTTTAATCTTTTTGAACACTGCGTGGCTTCCTGACAGTGGAATGGACTTTAAATACTTTTCAAAGGACATATCCATGAAATCAAGGTTTACCTTAGTAATATAATTCTTGAAAAACATTTTCAGTTTAATGAAAGATTCATAGAGTTCTCTCTTCATATCCAAATATGAATGCTGACTCCAATCCTGTACCTGTTGATATTTCGATATAAAGTCATTAATATATTTGCGATTTTTTCCATAAATCGGATGTCTTCCCTGGAGTATAGAGTACGTTCTGAAGAATAACTGCTGGGGGTCGAAATTCCGTTTGAGATCTTTACTTGGAAGTAAATTATTTCCGCCATCAACATTGTATCCGCTAAGATAATTCAACAACATTCTTTGATGTAGTTGTGAAACCTCTTGGTCGGCCTCTTCAATTATTTCAGTTTCTTTGTAAAATAAATTCAATAATCTATCATCATCCAAAGATCCAGGTTTATCTATAATGAAATCAGGATCAAATTTTGGATCTGCAGAAACCTTTAATTTTTTAAATATTTCATCATCATGATCTACCTTATCATCATGATCCACCTCATCTTCGTCATCGCCGCGCTCATTATCATCATTATCATAAAAGTAATAAGAATAATAATTGTAATCATCATCATCATCATCATCATCATCAGCTACACCATCGTCTTCGTCACCATAATCTTCATCTTCGTCTTGGCAATCATCATTGTCACCATGAAATTCATTCTTCTCATCCCCGTCTTCCTCTCTCTCAATCAATCCTGTTGTTTTCTTGTTCCTATTTTCACCAAATAAATGGCCGCGGCTTTTTGTTATCCTATCTTCCACACCTTGTTCGGTAGACTTTATTGTAGACCGGTTAGTAGTTTCCAACATACTGACATCTACTGTGGTATTAACATCTAATAAATTTTCAATATCGCCAGCATCATCGACTTCAGATTGTATCAATTTTGAGTTCAGGCCCCCATGTTTTTCTAAAAAATCGTTCAAATGATGTGTCATATAAGCCAATAGTTGAGCGGAAGTTATAGGTTTAGGTAAGAATTCAATATATGAATCAAAATAGATAGGTTCATAATTTCCTTTAATGATATTTTGCTTTTCAAAATCTTCCCTTTCTTTTTTGAAAGACCGAGGGAATAGTCTAGTAATTCTCGGATAAAGGGGTTTCATCTCTGAATTTTCCGAATCTTCATAGAGACCAGTCTGCTGAAAGACTTCAGATACAACACCACTGGTAGTCGTCTTCTTCTCGGTTAATTCTAATCTTTTTGGCAAATCTCCAAGAACTATTGGTATAGACAATGGATTTATCATTATATTTTTAGGATTTCCGGAGTTGATGAAACCATTATTATCAGGAAATAAATTACCATCATGAAAGAGACTTTGGATATCTTGGTGTTTAACATTAATCACTGGGAAAGAATCTTCACCGCCAATAGAACCACTTTGTTCGTACAGGTAAGGTAATTTAGACCGAATTAGTTTCTTCACTATGTCGGTAACGTAGCCTACGACAATCTTCTCCAAGGACTCATAGAAAGTCATATCGCCAGCGGCTCTCCACACCCCACTAAACCTGGTTTCAGTAAGTTTGTCTCTCATGAGATCGTCTTCCAATTTCACTTTCTTTAAATCTTGCGCGAATCTACTCATTGAGAAAATTCCTCTTGATAGCTCCTGAAACTTTGGGATATTAAATATATGGTCCTCATCATCCGAACTTTTCGATGCAATTATGTAATCTAACAATTTACGCTTACTTGGAGTTTCAATATCGTATCCTTCTTTATTCACAAAGTATGCTTGCGCCTCTTCCATTTCAATGAAAAACTCATCCATTTCATGAGCTATTGGAAGCTGCTTGTATGACAAAATCTTCTTGTAACTTCGCCTATTGTGCTTCATGACTAAAAGTTGCTTTTTGAGAATGTTGTAATAATTCAATATTTGAATTTCCGATTTGTTTGGTAATAAAGACTTTATAGATGCCAAATCATAAATCGAAAACCTAGAAAGACCTGTGAAAAAGCATTCCTTTTCTTCATGGGTCCATAAAGTACCATAAACTTCATGACCATCTGCATTGGCTTCTTCTTCATCTGAATAGTCATCGTCTGATTCAGATGGTTCATCACTTTGGGAATCATTGTGGGCTTCATCGGGCTTTTCTTTTTGGTTTCGGCTCCTTGGCTTGTTGCATTTATAAAACACTTGACCATCCGCAGTTATTATCATATTTCTTAACTTCTGGGTGGTATAATGCAAACTGGGGTTTAAAGCAGCTTCATCACCAAAATCGATACGGCGTCTTCCTGCCTCCACCTGTGATACATAAAGATTAAAGAAATTCAAGTAGCTGTCGCTTATCTTCTTTGAATTCCCAGTTAGTGGCTGATGTCTATGTAGCCCTTTTTTGTCTCCGGCCATTGTTATGGTTTTCTGTTGGCGTACATGTTCTTCCTTCCTTCCTTCCGTCCTTATTCTCTTAAAGGGCTACTTACAATTTTTTTATTGTCATTTTTTTTTGTTTTATTTTTTTTTTTTGCCCATAAATCAACGGGGCTGCAAACCAAAATGGCCATTTTGAATGATCCAAACTTTTGGTACTTTAAGGGCTCGATCAACGGCTACGCATATAGTATGTTATTATTAGCCATAATCCCGAATGTGCAGAGTCAAAGAGTTCAGGAAAGCTTCTTGTTCTATATGAAAATCCTTTTTTTGCAAATAAAACCCACGAAATGAAACCCAAAACCCAAAAAATAAACGGTACAGAAAAATCTTCTAGTTCCAATTCATTCATAAAAAATCGTTCGTCTTGTTCCAATTAAAATGACTTGTTAGCCCTTCGAGCTTAACAGCCTGCAATCTGAAACTATCCTGTTTGACTTGAATTTTCCATTTGGATTTGATAATGGTTAATGGAATTTCATCTAAATGTGCCAGATTAGCAACAACACTACTGAGCCATCCTTCTTTCATTGCATTATCATTTAATTTCAAGTAACAACTATTCTCCACAACAGCTTGGATAGTTAACGAGTTAGTGATCTCAGGATTTTCATTGTGAAAGATCATGAAACAGTTAGAAAGAAATGGGTTGGAGATAAAGTTGGAGAATAGGCTTTGCATTTGTTTGGCAGTATTGTTGATAAACTTTACTTTTACCATATTCGCTGCTCTGTCAATAATCATAAATGTTTCCGTTGAAATTATCTGAAGGATTAATACTCGGTATATATTTGTATCAACATATGGTCTCGAATATTTGGCAAAATGATACTCTTTTGAAAAACTGATATCTTGAGTTATATCCTGATCAGAATTAGGAGTCTGAACGTTACTGCCAGGCGTCAATGTAGGATTGACCAGTAACCCTTTTCTTTTAACATCTTTCAAGTTGATAGTGATTTCCTCCTGAATTGTGAAGGGATTCAAAGTGATCGAATGTTTGACCAATCGTTGCTCGAGTTCCAAAAATCGATAATAACGACATTCTCTCATCAATTTGTTTCTCATATCGTCGCATTGTATGGGGACTTCGTAGCCCTGTAAATAATTCAAAATTATCTCAAACAACTTATCACAACGATCAATCAATACAATTGGAGCTTGTGGAGGAGGCCTGAGTAGATCCAAATTAGAAATCAAAGTAGTCGGGTCTTTAAAAATAGTATTATAAGCGATAGAGAAAAAATTTGGAAAGTTTCCTTTCGAATTCATAGTTTTCTTGGAAATTTTGAATGATTTATTACCGATATTCACAAAGATATCAGAGCGATAAAGTTGTTCTTTCAATCTTGGCAAATCGTAATAAAAGGCATCACTGAACAAATATACGAAATCCATAGGAGTTTTGACTTCCACAAAGTATCCTTGGAGATGAAGAATGATTCTATCAAATACCACAGGGGAGCGATCGATAAATAAGGTCTTATCAGCATTTTCAGGTTTACTAAAATAATTTGTGAAATAAGAAGGGGAATCTGATGATAGCGAGGCACCACTTATCTTGTAGCACTTACTTCCAACTTGGATAGAGTACATTCGTTCCATTGGCAAAATCTCGGGGATTTTTGGGATGAATTCTGCTCGAAACTCCCCATCAACATCAGGGGCCGATATTTCAGAGATATTTTGGTTCATTATAGCTTCTCTGATCCTATAATTAGTTGAACTTGCTATGCAAAATTTGAAGATTTATGGCAGTTTTTCCTATTGATAAGTTGATGTGTCGTGCGTTTAGACCACCGTAGATTTTTTTTTTTTTTTTTTTAAAATGAAAATTTTTGAGACCCCAGACTACTTAAAGCAATATTTAAAGGCTAAATATCTAAGGAATCATGTTGAAACATCCATTCTCTTCTTTAGTGATTAATAAAGAAGGCACTTTGCTCTTTGTTACGGTGCAAAATAACATTTTAGTCTATGAATTGCAAACCAAGGAACTTTTGGATAGATGGACTGATGAAGTAAGCACAGATTTTGTGATCAAAAAGAAGTTTGAGAAAATTATTGAGGAGGCCAAGAAAAAAAAAGAAGATCTGGAAAAGGAAGAAAAGAGTGCAGAGGAATCATCAGAAAAGGATTCCAATGCTGCAAAGAAGCAAAAGCTCAACAGTTCCAAGGCCAAGATTCCAAAGATTCCAACACCAGGGCCTGGAGCTCCACAGATCTTCAACGATGTCCGCAATCTCTACTTGACTCCTAGTGAAAAATACTTGATTGTAACTACTAATTCAGATAAGGCTGTTGTGATTTTCAAGTTACATAAAGGAGAAAAATCAGTACTCGAGCTCATTAAAAGACAACCATTTCCTAAGAGACCATGTTCTGTATCCGTCTCCCGTGATGAGAAGCAACTCGTACTCGGTGACAAATTTGGTGATGTTTATTCTATTGCAGTGGAAAGTCCAATAATTGAAGATCTTGGAGAATCAAATCTCGATGATAAAGATGAAGCCAAGCTTCCGACTCCAATCCTTGGCCATGTTTCCATGTTGACTAATGTTATGATGACTGTTGATAACAATGGTAAAGAGAAATTGATTACCGGGGATAGAGACGAACATATCAGAATTTCAAACTTCCCAAAATCATATGTGATTGATAAATTTTGCTTTGGTCACAGAGAGTTTGTTTCTGAATTATTGATTCCAGAATTCGATAGACTGTTGTTGATTAGTGGTGGAGGTGATGAATTCGTATTAACCTGGGACTGGTTGCATGATGATAAGCCATTGCAGAAAATAGATCTCAAAGAGTATGTGACACCATATTTAACTGATTCGCACCTCATTCCAGTGAGATGGGTAAAAACAGAAGAAGACAAAACTAGAAAAGAGTTTTGCGTGGCCAAAATTGCTGTCAGTGAAAAAACTCGGAAATTGGTAGTTTTGCCAGAACAGACGAGGATATTGTTGGTTTTCAAGTTTGATGAAGATAGGAAAAAGTTTGAGTTTGAGAAACTCATTGAAGATGATGACACCATAAGCTGTATGACTGTAGACAGTATGAATGATAAAGTATACTATGGTGTTGATAATAAAAAAGATTTGGTCAAGGTTCTTGATCTTGATGGGTTTAGTGTTTCCAAATATGAGATTGAGAGCCCTATTGAGGTTGAAGATGAGAAGGCCTTGTACCCATTATACAATATTGGGCAGCTACGTAAGAGAAGTGAACATTGAGAGACTATATATTATCTAATATAATGCAATGAACGGAATGTACTTTAATATTTGCCCCTAATAACGATAGCTTTATTGATGTAGAAGAAGACAGAAGAAACACCGGAGATTGTTTTTGTGGCATCTCAGGATGCTGCATGATCTCCAGCCTTCTTTAGAGAAAATCATTTGTTTGTGCCACTTTAGTAGTATAATAATTAGAAATAATTGACTGTATTTTTAAAGTGTCAGGTTGGCAATTCTATCGGGTTGAATTTTTTGTATATTATTTGCAAACTACTTGAGAATGTGGGTGGCGATAATTTTAGAGATGCACTATTACTCTTAATGGTCTGTGCATGTAGAAATCTACAATATTCTCTATTTTTTTTGTCACTCATTTGTTCTACTTTTCTTTGGGTTTTTTTTTATTCCATTATATCCTGGCGTAGTCGCTATTCTATTCTTTTAGTATTCTTCTCCACTTCCTCTTACCCCCTTTTGTTCTTGTTTGTTATACACTCTATACTTCTTTTTATTCTCATCATTCAGCTTTCTTACTGTTTTCTTTACTCATCACAGATGTCTCAACAGCCCCCTCCGCAACTCCACTGGCAATATCAATATCATCACGGTCTTCTTCATAGTCGAACCTTATCAACATCAAATCCTTGTCAGTTACAGCGTTTCCAACGCCGTAGATCTCTACAACCCACTGGATTTTTGGTGGAACAAGATAGCATTAGCTTTATCACTAAGTATGGCTCTCCTCAATATTGCCAGTATTATTATTCTCCTCATACTCAGGTATTCCACCCAGCAACCCTCCTTCCGATTTCATATCCACATGTACGCTCTCAGTGCCGAAGTTTGAGTTCGCTCACTCCTAGTGGTCATTTTCAAGCTTCTTCACTTATTCCAAAACTACCTATTGGAGCAAATACATATTACAGTACCACATCAATCATCAATCGGAAAAATCAAACAGTAGGTTCAGAAGTATCAAGTTTCTCAATGACAGAGCATTCAATCCAAGCTTCTAAAAATGCAGCAAATCACCAAGAGACTGAGGCGCTTAAGATTTTGCAAACGTCACATTCAGTTTCTTCCTTGAAAAGCTGTAAGTACTATCTTCAGGAAGATTCACATACCAAGACAACTGCCGTACCTGATGAACTAAAATCCAGCATCGATACATATCAAGAAACCACTCAATTATATGATATTAGATCACAAGTGTCAACCCCAATAATTGATCAGCAAAAAGAAAAGCTGGTGATAAAAACAAATAATTTTCCAAAAACAAGATGCATTGTTAGTCCCTCAAAGCAGAAGCATTCTCGGTTCACTGTCTACTGGAAATGTTGTCGTTGCTGTAAGGAGAATAAACAAGAAAAATGTGGACTATTTCTTGAGCCATATGGCAAGATTGAGTCTTGCAAATGTGGACATTTTGTTTGTTGCTGGTGCAGAAAACCCACTCTTTCAGGAATTTCTCTTCCAAATTTGATTAGAAGTCTTAGTTAATTCATATGTAATCATGGCCAACATTTCTCTTCCATGGTTTTTGAAAGCACCTCTCAATTTCTTCCACAACACTTCATTCATATATCAATTTTGGAGAAGTTATCAAAAAATGGAATGATTAGGATCTTCAATATGCTTTGATTACCAAAATAAAATAATTGTTTTTTCAAATAATTGATAAATTTTAGTGTAAGATGTAAATTAATATGATACTAGAACCAAAGAATAAAAAAAATCAATCAGTCATGAGAGCATTTCAAAGTGGCTATATTTTTCCCCTTGGAAGCATAGAAAACCCGTAATTATTATAACCTGCGAAGCGCATAACTTAGGTAAAATCTACGGTAACACACAATAATAGGCGTTTAATTATAATAGTCTAGTGTAATCTTCAAATGAAGGATACAAAAATTAATAAAGTAAGCTAAATTGCCAAAGACTTATGAGCAAAATGCGAATTTAATATTGCAGATATCGTAAGTAGCCTGCACGAATTGGATAAAATGACTGGCACATATATTTATTGTGCTATATCACCCGTTCAATAAACCATATCTAACCGAGATTTAGAGAACTTATATTCCAGGAGCTATAATGGCGAGGAATATACGCTTAATATACTAACCTATCTTACGTAGCCTAGATTGTATATCTCTAATAGGAGGGTTTCTTGGGTAACGTGACCTCATTTCGCACGTGGTGATGACCGCTAATTTTTTTTTTTTTACTGTCGCGCCTAAGCAATTTTTCACAGTTTATGCTGGTAAAGTATCTCCATCAAACAAACACGGAGTAATTGATTGATCGATCATTAAACCATAATGCCTCCAAAGCGTCCATCTAGAAAAGCCAAAACTACCTCAAAGGTGGTGAAGCCATCTAACGTCTCTAAGAAAACGAAGAAAGCTGTTAGCTCGAAAGTTACCAAGCATGCGGCAGTCAAAGCCGATGGTCGTCACAGAAAAACCAAGCCAGCATTGAACCCAACCCCAACTTGTAAGTCCCAACCTTTGGATATCTTTGTTTGGGGGACTGGATCCATGTGTGAGCTTGGTCTTGGCCCAGCTGCCAAAACAAAGGAAGTCAAGCGTCCTAGATTGAACCCATTCTTATCAAAGGAAAACGTTGGTGTTGTTGATATTGCAGTTGGTGGGATGCATACTCTTGTGTTAGACAAAAACAATAAAGTGTGGTCTTGGGGGGCCAATGACTCATTTGTCTTGGGTAGAGACACTGCTGGTAAAGAAAAGTTGAAAGAGATTGCCGAAACTAAAGATGATGAAGATGATGACGATGATGGAGATTTGAACGAAGCTGAATCCACTCCAGGCTTAGTGGAAAATCTCCCAACCGATGTTGAAAACAACAAGGTCATTCAATTGGCAGCCACCGACAACTTGTCAGCGGTCTTATACGAAAATGGGGATGTTTACGCTTGGGGTACTTTTAGATGTAACGAAGGGTTATTGGGATTCTCTGCCGATACCAAGTTTCAAAAGACCCCAAAGAAAATGGAGTTGAAAAACATTGTTCAATTGGCTCCTGGTAAGGACCATATTTTGGCTCTTGACGCTTATGGTAAAGTTTTTGGCTGGGGTGATGGCCAACAATATCAATTGGGTAGAAAAGTAATGGAAAGAACTAGATTACAAAATCTTAAGCCTATGCCAGTCACTTTGAAGAACATCAAATATATCGCTTCTGGGGACTACCATGCTTTTGCAATTGATCATAAGGGAGAAGTATACACCTGGGGTCTTAACCAATATGGTCAATGTGGTATCAAGGAAGACTTGGTTGATGGTGACACTGTCACTAAACCTACCAAGGTCACCAGATTGTCTGATAAAAACATTGTTGAAATTGCCTGTGGGGAACACCACACTTTGGCGTTGAGCAATGATGGCTCATTATATGCTTTTGGTAGATATGATCTGTTTGAAGTTGGTATTGGTAAGGATGATTTACCAGAATACAGTTTCAAAGATGATCATGGGAAAGTTAGAGCTGTTCCATTCCCTACTTTGTTGACCAAGGTCCCTAAATTCAGATCTGTCGCCACGGGATCCCATCATTGTTTGGGTATAACTGAGGATGGTGCTGTTTACTCTTGGGGTTATGGTGATACCTATGCTGTTGGACAAGGTCCAGATGGCGATGATATCGAAGTCCCAACTAGAATCAAGAACACTGCAACCCAAGACCACGATATTTTAGTTATTGGTTGTGGTGGACAATTCTCTGTCAGCGGTGGGATCAAGTTGTCAGATGAAGAAACTGAGAAAAGAGAAGACAAAATAGAAGACTTTGAGGAAAATAGAAATGCCTAAATCAGTTTGTTGAAACCAAAAGTATCTTTTTTTTCTGATTTTTTTTTTTATTGTGTATTATTTGTGTATTATTTTGCTTCCATGCTGTGTTTTTGATATTTCTTTTCTTTTTGTTCTTGAATTATTATTATTATTACTATTGTTGTTGTCTTGCACCATACATTTTTTACATCTCAATTCTGCCAGGGAGGGAAATACAAGAAAGGTTATTATCTTTTTTTTTGTCCTCTCGTTTTAAAATTAATCAATGGGATCCTAAATTTCAAACATCATCATATTCTGTTATTTTATTATTTGTAGTTGTGCTCTTCTTGTTTTATTTTTCTCTCTTTATATGTATGTGGTGGAAAAAAAAAAAAAAAAAAAAAAAGGTAAATCATTTGCACTCTTATACCTTTGAATAAGCTTAAGAAAAGCTAGACAAATACCCAACACAATGTCAAGTGAGTTTAGAAAATTAAATTATTGTATTTTATTTTTTTTCTTTCTGTGATACACAACTAACGTTTGTACTTTAGAATTCACTAGGACCAGCTTGAAGAGCAAAAAAAAGTTGAAAATTTCAAATCAAGAAAACTTCGTTGAATTGAAGACTTCAGAGGATTTCTTGAACCAAGGAACTGAGGAAGAAGAATCGGGTGATAGATTTACATTATCTGATTTATCCAAATCGCTTAGATTCTACCAAAAAGCTTACGAATATTACCTCCAGGCCAAAGACTTATCATATGCCGAGCTTGCCAATGCTAACAAAAGAAAACCGAAATCATCGCAATTACTTTTAGATTGTGTTTACAATGCTTCAAGACTTCTTTTCCATGTTTTCAACGAGTTCGTGAAAGATGATATCATAAATTTTCAAGTAGATGTGAAAAATATCGATAATGTGGTTAATAGTGATTATCTGATCCTCAAGACTTTGCCAGAGGTGTTGAAATCGCACGAAGATGCTATCTCTATATATCAAAAGCTCTCGGCAGAAGACGGCTCTCAAGTATTTGTGTGGGACTTATTTTATAATACTTGTTTGGTTTATACTGAATTGATCGAGGATGCTAGCGAAGAGGATGTACCTATAGAAAGCTTTGAAGCGTATGTTGCTAGAGGAATGGAATTATTCAAGCAAATTTTAGAATTTCAAGTTATGGAATTGCAAAAATTGGTAGAAGAGATGAACGGTCAAAGTGGAGGTGAGCATCAACATGCTCATGACCACGAAGGTCCATGTGATCATCATCATGACGATCAACACCATGATGAGGAAGAAGAAGATGAAGAAGAAGATGACGATGAGGAATATTCCGCCCAGGAAGCAATTGTCCCCTCGACAATTCTTGAAACGATCATATCATGCTACAGTTTCATACAATCCATTTTTGAAACTATTAATTTGAATTCTGGTTATCAACAGGCATTCAACCCGGTGATTTTAAATGAACTTGAGATGTTTGTGGAACTGATTGAAGTGGTTCTTCAAAATTTGGTTCAGAATTTCTACCGTGAAGATAGCCACAACGATAATACCTTAAATCAAGAGGAAGAGTCTGATATGTTGGCACCATTGGACAAGAAGGATTTAATACAATTGGAAATAATCAAGACTTCTATTGGTGGCTTATCAACGAAGAACTCGTTGGATGATTTAATCACATTATGGGACTCCAAACTCAAAGAACTAGGATCCAATGTCATGAGTGTGGAACAAGAGTCTGATTTGTTCACGGAAAAATATTCAATGATTGCTGACAATTTTCAAATTTTCTACGATAGGAATGTCAGTGGGGCAAATTCTACTATCAGTGCAGAAGACCACTGGAAGCTTTTGTCTATTATGAGCAACTACTACAAGAAATCGCAAGATATTTACACCTATTTATTGAAAAAAACCCAACAAGACAGCAAATTGAATGCCAATAATTCCATTGAATTGTCGCCATTAATCTCACAACTTGTCTTGATCATCATTTCCAGAGTAGATATTGATGTCACAAAGGTGTATTGTGATCAATTCAAGCAGCCGGGTAATAATTTTGATAAAAGTAACATGCAAAATGGAAAAATTGATGAGATTTTGACTAGAAATATTGGTATCAATTTGAAGAATTGTCTTAGCTATTTGAATATGAACTGCGGTCTTAGAGAAAGAATCTTTGACAAATTGTCTAGAAGACAAAAGAAGTTCCAGGTCATGTCAAGACAATATATCCTCGGGCTTGTGGGGAATTTGCAAGTGAGCAATAACGATGATAGGCAATTACTTCGAATCGAAGTTGCGGGATTGAAAGATCTTGATGCGTATAAAGGCTTCAAATTTCCTCTATAATTTTCTAGATACCCATTTTGAAGATATGTCTTTTTTTTTTTTCTGGTCTCTTTAAAATGGGGCTTTTAATTGTACTTTTTACCAAATTATTGATCAGGAGCTGAAACTGATATATATATATATATATAAGAGTGTCCAAGATGTTAGGCAACTCTATAGAGTCTGCCATGACAGTGTCCCGTAACCAGAACACGAAAAAAAAAAAATAAAGAAAAAATTACGGACGCCTATGTCACCCAAATGCGACTTCACGTAACAATAAACAAACAAACAAGACATAATGTTCAGACAATTGACATCCAAGCCTTTCCAATTGGCTGCTAGAAGAAATGCTTCGAGTTTTGCTAGATTATCTGTCATGGGCCGCGTCGGTGGTGAACCTGAAGCTCAGGAAACTGATGCCGGCAAAGTGTTTGTGAAATACAGTATTGCCACCAACCCTACCAAGGATGGACCTCCATCCTGGTTCAATATCTCTGTGTTTGAGCCAAAACAAGTGGAGTTCTGTGGTAATTACTTGAAGAAGGGTGCTTTGGTTCTTGTTGAAGCCAACGTTATCAACAAGTCTTACGAAAAGCCAGACGGGACTACTGCTTATGCTACCAACTACTACCAGCAAAGAATTGACATCATCAAGAACCCATATAACCCTGACGCTGCTGGTGCTGCTACCACCTCCGAATAAATCTGATGGTCCATTTCACTAATGTCTTTATTTATACTATTATAATTATATATTTCAATATTTCTTTTGTTTAGGGTTCGATTGGATTGTAGCATGCTTCCATTGGTGGTTTTTTCCCGTTAAGCAAAAATAAAAAGCAAAAAAAATTAATTGGAGAAAAATAAAATAATAGGAAGTCACACAAAAAGCAAATATAGCAATGTCTCTGATCACCCCAGTAAGTCATAAAATCTCTACAGTATGAATTGAATAAATAATCACCGGGTGCTATGAAATTGAAGTCCCGCACGCAAATACACCAATGACTAATCAAATTCCAGGTATTCCCCAAAAACGCTGCTCCTCCTACCCTTCCATTTTCGCCAGGAGTCAAAGTGGGTAACTTGCTCTTTGTTTCTGGTCAAGTTCCTGTCACTCCACAAGGTAAGAAAGTCGAAGGTACCATCGCTGACAAGACAAGGCAAATATTTGCCAACATTGAGGCGATTTTGCTTGCAGGGGGATCTAGTTTGGAAAGCATTGTCAAGGCCAACATCTTTTTAACCGACATGGCAAACTTCAAGGAATTGAATGCTATTTATGCCTCATATTTCCCACATAAAAAGCCTGCAAGAAGTTGTATTGCCGTTAGACAATTGCCTTTGGGCGTGGATGTTGAAATTGAAGTGGTTGCTCTCGTCGAGAACTCGGCCAAGATGTGAAAAAAAAAGTTTTGTGCAACATTTTTACAACATGGGATAAAAAAGATGCCAGATGAATTTCCCTGAAATCATTTCGTTTTATTATATAGAATTAATAAAAATATAGGGAATTACAGTTTTGGAATTGAAGTATTATTTGTAGATTATTGGTGCAGCAACCCCCTCCCCAACTAACTGTTAAGATTCATCCAATATTCATCCTTTCTCATCAATGGGACTATTTGAAATATGTATTGATGTTAAAAATCGACTCAGAAAGTTCAGCGTAAGAATTTAATACACCTTTTTTTTGTGTGTGTGTGCCCATGTAGTTTGGGTTATCATATTGTAATTTTATAAACTGCCCTTTATTTTTAAGGCAAAAAGCACTCTCCATTTCAATCTTTTGAACGGTCAAGATTGTTTCTTATATATTACTACGATATCCATTATCCTCCAGAAATTTCGCGCCAAATATCCCTAAACCCATACATATATGAATCTATAGATTAAAAAAAGAAATATTTTATTTTATTGATTTCGCTAAATATTTAAATTCAGAATTGCTGGCACATTATAAGCCACAGAAACTGAGAAATAATTCACTTTAGACGCTCTAACCTGTTCCTTTGCGGGCGTCGCTGTGAATGTAGTCTGGGATTCTTATTTAAGAATTGTGGGAGTTACTTTGGTAGAAGAGAGCTGTACAAAATAAGATCCAACTATTGGAATCAAAACTTCTTTCTTTCTTTGTCAAATTTTATAAGAGAGACGAAGCAACCGATATTGAGATGGAATGTAAGACTCGCGTCATCGTACAAGGCGAAGTAAGGATAGCTAGTTTGCCAGGTTTTGTGTGTCATCATTATGGCTCATTACGTTTTTCGAAAACTTCAAGCAAGGTGTTTCACTGTCATTTTGGACCGCCAAACCAACGCTCGGATTTTTCCATAGACACAAAAGTTTGACAGCCTGCATACTGACTGCCACTTGCCGGAGCAACAGCAGCCTGCAGGAAAGAATTCTTGCAGAGAAAATTTCCTCAGATGGCACATATTCTGCGTGTATTATCAGCTAACAATAAATTAATTTATTGTATTAATAGTAAAAAAATAAAAAAACAAAAAAATAAAAAATAAAATGAAAAATTAAATGCAACGTGGAAAACTATTTTCCCATCAGATCTTAACAAAATTAACATAAAGCAATTTATACTCGTCAATATCATACATGATCTTTTCCACCCTTTTATAACCCTTGAGTTCCACATTCTTCAACAACTTGAAACTGTTATTAGTATCGTCTTGCTTACCACTCATCCCAAGTCTGGAGTTGAATTCATCTTTCAATTCGAAAATAGTGAAGCAAAAGCAGCCTGGTTGAAATATCTTCAAAATCTTCTTCAAGACTTCCAAGTTGTTGGTGTTCAATTCATAAGGATTAACATTCGTCTCGAAACTAGCATATGACCATCCAGATTCAGGTGTAATGTGCAAGGTGTAGTAACTCGAATTATCAACAATAGAATTAGATGAGAAACCACATGGATTGAAGCTGAAACAATTACTTTTGATATCATGGCTTCCCTCAATCTCATACAAGTGTGCTAAGCCCGATTCTTTAAAAGTAATTTCTCCGATCTTGTGACCGTCAAATTCTCCATTAACAGTTTCGATCCCGCATTTTGATAAGAATTTTTGGGTGTTGAATACAGTTGTCACTTCATCTGATAGCCTTGTCATCAAAATTTCAAATGTTTCATCTTTAAATTCTGAAATCAATTTCTTCTTAGCAACGTCCGAAGCAATAATCGAATTTACTGGCAAATTATTAGCGTTGATGAAACCAACACCAGAAGTAAACAAATGCCAATGGTCTTTGTTAGATTTACCAACAATATAGGAATCACCTCCAGGGAAATATTTATCCAAATATTCAACCTCGTTATTCCAGTTTTGGTGCAATTCCACTTGCTTTTGAGGAAACATGAATGACCTTCTAGAGTAAAACACTTTGAAAGCAGGGAATTTGGTCAAATCCCATTGCAAATATTCTTTAACCAATTTAAATAGCTTCTCAATGCACAACAAAGTGGTGGTTGTTCCACAAGTTTTTAAGATGATCTTATTGTTGAAGACAAACAAGGAAGATTCGGAAAGTAAGTACGCGTCCATATTGTCAGAAGAGATTTGGGACAAGATTTTGCAATTGATGTCGTCTAACAAGCTTTCCACCTGGTTAAGAGGAATGCATCTGAAGCCATTATTTGGCAAGTTTTCAATTGGTGATAACCATATTTCGAGCAATTTTTCTGGACCTTCGAAAGCATCAGTAGAATCCAAATTTTCGACATTTTTATGGTTGATGCTCAGATATTCGCATTGGTAGGAGATTGATGGTGCCATTTTTGCTGCTCTCTTTTTTTTTTTTTTTTGTACGGGAAGAATATTTTTTTGTATTGCTTTGTCTATGTGTGTATGGTCTATCGTCGTCTAATAACCTTTCTCGATGCAAAAAAGAGGCCCCAGCGTTTTATGATTCAGTTATTGGTAAAAGTTTTGGCCTAAGTTGTAGCGTAGTACAACGTCAAATTGTGAGGAAGGTGATTTTTGTATCAAACGTAAAACAGCTGTAAAGCGGGTGTTATCTAGGTTTCGCAGGATGAGAAATTATACGTAAGAATTCCTTTGACATTAAAGGCTTTGCTTTGGATTGTGGGTGTTTACTATTGTGTTTCTTGGTTCTTTTATGCTCTCTCCGTTGGTAATGTCCCTAAGAAATATACCTTGGTGCAGACAGACCTATGCTCTTGTATGATTTGATCCGTGATATTAGGTCAAGTGAATCAAATAATAAATCAGGATAAACAAATTCCTTGTTGTTTTGGGCACGTCTATTTGTGTTGAACAGGTTCCTATAAAAGAAGATAAAGATATACTCTTCCTCTTTGAATTGTTCTTGTTGTTCGTGGAGACTGACTGATTATGACAAAAAATGGTTTATGAAAATTTTATGCCGGACTTTTTTCCTTCTTTTTTTTTTTTTTTTTTTTATCCTAATTTTTTTTTTTTTTCTTGGCCTCGTTGCCAGTTGGTTGTGCAGCCGGTTTACAACATGGAATCAAATAAAATAAAATATATTACAAAGTATAGTATAAATATCGAAACATTAATATCCAATCCCAGGAAATAACAAAAAACAAACAGAAATAAACCGCACATCAAAAAAAATGGTCCTGCCACACCGCATCACTCATTCCAACGCTCAAGAACTCCTTCTGCCCATCTACTTAAGAGCAATTCTTCTACATTGTCCTTAGTTCTCTCTTCCTTTATTGGTTTTTCATTCCTCAACCCTTTAGGTATGAGTCTATCATACAACTCATCTTCAGCCTCTAACATCACTCCAAAATCCGGTCCTTTTGGAGCACATCTTTGCCTGTCGACTTGCAGAATGATTCCTCTCAAGTAACTCAACATTACAGTAAAGTCTGCTTCAGAATTAAACGAGTTGCATAGAGCATGGTTCAAAGCTTGAATTTTCCCTGAAGCTTCCCCATCATCATCAATAGATTCTCTCACATGTGCCAAAGAATTATTGCAATATTGGGAGAATTGGTGCTGAATAGGTGATTTCTTTGGCAGTTGTTGTTGTTGTTGTTGTTGTTGCGACGTTGGGAAGAAATCATTACCACGAGATCCTCTTGATTGTCTGAATTTTGGACTTTTTTGCAGTTCTGGGCTATCGAACAAGTTATTACCTCGGTTACGAGGCACTTTGGTTGGAGACTTTTGAAAGCCCGAAGAGTTTCTTTCCAATCCCGAGGATTGTGATTTAATGGAACACATCTCCTCCTTAATTTCAAAATCAAACAAACTCACCTTGCTGTCATTATTCCCAGTGCCGACAAGACCTCCATTATTAGAAGGTGATGGAGTATATTTGTTTGACGATTTACTAGTACTTCTAACTATCTCTCCCCCAAAAACATTATCTTGTGGTTGTTTTTCACCATTGTCAAAATTGAGTTTATAGTTTAAGTCAACAAACATTGAAGACTTGGAACTCTTCAAAGGCCTGTTATTATCCTGTGGGTAATTAGACCTTCCCTCAGGAGACAATTTTGCGTGAGATCCTATGCCATATAAGCTTTGTGATTTAGTCATGCCTTTAGTATTACCAAAAAACTTTGGAGTTTGTGGCAATTGGTTCATTAAATGTTGCTTCGATAATTGTGAATTCGACCTACTAAGATTGTCACCATGGGATTGCGATCTGGAGTGAGAAAGCTTCATGCTCTCCTTACTACTACCATGAAAGTGTGAATGGCTATGCGAGTGCATGTGTTTTTTTGAGCTATTGCTTCTGTTTAAACGTTTTGAGTTGTTCCTGGTTGGGCTTTCTTGGGGAGTTATACAATCCGGTAGATTTTTTGATGAAGAGTTATTGACGTTAGCGACGGAACTTCTTCCTGAATGGTGGGATTTCTTTGTTGGAGAGGTGTTAGTGCTTTGACACTCGTTGATGGATAATTTTTTCAAAGAGTTCGAAACCTTCAAATCCTCTCTTGACGATATTTTTTTGGGTGATGTTCCTCCCACAGATGATGACGAGGATGCTGAAAGTTGTGATATTGGTGATATATTTCTGGTTAAATTATGATTGTTGCTAGTGGAGTCGTTATTGTGCGTTGTGTAGCGGTTCGATTTTGACATTAATGAGCTCGAAGAAGAAGAATTAGAAGATAATGAAGGAGAAATGAGTGGGTCATTATTCTGCTTTATTGTTGATTGCTCATTGTCCTCGATTTTCAGATCATCAAAATCAAAAGTGATTTGACTTGTTGGTTGGGAAGCTAAGCTGGTTTGTGAGTTTATAGATCCGGATGATTTTTTAGAATCTTGTCTGGATGCCAATAGAACATTTGGATTGTTATTGGTTTTGTTAGTTTTTTCGCCGTTGCTTTCGGTATTGGCCAATTTCCTTTTCAAGTTTATTGCTTCCAACAATTCTGAGTTTTTACCGGCACTTTTAATGAACGGGTGGTTCAACAACTGTTTTGCAGTCGGTCGCATTGACGGATTTTTTTGTAAACATAGTTTGATGAAATCATGAAAATTCTTGGAGTAAACTTCACCGGTATTTGGATTTTTTGGTGGTAGTGCTGGCGAATTATTTTTTGGAATTAGAAACAACACTTTTAATGGATGGATGTTGGATAATGGGGGCTTTCCCAACGCCAATTCAATAGCAGTGATACCAAGTGACCAAATATCGGTTTTATAATTATAATCATGTTGTAAAATGACTTCAGGAGACATCCAAAATGGGGTACCGACAAAAGTATTTCTTTTAGAGAGGTTATTTGATAACTGGGTCGCGACTCCGAAATCTACGATTTTGACATCACCATTGTTGTCATCGACCAAAATGTTAGCAGCCTTAATATCTCTATGGATTTTGTTATTGGAATGAAGATAGTATAGCGCTTTGATTATTTCGCGACAAATGACGGCAATTTGCTTTTCGGTAAATGAGTTGATGGAAACCAATAAGTCAAGACACGACCCTCCATTCAAGATTTCCATGATGATTGAAAGCTTGTAACTGTTAACATAACATCCATAATACTTGATGATCTGAGGGAACTTGCAAGTTGAAAGGATTGTGATTTCTTTTTGAATTTCATTGATGTCTTCATCTGAGGATTCAAGGTCTATCTGTTTGATGGCGACGATTTGGTTGGTTATCTTATCCCGTGCTTTATAAACGACCCCAAAAGAGCCTCTTCCAAGTTGTTCTAAAAGCTCGAATTGCGAGGCTGAATAGGATCTTGCCATTGGTTGTGTGATATGTGCCAATCTATTTGTATTATGGTGAGATTAGCAATGTTGGTGGCTAGGGCTATGTACTGTTGGGGGATTTTATTTTCAATGGTATAAAATAGAAGATTACTTTGTTAACTCTAATTTTTGTAAATAGAGAGCAACAAAAGAAAATAAAAATAGAAATAAAAAAATAGAAAATTGACGTGACAGATGCAAATGAGAATTATCCAATGTTTTAAAGGATTGTAATTGGAGGGAATGATACAAAATTACGCTGGATGGTGAAAACTTTGTACCATCGCCGCTTTGGGAAATTGATAAACACACACCCCCTGTCTCACACCCCCTTGTACAAGTATTGGAGATCTTGTTGACCACGCTTAATTAACAAGCTTAAGTTAGAGGATAGATGTCCACAGCATGTCTGCTACGACATGCTGGTGGGTCATAGGCCTGCCTGCCTGCCTTGGTCTAGTCAGAAATCGATACGATGCGTGACTCATGATTCCCCAATGGATTTGGATGTTGCCGCTTAACTAGCGAAATCGGCGAGGAAATTATTCTTCTGCTTTTCAGTACTTACAATTAAAAGATAAGTGTGGTGATCAGTATCCAGAGAAATATATTTGTGTACGGTATTGTGCAGAATGGCTGTTACAAAATCCTGTACCGTTACCTGCTTATCTATCTCTATGACGTATAGAAAAGGATATGTTTCCAAAATCTTGTCTTCTTCTTTATACACCCGCCATTCTAAGCCTGTCAAAAAAAAAAAATAGCGGTCATCGGTTTTTAGATCATTCTTTGTATCCATTGCTGGCATTGTGGTGGCAAATCCTTAGAAAGATCCCGAAGATGATGGCAATTTGTTTTCTTTTGTTTTATTATTATCATTAGTGCCAATTCTGTGCTCAAACAATTGCCACCATACGTTTTTCCTTGATTGGTAAACGTGATTAAATATCCACACGCGGTCCTATGTAAAGTAAGTAGATTTAATCCAAATAGGGGCTTATTCCTCTAGATTTACATCTTAATCATCCATCCATGTTGGTCAGGGGGTAACATACCCTGTGGGAATATGTATTGCAAAAAAAAAATGGATTTGTGTTACACAAATACACACACTATAGATATACTTTATAGTCATATATTCCACGTTACAGTATACAGTAACAATGACAGATGAAACCTCCCCTTTACTCGATAGTAGCACTGTCTCTGCCCCAAAAGTATATTCAAAAGCGTTTCAAAACCCAATCACCGGCTCCACAGAGCATCTCAATCAAATTACTAATTATGCGCCAATAGAATATTCCGAAGATATTGAAAGCTTGGTTGAGCATCAACACGATGAAAGCTGTAACATTGAATATTTGAATAGAATAAGAAAGAATAGAATAAGAAAGACATTGATACTCTCCGGAATCACCGTGTATCTAGTGGTGTTTATTCTAGAGCTTCTAGGAATCCTAGAAGTCCCATTTGGTTTCATCATGGGTTTTTTATTGGCCGTTGGTGGTGTCATGGGCTATAGGTAAGTGTTTTAGTTTGTCTTTCCCCTCTTTTTTCTATCTTTGTTTCTCCTCTAAATTATTTACATGTACTAACAAATATCCTCGTCATCTAGAAAAAAAGGCTCTGTACCATCACTAATCATGGGATTGTTGTTTTCAATCATATTTCTTATTTCCGGATCTTTTACTTACGCAAAAAATCCTGTAGGTTATAAGATCGCCTTTGCTGTATCAATTACTTTAACGATTGTTGGTATCCACAGAAGTCTTATAACAAGGTTCCAAAGCTATGTGCCCTTGATGTTATTTACCTTGGGTGCGCTATCTACGGGCTACTATACTTTCAAGTTTGTTATATGAGACGTTTGTTGCACCTGCCTAACCAAGCTGGTGTTTTAAATTGATCTATTGTTAATGATTACGTTTTTTACTTTTATTTATTCTATTTAGTTATTACTAGAGCTATTTTTTTCTCTTTATGATTCCATATTTTTTGCTTTTGGTTCTGGGCCATTTTCTGTTACTTCTTTCGATGATATTGCTGTATTTTATCATTGATTGATACATTCCGTGTTGTAACCTACTAGATGTTATTTGCTGGTCAGAAATTTATAATTCTTCAAGTGGTGGACTAAAAGTGAAGGAATGGATTTATGTGTAGCAAGAATGAATGTAATTGCCTTTTAATTCTTAATCCAACTGATGGCTCAATATGTGGTCCTAAAAGAGAAACAACGGACAGTAGTCAGAGCCATGGTTTTGGATCATTCTTTGCAAAACTAAAATCTGCTTACCCAGTTCAGTTTTTGTCTATTCTAAACTTTCCTATGCCTTGTTGAACATTAAAACTCATTCTCCTCATTTATTAACCAGTTGTTAAGTCTGTTTATTTAAAAGTGGAAAATACAAACACAAATTACATATATTTCATTGGAGTTTATGTTATATTAAATGACAGCGATAAAACAATATTACTAATACAAGAGATTCTAATCTAAACAAGATCATTTCTTGGTCTTTCTTCTCTTTTTATCTCCACCTTCAAACTCAATATACTTCTTCATGAGGTTTCTAAGCAATTTTTCGTCTGGTACGGCTGTAAACTTCTTATCAGTAAAGTATGTCTTGCATCTCCTGATAGAATTAATTTCACAACGAAGAACACAATGTGCCATCTCTTTGCGAGAAAATTCTTTTGGTACATCCAATTTGGAACTAGTACCAACAATCATTGCAGGATACTCTGATAATCTGGAATCCAAGATATCTTGATAGTTTTTTTCGGCTGCCACAGTGATCTTGTTTGCATTAATCAATTGCAAAATCTTCTTTGTGAAACGTTTAATGAATTTGTTTTTTTCTTCCAAATTTGCAAGCTGTGTGTATTTCATCTTATAAATTTCGTCATTTTCAACAGATAATACACTAGTTAAGATCTGTATGATAAAGTAGAATTCTGGAGATATTCCACCATCAATATAACACTCATAAACTTCATTAATAATTTCATTTTTGTTGTCGTCGTCTTCTTCATCACTCTCCTCCTTCTCTTCTTCGGTCTCATCATCTTGTTGCACCTCATCTACGAAATTTTCATTGAACTCCTCATCCTTAGAAATAATCTTCAAAATTTCCTCGATAACTTCCCTTGATACACCATAATTTTCAATGAAAACTTTTTTCAAATTATCAAGCGCCACTTCCCCGAAATCATATTTTGAGGCCTTCCATTCAACATAGCCATAACGTCTCAAGATTTCTGCGTTTGGATGCTCACCATATGTATTGTACACTTGTTTTCCCTTAGAAATATTCTTAATGGCTTTCATTACCAATGAGCCATTCTCGTACGTAAGGTTAGCGTTCACCAAATTAGTATCAGCATTAAGTGTATCCGCCAAACATACCATTGCTTTAATAGGTTCTTCTTCAACGTCTTCCTCATCTTCATCTTCATCTTCATCTTCGTTTTCTCCTTTATCCTTATTTTCGTTATAAAGAGCTTTTTCAACATCAAATGAATAAGACTGTATCAAAGATGCAATCCGATGAAAATTGGAAATAGTGAATTCTTCCACATATGTTTCAAGTCCAAGATCCTTCAAGCCACTATCACGTAAATTTGCGTACATTTCTTCCGACTCTTGCTTCCCAATACGACCAACTATAAATGATGGTTTCAATTCAGCTAATTCCTCATCATTCCAAAACATCAAATTGTCGAATTTTTCTGGTAGTACCTGGAAATATCCATAAAATTTACTGTCCTTTTTTTTTATGGATAACTCATAGAAAATACACAAGATCAAGACTTCCCACTGCGAATATTGTTCAAGAACCTCGTTAGCTTTCCCTTCATCAAGTTTCATGAAGGCTTCACAAGTCTCGTAGTTTAATATAGAATCCTTTGGAAGAGTGAAAAGAGCATCTCCAGTTTTGATATCTTCAACAGCGATTATCCCACGGCCTTGGTGTTGTGATCTAAGATCAGCAATTTCAATTTTAGAAGAAATCGTAACTCCATTATTGGTAAGGCATTCTATGAACCCTTGTGTTTTTGAGGAAAAATCAGACTCGACAGTCATATTATTAACTACTTTTTTTTTAAGGCAGTGAAATCTAAGAACCTTAGATAAAATTAAAGTCTAAAATTTTTTTTTCAAAGAATTTTTTTTTCCTACATGCTCATCGGGGGTTTATCAACCTCTTCATATGTGCAACATGAAACATAGGAAATCTCCGAAAACGACAATTGGGATATTAGAAATACAAGAACCGATATTATAGGATAAAGCAACAAATCTAGAAATAAAACAACTTAACGTTTGACCAAATAATTAATGTTGGGCTATACAGATTATACCCCTAAGCGCACCGCATTTGGGAAGACGAAACGGAAAGAAGAAGAAGAAAAAAAAAATACCACCAAGCTCGCTAGTTGATTTCCAAAAACAACAGCTAAAGAACAAAAAACAGCACAGAACAAAAAAGAACCTGCAATCAAAGCAGAAAATAAGTAGTGACTTAGTGACATCATTAGCGCAACAAATGAATGTATTGTCTATGGGTGCTCCTCAATCTCTCGACCCACAGCAGCAAGCTGTACCACCGAGATCTTCGAAACGGAAGCCATTCTTAAACGAGAATCTTGATGCCAGTAATAGCATATCTAAACCAAACATAACTAATAACGGGTCTACACCTAAAAATGAAATGAAATATATTATTGAAGAATCTCAGAAAGATCATGACAAGCAAACACTGCACATTTCAACATCCAGAAGAATCAGATCAAACACTGTTGGTTGGTCCAGTGGAAGTGCGAACAACAAAAACCAATTTATTAACACGCCTCACGGAGCGTCCGGTCATTTAACCCCAAGCACCAGCAGTGCTACCAATAGTACTAGTAGCGGATCAAATGATTTGAATGTCGACAAGTCAAACGCATATTTCAAAAGATTATCAACCTTACCAGAAAAGAAACCAACGTACAAGCAGCGAAATAAGGTTACGCTTGTTTCTAGAAAACTTTTATTTTCACTCAGTGAAATGTATTCGGCAATCAAAAGATTCAATATTATTGGGAATAATGATCTGGCCATATCAGAGAAAATGGCAGTATCGTTGTCCTTGGCGAAACGTCAAATTAATAATCTTGTGGAGGTATTGGAGAATGTTGAAAGAGAAAATGATCTTGATGCTCCTAGATCTCCAGATATTGTGTTCAAAGTTTTTAAGAAGAATATTGCAAACTTCAAAGAGGTTATCAAACATCTACTTGATAATCTTGTATTCTTCACTGATAAAGTGGATGTTTGTTTTATAAGGATGTTATTGTTATCAGTTTTTGGATGCTTCAATGAACTTTATAACGCACTGGTGGCCCTTGATCCTGAAGGTAGTGCTATCACTATGAAGAAGCCGATGATTTCTAAGGTTCTGTCTTCACCGTCTCTTTTTTCACAACCTGCGAAATCTCTTGCTTCTAAGCAACTATTGATTCCAAAAACCAGTTCCAAATCACAATTGGCTGGCGCACGAATCAGTGTAGTTGACCCAAAAGATGCTAAATTATATGCCAGCTCTCAAAGTGCTATAACCACTGCTCAAAGAGTTTGTAAAGTAGTCATTGAAACTATGAACAAGCAATATGCCAACGAAATCCAAGGCCATCAAGGAGCGGAAGAATTGCTACACAAATGTGGGAAAACCCAAGCGTATGCCAGAAAATTAGATTCTGCTTTGGCATTATTGACAAGAAGTGCTTTTGACCATTCGAATTCTGAAGAGCAATATCAATCATTTATTACTGAGCAAGAGCAATGCAAAAGAATTTTCCTTATTGATTTTGACAGCTTTATTACTACAGTCATCCAAATTCTTGCCCTGTTTAAGGATATGATGAATGATTTCCCTGAACTTCGAAGTTTACGCGCGGATATGTCATTACTTTCAAGAACCTCAAAGGAGCTTATCGCTATTTTCAAACCAGATGCTACTAAGAATGAAATTCCGATGTCATCATCTACTGATAGTGGCAACTCTGTAGTAACACAACCTTTGCCTTCAAGCGCGGCGAGCATCACCTTCAATGTGGAAAGTCCGGTGATGACTAAAAGCATGAAAGGTTTACCTTGAAAGGTTTCTGCTAAATGAATAATTGGAAACCCCATATTTTTTTATTATCATTATTATTGTTAATCTCTTGTATTATATTTTTGTTCTTTTTTATTTATTTATTATTATTTTTTATTATTATTTTGCTTTATTTTACATTGCTATTTTCGCTATTGGAGGGCCCATATATATGAATAAATCTTCTTTTTTTTTCTTTATTATCTTCTTTTTATTCCCAGTTTGTTTCCGAGAGTTTCACAAATCTTGGTTGTTTCTCGGTACAACTGTGATTAGTGTGCCACGCAGTTATGGGAACTAAAAAAAAAAGGAAAGTTTCCTCACGGCAGGCTAACGGAATTTAGAGCCCCATATGTTACTTACGATGAATGAGCTCCGAATAGTAGAAGGCACCTCATGGATACGTTAGGGCTTATGTAGTATACTTATGGTCTTCTGCCAATTAATATTACCTTTCGCTTATTAAATATAGTTTTGCATAAGCTCCAACTTCCTGGCTCTTTTTTTTACCCCTTTCCTTTTTTTATCAAATTTAAAAAAAAAAAAAAAAAAAATTAAAAAAAATCCTCAGACTATCACCCTAAAAGAAGCGACAAAAGCTGAAAAGGAGAAAGGTCCCACTCACTTCAGCCCATCAGTACACAATCCTAGAATTAGAAGAGGCTAGACTAATTAATTCAAACGGCTGTAATCATGAGTATGCCAGATAACAAGGGTCTTGTCTTTTGTAAAGAAAATGACTTTGATGATGAAGATCTTACTTCCCATCACTATGGTGTGGAAGACGACGTGGAGGAAAGTGATGAAGAATTGAACTCTTTAGGACTTTCATCAAGAAAGGGCATTTCAATTCCTCAAAAGAAACTTTCCAAGTCTCACTCCTTTGTCGACGATAATAATCATGTTCTTTCCGCCAATTATTCCTATACTGAGGACAAGATGATTCAAGCTCACGATGCTAAACTTACAGCGCTTAACCAGTCTCCACAATCTTCTCCAGGTTTCCCAAGTAGAAGGGTATCCCGTAGCTCTTCTGTTGTTGAATATCATATGCCTCCTCCACCTCCTAAATCACCAAGTAGTCATAAGAGTCTCTTTGATAGTCACATCAAAGATGTCAGTAGCGCGTCCGATAAAGTTTCCTTATTGCCAGCTAATTTTGCGCCAATAAAGTCAGCTAGCCATTCCAAAAACATTAATTACAAGAATATTGATTCGGATTATGCTGATGATGAGCCAGTTTCTCAGGAATTGATCCAGATTTTAAAGGACGTCAAACTCAGTTTGCAATTGAGAGAAAAATATCAAAGATTATCAATGCAAAGAGATGATCAAAATCCAAAAAATCAGGATAATTGGAAGATTTATCCTGAGCCCCCAAGTAGAGCTTGGAATCCGGAAGCAAAAGAACTAAATAAAGATATGCCTAAAGTCACTATGGATCATGATCAATTTAATTTTGACTCAATTGATATTCCTGGTGAAGATCAAACCTTTTATTATAAACTTGATGATAGTGGGGTGTATCAAGTTTACGATACAGAAGATGATACTGCTCTTATTGAATTGCCATCATTAAAGGAATATTATATTGACTTGGAAAAGATCATTGCCATGTCATCTAACGGCCCTGCTAAGTCATTTGCATTTAAGAGATTGCAATATTTGGAATCTAAATGGAATTTGTATTCGCTTCTTAATGATTATCAAGAAACAGCTTCATCAAAAAAGAATCCACACAGAGATTTTTACAATGTCAGAAAAGTTGACACACACGTTCATCATTCAGCATGTATGAATCAAAAACATTTATTGCGTTTCATTAAGAAGAAAATTAGAACCTCGAGAGATGAAAAGGTTATCTACAGAGATGGCAAAGTGTTGACCTTGAACGAAGTATTTGAATCTTTGAATTTGACGGCTTATGATTTAAGTATTGATAGTTTGGATATGCACGCCCATAAGGATACTTTCCACAGATTCGACAAATTTAATTTAAAATATAATCCAATTGGTGAGTCGAGATTGAGAGAAATTTTCTTGAAAACTGATAATTTCATCAATGGAAGATTCTTGGGGGAAATCACTAAAGAGGTATTCAATGATTTGGAACAATCTAAATATCAGATGGCGGAATATCGTATTTCCATTTACGGTAGATCGGCTGATGAATGGGAAAAGTTGGCTGGTTGGATAATTGATAATAAAATAATTTCTCACAATGTCAGATGGTTGATTCAAGTACCAAGATTATATGATATTTACAAAAAGAATGGACAAGTGAATAATTTCGAAACCATTATCAAAAATTTATTTGAACCATTGTTTGAGGCCACCAAAAATCCAAAGAAATACCCAAAGATTCACATTTTCTTGGAAAGAGTCATTGGTTTCGATTCCGTCGATGATGAATCGAAACTCGATAGAAGAATTCACAAGAAATTCCCACATGCCAAGAATTGGACCTTTGAGCAAAACCCTCCATATTCTTACTATTTGTATTATTTGTATGCCAACATCACTGCATTGAATCATGTTAGAGCCCGTCGTGGATTCAATACATTTGTGCTCAGACCTCATTGTGGTGAAGCCGGTGATCCAGAACATTTATGTTCCGCATTTTTAGTTTCTCATAGTATTTCGCATGGTATTTTATTGAGAAAGCTTCCATTTGTACAATATTTGTATTATTTGGATCAAATTGGTATAGCCATGTCTCCATTATCCAACAATGCTCTCTTTTTGACCTATGATAAGAATCCATTCCCTTCATACTTCAAGAAAGGTTTGAACATTTCATTATCCACTGATGATCCGCTCCAATTTTCTTACACTAAAGAGCCATTGATTGAAGAATATAGTGTGGCTGCCCAAATTTACAAGTTGTCCAATGTCGATATGTGTGAATTGGCAAGAAATTCTGTGTTACAAAGTGGTTTTGAAAATAAGCTTAAAAAGAATTGGATTTCTGCAAAAGTTGGAGTTGATGGGCCTGATGGTAACGATTTGGAAAAAACCAATGTACCAGATATCAGATTGGCTTACAGATATGATACTTTGATGAATGAAAGAGAATTAATCCACAAATACACTTGAAAGAATGTTTTTATTTTCGCAATAATTATAATAATGAAAGATTATGTATTACCTTCGAGCTTCGCTCATCTGTAACTTATTATTATTATTATTTTTCTTGTTTTTCTTGTTGTTCTTGGTAAAACAAACAAATAATAAAAAAGTTACCAACCGTATTTTTCCCTGATTTTCCTTTGATTATTCTTTTCTTTCTTGAATTTTTCCTGTAATGCAATGGAATTATCTTCATCATTTGTGAACTTAATCAAAGAGCTCAATTGGTTCTTACTGTTAGCATTATATGTTTTAACATCTTTAATTGCTGTGGGAACAGCACCTTTGGAAATGAGCTCATTATTTTCCTTGTAGAAATCATCCATATTAAATTCCAACACATTGGAATTTTCAGGAATTTTCAATTTCATGGAGTTCTCATTTGATATTGGCTCATTGCCTGGAGCAGACGTTATTGGATCAAGAATTGGAGGTTTAGGAATGGATTCGAGAGATGCATAATTCAAAGACAGTGATTTTTCTCTGGGCGTGCTGACTGAAGGATGATTTGAAGGGAATATACTATGCGAGTCGATACTGAAATTACTTTTTGAGCCACTTTTGGTGGTAATTGGAGGTGAATACTGCTTTTTGCTCTTCTTTTTACGCAATAAGGAGTTAGGTAAGAAAGAAGTAACATTGACTGAGCTTTTGATTTCCAGCTCGGGCATCTCATCTAGTTCATCGTCGGTGAAATACTCAGTCTCTTTATCTCGCACACTGACACCGTTGAATTGGTTCTTGATGGCACCTCCAAGGGTTCTTGTTTTGTAACTCAATGACGCTCCTAAATTCTTCTTCTCACTATTATTATCGTCATCATTCTCTATTAATGGTCTCTTATTATTGTTTTTTGGTGGCGGTAGGAAAGAAGATATACTTATAGGGTTCCTAATTCCACTAGCATCATTTGCCTTAGTAGCTTTTGAAGCTTCATTTGTTGCTCTCTGGTAATTCTCTTTCTTCTCTTTCAATGATTTCAATTCATGCAACTTCCGCCTCTTCACTGACAAGGTCTCTTCCTGTTCTCCTTTCTCTTGAGCCCTTTGTGTTTCAAAATCACTACTGCTACTGGAGTCAGAACTATAACCACCTATTAAACTCTGCAGGCTAACCTTCATAATTGTATCTTGTATATAAAATCTGGGCATCTCATCACCATACAAACCGCAATTTTTATTTTTATTTTTCATACGACATCTGAAAAAAATTGGTAGTGTAAGAAAAAATAAAAAACTCCGCGACGGGGAATTGAACCCCGGTCCCCCGCGCGACAAGCGGGGATTCTAGCCACTAAACTATCACGGATTTAGATATTAGCATAAAATTGCACAAATTCAGGATCTTACAAAATCATTAAGTACCGTATTGAATTTTGTCTTTAAAAAAAAAAAACCGTATTAACCTGCGCTGGGTGGCGTAGTGGGCAGAACCATAGACTAAGAAAGGGTCGCGTGTTCGAACCCCGCTCGCTGCATTAACCACCAGGTCACGTTCAGTACGCTAGCTGAGTAAGGAGTAATACCACTCTGAAGGTAAGATACAAGGGGGTTTTAGTGAGTAAAAATCTCACACTACCGGTAAGGTTGCGTCGCTGGTGTCTTTCGAAGATTTCCTCCTCCCTGGCTAAAAAAAAAAAAAAATAGTGACAGGTTGCTACAAGTCAAAAACATTGCATTTTCCAACCCAAACTCCCGGGTTACCAAAAATATTGGGAGAAAACGGACACCAAATAAGTCGCCATAGCTGCGCATAATTGATCATAATAACCGTACATAAAAAGTGCGATGACCTATATAGCTCTTAGTAGTTAAATATAGGGACTTTATAAAAAAAAAAAAGTATTTATATTGAATTTTGTCTTTAAAAAAAAAAAAAGCTGAAGGTGAAAAAACTGATTTTATCATGAGAACCACTAGAAATAGTAATAAAGCTACTCCAAACTACTCCACCGACCCTACTAATGATCCCCCAATCATTGAAACCCCGGTTTCTTTGGGCTCTTCATTGGATGTTGGCGCAACATCTGAAACCCCGATCCCGATAGCAAACATAAACAAACAAGCTAAAGATCAAGATTCCGATGAAGAAATTACTGATGCAGCCGACAATACTATTAATAGTACTGTTGAAACCTTTTTAACTGCTTCAGAAGATCCTGAAGCGGACCAAAACATGGATTCCAACGCCATTTCTACCCCAACTACCTCTCCAGCAATTAATGTTTCTTCAGTTGATTGCGATCGCAATTCTCATGCAGCATGTGACACTGACATTGACATGCACAATCCTGTTATTCCAACCCAAGCCGTTATTTCTACTGATTTTATTAATGAAAACTCCGAAAACCAAAAAAAAATCGAAAATTCTCAAAACCCAAAAAAAAATTCTGTTTCTGTTCCTTCTGTTTCTGTTCCTTCTGTTCCTGTTCCCTCTGTCTCACCTTCTACTGTCGCCTCTCCAACTACGGCCTCCAATCCGGTGGCTCCAGCTGTCAATGTGACAAGACCAATCCAAACCTATGCTCAAGCCACCGCTGGAGACAAGCGCACACCTCGAGCCACTACAAACACCAATGATCCATCCTTCCAAAACGTGTTGATGAAATTTGAAAGAACTTTCAAATGGGCAAGTCACATCAAAATCCTTGACTTTAAGCACCGCGACGTATTGGAATATGCCATAAGCGAGAAACGCAAATCAGGAAAATTGTTCTCCACCTCCAATCCTGCTATTATTAAATCCAAAGAAAAACGCGAGGAACTCGTCAAGATCATGGAAATTGAAGATTTCTTCCAAAACTACACCAGTTTTAATATGACAAACGAATTCAACAGATTAAGAAACTCTAGAATCAGCTTGGAGAACTACTTGGAATTTATCATGAGCCAACAGCATCTTAAGGATATCTTAATCTACTTTAAGATCCCAAAAGATATCTTTACAGAGTTTCCTCTTGAAAAACACTTGGAATCCATCAAAAACGGACTCACTAAGTTATCCAAAGAACTTGATACTATTACACAGTCATCCAACGAACCAGATAAGGATTTGATCATAATCAGGGAAAACTTAAAAGGGGCCCTCAACCACTTGGTTATTTTTAATAAGAAGATCTGCCTTAACTCAAACTTCATCCCAAACCCTCAGGATACAGGCTCTGATATCTTCAAGAAGGACAGAAATCTTTTAATTGAATATCTTAACATCCACCTTAAAGTTACAGTTGGAAATTATACCTACACGCCAGGGTCTTTGTTAAATACAATGAATAAGGAATCCCATTTAATTGAGATTGAAATGAATTCCGAATTTACTGAATTTAACCGGGAAAAACTTCTTGACCATGTCTTCAATGAATCCGGAATTGATCCATCATCCTTCTTTCCAATCAACACCGTTCACTTTACGGAAGAAGCTAGCAAAGCTGCCAGTATTGTCACTTATGGTTATATTGAAATTGACTCAGGAAAATCCCTTCCACTCTTCAATGACAAAAATTTCCGCTCCAGAGTCATCACGAAATGCGTCCACTGCACTGCATGTGGTTCCCGTGAACACACTCGTTTTGACTGCAAGACGTCATCTTGTGCCATTTGCAAGAAATTATCCCATAGGGCAAAAGATTGTTATTTCAAAAAGCAACAAAGAGCACCTATTGTGAATCCGGAAGATCCAGAAAAACACTCTCCGAAACAAAATTCTGGAAAAGCAGTCAAACCAAACCACAAATCAAACTATGGTTTTCAGACTGTCGAAAAAAGAAAAATAAAACTGAATAAACCGGCTACTCCAGAATATTCTAAACCACATTCAAACCCTTTCGACTTATTGGCAAATGAAGAAGAAAATGTTGATGATTCAATTATTGATGAGGACGATACTTTGGAAAAGAACTACCCATCCAATGAGGAAGATGCTTTAGAGGAAGGCCTCTCTACTGATGCAGACCAATCCATGGATGAACTCGAAACCTCTACAACCCAACACACTGCTACTCTCAGACATCAAACCAAACCAATAGAATTATTGTCCAAGAAAGGTAAATCTAAGAAGCACGCCAAGTTCGCGGCCATTAGCGCCATCAAGCTGGCCCATATTAGCAAGGTCTCCAAAAAGATCCTCGCCTCACCTTCATCCCACCCTCAGGTCCGTGTTTCTCGCAGACATCAAGAAGTAAACTCACAACATCATACTACTTCTTCTGCTGCCAACATTCCTCCTTCACCTACCCCTGCCCGTGATACTGTCACTTCCTCGGCTCTGGCCACTTCTTCTGCCCCTGCTTCTGCCCCTGATTCTGTCCCTGCTTCTGTCCCTACCTCTGTTCCTACCCCTATTACTACCTCACCTCATTCTACCTCACCTCATTCAGCTTCCCCCTTCTCAAAACATCCAACTATCCTGGAAAACTTAGACAAAATGCCCACGCCACTGGAATCATTTACTCCCCGGCCAATGAAGCTTCTGTCAAAAGAACAATCTTCCCCCCTGGAGGATAACAACAACGAAATAAATTCACCTCAATCAGATGGCTCAAATGTCACAAAAAACGCCTCTCATACACAAAATGAGTAAACTATCGATCATTAGTCAAAACATCCAAAGATTGAGATTGGATGACTCCAAAATTCTCCATCTATCAAACCAATATAACATTTCAATGTTTCAAGAACTTAATCTTGGCGAGGACTTCCTCTTCCAACACCAAAACAAAAAAATTTATAAAAATACTCCATCATCCCGCACAGCTATTATAATTGAGGACCACATAAAGGTCGTTGATCATTCATTGCTAACAATTGCAGTACTGAGCCAGCTCCAGGTTTATATCACAGATGCCATTATTGAACAAGATGCCAATAACTGGCTTTGGCTAATCAATATCTACAACCCATCTGCTGATTACCAAAAACAAATCCTCCTTCAAAATCAACTCTCCATCACCCTCCAAACCCAGCTTACCGCTCTCAGAGCGAGAAGCAACAATAAGACCATCAACATTATTCTCGGAGGTGACTTTAATAATTTTGTCAATTCAAGAGACTCTGCTAACTTCCGTTCTCGCGAACAAAGATCGTCCGAGTCGCTTAAAAAGCTAATCAAAACTTTCAAGCTAGCAGATATCTATGAACATCCAAAATTGCACCAGATTAAAAAGAATTGGACTAACCAATCCACCACGGAAGAAAGTAGTCGCAGAATAGATCGTTTTTATATCAGTCAGTCCATGATCTCCGACAAAAACAGATTTCATATTCAAATGTCCCAACAAAACTATCTAAAGTCTTCTTCAACTCACGATTCTATTATTCTTGAAATCAACACTCAACCTCATGCAATGACTTACATCCCCCAACATAATATTATTAAAAATCATATTATTCAATGGCTTCTGAAGATCAAGTTTCCACCCACTGTGAACTCTACTTCAGACCTCATTTCCGAGATTCGCTTGAAGCTGAATTTTTTGACGATGGTACACAAGAAAATAACAGAAAATACTGATGAACCAAATTATTATGACCACATAAGAACTAGGTTCCACCAACACTCCAGACCGCGCCCAATCAAAGCCCTCAAAGCTTCAGATGGCGCTTTATTGACATCACAGCAAGACATGCTTCTAGAAGTAACCAATTACTATCAAAAACTCTACGATGGATCTCGTGGTTCAAAGAGCTCGGAAAATATAGAAAGGTTCATCAACGCCTCCTTGGGAGATCAGATACCACTAACCAACACTGAATCCAACAACTTGAACAAACCAATCACCATGACAGAATTGGAATATGCAGTTACTGAATCCAATACTCAATCCGCCCCCGGGGTAGATGGTATACCATACGGCGTTTATAAGTCTCTCTTTCCTCAGATAAAACACATACTTCTAAAAGAATTTAACCAAATTCTTTCTTCAGGGGAAATTCCATTCAACTATCGAACCATAAAATTCACTCTCATACCAAAACCAAACAAAGATGTTCAAAAAGTGGAGAATTACAGGCCCATAGCATTAATCAACACAAATTTGAAACTCTTTTCCAGCATCATCAACGCCCGTTTGCTCCCGTTCTTGCAAAAAATTATCGGCCCAAATCAAGTTGGTTTCATACCTGAAAGATCCTCCTTCTCTAATATAACAATTTTCGGTGACTTGCTTTCCAGTTTAATATCCCCACAAGACAAGCCACATGTCAATCATTCTACTAACCACCGAATCATGCTTGCTGACTTTGAAAAGGCTTTTGACCAGATTTCCCATCTATACCTTAAAATATTACTTCGAAAACTCAATTTTGGAAAAATGACGGAAACTATTCACGCTATCCTTACCAAAGCCCTCGGAACCATTTGCCTAAATAACATTACAGGCCCTTCTTTCCCATTAAGAAACGGAACCCTTCAGGGCAACCCACTTTCACCAACAATTTTCGCGTTAGCCCTTGAACCTTTTCTAAGAGCCATCCAAAGATTAAATAAAGGATTCAGTTACAACCATAAGATCCAACCAAACATCATCCCCAGAGTCAAATACCTTGCCTATGCAGATGATGTTACCTTATTCTTGAGAGATCATAATGACTTCAAAAACACTATGAAGATAATTCAGGCGTTCGAACAAGTCAGTGGTTCTAAATTAAACAAAAGCAAATCCAGATTAATTGTTCCATGCGATCAAATACCATTCCAGTCCGACTTCCAAATAGATATTGCTGACAATAATTATGAAACCCAATATCTAGGCGTTAAAATTGGGAACTCGAGTCAAACCTGGCCTAATACTCTCCAAAAAGACATCAGCACCAAATATTACATGACCAACATGAGTTCACTACCAATATCAAGTCAAATAGTCGGATATAACACATATATCTTGTCTAAGCTATATTACCACGAGATTCATGCACCTATGCTTCCAGACCAAATAGATTTGCTAGAACAATCCATCAAAAACCAGGTGAACAAAAAACTGAAAATCTCCATGGACACTTTAAAAACAAGCCCATTGAAAGGAGGATATGGCATGGTGGATATCAAAAGCCAATTGAGCTACCGCAAGGCAAAAATCTTTCAACAACTCTTTCTCCAATCTTTAAACCCATATTGCCAGTTACTCCGATTCAAGCTCCAACTAGCAATAAACATGATCATCAAACAAAATCTATCCGAGGAAGAGCAGTCGATACAAGGATATATAAAAACCCAATACTGGTGGCGGTTAATATTGGGTGACCAGATCAATATCAAGAATAAGAGAGAAAGCAGGTCCATACTCAACCAGGTTATAAATCTTCCAATGTTTACCACAGCGGAAAAATGTGCTTTTGTAGCTTGGTATAAATTACTGTCCAAACCAATATCTCAACAACAAACATTGAGCCCAATGAATATCAAACACTCAGACCTTGCCAAGTCCATTCAAGACGGTATACCAACTATCTATCAAATGGAGATCCCAAAACTGGTCATGGAGTTTGAACACAAACAGGGAAGCAAGAAAAAAAGAGCCAGAATTGATAAACATAAATTATCCACCACTTTAACCAATATCCAAGAAGTCACCCAAACGAAACAAAACTCTTTCTGGAAGAGACTCCACAAATACCAACATAATAGCCCTGGTTACTTTGAAAACATACACATATTCCACTTAGGTGCTGAACAATTTTTTACCAACATAGAAAATGTCACTATTGCGGGCTCGAAACCGTCTCTCAAGACCAACAACATGAATCACCAGAACTCCAAGTCAAGATCAAAATGACCCATTTCCTAATTCAATGCCCATTATCAACCGAGTTATGGTCAAGATTGAAAATCCCAATTCCATTAGCATGGAATAACTTAATCGCTCCCAATCATTCAGAATCAACAATCAAAAAGATCGACCGCTACCTATGCTATCAACGCAAACTCTCACGCCTAAGATATCATAACCAAATTGATTGGAACACATCAATTAACAACTTGATTTATATCATTACTACTGGGAGCTGAATAGTCGATCAAAACAAAAAAGAAAAAAAAAATTAACAAAAACAATAACAAAAAAAACATTTTATTTAAATACTAATAATTATCACTAAAGGGTTTTTCACCATAGGATATGGTTTTCCCTAACATATATAATGAGCATTAGCTTATAAGATTTTACATAGATATATATAATTATATATTTATTAATAAATCGAATTTTGAAGGAAAAAAAAAATTTATGGCCGTTGATTCAATGATCTTCTTGCTTGAAAGCAATATCTTTTAAGCGGAGAAGAAAAAATAGGTGGGGAAAAACAAGAAAATAAAATCAAAAAAAAACAAAAAACAACAAAAATTAAAAACCTTAAAAACGCATAAAAACATTTTTTCACAATAATAGGGTTTTTCACCATTAATGGTTTTCCCTTAACACTTTAATTTTCAAACTACATTAGGTAGTTTATGAGATATATAGTTATATAATTAATTAATATATTGAATTTTGTCTTTAAAAAAAAAAACGTATTTATGGTATATGTTTTTTTGATTTTGATTCTTCTTGGTTTTCTAGTTGTTTATGAAAAAAAATTATGTTCATATGATTCTCCGAATGAAATATTGTCAATTTTTATTATTATTTATTGTTACATGATTCCATTTCTTCTATGATTTTGAATAACAATTATTAATGTTATAGAAAGGAATATGATAGAGGAGTAAATTACAGTTTTGATTATTAATAATTATTTTTACAGACTGGCTCATAAGCTCGCCTTACATATTATTTAGAGCCTCTGCTACTCGTCAATATACAATCCATTCATTCATTTATTATACACCCAAGTTTTATTCAAAAAGTCTATATATATTTAAATCATATAGGGACTTTATTATTCAGAAAGCCTTATAATCATTGTTACATTTAACTACATGTTATTATCTACGTAATGTTTTACCTATTATTATCTTTAGAACCTATTATTTCCTATTACTGCTTTATGTTGAGCTGGTTAGGTTACAGGATGGTCGCTGGCTTCGTGGTGAGTTGCAATTGGAGCTGACTAGGTGATAGCTTCGTTGCAGGTGGAAATAGTTTCAGGGTTCATGATTGGATTGGACGTATTACTAAATGTGGACTCATAGATATTGCTGATAATAATAAAAACCAAGTAAACCAAGTAAACCAAGTAAACCAAGTAAATCAAGTAAACCAAGTAAACCAAGTAAGAACCAGTACCATGGATCTGTCTAAAGTGTCACCACACACTTTTTAAGTCTAGACACCTATTATAATTCTATAAATCAATGTTGTAACTGAATGTTGCAACTGAACACTTTAACTCACACCAGGTGCTTCATGAACTGAAATGAATGTATCATAAAATCAAAATCAAAAAACCATATACCATAACGACGGTACCAAGAAAAAAATATAGCGAATAGTATATATCTAAAATCCAAGGACAAGTTGGTTTCGTGGTCTAGTTGGTTATGGCATCTGCTTAACACGCAGAACGTCCCCAGTTCGATCCTGGGCGAAATCAATTTTTTGTACAGTTTACACAAAACACACCGGGTAATTAGTTTTTTTTTTTCCACTCATTTTCCACAAGAAAAAAAAATATTAACAGTGAAGAAAAATCTCGATTTGATTGGAACGAATAATGTTGGTATAAAGTCACCAATAAGGATGATAAACAATTTTACTACTGGTCCAAGTGCTCTTAGGAGCGCAAAGAACAACCAAGTGGTTCTCAACTTTGTTCGTCATGCTTCGCGTGGGAAGAAAATTGCTTATCCATTCTGGAAATTCGACACATTGAAGAATGAGCCTTCCAAGTCTCATAGAACTAACTTGCGTTACCAAATGAGTAAATTTTTGGGACCAAAGAACTACAAAGGTGAATACTATCTTAATAAGTATTACTATCCACCTCAAGATCATTCTCCAAACTATATCAAACCTATAATGGAAAGAGGAGATGCTATGATAAAAGATGAACCTTCTTCTTCCTCGCCCTACAGAAGATTACCAAACGAAGCTCAAAAATTGCAACCATTCCCAAATAACAAGTACTGCAAAACCAATACTTTTGTCAGTGAAGATATGAGACAGAAGATGTTTTCACAGATTGAAGCTGGCAAAACCATTCAGCAAATTGCCTACGAATTTAGCATTAGTGTTGGGCGTATTGAAGCTTTGATTCGTTTGAACGACATTGAAAAAGTTTGGAACCAACAAAAGAAGATCTCCCCAAGTTTGAAGGCCATGAACACCTCATTGTACAATATGTTACCACTTTATAACCAAAGAAAGCCAGAAAACTTGACTGAAATTCCTGTTCCAGCTAAGACCCTCAGATCCAGATTCTTGACCATCGCCGAAAGTGAACCTTTTGGGCCAGTTGATGCTGCCAAAGTGATGGGGTTGGAACCAGCTGCCGTGACTTTGGAAAAGCTTTCTAGAGGTCATGATGAAGGTAAAGCTGATCAAGAAAAGAAGAAGGTTGGTTTCTTTGCTCCAGTTTTGCAACATGAGAAGTCTGTTTTCAGATTCAAGGATGCTAAGGTCGGCGAAGTTGGTATCAGATATGGTAAGTCCAACAGAGATAATAAGAAGGATCGTAAGGTTGGTTACAATGAAATTGGTCAAAGAATCTATATATAAGCGGTTTATACTTGTAAATATTACAAATAGTTTATTGAACATTTCAAAGTAGCATCTAACTTTCCAAATATTCATATTTTGTAAGTACGTAAGAGAAAAGATTAAGACACATAAAGTATACTTTATATTAAATCAATCTTACAAAAAAAAATGAAAAAAAAAAAGTCGTTAAACATCGATAGTCTCATCAAGAAACAATAAAACATTCATAAAGATCGTGAATTTAAAAAAATTATTCAAGAAATAGTTGTTTATTTGGCAGGCTTCTTGGCCAAAGATTCACCAATATTCTTACCTCTCAACTTGACACCCAAAACTCTTTCCATCTTACCCAACAATTGTTGATTTGGGACGGCTCTACCGGCTTCGTAGTCGTTAATAACGTTTGGCTTTTCATTCAATCTGGTAGCTAATTCCTTTTGGGTCAATTTCTTTTCGGCACGGGCTTTGGAGATGATTCTACCAACACTGATGTCTAACTTCTTTGGTGGAGCAACTTCGTTTTCACGGTCAATCTTGGTTAATCTCTGACCTTCAGTACCATTAGATCTGTTGGCGGAACCATATTTCTTTTCAGTAGAAACAACGCCACCAGTACGACGAGCAGCATTGATTTGACCTTGAGTTCTGGCAACAGTTTGCTTTGGACCAGATGGACCTCTTCTGACGTTCTTACCAACAACAGTGACAGAGTCCCATTCGGTGTTAGATGGATTGTAGTGAGACATGGTTATTTAGGATAATTAACAGTAGTTGTAGTTTTATAGATAAGTATTAGACTGAGTCTAAGTGTGTACTATAACTTTGAGGTTATTGTCGGCGATTACAAATCTTCGATGGAACAAATAGAAGAAAAAAAAATAAGAAAAATCATACACCATCACGTGAGTGGCACAGGCCTTACTTCATGAATTGATGATCATATCACCTTCATTATAATTGTTTATTTATAATGTATGCTTTTAATGGTGGTCCAATTGGTTGATGATTATAATGACTTGGAAAACTAAGCTCTTCAATGTTATTCTTGTGCCCTCATGAATCTTATAAAGAATCTATAGCGGTAATGGCAATGTTATATACATAGTAAATATTATGTATAGCAATGGGCTCCATCTCAGCTTCCTCTATTTAACTAAATCTTTTGATGAGAAATAATATCATTTCATCCTAGCTTCGATAAGGTTCATTTCCTTAATTTCCATGTGTCCTCTTGAGGATGTTTCCCTCCTTCCCTCCTTCCTTCCCTGAATACCTTAAACTTTCCTAGTAATCACAAAAAAGGAAACAATGGTAGCAGTATAAGCCCGAAACATCAAATAACACACAGAGTGAAATTAAAAAATTTCTTCTTCGTCTTTGTATACGTAGCTTAACTCTCTAAAACTCTTCACCCTCGTCGCATTCATGTTGCTGATGATGCTATGCGCGCACCACAGGTTACACAGCCCGCGGCGTCTATTAAAATCACAACCGTGATAAATTCAACTAGAGCCGCAACCTTGGTAGGAACAGCTTGGTCCATCTTACAACGATAATTATTAAACAAACATGAGTCTTTATATGTCATTGGTAAGTATTTACTTTTTTTTCTTCGCTCTTCTGTGTTACCCAACTTAAATATTCTTTCTTTTCTCTCATCATACTAACTTTAGATGTATTAGATTTTTGGTGTCTTGGTGGCTGAAATGGCCATCGTCACTGTTCTATTATTGCCTCTCCCACACAAGATTCGCAAGAAGATTGTTCAATTTTCATTCTTCATCTGGAACCAAACACAAATTCGCGTGGCCATTATGGTATGCAGCGCCCTCGTTGGGTTGATGTTTGTTGACTCTGCCCAAAGATCATTTAAACACCCACTTGTACGTGAAGCAGAAGCTGGCCCAGCAGGGCATTTGAGCCATGGGTATAATGAGCTTAGTAGTAGTGAATATTTGGCAAGAAAGTTCTATAATCAAAGAAACTTCTACTTAACGGGGATTGTCCTTTGTTTAGGGATGGCAATTCCAACCATTCTCATATTGTTGGAGAAGATCATTAAATGGGACAATATTTTGAAGTCTACTAACGGCGGTAGTAGTGTCGATAGCATCAAGAAACAATTGGATGCTAAGGACAAGGATATTGCTACGTTGAAAAAACAAATCGAAGGTTTGCAAAAAGCGTACAACGAAAAGGCTGATGCCAAGAATCCTGTCAGTGGAGATTCAAAGAAATCCGCTTGAATATAGTTTTTCATCAATGTTTTATTGGGAATATATGCAATTGAGTTAAAACTGATACACGCGTAGTATGTTTTTCTTTCTGGCGTTGGTAATCAACATTATTTGATCAAGACCCGAATATCTACAGCAGAGCAAATAGATGAATTAAAATATTAAGTTGAAGAGTACATAAAACCTGAAAAGAAGCAGCTCACTCTGGAACTGGAGGACTATAAACCGGTAATTGTGAGTCACTACTTCTCTTGTTATTTTGATAACTCAAGAAACAATTCCAAAAGACCCCGAGGATATTTGAGCTAATCAAACGGAATTCAAGGGGCACGATACTGAGATTGAACAATTGGAAGATCGGCCAAACTTTCCAATTAGTGAGTAATGTGAGTTTGAAATTTTCTTCGAGTCTCTCCTTCATTTCACTCCAGGACCCTGTTTCTAACAATGGCATCACTGAAAAATACATCCCCACTGCAAGAGGAGAAAATATTATCTGGTCAACTGAAACTCTGGTAAATAAGTCCAACGCTTTTTGAAGCCTAGAGGTGGATCCAGCCGCTAACCTGATAGGAGAGCGGACCCCAGAAATAAATTTGTACCAATGGAATCCAACCGGAGAAAAAATCACACTGCCGTAAATCACTGAACGTAAAGTACGAGAAAAATCAAATTGCAAGTTTTTAGGATTAGTGTGGGCAACATAATCAGAATGTTCAGGGTTATCGGTTGCAAGAGGTTGATTTGGAAATAAGAGTTGGGCAAGAGCATCACCACAGCCGAATATTACCCCTGTAGAGCACATATTTGTGGTGATTGGTCTTTTGGCAAGCGATTGCTGATACTTGCTGAAGAGGGTTCGAAAAAACATCTTTTTGCGTAGTATTCTACAACCTAAAAATATCTCTCAATACAAAATAGAGGATGATATAATGAAATCAGGGGACAAAAAGCAACCACAAAAGGTATGTATCAAGCGGACATACAAAGCTTTGGTGCGTAAGGTTAATTATCTTTTCATCAAGCTTGGAAATCCAGTTTTCTTCCTGCGCGAAAATGTGATTGCCACATATTGTGGCATATTAGTATTTCACAGAATACACACACCATGTACGATAAAAGAAAGTGATTTATCCAACGCAGTAGTAGCTTACTAAGACCAGAAGGCTTTAATGAGGAATTCCCAAGGTAATAATCCTTTTATCTTTTTTCTATTTTTTTTTTATACTTTTAAAGAAATGTTCAATTAGTTTATAGGAAAAGAAGAGATGTATAAAGAATCTTCAAAAAATAAGACAATATCTTGAAAGGAATCGAAAAAAGAAAGAGAAAAAAGAAAAGCAAGTTCAAATGATAATCAATTTTTCAATTACTCAAAATATAGAAAACAAGAAAATTTATTAAATATCGGAAAACAATTTATATATATGCCAGGAACTCACAAGCAACACAAAAATACAAAAAAGAAATCAAAATAAAATGTTATAATTCCAAGAGCCAGCTGCCTCTTTTTTTTTTTTTGTTTTTTAGTTTTTCAGTTTTTCAGTTTTTTAATACTTTTTTAGTTTTGTTTTGGGTAAATAAAATACATTTCCAGGCAGCTGAATTTGCCCCGGTTGAAAAGAGAAAAAAAAAAAACAAGCATATTGAGCACATCAAATAAAGACCTGATACCACCACCTCCAAAATGAAGATATAATTTTTTTTTTTAAAAAAAGACAAGTATTTACTTTTCTTTCTTTGGCTCTACTTGCTGAGTAGTCTGCTTTCCTTGCTGAGCATACCCGCTATAGTACATGTACTGTTGGTTCATTGGGTACCCACCAGTATAATACGCAGCGTAGTTGTTATACTGTTGGGCAGGGTACTGATAAACAACATTGGCCTGTCCTTCAGCAGATCCTGTGGCAGCACCAGCGGCCCCACTAATGGTGGTAGCACCGGTTGAGGTAGTGCTGTCACCAGTGGTGGTACCGTCTTGTCCAGTAGTAGTGGTCTGGCTTACTGGAGGATACATGTAGAACTGCTGAGCTTGTTGTGGGGTCTGTTGTTGAGGTTGATGAGCCAGCTGTTGGCCAGTGGCGGTAGTTGCTTGAGGAAGGTAAGCAGCAGCAGCAGCAGCAGCAGACACGGTTCCTGCGTTGACGCCACCGCTGAGGAAAAACGATTTGATATCACGGACAAAGAGCGGGAATAAAAGATCGGAGATCCCTTCGTTTCTTGCCAATTCAAACGCACGTTCAAATGGAATCCATACCCCTTTGAGGTTCATGGCCCCAATCTTCACAACGTATCTGGTTTTCTCGGTTTTCAAAATCCCATCACGACGCCCACGAGTCATCCCGGTGACATTAAGAAGTTTTGTTCCGTTGATGAAATTGGAATCCTCACGACGAGACACCGAGATCCCACGAGCTTCAACTTGATAACACACAGTGTTTTCATCTTCCCAGAAAGTGGTGGTGATACGTGGTTTTGCTGGAGCTTGGGGCATCACTGCGGCATTCATCACTCCTGGGCGACCAGCAGCAGCAGCGGCGGCGGCGGCAGCAGCGTAGGGCCAAGCAGCGCCAGCAGGCATACTGAAGGCGGCGTTGGTAGGGTACGGCTGAGCATACGGAGTGGTGGCAGCAGAGGTAGTCGCACTGCCAGAAGCACTACCAAGTTGTTGGTGTTGAGTAGTGGAGGCAGCACTAATGGTTTTTTTATCTTCAGTCTTCACAGTGGTAGCGCCAGTACTTGCGCCATTCCCAACGGTAGCAGCGGCAGTGGCTGCAGCAGCGTATTGTTGGTATTGTTGTTGAGTTTGACCCATCTGATAAACTTGGTTACCATAACCGTACGCATCATAATAGTTAGCATAGCGCTGTTGCTGCTGTTGTTGTTGTTGTTGTTGTTGCTGTTGTTGTTGAGACTGCGCTTGCAGTTGCAGTGTTTGTTGCAGTGGTTGCAGTGTTTGCTGTTGCAGTTGTTGCGATTGCTGTTGCAGCAGCAGTTGTTGAGGATAGGCTTGGGTATAATAAGCGGCGGTAGCAGCAGTCGACTGCTGGTGTTGGCTTTGTCCGGCAGTATTGGCAGCTACTTGGTTGGATGTGGTCGATCCAGAAACTGTAGCAGCAGTAGACCCTTGGCCAGTAGACTGGCCTTGGGAGGCCAGTGACGCGTGGGAATCTTGACCTTCGTAGGAATAGGATTGGGTAGACATTATTTGACCTAATATAAATATATTACGCGGGTTATGGATCCTTTAGTATGTCGTAGATCACCAGCAATGCGATGTTGGAATATGTTGCAGACCGTACAAGAGGAGTGCTAATTTTTTTTTTGATGTGGATTAACGCAAAAAAGCACAGCACTTTACTTTGAGGAAAAAAATCAGCAACAGGGGAGGCAAACTCACAAGTGGAACAAAAACTAAGATAACGGTAGTGTTTGTCGATAAAATAAAGCAGAAAATGTCTTAAAAATCACAAGCAAGAAAACACACTCGTGAACAGTTCGGCTATTTTTCTGAGACGTTGTAATTATAATTGTGGATCTGTAGTCGTGCAACAAGGAGTAATGTGGTGCAATGCATTTTCACATTCAGCGATTTTTTTTTTCCCTTAATTTTTTTTCCCTTCGCTAGGGCCAAAAAAGGCCGGGTGATGATTTTCCGATATGCACTCATCTGACAAAACACCCAAACACCAGCGATGCCCACCCAAATATGAAGTAGATAAGATGAATCGGATCGATAGATACTACAAGTAGACATTATTGTAGAAAGCAAACAACCAGGGTTAGTTACTGTATAGATAACTGAAAAATAATAACAAATAATGATAAATAAAAGATAAATGCAGAAAAGCCAAAATGGCATAGCGTAAACTGAAATAGAAATATTAGTGCTATTTGTAATAAAAATAAGAGCAAAAGGATGCAAACAAATTTCAAAGAATTAAATCAAAAGACATAAAAGAGAAGCATTCATTGGGAAAAGTAACAGATGACGTACTTTTCTTCTTATTTCAAAACAGATAGCATCAAAAGACAATCATAGTAAAAAACAATCAATAATAAGAGCCGGAAAATAAAGAAAAGACGGAAAGAAGAACGGACATATAAAACGTAGGGAACTGGTACAAATGAATTGAAATCACACCTGTGAAAACCGCTGCTGGTTTTGCAATTCCATGGAAGATGGCAAATTCGGATTACGATACCTGATTTGCTTCTTTAGGAACTCTTGTTCTGCTTCAGCTGCCACTTGATCAACATCTATATCAACATCCATTTCAGTGTCCTCATAGTTCTCATGAGGCATGTCAGAAACTGCAATTGGCGATTTTTTGAATCCAGGATGTGAAATATGACCATGGTAAGAAATACCAACATTACTACTTTTAGCCAAGGAATTAGATTGATGAAGTTGAGGTCTATCAGAAGATGGAGTTGAGATGGAATTAGATTCAAGGTTCTTGGTTGGGGTAATATTACTATTGGTAATAACAGACATTCCTTTATCTCCATCGATGTCTTGCTTATTATTAATTGTGTTAACAGAGGAGACTGAATTGCTATCATTAGATGGAGCTTCAATGGTAGTTGTATTGCTAGGAGCAGTAATTGTTGGGATGGGTTTATTAACAGAGGTTGATGCAGAATTTCCAGTGAAATTGAATTCAGAGTTAGAGTTACTTCCAGACATTGCAGTATCAATGATGGATTCCGCAGCCGGTGAGACCACATAAGTATCAGAAGCTGGTTCAGTCACTAACATGCTCTCAATGGTAGGCTTTTTGCTCAACGGACCGTCACTGGGTCTATGGTTAGTTTCTGATCCGGAGCTCAAGCTGAGAGATGAAAGGGCAGGTAGGCGGATATTCGAGGAGGATCTAGCGCTAGTGGTGGTTTCAGGATTCATCAAATCACTGATTCTTGTCGCCAGAGAATTATTAGAGATGGATTTGAAATTGTGCGAGGATGATGGATTTGCTTGAGTATCTGATGATGGTGGGCTACCAGCACTGTGTGGAGCAGTGCTATGTACTGAGAAATCAAATGATTGATGTTGCTGAGAGTATTGCTGCTGATGCTGCTGTCTTGATTGCTGCTTTGATGGTGGAAGGTAGAGTTTTGAGTCTGAGTTGACAGAAAATTGAGAATTAATAGAAAAATCTGACTTTACAGACATACGTCTATCATCATTGTTCAACACTGAACGTAGCCAAGAAGAGGAAGAGGACGAAGCCAGGGAAACCCTGTTGCCGGCAGCGCTATTATAGTAATTAGTGGAAGATGTGCGATGATTAGTTTCACTGATACTTGGTAATTTCCCTGACGATGCAAGCTGGGCTTGTTGATAGGCAGAAAGTTTCGCTGTTGACGCTTGGTTTGAGAAAACCATTGGTAGCGAAGGGAGTGTTTGATTATTATTATTGTTGTTCAACTTGTTGTGCATGCTAAGCGAAGAACGATTACCACTATTCAAAGAAGAACTCAGCGACAGGAAAGATGATCTAATAGATGACTGTGAGCTGAAAGCACTAGACGTTGGAGTAGTCTTCACAGAATCAAAATGAGTCGCGTTACTGAAATTACTGAATGATGGTGACGATGGTTGGGAAGCAGTCGGGAATTTCAGTTGATAGGGTGAAACTAATGGGCTAGTGCCTTGTTGCCCTCTGTTATGTTGAATAGTTTGCGGAGGAGTGGTTGAGGAGAAATTATTTTGATGAATTGGCGGAGGTGGACTGCTAATTCTAATGCCATTGTCACTGGAATTTGTAAATGAACTGCTATTTGAGTAAATTGAAGGAGCATGTGCACTATTATTTGAATAAATAGAAGCGGTATCAAAAGAATTCGAAGGAAGAGGGGCAGAATTGACTGAAGTATGGCTTTGATTTGAAAATGGCAGAGCAAGTCGGGTAAAAAATGAAGAATCATTACCTTTGTTTTCATTTTGACTAACAGATGATGCATACTCTACAGCTGTCTGTCTGTGGGTTGCAAGTTCTGGGTTCGAAGAATATTCCACGTTGAGATTTAGAGGCCGTGGACGTTTGCGAGAGTCTGCTTTGAACTGTGGCGTCTTTGAGAACAGAGAAGTGGTTCCCAAAGGAGTGTTTGAATTATTTGGTAATATGCTCGAGGTCATCAATCCATTTTGATGCAACATTGGCAAGCTATTGGATTGTTGTAGAGGTGGACTGAAGTAAAGAGATCTGGTTGGACTTGTCTGGCCAGCAGTTGGGGTATTGGTTACTGATGATGACACACTGCTAGAACTTGGAGATAGAATAGCAGTTTTAACGGATCCTGAGCCATTGCTACTGAGAGTTTTAAAGGATCTCGCCGACTGGTTATCGAAACCAGATAATTGTCGGTGATGGATAGGAGGCGGTTGATGGAAGCTGGACTGGTCAAACATGGAAGGTTGTGCAGACGAAGCGCCCAACTCCATATTTAGCGGTTGTCGCTGTTGTTGCGGCTGCTGCTGCTGAAGACTTCCTCCGGTAGTATTAGGTTCGCCTCCAATGGTGACAGTTTCTTGTTGAGTCAAAACATAATTTTCGTAGGCGTGAACTGTTTGTTTGTGTTGGCGGAGATTATCAAGACGAGAGAAGAACTTTTGACAAAATGGACATTGGAATGGCCTTTCACCAGTATGTTTTCTAATATGTCTTGCCAAATGTTCTGATCTAGTAAAAGTCATGCTGCAATTATCATAGCCAGTACATTGGAAGACCCTCTTCTTCGACTTTCTCCTGATTGTTGATGATGGAGAAGACGAAGAAGAGGTGGATGATGGAAGGTGGGGGGTTTGAGAATTCAATGTGATAGATGTGTATTGTTAAATTTATTGGGTTGTTTGAAAGGTGAAGTAGCGCATGGGAGAAGGAACCTTTGAATAAAAAAAAAGGACAAGGACCCTCTTTCTTTATGGATTTAGCTTAGCTATTTTTTGAAAGAACCTGTTCTGTTTTTGTGTTGAACGTTAAGTGAGAGATAATCACCAGGCTAGATACGATCTGGAAAAGAAGAGAGGGACAAAAGATTAAACTGTTCCTTTTTTTTTTCTTACTTTTTTGCACTGTTTTTGGAAAGATCAGAAATAGAGCAGAATATATAATAGTGGTGTTTGTTAATGTAAATTTAAGTATAGGCCTGTCGCCGCGGCTTCTCAAAAAAATAAAAAAATAAAAAAAAAAAAGGATCTACCAGTGTTGTAATTACAAACTGGCAGAAAAAAAAAAAACACAAAAGTCAAAATTGAAAACAGGGTGGGAAACGTACAGGAGAACAAGGGGGTGCATATGAAGCAGTAACTGCACCACTTGCAGCGTACCACTATAGTTTGTAATGCTTGGATTAGTGATTAGTGTCCCATTGCTCGATATAAAATATGGCAGACCCAAGTAGGTTGGCTGAGCGAGCCAGAGGACATTAGCTCCTGACATCTTGGATGAGTGACAAGATAGGTTGCTAACTGATGATAGGTCTGATATATCCACAAATACGAATAAATATACGACTGCTGTCGTCACCCCCAATCGACCAATTGGTGTCCTTAATAAATAAATAAAATAAAGGTGGAACCTGGTTCCTTACTGAGCCTCTGTCAACCATCGCAGGGGAATGTCAGATGCAACAATCCACTTTTTTGGTTATGTATAATGCACTACCCCTGTGATATCCCAATATTCCAGCATATGCTAGCATCGGAATACATATAGTCGGCACGTATTGCAGAATAGTACTTTTTTTATGTTCCTGTTATTTCCAGATTTGTCAATCTGACTTAAGACGGATTATAATTTACACATCCCTACAAAATGTGACAAAACGGAATCTTGCCATTCACCGTCATTTATTATTGCCTGATATAATACCAATCAGGTAATTCTATTAATTTGATAGTGTATTAGGCCGTTTATCCAATGACCCGTAATCCTGTGATTACACCCAAAGAACCTTGGAAGACAGATCTTGAGATTTTCTTTTTAAAGAAAAAGAAAGATCCATGTACAGATAGATTGTTGAAAATTTTTTTAAAATGCTGTATGCCACCATCCTTGATACTATTATATCATCAGATTCTTTCAAAGTGCATACCACCTAGAAACACACCCTTTGTTAAAAAAAATAGAATTCCTTCTTTTCTCGCATCCTGTTTTTTCTTTGTTTCTTTTTTTTTGCGTCTGGCAGAAATATTATATATTCCGAAAAGTCATCCTTCTTAAATTGCGATTTATTCCACCATTTTCATGTATGGCTTTTATAATTTTCCAACTGCCCTTCCCTGATATTTGACATTCCACTATCGACTAGTATTGATTTTTGCATACTTTTCCGTGTTCAAATTTCTAGTGAGCATTTAGATCTAAAATCGCTCGTGATTGAGAATAAATGGAATGTTGACAATTTCAATTTACGAATATCACGTGTGCGTAGACCTCCACAGCCATCGGAAAACTGTCCTCGGAAAGTTTGACGTAAAACCTCATTAAGGGAGAAGGATAATATACAGCGGGATGATAAATTGCGGCTGGCTTATTTTGTCAGTTTTTTAATTGCAGATTGTTGGGTACTGGAGTATGTATGACTTAAGAGATCTGTTACGCTTTTTGTATAATAAGTTTAAGAAGACTGGACTGATGACTGGTATGCCATCTTTGGATGAAATACCTATCGGATAGCTCCATATGATGAAGACTGTGCCGTCTCTATTATGAGGTTGTAAAAAGTCACCAAAATATTTGTCATCAAAAACCAAAACTGCCAAGAAACAAGTGACAAAGAAAAAGTCTAGTAAAGCAAAGAATGGACGATACATATGAGACCTAAAATACTTTTCATCTAACCATTTCAACATCATGGTTAATAACTGCTAGAATAATTGCCTTATAAACAGCTACTTGACACATGTATATAATTATATAGACACTATTCCACTTGCAACTATTCTAATAATTTTTCGGGGTTCGCCAGTCATTGGTGAAACGATACTTTCTTCAAAAGTTAAGGATAAGGAATTTCCAAATTGATGCAACAAAGGAATACCAGGGACGTAAACCATCACCATATGTTAGATAATGTTTATGATAGAAAAAATTATGACTAGATTACAACTCCAATGAATTGATACCAATTTGCTCTTAACAGTATAGCAATGCATGTTAACATGCTTAACAATAGGAAACCGAAAGCAAAATATTGGATTGAAAATAAATTGCCGATGTCAGTTCACATAGATCTCATGAAAAGCAAACAAAGCCTCAGTGCTGTGAGTCTGTTCCATATGAGTGACTTATGGTGATCGTAGAATAAAAAAGCTCTAGTAATACTACCATATAGACAAACTACGAATGAAAATTTTCCTTCCATAAAAGAATTAACGATTTGAAACTATGAGTTCCTTCCCAGTACTTCATTCTTCAATTTCTCAGACAAAAAATCCTTTGACCACTTTCCCATTTCCTAAATTCACTTCTGTTTCTATTAATGAGGTGATCTTTCTTTCTCCGAGATGCTATTATAGAGAAGCTTACAGTTAAGAATCTCTTCTACACTCTTGTCAAAGGTTGCTTGCATAGGACATCATTTATTTCGCCGAGACAGTTACAGATTACATTTCTCTTATCGATTTATACAAAACCCTTATATAGTTAGTTGACACGTTGGCACTTTGGCCAATACCTTTTCGTGTCTGTTTGTATTATGTATTCCGTTGTGCCAAGACTATTAACAAGCGAGGAAAGAAAAATTAGAGCAAACACTCAGATGAATGCCCGATGAAGATTGGATTTTTACAGGCTCTGTAAATGAACTGTTATCTTTTTTTTTTTTTTTTTTTATTTATTTTTTCCTTGCTTATAAGATTTCTTTAAGCTTTCTTTTTTCCTTGTCTTGCATAGCAGTATCTCAAGAAATGGGACTATATACAGATCTATAGGCCTGATAAATAGCAAGGAAGATGATGATGACATTGCCTGCCAAATGAACATGGCTAATAACTCATCTACTCAATCTTACGGGATGTTTTTTTTTTTCGACTCCCATGACATCAATAAAAATAGTCCGAAATTATGTCATAATAGTTTTTTGGCGTGTTAGTTGTATGTGTCGATCATAAGTGCCTTCGCTTGAATGCCCACAGCCGGGATATTGTGTTTGTTCCTAGAAGAGGGCAATTTTGGAGGGCTAGCAATAAATAGTGGGAAACAGCAAGGAATAATTGTACATTTTGGCACTATCAACCTCTACATATCTATATACTTTATCTCCGTGGCCATTTTCCTGCCGGGTGCTATATATATTTGTTGTGCTATTACTGATGGGAGGACCCGCCTCACAAAAGATCTGCCAGTCGCCGACGATAGCAAGAACACATGACGTAAACTCCCACATGACCACGGGGCACAACATGCCCCCTCCAAAGAAAAAAAGGGCCCCGTAACCTGTCGGTTGCTGGTGGGTCCGTCTACCCTGCCTGGTTGGAGGCAGCTTGTTTGTTTGTTTGTTTTTTCCCGCATAGTTGCTGCTGGTTCTATCCACAACCTTCCAATATCATTGCTCATGTATCCCCCTTTATAACCTCCCACTCATCCCCCTCGCTTTTTCCACATTTGTCCCCCCTCCAAAAAAAAAGGAAGAAATTTTTCATCTCTTTTATTATTACCTCTCTCATCCAATAATATCTCACAATGCACAGAACTTACTCCCTCAGAAACTCAAGAGCGCCAACCGCCTCCCAATTACAATCGCCTGCCCCTCCTCCATCAACCACCAAAAAGCACTACTTCGGTAAGAGCGGAATTGCTTCTTCCTTGAGAATTAACACCGCTGGCTCATTTGGTCCGGAATTGGCTAAGAAATTGGCTCAGTATGTCAAGATGGAAAAGAACGTTATGAGAGCCCTCGAGTTGGCTGCCAATGAACGTCGTGCTGTTGCTAAACAATTGTCTGTTTGGGGTGAAGAAAATGACGACGATGTTTCCGATATCACTGACAAATTGGGTGTCCTCATCTATGAACTCGGGGAATTGGATGACTTGTTTATCGACCGTTATGACCAATATCGTTTGACTATCAAGTCTGTCCGTAACATTGAAGCTTCTGTCCAGCCTTCCCGTGACCGTAAGGCCAAGATTACCGATAAGATTGCTTATCTTAAATACAAGGACCCACAATCACCAAAGATTATGATTTTAGAACAAGAATTGGTTCGTGCTGAAGCCGAATCTTTGGTTGCCGAAGCTCAATTGTCTAACATCACTAGAGAAAAATTGAAGTTGGCTTTCAACTATCAATTCGACTCTATCAGAGAACACGCCGAAAAAATGGCCCTCATTGCCGGTTACGGTAAAGCTCTTTTGGAATTGTTGGATGATGCTCCAGTTACTCCTGGTGAAACCAGACCAGCTTATGATGGTTACGAAACCTCTAAGCAAATTATCATTGATGCTGAAAACGCTTTGAGAAACTGGACTTTGGACTCCGCCGCTGTTAAGCCAACTTTGAGCATCCGCCAAGTGGACGATGTCTACGACACTTCTGATGAAGAAGCCCTTGAAAATGAAGAATATCAAAAGCACAGAGAAGATTTGGACAAAGAATTGAATGGATTGGCTGAAACCGAAGAGAACTTCACCCAAGAAGAACATCCTGAAGAAAAAGCTACTGCTTAAACTTGACTTTTTCGTCTTTCACTCGTCAAATTTGTGATGTTTGTTCTATCCTTTTCGTGCCTGCGTTTCTTATGACTTACCTCTAATATTTTTTTCCCCTTCGACTGTGACTGTCACTCACTACTTGGTTTTATACTTGTACTTTTTTTTTTTTTTCTCTTGCTATCTGGCTTTAGCTTCTGGTTTTGTTATCCGACTAATACAGCGTTACTTTATTTGATCTTTGAAAAGTCTTTTTTAATTAATGTATGAACAAAGATGACAACTACAAATGCCTCATCAAAACCTCACCTCATATCGTAGAACTTTACAAAAGAGAGCCAAATCAACTTGAAAGCACTAATAATAAAGAAAAATCACCCCTGTAGCAAACCGAGGGTATTCCATCGTCCACAGGTCATGTGATGCTGGACGGAAATTGCAATTGTTTTTGCTGAACTTTTTGAGAAAAAAAGAACACACTTCCACATCTCGCAAAAGCACAAGGCAAGATTGTCCAACCAAATAGAAACAATTACACCCAAAAACATATTTTCCAGCATCATTTTCCATTAATTTTCTATAATCAATACCATCTGGAAACTTGAATAGCAGGATTTTTGCCAAACTCTCTGTGTTCAGAATTAACTCACCTGTTTGCATACTTTCTTTTTTATTATTTTCTTCCCCAAAACAATATTGTGTTTCTTTATTGCGAAACATTCACACTGTCAAAGGCGACTGGTTTCTCTTTAGAATAAAGGTATTCTAATTTTAATCCTTATCAACCCACACTTTTAGCATTTCAATTTTTGTCCGGTCAAAATGATGGGCAAATTTAAGGACAGATTTAAGACCAAGAAGAAGGATAAGGATTCACAAGGTAGCGGAAACTCTTCTAACGGTCAAACACAGTCTAATACTTCCAATGGGTCATCTTCCACAGTCCTGAGCTCTCTGAGCACAACTTTGGCTAGCGGTTTGAAGCGTGCCGGAACAAAACATATTTCCAAAGACAAAAAAAACAAGGACAAAAAGGATACATCTTCCTCTACTGCCACCAATGCTGCTTCCAGTAACAATTCTCCTGCGCCTAGTTCTAGAGATCTACAGTCTGATGATGCTTCTCTTAAAAATGGGGCTAACCCAGAGGATGGTTCTGCTAATGTAATACTCGCTAATAGTAACGCAGACCTGCCTGCCGTCAGCAGTAACGGTAACAGTTCAAATAGCGTTCCACAAGTGAGTATTACTGTTCCAGCCGACGATAAGAATAATTTATTATCTAGCAACAGTTTGTTATCAAACTCTCCAATCAATAATGGATTGAATATGAACAGTAATAACAACAATGACAATAATAATCCTAATAATAATCCTAATAATAATAATAACATGCCAGAAAGTTCATATCAAGATGGTATAGATAAAGAGGACGAAGATATGACAATTCCTCGCTCATCTCATTCATTTGAACGTCTACCTGCACCAGCAAAGATCGATAATGACATTGATTTGATTAAGACTCCTAAACGTCATTCATCATCAAGAGTCGAGCCAAGTTCTCAGAGACAAACATTTGAGAAATTGCCTCTGTTTGATGAAGTTTTACCAGAAGAACAAATTGAATTGTTCTTGAAGAAAATCAAACAATGTAACATTATATTCGATTTCAATGACCCAAGTGATGACTTGAAGGGGAAAGAATTGAAACGCTTAACTTTGCAAGAATTAATTGAGTTTATATCTTCGAACCGTTTCACTTACACTGATGAAATGTACCATAGTGTGGTTGAAATGTTTAAAAAGAACTTATTTAGACCAATCCCACCGCCAGTGAATCCAGTGGGTGATATTTACGATCCTGATGAAGATGAGCCAGTCCTGGAAATTGCTTGGCCTCACATGCAAGTAGTTTACGAGTTTTTCCTTAGATTTGTCGAAAGCAATGATTTCAACCATCAAATGGCTAAGCAATACATTGACCACGACTTTATCTTGCGTTTATTGGAATTATTTGATTCTGAAGACCCTCGTGAACGTGACTGCCTCAAAACCACATTGCATCGTATTTATGGGAAGTTCCTTTCTCTTCGCTCTTTTATTAGAAGATCTATTAACAATGTCTTCTTGCAATTTGTTTATGAAACTGAAAGATTCAATGGTATTTCTGAGCTTCTTGAAATTTTGGGCTCGATTATTAATGGTTTTGCCTTGCCATTAAAAGAAGAGCATAAAATATTCTTGTGTCGTGTGTTACTCCCCATGCACAAGGCTAAAGCTTTATCTTTATACCATCCACAATTAGCTTATTGTGTAGTGCAATTTTTGGAAAAAGATCCTTTGTTAACTGAAGAAGTTATTATGGGATTACTCAGATTCTGGCCAAAAGTTAACTCTCCAAAAGAGATCATGTTCCTCAATGAAGTTGAAGATGTATTTGAAGTTATTGAACCTTCGGAATTCCAAAAGATTCAAATCCCATTGGTCGTTCAGTTGTCCAAATGTATTACCTCTCCACATTTCCAAATTCTGGAGAAAGTTCTTTGCTTTTGGAATAATGACTTCTTTTTGAGTTTGGTCACTGAGAATGCTGAAACAATTCTACCAATAGTTTTCCCTGCTCTTTATGAAATCTCCCAAATAGGTAGCTTCCAGAACCTGGATGGCTCTGATCTAGTGATGGACCCATCCAATCCAAACAATTATCTTGATAATGGAGGTTATGACTTTGGCTATGGTGGAGGTGCTGCTGCCAATAATTGGAACCGTACGATCACCTCTTTGGCATTCAATGCGCTCAAACATTTTATGGAAAACAATCCAATATTGTACGACCAATGTACAATGTTGTACCAACAGTCATTAAAGGATAATGAACAACGCGAAAAGATTAAGAAGGAAAATTGGAAACGTTTAGAAGATTATGTGGTAGACCATAATCATACACACAAAGATGCGAAAATTGAAACAATAAGTCAGAATGTGAATGAATTGGAATTGGGTAGTGGTGGGGAACAAAAAATGGAAGCTGCTCATTAATCGACCAGCTGATCCGCTTATATATTTTGCATTGGTTGTTCTCTTTTGGATCTGCTACTTAGCTTATCCACTGTTTTGTTTTGCTTTTATTTCATTATCATGTTGATTCTTTACTTATCTTTTGGTTTTCCATTTCTTGATTTCTTTTATTTTCTTTTATTTTTATTTTTTTATTTGTACAAAACAAGCAAACAAATTGCTCAAGATTTCATAATAATAAGGTCAGTGAAATCTTTGTTCATGGCTGGCTGCTTATTGTTTGCTACTTATTGAGTCTCCCATATCATCTTCTTTTTTTTCTTTCCTTCATAATCTGATCTTTTCTTGCTTAATTAATGGAGAGGTTCTTGATACCTTGGCATGTTTTTTTTTTTTTTTGCTGTTGGAAATATCCCTAAAATAATGACAACAATAATAGTAGTAATAAAAAAAAAAAAAACGTTAAATATAAAGAAATCTTGTTGGAGAAAAATTTCATTGACAATTTTTCTGTTTTTGCCCTTCATTCAAGCTCATTAGTTTTTTCACTAACAATTTATTTTGTGATTTTGTGTATTTCCGTCATCAATAATTTCTTTTTGTTCATGTTTATTTATTCATTGTGTATCTATTCTTTACTTCGAAAACTTAACTCCTCTAATGTATTATTTATTATGAGTTAAATTAAAAGATTTTATTTCACTTATAGCAAGCTTTCACAGGCGATGCTGGTGGCTTTTCATTTCAATAGTTATTTTATACCTGACCCATATAATATAGGAAATATTCAAAATCTTATTTTAGAATGGAAAAAACCAGTGTACTCGTTATAGTATATTATAAATATAGGAAAAATTTTTACAAAAGAAATCGTAGTGTAACATGATATGGAGAGAAGAAAAAAAAATGACACGAAAGAAATGAATAAAGATGTGAAAGCTATTGGTATCTATCGAAACAAAAGAAACAGAGAAAAAGAGAAAAAGAACCGAAAAAAAAAAATGTAATCATATACTAAGAGAATGCACGAGAGAAATCAGAAAAAGGCAGAGATGAGGATGAGAAAAACGAGCCATTCAATCATGATTTCTCTAGGCTCTTCAAATAATCATCCATACTGGTATTATAGGGACTCTTGTTCAATGAAGAAACTTTTGGATTTGCGTCATTGGCATACTTCAAAGGGGCAATACTAGACTGTGATACAATCTCATCTCCACATTCACCATCATCAACAAACTCGAATTCTTCGGTTATCTGACCCCCGTATTCAAGAGAATCTTCATCTCCATCACTATCTAAAATGCTGTCATTTTTATGGTTGGATCCGTGTGCCAAGGACTGTTCACTAGCTAGATGTTTATTGAATTTCAAAAAATCATTGAAATTGGCAGGTAGTCGTTGTTTGTATTCGTTATTTTCATAATCTTTTTCATCATCATTAAAATTATCATTATCATTGAAGTCCTCCCCCTCCTCATCCCCTTCATCATCAAAATCATCAAGTAGGTCATTTTTATACACATACTGATTGAGATTATAAGTCTTAGCTGAGGGTACAAGCTTGCCGTAACCATGATTTGTAATGTTTTCAGTACTTTCGTTCCCGTCAAGATCACCACTGTTAGTTGTATTATTATTATTAGCTTCATCATTAGAAGTATAGTCTTCAAATTTGTCGGTATTGTTGCTATGTGAGTCAAAGGAAGATTTGGAATCATCATATTTGGTAGAAGTCAACTTGTTGAAGAAATTATGAAGCTTTCCGCCACCTGAATTGGAAGTGATAATGCTTTGGTTATTTCTGCTTTGAACATCAAATGAATTCAAACTAAAATCCGATACGGATTCACGATCATTAATGTTGTTACTAATACGCTGAAACTTTTCAAAATCAATAGGATCATTCATCATATCCATGGTCTGATCAATCTGAACCACATTTCCAGGACTATCAAAATCAAGCTTTTTTTGTACAGTGCTACTGGCATCAACGCTTTTAAGCTCATTTATCAAGTTCTTCTTGCTGGCGCTGAGATTCAATGGGGTCCGTTTTTCACTGTTGTTCTGAAACTTTTTGTATTCTTCTGGAGTCATTAGTTTCTCGTCAGCATCCACCAACTTCACAGTTGAGATTTCTTTGGTCAAATCTTTAACTAAGGCACTGGAGTCCTTGGATGTTGTCCTCAGAAAGTTACCATTTAAAGGACTTGATGAATTGTTTAATTTGCTGCTGCCCATTTTCTTTGAATACTTGAACCGGATTGGCGAGTTTAATTCTTCTGTGCTTTGGTTATTTTGTCTGAATGGCAGTTTTGGCTTACCAAGCAATAATTGAGATGATTTTTTTCTCAATAACTTTGAGAAACTAGGTTTTTCATATTCTTGAAAGTTCTTATCATTCTTAGGGGTCTTTGTATTCCGATTATTGATCTCGTTACTGTTGATAATATTATTATTCTTGCTAGCGCTGCCAATACTTGAAATGGAATTTATTGATTTCTTGGAGGTAGAATTTGGCATTCTAAGACTATTTTTGTCGGTCCCCGACGAAGGGATTCTCGAGCTTGGTTTACTCCCACTGACACTCTGATTATCAGCAGTTGATCCCGAATTGCTTTTCAACAACTTTAATTTTGAAAACGTCTTTCGAAGCTTTCCGAAATTTTTCCTCGAGCCATTAGTATTGTGTGAATTGTTAGATAATTGACCTATGCTATTACTGCTCGTACTGTTAATCATTCTGGGATTTGAGTACTGTTGATCTTTACCAATGATATTACTGCTAGTATTACTTGTATCCATGTGAGTTGTTGTATCAGACTGTTTACTTTGAATAGAAATGGTCTTGCTAGTGATGGAAGATAGCGTCGTTGAGTTTTTAGAAGTCATTGAGTTGATAGTCTTTAAAGAATTGAATCTCGAATTAGCCAAACCGGTTGATGATGAGTCAGATTTATTGAGTGATCTTTTAGATTTCAGTGAGTCTTGTCTTTGGAAAGTCTTTGATTCATACATTTGATCATTGAACGCCAAGAATTCGTGTCTTTCAATCTCATTATTAAAATTTGAAGCGTCGAAAATATCATGAAGCTTCAATGATTCAACAGATGCCCGCTTGTTTGGATTCTTGATCAACGCATGATGCTGAAGGAAATTCACCATTCTTGAAAAATTCAAATTGTCTTTATATTTTTTTTGTTGGTCAGAGTTAGCATCGTTCAATAATAAACTTGTTTCTGGATATTCAATCGTATCATGAGTAATTTTAGAGTAAACTTCGTATTCATGATCAGCAGTGATAGGCAAGCAATTAAATAGTAAGCAATAAATAGTGACACCAAAAGACCATATATCCAATTTGTAATCAAGGATTATCGGTTCATAATCCTCTTCTTCTTGTGCTTCGCGTTCTTTCTGTATAATCGAATTGTTATAAACAATCGAATCGTTGATCAGATCAGTAGAGCTATTCACCGAGACATCATCTTGGAACTTCCTTGTGTTACATAACTCTGGGGCCAAGAACATTGGAGTTCCGACAGTTTGGTTCAACTTCCCCTGTTGTTCAGAAATTGGAATATTCTCATCAACAATATAACTGCTTCCGAAATCGCTAATTTTAACATTTCCCTTATGATCGATGAGTAAATTTGAAGGTTTAATATCTCGATGAATAATGCAATGGATTTTCAAGAATTCCAAACCATTGATAATTTCTTTGAGTATTCTAATTAGATCGTCCAATGTTTTACAAGTGTTATCACTCTCTACCGAATTTGACATCCATTTGATCTCACCTTGATAACAGTACTCCAATACCAAAAAAACATTGCTATACCTCACATCATTGAAAACTGAGTACAATTTGATGATATTAGGACTGAGATTCTGACATTTTTTCATAGAATTCACTTCCTGGCGAATTCTTTCTGGGAAATCATCGTCATTATCATCGATTTTCTCATTATTTCTATTGACCTTATTTTTTTTCTTCAAAAGCTTGTATTTAGAATACCTTGATAATTCCTTGATGGCCACAAACCTATTCCCCACCAAATCTTTACCAAGTATCACTTTACCATATTGTCCTGATCCTAGCTTTTTAATTATCTCGATATTATTCAACAATTTATGACCCGTTAGTTGGTTTAACAGAATATCCACCTTGGGTACGACCTCTATTAGTTGGTCCATAGTGTTCCTTCCAACTGGGGCGATGGTGTCTTTTGTGGGAATCACTGCCTCTCCTTGCCAATAGCTTTCTTCAAGACCAACGGTTCTCCCTAAATCAAATTCAGTTTGTTTACTTTAAGGTATGCTCTCTCACTACACAAAAAATTTTTGATGATATTTTTCTCCTGAAGAACCCGTCACTTGAAATCCGTGTCAGTGGTGCGAAATACTTAAAATAATTCACCCGCAGCGCGGCAAAGTGAAAAACAAAAAAACAACAAAAAAACAAAGGCTACTCTTATGAAACAATATTCTATATATAATTACAAACTCCAGTATCGGATATCAATTATATATTATTTATTACTTAGCTGGACAAGAACCAAATATTAATAAATGCACATCTCCCCTACTCTAACCGTCTTACTTCCCGGGTTTCTTATAATACAATACAGGTATCTACTCTTGTAAATGCTTTCACTGCTAACACACCCAAGACCAGTGTAATATCCTTTCTCAAGGTTCATTGCTCCTGTGGTCACGAATCCAATCAAATTCTCAAATGTTGGACAATTTTTGATAAGGTCATTAGTGTTATGCAACTTGATTAACTTTTCAATCGTAGGACATTGTCTAATAATTTCCTCCTTATAAGGAGATTCAATCAATTGATGGAAATCTTTTGGAATAGCGTAGATTCTGGCGTTCGATTTAATTTTGCCTCGATGCAAAAGATGAACCTTGACATTATTTACCGGTAATCTATTATCCAATAGTTTTGCCACACGTTCATTACTCACTGATTCATCAACTAACGAAAGATAATTCTCAATCACTTGATTAAACCTTGCAATTTCAGTTTGATTTTGCTTTGGGTTATAAAGATTCAACATGATTGGGTTGACTAGCTTTTCCCCTCTAGCGTTCTTTTCATCATCAATGACCTTGATACTTTTCACATAGCCGATAATATCACTGATAGCAAAATTTTTTCTTAAAAACTTTGCATTATCCCAAATCTGAATCGGGGTTTCTAATTTAGTTACTTCTTTGCTTTTGGCGTTTAATTTCTCATAAACTTTCAAAATAACTGTAAAGAGTTGTAAAGATCTCCAATCGCAATTACTCCAATTGAACATCTCTCCAGTTATTTGATATTTGCTTTGGTCTAAAGTACTAACTAACGTTGATTCATAGTTCAATCTTTTCTTCTTAGGCTTTTTCTTCCACATTTCTTCCGCTTCTTTTGCAATCAATTCATTTTCAATGAAACCATCCTTGGTATATGGATAGTCATTAGGATAGTAAGGCCTATTAATCTCAAAGTTGATTTGATTAATTTGCAAAAGCCCCCCTGGTAAAATTTTTGGGATTTTAACCAAATGATACCATATTGGGGATATCCAATACCAAGGAGCAAATAACTTAATCCTCTTTGACTTGGAATCCATTAATATCAAGATTGGGATTTTGCTATCATCATTTTTGATTTTGAGTTTCACTTGACCAGGGTTTTCCAATTTTCTTCTTCTCTTATTGATCTGCTTAATTGTCATTTGGTTGCTGTAAGATTCAGTCCGTCCATCGGCAGAAAATAACAATTTGTTGGTCTCCGGATCAGATAGTTTGCCATTTTTGATATCAATTATCAAATCTAATACATGATCTTCACTGTTTAGTTTACTTCTTCTTCTGACAGGTTTCTTATGAAATCTCGGATCATGAATAAGAAACGATAAAATAGTCTGCTCTCCCAAACTCTCTATTTCTGAGATATTATTCAACATCCCCCATTTTTTATCATACGCCGTATCGACAGGATGCAAAATAGAAACTAAAGCTTCAATGGATTTAGGACCAATCAAGTCAATACTGCCCATAGAATAGCGGCAATCGTACATCTTGGTATTAAAATTCTGTGATAATTGAGAGCTCAAATTTGACCATAATTCCTGAAAGTTTGCTGGATGTACTTGAACCAAAACACGGACATTCGATGTATCCTTACTGCAGTACACTAAACCGGTAGATAATATTTCGAACTCTCCTTCGTGTTTAGCGTAAAGGTTCCCGGTATAAAATTTTCTTCCATTCACATAATTAATGGAAAGCTTCTTTTGAATTAAATTCTGGATCACATTTTTCAAAGAGTTCCAAGATTTATCTCCATCTTCTCCATTGCTGGTAGTTTCGATAATTATTGTTCCTTCATAACTGGTATCAAACACAATTGACCCCGAACTTTTGAAACTTCTGTGAGTCAATTTAAATGATTTTTGCGTCGGTTTATAAGGTATATTCCAGCCCCAGCGCTTAATTAGATGAAATCTTTTGGCATGCCAAATATGGGTTGAGAGCCATTTATAGTTCTTTTGACGTTTCAAATATTTCAACTTAGAGATCAACGGTGGTGCAGGCTGATTCACTCCGGTGTTATCATACGAGCCATAGCTATTATTTACCACACGGCTATGCTTCCCAGACTCAAGTTTCTTGGTTCTCTCGTATTCTCTAATCTGATTACTGAGGATTTTAGTCATTGATCTAATATTGAGGTTTTTTTTCAACAACTTGTCGCTTGGTAAAATCTTCAAAAGGTTAACTTTAGATGCTACCTTCAACAAATTTTTCTTCAACTTCATCTGATAGATCTGTTTCGCTGTGATTTTTTTAGTCTTCTTAGTTGTCAATTTTGAACCACTCTCCTTTTGTTTATTGGACAGTAACATTTCTCTAATAGCTTTGTTTCTCAATCTTTTAGGAATCCTTTTCACATTATGAGAAGCCCCTCTTCTTCGAAGCTTCCGAGGTAAAGCTTGGAAAACCCTGGTGGATTTTGCATTTTTAGAACTCAATTGCGATTTTTCTAATTGCTCAATTTCAAATTTTCGAGAATTGACGAAACTGGGGACATCAAGAGTACCATCTTTGAATGCTGGATCATTAGTTTCTGATCTGATAATTCTGGAGTTATAAAGTCGAGACTTCTTTGCACTCTTGTTAGATATTTGAGCCTCTTGGGGTCTTTTGGGCATTTTATCCTGTTTTTATCTCTAAAAAAAATCTTTTTCTTTTCTATGATTAAGTGAAAGAAATAAATAATTCCATATCCATCTTGGAAATTTTTTGTGATTTTTTCAATTATCCAGCAACGTGACTCTCGCAGATTATTACATCCATCACCACCTACTTTTTTTCTTACCCACAAAAGGGATTTTTCTCATCCTACAACAGTAGAGAATCCCTCAAGCGATATAAAAGCATTCCAATGAATAAAATATTGGTTAGATTAAGACCAGTGTTATCTAACACATCATTGGGATCCCGGCTGGGATCTTTGGTATCGAGGATAATCCTTAAAAACACCGCTTCAACAAGGCCGCTTTCAATAATGTATAACCACAAGCCAAAAATATCAAAGGTTTCATCCATGATCCTTGAGTCAAGAAGATATTATGGTTTTAAAAGAATCAACGTGACAAGCCCTTTTTTGGTTGGAGTATTGAAGTTCTTTAGAGGAACTTTGAGAGGGTTTATGATTTTCTATTTTGCTTCCCTTGCTATTATTAGCGGTGCAGTAGCAACAGTGAGCTACTATCTCAATCAATATGAAAAGATCCCTCTTATTTTCACTGGCCCAAGTACCGGTGAATCTGTTAGTTTGACCCTTAAAGTTCTCCTCAAAATGGCGCTATTTAATGAACTCTTGACTAAAAGATTAGATATTGCGAATGAATATTTGATGGTCTTTTTGAGGCATATAAACAGATCTCACGGCTTAAAATTTGATAAAGATTCTGAAAAGTTAGAAGAATACTTGAATAATGAAGAAATTTTGCAAAAAGGAAAAAACTGGTATAATCTCTATACCGATGTGTTGTTGAGACTTGCGATTATTAAGGGCCAAATGGGAAACATTGATGATGCCAAGCCATTTTTGGAAAAAGCTAAATCGTTCATTGACTTTGTTAATGATAAAGATATTGATGTTGGAAACAGAAATTTGAGAAATAAGGGGCTCAGGTTACTTGCCAAGATCTATGAACGAGAAAATCAAATCGAGAAAACACATTCTCCTCAAGCTATCGAGAGTTTGTACTTTGATTCCTTGATCACCTTATTTGAACAGTATCCGGAAGTTATGACATCTGCAAACATAAAGACTTATGACCAAATGTTGGTTTTAAATGAAGAAGTTTCTAAGATTTTATCAAGAGATTTATACAACACCATCAATGAGTTAGCAGCCCATTATTCTAAAAATAACGAGACAAAGACCGCTTTCAAAATATTCCTTAATAACTTAATCTTCCTTCAGAAAAACAAAGATGCCCTCACAGGTCCTAGCATTCCCTCTGTTGCTTCCCTCCTTGATGGTTATTTCCAAAATCAGAACGATACTATAGTGCCATTCAAAATTGGTGCCGGAGATATTCCATTGTTAAAGTTTCACCTTGCAGAGCTTTTGTGGAGCTTTGGAAATCATGAAGCTGCCATTAACTGGACTAAAGAATCATTTATTGAATCATTTAACTACAGCAAACAGGACAAAAATTGTGCTATTTTGTCAAAGCTTTCTATTGAGACTTTGAAAAAAATGTATTTAAAGTTGAACAAGAAGGGAAAATATGATAAAAAGATTGAGCGTTGCGAGAATTTGTCAGAAGAAATTTATTTACCAACATATTCTTCTGGTACGAAGATGATTGTAGATAATATGCGTTAAGGGAATAATATCATTTCGGTGTATGTATATATTATGTGTAAATTCTTAAATAAACTGGTTACTACTATTCGAAAGAAAGAAATTGTAAATATTTGAATATCTTCAAGTGGTCAGTAACAGTTGTTTTAAAAAAATCAGTAATGTCCATCGAATTCAAGGTTTATGTGAATCACTAGCAATTTAGAAACCATTAAAAAGTAGTGGGGTTGAATTGAGTTCTTTTGGAGAAGAAGTAAGGTTCATCAGGTCATGAATCTATTTCTGTCTGAAAGCAGATTAATTTTTTTTAAAATAGAAGAGAAAGAAAAGAACAATAAATTATTAATAATTTTATCAACAAAAATAAGTTCCGCCAAAAAAAAAGTTTCGTAAAAATAAGAAAAGAAAAAAAAAGAAGAAAAAGGGATTAGTTTTAGTGTATCTTTTATCATAATAATAATCTTTATCAAAAAAAAAAGAGAAAGAAAACTTAATCGTCATTAATACTGATAGGTCCATGTGTCAAAGATTCACTGTCTTCATGAATTGACCAAACTTCATTATATGTCCTTTTCCCCTTGGTTTCAGGGAATAAAAGTCCCACTAAAACAATAGTGATCGCCAAAAAACCGGCAAAGATCAAAAAAACATATCCGCCAATAGCAGACTTCACGATTGGGAAGACATAGCCAATGACAACCGTGACAATCCAATTCATGGCGGTACCATAACTCTGAGCTGCAGTGGTTGCATTCAATTGGGTCACTTCAGCAACAATTAAGAATGGGATCGGACCCATACCAATGGCAAAGAAACTGACAAATAAGAACACCATAACGACTGCCAAAACCATGATGTTCTTCACTATACCAACAGCCATTAGCACTGCGCTAACGAACATGAAGATATTTGAAGCCATCAACAACACCTTCCGACCGACTCTGTCAATAAGAAGACCTGCAACCATAGTGAACACAATATTTGTGAGAGATAACATACAGTTAAGAAGCACAGAGTATTGAGGTAAGACTGTCGAAACAATGCTATTCCCATAAAAGAATATGGCCGGAATCCCACTCAACTGCTGGGCTGCCAAAATAATTGTTGCCACCATTTTCGATTTATTATATTCGCTGCTCGTGATATACTTCCAAAGAGGAATGCTTTTGTTCACTGGAGCTTCGGCTGGCTCATCTGGACTGACATTAGATGTAGAATTCTCAATCAGCCCAATTTCTACTATCCATTCGTTGATTTCGCCTTTAATATCACTAGCACTAAACCTTTTCTTTGGACGTAGATAGGTTAGGTGCCGCTCTGCCAATTCTGGCTGGTTATTTTTGATCAACCATTTAGGGGTTTCAACAGCCAAAAAACTAACCAAAATATTAAAAGCAGCAACACATGCGCCTGTCAACAAAATGTATCTCCATTGTCGACCATTTGCCAACCAGATGGCAATGAACTGCGTAAATAGAATACCAGTATTTGTAAATACTTGATTCATAGTGCCCATCATACCTTTAATCTCATCATAGGCAATCTCATTCAACATTAAAGGGCTATTAACCAATGTGCACCCAGCAGCTATACCAGAGATAAATCTGCCAATACATAATTGGGATTTTTCATTAGCAAATGTCTCTAATATTGACCCGATGAAGAACATAATGGCATTAATTAAATTAACATTCTTTCTGCCGTACCTATCACTGATAAAACTGGCGACCCCTGACCCAACTAGACCACCTATAGGGTAAAGTGAAGTAACCAAACCAATATACAGGTCACTTAACGGAATACATTGTTTGAACCCATGATTCTCAAACCAACTCGGAGAAGAGCCGGCAGGGGGAGGAACCTGACAAGATATAGCTTGTTGAGGCGAGTTCAACTCGGACTTAATTTTCCGTTAATAAAATAGCTCTAATATAGGGGGAAGAAACATAGGGTATCACTTACCAAGTGGTAACCATATTGGAAACCGCCAGTGACTGCCACAAAGGTGTTGAGAATCAACTGAGGTGTCCAGAAATTTGTATCCATAAGACAATATAAATATCCGCTATCTCCGGGGCAAGATGTTCTTAACTGACAGAAGGTCCAGGAAGAAAAACAAAATATTTCAACGTATTTGGCACAAGTGTGGTTATATAGGGTTTGGAGAACTCATCACATCAAAATTATTTACGCCTTCGAAAAAAAACGTGGGGTCATACACCCTGATTTGATTATAAATTGTATATGGTCGGGTAATCTGGTGCTCGAAGGAAAAAAACTAGGATTTTTTCAATCAGAGTCATCGATGACCCAGGTCAAAAGTTGAAAAATGGTGGTGCTGCTGCTGTGATCAGGGTTTTGCAAAGCCAAGTATTTTTCTGAATTATATCTTTTCAACTATGGATTCTAAGACTGTTGGTATCCTCGGAGGTGGTCAGTTGGGGCTTATGTTGGTGGAAGCTGCCAACAGATTGAATGTCAAGACTGTTATCTTGGATGCCGAAGGTGCCCCGGCCAAGAGAATCAATGCCTCAGAGGCCCACATTAATGGCTCCTTCAAGGATGCTGAAGGTGTTTCTAAGTTGGCTTCCAAGGCTGATGTTTTAACAATTGAAATAGAGCATGTCAACACCGAAATCTTGAGTGATTTGCAAAAGAAAAATGACAAAATTGCCATTCACCCATCTCCTGAAACCATCAAGATTATTCAAGATAAGTATACCCAAAAGGAATACTTGATCGAAAACAATGTTGCCGTTGCTGAATCAATTGCTGTTGAAAACACTATTGACGGGATTAAAAACGCTGGCTCAATTTTGGGTTATCCTTTCTTATTGAAGGCCAGAAACAATGCTTACGATGGCAGAGGTAATTTTGTTGTCAAGTCAGAGGCATCTGTTGTTGAAGCCCAAGCTGCTTTAGGCGCTAACACTGCGTTGTATGGTGAAAAATTTGTTCCATTTGTTAAAGAATTGGCTGTCATGGTTGTGAAGGATATCAAGGGAGATGTTTATGCTTACCCAACTGTCGAGACCATTCATACTGATAATATCTGCCATATTGTTTACGCTCCAGCAAGAGTTCCAGATAGCACTCAATTGCGTGCTTCTTTATTAGCACAAGATGCTGTGAAATGTTTCCCAAAAGGTGCTGGGATCTTCGGTGTTGAAATGTTTTTGTTGAACGACGGACAATTGTTGGTCAATGAAATTGCTCCAAGACCTCACAATTCTGGGCATTATACTATTGATGCTTGTGTCACCTCCCAATTCGAGGCTTTGATCAGGGCTGTAACTGGCTTGCCTTTACCAAAAGGTTTCTCTTCTTTCAGTACTCCAAGCACCAATGCCATTATGTTGAATGTTTTGGGTGCTGATGAGCCAGATGGAGAGTTAGAATATTGCAAGAGAGCCCTTGAAACCCCAGGAGCAAGTGTTTATTTGTATGGTAAATCTTCCAGACCAAAGAGAAAAGTCGGTCATATCAATATTGTTGGTAGCTCACTTGACGAATGCCAACGTCGTTTGGATTATATATTAGGTAAATCTTTAAGCCTTGAAGATGTTACTCAAGCTTCCAAACCACCAGCAGGTACTTCTACTAAACCTTTGGTTGGAGTTATCATGGGTTCTGACTCAGATTTGCCAGTTATGTCTGAAGGTTGTAACATTCTTAAAAAATTCGGGGTTCCATTTGAAGTAACTATTGTTTCTGCGCACAGAACTCCTCACAGAATGTCTAAGTATGCCATTGAAGCTCCTCATAGAGGTGTTAAAGTTATCATTGCTGGTGCTGGTGGTGCCGCTCACTTACCAGGTATGGTGGCCTCGATGACTCCATTGCCAGTCGTTGGTGTTCCTGTTAAAGGCTCTAGATTAGATGGTGTTGATTCTTTGTATTCCATCGTCCAGATGCCAAGAGGTATTCCAGTGGCTACTGTTGCAATTAATAATAGTACTAATGCTGCCTTGTTAGCTATTAGAATTCTTGGCGCTTATGACAACAAGTATCACAAGCTTATGCAAGAATATGCTATTGATTTGGAAAACCAAGTCACTGCTAAGGCCGAAAAGCTAGAAACTGTTGGCTACGAAAATTATTAGATGATGTATTTTTCTTTTTATTTTCGCATTATAGTTATTTATTTAAGATAATTTTTTTTAGCTTATATTCAAGATAATTCATAGAGTTCGTAATTTAATAGTGTATCACTGAACCGTGTAACTGGCACAATAAAATTTGTTACCCGCTCTATATTTCCCGATGATGAGCTATGCTATTAGCACTCCCAACAAGTCTCAAGGGAAAAATAATAACACCAAAAAATCTTAGCTCATTCCTGTATTTACTTAGTAAGTCATACCAGTTAATTCAAGAGGGAGATAAAATAAGGAGATCTGATAATGCCAAAAAAGCTTCTATACCAGTCAGGTCTTATGGAGATCAATAATCCAGGCTACCCCAACGTAGCCTTGGAACTTCGAAACCAATATTATAATAATCAGATATATCCAAAGAAGGATAAGAAGAAGCTCACTATTACCAATAAACTAGTATCCATGGAAGAAAGCTTTTATGAGGATAAGAATGAGTATTATAAGAGCAGCTTAAGCAGTCTTCAAGAAGAACTTACCAGTGCTTACAATGAAACCAATACAAAATTTTTGGAAGAATTGGAAAATAGTCAAGAAAGAAGAGATTATGAGTTGACAAGGTTGATACACTGGGAAAACTACCAGGTATCAAGAGTTGAAAAAGAGACTAGGGAAGATGTTGGGAAGATCAATGAGGAATATGATGCATTTATCAAGATTATTAAGGACAAGTTATATGATAAGTTGGTGAAGAAAATCAAATTGCTAAAAGAAGATAAGGTATTGAAAGATTTGGCCAATGTGAACCATTATAGTATTGACATTGATTTGATGAACAATGACGGAGGTATAAGTAATAATCGCCGTATGAACACTTCTGGTGCCTTGGGGGTAGAGCAACAAGCAGTGAGTGGAGCATCGCCTAATAAAAAACTGTTGTTTATGGATGGTGGGCCGTCGAGTGCTATGGCTGCAATGAGTGCAGCCAGTAACTCAGGATTTTCTGATACCAACACCAATACCAATCCAAATGGAAGAAGATCAGCTCGTCGAACTAGAAATATAGTGGAATCATCTTACAATACAGACTCCAACTTATCGGGAAATGATTCGTCGATGCCGGCAAACGGATATGTTTCGGCTTCAGGTAAACGAAGAAGAGTTCAAACTGCGAGAGCTGCCGCGGCAATCACTGGTCATAATACTAGAAGTTACTCATCTGCATCCAATGATGAGGCAAATTTTCTAAGTGATAATAACTCATTGAGCGAAATATTGTTTGGGAAAAATTATGCAAGTTCAACAGGTTATAGAACTAGTACTGGTAACGGTCACGGGGCAAATAATAATGGTAATGGTGCTGGAGGTAAAGCATCAAAGAGAGCTAAATCAAGACAATTTACAGGGGTTCCGGGGCTTAAGCCAGAAGAGGTCAATGAAGATTTGACAATTCTTGAGAGTTGTTTGGAGAAAATCGATAGCAGTCAAAAAGTCATTTTTACTAGTCCGGAGAGTATTCAATTAGCTAGCAGTAATGGGAATACCAAAAAGAGTGTCAGATCATGAAGTAAGAGATCTCAAGAGCACCGTATAATATATCTCGATTGTTTTCCTTTTTTCCTTTTTTTTTTTTATTAAAAAAAGGTAATTAAAAATTCTATTCTAATTTTGTTTTACTAATTTCTGTCTTAATATTGTTTAATTATATCAGTTTTCAGTGTTTTCTAATTTCTCATTAGTTTGGTTTTCGTTTTTATATTATTGTAATGGCTCTTACTACTTGATCTTGCTTATCTATTTGACACCTTGATCAGAAATTCTAGTGCCATGTATATCCGGGTGACCCGACAAGCTGGCAAAAACACATTTTGTGAAAATACAAGTTTGAAGTCTCACTCCGTAACGACAGAATTATTACATATTCAAATCACATATACTTACTGGGATATATCAGTTCATTGCGTGGTTCAATATATTCAGTATGGATGAAACACTCATTAGTACCATTAACAAGTTACAAGATGCATTGGCACCTTTAGGTGGTGGGTCTGCTTCACCTGTCGATTTGCCACAAATTACTGTGGTTGGTTCACAATCATCTGGTAAATCTTCTGTCCTTGAGAATATTGTTGGCAGAGATTTCTTACCAAGAGGTACAGGTATTGTCACTAGAAGACCATTGATTTTACAGTTGATCAATAGAAGAAGCACTCCAGGATCAGATAAAAATAGTTTGATCAAGTTAGATGGTGAAAACAACCAAGAAGAGTGGGGGGAATTTTTGCACCTTCCTGGAAAGAAGTTTTACAACTTTGACGAAATTAGAAATGAAATTGTTGCCGAAACTGACAGAAAAACAGGTAAAAACGCTGGTATCTCACCAGTTCCAATTAATCTCAGAATTTATTCTCCTCATGTTTTGACTTTAACTTTAGTCGATTTACCAGGGTTGACTAAGGTCCCAGTTGGTGATCAACCAAAAGATATCGAAAAGCAAATCAAGGATATGCTTTTGAAGTTCATTTCTAAACCAAATGCCATCATTTTATCCGTCAACGCTGCCAATACTGATTTAGCTAATTCTGATGGTTTGAAATTAGCCAGAGAAGTTGATCCTGAGGGTTCGAGAACCATTGGGGTTTTAACCAAAGTAGATTTGATGGATAGGGGAACAGATGTTATTGATATCTTAGCTGGTAGAGTTATTCCTTTGAGATATGGTTACGTTCCAGTTATCAACAGAGGGCAAAAAGATATTGAACAAAGAAAAACTATCAGAAGCGCATTGGAAGACGAGAAGGTTTTTTTCGCCAACCACCCATCATACGCCAGCAAATCCCATTATTGTGGTACTCCATACCTAGCCAAAAAATTAAATTCGATTTTATTGCACCATATCAAGGCTACTTTGCCAGAAATCAAAATGAGAATTGAAACTGCCCTCAAGAAATATCAGCAAGAATTGAGTGCTTTAGGTCCAGAAATTGTCGATAGTCCATCATCAATTGTGTTGAGTGTAATTACCAGCTTTTGTAAAGATTACACCAGCATTTTGGATGGGGAGTCAAAAGATATTAGCTCCAACGAGTTGAGTGGTGGTGCAAGAATTTCATTTGTTTTCCATGAAGTATTCAAAAACGGTGTTAATGCTTTAGATCCATTTGATCAAATCAAAGATGCTGATATCAGAACAATTATGTATAACTCTAGTGGTGCTAAGCCTTCCTTATTTGTTGGTACTCAAGCTTTTGAAGTTTTGGTTAAACAGCAAATCACTAGATTCCAGGATCCAGTGTTGAGATGTGTTAATTTAATTTTTGATGAATTGGTAAGAATTTTATCCCAAATTTTATCTCATCCACAATACGCTAGATATCCTGCATTAAAGGAGAAAGTTTCCCAAGTATTTATTGTTTATTTGAAGGAAAGATTGATCCCAACTAATGACTTCGTGGTGGACATTATAAAATCTGAAGAGAATTATATTAATACTGCACACCCAGACTTATTAAAGGGTAGCCAGGCAATGTCCATGGTTGAAGATAAATTACACCCAAACAAAAATGTACAAGTGGATCCAAAAACTGGTAAACCTTTGAGTACATCAAAGAATCCTGTTACTGTGACAGTTGATGAAAATAAAAATGGCGGATTCTTTGGAGGGTTCTTTTCATCCAAGAATAAGAAAAGATTGGCAGCTATGGAAGCTCCGCCTTCTACTTTGAGAGCTTCTGGTAGCATGACTGAAAGAGAAACCTTGGAAACTGAAGTAATCAAATTATTAATTCAAAGTTATTTCAATATTACTAAGAAGAATGTTGCTGATATAATACCAAAGGCTATTATGTTGAAATTGATTAATAAATCAAAAGACGATATTCAAAAGATTTTGTTAGAAAAATTATATGGTGGTAATGATGTTGGTGATTTGATCAAAGAAAATGAATTAACTGTTCAAAGAAGAAAGGAATGTTTGAAGATGGTTGAAGTTTTGAAAAACGCAAACGAAATTGTTTCCAGCGTTTGAAGAATGTATCATCATATCTGTTATTTGTTATTTGTTTTTCTTTTCTTTTTTTAATTTGGCCTACTAATCATTCTCTTTATTCTCTTTTCACTTTAAATAGTTACAAATCTTTGCGACTTATTTTTTTTTTTTTTTTTGGAATTTACTTTTTTATTTTTGATTTTATTTGTAATAATTATTATTTTATTATTTCATGAAATTTATTATACAAAAAGAATATATACAGATGATTTTATGATTCACTAAATTTTCAGCAGCTTTTGATGCAGATTTACTATTATTATTATATAATGATTAGTGTTGTGTTGGATGATAACGGTTTATTAGGGTGAAGCGGGATCCAGAATATCACTAAAATCCAAATCAAATTTAAGCCTCAAGTAGACACCAATTAGACCAAACATTAGCAATACAAGAATATAATAAAAATATTTGTTTTTCTCAGTGACAAATCTGGGAATGAAATTTTCGTATCTTAGTCCTTCCAAAAAGCTCTGGACAGTTGATTTATTTTCGGAATTGCGATTGTTTGAAGATCTTTGAACTTCTATATATTTTCTAAAAAGCGGGAGCTCATAATCTGTGAATGTGACCATATTTGAGGGCAGCAGTGTGTAAATACTATGTGGATATAGTTCAAATATAGTGTTGCACAGATGAGGTGTCAAAAAATAAAGTTGTTTGCTTTTTCATTTTTATTTTTTTCTTCCTGCGGTTTTGTTGGCGCGGACCTTCAAGACCAGAAAATTTGTGAAACTATGTACGATTAGAGGTCTGAAGATTCCTTGAAAACGAACGCACACAATAATAGGATATATCCTGGATGAAATCGATTATATAGTATTTCTTCCAATATAGTGTCGATTAATATGTAATTGAAAATCACATCAAAAAAAAGAAAACAGCGTGTACTCAGGTTCGAACTAAGGACCAACAGATTTGCAATCTGCTGCGCTACCACTGCGCCACACACGCTCGTTGACTTTTTTAATTTTTCTTCCTATTGTATAGTGAGAAGATTATTAAGGGGGTGTGGCACCCCCTTAATTTATGGAATCAGAATATGTATGATTTATTTGAATTATTTGGTTTATTTGGTTTACTTGATTATTTTGACTTATTTGAATTATTTGGTCTATTTGATTATTTGAATAATTTTTTTACTTGGATTTAATTATTCTATTGATTTTTATTATTTTTATTTTTATTATTTTTATTTTTATGTTTATTATCCCCCAGAATTCTGATGGTCACTACATTGAAAATACTTAGTATTTGAGATATAGTGCCAAAACCCCTCAACAAAGACCTCCATCTCAGTTCATGAAGCTCCTAGTGATGGGTAATTCACTAGTGACTTCATCTCATATTTTCACATTGCACCTTTTTTCCTTAATAATCTTGATTGTTGAGTTTTTTACCGGTGATGTGATTAATTCTTAAAGCAAGGAGTGTGAGGTTGTGAGAAAGTTATAGTATTATACTTATCTATTAGAAAGACCGGCATGAAATGCCCGGCTTGCATGTTATTTAGAACCTCTGTGACTCGTTAATATACAATTCATTCATTCATATGAGAAAGTTATAGTATTTTACTTATCTATTAGAAAGACCGGCATGAAATGCCCGGCTTGCATGTTATTTAGAACCTCTGTGACTTGTTAATATACAATGCATTTATTCATTCATATTTATTAATTTAATTTATCGTTATTAATAAGATACTCCATTATTCAGAAAACCCTATTATCACTATTGTGTTTCACTACATGTCACTATCTCCTCTATGTTTCAACCTTTGATATGTTTAATATGTTTATTTCTTATCAGTGTCTAAACACATTGCTATTATTATATTTATCGTATAAAGGGATCAAGCATCCTGATTTATTTATCTTTAAATATTGTGTATAGACTATGTATTTTTTTTACGAATATATTACTATAAATCACGACTAGTAATCCTTGTTTCAGTTGTTGAGCAGTTTAGCCAACAGCGCAAATATGTGTTATTAGAATGACTGAGCTCCCAATTTTAATCCCTTATCATTTTTAACTCGTACATTTTGGGTTTTTAGTAAATCGGAAGTATATTTTTAAAATATATCTGAGTGAATATAACGTAAGCAAAGATACTGCCGCTTCTTCAATGTTGAAACAGAGTTAATATTCTTATTACTGCTTATTGCCATCAATATAAATTTATCCTTTGGATCTCGTATTTGATCCTAGAAGTTGAATTTTATTGAATAATGATCTATTCTTTCTGAAATATCTAAAACCTGAAAACCATTATTGTACACCAAATCATTTACCTTGAGGCAGTTACCATTATGGGTTCTAGATATTCAATAAGCTTTATGGTTTGACCTGGAAAGAGCACATTGGTTACACTTATACTTTCCCAGACGCTATTGAAACGGAGAACTAAATTTATCATACTTTTATAAGTGAAAATATTTATTTTCTTGAACTATAGTTTTGTAAAACAGATGAGCATCAAGAATGAATGAATAGGCGGGTTTTTGCACATCTATCGAGCTTACTGTTGATGATGTTGACGTTTGTTTCATGCACGGATTGCAGAATTATGCACCTTGAAGGGGTTTGTTGATAAACGCGCGACGCGCTGTGTATCAATATTATTTGAAATGATTGTTTCCGAGAAAATCAAAACAATAACTGCCATTTATTTTGCTAATATTAATACTGGAAGATCGGATCTAATCTTTGCAGATATCTTTTTAACCAACCCATTCCTTTTAATATCTCACGCATTCGTGGCTCATTTACAAAATAATAAGATTACATCCTTCAGTCACATCAATAGTACTTTACTCATTAAATCCTCCAATTATCATGCGCATTAAAAATGCTTATTAGGAAAAAATCATTGGAAATCATAGAATTGATAATTTTGTTGGTCGCTATTTCAGCGTCCATAGCTTTGACTGCCATTTCAATTATTATTGACGCAAGATTCGCCAAGGCTTATTATGATATTCATACATCGTTTTTGATACTTATTGTGAGTGAGATCTTCTTCAACATCACTTACATTTTTTGGAATGTCTCTCAATATTACAGAGTAACTTCTTATGGTAGCGTCAATGTAGATGTTTCATTGGAAGCCGCAAAGGTTTCATTCTACGCCTCCAAACATACTCTCCAGCTATTCTTTTCAAGCTTTACGCTTATATTTGCAATCATGAGTCTTGGGTCAGGTATTGCTATTGCGAACCTTTCTTTCCGTGATGCTCATGATAATTATGTTACATATAGCTCGAATGGTGGTTTAGATTCACAAAGACCCAGCTTTTTTTCCAGTTCATTTAAATATTTGATTGTGTTATTGCCGCTTTTCATTTGTTGTCAATTTTTAAAAGGTGTTTTGATGGCCATGGATACTTATAGAGTTATACTATCCAATTCTCAGTTAAATTCGTTGTTAATAGTGGAAGATAATGATGAAAATTTTTCAAAATTTTACAAAGGGAGTTTTGATTCAAAATTATTGAACGAGGATGTGAAAAATTTGGAAACAAACAAATCCGAGTGCAGCAATGATATCGATATAGACAGAAGGAAACAGTCAAAAGAAAAACATCTCTCAAAGATAACAGATGATGAAATTATTTCTTATAGTGATATTTCTTGTGATGGTCAATGTATTCGGAAGACTCTGATCAGAGTGCCCACATCAGCACATCTGCTCACCTTGCATAGTGCCAACATAACTCCGCCGGTTACTTCCACGATATCTTTTAAAGATGCCAGTGTCGTCTTGGAAGGAAAGATTTCATCTGACACTCGAGCTCAAAGCATTATGATTACTCAAGACAATGAATCCGCTACAGACAACGAGGAAAACAAAAAAGACTCAAGATATAGAAGTGCTCTTTCTCAAAGAACACATAGGAATCAATTATCACCAGTCCACGAACCATCAAAAAAAGAATATCTTGAATCACCAGTGTTTAGGCTTAAAGCTAATAGAGGATTAATGATATCGGTTGATAATGGAAAAAATAGAAAGCTAAATACATCACTCTTGGAAAGCTTTGATAGAGATCTAAGCAACGTTCTTCCAGAAGAAAGTTCTAGAAGCGAATCTTCACTGACAAATCTTGATTTTGAGACTAGTGGGAATTTGGAGAAGTGCAAAAAGGTTCTTGAAAACCACAAAAATTTGAAAGCTCTGAAAGTTTATTGTACAAATGGAAATGGCATCAATAAGATTGATAAAAGAATACATAGCTGTGCGCCATCATCACCACCTCCAAAATTATCTGATGAAGACCAATATACAAAAAAATTGAAACCTTTGCATTTAGCCGATCAGTTTTCTGCAAAAGGGGAATCATATAGGAATAATTCAGATGAGTTAACAATACACGAAGGAAAAAATGAGACATGTTTGAAGAAATGCTATTTTGGAGAAAGAAAGTCAGAAGTTGCTAGCATCATAAGTTGGGACTCAAATTATGATCCATTATCCAAAGATAGTACTCAAGAAGTTCGCTCAATTCCAGCTAATACTCTTTGGCCTTTCAGTAGAACTTCACCTTCTCCAAATAGTGGGAGATTTTCACCTTCTCCAAATAGTGGGAGATTTTCACCTTCTCCAAATAGTGGGAGATTTTCACCAAAAATAGTGGTTAGCTCACCGGTTACTTTAAAATACGGGAAAGAAACAATTGGTGATGATGCACTAAATACCAGTGACAGCAATTTTAAATATCCTGCTGGTTTTGAGAGACAAGTTAATTCCATTGAATTAGCAAAGAAAGGTCACACCCCTGAAGATAGTTTCACATTTGAAAATGTCATGCCATTCCATAATGAAAATGGTAGCAGTAATATCCAATCAAAAGAAACTGTGGCAACTGACGTTGTGGTATCTGACTATAAGTTTCCTAGTGCTGAATTTCCTAGTAAGCATCCATTTAGATATGATGGTCAGGCTGAAGTCGTTGTTCTACAAGATTCAACGAAAGAGAATGGAGATAGAAGAGGGATTCTCAAAGAAAATTTTCAATTAGAATCAGCTTTAATGGCCAGAAACCCACAAAAGCCTCTTCTAAGTTATAGCACAACAGAAATTAATACTTTGAATAATGTTCGCGGTGAAAAAAGAAAGAGTCTACTTAGACTTAATCATTACGAATCAACATCCCCAAGGAAAAGCAAAAAAAGTGGAGGTAGGTCGCCTTTGGTGAGAATTGGCACTAATTTCCATGAAACAAGGAGATCAACCGTAATATTTGATGATGATTTTGATTTTGCTCTTGACAATGAGTTGTCTGGGTTAGCTGAAGAAAAATACGAATATGAAAAATCTATGAGTTATGATGGAAAGGATGTGGAAGCTAATTCGTTTTCTACAGGAACAAGAAGGATGAAAAATTTCAGCATCAGCAGCATCAAACAGATCATGAATCATATCCATAGTCGTTCTCTATCTGTCGACTATCTTAGAAACAGTAAAAGCAACATGAATAGCTATGCAGTGGCTCACAATAGACATAAAAGCCTTAGCAATTTTCATCATCATCCAGGTCAACAGCAATTCAGCTGGAAATTTGCGAACGAAATTTCCTATATTAATGATGAAAGTTTGATAAATGATATCATTCAACATTCTGATGATTATGATTTCAGGTCAAATATTGATTCGACATCACAAAATCTTACAGCAGATTCCAAAAATACTAGTTTTGACAAAAGACAATCAGATAATTTGACATATCCATCAAGTTTGGACCATAATACCGATGGAAGAGGAAATCTGAATAAGAGAGTATCTTTCGAATTCGATAAAAAAGCTAGAATACGAAATATATTGGCTTTCACAAACATCATGTGTGAAGATTCTTATGTGGCATCTGATAAGAGTATACCCAGTGAGCTTCCATCTGGCTACATCGGTGAATATGATAAGGAAAAATGGGGGGCTATGAAATTGATGAAAAAAAAGCAAAGCTAGGGGCTGAAGATTTTTGATAGTTTGCAAAAAAAAGGTAGTCTAATTTCTTTATTTCTTTCTATTTCTTTTCACTTCATTTTATTTCTTTTCATTTCTTTTTATTTCTTTTTATTTCTTTTTATTTCTTTTAATTTCTTTTTATTTTTTTTTATTTCTTTTTATTTCTTTTTGTTCTTTTATTCTTTTTATATCCTTTATTTCTTTCTCTTTCTTTCAATTCCTTTGTTGATTGTCTTATTTCTAATGTATATTTAACCTAAATTTATGACGATACCTATTTTATATATTTCTCAATACGATAAGTCATCCAATAAACTAAAAATACTTCCAGTTTCACTATTATGCTTTAAGCGTACATTCAAATTGCCAGGTTTCAACCATTTTACTTACTACCATGTTTGATGACCACTTATTATTACCTCCTCATTTAATGAGGTTTGCAACGTGCCTTGTGGTGAGTGGGATGTTGGTATTACAGATATTTATTTTTAAGCTTCCTCAAAAAACTCGAGATTTTGCTTTCCATAGATACCGGTAAACACATATTTCATAAAGACACGGTTTATGGGAAGATAACTGCTTATAGATTGATGATTTTACAAATCACTTAATCTGGTTAGCTCTTTGCCCACTGAAAATTACTAAATGCGACATTTTATTATTCACTGCCTATTAGTTTCTTACAATAGGCTCACACTAACGATTAAACTTCTTCACAAAGTTCCATATGATTAAAGATTTTGAGATTATATAGTCCACCAAAGACAAAAAAAAAAGCCGCTGCATGATAATTACTAATTCAACTCCTATGTTTTATCATTATCGTCTTCCAAATTAGTTTGGTTTCCATTATAGGCCACTTTCTTGTCTTTTTCCTTACTTTTATTATACCCATTTCCACCATTTCCAGTTGAGCTATTAGGGTTGTCACCAAAGGCCCTAATTCTTGAGTCTGATAAAGATGTTTTGCTGCCATTGATATGAGAACTGGAACTATAGAAAGAATGTAAATCATCAACTGATGCATTAACAGATCGTAAAAATGGACTAGCCGCACCTTGGGATACATTCTCGGTGCTACCAATGGCACTAGAAATCCCTCTATTATTAGAAGGTCCATTCTGATTAATTGATTCTGGCGCCTGATTAGAACCATCATAGCCCAAAGCAGAATAGAAAACGTTACTAAACCTATTGAACCAAGTATCAGTTGCACCATAATAGGCAGTAGTAAAATTTTGATGAGGTTTTAAAGTTAGCACGGACCTTGGTGGTAAGTCGAGATCAGATAGTTTTGAAATTTCTTCAGTTATTCCATACTCCCTTTTAATAACAGCCTCATAAAATACATAAGGTTGATCGCCATCCAGTCGATTACGGTCCACCCAATTCCGGACATCACTTAGCGTTTGTTTGGAGTCAAATTCATGATTAATTCGTGATCCATCAAGAAGTCTAATTGACAATACACATTTTGGATGGTTATGCCCATCATGATGAATGGTCTTGAGGGAACTCGATTCGTGTTCCGGCTGAAGCCCTTCTTTTTCTTTTCTCCTAAGCTCATTATCATGCCTTCTCTCTTCTCTGTCAGCTCTAACTAATTTTAAAATTCTTTCCTTTTCTTCTTTTTCCAATTTCTTTTTTCTCATCTGTTCTTCCTTGTATCGATGGGATGATTCCTCGGCTATTTGTTGTTTAATGGAATTGTATTTCTTAGGGGACTCAGGATTCTTAGCAGGTTTCTTTGACGATTTACATTTTTCTGTTTTCTTGATTTCAGCCGATGCTGGATTCGTGCTCATACCTTCATTAGTGTTGGAGGAAACTGACAGTTGTTGAGGGGCTGACTGAACCTTCTCCACTTTTGCTAACACATCGTTCAACTTCTGCTTAAAATCACTCAGACTTATCTCTCCGGTAACCACATCCAATAGCTGTCCAGTCATCACAAAGTAAATACTAGATAAAGGAGGATTCGGGAAAATTTGGGAAAAGAAATCATAATCCTGGCTTGGTTTCACCAATTTCAAAATGATTGTTTTCTGTTTGAGCAAATGCACGGTATCATCGCCACTCTCCAATAATAACTCTTCCCCCCATTTGTTAGACTCCTCAGAGTTATCAGTGACAAATACAACCAAAGGCTTATTAGTGGAAACTGATGCTGAAACAGCTTCGGAAACAGACATGATAAATAACGACATGATTTTTATATTGAAATTATTAATGTGGAGCAAGTTAGACAGATTGCGTAAGGCGCACTTTTTTCCTCTATATAACCAGCATCACGTTTCAGGCGACGCACATGATTTTGATCTTACAATAAGAGAGGCACACACACACACACATTAGATTTTTTATATATACTAAATCATTTAGCAATCACCAAACTATATGGAAAATTTGAGTCTCATGTCTACTATCTTCTTTTCAATTTCTTTGGCAGATTGATTCATATTGATTGCAATTTGGTTCTTCTGAGACTGCTTCAAAGATCCGAACTTTTCACATAAATCCCCATCAATAATCCCTTTTACTGGGGCATAGTAGCTTCGGTACATCAAATGATCTCTCCCAACGAGCATCAACTCTGGCTGTTCCGTAAGTTGCTTCTGTAATTCTTGAAAAAATCTGATCTCTGATTGCGTAAGAAGTGGAACCAAAAGCCCTATGGTACCTTGCAAGCCTGTGTAAATAACCGATTCGTTCAACCCACTAGCATCATGATTTTTCATAAAAGATGTTGGGATATCATTTATATAATAATGACAAAGTTGATTCAACCTTTTTGGAGAGCCATTTAAGTAGGAATCTTGTGTAGACACAAAAACGCCAGCGGACTCTTCATCGGCCAAAGTTGAGGACTCTTCAGGACATCTAAGAGCCCATACATTTCCGAATTTATCACCACCAATGACTGTATCATAATCAAGAGTAGTGAACGACGTGACATGCCTAGACACGAAGTCATCCACAAACGGAATAAAAATATTCTGTTTAGGTTTATATACCACAAACGTAATAGACTCTTTGATATCTCCAACGTAAATTCTAAATCCTTGTGTTTTCAAGCTGATTATATTATTTAGATTATTCAAGGTGATTTCAGCTTTTCTAAGTAATTGCTTTTGACCCATGTCATATAGTCTTAAAGTATTACCCATACCAACAAGCAATTTCCCAGCAAAATCAACTACAGAAGCGACAGGCTTTTCAACCTTAGTTTGATGCATGAGCTCCAATTTCAAATCCTGAAGAATCTTGTAACATTTGAGATAAAATCTCGGGCTCAGAGATTTGGTAGTGAATGAAAAGTCCACTGCTGTTGAAATGACCAAATATGTTAGGCCTGTCGTTTTGAAAGTGACACTAGCTAGATTGAATAATGTTTCATTATTTTCAAAATCAATATTATGAATAAGCTCGCCGTCCATAGAGTTGATGACTTGAAGACAAGATGCCCAGGAACCAGTTTCTCTAGGATAAATCATTTGTTCATTATTTTGTTCTGCTGACAAAACAGTGTTCCCATCAGTCTCTGCAATATAGTATGCGGAATTACCGTCTAAATTTTTATAGTAAATGAACTTCTTCGGTGTGAATCTCAATGGTAATACGTCAATCTTAAATTCTTTTGTAAAATCTTCCAACAGAAGGATATATAATTGATCATCATGAACACCTACCAACCCATTTGGATATTCTTCAGATTGAAAGCTTGCACCGTAACTAAGGCTGGAATCATATGCTATTGGCAACAGTTTAAAGCCAGTAGTTTTAGATATGAATCCTATGCGCGTTGACTCTTTGGAACAAATCAAAACAGAACTCTCTCCAAAATTGGTTTTAATCTTTGATAATCTGATAGGATAAGGCCCCAAATATTGAACTATTCTATCACTAATTTTACCATTACTGGAATTGATCAAAGTTTTAACATAAATCCCATTTTCTAGCCCGAGATGCATGTATAACTGATAAGATTTATACTCTTCCTCAATCGACTCAGCCATTAATAGTAATAACACAGAACTTGCATTACTACTCAAAGACTGAACAGTCACCAAGCCAAGTACATTTTTTGGATCCACAGATAGCACTCTCAAAGTCTGGTTGTTACAACTCACGGCTAAAAAGTTGCTTCTCAATTTGCCTTCTGGGATATCACCAAGTGATAGTGATAAAATTTGGCCCGGCATTTCCTTTCTTTCCTGATACTCGATTAGTTGTTCTTCATCACTAAGTTCGAAATAAACCAATTCCCTGTTTGATAATCCCACAGCCAATTGATAATTTGTACTAGTGCAGCTTATGATTTTGATCCCTGCTGGCGGAAACCATTCATTAACTTTCTGTGTACCTTCTTCTTCATTATTTTTCAAATGAATAATCCCATTGCTGTGAATTTGCATCAATGATTTGATACCCATCTGTTGAACCCCGATGGTAGCAGTCTCAACATCAAACCCAGAATCAGTCACTTCCTCCACAGATTCACCTATTGATAAAACCAAGCTATGACTTGCAAATGAGATCACCAAATATTTATCAACATCATCATTGGACGTCATTTTTGTCGTGAAAACCCCAGTTGCAGTATTTCCCAACTCAGAGGTTACCACCTCTTCGACATTCAATCCGTGTGTTAATACTTTCAAAGCAGAATTATTACTCGTTCCACAAACGGTGGAAATTCTCGATGTTTGCTCTGATAATTTGATTAATTTAGAGTCCAAAATTGGATTCAACAGTTCAATTATATCCGTGACTTCAAGATTCTCCAGATCTTTTGGAGTGAATACCACGTCTTCGACTTCTTCCGAAGTATTGAAATAATCCGCAGAGTCATAAATTCTTTCGTTGTCATCATCACCAAGCTTAACAAACTGGTACAACGATTTATTGCCGTGCTGAGCATCAGCGAATAAGAACCCTGACTTTAAGATGAGCATACTATTACATATTGAAATGGTATCGAAATATTTTATCTGCATGGACTCAACAACCATATTGGAATCATAGTTTATTGTGACTTTAAAGATGTCACCGAAGTTGGACTGTAAAAGGATGAAGAACTTATCCTTCATGGTATGAACGGTCCCACATATGATGTAATTAGAGCTGAAATCGCGATTTGTTTGGGTAGTACGTGCAGGAATAGGAACTATGAAAGCTTTTTGAGTATATGGGGATTTATACTGGATAAAATTCTGACACGCAATTATCACACCTGAAGGCCCATTTTTACCACCAGGGACACTCAATAGAAAGTTTGAAGTATGTGGGATTTGTTGGGATTGTTTCTTGACGACATGATTCAAACCCAAATCAAGTTCGTAAAATGTCAATGTTTTCTTTGGAGGAGAATCAGGATCAATTCCATTGAATTCGAATTGACCATAATCAATTTCAATTGAAGCAAATACAGGATTCTCGTAACCAACATCCAATCCACAAGACGCAAACGTCAAAATACGATTTCTATTGGCCTCCAAAGGTGATGAGATTGTCAAATTATCCAGAGAGTCACGGTTGAAGACATATACAAGCTTATTTTTTTCGATTGCTGATAACATGATTGCTCTTCCCTTCGCATCCTGTGACATGTACTGTCCAGGAGCTAATCTTCGTAATCCAGTTTTGAAGAATGGCTCGTTGAAAACTATTTGAAATTTTTTGGTATTGATATTGTATTCTAAGACGGTAAATTTTCCAGAATCCGACGTTATTGCCAAGTAGTCTTTAGACAGCCCGGCCAATCTAAAGGCATTCAACGCTCTTATAGAACCGAAAGCGTCTTGTGAGACTATTCTCGATAATTTTCCGGTGCTACTATTAACTTTCCATAATTCAATAGATGCGGCTTTAGCAATGGCAATTTCTTGAGATTTCTTACCTTGAAATTGGCCCAACGCCGAAGTGACGGAGAATGATGGCTCTTGAAGAGTACGATGATAAAGATACAAAGAATCAAAGGCCATATCTAACTGCTACTTATTAATAGTTTATTGTTAATCTTGTGCTTGTATATCCAGTTTTTGGCTCACTCCTTTTGAAAATAAATTTTCGAGGTCACGGGCTGCTCAACCTTTGGAAGATACGCACCACATAGACGGGTTGATGGCACAAAATTCCAGAATTTGAAGCATTACCGAGTAACTTTAGTTAAAATTCTGATGTATACAAATGTCCATGATTCACTTGGCCATAAAAGCTCCAGTGTATTATATTGAGGACTTTTTTTTTAAAAAAAACAACAACTCAAGAAGACATGGAATTAACGACACGAAGAAAAGAGAAAAAATCCATACAATATTACAGAGACAACTAAAATACTATTGAAAAGACGAAAGGATTTAGGACAAAACAATAATAACAATAATAACAATAATAATTAATACAAAATAAATAAGAATTACTTAAATAAATACTTTGATAAAACCATAATAAAGCATCCCTATGAAGAAAAATTTCTTAAAAGCGGGCAATCTAATATTTCGAAATCTTTCACCTAAAAAACTCAGCCATGCTTGCTATATTCAAGAATGATGAATATTATTTATCATTCTTGCGGCAGTCACCTAAGGAGTTTCTAAAGTCAAAGTATTTCTTCCAACTGGAAGCCTTAGTAACAAAAGACCCATACTTTCTAAAGTTGCGGACAGCATCAATACCGTTGAAACGGTAAAGCTCGCTCTTATAATCATCATTAGAGAACAAATCATTGTTGTACAAGAATGAGATGTTGTAGAAACTATAGAACTTGTAAGACATTTTGAATAAACCTTCTGCTGAGTCGGTAAATAAAGGAGATAGTGGCTCAACTTTACTAGCTTTTATCTTAGCTTCATCTTCAACTTCTTTTTTTGTTTCAGCATTCACGGTTTCCTCATTTTCCTCTGATACTTGATCTTTTTCCAAAAACTCAACTGTATCTTTAACAACCCCAGGGAAATTTTTGGTAGCGAGCAAATTCAATGGATATTTCAACAATTCTTCTCTGTGATTCTTTGGTAAAGGAGTTTCGAAACCTTCACCTTCACCCAATAAGACACCAAAGCGGCTGTTAAGATCCTTCAAAATTCCTTTTGTGTGAGCCTTGACAACACCACCATGCTCGGCAATAATATGATTTCTGTAAAAATCAATATAGTCATCAATACAAACCTTTCTGGTACCAGTCCAACCAATTTTGAGTAATTTTTCTGCGCTTAACTCCTGTGATGCATTTGTGGTGCTAATACTTAACAATGAGCTATAAACGAAGTTTTTCATACGTCTGCCAAAGAGCACCAAATAATTGGCTTCATATGGATTAGCAATCCCAAAGTACATAACCAGGTAAATCATCAAACATTTGAGTACGTGGAACACAAAGAAAATAATTTGACCAGGTTTACCGGTGTTGTTGAGTGCTGTTTCCTTCAAAATGTTTTTAGCCCAAGGATGGTTATCATCCTCTGTAAAACTAATAATTAAGAACGCCAATAGTTTGAAGATTACATTGGTCAAACAAATACCAGGGGTAGGAGAAATAAAATCAGGCAAATCGGTATATAACCAGGCCAATAAAAGCAAAATAACATTCAAGTTATGAAAATGATTAAAATTCCAACTTGGTAAGATCAATTGTTCTGGCCAGACGTAGTCAGAGACCTTGTCAAGTTGACTCTTTGGATATTTCGTAAAGCGGGGTTGATCAGCATTGTAGTTGTATAATAATCCACCATTGGCAGTCAAGTAGCCCGGGGAGGTAGAGTACCCAAATTTCGCTGGCTTTGTGTCGTAGAACACAGAAGGTCTAAGAGAAATAGGCAATGTCTTGAAGATGTTTTGAAGGTCTTCGAACGTAGTGTCGGAATCGATATGGAATGCGTAGTCCTTGTCTTGGTCCTCGTTGAATCGGATATAGATTTCGAAGTCATTGACTCCTCCAGACCCAGTAGTATCACTAGCCATTTGAAATTTTTGAGTATTACTGTTGCAGTCTTCTTCCAAAATGAAATGAGTAGGTTCTTAGTCAGAAAGAATACTGTTTGCCTCCCCATTCTCCCCAACTACTCTCCACGCCTTTTTTTTTTGTTGTGGTTCGCAGCCCTCACCAGAAAAAGAAATGACGTATTGATGCGCGGCTCCATGCAAAGAAGCTTTCTTTCGGGATGAGATGGAACTGGCCAGTGGGGACAAAAAGTGTCAGTGCCTTTGGAACTATGGGCTGTTCTCTCCTTCTTTTCCAATGCCTGTGGCCTACAAGCAGTTTAAAGGAGATGTTAAAGTCCATTTTATTGGAGCTATTCTCACCTTTGCTGTCGGCACTAGCATTATGTCTTCTCTCTAATTATGGGTGGATATCAGGTAAGTAGTATCTGTCTGATTTGCTCGGAGGCTAATTTTTCAGTTACCGAGGAAGCCCTATTCACACGAAAACGACTTTATGGAAGAGCAATAATCTTCCCCCTGGGGAGTGAAATATATATGGGAAATATTAATAGAATAATAAAGAATACTTGAGAATTAAAAAGCCTTACTAATATTTTACTCTTTAGAATCAAATGCTTTTGCTTATTTTCTAGGTGATTCACTAGTCACCCACGTCTTGGATAATCTTTTCATAACGCTAATCAAGGCATATCTATCGCTATCCATCTTATACTCCTTGTTTTTTCATGGATTTTGCTTCTATTCTGTGTTTGAGAACAAATGGTTCAATCTTGCCAAGTTTTTACTCCATGTCATATTTGGCAGGGCTAATGCAAATGGCTTCCATATCAACCACGATGAATGAGACATAAAAAACACCAGAAACCATTTTTTTTTCTCCTCTCAATTTCTTGCATTTGAGATTTCTAGTTCCGCATTACGAGTTATAAATACACAGAGGGCTTAGGGGCAGGATAGGCTCGGCTTAAAGTTATTACAGATATACAGTTACTGGGGAAAACGGCTTACATCATTAACTTTTACCATCATTTTTCTTTTCTTCTCTCTTCTTTTTTGAAAACATAAAAATAGCAACAATAGATCAAAATTAAGCCAAATGTTTGTATTATCGATGTCACTCTGGTTCGTAGCTTAAAATTGCTTACAATATCATAAAAGCAAGCCTTAAGAGCAATATATTTTAAGAATAATGCATAATTCCTTGCAAATTAGCTACATAAAAAATTATATTAAATTCCAAATGATCCCATATCAAATTCTTGGAAAGCTTGTTCCGGTGGATTTTTGACCTTACTACCGACTTCCCCAGATGCCCCAAAAGAGTCAAAATTGAATTCTTCTACTACATTATTTGTTGGCGTGAAAGATTTTTTGAAAAGGCTCATTCCAACATTTGAATTTTTATCTTGGCTTTTCATGCCGTATTTGCTCAACACTTGCTTGCACCTTTCGTTTGTGAATGTCCAGTTTCTAAGTAAATCAATCGATAAACAGTCACACCCCATTCTGCTATAGATCAAGGAAATCCTGTAAATAAATTCAAACTCCTTGTTGTCAATCTTATCAACAGCACCTTGGTCTAGTTTTCTGCCTACTTCCATAGCTCTTTTTTTAAGAATTTCATCTCTGAATTCTTTATAAATAACAACCAATATCGGATCAATCTTCAAGAAAAGATTATTGTCATGGTTCTTGAGGGCGAGCGCTTCTTCGTGTTTTAATCTCACAATCTTCTGTTTCTCTCTTTCAGAATTGTAATTTTTTAACGCAATGCCTAATGGTGATTGCAAGCTTAAGTCCTCCAAGAAGTTGTCCAAATCACACAATACTTCATATGGTGACCTGATTAATGCCAAAAGTGAGAGTCTTTGCTCATTCAAACTATGATAAATATAGGTATTCAAACATCGATCACTTTCTTCAAGAGCGATCGGCAACAAATGATCAATAAGAATCTTAGTGAAAACTGGACCGTTGCCCATTTTAGTGTAAGAAATAACTGACTTTTTACTACTCAGTTCATAGACTCTGGCAACAGCAATTGCTAATTCCATATCATTACACTTTTTGATCAAGACATTGATACAATCCTGCAACTTGCCACCCAATAAAAAGAAACAGCTAGCCAAATAATAACGGTGTTTACTCAATAACGCAAACGCATTTTTCACTGCGCTTAGCTTATTTTTTTCGCTCTTCTCAAAATCTAATGATAAAAATTTTATTAATTTTTGCTGCTCTGGATGACCATGAGATATTTTCCAAAGCTTGATCAATATTGATTTTTTTCTTAATGATAAGTAAAACAACGTAGAATTTATCGGGCTTCTCATATCTGAGGTTTCAAAATACTTGATCTCTTCAACTGTACTCTTCTTGAAACTGGATTGCACAAATCCTGGAGCGCTGTTTTGAAATTCATTGTTAGCGATTATTTCAAATTGCTTAGTTAATAAATCATCATTCAACCAATACACCATTCCCATTTTTTTGCATTTGCTCCAATTCATTTTTGATTCCTGATTCGAACTGGAGGCGTTATCAACTGATATATTCCCATTGATAATGTCCAATAAAATGCCTTTATTTTTACAATAAATCCCAAACAAATTATCGCGCATATTTAAAGACGACTGCGTCTTGAAATGTGATTGGTATAATTTGAATCCAAGCAAGAAATTGATACCATTTAAATCCAATTTAGAACCGATATCATCGTCTCTAGCAGGCAAGCTCTTCAGGTTGAAATGCCCAACGCCCATATTACTGCTAGATACGTTTGAGTTCATGCTTGAATCACGTTTTGTCAATAGCTTATACTTTTCAATGATTTCCAAAGATTCAATAACCGTTAACAAAGTGATCTGCTGATGTCTAGTCAAAACTGGTAATGATATCTTCATCATGATCTCTTTTAACGAAACCACCCATGCTTGGAAATTATCAATATGATACAATTCAGTGTCAGCAAGTGACAAATTGCTAACATTCATGCTAGGAATAGCACTCGAAAATTCACTCACAGAAACTGACTGTGAAGAAGAATCACTGAAAAACTCCTCAGTACTAATATCTAACTGTCTTGGCAAGTTTTTAACCTTAAAAATTTTTGATCTGGATGTCATGTATGATTCCTGATCTTCATTTTCACTTTCATTGTCAGAAAAATCTCTTATATGATCTTCATATTCATCCAAATTGATATTTTTCAAATAAAGATACAATTTCAAGAAGATTTTTTTCACCAAATTAATTTTCCCAAAATAAATGCATTGGATTATATTTTGAGGATGATATATTGGAAGGGTATTATTCAAAAGTTCAACCAATTTGAAGATCGAATCAATTGAATTGCTGTTCAAAGACCTGTCGCCAATAATTTTTTTTGTATGAGGATCTTGTTGAATCATCTCACTGGTCAATGAATTCTTAGAAAAATTATCATTGACGAAAAGTTGATTACCAATACCAATAACCAATAGCCCATTATTCAACCAAGTCGAATCGTTTATAAAATGAGGGTTGTAGCGCTCAAGGTCAATCTTTTTGATTGGTGCAAATGCTGGTAAGTTGTTGGTATAATCAAAGTTCAATTGAGAATACAATAAAACAGAATGACAAAACCCAACAGACAACAAGCATGCAATATTCCCAGTATTGGAAACCAATCCTACTTCACTAGTGCTCATATTGGCCCAATCAAGGTCGGAGATCGGGTGATCAAATTCTTGTGAATATTCCAACAAAGGATAGGTTGTATTATAAACGTAAAGTTTCGTTCTCATTTTATCAGCAATGGCAATCTTATTAATCGACGAGCCTTTGATATGAGATGCACTCACAATATTGGTTTCGATGGCACAGTTGCGAATCCAAGAAATATGTCGCATGGTTTTATCAATTCTAACGGAATACGACATCAATAGCCCACTGTTATAAATAATAGTTAAAATATCTCTTGAATAGTTATCCAATGAAACTTTCCAGCCAACAGGGTCAACAGGAGAAATGCAAGAGATTTCCTCGTCAATAATCAATTCATCAATTTCAAAAATTTTTAATTCCATTTTATCCAAATCAAGTTCCCAAGATTTGGTAGAGTAGCCGCCTTTAGACTCATTCTTGTAAATAGCTATGATATAGTGAACGCTATGTTTATAATCATTATAGTGTTCCGGGACATGAAAAAATGACAATAAATCCATCTTATCTTCATTCGAATTAGGTAGACAGTCCAACTCACCCACCTGTTTCGCAATTTTCAATCCTTGCGTGGTCCATATTGTGATCTTATGATCAAGAGAATAAGTAAGAATTGTTTCTCCAGATCTCAATAAAATGGCATCAACGATTTTTTCCCCGACAGTAAGGATAGTACATTTGCGTTGTAATGTGATCTTGCCGTTATTTGATAATTTTAAAGGAGTCCATAACTTATGTTCATTGAATCTGGAAATCGACAAAGTTGCCTGGCCAGACAAATCTTTAAAAAGTCTTTGGATCGATTTATTGTGACCTGTAAACTTGTTTCCTAGAACGGCGTTCAAGTAATGGAATCCTTTCATGTTTTTTTCAATAACCATTGAAGAAGATTTATTTCCTGTAATGTAATCAGGTTTCTTTGCATACGATAGATTTGTGATAGATCGGTTCAAGTTGTTTGTGTATAATTCGTCATAATCACAATATAATTTGTTGTAATTGATATTTTGCAAAAAATTATCAAGCCGAAAATAAACAAACCGCAAATTCTTTTTCATGAAATCATGGATGATGAAAGCTATATCACCAGTATTTGATAATTCTGCGTTGTTATATTGTTCATATTTTGCGAAGGAGACACTTTCGCTTTTTCCATGATGTCTTCGGTGAATCTTAATGCTATCAGTGAATGTCAACATATGAGGATTCTCTGGAAAAATTCCATGCGGAAAATTGATACTATTTTTATTATTCTGTGAGTAGGTTGATATCGAGCTTTTTGCGGAAGGTGATAGTGTGTCTTTGGAGATATCATTAAAAGATAATTTTTTGAAAAGAATAGATTTGGGAGGATTCAGGTTTAAATTTGCAACAAGATAAAATGACAAATTTCCCTCCACATCTGCAACCATTATCAAATCAGATTCCAATTGGATAAGCTTTTGAAGATTATTCATTAAGTTGGGATCCTTCTGATTGTGCTTCTTTAATCTTTCCAAAGACCTGCTAATCAAGTAATCGAAGAAATAATTATCGATAATTTTAATGAATTTTTTGCTTTTCTGTGATTGGTTAATGCCGTTGTCTCCAAGAAGCAAAGAATCAGTTAATTTGAGGGACCCCCAATGTTGTACTTTCTTTGATTTCTGGAATTCAAAACTCAAAAATACTCTGACAAAATTATCGCTCGAAATTGTGTAAAGAATATTGTAATTGCTTGATTTGGCATCATTATTTTTTGATTGGTCAATGAATCTAAACTTAAGGTCTGTAACAAATGATGAATGCTTCAAATATAGTAGACTGAATTGGGTATTATCGATATCAAAATTAGTACGATAAAAAAATTTGACGAATTTATCATATTTGGAGACACAAGCAATCAATTCAGAGTTCTTTGAGAAACCAACCAAATAACATGGGGTTGCTAAGCATTGGGACCATATTATTCGCACAATATATTTCGAATATTGGTCTCTTCTATTAACATGCAAAAGTGACAAACCTTTAGATGTACCGATAATCAATTCTTGTTCATTACCCCAAGATATGGAATTGATGCTTGACAGGTCAACAATTAGTTCATAAGAGTAATGCCAGGTAACGGTTTTTTTCGATACTTCTGGTTTATAAATGTAGAGAATCGGGCCCGAAGTGACGGCTATCAAACCATTTGATTGGTTTATGTCCACACAACAAAGATCACTATCAAAATACAATGTCTGGAGCTTTGATAACAAGTTGGTGATGATAATAAGGTTGTTTCCGGAGCAATAGGCTAGCACCGAATGATGCGCCCATTTTGTAAATGAAGCAGCTTGTAGCGAAGAGTTGGGCTCCCCAGGAAGAAAATTCATAAGTATCTGCTATTTGGTCATAAAACTTGTAACTAGCTGTGAGATGGATATTGGTACTATAGCAGACTATTATTTTATGGGAAAAGATACCTTTAGTGCCCTTAGCATAAAATGTGCGGGCTCTCAGAGAGCGGGAAAAAAAAAAGTAAAGTACACAAATACGGCACCTCTTGACTCGAGTCATCAGGGAACATTATAGATAAGCCCTACAAAAATTAGAAACAAGAAGGAAAGGAACAAGATATACGGTTTGGGATTATGGAGAAAGATATTGCGCTCCCGGAAGGCACTAAGGGGTCTCTCACGACAGAGGAGCTACAGATAAATGGGAATGAGCTAGTTTGTCATTCTTGGCTCTGGAAGCGATCAAGAACGACGTTGCTGTGGAAGAAATTGTGGTTTGTGTTAAGAAGAAACAATCAGTTGGCAATATATAAAGACGATAATGAATATAAGCCATTGAACATCATAAACTTGAAGCAAGATGACATAACAGTATCCAAAATTGTGAAGAAAGACAAGGAAAAAGATAAGTTCCAGTTTGCACTATTTAGCCCCAAAAATAAGACGATACATTTGAAAGCCTCAAATGAGTTTGATTTCAATAACTGGTTTTTAAATCTTCAAAGACTTTTACAGTCGCCTAATGGTATATTCATCGGTGATCAAACCAGTGACCATGGTATGAATAACAATAGTAGCATAAGTATCCACAATCAACCACAAACTCAACGGCGTAATAGTTCACAGCAAAATTTGACCACCAGTGATCTTGAGGATAATTTAAACGATGACGATTATTTTACCTCGGATAATGAAGCACCACCTGGTCAAAGTTGCTTTAATCCTATGTATATCTCTGAAGGTCCAATTATTGAAGAAAACGAGGACGAGATTTTGAAAGAAGAACAGGAACTAGTTGAAGAACAGTCATCACAAAACAAAATGAATCTCGAAAGAATCAAGAAAATATCTCCTGATTTTATGAAAGATTACCTCATTGAACACTATTCTTATAACTCTACGTTGAAGGAACACATAATACAAAAAGGGTACCTTCTAAGGTTGCAAAATTTAAATCAATGGAAGAAATTTTTCATCGTTCTTACGAACAGAAGCTTGATTTTCTATAAAATCCACAATTATAGCGATACAAAGAACATTGATTATGAGACATTGATTGGTGAACTAGGAGAAAAAGTGGACATTAAAAAATCTAAGAAGATAAGAGTTTTACCTGCAAAGATTATTGGCCTCGAAAACTTGGTAGATGTCGTGGAGTTAGATCCTCTTTCGAGGAGTAAGCAGAATTGTTTGTTAATAATTACACCAAAGAAACGATATAGATTTTGCACCAAAACTGAGATGGAGTTGGTAAATTGGTTGATTATTTTCAAGAGTTTTTTGATTGTTAGAAAAAAAGAAATTGAGTTTTCAAAAAGCCCATAGGAATTGATAATGTCAATTCGGAACGAATGCTGCCGTGAGCCAAACTATTTTGTGTCGAAAGCCCCTGGCTTATTTTTCCCTTGATTGTCTTTTAATTTTTCGAAGCCCAGCACAGTTTATAATAATTAATTAATGTTTCTCTTTTTCGCTTTTCCATTTTGATGATGTATGTATACCAAATAAATTACTCATGAATTACTTCACTGACATCAAGCATTTCTTTAACGTCAAACCATTGGTTCTGGAAGTTGTAACCTGTCTTCAAAGAGTCCCCCGGGGTTTTTTCATGTTCCCATATCATAATATCCTCAACGTCAGCCTTTTTTAGTAATTGCGATTGTTTCTGTTTAGTTTCGCTATCTGGAACATTTGAACTTTCAAATAATGCGATTTGATATTTTGATTTATCAAGGCCCAAGTGTTCCCCAAAGAATTTTCTACCCCTAAAATATGTTTTGTGAACCTTGCTTTGATCAGAACCTTCAGCGAAGAGTTTCTTTTCTTTATAAATGGCATAAAATTGATCACCTTTTATTTCTGATGCGTCTGCAGTCAATATTGGCGTGCTTTCCCCATTGAATTTTGTGTTTGTCTGTTTCCATAAATCCATGGACTCCTCGCCATTTGTCTTTACTAAGCAGGGCAAAACATTAACTATTAGCGGATCTTCGTAATTCATTGACATGGCAGATGGGACAGTTGTATTTGGGTGGTGAAGAGACAAAGAGATAGTTTTTCTCAGATGTTCTTTTTTTATTTATTCTTTTTTCCTAAAATAGCGACGCGTCTTTCCGTCACCACTGTAGAAAATCGTTATCCACCAGATGACCAAGGAAACCGTTTCCATTCCTCTATGTGTTGTTGATTTTTATATCATATCCATATTATTGCGGGAAAGAAAATAACAGATGGTCTCCTGTTCCATATATCTCTACCACTGATCAATCGTCGGGCCCTCTTACTACTGGGGGGTGGGGGAGAATCTAAACACACGTGATAGTATCGTTCAAAACAGAATTTTTTAATTCTTTTCAGTCTGTGTGGAGTTTTTTTTGCTGTATCTCAGCTTTCCAGCTCAGCAGCCAATAGTACTCTTACGAACACACAATGCCCTCAACAAATAGGCTCTCTATGAATAGACAGCCCATAAACAACCCCACTCAACCCAAGACGAATGGCAGTGCAGGCAACCTAAGCCATGACTTTGATGTTCACCAAGCTTCCCACACCCATTCTTCAGACCCGACCTGTGCGTTTTGTCTTTTCGAAGCTAGGAGAAATGAAAGAGTTTTCGATAATGATGCCAATGGCGGCGCTTCCGCTTACCATTCTAAGAATTCACTGTCTCAAAATAACATTCTTGGTGAAACGTCTCATGAATTGGATGAAGAAGATGAAGATTGGCACAGTGTAGATGAGGATGGCATGAGTGCAAATGATGTTGGAGAATTTGATGGTGATGATTTTCAGAGTACCATTGTAAATGAACAACAAAGAAACCAAGAATTTTTAAAGAATAATTTCTGCTCATCGCCAGTACATCCCGCACGTTATTTGATACAAGTGGCCAACATCATTAAATTACCATTTGACAATATTGATATTTATGAAAGGGTTCGATCGATGTTAAAAGCATTTGGATTACAGGTTTATCTTGATGGAGAAGTTTCTACCCCATTTAATAACTCACCATTTTCTTTCATATGTGAAGGCTTGTATTCATTCAAAATTGACGATCTGTATACAACAGAGAGCCCTAATGGCATGGGCTCCAGTTCTGTGAGTGGCGCCTTCTTTTGGATATGCTCAATTTTAAAGCTAGATATATTCGAAGCTTCAGCAATGTTGAATGCTGTGAAAGGAAAAGTTTTCCGCCTATTAAACACACTTATTGAGGAGCAGGATATTGCTAAATCTGACCACGTCTCAGATAGTGACGAGTTGATTTCAAAATATATAAATCACACCAATTTAGATCGTACGTATCTTCAAAAGCTTCTAAAGTTTACTGATAGCGATGAAACTCTTTTTTCTGGTCTAATAATTCTCTTGAGTGTCTATAATGTCCAGAAACTCATTAATTCTAGAAAAATTTTAAAACAGCTGCATCCAGGCGACTCACGGAAAACCACCACAATTACTGGCTTCACATATTCTCTATCAGATAGACAGCGTCTGATGTTAATTAGTCAGACAAGGGACTATAAAACAGATATATTTACCGGGAAAGTCCCTGCAAAGAAAAAAGAGGGACATCAAAGTTCGAATAATAAAAAAACTACAGAGTTAGAAAGGCCTATAAATGGAGTTGCGAAGGAATCAGTAACTAAAAAACGATCTTCCAAAGAATCCGACGCCCAGAAGTCTGTTGACGCAAAAAAAACAAATAGCGTTGAGAAGGAACCAATTAAAGCAGCAAAAAATCCAAAATTAGGTATGGAAACATCAAATATCCGTGATCCTTCATCAATTTTAACCAATTATTCAAGTCGAGTCGCAACCTACGTCAAGTTCTACCCTTCATTGGAGCCTCATTTTTCAATTTTGGAAAAAATGATGAAAAAATTAGAAGATTTACAAAGAAATCTATTGGTCAAAACCGATTTTTTCTATTATTTGCGTAACATGAATAGCTTTAATCTTGCTGATGATAATTTATTTGAGGAATTTTTGAAAGATTACGGATATGATTCGATTCTTGAATCCATTAAGATCTCTAATGACATCGTGGCGAAGAGCTTGGGGGATATTACCAACTCTTTGGCCAGAAAATTATTATCATTCCCAAATATGACTGATGACTCAAGAATATCTAGTTTAAAAGTAGTATGTGAATCTTGTTTGGAGGCATATAAGAATGCTATTAGTTCTTTCAAGAATGATGGAGGCTATGAATCTGCAATGGACAAAGTCGAACGAATTTGTGTGCTGCCAATTGATGAGACAAAATCCATCACCACTATCCCTGCCGAAACCACAACCAATAAGACATCAACTTCATCTAACAGCAATTCTGGCATTGATAAAAAATCACCTCAGCCAGAGTCTAACACTAAAGACAAAACAGCCAAATCAGACCCGCTTACCAAAAACAACACTCCAGAACCAATAACAGCAAAAGAGAAGGTATTAGCTAGCACCTCAAGTTCAACTTCTTTCGGTACCGTTAAAGTGCAAAAAAGGTCAGATTCTCCTCTTCCTAATCAGAAGATAGCCGGGTCCCAGATCTTATCTAAGGATCCTATTGCATTATCCAGTAACGGCACGGCAGTAATGCCTAATTCTATAGGATCAAATAAATCATACAACTCGGAGGATTTTATACCAACATCAAGTAAACAGGTGTTGAACAGTCAGTCCACTGCAACAACCAAAAGAGATGATACCACGAAAGAAAAACCTATAGTAACAACCAGGAAGGATGAAAAGGCAAAAGAAAAAGCTACAGTAACAACTATGAGGGATGACAAGACAAAAGAAAAGCCTATTGCTGTGACTAAGAAGGATGACAAAACAAAAGAAAAGCCTATTGCTGTGATTAAGAAGGATGACAAAACAAAAGAAAAGCCTATTGCTGTGATTAAGAAGGATGACAAGTCAAAAGAAAAACCTGCGGTAACAGTTAAGAAGGATGATAAGACAAAAGAGAAACCCAAACCAAAAAGGGCCGAAACACCAAAACTTAGTGAAGGAGAGACCTATAAGAGAAATAGAATCAAGGAAATCAAGAAATTTGAGGCTGCTCTTAAGCCTAAACTAGCACCGCTTGGTAAATTTGAAGCCAAAACGCCGATTCAACCTCTTAGTTCATTTGATACCATTTTCGAAAGAAACAATGCTAGTATTGACTTACTAGATAAAGTAAAACAAGAACAAGAATCCTTAAAGCTGAAGAAGGCAGAAGAAGAGAAAGCCCGTATAGAAGAAGAGAAGCAAGAGAAGAGAAGGAAAGAATTAGAAAAAGCAGAGGAGGATAAGGAAAAGAGAAAGCAGGCAGCTAGATCCAAGGAAACTAAGGCCTATGGTAAATCAGCGTCCAAGCAGAAATCTCAAGTAGGATCATTTGAAGAGCTTGATGAAAACAGAAAGAAGAAATTGCTCAGCAGAAAAAAGGAGGAAAAAATAAAAGCCAAGCAAAAGGCCAATGAAGCATACTTGGAATCTAAGAGCAGTCCAATCATTAGAATTGTCAACGGTGAATCTGACCCAATAGATATGGAGGCCGTGAAAAGGAAATCTGCAGTTATGAAGGCGCAGTTTAACGCCGAGGAAAACAAAGCTCATAAAGAAGCGGTGTTGAGGGCAAAAGAGGAACTTAAAACCAGAGAAATGGAGGCTCCCGTAAAAATTCCTGAAAATAATGTGATGATCTCAAATGTTTCATCCCTTGTTTCACAGAATTCTACCAGAGAAGTCGATTCTTCAAGACCTTCTTCTCAAAGTAAGGCCGATATTTCTTCAAAGCCAACCAAAATACAAGGGAAACAGAAACACAAACAGAAGACGATTCCTAGTAACCCAACCGGCAAATGCGATGGCAAAAAAGTTGAAAGCAAGCAATTTTCTGTTCCAGCCAAGGTTAAGGCTAATGATTCTGATAGGGATCTCAAGAAAAAGGCTGATGCTGACACAAAAAACTTTACAGATGCTTTAAGTGATGATACTGGAAGCAACGAAACTTTGAAGAGTGTCCATGCCCCATCGGAGTCTAACTTAGGGTCTAACAGACTGTCAGTTGCTCCAGAGTTTGAACCATTCAATTTTAATAAGTTTGTGACCAGCGGGGCCTTAGGTGGTGGCTTGCATAATCCTGCGATGTCATCACATTCTCCTGTTGCTAATGGCACCGGTGCACAGAATCCAATTCGTTTCGATAATTCCATGGGTTCTTCAACATTATTTCAACAACCATCCCCACAACTTATGCAGCCTCAGCCACTTGCACCAGGCCAAAAACATCCAATTACATTCGGTGGCTCTGGATCAGTCGTTGGACCAACCGCTCTGTTCTTTAGTAAAACCAGCCCTGTCTTCCCATTCTTTGGAACTCTGTCACCTTTCCAGGATCCCCTAGCAGGACTAGACCGCAGCGGGAGTGCCCATGGTTTTGGAGAAACTTTTTCGCCATTTGGTGACAGAGTATCTGGGAGTAGGCAATCAACTACATCTTTGCCTAAGAATCAGTTTGATTTGTTAAATTCTAATGGATCCTTATCCGCTGAAAACTTTGATAGCCACGAAGAAGATTTAGACTTTGATAAATTGAAAAATGAGATTGAAAATCAAGTTTTCAATGATCAATTGGAAACTAGGTCATCATTTGATGCTGCTAATGGAAATACTAATGGTGGTGGTAGTAATGAGAGAAATGATCAATATCCGGCGCGCACTAAAGGGAAGGAACGGCAACAATTCAAGAAATCTTTCACTAATTCCAAGGCTGTGGCTGCCGAACCTGATTCTAGCTCACTAAATAATTTCAGCAATAAGATGATTTTAGAAGCTATTTTGAAAAACAATTTTGATTTCAATGGAGGATTGGAGGAATATTTTGCTAAAGTTTCATCTGGTGAAGGGTTGGAAGAATACGATCTGATTGATGAATGTGAGGCTCGTAATATTCCATTGAAACCACTCAACATCAATATCAATACATTTTTGGCCAATCCAGAGACTGACAGCACGGGGTTTGGGATTTACCATGATTTGGAAGCCAAAGAACCTTGGAATATTGTTGAGGAAAACATCGATAGATTGGCTGATGTGTTGGAAATCTCCCCGGAGCATAGTGAGGTTTTGCTTGAGAATTGCAATTACGTATTATCCAGAACCATTACGTACGCGATTTTCAACCATGAGAAGGCTTATCAGATCAAGGTTTCCAACAATGATCGGAAAATGTTGAAGGTGAGTGCTGGGACCAAAGAATTTGAAGCTTTGAGCGAGTTTGTGGAAAACAACACCGAATTGAATAGTATTTCTTGGGAATTTTACACAAGGGCTCTAGAATACTTCAATGGGAATATTGTCAGTGTAATTGCTGCTGTAGTAATCATCTTTAGAGAAGGATATTCGGGACCTACTTGGATTGAAAGTTGGGAGCCAGCAAATTTTTTTCTCAAGGAGATGATTGAAGATGCTATTGAAACCTTGACTTTCCAACCGGTTAGAAGGATGAAAAAGAAATGAAGCTTTATTATGCAGATACAATTGTTATTCTAAATCTTTGAAACTTGTTTTCAGTTTTAGTTTTTTCTGTTTTATATATTTGCTTGTCAGTACGTGTTGTGAATTATAGTTTTCTGCTCAAATTGTAGTGATTAAAGGGGGTTTGAAATGTCACCTGTCATATATATGACCTTATTGAGTGGGGCCAAAGGCCTGCCTCACTGGTGCATAGCAAGTGACACCCAAATTTGGAACTTTTAAAAAAAAAAAAAAAAAAAAATAAACAATAGAGATATCATCCCTACTTTTGCTACCTGACTCAATTCTTCCTTATACTTCAAACTACGCTTTTGTAAAGCAATACTGATAATCATTAACTCAGCAGAAAATATTATTATTATTATTATTATTATTGTTATTTGGCAATTATATTCCCGTGATCTATCTCTCCCCTGTTGTGCCTTTTTGATTCTACGATGAGCTCGAATAATCACTTACCCCCAGAGTATTATAATCTGGTACGAAGCAATGACAAACCAGATGAATTCAATTACTTGCGAGAAATGTTCTTAGACGTGCTGGATGCCCAAATCGAGGTGGCATTAATGGAATGTGTCAATGATGTGGAAAAAGCTGTCGATTATATCTTATCTATGAACGCCATTGGAGACTTAGACGATATGGCAGTGACGACCCCCGAAGGTACTACTGCGGATCGTGACGGCAGTGGTGATTTTATGGAAGTCATCCACCATAATGATTTTTACCGTGATAAATCATCATCAACGCTGAACCCTGAGGAAGTTGCGGGGCAGAAACAACGACAAGACAAGCAACGGTTTTTGTACATCAATAAGAACTTGAAATTCGATCAAACTAAAGTTTCTGAACACTTGATGGAGATGTTGATGAGTCAATTTGGCGTTGGGGCGGCAAAGGGAGTGACATGGTCGAAATTATCGCATGACTCGACGAAATTGGCAGAATTGACGAGGATTCCGGTGGCCCAAGCAAGGTCAGCGATTCATGCTAGCAAAGGGGATTTTAGTAAAGCGATTTTTTTTGTGATTTGTCGAAAAGAACAGTTTGAAGCCATTGCCGCTGATGCCCATCCGGATACTGTGAAGACCAAGCGGAAGGCTAAGATTGATATGCTGGAGGTTAGAAGAGTCCAGCCCAATTCTTTTTCGCAATTGAATATCAATGATGATGAGAGATATCTTGATGAGGAAGAGGAAAAATATGACGAAGAAGAGGAAGAAGAGAATATAGACGGGGATTATGAGAATATTGATGCGTATCTCAATGATAGTTACTTGGCATCATTGCAATATATCTTGGAACTCAGTGACGAATTCTACAAATTGTCGTATGAGTTCTATATTAAAGGATTACGGCATTTCAAAGGTGACGTTGATGCGATGGTTGTTTTGGCATGCGTATTGATATCAGAAAAACGAACCGATATGATTTGGAATTTGAAGGATTCTGACAATTGGCAAACGAGCACCGAGTCGATGTTGAAAGGTAAACAGCGATCGGTATTGCATGAACGGAAATTCCAAGGAAGTAAAGTTGTGGATGTTCGGACAGAGCGTAAAGTGACTAGGGGTCCCGAATATTTCCTGAAAATTGTGGTGATTGATTTCCATCATTTTTCTGTCCACGAGGCCCTTAACGAATTGATTTCGATGCTTAATGATTGGTGGGCTGCTGAATTGGTGGAGCGTGAACGTATTGGTACGGTTAATCCTCATATGAGGCGAGCAGTGGGAGTGGCTCCATTGCACGTCATCACCGGTAGGGGGAACCATTCCGTCCGAGGTTATTCAAGGATCAAAGTGAAAGTAAGAAGTTATTTGATGCAAGAGAAGTATGTTTTTGAGGAAGATGTCGGGATGTTTTTTGTGTACGGAAAGAAGTGTGTTTAGAGGGTTAGTTGCTATATATGCTGGGAACAAAAAACAAGATAATCAATCCCATTGCCTTACAGTGTGGATCAAGATGGTTAAAAAAAAAAGCAAAACAGGATCAGAAACCAGATACATTCAAAGCCATGACATAAATAGATAAGATAAAAATAATGATAAAAAAACTAAAAAGAAATAAATGTACAAGAACAAATAGAGACATTATGAAGTAGGTGTGCACGAGAGCTATAAAACAGATGACGACGAAGGATAAGGTGGGTCAGCATGAGGATGATATCCTTAATATATGCTAGTAAATATACTGACAACAATAGAGTCTTGATGAATAACTAAATTATCAATACCATATTAGTGATTTGGTGCCAGTTTCTCGATGGTGGGCGGGATTCTTTTTTTCTTCTTTTTTTGTTATTTAATGAAATACAATCAATCATTTACCAAACACCACGGTTCTAAAAGCACTGAACCAACTCTCTCTATTAGTACCTTGTATTTCCCCCATCAAACGTTGGTAGTAATCAGGATACCCGGAAGGTTTCATCAACTTATCCCCGACTTTGTAGTATTGGGCAAACTTGTTGCTGGACAAATTGTCCAAGCTGTGGATCATCTGCTTCAAGTTTTCCGGAGACAATTTTTCAGAAAATTCTTCTGGTCTGATGGAGATGTCCTGAGGTTTTAAACGACGGAAAATGATTTCTTTAACGGAAGGTTTCTTCTGTTTGATGACATATTTTTTGGGAGCGCCGGCGAGGGTCCGGAACCGTTCGTACTGAGATTCTTTGAATGAAATCGAGTAGTTCAACCGTTCTTTTGGCAAATGGTTGATCTTATTAAGAAGGGATGTCCCAAGTGATTTGAGATTTGACATGATATTATTATTAATATTGATAAATGATCTCTCCTAGGTCATCATCATCGATAGCACACTGCTTTAGAAATTTTTTTTTTTTTTGTTTGAGGGAGGGGATTTTCCCGAGATGTACACGTGGAAATCAGGTGCTGAGGCGCTCTCTACGCACCGCGTATTTACGATGGCGATTACCCGATATGATAATAATAATAAGGCAATGAATGACATATCCGTTTACAAGTGATGTTTTGAGGTGTCTGTTACCGAACGATTTGGGGAGACATCATCATCATCTTCTTCTTCTTCTTATTTTTTTTTTTTTTATATTAATTAGCACACAGTGTATATTTGGTTGCTACTAAATTGGATTCTCACATGTTTTTCTAAGAAAAAATATTAGTGCGAACTATCCGATTATTTAGTGCCAACTATATATCATGGTGGCTTGATTGTGGTGGGCGCCATATAAGGTGTACACGTGATCATCATTTTCTCCACACCACTAGCCAGTGATCAGCAACAAAAAGAATCTAGAATTGATAGATATGAAACAGATGTGTATGATATATATAAATTATTAAGCAATAACCAACAATAATTTCATTCCCTTTTTTTTTTTTTTTCTGCCAGGTTGAATTGATAAAACGAAGTGAAGTGAAATAAATACGCCATAAAGAATACAATAAAAGATAAAATGCAAAGCAAAAACAATAAACGAGCAAACAAAACAATAAAAAAAAAAAAAAAAAAAAAAAACACAGATAGAGATATAATTATGGTCGCGTCAAAAATGAGGAACAAACAAGCAAAACAAACAACAGAAAAAAAAAAAAAAAAAGATGTAGATAGATAGCATTCATTAAAAAAGGGTCTTCAAACAACCTGTCCTCAAAACCTTCTTCTTCAAAAAAAAAAAAAAGAAAAAAAAGCTTCCTTTTTAAGCAAGAAAATTTTTTTTTTTATTTTGCTTCTCTCTCTAAGCCTCTCCTCTCATAAAAACAAAATGCCAGCCAAAACACCCATCCCGGCCATGGCACCACCAACGAATTGTGGGTTCCCTTCATTCTTGGATTTACTAACTGTAGTTCCTGAAGCAGCGACGATTTCACTCCCAGAAGTACTGTAACTGATCACCAAGGTGTTAGTGTTGATGGCATACGACACCGACGAGATCGAGCCTGTGATGTATGAGCCTGAAGCCACGGTTTCTGAGGAGAAGGATGAGGAATCAACTTCAAGAGATTGGTCAGCAAGAACAGCCATTGGCAATAGACACAAAAGAGATTTGTAGAAAAGCATTGTGATATTGGTAATATGATATTGATGGTATAGTTTAGTTGATGGGTGAGTGGGTGAGTAGTTGAATGGGTCAATCAATTGATGATGAGAGCAATATGAATCTCCAGATCTATTGATATATTTATATGTATTTTTTTTTTCTTGGTGCTTTATTGTTACGTATTGTTGACAGGTGGGAATTTCTACTCTTTTATACCCACAAAAAATCTAGATTTTTTTTCTGCTTTTTTTTTTTTTTTTTTTCCTAAGCCGATGCGCCTTACTGTGCGTTGCACCTAATTTCATTACTAGATCAAGAAGATCTAACACGCACTAAAAAATAGCTAGGTGATTAGCGCCAAAAATCTGAGTTATATATGTATTAGGATAAATGAGAGAAAAGAAGAAGAACAAGAACAAGAAGAAGAAGAAGAAAAAGAAAAAGAAAAAGAAAAAGAAGAAAAAGTAGCCAATATAAAACAAATAAAGAATAAAATAAAATAATTATAATAATAATACTATCTTCCTTTAAATTTAAACATTTTTAAACAATCCCCATCTCATTCTCGTATCTATTCTGGATCTTCCGATACCACCCATCGAAACTAATTTCCCCGCCATGGATTGCCACCACCAATATGGTCATATTGTCAAAACCAACCCCAGTATTGCTGTCAATGGTTTGCAAGATTTTGTCGATCACGTCCTCACAAATCTTATCCAACTTGACCCCAATGCTAATCTTATGTCGTATCAATTGGATCAACGTCGAGTTCCTAAATGAGTCCCAGATCCCATCACATCCTAACACTAAAAACTCATCACGCTCGTAATCCAACTTCAACTCAATGATTTCCGGCTCAACCGTCACCTGGGTTTCCTCACTAGGTAACCATATTTCTTTCAATCCAAAATGGGAAGGAACTTTACTACTATTCTCCTTGATGTAAACTTTCTTCTTTTTGAAATTGAAATCGCCAAAGGCTCGTGATAGCGCCAATGAAGCATTCACTCGGTTCATATTGACCACGCCCCCAGCATCTTGAATCCGGATCAACTCTCCAATGTTGCTTGGTTTATGATCAAACGATAAATTCTTCACCCCTCCTTTACCAGTGCTCATCACACATCTCGAATCACCAGTATTGCACACGTACATCTGGGAGTTGTTGATGATCACCACCACAATCGAAGTCGTCCCACATTGGAAATGTTTGTGGTATAAATCATGGTCGCATCTCATAAACCCGTTCTTCAACATTTTCACCCAATTGTTCGGTTTGTTTGGCTGATAATTCACTTTGATTTCGTCAATGATCAGTCTCGGTAAGCATTCGGACACAAATTTAGCCGATTTCCACCCACCATGCCCGTCAAATACCCCAAAGATTTTCACATTGATAGTTTCTTCATGGGTTTCCAATCGTAGTTTTGGCTCTTTACCCAAATTGCTGTTGTTATTGATAATAGGAATGTTTTTCGTCACTTTAAACGTCTCCTCGACCGCACAATGGGCATCTTCCATATTATTTCTCCATCCCTGACATGAGCCAATCACATATGATAGTGTCTGGGAATCGCAGTACACAGTGGTCTTATCTGTGACAGGATGCGATAATATATGTCCCATTTGATTCTCGGTCACCTTGGCTACTTTTGTATTGTTTCCGGGTTTGTTTTTCCTTGATATGTTAATATATCTCAAAGTAACAAGAACAAAAAAAAAAATTCTCCCCTCTGCAAGATAATAAAATGAATCTGATGAGAGACAGGATGTTTTTAATAATAAAAAGTTTGTCAGACGATTAATTTATTGTATATAATGTAGAAGTATATACAATTTGTGGTTTGTCTGTTAATTGTTACTTATCTGATTGACTGCTTTTTTTTTTTTTTTTTTTTTTTTTTTTTTTTTGGTTTTTTTTGTTGTTTTTTTTTTGTTGTTTTTTCTAGCAACATCATCTGCATTACTTTAATGTGAGAAATTTCCCCTAATTTTTCTGCAGCGGGGTACGCGAGATCTCAACATGAATTGTGGAAGGAAGCAATGAGGGAAAAACAGTCAGCAGTACATGGAATTGACTGAGTATTTACTTTTATATTTCTCATATTGCTTCAATTGAATCTATATCAACTATAGAGCTAGTGTGACTTGGCAATTCTTGTGATGGCTCTTGTTTTTTTTTTTTTTTTTCATTAAAACAATGAATGTTTACAAAAAAGAAACTCCAAATTGTACTACAGCAATGAAAGAACCTTCAGAAAACCAGAAAAAAATAAAAATAAGCCGTTGGTAAATTCTCATCATGGATTGACATCAAATTTTGATGATTTGTCTTTCCAAACTTTCCATTCTGCTCTTCAACTCGCTCTGGTACTCACAAGGATCCTTATCAATTTTCCGGGCTTCATCAAGAATTAAAATTCCCAAAGCTGCTCTAATAGTAAACAGCGGGTTGTCATATTTCACCTTATCATATTCGAACCGGATTTTGCCTGGGGAATTGGGCTCGCAACTACCATATTGCATGAAGTGGGAGGTGAAAAAATCACTAACGAGAAGATTATGGCAATTCTCGAATACCATATATGATACCGCTTGGCATGAGATGATTTTCCCACTGAAGTTCCCATCGTTTATTTGGATCACGCATATTGTTTGATTTTTGTACCGCACAAGATAATCGGGGACGTACGCTTGGTTAGCGCTGGTTATCCGATACGGTTTGATAGACAACTGAACATTGATACCCAACAAGTTGCAAAGACGGATAGTTGGCTCCAACACACAAAATCTAAGGAGTGAATCACAAGTTTTTTGCAGATTAATCCTTTCCTCCACCGAATTGTTGTCTAATTTAGAGATATCTTTGTAATCAAGGATCAAATCAGGCTGGGGAGCGATTTTCAAAGTCCGCAAAAGTCGCTGATGCAAATTACCATAATCTTCGGGTAGCAAGCACCGAGAATTGAATTTCCTGACCCTGAGGTTGTGATTTGCCAAGGGTGCTCTTTGGCACCTTAAAATCGCTTGGTAGAATAATAATCGGCTCCAACCTATCATATTTTCAATATCGTTGGAATAAGATATGTGATGATACCAACAATAAGAAGTGAATTCTATCAAATAAATATGAAAAGAAAACCATGGGCATCGGCGCTTATTTCAAGTACTTCACATGATGGAGAGAGGGCGCACAACAAATGTTTGGTGGTGCGGTTAGTAAACAGCAAAGAAGAGGAGAAGAAGAAGAGCTCTCTCCCCAATCTGTAGATTATATATGTGATAATGACTGATGGAAAGCATATATGTATTGAGAGAAACTAGACCGGTCCCACGGCCATCCGTATTTCATTGAATGTCAGAAGATACCGACAGTCTGTTCTGGTGTGGTTTGGATCAGATCCAGATCAAGCCCCAAACTTATCTTTTTTTCTTCTCTTTTTTTTTTTACTTTCTCTCTTGTTTTTCCCCCACTTGGTGAGGTAGAATTACCCTGTTTGGAACAATTGGCGTAACTCTTTGGAATCCATCAGTTTGCGCATTCTAGAATCAGCTCCATTTCGTTGGTCCATTACCTCGATGTGGACTATGCAAACTCCTAATCGGGGTATTTAGCTACCACTATCACCGACCACAGCGGAAAAAAGTGAAAAGCACTCGGGGTTATATGTATATATGTATATATATTCACACATAGTGGTCTTATATTCCACAACTTCCGAGCCTCCTCATCGTGATAAAAAGTGGCTTAGGGATTATGAATTGATCCAGACATGACAAAAGACCAAAATTTCAACTTAATCTGAAACATTTAAAGCACATTGCATATGTAAAAATATGCGCAAACGAACATTCATGGCAACCTTAAGTGGGCAATCTACAAGTTTTGCGATCGCTGACGATTTTTCTTGCGCTTTTCTCTTTTCTTTTTTTCTTTGTTCTTGTTTTCTTTCTTTTTTTTTTCCCGCTTTTCAACTCAAAAATCCGACGCGCCTCGCCTCGCTGTAGTTTCCAGAAATATAGCATTTTATTAAACATTACATAATATCGATAATGAATGTCTCTTGTTTTTACTTCTTCCCACCATTTTCACCTCTCTGAGCTTTCCAGTCTTTAGATCCACTGATTCTTCCCTTTTCTCCCATGTCACCAACCAAAGAGTCCACTCCATCATGATTTTGCAACCACTTCATCTCCTGGATATCTCTAACAAACATTTGATAAATTTTCAAATCATCCCCGGTATTCCTCATGTAGCTGATTTTCTTACGTAAATCTAGGAACTGCAACACTTTAAAAAGGTTTTTTTCCGAAACCTTTGTTCTTGGCAACTGTTTGTCCTTCGATGTCGACATGTCGATATATCTTTTTGAAACGTCTCTCATTCCCAAGGGGCCAATAGCAACGACATAACTCATCTTTTTGCCCCAGTTATTACAATAGATTAACGGTTGGTCATATGCCTCTTCGCAGCTATCCAAATGGATCCATTTTTGGAAATTCGTCGAGTAATATTCTGTCCAAACGTGATCTTCAAGATTCCAAACGTATCGAACGTCAACCATCCCAAGGGAATGAAGGATCAAATAAAAGCAATTAGCCCACTCCCCACAACGGCCTTGTCTGGTTTCCAAGAGCTTTGCTGGGCTGTTATATCTTGGGAAACGGTACTGGTGACGACACTTTGCGCACCGATAAATCTCTACTGACCCGGCGTCACCGTCGGATTTTTCGACCGCGGTTGGTTGAGCGTGTCCTACCAAGGCGATTTGCAGCTGGTCGGAATTATGACACAGCGGACAAGGGAGCTTGTTTGTCCAGGTGAAGAACAGATTCTTGAACCATTTTAGTAAATATTTGACAAACAAATCGTCTTTGGAGTAGTGAGTATTAGTGTCCGTCGAGGCTTCTTGAGTTTTCCAGTGCGATTCGACTTGGCTGTCAATGAGATCAAAAGGGATGACTGCCAATGCTAGTTCCTGAAGATGGTTGTTGTTGTAGATGTCGGTAATTGCCGATAATTTGACCAATTGTTGTACAAAACTGTTAGAGGCAACGAGCGAGGCTAATTGGTGTTGAAGAGACGCCACCTGTTTTGCAGCTCGATCCATAAGAATCAGGGCCATATTGTGTTGAAGGGCAGTTCTTGCCTTTTCCAATACTGGTTGTGAGAGGGTGGCTATTGGCGGCATTCTTTAACAGTATACTTAGTCTAGTATTTATTGGTGCGTTTGTTGTGTGAGAATGTAACATACACCGAACAGTATGTTTGTTATTTCTTTGTTGCAAAAAAAAAAAAAAAGGAAATGCCAGTGGAACGGTCCCGCGTCCATGGTATATACTATGTTGTAGGGGTGGTGGTGAGCAACATAGGAGAAGGGGATAGATAATAATGGTTGTGCTACAGTGATCCTTGATCCAGGTGATGATGGCAATGTAGCAACAATAATAGAAACGGTTTTGCATCGACTAATGTAAATTAGCGGTTGTTATACTGTTGAGAGATTCCAAATAGGCAAGAAATGACGAGGTTCGTATCGAACTTAAAAACGCCACCAGATGGAAAACGGATTTTTGTACACAACAGATAGCAGGCGCTAGAGTTACATATTTCAGGTGGTGTGCTGAGGGGGGTGGGTACTAAAGGGCAATAACAATGCTAGGGGAGCACCATCCGTTTGTGAATACATAATAGTAGGGGAGATAATAAGATAAAGAACAATAATACGTAAGATATAAATTCATAATAATAAGTAAGGTATCCAATTATGGTAGTACTATTATAATAATCCAACACAACACAATAAATAACATAACATAACACAACAGCTTGTAGACCCCTTTGACAGTGTACCCCCCTTTTGGCCATATCCTGCTTTAAGGTTTCCCGCCCAACGGTTTACGAGTCAAATTTTTCCTATTTTTTTTTTCCTTTTCGCTCTGCTAAAACAACCACCACAGGCCCCAACCGCGCATTGTGATGCTTAAGCGAGTCTGTATTGTATAGAGGCAAACATTCGCTACAACCTAAAATTGGCACATAAATACCCCATATATATCGGTTCTATTCTATTTTTTTTTTTTCCATTTTTTTTCTCTTTTTTTCTTTCTCTCTTCTTCTCAACATTTCTACTTCTTCTCTCGCCCTTCGATCATTTCAACCCATCAACCAAAATCACCAGCATTATTATATCGCCTTGTTAATTAGATATATATTCATATACACACACAACCAACCCCTTTGAAGCCTTAATATCCATCAATAATAACGCAACTGAGCAATCAAGACAAATCAACCCCGCTGCCCTGATTTGTATAGATTGATCTTCTTCTTGCCAAACAACATTCCGGTCCTTCTTATCCACAAGCAAGAGGATCCCACAAAAACTGAGGCAAAAAGGGAGAAAAAAAAAAAAATCAAAAGGGAAAAATTAATCCAAACACCACGTTGTTTTTTTACTAGCGATTCCACTTTTTGAATCTTACTGGTGTACCATCCATTAATCACCACATATAATATAAACTGATATATACATATTATATGTATATATAATATTTGTATATATTTATATATATTAATTTATATATAAATATATACGCATACAACAACGAACGGTCCCCAATCACCCCAGCATAGCATGTCTTCTAGACACTCAAAGAGAATATCCATCAATAGTTTGAATAACTCCATCCCTCCAACAGAACTCCAGCCCTCATCCTCTCCACCTACTGTTGATAATTCTCCTCCCCCTCCTCCCCCTCCTCCCCCTCCTTCTAGTGCTCCTGCTCCCGCTCCTCCCTCTTCTAACATCACGTTAGAGTCATCGAATGATCATCCAACCCAGGAATTGTCATCTAATAAAATCCAGCATCAATTCAAGTCCAAAGAAAAGTTGACACTACTTCAACAAGTAGTCAAGTTCAACCCCTACAAGAACAAGCGCAATGGCTGGCAGAAAGTGAAAGATGGTTATTTGCAATGGAAGAATTTACATCGCCCAAAATATGCTGACCCTGCTGAAGACTATATCAAGAGGAAAGTCCAAGAAATATTGAGACTTTACGCAAGACTGGGGAAAGAGTCATTAAAAGATAATGGGTTCACCAACAAAAACTCTAGCGACTCTATTTTGTTTTTATCGTTTATCGAACAGATATTGGTATTGAAGAAAATTGAAGCCGATGATGCTTTGGGAGTGAAAGATGAGTCTTGTTCTTCAATTCCTGAGTTCAATGAAGACCAGCAACAAGTCCCGAAAAGAAGGAGGATCGGCTCCAATAACTGCTCACCAATTGCTACCGCTGCCTCAATTCTCCCTCCATTCAACCCTACCAGACCTCCGTTGGGCTACCCAAACTACCAATTCCCAGTAGTCCAGCCTCCAAACAATAGCACTCCAAACAACATTAACCCACCATTATCTGCCACCATGTCCTCGCATTTCAATAATACCCCAACATTTTCCAACCCTAGCCCCCATGGACCACATACCCAATCATCAACCTCTCATTCTACTGCCACCCATCCTATCCTGATGCACACAACGCGAACCATTGGAGATTTGCAAATTGATGAATTCATGGTGTTGATGAACCAAAACAACCAACATTTTGCTGCCAGTTTTGCTACGGAGCTTACAAAACTGATTAGTGAGACTATTTGTGGAACAATGACCAATGCAATTAAAGAAGCAATTCAGGAAACAACTAAGAATAATTTGGAAATAATCAAAGCTTTGAAAAATTGATTCCTTTTTTTTTGTTTGATTGTCGCCCAAAATAACATTGTTATCGTTGATGATTCAATTTCTCAACTTGGTTTTTTTCATTATTCGAATGTTCTTATAATTATTTTCTGTTATTATTATTATTATTATTATTATTATTATTATTATTATTATCATCATCATCATCATCTTTTTCTTCTTCTTTTTCTTCCTCAGGAAGGGTTTATTTACATGCATTATTTTTGTGCGTGGCTCAGGCACATGAATCTTTTATTTTACTGTCGATTTTTTTTTTGTTTGTTTTTGAAGGGCACTCGAGAGAATTAATTGTATTGGAAAGCCTATTGTATTCTTATTTTTTGGTGTTTTTTAATGTTTTTTTCTTTATTTTATTTTCTTTTCATTATTGATTGGTTACTACTGCTGGCTTGGAACTATAATATGCTATATTTTCTTCTCTTCTTCTTTTTTGCTCTTTTAACGTTTTGTGCTCGCGATGATAATACTCTTGGCCCGTGATAGATAATGTGAACTAGCTTGTTTTATTTTAAAAAGAAATTTATTCATACATAGATACATATTTTTATTTATCAATTATAATTGGAATATTTATACCATTCATGTCACCGTTTTTTTTTTATTTTTATTTTTTTTTGCTTTTATAATTTGAAGGTAATGATCCATGGCTTCGCGTCGTTCAGGATAATGTGAATCAAATCTGAGACAATGTGAGCTTGTTTTCTCTTGCTGATAAGCGAAAAGCGGATGGCACAGTTCCCAGGGATGTCAAACTGAAAGGGGAGGTTTTTCTTAAGTCTTTTAAGATAATGACTTGGGATATTTAGTGGTTTGAATCAGCGTTGGTCGACCGGAGTCAAAAAGAAAAAAAAATACCACCTCGGAAAATGGAAAGGAAAAATGAAAATAAAAGACGAAAAAAATGAAAAGAGAAAGAGAGAAAGAAAAGAAATATACTTGATGAGGCACTCAGTCTCCTCTTTTTTCTGATTCTTTGCCTTGGTCGCTAACAAATGTTTAGAGACTTTTTCATTGTGTTTTCTAGTCTTTCCAGTTTCATGCGATAAGGACAATTTTCAGGAATTGTTGATAATAATTGATACTGAGATGCTACTCATGTTTAATATGATCATTCAATTGAGGTCGCAGATCATTGAAAATACAAAGAAATTTGGTTTGAGAGAGAAACAATAGAAGAAGAAGAAGAAGAAGAAGAATAATAATAATAATAATAATAATAATAATAAAAGGTCCCCATATATTATGTGGTTAGCTGATTAATAATCGTTTAGCTAATCAATAATTGTTCAGCTAATACCAGAGACCACATCAATAACCAACTACATAGTTCATTCCTGATAATCGTTGGCAAAGTAGTAATAAATTAGAATCAAAGACATGATTTATTCTGTTTGTCTCTACGAGATAACCAAAAAGAGAATTTCAAAACCCCCCACCTGAAGGTTTCATGCTCTCAAGCAGCACCAACATTTGCGTCCTTGTCTCTAGCCAATTGTTTAGAATATTCGGGGTCGATGATTTTATATTCTACTTTTGCTGTATATTGAGGCCCATCATCGTACTTTTGCTTGGATGTGGTGGTAGATGCAGCCTGAGGTTTCTTAGATTTCTTGAATGGAAAAAGACCCATGTGTCAACAATATGCAAATAAATTGGGCAAGGAGAAAAAGAAAAAATAAAGTCAACAAAGTGTAGTCAAGTGTTGAATCAATAGATATATTCAATAAGTATATTCACAAAAGAAAAAATATCATGGGAAAAATTGAGGGGCTGTTTCAAGTATTTATAGGAAAATACAAGATAGAGGCTTTTAAGTACCATCAGTCATCTTATTTTATGCTTTATATTTGACACATGGTTGTACATATATAATAATTAATATCAAAAAAAAAAAAAAATAAAGGCCAAAAATAAAATAACCAAGAACATACTGGATACAATTGTGTTATTCTCACTAATAATACCATCATCTTTAATTTTGTAACTTAACTAAGTGTACTCATCTTGTAGATTTTATTCATAATATTCCAAGATTTTTCGAACGCACCGCGGAAATGTTACTAGGCTATCAAATGTCACTCAATATCCTTAATTTTAGCCCTCACGGCCTAACATTTCTGTAAATTGGGCACACTAATAATAATAGCAGCGTTAGGGATAACGATAAATTAAAAATAATAGCAATAATACTAATAAAAGAGTAACAATTTTTTCACTCATACGTCTTCTCTTTAACATGATTGTAATTTTTTTTTACAAGAATAACAATAGCTCTAAACCGAAACTGGGGTCCATATTTTAAAATAGGACATGATTCTGTGATGTAGCTTATCAGTTATCGCCTTTATCCTTCTTTTTTGCCTTCTTAACCATGACCGGCTTCTCTTTGCCCCAAGAATATTGAGTGCGGACATTTGGAGCAACAATCGCTGCTGGTGGAGTTGTTGCGGTATGTGTGTCCATACCTTGGTCGTCCTTCATGGCATCGCTCATGATATCCGGACCACTAGACTCGCTACTACTGACTGATGAGCTGCGACCTAGTATGAAACCAACGTCCGATCTGGTGTTGACCAGCCTAGAACTTGACATTCTTCTTTGTTTTGTGGAGGTGTTCCATTTGTCAATGTACCTGTCAAATATCCCCGACATGATGATTCCTGTGATTGATTAAGATTATATTATTATGGCTAAATTGAAAAACGTACTACAAGCGATATATACCAACCAACTCACGGCATTGTGAGTAACACATGGTTATATATATAATGATAATCATAGACAATACATGGTTGCTAACACCAGTGGGGTAATAAAAGAAACATCATTAGCGGGTGTTTGTATGATGGCTGTTATTATTAGTGAGGGGAGCATCAGGGGCTCATAATTAGGAAACCCACCCACCCCCAAGGGTCACCCGCCCCATTAGAAATTGCGGCGTTATGATTGGTAAAGCCCCAGGCGTCGCTCCAGAAGTGCGAGCCCCGGCACCGCTAACCACCAAAAACTACCCCAAAGAAAAATAAAGAATAAAAGTAAAATATCTATAATTCTCCCCAATATTAAATATTCAGCATACCATTGATTATCGATTCATCCAACAAAAATGTTCGCCAACCGTTTTGCCCTTGGCATAAGACCAGTCTTGAGAGCCTCTTCTAACATCACCGCCAGAAAAACCGTGCTCAAGGCCTCTTTGAACACCGTCAGCACTACCCCAAATGCCGAAGATGAGATTTTGATTGCCCAAAGAAAAAACCGTCCTGTTTCTCCACACTTGGACATTTACCAACCACAAATGACCTGGTATTTGTCCGGTCTTCACAGAGTCACTGGGGTCTTTTTGGCTGCCGGTTTCTACGGGATTACCTGTAGTTATGCCGCCGCTTCTTTGCTTGGTTTGAACTTTGATGCCACTGTTATTTACCAAACCATCACTGACTTGCCAGACCTTGTTAAATACGCCGCCAAGGCCACCATTGCTTTCCCATTCGCCTTCCACTTCTTCAACGGTTTGAGACATTTTGTTTGGGATTCCGGTAAGGAATTGTACATCAAGGGTATCTACAGAACTGCCTATATCTGCTTGGGTCTCACTGCAGTTGCTGGTACTTACTTGACTTTCCTTTCTTAAATTCAATTCAAAAAATCAAAAACAAAATAATAATAAAAAAAATACAAAAAATAATAATAATAATAACAATATAATTAATAACATATTCACAGACCCCGTTTAACACCTTTTTTTTTTTGTCCATCATCGTCATCATCATGTTTAGCAAAATCCACTTGCCTGTCTCATATTCCCGGTATCATTTATTTAATATTATCATTTGATTGTTGCCCATTATCTCTCTTTTTGTTTTACTGTTCATATAATAAAATCACCATTTATTTGTATTATTGTCAAATTTCTACTAATATTGTAGTGACGGGTATCGAGGTTATTAAAAAACAGAAGAAAATCAAAATATAGCATCCACAATTAAATCCAATGAAAAATAGTAATGTACAGAAATGTCAAGAGGAAAAAAAAGAAAAAAAAAAAAAAAAAAAAAACAAGAGCATGACAAATAACAATAATGATAAAACAGACAATCTATAAATTATCCCAAAGATAATTACTGATGAAATAGTCACTCAATTTGTTATCAGTTTCGTCAATATTTAAAGTGGTGATGAGATTAGTGCGGTTATTGTTGATGACCAAGTTGTGTATTTTCTCATTATTGTAATCCTCATTGATCTTATCTAAGAAACTGCTGTCATTTGTCAAATCTTTCACGCCATTATCATGATTAGTTTTTGTTGTTGATTTGAACTTTGTTTCAATAAGTAACCCGAAATTTTTGTAAATTTTCAATTTCAACACGTTAGAATCAGGATTTGCGTTCAATTCATTGTTTAGGATATTTAGATTCTGCAAATCTACCAACTCCTGTGTTTTTTTCTTGAATTGTAACCCCAAGTCATTGATCTCATTTTCGAGTTCCAAATAGTTTCTGGCGAGCTTGAATTTCAAATTATTTAATTCATTGATCTCTTCTAAAATTTTCTTCCGTTCCTGTGATAGCTCCAATGATTGGATCCCGTTGAGCTTCAACTCGTATTCATTCACAAGTTTCTCCAACTCTTGTTCCTGTTGTTGGATCTTCTCGTACCTAAGCCGCTGTAAATTGGAGATTTTCTTATTGATCTGCGAGATAATTTGAATATCAGGCTCGATTTCAAAATTCTGAATCGTAGATTTGAGCAAGCTTGAGAGATTCTCCAACATGTTTGGCTTCACTCTTCGATAAACTTATAGTGTAGAAATGTGGATCTAATTATGTGTGCGTATATATATGAGAAATGTAAACAAATAAAAATAATATAAATAAATAAAAAAAAAATAAAAAATCACAAACACGTGATGAAAATCACCCAAAATTTTTGGAGAGGAGAAAAAAGAAAAAGAGAAACGGGTGTTGGTTGTCAAAGACATGATCCTCGGAAGAATAGAATCATCACCATCTTAATAATAATAAAAACAGCGTCAATATGTCAGGAAAGCAATTACCTTTATGGGCACTCACTCCAAAGGAAGAGAAAGAAGCATACGCCAACTGGAAAAAAAGTGCTTACCAACATTGTGACGACGATGTCAAAAGTGAGTTTTTTTTTTATTTTTTTTTTTTTTTTCATGCTTTTCAGATCATATTTTTAGGAGATATCATCCAACTTTTACTAACTGAACGGATTCTATTCAGACTTTGCCGCCTGTTCTAAAGCTGCTGGGATCTCAGTGACTTTGAAATGCAGAGGTTTACACAATAAGATGTACGCTTGTATTGAAAGTTATCAAACTAAAGAGAATTTAGATCTTGAATATGACAAGGTCATTGAAAGAAAGAGACAGAAAAAAGACTGAATCATAGACCTATATTTGCCTTTGTATTATTATTATTGTTATTACCATTGTTGTTGTTATTTTGAGAGTCTTGTATATATGAATAAATGTTTCTGGAAAGTTATATCATTACATACCATCCCACTGGAACATTTTGATGCAAGTGGGTCCACCCAACATGTGTGCGACGGTTTGTGTCAATTTTCCTACTTGTATCGAAAGCCAGTTTAATTGTAACATAATTGTGTTTTTGCAAAGTAAAGTAAAAGAAACTAGACCATCAGATGTCAACTATTACTTATAATAGGCGGTTCATCGCGGATACAATCTACGATGTCCTTTATCGTCCGTTCGAGTTCCCAATGGACGCCATCATCGGCTCCACTTGGGCTTACCCAATATTAGTATGCCTTCAGCGTTTATCACCATCGCCAATGTTTAAACTTACTAACGATCACTATTATCAACATATATAGGGCGTTTATTACTTCATGATCCACCCGAATTTGTGGATTCCTGTACTTCCCGTGGTTATTCCTCAAATCATCATTACCGTGCTTGTGTTCACCTTTGTTCACATTTGGTTTTATCCGCCACAAGCGTTTGTGGCAACATTCTTTAACGGACCAACCGGTCTCATCACTTCATGGTTTGCCATCTTACAGCAATCTGGCATCATTTCCAGGATGATCATTGAAAAAACTATATTGCCTGGGCCGTTGAAAAAAATCTTTGATTCAGTATTACGTCAAAATGCTCCTCAAAGGTTCATCTCCAAAGTGGTGGCCAAAGAAATCGAAGAGAAGAAAGAGAAAGAAAAATTGGCGACCAGACCAGTTGGAGAAGTATTAAAGAGTCAGCTAATGGTTTTCTCTGATGAAGTCATATATTACATTAGCAACCCTTATTATTGGATCAAATTTTTCCTTATTATATTCTTCAACTTGTTCCCATTCTTTGGGCCATACATTTTGATTTTTCTTAGAAGTCCTGGTAAAGCCAGAAATTTACACGAAAGATATTACGCTATCCAGGAATTCAATAAGGAAGATATCAAAACTTTTTTTAACGCTAATAGAGCATTCTACACAAGGTAAGTTCGTTTGTTGTATCTTGTTATTTTATTATTTCCGATTATCAGTCAAAAGAAAAAAAAAAAAAAAAAAAAGCTAACATATTCAAATAGTTTTGGGGTAGTTGCTTTAAACTTAGAGCTTATTCCTGTTGTTGGAATGTTTTTCACTTACACCAATATCGTCGGTGCTTCATTATGGGCTGCCCAATTGGAAAAAGATAGGGAAACAAAAATTAAGTTGAACCAATTGAAATAAATTTCCTGAAACACTTATTTATCATGGCCTTTCTTTATTGTGTCCAAATTATCACCATTTGACATAGCTAACTAATAAAGGATGTTCTATTCTGTATCTCGCTCAATTTTTGTGTCTTGAATCTCAGCTTCCTCTGTAAGTTGTGTAACTGTGGTTGGAAAGTAGTAACGGAATATGGTAATGCTTATCTGGCGGATTATTGACAACAAAATGAATATCCACAAATGGGAAGAATGTTCTAGTTAATAATTCATCTCTATTGGCATTGAAATATTGTTTCGTGTGGAATCTAATCTTGTAAACTCCTGGCTTCAAAGTGTGCCATTCAAGGCTTTTTGAGTCTATTCCCAACGCCTCAAGTTTATTGGACTTCCCATTGATTATCCACTGTGGGATTCTTCCATCATCATTAGTACGTGCCACGGCAAATGGAATTTCGCCTTTGAAATCGTCGTTAGGGACGGCAATTACTTCTTGGTCAATCGAGTCATTGGTCAAATATTCTGGGTTCGCTGATAGTTGGTACAAGGCACAAGTGACATTGGAGGCTGGTTTCCCCTTGGTGGTATCAAGAATATGGCACGTAATTGGGGGCATGATGATGTGAGTTGAAAATGGTGATTATGGTTGATTTAGTTTTTGTTTTTTTTTGTTTTTCAGGAATATTCCCAAATATTGTTGTTATTTATACTGATGAAAGTGAGCAATCCCAATCGGTGCTCCGATAAGGCTCTCCCTAAAAAAGGATTGTGAGGTTCTCCCCGTGATACAAGATGGTGCCAAAAGAATGGATCTTTTTTTTTTTGATTTTTTGATTTTGTGTGTCATATACTAACCTATATAACAGCCCATGTTGATCGACAAATAACACCGTATTTTGGTCAGGGTCTCTCAATAATTCGGGCCATAAATTACCATATATTCTCAAATAGCTACCATGTGCTTTTTGATTTTATGAATTTTCCAAGTTGCGATACGTTACCTTATTCTTGGAATCACAAAAAATTATATCACAATAATGACTATGGGAAGCCCCATTTAGCAACCTGCTTAATTTAAGGCATACTCCCCTCCACATTTTATTCTTATTGTTAAAGTTCCCTTTTTTTTTTTTTTCCTTTTCAATTTAAATGTCACCTATCCTCTGTATGAAGACTATTTTTACTAGTATTGTCCCCTTTTCTTTGATGAAATCGATTTATCAATTGATGTTGATTGATAGTTTCTCCATTACAAGGTTACCAATAGAATTGGTTCTCGAAATCATCAAATGGCTCAAAATTTTCGACGCCATAAACTTTCGGAAGGCAGCAGTGAGGGATCGTCTGGGAAAGCTCATTGAATGTTTGGACTCCCGATTATTGCAAAATATTCGGATCAGCTCTACCACAATTTTCGGACATGGCCTAGTTAAAGAATTTGACGTTGGAGATTATTCTGGTCAGATCATCTGTGGCAACATCTTGTCATTCAACGAGCGTGAGATTTTAAATCTTACAAGTTTGCAAAAACCAAAGGTCCAAGAGGTGAAAGTCGAACAGTTATTTGGTAATATTGGCAAACGAATTTCCGAATTCTTGAATGATCTTCCTAATTTAACCGCACTCCATAGTGATATCCCTCTTAGGACCACCCGACCATTATCTATGTTGAATATAAGGCTTGATGAGCGCGGCCTGTTGGATTGCTTTAATTTGCACAACATCGAGGCCCTTTGTTGTGATTATTTGGAAATTGGGGATGCTCGACCTCTTGATATGTCAAAGTATTTGTTACCGAATTTATGGCAGATTGGGTTAGATCTGGTGATAAATAAACTCGATGGCAAAGAATGGCACACTCCAAATTTAAAGCAGTTGCATATCAACTATGAAGGTGGTAGATTCAAGGTGAAAAATCTCGATTCGTTATATTTCCCTAACTTGAAATTCGTGGGTTTGACTCTGAAAGATGCCACGGATACTGGTATTGAATTACTAAATTCTGTGAGGTTAGATAAATTGCAATATCTAGAAATATCAGGTAAAGTTACGGGTTTGGAACAACACTATCTCTCTTCTATGAGATCTACTTATTTGAAAGAACTACGTCTCGATCAAGGTAATCTAGATAGAATTCCGGATTTGACAAATTTCCTCGGACTTGAAGAGTTGATACTACGAAACAATAATATTCTGAGAATAGAACGATTAGAAGCTTTGCAAAATCTAACATTTATTGATTTAAGACTTAACAAAATCACCAAAATTGAGAATTTGGACCATTTGCAAAAATTGAAAGCATTGGTATTGGGAATGAACAAAATTGGAAAAATCGAAAACTTACAGGGCTTAACCGAGTTAAATGATTTGATATTGGATTCTAACAAAATCACAAAGATTGAGAATCTCCATGATCTACAAAATTTACAGACGTTAAGTCTTTCCAATAATCAAATAACCGATACTGATGGATTACCTAGCCTTTGTGAGTTGAGAACCTTGTTTTTGGTGGATAACTGCATCACTGAATATACTTTAGATATTACAAATTACCCCATGCTTGAAACGGCGGCGCTTTCTGGTAATAAGATTGATGCATTCATTCATGAACCACTACCTGAAAGAGTGAGTTATCTACGAACCGATCCACAAATGGCAACAGTTGATGAAATTGAGAGCGATACCGAAAATGATAGTGATGGGGTGGAAAATAATTGAGTTTTGTTTCAAGTTTTGTGACTAATGGGGTTGTTTCTGTAAAGGAGATGTGGCCATTGGTTTACCAAGAACCAGAACAGGGTCTTGCGTTGCCAACATAAGATTTATTACATATTACAGAACATCAATGAACGCATTGGATCCCTCTTCTTAAACATAGCTAAAAGTATACTTTTTATTGCTGTTGATTATTTATTTCTTAGCTATTTATGATTATGATATTATATCTTCTTGCTTTACGTGGAAGTTACATGCACGTAACTATATCCCTTTTTTTTTATGTATCTGAACCATAGCACACCTCTTACAACCGATATAAAATATTGGAAAAAGAATAATCATCGATCATGATGACAAGATGAATTTATCCATTGAATAAAAAGGAAATCTTCTCCAAGAAAGAAAAAAAAAAAACGTCCAAAAAAAAAAAGGCCAAAAAAAAAATATAATATAAAAAATCATGCGAATAATAGTACATAAATTAAAAAATGAGAATAAAAATATATAAGGGGAGAAAAAAAAAATAAAAAAAAATGATAACCAGGATAATGTAAGACACAGCGTAATTTATTTGTTTTCTCTTCTCTTATGACGAGAAGAGTAGTTTGTGTGAACAGCAGTAATCACATATAGGCATTTGGAGGAATGTTTGCCTTACTAACATTGAAGTTTTGCACCGCTTGGTTCAAATCCCAAGCACTTTGTTCGGCCAACATTCCGGCATAATTGATGTTCAATTTAGTTTGGGCCATTATTTTGATTAATAAGTCTTGTTGTTCCGGACTCAATTTGCTAGCAATTTCCGGTGGAATAGTGATGTTGGTGGCCACAGAAATTGGCGAGGCCTCAGTGACAACTGCAGTTGCAGGAATCGATTGTGTTACTGAGCCAGCAGTAGCTGGGGCTGCCCCATCAACCAATGATGATGGTGTCCAAGGTTCAGTACCAGCGTACGGCTTAACACACAACAAATCGGAGGCAATAACAAATGATCCTCCAGATGAAACAATAAACCAACTTCTATCGAATGTTCTGATTGACAATGCCGCCTTACTGTTGGTATTGTTTTTATGATTATTGTAGCCCTTACGTGGACCTTTTGGTAAAGATTTCGCCACTTGATCTGGGGCTGCCACTTCCTCAAATTCCCCGTGCAAAACAATCATTATTGAATTATCATTTATTTTCCAAGATTCGGAGGAGAATTTTTCGGGATTGGTGGCTAATGAATGCTTGGTCTTAGGCAAGTTTTGGAATAATCCTAAAATTTTTTCGTTGCCCTTGGCAACTTTAGATTCAATCACTTGAGGACTGGTGATTCTGGTCATATTTCTGGAAATTGGCAAATAATAATCCCATGGGGCGTTGTTTTTATCTTGATAACTGTCATTTCCTGATGCTAAAAATGGCGCCGCCAGATCAACGGAAACAGAAAATTGTGAGTCTGGAGTGTATAGCGGGGCCAAAAGAGATCTATCAGAATCCCAACAATTCAAAAAATTCGAGATGAAATCGGTAGATAAACTTTGGATTTGGGGATTTTCAAAGAAAAACTGGGCTCTTGCCAATGGGAATTTCCAGATTTCTTTCAACTTACTTTCATCTCTAACCGGTTGGGAATCTAAGACTAATAATCTTGGGAATAATCTGAGCATTTCTGATCGGTAAGCCGGGTCGTTGGCAATTGGATTCCCGCCGACAATTAATTGTGATAGGCTGTTCAATTTATTTCTAAAAGTTTCCATGGATTTTAGCAGGGCAATATTATTTTGTGCCAATGACAAATTTTTCAAGAATGGATATGTTTGACATAGAATACTTATACTTTGGCCATCAACAATCGAGTTTTGTGATAAATTCAAACTGTCGACTCCAGAAGCAAACGGTTCTTCAGTGGCAAGTTTCATCAACGCGGTAAACATCTTGGAAGAAGTGGAGATTGAGGAGAATAATCCATTTTGCACCAATTCTTGGTCGCCACCCATGTGAGTCAAATCCAATAAACGTTGTTCAGGCATGAACCTTCTTCTTAAAAACCCACGCAACAAGTCTATAGTCCCCACCGCCCCGGTAGTTTTCAACGCAGAAATCTTCAAGAAATCCCCGGCAAATTTGATTCCGTTGAAACTTTCCAAATACTGAGCGTCTTTTTGAGTATACACTGACCCTCTAAGGATTGGGCCATTGACTTCAACATCCTTCAATCCAATGTTTGTCTTTCTGGAGATGAACGACACTAAGTTTTCCTTACTGGCATTGGTCCACCCTTGGATTTCAATCCAGATCTTATTTTGATTATTGAAATCGCTCATCTTGGAATTGAAGTTGCTGTTGCCTGCGAAATCATTATTGTTTCTATTATTATTATGGCCTTGGTATGATGAGCCTCCGCGATTTCTATTGTGGCCTCTGTAACTCATTATGCAATGGAAATTTTTGAATTAGCTAGTGGTTGAGAAATTTGAACAAATAACAATAGTAATGAACCGACACCGAATTCTACTTCTGGCAGCTAGAGAGGTCAGTGATTGGTCTCCTCACAATAATACAGTTAGTTGACCTTCAAAATCTTTGATGGTGGTGAACAGAAACACAAAAATTTTAGAAAAAAAAAAAAATAAAAAAATTTTCGAATTTTATAGCACGTGACTATGTATATACACAGCATTAGTTTACTACAAGATTATTTTTTTTCCCAAAATACATGGAATATCGTTATATTAAGACGTATAATATTAATTGGCGGTTTTAGTAGACTTCTTGTTTTTCGGTTTACTGACCTTGTGTTGGTTATTTCCCCCACTCCGTTCACGCTTCCGTCTGTTAATCTTTCTTTTTTCCCCAAAGCCTTCACTTTCCATCTCCATCATACTCTCTCTTTTAGCCTTTGTGGTCTTCGTCAACGAGTTATTAATGACTCTATTATCACTGACCTTCTCGTATTTATCCATTTTCTTCCCAATTCTTTCCTCAATCCGCAAGACTTTTTCCACGTCCCGGTCAGTGACAAAACTAATACTCTCACCTTTTCTACCTGCTCTTGCAGTTCTACCAACTCTATGAATGTAATCTGCTGGATCCTGAGGCATGTCGTAGTTAATAACCAATTGGACAGTAGGGATATCTAAACCTCTGGAGACTAAATCTGTGGCAACAAGAATTCTCGCGGCTTCAGCCTTGAACCGATGCAATGAGTTTACTCTTTCGGTTTGCTGCATTTCAGAATGCAATGACGTTACTCTCTGATCAAGATGTCTTAAAGTTCTTCTGATCAATTCTGCAGTATAGGTACGGTTCACAAACACAATTATACTCTTGTTTTCATTATCTGGATGAGTTACAATGCTATGCAAATAGGACTCCTTAACATGCATGGGGATGAAAACATAGGAAATATCCAAAGTCTTTGGAATCGCCACATTGTCAATATTTTCAATTTCGTGAACAATAACTTCTGGTTTGTTGTTTGCCCCAAGCTCTTCTCGCAAGTTTCGTACGTTATCATCAACTGTCGCGGTAAACACCAAAGTCTGTCTGTTAGTCGGTAATATATCATAGCAACGCTTCATATCTTTTTGGAAACTGTCGCTTAAAAGTCTATCAGCTTCATCAAGTACCAAGTACTTGACTCTTCTCAACCCTCTAATGGTATCTTCACCACTATTCATGATATGATCTGCTAATCTACCTGGGGTGGCAATGACAAAATGCGGCCTTCTTTGCAATTCCAAAGCCTGTTTTACAATGTCCTCGCCGCCAACAATGATCGATACTTTGATATTCATTGATGCACCAAGGGCCGAGAATTGTTCAGCGATTTGCATGGCCAATTCTCTAGTTGGAGTCAAGATCAACCCAAAGATCCCACAAGGATCTTCAGACCATTTCGTCAAAATCGGAGCCCCAAAGGCAACGGTCTTACCAGACCCAGTTTTGGCCCCACCGATGAAGTCATGGCCTTGTAAAATCTTTGGAATCGACGCTTCTTGAATCGCGGTGGGAGTGATAATTTTCATCGCTGCTAGGGCCTCGTCTAGCCATTTCGCAACCCCCAAATTCTGGAATCCTGCCATTATTGGATGGTATATTCTATAAATATAGCAATGTTAGAGTACTGGCTCTCCAAATAATATCTAAAGAGTATTTAAATGATGTCAAAATTGTATCAAAAGAGCATCAGGAAAAAAAAAAAAAAAAATTTTGAAGGATCCATCGCCCATTTTCCACGTGACTCGTTTTTTTTCTTTGTAAGGGCACTCCGCTCTCTCCAAAATAATAATCATCATCGAAAATTGCCACTGTTCGATATACACCGCGAACTTCCCTTCATTGCAATTCTTTTTTTTACCACAGACAACCAATTGAGATGTTCTTGACAAGATCCGAATACGACCGTGGGGTCAGCACTTTCTCTCCTGAAGGTCGTCTTTTTCAAGTTGAATATTCTTTGGAAGCCATCAAGGTAAGTTTGAAAAAACTAAATAAAAAATGTGATAGAAAATATAAACATATATGATCATTATTCCTAACATCTTATTTAGCTTGGGTCCACTGCAATTGGGATATGTACTTCTGAAGGGGTGATATTAGCCGTGGAAAAAAGAGTCAATTCGTCTCTTTTGGAATCATCATCTATAGAAAAAATTGTGGAAATCGATAGCCATATTGGATGTGCCATGTCAGGGTTGACCGCTGATGCCAGATCCATGATTGATCATGCCAGAGTGGCTTCGTTGAACCATGACTTATATTACGATGAAAATATCTCCGTGGAGACCTTGACACAATCAGTGTGTGACTTGGCCCTCAGATTCGGTGAAGGGGTCGATGGTGAAGAACGATTGATGTCTAGACCTTTTGGGGTGGCGCTTTTAATTGCCGGGATCGACGAGAATGGTCCACAGTTATACCATGCTGAACCATCTGGGACTTTTTACAAATATGATGCCAAGGCCATTGGTTCAGGTTCCGAAGGTGCTCAAGCCGAATTAAATAATGAATATCACAAGTCTTTAACTTTGAAGGACGCGGAATTATTGGTGTTGAAGATCTTGAAGCAAGTGATGGAAGAAAAACTCGATTCTAACAATGCCCAGTTGGCCTCAGTGACAAAAGAACACGGGTTCCAAATTTATGACGATAAAAAGACAACGGAAATCGTTGAGGTTTTGAAGGCACAAGAAGCGGAACAAGAAGATGAAGAAATTACAGCTTAGAGACTATATATATATTAATCTCTTTCCTATTATGTCGAATGCTTATTATTATTATTATTATTATTATTATTTTGTTTATCTTGTTGATTAGCGGTGTATTTCTTTTCTTTTTTTAAAAAAATGTAATTTACATGAATGAATTTGTCGAAATTGAACCCAAGTCTGTAGGCTTTAAAAGAATTATAATCTCTATAAATATAAATTTCTTTTGTGGGGAAAATTATTTATCTAGCCAATCATATTCATTTCGAGGATTCACATTTGTCAATGGGGGCAGGAAGGCATTACCTTTTTTACTCAAGGCAATTCTTGAAGATCCTGGGAAAATCACCCCTTTGATCCATTTCTTATCAATCAAAGAAACCAAGATTTCCTCCACATGTTGCAACTGTTCCTCGACAGTTTTGCTGGCATAAGAGTCTTCCAGAACTTTCAACCCTACCAAGAAACTGGAGTATTGCAAAGTAGCAGTGTAGTTTTCGATGACATTGCCATTATTAAGGATTTTGAAAGTTTGGTAAAAAAGATTTCTATAAGTGAGTATTGTCAAATTTCGAAGTAACAAATTATAAAGCCCTTTGTGGCGTAAATAGTCCATACTGGTATCGATAATCCTATTGACTTCTTTCACATTGCCCGATTTCACCGCATATACCAACAGACTGTATAGATTTCTTAGCTTTGGGTTTTGGAACTTCATTATTAGTTGACTCTGTGGATGGTAGCCATTAGATAATAACATCACGATTAGTAACTCCAAAATATTCTCGAAATTTTGCGATCTCATATGGGTGATTGGGTATTTCGAATAACAGTAGGTGAATTGTATTAAAGCAGGCCTGTACAAGTCGTTCAAAATCAAGAACTTTCCTAGGTAATAACGGTATTTTATCACGTCTGCTTTGCCAAAGTCTGAGCCTCGCAAAGTTTTGAAGTTATGGCGGTTAGTGATGAAAATCGTGGCACAATTCAACGGTTGGTCAATCACGAAATATATCATCAACATATAATTTGAGATCTTCAACAATATTGATTTCTTGATGGGATTTCTTGTTTGGTTTTTTTTACAATCGTTGAAAAGCTTTGATAAATAAATTGATAACTTGGTCAAGATCGGATAGTTCCTGTTGATCCCTTGCTGCCACAATACTTTATCGACTATTTTACAAACTTTATAACCAAAATCCAAATCCAGCATCAAGCATCCAATGAGAGAATTACTCATATCGTCGTAATTATTGAACACTACTATCAATGAATTGAGATAATTAAGGATCAAATCGATGGATTCCACAATGGAATACGGGTTGAAATCTCTAATGAACACGAGGTACGTTTCCACAAGCTGAGTGAACGCGAACCTTTCTGATTTCTGTTTACCATCTTTGAATAAGAAGAAGTTCTCTAGAGTATTTCGAATGTTCACCTGGTTGGAATTTAGTTCGTTTTGCAAATTGGCAATCATCTGAGGGTTCATACCCACATTAATCGACATCACTTTCGCAATAGACTTGTTCTGCGATACCAATTGCTTGACCTGGTTGAGGTAATCTTGTAGAACACCATGGCTCATTGTCATTGAGAAATATAGTCGTTTTATTGAGAGATCTAGAAAACGATCTGGGTTATTATTAGCTTTATATGAATTGAAATAAATCAATTTGGGGACTTTTTTTGCGTTTTCTTTTTATTTTTCGTAAATCCCAGCATTTTGTGACATTTCCAGAAACGATCGAGGATATCTTTGATATTTGTGACGATAATTATCATGGGAACACCATTTTTAGGGAGTGTTAAGCACAAGGTGACCTCATTCTTGAGTATTATTTATAGTCATTTTCAATTATTATCTTCAGTATTATGAGAGAAATCTTTGTGTCCCTTCAGTTTCTCTTTCCTGCTGTGTGCACCTTGAAAAAAAAAAAAAAAATCATTGCGGCAAAAAAAAAAAAGATCTCTCATCTAGTTCTCATCTCCTACAAAAGCACCCGTTTGACAGCTGACATATATCATGGTCAGGGCCATCAAGGGTAGCTTAATTAAATGGTAAGTATCGCCTTTATCTTATACTTTTGCTACCTTTCTGAAACCAACCCCCCATCCTAACCTTTCTTTTTTCCTCACTAGCGATCCATCGATCAAAGCTCTTATCGTTGACATCGATTCCAAGCGCCATGATATAATAATCGAGGAATTAGACGATACAAACCTCTTGGTTAGCACCGATAAGATCCAGTTCATCAAAGCTGAGCTAGAGAGAATCTTGTCGAAGAATGCATATAATGCGATGGAGGCTGAAGAAGCCGAGAAGCAGAAATAATCATAGATATATCTTTTTACAACCTTTTTTTTTTTATTATTGTCATTATTTACGAGCAGTGTTGTATATATTAGACATTATTACAAGAATCGCTAGCATATTTGCCTTTATTGACGGTACTTTTTTTTTTTGTTTTTCATAATTCTTCAAGATAGTTTGTAAATAAAGAAAAAAAAAAAAAAAACTAAAGATAACGATCAATTCTATTTTTGTTTAAAGCTGGAAAAATAATTGATTAGATCAAAGAACATCGATCCATTGATTTTGGAATTCTTGCTCTTGATCCACTGTTTCATACTCTCGGTGTAAACGTCCACCACTTTATCAACGTTGTTGGAATCGTACCCAATCAAAATCTTGCTCAAGTACAAAGAGTATTGGCTGTAAGCTGCAAACAACGCAGCGGTTGAAGCATCGCCAATCTCTTCATGAATCGAGCCAAGCATATTAAACAAGGAATCGACATTCACAAACCATTCTTCTCCTTCTTCGGTTGGTTCTCCAAGATGATCTTTGGATAATACCACTTTCACTTTGACCAATTTTTTCAAAAGTTTATGAGCCTTATCACGCAAATCACCATTTAAAGTCAACCCCATCAAATCCAACAATGGAGAGGCCATAGAAAGACAAACATACCATTCATCATTCATACTACCGCTAGTGGATGAGGATTTCACAAGTTTTTCTACATAAATATCAAGTAAATCAAGGATTCTGTTCTTGAAAAATACCATGTTTTCCTGGGCTTCGATCTTGGCTTCATGGCGTTTGGTACCACTCTTTGAATGATTGGCATTTAGAGCACTTTGACGTTGCTTGAAAATCATTGAAAGTTGAGAATCAATAGCCATCATTTGTTCATCATCCATGGATTCTTCATCCGAAGAGTTATCGTCATCATCATTGTCCCCAGCATCACCATCTAAGTCATTATCATCATCATCATCATCATCATTATCATCATCATCAGACGAAAAAGAAGAAGAATCATCACTAACTGATTCAGAATCAGAATTCTCGACAATCTTGCCATCCTTGGTTGGAATTTTCAAAGCTTTGGCAAGTTCATCAGTAGTTTTCTTATCAATAACATCGAGGAAATCCTTGGATTCAGAATCCACGTCTTCTTCTTCACTATCCTCTTCCTCGCCATCTTCTTCCTCTTCCTCCTCATTATCATCATCTTCTTCTTCATTGTCATCACCATCCCCAGTGTTAAAAAGTTTCTTTTGACCTTCAACATTTTCCTTAACTGCCAAGATCTCGTACAAACTTTTGAAATTTCTGTATCTCAAATCCCCAACAAAAGTTTCCCAGACAATCAATGATAATTTCTTAGACAAGGAACTTTTTTGGTGGACAAACCCAAGAATAATCTCTAATAGAATATCAATCGAGCCAAACTCTTCTTCAGATTCATTAGTTTGCCCTGTAGCTATCGAGTCAGACCCGTTAGTATTTCTATCACTTTCATCCTCGTCGTTCAGTTCATCATCCTCATTATCATCATCATCATCCTCATCCTCATCATCTTCATCATTATTAGAGTCATTGCTGTAATTATCATTAGCATCGCTGGCGTCATTACTTAATTCTTCAGCTAAATGGAATTTCTTGTAAGCTGCCGAAACTTCATCTAAAATTGCAACAGAATCTGCAACAGCATCAATATCAGAATAGAAATGTAGCAAAACGATCGAGAAAATCAATTCAAAGGATGAAAGTTTTTTCACAACGGTGGCGCGTTTTGAGGTCAGATTATAGGATGCAGATTTATTATCGGTTTCAATAATTTGTTGTTTTCTTTGAGAAATCTTGGTCAATAATTTGAAGTTCTTTGAACGCACCCGTTGAAGCTCCTGGTCAATATCAATCTTTGGAATGTATTTAATATTAGAAGTTTTTGATTTTGAAGACTTACGACTCTCGATCCCCCTGGCTTCTTTAAGGGCGGTATAAAGCCATGAGCTGTTGTCTACTCTCTTTAATGGGAGTAAATCGAGTAACAATGGACCAAGTTTTCTGGAAATCATGTTAGAAACCTCAACAACATAAGTAGCTTCATTTTGTTCCTCCTCCTCGTTTGCCGGCTTGAAATAACCATAAAGAACAAGCTTCTTGATAATGTCATCGAGCCATTCGTTACGAATTTCTTCGCCAACAGTGACATTCTCGTGGGGGTTGGTATTGGCATTCCATCTCACACGGTAAAACTTTAATAATAAGGAAACTTGACTGACACACCATTTCTGTTTCTTTTCAATGAATATCAATTTCTGGGCATCAGAAGATTCGGATTTTTTTTCGATTTGTTGGATTTCGATATTATTGAGATGTGATAATGGGTCTTCCAATACTTTAAGAAGGGTGTTTGAAATGACAACAAGCTCATCAAATGAACCAAAGGTTGCAATAGTATTGAGTAAAGATTCGGTTGTCTTGGTACCGGTAATGGTATCGAAGTTCATGTTGCTATATGGGCAAAACCAGAAATTTCTAAGAAGGGCAAGACAAAGAGGAACATTTTCTGCTTTTGATGACAATTTTTTAATTATAAATTGGTTAAGGAGAGTCTTTTTCACAAGTCCATTTAAGAGTCTTGATGAGTTTCCAGATTGATTGATCAAAGTACGGACGAAATTTTCGGTAAATAAATAATCAATTTTATCAATAATATCAATGTCTGAGGTGGCAGTCTTTTGAGAAACAGAAATTTCATTAACAAAAAGCTCAAATACTTTGAACCCCCAATATTTACGTTCAGGAGAAGCTTTAAGAGAAAACAATGAGTCATTGATGATAATTTTCCAAAACTCTTTGATTTTGATTAATTCTTCAGAATTGTTGGCAGCGCCACTGGCAAGCTTTTGCTTTTTGGAGGATTTAGAGTCTGATGTCTTGCGTCTTTTAGAATTAGACGAATCCTTAGTTATGATTGTTTCGTTAGACAGTTCTGTAGCCTGAAGGTCATTATGAATCACAGAACGAATAATCAAGGGCCACACGAAATGCAAGTTTGGGGACCAGGCGCCCTTTTGAGTGGAATCCTTTTTAGATTTATTGTCTCGCTGCTGCTCTGGATCATTACCAGCAGACGCGTCAATGTCCTTAAGGGTTTTGGCAAGTATATGTAAATTCAGTTTGACCATTGGATTGTTAGATTTCCAATCATTTATCGAATTTAATTTACTGAAAATATGTGCCTTATTATGCAAATGTAACAACAAGTAAATCGAAAGACCTTCAGTTGATAAAGAAAGTTTTTTTGCAGAAATAATTTTGAAAACATCAATAAATTGCTCGTCTTTTAATTTTGGCATCAATTTCCCCAAAAATTCAAAAAGGGTATGGAAACATGATTCTCTAATCCAGGATTTAGAGAGTGACAATTCAATAATTTCGTTGATAAACTTATGGAAAACTTCATCAAAGTTCTTTGCTTTAAAAAAAAGGTTAGAATTAACTAAAGATTTTAACCCAAAGAGATGACCAAACAAATTAGCTCTTTCATCTTTCCCCTTCTTGGAGCTCTTGATAACGTTTAGTTGAGTGTTAAGAATCTGTAGATACAGTTCCACAGTTATTTTATCCTCTGATTGAAGAATATTCAAAATTTCAGACAAAGCTGTAGAAAATCCAATTCTAGCTGCAGCCCTAGGAGAAGCCAATCCCTTGATAAGTCTTGATAATGCGTAATCCCATTCTTTTGGTTCGTTAGCTGCTTGCAACTCCTTGATGAGGGAGATTGCTCCAGAGATACGCTCCGACTCAATTTCACTAGCTAGAGAGAAATAGTGATCCCTTGATACTGTGCTGACCATGATCTACGGTAGGAGTATTAATGAAATTAAGCAGTTAATTCACTTGATAGGCGGTAAACGGGCATCGATCTTTTCTATTCTTCACAGAAAAAAAAAAAAAATTTTCCTTGTCTAAGGGCACTATGATGATATGTGCGATCTTATACAACATGAATATATAGGTGATCCGACATCTTTACACCCTTCTACCTAGTGGATTGATAAATACAGTGTACTAATAATCCCTGTGGTATAAATGATGCTTTAATACGATTGTTACATCCACAGGTATTTATTTAATGTTAATTGTTTAAAGATGTGCTGCTTCTCCCCTGCTCCTCCTTGCCCTACTGCTAAAACCAGTCCTTTTTCTTGGTTACAACAAGCTTTTTCCCCCTTTAAATTTAGGCAAATTTAATCAATATGAGTGGCAAGCTACATATGTATAATTGCAGCCTTACGCCAGATATATAAGCAAGCTATGTGAGTATTAGTTTATTAGATAAAACAGTGCATTAATGCTTATAACAAACAAGACAAATTAACTATGTATTTGAAAGGAAGTTGGTACTGGATAAGTCATGCTTAAGGTATCGTAGATACAATTACATAATAGCAATTATCATCGTAAGATTGCTAATTTTGTCAAATTTGGCAATAATATTACTTCTTATTGTCTTTTATTACATCATATTATCTTCTATTACACTTCTTATCATCTTGAACTTTCTATAGTTTTTAGAGATCGTAGTTTTATGTAACTCCGATCTTCCTCGTCTCTTATCTTATTTTATGTTATTCTTAGATCTTCACGCTTGAAACTTTACATACTATTTGCACCTACTTAGCATTTATTTTGTTTTATTTCATCCGATACCACAGTTAATAGTTTGAATAATAATGTGAGTCTCTCAATCTTTTGATTGACATGAGCACAATCTGATATTACAACATCATAGTTGATGATTTGGGAAATACTATTTCCTCTACAAAGCCACATAGGTAGAGAGCATAAATTCGTAAGCTACGTAGACATATAAAGGAAATTGAAACAGATTTCTTGCTGATGAGCTGAATGTTGTCTTTGAGCCACCAAAAAAAGAGAAAAAAAAAAGAAAGAGGATGTTAAACTCTTCTGAGCATAAAGATCACTAGTTACAGAGATTAATTGAAACAAAAGGACAAGAATGGAAACGATAATATAAATACAGACTTGACTGTAGCTGAAACTGCATTTTGATCAGGCTGTTTTCAACAATAGCATGAGATGTCAATATGGATGGTCTACTGAATGCTGCTGCAGGTGCAAAAGCAGCTCTCACGGTTCCAGTTACAAAGGGAATTAATATATGGTTTCATTTGAGATATTTCTTCATAGGGTTGTATTGAATTTAAGACTAAATCTTTAATGTAATAATAGAGGTACTCTCATCCTTAATGAGAGTACTGAAATGGTAAGAAGAAGCACCACTCATCACCTCTATGGTTTTGCGAACTCCGTCATCTAGCAAATAAAAAAGGATGATGAGATAATTGGCATAAAGTATTTAATTCTTGATAATACTACTATTCCCAAAAGTTGTGATCTTCAATTACTTATAAGCACTGATAGGTCCAGAACTTGTTATACTACATCATTCTGTAGAACTAAACAATATTTAAGGTTTCTAGCCAGTATGTCAAAAGATCAACCTCGAGCACAAAGGATCGATCTTTCTCTAGATTCAAAGAAGCTAAACAATTTTTTGTTCTAGACAGTTGCGAAGGATTCTGCAGATATTAGAATGAAAAATGACAGTGGATTGATATGAATTATTTTACCCCACTAGCGTGAATATTTCCAGTGGCTCATGCAAATAAAAACAAAACAAATATACCATTAGACTTGTTACATAGTTAATAGTTTGGTGTTCAAATAAACGATTTCAATCCGTTTCAAAGGATTCCTGCGAGGTAGCTGGGATAAATAAAAAAGACATCTCCCCAATGTTGCAAAAATGTGTCCCAAAACTCAGGATGGCAGCCTTCAGTATTATCATAGGACAAGCTTGAATTGCACTGCCTATTGAACCTAGGAATTAACATAAATGTCGTTAGGTAAGTTTCCTCATCAGGAATACGATATTAATGAATATTACTATTTGTAAATCACGTTATCTACGTCGGTTTTGTATTGAAATATTAGTACAATCAGAGGGTTGTTGCGATTACATTGCTTTTTCATTAATTGGAATTACTGGATTCAGGAAATTGATAAACAATAAAAATTTCCTATTCAGGAAGAATCATATAAGGAGCACAATTAATTGAGTGATTAATCTGGAGCCAAAAATTGAAGGGAAATCGACGTTTGCTGATTTCCATGTAAAAAAAGAAAAAGGAATGTAATTCTAAAGTTCCAAGTTATTGATTGATTTCCTGCAATTGGAAAAAACTTAATGCAAGCAGATTATCTCGCTATTATTCGAATAAATGTTGAAATATCCAGAATCTATTGACTTGTATTGCCCCACCCATCTATTTTTAACAAGGGGGGGGGCACAACAGCAAGGGGACAGATGTACAAGTATTTGCCAGGGTACGGTATGCAGTGCCTCATTAGGTGATGGGATGTACAGTGACAGGGGAGCCCCTTATGGGGTAGGATACCCTCCTATTAATTACAGTGTCTGAAGAAAAAAACACCCGGACACCATGACACACGCCAATGACAACTTCCGTCGCCCAAAAAGTTTCTTTTTTACTTTCTAGAAAGCACCGGGTAACGTATTATCATTATTATTATTAGCACAGCCGGAAAATACGATGAACAACAAGGAAAATTTTTTTTTTTTTTCCCTCTGTCTAACAAATGGAACGGGTAAAAGGTAAACACTGGGAAAAAGCAATAATACTACACTAATAATAATCTAGCCCCCCCCCAAAAAAAAAAGAAAGAAAAGAAACATGAACTTGTCATTTGTGGTAGTAGTAATAACAATAATCAAAGGAATATTAGTATCACATTGTGTATCTGTAGTCAATAGTAGCAACAAAATAAGTTACACGGGGGAAATTACATCCGAATCCACGGTATTTGGGTATTACTAAGATACACGGACCACCACAGAAGGCACCCTCGACTCGGCGGCGGAGGGGGCACCTGTACCGAATAAAGGGGGAGTGTGCCGATGCAGCGTGTGATTGGCCAACTATTGGTTACACTCCCCTGGCCAGGCGCATTCCCGTCTCAGCTTTGACTTTTTTTTTTTTTTTTCACCAAGTGTATGAAGGATCTAAAAATTTCTTTCTTCGCCACGTCCTTTGCTATCTTGCTCCCAACCTTTTACCAAAGCCAAGCTCTCGCTCTCTCGTTCCAGAAGTTATTGGAAGAATATAGACCTCTTATCCTCTATTCCTTCTATATAACCTTTGTATCTTGTCTCTTTCTAGTCAGATCAAATCACCAGATCAATCACATCGCGTGTTTTTTCCGCTCGGATCTGATCTACTTGTCAAGAAGGAAGATACATTTCTTATCAAACAACCACAAAGCATACCAACAACAACCACATCAACAACAACGGTATCCCTTCCCCAGTTAGCTTGCTTTTCTATTAGGTTGTACTATTTTCACTCCTTTGGCTAATCACCATCATCTGTTGAAAATAAATAAATAAACGGAGCAAAGAAAAAAAAGAAAAAGAAAAAAGGACCGAACTTTCATCTGTCATGTCTTACAACGACAACAATAACCACAACAACGGTCAGTACTACGACCAGAGTGGTCAACAAGGCGGTTATGACCAGTCTTATGGCCAGGATCAATATTATCAAGGCCAAGACGCCAACCAGAATGGCTACTACGACCAAGGTTACGACCAAAGTGGCCAATATTACGACCAAGCTGGCCAATACTACGACCAAGCTGGCGCCCAAGATGGCCAATACTACGACCAATACGACCCTAATGCTAGAGGTATGACTCCTGGTCAAAGTGAACAAGAAGCATTCTCGGATTTCAGCTATGGCCCAAATAGTGGCCAACCAGGCACTCCAGGTTACGACTATGGTACCCAATACACTCCTTCACAAATGTCTTACAACGACCCAAGATCTTCTGGCACTTCCACTCCAATCTACGGGGCTAACGGAGGCTATGAAGGTGAAGGTGGTTACATGCCTGCTTTACCAACCGATCCTTATCCAGCCTGGACCGCTGACAACCAAGCCCCAGTCAAATTGGAAGACATTGAAGATGTTTTCATTGATTTGACCAACAAGTTTGGTTTCCAAAGAGATTCGATGAGAAACATGTTTGATCATTTCATGACCCTTTTGGATTCCAGATCATCAAGAATGGCTCCTTCCCAAGCTTTGTTGTCTATTCATGCTGATTATATCGGGGGTGACAGCGCTAACTACAAAAAATGGTATTTTGCGGCCCACTTGGATTTGGATGATCAAGTTGGTTTCAGAAACATGAACCTAGGTAAGTTATCCAAAAAGGCGAAGAAGGCTTCCAAACAGGCCAAGAAGGCGAGAAAAGCCTTGGAAAAGGATAATGATAACGCCGCTGCCATGCAAGATTTGGAGAACGATGATTCTCTTGAAGGTGCTGAGTACAGATGGAAGTCTGAGATGAACAGCTTGACGCCAATTGAAAAAGTTCGTCAAGTTGCTCTTTACCTCTTGTGTTGGGGTGAAGCTAATCAAGTTAGATTTACTCCAGAATGTTTGTGTTTCATCTACAAGTGTGCTTCTGACTATTTGAAATCTCCTGCTTGTCAAAGCAGAACCGAACCACTTCCTGAAGGTGATTATTTGAACAGAGTCATCACTCCTATTTACAATTTCCTCAGAAACCAATTGTATGAAGTTGCTGACGGTAAGTTTGTCAAGAGAGAAAGAGACCATAACAAAGTTATCGGTTATGATGATGTCAATCAATTGTTCTGGTACCCTGAAGGTATTGCTAGAATTATTCTTGAAGATGGTTCTCGTTTGGTTGACATGCCAAGTGAAGAACGTTTTTTGAAGCTCCATGAAGTCGATTGGAACAATGTTTTCTTCAAGACCTATAAAGAAATTAGAACTTGGTTGCATATGATTACCAACTTTAACCGTATTTGGGTCATTCACGGTTCTGTTTACTGGATGTATACTGCTTATAACTCTCCAACCTTATATACTAAAAATTATGTTCAATTGGTCAATAACCAACCAACCCCAGAATATAGATGGGCTTCTGCCGCTCTTGGGGGTAGTGTTGCTTGTCTTGTTCAGATCTTTGCTACTTTGTTTGAATGGATGTTTGTCCCAAGAAAATGGGCTGGTGCTCAACATTTGTCCAGAAGATTTATGTTTTTGATTTTAATCTTTGCTATCAATCTTGGTCCAGCTGTCTTCATTTTTGCATATGATCCGTTGGATACTTACTCGAAAATCGCCCACATCATTTCGATTATTGACTTCTTTATTGCTATCCCTACTATTGTTTTCTTCACGATTATGCCGCTTGGTGGGTTGTTTACTTCATATATGAACAAATCTTCAAGAAGATTCATGTCCTCTCAAACTTTCACCGCTAATTTCTACCAGTTATCTGGTATTGATATGTGGTTGTCCTATTTGTTGTGGACTGTGGTTTTCCTTGCCAAATTTGTTGAATCTTATTTCTTTTTGACTTTGTCTCTTAGAGATCCTATCAGAAATTTGTCAACCATGCACATGAGATGTCACGGTGAAGTTTACTTTGGTAAGAAGTTGTGTATGTACCAGTCACAAATTGTCCTTGGTTTAATGTTTTTGACTGATTTCATTTTGTTCTTCTTGGATACATACATGTGGTATATTATTTTGTCCTGTGTCTTCTCCATTGGTAAATCTTTCTACTTGGGTATTTCTATTTTGACTCCATGGAGAAACATCTTCACCAGATTGCCAAAGAGAATTTACTCTAAGGTGTTGGCCACTACTGATATGGAAATTAAGTATAAGCCAAAGGTTTTGATTTCCCAAGTTTGGAATGCTATTGTTATTTCCATGTACAGAGAACACTTGTTGGCCATTGATCATGTTCAAAAATTGTTGTATCATCAAGTTCCAAGTGAGGTTGAAGGTAAGAGAACTTTAAGAGCTCCAACTTTCTTCGTTTCCCAAGATGACAACAATTTTGAGACCGAATTTTATCCAAAGGATTCCGAAGCCGAAAGAAGAATCACTTTCTTTGCTCAATCCTTGGCTACCCCAATTCCTGAACCTTTGCCTGTTGAAAATATGCCAACTTTCACTGTCTTCACTCCTCATTATTCTGAAAAGATTTTGTTGTCTCTTAGAGAAATTATTAGAGAAGATGATCAATTCTCCAGAGTTACTTTATTGGAATACTTGAAACAATTACATCCAGTTGAATGGGATTGTTTTGTTAAAGATACCAAGATTTTGGCTGAAGAAACTGCTGCCTATGAAAATGGTTCTGATCAAGAAAAGGAAGACGACTCTCACATGAAATCTCAAATTGATGATTTGCCATTCTATTGTATTGGTTTCAAGTCTGCTGCTCCTGAATATACTTTGAGAACCAGAATTTGGGCATCTCTTAGAGCCCAAACTTTGTACAGAACTGTTTCTGGTATGATGAATTATGCAAGAGCTATCAAGTTGTTGTACAGAGTTGAAAACCCAGAAATCGTTCAAATGTATGGTGGTAATACCGAAGGTCTTGAAAGGGAATTAGAAAGAATGGCTAGAAGAAAGTTCAAGTTCCTTGTTTCTATGCAAAGATTGGCTAAGTTCAAGCCAGAAGAAATGGAAAATGCTGAATTCTTATTGAGAGCCTACCCAGACTTGCAACTTGCTTATTTGGATGAAGAACCTCCTTTGAATGAAGGTGAAGAACCAAGAATTTATTCTGCTGTTATTGATGGTCATTGTGAATTGATGGAAAATGGCAGAAGAAGACCTAAATTTAGAGTCCAACTTTCTGGTAACCCAATTATTGGTGATGGTAAATCTGATAATCAAAACCATGCTTTGATTTTCTACCGTGGTGAATACATTCAATTGATCGATGCTAATCAAGATAACTATCTTGAAGAATGTTTGAAGATTAGATCTGTTTTGGCTGAATTCGAAGAATTGAACACTGAATACGAAAACCCATACGCCCACAACTTGGAAAAAGAAGTCAAGGAATTACACCCAGTTGCTATTGTTGGTGCCAGAGAATATATTTTCTCTGAAAATACTGGTATTCTTGGTGACGTTGCTGCTGGTAAAGAACAAACTTTCGGTACTTTGTTCCACAGAGTTTTGGCTCAAATTGGGGGTAAATTGCATTATGGTCATCCGGATTTCTTGAACGCCACTTTTATGGTTACCAGAGGTGGTGTTTCTAAGGGTCAAAAGGGTTTGCATTTGAACGAAGATATTTATGCCGGTATGAATGCCATGTTGAGAGGTGGTAGAATCAAGCATTGTGATTATTATCAATGTGGTAAAGGTAGAGATATGGGTTTCGGTTCTATTCTTAATTTCACTACCAAGATTGGTGCTGGTATGGGTGAACAAATGTTGTCCAGAGAATATTATTACTTGGGTACTCAATTGCCATTTGACAGATTCCTTTCTTTCTACTATGCTCACCCTGGTTTCCACGTTAATAACTTGTTCATTCAGTTATCCTTGCAAGTTTTCATTTTAACTTTGTGTAATTTGAATGCTTTGGCTCACGAATCTATCATTTGTTACTATAACAGAAACAGTCCAGTCACCGATAAGCAAGTCCCAAGAGGTTGTTACAATATTATGCCTGCTGTTGATTGGATTAGACGTTACACATTGTCTATTTTCATTGTTTTCTGGATTTCTTTCATTCCATTGTTTGTTCAAGAATTGATTGAAAAGGGATTGTGGAAAGCTGTTAGCAGATTGTGTCGTCACTTTGTTTCCTTCTCTCCAATGTTCGAAGTCTTTGTTGCCCAAATTTATTCTTCTTCTATTATGAGTGATTTGTCATTTGGTGGTGCCAGATATATTGCCACTGGTAGAGGTTTTGCTACTGCTAGAATTCCATTTTCTGTCTTGTATTCTAGATTTGCAGTTTCCTCAATCTACATGGGTGCCAGAGCCATGGTGTTGTTACTTTTCGGTACTGCTGCGCACTGGCAACCATGTTTGTTGTGGTTCTGGGCCTCTTTGTCTGCATTGATTATGAGTCCTGTTTTGTTCAATCCTCATCAATTTGCCTGGGGCGATTTCTTTATTGACTACAGAGACTTTATCAGATGGTTGTCTCGTGGTAATACCAAATTCCACAAGAACTCTTGGATTGGTTACGTTAGAATGAGTAGATCCAGAATTACTGGTTTTAAGAAGAAGATTCTTGGTGAACCTTCTGAAAAGGCTGCTGGAGATGCTGCAAGAGCCCACAGATCTAATGTTTTCTTTGCTGATGTCATTCCAACTGCCATTTACACCGCTGGTCTTTTTGTTGCTTACACTTTCATGAATGCTCAAACTGGGGTTTCCTCAAAAGAAGTCAAAACCGTCAATTCTGTTATTAGAGTTGTTATATGTGCTCTTGCCCCAGTTGTTATTAACTTAGGTGTTTGTGCTGGTGTCATGGCTTTCTCCTGTTGTGCTGGTCCAATTTGTGGTTTGTGCTGTAAGAAGACTGGTGCCGTCAGTGCTGCTATTGCCCACGGTATTTCTGTGATTATTCACATTGTTTTCTTTATTGTTATGTGGGTCCTTGAAGGTTTCAATTTTGCAAGAATGTTGATCGGTTTGGGTACCATGATTTACATTCAAAGATTCATCTTCAAATTGATGTCTGTTTTGTTGTTGACTAGAGAATTCAAGAATGACCATGCCAACTTGGCCTTCTGGACTGGTAAGTGGGTTGGTGCTGGTATGGGTTGGGCTGCCATTTCTCAACCAGGTAGAGAATTGTGTGCTAAGACTATCGAAATGTCGGAATTTGCTGCTGATTTTGTTTTGGGTCACATTATTTTGTTTGCCCAATTACCAGTTTTGTGTGTTCCATTGGCTGACAGATGGCATTCTACTTTGTTATTCTGGTTGAAGCCTTCGAAACAAATCAGACCACCAATTTACAGTTTAAAACAAAGTAAATTGAGAAAGAGAATGATCAGAAGATACACTGCCTTGTACTTTATTATCTTGGTGTTCTTCGTTATTTTGATTGCTGCTCCAGCCGTCGGTGGTAAATTTGTGTCAAAGGACTTTGGTCAATCTTTTAGCAGTGGTATTGCTAATGGTTTGTTCCAACCAAGAGGCCAAAAGAACAATGATACTGGTAAGTCTGCCCCATCGTCATTTAAGACCACCACTCCATCTATTTCTACTTGGAAGACCATTGCATGAGCTTGTTCTGACGTTTGACGTTCTATTATTATATAATTCTACAATTGAAAAAAAATCTGAGTTTTTTTTTTGACATTCATTTTTTTTTTTTTTATGACTTTTCTATTCTGATTACTTTTTTTTTTTTCCCCCTCTCCAATTTTTGTATTTTCATCATATTTTTTTGTGACAATATATAGTTGAATAAGATTTATTGATTTTTTGTTGATTATATTTGATTTCTTATGTAAGTTGAGGTGGTGATTCTAGAAAAGTTAACGAATTGGGATATAAAAAAAAGCAGGCAATGATTGGGAACTACAAATTATTGAACTAACGTTCTATTGGAAACTTTCAAATAATATTCATTCGAGACATATTATTCTATATCTGATAAATCTTGAACCATGTCCACACTCAATTTATCATCATCATTAATATTAATCCCTTTATCTTCTCTTCCACCACTGCCTAAAATCTCCAAAGTGACGTCGCCAAGGTACCCAATGAGCGCATCAACTTCCATCAATTCGTTGAGCTGGGCCTTTTCAATGGTTTCACTCACGGTGGTATTATAGAAATCTTCGTATTTATCACAAAGTAGCTCCTTGATTCCATCAACTAGATATCCAGCAACAAGGGGGTCGGAAATGTATAATGACAAGAGGTTTTTCACGCTGATCAATTCATTGCTGATTGCCGATTTGAACGTGTCCATGACATGGTGCAATTCACTAGTATTGGTAGTGGCGTCATTCAAAGGTTTGGCCATTTCCTCAACCACCGTCTCCATAAATCCGTGGACTACAGCACGTAATTCCACCTGGATTTCAATCTTCGCATCGTACATGTTGGTGACGATCTTTGGTACGCTTTCCTTTGCCGCTTCCACGAGTCCTCCCACGGTGGTGGTCCCCGAAGCCACTTTATTGAAAAGTTGTTTGAGTCCTGAGAAATCGAAATCGACATCCGCGAGTTTCGCATAAGCGATATCAAATCCTTCGACCGACCGTTTCAACGCAAGCAAATTCCTCATCAAGAAAAGCTGGGCGTCTTTTGGCCCAGAAACTTTCAATGAAAAACTGTAAGCCTCGCGAAGGGACGCAATACATAAATGCACCGCACCATGGGCAAGATCATCGAAGATTGCCGAGTTGACAAGCTGGTGGATTTGCGATAGTAGTTGCACCGCGGTCCGCAACGTCGGATACCATCCAGAATACGCCGAATCGAGAGGATTTTCATCTACCGAGGCGGCATTGGCAGGAGGGACTTTGAAATCATCCAAGCGTGGCTTGTACTTGGTAATATTATCATCGATATACACTTGGACTTTGAAAATAAGTCTGGCTTGGATATCTGTCAAGATTGGGTTGAACGCTCTGGCGAAGTCGATCTGGAACTTGCGCCAGTCTTGGGCGGCGTCGTCGAACTCTGGTTCTTCTAGATCATCATTTTCATAATATTTTTGTAAAAGCGAAATGAGTTGGCAAAGCACAGTGATATCATTTTCCTTGAGGATTCTAGGACGAAGCAAATCGTGTAATGGTTCAAGAAGCACGGTGTCGACCCAATTAAAGAACTCGGGACCAGAAAAACTAAGATACTCAAAGAAATTGAATTGGGGATCATGGAAATAATCTGGCTCAGTGAAACCAGAGCCAATAGCCATAAGCGAGGTAGAAGAGCCAACAAGGCTAGGGGACGAAGTGTTTGGGGTAAGAGTTTCTGAGAAATTCAAAGTATGATCGGCAATTGACAAATTGAGATCAGGATTGTCTTCTTGCTGGAATTTATGAAGCCTGTAATCATTGAAGAATTTATAAAACAATTCGTATTCATCGTTTACCAAGCCAATGTAAAAACTGACATTATCTTGTAAAAATTGGATTAACGGACGATCACCAACTTCTGCCGCACTGAGTTGATTCTTTAAAGTTCCAGCAAGAAGTTTGCCACGAATATTGAAATAATTATTGTGGATATCACTGAGCAATCCTTCGTAGTCGCCAGAATGACGTTGTTGTTTTTCATAAAGAATTTGCATAAACCGGTTGATTTCCACCGATCCCATTTCAAATTTCGTGTATAACAAAACATTGGCAGTCAACACATTCAATTGGCCAAGTTGGGTAGAGATTGTACTGTAAAGGCCGTTTAACGAATTATTGATGTAGTTTTTCACGAGGGTCAAAGCTTTGGTCAATGACGATTGAAGTACCATCTGGTACAGTTCGGCGTCTTTGAAATCTGGATGCTCACCAATAAACCGTAAACTTCTGTCCAAATTCCCAAGCACTTTGAGAAACCTCGCTGACCGAACAATTCTATTGATCCCCGGTTTATTGAGAAACGCATTGGTTTCGTTGAGGTGTTCGAAATGTGACAAGTAGTCGCGGACTACGGTGTGAAACTGGATCAATTCCTGCTGTTCTGTCATGAGCAGATCACTTTGTTGCTGGAAGTCTTTAGTATCTTTGGTGATCGACGTGTACGCAACATTGAGAGCATATATCGATTCCAACAAATCATCGATCTTTTGAAGAAGCATCTGGTTATGAGAGTGTTTTAAAAGCAAATCGTTTTGAAAATTGAGGTATTTGGATACTCCCATATTGAACCGTGAGGCCTCCGCCTCGTCATCGATCAATACATCATACTCAAAGGATTGTACATATTGATGCCAAAGAGAATCCTTTTCCACCGTGGTTAGCGGATGATGAGAGCTCAAATTTTCTGGTGGGCTCGCTTTAGCGGTGGTGGTGATGATATCGAGTAGTGAATGTGATCTCCTAATGGTTGTAGTCGTCTGCAACGATTCTGCTTGATCAGGGAGCTCTAGCGACACATGGTTGGGCACCACGGGAACACTGGAGGCGATGGCTTGGACAATTGACCGACTTCTATGGCGATTAGCTGGCATGGCTCGGTAAGTGTTTGGGATGGCACGTATCCAGACAATATGACGGAGGGTTTTATGTGAAAATCTGGTTTTTTCCTGGCAAACGTGCCAGATCCACATTCCAGTGGTGTGGATCGGCAACCTCTGACAGATATATATATATATTATTTACAATTATTTATCTATCTATTCATTTTTTTTTTCATTATTTATTCATACAAATCTTATTCATCACATTATATTCATCATAACAATAAGAGCAAAGGAAAATGCCATACTCTAAAAAGCCTAACTACACCAAGTTCAACGAAAAGCACGATTACGACGCTCGGTGTAAGGAACGTCGCCAATCCACTACCTGTCCTTCTTCTCCTCCAGAATTCACGTTGTCCAGATCTTCTTCAACCAATTCCTCTTCCGTATCTTTTGTGTTCCCAGAAAAACACTGTTGACTCATTGCTACATCACAAGTGATAATTGTTCCCCACAGGTTGGTATGCCCAATTTTTGTACTATAATATATCCCATCGTTTTGCTTATTTTTCTTCATCTTTTGTTAATATACACCACTTATAGAGCTCATATATCATAATATGACCACCCATTTGAAAGTGTGGTTTCCATTATTAACATGTATGATATATGCTGTTAAATCTCTCCGGGATGGGGTATCCAACGGATTGCAGAAGACGTGGTGGGTGTGAAACATTACTTACTTCGAGATCTAATCAGAAAACTATCTATAATGTATTGAGAAGCAATTTAGAAACAAAGAGAGAGAGAGAGAGAGAGAGAGAGAGAGAGAGAGAGAGAGAGAGAGAGAGAGAGAGAGAGAATTCAGCTATGTAATAACCTTTTCTAATTAAGAGAACTAAAGAATAAAGTCAATGAGCAGTCATTTATTTAAGAGCGACTCTGGCATATGTTTCTTCATCGACAACCCAGATATTATAGAATTCACTTTCGCTAGAACCAAAGGTGACATAAGCATGGTTGCCAGCACCATCAAAGTTGTTTAAAACGATACCTGGAATCGAGCCAAACACTTCATGAATAAGGAAGAAACTTTCAAACACATTTTCAATGATTTCAACTTGTTCTTGAGTAAAAGTTTTAAGACCTGTACTAGAGAAAGAGAAACGCAAGTGCAAATCACCCCATTGGATAAACACAATGTCATTTGGCAAGTTGTGTTCAGCCGCAGCACAGAGTTGACCAGCAACAATCTTGGCCAATGGTATTGGGGTTTTAATAGCAAGCTCATCAGGAGTTGAAGTAAGATTAATAGTGACTTGCTTGTTATCATATATAACCACATCTCCAGAATGGTTGGTGGAATCAATGTAGTGACCAAAAGAAGAGATCTGTGGCATAATACTTTGGTTGAGATACACGGAAGTGACATTGACACCGTAGGTGAAATATGGAATGATAGTTAAGTTTTTAGGGTTTGAGAAATGTTGGTTACCTTCGTTGTTTTGGTAAATGAACTGATCTGAAGGTTGGTTCAAGTTTGAGGTATTAGTGATGACGATATGTTGAGAATCTCCTGAATCGATGGAAACACTGGAGACCGTGAGATTAGCAACAGTTTCTAACCAAGAGTAACCTTTACTAGAAGTAGCAGCAGCTAGAGACAAAAGACTAAGGGCCTGTAACAAAAACAACATCTTTGAATTATAATGATTAAACTGGTTTATGGTAAAATTGGAATTGGCAACGACGACAAAATCAGAATTAATTGGCAAGACAACGAAAAGAAAAACAGAATAAATATGATAATTTTAAAATAAATAAATAGAAATTTTTTATAAAGAAGAATTGGCATTGATATTTATAGCATTCTTGATGGGGCGGTGATCCGCAGAACAGTAAGGAATGCAGGCACCATAAACGGCAATTAACTACCTTGTAGCTGGGGGTGCTTGGTCTCCCACAATGCCCGTTAACAGTGTTATTCAGCAGTTCGCTTGCTGGTAGAGATCGCGGGGACTGCTGATGTGCTAGCATCTTGACCAAAAACCCTGGCTTCCTGTTGGTAAACGGCATTTGATGAAGAATATCATTTTGTACAAACCCACCTGTTCAGCCATCTTCTAAAGGCCAAAACACCAACAACACCAACAACACCATCATCATCATCATAATCATCACCAACAACTAAAACAAAACAACAACCCCATACATGCCAAGAAAAACTCAAAATACAAGAAACAAAGTATGAATAGAAAATGGTGTGGCAGTCGCCACAATATAATGTTTGCACGACAACATATAAAACACGACGTTGCTGGGATTGTATTGTGCGATCGCAGGCACCAGGTGCGCTTGTTATGACGTGGGTGGTGGCCAACAATAACATAATGTCTCAGGCGAAGCTCTTCAGGATATTTTGTCGGTCAAATATATTATATTATATGATTCTCATCATTACATATTATAGATAACTGTATAACATTGGTTATTGCCTATGGCTGTCAAAATCCACAAGATTCTGTGCTGCACCAACTGAACCAACATGAAAAAGTGACACAAAAACAGTTTCCGACAATTATAAATAACATGCCCCCAAAATTGGGGTTCTACATCCCGTTATTTTTCTTTGGTTGATCTCCCCGTCTTGCTTGTCTCTCCAATACTCCTCTTCGCCATGAATTTCCGCTCTATTTCTGCCATCTCTGCCATCATTTGTGTCTCGTTGGCCAATACCTTGAGCCTACAAAATATCACTGGCATCACCAGCCCAAGTAATAATGCCACTGGTATCGCCAGTCCAAATACCACGGTGTCTTCCTCTGCTTCTACCATGAGTATCAATGCCGGGTTTCTCTTGGCTATGGCTGCTGGGGCTGGGGCTGTTGCTCTCTTGTTTTGACCGGGTATGCTGCTTTATGGACCTATAATTTTTGGGTATTGTTGATATTTGTGTAATATGAATATTATTTGTTTGAATTATGTTATTGACAGGTGCTCAGATGATTTGTGTTGTTGTGCTGATGGTAATTTGGTTGTGACTTTTTTCTATAGGGATTTATTTATTTTTCTTTTTATTTATTTTTATTTTCAAACTTCTCCTTGAAGAGCTTTGTTCTTCCATTCTTATTTCTATGATCGATTGATCTTTTTTTTTTTATTGTTTGTTATATATTATCTATGATTATATCCCATATATGGGCACTAGTTGATGTCAGAAGGCGTACGCAACAGGGCAACCCCCCACCCAAAGTAAACAAAACAAAAAAAAAAAAGAAGAGCGAAAAAATTCCACACTCTATCGGTACGCGTCACACGGTCTATTGATCTCCGTTTTTTTTTTGCAATATATCAAAAACAATCAGCAAGCCAATCCAATACACAACATCGGTATGGGAAGCAAAAGAAGACGTCATGGATCTGGCGACTCTAGACTGAGCAAGTCTGCTCTGGGTCATCGCTTGCGGCTGCGTAGCCAAGTATCATATCGTGAGTCTGATTTTGAAGAAGAGCTTTCAGATGAGCTGGATAGCCAAGAAAGTCTTCTGGAAACTTCCAATGATGGTGGGAATGATGTCTCTGAAGATGAGTCTCAGCCATCATTCCCTGTGAAACTCAAATTGCCTTCTCAAAAGAAGGTTACTGACAATGATAATAATAAAGTAGAAGTTGACGAAGGTGATCATGAACAAGAGGAGGAGGACGACGATGAGGAAGAAGAAGAAGAAGAAGAAGAAGAAGAAATACAATTAAATAATAGAGCTTCAAGACGTGCAAGATCTATACCGAAGAATGTCGAACAGCGTGATGGTGATGATGATGAATATCTCGAAGACGAGGATGATCAAGAAGACGATGATGACGCCAGTGAAGGCGAATCTGAGCTTGAGCGCATGGTAGATAAGGAGAATGATAGAAATTTCATTGCCAGTGAGGATGATGACGATATTGCTCCACGTCGTAAAAGAAGGCTCAAGAGAAAGAGACTGAAAAAACGGAAAATCCTGAAACTGAAAAGACTAAAAGAAACCTCAGCGAATGAAAGCGATGAATCATATAAAGACGAAGATGACGATGATGCTCATATGAGTGTTGATCAAGACTCGCTAGCTGAAGAATTGGAAGACTTAAAAAGCTCGCCAGAGTCTCTGCCCCCAAGAAAGAATTTGCGCGAACGTAAGAATGTCAATTATCAAATCCCGCCACCTTTAGATACCATCAATTTGGAGGACGGGTTCGGTCATAGCAATGGTCATGGGATGGGTGCTACCAATGGGTTCGGACCAAATTCTTGGGAACCACCTGCCCGTAATCGTGTACCTCGCTCTTCAGCTGGTCTCAATAAAGGGTTATTTTCTGTGGCTGGCCCATTCGGTGGCAATGACATCGTGCCTATCTTTGGCTCCAACGCTCCTCAAGATCTTGGTATTGGGGCAGGAAACGACTCTTCTTCTGATGATGATGAAGGGTTTGTTACTCGTCCATATGATGCGGCCACGGGGGGTGTTAACAAGGTATCATCAAATAATGTATCATCCACTGGTATTGTCAAGAAAAATAAGAGCGCCTTAGCAGATGCTGATCCTCTTGGGGTGGATACTAATATCGATTTTAAGGCAGTTGGTGGTCTTGATCATTACATCGATCAACTCAAAGAAATGGTGGCATTACCTTTGCTATACCCCGAAGTGTATACCAAATTTGGGATCACACCACCAAGAGGAGTGTTATTTCACGGTCCACCAGGTACTGGTAAAACTTTGATGGCTCGAGCTCTTGCTCTGAGTTGTTCTACCGAAGAACGAAAAATAACTTTCTTCATGAGAAAGGGTGCCGACTGTTTATCGAAATGGGTCGGTGAGGCTGAAAGACAATTGAGACTTTTATTTGAAGAAGCCAAGAAACAACAACCTTCAATTATTTTCTTTGATGAAATTGATGGTCTTGCTCCAGTCCGTTCGTCAAAACAAGAACAGATCCACGCGTCTATTGTCTCCACATTGTTAGCGCTTATGGATGGCATGGATGGCAGAGGTCAAGTTATCGTTATTGGTGCCACAAATAGACCCGATGCCATTGATCCAGCACTTCGGAGACCAGGAAGATTTGACAGAGAATTCTATTTTGCATTGCCAGATATTGAAGCAAGATTAACGATCCTCAATATTCATACGAAAAAATGGAACCCTCAACCTCTGGAAAAATTAATTCGCAAGTTGGCAACCTTGACTAAAGGGTATGGTGGTTCTGATATTAGAGCTTTATGCACTGAGGCGGCATTGAACAGTATCAAACGGAAATTCCCTCAAATATATGATTCCAGCAAAAAATTGGTGATAAACCCCGACGAAATCAAAGTCCATGAGGTTGATTTTATGAACGCCCTCGATAAAATTGTTCCGTCCAGTTCTAGATCAACTGCAAATCCTTCTAATCCTATCCCAGAGCATTTAGAACCTTTGCTTCGCAATGACTATAATCAAGTTACCGCTAGGTTGAAGCAGTTGGTTTCCAAAAAGAAGGAAGGATTTCTCAGTATGGAAGATGATTCTGATGAAGATGAGGAAGCGGTTGCCCAAAAGCAACAACTTGAAAATAAATTTGGGATGACAAAACATGATCTTTTCAAGAAACTTAGTTCATCAAGAGTTTTCAAACCGAGATTGCTCATTAGTGGTAAACCAGGCATGGGCCAGAAATATTTGGGGTCAGCAGCATTGAATTATTTGGAAGGTTTCCAAGTCCAATCGCTTGATCTTGGAACCCTTTTCAGCGAGTCAGGACGTACCCCGGAAGCGGCGATCATACAAATGTACCTTGAAGCGAAAAGAAACCAACCGTCGGTGCTTTTCATCCCAAACCTTGAAATTTGGCTACAATCAGTTCCAGAGAGCGCCAAATCCACCCTTGAAGGTTTACTTCGCTCTACCAGTAGTTCTGAAAGAATTTTACTATTGGGTCTCTGCGAGGTTGATCCCTCGGATGAGACATTGCAATCCCAGCTTGAGATTGATCTGGCAAGGTTTTTTGGGGTTGGTAGTGCGAATGTATATATGATTGACTCCATAGAAGAAAAACAACGAGAAGAATTTTTCAAGTTCCTTTGGGCATTTTTACAAACCAGGCCGGTTTTTGAAGAGCTCAACGTTGATGATCCAAAGTACAAAAAGTTTCAAGAAATTAAACATTATAAAAAGACTGAGAAATTGGCAATTGCCACCACTGCTCCTATATCATCTGAACAAAAGGATGCGGAGATTAAATCTCAACAAAAGCAGCAGCAGAAAGCTTTGAAACAACAGCACAAATCAGATGTCAGGCTCAAAAATTTGGTGAAAATCAAACTCTCAACGATAATGGAAATATTTAAGGCTCGTTATAAGAGATTCAAGAAACCGGTAATCCCATTACAACAATTAGCCCATTTATTCGAACCAAGTATTCTTCCACTCGATGCGCCGCCACCACAGTACTCAAAAGATGGGGACACGATTCTTGATACCTATACTGGTTGCCGTTTCTACAATATGGAACTTGATACTATTGAAGAACGACTCTGGAACGGATTCTATTCGGAACCAAAACAATTTCTCAAAGATGTGGAGATGATTTATCAAGATGCTAAAAATATAGGTGATAGAGAAAGATCATTGAAAGCCAGTGAATTATTTGTTAATGCTCAAGTCAGCATTGAAGAATTATTCACTAGTGACTTGATTGATCAATGCAAAGAAATGCGACGTAGGGAATTGGACAGACAAAAACAATACGAAAAAAAAGTGAAAGAATTGCAAGATAAAATTACCACTGCCACTGCGGTTGAATTGACTGGCGGCAAGAATGAGAATTTAGAATCCGACAAATCCGAAAACATTGACGGTGTGAATTGTCATAAAATGAATGATGACGAAGTTGCTGATCAAGATACTGAGTCCAAACATGAGGCAGATCAAGCAGATGAATCACATGATGGGAAAATAGTTTCGACAGAATCAATTACCCAACAGAATTCTACAGAGCAGCAGCTGTCTGTTGCGGAAAGCGATAGCAATGGCTCTGAATCAGATTCTAAAGGAAATGCCGATTCTGATACCCCGATGTTGACAAATAGTGAAGTTACTTCTTCGGCTGTCAATGCTGAAGATACGGAAACCAAGGCCAGTGAAGAACAAGAACCGGTCAAGAGGTTCACTGACGAGGAACTTGAAGAGTATGATTTGTACCTTAACAAACTCGAAGCCAATAAGAGCCGGGAAATTGAGCTTGATTCGGATTATTTGGCGAAAGTTCAACGCAAGTTATTTGAACAAACTGATGGTTTCTCCATTGAAGAATTAGAACTTATGAATTCTTTAATCAGTGAAATTATTTGGCAAAACAAACATGAATGGGATCGTAATAAGGTTTTAAAGTTGATCGAGAAGAAGATTAAGCATGTCGTTAAGGTCATTACTCGTCAACGGAGTGATGTGGATTGATCTCCTTATGAACAACTCTGTGTATTATTAGTTTTATATTTTTCTAGGTCACTTATTAATTTTAGGGATTGAATTGAATTCCTTTTTTTTTCTCCTCCCCCCATCCCAACATGAACTACTGTATAGTAATGATAATGATAATAAAGTTACAAAAAGTATATTTCTCCTACTTTCTTTTTGTTATCATGGAGAAAGTCATCAAAAAGATTCATTGAGAAAAAATGAGATATAAGAAAAGAGCACCTAGAATTAACAAAAAAAAAAGAAAAAAAAAGAAAAAAAAATAATAATAATCAACTAACAGAATAATACTAATAATAAGGACGATAATAATAATAATAACGATAATAATTGCCAGCCCTCTCCTAAATTCTTTGCACAAATCTTCTACCGCTAGCAGTCTTTCTCTCAATATCTTTTTCTTCTTGATCTGGTTTGGCTCTGTTCAAGATCTTGAGATATTCTAATACTCTCTTTCTCATTCTTGAATGCAAGTAGGCCTTGGATGCCTTGATGTGGTAGTGGAAGTATGTTCTGAACAATTGGATTTGGGTGATGGTGTTTTCTCTCTTTTGTGGCACCAAATGACGAGGGAACAACACAAAAGTGACAAACCCCTTGTCGTATTTTGAAGTTGCTGATTGCTGGCCATAATTGAAGTTTTGGAACTCTGGCAAGCCACGTAACTCCAAAGGTGGTTCATACGGAGAAAACAACACTTGCGGGGCGTTTTGGATCGATCTTTTTCTGGCATCGACAAACTCTTGTAAAAACACATTACCAAAAATTTTGTCGGTTTCATCTTTGAACAACGCGGTGAAGATCACTGTGACTCTATCATGGGATGGGCGGATATAAATGGTTTCGTCTTCACGATAATTGATCACCGAAGTAGCTTCCTCGGAGTTTTCTTCAGGGACGTATAAATCGACATTCTTAACCGCAGCCTCTTGTGCCAACACGTCGTATCTTTTGAACGCCACATCGAATGGCGCGGCAAGGGCGTTTCTTTTAAGAAGACTGAGTTTGGCAATCAAAGATTCCATTTCTTCTGGCGATGCCAACACCGTGGTGGATATTTGTTGTAGATCGATAAAAATCGAGAAATTGTACCCGTCTTCCGGCTGGTCCAACACCGTGTACCATTGGGAGTCATTATAGGCATTGCGCAAGTAACTGTCAACATCCCCGTATTTGACCAAGTCGTTATAACATTTCAAGAATATTGACAACACAATCTTGGTCTTTTCTGCGGGATCAGGGGTCGAGATATGGAAAAGGGTGTTATCGAAATCGGAGACAATTCTATCGATTGACACCAGCTTTTCGGTGGTGAAGAGTTCCCTGAGGGTTTTCTCAAGTGACAAATTCGAGCTCTCCAAGTTCAACATGTTGAGAATTGGCTAATAATGGTGGTTTGATGATTTTATCACTATTTATTATAATAAAAGAACAACACCACAGAAATCGCCAGTTTTGCGATTAAAAACAAAAAAAAAAAGCCGGTTATTTTGTCTGTCTGATCACGTGGCTGACTTGAACAACTATAGTTACCATGAATAAATCGCCAAAGATCATAGGGAGGGAGAAATGATATTATCTCAAGGAATGATGGCTCTCTTATTTATAATATAATGGTTCATATTTACATATACATAACGGTGAGTGCTGGAGCAAATGTGTCAAAATCGTGGGGTTATCATAAGAGGGTAACTATAGTATCACCGTTCTGCAATATTGAAAAAAAAATCGCAGATGAATAAGTACATTGAATGGCCCGGCAGTCGTTATTGTCACTATAAAAATGCTTAGAGTAGCCAGAAACCCTGCTATTATAAGCAGGGCGCAGTCTGTGCGGCTCAATGTACCGTCACAATTGATAAAGCTTAACCGTCTCAATCTTTCTACCAGCTCAGTTCTCCAACAAGTGAAATTTCCAGATCTCGATAGAAAATGGTTGAAAAACTGGGAAAAGTTCGATGGGCCAATTACTCCCAAACCTTTGCCAGGAGAACATGGTGATAAGGAAAAATACTATATGCTAACAATGTTCCCTTATCCATCGGGGATGCTCCATATGGGACATTTCCGAGTGTTCACCATTACCGACGTTGTGGCAAGATTTCATCGGTTCAAAAATAAAGAAGTCATCAACCCCATGGGATGGGACTCATTTGGGCTACCGGCAGAAAACGCAGCGATTCAGAACCAGGTAGACCCAAAGTTCTGGACCCAGAAGAATATAGGGAAAATGAGGCATCAAATCGGGAAAATGCTGACGAGTTTTGACTGGGACCGTGAGCTCAGCACTTGCGATAAATCTTACTACAAATTCACTCAAATGTTGTTTTTGTGGTTATATGAAAATGGGTTGGCTTATAAGAATCTCAAGGAAATCAATTGGGATCCAATAGATCAAACGGTGTTGGCAAATGAACAAGTCGATGCTAATGGGAAATCGTGGAGAAGTGGGGCGATTGTCGAGAAAAAAATGTTGAACCAGTGGTTCTTAAAGATCACTGATTTTGCCAAAGATTTAAGCGATGATTTAAAAAAACTCGATAACTGGCCACAGAAAGTGAAATTGATGCAACAGAATTGGATTGGGAAATCCACCGGGGCCAACATCAAATTTACTCTTGGTAATGATGAAATGATCGAGGTGTTTACTTCTCGACCAGATACCTTGTTTAGTGTTCAATATTTGGCGATCTCCATCGATCATCCATTATCCAAGCAGATGTCGGTGAATAACCAAGAATTACAACAATTCATCGACAATGCTAAAGAGCAAGAAAAACAACAATCGTTTTCGCACGAATCTGACCAACAAAAGAATAAAGACGGTTACGAACTTCCAGGAATTCATGGTATTCACCCGCTTACTGGTAAAAAGATGCCGATTTTTGTGGCACCTTACGTGCTATCCAGCTACGGTAATGGGGCGGTGATGGGTTGTCCAGGTCATGACGAACGTGATTGGGACTTTTGGCTCCAAAACGCATCAGGCAAACCAGTGATTAAAACGGTTGACCCGGTGGATATTGCTGAACTTGACGATTCTAAACCATACCTTGGCAAACAAGGGACTCTCAATAATAACTGTGCCCCGGAATTCCAAGGTTTAACCGCGAAACAAGGGTACGATAAAATCGTGGCCACTTTACAATCTAAGTCCATGGGGGGGCCTGCCACGAACTTCAAACTCCGTGACTGGCTGATTTCTAGACAACGGTACTGGGGGTGTCCTATCCCAATGATTTATTGTGATTCTTGTGGAATGGTCCCGGTTCCCGAAGACCAACTTCCGGTGGTGTTGCCAGAAAACATCGAGTTCACTGGGAAAGGTAATCCTTTGGACCAACATTCGGAATTCAAGAATTGTAAATGTCCTAAATGTGGAAGCAATAACGCCACTAGAGAAACCGATACCATGGATACTTTTATGGATTCTTCATGGTACTTCTTCCGTTATTTGGATAATAATAACGGAGGGTTACCATTTGCCAAATCCAAGGTCGATGAATTCATGCCAGCTAAACTTTACATTGGAGGGGTCGAGCACGCAATTTTACATTTGTTGTACCTGAGATTCATCAGTAAATTCCTTTACAAAATTGGTAAATGGGATGGTGGGGGTGTGGAGAATAATGGTGAACCGTTCAAGAAATTGGCGAGTCAAGGAATGGTGCACGGGAAGACCTATAATCATCCGGTGACCAAGAAGTTCTTGAAACCAGAAGAATTGGATAAATCCGATCCAAACAAGGTGAAGTTAGTCGAAGTTGACCCAGCCACTGGGGAACAATTAATTCCGGAAGTGTCGTATGAAAAAATGTCGAAGTCTAAGTTCAATGGGGTTGATCCGGTGGAATTTATTGGGAAATATGGGGCCGATTCTACCAGAGCTCACATGTTATTCCAAGCCCCAATTGATCTCGTGTTATACTGGGACGAAAATAAGATTGTTGGGGTACAAAGATGGTTGAAGAAATTACTCAATATGAACAAATTGTTGCTTTCCAAACTCGAAACTTCAAAAAGTCAATTCAATACTGCTTCATTGGATGAATTCTTTGCGTCGATAGACACTCATGTGCAATCGAAATCAAATTTTAATGATTTGGAAATCGCCCTTTTCAACGAGACCCAATCTTGCATTACTGCTATGGACTCTGCATTCGGGGACACTTTGAGTTTGAACACCGTGATTTCAGATTATATGAAGATGACCAATTCAATCAACAATATCTTACAGAATGATTGCGATAACGTTGATTTGGGGTTGATCACCAGCGGGTTTTACAAGTTGGTGTTGATGATTTCACCAGTTTGTCCTGCAGTGTGTGAAGAGATTTGGGAACTGGTTCAGAAACTGATCATCAGTAACAATAATGATTACAATTGGCAATCGATCTTCACTTCGCATTGGCCAGTGGCCCTTGCTCCAAAAATCTCGGAGGTGACAAATTATAATGTGATTGTCAACGGTAAGTTCAAATTCTTGTACCGTGGAACCAAGGATTTAATTGAAAAACCAGAATCGCAAGTATTCGATAAGATTTTGAACGACGTGGAAGGTAATGATAAAAAGACCATGGGAGATTTACAAGGGAAGATCACGAAAGTAATTTTGAAACCGGGAGCCATTTGTTTTGTTGGTGCAAAAAATACCAAGAAGAAATCACAATAGATAACAGGGCGTACACATTTTGTAAATAGTTAATGGATCATGATTGTTTGAAGATGTAATTATTTCTTGGGCCTTTAGAGTTAATTATAAATATGATAGACTGATATGTATATAACGTGGTTGTAAGTATTGGACTGCATATCCAGAAATGATCTTTCTATTTTCTGCATTTCCACAAGGGTAGTGATTATGGATTGTTTTCAATGGAAATCATCATTACGTAACTTGTTGAAAATTGCTAAACTTTGGGATGTCAATTTTCTGAAGAGAGATCATCCATAAAATATGATCCCTATAATTCAATCAAAGCAAAACCAATTATAATAATATTGAGTAAAATGATAATCCGTTGATCAACAAATGAGGATATTTTTTTAGTGCCAGATGCTTTAAAGAAAGGTGTACTAGACGAGCCAAGACAAGTAGACGATTTGCGGTCATGCAGGGGGTTTCTTGATCAAATCTGAATTATTCCGAGACATTGTTTATGACCTGCTCATATCGATTCTTGATACTATTATGTATTAAACTATTAACTGCCATCTCAGAGATCTTGAATGGTGCATCGCATTTTGGAATATCCACCAATTGTTGTCGGGGTGATGGGCGTATTTGATGCTCATGACAGGGACTGTGCAAGGAAAATTAGCGTGGTGTACGATAAAAATAGATGTAGTGGTGCGATGCAATATGACATTAATGATCATGAGATAGAAATGATGAGAAGAAAAAAAATATGGCTAATAAACTAGGAGAAGGTAGATAGAAGAAAGGAAAATAGAGAAAAATCTAGTTGGTGGAGATCTAATGTTGATGAGAATTCCTGTATAAGAAAAAAAGAAAAGAAAAAAAGAAATGCTGGGATTCTTTGCAAAAAGCAAAGAAGAAAATGTTGATATCAAAGCTGATGAAGTGTAGAAAATAAATAAAATAACAATGCGTGTAATGAGTTGAATTGGAAATGACATGATAGTTAGGAAAAAGAAAGAGAAAATTTTGAAAAGAATCAAAAGGCAAACAATTGGCCATTACCTTCCATGCTAAAATTTTCACCTTCGAATAGTAATTTATTGGAAAGCGCCATACTTTTAGGACGGGTTGAGATATAAGCGGCATTAATACCTTGGTGACTCTCCAATCCAAAATCGTTGTTAGCGAAAGCAGAAGGGGTTTGTAAGATGGCGGAATCGGCGATCGACACCAACGACGAATCTCTGGCATGGCCGAACTTGGAACCACTGTAAAAGGAAACCGGTGTATTTGTTAAAGAAGGAATTGATGAAGAGGACATATCCGGGGAAAAGCAGGCGGATGGAGGACTGGCCATTTTAAGGGGTTTTGGGAACACTCCGTCTTCCAATGAGCTGGCGACGGAAAACTGATTGTCGTGGTGGATCCGCAAGTTCTTGAGGTTCTTGGATGTTGGTCTGATGACGCCGTTCCAGTTCCACAACTTTCTGGCGACTAGTTGGATCAAATAAACCCCAATACAGAACCCGGAAATGTTTATTATGGCTAGAAAGAAGACATCAGCGCTACGGTTGTTGCTGTTGTTGGCCAACTTGTCGAAATTAGGGTCATCGTGGCCGAGGTCGATGGCTCTTGAGTCGAACGACGACGGCGAAGATCTGAAGAGCTGGTAGTCAAACGACCCTAAGCCTGCCAAATGGAGGGGTAAGAAGCCTTGGGTAGGGGCCTGGTTAGGAAGGACTAGTCTGACGATCTTGGTGTCTTGGTAGGCATGTTCTCTAAGAAGGACAGGGTCATAAGGAGGAGGGACGGTCATGGTGTGTGGTAAGGATAGACAGAGGGAGTGAGAGAAATAAAAAGAATGAATAAGTGGGTCTCGATAAGATCTAGGCCAACGACACTAAATATATAACAGAAATATATAAATAACAGGCAATCAGGGATGACAAAAGAAAAGAGTTTTTTATTTATAGGAATTATTTTTTTGATTGTCGGTTTTTTTAGTGTCGCTGCAACATGACGCAGTTGTTTTGGATTCTTCTATTCGGTGCCAACAATTGTCGAGAGCTGCTGTTGTTGTTGTTGACGTTTATTTATTTGTGGAAAATTGCAGAGACATCCATATATGTTATAATAATAATAACTATTTCGTCCAGTTGTTATCATCCTTCGATGTTTACTCTTTTACTTCTCTTTTTTTTTTCTCTCTTCTTTTTCAACCCCTGCTTCGTAGATGAGCACGTTGTCATATCCTACAATGTGTTCCATAATAAATGTATCTATCACATATCGTCATATTATTATTCACACGATATATTCATTCACAAGAACCGATCGTAACATTATGACCTGCTGCCACATGGGCTGACTGGCTGGCAGTTGTTCAGAGGCTTATTGTGTACACACAATCTCATCCTTTATATGGTATAGGAAAATTCACACATTTTCAATCTCTTTTACTTTTTTCCTTCACCCAATTCGGCTAATCTCCTCGGGTCCCAGTGCACATATATCTAAAAAGATTCAATTAATGCCCTCACCTTGATATCAAATAATTCTGCTTTAATAGGCATATCCATCGAATAGAATGGATTCTTCATTACGTAATCACCGTACAAAATATAGATCTTTCGAAGCAACTCTTCAGCAACCTCGTAGCTGCTTGATAAGTCCTTATCTGGCCTGCTATTCACATCTCTGTTCAAACTCAAATTCACCTTTTCTGTCTCTTCTTGTTTCGAAACTTCAGGATTGTTGCCATCTGACGCCCCTTCCTTTTTATGGATATCCGGCAGAGTAATTAGAATAAACTTGATACCTGTCAAGGTTTGGAAAATGAAAATGTTGAAGAAATCAGTCTCGACAATATTCAACCCGGTGACGTTGCTCTTCATATAAAAGAAATTCGAGCTCAATTTGTTGTACGATACTGATGAACTACTGAGCAAATCGGCGTTGTTAACTGAAGGATTGTTGATATTGGTGAAATTGTTGATCAAGTGCCATAGGCCATCGGCGTTGTCCTGATCTCTCATCATGGTCGACTGGCTTTCCATTCGCGGACTGGTGATATGGTTTGCCCCAGAAGACCCCAATTTAGGAGTGGACACTGTTGACCCAAGAAGCGGAGTGCCAGTGGTATTAGCATTTTTATTGGAGCAAGTTATTTGTGTAGGAGTAAGTTTCGAGGCGATGGCGTGGACACCGTGGATTGTTCCGGCAAACACCAAGTAGTCGTTGATTGACAACTTGTTGAGGGTAGACGAGTAGTCCTGCTGGTACACCAATCCTCCTGCTTTGTTGAGGATATATAGAGAATGTATCATTGGCGAAGTATTGTATATTGTATCTATCTCTCTTCTATCAGCTACCTGGCATCTTCCTCTTGTTCTTCTTCTGCTGCTGCTGTTTTTTCACTGAGCGATCACCGAGCATTACCCGGGGATATGTGTCAAACAGTCGGCTGAGATGGGGCCTGGGCTATCACAGTATCCAGCCAGTACTCTCTGTGGCTCTTGCGGAATATTTGCTGAAAACACTACTGCAATCGTTGTAACATCTCTGTCGCCTCATTATTGTTAATGGCTGGGACCAATTTTGCTTAGTTTTGATGGCCATTGTCGTTGTCACGTTGTTGGCGATGAACGGCTGTTTTTTCCTGTTGTTTTTTTCTGTTGTTTTTTTTCTGTTGTGTTAAACATCAGAAAGACAGGAATAAAAACAATAATACACATAGATAGATATAGAGTGGCCCTCTTGTGTTTAGAAGTCTCTGATACTCCTCCTGAAGTGATTTTTTAGGGATATCCCCCATCATGGTAGATGGTCCTTTCTCGCAAACAGATTGCTCTTCTAATCGCAACGATGAGAACGTCGATACAATCGATAATCAACATCAACATCAACAACCCCAGCTTGAACCACATAAACCAATGGATGAGGCAGAAGTCGTACCAAACAAGTTTTCTATTTCAGAATTGGTCAATGACGCGAATGATATCGAAGAACACTCGACCCCAAAAGAAACAGACCCTGTGTCATCATCACCCAATGATGGTAATGGCGGTGGTGGTGACTCCAGGTTCAAGAAATTGATGAAAAAGACAAAAGATGGGAGAATGCTTTCTCCGTTGGTCATCAATTCCAGCTTCAGCTCAAAGAATAGCAACAAAAATGATGATTCCGTCTATAACGTCGATACTCCAGTAGATCCGCAAGCCCCAGCCAGCCCACAATCCCCTAATGGTAAATCTCTATTCTTCTCACCCCAATCCATTCACACAAACTTGGGCTCGACTTCAAAAAAATTCAAATCAAAAACCCCAACAACTCCAGTGATCAAAAGCTTTTTCCTGATGGATAGAGATGGTCAAAATTCCCCCGATGGTGGAGTAGGCCTTGGTGTCACTTCCGGCAACAACAATAACAATGACCAAGAGATATCCAACGGTGATGGCGACGTGAATTGGTTGAAGCGATTGTCGAAATTCAATCACTCCGAACAAAACTTTAACGATTGGAAAAGCAATTTCTTTCTGTTCAATAAAAACAAGGCCCAACAACTGCAGCAACAACTGGCAAAAAATATGAAGAAACCTCAAAAACCGACAAAAAAGGAAATTCTCAGTGAAAGTGACAAATTGGCAAGAAATCGGGCAAATTTCTTGATTGAATCATTGTTCTTGGGGTATACCGCGTCGAATTTGGTGTCCAGTATGTTTTTATTGGATGAGCAGGACACTCGAAGAGCTCCATTATTGGCGCATTTGGTGGGAATTAGAATTAGGGATATTACCGATAGTTATTACGGTTCCCTGCGCCATCATCACCGCTACCATCTCCATCATGGCCGGGGCAACGATATTGAGAATGATTTAGGTAATACCACTGCTGATCAAATAATTGAAACTGTTGCTGGAGACGCCATCAACAGTTCTCCTAATGATGACAGCAATACCGATAATGGAGAACATGGCGCTAATTTTAAGAATCCTCCTATCAAAAGAAGAAAGTTTCGTCTAGAAATGGAATATGGGGTAGGGGAAAATCGTGCCAAATGGACACTAATCAGAAGTTACAAAGAAATTGCCAGCTTTGTCACTAAACTAAAATTAATTTCCAATGCTACATTAAATTTAAAGAAAGGAAGCAGATTGAATTTGCCTTACTTCCCCAAATTGAGAAAAGTCAGTAATAACATTGGTGGGACTAATAGAAATATGTGTTCGTTTGACTCAGACACCGACTCGTCCTCGTCACTGGATGAAGATGACGAAGGCGAGTACGAAGTTATTGACCTTAGTCATTCAATTGGGGGTACCAGAGCTGAAATTGAGCGTCCAAGAAGCCGTCTGAGCTATCAAAGTGACTTGGCGTCTTCCAAACAAGAAGACCCTGAACCAATCAATCCATTGGCCCGTACCTCTACTAGAGGTTCCGTGGCTTCACAAGTCCAAAACTTGATGTCTCGTATCACCAGCTCATCCCAAAGAGGAGCAGAGAAAAAGAAACATTTGGTATTTAATGGTGACCCCCATTCTCAAGAAGAGTATACCAAAAGACTTGAGCATTATTTTAAAAAATTATTCTTAGAATTATCGCTTAGACCTCAATCTAACAAGTTATTTCAATTTTTTGAATTGTCACCAATTGGGGTGCTCTTGTCTAACGAAAATGGTTACAGGGGTAAGCAAGGATATTTATTAATTGCTACCTCTGCTAAAAAGCAAGGTTGGAGAGTTGGTCATTTAAAAGCTAGTGATTTGGGAGCGATGATTAAGAGACACACTATGAAATGGTTCTGTGTTAGTGAATCGTATATTTTATACGTGGCAGATATTAATTCAACCACAATCTTGGATGTGTTTTTGGTGGATGAGTTTTTCCAAATGAAGTATAGTGGTGAAAAAAAACTGGGTGCTGCAAAGATCAATGAATTGGTTTCTGACAATGAGGAATCTGATGATGATTCTGATGAAGAAGATGAGGAACAAATGCTTGATGAGGAAGATGTGAAACACCCAAAAAGAATCACCAACAGAACCACTCCCCATTTGAACATTACCGTTGAAAACAAAGAAAGAAAGCTTAAAATGGTGGCCACCTCGGATCATGAAATGAATTTATGGGTCAGATCAATACAAATTATGTTATCCAAAACCGAATGGGCCCAACCAAAAAGATTCAATTCATTTGCCCCAGTTCGCCAAAACTGTTTTGCTCAATGGTTTGTCGATGCAAGAGATTATTGGTGGGCAGCCTCCTCAGCAATTGAAATGGCCAAGGATGTGATTTTCATTCACGATTGGTGGTTGTCTCCAGAATTATATTTGAGAAGACCAGCCAACGGTAACCAAGAATGGAGAATTGATCGTTTATTGAAACGTAAAGCAGAACAAGGGGTTAAAATCTTTGTGATTATTTATCGTAACATTGGGGAATTCGTGGTGATTGATTCCAGTTGGACGAAGCATTCGTTGATGGACTTACATGAAAACATAAGAGTTTTAAGATCTCCTAACCAATTTTTACAAAATACTTTCTTTTGGGCCCATCATGAGAAGTTGTTAATTATTGATCATACCATTGCATTCTTGGGTGGGATTGATTTATGTTATGGTAGATACGATACCCCAGACCATGTTCTTGTTGATGATGCTCCCACCGCTTTCGGTGACCCAAATGGTGCTGCCAGCAAGAATACCAGGTATCAAAACTTCCCTGGGAAAGATTATTCTAACCCTAGAGTCAAAGATTTTTTTGAATTGGATAAACCATATGAATCTATGTATGACCGTCAAAAGACTCCTAGAATGCCATGGCATGATGTTCATATGGTGAATGCTGGGCAAATTGCTAGAGATTTGTCTAGACATTTTGTTCAACGTTGGAATTATTTGATTAGACAAAAAAGACCGTCCAGACCTACTCCGCTATTAACCCCACCAACAAATATGACCCAAAAGGAAATTGATGAAATGGGGTTCAAGGGTTCTTGTGAAGTCCAATTATTGAGATCTTCAGGGTACTGGTCGCTTGGTTTAAAAGAAGTGGAGCATTCGATTCAAAACGCCTACTTGAAGTTGATTGAAACTTCGGAACACTTTGTGTATATTGAAAATCAATTTTTTGTCACCGCGTGTGCTTGGGACAATGTGGTGATTGAAAATAGAATCGGTGACGCCTTAGTTGATAGAATTATTAGAGCACATAATGAAGGCAAGGTTTGGAGAGCTGTGATTGTCATCCCATTGATGCCAGGGTTTGAAGCTCAAGTTGATGAGCCTGAAGGTTCCTCAGTCAGAGTGATTATGCAATGCCAGTACATGTCTATCTCCAGAGGGTCGACTTCAATTTTTGCCAAACTTAAAAAAGTCGGCATTGATCCGGATAATTACATTCAATTTTTCTCCTTAAGAAAATGGGGGAGGATTGGAGAATATGGCAAATTGGTTTCTGAACAATTGTATATACATGCTAAGACGATGGTAGTTGATGATCGGGTTGCCATCATTGGGTCTGCTAATATCAATGAACGTTCAATGAGAGGGAGTAGAGACTCCGAAATTTGTGCGGTGATTAGAGATACCGAAACCGTGAAAACCACCATGAATGGTAAACCTTATCTTGCTGGGAAGTTTGCCCATACCCTTAGAATGAGATTGATGCGGGAGCATCTTGGTGTTGATGTTGACGTTTTGGAAATGGTGGAACGTAAGTTTGATGAAATTGAGAAGATCGTGAAATCAAACTTCGATAAAGGCTTAAGGAACGAAAACGTCACCGGGAATTTCAACAATGATGCCAATGCTATGAGATCGGCGATGGTTGAATTGGCGAGTAGAGAGGTTTTGAATTTATCTGATGGTACCAACAAGTGGAAAAAGTTCCGCAGATCGACAGGTCAAGATCCTGCAAATCATTATTTTGATGAAGATGGTGATGTGGATTCTGCATTGTCGAAGCTTGATAGTCCATTATATAAATCGTTCAATAGCAGAGCGTGGGTTGAAAACGCTGGTCTTCGTGACAAGAAACAGTTATCATCTGATCCAAGAATTAAGAATAATTTGGAGCACAAGGCTGATGTTGCAGGAAAAGGTGATAATTTGGATAGTAAAGCTTATGGTAAGTGGAAGCTAAATGCCAGACAGACCTTGAAGAAATGGGCCCTTCAATCATCTGATAACAAGAAATTCAAATCGGTATTCATTCCAAACTTGGACAGTGTTAAAGAATTTTTGGGTAACGATGAAGAATTTGTGGAAATTTCCGCCGGTCTATTATCAAAAGAGCATGAAGAAATTTTAGCTCAAAGAGATCAAGAGCGTTGGGAAATGTTGAAAAGAGTTGCCTACTTGCAGCGTTTGGGTATCAAATATGAAATTGAATTAAAGGATGAGAATTCTAAACGATCAAAAATGGGATTGAAGACCAAGGTTAGCCCATTTACATCTCCTGAAGCCAATAGCTCATTGAACGGTGGAGCCACTGGTATACCTAATGACCCTAAAGAAATTCTATCCAAGTTTAACTTTGATGCTGCTGGTCACACTGGTGTATTATCGTCATCCTTAGTTGATGGGCATCCAGTGACTTCTTGCGATCTTTTGAGTGATGATAAAAAAACTGCGGAAGATACAAAAGTCAATGGAGATAATATCAATATCCCAGATACTGAGAAAACTAATAATAGTAATAATAAGTCGGACCAAAATGGCACATCTGGAGCAACCGCAGAGTCCACTGCCAACAGCGACATTCCGATCACTACCTTGAATGATGATGAGATCAACCATTTATTTTCCAATAGTTTAAAGATTGGGAAAAGTAGATTTATTGATCCATATGGCTTTTCTGATCCTTTGGATGAAGAGTTTTACGAGGATATGTGGTTTGAAAATGCTTATAGGAATACCAAGATTTTCAGACTAGTTTTCCATTGTCAACCAGATGATACCGTGGCTACTTGGAACGAGTACAAAGAAGCTCATAAATTGATGACGGCGTTCTCAATTGCTCAAGATTACGAAATTGCTGCTATCAAGGAACAAGGCTATGACCTCACTACTGGCCATGATGAAGACGAAGATCTCGATGAGAAAATGGAAGATGATGAGTTCCAGAGACCAGCCTTGTACAGTCATAGAACTTCTAGGTCGGTGAGAATTGAAGATTTGAATCGTGAAGCCATTGGGGTTCTTGGTAGACCACCAGAAGAGATCAAGATAGATGTGAACCTGTCATCGCAAAATCCACAGCAACAATCGAATCTGCCACAACCTCCACGTTTGCAAAAGATCAATAAATCATTCAAGAAATTTTCTAATCTTCGCAAAGGCTCGCTTAGTGATGGGATGGCTGCTGATTCAATTATGGATAATTTACCAATCCAGGAAGAGAATGAAAATTCTAGTGGACATCACAGTGATTCTGTATCGCTTCATACTACCGCAAGCAAATTGAAGGACGAAGATCCTAAGAATATTGGCTCACCAGTGACTTTTGGAGATACTTTAAAAGATATTCTGACTAATGAGAAGAGTTCGATTACTCCAGAACAATTCCACCACTGTGACGGAGATAAGTTGAATTTCCTCACCCCTTCGGTGCAGAATCATAATAATAAATCTGTGAGTAAATCATCGTCGTTCCATGACCAATCTACTTATAATGCCTCGACTAGAGGGGCGGTCAGTTTGATATATGGCAGTTCTAGTCCGGTGAAAGGAACTGGATTAATTGGCAGAAAAAGGACTGGAACTTTTAGTAATAGACGTCATAAGCATTTAGGGCATAGGGATTTGATATTTGACAAAGAGACTGCCGATAAGATCTTGAGTAATATCACTGGTCATTTGGTGTTATTCCCCGTGAATTGGTTAGCGAAGGAGTTGGAAGGTAATAATTGGTTCACCAATTCTGACAGGTTACCACCTATTGAAATTTACGATTGAAAAAGGAAATGAATTCAGCATTCTGCAATTTCATTCGTTATATTATAGTAATTTTTATTTTTATTTTTATTATTTATTGTCATTTTGCTTAGTTTTGTTTTTCATTTATTTAAAAAGATTTTGTTTTTGTTTATAATTTTTGTTGTTACCTTGTGTAAGTTGTTTCGGGAATCGATGATATATACATTCTGGTTGTTTTGCTGATGAATGGGGGATATTATATTAAAGCAATCACTTTGTATTATTTTATATCTCAAGAAAACATTTGCAAACTTTCCAGCATTAGGAATCACCATTCATTCTTATTATTATTCCTGCTTGCCACGAGAATTGGCTAGTTTGATTAGGTTATCATTTGATCCCATTCTTGGTTTCCTGCCAGTTTCATTTATCGATCTTACTAGATGATAGAAATTACTATTTTTATGAAAAAACTTTTGTTGTTTTGAATTGACTTGATATGTATTCAAGTATATTTTATTACTCTACTTATTGATTCAAAGTTCTAATATCAATATCTTTATGAATATATGCTCTTCCGCCATTACCGTAATCGCCAACGATTTGGCCAGTTCCCTTCAATTGATATTGATAACACACCAATCCTTCTAACCCGACTGGACCTCTGGCATGGATCTTATTGGTACTGATCCCCACTTCAGTACCAAAACCGTATCTGAAACCATCGGCAAATCTTGTAGAACAGTTCCAGTAGACCCCGGCAGAATCAATCCCGTTCAAGAATTTATTGGCCTTAGTTTCGTTTGCGGTGATGATCAAATCGGTATGTTTTGATGAATGGAGGTTGATATGCGACATGGCCGATTCGACATCCTTCACAGATTTCACAGCCAAATCAAAAGATAAGAATTCGGTATGGAAATCTTCTTCGGTGGCGGTGGTGATGAATTTCTTATTCTTGGCGATGAATTCTTGCTCAAGTTGGTCGAGCAATTCGGTGGTGATGTGTAATGTCACTTCGGCATCGAACAAGCTTTGGAAAATTGTTTGGATGTCAGTGACTGCGATGTGTTCATTGATAAGGAGGGTTTCCACGGCGTTACAAGCGGCACAGTAATTAGTCTTTGCATCGACAACCAACTTGCAAGCCATCTTTAAATCCGCTTCGTCATCAATGTACGCAGCACATAACCCATCAGCGTGACCCATCACTGGGATTTTGGTGTTAGATTTGATGTTACGTACCAAAGCGTTTGACCCTCTTGGGATGACCAAATCAATAAACTTGTCTTGATCCAATAAGGCCCCAACTTCTTCTCTGGTGCTGATTAACTGGATAGAGTTTTCTGGGACCTTGGTTTTGGAGGCAATGACCTCATTGACAATTTGTGCCATGACTTTGAAAGTCTCTAGTGACTCTTTCCCACCTTTCAAAATGGCGGCATTACCTGATTTGATGGCCAAGGCGGTGATATTGGCAATGACTTCTGGTCTAGATTCAAAGATCACGAGCAACACTCCTACAGGACAAGTGACTCTGTACAAGTTCAAGTTGGTATCCAATTCTCTGGCCAAAGTGATCTTACCGATTGGATCTTCGAGCTCTTTAACTTCAAGAATTCCATCCAACATCGAGTCGAACTTGTCACCTTTAGACAAGTCTAATCTCTTTATTAATGGTCCGTCGAGGTTGTTATTTATGGCATTGGTAAGATCTTTTTGGTTAGCTTCGATGATTTGCAGTTTGTGAAGTTTCAACCCATCGTGGATTTCCTGCAACGCTTGGGATCTTTCGGAGTCGCTCAAAGTCTTTAAGATTGTTGATGCTATATGAGCATTTTTGGCAATAGTTTCTGCTGTCGACATATTTATCTAATGAGGATCTAAAGACAGATGATTAGAGGTATTATGATCATTGAGATTTGAGTCATATTAGGCAGGTGCAAATTCCAAAAAAAAAAAAAAAAAAAAGAAAAAGAAAAGAAAAGGAAGCGTGAGATGTCATCTTACCCGGAGGATGTACAAATTATCTGGGGTGGGAGAGAGTGTGTGTGTAGGCTGGTTTCTCTCTGTATTTTTATCCCAGTGTCAAGAATCACTCTCAATGGGTTGGATACCTTTGCCTGAGTGCTTTCATTGAGTATTCCTCATACATTGCCCCAATCAGCCATTCATACACCCCCGGTACGGTTGACAAAAAATCGTTCTAATCACGTGTCTGGCGCCTGCTGATCACTGATTAGTGTCTCAATTTCGCGGTGGTGTAGGTTATATTAGAAAGGCCGCGTTGTGATAGATGGTATATTCCAGACGATTATCTACTTCCAACATCACCAGATAACCACTTGCTAACTTCCTTCCTTCCTTGCTTCCTTCTTAGGACTGCTGATGGTGATTGATGTTGGATGGTTTTTTTTGATCTTCCCCCGGGTAACTTTTTCCTCCCGACAGGGCCAATCAGTAGCGGTTGAAAAAAAATCTCTGGCATTAATATTATTATTATAGGAGGAGATCCTTTGACAAGTCTGTAATACCCATCTGTCAATAAACCCCAATACACAACTTGATCAGCAATGTTCCGTTCAGCTGCTAAAGTCTCTGGTCGTCGTCTCCTCTCGACTGCTTCTGCTCAAACCCAATACACCTCCTTGGCTAACGGTTTGACTGTTGCAACCGAAGCCAACCCTTTGGCCAAATCCTCAACCATTGGTTTGTGGATCGGTGCTGGGTCTAAGTTCGAAAACAGATACAATAATGGTGTCTCCAAATTGACTGCCAACATCTTGGCTGAATCCAGTAAGGCTGCTGCCGCCAAAGAAGGTATCCTTGTCGGAACCTCTGCCGAAAGAGAATCCATTGCCTTATACGGTACCACCTTGGCCAACAAGACCTCTGAAGTCGTTGAATTGTTGGCTCAACAACTCTCTGGCCCAGCCTTGACTGATGCCCTTCTCGCTTCTGAAAAGTCCAAGGCCATTGCCGATGCTGAGCTCATTGAAACTATTCCAAAGAAGACCGTTTTGGAACATTTGCATGCCACCGCTTTCCAAGGTACCCCATTGTCCTTGCCAATCCAAGGTACCCCAGAAGGTTTGGCCAACATCGAAGCTTCTGACATCGAATCCTTGTTGTCAAAGCACGCCGTCTCCTCCAACATTGTCGTTGTTGGTGCTGGTAACGTTGACCACGAAGAATTGGTTAACTTGGTCGAAAAGAAACTTAATATCAAGAGTGGTTTGGCCCCAACCGTCAAGCCAACCAAATTCTTGGGTTCCGACTTGAAATTCAGAGATGACACTTTGCCAAGTGCTTACATTTCTATCGCCGTCGAAGGTCCAGCTTTCAACGCCCCAGAATACTACACCGCCAAGGTTGCCTCTGAAATTTTCGGTACTTACACCAGTTCTGAACCAATTTCCGTTAGACAAGGTAGTAAATTGGCCAACATCGTCACCGAAAACCACTTGGCTCAACACTTTGAACACTTCTCCCTCGGTTACAAGGACACTGGTTTGTGGGGTTTCTACACCGAAACCAGCAATGTCAGTAACATTGATGACTTGGTCCACTTCTCTTTGAAACAATGGAACAGATTGTCCACCGAAATAACTGAAACTGAAATTGTCAGAGCCAAGAACATCTTGAAGACTAAGATCTTGCTTTCTATGAACTCTACCGTCGCCATCGCCAACGACATTGGTAATAAAGTTTTGATTAACGACAGAAGACCATCCATCGAAGAAATTTTCAGAAAGATTGACCAAGTCTCTGCTAAGAGTGTCACTGCCTGGGCCCAAGAAGCCGTCTGGGATCAAGATATCGCCGTTACTGGTACTGGTCAAATCGAAGGCTTGTTCGACTACAACAGAATCAGAAACGAAATGGCCTTATTGAGATGGTGATTCATTCATTTAAATATTACAATTGTTATGTTTTACTAATTACTTTTTCGAGGTTCATATAAATAAAGAAAAAAATGTTTATTCATTTAAAGTATTATAGTACACCCAATAAAACAAAAATTCCATTCATCGTTATAACTTGAGTTGTAGATATATTATATACGACAGATTAGAAACATATTATATTATATATTAAACATATTATTTCAGATATATATTAAAAAAAAATACGTTAGAGATATTACGAATAGATAAGATATCTTGGATAATTTTTTCTTCAAATCGTGATCGTGACTTGAAAAAAAAAAAAAAAAAAAAAGGTAAACAAAAGCTCTGCTTCTCCGTTGTATCACAAAATAAAGAATCAAAACTCTAATGTATTATATGACACATAGTACTCAAAATGAGTGAGGCAAGATATGGTATTGGTGCGGCCCTCTTGAAGAAGATGGGGTACAAAGAAGGTGAGGGCTTGGGTTCTAATAAAGAAGGTATTGTTGCACCAATCGAAGTAGATTTGAGACCAAAAGGTCTTGGGGTTGGAGGAGTCGAGGAAAACAAATCACAAAGGGATAAGATAAAGAATTCCGAAGATGCTGATGGTTCTGGATTGACCACAATAAAGAAGAATGAGGCTTATCATGTACGTGAATTTATCAATGAGATGGCGCAAGATGGTTTGAAAATCCCGGAGATTGTGGAGGAGATTGTGAAGATCAATATAAGCGATGACTTTCTTAATGATTCGGCTAAAACGGTACATAATGGTATTCTGTTTGTGAAGAAAGATATAGCGGGCGATGTTTCAAAAGATCTACGGTTGGAAGTGGAGCGAAAATTGATGGGGCTCGCGAATGAATGGAATGAAACCAACACAAAACATAAAGAATATAGCCAAGCGTACCATCAACAGCAAATAGAGCTTGGAAGTTTGGAGAAGCCTTTAAATAATTTGGAATCCTTATTGAATTCCTTGAAAGGCATCCAGGTAGGAAAAGATCTTCCGTTATCAGAAAAGATTGATTCTACTAGTGGGGCACTATTGGAGCTAGTCAAATTTGGCCAGGCATCCAATGAGAATTTGTCCCATACAGTTGATAAAAATATTATGAATTATATGATTGTTATTTTATTATATCCTTTATTGAAAAGTTTATCTGAAATGTTATGGAACGTTGAAGACCCTGAATTTTATTTTGGAGACTCAAGTGATGATAAGTTCAATTTTTTAAAATCCGAAATAATAAACTGGAAAGAAATACTCAATCCGCTTCAAGATCCTGGTAATGATGAAACTTCCTTGAGTCTATTGGACTCTATGATTTCTGACGAGCTATATCCAAAGATAACGGAATTTTTGGAACTCAAATGGGAAAAAGAGTCCTGGAATCTCTTATTACTAAAATTCCTTGAGGACTTAAAGGATATTTTACATGAAAGATTCTTCAATTATATATTAGTCAGTCAGATCAAATCAAGGTTACTAGAAACTATCAAACTACTACGACCTACTTTTGTTGTGAAGAGCATTGCTTCTGAGAATTTCTTTATTGAAACAAAGAAATCCTCTTCCCCAATTCAACAACAACCATTTTTTGAGTTTTGGTATAATTTTTTACCCCAAATAATAAGGAATGACTTGGTAAAGTCTTTGTCGGAAATAAATTTCAGATACCTTTCGTCAATTGATATTACTGATTTGGAGAAAAATATTATAAAGAAATCCGGAAGATCTATTAAAAAGGATGATATGTTCATAGAATATGAAATTGAATTCTCATACTTAGATGAACTCAATCATTATTTAGAGAATAAAAAAGATAAAGTGGTTATATCCTCATTCTTGACACATTTTCTTGAAGAATCAAAGAAAAACTACCGAGTTTCTACGGTTTCTCCTGATTATTCTTTTTTCAGAATTCTATTTGGTTTGAGAAAATATTTACTATCCACTAACAACACTGACAATTATGATATTATCATTTCTGATTTCTTCATACAAGGGAAGTTAAAAGCAAGGCTTTTGGAATTGTTGGAGGATGTTTTTGTACTGAAAAGGCTGTTTGATATCGCCGTATGGTTTCAATCTTGGTATTCATTCATTTTTCACTATCTTGAGCGGTTATCAAAGCCTGAAGGTGATTTTACTCTTCCTAATTCTATTCAAAATGCCTTTATTGTGCTATTGGATATAATCAATCGATGTGTTGACTCGTTTTCTAATGATAAGCATAATCTCGAAATTAATTCCTTCTTAAAATCCATTGAGTGTCAAATTAACATTGAGCATATCTTAAATAAATTGCGTTCTACAAGTTCCATTGATGAATCGAAAAAAACTACTAGTAATGTTAAAGGCATTTCAACAGGGGATCTCAAAACGACATTCAGGGACGTTGTTGAGGACTACTTGAATCGCCATAATATGATTTTCAAACCGCAAAGCAGACCTCATCCAGCTTTAGGGTGTCCATTATACAAAATTGTGAAGATGAATAACGACACCATTCCAACTGGTGATGGCTACATGTGTTATTTGAAAGATGATGTTCTTTTCTTGCAAGTTCTAAAACAAGGTGCATACAGGCCAGTTGGAATAAGTGATTTGGAAGATCGCATCAACAGTTTTACATAAATGAAAAGAAAAGCAGCTAAGATTCTAGAGTGAACATTATTCTCATCCCTATTTTCAGTTCTTATTTGTACAATATATACATGTTGGGGGGTTCTTCTATTCTAAGATAACAAAGAAGGTGCAAATCAAAAAAAAATTTCAAGTAAGAACAAATTCCTCTTTTTTTTTAGTAAATAAGCGATGAAGATTATAGTGTTATTGGTAACCTACTCTTCGGCGATAGCAGTAATGACTGAAGCATCTTCTTGATAGTCTGTAGCTGGAGTAGTTTCTTCAGAAGTGTTTTCTGGTTCTTCAGCAGCGATTGGAGATGATTCTTCGGTAACTGGTTCTTCAGTAGCTGGAGTGGCGACTGGTTCTTCAATAGCCGGCGCAGCAGCTGGGGTGGTGATTGGTTCTTCAGTAGCTGGAGCAGCAGCTGGGGTGGTGATTGGTTCTTCAGTAGCTGGAGCAGCAGCTGGGGTGGTGATTGGTTCTTCAGTTGCTGGAGCAGGAGTAGATTCTTCGGCAATAGGAACTTCATCTTCTCTCAATTCTTCAGCGTAGACTTCTGGGTATTTTCTGAAACAGTCTTGCATATGCTTGAATTTTTCAATACAGTCGATTCCTTTTGGTTCGGCTTCGGAGTACACAAAGCACGAAAAGGCTTCTTTGAATTCTTCCCCACAAGGACCATTGGCCATACCTCCGAGACATGGACAGTCCCAGTTGATTTCCCCAGTTTCTGGGTTATAAGCAGCGGCTTGTTCTTGAGGTTCTTCGGAGTTATCTTCGTTGACCGTTTGTGATTCTTCAGAAACTTCGGTTTTTTCTTCTTCGCTAGATGGATTTGGTTCTTCAGCCGCCTTGGAATCGTCAGCTTCCTTTTTGGCCTGATGCGCAAATTCTAAATTTCAAATTAGTAATCAATGTCCGAACCATAAAAACAAAAAAAGATACACATGGCACATTACATACCGCTCAAGGATTTATGGGTATATGAAGTAATTTTCAATCTATCGTGATAACAGAAGGCTAAACCCCCGATGATGGAAAGAGGAAACAATAATGCGGCAGGATCAAAGGATGAGGATGATTTTTTGGATTGATGACTGGAGTTGAATCTTTTGGCGGCAGAGCGAAGCCCAAGTCTCTTGTTCACAAGGGATCTTCTAGAGACTGCACGAGCAGATGAGTTAAAAACGGTTCTTTGCATCATTTTAAACGATGGTTTATATAGATAGATAGATAGATATAAGTGTTACAAAGACAAGAGACGGTGTGAAATTTGTTAAAAAATTATGAAATTTTTGGTAAAGAAAAAAAAAAAAAAAAATCTGTAGGCCTCGATACTGCGCGCGGGCTGCAAACCTCAGGTGCCAATTATTTTGGTATTTTACATGTTTATATAATAACAATATGATATTATGGTGATGGTTTTTTGTTGTTCTTCGTTTTCTGTTGCTGTTCGTTTTTTCCGGTGTTAAAGATTATATCTAAGTGATTCAATCTGTGTTACTACTCTGGTGTACAGGTCGTTGTTGGCAAAAAAAATTTAAATAGCGTAAGCGAAATACTTCCTATGAAAGGTAACATTCACGTAGACAAACTCACTTCTTCTAAAAGATCCTGTATGATAATTATACTAGTCCATCTAGCAATTGTTATGCTCCCTATAATTTATGCTTGATTCTTGTGGTAAGATATCTAACATAGTGTACATGAAATATGGGCAAAAATTGCAATTTCAGTGCAATCAGAGGTCTCCTTTTCTGAATTTGCCCATTATAATCATTATTTAGTTTCATTTCCCATTTTTTTTTCTTGTTTAATAGTTATGAAAATTTAGAGACTCTTTTTTTTTTCTTTTGAAGGATTTATCGTTTTTATTTCATGTTCTTGGTTGTTTTACTTTTTTTTAAGAATCTGTAAACTTCAGATCAGAATATACTCTCTTGAATAATACACAGGATAGATAGACATATAAATAAAAACATTTCCTCTTGAGAAACTACCAAAAAATATTTAAAATTCGATTTTGTGCTAAAAACTTGAAGTAATAATTATTGTAAATATGTATTCTCTGCTTCCAAATATTTTCTAAACAGGGAGATATCTTAGACCTGATACTCTCTTTCTTTGTACCACCATTAAATATGGTGATACTGTTTCTGTTATTCCTAGACCAAGTCGATTACCTAATCCTTCACTGGATGAGGTGAACAGGCTGACACTCTTAAGGCCAGAAATAGACAAGAGAAAATCTAAATTAGATGCTGCCCACAAAACTCTAATGCTACATGGTTACAGAGTGCTGCGAAGGAATTTCATTTCACCACAGACTCATTTAAACGGTGCGGATTCCGTCTGTTGGGGGACTTGACAGATGGGGAAGCAATCACTGCCGAATATAGGGCAGAACATGAAGATATCAACCGTCAGAAAAGATCAAGAGATTCTTCCGATGACAAACCAAGAATGTTCGGCACTTTGACAACTCACTTCCAAAGAGGTGGAAGAAGAGATAGTACAACAGGAAACTCTGGGGGTCCAAGTACACCCAGAGGGACTTTAAGCAGGAAACTAGCTTGTTGGAATCTAGATTATATTCGATGTTAGATTCGAAGTTTGCTTCTATTGCAATCATTCATGAGGGAAAGGCGTGAATGATTTTTAGTGTATAGTTCAACCAGTTTATAGTAATTTATAAATTAAGGTAAGAAATATATAGTGACTATGTCGAGTTCGTATTTTTTTTTAAAAAAAGAAAGGAAACCTTGAATTAAAGTCCGCTATCTTACACCCAAATCGTGTGCGGATTTTATTTATTTATCTAATGATATTTTACAGCACTCCTGGATAAACGAAAAGTCATGATCAAATTTGAAACCTCGCTACGCGCTTAAGACGCGTCAATTTTTTTTTGGAGGAGAGAAATCACTACAGTCAAATAATATATCAGGATAAATCAATTATTTCAGTTAAAAAAAATTTTAAAATTAAAGCACTATATTTTATAAATTATAAATATTCATTTCTGTTAGGAAAAAAAAAAAACAAGCAAACAAACTGTATTCGATAAAGCAAGAGCAATTTATCTAGTTAAAAGTTACCATGCTAAACCATCAAAATAATGAGCAAAACTCAGTATTCTGTGTTTCTAGTAAATTTGTTACCAATAAATTTCTTTTTAGAATAAACTGGTTCCTTTTTCAAATAGTCTAGTGGTTTCAATTTTGGCCAGTCAACAACCTGTAAACCATTAGAAAACATGTAAATGGCAGAAAACAACATCCCAACAACAGCGATTGCAGCTAAAACGTGTTGCTTTGCTTGCAATCCATAAACAAGGGATTTTAAGAATAAAGCAATGAGCAAAAAAATAAAAAACAAAAATAATTTCAAAATATATCGGAATTGATACAATCTATTGTCAGTGAATGGTGAGTACGGGACTTTAGCAGGAACAAACTCGCCTAAAATCAAATCAAAAGAATCTTGTCTAGCACCATCTTTGTAGTTGTTTTTAACATAACGAGTCAATGAGTTGTTCAAGTCATTTAACGCCCCCTTTCTAGTTCTTTTACCTGTTCTGGTGAAGTCAGTCTTCAAAGCACCGGTACCAGAGTAGACAGAACTGACGGCATCAGCATTATCAGCCCAAAAGTTTTGGAACTCCAAATTGAAAGTTTTGTTGGATTCCCATTTTTCTCCTTCCTTAAGGAGATTTAATTGTTCCAATTGACTTTGTAAGAAGTAACGACCCAATGTGGATTGAACAACGTTGGTTCTATCAAGACAGTCCATGCAATTGGTTCTAACGACATGCAGTTGCTCTCTTAATGTGGTAACGCCATCTTTGTCAATGGTGCCAAAAAAGTGATCATTGCGCTTCATGCCAAGGTCTTTAAGTCTATCAATCAACAAGTTAACTCTGTGCCATTGCATTTTACGGCATTCGTGGTGGAAATCAAAGTAAATGTAGTTGAGTCTATCATTATCAAGTTTTTCAACAATGTTCTCATACGCTTTTTTAACTGGCAATTCGTAACCTTTTTGATTAACGAGATTGACCAAATAATTATCACCGTATAATGACACTTGTTCATCAAAATGGAGGGTTGCCGCTTCAACTGGGGAGGTTTTAGAAATTGCTAACTTTGGCTTGTATTTCAAGTTATTAATTTCCGACCAGTACACAGGAACTGACCCTCTGGTTTGCAAGTAACTTTGCACAGTGTTCTTGTACATCAAGAGTTGTTCAGTTTCGTTGTTATTGGCGACATTACCTTTAGCATCAATACCACGACGGAAATAACGAGTACCTGCTCTAAACTTATTTCTTCTGGTGACCAAGGCAAAGGAAACATCAGAGCCATTAACATTTTCTTGAAGAACCTTAGCGTACCCCGATATCACTGGGGTGATAAAAGCACCGTAATTCTTATCTTTGGCGTACTCGTTGAGCAAATCCTTGTTCAAAAATTCGTTCCAAAAGAAACGCTTGTCCAAAGAGCCAATGGTGACGGTCAAGTTCTTGACGAAGTTGCGTTGCATGGAGTTAGTCAAGTCATAAGTAGGGGAGTAATACAAGTTACTGCTATCTAATTGGAATCTGATCAAGTCAAGATACGCATGTTCATCTTTATTGTAAGTAGAGTAGTTACCCAATGGAACAACAGAGGTGCTGACCACTTTGAAGATCTCATTATCCAAGATCTTTCCCACAGATTCGGATCTGTTGATGGATATAAGGTATTTCCCAACCTTCAATTCGATTAACCCCAAAATCCCATCAATTTCTTGACATTTGGACCCATCAAGCGATTTACCAGTGACGATCGTCACTTCAGACTCAGAGACTTGAAGAACGCGGTCTCCTTGCTTAAGGAGGATCCCTTCAGAAGAACTGGTCAACAACATGCTGTTAGTTGTATTCTACCAGAATGTTGACTGTTTATAATGGTAAAAGTGGCATTGTGGTACTGAATTATTTTGTGTGTTGGTGGCAGGAACTCCAAAAGAGAGGGTAAATGTCACCAGCAGTAGGAAATTAACAACTCACAATTTTAATACGAAAATCATTGGAAAATTCAACGTCTGTATATCTGGTTACTCTCCAAATAATATCAACAATATATTTTTAAAATGGTAGGTATCTTATTATATTTCTACTTAAATGTGATTTCCGGGGATATTTTTTTTCCCATGGGATTCGCAATTTGTGAATGAATGTCGTTGACTAACGATTGATCCAGGACTTTGAAGCCAGCGAAGACGTTAACGGGGTTCGTCTCTCTTGGAATATCATTCCAAACACCAGTGGGAGTCTGAAATCAACCATCGTGCCAATCGGTGCTTTATACACTCCATTGAAGCAAAAAGAAGATTTGGCTATTGTTGAACACGACCCAATCCGTTGTAATGCCAATTGTAAAGCGGTATTGAACCCTTTTTGTCAAATTGATTTAAGAGCTAAAATATGGATTTGTCCATTCTGTTTGGCCAGAAACGCTTTGCCAACCCAATATCAGAACATCAATGTTGATTTCTTACCAACTGAATTGAAACCAGAATCATCTACTGTCGAATATATCTCTTTGAGACCCGTGCAAAACCCTCCAATCTTTTTTTTCGTCATTGATCTCTGTCAAGATGAAGATAACTTGGCTGCTTTGAAAGATACTTTGATCATTTCTTTGTCTGTCATGCCACCAAACGCGTTGGTCGGCGTCATCACCTACGGTACCATGGTTCAAGTTCATGATTTGGGTTACGAAACTTGTCCAAAATCGTACGTCTTCAGAGGTGATAAAGAATATCCTTTGAAAACTTTGAACGAAATGTTATCTGGTGCGTCTCCAGACAAGAGCTCATTATCTAGATTCTTTTTGCCATTGCAAGAAGTGGAATTCCAATTGAGTAACTTATTTGAAAACTTGAAGAAAGACCCATGGCCAGTTGCTTCTAACAGAAGACCAATTAGATCCACCGGTGCTGCAGTTTCTATTGCTGCCACTTTATTACAAGCAAGTTTCAGCGGGTTTGGGGCCAGAATTATGCTATTCAGTGCCGGTCCAGGAACTTTGGCTCCAGGTATGGTTGTCGGTCCAGAATTGAAAGAACCAATCAGATCTCACAACGATATCGATAAAGAAAGTGCCAAACATTACAAAAAATCCAAGAAGTTCTACGATGGCTTGGCGGAAAGAATTTCTGCCAATGGTCACTGTGTTGATATCTTTGGTTGTTGTTACGATCAAATTGGTATGTCAGAAATGCAATCATTATCTAACGTCACCGGTGGTGCGTTGGTTTTATCAGATGCCTTTACCACTTTTATCTTCAAACAATCTTTCTTGAGATTGTTCGATAAGGACGAGGAAGGATATATGAAGATGGGTTTCAACGCCACTTTTGAAGTCAAGACATCCAACGAATTGAAGATTTCTGGTTTGATTGGTCATGCCACCTCTTTGAAAACATCTGGCCCTCGTATTGCTGATGCAGAAATTGGTATTGGTGGTACCAGTGCCTGGAAGTTATGTTCTGTGACTCCAAACCACACTTACGCTGTTTATTTCGAATCTAATAATACCGGCCACGGTAACACCGGTTATGATGCTGCGTACACCCAATTCATCACATCTTATCAACATGGTAGTGGGACATATAGAACCAGAGTCACCACAATTAGAAGCCCATTGTCTTCTAATGGTGAACAAGGAATCACCGAATCATTTGATCAAGAAGCCGCTGCGGTTTTGATGTCGAGAATTGCGGTTTTCAAAGCCGAGCACGATGATGGTGCCGACGTCTTAAGATGGATCGATAGAATGTTGATTAGATTATGTCAAAGATTCGGTGATTATCAAAAGGATAACGCTGAGTCTTTTAGATTATCCCCGCAATTCTCATTGTACCCACAATTTATGTTTTATTTGAGAAGATCACAATTCTTGCAAGTTTTCAACAACTCCCCTGATGAAACCGCTTTCTACAGACACGTTTTGACCAGAGAAGACACCACCAACTCGTTGATCATGATTCAGCCAACCTTGACCTCATTCTCAATGCAAGACGAACCAGAGCCAGTGTTGTTGGACTCGGTTTCTGTCAAACCAGACAGAATCTTGTTGTTGGATACTTTCTTCCATATCTTGATTTACCGTGGGGAAACCATCGCAGCATGGTATAAGGCAGGGTACCAAGAAAACCCAGAATATGAGGACTTCAAGAGCTTCTTGGAAGACCCAAAGGCCGAAGCCGCCGAGCTTTTGGTCGACAGATTCCCATTGCCAAGATTCATCGATACCGAAGCTGGTGGGTCTCAAGCCAGATTCTTGTTTTCTAGATTGAATCCTTCCAACACTTACCAACAACAAGATGCCTTCAGTGTCGGTGCCGGTAGTGCTGTTGTTTTGACTGATGATGTTAGTTTACAAACCTTCATGGCTCATTTACAAAAATTGGCGGTCAGTGGTACTTCTTAATTATAAAATCGGAAATAAAGATGGCAAGCTAATTAAGAAAGAAAGAAAAAGTATTGGGTATATATACTATTCTCCGTTAATTTTATTATGTTATTATATTTTTTTTCTTTTGGTTTAGTAAGCCTTCTTCGATTTAAAGTTATATTTGGTTGTGCCTTTTCTTTCCCTATCAGTTTTATGAAAAGAAAGCACACAATGTTTAAATATTTTACAAAATCAAATATGATCCTTGGTAAAAGTGAGATGTGGTAAACTATAATTGAATTTTTTTTTGATGAGATGTATAAATAAAATAAATAAATAATATATATAGAGAGAAAAAAACACAAAGTTATAATAACAGTCAATAAAGTAAAATTATTTTAGAGCTCTGTATTTCTATATCTACTTTCCTTTCAGTTTTTTGGATTTTGTTGTTTAGCTTCTTTGGGATCATTATCCCATCCGTTGATTTCCACTCCTTTCAACACAATTTGACTAAAGAACTCCAAAAGGATAATGAACAAACTTGCCAAAATTGCAATACAATAATTGGAGATCGTCATACCAATGTCCAACCAACTACCTTCAGTCTTCACCAAAAAGAAAAAGTTCAAAGACAATAAATCACTAATACTAATGATCAATGTGGAAATGGTAAAAGTCTTGATATCTAAACAAACATTCAATATACCAAGCCCAGCAGAGAGCAACACGTATGGAACAATCAATTTGATCATCAATAAAGCGCCCATTGAGAAAGGATCAAACACAGGAATTAGTCTATAAACACTTTCAAGGGAAAATGAGGAAATGGATGCAATATTACCGGTACCAAAGAAGGCAATTTGCGCCAAGAAGAAACCAATCACTGAGATTCTTAAAATTTGAAGCCAATTTTCACCATTGCTAGCCTTATCCTTCTTTGCAAGTGATAGTTCATTGTTCTTCTTGTAATTGGTCTCGATTTCAATCCATTGTAAAATGAGAACCGAATAACCAACATAGAACAATAGCTCGAAAGAAATTGTCAAAATCAAGAAAAGTGGGGCAAAAGTGAGGAAAATGATCAATAATCTCAATTTGAGATCCTTGTTTGGTTTGTAAGAATGTAAGAGTGGCATAAAGAACAAAGAAATAACAACAACCAACCATCCCAACACTTGGGAAAACAATGGTAAACCGGTTCTTGCCTGCAAGGATCTGATAGAAATATTTGTGGCAATGAATGAACCAATAATTAAAAGGATCTGACCCCCTAATAATGATTTAGTGTATGAATGCAATTCGTTTTTGGTACCCAAGTTCATTTTATTGATCTTATAAAAGCCAACAACACAAACAATAATCAATAACACAGCAGCAGCATTTATTTCCAATAGGCTTTCAGTTTTGATGGCATCAGACCATGTGAAACCAGTCATGTATAAACAATTAATGGCGAACAGGAGAGATTGCAAGAACGAGCTGCCACCAATGGCAAAAGGATAAATAGATAAAACAACAAACAACAAGGAGAAGATCTTTCTATTGAAAAACCCGTAAGTAATACACTCAAAGATTCCCACAATAGACACAAAGTACAAACCTCTTTTGACAATACTTGTGTTCGCAAAAAAATGTTGAACCCCATCAACCAAAATTCTTCTTTTGGAAAAGAGTTGTTGCCAGAAAAATACTGGGAAAGAGCCATAAATATAATACATTACCGGTGATTTTTGAATATAGAACAAAGTATTAAGACCTGTACCAGCTGCATAAAATAAGATTAAAGCGGAGTATGAAGATTTTATATCGCCATGGTCCGAATTTTCACTGTAGTGTAATACATACAAGTTAAGGAACACCATGAATGAGTAAAGAATCCACCCAAGGAAACCTAATGTGACAACTGATCTCAATAACTGCCAATTATAGGTTTGCAAGTAGGTCAAACCTTCAAGACTCATCGTCATCAATTCTTCAGCAATCTTGATACCTTGCAACTCGAAATCCAAGCTCAGGTTTTCGTCTTCAGTATTAGCAATCTTTTCTATCAATTCTTCAATTTCTTGTTGATATTTTTTGATTGGCTTTTCTTGAAAATGCTTAAAATGTTTAAAATTGAATTGAGAATTACTGACTTCAAATTCTTTTACCAAATATTGTTCAACAAAGCCCAAAGCATTATTATATAACGCTTTCAATTTTGTAAGATTATCAGTGTCGATATAATCCAAAGGTAACTTACCAACAGAGTTCGAAGCATAATTGATACCGACCAAGTATGACATAAGAGAGGCAATATCTGCTTGTTTGACATCATTTCTTTTGACGTGATCCAAGTCCCAATCGGCAGTATCACTAATTCCAGTAGACTCCTCGACTTCGACAAACTTTGGCAAATTATAATCAATAATTGGTTTATTCACACCTTTGCCAAAAGCAATTAAAGGAGTTCTAGTGTTATTAGGATGGCCATCACCATGGGATCCTAAGGCTGACATACCATGATCGGCGGTGAAAATAAAAGCGGTTTCTTTATCACCAAAGAATTCTTCAACTTTTGGAACCAATTCGCTAACCTTTTTATCGATATATTCAACGTTGTCATAATATTCCTTGGAATAAGGTCTGTAACTATGGCCAGCAGTGTCACAACCCAATAAATGCAAAAAGAAAATCACTTGGTCCTGACGGATTTCTTGGTTTAATGTTTCATTAATGGTGGAATTGTAGAAAAGTTCGTCTAAGTGTTTGAAAACAAAAGCATCTAATTCGATTGATGATTTGGTGAAATCTTCGAATTCGTGCCCATACATCCAAGTATCTATTCTGTTGGAATCAGAGGCCCCTTGGGCAAACATTGGCAAGATATCTGGTGACCCGAAAGAGTAGGTATGGGACGACTGGTTTAAAACCGAGTCAAAGTCCACTGGGTTTTCCTTCCATCCCTTGGTAACAGCACTAACATCCTCGTAAAACCCAGCGATCATGGCCACATGGCCCGGTCTTGATTCAGTAGGCATTCTGGTATGAGAAACCCCATAAGTCCCATTATTCAAAACGATAGACCGAAGATAAGGGGCCAAGAATCGTGGTTCCTCGGTGCTATTATATGCGATTTTGGCGAAGGTGGTGTCAGCTCTTAACCCATCCCCAACAATCAAGAACAATCTTTTGGCAGGGGGCTTGGCAATGCTTTTATATTGACCCATCCCATGAACCAAGGGCGAGACAAAGTAAATGTCAAAGATGGACCATAAGTAGGTGAGATGGAAGGCAATACCCACCACAATTAACACCAATCTACCAGCTTTCATAACGTACAACCTAGGGAGAGACACTCTGCTCGATCAATAAGCGCTGCATTTTTGTTTTTTATTTTCATTTTATTTTTTTTATTTTTTTTTTTTTTTTTGGCGGATGAAAAATCGTGTCTTTACCAGAGCACTGGATCCACGGACGCTAATAGACATGGATTAAAAAAAAGCACCCCGTGTATTCTCACTTTAGGATTGTTGAAATAGCCATTGCAAAAAAGAGAAAAGAGCGAGAGAGAGAGAGAGAAATGTCTGATTATCCGGAAACAGTGATCCTCCCCACCGAGCAATCGAAAAAGACTTTTGAGCAGTTCTTGACCAAAATTCCTGACATCATCAAAGATGCCGATTATGATGAATTATACGGATACCAGTTAAATCCCGAAGGCAAGAGTTACAACGCGCCAGTGGCCCAAGCTTTGTTATTCAAGTATTTTAAGGCGAATGATTATAAGTTGACAGAATCTATTGCCCAATTGACAGCGAGCTTGAAGTGGAGAAAAGAATTCAAACCATTGAAAGCTGCCTATTACGAAACACACGATGAAAAGTACAAAAATATCGGATATTTGACCTACAAGGATGAAAGCCCAGCCAACCTCAAGGTGATCACTTGGAACTTGTATGGTTTGACTTCTCCAGATGTCAAGAATGCCAAAGATTACTTTAAAGACCTCGACGGGTTCGTGAGATGGAGAATTGGATTGATGGAACAGGCGATTGGGTTGTTGGATTTCACCAATAAGGAAAACAACTATGTTGCTCAAATCCACGATTATTCTGGGGTCAGCTTCTTGTCTTCAGACAGTTCTGTTAAGAAAATTGGGAAAAAGGTGGTTCAACTTTTCCAAGCCCATTATCCTGAGTTTCTCTCCGCCAAATATTTCCTCAATTTTCCATTTGTCTTGGCTTGGATATACAACTTTATTGTGAAGAACTGGTTCATTTCTGCAGAAACCGTAAAGAAGTTCCATATCTTACACAGCGGCAAAGACTTGGTCAAAGAGTTCAAAGTACCCGGATTACCAAAAAAATATGGTGGGAACGGTGGTGATTTAAAGAGTCAAAATTATGACGTCAAACTAATTAAGTTATCTCCATATACTGAAGAAATCTTGAAGCGAAACTTTGAAAATGAAGCAGATGATGTGGATTAATTGCTCGAGAGAGAGAGAGTGCGTGCTAGTGGTTGTGAATCTTCACTTAGATTTTTATTAGAAAAAACCAAAATATATAGGTTTAATTTCAAAGTTCATTTTGTTTTGTCATCAAGCTTCAAATTAAAATTTGACTTGGTGGGATGTAGTCACCAGCTAAAAAAAAAAGAGTGGTAGTTGGTGACTATGGTGATCTCTAGGATCTGGTTTCACCGTGGCTGCTGAAGTTTGTCATCTTTTGCTTAAATTAAATTATTAAAAAAGGTTGGGTGTGCTTGTTTTATAATGCTTTTTTTTCTTTTATTGTTTGAAGAATATAGGTCCAGTAACTAAACTCTTTTGAATGATCATTTTACGATTGCTGGGTGGCCCAAGATCGTATGTCCTCAATTTTTTAATAAAACTGTGTCTCAGCGAGTTATCATACGCACCACGTATAGCTTCCCATGTGCTAATTAGTGTAAAAAGGGGGTGTGACAACCCCCTCTCCAGATTCTGAGAAAAGACAGACTTGTATTGTTTAACTATTATCTTTTTTCTTTTAGTGGGACTTGAAACATTACGCAATATGTGATGCACATGGCCCCCTTGATGATAACTTCTAGATGCTTGACCAGGCGTTTACAGTCAAATTCTTGTTATCACTACTCTTAAGGACTTCGACTTTAGAACTACCAGTAATAAGAAATATGAATGGTATTTCTATTATTGATATCATTAACATGCTTCCTCTATCGATAACTGCCAGCGACTTGTGGTGGCATTTTTTAATAGAGGGAAGTGAATGTTTTTTTAGCGTGGGCTGCGAAGTGAGTATTTTAGACAATAGCCCAAACACATCAGCATAGAATTCCGTGTTGATCTCATAAACGACATAACAACTAATGCGAATTCAACAAAGAGGAAAGGCAAGAACGAAGTTTTTGCGACGGGCAGAGCAAAAAAATAACGTTAGTGTTGCAAGGATCTGCTATCTGACAATTTCAATAAAGCAAAAATTCCTTAGAATATATTTCTCCCAACGCTTTGCACCCCCATTCAACAATAGGCGTATCCAAAAAAAATTTTTGTTGTTCCAATTGCTAAGCAGGCTTATTTATTGCCGTGTGTCTCTGGAAAAATTGCCAAAGATTTCACTAAGTACCCTTTGAGATACAGTGTTGGCACCGATAGCGCAAGAAGCATATAAGATATGAATATATGATATATATATATATATATATATATATATGATACATACATCAAAATAAAAGAATAATAATAATATCACAGCGCCAGCCAAAGAAACCGAGTTGTGCAAAATCTAATCACACGCACACCCCCTGATATTTCTAGACGCACTTTTTCACAGACTACCTAAGATAATTTTGGATTGGCAGTAACAACAAAATGTGGAACAACAATAACAACAATAATAGCTACATTGTAATAAACATTGAAACCAGCTTTCCAATATTCTGCGGCTGCAAAATAAACAAAACTTGTGCAAAACTTGTATATTGGGTTGATAGTTCTTTTAGATCTAAAATCTCTTGCTTTTATTTTTGAGGTTTAATCTTTATCAACTAATCCTTGTCAAGGACAAGCTAGTACACATTAATTAAAAAAATCACCTCACTTCTCTAAGCCTCGATTATGTGAAATTACCATCCTTTTGGTGTATTAATACCATCTACATCAAGTATGTTGTATGGTGTGGCTATTTAAAACCATGTGTACAAGGGTCGAAAGATAAAGAAAAATTATCTCGTATAAGCTTCAGGAGTCTCATGGCTACATATAGCAACATGTACTGTTCTGGACAACACAAGTAGGTTTGTGTATGCAGGCTTGAAAACGCTAAGAAATTAGGAAGGGACTAAAAGAAAATCTATTGACGGTCTCTCGTCTATCTTAGACACTACTGCCACTAAACTTGGTTTTACTTGTTTACTGTTTCACATATTTAGCTCTAAACACTGAGACAGGCAGCTGACGTGGAAATGTTTATTATGTCAACAAGGAAATTTGTTTGTTAATTTTTTATCATGTCATTTGTTTAATCATCTCTTGCTGTGTACTCACAAACAAAATTTTGTAAGTTGCCCGGTCGCACTCAATTTACTTTGAAAGGTCCACTAATAATTACATCATTGGAATGGAGCAAACTTTGATAGGAAACAATATATAAGTTAAGTGAGTGTACACTCCGGATGCCCTTTTTTTGTGTTCCAAGTTGAAAAGAATGTCAGAATGTTAGATCTGTTTTAGGTTAGACAGTTGTCATAGAAATGTTAATTCTATAATAAGAAGATGAACAATTTATGTATACAAACTAAAAAAAATTAGAGGAGTTTCTCTGTTTCAAAAAAAAGAAAGAAATCCCGATTTAGATTGTGTCTTCTTAGAATGTGATACATCTACTTTAACCAATGGTCACCTCATCAGACTTCCCTTATTGAAAATCAAAGCTTTCATTAACAACAAGATACATTTCACTGTCGTTGATGAATCAATTTTTGAACAACATTTGCGCAAGAGACATCACATTCTCGATTAATACTGTTCCCAGAAGTTAAAAGTAGCTATCGGCGATCAGTAATAACTGCCCCAGCAACAAAAAGCCCATAACAATGCAACTCTACGCAAATCTCGAAAAGCAATGTAGGGACCTTTGCTTGGATACACATGATGACCATTGAATAAATAAGCCTAATTTTGTTGGTTCAATTTATACGAAACCCTGGCTAATAATCATAAAGATCGAATGATATTTCTTATTCCTAGGAAAAAAAAAACACAAATTAATTACTAATTTAATTTATAATAAAATTATTGGTCAAGGGTGTATTATTTTCTTGTGATTCATTTTTTTTTATACATGAGAACATAATGCTTCTAGCAGTTATGAGAAGCTCCCTCTACTTGTATAGTATTATACCAATTAATATGGAATTTCTTAATGCGGCGATTAGATATAACATAATACAAGCTATACATCCATATATGCATCAAATATAATAATAAAAAAAACAGTCCCAGCAATACAATCTTATTTTTTTGCCATCCTTCTCATACATCAGCACCCCCATATCCACGGTGATCAAAAAAAATTACAATTATTCTATGCATGCATTGAAAAACAGCATGTACATGTAAAACATGCACTTTACATCAACACAAAATTATCCATAGCGCACATACCACATGTCAATGTTCTGTATGTCTCTGTACCAAGAAGCGCAGAGATGTACCGACTCCACTGCGACATTGACGCTGGATTTTGCATGGAAAGCATCGGCTTAGTCAAACCTTAACAGAAAAACGCTTGATTTATTGTTTTGGTTTTTCATATATATATATATATATATATGACTGGCATCCCCTTCAAATGTCTTGGATCCTTGAAACCGTCGCTTGTTGTGAAGTTTTCCATCACTTTGTTATCTTAATATTATACCATCATGAACTCCAAGATTGTATTGCCTCCTTTATCGTCAGTTGTTAGTGAACCACTTCATCACTGCCAAGATAATCTGATAATAAAAGTCAAGCTCCCAGGAGTAGCCCACTTGATGAATGACGGCTGTAGCAATAACAATAACACTACACGTTTTCATCATCAATCGAGATCTGTGTCTATGGGTTACATTCCAACATTATCCTCTTCTTTATCTTCAACATTCAATAATAATTTCACAACATCAAAAAATGAGCAGCCCCCTTCATCAGGACTTTACTCTCCAATCACTAGTGCCAACACCAGTCCAATGACTGCTTCTCATCCGCACAACGGATCACGAATTAGAGCGAGATCTCAGCCTGTTTGCTTCACCACACCAATGCCATACGTTGTTACAGAAGCCTCTGCCTCTTTCTCATTCCCAGCCCAACCTCAAACACCCCCATATTTACCCCCATCACCAGTGTATCAATACCCTTCTCCTACCTTACAATCACAATATCCACAATTTCCTGTGCCACAGCAGCAGCAGCAGCAGCTACAACAACAACAATCTTACACAGCTTGCCAACCTCCGGTATATTATCAACTCCAATCTTCAGGACCAACTTCTACGAATAATAAGGTTGTAGTGGAAAAACAAGCTCTGGCTTGGTCACCTCAGGATGATAAGTTGCTTAGGTTCTTGAAAGAGGAGCGGAAATTGGGTTGGAGAGATGTTGCTACTCATTTCCCCAGAAGAACTCCTAATGCCTGCCAATTCCGCTGGAGAAGAATTGTCAATGCTTCTGGTTCAAACTCCGGAATTTTGAAGAAAAATCAAGGGAAATTCCAAAGCAAAAAAAGTTCAGTCAATTATTTATTGAACGGTAAATGATTTTTCTTGATACTTACGAAGCTAATGACATATATTCATTTTTCTTTTTCTTTTTCTTTTTCTTTATTGCTGATGGTGCTTATGCTTTTTTCTTTTTATTATTACTTTGGATGATAGAATTCTCTCTACTCCACCCAATCATCTCCAAGTTTCAACATGTCCACTGTGCTCTATTCTATTATGCTTTTTTTTTTTTTTTTGCTAACATGTTTTCCTTTTCTTGGGCTTTTTGTTTCTTCTGGCTGGTTAGAAAGTTTTAGTTTAAAATTTTATTTGATTCTTAATGTTAATGCAGATCTGTTTATTATTCAAAAATATTTTGCACATTTTTTTTGTTATTGTAATTTCCGGCCTATACCCTTCCAATTATCACGGTAATAACCTTTTGCATTGGAGGTTTTTCGAAGGAGATGTTACTGGTAATTAATAATTGGATTATCAGCTTATTTTTTCTTTTTTTTTTCACTTCAATTAAATTTAAGATTTTCAGTCTTCGAGGGATCGCGCGATTGCGTTACAGGGATTGCAGTGTTTGTGGTGGGAGAACAGATATCCTTCACACACTCAGGGCGCCCTGCACGAAACCTGACAACAACCATAATATTTCATTTTGTGTATACTGAAAAAAAAAAATCGAGAATAAGATATAAGCGGCTCTTACTGTTGGTAAGTTCCCTTGTTTTTTTGTCATGACTACCATCATGTACCCGATTTCTCGTGACTTCAGCAGGATCCATCAAAAAAGATTTGACATTGATTTTCATAATAAAGATCGTTTCAGTATCCTTGTAATTACAATTCTGTCAAGATACAAAACAAACAAACAAACAGGCACTCACTCCTTTCAAAATAATTGTAATCATTAACAACAATGATGTTCAGTCTTGTCCAAGAGATATATTATAATAGAATTATAATCCTAGATAATAACTATTTGCTCACTCTCAAGACATTAATTTCATCTCGGCTTAAATATTTGCACATTCCGCAAAGTGCATGATATCTTAGGGATCTCAAAGGTCCGTTTTTTTTTTTTTTTTTTTTACTTGGTCCAAGTGGCACGATGAAAACTTAGTGATAATAAATAGGGTGTTCAGCATTCAGAGTGCCAAGAGCAAGAGGCCTTAATAAGTCGGAAAAGTAAATATGCCCGCCTGATATTGGTCGGAACTCCTTTTTATCTTCTTGTACATACGCAGACAGTAAGGGCACACCAAGGACTACTTACTGTCTTGTACTATTGACGATTGGCTCGCCCATTGGTCAGAGGAAATGATAAATCATACTATTGGTCCTGATAGTTTGCTCTAACAAAAGGTCAATTAGTTTCAAATCATCACTCTAACCTATGAACGGAAAACCCTAAAGAACAAGAAAACATTCAGTAATTGATGATTGCTGTAGCACTGTCTCACGTCTATTTTTTCTAATGTAAGACATTCTTAGATCTCAAGTTTACAATCGCTTGTACACATAGAGATGTTAATTGTGTCGCTAAAAGCTCTAGAATAAAGTAAGCGTCATACGGCAGTATTATGGAAAGTTTTTTTCTTACTTCTTTTTTAACAAAGAGTACCATAACTCCTACAAGGGTTTCCTCTGTAAACTCACTTCAATAATTAGCTACTTTGTAAAAAATAAGCCCCTACCTTAAAATAATATGCCCGGTCGTCGCCTGTCCACATTCTGTGGACAGAACTCACATGTCAGATGGGACACGCTCGATGCTTACCGTAGAGACGCGTTCTATAGCTAGTTTGATTTGAGCACAAACATGTGGAATACAAATAGAAAACAAAATAGTATACTAATTTATATCAACCTAATTAAATGGAGCGCTCACTAACTTTAATCACAGCACTTTTACCTCAAAAAGTAAACAAGCTTTCGGTCTAACGCACGTCCAATTATCATGCTTAATTTATCTGATTCCATAGAGTATGTTATTTTTCTTATGGTGGCCTGATTATTTATCACATACGGTAGATTTTAATGGGCTAAAATATCTCATAGTAAACACTTCACATGCTAAAAGTGTGTTTTCCCAGCACAATCGGTATAATTTTTTCTCACCATCCTGCACTCCGTGCAAAATGCTCAATAAATTCTAATTTACGGCGCATAATCGGTAGGAAATAATTAACCCATGTAAACATGATGAATAAATCATTGGGAAACAAGGTTTTCTCTTTTGCCCTGTGTTGATTTCATCCTGAACACAAGCACACAAGAACCATGAAGTGTGTCAGTGTGAATTCAACAACTCGTCTCATTTTTTAGCTCCTGATAGTTATGACGTTCATTTGGCAGTTCAAGACATGGTTTCAATAGTGAATACTAGACATATTTCTTTAGTTTCTAATGTAAAATAAGCTGCTTTCATGTCTCACAGAAGTCATTGAAGTTAAATATTAGAAAATAGTCCCCAGTTATCACTGCGTCACTATGTGCTACTTAGAGATCCGCAACATGTCGAATATCTTCTGTTTCTACATTACTTTCATTTTCTCTATCAATACTTATAATATTCTTTCTTACAAATATTGACCATTATGAAACCTTTTATTTAACTGATATATATCCATTACACTCTCGAAAAAAAAAAAAAAAAAAAAAAATATCAACACACAAATAAGATATACAACCATAATTCAATCTTTCTTTTTCTGCATCCTTCCTCTTCGTGTCACTTGTTTATGGTCAACAAATTGTTGATGCTTTGAACCCTACTAAGTTGAAGAGATTCAGATTGCAACCTGAATTCCAACTCCCCAACATCAAAATAGCCATAACCTCCCAAAATATGGTTAGAAAAACTATCCTTTGATTCTGTTTTAGCAGCCTCTGAATTGCTATGCTCAACTACTTTATTTTCGTCGATTGATTTGGATAACGAAATTGAAACTGTTCTAAGCATTTCATTGACATCACAAGGAGCTTTGCCATTATCTGTAGCATCTCCATTTGACTTTTTTCGTCCAGCTTCTTTCATATAAAGCGCCTCAATTTCAAAGTAAACCCAGCACAAAGTCTGCAAAAACCGCTTGTTTTGCCGATGGTTAGAAGAAATCGTATACACAGTACAATCTTCCTTAATTACATATCCAATACCAAAACCACCAGGTTTATAAGGTGTGATACCAAATGCTTTTAATGAAGGGTTCCCACAATTTATGGCAAGGATTTCAGGATCAAGTAACACTTTGTAAAAAGTTGAAGTGTCCTCATTGCTCAAAAAACTAGGGATTTCTGTCTCATTCAAATCTTCCAATTCTGGAATATCAAGGGGTGCATTTGCTGATGACTTGATCTTGTTGATATAATCTTTTTGAATCAAAGCTAGTCTCAAGGCTTTGATATGTTTTTCAAAACCATATCCCATTCGGCATTGGTTCTTGCGATCATTGATTTCCATAACTCCCTGCTTTATCAATTCCCACCGAGTCTCATGGACAGTATTAGATATAAAAGCTTGACAAATTCGAAGTATTGATTCTGATTCAATAAAGCAAAGCTCTGATCTAGAATTCTCAAATCTTCTGGTGGAAACAGCCTCACAACTACTCACCATTGCACCATATAATGCATAATGTGCTAATTGAATTGCCAATTGTACCAAAGAATCGGCATTCACCCCAATTTTGTCCGCAAATACTTGCCCATAATCCAAAGCTTTTGTGTACGAATCGAATTGGCACAATAGATCACCAAGCCTAGTTTCTGCCAAATGTAGTCGATGTAACAACTTTGCATCATGTAAATCCCAAGGGAGTTCATAAAACATCCCTTGTAACTCTGATCCTTTAAAATCATACTGATTATTGATCAGTATTCCCAGAAATAGAGAAAATAACGAAGTATTGTTGATACTTCTTGCCAAACGAAGAATAGAATCGGTATATATATCAGAAACATAACGCAAAACGACAGTGGCGTCGTTAGAGGTTGGCTCCCACAATATTGCACTCAAAGAATCACCAGATACAATCAATTGTAATTTATCATACCATCTTGAATTACAACTACCCATTTGAATTCCAGTGATTTCATCAATATTGGAAGTTCCGTGGCAAATATTTAAGTAGTTGCAATCAGCATCATTAACAATGAATTTATTTATATCCAAATTTATTACCAACAAAGCAGAATCTATAATGTGCAAACTATCTTTGTTGACCTGACAACTACCAAGATGTTTCCTTGCCAATGCCCATTCCTCTCTAGATTGAGTGGTTATAGAACTTAAACAAGCATTCAGTCTTTTGCCAGCAAGCTTGGCATCCTTGATGATTTTGTCAAATATTTTTTGTAAATTGCCTTGATCAATAATTATTTGATTTTCATCATTGAGCACTTTCAAATAATGGAATTTCCCCTCGCACAAAATTACCACATGATTTGATTTGTCAAAATGCTTGATATTAATTCCATGTCCATGAGCGCTTGGAACTCTCGTTGAAGCAAATAAATAATTAACTGATTTCATTGTTAAAGCGTTCCCGTGCTTGGGAGTGACATCTGGTTTCAATTGTCCCTTCTTAACGATGGAGATGAATTTTAAAGTGCTGAATGTCAAAATTGCCGCTCGTTCGGATTGCTCAGGAGGTAAAAGTGTCCAATAATTTGGGTCATTCTCTAGAATAAAATAAGGGTTTTTCGGTAACGTTTTTCCACGATATTCACTATAGATGTTGGTGGTATTGTGATCTCGGACATTTGAAAAAAGATCCAAGTAACAAACATGGGTGGAATTGAAGTCTTCAAGATGAGCCTGAAGGATTTGGACTAACTTGTTTGACTTGAGTGATTCGAGCTTCAGTATCGTTTCTTTAAATTGATTTTGGGTGACCAACGGTTGAATCGCTCGAGTGATTCCCTCAATTGATTGACCAATTGAAGGCAACGGGAGCTTTTGTAACGTTGGTTGCTCGTTGTCCGAAAATTTATCTTTAACCATTTTCCTGATTTATGCTTATTTCTGTTTTGTTTCTTTTTGTCAATATATAGACATAGGTTTCTGAATGTTTGATGTTTGCGAAATTTACATGGTCATATATATACATATATGGCTCATGCGGGCACCACTGTTGTGGAGAAAGAGTCAGTGTGATGCTCATCGCGTTCCACCGAGAAGTAACGGTCACCCGTAGATGACTACAATTTATTGAAGGAGATAAAGGGAGAGATAGAAAAAAAAACAGGCTTATTTATATTCAAAATGATCTTTTTCATATATAAACACCGTATGTTATGCATCACTGCTAATTTAATATTAGGTACGGATATATCCCACTAACTATGTCTATGTGTTTTTGACAGGTAATACGTCATTTTTGTTTTTCTTTGCCAGCTTTTTCTTTTCCGGCCGCTGGTATGGTATATCACATACAAATACATAGCCCTAACATATGTCACATGACACAAGATAAAAAATCTAGCAAGTCACTAAAAGCCCTACAATTCTGTGAAAAACCCCCATTTTTAGGTTAGGAAGCCCCCGGGTTGCAAACACTTCGTTCTGGTGTACTACCCTTTGCTGAGTTTTTTTTATCAAAAAATTATTGAATTTTTCAATACTCAATAGAGAACGAACTAGATCAAAGAGTATCGTAATCAGCAAAGTCATCCAAAATGTCTGCCGAAGAAATCGTTGATGTCACAGAAGAACAATTCGAAGAACAACAAGAAGAATTCGAAGTTGTCTCCGAAGTCAAATACGTTGATTTGGCCACCAAGATTCCAAAGGACGTTCAAGACGCTCAAAACTCCGTCAAATTATTCAACAAATGGTCTTATGACGATGTTACCGTTAAGGATATCTCTTTGACTGACTACATTCAAATCAGAACTCCAGTTTTCGTTTCTCACACTGCCGGCCGTTACGCTGCCAAACGTTTCAGAAAGGCTAACTGCCCAATCATTGAAAGATTGACCAACTCTTTGATGATGAACGGTAGAAACAACGGTAAGAAGTTGAAGGCTGTCAGAATCATCAAGCACGCTCTTGAAATCATCCACGTCTTGACTGACCAAAACCCATTGCAAGTTGTTGTCGATGCCATCCTCAACACTGGTGCCAGAGAAGACTCCACCAGAATCGGTTCTTCCGGTACCGTTAGAAGACAAGCCGTCGATGTTTCTCCATTGAGAAGAGTTAACCAAGCTATTGCTTTGTTGACCATTGGTGCCAGAGAATCTGCCTTCAGAAACGTCAAGACTATTGCCGAATGTTTGGCTGAAGAATTGATCAACGCTGCCAAGGGTTCTTCTACCTCTTACGCCATCAAGAAGAAGGATGAATTGGAAAGAGTTGCCAAATCTAACCGTTAATCAGATTTCCTCAATTTTTTCAATTTGTTTCTTTCTTTTGTTTGCATGATAGCTACTCAAAACTTTTCCCAAACCCTTTTGTTTTTTATTTCCTTCTTTTTTAATTTTGTTCTAAACAGACGTGGATCTATAATTTTATAAAAGTCGAGGGTCAATAAAGAATAATGTACTTTATAAATGATGGTAAATGATTGAATGACTAGATAATAAAGCCTTTTACCGGAATAGATTGTAGTTGGTTTTTCCTTGACAGTCATCATTATTGTAAGTTATTGATATCTATTTTTCTTTTCCACCTTATATCTCATTTTAAGCTCGGAATACATTATGTCAGATTATATTGCTGAAAGTATATAAATACAAACGAGATGAAGAATTGAAAGGAGAAAAAATAATAAAATAAGAAGCGACTGATGGTGCTAATAGCTACATTTGCTTAATCCACTATGTGGTTATTTATGAGCAGTATTGATTCATCAAATACATATATAATATAATACAATTCTTTCACCATTCACATTTACTCCTCTTCATTCCAGCCATCTGGGAACCACTCAGGCACAAACCCTTCAACATAAACTTTCATTTCCTCTTCTTCCAATTCGAAGTTGCAAGTTTCCTTGAACTCTTTTCTGTTTTCATCAGTCAATTTCACCTTCACATAAAATTTCCTATTCGGTTTGGTAAATTCAGGAATGTTGATGATTCCCACACCACATCCTTCATAAATAGCAGAGATCTTCCCTACGTGTGCCTTTCTTCTCGGTCTAGATACCTTGGAACCGAAAGGATTGTCTGTATTATTGGCAAATGGATTGTTTTGAACAGACTCTTCATATGGTGATTCTAGCTGGTCGTTAGTTTCTTCAAAATAAATATGCTTATCTTCAAACTTCAATGCTGGAATAACTGAATCAAGATCGGAGATTTCCAAAGTGTCACTAAATGTTAACCTTATTGGCAACATTCTCTTTCTAACCACCCCTCTAAAGAAAGTTCTGTGAGTTAATTCCTGGCCAATATAACAACCTTTATTGAATGAGATGACTGGTGTGTTATCTATACTATAGAGGACTTCATCTACTTCGGACTCATCTTTTTTTTCTGTAGCTTCCACAGCTTCCTCTTTTCTCAATAAATAATCATCATACGCTTCATCGTATCCATCATTAACTGTTCCCATTAAGTTGTAATTCAATTCCAACGGAAGGTATTTGTTCGGTTCAAGATCGCCAATCTCAGGAATATTACCAAGGATTCTTCTACCATCCATCACTGCACTTGGAATTTCTTCAAACTCAGTACCATTCGGTACCAATTTGTTCTTATCGACCAAAGTCAACGGGGTCCCAATTTCAGTTGAGGTTAATAATTTCATTCCCAATCTTGGTGAACGCTCATCAAATGCGAAACCGTATAAATTGTTGGTCAAATACTCAATGTCATCGTGCTTAAATAATTGTTTGGATGATACAAAATCTAAGAATTTGGCATTTGCAATACTCGGTTCGTTTAACAACTTATTATTCTTTAACCAATTTTGTTTGAAATCCCATATCTGTCCCATGACCCGAGGATCTTCATCATTGTACATATACCAACTATTGAATTGTTTCTCATCAAAAAACTTCAACTTGATGTCTGATGTCAACTTGTGCATCTTCAAAAACATTTTGAATTGATTGGAAATGGTGTCACTGACCTCAATTAAATAATTAGAATGGTTGGGATCCTTCTTCGGTAAAAATGGTAATGATTCAATTGGCTTATTGAAGAGTTGAAATGGATATATCCAAGCATCCGTGAACAATCTTCCTGTGGCATTCAAGAATAAAGTGTATTGTCCAAGTTTTTTGTAACCACTATGCATCGAATTATCCAAATAGTTAAGTTTCGTGGTGTAGAAACTGTTATCGTTCATGAGACAATCATAAGGGTTTGATGATTCAATGCGAGGATCAAGGATCTTAGAAGTGATCAACCCATTGAGAAATTTTGTGGCGTCTTTCCCAACAACTTGGACAAGTTGCCTGCCACAAAGCTTCGAGTATCCTTTAGAGGGAACACTCATGATTAGAAAATAATGATGACAGAGTGAACTATTGTTCGAAGCGTAAAGGAAAAAATATCATCACTGTTTTCCTTACAAATAATAATCAATACCGCGACTAAACGCACCACGGCAGTTATAACGGGGGTCATGAGCACCAGCGGTTCTCTTGTGAACTCTATTTTTTGTTTTTTGAATAATTATCATTATATCAACCTTTGGCTTTATGTATTTGGAACTGGAGGGGAAAGTATTGTGAGAAGAAAATAGTGCTTATTCCTGGATTGAATTAACCTGAAATTTGAAGTTCTGACTCCAGTGACCCAGAAATTACAGTGACAACAAAAAAATAAATAAAAATAAAAACAATATAACAAAGAACAACTCTGATACGGTGTATAATGGATTTATCAAAGATACTAGACGTTACTCCGGAACCAGCGATAAAGCTCCAAGAGTCACTAATTGGAGTGACAGATTCAACAAATTACAATAATGAAGAAGATGACTATTGCTTACCCACACCCATGGCAGATTTCCAAAAGGAATTGACAGATGATATTGTTTCTTTGCACTACTCGGACATTCTCAAATATTTTGAAACCAATAACAGGGATGACTTATTGTTGATCGATTCTTTGCAAAAGCTATATCTAAATATTCAACTCATTTCATCGCATCCGTATCTTTTAATCGACCATTTCATGCCAAAATCATTGGCCGCTAAAGATATTCCAATGAAATTGATCCAGACTAGTGGGAAATTCAAAATGTTGAAGAATGTGCTAGATATTTATTCTGGAGTGCTAGATTTCAGAAAGTTGTTGAAAAGTGAATTACATAACCATGCAAAGTTTGGAAAGCAGGGGAAACTGTCATCCAAAGCCTCGAACTCAACTGAAACTTCCAATAAAAAGATAAATCAGATTATCGTAAGTAACGTCAAGAAAAGGTTTATCAATGAAATAACCGTGCCTTCAAACAAAAATATTTTGCTCATTTCCAGGGAAGGAAGGACTCTTGATTTGATCGAATCTCTAATGCTTGGATTAAAGATGCCATACGTTAAGTATTCAGGGTCTAACATAAAAAATAACAATAAAGATAAAGTAACCACAGCACAGGATATTGATATTAAGAAGAAACTTGGTTCCTATCTGATAAATTTGAACTCACACTTAAAAAATTATCTAAACAACAATAATTTCAATTTATTTCCTTTATACAATGTGACGGTTCATTTGTTATCATCCAAAGATTTGGAAGAAAAAAATGAAAATGCTATGAAATTTTTGAATCTTTATGAGGGAACTCGTGTTTTCAAGATTGATTTGATAATTCCGTTTGATCTATCGGTGAACACCAAACTTCCAATAATTGCGGAAATCAGAAATAAGAATTATGGCCGCAAAGTGAGGAGAGCGCCAATTTTGAGGTTGGTTCCGATTTTCACTGTTGAACACATTGCTCTAAATTTTGATTATAACAATGATGATGGAATTAATGAGAACTTTAGAAACACTATCAGTGCAGTGGTTGTTGAAAGAGGAAAAGTTGGGCTAATTGATGCTAATTTTAAAACAATATACCAGAATAATTTGGATTACTTGAGGGATTGGTTGTTATATTCAACAGAAGACAAGAAGCAGGTAGGCAATACCCATATCAATTGGCCCTTGCCCGCAATAGCAAAAATCCCTATCTATAAACCTCAAGACGTCGAGAAATCATTATTGACTGAAGTTAAGTACGTACCTGAAGATGACTATTCTGACTTTGATGATGACATGGAGTCCAAAAAAAAGAGCGTTAAAGATGATAAATTGGAGTTTGATGATTTTGAGAAATTTGAAAGATTATACCTGAAAACACCTAATGATTACTTTTATGATACGAAGCGATTAAAGAGTCTGTATATGTTAAACCCTATTCAAATAAAGAATCGCTCAAACATCATTGGAATAGAGGCGGAATCAATACATTTTACAGAGAATGATTCAAAGACAGGAGAATCGAGCTACTTTGATTACCTTACCAGAGAATTAATCTTGACTCATTTTGAAATCTATGAACTTAATTTGAAATATTTGAGCTACAACAAAATTGACGCTGATTTGAAGATTTCTGAATCGTTGAACAAAGTACATAGAGAGGATTTTGAAGTCAGTTTGGATGAATTAGAGAAATTTTTAGCACACGATAAGAACATGCATGATAAACTTGAGGAACTCGTTAGTAAAAAAAAATTGCTTCAAAAGATTTTAGCGGAAAAACGAGTAGAGAAACTTGAGAAATATTTCGAATATCATCTTATCACCAAAGATAATGATCAGGTAGATGGAGACAAGAATGCTAAGGTAGATGGCAATAAGAATGTTGATGGCAATGATCTAAAATTTAAATTACAAAGTGAAAGAGAAACTGTCATAAAGAATATGTCCTCTGAAGAATTAGAGAAATATAAGAAGTGGGAGGAAAACCAGTTGAAGCTCCTTGAATTGTTTGAGAGGAAGAATTCCCTCAAAAAGTCTTTGTCTTTAAGACAAAATGAGTTGGATTATTTGAACATCGAATTGGAAAAGCTCGGGAAAGTGTATGAAGAAAATGTTGCATCGATAAGTGGGAAGACTGATTTACTCAACAAAAAATTAAACCAAGAACTTGAAAAGTTCGTTGGAGAATATAACAATATTGGAGAAAATAGTGACGATAATAAATCTGCGAAGCGAAGAAAGATGAATAAGGTGATTAGTGAGGTTGATGGGTTGATGTTGAGCCTTAAACATGAAATTACAGTCAATGAGGATTCAGGACAGAACAAGAACAGAAACAGATACAGAAGAAAGTGATAATTTTTATTAATTGCATTGAAAAACATTCATAATATATATATTAATAGTTGATGATGATATAAATATGGCCGATAAGTTTCCCTAGTAGTTTTTAAGTTATTCATAAACCAAATGCGCGCGCGCACATAGAAAAGCACACTTCCAAAACGGGTAATGCAGCGTCCCTTTTTCTTTTCTTTTTCTCTTTTTTTTTCTTTTCTTTTGTTTTGATTAAATCTGGAGAGATCTCTAATATCAACAGATATTACCACAGGAGGAATTACCGGGAAAGAAGGAAAGGAAGAAAACCCCACCAAAAAAAAACAACACAATCTTAGAGAGAATAGAGGGAGGTTTCTTTTTTTTTTTTTCTTTTTTTCTTCTCTTCTCCTTTTTTTCTTTTCTTGTCTATATTATTATTTTGAATGTGTCACGATGTCGAATCTTTGCGATGGATCTACTTATATCGCCAATCTATCGAGCTTTATAAAAAGTCATGAGAAGCAGTTGGCTAACGCATTGTTAGCTTATAAGAAGTCTAGTGGCCATGGTGGCACAGGCACTCTTAATAACCACCATGACGAGAATAACGCGAGGAAAAACGTGAACCATAAACCTGTTAGACTATCACTTACGCTACACCATTTATACTTCCTACTAGATAGCTTTAATCAGATAAACTTGAAGACCGGTCCTTTGAATATTCGACTATATGATATTGATCATCATTACATAATTGGCTACAATGGCCTCGACAACACTACAACAAACAATAATCTGCATCCTGTCGAGCCAGTATACGAGCAACAGGAATATGTGTCGTTTCTTTCAAATAACTATTACAACAGCAAAAGCAAAAGACTCAGTAGCTACTCAAGCTCGGTCAATTCAAACGATAATGCTTCTATCACCTCTATGTCATCAATGAAGTCCGCTCTTTCGTCAATATGGAATTCGATGTCTATCAATGGTTATAATGGGACAGGTAGCCCTTATGACAATAATTTTGCCGATAATCCGGTGATATCTAATCATTTGAAATATTTATATTCGTGCTTCACAAAATTGCCGTGCCTAAGAATATCACCTGATTTGAACTCCAAGTTAATTAAGAACTACCAGGAGTTTCCATTTGATACTATAGTACCACTAACAATATTCAAAAACTTGTCAATATTAGAAATTAATGAAATCAACCCTAAAGAGCTATTTGGTTGGCATAACCTAGCTGAAAACTTGAAGTTCCTTATTATTAAGAATTTTGATTTGAATAATAAGATAGAAATGGTTTTAATGGAGTTGTTATGGCAGGATTACAACAACAGAAACCATAAACTTATAAATGCCAACTACACTCATAATTATACCAATTCCTTACCAAACTCATTGCCTAATTCACCAGTATCGTCAACGTTTAATGAGAAAAAGAAATTGAATAAGAAACGCCATAAATCATTTGCTAACATACGGAAAAAGAGGAATTCTATTGATGTCAGCAAGAAATCTCAATTGGCTGATAATAATAACAATCATCATAATTACCATAGCATTGATAACCACACTGATTTCACGAGCTTCAAGAATCCTTTTTATCAAAATAAGTGGAAGAATCTCAAATATCTCTCGTTTTCCAATACTAGCTTAACCTCAATTGATCATGTTGATGCTTTTAGATTATTGGAAAATTTGAACTCCTTGGACTTATCTGGTAATAAGTTCACAGAGGTTCCAATTTGTTTGAAATATCTAGTTCATTTGAAGTCGTTGAACTTGTCGGATAATTTAATTCATGATCTTAGTAATTTCAAATATTTTACAAGTGAAGAAAATAATAGTGAATTTTCCCTCAAAGGTTTAACGTTGATAAACTTAAAGCACAATGAAATCACAAATTTAAACGGGTTAGAATTTCTTTTGAATTTAATAAAGGTTGACTTGAGCTACAACAAGATTAATTATCTTAAAGATTTGAGGAGTTTATTTCTTTCTGGAATTGAAATAACTGCGCCTGATCCAAACCCTCTATCAATAATGACAAATGGTGATATGTTGTACTTTAATAATATTGAGAAACTTGATGATCTACAGAATTTTGAGAAAGTGACGCTATTTCAAAATGAAGATCGCTCAACAATGGATAGCTTGAATCTTATTGGTAATCCTTTGCAGAATTTTGATAAGAATTATAGAATAAAGTTGTTCAACTTGTGCAAAGTATTCAATTGGGTGAGACTGGGATTTAAAATCAATGGATCTGCTCCGAGCTATTTGGAGTCCTATTACTTGCTAAGCGATTCAGAGGATGAAAATGATATATTCAACACCGATGCCCAACTTTTTATAAATTTCAAAAAATATCTTTTTGATTATGATGATTATTTTCATCAATACAAACCGGGAAGTTCCATAGAGGCATTTCTCCAACAAGACCGCGCGAATGTTAACCGTGATCTACTCAATAATGCTAGTATCTTGAAGAGTATTAGCAATTACAGTTTACACATCTTTGCTAAAGATGAAACTGAGAAAAAACGAGTTTTGCAAACCGCTAATGTTTCAGCAGATAATAGTGATAAAGAAAATATTATCGCAACCGAGCCATCTCGAGAATATCAAGACCCTGGAGAGAACGTCTATTTAGTGGATTCTATGTCAAAATTGGAACTACATGAAAGCGCTGCGTTAACAAATAAACATTTTCCAGAAACGTTTGATACGAAACCAATCCCTGTGAATATTCAAGACAACAAATTATATTTGAATAGTTCACGTTACGGTGGCCATTCACAAGGCCGCTCCATCAGCATAATGGGAAGTCAAGGGGATTATTTTACAACGTCATTATCACCAACCAGCGTTTCATACAGGAATAATAATATTGCAAAAGGAATCGAGTGTAAAAGCGGTGATATCAACTATTCAACAAACCATATCGGCACCACATCTCCCAAACCTATAAAGGTTGCTACAAGTATGTCAACTTCCAAATCTTTGAACAATTTACTCAACCTATCCCAAAGTTTGCATATTGATGGAAATAACACTACAGACTTCAATCTTAGAGCCAATGCCGCCTTTGATTCCTCTCGCAATAATAATAACCATAGCAACAGGCTTCTTTCAAGGCATGAAAGAGCAAAATCTGCAGTTTCATATCATTCTACTCATACGTTGACCGATTAGAGAATATTCTATCGTTTTGAGACTATTCCAGAACCTCTACATGGAAAGAAATTGCTTTCAATTCCTTTCACACATATATGTTATTCATTTATTCTTTTCTTTTTTTTTATTGAACTTGGTTTCTCATTTTGTTCTTTCTCACTCCCTTATTGTTTTATTAATTGATTTATTTCTTTCGTCTCACTTCACGTTCATAAAAGTAGACGAATTCGGCAATTCCAATAAAAATCGTTTAATTCTAATTATTTTATACTTGTAATTTCTCAACTGCAAACCTTCGTTTCTTTTTTCCTTTTTTTTTTTTCTGGTTTAACAAAGTGAAGAGGGGAAAAAAAAAAAAAAAAAAGAGTCCCTTGGGAGACCGACATCTAACAATGCTCCTTTGTACATCATGAACGCCTACAAGAAGATCTATAATTCCAGAAACTCTTCTCGAGCTGATGAAGTCAATCAGTCAAATAAATTAGCATCTCCCCCAAGAAGGTCCAGCAAGAAACTAACGTGCTTCGCAAGTGGAAGACCGTTAAGCCTATCCCACCATCATCATAGAAGAATTACTGTTAGGGTCAGAAAACCAAGCTATTTGAGTGCAAAATACCCTCGTCGGATTCCGTTTAAAGATCTCTCTTCGTTTAGAAAAAAAAGTACCAATAGCAGTCATCGTCGGAAACTCAAGCAGTTGAGTAATAGTGACAAAGAAACGGCAAAAAGTATTGCAGAACTCAACAAGAAGATTACTGATCTCACGGTGAATGAATGAAATCACTAAATAACTGGAATGAATATGGACACGAAGAGGCTACCGACAAAACGCTCAAAAGATGAGGACATAGTAACTAGTTTCATCGCCAAGGAGAAACCTAGAAGTCATCGTCATCGATCCCCGACGAAAAGAAGATATCTGATCAATATGAGCCAGCTAGAAAAATGTTTCGAGAAGTTTGCAATAATCGATCATGATGACTACTACTCTCACAATGAAGTGTCTTCCAAGGAGGAACCAGAACAGACTCAATTGCTCAAGCATGTTGATGAATTTCACCAAACGAAGAAATTGTTTTTCATGTCCCCATCGCTTATATTGTGTCAATTACAAAAACAGTATAACGCGCTTAACGATAGAATTTTAAGATTTCCAGATAAGGATTCAACCGTTGATGAGTTACTGCAAATGAGCAGGCTAACGATCACAGACCGACCAAGGCATAACTCAAAATTTGTCATGAAAAAATCATTAACTATCACAGAATATAATCGACTTTCTGTTGACGTGAAGTTCAAAATTTGCCTAAACTTCATCAGATACAACATCTTCAAGAAATTCATCCTTGATGGGGCTGAAAGCTTTAGCGTGGATGATTTCAACAATATTAAAAACGTACTCTTTTATCAGATCTTTAAAAGGTTTGAAAAATACTATAAAGTCGAAAATAGATATCTAGGCTCTATGAATGTTTCATTAGAAGACAAATTGAAAGTGATTAAAGCAGTGGAGAATGTGTATTTGGGTAAATATGATCATGGGTATATACAGGTTGAGGATAGAATGCTTACAGACTTATATCAATAGATAAATGATCAGATTACTTTACAATTAATATAATATTGGATTTTGAATCATGAAATTCGCAAATATGTACTAATAATATTAGAAAAAAGTAGACTAGATAGATATGTATAAAATAAGAGCTGACTAAAATGGAAAAAAAAAAAAAAAAAACGAACAGAAGAAAAGAAAAAAAAAATTAATGAAATAGCCACTATCAACCTAAATCTAGAAGATAGTTTGTTTTGGTTTCAACTCTTTGATATTTGATCTTTGGACTAACTGGAATGCACCAGTACCAATATTCATAGTTTGACCCAATATAATACATTCACTGACACCTTCAATATTATCCTTCTTCATGTAGAATGCAGCATCGAAAAGATGATCAGTAGTCTTTTCAAAACTTGCCAATTGCAACACAGAATCTCTCATTTTAGCTAAACCATTTCTAGTAATACCAAGAATCTCACCCTTATAAGTCATGACATCCCCTAATAGCTGAATATGACGAGGATCGACACTCATACCGTGAGTACTCATAGTATAATCAATTTCATAAATGATACGTGCTCTAGCTGCTTCAATCCCAAGAACTTTATAAACTTCCAAAATATGATTGGAGTATGTTTTGGTACCAATAATACCATTGGTTGACATGACTTCTTTCAAACCAAAGCCTTCAATCAACAATTCATTCTTATTGGTGCTTTCATTAATGTTGATGACAGCTCTGGAAACATCTTGCAAACCCTTGACAGTGACGTTTGGCAATTCTCTACACAAATGTTGGACTCTAAAGAAAGTCTCTTTGTCAGTCATTTTGGATGCAGTTGAAGAGGTCTTGCTTCCACCGTTGAAAACCACCACTTGCACCTTATTTTTACCAAACGCATGGACATCAGTGATCTTCAATTTTGGAGCCTTCAAAATTGCAGTCACCACTTCTTCGACTGTCAATTCTAATTGCAATCTTTCGATGGTTTTCAAATCAAGTTTAACCTCAATGTAAGTTTGTGTTTCACTATAAACATCCTGAATGTAACTTGAAATATCACCCAATTTTGTTTTTTCGATTCTACCCTTAACCACTCTGGCCGCTCTTTCATCACTGTCGTTGACCAAGTTGGCGGTGATAATTGGCGTGGAGATATCCTTACTAGCATTAATAATTTCCTTGATACGGGGAACACCCAATGTAACATTCATAGACGCAACACCAGCAAAATGGAAAGTCTTCAAAGTCATTTGGGTACCTGGTTCACCAATAGATTGAGCACCAATGGCACCAACTGCAGTACCTGGCTCAACTTTAGCCTTGGAGTACTTACTAATACAAGTCTTGATAAAACTGTCAATCATTGACTTGGTGATTAGACTTAATTGTCTAACATAACTCTTGGCTTCATCAGTTGCAATCTCATCCCAGTCAACTTTTTTGAATTCATCGCCTGGACAATCTGATAATTCTTGAAGATTTCTTGTTTTTCTGACCCTGGCCAATCTATCACATTTCTGTTGCACAAAGTCTCTGATGGATTGATAAAATTCTCTCTCACTGTCAAATCTGTCGGCAAACTCATCATTGTCAATTACAGAAGCATCAGTGATCAATTTACCCATGTTATCATATCTATCCAAGCTATCTTCATACTTATTCAAAATCTTGTTGGTAGCCTCCATGACTTGGAATGGGTACAATCCCCTATCCCCAGAGCTATAAGTGATATTATAAACATGATCCCATGTTCTCTTGAAGTCTACTGGCTTTGCATCACCTTCCATATCGAATGGATCCAAACCATCACCACCGTAGATGAATTGAACAACACCATCCGATGAATTTCTCACTGTGTTATCATATTTAAGACTTAAATCTTCCAAAGACTTCATCAATCTTCTGGACATATAACCAGTTTCGGCGGTCTTAACCGCAGTATCAACCAAACCTTCACGACCGGAAATAGCGTGGAACAAGAATTCTGGAGGAGTTAAACCACTAAAGAAGGAATTCTTAACGAAACCCTTGGATTGCGGAGTCTTAGATCTTTTAGGGAAATGAGGTAACGAACGATCCTGGAACCCATCCGGAACTCTATGACCACTAATAATTTGTTGCCCGACAACCGCCACCATCTGAGAGACGTTAACCACCGAACCTTTACTACCACAAGTGGCCATTACCAATGGGGCGTTTAATCTATCTAATTCCTTTGTCGCTACATCACCAAGAGCATCACGAACTTTGGACAAAATACCACCGATCTTTGCTTCCAAAGTTTGTTCTTCGTTACAACCTGGTTGAGTCTCCAACTTACCTTGGTTATATAATTTAATCAATTTGTCACACTCATCATAAGCGTTCTGTACCATCTTATCTTTTTCTAATTGTAATTTATTTGGTGGCATAACGTCGTTAATACCAATGGAAAAACCTCTGTTGGCCAAATATCTGGCACACATTTTTGCCATACGGTTCATAGATTTGATAGCTTCATCAGCACCAAAATCTCTAAGAATGGTGTAAAACACAGAAAGTTTCTTACCGTCACCCAAAACACTCTTATCCATAACACCTGACAAGATCTCAGAGTTTCTGATGACCACAAACCCATCATTTGGAGACATTTCGTTTGGCCAATCAGATCTTAGAGGTTTGAAGAAAGTTTTATTCTTTGCATCAAGGTTAATTTTCACATGAGAATGACGATTCGGCTTGATTAATAAACTAAACACTTGTTTACCAGTCCACAAACAAGCCGGTTTCATGATCGCTGGAGGTGGAATATCAAAATGAAGATTTGCATCAGACATCATTGATAAAATTTGAGTGAAGCCCGCTCTGTCAAAGTAGGTATCTTTATGGGAAATCAAGTATGAACCAGTAATGAAATCTTGGGTAGCCGCAATGATTGGTTCACCAGATTTTGGTGTCAATAAGTTGTGCTTCACCCCCATCAAATTGATAGCTTCTGTTCTGGCCTCTTCTGTTTGTGGAACGTGTAAATTCATTTCATCACCATCAAAATCAGCATTATATGGGGTACAAACACACTCATTGAATCTAAAAGTTCTCCACGGTTTAACTCTGGCATAATGGGACAAAATTGACAAACGATGTAATGAAGGTTGACGATTAAACAACACAATATCACCATCTTCAATATGTCTTTCCAAAATATCACCGTATTTCAAATTCTTAGCTAAGTTTTCTCTGTTACCAAACTTCAAATTTCTTCTATTTTCAGAATCACCATTGACCAATAAATAATTAGCACCAGGATGAACATCTGGACCGTTTATGATCAATTTCTGTAATTTTTCTCGATTATATCTGGTACACTTCTCAGGATACGTTAAAACTTTCGCCACTCTATCTGGAACTGCGACTTCTTCAATGGACAAATTTGGATCTGGAGAAATAACTGTTCTACCGGAGAAATCCACTCTCTTACCAGATAAGTTACCTCTGAATCTACCTTGCTTACCTTTCAATCTTTGACAGAACCCTCTAATTTGCTTTGGTTTGCTGGCCGCCCCACCAAATGCAGTCTCTGGATTAGCATTGATGACAATATCAGAATTAATATACATGGCAATACAAGCCTGTAAATAATCCCAATGACCCATGAGCTTATTAATCAAAATCCCCTTCTCCAAGGCAACTCTAATGATAGAGCTAACAGTAATGATTTCTGCCAACTTAACTGTCAAATCATCTTCATTGGACGAGTCCATCATGACCACCGAAGGTCTAATACAAGAAGGTGGAACAGGTAAGTATCTCCATATATAATTTTCTGGACGACCTCCCCTTTCTGGGTTTATTCCCAATAATTCTAATTCATTTGGAACAATTAACTTGAATAGGTTGAGAACCTTCAATGGATTCATATCATCAACGGCTCTTTTGATAAATGGTGCTGACTCAAGGTTATGCTCCAAATATGAATCAAATTGCTCATCCCATTCTTCTTTTTCAGGAGGAACTTTTTTACCAATCCATCTGAAAGTGACATGTAATATCTTTAATGCCGAGTTGGAAGAACCAGTACCAGCCTTCTTCACTGACCCATTAAGAGCCCCACAATGCAAACATCTTCTTTGTTTTTCACATTGTTTGATAATTTTCTTCAAAATGGTCATTCTTCTTAAGTTATCAGTGTGAGGTTTCCTTAATTCCTTTAGAAATGAAATCTTATCATCTTCAGTTAACAAAATTTTGGAACAAGATTTACAGATGGATTTGAGAATGTTGATGATTTGCTTGAAATAACCCACATGGAACACAGGCAACGCTAATCTGACATGACCAAAATGACCCTGACACGTTGCTAGAGAGCCTTTACAAGTTTGACAAATGGCGCCTTTGGAGGAAACCCCCATTCTAAGATCAAGAGCCCCATTACTCTTTGCCTTTCTAGCTCCCAGAGTCAAATCAAAGAGATCACTAGTAGCAACTTCGACCTCAGACTGTTGAATAATCTCACTTGACGAAAGAGCTGCAAACTCAATGCTCTTAATCGTCTTTGGTGTGATGTGCAGAACAATTGTCTGCTTCATTTTCCAGATCCTCGTGAATAAGTAACAATCTTTTGATTGAGCCTTGGTTTTGTCAGTCTCCTCCTGTTTTTTGATACATAGAAAAAAAAAAAAATTTTTTTTTTAAGAAATTGCAATGGCCCGTGCGGTTAGTAAACTATTTTTTTTTTTTTATTTTTGTCGATGGATGAGCACGTGTGTTCCGAGGGCAGATCTTTGTTGTCCACAAAAATCGGTGTAGATAAATCTGCGGATACATCATCTTTTATTTTATCTTTGGTCTCACCAGTATTGAAGGTTGCAAAGCCAGAGAGCAAACTGCATAAGCTATGTTGCCGAGAAATAATCAGAAAGAAGATGAACTTTTGGTAAGTGACACCTCTATAACTGTGGTGACTCACTCGTTGAAGAATGACGTACTAACTATAACAAGGCTTTTGCAACTCCCACAGAGGTGTTTGGTAAGAAGCCTGCCGCACAACCCTCTCAAATAACAACACCTGTTGCTTCTTACGTTAGAAACACGATGTATGCCGCTCCAAGTCTGAATGGTTTTGCAAAAACTCGAAAATATTCTGGTAGTGGAAAACCTTTTCCAGATAATTTCCCAGGTTCTTTAGCACCTCAAAACTCTAATCTCCAAGAGTTAGACTATGATATGAGGACTAAGAGAAAGACATTGGCATTATCTGGGAATATTTCAATACCCACAGGCTCATTTCAGCAACAACAACAGCCACCGCTTCCACTGCAACAACAACAACAACAACAACAACAACAGAAAATTCTGCAACGTAAATCTGCATACGGGTCTCTAGGAAATGGGCCGGTTCCAAACTTTGGTAAACTCCAGTATTCTGCTGGATCGTCTCCAATGTTATCTCCTAGTACTCCTAACTTGGTAAACTCTGGCAGGAATGTTTTAAGATCCCCTAGCAATCCCCAATTGAACATGATGGCTACTCTTGATTCGGACGATTCTATAAATAGATTGTCACCATTGCCGCCAAATAATCATGCTAGAAGAAAAAGTGCTGACTATTACCAAAGTTCTGACTATTACAAACTCGATACCAACCAATTGTCTCACGAAGTGCAGCGTATCAGTTTAGATCCAAGGAGTCAAATGTCCCAAGCCCCTAAACACTATCCGAATGATGCCCAAGCTGGATATCAGGATCAAGGGTTGACTGTACAACAAAAAGCCCATCCGAAATCTCGTGACCATTCAAGGTCCCCTTCTTATGATAATGGAATACCTTTAAGAAGACCTCCTGGTTCGAGAAATGCTTCAGGGGATCTCCCAAATTTCGGTCCTACTGACACTGGCGTCTTGAGCCCGACTGCTAGCAATGAGTATAGTGCTAGGCCTCAGAGTTCTAATAAAAATTCCCAAGATTTTTTCAATGTCGATACTTCACCATTAAGAATCGCTAGTGTTCCAAAAAATACTGCATCTTATGAGCATTCCCATCATCAATCTATGCACGCTTTCCCTCAAGATGAAGCGGCAGACATGGGGGTCAAAGAAGAGCCGCTTCGTCCAATTACTATTGAAGCTGCCGATGATTCTCTCAAGATTGAAGAGAAATTACGTTATGTTTTTAAGAAAGTCGATGAAGAAAATTCAGGAATCTTAGATACCCTAGATCTACAAACTGCTCTTGCCCATCTTAACAGTCTAAAATTCCAATTGAGTGCTATCAAGATCATGGTCAATTGGTTTGATAAAACAGGTAAGAATGGTGTTGATTTTAGGGAATTTTATCATTTATGGGCTTACATTTGGAAATGGAGAGTTGTTTTCATTAGACATTGTGGAGGACACATGATGATCAACTTGGATCAATATCAATCAGCTCTTCAGGAGCTTGGTTATAGAATGAACCCTAAAACAGTTTCTCATATGTTCAATATATTTGCTGGGGATAACGACGTTGCTGTGGATAATAAAACTGCAGCTAAGTCACTTGCAGTTGATCTTTTTATTGAGAGTTTGTTATGGTTGATGAAATCAACTAATTCTTTCAAGAAGTTTGACAACCAAAGAATTGGGGTGGGTGTTTTCCCATATGACAGGTACATAGAAGAAATTTTGAGCTTTAGATTTTAGACTATACTTTTGTTTATTTTTCCCTATTTGGTTTATTTTTCCCTATTTGGTTTATCTGTTTTGTTTTGTTTTTGTATTATAATCAGTAATATCCATTTGATTTCCATACCCTTGTTTTCTTTGACCACATTACTCTTGTTTAATTAATGCATCGATCCTTTTTGATAAATTTTTATTGTGAAACTTTAGATTTACCAGCTCTACCTATAAATACTGGCATGTACCATTAATCTATTGTTCTCACGTAACTTACGATTCAACATCATAAAAGGCATAAATGAGAATTTATTAAAACATCAAAGAAAAAATTAAGTAATTATTACAAATCATATTCAATACATAATTCAACTTAAACTTTCTTAGAATTTAGCAAACTTCTTGTTGGCTTTACCAGCAGCAGATTGAACTTTCAAAACGTTGAATCTGACGGTCTTAGACAAAGGTCTACATTGACCAACAGTAACCAAGTCACCTTCTTGGGCTCTGAAAGCTGGGGAAATGTGGGCGGCAACGTTCTTGTGTCTCTTTTCGTATCTGTTGTATTTTGGAACATAGTGCAAGTATTCTCTTCTGATGATGATAGTTCTGTGCATCTTGGTGGAAACAACAGTACCAGACAAGATCTTACCTCTGATAGAAATTTCACCAACGAATGGACATTTCTTGTCAATGTAAGAACCTTCAATGGCAGACTTTGGAGTCTTGAAACCCAAACCAACGTCCTTGTACCATCTCTTGGTTCTTCTGTTGGCCTTAGCCTTTGGGTTGGTGAAGATGTGTGGTTGCTATGAAAAAAAATAGTTAGTATTATAATTCCTATTGGTGATCAAGATATTTCGGCTGCTCTATGTTGCTTTTGTTAAAAATATGGAGATAAATATATAATACATTATTGTGATTTCGTTTGGTGCAATTTAATTTTGAAAACTTTGTGATGGTAATTTTTTATCTTTTAATAACTGCTGTTCATTCCAAAATCCATTCGGCTCATGTGTTTCTCTGTTTGCTTCCATTCATTCACTTCAAATAAACACAAGTATTGTACTTCTCTTTGAATCATTCAATAATAAAGATGCAATTGTCGAGTTCACAAATACTCTTCATAATCTTTTAAATTAAACGCAAATACTTCACTAAATCCTTCCTGAATAAAACCATGATGTTGAAAACTCTTCTGTGTGAAATATTCCCATTGTCATTGTTCCATGTTTTGTAACTGTTTAATTAATATTGCCAAAATTCCTTTTCACTGATTATCCACAAAAGCACACAGTTCAAGCCAGTATCTTCTATCTTCCTTTATATCACTAATCCAATACACACCTTTTGGAAAGCCTTTTCAGATTGGACGGTCAATTCAGTAGCCATTTTGCTTCAACTATTTTTACTTGTTGTTCAATCACTAACAAATCCAGATAGCATTTCATGGCCTTTGAAAAATTTTGAGAATATGAAAAAATCTTAGGAGACTCCCTGGGGTTCCTAACCACTGCCTGCTTTAGGAAGGTGTGACGGAGATTTTGAGAGTAGTCGCCCTAAGCACATGATTGGTATCAGGTGGTATGTGCGTGACTCTAAGAATCAACAAATAGTCCGCCCTCACGCGTCTCTACAACACAAAGTAGTGTCCGCTAACATCAACAGCTTTTTCAATTTATTATTCAGTCAATATGATTACAGCACAAACAGAGTAGCTATTATGGCTCCAATTCAACTAGAATATAATACTGTACATTGAATACAAACAAAACATCGTAAACATTTGGAGGGAGAGAAAAAATGTTGCAACAGATAGTGAATGTATATTGCATATGACATAATAGTTATGGAATAGTTATGGAAATAAAGCATGAAGTCACTGGAAAATATAAAGTTTTTAATAATTCTTAGAATCATGAGTTTGAAGGAACGCTATGCTTAGTAACTTTCAAAGATTTGTTACCCCAAGTGGTCAATAAGTCCAATAATTCACCCTTATCATGTAATTCCCTGATATCATCTGAACCACCTCTAGACACCCCCTTGACATACAAGTTTGGCACGGTACGTCTGCCCGATTGTTGACCAATATAGGTTTGTAATTCAGCACCATGCTTGTGCTTATCTAGTTCGACAATAATTGGTTCGGGGGTTAATTCGTAATCATTCTTCAATAATGATTTCAATCTTTGGGAATATGGACAATAGGTCTTTGAGAAAATAACCACTGGAGAAAATGAAAGAATTTCCATGAACTCTTTTTCTGGGTTAAACTGTTCGCCTGGTTTTTCCGTTAAATCCTTTCGAGAACCTTCCTTATCCTCACCAGAAACTTTGATGACCAGGTTTGCTTCCTGCAATTTGTCTTCACTGTTGGCTCCCTGGACGACGGTGTTGGACACTAGGATATTATTCGCTTCGGTATTTTCCTTGGTATCATCGCCTAACAATGCGGTGGCCATTTTGAAATCATCAGAATAATGGAAAGTTTGGAACAATATGAGGACACCGACAACAATAGCCACAGCAAAAACAGACAATCTGATCTTCCTGTTCGACATTATTAATTGAATTATATTTTATTTAATTATTTTATTCTTTTTTTTTTTCTTGTCTTTTTCTGATATTTGATGAAGAGGCTTTAATTCTTTTTAATTTCGTGACAATTGGATATCAAGAAAGACCAGCTTCTGATAAGCAAAGAAAACAAAATAAAAAATAAAAAGCAAAAAATTGATATGGAAAAAACCAAAAAAGGAGTGTTAAAAATATTTCTGTGGTTGGTATTTTTATAAGAGTCTTTATTGCTCTATACTGAACTAATGGATCTATTTGAATGTTTGCTTTGACACAAACCACAAGAAATGTGAATGTTGATCTGTTATTTTTTGTTTCATGATTCTCACTATCACCGTACCGCACCGCACATTATATACTAAGTGCACCTGGTCTCCTCCCATCTAAAGATTCTCAGCACACTATGCGCTTTCATTTCCCTTACACACTTAATGGCAACAACCAAACGAACCAGCCATGTTCCACCTTGAATCACCTACTATTGATGGCATACAGAGTGATGTGCCTATCCATAAACCCCAATATGTTGATAATCCATTGCCAAACTCGCCTGAATGTCAACAGATAATTGACCATTTGCAATTGATTGAGCATAGAGAAGGTGGATATTTTAAAGAGACCGATAGATCTCCTTTCTACATGCACAATCCATACAATCCTGATTCACCTGAGGTTATTAATACTGTTGGAGTGGATAGCAAAGAGATCACAAGAAATTATTCCACATTGATCTATTATCTCATTACTCCTTTTATTCCCCTTGGAAGAATGCACAGAAACCGTTCAAGGATCATTCACATTCTTCAGAAAGGGTCGGGTCAATATGTATTGGTTTATCCTGATGGAACTGTTAAAACTTTTAGGGTAGGATTCGATTTTGCTGCGGGAGAGGTGGCTCAGTGGGTTGTACCAGGGGGCGTGTGGAAGGCCAGTTTTATTTCGGATAAAGACAGTCATTTGCTAATTTCTGAAGTTGTTGTTCCAGGGTTCGAATATTTAGATCACACTTTCATGGAGTATGCTGAGCTTTTGAAACTAGTGGGTGAGGCCAAAGCACAAGAATTGAAGTGGTTGTTGGGCAGTCAATGAAGACCATCTTAGTGGTGATTAACGTAAATAAATACACGTAAATAAATGTTTGATTTTTAATGGATTTAACTAGTTTTATCGAAATGTTTGAAGTAATTCACCTTATCAATTCCCGATAAATAGCTAAAAATAACTGATCAATCTTAGGACATAGTACAAACAGAAGATAGACATATCCAGAAATAGAAAAAGTCAAGGATGTCCTTGTGGCATTCGCCAAACACGGGGAGCTTAGAGGCTTGTTTGTAAGTGTTACGAAGAAAATAAAAGGGACTTTTGAGGTGCTGTTTACTGAAATACTAGGTATTTATTGATTCTATTCTATAAATAGTAAAAGATCGGCCTTTTATAAGTACAAAGAGTGTTGATATGCCAAAATGGGGAAACAAAAAGTGGAAAAAAGATTTTCGACTGCATAATAGTTACTGTTCTTGAGGATTTTCGGTGATTCGGCATATCTAACTCAAATGCCAATGTATATATGATAACTTCATCTCACAATTGCTGTTTCAAAAGTGAGGGACTGTGATAAAAATAGGATTTTCTAATAAACACAAGAAAGTATTTTTTATTTTTAGATACCGTTAGGTTTCTATTAAATTAGGCGAGAACAAAGAAATGAAGTAAGGGAAAAGTATGCTATGACAGAAAGATATTTGTGCACTTTTCTATCGAGTAAGATATGCCAGTTCCCAGGGTTCTGCAGCCAGATCTTTTGAGATGATAATTGAGCAGGTGGGCACACAAACATATACACCAATAATAAAATATATGTATCCTGACATTTCTTGTCAATACTCCACCTTTACCTGTCTCGATATCATTTTCTCGCCAATAGTTAAAAATAAAAATAAAAATATTCCGAAACGCCAGTTGGGGCGTTCTACAGTAGGGTGCAGGGAAAGCATGCGTGCCCCTAACAAAAAACTGTCAACATGAGTTTTGTAAATAATTCATCCACTCTTCCTTATATATATCCCGTCTTTTGCACCATATCTCACTCCCACGATCTATCAGTTATCAGTGTCTGAAAATAATAACAATATTCCCTTCCCTTTTTTTTTCTTTCATACCTCTTTAGAACACCTGCACATTCCTTGAAATCAACTTTAATCATCCGTTCCAGTTTTCATTCCCTTTATTCCCATCAAATTATCACCTCAAATGTTTTCGCTGCAATCCAACTTTAACCGCACTTTCGAAAATGATCATCAAGGGTATTATAACTATGATGACAATGAGGTGTTTGGGGCTGACTACCTTGGTTCCCGCAGCCAACAACATTACTACAGCAACTACCATTTCAAATCCAGATTAGCTTCCCAAAATCCCTCACTTTACACCAATGGCCACTACGACTTCGTGAAAGCTTTAAATGCAGATAAAGATATTAAGACTTTCATGAGCTTTCAGACTCCTCAAAAGCTTAAATTGACCTGCAGTTATCACAATTGCCCAGATTCAGATATCAGATTCAGTAGTTACATTGATTTAGCCGAGCATATGAACAAACATTCCATAGAAAGTGATTTCAAACCAGAGATATATTGCGATGGTAACCATAGCTATTGCAACAATTGCCCATTCACTGTTCTTGGATTCTCTAAAGAAAGCGAAAAAAAGGAACACAAACAACAAAGGTTATGTTTGGATTGTAAAATTCTTTTCAGTAGAGTGGATAACTTAAAAACCCACATTACTGCCAAGAATGGCAAACCAAGTCCTTGCAAAAGAAAACTTATGAAAAAAAATTCTTCAGGTTCCAGCAGAAAATTTAAAGCTGGTCCAGCCAAGAAATCTAATTCCGCCTCACCATTGCGCTCTGGATCTCCAAAACGGAAGAAGCTTCTCATGGAGCATGGCCAAGGATTGCATTCCTTACAACCAAAGTCAGAAAGCTTGATTTCCTCCGCCTATTCTAAAGATAGTGGTTCTGTTGACTCGCTAAATGCATTCGATAGCATTGCAGACTCGCCAACTCCTGTTGGCTTAAATTTCACATACAGCAATTATCAACCTTCAGTTTTTCCCTTGGTCGATGATGGTTTTGATTATCCAATCTCAACTAATCCGCATTTCTCTCATCAAGATGGAATCACGGCTATTCCTGCAAACTTTCTGCTGTCGCTTCAGCTCAACCATTTGCCTAATCAAGGTCTGCTCCCATCTCTAGATAATTTGCCTTACAAGTTCGACAGTTTTGCCAGTCCTCAAATTTATTCCCAGGGCCACTTCATTTCGAATCATTCTGATTTCTCTGATATTACGGGGCTGACAACCACTCCTGTGTTTACCCCTAATGACAGCTTCAAAATTAAAGAAGAGCCAGTTGAATCACTTTATGAATACCAAACCATTGAGTATAAACCTGAGGAGGTTAACTGGAGCAAAATATGAGCAGATTCATTTTTCTTTATTTATTATCCAGTATCCAATCTGTTTGTATTATAGAAAATTATTGATTGTCATTTCCTTTGATTTTTCTTTTATGATTTGCTTCCAGCTTTTCTATTTTGTGACGTTCCCTTTCACGTTGTTCTAACATTATTTATATATTCTAAGTTTTCTTTACCATTTTTTTTTTTTTTTTTTTTGGAGGTTCCCAGTATATTTCATTTAAGGTATTTATATTAATTGCATGATGTTCAAAATTCCAAAGCTCTGGATTTTTGTCATGATATGGGGTATCTCACCCTAAAACGCGTAAAAAAAAAAAAATTATTACTACGTGAATGCATTTACTGAAAATCGTTGATCCACACCATTATTAGCAATCTGACGGGATTTATTTTGACATACATCCTTTTGAAACTTGTTACAGCATGGAACCAATACCTTTACAGATTAAACTTAAGCCCTCTCATCTTCGACCTATTGCTTACAGAATCCTTTCAAAAAAGCATGGCCTTCATGTCAAATCTGATGCCTTGGAAGTCTTAACAGAGTATATAGGTTCAACATTTGGATCACAATGGAAATCACAAGAGTCTTTGAAGTTCATTGAAGATATTGCTAAGAGCTGGAAAGCCAAGTTCCAGGCGAATAAGAATTTATTTATTGATGGAGAGAACTTGAAAACCATAATTAAGGACATCAACGAAAAAAAAAATGTTACCAATGCTAAGCCTAGTGGTGGAGCTCAAAGTAGTTTGAGTAACTTCCTTCTGAAAAATGATGATGCCCCGATGGCTAACAAAACTGATACATTGATTGATATTGACGAGCTAATGGAGGACAGGCCAACGACCATCAAAAGAATGAAACTAAGCGAATATTTCCAGGTAAAGGATTTCTATGAGTTGCCAATTGCAAGATTCAATCATTCACGAAAGAAATATGAACCTTATTTGCCGCCACATGATAGAATGCAAGCAGAGACTAATTTAATCAAGAAATTATCTTCAGATTTCAATGTTCAAGATAATTTGAGCATATATATTTCTCGATACCACCAAGTGTATCATAAGATCTTAAGAAATGAATCATTTCATTTCAGTAGTGCATTGAATCCTACTTCCTCCACATATTTCGATGAACTACAGCTCTTATCCATTTCTGATGAGTTCTCGAAGTTGAAATCGATCAATGAGGAAGTGAAGCAAATCATGTTGATAAAAAATTTGCTCGGTAGACATGGTAAACAATTTATTATATTCGGCTTGTTGACCAAAAACAATGAAGGTAAATATAAGCTACAGGATTCTAGTGATTCAATAGAGCTAGATTTGGAAAATGCTTATCCTGATGAAAGTTTCTTTTATTTCGAAGGCTGTCTATTGATTTGTGACGGTATTTATATCAATTTCGGAGGCAAGCTGAAATTCGTGGTGAATTTAATTTATCATCCAAAGGCCGAATCGCGAGAAGATTTTTTCAGAAATTTTGGAGTGATAGACTTTCAATCAAATAATTTGGATATTAAGAATCCCAAATCAATCAGAGAATTTGATCAATATCAAGAAAAGTTAATTGCTGATTCTAGACTAAAATTACAAGAATCTGAAGACGCTGGGTCTTTAGGACTAGATAGAATCATATTTATTGGTTCTGAAATATTTTTGGACTCGTTGAAAACTCTTGATTATTTGAAAAAGTTATTTTCTCAAATTACCAAAGATATAAATGATCTACCAATAGCTATTGTGTTCCCTGGCTCATTCCTTTCGCGATCTTTTGAAACTTCCTCGGTTAACTCCCTTGGTGATAATTCTTCAATGAATTATAAGCACCTCTTTGACTCGCTAGCGGTTATTCTTTCAAATTTTCCGACCTTATGTGCAAAAACGCAATTCATATTTACTGCTGGTTATAACGATCCTTGGAGCTCTTTGGTTTATCAAGGCTCTAAATCAGTGGCTATGCCATTCAACAGAATTCCAAAGCTTTTTTTCAATCGGTTGAGTAAAATAGTAAAGAATTTGAAAATTGTGACAAATCCTTTCAAAATGTTTTACTTGAATACTGAGATCAATTTGATCAATGATGATATTTATGAAAGAATGGTAAAAAATGATATTCCATTTAACTTCTATGGTGAGAAGGTCGAAATGATGAGAAATTTGGATAGTGAATCTAACAATAATGTTGAGAAAATTGTTGAGGATATAGAAGATGATGACGATGATGACGAGGAAAGGAGAATTTCCAGAGCTTTGCTTTCCACAAAAATTTCCTCAATGAATAATTTGAATATCAATTCATTAAGAAAACAGATATTGAAACCATCGGATTCTAGAGCTTTCAAAAAAGACGTTAACAAATTAACTAATACTTTAATACACCAATCTCACATGTCTCCATTTGCCATTGCCACCAGGCCAGTTGTTTGGAAATTTGATTCCTTGATGGCCATGAATCCATTGCCTAATACACTTATTCTCTTTGACTCAACAATTGGATTCTTCAATGAAATGGTTAATGGGGTCAGAGTCATTAACATTGGAAAATTTATTAACAACGATAATAAAGCTGCCAATTATGTCGAATATTATCCTGCAAGTCAAAAGGCTGAATGGAAAAAGATTTATTTCAGTGGGTAGTTTTGTTATATCCAGGAGGATAACAATGTGAGGTTTTAAGGAAGCCTGCAGAGAATGTACGTTATTTGTCGTGAATTGTCTCAACATTTTAAACAACCAAAAAATAAAAATGTATAATAATAAAATTCTAATTAAACAAATGAAGATCAAATATATATATATATATATATAAGTTTAATGGGTATAGTGGATCAATTGACTATTTAGCAAAAAAACACATTAAGTAAAAATTAAATACAAAGCAAAAAAAAATAATTAGACAAGCCAGACAGAAAGGTGGTTAAGTATCTAAAAAAATGATCTTAAATTTGAGCTGCTAGAGTTGCTATTTGACCGTTTTCTTCTACCAAAGAGTCCTGTAGCAACAGGCTTTTCAAATCCCATAAATGCTTTGTTTTTATTGTTGATATTGCTTTCGAAGTTGCTGGTGTTAGAAACCGTTAACTTCAACGATTCAGTGAAGTTGTCGCAAGATCCATTTCTTGATCTAGTAGGATACAATCCAAAGATGTCATCCTGATTATTGTAATTTGGAGGTGAAGCGGAAAAGTTAGAATTTTTTCTTTGGATGGTATAAGAGCTCTGTTGGAAATTATAAGAACCATTGTTACTGAAGTTGTGAGCAATTTGTTTTCTGGGAGATGAAAAGTTGCTGCTGGAGTTGCTGCTAGATTCTCCACCAAAAGAAGGCTTATTGATAAGCCTTGGTGACTCAAATTCGTTATTCCCAGAACCAAAAGATTTTGTTGAATTAAGATCATCAATTGATCCGCCATATTTTGTCTTTGAGTTGCTGATAACATATGTTGGATCAAGAGAAGAATAGCCAACTGTTGTGGCATCGCAAATTTCAGCAGTAAAACTTTCCAAATCCTCTATGGAGATATCATCATTCTTATCGGACTCGTAAAGTTCAGAATCCGGAGTTGTGATCGGTTGGTTAATAGACATTGATTCCGGCACTTCAGTTTCATTGTTTTCGATAATAATCTGCTTTGGTTTAACTTGAGGCTTGGTGACCATTTCAAATAAGTCTGAATCGGTTTTCTTTGATTTTTTCATTACTCCCTTGGCTCCTTTGGATCTTATCGGTCTGCTCATGTTGACTAACGAAATATTAGAAGTTCCAAAAAACCGGTTCATCTTGCTTTCGCTAATTGGGCTTTCCATCTGAGGCCTGGAGATATTAAGAGGTTCGGTGGAATTTATTTTCAAATTTCCTTGGGAGTTTGTTTGTTTGCCAAATTTGGCCTTGAGTGGTGACAATGGCTTTTGGAATTCACGGAAGAAGTTGGCACTCGGCTTCAGAAGATTAGAGGGTCCGGATGTATCATTACCACCTTTAAAATTGGCACCGCTAGCTTCGGACATGGAAGTCGCGTCAGATTTTGCAGAATTACTGGAGTTCAAAGAAAGGGATGAATAATCACTATCATTGTCAGAACTGTTATCTGAGCATGGGCTGATATTATTAGGCTTCTTGAAAGTTGAGATAGTCAAAGGTGATATTTTGTTACTTTGGGTGGAAGTAACATTATTATTTTTGAAGAAATTGCTTGAAATTGGGCTATGTGTGCGGCCTTGCTGCTTGAATTGGAAGTTAAAGTTCATGGTTTCACCAATGCCAAAACTTCTACTTTTTCTATGATGTTTAAATTTATTTTGTTTGGCAGATTTCATATTTGATAACTCTTTTGGTGCGTTTGTAATTGCTGTAGTTTTGCTCTCTTCTTGAATTGTATTGATGGTACTTTTATTTGGCTGACTATTAGTATGCTGTTGCTGTTGTACTAAATCCTTCAAAACTTTATTGGATCTTTTCAAACCTTCGATTTCCTGGGCATGTTTCTTCTTGAGCAATTCTATTTGTTTATTGTGCTCTGATTTCAACAATGCATTATCAGCGGAGTGTTGAAGTTCCAATTTTTCTTGTGATAATTTTTTTTCTTTAAGGATCTTCACCCCATTGGCTAATTCATTTGCTAAAGATTGTAAGCTGGTAATAGTCTGTTTGAATCGATCATTTTCTTCTTGCAACTTCGTAACTTCAAGTTTTTCTTGCTTCAACAGCTCATTCAATTTTTTAATAAGAGTGGAATTTTCAATGTTGTTGTATACGTGGTGGTTGTATTTTTCAGTAACATTTTTCAAAGTTGATTTCAATTTCTCAATTTCGCAATCTTTCGCCGAATCACCAGGGCTTTGGAACAGCACTGAAGATTCAAGAACGGCAGCCATATTCAAGGAATTTATACTTTAATACGAAGCTTCCTGTCAATCATAAAGAAAAAAAAGAAAAAAAGAAAAAAAGAAACATATGGTAGTGTGAGTTACTGTCCCGGAACTTGCCGTTATTTATATTTGGACAAATGATATGTCACCCTGGTCCTGAGTTGTGGCTCAGGGTTGAAGCATGTTGGAGGTTGTGCAAACAATCTGTGGGTCCTGCAGATACCTGCTCAAATGGGATAGAAGTATAGTCGTGTCGCGTGATTTCATTCGAACATTTCTGCAAAATATCTAGTGAAGTAGCGTGACGTACCTCACAAAACGCATCAAATCAATCATATGGTAGAGTTAACACCCATGATTTATGGGGCCAGAAATACGGTTTAAGATCTGGTTAACATCCAGGTACCGCAGCAAATCGATTTTGGAAGTATCCTCTAATTAAAGTTTGTCTTGGTATCTATCATTAGTACTTTTCCATCTTGTGGAAAGACACGTACCACTGATCTACACGAAAAAAAAAAAAAATGAGGTTTTGGATTAAAATATCACAAACATAAGCAAAACTATAGAGAAAAAACAACCGTCATGAAAAGAGAAGAAAAAAAAGATTTTTACTTCTTAGCTCTCAATAGAATATGATATCAATTGATAAAATACTTCTCTATCCTTTTCATCATGAATCCATATACCGTAAACCTCTCCAAAACAATTCTTGAGCATCAACAAATCATTGGTAGTATTAATCTCATAATTAACACCACGATAGAAATCAGGATATTTGGTGGTAGTGCTCTTTGAAATAATGCCCAAAGAAATGTTCTTTGGATTGTTTCGATTGACAATCATTAACCCGTTTTTATAATTGTCCTTAGACTTAAGTTCTTCATATGACAATATTCTTTGATTATTGTCAATCACATTACCGTTGGCATCCACATCATCAATGTTTCTTTCATAAAAGATTAAAGGCCCTTCGAAATCCAACTTTTCCCATTCATCTGTAGCTTCACTGAACTTGTATAAAACCCCATGAGGCGTTTGGTGGATTATCTGTTTCAATTTAGGGTCATATTTTCCAACAAAATTGAAGTTCAAAATCCGACGATATATCTCGAGGGTCATTTGATCCTTATCTTCTGTCGTGCTTGTCGAACCACTATTTGTAGCAGCGGATATGGTTTGTGGTTGAGGTGTACTGGGTTGTTGAGCAGATGGTATCTGACTATTATTGGCACTGCGTTGTTGACTCAACATCATCTGTTGATATTGATCATTCGATAATACCATCGGTTGCTGTGCCACTGGAACTTGCATCATGAGCATAGATATTTAAGGAGTGAAAGTATATCAAAAGGATGGAGTGAGTCTGTTAAAAGGATGGAGTGAGTCTGTTAAAAGGAGAAGAGAGACTTCAAAAGTAATGCCGAAGGTGGTTATTGATATTTTCAGAACTAATATTGTGCCTCAAGTCCCTTGTCATCTCTCTCTCTCTTTTTTTTTTAGCGATAATTTTCTAAAACAGAAAAGCACAGCATATCAAAAATGCTAAACGCACAACAACCATGATCTGGGTGTCCGAATTATTGTTTTATACTAATATTATTACATGAATTTTATTTTTGAAAAGAAAGGAAGGAAAGAAAATCTATAGTAGTGTAAGTTTATATATATGTAAAAAAAAAAAAAAAAAAAGTTTCTATAAAATTGTATAATTGAATGATTAATTCAAACAGAAAGAACATCCAAATAAAGAGAATTGAAGAGGAGAAGGCTTAAACTAGGAGAGAATACCAAAATGTTGCTCAACGTCAAAGGCTCCTGGTTGTTTCCATAAGTCATTAAAGGCAGTGAATAATAATACTTGATCTCCCACTGTTTCCTTAATGGCAGAAATAGCAGTCGTTTGATTGTCTTCGCCGGGAATGGCATCACCGTTGTCATTACCAGCAGAAGGCCAACCAGATTCTGTAATTAAAATCTGGTCCAGGTCCACATTACAAGCCGAGGCAACCTCTTCAATAGTCTTTTTAAGCCATTCTCCAGCATTTGCAGCAGAACAAGTGGAGTCAAAGAATGCATGAGCATTGATAGCAATAAAGTCACCAGCGGTACAAAGTTCTGTGTGGGCAATCACCGCATTGAAAGTATCCACAGAAACAACTTTGCCATTATAATTGTGGGCAGAAAGAGCTGATTTGGCTTGACTAATATAGCTTTGGATATCACTGACACTAGCCTCATTGTTGTTGACGAGTTCATTACCAACGGAGACGGCATAGATGTCATCCCAACTTCCATAGCTACCAACAGCACTAGCAATGGTGGAAACTGAACTATCAATACTACTCACATAAAAGATACCAACAAAGATTTTTTGGGAGTCAGATTTGGCTTGCAAGACGTTTTCAACTTGACTACAATCGGTGTCGTAAATTCTGATCACATCAAAATCAGTAAGTTTTGCGAAGTCTGATTTCACAGTAGACAAGTCTTTACAACCACCACTACTTGTGTATGGAGAATAAGTGATACCTTTACTTCCACTTTCTGTAGTGTTGCTGACTTGAGAAGAAGAGGAAGCAGAACTAGAAGCACTGGAAGAAGTAGATGTGCTCAGAGCGGCAGACGATGATATATATGATGAAGTGACAGATGCGGTAGCATATGAAATAGAACCAGTACTAGTGGCACTAGAAGTTGTTGAGACATCTTTATTCTCGCCCTCGCTGACTTCGATGGTGGTTGTAACATACTCCGCAGCAGTAATATAGGCAGTTTGAGTAATGGCTCTTTTCTTCAAATGATGAAAAGCAATAGGCGAGGCCATATTGGCCGAAGCTAAGGAGAGCACAACTAGGAGCTTGATAAGTAAAGAATTTATCATACTTGAAAGAAAATGGTTTTAAAAAGAGTGGACAACCTTTGAAGGCCAGCTTGAATAAATGTCTGTGAAGATGGAAAGAAAATAAAACCTCTAGAGAGAGTATGTTTCCTTGAGTTATAATGTGTCATCTTTTCAAATTATATATGAATACGGAATACTAATATATATCTACCATTCATTCATTGTACGTAGCTTATGGCATGACGTATATTTGACATGCCCATTAGCCAGGACTGAGATGCTGCATGAGGATGTGACACTAGTGTACTGCTGGAGATTTTTTGGGAGAAAAAAGAACAGAAAAGGATTTTGAAACAACTCTAAATTTTGCTATCCATGGATAATGAAACTAATTAGCTTCTCATAAATAGTATTTCCAGGACTTCTGATTTGATGACACGAGGTTTCTTGCATTAATAAATAAAGAAAGTCGCGTAAAAGCCAAAGCATTGATTGTGAAGAGATATTATTGTTTTTATTAGTTACATATATATAACTGGAAAACCTCTGCTGTGTCACCATTGGCTCTTCTAATTTAAATAAATCATCCCTCTTTCATTGAAAACAAGAAGTATTGTCCTATCTGGGGGATGAGTACCATCTGTACTTATGAGACGCACCTCGCAAAATTGAAAAAAAAGCGTAGGTTTTTTTTTCCCACGTTTCAAATGGCTCGCATCGCAGCTTTTGAATGAAACCATTTTATCCGGCTAAATAATTAGCTCACAGTATACTTTTTAGGAAAAATTAATGGCTTTTAATTTTTCTTAACCTTTTAATTTTTAGCGCAATGCTCATGATTGTAAAATTAGTCTTTTCAAGGCATTGTAAAATTCTAATTATCCATTCTTTTGGTGGTTTCAAAACTATCAGTAGCAGGACTCAGTATGCTTTTAAGATAATTTACCATGCCTACAGATTCTCAGCGTTCTATCATTTATTACTTGGTCATTTAAATAGAAAAGCAGGAAAATTTTTTACTTCAACCTTGGTCCAATTGATTTTTTTATTTTTTGTTATTCATTTTTTTCTTGTTTGTTAACATTTGATTGCATAGGTTCAACAAATTGGCAAAGATAGATATGTGAAACAAGCCAACATGGCTTACCATCCATCATTAACTACACTTTCTCGTTGTTTACTATTTAATTGAGTCAAGAAAAAAAAAAATGAAAAGACTTGTAATAATTTATAATTTAAGATCAGACAGCCTCTGGTTATTACACTCCTTACACATACTTTAATGATTTTTTTTTTGTCTTCTTGTTGTGTGATGTGATTAATTCTTAAAGCAAGGAGTGTGAGGCTGTGAGAAAGCTATAGTATTTTACTCACCTATTAGAAAGACCGGCATAAAATGCCTGGCTTGCATGTTATTTAGAACCTCTGTGACTCGTTAATATACAATTTGATTTTTGATTTGATTTTCTTGTTATATTTATTTTATGCTCTTAATTGTAGAGAGCAAAGCAAGAGAGCATGAACTGTGACTACTGAATAGTAATCATCTTGATAAACTTACTAAACAAAATTCTCCTCGTGAAAATGTGAAAGGTAAATAATGGCTTTCACTATCGGGCATAAATTGAGTCAAACAAAGATCACACGAATTTCGCGATTTCCAAGCATCGAGCATAGTTTTATCTATTCCGGAGTGAATATAAAACAACTTGGAAAGTTCAACAATCTGATCGTCGTGATATTACTTGATACAATCTAATGAATATACATATACCACCCTTCTTACACGCGAATATAATCAATATTAATATATTTCAAACACAGGAACATAAAGTAATCGACATAATAATTCTCTAGGAGCCAAAAGCCTTTCTTGCTGGCATGATACTAATAAAACACACAGGTACACTGAAAAAATCTAAACTGAGCTATAGTCCTCATGAATTATGAACGTAAAGCCCTCAATCTTTCGGCTAATCTGTCCTCTTTGGCCTCATCCACTTTTTGCAGCTGTTTGATTTCAGGATTTTCAATCTTAGAGGTATCCTTCAAGTTTTGTTGTAATTCCAAGCCAGCTTCATCAGCTACTTGACTCATTAGCAAATCAACATCTTCTTGAGGAGTACTCAAAGCAGTAGCGTTATTGGTGGCTGTCTCGTAGTAGTTGGTAGTGGCGTCTAAATCTTCAAATTGGGTTTCAAACTTCTCCATTACTAGGGAAATTTTCTCCAAATTCATGCTTTGTAAAGCCTTGTCCATTCCTTTAATCACATTGGTCATGTTACCAGAGACTTGTCTCATGGTCACTGCTGTCTGGACTCTTGAAGAAACCGCATCAATTCTTGAAGCTAACCGAAGTAAGTTCAATCGCTCATTCTGCTTGCGAATCGCGTTTTGGGCATATATCTGAGCAATATCATTATTGCCCTGTTGCATAGCTTTTTTTATTTTAGCCTTTTCCTTTTGTTCTTCTTTGCCAGCCTTTTGAGCTTGTCTATTCAACAGCTTAGCTGTGAACTGTATTTTGGTTAATATTTGATTTCCCAAGTTTTATATAGACACATATTAAAAAAAAAATATCGAAGGAAACTTACTTTAAGTTGAAATAATGATTCTAGTACACTGTTAGTTATTTTGCCTCCCAAAGCAAATAGAAAGAAATCGAGAAGAAAATTTTCGGAAGGAGATAAAGGCACTTTCTCCTAGCAATATAGTGACGTGAAAATTCAACAAGAAAAACTCACGCTCTAAGCCAGACATTATACCACTTGTTAACTGTCTGGTGGATAAGAATTCATGGTGACGATAAAGTCATCCTCTTCTCTGTCATCACCCCAAATCTTGAAAACCACAAATTTCCTGCGCTTTGTGTCACAACATTCGTGCGTATGTACACATGATCCCACATGAAGATGACATTAGAAGTGTATTAATAAACTATGAATAAAAGAAATAAAACGAGTTGAAAGTTTAAAATCCCCTATAATATAATGAAATAGAGATAGAGTGATGAATACAAATAACTTTTTTGGAATTGAAAGAGAACAGAAAAAAAAAATGCAAAATCACAATCAAAGCATGAAAAGGGCCACCAAAGCTAAGGCAGAAGATACATGAATGAAGCTCTTAGATCCCTCACCGACAAGAATAGAGGAGTAAGATTTGGAAGTGCTGTTAGAGACAACACTAGTGAAGCTGGATGAAGATGGTGCTGGTTTTGCTGGAGTTGATACTTCTGTAGTAACTGGTGGGGCCTGAGTTGAAGCTTTTGATGGCACCGGAGTTGGAGTAAGAGTTGGAGCAGGAACGACGGTAGCAGCAGTTAATGGACAGTAGGTAGTATATTCGGTAGTGATAAATTCTTTGGTTTCAGTGATGACGGTGAGACCGGTGGTAACAGGTGTTTCGGAACAAGTAAGAGTACCACAGTTGGTAATTGTGATAACAGTAGTATCGATATCAGAAACGTAAACGTAACTCGTACTGTTGGTGTAGTTTCCAATAGCCATAGCAGTCGAGGAAGCAGATAAGAAGGCAGTTGCAGTGGATAACTTCATTATGAATTGATGAAATTTAGAGCAGTATATAAAATGACTTTTCAATTCTGGAAAATGCAGGTTGAATATTAATATTTATTAGTTCTGTCAAAATGATTTCTGAGTTATAAAAGCGAAAAGTCTGATTTATATAGTAAAGCATTAGTATATCCAGGGGTTACATATGGATAGCCATTGCATCCATCGAATGGCTATATGCAGCTAGGATTTTGCTAAACATGTAACTTAGAGACTTCTTGACTTTGGCAGTTATCCATATATCCATTTTTGACCCCATACAGGGCCTATACTCTCATTAACAGGAATAAAAATAGTTCTTGTCCCTTGATAAATTGAGCAGCTCGCCTCATAATAAATGCGCCCAAGAAGACATCGCCTTGCGACCTGTGGAATGCGCCTATGGTTGCCTTGGATGCAAAAAAAAAACTTTCACCCTGCTTATAGTAACTGGTCACATCTGTGTCTCCTTTTCCAATATTCTGCCGTATCCATACTTTCTGTATCTGTGTTATGGAAAGCTTCGTAAAAAAGAAATTGAAAAAATTGTTTTCAATCGGAGAGCCTCATGTTATTATTCATGGTGAGCCTTTCAAACAATCACCACGTGAAGGTCGTGTGTTTTTCGCGTATACGCGTAAATATATTTATTTTAAATATCATCGTCGCGTCACAAATGAGCCAAATCAACAGTTAACTAAAAAGTTAACTGGCTGCCTTATGAATCTTGGAAAATTAAATTTTCTTTGGAAGGATGTTAAAGTCTTTTAAAAAATTATTAATATTTTGCAATTTTCGTGTGACTGTATTTTTTGAAGAACTTTTCCTCCCTTTTTGATGTTCTCTTTTTGTAATTTGCATTAAAAAATATGCTGATAGTTTTGCATGAAATGTCACAAAAACCACGAACATGGAAATACAATATTGGAAAATGCATATTTATAATTAAATTATTTCTATCTCAAATTTTTTCTTTCTTTTCCTGTTTCTTCCTTTCTTTCTACTAGATACTAGGTGATATTCATAGTCAATAAAAGAAGGGGAAAGAAGTAAAATATTAAACACCTTACTCCAGTACAAACTTTATAACCTCTATTCGGTCATACTTTATCACAAATGCCAATCAGAAGAACCATTGGGGAGTGAGTAACTTGAGCGTTTTTTTCTTTAATGAATGGGTTGGTTAACTAACGAACCCACAGAACTACAACCGACAGCCCACCAGCGCAGAGCCCTTCAGAAATGTCTTCTGTTGACGCTCCAGTCGTTGACACGCCCGTTGAAACTGCTGCAACTTTTATTTCAGAGGAATCTTTTCAGAATGATGATATTGTTAGTGGCAGCAGAATCGAATCCAAGTTTATTAGTCATTTGGAAAATTACAAAATTTTAGGTGCTGTTATTGAACCAGCTGGAAACTTTTTGGCGCCAACTATTGTGAGGATTAGGGCTGCCACACCTGAATCCGTTGCTTCTACCATTAAAAGTGTGGATGAACTTTTTGATAGTATGCTCACCGCTGTTGATGCTACAATTCTTCCGGACGTTTTGAAAAGGGTCCCAAACAGAAGAGTTTCAGAAAATCAATGAATATGTTGTGAGTTTTAGAACTTGAAATTTTTTCTTCAAAAATTATTTCAAACAGAGATCTTCGTATATAATGAAATTTATAGTAATGAAATTAAATATGTGAGATATACTATATATATGATTTAATTATTTTTTTTTGTGTGGGTGATAAGATATATTCTGGACTCTTTTGGTCGAAATAAGTAGACTAAGTTGGATCTTTGAAAATTTGTGTGACCAGGTTTTCTTCATTTATATATATATATTTAAAGCGATGATTTAGTTTCAATGAAATCGTTTATATTAGATATCTTTGTGTTAGGTGGATAGCTGATATCGTAGTCGCGTCAACACCAATTCACGTAGCGAATTGTTCATATTGGTTTCTAGCATGCCAGATCATAATTAGAGTCCATTGATATTACAAAGAAGATACTTTTTTAAATATTCATCCAATATGATTTTAAATACAGATTATATTGAATACCTTTGTTACAATATTATTACTACATATTTTTTGTACTTATTTCGTAAGCCTTTAACTCTTTCTTCGTTCCTTTTTGCTTCGTCTTTGGTTTCAATCCTTTGAATAATGAATGTTTTTTTTCTTTTTTTAGGTTAATGAAGTTAAGTGGCTTTGTCCAAACCATTCATTTTAGCATATTGAAGACAATATTTCACGTTCTATTGTTTCAACCTGTATATAGGTTTATATATAATATTACACAAACACGCGCGTCAAACAGGGCAATTACGCCAAACTGACGAGAGTTGATTTTTTTCAACTTCTCATTGATGCTTACAGAAAGACCAATATATCTTCAATATGGGATCTTACAATTCAAGTAACTAGAATTTTGTCTAAAGAAAGAAAATTCGAAGTAGATGATCGCGTTTTATAGTTTCATGGGTTCCACATTTTGCTTTTGTAGCAATTAGATATAACACTCATCATGTTAATGAGCCACTATTTATTTCCACAAATTATTTCCAAGCCTTGAAAATTGGATTTATCAGTGGTTTACGGCTGGTTAGATGAAATTTTTAGATATTGGTTAGTTAGATGATATACAGCTAATAATTTGACACTGTGGATATATATATATATATATATATATGAGAGCTTTTCCAAGTCTCATCGCTAGCTGAGAATATAAAAGAAATACGAACAGTATTTGCAAGCTTCAGCTAAAACTTTGATTCGTCTGTCCTTTGATCTCGGTACTATTATTGAATACTGATGGTTTTTTTTTTTTTTTTAATAATTAGAGATATCGATGTGTCTCAATTGTTCCGAAAACTTGAGACTTATAAAAGCTGCCAGACTGATAATCACAAAACTTATGATGAGAATAACTTGAAATATCGATCTTTTTTAGAGTGTATTGGTCCAGCAGGAAATATATTATATATATATATGGGTTGGATGGGATGGGATGTGACGCTTGATGTGCTGCACCCCTATATGTGATTTATTACGACATACGGTAGTTCAGGCTCCTTCCCGACTGGGCAAAAGCCATAGGGTACAAAAAATATGAGATTTTATACTCTATCGAAATCGCTCGAATAGGAAGGAAGGCAGACAGGCACTTTCATGCGTGAATAGCCCACACTGATCAATACTCATCATACATATTCTCCCTGGTAACTAACTGTAGTACGTGAGGCCAATACACAAAACTGACATTTATCACCGCTGGCGAAGAATATTTCGTTCATCTGAAGGTGTTAAGTGGGTAGGTTGCTTGCATGCCGTATGTGGGTGGGTGCATCAAATCACTAATATACAGAAAATCCTCAGCAGGGAACCACTTGGAACAAAAATACTAATCAAAGCAATTATAGTATCTTCTTTGCCTTAGCTCCTGTTTTGAGTTTTCATACCCATTTATCAGTCATATGTAAAGACTCTTTTCTTGGGCAATATTTGATACTCCAAATCAGCCTGATTGATGGGTGCTGCAAAATTGCTGCACGATGCAGTATCAGAAAGAACGGTAAAACACTCATTGAAAATGAATGGATACCTGATAAGCTCCAACAATATCATGTTGTCGAATATTTATATATTCGATAGAGGATCTTAAAAATTTGACTCTTTGGCTCAGATATCTTATTTTTTTTTGTTCCACAAGGAGCTTTCACATAATCGCTTATTCTTTCTTTTATTTAACCAAGTGATTTTCCTGCAACTTTCTTTTTGTTGGCTGCATTTTGTTTATTTTTAATATTATTCTTCTCACCAATTTGAATATTCGAAGTCAAAATCTTTTGGAAACATGAAGCTACTTTCTCTTTATTATTTGGCATTGGCTGTCGCTTTAGTTGATGCAGTCACGGTTCACAAAACTGTCACTGTGACATCTTGGGCAGGTAAATCCACATCTTGGGTAACTATGGCCTGTACTTTCAATAATTCAGAATATTCTAAGTATATGGATGCTACTACTTCAAGTAGTAAGACTTCCTCCACAAGCAGCAAGTCTTCCACCTCGACTGCTTCGACTACCAAGAGCTCATCCTCTACCACAAGCACCAAGTCTTCCACTTCAACTACCTCAACTAGTAACAGCTCATCTTCTACTTCTGTTGCCGTTTCCACCTCTAAAAACGAGAAAGGAGTGTCTACTTCAACTTCTCCAACCTCGAAGACCTCTAATACTGCTACTTCCTCTAGTACTAGTTCCTCCACTTCTTCGAAGACATCTAGTACCAGTTCTTCCACTACTTCAAAGACTTCCACTACTTCCACCAATTCAAAGACCTCTGATATTTCAAGTACAATATCCACTAGCCACAATTCAAATACCTCTTCTTCTAGTTCCAAGACCGAAACCCCTTCTACCACAAAGTCCTTAACTACAATTATCTTGACTACCTCCAGTTGCTCTGGTAATGTTTGTACCACTAAGAAAATCACCTCTACTAGCGAAGTTTCAGTTTCTTCAGCCAGTTCTTCTAAAGCAACCACTACTACCACAGGCTCTGCTGAATCATCTGCTGCTAGCTCTAAGAGAGTTTCTGCTTCTAGTTACTCGGTATCTAATTCCACTAAAAGCTCTACTGCAATGGTTACTAGTACAGGAAAAAATAGTACTACTGTTCCATCATCCACCGATGTCGTTTATGTGACTGATAACTCTGTTACTCTTGTTACTATTACTTCTTGCTCCAATAACGCTTGTGCAACTTCTTCCTTTACTACCGGTGTTACTGTGGTGACGGATACTATTGATGATGTGAAAACTATCTATACCACTTATTGTCCTCTTACTAAGACTACTGCTTCAGAATCTGAAAAAACCACTTTGATTGCGAAAACTTCATCATCATATACTTCTGCTGTTGCTACTACGACCACCAGTGTTTTTGTCACAAGCGAAAAAGCTTCTGCCACTGTTGATGCCACTGCTTCTACGAAGGCTGCATCTGTTATCACCAGTGCCGAAGAAAAAGCCGTCACAGCTACTGATGATTCAACCACAACTCTTTATAAAACTATTGCTAGTAAATTAATTGTTAAGACTGCTACCAGATCTACCGTTATTAAAGTCACTTCAACCTCTGCTGGATCAGTTTATACTACCGAAGTCACTACCGGTGTGGAAGTTGTTACCTCTAGTGGATCTAGTTACCACTCCTACATCCCATTATCAGAAACTGAAGCTGCAGTTGTTAGTGGCTCTTCTACTTTGGATGCCTATGCCTATACTAGCTCTGGAACTGAAAGTTGGACAGTCTCTTCTACATTGGCCGCATATGCCTCAACTACTTATGAATCTGAAAGTTCTAGTGGGGCCATTTTGGTATCAAACTCCATTTCCGCTTCTAACGGAACTTCTATCAGTATCTTCGATAACTCGGTTGGTAGAGCCATGTCTTTCAGCATAGGAGGTTTGATTATTGCTGTCTCGGTGTTGCTATTATAAGCCCACTGAACCACACTTTATTTCATTTCTTACTGTGCAATATTTATAAGATACATTCAATTTCCTTTGCTTCAATTCGCTTCCGATACACCCCTTTAAAATTTCAGTTCTTTTCTTAAAAAGTGGTGTTTAAACTTAATTTCAATTCTTAGATCCTATAGATTTTTTTTTTTAATTAACTACCTTTTTATTTATTTATTGTTTCAGATTAATTGTAGGTTCAATAATGGCTCTGATTAAAATAGCATTGGTATACACGTCCAAAAGGGAGCACTTCCCCACCCGCCCGATGAAGACAGAGTTATCGCAAATTCAAACTGAGATGCATATTCCTATAATGCTGATGCAAATATGACATCTTTTCTCAAGATCAAATGTGATTGATTATCTCGAAGATCTTTAGACAGACAGTAAGAGAGGTATCGCACCCCGTGCAAGTTATGAGCGTTTAGACGCAATTTCTGGCAAATAACTTGTAACAAGCCTGAAACCAGAGCAAAAATCCATTGAACAATCCTCTACTTTATTACACTTATTATCCAAAGAAAAATCACATAAAAAAAACAAAAAACTAATACGAGCAAACAATCAAAATAACACATGAACGATTTATCTCCAGTAGAAAAGAATCAGCAGCCTCTGCAAGCGCTTCATGAAGATCGAGGAAGTTCCGAGTTTATAACGTTCCATAAGCCGGGACAAGTATCCAAGGAAACTATTGGATATGGAAATGGTTCCAACGTCACCGAAGAGAAGAACAATAACACTAGCCCCTTTTCAGGGTCAACCATTTTTGGTGAACCAAAGAATTTGAACATGAATGAAATGGGTGACAATTTGGAACTTCCAACCGGGACCGGGAACAACCATTACGACCCATCGTCATCGCCCTCGTCATTAGAAGATGAACTCCTATTCTTCAATTACCACGAGTACTCTGTACAGAAGTATGAATGTTTAGAAACTGGTGTTTACGCTCAGCACAGCCACCCATTAACGATTACTCACTTTCCGAATCCATATGTGGAATTCCAATCCAAACAATATAGAAGTACGAGAATTGTACGAATACCTAGGATCTTCAATAAAGTAATTGCTAATACGTATCCTCAATTTTCCACGACGATTCCAGGATTTGAACCTGCAGCCTTGATTGATCCAAAACATTCGACAGATCAACTAACCAACGTTAATAGTTTTATTCCAAAAGGTATTTATCAAGGACAATTGTTTGGATATTCGTCAGTCTCTCCCTTGTCACAATACTTGACGGTGGAAGAGTTTAAAGAGATTGTGGAGAGAGTCAATGAGTTCATGAAAAACGCATTCGATCCTTTGACTGTGTTGAATATAATCAATAACATATTGAATTTTATGACAATCTGGACATGGGAAAGGATCATAAGAAGCCCATCAAAAGCTTGTTTGGATCGTTTAGAGGCATTTATCGAGGATTTGAATAATAATCAACTCAAGACGAAAGATATAAGGATTATAAGTCCCAGAAGATCAGGATACATTTGTGTAAGTGTCGCTTTTTTTCTTTCTCCCCTTTATCGGAGATGGCTATACTAACTTTTCTAGCTTGATTTTGAAATTCCCAAGCCGGTAATACCATAGAATTTAGCATCTTTTCGAGATGTTTAATGAACTCGCACATTGTAAAATCTTTCCGCAGCGGGGTTACGGAGCGCAGTGTCTGTAAAAATTCAAAATTTATGTCAAAAAATTTGACCCCGAAACCCTTGAAATATAAGAAATAAATACTCTTTAAGATAGCCCTTTCAATAATAAAAGCTTATTAAGAGGAGGTATGAAACGAAATACGATCTGGAGAACTCCGGTAACCGATTTTGATTATATTTCTTGTAACAATATCAATCTTGATGGTCTATTGGTGCCCACTAATAACGATCCTTCACAGCTTCGAAAAGATGGTATAGCCACATACGAATATATCAGTTACATGCAGTATATGCCTGGGTGCTATGGCAATAAACCTGTTTATTCAGCCAACAAGTGGCTAGGACTCGACCCGTTACCCATAGTGTCAGAAGATTGGGCAAGCTTTATTAATAACAAGCGAGAGGGAGAGTTCATGTATAGCATTTATCCAACCATATATTCCATAACGGCAGCAACGGTTGTTTCGTGTATATTGACTGTCATAGTTTTCACCAACACACAAAAGCCAAGCATCTTTTTGATTCTAGGGTCACTACTCAGCTCCATCAATTTAATCAATATCTTGAGCAGCTCCATGAAGTTTTTGGCGGCCAATATACTGTTAGGGAAAGCATCAGGAGAAAATTTGTTGAATGATATTCAGTCGAATGTGAGTTTTAATGTTATCGATTTATTTTCGGTATTCATTTTACAGTTATGTCAAGTTCAAATTATTATGAGATTATTTTCGCGACAGAAAGAGAAGCGGTTTACATTTGTCATGGGAGTTTCACTATCAATAATCTCCCAAGTCATTTGGGCAATTTCTACATTTCATTATATGTCAAACAATGCGGATTTGGATGATGATTTGAGTATTATGCCGGCGTTCATTTACTTGTTAAGAATCGCCATGAATGTGATGTATTCGGTGTTGGTGTGTATTTATTGTTTTATCAAGTTGGAGTTTATTAAAAGGAAAAACTTGATTCTTATATCAATTGTCAGCATCTTATCGACAAATGTCCAATTTGCCTTTTTCATTGCTGATGTTGCCAATGTTTGGGTTGCAGAGTTATCTGAAGTTTTTAATGCTGCTGGATATGTGGTGTCTACGGTAATTGTCTGGGAATGGATTAATCGAGTTCATGCTTCTGAAAAAATGAAACAGAGCAAAGGTATTCTAGGAAGACCTTTCTATGAAGACGAACTAAGCACCACAAACAAGGTGGATAGAATATCTTTATTCATTCCTGAAGAAGATGGACTTATTGATTCTGACTATGATTCCTATGATGGTGATGCTGGGTCATTTGATAATGAAAATGGAGGCCATGGAAATGGCATCAAAACAGAATATTATGAATTTATTAGTGCACTGAAATCAAAAACTCAAGAATTTATTGCTACAACTGTCCCAAATTTTATAAGAAAAACTACTGTCACATTGGCCTACCTTACGGATCAAATTATTGCGTATGGATTAGCGGTACCGAGATCAGTTTCTGTGAATAGCAAGGATAAAAAATCGCCAAATAAAAACTTCACCAGCAGAAGATTTGGAGGTGAAGATGCAAATAATGATACTGAGAGCAGTGAAGCGCTACTGATCTATACCAATGTTGAGAGGGATTCCACTTATGCACAAAACTATGACGCTGATAACAACGATAGTCCACAAGTATCGGATGCTAACAATGGCCCCACCTTTGTTTATTCCAGGGCGAAATTTCAAATTCAAGGTGATGATGAGACAACGGGGGGTGAATCAAATGATGACGCTTTTGCTTATTACGATGATGAAATTGAGGAGCATCAAGAACATGATGTGCTGATTAGTGATGATTCAAGCGAACATAGCTCTTAATGATTGTTGAAACAATTTTTCCTTCCTTCTTTCTTTCTTTCTTTTTTTCTTTCTTTCTTTCTTTCTTACTTTTTCATAATTGGGTTTTCTTTTTTGGCCATTTTGTGGCGGCGCTTCTAATAACTTTTCTTACTTTAGGACGAGAAAAATTGGGTATTTGGATATTGTAATATATAGTTTAAGATAGTTTCCTGTTTAGCATTAATTTAAGAATTTTAATTTGATTATTTGTATTACAACCATAACCAAAAAATTGGAAATATTGATGTCAGTTTTCTTGAGACAGCCTCACAACACCACTACATTATAATTGAAATACTTTTGATTTCTCTTCAATATATGCTCAGTGTCATCCCATGGAGTGTGAAAGATTCCGGAGTTGATCAATGGTAGGTAAATGTCCAACTTGGATGAGTCAGGACGATCGCCTTCAGGACCTTGGGAAACAAGACGATCCTTGTTTAAATCAAAAGTTGACCTAAGTTTCAAGATTGCTTGTAGCTCCTCCCTATCGTCTGTTAGGGTATGTAGATCTGCTTCATCGCAAAACAACTTTGCCTCTAGATTCTTCAACGCCTTCTCAGTATTTTGCAAAATGCTACTTGGGCGATCCGCTTTTGACCCGCCGATATTCGAAGTGAATAAACATAAAATGAACTTTGTTTCAACAGAAGGAGTTAAAGATACCGCTCTATTACCTTCATCACCTCTGGAGGTGGAAATAACCTGTGAAAGCCCCAACAATTTCCTGGGATCGCTTTGATAGTTGCTACAATACTTCTTATGGATCTCCTCAGCAGACGCAAACTCTAGGGCAATGGCTCTTGCAACACCACCTCCCCACCTGCCTTGACAGTTGCAGGAGTGAAGAATCACACTAGGAAAAGGGGAGATCTTAAGGACATCGCCTTTGAGGTACTTGATCATATTTGCTATAGATAACAAAAGTTATATACTGTGATCAGAGCAACTGAAAAAAACAACAACAAAAAAACAAAAAAACAAACATGGATTAGAGCGATGTGCGTCTATCACAGAACCGACTCATCTTTCAGAAATTTTGACGTACTTTGACATCATTAATCAATTGACATACACATATCCATCCAACACCCCAGCCTACTTATTACTAGGCTAAGGCTACTAGTAAACGTAAAGATTTCTAAGAAACTGGTCTTCAAATAGCCAACAATACAATAAGCCGGACGCGTATCACAAAGCAAGTGCGAGAAAGCATTTATAATCTGCCACACCTAAAAAATGATGTAAAAAAAAAAAAAAAAAAAAATTCGAAAAAATCTATTATTATTATTATATGCTGATTTACTGAAAATCAAAACTACTCAAAGATAAAATAAGCAGTCATGGCACCAATTGACGCTGAGAAGTATAGCAACATAGTCCAAAAAATTGAAAGCATCGTAAAGGAGCATTGTGAGCATTTGGATTCTGCTCATGATTGGGATCATGTTAAGAGAGTGAGACAGCTAGCACTCAGACTCTACAGGGATACCTGTTCTAATGGATACCTAGAAGAAGAATTGCAAATGGTGGAACTAATAGCTTTGTTACATGATGTCGGTGATTTCAAATTTGGATTTGATCAAGAAAAGATCCTTGATGAGATTTTGACTCCTTTGGTTGATGAGGCAACCAAACAGCATATCAAAAATGAGGTATCGTTAATCAGTTGGAGAAAATCCTTGAAGAGTGAAAAAGACAAGGAAAACCATCCTGAAACTGTCGAGCTGAAATTACAGTTGCACGATTTTGTCAGCGATGCAGACCGTCTCGATGCTATGGGAAACATCGGTATCGCCAGATGCTTTTCCTACGGGGGTAGTCGTCACTCCAAGCTTTATGATTTATCTGTTGATCCAGATTTGAATCTCACCAAAGAATCTTATAATGCCCAAACGGAAATTTTGCAGGATGGTAAAGTCTTGGCGAGTAAATCTAAAAACAACTCATTGAATCATTTCTACGAAAAGTTGTTCAAATTAAAAGACAGTTTGAAGACCGACAAAGGTAAAGAAATGGGGATCAAAAGACATGAAAGATTGCAATGTTTTGTGAAAGAGTTTTTAGAGGAAGTAAATTGCGAGTCTTAGATATCTACAATTTCTTGAAAACGTAATTGGTAATGAATTTATCAAAGATCGGATGAACGGGATTAAAAGCCAATAAACTTATATAGAATTCCATCCCTTTTTCAATTTTTCGACAGCAAGCTGTGCGTTTTGCTCGCCCAATTCTTCAGCAAGAACTTTATATATATTACTCCATGATTTTTCAGTCAATTCCAAGCCTGCTGATTGTTGATTTAATGGAGTAGATGTAGATGATGTAATAGGAACAACAGTGCTAGGTTCTTCTGGCTTAACTGGCGCCTTACCAACCATAACCATAAAAGATATTTCGGCATTTTTGACACCATCAATATCCTTCAATTGAACAGAGTCATTTGGAACCTTTGATTTCACCATAAATTTTAATTGAGATGTAACTAACCCACTGAGTTTTTCATCTTGGGTTTTGATCTTGGCAATTAATTGTTCCTTGATCTGGTAAATGGTATTTGTGGAATCACTGGTGAATTCAGTAGAAAATTTATATGGAGGTTTAATAGACTTGAATTTCAAAGTGAAAGTTTCTGGTTTAGAGGCACCCACTGCAAATAATGTAGTCTTTGGAATGTTTTTGGTGAAACTAATTGGTGCTTCGGTTATTTTAGATGGGTCTTCCTTATAATTATTATTAAAGATAAGGCCAGTATTCTTTGCGGACAAGAGCTGAAGGAAGTGGTCGACAGATACCTGTGACATGATTGTTATGGATAATTGGGTTCGCCAAGAAAAGTGATAAATAAAAAACAGACCAAAGGGCTCTATGGCTAGCAGTCAGAAAGGATATAGTGTCGTCGAATGGTTATGCTCTTTTTTCTGTTACAAAGTCCCCAAGAGGCTGAAAATGATCACGTGGAGAGATCATAATGATAGCCACCAATTTTGAACACCATTGCTCGTTGAAAACAGAGATTTACGGGAATGTAATTTATATAAAAGGAAGTGAGTGGATATAAATTTAACCTTACTATCTATATAATATATACATTGAGAATCAGGGCTCGAAAAATGAAGGAAAAGTTTTCGAATTTTTAAAACATACTTGTATAATACGTTTTTATAGTGGGGATATATATGTCACACCAGACACATACTAAAATACGTCTTAACCCTTCAAAAGTTCTTAAATCTATTACATTTTGTGCCGAATAATTATTACATAAATGTATTATATCTATGATACACTATCTAGAGAAAATAATATCCGCTTTAGTGAACGAAAAGAAAAAATAATGCAGAATGAAAAAAAAATTTTTAAAAGATCATTAAGCTACAAAGCAGCCTTAAGGATAACCACAATCATCCTGTTCCTCTCCAAACAAAATCACATTATCAGAGGCTTCAATGCCATTCAAAATATTTTCAATTTCTGGTCCATAAATTTCTGTTTCTGCTTGTTCTTGAGGTCTGTTCGAGTCAAGGATTTGCGTTGTAGTCCCGAGGCACTCACTTATGTTGCTGGAAGTGGAACTACTCAAGAACAGCAAAGGAAGAGTTGATTGAAATGATTCGTTGCCATCCTTTTTGGTTAAAATGAAAACATTGTCACCATTAGTGGCAGTTAAGTAAGATTTTATCCTCAAATAGGTTATCATTTTATTTTGTTCCAAACTCAGCCTGCGAATTCCGACAACATCACGTACGGCTGAAAAACTCGATTCAAGTTTGCTATTAGAAACGTTAACATATTCGTTGGAAAATTTCTCCATTTTCTCTAAATATTGAAAACTGAATTGGTAATGCCTCACCGTATCTTTACCATCAAGTATTAAGTGTAATGTCTTTATTGCCGAGTCGAGCGCAATAGATATCACAGGTGCATTTACTGCAGTTGATATGATATCAAACCCCTCCTCCGAATCCATTTTCCCGGGGTCGTTACTGAAGTCAGATTGAAACATCACATGTAATTTCCTAATGTAAGCATCCAATTTTACTTTATCTATCTTCACACTTTCATTCTCGACAAAAAAAGGCATCCAAAAGGCGAACCTCTCATCTATGATAATATGTAATTGGACTGCAGGTTGCTTAAAATATTTTACGAGGTATTTCATGAACACTGGAATAGATGAGAAGAATGACAATATGACCCCCGGACTGCATTTTGGTTGAAGCTCTGATACCTTTTCAAAGTTCAATGTATCAGCCCCTTTCTCAAAAAATGAGACGAGCTGTTCAGCTATCTCTTTAAAGGTATATGGGGGTTTATCATTCATATACATATTGTGGAAAGAACTTAAACCTTTGGACCCCTTGATGAAAAATCTGGAAATTTCAAGGTATAGGCGGTAAAAGGAAGTCAAGGCCATTAACAAACCGCTTAAATCATCATACAGACTGCTTTGGAGAGAGGTCATATACTTGAAGCAATATCCTAGTAAGCAAGTATCAGCTTTGAGCTTTTCCACATCCAGTTTACTGATGCCTTAAAAAAGATTAGTAATCTCCGGAATCTTTGAATCAAGTAACATCTCTATGTACTTCAGATACCACTCAAAGGTCCTGTATCTGGATGACCATCTAGTAGCCACTGGCAAAGGTGGAACGCTTCCAACTATTGCCCTAATTACAGCCTTGTATTTACCATATCCATTTATCTTGCAACTTATAGTTCTCAACTTCGTGTAAAGATCAATCTCTGTCTGTATCATCTCTTTATTTATCAAATACCTGCTCTTTGTCAGTTGATTTCGATCCACCGCCACAAGGTTTGTCAAGATACAATTGACAAATAAGTTAATACTGTGTAAAATACATGGTATTGAAGTCGAGCCTAGTTCCCTAATAACTGCCTCATTGGTTACAAGATTATCACAGGTATAGGATATAACCTTTTCTTGAATCCCATATTTGACCAATACACTCTCTATCGTCTCCTTGATACCTTGTACCGACTCATTTTCAATCAATACAAGATCCAAAATGACGTAAATTTTCTCGTCAACAGCCGTGCTCTCATCAGGAGTAAGGAAATCACCTCTCTGGAAAACAGCTAAAATTGCAAGATTAAGATCTCCACTTGATATAGACTTGTATACATCAAAGCATAAGGATACGGCTCCTTTCCTCTTGAAAATATTTTTAAGCCTTTTGAATATTGCTAAATCGAGTTGCAGAATCTTTTCCTTCAATGATGGCACATTTGTTATCTCATTATCCAAAATTCTCTGATATCCAGGAAAATTTATGGAGCTGTAAGCATAATTCCCCATACAAAACATGACCATAATATCTTTTGTTGCCGGTGTCCAGCTAGACACGGACTTGAGCTCCTCAGGAGCAGGTTTTCCAGTGTAGAAGTCGGCAATCCCTGGAACTCTTGCATGTATATTAAATCTTTTGGTCGTGTCTTTGACACCGTGAGCACTTTTAAAATGTTCTCTGATTAATCTATCTGAGTGATTAAGAAGCCAACTAGTAAGGCATCTTTTGTAGTTGCAGACAACTCTGGGAGCATCAGAGTTAGAATCAATTGTAACCCAACTATTTTGCAACGTCTTTGAGTTGGGGATTCTCTCTGGTAAAGGTGAAGATTCAGCCTCATCAATACTTTCCAAGGTTCCGTTAGACCAGTAGCTTTGATCCTCTTCACTAGTTGACTAATTCGCTTCCATTGTTGAATGTAGATAGCACCCAATCAACAGCTAGGTTTCTAACTGTAGCAGCTTTGAGAACCAAATCGATTTACTAGCCCACTTTTGGCTACTTATTAAAACAGAAGTGCTCATAATCACAGTACCATAACTCGACCACTTCGCACCTTTCTTTACAAATATTATTCAGCTAATTTTATCTTACTCTTTACTTCATACGTAATTCTTATTAGAACAATCGAACATCGATTATTATTTATCATCATTAAGCTATTGGTAACTGCTACTCGTCGTTTACGGATACTGCCACAAGGATATTCAGAACCTATTCGCATCTTCCTTACCCTGCTTTCACAAAGAAATACACGTGAAAGCACTCGTGATCAATCGTTTCATAATCACGTGACACATACACCCTCACTATTCTCAATGGAGGAATGAAAAGAAAATGCTCTCATACATTTTCACACACGTCACCGTGGCGAACCCTGACAGCACGCGTGCGTCCAGCAACTCAACGGTGCTCCCTTGTAAATTTTTCGTTAAAAACGACAAACCAGCAAGGTTGATAAGCAACTTCAGTAACGACTCTCAACAGAATATTACCCATGAGCCATGTCTCCTACAAAGAAAAAGAAGACAGCTATACCTCAGTTGCAAACCAACTTTGAGGAAGGCTTCAGGAGCATGATCAGTCCAATCGAAGAAATAGATGAGGTTTCGCCAGTTCTGAATGCAGTTAACCCTTTCTCGGACAGAGAATCAAAAGATAATAATAACAACCATCTCCATTCCAGCAGCTTGCCAGCTAATATTTTATTCAATTCGTACATCAGCAAAACTGAAGATGACACGCCGGTCGTGAACAACATCTTGACAGTTCCTGATATCAACATGGATACCAATCAATCCCCAGTGACTCCAAACGAGCTTTTTTATGGGAAAACGAGAGGTCACTCAAGAAGGCTTCCTGATTACGGTAATGACAGTGATTTTGATTACGCCAGAAACTTCTCCTTTGGTGCCGGCTCTGCTTCAAATGACCATTCTCATGAGCATACTCACAGTAATGGTGATTCGCATGAACATGCTCACGGCAACGATGATTCACATGAACACGACCATTCACATGAACATGCTCACAGCCACGATGATTCACATGAGCACGACCATTCTCATGAACACGGCCATTCACATGAACATGAACACGACCATTCTCATAATCATGCACACGATCGTGATGAACACGACCATTCTCATAATCATGCACACGATCGTGGTGAACATGACGAAACCTATAGCCATGAACATACTCACAATCATAATTATTCACATGGCCATGATCAATATGATTCCCAAAAATATGATGCATCGACTCAACACTCCCATTCCCACAATGACCATGGGCACTCACATTCATCCAACCACAACGACACCACCCATGAAAAGGAATCTTGTCACTCCCATGGACACCCCCATTCTCATCAAAACCTTAGTGATACTTGCACTCATCATGAAGAAGAGACTGGCTCACAAAATCCATTAAACAATTTGATCTCATATTTATTCCCATTCTTGAATGATTCCTCGGATGATGACCATAGACTGAAAATGCCTTTGAATTCAATATGGTCGTTTATTACACAACTATACCAAAGCAAAGAAACGAAGAGTATTTTTAGATTCTTAGTGTTGAATTTCACCTTCATGTTTGTTCAAATGGTTTATTCGTTTAGATCCAAATCATTGGGATTGTTTTCCGATTCTTTGCACATGTTGTTAGATTGTTCATCCTTGGCTATCGGATTGTTTGCTAAATTAATCTCTAAAAATATAACCTCAATATTCTACGACGTGAGAGAAACTGACACAGCCTGCAACTCCCATTCTCACGGCAACTCCCATTCTCATGATGATCACTCTTCACAATCACATTTGCATTCACATTCTGAAGATCACAGCACATCATTAGATACTGCCCAACAATCAAGATCAAACGTTTTGTCCAGCGCCATATTTACTAAATATCCATTTGGATTGGCAAGGATCGAGACATTAGCTGCGTTTGTCAATGGTATTTTATTAATTTCCATTGTGCAAGACATTTTTTTCCAATCCATCGACAGAATTCTCAATCCAGTTCCTTTGAAGAATATCAATGAATTGCTCGTGGTCAGTATATTAGGGTTGGTGGTGAACTTAGTTGGTATTTTTGCTTTTAATCATGGTGAAGATGAAGATGAAGGTAGCGGGCATGGCCATTCACATTCTTTAAAAGGTCTATTTGGCGGGGGTGATAAAAAAAAAGATGACCACCAACACTCACACGACGGGAATGTAGCTTGTGCCTATGACCAAGATGATCCATATTTACAGAAGTTGACTCATCTTAGTGATGACGAGTCTTTTGGTTCCAATTCCTCTAATGAAAATGATCATGGTATCTTCTTGCATATTCTAGCCGATACATTGGGGTCATTTGGTGTCATTGTTTCTACCATTTTGCTTAAATTCTTCCCTACTTTTAAAGTCTTGGACCCTGTTTCCTCGTTGTTTATTATCATCTTGATTTTGGCCTCATCCATACCATTGATCAAGAATTCTTTTATGAACTTATTGTTGATATTGAATCAAAAGGAAAAGTTTCTAGCTCGTTACAGTAACTCCGAAGCTCTCATCAAGGATTTACTCAATGACTTGTATGAAACTCCTGGTGTTTTGAATATCAATAAAATCAAAGTTTGGAAAGATGAACGTGGGGGTGGCGGAGGAGGACATTCACACTCTCATTCTCATAGTCACTCACATAATGACGAATCCGAAGCTCATCACAAAAGAACAGGATTGATTGGGTATGTTCATATCCAATATGCTGATGGGGAAAACTCCACCATCATCAAGAAAAGATGTGAAAAGATCATATTTGAACAGTACAAAATGGACTTATTTATTCAACTCGAAAACGAAGCATGGGGGAATCTATAATACCGAGTATTTATTTTTTCTTATTTTCTATTTATGTGAATTTATGCCATTATTTGTACTTTTACTTTCTATGACTTTGTATTGTAGATTATGTATATATATATATACATATATGCATGCTGGCTTTCTGTAGTTACCCTTACCTTAGGTTATTGAAAAAAAAATAAAAAATAAAAGGCGACAGGACTGAAATATCAGCCCCAAAACATTAAATCAGCAAGTTTAGCTGGCCGATTATACAATTGGCATAGCTTATATATGTTATGAGCCATATTATAGAAATAGTTTGAACCATTGTGCTCGAAAATTGATTTTTTTTTTTTCCACTATCCCGAGTTGGAAGCCACTACTATACTATATTATAGCTCTTATTCTGCATAAGATCAACCGCCCATCATGAAACCGCCAATAATGAGAGAATTGGATGCCGAATTCAATGAGTATCTTAAAAGCACAAATATCAGCACTGTTCTAATCCAGTACATTACTTCAGCGAGGCTCTATTTGAAGAAGAATAACTACGCCTTTGATCAGGAAGAACTTACAGGAGTATGCTTTCGTCTATTGAAAGGAAATATTTATGAAACTGGGAAGTTCCCATTCAAGTATTTTAAAGGTATGTTGGATCGGTGGATGCATACGTATATGACAAGACGGTCAGGCCTTCGGGACGTCTTTAAGGATTTGGAGGCTCCTGATATCTCAGAAATTGCAAAGGCAATTAAGATTGTCTTTCCAAGTCCCGAAGAACAAAATAGACTCCTCAAAAGGACTCGGGATTTTCAAAAAGATTCCATTGAAAAATTCATAGCCGCAAACTTACCAAAACATCCCGTGGAAAAAGGTTATGATGAACAAAGTGAAGAGCAAGAAAGAGAAAGTGAAGGACGAGAACAAGAAAATGAAAAGCGAGAAAGAGAAATTGAAGACGCGCCAATATCACAAAGAAAACAAAAAAGAACACGCGTAGCTCCAAAGATTCTCGATTCAGAAGACACCGACATCTCTGTTAATAATTCAAGCTTATTCACCAAAGAGACAATTGAGCCGGTTCCTACAACGAGAGTATTAAGAAGACGAAAAGCTCCGTCGGATACGGTGATTAATGAGGTAATTGAAAAACCAAAAGCAAAAAAAGGTACTCCAGCCCTACCCAATGAAACACAAACGAATAAAGCGGCAAGGAACACCAAAACTGCCCTTCAGGGAAGGACCCCTATCTCTAATAGACCAACCATCTCGAACAGAACTGCCTTAATGAATGATGATATGAGATCAAATGGCATAATCTCTGCACCAAAAACAAAAGAGCAACAAAAGAGCAAAATTTCTACTGCTTCCCGGCCTAGTATTGCTAAAAGATCCGAATCCAGGGGTAATGCCCCAGAATCTCTCAGGAAAGAGATTGCCGCTGTGGAAATAAAAAAACCATTTGACTCAGAGGAAACAGATACAGAATCCGACTTTGAAAAATTACAGAACGAAAATGAGGGGGATCAGAACCAGGACATTCTAAGAGATTTGATTAGATCGTCAAGCTTAAAAGATCTTGGGCAATTTGACCTCGAGAAAGCGGTGGAAATAATATCTGCGAGCGAGCGAGATAATGAAGCCGGTTTTATATCGCCTTTTGAGAAACGAGAAATCCCAGACCGTCGAATTCCAAATGATTTGGCAGACGCCACTAAGTTTTTCGATAGTAAGCAGCTTGCAGTGTCCGAATCTCAGGATTTGGTTACCATTAATAAGGAACTGCTTGGGACTGATGGTGATGAGGCCAAATTAAGATTATACATTCAGGATAATATGACTGACAACATTTTGGAATTCCAACTTCAAATTGACGATATACACTACAAAGTGCTTGAGGATGTCTTGTTATCAGGGGCAAGTTTAACAGCTTTTAGCAAAGCAGCCTCAATAGTAGATAACTCCTTTAATTTTGAGCCAACTATGGAAACTGTCCTCAGAAACTCTCTCAGGATTGCTACAAAAGAAGGGACAACGCATTATACCCCTATTTACAATCTTATTAGAGCTCTTGTTGGTAATGACTATTTGATGAGATATATTAAAAGTAAACGATACAAAAGAGAAGCCTATTTTAATGTGGATGTTTTCCAAAATGCTTTTGCTCAGGAAAAGGATGACACGTTATATTTTTATTTTGATCTTTTCACCAAAAAAATTGCATCAAGTGGGGGCTCACAGAACTCATGCGTGGTATATCAAATCCTCAATATTCCATTAGAGGCTCGTAAATCCAGAAAATTTAAGATTTGCAGTGGAGTTACGGAAGAACTAAATAACTTGCTAAAACTATCGTTTTTGGAGGTTGATGTCATCAATCAAAATTGGGATATTGATGGGCTAAAAATTCAAGTGGTACCAATAGTTAGCTCGAGTGATTATTTGAGTGCTGTAGATCTATTATCACTAAAGGACCCAAATAACCGGAAGCCTTGCGGTATCTGTGAAACCGAATTAATTTTCAATGATGATGACTTAGGGAAAACGAAAAGGAATGAAAACGATTGGACTCATAAAGCTCGTGACATGAGTAACGAAGAAGTATATGCTAGAAGCGGAATTATGTGGAAACCGTATTTTTCCAATAAATGGCAAATGGTATATCAATTGAATCATTTCAAGCTAAGTCAGTTCCGAACTGTTCTAGAAATGATCCATTCGGTATTGGATGATGAGGATATTGAACTTCTTAATGCTATTTCTAAAAGCATTACTCCCCCAAATGATAAACCAAAACTTGCAGTGGATTTGTTCCCTCCAGATAATTTAACGAGTAGTGATTTTGACATCGCCATGTGCATTTTACCAATTATTGTTTATCAATTGGAGCGAGTTGTTGAAGCTGATTTTGAAACGCTTTTAATTTTGTTTTTCGAATATCAGTTGATCATCAAAAAGCAGTTTTATACCCAGCAAGAGTTTACCTTCCTTCATGCTTTCCCATATATGTTTTTCGATTTAATGAGAAGATGCTTTAGACCTACTGAGGAAGAAAGTCAGAAATTTTACACTTTACAATTGCATCAGTTATATCATACTTGGAATCTTGTTCGAGCGGTGGGACCTTTGGCTTGTTATGAGAGCGAAGGTCTTCAACGGGAATTAGAGTTTATCGAAGATCTTGTTAAATCATGCCGATATTTGCCCAAAGCGTATGATTACAAACTTGCTGCTATGAATAATCTCAAGTATTTCAACATTTCCCTTTGGATTCCCGAAGAAAGTGTGATATTGAAGGACGAAGCGGAAAATGGCAATTTCAACAAAGTCTACTTGCAAAAGCTTGATGAGACAATTACAGACTGTTATGTTGCTATAGGCAATGATTTGATCAAAGTCGAGACTTATTACACTAGTGTGCAAGGCCCTAAAACCTCGCAAAACTTTATGGGGAAAGTTGTTGATCCAGGAAGATGCAAAATCTTTTATGGTATCTCAAAGCAAATTTTGTGCGTCACTGTGTCTTCTGATAACAGTGATGATGAAATACTTGAAAGCTTTGAAGCGGTTAGGATTGAAAAATTGTTTTATGTTTGCGATCATTTCTCAAACCAAGGGAAGATTCTATTGATACGGCAATGTTAATTGGGAGGGTTGCTATTTTTTAGTTATTGTATTTTTATCTATTGTATTTTTATCTATTGTATTTTTATCTATTGTATATTATTTCCTGCTATGGGGGGTTTTGCTTATCATTATTATTATCATTATTATTATTATTATTATCCTCATCGTGTGTGTAATGTCTTGCGCATGTAGTAATAGTTTGCTGGAAAAAAGGTTAGGCAGCGTTGCACATTTATCTAGCAATTTTTTTTTTTGTTTGACGATCCCGATGAGATGATCATCCCGTTTACGTTCATGTCAGGGGGGCGGTTTTCCTTTGTTGGTATACGGGTATACTGCTGTTATTTATCTTGTATTTATATTGTATTATTTTTTTTTTAATCCTACTTTTATTTTGTGGAGGAGGGATTTTGTGTGTGCTATTGGTTTCCCGCTGGTGATCTTAAACGCTTTGCTTGGATAAAATCTATATCTTCCTGCTCCAAATTTTAATGTCCTTACAGTTTTTTTTTACACCATGAATGTGTCATCTGGAAATAGTATCACCGAAGTGCCAGTATGGCAGCCTGATGAGGAAGTCACGGAATGCGCGCTCTGCCATGAATCATTCACATTTTTCTTTCGAAGGCATCATTGTAGAAAATGTGGCCGAGTAGTGTGTGGATCATGTTCGTCGAAACATATCAATTACCTACCAAGAACGTATGTGGTTTGTCCTCCTACTCAGATTTTCTTGGAGAGTCCTCATGTTCCTCATCGGACTTGTGATGAATGTTCAGAGGAATTGGAAATGATTCGCCACGCATTAGAAGAAGCCACCACCATTACTGAGGATAATCATCATAGATTATTATTGGGCAATGCCCAACAACAACAACAACAACAACAACAACAACAACAACAACAACAACAGCAGGGCTCTGGATTCACAACGACGACGGTCCCGGTTGACGTTTCGAGAAAAAACAGTGATGTTAGAGAATCGACTTATGCAGTGCAGAATGAGAACGATTATTGTCCAATTTGCAACGCCCGAATTGCAGAGTTATTGGAAATCGATAAGCTGGAACATATCACCGAGTGTCTTGAAAAAGCGCAGTTTTCCGGATCTCCTGAAGTATCAAGGTCTCCTAACAGGATGATCGTGTACCGATTACCCAAGAACTTCACTGGGGTGTCGATATTATCTCCTAGCCGTCGATGGAAACCACTGTCAAGAAATACTAATAATAATAATAAGGAGGAGGACGAGGACGGGGACAATGGCGACGATGCCATCCTTACTGCTGCATCGGTTGATAGTGGTGGTGGTGGTATCCATGAACAATTGGACAACCCTCAGAAGTTGATGTCGCATGAAATCATTCCAGAAGAAGAAGAAGAAAACAATGATGATTACAATGATGATGATGTCGGGTCGATCAATGAATGTTGTATTTGTTTAGAAGAGTTCCATCCGAATGATAAGGTTAGCAGACTAGAATGTCTATGTATGTTCCATTACAAATGCATCACCGATTGGTTCAGAAGAAGCGGTCCTGGAGAATGTCCGGTCCATGCGGTGCATTCATGATATTATTCGATGAAATAAATATTTTGGTTATTTATAATCCTTCATGCGTCAAAAAGGAGGATCCGTCCGTATGTATCTTTTGGACTTTTGACAGCTTTTTTTTTTTTTTTGTTCATTTTTTAATTTTTCTTCTTTTCAATTCCTGGGGCTCCTTTTATTTGTATGGTCAATGCTATTTGCTTTTCTTTTTGTTTTTCATAATTAATGATATTGTTGCTTGTTACTATTATTACTGTTCTTTTAAGATAATAATAATGTTGTGAGCAGCGATAAGCGCACGCGAAGACACTAAAAAAAAAAAATAAAAAAAAAAAAAAAAAAAATACAAAAACAAACCAATAATTATTAGATCAATCATTGTCAACCAAATCTTCTTCTTGTAAATTCTATCTTACGATCGTTCCCATTACTTCCATTTACGATCGTTTAAAATAAGCATGAACAACCCAAACGACGAGGTCCATGCTAATAAGCTCTCGGCGATTGTGGGGTCGTTAGAAAAGTTGAACCAATCGGTGTCTACCGTCAACAAACTACTAGAAGAGATTGTTCAAGAAAATCACGAAACAGAAATCATTTCCGAAATCTGGGAACATTACGATAAGGGAGCAGAATTGATGTTACGATCACAGAAATTGTCACAGCAGTATCAAAAGAAATAATGGTAATTATGTTCGAGCATGAATCATTGGATAGATAACATCCATCCCAAAAGAGGCTTTTTTTTTTCACTATATTTATTGACACTATTGTTTATTTAATAACAACTGTGATGGGTTCTGGGATTCCAGAGAACTATAAGTTTTTTCAGAACCATTTTTATATACTGTCTACAACCACGTACCATGGAGGGATAAATTATATGAAAAAAAAAGCACACACATTAGGATCCTAAAATACAAAACCGGAAGATGAAAAATAAGATAAAATGAAGAAATATATACGGATTCAAAGAAAAAAAAATACAAGAAAAAAAAAAAGAAAAAAAAAAGGAATTACGTCTTGAGATTTTCTAGTCCCTTCAGAACCCTCATACTATCCTTGAAATGGTATACGATGATGGTTTTTTTTCTTGCATTGGATATTATTGCATAGATACCACTTTCTCTGTGGGATTCAATAATCCACTTTGGAACTTTGAGCAACTAGAAGATGAATTCCCATTTCCTCACTTGGTTAACATATGATACAATAATTCCTTTGCTAATACGCCATATAACTTAGTATTTGATTGGTTCTATTCAAAATGTTAGTAAACATGTTCAATAAATAAATGCTGTTTGTATAATAAGTTATCTCAAAAAGAAAGACCAGTGTAGATAATAGTACCATTCACACATACCTTGTTGAGTTGGAAGCAAACCGTATCTTTTCTTCAAAGTGACTCTTTGTCTAGAGTACTTGTCGTCTGGGGAGAAACGGGCTGGGTGGGCAGACTTGGTGATTTCACCAGACTCGGTGAGTTTCTTGAGAGTGTAAACACGCTTGCCGTCGGCACCAATAGTGTACATCAAATGCATTTTGACTGGATGAATGGGATAATATGGGTATTGGATGGGTGGAATGGGTGATACTTAGCAGCCTGCTTGGTCAAAATTACAAAAAATTTTCCCTTTTGGAAAAAAAAAAAAAAAAAATAAAAAATTCGATGTCCCCGGAGGTCACGCGACACGCGACTTCCGGCAGGCATTTTTTTTTTTTTTTTAAATTGTTTTTCCTTCCACCTCATCATCAACCACTGATTGTCATGATTATTGCAAGATAAATAGATATATGCCCATATTATAGAAAGAAGAAGAGAAATATACATACATACATACATACATAGACCACCAAAGATGTCAAATAAGGATGCGTTTGCCGATCTTTTCTCTCCCAAGAAAAGAGATCTCTCGAAGATGTCTTTGCTAGAACAACAGAAAATGTTACTGAACAACAAGTCCTCCACCTCCACCAATAACAATTCCTGGAATCGTTTGGATTTGTTGCAATCATCAACAACCAGCAATTCCATCCCGGGATCTGCCACTAATTCACGAAGCTCCACTCCCAGTGTTTCCATGAATATCCTCAGTCCGCTGAATCGATCATCGCAAAGTATTAATAATAATAATAATAATAATAATAATGCTTCGACCACTGATTTGGACGATATATTTGGACTAGGGATTGCCAATTCTCTGACCACTGTACAAAATCTCAATAAAAACAATAATGGCAATTCTTATGGATTGGTTCCTCAAAAAAATATGGGGTTTGCATCTCAACCATCATCCAGCAGTGTCAGCACTCTGAATAGCAACTCACAAGATATAGACTCATTATTTTCAGTATTTGATGATCTCCCAGTGCAACAACAACAACAACAACAACAACAACAACAATGGCACAATATTGAAACTCCAGGCAAAACCACCCCACAACAGACATTTGATGACAAATCTCATCAATATTCTTCATTGAACCACCAAAAACCAGATTACGACACTATACCGTCGAGACCATCGTCTCGCACATCCAGGTTCCGGGATACGTCTGCCGATGCTGATGATGGCAGAAGACCCGCACGGAATGGGGTTTCAAATGATGATCATGGTAATGGATCTAAAAATGTTCACCAACTCTTTGATACCATGGCGGAGAAATCAGGGGCGATGCCCGAAGATTTGAACCTGATGGTCAACGAAATCTCTAATGAGTTGTTTTCTACGGCGACTTCGATATTCAATAAAGGGAAAAATGCGTTGAACAAAAACATTGAGAAATACCAAGCTCAAAGAAAGGCAGAATTGGGGGGCAAGCCTGCGTGGATGTACCAACAAGCCCAATATAAAAAAAACGGGTGGAAAGAACAAGATGAAGAAGATGCCATTGATTTTGATGGCACCGTGATTAGAGGGTCTAAGAGTAAGAATGGTGAAGAAGTTAGACATCAAAAGTTTAGTGATCCACAACCATCTGCAATACAACCAAGAAGAGTGCCACAAACCAAACCGGAAAGACCACAAGTTATACAACCACCACAAATAGCAAAAACGCAACCACAACCAAAGGCCAAACCACAACCACAACCACATCTTCGCCCAGAGGAAGTTCTTGACATTTTCAGCGATTTGTCAATTCATCATGGTCCAACAACTAATCAAGCCCCTGCAATGTCCAAGACTAAAAGAAATGAACCATCAATTAGCAGCGCCAACTTGACCCGCTTCAGACAATTCCGTACATTGGGGTCCAATTTCTTCAAAGAAGGGAACTACACTTCGGCTTTAACCAATTACGAAGACGCTTTGAAACTATTACCCCCAGGCCATACCCTTCAGATCATTGCTTACTCGAACTTGACCATCAGTTATTGGAAAGTTGGTGACATTAAGAGCGCCCTTGATAGTGTAAACCAAGGGTTATCAATGATTGGGAATCGGTCGCTTGACGAAGTGGTGGAAGATGAAAAGTCGATCAAAGAGTTTTATCTCAAGATGAATACCAAAAAGGGAGAAATCTTGGAAAGTATGGAAAAGTACAAAGACGCTCTCGAGTGCTATAAATTGGTGTTAGAAAATGGTGGGGCTAGCAAATCGGTGATCGATGCTAAACGCAGATGTATGGAAGCCATTGCTCCAAAACCAAAACCAAAACCAAAACCAAAAACCCCAACTCGGACAAATAATTCTAATAATAATAATACTAATAATACTGGGACAGCAGCAGCAGCAGCAGCAGTTCGCAAAATAAAAGAAGAAAATGTCAAAGCAGAAAACTTGGAACAACAAAAATATTTACTCTACGATAAGGTCGATGCTAAAGTGGGACAATGGAAACACGGTAAGGAAGACAATATTCGGGCATTGTTGGTATCGTTGGACACGATTCTTTGGCCAGAAACTAATTGGAAAAAAGTGGGGCTTCCTGATTTAGTTATGGACAAGAAAGTGAAAATCAACTATATGAAAGCGGTGGCCAAGACTCATCCTGATAAAATTGACAAAAATGCCACGGTGGAACAACAATTGATTGCCCAAAGCGTATTTGTCACATTGAACAAAGCATGGGATGAGTTTAAAAAAAAGAATGGTCTTAACTAGACGATGGGAAGCATAGACAGACCATGGCAAAACCTGTTTTTAAAAAAATTCTTTTCTTTTTTTTTTTTTTTTTTTTCATCTTTTATAATAATCTATTTGTAATACGATAATTATTAATGAATGTTAATTATTGGGTGATCGATCTCCTAGTTTTTTTATTGGACCCTTGAAATGTAATAAAAAATAATTGTCAAAAATGGATCATAAGAGATTTTTTTGGTAAAACCGTTTTGACGAAATAGGATAATTTTTTTTTTTTTGAGGTACGTACTTCCATCTCTAATTAATGGGATAGTTTTTGTCGTCGCGTGAACCACCGACCCAATCAATCAATCCATGGAATACTTTTTTGTTGTTGTTGTTGTGGAACCACCGATCCAATCCATGGTTAAGTGAGGTGAGCAGTAAGTAGTTGCAACCCAACAACGACCGGAAAGGACCTCCTCAGGGATTTGGAATGAAATACGTTAAAAAACCAGAAGATCTAAATAAAGAACCATGAACGATATAACTCAGGGAAGAAGGGAAAAAAAAACAATCAATGAATCTACCAGACAACCACGCATCTCAATATATAATAATATATTAATTAAACACTATTGCATTTCTTTTCTTTTCTATTTGATCTGGAGTATCGCGGATCTGATGAATAGATGGATGTGTGTGTGTGTGCCTGAATTAATTAATTTTCCGTTTTTGGCGAATGACCATCTCCAATTAGTAACTCTCAACCGTCTGCACTCCTTACATTTTGGATCCCTGCAAAAAATTATTTATAAATAATAATAGAAACCCTAAAGTTGATGATAATAGAGATTACAAGGTGTTCTAGATTGGGAGATCTGATATTACCCTTTTTCATTGAGTATTGTGCTGTTTTTGGGTGATTCTTTATGTCGATTAGTTATGCAAAATTGGCGTGACGGAAATCCCAATAGAGAGAGAGAGAGAGAGAAAGTCCACTATTGATCTATTTTACGAGTAAGTGTAGGAAACCATAAAGTAGCAAAATGATGAACCATATAATATATATTTAAGTGAGAGATAAAAGGTTTGATCTATACATCAAAGAAAACGAACTGAAAGAAGAAGAACTGAGAGAAAAAAGAAGAAAAAAAAAAAGTAATTGGGACCATCATTCAATGATGGAATGATTGAAAAGAAATGAAAATAATAATAATAATAATAATAATAATAATAATAATAATAATAATAATAATAATAATAATAATAATAATAAGAATTGATAGATCACGATTGGAAACCAGCCCAATCCATTGTCAGAAAATGAAGGCGACAACATAATAATAATAATAATAATAATGAAAAATCCTTTTCCCCAAAAAAACATTACTCAGGTAAGTAAATTCTTAGTAGTACCCAAAATAGTCCGAAGAATAAGTAGTGTTAACCCCAGTGGTAGTATTATTATTATTATTATTAATGGTCAGATTACCGTACGAATCAAGTCTTTCCATGGCTCTGTCGATGAACAGACTAAGAATGCTCAAATCAGACGCCAAGTAATCAATGATCCAATCGTACAATTCATCAGCCCCCGTGGTGGTGGTGGACGAGGAATTGGAAGAGTAGGAGGTCATGTTCATGTTGGTGGCCCTGGTATCGTTTCCTAAATCGTCAATGTCAAAGTCCATTGGAGAAGAGACCCATTCATTTGAGGAGGAGGAATAGTCAGTTGGGTAAGCAGAATAGTATGTGTTATCAGTGTCAGTTGGATAGTAAGAGTCGGTATTGTCGCCAGTATCGGTTGGATAAGAAGAGTCAGTGACATCACTACCAGTTGGTGAGTAAGCTGAGTCCGAATCAGTGTAAACATAGTCACCATATATGCTAGAAGCCATCACTGGATGACTAGAAGAAACTTTCAGCGAAAAAACTGTTGTGGCCACGAGAGTGCTATCATCACCGATGATACTGGAAATTGGGAGTGCAGAAACAGTGAAGGCAATAGTAGTGGCTGCCACTGAAAAACCAGATTTGAACAACATTATGGGGGGAAAAAAAAAAGAAAAAACACAAAAAAGATTGAATTTATTTTTTGAAGATGGAAGAAGAACTATGGAAGACAAATAAAGGTTTGGCTTTATATATATCTGACTGATATCTAATATAAAGTGTATAAAAAAAAAAATACTTGATTTACATAATTCTCCAAGTACTTTTATAATAATAATAATATTACTAGGAGAGGGGGGCAGTGTCAACCAAGTTCAACTTCAAATGGCTTTTGTTCTTTCGTGGCCATAGCCATGATTAAACATTCCAAGTATGGTATATATGGAATGTGTTGGTTTGATCATAAACTGTCATAACCGGCATCCATGTCAAAAAAAAAAAAAAAAAAAAGAAATAACCCGCATAAGTAAGTAGTAAGTTTGGCTAAATTATTGGAGGAGGAATAATAATAACAATAATGATAATAATAATTATAATAATCAGTATGGTAGTTGCTAAAAATATCTTTTGAATAAGCCTCCTTTTCCCTTATAAGGCTTCTCTGTTATTTTCTCCCAATCCTTCATGTTGGGTGGGAATTTTTTGCGCCATGCATATATAGATAGATAGATAGATAGATAGATAGATGTTATTACAATGAAATATCACAAATGAGAAGAAATAAAGGCAAAAGCATATAAAATAAAATAAAATGAAATAAAATGAAATAAAATAAAATGAAATAAAATAAAATAAAATAAAATAAAATAAAATAAAATAAAATATAAAAAATAAAATAAAATAAAATAAAATAAAATAAAATAAAATTGAAAATATATACACACCGATTTCACACAGATAAGGTTTTGGAAAGATCATGTAAGTTTTTATTGAACACCATCACTTCAGGACATTCAGTTTTCCAATGGTCGAACACCGCGACGGTTTTCATCATTTGTTCGTGTAATTTTGTTTGGTCTAAATATACACCAGGGAACCCATAACTAATTAATATCAATACCACACAGGCAAGGTAGTCATCTCTTATTCTTGCCCAGCTGTCCTTATTTCTGACAGCATCACATACCGGATCAGAGAATTGGCACGCGATATCGGTGAGTTGACGCAAAATCGAGGAGATCGATTGATCTTGGTGGGTGGATTCCCCAATATGCAGCGATTGCAACGCCCGATATAGTACTGGGATATAGATCCGTAACTTGAGGGCCTGGATCTTGAATTTGATTTGTCGCATTAGACATTGAGGAAGCATATTATTATTATTATTGTTGGTGGTGGTGGTGGTGGTGGTAGAGGAGGAGATATCGGAATTGAGTTCGAGGAAAAATTTCTTAATCAGGGGTATGGTGATGATATCTATTCGTAGTTGAACTTGCTCAATATAATTTCTCACCCGTTTTTTCAATTCGTTTATTTCAAACCCGTCCCAACGGCGATGCGGCCAAGGGGATGAAGAATAAAATACTTCGTATACCGAGAATTCGATTCTCATAAGGGAAAGCTCAAGCAGATGAAGCATATGGATTGTAGTGTAGGTATTTTCATCAATTGCCAAAAGATTCTTGTCATCATAGACGAAATGTGGATCGGGCATTCGTGGTTCGGGGTACGATAGAATCCCTGAAGCCATATAGAATGGGGAAAGAAGGTGTTTCATCGAGGTTTCAAGTCGGTAGCAGAATCGGAATAATGGGGGGATTGCTAAAGTTTCTTGGGAAAGATTGATGATATTGAATACTAAACCATTAACTTCGATATACAGTAATAGCTCGGTACAGGCTCGGTGAAGGAAATCCCAGGCCAGCAATGGTTTCAACGTTAATAATTTGAAGATGTGACAGAGAATGTTTAGTTGGACGGTCCATAATGAGTAATGGCTGTTGCCGGGGTCATTTTTAGCGGCGAAAATGTTTTTGGTAGATGATGATGATGATGATGATGATGACGACAACCACCACCACGATGATGATGATGATGATGATGATGATGATGATGATGAGGGTTCATCAACCGAGTGTTTCATGATATTATGTAATCGTAGACCGAGATGGAATGATGAATTGGCAATTTCCAAGATATTGTGGGGTAGTGAATTGATGAGCTGGGGGTGGTCGTCTTGACGGTAAGAAATCAAAGCTAATGCGAGGCACAATAATACTAGTGACAATGGGGTTTGGGTTAGGGAGTACTGACAATTTTGGAGCAAGAACGAGGTATTGATGGTGTTATTATTATTATTATTATTATTATTATTATTATTATTATTATTATTATTATTATTATTATTGGATTGAAATTGTTTATAGGTTATCTTCAATTGGTCGATGGTGGTAGATAATTGATCTAAATTGATGAAGGGTACTTGGGGAAACGCTGCGTTCTTGAAAATTACGAAGAATAAATTGTCAATGTTGGAAAACAAGAAATTTTCAAGATTGATGACGTCCACCAAGTTATGGATATTCAAATACTGATGGGAGGCGGCGGTTGCTGGAGGTGATAAAGATTGGGTGACGGGAGAAGGGTAAATGGTATTATTATTAGTAGTAGTATTATTGTAAGAGGAGGAGGAGGAGGAGGGTATGGGACGACGCACGGGGGTTTCATTCAAGAGGATGATGATTTTCCTGGTATCTAAGGAGCGAGACATGTTGGCAATTAATGGCCATTGGAGAATACTTTCGGTTCCAGTATTCCAGTTATTGGAAGGGATCAAACGGTTATCGATAGAATCGTTGATCCCCAATGCGGCGATAACTTGGGAGACCGACGCTTGTAGCTTTGACAAAGACAGGTTTGTGTCGCCGATTTTGGAGAGGATGGCCAACGATGGGGCATCGAAGGTGGAGGAGTCATTTTTCAACGAGTCGTATACACAAGGGGATTGGTAATCGGAGGAAGTGGCCACTAGCTTGAGACAGTTACCGCACGAGGGCCTGTTGTTGTCACATTTGATTTTCTTTCTACGGCAAGTGGAACATGCGGTCAATGCTCTTTGGCGAGGGTAGTGTTTAGTGGATGGGGGGTTGGGGTTGGGTCGCTGTCTTTTAGTTGCAGGGTCTGTGGTGTAGGAGTTGTACATGGAGGATTGATTATATTGTGTGTGTGTGTGGGGATTATGATGTTATATATCTATGTATCTATATCTATTGTTATTACCAAAAATGAAAAAAAAACCCCCCCCCAATGTGTCTGTGTTTGTGTGTGTGTCTGTGTGTGTGTGTCTGGACAGGTTGGCGGTACCGTTGTGGTGGGTGGTAACTCTGGCCATTAACATATATATATATATATATATATTAATATTATTATTATAATATATCTTGGATCAAAACAACCAGACTCAGCAATCAAGGGGGGAAGTGGTGCCTGGCTGCTGGCACTGTCCGAAAAAACACCTGAGATCACCAAGAGGTGCCTGGCCTGGCCTGGCCTGATCGACGACGGAGAGGGAGGGAGGGAGGGATCTACCATCCATCCATCCATGGCAGTTGGACGTGCTGCTGCTGCTGCTATGATGATGTGCCATCATGGATGTTCGGCAAGGGACAAATTGTTTGTTTGTTCGTTTGTCAGGAAGTTTGCATGTTGTTGGCGACTGGGACTTACTTTACTTTACTTTACTTTACTTTACTTACTTCACTTCACTTCACTTACACGGGAGACCGTCTTTTATATTTTTTCATTTTTTTTATTTTTTGACGGGACACACACACAGAGCAACTGTTCTATATAATATAATATAATATAATATAATATAATATAATATAATATAATATATATATATATATATAAAGTGTATATAATGCAATATAAACAATTTAGTTTAATTATATATAATATATAATAGAATACCCAACACACACACACACACACACAGACGCTAATATAACATCCCCGTCTCACCATCGTCAGGCCCCCCCCCCTTCGATGCGTACACGATGGATGCGCAGACGCAGATGCGCCCGCCCGCCGCGACTTTCTGTGGTCAAAAACCTCCTGCCAAAACAACATCATCATCATCACCAACATGAAAAAGGCACCAACAAACCAACCAACCAACCGTGTAACCGTATGTATGTATGTATGTATATATTGACAGTTATTACCATGCATTTATAATTACATAAATATATATTTATATATATATATATTGACAAGGGCCCTTCTTCATTCCAATTATCATCTATCATCATCCTACTTTCTCTCTCTCTCTCTGTCTCTCCTTCTTCCAAATATATATATATATATATATATTTATATATATTATTATTATATTATATATTATTATTATATTATATATTATTCATTTATTTCTCTCCATCCATATCCATCCATCCCCCCCCCTCTTCACAATAATATGTCCAACCTCCAGGCCCTCCACCACTTTTGCAACACCCCCATCAACAACCAAATGTTGCACTGCTTGGTCAACTCTACCCTCAAGGTATTGCCCCAACCCCCTTCATCCTCCACAAACTCCTCCTTACCTTCGCTATTCACCTTCATCACAAAACTCGTCAAGCACACAAACGTCTTCACCGGCACCTTGATGGCCACCTTAGTCTACTTGAAAAAACTCGGTCAACGTTTGCCTCCAAACGCCATTTCTCAAGAACCTTCGGCTCGCCACAAAATCTTTTTGGCCTGTCTTATCTTATCGGCAAAATTCCACAACGATGCCTCGCCAAAAAATAAACACTGGTCAAAATATACCGAAGGCTTATTCACCACCTCCCAGGTCAACAAAATGGAACGCTACTTGTTGATCTTTTTGGATTGGGACATCACCGTCACCAACCAAGACTTGTTGGCAGCTTGGAAAGACTTCTTGGATCCAATCAAACTCGAATTGAAGAATGTCATGAGATTGAAGACTTTCCTCCACCAACAATCGCCAACCACCAGACCATCTCCTCCAAGTACTAGTGCTTCTCTAAGACACTCGCCAACCTCTCACAGATTGCCAATTCCTTCCCCTGCCACCGCTCACAGACAAATCTCCAGATCTCAATCCACCAATACAAACTTTACTACTACCAACCGTCTTCCTCCTTCAACTCCATTAAGAAAATTCCCATCATTACCCCAACTCTCGTCGGTGTCTCGCAAAAACTTCAACTACAATTCCATTCAACATCTTCGTTCGATGAACCCAACCCCATCGTCATCGTCATCGTCGTCGTCGTCATATTCTTCTTCATATTCTTCTGCTTCCTCCTCGGTTTCTACTGCATCCTCAACTTACACAGAGACGTTTGCATTGTCTCCTCCCCCATCTGCTTCTTCATCATCTTCATCTATTGCCGGTTCTCCAGATTACAGATCTTTAACAACCCCAAAAGCCATTCCATTCCAAAATTATCAGGGAAAATTGTATCCATCATCTCAGCATCAACATCAACATCATCAACAACAATCTACCGAACATTCTAATAATCGCCGTGCTCCTCGACAATTCAATTTACAACCTCAGTTCATTCCGGTGCCAAACCAAAGGCATAAAATTAACGAAGACCCAACCATCATGGAATACGGTAGTCAATCGGTTTATTAAAATCTCTCTCTCTCTCTCTCTAATTTCTCTCTATTCTTTCTTTCCATTCAACTTTGTGTTTGTTTTAATTTGGTTTTTATGTTCACTTCTCAGTGGTGTATTATTATTATTATTATTAGTATAGTTGTTCTTTTCCTCTGTTTTTTACATTATAAATATTATTTTCTAAATCTGGTACTGATTTTTTTTTTTTTTTTTCCTCTTCTTAATCGTATTTTTTGTTTGTACTATATGAATTATTTATTTATTTATTTATTTATTGGCAGTTTTTTTTTTCTTTTTGACACATTTTTGCTCAAAATAGATGTAGCAGTAATTATTATTATTATTATTATTATGATAGATAGATAGATAGATAGATAGATAGATTGGTTCTCCTCCTCTTGTTTTGATGTCATCTTGAGTCGACTAAAAAACATCTCATCTAATCTCATCTCATCTCATATCATCTAGCTCGGTAAGGTGTGGTGTGGTGAGGGACTAGTGCTAGTAGTGCTAATAATCATATTTTTTTGTTGATTGCAAGTACGAACGAACTAACACTACACGATAATATATATATATAAATAATTATTCTTATAAAATATATCTATCATTCATATATATAATATAATACATACATCATTCTCTTATAAAATATACACCATTTCATTCAACAATTAATCATTTAGTTACAATCATCTTTCTAAACAACTCCAACTGATCTTCCACCTTCAAACACGACGTCCCCAATACTCGCTGGTTCATTTGAGGATCCAATTCAAACATCAATGGCTTAACAATCCGCAACCCAATCATATTCTCATACTCCAACGCCGTCGAATTCTCCTGAAGGATTCGGTTCCGTTCATAAATAAACACATTAATATGCGCCAATACCCGTAGCATTGGCCCAAGTTCTAAAAGTATCGCCAGCGGCGAATTGCACGAATACATGATTTGGCATACTTGTTGGTCATTATAATAATAATATTGCGCCATCACCGATCGTCTTCTGGTAATTCTATTGGTGGTACGATATAGTTTCAACTTGAGAAACTCCCCAAAATTCCCCCAATACGCCCGTTTATTGAAACTTTGCAACTTTGTCATCTTCATATAATACAAATTCAGTTCTTCATCAATCGACCGCGGCTCTTCAAAGGAAATCTCCCCCTTTTTATTCAAATTAATTCGATAGGTTTGGTAATACGCCGACAAGTAATGTTTCCGTAATTCAAACCCAATGTTCAACTCGAATTCAAGGGTTGTTGGGAATCCATAATCTTGTTTGATAAATTGGGTCCGGCAGTCTGGATTCCCCATTAACATCTCATCGTCCATTAAATTATTATCATACAAATAATCGTCAATTTGCCCCTTCTTGTTTTCCTCTTCATCATCATCATCATCATTATTTTCTTCTTCTTCATGATATCCAAACTGTAACTTATCAATCATCGAGGTCGAATGTCGACTAATCACATCGGAAATCGATAGCATTTCTAACGTATCACTCAATTCTCGTAATCCCGCCGGTAACTTCTTTTGTTCATCAACCATCATTCTCTTCCGATCATCAATATAATCTTTAGAATACTCGACACTCACAAACTCTGATTTTCTTCGCCAATCACCCAGCACACGCCTCCCACTGGTGGTGCAAATAAATTGCAAATTATTCAAACATTCTCTGATATCCCGGCGATGGGTTTTAATCAAATCTTCAATGATTTGATCTTCAACAACATACCCAAGCAGATAACTCACCATCTTCAAATATTCTTGTAACTCATTACCATCCGCCAAGCTCACCTCAAGATAACTATGCTGCTGGGTAGCAATCTTGACAAGATTCGATGGGATCATCAGTGGATCTCCACACGTCATCACAATAGGTTTACGAGTGATGCAAAGTATCGAGTTCAATAGTTCCCAAAATCCCCGATCTTGTGATTTGAATAATACATCAACATTTTCAAACAAAATTATCCCATTTTGAAACCGGGACTTATTACTATTATTATTATTATTATTATTATTGGCTTGGAAAAAACCACCACCGTTCCTTGGGTGCTTTCCTTGGTGCACCGTCTTTGTAGTACATAACTCTTTCAAGAGTTTCTGCAATGCTTTTTTACTATGTTCTTGATTGGTGTTAATCTCATGAACGTACCCATGTAATTGTTTCACCGACGCGTAAATAGACGAAGTTTTCCCGCACCCCACTGGCCCGGTCACAATCATCAACGGAATATATGGAGTGTGCTCGTCGATCTTTGACAAAATTGGGAACCTGGTTTCCATATCATCATCGGTATTTTCAAAAGTCTCGGAATCGGCCACCACAAAGTCGTCAAGTAAATAATTGTCATTGACGACATTCTTTTTCTGTTTGCCATCAAATAACTCTTTCAAAAACTTTTGTCTCCAACTGATTTGATAATTTTTCTCTAATAGCTGGAATGAATCTTTCAACCAATAATAAATTGATTCGCTGCATTCAGGGTTGATCAAACAATGTTGATATTGCGTTGGCTTGGTGACTTCACACCATAGTTGAGTTTCTTTGAAAAACTTTTGCTCATCATCTAATAAACTATCTTGAAATCTTGTAAATTTCGGGTTGGAAGCTCTACCAATCTCAGATATTTCTGCATCCAGTAATACAATAGTCCCGCTAGTGTATTGACTTTCCCCAACCGCATCTTGTATCACACATTCATCAAAGAACAGCTGAGAGTAATCGATTGGATACTCGTCACCTGTCTTTATTATTCTCTTTTCTGAGAAGTCTCCTATACTTTTTGGCTTTTCTTCTTCCGGAATAACGTGGAATTCGTCTCTATCCATCCACCTTACCTCCATAAAATTCTCTTTTCGATTCCTCTTGATAACCGCAGTACCTAGTTTATCACGAATCTTTTTGGCCTCTGCGGCAGCTTTGCCCCGGTTATAAACCTCTTGAAAGAAACTGTTTGGGTTCGCTAGTGTTTTGGATATCTTGGAGACACCACCACCACTACTTCCAGATGTATAGAATGGGTTATTAAATGACGAGTCTTGATCGTCCATTTTCTTTTTAATGGATATTGCTAATTCTTTGGGGATTTTCAACGTCAACTTGTCAGCCAATAGTATTGGATCATCATGGATTTCTATTACAGGCTGAGATTTTTTTGATTTCTTTGGTTGACCAGATAACAACTGACGAAGATCGGTCCTTGTCTGACGTTTCTTTGATTTTCTAGGAGTGCTTTCTATCTTTTTCTCCTCCTCCTCCTCTTCTTCTACTTCTTCTTTTTCTTCTTCGACACGTATTGTTTGCGAAGGAGACTTTGGAAATGATAATTCTACCAAAAAGGAATTTTGACGCATTGAGGTACTGTTATTGACTCTTTTATTATTTGAATTCTTTTTGGATTTGATAAAACCGTTCAACGAGGCTAGCCTTCCTATTTTTTCTGGTTTCTTTAATTTATCAGATTGGAATTTCACCACCATCGAATCATCTTGTTTCATCATGCGAGTAGAAAAAGACCCATCGCAATCACTCGAACCATAATCATAAATCATATCATGGCTTTCGTTAAATGAAATTCTCATTCTCTTGTCGGTTGGCATTTCCTCAACGTAGTCGGGTTGAGATGATATTGATATTAATTCATTATTAACACTTATCACGGTCTCCTTTTCTTGAGTAGAGTTCGTCAAATCAAAATTCAAATTCGATTCCCCACGCTCAGAACCCACAAAGGAAATATCGTCATCATTTATGGTACATTCTGAATCAGAATTGAAAGTATTGTTCCCAAGCGGCTCCTCATTATCAGTCTCCACAACTTTTTTATTTGTTTGCCCATTAAGAATCGAAAGTAATGAATGTTTTGGTCTTTTCAATTGCGGTATTACTTCATTATGAAAATTATTATCATGATCTTCGGCATCATCTACCGACAATGTATTCAAAGTTTCAGGAACCGAGTCATAGCCGTCAATATTTTCAGATATTGATGGCTTATTAGTCCCCGATGATGATTTCTTGGATGCTGATCTCCTGATGGGTTTCTTGGCCAGTCGCTGTGGTTTAAGAATATTATTGATCGATGTCCGCTTCCTCTTTCCATCACTAATACCTCTAAATTCTTCTGCTAATTGGTTGACATCCCCTAATGGAATACTTTCATTGGTGATATTCTGGTCTTCTTCACCACTTAGGTCAATTACATCGCAATCTTCAATGATACGCGCTGAGTTATCTTTTCCAACACCTTGAGGGTATTGGCCAAACATAATCATAATTTCAGCACATACGAATGGGTTAATAGTGAATGGATATACTTGGAGATTTGAGACAGCCTGAAGAAATAGAAGGAAGTAATGCTTGACTGCGTTACAAGAATAGTAAGCAGAATTATAGTATCAAAATTGTTATATTTTTATTTTATTTCCTCACGACGCGGTGTGATACACCCCCGATTGTTTTCAGGTCAATGATATAAAAGTTAATGTATTTGGAAAAGTCTATAGTACATAGAAGCCTCAGGAGAGGAAACACAAAACAAAGAAATTAATAATCACAATAATAAAAAAAAAAAAAAACATAAAACATGAACAGTAAATACACATCGTAATAATAAATTGAGAAATTATGAAATAGAAAGAATGAGCCATTTCACTTGACGTTTCTAACCTTAAGCTTCTTCCCCTTCTTATGCTTTTTGTTATTAGAAAATTCGTTTTTTTTGTTATGGAATACTGTGGTTTGAATTCCCTTGATACCATTCAGCTTAAAGAATTCTCTGTTAAGTTCATCACTTGCAGATACCAATGCCGCTTGGCTACCCCCGTGGTAAGAACCGGTGGATTGTTCATTATTGATACCAGCAATATGTGAACTGAAAGAGATCTTGGACAAATCTTTGGCCAAGTCAAATGTTTCCAAATCAAAATTGTCACTGGCATTGATAGCCTGAATAATTTGTTTTCTTCTATTTTCCGACAACAAATCAATAGTGTACAATTCCTTATTGAATGATAACCTTTCATCATAAGTTTTAATGGTGCCATCGGCATTTGGAGGAGGATGGACAAATAGTAATTTCCCATTCACATAATCTTTCAAAACATATCTGGCAGCTCTACTCTCATCAGCACTACCGAACCCTTGAGTCATAAAACCTCTAGCTCTGGCATAAGATGTCAAAAGTTCTTGAGCAGTAGGGATCCCATCACCCCCATCTTCTTCCGATTTGGTTTGAATGGAAATACCGTAAATTGCTTCCAAAAAGAATTTTGGGATTCTTCTGGCAACCAATTGGGTAGGACCAATCGACTCACGTAATTGATCGATTGGTAACACCCCGTTACAAACCAATTCAGCGTTGGTATGCGCAAAGTTAGGGAAAACTAACCCAGGACAATCACAAAGAATAATGTCATCAGATAACAAAATTGTTTGGAAATGCTTGGTTTTACCTGGAGTTGAAGATACTGAAACCTTCTTAGCACCTACCAAGGCATTAATGGTAGACGATTTACCCACATTAGGATACCCCACCAACCCAATTTGTAATTTTGGCTTTTCTCCAGCACTCAAAGGTAAAGTCAAAGGTTCTGGAGCTTCACTAATGAACAAGTCTTCCAATTCATCAATTGTCAAGATTCTCACTTTTTCTTCCAAATCTTCACTCTGGGTGTTGAAAACTTTCTTTTCCTGCTCTTCTTCATCATCATCACCATCATCATAATTATTTTTGGCTTGCGCAGGTGTTGAGAGTCCCAATCTGATATTTTCTAACTCCTCCTTTTCTTTTTCTAAAATTTCGTTAGCTCTCCCCGCTGAGAAAAATGCGTATGGGACATCGTTTTTAATGAAATATTCTGCCCAAGCTTTTCTTTGATTTAAAGATAATAAATCGGCTTTGTTAACTAACAATAAATTCTTCTTTCTGTCATCCAATTCTTTCACATAATGTTCCAAATCAATCGATCTGAACGCTAATGGGTTTCTGGCATCGACAATTTGCACCACCAAGTCAGATCTTTCAATGACTCTCCACAACTGTCTCCACACTTCCAAGTTTCTTTCAAATGGGGTCAATAACAAATCATTGTTTTTCTGCAAGACCGCCAATTCTCTTCTCCATTCCAAGAATGCCTTCTTTTCACGCTCCTGCAACAAAAATTTGCTCATATCTTTAGTCCATTCAGGTCTTCTTGGCACCACTAACTTGTTTTGATTCTTCAAAATTTCTAAGGACACTTCTTTTTCTCTTTCTTCACTCAATAAATAATTGGTCCCGACAGAGCTGGTTCCAAGAATTGTCATTTGATTTCGCTTGACAGCGGTGAAATCTTTATTGGCTAACTCGGCACTGTTCAAAAAATCATCAATATGGTTTTCTTGGGTGATAGATCTCAATTTCACCCAGTCATCTTCCTTTTTGTCGGTGGCGAAACGAGATTCCCCATCCGGTAAGATTTCAATGTTATTTTCTTTTGTTCTTTGGTAAATGATCGCTTTACCCAAACCAATGGTGTTTCTCTGCTTGTGATGCACCGGTTTTGGACCTTTTGGCGCCTTCCATTTCTTTGGGGGTTCTTTTTGTGGTGGCATATTCAACTCAGGATTCTTTAATACCGGAAGTAATCTAACTAACAGGGTCAATATTACTAATGACTTTTGTTTGTATAACGAGAGAAAAAAAATTTTTTGAAGGAAAAAAAAAAATTGATGCGATGATTTACACGTGATTTGTATAACACACATATATTTGGTATTTTACATATAAGTAACTACATAAATCTCTTTTTTTCAACTTCCATACATTAATTTGAATATACAGATATATAACCATCTTCAACAAAAACTACACAACTTCCTATATCTCAAAAACAGTTCAAGATATCCTCAGCAATCTCAGTCGCGTGGGTCTCAAGTGCAAAATGCCCAGCTTCATAATACTTCACGTTGATGCCCTGGAAATCTCTCTTGTAAGCTTCTGCCCCTTCTCTTGTGAAAATGTAATCATTATTACCCCAAACAATCAACATTGGTAAATGGTTATGGCTCCTGAAGAACTCATGGAACTTAGGGTACAACTCAACATTCTTTCGGTAATCATAAAACAAATCAAATTGAGTCTGGATTTGACCCGGTTTTCTAATTAGGGCAACATCGGCAACAATCGGCAATGGATCAACAGAATTCTTATCCTTCATACCGATATAATACTGATCTTCAACATTCTTTGGATTTTTAATAAACTGCTTGATGGCATTTGTGAGCTCAGGGGATGCGTCGGGTCCGGTATCCCATAGTTGTTTAATTGGTCCCCAGAATTTCTCATTCAAACCTTCCTTGTAGGCATTCCCATTTTGAACGATAAAACCTTTGACTTTATTTGGATTCATGAGTGCCAATCTCAACCCTGTTGGAGCACCATAGTCAAATATGTAGATGATATAATTCTTAAGATGCAATTCTTCAGTAAAAGATTGGATAGAAGCAGCAATATTATCAAAGGTATAGTGATAACCAGCAGCAGGTTCAGTGAACCCAAACCCTGGCAAATCTGGAGCAACCACATGAAATTTTCCCGAAAGCAAAGGCATCAAGTTTCTGAACATATAAGAAGAAGTTGGGTATCCATGAAGTAGCAAAACTGTTTGCTTTTCAGAAGACCCTGCTTCTCGATAGAAGATTCTAGAGCCGTCTTTAACGTTCACCTTATTAACTATTGTAGACATTTCGGAAAAATCAGTCTAATAATTCAGTAAAGAAATGAAAAAATAACAAATATTATTTCTGAAGGGACGGAGCAACCAATATATAGCTGATTTTTGCCTTCTCAAATGACAACCATCATCCAAACGCAAACGGATGCATCTATGACACTCCCCACAAAGCAACAAATAAAGACACTGTCAATATTTTTTCGCAATCTATTCCTTCTGAATACCAGATACCCCACATATAGATAATTGTTGGGTATAATTTGGTAAATGATTAATGTTCTTTGTCGTTGCTCTTTGTCTGGAATTTGTAGAGGATTGGCACAAAAATGCCATCTAATACACCTCACCGAGAAAGAATTCCCAATAGTATGATCTATATATTATTTAATAACTGAGTACTCATTGTTTCTGTTGGTTACAAAAAAATCAAAAAAAAGAAAAAGAAAACGAAACAAAGAAGCTTGTAAATCGATAGTTATTGTATTAACACTGATTGTATATATTTACAGTATAAAAAGAGTCAATATGAAGACACGGAAGTTGAATAACAGTGGTTAAATTAATTGTCCAATGAGTTGAGAAGCTTTTCCTTTTCCTTATCAGATTGTTGTTCAACCTTCTTGTTCGCTTCTTCGGCTAATTGTGAAAATTCACCGGATAAATTGTCTTCAATTTCATAAATACCTGGTCTCGATTCAAAAGCAGAACCAAACAACACGTAATTGAACTTATCGTTGACCTTTTCCATATATTTGTCTTCATACTCTGTAAAGTCTTGCAACTTTCTGCGTACCCCAGCTAACACACTGGCATAATAGTCAGAGTTTTCGAAAGCCTTATCAATGGCAAGGGCCAATCTTTCTTCATCTATCACGAAGTTTTCTGATTCGTAGTACAAATCTAATAAGTTTATGGCCTTATTTTCCTTCACTTGTAATTCATGAGTCAATCTATTTGATTTTTTCTTCAATCTCAACAGCTTGTTTTCTTCAGGAGTTCTTTCTCTCATTATAGGACCTTCCAAGTAGCTTTCGATGGTTGGTAAGGTCAATCTGGTGGTTTGCGATTCGAGATCCATCTGTTTTAGTTCCTCGGCCTTCTTGTGTTCCTGTGCCTGCTTGGTTTTTTGTTTAGCGTCTTCTTTGTGTAATCTGCCTTCTTCTTCTCTTAAGGCTTCAATCAAATATTGTTTTCTCAATTCACTTCTGATCACCTTATATTTCTTGGCTTCATGGCCTTGCTGGGTCAACTTAGCCAACTTTTCATCGATATTTAGTTGGTGCTTTGGCAAGATCTGTGCCACTCTTTGTTCGAGGGTGAAGGGTCTAGGGATTTCCGGGTTTCTTGTTGACCCTTTTGGATGCGGAATATTTTCGGCGTACCCTTGTGGATTTGTACGATCGACAACCACTGGCTTGATTGGTTTCTTGAAGATCTGACGAGGGGAAGGCAACACACCGGACTTGCCCCCGTATTTCAAAACACCTTTACCCATGACTTCTGTTGTTTTTTTTTTATTGGTATCGATCGATTTATTGAGTCTGACAATCACCATTTCGTCCTTTGAAAAATTTCTTTCCTGAGAAAATTCACCACATTAATTTCAAGGGCGGGTAACAACAGAAGTTGACCTTACTTCCAGTTATCTCTCATGAATTATATATAAAACATCATTTTATAAACATTCTTTTAATAAATGGCTTACAGATATAATGTGATATAAGTCTACCAAATATTACCAATTTCTAAAATCATCTGTCCTCCTCCTCCAAAAAAAAAAAACAAAAAAAAAAGATATGACGAGAAAAAGTCTAAAAGTTTTGAGCAACCAAAGCCCTAGGAATGTTCCAATCGTCTTTGGAAGCATAATCAATCACCACAACACCACACCCTTTACCAAATGAATCAACTAACCCATACTTAGTCAAACCCTCAGTAATCTTCTCTGGCCAACACGCAGTATCAAAGAAGTTACTGGCAGAACAAAAGTTGACAAAAAGTTTATCATCATGGTCCCGGCAATAATCGGATGCTCTTTGGGCCTGTTCCTTGACATACTTGGCCTTGGCCTCAATATCTGTGGCCTGCTTAACATCGTAGAAGTCTTGAACACTAAAAGACCCTCTGTCGTCGCTTGTAGTGTTATCGTTCCAGAAATGAGCATCGAACCCAAAATGACCATTTAAATCAGAATTCTGAACCCCGAATCTTCTGAAAAGAAAGATCTTACCCCTGACATCCCCAAGTCTTGGGATATCGGTATTCAAGTAGTACTTGTCTTGATGGGGCTCGACGTATTTTTTCCAAAGCAAGTTTGGAAAATCATCCCCGTCCCATGATCCTTCACCTTCTTGTTTGATAGAAATCATCACACATTCAGATGGATGACGGCTCAAGAAATCGTAAACTTCATTTAAAACTTTGTCCAAATTGGTGGTGTTTGGTAATTTGACGGGGAAAGTACCGTGGACGACGTACAATTCACTCACGTCTCTGGAAGAACTGTTATTAGGAGATCCGGTGATGGTAGCGGTAATAGTCGAAACCACTTTGCTAAGAGGTTTTCTCCCGGATCTGATGTCAAGGAAACGGATGCCATGTTCTAATTGTTGGGTGACAGAGGCATCTTGACATTGCACTGAGGGTAAGGAGGTGTGGTACGCTTCACTGTTATGAGTTCCTGGGATGGCAAGTTTGGATAGTTTGGTGTTGTCGTCCACCCTTTTTTGCCATTCGACTAAATCATCAATAGAAGCTAAGTTGACCATCGCTAGATACTATATTATCACTTTTAATTTAGTAAGAGCTGCTGGAGATAACAGGTAAAAGGTGACAGAAAGAGTCCAAACTGGTAGAAAAAAAAAAAAAATGCGGGAAAAACGTCAATGGAGATACGGGGGTAATATATCCGTACACAACCATGTAGCAACCAACGCCTAACATACGCCGTAGCACTACACAGTCAACAGCTATTATTGCTGGGCCACATGCTTCTATTGTTCTTACCGTGGGGAAATAATAACTATACACATCTTCTAATGTTTCTTCTTTCTGTTGGCAATTCTATCATCCACTTTGTCAAAGATCTCCCGATTATAAAGCAAGGTATCCAAAATAAATGTATGGTTGCTGTTCAAGTTCAAGGTGATTTTAACATCTACCAAAAACCTCAACAAGCTTTTGATCAGGACCTCTTCATTATCTAGATTGATGAAAATGTTATTGACATTCATTTCGGATATCAAATGTAGGGGATTGTTGGTTGGGGCATTCCCTTTGATGATAATTTTACTTTCTATCAACGAGCCATCAATGAACTTGTAGAGTTTCTCCAACAATTCTTCTGACCGACAATCACTAAACGTCTGTTTGTAGTTTTTATCGAGAAAGCTCTTGAATGCCTTCAATTCCGCATAGTGCTGCTCGATGAATTGCGAATCGTCCGGCAATTGGCTGTAAACTTCCTGGGTGCTCTTGGGAGAGATTTTCTGGAGGAAATTGTACTCTTTCAAGATCTGTTGTTTATAGCAATCAATTACAAGTGACTCAGGGCTATTGTTGCCAACATTCGAAGGTTTTGACAAGCCAAAGAATTGGTCAGAGGGTTTGCCTTGACAGATCGCAGAAGCAGCAAAGAGCCTTTTAGTAATTGTTGGGGGACATTTCACTATCAGCAGGCGGGGTCTTAGCATGCTAGGAAGGAGTCTTGGTATCTGTAGTGTCATTGAGAAACGCTGGTCACAGACCGGTACTAACTAATACTCTGCAATTCTTGACCAGAACAACAATAAAAATCACCTCTTTATCGCTGTGCTCCTTAAATGCAAACAATGCTAAACGCGCACTCACCCATTTTCTACCTTTTTTTTTTTTTGTTGCAACGAAAAAAACCCAGAAAAACTGGCAAAAGCGTTATGTCACCAATACAATTGTTATTGCCTCACACTAAAACAAACAATCGGTGATGTCGAGACAGGATTACATTACCAGAGTCAGTTACAAGAACGACTTGCCTCCTCCAACATGTCCTCCTCGTATCCTAAAGTACACTTCTACCATCTCAAACCATGATTCTTTAATCAGCGACGGGATTTTATCATCGTTATTCAGAAAACAGAATTTCAAGAAATACATCAACTTGCCTAAAGATGGCAATACAAATGACCCGCTAGCATTGAACTTGGATCTCATTGAGGTGCCTGAGTTATTTGAACAAAGCGGGGCCGTGGCGCTACATGAATTGCCATTCTCAAAGGGTGACCAGTCCAAAGGGATCACTTTACACGAAAAGGATAAAGGGTTATTAAGAAACCCAGACTTTAATCTCAAGAAAGAAGCATCTCGCTCGCTTCCTGGGGGTGATAGTAGACCAGGCGCGCCATCGGTGGCTTTCTTAAGAAAGACCGAATATATTTCAAATAAGTCCCATTTCCTCGGAGCCAAGAACCAACATTCTCAAACACCAAATAAAAAGAGGACAGTTGATGATTTGACTGCTGACGCCCAACTTCGAAACATTGAACAGAGCTTTGAAGAAGCTAGTAAGACCTTATCTGGCGACGGCTTCCAGAATTTAAGACATCCAATAAAGAAACATCTTAGACCAGTCAAGGCATGGTCGTTAATCCCTAATTCTGAAAATATGGACCAGGCATATTTTTCCACCAAATTTTTGGGTTCTGCTTCTTTACACAGATCAAAGCAAGAAAAAAATTTTGTTGGAGAGCTATCTGATAAATCTAATAACGGTATTAATAACCATAACCCAATATACACAACCTCAATTTTCAAACCAATTGCCCTGAGAGATGAAGAATGGATGTCATTTTTCACCATGGACGATTTGGAAAAATCGAAAGCTTTGAAAAGAAAACTCGATTCTGTGGAGTTGGATGAGGAAGAAACCTTCAAATTCAAGTTCAATAAATATTATGATTTGAAATATGAGGATTATGACACTAGCCAAGCAAAACAAATTGCCATCAGCTTAGGCAGTAATAAACCGGGTGGGTCGGCAAACCTTGAGGCGAAATATTTACCAATCCAAGGTAAAATTGAGTTGAAAAAGAAAAGACTCAATCCTGAATCTCTTGCCGACGATGAAAATGATGGTCCAGTTCATTTTGATCAAATTCTCTTCACTGTTAGAGAATCAACTGCCGAAGAAGAAACTGAAAGAGATAGGCAAAGAAGTAAATACGATCCTTATAATTATGTGGCACAAATTGATGAAGAAGAAGAAGAAGAAGGAGAGGTTGTTCAGGAAGAGGATTAGGGTTAATATATTATTTTTGTGTATTTTTAAATAATAAAAATGTTTGGAATGTTTATTGTATCACAGTATGATTTTTCGCTCTTTTCAATAACACCGACAACTAGTAAGCTTTGATAATTTGAACCAACCAGAAGGCAATGATATGTACCACACACATATGGTTCTTCCTTAGTTAGCTATTAATTAATAAAGTATGCAAATGGCTCTTGGAGGGAACTTTTTTTGTTTTCTTTTTCTTTTTTTTTTAAGCAAAAAAGTCGGTTCATCTTCCAAAATTTGGAATGTTAGAAAAGACGAGTATTGATCATTACAGTCAGTGTGGGTGTCTAATCAATCCAAGAAAAATGTAAGTAAAATAAGAAGCTAAGATATGTTAATGAATCGAGAACTGAAATTCTGTTGTGATGATAGATGACTTCCGTATGTTTACATCTTGGGTTACTTGGCTATAGTAGATCATTAAACGCCTAGCCCCTGCTAATCTTTACGCAAAATATAAAGTATATAAAGTATATATATATTATATATCTGCTATGAATACTATGCTATGATGTTTACGGAGTTCCTCGTTCTACACGCATAAATTTTGTATGTGGTATAATGTACTAACATGCACCTATCATATGAGCCACCACCAGCGTGGGGCCCTTGTCTTTTTTTTCCTCTGTGAAAGTTGTTGACAATTTGTAACTGCCATTGCACACACATTAAATCTAACAGTTTGCTACCCGAGAATCCATTGGCTGTATTCAATTTACCAAATTACATACATTAACCATGTCTAAAGAATTCGAAACTTCGGGAATCGAAAGGGTTCCAGATTTCCAACTTCCTCAGTACGCATTTGAGTTGACGAATCCAGAACTAAAATCTCGCCACCCTGCTGCCATCAAGTATATCACCACACAAATTGAAAAAGAAGACTTGGCACCATACTACTACTACCTCCACCATGAATACTTCAAGAAAGATGCCTCTTTTTTGCCTTGGGATGAAACAATGTACGAAAATTTGAAGAGTAATAATGACGCCAAAATCAAGGAATTGAACAATAAGATCACTACCATTGAAGAAGAGGATGAAGATAACGAATTAGACAAAGTCATTGCCATCACCAAATTGGGGGAATACTATGCGAAAATTGGGGATCGTTCTAATGCCATCAAAACTTTGAGAAAAGCTTTTGAGTTGAGTTCTTCCACCGGAACTAAAATCGATATCTTGTTGACGATTTCAAGAATTGGCTTTTTTTTCAACGATTTACATTTCACTGAGAAAATATTAAGCGAAGCCAGTTTATTGATCGAAAAAGGTGGTGATTGGGAACGTCGTAACCGTTACAAGACCTACTATGGTATTCATTTGATGTCGATTAGAAATTTTGAAGAAGCCGCAAAGTTATTGGTGGACTCTTTGTCGACTTTCACATCTACCGAAATTGCCACATACGAACAGATTGCCGTCTTGGCAGTGTTAGCGGGCTTGTTGGTATTTGAAAGAAAAGATCACAAGAAGAAGATTGTTGATTCTCCAGAAATTTTATCGTTGGTAACCACCTCCCACGAAGTTAAGTTAGTCACCAGCTTGAGTGATGCTTTGTACCATACTCAATACCAAAACTTGTTCCCATTCTTGTCACAAGTGTATGACGAAGTGTTGATTTCATCGCAATATTTATCGATCCATGCAAACTACTACATTAGAGAATTGAGAAGAAAAGCATATGCCCAATTATTAGATTCATACAAGGCTTTATCTTTGAAATCTATGGCTGAGCAATTCGGCGTTTCTGTGGAGTTCTTAGATAATGATTTGTGTAAATTCATCCCAAACAAGAAATTGAATTGTGTTATTGATAGAGTCAACGGAATTGTGGAAACTAATAGACCAGACAACAAGAATGCTCAGTACCAATTATTAATCAAACAAGGTGATTCCCTATTGACCAAGTTACAGAAATATGGTGCTGCTGTGAAGTTGAGTGGTACCAGCACAGTAGCTTAATTTTGATTCTGTTTTTGTATTTGTATTGTGTGTGTATGTGATCGTTTTTTTTTCTTTTTTTCTTTTATTCCATAAAAATGTATTCTTATATATTGGGATGGATTCCTGACTTAGTGAAGCGTATTCTTTGTAGACACTATTCTATACCTATCTTACTACTAGCCACCACGAGCAAAAAAAAAAAAAAAAGAAAATGGATTAATTTATTCTGTATAATACACACTTTACTAATTTACATAAAATTGAATTCGCTGCTTTGCAGCTTGACAGCCATTGCCGCCATTCTAAGCATCTTCTTCTTAGGGTCTTCCATCTTTTGCTTCTTTGGTTCTTCACTACCTGATTTACCTTTTCCTTTCCCATTACCGTATTTACGACCCAACTTCTTAGGGGTTTCTCTCAACCCAAAACTTTTTGCCAAATGCCCAAGATGAAGTGACCTAAGGTTGAAACAGTCCCTCTCGGAAGATAAATGGGTAGCGTATGCTCTTATATGAGAGCTGAACGCCTGTTCTGCTTTAGCAAGGCACAGTTGATCTTCCAATAACCAACGTTCGACATTCAAGTGCCAGGTGGTGGCCTCGACATCCCATTTCTTCTTCTTTTCCTCATCTTCAAAACTCTCCTTGAGCACCTTTTCATAATTTAAAATATTAAATCCTGAGGTATGATGTGACTCCAATCTTTTAATGTAGTTTTCTTCATCTCCAGGAAGTAAGAAAAGCACCGATCTCCCGGCCTTCCCAGCTCTAGCAGTTCTCCCAACACGGTGTAAATGATCATCCAAGGCGAACGACGGATCGTATTCAATGACCGTAGAAATCAATGGCAAATCTAACCCTCTAGAGGCAACATCAGTACAAAATAAGATGGAGTGCTGGTTATCAGAGGTATCAGATTTCGTGAAATGTTGTAAAGTGGCAGTACGGATATGTTGAGGTAACATACCGTGTAATTTATAAATCGTGGTGTTTGGATTCAAAGTTGGGGCGCTCATTGCCGAGTCAACCATATCAACCTCACTTGGTTCTGTTGGCGGCAACGGTTTTTTAGCTTCTTTTTTCTTATCATCTTTATCTTCACTAGGAGTTGGTTTAGGGGCCCTAAATCTGGATTTGACAAATCTTCTCGCACCTCCTTTAGATGATAACAATGCTTTCCCGTCTCTTGTAAACACATCGAAATGGAAATCAACAGAATCGGCACAAGATAAAAAGACAATTGTTCTACTACCACTGGTCTTAACGTTTGTGATATTCTTTAAAACCCCTGCCAAAGATACAAGTCGCAACTTTGGAGGCACCACCAAAATATCTTGAGTCAACTGGTCTGGTACTGTGGCATTACTTTCATCAGGGAATTCCACTACATTTCCAGGATTAGTTTCTTTACCACTAGTTATCAATTGTGGATTATTCAACGAAATTTCTCCCAATTTTTTCACATTACTCTTAATGGTTGCTGAACAAAGCACATTGATTCTTCTTCTTGGTAATTCTGGGTATTCTCTATTAGTATGAGTAAGCTTGCTTCCTGTCGCACTTTCAATGATTTTAATGATATTTGTCAAAGTTTCTTCAAAACCCAATTCCATCAATTTATCCCCTTCATCCAAAATCAACCATCTCACCAAACTCAAGTTTTCGTGCAAGTTCTTGGTGGAGTTTAAATGATCCAATAATCTACCTGGAGTTGATACTAATATATTGACCCCTTTTCTCAATCTAGCCTTTTCTGATTTTTTCTTTTCACCACCAATAACGATCCCCGGGACGATCTTCACGTACCGTTTGTTTAATTGTTCCAATACCGAGTAGATTTGCAATGCCAATTCTCTAGAAGGCGCAAGAATGATGGCAAATAATCCACTTTCCCTGGATACCGGGGTGGATAAGCTCATTAGAGTATTGAAGATCGGTAATGAGAAACTTAGAGTTTTCCCTGACCCAGTTTGAGCCTGAATGAATAAATCTTGTTGAGCTTTTAAAAGAGTTGGGATCACAAGTCTTTGAATCTTGGTCGGAGTCTTGAAATTCAATTTTTCTTCAAGATACCCTGATAACTTCTCATCTATCCCGAGTGATGCAAAAGTGACACCACTACCGGTTAGAGGAGCATTGGAAGGGTCCAATTGTACGGAGTTCGAGTTGTTCTTGTTGGTGGAAGATTCTCCATTGGAACTGAAAAGCGACGAGACAAAAGTATTTTTATCAATGGCATCATTTCTCGCGCGCTTGCTTTCAGGAGTATCTTCTTGTCCTTCTTCAAGAAGCCTTCTCTTTGAAATAGGTCTGGAATATGAAGTGGTAAGCTTTTTCTTTTCAGGATTCTTCTTCTTTCTTGGTCCTTCTTTAGCAGTTCTATTCTGAGGGGCATTTGAAACCACTGCTGGCTCAGTAGAAAAATTCAAAAGTAAACCATCATCTTCAGACATTTTAGAGTTACTATTATAACAGTTATGATTATTATTATAGCAATAGGAAGAGAAGAAGAAAAAATTTTTTTTTTTTTTTCATAGAATTTATACTCCGGTCCGCTGGGTCTTCACATCACAGAAATTCTACAAAACAACAACCATTTTAATTACACAAACATAAATTCAAATATACGAGAGAGAAAACAAAAAATATAATACCAAGGGAAGGGAAATCTAACTAATGTGAGCATTGACAATGGTAGAGTTCTTGAAAACTTCACCCTTCTTGTTAACCAATTTACGAATAGTGCCGTCTTCTTCTTTGTAGATGACGTTGAAGTTTTCGTCGGTGGTGAAGTGTGGTTGGAGAGCTTCCCAAATCTTCTTCTTTGGGTTCAAAACCTTTTCTGGTTCACCATCGTACCCTTCAACAAAGATCTTGTCACCTGGCTTAGAACCTGGTGGTGGGTTGACAAATTCAACCTTACCGTGAGAGTCATCACTACTACATAACACCATACCTTCACTTTCAATACCTCTCATCTTGACTTTCTTCAAGTTACAGAAAACAACAACATGTCTTTGTTGCATTTCTTCTAATGGGTAGAACTTCACCAAACCAGAACAGATGGTTCTTGGCTTATCTTCACCGACATTCATGGTGGAAACGTACAATGAGTCAGCATCTGGATGCTTTACGGCTTTTTCAATAAACCCGACTCTGAGATCAATCATGGTTGGGCTTGGAACAACTGCGGCAGGAGCAGCCTTCTTGTTGTTGTCCTTTTGAGCAGCAGCCTTCTTAGCGGCCTTAGCCTTGGCTTTTTCTTCTTTCAATTTCGCCAATTCTTCTGGAGATGGCTTACCATTTGGCTTACCATTTGGCTTACCACCGGCGGCAGCTGGGGCAGCATCATCCTTCTTTGGTTCTTCTTTACCACCCTTCTTGGCGTCCTTCTTTGGCTTTTGTTGAACTTCGACTGGGAGTTCAGCATTGAATGGAATCTTCAATTTTTCAGCGTCGGCTAACTTGATTAAAGTGTTTTGAATCAAATCAATCCATCTGATGATGTGACGTTGGTCAGCAACGGTTTTTTCATCGGCAATAGAGGATTCAACAACTGGGAAAACCGCTTTGAACAAAAGAGCGTCGACATTGGTTGGCTGGTTTCCCAAGACGTAAGTGAAATGACGCAAACAATCGTTCAATTTTGGAATGAAGCTGGCATCCTGTTGGATGGTGCTCACCAAAGTGGTCCATTGAGCAGCCAAAGCTTGTTGTTCAACAGAGAACTTGCTTTCAGGCAATAACGACTTGTCATCACTGATGGTCAAGTTTTTCAAAGAGGCAGATACTTCAGACATTATGATCGCGTGCAGATGGTACTACTATTAACAATAATGGTGATTGACACCACGCTTCCCACTGATTTTTAAAAAATTTTCCGCACCGCTTTTCAAGGGAGCTTTCCGCTGACTCATAACCAGCATACAAATCCCAGCATGCATAAATCAGCGATATTTTAATTTATGTTGGATCTACGGTTGCGAAAATCTAGTTGTGTAAGGCGAAAATCATTATCTAAGAGGTAAAAAGGGGAAAAAGAAAAACAAAATGTAAAGCAAAAACAAGGGGAAGGATATTAGGTCATTTCAAGGAAAGTTCTAAGTCATGATAAAGAAATCTAAAACAACCCTTCAATTTCACCATCATCATTCACTTCCACATCCATGAAACCACAATGAGTTGGCAAACCTGGAATAGTTTGGATTTCAGCAGCAAGTGCGTACAAGTACCCAGCACCAATACTAGCTTTGATATCTCTAATTGGGAAAATGAAGCCCTTTGGAACACCCTTTTGGGCAGCGTCATGAGACAAAGAGTATTGAGTTTTAGCAATACAGATTGGTAAATTGTCAAAGCCTTGCTTGGCGTACAACTCAAGTTTCTCTTGGGCAGCAGGCAAGAATTCAACGTCGGCAGCACCATAGAGGTTTTGGGCGATTTTACGGATCTTAACATCAATAGGATCACTGAGCTCATAAGTGAACTTGAAAGTATCCTTTGATGGTGGTAAAGAAACATCATTAGTGATTTCCACCACCTTTTCTGCCAATTTAACAGCGCCGAGACCACCGTTAGCCCAGTGATCTGAAATCACGGCATCGATGGCACCAGCTTCTTGAGAGTATTTTTTAATGACTTCATGCTCGGCTGGGGTATCATTCTTCATAGCATTAATAGCAACGAGAACATTCAATCCAAAAGATCTAGCATTTTGAATGTGCTTTTGCAAGTTAGCGCAACCCTTAGCCAACATTTCAACATTTTCGGTGACATATTCTTTGGCTAATGGAACACCGGCCTTGACTTCGGCACCACCACCATGAACCTTCAAAGCACGAACAGTGGCCACGACAATAACCAAGTCTGGAACAAGACCAGAGTTACGGGTCTTAATATTCAAGAAACGTTCACCTCCCATGGTGAAATCGAACCCTGCTTCGGTAACGACATATCCGGAATCTTCAGAGGCAGATTCAGTACCAGCAAGTTTCAAAGAAATTTTATCAGCAATAATAGAGTTGGCACCAATAGAAATATTGGCGAAAGGACCAGCATGAATCATGACAGGAGTACCTTCCAAAGTTTGCATTAAAGTTGGCTTGATAGCATCCTTAAGCAAAGCAGTCAAAGCACCACCAGCACCAATATCATCACAAGTAACTGGTTCACCGGATTTAGAGGTAGCGACGACAATACGGCCAAGTCTGTCACGCATGTCTTTAAGAGAAGTGGAGAGAGCCAAAATCGCCATACATTCAGAAGCCACAGAGATTTCGAACCCAGTAGAACGGGTCATCCCCTTTTCGGTTGGAGCTTCACCAATGGTGATACCACGGAGGAAACGGTCATTACAGTCAACCACACGTTTCCAGGTAATAGATTGTGGATCAATATCCAAACGGGCAAACTTGGTGATTTCTTCTGGTGTCAAGTCATCTGGGTTGGTCTTGTCGATTCCCAATTTCTTCAATCTAATAAACATAGATGGAGAGAATTTACGGGCACCGTTCTTTACTGGCACCAAACGACGGTACAAAGGACCATCCTTTTGGGTAGATTCGTGGAACATTCTGGTGTCAATGGCAGCAGCAAGCAAGTTGTTAGCCATAGAGATAGCATGGATATCCCCAGTCAAATGCATATTGAATTCATCCATAGGAATGACTTGAGAGTAACCACCACCAGCAGCACCACCCTTAATACCAAAGGTTGGACCCATAGATGGTTGTCTGACGTTGGCGAAAACCAATCTGTTCAAGTGGGCACCAAGAGCTTGGGCAAGACCAACGGTAGTTGTTGATTTACCTTCACCGAGCGGGGTTGGGGTGATACCGGTGACAAGAATGTATTTACCATTTTCACGGTTCTTGAATTTTTCCAAAACAGATAACTTAACCTTGGCCTTTGTAGATCCATATGGTTCGAGATCTTCAGCTGGAATACTGGATTCGCTGGCCACTTTGGTGATTTGCTTTGGGGTTTGGGCTCTAGAGATTTCATAATCTGATGGGACTGGGGTCAACAAATTGAGTTTCAATGGAGTGAACCCGTTCTTCTTAGAAGAGAATTTCTTAGCGGATTCGACAACATTGTACAACAATTCAGCAACGGTCATTGGGCCAACTCCACCAGGAACTGGGGTGATTTTAGCAACCTTTTCTTTGGCAGCATCGTATTCAACATCACCTACTAAACGAGAGCCTGATTTTCTTGTAGAGTCTTCGATATAGTTGGTGCCAACGTCAATGACGATAGCCTTGGAGTTTAACCACTCGGCCTTGACAAAGTTTGGTTTACCAATGGCAGACACTACGATATCGGCATTTTGCAAGTGTTGTTCAATATTGGTAGACTTGGAATGCAAAGTGGTGACAGAAGCATCCAAATTTCTCAACAAAACTGAGACAGGAACACCGACGATATCAGATCTACCTAAGACCACGGCGTGTTTACCGGCAACTTCAATACCCGAATGTTTTAATAAATCGACGATCCCTTTTGGGGTGCATGGCAAGAAGTGTGGAGCACCATTTTTCTTACTCAACTCACCAATGTTATAACTGGTAAAGCCATCGACATCCTTTTCCGGGGAAACAGCGTTGGTGATCGCTTGAGGGTCCAAGTGATCTGGCAAAGGAAGTTGGACAATGATCCCATGGACTGCAGAATCTTGATTGAGACTGTCGATGCGGGCGAGAAGGGCATCTTGGTCGATAGATTCTGGAAGATCAATGTGTTGGAAGATAATACCTACTTCTTCGGCAGCCTTACGCTTCATACGGACGTAAACTGAGGAATCAGGTCTAGCGCCAACTTGGACCACCACCAATTGTGGAGCAAAAGATGGGGATTTTGCTTTAATGGCGGCAATTTCTTGGGAGAGCTGGGATCTGATGGAAGCAGAGACTGTTTTTCCGTCAATAATCTCGGCAGTCATTGTGTGGAGCGTTTTGGTGAAGGATAGGAGTTTGAGTGATAGAATGAACTAAAGAGAAGAGTTTTCACCTGCAATGACACATATATAATAGGCGAGATTTTACATACTGCTGGGTGGAGTCTCAAGGGAGTCACCCGGCGTGCCGTGACGCTGGTTTTTTACTCGGGACCAGAGATTTTTGACTCGGGACCAGACGATCACAGTCACGCGGAAGATCACGATACTTATTCATATTACATAATGTATTCCATAATACTACTCATACTGTCTTTTTATATAGTCAAATCATATCAAATATGATCGCTTACTGACCTTATTTCACTCCACCTATTGCACTTCTTCCAAATTTCACTTTACTTTGTCATTTTCAGTCTATTTATACATATATATAAACGTATTTTTTTTCTTGCCTTCCTTGATCGTGGATCCATCGGCAATCATGCCCAGCAATGCCAAACCGTATCTCTTGATTCTTGCCAAAAGAACAATAGACAAAACACCAGAGGTGCCACTTTGAGATATTCTCTTTTTCCTATTCTTAAGAAGAAGCTTCTTCTTCTCCCAATCAACATCAAGTGATGCCGCCCTGCAATTCGTTAGCGGCGTCTCATTAGCGGCGAAATGCAACAGGGACAGGAAAAAAAAAAAAACTTCCCACTAGTGGAATCACTGTTGTTACCATCCATTAGATCTGGAACATTGCCGATTCGTTTGCCTCTAATGCTTTCGCTTAGTACCCAGATTGCAGCTGGTCCCATCAAAAGGTTGCAGGCGCCGTAGATAAATTTTTTTAAGCGAGGCGCCATGGAAGATATGATCAACAGAAAAGAATTACCATATAAAATAACCCCATCCCTATCATCTTCACCAAATGGATCTTCTTTTGTTTCTTATGTACCTTATACCATTGAGCTGCCATGACAAGTCCCTGCTCCGCTATGTGGGATCCAATCGCCTTTGACTTGACGGTCTGTGGCAGGCATTTAATTCTTGATACCGCTTTACCTTCACTTCTCTTGGTAATCTCTTTAATTTATCTTGCCAATTATTACTTATCAAACATTGACCATTTCAAGTCTCTCAGTTTCAAGGGAGCAATTAGAATCCCTGATGGTGAAGAAGAATGTTTGATTAGAGCAGATGATAGCCTTGTCATAGAAGATGCATTTATTGACTATGGAGCAACGAATGCAAAAACCTCTTCCACTCATCTTGGAGATTATCTCAAGAGACAACACTTTGATATCCATGCATTAAATGTTGGCAAAGATGATGGCACTCCTCACGGGACCTCTGTGGTGGTTTATCGTAACTTGAATGAACGTCTCAAGGTGGCCATTGAGGCTTTACTTTTGGTGATTCAATTCGTCATTCATTCATCTCTCTTATTTTTCCCTTTAACTTCTGAATGGGATAATGCTCCAGGTTCTATTTCTGCAAGATTCTTATTATGGACATATTTGATGGTCATTGGGGTTTTACGACTCTTCAATATCAACAACTCGTGGAAATTCTACCTTAAATATTTCCCTAATCTTTGGGCCAATTCCACAGTTTGTTATACGATCTTGTTTGTCCCATATATCATTTTATCCCGCTCTATTGTCATCAATAACTTTGATTCAACTTATACCCAAAACTATTACTATGGCCAATGCGTGATTATCGTGGTATTATTCTTTTTAACTTGGTCTGCCACTATTGGCGACAAGCCAGTCAAACTTTACAAGACCAATGATTTGACTCCATCCCCGGAACGAAACATTTCTTTGTTTAGTTTTGTATTATATGACTGGATTGACCCAATGATTATGAAGGCTTACCGTGATGGTATCGATATGAAAGACATTTGGAGTTTGCGCGATGATGACTACGCTCATGTGGTGTTGCGGAAGTTTGAAGACTTCAAGACTAGCTCCCGTTTCGCCTTAAAATTGTTCAAATTTTTCAAGGGTTTGTTTGCCTTACAGGCCATTTTGACCGTATTTGAATCTTTCTTGATGTTTGCTCCTACCTATTTTCTCAAAAAACTTTTAGAATATGTCCAAGCTCCAGAGATGACTCCTACAAATTTGGCCTGGTTTTATCTTTTTTTGATGTTTTTTTTGAGATTGATAAACACTTTATCATTCGGGGTGGCATTATATACCGGAAGAAGAATTTGTATTCGTATGAAGGCTGTGATTATCGGAGAGATTTACTCCAAAGGGTTACGTCGTAAAATGGCAGTCAATTCAAAGTCCAATGCTAGCGACTCGGGTTCTATTAAAGGAAAGGAGAAAGACAATGAAACAGCAGATGAAACTGATGCAGAAGTCAGAGATTTAGGAGGTATTATCAATTTGATGTCTGTGGATGCTTTCAAAGTTTCTGAAATTTGTGGTTATTTACACTATTTTGTCAGCGGTGCTCTCTCTGCGTGTATTTCCATTATTTTCCTTTACCAATTACTTGGTTGGAGTGCACTTGTTGGGGCCATTGCCATTATTGCCCTCTTGCCTGTTAATTACAAGATTTCCTTGAAAGTTGGTGATTTACAAAAAAAAATTCTCGGGATCACCGACAAGCGTATTCAAAAGCTCAACGAAGCCTTGCAATCTATTAGAATCATCAAATTTTTCACCTGGGAGTCCAAGTTCTATGATCAAATAATCGGAGTTCGTGCCGAAGAGTTGTCCGCCTTGAGGACTAGATGTATCATATCAGTTGGTGGGAATTTCTTGTCATTCTTAATTCCAACTTTTGTTACCATTTTATCTTTCGGCTTCTTCATTTTCATTCAGGGTCAAGTGTTGACTACTCCCGTGGCTTTTACTTCTTTGTCACTTTTCAACTTGCTCAGAATCCCATTAGACGACTTGGCCTATATGTTATCGTTTGTGATTCAATCTAAAGTTTCCCTTGATAGAGTCAACGATTTCTTGGATGAGCCAGAAACTACCAAGTACGAACAACTTAGTGAACCTCGGGACGCTAATTCTCCTTCAGTTGGGTTTCAAAATGCGAGCTTTGCTTGGGATTTGAACAGTGATACTGACTTTAAGCTTCGTGATTTGGATATTTCATTCAGAACGGGACAATTGAACGTAGTTATCGGTGCCACTGGCTCAGGTAAGACCTCGATGTTGTTGGCACTTCTTGGTGAAATGGAAAAAACCAATGGTAAAGTCTTTTTACCTGGTGCTATGCCACGTAGCAAGTTGATTGCTGATCCACGTACTGGCCTTACTGATTCTGTTGCTTATTGTGCTCAAGCTGCATGGTTGTTGAACGACTCTATCAAGAGTAATATTGTTTTTGCTGCTCCGTTCAATGCCAAACGTTACCAGGCTGTAGTAGAGGCCTGTGGGTTGGCCAGAGACTTTGAAATATTGGAATACGGTGACCTAACTGAAGTTGGTGAAAAGGGAATCACATTATCTGGAGGTCAAAAACAAAGAGTTTCTCTTGCCCGTGCCTTGTACTCTTCATCGAAAACTATTTTATTGGACGACTGTCTTTCTGCTGTTGATTCACACACTGCCCTTTGGATCTATGATCATTGCATCACCGGTCCTTTGATGAAAGGTCGTACCTGCATTTTGGTGTCACACAACGTTGCTTTGACGGTTAAGAACGCTAATTTGGTTGTTATTATGGATAATGGTAGGGTTAAGGCTCAAGGTACCCCATCGGAGATGTATGCTGGTGGCCATTTGGGTGACGATGAGTTGATCAAGGCGTCAATTGAAGAAGCTTCAATTGCCCAAGCATCAGCAATTGAAGAAGGGGTTGTATCTTTTAACCTCTTACCATCCAGAAGAGCCTCTCGTGCTTCTATCGTTGGTAGAAGAATGTCTATTTTGATGTATGATCTTGATGAAGAAGTTCAATTGGAAAGAGTGGTATCTAAGGCTAACAATGGAGATGAAGCTGCTCCCCAACATAATTTGATCAAGGAAGAATCTAAAGCAGAAGGGATTGTTGGTAAAGATGTTTACATTTTCTACGCCAAAAGATTTGGTAGTATTGCCCCTTGGATTTTTTTGATTGTTTTGTTTGTGGGATCCCAAATGATCAACATTGGTCAATCTTGGTGGTTGAGACGTTGGGCTGCCGATTCGGAAACTGGGCATATCTCTTTCCACGCGTTTGTGTTACACAAGACTTTTGAACACGGTTCAGTTGGTGCCAGTTTCATTAACAACGAACGTCTTTGGAAATCACCAATGGCACAAGTATTGGGAGAATCTGCGGTTCATGATACCTGGTATTATATGGGCATTTACACAGCTATTGGGTTCATCTTTGCATTTATTTGTTGTCTCAGAGACTATTTGGTTTTTATTCAAGGGATTAAGGCTTCAAATTCGATTTTTGTGGAATTATTGGATAAAGTGTTCCGCGCTAAATTAAGATTTTTTGATTCTACTCCTATTGGTCGTATCATGAATCGTTTTTCTAGAGATATTGAATCTATTGATCAACAACTAGCTCCTATGGCGCAAGGATCATTTATTTCTTTGATCGTTACTTGCTCTACCCTTGTTTTAATCATTTCTATTACTCCTGCGTTCTTTTTGTTTGCAATTTTCATCATTGGGATGTTTTATGTCATTGCGATTTTCTATTTGACATTATCTCGAGAATTGAAACGTTATGAATCAATTTCTAGATCGCCAATTCATCAACATTTTAGCGAGACTTTGGTTGGTGTCACTACCATTAGAGCTTATGGAGATGAACACCGTTTCATGCGTCAAAACTTGGAGAAAATCGATGACAATAACCGACCATTCTTCTATTTGTGGGTGGCAAATCGTTGGTTACATTTGCGAGTCGATACTGCTGGCTCTTTTGTATCATTTTTTGCTGGGGCATTTGTTATATTGAGTGTGAAATATCTTGATGCTGGGCTTGCCGGGTTGTCATTGTCATACGCTATTTCTTTTACGGAATCCGCTTTGTGGATTGTTAGACTTTATGCCGAAGTGGAAATGACAATGAATTCGGTGGAAAGATTGCAGGAGTACTTGGATATTGAACAAGAACCTGCTCGTTTGATTCCTGAAACTGCTCCAGAAGCTTCATGGCCTTCAAAAGGGGTTATTGAAGTGAAGGACTTATCACTCAGATACGCTCCAGAATTGCCACAGGTCATCAAGAATGTATCATTCAACGTGGAAAGTACCTCTAAAGTGGGAATTGTTGGAAGAACTGGTGCTGGTAAATCGACAATTATCACTGCGTTGTTTAGATTCTTGGATCCTGAAACAGGGTTTATTAAGATTGATGGGGTGGACATTACCAGTATTGGGTTGGATACTTTACGTCAGGCTATCACCATAATTCCTCAAGACCCAACTTTGTTTAGTGGGACAATCCGGTCGAACCTTGATCCATTTGACGAGAAATCAGAATTGGAAATCTATGAAGCATTGCGTCGGGTCAATTTGATTTCCCTTGATGAATTCAGCGCGGTACAAACCATGGCGCAATCTACAGTGTATTGTGAAGGAGGAGAAGATGAGGAAAATCGCAATAAGTTTTTGAATTTGCATAGTGTGGTAGAAGAAGGCGGCAAGAATTTATCACAGGGACAAAGACAATTGATGTGTTTAGCGAGATCTTTACTTAGAGCTCCAAAAGTGATTTTATTGGATGAAGCTACGGCGTCGATCGATTATAATAGTGATGCTAAGATCCAGCAAACCATTAGAAGTGAATTTAGTGGCAGCACTATCTTAACCATCGCCCATAGATTGAGATCGATCATTGATTACGACAAGATTTTGGTTATGGATGCTGGGGAAGTTAAAGAATATGCTGATCCATGGACTTTGATTTCTGATAAGAGTACGATTTTCTATAGCATGTGTGCTAATTCTGGGGAGCTTGAAACATTGGAAGTTGAAGCTAAAAAATCATTTAATGAGAAGCATTAGTGGTGGAGAACTTTTTTTTTTTTTCTATTTATTTATTTTTGATATTTTTTATTTAATCATGTTTGAAACATCACCAAGTTTTATGTGACGAAATCTTCAATTCTTTTTAATTCTTATTTTATCTTTTTTTTATTATTATTTCAAATCAAGACAATATTCTTTGAATCATCAAAAATCAATATATGTGGGTGTACAAACGCCATATATAATACATACATTATATACCGATTTTACTACAATTGAGTAGGGACATGATTTGAAAACTGGAAACACAAGTGTTCGTTTTATTATTATAACCTTCAAAACTTTATCAAAACTTTATCAAAAAGTAAGAAAATGCAAGAAAACACGAAAAAAGAGAGAAAGAACAGAAAAAAAGGAAAAAAAGGAAAAAAAGGAAAAAAAAAAAAAGAAAACAAATAATGATGGATTCTAATAAACACAAACTCAAAAGAAAATACCCCCAAAATAATAATAGCAATAGTTACTCATGAGAATCACAAATTATAAATCTCCAATGGCAATTAGAACGAACGGTGAGTAGAAAAAAACAGGTGATGATTAAACAGAGAGAAAAAAATAATTTTCAAATAATTGGCAAAAGGGGAGAGAGCGATGATAGAAATATTCAACTATAAGGATCAAAGAATTTTTTCAATGGAGTGTTATTGAATACCCTCATCCCCATATTAGTACCGGCCAATGACTGATCAAACCAGTATCCATTGTAGAATCTTTCATAAACCGCAGGCAATTTTGTCTTTTGGAAAATTATAAAAGACACATACGCGTAAATCAATCCACAAAGAAGGTCTAATCTAAAATGATGGTCCAAATAAATGGTGGCCCACCATTGGATCACCACAAAACTCAACCCGGCAAGCTTGACGACCCACCAACGGGAATAATAATTCAAATGCAAGAAAGTCTGCACCGCCATTGCTGAGTGTAATGAAGGGAAGGCTCCAAAGACAATTGGCGATTTGTGGAACCCTTTGGAATTCAAATGAGTACCCATGGCCACGTCGACCCGAGTTAAACCGGCAGCGTACCCTGGCATATCGTAATCAGGAGTGATATCAAGGCCATTAAGATGAATAAACCATGGTGGAGCATTAGGGAAAAGTAGATGGGTGATCACCCCGGCGATATTCTGACACCCCAAAATGATGGAGAAGTATTTGACGGCTCCAGGCGGCTGGAAAACATAAAGGTATACTGCGGTAACGATTGGGACAATAAGGTGACAAAGCACGTATAGAACCCAAGAGAAAATATCTCTTGCGCTGGTGATGAATTCTGGTTGAGCAAGGTAGTAATCGATGTTAAGAATTGGCCACGAAAGACCCAATAATAATACGATAAAGATAGGAGAGTATCCAGGAGGCAATGATGGGTTGAACCGGGATTCGGGACCAATGACTATTCCATTTTCCACGTCGACAGCTATTTCATCCAGATCTTCTTCTTCTTCTTCTTCCTCATCATAGGGTTTTTGTTCATTTTCGGTGGAGGATGACAGTGATTCGTCAAATCTATTTTTCGATTGTTGGCTTTGATGACCGATATGACTGTCCTGATAGGAACCATTTTCTGTGTCATCATCTTCATCATCGTTCACTTCGAATATATTATCATCAATAGTATCATCATGATGATGATGTTGTTCAAATGTGGATAGCGGGATGAAATCATCCGTGCCTTCGCCGCGACGACGACGACGATGACCGCGAACGGCGTTCTTCAGCTGGAACACCCACAAATACATGAAATAAGAGAGCACTAAGGTGGCAATACCGCAGATAATCCCGATAATAGAGATTTCAAAGAAGTAGAGGTCAATGTAATAAACAATCTTGACATGGATGGTGGGCCTCCACCCGTGAGGGATGATTCCCGCATTCTTAAAGATCGAGAGCCATATGAAAATAGGAGAGAAGTTGAGGCAGAAGTTGAGCACCAAGTAGAATGGATTTCCGTGGTTGTTGATTGCTGAGAGGTAGAGTCTAGAGATGGCAATCCACAAGTATTGCAACACCTTCGGAGCCATTAGCAGTGTTGATTGCAATAAGAAACAACTAGCCGATTATAATACACTAACGATAATAATAATGAAAAAGCAACAAAACAAAAAAAAGAATAACAGAAAAAAAGAAAATCACTCAGAAAAAGGGAGAGTGTGCCAAATAATCGTCAGACAAATGAATAAATTGCTGTTGGTTGTTGTTTGGGCACATCCAACTTAGGGTTTTCGGAATAATTTTTTTGTTCCCCGTTCGATTTTTTTTTTTTTTTTACTTTTTTCTTTTTACAGCCGCCCGCTGCACCGTCCATCACCCTGAATTTCCCACAACAATAAGCAGAAGAGGAAAAAAAGCCTTGTATTTCTCAGTATCTGAGGCCAATGGCACACTCCAAGAACAGGCGGAGGTCCCCGTCGTCCATCCCTCCCACAAACATCGTCACCACCCTGATCAACCACACCACACTCTCGGTGAACCGATCAAACAGCATGCTGCGCTGGGTGTCGCAGAACGTCTTGAAGTTAAGGGTCGCGACCGTCAAGTTGCTGAGGATGTAACTGTTAAAGTCATCCTCGCCAAATACCTCGCGTAATGCCCCAAGATACTCTTTGTATTCGATGCTATTGGACCGGTTGGTGTCTGCTTCCATAAAGATCTCGTGCCACTGCTTCAAGTAGTTCCAGAGCTTGACAAACTCTCTGAACTCTAGCAGCTGTGATGAGCCCTTGTGGAATAATGAGAACATCAACCGAACAGTGGAGTGTTGGAAGGGTTTTTCTGGTGATAAGAATTCTGCTGTCAATATCTTTTGAAGTGCTAGGAGTGTTATCCCTTGACTTGTAGTGACATTTTGGGAAAAGATTAGTTCAAGCCGCTCTGATGGATAATCTATCAGAGTAGGAGAAGGGTCATCTGGTAATGTCCCGCCATTGAGCTTTGTAAGACTCGTCGCCACTTCCACTTTCTTTGCTAGTTGGAACGCCTCGAGTGGCGATGGGAACTTGGCTAATTGGTCATTGGTTTCTAATGCTGGCATTGGTGATTAGTATTATTGTTGTATTGTAAAGCCTATATAGTCATTGAGATGACTCAGAATAATTAGATTATATTATATTATATTATATATATATATACTTAATTGTCCTGTAAATACCTGATCACCATATCAAAATATAAAGCTTTCAATTTGCCATGACCAATGTTTTAAGCTTGTGATATGGTATTCCTGCATGTGCACCACGCCTTAACTTACAACAATTATCAAAATGAAAATGTTATTTATAAATTAAAACACAAAAGAAGGGAATGATAATATTAAGAGTATTTTCTAGATTGAGAAATAAAAAAGAGAACCTGTGAATAAAAGAAATATATATATATAAATAAATACAAAACTTATTGCCTCATTTTAGCCAATTTTTCAGTGTTTCTAATCGCAAGCTTCGAACTGAATGGCACCACCAAATGGGTGACCACAGCCCACGCCACCAAAATCCCAAAACAACGGCCAATATCTCGCTTGGTGGTGTCGAAGATACAAACCACAAGGATTTTTTGGAAATTATACGTTGGCAAACCGTACGAATAACGATAAAACTTGGGACACACCGCAAGCGCCAGGGTGATCCCACACACATTGATAATCAAGAATCCCACAATGTAGTACCCAACATAACTACGATCGTATGCCACAAGGTTGGGCAAGATCACTTCGTTGACCCCGGCAAGCGCCGAAAAGTTCAAATAAGACGCTGCCCAAATCACAAGGAATCCCAGCTTACCGAAGGCGGCATCATAAGAGATCCCAAACGCCACCCCGACCAAAGCGTAAGCCAAAGATAAAAACACATAAATCACTTGCGACGCCCCGAGTCTATAATACAAGTACGATCTTGATTCGACCTTGTCGACAATTTTTGCGTGTATGACCGTTGAGAAATTGAAGAGTTGCACGGTGATGACAATCACATAAATGAGCCCAATGTAAATAATCCCAGTAACCGAAGCATTCCTATTTGGGCGAAGATCAGTTAGCAAAATAGCAAAAGGGCTTATCAATAACGGAGCGGTGGCATTGTTTTGCAAAACCTTGCTAACCACCTGGCTTCGTTCACTTTGGGGAATTTGTTTGACAAGGGGTCCAAGGATATAAGGTGAAGCATAATTGATCATTGCCAGGCTGATCTCAGCAACCACAGGCTCGATATAGTACGAGACAGTGAGGGCATCTCTACCAGTTTGGTAGATACAAGTAACCACAGTGCTGCTATTGAGCTCGACACTAGGTTGTGAATTAACAATTGCTTGATAATAATCGTACGAAGCGTTAGGGGCCACAAGACAGCCGGCCCAGTAGTTTTGTTGGTACACCTGCCGGGTCAATTCTTCGAGATAGGTGTTGTTGTTGTGAGGCTTGAGGACGCTGGTGAAATTTTGTGAGTCAACCAAGGTCCAGCCGCTTTGCGATGAGATGGTCGGTGAAAAAATAATCGATTTGAAAGTCTCGCCAATGACCGGAACCCCTTCATTATTAGGATACGAGTCATCAGCAACAATTGCAAGGAACTTAAGACGATGAAGACGAGAGTCGCGATGGTAGTAGGTGCCCCAATATATCGACAAGAGAGCAATGTAAACAACAAAGAGCTGGATGTAGACCCTGGTAAACATCAACAACACACTGCGGTTCCAGAAATGATGGAGGGTTTTGAAACCTCTCCAGAAGAGTGGGGTCTGTGGCTCAGGGGGCTTTTCCTCGGACATTTTGTTTCGGTTACCTGCTATATCATGGATAATCACAAGAACTGGAAAAGGTGAAGGGAATAGAGAATTAGGTGAAGGGAATAAAGGTTGCGCGAGGCTGAAGAGGGTGTTCCGGTGCGGTAAGCACCCCCTGTGATCGCTAACTCCGGGACGGCAATCTTTCTCTCTCCCAAAGAAACAGCAAACAAATCCCCTTTTAAGCTTCTCACAGCCCTTCTTCACCAAATCATCATTTGAAACAAACAATCCACATCAACAATGTCCGACGTCGAGGTCTTTTCTTACGCCAAAACTGAAACTTTGGCTGCCACTTTGGGGAAATACATCCTCCGTCTTCAGAACGAGGTCCTCCTCAAAAATGAAGTGTTCACGGTGTCCGTCAGTGGTGGATCATTGGTCAAAGTGTTGCAATTGGCCCTTATTGAAGACCCTGAGATCTCAAAGAAGATCCATTGGGAAAAATGGCACATCTACTTCTCTGATGAACGTCTTGTGCCTTTGAACCACCCAGATTCTAACTATAAGCTCTTCCATGATAAAGTGCTCGCCCCACTTAGTGATGCCCAAGTTGCTGGGCCTGAAGTGTTCACCATCAATGAATCCCTCGTGCATTCTGGTGACGATGCCACCGATGTGAAAATCGCCGAAGAGTACCAATCTCTTCTTCCAAAGAGCTTGAGCTTTGATTTGATCCTTTTAGGGCTCGGGCCAGATGGGCATACCGCATCTTTGTTCCCAGGTCACCAGGGGCTCAAGGTTGAAGATAAATGGATCTTCAACATCAATGATTCTCCAAAACCTCCGCCACGTAGAATCTCTTTCTCCTTACCATTAATTTCCAAAGCCAAGAACATTGCGTTTGTTGCTGAAGGTGCCGGTAAGGCTCCGGTGATCAAGAAAATCTTTGAAGATCAATCATCTGGGTTGCCAGGTGAATTGGTCAACGATTTGCCAAATATCCCAATCAAATGGTTCGTCAGCAATGATGCCATTGCCGGAGCACCAATAATTGTCTCAATGTTTGAATAGTTTTACGATATTCTAAAAGAAAAAAAATGTCGTTTCCATAATTATTATGATACATAGCTTATGATTTGAAAAAATGAATAAAAAAATGAATAAAAAAATTGAAAAAAAAAATGATTATTGGACTATCTCTTTATTGTAATTATGACACCCTCTGTAATTGCAAAAATCGCATCACTGTTTATTTATCACACACACACACACACACACACACACCACCGATTTGTAACTCAAAATATTAGTACATCAGTACACATAGCCGTCCTCAAAATATTAGCAAACACCCTCCTCTACTTCTTCCCATCACTCAACAACTTATTTCTCTTTTCCTTACGACGCATACGCTCCACTTTCTTCTTGTGATATTTCTCAGCAAGTCGCTGGTAACGTTCCTTCTCCAACTTCTCCTCCTGTCTTTTCTTTCTCTCCTCAGTTTTCGCCTTTTTCTCATTAATCTTCTCTTCCTTCATAGCCGCCAACTTTTGCTTCACAAGTTTCTCTTGTTCTTGACGTTGTTTACGCTCATTGAACCCAAGCTGGTTGGTCTTGTGGTTGAGTGAAATATTCAATGACTTCTTTTCTGTTTTCCATGGTTTACCACTAACACGAGACCCTTGGGTAAGCTTTTTGTTATTAACTATCTCAGTTTCTGCCATCTTTGTTTTATATTTCCTATAAATTGTTTCAAAAAGGCCCTACTATGTGATAGGGATTTTAAAAAAAAAAAAAATTAAAAAAAAAAAAAATTTTCATGCATCCGTCAACATGGAACTTCCAAAGTCATCTCTCGTGCTGCTACACATTGGTATCAAAAAATCAACAAGAACAACACAGTTTCTAGTTATACAAAAGTAGAAAATATTCAAACTACTATATATGAAAAAAAAAAATGGAAAATGGAAAGAAAAATAAATAAATAAAGTAGCTAACAGAAAGCTTTTAAGACTGGAGGAGAAAAAAAAAATTCCACTTATCTTCAAGCGGCTTTCAATCGGGCATCTATGACCGCGATTTCTTCTTTCAAACTCGCTTCTTCAACAGTCTTGACAAGCTCTTTTGTACATTTGGCGATATCAAAAGCAATACCCGCTAATCTCTGCTTAAAATGTTTGTCTGCGTAATCATCATCATCACTCTTGTCATTACTACATAACATATCCATACGTCTACCACAATCAGCCAAGCTTTGAACAACCCATCTACCATGTTCTCTCAATTGAACATTACGGCTTTGCGCCATTGACACACTAGTGGCATCGAACATTTGACTCACAACAATGCCAATAGCTTTGGCTCCTGTTTTAAGAGTGCCAGTAGTAGAGTCAGGGGTCTTGATAGAAGATAATAAAGTTTGAATAGTAGAAATAACTTCCACAGTTTGATGTTCCAAATAAAGCAATAATTCTGCAAGAGTATTGTCTGGATCAGCAATATCAAAGGTATTAACATCAAATTCCTGAGGACGGTCCATTTTGCGGGCCTCTGGCAATGGTGAGGAAGCACTGTCCTTACTGTTATAATCAGCGTTAGGTTTTTGGTATGCAATCTGTGAGTTTGAGTAGTCAGAACTTACTTCTTCATTTGAAAGAGGTGGAACACCAGACTTCGCCTGATCCCTTGAAGATGTATCACTAGAAGATTTGTTACTAGAAGATTTGTTACTAGAAAATTGATCATTAGTAGATTGGTCATTAGAAGATTGGTCATTAGAAGATTGATCACTGGTACTTGTCATGGCATTTTTCGTTAAATTTTGTTTTGCATGATTATCGCTCAGACTTTCTTGGTCACGGCGCTTTGGACTATCATCTGCTTTTTCTGTCAGTGCATTAGAAGCAAATCTTTCTTTGGACTTTTCTTGCAAAATTGGTTCTTGTGCTGAATCAGGCTTTTTGTGAATTGCGCCCTTAGTATCAATGTCTTTTAAATTCTGAGCAGTCAATTTCCCTCCAAATTTGGAAACGACTTTTTCAGACAGGGGTTTCACAATATTAGGGGAGCCATGAGGACTTGAGGTCGGACTTCCACCATTCAGAGAAGATTCAAGCTGCTTCATTCTCGACAAAATGCTTCCGGAAGGAGTAACATTCCTGGAGTTCGACAGTTTTGCAACCAGTTTTTCGGTAGATTCACTACCATTAAATTTGGCCTTGAGACTGGAAACTGAATTTTTCTTTGGTGTTGATTGATTAGATCTGAACGATGATTCATTGATACTTTCAGGGTCTGAAATTTCTCTTCTATGGAAGCTCTCTTTACCCACATCAGAATTATTATAGTGATCAGAATCATTATAGCGATCAGGATTATCATAATGATCAGAATCATTATAGTGGTCAGAATTATTATAATGGTCAGAATCAAAGCTGTTATTACTAATATCAATTGTCTTCTTAATCTGAGAGTTTTTATTTGTGGTATCAAAAGTATTAACAACAGAACGTTTGGTAATGCTTGATTTTGTTGAAGTTAATACAGGGGTGTTTTGTTTTTGTTGTGGTTGTGATTGCGGTTGTGGTTGTTGTGTTTTTTGTGGTTGATAATTGTGTTCCTCTTGTGGCTTTGATTGTGGCTGCGAATGTGGTTGTGGCTGTGGATGTGGTTGTTGTGATTGATAATTGTATTGCTCTTGTGATTGTGAACGTGGTAGTGGTTGAGGTTGATAATCGTACACCTCTTCCAGTTTTGATGGTGATTGTGGTTGTTGTGGTTGTGGTTGCGATTCTGAATGCGATTGCGAGTGGGATAGAGGGTATGGTTGCTGACGGAGATGCTTATCGTCTTCTAAAGTGGAAGATTGCAAACTGGCCAACCCAACCCTAGTTGAAACTTGCCAGTTAGAGCTAGCAGTACTACTAATATTTGGATTGCTTAAATTATCACCACTTGTGAAAAATGGCACACTTTCCACATCAATATTACCAGTGGGTTGTGTGCTTCTAACAGAATTAATACTATTATCATTGACATGGGATTTGTTTATACCATTAACGCCTTCTGGCTCATTCTTCATTCCAATACCAGTAGTATCCTGTTTGTGAACCACATCATTATCCATTACTGACGAATTATCAATGGCTTCCTCTGCACCTCTTGAAGCATTGGTAATAATACCTTGTGGGCCTTTAGCAATGTTTCCAATATTGGTGCGTCTGAGGCCTTTTGTGCTCACACCTTCACTACTGCCACTAGTATTCAGTCTATCTCTAGTGGTGTCAAAATTATCAATTGATCCTGGCTTGTCTGAAAAATTGGAATTCAGTCTGCCTCTAGTGGTGTCAAAATTACCAAACGATCCTGGCTTGTCTGAAATACTGGTATTCAGTCTACCTCTAGTAGTATCAAAATTATCAATTGATCCCGGCTTATCTGAAAAATTGGAATTCAGTCTGCCTCTAGTGGTGTCAAAGTTACCAAACGATCCTGGCTTTTCTGAAATACTACTCCCAATAACGATATGAGCGCCTTTAGTACTGTTATTGATGACATCAGGTGTGCGCCTTATGCCACTATTGGTGATATCTGGGGTGTTTCTCATGTTACTAGCAACTGGGCTGCTTCTGCCATAGCTATTAGGAGTATTATCGAATGAAGGAAATCTTTCTGCATTTTTGCTTATCACATTTGGACTTAAAGTGAAATTGGTAGTGAAAGGATTTTCTCGTTTATGGGTAATGATTGGAGATTGTTTTTGGCCTTCTCTTCTTACCATTCTCAAAGGTTTGGGACTAAGAATACTTTCACCATCAGTATTGTCAGCATACACTGACCCTGGAGTGTTTTTTAGAGCATTATCTAACAAAATATCAGAGCCTGGGGCTGAGCTGTTTCCCTTAGCAGCAGCAATCATATTACAAACACTGAATGAGATCTCAGCGATTGCTGTTTCGACCACTAACTTAGGTAGTGTTTTCCCATGAACAGCATAAAATCTTGTTGATGTAATAGCATGAGAAACAGAGGCTTTAATTAAAGCTGAGAATTCACCATTGTTAACTGATTCACCTTGAACCGCAATATCACCGGCAATGATTGTTATTTTAGTAATTGTTTCGAACAAAAGATCAGTACTAAGATCATCATCGCTTATAATAAGTAAAAATGAGGTGATCAATGAGTTTAATTCAACAACAGAGGCCAGAGAAATCAAACCAGAAGGATCAATATATTTGTCGATTGCCTTTTGAGAAAGATCGGTTGGCTTCACTGAATAAGAGGAATGGTCAATTTCAGAAGTAGTTGTTTGTTTGATCGATTTATGCCTCAAATCCTGGTATTTTTTTTGCCATTCAAGAACTTGGAGCTTTAAACCCTCAGTTGTTTCACTGTCATTATTTTCAATACCCTTCGTGTTAACTTTTTCCAAACGATGTTCAATTTTATTCAATTCATCAACAGAGTCCTTGGAAGACAAATCATTAGTGAAATTTCTTGACAATATTGGTTGTTTCAGTTTTTCAGTTTCCAATTGTGCTCTAGCTATTTCTAGTTGTCCATGTAAGGTTTCATTCTCGTCATGAAGTTGTTTGGCTTTAATACCAGCTCTCTTCCTTTCCTCTTTCACTTCATCCTTTATTTCATCCTGGGCAAGCAAAGCACTATTATACTTTTCTTGTAATACCTTATAATCATCAAGAATCATCTTATATTCTGTTTCAGTCTTGCTGTACTTATCTCTCAATTCAAGGTATGATTTCTCATTTGCTTCTTTTTCCCTTTCCAAATTCTTGATTTCAAAGTTCAATCTAGTAACCTCTTGTCGCAAATCGGAAATTTCACCTTCGGAAGCAAGAGATCTACTGTCTTTTTCGTTCTGATAAGATTTCTCAGTTGTCTCTTTTTCCCTTTTCAAGTTCTGAATCTCAAAGTTCAATTTAGAAACCTCTTCTCGCAATTCAGAAAGTTCACTATCAGAAGCAACTGATTTATTCTCCTTCTCCTGTTGCAATTGTTCTACCATACTTTCCTTAGCAGTCAACTCTTGCTCCAACAGATACACTTTGGCAACGGTTTCATCATAAGTTGTTTCCAACTTATTTTTTTCTTCGTCAAGTATTTGGATCTTGTTTTTCAATGATTCAATGGTTTTCTCGTGAATAGTGATGGTTTTGTCCATCTTATTTCCTTCGGCTAAAAGCAATTCAATCTCATGATCTTTACTAGAAGTATCCACATTTGGTGAAGTCATTGAACCAAATCCACTATTGTTCAACTCTCTTGCTTGACCCCCCAATTCACGGGTATTTTTTGGCGGCAGAAGATCGGAGTATCTACTGGTATCAGTGTTAGGACTTGTCTTATCGAGGTAGCCATCATCAACTTTCTTCGAGCCTTCATCATGGAAATCGCTATGTCCATTGATTTTGTATTCGTTCTGGTGTAGTTTTTGATTCAATTGGCGATTACTATTATGAGAGAAAAGTTCATCGTGCTCTTCATCTTTTTCATCATGCACTCTGCCTATTTCATCTTCTGCCTCTTCCTCCTCATCACTACTCCAAGCCAAGGTAGATTTAGTAGGAATAACAGTTCCCGCTTGAATACCAACGTGGGCGGTTGAATGGTCAGTATTACTAGGAGTCGCTTCTTCCACAGGTTGAACATCCAAACCCCTTCTCTCGATTTCATACAACATATCGGTCACTAAATCTTTAAATCTTGAAGGAGGAAGGGATGCCAACTTCTTTCTAGCCTGATTTCTCTTTGGATGGAACCCCTCATCAGCGGCTAAGTGTTCTGATTGTAGTTCTTGAGCGGTTTGGCGTCTTTGAAGTTCGTCGAAAACATCAGTACTTAATTCGCTGAACTGTTCGGTTGAAAGCTTCAATAACTTTTCGCGAGCTTTTTTGGTTCTGGAAGAGTTCGCGTGTCTATCTGATTTGATCTCCAGAGAGTTGGCAAGATAGTCCTTGAACACTAGGGAATGAGTGACAAGGTGTGCCGCAGATCGGCTGTCAGTGTTTTTAGAACCCATATATATGATGCCTGTGGTGTGCTAGGCAATATAAATGACGGGTTAGCCAGGTCTGTTGTTTTTTTGAGGATCAGCTTAGAGGAAATCAGATCAAAAAACCACTTATTTTTTTTTCTTTTTCGGTGTCGATCACAAAATCGACAGTCACGTGTGTTGAGATCTAAGCAGAGAAGAAGGAAGAATCAGGAAGAAGAAGAAAAAAAAAAAAAAAGATAGACGAGTCCCCCGTCTGCATCCATCACCAAGAGGTGTTACGTGTATCAGACGGTTTGACGGAGTAGACATTCCATGACGTGGTTCTTTTCCAGGGGGGGACAACGATAAAAAAAAAAAAAAAAAAAAAGAAAACTGGCAAGAATTCCGCAATTGTTTCTCAACGTTCCACGTTCACGTTAATTGCAACGGTTATCTCCATCATGTGTAGTGATGTATTATAATGCACCTGTCACGATACAAGCAAAATATATTTCTTACCGCTGTCTCTTTATACAAGGCAACCATGCTTTCAGTACAACTGATGAGCAAACACCAGTGGGATTAAAGAAGGGTCGTCAAAATGATTGCCAATGATGAGGATGGGAGACTTCCTTTGACAATGGAATCATCGCCCAATGATGCTGCTGTTGTTGGAGAAAACAACAAGCAGCTGATTGTCATACCCAGAAGCACATTTACCGCTTTAAGGTTTCTTTATGCTACACCAGAAGAGCTCAACAAGAGTTCGAAAGTGGTGTTTCTAGGAACTTTCCCTGAGCAGTGGATTATCAAAAGGTCCTCTAGCCTCATAAGTCACATATCCACTATTAAAGACAAGAAGTTGAACGCTTTTTTTGACGCTGCTCCTGCTATTGTTGTCAAGAGGTATTTTCTGGTAAGTGATAAGTTTGACAAACTTGCAAGGAAGGAGACTTCTGAACTATCTCGTTCTAATCAGCGAAATATTATTGTCAAAGATGATAAAAGTATGGTTTCCGAGAGTGTAAATCAGGCTGGTGAATCAACGCTGCATCAAAATGGTGACCAGATATCAAAAGTTGTGTTCAAAATGAAAGATGATGCCAAAAAAATCAGACTTCAGAAAAGTCGTTTGCAACTCCTTCAGGCCAGCAACAAATTTCAGAACTCTCCTATTTCTGCGTCAGAGAAAAATCATCATCATCATCATTATCATTTTGGAAAAACTGACGACCAGTTTTTGGTTCGAAATATTCAGCCGCGGCCAACTAATATTAATCCGGACATAGTGGTAACTGGAGGTGCAAAGAAAATAAGATCCGCTGAAGAGCGAAGGTTTGAAAGAATGAAGAAAAAAACTTGGAAGGGGGCAACGAATATCAAGGAATATTTGTATGAAGATCAAGTGGAGCTTTTAAAAAGAGTTCTTAGGAATTATCAAGTTGGTGAACTTGTGAAAGTTCAAAAAATGTTAGTCCTGGTGAAATTGGTTTCTAATCCGCTCTCTGGAATGGTTTCTGACTCGTCATCTACTGATTACCGAACTCTTGAACGTTGGAAAGAATATTTTGTGGCAGTTAGAAGTACTGGTAATGTCCAGGTGCCGTTGCTCGTGCAATTTCATACTGATCGTACAATTAGAAAACATGATGAGCGTATGGTAAATGGGAAGAGTTCGAAAGATGTTAGAACTAGAAACACTCTGCTTGATTTTTTGTTGAATATCAAGACCTGTACTGTGGGGTTTTATAATGCTTTGGATAAGTCTGTTGCGATATCAGTACCATCCAATGAAGTGGAAGATGGTTACAGAGTTTATATTTTCAAAGGCCCGTCACAGTTTGTTTGTATTGAGTGGTACTTGTTCATCAAGACCTCTTTGGGATTCAATCGTGATAACCGTATGAAAATTCGCGTTCCTGGTTTAGACTTGGAATTGGAAATCGAGGTTGCAGTTGATGAATATGAGGAAATTATAGAGGAGAGTAGAAATACCCAAACATTAACCTTATCTTTTGAAGAATACGGATATCGCATCAATAACACCACCTCTGTTTCATATATCATTAAGCTACTTGTTGAAAAATTAACGGAAATTGAAAATGACTTTATTGAAATCTCTCGATGGTTAAAAGAGGCCACCAGTGCCAGTTGCAAGCTTGGGCTTGCTTGGAAAAGCTACGATCGGTTGAGTTGGGTCGGGGAATTTGACCAGAATATTTTATGGCAATACCACGCAATGAGTAATACTCACACTCTAGAATTGCACATAATTTCCAACCATCCGACCTCAGCAATGTCAACTGAAGGAATTTTTTTACAGGAACCGGTTCGAGTTGAAGGGTTTCTTTGGAAATTGAAGCATGATGCCAAGAAAAATATGTCTAAAGTTCTCAAGGACTCAAAAATGTCATTGAAATATTACTTCAGCAATAAAGAGCTCTTATATTTCTGTGGCTATTCCGACGCCCTACCTCCAGTACCCGAGTTGTACAGGCAAGATTCTTTAGAAACCATTTTCTCCAAGGATTATTATCATGATCTCATTGAGAAAATCCCCGCAGTTTATGAATCCTGTCTATATGAATTAGATGACAATGGTCATGTTAAATGGCTCTGTCCTGATTCTGAAGATTATAAATCCCGTAACTTGGCTTGTTTGTTGGATACGAAAAGAGTAGCTTACCATCTCCTCAAGTCACAAGGTGCCATTAACTTACTTGAGGTTGATTATGTGGAAAACCAAGACGAGACCTCTATGGCACTCGTCATGCACAATGGAGCCAGGCTTGTCCTCGGTGCTTGTGATTTAGAAACCAAGAATGAATGGATCGGCAAAATTACCCAGCTTTCCGAATACTGGAAACTACGGAAAGAAGAAGACGTGTCGCGGATCAAGTATATTCGTGAACGCAATCTCTCAACATTGAATATTACGGAGCACGACGAGGCCACGTTTGTTGAAAAAGCCGCTAATTGGGAGTTGAAAAAAGGGATTTCCGATCCCCAGATTTACAACATAAACTCTCTATCCACATTGAAGCTTGTCATATACAGTGGTGAGCTTTATCAAAAACCTCGCAAGCATGCCAATTTTGAAAAATACTACGTGGTACTTGCCCCAGGGTACCTCTTGATCTTCAAGATGTTTTCTCGTCATAAAGTTAGTAACGTCATTTATTCCAACGCCACATATGAGCACTACATGAGCATCCCATTAAGTTCTTGCTACTTGTATACTGGGGGTAGCACCGCGTCAGATCTATTGCATCGAGATCGGAATTTTGATATTATGAATCCCGGCCACCATGCTCTTCCGAAAGTCTATTTAGATGGTTGGAAGTGTTGTGAAGACGAAACTGCTAGATGTTTTACCATTTGGATAGGTAGCAAGAAATTGATTTCCAAGGGAAAAAACCAAGGATCAAAAATCGGAAGGAAGACTGCTTGGGTTAATAGATTGGGAAGGGAGGGAAGAAGTATGGTATTCATGGCAAGAAGTCGCCAGCAACGTGATTTATGGGCGTTGAATATTTTAAATGAAATTGGAAGATTTGACCTTGGAAGAGGTGAAGAAGAATTTCACGTTGTTTGATGTTCCTACTATATTTATATGGCGATATCACTATTGTTATATCATGACATCATTGTAATATAAGCTTGGCCTCATGTTAATCGACGGATTGAGAGTCTGGTATCATAACTCGATCCACTAAATGGTTGTATCGAATGAAATGAAATAAAATGTTAAAGTATATATAAATAATGTGTAAAGGCTTAAGCGTGTCTTCTAAAATAAGAATAATAAAATGGAAAAAAAAAAACGAGAAGATTGAACTACTTAAAAAGAGCGAACTATTGGATAGCTCTAGAAAATAATAGAAGATAATAGAAGATAATAGAAGATAATAGAAGATAATAGAAGATAATAGAATGCAATAAAATATCCTAGCATATTCAAGAAACCTCAAAAGGGAATTCTTCGAAATACTAAAATGCTCTAAGAAAGATTATTGATAGACTTAATGCATGGTGTTTTTGTGGCCCTCGTACATTTGAAACGTATAAGGTGTTTGATTATTTCGGGTGCACCATTTGGTGTTATCATGTCGACTGAACGCTGCAGAAACAAAAACTACTAGAAGTGGTGCTTGGGTTGACGATGTTAAAACGTACAATATTACTGTCAGATTATTCAGTATCTTGGTTAATTATTGGGTCACAGAGTAACCTACTAGATTCCGGAAATTAAGATGATGATGATGATGATGATGATGATGATGATGATGATGATGATGAAGATGAAATGGTTGGCTCTTACGATCAAGAAATCAGTTTCTTATGATGATCCACACAATGATGAAATAGAAACTATGAGAGAAGGTAAAAAGGCCATATAAGGAAGGATCCATGTTGATATTACCTTCTTCTGATACCCAAACGATTTTGATGGCGGTCATGGTTAAGGAAACGCATGTTAAAGTTGTGATCCCGATATGCGGAGATATCTTTTTGTTATTAGGCTTTACATTTTATTTTCTTTGCATGTGTTGATGTTATTAACCTTCTCAAAAATAATTGATAAGGGATTTCTGAAGTACAAAAATTCCAATATTGGTGGTGCTCATGACAACAATGCTGTGAAAATAAAGGCCAGACGCTTTGAGAGAGATATAGTTTGTTTTTTATTAGTCGAAGGCTTTAAGAAGCAGTTTAACATCATCAGGGAAAATCGAAAAAAGAACTTGTCTTTCAATATTCGTACGTGGTAAATGGTGCAGGTATCGGATTGTGATACATTTTTATTAAAGAAGATAGCTGAAAACTATCAACATTCTTTTTGTTTTTACTTGCGTTATGGGATTGGGAGAAAACCAATAGCATTAATAGTAATATTACAAAGTTTAAATATGTGGTGATATTAAAAAGATAAATAATATTAATAATACAAAGATAAATAAAAGTAAAGTCTTACAAGGTTTCTACTAATATAACTCTAGTAGTGTACCACATCAACATTAACTTTTGTGTCGGAAAAATAAAACACACGACGTTTAAACAAATTTAAAAAAGCAATAATCCCCCGAAATAATAACACAAAATCAAATAAGAATCAACAAGTAATGACAAAAATAGATGAGAAAAATAATAAATACAAAGAAAGAGGAAAATGTGAAGAAATTTATGATAAGGAAAAAAAAAAAAAAAAAAAAATTGCGTAGAACGTCGCTTCAAAAAGTAACAATTGAAGTTCTAAATTATTCATCATCAGCATCTGAGATATTGTGATTTTTACCATTCAGAGAAAAAGTGTTCCATTTACTGTATCTCAAGTAGCCGGCATCGTCATCATTAAGGCTTTCCCACTCTTTATCAATTCCTTGAAATAGTATACTCCACCGTGGAGTTGGCGATTTCGATCCTTGAGGATACTGTCTCTTTGGAGTACTAAGCGGTTCGTTAGACTCAACATTATTGAAAGTTCCCATTTGCGGACTGCCGATCTCTGAGCCACTGCTGATGTCATCAATTCTTCGTGAAGCACTGGAATTCTCATTCATTGGCTCGTCGATTAATACAGTAGTTATTTCTTCTTCGAGGTCAATTGCGTCTAGCAATTTTCCTGGGGTTTCAGATTCATTTCGGTTTGGATTTTCTGGAGTGCTTGGAACACCTGGTGCTTCACCTTCACGATTCATTGATTCAAGTAGTTCTTGCTGACGTAATTCAAGTAGCTGGTCCTTGGTACTATCATCAGAATCAACCCCATTATCTGATCCACTATCCGAATTATCGCTTTCAAAGTACTGGTCCAGGTCTTCCAAATCATGACGATAATTTTGATTTCCATTCACTGCCGTTGATACATTTCTTTGGCCAGCCATTTGTTGTGGTTGGTATTTTTCAAGTAATCTATCATCTTTGAAAACCCCTTCTTGTTTTAAACGGAGGAGTTGTTCTTTGGTGCTATCATCGCTGTCATAATCCCCATCAGAATCATCACTTCCTTCACTTTCTTCATAGTGCTGCTCGTCATCATCACTGTTTTGTGAGGTTTGCTTGATCAACAAATTTCTTCCATTATCTTTCACTGTAAGTTGTTTCATCTGAGTAACAAGCAATGCCTCATCCTGTGTTTTCTTACGGGAAATTTCCGCAGAATCAAGCTTGGTAGTTTCAAGCTCGTCAATATCATGGTGTGCACCATTATCATCATCACTTAAATCATAATCAGAATTATCATCATCATCATCATCATCACCACTGTCATCATCAAAGGTAATATAGAAAGCGCTACAAATCGCTTCCATCAAATTATCCCAAATAGGCACATTAACCACATTATTCCCAAGTTTCACATTATTCATCACCGAGTTCGCTCCAACCTTCACCCCAACTTGAATTAATGCCTTCTGGGCCCCAAGAAAATTCCAACTAGGAACGATGGTCATTTCGGAGTTTGCAGATAATAAAAGAGCTCCGACATCATGGGCATTTTCAGTTTCAGGTCGACCAGCTAACAATCGTCTGATACATTCCTGTAAATCAAATGGAGTACCACTATGAATATCCTTGCCGAGTGGGCATTTATTCAAGCCAATAGGATTTTCATTAGTGAAAGTTGTGTCCATGATTTTTCTGCTGAAATTTCCCGTGGTACCAATAACTTTCACGTCAGCAATTTTAAATAGCAAAGTACGGAAAATATTCATCAATATCCCTTGCTGTACGGCGTTCAAAGGCTTTTCATAATTGACAATGGCCACAATGGTTTTAGGTTGACTGTAGATCTGACTATTTCTCATACTAAGCCGTCCCATAGTTACCGTCAGTGCGCGATTGGTGATCGGGGTGCCCAATGCATTAAATGATTGCCTATTATCCAAAGTGGTTTGTGATCCCATTTTATACTGGAAAACAGAATGACTATTGTTTAAATTGAATTGATCGAGAGAAGAATATGTGACACCACCATCATTCTTATTGGAGTCATGAATAGTCAACCGTTTATTAATAGTATCCTTCTCTTTACCGAAGGTATTTTCAATAGGCGACGCAAAATCATATCTGGAGTCAGCAATAGAATTCAAAGTACAAGTAAACAACAGAGATGGGAAATCACAATCTGGATCGAAAAATGCCGCTGCCCATTTTTGAATAATGTCATTCCTAGTTTCATCAACCGAAATGTACACTTCTTTTATATTCCGTGATCTATTGAAATTAGTGTTAGAGTTCGAATAATCTAGTTTGATTATTGAAGTGGAGCTGATTTCAACATTTGGAGTTTTGGAACTCAACGACAATCTTAACAGGATAACACTTTTATAATTTGGATCGATTAATAATAATCGATGCTCGAACAAAAAAACAATCTTTTCAACAAACAGACTAGATTCCATTGTATTCACCGAGATCAATAACTGATCCACAAGACGCAAAGCTCCAAAAGCTTCCAAGATTTTTTCATCCAAAACCCGTTCGTTGTTCTTGTTTCGTAGTTTCGTCATCAAATGATTAACGAATTTTTCACGTAACACACTAGTCATCTCTGCTTGCTCTCCAGAGCTGGGTTGAGAATAAGTGTTTGTAGTTGACACAGAATAACTAGAACTCATGGAGTTCAGACGAGAAATAATATCTATATCATCGTTATCATTGGCCCTGTCACGGTCATCCAAAATGGAATCCACTGGCGATGAAAATCCTGTTACTGATGACACTATTGATGCAACCGTATTGCGTTTGATCCTGTTTGCCAATGGCGATGTTGGATCCAAATCTTCCAGATTTGATGATTGGTGGGGGGTAGATTGATTAACAATTTTGAAACTTAGATCATGTCTGCTTCTTTTGCTTGCAATTCCTTCGCCAGACGCAGTGACTTCTCGACCCAAGTTCCTGTTCAGATTAGGAATATCGAGCGACAAATTGACGGGTTTTGGTGATCCATCGGCAACATTTTTATTGACACCAAGAAGCATTGATCCCTCATAAGGTAGAGTATTTTTTTTGGATGGTGATTGCAAGTAACCATTATTGCTGCCTCCATTGAGTGCTGCCTTGGTAAGTTTTCTATATCGAGCCTCGGCATTTACTGGTGGTGATGGGGCCTGGCGCCTCACTTGGAATTGAGGGTGTTTTCTATTTGGAACCGGACTAACATTACGCATCATGAGCTCATATGGACCAGTGTTCAGAGAATTGAAACCTTGGTGTGTTCTGCCTCCACCACCAGAATTATTAGCATTAAATTGAGTATTTCTGGTGGTGCGATCCGGAGTATTATTAATGTTGGGAAGGTTTGGGTTATTATTATTATTAGACTTTGGATTGTTGTTAGTACGTTCAGTGTTATTATCGATCCCTGGACTCTTGGTTTTTTGCAAACTCGATAATGTATCTGAACTAGAGTTCATGGTCATTGGCGATGGCATGCTATTAGTTGAAATAGAAATAGAACCAGGAATAATGGAATTCCTCTTGCTTGGAGTCTCAGAAGCTTTGAAACCAGGAACTTGCTTTGGACTGCTGGAATTTATGAGAGGACTTGCCAGTAACACTTTAGCCTTTTCAATAGAGTTGCTGTTATGTTCGGCATGTTTTTTCTTTTTTGAATGTAATGTATTCTTAATGTATGGATTGTTGGCAAACGCTTCAGGATTCATGCTTGGACTAGTACTTACCGGGGTCATAGCGGGACTGAGACCACGATAGCTATTGACTTGGCTACTTGGACTATTAATATTTTGATATGGATTGTGTGAACCGCCGCCATTAAGGTTTGTATTGATAACGGGTCTCTGTTTTTGAGGCTTTGGTGATGCGCTAGTTGATATCACTAGATGAGGTTTAGATTCTTTATGATTCATTAATGGGAAGCTTTTTATCAACACCGGTTTTGGTTCGTAAGTAATGTATTCGGTGATGAACTCATCAATCAACCCTGGACTCTTGGGAATGGCACGGATATTCTGTTCGCATTGGAAGCAAATTGGGAATGCCTTTTCTGTTAATGACGCTTTATTATAATTCAATGAGAGTGAAGATTTAGTGCTATCTGTCAGGCTTTTTTCTTTTTCAAATTGAATCAGGGATCTCAAACAATCTTCATGACAAAAGCAATTGCATCGAAGCTCGATAATCTTTTCGATTTTGTCAGTGGTTTGCAAAACCGTTTCCAATTTCTCGTCACAAAAAATACAATTTTTGTCTCGAAGATTCAACCTATGCAGGTATTTTTGCGATAGCTGCTGCTGCCCTGATTGTTGTTGAGGAAACCTTCTGCTATTTGGGGTCAAACTGCCGGCTTGCAGCTTGTTATTTAAAGTATGGTATAGCTGTGAATGAGACAGGCTAGAGATGTTGGTATTGCCATTACTATAGTGTGAGCAATTTGACATGGATGTCTTATTTTTCAATTGGGGAGGCAATTCTCTAGGAGGCGCAGTTGTGACGCTTGGAGACATTGATCGCTTATATTCATCTTTTCTCATTTTTTTAGGTAAAATGCCGCTAAAACTTGAAGAACTGCTTTTTTTGGTGATGATCGGTGATTTCATCATTTGTGAGATTGGGCTTTTACTGAACCCTTGATCAAAAGGCGACTGAATGGGACGATAATCTTTTTCATTGAAATAGGTTGCAGATTTTGGAGTGCTCAAAGGTGACAGAGCGATGGTGGGATTGTTACCGGACGCTCCATTAGTTATTGTTCCAGCACTGGCACTTCTTGCCGCTCCCCCCGACTTGAAATATATTCTTGATGCTTCATAGTTTGAAATGGGAGACGCTGCTATTCCGCCAGGACCACTTGAGCTATGGTTGTTCATGGCGGTTCCCAGAACATTACGAGATTTCCGGTGTTGCTGAATCGGAGAGCTGATGTTGGGTGAAGTTATAGGGTTGGTGGCGGTTCTGGGCGATAAAGCGGTGATATTTTCACTGGAGCTGATTGAGTGAGAAGACGAGTGTGAAGAAGCCGTAATGGTAGTAGCGTTATCGCGGGAGATCGATTGTTTCTTGATTCTCCATTTGAGAGGCGACGACACGGATGGTCCACTATTCGAATGTTGTATCTGAGGCGAGTCCTGTGGATAATTGTTTTTGCTGATCTTTATCGATAGAGGAGTGCTAGGACCACTTGGATCATGGGCCGGAGCAGTATTGAAACGTTTGAGAAGAGGCGCTGGAAGAGACGAGGAAGACATTGGATATTGTTATGTATATATATGTATATATATACATATATATATATTTAACCTCGCGGTGGAAATTGTTGAGTAGAGAAACACCTAAAGATGGTATATTCCTCACCGTACGCCTTCAGTATCAGGAACTAGCACGGTATATTATAGATATCACACTTCTCCTTGATCGAAAGGCACCCCTGGAAACGGCTTTCGAGGGTTTTGCAATGTAATGCGATCTTTTCAACCGTTTTTTTTTTCTGTTTTTTGTGTGTGTGTGTGTTTCCGAGATCTCGGCTAACTTTTTTTTTTTTTTTTTTTAAGGATTGTTGATCTCTGTTAAAAATAATCAAAACAAAAGGGTCTCAAGGAGGAATTGAAAATAATGATGGAGGTTGGTGGTCCTTGTATGCTACCTGTCATTTCATTTCTCTTTTTTTTTATTTTTTTTTTTTTCTTCTTCGGCTCTCAAATCTTCTTACAAGAAGCAGTTTCTGGCTCGTCACACGTTTCTTGTGCATACACACAACATGAGGATATTCAAAACCAGTCTAGTGAAGTGGAAATTTGCAAAAAAAAAAGTTGAAAAAAAAAAAATAAACAACTTGTGACAGACACACTTCTTGGAGAATCCAAATTATTCTTACAAGATAATTTAACAATGACTCAATACGCATTAAAGATTAGTAGACCATTTAGTATCACTAAAAAACGTTTGCTTCAGCAGACTATATCGCCAATATTCATAGACATATATATATAACTAAATTAAGAAAATACATTTACTCGACTCTAACGTCATGCAAGAAACCCTTCTTGTTGAAATCCCAAGTGTCATCGGAAAGTCTACCTCTCAAAGTTGGAACTTCGGAACCTGGAACGTAAACGTCTTCGAACAAAATGTCCATCTTGGCTTCTGGAGCTGGAGAAGCTTCGGCTTCAGCACATTGTTCATCGACATACTTTCTGGCAGCCTTGTCCCAAGACTTGATTTCTTCTTCGGTAGCAATGTTTTGTTCCAACAAGTGTTGTTTCAAACCGCTAATTGGGTCATTTCTGGATCTCATGTGTTGGATTTCTTCTCTGGTTCTGTAAGTGGTACCAGGGTCAGACATGGAGTGACCACCATATCTGTAAGTTTCGTATTCAAGAACAATTGGACCGTTACCGCTCAAGATCCAGTCCTTGGCGTATTTAGAGGCTTGGTAAACAGCAAGGGCATCCATACCGTTGACCTTCAAACCTGGGATGTATTGACCTCTCTTGTAGTAGTCGGTCATGGCAGAGGATCTGGCAGCAGCAGTACCCATACCATACTTGTTGTTTTCACAACAGAAGACGGCTGGCAAGTTCCACAACTTGGCCATGTTGAAAGCTTCAAAAACTTGACCTTGGTTAGCGGCACCATCACCGTACAAGGTGAAGGACACGTTTGGTTCGTTCTTGTATTTGTGGGCAAACGCCAAACCAGCACCCAAAGGAATTTGGGCACCGACGATACCGTTACCACCGTAGAAGCCTTTGGCGTACATGTGCATAGAACCACCCTTACCATAAGACACACCAGAACGTCTACCCATCAATTCGGCAAGAACAGCCTTGACAGAGGCACCACGCATGTAGGTGAAACCGTGACAACGGTAAGAAGTGATGACGGAGTCATTGGTGTTGATGGCGTTTTCGATACCAACGGCAATGGCTTCTTGACCGACAGACAAGTGACAGAAACCTCTAATTTTCTTGGCCTTGTAAAGGGCGTCAGAAGCCATTTCCATACGTCTGATGATGATCATGTCCTTGTACATCTGCAACAAGGTGGACTTGTTGGTTTGGAAAGACAATTCTGGAGCATCAAGGTTGTAAGTTTCAAAAGACGATTCTGGCAAGTCGATGGTGATCAAGTCGTCGTTTTGGGTTGCTTCAGTAGCCAAAGCTCTAGAGAAGAGCGAGGCTGGTCTGGCAGCACGAATGGCTGATCTTGGGGCAATTTTGCTGAGCATTATTGGTGTGAAAAGAGACGGCTCTTGTAAGGAAGAGAAAACAGCAGGGGAGAAGGGTGCAACATTTTTTTTTTTTTTTTTTTTTCTACAATCCTTAGAGACAGCCCAAAAAACAAGGGAAAAAAAAAGACATCACCAGACTGACTGAACGAACGAGTTGCCGGTGGGGAGGGGGTGGGTGCTGTGCTGTGCTGTGCATGGCATGTGACCACGGGGTGCCGCCCGATCAGATCAGGAAGCGAGGGGGTGGTTCAGTAACGTTCCTCAGTGATGTTTGATCTGTTATATTTATATTTATATTTATATTTATATATCCAATCCATCCGCCTTTTTTGGCAAATTGTCCAGAACAACAACAGCCTATGGTCAGTTTTTTTCTGATGCTCTGTTATCACCAGTTTACTCTGTATTTGCTCTCGTAATAACTATGTCTGTGGCCCGCCCCACCTCTCAACTTTCTTCTGATTGTTCATTAGCGGTTGCAATACTATCTGTCCATCGATAGTCTGAGATTCCTTATCTTGTCTAAATCCTTTCAAGTTTTTTTATTTGAGAAGTGGCTAGTTGGCATGAGACAAGACTTATATTTATTACGCGATTTCCTCTATTCGATGCAATAAAATCTTTGGCTTATTTTTCTTGCAGAGAAAATATAACCAAGCGCTGATGTTTACAAGCATCTAAATTTCAAATTACTTTGAAAAAGAAATCTTGAATATTGTAGCTCTACGTGACCAACCAGCACTTTGCTGCTGGAAGAAACAAAAAGAAGAAAAGAAAAGAAAAAAGGATGAATCAGAATCAGAATCCTTCGTTACTTCTCTGATTTATAAAGTATAAAAGTTTAATCATGTACTTTCCTCTGAACTTCAAGGAATCGATGATCGTGCCGTCCAAAGTGGGCTTGCCACTGTTGGAAACTTGAATAAAACTAGAAAAAAACAAAAACAAACAAGTTTCATATCATCACTGATAAACTGGAATTGGAGAACTCCTCGATACCCTTTTACCGAGTGATATTGAAGATCAATAAAAATGATTTCTGGAAAACTCCACAATACTAGAAGACAATAAATACTATGAGAAAACAAAGCTTCATGATCTCTTAAAAGAGAAGTTGAAAAGCAATAAAAAGAAATCAATATTGAAGCATTGAATAGATTTACATTTGATCTTAAAAACATGTTTCTAAGTATTTTAGTATTTTAATATCACATTGGACTTGACAGACACTCCGTTGTCAGTGTTGTAATTATCGTTATGCGTCTAATGGCGAGTGTAACATGCTCCTTCGGCTTTCAATAACTTCTGATAATTTCTATGATGAAAGGGACCCAAAAGAAAGAAAAGAAAGAAAAAAGAAAGAAAAAAATACTCAGTAGTATATTATTGAACGCTTTTTTCATATAATAGAATGGATTTGGATTTGGTATTAGTACACCTCCATATGGACCCATGACAAAAACTATGAATTCTAATGGCATTGAAGAGCAGCAATGATATATATCTACTATCTACCCAAAAAAAAAAAAAAAAAAAGGAAATCATACCACAAGAGCACAAAAGGTTATTATCAGGAAGACAGTTATTTTCTTGGATCATGAATTGTGAATAGCAATGCATGTTAAAATACTCGGAAACATTGCATCACTTTTCAAAACCTCTATGCTTGATGTGGTTCTTTCTTAATATCACTAATTTTAGTTAATAATACTTCTTTGGTTCAAAAGTGGCTATTATGTTTTATTCTCTCTAATAGCCTGAATTGCACAGACAGAAACTTTACAGTCCGGATCTTTAATGCTACGTGGGATGCTTTTGTGGATCGACCAGTAACATGACTTACCTACTATGTATACTACTACGGACGAGATGTTTTTTCGGGTAAAGATGGGATCAGTGATCACTGTTTACAGACGTCACTTTGTGGCATATAGCCATTGTGATGAAATCCCCCCAAGCATCCATCCCTCTGACCTCGTTACACAATAATAATACGATAATACGGTACTATCGTGGGGCTGTGCAAGGATAGCCAGGTGCAGCACCCCACAAACCGTGTTACTTTTCTGTTTACTTTTTTTTTTTTTTTTTTTTACCCACAATCTTGGGATTGGACCCTGTTTTTTTTTTTTTTTTCTCCCAAATATATATATATATCCTGGGTATTTATTCCCCTTATTTATAACTGAAAATATCCATACATTTTTCTGCACAAATCACTTTCCAAGACTTTCCAAGACTCTATACACCACACCACATCATCGTTGGTTATTTTGCTAGTAAAAATCCTGTGAAAAAAATATATCCTATTCGCGATGAAACTTAAAGGCATCATTTCTGAGAACACGTTTAAACCAAGGCATATGGCCTCCAGTGCTAGAAGAACTGCTTTAATTACTCTCAAATCTTCGTATGCCAATATACTTTTATTGGTGGTACCGTTCGCGTTGGCATCCAATAACGTTGGCTGGCCTTCATTAGCAGTGTTCATTTTAAACTTTGTGGCTATTGTTCCATTGGCCGCCTGTCTATGTTTTGCTACTGAAGAACTTGCCGAACATTTAGGAGACAATCTCGGGGCCTTCCTCAATGCGTCTTTCGGTAATTCTGTCGAGTTGATCACTGCTATCATTGCTTTGAAACAAGGGCAAATCAGAGTGGTGCAAACCTCGATGTTGGGTAGTGTGATTTCTAACTCGTTGTTGGTTTTGGGTTGTTGTTTTGTTGCTGGTGGGTATAATCGTTTCAAACAAACATTCAACATTACTGCGGCTCAAACATTGAGCTCCCTTTTAATTCTTTCAACTTCATCCCTAATGATTCCTGCCGCGTTACATTCCTCGATTGCCAGCAGTTTGAGTAAGACCGAAACCGATACCATCACCCCAGAAAACCCTGGCAGCAGAATCCTTAAATTATCCAGAGGTACCGCGATAATTTTGCTTTTGATGTATTTGTTTTATCTTTTCTTCCAAATGAAGACCCACAAAACGTTATTTGAAGCCGAAGTTACCCCAGCCGACGTTTTGGAACAAAACCAAATCACCGAGAAAGTAGAGCTGGAGCAAATCGTCCAGGAAAAAGCGTCGACCATCGAAGACTCTCGTGAAGAATCTAATACTTCAACCAACGACGGTGTTTTCCAAGGTGCTAAAGCCAGCGTAACAAACACTAGCGAGCTTCAAAAATCCGGCACCGGTCTCCACCTGAAGATTTTGAAGAGTCGTAAAGGTACCTTATTCTCTGTGGCTGCCAACTTGGAAGAGGAGCATCTTTCTATCCTTGCGTCTCTTGTGGTGTTGGTCATCATTACAGTTTTGGTGGCTTTTTGTGCTGATTATATGGTTGGGTCTATTGATGATTTAGTTGAAACTTCGGGAATGACAAAAACTTTTGTTGGGTTGGTTCTTTTGCCTAGTAAGTGACTTTTTAATCTTTTTTTTTTTTTTTTATTATTATTATTATTATAACCTATATTCTTTTTACTAACTTTGTTTTTTTTTTTAGTCAGTGGTAATGCTGCCGAGCATGTCACTTCCGTGGTGGTTGCCACTAAAAACAAGATGGACTTGGCGATTGGGGTTGCTATTGGTAGTTCGACCCAAATTGCGTTATTCGTCACTCCACTTTTGGTGCTTATTGGTTGGTGGATTGGTGAGTCAATGAGTTTGCTCTTCACCACTTTTGAATGTTGTACCATGTTCATTACCATCTTTATTACCAATTCCATGATTGCCGATGGGGAAAGTAACTATTTGGAAGGGGTTATGTTGATCAGTGCCTACGTGATCATTGCAGTTGCGTTTTTCTTTTTCCCTGATTCTGCCACTGGTTTAAGCTGATGTGTTTTAATATGTGTGATGAATCTCCTTTTATTATTAATCATTTAGATTTTTTCATTTTTCCAAATTTTTTTTTTCTTTGTAGTTTCATTTCTACCTTGTTGACACCCCTAATTTGTTTTATTACTTTTTAATATTTTTTTTTTGTATAGATTGATTGTGCTTGAAAGCATTTTATTATTCATTAGAGCAGCTGCTTTTGACTTCTTTTTGCGTGAGATTATCGAGGTTGAGGGAGCATCGGTTTGCTTTTTTTTTTTTTCTCTTTGCTTAGTTTTCTCTATAGATAAGAAATATCGAGACATTGTCTCTCCTTGTTTTATTGTTTTAATCAGAAAGTTATGATGTGATGACTAATGTAGATGGATAGCTGGATGTTGGAAATCTCATGACGTACACATATGTATGGTATGTATACGGCAGATATGGGAGGGAGATTGCGGTGTGTGTTGTAGATACACATTTGTGATATTATATGTCTAGCCTCTGATACAACAGCAAGCACGCAAGCAAGCAAGCGAGCAGACAGGCAGTAAAGAGTTCAAAGAACATATCATGGCATGAGACCATATATATCGACGATGGCAGAAAGCTCCAGGGAACTGGCGGGATCGGAAAAATGCCGCTAAGAAGCGAAGTTTTTGACAGTGGTGAAAAAAACAAAAAAAAAAAAAAAGATTATCGGTGGTCCCAAAGCAGCACAGGAAAACTTTTCTGGCCGATTTGATGTGGAGCAGAGAGAGAGTCTTAGTATTGGGGGGTAAATAATACAGAGTACAGTAGCAGCAAGTAAACTGGTAATGATACTACTGCACAGAGATAACCTTCTTTTTTGTTTTGCTTCTCTCTCTCTGTGTCGCAACAATCACCAAGGTTGACGTTGAATGTGGTTAAAAGATTACGATATATCTAATGTACTTAATTCTAATCAATTGTATAGCAAAAAACCTTTTTTTTTTTTTCTCTGTCTCTGCCTGTATTGACAATAGGTGGTTATTACTCATACATCGGGTGACAATGGCGTATATATCTTGTAGAAGAACAAGGATCTCAGGCATCCATCCTCTCTAACAATGTTGATTAATCAAAAATCGCCTTCAATTCAAATCATTTCGGATCTGATGGTGATGTGCAAATATTTTGTCTGCACGGGAATTGGACATCCGCAAGCTATTTTTTTTTTCCCAATGCAAGACCCTTGTCGACAATTATATTTTGAATGGAAGAGGAAAGAAAGAAAGAAAGGAAGAAAGAAGATACAAAATAGAATATGAGGAATGGAAGGGCAAAGGGCAAAGGGCACATTTCGGCAAGTATTAGAAGACACTAGTGTACAGAATATCCTCCTCCCTCCCCCCCTCCAATTGCCCGCAACGGAATGGATCCATCTCCTTGGGTGTGGGAAGCGCAAGCAGCAAAAAAAAAAAAACTTTCATCGGTTTGCGCATGCACGGAAGATGGGGCATCTTTCATTCTTTCATTCTTTCATTCTCTGAGTAACAAATATACAACATAAATACCGGCAGTCTTCCCTCGATGTTAATTCGGTTCTTTGGCATTTTTCTCTTGTCGTTCTGGTTTAATTGAATTTCTCTGGATAAACATTATCTATAATATACACCCAAACACAGACTCTCTCTCTCTCTCTCTCTCTCTCTCTCTCACTGTTTGCCGGTTAACATTATTACCGTCTTATTTACTCACACACACACACACACACACACACACACACATATATATAAACACAATTAATTACCCCGGATCACCAATCTCCTCTTCTAAATAATATTTTATACAATCAATCACCATGTCCGATTTCTCGATCTCCCAAGCATATTTGCTTGCAAACAAAGCACAAATAAAACTTCAAAGAGAAGCCCAAAAACCTGACTTGAGCTTACGTCATTTGTTGTCACACGCCCACTTGTTAGATAACATCATTGCCCATTTGTCAGACGTCAGAGATGGCACAGTCACCGACGGAGAACCAATAGCCGACAACACCAACTCCACCACCATCACCAACATCCAAGATTACACCAGCGTCTATGAAGACGATTCCGATGAAGATACCGAAATCATCGCTCCCATCGATTCCGATTCCGATAGCGACATCGACGATGACGATAACAGTTACATCGACTATTACCGCCACAAAGACGCCTCTTATACAACAACCACCGGCCGCCACGGGGAAATCTTCTACAATGTTTCCGAAGTCAGTGAAAATTACCAAGATGCTTGCCGCCATTCGGTTCACGACATCACCACCGAAACCGTGTTGGTGGATTCCGATGACTCTGATCTTTCCGATAACTCTGACTTTTCTTATGAAGATTATGACGAAGAGCTCGACACCTCTCCTCATGAAGATGATGGTGACGATGCCGAAGACGATGAAGAAGACATTTACGAATTCAATTACGTCACCAGCTCTGACCGTCACAATTTCTTCAAGAAGATCTCCTCCTCCTCCTCTACAAGTTACAAATACCCAAGGCTAGTGAAGACTGGCGAATCTTTATTGGATAACGCTACCGAAGATTCCAATACCACCGACGATGAAATTGACATAACCGAGTTGTCCATCTCCAATACATCATCAGGTAATTATACCTACACGCCATCAATCACATCCAACAACAACAACAATAATTTACAATACAAGATTCCAAAGTCGTTTGGTACTAATGATCGAATAATATTGAGCAATCAGACTTCCAATGCTACCCCAACCGAACTCAATTGCTAACCGAAAAGTTTCATTTTCTTTTCTTTTATCCTGTACTATATATATTATGATCGACTAATGCCAGTTCTTTTGATAACCTAAATTTTGCATTTTTCTTTTCTCTGCTGCTGGTTGCGAGACAACCTATTGATTCATTCGCTAACAACCTTTGTGTGTATTATCAACCTATATTCTAGCCCCTTCTTTTTTTTTTTGTGCATTGCTTCGTTACCCCTAATTTCATTTCAGTATTATATTTTGGTATCTAGTGAGTTATTTAACTAGCTCTCTGAATACACACTATTTTGTGTGTTTCTTTTTTCCTTTTCATATGTCCTCTGGTTTATCCCGGGATTGTATAATATAATATCCTTTATCTATTAATCTATCATGAGATGTAAAATGAAAAAACAAAAAAAAATATCCTGATACATATGATTAATTTAATTTTAATTTTCACTTATGACTGGTTGCTAATAGGATATCGTTAGTTCACATCTTGATCACATCTTGATCACATCTTGATCCCACCAGCACGATGATCATCTCTTTAATTTTTTTTTTTTTTTTGTACATATATGTACTGTCATCTTAAAAACCAGCCGCATTACAACAAGTGAAACAAAATATATACATTGTTTTACCCTTACTATAGTAATCACATTTGCCAGACATTGTTTGTTACCTGATACTCTACAATATTATCCACCAGTTTAAATTTTGCCTGCCTCAGTATTGAGTTTGTGTGAAAGGCAAACCTGCGTTTTTTTTTTTCTGTTCTTTGCTGACCTCAATTAGTGTGGAGTGCATATACTTTCAGCAGCAATCCCCAAGAAAGAGGAAATATATCTTACCGATTGTTTTCTTCTTTTTTTCTTCTTATCAATTTTTTTTTTTTTTTGATATCTAATGCCAAGTCATAGATTTTATCAGCAATCTTGATTCCTCCTATTTCTGTATATACATTTTGTTCTGCATGTTCGATCCTAGAAGTTTAACTAAAAAAACTTGCTTATTGAACTGACTAAATGACTACGATGATTGCTATTATCTTCTAATGTAACCTTAATTTTATTATTGCCAATCAGAAATCAAAAAAAAAAAAATATGAATGAATAAAAGGTGTCCCAAGTCAGAAAGGAGATTGGTGATTTCGAGATGGATGTCAATTTCCCTTTATGGTTTCATTAGACGTAGCGAAAAACAAAAACAAAAAGCAAACAAACTTTGAAGTAAAGGGATGCTAAGAATTTAGCTTATTTCAAAAAAACCCAGTACTATAGTGTTGTTGTTGTTGACGATTGGATCACAAAAGGCAAGAGCAAATAAATCCATGTGCTCATCACATGGTAACAAAGGATTGTTTGGTTCATCATCACAATTGATTAAATTATCTTTGTTGTTGTTGCAAGAAGTCACTATTCTTATATGTGACGTGAGCAATACTATTCCATCCTGCTATCAGTACAACAGGAGATGTCAGTAAAGAAGCGGCACAGAGATGAAGTAATTGGATATGTATTGACATGGTACGTAATATTAACTAAAAGTTTTCTAGTGGTGAATTCTATCGACTACTAGTGAATTGCTAAACAATAGCATCATCATCGTTGAATTTTTTTTTTCCTCCCCTCTCTCCAGAACACAACCTTATATGATAAATCTAACATTAACAGATAGATATGTTTCACCCCCAAAATATTGCTTTCTTTGGTTATATCCAGTGCATACTTTGCAGTATAAAGGCTCTTCTCTATTTATCTTTCGTATAATTCCTTCCAAAAGATCTCAAGAGAACAACAACAATACCTACCAAGCACTAAAAGAAATCAATAGCGAAGCTTATTTTTGTATTACGTCAATAATAAAAAAAAAGAGGACCTGGGGTACAATACAATTGTGTTTTTTTTAGCCAACCATATTCGAGGAGTTACTAATTATGTCAAAAAAATAAATAAATAACATTAACAACTCCGGTGATACGCATACATGCATCATCAATTACCACATTTTTTTATTTTTTTTATTATTCTTTTTTGCCCCCACTTACTACTAGTTACAACAAAATACATAAGAGAATATTCATTTATTATTAATAATCGTCCTAATCGATAATAATAGCAACGAAAATTACAATGCTTGTAAAGAAAACCAAATTGAAAAACCAAACAACAGCAACAACATATAAGATTAACCTGGTCAAAATGATACCATATTAAAAACAAAAGCAGCAGATCGCCAAGCAGACAGATATAACAACTGATAACCAGTTATGAGCAGCTTTCAGCATATGATTTCTTTTTTTTTATGGGGAAAGTCATTAATATGGTTGGTGCTTTATTTATTTGCCACAAGTGCAACCTTCGCACTTTTCTTTGTCAGATTCATCACACTCTGGGGCCTTGTAAGCGACGAATTGGAATTGCATTTTGGAAGGGGGGTTAAGATAATATAGTAGTTATAAGAAAAGATATAAATATATATATATATATATATAATATAAGGGAAAGAAAATATGAACAGCAAATGATACAACTGGGGGAACAGCGCAGGTATTTATAGTTTTTTTTTGTTTTTCGAGAATGACTACACGATTGGCGCAAAAAGGGAACTCAACAGAGAGCTTGATGTACCATAGATGGAAAAGATAGGGGTACGGGAGAGAGACAAACCCCCAACAACGCAGAAACCGAGTCAGACTAGTGTGATGGTGCGCGGCATATACAATAGTTAATGGTAGATCATGGTAATTATTGACCAGGGGTAGCGGTAGGGGTGGGCAAATCATCTGGCGGTAATTACTAATGCTGTGATATGTGCATAACAACACATCAGTCACATGGTCTGAAGAAAATTGAAAAGAAAAAAAAACTTCCCGGAGCAACTTTTCTTTTGCGGCCAAACGGTTTTCCCCATGGCAATTTTTCCTTCCCGACGGCCAGAAAAATGGCACAGATTCCAGGGTTTTTCGATCCCATCGGGTAAAACAGGGCAGAAAAAAAAAAAAAAAGTAACATGTTCTACATCTCATATATATATTTCAATATACCCTTCGTAAAAAAGAAAAAAAAAAAGATAAGCATATCAGTCAGTCACCAAATATATACTTCCTCTGTATACTATTCTGTATCGTATCATATAGTGCACTCTTGGCAGGCACCTACCTCACGGCAACATTCATTTCATTTCATATCATGCCAAACACTTTCCCATCATTCACTTATCTCCCGTTGGAATTGCAATTATTGGTGATCGACTTCTCCGATACAAGAACTTGCACCCAATTATTGCAATCCAACCATGATCTCCGGGCAAAGACTGTCTACTGCTTGCAAAAATCAGTGTCCCACAAAATATCCCAAATGCACAACCAATTTCTCTTGTCGTTTTATTCACCAAACAACAAGGAATCATCCACAGAAAAATTTTATTACCAGGCAGAAATCACCACCAGCCAAAACCTGGAGTCGCATGGCTTGCCCAACGTCTCGGTTAATTTGAAAGATTTGGTGCTCTCCAAAAACTTATTTGACAATTCTGAGAAAAAGGCAGTCATTGCTAATCGTCTCCAACAAACCCAAATGACCACCGATCAAATCCCATTATTAATTAATGAGGAATCCCCAACTTTCAAGGCAACGGTGTCCCTAGTATTGAAAAATAACCAGTCGTTATCCTCGAGAACCGCTTTATCCCAATTCTCCCAAAAATTTTACAAATCAAATAATACCGGTTCACCAGTTGAAAAATCTACAAATTTCTACAAATTGCATTATACCCTTCACAAGCAAGGCACCGAACCCCCAAGGCACGAATACGACTTTGACTTGTTTGACAATTTCTTGTTTTCTATTAAATCCATTGATTTTAACTGCTGTTATATTTTGCATCAACTAGAAACCTTGGCATCGTAAAGGGTGATTGATGGACGGACCCCTTGGAAAATCTTTTTTTTGCCATCCAATATTCTTCTTCAATTCGCTTCGCTTATATTTAATATTCCTTGTTCATGTATCAAAAAGTTTTTCATCATTTTTTTCTTTTCTTTTCGTTTTTATGTTTCTGCTTACTCTAGATCTTCAGCTATCGTTTCATCTTCACGTACTTTTATATTATCAACAAACAAAAAAGGATTCCCATAACCGTAAAATAATAAATATTCAATCAAAAAAAAAGTAGCAGCGACATTTCATTCATTTCAATTTCATAAATCAAATAATTTCTTAAATAAATAGTTCAGGGAATTTCTGACTATATTTAACCAAAGCTTCTGCTGCTTTTTCATCTAAAGTTTTTTATGTTAATATCAATGAGGAACGCGACGCGTTAAATAATAATATAAAAAAAAAAGATTGAAAATTCCCTAATTCATCAAAATGTCAATCTCCACACTTACTTATCAGGTCACCCATGGCAATACTGTCCAATACTCTGACAGTTAGATCATCGCTCACTTTGGCACTGACTTCATAATATTGGCCCTCTTCCATTTGAATGTTTGGTGGCAATAAAAGCTTGGTTGATCCGTTACTGTCAAATGCCACGCTCGAATCATGAGAATTCACCACTTGGGCTTTACCAATCATGCGAACCGCACGGTTCTTGTAAGACTCTAATAGGGTAGCATCAACTCTAGGAATAACTTCTGCCATTTTCTTTTGTTATTTGCGTTATTTTTTTTTTTTTTGTTGTCGATATAATATGTCGAGGATATTATTTAAAATTGATTAACCACAGCAAAATAAATTTCTAACGCGCGCGCTTTTTTTTTTTTTTTGGTATTGTAACACACCATCGCCCTCCTAACCAGAGGATTTTTTTTTTTTTTTTTCCACGAAAAACCGTACATATATCAAAATTTAACCATACACATACATGTATTGGGATACCCATCACTCGACGTCTCGTTTTTTCTCCCTTCCCCAATTTTTCCATCAACATCATCCCATAGACAAAGATGTCTCGTAAAGGAGCCCCTATGGATGAAGACGATGTTCTATCGTCGTTGGGTGGCGGCGGCGGCGGCGGCGGTATGTTGAACATGGGAGGAAATGTTGCTTCCACCATTAATTCGCAATTTGGGATTGGATTGGATTTCGATACCAAGGATTTCAACACCCAGCACGCAGATGATGCTGTGGATTTTGAAGATATCTCGTTGACGGACGAGAGTGATGTTGACGAAGATAAAAAGAAGAATCTTAATCGAGATGGCGGCAGCAGTAATTTCACCAATGGAAACAATAACATTAACAACAACAACAACAACAACAATAATAATAATAATCGTCAGCAACAAAATCAAAATAATAATAATAATAATTATGCTACAAATGGCAATATCCCTGATCTAAATCTTGGAAAATCAGATCAGCTACCAAATATCAATATCAACGATATGATGATGGGATCTCCAAGTAATCTCAATTTCAATGATTTTGATTTCAATTTGAACAATGGGTTAGGTGATAGTTTTGCCGACTCTTCTTTGATGATGTCGGGTGGTCAAATGTTTGATGGGCTTTTTGATAGCAATGCCATGAATAATGGGGCGTTTCCAAATATCAACATAACTGATCAATTCAATTTGAATGGCAATATCCACAATAATCCCCAACCAATGCCCAATATCATGACGGATGTGGCAACCCCCTCAGTAGAAGAAATACAAAGGCAACAGGAAAATAAAAAGAAGGAAGAATTAGCCAAGCAGCGAAAGCTTCAAGAGAAGAGAGAAAAAGAGGCAAGGCTATTGCATTATTATTATCCAATGTTCAAGAAGGATTCGATTTTGAAAATGCATAGTATTTTCCAATCAAAACCAAAACCAAATTCCCAAATCACATTTTTCAATAGTCATTCTTTCAAGACTGCTCAATCAAATAAAGTGCTAGTGCCTTCAAGAATTCAATTGGAGTTTGAAGTTGATGAAAAAAAATTGTTCAACAAAAAGAGAAAGTTCTCACAGTATACTATGGGATCAGGAAGCAGTTATGGTAGCCAGAAACGTTCCAACATTGTCAAAATCACCGATGCCGATGTAGAACTTCTTGCTAATAGCCAAAAGAAAATTGTGACTTATGAAGATGATAATAAAGATGATATTTTGGCGGCCACCGATTGGAATGACGATGAAATATTTGGGGTGAGTGATAGCGAATCAAAACCAAAGAAGGCAAAATTATCCAACGGAATTGACGCCAATGTTCTTTATCAATTCGACGAATTCAAAATCAATGACGATATTGAAGAAAACATTCTCGAAGGTAAAGTAAATGCAAAAACCTTGAACTTGAAGCTAGACATGAATGACCCTCACCTCTATTTCACGGATACTGCCAAATTGACAATTAAGAAAAAAGGGTTGAATAAGTCAGTGATTCCAGTTAATGAAAAGCTTTTAATGAGTAGATTCAACGTTTCCAATGATAAGGAATATGAAGTCTTGAAGAGCAATTATCACACCAAGATCAGGGCCACCATTGGTAATTTGATTATCGATCACCCAACCCCGGCAATTAGATTGCAATCCCCTTATTATAAGGTGAAATTGACAAAACAACAAATGAGATGGTTCCATAGACCGAAATTTATTGTGAGATCGAATACCATAATGTATTTTAGTAAACCAAAGTTGAGAAAGAAGAAACGGGACAAGGGTAAAGATATCAAAGAAAGTTTTGCCGCCACCAGTGATTTGACCCTTGGGGATACCGCTCCATTCTATTTATTTGAATATTCGGAAGAAAAGCCAATGATTTTTTCCAATTTTGGAATGGGAAGCAAAATCATTAATTATTACCGAAAGCAAACCGAGGATGATACCTATCGTCCCAAAGGATTGATTGGTGAGACCAACGTTTTGGGGGTCCAGGATCGGTCGCCATTTTGGAACTTTGGGTTTGTGGAAAAGGGCAAATTTGTTCCAACATTGTACAATCAGATGGTTCGAGCACCGATTTTCCAACACGAGTCTGAAAGCACCGATTTTTTGTTGGTGAAATCTTCTGGAGGAATTAGACAATCTTTGAGGTATTATTTGAGAAGCATCAACAAAGTTTTCATTGTCGGTCAATTATATCCTGTGGTGGAAGTGCCGGGTCCCCATTCTAGAAAAGTCACGACGGTTAGTAAAAATCGTCTCAAAATGATTGTTTATCGGGTGTTGAACAATAGCAAGAAGCAACGGTTGGCGGTAAAGGATATTTCTGCTCATTTCCCTGATCAAAATGATATGCAAAACCGTCAAAGGTTGAAAGAATTTATGGTTTACCAACGTACTGGGGAAGATCAAGGGTTTTGGAAAATCAAACCAACTGAAAAGCTTCCTACAGAAGAAGAAATTAGAGCGATGATAACCCCCGAAGATTTGTGTTTGCTTGAAAGCATGCAAGTTGGACAACAGCATTTGGAAGACTATTCGATTTTCAGTCATGACCATATTAACTTGGACAAATACAATAATTTCATTCCTAAATTTAATAGCAAGAGCGCTCCGAATAATGCGGTGACCAGTGTGGGATCTCCAGCGGTGGCCAATGATGTTGCTAATGGCAAATCAGAAAATGATGCAAATTCTTCTGCTCCTGGTGAGGCTAAAGGGGAATCTTTGGAAGATCAATTGGCACCATGGAATACCACAAGAAATTTCATCAATGCTACCCAAGGTAAAGCCATGCTTCAATTACATGGTGAAGGTGAGCCAACGGGGACTGGTGAAGGGATTTCATTTTTGAGAACCTCTATGAAGGGTGGTTTCCGGGCATCGGATGACAAGAGCTCAGTGTCCAAAGAGAAATTGGGTGGTCATAGTTATAATGTCGCGTTACAACAAAAGGCTTATGATGATGAGATTGAAAGAACCTGGAGAAAGCAGATCCGGACTTTATCATCGGACGAGCCACATATTTATCATCATAAGAAAAAGAAGCAACATTCCCGGTACGATACTCGACCATCAGGATCGATTCCAAAAGTTTTGCGAATCACCAGAATGGTCAGGAATCAATATGGAGTATTGGAACGTCAAATCGAGGTGATCAAAGATGAAAGAATCATCAATGCTTATTTGATGAAAAAGAAAGAGCTGTACGAAGATTATTTGAATAATCAATCGAAGGAGCTTTCCCAGGCGATCCTTGATTTGAATAGTGTGAAAATTCCTACCAATGATGATGAGAAGAAAATCCTCCAACAAGAGTTGGAAAAATTACAAGCTCAGAAAAACAATACCAAAGTGTTACAATCAGGGAAAGGTATTGGGAAAGGGAGAAATACCAAAAGAAGGTGTGCGCTTTGTGGAGCCATTGGTCATATTAGAACTAAAAAATCCTGTCCAATGTACGGGAAGGTGCCATTACCAAATGATAATAATGCTATTACTAGTACTAATGATAATGCGATTGGGGATGTTAACACCGCTGTTTCAACCGCTGCAAGTCCAGCTGCAGCAGCCACTACCACCACCACTCCTACTGCCAGCAGTGGGTAGTTTTTTTTCTCTCTCTTGTACTATTTTCACCACCAATTTGTCATGGTGTATTTCTATTAGTTTCTATGATTGTATAATATTTATCAATAATTTGATGTCGTTCTATTAGTTTGATATTATTGTTACACATGTTCTTGTAGATTCAGAATAAAGGTGTTCATTTACAGACGAGGCTAAGCTATAATACAAGAAAAAGGGAGGAGAAAAAGAAGCAAACAATCAACATTTAAGTGGAAACATCATGAACCGGGCATAAAAAAAAAAATCAAAATCAAAATCAAAGTCAAAAAAAGACAAAACCAAAACGAAGCGAATAATCAAGCAATTCTATAGGTAACGATCCAGCATAATAATAACCATCGATGCTAGGTGGCAAACCCATATATATTTCTAACCAACAGTAGTATCAAAATTTCAACATCACTGAACCTAAACTTAGAGAGTTTTCGTCAAAAGAGAGCTCAATATCGACTTCTTTCTTTTGTTCTCTTTTTTTTTATATATATATTTTTTTTTTTTTTAAAAAAAAAGCAATGCTTTCTAGATGATTTGGCTGGAGAGAAAGAGAGAGGGAGAGAGGGAGAGAGAGAGAGAGAGAGAGAGAGAGAGAGAGAAAGAGAAAACAGGAAATACTCTCCAACATATAATATATATATATATATTATTAAAATCATTCATCGTAATCGTTTTTTGGCGGTTGTCCTTCTTCACTTCTCATATACAATTCCACCGCGGTACTGAACGCAGCAAACCCAGCACACCCCACCGCCGCCGCTTGAGGGCCTGCTCTCACCGCAAGGCCTCCTCCAGTTAAACACCCTGCTCCTACACTGTTCCAAATATCATTTTTCGCCCTTAGACTCTCGATCGAGCATTCGGTTCCCGAATAAATTGCCCCAATTAACCCAAAGTTCCTGGCACTGCTCACCATCCGCTTCCCCATATCCGAGAACATAATCTTCATTTGTTTTTTGAATGGTAATTCCTGGATGGTCCCAGGGGTCATACCAGGAACATCATACGACATACTGGCCATGAAGAGCCCAAAGAACCCACCAAGAAAGTACCCGGTCACCCCACTCATCACGGTCTTTCCAGGACACGACTTGGTCATTTCAATGATTTGTTCAGCAGCGTAGTCCCCTTGTTCTTCAGGAGTCATTTCCCCAAGAGATCTGGTATCTTTTGTTTTCCCAACTTGACCATAATAGGGATTATTCATTTTTTCCTTTAAAAAAATTGTGGGTATATGTGTGTGTGTGTGTGTATGTAGGTAGAGATATAGAATCTATAGAGATGTTAAAATATATGGTTTGGCAGAATTTACCTTTTGATTCACAATTTTCACCGGAAATTAAATTACTTTTTTTTTTTCTCTGTCTCTTTTTCTTCTGTACCGTCCGTCAGGTTGGAGCACTGATCACAGTTTACAGTGCAGTGGATAGATACACTTTACACCAACAATATTGGGTATAGATCAAGTAAAAGATCCTTAAAATTTGCAATTTATTAATTCAGTGGATACTAAGAAATAAATAGGAAAAGAAGAAGAGCAATTTGAAAACTGACGAATAATAACAACAAGGAAAACTCCAAACATTAATTTAAAAGCAGAACGAGGAAGGGGGTAAAACAACACTGTGTAAGTATAATTGATGGAAAACTCTCGTAGATAACGACACACTGGAGTTTAGCATACTAACTAACACAACCATGCATATTCTATTTATGTCATCTAGAATGTACCATGAATAGGAAAAAGAAACAAAACAAAACAAAACGAAAAAAACAAACAACAAAAAAAAAAGCACGAATTTCATCAGTCAACAATAATGGCAGGAATAGGCTGTGGGGCACCTTTATAACTATCATAAGCATCATCTGCCCGAATGTCATACTCTGATTTATCCGCATGATCTTTTTCCTCATTGATATTGTAAGTCTCACCATCCTGTGGCAATGATTTTCTTTTACCCCAGAACGTTCTAGCAACAAACGGTTTCAAACCCTTGTTGAAGTTCGACATCACTTTGATGCCAAAAAAGATACTGGTGAATAAAAGAATAATGGAAAATACCGCAAATAGCGTCAACGACCGTCTTCCTGGGTAGTATTGGTGACGATTGGTATTATGGGTATAAATTCTAATCACTTTAAAGAACGCATACATCAACCCCAAAAAGAACCCGGCGATCGAAATAACCATCCCATAAATGATCTCATTGGCGGCAGAATAGTCGGCGTACGCTAAAAGCAAAAACGTCACCGGAATCACAATGATGGTCAACACAAATTCCACCCGCTCTACTTTTGGCATCATGATGATGAATTGAAGTGTGAACGCCGGGAAGAAAAACCCATCAAAGTAGAGGAATGCCCTATAGATTTGGTAAAATGACAATCTTTGAAGGGCTTCAGGAGCGGCCCCGATTCTCTTGAAAACGTTCCAGGCAAAATCTTTCTTTAAATGGATAAGGAACAAGTACCCTTGAGCGAAAAATGTCGCAATACTCAAACAAATGATGGCAATGACCGCACCATTTGGAGACGCTCTATATGGTTCCGCCAACGATGGTGATAAACTATGCTTCAATTCCAAATATTGGATCCCGGTATATACCACCATACACCCGATGAATGTAAGGAGTAAGAAAACTTGGATTCGTGATTTCGAGATGATCGCGGTGGCGGTGATTATGCACTGATATATTTCAGCGCAAATGAACAATGCCAAATAAGTGGCAATGGCTTTCTTTTTGATTAAGGTATCTGAATTTGAGTTTAAATGGGTAAAGTATAGCACGAAGATATAGATTTGAAGAGCCAAAACCACTGCGGCGGATAGCACAGAAATCCCCATGAACAATTTTCGGTAAAAGTTTTTGGGTTGTTGATACATATACCACGATTTCCAGTCGCTGATTGGTTTATCAGCCAATAACTGCGATTCCTGGTGGTCGTTGGCATATTTAGTATCACCGTTAATGACAGATTGTGACTGGCGGTGATCCATACTCGAACGGCCCGACTGCGGATGGTAGAGGTTGTCGGCGCTGGTAGAGGCAAATACCCCACCACCACCATTCTGGGGATCTAAGTTGGATGGAGTGACTGGTTTGAACTTTGGTTTTTCCATGATATCGTTGATATCGATTCTATCAAGACTTGATGCCACCGATGAGACATCCGAGCAGTTGTCTACATCATCATGGTCGTCAACTTTGGAGATATGTTGTTTCATGTCTGATACCTTCTAGTTATGCAAAAAAAAAAAAAAAAAAAATAATATTCACAGCTATGAGTTTGTTTATGTGGTGGAGGTATAGATGGATATATACCTATATATATATAAATATATAAACATAAATGAGATATCCGCGGGGATGTTCCATCCAATTTTTCTTCTCCACGATAAAGTTTCAGCTTTGGGAAAAAACTGCCTGTGCCTCCCACCGGTGAGGAGCGTGCGGGTAAGCAGCGCTGCCGGGGCTTATGGTGGCTACATCGTTATCACCACCGAATTATCTGACCACCGCCGGCAGGACTAATTACTATTCTATATTAAAGGTCTCCATCCAGATTGCAAAAACCCTGGAACAACTGGTGAATCTTTTGACCAATGTGTGTGTGTGTGTGTGTGTGTGTGTGAGAAAGGGGGCGAAGCGTGGTAATGCACGAAGGAGCATGAATGGTATAACATGGGCATCCCCATTTTAAGCTACTCCAGAATAGTATATTATAGATATGGAAAGTGTTTCTAAAAAAAAAAAAGCGAAAAACAAGACCCATGAAGAAAAAATTTATCTAGAGTACCAGTAATAACCAATATGTCCCAATGACAACAGTCTTCTTCTCGCAATGTACAAAAAATAAAAAAAAAAAGGGAAAAATTACAAAATACAAGAGAGTAAGAGAGAAGACAAAATAATAATAGCACCTATTGCAATTCGACGTAGTTGCTTGGAAACAAGCTACGTTCACCATTCAAAGTACCGTACCACCAGTCTTCATCATACTCGTAAACATCAGTGATGATATCACCTGCCTTGAAACTCAATTCGTTGTCTTCATCAGCTTCATAGTTGTAAAGGGCGACTGCTTTCTTATCAGTGTGGACTGGGTATCCATTTTCATCGACTTCTTCATCATTAGTACCAGTGGCGGTGGCAGAAGCAGCAGCAGAATCACCGTCTACAAGCTTAACAAAGTTAGCTGGGAATTGACCCCTTTCACCCTTAGTGTTTGTGCCAATCCACCAGTCCTCATCAAGAAATTCAATTTCAACGATAAGTTCCCCATCATCGAGTGAGATTTCATCTTCTTCCTGCATTTTATAGTCAAATTGAGCAATAGCACTGGCAGATTCCTGTTCAGCTTCTGGTTCAGCTTCTTTTTCTTCTTTTTCTTCTTCTTCTTCTTCTTCCTCTTCAGCTTCTGATTCTTCTTCAACTTCTTTTTGAACCACTGGCTCTCTTGGAGGCAAAGGAACAGGAGTTGGAGAGGTCGATGCACCAGCTGGTGGAGGAGGTGGAACAGCTCTAGTGGCAGTGGCAGTGGCTATTGGTGCAGCTGGGGCAGGACGTTGAATGCTTGGTGTTGCTTCTTCTTCCTCTTCTTCTTCCTCTGCTTCAACATCGACTTGGTTGAATTTACTCGTCAATTCAGAAACCGATGGTTCTTCCTCTTCGGCAACTTCAGCACTGCTAACAGGTGGTTCAGGGGCAGAAGAAGAATCAAATTTTCCGCGCTTTTCAGCCCATATTTGTGCAGGGGTTTTACCGTTTTCTAAAGCTCCAGATGACTTTGGTTTACTACTGAAACCATTAGCTGAAGGCAATGGGACTCTGGCAACTGGTCTAGACCCCGAGGCGGCAGAAGGTTTGAAACTTGATGTTATTGGTTTTGGCTTGGATGCTACCACAGGTTCTTCCACTGGAGCTGGATTATCAAAAAGTTTTCTCTTTTCTCTAAATGCTCTTTCCTCATCATCCAAATCTTCTTCTTCTTCGGCACTTTCTTTCTTGGTTGAAACAAGATCAGCAACTGGTTCCGGCTTTGGTTGTTGTTTTGGCGGAAGGTTTCTGGGTGGGAGGTTTCTTGGTGGAAGACTTCTCTTTGGTGGAGCAGCAACTGGCTCAGATTCGTTGGAACTAACACTTGGGGTGGTTTCTGCAGACTTCTTTGATTCAGAACGAATGGCATCAATATCAACTTTCCCAATTGGTTTCCAAGCAGGTTTGGCTTCTTCTAAAGGTTTTTTGGTAAAGTCACGCTCTTCAATTTCTTCGGCACCATCCCATCCATCATCTTCATTGATTTTCTTCTCTTTAGTAGAAGAGACGCCAGCAGCAGCTCCAAAGAGTGGTGTCGTTGGAACTGGGGCCACTGGTTTTGGAACAATAGGTTTTGGAATGAACTGATTCGCCTGAGGAATCGAGCCGCTAACCACAGGCTTTCTAGCAGCAAAAGGTTTTGGCTTTTGGGTAATAGGTTTTGGAGCAATTGGCTTGGAAACTGGACTAGAAATTGGCTTTCTAACCGATGATGAACTACCGAAATTTGAAGGACCATTAGTTTGGATAGAATAACGAGCGCCGGCTGCATCACTAACTTTCTTCAACAAATCTTGAGGATCCAAATCATCTTCATCTCTTGCAGTGACTTGGACATGGTACCCGTGTAAGATCTTGGCCACGGTCCCAAAATTCTGAGCAAATGATGATCTGGCTCTAATTGGGACAGAATCAGGACACCACCCAATAAGAAGCAATTTCTTAACATCAGAGCCTGGTGGACTTACTCTGGCTAAACCAAACTCCACGCGACTTTCATTAAAGTTTTCGACGAATTCCGTCACATCATTCCCCGAGCCTTGTTCGGCCGGCTTGTAAGAATTGGAGGAATCTGGGGAGAAGATGGCCCAGGAAATCGACTCGTCGCCGGTGACAATCTTCTTATAAACGGAGTCAATGTCACGACCGTGTGTGGAAAAGTCGATAGATTGCATTTGAGTGAGTTGGTGGTTTCTTTTAGATAATGAATTACTGGAGATGGAATAGCTTTTGGTGATGATGATGTGGTGGAAATTTCGCCGCTTTTTGACGGGCGGTGCGGTGCGGTGCGCACGGGGGCAGGTTGGGTTGTGGGCCCTCACTTATGGTACCAAACTGCTGGTACATCATGTGGTCTGGTTTTCTTGTGAAATATTTCTATACGAGAGGCATCGTCATCATCTCAAGTTTTGGGTATAGAGTAGCAGTGGATCAGCCAAAGATGCAGTGTTCAGATAGATTGGGGTTTCCTAAGACAGATCCTGCGAGATGGAGGCTTTATTCAGACGAATTGGGGGCCACCCAATGGAAGTATCTCACTTCGGACAAGGAGCTTGATGAAAACCCTCAATCATTTTATGTCAAATATATCTTGCAAAATATGACCCCGGAAGAGCTTGACCAACTTGTACGGGAAACCAATTCAAATATTGATGAGTCTCGCTCACAATCTTTTAATACTGCCGTGAAAGGTGGGAGATTCTTGAAGAAGTTTCAAGAGCCTTCAGGTATTTTCCCAATGCAGTATAAGGGCCCGATGTTCATGACCATTGGCTATATTGTCGTCAACTATATATCCAACAATGAAATAGAAGATTCCACTAAAATAGAACTCATCAGATACTTGGTTAATACGGCTCACCCAGTCGATGGGGGCTGGGGCCTTCACGAAGTTGATAAATCAACGTGTTTTGGCACTAGTCTTGGATACATCTCTTTACGTCTTCTAGGGGTACCTGCAGATAATCCAGTTTGTGTAAAGGCAAGAAAGACTTTACATTCATTTGGAGGTGCCATTAACAACCCGCATTGGGGTAAAGCTTGGTTATCAGTTTTGAACTTATTTAACTGGGATGGGGTGAATCCTGCACCAGCGGAACTTTGGCTTACCCCATACAAGTACAATCCTATCCATCCAGGGAAATGGTGGGTCCATACCAGAGCAATTTATCAACCTTTGAGTTACTTGTGTGCTATTAAATACCAGGGTCCTGAAACTAAACTCATCAAAGAAATCAGATCGGAAATTTTTATAAAAGATTTCGACAGCATTCAGTGGTCAAAGCATAGAAACGATGTTTGCGGTGTTGATTTATACTATCCGCATACCACCGTTTTGGATATTGCTAACTTTGCTATGGTACAGTATAATAAGTATATTAGACCTAAATGGCTTGTGAAATATGCCAACAAAAAAGTTTACGAGCTCATCAAAAAGGAGATGTTTAATACTGGCGGGCTTTGTATTGCCCCAGTTTCTTATGCATTCAACGCTTGCGTGGTTCTTATTGAAGAAGGCGCAGATTCGGAACTTTTCAAAAATATGCTCCGTGATTTCAAGGATGTATTATTTCACGGACCTCAAGGAATGACAGTGATGGGAACCAACGGTGGTCAAGTTTGGGATGCTAGTTTTGTTGTCCAATATTTCTTTATGAGTGGACTCGCAGAACTTGACGAGTTTGAAGACTTAATCATTAGATCGTTCAAATTCCTTTTAAGATCGCAATTCACTACTGATTGTATTGATGGATCATTTAGAGATAAAAGAACTGGTGCGTTCCCATACTCAACCAAAACTCAGGGCTACACCGTTAGCGACTGTACTGCTGAAGGGATCAAGGCCCTTATCATGGTTTCACAGCACCCAAAATATGCTGAAAAAGTTAAGGGGCTTATTGACGAACAGTTACTTTTCAAAGGAATTGATGTACTTTTATCGTTACAGAATCTTGGAAACTTCCACTACGGTTCTTTTGCCACTTACGAAAAAATCAGAGCCACCCCATTGTTAGAGAAAATCAACCCTGCGGAAGTCTTTGGTAACATCATGGTGGAATATCCTTACGTGGAGTGTACCGACTCGGCGGTTCTTGGGCTCACCTTTTTCACAAAATACTATGACTATCGTCACGAAGAAATTCAATTCTCGATTTCCAAGGCCATTGATTATATCTGCGGTGCTCAGAATCCTGATGGATCATGGTATGGTTGTTGGGGTGTCTGTTTCACTTATGCTGGTATGTTTGCCCTTGAAGCATTATCTACAGTGAAGAGATCGTATAATGATGACCCGGTGGTCCGTAAAGGTTGTGATTTCTTTGCGTCCCGTCAAATGCCAAGTGGTGGTTGGGGTGAAAGCATGAAGAGTAGCGAAACTCATACATATGTGGATAGCGAACGCCCTCTAGTGGTCCAAACGGCGTGGGCTTTAATTGGATTGATTTTGGGTAAATATCCTAACAAACAGATCATTGACAACGGGATTAAATTCTTGATCGCCCAACAACAACCAAATGGGGAATGGGTTTCAGAAGGTATTGAAGGGGTCTTCAATCATTCTTGTGCCATTGAATATCCAAACTATAGATTTGCCTTCCCTATTAAGGCCTTGGGTTTGTATGATAGAATGTGCAAAGGCACTTTATAAATAGTACAAGTCAAGGTCTATTGTATACTTTCTTTTTTTGCTTCTCAAGATTTGTAATGTTAGAATGTAGAGATATGTCTTATCTATTAAAATGAAAAGATTGTTATTAGATGGTGAGATATCACAGGGGGCCAATTGAAGTTCCAGCTATACATCTTTCGGGAATATGGTTCCCTCACCCCTATAAGTGATTTATTACCATATTGGGTTAAAAAATATCTTTAGAATATTCCGTTCCTCAAAGACCCGAAGAAAAATTTAAAAGATTCAGAGAAAATTTGGTAGAGTTAATTCATATGCATGCAGGCCGTGTGATCTCAGACAATAAATAGTATCAAGGATGTTGCAAATTCATACTTGTCACTGTGAGGTCAAAACTCGTCATATAAAAGACGCTTACTATATATATGCTGAGCAAATGCTTGGGCTTTCAAACTTTTGGGATGTTATTGTTTCGAGAAATGATGTTATGCTACACCAAGATCGTGATAAATGTACTACTTACATACAGGATCTTTAGCTGTGATTCCTATAAGATTGTTGATGCTACTACATAAGTGAAGTTTGCGCAATTAATGTATTAGTATTATGGAAAATATGGTATAGAAATGGAAAATCCGTTCAAAAGGAATATGGAAGAAATAGAAAATCTGCTCATAAGGACCGCGGTAGAAACAAAAAACTAATTGAAAGAGATGGATGTATTGAGAAAAAAAAGAAGAATGTAACGGTCAGTAGTGATTTAATTCCATCTCAAATGCAAAAAAAAATGCTTTCAAGTTGGCTATTACTATAAAAATATCTTCCTCTTTGTGCTGTGGATACGCAGATTCTCAATAACACTCAACCTTTCCAACGATGTAACATCGCCTTGAAATCTCTCTCTCAAAGCATATATGACTTCGTTGAACCCAAAATCATTGAATATACATTTAGCATACATGGAATTAGGATATTTAATTACCACATTCCAAGAAAACAAAATAACATTCAAAGGATTTGATTGCTCTGCAGCAAGATAAAGATTCATAATTATGGACCCATATGATGGAACCAACATCCTTAATTTATCAAAGAAAGATGTCAAAATTTCGGGAGTTTCTCCGGAATCAATAATCCCGGCAAAAAAAGCCCACATCTCATTGGAAACTTGCAATCCCAAAGTATCACCTTCGTTCATGAGTCTCAACATTGGCTCCAAGAGATAATATGATGCTCTTAAATTTTTGACTCTAGAACAATCTTTGCTGACGTAAATCTCAGAAATGCAACAGATATCTTTAATAATATTATCCCTTCTTGGATGCTTCTGATCTTTCAAAATGTCACTGAAAATATTTCCTATTACACAGCAAAATTCATCATTCTGTGCACCATTATCCATGCTAAAAAGTTGGCAAAAGTCCAAAGCTCTCACTAGCTGGGTGATATATTCGATCCCTATTTGTGAAAGCACTGTATTAGGCGAAGATTTCAACATCTTCAATGAAATTCGAAATAAATCCTGATGTTGTTCTGAGGTTAGCTTTTTGTTAAAATCCAGAAACTTCACACATATATACCCAACATTCAAAAAGAATAACCGCAAAATTGGGCTGTTGTCGGTAAAGTTTTCCTTCTCCAATATCTCACCCCTGAAAAATTCAATATAGTCCTTGATGATCAAGAAAAAGTTTGCCTCAAGTAAATGCCGTTCCTTTTGCGTAGAGTCAATGTTTTTACTATAACAAAATCCATAAAACATTTTCATAATATCATAGCGATACTTTGGTTTAGAGTGAAAAATATTTACCACAGTAAATAACACATTACTGTTATCCACCTCTTCTTGGAAAAAACCTTGCTCAAAGATATATCGAAGGACATCTATTGCCTCTAACTGAAGTATTGAAGTTGGATCTTCCAAAACTGAAATAATCATAATATAAAAGAAATCCCATTCTCGTAAAATCTCGGATAGGATTTCTTTTTTTTCTGTAGTAACATGCTTAATTAAAGTTCTGAAAAACCGGTAAACCCGCACTTGGAGAGTAGCATTTTCTGAAGCCATTGCTAACGAATAAATCTTCATCAAAAACATTGGGTAATTAATAATCGGGTCCAGGATCTTAGAGTAAGCTGCAGAATTGACAATGAGAATCATAATATTTCTCTTGGTCATATCCAGAGAATCATCAAATAATGCTGAGAAATAAGCATAATCGTCTTCATTAGGAAATAAATGAATATGTGTGAGCTCAATTAGAAGGCAAATTAAACAATTAACATCCAGGGAATGTATTTCAGTGATTCTAGACATGAAGTAGCCAAAATAATCTCCCGCACTCAAGATATTATATATTTTCAGGATCAGTTTTGGTTTTCCAAGATTCTTGATAAGAAGTTTACCAATAAACATAAATTCCCGTTCATCACTTTCGGTCATCACCAGGTTATTATAATTAGATTTCTCAATCTTCGACTTTGTGTTCTGTACTTTCTGTATTATATAATCACTATAACACCCCGCATCCATGAACTGAATAAACCTAGTCTCCATGTGTCTGTAAGCGTCTTCGGTTAGAAATTCTAATATCGGTTCCTTAACTTCCAGGTTACTACCCATTAAAACTGCGCTCAATTTATTCAATAAATCAGCAGACTTATCTTTTTTAACTTTTTCGATACAGAAGACCACTAAATCAATTAATGCCTGCGAAGCATTTTTGGAGGTGATATTAGCAGCCTCCCAATGATCTAAAATATATTGAATCAAATTCTTGAATGCGACGAAATCTTCATTGGTGGTGATAATTGGTAGGGCAGAATTGGCACTTATTGCACACTGGTAAAAAAATTTGAAGTTACTGACTACCAAAATATCCTTATCATATTGACCCACTCGATCTTCCGGAGCCTTCTGGATTTTATATTCAGCAAGCAACCTGTGAATCATAAGAATATTTGATCCCCACAATTTATGGAAAGCTCTTGCGTCAAAGTTTGGTTTGATTATAAAGAAAGAGCTCAAGCATAGTTGGATATAATAATGAACTTCAAAAGAAGCATCAATTTTGCTCAAAATATCCACGATATTATACAGTAGATTGATGATACTTTCTGCTTTTTCAAGCTCAGGAATGGATGATTTGTGGCCAGCAAACAATACAGTGAAATAGAGTAATGTCTCGACAATAATCGGGTCAGGATTAAAATCTATACTCTTTTTCTTTTGTTTTTTGAGTATTCCAAAAGAAGCGGATAATGGACTGGAAGCAGGCTTTAAATTGGTTGGTTTCAACAAGTCACCAATTAACATAAGGATTTTCTCCGAGGGATAAATCACTGAGTGCAATCTTGCAAGAAATTGTAACGAAAATGAGACGAGCCGTACATTTGAGCACGACTGTAATGCCGGAATAATAAAGGTTTCAATGATCCATTCATCAAGCGAATCCAATTGGTAAATGCTATTCCCACAATATAAATTGAATACTTTTTTGCATTTGTTGGCTAGGTTAAAGTCGCCTTTGGCAATGATTTCCCAAATATAGGCTCCAAGACCATCATACCTTATCAATAGATTCCGTTCGTTGACCGCAAAATTGTCATGTAAGATTTCAAATAGCATCATCAGGTATTCAATAGAAAGGATGCCTTGTTTGTCGTTTAACGGTAATTGGTTGAGCCCTACAACTATTTCACTTAAGAGATTAGAGTTGATGAGGGCAGCTATGCTTGGGCATGGATCAATTCCATACAACTCAAACAATGTGCCTATGACTGATGTAATGATTTCAACATCAGTAGCCTCACTATTCACAAGTTGTGACAACTGATCAGCGATAACAGGATAATCTTTTTTCAACAGTAGTTTTATGAAATACCGGAGGGAAGGTCTCAATCCCTGGGTGTCGGGAAACATCCTAGCGATATTCATTTCCAATAATGTGGTGTTTATTTGTGTAGTACAGTTTAGCTCCATTTTTTTTCCACATTTTTTTTTTCCTATTCTTTTCTGCTACAATTAATATAAAAAAGACTCACTGACCCCATCTCATTTTGGGGGAGAACACATGTGTATGCAATTTACCAGTTCGGGAACTCGCTTGAACGCAAATCACACTCCACAGGGGCACAGTGATTGTTGGCAGATTGTGTTAGACAATGTGGCATCATACGAATACAACACAGGCGGTGCACCCAACACCACATACTGTATCATATGGGTATTGTATCTGTCTATCTACCTAGTATCCCACAGCGGTGATCAAAAGAAAGAAACAACCACAAAAGTGTGTCCATCTCTTTGTCCAGTCCCGCCGTTGTGGTACACTGCATCCGCTTGCCCTTCTCCGTCGCGGATGTCCACGGTAACCATCAGAACCGGCACGGGTAGCGGGTGAAAATTCATGTACACAAAAAAAATGTCCAGGTGGAAACGTCACATCGTACCTCATCTCATCTCTTACTATCTCTTTTCTTAAGTGACCGTTTAGTATATTCGCTCTCCCCAAGAGACAATATATATATATATTTATATATATAAGTGCCTTTTGTTGCCGTTGAAAATTTTTCTTTTCAGGCAATTGCTTAAGCCTTTTTCTGTCTTTTTCCAGTCTTATCATTAGTCCTCGATAACCCAATTATTGTCAAGAATATGGACAATAATCAGATAGCCATTGGGACTTTTTACAATCTCGGCAACTCTTCTTCGAACTTCGATTTGACGGTTTCTGAGTCTGCTCTTGACAAAGATAATTCTAGCGTGTCAATTGTCTTAGGAAGAGGTTCTGGCTGTGATATCCGAATCAAGGACAGTCATATTTCTGCTGCTCACTGTAATATTAAAATCACAGGATTATCATCGCTTTCTTACAATAATGGCAAAATTCATGTGGCTATTAGCGATTTAAGCTTGAATGGAACGTTCATTAATGGCGTAAAACTCGACCCAGACACTTTGTACCTCTTAAAACCAAATGACTTGGTAAAATTCGGCACTTTCCACGAATATATTTTTAAACTTAAAGATATCCGCCATCTTTCGTCTAGATCTTCTAACCCTGGAGATCAGAAATCGAAAAAAAAGGAAGAGGCAAGATCAAATAGGAATATTTTCGATCACTATCATTTCACCGAAAATGATATCATCGGCAAAGGCAATTTTGGCTCAGTTTATAAGGCTAGAAATAGACAAACTAACGAATTAGTAGCGGTTAAAGTGGTCCAGTCTACTAGACCAGAGGAAGCATTGATGATCAATAAAGAAATTGGCACCTTAAAATCTTGTGAACATAATAATATCATGAAAATCATTGATCAGTTCCATCATCTTGGAACAGATACTTCAAAGAAAAAAACCCGTACTGTGGTGAATACCTGTTTGATTTTGGAATACATTGAAAGTGGCGATTTATATGGTAAAGTCACTGGGTCTGTCAACCTGAAAATTTCTGAGCAAGAAACAATGTTTTATTTCGAACAGATCCTTGATGGGATTTGTTATCTTCATGAAAATGGGATAATTCACAGAGACATCAAGCTTGAAAATATCTTACTCCATAAAAGTGCTAATCCGTATGTTTCTCGTTTCAATAATTATCAAGGCGAGTCTTATGGGGACATTGTGATCAAGATTGCTGATTTTGGATTGTCTAAGTGTCTTGGAGAAGAACTTTTCACAAAAACCATCTGTGGGACTCCTCAATACGTTGCCCCAGAAATACTTCAGTATTCTCATTTAAACCCCACTACCAAAAAATTTTCCATTAGACCTTATGGTAAACAAGTTGATTTATGGTCTTGCGGGATTGTCTTGTTCACATGTTTGTTTGGTTATTTTCCTTTCAATAATGACGATCCCGTCAGAGACACCATCAAGTATTGCGAATCAGATACATTGAAAACCATCAGCGCTGAATCGGTGGAGTTATTTCAGAACCTTTTGGAAATCAATCCGGAACAAAGGTTGAGTAGCCATGAAGCTTTGAAACACTCTTGGTTCAATTGCTATAACAAATACGCTAACGGAAGCTATCTTGAACAAAACAAAGAGAACTTCTCAAATTATGATGGCGATGACACTATCATGAATGATAATGTCGTCGCCCAAGGAGATTCTATGTATGGTAATGATACATCAACTCTTGATATTGGCGTGAATGTCAAAAATATTCCAAATACGCACGCTGCTAATGGACTGGAATTAAATCGGTTTGCTAACGATATCATCGACAATTTTGCTGATTACAATCTGGAAAGTGGCACCAAAGTTTTGGGTAGTGATAGCAGCAAAGGCAGTAATGTCAGTATAAAGCAAAGTTTGCTACTTAGCAACGTTAGTAATGATTCTAATCAACAAAGCTTTGCATTTGATAGCTTGAAGCTAGAGGAGGAATTTACAAAAGGTGATGGTAATTATTCCAATTATTTTTAAAACAATCTTTTTTTTTTTGTTTTCGTTAATCATATTCTCATTTTGTTCATGTCTTTTTGTTTATATCATTTTGTGTGACTGTATTTGCTTTTTTTTCCCTGTTTGTTTTCTATTCATTTCCTACACATGGCTCACCACATCCTTTTTATATTATATCTACTATTCGTGATAAACATTATACTATAAAAGCACTACAACATTCTGCATTAAAAATTTTTACATAATTTTCTTTTCTAGTGAAGTTCAATTTGTAAATTTGTCAAAATGTTTCAATATTAGTATAGTGCAAAAATCATTCTAATTGAGTCTTTTAACAGCGCCACCTGGCGAACTCTTAAATCTTGAAGTTAAAACTTCACAGCCAGTTTCAGTGACTAATAAGGTATGTTCAAATTGCGCAGTGTATTTACCATCAGCAGTAGCAGCAGTCCAATCATCTGGCCATCTCACATCACGGAAGGTACCAGCGGTAATCATTGGTTCGATAGTGAATACCACCCCTGTTTTACATAGACCGCTAGCCTTGTTTTTAGCGTAATGTGGGACTTCTGGAGAGCAATGGAAATATCTACCAGTGCCGTGACCACAATAAGTTCTCACTACCTGACACCCGTTTGCGTGAGCATGCTTTTCAATGATGTTACCAAATGAGCGGAATGGAACCCCTGGTTTAACAGAGTCTATAGCAAGTTGAAGACATTCACGGGTAGTTTCCACTAGGTTGACAATCTTTGGATCAGCTTTAGCTTTATCCCCAACATAGTAAGTTTCATTCAAATCGGTGTGGAACCCATCTTTATATAGAGAAATATCAAGGTTGACGATATCGCCATCTTTGAGGGGTCTCTTATCAGGGATCCCATGGCAAATAATTTCATTGACAGAAGTACAAACCGATTTTGGGAAGTTGAAATAATTGAGGGGTGAAGGATAAGCTTTTCTCTTGATGGTTTCATTGTGGACGATTTCATCGATTTCATCGGTGGTCACCCCTGGTTTAACGGCAGCAGCAGCAATATCCAAGACTTCACGACCTAGTTTACAGACGGTTCTATATTTTTTAAGCTCTTTCTCGTCCATGGCCTCTATTTGAGAAGATCTAGCTTCTTTGACTTCACTCTCTGGATACCCGGTGGCGGCATAGTCTGGCTTTTTGATATTTTCTGGAACGGTACGCTTCAAAGTTAACGGGTAAAATGGTCTAAGCTTTCCAGTATAGTTGTACTCAGGGAATGGATCATAATGATCAACTCCGGCTTTTGGATGAGTAAACTTGTGCTTGCCCCAGTTACGTTTGAAACAGTCTTGGCCACAGAATACAGAGGTGGCACCTTGTTTCAAGCATACAGGACATTTAAGAGTGGATTCAGTTTTTGTACCACAATCAGCACCAACACATGTATAGACTTCAGTCATTTTGCTTTGTTAAATAGAGACTTATGATATTCCGATTTTGAGAGAGTTTTCATGAAATAAAATCAATCATGCAAAGAAAATTTTTGTGTCAATAGTTTGGTTTTTTACACTGCTGTACACCAATATCACGGGTGTAATTTAGGTGATCTCCCATGACATAAGAATAACGATTTTCATCATATCTCTGGGTTGAAAAAAAAAAAAAAAAAAAAAATAAAGTTATTCAAAGCACGTATTTCCAATCAAGAATCTCAAGAAGCACACCAGCCACATACAACATAGTACCATTAATGTAAAAGAAAAAAAAATTAAAAAGCAAAAATGAATTTGGCTTTTTGCAGAAAATCTATACACAGCAGAAAGGTTTCAGGCAATCCAAAAATAAAGATCATATTGTAGCATGAGCAAATGTGTAATCATCAAATAAGAAAAAGGATAAAATAGAAGAAATTAAGAATATAGTAATACCTAAGTCTGAATTAAAATAAAAGAATTGAATAATAATTAATAATAAAATAATAGTAACAGTGAAAGCAATAAAAGCAATAGCAATAATTAAAATAAAACAATAAAATAATACAATAATAAAATAATACAATAATACAATAATACAATAATAAAATAATAAAAAAGAAAAAGAAAAAAAAAGCTTAAAAACAAAACAATTTGTCCTTTTATGGCATCTTAATGTTTGTTAAATTTTTGTCTAACATATTGGTGTAATAATTATAAGGCTCCTCGACAGCGCATTTGACCAATTTGTCCCTTGTAGCTTTGAATTTGCTGAAATGTGGCACCAACAGATAAATATTGAAATTATTATCTTCAATGGTAGCAGGAACATATCCACAGTTCGGAAGATATTTCATAACTTCCTGGGTAGCACTTGAATTAGAAGAAAGAGACCCAAAAACACCATTTTTAGGGGCTTCCGGGGTGCTTTTAACATTCACCAATGGTCTGAATTTTTCAACATAAACCTCTTCAATTTTGAATTCTGATTTTTTGGTTCCAGGGTTTACTGGAGAAATTGGGTTTGCTGCAAAATATGGAGAGTTAATTAAGTGCGCAAACTTCTTCATCACTTGTGGTTCGTCAACAAATTGATATAAGAAGCTATTTTTGCTGAGAAATTTGGTGAGCATTTGTTCACGACGATCAAAGAATTCCATAACCACCTCACAGTATGTACAAACTTCTCGAACTTTCCCAAGAAATATACCAGTCTTGATGTTATTATCCGGATTCATCTTATCAAATATTCTCAAATCATAAATTCTAGTACCACGCAACGGTACAGGATAGAGACCTTCAAAACCGATCAAGAAATATGAGTAAGTTTCCGGGAAAATTGCAACCAAAGACTTTGAAACAAGTTGGTAGAACAAAATAATTGCAATTTCTAGTGGATTTTTATCATTTTCTGAATGGTGCAAATAAGGATATATCCGCATCCAATTACTCAACAATGAAAAAACTAGTTGCATAGAAGTTGGATTAAAAGAGTCTCCAACATCATCCAAATACTTGATCACTGTTTCAAGAAATTGTTCCAAGCGATGATATTTTTGTCGCAAATTTTCACCGACAATCGCAGAATCGTCCTTCAAAAGTCGTTTTAGTTCACCAAACACTTCATATATTTCTTTCAAGAACCGAGGGTGGTAGCATGGCCTCAAAAAATATTTTATAAGCTCAAACCAAACATATATATTCAGCTGGACCAAATTACCGCAATTTTTAACCAATTCTGTGGGAGAATATTCTGGAAGCACCGTAAAGGGAAGTAACTTGGTGACATAGAATTCAAGAACATTATCGTATAAATCACATACTTGAATACCACAACGAAGATTCAAGTTCATGATACGTAAGGCGTGATGAACTGGTAAAGAGGAAATCATAAACAAACCAAACCTAACAAGATAATCATTGCAAAGTTCTGCAGACTCCACTGCAATATGTGCTTTAGCGCTCTCTGATAACATCGAAAATCTTTCAAACATAAATACTATGGCTTTTTCTCTAATCTTCAAAACACCAGTAGAATTTTTCAATCCGCGGCTTTCTTTGACAAATGCAGAAGAATACAATATATAAGTTTGGAAAATTCTATAGTCTCTGAACGCCAATTGGAGACGGTCTGTTTCAGATTCTAAAGAGCTTGAACTGTCAGTAAATATTGAAGGCATTGGATAAAGCGGGAAAGTAACTTCACAACACTCTGGTTGGGAAAGGCTCTCAGTATCCGGAATTGACTGGTTACGCAGTGATTCTTCAAATTGTGGATGGCTCTGAAGTTGGGTATCCGTTAAAGGGAAGCCTCCTCCGGATGGGACTTGTAGATGAGAGTGTTGGCCCGGGGTCCCACTTTCGATAGGAGTTTGCGGCGCAGATTGAAATCGCAAAGGGTTTTGATAATATTGAGGTATCAGTGGTTTTTGAAGCAGTTGATGGTCTTGAATATGGCCATTTTGATATTGAGTCGTATGCCCAGCAAACTGTGAGGGACCGCCCGCTGGAAAATGGCTAGAAATACTCGGCAAAGTGAAACTTGGTCGATTTGGAGAATTATTATTAGGCAAGTTTAAAAGCGGAATATGATTATCCTTTGGGACATAATAATAACGAATACTCTCTAAGTTATTGAAAGGACGAACGAATCTGCTATCTTCCGTCGCCATTTGAGTAGGCCGATAGTGCGATTTGAAAGGGAGGATACTGACATTCAAAGGCGGAATATTGAAGGGATGGGAAGGTTCTTGAGAAGCTCTTGATTGTTGCTGAATAGCGTTGATTTTCTGACTTGTGATTTTTCTTGATTTTCCTGATCTCAAGGTAGTATTGGTGACGGCATTGAATATATTATTTATTACGTTTTGATCCTGTGAATAATCGGTCAAAATACCCAAATTACGATCAGATGCAAGCCGTTTTTGGTTCAGTGCTCTAAGAGGGCCACTGGAGTAGTCAGCATTATCAAGATAATTTCCGGTTTCTGTCTCTTTTTGTTCCTTTGGTAATATATTTTGTAATGATTCAATTTTCACATCCGATGACTGCTCAACCACCATTGAGGATTTTGTTGAGGAAACAAAGTTCATTGGTTCTCCATTATTATTGTTGTTGTTGTTGTTGTTGTTGTTGACATCAGGAACCGTGGTTTGTTGATTCACTCTCTGAGCCATTTGAGCTTTACGAAGTGCCTGGCGAGAAACTTCGTCTAGGGATAAGTAAGCGCACTTGAGCTTAGCACGAATACAGTTGTTACAAGATGGAAGGTTTTCGTCACATTTGATACGTCTTTGTTTGCAGGTAGCACAGCCAAGATGAGAGTTTCTATGACGTTTACGAGTGGCCCGCTTTTTTGGTAAGGGTTTCTCTGAACAATTGACCAACGGAGGCCCAATACCAGGGGTTTGCTGTGGGTTCATTGCAGAGTTCACCATTGGTGATGGTTGGATAGGAGAAGGAGAAACTGAAGATGAAGGGTTGCTGTTGAGGTGGTTGCTGGAATTACCGTCATTGGGAGAAATGTCGGCTGCCTGGGATCGCTGGTGGTCGTACAACTTGAAGCCTGGTTTCTTGGACTGGGATTGCTCATTCCAGTCGTACCTCTCGTACATTGCCTTTCGGTTGTGGTAGGTAATGGCAGCCTTCTGTTGTTGTTGATGGTTGTTGTGAAAGTGAAGGATGTCGCTTTTTAGTGATGATTTCATAGGAAAAAAAAGAAAAAAATCCTGTTACGATGAGAATTCGTAAATAAGCTCCTGTCGGTTAATCTACCGGATCTGCATATCTCTCGTTCTTTTTGGTAATATTCCCCGTTAACAAAGAAAGATTAGACAAAAGCCATGTGGTATGTGCTTTTATATATGTCTTAGTGACCTTTGGTAGAGTCTTAGGTCCTTGGCCATGGGTATATTTTACAACACAACGGTCAATCTACTGATACAAACTCGTAAATTGAAAACCGTTGCTTTTTTTTCTTCTTTTTTTTTTACCCAAAATGAAATTCGCTGGGATTTACGAATACGATGCTACATGACGACAAAACTGGAATCTATCACCGATGATCACAATTACCATTTAAAAAATGGACGCATACTATAAAAATAAAATATCAAAAATAAATTATATTAACCCTTCACAGGGGAGAGAATCAAGCATTAGCTAACCCCTTCCGCACCGCAAGCACTTTGTCAACAATCACTGCGTCAACCCCAGCCTCCATTTCAAGTTTGGCATTCTCCGGATCATTATTCAAGGCACCATAAGTAAAACAAACCAATCCGTTACTCTTGACAATACTCGCAAGTCTAGGACATTGGATAATCGCAGCAGCAGCACTAACAATCCCAAGGAGATTCCACTTCTTCGCAAATCTGATAGCTGCCTGCAACGATGATGCACGGGCATCAGGCATGAACTGAGACCCAGCTTCCGTGAGGAACAAAATCGGAATTGCCGGTTGCTTCATCGACAATAAAATACAAACATCAGGATGGAAAGACGAAAATATGATATTCCGTTGGCCCTTATGATCGTATACTTTTTGAAGCACCACGTCAACCCATTTGTTATAAGAAATCGCAATTTCTTCAAAATCTTCCTTTTGTGCCTCCTCTAACATTGGATATTTACATTCAACGTTGAACCCGACATTTTCTGGCAATTTTTTGAAAAGATCTTCAAGAGTAACAAAGGAAGAAGCAATAGAAGTACCTCGGGAATTACCCTTGAATCCTTGTTCTTTGTAAGTTCTCGTCAATTTCATTCTCTCATCAAATACCGATCCAAGTTTTTCTTCATCATCGCTGTCATCATCATCATCATTATCATTCCCAATGGTAAATTTTTGAGCCTTCTTATTATTCATACTCAAAGATGCCGAACGGAATTTACGTTTCAGTAACAATGCATCATCATCATATGAGATCCTGTTATCAGAAGCATGTTTGTTCCGTGGGAACTTGCCAGAATTGAGATTAAAATCTTGGTCTGGACGATGATCACTCAATTTCAAAAATTGTTCGGCAGTCATTTGATGCATTGGAATGTCCATCCCACTTTCCGCCACTAGGAAATCGTGATAAATCACAGGAACAAGATCTTTGGTTAATTGCACATCAAATTCCACATAAGACGCCCCAAGAGAAGCAGCAGCAATAAACGATTCGACAGTATTCTCACCTAATTGTAAAGAGCTCTTACTGTTGATGTTTTTACCCAAACCACGATGACCAATAACTCTTGTCGAAATCAAGGTCTTCCAATAAGATTCACTGATATCATACGTCATATTAGGATGAGTGAAACTGCTGACGTCGAGAATTTCAAAACGAACAGTCCCCAACTCTTCCAAAGTGACTGACTCAATAATTGGAACGGTACAAACGTTGTACATAGAACGTCTGTCTTTACCCACAGAAGTATAAACGTTGCCGAGTAAAGCAATTGCACGCCCAAGAACTTTACGTTTCTTTTGGCTAATCACTTTACTAACATTGACATCATTAATACTGTTGATAGTAGAGCCCGACAATGCTTCTTCACCAGCATATGAATAAGTAGGAAAGATATCAAAATATATAGCAGCATTCCTTGGATCTTGATTGACAAACTTGAAGCTGATTGGATCAGTAGCAGAGCCATGATTATCATCTAATGGTAAATCTAAGACCACTGGTGGTTGGTTCTTCAATTGTTTGCAGCTAATAGCAACCGACAAGGCTGTATCTAGCTCCGTAGAATGTGCTTTAGATACTGGAACACGATTCAACTGGATTGCCGGAGTTTTATCACGCAAGTCAGTGGTTCCCAAAGTCAATAACACCATGGACTCATTTGGTTTAAGGAACTGATGTCCGAAAGATTTGACTGGCTTTTTCGAGGTTGGAACAGAACTATTACCATTATTCAAAGAGCTAATCGGATCTCTATTGTTACTTTCCTTTTTATTCGATTTAATCTCTTTATAAATGTGCTTATCAGTACCAGCAGGGCCGACATTAACGCTGGCTGGTAATTTATCAACACTATTGGTGCTTTCTTGAACCAAGTCTGGAATTTTCGGAGGTAACCCATTGCTATTCAAAGTTGATGAGCCACCATCTTTTTTCAACAAGTTGTTTAAGTTAGACTCTTTGGCTAATTTCAAAGGATCATAATCTTTTGGACATAGCAATTCTGCCAAATCTAAATGACCACGCAAAGAACAATGTTCCATTGCTAGCCAGCCGTCATTATCTAATCTAGAGTAATTGGCACCATGGTCAATTAACGCCTTAGTCACTTCGGCGTACCCCTCAGCTGCAGCTGCAAAAATTGGAGTCCAGCCAAATGAAGCCTCTGGGATCTCACAATCGGCTCCTTTTTGAAGTAAAAACTTAACTGAATCCAAGGAATTCAACTTTGCGGAAATGAATAGCGCCGTTTCCATAGTATCAGTTTTGTTGTAATTGATATCCATACCTTTAACTTCTAATAAGCTTTCCAATAAACGAGACAGCTTCAAACGAGCAGCCAATAAAAGCAAACCAGGATTACTCAATGAAACATCACCATCCATGGAGCTTAATAATATTTTAGTGGTTTTTGGATGGTCGCCAACAAGTGCCAAGTGCAAAGGAGTCAAATATTCTGCATCACCCCAAACAGTGATATCATCAATAGCAACACTAGAATCCCAATGACTCCACTTCTTCAAGAAATCAATGATTATTGCAGAGGTTTCCTTAAGGCCGTATTGAGCAGCGTAGTGTAATGGGGCACGCTTGTAACTATCACGCTGCAAGAGGCAGTGTCTCAGTGATGTTGGTAATCTACTGAGGATATACTCCAAGCCACTAGGAGAATCGTTCGAATTAACACCATCGGATCCATAAGCACCAACAAGACGGAAATTCTTATCTGGAGCTGCAGCCGGAAGAAGAGACATATCTCTTTCAATAAGAAGGCCATATGTATTAGCAACAGTTGCGGCACTAGCCTCGGTGGTGGGTTTTTCCTTCTCAGCTTCTTTTTGTTCGCGTTCCACAGTTTGTTTTCCAAGAGCAATAATATGATGGTGGAAGAAATTTCTGGCACTTATATCACTGGAATCATTAAGTACCTGGGTGAATTCCATGAGTTTGTCAATACAGCCAAATGCTTGGAAAAGCGCAGATTTATTCAACAAATTAAGCAAGAGCTTAGAAGGAGTCAAAATTGGTGAGCGGAATTCATTAGCCAACTCTTTGATAAGCCCTTCACTATCATCTTTGCGAATGTAACACATGTATTTTCCAGAGTTTGGAGAAACGTAGCCTCCATTGGCCGTCGATTGGCCAGAGGATGAGTCAATACCAGTGGTAGTAGTAGTAGTAGTGAGAGCAACAAGCTCATCAGCTTGTGGGGACAATTCGGAAAGATACTTGTTGATTAAATTCAATTCGCGTAAGATCTCAGTTTCGCTAGCAAAACTTAATGGGAAAATATGAGAACTCAAATAATACATTTGTTTGTTGGTTCCGGCTTTCTTATCGAGCTTCTTCAAGATTTTAATGAATCCACGCTTATTCAATTCAGAAAACCATTTGAGGTTTCTAAAATTCCCTCTCAACTCCACAAGGATCCCAATCACCTCTTCAAGCTCTTCCTTATCAAACTCCATCTTCCCATCCTTCTTGTGGCTATGCATGGCGGTGGTCACTCTTTTAAGACGACGCTCATATTCCGAGAATTGAAAGTTATAAAAAGATTCCACTTTCTCGATATTTCTATCAAGTTTGGTGAAAAACCCTGCCAAAGAACTCTTAACGGTTTCATCATTCAAAGTGCTGGCGATTTCCGCACCCGCCGCGGATGCGGATAAAACCGCACCGTCCTTCACCACAAAATCATTAGTAGCATCCACAGTGGAGTGGAAATCATCAATAGCAACAACAATCGCTTTGATCTCTCTTTTGAGTTCTTTATAGTTCATATAGTAACCAGACCATTCCGGCACTTGATGAATAAGGAAGCTTGATATTTTGTTAGCATCAAATTCCGAAAAAAAAAAAAAAGAGTGGTAATCTCCGTTCTGTGGAGTAGGCCATTCATTCCCACAAGCCAATGAGCATCGGGAACGATTGTCAAACAACGAAATAAGTTACTTTCTATAGCATTAATCTGAAGAGATTATTTGTCTTTTAAAATATCTATCAATATCCTAATTAAATATTTTAAATCATTATTATCCATCATAATCTGACTAACCTTCCCGCGCACAGCGAGTTTGGCCGCTCCCTCCAACCAGAATGCGATTTTGAAAAAATTAATAGGAAGATATGGTAACCTTCTGCTTGTCACACATACGTTTTGCCAAACTTCATTGCGGCAATGCTTGCAAAAGGATTCTTACAAGAAGACAAGTGAGCAGGAAAACTCGCTGCTTTATCAAAGGAAGGTGCGATGATGATTATTGTTACCCTATCTGACACGTGCACCTTATTTTATCCATATCAGTGGTTCGGTGCAAGCCCGTCGGTACAGACGAGATAGTATATCTATGACATATTGTTAGTAATTTTGGGCAAAAAGAAAAAGGCCGCAAGAGAATGAAAATTTTTACTCACATCTTGAATTGTAGCATGGATCAATTGACGCGTCTCAAGAGCTGCCCATATAAGAGCAAATCTTAAGATATCGGCTGTAGTCAGAGATCCCGCCAAAAGCTTGGCGTCTTTGACATTGACTCTTCTGAGAATTGGAATTGCACTGTGTTGTAAAGTTAGTAATTTATAGTAGAGGAAAAAAAATCTAGAGTTTCGTAATAGAAAGTGACGCTGAAAAAAAAAAAGGCTTTATTAAACAAACAAAAATCTATGAGTATAATTATTTTAGCCACATAATATCCTGTGACAGAGGAAATCCAAACAAAAAAGTCCATACTAACCTTGCGAAAAGATCTAATTCAGGGTCTAATTGACGACCAATTCCTTCGAGTAATAATATTGCAACAACCACATTCACAAAATCAGGTTCCATTTTCACGTGATGATAACGAACCATACCGAGCATTTTATCCAATAGATCACCAATACTAATATTTCCGAGAGTAAAAGCTCGATCTTTGACGGTATCCACTAGTCTTTGTACTTTAAGGGCAAAGATCTCGGGGTCCTTGGCACCCTCAGGATTTCTGGATCTTTCAACCATAAGTTCCCCAGCACGGTAGCCATCAAACATAGATAAAGCCTTGAAAAGCTCAAGAAAATTTACTCTGTCATGATTATTAAGCTCGGTAACAAGCCCAGCATCTAGATAGCAAACTTCTGGTCTGTAACCTTCCTCAAAGAGTTTATTAAAGGAATTCAACAAATCTTCGTAGCTTGAATCTGCACGATCAAGTTTGAGGAGTTCAGTCGTAACTGTCTGCATATCTAGAGTCACTTCACGACTATCTTCAGGAGACCCAAAAAGCTCCTGATCATTTTTATCAATTTTAAAGAATCGCACACAAATGTTTCCTGGATGGAGATCACTGTGGATAAAATTATCAAGGATTAGCATTTGTAGGAAACTGTCGAGGATTTCATTAGACAAGATTTTGTTGAGTTTCATAAAATTTTTCTCTTGAGTTTTGTCCTTGCCGTTATTTTCTGCTAATCTTTCTTTAACCATATCTGTTAATTCCAAGATCGTTGCTATTGGCACAGCATGCATATATTCTTCCACAAGAACATGGCGATTAGAGCACTTCAAATATGGTTTTGGGAACTTGATTTGCAATTTCACTTTATTAATTAAGTTATATTTTTCTCTGATTTCTTTATGTTCGAAATTCTTGGCGAATTTGTTTAAATTGACCCCTTCAATTCTCAAATCTAATTGTAACTTCATGAACATGGCAAATTGTTGCACTTCTTCAGGAAAAGAAAGCCATTCCATTGTAGGGACTAGATTAATAATATTAGCGAAAAAGGACATTATCTTCAAGTCACGATCAATCTTTTCTTCAACCCCTGGATGCATTACTTTTACTGCCACCCATTGATGTGATTTTGGACGATGATACTTGTATAAACTGAATCTTTCTTTCAATTCGTCTAGGAGTTTTGCCGAATAGCTTTCATCCAACATGGTTTTGCTTCTTTCCCTTTCGATTTCCCCAACCTCTCCTTCAACTCTTCTCAAGTAAGCTTCGCTAAGTTTCCCTACATGTACTTGAGCAATTGATCCTACTCCGATAGGCTTTTCCACAAACTCTTCGAATACTGACTCAAGTTCGGCTCCAAAGCTATCAGCGATAATTTTTTTCGTTTGCGGAAAAGAATGAGGTTTGGAATTCAGATGTAAACTTTCCAACTCATGGCAGAAGTTTTTACTGAAAATATCAGTTCTAGAAGCAGCCCATTGACCCATCTTGATAAAACATGGTCCCGCCAATTCAAGACAATATTTAAAAAACTTATTCCATACAAGCTTTCCCCATCTATCCCCCTTGTTTTTCACTTTAGGTCCAAGGATACTAATTATTGGATATCCAATAATCACCGGGAGAAAAATCATTGAGAGTTCTATGAATCTCACTCCAGTAAGTATTGGCTCCATAACATAGTCAGAAACGAAAAATTTCAATCTTATTACCCACTTGAATATCTTAGGGCACCTCAGCAATTCCTGAGCCCTATCCTGGGCCAATTCCCTACGATACTCTTCTTGAGAAGTCAAAAATAATCCAATTTCAAATGTTTCTGCATCAGGATGATCAGTAAGGCTCCTACTCACCAAATCAGTACCCTTCGGCATGTCAAGAACTTTTTTCTCTGCTGTATTGCTTGGGCGAATCGGCTTTGGAAATTGTTGTTCATTATTTATAGATGTAGAGCAATACAATGCACCGGCAAGTGCGAGAGAAATGAATGGTAGAGACTTGAAATATCGTTCGTGATAATTAGTTGATTTATTGAATGTGGCTACCCCGGAGCGTTGCTGAAATTGAGTGTTCTTATAAATTGACCTAGACGCATTCTTGCAAAGAAGAAGCGAAGGCCTATTAAAGATCCTCAACATGATTGAAAGGGCCTGAAGTGGCTGATGTTTGTTAATACGGCGACGGTTGCGGGTTTCTAAATCGCTGGGGTATACTTTGTGATCCGAGTTTCTGTTTTTTTTTTTTTTTGCCTCAGTATAGTTTGCCTAAGTGGGGGTGTAACACCTAATTTGCTAATATACTAAAAAGTAGCAGAAATAGAAAGTTCGCAAACCTAGACAAAAGCACGTAACTGAAGATTTTGTCTTGTTATACTAAAAGATTGAACTACTCATGAGTCATATGTTCTAGCGCTCAAATAGTTTACATACACACAGCGCCAAATCTCTAAATGCGCCAAATCCCAGATGTACATACTGAAGAATTGCGCCTCAGGTTTAACACTGTAATAACCATATATTATTTGAGACACTTATAAGATATGAGAAAATTGAGTATCTGATTTGAAAATTGTTCTATTTGCTGGCTTTCTGTATAGGACTTTAGTGGGCCTCTAATTCAATAGATTCAATAATTCAATGTATTCCCTGATTTTAGTATCATCATTCAGCATTCTGGGAACTATCCAATGATCCAAACCTCAAGTAGCACAATAGTAACATCAATACAACATGATAATATTTTATGCAACTCATAGAAGTTTCAAAAATACTCAAAGCTGGAAACAGCATTTTAATGGCTGCGATCTACTTATACCGGCAATAGTACCTCATTATCTTCAGTCGAATCGGGGGTTGACCAATCACTAGATTCATCGCTGGCACTGTATGGTGCATGGCATTTATTGAAATCAAATACTGAACGAAAGTACTTCAAGTACACGACAATAGCAACAATTACTCCGATGATTCCGCCGAACATAATATCTCCAAAATGGTGTCTATAATCTTGAGTTCTACTGAGAGCAATATATGCAGCCAAAACGGTAGGGCTTCCGGCAACGCATAGCTTCCAGATTGGAACTCTTGGTTTAAAGGCTTTCAACTGACCAGCAAGCCACAAACTCAAGTATAAAAGCCCGCCAAAAGCAATACCTGAGTGGCCACTAGGGCAAGATCTGAGGCCGTCATATAATACATGTTCTCCTAGTGGTGCAGTACAGATACTCAAATCATAATTTTTGGTGAGGTCAGCGCCTTTAGGAACTTTTGGTCCACAACGAGCGAGAAAGTCGGGACGTGGTCTGGCAATCCAGTTCTTCAAAGTGTCAATTAAAAATATATCAATAGCAAGGGTGATACAAAGACCAAGGAACGAAATATTAATAAGATGTAAGTGATATTTGAATTTGTCTTTATTTCCCGCAAAATCGTGACCGTGCATTACCACAAGAGTTCCTATCATCACCAACATTGGGACAATTAACCCAGCCACTAAACACAATACCACTGGAACACGCTCCTGGTCAGCAAAGGGGTGTTGGATGGAAGGATCATTTAGACGAAACTCTCTAGAGAATGGTTTTGTGTGCTCGCCGATTATTGCCACTTCCAACATCAAGAATACAAATACTGCCCAGTCACTGATGTATTGTCCAAACTCTTTGGAGACGAAATATCTTTTAGCCATCATTTGCAAAATGCTCATTAGAAAACAAGACCTGGGAATTTTTCGTGAAATATCTCACCGCTAACGATCCTTGGCGTATATGGGATACCTGGTGGATCCAAATATTCCCAATGCTTCTGGTACCTTGTGTTCCAACAACAAATGATGTGTTATCCATCACAGAAGAAAAAAAAAATAAAAAAAATTGAAAACGGAAATTTGCACCCAGGAAATATAACCGAACCTTTACAACACAGAGAATTATATGTTTCACCTTTCCCTAAACCGAATGAAAAATTTTCCTCTGGTTTTAGAACATTCGGGGGTTATTAATGAGTACATTCCTGGAGAGAATTAATGACGATGTGACAAACTGTAGCGTCGTCTATGCCAAATAAGCACTTAATAATGCTGTAGATATGTATTTGCAGATAGAAATCCAAAGCGAAACGGAAATTAAAAGTCTTGATCTTCAGAAAGTATTTTTTTAATGATAACTGATGTAAATATTGGGGTTTCGGGACCGTTAACTAATAAAAGTGGAGGTGATAATGTTTCATTGCTCACACCATTTACATTAGGACATAATATTCTTTGATCTGGGCAAATTCAACTTCCAACTCTGAAAAAATTGAGCGAGTCTTTGTAATAAAAGTACCCCCTGCTTTCTCTCTCTTGTTGGTTTTCTTTTCTTTTTTATTTTTGAAATTCGTTTGATAATAATACACTTCAACAGTTTCTCTCAGCAGATCGCACTATGCAAAAACTTTGAGTAAATAAAAAATTGGCGAGATTAAAGATGGCATTTTGCCCAGTTGCCACACAAAATACTGGTCTCAGTTTAAATCCGACATACATTTTCGATGAGATCAATATCTGAAGAAGTCATAGATAATGATTGAAAGATCCTTGATATATGTCATAAAGTTCTCTGTCACGTGACTATATATATAGACCCATCTATGAACAGCATTGGGGAAATGGAAGGTTCTCTTGGCAGCTATCGTAGGTTATTATCAATTACAACCATGACTATGACCACCAAGATTCTTTCAGCCTCTTGCAATGAGGAAAGCTCCCCGATAATTAGATCCAAATTAGACAAATTGGTAGAGCAGGTAAGGAAATATTGATAACTCAACTCATATATAGTCGATGGAAACACTAACATCTTTGACTTAGGAGGTGTCTCTCGTGGCAACCAAAGGTAGTAATAGCACAAGATCCCTTATTGTGAGTATTTAAATTATTATTTTGTTTTTTTTGTTTTTTTTGTTTTTGTTTTTGGATTGCCTTTGTCCTTGCTGAGATCGAATGAATTATTATTAACCTTTGGACAGGAGAGCATACTACAAGCGTTGAAGAAAACCTCATCTCTACATAAGTTTATCGTGAATGTTAGTGCTATCACTTACAGTACTTCAGAAACAGAGCTTAGTATAAAAAGTTCTATTGGATCGGTATGGGAAAGCAAGAAAGATGGATACATAAATTATAAAATCTCTGATAATGACACAACAGAGTATTTGATTTCCATAATCTGGATTCATATTGATGGTTAGAAAATCAATCACCTACATATTCCTAATTATAACAAATACTTTTTGTTTATTTGAATTTATGAATATAAAATATGAAATTAAATATATCAAAAAAAAATAGTTTCACAGTATCAACAAGATGCGTCGTAATAAGTTCACCAAATGACCAAATTACGATAATTTCAACTCCCACAATAAAATCAATGACTAATTTCATTTGGGTCAATGTGAATAACTTTATCAGTGTTCAAGATTCTCAAAGGATCCAACGCCATCTTCAATTTTCTCATCAAACTAACTGTATCTTCACCGACTTCCTCGATTAAGAATTCACGCTTACCGTATCCAACCCCATGTTCCCCAGTACAAGTTCCATCATTATCCAATGCTCTTTTGACCATTCTATCAACCAATGTCTCTGCAATGTGTCTGTTTTTCTCTGTATAAAGCAAGAAGGCATGGAAATTACCATCACCGACATGACCCACCAAGGTGGCCAACAATCCCGATTTATTCATATCATCCTTTGTTTCTGTCAAAACTTTGGCCAATTTAGAAACTGGCACTGCAACATCAGTGGTCCAAACTTGGGCATCTTTATCGATGCTTTTACCATAGTCAATAGTGGACCAAAGTGCAACCTTTCGGGCTTGCCATAGCTCGTATTTTTCCTCTTCATCTTTCGCAAATTCAAAGGAAACACTATGATTCTTTTTGGCCAATGATTCCACTCTAGAAATCATTTCTTTCACTCCGTTCTCAGTACCTCCCAATTTGAAAAATAAAGTTGGTTTTTCTTTCCACTCTTTAGAAGTTTGCCCACCTTTATTAATGTATTTCATCATTTTATCATCCAATAATTCAACGGCATTGACTTGGATTCCTGCACTGGTGATATCCTCCACCGTATTAGCAGCATCCTCAATGGTATCATAACTAACCACGGCAATGGATTCGTGCTCTGGCTTGACATGTAATTTCAATGTAGCTTCGGTCACAATCCCTAAAGTTCCTTCAGATCCAATAAATAAGTTTGTCAAATTATACCCGGCAGAAGACTTTTTTGGTCTTTTTCTGGTTTTGATAATTGTCCCATCAGCTAACACTACCGTTAAACTCAAAACGTTATCCTTCATTGTACCATATCTCAGAGCATTGGTACCAGAACATGAGTTGGCAATCATCCCACCAATCTGAGCAGATGGTCCAGGATCAGGACCAAACATCAAATTTTGGTCAGCCAAGTATTCTCCCAAATCTTCCCATGGCACACCTGGTTGCACTACCGCGTCTAGATCTTGTTTATGAACTGCCAAAATGTTATTCATATTGCTCACATCGATGGAAATCCCTCCTCTGGTTGGAATGAAGTGCCCTTCTAAAGAAGTTCCTCCAGAGAATGGGATAACTGGGATCCTGTATTTGAAGCAAATCTTCATTATCTGTGAAACTTGCTCCGTGGAGTTTGGGTAAACCACAGCAAATGGTTTTTGGTCCGGGGTAGCATGATGGGAATTCCAGTAAGTGTCGGAATGGTCTTTTCTAACTTGATCAGCTTTGGTGACGAAATTTTCACCAAGGACAGCGGTAATTTCATCAAAAGCTTTTTGATAATCTTGTGGGGACCCATAAGTCGGGGATTCCAAGACATTGAGAGGGGTAATAGAGGTCAACGGAAATAAATCATCTGGGGGAGACTTTGTGAATTGAGATTGTTTGTAAGATTGACCAAGGTATAAACCACCGCTAAACAACACAACAGATGAGAGGGCAAAGATAGACAATGGAAGGCCGTTTGATCTGGAGAAGGAGGAAGAAGAAGAAGAAGAATTATATCTGATACTTCTTTTAATGGAGCCACTGAGCGATCTGATTCCCGATCGTAACATAGGGTTTTTCGCAATCATCTTCAACTAGCTAAATTCAAGGCAACAGTCAGGAACAATGTAACAAAGGCACAATTGTCTCTATTGGATAGCGGGGAAGCTGCGACTGTTCTCTGGATAAATATTGCTCGAAGTGCTCAGATGATGAATTTGTTGTATATAGACCCCGGGAATAAGACTCACACGCAATTTTGGGGGGCATGGCCGTGCCGGAGTCCCCGTGGCGGTTCTCTCATGCATCATAGCGGTGTTTCAAGACCGCCCGACATCAACCCTCTATATTTAGACCTAGTGGAAAAAAAGAAGGGGAGTCTTTGAGAAGTGATATTCTACGAATCATATTCCCTTGTTAGGGGGAAATGAATTTAAGGGGACTATAAGAAAGCTGACCTGTGACACAAAAATGTTCTTTCTTTCTTGACGGTTGTAATTACCGAGCTTCATTATGAAAAAAGTGTCAGATACTAATGTTGGTGGCATCAGTACCAAATTATATTACATACGGCAAAACATTAAGAGAAAGCGTAACAATAGAAACCCAGGCAATTTTTTGAATGAAAAACATCATCCAATTATTCATGGAGAAGCAAAAGTGTATCCATACTTGACTTTCAAGGATAAATTGACACAAGTTTGGATTAATCAATACACATTGTTATTGTTATTAATCTGTGTTAAGATCTGTTTATTCAGTTTCTCTTTAAAGTCTTCTTTATCAGCCTCTGAGTCATCAACCACAACCACTTGCAATTTAATAGACAAGTATGCCTCAAACATCATTTCTGTTCCGCATTATACTGCCAAAACAGCCAATGCGTTGATTTATAAAGGGGTCCAAGAAACTAATTATGCATTGGTTGAAGGACTAAAGCTTTTGGTCACCGGTGTTGAAGAAATTCTCATTTTTTACATTGAAGTAATGCTTGGAACTTATGTTTGTTTATTGACGGCTGCCATCGATAGTACGGTTGATATCGCCACTAATACCACCGAATCTATTATCGATCTGGTCAACAATACTTTGATTAGTGTCACTAACGAGATAGATGATGGTCTAAACGATTTGTCGAAGGTTATCAATAATGTTGAAAGTCTTGGAGAGAGCTTTGTTAATTTATTCAGTGGGAATGATAATAATCAAAACCCTCTAAAAACAGTCAATTTGACGGTTGCATCCTTAAGAAATATATCAATCCCCTCATCAATCAATACTGATTTAGAGAAACTTGCCAAAAATACTCCTAATTTTGATACAGTGGAGAGTAAAACTACCCAATTTCTACGTGACCTGTTCGATTTTCTTTATGGTAAACTTATAGATAATAACACTGAATTTATTGGGGAAGCCGATAGCTTGTCGGTTCCCGAACTCAAATCCGCACAGATTTGCCCCAGTCAACTAACAATCCACAATATTTTTTTTGATGCAGGCAACACTCTTGAAACAGTATTGAAGGTAATTTTGGTTGTTTTAGTGATCATCAGTATTATTATTATGGTCCCTTTATCTTACCTTGAATATCGCAAATGGAGAAAGGTTGAAGCAATGACTTGTGAAATTAGTGACTTACAAAATTCCCTTAATCTGAAACCACGAATCTATGACGTTATAGATAAATCTGCTAACAGAATCCAGTACTTGGTATCACAGGCATTTACAAAGCTCATTAAGTCACCAAATCAAAATCAAAGAAATGCCATTCGTTGGATGACAACCTACTCTTTGACCCCATCGTCGTTATTGCTACTTGGGATTGCCATGGCAGGCATTTTGGCTGTTATATTACAGCATTTAATTCTTTTTTTTGTTTTCAAATGCCTCAAGAAAGGATTGTCAGAATTTAACAAAGAGTCGACTGATCTTCAATCAGTGCTTAAAACTGCGGTATCGGATTGGACCAACTCCACCAACACTTACCTTTCCAGCACCGAAAGCTCTATCAATGATGGGCTTTTAGGAATGGTTTATAATGCCACCGAAACTGTCAATACCACAATCTCGGAGTTCTATGATGATGTGAATGACGAAATCACCAAAATTTTTAATAATACTCTATTTGAGGACCCGGTGCGGTCAATAGTAAAGTGTGTTATTGGTAATAAGATTGAGGCCGTGGAAAAAGGATTAACATGGGTCCATAATCATGCTCTAGTGACTTTGCCTAGGGTGGAAGAGTCATATCTTCTGAATTCCTCCAACTCCAACAGTACTGATAATGAAATGTTTGATAAAGTGAAAGGGTTTTTGAAGGATACCGTCGCCACCATCGTTGCCGAGTACAAGAAATCTATAATGATAGAACTAATTATCTCATTAGTGTTACTCGGGGTCTTTTTATTGCAAATTTTGATCAGCTGGGGGATATTATGGTTGAAGAAGAAAAATTTTTTAGATAATAGTGATGGGTTCGGCGATGATTCAGACCGAAAAACCTGTCAGACTCAACAATGTGCTGCTTCGCCAATAATATCTGGCGAATCAAACCCGTTTGATGATAGATTCAGATTAGCCGAGCACCGATCTGAAAAAACATTATATTCTAGTTCCGGTTCTTTTTGGAAAGGACTGCTTGATAATTTTGATACAGAGTCTTCGGGGTACAATCGAAGCCCGACCAAAACGGATGCTTCAGAATATGAATTTGAAATCATTAAGCCGCCTCCTGTAAAATATAGAAAGGTCGATCATAAGAACCCGTTCAATAAATTATGATCAATTATTATTATTTTTTCAGCTTTTTATCGTTATTCATTACTTTCCATATTTATAGTTTTTTTTACTTTTTTATTAAATTGCTTTTTTTATATATCTTTGACGATTATCAATCATGAATACATTTACGGTGAATCAAAGTGTAAAGGTATCACGAATTATTAATTTAAATGGCCAAAATTTCAAAGCTAAAAAATTCTATAGAAACAAAACAAAGCAGTAAAAACAAAACAAAAAGGTAAAATAACTTAAAAAGACGAACTGAATATTAAAAGTATTCCTATAATAAAACAATGTTAAGAATGAAAGTAAATGAAAAAAAAAAAAAAAAAAAATTAAAACAAAATGGTCAATTATAAAGTAAAATGAAATGACAACATAATATGGCAGACGGAGTTGATGATCAAATAATGGAGTTGAGGTCTCAAGAAAACATTATAAGGCACTGCATGATGAATGACTACTCGATTAGTAAATCAGTTTCCAAAGCTTGTTGCAAATCAATGATGAAATCTTCTTTGTTTTCAACAACTGGCTCTAGATGAACTTCTGACTCCTGAGAGATACAATCTTTCAGGACCTCATCATCTAAATCTTCATTTTCTGCGACTATGGCAGTAGCAGAATCATCTATGGTTTGAATTTCCCCATCTTTTCGAGTGGATGCATCAAAAATATTACCAAGTGCTGAAGCATTCAAAAACTTTGAAAGCATCAAGCCCCATTGTTTCTTTTCAGCATTTATATTATTTTCAGTTTGTGGATAATCACCGGTTGCAACTGAGGAAATGTTCCTACTCAGAACACTTTGAAGGTTACTAGAACTACTATCAGATTCATTGAGGTCTTCCGGGATTGTTGGGGTTGTTGGGGTAGCAGCTGATTGAAATTGTTTAGAAATTTGAAGATTATAGAGGTTTTTGGATAAAGAATTGATGAAATCATACTTGCTGTAGAAGAACTTAGAATCAAATGAGCCAAATGATTGCTTTCTCAGATTTTCAATTTCAATTAGTTTCGCCAACTTTCCTTCATTTTCTTGTTGTCGATTCATCATATCCAAAAGTAACGCTTGTGAAGTTTTACTAACATCACCAGTACTGTGAAAAACGTTTGAATGCAATATAGGGGTAACTTCCACAGACATTGAATGTCTTCTCTTGATTGGCAGGCTTTCCTCAATGTCACTAACAGTATCAGTGGCCGAAATTTTCGAAAGCCAATCAAATGTTTGCTTTTGATTCTCATATTGTGAGCTCTTGTTGTGAATCTTGATATTAGAAACCTTTGTTATTTGGGTAGTTGGTTGATCTGAACTAGGGAAATGAAAATCGAAATTTACTTCATTTGGATCGTTGGATTCAGAGGAGTGAAGACGGATCTTGAGACCCTGGCATGATTTGAAATGTTTCAAACTCTTAGATTTTGTACTCCTAACCTCAAGTTGCTTTTTGGCATTACCACAGGTTTCAAACAAATCGCCTTGATATTTGGAAGAAGAAATTAGGTCCTTGAATGAAGGAACTGACACTGATTTTCGTTTCTTGTGCTTGACCACAGTTGAATTAATATCCTGCAATGAACTATCCTCATTTTCAGTACCAGTGCTCTTATCATTGGCAAAAAGATTTTGGAATCCCTCGGTATTTGTTTCATTGAAATCAATATTCGGAATATCAGTATCTTCAGTCATTGGTATAGGTGCCTCATTAAAATTGCCACACAAGGTGTTTGTCGAGTATCTTTTCCTCTTACTTGAGCATCTTAAAGGCCTGAGGTTTGTTGTTTCATCGAACAATGATGTTGCCGTGGTTGATATTGACGAGCTTGCGATATGATTGTTATTATTGTTAACATTAGTATTGTATTGCTTTCTCTGGGGTCTTTCGTGAAAGAATGATTCAGCCTGATTTTGTACCGGGGTTCTGTAACCGGCGGCATCAGGAACGTAGTTTATAGATCCAATTCTATCCAACATAGGGGAAGCTGTTAAATAATCAGGGGCTAGTGATGTTGGCCCACTGAACTGAACAAAACGTCTCTTCAAGTACGCATATTCATGATATAAGTTATCCAAAGTTGTTTCGGTGGTTTTCAAATCTAGGACTTCATCCTTCAAGTCATTGACACTAGGCACCCGTTTATGGGTTCCCATCCCTCTGTATCGAGCATGAGATTCCAATGCATCGATTTGTGCCTCAAAGAATTGGGCCCTCACGGTGAGGCCTTCCAACTTGGACAAATATTCTTGCGCGCAAGCAGCATCATAATTAAGTTGGTTGACTTTGCTATCGTAGTCGATAATTTCGCTATTGAGGTTCATAAGATCCCTTGATAATATTGAGTTAGTTAGCAAAGCTGATGAAAGGTTGTTGGAACACTTATTTAGACGATGGTTAATTAAGTCCAATCTTTCGGAGAACTTGTCATCGTCCTGTAGATCATCCATATTTTTTCTCTTTTATTATTTTTCTGTTTATTGCTTCTCTTTGAATAGGATCAGGATTTTATTATTGAGTGGCTAATTATCATGGAAAGTGGGATATGGTATAAGATCAAAGGTCAAGGTTGTTTGATGATATATCATCAAACAAGGATCAGACTAAGTTTGCGCAAATTAAAAAGGGCGTATAGTTTGAGGGGCTGACGACAGACGATCTGGTGATCCTGGGAGTATAAGATAATAAATTAACTGTAAAATGAGGTTTTAAAGTGATTCAGCAAATAAACAGTATACTAAATTACAGATCAGAGGGAAAGAAAAGAAAAAAAAGTAGAATCCATGGCTTATTATTTTTGGCATATACCGCACGCAACCTAAACGGGACAAGAGAATAAAAAAAAAAAATAGGATGGGATGGGCACATAACTACTTTAGGGCGATGCGCGACGCACCACGCTGCACGCCATGAACATGAGTTGTACACAAATCATGAAAATTTTTAAAAATTATTCCAGACGAAGCCAATTAAAACAGTTGTGTATTTACCAAAACAGGAATTACTAGGAATTTTTTGCTAGAATTTTTTTCAGCAAAAGACTTTAAAGTGAAAAAAAATAAAGATAGAGACATAAGTGTAAGTAAGATTTATAACCATGCTAATAAAGTAATCCAAGATGAAAAATAGGGGAAACTAATACAACAGGGTATTATATTATGCAAAATATGGGACAAGTAAGCAGACGAAAAGAAAAGAATTTAAACAAAAACAAATATAAAACAACGAGCAATTTAATACCTTGGTAATGGCGGTGGTCTTTTCCAGTAGTACTGTTTGTGAGTCTTTCTACAACTACGCAAACTACTTCCACCTTTTAAGGAATTGACCAATTGTACCCTGTCATCATCATCATCTTTCTCAATGTCATAGTAGTACTCTTCATCTAATGGCTTACCTGCAGCATCCTTACCCTTTCTATAAATAACCCCGACGCATTTCACGTCAGATAACACAAGTCTGACAGTTTTTTTCCCTAAAAATTCCACTTTTTTACTAATACCTCTCAATTGAGTCAAAGGAGTAGATGCAATTCTAGAAAATGCCAAATGATTGATAAGCACTTTCTTAATATCTTTCAAATCAGAAACTTCAGCTAAAAGTTGCTGCTTCTTAGCTTCATCACTATTCACAGCATCGATAAGGGTTTTTGGATCTTGATAATCGTAATGAATTTTTTGTTTCTTTGTATCCTTCTCCTCACTATCCTTTTGCTTGTGTGGATTATGAGGACGAGGTCTTTTCTTCAGTTGTAATTTGTTATCGTTCTCCTTGTCTTTATTCTCTATTAACTTCTCTTCCTGTATTCTCTCGTATTTTTGTTCATGTTTATCCTCCTCTTCGTTGACCTTCATCATTTGTTTGATCTTATCCAAAGATACTGTTGAGCGCGATGAATTCAATTTTGAGTGTGATGAGAATTTTAAAGGTGACGCTAACTGATTAGATGAGTTATTGTTGAATATTCCCAGCTTTGGCTTCTTCGATTGAATGCCATCGTTCAAAATAGGCTTCTTAGGCAAAGAGTCTTCTGATGATTTAAGGACTAGTGATGATTCTGGCACCTTCATATCGCTTGAGGTGCTCATATTCTTTTGATCGTTTTCTGATCTTGCAGAAACAACATCATGGGCCTGCAACTTGACAGGAGGTTTCTTCTCTGCTGATTGAGGAATTGAGCCCATAATTTTCTCCACTCTATCAATTTGGGTAGCTGGGTTCAAAGATGGTTCTTTGGAGTCAACAACATCGCCAACTTTATATAATATCACATTACCAGTAAGAGCCTTGAATTTGTGGATATCTTCTTCATCAGTCATATCAGGATCGTGTTCATCACCGACCTCGATGATACATGAAGCACCTCTGATATCCATAACAACGCTACTCTTTGGGACTCTCAAAGCTTCGTTACTCAAAATCATAATTCTCACACCTCCATCAGGGTACACGAGACTCCGAGGAAATTTGGTCAAGCCTAGCGCGACTAATTCCTCATAACGCTTGTCTTGTAATTTTCTGTATTGAGCGGTATCTTTTGGAATTAACTCGTATCTGTCATCACCCCCAAGGCGCTTAACTGTGGCCCCATATGGGATGTAAACTTCCATAGAGTTCACGCCAAAACATTCAAACACAAGAACATTATCGTGTCTGTCAAAGTGTACTGACGCGTGCTTCCGTGACGCCAAATTTAACGTATCAGACACCACAACATCGCACATCTTGGATCTCCCAAAAGTAACCTCTTGGCCATCATAAGGGATCTTGATCTTCTTTATTTTCTTTTTGGAGGAAATACGGGTCTTCTTTAACTTTTTGGCTTCATCTGCGACGTCAACGTACTCATCATCTTCAATAGTATGGTATGACGCGTCCAACGGCTGAGTGAACTGAACCATTCTTGGACCGCTTTCTTCGAGTTTGTTTTGAAATTCTTTCTCTTGCTGAAGATCAAGCGCTTTTTGTTCTTCCTCACCCTCGTCGTCTTCATCATCCTCCGAACTATCGACGCGTAAGTTATCTTCATGAATCGGTGAACTACTTCCTAAACCTCCAATGGAACTACTTGGATTCGGAGTAGGGTATCCATCAAAGTCATCTTCTTTAGCGAACTGAACAGATTTATTATATAATTTGGATTTGATATTGAAAGTGTTTTGAGGTTTGGTGGAAGACGCGTCATCTGCAATGAAGATGTTGTCAGACTCGAAATCTGAATGTTCTTCATAATACAATGGAGACGATGGAGGGAAAGCTGCTTGTGACATATTGAAATAGCTAAGCCAATATCAGTTCTTTCTAGCTTCTATTTGTAATAAATGTTAGTATTTCGCGTCTTTATGTAGAGAGCCGATTAGTAACCCATGAGATACAACGTACCAAAAGAGACGCGACTTAGCAGAAAGATTTCAAAGAATATAGAAACTATTGAAGTGTTCACGATTCTTTAGTATCTTATACCGGAAATTTCCAATATTCTATACTTTGACCGAAATGATAAAGAGAAAGGGAGAGGGAGAAAAGAGAGCAAAAAAAAAAAAAAAAAAAAAATTATGTTGAGGAAAAAGATTGATGGTATAACCAAACGCGCGTAAAAAATTATGTGTGAAATCCTACCCGGTTGCGACTTTGTGAAAACGCGTTAGTAAACAAAAAGTAAACAAACTATTTCGCGGTCCTACAGCACAAGAAAAAAAAAAAAAAAAAAAAAAAAGTTTTCTTTCATTAGTTAAAATTTCCCGAAATTTAATTGATTAAATTCATACTATATCACTCTCTGGCTCCTCGGCAATAAAGGCGTAATACAAATTATCGGCTTCGTCGGGAGTAATAATACATTCAAGAATATCTCTTGATAACCCAATAATCCCATCACTAAACCCATATTCTACACCATTAGTAAACGCGCTCTCCTCTTGAACTATTTGTTCTTTATTGTCATCAGCGATACTTCTCAATGAATTTAATTGTCTGGCCTTTTGTTCACAAAACTCATTAAAAAGAAACCCATCGTACTTGGAATTTAATCTTGCCTCACTCAAAATTTCTAGAGCTGATTCTGGGGCCAAAATAGAACTAAATGCGATTCTTGTCAATATTACCAGCATTTGTCTTTTCACATTAGTATTAACGATCCCATTTAGATTCCTGGAGTTTATCAGAGTATCATCTTCATTCACGTCATTATCATTCAGGAAAAATGGTGCCAACAATAAAATTATTGATGAAATCAAATCGACTCTTGAAGCCATCATCTCAGATCTTGGGTTTCTCATGATTAAATCCTGTTGATATCTCATTTCATCTGTAAAATTTCTTACAAACTCGCCACTATACATGTAGGTCACTTTGTTCACACCATCAACCGTCAAGTAATTTTCAAAGCAGCTGATTAACAGCGATTTCAAGTAAAAGATATGCTTTTCGTGAGCTTTCTTATGATTTAAGTCAACTTCTTCAATGGTGCTTTCACTTTCCAAACTTAATGGGAATGCCGCATAAACCAAATTTTTTGGCGACTTAGAACAAGACGCGAGAATATTAGACTCCGGAATAATCTCACTAAGTAGCCTAGTTTTTGAATTATTGCCTAGAGACCGATTCAAGCCAGATATAAACAATTGAGGTCGCGGTTCAATCTCATGAGAAAGCAATGATAAAATTAATTTTATAAGCTCTTTGTCACAAAATTCTTTGGAGTAATCATACGATTTATCAAATGAAGATAAGTTCACTGCAAAATTATCAGTCACTGAGGCGCAAAGAGACTCAATCATGTTAACAGCGCAATTAATTGGGCAAGATGAAGATAAGCAAGATCTGATGAAATTCACTGGCACGATATCCATCCAAATTTCCTTGACATAATCTGAGTCTTCGTAATAAGAGGCTACTTTACATGATGCTTCAAAGATATCCAGCGAGAATATTAAAATAAATGCCCGAATTACCACTATCTGATGATTTTCTATCACTCTGGTTGGCAAATAGTTTTCTGTTTGAGTTGCTATTGGTTTGGTATTGGCAAAATCGTGTGTATCAATAGTGGAATCTAGCAACGTTAAATAATTAAGCGCAAGCTCAGCAGAAAACTTTAAAACCACCTTTAAAATATCTTTTGAAGCCGTCGAGCTTCTAAACGTTACTGAATTATGTATCAAAGCTAACAAGAACGGAACTGCAAGAAGTTCATCGTTATTAATAAGAGTATTGCAAAAGTTCACCAAAATTTCTAAGAATTCTGATATCAAATCCAGAATTTTTATTTCGTTGTTAGTGTTAACCAAAAACTCCATAATGCAAGAAGCTATGGAATCGGAGAATTTTTTCACTTTGAAACTTCCGTAATTGTAATCAAAAGTAATACAAAGTTTTGCTAAGATGTCAAAAGTTTTTCTTGAGCTTCCAAAAATACAATGACTCCAAATACTCTCTATGAACAAGGATTTGTAATTTGGTTGTCGACGCTTAGGAACAATAGAAGTTAATTTTCTCTTGTCTTGATCCAATGATTGTTTTTGCTTCTCAACAGGTACCATTTCCACATCTTCGTCAATTGGTGCCTCTCCACCATTGGGTTTATTCTTCAATTGAGCTTTGGCAGATGTAAATGAAGGTTTTAGGTTCTCGGTATTGTCAAGTCCTGTTTTCCTTCTTTTATTGGCGGCAGGATCTTTATGCAAATAGGGATTTTTCAATTCAGCAATATAGAAATGCTTTTCTTCCTCTAATTTGCTTACTTGATGCTGTAAGTCATTGATTTTCTGTTCTTTATCTTTACTGTATTCGGCATGTGTCTTAACAGCATTTCTAATCTGTTGGGTTTTATTTTTTTCAACTTCTTCCAATCTTGCCCTAAGAATTGCGATTTCGCCAACCGCTTGCAAATATTTCGAATTCAAGTTTACTAAATCAGTCTTCACAATATCAGAATTTGGAGGATTGTTTGGGTTCGCCGGTTGATCTTTCGAATCATTATCATTTTGAGAGCTTTTGGCATTGTTTTTAGGCGCATTATCCTGTTGAGTATCCAATATTGTGAAATTTTGCCTTTGAGTCGCCTGGGCAAGAGTTGGTATTTGTGTCCAATCTCTGGGCTTCTCTGTCAATGCAATGAGCTCAGCTTCGTCTTCATCATCAAAAGAGTCCTCGAAACTATTGTCTAAGTCCATAGCTTACTCATCTTTTTGCTGGATTATAGTATTTGATTGTTCCAGTTGTATGATGAAGAAGACGATGATACGCATTTTTTTTTTTTGTTTGTTTGATTGTTTGTTTATAGTACCGCCTGCCTGGATCATTCTTGCATATCGGATAGAAACTTATTGAAAGGCTTTTCTTTCTCGTAAACCAGTTCAAGTAATTGTCCCCAGAGTAAAGATTTCCCTTAGTATGCCTCATGCCGCTATATTTTCTGTTCCAAGTACGTAGTTTACTCTGTCAAATCACTTCACCCGTACCATTTGTGAATTAGCACCATTCTGGATCTGCATTTTGTTCCCACACTCCAGTCAAGGAATTCAAGGCAACATTTTTGACTCAAAGTGGAAATTTGTGAGGCAATACCCACAAAACAGTGCTCTGATGAGGAAATGAGGTCTTTCCATATATAGTATTTCTTGAACTTTTATAAAAATGACGTGCCGCGTTATCTGTGTGATCGTTATATAATATAAATACGCAGGCTTTCTCTCAATTTTATGGAATGAATATTGTTCTAATTTGAAATATCATCATTATCATTTCTACTTCTATATCAGCCCCTGATCTACCAACCGATTATCTTAATATTTTTGCTTCTTTGCCAACAAATCTATTTACCACACAAACTTTTATCAAAAATGCAATTCTCCGCCGTTATCTCTATCGCTTTGGCCCTTACTGTTTCCACTGTCAGCGCAGCTCCAATTCCAGTAAATATTCAAGAATACCTCATTGAAAAGAGAGATGCTGGTGACCACGTTGCTATCAATGATGGTGTCAACTCCCAATAGACAATATATTGTGAGATACAGCACCAACAACAAAATTCCTTTCTCTTCTATTCTTCTCCGGCGAGAGCTTACAGTCATTCCTTCTCATAACATTCGGTAGCTGTCATTTTGTTTTATTTTTTTTTTCTTTTTGCTTCAATCTTGATCTCTAGATCTGTGTATTATAATTATTCTTGCTTTTCCTTTCATAAGCATAACAACCCTACTTGCATTCTTTGCATTGTTTTCAATTCTTTGATTTATCTTAATGTTCTATAGTTCTATTTTTTATGTTCTATGTCTAGCTGGTCTAAACAGAAATAAATTCTTAAAAGTTATTTTTTTCACTAATAGCTCAATAGTTGTGTAGGCGATGATTATATTTGGTCTATTACCAATTCCTTGAATTCAAAGTTTTCTTTATTACTGTATTGAATTGTTTCAAAATAAAGATCTCCTGAAGATATAAAAAGAATCTTGTCTCATTGAAAATACAATAATCATTATTTGGAATATATCAAATGAAACGCGCAGATATCCTTCTCTCTGACTCCCTGTTTTAGGAGATCTTTCCCATTCAAGGAAATTTCCTCGAACGCTACTGAACCATGGTTACCATGCACTTTGGATCCATAAATGCCATTTTGCTATTATTAGTAAAAAAAGAAATCATGGCAGTACTTTAAGGGAGAAGAGTGCCGGATTATTTAGGATAATTGGCAAAATAGGGATCCTCAAAAGTTCACCGTACCGCAATCCAGTAGCGAATCCCACGGATATATCAAACATGCGTATGCACCAGCAGAATTGGAATGAATGGCGCCAAAATATGACATTACTATCGTACTATTTTTAGGAAAAGGCACCATTTGAATGCCGAAGAATTCATTAAATGATATTTCAAGCAAAATTTTGTAGAAATTGATATATAAGGGATGGCAGAACCCCTACTTTTCCAAATCATTTTAGGTTACTCTTTTATTATCATCATCATTAACACTAAAACACAATAATCAGCTCCTGATTCCACAAACACTTTCTAAAGCTACTTAAATTTTCAAAACCTCATCTATAATGCAATTCTCTACTATCATTTCTGCCGTCGTTGTCGCCTTGGTTGCTTCTGTTTCTGCTGCTCCAATTCCAGTCAATGTTCAAGAACTTCTTATCCAAAGAAGGGATATTGAAGCTCACCTCTAATTCTCATCGGAAATTTACAAAGATTGAAAAGGAAAATAATTGCCTTTTTCACATCAATTCATTAATTTTTTCTTTTCTTCTATGTCAAAATGATTTGACATATATCAGACGCTCCATGCTTCAGTGTATCATATTATTTGTATTATTACTGCTTCTATTATCACTCTTATTATAAATCTTTCTCGTTCATTTCTTCTTTAGCTTTATTTATCATTATTTATTTATTTTTCTCTGGAATTTACTTTTTACTCGCTTTGATTCTAATTTGTTGGCTAGCTGGTTCTATCCTCAATATATTGTTTCAGACATTGTTTCATATTACCAAAAACGGCAATTGCGTAAATATTCTTTCTGTTGATACAACCGAATATTATTACAACCATTAATATTACATTAATTTATACCATCACCAAAAATGTCTCCATGATATTCATGAGCTTTATCCTGTTCTACTGTCGATTATTATGGAAGCTCACCAACTTTTTTGCTTTGATAGCGATTTCCGTGCTATTTGATTGTTTCCGCATAATACGCATGTCAAGAAGAAAACAATATACATCGAAACTTTTACACCATAAAATATGTAAATCTATTTTCTAAAATCTATAATTTTTTCGATAATGATCAACATCTGATGAAGTAGAACACCATGTGTCTGCCGTTCTGTTGTAGGTATTCTGTTGTTTTAGGGCAACAGCTTTCATGTGCTTAGTGAAGGGAAAAAGGCACTTTCTGTTACGTTACCAGCACCAAGTACCAAACCAAATGTACGATAATGCCGAACTTTTTTTTGATTCTCCTTCTACATAGTGGAGTTATTTTAGGAAAAATTCGGCATGGGAGAAATGCTGGCTGTGTTTTATCCTTGTATCTTTAAAACAGTAGCATATTATGGGAATGTTTTAAATGTTTGCCATGATGTACATTTTCTGACACACCCACATCCGCTATATAAAACCCTGGTGGGATCCTATTTTTCACATTCACATCAGCCACTTATAATATTATTATCATCACAACCATCTTCAATACAAAAATCAATACAATAGTTCTATAACTATCCTCTTCACAAGTTTCTAAATTAATTACACAATCAAAAATGCAATTCTCTACTGTTATCTCCACTGTTGTTGTCGCCTTGGCTGCTTCTGTTTCTGCTGCCCCAATCCCAATCAATGTTCAAGAAATCATCTTTGAAAGAAGAGCTTCTTACGGTGAACTTTAATCATCATAATGACATTCAAAGCTTCATTTTATCCTGGCTTAATAGTTGGCCCAAAAAAATTCCAACTTTCTCTCCGTTCATCACCCTCTTTATTCACTTCTACAAGTTCTTATCAAAACACCCCCACACTTTGCAAGCTAGATTTTTTCCAAATGTTTTCCAATTAGTTTTTTCATTTCCAAATTCTTAGACAGTTGTTCGTCTGTGTATCATATTTTCTACTGCTCTTTTCATTGCCTCTATATTTCTTCTTCTTCTTCTTTTTATTCCGCTGAGTTTTTAGTAGCTGGTTCTACTGCTTCAATACAAACTTTCTTCTTTATAAGTTCATTTGATCTATTATTGTAACATCACAAACATAATTCAAGATTTTGGATATTCCTAATCATCCTACATTCTCAGCACACCTTAATACAATACAATATATCATAACATTCCCTAGAAAAAAATATAGATCTTTCAACACATTGTACGCGCCATTCGAATAATAAAAGTAAACAAAATTGGATATGAAACCATCCCCCTAGCCTCACCATCCAGTTAAAGGTACAGAACCAAACTAAACGCCCAAAAGAACCGCCCCATAATACACAAGGGGCTCAAAGAATTGAAAAACGGCAACATCAAAGGCCTCAGCTGACAATGATGTGATGTTGAAAACAAACCAAACTTATAAATATTGACTAGATAAATCAAAAATTATAAATGCAACTCAGGTGAAAAACTGGCAATCTCAAAGCATCCCTTCTGAGGATTGCATTTCATGAGCAGTATTAATAACATCGCGGGGTTTGGTGATCATATCTTCAACCTCGATTTGTCTCAAAACCTCGGTATCATGTATCTCTCTCAACATTGAGAGCTCATCATCGCCATTAATAGAAGTCACGGAAATGATGGATGAGCTTCTACGGTGTCCAGTACCAGCACTTGGTGGATACTTTGATGCTTCATCGAACACATTGGCGCAGTCGCACCACATTTCTTTTGGGGTAGAGCCCATTGCAAGCTTGGTGTGCTCTTCACACTCGGCACCGCAAGACACCCAACTTTTCTTGTCTATTTATTTGAAACAGTCAGTATTATTCCCCGTTATTACCATTACCTTCTTCCTCATAGTCCTCGTCTTCCACTCCCCCTCATTCCTCACCAACATTCTCCGTGGATCTACTCACTGCAAAAATAGCACACAGAACCTTCACACATTGTAGATAATAATTTAAGTATGAGTTAGGTTAGATGGTAGAATAAAAATAGTATAATGACAATTGTCAGTGATGAATAGCAAATAATAATAATAAGGGATTAGTGGGAGCAAACCACCAACTTTATACTGCAGTTTCACTTCCAAATAAGTAAAAAATAAATAGAGTAGCTACCCCAAGAAAAATACCCACACATCCCGGGTATTAGTGAGGTCACTCCACAGTAATATTTTTGTAATTTATTTATTCGTTTATTGTTCCTGGGCCAGAGTTAAAGTTACTTGATTGCTGCTGCTGCTGTGAGAGATAAGCATTAGGTGTGGGGTGCGTCAAAAACGATGATCGCAAGTGTTCCTTATTGATCATTCGTCCGATTTTTTCTTTTTCTTTTTCTTTTTCTTTTTCTTTTTCTTTTTCTTTTTCTTTTTGTTTTTTTTTTCTTTTGTTGACTCGTTTCACAAGTGCAAATCAAATCAATTTTTATCATATATTAATAATATCTAATGATTGAGTATATGCTTGTACACGTAACATATGGCTCACTGAGAAATTGTTGCCTGCGTAAATCACCCCACATTTCGTCGATCTTTCCCCGGATTTTGAGATAACGAAAAAAGAAATGTTTTATTCGAAGAGCTACGTGTGAACAAATTTAAAAATAATAAAGTATTAATGTTGAATAAAGGATAAAATATAAGTAAAAATAATATAATATTGAAATATAATATTCAAGTAATAATATAGTATTAGAGTATTAGAAACTTTCTAGAGGACCAACAAAAAAAAAAAAAAAAAAATAGAATTAAAAGAGAAAATAAACCACTAATATTGCGAACGAGAAAAATAAAATAATACAATAGACGAAACAGAAGAAGGAAAATGACCATGAAAAAAATTAAAAAAAAAAAAAAATTAAATAAAAAAAAAAATTAAAAAAAAAAAAAAAAAACACAATTTGTCTCAAAGAGCCACTAAAACATTCTCACTCTCCAACGCTTTTTCAATTTCCGACAACAACTTCTCAAAAATCACCGAAGATCCTTTAACTTTCTCAAATTCCAACTTGGATCCCCCACCCCCACTAACCACTCTTTTCTTCCCCTTGATATTACCATTATCATAAACGAATATCTTAAATGCAGTGGTCTTCTTCAAGAACAGTTTAGAGTTGTTGTTCTTGATCCCACCACTAATCACATTGTCCTTAACTTTGACATCTCTAATTCCAAACTTTTTCCAATTCACTAGTAAGGATTTGATAGCCACAATTGATTCTGTACGGGACAAAGTCAACATTAATTCATTATTCTTGTTACTATTGATGATATAACTTGATCTTTTTGTTTCTGATCCAAGATTACTAGTCAAAGGTTCGGCTTTGTTCGAAGAAGCAAGTGATGAACGGTGATGATTGGCGATAAAAGGTTGTGGTTCGTTTCTGGTTTCATTAATGGTTTTCAAGCCATCCGAATTATCCATATTAGTCTCAGGACTTGCAGCTGGCTTCTTTTTCCCACTAAGTGACAACCGTCTGAACAAGGAATTGTTTCTGGTTGGTTTTGGAGATTCTAAAGAGGTTGGGATATTCTTTCCCAACATGGCACTCATATTTCTACTACTACTTGGAACACCGTTCGTAATCAAATTGCATGATGAGTCATTGCTATTATTGAAATCCTTGAAAACTCTGACTTTACCATCATTATTATTAACGTTTTTCGTGGATAATTCAGCGGCAGCTGCAGCAATCATTGCCATCGACTCACTGTTTTTCAAGAATACTGTTTTTTCATCATTGAGAATCTTGCGAGTCAAGGGATTTGTTGCCGTCGTACTATCATCGTCAAAATTGTAAGTCTTATGGCGGCTCATTACCTTGGAATCTTGTAAAAATGGGCTTTTGGAAGTATCGGTTAATTCCGGCACAGAATCTCTGTAATAATCTTGGTAATTCATTTCACAATTCAAAGTTCTTCTGACTAAATCTCTCGTTGAGTCCCCAATGTTGGTATTAAGCAAAAGAGAGTCATCAATCTGGTTAGATCTAGAATGCAAATCATCATCATCATCATCTTTCAAGTCAAACTTATTACTTGTTGGAGTGACAAATTCAAAATCATTTTCAAGATCCTCTGTAGTTTCATGATCATAGTAACTGGTTTCTTGATTATAAACCTCTTGTAACCTAGATTGTCTCCTAGTATTAACCATCCCGCCGTTACTAATTTGCTTATTTTTAATTAATCCCATTTTTCTTAGTGGTACTTGACCTCCATTATACATAACCACACCATCGTTTTGTTTGTCAACATCAACCTCCTTAGATCCAGCGCTGGTGTTTCTAGTGGCTGGCGCAGATTCATTTGGTAAAACAGTTGGTTCAAAAATATCGTTGGATGGGGTGAAGAGCAATGAGTCGCTAGAACTTTGGAATGATGAGGGAGTGGTGGCTGATCTGATGGTGACACCAGTAGTAGCAGTACCTCTTCTGGTATTTCTAGTCACAACAGGAGCCACAGCTTCTTTATCAAAATATCTGTCGTTATCAACATTCAATCCTGGATCAAGCCTCGAAATTGGACCCCTGCTGATAATAATATTGTGTCTATCCAAATTCTTTTTATCAACCAATTGCCTTATTTCATCTGGAGTCAAAACACTAGCACTTCTATTAGCTTTAGCGGCAGAAGCAGCAGCAGCAGCCTTTTGGTTTTTCTTTTCTTGTTCTAATCTGAGTTTTGTCAATCTAGCCTCTTCCTGTGATCTCAATTTCTCTTCCTTTTGTTCCCTGGTTTTGCGCTCAATGTAAGATTCACCAAACATGTTTTGATAATTCTCGTTGGTACGCCCAAAAAATTGATCACAGATCAGTTCAAATTCAGATTTGGTTTGATTAGCCAAAGTGTCGATGTAAACTCTGGTGGAGTTGCGAGACATCTTAGTATTAGCATAATGATAATTAGAAAGAACTCTGGAAGACAAAGTAGATCTCATTGATCTCCGGGATGAAGAACCTTTCATGGACCTAACACTTTCATGCTTCTTGGGTTTTGACCTTTTGTCGCTCTTAGACGAGGCCTTGGAGCCTTTAGACTTCTTGGATTTAGAACCTTTTGACTTAGTAGGGGAAACAGAATGATAATAGCCATTTTCATCGTTCAAAATCAAAGAAGAAGTCTTATAACGCTTGTTTCTCTTTGGAGAAACTTTGTAATTGACAGAATAGTTCAATGATTTTTCGATTTCTTGTTCCAATTTCCGTTGCTTCTCTTGTTCTTTTAAAGAAATTCTGTTGACTTCCTCATGTGAATTCTCAAAATCAAAATTGTTGCTGCTAGTGGAGTTTCTAGTATAAGTCAACTTTGGCGGTTGAAGCTGCTTCTTTTCTGCAGGTTTCGATGATTTACCATTATTCTTCACTTCTTGAGATTTCTGTTGGCTTTGCTTCAAAGGTGGTGGAGCTTTTGTCACCGGTTCTGGTTTTTCTTGTTTCGCTATTGTCATTTTTTTCTCTCTTGGAGGTGATACAGACTGTTCTACTAGCTTCTCTTCTTTATCATTAAGCTTTAATTTTTCATATCCGCCAGTCAAATCGTCGATTGATGATTTGATTTTCTTTTCTGCAAACCTGAACACAGGAACCCCGGGTGATACGACGTTAATTGCTTCATCATCATCTCCGAATTCAATTCCCTCTTCCTCATCGTAGTAATCGTCGAAATCATCGTCGAAATCTTGAGCTTGGGAAATGTATAGATTGGATTTTCTTGAATGCATTATTTGAGATCTGGAAGGATACCAATTATCGATAGGCCCATCATTTTGCAAATACTGGCTCAAGTTCAAAGAACCATTGTATGAAGCAATACTGTTGCTTTGTCTTACCGCCATTGGGATATTATTATTTGGGTTATAGTAACTGGATATACTCTTGTTTGATCTCATATGAGCTTTGCTATTGCTAACGAAACTTCTGCTAGACTTCATTTGACTTTGACTAATCCTGTTTCTTGAATATCTGTAAATTGATCCACTGTTATACAATGATCTCTGACTTTTGTTCCTGTTCATTGATGACGATTGTTGCTTGTGGTGGTGGAAAGAATTTTTCTTTTTTCCATTATTGAACGAAATATTGCGTCTGTGAGATGTGGAAGCAATGATACTGATGTTGGAGTAAGCTTTAGTCATCTTCAGCTTATTAAGATGAAGCTCGGCAGGATAAGATTCTTCCAAATCTGATTCCATGTCAAAGTGTTCATTTTCAAAAGATTCTTCCATAGGAGATTTTGTCAAATAAGTGGAGGAGGTATTATCAAACCCAATAAGTAAAGAATAGAAAACTTTATCAATGTTAACCTTATTATTAACCAAATTACTAATGATATCGGTCTCTGCTTTTCTGTTATGACACAAGATTTTCAAATGATTCAAAATTCTTCCGCTAATATTTTTTGGATTTGACTGAATTCTCTTATTAAAATTAAAATCATTGATAATCAAGTGGTTTTGCTTATTTGTTTTAATCAAGTCTTGGTTGATGGAATTGGTGAAAAGATTGATGTTAGAATAAAAATCATGTTGCGATTTTTCAGTTGAATAGAAACCAATATTATATTTTTTGAATAAATTGGATTTCAATACCCCTTCGGAATCTAATCTTTGTTCTGGATCTAAGCATAATAATCCACTGATTAAATCCTGGGCTTCAATTGAAAGATCTGAAGGCATTTCAAACTTCCCGTATTTCACTTTCAACAATAGATCTTTGATGTTATCGTTATCAAATGGCAATCTACCGGTCATCAAAGCATAGAAAATGACACCACAGGACCACATATCTGATTTTAACCCATTGTAAGGAACGCCAGAAATGATTTCCGGAGCGGCATAATGAGGAGAGCCACAAGTAGTTTCTAGCAAGAAAGTTGGCACTTTCTTAGTGGTGCTAGTGGTGCTTGGACCCTTTGAATTTTTCATTTCATGGGCGCTGTTTATTCTTCCGGAATTCTCGCTAGGGGTATTAGAATATTTTAATAATTCTAAGGTGGCCATTCCAAAATCTGCTATTTTCAAATGCATGTCACTGTCGATCAAGATATTTTCTAATTTTAAATCACGATGAATAATACCCCAATTATGAAGGAAGAAAACACCGTTAATTAATTCGTAAAACACACGGACCGCCAAAGGTTCGGGCAAAGGATCGACTGATACCAAGTATTCAAACAACTCGCCGTTAGATACGTATTCGGTGATTAGATATAAATGGTTTTTCGATTCATAAACGTCATATAGTTTCAAGATATTCTTGTTATCTAAAAGCTTCAAGATGATGATTTCTCTTTGGATACCATAAGGTAAACCGGCGGCGTCGATGGCATTGGGGGATAATTCTTGCGGGTCCAAATGGTTCTTGTTTACAATTTTGATAGCCGCCTGTTGACCTGTTGATTCATGAGTACCTAATATGACCTTTGAAGTTGAGCCTCTACCCAATTCTGGACCAAACTTCCAAGGACCGATCTTTTTGTTTTGATTTGGGTGGTAATGGCTATGTATCTGGTGAGTATTGTGGGAAGACGTGATCAAAGACGAAGCAATTGACGTTTGACTTTGGTAAGCAGCCATCAGGGTCATTTTTGATAGTGGTAATAGTGTTATTATTGATTTCTCTATTTACTGGTCGTACTTTTATTCCAAGGGCTTCTTTATATCTGTTATTATTATGATTTTTATTATTGGGTGCTCATAGGCTGGGATGCCGTCTTCTGCTTAGTTTTCCACCGTGCTTTGATCTGGCAAACAACGTGAGAATGTCAAAGCGAGGGAATCTTAAAGTGAAAGTCAGACACTGGGGCGATATAAAAGAAAGATCGCAATTATCAACAATTCAATTTGTCTGTTTTGCTTTTATAATAGGAAACAATTTTTACCCAGAACAGTTGCTTGGACTAGAAATAAACAGGAAAACAATCAAATAAACAAAAATTCAGAGACAATGTGCGGATAGCAATTACAGTTTGTGTATGTTGCTGCAAGGCGGGGCGTCTTCGGACGCGCTTTTGGTTTGTCAGAAAAGAAAAAAAAAACTGAAAAAGACTGTGCCTGCCAGGATATGTCATGGCGAAATAAAAGAAACAAACAACACAACAACAACAACTACAACCACCACCTATTATTGGGGCAGAGAAAATCTCAAGCTAGGGCTTCTTTTTTTTCCCCTCCACCATTCATAAAAAAATAATCCCCAATTCTCGGCCAGAGTCAAACGCCACGACGTTTCTCTGGAGTATTTTTCTTTCCCCGTATATATGCCGTCTTTCTACGTGGGTTGCTTGCAAGCAACAAGACGGTAAATCCCCAAAAGCAGTGAACAGAAAAATTAATGCCGATGAGTTGTAAGGTCCTAATGCTTAGTGAAATATGCATGGGGGGTTATAAATATAAAAAAGAAAAGAAAAACGCAAATGGTGAAAGTGAACTTTATCAGAAATGCAAACTTTCTAATAAATACCCATAACAACAAACTAGCAGGGAATACATACGAACACATCTTCCGTAATCCCAGCATGAGTATGTATCATCTTTTTGCCAATCTTTGGACTCTTGATACCGATCAATTTACCATCTTTAATTTCACTCATCCTTAAAAAAAAATAAACAATAGATGAAACGTTGTAGCTTCTTGACAACTTTTTTCGCCGTTTCTTTGATAATATATTATGTAATCTGAATAGTGATAGGCCGGAGACCCTTGTTAATCGCTTTTCTTTTGGCCTGACTGGGATCACAAATATATCTAATAATCAGGGAGGCTTAGGTTAAATTACTTGCTAGCCTAATTTGATTATATTTATTTATTAATTTAGGTTGTTGATGGTTATTATCGTCAATGAAGTAATTTCGCTTGACGTGCCAGCACCCAATTAATTACTTGGCACGTATAACGTATTGCACGCACTGCATTTATGATATCTTATATGCACCACCAAAGCTCTATTCTAGTGTCAAGACATGATTCTGTAGTTAAGCTAACAATAACAGATTTAGTTTAAGACATGATACATTTCGAAAGATCAGTTATCCTTTACAAGAAGGAAAAAAAAAAAGTAGATTGAGCAAAACTAGATAGTTCCCGTAGTATTGCCAAGTATCAGTTTTTTATATTGATAAGCTTCATTGGTTGAATATCTCAATGATCGAGACATTAACATGGCTCACTGTTATCCCTTTTGTAGTATGTTTAAAGCTCATAAGACATTTTGTATTTTTTCTCTCTTTCTTCTCACTGCTTTCTGATTCTTTACAAAGCCATCTCTTTCACCATCAAAAATACTCAAGAACCTTCTTGGAGTACGTAAAAAAATTGATAAAACACCTTTGTGTAGCTCTAAATGCAAATGACATTTGGCAAAATGAAAAATTTCTTTGGAAGTATTAATGCTGAAGATCATAGCTTTATTGGTTAACAGAGTGCTATTGCAAGAGAGCTTCTTTGGCCAAACCGCTCATTTTTTAAGAGATGAAATATCGGAAGAAAAAGAAGTGTTTGTATCGTTTTAACATGACAAGTCGTGAAAGCTTCTCATCAAATGCCTTTAATATCTATAATATACATTCGAATCTCGTTTGGTAGAAGCTTTATTCTCACAAGATACGTTCATTTCTCTCATCTTTGATTAGTTTCACTCTATTGACGCGTTCATCAAACACGTATATCACCGAAAAGACATTTAAGAAAATAACAGCTAAAAAAAAATAATCATAAATTTATGAAGCAATACCCTCGTATAATTTTCATTATTTCCGTGGTTATACCTATTTAGCTTCCCAAATCATTGGGAAGTTCTAATGTATATAAAATTGATAGAGAATCCGTTTAAGATACGATTCTAGAGTCTCCAATATAAAGCAAAGATAGGAAATCCTCTAGCTGGTCTCAATCTAACAATAATTTAAAACATGGCTACTTTTCTTGACTTCTAGGTAAGTGGTTTTGATTGTGATAATTATTTACAAAATATTGGCAATACCATGCCAAATAAAACGCGTCATGTAGTTTCATTACTTCATATGACACATAGATGTGTTATATATCGTTTATAAAATTTTACTTAAATTTCTAATGTGTATTCAATTTTCTAATCATCGTTTTATTTTCCGGAACAGACTTTATAAAATTGAGAGGAAGGAACGCAACGTCTTCCCTAATTTTGCGAAATACTGAACTAAGCGACACAAATTATCATTCGCAGTTTATATTAAATCTTTCATTCTCATGAAGGGAAATTTTGATTTCAGTGTAATTATACATGATCGTAAGATTGTTTAGCAAAATAAAGACAAAATCAAAACCATTCCGTCCTCAGCTTATAAGCTGAGTTAATTACACAGAAAGAGATTTTTGATATACAATTTTGCTCATCCAAAGCCTATATTAATAGATAGTGAAGGGTGTTGGAAAATAGACCAAGAATCAAAAAAACTAAATAAACAATCAAAACTAAATTACATCAATTTTATCTTTTTTGTTTGGCCGCACTTATTAATCTGAATTATTAGATTAACAAAAAAAAAAAAGAAAAAAAAAAACAAACCAAGTACCCAGTATAAGCAAAAATGAAATACTGAGTAAACTCACATCGTATCTACAATTTAACATTCACCACCAACAACTTCACATTTGACCAATTTATTGAATCAATGGGTAAAAACAGAGGCACTGCACTTAAAGACAACCACCAATTTGTTCACGATGGGCTTCGATGACATCACCATCTTCTAAATCCAAATCATCTGGGGTGTTTTCTGGACTGACTCTTTCACCATCACTCAAAAATCTCAAACTATCAAGTGATTTACCTTGTCTTTTACAAAAGGCTTCCATCAATCTTTTCATTGGAGTGGATCTCTTAATCTTGAAGTAAATTTCAGAAGAACCATCACTGACTTTCAAGTTGATATGTTGTTGACCTTCGGCCTTGACATCTGGCTTGGCTTCAGCTTCTTCAGACATGTTGATATTATTAATTGGCTAAAACGATAAGAGTTAGTTAGTGATACTTTCTTCTACTCTGCACTATTACTTCCCTAGTAATAAGGAAGGAAAAAGAATATAGATTGATTTTCTTGGCAATCAGTGAAAGCCTTGATTGCAAATTTAGAGATGAAAACTACCATGAGAAACTATGCTTCACACAATTTCTTCCATTTGGTTTTCTGTGGCAAAAAACAAAAAAACAAAAAAATACTAGTGGTGGCAAAATAGGGACTCACCAAGAAGTAAAAACAATACTGATTCCCAAAAAGACTTATGAATGATATCAAATTTGGAACGTTTTTCTCAGGTTCACACGTTCATGATGACCTCCTAGAAAATTATGTTCTACAGTACCCATTTCACTCATAAACTTGCATGGTTAAACCGCGAGGTTCCGTCCCTTAAAAAAAAACAACCATCACTCTCTATTCTCTTTCCTATCTCTAAATTAGAATCATTAAAAATGGTCTGCCATATCAATACAAGGCAATACTTCATACGTACACTTTTAGTGTTTAATTTCACGGAACCTACTTAAAAGCTGATTTGACGATAATTTTTTTTGTATCATTTTTTTGGCGTCTTGTTTTGTGAAGTCAGGAATATTTTCGTGTCTTGCATATTCAATTACCCGGGTGTATATATCCGGGTGACAAATTCGACAAGGCAATTCCAATTCCGTACTGTTATTAATTGCCAGTTTCCCAGAATATTCGAGCTTAAACTTGGATCGCCTCAAAAATTGGCTTCCAATGAACTACTTTTTTTCTCCGGAACTTATTGTAAGACAATTTTCGTGCACGATTTATGCACTTTTTTATGTGTCCTTTCCAAGACCCCTACTAATTCGTTGTTTCATAAATTACAGATGTCTGTATTATCCCGTTTATATTATGCTTTTTCCTACAAAGCCTAATGATTATAATTCACTCGCTATTGAATACACAGACTATTACCGCGAATTAATACTACTGCTGTCTTGATTGATGTATGTAAAAACCACTAACCGCACGACAAAAACAATTTTATGGATTAAACAGAAAAATTTCCTATGCACTTCATCATGATAGAAACAATAATACACAAACATCCACAAACAAGTGACTATAATCAATACAATAAATAAAATATGAGTGACTCATACTCGCGGTATCAAAAAAAGCCTAAAGGGATTCATAAACCATCTTCCTCTTCCAATACTAACTCACGATCTTCTGATCGACGACTTGCTGCTGGCCGAGCTGCCGCTAGTTTTCTTCACGCTAATAGTGATACAGGGTTGTCACAGAAACTATCTGTGGTATCGCCCCAGTTTTCCTATGTACAATCTCAAAGAAATGCTCCTGCAGAAAAGGCCAAATACGATCCAAAATTGACGGTTGAGAGGAAGGTTGGTGATCATAAATGGCAAGACAAATCACTCTTGGAGTGGGATCCCAAACATTTCAGACTCTTTGTGGGGAACTTGGGTCCAGATGCAAATGATGAATTGTTATACCGATCCTTCGGAAAATATGAAAGCTTGTCAAAATGTAAAGTTCCAATGGATAACAAGTCAGGCCAAAATAAAGGGTACGGGTTTGTGGCATTTGTTAGTGCTGATGACTACTTTAAAGCGTTTAAGGAAATGGATGGTAAATACGTTGGCCAGCATCCCGTGAAGTTAAAAAGAGCACAGACAGAAATTAAAGTAGTAAAGAAGAATAATATTGGTAGAGGGAAGAAGAAAGGAATGTGAAATAGAACTTAGAATATGGATGCTGCCTTCTAAAAAATATGCTTTCAAAAAAGATATGAAGAAGGAAGCTCATTATCTCATTATGCGTTCGCCGCTTTGTATATTTCATGATTTCACATCCCAATTTTCATAATTTAGACCCCTATGTTCTCCCAGAAATTACAAAGAAGAAGTTCTTTTGCACATTCTGGCAGGATGAGTATCGACATTCAGGAGTATATTGAGCTTTTCAAATTACTAGTTACATATAGGAATACAAGTTGTGTTTTGTTTTGCGATTGATCTTGTAGTCATTGGATGTACTTAAGTACAATGAGAGACTGGGAAACTATCGAAGAGATGCCTTCAAAAACGCATCTAATCAAGACAACATCTAACATATATTGAACTAATCTACTCAAAGAAGAGAAAAAAGAAAAATCTACAACTATCAACCAAGCTCAAAAAGATCTTCAAAAGTTCCACTCTCTAAATTAAAAGCCTTTAGATCCAAATATTTCTGCTCAAATTCCTTGTCTTCCCCTTCACAAGACAATATCTCCTCTTCCCCATCAAACAACCATTGACAGTCCAACCCTAGTAGTCGCATTACATAGTACTTCTTCTTCCAGTGCACTAGATCCAGATTATAGAAGAGAATGATTGAATAAATCATTGCCTTACTGACAAGACCAGGCGGAAGTCCCCCGTAGCCAGTTCCAAGACTAGGAAGCACAAGGGTTGAAATAGCAGAACCGGCATTTGAAATTATAGCAGAACCGGCATTTTCTTCCTGAGATATTGTGTCGCTTTTTGATTTCAAAAATCTATTATGCTCTTCAACTGCGGCAAAAATATTCCAACACTGATCCACCACCCATCTGGTAATGTCAAGCGCATTATGCATTGGCAAATTATGTGGGGTTCTCATGGTAGGAGAAACCAAGATATATCTGCCTTGGCATTTTTTCCAAGCTGGTGAATTAAGATGGGGATGGAATAGTGTATGATGATGAGGATAAAGTTCTAAGTTTTCAAAATTTAGAAAATCAATAATTTTGGGGAGTTGCGGGGGTAAGTACCCGTTGAATGCTGATTTTGAAAGATGATATTGTATAATTCTCTGGGTTTGAGAAAAGGAGCCTTCTGAAGAGACTGCAGTTTCTTGATTCACTACACCAAGATTTGATGTTTCAGGAGCGCGTTTTAATTTTTCATTAGAGTTCCCAGAAGGAGTGAAATCGATTATACTATCACTGCTGTCATATTCTGGAGCAAAGAGCTCAGCGAGATACAAATCGTACCCACCATTCATATATCCGAATGAATTAGCTGGTGATACAAAACATGAGACTCCTAGATCACCTTCATCTTTTCCACAGTATTCCAACCCAAGATCTTGAACTCCACAACACTCTACACCCAATCTGATATCTAAACTATCAGCGCCCCGAAGGCCCAACTTTTTTCTGTATTGGAGATAATTGGAATAATGCGACTTCCAAAGCTTGCAATTTTTTGGATTTGTAGAAAGCAAAACAATGTTCATGATGTCCTTCTGTGTATAGCCTGGGATAGTAGCACCATGCATACGGCACTAATTTACTCTGATGGATCAGTTCTGAGTGTTACAGAGTGAGTAGCCTAGCCTAGTTTCGACTCTTCGAATTTGGAATATAAGTGCGCTTAGTACCACAAAACGTGATTCTTTTCATACATCATCAGTTATTTTAGTATACTGTTAAGAAGGCGGCGAGAATAAAAGAAAAATGGTTGTTTCTAAGCAGACATTAGGACACAATATTCTATGCTTACGCCCAGTAAAGTGGTTTATACCAGAATTTTAGTGTAACAATAATATGGGGCATGATATATTGCGGTGACATTAAATAGAAATCGATGCTTGCAAACCGATTTTACTCATTAGAGTTTGCAATTACTCCTGTTTTTCATTTAAGAAAACGCTGTTATTGTATTTGAAAATCCACTTGCAACGATGGTTGCCCAGCTTTGATGGTTTTCATTGGGAAGCTTGACCCATGTGTCAGAATGTACATAAATATAAATATACACAGGAGGCACCACTCACCACTGTGATGACGGCTACGGCATACCCACAACCTAAACACATAATTAATCCTGTGTATGCACGTCTCCCGTGCTGTTTTTTTTTTTTTTGTGTTGACATGAAAAATAAAACGCGGGGAACCGAGAATGAAAGGTCCTGGCATGGGGTCACCCTGCCCATGGTGTCAACGATTTCGAATGGAGAAATAAATCTGATTGCGAAGGTTTTTTTTTTTAGTGGTGGGGGGGATCATTCTTTTGTTTTTTTTACCTAGAAAAAATTGTGACAAGAACCCACAAGATATAGGTTTATTTATTATTAGATAGTTTGATACTGTCGCACGCCAATCAAACATAACACAAAAAGAAGTCAGCTTTTGACCAACACTACTGGGTGTTATAGAATAAATATCATTTGACACTTAGAGCTTTAGAGTTCATCTTTTGACAGCAGTAACGAAGAAGCACCAAAAGAGAAAGAAAGAAAGTTAAAAAACTGCTATTGACCATCGAACTGCCTTTCAAACACCCGACAGTCTCTTCTTCAACAGACTTTATTCCTAGTAGAGATATCTCCACAGTTCTGTGAGGGCGCATAAAACTCGAGGATAGGAAAGGAAGCAAAAGAACTTCAAGGTAATTACGGATCCATCACTTCGTCAATAGCCCTGTATTTCTGTCAACCGGAAGAACTGACAACAACAGGTTATTATATATCCAGCAATAATAATGAATATCATCAACCAACCCAATCTTGCCTCTGGGCAACAATACGCTGTCAAAAGTAATCGTGGGATAGATTTCCGAGATTCGACCCCGTTTGGGGCAAATATCGCCACTACTGCAAACGGTGCTTTTTCACCTTTGAAAAATTACGACTATGCTAACGGAAACAATTTCTTTAGTACCAATAATTTGAATGCCGATAGCTTGGATCCATCGAATATGAGCTCTAATGTTGGTAGATCTGAGTTTGCAAATAATAATATAAATATGGCTGAGGCTTCCCGACAATACGAGAATCAATCAAATTTGAATATAGGTGATACAACAGGAATAAACTCGCCAATAAACGGGAGTCCAGCCCTTCAGTATATCCAACAACCATCTCAGCAAGACAGTAAACTTACACACCAAAATGGGGGCTTGATTATAGAAAAAGCAAACATCATCAACGGATATAATGTACTGGGTAATTTAGAAGCCAATAATACAGAATCCAAAAAACAAGGTAATTCAGTTTCCTTGACCTCTTCGAATCCCTACTCCTCTCCCTATAATAGTTTCAACTCAAATACAATGCTTCAAAATAACGGCAACAATAATGGATACTATACCAGAAGTAATAGCATTTTTGAATATAACCGTTCTTCGTCAATTACAGAGTCATTAACAGCTCCTCCAGGACAACAATCATTTAATTTGGGTAATAGTGATATGTATCCCTGCTCACCTGCCAGGTCGGGAGCTACTGTCATGAATGATGAAATCCTTGATGATACCAACTATAATTACAAACCTTCCTTCGATGTTAGTGGTAACAATGGTGGTAGGTCAGCATCTTTTTCACGTCCTCTTTCTAATGCTGACACAACAAACCCTAACACAGGTTCGTTTGCGATGAGCAACACCATCTCCTCAATGATGCCACATACTGCAATTGGAACAACTTTTGGAATTATTGATGAAGAATATGGGACCAGTGCATTATCACGCCATTCACAGAAAGGGATGGGGTCATATCTGCAGCGGGATTTTGATAGCGGGAATTTTAATGGTACCAGTTTTGGAGGAGCTTCTAGGTTTGATAGGTTTGGAAGCTTTAGTAGCAGTACCGGCACCGGAAGCTTTGGAAGAAGTCTTAGCTTTAGTGTTGCTAATAGTATGGCAAACAAAGATCAAGGGAATACACAAGAAAGAACCAATGGGATTCTTAACGACGATGGGCTTATGACTAATCGGCGAAACCTCAACAAAGATAATGATGCTGAACAGATGGTTGCAAACATGACCAATGACGCAAAGAATTTTAATCATGGCCCTCCAGGATTGAATTTGAGTTATTCATCTTTCAACCGCAAACTGCAAACACAACAAGATATGGCCTTTGGTGCTCCTCACTCTCAAAACGCGTCATTTGATGGTTCTATTTCTGGAAGTAATGGCCGAAGCTTAACTTCTCAAGGAGTACTGTTTACCGCTGATCGGTCACTTTCTCTCAGCAATTATGGTCTTCCGAAACCACAATATGTGGAGTATATTAACCCCAACAATAGTTACCCCGTCAAGGAAAATCAGGGTATGTTATATCCTAATAATTATAATGAGAGAAGACAGTTCAGTTTGAGTTCAAATAGTGCTGGAAATGCTATCTCTGCTCCACAATTTGGTCCTGGGGACACTATCACTGGCGGAAGTTTTGGCTCAAATAATGGGCCTGTTGACATGGGAATATCTCAGTCAGTATTATCAGATATGGGAGATAATAATGACATTAACAATATGAAAATGATGAGGATGAAAAATAATAATTATATTTCAAAATCTTTACCTCAACTGCAAAACATTACACCGCAGCTCCAAAAACTATCTAGAAGAAATTTGCCCTCGACTACCACATCATCACTTGGCCTTGAAAATGGGTTGCTATTAGTTAACAACCACATAATCACATCTCCTGAACTCCGTGCATTGTATAGAAGCTCTGATGGGTATTTCTGCATCGCAAAAGCTGAGAAAGTGTATAATGGCATTAAATCATTGTTGGATCCGATGGCACCTTATGCGCCAAGAGTGTCACAATTGGTGGGATTTCTCAAACGTAAAAATGATATTGGTGGATATGGACACGGAAATGGGCATCACAATGGCAATTCCAGTGGGAACACTGCTAATTTTGTTGGAATAGGGGACTCGTTGCCTCATAAATTCAAAAATATGTGTCTTGTATGTTCTAAAGCTGGTAAGATTGATGTCTTGACGGTATCTCCAAATAGCAATATTCTTCTTCAAAAGCATGATTTGGTAATAGTCGAAGGCGACCGAGGTAAGGACTTAGTTCATGTTATTGAGCCAACTATAGGCTTGAACTTTGTGGTTGTTCTAAATTTCTTGAAAAAGAGAGAACATTTGAAGAGTATGGGCGGCACTTCATCCAGTGGTCAAGGTAGAGGCGATAGTTTCGGCAGTGGCAAAAGTTCTAGTGGTAATTATAATCAAGATGATGAGCATGTGCTAACCCTTCCAGTTAAACAGATTCTAAGATTTGCTCTGGCTAATGAAGTCGGCCAATTGCCTTCTAAACTAAAAAATGAAATTGTGGCATTCAAGATTGCTATTGAAAAGTTGAATCAAATAAACATGAAAGCCAATGTCATGAATCGAAAGGCGAGTGTTCTGAGTCAATCTTCTTTTGATACAAGATCTTATGGAGTGGGTAAGCTTGGATCTCCAAACGTTTCTGGCTCTATATCTACTAACTCTAGTGCTGGGAATGATTCCAAACCTCAACTCGACTTGAAAATTTTCAACTCAGAGTACCAATTTGACAAGAAGAAGCTTATTTTTTACTATTCATGTGCTAAAAGGAATGATTTTCGTGATTTGATTAAGGAGTTATTTAAGATTTACAAAACAAGGATCTGGCTTTGTGCAGTGCTAAATCCTGATGAATTCAATTCTTACAATGAAGGAAATATTAGTAGCAGAAGGAATTTGGAGATAGAAATGGCGGAATATGCACATGAAAATCAGTTACAAAGTACTTCAAACAATGAAAATATTTTGGAATTTTCTAGCAACTCATCATTAGAATGTATGAATCCCTCATTGACTGCCAAAAACTTATCCGAAGTGGAAGATGGGGTCAATAGCTTCTCTGGTTCAAATATAATCCCTCCGAGCTCCCCAAGTCCAAACGAAGGATTATCTTCTTCTGTGAACTCTCCAGTATCGAGCGGAGCAGAATTGGTAACTTCTCCAAGAACCGCTGCTTCAACTTCAGCTACTAGTGGAGTGAATGACTCAGGAGCTGTGCATAGTACTGTTGCTACAAGCATATCTTCAGGATCAATCTTGGAAGATCGCAAGAACTCAGCGGTCAGTCAATTGAGTCTCAGCGATACCATTGGAATGTTGAACCTCACTGGGACTAGTGGTAGTGTTGGTGCTAGCGGATATAGAAAATGTAGCGTTTCTTCAATTCCTAGCTGGACAGGAGCAGTGGTAACCAATGGCGCTCCAGTGATTGGGAACCATTTAGTTTGTGACAGTAATAGTGATGTAATTTCCAGGAATGAATTGGGGTTGGGATCACCAAAAGGAATTAGTTCAAATCATATTGGCCCTGATGATACTAATAGCAACGAAAAACATGCGCAAACTGTCAAGTATGCAGGTACTTCTCCGCTGACATTCAAGCCAATATCTGACGCTAATAGCACCAAGCAAGTTAATATGGTACTTAATCTTGCAAGAGACCAACAAATATCCAACAAATATCAGGCTAGGATGAATAAAATTTTGTCGCTAGATGAAAACAATTTTAAAATGGAGGAAGTGGAAGTTGATGATTTTCATGCCCAGAATTTGCTAAACTCTATTGAGAATTTGAAGATCGATTTAAACATTCATTGATGTCCAGATAAATTTCCAGAGAGTCCATTTGATTTCTGGTTCTGCTGATCTCTTTTGCAATATATTATTGTTTATTTTTATTTTTATTTTTCTTTTTCTTTTGTTCGTTGTTTTTCTTTTGTGTTGTTTCTGGTATGGTTAATTGCAAATGTGATAATTTCTAATTCAGTGTTACTTGGCTCAAGGCTCGGATATGAATGATAGAATAGAACTCTTGTTACTCCCCCTGTTATTGCGGATTATTATGATTTGTCCTTCTTAACTGGAAGTTAGCATATCATGGAATCGGTTACGTCGATTTTTCATGAAAGAAATAAATCAGAATAGAAACTAAGCTAAAAGCAAACAACCAGCAATCATAATCATGATCATAAAGCTTGCATTCTCTTTCTATCTTCCAATAATGATCATAATAATGATGATGAAAAAAAAAAAAGATTTTACTTGAACATTTCAATTTCACTTGATATAAAGATTATTAAATTTCATGACGTGACGAAATCTCTGCTGTTTTTTATTATTTATTTTTTATGTTAGCTACTTTTCACTTATTTAGTGATTCAACAGGATATATGAACTTAGAGTTTATTACATTACTAAATGTAGACCATAAGCAAATAATTAATAGTCTCTAGTATCATGAATAAATATATAATCGAAAAATATATTAAAACACCACGGAAGAAATGATGAGAAATGAAAAGAAGCAGAATGGAACAGTCATGGCGATCCTCAATCTATTAATGTGCACTCCAGTTTCTTTTTGGTATGATGTAATTTCATCATCACTACTAGATTAAATCATTAAGATTCACTTCTCACAAATGTATCTAGCCTGAAACTATCCTAATGCTGATTTCTTTCCCGATTTCAAAACATCGTTCGATGTCGTCGTCGTTATCGCCACCGGTTGTCATGTTGGGGGTGATGTCCTCATTTGCGTCCACGCGCGCTTAGCACATCCCAAAGTGTCCCCCACGTGGGTGTGCGATGACTTGCTTGTTTGGGAACCCGCCTAAAAATTGCTGGTTTTTCACATTTCTCATATATAGATTTGACTGTACTTCTAGTCATCATCTTTACCGATTTTTCCTCTAGTACTCGCCGTGTCATAACAGCATTACCATCAACGAAAACAATATATAAAATCCATACATAATGTCATCTGCTCCTATGCTTCAGTCAACTCCAGGGAAAAGAATTGCCCTCCCGACTAGAGTGGAACCAAAAGTGTTTTTCGCTAATGAACGTACCTTCTTGAGTTGGCTCAATTTCACCATCATTTTGGGGTCATTGGGGGTTGGTTTGTTGAACTTTGGGGACAAGATTGGCAGAATCTCTGCGTTTTTATTCACTCTCATTGCCATGTTGACCATGATTTACGCGCTTATTACCTATCACTGGAGAGCCGATGCCATTAGAAAAAGAGGCTCGGGTCCATACGATGACAGGTTCGGTCCAACCGTGTTATGTTTCTTCTTGTTCGTGGCCATTGTCATAAATTTCATGTTGAGATTTAACTCCCAGTAATACTGAGGGTACCACAAATATTGTATATTGTACTCAATTTAACGACTATCTAATAAAAGAATGAAAAAAAAAAGAAAAAATGCAGGGTATTGGAACGTGTTTGGCATCATACAGCTGTATGGTTCCATCAAGAACTTCAATACATAATGTAGACAAGGGGACTGTAAACTCAATAGGATAGATAGAATTTGAATTGATGTGGGAGAACTATGCTGTTTGTTAATTTTCCTTGTTATGTATTGAGATCTCGATAGTCACATATGTATGATTATGCTGATTCGCGCATCTGTGTTGTGATGCTGTGCTCTCCATAGAAAAAAATAAAATCAAAAACTGATTTACTAACAACTCATCAATGTGGGTGGGCTTTGCAGCAAGATAAACACTGGAATTTGAAACCATAGCATCCAATGGATATAAGAATATCGGATCTGGCGATCGATAAGATCGCGTCTTTGTTACAAAATGAAGATGATTTGGTGAAAACAAATCAATTCAAAAAACAATTTGTTCAAGAAAAATCAACCATCGATATTGAATTGAGATCAACTTTCCAAAACCAAATCCAGACCACCATGTCTGGCCTTAAAACTTTGCAACAATCGCAGAATCAAATCGATAAGATCAAGTCGAATTTCAACAAGATTAGTAAAGTATCGGTGGAGAACAAACAATCAATTGAGAATTTTGAATTGGTGAATGAAACCAGTAAGATTTATGATTTTTTCAACAAGGTTAATAAGATCTATAACCATATTTTGCATTTTAATGATGAAATCAAGTACATCAATGATTTGATAGATCAAGACGTGGGAGCTCATGTCGAAGACAACGAAGACGATATTGAAGACAAAGTAATTATTGACACGGATATGACGCTACCTAATTTATTCAAGATTCATTACTGCCTAAACAAATTGAGAGATATGAAGGATCAGTTAGATGAATACGCAGATAATGTTTCCAATGATTACAAATCGATCATCACAAAATTATTTTATCCATTAAAATATGCAGTCATGAAATTTGATAAAATCTTGGAGGAAATCATCTCTATGTTGATTGAAAGTTGTAAAGAAAATAATGTTGAATTGATTTTGATCTTGATTAAAATTTTGGATGTCGAAGAAAGGGAGGATTTGAAAATCAATTGTACTTTAACAATTGTTGAGCATCGAGTATTGGGGTTGATTAAGAAGAGTATGGAAGATCAAGGGATGAAATACACCATTGCTTCGAAGATTGATGAAGGTTCTAATAATAAAAATCGTACCAACAATCCCCAAAAATTAAAACTAACTTTTCAACAACAACAAATTTATGACAAGAATTTTGCGAATATCAAGAACCAACTCATGCAAAACAATTCAATAACCAGATTGAAGCCAAGAAACTACTTGGATTGGTTTTTCAAGATTTTGGAAAAATCGGTTGCAGAAACTTTCAGCAACTGTGATGAACATTTCCGTGACAAAGCAAAAGATGAACCCGGTCTATATTTTGAAATATTGGATAATCTAGAATGGATCTTTGATGATTTAAACATGGTGAAAAACTTCATTGATATTAATTTAGTGCCAAAACGCTGGAACTTCTTCCAAAAAATATTCGATATATACACCAGAAATTGTCAGAAATTATTAACCAATATTATAGATATGGAACCAGAAACATTAATTATTTTAAGTATTTTGGATTACGATAAAAAATATGGCCAATTTCTCAAGGAGAGTTTGGCATTTAAGAAAAGTGAAATAAAATCCGTCATTGGTGATGATCAAAAGGAAAAATTGTTACAAGACTATATGGGGTTGATTGTGGGCAAGATGAAAGATTGGATGTTCAATCTCAAACGGACTGAAGAAGATGTGTTCATCAAAAGAGAAGCCCCACCAGATACCGACGAAGAAGGGTTACTCGGGTTCGAAGGTTCCAATGTGGTGTTCAGAATGTTCATTCAACAAGCCGATGTTGCCGCTGGATCAGGTCAAGGAAGAATTTTGGCTGGAGTTATTGGGGATTTCTGTACGATTTTAATTGATCGTCAGAAAAGTTGGAGCGGTTTAGTTCAGTCCGAAGTGCAAAAACTATTACAGTTTAATCATGAAGAATCCCAAGAAGAGGGCTTCCCAGGCGGTTTACTTGAATATATTGTAGCATTGGCCAACGATCAAATTCGTGGCGCTGACTTCATTGAGTCAATGAAATCGAAATACATTAAAATGGTCTCCAAGAAATACTCTTCAACAATGGACGAGAATTTGGATAATGTCGTGGAAGGTTTTATCAACTCATCCAAAGAATGTTTGGAAACTTTGATAGCCATCATGTTTGATGATTTGACAGGACCATTCAAGCAAATATTCACTAAGGAATGGTATAATGACAGCGGTCACCAAGCTAAGCAAATCTGTGATACTTTAATGGAGTATATTTCCGATATCCAACCGTTGATGAATCCGTTATTGTTTGATATTATAATTGAAAATATTGTTGACGAGTTATTGATCAAGTATTTGGGGGCCCTAGATAATAAACACATACACTCTAATTTCAGCAGTCAATCAAAGAAATTAAAAATCATTGAAAAAATCAAATTGGACGTTTCAATTTTCTTCCCAACATTCGACCAGTTCTATGAGGGTCTTGAAGGGAAATTTAGAATCGTTGAATATTTGATTGATTTCATCTACTTGGATAGTGAAGAGGAGATCGTTGAAAAGTTCAAAGAATTGGTAATTGATTTCAGTGATGTGCCAATCGATTTCATTGGTAAAATCATGAAGGCCAAAAAGCTTGATTCCAAAAAGGCGGATTTCATAATGGAAGAATGTAACAATGCTAAGAATGAGTACTTATCACAATTGACAGATCCTATCCCAACCTTCATGGAAAGGTTGAGTTTTGATAGAAAGAAATGATTTGATTTAAAATTTTTGAACTATAATGAATACTTTTATGCCCGCTATATTCTTCTTTGTAATCTTATCAGTATAATTCTTGTCACGGTTAAAATGGGTTCTGTGCTTTCAAATTCTAGCAATAATTTATGAGGGTATTACACCCCTATTTCTTACAGGGTCAAAAAGCAGCTTTTTTTTTATGGGGGAGGGCCATCACAAAAATTTGAAATTTTTATTATACCAATTAACCGCAACAGGTGTTACAATACCAGAAAGAAACATGGGAATTATTAAAAAGACCTTATTTGGTGCTACTTGCGGTGCTGTTGGATATGGATACTATCTCAGCAAGCAATATGAGAGTATTCCATTTTACCAAATTCCAAGACAAATGGAGATCAATAATATTGTGAATAACTACAAAACCAACCCAGATGAATTCTTTGCTTACTGCAACACTTATAGCAGCAAAATCAGACTAGACCCAAAGAAATTGACTACTGCTCAACCAGGGAAATTCCACACCGAAAAAGACGTGATCAACGAAATCTTGGTCAAGTTTTTGAATAATGGTTTTTATCAATTACAATTGCCAAAAGAAGTGGAATTGAAGGATTTGGATACAACAGAAAATAATTTTTCAATTTATACCCACAAGCCAAACTCTGTTGTGGTGAAAGTTGAGATTCCGACCATGATTGTGAATAATGTTGAAAAACTTTCTGATTGGGGGTTACCATATAGGACCAACAGTACTAGTTATCAAGAGATTTATGTTGAATTGAAGCCAGAAGTCAATGAAAAAACCCAGATCAATGAAACTTATAGTGCTGAAGTATTCTTCAGCAGTGCTGATTTATATAACAAACATAATTTTGATGGGAAAATTTTGCCAAGAGTGTTGTTGAGTGTCAACAGATTTTACAATAGATTGTTATTGAAGGCTGGTGTTGATAGTATCAGCGAAAGTTTGGGGATGGAATGATTCGATTGTGTGTAATGACCTTAATGAACAATGTGTAAATACTTATTCTACTGGAAAATAACAGATCCTCGTCAATTTGTAAGAATGAACTATACCAGTAATTCTCTAAAAAAAAAAAAAGAAAAACAAAAAACAAATAAAGCTAAAATGCTCAAGGAAACTTACTTATTCTTCCTTATCTACTTTACCCACTAATTTTTCAAATTCGTGAAACTGGCCTTCTCTGATAAATGTGCTACTGATCTTATCATCAACTCGTTTATCATCTTCGATTAATTTCACCACAAAAATCTCCAACTCATTCAATCCATTCTCTTTACGTTTATCATTGACCATCCCACCACCTTTCGCGGTTTCCTCGGTCACTAATAGTAAGTCCATATTCGCCACAAAGGCTGTTGGTCCATACATATCGTTCAACTCATGAATATTCACTTTATAATCATCATTTGGTTTCAATCGTTTGACAAACCCCATCACTGTATCATGTCTTGCTTTGTAGCTTTGTAAAAATTCATCAAATTTCTTTTTAGCCAACATTGCCGCGATAGACACCCCGATGATTAGAGAATCTGTGGACAAGAATGACCCAATCGACAACAAGATCTTGTGGCCATCGTGCAAATTATCAAAGGTGCCTCCCACACACCCAACCTTGACTTGTTTTACTTTATCATTGTTTTCATAAAATAACGTGTCTTGAACTTCGCCAACCATCTCATCTAATTCAAATGATTTAATGGTGGCTGAATTATTACCTTGATAATTGAATTGCTGGATTAATGACGTGATATTCTTGGTGTCTGCAACAATCAAATCAAAACCATATAATGGCTTCCCATCTTCTTTGTTTAAAGCATTGATATCACTAACATTGAATAACACCTGAGTGAAAATTGGGATCTGAATTGGACACCCGTACAGTTTTTGTAATTGTAAAATGATTCTTCTTGCCAAATCATAAAACCCGACCAACACATTCTCTAAGACATTCACATCATCAATTCTGGTATTAATATGAAAATAGAGCAGCTTGGTCAATTGGCTTTTAATCTGCAAATATTTCGCGAGTTTAGAAGTCCTATCTGGCTTATTGTTAATTTGATCCACTAACAAAGCTTGAGCTTCTCTGGTGATCTCACTTCGTAGCAATAGCTCAATGGTATTGGATAATATGGTTTCGTATTTAAGGCAATCATGAGGATCTTTTATTAGTATTACAGCAGATTTCATCCTAACCAGTGCTCGAGAGAAACCTGTCTGTCAATTGAGTATTCTTTGTTGATAAAGGTTGATTGCAATTATTGTGCCAAAAAAAAAAAAAAAAAAAAAAAAAATTGGGGGTTTACGACCCTAACAAAAAATCACTTCTTTTGAATACCCCAACTACTACAAATGATGAGAAATTTCAAGTACTGTTCCCACTTTTAATAGCAGATTGCTTCCCCCCGGTCCTTACAAAGATCAATTAACAGAATAGGATAGGATATAGTTTGAGAATTCGCAGTTATACATATATATAAAAAGAAAAGTTGCACACAAAAAAGGATTGAAAAAAGCCAAAAACTCGCCAACGCGTAGCTGATTCAAATGAAAAAAAAAAACATATGAACATGGCGAATTCAAAAAATATTGCAAAAGTATAAAAAAAAATAGAGGAAATTGGTTAGAAGACAGAACACTCAAGGAAAACAATTAGTAGCTCTCCATGAATATTTAGATCTTCCCACCTGTAAAACTTGGCTATTTGGCACCAGAAGAAAAAAAATGTTGAGCACCCTTAGTTATGATGACCAAAAAGCATTAGCAAGAATTAAAATAAAAAAAAAGTCACACAAATCAAAAAAAAAAAAACACCCAAAATTTAAAAACCCACAAAATAAATTATTATTTCAAAACCTTTGAATTTCTTCTTCTTTTCCTTCTCTTTCAGTTTGCAACATTGAATATCTCAAATTAATCAAAAAAATATTAAAATACACTCATAAAAATCTCTATTTTACATTTACTTCATTATTACCACAAAGGGGTTTTTTAAAACTTAAAAGCAACGACCCTTTTCCAAATCTTCAATTGTATCTTCAATTACCTCATCGTCATCATCATCTTCAACCAACTCAATAGTGGCATATTTGATCAAGTCCCAGCGACCCCAAAATGCAGCAACATCCTCGGAATCATCAGAATCAACAAAATCTTGCAAAAAATTCTTGGCTTTGATTAGACGATCCTTAAGGTTTTGAATCTTGATACTTTCCGGCTGCTGAGACACAGTCTTCTTGTTGGTATATTCAAACTCTGATTCATAATCTGTCAATTCTGTTCCATCAGTTTTGTAATCTGAATCATAGTCTGAGCTAGCAGCAGACATTGGAGTGGTTGGGAAGTCGGTGGACGCATCCATACGATTGTACATCCTTTCTTCAGCAAATGAAGTGGTGTCACAATAACGAGCCCAAGCTTCATCAATAGCACCCATCAAATAGTCAAAGCATCTGGCTCTAGCAGCTCTGTCAGAACTAGGCAAGGATTGACATTGTGGTACGATATTTTCACTGGCGAGAGGTATATTATTACTGATAACTTCATCATTATTGTTATTGATGAATTCTGAGCCGGTGGCGGCGCTAATAATTTTTGTGATATTGGAATTGGAATTTAGGTTCTTCAATACATTGCTTGAGTCAGCAACACATTTGCTATTTCTTCTCATAGGCTTGGAAACCACAGAGAGTCTTCTGTTATATGGCAAGGAGAACCGACGCTTTCTATCAAAGATAGATGACTCTAGCTGTTCTTGTTCGGCAGCAGAGTACTCATGTTCAAGGTCGTCCTCATCAGAAGAAGATGAGTAGTAAGCACGGTGGTGAGATGGCAAAGTATTCAAGAGGTGAAATCTTTTGTTTGTGACAAACCTGCTCTGTTGGCCATTGGTATTGCTGGTAAGTGCCTTCAGGTAACTGCGCTTAAAGCTCTTTGAAGAAAGGGCCTGCGACGACAATGCCATATTGTATATTATAGACGTAAGGTAAAAAAGGAGGGTTATGAACGTGTTTGATGTGCACGTGAATTAGTGGTTGCGAAGCTTTGGTACGCTGGTGTGTGGATGGGATGGGCAAAAAAATCAGAGCCGGAAAAAAAAAAGAAAATTTTTCAAAAGCAGGCCTCTGATTGGATAAGGATTAAATTCGCCACAAAAAGGGGGGGAACTCTGAACAACACAACTAAGTGGTCAGAAAACAACAAAAACGGCACAAAGATGACAAAAGAATAAAAGAATAATATGTATTCCTTTATTGGTAAGCTTCTGAGTTATGTAGATAGTTGTGTAAAATGTCGCGGTAGAACGCTTTTTGTCGTAGAAGACTTTTTGTTGAGGTGTTAACCAGTTATAAAAAGTCGGGTCTTCAGGGGTGGCGGAGATGGTGTTTAAGAAAAATTTGCGAGAGGGAGAAAAAAAAAAAAAAAGAAAACGGCAGCAAAGTTGAAGAAATAAATGGGAATTACTATTAAAATAAAAAGAAGGGGTGGCACATGTGCGGGTGATCATCCCGGGTAACTATTCTCCTGCAATCCGTCTCGGAGAAGAAAGTTCCAGAGCTTCCATTGCAGGTTGCTCATAAGTACTATGAAACACAAGCAGTAATAATGCTGAAGGTTTTATGAAACATGTCTCTATTTAATTAGCTATATCATTTGGTGTGGATATCCATTCCTAGAGGCTTTGCTTTCATGAAAAGATTTTACCCTACGCCATGCCCAAAAGTGATAGGGGGTGTGTTCCAACATTAGGGCTTGGTGCATAAAGATCGGCAGTCATGTGTGAGATACAGTATGTCCACATTCCTTCAGGACATTGTGCGTCACTGTCATCAAATTTTGCCTAACATTCCCAATTGACAAGGTTTGTCAAGTGCAATATGTCACTAAAAATAAGTTGTTTGATTGCTATTATGATCCCTGTAAGGTAATATTGATAAGGAACAACACAACATGAATATTGGCAACGTGTAGTGCGGGTTCCAGAATAAGTATCTCTGATTGTGGAAAATGTTCCAGTCTTGCTTTCTGGATCTCTTAATGTGAATCGTTTGTAAGCTTATGTCAAAGTCTCGCTTAGCAGAATGGAAAGTATCCATGTATAGTCTGAAACCACTGCATTGTGGAGCGGAGCCACGTCAAGGTAATATTACCAGCAATTATAGGGTGATAATTTCAAAATATGTTTCCAATTGATTGCAGGGATATCAATTACATGGTAATTGTTGTGACACACAGTGCTATTGTAAAAAAAAAAAAATTGTGACAACCATAGAGCTGACTTGGATGTGTTTGTAATGGTAGAGTAGGTATTCGGTGCTCGATGAAACTAGCGGCTGTGCATCCAAGATATATTAGTAGTAGCGGCAGAATAGGAATTTCAATTCTGTGTGAAGCTAGCAGTTATACATCCAATATATATTAGAAGTATTAGCACCATATCGTGTAGTAATCTGCAAGACTATTGTGTCTTTTCATAATAGTAGAATAATTTGTGGGCTTTTACATCGCTGTTGTTCTTTAGAGAAAACGCTTCAAGTGATATTTTCCAATGATATTTTTTGACGCGTCTCGCTCACCATATCTGTTGATTGTTTTGATAACAGAAGTATAACGAATAGAGCAACACATATAAACTGATAGTTACACATGAATTCTGATGAACTCAGGTACTTAATCCAAATAATGAGAGCTATATGTGATTGGAATAGTTGTTGTAGTCAACAAAAAAAAAAAATTTTGCACAAAACTTGCCGTCAATAATAAGCACACTGTATTATACCTGGAAAGCTCTATCAACAAAGAATTGGAAAAATAAGTTAGTCTTCTTGATTGAATATTTGAAGTTTAGCATCATCTTAGAAACTCGAGCTTTGCAATGTTTTCCCTCGATCCATTTTGATAAGAACAGTTTCTGTTTTTTCCAAATGCTCATGTAGATATTGTTTATGTAGATATTATTGCAATACATTGATGATTCTACTTTTCTTTTTATGTAAAAATTACAAAATAGTATCAGACAGCTCAACTATACTTGATTTTTACTGGGCACAGTATTACACCAACAACTTTCATTGAAGTATGCAGAGCGATTAAGTCTTCGTTTGAAAAAACTAGAAATTCCACAATACATGATGATAATCACCCACCTCTTTTTTTGGAAACCTTGAAATTCGATATAATTAACATCGACTGATTTAATGACTGCTCTATATATGATTAAGTTTAGATTCGTGTTTATTACAAATAATTCAGGTAGAGGAAATTTGGGGATTTCATGAAGATATGTAAAATCACTGGGGAAAACAATTGCATTCAAAGACGCGTTTTCTAAAAGAAGTAAGTTACCAAATCTATTTGAAATTGCAAGCTATTCCATTTTACAATTTTCGAAAAAAATATATTTTATATCACAGCCAAGTAGATATGATTTCAATAATTATAAAGGAGCTGTGAAGAGTTTGACAGCGATTAAGAAAGTTTTTGAATATCTTACTCATACCTTCAATGAAGGCTTCTTTCGTTCAAACTCCAGTGAAATGTTTTAGTGAGATGTTAAACACAGTAATACTAGAGCCAAAAATAGCAAGCGATTACGGGAGCAACAAATTGTCTTGAATAAGGCAAGCAGGATTGTTTACGATTTCTTCATGAGACAAATAGCGGTGGAGTGATATCTACAAGCCCAGATACCGCCATCGAACACAATCCAGTAACAACATATGCGTTCAGACTAAATAATCAAAGTGATGCCTTCTCGTTAAATTTGATGAAAACTGTCTATAAGGATGATATATATCTCCCAGATTAACGTGGGCTTGATATAAACACACAATAGGAAGACCCAAAGATTTGTAGCCAGGGTGTAACACCCGGTGTCGCGACACTAAAGAAACGACAGATGCTCCGACATTAAACAGTAGCCAGATCCCGAACAATACTACAACCTGTTACGTTTCCAACAAATCTTATTTAGCAATTTTGAAAACTCCCAACACGCTCAAAATTTTTTCCACAATAGGGTTGGCAGCGTTTTTTTTTTTTTTTTTTTTTTAAAATTATACCACAATCAGCCATACACGTTGTGGCTTCTAAGATGGCGCCATCGGAAGTTGCAGGTAATTTATTACAAGACATCACCACAACTAGTTATTGGTGGGGTTCGGTTGATGTATATTATTTACAATAGTAAATAGTTCTATTTAATATCTACAAGTCAATGTAGACAATAGCATTAGTGTAAGCTCCCTAAAATTTACTACATCAAAGTATTATTTAGACCCAGTACTATCTAGATACATTCACCAGTAGCAAAACACTACTGGGACTGCAATGGTGGCTGGTACTGTGATGGTGACGGGCACTGTGATAGCATCAATCTACGATCAAGAACCAAACAACCCATGAACGAATAACTACCATTCGAAAATAGTCTACTAGTGTAGTATACCACAGCAGCGGAAGGCCCTGAAGTTTTTTGAAATATCATATTCCCAACTTTTATGCGAATTGTCATTGAGAAACCCAAGAATGCTAAGAGGCTAGACAGTATAGAAATGCAAGGAATTCTCGCTGACAAATGTAGCAGCTGTGATTGGCCAAAGATCCCGATAACCCTGCTCACACAGCAGGATTTGCAAGCAAAAGTTATTTTTTCCTCATTTTTACGGAGTGCGTTTAGCAACGAGAGTCATGATATACACAAAATCTCTACCTAGTTCATTCTGGTTTTTCATCATCGCGTTCCTTCACTTACAGATATTTTTGCTGTTTTGGTTTTTTATTTTCAAAAATAATATTGTTGAATAATCATGGGATGCTACTGAAACACTCATTTTTATTTTACTTATACCAATCACGTTTATAAGCGATTTATTTTCAACAAATATCACACCCCAGCATCTTGGCGAATTAACAGGATTTCCAACACCCAAGTTCTTCTGCTTTCATCTCGAACATTCAAAGGAATACACCCCTTCATGGACTACGCTTTATGTACCACAAGTCATATCTATCCAAATTTTTCCCCAATATAGCTTGAAAATTATGGCTATCCGAGATTCTTCTAGCGCATCATTAAGCGCAAATACAACAAATATTAATACTAAGCCATCACCGTCATCATCGCCCCCGTCAAAGGTATCAGATAACATCAAGCCTGAATCATCATCCTATACTGCAAAGCCACTCTCTGAATCTCCTAATCAAAAATGTTCGAATTGTGGCACTAACAAAACCCCTCTTTGGAGGAGAGCTCCTGATGGCACCTTGATTTGTAATGCATGCGGTCTATATTATAAGGCAAATAATTGCCACCGTCCAGTTAATCTCAAACGGCCTCCAAAGTTTGTGAAAATTGATAAAAGCTCTATAACAGAAAATGGAAGCTGTGAAGGTGATGGTCGGTGTAATGGTACCGGTGGCACTGCTGCTTGCGAAGGATGTCCCGTTTATAACAACAGAGTTATCATTCCACTAAATCACAATCCAGATAATAGTATGAGCAGCAAAAATGATTCCCATGCGAACTCAGAAAATGAAATCGATATGAACTCTCAAGAGAAAATATATCTTAAAAGTGAACCCGTTTCAAAGAAATCATCCCCGACGGTTGCACCATCCCCAACGGTTCCGAAGGAAAACAATGCCGGAAATGATGTTATTGCTTCTGATTCTTCGGTGGCTATTGCTTGTGCTAATTGTCAAACCACAATTACACCACTTTGGAGAAGAAATGATTTAGGTGAAACCATTTGTAATGCGTGTGGGTTATATTATAAGTTGCATGGTTGTCATCGTCCAATAAAAATGAAGAGCGGCATAATCAAGAGAAGAAAGAGAAATATAACCAACTCAGCACACAATGTTGATCAACAGGCTCTAGATCAAACTCCATCGCCTTCGGACGTGATAAAACCACATCAGCTGCGACAGGGAACTCCGACACCATCGAATAAGATTGTGAACAATGAACATAAAAGGCCTATTGAATTGACGGACTTTGACTCACCAAGAAGGGTTTCTCCTCGACAGCAACCTGTTGAGCAAAGACCCGGGTTCCAATTGCCGCCATTAACATCCATAATTGGTGGGCCTGTTACAACACCCTCAACTCTTGTAAGTCATCACCAAAAACATTTGCCCCCTCTTGCGTCGATTAACGGTACCAATAACCCTCATCAAGGCGGTTACTCTTCAAGACCATTTTCTCCACCTATGCCAATCAACAACCCACCAGAAACATATATGGACCCAGCATCAACGCGACATTACCAATCCACCATGGTTGCTCCAATTCCTCACTCTTATGGAGTTCTCCTGCTGCCATACTCCTATGCTCCCCTAAATGCATCTCATTTACAACCACCTGCTACATTTCTGCAAGCTCCAGCCTCGTATCCTCCTCCAAGATCTCATAGCACTGGTATAACAGGTGTAGTGGCTGCTGCTACTATTCAAAAACCACCAAACGCTAGTTCTGGAAACTCGCCAAGTAATGGTGACTCTAAAGATCCTCCATTATCAAAAATGACATCTTCAGAGAATAGTGGTGATTCGAGGGACAGGCACTTAAGCATCAACTCCCTATTGAATAGATGAAATGTATTGAATATGGGATAGAAACCTGTTCAGGTCACAGGAGAAAATAATAATGATAACAAATAGTGTTTTCTAAAACTGAGGAGAATCGTATAATTAATTGATCGAGCCTGTTATTTTGCATGAAACTTGACTGTCTTATATTTTAACTGAAATATCTTCTTACAGTTTTCAGGTCAGGACTTTTCTTGTTTTTTTTTTTTTTTGTTTTCTTCTAAAAATTCATTGCTGACATCATAAATATTTCACTTCTTAATAATATTTCACTTCTTGATACTATAATTTAATAATTTTTTTTTTCTTTTTTTTTTTTTAATTTGTCTAATTTATCCTTATTTTACAGGCTACCGAAACTTCTATCGTCATAACAATTAAGGCATCTATTACCTGATGAATGGTCGAGGGCGAGAAAAAAAAAGCTTTCTATATTATAGCATATATTTATTAAAAACAAAAATGTACGCATATTACGAAGAAATTTTGGACGTAAAGTGAAGTAGTGCGAACATACCACGAATTATGAGCTTTGCAATAGCTTGTATTCAAATGAGATGGTGATAGGAAATGATATTTTCTTTCTTCAAGCTCGTTGATGCTAGGGAGAGATAAATGTTTATTGCGATAAGACTGCTAAAGTCTACAAACATTTTTTTCATCTAGGAAACATAAATATGAATGCAAAGAATTAATATACTATAATAAGGTACAATGTTTCATTAACGAAGGGCCATCTTTATTGGTGATAATGAGCTGCAATCTTTTTCAAGCTTTGCCAAAGTTTCGTTGATATGGGTACTATCAAACTCATCATCATCGTTATAATTCGTGTCAATTTCATCCTTATTCATGTTAATACTCTCATTGGAAACTACTGCTTCGTTATCACGTTCCTGAATCCTTTTTGTAATTTCTTTGAACTCGTCGATTATAACTGTGGGCGTTTTTTTCAAAGATTTGCCGGTGGTGACAGGCTTGACCAGGGAGATTGTCGAAGCAGAAGACTGATCACTATTTTTAGGTCTTTCAGAGCTTCTTGAACCTTTATGTTTTGTAGGAGAGGAATCAAACCCTTCATCAAGATCATCGCCAAAAAGAGGGCTTGCATTATTCACTAGCTCAATCTTGCGCTTTTTGTTCGGGTTACTGTCAAAACTCACGTCCTCTAACTCTTTTAAAATATCAGCCTTGTTGATATTTGCTGGAGTAGAGCTGAAAATCTTACTAGGCTTTGGGTCTCTTTGAGTACTGTTGTTCGATGACACAGCAAATATAGGATGACTTATGTTGTTTTGAATGGATTTGGACCCTGACCTCGAAGTTGACTGTGGCGGAGAAATTGTCGATGGTAGTTTTGAATATTGTTGCGGTTGAAATGATTTAATCTGCTGTTTAAGTTCCTCAAGGACTGATTCTAATGATTCAACCTTACCATTGAGCTCAGTTATCACCATATCTTTTTTTTGCAATTCTTTAATCGCTAGTTGAAGATCTTTCTCAGATACAGAGTTGGTATCAGCTCGGGATTTTTGAGAAGTCGAAGAAGGGGAATCCAGCATATTTGATCTGAGACGTTTCTTAGAATTTCCATTTCCATTATTACTGGTACTGTTATTATGTTTCTCCTTTTGCTTGCTATTTTTATCTGCGATTGTTTGTGTAAGCCTAGGCAAATGGGTAAACAAATTCTTTTGAGCGGTTTCAATATTGTGAGAGTTTTCTTGGAGAAATGCAGGTTTTTTTCCAGGTTCAATATCCACATCATTGTTCTTCTTGTTCTTTGATAATTTTGACAGCTTTTTCGATCTGTTCTTTTTCGATTTCTTTGACTTCTTTTTTTCTTCTTTCATCAATTCATTGAGCTGGCGGCTATTTAATTTTTTTTCATGCAGCTCTTCTCTATTGGATCTTTCATCAACTGCAGTCAATTCACCCGGAAGTTTTGCAGTATTGGAAGGATTATTTACTCTATTATTCCCATAATTTCCATTATTGTAAGGTGTCGGCTGAGCAAAAAGATTTGATAATTTAGATGCAATTGTCGCCAAAAACCCTGGGCCTTGACGTGGTAATTGATAAGGCTCATCATCTGATGGCATGAATTCTTCTCCTGCTACCACCATACTGCTGTCAATATTTCTAAGTTTAGTAAAATTGTGGTAATTTTCATCTTCATATTTATCGATTTTCTTGGGCTGAGTTCTAGTTTGTGAGTTGCCAAAAATATCAGGATTATGTGACTTAGAATAAGGAATACTATACTGAGATGCTGATGAATCATGCGGAGTCCTTCGCCCATGATCCTGATTATTAATCTTATAATTACTCTTTTTATTGCCGTATGTCAATATTGATGATGATTTTTCAAAGTTATTATTATGTGATCCTCCACTTTTCGTAGGCTTATTCAAATTTAGAGAAGTTCTGGGTCTATTTTCTGGTCTATTTAATAGCCTTTCTCGTAGCTGCTCTCTGGAGTTGCTGAAATTCATGGATCCTGGAAGGGTAGGATATTCTGTTGAGTTATTGAAATTTATTGACCCTGGTAAAATTGGCTGTTGGGGACGATGATTCGATATGGCAGTTAAGGGTTCATGAGAGCCAACTCGGGAAAGCTTTGATCTTAGAGAGGTATATGAGATTGCATGACTGGGTTTTTGCTGTGATGGTGGTTGAAAAGGTGGTAAATTCCATGAAGGTTTTTGTCTAAGACGCGTCGTCGAAGATGATAAATCTTTGATAATGCTTGATGAGGAAGAGGTACGGTAGCGATGTGAGGGGATGTTAAGGGTAGTTTTTTTGCGGTCCCTGAACAGAAAACGGGAGCTGTCCATTATGGATTACAATCTGCTGCAGTTTTCGTAGCCAAACACTGTTACTATTGTTATTGTTATGATTACTGTTATTATTATTATTATTATGATTATGGTAATTTCGCGAAAAAAAAGTAAACACAAAAAAAAAATGCAGCAAAGCCGCTCACGTGACCAAAACATCACAAAGGTCGACCAATGAAGGGACTCCACCACCAATTGCTCAGTTTTCCCTCGGAATTTTCTCTATTTATTTATTAATAGCCTTTTTTAAGGATCATCAAACACTCAATATTGTCTTTTCGGGCGATTTTGATGATCCCGTTCACAGCGATGAAAATGATAGAATAAACACGATATTAGCTTATCAGTACCACGAGATAGATATCTCTTATCTATAGATAACGACACAAAAAAAAAAAAAACAAAACTTTGTGCATTAACTTGTGGGGCCATAAAATTGGCTGACAAGGTTGCCCATTGGTTGATTGGGTCATGCTATCCTGAGTAACTGGATATGGTTTTCCAGGAACAAACTCAAAAGTGAGAACAGGTGCCGAGGACAGTGCTGATGATGCAAGCGGATAACCGTTGAGCGATGTAAGCTGATTAAAAAAATCCAGAGGGACAAAAAGCATTGGCCAGGACCGCCAACGCACACGGCGCTGATGCCCCAAGGGCCAAATGGATGCCTCACTCAATACATAAAATTATGCCACCTTCTCCGTACACAGGAGCTGGTGTGTCACCCCCTTTTCTTCTCCATTTTTTTTTTTTTTTTTTTATTTTTCTTTCCACCGCCATCCCAGCAGCGACCGCGTTTCCAGAACAAATGAAAATGAAAATGAAAAACAAAAAACGACGGCTTTTATTCTGCTGGAAATTATTAGACACACCATGCGGAGAGTGTATATCATCTCAACAAAGTAGGTGATTTTCCATAACTGCACTAAAAGTAGTTTGATAATGTTCCTCCTGTCGCGTTGTCGTGGGCGGTGGTTGCTGCCCCATTAAGGTTCGAGAAGGTGCAGCTGATAAGTCGTCGGTGCCCTCCACTTCAATTTAGGCGTCACTTTATCTGTCTATCTATCAATCTCTCTACCCGTAAGCAGAACAAGCAAAAAAATCTATAATTCCTACCACTATATCATCAAAAAAGCAACACAAGAGAAACTTGTACTCTTCAACAATCCTCACCCAGTTTAAGCCACACTCTGAAAGTAAACAATAAACAAGTATTCCTTTGTAGCGAACATCACCTCCTAAATTCCATTTGAGAGCACGGAGCCCACTTATGCACTGATACGCATGCTCTGCAGTATGCTCAAACTTTGTTTTGCGTTGGTGCTATCTTTTTTTTTTTTTGGTTATTCATTTTTTAGTTTTACACAAAGTATAAATATCCCTGTTTTCCCCATCACAGTAGCAGAAGTCTAAGTGTTCCTCTTACCTCACTTCATTAGTTTAACAATACAAATCATCAATCATCATGTCTGAAAAAAAAGCTAACTCAGAGTACGAAGTCGACCACGACTATGGAAATTCTGCTCCATACACCCAACCAGCCAAGGGTGGTGTCTGGCATAACTTTATCGACTCTTTTAAAAGAGAAGAGGACCAGTTTGCCGAAATGGATGGTCTCACTGACAAAGAAAAAATTGTCCAAAGAACCGCCAAGTCTCCACTTCAAAAGAACTTGAAGAACCGTCACTTGCAGATGATTGCCATTGGTGGTTCCATTGGTACTGGTTTGTTCGTTGGTTCTGGTACCAGTTTGCAAACTGGTGGTCCAGCTGGTATTTTGATTGCTTACACTTTGATTGGTACTTTCATGTTCACCACCGTGCAAGCTCTTGGTGAATTGGCTGTCGCTTTCCCTGTCTCTGGTGCTTTTGCTGTCTACAACTCTCAATTCGTTTCTCCAGCTTGGGGTTTTGCTATGGCTTGGAATTATGCTTTGCAATGGTTGATCGTCTTGCCTTTCGAATTGGTTGTTGCTGGTATGGTTATTCAGTATTGGAATAAAGAAATTAGTCCTGCAGCCTGGGTTTGTATTTTCTGGGTTTTAATCACTTGTATCAACGTTTTCGGTGTCAAGGGTTACGGTGAAGCCGAATTCTGTTTCTCTATCATCAAAGTCATTGCCGTGGTTGGTTACATCATTCTCGGGATTATTTTGGTCTGTGGTGGTGGTCCAAACCACGAATACATTGGTGGTAGATACTGGCAAAAGCATGGAAAGACCGAAATTGCTCAAGGTGCTTTCAACCACGGTTTCAAGGGTCTTTGTTCTGTCTTCGTCACTGCTGCTTTTGCCTTTGCTGGTACCGAATTGTGTGCCCTTGCTGCTGCAGAAACCGCTAACCCAAGAAAGGCTTTACCAAAGGCTACCAAGCAAGTTTTCTGGAGAATCACCTTGTTCTATGTTGTCTCCCTTACTCTCGTTGGTTTGCTTGTTCCATACGGTGACAAGAGTTTGGGTGGTGCCAGTTACGATGCCAGAGCTTCTCCATTTGTCATTTCCATCAAAAATGCCGGTATTAAGGCATTGCCATCTATCTTCAACGTCGTTATTTTGATCTCTGTGCTTTCTGTCGGTAACTCCTCCACCTTTGGTTGTTCCAGAACTATGGTTTCCATGGCCGAACAAGGTTTTGCTCCAAAGATTTTTGGTTACATTGATAAGGCCGGTAGACCAATTGTCGCCACCGCTGTTTCTTTACTTTTCGGTCTCTTATGTTTCCTTGTTGCTTCTAAGAAGGAAGGTACCGTTTTCGGCTGGATGTTGGCCATTTCTGGTTTGTCTTCCATTTTCACCTGGGGCTCAGCTTGTGCTTGTCACGTCATCTTCAGAATGGCTTTGAAGGCTCAAGGTAGAACCACTGATGAATTGTCCTTCACCGCTCAAACAGGTGTCTGGGGTTCTGTCTATGGTGTCATTGGTTACTGTGCTGTCCTTGCTGCCCAATTCTGGATTGCCGTTTGGCCATTTGAGTTGTCTTCGACTGGTTCTGGACGTGCCAATGATTTCTTCGAAGCTTACTTGGCTGCCCCAATTATCCTCTTTTGCTATGTTTTTTACATGGTCTGGAAGAGAGATTTCACTCTTTTCGTTGGCCTTAAGAACATTGATTTGGACACCGGTAGAAAGGTTGTTGATATGGACTTGTTGAAACAAGAAATTGCCGAAGAAAAAGCTTACGCTGCCACCAAGCCATGGTACTGGAGAGCCTACAACACTTGGTGTTGAATTCATTCGGTACTTGGACAATTTCTACAAGACTAATTTTTTTTTTTACTATTTCATTCTTTATTCATTAGAATAGATTCTTGCTTTGTTATTCATTGTTTTCTTGCATTTACTTTTGTTTTTTCTCGTATCTGATACCTACCTCATTATAGTTGTCATTTTGGCAATCAGCCTTCCAAATTGCCGCGAATAATAAAATATATTTCCACGTAAATTATTATTTTATAACTTTCTATCGTTTGTAGAATTATGTACAGAAAATATCAGTTGAAAAACAATCAGATAATATAATCCAGTTTCCAAAGAATAGAAGGCTTTTCTTCTGTTTTCAATGAATTGTTATTTTTTACTTGTATACAAAATATATATTCTGCATTCTTTTTGATAATTATCATCGTGTTCTTTTTTTTTTTTTTTGGCCACTATTTGGTGAACTAACGCATCGCGCGTGTCTTCTTATTTAGTCCCTAAGATCTACAAGTCACTAGCTCACAGCGACTTAAAAGTGCTATCTGTTTATGAAACAAAGCTTTTCACTATGTTGACAATGCAGAGTCAAGGAGTTCAATTAGCAGATTGTATTAATCGGTACTTGACAAAGCTTTGTCTTGTTTTCTTTTTCTTTCATGTCTTCTCTATTATGGCAAATGGTCTTACAGGTCTTACAGATAGATACCATAGATGATATGCAACAAAATATATGATTCATAGATATATTAAACAGGAGAAAAAAAAATTAAGAAAAGGAACAACAACACTAAAAAAGAACTATTGCTTAAGGTATCCACCACTCTCACAAAGGCTATAGAAAAGTGAGTCTTTGTTCTTGAGCAAGTTGGCAGGACTATCAAACTCTTTCACTTCACCTCTATCCAACACCAAAATTTTATCATTATCCATGATGGTGTCTATTCTATGGGCAATAGTCAAAATCGTTCTGTCATTAAACTTATTTCTGATGGTTTCTTGGACAATTTTATCGGTCTTGACATCAACTGCGGCAGTTGCTTCATCCAAAATCAAAATTCTTGATGGATTTAATAAAGCTCTAGCCAAGCAAAGTAACTGCTTCTGACCAGCAGATAAATTGGAACCACCTTCATTAACTTTAGCGTAAAGACCTTTACCTGCCCCTTCTTGGATATCGGAGGAATCTCCTTGCTCTTGATTGTCCTTCTTACTCTCATCATCCTTCATTGACATAACATGGTTTTTCAAATGCGCCATTTCCAAAACCTTCCACAATTCTTCATCCTTGTATTTGTAAAATGGATCCAAGTTCTGTCTCACTGTACCTTCAAAAGCCTGGGAATCTTGAGGAATGATATTCAATTTACTTCTCAAGTCGTACAAACCCATCTTCGAAGTATCCACACCATCAACGATGATCGATCCACCAGTGGCTTCGATAATTCTAAATAGTGCTAAAGTCAAAGTACTTTTACCAGCACCGGTTCTTCCAACAATACCAACCTTTTCTTGAGGTTTCACTTCGAAAGAAACATTATTCAAAACAGGCTTAGCCTCGGCATTATATTTTGTGGTGTAGTTTTGAAATTTGATGCCACCATTCATAGGCCATTGGATTGGAGGTCTAGAATTCTCAATAACATATGGTCGTTCGCTTGGTAGATCACAATACTCTAATATTCTTTCAATACTAACCCCGGAATTCTCAACTTCAACCCCCATTCTAACAAGCCAGATGAACTCGTCAGTGACTTGCAAGATGAACAAGGTCAAAATACCTACCACACCAGCACTAAATGGTGTAGATGTCGCAAGACTCGCAACACAAAGAAAACAGATAATGAACACGAGAATTGCACTCACACTCTTCAAACGGAAACCCAACCATCTAGTCATCCACACCAGAGCAATTCCTCCAGCTAAGTTATGGTTCAAATTGGATGAGTTGATAAACTCAAACCTGGACTCCTGACCAAATGCCCTAATAGTATCGACCCCAACCAAAGATTCATGGACATGGGAATACACAGGACTTTTGGTAACACTATCAAATCTCTTAGTTTCTCTAGAAGCAACAATATAGTACACTTGGATATAATAGAAAATATAACCCAAACCCGCTAACGCAAAAATACTAGTTGGTAGTGAGAAAACGATCATGCCTAAACAGTAGGCAGATTTCAAGACAACGATTCCAAACACATAAACAGCATGAGGGAATTGTGTGTCGAATTTGCTAATATCTTCAGAAAATCTATTCAAAATTCTTCCAGTTGGGGTAGTTTCAAAGAAGGACATTGGCGACTTGATTATTGCCGATACCAAGTCTTGATGAAGAACCTTTGAAGCAGTTGCACAAGAAAAGTACCAGAATGCAATTCCGGAAACTAATGAGAACGTAGCACTCACAACTCCAATAATACAATAGACAGAGACCAAGTAAGATGTAGAAGATGAAGAAGCGTCATCATCAGTAGATAAATCCATCGTATCCGCCCAATGCTTCATCCATAGCTTCCCACAAAATTCAGCTATAATACTAATAGCAAGAAAACAAGCTGTGATGATCACATTCCAATATCCAGCAGCCTTGGCAGCTCTTTTATAAGTCGACCATCCAACACCCCCAGTTTTTGAAATTTCTTTGGTTTGACCAGTAATCTTGCCCTCAGTCTTTTCATTATCAGCATGGAACCTGTGTTCAAAAGCTGCCATGGAGGCTCTTCTAATCGTAGCTCTAGTAGGGATTCTTGATAATTCAAGACCACTTTCTTCAATCTCAACAACAACATCTGAGTCATCATCTTCGACAACCTCAGCAATGTTAGTGAGTTCTACTTTCTGACATTCTTCTTTTTCTTTTTCTTCTTTTTCTTCTTCGGCTTTAGCATTTCCAAATTCTTCAATCAATTTGGCAAATTCTCCTTTATTCTTAATCAATTCATCATAAGTACCTTGTTCATCAATTTTCCCATGATCTAAAACGTAAATGTTGTCAGCTTCCTCGAGAACATGAATATTATTGGTAGATAAAATCAAAGTCTTTGAGGCCAAAATACCGTTTTTACTGAATACTTGTTCAATGATATTTTTGCTAACGTGTGCATCAACCGCACTGAGAACATCATCAAGTAAATAAATATCAGCTCTCGCATAGACTGCTCTGGCTAAAGAAACACGGGCTTTTTGACCACCCGATAAAGAAATACCTCTTTCACCAACTTGTGTTTCCTCGCCATCAGGTAAAATCTCAAAGTCAGATTTCAATTGACAGGCTTCGATGGTCTTTTCAAAAAATTCAGGATCGTATTTGTGACCAAAAAGAATGTTTTTCTTGATTGAAGCGTTCATAGTCCATGGATGTTGAGAGCAATAAGTGATCTTACCACGAACGTGCAAACTTGGAGGAACATTAGAAGCGCCACCGGAAACCATTGGGAATTGACCAAGAAGAGAATGTAGAAAGGTAGATTTACCAGATCCAACACTACCAACAATACAAGTGAGTTGGCCCTTCTTGGCAGCAAAATTAATATTAGATAACGCAATCACTGGCGCCGATTCAACAATACTTTCAGTGTGCACAGAATTATTATCGACATGCTCATCAATTGTCCTGGTTTTCTTGAATTCTGATCTCAAGAATGTGGCATTATTGATTTCCACTGAAGTATCACCATTGGTTTTCACTTCATTCAATTTCTGGACAAGGGATTGATCTAATTCATCAGAATCTAAGAAGTCAATGATTCTCTTTAATGAGACCTTAGCTTCAATAAATATACTCAAAATATCCGGGAAATCTAGCAAAGGAGCAGCCAACAAATCAAAAACATTTAAACAGGGGAAAACCAACTCTGAAGTCAATTTTTGCCCAGAAATAAGTGAAAATGCTGCAAAAGTCGCGCAAGACGTAAAGTATGGAACACATCCAAAAGAAAAAAAGGCCAAACTGTTGATGATGCCCATAATTTTGATTTCTTTCAATTCCTTTTTGTTTCTGATATGTGATATTTTTTCACTCATTGGCTTCTCCCATGAATATAATTTGATGGATTTTATGGAGTTCAATAACTCACTAACCGCCTTTGTTCTCATGTCCTTGAACTTCATAATATTATCTGAAACAACCTCATAACGTCTAATGATATAAATGTTTCCAGGGGTGGCAGAAATAATAACCAAAATCCCGAAAAAGGAGGACCAACCTACTAATCTGTAAAGGAAGCCAATACTGATCAAAATTTGGAATGGACCACTGATCAACATGAAAGACTGACGAAGCAGCTGCATGACTTTAGTAACATCCACAGAAATCAAGTTGACAATGTCACCGGTAGTTCTTTCGCCACGAGACTTGGTAGATAACTTCAAAGACTTTTCGTAAATCAAAAATGACAAACTAAGAGACACTTGATAACCAAGTTGAAAAGAATAGTTATAACATTCATTGAACAAGATCAACCCCACAAAAGCCATAACCATCATGGAGACACAGATCAAGAACCCATATAATATCTGGGATGATTTATCCTCAGCAGACCCGGTGAAAATTGACAAGAGTTGTTGAAGTAACCATGGGTGAGCAAAAACACTGACGGCCCAACTGGATGAAAAAAAGACGCATAGCACAATATTTGATTTAAACGCCTTGACCAATGCTTTGAGTAAACTAGGATCCTTTTCCAAAAATTCCTTGACCTTTTTAGCACAATTTTCAACTTTCAAGTTTTCACCGACATCAGGTAAATCTTCAAATTCTACCTTACCAGTTTTGTAGCACTTGCTCACTAAATGGTTGAGATTAGTGTAAGAAACTCTTGCCAATACGTTACTGTAAAAAATTGAGCTGTCATTAACTCCATTGAGTTTCAAATCATATGTAAACTCGTGGGCCCTTTTCCAAAATACTGCTTCCATTAGAGCAACGAAAACTGAATTAATGAATAACAATATTTCGATTTTGTTGAAAGTCAGGTTCGGAGACATTGAATAGTCAGTGTAGTTGTTTTGATATAATCCAGCCAGCAACATAAATGGATTCAAGACCCAATATAGTAATGGAGTGGCAAGCTGCCAGATGGATTTATGAACTTCGATGATATGAAGAGGCAACAACACAAATACTATAAGAGTGAATGAACACGCCAATCCAACTGTCGATAAATTGGCAAAGTCTTTGGTATTCTGGGTAGCTTGATAATAACATAAGATCGCTGTAAGAAACCCTTGCAAAGTAACTAACCCCAATCTAAGAATATGATAAAACCCTTCGCTCTTGATATTCAAGTACTTTCCATGTGTTTTCCGTCTTTTCATAACAAGAAGTTGATATCCCCCGAGGAATCCAAAGAAGCATGAAAGCCCAATCAATAGAGCTGACAAGAAGTATGGATTGAATGCATTTTCATTTGGGATGACCACTTGAGACCAGCGTCCCCAGTGACTTAGTGTAATTGAAAAACTCTCCAATATAACCATTGTGCTTAGGTACTGTTGATCCTCGAAGCTAGCAATAATTCAATTTTTTTTATTTTTCATTCTTTTTTTTTTCCCTTAGAAAATAATAATCTTTTTATACCCTTCGTATATATATTGCTAGTTAGAAAATACGGATGATTACGAATCTTTCGCTAATGTGACTATTACTCTGAACTCTCTAATTTTTGCGAGCTCTGGATTATCCAGATATTGCCGTTTTGGGACAGTTTCAGGTGACATGCCCAAGAATATATGTATATTGGGGTAGTCTCGCAAAATACATGGTTTACTACTAAGACACCATGCTATTGTTGCCAGTGATGATTAGGATATCAGAAAGGTTTAAAAACCACACTGAAGTTGGGAGATTTTCAGTTCACTGCGGATTTGTAATCTTTAGGGCAGCATCATATCTATGTGAAAGCTTTCATGCAACATTTATGAAGAAATGAAAAAAAAAAAAAAGAAAAAAATACATCACTTCAACAAAGAACATACATTACTATAGTAATATTCAGAACATCTCAAATATTTATCATGAAGCTGATAATCACAACAGTTGCGTTCAAAAAGAGGGAAATCAAAAACATTTTTTTTGTGAAATGGGGTGTGACTTTCTCTTGTGCTATACAATAAACCAGGATCAAGGTACATATACCAGTTTACTAAAATTTTATTAAATTGAACAAAAACTGATAAATTATATTCAAAGGCGATCTACTTTAATTTCCACTTTAATTGAAGATTCAAACTAATGACTAAGCTCAATGTAATATCAGCAAATGAAGAATTCAAAAACCATAGGACCCACGAACAACACAAACGCTAACCAAAGCAAAACAATAACAAAAACAACATAAAAAAAAGACAAGAAAAATTGTGACAAAAAACCAAACCTTATTAACAAAAAAAGAAAAAAAAAAATGAAAACGAATATTGGCAAAAAGTTTTTATGATAAAAGAACCCTAGGTGCATCTAAAGCAATTTTCTACCCAAAACTCATACGTATAAACAGTCTTCCCATAAAGAGTTTCCATCAATGCTTTTCAGGCCAATCCAATGTACCATCAATTACAATAAGTGTAATGGTTTGTTCAGCGTACTTTTCAACTTTCGAGGATATAATTTTCGCACCTCTAGAAGAGCCTCTTTCTGCGCTAGCCCAAAAATCGCTGTTGTAATTCCTAATAATAATATCATTGTTATTGATGGTTTTGAAAGTAATATCACTGCCATCCTCTGGTAGTTTATATTGTAAATCTGAAATATTGACCAAATGACTCTTGACAAAGCTCAAAACATTTTCCTTCGAAACCTTATCAGCCGTCTTTTCATCCATAGATGGAACAATTAAAGAAGGGAACTCCCAAGGTTTTTCACTAAGCTTTTTAATGGCATTGTCGGTCGGAATAAAGATGATGATGTCTTTAAGCGGACCAGTATGGATAAAATCATAATTATCACGAAGGTAGTAGGTGAAAATAGAAATCGGGTCTTTGAAGCTCAACAAGTTAGTAGAAAATGAGGAAAAGTCAGCAGCTAGCCGCTGCTGTTCTCTCTGCTTCGCATATTCCTCATCGAAGCTTTGAGGAGTTTGCTGATCATGATTCATTCTCTTCTCAATTCCCTGCGCTCTTTCATCACCAGAGATGTTAATTTTGGTTATGTCAAACACGTTTTTGGCAATGACCAAGTTAAAGAAACGAATAAAAGTGATAAAATACACCAAAGCCTTCATTTCTGATGTGATTGCGCTATGATGGTTCAATGGATTAAGATAGAGTCTCCCAGGCACAATAATTTTAGGGGATGTGATTTTTTTTTTCATTACTAATCGATGAGATTACCCGGCCTTATATGAAACCTCATCGCCAGAATGAGAAAAAATGTAAACATTGACACACACAGATATATTCGGGATAATTAAGTAGAATAATTAGGCAGAATAATATACCAGTATCACCTAAACTCAAGACAAAACAAAAGAAAAAGTACCAACCCCAGAAATGTCGCGAGGATCTGATTTTTCTTTCATCCACATGAAAAATCCTCACCATATCATATACATGCAAGAATGGTCTCGAGACATCCTACCCTACGATGACATTGAGCTCAGTGAACGCTATCTTCACGAACTATCCAATGATACCCCTGATTCACACCTATATCGAGAAAACAACGGTGCCAGCTTACAGTCAGGCGCATTTGGCTCATCAATTAATAACAAAACCCACCAAAAAAGACTAAAGGAATATTCATGGAAGGATTTGGATTTAAAACGGTTCCTCACAGAAAACCACTCATCAAAAATGAAAAAGGATAGTGATAATGACGAAGGTTTCCATAATCTTCATGAAAATTTGAAACAAGGTGAAGGAGGAAGCAAGCTGTCATGGAGATTCAACCGTGGTGAGCCCATTGACAATTCCTTTGGTGGTATCCATATCGTCAGCCATGATCATACAATCTTAGAAACTGTACAAAAGAAATACACCAATGATGATTTCAGCTCGATGAACCTGATGAATAGAATATTGGAGCATACGACTGATTTCTCCTTGAATAGTAGTCCAAACACCACCAACACCACAACTACATCTTTGTCGCGAAATACCAATAGATTAACAGTTTCAGACCAGGGCCCACCAGTTGTACCACAAAATAATATATTCAACACACCTTGACTGTGAAACTCAGATCAAAATAGCGAACTCTCTTATTCTTGTAATTGCATTCTTTTTCTTTTTTCCTCTTCGTGTCTCTTTTTTTTTTTTTTTTTTTTTCCTTTCTTTTTTTAATGGGTTCAGCACGGAAAGAATTTTAGGGCAATGTGCGATTTTAATTTTATTTAGACATAGCTGCGAATAGTTTGATTGTTTGACTCTCCATATATTAGTGCTTCATGTCAAAAATGGAAATTTCTTGAGAATCATCTATTACGCAATATTCTGCATGTGCACTAATATCCAGTTATGTGCCCTTTCTGGGCACTCTTCGCTAATCAAAAAATTATTAGGCCATAACAAAAATTAACTGCTTTCCCAGATACTTTACATTATGAGGTTTATAACAATAACTCAATAATGGTGCTGTCATATATCGCACGAACGCTTTCTCAAATACCTAACTGTTTCAATACAGACGTGAGCTTTGGGGGTCGTATTAGAAAAAGATACTTGACTACGTTTATCCCTCCCAGCACCAAAACTCCCATTTTTAAGTACGGTGGGAACGATGATCAACGAAGCTTCTTGTCCCTAGTATCCAGTGAACACTACGCTGAGGATATTGAGGATGGCCTGCTGGATGATGCTTCGATACATTCCTTACCTGCTGATATGAATGACATCGAATCTGACCCGGAACTACAAACATTGTTTAGAGAAAGATCGTCGTTGTCATTGGCATCGATCAGTACCCATGGATTTCAATCAGAGGAGGATAACAAAGGAGATGAGCAGGAGGTTTATGATGATGATGATGGTGATGATATGACCTCAACTAATCTTAATCCAGTAACATATTACCCTAAAAAAGGCAAGCAAACACACCTGAGCCACTCGTCAACGACTCCTGCAAAATTATTAAAAATGAGCAGACAGAACAGCAGGTCAAGTATAGTTACAAATAAGTCGGGAGACATCAGAAGAACTAACTACGGGTCAATAAGTGATGCATTGATAGGTAGTCGACTTGATGACGATGAGGAAGAAGAGGAGGATTATGCCCATGAGAAGGTTACAATGAAGTCAGAGATAAAGGTTTTTATCAAAAATACCATCCCATTAATTATCACTTTCTGTTTAAGTCAATCATATACCATTCTTACGACAATTACGGCATCGAAAGTGTTTGGGAAAGACCAGCTTTCGGCAGTTTCTCTAGCATCAATGACTGCTGCCATAACTTTTTCAATATTTGAAGGGATTTCGACATCTCTTGATGTACTATGTCCTCAGGCATATGGATCGGGGAATATCAAGAAAGTAGGGTTGTATACACAGAGGTCAATTGCCCTTTCTCTTATTGCGTTCATTCCATTTGGGTTTTTATGGTGGCACTCGGCATATTTTTTTAGACTCATATTAGAGTCCGAAGAGCTTGTTCAGTTGACATCTTCTTTTCTTAGAATATTGATATTTGCAGCTCCTTTCTATATAATCTTTGAGAATGCAAAAAGATTTCTCCAATGCCAAGGGATCTTCAACGCTAGTACTTTGGTGCTCCTCATTTCAACTCCATTGAGTATAATAACAATTCAAACATTAGTTCACACTATCGGTTTTTCAGGTATTGCAATTACCTGTGTTTTAAATTTCTTAGTGATGTGCACTTTGCTAATTTCTTACATTTTTGTTATTGATGGCATGGAATGTTGGAATGGTTTTACGTGGGATGCATTCAATGGCTGGGGCGAATTAGTCAAATTCAGTTTTGCTGGTGTGGTTTGTACATTTTTAGAGGCCTCGAGCTGGGAGATATTGACTTTATTTTCCAGTTTCTTTGGAGCTACCGCGTTGGCAGCCCAATCCGCAATCTCAACCGTGGCATCATTGGCATTTTTTGTACCATTTTCAGTGGGTATCAGCTCCTCTACCAGAGTTGCTAATTTCGTTGGTGCTAATAGAATAGATGGACCAGCACAAATCGTTGCCAAGATTGGATTATCAGCCGCAGTAATTGTTGGTCTTTTCAACGCCATGGTGCTTTTCTTTGGCCGGTACATAATTGCTGACATCTATTCGAATGATCCCGGAGTAATTGCGTTAATAGTCAAAGTCCTCCCGTTTGTTGCAGCAATACAGTTGTTCGATGCGCTTAATACGGTTGCTGGTTCTTTACTACGTGGTCAAGGGATGCCATACATTGGAGGAATCATCAATTTTGTGGCCTATGACTTCTTTGCCATTCCTTTAGCAATGCTCTTAGGCTACCATTATGATTTAGAGCTTGTAGGGTTGTGGATTGGTATAGGATGTGGATTGTTTGTCATTGGGCTCAGTGAAACTTGGTACGTGTTGAATGTGGACTGGGAGGAAGCAGTTCGCAAATGTAGGGAAAGAAATCGGATCAAAGTTTGAGATCGATTAAGACATTGATTTCAGTATCGATGAGTAAAAGCTGGATGGCCAACATGCTATAAAGAATTCGACTATAAATTTAGTTTTTTCTATTCCATTTTATCACCTTCTGCCCATGAAATGATGGTTAGTGTTTCTTGGAAATGTGTTTGTGTTTCTTGGAAAAAATAATTGAAAAATATGAAAAATAATTGAAAAATATGAAAATTATGAAAAATCAATTGAATCAAACCAGCTACTAGACATAGAAAGCATATATTATACACTGCTAATGGGCAACATATTCATATACTTCTTTATATCATATAGAGCAGTTAATGAATAGGGTTGCTCTTTCCTGTTTTTACCAAGTTTGTAAGATCTCTAAAGAATACCAGTTTCTCTTTTGTAACCTTCTTCACCGCTGCTATCTCTGTAGTCCTTGCATATATTGGGAAAATTTGGGGACTGGCTTATTTCTTTCAAATCGGTATAGGAGTGGGATGTTAGTGGCTGGGATTGATAACGTACCAATTGACAAATATAATTAGCCATATGCATGGATTCTGAGGCAACCCCATAAACGGAATTTAGATCTGTGCATAGCCGCTGACAATAACCAAATAGGAAAGAGCAATTGAAAAAGGGATGCGGAACGAAGAACAAGAAGATGGAAAGAAAACAAACATCTGATGATATTCAAGCTAATAAGAAAAGAGTAGCAATTGATTAGGATTGATTAGGAGTATATCACTGACCTAACCGTTATTATCCAGAATCCACACAACCGATTATCTATATTGCTCCCTGCACTTTGATGGATGGTCATGCGCTCCCAATTACGAAAGATTCTGGACAACTGATCTTGTTGTAGTTGTTATTCGTAATTGATCGTGTCTACGTGACTGGAAACTGCGCTTCTACATGTGGCTGAATAGTGTAATTAGTAACGCAAAACCCAAACAAACGATAGTAATATTCGGGCAGCCCAAAACTAGTACGTACAAAGTATACTTGTGGTGGCATAGAGATATTCACTAATCTCCTATGCCACGGATGTATTCCAATCCACCATCCGTCGCTCGCCTTTTTGCAATAGTTGCCGTTTCTTTTTTTTTCTTGCTTTTTTTCCGGACTTTACCAACTTTATTAAGGTTACCGAGCGGTGCAGGTGATAAGGACGGTGCCCTTCGTTTTTATCTGTTGCTCTAACTGCTATCTATCTATCTATCTATCTATCTATCTATCTATCTATCTATCTATCTCTCTTTCTCTCTCTCTCTCTCTCTCTCTCTATGTATGTATTTATCTATCTATCTGTCAAGAATGCATGGTGATATTCAAAAGAAATGTCTGGCGGTTTATTACGCTGTTATCGCAGGTCCTGTTCCAAACCATCTGGCTTTTTCCGTCACTCACTGAGTGATTCACAGTATACCCCACTCATTTCAATAATATGACAGGTATGAAAAACCTAGGATTATAATACGACGAAATAACGCTGGATATATCTGCCCTGTAATTTTTTTATTAATAGGTCAGTGAAGAACAATCTCTTCGTTTCGATAAAGATAGTAAAGTAGGGTATCCTTCATAGAACTAGTTGCCTGTGCACCAAGACGCACACACTGCAGCGATATCAACTCTATTATGCTGCAATTTCTATTATTCTTCAATTATTTACTTTTGCAAGGTACCACAGGCATAAATATGCCTGATTCCCCCTATCAATAATATTTAATTTTTGATTTTGTTAATTCAATATGTCATTAACATCAAACAAGAATATTTTAACCAATAATCATGTCTGAAAAAAAAGCGAACTCAGATATCGCAATCGAACAGGAGGTAGGCAACGTCGCCTCTCCATACACTGAACCAACTAAGGGTGGTGCCTGGAACAACTTTATTGACTCTTTCAAAAGAGACGAAGATCAGTTTGCCAACTTGGAAGGCCTCAGTGAGCTAGAAAAGAGAACCCAAAGATCCACTAAGTCTCCACTTCAAAAGAACTTGAAGAACCGTCACTTGCAGATGATTGCCATTGGTGGCTCCATTGGTACTGGTTTGTTCGTTGGTTCTGGTACCAGTTTGCAAACTGGTGGTCCAGCTGGTATTTTGATTGCTTACACTTTGATTGGTACTTTCATGTTCACCACCGTGCAAGCTCTTGGTGAGTTGGCTGTCGCTTTCCCTGTCTCTGGTGCTTTTGCTGTCTACAACTCTCAATTCGTTTCTCCAGCTTGGGGTTTTGCTATGGCTTGGAATTATGCTTTGCAATGGTTGATCGTCTTGCCTTTCGAATTGGTTGTTGCTGGTATGGTTATTCAGTATTGGAATAGCACAATTAGTCCTGCAGCCTGGGTTTGTATTTTCTGGGTTTTAATTGTTTGTATCAACATTTTTGGTGTCAGGGGTTACGGTGAAGCCGAATTCTGTTTCTCTATCATCAAGGTCATTGCCGTGGTTGGTTACATCATTCTCGGGATTATTTTGGTCTGTGGTGGTGGTCCAAACCACGAATACATTGGTGGTAGATACTGGCAAAAGCATGGAAAGACTGAAATTGCTCAAGGTGCTTTCAACCACGGTTTCAAGGGTCTTTGTTCTGTCTTCGTAACTGCTGCTTTTGCCTTTTCCGGTACCGAATTGTGTGCCCTTGCTGCTGCAGAAACCAAGAACCCAAGAAAGGCTTTGCCAAAGGCTACCAAGCAAGTTTTCTGGAGAATCACCTTGTTCTATGTTGTCTCCCTTACTCTCGTTGGTTTGCTTGTTCCATACGGTGACAAGAGTTTGGGTGGTGCCAGTTACGATGCCAGAGCTTCTCCATTTGTCATTTCCATCAAAAATGCCGGTATTAAGGCATTGCCATCTATCTTCAACGTCGTTATTTTGATCTCTGTGCTTTCTGTTGGTAACTCCTGTACCTTTGCTGCCTCCAGAACTATGGTTTCAATGGCCGAACAAGGTTTTGCTCCAAAGATTTTTGGTTACATTGATAAGGCTGGTAGACCAATCTTCTCTACTCTTTTCTGTTTGCTTCTTGGTCTTTTGTGTTTCCTTGTTGCCTCTAAGAAAGAAGGTACAGTTTTTAACTGGATGTTGGCTATTTCTGGTTTGTCCGCTCTTGTCACTTGGGCTTCAGCTTGTGCTTGTCACGTCATTTTCAGAATGGCTTTGAAGGCTCAAGGTAGAACCACTGATGAATTGTACTTCACCGCTCAAACAGGTGTCTGGGGTTCTGTCTATGGTGTCATTGGTTACTGTGCTGTCCTTGCTGCCCAATTCTGGATTGCCGCTTGGCCATTTGAGTTGTCTTCAACTGGTTCTGGACGTGTCAATGACTTCTTCCAAGCTTACTTGGCTGCTCCAATTATCCTCTTTTTCTATGTTGCTTACATGGTCTGGAAGAGAGATTTCACTCTTTTCGTTGGCCTTAAGAACATTGATTTGGACACTACCAGAAAGGTCGTCGACATGGACTTGTTGAAACAAGAAATTGCCGAAGAAAAGGCTTATGTTGCTTCCAAACCATTCTACTGGAGAGTCTATAATTACTGGTGTTAAGATATTCCTGTTAGTATGAATATCCCACAAAAATATTTTTTTTTTCTCTTGTTTTATTCTTTAGAATAGATTTTTTGCTTCATTATTTATCAATTTATTTCTTGCTCTCATTTATTTCTGTTTTTTCTCGTATTTGATACCTAACTCATTATGTTGGTCTTTTCAGCTTTCAGGGGAGTTTGATACTTCCAAATTAACAATATATCTAAATGTAAATTATTATTTTATAATTTGGTTTTATCCTGAGGTATAGTAGCACCCCACTGTTGTGTGCCATTGAGACTCCCGCCGCTAACTAGAACATCGATATTATTCTTTACGAGATGGGCATTAGTTTGGGTTAATTCAGGTTTTGTACAGTAATCCTGTAACTTCCTGGCCCTTCTACAGGATATGCTTATTACAGAAGTATTTATGACCAATATATCCTTATAAAGTAAAGTGCTAATGTCCACTAACCCGGGGTAAATGCGAGCCTTCCAGTGCCTATGTGTTACTGGCTGTATAAGGCGTTATTCTTTTATCTCTAATTTTCATGCGAGACGATGAAATAATAACAGAAGGGAGGAAGAAGAATATTTGACTTCTTAATCCAATATATATAGCTATCTCCGCTGAACTTGCGCCAGATATATTATAAAATGATCAGATGTGTTCAACGTACTTGGTCTAAAACTCTCTAATTGAATACAAAGCTCAAACATGTGGCTCCTATTTAATAACCAGGTATTAATATGTAATAATAGTAATAACACAAAGAAGGTAAATGCATTAAAAACAATAAATTAAAATGGACGCGTTCTGGCTTTAAACATAAATAAAAGTTGTTGATAATAATAAAATGAAAAGTTGGGTGATCATACTAGTATTATGTATGATAGCACAATTCACCAAGGGGACAACTGACGTGAATGGTAACTGAGCAAAAAATAATGTGTATATTTGAAACTGTTGGCCTTGATCCCCCAAAACTCCCGTTGAAGGAGTACAAAAGAAGAGCTTGGGAGATTATATCCTGTATAGAACAAGATAGTTACCCTTCTCGCATGCATGTCGAGGTACCTATGGTGAGCGAGGTGGGTATGTATGCTGACATAGTAGGTGAATGTTTCAGTTAAAAGCACCCCAAACGAAAAAAGCTTTCAAAAAAAAAACAGTTACCTTAAGTATGGTGTGTGTGTGTGTGTGGGGGGGGAGACAGGTTACTTTGACGTTTCAAAAGAGATTATAATCGCCTTATCATCATGATTGACCGAGTTTACTACTACGGGAGGTTTGTGGGTCAGTTATTATTGAGTGATTTGTGTAGTTTTCCTAAAAAGGAAAGGTCAACAGAAAAAAGAAATTCAGGAAGAAGAAAATAAAAGTAAACAGATATCCAAGCCAAAAAATAAAATGGGCACATTGGAAAAGAGTATCTGACCAGAATCTACACAAGCTATTTTTTATCTTTTTTGTTTAGTTCTCTGCACTTTGATGGATGTTCATGCGTTTCCAGTGCCGTGCTGTTCCGCACAAAAGATACTGGGCAAGTGATCCTACTGCAAATATCATTCTTAAATGATCGCATCCACATAATTGGAAACCGTTCTTTTAGACCAATACACTTGTGCTGAATATATCGCTGCCACTTTCACGCGATACAATTATTAACGCAGTACCCAAATGATTTTATTATAAAGGTATATGGAGAACGTAATAGTACTACAAATCATAAAAGTGATAATATAGAGATATTCACTCATCTCTTACGCCATGGATATATCCATCATCCACCCCTTTTGCCTGTTGCTGGCTTTTTTTTTTTTTTCGATCTTGAGCCTTCTGCAATTAAGGTTTGAGAGAGGTGCAGATCTGATAAGGGCAGTGCCCTTTGTTGTTATCTTTTCTCCCCATACGCTTCGCTATCTATCTGTCTGTTATGTGCGGTACATTCAACGAAGTGTCAGACGGTTTATCGCAGCGTTATTGCAGGGCCCGTCCCAAGCTATCTATTAAGTTCCCCACTCACCAAGTGGCCCACAAACGCAGTTATTACAATAAATTAACAGATATGAGCAACATAGCACTATGATACTCTGACTATATCCGTCCTTTTATTAATATATCAATAAAGAACAGTCTCTTCATTTCGATAAAAATTGTAAATCATGGAGAGAGTCGTAGGGCTTGAGGGGCCCAGAGTTACTTATATATGCACCCAGACGCATACATAGCAGTAATATCAAACTCTATTTTGCTTCAATTTCTATAATTCTATCAACCATTTAGTTTTGGAAGGTGCCCCAGGTATAAATATCCCTGATTTCCCCCCCATTAATAATAGGTTAGCTTTCGGTTATTCTCACCCTAAATGTTCTTCACCTCAAACAAGAGTATTATAATCAATAATCATGTCTGAAAAAAAAGCGAACTCAGATATCGAAATCGAACATGAAGTTGGCAAAGCTTCTCCTTACACTGAACCATCCAAGGGTGGTGCCTGGCACAACTTTATTGACTCTTTCAAAAGAGACGAAGATCAGTTTGCCAACTTGGAAGGCCTCAGTGAGCTAGAAAAGAGAACCCAAAGATCCACTAAGTCTCCACTTCAAAAGAACTTGAAGAACCGTCACTTGCAGATGATTGCCATTGGTGGCTCCATTGGTACTGGTTTGTTCGTTGGTTCTGGTACCAGTTTGCAAACTGGTGGTCCAGCTGGTATTTTGATTGCTTACACTTTGATTGGTACTTTCATGTTCACCACCGTGCAAGCTCTTGGTGAGTTGGCTGTCGCTTTCCCTGTCTCTGGTGCTTTCGCTGTCTACAACTCTCAATTCATTTCTCCAGCTTGGGGTTTTGCTATGGCTTGGAATTATACTTTGCAATGGTTGATCGTCTTGCCTTTCGAATTGGTTGTTGCTGGTATGGTTATTCAGTATTGGAATAAAGAAATTAGTCCTGCAGCCTGGGTTTGTATTTTCTGGGTTTTAATCACTTGTATCAACGTTTTCGGTGTCAAGGGTTACGGTGAAGCCGAATTCTGTTTCTCTATCATCAAGGTCATTGCCGTGGTTGGTTACATCATTCTCGGGATTATTTTGGTCTGTGGTGGTGGTCCAAACCACGAATACATTGGTGGTAGATACTATCAAAAGCATGGAAAGACTGAAATTGCTCAAGGTGCTTTCAACCACGGTTTCAAGGGTCTTTGTTCTGTCTTCGTCACTGCTGCTTTTGCCTTTGCTGGTACCGAATTGTGTGCCCTTGCTGCTGCAGAAACCAAGAACCCAAGAAAGGCTTTGCCAAAGGCTACCAAGCAAGTTTTCTGGAGAATCACCTTGTTCTATGTTGTCTCCCTTACTCTCGTTGGTTTGCTCGTTCCATTCGGTGACAAGAGTTTGGGTGGTGCTAGTTACGATGCCAGAGCTTCTCCATTTGTCATTTCCATCAAAAATGCCGGTATTAAGGCATTGCCATCTATCTTCAACGTCGTTATTTTGATCTCTGTGCTTTCTGTCGGTAACTCCTCCACCTTTGGTTGTTCCAGAACTATGGTTTCCATGGCCGAACAAGGTTTTGCTCCAAAGATTTTTGGTTACGTCGATAAGGCTGGTAGACCAATGGTTGCCACTGGTATTACTTTGATTTTCGGTCTCTTATGTTTCCTTGTTGCCGCCAAGAATGAAGGTACCGTTTTCGGCTGGATGTTGGCCATTTCTGGTTTGTCTTCCATTTTCACCTGGGGCTCAGCTTGTGCTTGTCACGTCATCTTCAGAATGGCTTTGAAGGCTCAAGGTAGAACCACTGATGAATTGTCCTTCACTGCCCAAGCTGGTGTCTGGGGTTCTATCTATGGTGTCATTGGTTACTGTGGTGTTCTTGCTGCTCAATTCTGGATCGCTGTTTGGCCATTTGAGTTGTCTTCAACTGGTTCTGGACGTGCCAATGATTTCTTCGAAGCTTACTTGGCTGCCCCAATTATCCTTTTTTGCTATGTTGCTTACATGGTCTGGAAGAGAGATTTCACTCTTTTCGTTGGTCTTAAGAACATTGATTTGGACACTACCAGAAAGGTCGTCGACATGGACTTGTTGAAGCAAGAAATTGCCGAAGAAAAGGCTTATGTTGCTTCCAAACCATTCTACTGGAGAGTCTATAATTACTGGTGTTGAACTAATCATGTTCTGGGAAAATTGTCACCAAGCAATTTTTTTTTTTTTCTTGCCCTTCTCGCTTGTTTCCTTTTTGTTTAGATTTAGATTAATAGTTCAGTTTTGGATTGTTTTTGTGCTACTTTTCTTGTTTCTTTCTATCTAATACCTTTTTATTCCAGTAGGTTGTTCTTAGCGGAGTTTAAAGCTCTCAGTTGGCCATACTTAACAAAAAAATATTATATTTAATTTATTTATAATTTTTCATTTGTAGGATGTTTTGATATAAGGTCCAGTATTTGCTTTACCACAGGTAGAACACTTAATTGCAAAAATATTTTTGACGTAACACACACACAATTTCGACGGGCTCTGGGAAGCAGATAAGAAAATCCCTGCAATTTCAAATAAACGCTACTTTCATTGGGAAAAATTTGTTATCCAGGTGCAAATGGTTCACTGTCCTCCTTTCCTTAATTAACGGACATCACTCACTCATTTGTTTATCTGAAACTGCCCAATTTAGCTAGCCCTCACTCACTGGGATCTGCAGGACGAGCAGATTGAGTGTGAACGGCGCAAACACTCGTTATCTATGGTTTAACGCGCTCAGAAATCGCAAAGGCATCTCATCATTATGACTGGATAAGCCCAGTTTTTTACGTGTATTATTTTTATGATGATCCATGTTTTCAAAATGAAGCGGTCAAATGAATTAAGCTAACAATCAGATATATTACACGCAATAAATAGTACATAAACTATGTAGCTATAGTAAGACAAGGGTTACTCTTTAAGAGTATAGAAAAGCTTTGACAATCTACTAGACTTCCAAAAGACACCAGTTTTTCATTTGTGACACTTTAACAACCTCATCCGCATCACCATTTATGTTGTTGAATATACCTTGTGCAAATTGGAGAATTTTCGTTTGAGAGTCAATATCCTCAATTTCATAAAATCTCAACAGATTTTCAAAGACAGAAGTTGTCATGGATAGCGCATCAAATGATGGATGAACATATATATAACAATGTGTCATCTCGGTTTTGGAAGCGAGACGATAAGAAGATCTTGCATCCTTGGATACCGGACAAGGAGAGCTAGAAGATGAGAGCTTTCGAGTGGCAGAAGATTTATCTTTTTGTATAACAGATCTTTGCAGCATAGCTATTATTAGGCTATTGTTCGAAGATTTTGACGAATGTTCAATTTGTGTCCTTTCAATGCTGTTTTTAATAGTATGTCCTTCTCTTAATGAAGAGATGCGATCAGCACAAATGTCGCTAGTAGATGTGATATTAGGACTTGAGATTTTATTGTCAGATTCTTTTATAGCAGGATCTTTTGCACATTTTTTCTTTACTATAGTTTGCAAAATTGGGGTTTGTTCTCTCTTACTCCCTAATAGTTTTCTATCGTCTCTAGCTTGACACATAGAGCTTTTCAATTTGGACAAAACAAATGGATTTGAAATGGAGATATCTTTAGATAAAGAGAGATCTTCATTTTGTAAAGCAGAAATATCTTCGTTGGAATTCAGAGAAGCATACTCTTGGAGAAGCGTATCATCGGTTATATCTGCCATAGAGAAGCACCAATCTTCATTCGCCGTGGTTGAAGCAGTGATAGAAGAAGTATCCCCCTTTTTTTTGTCATAGGTAACATCATCAATAATATCTAGATTTGTATTTGAAACTGTGTTGATATTTCTCTGCAGAGAGATGACATTGGAAGATGATACTGAACGTGATCTTGTGAGATCAATAGCTTCATTGTGGATGGCAAGTGTATTGACACCAGTTTTGATTTCTTTGTCATTGCTATGCTTCTCTAGAAGCTGTATGAAATCGTCATCATCATCTTCTAGAAATTTATCATCGGAACCGCTTAGCTCTGGAAGATCCTTCTCGCTTATGCGTACCATATCATCCGCAGCTCCCTCAGCCCTAAAATTGTCAATGATTGTGTTATTGTTAATATTCCTTGTAGTTTGTACATATGTGACTTTGGGTCTTTCAACATTTTTTTGTTTTTGATGATCCAAATCACTATTGGTTTCTTGGTGACAAATTTCAACTTTGTTAATCAACCATTCTTCCAATTCATTCAATACCTCATCCTCAAAATCTAAGGTGATATCACATTTCTCGGGCTCAATATTGACATCACCTGTCGCATTGTCACTCAGTAGTTCAGCATACCAATTATTAGGTGCAAGTAATCCCAAGCCCGTATAAATTCCTTTTACCATCTTCGCTACCCGTTTTCCAAATCCCATCGAGAGAGACATCACTCTACCATTAACTGATAGAACTTTAACGGACCTTTGAGATGATATCACTTTATTCTGAGCTTTCATTATTGGCAATATAAAGGAAATTTTCCAAGATATATCCGACGTCTCAAAAAAAAGTTCCATGGTACCAGACACCACTTCTTTACTTAAATTGTGAACCCCACAAAGCTCAGAAAGTGTATTAATTTTAGAATCAGATTTGTTTATGATCATAGCTGGTATAGATATAGGAGCGCCGTTGATAACTTGTCCCTTAGCATTGTGTTTAGTGAACTTTAGGGAAAATTTTGCTTTACGGGCATTAATCATACCATAGCTTATTACTAATTCACGTAGCAGGCTTATGGTTGATGATCTCTTTTTCATTAAAAACTTTTTTCGCACTGGTAGGGAATCAAATAATCCAAATATTGTAACGCTGGTGCCGTCAATGGGAATAGTTTTTTTAGATCTAGGAATAATTTCACCTTGTCCATCAATATGCCATTGCTCACCAACAGTGTCATCTCGGGATTTACTAGCAATAATCATTCTTCTGTTGCCCAAAGGAGAAGAGTTTCCACAAAGACTAGCAAGAAAGAAGAGCGCTTCCCCACGAAATCCTAAAGAAGACATCTTTAGTTTAATATCTTCCATTGTCTCTATTTTTGATGTTGAATTACGTCGGCAAACAGCAGCACGATCTTCTTTAAAAATCCCCCACCCATTGTCTTTGACCGATATTCGTGAAAGGCCAGCAGTTTCAAAGTCAACTTCTATAGTTATATTAGAAGCATCAGCATCAAGAGCATTATCTATCAACTCACGTACGACGGTGACCGGGGAAAATATGGAAGACGATGAAAGAATAGAAACAGACGATTCTTCTGAAAGAATATTGAGCATCCTAATTTCTTTTAACAGTCAAGCAATATTATAGAAATATCGGTTCTTTTAACAACCATTTGTCCATCAGCACCAAAAAAACAGACTCACTGGATTCTTCTAATGGCTGGTTATGTGATGATTTTAATGTTGATATTTTAATTTCGCTCACATGCCCCAAAAAATATACCACTGGTATGGATCTTTATTTTGGGGTGGCGCAGAGGGAAAACAGCCATTTTTTAAATAGTAATTACTTACACACAAAGATGGTTTGTAATATATTATAAAGTATAGAAATATGTCATTAATAGAAGATCTTGAAGCCAATGATCCAACTACATCGTTTAATGCCATCATTGAACAGGTTTCTGGTAGATTATTCCAAATTAATAGTAATATCAACAATGTTAAGAAGCTTCAGACCACTTTGACTGATAGGTCGCGATCACAATTACCAACCAGTAATCATGGTTCAGGGAACAAGAATCTACAGAATCGAATCACAGAACTTGTAGATGCCACCAACGCCTTGTTCCATGAGTTGAACGAGCCAAAGACTGTGTTGGTCAATCGTTATGTGTACCATGGTAATAATAGTTATATGGATAACTTGGGAACTAGTGGGTATCGAGATGATGTGGACGATGAAGAACCACAGACTCACGGATCGGAAACTTTAGGCATTAGCAAAACCCAAAATTTACAAAAGAGCAAAATTTTGAGAGAAGTGTCTTCATCTTTGATGGCATTTCAAAATGCTCAAGAAGAATTCAAGCAGTTCATTACAGTACAGGAACAACAGCAAAAACAACTCTTGTTAGAGGAAGAGGAGCAAATCCTAAAAGAAAATAATGGTTCCATGGTGGCCCATCAAAGTACTATTGTCAAAGAACTTGATCCTATAAATAATGCCGAATTAGTACATCATATTCAATTGGTTTCTCAACGAGAAGAAGAGATCCAACATATTGAAAGTTCTATTTCTGAGCTAAACACCATCTTCCAAGACTTAGACTCGCTAGTAACGGAACAAGGTTATATGGTTGATAATATTGAAACGAATCTTAATAGTGCCAGTGATAATGTCAGAGCAGCAGACAGGGAGTTAAGGAAAGCAAGTAACAGCCAAAAAAGAAGTTTAAGAACTAAGAAATGTTTAATGAGCTTGTGCGCTGTCGTACTATTTGTGTTGATGATTTTGGTATTAGCATTGACTTGAATCCAGCAGTTATTATTTCTATTTTCCTTTATTATGTTTCAGTTTTGTTTACGTTTAGGTTTGTCAAAGACAAATATATTGATGGTTATGTTTCTATATTGGCTGCATTATGTGATATAAACTGTAGAGTCACGGTTAAATGGCATTTTCGATTGTGCTTTTCGATCTCATATCTTTGTTTCAGATGAAGCCTATGCACGGTTAGACAAAGTCCATATTTTGCTATGAATGTCGTAACTACAAGCTATAATATTCAAAATTGAATTATTTATGACATTACAAACCAAACCTATGATATTAAAAATTAAAGTTAATAGAAAGAAAAGAAAGGAAAAAGCAGCAAGATTAATAATAATAATAAAAATAACGCTAAAAGAATAGACAGAGAATGACCCTGGAATAAAATAGTTTCCAGCAGAAGCAAAGATGGAGGTGATTAATGCGTTTTGGTAGGGGTAAAAAATTTATTCTGCGAAAAATTTTGAGAATGATTGCAGCAATTCAAGAGTATTCCAATTAGAGGGCTTATTACTGTAGGAATTAGCAAATAACAACAAAAAAACCAGTAATATTGTCCCCATTAGAATTCATAGCTTGACTCGTTCTCAAAATTGCTGTACAAATTATTCCCATTATTTGTATCTTCATTGAAATCATTATCAACATCTATGATATCGATAGTCATCTCAAAGTAAATAGAGGAAATTTGGTTTCCACCATTCGAATTTGTCATGCCTTGCGATGGGATATTAAAAATATGTTGAATTATCTGCTCTATAGACTCGGTAGAGATAGCAGTGAATTCTCCATTTATATGATCTCCTTGGGTGTATTGGGATAATGGGCGTTCTGCCCCTGTGATACCCACCTCCGTGTTATCACTCGATACAAACCGTCCAGCACGATCATTCAAAGGAGAATAAGATCTTTGATTATCTTGTTGTAATAGTGACCTTGTGGCAACTTCATTCCCAGCCAAGGGATTGTTATTGATTAATCGAGAATGATGTAAGGTGTTCTCCCTGTGAATAGCCATATGAGATGCGTTCGTCAAATCATCATCACGACCAATCCCGAAGAGAGGATCAGCATAACGATCTATTTCAGTATTATTAACTACCTTATGATCTACACTATTTCCAATTGAATGATCATTCATGTACAGATCCTCTTCATCGCATCCCAATAGCAACCCCATACTATTTCTTGGCGTTGTCCTTTTAGTTTTAGCAGGCAGGTTGCGAATGGTTGTATTTGGAGAATTTGAGGATATTGATACCGCATCAAAAAGATTTGATTCCATTTGTGAAGAAGGGGAGGAGGGAGTCCATGTCGATTGAGGAGAATGAGAGTAGTGCCGCTTCCAAATATTGTTCCTCGGTGTGTTAGCTCTTTCAATACTTGAGCCCATCACTGGATCATTTGTATTGAGGGCACTAAACTCATTATTAGAGGGTTTACAACGTGTAACTGAAGCGATATTATTTGTAGCAACCTCATTGAATGATGGGGATTCGGACGTCTTTGGCTTGGATTTTGCTTCAGATTTTCTTTTGGTCAATCTCTTCGTCACCATTTTGAATTTCTTTGAAAAGGACATACTTATATAATTGCCTACTCCTCTTTGTTTATCATTGACAAAACCCATAGTAGAGTTGCTGTCAGTATTAGAACCGCAACAACCAACAATCCGAAAAGAATCTGGCGCTTCCCTCCGAGATCGTTTTGCATGATTGTATCTTGAAGATGCCTTCCTAAAGAAATTGAAACTATGGAAAAATGGGAATAGTGGTTTATAATGACTTTCTGCAGGGCCAGCATCAGACCAGGCTTTGTTCTTATCGTTATCAACGTCAGCGCCAAATATACCAGTATCCAATTCACCAGCCTGTGATATACTTGAACAATCGGAAACAGAATTCAGACCATATAGAGCTGCTGTTCGTCCATTATCAAGTGACTGACCACCGGTGAATTTATTTTGAATTTTTGAGGTTGTACCGCTATCCACCATCCCTTGTTGTGTCAATTCAGAAGGCCTGGGCGTCACTGTTGAGGTTGTGGGAAGTGCATATGATCCACCAGACATGTAGCTAGAGTTATTTCTTGATAAAACACTAATAAAAGCAAATTATCATGAAACAGACACGGATTTAATTATGTATCCTGGATTTTCCCGTATCTTTTATACTCTGGAGTCTCTTCCTATTCAAACTTGAACTTATCAAGGAAAATCCCCAAAGGCTCAATTTCTGAAGATGGGATGCCCCATATAAGGTGCAGACTTCCATCACGTGAAAAAGTAGTTTTGGCGGCGGGCTGATCGGCAGGGTGAGTCCTTAAAATGCCAGATAGAGTTTGTGATGGGTTTGAAGCATGCAATGACCAGCAACAATAGTGTCATAAATGACTGGTCAATGAGTAGGTGTAGATAATGATAGAATTAAGGATCAGAAGATTGACCAAAATTTTAAGGAATTTTCCTCAGTTGTTAGCTTGCTAATGAGCTCTGAAAGTGGTCAAATAGGTGCCAGGCTTTCAGTAAATGTCAAAAAAGAGCTGTTAAAAAAGCAGTCGTCCTACAGTAAAGAATAGAAAATATTAGCATCAAAGAGCAAAAATAATTTTTAAGCCACAATAAGTTAGCAAAATGAAACATTAAGGAACGCAAATGGGTAGAAAACTATGCAAATACTTAAATAATAATGAAAGATGAAAAGATGACATGACAAATAATTTCCCAAAAGAAGGACAAAAAAAAAAAAAAACAGGAAACAACTTAAAACCTAATAACATAAAGCGAAAGATATTGTGAAGAATTGCAAAACAAGAGATAATTGGTTCAATAAGAAAACGAGTGTAATAAAATAAACAAGAAGAAGAAAAAAACCGAGGCAAAAGCATTTTTTGTTTTGCTTGGAAACAGTTTTATGGAGAATGAAACACATAGGGTATTATAACAAAGCAGCAAGAACAAAAAGAATCTAAAAAATAATCCGTAATAATAGTAGCTGTATGAAGATTGAAGGGAAACAGGAAATCATTGGTAAGTTAAGAAAATAAATGGATGGTCAAGATTTTGGCAGCGACAACGCATATGAGCAGCATATATGTATATATATGTATATAAAAGGCTAGGGTATCAATAATTTAAGATGGATTGAAAGGTAAACCAAATGGCAACTGATCTTCGTCAAAATCATTTTCGTAACCTCCGTTAATACCTTCGGCACCATAAGCTCCATTCGCCGCAACGTATGCACGGTACACGTTGTTCTCATCATTGCCAGTGTTATCATCTCCATTATATCCATCATTGGCACCGTAAAAGAAGCCCCCGTAATCCTCGAATCCCATAGAGTCTCCAGAAGGCTGTTCATAATGCAAAGGATGATGTTGAGATACTGGGGCTCCTAAAATCTCCAAAGATTCTCCTACCACAGTAGAGCCTTGAACATCTCTGGAATTCTCTATATGATTGCCACTTGTAGCAGCTATAATGGTTTGCTGGGGAGAATAGCGTAAAGCTTGGGTTCTATTAGGAGAAGGAATGAGAGGAGCCATTTGAGAAATACCACCCCCTGTGGAAGAAGATGTGTTCTGATTGATGTTTGGATTCATGGCCAGGTTCAGAGTAGGTGGTCGCGAATAGCGAATATCATCCCAGAAATCGATGCCTTCTTCTAATTCCTCTGGTGCGTATGGCATGTCAATTCCCATATTAATACCACCACCCATATTCAAGTTGATATTATTAGTGGCCAAACTACTACGGGGACCTGACGACAAAGCACCATTAGGAGCACATAGACCAGCAGCTACACCATAACCAGGTGCAATCGGAACAGAACCATGACCATGACCAGGTGCCGAAATCACAGCATTGTTAAGAGTACTGTTACCAGAAATCAAATTTGAGTTGTGTATACCACCAACTTCAGCATAAGGAGTTGTACTCACTGAGTTGACGTTGGATCTGGAAGATCTCAGCCTTGGACTTCGCCCACTAAACTTAGAGGAAGTAGTAGATGAAACCAGTGAAACTGACTTTCTGCGTGATATATTAGAATTCGCTGGTACATTATTTGGAGCTGCGACAATCAGAGATCTCTTGGAGATCCCTTGAGCTGAGCCACCAAGGTTGCCTTGAGCTGAGCTCAGATGACGGCGTGCTAGGTTGATAGCGTCACTTGAAACACTAGGATCTGTCCATTTCCCCACATGGGAAAAGTTCATGTTGGACATATCGGCAGAAGTTGGGCGTGAATGAGAAGAAGAATTATGCCGGGAGTGGGACATTGAAGTAGGCAGGCCGTATTTGTGCGTTAACTGTTGAACGCGTAACTGAGTGAATTCATTAGGAGATTGTGGTTGATGTTGTGGTTGCGACTGTGGTTGCTGCTGCTGCTGTATTTTTCCGGAGATCGCTGCAGAGGATGTATTTTGGAATTGCCCTGGTTGGAACTGTTGCTGTTGATCTGTATTATGATAATTGTAATTTTGATATTGAATAACAGAAAATTTCACTCCAGCTTCTCTACATTTAGCTAAGAACCTGTTCATTCCTCCGGGGCTTTCTGGTAAACTAGTAAGAGCCCCATTGTACGGAGACATGAAAGAGCCCGTATTTGGAGGGTTTATGCCTTGAAATGATGGATCAGAGAGTCTTCTTCCAGTCTTATCTTCCATGTAAACTCTAAATCCAACGCCTTGTCCTTCTTGATCATTTGTAGAAGAATTATTTTGGCCACTGTTTACTGGTCTAATATTCATATTCTGCATGGTTAAAAATGCATCATTTTGATTCATGTTCTCTCCAGCTACAGAGTTATTGAAGCAATTTCTATCAACACAGTGGTTCTCAGCACTCATGTTGGACATTCCAGTACCTAAGCAGTCATTCCCAAACGCACCATTAACATTAACGTCCGAACGCTCTTCTGTGAGGACCACCGGAGATTGCAAAGGATCGCCATCCAAATGGCCATTCCCACTACCGGTTACATTAACCCTTGGTGTTGTGTTTACATCCTCAAAAGAATCACGTTCACCATTCCTGTTTGTTTCTTGTTGATACATGGCCATTGGGTAAGGAGTATTAGCTTGAAAATTCGAGTGTAGATGGTGAGAATGCGGATTATTACCAGAAGTGCTAATCAAGGTTCGCTCAAAATTGCGGCTTAGTTGAGTTACCGGGGTAGACACGGCAGAGTTTGCAACTGAAATACTTTGAGGCACAGAATTTTGTTGTAGCTGTTTTATGTGTGACATGTCAATAGTGAGAGAATTTCTTGGGGTAGTTGAGCTTCTTGGAGTACTGGCATCAGATGCTTGTTTTTGGTTACTTCTTGTTACTGTACAGGAACGAGAGCGAGAGCGTGATCCAGAAGAATTGGTCGAGCTAGAAGAGGTTGGTCGAGAAGGATTGGTCAAAGTAATCGAACCAGAATTTGAAGAGCTGCAAGCGTGTGTTTTTTTAGGGTTTTTGGTTTTGGGTGTGGAAGGAGCAGTTGAGGAGGTAGAAGATGAGCGTGAAGTAGTCTTAGCTTTATTTGAAAGGCCAGCTGAAGATATAGCCAAAGCGGCAGTAGTGTTTTTCGACCCAACAGCACCTTCAATGTCCTTCACAGCCTTAATAACCCTCTTGTCGGCTTTTCCCCTGGTGACATCGGTAATTACTTTTCTCCAACGATTACGGCATGTTAAGGAGGGCCTACTTTTCATTCCAAGGGATACTGTTCTCCAACGAGTTCCAAATTTCTTGACTAAGGCAGTCAAAGCAAGATCTTCCTCGACAGACCAGACCCTTAGCCTATCTTGGGTCATAGATGGATCAAGAACCTCAATATAACGCTTAGCGCATTGATCATCAGTTCTTCCTGGAATTGAGAGTGCCACCTTTTGCCAAGATGGCCCGTGCTCTTTGTGGGCTGCTATGAGAAGCTCATCCTCCGCCTTTGTCCATCGGCCCTTTCTTAGATTTGGATCAAGAGAATTTGACCATCTTTTACGGCAATCTTTTAGTTTTCTATCTGGGAGTTGGGTAGAGATGATGTCCCAAGGGATTTTATCAATTGGAATGAGTTGTTTTTCAGGATTTTCTGATTCAAATATTGCGTTTGGATTGGTTTGTGAAATGGTAATTGGAGACGTTAGATTTGTTGATCCGTGATTTGATACTGGTAACGATGTTATTAAAGGGGATGAGAGTCTTTCATCAAGATGCCTTTGAACTAGCGACACGAGTAATGAATCTTCTTCGGGAGTCCATGGTTTTCTTGATTCACGACGAAATGTTTGTATTCCTAAATCCTCGGTGATTTGCAAGGGATCTATTGGTTCGATCTTCTTCCGGGTTGATTTTCTCCTTGTTTTCAGAGAAGCTCTACTAGACATTGCAGGTTATATTAGGATACTTTTGAAACAGTATTAGTAGAGGCCGATGATATTGCCACTTCTATTTTTTTTTTTTTTTTTTTTTTTTTTAATCGTTGGGCCGTCGTCCTCGTATGGTCAAAAAAAATGATGATTTGATCTGGAGATGATCTGGGGTTCCATACACTAGATAGTAGGATTATGGGAAGGAAGGTATAGTTGGTGTAGAGCTCCCTACTCTTGTGGTGGACAGGAGATCAAATAAATTGGGATAGAGAGGCGGAATCTCCGGTGACGAGTCCACTGTGTTTTGGTGTTTGGCTTTGGTGTTGATTTAGTGGTTGGTGGCTTCGGGATTTCAACCGTCAAAAATTTAATTGTGGAATTTTTTTTTTTTTTTTTTTTTTAATTTTTACTCTGGCCCGGCCATCCCAAGTATAGACGGGGACACAAAAAAAAAGGGGGGGTCTACGTGTGGGTGAACAAGGACAGGATGTTTCCAATCGATGACAAAAGTGAATAACACTTACACACTACAGTACTTTCTTTAATAATATCAGTTCTAAATCCTGACTGGGCTTGGTGACCTGGCTGGTTCTCCTGGACCCGATTTCTTTTGATATGGTCATCCGAGGGGCGACGCATTTCCCAGAATCAGCGTCGTATTTCTAAAGGCACACCCGGTTGTCTTGATGTTTGTTTTGGAGGAGTTCTATTGTCATAAGGGAATATTATTATTATCATTGCCACCAGGGGGTTATATCGAGTCCTGTCCACCCAATAGGGCGATTTGCTTTTGATTTTCTGCTCTACTTTTGAGACTGGTTATTGGTCTCCTACGGTGTACGACTATCATCAAATCATCTTCAAGAAAGTTGTATAAATCCTGTATTACAGTGCTCTCCCGTGGGCAAACAGTAGACAGATAAAAAAATTATCTAAAGAACATTGAACAATTATCTATATTTTAGTTGTCTGTCCAAATAGTTTATTCTTTAAACCTTCTTTATCACTATAGTTTGGATCATTTTCCAAGTCTTTTACAAAAAGTTTGATTGGGAAATTTCTATGAGTCTCCTTAATTAAGAGATAATCATCTCACATTTATTGTTCCGGACAATCAGTTAATTTGTATGCCGTGATTATACACCCTCTTACCACTAATCTGTTCTACTACAAGCAAAAAAAAAAAAAAGGTAACTATAGTTAGTTTAATTAAAAGAGTTCTTCAGAATAACATCTACATTAAAAAGAAATATTTAAAAAAGAAATAAGTGTCCAATCTGATGAGGTGAAAGTTATATTGAAAATAATCTAAAATTTTTCTAGTGGTTCCTAAACCATTCTATTAAAAAACAAAAAACAAAAAGCAAAATTTGTGAAGAGTTTCCTCGGATTTATTGTTAATATTTTTAAAGCACCAAATCCAGAAAATCTTCAGCTAGGCAATCAATTCTTCACTTCTAAGTCAAAACGGCTTGTCCAGCAGCGTTTACAGAAATAACACCAGAAGAAACAGCAGTAGTTGAAATAGCGGCCGCAGCGGTTGTAGTAGCAGCACTGGAAGCAATGCCAGTAGCAGATGCCGCAGATGTTTGAGAGCGAACATTAGAATCAACAGAAGTAGTAGAAACAGCAACCGCAGATTTTGTAGCAGCAGCACTAGAAGCAATACTAGTAGTAACTGAAACAGCAGCCGCAGCCTTCTTTTCATTTGTAGTCACAACACTAGAAGCAACAGCATCAGTGGCTGTGGCTGTGGCAGCAGATGATATCGGATACCCTTCAGAGTTGTAGAGATTTCCTTCAGCATCAACATAATAGCCTTTTCCATTAGGACATAAATTATCGTTTGTTGCAACACAAGAGGTGGTAGCAGCTGCAGTACTGCTCGTGGTAGCAGTGGCAGCACCAGTGGCAGTAGACGATATCGGATAACCTGCAGAATTGTAAAGATTTCCTTCAGCGTCAACATAATACCCATTTCCGTTAGGGCACAAATTATCGTTAGTCGCAACACAAGAGGTGGTAGTAGCAGCGGCACCCGTGGCGGTGCTAGTAGAATTGTTAGAGCCAGAACCAGAGATAGGATAACCACTAGAGTTATAGAGGCCACCATGGCCATCAGTATAAGTCCCGTTACTCAATTCACATAAATTGGAATAATTCGGAGTACAATTGGAGGTTGAATCACTCATCAGAGCAAGAGATGCAATGTAGTTACCGCTTGAATCATAGATACCTCCTTCACCATCAGTATAAAATGTATTATACACGTAACATAAATTCTTTGCACTAGGTGCGCACTCCGCACTTGCAGTGGAAGATGGGTTGGCAATCTTGCTAACAGTAGCACTTGATCCAAGATCAGCAACCTTGGTACCATTAGCGAAGAACAAATCACCTTGGCCGTCAGTTTTATAAGAGGTGCCAAGAGGACACAAGTTTGAAGACGAAGCGACGCAGCTACTATTAGTACTGGTAGAGTCGTCTGAAGTTTCCGACGAAGATGAAGAACTACCTTCTGTTTCTTGATAAATGAGAGGAATTGCCAAAGGAGCAATATCCCCAATAATGCTAACAATCTTAGATTTGGTGGATTTTTTTTCCTTTGGCTTGATAGACGCATCACCTTTCGCAGCTTCTTTTGGAGTAGAATCAGAACTAGAGTCCTTGGGTGTTTTAGCGGCAGCTGTTTCTTTGGTTATAACAGAAGTTATCACAACAGTCTTATCACCGCTAGCAAACGTAAGTCTTTCAGTCTCTTTGTTGGCATCAGCATTATTAGCAGTTGCCTCTGCAGGGGCCGGAGTTGTTTTGGAGGCAGCTTCTTTTTCAGAGGTTTTTGATGTAGCCTCTTTCTCTGTCGCCTTTGACGTGGCTGCTTTTTCAGTGGTTCCCGTGGCAGCCTCCTTCTCAGTGGTTTTTACCGCACTAGCAGCTTTTTCAGTAGTCTTTGCACGGCTTCCATTGCTGTCATCGTTACTGCTGTCGTCGTCGACCATAGCACCGCTGTTACTTTCATCATTATTAGTGTTTGTATTAAGTTCGTTAGTGGAAGTTAAATCATCACCGCTTGAAGAACTTCCAACACTACCTGTATCATCAATCGTTGAGCCAGTTTTACCACCTTTCGTTAATGTTGACCCTACTTCTTCCGTATCATCGCCGCCTTTGCTTAAGATTGACAGAAGACTAAATCGCTTCCATAATGGCAGTGACAGATTCTCTGCCACAGAAAGCGATGCTTGTGGGTTCTCAATGTAAGAAGCTAATGGATAAGCTTGAACATGGCTAGTCTGAGCATACCATAATGTGGCCACCGTGAAAGCAATAGTAAATCTCATCTTATAATAATATCCAAAATATCACTAAAAATAACGAATTTGATTGCAGATTTCACTAATTTTGAATATGAATAAGCCAGAAAAACTAAAGGAAAAGAAAAACCAACCAAGACCAATTATATATAAGTGGACGTTATTCCCAACCGTCAGTCAACATTATACAAGTATGGTAATACCCCGGGAGTACTCATCGATCTGCAAGGCGCTTGACAGACCATCTAACTTCTGGTTCTAAATATTAAAGATTCTGATATGCGCAATGAGAAATTAATTGGGTACGTGTATACCCACATCCCATTACTGTATTAAGGTAAAATCGTATTGATATTTTCGCTAGCACTCAGGCTGATTGTTGGTGAAACAAGCTCATGTATCAAATATCAAGATGGTTGGTACTAGCACGTGACCAAGGGAGCGAAACAGCGCAAAATCGGTAGTGATTATTCTAAAATCAAAGAGATGATAGATGGTGACATATACTTCACCTTTTTCATTCTTTTGCTGCATGGTTATCTAGATCACCGCCAAAGAAGAGTTTATAACTCTTTCAAGTATATCTAAAGATTTTCCTGTGGTAGATAAGGACTGGATCTTGGGTCTATTTTCTCACAGAAACAACAGGTAGGGTTACCTATAACATACCCAGTCAAGCTATACGCGTTTTTGTGTAGATAACAACCAAGTCTTTACCAAAGGACGACTATTAGTTATGTAGATGAGCAAGCAAAGCCTGTAAGTACAAGTTGCCCTCCGAAAAATTCGACAAAAGTGGTCTTACCACGACTCCAGTTATACTTGAAACTTCAGCTACGTCTATGTAGTTATAATATACCTTTTTTTACATTTCCCCCCGCTTGCTATTATTTGACATTGTTTATTCCGCCTCAGTTATTGGACTGGAAAAAAATTACAGGAAAACTCAGATAGACCAGGTATTAATTAGTTTATTTTGATTATTGGCCATTTCTCCAACAAAGAGAAAAGAAAAATAAAAATAGTAAATAAAGACAAGCAAAATGTGTATGCTGCTGTCATGGACTCAGTTCAAGCACTATGGCGCACGAAATAATAAGTTTAATCAACGAGAAAATCAAAAGGGGCATCAAAAATAATAATAACAGCAATAATAATAACAATAATGAAAACGGTAAAATAGTTTAAAGGGTCAAACAGTAATAGTCGTTGAGGGAAAATAGAAAGGGTTGAAAAGATAGAGGCATCAGGAACAAAGCAAAACGAAACAGAAAAAAATTCAACAAAATAAAATAACACAAGCAAAGCAAGAGCAGGCAGAGCAAAAAAAAATGTAAAAAGAAGAGCAAAGTAAGACATAACACAAACAGAAAAAAAAATAGGAAACAAGGACTGTAAGAACAAACATTAATGAACAAAATATGTCTTTATAAAACCATGCAAACGTAACCATAAAATCATACTGACAATGACAAAAACGTCAATGGAATGAAAACAAGTCATTCTACCCTATCCACGCTTGAACAAGCTTGCCAAACGTCTGAGAAATCCAGACTTTTGCTTCTGCTTTTTTCTTGTCACTTTATGCTGAACATTTCTAGAGGGTTTGGTAGCACCCGGAGATGAAACAGCGGCTTCACCATAATTACTCTCAACAATGGACTGTTTCAATACGTTAAATGATCTTTTTGTTGAAAGCTTATGACGCAAATCAGACTTGTCAGAAGGTGCCATTGTCTTGTTGGCGGAAGCAGCAGTGAAAATATCTCTTGCCTCAACACTATATGAGCTAATAATATCGCTGTCATCAATCTGCTTATGTATTACCGGAGTTCCACCAGTACTAGCACTCCCGCGCTGATCACCATATTGAGATGCTCTTTTCTCATTCACGTTACTGCCTCTTTCCATAGCGGAAATATTACTTGAAATTGAATGTGATTTCCCATGGCTTTTGTATCCTTTGACACTAAGTCTGCGACCCAATCCCTCAGTCGGGTTGGCACCGGCTGCATGAGGTAAATCAAATAATGTATCATTATCAATGGAAATTCTGAGATTCTGGTAACCTGAGCCGCCATCATTGCCCATGTTTTCAGATTTGAAAGCATCTTCGTCAATAGTAGCTTCCAACTGATTACCACTCATAACATCGTCATCATCATCATCATCCATTGTATCAGCAAATGCTGACCTTCTATATGTCAAATTCTGAGCCACTGTGTTTAGATCTGGTTTAGTGTATGCATATTCATGACTTATGGAGTATCGGGAACAAATGGAATTCCGAGCTCGAGGTGTTTGGTCCGAATCACTGTTATTAATACCCGTAGTTTGAGTTACACTGGTGTGAGGAGTATTAATTGCACTGGATGCGTTTTTACTAGCATCAACTGTCAGGGACAATGGTGAGTCCTCAACAAATTCTTCCATTGATGCCTCTTTCCCAAAGTTGTTGTACATATTACCATCTTGTTCTCCTTCAAAGGACTTCTCTGTATCTTTTGTTGCTATCAAATTTTCGTCGGATTCATCTTGTTGATTCTCAGGAATTGTATTTTCAGCTTGTTGCGCTTGTTGAACTTCTTCTTCTTCTTCTTCGCCAAAACTATTCTGGTGCAATGATTTGAGATATTGGCTTGTTCTACTTGGCGCCCTAGGAGCCATAGGATCAAGAATTTGAGATGATGTTTTCGACAATCTATCACTTTGTCTATTGGAGACCTGTTGTTTCAAGTCTTGGATTTTGTTTTTGACATCAGCCTGCTTACTCACTAATTCGTCATCCATGGCCTTCGGATTTTTGAAGACTACTGGAGAACTTTTATGTTTTTGGTTCTGTCGTTGTGCTTTGAATGCACTATAGCTTTGGCTGGTAGCATCATCAATGGCTCCGAATCCATCGGCGGTAAGTCTTTTTCTCAAGCTTTCAACTCTCCGCTCCAGGACATCGCGAACCTCGTTAAGTTTAGCTAATTTCTCTTTGTCCACAAGTTTACTATTATAATTCTGAGATCCATTCATACTTTCAATACTCTTGACCATTCGAAGCACCCTGGTGTTGGAACTGATATCAGACTTGGTGGTGTTGTTGTTATTGGAAGTGACGGATTTGGCAGTATTTTCCGTGGCATCACTGAAAACGCTTTTTTGTGGGGATATTACCTCTTTTGTTGGACTCAATGCATTGGTTGATTTATTTGTATACTGAGAATAACGCAAGTATCCATACGATAGACTTCTTCTTGGCCCCTTTTTCAATTCTTCAGTCTGTCTTTGAGATTCTGGGGATTGGATATCACGCTTGTTGCTGCTTGAACCAGTTAACTTCTCGTAACTATCTTCTATGATTGAGAGTCTTTTGCTGCTCCTCAATGTGGCTTGTTCTGGCTCTGGGGATATACGATTACTGCTCCTTGAGTTCAATGATGATAAATATGGGTGTGCCTTGAGGGATAAGGCAGTGTCAGAAATTCTTTTTCTAATAAGCCTGTCCCTTAGGGCATTAATATTCAGCTTCAATTCTTGGTCTTTCTGGGTATATTCATATTTGAAACCTGGCAAAGAAATCAAGTCAAGATTACTTTCTGAATAATTGCCACTTCCATATCTTGACTGGCTATACACGTAGTCATTATAATCCAGACCTCCATATTTGCTTTGACGATCTACTCGATCACTAATTATACTGGTACTTCTGTAGTGTCTCAACTTCCCATACCCACTAAGGTCACTTTCGGATCTAAGATCTGATATCGATTTCTGGCTTGACAAACGGTGCTTCAATTCGATAATTTTAGATCGCATATCTTCTTGACCATTATGCTGTGAAGAAAATGAGCGCGATCTAGAAAGACCGTGGTGAGCTTCACCATTTTCGTTGACAATAACACTTCTCGAATCATTCAATATCGATTCAACAGCCTCCAAATTCTTTTCAATCTCTGATATTCTTTTATTCAATTCATTTTGTTCGACAACGTTGGATGGCTCAGTTGACAGAAGAAATATTGGTTTGTACTCATTATTTTTGAATGGGTTGGGGATATCCACCTTGGTGCCACGAACCATGGTTTGGATGGATAGGGTGAGGGATGGTTCGACACGTATGGAATAAACAGCAAAAGGTAAATTAAACTTAAGATTGAAAAATCAGGAGAGAGATTGACTCTATTGACGGTTTCTAAAGATTAAAGGAAATTTAAAAAAAAAAAAAAAAAAAAACTTTCGGATTGAAAAAAAAAGAAAACGATCAAATGTATGTGTGTGTACCTGAATTGGGTAATAAGAGAGAAGGAGTGAAATAGTAGATCCAGCTTTTCTTTTTTTTTCTTTTTTTGTCTGAAGAGAGGAAATAGGGGTGGCAAATTCCAATAGACAAATTTTTCGGTAATAGTACAGCCTTCTTGAGCAAGCAGGTTAATTCTGGTTGAAAATGGCTACCAGGATTGAGCGAGCAACTGGGATAGTAAGAACTTCTCTGGCGATTGTCCGATTAATTAGTTGTCGCTTTCTGATCCTCCGTTAATATGACAGATGCGCTAGTGTGCGTTTGGGTGCGTAGACCGGATCGTTTGTTTCCCAAAGGAATGCGCAGGGGGTGCACAGACCCTTGCCGCATTGGGGAAACCGGTGCGGCAAGTGCAATGCCCATCCAACAATATAGGGATAATTAAATTGCCAACCATCCATTCTTACACGATATATATAATAGCTATTGTTCGAAAAAATATCGCATAGGGTATATATATGTAATTGTTTGTCCGCCTTCTAAACCTTGGTTTCTCCACATTCTCCTCTATCTTCATATCTCATCAAAGACACTCCGACTTCATCATCTTCAACAGTGCTATTTTCTTTTGCCAAAACCCTCTTAATTTTCTTATATACCAAGTAAGCAGTGGTCAATGGAATGGCGTATGAAGCAAAAATAATTATCAAATCAACGATACTAGGGGGCTCACTCATATGTTCTTTCAAGTTCTCAATCTGACTACCGGCATAAACCATCATCAAATATCTCGGCGATGTCAATATCACCGAAAACAAGAAACTGTAAACATCAAGTTTGGGGATGGTAGCAAACATAGCATTAGCAATTGAATAAGGTCTAGGAAATAATTGCAAAAGGCATAATAATAGGAACTTGTGTTTATCCTCTGCTAGAACTGTGGAAAATGCCGAGAACAACCTAGATGATTCACGCCATTTTTCGGCCCTTCTTGACAATAAGCATCTCCAGGACAAGAATGATATAATAGAGCCTATGACAGTTCCTGAGGTGACAATAAGCCAACTTTTGAGCGTCATTCCATAAAGCAAGCCTGTGATAACACAATATCCATAAACTCCAAACATTGGTGGAAATGCCGCTATAACAATCAACACTAGTAATATCAATCCTCCGTATTTCTCACCACGAACCCTATTTGCAAATAAAACAAGAAAGTCAATCACTGAATTCAAGTTCTCATCATTTTTCTCTGCTGGGATATTCCCTAGTAATAATAGGAGTCCCAAAACTGCAAGAATAATTCTGGTATGCAACAGGCGTGCTTTATACCATTGGATAAATTCTCTAATTGGTTGAATTGCTTTCTTAGATCTCTGTAGGATGTTATTTTTCAAATTGGCTAAGCTTGATCTCTCCATTTTCGCAGCGACTTATGAAATTCTCAACGATTTGGATGGACAACATTAAGTTTATAACTTATGTTATTTCCTAGAAAAAAAAAGGCTACATAAGACTCATCGCGCCAGCATACATGTCCTTATTTTCATGGCTGATTAATATCTCGGAGGAGGAGGAGGAGGGAATCATAAATTTGCATACAAAACAGATGATGATAATATAAATATCAATTGTAATTATTTAATTAGTCCTCTCAAATAAGATTAATCTTCTGATGATAGAGCATCCAAAGAAAATGAAAAGGAAAAAACAAAAAAATATTCTATAAACAGCCGACTGGGCCGAGGAAACGATTTGGTGGCTAAACACATCATTCTTTCAGAACCATCGAGCCATTGTCCCTACTGGCACAATAATAAAAAATAATCTAAACTTCAAACTCCTCATATTCACCATTTGTGTTCAAACTACTCACCAAAGGAAGACCATCTTCGTCGTCTTCATCAGAGATGTCCCCTCCAAGGGCTGCCAACTTTTCCCTAGTTTTTTTGTAGATCAACCAACTGGTAGCGAAGGCAATGGTATTGGTCAAAAAAATAATTATGAAATCAATCAATCTAGTTTTAAAATCTTTATTTTGCCCAATATGTTCCATCTTGTAACCAACAAAAATCATTATCAAATACTTTGGTGAAGCTATTAGCCCTGAAAGGAGAAAGCTTAAAGCGTCAAGCTGGGGGATAGCAGCAAAAGCGGCATTTGTTATTGAATAAGGTCTAGGGCATAATTGTAGGAGACACAATATTAGAAACTTATCTTTGTCTTGGCCCAATACTGTTGCAAATGCTAAGAACAACTTGGAAGAATCAAGGAATTTCTGAGCCCTCTTAGATAACAAATATTTGAATAGCAAAAATGACAACGTAGATCCAACAGCAGTCCCCGAGGCAACAATAAACCAGCCTTTAAAAGACATCCCATAAGCCATGCCTGTAATACTGCAAAGTGTTGAAAGTCCGATTATTGGAGGGAAAGAGCATACAATAATCAACCCAAATATAATGAATTCTCCATACTTGGACTCACGAATTTCTTTGGAAAGAGTAACAAGCATAGCCATAAAGGTTTCATAGTTTGCTATTATCACAATTGCCATAATTGACACGACCATTACCATCATCATGGCAGCTATCTTGGTGGCTAGCAGCTGTCTACTATACCAATGAGTGCCATATCGGGAGGCCTTCCGTAAACCGGCTATAATATTTTCTCTCAATCTCCGTAGCCGTGACCTTTCCATTGTTAACTCTTATTATTGATCCGGTAGTATTTTCAAGGTCTTGTAGCTAGAAATCTTGCTTTCATTAGTGATCTGTAATTTTCTCTTTTGATCACATAAAAAGATGTGCGGGACATCTTATCATGTCTTATATATGGAAATCTGAACCAATAATTTTGGTACTGCAAACGGTGACTGTCAGTTGTACATTCCATTTGGTTCATTGTATGAATTATGAATTCCATTTGTGACATCAGATAGTGATTTTCACACGAGTTTTAAGTTTCCTTCCGTATAAGATAAAGCATTGAAATGTATAGAATAATTACACGCAGAACCATGGAGAATGGTTAAATATAATTTTTTGTTTTTTTTTGTATCTGTGTAAACCACATTTAGTGCTCAGAAAATCACTTTAAAAACTCATTTGAAATATTCTGTTTTCTGTTCTCATTTGATAAATTCGCCATTCCAACAATACCAAAGTATCTATCAATACCATGTGGATCCAACTTATTATTTCCATCGTTCTTCTCACAAACAACTTGATATCAGCATCAGTCGTTGATGTGATTTCTCCTGATTATTACATCAATTCGAGTAAAAAGCAAGGAATCTTCATAAATTTTCCTGTTATTTCCCCAGAAACAGTTAGTATAAAAACTCTTTGAATGCTTATTGCCCAAAAAGAAAACAATAAATAAATAAATTTATATTTTACTGAAAATTAACCTCATTTACAGGAAAGGCGGCTTGATACATGTTTCAAAGAGTTGTTTACCAATTCTGGGTGGTTTAACTGTGTGATGGATCTAGGTGAAGACTCTTGTAATTGCATAGTATACCAACTAGCCTCCGAAGATTGTATAAAGAAATACATCAATAATCATGTATGTTTGCATCATTTTATTCTGTTTCCTCGGTAGTCAGGAATATTTTTACTTACAAAGTCTTCAGGAATTCATCCAAGTGTTCGATGAATTTACCGCCAAAGCTTGTCAATCCGAAAATATCAACATTATTTTAGATTACGACGAGTCGGAAGATTTAACAATATTATCTCATCCGGAAACAATTGCCAAAAAACTCAAAAGCCTCGCTGCAAAACTTGGCTTCTTTGATTCCTGTGTATGTATTATAAAAATTGATTTTTTGAAAGGAATATAACTAACTTCCACCACTAGACTGAAGGTTTCAATAATTGTTACCACGATATGGAAAAGGAGATCACAGATTGTGTTAATAACAATGAAAGTTATGCAAAATTTTGTAATTGCTATTTTTCAAAGAAATTGAAAAGCTCTTGTCAGAAATATTGTTATGACGTGAGTTGGTGACATATTTGTATAGCGCCATGTAGGAAGACATTTAACTAACTTTTTCATAGGAAACAAATGCAACAACAAAATTTGATTTTATGACTCAAAAGGTTTGCAAAGATGATTATTACCAAAGCAGAATATGGAATGGTAGGAAGGTAAATGATACTTTCGAAGAAATTGTTACGATAAGTGATATACTCATGTCTAACGATGATAACGGTGATGATGATGTTAGAACTTTAGACTTCTTATTTGATTTATTAGGAAAAGAATAAGTATCTTGTTTGGAAAAATGATTTTTCTCTATTTATTTCTAAATATTCTTTCATTTACCTCTTTTACAAACCTCAATATATATAATTATTCATGAACAATTGAATCAAAAGAAAAGAGAGAGGAGAAAAAATTATGAATCTATGGATTTGAACTATTATCTAAATCATCTTCTTTTTGAAAGCAAAAAGAAATCAAATATCAAAAATACCAAATCATTCAATATCCTCACTTGTAAGATTACCACGAGCTTTCTGTTCATGCTCAATAGTCTCAAATAGAGCTTTGAAGTTTCCAGCCCCAAATCCATTATGGTTATGACGCTCAATTACTTCAACAAACACAGTTGGTCTAACAACCAAAGGCTTGGTAAACAATTGCAAAAGATATCCGTTATCATCAAAATCGACAAGAATTCCTAGCTTTTGGATTTCTTCTAATGGTTGCAATATTTGCATATTTGAATGGCCTAATCTTTTTCTGAGATCATCGTAATATTTGTCCGGAACTTCAATAAATTCACAACCTCTTTGCTTCATGGCAGAAATAGCAGAGATTATATCATCAGTTAAAATGGCAATATGTTGTACTCCCGGTCCATTGTAGTAATCAATGAACTCTTCAATTTGAGATTTAAATTTCCCCTTGGCTGGCTCATTGATTGGCATCTTGACAACATCATTATTTGCAGCCATGACAATAGATTTTAAAGCAGAGTACTCTGTGCTAACATCTCGCTCATCAACTGACCAAAACCTATGGAACCCGAAAGCTTTAGCGTAAAATTCACAAGATTCATCCATTTTGTTCCACCCTTGATTTTGAACACAATGATCAATTCTAATTAGATCAACTTTTGGAAGAGAATTAATTAAATCAGAGCTGAAAGTATTGAAAACATTGCTTTCTCCGATATCTAAATAACCAGGCAAAAATGGTCCTATATAATCACTTCTGTTTACAAGAGTATGGGTAGTATCACCAAAAATCCCAACTTTTGCAATTCTAACTGATCCAAATTCGTCATTAATAGTTTCTGGATATTCAATAGCCTTTGCCCCATTTTCAATAGCTGTTGAAAAAATCGTGTCCACATCATCCACAGTGAAGGCCACATCTTTAGCGCCATCACCATGTGTGACAATGAAGTTGTTGATCTCTTTAACTTGCTCATCATACTCTTTGTTTGCCTTGAATTCACTCCTTAATGGAGACACGAACTGAAAGATAGCTTTACCATTAGTGACTACATGGCAACAGATGGCTCGAGAACCAGTTTCCAAACCCTTATAGGCCAATGGCTTGAATCCTAAACAAGTGATGAAATACGCGGAAGCTTGTTTGGAATTAGAAACATACCAAGTTACATGATCGTAACCTTCATAAGAAAATTTTTCTAATTTGATATTTGGAAGCAAGTGATCCTGAATTAAAGATAAATCTTTTTCAAACTGGGTGGTGTAAACATGTTTTGGAGTAGTTAATGGCTCACAGGTAGTGTCCATGGCAGTAGTATCTATAACATGAATACCCGTCTCCCTTTCAGATTGGATCGAAGTTGAAATGGTCATTTCTACTTTCACTATGGATCACAAATAATAGATATCTATTGACTTTTTTTTTTTTTTGTATCGTGTGTGTATGTGTGTGTTTTGTCTTTTATGACACTTTCTTTTCTGTCGATTGGATTTCCACAAGAATGAAAGGCGACAAAAAATCAAGGGGCCTACAGATGAGCAATGTTTCTCATTTTATTTTGCTCTGTCCTTTTATTTTTATGTTCTCAACATACACAAAATTATTTTGGCTTTGTGGCACATTTCCGTCTATGCGTGTCGGTTGCAGAATTACTATATATGAAAATAGATCTCAGCTAACAAGCATCAAACTGAATCATAATTAGACGAAAAGCTACCAGGTCTAAGAAGCTGTTGCGCTTTGAGCATAATACTACTTATCATTGGGGCTCCATATTGTGATAATATCCAACACTGCTTGAATTGATGGGGCATCTTACAGTTGTTGTCGTTTACTTCTGGTATCCTGCATGGTGACATTATAGGGCAATATTTATTACCTTTAATTGATATGGATTATTCTAATCATGTCCTTAACCATGTAACACTCAAAACGGTGACAAAAAATAGATGATTATCATGGTACTCAAATCCGAGTTTTGATACATATAGTGGTTCAAGGATAGTAACAATATTCTCTATAGAAGGATACTCAATTTATTTGACCAATTATGAAGATCTCTTGAAAAAAAAGTAACGAAAAGAAAAAAAAAAGGATCATTTTCTTCTTTCTTCTTTCTCTTTACTTTTTGTCTTCGTCTTCGTCTTCGTCTTTCTCTTTTCTTTTACTTTTGATCTTCTTTACTTTTTCTCGTTTACTTTTTCTTCTCATTGCAACCTACTCTTTCTCGCTCTTAGCAACACTTCTATTAATGTGATTGAAATTAGTATTATATTACCAATATAGGTAATATCATAAAAATGAATCTAGAAGTAACTGATTAAAGGGAATGGCTCAAGGTTTAGCCAATAATCGATGTCATTGCTGATAATCCAAGAGGAAAGATGACTGACTCCTCATTTTCGCCGCACATGACTGCGCCAGTAACAAAAATTATGATGTAAACAAGCAATATCGGCCATCAATTCAAACACCATATTTCGATTCTTCATTTCTTTTACCTTTGAGAGAAAAAAAAATTCTAGGAGTCCCTATAACTGTTAGGCTTTCCGCAATTAAATTTTTTAATTCATTTTTGCTTTCTTTCTTGATTTACGTTTCTTGTTGGACCCACGCTTCTGGTATCATCGCATCCATCGAACCTTTTTCTTTTCTTGTTTTATTGCAGTTGGGGAAGAAGAACAAGAAGCCTCGAATCAACCACAGCTTCCCACCAAACGTAATATATATATATATATATATATTGAGCCCCAAAAAATGCCTACAAATGATTTGCCCATAACAATCACCCAGAAGCTCATGCGGCTTCACAATACAAATCATCACGTATCAATAATCAACACATCCACTACCGTATCTAAAGCGCATGATCAAGAGAGAGGATTGTTGGGGAACGTAGGGCTTGCTCTCAACTTTGGGTTGCGGTTGGCTTCTAATGTGTTGAGGATATTGCCGATTGCCAAGCAGTTTTTGGGACCACCTACAGAATCAGAAGCCATTATTGACGCGTTGATTGCTCAACAGAAGATTGCTACCTCGTACGAAGAGTGGAAAGAGATTTCGTTAAAGTTGGACGAGTTGTTGGGAAATGAAGAATGGAAACAAAACCCAGTGTCAGATCTTTATGATTATGAATTGATAAGTCTAAGGCTTAATCAAATCAGACATACCAGGGCAACAAAAGACTACAAGAAACTACTATATCTAATACGAACAACTTGGAATAGAAATATTGGCAACATTGGGAATGTCAATAATTATAGACATAGTTATGTGGGAACCAAAAAGTTGATCGAAGAATATCTACACGAATGTGAAGTCTCACTTAAATGCCTCTTGGAAGATAACACTGGTCTTGATAACCGATATATTTTGGGAATGTTAATCCAAACCAGAAAAGCCATTGGCAGAACCGCTCTTGTTTTAAGTGGCGGCGGATGTTATGGATTAATTCATATTGGTGTGATTGCGACGTTGTTAGAACAAGATTTATTACCCAAGATTATTTCAGGAAGCTCTGCTGGGGCCATTGTGGCGAGTATTCTCCTGGTTCATAACTCTCTGGAAATCAGCAGCTTATTAGCGGATGTACTACGGCAGGAGTTTATTATTTTCACTGAACCCCAGAAGCCTGGAGAAGAAAACTCAAAACTATCACTTTTTGCTAATCCATTAAGGTTTCTCAGGACTGGAAATTGGTTTAACAATGCTTACTTGATCGAAACAATGAAAAACTTTTTGGGTGATTTGACTTTTCGTGAAGCTTATAATAGGACTGGAAGGATTCTTAATGTGACAGTATCTCCCGCAAGCTTCCATGAACAGCCAAGCCTCTTGAATTATATAACTTCTCCAAATGTCTTGATTTGGTCGGCCGTTTGTGCTTCTTGTGCCCTACCAGGGGTGTTTCCTTCCACAATTATTTATGAAAAGGACCCAGTCTATGGAACTATTAGAGAGTGGAATCATATATCGGTCCGTTTTGTTGATGGGTCAGTGGATAATGACTTGCCTATCACTCGACTATCGGAAATGTTCAATGTTGATCATATTATCGCCTGCCAAGTGAACCCCCACGTTACTCCATTCTTGAAACTTTCATTGGCGTGCACTGGAGGAGAGATTGAGCTTGAATTGAGTGCTAAGATCAAAAGCTACTTCAATAGTGTTTATAATTATTTCACGTCAGAGTTTATTCATTATCTTGAAATTAGTCAGGAAGTCGGTGTTGCTAGAAATTTGTCGAAGAAGTTGACATCAGTTTTAACCCAAAGATACTCTGGCGATATTACAATCCTACCCGATTTAAGAATCACCGAGTTGAACAAATTATTGAGTAATCCTACTCCAGAATATATATTGGATGCCGCAGTCAGAGGGGCTCGCTCCACTTGGCAAAAGATTGGAATCATTAACAACCATTGTGGTGTGGAATTTATTCTTGATAGAGCGATCTTGGAGCTTAGATCAAAATTAATATCTAACAGTGATGGAAAATCAGGAGTTCCATTAGCATTCGTTAATTCACCAATAAATTCTGATAATTACTCGGAGGAAGAGTTTAATATGAAAGACAATTCACCTTTGATAAGTGATAGATTGAGCCCTGCTGCTAGAATCAATTATAAACTTAGGAGAAGACAAAGATCAGAAAGTTACTCTAACGTGTTTGGTGAGTTAGGTTATGGCTCTCGTGAAAAAATAAAATCGTTACAATCGCATAATCTTAGACGTCAAAGCTCAATATCGGCTTTGAGACGTCGAGATTCTAGTGAAAGTTTTTCTGGGTCCAGCAACGTTGACAATGATAATCAAAGTACTGCATTTTTGAAATATTATGCTGATGATACATCAGTTGCTAGTGACATTAACAAGCAAGCTGATAATGCCAAGAAAAATCCAAGTTTCGGTCCAATAGACTGGGACTTGAGTAATCCTAGCTCTCCTTTAGCTAAATCAACCAAGAATATATTTGAGAGTTCCTTCAAGTCAGTTAGGCCTCAAATAAACAGAAAAGTTTATATTTGAGGAGATTGACCAACACTTCCACTGGATACCAAAAAGAGGTTATCTAAAATAAACTTACGTACGAGTAATGGCTAATGATAATATAATATGATCGATACACAAGCGAATCTATTGATATGAATTAAACACGTAGAGAGTAGAAAAAAAAGAGAAAGGAAAAAAAAAGAGTTATAGCTAGAAATATACAGAACTAATTTAACACACCTAATGCCCACAAACAGAGAAATTCAGGCTTTAGTTTTCTTCTTCTTTGATTTTGGTTTAGAAACAGAAGCTTCTTTCTCAGTTTCTTGTTCAGCCTTTCTCTTCTTATTTTCCAATTTTTGCATCATCTTTTCTTTTTTTGCATTTTGTTTTACCTTCTTTTCGATGAATTCTGGAGCTTCTTCAAATTGACCCAATTCCAACAAACCTTGTTCGAATTTAGATAACTTGACACCCTTAGCAATAACAGCCTCACTACCCACAACGTATTCCTTTTCAGTTTCAACTTGGTCTTCGCCCTTAGTAGTCTTTTCAGCAGATTCTTCCCCAGCAATGTCAGCCTTTGACAAGTATAATGTCTTGTCGTAGTATAGTGGCAAAGCAGGAGAGGTTCTAAGTTTCAAAAATATCGATCTGATGGCATTCTCACTTCCATTATTGAATTTAGAGGTTTCGAAGTGGTTTAATATAACACTCAAGTTATCAACAAGCTGTTTCTTGTCATTGGTAGAAATATTACCGACGCTAACACGAACGTTACTGGCCACTGGGACAAAATAAGTGGTGGAGTCCAACACTTTTTGAATTTGGTTCTTGGTAGTTTCAATAGAGAATTGATTGGTGTTGTTTTTCAATGAGGCTGAAGAAATGATCTTGACTGGGACTGGGATCTTGGAAGAACCGTAGAATTGTTTACCAAGAACGGCTGGCAAGTTGGTGATAGCCCCTTCATCAGCTAAAAACAAGTCATAACTGTTCCACAATTGTCTCTTTTGGTCAAAAGTCTTGTGATCTTTGTAAAGTTCTTTCACTGGGATGATCTTCTCTAAGAATGGGATATTGGCCTGTTCAATTTTTTCCAATTGGTCCTCAGTCTTAATGATATCATCTCTAATGATCAAACAGATTTTAAGAGCTTCATTCTTAGTATCGTATAAAGAATTGTTCAATTTGATTAATCTTGGTTTCAAGGATGGGTTGGAGCCCAAGAATTTTTTGAATTGAATAACCACATCAAGTTCCTTTTTCAACAAAGCTTCATCGTCTTCTCCATCAAACAAACTTTGCTTGTTTTCATCTTCTTTTTCCCCAGACTGTCTTTCATTAAATTTAATCAATTCATCAATAGCAGTTTGTAATATCTTATTAGAAACGAGAGCACTGGTATTTTCTGACTTGGTTTTTGAAGAATTATTGGATTTTGGAGTTTGAGCTTTGGCTGGGGTCTTCTTTGAAGTTTCGGCCTTTTTAGCTGGAGTTTTCTTTGGAGTTTGAGCCTTCTTGGTTGGAGTTTTCTTCGGAGTTTGAGCTTTGGCTGGGGTCTTCTTTGGAGTTTCGGCCTTTTTAGCTGGGGTTTTTTTAGCAGGAGTCTTCTTTGAAAGATCAGCCTTTTTGGATGGTGTTTGCTTTGGAGTTGCTGGTTGGGACTTCGCAGACTTCTTAGGAGTTCCAGCGGTCTTTCCTTCTTTATCAGCAGTTGAGGCCTTTGGTGCCTTAACAGGAGTATTTGAAGCACTCTTTTGTGCGGCGCTTCTAGTTTGTCTCTTTGGTGCCATTTTGCAGAAGATATTCAAAAAATACAAACAACAACAAAAGAAAATATTTCAAAGACGAAATATCAATAAACAATCACAAATCCAAAAGCTTTGATAGTTTTTGATGTTTTCTAACTGTTGTGGATGTCACAGAAATATTTTTCAGATCTCATCTCATTGAAAGAAAATTTTTTTTTTTTTTTTTATTCCCATGCATGGGCGGGTACCGCACCAACGATTTTTCTAATGAAAAAACCAGCAATAAACCCATATTACTATTTTAATAGCGACACAGAAATATCATAGAAAATCGATTGAGAATACAAAAAAAAAATGGTACGTTGAATAGTTTGAACAAGTAGGAGGAACGCTTCTTCTCTATTGTTTTGCACGATGTATTCGTGCTATTTTTATTGATCACAAGAGATTGAGATGATACCAGAGGCTAGGAAATGTGTACTAACATTAGTTATAGGCAAAGAAGAAGTCTGCAAGAAAACCGACCAAGATGGTCAAGCAAAAGCTTGAGGCCACTTTCTCATGTCTTTTCTGTAACCATGAAAAGTCTGTGATTTGTCTGCTCGACAAGAAAACCCTTATTGGGTCACTTAAATGCAAGGTTTGCGGCCAGAATTTCCAGACAACCATTAGTGCGTTGAGTGCACCTGTCGATGTGTACTCTGATTGGGTTGACGTTTGTGAGGATATCAACACCGAAGACAAGCGCGCCGAGAATGACTATGGTGCCGAAGAGCAAGAAGATGAAGACAGAGATTACAATCCAAGAGGCCAAGGAAATTTTGATGGGTCCGATAGTGAATGATTATCTCTCGCCAATATGGTGGATGGACTTTGATTATTTCATTTACCAAACTGGTTGACAAAAAAAAATAAAAAAAAAAGAAAAAGCTAATTGTTTTTTTTTTTTATTTTTTCGGAATCTGCTTTTGATTTTCTTTCATTTCCTTCTATTTGTTCTTCTGTTCTGTCGTTGTTTGCTTTATTTGGTTTTTCATGTTATGTTAAGAAAAGGTTTGTAGATTAGTTTAATATTATACACCACCACGGGTTCATCATTTGCATCATCAATAAGACAAAAAATTATTGTAGAGATTCTTCTACAGAAAATGAATATATCAAAAAATTATAATCCATTAAGCAAAGATGAAAAGGAGATGGAGGGGAAAAAAAAAAAGAAAATATTAACATTTATGAGGAGAAATTCTGTAGTTGCAAATTAATAAGTGCTAGTTGGACAAAAAGGTCACCTTCTGTTATACTGTTGATCTATTCGATTTCGAGCTCTCGATAAATGTTAAAGAAGGTGATTTAATGTTGGACAAGTCTGGCGAGGGGTCTTTCATACTTAGTGGTTTCAAAAACTCTTCCACAAGCGAGGGCTTTTTTGGTAAATTATCATTTTTTTGTTTTTTCAATTTTCTTTCATTTTTTATTTATTTTGTGTCTCTGTTGCTTTTAGATTCCCCTTGTCTTTTGATATTTAAGGATCATGATCGAATTTTAGGACAACAATCTAAACTTCATTGGAATATATCATTCAAAGAAACCTCAATACAAACAATAAAACCAAAGAATAGCTCAGCTAAATTCATTAGCCTTACCTCCCATCAACAAACCAACAATTAACCCAAACAATCCCAACACAGAACCAAAAATTTCGATAACCAAAATCTTGACAAACAATGAGCTATCTGCCGCATCGGCAACCGCAGCGTTGGACCCAGTGATACCAACACAAATACCACAAAGCAAGTTACTCAAACCAACAGTGACGCCACCCCAGAATAACGAATACCCAGTATACAAGTTATCTTTACTATAAAGCGATTCTGCTGAAGCATTGGTCAATTTTGCAGTGTAGACAATTGCCATGATAAGACCGTAAATAGCGACAACTTCACAGAAAATAATGGAGATAAGATTCTTTGTGGTAATTCTTGGAGCCTTGACACCAGCCCCAATGATGGAGGAACCAGTGACGAAGATCCCCCAAGCAGCCCCAATAACACTGAAGCCAATACATGAAATAATCCCCAAGTTCGCCCACATATATGGAGAAGTGGTTTCCAAAAACTCACCAAAATTAAATCTTTCACCACTCCCTGTAAATACAAGATCTAAACAATTCGTGGTCTGTTAGTATTTTTATTGGATTGTTCCCAGTTTTATCATTTATATCGTCATCATCCCCATGATATCAGTTCTGTAATTTCATAAACATTTCTTATCATCAATCCAATACTTACAACACCCCACAATAGTGGCCATAGAAAGCGCTGTCAACGATGTCACAACCATTTCTCTAGATATTTGCTTCTATTAACAACTTAAAATGGAGAGATTGATATTAAAGAACCTGTTCTTCGATACCGATGTCTTCAGTTTCTTGAGCCTACTTCCTCATCATTGAGCTGCCTGTCTTTTTTTTTTCTTCTTTATTCTTGAATTTCTGGCAGTGGCAGTGTATGTCTGGATGTGCATGCATGGATGTTTTACAACGCGCGTTACCAATCTTGAACATGTCAACCCTTGTTTCCATGTATCTTTAGGGACAAAAATGCGAAAGAGGGGGTAATAATAATAATAATAATAATAATAATGGTATTAATAACAATAATGATAGTACAGTCATAGTAATAAAAAATAATAATCTATAAATGAGTCAAAGACACTGATGATATACAATTTATTCTTCTTCCATCACAGCACCATCATAAGCAGGTTCTAAAAGTTTCCACTTACAAGTGATATTCTCTTTTTCAAAGATATTCAAGATGGCGGCGGCAATATCATCAAAGTGATCAGTGGCCAAAGCCAAGATAGTTGGACCAGCACCAGAGAGACAGATACCCAACAAGCCCGGGTATGTGTTTGGAGTGATGGAGGAGGTAATTTCGTTCAAACCTGGGATCAAAGTCTTTCTGTATGGTTGATGGACTTTGTCTTGCATAGCGGCATAAATGAGTTCAGCATCTGGAGGAGATTTGGTCAAAGCAGTGGTCAACACAGCTAATCTTTGCAAGTTGAACACGAGGTCACTTCTGGTATAGGCACCAGGCAAAACCCCACGAGACTTGGCGGTAGAAACTTCGAAATCTGGAATGATGGCAATACACTTGATCTCCTTGCACCAGTCATACTTGATATGATGGCCGATTTTCATTGGAGGAATTGGAGGAGTTAACCCAGTGTCGTACCCTCCAGCAGGTTGTGGGAGCACTTCGGCTAATGGGATCTCTTTTCTTTCCAACTCAGAGGCACTAAGTTCACGTAAGTAAGAGCCGACAAACCCACCCATCATGGCCGCAGTGATATTGTCAGGATGTCTTTCAATCATAAGACAGAAGTCAAGCATTCTACTCTTTGATAATTTGAGGTTAGCAACACCATTTGCCAACATTACCCCGGCAACAACCGCGGCTCCTGATGATCCAAGACCTCTGCCCAATGGGATTGGATTTTTCACATGAACGTGGGTTCCAATAGGAAAATCTCTGATTTCGTGACAACGGAGAACATACAAGGCTGTTCTGGTGAGCAAATTTTGGTTAGGATCTAATGGGACATCTTCTTCACCTTCACCCTCATAAGTGAGCTTACAGTTGAAAGCATCGTTGGCAGACTGTTTTGGGTGGGATGGATCAATGTTGACATTCAACTCAAGAAACAAGTTCAAACCAATTCCCAAAACATCGAACCCTGGGCCGATGTTAGCAGATGATGCTGGGACCTTAACTGTGAACTTCCGAGGCATCTTTATTTATATATTATACAGATCTGTCTTTTCAATCGTTATCACTAGTAGTGGTTGTCTTGTGCTCAGGTTGACTCACCGCCTGAAAACCTTTGAAAAACCACCAACACGTGATGATGTATATATGCATGGGGGTTATTAACACCCCGTGCTGCCCCACTGCGTCTGAGGTGGAAGAATAAAGGTCTTATAGTGATACGTTACTAATGGTGAGATAGGTACTAAAATATAGATAATGAAGTAAACTGTTATAAATAATAATAATAATATCGTCTCTTTTTTTTTTTACTAAACAGCCATCAATCTCAGAATCATCTTTGTAGCTGCGGACGGATCAGTTCACGCAATGCAGCGCAAACGACGCCTAATGAATAACTCATTCATTCTAAGGGGAACATGTCCTCTTTTTTTTTCTTCTCTTATTTTTTTTTTCTATTCTTTCATTTCTTTTTTTAGCAGTCCAACTGGGTGTGCCTGGAAGAAGCGTTCTGGTGTCATTTTAGACGAAGATGTACTCCCGGGTCCGTGTGTTTGGTATACGTATGCACACTACGAGATTACACGGTGATGAGATGAGACGAGCCCTTGGTTTATATAAGAAAAGACTGCCATCATGATCAATCAATTTTTTTTCTTCCACATTTTTTGCTCAAAAGAATTCATTCAAATTTGTGTATCCCAGTGTTTTGCACATTCTTCAAAATCAAAAGTGCCACTTTACCGCAATTCATACTAGGACCTCTTCTACCATAACAGCACAAGTAGTCAGCGATACCAAAAATATTACTACATTATATCAAAAATGAATATTGCCTCAGTACTTTTAACTTACCTAATTTTTGTCATAAATATTTCGTTTGCATCATATGTCACTGTTGGCATTAGTGCATCTATTGATGACACTACCGACACCGACACCGACACTGATGCTTCTAAAACCACGATCTATTCGACAGAAACCGTCACTGACTCTGCTGGTAATGTCGAGACCGCCATCCAAGGGTCTGTCAGTACATATCTTTCTGTCGGCTACAGTGAATCAGTTGTCACTTTAACTACTTCTGTGCCTGTTACTTCCACCTATACTTCAAGAGGTCCTAGTACCGTTGTTGTTATCACAACCTTCAATGTTCAAACCACATCCTGCGTCACTTACACTTCTACCAGTATGCTTGTCTCCACCGTTTCCACTGAAAGATTTACCATCGTCTCATGCGCTGACAAAAAGTGTCAAACCACAGTCACTTCTACTTTGACCGGCTCCACCCCTACTACTACCCAATCTGGAGTCAGCACCATTTCCACCTTAACCCCATCTTCTTCTTCCAACTCCGCCGTTACTTCACAGGTCATTGTCACAACCATTAGTAGTGCCTCGGGTAAGAAATCCACTGTCTTGGTTACCAAAACTGCAGGTATGACTACTTCCGTTTCAGGATCAGTATCAGGATCAGTATCAGGATCAACTAGCACCCAAACTTTGACAGCTTCCCGTGCAAACACTTTGACTTTCCAAGATCTTGCCAACTCAAACATTCAAATGTTTTCCTTGAGCTCCCTTCTTACTTTCTTTGCATTGATGTTTTTCTAATCTTAAACATTCTCTCAGGCCTCATGGTTTCTCCAGTGTTCTCTTCATTTCCATTTAGTATATAATGGAGACATCTTTTAATTATGTTCTTTTTTTTTTCGATTATTTTTCACAGCTGTTGCATTAACACAACCATACTCATGATATTTAATAATTTTTTTTCCTCTTAATTATTTTGCATTTTACATAACAATTGTTTAAAATTTATTTTTAATGTATACATATATATATGAACATTCTTGTAATAAGGTTTCAAGATGTAGCTTCATGTGCATCGGGTAACCCCAGGGTGAGCCAAAAATCCTTCACTTCGAAGAAGAATTCGGTCTGTGTGAAGGTTGAACGCATTGATAAGGCCACATATATCGCCAAGGCATAAAGAGAGACTAATATGAATATGGATCAGATGGAATCTATTCCTAGCAATTTTTGGGATGATTATCTACAAGGAAACAAGGGCACTGGCACAGGCCAGCAGGAACTCAGTGCGGCTAATCTTCAATCATTCTCGACCAATAATGGCACGATGTTTGCTGAACAACAACAGCAACAATACCCTCTAGCTCAAAATTCAGACCCTTTCAGTATTGAGAACCTACAGTTAAGCAACAATCATAGCTTGGGATCCGGGTCCTTCCTGGCCTCTCCGGATCATTCTGCAGCTAATATGTCACAGTCTTTGAACCAATTAATTAGTAATATCAATGAAACTCAAAAGGAAGTGAGTATAATAAAAGAGGAGCTCAACAAGGATTTGTTTCCAGGTGATACCGATATTGTTGCTGCTGCTGCCGCTTCTGGAAACAATAGCAATGTATCCGCTAACATCATTGAGAGAAACTCCAAAGAAGATACACGTTTAAAAGGTCAGCAAATGGTGGTGGATAAAAGAAAGTCGCAAAACAGAGCTGCTCAAAGAGCTTTCAGAGAACGTAAAGAACAGAAATTAAAGGAACTAGAAAAAAAACTAGAGGAAAGTGAGGCAGAAAAAAAAAAGGTTTTTGAAGAATTGGAAAAATTGAAGCTAAAGAACATTATTATTACTACAGAAAATCAAATGCTCATCAAAAACAAAAATAAACCCCCGGTTAATGACAGTATTCCAACTCCAAACTCTTCAAGTGTATACGATGGTGACTTCTCAGCATTTAGACAACCACCACAAAGAGAACCGGTGGATCAAAAGTTCACTTTCCCTTGTGTCGAACCCAATAAATCACTTGTTGACACTTCAATAAAGCACGGATCAGCAAATACAGAAGCGCTTATCTATGCTGATCCAGATACTGATGGTGGTAGATTGTTGACGATGCAAGCTGTGTGGGACTACATTAATAAATTTGAGGAACTTAATTCAGCACATGAAATCGATATGGCTCTAGTCATGGAAGCCTTGGAAGGCACAGAAAAGTGTCATGGTCTAGGTCCAGCGTACTCTTTGGAAAAACTCAACAGTGCTTTATTCAAGCAACTCAGCAATTAATAATTTATATTAAATGATTTTTCGCTAATGTACTTTTTTTTTTTCAGCTTTCAGCTGAACCGACTTCTTCTACCTTGGTATTGGTTTTCTGATTGCCCCCCCCCTTCAATATCATCAATTTGTTTTACTCCATTTTCAGGTATGAGTTGTTTTTTTCCCCTTCTCTTTGTTAGCTTAATGATTTCGCTTCTGTTTTCCTTGGTCTAAGATTTACGTTTGTTTATTTTTTTACATACCTTTTGTATGTTTCGATTTAGCACCCTGGCCATCGCTTTTTATACCTCAGTAATATTAGATTGCTTATGGTTGTGTTATTTGTACAATTATTGTGTCCATAAAGCATCCGTTTGATGGTCTCTCTTTTTATTAAAATTTTTATGGTTGATACTGAATAATAATGATAAAAAAAAAACTATTAATAGTGAAATAAAAGTAGGGAAAAAAAAACGTAAAAACGTAAAAATGAAAAAGAATAGATTAAGAATGCAGGTTTCTCAACTTTCAAGTTCAACATAATCTGGATTCTTCTTCAATATAACAATGCCTTCTAAAGCACTGGCAAAGGAAATGTATTCATCGTTTTCTAATTCTGCTCTTTCACCATAGCTCAACAACACAGGAGTTTCTTGGGTCACCCAACCGGTAATGGTCTTTGGCTTACCAGCTTGGCCAACAGTATCAACAGCTTGACCGACTCTGACATTGACCTTTACTGGATTCAAATCTTCATCCACGGTAACCAACATTCTTGGATGGATGGCCGATGATAAATAATACAACAAGTAATGGGAGTCACTCAACACAAAATCTTTAGGGTTCAAGAATAAAACACTTGTCGTCAAAAGGGATGCCAAGTTAACCTTGGACAATATCTGTCTATCGGTATTGAAAGGATTCAAAGACAAGGTACCTTTACCTAAATGCAACAAACCCTGAGATAATCTTACGTTGAACAAACAATCAGGAGATTTCACATAATAGCTTGCCAATTGTCTAAGCAACTGTGATAATCTAGCATTATTAGTACCAGCACCAACAACACCCATAGAGAAAATAGCATTAGCAGCAACGTCAATATCTTGATCGTGTGAGTATCTTGACAAAGTATCATACACCTTCATTTGTGGGTCAGAAGCTGACACCAAACCCATAGCCAATGGAACAGCTCTTCTAATCACTGGGTTACCGTAATGCATCAAATGACCAAAATGACGCAACACCATATCCTGGCCAATTTCTTCTCCCATTGCAATCATTGCCACACCCAAAACAGCATAAGCCTGGAGGTTATCATCCTTTTTGAATTCGGATTTTTTGGTTTCTTCAGAATCATCCTTCTTTTCATCTTCATCTTTCTTTTCCGCATCTACCATATCCACATCTTCATCATCAACCGATGATTTTGATTTTTCTTCTTCAGTTTTTTCCTCGTCACTTTCTTCTTTTTCTTCATCTTCAGTCTTCGAAAGACACAAGGATAATAGCTTCTGAATTTGTAAAACATTACCAGTACCAGCAAAGGCACAGACGGTGACCAAGACCTGTAAAGATTGAGCAATTGGATGTTCAATGGCACTGATGGTCTCAACAGCTTCTTCAATAGAGTCATAACAGCCAATGTATAATAAACCCAAACCAAGCGACAAAAGCTTCACCCATTTACTAGAGAAATCAGACAAGTCTCTTTCCAAGAATACTTGCAAGATGGTGGAGGCAATTTCACCGTTGGAAGTTCCGACGAAAATATGACCCAAACTCAATGCAGCAATGGAAACGATTTCTAAAGAAGTGGATTGATCAGCAATCACAGGAATTAATAATTCCAAAATAGCCTCATTTTGCGAACCAGCAAACGATATACCCAAACCAATGATTGATGCAACTCTCAAGTATTTTGATTGAGAAGTAACATAATCTTTCAACAACACAAATGAAGCTTCAACATCATCATGGACACCATTAGAGGCAATACCCATTGCCAAAAGAGCACCAGCTTTGATTTCGTCTTCATTAGAGTACAAAAATTTATCGGCCTCTTGCAAACCATCGCTGGAATCCCATTGGTAAATAGAACCGATGGAAGCAGTAGTAGAGAGCATACCAGAACCTTTAGTCTTGTAAATATATGATTTATTTTCATCCTCAGTAATAATTTTATCATTAGAATAACCCAAATTAATGAAGGCGTTAACAAAATTGGAAGCCAAGTTTTGTTTAGCAGAATCAACAGAAGATGCTGATTCACCAAATCTACTGTTTTCCAAGTGTGATTTATAATAGTCTTCAGGGACTTTTGGATCTAACAAGTTCAATTCTTTCACCAAGTATTTGAAGTACTCACTTAATTTCAAGTTGGAAATGATTTCTTGTATGTCTTGATTTTCGTGCTTGAAGGAAGAGTTTTGTCTAGCCAAAATAAAGCCCAATTGTCTCCAAACCGACACGTCTTCTGTGGCTGTGAAAACATTGCTGATTAGTTTTTCATCATCGAGTCTGATAGCCAAGGCTAACGCTTGTGGCAATTCATTGTTGGCCAAGTAAATCTTGTAAGCGGTCTTCAAGAACGCTAGGTCATCAGGCGGAGCTAATAATGGAACACAACTCACCATATACAAACAAACTCTAGAATAGGTGTTTTTATCAACATAGTCTGGTAAATTTTCAATACCCTCTATTTCCAATAATAAATCAACAGCATCAGCTTCCCCATTGTGCTCGAGAAAAAATGGAACAATTTCGAGAGCCAACTTCAATAAATCATCAGTTGCTTCTGTTTTTTCCAATCTTTCACCATATTCTTCTCCAATTTCGAGGGCTAAATGACGAACGTATTCATGACCCCATTCGGCAGTGTCAGCTTCAGATGATAATAATCTATACTTTAAAGCATCCATTTTCTTGTTACTTGAACCCAAGATAGATAATATATCTGCAAACTTGGACTTTAATTTCTTATCAGTCCATTTATCATATAATTCAGTTAATATAGTGTAATGTGGCTGCAAGAAAACCAAAGGCTTTGGAATGGCAGTCATTGAAGAAGTAGATTCTCTCAAGTACTTCTTCAATTGATCTAAAGACGAATCGTAAGAAGCAACATCAGGAGCATTGAGCTTTTCTACAATCGCTTCTAAACTGTCTTTTAACTGTTGATCTTCTTCAGATAATTCTTCTTCCACCTCTTGTTTCTTTTTAGAATCTTTCTTCATCTCTGGCTTGGCGGTGGCAAGCTCACTCTTATTGTCTTTTTCGGATGGAGCCATTTTCAAAACGTCATACAGTTCTTTCAATGTTTAAAAGGAATGAAATTGACTATATTGTTGAGAAAAACAGCTAATTTTTTAGGATTGAGCTCTAAAATTTCCAATATGTCAAGTAACAAGCCAATTTGATGAATAAGGGTTGATTTAAATAAGTTGTCAATAACTGGTTTTTGCCTCCCAAATCTTCATGAAAATTGAATTTTCCTGGAGGTTCAGAATTATGCCGACCACTTCACGAGGGCTCCAAACCATATTACTAACCGCGCGCGATGGCCAAACACCATCAACATCCTTTACTTTTTATAAATCTATCTTTTGAATCATAAGTATTTTTGAAGGTAGAAAAAAAATGATAGGATGTTGTTATTTTGACCTGATATTTTAGAAATCATCATTTAGTAATTTTACACTCTGAGGTATAACACGATAGCATTGATTGTATAATAAAACCAAAATAACATAAAAATAAAAATTCGAATATAAACTAATAAATGATGCGCGAAACTCAATAACACAAAAAAAAGATAGATTAAACGCGTACTAAAATGGCCATTTCTTTTCAAACAAAAATTGATAAATGTCAATTACTTCTTAAGGTACCCACCTCTTTCACAAAGACTGTAGAAAATAGTATCCTTGTCCTTGAGCAAGTTGGCAGGGCTATCAAACTCTTTGACTTCACCTCTGTCCAAAACCAAAATCTTATCATTGTCCATGATGGTATCAATTCTATGAGCGATAGTCAAAATCGTTCTGTCACTAAACTCTTTTCTAATGGTTTCTTGAACAATCTTATCGGTCTTGACATCAACGGCGGCGGTTGCTTCATCCAAAATCAAAATTCTTGATGGGTTCAATAGAGCTCTAGCCAAACAAAGTAACTGTTTCTGACCAGCAGATAAATTGGAACCACCTTCATTAACTTTAGCATAAAGACCTTCACCCGCACCTTCTTGGGTACCAGCTTCGGATTCAGAAGCATCTTCTTGCTCGTGGTCATCCTTGTTCTTCTCCTCATCCTTCATTGACATGACATGGTCCTTCAAATGTGCCATTTCCAAAGCCTTCCACAATTCTTCGTCCTTGCATTTGGAAAATGGGTCCAAGTTCTGTCTCACCGTACCTTCAAAAGCCTGGGAATCTTGAGGGATAATGTTCAACTTACTTCTCAAATCGTACATACCAATCTTGGAAGTATCCACATCATCAATGACGATGGATCCACCAGTGGCCTCGATGATTCTAAACAACGCCAAAGTCAAAGTACTCTTACCAGCACCGGTTCTTCCGACAATACCAATCTTTTCTTGAGGTTTGACTTCGAAAGAAACATTCTTCAAAACAGGATTTGCATCAGCATTATACTTGGTGGTATAGTTTTCAAACTTGATTCCACCTTTCATAGGCCATTGGATTGGAGGTCTGGAATTCTCAATCACATACGGTTTTTCACTTTGCAAATCACAGTATTCAAACACTCTTTCCACAGCAACAGCGTCAGTTTCCACATCGATGGATGTTCTAACGAGCAAATTCAAATGACCATAGATCTCCATCGCAAAAGTACTCAACAACCCAACAGTACCAGCAGCCAATGGAGCACTACTTTTGAGAGTACACACACAAGATAGAGTGACAATTAAGAGAAAGACCGCCCCAATAGCTTTCAATCTGAAATTCAACCATCTATTCATCCAGATCTGCGACATAGTACCTGACAAACCATGATCTAAATTAGCGCCATTAATGTACTTGAATCTGTTCTCTTGGTCAAAGGCTCTGATAGTATCAACACCTATCAATGTTTCATGGATATGAGAGTACACTGGACTTCTGGTGATACTAGCAAATCTCTTAGTTTGTCTAGAGGCAGCAATGTAGTATGTTTGGGTGTACGAGAAAACAAAGGATAAGAGTATCACAAAAATGATAGTACTTGGCAAAGTGTAGATGATCAAACCAAATAAGTATGCGGTCTTAACAACGGTAACAGAGAAAAAGTTGAGAGAACGAGGGAATCTTTGATCGATTTTGCTAATATCTTCAGAAAATCTGTTCAAGACTCTACCAGTTGGAGTAGTCTCGAAGAAGGACATTGGAGATTTCAAAATAGAAGTGACTAATTCTTCATGTATAGCTTTCGAAGCACTAATGGCAGAGAAATAGGAAAAGGAAAGACTTACAGAGAATATAGCCAAACCAGAAAACAACCCCAAAATGGTATAGACAGTGACCAAGAAGACTGTGCTAGTACTGGAGTCATCATTGTCATTCACATCAGCCCAATGCTTCAACCAAAGTTTACTTAAAAAGTCAGAGACACCGGTCATGATGACTGCAGTGACAGTAATAATAACATTACGGTATTTTGCGGCCCTAGCATAACGTTTATAGGTCAGCCAACTGACTTTGCCTTTTTGGGAAACTTCCTTAGATTGGCCAGTGATCCTTTTTCCAGATTTCTCGTTATCATTAGGAGAAAACTTGTGGTTGAAACTAGAAACAGAAGCTCTTCTTAAGGTTCCATTGGTTGTAATACGCGCTAATTCAGTTCTTTCCTCAAAATCATCATCATCATCAGCAACAGCAGAATCACTATCTTCAGTGACTTCAATAGCTTCATTTTTATCTTCAGCGACATTATCAATGCTTTCTTCCTTTGTAGCGCTTTCAGAATCCTCCTTGGTAGTGTCTGCCTTACCAAACTCTTCAATTAATTTGGCAAATTCACCTTTATCATTAATCAACTCATCATAAGTACCTTGTTCATCAATCTTCCCGTGATCCAACACATAGATACTGTCCGCTTCTTCAAGAACATGAATGTTGTTGGTGGATAAAACCAAAGTCTTTGAGCTCAAAATACCAGTTTTACACAACACTCTTTCAATGATGTTTTTGCTAACATGCGCATCAACAGCACTAAGAACATCATCAAGCAAATAAATATCAGCTCTTGCATATACCGCTCTGGCCAAAGAAATACGGGCCTTCTGACCGCCAGATAAAGAGATACCTTTTTCACCAACCTGGGTTTCTTCACCATCAGGCAAGATTTCAAAATCAGATTTCAATTCACAGGCTTCAATGGTCTTTTCAAAGAATTCAGGATCGTATTTGTGACCAAAGAGGATGTTTTTCTTGATGGATGAGTTCATGATCCAAGGCTGTTGAGGACAGTAAGCGACTACCCCACGAACGTTAACACTTGGAGAGCCATGTTTTTCATCAGCAGCAACTACTGGATAATGGCCGAGAATAGATTGTAAGAAAGTGGTTTTACCAGACCCGACACTGCCAACAATACAAGTAAGTTCACCCTTCTTGGCGGCGAAGTCGATATTGGAAAGGGCAATTTGAGAACCAGTGGACTCGACGCAAGCTTCTTCATCGGTTGGGGTACCAGTAGAGTTGGGATCGTTAGCAGTGGTGGCTTGAATCTTCTTGGCATCGGATCTCAAAAATGTGGCATTCTTAATCTCCACAGAAACCTCACCCTTGAGTTTAATGGCTTGTAACTCGGCAATGAGAGAGCTATCCAATTCTTCATCGGTTAAGAACTTCAACAATCTGGCAATAGAAACCTTGGTTTCCATAACACAGGAGATCATATCAGGAAATTCGAATAAAGGATCACCCAATAATTCAAATAATGCCAAACTTGGGAAGATCAAATCAGAAGTCAATTTGATATCACCAAAGAAACCAAAAAAAGCAAACGTTGCACAAGAGACAAAGTATGGAACACACGACCAAGAGAAAGAAATGATAGCATCAAAGACATCAATTTTTTTCATTGTTGCTAGCTCCTCATTGTTTCTAACATTAGTAACACGTTCTTTCATCGGCTTTTCCCAGGAATATAACTTGATGGATTTAATGGATGATAATAGTTCGCTGACCAATTTGGTTCTCTTATCCTTGAACTTCATATTAACATCGTAAAGTGCTTCCATCTTCTTGATCGCGACTAAGTTAACTGGAAGAGCTACAGCAATGATCACCAAACCGGAAAACGATGACAACCCAAGAAGGAAGTATAGAGAGAAAATACAGAGAATGAATTGTAAAGGAGCGGAAACAAATGTTTGCGATCTCTTTATCAAGTATTCGACTTTTGAAGTATCAACAGAAATCAAATTGACGATATCACCGACGGTTTTGTTTGCTCTGGCCTTTGTGGATAGTTTAAAAGCCTTTTCGTAAACCAAGACTGTCAATGACAAACGAATCTTGAAACCAATATTGAGCATTTGGTTGATATATTCATTGTACAACATAACGATCACGAGGGAAGTGATGAACATCCCCACACAAAGAAGAATTCCATGCAACACTTGAGGTTCGGAGTTATCAGCAGTAAGAAAAAATGACATGAGCACTCTAAGTAATTGTGGTTGAACGAAGCTGGCAAGAATTTGCAAGATTTGCAAAACAGCACAACCAAGCACTTGGGCACCAAAAGCTCTAAGAAGTGGTTTAATGAGACTCACATCAGCTTTTTCCTTGGCCATTTCATCTTTCCAGTGCTTCTTGAGAATGGCACTACACTTTTCGGCAGTGAAATTCTCACCTACTTCTGGCAAGTCATCAAATTCGAGAGTGCCTTCCTTATAAACTTTAGAGATTAGCGGGTTGAGGTTGCTGAAAGAAATTCTTCCAATGATGTTGGTATTGTAAAGAGAGTCAACATTGACTTGGTTGAGTTTCAAATGATAGGTGTACTCATGGACTCTCTTCCATAAGAAAACTTCAAGGATGAAAATAAAGATGGAATTGATAAAAGTGGCAAACTCCGCGACCTTAAAGGTGGTGCTGCTCGACAACGCGTAATTGGTATAATTGGTTTGGTAGACATAACCACACAAGATAAACGGAGTGAGAATCCAGTAAACCAATGGGGTACCGAGCTGCCAAATGGATTTGTGGACTTCAGTAATGTGAAGAGGCAATAACACCGCTGCTAACAACACGAAAGTAAGGAAATAACTGATGGATGTCCAGCTGAACACCCCATTATCGCTGGAAAGAATATCATCGAATAACACTAAGTTCAACACCGCCTGGGTAGCTACCAAGGAAATTCTGAGGAAATGTGTGAACCCTTCACTCCTGATACTGAATAGCTTACCATAGGTTTGCTTTCTTTTCGTGACAAGTAATTGCCATGATCCGAGGACAAAGAACACTGAGGAAAACGCTATTAAAAATGCAGCCAAGAAGCAAGGGTTGAAGGCATTTTCTTTGGTTGGAACAAGCACCGATAAATTCTGGCATTGGACGCTTTGATTAAAGTAGCTCCCCATCGTTGCTAACGGGCGGGATGTTGAGTGATTTCCGGGAACCATTATTGATAATATGATAGTATCAAACCTCGGAGGTATCTGGAAAATAACAACCAGATAGCACTTACTTATCTATCTGCAGAAAAGTCCGGCTTTGAAAAAAAAAAGAAAGAAAAAAAGAGACAAAAAGTTAAATGCCGTGAGTAGTAATCAAAATACCTGAATAGTAATCAAGTTTAATTAACTATCTTAGTTATCTTTTTATTAAGCGACTATCTACCGACCTCAACCTTTGATCCTTGTAATGTATATTTAGTCTAATCCCCCTGCTAGTGCCTCTGGTGAGTGAGGTGCTGCCATGGGTTATGGTGTGCTTCAGCAGTTTGGATAGATTCTTCGTATTTGCTACGGCTGGCCATTTTGCGCTCGTCGTATCTGACAGAATCTGAACGTTTGAATAATTTGGTAGTTAACCGGACCGGAGTTTTTTATCGCCCGTAGCTACCGCATCGGTAGAAGAATAGTTTAGTGTTCTATTGCTCAGTTGTGATGTTGAATGCCTTGCTACAAGTTCAGATCAGGGACCGGATGGTTCGTGCGATGTTTTGTTTTTGTTTTGGGCTCGGCATTTTTAGTTCTTAGATTGGCAGCATCCAGATATTTGTACGTGGATTCCGTACTCTCCTGGAAGCACTTATTCGTTCTTGCACGAAATTGATCATCATTTGGGGCTGTCCACATCAGCGAAAAGGGGTTATGGTATATGATTGCGTGATTCTTAGCCGCACTTTAATGACCCAGAAATTCCCTTGTCTGAGAACTGGGAAACCGGTATACTTTGAGCCAGTATTACCTACTGAGGAATGTATCTGGAATAGATTGAATATCATGAGATTTTTGTACCATCCATCGTTCCATAATATACATTTTTTGTGTCATAATTCTTCGCATTATCAGATATAATCCAATTGCTATCCGTTTATCTTCTTTTTAGTTATCTTTAACATGGTTGCGTCAAGTCAATGTTGTGTATAATTGTATAGTGACTGCCAGCAGCATTTACACTTTTGTCTCTAAGTGTATCGGCATGCAGATGTGCAGAATATTTCCTTTATTCTCTTAACTCTATAAACAGCAGTTCTCTCTCTTTTATATTCATTTACAAGAGTATTTGAAAGATAACAAAAATAAGTGTCAATTTACGCTATCATATTATTTTCACAGGATCCTGGTATAAACAGGCAATACCGCGCACGACCACCAAACATGAGAAATTACAATTTCAGAATGTGTGGGAAGCTAAAAAAACAAGCAAGTAGTGATAGTGTGATCTTATAAATATCCTTGAAGTCTCTATTCAGTAATTTTACAAGGTATAAAACGACACTATTGATTATATAATAAAATGATAAAAAATAAAAAATACAATGAAAATGAAAATTCGAATAATATAAACTAATAAATGATACACGAAACTCAATAACACAAAAAAACTAAATTAAACGCGTCCTAAAATGGCCATTTCTTTTCAAACAAAAATTGATAAATATCAATTACTTCTTAAGGTACCCACCTCTTTCACAAAGACTGTAGAAAATAGTATCCTTGTCCTTGAGCAAGTTGGCAGGGCTATCAAATTCTTTGACTTCACCTCTGTCCAAAACCAAAATCTTATCATTGTCCATGATGGTATCAATTCTATGAGCGATAGTCAAAATCGTTCTGTCACTAAACTCTTTTCTAATGGTTTCTTGAACAATCTTATCGGTCTTGACATCAACGGCGGCGGTTGCTTCATCCAAAATCAAAATTCTTGATGGGTTCAATAGAGCTCTAGCCAAACAAAGTAACTGTTTCTGACCAGCAGATAAATTGGAACCACCTTCATTAACTTTAGCATAAAGACCTTCACCCGCACCTTCTTGGGTACCAGCTTCGGATTCAGAAGCATCTTCTTGCTCGTGGTCATCCTTGTTCTTCTCCTCATCCTTCATTGACATGACATGGTCCTTCAAATGTGCCATTTCCAAAGCCTTCCACAATTCTTCGTCCTTGCATTTGGAAAATGGGTCCAAGTTCTGTCTCACTGTACCTTCAAAAGCCTGGGAATCTTGAGGGATGATGTTCAACTTACTTCTCAAATCGTACATACCAATCTTGGAAGTATCCACATCATCAATGACGATGGATCCACCAGTGGCCTCGATGATTCTAAACAACGCCAAAGTCAAAGTACTCTTACCAGCACCGGTTCTTCCGACAATACCAATCTTTTCTTGAGGTTTGACTTCGAAAGAAACATTCTTCAAAACAGGATTTGCGTCAGCATTATACTTGGTGGTATAGTTTTCAAACTTGATTCCACCTTTCATAGGCCATTGGATTGGAGGTCTGGAATTCTCAATCACATACGGTTTTTCACTTTGCAAATCACAGTATTCAAACACTCTTTCCACAGCAACAGCGTTTGTTTCCACTTCGACAGTCATTCTCACAAACCAATTCAAATGATCACAGATCTGCATTGAGAACGTAGTCAACAACCCAACAGCACCAGCAGCTAATGGAGCACTACTTTTGAGAGTGAACACACAAGAAAGAGTGACAATTAAGAGAAATACAGTACTAATGGTTTTCAATCTGAAATTCAACCATCTGGTCATCCAGATCTGCGACAAAATACCTGACATACCGTGATCCAAGTTGGCGCCATTAATGTGCTTGAATCTGTTCTCTTGATCAAAGGCTCTGATAGTATCAACACCAACCAATGTTTCATGGATATGGGAGTACACTGGACTTCTGGTGATACTAGCAAATCTCTTAGTTTCTCTGGAAGCAGCAATATAGTATTTTTGAATATAAGAATAAACAAATGACAAGAGAATCACGAAAATGATAGTACTTGGCAAAGTAAAGATGATCAAGCCCAATGTATACACCGTCTTGACAACAGTATTAGTAAAGAAGTTGAGGGAATGTGGGAATCTTTCGTCAAGTCTGCTAATGTCTTCAGAAAATCTGTTCAAGACTCTACCAGTTGGAGTAGTCTCGAAGAAGGACATTGGAGATTTCAAAATAGAAGTGACTAATTCTTCATGTATGGCTTTCGAAGCACTGATGGCAGAGAAATAAGAGAAGGAAAGACTAACACACAAGACAGATATACCAGACACCAACCCCAAGATGGTATAGACAGTGACCAAGAAGACTGTGCTAGTACTGGAGTCATCACTGTCATTCACATCAGCCCAATGCTTCAACCAAAGTTTACCCAAAAAGTCAGCGACACCGGTCATAATGATTGCGAAGGCAGTGAGCATCACGTTACGATATTTGGCAGCTTGAGCATAACGTTTATAGGTCAGCCAGCTGACTTTACCTTTCTTGGAAACTTCTTTTGATTGACCAGTAACTCTTTTGTCTGACTTTTCATTATCAGCGGGGGTGAACTTGTGGTTAAAACTGGAAACAGAAGCTCTTCTTAAGGTACGATTGGTCATGACACGTGTTAATTCAGTCATTTCATCCATGTCAGCATCTTCAATGACTTCAATAGCTTCATTTTTATCTTCAGCGACATTATCAATGCTTTCTTCCTTTGTAGCGCTTTCAGAATCCTCCTTGGTAGTGTCTGCCTTACCAAACTCTTCAATTAATTTGGCAAATTCACCTTTATCATTAATCAACTCATCATAAGTACCTTGTTCATCAATCTTCCCGTGATCCAACACATAGATACTGTCCGCTTCTTCAAGAACATGAATATTGTTGGTGGATAAAACCAAAGTCTTTGAGCTCAAAATACCAGTTTTACACAACACTCTTTCAATGATGTTTTTGCTAACATGCGCATCAACAGCACTAAGAACATCATCAAGCAAATAAATATCAGCTCTTGCATATACCGCTCTGGCCAAAGAAATACGGGCCTTCTGACCGCCAGATAAAGAGATACCTTTTTCACCAACCTGGGTTTCTTCACCATCAGGCAAGATTTCAAAATCAGATTTCAATTCACAGGCTTCAATGGTCTTTTCAAAGAATTCAGGATCGTATTTGTGACCAAAGAGGATGTTTTTCTTGATGGATGAGTTCATGATCCAAGGCTGTTGAGGACAGTAAGCGACTACCCCACGAACGTTAACACTTGGAGAGCCATGTTTTTCATCAGCAGCAACTACTGGATAATGGCCGAGAATAGATTGTAAGAAAGTGGTTTTACCAGACCCTACACTGCCAACAATACAAGTAAGTTCACCCTTCTTGGCGGCGAAGTCGATATTGGAAAGGGCAATTTGAGAACCAGTGGACTCGACGCAAGCTTCTTCATCGGTTGGGGTACCAGTAGAGTTGGGAACGTTAGCAGTGGTGGCTTGAATCTTCTTGGCATCGGATCTCAAAAATGTTGCATTCTTAATCTCCACAGAAACCTCACCCTTGAGTTTAATGGCTTGTAACTCGGCAATGAGAGAGCTATCCAATTCTTCATCAGTTAAGAACTTCAACAATCTGGCAATAGAAACCTTGGCTTCCATGAAACTAGAAATGACGTCAGGAATTTGGAATAAAGGATCACCCAATAATTCAAATAATGCCAAACTTGGGAAGATCAAATCAGAAGTCAATTTGACATCACCAAAGAAACTGAAAGCAGCAAAGGTTGCACAGGACACAAAATATGGAACACACGACCAAGAGAAAGAAATGATACAATCAATGATCCCAATTTTTTTCATTGTTTCTAATTCCTCATTGTTTCTGACGTCAGTAACACGTTCCTTCATTGGCTTTTCCCAGGAATATAACTTGATGGATTTAATGGATGATAATATTTCACTGACCAATTTAGTTCTCTTGTCCTTGAACTTCATATTAACATCATAAAGTGCTTCCATCTTCTTGATTGCGATTAAGTTAACAGGAAGAGCAACGGCAATGACGGCCAAACCGGAAAACGATGTCAATCCAAGAAGGAAGTATAGAGAGAAAATACAGAGAATGAACTGCAAAGGACTAGAGACAAATGTTTGTAGTTGTGTCACCAAATATTCGACTCTGGTAGTATCGACAGAAATCAAATTGACGATATCACCGACGGTTTTGTTTGCTCTGGCCTTTGTCGATAATTTCAAAGCCTTTTCGTAAATCAAGACCGTCAAGGACACCCGAATCTTGAAACTAATATTGTACATTTGGTTGATATATTCATTCCACAACACGATCATCACGAGAGAAGTGATGAACATTCCCACGCAAATAAGAATACCATGCAATACCTGAGGTTCGGAGTTGTCAGCGGTAAGAAAAAATGACATGAGCACTCTAAGTAATTGTGGTTGAACGAAGCTGGCAAGAATTTGCAAGATTTGCAAAACAGTACAAGCGAGCATTTGGGTACCAAAAGCTCGAAGAAGTGGTTTAATGAGACTCACATCAGCTTTTTCCTTGGTCATTTCGCGGGCCCAGTGTTTTTCGAGAACGGCACTACACTTTTCGGCAGTGAGATCTTCGCTAATTTCAGGCAAGTCATCAAATTCGAGAGTGCCTTCCTTATAAACTTTAGAGACTAGCGGGTTGAGGTTGCTGAAAGAAATTCTTCCAATGATGTTGGTATTGTAAAGAGAGTCAACATTGACTTGGTTGAGTTTCAAATGATAGGTGTACTCATGGACTCTCTTCCATAAGAAAACTTCAAGGATGAAAATAAAGATGGAATTGATAAAAGTGGCAAACTCCGCGACCTTAAAGGTGGTGCTGCTCGACAACGCGTAATTGGTATAATTGGTTTGATAGACATAACCACACAAGATAAACGGAGTGAGAATCCAGTAAACCAATGGGGTACCGAGCTGCCAAATGGATTTGTGGACTTCAGTAATGTGAAGAGGCAATAACACCGCTGCTAACAACACGAAAGTAAGGAAATAACTGATGGATGTCCAGCTGAACACCCCATTATTGCTGGAAAGAATATCATCGAATAACACTAAGTTCAACACCGCCTGGGTAGCTACCAAGGCAATTCTGAGGAAATGTGTGAACCCTTCACTCCTGATACTGAATAGCTTACCATAGGATTGCTTTCTCTTCGTGACAAGTAATTGCCATGATCCGAGGACAAAGAACACTGAGGAAAACGCTATTAAAAATGCAGCCAAGAAGCAAGGGTTGAAGGCATTTTCTTTGGTTGGAACAAGCACCGATAAATTCTGGCATTGGACGCTTTGATTAAAGTAGCTCCCCATCGTTGCTAACGGGCGGAATATTGGGGAGTTTCCGGGGACCATGGTGGGATAGAACACTACAGGATATGTATAAATACAGTATTTGTTCAATCTTAATCTCGGTGGTATCTGGAAATTTGACAACGGGGTGGCACGACGTATTTATTATCTATCAGAAAAAAATTTGGATCTGTGAGAAAACGACAAAAATTTGGGTGCCGTGAATAGTAATCCATGCGGAAGATCCTAAAGTTTGGACCGTTTTTTTTTTGTTTTTTTTAATCAAGCGGCTGGCTGCTGCACTTACCATGCTTGTCGTATTTGGCAGAGTCGATAACCTGATTGGATTGCATGATACTGGCTGAATTACAAATCAAACAGGAAGATAAGATAAGCTCCTTTGGTAAGGTAATGATATATTGTACGAGAGAGTAGCCATGTGACGGATGGGGCACCTGAACTTCTGTCACTGGGTGACAGCCTGCAAGGGTTGTGTACGCAACCACCGTGGTGCACTGCTGTAGCACGACCCACACACAGGCAACTATTGCAACCAGAGCAAAGAGGAGACCTGATGTAGGGTGTTTCCTGGATAGTGCTTGTTCATCTGTCGCTCTATTTTACTTGGTAATCTGGGGTGACGGGAGGTGGCCGTGCTGAGACACTCGCACCGGCGTGCCCTTTAGCAAGCAAACCACGTGGCTGAGTATTTTACTTCGCGCCCTCCGGTGGTGGTTATCCACGTCACGTGCTAAGTAGGCAGGAAAAGAAAAAAGGAAAAAAAAAAGATTTTCTGGGTTGCAAACAACTCACTCATTCTGTAGAACTTCAAGAAACTTTGCTCCATTGCAACCTTTCCTGCTAGTTTAATATTGCCGTTTTCTGATTCCCAATACTCACTAAGGAGCCTTTTCTTATTTGTAACACCAATCAATTCACACCCTCACAATGCCTCTTGGATTGAAAGTTCCGAAAATTGGGTCGGCTAGCAGCTCTACCGTGTCTTCCACCGCCACATCGGCCCCAGTTTCCAGCAACACCGACGATATCGATGAGGTTGATGACCAGGGTCAATCCATCTTGATGGGAATCATCTCGCAATTGAGACCAGGAATGGACTTATCGAGAATCACTTTCCCAACCTTCATTCTCGAAAGAAAGTCGATGTTGGAAAGAATCACAAACCAATTGCAGCAACCAGATATTGTTTTAGAAGCCCACGCCACAGCAGACCCGGTGCAAAGATTCTTACTTGTGGTCAAGTGGTACTTGTCTGGCTGGCACATTGCTCCGAAAGCCGTGAAAAAGCCATTGAACCCGGTGCTTGGTGAACATTTCACCGCCTATTGGGATTTACCTAATGGCCAAAAAGCGTTTTACATTTCTGAGCAAACTTGTCATCACCCTCCAAAATCGTCTTATTTCTACATGATCCCAGAATCTCACATCAGAGTCGATGGTACTGCCATTCCTAAGTCAAGGTTCTTGGGTAATTCGACAGCTGCCATCATGGATGGGGTCTCAATTCTTAAATTCTTAGACATCAAAGACTCCGAAGGAGCCCCAGAAACATATACTTTAACTCAGCCAAATATGTACGCCAGAGGGATTCTATTTGGGAAATTAAAGCTCGAGATGGGTGATCATATGATTGTCACTTGCCCAGTCACAGGCATGTCCGCCGATATTGAATTCATCACCAAAGGTTTTATATCTGGTACTTATGACGCCATAAAGGGTACAGTAAAGAAAGATAATGAGGCATTATACGAAATTTCTGGTAAATGGAATGAAAAGATGCACATAAAGGACTTGAAGACCAAGAAGACTAGCTTATTTTTAGATACCACGGTTGCCGTTCCTTTAGCTCCTAAGGTCCGCCCAATGGAAGAACAAGGAGATTTTGAATCAAGAAAACTTTGGCACAAGGTGGTTACTGCTTTGGGTGAACGTGATCATGAAGCAGCAACTGATGAGAAATTCAAGATTGAAAATTATCAACGAGAATTAGCTAAGAAAAGAGTGGAAGATGACGTGGAGTTCCACCCTAAATTGTTTAAGACCGTGTCAAACTATGATCCTTCAGATAAAAATCAAGTGGAGTTTGTCATTTATAAGAATATTTCTGAAGATGCCGATCCTCAGACCCAAATTAATGAGATCTTATCCATTGCTCCAATTTTGCCAGGTCAAGAGTTTACCGAAGAATTCAACATCCCTGCTTATGAAAAGCATAAAAGCGAAACTACTGCTACTGCCACAACGAGCGCTGCTGATCCGGTACCTTCTCCAACTGTGTAAAATGTATGGATTATTCTCCAAAAATCATCACCTGCCACTCCCTTCTAGGAACCTTTATTTTTTTTATGTTGTTACTTTTTATCTGGTGTGTTTTTTTTTTTCAACTTTTACCCTGTATTTTTTTTTTCTTCTCTCTTCTGCATGTTCTTCATATCATATTAAATGATTGACTTTTTGATCGTCTTGCCTGATTAACTACTACTGTTGGGGTTTTTCCGTTTTTCACATGTGTGTGTGTGTGTGTGTGTTATTCATTCCATTTATTCTTTCTTTTTTAAGTAATGAATCATTCTTTGATATCCTGCATTGTCATTCACGGTTATGACCCTTTTTTTAAAGTTGGCACTACATTTGAATAGAACTCGAGACATTTCCTATAGTCTAACGAGGGAAAATCAGACCAAACTTCCAGAGTTCATGTCTTTTTATTGTCACCATGATACTATTGATTATTTTATGATTTGTCAAATAGTATCATTATTCAGATTATTGTTTTTTTTTTTTGTTCAATCCTTTGCTTTTCCTTATCTATTAACAATTCAGCGGTTTTTTTTTTTTCACTTTTTTTTTTTTTTAATTTGGCTTATTAGTCATTATTGAATTCCCAGCTTATCAGGATAATATCTTTAATCTATATTCTATTTATATTTATATGGCACTACACTTTTTTTGTAAATGGTATTTGTGGGGACTTTAGTACTTTGAAAATGTAATGTTGCATCTGTAATTAGAGGTACGTCTCAAGAAAAATTATTATCCTAAAATTACATATATTCAATGGAAAGAGAAAAGAAAAAATCAATAAAAATAAAAATGAGAAACACAAGAAATGACAAAGAAGTGGCAAAGAGCACAAACTGGGGATGGTTACAATGATGGTGGTAGAAAAATGCATTCATAATGGAACAAGCCAAAAGGGTTATTAGAATCAGTTCCAAATTTGCAAAAGAAAAAAAAAAAAATAAAACCCCCCTGAGGTTGACAAACTTGTGTGATTTTTATTGATATATGCTCAATTATTGTTGATGATTATGTCCATTATTCGTTTTCCCCTTCTCCATATCAATTGGGAACCATTTAAATTTTTTAAAACCCCCTTAATCAGTAAACTTGTAACTCCCACTAGCCATGGTGATGGTACCTCCTCTGTAACTACCTCTTTTCATCTTGTTTTTGTTTTTAGTGAAATCTTTACCTCTAACACGGCCCAATTTATCATTGGCTAACTCACCCCAAGTACCGGCGGCACCTTTGTAAGTGTTATCTGTCAACGCAGTGTTTTCAAAAGAAACTTTACTACGGTCGATACGAGAGAAATGCTTTCTTTGACCAGGGAGTAATAAGTCCTCACCTGCAGAAATGTGGTCCTTTTTCAAAGTGGCAGTGGAGGATGAATCAGAAAGTGGTGGGGTGGTGGAGTTGTCAGACTCTTCAAAGCTATTAGTTTTGGCCTTCTTTTTAACAGGTTCATCATCATCAGAGGAAGAAGATGATGACAACGAGTCAGAGTCAGAATCAGAATCTGAGTCTGAGTCTGAGGATTTTCTCTTGTTGTTTGAATCGTCTTCACTGTCACTGCTGTCGCTATCACTGGAGGAGTCAGAATCACTGGAGGAGTCAGAATCACTGGAGGAATCAGAATCACTTGAGGAATCGCTGTCACTTGAAGAATCACTGTCACTTGAGGAATCACTGTCACTTGAGGAATCAGAGTCGCTATCAGAATCGGAATCACTTGAAGAATCAGAATCACTAGAAGAATCAGAATCACTTGAAGAATCAGAATCACTAGAAGAATCAGAATCACTAGAAGAATCAGAATCACTAGAAGAATCAGAATCACTAGAAGAATCAGAATCACTAGAAGATTCAGAGTCACTAGAAGAATCAGAATCACTAGAAGAGTCGGAATTGCTAGAAGAATCAGAGTCACTACTTTCACTATCAGATTTCTCCTTTGTCTTCTTGTTTTTCTTCTTTTCTTCGCTCTTCTTCTTTTCTTCAGCAGCATCTTGCAACTCCTTCAATTCATCCTTCAACTTCTGCAATTTAGCAGTGGCCTTTTCTACCTCCTTCAACTTGTCTTCAATCAACGACATTATTTTTTTATTTATTTTTTTTTTTTAATCACGAATTTAGACGTCAAAAACTATAAAAACTCCCAAACTAAAACAAAAGCAATTTCCTTCTTCTATAAGAAAGCAAAACTGGATAAAATAAAAATACGTTCCAACTTTGACCGCCACTGAAATTGGTGATTTGATTCCCCTGGTGTTTTCTTATATAGAGGCAAAGTGACAAGAGAAGAAGAAAAAAAAAAAAAAAATTTTCCCTTATGTAAAAATTAAGGATGAAAAAAAAAAAAAATTGCAGGATGAGATATGCGTGCCTCAACATGCGAACCAGTGCAATAAGCGAAATTTTCCAATATAAAATAAAAAAAAAAAAAAAAAATAATAAAATTTACAGAAAGACTACTTTATAATACACTAATACCATTTATTATAACTATTCCATTACCGTTATATATGAATTATCACCCCCTATTTGTTATTTCCCATTACCATGTTCCGAATCTCAAATAAATAATCTCTATCATCAACAACATCATCCCCTCCCGGTTGAAACCAGTGCTTTACTTTTTTGTTCCATCTTTCCTCTTCTTGCCTGAATTTATACACCATCTCTTCATTCAAATCAAATTCATCTCTCACTTGAAACTCAGGATTATTGGAGTATTGTTGTGCTTTTAAAGGCGAGCTACCCAGCAAATCAGGAGACGAAGCATTGCTGAATCCCCTAAACTGGTTTGCCATCGGCATGTTGGGTGATTCCATTGCAGATCTTGGTGGTTTATGAACTGATGATTTAAAATTATTTTGCGGTTGTTGCCATTTCGAAAAACCCAACTTATTGTCAAACATTTGATTCAATTGGTTCATATCTGATGCTTTCCGATTGGTTGACCTTTTAAATGGCGACCCGTTCACATTAACATTAGAAGTGAAATCAACAGATTCATTATCAATCAACATAGGATGTTGGTGCACTTCAAGGTCATTAATATCCTTGAATGGATCCTCGTCAGAATCCTCATCCGCATTCAAGGTAATCCAACAAAGTTTCCGAGGATTGAAATACATATTACCTTCTATCTGTAATCCATCCATGCTCAACTCTTCAAAATCACTATCGTCTTGACTGGTGATCTTGTTGCCTTTTTTAGCCACTGGTTTCTTCTTCTTTATAGGCTTTACTGTGCCATAGCCGCCCTGGTTAGTGTTTCGCTTATTAAGGAACGTAATTAGAGCTGGTTGTTTGACGGGCTTTATACTGGCAAACCTTTTAGCATCATCTTCATTCCCTTCCCACTTATAAGTTACGGGATTGTAAACCATCTTGTTGCCATTATACCCTTCGACAACGTATTTTTTCTTGGAATTATTGAGGTGTTTGATGAGTCCTAATTTCCCTGGTCGTTTCTTTTTAGATCTCCGGTCTTCATGGTATTTTGTGGGGCTATTGTTGCTATTCTTCAAGATACTCTTCCGTGGGTTATTAGGAATCACTTCCATATATTTGGTGATATCAATGATCTGTTGCGGTGGAACACCACCCTTAAGGGTACCCCCACGTGAATAACAAGCATTCAAACTCTGACTTTCTTTAGTGAAATCAACGTCCAAATCTTCAAGATCGTCTAATTCCCCACCATCTCCAAAATGCTTTTTGTGAATTGGTTGAACAATGATTTTTTTCTTGCCGTCTCTCATAAACATTGGACTGCTGACATTTAGTAGCATAGACGAAGAAGCTTTTCTGATATTTGGTTGCCGTGACGAAGCAGACCTCAATGCGGGCATGGATTTTTTAGACATCAACCGATTATTCACAGTTTCAGAATAAGTGGCTTTTCTGGTGGGTGACTTACTTTTTGATCTATAATCGGGGTTTGTTGGTTGATTATAAAATTTCATCACGTTGGCGTCGTTTAAAAATAATTGCTGTTGTCTGCTAACCGTCCCATAATCCATCCTTCGATTGTCCATCGGCTTTACCACCACATTCTTATGAATATCATTTTCCCTGCCAATAGCAAAACTCAAATCTTCTTCAAAATCTGCAAAATCTTCCAAAAACTCTCCCTCGTCTTCATCATTGTTGCTAATATCTTCATTATTGTATCTTTGATTTGGATATTTTGGATAAATAAACGTATCATCAGGTAAATTCATGACATCGGAGGAAATGATTCTTTTATCAGCATTAATGAGCATTTGTTTTTCTTTGTTCAATTTTTTTTGTTGCAAAAGATAAAATTCTCGTTCTTCAAGCTCTGCTTGGTACTTTGCCTTTCTAAGCCTTAGTTCAAGTAGCTTCTCAAAATCATCATTCTCAAACTCAATATCATTATAGAAATCCGTGGCATCGGTTTCTGATTCACTATAAACTGATGCGGTGGAATTTGAAGAATTCTCGAATTTTCCCGATGTAGACCCTGAGAATGACGAATTAGCAGGAGATAAATCTAACGTCGACCCATAGACTTGATTATTCATGAAATGTGGTTTGTAAAACCCTGATTTGCCATCCCGTACCTGGGCATTATACACGCTCATAGAAAATTTATCGCCATATTGCTGTTGATTAGAATTCTTCTTTGGACTTTTAGGAGAGATACTGAAATCATCAGGAAACTCAATCCCATATTCAATATCGCTATCATCGTTAGTCTGATAATTTGTATCATTAGGCATCCTACTAAAGTTTCTTTTTAGGGTCATCATACCGTCATCTTCATCTTCATCTTCATTATTATTTCTTTCATTATCCATAAGATTTATAAGATTTCGATTCAACGTGACATTCATATCTAGTTCGAATCCATCATCATTAGTATCTTTCAAAGTGTTGTCGCTAAAGTTGTTAAGCATTGTCTTCAATGGACTTCCAGACTTATTATTGGAAGATCCATTATTTTTTGATTGGTTCGTCATAGCATTTTCAAAATCCGCCAACGAGATCGACTGGTATGGTTTCCTGTTATTGCTGCTTTTCATAGCACCGCCTAATTTGTTGCTATTTGGACCTGTTATTTGTGGTGCCTGAGGTTTCTTGGTCGGTGAGTTGTTGGAGCTGGTAGTGGTGGTGGTTGTCGATGATCTGTTGGAATAAATCGATGTCCTTAAAACATCGTCTAAATCGTGATTATTGTCAACCAAATCATCCCAGTTATCTTCTTCTGACTCCTGATAGTTACCTAGTCGTGCTACCTGGGGCATGGTCAATATTTAATATCTTGGACAACCTTGTGTTAGAACCGCATCGGGATCACAGACGATTGATGTTTATTATTTACCGGTGTGCTAAAAAAACCAAAAACACAGTCACGTGCAAAACGACACAGGCGTTGAAGCATAAACTTTTTTTTGCACATACGATACGATACGATGTTAAAATCCTTGTTTGATGGTGTTGAATTTTGTAAAATTTTGGGTAAAACAACTTCTATAAGCTATATAAAACAGAAAAACCAGTATGGATGGATGTAAAGGGAGTAGAAAAATGATGATACAAATGCAATATCGACGATAGAATGAGAGAGAAAAAAAAAAAGGAAACCGTTTAAAAAAAATAATGGAGATGGGCATCTCACACTGAAAATATATAGAAGAAAGAGAAAATCATAGCAATTCATAAAGGCAAAAGCAGAGCAAAAAGGAGAGCTAATTAATAGCTAGGCAAGAGAGTGGTGGGAAAGGGAAAAAATCAGGCGTAGTAGTTGTTGATACCCCAGTATGGTTCAACTTTGTAATCACCAAGCAGCTTCCAAGGTTCGTTCCAACCGGAAAACAAAACAATAGAATCACTAGCAGATTCAATATCACTCTTCAAAGCGGCAGTTTGATCACTAACAGATGGAGAGGATTCACCAATGCTGTCACCTTGGGATGGCCAGCCTGTTTCAGAAATATAGACGGCGTTATCTCCACAAGCACTTTTAAGATCACTCATGGTTGACTTGATCCAGTCCCCGGCAGTAGAAGAGCTGACCCCAGAGAAGAATGGATGGGCATTAGCAGTGGTAATGTTAGAATATTCGCTGGTACAAAGAATTGGGTTAGCAATAATTGCGTTGAAAGTGTCAATGATTGAGACGTTACCAGAGTAACCAATGGCCGACAATTGGGTTTGAGCCTCTTCCAAATATTCAACCATTTGAGAGGCAGTGTACTTGCCATCATTGACATGCTCATTGCCGACGGTGATGCCAAAGATGTGGTCATCGTAACTACTGTTACCATAGCTGGTGATGGCACTTTCAATACTAGAAACACTACTCAGGATAGCAGTTGGGTCGTAGATCCCGACCATTAATTTTTGGGTATCGGCTTTATATTTCATAGCGTATTCCACCAACTCACAGTCGGTATTGTAAAGACGAACGACACTGTAATTTTGCATTTCCTCAAAGTTCAGCTTCAATTCAGCTTCGGATTTACAACTACCACTGGCATCGTACTGAGAGAAGGCGATACCAAAAGCAGAGGAGTAGTCATCCAAGGTGCTAGATGATGATGAGGAGGAAGAGGAAGAGGAGGCAGTGGAGGAGGAAGTAGAAGAAATGGAAGATGAAGCAGAGGATGAAGCAGAAGAAGAAGCGGAAGCTGAAGCAGAAGCTGAAGAGAAAGCGGCAGCAGTTGGAGCGCCAAAACCAAAGTCATCACGAGGCATGAGGGTGGTAACCGAGGCATGGCCATGGGAGTGTGATTCCAAAGCGTGGGCCAAGCAGGCGAAGATCGACGATTTCAAAAGAAGGGAGTACATTTTTCTTGAGCTACTAAATGAATGGTGTTGGTTGATGAAAGATAAGACTAAAAGGAGGGTGTTAATCAACCTGGTAACTCAGATAAAAGGAAATACAAGAGGCAGTTTTGCGGGGAAGGTGATCTCAATAGCTGAAGAAACAGTTGGGAGCAGCAGAATAGTCAAGAGTGTAAATTTTGGGATCCAAGGAGGCCCTTATATTATATATCATGTCATATAATATATATATGGTAATGTCGGATAATATACAAATAAGGGATAGAAAGTGGCTTTTATGCAGTGGCATGCATTGATGTGTTTCATCACGCAGACCCACAACGCTAACCTTAACCTTAACTCCCCCGAGGCGACCAAAATTTCAGCTTTTTTGACTCAGCCAGACCAATCGCCAATGATATCGGTGGAAGGAGTTGTTGTTTCAAGAAGCGGACGACCACGGCGCATCGGTGGAGGTGTTTCAACATCATCATCATTACTATTATCAAACACACTACAACTGGTGGAGCTACTATAACAACAACAATAATAATAACAAAGTACATTCGGAACATTACTACACAACACTTATCAGAGAAAAAAAAAAAAAAAAAGGAAAACGTAAAAAGCTTAAAAGTCGTTCCATCGTTCCACCCAGAGGTCTGGAACATTTGCAAAAGAAAAGTCGTTATACTTCATTCTTTCTTTTTGTTGTTTTTTTCCATTCCTTCACCACCGCTTGGAGCCACCAGGACTTCTGCTTCGTTCTCTATTGGACGATTGGATGTTGTCCTCATTCCCTTCTAAAAACGCAAAATCCACCACAAGCCTCTTTCCTAAAAGTTCGCTATTGTCCGCCTCGTCCACTGCAGTTTCAGCCTCTCGTAGCTTTTCGTACTCAACCAAAGCATAGCCCTTATTTAATCGTTAGTTAACAACAGTAAGTATTTTTCTCGAAGTTCAAAAAGTCAAACTCCCTAATATTTCCTCGGAAAATAATAAACATTCGGGATTCTCTCGTAAAATCAGGGGAGGATATACTATCCCACTAGTGCGTACTTCCTTATTGAAATAAGGTTTCTGTCTTTTCTTTCTTTTTTTTTCTTATCCCTTTATTTTATTTTTTCATTTTTTTATTTTTTTTTTCTCCTATTTTCTTTAACATTTCTTTTTCTCCTAGTGTTGTTCTTCTTCATTCTAGATCCACAACGGTACACTGGTGTACTTAAAGTTCCCTCCGTAAGTACTGACTTTCTTCAAAACAATATCCACAAAAAAAACAAAGCAACAAACCACAGATTGCAAAGCAGAAAATGTAAAACAACAGTATAAAAACAAAAAAGAGAAAACATACCTTAGCATACCCAGTTTGGCGATCCATATTCAATTGTACATTCTTCACTTTCCCAAACTCATCAAAGAAATCAATAATATCATCTTCGGATGCTTCTGGATGGACGTTCAAAGCAATGATCACGTAGCCTTCAATTGCTTTAGTGAAAAAACAGTTAGAACATAGCTCAAAAGAAGAAAAGAAAAACAATTAAAAAATAGCAGTGTATAGAAACCTATAAGATCGCAATTATGATAATAGCAACACTCCACTCTTTTACTTTTACGAATTACTCACATCTGGCGGGGTTGAGCACTGAAGAGGAACATTCTGATGGTAATCATGGTTAGCATATTTTTTTATACATTGCCTAATTCGAAAGTAATTTAACAAAAAACAGCACAACCAAAATGTTTTGGTCATCCGATAATACTTTTATTACACTCACCTTCTTGATCTACTTCCATTCTCGTCTTGATTCCATATCATTATTGATTTGTCGCACTGCCTTCGTCATCACTACTCTGTTTATTTATTTATTTACCTTTTTTTTTTTTTTTTGCTACACGCGCTCACAATTTTTCACCTCAACAAAGTAAGAGATCCTACACAAGATCAATTTGGACTTCTTTGATAATATTCACACTTTTTATGGGCATCGGAAAGATAAATAAACATGGGGAAAATGATATAATGATAATAATGGTAATTAATTGAATGAAACAGACGCATTAAAGTGGAAGCCTGGCTTAACCACTGGTCCAAGCTTCGCGTCTCCCAATGGCAAGCTATAACCCATATCGACACTAGCAAATTGCGATCTGAAAAATAAACCAGCCCCAACATGACTGGAATGCTCATCAAATAATTGCCTCACATTGACAGTGCCTTGTAAGCATCCTTTCAAGGTGTCACAGCTTAATTTGTGCGATTTGAACTCGCTCAATGAATCAGCAACCGTAGCGGATCTCAAAAATAATTGCAATCTCAAAACAGATTCTCTGTCCGCAAAGTATTGATGGAAAATCGGCACTTTCGTGAAGACACGGAAAGCATGGCTGCCAATGAAACTACCCTCGATTTTTTCATGACCCGATGATAAACTAATATGTGACGCTGGTAATAACCCTGGAGTGAGGCAATCGTATGATAATTTATCGCTTGGGTGCAAACCTGTGGAATCATTCAAGTTATGAACGTGTCCGATCGTGGACGAAGAGTTGAAAGTCACAGATTTGTTACAGAAAGAATAGAAAGAATTACTATTCATCAAAACTTTCCAGAAATTTCTGCCATCGTTGGCAAGGATTTTACTAACCTCCCCGGAAATTTGTGTCTGAGTCCCACTAACTGGGAATTGCACTGCAGAAACCGTTTGCAAATTAGAAACTTCAACATTTCCTACCAACGACCCTTTACCGCTGAACTCTTCGCCGTCAACTTTGTTTTGGGTGATAGAGATCCCGCCAAATGACGAGTAGAAATATTTTTTGGAAAGCAACAACCGACTGGTGTTCAATCCCATGGTAACTTGTCTGTTCAATTCACCATTAGTCCCATTAGACCCGCCGTTGAAGAAAAGTTGTGAACTAGGAGCATTTTTAACTGGCACCGCAAAACTAAGGTTGGCAAAATGGTTGGCCAAAGATTGGTCAACTCCCGCAGCAATCGCCAATTTTTCACCGTTACCATAAACGTTCCCATTGAGATATCCCAACCCAATACCACCTCCCAATTCATTAGTTGAGGTGGTCAACTTAAGCTTGTTGGTGATCTGTTGCGCGGTTGGCAAGCCAATTTCCACGTTAGCGGTACCATTGATATCCTTATTCACGACCACTTTCGCACTCTGTAAAACCGGGTCGCCAGTAAGCGAGAAATTCTCTTCGACTGAGGCAATGGATGAGGACAATGTCCCCACAGTGTAAAGATTGGTCGAGAGCAATGGTTTCAAAAGCCCGCCAAGGTACTCTCTGTTAAAATCCTGGCCGTTTTCCACTTTCACAGACCCAAGTTCCACCGGCTGTGTGGCCTGGTTTACAAGCACAAAGTCTTGTTTGTATTGCGCATCAAAAAGACCCATTATTGTATAATATCCTAAGGAATATATATTTTATCCAATTAGCCTGCCTGGGTGGGTGTCAAGAACAAACTTTTTTTTTTTTTTTGAATGATAGGAATTTTAGTGGCCTGCATTGATCGTTATGGGGCCCTGGATCATCACCATAATAACTAGAAAATGGGTGTATATTTTTAATATAATTATTCACAATAGCGAAATGTCACCATGATGGCACGACATCGTACCAAAAAAAAAGAAAAAAAAGACATAGTGGTGGTGCTTCATCAGTTAGGCTTTGCTTATTCTTTTGGCTCGCAATGACAAGCCCTATTGTTAAACTATTTCAGATCTTGGAGCCCGCGATCGACGTCCCAACCAAAATCCTCCAAAGATTTGACCCTCCTACCCCAACATCACCGATATTGACATTCCAGGAAAATGGGGTCCTAGAAATCATCATGACCAAGAAGTTCTTTTACGGACTTTTCAAGGAATGTCACGACCAGTTCAACCAATACTTGCATCAAGAACAAGAACGTCATGATCTAGGGCTATTGACCACTGATAAGCTACAAGAATTATACTACGTCACCCTGGGTTTATTATTGACCACTCCTTCTAGTACCACTGCGGTTTCACTTCATTGGGACGTGGTGTTGCAAACTTACAAAAACCATCATCAAGGAGCACTGCTTGGGGAATTTTGGGAATTTCTAACGTTAGAGATATCGTTTGTCGAAACCCTTCTTACCGCAAAACTTTCAAGAGTAAATAAATCTTCGGTGGTGTGGCTTTTATATAAGAAGCTCTTGGCATTACACTGTATCACTCTTACAAATTATGATAACTCCATAGATAATCATGGTTTCAATTTCACCAACGCAATGATGAAAAAGATCCTATCTGTGGTTATCCGATCAGGAGAAACACATCCCCGGAACTACTATGCCTGGAATTTTTTACGTTCGGTCATCCATCTTGTTCATCTGCATCGAGATAATATCTCAATGATGGATATTTATAACAAACTCTATGGTTTTTGTCGGGCGAATCCTAGTGATAATTCATGCTGGTGGGTTCTACTAGAGTTACTTTTACCAGATCAAAGCTCTGGGGAATTCAGCATTAAAGAATGGGGATTCATTATCGAAGACATATCAAAAACTACTAGTACTGTCAAAAATGTTGGATCCTTCAGATTTCAAGTGAATAATGAACTTGTTTCTAAACACCTCGCCACTCAGTTTGTATCTCTTGGGTCGCAGATCCATATTACCCCTTGGAATCATTTGAAAGATGTGATGTTACGTTGTCAGCAACTAGGGATCCTTCAGCAGGAAACTAGTACCATTTGGCAAGCTCTTGAACAAGGGTCTAGTGATGAAATTACCTTCTCGAAAGGAAAATACCAGTACCAAATTGCATCATCTTTAATCCCAGATGAACATGGAGTCGATACTCGATCCAAAGATAGTTCATCATCAGAAGGTATAATACCATTTGATGAATTGGAAAAGATTTCAATTATTAAAAATAAAGCAAGAATTATGGGGTTGAGAACCCAATTTTTCCAAGAACTTTGACAACCCTTAGAAGTTATGAAATAGTCACACGACGTTTTGATTATAAATCGAAGGATTGATCCTAATTGGTCATGCCAGAGTGTTTCAATCATGATGAAAGAGATTAGTCCCCAATGAGTCACTCATCATGAGACAAGTAGGTATTTGTTAATGCATTACTGAATAGACAATAGCTCTGGGATTTCGGTGTGTGGGTACATAATGTAGTTACGGTTATACTTAGTTTATTAGATCATCTTGGTCTCAATCAATACAGCATCTCTACAGTCATTAATTGATAATACTAATGAGGATAGTAACAATAACAATAAATGAAAATTAAATTATGGCATGAGAATATAAAACAAAAAAAAAAAAAAAAAATGAAAAAGAAAATCAAGCTTAGCAAAATGAAAAAACAGAAAAATCAATAAATAAACATTGTTTATAATAGTAAAAATGAAAACGGTCAACTGTAACTGTAATTAACCAAAGAGCAATAAATCATACGACATCCTAAAGAACACTGTGGGTGATGTTTCCAAAAATGTTAAAAAGTGAAAAAAAAAAAGTCAAAAGAGATGATTTGTAACGAAAAAAAAAAATTTTAATGAATGTGTGTAACAAAGTGATATAATGAATAATGATTCCTAATACTGTGATGGTTTTGTTGTTGTTGTTGTTGTTGTTGTTGTTGTTCTTGCACTGTATTTGGTTTCCGATTAAAAAAAAAAAAAAAAATTGGATAAAAATTTAGGTCTTTTTTCAAATGGCCAATCAACTGAAATACACAATCCGAAATTTCAAGAGTTGAGCCCAGCATCTGCGGTGCTGAAAACATTGTACGGAAAACGAGGTGGGTATGTAGAAAAACAAGGTATGGATATAGAAAACACAGCGAGAGTAATGCGATAGCAAAAGCGAAAAGCGCAACAAGTAACTGTGTATCAACCAATATTCCAAAATGTTGATACTTGCAATATGTTAATGATAGAGATACAGTGCAAAAAAAAGGGCGCTACTTCATATATCGATAAAGCATGCTGCCACAATTGAACAAATCGTTATCTGTACAAAAACATAAAGTCTTGCAAGGAAAAAAAAAAAAGAAGAAAAAGCTTCAATTGGAATTCACTTGAATAATTTTGACACTCTTCTCACAGTTCCACCAGTAGTACCATTACTGCTGCCTTCTCTTCTTGAGGGTCTAGCTGCTCTTCCATCTCTCTCCCTTTCTCTGTCTCTTTCTCTTTCTCTTTCTCTTTCTCTTTCTCTTTCTCTTTCTCTTTCTCTTTCTCTTTCTCTTTCTCTTTCTCTTTCTCTTTCTCTTTCTCTGTCTCTGTCTCTGTCTCTATCTCTGTCTTTATCTCTGTCTTTATCTCGTTCACGATCTCTTCCTATAGACCCATACCTGCCTTCCCGATCTTTTTCTCTTATATCCCTAATGTCACGATCTCTTCTTCCTTTGCTACCCAATCTCGAATGCCCAGAAGAGCTGGCTAATAATTTCGGTTTCGAAGGTAAGTTTGGCTTAGATGGCAATGACGATACTCCTCCTTCTGAATGTTTTGAGCTAATCACAGACCCATTGTCTTTCATGTTGCTCCCATGGGTTTCACCATCTCTAATCCTATCGGGATCTCCCATTGCTAAACTGGAACTGATATATCTCTCATGGTCTCTCTTTGGTATTACCCCAATTCTCGGCGACGCAGTAGCGGCTCTGGAACGGGATCCGTGAACAGAGCTGTTATTTGCAGTGGTTGACGTGGTAGCAATCGTCGTATGACCTTTAGGAGGAGGAGGTTGAGAAGATTGACGAGAATGGGACTTGGGCCGCTGATGTAAGGCCTGCTTTGATTTATTGTCCTTGAATAACCTACCGGGGGTAGTCTCCTTCTTCACACCAGCGGCGGCGGTGGCGGTGGTGGTTGAAGCCTTGCCAGTTTTCTTGAGTTTATCTTTGGTAATTCGCCGGTTTTTGCTCTCGGCTTCCCAGAGTCTTCTTTTCCAAAGGGTCAATTCATTATGTAGTTGAATGACTCTTTTCACCTCTTCGGTCCGTTCAGCTCTCCTGCCACTTCCTTCATTGCCACGTTTCAATTTTAATAGATTGTATAGTTCTTCATACTCTCGATATTTCTTACGGAACTTCCCTGCTAATTCCTTCAATTCAAACGTCGCTTTCGAGTCGCTACTATAATAATTCTCGATATCCCTGGTGGTTCCATCATTGATGTCCTCTCCATCGGTATCGTGATTGTGGGCAAACGTTGAGGTGATAGGAGTCGAAGGTTTGGATCGCGCTCGAGGCGCATGGAGTGAAGAAATACTGACTTTTGGACTAGAAGTCGTAGTAGACGTAGCGGTGGTATCAGTAGTAATGTTAGATATGACCCTTCTTTTTCCATGTACTTCTGGAGATGAGGATCTCGACCGAGATTCAGGAGATGGAGACGCAGATGTTGCTTGAGTGGTGCTGCCGATTCCAGCTCCAGAGTATTTTCCAGATTTGCTTTTCCCGCTACTTGATGAGTTACTAGAACTAGAATTATCATGATTGGAGCTTGTGGAAGTAATCCTAGGCTTTTTTCTTGCGATTGGCTGTGGATTGTTAGGCTTGGGTTTAGCAACGCTGCCTAAAGCTTCATCGGAGTCGTAGTCACTGGCTTCCTCTTCGGATGAAGAAAAGTCATAATTTCTAGCCCGTTTGAGATTATTGTTATTATTATTATTATTATTATTATTATTATTATTATTATTATTATTATTATTATTATTATTTGATTTCAATGGGGCGGTAGCACGAGACTTATTATGACTGGTGGATAATGATGAGTTTTTTGTAGTAGGGGTCAAGTCAACGGTTGGTCGAGTAACACCTTTACCCAAGGCAATCAATGGGGTTTCTTTAATTTCATTAGCGACACTAGTCGGTGGAGGAGTAGGTTTATTGCCAGAGTTTGTACGGCTCAATGATTTAGGTTTTTTTGCAGCCAGGGCATCATTTGTTGATTTAGCAAATAATTTCTTCAACGGAGTCGAGTGGGCATTAGAAGGAGAAGCAGCAGCAGTGGCTACTGATAAAGAAGAATTGATAACCGAGGTATTGTTTCTTGAATCAGAGTTCACGGTGGTATTTGAAACCATTTTTTTCTCTCTTTCCTGACGCTGTTTTTCTCTTTGTTCTAATTCTCTGGCCCTTGCTTCTCGTTCTTTTTCCTTTCTTGCCGATTCTAACTCATATTCCCTCTTTCTTTCCAATTCCCGTTCTTCCTCTCTCAATTTTTCTTGCTGTTGTTTAATCTTTGGGTCGACTAATAAATCTCTCATTGGGTCATTTTCAGGAATTTCTAACCGGTCAAAAGCATTAGCCATATTGGATAAAATCAACGATCTCTGGGTAGGAGAGTATTTCCATTGCCAAATTTTAAGGTGCTGATACGAAGAATCATTTAAAATATAAAACTTTTCAGATTCGTGGAAATTGTCAGCAGATACAGGAGGTTTCCACGAAGGTTCTGGAAGGTATGAGTAGCTCGGATACTTATCTTGAGTAAACGCAACGGTTGAAGATTCGATTAGTTGGCCGTATTTTGATAATATCGAAGATACCACGGCTTTAGGGACGCTAGTTCTGTCCTTGATTTGGCAAATGGAGATCGGGCCGACGGCAAGAAGGTGCAACACTCGATTTTCTGGAGATTTAAGGTTCGAAAGAGAATTGATGGCGATTAATTTTGAAGATTTCGTCTGTCTTTTATGGAGGGTGGTATTTTTAGAGTACGAGGAGGACGAAGTTAACGAAGGGGACTCTGAGGAAGACGTGCTCCTTGGTGGGGACGAAGAAGAAGATTTTGACGAAGGCTGAGGTATTGGCGAAAGAGACTGTTCCTCTTGGTTATTGGTTGTTGTTGTTGTAGTAGTAGTAGTGGTAGAAGCAGAACCAGATCTCTTAATACCAGTAGTGAATATTGATAACCTACTGGTTACTTTCCCTACTAGATCGTAATTAGTTTTGTTTTTATCGTCGGGAGACGACGAGTATAGGTTTATTATTGCTGATTCGGGAGTGTAGTTGGAATCAAATATTGTGAAATTCCCATCGGGATGATACAACTTGAGACTAGGTTTGCCATTTGTCACGACCAATTTTGTAGACGAGGCCATGGCCATCTTTGAGAGTAAGTCATCGCTGAGTTTTATGTTGAAAGAAGGGTTGGGAGAGGATGAGAAAGAGTGGGGGAATAGGAGTGAATAATTGGGGAGGGACATTTTGTCCTACTGCGAGGGGGCAAGGCTGTTATGGATGGCCAGGTATTTTTGAAAGGTTGTTGGTGGTGTATGATGAAATATTGGATAATATGCTACTGGGTGATGAAGATATTGGTGAGACAAGAGGGCAGGCGGATATTGGTGATGAAGATGGGTTGGTGGTGGTGTTATTGTTTGTTGAGGAATGGGTGGGTTAAAAAATTATTGAGTGACAATGATCGAATCGTGCGGGAAACGGAGGGGGAGCCAGGCTGGTGGGGCGAGACGTACACAGACAGCAGCACCAATATAAATTGCACCGAACACAACCAGGTTGGATTGGGAGGGTTGTATCAAGGATTTCAGATGGTAGTTATACCTTACAGCTGTCTAGCAGAGTGGATGGTGTCTCTGTAGTGTTAGTAGATGTTCTCACTACTAGTACATGTTACAAGATACGCAACGTAACAACTCCAAGAGGATCTACGGCCGCAATTTCCAAAACACCCCAGACCTGCGGGAGTTTGGGTGGTGGCACCGTTGGGTGGGTGATCTGCCGGGATATATACGTAAATGTAGTCGGTGTATGTAGGTATTTATATTTATTGTTGATATTTTACATATTGATTGATTACACATTAGAGTGGCTGCTCACATTTGTGATGAGATTACTTAGACGTTCCTGTTTATGGTTGTCGTGTGGGTGTATGTGGGTTTCAACAATAATCGTCGGTGTGAACTCACGTGGTAGGAGGTGGTGTCTATAAATAATATACTTGATCATCACTACTGTCTACTGTTGTTTGAGATACAGTTAGTACATGTTATAGTCGCTCTTCGTCTTCTGTGCCTGACAACCAATCACAATGTTACCCATTACTATCACAGGATAGTCGTGATCTCGTATCTACAATGCCTGGAAACACCTATTGCGGTCGTCATGAAATAGAATACCTGTAACGGCAGTGATAATTATCCCACTTTGGTTGCCTTTTTTGTCGTTGATATCAATCTCTGAGGCACAAGATCTGTTCGGTGGGTGAAATTACCGAATGTACATACATTCTAACAATACCCGGGAATTGCTACACACACGAATTGGAATTTTTGAATTGGGAAAAGTTTCCTTTGGGATATCCAGCAGATATATATATATATATATATATAGGCAGAATACCTACGAGGAGAGAAGAGTCAAGCACACCAGCAAGAATTCCAAACTCACCGAAGCAATTCCAGCAGCATTAAGACCTGTAACCTTTAGTAGGCCGTTTCTATACAACTAATTACAGTGTCCAGAAACGGACGGCCACAGGCTCTAGTAACTCCGGCGCGGACTCACCACGGGTCACGAGTCCAGCACGGTTCTTAACATCTAAAATAATCCGTGATGATACTTCATCACCAAAACATTGACTTGGTTTGGAAACTAATGGTGGTTATTGATAAAAGAAAAAGGTGAAGGAAAATATTTCGCAACTGTTCATAATGAAGATCCAGATACGTAGTAAAGATTCTAATTCCATAACAGGCAGGTATTCAAGTTTAGTAAAAGCTGAAGCTGATTTCACTGATATATTGTATATATTGGTTGACAAATAAATTATTAACGAATTTAATTATCATAGCTTCCTGAGGTGACAGATATCAATAATTTTGTATAATTTTCTTTCGATATGTAGATAGTAAAAAATTTTGTTGCAATAAAATTATGAAGAAGCAGAGCCGACAGTTTTAACCTGAAAGGAATTAAAAAAAAATCAGAATATTGAGAATGATGTTGGCAATAAATCACAATAATATTAATAATGTAGATAATGTAAGGGTCGGGAAGTAATGCTAACTGATAAATATTACAGATGAACATATAAATTGACAAAGAAAAGGTAGGGGGATATTTAGAGAAGTATTAAAGTGTAACGATTGCTCAGAGTATAGAATGTCTCAATATGCTATATGAATCTATGAAACAAGACCTAAAGATGAAGATAATGTTGACAAAGTTCGACAAATATTTTAATCTTTAATTTATCTTGTATTATGTACAATTCAATTCCAAGACAATTATTCAATGAAAAACATTTCGAGATGCCTATCTTTTACAAGGATAACAAACAAATCAGAAAATTCCTTTTTACTGAAAAGATTAGTACCAGAAATGAGTATTATGCTCTTTTAATTTTCATATTCTGTGATGAGTTGGCTATTAATAAAATTTCACCTAAAGGTAATCCAGTAGATTATTTAACAGACCATAAGTGATGCCAAGTTTTAGTTTTATAGGTTTAGTATTATTCAGTTACTCAGATGTAATCCCAAGAAGCACAGCTGTAATCCCAAGAAGCACAGCTGTGAAAAGCCAACCCTACAGAAAGTGGTAGGGCTCCAGAACTAGAATGAGAACGAACTTATAACATTTTGAAATATTGCAGATTATTATTAAATAATTCTGAATTCATTGATTAAAAGAGTTTCCTTACGGGGGTGGTGGGCACAGCGGCGAGAAAAATTAAGCGGAGGTACGAGAAGTTCAACTCTTGACAGAACCAAATCTAGCGAAGATAAAAGAAACGCAAAATTGGCCAGCGAAACAAATATGAAGTTGAAATCATTAGTAGGTACGAAGTATATCTGGAAACAATAATAGTTTAACATGGGACTCTTGGGTTAAGCCAAATTTACTAGAATTAAACCGGAATTGCTCATAATGTTAGAAAGACAACGAAAACGGAAGAATTTAGGTATTTTGCATTATATTATTATTTACAGCTTTTATATTCGACTAATAATAATCAAGATGTTACTCAAGATAACAATGCTTGTGCTCTTATTAGCTTATAAGTGAAGTGATTTAAGGTAGTTGGGTACCCACATAAAATGCTTACCCTCACTACGACACGAGTCCAACACCATCAGCGCGGGTCACGAGCCCAACACGGAGAAGCGGACAGATTCTCATCAGCCGCCAGTGTATATCTCCCCCAATATATCTCGTCTCCAGATATTTATATTTATATGCTTATCTGTATATTTTCCTCATGATGATATCTACCTATGTGAATGTCTCATTCCCGGTGTTCCCTGTAGAAACATAACAAGCATGGTTACCCACCTGATAATAGCGGCCATCCACCCGGTGACGGTAAAATGTTCCTTTCGTCACACGTGATCATATCATCACCAGTGGTCCCTTTTTTCAAGCTTAAATACTGATGCTGCTGCTGCTGTTGCTGCTGCGGGAATCATTTTAAGCTTGTATCCCATCCATCTTAATTTGCTACTGCAATTAACACCCACATTATCTTAATAAATATATCTCAATAAAAATGGTACGTCATATACTTAATATCAATGGGTCAGACACAAGCAAAAAAATCGACTCCCCCACAAATAATAAAAAAAAAAACAAAACATAATAGAACTGTCAGTCTAACATGTATAACAAGGCTCGTACTTTCTTTGTCGGCGGTAACTTCAAAATGAACGGTTCTCTTGAATCCGTTAAGTCCATTGTGGACAGACTCAATGAATCAAAGCTCGCAGCTTCTACTGAAGTGGTCATTGCCCCTCCTGCCCCATACTTGTACTGGGCCGCTCAAAATAACAAAAAGTCCCAAGTCTTTATTGCCGCCCAAAACTCCTATGACAAGGCCAGCGGTGCTTACACCGGGGAGATCAGTGTTAACTGTTTGAAGGATGTTGGCGCTACCTGGGTCATCTTGGGTCACTCCGAAAGAAGAACCATCCTCAAGGAAACCGATGAAATGGTTGCCAGCAAGACTAAGTTTGCTCTTGACAATGGTGTCAAAGTGATATTGTGTATCGGTGAAACTTTGGAAGAACGTAAGGCTGGAATCACTTTGGAAGTATGTGCTCGTCAATTGGACGCCGTCTCCAGTAAGGTCAGTGACTGGTCCGATGTCGTTGTTGCTTACGAACCAGTATGGGCCATCGGTACCGGTTTGGCTGCTACCCCAGAAGATGCCGAAGAAACTCATGTCGGTATCAGAAAGCACTTGGCTTCCACCATTGGTGCTGAACAAGCCGAAAAGGTTAGAATCTTGTACGGTGGTTCCGTTAACGGTAAGAACGCCAACACTTTCAAGGACAAGGCCAACATTGACGGGTTCTTGGTTGGTGGTGCCTCCTTGAAGCCAGAATTCGTTGACATTATCAACTCCAGAGAATAAATGGACTGATTTAGATGTTATTGGGTATTTTTAGTTTCTATATCACTTGTTTAATTAATGTTGTATGTCGTTGTTATTTTTGAAATATGACTTATTGTAGAATGACTATACTTTATGATGTTTTACTTCATTTTCGAGCTTTTCCCTTACAGATCCTGCTCAATGAAAAAAAAAAAGAAGATACTACTTACAGTTCCAATAGATTTATTTGAATAATTCACTCATGCATTCTGCTTCTAATATTAATAAGCACAGGAGTTATCAATCTGGCTTCAAAAAAATTTAAAAAAATTCTCCCAAATATCCAGCTACTCTGTTTGCCAAATCCTCTTTTGCTCCTTCTTTAGTACCAGGACCATAGAAATGCTTTGCACCTTTCACAACACCACTGTATTTACTCTTGAGCTTATCGTCCATAAAACCGTACCATTTTTCCATTCTTTCCCCTTGATCAATGGTTTCTGGAACACACTCATCAAGTTCTGAAGGAACCATCAAAAGTGGTATTTTAACTTTACCAAAAGTCTGTGCTGGGGAACTAGGGTGATCATCAGGAAGGTCGAGTAAATCATTGGAGAAAAAGTCGTCATCACCATATGGAACAGCGAGGGATAAGTAACGGTAGGCGGTAGTGGGGGTACCAAACATCAACTTGGAGAATTTCCCTGGAAGCAAAACGTTTTCATCACCGTTATTTTCTTTAACGATAGTCTTGACTGCAGAGATAAGAGCCTCGAGCTTTGCAGGAGGCACGTAACGCAGAAACATTTCACGATCACTGGCTGGTGCTTGAAGAATTGCCCCATCAATGTTAAACAACTCAGCATCTGCAGTCAAACTTGGAAGATACTTGGCGAGATATTGGATCACATCTTGAGTTCCTGTAGAGTGACCCATAACGACAATTCTTTTCTTGTGACAATTGACTCTTAAATACTTGACCAATTGTCCGATCTCCTCAGCGTCACGCTTTAAGCTCCCGGTACCCCAACCATTGTAAGATGATGTGAGGATAGGATTGCAAAATGACCAATTGGCAGGAAGTTTGGACACAACTTCTGGAATGTAAGGAACCGTCAAAAGACCATCTCCCAAACCTCCAACGAAGATGATGGTATTTGGGGCATTGGTTGGGGTAAACTCAAAGGCCGACAATTTGGTGGCGAAATTATGGATTTTTCCTTCGAAGCTTGAGCTAGACATTATTTATGGCTTATTTAATCACTGAAGTGGGGTTTTTGTTTTGTTACTTTTTAATTATGCAATTAGAAGAATAAAAATTCAAAGAGGAAACAGTGGAATCAAAAGAGTACTTATATTTGCCATGATATAGAGAATACTGTGAGCGGCTGTGCCAAACACACGTTTGCTCCATAAGCATTATCCATTCATCTTCTTTATTACCGCTATGCCCGCCGTGGTGACCTGACTGGGAAGGGTCCGTAAACTCCGCCATGTATAATCTTCGTAGGCTTTAAGGGAGAGACAACAAGAACCGGCAAGGGCGAATGGTCACGGGTTTTTGGTAGAAACAAACCTCTCTGGCCTCGCAGGTATACCTCAGAGGAAGCGCCGTGCGTCCATGTTGTTGTCGACTTCGCACGATTATGGCTTGTAGTAGGGTAAAATCTATCCGGTCGGTGGTAGCGGCGGATAGAGTCTAAGAATATCGGATTTAAGATAATTCTGGATTAATACAAACAGTGACTTAATAAAGTTAACAACGTAGTAAAACATAATAATTGAATAATGCCTTCTCTCTCTAAAAATAGTAGACATAATAAAAGTAGAATAAGTAAAATAAATAGAAAGTACGAAAATATGGGCTAGAAGTAATGGTGTTATGGCTATTAACACTCTAGAGTGTTGTTAGCAAAAAGTGTACAAGTACGACTAGTACATCCAACCAAGCTCACATGGAACAGAGTGGCGATACTGATACCTTATTTTTCAGTAGCGGCGTATATTGTGGTAAGTAAGTTCTGTATTTCCAATTGAATCTCTTATGTGGCACTTCCATACTTTTTTTTTTGGATAGAAGTCCGACTCTTCAAGAATGCTCCGAAAATCATCCCGTTGAATTATTTTGAGAAGCATATGAGGCTCTTCAAAATTGTTTCAATCATGATGCTGGTACAATTCATCCAATTTGTGAAAAATTTTTTAATTGGAAAATTTTCATCTCGAAATAAATTTTCAAAAGAAAGCCTTGCTCACATTTAGGGGAAAGTTGTTTACAATTATCAATAAAGCAAAGAGTTAAGCCTTTAACTCTTTGCTTTATTGATAAGTGAACATCAAACTGGTAACTTTATCATTCATGATCATGAATGATGCGAGATACCAGTGTCGATATCAACATGATAAAATCAACCAAGATAATTCTGGAAATTTGTTAGTCAATATTCTTAGAAAACCCACAATAGAAAAGGACCTATTATCTTCTTGCTAAAACTGTTATAAAGTAATAGCATCAGAATTAAAAAGCTCTGAAAAGTTTTTTTCCGCACGGATTACTCGGCCGAAGAAATTCAACTGTTGCATTTTTTTCATCATAAAAAGATAAGGTAAAGATTGGTAGCATAGAAAACATACCTATTTAAAGCACTACCAACTGCTAGCAATATCCTAATGAGACTGCTAAAAAGTTCTCTGATTGAGAGCTAAAAGAAGAAAAACAGGAGAGGAAGAAAGAATTAATTTTCAAAATCCTCCTCAATTTATAGGATTTCCCGACGAGAAAAAGAAGAAGAGAAAAAAATAAAATTACCCGACTGCTTTATACGCACTCTACCGGATCCAGGAATTTTCAACATTTTATTTACATTAATAAACAACAACAACAAACAACACAACAACATGTACACCATCAATATACAATGAGCGCCACACCCCCAGCTACACCAAGAGCGAAAAGAGAACGGCCAGAGGACCCGATAGCTGAAATCTTTGCCAGCCCCGCGCAGCGACGTGCTGGGCTTTTAAATATTGCGACATCACCGTTGAAAGCCGACCGCCAGATGAAAGCCCCATCACTGCCCAATATCACTAGACCTAGAGACCATACCCAACCAATAATTCTTCCTCCAGATCAACACGAGATAGGGCTTAAACCATCGGCCATCAAGCGAGGAATCATCAATATTGATCCGAATTCCGGAAGAATATCGCCTTTGAGAGGCTCACCAGGAAGATCTCGAAGTCATTACGATTTTACCAATCGATTAGCTATCAGAAGAGCGTTGGTGGCCACCAACCCAGGACTCGCCCCACAGGATGAAGATATCCAAGATCTAGATGAAGATGATTTGGCAATTGCTGAAAGAATCATTGGGGAATCAAACCGCGCCAATGGTTCATCATCGCCAACCCGTACCCCAAGAAACCGAAAGTTGATGGCCCTTGATGAAGACGCTGCTGATGATATGGTATTTGAGCCGCTAGAAGGGAATAGTTTTAGAGCTACTCCATGTCCAACCCCAATTCAAGAAGAGAAAATCATTTCCAAGTTTGGTCGAACCCATCGTCTTCTTGAGGCGTCTCAAACCCTCTTTGTCGATGGACCAGAAGGGTTTTTCGAGCAACATAAATTTAAAGGAAAGACTTCAGGTAATACAATGGCACAGGCCCCATCGCTAGATTACAGTGAATTTGTACAATTATCGAAAATTTCTGATTTTTTGCAGCTCCCTCATCGTGATAACCTCATGGAAAGCTACCAAAGTAATTTTCCTCAATGGCACTTTGAATTAAGCCAAGGATTCAATGTTTGTCTTTACGGTGTGGGTAGTAAACTTCATTTATTGCTGCAGTTTGTTGATACCTATCTTACTGATGCCCTAAGCGTTCCAGTGCTTGTGGCGAATGGATACAATCCTGCCACTACTCTTCGGGAAGTGGTCGAACAAACCATTAAGATTGTTTTGCCCTCCAGGAAGTTGAAAAATGGGAAATCTCAACCAATTTTAAAACTCCCCGCGGCACCTCACGAATCTGTGCCATTGTTGGTGCGATACTTGGAAAAATCAAATGACAAATCCTTAAAAATTGTTCTCGCAATACATAACCTTGACGGGCCGGCTTTCAAAGGTGATCGTGCTCAAAGTGCGCTTGCTCAACTTTCTGGATTGCCACAAGTATGGCTCGTTACTTCGGTCGACAAGATTAATGCTCCAATCCTCTGGGACTCGGCGAAAACTTCACAATTTAATTTTGCCTGGCATGATACCACTACATACGATAACTACAATGTGGAGAATGGATTTGAAGATTTGCTTCATGTGGGTAGATCGAGCAAGAATATTGGTACCAAGGGTGCTCAGTATGTGTTGTCCAGTTTGACCCAAAATGCCAGAAACTTGTATCGGGTCCTTGTGGCCAACCAGCTTCAAGCGTTGGAAGAAGAAGCGGATGACAAGGCTCTGGATAGAAGCCTTTTGGTTGGGTCAGTACGGAACGGCATCGAATTCAAACTCTTGTATAATTTATGTGTGGAGGAATTCATTGCTTCCAATGAAATAAGTTTTAGAATCATGCTTAGAGAATTCATCGAGCATGATATGGCAGGATTACTGAAAAACAGTGCTGGTACAGAAATTGTTTTTGTACCACTAACAATAGATGAATTGGAACAGTTACTTACGGAGGAGTTGTTGGAGTGATGCTAGGAGACTTATTGAGTGTGAAATTCGTACCTGATATGACGGGTGGACTGCGTTTTATATAATATAATGACGATATAGTATAACAGCGCAATATAATATAATGATAATATGGATAATAGACAAAAATTTAATAACTACATGAATGATCTTCAACATAAAATATCATACTCCATTAGATAAATATCTATAATTACACAACCATATCGTTTAAACCCAAAGATTCGTTTTCTTCATCAGTTCTTTCATAGTCTTCACTAGCCATATTTGGATCAACGTCTGGAGCATAGACATTTTGGACATAACTAGCAGCAAGAGGATCTTCCATCATCAAAGTGAATGGGATTTTCCCATCGATGGCCTGCTGAAGTTTGGCGAAAAATGATTCCCAACTGGCCTTAGTCTTTGGATCCATAGAATCAGACGTCTGTGTGAAAACACGTTCGTTTAATTCATCATGAACTTGACGCAACAACCCTTCAAGAGTCGTGAATCTACCACCAAGGGTACCTGGAGTCAAATCCATGTTCAATTCTGGAACCACCAAGTGACAAGTTTCAGATTTGAGGATATCTCTCTTCAAATCTTCAGGATCGTCACACTTGAGCACCACTCTTTTACCCTTTTCTGGGATGGCGCCACCGGTCTTAACTTCGTTAGATTTGTAACCACAGTGATCACAGACTGTACTCATAATGATAACATCTTTAAAATGTGGAATGTTAACGGTTTTCATATGGGTATCGCAAGGAGCATAACAGGTTGGGCATGTGGCCTTGAAAACTTGGACTTCGTTGGCAAAGTTTTCAATGTCGGTTGAGTCGGAAGCAAACCCGGTAGAAAGTGGTTGTTCAGTAGTGTTTTCTTCACGTTCTTTTTCGAGTCTCTTAATATCGGCGTATTTTCCTTCATCGATCAACCCAAGTTGAAGATTCTGTTCAGGAGTTCTGAAATATTCGACCTTGGACCACTTGTGGGAAGGCTCGCCTGGGACGTATTCGATCCAAGAATTTCCGGCTGGATCATCAACAACCACAGTCAAAGGTAAACATCCTTCGTCGCCGTTGATGCAACTTTTAACCTTCTTGATGTAAGCGTCGATTTTGTCATAGATCTCTGGTTGGATTTCTTTTCTCTTTTCTTGGTCAGATTCCAAATCTTCAATCATTTCTGTCAACAACCCTTCGACGGTAATAAATTGACCCTTCTTTGGAGGGATTTCAGTTTCCAATTCCACAAAGTTACAATTGGCACTTTCGGATTTGACAACTTGTCTATTAAAATCTTCCTTCTTTTCAATCTTCAAAATGTACTTGCTACCTTTATCTTGGATTTGTGCCGCGGATTGGATTTCAGAATTCTTGAATCCACAATGAGGACATTCAAATGACATCAAGATTATTTCTTTGAAATATGGGATCTTGGTCAACAACATTCTAGTGACCCCGTTCTTGGAACAGTTCATACAATAGGATTGGACTTCTTGAACTGGACGGCCTTCAACATCTTCGGCACCAGTCTTCATGACATCGGTGTTGGTTTCTTCACCAGTAAGAGCTTCGACTCTATCACCCACTGGAGCAAAGAACTTTTCGTTTTTCTCTTCGTTAGACATTTTTTTTTCTCTATCTATCTAGATCTCTAGAAATAAATATATTTATATATGTGATTATTAGATGCAAAATCTATCATTGCTTAGAAATTTTTTTTTTTTCTTTCAAAATTTTTTTATAGTGCGAAGTGCGGCTAGTACATCCATCATCTTCGATAGATGCGATGCTTTTCCAGAAACCTCCAGAACCTTCCATCAACAACAAGAACCTTCCATTGACTTATCACCACACCCAGACTAAGAAAAAGAATCCCATCTTTGCTGTTGATCTGCTACGATGTTTCGCAATAATGGGAAGGCTAGTCTGGGAATTAACAAGCCTTTCAAGCCTCCCCGAATGGTGAGGCCTGGATCCAATGGCGCGTCATCTTTGGGAATAACCAAACCATCAAGTCAAACAACCCCCAGCACCATATTGCAAAGAGATTCTAAGAAAATGACAAGTTCAACTGCCACAAGTTTCAAAAAACCGAGACTTATCAAACCGGAAACTAATCCATCAGCCGGACAAGATAATGTGAATCTTAACGTCGATACCAGCATGTCGCGGTATTTCATGGTGGTGTACCGTAAAAAGACCATGAAGAAAAACAAGACGTGGAATGGCGATGGGGTGTTGATAGTGAAGCATTGTCATTTGAGTTTGAAGTATGATAAATCCGGCATTGGGAAGAGCTACACTTCTCTCGCTAGTGCGATGAAGAAGAATATCAATCTCGAGGAGATTATTAGTATTGATCAATATGAAGTAGAAGTGGATTATGAAGTGGTGAAGCCACAGGAGTTGACACAATTACTTGGGAAATTGTCGTCTCTGACAAATCATAATCAATTAGTAACAGAAGATGATGCCATCAATGTTGTTGTTGCCGTTGCTCCTGCTCCGGAAATTACAACCAAATCAAGACCTTACAAAAGCGTGATGATGGCTAACGATAGGAAATCAAAGGAAGTTGGGCGAATTCAAACAAAAGGGTTGATCCATAACCGCCAATCTATGAGGAAGCCATTATTCACCATCCGCGAGGACTCTTTAGTTTTGGATAAAGTCCTCGAAGAACCAGACAAAGTTATTGATGTTATTGTTGATCCACTACTTTGTAACCATTTACGACCCCATCAAAAACAAGGGGTGAAGTTTCTCTACAATTGTGTGATGGGGATCACTGGTTCTGATATTAGTGGAGCTTTGCTCGCCGATGAGATGGGGCTTGGGAAGACCCTAATGACCATTACTTTGATATGGACCTTACTTCGTCAAAGTCCGTATTTGAGTCAAAGCGTGATTGCTAAGAAAGTGCTTGTAGTGGTTCCGGTGACTTTGATTGGTAATTGGAAAAAAGAGTTCAAAAAATGGTTGAACGTCAATCGTATTGCGGTGCTTACCCTTGGGTCTTCGAAGAATAATAATAATGAAATGATGAGTCTTCGAATGTTTGGCCAGACTAAAGTTCATCAGGTGCTACTTATAGGGTACGAAAAACTTGTTACGGTTAAGGATGTCTTGGTGCAATCGCGGATCAAGTTTGATTTGCTTGTTTGTGATGAAGGGCATCGACTCAAAAGTGGATCGAGCAAAGCTATCCAGGTTTTAAAATCATTGAATATTAAAAGGAAAGTGTTATTATCCGGAACGCCGATTCAAAATGATCTCGAAGAATTTTACACGCTTATTGACTTCATCAACCCTGGAATCTTGGGGAGTTACCCAACGTTTCAGAAAGAGTACATGAAACCCATTTTACGATCCAGAGAGCCTAATTGCACCAATCAAGAGATTCTTAGGATTGGACATGAGAAATCACAACAATTGATCTTGATCACCAAACCGTTTATTTTACGGCGAACCAACGAAATTCTCAATAAATTTCTTCCGCCACGCCAAGATCTAGTGATATTTATCAAACCAACCTCTTACCAAACAAAAGTGTTTGGGAATATTATAAGATCTAAAAATTTTGAATGTTTCGAAGACAATGTCAGCGACGGGGTGGCTTCCAAAACCATGCAGGCTGAAAGTTTCGCCATGATCAACTTGTTTAAGAAAGTTTGCAATTCTCCTAGTTTGATCAAAGATGATAATATGTTTAATAAACTCATTAGTCGTGAGAGTAACTCCTGGTGGCAGGCGGCGTTGGTAACTGTAGCATCAACCAGTGGTAAGTTGTGGTTTCTCATGGAGTTGTTGAAAGAAATCTCTTTTACCACCCATGAGAAAGTGGTGGTGATTTCCAATTATACCAAGACACTTGATTTAATTGAGACGCTTATTCGAGGTTGCAATAATATGTCATTTTCTCGTCTTGATGGCTCGACGGCTGCTAATAAACGTGATGCAATAATCAATGGGTTCAATAATTCAAGCCACGCCACAAACTTCATCTTCCTCCTTTCTGCGAAGTCTGGCGGAGCCGGGTTAAATCTTGTGGGAGCATCTCGACTTGTGCTTGTTGATAATGACTGGAATCCCTCGATCGATCTTCAAGCAATGGCACGGATTCATCGTGATGGCCAAAAACGACCGTGCTACGTTTATCGGTTGATCACCACCGGGTGTATTGATGAGAAGATTTTCCAACGACAATTGATGAAAATCAGTTTGAGTGATAAGTTTTTGGATGATAAGAATAATTCGAAGGATGACATATTCGATTATCAAGATCTTAAAGAGTTATTCAAATTGGATTTGCAGACCCAGTGCAATACCCATGATTTAATCGAATGTCCTTGTGAAGGCACTGGGGAAGTGCTTTCCTTTGATGAGGAGGAGAAGGAGGGAGAAGAAGAAAAAGAAGAAAAAGAAATGGACTACTCACAGGATAAAGGGGAGAATTTAGGCTGGGTTTCGGCAAAATCCATGCGAAGTATGCAAGAAAGTATGGAAGAGGATAGAATGATTGAAAAATCCCGGAAGATCAGAGGTTGCTTGAATGATTTCAGTCATTGTGATCCTAAATTCATCAAGAATGGAGAATTAGAATCCACAGGGGATACTATTACCGATACAATTCTTAAAAATATCGATACCGCCAATAGAATATCTTACATTTTGACAAAAACCAGTTCATAGATAAATAATCTTTGCTTTGATTTCTTTTTCGTCTTATTTTCTTTCTTTGCTTTCTATAGAATTTATTCTATTTATTCAATAATTCTTTTTTTTTTTTGCTTAATATTTTTTCTTATTTAAAGCTTGATTAATTTTAATATCTGGAACTTCATAACTTTGAACCTTTAGTCTTTGCGATATATTCATTGGCTAATTTAAGAACGCCAGCCGCAGTACCGAATGAAGATTGATACCCAGTACCACCGGCACCATAGTTGTGAATGATTTTCCCTTCACGTTCCAATCTTATCCCTCCTTCACGGGTTGGTCTATAAGCAACGTACACGGTGACAATGTCCAATTCAGGCTTGTTTTCCGGGAAAGCTTTACTATCCAACAATTCTGGGGCGTATTTCTTGGCTCTGGTCAAGATTCTTTGGGTCAATTTATCATCGATCTTGAAATCCATTTCGTCGATCTTTACCGGGTGATAGCACCCACCAATGATCGATCCACCTTCTTTACGGTTCATGATATAGAACGCTTCCCCTGGGACTTCACTTCCTGGGACCGGTTGGACAATCTTTTGGTTATAACAGGAATTGGAAACCACCACGATGTGACCTTTCACCGGGTACATTTTGAGATCGTTGACCCCTCCAAGGAACCGGGCCCCCAATGCTGTGGCGTTAATGATCAAATCAGGGGTTTCTCCAGAATGATGGTACTTGTTGGCATCGTTGATATGATCGATACGGGCTCTTTTGATGGTACCCCCGAACTCAATAACTTTGGCATAAAGATACGCAAGGTAGTGTGGGGTGGTGATGGTGACCGATTTGTAACGATGACCTTTGACAAGGTCATCACTAGGGAACTTGAAGTTGCTGCGGTCGAGTTTTTGAAACCCTGGGACGTACAGTTCAAACCATGGCAATTTGTAGGCGGAAACGTAGTCCTTGTGGGCATAATGGTCGACTAACACCTCGTGGATCCCGGAAGTTGGTTCTTCTCGAGCGAGCTTGAGGAATTCGTAGTATCCTGGCTTATCGTACTCTTGGAAAGTGAATTCATCTGGACCGGAATGTGATGACCATTGGGCCCCGGCTTTAGAGGAGAGAAGTTCGAAATCACCGGGGATGTGTTTGGCAATGATGGAGACATCGTAGCCATTCTTGAGAAGAAGGAGCCCACTAGTGAGACCTGTGACTCCGGCACTTTCGGATTGTTAGTTATGCTTTTTTATTTATTTCGTATCTAATTGAGCAATAACGGTTCATACTTACCCAACCACAACGACTTTTGGTTTCGATTCAGGCATTTTTTTTTTTAATTTTAGTTATTTTATATCAATTTTGGGATATGTTTGTGGAGAAATGAGTCAAACAATGAAAAAAAGACACCTTTTTTTTTTTTTTTTTTTACTTTTGATGTGCGGTATTTTACGATAAGAAGGATTTTGACATTTAATACGTGGATATGACATTTAAGTATGAATAGTATTATTATTATTATTATTATACATCTAATATACACCGGATAGAAAATAAACAAAAATTAAACCCCCATCCCGGTAGATAAATTGGGAAAGATCTTTTTGGCAATCCCTTGCAAAAGCGACTTCACCTTGGACCCTTCCTTCTTTTGGGTGGTGGTCGCCGGAGAACCCAAGGTTTCCATCAATTGCGAAGCCAGGATCGTAGTATTGGCAGTCTTGCCATTCCAGCAATATTCACTGAAGCATTTTTGACAAGTGTCACTTTGGGCAACCCCTTGCCTTTCTTGAGATCTTCTGATCACCGCACATCCGACACAGGTGGCCCAATCAGCTGCAGCAGCATCAGAAGTCAAGTTATTTCTGCTGGCGATTTCAAACCCATTGGTGATCATTGCCAATTTCTCTTGTTCAGTATAACTCATCTTCGTAGTCGACGTATTGGACCAATAACTATAAGGTCTATTAGCAACGTACACCACAAGCGGCGGGACGTGGCCGTGATCGTCAGAACCCACTAACGACGTCAAATTCGAAGCGTCACAGCCAAAAAACGTTGGTTTGGAAGTAAGGCCGTTGGCTAAGAAAGTGGCTTGATCTGGAACGTATGGGAAAGTTCCCAACACTCCAACATCGGAAAATTGTCGATCATAAGTGGCCGCCATAGCAGTACCATCGGGAAGCCCATTAAGGTTATTACCATTATCGAAGGCCATGATAATATCTACTTCACGAGCCGGCTGAATGAGAGGGGTGAAGGGAATGTTTTGACCATCTTCACCCCCATCAACAAGGAATAAAGAATCGGATTGCGAGATCAGGGAGCTGGTATTGTAATAATGGGTGTTAAAAAAAGGATTCGGGGAAATGATTGAGATATCATCATTGTCACTGCTGAGATTTTTGATGAAATTCACGAATTTCATCTTGAGGGATTTGATCAAATGAATTTCGGTATTCTCTAGCTTAGCAACCATCAAATTAAACAATGTCGAAGACGTTCCCATGATGAATCCCGCATTATCATACCCTTGCACACACTGGCTGTTATCTCCTTTAACCACCCCATTGTCCAACTCGGTCCCCAAGTATTTGGTATCCACAAACGCATCAACGGTTGGATCCCAGGACCCCATCTCAAACGCATTGAACTCGAAGTTTGTACTATTGCTGCTGACTAATTTCGTTCCCGGATATCTACCGTCAGAAACGGTGATGGGGAAAGGCATCTCTCCATTAACAAACACCAGTTTATCACGAAGAGATGACCAACAAACGTCGGCACCATAATCACCAGAAGATTCGAAAAATCCCCTAGCAAGAGATCTTGCCCATACATCGGTCAACGAAGTATTGAAACCAGCATTTTTTTTCGCTTCCACATCGAGAGAAATGTTACGGAACACCTCATAAGTTTTAATCGGGTGGAGACCTTCTGGGAGGAAAATAGAATTCTCAAGATCCCAAATATCATATTTATTATCAATAATATCTTGTACCGAAATCCAATCATTCATGGAAAGTGATCCGGTGAGCCAATTACCCCCACTGAGGCCTGAAATATAAGTGGTTGATTCGAGCAATCCCCCAAGTCCATGTTCAAATGCTCCCACGGTACGATTATCAAGGGCAGAAAGTTCACCAGCTCCAGTTAACATGGCACGATAACCTCCCCCAGATAAGGCAATCCCAACATTTATATCGCTGGAATTATTTTGAAACACTCCGTTGATTTCTGCAGCGGTCAAATTGGTTTTAGTTTGAAGAAAAGCCTTCAAGTTTGGGGTAGTTATCGAATGTCTCTTTGCTAACCATGTTTTTTCATCATGGCTTAAGCCAGTACCTTGGCGGACAAGGGTTTTATTCGATGGACATGAAACATGGGTGGGAGAATATCCTCCTAGAACGTTGGTGGTGAACAGTAGTAACAGTAGTATGAGCACCTTAAGTAGCACAGATATATAAATCATGATGGTGGTTATTGATTAAGACAAAACATGCTCTTTTTTTTTTTTCTTGCAATGGCTAGAAAAACTTTTGGGAATATATTCGTACACTTATATTAGTGAAGGTGATAGGTTCCATGGTTAAGGATGATTGATGCATTTCTCAAGGCACAATTAAAGAAGCCGAACCAAAACTCGAAGAAATGGCACACAAAAAAAAAAAAAAAATAAATAAATAAGAAAAATAAGATGCTGCCTTAGTGTGGTGGAGAGTTGCAGTTGTTTATTTATTTAGTTGATCTGTCTTTTAGCATCTATGATGATACGGTCATTCTGCTGCACGGAATTGGGAGGCCATCAGGTAGTTTAAACATCGGATTATTTCTCTTCTCTTCCCACAAAGGCAAATATTTGAAAATAATGGAGTACTTATCATCAGTGACCTTCAGGTACATTATAATATTTTTTAATTATTTGAGATATATCTGAAAAACATCGGCCATGTTGTGATGAGACGAGAACAGATCGTTTTTGTTATATGTATATAAAAGATATATAGATTAACCAGACTCTCAAAAAAGTAGACCCAATTCTTCGGCTAGAATATTGTTCAAAACCCCATTTCTAGGAGCAGGAAACTCCTTAAATTTGATATCGTTAGATAGTATAGCTTTCAATTTTTTGATTACCTGATCATAATTTGCCTCATCATTCATCGATTTGTCAAACTCCGCCCATTCCAACAATTCCAAATCTTTCAATGCTTTGGCGATCTCTGCTTGATGGTTATCCATCAACTGGTTATTCACCACCACTATTAACGGACGGTGGGCCCGCAATGAGTCCAAGATGGATCCGGTACCCGCGTGGGAGATAACGTAGTCTGCCTTGAGAATGTCGTTGCTTAAAGCAGAATTAAACGCGTAGGTCTCCACCAGTAGCAGTTGTTTGAATGTGAAAAACTGGAGATTTGATTTTGCAGGGCAAGATTCGACAGAGTTGTTATTATTGTTGTTGTCGACTGGGGTGAGGTGTGAACTGGTGGAGATTATTGATTGATCAGGTCCATATTGTACGATGAGGTGGGTGAAATTTTCCGTGACGAGGTATTCGAGGAATTGTTTGGACACTGCAAATTGGATCAAATCCTTAAATGTTTCGGTGGCCCCTGTAGTGATAAGAATAGTTCTGGACATGGTTAATTAAAATATATTTACGATTTATCTCCAGTGTTGGTGATTGATTTATTTCTTTCTTACTGATTTTACTTTTTTTTTTCTGACAGCAAAAAAAGCCTTCTTATACAATAAAAAGATTACAACCATTCAAGAACTACAATTTACCATTCCTTTCTCTTTTTTTTTTTTTATATAAAATAAAAACATACAAAGATTCATTTATTTTTAATACAATCAAATTCCTTCAAAAAAACACCATTCTTTTTATCATTATTTTTTATTTATTCAATACCCAGCAGCACCTGGGGCATCGGCTTTCCCTTTCAACGACAACAACAATTCCTTAAACTTGGTCTTATCTCTGCCATTGTCAGTCGACCCCGATGTTTTCTTAAGGTCAATCAATTTGATACTTCTATCCCAAATGCTCAAATCGTTCTTGAAAAAATCGTCTCTTTTGGAAATGAACGCTGCTTCTTCGTCTTTGACCTGGTTGATCTTCACTTCTTTCTTGGAATTGTAGTCTTCATAAAATTGATCGATCAATCCACGGGCCTCGGTGACAATTTCCTCGTGTCTGGCTGCGCTGATCTTGTCCTTTTCATCGATTTCCGACTCACGCTTGGCTCTCCACTTCTTTATTGGTTCTGATTCCTCACTGGCTTCATTGGCTACAAAAATGTCGCTATTGGAAGTATCATCAGCACCGTATTCAACACTAGCAGCAGCAGCAGGTTCATTGACATCGGGGAACTGCGATTGGAACTGTGATATTTCGTCGTCGTCATTGTCACCTTCCAAGATCTTTTGATCATCTTCTGTGGCGAACTCGTCGCCAAGCGCCGCTTTTTCTCTGGAAAGAAAGTCGCCTTCTGGGTCGTCGTTTATGTCGAGGTTCTCGATTGGTGGGAATTTCTCAGCCATGGTGGATGTGTATCTAACTATATCTTGATAGTTGATTTGTTATTAACGGTGTCAATCGGGGTGAGTTGGGATTTTTGGGGGATTTTTTTGACACGGAGAGGAAAACCGTGCGGTCACGTGGAGGGCATAGCAATTTCTTTTATTCTTTCTGGCATACCATATCTATTATATTTTATATTTTAACCATTATTATTTATATTGGTGGTAGAGATCTCTATCTATCTATCTATCTATCTATCTATCTATTTAGCAATATTAAATATGGAGGAACTCCCCGGATATGACAAAGACTACGTGAGGGAAGAAGGTGAGTACCGTTAACCGTTATCATCGCACGGTCATGAATATATTATTCTAACCGAAATCTTATTAGACATCGAGGCCTTCGAAGATGCCCTCTCTGAAGACGATACTTTATGTGTCAGTCTTAATTCAAGCGCATCTCTGGTGTTACTTACCGACACCACGGCTGGCACTTCCTCATCAGCAAGTAATCGAATAATGTCAACCAACGACTGGACCCCAATATATGAAAAACTCGACCATGGGTTGAGAAACCGAAAGAAAGATCATCACCGAGATGGTTCGAATCATTCATCATCTCATAAAAGCCATGCGGCATCTCAACGGCTTCGAAAGGCAAATAAACCAGATATCTTTAGCAATAGTATCTCTTACAAGCTATTTCGCTGGCCGATTTTGATCTTTGCTCTTTGGTGGATCTCGTGCCTTTTCACCTTCTATCTCATGGTGAGAATGGCGGTGGCATTTTCGGAATTCATCTTGACGTGGAGAGGGGATAAAAAGGGACTTCGTGAGAAACTCCGTAACTCCCAGAATTATCAAGAATGGGTAGAAAATGCTAAAAAATTGGATAGTACTTTTGGGCTTGATCAGTGGAGAAAAGACCCGGTATTCTATTATTACGATTATCGAACCCTTGCGAAAACCATCAAGAATTTGCGCAGTCTGACCAACGATTGCGATATCGAGCAATGTATGGTGGTGCTACAAAATTGCTTGAAGTCGAATTTTGCGGGGATCGAGAACCCCATCATGTATTCCCAGACGTATTATGGCACGAAATACTTGATCGAAACTTATCGGAAACAAGTAATGGAATCGTTGCGGTTCATTTCCGCTAGTGATAAAGTGTCAGTTGAACGGAAGTACCGGTTCTTCAAAACCGTGTATTTTCTATTTGGAAGATCAGCCCTTTGCCTTTCGGGAGGCGCCTGTTTTGCGTATACTCACTTTGGACTCATCAAAGCGCTTGTCGAGAATGATTTGTTACCGGAAATCATTTCTGGCACCAGTGGCGGCAGTTTAGTCGCGGCGTTGGCGTGTACCAGAACCAACGAGGAGTTGAAAAAATTACTCGTGCCTGCCCTCGCTTACAAGATCACCGCTTGTGAGGATTCTTTGTTTACGTGGTTTCCTCGATGGTGGCGCACTAGCGCGAGGTTTGACCCGGTTGATTGGGCAAGAAAATCGCAATTCTTCACCATGGGGAGTATGACGTTCCAAGAAGTGTACGATCGCACTGGCAAGATCCTCAACGTTTCTACGGTGCCCTCGGATCCTCATTCGCCAGTGATTCTTTGTAATCACATTACCAGCCCTGATTGTGTCGTATGGAGTGCGTTACTTGCATCATCCTCGGTTCCTGGGATCCTCCCGCCGATTATCTTGATGACCAAGGACAAGCACACTGCCGATATCGTGCCGTTCAGCTTTGGTAGCAAATGGAAAGACGGGAGCCTTCGAACCGATATCCCAGTAGAAGAATTGAACAAGTATTTCAACGTGACGTTTTCGGTGGTTTCTCAAGTGAATCCCCATATTTCGTTCTTTTTCTTCGCGCCCAAAGGGGCGGTGGGTAGACCAGTATCCCGTCGTCACGCTACAGGATTACGAGGAGGGTTTGTGGGGTCAGCGGTAGAGAATTTCTTGAAGTTGGAAATCAGGAAATGGCTCAAGTTCCTAAAAGGACTTTCCCTCTTCCCACGATTGTTGGACCAAGATTGGTCGAACGTGTGGCTTCAGAGATTCACTGGGACCATCACGGTGTGGCCAAAGATGTCAATTTCTGATTTTTGGTATATTTTGTCTGATCCGACCCCAAAAAGATTGGAAGGGATGATTAGAAAAGGGGAGATGGTGGCGTATCCGAAACTTTTATTTTTGAAAAATCGATTAGATATAGAAAGACTCATTTCCCAAGGATTACATGATGCAAAACTTGAGTATTTCCAAACAGTATCTTCGGAAATACGAGAATCTGAAGATAGTGAAATTTCTGGGAATTTGAACTCTCAATCTTTGACTCATTCTTTTGGAGAAGGATTGGAATTTTCGGTGATGACGGGACACGACGACGATGATGGGCTGGAATATTTACCTGAAGATTTACTGGATGGAGAGAAAATTTCCGGGAGTAGTGATTCTGATTATTCTATAACTACAACATCACCATGATTACAATAACTTTTTTTTTTTTTTTAAAAAAAATTATAATTATTCTACAGGATGATGGAGGGGAAAATACAATAGTAAATTAAAGAACATTAGATTTTTCAAAATGGACAGGATTTTTTTTTTTTTTTTTGTGATTTTATATTGAAAGGTGTATATATTTAAATAAGAAATACAAGGTATTAGAAGAAAAATTAATTAATAATTAAATATATCAATCGATAAACACGAGAATCTAAAATGATGACGGTAAATTCAATCATCTTCTGAAGAATCATAATTGTAGAAATCTGGGTGGGTTGAGTATGGAGGCAACGATTCTTCGTACTCGCTATGGGTATTATTATTATGCAATGATTGGAAATAATCTTTTAAAACAATCACAGTAGGAGTCAATTTGACAACGACCGAGTTTTTCGGATTGATCCTTGAGGCAAAATTCATAGAAACGTGTAATTCGTGCTCGACCTTGATGTTACAAGTGGCAAACGACGGTAATATAGAGGTAACCACCCCATCGAGCAAGTACTCCGGCAACTCGTACTTGAAATACTCAGATGACGAACGGTTTAGATTACCACTGCCTTGAGTCCGGATATATTCTAACCCATTATGGGTCGATCGATACGTAGATTGTGGGGATAACATACTTTCCACGGGTTGGAAATCCTCGTGGTTAATTGGGTAGTTCAAGCCTTGTTTGTTGATGATCACCGACCGGAAAGATTGGGTATCGCTAAGAAGCTGTGATTTGAAAGAAATATAAGAAACGAGCTTGGCCTTGATCCCCTTGATGATGATACGTTCTGGATCGACAGACAACGCATTGGTGGCGGTATTGGCATTGGAAGGATAAATTAATCGGATCAAATCGTCATAGGAAACGTTGGTCAAGAGTGATAAATTTACGATATCTTTCAAGTTATCGCCCACTTTGATGAATCGCGGGGTGTCGTATTGGGTATTATACGGCTCCAAATGACGGACAAATGACGCTTGGAGCTCGAATCTGGCGGTGATCTTGCTGGTAGAAGGTAATGCTTTTTTCAATAAATTTTTCAACTTGTTAGTGTCAGTAGTATGATTTTGTGATTCTTGACACTTATATTTGAATTCAAAGCCTTTACCACTAACGTTGGCTCTGGTCACTTTGGAGGCGTTGAAAGTAACCAAGTTGAATTCTGGTAAGAACGTCACTTTCACTTTTTTTTCCACCACCGGTTTAGAAGTTGAATGTCGCTGGACCATCACATCGATACCATACTCGATTTTCGCGAAATTGTTGATCCCCTTTTCATAAATGATCGATGGGGGTAACGTCACCGGAGAAAGCACTTGGTCATCCTTGACGTACCCACGCTTATGGAAGAGTTCTGCCTCCGATAGGCATCGCAAGTTGAAATTATCTTCGGGGAATTGGAATTCAAAAGGGTATTGATGGATAATCATTTCTGCTCCCCCCGTGGACGATGAGCTAGTGATGCTTTCGGGGGTCGGGCTTCGGGTATTACCACGATTCTCCAGAACTAGGGTTTTTTCAAGTCTTAAAAGCTCGTGGGTTTCACCATTCCCTTCGAATTGTGGGGTCAGGGAGCTGTCTTCTAGCACGGTATTGCTTATTCCTCGAAGACAAACTATGATGTTCGAGGCATCGATGGTGGGAGACGGCAGTTTGATCACCACCTCTCCTCGGATAATATCACCGTTGGTGAAGGTTCGGGAGGTACCTTCGAGGAAGATGGAGATATCGTAAGGTTTCCTGCTCCTGGTAATACTAGATAGCTTGTTCATGGCGATAGATACATAATCACCAAGAAACTAGAACGGTTGGCAGCAATTGCGATGTGCGAGGTATTTAAATGAAATGTCGAGCCAAACAAGCACATTGCAGAGAGGTCCGCATTATGCGTAATTTTAAAGCCGTTTGGTTAAATTAAAACGCTTTGCGACACTAAAAAGAAAAAAAAAACAAAAAAACAGGCGGAATAAAAGTTATGATTATTAATATTCAAGCAATGGTAAAAATATTAAAATGTAGGATATGTGATAGATTATGATCCAAGCATATATTTGATGATGATAATAATAATAATAATAAAAATAATAATAATAATAATAATAATGATAATATAAATAATCATTCGGAATTTTCAATGTCAAGATTGACGGCCAGGTACACTGGGCCTTGCTTCAACATTTTGTAAGCCAAATGGTTGTTAAGAGTTGAGGTGGCAAAACATAATAAGTACACAATGAACAAAAAGTTTGATTTCGTCTTGCTGGCAATGAACGTCAAGAAAATCACATTAAGAACGTAGATCTTGAAAGTGTTTTTGAAATTGCCAACCAACTCATCAAACGAATTGAACGAGAAACTGGTTGATAATGGAAAGAATTCTTGGTTGGTGAGAAGTTGGGAAAACAAGATCAACACAAGCAAGTACAACAATAGCTCATTGTTGATGTTATCTAAAAACAAGTAGGTCTCAGGATTACCATCAATGATCCCAGGGTTGGCGTAAAAAATGTATGATGGAGAAACAATGATTTTCCCAATGGTCACCAAGGTAATGATCCACAAAATGATCTTGATGGTTTTCTTGTTGTTATCGTCATCGATTTGCGATTGGATTTCCACTCCACTGAGTTGGTTTTCTTGATCAGTATTATTTGTCAACGCTGGCTTCTTTCTGATGAAGTTCCAGTAGTATATCGTGACGTTGGCGATGATTAATACGGCAAACAACACCACTTCCAAAGGAAACACAATGTGGGTGATGTAGTTTGTTCTAATATTGATAAAGAAGAAAACCACTGTGGATAGCATCATGAAGCCGTGGACCTTCATGAAGTATTTGTTGACCTCGAAGTTATCGGTGGAGAGATCGAGTTTTTTGGTGATGAGCTTGTACGATTGCTTGGGCTGATCCATGGCCCAGAGGGTGACGATGATGCACACATAAGTGGTTCTTAAATAGAAGGTGAACCAGTCATAACTGTTGCCTGTTTCCGGGTCGGTCATCTTGACTGTGTTGTATATATATATATATATATATATATATATACAGTTGCAATTGTTGTTAATATTCGATGTTTTGTGGCCTTTTTTTTGTGATTTTTGAGATGACAGGGTGGTCAACCCCCGCTATCAGAGGTTTATTTTGTTAGGAGAGGACAATTATGGCATATTTCCCCAGTTATTCGATCATTATTATTATTATTATTATTATTATTATTATCATTACGTAGATAATTCTAACCATAGCTATGACGGGACGATACACCATTATTCTTGAGATAACACAGAGTCTTCCCAGGTATACAGTGGCCTCGGAAAAGCAAAGAAAACCTGTTCCGAGGGTGGGATTTTTTCTGTTTGTGGAGAACAACAACAACAACGACAACCAGTCGCCAGTTATACACCACATTTATATATATATAGATAGATATTAATATACCATGTCTTCAGATAACAGCGTCCCAGTGAAACCGCTCCCAGTGCTCAAAGCAGACCCGCCACATACCACCCAATCCACGATTGTTAAATCGTGGGTGACGTTGCCATCGAAATCCAACAACGGGCCAGAATTCTTCACGGTACAATACCAACCTCCATCATCCACCACTTATAAAGGCTCAATTCTCGTGGTCCATGGGTTTGCCGAGTACTACGAGCTTTATTCCAGAATCCTTGATGATTTGTGCCAGCAAGGTTACGAGGTGTTTTATTTTGACCAACGGGGGTCGGGGCATACTTCTCCTGGCAAATACAAAGGGAAGTCCAATGAGTACTACACATTCAAGGATTTGGAACATATGGTTGAATTACGATTACAAGAGGTCGACAAAAGAGATAATAAAAAACTCTATTTGTTGGGCCACTCCATGGGGGGTGGAATCATTTTGAATTATCTTGTGTATGGTAATAATCGTGATAAGCTCGCTGGGGCAATTTGTTGTGCTCCATTGGTTGATCTTCATCCAGATACTAAACCAAATGTTATTCTTAGAACTCTTGCTTCGACTTTGAACTTTTTCGTGCCTAACTTCAAGATTGATTCTGATCTTACCCTTGAGAGAATCACTACCGACCCGGAATGGCAGGAGTTCTTACTTCTGAACAAGGATATTTCCAAGACCGTGGGAACGGTTAGTTTGTTCCATGGGATGTTCCAAAGAGGACTGAAGTTGTTGGACCCAGACCATTTGAAGAACCAGGAGAAGAAAGTGCCGATTTTGATTGTTCATGGAGAAGACGATAAAATCAATGATTACAAAGCGTCGGAGAAGTTTGTCAACATGACTCCAGCCGAGGATGTTACCTTGAAAGGTTTTAGCGGCACTGGGCATAGTTTGTTTTTGGAAAGACCAGAGGTTTATGAGCAAGTTACAAAGACGGTGTTTGAGTGGTTAGAAAGCCATTGATTTATGATTGAGATTTGCTTTTTTTTTTTTTTTTTTACAGAGTATTGTTGTTTTAATATATATGGGATTATTGTGTTTGTAAGGTAGCGAGTGTAAGTGAGAGAGAGAGAGAGAGAGAGAGAGAGAGAGAGAGATGATAAGCGGACGGGTCCGGGTTTATGAATGGTGTCGGGGGTAGCGGGTGAGGCTGTAGACCAAGTGACAGTAACAAGGCTGGAAGAAGGTGTTGTTGGATCGGAAGTAGCAGTGGGTTGCTGATGGTGCTATTACTGGGAGTAGTAAAGTATTGATGGAGTATATAATATAATATAATATAATATAATATAATATAATATAAGAGAATATAAGATAAGATACAGTAAAATAAAATAAAATGAAAAAAAAAAAAAAAAATAAGCTTTGTGTTCTCGGATAGAATTTTTACATTTTTTATTTTTTTTTGTGGTATACGACCCGACCCGACCCAGCATTGTGGTAACGCCAGGATCATCATCATCATCATCATATATATATATATATACAAGGGTGTATTGCCTGAGAACACCAAGCTGGACAGCGTGGCCATCAGATACTATCCACAACAATATATCAATCACAAACACACACGTATTGAAAATGCCTTGGAGATGCTGCAAGTGCCAACAGATCAACACTTTGCCCACTGACGAGAAGATCAAACCATTCAAAAGATCAAGAACCTTCAAATCATCCAAAGCCTCCACCGCCTCGGGATCAAACGTAACCAGCCACAACCATACCACAGCACTACAACATCCCCTAGTTCCTTCGTATCCTGGCGCCACTGCACAAATATCCCATTCCGTGACTTCTTTGGCCTTGAATAACGACGATGATATCTTGTGCCACTGCCGACACTATTACTGTGATACTTGCGAGTTTGCCAATTCCGATCATGAAATCGCAGGACACAAAGCTAAATCAAGCAACCGTCGAGAGAAAAACCCTGGGTGTCTAGCCTGTGTCATAGTGTGATATAATCACATCATCCATCCATTTCCCTTCTCCATCGATTTTCATTTCTCTTCCCTTCTATCGTTTTGCATGGTTATAGATCAGTTTTCAAGTTGCTTTGTTCTTTGTTGTTATTTTTTTTTTTTTTCTCTCTTCATTATCTCTTCCTGTTAAATACCATTCATTATAATGCTAATAATGACTATTCAATGATATTGTTTTGTCGATATCGACTAGTTCTCACCATGTATTAACTATGAAAACGAGCAAAAAAAAAAAAAAAAAAAAAAATACACACTTTTGAAATTGAAAAGCTAGAAAATGACATGGCAAAATAAGACAAGCAACTATTCAGCAAATAATTAATAGCTATTAAACACTTCTCATAATACAACTTGACAAAATCAGCAACCTCTCATGGTATAATAATTACCACACCCATCCTCAAAAATACCGAGCATAAGTATTCGGACACTCTGGGCCTCGTAACACCGGAATCTCCACCGTCTCTTTCTCTGAAGCCGTTGTTGTTATTATTGTTGTTGTTTTTGTCTCTTGCTGCTCTTGTTTGTTGTTCTCCAATGGGTGGTTTTTTGCCAACAAGTGCTTGTAAATCCCTGGGGAATCAGCACCTTTCAAAATACAACTCGAGCCATTGAACGTATCCTTCAAGGCAAAGACTTCTTGCGGAGGCTTACCATAATCCACAAGGGTGGTCGACGAAGAAGTATGCGAAAGCAAACCTTTGGCTATTGGTTTAATCACCGTGGTGGTGGTATTGGTATTGGTATTGGTATTGGAGGTAGTTGGGGTGAGTTGGTCAGAATCTGAATGGTTCATTGTTGGATGATGATTAGTGAAACACCAAAAGAAATTCTAAAGAAAAAGAATGATACCCTGAGCAAGAGATCTTTATATATATATATATACAAATACCATCTTAACCATAACAATAACAATTACAAAAAAAAAAAAAAAAAATTATTTTTGTTAAAATTTTTTTTAGCTTTTAGTGCCCATTTTTACTCCACACGTTGCGTATGTTGACAAATTTTACTACGGACGTTCGGCTGGCATTTCTTTTATAGGAACTATTGGTTTTTTAGGCTCATTTTAGTGATAGATAATGGGAAGAGCAGCAACAACCACATTGCTTCGGAAAACCCATTAATTATCATGTTGTAATACAACAAAAACTTAATGGTTTCACCTTCACTTCACCAATTGGTGATACGTCCCACGCATATATATGACACTGCCTAATCGGGGTGCGGCCACACCTTCCCGATAGGGTTCCGAGGCAAATAACAAAAACAACAAATAAATAGTTGTAAATTATACTTTCATTATTATTATTATTAATCCATATATAAATGATATTACTATAAACTTGTTATTTAACAACTAGATAAACTTTTGTACATTACATATGCATACGCCACCAATACCACTAACACACTACTATTCTATTATACAATACAATACCCAGGGTAAGCCAAAATGACCCAACAACCTAAGATACTACCTGGACAAAATCCAGAGGAAATTGCCCAATCCTTCCATCTGCGGACTTCCCAATACTCCATCCTTTCTTCAATTTATCCTCCGAAATAACGTACAACTTTTCATCTTTCATAAAACCCAAAGTACCCATCTCGTTACTTTCAAAATCTTTCGTGGCTTCCACCAGTTGTAACTTTTCATTCTCGAAACGATCCAATCGCATTCCTTGTTTCGATCTTTGTAAAAGTGTTCGATAATCATACTGACTGTCAACATTTTCATAATATCCCGAATAGTTCAAAAACGTTTGTGCTGCCATCGATTTCATGAGCTTGACTCTCGCTACCAACTTCTGATCTTCTGGTTTAAATTGTGTAGTGACCGGACATTCGTGGATCATCATATTGTCATTAATTGCCACCGAGGAGCTTTTGGCATTACCCATGAGCATCGCCGATCTTCTATTATAAACCCCACTAAGACGATTAATACTATTAGCCGACCCCGGTACGTTGCTACCAGGGGTTGCAGAAAAAGCACTTAGTCGTTTGTTGCTATTTAGATTCCCGGTACTGTTGTTGTTGAAACTCAAGCCATTACCACCAGTAAGCGAATCAAACGACAATATCGATGAACGTTTCAGACTAGGTCTCATCGGTGACATCGAAGGCGATGAATTCGATAATTTATGGTCAAGCTGAGAATTATCTTCTTCAGCTAACGACGAGTGTGACAGATTGAAAGATTGATTGTCGCAAATTTCATAACTTGGCTGAGGAAGTTGTTGAATGCCAGGAGAATCCACAGAATAATTACTGAATGATCGCCCGGAGATTCGTTTAGAATTCTTGTAGTCGTGTAATTGTAATCCAAGCCCTGATGACGAATTGCTGTTGCCTTCTTTGTTAGACGCGTCAACCACCATAGACTTTATATCCAAATTTTTGGACCCCGTGCGACGATGGGACATTGTTTTCAGTCTGCGAACCCCTGAATTCAAGTTCATAGTTCTCATTCCTGAAGAGTTCAATTTTAGTCGGCTTTCATTATTAATAGTTGGAGTGGTGTTGTTCACGGCTGTGTGTGGTTTGTGGTTTATTGAGGTTGCTTGACTATTTAACAATTGGGAACTTGGTTGAGGAGGGGAAACTTCAAAACTCTTGGAATGTTTGCCGTTGGCATGTCCGGTAAGAATTTCTGAATGGTTGATTTGACGCTTAATGGATGTTAGGTCATTATGCCAGCTATCCCAAATTTCAGGGTATGATTTCCTGAATTCTGGCCGGGCATTCTGGAATTCTTCCAAGTTCAGGTTGACTAATTCAAAAATCTCTTGAGCATCGTAATAAATCACATCTGATAAATTATCGACAAATTCGATATACATTCTCATTGCCGCTGGGAAGGTTTCCACCATTTGGGTCTCGATCTTGATAATCTCTTTCTCCACTCGTGATAACATTTTCCGCAAATTCTCCAATTCTTCTGATTCCTTGGTGGTCAACGCCAAAGCATTTTCATCTTCAATTGCTGCTAATTGTTTGGTTTCGTACAAACGAAAGTAGTAATCATGTTTCCCCTGTTCGATTTTCTTGTCCTTCCGTTTATTAAACAATTTGGTCATAGAATCCACGTATGATTTCATATCTTTTATACGAGAAGAAATTTTCTTTTCAAACCCCAACAATTTTTTATTGGTATCTTGTCTTGTCTTTATTAATAACTCATCAAATTTCCCCAAGTTGTTGGCGGTGTCGCCATCATCTGGGTTATTTTGAAGCTCGACATTAGCACCGATAAATGATTTAGTCAAGCTAATCTGATTCTCAAAAAAAGCTGACCAGTAAGTGGCATGGTTCGAGCACTCTGTTTGAATCCCATTCAATTTATCTGTGCATAATTTGAACTTGTTTTGCCATTGCGTCACTTCTTCATCATCGATGGATTTGATCTCATTGGGTAATACTGGCAGTAAAGGGTTCTGTTGCGGCAAAATCTTGCTCGCTATACTATTAAGCATGGTTTGGTTGGTAATGATTTCTTTTTTATTTTCTTTTTTTTTTTTTTGGGCAAATGATGGAGTTGTGGTGGGGGCAACAATTATTGATCAATCAAGATAACTAACTAACTGACAACAAGATAATATATATAATGTATAGCAAGTTATTGGCAATACTTTTAAAACAATTTCCTTTGGCAATGGTTATTGATTCTCTCAATGCTTTATTTCTTTCTTTCTTTCTTTCTTTATTGCGGGTGTGATTTGCAACCACTCGTTTATCGAAGGACGATAGTTGTTGTTGATGTAAACAAAAAACACCTTGTGTTTTTGCGTTGATTCCACCGCTAAAAAAAAAAGAAAAGGAAAAAAAAAAAAAAATGCGATGGCAACGGTACGGTGCGTATAACCGGATGTCGTACGTCAAAATGTTATTACAATCAACATTCGTGCCAATTCCCCATATCATACATAATTTTCTATGTCATACTATACATAAGAGCCGATTAAAATTGTTTAATCTTCGTCAATTAAACTGTTTCCATTCTCATAAAACTCGTGGTACAAATAATCGACTTCATTCATCGACAATTCGCCAAACTCCTTGTGCTCCTTTCTTAGCCTATCTATAACTGTCTCATCATACTCCTCTTCTTTTTCTTCTCCTTCTTCCTCATCATCTGCTTCATCATCCTCTTCTAAATTATAGGTGATTTTATGCCTTGCCATTCTTTCTTCAAGCAGGTCAAGATCATTATCATCTTCATTGTCGAATTGTTTATAATAATCCTCATCGTCACTGTACCACTGGTCTTCATTGCCGATTACAATTCCTTTATCATCATCCTCATTCTCTGGATAATCATTACGGTAAAAATCCTCGGCATTTGAATCTTCGTCATCTGACAACCGTGCAAGATCAGAGTTATCATCTTCATCATCTGTCAACAATTCCAAGTCCTCATCTGCAAACTTGCTATATAAAATTGTTAGTGATTGTCCGCATATTCAATGATTAATAATAATAAAAAAAAAAAAAAATTAAAAATACTGACATTATACCAATACTTATTCCAGACTTCTCACTCTCATCATAAATTGCCTTATCTCTATAATAGACATCATAAACAAATCCTTTTTCATCATCATTATCATCATTTTTAATTTCATTTCGCAAGGCACTACTATGTCCTGGTCGTTTTATTCTCTTTGGGGCAATCGTCGATTTATTCTCACTCTTTCCTTCCAGTTGGAGATACTCGGAAACCATATCGACTAATTCTGGCGGCACTTCTCCCTGCACGTCTTGATCAAGAACATCGGGGATCTCCTCCTGTGTGGACATTGACTGAAGAACAAAAGTTCTCTGGTCGTCATTTCCATATGCTGTAGACGACGATTTAGCATTGGTGCTGACTCCTCGTGGGTACCGCTGTAGTAACGAGCCGTTTTCCGAAACTGATTTGTTGCTGTCGGAATCGGTTCTTGTGAGCTTGAATAAATATGTCGAGCTTTTCGATCGTTTAAGTTGCCTATGGCTTTCAAGGATCAACGCCTGGAGAGGATCATCGGAGACTCTTCTTTTGATCCTCACCACTTCTGGAACTTTTTTCTTTTGCATTGTGCTGTTATTGTTATTATTAATAATAATAATTGTAAGATATATACAACTTCATCTGGCAGATTTTTTTTTTGATTTCCGGTTTTTTGTCCTGCGCTGTGTTTGTATGCATGTATCACTCCCCCCTTGTGCGTGGTGGATTTGTGTTAACATGAGAAGAAGGTCTTCTCGATTGCACGAGATAATTATCACCTGAATGCTCAGAATCAACGAGAGAGAGAGAGAAAAAATTGTTTCTAGGAAGTGATTTTAACTTCAAGTTCAAACAACAATAATAAAAAACAGAGCAAACATACCATAAAATAGTTAATATTCCATGAGCTTCCCATATCTTAGTATGCCTATCCTAAGACATTTGGAGCATTCAGGTGCTTTTGGAGAAGTGCTAGATCCAACCAAGGATATCATTTTGATCACCGGGGGATCCAACGGACTTGGAAAACAGTTGGTGCAATGTTTCCATAACGCTGGGATAACCGTGATTGTGTTTGACAGCGTGGTTCCTGCAAAACAAGACGACGCTGAGGGCGACAACATTTGGTACTTCCAATGCGATATCAGCAATAAAAACAAAATCCTTGAAATGAAGCAAATTATAGATAATGATATTGGCCCGGTAACGGTGTTGATCAACAATGCTGGAATTATGCGAGGTAAACCGTTGACGGAATTATCGTTCGAAGAGATTGAAACCATGATAAACGTCAACTTATTGTCGAATTTTTACATAGATAAGATATTTTTACCCGATATGATCGAGAATAAGAGAGGGTACATTGTAACGGTTGCGTCAGTATTAGGTTACATGTCACCAGCAAAGTTGAGTGAGTGTGATGGAATAGCTTTTTCTTTTTTATTTTTTTTTCCTCTATTATAATATATTCTGAATAAATTACTGACCATTATCTAGGTGCCTATGGTGCTTCTAAATCCGGGGTTATTGCATTGCACGAATCATTAACTTATGAATTGGGCTCTCCCTCGTTATCTTCAAGCGGAATAAGAACCCTACTTATTGCCCCAGGACAACTCCGCACTTCAATGTTTGAAGGAGTACAAACCCCATCGGAATTACTAGCCCCAAAATTGGATCCTTCGTACGTTGCCAACATCATATTTCAAGCAGTGAATCGGGGACGGCGAGGAGAAATCAAAATACCCTTGTATGGCAACTTCTTACCGATATTCAGGGCGCTTCCTTGGAGAATCACTGAGGTGGCAAGATACATTTCTGGTATTGATTCCACCATGAGAAATTATACAGAGAAACCGAACGAAAGTACTGACTCTATCAGTTCTTTTAGTAGTAATGATTCTGAAACATAAAAGACGGTTATCCAAGAAAATGGAGTACTCATGAAGTGAATTATCTAATAATAATAACTAAAAGATCGAATCTCAATGAATGACTTCCATTGATCTCTCCTTCCCTATTGTAAAAAATAATAGAAAATAAAACGGTCTTATGAAATTTTTAATAAACACCCACAAAAAAGTTGGAAATGAACTAACAAAAAAATGCATTTAAGAAAAATAGTTCAGTGTCACCAATTTAAAATATAGTAAATATAATCTTAACATCTATATCAGGAAGAAAAAAAAAAGAAAAAAAAAAAAGATACACGAGTGAACAAGAACTGAAAAGAAGATCGAAACAAAGTGAGTGACGGAGACATAGAGATACCACGTAAACAAATAATCAATGCAGAAAAAACATAATACCCAAAAACACAAACGTAATTAAAAATAAAAAAGATAAAAAATGAAAAAAATAGAAAGAAAAAAATTCATTAGATAATCACTACCATCAATAATCTTCGAATATGGCCTTAATAGTTTTCCCCACGCTATCAATCTTGATATTTTCCTTAATATTAGTAGCAGACACAATCGAGATATCTACGTACCTAGCAAGAGTTTTAGCATATTCTTCATTTGAATACACATGGATAGCATTGCTGGTATAAGAAGAAGTCACGCTGGGGTTTGGCTTCGGTGTCTTGTTATTATTAAGACAAAACGCCACATCGTCTGGAAGGAAATATTGGTTCATTTTATCAAAGTTCTTGTAGCTTCGAATGGCAGGGTCGGTGATCACCATCAACAAAATTAATGTAAACAACGCGTCATTGCCCCCATTGTGTAAGTAGCCATTAGGAACCTCAAAGAAATTCAAAATCTTCCATAAAGAACTGTATCTATCACCAAAGGTATATTTCCAAAGCTTCTGGGTGTCCAAAATAAAGTGATTATTAGGTGATCCATTGTGTTCGGTAATATATTTTGGGAACCTCACCCCTAAAGACATTAACCATTTAATGTCCCCTCCCACATCATGTCCCACTAATGATACCCCGAACGCTCCACATTTTGTAAACTCAAGATCCTCAGGGAAATAATAATTCACTAATAATTGCATCACCATGGCAGCCTCTCTGATCGATAAGATGTAACTTGGGCCTCCCAAAAAGTTATCTTGATTATCTCGGACGTACTGGCCGTTTCTATACTTCATGTTTTCTTTGATGATAATATGGACTTTTTTAATTTTCCCCAGTCCTTGAAACCCATTTTCACAATAATGGGAGCGAGGATCATAAATAGAAAGCCCAATTTCTGTGACGATATCGTGCAGAAACTCGTACGCTTCAATGTCTATGGATACCAAAATCCGTTTTTTCGAATATACCATCTCCAAAGTCTTGAAAAAACTATCATGATGAGACCTCGACGCAAACACGTCATTGTGGAAGAACTTGTTGGTTCGTACCTGTTTTTCATACGCCTTAATATGAGCGTGGAGTTGGGCCTGACATTCGTTGAATCCTGGATCATCGGGGGCGTTGTTTATATCCACTAATAAATCTTGTAGCACGTAATCCAAGTTCACTCCTGCAAGCTTACTATACGGGATGTCGACCTCCCTTCTGGAGGCGAACTTGATATTGTTTCTGCCCATCCTCAATTATTCGGGAAGAGGTTTGATCTTTATTTCTTTTGGCTAATCTGTTCTTTTTCTTTTTTTTTTCTGTTTCTGAACTTTAGCGAATTGTCTAAATAGATTGGATTCTCTATATTTGTGGCCCCTTTATGTATCCGTATCTATGAACGAGAGAGATTAAGTCAATTGTAACGATGGCAAACTTGGTAAAAATCTAAGCAGCAGAGAGGTTCTGGAAGAATATTATTACCACTAAAGCTTCTCAAAAATACGGGCCTTCAAATAAATATTTGCGAACAACTCCTCTTTTTTTCCTTAATTGTTACTTTATCATTCCTTTTTTTTTTTCCCTTCCCACTTCAGAAAAGGGAAAAGAAAAAAAAAAAATCGACAAAATTCGTGCACGTGACAAAATACTTCCTTCATTTTTCCAGAAATCATAAAAGACTTTGAGGCGATCGATGGATTATCAATTATCATTATCATCATCATTATTATTATTAAAATATATATATTTGAGGAAACAACCGTTGGCTGTATTACTATTAAGCTTCCCTTTTTCCCTTTTGGTAGTGACAAGTGCTAATGTGGTTTTCCAAAAATGTTTCTCCCAGTGACTCTCTGAACGCCAACGACAATAATAATACCACAACGCCCACTGATAACCAGTCTAATAACGATGGAGTCCCGTACAGGGGTCCATCATTGAGCACCAAAAACCCCAGTTTGGGACTTCAGGCATGGGGACCATTGGTGCCGGCCTCAGATCATAAAGAATGTGTGGTGCTCTTGGCGTCAATCCAAGGCGGGCTTGCGATCTCTGCGTTTGTTCGCGCCATGAAGATTAAGTATCCGATAAAACCTGTTAATTCCATGACGATGTTCAGCCAGCCGCGACAACATCCCAAGCTCTCACAAGTGTTTTTAAATGTGTTGTTGAAGGCACCGCTATTGGGGCTCGCGGGGGTATTTATCTTGGGCAGTGGGGTCGAGCTTGGAAGAATGTTCCTCCCGTATGATCCATTTTACGAAGAAGCGATGAGATTTAGAAAACTGCGTGATGCGTCAACTGACGAAATGGTATTGGCAGGAAAATTTAAACAAGAAGATATATTCACTTCGAAACTTGATCAGTTTTTCTATTACTGGCATGGGCCATCAGACGTTCTCAAGATCGGGTTAGATGATTGGCTTTATAGAATGAAAGCGTGGATCATGCGGAGAGAATCCGAAGAAAAACGCCAGGAAGAAACTGAACGGAAAGTGGTACAGACTCATCAAATATACCAAAAAATCAGAGAACAAAATCGAAAAGATTTCAAAGAGGTCATGGCTAGCCCTCAAAGTTATGAGGCGTACCTTCTCAGATTGAGGACTATCGATAGAGAAACCCTGAACGATACAAAACCAACTAGCGTAGATAATAATGATAATGATAATAATAATAATAATAATAATAATAATAACAATGATGATGATGATGATCGAGTGATTAGAATCGACGGGGACAAAGATCAAGAGCTTTTCAATGATGATTTTGACACTTTTTGGAAAAGAAACGTCAACCCGTGGATTAGATTAATCTCCGAAACTTCTTGTTCTCTTTTCACCATTCCAATTTCTCCTGACTATTCATACGAAAACTCTAAAAAATCAGATGATTCTAATAATATTCAAGATATCAACATACCAAATGATCCAATACTTCCGATCGATGGTAATCAAAACTGATTGATAAAGGTTAACTTCCAAGTAACAAAAACATACATACAAACTAACAAATATACAGACTACAAGGTGTCTTGTTTTATGATTTAAATAGATGCAATGATATTATCAGTAAGAAAAATTCTGATATGAAAGAGATGAACAACAAACAAACAAACAAAAAAAAAAAAAAAAACATGCAAAATGAAATATTTATAAAGACAAGCCAATGGAGATTGGCTGACATGATAATAGAAGCAAAATGTTTGACTATCAAAGTCATCAAAAGAATATAGCATAGTAATAAAAAACTAGCAAATGTAATAATAATAAATGAAAAAAAAAAAAATTGGATGGCGGAAAAAATAGCAAATTCGAGAAAATACAATCTTCCAGCAAAAAATCAATGTAATTCCACAATAGCTTGCTCTTGTTGATAACGTTGTTGGGACAAGAATCTGATGATCGCAGCATTGTTGGATTTTCTGTTATATCTCATAGATAATGGTCTATTCAAATTGGTATTATTAGCCTTGTTGCCGGTGGTAGAAGTAGTAGTAATAGCGGCAAAAGACTTCAAATTGTTTTCGAGTTTCATTCCATTGATATCATTCATACTGCAATACTTTTTTGGGGCCTTGCCATTATGATTCACGTTTAATGGAGCAACTGAGGATGCCAATGAAGTGGATCTAGAGATCTCCGACATAGCCTTGTTGAAAACGGTGATTTTTTTGCCATTATTGTAATGATCTTTTCTAATGAGTTCAAGGTTTTTGTTTGAAATGTCAAAGTTCTCATCGATATCGGAAATAGAAGTTTCTGGAATGGCCAAAATATCTAAGATCGACTTGGTATTACCCAAGAACTTTTGGGAGTTCAAATCGTTGGCATCATGATAATCGTGCTTGATCACCACGGTGCCAGATCTAGACAAAGCGAAATCATGAATGAAGTCTCTGGAATCTTGTTCGGCTTCTTCCTCAGCACTAGTGACGACAGCAATACCTTCATTAAGTAAAACCTGATCTTTGATATTTTCATGCGAGTCAGAAATGGAGTAATATTGGGTCTTGTTATCAGAAACATTAGACGTCTTTAGAGAACCAGCAGAATCAATGGTAGAATGAGATGATATAGACCCATTACTGTGGACTCTTTCAATCAAAACCACTGACGGTTTTCCCTCTTCAGTGGCAACAGGAAATTCAGTGGCAGGTGGAGCATCTGAAGCAGGGTTAACTGCAGAATCAGTAGCCACAAGGAATTCTTTGTCACCAACTTTAACTCCTTTTTCTTTTTCAAATGTTTCAACAGAAGCAGGGAATGGGCTGCAGGCAGTATTAGAAGAAGCAAACGATTCGGCATCACCATCATTATTTCTATCTTCTTCGGTGATAGTATCAATGTCACTGTCACCCTTTTCACTCATTCCATCATTGCTATAATTATCAAGAATAGCATCAAGGACGCTTAGTCTTCTCACTGAGGTATTTTGAGCAGCAGTATTATCGATGGTACAGCTTTCAACATCTGTGCTGTAATAACCAATTGAAGTATCAGTAGGGGTGGTAGCAGCAGCATTCTGAGCAGCCTCAATCTTTGAAAGAGCTCTTTGAGCAATGACATTTTTCAAGTAGCTGCTCCAGCTATCGACAAATTCTTCATACGCTGGATCAATCTCTGTTTTCGAAGAGGCTCTAGAAGAGATGGTATTGCCTCTAGATGTCGTTAGTTGGTCATTGACATTGGTCTTCATTGAGTCAAAAGATTTATTTTTCATTGATTTTGCGATGGTCGCGGTAGGTCTAATTTGAACAGAACTTCTTCTGACATCCTTGGCATCAACTGTGAAGGCAACAGTATCCTGAGAAACGTCACTAGTGTCAGCCTTCAAATAATTATTTTGAATTTCCTCGGAAACGTCAGTGACATATTTTTCAATGATATCTTTCTTAATTGGTTGATAAGATGGCAAATTAAGCAATTTTTCCACGTTTTGAACCGTCAATTGTGAGCTATTAGAGAAATCTCTTTTATTCTTTGAAAAATTGGTGATTGGTGGCAACACATTTAATTCATCATTAAGCTGTCTTTTATTACCAATAAGACTAATCTTCTTTCTGAGTGAGCCAACCGATCTTTGTCTTCTGGTTCTCTTTTTTTCAACGTATTTTTGTAAAAGACTTTGATCAGTACTGAGAATATCTGATGTACTGCTTTTATCAGAGTTTTTCAAACTTCCGACTCTCTTGACAGATTTTTTGTTAGCGTTGAGTTTTCTATTTTTGGTTCTTTTGGCAATCAATTGTCTAAAACTTCTGAATTTTAATCGGAATTTTTTGGAAACTGACATGAACCTTCTTTTCCATCCAGGGGTTCTTCTGGTGGCACTGGATCTTCTCAATGACGAAGCTGGTTTGACGTAAGAATTTCCTGCACTGGAAGTTGGGGAAACCCCGGTCGGATGATAATCGGTGACGGTCATCCGTGAGTTTATTGAACGATTGTGAATTTCGACCGGCATTGGGGTTTCTATGTCAGTTTTTTTTCCGGTATCTGCCAGTATTATGGTTGAATTGTTGGCTGTCGGTATTGTTCCTATGGTGTTAGCATGAGAGCCTGTGTTGGTGGTCGATCTCAGGAACCCAGTTCCGAAATTGACAGGATTAATCTGCTTAATCACGATATTTGATGATTTTGTTGGGCGAGGCACGACCACGGCATTGTTGTAATGACTCAAAGTGCCTGGCAGCTCTGGGATGGATTTCAAAGGGGTGCTGAGGTTGCTACCGCTGTTGTAATATTCTTGTTGGTCATGGTGAGGGGCAGAGTCAAAATCAACGCTGTATGAATTGTACGTTGAGTATGAATGAGAGGCGCTGGTGGATGTAGAGAAAGATGATGGAACCTTTCTTGTGTAATTTCTTGGGGCGTAGGCTCCAGAGTTTTCAGAATAGTTGGAAGATGATGCTCTAACGAGGGATGAATCGTCGGTACGGGATGATGCTGTTAATCCATCACTCGGGGCATTGTTGGCTTTGGAATCCAAGTATTGGGTGTATGACACTTTACTGAGACGCAACGCCATTTCTGCTGTTGTGTTCTACAAAAATGGGTGAGCGGGATCCTAAGTGTCTATGATAAAAAAGTACTGGAGACTGGGAATGCGAAATGAATGTTATATAAATAATGATACACAAAGCAAAGAAGAGTGGCCGACAGCCTCCTTTTAATGACGTGAGCCCCCTGTTAGACGGGAAGAAGTCAGAAAAAAATTAAATGCCCTGGTGCATACAGTCACCTGACAGTGCGTCCTAAACGGCCCTCGTCTCAGCACTTATCAAAAACTTTTTTATGTTATTAAGATGCGATGAGGTAAACAAACCGAACCAGCCTTTTCTGTCGCCCGCTATTTTTATATCACACGCTATTTATATCTCACAATGAGATACAAGAGAGCAGTCCCTGCAGACATGGACGCTCGTGTACACAAGTACTGGCCCCAACGGTACGACTTGTTCTCCCGATTCGATGAGGGAGTGTGGATGAATACCGAACTATGGTTCTCAGTCACCCCAGAGTCGATGGCGATCTTCTTGTCCAAGTTTATTAAATGCTGTCTTCCAGACGCAAAAAATGCTCTTGATTTGTTTAGCGGGGGCGGTGGGAACACTATACAGTTTGCCAAACTATTTGACAAATGCGTGGGTATCGATATCAACGAGGAAAACATTGAATGTGCAGCCCACAACGCCGAGGTGTATGATGTAGCAAATAAATGTGAATTTATAAACTTAGACTGGAAAGTTTTTTCGAAAGATAAAAAAGCATTACAAGAGTTCAAAGAACAGCATAAAATAGATTTTGCATTTGCGTCTCCCCCTTGGGGTGGGCCGGGATATAAAAACTTAGAATCGTTTGATTTAAGCCAATTACAGCCATTGCCATTGAAAAAGCTATTAAAATCAATGTTCAAGATCACCGAGAATGTGATTCTTTTCCTTCCCAGAAATTCGGATCTCGAGCAGTTGTCGCAGGTCACTAAAAAATTACTTGGGAAACAGGCAATGGCAAGAGTAATCCATCTCAAATTAGACGGCAGGCCAAAGGGTATATGTTGCTTTTGGGGTGATGCTTTCATGACAGATCATATGAGAGACTTGGCGAATGTTGATTTGCAAAGTGATGCTGGTCCTGAGCAGGAAGATGGTAATGAGGATGTTGATGAAGAAAACAAGGATATTGATTATGATGGGTTGGATTATTAACAACAATAGGCTATCTTTTCTTCTTCTTGTGTATTATAGGTTTTAAAATTCTTAGGCTATCTAATGGAAAGCTCTAATCTAAGAAAAAATATATGTTTTGTTAGTTTGCTTGAATGTAATTTTGTTGGGGGAGAGTAAACATTATGAAAAAAAAAAAAATGTCCCCATGTGAGGTTTCAAATCTGTAATGCCTGAGTATATTGGAATGCCAAATCTCCAAAGAATTTATTTTCTTTGCCATCTCCCAATTTGTCAAAGCTTAACTTTCCATTTGGAAAATTTAACTTTTTGATCAATGATTTGATTTTCTCCTCTCCATCTTCGCCTCCTTTCTCATATGTCATTTCCACAAGAAATCCTTTGAATCCACCGTGCAAAAAACAATTGGCGGTTCTGATAATGAACACATCTTCCTCATCCAATGTTACTTCATAAGAGTTACCACCTTCCCCTTTCAAACCTTGAAGCGGTTGCCATAAAGCATTCAACTTGTTCTGGATTATCGAATCTATCGGATCATAAAACCCTGTGGAGCAGCCATGATCTAAAAGCTCGTCGCCTTTCAGTCTATCAGTATTGAAAATGGTTACTTCGTTATTGACTATTGATATTGTTTGTTTTGGGGTGTATGAAAGATTCAAAGTGTACATTACTCTGCTGATCAATTCTTTGGCCTGTGTGGTATTTTGTTGATTCATTCCCGCTAGAAGCTTACCCACAATGGCATTTGTACGATATATTTTCAACTCGAACGACCAAGGATCAAGAATCTTGGGTATTTCATTAGATATTTTATCATTAAAAGACGCTATGCTACTAACACTGGTGTTTTGTACAAATAAAACTCTATGAATTGTTGTCAGTTAGTTTCTGTCATATTGAAAATCCAAAAATGAATCAAAATTTTATAGGCTATACTAACGCTGTGGTCATTTTCTATCTTTTTTTCTGTGTATATATATCTATATATATGTTTTTTGAAATGAATATATGGAAGTCCTCCAATAATAAAAAAGGATATAGAATCGTTTGCGGAACTGCTAGAAAGAGAATATAATTAATTCCGGAATTTGCTTGTTGAAAAAAAATCCAATTTGTGGGGTGTGACACGCCCTTCACTGAGAAATCAGCCAAGACATATATAATATATATTAATATATTATGTTAATTATTATATAATATAAAAATCGATTAATCCGGGAATTTGGGATAAATAGAGTATCTCTTGAAACATTTCTACCATCTTGTACTACCACAGTATACGTTGTAATTATTTTCTCTAGGGATTGACAAACTAGGTTTGGTGTTTAGTTTCCGGTCATTCAATGAGTTCATATTGGATCTGTGTAACGATCTGGAAAACTCGTAAAATATTGCTACTTTTTTATTAATTAGTTTATTAATAAGGTATCTTTTCAAATATATATTCTAAGGCTCTATCAACTGGATATAAATTTCAATTCAAAATTATGTTTTTCTAGCTTTCTTTTCTAACTTTCTTTTCTTGCGTAACACATCACTATAACTCTTTGGCATCACGATTCTATCAACATCTATCAAAGTTGCGGTTGGTAATGCTTTTTTATCCACCTTGACCACCAACCCTTCTTCGACAACTGACTCATGGAACCCACGGAATAACTGGGCCACTGGTTTGTTGTACCATTGATCGCCACCCTTTTGGAACCAACAAACGTGCCCCCCGTATTTTGTGGTCAACATATGTAAATAAGGGTTCTGGTGGACTTGAATAGTTGGGACTTTAGGACCCACAATCGGATCGTCAATAGCGTTGATGAACACCATTGGTAAGCGGATGTTGGAGATTCTGTTGATAGGGGAGGCAAATTTATAATACTCCTCGTGGTTGTTGAACCCAAACATCCGACTGGTGAAATTGTAGTCGAACTGCGCCAAATATTTAACTTCCTTATCCGAGGCCCTGGAACGTTTTTTATTGGCATTATCATTGTCCACATGGTAGATATCGGCTAGAAGATCGGCGTCAATGGCTTTATTGTGTTTTAATTGCTCATAATTCCTGTTTAGAAGTCTCTTCAACGATGAGGCCATTGCCGGAGAATATATTTCTCTTCCAATAAATGAACTTTTCAAAAATTCGGAGGATCCAAACATATCCCATGGGGTGGAAACCACTACCGCTAGCTTGATATTTTTATTCAAGATCAGGCTATTTAATCTCGATTCTTGGGCAAGAAAATTCGTCAAAATCACTCCTCCAAGGGAAAATCCCGCCATGTAAATTTCCTTTTGGGAATTCTGCTTAAGGATTTCTTCATTGATCAAGTATCGGATATCGTCTGTCCAAATCCCATTGTACAATGTTGGGGTCTTGATAATGGTATTGGAGCATCCTCTGGCATTGAGCACCACTATATCGAACTTCGAGTCGTTATGGTTGATAAGGTTCTTGACCATCAATTTTATGTAAGCTTCCTGTGACCCGCCTGATAAGCCATGTAATAATACAATCAAAGGTTTGGCAGAGTTCTTGATCACCGCATCAACAAACTCGGTTTTGGCATCACCAAAGAAATGGGTCTTCGAAGGTAATGGCAATTGTAACAATTCGCCGTTTTCATTCTTTTCCAACTTCCCAGAAAACTTTTCGTCAGTGATATCAAACTTTTGATTCACCTCTTCGGTAGCAAGCGCCTTTTTAGTGGCTTCAATATCCACATAATCCACCGCTCCCTGGCCGCCATCTGGGTAATCGATCAAATATCTCTTGTAGTAAATAGGGATACTGTCGTTATCGACGAGTTGAGAATAGGCGGTTTGAAAGTGTCCATTAAGGAGTAACGGATGAAGTTTGACAAGGTGGGAGTCGTGGAACGTAGGACAGAACTTATCGATAACATGTTTCAAAGTGATCCCAGGTTTCTCTGTACCTGGGGCAGTATCGGAATCAATGGAACTGGGAACAAATTCCACGGGTTGGTCCGGAGCCGTATGTTCCACCTTGGTAAAAATATCGAAGATCCCGAGCATTTCGAAAGGTAGACCCTAAATTATATTATTAATTAACTTAGCGGGACAACAGGATGTAATATCAAAGAAAAAATTCACCATAAAAAGGTTTTGATGGAAAGAATTTCAATTCCGATATGTAATGCGATGTACTTTTTTTTTTTTTTTTTTTCTTTTTTTTTTTTTCACTTTCATATGCCACCGGTTATTGGGTATATGTTATTTCCAACAACTTTGCAACATGATCAAACGTTTTTGCAAGATGGCTCAATACCTTTTTGCTTACAATATGATATTTCATAATAATGCAATAATATATTTGATTTCAATTGTGTATGTAACCAGGCAAATCAAAAAAGTAAAAGAAAGAAAACGTACCCCCAAAGTTATGAGTATAATATATGTATATAGCGTACTATTATAATACACTAAATAAAGAAAAACACTAGTGTGTAAAATGATTTTATATGCAAACAGCCAGGCGCAACATTTGTGGGGATGGCGGATGGTTCTAATTATCTTGAAGAAAAACCCCCAAGGGAAGAAATAATAATTAGTATATGGTATATATAAGCTCTAAAATTTATAATATAATGAGTTGCCAAAGGAAACCCAGGCTCAATGATTAGATTAAATCAGAGAAAAATTTTTAAGAAGCCCTCTTCTTTCAAAAAAACAAACGAAAGAGAAAAAGAAGAAGAAAAAACGAGCCGGAGATGCAGTAGTAGTTGAGGAGTGGAAAGAACAACTCATTCTTTCTTTTCCATTATAGTGTGGGAATGCCCAATTCCACTAATCACTTTACCATTCTTTATGTCAGCAGAACAGCCAGTAATGTGCTTGAACCATTCATCAGCAAAAATATCCTCCATGGTCGCTCTTTTGGTTACATCAATAGCCAACATTCTAGAAATCAAAGGTCTGGAAGCATGAGGTAATATTCTCATCAATCTGTAAGGGCCTTTGAGTTGATGATGACCTGGGTGTGCAGCGTGTTTAGCATTAGCTTGATGTGACTCTTCAGCTTTCTTTTCTTGACAATGCTCTTTGTCCCTCTTTTCTGAAGATTTGCTTTTGTTGACAACCACAGGTACCGTTGTTGGATTATTTGTTTCAATAATGCGTCGTTCTGTGGAGTCATCACGATTAGGTAGGTTATTCAAGTCACTGGATTTGTTGGATTTGTTGTCATCGCAGTTGTTCGAGTTCTGGTCATCGGCAGGTTTAGTATTACAAGGAACTTTGATGGTTACTTGTTCACAAGTATTTAAAGACTGTTTGCTTGGACTGCTACTAGTCGACTTGTGTTCCTTTGCTGCAGAACCAGTTGTTTCTGACGATTTTTCTTTATCAGCATTGGCACAAACGACTGGCTCCTTAGTTTCACTTGGTTCATTATGACTGGCTTCTGTAACTTCTCTCAATTTCTTCAACCTTTCTTCCCTTCTTTTAGCCAACAAGATCTTATGGTCAGCAGCACTCTTCACATAATCATGAGGCTCTTCATCAGGCATACTATACAATTTAAAAGAGTTGTCAGCCTGCTCAGGAATTTTCCAAGGGAATCTTTTAAGGGTCATACAACAATAAATAATGGCAATAGACCAGATATCAACAAATCGAGGATCATATTTCTCTTTAGTATCCAAAACTTCCGGGGCCAAATATGGATCAGAACCAACAATACCATGACATTTAACGATATTGGTATCAAATGGATATTTGAATACAATGGCGGAGCCAAAGTCAATAATTTTCAAAACCCCATCTTTGGTCAAGACACAATTATCCAATTTTAAATCACGGTGGGCCAAACCAATGGAATGTAAATACTTCACCCCTTCGGATAACTGCTTGAAGCAACAATTGATTTCATTTCTGTTCATCTTACCGCTCATAACAACTTCAAAGAAATCAATAGGACAATACTCCATGATTTCGTAGTAGTGGGAGTTCTCTGTGTCATTTATAATATCAAAAGTGTGAATAATGTTGGGGTGGTTCAAAGTAGATCCAATACAAAACTCAGCAGTACATTTTTTAGCATACTCTTTAGTTGATTCGTTTGGTCTCTTTGCTCTAAATTCTTTCACCGCGAAGGTGACATTGTCGCTTTCTCTAGTAAGAAGTCTAACTGACCCGCCGGCCCCAGCACCCAAGATTTTGCCAACCTTACCGTATTTCAGTAGAAGGTTCTCAAGCGGATCTTTTTTGATGATGTCTTTGTTAGAAATTATTCCATTTTCCTTGGGGGTTGTTTCGTTATTGTCGCCAACACTGGTGTGACTATTTTTCCTGCTATGACGGGAATGGTCGCGACTTGATCTCTTAAAAAACTTTCTCAATTGAACCATAGAATAGTGGTTGGTGTTGTGACCACCATTAAGCTTAGGACTATGTATACTGTGATCTGAGTACTTTCTGTGATGAGATGGATCCATCTCTGAAACGGTAGAGCAACTGCCATTATCCGGGGCATGATGAGCATTTTCTCTTGAATCTGTGAGAACGATTGATGATTGCGAAGAGCTGTCGGAATCACTCTTCTTCATTGAGAGCCCAAAGAACAGCCTTCTTCGAGGGTTGGCAGGCATTTGTGGCGCACAGTCCGGTTCATTATTGTGAGATATTGAAAGGTTGGAAAAACTAGAAATCGACTTATTTTTCTTTGAAAAAGAGATCGAATGAAGAAAAGACGAGGAGTTGTGAGAAATGAGATTATGGTAGGGGGAAGCGCCGTTGGAGGCTGACAGCAGATGATCGATGGAGGCTGAGGTGGTCATGGTTGAGTGAAGTGGTACTAATTAATTATTCAGGAAAATTTTTGACAGGCAAGATTTTCTTTTTTTTTTTTTTTTTTTTTTTAGGGGGGATCAGTTGAAGGCCATGAGATGATGAGATGATGGGTGGTAGAGTGTGGTTAGGTTGATTTGGTAGAAGGTTGGAAAGAAAGGAAAGCCTGGAGGTAAAAGGGTTACAGGATATCCATCAATAGTTTTCATATAGTTACTACAAAATATACATATATATATATATATAGAAAAATGGCTGGATGGGCAAATGTTTATATATAAGGGCTGAGAAATATTTTTTTTTCTTGTTCTTTGTTCCTTGTCCATACACTTTTGTCCGAATATGCAGAAGCAAGCAGCAAATGGCACCGACCGGGGGTGCGGTTGCCTGTGTCTGGGCCTCTTGTGAGCAGTTGCGAGATTTATCCCATACCGTATGGATATCATATATATATATATATATATATCATATATGTCGTATATATATCATACACAGAATACCTCTTTCAACAAGCCACTGAATCACCAGAACACCCACCCCCAGCGATCTCCGCACTCCCGGAGTGTTGCTTCTCGTCACAAAAACCAACGGTTGCGGTAATTTCTCCCGTCCTAAGGGTCCGGCTGTCTGTTCTGGAATCGCTGTTCCGAGAGTGTGTCACGCATTGTTTGTTTGTTTGTTGTTGGGTGAGGCGGCCTCAAATTTGTCGCGTAAGGCATCCCACCCACACTCTGTCTTAATTTAGTGCCAGCTGTCAAACAAATTACCACGCCTGGCAACTCACGTTCGTGTATTCCATTTCTACTTATGCGAATATTTACTAGCCAAAAACCGAATCTGGTCAAATAGTGGGCTCTTTGTGTCCTCGACACCACTTTTTGTAGACAAACTGTCTTTCTTTTTTGCTTTGGTATCAACAGTTGTCCGATCTTCTGCCTCTTCTTCTTCTTCTTCTTCCTCCTCCTCCTCCTCCTCAACATCAAAAATATCCTCCCCATCACTGTCTTCAACAAACTTCGGCGTCTTTCTAGAAAAGATTCTTGACGAATGTAAATGCGCTGCAATGTCATCTATATTTAGCCCCTTCTCTTCGTCATCATGGTAACTCCCCGCAATCGCATCATCATTACTAGCGTTTGTACTACGCGCAATTGATAGTACCAGGCTATCCATGCCCGTTTCTCCTTCTTTGGCGTTACTGTTACCTAGGCCAACCTTTCTGCTGCCACCAAATGACTCAAACAATTTACCACTATGGTGGTGCTCTGGCTTAAATAGCCTGTTGTAATCAAAATCGGAACCCCCCAACTCATCAATGTTCCCACTATTAGTCTCATTATTTCTACTGTTTTGGGAAGATTGCGTTTTATCTGTAATATTCTTACTCTGTAATGATCGTAGCTTCTTCAGTTGTTCACGATTTATGGTCTCTAGTACTTTGACTTTGTGCTGATACAACCAGAAAACTTGTTGCTTAAGAAACACTTCTGGAACTTCATATTTCCCGACCAAAAATTCCCATTCAATTCTTGTATAATTTTTTTTAGATAATTCATCCTTTTCATTTAGATCGTTCCATAATTGTATTTCTTTATCTTCATTCCATATAAACTGAAACTTTGTTAGTCAAATATTCCCATCCTTTGAGAGATCATCATTGGACCCACTTACTTGCGGAGGATCAACAAAACCATCCCTTTTAAATGGGAACCGTAGGTACACGATTGTTCTCCCTTCTTCCTCACCCATGATCTGCTGGTGTTGACATATCTATCGCACGTCATTTGCATCCTTGTGATTTCACTTGCGCGTGTTTTAATTCCCTGTGGGGGAGGGGGGGTCAGGGCCTCTAATCAATCATCATCACGTGTAAATGTCTATGGAAGGTACAAACCAGAAGAAGAGAATAACTCTAATAACATCAATAACAACAAAAATGTAGAGCTTGAAGTTTAAGTAAGTTATTTAGTAAATATATATATAATACAATACAGGTCTGTCTTTTTAAGTATCATTAAAAGATCATAGAGTATATTGTATTGTGTATAAATAATGTAACGATCAAATAACACATCATCCTGGAAATAGGAGGTACACATATAACAACATCCTGGAGAAGAAAACTTGTTCTAATATATTTTTGCACCGAATTATATGCTTTCAATTATTTTATTCTCATTATATCATTGGTCAACGAATTTCGATCCACTTAATTGCTCATTCGATTGAATAATTATGGAAGATTTTCAATTAGTGCCGAATAAACACAAAAATTCATTTGGAGAGTAGTAAGAATAAGAATTCTCCAAGAGACTCTGTTACTCTGTTAAATCATAGGATATGTCTACCTAATGATTAAAAGTATATTATATACTGTCCGTATTATCATATAGCTTTATAATATTGTGATAACTCAAAAAGCCTATAACGATCGTTCAATACACCTACCCTATTCCATCTATTCAACGCTAATTCCAACAATAACGCTATGGAGCATGATGGCAAGTGAATATTTCGGAAAAAACATTACAAAACACAGGTCTTACGAAGTCTCATAGCTGTACAAAAATTAAGACATGAGGTTATGTATCATCATATTCAGTTTTTCAGAAACCGGCTCTGAGCTACAATAGTTGGATAGCATATGATATGTATTCTACTATGCGTATTGATTCCGTACCAAGTCTCACTGTGCTCATTTTCTTATACTAACATGCTGAATTACAATGTGTTTGAGCAACCTTTCAGTTGAATTTTTTTCAATATGTTTTCCTAGCATTCTGCTTCAAAAATCTATGAAGTTAGATATTTCAGAACAGATCAAGCGTTTATTTGAGAGGATCTCATATTTTCTTACTCCTGGAAAGAGGGTGAGAAGTTATCGAAAGGAAAGCTTCCAATTGCCACCACAATGTGGATTATGTTAAAAAAGCTGGAGAAATAAGCAAAAAAGATTGAGATTATTATTCAAAAAATAAATATGGAGGAGCTGGTAGGCCATTCCCAAACCAGTTGCTAATGGAAAGGATAACCATTTTGCTATTAGAAGAACATGAATTATTAATTACCTTTTAGATTAATGTATTAATTTTCGCTTGTTAATGGATATATAATATATAATTATTAGGCTTCGTCTGTCTGAAAGTGAAAGAAATTCTGTTTATACGCTTGTTCTGGACTGTACGTTACGCGGAACTAACATCATCTGAGCACAGGCAGACATTTAGGATTAGGTAAAGAGTCATACTAAATGAATAAATTGCATTCACTTTCCATTTAAATCAATTTCATTTTGATGTATTTTAAAAACTAAGAAACAGTGTGGATTGGATTCTTATTCTTTCAATATTTCGAAAACCGGGGGTCGGAATGGCCTAGGAAAATTTCCGGTGGTCGGTACAAATAAAAAGTGATTATCAAGAAGAGCCTCCATGATACATACATACTCACAAACTATAACGTTTCTGGCACCATCTGCTGATCATAGCATATCAGAGATTACCATAATGGAGCAAAATAGCTAGCAGTTAACGTGAAAAGTATGAGTTCCCACCCTTTTTTCAAAGTCCAAATAAATTCGTTGGATTCCTATATCTGCCCTCCAAGCCTTCTTGACCCAACACCCTCATCCTTCAAATATGATAGGGTTCCGGTGATCAGAATATTTGGTTCTTTACCTACCGGTCATACAACTTGTGTTCACATTCACGGGGTGCTACCATACCTCTTTGTAGGGATCGATAATGATTGGAAAGACTTGGATCAGGTGAAGGGGTTTGCCCATACCTTGCATGAGAAATTGGAAGAATTGGTGAGATTATCTTTCCGCAGAAAGAAATTAAACGCGGAAGATTTCACCAATAATAATGGAGATGTGGTGACTGTTGATCCTGCACTTGACAATAAATCCAATAAGAGTGAAGAAAAGGTTTATAAGTACATTGCTAATGTCGAAGCTTGCAAATCCACCGCATTTTATGGATATCATGTTGGCCACTCAATTTTTTTCAAGATTTCTTTTTTAGGACCAGTTTTCAAGAACCGGATTTTGACGGTGTTGGAAAGTCCAGAATTTGAATCATCAGTTCCTTTAGCAGGCCCAAATTGTAAAAAATGGAACATTTATGAAAGCAACGCGTCTTACATTTTGCAATTCATGACGGATTTTAATTTGTTCGGTTGTGGATGGTTGGAGGTTGGGGAATCAAGGAAATTGAAAAACCCAGGAAAATCTAACGGAGTTTATTTCCGAAGTCCAGTATTCAATAATATCACCGATGAGTTTTACGAGATGAAATTGTCTGATGAAGTGATGGAACATATTAATCAGTACCTTTTGAAAGAAAATAGAAATTTATTGACAGGGACTGAATTTGGAAGAATTAGTGATACTTTTGTTGAGGTTGATGTTTCATCGAAGAATATTTTGAATCGTGAGAAAATCAATTTACATTCCTTGCACCATAATTTTATTGAAAAATTATCTAGTCTTCAAACTCAATCGCCTAGTAAGGAAGCTGCCCCTTTCCAACATGCCTCGAATATCTCGATGGAAAGTTCTTCAGGTAAGAATTTGAATGAAAAGCTCAAGTATATCTCCAGTACCAAGAATATTTGGCAAGATGATATTTATCAACGAAAAATTAGAAACTTGAAACCGTATGAGGAAAATACCGCTATTGACAGGGTTTTGGGAAATAAAGAAGGCTGGAATGCACAGCAAGACTTGGATGAAATGTTCAAGTACGTGAAGATGATGATGAAACGAAATACTAATGACGGTGCTAAGCTATCAGAATATGAACACTTTGCAGGATTCATCAAGGAGCCAGAGTTTTTCAAGAAATTGATGACGCCATTTGAATTGATCACCAATGGGTTTTATGATGTCAACTTATCTAAAGCGAGCTCAGATACGCAGACTTCTGCTGACGCTAGACAAGTGGATAATACCCCTTTGCATCCTCCTAGTCAAGAACATTCATCAGAAATAGAAGAAGACCATGATTCACTAGATTTCATCAATGATTTGGCTAATGAACTGAATAAAAGCGAAAAGCAACAACATTTTGCAGAAGATTTCCCCAAGCTTCTACCAGAGAATAATCTTGGAAATGGCGATGATAATGAAATATTGAAAGATGGCAACGACAAGAAGCGAGCATGGAAGGAAAGCTTAGACAATGATGATATCACGGATAATATTTCTTTCGATGACTTAAGTTTTAGTTTCTTTGACCTGATTAATGAAGACAATAATGTTAATGGGGACCAAAGAGATGAAAATTCTAGGACCATTGTGAAAGATGATCATGTTGTTTCAAATTCCAGACGCAATAGTTTATTCGAAAAGGGACCATTGCGAAAGAAGAACCGCAAACCAGTTCCCCTATCCTCTTTATCTAAACTTGCTTCAGTTAGGAAATTGTCACCAACTAAACCCAAACCACGAGCAACTACAATTATTGGGGCTAGGAAGATGAATCTTTGTGAGCTTGTCCCTTCTTCTGGCTCAAAAGAGATGGTACGCAAAGAAATGATAGTTGCAAATTTGTCCAAAATAAAGGTGAGAAATATTCTAACTTCTAGAGTTTCTAAACTTGATGAGAACACCATTAATATGAAAAATAATCAGAAAAATGATAATTCGAATTATCAAATACCGATGCTTGCCCGGTTCAAGTTTTTTTCATCACAAACCAACTTGTATAAATACATGATTTCGCCACCGCCATTACAGGCAATTACTGATAATATCTCCAGCTTGGTTGTGCCACAATATCTTTACTCTGATCCATTTTATGGAAATTCTGAAGACGTTCCAGCGGTCCCGTTTGTTAACAAACAAATCAAGAAGAGGTTCAAATTAAAATCTAGAGATTGGAAGTCATTAGATGGAGTTTCTGTAACCCAGAAACAGGAGCAAAGTATTTCTGTGAGGATGAGAAAACATGCTGAAAAGAATTACGAGCTGGAAATGATAAAAATTAATGATAACATTCTCAAAAAAAGGCTCGCATTCATACATGATGCTTCTGGTGTCGGATTGGGTATCGAAGAGTTGCTGAATACAAAAGTTTATAGGTATACGGTGCCGAAGCCTCGGTATCAGGAAGTCTTACAGAGGTTTCAAAATGGTGGTGTTCCAGGAAGCAGCATAAGCCGCCTGGAACAAAAAAACCGTTTTTACACATCGCAAATAGAGTTCCTTACTCCCAAGTTCCTCTTGTCCAATGCAAACAATAGCGGGAAAAAGAAATCCTTGAGCCCCCTAAAGAAAGTCAATCGTCGCCCCGATGGCTTTAATAATTTGAGTCTTTTTGCCATTGAGATGCACATCTCCACTCGAGGAAACTTATCTCCGGATTACAAGCAAGATGAAGTTTCAGCAATATTTTGGAAAATCGACCCTAATAGTATGCTGTTGAAGTTGGATATTGTGGACCAAGGCATTCTAATTTTAAAATCAAATTATGATAAGGCAACGAAGCGGTTTGCATCAGCGACAACCATCCCAATAGAGGTATTTGATTCTGAATTGGACATGTTCAAAGAGCTTGTGTCTTTAGTGAAAGTTTTTGATCCAGATTTATTGAGCTCCTACGAGATCCATTCCAGTTCATGGGGTTATATTATTGATAGATGCACTAACAAATATAAGTATGATATTTTGAAGGATTTGGCTAGAGTGAATTGTTATTTTAATAACAAAGTGAGTGACAATTATGGTTATAATCATGCTCTGGGGATCAGTGTTACCGGAAGATATTTTGTGAATGTTTGGAGATTGTTACGAAGCGAACTTGCATTGGGTGATTACAATATTGAGAATGTGGTGTTTGCGGTATTCAAAAAACGGATTCCTAGTTACCTGATGAAAAAATTGACAGAATTGTTTGGTGATAATGGGAGTATTGGAGGTTTGTCAATTTTCGTCGATTATTATGTTACCAGAGTGAATTATGATATTGAGCTTTTGGAGAGCTTAGATATGATTTACAAGATTGTGGAACAAGCAAGACTCGGGGGTATTGATTTTTACTCTGTTTTTTATAGAGGGTCACAATTTAAGGTGGAGTCATTCTTGTTACGTTTGGCAAAACTGGAAAATTTCATGTTGTCGTCCCCATCAAAGAAAGAAGTGCGAAGGCAAAAGGCTCTTGAGTGTATTCCATTAGTCATGGAACCCACGTCTAACTTTTATAAAAGTCCTCTTGTGGTCCTTGATTTTCAATCATTGTACCCGTCTATTATCATTGCTTACAATTACTGCTATTCAACATGCATCGGAAGGCTTCAAGGTTTTAGCTTCAAAAAGGCCAACAAACTTGGTGTAACAAGTTTTAAAACTTCTCCAGAGTTAATGAGGTTGTTATCTAACGATATCAATATTTCCCCAAATGGCTTAATGTTTGTGAATACTCTGGTTAGGAAATCAATGCTTGCAAAAATGTTGGAAGAAATCTTGGCCACCAGATTCATGATAAAATCCACGATGAAGCTACTTGATAACGAGAAGGACAAAGATATGAAGAGACTCTATGATAGCAGGCAGCTTGCTCTCAAATTAATTGCAAATGTGACGTATGGATACACCTCTGCAACTTTTTCTGGAAGAATGCCATGCTCCGACATTGCTGACGCAATTGTGCAAACCGGGAGAGAAACCTTAGAAAAATCAGCACGGGTCATTGAATCAGTCAAAGAATGGAATGCAAAAGTGGTGTACGGTGATACCGATAGTTTATTCGTCTATTTACCTGGGAGATCCAAAGCTGAGGCTTTTAAATTGGGAAGAGCAATTGCTGCCAAAATCACCGAAATTAACCCAGACCCAATTACTCTTAAGTTCGAAAAAGTTTATCATCCTAGCGTGTTGCTTGCCAAAAAGCGGTATGTTGGCTATTCTTATGAGTCAGAAGACCAAATTGAGCCGAAATTTGATGCCAAAGGAATTGAAACTATAAGAAGGGACGGGATTCCGGCCCAACAGAAAATTACTGAAAAAGCATTGCGGCTCCTATTTGAAACCCAGGATGTTTCTCAGATTAAGAGCTATGTGAAGAATCAATTTTACAAGATAATGACGAACAAGGTTTCGATCCAAGACTTTTGTTTTTCAAAAGAAATCAGAATTGGAGGCTACAAAAATGAAAAGACCATGCCTCCTGGTGCTTTATTGGTAGCCAAGAAGATGAATCAAGACCAAGGATATGAGCCTCAGTACCGTGAGCGTGTTCCATATTTGATTTTGAAAAATCGGGGCAATGGCGACCGCTTGAAGGATAAAGCAGTGCTTTTAGAGGATGTGACTGATAAACCAGATAATTTTGTTGAATTGGACGCAGAGTATTATATTACAAAAATGCTTGTGCCGCCCTTAGAAAGGATATTTAGTCTTATTGGAGTTGATGTCAAAGAATGGTATTATGAAATGCCAAAATATTTGAAGTATGACCTTGTGAACAATAATAGTACCATCACTAATGATAAGAACCCGGGTTATACGACCACTAGTCTGGGAAGAATTATTTTGGATAATAATAATAAAGGGAATAAAAATGTTGAAAACCTTTTACAAAAATATATTCAAACTGAGACGTGCTTAAATTGCGGGAAAAAGATTACCCACAAACCGGTGAACTTCGGAGATAAACATCCTGCCAACCTTTGTGAAGCTTGTGCTGTGGATGAGGTTGAAACAATGCACCAGGTTATGAATCGAGTGAAGTTGATTGAGATGGAAAATCAAAAATATCAGACCATTTGCCGAATTTGCTCAGTTCAATCGGTAAAAGGAGCAGGGAGTTTTACAGAGATTTGCTGTGAAAATGCAAGTTGCCCGGTATATTACTCTCGCGTGAGATCAAAAATGAAGATGAACGAAGTAATGAAAATTCTAGATCGTTTATGATGAAATAAATAGTTTTAAGTAGCTTAATGATAATGAAATGATGGGTTATTGAACAGAAAAATGATGAAGCAGCAGTTATGACTAGTTTGTTGGTATATATTCTACTTTGCTAGCGTGGATTTCAACAAGATTGTAATATTTAGATCACAATATATTATCACCAAAATCTTCTCTCATATTTGTCTTTAGTGGCCATTATTGAAGTTTTGGAATATTGAGAAGCACATCACTGAGAGCTCAGCCATACTGAGGTGCTTCAGGAATGCATGTGAGAATTATTTTTCACTACCCACATTGGGTGGAATACATTATATTATTATTATTTTCCACATTGGGATGTTGTTGTGTTATTACCCATTTATTATTGTTTAGTAGTTGTGGGTATTTGAGTACACTTATCACAGGGATGCTTAAGAGGTTATAATCAAAAGAACGATTACCCGACACCTATTGTTGATTTGTAACCACCACTACCCGGATATCTCCAACCCTCCAGTTTCAGGTTGTGCTAGGCAGTCACCACCGGCACCAAAGGTCCTAACATGGGCTTTAATCTTGTTGCCCACTGTTTAACTATAGATTACTGCCATATATTCTCCAACGTAAACGTAAAACCCTGGATTCCAGAACACAGCTTGATCTTTTTGTCCCACTTGCTGGGATTGTACCTCAAACTGCCCCGACCGCTTCGGCCGATGATGTGCGAAAAAATCAATACTATGGGCACGCAGCCCCTCCATTGAACAGCAAAAACTAACAGGAAAAAAAAAAATGCAAAAAGCAAAAAAAAATCATACCATCATTATTGTGTACTATATATCGTACTTATCGCCCACCCCACCGTCGAAGCCAGTGTTATACCTGCAGACACTCGAAAGAGTAGGTTTATTCACCAATATTCATTCACAAGCTGGATCCCAAACCATAGCAAAACACAAGCCAATTCAACGGTCTGCTATATAAGTGAAACCCCAGTATCTTTTTTTTTTTTTTTTCTTCAAACAAAGGAGAGAAACTGATCACCATCGTATTGGAATCCAGAAGATAGAACCATTTTCAATAACGCACACAAATATCCGTATAATATAAACCACAATGGAAGATTTCATAAAATACACATCAAGTCATTCGGGAAAACATGAGGGCAAGCAGCATATAATAATCGTTGGTGCCGGTATTGTTGGGGTTTGCATAGCTTATTATATCACAAGGCATCCTTCGTTTGACCCTGACCAGCACTACGTGACTATAATAGAATCCAAGCGTGTGGCTGGTGGTGCCAGCGGTAAAGCTGGTGGATTACTTGCCCTATGGGCATTCCCTCAACAAATTGTCCCATTATCATTCCAACTACATAGTGAATTGGCAGAAGAATATAGTGGCGAAGACTTATGGGATTATAGAAGATTGACTACCGTTAGTTTGGAGGGTGATATTCAAAAGTCTTTGAAAGATACGGAAGAAGATGAAGACGATGATTATGATGATGAGGAAGGGGAAGAAGATGAAGAGGAAGAAGAAGGAGTACTAGAGGATGATGAGGATGAAGAAGAATTCCAAGAGGCAGAATATTTCCATGATGATGAGAATAATAGCTATAGTGATGACGCTATGTCAAGAAGTAGTAAAGAGTCGATATGTGATAACAGAAGCACCAACACGGACTTAAGCTCACATAATGGAGAGCTTGAACATCACCATATCAATGAGCACAGAACACAAAGTGCTATCTCCCCACAAAGTACGGGATCAGCCACCAGCTCTGTTGAAGAAAAAGCAACTAAAAAGAAAAGAAGAACTGTCAGTAAAAACTCGATCATGCAAAATGAACATGATGCCAGTAATGGTGTGAAACTACCAACAGATTTAAATTGGATCAAGCAAAGCGCCATCCAGGATTGGTCGATGTTGGGAGGCGAAGACACTACAGCACAAGTACATCCATATAAGTTTACTAACTTCATTTTGAAAAAGGCGATTGAAAGTGGGTCTGTCGAATTGATTATCGGTAAAGTTAACGAAATCATATTCTCAGAAACAACTGGAGAAGCGGAAGGGGTTTCTTACATACCATCCACGGCACAGGATGAACAATCTGGTAATACTGAACCAATTGAATTATTGGCAGATCAAGTAGTGTTATCAGTTGGTCCATGGACATCTAAAATTCTACCGGATTGCCCAATCTCAGGGTTGAGGGCTCACTCGATTACTGTGTTACCAGAAAATGGAGTGATGGTTTCTCCTTACGCCATTTTCACTGAACTTAAAATTTCAAAGAGTGGGTTTGTTTCTCCAGAAGTATATGCCAGAAAGGATGAAGTGTATGTATGTGGTGAAGGTGATACCGCAGTTGATGTTCCAGAAACCACTGATGATGTCCAAGTGGTTAAAGAAAAGTGTGATAGATTGTTCCATTTTGTTGGAAAGTTGTCACCAAATTTGAGAAAGGGAAGAATTTTGAAACGTCAGGCTTGTTATTTGCCAGTCCTTGATGTTCCAAGCAGTAGTGGTCCATTGATTGGCGAAACGAATGTACCAAGACTATATCTAGCAAGTGGTCACTCATGCTGGGGTATTAATAATGCGCCAGGTACTGGTAAAGTAATGGCAGAGTTGCTTTTGGACGGAGAAGCCTCCAGCGCAGATATCAGTGCTTTGGACCCAAGTCTTTATTTTGATGCCAGCGTTTGGGGAGAGTGATTGACTTAAGTTCTCTATTTGATATTGAATAATCATAACCCACAAATGATGTTTTCTTTTCTTTTTGAAGCCAATCTAATCAAAATTCAGTTCTTCATCCCATTGCCGCTATTCTCTCTTATTTTGATGGATCGGTTTTACATATGCACGCCATCTATTATAATGGTTTTTTGCATGCTTTTCATATCATTGGAGCCAGAGGACCCTCTGCTTTTTTCTTTTTTTTTTTTCTCTTTTCTTATCACTAGTTTTGGTACTGTATTATGTTAGTATTGTTGGGTTATGCACACTTGTTCAAGTCTCTATTATATTTCTCCATTTTCCTAATTATTGAACTGTTTTCTGTTTTTTTCTCGCGAAGTTCATCTCATCGTTTTCTTCTGAATTCTTTTATTTTCATTGATATGCTCTAGCCGCTGCTAATTTTTACTCACTGGACGTGATGACTCTTAATTAATTATGTATATTTTTACTTAATATTGTGCATGTAGATTTAATACCCTCATAATGTTGCTGTTTTGTTTTTGCTTTTGTTTTTGTTTTTGCTTTAAGTTAACCTAAGTCTTCAAATGGTGCTGATACTGATAATAAATCGTGCTATTAGCAAAATGCGTGCACTTTTTGTCTTTTTTTGCCTGTTTTGACAACGTCACCTCTACCCACACAGGCAAAAGACGAAAAAAAAAATAACCAAAACATCAGCCCAGTCTTCAACTACTCAACCTAGCGCATTTTTTTTTGTGAACAGCAGGACTCTGAAAATAAGAATCTTTGCAAGACATGTCGGCTGATGATTCACTCAGATCCCGCCAGGTTGTGGCGATAGAGCGGATGCTTGCGTTGAACAAAGTTGTGCAACCAGATGCCAGTGACGCCAATCTTCTCAAACAAGACATTATTTGGAAAGTATTGGTATTGGACAAAAAATCCACCAACATTGTCTCGTCTATCCTCAGTGTGAATGATTTATTGAATACAGGTATCACCATGCACACTTTGATCAACTCTCCTAGTCGAGCTGCATTACCAGACGTTCCAGCGATCTATTTTATTCAACCAACCAAAGAAAACATCTTGAAGATAGTAGAGGATTTGGAAAAAGATTTCTATTCAGAATACTACATCAACTTCTTGAGCTCTTTAGATCGGGAATTATTAGAAGAATTCGCCAATTTGGTGTCGTTAACTGGAAGATCACAAAAAGTTAAACAGGTGTTTGATCAGTACCTTGATTATCTTGTAACTGAACCTCAGCTATTCTCGTTGGACTTACAAGGAGTTTACTCAAAATTAAATACCCCGGCAGTTACTGAAGATGAAATCACTAAAATTGCTGATAGTATTGCCTCCGGATTGTTCAATCTTATCATAACTTTAAATACTGTGCCAATCATTAGGGCCCCTAGAGGTGGTCCAGCGGAATTCGTTGCACAAAAATTGGATGCCAAACTACGCGACCACGTCATTAATATGAAGAGTATCTCTCCATCAACAGCTTACAGTCTGCATGGCCATGGAGATAGTAGACAAGTGTTAGTTTTATTGGATAGAAATATTGATTTATCAGCAATGTTTGCTCATTCTTGGATTTATTCATGTATGATTAGTGATGTGTTCCAGCTCAATAGAAATACCATTGTTCTACAAACTGTCGATTCTGACACTGGTACTACCAAGTCGAAAAAATGCTATATTGATGGCAATGATTTCTTTTGGGAACAAAATTCCGCTTCACCTTTCCCAGAGGTTGTTGAAAATATCGAAAAGGAAGCTAGTGAATACAGAAACAAGGCTGCTGATTTGACTAACAAAACAGGAGTTACTTCATTAAGTGATATTGATCCAAATCAATCAGACACCTACCAGATCCAACAGGCTATCAAACAATTACCCGAATTGACCGCAAAGAAGCAGGTTATTGATACACACATGTCGATTTTGGATGCCTTATTGAAACAGTTGCAAGCCAACAATTTGGATGTTTTCTTTGAAGTGGAACAAACTTGCAAAAAGGATAACCAATCAAAGGTGGAAGCTGATTTCTTGGAAAAATTGAAGAATGATAAATCAGAAAGTAACAAAAATGATAAATTGAGAACTTATTTGATCTTATATTTGAGCTTGGACTTGTCGTCAGAGTTTACCCAAAAAGTGGAGTCGATTTTACAAGGATTGAACTGTGACTTGAGCGCATTGGCATATATCAAGAAAGTGAAAGAAATTGTAACATTATCTAGTCTATCATCAGGCATTGATAGTAATGAGAACACATCTGCCAATAGCGGTAGTATCAAGACCTCTCTTGGAAATGCTGCTGGTGGATCTTTGTTTTCAGGGATTTCCTCGAAACTTTTTGATGGTAGTACACTTACAAGTGGTGTTGGATCAATTATATCCGGTTTGAAGACCTTATTGCCAGAGAAGCAAACCATGCCAATTACCAACTTGGTGGAATCGATCATGGAACCAGCCAGAGCTAACCAAGTTACCTTAAACACTACCGATGATTATTTGTACTTTGACCCAACGATTGTCAGAGGTAACCATTCCAAATTGCCTAAGAGATCCACCTATCACCAATCTGTGGTATTTGTGGTGGGAGGAGGTAACTATTTGGAGTACCAAAACTTGCAAGAGTGGGCCACTGGATTGAATGTCGACAGTAGCAGCACTGGGATCAAGAGAAGCGTGATTTATGGGTCAACAGCCATCATTAATCCAAATGACTTCTTGGAAGAGTGTGGATCATTGGGCCGTCCTAGCGATGGTGCTAGCCACGATTTATTATGATCGACTAATAATCATAATAATAACAATAATGGTAATAATACTAAGTAATATACGTGTGTTTTTGAGTTAGAGGGTACATCGTAGTGCGTAAAGTGGCTGCGGAGTGAGCAAATCGCCACCTTTTCGGAAACTCTTCGGAAACCCTCGGTGGCGCATTATCTTGCAGCGGCTGTCCGTGCCGGATCGTCGGTGATTCGCCAACTTTTTCTGGTTGCCTAAAAGGAATGAATCTTCCGTCTGGTGTTGGCATAATCACCAATAATTCCTCTTGAGTTGTTTTATACGGAGATACTAGATCTACGCGGCTTACATAAACACATCACCTTACTGTTTACCGGTATTAAAAGACGATAATCTTTGGCTGCTGTTTGCGATCTGAACAACTGCCCAAACAGCCTGCCTAATTTAGCAAATCACAGCCAGTTATTTCTTTGCTTAGAGCCAGTTTCAATTTTAACCAGCTCCTTTTTTTTTTTTTGAACCAAAGGAATTTAGTTGGATAAGTCTAAGAAGGTACGATAAGGCACAGTCCTGATAATAATAATAAATTATATCTAAACACAGGACGATGGACAAACATCACACTGAGGCTCGCTCAACTTCCTCGTTAACCAGGCTTATTCAAGGCAATTCTGGCTTGAGGTCGGCGTCGGCGTCTCCCACGACTTCTCCAAATCCAGAGATCTCATCATCAGTGTCTTCTTCTTCATCCTCAACCTCTTCGCCTAGAAATATACAGAACTCTGCCGCTTCCAACTCTAATAACTCCTCACAAACAAAGATTAAATCTAATTTGAATTTTAGCTACACTGTGAAAGACGTGGAGAAATCGGAACTCTCTTCGGCTTTGAAGAATCCTGACAACTTCCCGAAAGCAAACGATGGAGAAAGCCTCTATTTCTCACCCCAATATGGCCAGCAGATTGATGATGAGGATTATGACCCACTAGAAGTGTCATTATCACAGGACACTCATCATGCTCCGATCAACTCGCCACTCAAACAAAAGGACCATATTGATGGAAAAAACCCGTTTGATGACAACGATCGCAAGCCAAACACTGATAATGAAGTTTCTCTTATGAATGGTCTTTCGATTTCCAAGGAAGGAAAATCAGTTCCAATGACAAGTAATGAATCTAGCTCTTTTACTGACAGCAGCGTGAGCACCATCACTTACATTCCTTACAATGGACGGGTTGTGAAAAAGAATAGTGTTAGTGATGCTCCTATAGACTTTAGAAGAGGCTCTAACGCCTCTGACTTCAACTGCGTATCTTACTCTCCATTTTCATCGTCTATTCCTTATTCTGCTCCATACAGTGGCTCGAAAAGTCAACTGATCACTAGTCCGACTCAGACTACTTACGAATCCCAAGGGTTCAGTTTTCCGGCAAATGGGAACATCATTGATAGCAACCATATTCTATCGCCAAAGGTGAATGATTTAAATAATATTGAGATCGATCAACGATTCATCGTGACAAAGTCAAAAATCAATTACATTCATAATTCCCCATCTTATCATAATGGTGATAGCAAATCATCATCCAATGGGTCGATTTCTAGAAATTCCTCTATGGCATCATTAAGCAATTTTTTCAAACAATCAAGAAAGAATTCTTCTTCCTTAACTAACATGAATAATGGGGGATCATACAGTTATACTGCGGGCGCCAGTTGTACAGTGACCAGTGCTAACGGAAATTTCAACAATAGCTCTCCGTCAGAGCTTTTCAACAGCGATCAGCCACTTCCCCAACCCCAAAGTGATGGGTGTGCCTCATATGATCCACCTAGATCTCTAAAGAGTAGATCTTCAAAGCATGATTTAAAGAAGTTTTTCTCTAGACGTAAACCGGGATCCAACTCAGATGCTATTAGTATTGGGACCAAGACCAATAATTCTAATAGCCCAAATTTCAATAGCAACGGAAACAGTTATGGAAGTGGTAGCCACAGTTATAATTCCCCTGTTTCTCCTTCGATTAATATTCCAAATAGCAAAGGTTCGGCCAGTAACTTGTATACCAATCAATCATCATCGTTGAACAATAACAGTGTTCCTCATCATGAACAACAGGTCTTGCCATTCAGCAAAAGGTATAATAAAATGAGTGAGAGTTTGGGTGCTGGGGCTGGTGGCTCTGTCAGAATTGTCAAGAGAGTCTATGATAAGAAAATTTTTGCTGTTAAAGATTTCCGTGCAAGATTTGCCAACGAAAGCAAAAAAGATTATACCAAAAAAATCACTAGTGAATATTGTATTGGATCAACTTTAAAAAATACCAATATCATTGAAACAATTGAAATTTGCTACGAAAACGATAAAATCTACCAGGTTATGGAATATTGTGAGTTTGATTTGTTTGCTATCGTTATGAGTGGTAAAATGACATCGCACGAAGTTGATTGTTGTTTCAAACAAATCTTAAAAGGTGTTAGATATTTACACTCCATGGGTTTGGCGCATAGAGATTTGAAGTTGGATAATTGCTGTATCACCGAAAAAGGGATCGTGAAAATTATTGATTTTGGGTCCTCAGTGGTGTTTACCTATCCTTTCAGCAACAAGATCCTTGAAGCAGGAGGTATTGTTGGGTCTGATCCATATTTGGCCCCAGAAGTGGTAGTGTTCCAAAAATATGACCCTAGACCAGTGGATATTTGGTCTGCCGCTATCATCTATTCGTGTATGACCTTGAGAAAGTTCCCTTGGAAAGTACCAAAACTATCTGATCAAAGTTTCAAATTATTTGCCACAAGAGGTGATGGGACCGAAAGCTTGAATTCAATGTTGAAAAAAGTAAGAGAACCTGTTTCTACCAATGGTTCTGCTTTAACAGATGGAAAAACTGATGCTTCCTCTTCCAAAAATGATGGAAATGCTGAAGGTTCAGTAACTGATGATTCAAAGAAGGACACCCCGTTGACCACACCGGAATCATCAAGTTCCAACGCAGCTCCAGATTATGATAAACCACTACCATCACCAAGAAAATCCACTTCTAGTCCAACTAAAAATCATCCGCCAGTGGATAAGGATCAAGGAGCCAACCCTGACGCCTTGAAATCCAAATCTACCTCGGGTGAAGCCAGGTTATTGAAAGCTTTGCCAAATTATTCGAGACCATTGATTAGCAAGATGGTTCGGTTAGCTCCAGCATGTCGTTGTACTATTGAAGAAATCTTTGAAGATGAATGGTTGGAAAGTATTGATGAGTGTTATGAAGATGATGTTGAAGTTGCTGCTACTGGCGAGAAAAAATTATACGAGGGTGCCAACCATACTCATACTAAGGTAGACCAATCAGAAGCTCACATTGCCTACTTGGAAAAGAAGAGAGTTAGAAAATGATGAGTACCACGCAGTCTTTCACAATGGACTTATCACAAACCGCTATTTTATTTCTCATCAATAATTATTATGATGTTTGTTCTTGATTTGGGGACAGCACTTTATTTTGGATTTTTTTTTCTTATTTTTTTTTTTTTTTTTTTTTTTTACATTTTTTAACTGTGGTTGGGGGAAGCTAGATGGACAATTTTTTTCTTCTTTTCAATTATTCATTAGAGATTGATTTTCTTTAATAGTTATCGTAACATTTCTTTCTCCTATTATTGTGAGTTTTTAAGTTGTTGTTTTTGTATTTCACTTTGTCATTTTAGTTATTTCGAAGACCCTTCGTAGTATCCGATCTTTTTTTAGTCACTTTTTTTAAGATCTGGGATCAATATTTTTCATTGAAATTTTGATACTTCTATTGAATTTATTTTTCCGTCCCAGTCAAAGAGAAAGAAAGAGAAAAAAAAAAAAGACTATTATCATTTGTTATCTTTGTCAAGTTTGATGAGCATTAATAACCACTCCATATTTTTGTTAACCAATGCTTTATTCGTGTTAAATATTTTTTTAAAAAAAGGGCTTTCCTTTGTTGCTTGTTATTATTTTGTGTCTTCTTCCTGTAATTGTCTTGAATTTCTATACGAATATTTCGATAAATTTTGCTGGTTTTGATGGCTTTATAATCTAAACTTTGCATCATCAACCCTGTATGTCTGTATGTTCAGATATCTCCTGACCCTGCAGTTGTTGCCCTGATGTGGCATGGAGGGGCAAAAAAAATTGTAATCAAAAAAAAAAAAAAAAATAAGCCGAATCTACACCATACATACTATAGGCAGATCTACTTCATCTTAGATTATATACTGGAAATAGAATAATGTTTAAAGTATACAGAGCCCACGACTTTAGATTAGCCTCTGTGGATCGTATGGGGAAAACCCTCTCCCAAAGATTCTCATCAACTACAAGAACAAACAATAGCCCCATCATAACGGTAAAAAAGGCCCATGGAACCACCGCAACATCATCAACAACTGCAGCAAGCCAAACCAACCTGAACTCGAGTACATCCCTGACTTCTGGAGGTCCTCAGAATGATGCCAAAGCTGGTAGTCAACAACATCAAGAGACAAAAGCGTCAGAACAAGATAAAAGTGAGTTAGATGGCAGAAAGCGTCAGCAAAAGATGACTCAGGTGGACTATTCCTGGTTACCCAAGGCTCCAAAATTGAAGTCTTTCTCTCCAAGAGAACTCCGTCTACAATCTTTATATAGTGGTTATAGACCATTATTTATGGAGTACAGAAAAAACGCGTCTAAATTAGATCTGTCGGATGGTCAACTATTGCTAGATGAAGAGCCTAGTGTGTGGTCTTACTCTGCCACCGAGATGGATTATTACTCTGAATGGGAAAATATTCCAACCAATGTTTCACAGCAATTAAAGCCATTTGAATTGACATTAGATGATAGCATTTTTGATAAAAAAATTGCGAAAAATGAACAAGATGAAAATAAGAAGAATGCGTCAAAAGATAGCAATAGTATAAGAGAGAATGAAGGCCAAAGTGGAGAAGCTCAAAAGGCAAAAATAGTAACCAGTGGGCGAAAGAGATATTTGCCTGAAAGATATCAGAGAACTATAAAATCGAGAGCTGAGAGAAAACTTGAATTGAAGAGATTATTGCAAAAGAAGAGTTCGAAATGAGACACACATTAGCTTACTAATAAATTTCAATGCCCTTCCGTTTATAATTCTTTGTATTCTATTATTGGGAGTATTATTGTTTCCGCACTCTTTTTTATTATTAATGATATGTATTATTCCTATTTCTTTGTTTCTCTCATATTTTTTCGGTTTTCAGTTTTCTTTGCAATATCTCTCCATCAAATATCTGTCATTTCATTTTGACACCAATCAAATATTTACTCGGTAATGTTCTCTCTGCTATCATCGTAATGTTCTTGATGAATTATGTTTATATTTACCATAGATGTCTTGTCTCTTACTTGTATATAGAGTTAAAGCATAATATTCTTATTTTTGCGACACCTTTGAGATCTTGTAAACGAAATTATTAAAGTGAGCAATCTATATTGATGGCAGATATCACAGAGATATTAGAATGTTAGATAAGACTCTATCTCCATAATCTATGGTGTCTGGGTGTCTATTTTATGCTTGGGTGTGTTATTGAGTTTATGCTGCATAACAAAATAATTTTAATTTTTTTTTTTTTTTTTGGGCCCAAATTCCGGAATAAAATAACTTAAGCATATTAGGGTGTGTATTCTATCATGAACGCTGGCTAATGTTTACCCCATTCCAATCACTACTAAAAGCTTCCTTACTTCATCACAATATTGCATTACAGAGAATAATAATAGAGGCTGAAGTTTTTCCCTAGTACTGGTATTAATAATAGCTAGGAATACAATTGTTTGAACCCACCCCTCCCTCATCTCAAGAGGTGATCATATAGAAAAACCCAATCAGATTCTTCATGCCACCAGCAAAAGCAAGTAATATCCCCTCAACTTTAACATCAAAGTTTCAGCTATTCAATCCCCGAAACGCCAAGCCAAAAAATGTAAATTCATCCAACTCATCACGTCAATCCGCCCAGGGACCCAAGAGTAATAAAGAAAATAATTCTGCTCCAAAGAGAATAAAAGCTTGTCTTCGATGTCGAAAATCAAAGGTGAAGTGTGAGAATAACGGTGAAGGACCATGTAAAAGGTGTTTTAACGGCCAATTTGAGTGTATTTATCAAATGAAAGTGCATAGTTACTCGTCAAAGGAAATCAAACCTGTGAACCACGACCCAAACCAACCACCAATGTCATCTAATGGAAACCGCAGACAATATTTTGTTAATAACGCTAATAAATTTGTAAAGAATAATTCTCAGTATCATCAAACGGTTTCATTACAACAGCAACAAGATCCCCAACAGTTCCAAACTCCGTCCGGGATTCAAAAAAATAATATAATCAATGATCCATGGAAAAACAGTATGGAAAACAAACTTGAAAACTTTAATGACACCCTAAATGAGATTATGGGTTTCTTGAAAGACGGAAAATTCAACGACAAGTTACCGAATCCTCAACTCGATAGTGCGGGCCTTGATCAGTCGATTCCTTCGTTTACCAGTGCTTTAACATATCAACAAACTAATAATCCTATTTCTTCCCTGTTTTCGCAATCTTCTTATAATTATCAGGACAGTGCTCATTCAAAGCCTTCTTTCCTGGCAAAGCAAACCCCTTACGTTCCAAGCAACATCTACAGTAATGCTGAATCGATATCAGACTATCATGACACCAACTTATCACATCCAACTACGGAAAAAACTCAAAGCTTTTCTTATCCTGAAACCTACCAAAGTGGTACGGCAAATCCATCCCCATGGAACTACCTGGAATATCATGATTATGGGTATAATCCCATTACAGGTGGACAGTCCTCATTTCAAAGGCCAAAATTACCAAGTTTCAACGAGGTGCTTGGAAAAGATGAAATTGGAATAGTTTCGGCCAACAATTCTGAAGATCAACATGTGTCAATACACAAAAAATCTAACTGGGAAGGCTATCTGAATAATCAGGTCAACATCAATGATGATGCAGATTATATTTCAAACGAACAAAAAATCAATAAAAGGCCTATTGAAAGTATATCCGGGGCATCTCCTTCGGCACATTTACCAAGAGAATATCATTGTCTAAAGCGTTTAAAACATACCATGGTGTCTGGTGAGTCTGGGGAAAATAGTTTGAATCTCGATTCCCAGCTGAAATCAAACACCCAGAAGACATCACAGAATTTATATTCATTAGTGCCATATTCAATGTTTCAGGAGCTTTACAGCAAATTTTTGGACAATGCTGCACCGCATTTGTTTGGATTCGACGTTTCCAAATTTGATAAAAGGTTGATCTATGTGAAATCAAAGTTAATGGTGATTATAATAAGTTTGATTGGGTGTATCAACAATCCTAAATTCAAACAAGCAACATTTATTGACAGTCTAAGAAAATTGTATTTGGAAACTGTGAATGATGTCATATTCAAGCTGAACTCAACTCTGAACAATAAACTGGGTTCCGCGTGGGGAATTGATGATGTTGATGACGAGATTAATGAGAATGGCAACAAGTTGTTGAATGGTGTATCAGAATCTGTTTCTGATAGTCAAAGAGAGTATGATGATTATATTAGTTTGTGTTCTCATGATACCAATGACTCAGAAACTTTTCCGTGCAAAAAGTGGGATTTGTTAACCAACAATGAAAAGGATGCGGAAATCAAGAACAGTCGAGAATTTAAGTTATTTATGAACATCACCGCCTTATGTATCGGTACTTTCTGGTTTGAAAACTCCCAGTTACTATTAGGAATAGCCTTGCAATTAGCCTCAGAGTTTCAGTTGAACAAGGTATTCATTAAACTAAACGATAGCAAGATCGTGACTATTGACAAGAGCAAAATTGCAGATGAATTTGTGGAGCTGGGGAATAAGATTTCTGAAATCAGTAAATTGAAACTATGGTACTTGCTTTATATTGCGGATACTCAACAAAGTTTTCTATCTGGAAAGCAACCAATAATGAACTCTTCTCAAGATAGGTCATTGAAACAATCTAGAAAGTTATTATTCCAGCATAGAACCAATTTAACCAACCATAGTTTTATCAATTCGTCTGAAATCCAATCCACTAATATGCTTATCCAAACTACCACTGATAATGATTTGCTTTCTTCTAACGGTGAAGTTCGTGCAAGTACTACAAAGAAAACCTTGAATGAGAATTTGTTATCCAGCTCTGCAACGTATAACGACTTGAAGCTTGTGTCTCAATTGGAATTCAACCAAGCCATTAATGCTGTTGTATCGGGCAATGCATGGGGCATATTATCTCCCGATCTCTTTGGGATGCCGTGGAAAACCAATTTGGAATTGGACAAATGGATGGTTCATTGGACATGTTTATTGACACCTATTCATCAAACAGGCAATCCGTGGTCAGTTAAATCCACCTTGATCTACTACAACTTTGCCAGATTGCATGTTAATCATCAACATGGTAATTTAGGGGGAAATAACACAAAATCTGTCATTGAGCCAAATCACCAAATTGAAGATGAAGATAATAGCGATCTTATTTATGACGGGATAGATCATCTGCATGATTTGGGAAGCAAAGATATTGCGGTCTCGTCGGCGCAATCGCTCATCAAGTCTGCAATTAGTGATAGGGATATTGTTGATAACCTAAGATATTCCCCATTACACATCTACGTGATGCTTTATTATTCAGCATTGGCTCTCTTAGATTCTGGAAATGAAATGTTTTCGGATACTCATAGCCCCAAACCACCGAACATGTCTTCAGGTGAATATGGCAGGTTCAAGGAAAAATCCCAATTACATTTTGAGAATTTAGTGCTTGTTAGAAGTTTGGTCAATGTTTTGAGCGATAACTTACCACTAGATAAAGAATTTGGTTTGAAGTTGATTAGGAATCTAAAGAAGAAATTGGAGAAAAAATACGCCATATTCACCAAAGTCGGTCAGAAATATGGGGATCTGGCCAATAAGGTTGGAGAAACTGATGACAGGAATGAAAAAATTCGTTTATTGGATGAGATGAATGAGGAGGAAATTAACAGACTTTTGGGGACGTCAAATGACGATAAAAAGGGGCAAATTTTGGCGTGGCCTGGAACAAATCATCAGCATCCTTGATATTGTCATTATTATCATTGTACTTTATTTTGTATTATATATAGATATATTCTAAATATTTTTTTTTTAAAAAAAAAAACTTAACATTATACAATCTTGCACAGTTTATATGAGGGCATGCATGCTCAAGAAGTCTGTGTCTGGTGGAGCTTCTAAGGAAAAGTTTTCGGCCGGGTAAATATTTTTTGCCATGCAAACCAATCATTTCCTAGTTTTTACCAATAAGAAAAATAACAAAAAAGCATCTTGTCAGAAGATATCACAGAAGTGATTTCTGATAATACAGAAACACCAGAGAATAGTAATAATAATAATAAGCGAAAATGTTTCCGTGGGAAGGTGCGATACCATATACCATTATGTTTGGATTCTTCACCATCTGTGGTGGTGCGGTCTCCGGCATTCACTATTGGAGTAATGGTAACAAAAGAGACAGATTCAGCATGGATCAATGGGACCGTCAGCATTTCGAAAGAGATTACAGATTGACTGGTCTCTATAGAGGTCAAGCTGATAATGTCAAGGCTCCAGAATCCTTTGCCACCAGTGGTTTCAGAAAGTTGCAAAAAGAACCAAGATGGTGGTGATTGTTTTAACGTGAATGAATATTTTTCCAGTTATTTATCAGGTCAGTATAATGGGGATGGTAAAGAAGACAATTATTAAAGAAAAGAGGCTACAATGTTAATAACGGCAATATAAACGTCCAGTGGCCACTATTTTTTTGAGTTATTATTATTACAACATTGAGAAAAATCTTGGAGAAGTAAAGAGAAAGAATCTGTTAATCAAACCAGCATAAATTCACCAGGTTGTTGCAACTTCCATAATAATTCATTCAATCTATCAATCAAGGATCTCTCCTACATCGTCATTCTATTCTTCATTCTATTCCATATGGTGCATTTTATTTAATATATTCATAACTTTTTTTTGAATTTTTTGTTTTTACTTTATTTTATTGTCTGCAAACGTAGCAAAAGCTTTTAAGAGTTTTCTCTGAATTTACAGTGTTAAAAATCTGAAAGAATAGTAAATAATTAATAAGATTATAGCTGGGCATTGGAAGTAGTAAAAAAAAATTGTAAGATAACATGTTTTTAAGATTTTGGAAAGGATATTAGAGATAAGGGGAAAAGAAAGACAAACAAAAGCAAAAAATAATAAAAAAACAGCAAAAAAAAAATCAAACCTTATCAAAACCATCTTTAAGAGGAGACGAGATTGTTGAAAGAACTAAAAAATGAAACTATATGGTATTAGAGCAGAAAAGTAAAAACAACGAAAGATAACTGGTAGAAAATTGAATGAAATACAAGATCTAAAGGGCAGAATGAATGAATGACAAAAACAAACAAAAGAATGAAAAAAAAAAAAAACGAAATGATAAAAAGAGTGTCAACAAGATTGTCGCTCGATTGAACCGAACAAATGGGCAAATTTTTCTTTAATTGATAACAGGCAGGCATTGTTCAAGATTCTAATCATGAGCTTGCTTTCACAACACTTCTTCTTCTAAAGAAATCTAAGACTTTCTTTGTGGTGCTAGTATTCTCACTAACCTTTCTATTAGATGCAACAATAACACTTTTAACTCTTTGCTTTGTTGGGGATGATGTGCTGGAACCTGTGTGGATGCTTTCATTTTGATGTCTTTCCGCAGTTGGGAAAACAACGTTACTTGAACTTCTATTTCTAGAACTACCCATCATAGAGGATCTTCTGCCAAATGAAACACTCTTTGATTGCTTGTGGTAGATACTATTGGAAACCTTATCTTCGGTATCATTGTATGGCGCATCATAAACGTTACCAAAGCCAGTAAATGAGCCGAATATGCTGAATCTCTTCTTCTCGCTCTTGATGCTGGCAGTAGTATAAGTGGATCCGGAAGACTTAAGTCTAGTGGATTGTGATCTTGGAATATTAAGTTTATTGGAACTTTCGCCAAGTAAGCCCAATGCACCGTATTTGCTATTTCTTTTAGTTTTCTTGTCACCAAGACTTTCAGGAGAAGGAGGCGCACCGTTAGTTATCAAGTCGTAATCTTTAACAGGCGAAGATTTTGATGCAAGAGGCGAAGCACCACCATAGGACGACTTTGTTTCTTTAGGGGCATATGAGCCACTACTAATATTACTCTTTGGACTACTGGCAACATTTTGATTTCTAGCAAATGAAGGTGCGGCTGGTTTACTCTTGTTGCCGAAAATGTTTTCAAACACTGAGTGTGAAGCAAACGTAGGAGCATTCGCGTTGGCTTTGGTTGGAGTTGAATTGTTAAAAGTTTCTTCTGGTGATTCTTTGACTGGAGTTGGAGGCTTAACTTCTTCAGTTGGTTGATCTTCTTCCAATATTTTAGATGGTGACTCAGTACCATTATAGGTTTTCTTGGAACTTTCTTCATTTTCATTAATAGAATTAATTGGTGATATTGAAGGGCCGCAAGCCTTTGCAGCAACATTTTCGGTGCTCTTTGGGTTCAAATAGCTAAAGTCCAAATTCAATGGCCCATCTGGTAACATCAAGCCTGGATGATAAGATGAAGGTCTTGGCTTAGAATGAGGATCTTTGTCAAACATCTTCTGGCTAAATTTATTCTTTCTAACTGAAGAGCCTTGGGTCTTGTTAGAAGAGCTTGGAATTGGCTTATACTTTTCAAGTGGCACTTCACTAGATTCACTAACAGAGTAGATACTGTTCCTTCTATCAGCATTTACCATATCTAGCAAAACACCTTGGGCAGTTTTGTTTTTAGCGCTTGACAGTGACGAATTAGTTCCTTGGATTAAGGTATCGCTATTGGCCACGGCATTCTCCCCTAAAGATTTAATTGAGGCGGAAGATTTTGAAGGCGGCATATTGACCAATGTCGCTGAACCATTAGAATTAGGAGGTGAATATGATGCAGTAGGTTGTGAAACTTCGTGGGAAGAGTATGATCTTGGAGGACCCCTAGATGCAGCCAGAGGTAATGATGGTGGGATATTCATACCAGCATTATTACTTGCAATGGCAAAAGATGATGTAGTTGGTTCAACCATGGAGTATCGATTATTGGCTCTTGGATTTATCTGTCTCGCTCTAACATTCGCTGCACTACCATTAGATGAACGAGTAGTGTTTGATGCTCTGCCATTAGCTCCTCCACTTGAAGAGCGTTGTTGCTGCTTTTGTTGCTTCAAGTAGAGCTCCTTTTGTTGTTGCGACACAAGTTGTTGATGTCTATTAAGTTTTGCATTTCTATCCCACTCTTCTGGAGTGACGGATAAATAAAGAGCATATGGGGCTAACCAGGAATGCTGTCTAATTTGTTGTAAATTGTATCTGTATTTTGGTTCCGGGACCAAAATATTTCTAAGCAAATTTCTAGGTAATGGTTGCACATATTCTGGGAAAGTCAATTCTGTTGTGCTAATATAGTTGTACAACTTGGAGATATTGCTACCTTCAGGATTATCTGGATCGTCATCAAATGGCAAATAACCGGCTAACATAGCGTACAAAATAACGCCACAAGACCAGACGTCGACTTTTCTCGCCTCATATGGTTCATTTTTCAACACCAATTCTGGAGCAGCATAACAAGGAGAGCCACAAGAAGTTTTCATAAGTTCATTTCCTGGTGTAAAGCTATTGACGAAACCGAAATCGGTAATGATGATGTTATTATTTTTATCTAACAACAAATTTTCGAGTTTCAAATCTCTGTGAACGATATTTTTTGAATGCATGTAGTCAACACCACTCACTAACTGGGAAAATAATTTGGAGGCAATGGAATCTTTCAAATGCTTATTGTTGAAAATATAATCGAATAGCTCACCACCAGAAGCATAGTCAAGTACAATGCCAACATATTTATCATTTTGCAAAACTTCTTCTAAACGAACAATGTTTGGATGCGATAATTTCTTAAGGGCATTGATTTCTCTGTGGACTTTAGACTCTCTTTCAGAACCTCTAGGAATAGATTCTCTTTTAATCAATTTGATTGCCACTTGCAAAGGCTGCTTTCCGTCTTTTCTCCAACCTAACTTGACTTTACCGAATTCACCCTCACCTAAAGTGGAGCCTAAAATGTAAGCACCAAATCTAACTTCTCTATGAGATTTTCTGATGACTCCGGCAGGCAAGTTATGTGTATTATATTGTTGTGAAGGCATGGCGAAGAATATTGAAGGTCTTTATACTCTATGTTTAGAATTTGTATGGTTGACAAGGTTTAGTGTTTTGTTGTTTTTTGTTTGTTTTGTTTTTTTGTTGTTTTTTTTTTCTATTGTTTTTCTGTCCACAAAGACAAACTCAAACAAAATACACAGGAATAGGTGTCTTGTAAGCCCAAAAAAAATGGAGCTGCTATTGGGTATCAAACGTGAAGGAATGAAAGTTCACTGGGAGAAGTATCTTAATAAGGAAGATTTGGGTAGTTGGGCACCGTAGTAAAATTATTACTGGATACTGTCAGGGGTTTAATGAATGAATAGTAGGTATATGAATAACAATACCAGTGCCTATGGAAGAGCCCAAAGTAGCGGCCCGGGTGATTGTATATCAGGAGTATATGGTGATGTTGTTTCTTAGGGAAAAACAACGGTAGTGGGGAGTGAATGGCACAGGATAAAGAAGGGTTGTAGTGAACTAGCAGTCCGCGTGGGTTTCTTTCAGTCTGTAAATTTTTGGCCAGCTGTTTGTTCTCTGAGGGGGTGTATATGTAAGGGCTACTAGTATAATGTCTCACACCCCCACGTCCGCCAAAAAAAAAATTCTGTAAGGAAAATTCACGCGTTCGATGTTGTAACAATAACAATTGCCATACATTATCACTGATGTCAGCCCCAAAAGAACTTTCTAACGAGGAAATTGCCTTATATGACAGACAGATACGTTTGTGGGGGTTGGAAGCCCAGAGAAAGATTAAGACGGCTCACATTTTGCTCATCAACTTGAGTGCCGTCGGCACGGAAATCGCCAAAAATCTTGTGCTTGGTGGTGTGGGTTCATTATCGATAATTGACAACCACGATATAACTGAGGCTGATTTCAGTGGGCAATATTATATTTCAGAGGATGATTGTGGGAAGAAGCGGGTGGAAAGCGCGCAAGAAAGAATCCAGGACCTCAATCCAAGAGTTGATCTAAATGTGTTTACAGATGATATCAACACAAAAGAACCTGAATGGTTCAGCCAATTCAATTTGGTCATCTCTACCGAATTGGCTAAAGAATCGATTTTAAGAATTAACAATGTTACTAGACAGTTAAACATCCCATTTTATGCCACAGGGCTCAATGGGTTGTCAGGATACGTATTTCTCGATTTGATTGAACATACAGCAACTTATAAAAAAGAAAAATCAAACATTTCTACGAAAACTGGGAAGGTTTTCAGCTTCTCGGAAATTGTATCCGTGGAAAGCTTCACTGAAAATAATCAACCTTTTGAAAACGTTACCACCAAAGATCATTATAAAAGCTTTAAACAATTTTTGGAAAACTTCAACAAGCAATCAGAAAATATAAAAGAAACATATACTACCAAAAGAAAATTGAAAAGAATAAGCCCGATTTTACCATTGACTTTAGCGTCCTTGGATTTCAATCAGGCCAACAAATTGACAATAGATTCCTTGAAGTCAAAGGCAGTGAAAATTTGTGAAAACTTGTCTATTCCTCTGACCGTTCTTGAAAACAAAGATCAACTCATTGAGTCATTTATTGCTCAACAAAATCACGAATTTGCTCCTGTGTCGGCTATTATTGGAGGAGTATTGGCCCAGGACGTTATCAATGTTTTGGGGAACAAAAATAAGCCTATCAATAATTTCATAGTTTTAGATGGTCTTTCGGGTGAAATGCCGATCTTCACAATCTAATTAGCAGTCTTAGTCTTCACAATAAATTCAAGTAAAAATATTATCTTCGCATAAATAACAATCTACAAAGTTGTTGAAAATATCGTTTTTCAACATCCAACTGTAACTTTTCATGAACCAATTAAATTACACAATTTTTATGAAATGAAACAAAAGGGTAGCGATACTAGTATATATTAATAACACTGTGTAAGCAACTTAGATACTTGATGGGTAAAGGAAAACTCTGACGGAAGCACCGAAGGTCTTTGGTGGCAAGTTTTTCTTGAAGTTAGCACGGACAATACCGGAGTTACCGTGGGTTCTGGTGACCTTACCCCAGATGACTCTGATCTTTGAGCCTCTGATTTCCTTTTGGGCCTTGTAAACGTAAGCAATTCTTTTACCTAAGTAGAACTTGGCATCTTCTGGAGCATCAACACCTTCGATCTTGATCAAAGAAACGTTTGGGTTGTTAACACTCTTACTTCTTTGGTAAGAAAGATGTTTACCTTTAACGTATACTATAAGAAATATTGTTAGTTATTTGGACTTAAACCAATAGTCTTGGTAAAAAGTATGATTCAATGTGTAATGAATTAGGACAAGTTCTTTGGTCATATTGATTCGTCTTCACAAACTATTTTCTTTTATTATGGTAGTTTCATCTCTAGTGCTGAAAAGAGTTCTTTGATTCTTTATAGTTGTGATACATTCTGCTTGGTGAATTATGAAAACCCTGGTACAAAAAAAAAACATCATATCTTCTATATTGCTTATAACTTCGTTAATGAATTCAAGTTGATTTGTTTGAAACTTATTTTGTCTTATGATATTCAGTAATCCCTTCCTATTTTCATCTCTTCATTATTAATCCCAAAATTTATTGTTGTTCTCTATTCTCTTAATTGTCGGTATGGTATAAGTCATCACTTCAATCCTTCACATTTCCACAGTCAAATCATACTTTATTTCCTTTTATTTTTATTTCTGATTTCATTTCTCACATACATCTTGGTTGTTCAGCAGCCATTGTTGATAGTTATTGCTGTTTTGATATGTTCGAGGACTCTACACTATGAAGCTTTTCAACTTTTCAAGAATTTTTTGTGTAATGTGAAGTTGGAATTTTTTTTTGCCTCAGCGGGTTGGGAGCATATGTGTTTCAACGTCACATATTGCGCCCTATTGCATTATGATATCATGTGAGAGTCTCCAGCCCTAATCGGCATCATGTAGCGCCCCCACAATTTTTGACAGGTGATAATTAAAAAAAACGTGATTACATCATTTCGGAGAAGTTAGAGTTAAATTATATCATTAGAAAAGTTATCGAAATAGAAATAAACGACATGTGCACAATAGCAAAATCTATTTAAAAACATAAGCACAAAAAAAGAACAGAATTTGGAGGAAAAAAAATCACAAAAACAACAGTGAGTGTAGATGAAAATGTTATAGGGAAGGCATTAATAATTAACAAATGGTAAAGTTAACACAAAGGGGTGCAAATCATAGCATCAAATAACAATTTCCTTTTCATTCTTGAAAGCCTCATCATTAAATCTCCAGTGTACTGCAGTCTTTGATTTAGCATCTGAATTGAACGTACCGCTTGGAACATTGTACTTGGAAAACCCGCCAATTTCGCACAAATTAAGGAATGGTTGATCGGATTTCTGACCTAAAGCTGGTATAGTAGAATCATCAACTTCTTTGAACCATCTAACCTTCCAAGGACTATTGGTGTCTGTTTCTTGCTTTCTTTTTTCTCTTTGAGCATTTTCCAATTTGGACTTGGATTCCGAAATTTTCTCGAATGAGCCTTCCTTAATGGCTTCCGCAACATCCTTCCAGGCCTTTCTACTTTCCAATGAATGTTGTTCAGAAATTGGTTTAACCTTAAGATGTTCTGGACTAGATGTAGCAGCATCGTAAAATGGTGTAGTCTTCTTGTACTTATCGCCGTAGTAAATACTTGAAGATCCTGACCATTGGCCGCTGATGGTGCATTCTGGAGTACCTTTCTTATCCATGGATTTCTTATCCTTGAAAATTTTGGCCTTGAAGGAGTTCTTTTTACCGCTAACCCAGCCCTTTCCGCTGAACTCAATGACAGTTATATACCCACTAGAAGATTGAATATAAGATTTACCATCCAATTCAACATAAGGAGATGCCATCAACAAGCCTTCAATGTGCAACCCTGGCAAAGTGACCAAATAATTTTCATTCAAGTCCCTATATTCTAAGATAGCATTACCGTATTGCTTAACATTTAGAGTCAAAGAGGTGGCGTAGATTTGGGTCTTGACTTCATTGTATCCTGATAAATAAGTGTTGTTCTTTTCATTAATGATGGAGTAAGCGGTAACAGGAGGATGGTGACTAACTTGTTCTGATAACAAAACAGTGTCTCCGAGTTTCTTTTCCTTGCTCAGATCTTCCCATTTCCCCACAAATACTTCACCAAGGAATGGGTTCAAAGGTTTCTTTTCGGTTCCCAAAGTTTCATTTCTTGAAGCATATTGTGATCTCAAAGTGGCGATAAACCATTTGGTGACGGCAATCTGTCTTTCAAGGAGAGTGCTCTCGTCCTTAGCATCCTTACCACCAATGAAATTTGGTGCAAGAAACAATTCCGGATGTTCGCACCAAAATTGAGAATATTCGACTAACGACACTGGCGATAAAATGAATGGCGGAGCAGTAAGAGTATACAAATCCCCATTAAATGATGCGATCGATTTCAAGAAATCTTTCCAGGAAGCACTATTACCAGACATTTCTATTATTGAAAATATTTATAACAAACTACCGAATAGTACCACTGAAGTCCGAATGGATGGCTACTAGACTCTATGTATGACCGAACAGTTGATGAACGAGTCGCACTACTAAAAGTCTTCTTTAATTTTATTTTGTGCTACTTTTGCTACGGCATATACGAGCGTCGATCACATGCCGCCACGGGTGCATTGCGGATACATGCTAAGGTTAAAAATGGGAAATAAGGGCTGTTATTGGTAATTGTATCATTTTTATCTGAGAATAATAATATTTCCAAATTTCTTTTGATTTATGGCGCAAGTCGTATTTTTCTCATTGGAGATTATAAGATTTTATCCAGTTGTATCGTATCCTTTAGCTGATCCATCCTTGTATTTGCAAAAACATCTTTAATCCAATTCTTTCAATACTAAGTTCTCCAATAATAAGTTCTGCAAGTAAAAGTCAAGAACGCTCTGTATTAGCTTTATTTTTAATGTATATCTTACTCATATGTATGTATCCATTTTACATTCCGCTGGTGAGTGAAAGAGGCTAGTCATGTAGATGAACAACAATAACCCAGTTGAGAATTTCTTTTTTTTTTCGCACTATCACAATGTTTTCCCCTCGTACCTAAACACTGAACTCTATAACTCCAAATATTTTCTTATGAACTTGCGTCAAATTCTAACTAATGAGACAAGTTCTATATATAATAAAATTGAATTACCGAAACACATGAATTGAATAGATTTTTTTTTCTGGAGATGGGCTTATGGTCTCAATAAATCATCACTTACATGCATGATGTCGATAGGTTTTGCTCTCACTGTTTTCTTCATTCTTTTTTTGATCAAGCTCATATATCTTTAGAATGTATTTGATATAAAAATGATTCAAAAGAGTTAAATAAAGATAATAAATTATAAAGAAAAAAGATTTTTTTTTTTTTGGTTCAGCTGAGCTGCCATTTTGTCTCTGTAGCTTGACAGCAAGTGTTGGGATCAGGAGAATTATCAAATACGTAGCCAACAAAACAATAATCATAATTACAATGTGAAAATTACTAATTTTTGGTTTTGAGATTAATTAGTTATTCAAATATGAGCATACTATACTGTGAACTTACAATTTCATTTCCCGTATAGGTCTGTCTGATTTGAAACAACTGGGAAATTCAATACGTAACCCAATATCTTTGATGAAAATATGTCAGTCTCTGTAAACTATAATAGTCAAAATATTATTTGAAATATTTAAATTATTTTTGAAGACTTTCACAAGAAAAAAAAAGATGATTATGGTAGAACTGCGGGATACTGTAACAGAGACACTACGGGAGCTGAGTATGACGGCACACGCGTCATGTTAACCATGACAGAACATCGATATTGGGAAAGCACATCTTGTTTATAAATGAAATAAATCTCTATGAATATACAAAAAATATAATACTATGTACTCATATGCCCAAAACATTCCAAATTTGTCATTTTACAAAGAAATGGAACTTGCAAAGCTTTTGAAGTTATCACTGTGATGCTGTAGGCGATGCTTACATTCATGGACATTCTAACCCTATTTGAAATAAATGGGTGCCAACATTGACAAAATCATCTAAAAATACTAAATTAACATTTTAAAAACTATACACACACAAAAAGCATCATGTTTTTGAAGAGGAAAGGAAAAATAGCAATAATTTGGCACTGCCTGACCTCCGGGGATCAACGCACAAAAACAGGTCATCTCACACGAGATGCATAACCATACACCATCAACTAAACAGCCCCAAAAGGCACCTGAAAACACAAAATAGTCAGGAAAAATTGCAATAAGATGTCAATTATAGGGGATATTAATTTATTTATTCAATTTACCTTGACTTTGTTTTCGTGTTCGCTGTGTTAGAGTAGGGGGCGATGTTTACGCGTCGCTGTTTTGTTGCTCTAATGCGTCGACTGATCTTGCCTGACTCCAAAGCTCTAATCAACAGGAATTCTACTGTCAAGGCCTAAAAATTAGTTTATAGAAATGAGGATACATATCATTAGGAAAGGGTAAATAAAATAAAATGAATAAAGTTAAGTTAGGAGAATATTGTACATTAGACACAAAAAAATAGGAATTTCCCTGCAAAAATAATAAAAAAAATAAATTTTAAGGGGCATCACAAAAAGTAAAAGAGACAAAATGAAAAAAAAAAAAACACATCAAAGAGGTGGAATAGTTATTATAATAATAATAGTAATAGGAGATATTGAAGTAATCGTATAACCCAAATAAACCATAAAAAAAAAAACTGACCTTAAAACAAAACATAAAATACACGCGTAAGGACAACAATAAAGACAACAAAGAGAGAAAGAGAAGAGATGTTACACAGAGAAAGAAATATTAGATAAAAAAAAGTACCAATAATAATCAGATTACTTCTTGGCTTTTTTTGGAGCAGCTTTCTTTGATACAGCCTTCTTTGGGGCAGCTTTTTTTGGAGCGGCTTTCTTAGAGGAAGCAACCTTCTTGGTAGCGGCAGCTTTCTTTGGGGCAGCTTTCTTTGGGGCAGCAACAGCCTTCTTGGCAGCGGTAGCCTTCTTTGGGGTCACAGTTTTCTTTGGAGCAGTAGGCTTAACAACTTTGGCAACTTTCTTTTCGGTTGTCTTCTTGACTGGTTCCTTTTTGGCCAATTTGACTGGACCAGATGGACCCTTTGGTTGAATAAAATCACCCTTGTCAACACCTCTTCTCAAGGCCAAGTTGAATTGAGCATCAAAGTTAGAAGCGGTCATCTTATAGTTGGCTTGAAGGTACTTCTTAAGGGCTTGACGACTAATTGAAAGTTGTTAGTGAATAAATCAAGAAAAGCAAACAAAAAAGACGCGTCATTATTTTTGTTTTAATAAAATATTCTGAAAATAATGGACATACCTAGAACCATTACGTTCCTTCAAAACAGTAATAGCCTCCTTAATCATATCTAGAAGTGTGGTTAGTGGATGTTCAACAAGAGATACAACATAAACAAAAAGACCCCCCGAAACGCGTTCTTCTTGATCATAAAAACATACCCTTATAAGTAGGATGTTCTGGTTTCTTAGCAGCAGCAGCAACAGCTTTGGCCATCTTTTAATCAATAATTTAATAAAATACACGGGAATAACACTGGGCGTGGTTAATGGAGATCCTTTTGAATAAAGAAGTTGGTGAGATGGAGTATAACGCAAACAAATAAACAAAAAAAAAAATAACGTAAAAAAAAAACAAAATTGTGCGGGCGCGTGCGAACGTGAACGGTTCCCAAACCTCTCCAGGGCGGGTAAGCAAACACTTTGAGGGATCTAACTTACACGAGGCTCGCCGTCTTCTTCTTCTTCTTCTTCTTCTTCTTCTTCCTCGTAACAGTACACATATTTCAACAGAATAATAACATTAATAATAAGATCACTGAGCTACCTTTCCTTTTTTTTTTTTCTCTCCCAGAAGTTTCCACTAAGTAAATAAACATTATCTTTTCCGATAATTTCTTGGAACGTAATTTCTCCCAATCACTGGCTCTAAAGCAATTCCTAACGTCTCTGAGGCATCTCCTTCAAAACCCCAACAGTCTTTATCATTGGAAATCTCATCGGAATTCACTTCTGTGTTGAAGATCGCAATTTTGCCTCCCTGTAATCGTACTCTTTCAACGTACCCTATCGCAGGCCACATTTTACCACTAGTACCAACAACCAAGATCAAATCTATCTTGTTGCTCACGAAAAAGTCATCAATTGTATTAATGGCTTTCAATGGAATTGACTCACCAAACCAAACGACCCCAGGTCTCAATAAACCACCACACCGGGGGCATGCAGGCAAGTCTTCTTTTGAAAGATTGGTATTCACTTTACCCTTTTCCCTATCTAATCTTCTTTTCTTGTTTCTATTATGCTCTTCATATGTATCATCACCCTTATCACTTTCATCGTCCACTAATCCCAAGGCCTGTGTTAATGGATGCTCAAAGTTATTTGACTCTCTGTAACTGCAGAAAAAATCGGTGCATCTCAAATCAAAAAGATTTCCGTGCAATTCTAACAAATTTGCCTTATCATGGCCCGCCCTTAGATTCAATCCATCAACATTTTGATTTATTGTTAGGCACTGTTTATTATTTTTCCTTTTCCTTTCATTATTATTAGCACTGTTGAATTTCTCTGATAACGCCGCAATCGCATAATGTCCTTTATTTGGCTTTGCTTTCAAAGCTCTGTGACGCCTCCATGAATAAAATTGCCATACAAGACCGGGATTATCTAAAAATGCATCTGGGGTGGATATGTCAATCGAATGGAAATCTTTCCAGTAACCAGAAGAGTTCTGGTAAGTCTGAACTCCAGATGCTGCCGAAAGCCCTGCCCCAACCAAAACAATTATATTATTGCATTGCATTAAGTAATTTTGGAAACTTCGTAGATAGTCCTTGTCGATTTGAGTAGGCATTTCATTCTATGATCCCTTTCCTTTCATATGTTGTCTTTACTCGTCGGCCTTTTCATATATCCCCAGATGTACTGATAATTTTTGTTCTCTATATGAATCTTTCCCCCCAAATCAAAAACAAACATCAACACAAAAAAAAAAAAAATTGGCTTCACGTGAGAAGAGGTCGAAAAATATAAACAGGATTCTTCGTCTCATACATTTGACATTATTGACATTATTGTCCTTAATTTCCTGTATTTTTGGGGGAATACTGCAGTTTCTTGTCTATAAAATATGGCAACCCTGAAACTAAAGGATCATACCAAGTTGATAGACAAATTGACAACAAGTATACTACTGGATCCCAACTTTCTAGACCAAAACCTAAAGAACAATATATCCATCATCGATGTATTGATCCAATCAGGTTTAGCCATCCAACTCTCACAGTTAAATCTCAAAGTTACTAAGTTGTTCATTACGCCATTCTTGTCTAATGCCAATATAATAGAACCAATTTTATTCAACTATGTGCGAGCGTTATCAGTGGTTTGCTTTAATGCTCCAGGAATATTGATCCAAAATGTTGACCGTAGCGATAACAAGCACGCTCAAACGGTGAAAACTCCTTATTTTAAGGCTCTTTTGACCAACTTAGTTAGATTTTACAGGTTCAATAATAAAGAACTTAATGATTCCATAACAGAGCTAATCATTCTGATCATCACCTTGGTATCAACTAGATTAAAATCTTTCAAAGCAAGAAAGATATTGGGTGATTTCTTAGTGTCAAGCTTGGTATCTTATTATCTCAATAGAAGTTTTACAAATAATAGTAGGGACTCGAGCATCTCTGATTTGCTAACATCTATCCATTGCTTTTGTGTGCTAAACAAGTGGAGTGTACAAAAGTCTTTGATATTTTCTGGATCTATGGAGCTGAAATTAAGTACCTTTTCTAGAAAAATATGGTTCTTATTGAACGACATCTCCGCTGGGGCTGAGATTCAAAAAGTTTTGGATCAATATAAAATCATGTTTTTAAATAGCTGCTTTAACTCATGCACTATATCTGGTGAATTTCAAGAATCTTTAAAAGCTATTGTTTGTTTAGAGTTTGCAAATGAGGTCTTGCAGAACTTATCTAGATCACAAAATATGTCTATAGCAATTCAAGAGTCATTGGCTGTGAATTTACTTGAACTCTATCTTAAATGTTTAAAAGAAGACTTGCACAAATTCTTTTTTGCAAATTTACACTTGCATGAGTTGTCATTGATTAAATCTCAACCAGTATCTATCAGTGACTCTTTAGTGAAGGTGATATACTTGATGATTTGCAATCCTGCTGAGAAACCAAATACAAATTTGAAATCCTCCCTTGAATCGGAATTTCAATCTGTGAGTGGGAGTTTTCCAGAAAACCAGTATCTTCATAGTTTGATGCTGGAAGTGGTAAGCATTCATGAAAATACGATAAGCAAACAAAAAATTCAAGATATCTTAGACTTGGTTAACGTTAGTGAATCACACAGAATATCAATTTGTGATTATGATTCTTCCGACTGTCTTACAGAATGGGTCGATAATTTGGCAAGATTATTAGAGGAAGACTCCAATCGTATTTTCAAGTCCCAACTAACAACATTGAAGCTAATACATTCTGTTGGCAATTTTTGTTGCTTATACACAAAACATTATGACTTTTCTGATAACCGTTGTGAAATATGTGAAGAATTAAGTGATATGAACTTGATTTTTAAAAAGAGAAGAAACTTGGCTGATTTTCCAGTAATTTCCAAACTTGTTGGAATAATTTTGAAATATTTTGTCATAAATGAGTCCATAGTACTGAAAGATGTTCTCACGATAAATTTATTGATCAGCTTGAGAAAAATCTTTATTAAATTCTCACTTCCAGATATTGATTCGATTGATCAACCTTTGTTCAAGTTTGTTTGCAATTGCATGTATTCCAAAAATAGACACATAAGGATTTTTGCAGGAAAAATTTTTCCATTATATTCTGGATCCGATGATTTTTTGGAAGATAATTGGAAATATATTTTTGAATTTTTGGATAAGAAAATGGTTATTGATTCTACCAGTTACCTTGCAGAGTCTACGATCTTGGCGTGGGGTGAATTGGCAGTCGTGACAGAGGGAGAATACTTGAATGTTTTATTATCGAAGCTTTTTAAATTTCTCAGTTCCACGAACTCTTTTTATTCGTGTGCTGCATATACTACGTTGATTAATGTTGCCAATTTAAAAAACAAGACCTGCTGGCAATTGGTGCACCCGTTTTTACCAAACTTGAGTGTTATGTTAGTCCAGCAAATTGTGGAGAAGACTATATTTGGCAGCATAATACCCGATTTCTTAGGGGTTTCTAGTAATGATATTTTATTCAGAACAATAAAATACACGGTGCCTTATTTATTAACACATTATTCAAAGGATATCATCAAGGAAATTGCCAAAGTTGCTGATATGGAAAAGTACAAACTTGTTGAACTTCAATTGTCAAGAATTTTAGCTGTGATGTTGACTTCTGCTGAATATCTAAACATCGATGATAATGATAATTCTTTTCTGATCAACCAGAATAAGATTATGGATATTTTGTCTATTGTGGATCCATATTTTAGACACAAGAAATTGTCTGACCTTATTCTGCCAATGAATGATATCTGGGAAATTTGTCAAATGTATTCCACCAATGGTAATCACTCTATTAATGACAGCAACTACCAATTGTTGAAAAATGCCATTATATTTATAATAAAGTTGGAAAATTCTTCAAGATACCCATCATCTGATGAATCTCTGAAGTTCTTTGTTGGAAATAAGTACAACTTGAGCCAACCAAATAGTCCAGAGGACGAGAAGATTTTACAAGATTGTTTCAAGAGCACGCTATTAGGGATTATAAGAGAATTATCAGATGTTCTCAAGAATACTAAAGGGAGAACCCCTTATCTTGAAAAAGTTAAATCCTTGAGCGCGATTGAGTTTTTAGTACAAGTTGCTGGGTTGGAAATTGTTACAGCTTTACCACAAATTTGTATTTCTCTTCAGAAGGCTATTGCCGATCCACTTCTTGAGCTAAACAGTTTGAGATGCTGGAAGATGTTAATATTGAACTTGAAGGATATACATTTGATAACTTGCTTTGATTTGGTAGTTGCTATAATTTTACAACGGTGGAAGTACTTCTCAACATATTCGAAAAAAGTTGCCAAGGATATCTTGGTGGAGCTTTTTAATAAGGAGGATTTGATCAGGGAAAAATATTTCAATTATTATTTTACTTTATCTTTCAATTATGGGTTGGTTGATGTTTACTACAAAGCTAGCAAGGTCTTGAAAAGCAAGAAATCTAGTTACAGTGATGATAATGGATCAATGGTTTTGAATCTTTTATATGATATCTCTAGAAGATGTGATAATGATAATAAGTATGTTGTTCAACAGGCGTTGGTTGACTTGAAAAACTTCTTGTCCCAATACAAGCTAGAGTTCCATGCTGTTTTTGTTCTGAAAAAGAAATTCATCGAGCATATTTCAAATTTGACCGATATTTTATTGAATAATTGCTCCAAATTCAAGTATCAACGTGATTCCAATGTTGAAGAATCTTTTAATATCCCAAAAGAATGTGCATCATGCTTAGGAATCATTGGGTGCTTGGATCCCGATGTCTTTGAACATACGGTGTTGGGGAGGGAAGTTTGCATGTTCAGCAATGAAAGGGAACTATTGCAATTTATTCCAAGGTTGTTGAATATTTTGGTGAAGGCATTCTGGGCTTCCGAAGAACCAACGTTCCAAACAATGTTGGCGTACGGTTTACAAGAATTTCTCAAGATTATAGATGTGGGAGATCTATCATCAGTTCCAGTTTTCAATGATTTGACGATCTCTACCTTGACCCCATTAGCGTTTTCAAAATATGAGCTTGGTTCTAGCCGGAGTGAAAAATTGAAAAAATATCCATTATTCAAGTTGGAGAAATCACATGTGGACTGGGTGAAAGATTTTACCTTGGATTTGATTGAAAGAAGTCGCCTTAGTTGTGAAAATGATGATGGGAAAAAAGTCAATGAAATCAAATTCTATTCAATTTACAGCACGGTTATCAAAAATCAAGATTTATCCATTAGTTTGATAATTTTGCCTTATGTTGTTCTCAATATGATCGTCAAGGATTATAAAGATGCTAGAGAAATCATTCTCAATGAATTTCTAATGATATTGAACACTGATTGTGATGTGGATACCTATAGTTTGGAAGTATCGAAAAATATAAGATTACTTTACCAAACGGTGTTCAGAATTGTCGATTACTTGAATGAATGGTTATTTGATAGAAGACAACGACAGCTGGGAAGCAGAAAAAGTAAACGAACAATTATATTTGGTTGCACAAACGAGGAAGGAATAAGAATTGTCGAGCTGTTCTTGACTCAAATTCCCGATATGTTGGTTGCTAAAAGATCATCTCAATGTGCTTCGTATGAGCGTGCAATCTTGTACTTGGAGAAAAGTTATAGACACATCAAATCTGACCCACAGAACAAAAATAAGAATAATGAAAAGGATCTGATAATCTCAAAGTTGCAAGAAATGTATGAGAAAGTTGATGATTATGATACATTAACTGGCTCATTGAAGCTGTTTTCTACTGCGAATATTGAATCCGCGGTTTCGCAATTACAGTACGAAGATAATTGGAAGTCCATTTTGAATGTTTTTGATGTGATGTCCGATGCCGATTCCAACTACAATGATGAATTAAATGTCAAGTTCTTGCAATATTTAAATAAGAAGGAATTGCATACAGAAGCATTGTCCAGAGTCAAAAAGTTTGATGATATCTTTTCTATCGATAATAATCTCACGCTACAAAATGTTCCCGCAGAATTAATGGAATCAGCGTTACTGGCTAGCACCATGGTTTGCGACACCGATAATTTAAAGAAATGGATTTCGATAGCTGGTATATCTCCTCGAATTAATGATAGCGATTTTCTGATAACTTTACTCATATCCAAAGCGTTATATTCCTTGAGGGGAATGAATAACGCATCTTTTACACATATTGTTGACAAGTGCCATAGTACTATTGCATCATTGTTGTCATTATCCACAACGTCATCATTGACCAGAAACAAGCAACTCCTTGATAAATTACATATTTTGGAAGATATGAAGGAATTAGTTTCCCTGAAAGATGAGCGGGGATATACAACTAGTAATGCCGTTTTCAAGTCTAGAGTGGCTAATGCAGGTTCCGATTTCGAATCATCTTGGCTCATTTTGACAATGAGAAAGAATAGCGAGCAATTATTTGACAACAGTTCCATTCCAGAGGTGTTGAAAACCAAAAATATTAGTGACATTTGGCTTCAACGGTCTAAGCTTGAACTTGAACACAATAGGCTTGATCTTGCCTCGAGATCGGCGACACAATCATACATGTTGTCGAAGAATAGCGAAGCAGAATTCCAGTACGCGGAAATTTTATGGTCGCAAGGAGATTTTTCAAAAGCATTGAAATTGGCCCAAAGCTTGAAAGATAAGGAAGGTTTCAGTGTTCATCAAAAGGCAAAAATTCAGTTAAAGTATGCTTATTGGCTAGAGTCCTCGAATAATGCTTTGGGAAGTGAAATCGTGGAAGAATTTAGACGTGCCATCAGACTTGATAGGCAATTAGAGGATCCTTATTATTATATCGGTAAGTATTATACCAAGGTTTTAGAATCATGGGATGCTACTGGCGAGGTGCCAGAACTGCCAGTGGGGTATTATGAGTGTGAGATCATCCACTACTATTTGCAATGTATTGGTAAAGGCACGAAATATTTACAAGAAATTTTCCCAAAGATCGTCACCTTATGGCTTGATTTTGCGTTGATTGGACAACAGTCTGAAGAACACAATGAAAAGTTGAACATGATTCAACAAGAAATCGCCAGCGCTATTGAAGTTTTACCAAAGTACTACTGGTTTGCAGTGTTCTCTCAGCTATTATCAAGGTTGCCAAGTACTAAGGGAAAGACTACAGAGTTAATTATCCGGGTTTGTGCTGTATTGCTTCAATATTATCCACAACAACTGATCTGGGCTATTTTTGCCCAAAGTAATTCTGAAGATAAAGCGGTGAGGGCCAATATTGCTAAAAAAATCATTACCAGGTTTGTGAAATCCGAATGCAAGTTGACAAGGTACGAGAGTAATAGGGTGATTTTTTCTGCGGCGCTGAAATTTTTACAAACTTTCTACAAGATGGCAAAAGTTAACAAGAACAAGAACGTAGCAGAATGCTCATTGGAAAATGACTTTGGGTTTGATCATACGGTATTACCTGCTCCAGTAGTGGTTCCAACCAAGGAGAATTTTGATATCTTATCCAGTACTTGTCCTCTTGAAGCCGGTAATGACTCAATAACTATTGTTAGATTTGACGATTATGTTAAAGTAATGCCAAGTTTACAGCGACCAAGAAGAATTAAAATGACTGGCAGTGATGGAAAACATTATTTAATCTTGTTTAAATTGAATGACGATTTGCGAAAGGATGCCAAATTGATGGAGTTGACAGGGATGATTCACCATCTTCTTCTGAATAATTATGAGTCCAAGAAGAGAAAACTTCAAATCAAAACTTTTGCCGTGGTTCCTCTAAACGAATTATATGGTATTATTGAATGGGTTCCCCACCATGCAACGGTAAGAAGCATCATTGACCAAAAATACTTGAGAAGAGATTCTTTGAACACAATTAGGAAGAAATGGGAACAAATGACTACCTTACCACAAAAGATTGCTCATTTTAAATACTTGACTAATTATTTTGAACCTGTTTTATATAAGTGGTTCATTGAATTCTTTCCGACCCCCGATAGTTGGTATAATAGTAGAAATTCTTTTGCCAGAAGTTCAGCAGTGATGTCCATGGTTGGTTTTGTTTTGGGTATTGGTGATAGGCATTTTGAAAATATCTTGATATCTGAAACCAACGGAAGTGTTTTACATGTTGATTTTGATTGTTTATTTGAAAAAGGTACAACCTTGAAAGTTCCGGAAAGAGTTCCGTTTAGACTCACCAATAACATGGTGGATGCTTGTGGTATTGTTGGCGTGGAAGGAACCTTCAGAAAATCTCTGGAGGTCACAATGCAATTATTGAGAAATAACGAGCCAATTTTAATGAATATTTTGGAAGCTTTCATTCATGATCCGATCATGGACTGGAAAAGTAGCAGACTCGGATCACCAGCAAGCACTTTAGCAAAGATTAGAGATAAGCTAAGAGGAATTTTAGAAAAAGAGGCGCTACCTATGAGCATTTCAGGACAGGTTGATTATTTGATTCGACAAGCAACATCTGCCGAACTATTGTGCCAAATGTATATTGGATGGATGCCATTCTGGTGAGCCATGTTGCTGTTTTGCCATTAATTGTTTTTATATTATGTATTATTAGTGTATTATTTGCTATAAAAATTTAATTTTATGATTTATGACGTTTTTATTTTCCAGAACCGGTTTTTATTGATTGTTAATATTGTCGATAATATAACTACTCATGTTACTGGTTGGTGTATGGATGTATGCAACATCCAAAAATATTTTTTTTTTTTTTTTCTTTCAATTTTTTCCCGCAAAGTGGTGATATATCAACTTCATATTGAAAAATATAACGATAGAAATTAGAAAGGTCAAAGCATATATATTCTTTCAATATGAAGGTCAATACTCTTGGATTGAGATCTTTCTCATCAAGCTCAATAGTTAAAGGAAAACCAGGTTACTCTATAGTACACCCAGTCCATCATACTGTGAAAATAGACAAGAAGGTTTTATCACCAAGATTTCCAGAATTGAAATACCCAAAGAATGATCCTAGATCACCACATTTCAAACCAGTTAACGTGGCTCCAGACCGTTTGAAAGAACATTACTTGAATATCTTGAAATCAGATTTAATGTATATGACATATAAGCACGATGAAGCTGATAAGATTGAAGGTGCAAAGAAGAGAGAATGGGACGGTACTTCGGCTTATCATTTGAATAGAAATTTGAGAAGGCCATCTGGTTTCGTCAAAGAACAACCAGACTCACACCGTGTGACCAATAAGAACGTCCCAGAATTGAAGTCGATACACATCAATTGTTTTGTTCCATTGGCAGTCACTAACCCTCACCATGCCATCAGTTCCATGTTACAAGTTCAACAAATAACTGGAGAAAAGCCTCAACCAATCTACACCAAGAGTGATGTTGGTCGTTGGCAAATCAGAAGATCGAGAAGAGCCGGGGCCAAGATCGAATTGAAAGGTAAACCAATGAATGATTTCCTTTTGACCCTTACCGAATTGGTCTTGCCAAGAATCCCAGAATTCCAAGGTTTAAGAAATAAGAGTGGTGACACTTATGGTAATTTACACTTTGGTTTGACCCATAAGCAAGTCAGACTTTTCCCAGAAATTTCCTCTAACCCAGACTTGTGGCCAAGAACTTACGGTTTGCACATTACTTTCAATACCACTGCCGAAAGGGATACACAAGCTAGAATGTTACTCAGTGGTCTTGGATTACCATTCTTCGGGGGTGAAAGACACAGTTAGAGGGGCAGGACTCGATATAGCTTACATTTCGTTTTGTAAATAACAATAAACAATTGAATTTGTACATCATTACTAGATTCTATTAAAGTAGAAAGAAATTTATAATTTTATCCCTAAGGTTCCATAGGCTCCAATTTACCAAACTTACCAGAGTTTTTCCATTCTTCACCAAGAGTGATCAACTTACTAGCAGAAGTGAATTTTTCGCCAGTAAAGCTTTGTGGGAAATCACAACACAAAACAGTCAATAATTTCTGACCTTGTTTACCATAAGCTTGCAGAAACTCATTTCCAGCAGCCTCAACCCAGGTGCAAAACATGTAGAAAGTTGCATTAGTAACAAACAGCCTTTCAGAATTCAAAAGTCTAGAAACCATCAACCACGATTGAGATATATTAATCGGCGGCACAATTGCGTTGAGTCCCAAAACTCGTACAATTTGCTCATTGTCAGAAAATTTAACGGTGCTCATCATTGACCAAACAACAAGCATACCACCCAATCGTTCACAATACTTTAAATCTGTTTCCCATTTCTTATCCTCCTTTGATTCATACTTCCAACCCATTCTAATTCTCCCTTCAACAGTTTCAGATGAGCAGCTATAGCCAATGATAAATGGGCATTTTTTGGCAAACTTTGCAAATAGAATTTCCTGCAATTCCGGATACTTGACCGTCAAATAAACTACAAGTCTTGCCAATGGGATTCCACTTTTCATCGATACAGAAATTTCTGATTCCGCCTGTCGAATGATCAATTTAGAAATAATATACATGATCCACTTAAATGCAAATCTATTAATTTCATCGTTGGGGTTTGGCAGACCAACGGTTCTTGCCTCGTCTAAAACTTGGAAAATGTCAGCCGTGATGGAATTCAATTTGGAAACACTATTAGTAAGCTGACCAAATCTTGGATTCAACTTTCTTCTTATTTTAGTACACTTGGTTCTCAAATCCTTAAGCTCTGCTAGCTTCATCTTGTTTTTGATATTTTCCCTGTAATCCAAACAAACTTGTCTATATTTCATTAACTCTGTTTCAATATTGGTCTGGTCAGTGAATGCTGCCCCAGATTTTGCAGCTTCCTCTTTCTTCTTAAGTTCTTCGGCTCTTTTGGCCTTTTGTTCTTGCAGTTTCTTCTCTTGTTCTTGTTTCCTTCGTAATTCTTCTTCTTTTCTCTTCTTTTCTTCCTCAAGCGCCTTCTTCTTTGCTTCTTCAAGCGCCCTCTTTCTTTCTTCCTCTTCCTTTCTTTTACGCTCTTCTTCCTTCCGTCTGCGTTCTTCTTCCTTCCGCCTGCGTTCTTCTTCCTCACGGCGTTTTCTTTCTTCCTCAAGTCTTATTCTTTCCTTTTCTTTTTCAAGCTTGGCGTGTCTTATCTGTTGCAATTTGCCAACTAACTTCCCAATCTCATCATCACGTTTATGGCTCCTTTCTGATATACTGTCCATAACATGGTCGATAATCGCACCATATCCATCTTTTAAGGTTTCAAAATTTGAATTTAAAGCCTCTGATTCTTTATCCACATCTTCAAAGATGCGATCATGAAATTCCTCACAAAGATCATTAACGATTTCCGTCTGTTGCTGGTTACTTTCTTTTATAAAATCTACCGCTCTACCGCCAAGAGCTTTAGGGTTCATAATCTTATCAATTGATGGTCCCATATCCATATTTTGCAATCCTAATTCAAGCTCCATAACTTCGTCAGGAGAGACTTGGCCAGGTACATTATTATTAGTGGTGATTTGATTTTCCGCAGATATGATAGAATTGATAGAGGTATCTTGGGGGTATGAGAACTTCAAAGCACCAGAACGGCCTTTAGTATTTTCATCATGTACATCAGTGAACAACCTTCTAGGTTCAGGTTGCTTAAACGATATCTTATTTGATGATTTAATTGGTGTTGAAGTTCCATTGTTTATAGTTACAAACAGTTTAAATTCTGGAATACTATTGTCATCTGAGAATTCACTATCACTGTAATCAGATTTATCATAATCAAAGTCCGCTGAGAATTGAACCATAGCGCCAAAGCGAACTGAATTGATCTAATAGCCGCCCAATAATACAGATCTTTTGCATCTATCGTCGCACCAGGCGTTTGCTCTCTTCTAATTTTTTTTCCTGCTTCTACAAAAAATCATCCGCGTGCGCTTAACAAAACATCAAGCCCCACAATAAGATTGATAATACTCTAAACTTAGCCAATAACAACAATATATAAAATACCTGCCCACCAATAAGATAATAATATATAAACAAAAAAATACAAAAGAATCTATAAAACAATTGAAAAACTAAAAGCAATGACAAAATTAGTGTAAGTTGTGGTAATATATATGTAAAACAAAAAGTACTTCAATTAGTTACCAAGCAACAGGTAGCCAATTATTTATCAAAGCGTAATCTATGATCTCCATATCTTCGTATAATTCGATGAACTGCTGGTCTAAGGATCTGACCTTTGGAGCGGCGAATCTTCGGTATTCATCAAAGATCATTGTTAATGACCAATTCTGGAGCTTTCTAATGCATCCAACTAAGCACCCTGTACGATGTTTACCTCTATTGCAATGGATAAGTAACGGATGATTTTCGGGATTCAAAACGGTCTTCAATATCTCAGTTATTGACTCTTGGGGAATGTTGATGAATGGTTCCTTATTTCCCGAGATGGGTACTTGAAAGAACTGGATGTTATTATCTTGAAGGAACTTTTGGTTTTCCGCGGGGTAAGGCTCTGGTATGAGAACAACAATAGACTTCAACTTTAGACGTTGCAAAAATGAAAAGTTTTCGGGACGAGGAAAAGAAGAGCGGTATATTTTACCAGCAACGTTGGCAAAGTTATCTGGAGGGTTGTAGGTGTTCGGTACTATGGTTATTGTGCGGGGGATCTTGGGCGGCGACTGTTGGAGCTCCAATTGGTTATTTATGAGATATTGCGACTCCAGAGAAAGGTCCTTAGTGGAGCCAAGAGCCGAATTCTGGGGTTCCATCGGTTATTGCTTGATATCAGTGTGTTACTAGATGCCGCCTATTAGCCCTCTCATCGATCGTCATCTTAGCATAATAATAAAAGAAAGAAAAAAGCCGGTGCTGACATCCGGACATCATATATAAGTTAGACACACAGACACCCAGACACCTAAGTATCTCATTATAGAGGTTACCCCATTTACCATTCCTATTTAGGTACACACGGGTACCCCACCCTGCAATACTAATCGCCATCCGAAAAGTGCAGAAGAAAAAAAACTATCGGCTCCGTCCACAATCACATCAGCAGACCAACAGTTCTTGTTTTTTACTGTAGAAAAATTATTGGGGCAAAAAAGTTCGTGCATTTCACAGCATAATAACAAAAAGAGTTCTTATTCGTCGTCGTCGAAGATCTTTTTTTTTTCTCTCTTCACACAATAAATCACACAATGTTGTTCAGATCCATTCCATCCCAAAAGGTGGTCTCTAACTACGCCAAGGTCCTTGCCAGAAACATTTCCACCAAACAACACGATGTCGTTGTCATTGGTGGTGGTCCAGGTGGTTACATCGCTGCCATCAAGGCTGCTCAATTAGGGTTCAACACTGCCTGTATCGAAAAGAGAGGTGCCTTGGGTGGTACTTGTCTTAACGTTGGTTGTATTCCTTCCAAGTCCCTTTTGAATAACTCTCACTTGTACCATCAAATCTTACATGACACTGAAAAGAGAGGTATCAAGGTTAAGGATGTCGAAATCGACATTGCTGGCTTGCAAGCCGCTAAGGATCTCTCTGTCAAACAATTGACTGGAGGTGTTGAAATGTTGCTCAAGAAAAACAAGGTCACCTACTACAAGGGTAACGGTTCCTTTGTTGATGAACACAAGATCAAGGTTGAACCAATTGAAGAAGGGGTTGAAGAATCTATTCTTGACGCTAAGAACATCATCATTGCCACCGGTTCCGAAGTCACTCCATTCCCTGGTATCGAAATCGATGAGCAAAAGATTGTTTCTTCTACCGGTATCTTGTCCTTAAAGTCTATTCCAAAGAAGTTGACCGTCATTGGTGGTGGTATCATTGGTTTGGAAATGGGTTCTGTTTACTCTAGATTGGGTTCTGAAGTTACCGTCATTGAATTCCAAAGTGCCGTTGGTGGTGCTGGTATGGATGGTGAAGTTTCCAAGAATGTTCAAAAGCTTTTAAAGAAACAAGGCTTCAACTTCAAGCTCGGTACTAAGGTCTTGGGTGCCAAGGTGAACGGTGATGTTGTTGACATCGAATTTGAAGATGTTAAATCCGGTAAGAAGGAATCTATCCAATCTGATGTCTTATTGGTTGCCGTCGGTAGAAGACCATACTTGAAGGGTCTTAACGCTGAAGCCATTGGTCTTGAAGTCGACCCAAAGAACAGAGTTGTCATCAACAACAAATTCGAAACTAAATACCCACACATCCAAGCCATTGGTGATGTCACTTTTGGTCCTATGTTGGCTCACAAGGCTGAAGAAGAAGGTGTTGCTGCTGCCGAATACATCAAGACTGGCCACGGTCACGTTAACTACAATGTCATCCCAGCCGTTATGTACACTCACCCAGAAGTCGCCTGGGTTGGTAAGACCGAAGAAGAATTGAAGGCTGAAGGTATTGCTTACAAAATTGGTAAGTTCCCATTCGTTGCCAACTCCAGAGCTAAGACCAACTTGGACACTGAAGGTTTTGTCAAGATTTTGGCTGATAAGGAAACCGACAGAATGTTGGGTGCCCACATCATTGGTCCAAACGCTGGTGAAATGATTGCCGAGGCTGGTTTGGCCATTGAATACGGTGCCAGTGCTGAAGATGTCGGTAGAGTTTGTCACGCTCACCCAACCTTGTCCGAAGCTTTTAAAGAAGGTTGTTTGGCTGCTTATGACAAGCCATTGAACTTCTAAGCGGCAAGTTTGTGTCTATTTGTTCCGAGGTTTATCTTTAACAATCAAATTTATAAATGAAATAGTAAATATTATTGGTATCTAATGCTTTCTTGTAGGTTATATATAATCTTAACTTTATATAATACATCAATATTCTTGATTTCCTCGTAATTCAAGGCTTCTGAAAATTTACTACATCTATATTGAATTATTTGGGTATAACCAGTACACGAAATTACACAATCATATATATATATATATATATATGTATACGCATAAGAGACAAAAAATAACGAGGAAAACAAAAATTTCATTACATTGTTCTTTAAAAAAACAGATAAATCCAAGTTTATTGATGGCATGGCAAGACCTGGCATGCAGAGAAGAATTCTATATGATCTTTCAAAGTTTGATTAATTCATTTTGATCCCCGGTTTTCTTTAATCTTTTCTTCTTCTTTTTTTTTCATTCTCTTTTTTTTTTAATCGTTTTTTTTTTAAATTTTTGTTTTTTGAACTGAAATGGTTCCAGGAGCAATCAAACTTATAAGGGCACTTCTTGAATAGCGAAAATATAGCAGAGCGACAGACAAAAGTCAACATAAAACACAAATGACGGAAGGAAAAGAAACAAACGGAAAAAGGCTGCATTAAATAACAAAGTAAGGAGAAAAGAAAATAAATGGAAATGGAAATGAAAATAAAAAAAAAAAAAAAAATAACAATGAATACAAATTAACAGATGACTATAATAAAAAGGAAAATGAGACACAAATATATGATACTATAGGATAATAACCAACTTCACAATGGTGATTGATCCTAGACATTAAAAGCCGAATTCTTGTTTCAAACAATTAATTATTGTCGGGATTAACCACCGCTAATTTCGACCTTTGTTGACCGTGATTAGTATCATAATAATTTGGGCTCTCATTTCCAAGGTCCATGTCGTGATGACCACCGTATGTAGCATCCAAGTTATTTTCGTTTCCATAAGCTCCATCACTCGAGATTCCATAGTATGCGGTGTTTCTTGCAGGAGGATCAACAAAGTCATCCGCAAATGGATTAGATAATTGTCTGGCATGTGACGAGTTTTCGTTTCTCTTCATTGACGCAATGATATTAGCATCGGCATCTAATAAATCACGATCTTTTTGTCTTTGTCTTCTGATAAAGAAGATGACAAGTGCCAAAATAGATAGAGCTGCCAAGCCGCCAATAACTCCACCAACAATTGGCCCAATTAATTTGGCTTTGTTATTTGAACCACTGGACGAAGACGTATCGCTCACAACAGAGGTTGCCACCGAAGTTCTGGAAGCAGTAACGGTGACAATATGGGTACCGCCACCCGATTCAGTAGAAACTTGAGTAACTAACTCCACATAAGTTGAGTCACTGCTGGAGCTTGCCTTGGTGGTTGTAGCTGAAGTCGCACTGGTGCCGACGCTTGAAGAGGTATCAGTAGAGGAACTGGAAGAGGAACTGCTAGTGATTGTGGAGGACAGAGAGGAGGAACCTGAAGATGAAGATGAAGATGAAGTGCCATCAACGGCGTAAACTGCATAAGCAGAAGAACCACCACAGGTCTGGAGATCATAACCTGAACAAGCTACTGAACAGTCACTGGAATCAGTCTCATCAGAAGAGTCTGGCGCATCGTTACCACAAAGACAAGTGGATCCATTATAGAGGGCATAGTATGTGTATCCTGCACAATATTTTAGACAATATCCTGTTGATTGATATATATACGTGGTACTTTTCGAATATGAAGATGGGAGAGAACTGTAACATTCACCATCTGCCTGAGCTTTGGATATGACTAACGAGAGTATGAGTACCGAAAAGAACGAAAGATTTAGATTGACCATTATTAATTTATTGTTGTTCTATGATGTTGAAAGCGATTGAAAAGAAGAACGGGTGAACGTGTATTTTCTTTTTCTTCTTCTCAGGTTAATGGCTATCGATTAAGGTAACTAATTATGTTGTACCTGTATGATCTAATGGGCTGGCTGTGTTTTGATACAAAAAGACTGACAATTTAGATCTATAAGTTAATTCTGGGATTCTATGGAATGGATGCCACTTTCACAAGCTAAATGAATGGTGCATAAAGAAGCTTTATTGGAAATTCTATGATGAAGAGAAGGTATTAGTATGACGATGAGGATGACGATAAACAAAAATTTTCTGTTTTCAATTTTTTTTTTTTTTTTTTTTTGTTTTTCCTTATAAAACGTGTCCGGAAGGTTCGAGTTCTAGGCTTTTACTCTGGTAAGAGGGCTAATCTATTATTAGCTGGCCGTATTGCAACAGAATGACAAGGGTGATAACAGACACTGGGTATAGGAGTATTAATACAGAAGAAAAGAAAACAAAAGAAAGACGGTGATCATTCTGGCTATTTTTATTCTCAAACTTCACTTAATCGGCACTACCCATGGACCCACCAATTCTACCCTCGGCAAGACACCACCGTAATGTGACAGCAGGGCTGCCACCGTTCTCAGGGTTCCGGTGGTATTGTCACGTTCTTTGTCATGTGATTGTGTTTTGAACGCGTTCTTTTTTTTCCGGTTGATGTTTACAATAATAATAAGTATACGCGAACATATACAACAATAGGGGACGATCATATTTGCACAACTCTAGTATTTAGTATGGCCAAAAGTCTAGCAAACTCAATAAAGAAGAATAATCTTTCCAAAGATGATATCAGCCACATATTCTCGAGGATCATTAGCAACGACGACCTCATTGCCAATGATGATGAGTTGGAAGAACAAGACGAAATACCACCACAAGACTTTGACATCGACATGTTGAACCAGCAGTTCACTTTGATGAGAGACTGGATCACAAATGGGAACACACAAAAGACCACAGAGTACATACAAAGTGACAGCGATATGGAAGACCAACTTTCTCAACCAGAAGAAGAACAAGAAGAACAAGAAGAAGAACAAGAGAATGGTCAATATCATAACCTGGAACAAAGAAAACCAAATTCAAGGCAAACATCAAAGGCTTCTCATGTAAATATTGATTCGCCCAGGGGTACAGCAAGGCGCCAAGATATTTCCGAGAGTCTGTCTGTTAAAATAACGAATCATAAAGGTTTCTATATGTCTCTGCTATTGCTTTTTTTCCTATGTTTAGGCTACTTGGGGCTTCAGAAATTGGATGGCTCATCACTTCTTAATGACTATGAGCTCCCGGAAAACTTACCAACTGATTTGAAAAAATACGTATCCTCCAAATTATCGAACATCAATAAAGATATGGAGGGGATCAAGGGAGCAGTTCAAATTGAAACTGCAGCGGTCAATTCAAAGCTTGGTGGTATTAATGATCTTATTCAAAATTATCATTCAGAAAATGCCAAAGCTATCAAGGAAATAGAAACCAAGTTTGACACCAAGTTTGGAGTACTACATCAAGAAGTTTTCCCCCAATACAATGAGAAAATCAATTCACTTGAGAATGAAATGGAGAAATTACAGCAAAACCTTAATCGAACGTTGTCCAACTTTATACAACAGGTGGATAATAGCAGCAACAAGCAAATTGATTTTGAAAGATATCTTGAGGAAAAATTACCAAACTACTTGCCCATAATGAAAGGATCAAAAAACAAGTTGACCATCGTTCCTGAATTTGAATCATATTTGCACAAAATAATTTCAGACTATGTACATAATAATACTGCAAACTATAATAATAGTGATATTTCTTCCCCAACATTCTCAAGACAGAACTTCAACAATTATCTTCAAGAATTCATCGAGAATGCTGATAATATAAATATAATAGACTTAAAAAACTCTTCTATCGGCTCTTTTATTAAAAAGCAGATATTGGAAAATATCAATTACGACTTGATTGCTTCAAAAGTTGATAAAACACTCCAAATTACCAAAGATGAAAGTAGCAGGCTAATAATTGATTCGACTACCGAACTCATATTGAGTAAATTGATCAAACGAATAATCATTAACTTGGATAGAGAAAAGCATAACAAGAAGATTCAAAAATTCAATTACGCCAGTTATGAGAATGGCGCGAGGATTATCCCAGAATTAGTGGCATCATTTGAGTCATTTAATATCACAGATATTTTTCTCAGGCAAGTGTCTCATCAAAGAAAGATTTGGTCGCGATTGAAATCGGTGTTCAGTAAAAAGCAATCTACTGGCGGTATTAAACATAATGACAAGAATTTGATTCTCAACACATACCAAACGATCTTACCAAGTACGATAATTCCAAAAGATAACTTTCCCAATTTCAAAGGAATCAAAACAGGTATCAAAACCTTTGCGGTCAAGTTTCCCCAGCCGATATATTTGAATGATATCATTGTTTCATACCCAAGATATGCTAACAATCCATCACTTATTTATTCAGCACCAAAAAAAATCAGCATGTGGATTCAGTTGACAAAACCAAAAGAGGATTTGAATAAGTTGAAAAATTACCTCTACGAAGCTACCAAGGATAAATATGAGGACCAATATGTGATCAATATGGAGAAATTGGAACAACGCATTGAGGAGGATAAAAATGAGATACCTTTGAAGAGAATCAAGAGTGGGGAAGAGGTGATATATGAGAAATTCTATGAATCCAATTTTAATTTGTTTGATCAAGGGTTTGTTAAGATTGGCTCAATGATATACAATTATGAGCCTAGCAGAGACAACCAGACCTCTATTCATCAAAATTTTCCTCTTATCAATAAGAACTTCAAGAACTTGAAGATCAGAATCAATTCGGTATTTTTCTCGATTGAGAGCAATTATGGGAACGACGAATTCAACACCAATCTTTTTAAGGTTAAAGTTTACGGCTTCAGTGATTTTGATTTATATTGTATGAGAGAGTTGTTATTTAGTGATGAGACCAAACCAAAGAACTTCACGGATTATAAAGATGATTTGATTGAATTAGAGAATATGTTTAACGAGAAGTACATAAGAAATTTGAGCTACGAAGAAAATGACAATGATGGCGATCAGCTAGTGCTCAGTACTATCCCCTCCTCGGGGCAACAAGGCGAATACAAGAAAAAGGAACTTGATGAAGACATGGACTTTGTCGCTGATTCCTACGTGATTCAAGAGGACAATGTTGTTGACTATTTTTGAAAGAAACAGCGAGCCTTGGAAGGAGTTGCCGACGTATAGCACATGATTTTAATAGATTGTAACGTATTCTCTTAAAAAAGTGGCCTAACGCCGTTCATTTTATATGTAGACGCGATCGAGAATAGCTGTTGCCTTGTAATATGTGGTAACCATCAAAGTAGACTGCTGTGGGTTTCCGAGATCAAAAAAAAAAAATTGCTGACCATGTTTTAGGGATCGACAGAAAACCAGAGTCAAACTCATCTCGTCATATGCCAATTAATATGCGCTGTGATCTGCAATGCGTCGAGAATAAGATGAGCCTCATGACTGGGAGAATGGCCGGTGAAGAGGTATAAAACGGAGCTCAGTCCCTGGAGTAGTATTTGCTTCTCACTATTCTATTCTATTATTATCATATCATTAATTCTCTATTTCAACTTATTAAAATCATGTCTTGCGATTGTTCTTCCTCTGGTGCTTGTGCTTGTGATGCCGGTAGCTGCGACTGCTCTAGCTGCTCTTCCAGCCAACAATTGGTCAACTACAGCGGATGCTGTGGAAGCTGTTCTTCTTGTGGTGACAACTGCGGTGAAGACTGTTCTAGCTGTGGTGGTTGTTCCCACTAGAAAACACCATAATGTGGATGGGGCTGCTCTATTTATTTATTTATTTTTATTTATGAGAACATTTTAAAGGGTCTTACTCCCTGAGCCTAGTTACTTCAGACTATATACACCCCCTAATCGATTCCTCATTGATCATATACAAAAAAAAACGGTGTCTGGATACGTCCCGCACCAACTTGTAGACCACAAAGCTCCCTCCGTCTGCAGAGGATAGATACAACTACCCAGAGATTCTGGCCACATGCAAGCCGGCCACTCTTTCTAATAGGACAAATCAAAAAAAATAAAAAATTACTATAACGTTCCCAAAAGTCCATGTTTGGTTGTATTTTCTCTCATTAATATTTTTTGTGTCGATGGTCGATGTGTTTATGAGTTTCCATTTTACGTGTGCCTTATTTCTACTTTTTTTTTTTCTTTCTTTCTCTTCTCTGTCGGCGGTGAGAGTTTTCGCGAATTTCGAAAAACAAAAATACACAAATTTCCCTCATTCTTCCACGCTGTAAGCAGCAACGTTCGTCGCCACCAAACCACAAAGTGTCTGTAGCCCCAGGAAACTACTGCAACCACTGATTAGATCACATCTTGATTGGTGTTATCTATAGAGTCTTGACATTGAATTTTTATTTGCGTTTCCCAGATAGCTACATCGAAAGAACGACCTGCCCCTCCCCCCTCCGTCCAACGCGCCACTCTAGATAGACCTTTCTCAGTGATCATCTTGGTATTTCGGCAGTGCTGTATAAAATTGCTAGGAGCATACGGTTAATATTCTGGCATCAATTCTCATTTATTTGCAGGAATATTCTTTTTTTCTTTTTTCTTTTATTTTAGTGTTGTTTGGTTTCAGCGAGATTTCTAGTTTGAGGTGAACCATCAGGTATCTTGAAATAGCAATCTATCTTAACACAGAAATCTAATTCCTTAGATTTCTGACTCTCTGTTTTTCTCCTCGTTTTTCTGTTCCCCAAGAGTAACTTCCTTTGGTTGATATTCCAAAAAGAAAAATAAGAAACCCATTATTTATTTATCTATCTCTTATCAACAACGATGGACTCAAATGCAGTGAATCAAATCGTCTCAGCTTTGGCAGTCATCCATTATCCATCTTCTACAAATCAACAACGTCGTGAAGCTCAAGAGGTAAGCAAAGTTTATTGGTTTGTCTGTTTTTATCATCCATATCGTATACTAACATTTTCTAGTTCCTCAATAAAGTTGGAGAAGAAGAAGAATCGCCGTTCTGGGGATATCAATTGGCTTTGCCAGAAAACAATAATGATCCAAAATCTGCTACCATTATACGCCACTATGGTTTGTCTCTTTTGCAACGATCCGTGAGAAATAGTTATGATTCCTTTGACATGCAAAAATGTTTGGCAGTGCGTGCTTGGATAATCGAACTTGCAAACAAAATTGAGGTGAATGATCCCATCTATATAAGAGAAAAAATGGCGTCTATTTGGGTGGACATAGCCAAAAGATGCTGGGGATCATTTCTAGAAGTGAACGCTGAAAAAGATCCCAATTTAAAAGTTAGTAGGAAACAAATGGAAGATAAAAAACCAGAAATTGGCGGGGAAAATAATACGCAATCTGATGATCAGTTGAAGTTGTTGAGTTGGCCAAGCATGGATAGAGACTTATTTGACTTATGGAATAAAAATTTGGCCACTAAGGAATTGAGTTTGATTATATTCAGAACATTGTTTGAAGATATTTATATCCTTGATGACCCAATAGCCACCAGAAGATCAGGAGTATTATCAATGTTATGCTCAGAAATTATTGTTCCAGTCGCCATCCTTGAAAAATACTATGCTAGAAATCAGTATTTGTACGAACTGAGAGCAGATGAAGAAGGCTGGATGGTCAAGTGGACAGGGTTATTATATGAATGTTTGCAAAATGGATGTCAAGACAAGGAAAGCGCAAACTTCACTATCCGGATTTTACAGACTTTGAAAACATGTTTCCATTGGGTAACCGCAGAGATATTAATCAGGGTTGAAATGTTGAATAAATTGAGTCAATGTTTGTTAATAAATAATGTCAAGGTGAAAATTTTAGCCATTGATTGCTTGCATGTTTTATTCATCAGAAATTATGGTGATGAAAAAGAATTCCTTGAACTTATTGCCCCTGTTTTCCAATCAGATGCCATCAGTATGCTTTTAAATGTTTATAGATCAATCAAGTTGGATGCTGATGATGTCGATGCTGAAGAGTATTCATTATTGAAAAAATTAGTTGAATTAGGCGTTAGTCTTAGTTCATACTTAGAACCGGTAACATCCCCTTCAAAGCATGTATTCAATCCTTACCCATTACCAAAGGACTCTGATATTTCGGGATACTTGAAATTCATTCTTGAGACAACTTGTAATGAAAGTTTGATAATTAGTGGATTATCAACAAATCTATGGATCACAATTCTAAGAATGGACCATTTTTCAAAAGAATATCCTCAGATTTATGAAATTCTTCCAAACTTATTAGAAGTTGCCGCTAGCAAATATATTCCATATGAATGTCTCGATGAAGATCATACTGTCCAGAAATTCCTTCAAGTGGATTTCGACTCCCAACCAGATAGCAATAATTATATGAATAACTACAAGAAATCACTTGACGATATAATCAGAATTACTACTTGCAAATTGCCAAAAGAAGCTATTGAATGGCTTGAAAATAGATTATCAATGTTTTTCAGCTCTGAAATGGGTTCCAAGGTTTTAAATGGCAAAAGATTTAAATACGATAATGGTGCTGATGAAGCATTTATTTATGGGGTATCACAATTGAACATTATTGAGGCGGTGATTAAAGGCATTAGCAGATGGAGATTATGGTATGATAAAAGTAAGCCAGACAGGGAAGTAAAAGAGACCGAATTACTTCAGCTTACTGAAAACTTATTTAATCAGTTATTGCAAGTCCAATTCCAAGATCCACTTTTATGCAAAAGACAAATTCAAGCATTAGCACAATTTACTCCATTGATCAAACAAAATACTAGCTTGATTTTTAATTTATTGGAGAGGATCTTTTCGTTTTTCACAATTAAATTCCCCTCCGATGCAACCGATGAACAATTGGAACTCTATAGAGACTTGAGAAGTTCTTTGGGAAATGAATTGAACAGGTTAGCAATCATGGCCCCTGAAAACTTTGTTGACAGATTTTCCGATTTAGAGAATGTTGTCAAAGAAACTTTAACCAATGGCGATTTGTCAAGCCATGATTCTGTTTCCTTGAAATCATTCTTGTTATTAGTTAGTTTGAAAGGTTTGCCAGTGGATCAAAGAGAAGAGAAGTTTTCTTTAATTGTTGATAATGATTTGCAAGCTTGGAATGATCCTCAAACAATCCAAGGTTTGAATAACTTGCATTGGTTCATGGAAAGACTAGGGATTGTGAAAATTGCAAATTATTTTAAAAATAGAGGAATCACAGCAGGGACTAATTTAATTGAAACTCCGATGGATGAAGAAGGTAAGAGGTTAAGAAATGAATTAAAAAAACAGTGGGCGGAAGCTTTCCCAACAAGACAAACCAGGGTTTACATGTTATATTCAATTGAAAAATTGCAACCTGGGTCGGCAGAATTTGAATTTGTCTTGAATTTGTGGAAGCCAAGAATTACTCCAATTGTTTTGCATGTTTTAAAATTAATCTGTCAAATTCAAAATTATCATGATCCAAACAAATGGAACGACTTACCAGTAGAGGTTCAATCATTTGTCAAGGTAAGTTGTACTGAGAGATTTTGGCATATTGGAATTTCAACGAAATCAAAAGATACCTATGTTGAAGAAAATGTGAAAGCGGCGTTGACTCTTAGAGATTTTGCTGATTCTGTTGGACATATTGTTAGATACACTAGAGAATATGCGTTTTTAATTATTGGTTGTGCCTCACAGTTTGGTGACGTTATGTACTCTATCCCAGATTTCTCACAATTATTATGGAATGCTGTTGCCGGAGATACGGTAGGTGTGACTTTGCATTCTTGGAAACATATGATCCAATCATGTCTCAGACCAGTCATTCAAAATTGTCCTGTTGAGTATGCTAACACCTTCTTGATGGAATTGTTATCTTTAGCATTACCGGCGCTTGATGAGTTATTGAATGAAAAATGGAGTATTGTTATGAGAAATGGTATCAAGATTTCTAGCGAAGCATCTGATGATGAATTATCCGACGAAATGTTTTTTGAACATCTCACTAGACAAGTGACGGCGTTATGTACAAGGGTGTTGATCGATATTGTGGGGCAATTTTCTGTGAAAGGTCAATTGATTTTGAATGGGAGACAATCGCAATTTAGAGCAGCAGTTATAAAAAATAAACCGGTATTGGAGAAAGTGATAAAGTTAGTTTATGATATTTTGACTTTTAAGGACTCGCGATGCTGTTACAATATGATCTTGATCATGAGGGGTTTGTTATCCGAATTATTATTCATGAATGAAACTATTGACCAGTGGTTATGTGGGGAAATTTTACCATTATTGGTAAAGTTTGTGACCGATCCATATTATCATGAGATGGCTGCCGATATTGCCTCTTTGATCTGTGAAATTTATATTCCAATGAGATCAAAATACGATGAGCCAAAATTGGTACTACAAAATATTTGTGGGTTGAGCGACAGATCCATTGATAATATGGAAAAAGTTTTGAGTAGTTGCCGGAGTGCGAAACAACAAAGAAACTTGATGCATCAAGTCATTATCAGTAAACAAAATGAACAATTCCAACAAGAACAAAGAAAAAGGGCCATTAATAGAAAAAAGAAAGCCACGGAAACAGACTTGATGAATAAATCGTTGTCTGAAGATCCCAATGAAGGCGGGTTGTTGAATAACTTGTTTAGCTAAATCATTGGTCTTTGTTTTTTGGTTCTCTTTTATTATTTTTTTCTGGGTGTTGTTTGTAAATCACTATTGCCTTTCATTAATATTGTCACCATTTCTGTTATTATTATCATTATTATCATTATTATTATCATCATCATAATCATCGTATTTTTTTTTATATGCTTTTTTAAAAATTGTCTGGCATTTGTACTACTATTAATAACTACATGCAATTTATTTGTTTGATCCTGTTGTAGCGATTGAAACATATATATTGAATTCTTAGGAAATTGACTAAGGAAAGAGATAGGAAGAAAATCGGAGGATATCAAAGATTATTATTTATTTATTTTCACCTTAGCTTTCTTTGGCTTCAAATCACAATAAAAAAAAAGGCATGGCTCAGTTAGCTATTGAATTACTTAATATTTAGATGGAAAATCGAGCTTGTAAAAACTGAATGGAAAATGGAAAAAAAAAATGAGCAAGAGTAAAACTACAGTTTCTTACTTCCCTTACTTATTTCACAGACAGGCTCCCAGGTTATTTAGAACCTCTGTTACTGGTTAATATACGATTCATTCACTCACCCGCAGAGAATATTTCTTTGGATATCAAACACAACAACGCGTAGAGAATTTCTGTGCAAATACAAACACAGTGGTAGTGTAATTAATCATTGAACTGATTGAGATGACAATAACACTGGTAATGAGATGAAAAATAATCTAAATGATGATATTAGTTAGATTATGCTATGTTTTTTACTCATACGCAGAAGACCTTATGATATTCTTTTTGTCCTCAATTGTAATTCTTTGTATTAATTTTTGTATGACTCTTTGTATGACTCTTTGTATGGCCTTATTTGAGGTCAAAAATTTCGGCTATTATGTTTAATTACCTTGTCCAACGAGATATTGACTATATTTTGTCTTGTTGGACACAAAGAAAAAAAATTTGCAAGACTTTAAAACTTGATTTTGCATCGCTTATTACGATAATAGAAACGACACTCATTGCAATTGTCATTAATAATAATAGTTAATGTTAATAAAATTGGTAATTATAGTGGTTGTAACACTGAATATAAGAAGTTGTGATTTATTTCATTACAAGAATGATGTTTAGATCCAAGAGACGCATTCATAATATGTTGTGTAAGTTCTTAAGTGAGGTCACCAGGCACCCTTGATGGTGAACCCCATTGGTAGATTTGACTGCAACCTTCAGTCTCTACGAGATCAATCAAAATAATAATCAGAATGGTTAATTCTTCTTTCCTCTTTTTGTTGTACAAATGCTATCATGTTCAGACGAAAAAAGGAATGTGGGGGGGGAAGGTTTACAAACCTTCAATTCTACTTGGAAAATCAATTGATTAATCGCGTTTTTTTTTTTATATTTCTAAACACTTTTGAATAATTGCAATAAAAGACGGCAATTTTTTATTTTAACAAATAAGATTACGCGAATAAAAATTTATTTAGTTACTTAGCTACCTGGACTTGATTATTTTTTTCTTGTTTTTTTATTCCTCGTCTATTTTGAAGACGAAATGTCCAACATGGCAATCAAAACTAAAACCAATATATTACAAGATTCTATTTGAAAAAGGCATTTTTTTGTTTATTGTACAACAAATTATTGAATAAAAAGGTGAAATAAAAAATAGTAATAATGACAAAAACAAAACACACACTCAATGAGAGACATGTATAATATAAAAAAAAGGGGATAACCAGAATATTTCTAAATATGACACAATACCTGAAGGATGATATATTATATTCATGAAATTAGAGAGATGAAACCAGAAAAAAAAAAGATGATGGAGATGAGGAGGAGTTAAATAATAATGATGATAATAAAAAAGAAAAAAAAAACATCACTTTCTGAAGAGATCTTCATTATTTATTCGCCATTTTTTTTTTGTTTTTTTTTGTGTTTTTTATTTTTCGTTATGATTATTGATACCAAGTTGATTATTTAAGACCAGCACGGACGTAACGACCAATAACAATACAATGGTCTCTTTCATAAGGTTCCAAAGTCAATTGTTCCAAAGGCTTTATTCTTTCTTCTCTCAATTTTTGGACTTCTCTAGCGAAAACGGTTTCGGCGTCAACAGTAGAGTCAATACAGTTAGCCTTGATGGAGATGATAACACCACCTTGATCCTTCAAGAACATGTGGGAGTTCAAAGCAATGATACGAGCTTGATCTGGTTGGGCAACATCGGCAAACACAGCATCAACCATACCAACCAACATTCTGTACTTTTGTGGGTGACGGGCATCTTCAATGATTGGAATCACGTTTGGTCTCTTCTTGGCCATACCAATCAATTCTCTACCTGGTCTGTGAGCAAATTCAACAGCGTAGACAACACCTTCTGGACCAACGATATCAGCAACGTGGGAAACAGAAGTACCGGAAGCGGAACCAAGGTACAAAACCTTCTTACCTGGAGCAATGGCCAATTCATCAATACCACCCATGACACCGGCAGCCAACTTGGATCTGAAAGGATTCCAGACTCTGTATTCAACCTTGGTTGGTGGAACACCTTCTTGAGTTGATGGTTCTTCGATGGAGATTCTCTTTTCACCGTAAACAGTTTCACCTGGGGCAATGTTCTTTGTCACCAAAAGATCTTCCTTACCTCTGGCAATGAAAACACCACTATGACGATGAGGTTCAATGATCACTTTAGCACCACCTCTAGCACCACCTCTGGCACCACCACGGCCACCTCTAGCACCACCTCTGGCACCACCACGGCCACCACCACGACCACCACCAAAGCCACCTCTAGCACCACCACGGCCACCACGACCGCCTGCAGAACCACCTCTACCACCACGGCCACCACCAAAGCCACCTCTGCTACCGAAACCACCGGACTTACCGCCACGGCCTCCTCTGTTACCTCCTCTTGGTGCTCCAAAACCCATTGTATTTATCTATTTATTATTATTATTAATGCGTTAAAGCTTGTAGACAAAAGTGTTTGAGCTGCAATTAATCTTAGCAGCTTGAAAATTTTCATTTCTGAAAGAGAGGAAAAAAAAAAAAAAAAAAAAAAGATTTTTCAAATCAGGGCTCAAACCATCGATGAGATGCTGGGTAGGGTAAAAGCCATAAACCACACACCAATTGTATGGGATTTACTAGTCTTCACATCTCTTTATGACTCCACTAGAATCATTCCTTTAATAAACACAACAAAAAAACATGTCGAAATGATGCTTTTATTTCAAGAAATCATAAAAATACTATAGAAAAAAGCCGAAGTTAATTAGGAAGAATTTGTACATAATATAATCTACTCAAAGTTGACCTTAACACCAACTTCCTTGGCCTTCTTGATGATGTCAGCCAATTTAACAACCTTTTCGGCAGCATCATCCAATTCTGGGACAGCAAAGATCTTCAAACCAGAGTTGGCAATCAATTCTTGGGCCTTTTCCAAGTTAGTACCTTGTAATCTGGCAACAATTGGGACTTCGACACCCAAGTTCTTGGTAGCGGCGATCAAACCTTCGGCAACGTAATCACATCTGACAATACCACCGAAAATGTTGACCAAGATGGCGTTAACGTTCTGTTCACCCAAAATCAACTTGAAGGCTTCTTCAATGGTTGCTGGGGTAGCACCACCACCACAGTCCAAGAAGTTAGCTGGTTCACCACCGTATAACTTGATGATATCCATGGTAGCCATGGCCAAACCAGCACCATTGACCAAACAACCGATAGAACCATCCAACTTGATGAAGTTCAAGCCAAAGTTAGAAGCCTTGACTTCATCGGCATCTTCTTGGGTGAAATCTCTCCAGGAGAAAATTTCCTTTTGTCTGTATTCGGCACTATTGTCAAAACCAAACTTGGCATCCATAGCCAAGACCTTGTGGTCTTTAGTTTCTGACAATGGGTTGATTTCAATTTGGGTGGCATCCTTTTCCATGAAGATCTTGTATAATTTTTGAACGGTTTCCCCAGCTTCCTTTTGGGCATCGGCAGAGAAGCCTAAAGCACCAGCGATCTTGGCAGCGACTTCGTCAGTGACACCGGCATCCATGTCAATTGGGAATTGCTTAATAGCAGATGGGTCTCTGGCAGCAACACCTTCGATGTCCATACCACCTTGGGCAGAAGCAACAATGATTGGACATTTTCTTTCTCTGTCCAACAAAATGGACAAGTAAGCTTCTTTTTCAGCAGTAGCCTTTTCAACAACGTAAACTGCACTGACCAATCTACCAGCAGCACCGGTTTGCTTGGTGATGATGTTGTAACCCAACATTTTGCTGGCCAAGTCCTTCACTTCTTCAGGGGTCTTGACAATGTGAACACCTGATTGTAAACCAGAAGATAAATGACCTTTACCACGGCCACCGGTAAGGGATTGGGCCTTGATGACAATACCATCGGACTTCTTTGAGATTTCTTGAGCCAACTTGTAGGCTTCTTCTGGAGTGGTGGCGGCATCACCAGCTGGAACGCCGACGTTGTAAGATCTCAATAAGTTAGCCGATCTATATTCATGGATGGACAAACATCTTTTGGACACAGATTGCTAAAAAGGAAAAATGCTGTTAGTAAGCGGTTTCAATATAGTGGCAAAAGAGCAATTTCTTATATCACAGGTACAATCACTGAGTGAGTTCTTCAAGAAACAGAAATCCCCCCTTCCCCCGGCACCTATCAAAACGTGTGTGCCACCATTTTATTATATAAAGCAACTCAACATACTTTTGCAACAGATCTGAATGATGAGGACAAGTATCTGGAAAGCATTATTCAATTGGGCAAAGAAATGAAAAAAGAAAAATGTGCGATAATTCTTTAAACGATTCGTGAGGATAACAAAGGTAACGCAGAATTAAAAAGTTGTTTCCCAGAGCTTGAAAAAATCCATCTGGTGATCGCACAAAAAAAAAATTCCGCCCGGGAGCGGTCATGTGGAACGAGGAACATGACACCACTTCTCCAGACCGAACCATCTTGACCAATATGCTGTAATTTTATATAAGTTATCATTTATTCCATGAAAAGCCCAAAGAAGCAGGAGAAAAAGAAAAAGAAGTCGTGAAGAAAAAAAAACAAAAAAAACAAGAACAACAACAACGCAATTAGGAGAATTGAAAATGGTAGGATGCAATCGCCAGAATTGAAAAACTGTGCGTTATATATAACGTATAACGAAATAAAAACATCCACATCAACTAGTAATAAAGAATAAAAAGAATCGAAAGACGTAAACATGAGCGAGGGGAGCAATAATAAGCTAATATAAATAATAAGAAGCAATGATAATAATATATAGAAGAACACTCATCGTAAACCAAAACGACCAAATGAGAAAAAAATAAATATATATAGCTGAAAATATAGCGATGAAAAATATAATAAAACTTGAAAATCAGGATATGTGTTGAGCATGATATAATAATGATACAGAAAAGTGCTTAATGCGAGAAGGGAAATTCCTCAAATTGATTACTCAATTAACTATCAAATTTGCACCTTTTTTTGTCCTCTATTATCTTTGACTCCGTAGCCGTTGGCTCGACGGCCCCAGTTGCATCAATCAGCTCCTTGCCACAGGCATTGACCCTATCCCTCATTATCTTTGACTCATCTTCCGATGAGTTTGTATCAGAAGAGCCTGAATGGACACGCTTTCTAATTACTGTGTCATTCGTCTTTTCTTTTACTTCGGCAGAGATTCCCACCTCACATGCATCCACAACTTTTGGCTCTTCAATTTTAGTTCCAGGAGAATGAAGCAATGAAGATACAGAAATCACATTATTTCCCAGGATTGTGGCAAGCTGATGGGGCGAATCTTCATCCTCGATAACAGTTTTCTTTTCTGATTCTCTACTCAGAGTGTCCTGTATCAATGAAGGCTCTTCACCAACCGTACCTTGGCTAGATGTAATTGTGACATCTAATTCATGAGGTCTCCTTAGTCCTGAAATTGATGCGGACTTCATTGGTAATTTCTGTTGCTGGGCTAACAAATAATGTTTTGTTCCTGACGCGTCAAAATTGGTACCTTGAGGAGTGTAGCTTTCGCGACGGTCATTCAATAAATGTGATATGGAAGAGATGCTGCCGCCGGTTCTAATGCTTCCAACAGAACTAATTGAAGACCATGGCGAAAACAAAGACGGACCAGAGGAGTATGAAGATAGAGATGAATTCTTTAAATTGTCAACATTAGATAATCCCGCATTTGACAGAATGGAATTATTGTTAGATAACGATGGCGAATTTTGCTCTCCACTCTGATGTAGTGCAAGGATCGATTTTCTGATTTGCGAAGAATTAGTAATGCCATCTTCCAAATGATTCAAAGAATTTTGCTTTTTTAAGGAGTCTGCGGAGGGATTAGATATGGAACTAGAGGACGGTAGCGATCCTTTTACTGCCGAAGAATGTAATTGCATTTGTTGAGGGGTGACTTCAGAGTAATTTGAAGTTTCACTCCTTCTCAACTGGTACGATTCAGGCAAAGATCTAGGAGGTTGATGGTACCTGAGGCTCGAAAAACTACCTTCTCTAGAAAGTCGATGAGCGCCTATGGAATCTAACTTTTTAAGACTAGTGCTAGAGATTGAATTGCCACTGGTGCTACTTTCTAATTTAGGAGGATTCGCCAAATTCCTTGGATTTTTATCAATTAGCGGATTATAACTGAGTTGGCTATTTTGAGGAGCTACTGAATGATCATGGGGTAACTTGGCCAATGGATCCACAAACGACGCGATTCTAGGCCTAGACTCAATCGATGGTGAAGCGTGTGCGCTATTTATTTCAGGCTTATCTGAAGCTGAAAAATATGATGGAGTAGAAAAAGGCAATTGTGGTTGGGAATTGTGATGGATTGGTGGTTGAGGAACATTAATGTTAATACTCTTTGTTTGATGGTGGTAGGGCCGACTTTGCAGGGTTTGTATAGCATCAGCTCTTGTCTTAAAACTGTATTTCAAATCTTGAATTCTCTGATAGTTTTCCTCATCAATTTGTTTTATTATTGGTTCTAATTTTGGTAAAGAGTCAGAAAATTTGATCACATCCCCCGTTGTATTCAAAACTTCCTTCTTCAAATTATCGGAAGTTCTAGAGAGGCTTTGCTGTGACATGGAAATTGAGCGGCCCATTTCTGAAGCATTGTTTACCACATCTTTTATATAGGTGTTTGAAGTATGATATGGTTGAGATACCAGCTGTTGTTCCAGTTGTAACAGAATCTTCTGAGGCGTCATTTGCTGCAGTGGTTGACGGGTGTATGGTATTGCCTGCTCCGAAACTACTGGCGGTCGCTGAGAGGGATATTGATGAGCATGGACAGGGTTGAGGGGAGGAGGTGTATAATGTCGTTGATGTGAGGTTGTTTGAACGAAGTACGGCGATTGATAATGTTGATATTGTGCAGGATATTGACTCTGCTGCCGTTGCACATGCTGAGAATCCACAAAGTAAACAGGGTATCTTTGAGCTATTAGACCAGGTGGGGCTACCCCATACAGAAGAGGCTGTGGGGGAGTATGGAAGTTATGACCAGGCGGATAGTAGTTATCGTATGCCGGTTGATGCTGCAAATGTTGACCCATGATTTGAAAATCCTGAAAACCATGAGCTTGGGGATGCAACTCAGTTGTACGAGAGGTTGACAGATTACTATTTTTTGAAGAAGTAGCTTGTTGACGCCTTTTGATTGCGGACAATGAGTCTTCGTCACCTTTCTTGAACATTCCCGATGAGTGACGGAATTCCCATATCTCAGCATCCTCTTCTAAATTGTGTTCCCTGGTATATTTTTCTCTATTGGCATTGACAGATTTATCACTGACTTTGTGAAAGCCATACATGTGCAACTGGCGAACAAAACTCGCAACATTACCATGCTTAAAGTATCCTTTGAGGGCGTTGGCGAAGTCTATTGATGGATTGATAGCGAATTTGCCCTTATTTTCGCTGTTTAGATCATCATTACCTTCATCATCATCGCTCCACCACAATAAATGGATAAGCTCCGGGTCTGACAACATGGCATATAGTTTATGAACAAACGCCATTTTTTTAGAAGAGCCCGATGGGTTAGATGGTTTTATTTCTGGTTTCTTTGGATTACTCCCAGAGGGCGATGGGTCGTTATCACCATCTATTTTATGGGACATTTCGTTGAATTTTTGTGCCTGTTGTTGTGAATATTGGAAGATATGCTAAGCGATTATTATTGTTTTTTGACGGAGGAAGTACAGTGACATGGATACGGTTTGAAATGAATGGACTGGTGCAAGTGGAGATATAATGGAATAAAGATAAATCTTTCCAAAGTGGATAATGTTAGGCGCTAAAAAAATGAGGAAAATTGAAGTTTTTTTTTTTTTTTACTTTTTTTTTTATTTTTTTTTTATTTTTTTTTGGTCCCTATTTTTCTTTATGTACAGGAGGATTGTCTGGCACACAGAGAGATCCAAGCTTCCAGTACAAAATACCCTCCCCCATCGAGGTTGGATGGGTAGCACGATGTTCCAGGCATTGACCTAGATGCTGGAAAGATCCCTCGCTATTATGATTACATCCTGGAGCGCATGATGGTAACAATAAGCTTAGCAGGGAACCGACTTGTGTTTTTCCCAACATGAAAATTTTCCGTGAGGGAGCGAATTTATTTTCCTTGTAGAAAATAAGAGAATCGTGGGGAGATTACAGTAAGACACTACATCCCAGCACTACGGCAGAACGAGTAAAAACAAAGTGGGCTAATCGTGTCTGCTAGTTGAGAACCCAATCTCTAATTATTGGATGATGGCTGCTAAAAAGGTTGCAATTAGGCTCAGAAATTGCAGCAGAATCAAACCGCCTCTTTTAGGCGCCTGAACTTAAATAGGGGCGGATATTCTCCACCGTTTGCTCGTCTTGTTGGCAATATTTTGGTGAACGGAAAAGCAAATATAATAATAGGAATGTAATTCAGTAATGCCTGGATACATTTTTTTTTTGTTGAGCTTTTTTTTGTTTTATTTTTGGACGGGCCACTTTATACAATTTGTCAAACCCTTGGGACACACACACACATACAATAGAGTTAATTATTCATCCATGCAAATAGTACAGTAGGAATTATGTAAGTACTTTCCCAAATATCCTCAAGCTAACATACTGCATAGAATGGCAGCGAGGAAACATGTTATAACATAGCAAGAAGAATATAGAAGGCCAGCCACCTACACAAAACACAGCGATATAGCATAACGATATATTCTCAAACAGCCAGTCCAGGTTATCAACCCTGCAATAATCAGCAACATCCTGTGCACGTACAGTTACATGTGCAGATATCTGCGTGACACCGGAGCGCTGCGACAATAGGGGGTGATGACACCCGGTAACCGTTGCTTCTAGAAGGACTTCTTTAGCGTCTGTGGAAACAACCAGTAGTGACTTGAACATGATAAAAGAGCTCTAGTAAATAAATATATATATATATCTATTGTCGAAAGAAGGGGGAAAAAAAATAGCAGGCGCACCATACGCTAGCACGGTGCTGGTGGATGTTGACAAAACCCTGGGTTTCCAGGCATCATATTCAGTGCCATCGGAAACCGACCTTGTCCATTACCCACGACGTGCAGTGGTTCTCCAAATGGGCCTTGTCCACAATTAGCTGGGCCAAAGAATGGCGACGGCGGTAGTGGTGGTTGATGGGACTGAGTCATAGGAACAAACAGGTTAGCGCTGGGTAAAAAACAATCGAGATCAATGTTGTAAAAACTGAAGTCGGCATCGCTGTCTGATCCCATCATATTTTGGAAATTATCTGCCAATTGGTTCTCTGTTGATCGGTAAGATGGCGTTTCTTGGTTTTGAGTATTATTGGAAGTCGAGCCAATATTAACATCACCTTTGCTGTTCTGTGCATTCCTATTGACAACATCAAATATGGGCTCTCCAAAGAATTCTTCCATCAATTTCAAGAAATCGTTAGCCGCTCCCATATCCAAACTATTAGTCATCATAAAATCAAACATCGGCGGCACTACATGCTCTCCATTCATCCCACTAATACCGTTCCCTGGGAAGTTACCGTGCAGTAAGTTCTCGGAACCAACATCGTGGGGTTCATGTTCCGCCATTTGTATATTTGTGGAATCAGGTGAATTTTTTTGTGATGGTGACATCTGTGGGTGAGATGTATCAATTGAAGAATAAGAATTGTTTATAATTGGGTCAGTTTGTGACAAAATCGTGGCCGTGGTAGTACCGGAGGAAGAAGAGGACGAAGCAGATGCTGATGAAGAAAGTGGTTGTGAATTCAACAGTTCAGATCGTGACTGCAATGATCTATTCCTTTCATCAAGTTTATTGTGCTTCTCAAAAGCATTTTTCAACACTGGTACCACAAAGTTACTTGAATCATTCTCCAGTGTTCCTGCTGCGGATTCTTTACTTTGAGAAAAAGCATTGACGAGTAGGCCAGGCGGAATACTGTCAGGATATTTCTCTTCATCGAATTTCAAACGAGCCCCCACAAATGTCTTCAATTCCATAAGATCGCTTAGCGACAAATTGATGAAATTGTTGGTTTGATCAAAATTTTCGCTTTTGGTGTCAAACCACTTAATAATGTTATATGGAGTCCTAAAACATGTCAAATAATATTGATAAACCAACATCGCTTTGAATGTGTGACTGTAAAATTTTGCAATTTTTTCCATCAACAATTTCACAAATTTATAATAGAAACCATAAAGATCTCTATACATTTGTTGAAAGATGTCTCGTTTTTGACAATACTCTTCGATGCTAATTGTCACCAGTAAGAATGGCGAGGTCTGCATCTTCTTGATGATAGAATCAATGATTGATGAGCAGTGGGCAAAACGAAGTAGCAATGTTTCAACTATCAAAATTGCTCTGTAGCACATTGTATCAATAATTGGTAAAATGATGAAGTTAAAATTCTTGAAACCGTAGCATCGACCAAGGAGTTCATTTTCTTCAACCTTGGAAAAATCCTTCAAAATCAACAATTTATCTTCATTGTTTCGTAAAAACTCTTTCGATAATGTGATAATACTAAACGAAGTTGTAAACGATCTTTTCAAAAAATAAAGACAATTATTGACTCCATGTATTGAATCTTTTATTTGGTCATAATGCAAAAATAGAATTGAACTCAAAATGCCACTGCAAAGTTTTAAATTGTAAAAAATCGGCATTGTTTGCAAGAAACTAACCATTTTATAGTAGTTTTCACCCACAGTAACACGCATGCGTTCTTTATCGTTTTCAAAAATCTTACCTCTGTTGTAATCAAGGAAATTTTCCTCCTTAAGTTCATCAGTCATTAAAAGTTGATCAATTTGTGAGATCATTTCGACAACTTTTGTCAATTGTACAGGAGTTTTCAAATTGTTCACCATATTTGAAACTTTCATGAAAATCTTGTTGACATTGCATTCCAATTTCATGTTTCTCAACGTCAATGCTTCCACTTTTTGGAAACAAATTTCTGATTCTTCATGATTGACTCCTTTCACATAAGCAGGAATCATTCTAATCTTTGGGAAAGACAGCTTAAAAATCTTGGCCCCACTGGTACCTGTGGTTGGAAACTTGGTATTGTATTGCTCTTCGCTAGTAATATCCAATGGTTTTCCGTGATAAATGGAACTTCTGTACTCCAAAATCATCAAATAATGCCATAATTTCCGATGATAATAGATATCTTCTTCAGTGTCCTTGAAATGATTGGAGGCCCGTACATGAACCGTCAACGACTGAAAGCTTTTCAAAATCTCCTCATTCTTTGGATCCCTATTCAATCCAATATGTCTGGCCTGGTTGATAATACTGGACAACATCAAATGATTTTGAATGAGACCAAACCCAACTCTGCCCTCTTCTCGAAGTTCGGCGTAATGGTAAAGTAAAATTGTGGCAACAATGGAAACCACGCTGGCCTTTTTTGAGACTTTAAGGTAATTTAAGCACATCGAAGCGAGCTCAACAAGTTGCACTGGAATGGGATCATTCTTTTCTGCTAAGCTTCTTGTACCAACCAATTCTTCTTCGATATCACACCTCACTATAATTTCATTAATATTGGATTTAATTGCCAAAAATGCAAATCTCATACAAATTAGAAAGACCGCAAGGCGCCCATAGTCCAATTTGTTTCTAATTTTTATTTCTTTGATCTTTTCACTTTCGTCCACAGAAGACGGAAGTTCATCATAAACCTCTTCCAATTTCAAACCTACCAATATACAAGACACTTCGTCAGCCATTTTTCGTAAATCAAATATTGGAATGAACGGATAAACGTATAGTGCATACATTTTCCACAAATATCTCATAATTTGAATTCTTGGTAGCGTCCTAATTATTGTGTCCATCAATACGTTATGGCTATTGGTAAATAACCTATCGGTTGGACAAAACTGGTTGTTGAAAATTGGATTGAAAATCACAGTCTTATTGACAACATTTCTACTGGAAGCGAGGAAGTCCCATGCTGCGGTATCACAACGAACTTGAAGTCTCTTATCCTTAGGATAACCATTTGTTTTCAAAAGATTGGCGATTAATGTTGCAAATTCGTTCTTTTTGGCGACTTTCAGCATTACGTTTTTGAATTGCTGTCTTTGTTCAGCCGTCATTTGTTGTATTGGTGAAAGTTGATATCCATATGCGTTCACCTTTTCCACGTCTTCCTCTTTTAATTCATTCCTACCATCTTGCTGATTATGCCAGTTTTTTTTCTTCAAATTCGCGGCACGATTATTGCACATTGATGAAATCAAATACTTTATGGTGGTGTAATCATACATAAACTTCACATAGAAATTCCCGAGGAATCTATCCCGAAATACCATTGCATAATGCGCCAAGACTTTCAGGTCCATAACTGAATGACGTTTAAAGTTACGAGGATAGTAATTATTGGCAATATCAGCATATTCGGTGTCACTAATCACTGGGGATTGGCCAGTCATGAACTGAAATTGAGCCATCGGACTTGAGTATGCAGTTGGTAGAGCTGATGGTCTTGGAACCTGACTTCCATATTTCTCATCATTTACTGGATTTATTCGATTCTTTTGCTTTTCAAGAGCCAATTCATTCTCCAATTGACGAACCCGAAGTTGTAAAAAAGAAAGTTGATTTTGAAGTTGCTGCTCACTTTGTGACGCTAGTGTATCAGAGGCGCGCTTTTTGCCGCTGTTAGTTTCACTGCTAGTAATGTTGCCAACTTCTTCTGGACTTCCACCTAATGATGACAGACTTTCATTTGGCGGCTTAATTTGCGTCAATAGTTGAGACCGCGGTAGTATTCCCTTACCTTGGGAGGTTGATAGAATATTGAACGAACCACCAATTACCGATTGTTCATTATTTGGTAGTGGGATTCGAGGGGAAATTACAGGCTCGTAATTTCCATCAGCATTAGTAGCAATATTATTACTTGGACTATAGGTAGCAGATTTATTGGTTGACGTTGTATTTTTAGCTTTTTTGTATCTTTGTGACGACTCAAATGGTTTAGTAACGGTCACCCCGGAAACCTGGTGTACAATATTATTATTATTTGCGAACGTCACAACTTTCTGATCATCTTTGCCTACCGTAGAGCACACCCATTGGGGCACATAGTAGAAGCAGTTATGCAGAATATTACCTTTGATACAGCTAGAGCACACTGGACGATTTTTGTCACACTTTGTTATCAGTTAATACAAAGAAACAAAATCCCGTCAATAATCAGATCTTTGGATATCAGTACATACCTTAGTCTTTCTAGCCCGACACACAGAGCAAGAAGTGGGGAGTCTCTGTCGTTTCTTCACTTGTCTCTCCAGCATCGCTATGTAATTTGCAGACCCAAGAGCTGCTGGTGATGAGCAGGGTCGGTTAGCGCTATTTCCGTGATTTTGAATTAATTTTTTTTTGATGCAGTGCACCAACAAAACGGGATCCAATAGGTCACAAAAAAAAAGCACTGAGTGAACAGAGACAGCTAATGATAACAGTAGTTACAATGGTAGAGATTATTTATTCATGGTTACAGGAATCCTTTTTCTTGAGATAATCTTAGAGTATATATATATCGAAAACAAAAGTATGCTTTGACTGATACTGCACGTGAACCCCCGCAGAACATCGCATCAACCCTCAAAATTTTCAGTAGAAAAAATTCCTGGGAAGCGTTGATTTTTGACATAACCCTACACGGCAATTCCGAAAAGATATCGTTGGGGATGTTGAGATCGTTGTCTTATAGAAGGTTAGTACTCCTGCCCATCCTACGAAGTGGCTTTAACCACCGCTGCTTTTCCAATAATTTCTCAAAGTCTCAACACGACCAATCAATTCCATCTGCCCCAGACTGGTCGCCTACCGCCACGGAGAATGATCTTTGGTTAGACCAGCTAGATAGAACCCATGTGGAACTTGATGTATATTCTAAAGACCAGCGGTTTGATGGTATAGAGGACCACAGCGCTGATGATCAGCTATACTCTCCTGAATTTTTAAAGCGTGAGAACGTTTCTCCTGAATGGTTCAACATATTATCGACTGGTAAAATGGAGTACAAAGCGCTAGGAAAAGATCGTGATAAGTACATTGATATTGAAGTTCCTCTTGAGCAATTCAGGTCACTTAGGACCTCGTCTTATTCAGGCTCGAAAAAAAGGCCCAAGTCTACCAGCAGTAACCAAAACTTTTCTGATTTGCGAATCATCAATGTAAAATCAGGGAAAGGTGGTGATGGCGGAGTTTCATTTTTCAGAGATGCTGGTAGGGCTATTGGCCCACCAGATGGGGGAGATGGGGGAGACGGGGGTTCAGTTTTTGTTCAGGCAATTGAAGGCACCAACTCTCTACACAAACTTCGAGTGAAATATACTGCAGAAGATGGGAAAAATGGTGCCGGTCGGCAATTGGATGGTGTTAGAGGGGAAGACGTGATCATTACCGTTCCCGTGGGGACAACGATCAAGTGGATTCCATCAACAAATATTTTGAAAGAGGCAGAAGAAGGTCCCCGAGTAGAAGTTCTGGAAGATGGTGAAGAAAAAATCATTGAGCAAATTACAAGTGTGAATCTCAAAGCCGTTGGGCCTAACCCGGAAAACCTTGAATACATACAATTATTTAGAAATGAGAATGACCCGATAGTTGATAGTAATTGGCTCTTCAAAGAAAAAGACAGAGATTATCATTATGAGAAGGATTGGTTCAAGAAACTTGATAAAAAAGTTAAAAAGTACGACTTGAGCTGTCTCAAGGAAGAAATCTGTAATGATGTTATTCCATTCAATGGGATTGATCTTAGTGAGCCTACGAAAAGACCAATTTTGTTATTGAAAGGTGGTAAAGGAGGACTTGGAAATATCCATTTTTTGACCCAAGAAATTAGAAACCCCAGATTTAGTAAAAAAGGAAGAAACCTCTTGGATTGCAATTTCCTCTTTGAGTTGAAGTTGTTGGCGGATTTTGGATTGATTGGGTTGCCAAATAGTGGGAAGTCTACATTGCTTAATTCGATCTCTAATGCCAAATCCAAGATTGGAAATTGGGAATTTACAACGTTGCAACCGACCATTGGTACTATCATGCCCAAGGATGTCAAGGAAAACCAGCTTTATCTTGAAAATTTCACGGTGGCCGATATTCCAGGGATTATCAAAGGAGCGGCATCTTGTGCGGAGAAACCTAAGGGAATGGGGGTGGAGTTCTTGAGACATATAGAACGGTCCAAGATTTTAATGTTTATTATCAGTTTGGAGAATGATCCGATCCATGATTTTGAAACTCTTACCAGAGAATTGAGATATGGGAAAGATCGAATCAATCACAAGAAGATTTTGATTGTTGCCACCAAAGGTGATTTAGTGAAAGATAGCAAGAAATTCAGAGACTTTTCTATCCATATTAGGGAAACATTCCACAAGGACTGTCCAATCATTCCTGTATGTGCGATAAAGAAACATAATGTCGATAAATTGATACACATCATGAACGATTTTGTCCAGTGAGAAGAGTGAAAGATGAAAAGTATTTTGCGAATCGGAAGAGAATAGTAAAGATGAAAGGGGGGAGGTGTATACAGTTATTCATCTTTTTGTATATAAATAGTATCTCTTGAATACTGATTGAGATTATTGCTGGTAGGACTATTACTGGTAATAACACCACTGCTGCTATTATGATTTTGCATGTTTAATGATATAGTACATGATGTATGATATTATTTTATTTTTTTTTATTAATTTTAAAAATTTTAGTTGTTCCAATTTAGTGAATCCTGTAAAAAAAAAAATCGAGAAATCACACACTCCCTCCCTCCTTTGGATATGGTGATAACCGAAGAAGTAATTGAATACCGGCGGTGTTGCACTTTCCGGCCGGCGCACTATAGAGGAAAATAAGCGCTATTGCAGGGATTCTGGTCGGATGTACAGCACATATGAGACCTATTGCTATAGAGAAAGAATATGTAATCAATTTCCGGTTGTTTGAAGGCGCGAGTAGGATGAGCCCATCCTCTCACAATTAACTAATCTCTGTGTCTCACGGGAGGAAATTTGAAAGCGTTCAATAGAAAAAACTATGCTATTTCGCAAATAACACTCAGAGATTTACGGGAACGCTGCCAAAAAACCATTTTTTTTTAAAAAAAAAAGTTGCAAAAAGAGGAAAAAACAAAACGAAAACAACAAATCTAACCGTAAACTAAAAGGTAAATCAAAAGAGTCATGACACATCTAGGAAATATCTTGGTTTCCTACCACTATACAAAAAAAAACACTCTGTTGAAAGAGCAAGCAAATAAAATTAAACCCATTAAAATAGTGGCAACGTTCTAAGACAATAAAATGGGGGCTAAACTCTATAGCGAGACCCGGCCGGAGATAATACACAATAATCCACATGTGTTATTTTCAATGATTTGTGGAAAAAAAAATTAATAATTTCATTACCAAGAATAGAAGTTGTAAATCAGCTCATTCTGTATCTAGAGAGACTATTTGCATGATCCACTTCTGCGTTTCTATGATTCCTATCACTTTTTGAAGGCCTCTGTGAAGGATTTGCATAATAATTTACCGGATTGATCTGGTGATTTGGGGACCTTTGTATATCCGATTGATGTTGCGAAGAGAATGATGTTACTACCGAATATTCTGATTGTTGGTTATAGTGTAAATATGACAGCTGATTCCATATCGTGTTGGCATTAGATCCAACACGATGACCAGCCAATACTTGCAATGGAGGAAGCGTAATTTTCTTTTTTGTGGGCTGTAACTGATAATTATTGGGATGTTGGTATGAGGAAATACCGTTACTAACGATCCGATTGGGCGAATTACTTGATGTGCTCAATGAAGACGAGTATCGATGCTGATGAGAATAAACCGGAGCGGAATCTGGTTGATCAGTGGAAACATAGTTTTTACTGTAGTGCCTCGACGACTGTGATGAAACATTGGACGACGAAGAAGATGAGGATGATGATGATGGCGTTGATGATGATGATGATGATGATGAATGAGGAATATGCCTATATTCAGGCTTTATCGATGAACAATCAATAATATTATTGTTCTTGGAATAGCTAATACCACCACCGACATTGTTTTTCACAGTCTTATCATTACTTTTGTATAATAGAGAATTACTTGATGAGGATACAGGCCTTGTTCGAGTATCAGATCTAATTTTTGATTTCTGACTGTCCACTAAACCACTTGTTGCTACTTTATTAAGGGCTCGCTTATAATCATTCAACCTATTTTGTAATTCCTTATCTTGTTTTGATGAAGTTTTGGTGTCTTCATAATGGCTGATTTTCGTTTGCAACCCTTCGATTTCTTTCTCTAAATCCTTAATATACTGGGCACTGGATTTCAATATGGTGGCTCTAGAAGTTCTTTTCGATACCGGATCAGAATTGTCTTTCGTCTTACGTCTATTTTGTTTCTGGAGCTGATTCAACTTGGGGACCATTTTCTGGAGTCTCACTATACCATTGCTGATTTCGTCTCTTTTCTCTTTTTCCTTTTGCAATCTTTTCATCTTCATCTCAGGAGTTTCAAATTTCCCCCCGCCAAACTTCTGATAATTTTCCAAGCATTGTTCGTCACCAGCATTCTGATCAATAATATGTCCTGGGTTATTCTCTCCTTTCCATTCATTATCCTCCTCCTCGTCCTCTTCCTCCTCTTTCTGATAATGTATGAGGTCATTGATGGAGACACGCATCCCGAGACAAAACAATAATCAAAGTGTAGTGACGATAAGGATGATAAGGACGGGGGTGGCTAGAATTGAGAGTGGTGAAGCTGGATAAACGGTGGATTTCGCTTATCCATAAACAATCAAAAGAGAAGTTACAACAGCGGAAAAAAAAAAGAAGAGAAGGAAAAAAAAAAGGGTGGGACCGAGTTACCGCATTTTATATCATTTGACATAAAAAAGAAAAAAATAGTTTGATTACACTCACACGCACCACTTCTGCGGAATACACATCTACGAGAGCCAAAACTGTCATTAATTAACCCCAACCAGCTACTGCAGATGATTACGGGCACCGGTTGGTCGGAGCGGTCCGCACAATGTCCTGCTACCGGTCACTGACTAAGCATCTGACTAAACGGGTCGTATATCTTCCTTACACACGTGCACACATAACATTCATAGATAACCTTCATTGATATAGATAGATATCTTTATTTAATAATATTCATAAAAAACCCTAATGCCTACCAAAAAAAAAGGCATCAACATCTAACTAGATGGCTTGCTAGTCGACCCAGCCGCACTTTGCTTCAAATCAGCCAATCTTCTGGCTTCTTGGTGGATTTGCTTGCTGTCACTAGCAATGCCAGTATAGAATGTATGGAGCTTAGCACCAGCATCAGTTTGGCTAGCCTTTTCAAAATAACTGGACAAGTCGCTTCTTCCTTTTGCAAGCTTTTTGTCAAAACCGTACTTTGCATTGGCTTCACTGGCTTTTTCTTGCACGTGGTACTTGGAATCCAAGTTGGATAAGAACCCCTTGAACTTGGTGGAAATACCATGCTTCTTGTCCAATTCAATGGCCTTGTCCACTGCTTGGTCACTCAAGACATATCCATGAGACAAGTATTCGGCAATAATTGCGCTCTTTGGTTTATGCTCTTGTTCGATATCTTGAATCTTAGAATCATTTGAGGCTGGTTGCGACTTGGCAGTGGCGTCGGCAGCGGCGGCAGCAGTGGTCTTTTGATTGGCAGCAACCCCAGCCTCGGTGTATGGAACTTTGGCGGCAGCAGCAATTGTACTTGATTCAGGAGTAACACCAGTCATTGTAACTTTCCCCCAGGTGTCGTGTGCCCCAGCAGGTGCAGGAGGATTCGATGGAGCAACAGTAGTGGCTGCTGTGGAGGCTTCTTCGATGATCTTGATTGGTTTACCATCTAATTCGGCGCCATTGAGTAAAACAGCACTTGATACAGCTTCTGGGGCCGCAAATTTGATCTGATAAGTGGTGAATTCGCCTTCGGTTGCCTTAGCAATGACCGAATCAACTTTCCCGCTGAACTCAAAGAACTCCTTAACTTTATCAACAGGCACGGTTGATGGGACGTTTGACGCTGTAATTGTGTTAGACATTTTGTATGATGATGATTGTGGTGAAATTGATATTTTCTCTTTTTTTTTTTTGTTTGTTTGCTTTAAGAAATTAAACCTCTGGAATAATGTTGGAGATCAATGGAGGTTTTATACCCATATTTTAATTGCTGAGCAAACACATATGAAACCGGGTGTGATGCAATGCCCCGCAGGGTGTCGCACCCCAGGACGGTTGAATACACAAACTGTCGCCAAACCACTGTCAGATTATACATATATTTATAGGTTGCTTTTATATAGTACTAAATCTCTACATTGCGATATTTTTTTACGGATCTGTTTGCTGCAACAGCCATATGCTGTTTTTTAACATTATCTCGTAACACTCTACCGTCAATTTCCGCCAAATTATATTGCTCTTTGAACCCAAATGTTTGGAACTGGTGACTTTTCAATCTTGACGGGAACACTTGCACCGAGCCTCCATGCCCGTAGTCTTGGAAATATGGCCCTTTGGTGGCATCGACAGCAACGTCAACAACTCGTTTTGATAACCTTGGCTTTATGAACTTTTGATCATATTCATTCAATGCTTCAGATAAGATGATCTGACGATCCTTAAGTAATATCAAAAATTTATGGAACACCAAGTAATTCAAAATTGTAGTGATCAACATTGGCTGGATTAATTTCATCACCAGATTCATAAATTGGCCTGACACAAACGTGTTACTGTAAAATGTAAAAATATGAATTGGTGAAAGCCCACAAAAAATCATCAATTGAAACTTTGATGGTTCCCAAACGTTCAATTTCCAAACGAATTCCTCCTTTTCTTTTTCACCTTCTAGCTTATCATTTCCTAAGACCCATTTGGCAAAGCTCCTCAATAAACTGTCATTTTCTTGGATTGCTTCATAATTCAAATGCTCTTTGAACGCACTGGGCGTATTTGGACAATAATCATCCCCCCGGATCAACAAACTGTAAGTCTTGAAGCTTTTCCAAAATAAAATATAACAATTTACCACGCTGATAATCATAAGAATGAGGTCAAACGTACCAAATAACCACGCCAAATAGGAAACTCTGTACAGATGGTGACGGATATCATAAGTGTTTCCCAACATATTAGAGCCGCCACTACTAATAGAATTCACTTTACTGGCATCAAATAGATCACTCTCCAAATACAGCTCCTCTGAAAAGTTTAGTTTATTAATATAACTATGATTCATGGGATATGTGAAGGTTATATGACACAAAATGTTTATGAGGAGTCCCAATGGAACGGTATAATTTTCTCCATACCAATCCCAATCTATCACACTAAGAGATTCATTCACAGAGAGATAGAGATCAAATGGATATGAAATCATCTTTGAAACAAGGCTCTGTTTTCTCACAATAGTCATGATGGTTTACTAGATGATCACAATAAAAAAAAGATCTTTGTACTTGAGCATCATTTAATGTTTGTTTATTTAGTAAAAAAAAAAATGTATATATATATATATACCAAAACAGTGGATGTAATAACCATAACGCCATTTCAACAACTTGCTGGACATTTGCAAGTTGGAGATCATTGATAGAAAGAAAAAGACCAACCCTTTGTATTATGGGATAACTTAAATATTGCATACTTTAAAAATATATGTAATACTTCAATTTGAAAAATTCTGGTCACTAGAATCTCTCACTAGAATTTACCGAAGTTGCATCAATATCAGTTTTAGGGAAAATAGATTTCAATGGAAAATTAATATCCCTTTCATTTTTCTTTTTTTTAAAAAAAAAAAAATCAAAAAACCATTCATCTTTTCTCCCTATCCTTTTATAATCTACTACTGTAATTTGACTAAGGATTACCGACTTTCGAAGATAATGTATCTTTGAAATCTCCGCACACCTGGCAAAATGGTAGACTGGGTAGGCATATTTGAAATTTTCATCCTCTCGTTTTTAATAGAGAGTTATCTAATCAATGTTCGACAGATTTACAAGGACGCTATTCTTTAGCTGGTCTAACTTATTTTTGGAAGTAAAGGTACTACACCGACAATCCAGAAAACTTCCGATTTGACAATTGAACGGCATTTTATTGATGCATTACCGTAGATGACCCAATCTAATTTTGTTCTTGCGGGTTTTGTTATGTAGATATATCGGATGAAGATCACGAAAGATCGTCGGGTTATGATACACAACAGAGAATGATGTCTCACCCTATTCTACAAATTGAAAAAACGAGTTCTATAATACACACTAAAATTATAATCTATAATACACATCCGGGTCCCCAGGATAAATCCAATTCATCGAATTCTTTGCTGTCCAACAACTCACACTCAGTGTCTTTCCAATACTTCCATTTCTTCGCAGACTTATTGTCAATATCGACGACTTTGATTAACAATCTATTCTGGCCCAATATGAACTCATTGCCTCTCACATGTTTCAGATTCAGGGATTTGTCATCAAGTTCTATAAACTTAAAGAAAATCGTCACATCACGAAGTGCCATTCCTAACAACAAATCATCAGTCACGTCCTTTTCACTTTCTAGAGTTTTGATGAGTTTCCGGTTGTCATTTTGATTTTGAAACACTGATAATAGTTGGAGAATATTCTGATCCTCCGAGGCAGACACAAAATACTGGAATAAAATTTTCTCGTATAGGGAAGTGTCAATTTTTGCTTGCAAACTTCGAAAAATATCCCTCACCGTCCCCAAAACCACTGACTTGTCCTTACTCAATAATCGTGAAGAGCAGAAATTTCGCAGACTGGATTTTTCATAATGTTTTTCATTGGCACAATTCCGACAATACAAGGTGGTGATAGTTGGATCGAGCCACTTTGGTTTGAGCTCTAACGTCACACTGTCGTTTGATATATGAAGCTTGGCAAACTTGCCGGTGCTAAACGTCTGAATAACTCCGGACAAGCAATTGTCCATCAAAATTCCATACTTTTCCTGGGTTTCAATATCACAATTTCGATTCTCTGTTTTCAATAGGTTGCTGATGCCGTTGCTGAATGTCGGAGAAAGCTCTAACAATTCCATTGGCACTACAAAGTCTTTGAGAATCACGGCGATTATCAGATTGATATATCGATAAATGTCGATGGTCGACTGGTAATCAGAAGGTTTGTATTGCCGTAGCCGTAAAAGTTTACGTGAATCAGATTTGTTTTGGAGTAATACGTTCGCGTTTCCTTTGGCAAAATAACGCCATTCCAGAGCATCCAACTGCCCAACCATCAAAATATTTGCTCCTGGTAATGTGTTTCTCTAACCCTTTGGAAATAGTTGATAGGTAGGATTGATTTTAAGGATCTGTCATCCTTGGGGCGGGTAAACAAAAAAATTTTAAAAATAATTAAGCGAGAACTGACAGGGCAGCGAACCTCCGACAGGGACGAACTATTAAAATCATCATGAATTATAGCTGTAATTTATAGTCATACAGTAGTAAAAAAAAATCTATGAAAATCTATAGTTCATATAAGATATATGAAGATGAATATACTGAGATTTTGAATCCTTTCTTTAACAAATAGAATAGGATTATGTGTTTAGACGCAGTAATAGGCAATGATAAGTTAGAAAGATAACAAAATGTAAAACATAAAGGAGACAACATCATGTAGTTGAATACAATGAAAATAATATTATTTTCTGGAAATTAGACTCTCTAGGGGATTCAAATTTAGCGACATGGAAATACTGGTGGAGAAATGGTGAGGCAATTTATTATGAGGTTTGAAGCCCTGATGTAATTAAAAAAAAATCTCTTTGCTCAATCTGCAGCTCGAAGCTCCCATATCGGGCATTGTGACCGAGTGGTTAAGGTGAAAGACTTGAAATGTGTGGTCTTTTGACTGTACTGGTGATCTTTTGGGCTCTGCCCGCGCAGGTTCGAACCCTGCCAATGTCGATTGTTGGTTCCGAATGGGACTTCCTTTTTCATTCTCATCGGAGATTAATTTTTTTATTTTCAATAATATATATAGGTTTGTCCTTTTTATCTTATTAGCAATGATTGAATAAATAATTTCGTATAGAAACTTCTTTGCAAAGATAATTGCACAATTTTGCTACCGCGAAGATTATTACACTTTCTCATAAGTGAGATGAGAGTATTTCTTTAATATATACAATGATCTTTTAAATCTATTACCATTACATGCAATTGATACATCATCTGCACAGAAAAAAAAAATAACACCTTATTGACTCTATTCTACTACAACTTTACCATCACAACACAATACTCCATTATCGTTCTCGACCCATACGTTAAACTGATTATCATCCACCTGATTACATTTGAAAGTCAACGAATCAGTAACAAACAATGGGAACTTATTCTTATAGCTAAACTTGAGCACCCGAGATCCTGGGCTGATATGGGAAAACCATTGCAATAGAAGAGTAACAGTTAGAGGTCCTTGGACCAAAATTGACGGATATTTCTCGACCTGCGTGCTGTAATTGATATCGTAATGTATTTTGTGGGCGTTGAACGTTAGGGCTGAGTACCTGAATAGAAACGATTCGGTCAACTTTAGGGTCATCTGATGTTCTGCTGTACCATATTTTTTCGATTCTGAAGTAACGGTTGCAGTATTCTTTAGTTTATCAAGATCGAACAAATCATTTGTGTAAATCAACGTTCTTGATTCCCTCATACTCATATCCGTGGAATTGAAAAATTTCCGATCAATGTTCACAAATACACTATTTCCGGCTGGTTTGATCTTATCCACCAGCTCGATACACGTTGCCACTTGGTTGAATCTTAAAGGATTCTCATTATTGAATACAAGATGCCCTCCGACCCACATTCTTCTTTTGAACAACTCTTCAGACCCCTCAGTTTTCTTTGGATCCACAGGAGCTTGATGGTTGTCGTATCCATCAACCCCAAGAATCAGCTCATCATTCAGGGGGTTGAAATATACAAACAGATATCCCAATGGGATGATTTCGTTTGGCATCATTTGACACAATTCTTCATTATTCCCATCCTGTGATAGAGTATGTTTCCTAAATACTGATTTATCTTCCAATTGCGGCGCCAAAGAGTTGAGGGTCTTGTATAGATAGTGCGCATGCGTCGCCGACAAATCATCTTCAATGATCCATTTCTTATTTTTAACATTTATTTGGAAGTTAGACACCAAAGATGTGTGGCCTCTTATTTGATGGTGTGTTGACCTGCAACCAACCATCGCAAAGTTGAACAGGAGGCGATTTCTCAATGGAGAAACCAAATAACAATAACGTCTTGTCATAAATAGAGCCTCTCAAGATAGCAGATACTTACTAGGTATTATATAACCTGTTATATATATATATATATATGTATATATGTATATATAAAGAATTGGAATCACTAAATTTAACCAATGGTACAAAAAAAAATAAATTACAGGAAAAGTGAAAAGTAAAAAAAAAAAAAAGCGCAACCACCATCACTTCAAATCAATTTACAACACAGAAGTGAATGTATAAGAGTCTATGAACACGAAGTCCACAAAGGGTTAATAGGTATTTGGGAAAAGTGATGTTAAAGAATAGTGTAGATTCGTCGTTGGTCAAGATTGGCAGAATACACCATGCACATAAAAAATACAATATTTTCACGTCAACGAGGCCTATCAATAAGTTGAAACAGCAGATTCTTTCTCTCAATAAAGACGAGTCAAAACTCTTAAGTGGCTCTCTTTGCTCCATAAAGGATAACATTGCCACAAAACAGGAGTATACTACTTGCTCGTCAAGTAGTCTTCGTGATTATAAGTCTCCTTTCAGTGCAACAGTGGTGGATCTTTTGGAGAAACATGGATCAATAGTCATAGGCAAAACAAACTTGGATGAATTTGGAATGGGGGCTAATAACTCATACTCTCATATTGGCCAAACACTTAATCCAATGTACGATGATAATAAGGATAGTGAGACTTTTTTGGATGCTGACAAGTATGTTCCTGGAGGATCGTCTGGCGGTTCAGCAGCGGCGGTAAGTGCTGGAGTGTGTGATTTTGCGTTGGGAACTGATACTGGTGGATCTGTTCGTTTACCAGCCGCATACTGTGGCGTTCATGGGTTCAAGCCTTCTTATGGCAGAATATCAAGATGGGGTGTGGTTGCCTATGCCCAATCGCTAGATACTGTCGGGATATTAGGAAGCAACTTGGAGATTATTAAGTCGGTTTATAATGTTTTAAACCAATACGATACTAAAGATCCAACTTGCATTGATAATCAAGTAAGATCAAGGATCACTGCCCTCACAGAAAAACTCACCAGCATTGATGATGCTAAGAAAATTAACATTGGGATCTCTACAGACTATTTGGCTAAAGGAGTGACGCCCGATACTCTCGCGACAATCGAATTACTAGCTTCAAAATTATTTGGCTCAGGATACAATATTGTTCCTGTTAAATTACCAAGTTTATCCAATGCTGTGCCTGCGTATTTCACAATTGCATATTCAGAGGCTACTTCTAATTTATCCAGATACGATGGAGTGAGATACGGATATTCAACAATTGAGGCAGGGAAAGAGACCACTGAAGATTACAAATCTTTTATTTCTAAAACTAGATCAGAAGGATTCGGTGCAGAAGTTCAAAAGAGAATTTTGATTGGTAATTATAACTTGAGTTCAGAGAAGTTCCAGAATAACTATCTTAAGGCCGGAGCCGTAAGAAAGAAGCTTACGGCTGAGTTCAACTCTATTTTCAAGTTACCTAATGCGTTATATACTTTGGATGTACAAGGTTCTGATGTTCATAGTCCTACTAAAGTTGATTTCATCATTGCTCCAATTTCCGCGTCTAGAGCCCCAAAGTTGAGTGACCTAGTTGAAAAAGAAAAGAGTGACCCAATTAGTACTTATGTTAATGATGCATTTGTTATTCCATCCTCTTTGGCTGGGTTGCCTTCGATCTCTCTCCCTTGGTACAGTAATTCCGAAAAATACCCTGTTGGAATACAACTAATTGGCCAATATGGGGATGATCAAAGGGTATTGGAGTTTGCAAAAAGAGTGGAAGAATTAAATTCTTTTTAAATATTGTAATTCATGTTTGTACATATTATAAATTCAGGTATTATTAACCGATAGAGTGATGATTTATTTATATGTAACAGAGTACCGGTGGCTCGGGTCGCAAAAAATAACAAACAAAAAAAAAGTGAAAAACGAAAAATGCAGTAAAATAAAATGATGAGCTTCTTGGAAGACGTGTATTTTGCCACATTGAAGATTATCAAATTCCTTTGGTTGACCTCTAATGGATATTTTCAAGCAGATTGTGGAACCTACAAGGGTTTCCCTTTCTGTTTCTTGTTACTTTACTAGCTCCAATTCACGGAATCTTGTGGTTTCCAAAGGTACGGTGCTTGAGATCTTCTCCATAGCTAAAGACATCCAGAAATTATCTTTGATTGCTTCATACAAACTCCATGGATTGATCACAGAGATAGCACCTGTTAAAACCATTGAGTCGAAAAATTTAGATTATTTAGTCATCGCCACGAAATTCGCGAAAATTTCGATTATCAAATGGAATTTCGAATTGCATAACATCGAAACTGTGTCTTTACATTATTACGAAAACTTTTTTGAAAGTAATTCACCAGTGAGATCTATATCAAATGCCACATTAGTGACGAATCCAGAAAATGATTGTGCTTGTATGACGTTCAATGACTTGTTGGCGTTCTTACCTTTTAAGAAAGATTCAGATTTTGAAGGCAAGAACAAGAGGATGAGAGGTAAAAACAATGAGTCAAGTGATAGTGAATACAGTGATAATGATGATAAGGATGATGATGATGATGATGATGATGATGATGATGATGATGATGAAGAAGATGGAGATGTGTTGATTTATAAACCAACTTTTATTGTTCCAGCAAATAAACTTGATACTTCTATTTCAGATATTATAAGCTGCAAGTTTTTACACAATTATAGAGAACCCACCTTGGCAATTTTGTTTTCTCCGAAGCATACGTGGGCAGGGAATTTGAAAAAACTGAAAGACGTTACCCATTTTGTTGTGTTGTCGTTAGATTTATACAAGAAGACTTCCACTACCATTATTTCTTTGAAAAACTTACCTTACGATTTATATGACATCGTCCCTTTGAAAAAACCCCTTAATGGTTGTTTACTAGTTGGTTGCAACGAAATCATCCATGTTGACTCATCAGGTTCATCACAAGGTCTTATCACCAACAAATACACCAATAATATTACCGATTACAGAAATTTCACTAAAGACCAGAACGACTTGGATTTGAATTTGGAGAACTGTATCATTAGACCAATTCCTAATCTTCCAAAAAAGCTTTTATTGATCAGCGAAGAAGGGAAATTTTACTGGATTGATTTCAAAGTTGATGGGAGATTAATTAGAAGCTTCCTGATTAGTAAATTAGATGAGAGCACCTACATGAACATAATTGTGGAACATCCAAAATCCATGTGTGCGGTTGATGATGACTTATTATTTATCAGCTGCGATGATGGAAATTCATTATTGATCAAATTGGAAGATCTACTGAGGGGGGGAAATGACATTACTGGTGCTAAACAAATAACAAAGAAAACTAGCATCAAGGCAGAAAAGAGTGCCGAAGAAGACAGTGATAAGGGGGATAATAGAAAATCAGAGGATGGGGATGATGATGATGATATTAATTATAGTGATGAAGAAGATGAAGGTGATAATGATCAAAAGGATTCGATGGAAATTGATGAAGACGACGGAAATATCGATGATAATATGGGTGACAACAGCAAAAAGACATCTAACGCGAATACATACAGATTTACAGTGAAAGATGTGTTGATTAATTGTGGACCAATATCGAATCTTACACTTGCGTCATTGTCGACTGAAAAATTCAGCAGTGGGCTTACTAACCCTAATCATAATGAGGTTTCCATAATAGGGTCATCAGGAAACGGGAAATCCGGATCAATCATTACCATAAGCCCTTCTATTAAGCCAGAAGTCAGGTCAACTTTGCATTTTTCCGATGTCAATCGGATTTGGACCTTGAATAGCAAATCAGTGCTTTTGACCTCTAAAGGGGTTAGATTGGAAAGGAATTATAATTACTTAGTCTCCACGAATTACACTGAGCTCAAATCTGATGTGTTTTCAATCACTGATAATTTCAAGAATGTTTCATTAACAACTGGTTTCCAAAACAACGAAGCGATTATCATCATTGGCTTTGTGAATGCTAAACAAAACATCATCCACATCACTAGATACCATGTTCACTTATACGATTTGAATTTCAAGTTGTTGAAAACTTTCAAGATTCAGGATTTACAACCTGAAGCAGAACCGACGCAGGAAATAGATATTAATGGTGACCTTGATCAAGAAAATGAGGAATTTGAAAACCAGGAAGAATTTGTGTCAGGCTATATTTATGAAAATTGTGTGTTACTCACAACTTCAAAAGGTGCGGCCATAATAATCGAGATGATCCCTGAGGCTCTCAACTTAAAAAAGAAGGCGAAAAAGGTTGCTGAGAAGGGTTTGAAATACTTCAATATTATTCCTATTCCTACAATTTTATCCGATGTTCTTATCACCACAGGTACAATCTCAAGCTCTCACTTATTTGGCACCGTTAGTGATGTGAATTCAATTCTCGATAATATTCCAGTAAAGGGCGCTAAAAAAAGAGCAAGCGACGGTACTGGTGGAGCTACAAAAAAGAGATTAGATAATAAAGACTTAGTTGACCAAAATAAAGGAGTATTGTTTATTTTAGTCACCGGTGATAATAGAGTGGCGATATTCCAGAAGGACCATAAGAACAGGGTTTTCCAATTGGAGAGAATTGACAAGTTGTCTGAGCTTTTGACCCTTAATTTTTTCGATCTCAACGATGCTTATCCTGACCCATTCATCAAACAGGTGATGCTTGTTAATTTGGGAGATAAGCATGTTAATAAAGAATATTTGACTGTGTTGACAATTGGTGGTGAAACCTATTTCTATGAGTTGTTTTATGATAAGCTTAACAAGATTTGCAAATTCAAGAGAATAGAGAACACTCTAGTTACAGGTGCCCCAGATAATGCTTTCCCAAGAGGTACAAAGGTAGAAAGAAGGCTCATTTACATTGATGATTTCAGAAATGGATTAAAATGCATATTTGTCACCGGGATTATTCCGTACTTTATTGTGAAGGAGGGTCACTCTTGTCCAAGAATATTCAAGTTTACCAAATTTCCTGCAATATCTTTTGCATCATTCAAGACCGATGATGATGATTCCATATCCAGTAAACCAAATAAATTAACTAGTTTTTTCAACTTCAGTGACAAGGGCTCAAATTTCATTTTTGTGGATAATTTGAAAAATGCCAGAGTTTGCTCTATTCCATTTGATGAAAGCACCGACTACACAAACCAATTGCCTATACAAAAGATCTCAGTCGGAGAATCCGTGAAAGATATTACATATCACCAAACCTCCAATACTTTTATTGTATCAACATTCCACGAAATTGAGTACAATTGTATTGACGAAGATGGTGAAAAAATTGCAGGATGGGAAGATAAACCACATGCGAAATCGTACAAAGGGTCTCTTAAGCTAATATCACCAAAAACTTGGACTGTCATCGATGAAATTGAATTTGAAGATAACCAGGTTGCCGTAACGATCAAATCAATGTTCCTAAACACTTCGTCTGCATCTGACGATGCTAATATGATTTCGTCAGCCCAAGTCGGAAACGTTAATAAGAGAAAAAAGGAAATTGTTTTGGTGGGAACTGGCAAATTTAGAATGGAAGATTTGACTGCGAATGGCTCGTTCCATTTGTTCGAAATTATCGATATCGTTCCGGAGATTGGAAAGCCTGAATTCAAACATAAACTTAAGGAGATTTTCAAAGAGTCAACCAGAGGTGCTGTTACTGCGTTAACTGAAGTGAGTGGAAGATTTTTGGTCTCCCAAGGGCAAAAAGTCTTGGTTAGGGACCTTCAAGAGGACAATACTGTGGTTCCCGTGGCATTTTTGGATACATCAATTTATGTTTCCGAGGCCAAATCATTCGGGAACTTGTTGATTCTTGGTGATATCATGAAAAGTATCTGGCTTGCCGGCTTTGATGCCGAACCTTATAGAATGATTATGATTTCCAAGGATGTGATTCAAGTTGATGTCAATGCCGCAGATTTCATTAGTTATAATGGTGATTTATTCTTTGTTATTGGTGATGACAATGAAAACTTGCACTTGTTACAATACAACCCTGAGGATCCAGCGTCGCTATCTGGTCAAAGATTGGTGAGAAGAAGCACCATCAACATCAATACCACCACCACTTGTATGAAATCGTATCCAAAAAGAGCCAGTAGTACCAATGAATTCCAAGTCGTTGCAGGTAACATTGATGGTTCAGTTTACCTTGTGACTCCTATTTCTGAGGAATCTTACCGAAGAATGTACGTGCTACAACAACAATTGATTGAAAAAGAATTGCATCATCTCGGGCTCAACCCAAAAATGAACCGTATTTCTCCAGTTTATGAAAGCGTTAATGCCAACTTCACCTCCAATTCGACACAACAAGCAAAAACATTGATCGATTTTGAGGTTTTACAAAAATTCACAAGCTTGAATGATGACAGAAAGAGACAATTGGCCTTGAAGGTTGGGAGATACGCGTATACTGATATCTGGAAAGATCTAGTCGATCAGAATTTAGAAATGTTTTAGTGATGTGAAACGTTGTTTGAGAAAGTTAGCTTTTGTGTATAATTAATATAACTTCAATTTATTCAATTCCATTCATTATTCTTGTTTTAGATGTGATAGTAACTTATAAGTTCCCAAAATAACAAAAAAAAAGCTTACGATTATCAAGTTTATAATATCAAATTAGAACATCATTAAATTGAGAGCATGAAACCTAATTAACAAGATTAGTCGAACAAACCGAAACCCATGTCGTCATCGGATTCTTCTTCTTCTTCAGCTGGAGCTTCTTCTTCAGCGGCAGCAGCAGAACCACCGGCGGCAGCAGCTGGGGCGGCAGCAGCTGGAGCAGAGGCAGCACTCAACAACAATTCCTTGAGGTTCTTACCTTCCAAAGCTTGAGCGTAGACATCAGCCCAGATCTAAACAAATCATGTTAGTATGATGATATCACAATAATGGAGGGAAAAAGTCTAGAAATTAGAACATCGTCATGGAAGAGATACAAATATTGAGCCAAAAGTATGAAAATGAAAATAAATAAACACAAGTTGACTGATCATCATGTAGTTCAAAACACCCATATTGCCATTTAGATCAACTTTTCCTTTCAAAGTTTTCTTTCTATGACTTCGGTACAACATTCTAAAAAGCAGTAACTGTTCCTACTTTACTATCCATCCCTCACACACAATCTATATTCTATTCAGCTTCCATTTTTTTTTTGAAGGCACAGCCATGTAATTTCACTTTCCATAATCCATAATTATATTCACATTTCCTGATTCATATTTAATAATAAGATCTCTTCTTCACGATTCTCAATTTTGACATGTTCCAATTCACACTGTTCATTAAAAACTTACTTGGTCAATGGAACCACCAGCGGCCTTGATCAAGCTGACCAATTTGTCAGAAGTGATATCGATTTCAGCATCAGCTAAGATGAGAGCGGCGTAAGAGACTAAAGAATCAGACATTATGATATTATTACTGTGATTTCGTTATACTGCTGAATTCTTTACTACAGCTACAAATTTGGACATTTAATTTTTCAACAGTTCAGTGTTACGAAAAAATTGGTGGTGAACGCGAAAAATAGGGCGTATTGTGCCCTATATCAATACACGTGATAAAAGGACGCCTTCCTACTTCTCAATATTTTTGACGTATGCACAATTTTTATATGGAGAAGTAGAGGGTTTACTTATAATAAGATGTGGAGAAATCACAAAAATATGAAAATACACCAAAAATGAATCATTAATTAATAGACTACTTATAAACAAGAAATAGGGGCGTAAAGAAAGGAGGGGCAGATATATACAACTGACTGAAGCCAGGTAAATAATTCAAGAAAAGAACTTTTGGAGAGAGTTCAACCAGGTGAAGTATTCCTTGTTTTCCTTGTATTCAGAATAGGAAATGACAAAGTCTCCCAACGATTCGTCAACGCCCAAGTCCTTAATATAGGATTCAATAGATTCTTGTAATGATTCATCCAAGTTGCTGAATGGTGGGCCATGGTAAGTAATTTGTCTAACAGTTTCACTTTCTGCAGATTCAGACAAAGCCAATTTGGAATCAGCATATGGAGTAACACTTTCGACGTACATGGAGCAATCATCCAACTTGAACAAGACTTCTATAGAGATAGCGGAGTTGTCGGCCTTCTTTTCAACGACAATGTTAACGTTGGCAAATTCTTCATTAAGATCCTTTTCGAAATCAAATTCTTCATTGTTTTCACCTTCTTGTTCCATGATGTTTGGTTCTGGGATGTTTGTAACTTGAGAAACGTCGAAGTAGATGTGGATAATTTCGCTGTCAGTCTCCTTAACAATTTCGGCCAAACTACTGTGTTTGTTGGAGGATTCGACAACCTTGAAGCCAGTAGAGTCTAAGAAAGCATTGATGACTTCTGGTTTTTCTTTGTGTTCATCAATCTCTGTTTCGAGTTGGATTTCAGACTTCAAAACATTGACAATGTTCTCTTTGCTACCTTTAGCAACTTGCGAGTAACTGAAATAACGTTGGTTGATGGCAACTGGTGCTTTGAAAGCAACCTTAGCAGCCTGAGAAAGGAGAGAATATCTAGAAATTTGCTTGGTAGCAAGTCTTAATGATGAACGGAAAGCCATGGTTCTATTGTATTGTATTATGATTTAGTTAATGCTCACACAACCAACATAGAGAAGTGATGAGGTTTATTTTTTTTTTTTTTTTTACCATAAAATTTTCAGAGCCTTGCAGAGCCTTGCAGAGCCTCGTGACCAAAATTAATTGTAAGTTACGCTTTATCTTCAAGTTGACTAAACCCATATAATACGTTGATCAACAATTAGAATGACGATATATGAATAAGATAATTGAAGAAAAGGAGATGAATAAAAAGAAAATATATATAAAAAAAAAAAAAAAAAAGTCGTGCACAGCACCCATAATTGTTAAACATCCTTATCTAGTCTCAATACTAAAATTAATTCATCTCATTCAGGAGCAGGAAATCACACTTCAATATTTCAAAAGCACCAGCCTCTACCAAATTCAACTTCTGAGTATGACCTATATTAGATATCTGAAAAATGGAAGTGTTGGTTAAATTGCCTTGAAGAAGAAATTGCACCCATATCCAAACTGTAATCCATAAAATACGAGCTTTTGTAATACTACTTTTTTGCGTCATCTAAACCAACTTTACCAACTTCGGAAATGGTTGAGATTTACTCACAACAACCACAGATTTGCTGTGAGAAATATAACCCTTGATCCATCCAGAGAAAATCATATTGGCCACAAAGCACTCAGCAGCATCAAGATCAAAATTGACCTTGCCACTATTACGTCGAGTTTCCATTTTTTGTGAGTCAGGAGTGTAATTGTTGGCGAAGTCCAAAGCTTTGGCAAAAGCACTCAATGGCAATTGGTAATATATTGGGAATATTTTTGGCAAAGTTTTGATATTCAAATAAGTCTTTTTGAACAATCGACAAATCACCAAGGTCTTAATTTGTTGAAAAACTAAGTACAAGTTCTTTCTTAGCAAGAAAATTTCAATTTTTTTCACATGAACATTGAAATTCTTCAAATTACCTTCTTTGGCATACTTGAAGATATCACCATACATTGCTTTGACTTTTGGGAAATTATCAAGCATGTATTGGCTCGGTAAGCGCCTTGTAATTAAGAAGGTTATCGGAACCAACATTAAAAGAATACTCTGTTGCTGATTCTTGTATTTTATTGAAATTGCTGCCCCTCCAATTAATTGCAAAGCTTGATTAAGGTTGTCATAGGCTTTCTCGAATGCACCATCGTTTGCGCATAAACAACTATTATAATACAAGTAGGAAATAGCGTTGCCTTTTGGGATCTCTTTCAAAGAAGGTAATTCATTCATTTTCTGTTGACAAGCTTTCTGAACAGACCCTGCTAAATCATAATTACTTAAACTGAAGTAGATCAGATACATCTGGGCAATGAAAAAGTAAACAGCCTTCTTTTTGTTGCGAGCTTTATTCTCCTCTTTGTCGTTGAGGCATATTGTGAAAGATCTATTGATAGTTCTTGCAGCAACTTGAATATATTTTTCTGTTGGTTCGGGTATCGATAGATTGTTCTTAACTTCGTTGTCAGCATCAATGGCCAATAACTTCAAATCTCTCACCACTGTTTTCAATGCAGTCAAAACCCAATCATCTTCCTTTTCAGCAATGCGGTTCATGGCCTTCAACAATGTGTTGCTGCATTCAAAAGCTTCGATTATTTTGTTGTTCTGAATATTCTTCACCACATTTAAGTAACCAATGATAACTGGTCTCCAATGCGCTTCAAACTGTGCCAACCCAAGGTCAGTATTTTCTACGGGCTTGTTCACAAATGCCCCATTTGCCACCCATAATTGAAAACCTAAAGAAATGCTATCCTTGTGAGAAATACTATCATAAAATCTTTGAAGATAACCTGGAACTGGATTTCTCATTTGGAAGGTGGTGTGGATAACGACTATCGTAGAAAGGTGATAGGGAAACCAGAAGCACACAAAATCTCTCCTTCTTTGCGACAACAACAAAAAAAAAAAAAATGCACGTGCACCTTGATATAAGAAGAAGATGTTGTAACATATTAATATATGTCAGTATTTTTGTCAACTTTATTTTCCAGAGAGATAGAGAAAAAGAAAGAGAAAGAAAGAGTAATTGTATAAGTTTACTTCGCAGAGTGTTCTCAAATATATAGACTAAGTGGAAGAAAACAGCAGAGAAACAAAATCAAAATATAATAAAAAAAAACAAGCCCAAAAGTAGAATGGCGACAGTCTAGTAGCCCGAGCATCACTATTTTTCTAAATCCTCTAAAACTTTGTCTGTAGTAGTTTCTAGTTTGGACCATTGTAAATACATATCTATTCTATCTCTTAAATCACTGCCATTCCAGTCTGATTTACCTGACAACTTGGCAACCCCCAACTGTTCAAGACAGAGGCCGGAAGCAACACTGGCCATCACGCCAGCAGTTTCCCAATCATGTCCAAGGAGTAGCGCTGTAGCGAATGCTCCACAAGCAGTATTCCCAGCACCAGTACAATCAAGTACCTTAGGCAGTGGATTAAGTATTTGATAGGCAGGAAACCATTTCTTGTAGCCCTTCTTGCTACAAACATAAATTCCAAGTTCACCACATCTCAACACAAGAACAGATCCAAGACCTTGATTTCCCTCCTTGGTTAGGTAAGGAATGTATCTATCTGCCAATGACTCCAACTCAGGCTTTGTGAACGGTTCAGGCTCCCCAAAGAACCGAGCAGCCTCCTCAGAGTTAGGGGATAAAATATCAACCTTCGATAATATTTTTTGGCACCTTGATAGATTCTCTGGGATGCACAGGTAAGGAACAGGTTCCCAACAAATAACCGCAGAGTTTGGATTATCGTAAGCAATGCCTTGAACTTTCTCCAACTGTTGGATCATGTCAGCACATCTATCTGCCGAGCAGATGAAATGAAACGACCTTGATTGCAAGAGAAAATCGTACCCGATAATATCTGGAATATCAATTCGTTTCTTGGGAGTCAAATATTTGAATTCACGGAAATCATGTTCACCATAACTGTTCCAACCTCTGGTAGTTAATCTTTCTGGATTGTCTCTAATGATTGTACTCGTTTGCCAGCTCAAAATGATGTCTTTAATTTCAGCAGGAAAATCAGAGCCCGCGTCTAATATAAATCCAGCTTTTCTTGTATTGTTGAATGATAATGCCACTCTAGCTCCAAAGAGACCAAAAAAACCACCGCCGCCGATGATATTAAAAACAGAAGGCTTATCTAAATAATGGATCTCATCAATAATGAACATCCCAAGGGAAGTAAATATTGGCAGCTCAACATCCTTGTCCATTTTACCCACCAGACTCGCGATCATCCTTCGCTAGGTTATCATCTGATGCGGCTTCATTTTTATCATAGACGTATCGCTAGCCATCGCATCGTAACCAGCATCAGTGCACATGTATACTACTGCTGCTACAAAATATAATGTAAAAATATATAAATGTAAATATATGATATATGAGCAAGACTAACTACTCCTGCTCTTCAAAGTTTCTAAGTTTATCATACATTGGGTTGTGTTCGTAGAGTAAAAATTGGCAAATTGCATTTGTGGCATGCGCGCTTTGAGTGTGGAGTAACCAATGGTCCGAAGTAAATGTTTTCAAAGTGCTTTTTGGGAAATACTTGGAGATGTTGGAGTTCATTTTTAATGTTTCATTCAAGGCTTTAGGATAGTAAGTGGAGTTTCTGCCCATCAAGAAAAGTGTTGGCTTATCAAACTTAGATTCCTTAATCTCGGACATAGGCCATTTTTCATAATCTTCTAAAAAGGAGCTCTCAATAATATGATTCACCGGCACTCTTGATTCCAAATACTGGTATTTATTCAATTCTTTTGAGTTGACTCTTTGATTGGTGATGTTACTTAAAAGATAGCCCAAAGTCCTATTATCCTTGATCCCATATTTGGTGGACAAAATTTCATAACATTTTTCCAAATATTCTCTGTCAAACTTCGTAATTTTGGAATCATTCAAGAGAAATGCTAATCCCTTCACCCAAGATTCTAATTCTGCTGATGCAGTAGCCGTCAAATCTTGTGGCAAACTTTCGATAACCACCAATTTTTCAATATTCATGTCTTTGGATCTCAACAAGCTTGCCAACATAGCGATCTTTCCCCCCAAACCTTCACCAATCAACATGACCTTTTCGAACCCCAACTCTTTGTAAAATTCCACTAAGTCATCCAACAATGTGTTGATGTCAAAAGGTTTTGCGAATTCAATTTGCTTCATTCTACTGAAATGATTTCTCAAGTTGGCAGTATACACATTGGTCTCCAAAGTCTTCAGAATGTCATTTACTTCAACTTTATTTGCCAGTTTGTTGGATAAAAAATCATGGATGAAAATCACTGGCTCATCTGGATTATTCAAAGACTTTGGTAGGAAAGAATGGCTTGGTTTATAGACATCGAAATCAAAGGAATGTCCCTTCAGAGAAAATAGTTGCTCCTCAGGAAACCTGCTGATGGTCGATACCAACCTTTTAGTCACACCCACTCTGCTAATATTTTTGAATGAGGAATATCTGAGCATTGTTCTGTTTAATAATAGTATTAGCTTTGTACCAATGGAAATAGTGATTGAAAATATGATTTTGAATAAATGTGGCGCAAGAGAAAAAAAATAAACGAAAAGAATTGCAAAAAACTGAGAGATGAGATTATGGTGCTGCTCCGAAACACCCAAGATAGTGGTACACTCTGGAAATCAAAAACAAAGCACAAAAGAAAACATCTTAGTCCCTGCTAACTCGAACTTCTTTATTATTTGCTAACAAGAATCGCATGCTAATCAGTTTATCGGAATCGGAAACTTGAATAAAAATGTCGGACAATGAAGATTTTATGATGTCGGAAGAGGAGGAAGACCCATTTGAATATGAGGATTCAGATGATGAAATGGTTGCCTCTGATGGCGGTAGCTTCCAAGAGGATTCGGATGAAGAAGGAGAAGAAAGTTTAGAAAATCAATATTATTCTGCTAAGTCTATTAAGGAAGATGACTTGGATGCCGCATTGGAGTTGTTTGCTAAGATAAAGGATCAAGTTGAAGGCGGCGAGGGTGATAAACAAAAAGTGTGGAAATTCAAGTCCCTTAAGCAACTTATGAAAATTCATTACCAATTGAACCATATGGATGATTTGATGAAATTATACAAGGAGCTCTTAAACATGAATGATTATATTGAAGATAAAAATTACTTTTTGAGTTCATTGGTAAAAATTATTGATCGATATGGCAAATCAAATAATCCAGAATTTCTTGAGAAATTTATCGAGTTGCCATTGGCACATCCCTCTTATTTGAATGATAAATTATTTATAAAGTTGAATATTGCTAAATTGAATTTTTTGGAAGGCAAGAATGATGGAGAAAACAACCTCTCTGCAATTGACCAGTTGATCGATTTGGTAATTGAGAAATGTGAAGAGACCACTAATGAGTATACCAAAAAGCAACACTTGTTGGAAACATATTCGATTCAGTTGAAGATATTATTGTCCATGTCAGATATAGGGAGTATTAATTCAATAAAGAAGTTGAGGAACACGTTCAAAAAATGTAATGAGCTTGAACATAATATTATTGCTCATCCCAAGATATTGGGGGTTATAAATGAAGCCCAAGGGAAGCTTTTAATGATAGAAAGAGACTTCCATAAATCAGTTGAAATATTGATGGAAAGTTTCAAGAATTATGATGAAAGTGGGTCCAATGTTGATAAATCGAGGATCTTAAAAAATTTAATAGTTTTGAACCTTTTGAATTTGAAATCGGAAGTCAGTATTTTGCAATCCAATGAAATCAAGCCATATTTAAGAAACTCTGATGATGAGGATATTGATAATTTAATGAAACTATTGAAATATTATGAGGATAATGATATTTCAAGCTTCCATCAATTAATCGCAGATTCAGAGTCTACAAAAGAGCAATTTATCACCAAGGATGATTACAATTTCTTGAAAATTTTCAAAGGGGATATTATCAATTCAATAAACTACAAGTCCCTTAATAACTTTTTCAAGTCATTTAGCGCTTTGCCAATTGATTTCTTGTGCAAAGTTTTGAATATTGACAATAAATTGCAACTAGAGGAATTGGTATTTGATATGATTAGTGAGGACATTTTACTTTATGATATCAAATTCGATTATGTTAGTTCAACTATCCTTGTTTCCAATGATAGTAATAACCCTTTGATACCCCCACAATTGAAATATATTGACATTATTGCCAACTTAAAGAACTATAACCAAAAGGATATTGCGTCTAAATTGTTGATTGCCGAAAATATTGATAAATTATCAATTGAATCTATCAGGGAGTGGTTAATAAGAATACAAAGCTCCATTCCGGCAGTTTCAAAAGAGAAATTAACCCAAAATGAAAAAGTACAGTTAGAAAAATCGTTTGCCATAAAGAAAGTCACTTCGGAAAGAGGTCATTTAGATTTCAATGATTCTTTGAATATTGTCACTCAAGATGATAAGTTGTCATCGTTATTGGTGCGTAACCTCAAACTATGCTCTAGTGATCAACAAAGAAAAGTAAACTCATCCAGCAAGGTTGATAGGTTCCAATCTCTCATTGCTTTAAGTGAAAGATTAGATAACTATCAAAATACAATTTTCAATGATGCAGACTTGACGTATGTTCCAAACTAAGTATGTGTCTTCTACAACATTTCATTCCTTTTTTTTGCTTTGTTTTTGTTATTATTATTATTGGGATTATTATACTGTTATGGTCGTTATTGCTTTTATAACACCATAAGATATTTGTTTTGCTTGGCTTTTCGGTTATATATATTCTTCAACTTTCACTTGGCAAGATTTGTTTAATCAGAACTAGAAAAAAATTTGATTTGTACTAATGACTGATTTGATACATTAAAGTTTAAACAAAATGAACACAGATCTCTCTATGGGTTTTCATGGACTATGAACGACGGATAATTGAAAAATCAAAAATTACTTATAAATTTTCCTTTGATATTGCGGACGTCATTTTGCCTGCCACCTGCGGGTGTCACTTACATTGTAGATAATTTATAAGGTTTACACAAAACCAAGTATATGAGGCTGGGTACGCCTTTTAGCACCGAAAGCTGGGCTTATTTTAATTTTATGAAGTTACGAAAGATATTAGTTCTTTTTTAATTTGAATAAATATTAACAAGCAGTTTAGAGAGTACAAAAAACTATGGCAGATTTTGGAATAATGAACATATGGAATTATATGACTAAGCTTCAATCTGCTTAGTTGGTAGCTTCCATCAAGTAAGTGACCAAGTCATTTCTGTCCTTGTCCTTCTTAAGACCACCGAAGGCCATCTTGGTACCTGGAATGTACTTCTTTGGGTTAACCAAGTAGTCGCTCATGGTTTGTGGAGTCCATTGAACAGCCTTCTTGATGTTGGCATCAGTGTAAGAGTAACCTGGGGCTTGACCGGAAATTCTGGTGAAGATACCGTGGAGGTTTGGACCAACCTTGTGTGGACCACCCTTTTCAACGGTGTGGCATTGCAAACATCTAGTCTTGAACAAGTTAGCACCCTTCTTAACGTTACCTGGATATTTTGTTAGTTAGAAAAAATCTTGGAATATTTTTATAAAAAAAAATATGAAATCTAGTAGGAGAGCGAAAACTAATGTCTTAGAATACCTCCAAATACAAATAAATCTGATCGTTAGATATTTTGTTTACTTGGCGTCATGATCAACCGCTGATGAAATTTTAAAATCATAACCTAAGAAAAAGCTAACCCATAGTTCAGTTCCTTTCCTATATAGATATTCTCTGATAATATTCAAGTCCACCTGTTTGAAAAACAATGCCATGACTGCCAATAGTCTATTCAATCACGATTTATACAAATCTTTACAAATCCATCTAACAACACCAAGTAAACATCGCCAACAGAAAAAAATGTGGAACTGGTAATACTGACCTTTCTTGAATTCACCCATTATTTATAGTTTATTTGAGAATGTTGTTTTTGTTAATAAAATATGTCAACTTAGTATATGAAAAGGAAGGAGAATAGAGATATATTTTCTGTGTGCAAAAAAATTTCAATTTTTATTCTTTTTTTTTCGAGTTGATTTTGTTTGACAAATTCTGCGGATGCTATTGGCTGAGCGGAGTAGAATAAACACGTCCGCAGGAACCCGTGCCTGTCCGGTTGGAGCCGATATATGATGTGACCAATTTCTGGAAGCAGAACTTCGGAGCAGTAGTCATGCCAGTCTAGAGTGCTATAGATTCACCATACCGTCTGCACAGTTGGTTATCATCTTTTGTATCGGCCGAGGTCTATTTAAAACCAACTTCGTAAAAATTTTCCATGCTTATAGTTTACACTAATAATACATCTAGATTTACATATCTTCGATCCCAATATTAGTTGAGGGTTAAAGCTTTGCCCTCACCACCACTACTACTACTTGAAACAACAAATTAATAATAATTAGTACAGTGACTTATGTTAAATTAAGTAGAGATTTATATAGAAAGCGAGGACATAAAAACTAAAGGGGAAAAAAAATCATTGAGCATTCAAAGCAATTTTCGTACCAAGAAATGGAAAACTGATCATTTCTTGTTGGTACTGGCGGTCATTTCAGCTTGCTTGACCAAAGAATCTGGAGCATCCATAATTGGGAAGAACAATTCAACCAATCTGATCTTATCAGCCTTGGAAAATTCGACATCCTTGAAAAGATCCTTGACTTCCTTGACAGTCTTGATTTCCATACTTTCGGAGTTTTCTTCAGTGGCACCGAAGGTCTTCAACAATAATTGATGTCTCCATGGTTGAATCTCATTGTAACCAGCAGTTGGACCATGGATCAACTTTTCAATAGTGTAACCAGAGTTGTTTAAAACAAACAAGTATGGAGTCAAGTTCCATCTGATCATGGTGGAAATTTCTTGAACAGTCAATTGCAATGAGCCGTCACCAACAAACAAAAGAACTCTTCTTGGCTTGGCTAATTCAGTACTAGCAAAGGAGGCACCAAGACAAGAACCAACAGTGTAACCGATGGAACCCCACAAGACTTGAGAAATACCAATGGTGTTCTTTGGGAACTTGGTAGAAGCAATACCGAAAGCGGAAGTACCGGTTTCAGTAATAATAATATCACCTTCTTGCAACCAGGTAGATAATTCATTCCAGAACCATGCTTGAGTAAGTGATGAATCATCAGTCATTTCTTTTTCTGGCTTGTAGTGTGCAGCAGGGATAGGGTGGTCCTTTGGAACATAGGCGCTGTTGGCAGCCTTCAATCTAGAAATCCAGTTTTCATTAGTGGTGATTTTCTTCAACAAACTTTGCATTTGAGTCTTTGGATAGATGGCTCTCTTGATCTTGGTGTAGTCGGAGTGGAACTCGATCATGTTGTGAATATCGAAACCGTAAGTGAAAGAACCAGTGTTGAAATCTGACATCAAGGAACCAACAGAGATAACAAGGTCAGCAGAGTTGACGACTTCCTTGACTTCTGGGGTACTCAAGGACCCAATGTACACACCACCAAATCTTGGGTCTTCTTCGGTAACGGCAGACTTACCCATTGGACTAACGAAGGTTGGGAATTGAGTGATTGCCATCAATTTTTCAGTTTCTTCCTTAACATTGTATCTAACAGCACAGGCATCGACCAAGATGATTGGGTTCTTGCACTTAGCAACCAATCTCAAAATTTCTTCAAAAATTTCATCTTCAGTAGCTGGGTCATTTGGAGGAAGAGTCAAGTCAATTGGGGTTTTCAATAAAGAGGCATCAACTTCCATGTTAACAAAATTGGTTGGAAGACCAACGTAAACTGGCTTTTGGTAGGTCCAAGCAGTCTTGATGGCATCATCGATGTGTTTAGTAGCAGTTTTGATATCGTCAATGCTGTAAGTGGCCTTACTAAGTTCAGAACTCATTCTTTGGAAGACATTAAAGTCACCATCACCCAATGTGTGATGAAGCAAAAGCTTCTTTGATTGAGCTTCAGTAGAAGGAGTGCCAACAATATGAATAACACCCAAGCTTTCACTGGCTGCACCACCAATACCACAAAGAGTACTCAATTCACCAACACCATAAGTTGTAATTAACGCCGAAAGCTTCTTAATTCTGGCATAACCATCAGCAGCATAAGCAGCGTTCAATTCATTGGCATTACCAGCCCATTTCATTTCTGGAACATCGTAGATGTAGTCTAACAAGGCCAAGTTGAAATCACCTGGAAGACCGAAAACGGTGTCTATACCAACTTGGTGAAGTCTGGTAAATATGTAGAGTCCAAGTGGAACCTTGGTAGAGTTAGCAGCAGCACCAGTCATTGTGAACTTTTTGGATAAAATAAAAAAAAAATTGTGAGTTTGTAAAATATTACTTTGTTGGTTGTCGTAATAAGATAGTGTAAGAAAAAAATATCAACCTCATGTTTCGGGTCGTTGGTTGCTATATTTATAGTCGGTACATTTACCGGAGCACCTCGGACTGTATAAGCATAAGTACCATCTCCAGACCGACCTGGACTTTCGAACATGCTACAATATTATTTTTTTTTTCAGCCGCAATCCGGAAAAAATATTCGTAATCGTTTCATTGCTATTGTCAACTTTAGGCACACCCTAGTACTCATCTGGTGACCCAGCGTCTGGTGACCGACCTGTCATAATATCGTGCCACTTCGGACAGACAAGTCATCAACCGCGCGGGAAGCTTACTTTTTTTTGTGATTATTACAGATAATCGCATATACATACATTGATGTTTGAAGGGTTACCCTGGCAGAAAATGAAATATATATCCGGGTAAATGAGTATCAAATCTATCAAAGCCAATTCTTGCACTATTGGTATAGAATCGCTGATACTATCAACCAAATGTTGGCCTTTCATTCTCCAAGGTTGCAGCAAGATACACTTGGGTAAATGTCAACGCTGGAGCAATATTCTGAGCTTGGTGAGAACACTTGCTCTCCACCGCGGTCTGTACAAATAGAGAATCTCCCACAAGATCACCTTGAAGTTGACGGCATTCAAACAAATTTGGAATTTGACACTTTTTCCAATGATGATAGTAATAATGGCAATGACAACAGTAATATGAACAATAATGTGAACAATAATGTGAGTAATCTTTACTCTAACCTATTTCCCTCATTTAATTTCATTAGCTTCCCTGTCACAAATAATGCTCGAAATTCTTCAATCGATAGTGGAAATAATGAGCATAATTTTCAGCAAGAAGATATAGATGATGTCTCGGTTAATTCGTTTAACTCTTCTGTCTTGAATAGGATGGCAAGTGAGCTATTCGATGATGAGTATAATATCAGAAGATCCATGCAAAATATATCCGCAAACAAGAATTTCTATTCAAATTACTATGATGAGTTAATCAAGGAGAAGAGCACCAAGGATAACGTTGGTGATGATTACAATGATTCTTCAGATTTCCAAAAATATATCACAGAATTTAATAAAGAGTTGAAAATTGAAACAAATTTAAAGAAGATTCTTGACAAAAAGAAATCTGACACCAACAATTTGAAGAACAAAACCTTAATAAACGTTATCAACGATGAGCATTACATTTCTCAAAATTATTATGTCCCTGATGATGATACAAAGGTTTCACAAGATAATGTTGATTTATTAGATAATAATTCTAAGCAATATTACTGTGAAAAGAAACAGTTCCACAGCTTCCTACCGAAAAAGTCATTGGCCAGTTTTAACTCGAGGATGTCGCCTTCAAAATTAAAGCACAAAGGTTCACTTTTAAAAGGATTACATAGAGATGGTTCCATCGCCACTCCAAAGAATCATACTACACCCACTAATCCTTTTAATTCTGTCGTGAAAACACCGATGTCAATTTCTCTGCATATGAATCCATTCAAATTCAAAATATTCTCTAGCAGTTCCGCCTCGATTATCGCAAGTGTTCACACTGATAGGGGTCATGGATACTCTTCAAATATTGATGGTGATGCTATCACTTCGGTAAAAAGTATCAAACCTAATGATAAATATAAAAAGATAATTTTTGATAAAAGCTGTGCCGTCTCACCTGCTGATTCTACGGTGAAGCGCGCCGCTTCTAGGATCAAAAATGAAATTAATACCACAACTACAGAGGGCTATTCCTCTGATAGCCACAACGATATAAGCAGTGATGATTTAATTGATGAAGATAATTTAACTGGGTCAAGAAATTATCCAGCAAGATATAATTCTGATGATTCTGAACTAGACGACATTAGTGCCACCAGAGGCAGTGCGATTATGTCTAGGAGCGCAAGCAACAACAATGGCAACGGAAAGACCAATGATATTGTTGATGATCCGAGATACGGTTCATTACAGAAGAAGTTAACACAGAGACATTTGCAAATGATTGCCCTCAGCGGAACCTTGGGTGTTGGCCTTTATCTTAGCACCTCCAAGAACTTTCTGATTAGTGGGCCACTTGGAGCTTTACTAGGGTTTATTATTGCAGGATCTGTGGTACTATCGACAATGTTATCGCTCTGCGAGATGGTTACGTTCATTCCTCTTGTTGGCGGTGTTTCTGGTATTGGATCACGTTTTGTTGATGATGCGTTTGGCTTTGCTTCTGGTTTTATTTACTGGATCAATTATATCATGTCATTACCAAGTGAAATTACTGCAGCGACAATTATGTTAAGTTATTATGATAATATTGAAATCCCAGGCCCCGGAGCTGCTGGCTGGATCACCTTCTTTTTGGTATGGACTGTGGTGGTGAATTTGTTAGATGTAAGAGTTTATGGTGAATTAGAGTTCTTCTTTTCACTATTGAAAATTTTGGTGATGATGCTATCAATAATCTTGAACATTATCATTAATGTTGGCGGAATGCCCCCTGAGAGGACGAAAATTGGATTCACATATTGGCAAGCTTCTCAGAGCGACCCATCTCAAGGTTTGACATACGGACTTTTCCGCCCTACTTTTGATTTGAAGGATACCGGAATTGGCTCTTTGAACGGTATTGGAGGCAACACTGGCAGATTTTTGAGCATATTGATATCCACTTGTATTTCCAATTATGCGTATGTAGGCACTGAAATCCTGGTGATTGTTGCAGCTGAAGCAAAACATCCTCGAAAGGCTTTGCCATCTGCTACCAATAGAATTTTTTGGAGAATCTTATTATTTTATATTTTTTCAGTCTTTTGTGTTGGTTTAAATTTCTATGCTGGTGATCCAAGATTGTTACGCTACCGGACTATCAACTCAGATGATACTAGTGACAATCGTACCGCAATTCAAGAAGCGATAGTTGATTATTTTGGAGGTGATGTTTGCACTCAACAGAAGAACACTGACAGGTTAAAAAATTTCAGTGGACTATATAATGGTAACCAATCGCCTTGGATTATTGCTTTTCAGAATGCTAGACTTTGCTCCCTCTCCGCTGTCTTCAACGGGATGTTTGTGGTATTCGCTCTTAGTGCTGGCTCCTCTCAACTTTATGCTTCAAGTCGTACATTGTATCAAATGGCACTACAAGGAAAAGCCCCTTCGATATTCAGTCGCTGCTCTAAACAAGGGGTGCCATATTTAGCAGTGATATTTCTGGGAATGTTTGGATCACTTGCTTATCTTTGCATTAGCAACGATTCTAATAATGTTTTTCAAAGATTGATGATGCTTTGCTCGTCCAGCGGAGAAATTGTCTGGGCATGTATGTGCTTATCGTTCATCAGATACTATTATGGTCTAAAGCTGAGAACCGATTTAATATCGAGAAATTCTCCAGCTTTTCCATACAAGAGTCCCATGCAGCCATATCTAGCTTATTATGGTTTAATTGTAGGACTTTTCCTAATATTTTCAACTGGTGCAACTGTTTTTCTACATGATAGTTGGAGTGCAGAGTTCTTTGTCACTTCTTATGGATCTTTAATTGTATTCCTCGTGAGTTATTTTGCATATAAGTTTGTTAAGGGAACAAAAATTTTGAAAATCGATCAAATTCAGTTAGATATTGGCCGGAAAGAAAGTGATAAAACCATTTGGGAAGAAACAAAGGCATATAGTAGTAATTTCCAGGAAAAATTCAAGCAGGTTTGCTCATATCTTTTTTGAGTTTGAAGGTAACATCTACTTTCTTTTCTTTCTCTTTTTTTTTTCCTTTCTTAGAAATCTTGAGCTTTTAAGGTTCCTTTTTTTTTTCCGTTTTTCGTGTTCTGTTGTTTTTTTTTTTTTTGTTTCGTTGTGTTTATTTTCATGGGATTAGATTTCATTTAGATGTACAATATTTTTAAGTCATTGGCGCTGCATATTTTTTCTTCTGTTGTTTTATTATTCTTTTTTATATTATGGGGTCTCTTTTATTATTTTCCAATAGACGCGTATAAATCTATACACTCAATCAACATACTATTAATGAAAACTATTTCAAATTCTAGCTAGCTTGCTGAAATAAAATTCTGATTTAATACCATTTTCGTGGCATCTCATGCACTAATTCACGATAGGTATTATTCTCAAAACAGCAATACTCTAGTAGATTATGTTTTCATCATCAGTTACCACGAGTTTATGTATGCAATTATTTGTCACCCCCTCCCCTCAGAGCATTTTATTTTCTCAAAATTGAACTTTCTGTGCTTTTTATCTGATTGTTCTTCTTTTTATTTTTGTCTTTTTTCACATGATTCTTTTCAATGTCTCAAGAATTAGAGAAGATTGAGCTGTTATGTTGCAATTTGGCTCATGTTCACTGTTTCTCACTCAATATATGTCTTAAAACATGCACTTCATTACTACTTAATCAAAAAATTGTTGTTTTATTCATTATATACTAATAAACAATATATTACCTAAGTCTCTTAGCGAGACATTCTGAAATGTAATCTAACTTATATTACAGGCATATTATAAAAATACACAGTCACAGACTACCAAAAGTATTTATTTGAGTTGCATGGTATCATAAGCCTAATGACTTCAACATGAGCATTTTTTTCCTTTCCACTAAAAAAACTTCAGTATCCTTAATTGAAGGAATCTCATAACAGTTATCATTTAATAATACCTTCATAAAATTTTCGTTAATCTTGTCAACATGATTATCGCCCTGGTATTTCTTCAAAGTATCAGACTTTGAATATTCTTGCATCAATTTTTTCATTAAGCTTTTCGAGAGATTATTTTCGGGATCATTCAAGCCATCGGTCAGTTCGGTGGTTGTGGAAGCTTTTGATCCATTCGTTGAGTGTGAATATAATATTGAGGATTTTGTATCATTTGGAATAAATTCCTCCCCTAAAACGTCCAGAATTTCTGCCCTTATATCATCATCAACTGATATTGACATTTCCAGATCAGCTAACATGTCGTAGCCATAATATTCAAAGCTGATTTTATTTTGTTTATCATACACTAATTTTTTATTGAAATATTCAAGTTCAGAGTTCTTGCTTTTTTTATGCATTTCACCCATCTCCTTATTCCGAAGCTGTATCAACTGTTTCACCTCTTTTAACTCTTTCGCTCTGCCAAAATATCGATAATTTCTTACCACAAACTCATCCTTATTAGTGTGTGAAGAAAACTTCATATAGTTTGGACCGCCCAATTCTTTGATTCGATACTCCCACGCCGATTTCTCACGGAATAACTTATTTACCTGGTCATTCAAATCTCGTATCTGATAGTCATTAATCATGTCATCATACAATTTCAATATCTTGGAATTAATCTCCTGGTTCACCTGGCCTCTCCATTTTTCAGCCATTTTAACATCCTTCACTGTAGCCACATTCCTGGGGCGCCTAAGCTTATTTATATTGATATATCCTAGGTCAAGCGCCCTCTTATCCTCTAGCTGATGAAGTAAAGATTGTGCTTTCTCCTTATTACGTGACATTATACCCTTGTTTGTGGAGTTTGGTGACTGTATTTCTCTTAACCCATAGAAAGATGTTTGGGTTTCGATGTGTAAAAAAAATCACATATATATGTATTACACAACAATGCACATCGCAAATGTGCAATAATTACTTTGCACACTACAATAAAACCATTTAGTTGACGATTGCGGTTTATAATGAATAAGATTTCAAAAGTATTTTAACCATCAAGAAAGAAAGAGTTTGCTGTTTGAGGAATTTAGGACTTGTGATCCTATGTTGCAGAAGTGATAGATACATTGATATCTCTAATCACAAGTTGGTTATGAAGCCTTAATTAACGACTCAACCATCCATCATAGTAGCCAAAAAGATTAGATGTACCCTCCCTGTTGATGCTGTCTTCAAAACTGTAGCACTTTTGGTAATGGTTGCGTGTCTAAATACCATATTAAGAAATTAATGTGACTATCATTGAGTAAAAAAAAGAAAGTATTTCTAATTAGAAGTGTGCTTTTTTCTGTATATTCACTGTGTCTTTTATTACTGAATCGCTCCTTGACCCTGCCAAGTACCACTACTTTCCCTCTTTTAAATTGGTAACCATGCATAGTTAAATACCTCTAGTATCGTACATTTCAATAACAACTCTCATGTTTCTTCGGCTTCACGCTTCTGTGCACTTAGAAATGCGGATTGCAGCTATCTCTGCACATCAATAATTCACTGAACCTCCCTTGTTCTCATCAATATTCTTGCCTAAGATATTTCTATCGTCTTTAGGGCACTGAAAATACACTTAATATGGTAGAGCATGAATTGTGTTAAACATTAAGTTTTTCCTTTGAGATACATTTGCAGCCAACATAAATTTCCAAATCGGGCTCTCAAAGGACCCGGCAATCACAAAAGATCACCAATGAGGATATCACACAAATAAATTGGCAATATTTAGGTTTGTTTTGAAATTATTTTTACAATCAAGCTCAACTAAAAGTGTGTTGGTTTCTTTTTATCTCTCGAAATGTGGATACATTTAAATGCGTATAAAAACCCCACAAATATTCCAAGATTTATTTTGTCATTACTTCGAAGTTAGAGTGCACTCCTGGAAAAATCCACAATTCAAAAGAAAGAAGAAGGAAAAGCCATTGATCTTTGATTGAAATTAGTAGATTTTAGAATTTAGTAAATGGTGAACTATCAAGCATTACTCATTGGCCTCTCAGCAATCGCGTTGCTGCTTCATCCGGTACCTTTGATTTATTTTGCATTTAAAGAACTAGATATACCCGCTCTATCATTTTACTTTTGGATCACGGTGCAACTCATTGAGAACATTATTAACTGCTCCATATGGGGAGGCAAAGGGTTTTCGTCTACATGGAATGGGAGAGTTTATTGCGATATTATGGTCTATATAAATGATGGTTGCCTAACTGGAATAGTTTGTTCTATGTTTGCTTTATCTTTTCGTTCTTATGTTTTGTTAGGAGTCAAACCATTTTTCTCCAAACCAAAAAAATATCAACACATCACTTATTTCTTAATTTGTTGGGTCTCCCCAATTATCGTCATGGGATTAATATACCTTGTGTACATGTCTCGATATGCTATTGTTAAATATGATGGGTGCACTTCTGTTCATGACTCTGACTGGCTTAACTATTTTTTGATGTCTTTCTTCTCATTAGGGTGGTCATTAGCAACCGTTGTTGTCTCCATATTGACCTTGTACGAGTATTATAAAAGAAGATTTGACGCCAATGATCTTGTTCGATCTTCCAATTCTGGTACATCGATGAGCAGAATCTGGAGAACTTTGGCACTCTGTTTGATTTGTTGTATCGCACAAATTCCAATGACTGTTGTTTACATTATTACCAATAATTATGAAGCCTCGCCTGATTATGACTTCAGGGAAATTCACTCATCTCGTTGGTGGGATACTATTATATATTATAATCACTCGCAACCATACTATACCAGATGGATCTATGTTGCTGCAAGCTTCTTAGCTAGTATCCTTCTTGGTGTTGGTGAAAATATCAAGCTATTTTATATTAGCATTCTTAGAAGGCTCGGTTTTGATGGGGTTATCAATATATATACTCAGCACCAGGAAAAAAAGGTTATTAGGAGCTTGGAAGCTGATGACAATGAAGTATTTTGCAATTCCAATGGAGCTCAGAATCCAAATGAGCTCATTTTTACAAGGGGAAATTTGTTTGATTATGACGAAGAGAAAAATATTTGTGAATCTTTCGATGAAAATCTTGGCAGAAGTTCAGCAAGTGGTATTGAAACGGGTAAAAACATTAGAAAAAATAGCATCTCCACTGATGTTTCTGAATTTTCCTCAATAAGTTCAATTTCTGATAAAGCCCAAGCGAAACGCAGTGAGCATGCAGGTCTTTGATTAAAAAAACCTTTTATCTTTCTACAGTTACTCTTACTTTATATCATCGATTCTTTTATTCTAATCTTCTATCTAAATAGTCCTACTATTATCTTACTTGCAGAGATCTATGTCACATATTATCTATATATCGATCTATCGACATTGATAGAATGTAGAGCCAGTCACGCGACGCTGACTAAACATGTGGGCGATAAAAAAAAAAAAAAAAAAGAAATAAGCGAGATGCTTAACAAAAAAACATCACTGATTGGAGAGATTAAGTTGACTGTATAATATCGTCTTGCTAGAGTGCTGCTTATCAGATACCTCACCAACTGAAAGATAATCTTGTTTGTCACTCAATAAAGCAATATATTACTTATTAGTTCAGCACCTACCAACTGTGACCTCCGATCTTTGGTGACTGGGGCTTGTGACTCCCAAAGGGTTTGTTTTTTTTTGTGACCGATTTGCAACATCTAAATAAATCGCCACCATTATTATTAAAGAATAATATCATTGGTTGTTTTAGTGTTGCTGTGATATAAGAAAGACTAGGAGAGCGAATGTTGGCAAGCTTATTTAATAAAGGAGTCTCCTCCCCTATTGAACTGCCGTCATTATATTCCGCTTCCCCATTATCTTTGGTAAATACCGAATCAGACAATATCCTGAAAGAGAAAGTGAACAACTTTCCACTATATGGTTCCAATGACATTCTGCACTTCAACTTTGATAAAAATGATTTCCGTATTTTGGTTTTAGAAGATACCGGTCATTTGTATTCCACCGATAGATATTACGTGTTATATGATTCAGACCTTGAGAAGGCTAAATTGAAAGCTAAAAAAGCACAGCATGATAGGGAATTATCAGGAAGGACCAGGCCAGATAATAATTCAAGAAAATTAAATGATTCGCAGAGGAATAAGAAGCCCGTTGAAGCTATAGAAGACTTGGCGCGTCAGCACTTTTATGACAAATCAGATATTAGAGTCATTGCAGGATATTTATTCGGATCGAGTTTTAAGGCAAAACTGAAACAGACTTCAAGAATACATTGCGAACCACAAGATAAGAAGTTGAATAAGAAGTTGAGAAACAAGACTTTGGCAGTTCGAGCTTATCATTTTGATGCGAATTTTGAGGACAGTTTGATTAATAGACAGAAGACAGGGGCTTCTGATGTTATAAACGCCTCTTCCCAATCATTAAAGGCAAGCAGCTCACTTAATTTCAATACAGATATTTTTGATAGGAACAAGTCTGCACAAAGTTTGCATACAGAACCCCAAGCCATTACACAGAATGACATTACTGAAGAAATGTGGACAGCAGATCCAGCAACTAAAATTGATCATGATTTTGGCTCCAAAAATAATACTCCTATTGGCATTTGTATCGTCTTACCATTTTCTGCTAAGGAATTCACGCAAACTGTTGGTGCAAATTTTCAAGACTTCGAGAATTGGTTGTATGAACTTCAAGACCTCACTTTGAAGTACTTAAAACGCTATTATTCCAGGCAAGTCTCGAGTTCTGGTGCCAAAACTAAACATTTGTTGAAGCCAGATTCATGGTACGGAAATAATGATAAGCCTAAGTCCACCAATAATAGGCTGCATGAGTACTTCATGGTTGATGATATACAAGGCAATAAAATATATTTCAACGAATATATATTGCAAGACCAATTTGAATCAGAAAGTGTTTTTTTGAATTACTATCATAGAATTAATTTTTTCATGAACACTCCAAGAGTTATAACAGGTATGCCAACTTTTGAAAAGCTTCTTAAATTTAATTTCATTCCCCAGGCTACATCTACAACAAGTCCAAAAAGCTTAGTGAAGAAACCTTCAAAAAGATTGCTATTCTTACTTTTCTGCAAAGAAGTTCGGAACTGGTTGACTATTCACGATTCAGTGGGTGACAAATCATGCAAGTTTTTATCAACTTTGTTATCCTTGATATACCCAATTAGAGAACAATTGGTAAATTCACGTCCATCCAATAAAAAACGCAAGATAATTCGATTAGTTTTTTATTCAGAAAGTGACCCAGTCATAAACAGTTTAATGAATATTTTAAGTTGTTTCTTACCTGACGTTATTTTCCATTATGACGTCTTAACTGAAACAGAATTCAACAACTCAAAAAGCAACTTTCAGAACAAACTTTGTGAAAAAAAATCGAATAGCGAGCCTTCCCAGAAGTTGAAAAGTTGGCCCGCTAGTAATACCACGCATAGCAAAACACTAAGCATTAGTGATCCCAAACAGCAAAAGATCCCTGAAGATGAAAGTGCAGTTGACACTAGCTATGAATCTATTGATGGTGGTACTCAAAGACCAACAGTCAAAAATACTTTACCTTCTTTGGATTTATCAGCAATTGATAAATTTGATGCTGAAACAAAACAAAACTCCAGGCCAACAACACCGTATCCTTACAATTTACCGCCATCACCTGTGATCTCTAAAATAAGCAAAGGTTTGAGACTCTCTTCACCGAAATCTATTCCAACTGCTCAGGCGTCAACTTATGATACAATTAGTGTTTACTCATCCCAATCGGAAAACTCTTCCTATAAGAGCGACTTTGACCAGTTTTCATATTTTCCTAGAAGCAATTCGATTACCTCTAACAATAACATGATAATTCAACCGAGCTCCAGAATAACTTCTAGAAGTTCGTCGTTCATTCAACATGAGGATGATCTCATATCACGGATGCGAGAACCTAGGAGAAGATTAGTGAAAACAATTTCTGTGGCTGACTTGACGCAGAAGAGTATTAGGGCCTCAAATTCCTCCCTCAACAAAGGTAGGTTGTTTTCAAAGAAAATGGATTTGCTTCAAAGAACTCCTACTGCGCTATTAAATATTAATGCTAAAAAGTATAGTACTCTATCTGAACAGAGCGGAACCTCAGCGGGTAAAAATGAAAATGAAAATAAACCAGACTTCTCATCGTTAAATATCTCAAAGATCAGAAATACTAAAAACGTCAATGATAGTAACAAGATTGTTGCGTTGGAGAATGAGAGGTTTATGAAGGATTATATTTATGATATGATGCTAGGCCCTCAAATTGAAACTGATATAGACCTAGAACTTGGGGTGTTGGCAGTTGATGCGGAAGGGGAAAGATCCCAGATCATTAATGAGTATAGTGAAGAATATCTATATGAAGACAACAATGATTTTGAGATTCTGTTGCCTGGAGATCAAAAAGATGGAGCTTTAGAGTACGAAATGAATTCTGAGAAATATCTTAATGATGATGAATTTGGTAAAATTATTCTCCCCTCCTCTGAAATTTATTTGCCCCCATTGGTTGGTGCGTCTCGTGAGTTCATACCGGAGTTTACCGTTCAGACATTGAAAAAAAATGATAATATCAAAGCATCAATTATTGATGCCATGAAAAAAGATTTATTCCACAATAATTTTATTGACAAATGTTATGACAATCCCTCGTATTGCCATGAGGGGGATCCTACTGGTAAGAGGTCTATTACAAAAACTTACTACGTGAACCTAATGACTAGGGAGATTCAAGAGTTTGAAATTATTTTGAAAATACCGGTCGCGAAGCAGGCAAAAATAGTCCCTAATAATGACTCAACGACACCAAAAGGCATAAGTGTGGGCTTGACTCAAACGGAATCAAACTTATTGAACGAAGGTCTTGGTGTATATGGAGGTTTCAATGAGAATAGCTTTTCTCCTGTAGCGAATCTTTCAAGGAGCATTAATACCCATTTGCGTCACTCTTCGGTATTTTCTATGTCTTCCACCTCCTCATCATCTGCAAGCTCATCACCACATCAATCACCATCCCCAATAAGATCTTCTGCTTCCATTTTGAGCTTGTTTGACTTTGGGAATAGTTATTTAACAAATAATAATCCCTTCAATTTCCAAGATAAAGACTTTGTGTTGATTGGTAACCGCATCATGGATGAGCAAGGCCGTTTATGTTCTAAGGAGCTACAAGGTTCCATTAACGAAATGGATTTAATATTGAATATCATCGCTAATTATCAAGACGATGTTGATTTATGAAAATCTGTTGTTCTATATACTTTTCCTTTTTCTTTATTTTTTTTGTTTTTTTGTTTTTTACTGCTGTTGTTATTAGTATTATTAAATTTGGTTCTTGGTCGCTTTTTTGTTTTGTTTTTTCACTACCTTGATGATTAATTTTTTTATTATTTTTGGTGGGTTTTTGACCTAATGGTAAAGCTATTCTTCATTCCCTCTTTCAATCGATTCTCAATGGGTTTTAGAGTTTTGATTTTTTTGTCGTTTTGCTGGTGTTTTCATAATTATTTGCCAGTTTCTATTGGTTTTGTTGCAACGATATTAATATGATGTATTATAATCTATGTAGTTGTCAACGTAGAAGATAAACTCAGTACTTGGTTTTATTACAATAATGATGCAGGACAGGGATGAGCTTCCGGTATTTATAGTAACTCTTCATCGAGGTTGTTGCCAACGGTCGACGCTAAGCCGGAGCTCCGGCTCAGGCTACGGCTCTCCTTGTCTCAGAACCGCTTGGTAGTGGTAGTTGTGCCTGGTTGTCTGGTTGTCACAATCTAATGGATGTATATGTTGATCATTTTTGGTACATGTGTGTGGCAGAAAACTATGAGCGCTGTGATCTCCTGCAATGTTGAGAAATCAATAAGTTTATTACTGGAAAAAAAAGAGGAAAAAAAAAAAAATACAAGAAAAGACAATATAAATGAATTGAATGTTGTAGGTGGATACTTTATAAATTTTCAAGCAGATTTATACGCTGAATGCAGGATCATCTAATAAAATGTTTCATCCTCTTTTTGGACACGGCATTTCCAGCCTTTTTTGTCTAACAAAGGCAAGGAAGCACCTAAACACCAACCTAGTTCGTTACCAGCAATCTTCTTGGCGGTCTTTAATTCACGATGTAATGGAATATCATAACCAGTGTGAAGCATGGCAACCATGAAAGAAAGATCCAAACAGTAGTTTGGTTCACTAGCTAATTCATCAAGCGATCCATCAATGGCACCCAACATTTGTTCCCAGAACGAGTCACCGTTACAAACAATCTTTGCCAAGTCACGCATTTCACCAAGGGTGAATGAGGATGGCATCCCCAATGGGTTGGTTCTATCGTAAAAGAAAGAGAACACATACATGTCTGAGGATTCTTTAAAGTTTTTAATCAATGATGGTTGGTGGATACCGTTGAAAGAACATGGAAATTGGGCACATTCTAAGTCCTTATTAAGAGTCTTTTCGGCAAGATAACGACATTGAGCTCCAGAAGGTTCCTCAGCACCAATAAAGTTCACCAAGTAAGTTTCGTCTGCAGAGTACTTAACCTTGATATTCTTGGCAACATTACCAGGGGAAACACATGGGGAGATAAGGTCAACGGTGGCTTCGGTGACATCTTTACCCTTGATTGGAACTAAACCAGTTGGTTTCTTGTCGGATTTGAGGTAGGATTCCAAGATGAGCTTGTAAATCTTTTGTCTACCTTCCATCAAACCATACCCCAAGTGGGAAAATTGGTATAATTCAAAGTCACGGTTGCCAAAATCGATCAGGTACTTGTGGTCACCATCGAGGAGTTTCTCATTGGTTGAGAATTCTGGTTCAAACACAATTTGGGTGGAGCCACCACCCAAATCAAAAACTGCGGCAGTTGGAATTTTTTCACTAGAACCAATGTTTCCAATCAAGTAGTTGGCGGTGATCCAGGCATAAACACCTTCGTCAGCCCCATCCATGATAGAAATACCATCACCGCTGACCACGGCAAATGGCCATTCGGTTTCCAAGTATCTACGGACTTCCTGCAAAATCGCGTCAGACTTTGCTTCACCCAACAATCTTAAACCAGCAGTGGCCTTAACAGCTACAGGGGTACAACCCTGGAATTCCTTTGGAACAGACTTAACTGCAAGTTCCAACAATGGATCCAAGGACTTAGCAGCACCAACAATGTCGGTATCAAATGAAGAAAGGCCTGGCTTAAGCATTTCAAAGTCCTCATTAAGGAGCTTTGGAGGGCTGTAACAGACATCGAACTTGTAAATATGAACTCTTGAACCACTGGAACCGGCATCAATCATGACAACGTATTCTGGATCAGCGTCACATTTACCCGATGATGAGCCAGATTTTGACTTCGTGTTTGATTTTGAAGCTTCAGTTAAGACACTGTCCTCCTGACCGGCAGAACCAGAGCCAGAGTCAGAGTAACTCTTAGTTTTACCATCCTTTTGTTGTTCAGAGCTGGAGAATGCCTTATCGGCTTTAACTTTTTCCTTAGAAGTACCAGTTCCGGCCTTATCTTTTTGTGGTGACTGAGGATAAGGAGGCTTTGGAGGTTCATTGTTTTTTGATTCTGAAGAAGAAGAATCTTTCAAGGCATCTGATGAAGTCTTCTCAGTTTCATAGCTATCGGATTCAGATTCAGCCTTCGCGTTGGAATTACTGCCACCTTTATAAGTGTCGGCATCTTCATACTGACCAAACAGAGATTTTGTTTCCTCGACGATGGTAGTAGCCTTATCCTTAAAGCTATTAAGGATCTGGCTATCAGCTAACTGGGTGTGGTCTAAATAATTCAAAAGTTAGATTTGAATCCTCCTTCACTATCAGATAAACAAATACATACAAGCAGGAGAACTATTCGAGGTCAAATAGAACAATGCAACAAAGAAAAACAACCCGACCGAAATGAGAACATAACGGGAATTTCTGTTAGTAGCAATACGGATCATCTTGTGCTTGTAAGAAGAGATTTCCCTTGCGATAGATGAAGGTAAGGTAGATTGGAATTTTGATCCCACCGAAAATATTACCTGGCATAAAATACACTACCCGGTAAAACGCGTCACCTCTTCTTACGGGTAAGAGGCACATCTGCGATGATACTTTTTTTCTCTAAAGGTAAACAAAACTGCGCTTAGTGACATATGAATATCACCAAACCTGACAATTGCTCCAAAAATGTCCAAGAGAAAGAGTATTTTTGATAACCTAAAACGATTATCTACTGTTCCTGATAAAAAGGAAGCCTCTCTTGATGATGATATTCTTCAACTAGAATCAATTGATCAAGAAATTTCAAAGACGCTATCGTTAATCCATTACAATATTGACGCTTGTAACAGCATCATTACCAATAAATTCCTCCCAGTACTTATGAACTATCATGCAAATTCAAGAGATATCAATAATAGCACTCGTTTCCTAAAGAATCTTTTTGAAAATAGTTTGAATGTCAATATCCAAGTGCAGAAAAAATATGATGAAAATCAGAATCACAATGAACTGGCAACACATGATAGCAAAAGCGGCTCGACAGAGATACTGGTATCCTCATCAATTTCGAATTTAAAAACTCTTGCCCAAAAAGTGAATGTTAATGATTCAGAAAGCTTATTATCTGAAACCATCTTATCAAATGACTCCAGTAGGATTGATATTCAAAAGCTGATGGAAAGATTTCATAAACTTAACCAAAACGCCAATAAAATTATCAAGCCAACATCATCTATAGACCAAGAGAATTTCAATGATCTGTATGACGACAGTAATCTACAACTCACTCCAACTGGAAAAAGAGAACTTAATAGTGTTTTTGCAAACCGAAATAGGACAAATGAATCATCAACAGCAGATTTCATTGCCAACAACAACTCAATCATAGACCAAAACACATCAACCTTTACGTATGAAAAGCAAAATAACCAGAAATTAAAGGTGCTACCTGAACTTCTACCTCGCAAGCGACCTGGTGACGAAGCGACTTCGCCATTCAAGATTCAAATATCCCCAATAAAAAAGAGACAGCGAATGCCTAGCAGTCCTACGACACCAAAAAGAGTTGTAGGAGCACGAAAATCGTCAGCTGCGATCTTTGAGAAACTCAACATTGATGATTCTCCAGATGACATTCCGAAGACTCCAGAGCTTACGTATTTGAAATTTTCCCCCCTCAAAATGAATAACAAATCAAATGCTTCCATGAACCCCGTCACAAAAACGGTAGATAAACCACACACATCGTTTGCTTCCATTTCAGCTACTACGCTAGAGATACCACAGCTTCCTTCATCTCTCAATCTAGATGATACCATGGGTAGTAGTAATTACCAAACTCCCCAGCCGCCGCTGTTCTTTGATTCCTCCGTTGAAGGAATCGTATTGAAATCGCCGCCGACTCTGATGAAGTTCGCTCTCCCCAAGCTGAAGTCCCTTATTGTAAAATCCCCAGTGAAGGCTCTTGCAAAGCGATATACTAAAGATTATTTGGATATGGAATTAGACGATGATGAGAGTCAAGAGTTGATGAGTTTTGAATTGCGAAATAAGCACTACGAAGAAAATGATATCGATTCTACTAAGGAGAGTACTAAAGAAAATACTGAAGATAGTATCAAGGAGAAGCATACTAAAAAAAAGGACGACGGTACTGCTGAAGACAAGGAAAATGGGATTGTTAGTGGGAATAATTACGAAAAACTGGTAGAATTAGATGATTTTCAAGAACCTGAAGAGTAATGTAAATCATTTTTCAGAAAATTTGTATGTACATATAGGTAATTGATACTAGATTGTTTTCTTAAAATAAGTAAACTGGTCAGTGAATTTGTTTTATTTATTTTTTTTTTTCTATTTTTTTTTTAAAAAAAATGCTAGACGATTCTAATCAAAATATTTATAATTCTCTTAATTTTAAATACTCGTCATCATTATCAAATAGCTCCTCTTCCTCTTCCCCCTCTATAGGTTCTTCACTGTTTTTCCACTTCAATTCACTACCATTCAATATATCCATTAAACTATGAATTGGTCTATTTTCAGATAACTTTCCCTTGATCATCAGTCTAATTAATTCAACCTCTCCTCCAGGATAGACCAATCCTAAATCCTCAGGACCGTAAAATTCAACAGTAACTTCTTTGAAGAATTTGATCAAATCCTTTTTTCTCACTTGGAGTACCTCATCGGCGTTTTTGGGCATCAAAGCGGCTGCAACACTCTGTAACTTGTTCCACCAGTAGTTTTCAGTCCTAGGAAATATGACTCGGATAATTGTTGGGGTGCGCAGTACATGGAACCATTCTACTAATTTCCGATTATTAGCGTTCGTTACATCTGCCCTGCCAAAGACCACATTTCGTGAAGACAATCTTGATTCTGTGGCCACAGATTCATAGAAATCGGTACGATCCCACCAAGCGTTCATCCAAGGAGCGACAAATGGAATAACTAGGGGGTTGGATCGTTCAAAGTATTGTAAGAGAAGGAAATCCCAAAAACTCAAGTCTTCTGTGGTGGTTATGTTTTTGACGATTGGATTATCATTATCAGCGATATCTTGGCTTGCACTAGTCAAATACCCGAGGATGAATTGGTCATATTTGTCATCACTTTCAAGATCCCAAACATCACTTTGAGGCCATTGAGGTTCAATGGAGGTTTGCTCTTGGATCCACTGCGACAAATTCTCCAAAGTTCTGCTACCTTCAAAGGTGGAAATTTCCTGGTTTCCTTTGAATATCTTCAAAGTTGGAAAAGACTTAATACCGTACACTGAAGAAACTTTATGTTTCAAAGCATCGATTTGGATAAGTTGAAGTTGCGATGATGAGGCATAAAGCGATGGCATGTATTGCCAAATTGGTTTAAGCAAGGCACAGTATCGGCATGATTGGGAGAAGAATAGTACGATAGAAAAGCCCTGAGAGTTAGATGATTCAGAAAGAAGCGATTGTAGAGAGTCTGCGGTAACTTCTAAAATGTTTGATTCTGAAGTCAATGCATAGGCCACACTGAGACAAAAAAGTGTTAGAAAAAGAGGTATTGAAATAACTTTCATCTTCTATTAAATAATAATCCTCATCAAGTTGGATCCAAATAAATTTTGATAGCGTTTTGATAATCGTAGGGTGCATTATATTTTCAATTCATTTTTTTTTTCTTTTAGCGTGAAGAAATTTTTCAATGTAAAACCGTTTATCTGGACAACATTGAATTCAATAGAGCTCTCAATTCACTCTATTGGCTCCTTTAAAGTAATATCTGATAATTTCTAATCTGGAATTGTAGATTCTAATCATTGTAGTGTCTATGGACATTGAAAATATGAAGTTCGAGTGATATACCAAATGGTTGGGTTAGACTCTCATGAGACATACATTCTTTCTGAGTCTTATCAACCAAAAAAGAAGTTGGTTTTTTCATCGATGATGATCGCTCTTTTAAAAGTTTTCCATTTTATTGCAGTATATATTGACTGAAAATATAGATTTTGCATGTAATGCAAGGTTTTTGGGATTACGTATATGATCAGATTTGAATTCAATTATTTTATTCCTCATAAACTAATAATTACAGATCAAACATTATTAGCGGTTAGAAATAATTCTACAAAGCATTCAGTATCTGTCTCATCAAGCCACTTGCCTTTTAGGTCATTGTCGATCGCAAATGCTATACTATCGGTTAAAAGGAACCCCGAGCCTTTTCCTAAGTTCTATATTTATTAAAAACCTAATCTATAAATATTCCATAACGTTACCCAATTAATATAAAGAAAGAAAATTGAAATTAAACACAACTGCCCAAATCCCATGCTGCAGAAATACCAATAATAATATAATTTTATAGTAGCCCCACTAAGCCCAAAAATGAACCAGCTATTAAGTAGTTATTGAGTTCTAACTCACCTTTTCCTGAGCCGGCAGTGGTGGTTTGTGAGGTTGTCGGTAAATATTTCGACCCAATATCGTAGGGTATCGACGACGATGTTTTTGTTCCGGTTAATGTGCTGCTTGTTATTGTGGAATTGGTATCAATGAAATCTATAGGTAATGTAGTGCTGGTATATTCCAGTGTAACCGTGGTAGCATCGGACAGAGAGTCATCCTGTAATAATCCGGTGGTGAAGAAAGTGGTGGTTGGCAGAGCCAATACTGGTTGAACCAAGGTTCCTGATCCCTTGGCATCTAGAACAACTGGTGCCAAGGCGATGAAGCTTCCCATCGTGAGGGTGTTCAAACCAATATTCTCAAATAGCTCCACCACCGCTTCCACCAAATCACCAGGAGATGGATCAACTATGGTGACTATTGATAAGAAGCTTCGGTATGCTGAAGGATAGTTTGATGCCACTGACGATTCAAACAGTAGGGCAGATTCAAGACGGGGATCTAGTGAAGTTGTCATTTGGGCGGTGCATTGCGAAATTGCCGAGACGATGGAACTGACAAACGCTTGGTCCTGGTTTTGGGCTGACATTCTGTATAACCTTTTCTATCTTATATTTCACACAGATCCTTTTGGTTTTGTTTACTTATCATTCTCCTATTTCTCTATGGACTCTTCTTGCGAATATATATGAAGATATTGAAAATGTGATGAGGTACATGTAAAAAAAAAAGCATTATCTTGCTTTTGAAGTCTTCAGCATTTTAGTGAACAATTCAAATACATAGGGTAAATCCACCTGATTTTGTGCATGCACAACTTGAGAAACAAATCTGTATATTAAGAAAACTCGGTGACCTGGTAATTGTTCAAGCAAGTTCATTACGAGAATGGGAGTTTTTGAAAGGAAACAAAATTGTCACAGGTAAAATATTTGAATCCATTTTCTGAGGTTTTCTTTACAAATTGGTGGTCTCCAAAAACTTTTTGGCCAATATTTGCTTCTTTCATGACAGGTATCTAATGATTAATTTGTCATTCTAATTGGAAACTATAGTAATATAATAAGAAGTAATGTCATATTAACCTGTAGGGTGAAAAAGATATGGTATCTAAAAACTAATCACTGGTAACATCAATACAAAACAAGAAAAACATTGAGGCGAGAAGAAATAACCTGCACATATTTTATTATTATTATTTTAACGAGATAACTTGAAAAGTTTCCAAAAAAAAAAGAAGAAAGCAGCAACTTCGCTTATTTCTGTGTATCATAATAGGGCAAATAGTCCTCCCAAACCGCCAATCATATACACCATCTTCATTTCAAAACCCCTTCTCTCAATTGTTGCCGCTCCGCCTTCAGCTGTGATCTCATCCTCTGGTGGAGCAGACCGTAGAAATAAACACGCGGCACCATCAGTGATTATTGCTTCGTCAATTTTTATTCTATCATGTAAAAGTGACATGTTCCTATTGTCATGCTGCCTATTGACACTGCAGGCCGACGCGGCAGAATAAAGTCCAGGCCCCGACCCATCACGGCAACAAAATTCGCCCGCCTTTACCGAGGGAGTGAAAAAAAGAACCATGTATAAGTGGAGGCAACAAAAAATCATTTTATTTGTCTTGGAAGGATTGCCAAGTATCCGAGAACTATTGGGCACAAGAATTTAGATAGCTCATGCATCTATGTTTTGTTGGATGTATGTTGTTGCATCGCATTGGTCTAGGTCAAAGATTAATGTTGGCCAATTATGCCCCCAAAAATGCCCTTAATATATAGTCTCTTGATACTTCCATGTACATCGAGAGCAAACTTACCATTTTATGTTCCTTGTGGGTGATCTGAACAGTTTTCTGTATATCTTATGTAGCAAGCAATCATATCAGGAAAAAATAAACTATTTATGAATATCACCCCACCAACGAGAATGAACTTGTAATTTCTAAAAGAAACCAATACGTGTGTGTTGCTCTTGTATACTTGGCAACCACTATAAAAAGCTAATCCACCAAGTATCTTCGGGCTTTGGATGAAAAATGACTACACTACTGGAAACATATGCTTGCTGTAGACCCGCGTTTTCTTATGTTATGAAAAAAGACGTTTAATATTGCAGAGGCAGAAAATGATAATAATGTGTAATTAAAAAATAGTAATTATAGCAGTTGATAATAATAATAGTATCAACCTGGCTAAATGCCACTTTGATCAATCAGTTCACAACATGGCAAACATAAGCCCCATAGCGCCAATTCCTGCACCCCGGCCCAATTTGATAGCACCTGCAGAGCTGCTGTCACCTGACGAAGTCGAGTCGGATGCCCCAGATCCACTATTGCTGGACCCTGAAGTTTCTGCTGAATCAGAAGTGGCGGTGGATTCTTCGCCTAAGATGCCGCTTAAATCGGCAGAGCTACTTCCAGAAGAATCTGAGGATCCAGTAGCTTCTGTAGGCGTAGAAGATTGAATAGCAACATCAGAAGTGGCGGTATTCGTGGCAGCACCAGCAGATGTAGTTGCAGTTTCACCAGAAGAGACAGCATTAGAAGCGGCAGCAGTTCCAATAGCGGCAGAAGTAACAGCAGCTCCAGAAGTTCCAGCAGCACTTCCGGACGCGGCAGCAGTGTTGATAGCAGCATCAGAAGTTACAGCAGCATCAGCAGTACTTGCAATAGTAGCATCATCAATGATACCACCTCCAGTTGCACTAGCAGGTGGAGCAGTGAATGTATCAGCAAGCACTCCAGCCATGTATAAAGTGGCCAATGGGAAAACAGATGACAGGAGCTTCATTTTGATGACTTATGTGGGAGAAAATTCTTCAAGTTTTATTTAAATTTTAAATTTTGCTTCTATAAATTGCAAATAAGGATAAGAGTGGTTTTACTTATAATGAATTACCATTTTCCAAATATCATAGACTTGTACAGTATTTATGAGATTTATATATAGTAATTTCATGGTATAGGAAATTACCATTCCTGTTGTTTACAAATCTACCCACACGGTGTATCCTTTCAAAGAGCTAGGGATTCAATTTATTATGAGTAAGGATATACAATAAAATGGCATAGCCTTCTGACTATTGTACCTACAACACTGCCATATTGATGTGGTGAATGGTTTAGTGATCGAACGTTCTAGACAGAAGAAAGCGCGCGTTGTAGGAGCGACAGGGTAAATGGTGGTCTAGATTACCACACTTTTTGTGGCGACAGTAAACAATGTGACACAGTTCATGATACGATATATTAATAGAACACACAGGAAAAAATAATAAGAATAACTAAAATAAATAATCAAAAGGCATCTAGAAGAATCATTGCAAGTTTTTTTTCATTTGCAATTTCGTAATAGCAATCACTGAGAAATGCAGGCACAAGGATTCTATTGTCGATGAATTAGTAAGTGGGAAAATAATAATAGTAAGAATATGAAGATGAATCACAACGAAATGACCATTTCATTGTTTTTTCAATTGTTAAAATTTGAATGTGGCAATAGTAGAAAGCTGTTTCAAAAACTGGATTTATCATTCAACAAAAGAAAAGCCAGATGACAATGTTAGAAAAGAGCAAGAACAACACTGGCAAAGAATGCTGAGTATCCAACTGCCGCAAATTGAACACCCATTCCAGATTGTGGGGTGTCTACCTTGCTGCTGGAACCACTAGAACTTTCGGAAGAGCTAGAAGAAGTCTTTGAACCCTTATGGGTACTAGAAGCTTCAGAAGCTGAGCCAGAAGCAGAGCTTTCGGTCGAAGTAGTGGTGATGTTGATTGAAGAAGAAGATCCTGAAATAATGGTGGTACCATTACTAGCAGTCGTTGAGCTCACAATTGTAGAATCTTCAGCATCATAGGTGTCGGTGAAATCAGTACTGTAATCAGTACCGTAATCACCAGCCATCCCTTCGAGTAATGGGGCGATTCCATAAGATGGAATTGTTCCAACTTCCTCAATAAAGACTTCGGCAGCAGACTCGACCGCTTCACCGTACAATTCCCCACCAGCACTTTCTACTGATTTTACCACACTGATGAAACTTTTCAAGACTGAAGGCTTGTTAACAATCAATGATGATTCAAAAGACAATATAGGATTATATTCAGAGTCAGTTGACCCATATTCGCTTGAAATTTCGGCAGAAAGAGAGCTGATGGAGGCGAGCATCTCAGTGACAAATGAGTCTTCTGCTGGAGCTGCGTTGGCGGTTTCCAGGTAGCATAATGCAAGACCAGCGATCGATTTAGCTAAAGTGTGATATTTCATTGTGAAGGATACTATTTAGAAAGTGTTGTATTGATGAGACAACAAGAAAAAGAATGAAAAGAAAAAGTCCTCAACCCTTTTTTTTTTCGTTTTTTTGCTACCTACCTCTTTTCTGTCCCGTATTATTTGAAATGACACTATTTTCCATTGGGAATTTTAAGCTTCGTTTTCAAAACAAATCCGGCCAACGCACCCAATACGAATACGGTACGTCAGGACTCACTAAAACAGCGCTAAAGAAAAGTTAGTGTCATAACTGATACCTTTACATCTCGCAATTTGTCCCATCACCACTGGTTGCACAATAAATATCATCTGTTTTTTTTTTCCTAACCTCGTTGTAAAAACTAACAACTATGGTAGGTCGTTGCCCTCGCGTCGCCATAATAGGATGATTACTAACACACGCAGTAACAGTCATCAAATTAACAAGAGAGCATCTATTTTTCCAAAGATCTCGTAACGGAGTGAGTATGATGGATATCGATAATACTGGTCTGCAATGATAGAAAATGAGGCTCGTGGATACATGAACTCTAATTCAAAAACCGCCACATCAAGTAATGTAATCAGGCATCTATCTTCCAATGAAAAAAAAAAAAAGGAATACTGTTCAGACAAACTAAATTGTATAGGAATTTGGTATATATTTTAAAACCATGTGCTCTATTTTTATTATGTAAGACTGTAAGGTGGTTGGTTCGTCCATATTCTTTCAGTATATTATTCCTACCGAGCATTCATAAAAAATTTATGTAACTAAAAAGTAATTTTAATTGCCGGCCCCAGGAATCGAACCTGGGTCTAGTCGGCCACAACGACTCGTACTGACCACTATACTAGGCCGGCTTTTGTGACTGTTTTTCGTTACATACTTTCACTCTCAATATATTTTTCTTTGTTACCCGGCCTTAATGCCTAGTTTCCCAGTTAATAGTATTTGGTTTATTTCTTACTTGGTTTATTAATTTACTATTATTATTTTATTGATTTTTCTTAATTTGATTTATGGGTTTGTGTGTTATGGAAATCAAAGATGTGTGGTGCCATCTGAGATAAAACCATAGCACTGGTCTATTTGATTTTGTTAATTTTGATTTTGATTTTGATTTTGATTTTGATTTTGATTTTGATTTTGACTTTGAATTTGACAACATTCCACAAAGGCTTCACATTATTATCTCTCACTAATAATTGAGGCAAAGAAATGGAATGTGAGTTAAAGTGTTCAGTTGGTATATTGATTTATGGAATCAGGATATGTGTCTGGACTTAAAAAGTGTGTGGTGACACTTAAGACAGACCCATGGTACTGGTTCTTATTTGATTTATTTGGTTTATTTGGTTTATTAGGTTTATTTGGTTTATTTGGTTTATTTGGTTTACTTGGTTATTTTGACTTATTTGAATCATTTGGTCTATTTGATTATTTGAATTATTTTTTTACTTGGATCTAATCATTCTATTGATTTTTATTATTTTTATCTTTATTATCCCCCCAGAATTCTGATGGTCACTACATTGAAAATACTTAGTATTTGAGATATAGTGCCAAAACCCCTCAACAAAGACCTCCATCTCAGTTCATGAAGCTCCTAGTGATGGGTAATTCACTAGTGACTTCATCTCATATTTTCACATTGCACCTTTTTTCCTTAATAATCTTGATTGTTGAGTTTTTTACCGGTGATGTGATTAATTCTTAAAGCAAGGAGTGTGTGGTTGTGAGAAAGTTATAGTATTTTACTTATCTATTAGAAAGACCGGCATGAAATGCCCGGCTTGCAAGTTATTTAGAACCTCTGTGACTCGTTAATATACAATTCATTCATTCATTCATGCCTTAACAAAGACCTCCACATCAGTTCATGAAGCTCCTAGTGATGGGTGATTCACTAGCGACTTCATCTCATATTTTCACATTACACCTTTTTTCCTTAATAATCTTGATTGTTGAGTTTTTTACCGGTGATGTGAGTAATCCTTAAAGCAAGGAGTGTGATGTTGTGAGAAAGTTATAGTTAGTTACTTTACCTACTAGAAAGACCGGCACAAAATTCCCGGCTTGCATGTTATTTAGAACCTCTCCCACTCGTTAATATACAATTCATTCCTTCATGCCGTCATCAAAATAACCATCAGTATCATTCACTCTGCTATCTCTGTTGTAAATCGTATCATAAATTATTTTCTTCCATTTGTGGTTGTTAATGATGAAATCAATAATACTGGAGTACCTCAGTTGCTGGTATATAAATAAATTCTGATAAGAAAAGAAAAGCCTATCATCTAACTTAAAAGGAACTAGCAAATGTTTTGTGCAATGGTGAAACCATTTAATACTGTCTAAGTATAGGCACTGCCGCCAAACCGAACAAAGTTGGTCACATGCAAATCATCGCAAAAAAAAATATATCCATTTAGCAAAAGGTAACAATTTTTTTTTTTGAGCAAGTATGTGATTGTTATATGCCATCTTTTTTGTACTTCCAATCGATAACAAACTATAAAATGTGCATGCCTGCTACTTGTAACACTTGTGGTAAGTTATTAGTGTGTGTATGTTTCAGGTAATTTTGGCGTATGCTAACCATGCTTAACGTTATAGATAAAACCACTTGGAAAGGATGTGGTCTTCATGTCCCTTATGCCATGGACTCAATACCAAAAAGTCAATGGTGTACTTGCAAATCTGCCGATGGCTCACTCTCAGAATATCCTCCAAAATTGGGTACAGGTATCGCTGGTTGAGGCATGCTTGAAAGAGAAATGAGATGATGAATTAGTTATGTGTTTGTATGAAGTTTTATGTTTGATATATAGTTTTTTTTATTTTGTCCATTTACAGTCAAAATATATAGTGATTGGCAAAAAGTAGTAGTGCCTTTTTTTTTTTTTTTTCTAGTTTTTGCAAACTTCGCTGTTAAGCGTTAGTGACATGGCATTTATTAGCGGGATTGTAGATCAATAGGTCTTAGCGTTGCATTAAACTCATAATTAATTTTCCTGAAACAGTAACTGCCCGAGAAAGCATATGAAACAAACTCAGAGATAGCTACAAAGGCATGTGTACCAGTAGGAAGAGCCGCCACAAGGGATCAAAGCCTATTAGTGTATGAACCATTACATCCATCGCCCAAGTATGCCATTACGAGATTTGCCCAATTCAACGCTAGAGAGTCACCTTTTACAGTTTTTTTTTGCTCTTTTATTTTCCAATACAGATAATGCAGTAGTGGATGTATAAATTCCATTTCGTTAGTATCGGGAGGTTATAACCTGATCAAACATATCCATCATTGAACATTCTTTGTGTATGATTCTATCTTATATCAGCTTTTGGTTGAATTTTCTGGCGAATCATGCGCACACTCAAAAGGACGCTTTTCTACACAAAGAAAGACAAAACATCCCTAGGAGACCCAACACTTCAGTAGAAGAATGATATACGTTATAATACCTCTATTACTATTCCTTTTGCGATAGATCATCGCCATCTTTAAAGGACTAAAAGGTTAAAACACTTCGTTAACCTTTATCATCTGAAACTGCAGGAGTGCGCGTCATCATGCAGAAGACCCAAGACTGAGGACGTCTCCATCTATGGCGAAAACTTGGATTCTGTCCTGGTTCCATTAAAAAGTTTGAAAGCCCATCCTATGGCATTTGTTTTATAAGCATCGATGGCCCCACCTATGGATCTTTTAAAATTTCCCAGAGTTTATTCACAGTCTTCGAAAACCCAACACATAACGTGAGAAGTACTAATAAAAATTTAAGGAGGTCACACTACCTACCATATAACAAAAATAAAATATATCAACTTTAGTATTTCCTCTTCTCCCTTCTTCCTCAAAATTCTTCTGGTTTCCAAGAAAATATATAACTACAATGTCTTATGCTTACACTAGTCCAGGAGCTCATTATTATAGCCTCCAGCCGGTTTCTTCACCTTCAGAACATTCTCTTTTCTCCGTCCATTCCTTATCTTCAAGCTCTTCGTCCATCATTTCACAGAATGAAAAAGCAGTATCTTCTACCCCCTCGTCAATAAATTCAAATCTTGGCTCAAAAATCAAGAAAGCGCTTTCACGAAGTAATTCTGTCAATAAAGATTTTGAACCAGTTACCAAAAAGATAATCTCTAATCCAGTTCCAATCACAAAGATTCCTGTCCGCAAAGGATCAGTGGATTTGAAGTATTTCAACCTTTATGATGACAATACTCTTAAAAACAACACAAATTATTATTTCCATCATGATAGATCACATTCGGTCCCCGAAGCTCCACTTTTACAACATCAAAAACAGGCTTCCAGTGGCCAGAGTAGAAGCAAGTTGTTTGAGACACCACTTGAGCTGGATGAAGATGACTTTTATTTCACAGAAACCTCAGGGAGTTCTCCATTTGACGTTATCTTCAACGAAAGAAGTACAAATTTTTGCTCAAAACCAATTGAAATGAGCTCTCCGGGGTCCTCGATTGATCTAGACGATACTCCGATTGCTCCTCTAAACATTCGTACCAACTCTAGTATAACGGAAGAAAGTGGGAATAATAAGCGAGCCAGTGCCGCTTCCACTATAAAACTCAATCGTCAACTGATAAACTACAGAAGTTCGAGAATTACGTTAAGCCATCTTCGTACCACCGCCTCATCATCGCCACGTTCTCTTGAGTTCTCGCTTTTCTCCCCAGCGAAGGACAATTTTGGAAACAATAGTACTGATATGTTACAGAGTGTGGAAAGGTCTTTGAACCGATTAAATGGTCAAGTAGACAGTAAACGCAACAACAGAATTTCCATCCACAACAGCAATTTTTTTTCTTCTAAAAAGCTCAAAAATTTTGGGGATCTGACATTTAATAGATTGAAACAAAGAGGTGCCAGAGAGTCAATACAGATCAACACCTCTGAAGCGTACGAATTGGAGGGGTTATATGAAGCCCATGAATTAGCTAGTGACATCTTGAATAGAGTGGGACACCAACCTTTATTGGGATCGAGAATGATGACCTCATGGATTTGAGTTAATACTATTTTTTATTTTTTATTTTTTCGTTTCAAGTTTATTGGTTTTGGTTCTTTTATCTTTTGATTTGAATGCTTTTTTTTTTTTTTTTGATTTGGTTTCGGATCTATTATTTCTAGAATTTTTTTTTTTTTGTCTACTCCCTCGTTGCAATACCCCTTTTATGATATATAATAATGACAGGCTACGATTTTCCTTATTTGATTCTTCACATTTTATCATGGAAGACAGTAATAATTCCCTGAAAGACACTAATTTGTGATTTGCCTCAGCGGTTGCGAGCAATGCCGGTGTTTACAAAAATTCATAAATATATGAAAAAATTCCCCCATTTCAGCTTATTCAATCTTACGGCTCAATACACATTCGGCATTTGTTATCTTATTGGATATCCTGGGATATATCAGTGGTTTACAATTCTTGTTTTTCTTTTTTCAAATGAGGGAAAAAGAATATTAAGTAGCCATGGAAATAAATAACGATCTAACATGGCTTTCGCTAAATGAACCAAATGAACCAAACATTAGTGATATTTCCTTTGGTGCCCTAACTCTTGCTGAGGAAGAACTGGATCTCATAGATATAGATAGTATTGAGTATGATAATGATGAAGTGGTCAAGATGGATATTGACTCAGATGAAGATTACGAACATCATGCGGGGAATCAGCGAATTAGAGAAATCAACCCAAACCAGACAATAAATGATGATCCATCAGTCCCAAAGAAAAATATTTTCCAAAGCAAAAGCACAGATGAGAGTTACCGAGGGGTATCTATGTTTGGAAATATCATGGATAGCATTTCAAAGACTAGCAATGCAATTTTCTCTCCCACTAAACTCGGAACCAAACTTGCCAAAAAATCATTCATGAAAAGGGTCAAAGAAATGGAAGACGAAAAGACCGGGAAAAACAGAGACTCAATGAATTTTATGGACATGTCGCAGGACGATGACCTCCATTTCGATGATGACGTATACAGTGAAACCCCATTAAAGAACAAGAGTAATAGTATAAAAAGTGGCAGCTTTCCTGTAGCTTCAGGAAAAGGTATGAGAAAAAGATTTAGAGGGCTCAAACAAACGTCTAGAAGTTTCAACTACGGAAGAGGAATGAAGACGAGGAAAAGTATGCTTTCTGAGGTCACAGGAGAAAAGGAAGCTCCAGTGGAAATTAGTGTGGAGGAGAACCTTGGAACTAGCAGTGATATGGAAGAACCTAATGATGATGACTTCAGCACAGATGCTACTAAAGCCGATACTGAATTCGATATATTAATGGACCGAGCCTCTTCTCCTCAGAATGCCAATAATTCAGAGCAGAAACATAGATCTGATTATTTCGCAACTCCAAAATACCAAAGTAATGCGGACTCACCATGGGGCAAGGGTCCAATACAATTGCAAATGCATTATCATTATCATAACGGTGGTGATACCCACAATAATGTCTTCAATTCCAATTCGACACCATTCAATTTATTCCAAAGCAGTACACCGTCAGTTAATCAATCTAATACCCAAAATATTAATTCTGGCGATCTTAGAGCACAATTTTCAGAGAACCTTCCTTCGCCTTGGTCAAATAATATCCCAAAGAACTCGTCACCTTACCTTGTTTCATCATATCTTCAAATTTTGTTCAACGCAATTACAATGGCTGGAGTGGTTTACATTGGATTTTCTACAATCAACTCGATTCGTCTTGATATATCTACTAAATTGAAAGAGAAAGTGGCAACCATGGTGTTACAATCGGCTCTTTGTGCCCAAAAGTACCGTGAAAACAGATGTGATCCATCCACCATAGTCCCAGCCTTGGAAAAACAGTGTTTTGAATGGGAGAAATGCATGACGCGCAACCCACAATCTGGATCCTATTATGCTGCTGTAGGGGCCGAAACCTTGGGAGTACTTTTAAATAGCTTAGCTGAACCAATTGGTATGAAGGCGTTCTTATTATTCGGGTGTATCTTGTGTCTATGGCTATTTGGCAGTAATCTCTTTTTTGGATTTATCCGAGGCAAAGCCTATTACCACAATGAGCCGACACCAGCATTGACTTATGAATCGGCCGCCCCGTTGCCAACAATAAAGGTAAATGGGGAGCCAGCGAAGCAATTAGTTCTCAAAGAAGACTAGATTCCATTTTTTAGATATCGCCTAATATCCTTCTATCGAATCCATGGGATATTATTAACTAATGAAAACGTTCTTTTTGCCTGCAATATGCGCATTTTGTGTAGCCTCTTTCTGCGGTAAAAAAAAGAAAAAAAAATACATAACTAGAAAAAAATTCCATGGAAAAATTAATAGTCATATTGATTCTATCATCCATCATCAAAAACCCCAAACAATCACAAAGGTAGAAATTTTCGATGTCGTCTTCCGTTGCCGCCGTCAAAAAAGCTGTTGCGGGATCGCCCATGAAAAGGGCCACAACGTTCGCCATTCTTCAACAGATGGTTGGTCTGCTTGCGGGAAAGAACAGCATTGGGAAATTTATCCAATACCTACTCAAGTTTCTCCTCTATTATTCTGCATCCTTCCAAAATTCTTTCTTATCAAAGAACAAATCCAAAATTTCTCAGCTTGAGGTGCTTTCGGTGGTCAATTCTTTAAAGTCAGGTAACAATAACGTTAGCGGAGCCAGCGCCGTGCTCCAACAATGGTTAGCGCTTTTGGTTTCTAACCCCATCTTCACCATCAATTACGCAAAATACCATGTTTTCAAAACACAAATTGATAGCCTTGAAGGTTGCGCTAATGGTCTTTCGCTATTCCGCCAAACTTTGAGATTCGGGAAGACCCCATTCCGGTTAACGAACTGGTGCGCTTCTATAACCCAGCACTTGCAACAGCGAGAATACGGGTACTTTACCACTGATGATTTCGCCGTCGATACCATTGATTTGACTTATGGGATCGTCGATGAACTAGGGTTGTTGTTCAAGTTAAAGTACTATAATGCCAACAAGCAACCAAGGTTCAAGAGAGTTGTAGCAAAGCTCGACGAAATCATCTGGATGGCCGATATCGTTTATCAATTGAAGATGCAATGGCAAAAATTGCAAAAATTGAAGGCAATTAAGTATGATCTTGTTAGCAAAGGCCCCGAAGATGAAAAGATTTCTGTGGATGTATACGTCCAGAAAGTCAACCAAGTCAATCACGATATTGAAGTAACTCAATTGGCTCTTGCTAAGTCCTGTTGTGACTTTGGATTTGATGCCATAGATTTGTTCAGTTTGGGCATTAGTAAATATATTTATTATTTGCTCGGCGTGGGATCAGGGTTCTTCAATACTGCAAAGACCTGGAAGGCCACTAAAAGAGAATTGGAAAAATAAATATAACTCCAGATCTTCTGAAAATTAATTGTGTATACTAACATCGAATATATTTATCTTAATAGATTATCTTTTTCCTTTCATAAACATAGACAGATACTTCTACAAAATAATTATTGAATATGAAACTTCATCATTTCTAATTAAATACACAACTAATAGTGAAACCTAAAACATAAAAATAATACTCAATGACATAATAACCAACCATTAAAATAACAAATAAAGAGTAAAAAAGTAAAAAATAACGTGAAAATAAGGATATGAGGATATAAAACATTGAAACGAAGAAAGGAACGTTGCAGGGAACAAAAACTAAAAAAAAAAGGAAAAATTACGAACAAAAATGTTGTATACACGTGAGTAAAGTTGACAACACTGAGGCTTGAACTAAATGTATTCCCTTGGACGTTCTGTTGGGTGTGGGAATTGCGCATATTGACCACCAGGGCGAATTTGTGGTGCACCAACAGGATTTATTGGTGGAACTGCTTTACCTTGTCCATAATGGTATTGAGGCGCCTGGCCATTAGCAGGAATCCCACTACTAGGTGAAAGTATAGACACCACTGGCCTAGAAAGTGGTGTGGATTGTCCTTCACGGTTTACTGGTGCAATATATTGCCCTTGATAGCCTGGTACTTGATGATGAGGCGAAAATTGTTGTTGATAACCAACTTGTTGACGTGGTGAGAATTGTTGAGGCGAAGGTCCTGGAGGACCAGGGGCTGCAGAAGCTACCAGAGGAGCTTGTGGGGCTACGGATGTTCCATTAGCTGCTCCAACTGGAGGTGGAGGGCCGCGCTGGAAATGGAGACTCGACTGTTGTTGCATTGGAGGAGCTTGGGGTAATGGCTGTGCTTGTTGCTCAATTTGTTGCTGCTGAACATTTTGACGGTTCATTAATTCGATACGCTCGTCAGGAGACATGATAGTTAAATCACGAAGTAATTGAAGAGGTGGCTCTGGTGGTTGTTGAAGCTTTGGAACTGGAGCTTCACCTCTAGCAGCAGCTAAAAGAGCATGCGAGCGTTGTTCTAATTGAGCATTTGTACGCATATCACCTGCTAATCTAGCGAATTCTGCAGCTCTAGTACAAGCATTGGCAGCATCACTAAATTGTTTATCGCAACGCTCATAGACACAGTCCAATCCTTTCCATGTAACTACTGCCGTAGCATAACCAACGATTTCTTCCTTCAATTTGGCCGCTTTAGAATAAGCAGCCAAAGAATCTCTAAGTTGACCCAAACGTAAATACAAGGCACCAACAGATAGCCAAGGAAAAGCTGAAGCCGGGGCTCTGCTAAGAGCAACATGTAAAGCTTCATAAGCATTAGAAGGGTCCTCAACTGCAGCGTACGCACAGCCAAGCAAATAATATGGTAGGAAATCACCCTCTTTATTATCCCAATGGTCATCAGTCTTTTGAATAACTACTTGCAATAACTGGGCAGCTTTAACTGCATTCTCAACAGTTGGCTGAATAAGCAAAAGATACGCTTCAGTAATCAACAAGCGGGGATAAAGACCCAATACTTTTTCTGCAGTATCACATATTTGCATAGCCCCTTGAATATCACCATTGGCTTCTTTAGTAACTGCCAAGGCACACCATGTGCAAGATAGTTCATATTTTTGAGCTTCATCCGGTAAAGGTAAAGCAAGTGTATTAGAGAGCTCCAAAGCGGCACCATCTAAATTGCCTTCCGAAAATGCAATGGCTGCCAATTCAGAATGACATTGTCTGGTGATGGCAGCAGCTTCTAATGAGAGTGGCTTCATGGTTCTATCCAAAGCACTTCTAAAAGCGTTAACTGCCATATTTTTTGATTGAGCACCTGCTCTAGCCCCCATTCTAATCAAAGCTTTACCTTCCATCAACCATACTTCTGGGTCTGTAATACTCATCAGCAAAATATGTTCTAAAGTGGCGTGTGCCTGATCATAAAATCCCTTGAGTGCCTGGCAATGCGCCAATTCTTTGAGAATTAAAGGATCAGAACCGAGAGAGGGATACATCCTTATCGCATCATTCAAGATATTAAGGGCGTTTTCAACTCCACGGTCCCCTTTTGTTTTCATGTCATCCTCACGGTAAGTCGCGGAAATTGTGCTCAATGCCAACGCGTTGGCCGGATTTTTATCAAGCGCCGACTGACACGAACGGAACGCCAATTCAAGGTGACCAATCGATAGGGCACATTTCGCACAGGCAGCCCACGTATCCGAAGTCTCGGGATCCACTGGATGGACAGGATAGAGAGGTTGTTGATGTTGCTGTTGTGGTAGAGGCGCTAGAGCCGCTGGATGTGGCGGTTGTGCTGGATGTTGTTCCATTGGGTTAGGAGTTCCAAGGTCCTGACGCTTTATTCTGGGTTGCTGAGAAATTGGTGATTCAAGTTTTCTATGTTTTTGCGGCATATTGTGAATAGTAGCTTTAAGGCCGCTGGTGTTGTGTTTGTGATTTTGTGGACTTTATATATATACACGTTGTTTTATTTTGTTGCGATTGGTGAGAATCAATCAATTTGGATGAATTTTTTTGTCGGCAAATAAATCAAATTGGATTAAAATATGTCGACGTATATCTGCCTGTGTTTGATTATTTTATACAGTCCTTTCAATCAAAGGTTACTAATTATCTATCAGCGTGGAAGTAAAAAAAATAGGTAGAAAAACAGAGGGGCGCGCACTCAACACTTTTTATATTCTGGAGAGCACCCAAAACAAAACTAATTTTTTTTTCTTTTTTTTTTTTTTTGATTCTAAATTTTGTTTTCTGCAATGCAGGTTTTCTTGCTGCCCGAGTCCAATTTAGGTTTAGGCACACAACTGTGCAGGAGATACATATTTATACTTTTATATCTGCATTGCAGGACGTCCGAACCTTAATGGTTGGCTAAGAAACTGAAATAGATTGGGAGAAAAGAAAAGGTTATATACGGGTTTAGGCCGTTGATGCTACTTTCCTAGTGCCTATCTAACCTACTAACAAAGCAACTTATGCGCAATCATTAATTGTCTATCCCACCAGGACTAGAAAAATAACAATAATGTATGATTTTTAATTCTAGAGTCATGATATTCACACACAAATTATGAATTATGTTTAAACTTATTAGTTAGAGAAACACGGTATGCTCAAGCTGAAGGATCAGATAGGAAAGAAGGCCACAAAAGAAACACACCAAAACAAAGTTTCACTTCCAAAGCAAAGAGGCTAAAGTGAGGAACAACTGGAATTTTTTCTTTTTTTTTTTTTTTTTGATGTTTGGGCCCACTCCTTCTCATGTTGTTATATTTGCTATTGCAGGTGATTGTTCTTTTATGTTTATTTCAATTTGATGTCTGAGTCTTCATGCGTTTTTGACAACTAATATGTTGTTGCTTATAGTTATAGGTTTCTCACGTAATATTACACATACCCCTCATGCGGAACTGTTGGATACACGGAGGCCCCCAAATTATTCTGACTATTGGAGCATGCCAAGCCACATGCACAGCTTATTACTGCGTAACTTCTGTGGCTTCTGGATATCTGCTTGGCAAACGAGAAATTTCTTTTTTTTTTTTCCTTCACTTATTTTTGAGTTAATTTTTGTTTTAATGAGCAACTGACGATGAATAGATATTGAGAAGGCATTTGCTTTATATATGTTAACGAATAAATCATTCCACTGCTTCTATACTGTAGCTTCCTCATTAACATTTAGGACTTATACCTTATTTTTTTGTTCAGCTTCTCTTATCTGAATTAAGCTTCGGGTTTATTCCATTGAATAGTTTATGACTCCATACGATTTGGTATAGCAGACTGAGCCAACAATATTTCCGATTTAAGCTTGGAAATTTGTCCCCCATTGACACTCACTGACTTCGCTACAGGAGACAAAACAAATTAATAAAGTTTCAGATCAGCTCTATCATGCATAAGAAACGTAACCTGCATGAGCTACCCAGTCAAGCATGAAAAGTTTAAACACTCTTTTTTTCTTTGCTGAAGCAAACGAGGCAACAGCAGAAAAATACATAGCTGGCATAGACTCAATATATGTATATAATTCATAAATATATACATACAGGCTGATATATTTATATTAATTTGGGAGTGACGTGATTTTGCTTAAAAGAAAATTATTCTGCTCACATTAATTGGCTACCATAAAACCCCTACCATGAAACTGACTGCCAAAATACTCCCAAATCAAATTGTTTCAGCAGCTGGGTTAGAGTCGCTAATTAAAACGCTTCCAATATCCCGATAACGTGCCATTTGACTTGATTTTTTTTTTTCTTTCTTTTTTTTTCAGTACTGAAATGTTGAAAGAATCAAGAGAAGAATCAAATGTGTTGGATAAAAAAATACGAGGTGGTGTACTAGTAACAATAAATCCATCACAATATCTTCATGAATGTTACAGAAAGGATTTCACCAGGCTCCACCATCATCATCATAAAAAAACATTGCAGATTGTTCCCCTCCCTCAGAGCATTTGAAGTAATTCAAAAATAACAAGGCCATGCGAAATTTTTCCTTGGGTTTTCGAGGCTTTATTAGCTGGGTAAGAATAAGCACATGGATGGATTAACCTTAGTTTTATTAGGACTGCCCACGGTAAGTTGTGGGACGATCACAAGATGCAGGTCGTGCAGCTTTAAATAGAGTGTTGTTAACAGTAGTGCGTTTTGTGTTCTGTACTAGTTGTCCATAAGCTTTTTTGCTGCAGTCTTTATCAGCAGCTGCATGTATACTGCAAAATGTGGGTGGCTTCATACGCCTCTATTTTTGTTATGATTGTTTTTTGGAAGCGGAGCAATACCGGGTAAATACGCATTATCTGTTATTTGGGAGACGAGAAAATTACGGAAATGATATGATTTATACAAGGAAGGGGGAATACCTACTACTGGATAAGCCAAGTATGTTAGTAGATAGCTCTGGCGAAGCAGAGCTTTTGAATTGCCCGCCTGAAAAGTTTTTGATATAGACGTAATAAACACTAGAATGAATAGTAGTTATGATAACATAAGGGACACCAATTATTGATTAATGGATATAATTAAAGATTGTATAAGCACATTACAATTATGATTTATGATAAATGATATAAGATATAATAACAAGACTGATAACAAAATGAATTATCCCATACCAATACACAAGGCGATCTGCACTATACGAGCAGCAGCGTATTTGTAAATCATACCCTTTTCATATGCGGGCATAGCTGTGCTAATAAGACTGCGACTCTGTTTTACTTTTCTCTTCTTTTCCTCCGGCCTTTTTCCATGATCCTAGCTATGTGTAATCGAATCTATAAATAAATTAAGCGTATTGGCAAGTAAGATCTTTCATGCTGGGCTTTACTTCCAACCCTTATTACTGACTTGTACTTATTCTGCCTAAGCCGCCAACGAATTTATGTATTTTGCATTTTGTGAGAGTACACCCTATTCAATAAAGGGACCTTTCCGGCCCTAGTTTTGCAACGAAAACCAATACATCTGGGCTTCAAATAAGGCTGCCGCTTGACCATAATTCTTCTTCAATACAATACAGGGAGCTCCGTACACTTACACACGTTCCTAACTATAAATAAATTGCTATCAGGTTGTAATGATAGACTTACGACGGTGTTCAGATGATGGCGATCTCGTCTATGACGTGAACTTGAACACCCGCACATAACAGAAAAAAACCCAAACGGCAACATTACATACTCCATACTATTAAAACCAAAAAATTACTAGAATCCATTGCAAGATATAATTAATATTTTCAATTGGTTTAAAAAAATAATAATAGTTGTCACATTCATTAATCTCGTTAGTATTCGTATAGAAATTATAAATTAAAATAAGTTAAAAAAAAAAAATAAGGTTGATAATCATTCAAGCAATTCATATCATCGGCACAAGAGAAAAATATTATTAATTAATTAAGGAGCATTAGTGTAATTATTCATAATAATGTCATGGACTCATCAGCATAAGAGGTGAAAAAAAGCCTGGAAAGTTAAAATTAAAATATTAAGAAAAAAAAAAGTGGCGAGAGTAAAAGTATTAGAGAGCGGCATGGATTAATGAATGAATCTCTCCAGGATTGTTCATGATCGGGTATTGAAGCCAGAGAGAATAGCCATTAGAAAAGGATGAAAAAAAAGAAGAAACCCAATACTAATCGACAGCAGGAATTTAGTCAATGAAAGAAAAAGAAATTTGGACTGAACAATCTCATGAGAAGGTTTACTTTTAGACGGCAGTTTCACCAGAAGCTCTTGGGACTTCAGGCTCCAATTCCTTGGAATCAGCGTGATTACCGACAACAACAGGTTCCTCAACTTCGTTATTGGATTGGAAGACCAAAATAGTTGGAATAAAGGCAAATAAAATCAAATCCAAAACACCATAGAAGACATTTTCAGAATCGGATTGAATAACGTTACCACCGTCAGCTAAACCCCATGCAACAGGATACAAAATCCAGACTAAGTCTAAGAGCAATAAAGACAACTTAGCAATGGTAGAGTAGGTATAATGTTTGAAAATGTTGTAGTTCAAGATGCTCATAATAAATAACAATGAAACAGTAGAGAAGGTAAAGTAACCCCATTTATAGGTAGAGCTGATCAAAGAGCCAATTAACAAGCCCAAAACAAAGACTTCAGATCCACCGACTTCCAAGGCATAAGTAGCAAAGAGTCTAGGAGTAAAGCTAGAGAAAGTTGAACCATTACCAACAAATTCAACCAAGAACAATAAAACAGGCCAGCCCAAAAACCAACCAATGTATCTAGCATAAAAGACTTGTCTGTAATATAAATCTTCAAACAATGGGTCAGAAACGGTGACATGCTTGAATTCGGTTTCAACTGCAGCCCAACCAAGATCAGAAGCCAAGGTGAAATAGGTGAAAGCCAAAATAGCATTTACTGACAAGGCAGCAATATGTCCAACAGATTTCTTACCTTTGAAAAGAAACAAACCGGCGTGAGCGACTGCGAAAACACCGAAAAGAGAGAAAGCAGCCCATAACCAATCTGAACCATGAGATGTTAAGTGAAGATCCGCACCGGTTGGAGGATTGAGGGACACGGCTTCGTTTGATCTTTCAAAAAGAGCAGGCATAATGAATAAAAAAAATGAGGAGGATGAATAACTTTTGTTGTTGTATAACTATAATAAAGAGAATACATACAAGTTTGGTCTATGATTAAATTGGAGATAACTAGGATTATTTATACCATTTTAGAGCATCAGGTTTCGGATATTTAGGAAAGGGAAAAACAGGAGCTTGAGCGTAATTTGACAAAAAAGGATCCATCAAATTAGTTGGAACCTTAGATTGCGTGACAATTTTTATTGTGTCAATTATAATAAATGATTTCCGAAGTCCGGGAATGACGGGGATGGATTCTTGCACTTGAGGGAAACCATGGGGAGACCAAAAAAAAAGAAAAAAAGAAGAGGAAAAAAAAGGGAAGCGTGAAAATAATTCTGAGCATAACATTCTCCTAGTTAGCTATACTTACTTGATGTCTACTGGATGGGTATCTTGTTTTATTCCCTCTAACTATTACGGTACAGGGTCTTAATTTTTTTTTATTTTTTTTTTGACGCACCTCATCGCATCCACAAAAATGGGTGGCACTATTATGAGGACAGTAAATATATTCCAGGTTTATGAAGTAAATACAACGAGAGGAAAAGGTCTTCACAAAGATAGTTTAAATCTGTTTTCGTATTTATCAATAAAAATAGTACAGTGTTTTGCTATTATTCTTTTCTTCTTTAGCTAGGGATTCGGGAAGGAGTTAATAATGTGCTTCGGTACCCACGGAAATGGGCTGGTGAAGATTCTACAAAAGGAAATTATGTGGTGACAGGGGTAAAGGACAATAATGCCTCCATAAAAAAAAAAGTAAGAATATAAAACTTGCTTTCCTGTATTTCCGGACTTACGATCTCGGTATTTCCGTACCTATCAAAAAAGCTATGACGCGTTTTTGAATATTCTCCTACGCTTCATCGTTAGCTCATGCGTTCGCACCATCAAGCACTGAAAAAATTCTTTTATCACTCAGATGAGGAAGAAGCCGAATCAGATCAAATACAATCCATTATCAATGTTAAGAAAAAAAAAGAAGAGACGGAAAAAGTGAACTTTGTTAACATCATCCTATTGTTTTGTAGCATATTTAACAAAGTGGCTCGCTACCTTTCTTCACTCAGTACTCGCTATCTCTCAAGTCAATTACATAGATATTATTTGAAATAACACCTATATTGCTAAGTTAAAAATAAACTCTTAGCATCATATTTTACGCTAGATTGTTACAACCTTCAGATTACAGAGCATTATACAACCCAGGTTTTCCTTGGTAACTACTAAAATAAGAAGAATGGATACTCTATTAACTTTTATATCCATCAAAACTTTGGATTTCGGGTAAAGAATAAATGAAAAAGCCGATTTACATAGATTCTCCGTACCTTTCTCTTCGTATCCGTTTTCTTGCAGACTGTACATGTGACATCTGCTTTTAATATTTTGTTTTTTGTTATTGCAAGATCTTAATCGAATCCTTTGGGAACAAAAGCTGAGAATTAATTATATTATATAGATTCACTTTTAAATTGATTTTACGATAATAAGTAATATTGCGATTCAAGGTAAGTTGTACTGCCTTTTTTTCATGGCCGCCTGAAACAGGTAGAAATCTGTGGCCTTAGCCCTCATCAGGAGTCGTGTATTGCCTGTATTTAACGAGAAATGAATATGAGTGATTGTGGCATCGCAATATTGAGGTTTGAGCTAAATATAACAATAAAAGCTGTCCATAATAGTTAGTTGCCGTGTTAAATCACACATAACACAATATCTTGCTTCAACCAACAGTAGTGGTAAAAACTAGCTAAATCAAAAATTACTTCACATGGAAAAGCTTAATATGCCATAGCATGGATAATAAAGGAGCAAAAAACTTTAAGAACAACTGCGTTGAATATTCCTGGATCAACTGTGTCAACACTGTAGAGAGGCATTAAAACAAGGTTATACAGCCTCTCGCATCACGTGACAATTTTTACTTAAATGCAATGTTATGCGAGTATCAACGAATGGTTTGGGAAGCATTCTCTGATCAAATAAATCATCGAAAAATTGTTTGATCAAAACATCTCAATTACACAAGTGTTTTCCCCATCCGAGCCCATAAACAGTAAAGAAAAAACAGAACTGTTGTCAAGAGATCTGCATCGCCACACAAAATCACCATAAACTAATAACTGGTAATAAATAATTTCTTGAGTTCTTTCAGAAAATAATCAAAATAACAAACGGCTTTCTCTCCTTATCCTGTGAGATCTATTAACGTGTTGCTTTGAGGTTGTTTTTTTCTGTTCTAAAGAAATTATCTGCAAACCATATATTATTGAAATTGGGGATAGTAATACATTTTCATTTAGCTATTTGAGCCATGGCAACCAGTGATTCCCAGGTGTCAATGAAATATGTCATAAATAAAAAAGTCACCAGCAAGAAATACCTTGAATCTTTGCTAAATGATCCAGAACCAAACAGTGTGGATGATATCACTGACAGTAGTGATACATCCAGAGACTTGTCGGAAAGCGCAGCTTTCAGCAATGGCAATACTTCATTTAACAGCGTTGGAAATCAAGATACCAGTTATTCTAGTAATGGTGATGGTCAAAATAATCACGATAACTCTTGTTCTAAAGGCAGTCATAATAGACAGGATTCTAATGGCTCACTTTCTTCCTTTAAGAAAACCGAAGGGGTTAGTAATAGTATTAAGGCCCTCCAAGATAAGATAAAGAAAGGGTTGGATCTTAACGAATCTGAGAACACTAGATCTCCGCCATTATCAGTCAAGAGTTTTAGATCCAATTATGAAAAAAACAATAGCCACAATTATAAATCTCCAAGTTTGAAGTCTCCTGAGATACCAGAAGCTATGCAAATTAAGCTTAAATCAGTGAGTAATCACAATAAAGAGAACACCTTGGACTCAAGCTTATTGCTGTTTGATTCTGATACTGAGAAAGCTCCTGGAAACCCATTTGGTGGTATACCAAGATCAAACTCATCAAAATTTGACAAAGTTAACAATAAAACCCCAGTTTCAGTTAATACAACTGCCAACATTGTTGATAACAAGCCATTGAATAATGCAGCAATTACTGTCAACACCAGACCAAGAGCTCCTTCAACTGATAGTACCACTTCTAAAGCACCAACCCTCACCCAATCGCCTATCATCAATAACAAGAAGAAATCTCACGTTCCTCAATTCAAAGTCATCAAGAAAACTTCCACTCCGTTGAATTCTCCTACATCTCCAACAAGCTCAATTTTTTCAAATGATTCCTCTCGTTCAGCTGCTCATCAGGAGTTGAGACAATTACAGATAATTGATAAGGAAATCACCAAGAAAATCAAGAAAATCAAATCTGAAATCAAATACATCGAAGATAGCTTACCACCAAACCCATGTGTTCATGATTTCCAATCACGTAAGAAATTGGCTGCGGCAAAGCAAACATTGGAAAAAAGCTTGGAGTTCTGGGAAAAGAAGAAATATGAAAATGGGATCAGTTTCAGCAAGATGACAAGAAAGGTAGTATACTCAGGTGGCGAAGAGGTGACCACTTTCTTCTCTGGAAGAGTTGAGTAAACATATAACAAGTGTGATTTTGCCATTTTTTTTTTGTTTCACTCACACCTTTAAATCAATGTCATTTGACACGGACTAGGTTGTTCAGCACCTAACACCATCTTAGTTTAATGCTCATTTTTTTTTTCAAATTCTGATAAACAGCCCGCCCACGCTATCAACCCCACAACTGTCTGTGACTGGCCACAGGCATTACACTCGTTGACTATTGCAGTGCTTTTAGTTCTCCGTTATTATATTATCCATACTATTTTTCTGTTCTTCTGCTCCTATTTGTTAGTTCCTAGTTTTTTGTTACAAGACAAGTATTGTTTTTTCATGCTCGTTGATTTTACCGCCATGTTAGCGCCTTCTAATATGTTCATCTTTTTCCCGTTTTTTTTTTTTTTCTTTGATTGTTTTTGTCTTATTTCCATTTTCTTTTCAAAGATCTTTTTCAAATTTGTTTCCTAGAAATATTCTGGACCTTTGCTCTGCTTATATATATTGTGCTGTGATATCTATTATTATATTAAACTATTATATTAAACTGTGCTTTTACTGGTTCATGTCTTCAACCAATGATTGGTTTCTGTTAGAACAATAAACTGCAATATACTTCTAACACAACGATCATTTCTTTTACCCAGTGCTGATCAGCTCTGCTCATTATTGGTCATTCACCAGATCATTTCAACAATAAGTAAAAGTGTAGATGATTTACTAATCTTCAAAATTGAAGAAAGTTTTGAGCGAATAAGAAAAAATCAAGGATATTTGAGATAGGTCCAAAAAGATATATTCAACAGACTATAAATTATATATATAATACCCGCGAAAAAACATTATTCGGGAGAGAATCTTCTCAAGGAGAGTCTTTACAATTACATAATTTCTATGAGAGAATCAGAACTATAGTAAAACAATATCGAATCAAATTAATGACCTTCAAGGGAAATAACAACGAACAGTAAAATAGAAAAGCAGTGAACAGTGAAGTAGAAAAGCAGTGAACAGTGAAGTAGAAAAGCAGTGAACAGTGAAGTAGAAAAGCAGCAAACAGTAAAAGAAATTTTTTTTTTTTTTTTACCACTCATTAAGCTTGAGTGACAGTGACATATCTAGTACTTGTGGTGGTACTGTAGTCGTCAGTGTCTGTCGAATCGTCGAAATCATAGTAGTAGTAACAGGTGCTATCTGAGGCACTGGTGCTGTATGCAGTTATCAGGTTTGGGATAGTTCCAGTGATTGTTTCGTACGAGGTCGAAGTGGTTACTTGCTGGCTGGTAGTAGTAGTCGGACTTGTTATGACATTGGATTTCACAGTATAGGTAATGAGAGTAGTCCGTGGAGCGCTTGCTGTTGTTATTGATGATGATAACGACGACGACGACGACGATGATGATGATGTTGATGAAGATGATGAAGAAGTTGAATAAACTGATTCTGAGCTTGAAGAGTGGGAGCTGGTGGAGGTTGATTCAGCTGAAGTGGCAGGGGCACTACCATACATGGTGACATACCTCGTGCCACCTTCAATGTGGACCGTTTCTGTGATTATTATGGTGGTGTAGTAACTAGTATAAGTTGATGTAGAACCATGGTCAACGGTAGTTATTGTTGAGACAACAGTGGAAGTGACACTACCACTTTCAGTGGTGGTAATAGGAGCAGCATTAACTAAGCAGCCAAAGAGAGGAAGTAGAGTGAGGAAAGCTCTCATTTTCAAGATTTATAACTTTGATTGAAAAAAAAAAATTGCAAAATAAAAATAGAGAAAAACGGGTATCGGAATAGATGAGGAAAATGGGTATCAAATGTTTAGTGTTAGTGGGGGTATCACAGTGGTCAAAAAGATCAATAATCAATCAAATATGAGAGTAAAAGAAGTTTTGATCTGGTTTGTCAGTCAAATGGGTATCACAAAAAAAATAAAATAAAAATAACAAATAACAGGAACTAATTGCTGATTTCCTCAAATTAACAAAAAAGAAGATTATGGTAAATCAATTAAGAGCTAAATTTTGGCAGCTGAGACAAATTGTTAAACAGCATCGAGGAAAAGTATTAGCTATTTATAATTGACACTCGTCTAATTGCAAAGGCTGGCGGCCCAATTGCATTACGACATAACTGATGCAAGAGACATAATCATGAAAAAGCTTAATTCTATGTGGTACTCCCGAATAGCACCAATGACTAGGGCTTTTCTCCTTAATAATTCTTTTTTGCCAGTTAATGGATTGTGAATAAGAAAGTTGTTCACTGCAAGGCTGGCTAGACGCTGCATGTCGAGGGAGACGAGGATGCACGATGGGGAAAAAAAATGTACATGCAGATATATTGCCTTTCTACATCCCGAAATTGTCTTCTTTTGAGGTCAAATTTGAAATGGAACTGGTTGCGGAGAATTGAAACCAAATAGGAGGTTGAGACCAAATTTTGTTTCTTGCAAGAGATGGCGATATTTTGATGTGTGTGTTAATTTTGCTACAATAATTCCCTATCAAATGGTGGTCACTTCAACTGGAAAAATGTATAGATCACCAAAAGGGTAGGCTTCGAAAATCACCGGCAGATTTCTACGTCATGAAGAGACATTTTTCGGCATTTGCAATAATTTGGTACCTTAGAGTAAATAAAACTGTGCACAATGTATGAAATCTGCCTACTAGTCGGTGGCATGACAGTGACTAGAGAAGCTACAGCCCAGGGATTGGTGATTGGTTCTGTTAATATTTTGAGAGAGACGACAAATGAAAGACGGCTGGGTGATTTATTGAAGTTTTGCTGATATCGTATTCCTCAAATGAACTCAGGAGCACCTACAAATTAGCTCATAAATTATGGTAGTTATGGGAAGCACAATTTTTTTTTTTCTTCCAATAGAAAATCAAATGATCTGTGAAAAAAAAAATATTATTGCTAATAAGAATCAGTAAGCAAAAAATTAAGAATCATTAAACTATAAGATAAATAACAGAAGCATTCGTTTAAATTCGCTTAGCTATAGAAAAAATGACAATCCTTGATATGTTGAATTAGCCCACTATGTAATCCTTGATACGTTGACTTAGCTCACCATATAGTGTGTATACAGAGACTTTGCTACTAGACGAATAGAAATTCACATCTTCATAAATGAAGAGAAAAGAAAATCCATCAAGAATTAGCATATGCTTTTCTCATAGACACTATAGTTATTATCTGTCAAATTGCTGTACAACCACCAACCATGATCACGTGAAAAATATAGCCACCCATCGAGAAACCGCAACCAAAAAAAGAGGGAAACCCAAATATGAGTTCATGGTGGTGGCCTCAGGCTCCAAACTATATCATTACCACATCATATATTACAGCCTTATATCAGCATGTCTCTCTACTACAATCTTATTTTTGCAATTCTTTCCGCTGAAATTATACTTTTTACCATAATTTCTCTTCCATTGCCTTCCAAATTAAGAGCTCCTTTGCTCAACGCCATCTCTAAACCTTTCCAGTCCGTGCAAGTCCAGGTATCTATTAAATCTATTCTTATCTTCATATTAATTCTCTTCATCGATGCCTTCAACAAATGTTACTCAATTGAACAGCAACTTAAAGAAATCCCTCCAGGCGCCCCCTATGTCGATCGTTCCGAGATCCAAGCTAAAAGATTCTATGCCCAAAGAAACTTATATTTGACCGGGTTCACATTGTTTCTTACCTTAATCACCAACAGAACCTATTCTTTGGTGGGTGAATTGATTGAAGTCAAAAAAACTGTGAGGGGCGGTGCTTTGGTTGATGATAAAGCCCTTGTTGAATTAAAGGAAGAACTCAAGGCTAAAAATGAGGAAATCAATTCACTTAAAGAAAAGGCCAAGGAATTTTCTGAAGAGTACGACAAGATCTAAGCAACATTATGTTTCTGACTTTTTTTTTTTTTTTTTTTTTACAGAGCGTTCTCTACTTATGTCCACCAATAGTATAATGGGTTCACAATACTAATATATAAGATGTGCAGTAATGTTTATATCGAGACGGTTTATCTTAGTTGAATATGAATGTAAAACTTAATAAGCGTTACTCTTATGTTTTGGAATGAAACCGAAGTTTGGATGAACAGGCCCCAAAAACATCTCGGTAATTTTGATCCAATCTTTATAATCACCTGACGCCAACAAAGTTTCCAATTCATTTCTTCCCTTCCATTTTGGTGGTCTTTCGTTAATTTGATTTGGCAATCTTTCCAAAATTCCTACAGGAATATATCTATAAGTGAAACTCAACCATTCACATAAGAATCTTCTGGAAAGATTCACACCATATTCGTCACTTCCCCAATGGTTAATAGCAAATTCAGAGTATTGTTTGATAATGTCTAATCTTTCACTAGCGCTCTTATCCAAATATTGACCAGCAGAGATTTCATCAAATAACCAAGGCTTGATAAGTGCCCCTCTAGCAACCATAACAGTATCAATGCCAGTACCTTCAGCGGTCAAATTATGCCAGTCCTGGTAGTTGTAACAATCACCATTGGCAATAAAAAACACCTTATTTGGAAGATCATAAGAATCTTTATTTTCTTCTTGCTTGTGGTTATAATCCTGGACAATTTGGCCAACTTTAGAAACATAATCCCAGTCCGCTAACTTGGTGTATCTTTGTTGTCTAGATCTCCCATGGAGAGTGATGGCCCCAATATCTGGAACCCCGGTGGTGTTATCATTGGCGTACAAAAATCTCTTGACCAAATGATCTGCCATTGGACTATCATCTCTAGTGCCCATCCGGATTTTCACGGTGACTGGAATATCATTACTGACCAAGTTCATTCCTTTCAAGATTCTTTCGGTCTTGGCAGGCTGTTCAAGCAATCCAGAACCAGCACCTTGTTTGAAAAGCAAGTCGATTGGACAACCACAATTCAAATTGATTTCCGACATGTTTGGGGTGAATTCGCTGATTAATTCCGTGGCTTTAACCGCTTGCCAAGGTTTAGAAGCAGCTATTTGAGCAGCAAAGCCCGGGATTTCCGAAGCATGAGCCTTCATCAATGCCCATTCGGAATTCTGACCCTGAATTAAAGGAGTAGAAAGGGCCATTTCAGAAAAGGTGGTATCAACATCATAAAGTTTCTTCATGAGCCTTCTGTATGGTAAATTACCCACTGTTGTCAAAGGAGAAATCACTTTGGTTTTATTGTAATTAAGTTTCTTCTTTTCCCAAGCCTTAACTGGTGCTTCCACATAATCAAATTGGTGTTGCTTTCTCTCTTCAATGGCATTGTCGGTATCACCCTTGATTTCTTCGCCGTCTCCGGAATTATTCCATTTAGCGTTATGTTTGGTAATCTTATCCAAGTACTCGATGATTTCGTTACTTCTCTTGAAATCAAAATTCTTCTCACGGTTTCTTTTAGATGTACTCAATCTCAACTTTTGTTCATGTGAAATCTTATTCACTTCATAGTTTCCTTCTTTGATCGCCTTTTCATTTTTCTCCAAATCTTTTATGAGCTCTCCGGTTTCCTTGTTATAATGGTGTTTCAACCAACGGCACTTGATACCTGCAGAACAAACCCCAAATGCTTCAAAGTTAGGACACTTAGTGACTTCGATATCCGGCAATTTGGCTTCCAAATATTTTTCCACGTCATGACATCTGTTGCACTTGTCACCATAAGAACATGGATGGTCCTTAATATGGCTTGGATCCACATAATATGAACAAAGTTGGACTTTATCCTTAGGTTGGATCAAATCTCTCTTTTTATTCTGACCTCTTTTCTTTTCTTTCTTTTTGCCTTTTCCACCATCTCCGGAGGCTTCAATGGCATCAGCCTTATCATTTTGTTCGGCAGCATCATCATCAACTTCAAGATATTTCACAGTATTGTCCAGTTCAGTAATAACATATTCTTTCTTGATATGGGCTAATCCACTATAATCCAAGCTAATTGGACGAAGCTTTTGTACGGTTGAAGCTTTGAGCTTTTTGGAGATAGTAGCAGTATCGTTCCCAGAAGAAACGCTTTCCTCGTTATTTCTCTTGAGAGAACTATCAGCTTCAGACATATTGGATAAATCTGGTGTTTACAGCCCCGTAGGATAGATGCCATTTAGATAACAGAGAAATTTGAAAATTTTTTAGCGCTTCCACAGAAAAAAAAAAAAAAAATTACGCGTGACTGGAAGAGATGAGTTGTGATATTGAAGGTAATTTCTCGGCTTATGGCCTGTATAACAGCAATGATGATATCTATTAATCCCATTTTAATGAGCATTTTCAGAAGAGAACAAAAAAAAAATTAGGATATCTGAAATGTCCATCCATATCTGAAGTACCAAACTGATACAAGAAGAAGAACAAGAAGAAGAAGAAGAAGAAGAAGAAGAAGATATAGAAATGGATGCTGCTCAGCCAATAAAAGAACAATTTATAATTGAAAATATTCCGGCCAAGCGTCGCAGGCTTGAATCAACTGGGAATATAGAACCTCTCAATCCAAAGCCCAAGGTTGATCCACTTTTGATATTTGCAGAATGTAAAGAACAGAATAGACCAGTTCTTATTGCAGGCCCAATGGTCCGCTACTCCAAACTTCCGTTCCGTGAACTAGTCGGACTCTATGAATCCGATTTTATTTATACTCCCATGATTTTGGCGAGAGAGTTTGTGAGGCATCGTGGAGGTCGTGATTCTGACTTCACCACGAACTTGAAAGAACAGCATTCGCGACAAGCTTTGCTGGGGAAAAAACAGTGTCTAATAGTCCAAGTTGGTGCTAATAATGTCACTGACTTGCTAAGGTTTGTGGAAATGATACATCCGTACTGTGATGCCATCGGATTGAATTGTGGATGCCCTGTAAGAGAACAAGTTAGAGAAGGAATTGGGGCAGCTTTGATGAGCGATCGATTCAAAGTAGCAAAGTTTGTTAAGGCTGTGAAAAAAAGATGGGGCGATAAAGTGAAGATGGAGACGAAAATCAGAGTACATGATAATGTTCAAGAAACTATTCAGTTTGTACAAGAAGTTGAGAAAGCTGGTGTTGACTGGATCACCATCCATGGCCGGACCAAGGATACTAGACTGTCGGTTCCCGTTGATTTAGAAAAAATAAAACTTGTGAGAGAAGCCATAAAGCGTGTTCCGGTAGTGGCTAATGGGGATTGTTTTAAACCGGAAGATATTCAGAGAATAACGGATTACACCAAAGTTGATGGGGTAATGGCAGTAAGAGGGGTATTGAACAACCCTTGTTTATTCACCATGAGATCAGAGGCTACTTGGGGAGCAGTTGAGAGACTCATCAGCTCTGTGATGGAATATGGCTTGCCTTTCCAATTAGCACAACATCATGTCAGTTGTATGATGCCCAAGGGATCAGCTATCATGAACAGGTTGAATAAATCTTTAAATGAATGTACCTCCATGGTAGGTATGCTTGATTGGTTCGATGACAATTTTGAATTGAGAAGGTTAAGACAAGAAGGTTTTGCAGAAGAAAGGAGTTTTGAAGATGCTAGAAGAGGAGGAGCTGGGGAAAAGCACTAACTGCCAAAGAGGGACAAAATGTTTGTGCACAATAAATATAGTATATTGAAATTATTTACATTATGTAATTATGGTTAGGAGGTTATGATTCGATTGTTGAATACTCTGATTGGGGGAGTTTTGGCCGTAGATAAATGGATTCCAAATGTTGAACTTATTTAGACTTCTATATTAGATGGTTGCCATGAGACCAATAAAATTTCTGGAAAAGTTGCCATCTTTTCTTTTTGGGATAACTTCGGTATTCTACAAATCGTTAACTAGAGTATTTAGATTAATTGAAAATAAATAAGTAAACGGGAAGTTTAACCAAGAGCTTGCAGTAAACAAAAATAAAAACATTCTAGAGATTGAAGGAGAAAAACACAAATAATAATAATATAATGATGATAATAATAATAATGAAAATGAAAATAGCCTCAAGAGCTATATCAAATAAATCTAGATTAAAATCAATGTAGGCATCTAATGAAACAAATGTGGGAGCAAACTGAAAATAATACTATAATAAGACAGATAAGAATTGAAATCAAAGCAAATATAAAATGATGGTGTGATTTAGATAAGCTGATATTAATGTTAATCTGGTAACAAATAAATGGGTAACTGGTAGTTGGTTAAGGCGAACTTATGAATCAGCATAGAGATTTAAATGATCAGGAGGGTACTTGGTGCCTGTAATGACAATATCATTCAAATTTTTTGGTGATTGAAACTCCCCCTGTTTGATTCAACTGGACTCTCGATATAAATACTACCCCTGTTGGAACCAGCTGGAGTATTGCTGAAACTTTCATCGCTGCTAGAATACGAACTTCTGCTTTCAGCGTAGACAGCGACTCCTGGTTTCTCCAAATACTCAACACTATCTTCTGCAAAAGGATTTTCCTTAATGGAAGCAGCTTTGGCTGGGATAATGGATCCCTTATTAATAGCAGACATATTCGCCATTGGAACCCTTGTACTAAGAGATCTTGATGGGAAATAGTCTTCAGTTTTCATCAGCATGGCGTTCTTTTCTTCGGTACGCTCCACAACTTTTCTGACGATGTAGTATGCTACGGAGACTACCAAAGCAAGAGCAACACCGCCACCAATAGCGATATATACGATAATGGTTGTCAGAAGACTGCTAGACATATTCTTGATTTTATCGTTATTCTTTTGTGGTTTATTTTTCCAAGCGGTTTATTGCCGAAATCAACAAGAAATAAAAAATGATAGGAAATTACCATTTATTATATACTTCTTTCAAATAAATATCATTTTCGGTGATCAGACCAGGCATTTCCCATATAAATTATGATAATGGTCTTTGGTAGGTGCGTTGAAATGAAGTTATTTTGAGCCAAGCCTTGCATACTCAGCAGACCCAAGGTTGGGTATTGTATTGCATCGAGAGGCTTGCTGTGAAAAACGTCTTAGCAGAATGATGGAACGCACATTGTCCTTTAACAGTAATAATCGCATTTTCTTCTCTAATAATTATGCGATTTGGATATGAATAGAGTGCAATTACGCTTATCATTCTCTATAAAGGGTTCCGACCTATCTGTAAAGATGGTACTTGGCGATGGTAATTATCCTGCTGTTGAACCTAATGGTCACGGGAAACCCGCCAAATGCTTGTCATTCAACCAGATCTTATTGTTGATACAACACACCTTGATATTATTAGATTGTCCTCAAAGTAATACAAGGCAGGGCTCTATAGATCTCATCGTCGGGCTTTTCGGTTTCATCTGCAAGAAAAGTGTCGCTTTTTTTTTTTCGGTGACCGATTATTATTGTGCAGCTGTGGTAACAGATCTAAGTTGTATGTTCAGTGTGCTTTAGAATTATTGATGGAAGGCTGTAACAAAACAACGGGATTTCACGCAAATGGGGCTAGCTATACGCACATGTAACAAATGTGACCTTGGTTAATAAAAACAACAACAAGGCACTCTGCCTTCTATTTGTTCAACAAAATAGCGGATACGCCTTTAATGTATGTAAACTCAGCTCTTTCTTATTAGCTGAGTTTACTCCCCATACCATGTAGAGCAGAGCAGAAGCAGAAAACACACACTTAGTGGTTAAACAGAAAGATAAAGAAAGTTCTCTTCGACGAATGCGAAACACCAAGCCTTGCTAGTTGGTTTTCAAGGTGCATTGGCACCTCAAAGCCATGTTTAAGCGAACAGCGCCTAGAATATTGAAAATAAAGATAGAACAAATGCCCCGATAGGGTTTACTGTACAAAGGAGAGCAAATTTAGAAAACATGGAATTATGGGAACTAAAAGACCCAAGAAAGATTAAGAGAAACTGGTAACAAAAATTCAAAAGAACCAAAAAAAAAAAAAGCAAAATAATTAAAAAAATCAGAAGGACAGGAGAGAGGAGGGGAAAAAAAAAAGACTTGAATGGAATTAAATATAATTTGAAGTTTCAGTCTTCCCTTCATAATATTCTTTATTCTTTAAATCCCATTCTTCTTTTTTTCTTCTTGCTTCATCGGTTCCCGATCTTCCAACTTTAACAAACAATGATACTATAATCCCCATACCACCTGCTCCAATTGCAAAATAATATGCATATTTGAAGCTGTGGAACAACTCTTTCACCTCCTGCGGATTTTTCAAATCCACTCCTTTAGCAAACTGCGGGAACTTTTGGGAAACGATGGTATTGGACAAAGCAAGACCAAGGGCAGTGGAGATCTGTATCATTGTTTGGAAAATCCCCTGCGCTGCTCCTTGAAGTTCGTTATTCACGGAATTCACAGTGACCATATTTACGACATTAAAAGTCAAATCGGCACCAATAACCGCGAGACAGTAAGCTTCAAAAGGGCCTCTCCAGTAACTTGTATGTTGGTCCATAGTGGCCCAAATGATGGCAGAAGCAGCGAACGAAGCTGTGGCAATACTTAGGAGAAGTTTTCCAGGAACCAAATGTAACACAAGAGCAGCAAGAATATTCACAATTATACCACAAATTGTCATAGGCAAAATACAAGCAGTGGTATGGAGAGGAGAATAGTTCAAGATTTGTTCGAAATAAAGAATAGAAAAATATGTGAGAACCCCATTGAAGCACATCCAGGAGAAAAACACTGTAACCATTGCAAGACTAAAGTCTCGGGATTTCCAAATAAACATAGGCATTACTGGACGTTTTGGAATATGGCATTCGTAAAAAATAAAGCAAATGATCATCACTAATCCAACAACCAAAGTGGCGATTATATAGGACGTATCCCAACCAGAAACAGGCACTGAGGATTGATTAAAGGCGAACACCACCAAAGTTAATGCAGCAGTGATTAGTAACCCACCGCCATAATCTAACTTGGACAAGCGATGTAAGATGTGTTTGTTCTCTTTTGTTACTTTTGAGTCTGTTGGCACAATAAGAATCGTGATGATTGAAACACATCCATAAACAATTGACAAAAAGAATTGTGAAGCTCTCCATGACAAATATTCCGCACAAATTCCTCCGCTAACAACCCCGGCACAGAATCCAACAGGAGCCCCAGCCGCAAAACATGCCATGACCCGATTCTTTCTTACAGATATCGGATAATACGAACTAAGAAGTCCGCCACTACTGGGTACTGAAAAAGAAACCGCAATCCCCATTAAAGCTCTTAGAACCACTACGGCAATATAGTTGTGCATAAACCCACAAATTAGAGAAGCAATGGTGAACCATATGAACCCGCCAACAATACAGTTTTTACGTCCAATGATGTCGCTAATGTTTCCAGCAAGTAAAAGAAAACTAGCGTTTGCCAAGTTGATGGAACTAACACTCCAAGCGAGCGTACCTCCAGAAACCCCGAAATCTTTGGCAAGGTGGTCCAAGGTGATTTGGAAATTACCGACAGCGATACTAGTGCATCCCACAGCTAGGGTAAAAATTAAAACACAAGCGGTTTCATGAAGCGAGTTCTTGAATACTGCTGGCCTCCTGTTGTTTATATCCTGAACCGAAGGGTTCTGTTGTGGCTGTTCTAGATCATCTGGGTTCGGGATGGTGGTTTCCCTAGAGTTGGTAGTCCGACCTGTCAGACCAGCAGAATGTATCTTTTGGTTCAACGATGGCATCCTGTTTAGTTTTGCTGTGCAAATACTGTTTATCGCTCTGATACCAGCTGCCGAAGTATTTGCTAGGATGGAAGTGTGCATGCCACTGATCTGTAGACGATATATCCAGCTGGAGAAGAACGAAAAAAAAAAATTGGAAAAAGATCGCACGGTAGGTGAAAACTTCGGTGCTAAGCTTCAACATCTTTACTAATGCATTGGTAATGAGCCACCAAGGATGTTGTGAGTCTTTCTATGGGGACGCAAAAAAAACCTATGTATTTGCCAGATATTGTTCTCATTGCCGCTTTTCTTTAAAATTACTTTTGTATTGATGCACCTATTGTAGAAAAGAAATACGGGATCCGTAAAGCAAAAGAAAAAAAATAAAGCGCAACATTCCCGACTACAGCCCTTCCCTATCTCTTTTCTATTCTCCTTTCTCTCTTCTTCCTCTCCCTCGTCTGCTATTTATTCTGTAATTGTTAAATATGAAAGCTTTGCTTCCCCCAGATCAACAGGATAGCAAAATATTCAACTAATCATTGAAACAACTATTATATTATATATTCCCAATGCCATCGCCACATATTAAAACAATTTTGCAGCACCACTTTCCACCGGAAATAATCATCAGGATCCTCCTGTTCTTAAAGCTAAATGATGTTATTAGTATACGTTATAATCTCCATAAATGGAATCATCTAACCCATGAGTCAATCAAAGGGACGATCATTGATTGTCTTGACTCCGTAATTTTCAAAACAGTTGAATTCAACAACACTCGAGATTTTGTGACCAGGCTTTGTTCAATTTCACAACACCCTGTGTATTTTAGATTCCTGCCTATATGCTTCTATCCAAACCAAAAGCTATACGTTGACCTACAGCCTTTTAATACTCATATTAAGGTCATCAAAGTAATCAGCCTAACTAATTCCAAAGCAAATCACCATGTGTTGGAAACACATGACAATGAGCTTGAAGGATTAAATCGTTTCCTTCATTCTCTACCAAATGTCATAGCATTATTCACCAATTTGAATCAATTGACTTTATCACATCCTTTAAAAGAATTGAATTTCTTATGCTATAAAGGACGACTACACTACAACACTTCTCGATTAGAAAAGTTATATATATCAGTACCGTTACAGGATCAGAATCTATCCGCTGATTTGAATGACACCGCAGATAATCCGACCTGGGGCTTGGATAAGTTTCAATTACCAGTATTAAGACAACTTGTTATAAACAATGGTAAAAATCTGAATGTTTTTTTGGATGGTAAATGTTGGTCTTTCTTGCCTAACCTAACCTATTTGGCAGTTTATAATGATCGGACAATGATTTTAAAAAACTTTGATGTGGATAATGCTTTCCTAAATCTTAGAACATTGAATATTCGCCATTGCAGCAGATTGGAGCTAAGAGGTAAAGTGCGACTCATCGAATTACAGAACTTGTATCTTAATGATGTATGTCTTGCAAATGGTGAAATCTTGGATTTATCATTGTGTCCTAAACTTAAGCGATTGGAAATTGTTTACACCAACCTCAGGATTATCAAAGGCTTTGACTCCAAGTGCTTGCAAAATTTGTACCATTTGAGTCTAAAGAATAATCATATAACAGAAATCAAAGGGCTATCCCAGTTGCGTAATCTCCAAGAATTGGATCTTTCGAGAAATTCTATTTTGAAAATAGAAAACTTAAACTCTCTTGTGAACTTGAAAGGGTTAAATTTAAAGCGCAATAAAATTTTAAACATTTCTGATGGACTTTCTAACTTGAAGAAATTACAAGTGTTGGACTTATCCCATAATCTACTAAAACTGGTTCTGAATGTCAGCCATTTACTACATTTGTTGGTTTTGAACTGTTCTCATAATAAGATTTCAAAAATTAGTATTAATTTTTCACAGATGAAGTCTTTGCAAATCTTAGATCTTACTGATAATGACTTAAAGGCAAATAAGTCCTTTGAATCTTGGTCCATGGTGAAAATGTAATTGTTATTTGATTTTTTTTTTTAGCAAAAAACGTTTGTCTTGTCAATGCTACTTATTTCAAAAAATATATATATATATTCATAATCTCTCCTCGAAATGATGCTTAAAAAAAAAGCCTTCCATAGGCTATCCGAGTGTCAAATATTTTAATTTTTTTTCAAAAAAACAGATAATCCACTAATGATGTTTTCATGTTCGAAGGTCTGTTTCCCAATGCAAGATTAGCCTAATTAGGAAAATATGATTTTTTCATCACTCGGAAATGCCGACACTATGATGAGGTATAAAAAACCCCCCCACTCCTCCAAGTCAGAACATCAATAATGTATTTGTATATGACAATAATCTACAATTAAAAGGAAATTAACTCGTTTAATCGTCTCTCATATAAAGAGATTTTTTTTGTTTATTTCACTGCTCCCCATTTGCCTCTTTCGCTGCTGTTCAGTTTGCTGCTTCATTTGCTCTTATCGATAAGAAAATTATTGTCATTCACAATGTCCGTTGACTCCAAAAAAATCAGAAAGGTTCCAAAGATCGATTTATCCAACTTTGATTCCCGCCGTGACGAAATAAAGGAACAATTATGGAATGCTGCTACAACCCATGGATTTTTCTGTCTTGTTAATCAACAATTCCCATCCAAATCTGATATCTTAGAAATCTTCCAACTCAGTGAATCTTTCTTTAAATTATCCCCTGAACAAAAGAACAAAACCCCACATATCAAATTAAAGAACACCGGCTATGAGTTTAAAGCCCAAATACGTCCAAGCTCCACTACAAAGTTGCCGGAAAACAAAGAATCTTTGCAAATGCAATTACATCGGTATGATGAAAACTGGCCCAATGAGGAGGCATTGGGCTACGAAGATTGGAAGAAAAAGGTTAGCTCATTCATTTTGAAAGTTCAAGAATTAAGTATGATGATTCTTGATATATTTTCTGAGAAATTGGGGTTTGAAAAAGAGTTTCTCAGAAGATGCCATGATATTCACGCTGACACTGCTCAATCCACCCTTAGATTTTTACATTATTTTGAAAAATCCCTTGATGTCGAAGGTGAAACTGCCATAAATTCTATCATCTCTGATGACGAGTCTAAAACCACTAACTGGAGATGTGCTCCTCACACTGACTTTGATGTCATGACACTTTTGTTTTGCAAAGAAGGCGATAAAGGTTTTGAGTATTGCCCAGGTCGGGAGTCCTTCAATGACTTTGGGTATGGTGATGAATGGTCTTCTATTTCTCCACAAACTGGGGAGATCGTGATCAACATTGGTGATATGTTGATGTCATGGAGTGACGACAAGTTGAAGTCCAACTTTCATAGGGTGAGATATGTTGATGATTCCATGGCTGATAGGTTCAGCATTGCATGGTTCAACCAGGCTAATACCGATGTTCTGATACAAGGCCCAGATAAGAGATATGAACCTGTTACTGGCAAGGAATTCATTGAAAGAGCAATGAAGAGAAATTTTGACAGATTGAATGGGATTGTTAACTGATTATACTTCTATTACGTTTTCCTGAATGTAAATTCTGAGTTCTCAAACATATTGTAGATCCATAATAATCGTATTAATAGTTTTTGATTGCACTGTTACGCTTGGAACATTTGGTGCAGATACCAAATAAATTCGAAAACCCTTGATTGCCGTAATAGAAACCGTGGCATTGACAAAAAAAAACTTCCAGAACCCTTGAAAAGTCTCTCGCAAAATAAGACACTACCGCACCAATAAATCCTGTTGTCTCAGTTGCTACTGGACGTGGACATCTGATTGGCTCAAATGGCACGACTTTATCTATTTGATCTTAGTTGAAAAATCCAAAACTTTGGTGCAAAATCCCCCAACACCTTCAGCCGGGTTATCCAGGTATATCGTTTACACGCAATTTTTTTTGTCGAGCTTAGTAAGATTATTGAGAAATGTCAAATCAAATCAATGATTAGCAGTTCAGGAACCTTAACCTTAAGAAAGTCCGGAAAATAAAGAATTTATAACTTCTTCCAAACACACACATATACCACTCTAGATTCCTAAATATACACATTTACAAAAATGGTTTCTGCAGAAGAGCTTAAAGATATTATCATTGAAAAATTGAAAGCACAGGAAGCTCAGGTCCATGATATCAGTGGTGGCTGTGGCCAGTCCTTTTCTGTTCTTATTGTCTCTGATGTATTCGTCAAAAAGAATAAGTTGGCAAGACATAGAATCGTCAATACTGAATTGAAGGATATCATATCATCAATCCATGCTTTCACTCAAAAGACGTACACTGTGGAAGAGTGGGCCAAAGAACATTCTAACTAAGTTTTTTGATACAATGGAGGAGAGCGTCGGTTAATTCCATGACTTCTGACGATAATAATTATATGCGGATGGTTGCAAATCCATGGATCCTTAAACTGACCTACAGCATCATCTACCATTTTATTGTTTACGCTGCCTATGCTTTCTGATTAGCTTGGATAATTTCCTGGAAATTGGCAGTCATTTTTTTTTCAAAAAAAAATAAGTTGATTTCACTACTGTTCCTGATTGATCTCCAATTATTATTTCCCATTTTCTTCAGTTACTTTCCCCTATATTATAGCCATTTTTCCTTATTCCGTTATTACATGCCCCTTATATAGAACCTCTGATATCAAACACACCAATTCTAATAAGAATCATTCTCCTCTTTGTTTCTCTTTCGTTCCCCCTTTTCGCTGTGTCATAAGTCCGCAGGATGACAGTCACTCGCATTTTCTTATGCTTACAGCTTCAGATCCTGAAGTAGTCCTCTTTAGTGATAATATTCAAATACACAAGCCTCATTCCAACCACAACCATAATATCTACTTTCTAGGAAAATAGGCTATCGATGGTTGGTAGAAAAAACAGGAAAAAGAAAAGAGACACTTTATACAGTTAGACAATTTTGAGACATCTGTTATTGAGCACTCCTTCAAGGCAGGGTAATACGTCACACGAACAAAAAAAAAATTGTTACTAATTTTTGATGTTATTCCTTTTGAGCGATTATACTTTTGATGTCACAGTCATCGGCAACTGTCTGAGCAGGCAATAAATTTTTATTTCATATTTCATTTCATATTCCGTTCTATAACACCTATATCAACTGCACCCGCCCGTCAAAGTCATCGCAAATACATACTATTGGTTGCTTTGTTTATTTTCGGTAATTAAAGATGTCGGTTAATATCAACTGGAACTCTCTTGAACAAGAATCCTTGCTCTGTTGGAGCAGGGATCTTTTGAATGATGCTCTCAACTCTGGCAAGAAACCTAGTATATTGGCCTCCGATATTGAGATACAGGACTTACATTTTGGTAATAACGCGCCAATTGTAGAAATCCTCGAAATTGGCGATTTGGATACCGATAAGTTCAGGGGGATCTTTAAAATTAAGTACGCGGGGGATTCATATATTAATTTGGCAACAAAGATCCAGGCCAACCCGATGAACATTTTTCATAATAATCTGTTGGCGAAATACTCGGATTTTATCCTCCCTGAATTGGGAATGGTGAATCAGAAGTTTGAAATCCCTATCAATTTAAAGCTATCAAAAATAATGTTATCAGGTATAATTATTATTGTGTTTAATAAATCAAAAGGTTTGACTTTGGTGTTCAAAAACGATCCTCTTGAGAATATCGACGTCTCTTCAACTTTTGATGCAATTCCTGCGGTTAGAAAATTCCTCCAAATTCAAATTGAAAACCAGATTAGGGATTTGTTTAGAGAAATTTTACCAAATGTTTTGTACAAAGTTTCTCAACGATGGACCAATAATATACATTCTCAGTTATTAAATGGGGGCTCTAATAAGGTTAACAAGGAGAATGATAAGAAAGTGGTATTATTTAGTGACATTAATCCAGATGGCCCAGATCTATCACCAGGAAATTTACTCAGGTTGTCGACATTAAGCGGTTCTCGACAATCTTTATCGCTTGGAATTCCAAAAATCAAAGATTTCATTCAGCGGTCAACCATTGAGAAATTTATTAACGTGCACAATAGAATCAAAAACCAGAACTCGTTCTTCTTATTCAATAACCACAAATATGCCAACGGGCTTCCAATTGAATTATTCGCAGCAAGTAATGGTGATATGACTCATGACTATTCTTCCATTGAAAAAGCTATTGTTGATGTCAGCAAATACCAACTGATCAATTACAACAATAAAAACCAGACAAACAATAAGCACGTGAAGAAGCCGAGGAGAAGAGTTATTAAGCTCGGTGGTCCTAAGAAAAAGGCTGGAGTGTCATCACAACCAAAGGCAGATGATGATGATGCTTCTAGTGACATTACTGCTGTATCATTCAATAAGACAGGTTTGCGTAGCGACGTGGCGCACACTGATAATGATGAGGGAGATAGTGCTACTCTCGTTGACGATATTGAAGATTTGGATAACCCAGAATGTTCCGCCAATAGTTCAGACTCCTACATCACTGGCCATAAGTTGAGAGAAAAGAGGGCTTTGAGCTCATCATCCGCTAGTGTGGAGTATCTAAGATCTCTCTACGCCGAACAGCAAAAATCACAAAAGGCCAATGAAATCAAGAAAGCTATTGATAACTCTATGAAGAATAATGATGAAAGCAACAAAAACTTCAAACAAGAGGTTAAGAGGCCATATATCATCACTCAAATTTCTACTGATAATTCTAACAAGGATAATATCAGAAGTCCATTGAATGATAAGTCCATGTTGAGCTTATCCTTAGGATTGAATAATAGGGTCATCAATAGATCCGAAGGGAAGAAAGGGATCATTTCTAATGCAGTTAAAAGCAAGAAAGAAGGAGCGCATGCCACAAAAACTCCGGTTAAGCATAAAGATAAAAACAAGCCAGAAACAGTTACTATTAAATTGAAGTTGAATGACAAAATCAGGAATGAGAAAGCCAGGGATAAAAACTCAAGCAACAACTCTGAATATGCCACATCGAAATATTATAAAAAATTATCCAATTTCAATAATATTCCTTCATCCGATGAAGGCTTGGTTGGAAACAGAAAAACTGGAGCAATTGATTTTTTTACTTCTAATCCTGTGCTTTCTGACATTCCACCTCCTTATGCTCCATAGTAGCTGCCTGAATACGACTAATAAAACTATATGGCGATAATGTTTTTTCGTTTTTTTTTTTCTTTCCATGGGTTGAATACCCAGGGCTATTTTCAATGACTTTGCTTTCCTGGATTCTGATTTATTTATTTTTTCTCTTCTTGTTCTGTTGCACATTCAAACAGTATTTGCTAAGTTTGCTTTATTGAATATTCGGATCAAACCATACAGGTGATGGGGGAGTCCACTAGTGTCATCAATTAATTAAACGATGCAATAATTTACAGCTGTAATTCAAGATTAGATGTTCTACTTATTTATTTTTTTGTTATTTTAATTTCTCTTTAAACATGGGTTATTTTGGTTTTATTCTTTGATATTTTACTATTCGCACCACATACGTTAGTGTCAATATACATGAGTTCTTCAACATTTATTATTTTTTTATTCCAAAACCTGAGTCTGCAAAAAACAATCATTCAAAGAATCTGCTGGTATACATACGCGAATTAACAGCTATAAATATCACTATATGCGGTGTTGTAGTAAAGACGCCACCAGAAATCGCCTCTCACATTGTCCCATCTAATAAAACACTAACCGCCGCAATCAACAGCCCAAATCATGAACTTTGGCCAGCCATTTATCCATTGTGGGGTTTGCTTCAAACAATCTTGCAAACAGACCCATTTAAAACGAGGTTCTAATGCAAGCCTTCAAAGAAACGACGAAGGCGACGATGACGATGGTGGTTTTTACATGACGAGTTGTGCTCACGTTTTATGTTATGCTCATACGAATTTATCAAATCAAGGTATTTATAATGACCTTCGAGCGATCACAATAAACTATCGAGTTGTTGTTTTTTTTTTTGTTTTTTTTTTTGGTATTCGTGGTTTCATTTTTGGACAAACTATTAACATACATCTTTTTTTTCTTTCTGAAGCAGGACAGTTTTTTGGGAATCAAATTGATATCAACAACATTAAAATCACTTGTGGTATTTGTCAGACTTCAGGAGTTTCTTTGAAAAAAATCGACGATAATTTACCCATGGAAATTGCAATGTACTTTAACTCATTGCCGCAACAGTTGGAAACAATTTTTGCAATTTCTCAATTCCAATACGTAGGGATGCAAGATATGGTCAACTATCAAAGGAGTTATATACAGAAGTTGCTAGAAAAAGTCGATAAACAGCGTCAATTATTAATTACCGCCAAAGAAGAGATTACTCAAATAGAGAAATACAAGAGGTAAGTGTCATTCTCTTTCTCCGAATAGAGAGTATAAACCAATTCTGTACTCCTTCCTATCATACTAACCTATTCGACAGCAAGATTAAAGATTTAGAAAAAAATAACAGTATTTTACGAGCAAAAGTTCGAAGTTTGGAAAATGGAGACTCTCTTAAAGCCCCACCAACAAGATCTATTCATTTCATGAATAGGCCAATCAATACTGGTAATAGCTCAATAATTGAACATGATTTGAAACAATTAGTCGAACAGCAGAAATATGATAAAACTAATGATACTCCTAACTATAATACCCGGCAGCAGTTTAATGGTGAAGATGGAAATACCTTTATTAGAATGGTCAAAGAAAGCTCGACTAAAAGAGGAATGTTTGCTCGTCAATCCATGTCAACATGGCAACAACAACACCAAAATTTACAGCCCAATGGACTGTTGAGCCAACCAAGAGTTCATAATCAAGTTGCTGAATCAACCAATATTCAGAATAATTCAGGAATTAATTATGGGGTTGTTTCTGGTAATATGGTGCGTAATGGTGGCGATGTCAATAGAAACGGCAGTGGTGAGGGTCTTTTAGCGGTGAACAATACGGTTTTTGGCAATAATGGGTCTTCGAGATTCATTTCCCTTGAATCAGAGGGTCATGAACTGGGAGAAATAAATAATAACAAGATTAGTAATAATTATAAACGCCCAATAATATTTCCAGACCTAGTGAAATTTAGGGCTGATAATAGTGGGAGCGGAGGTGATTTTGAAGTACAAGTTCGAGAATCAAGAAATAGTATGCAACCTTATCAGCTGAAGAATTCTAATGGTACCAATAGTGAAAATAGCGGGACCAGTCCCTTGAGACCATTCAGTAGATCGAGATTGTCTACGAGCAATGGGAAATCTGTCGGTCATATAGCTAGTAGACTAAGCGCCCACATGAAAGTAGGTAAACAAAGAATGTCAACTTACAATGGATCATCATCGAATAATAGAGAGATCGGAAGAGTTCTGAGAAACAATAGAATATAGAATATTGGTTAAGCTGGATATCCATATACTGTTCAAAGTTTCTAATCAATGTGTTATGCTCTTTATCAACACTGTATAATACATGCCATATGCTTATTGAATAACTTTAGTTCCTTTGTATTGTGACCTTTTTGCTAACGTTCACATCATCAAAATTCTATGAAATACAATAAGCTCTCCTTCAACGAATCCACAGAACACAGATCAGAAAATGAATAAATCCTTTATTTATTATGAGTGCATCTTTATGATAGTAATGAGAAGAAAGAAGCTGATGAATTGATAATAATAATAGTGGTGATAAAAAAAAAAGTGAAATAACATAAAACCTTGAAATAAACCAAAAACACATGACAATATGATAATATATGAGATGAGATCACAACTTTGTCTTGACATCAAAATACAACCAAAAGAGCGGTGCACAATGAGTGTCTACCATTATATTACTTCAAAACCCATTTTTGGTATAACCTTTTTAACCATGACAATTGTTGTATCGTTCACTCTTTTTCTCACTCTTTTTTTATTTTTTATTGTTCTTTTGAAATTTCTGGAAGAAACTCCTCTTTTTTTTTTATAATATTTGCTGTAATAGAAGATTAGAAATAAATCCTTGAATCATATCATTTAAGCGTCTTCGGCTTGTTTGGCAGCGGCCAATTGTTGGTAGTAGTCTTCACGCTTGGAAACAACACCCTTGTGGAAAGACCACCAGTACCAACTACCACCAAGGGTACCAAGGGCCAAACCGATGACGAGATCGGTGGCAGCACGTCTCTTAAGGGAACCAGTAATAGGAGCGATTGGCATTGTTGATGTTATTAGTTATTTAGTATTTTTCTTGCTGAAGTCGCTGTAGTACAATAACTCTCTTCTAAAAGCAGTATTGAAGAAAAAAAAATCATCTCACACAATCATCGTCTCTCTGGACATGCAGCCCCGTGCCAATCACAGTGGCGGGATTGGAATATCTCGCGATTTTTTTTGGATTTTTTTTTTTTAGGATTTTTTTTATTTTTTTTCCGCTCTTACTGTTAGCAAAGCACGGGCAACCCCTGGTGATTTTTGTTAGAAAAATTATTGGGTGAATTTACTATTGATTATATACATAATATTCCACTAATAGATCTACCGAAATTTTGACACAACCACCCACAAAAATGTTCGCCAGACAAACCACTGCTGCCGCTAGAAACGTCGTCTCCAAGAGAGCTTTCTCTACCACCACCACCAGAGCCTCTGGTCACTATGCTGAAGGTCCATACTCTAACCTTCCATTCAAGGTCCACAACAGAAAGATCCCATACGCTGCCATCCACTTTGGTTTCTTCGGTTTGGGTTTCGCTCTTCCATTCGTTGCCGTCGGCTGGCAATTATACAAGTCCGGTTCTTTCAACAACTAAGTGTGCTTACTCCATACTTTTTTTTTATTGAAGGGATGCAGTCACTGCTTGCCGAGACTTGGGTACTGTAAGATGTGAAGATGAAGAAGGAACATGAAAAAAAAATAATATAATACTAATAATAATATTCCTATGACATTAGTTCAGGAGAACCCATTGCTTTACAATTCACTACTACTACAATGAACAATAATACAGATTCTTATGAAAGTGTGTTTTGTTTTATTTTTATATCGGCATTTTTTTTTTCTTAGTTATTATCTGATTTCTCGCTGGTTGAATATGGAGGAGTTTGAGAATGTGAAATCAATAAACAAATAGGTTATCACGAAGTTATTTTTTTGGACTCTGTAGGTAGTTCCAGTATCTGAAGGGTTTCATTTACATGTAAGACCTACTCATCTACAAAGAAATAAAAATGGATTAACAAAATGAATTGTGTCAATTACAAAGATATCGAATGCTTGTAATATATATAATGATATTAACTTATCTAAAATAATGAAATTAGAATATTAATCAAGTTCTGACGCTCAAACTTTCCCCACGACGTGTAGTATCGATTTTCATCAATTCTCTCAAAGCCATAGTGGCATAAGTAGAAGTATCCAATTGCATTTTAACAATAACTGCCAATTTAGACTTATTGTTGTCGATTTCAGGTAAAAATCTTTTGGCACCATCAAATTCGTACTTCACTTCATCTTCGACACGTCTTTTGAAAGTTTCCATTTTGAAGTTTTGATACATTTGCAAATCATCGGCAACTAGTTCATCAGTTGGACTATCATAATGTCTAACATGGAACTCCAAGTTTTTCGGCTTATTAAGAACAGTTCTATAAGATCCGGCAAATGAAAATTCACGAATATTTCTTTGCATGTTGAAAGGATCTAATCCATCCTTACTCATCACATCAACATAAACTTGTCTGATATCTGAATTTTCAGGATAAACAACATCAAAACCTGGGGTTGGCAAAACAACATCATAAGCTGAAAATTTTTTAGCCTTAACTTCTTCCTCGGTAATTGGTCTAGCCCTAATGTATTTGGCTTTTCTAATGTCCTCACCCCCTTCCAATTCTTCGTCATCATCTTCAACCTTCTTGGCGACATTATCTTCATCATCGATAACCAAGTCTCCAGCAACAACTTCCAAACCAAATAATTCGTATCTTTTACTGGCAACACAGTTCCAAACATAACTTTGGTAAGCATGACCATACATAATTCTCAAGTTCCTTGGGATCTTCATTAATGCTTGGAAATAGACATTTGACTCAAATTTGCTCGATCCGGTAGATCTATAACTGTCTGCCAAAGTTCTCAAAATAGAGGTTTCAGCAGCACACTTCTTTGGCATCAATTCAAGAGTCCATATTGGGTTTCTGGTACATTCCCATATCTCTCTTGCTTGAACCGAATCTGGTAATACAAATTCTTGGTTAGATAACAATAACTCACATGCATCCTCCCATTTACCAAGAAGAATTTCTTTACCTACCTCATGGGTTGACACCGAAAAAGTACCAAATCTTTGCATCCCAAAGTAGTTAATAAACCCACGCTCCTTCAACCCTTCGAAGTTTTCGGTAATGATCTCCTTGATTGATTTTTGATTATCTTCACCAGCCTTTTCAACATCTCTAATGGTAATCACAAACTCATTCCCCTTAAGGTCACCCAAATTCATACCTTCATCACGATAACTGAAAGTTCCCAATTTTATACCTCTCAAGGTCTTATTCAAACTATTAATTCTGCCGACATCTCCTCCGGTAATACACATTCTTTGAACTGTGACAGCTCTCTTGTCCTTGGTACCAGCATATCTAATCATCTTAGTCCCCATTCTGGTCAATTTACCGATGATGTTGACCGCTTCCATAGTATCCTTATTTTGTTTAAACATAACAAAATGCAAATGCGATCTTTTTGGACCAATGCCAAACACATCCTTTTGTTGATTTCCATTACGGTTTCCTCTGGAATTTCTGTTTGAGATGGCAATTTTCATGGTGTTATCAGAGTTAGTGATGGATTCTAACTTCCCATTGAATGCATTACGAAGCAATTGATGTAATTCAGTTCTCTGTTGCTTGCTTTCAAATTTGTTAGTACTGATCATCATTTTACTGCGGTTGACCACAATATCAATCAAAGCATTAAAGTCAGATTCCCCCAATGCTTCAATGAGCTTAGATTTTTGTTCATCAGTGATTTCGTATTTTGGTTTAGCTTCTTCCTCCGTGGATTTTTCAGTCTTCGATTCCTCAGCGGTTTTGGAGTCTTCGGCAGTTTTAGACTCGTTAACGGCTCCATCATTAGCCTTTGTGTCTTCAGGTTTTGATTCTTTCGCTTCGGCTTCTTTGACTTTGGCATCATGAGAACCATCCTGAGATCTTTTCTCACGCTTCTTATTTTGCCCGGTAACGAACCCTTCATCCAACAAATGAACAACATTCCCATCCATGTCAATTTCATTGACTAAGAAATCCATATATCTCTGTTTCAAGGTCCCAGCAAAAGCTAATTGATTAGGTGACACATAGCTGGTAATTCCAACATCTTCTTCACCTACAGCCTTGCCACGGTATACTTTTTCCTTTTTTGTATAGATAACACTCTTGCCACCTCTTAGCCACACTTTTCTCACCAACGGTTTATATTGAAGAGCAGCCTTGAATGCTTCGTCAATTTCTGCACCAGATTTCTCGCTATCCAAAGTTTCTGGAAATTTCTCTTTCAATTGCTTCAATACAATATCAACATTGTTTCTAGAGCTATCACCTTCTCCATAAACATCAAGAGTTAAAATATCTTCAAAAGATTTATCAGGGAGAGATTCAGGGTTAAGAGATTCAAATCTTTCAATGAAGCCCCACATTATATCCTCAGTTTTAGCACGGCTATCCTTGTCATCGGTTTTGATGGACTGATGTTCCGATGCTCTTTTCACGATTCTATCGAGAGTGAGGTCCCACAAATTAGTATCCTGCAACAAATTAGGTCTGTTTGGCAAAAAGTTCAAAGCAATATAGTGAAATTTATATTCAACTGTAGGATCAGTGCCAAAAAACTCGGCCTTCAAGGAATCCATGTTTTCAAAAAATGAGGCTCTTTCTTTAATCATATGGTTATTTCTATCAACAAACAATACGTTATTTTCATCACGAATGGTTTTAGAAGCATCAGAGACTGACGATAAGAATTTCAAACATTCTTTCTCAAGCTTATGTCTTCCTTCAGGTAAGTCGTCATTTTGCACATGGCCCCAATAAGGATATAATTTTTGCAAAGTCTGGGCAACAGTTGTTTTGCCACACCCAATGGTAGCAATAGGTAAAATTATGTATTTGTCAATAACAACAGATGGTTTAATTGCTTCTTTTTCTTCAATAGCGACTGAAGCTTCAGATGATTTGGACTCGTCAGCAACGTCTAACTTCTCAGGTTCTTGAAGGTCAAGCTTGATCTTCTTACTGGCGGATTTTTCAGCAATTTCTGCCGCATCATTATCATCTGAACGACGCTTCAAAACGGTGGGATCTTCCTTAATTTCCGACATTTTAAAAATAAACTAAAATGTGAGCCGAAGTTCTCTTTTAAATCTTTCAAGAGATGTTGCAGGTGAAGATATTCTATTTTTTTTTTTTTTTTTTTCCTAAGAAATTTTTCAGCAGTCCATCGCATCTTCGATCTTTTGCACCAGTACCAATTCCGCGGATGTTTACACTGACGTCAAAAAAAAAAATAGTTTGATGATCATCTGCTTTCTCTGTATGATGATCCAAGAAGAATAAATAGGTGATAATATGAACAATATCCGTACATCTAAAGTAAAAAAAGAGGAAGGAGTCCAAAGACAGCAGCAACTCCCATTTAAAAAGAGTAGCCCATCACTTGTTCTATTTCCCAAACCCCAGGAATATGACATAGACCTGTTTGAAGTAAAGCTAAAGCGTCCAGCAACTAATTGGGCGGCAGAAAAGATATCAGAGTTTCTTGAGGAGTTGAAGAAAAGCACCCCAAATCAATTCAAGAAGAGCGGCGCTGTCGGGACAAAGAATAGTGATGGTGATATGGCGCTTAGTTTGTCTTGGGTCAGAATGGAGATTGTTATTAGCACAGCCAATAAAGTATTTGGATTCAATGGGTGGAATAGTAGTATTGTGGAGGATAGTAAGGTTGTGAATTCGGAGGTCATTATTGAGGAAGACTTGAAAAAAGAGAATTACATTGAACGGCTTCTAAGGCTTCAGGAAGAAGAAGAACAAGCGAAGCTTCCAAAAGTGAAAAAAGAGAAACCTGAGGAAGAAGAGAAGAAAGTCAATTACTCGTACTCCGTCGAGGTACGAACCACAATTATGTTGTCATTGAAGGATGGAACCTACATTACGAAGGACGGAACAGGCTCGGCAACCAATCCTCAGAAGAATTTGGCGTTCCAACTAGCAAAGAAGCAGGCAGCGACAAATGCTTTGAAACAATGCTTTTGTCTGTTTCCCGAAATGTTGAAGAACCATCAGCAGAGGTGGAAACTCAGACAGTTCAACTGGGGGTAATTAGAAGCGTTTACTTATTTTGTATAGAAAGTTTGACAAGTGTTTTCCAATGTTGTGTAACTTAAGCTAAGAGAATTAATTTCCTTCCCAATGCATTGTACTGTAGCTGTATGCACAGGCATCGTGATACTGGAGGGTCTCAACACCCAGGGCCACACAACCGCACAGAAGCCAATCACCGCCGCCAGAAATATGATTATTTGGGCAATTGAGAAAAAACACCAAAAAAATAATCACAATCTGATATATCTCTTCAATACCACCTTTAGAAAAGTATATCTTTGCTTTCACTAACAGAAATAATTGTAACACGGCAGCAATGAGTTTTGTCATTAAGAATGCTCTTCAAAAGGTCCCTTTGAGATCAACTTCCCTCACCGTCAGAAAGGCCATTTCTCCAGCTGCCTTAATACAATATCGTCAGAACTCATCGTCTCGTGCTGCTCAGTTAACACCACATAAATTGCCAACAAATGATCCTCTTGTCTCCCAAATAGAACCAAGCAATGCCTTGGATTATGTCTTGACATCATTGGATGCCGCCGCTAACTGGGCAAGAAAGTCTTCTTTCTGGCCAGTTACTTTTGGTTTGGCTTGTTGTGCTGTTGAAATGATGCATGTCTCTACTCCAAGATACGATCAAGATAGATTGGGGATTATTTTCAGAGCTTCCCCAAGACAGTCTGATATCATGATTGTCGCAGGTACTTTAACCAACAAGATGGCCCCAGCTTTGAGACAAGTTTACGATCAAATGCCTGAACCAAGATGGGTCATTTCTATGGGTTCTTGTGCCAATGGTGGTGGTTACTATCATTACTCTTATTCTGTTGTCAGAGGTTGTGACAGAATTGTCCCAGTTGATGTTTACGTTCCAGGTTGTCCTCCAACTGCTGAAGCTTTAATGTACGGTGTCTTCCAATTACAAAAGAAAATGATGAAGACCAGAATTACCAGATTATGGTGGAGAAAATAATTGTTTCCCAATTTTTTTTTCTTCCGATTTTCGCTTAATCAAATCCGTGATATCATTATCAACCAACATCAAAACAAATTAATCGGTTGATTGAAGAGATCAGTTGACATATTTTTTTTTTTCAATTTCAAACAAAGATCAACACTTTGACATAGGACCGAAGGTAGTAGGGGTTCGGTGATTGCGAGTTCATAGAGAAATTATGAAGGGGAAAGAAAGCCATTGCATTATTTTATTCAAGTTACCTTTTTTTTTTTTGTTCAATTTATTTTATTTTAACTTCTTATTTTTTTTCTCTTGTTATCATGTATTATTTCATCATCAATATATTCCTAGTTTTACTTTATTTATTGAAGGTCGATCTTTAACTGTGTCAGAAAATCTTCAATCATGTTTTCTGCAGATTAAAATCGTTAGCTCTGACTGTAGTTGTAAATGTTAAGAATAAATGATAAAAATGGATACCTTGTTTTGTAGTATTTAGTAAATAAAAAATAAATACTATTTACGTATGGACAACATAATACATTTGACGTACTAGTCCAGTAACGTAGATTCAATACAGCGTTCTTGCACTGAAAATCATTATCAAATAGAACAAAATACTTGTAAAAGGGAAATGAATGGCTTACAAAATCATAGTTTAAGAAAACATCAAGCATTCATTTAATATGTATATAATATATGATTCAATGATACGCTTATTGTTGAGAGAAGTATTCCAACAAGACGTTTCTTTCTTCGGAGTCAGCACCCCAGTTCTTGACAACGACGACGGAAGCACCAACGACCTTTCTGGCGTTACCTTCTTGGTCCAATTGGCACAAACCAGCCCATTCACCCAATTGCTTAGCATCGGAAACCTTGATCAATGGGATCTTGTTTTCTGGTTCGTTACACAAAGCTTCAACCAACTTGATGATAGCTTGTTCAGTAACAGAGTCACACAAGACACACATTTGAACGTCACCCTTAGCCAAAGCCTTGGTAGATTCTCTCAAACCTCTGGCCAAACCATCGTGGATCAAAGAGGTTCTCAAGACAGCCTTCAAAGCGTCTTCAATGGTGATGGATCCAGAAGTTTCTTCAACAGCAACTTCTTCAACAATTTCAACTTGTTCAGTGTCAGACATTTTTAATTATTTATAGACTTCTTCGTCAGATATTTTCCGCTCAGTACTATAAACAGGAACTTAGCGAAGGAAAGAGATTTCTTGAATATCGTTATTGAAACTTTTTTCAAAGCAGGCGTAATTTTTTTTTTCTGGAATGGAGGGTGTTACAGGGTGATACAGCCCTAGTGAAGGTCATATGACAAGAAACTCAAAAGCCCTATATAATTAATCACATGGTTATGTGAATATCATCTCATGAATGCAGATAGATACATGAATATGCACCTTCTGTTCAGCTGACAGAAACTCACAAAAACATAAAGTTGATTTCAAATGAACCATCGGTAAGTGACATAATATTTAAGGAAGTAGAGTTTAATTGGATGAATATGATTACCAACACCGAATTAACAGATTTAATTCATGCAGTTGAAGAAACTTCCACCAATTGTGATGTGGAATTCTTCGATCCATTGTTACAATCGAGTTATCAACAGCCAGAAAAGACCGACGATGAGATAAATAATGAGCTTAAGCGCCAATTCTTGACGCCAGGCAATGAGATTTCGTGGAATATTTTGGACTTGGTTCAGAAGAAACCAGATTTTCTCAAGAACAGTATATATGATAGTTTATTGAGTATCCCTGAACCTGATGATAATATAATATTAAAGTTTAAGAGAAGAGGCATCAAGGGAAGCATCGATAGCTATTCCGAAGAGTTGGACTTGACGCAATTGAATTCAAAGAACACAGCCAATTCCCTCTCTATGAACAGAAAATTCGGTTCGAAGAAGGATGCAGTGAAGGGTAAAACAACCCAATTGCCATTCATGCCTGGTGGTTTCATCATGGAAGATAACTCACCAAAACATTTAGAAAATTTGAAATTATTACACAAGGATAAGGATGGGTTGTATGACCTACCAAATGGTCTTCCACGAGGTTTAGAAATCGGAAACGACACTGGTGTTAGTGGATTAAAAGAGTTAGAAGATAGTTTGAACGATGTAGCACAATATAATTTCAAGGAAGAAGCCGAAGATGACATTGAAGATGAAGTGTTTGATGAAGCTGCATTTGTTAATGAAGTGGATGAAAGTTCAGGAACCTCGGATGAGTCCAGTTTTGGTATTGATGGGTTGCTTCCTGAAAATATTATTGTTCAGAAGAACCACATGGCACAGACTGTCAAGAAGAAAGAATGGGCTCATATGATTGATCTAGACCATAAAATTGAAAATTTCCACGAATTAGTGCCTAATATGGCAAGAGAGTGGCCCTTTGAATTGGATACTTTCCAAAAGGAAGCAATTTATCACTTGGAGCAAAATGATTCGGTATTCGTCGCTGCTCATACTTCTGCCGGTAAGACTGTGGTTGCAGAATATGCCATTGCGATGGCCAATAGAAATATGACTAAAGCCATCTATACATCTCCAATTAAAGCCTTATCTAACCAGAAATTCAGAGACTTTAAAGAAGATTTTACGGATATAGACGTTGGGTTGATCACCGGTGATGTTCAAATTAATCCAACCGCTAACTGTTTGATCATGACTACTGAAATTTTAAGATCTATGCTTTACAGAGGATCAGATTTGATTAGAGATGTTGAATTCGTTATTTTTGATGAAGTGCATTATGTTAATGATATTGATAGAGGTGTTGTTTGGGAAGAAGTTATTATTATGTTACCACCACACGTGAAATTTATTTTACTCTCTGCTACTGTGCCTAATACATTTGAATTCGCTAACTGGGTGGGAAGAACTAAACAAAAGGATATTTATGTCATCAGCACGCCAAAGAGACCAACGCCGCTAGAAATATACGGGTGGGCCAAGGATGATATTTTTAAAATAATTGATGCGAAAAGAACTTTCTTGGAGGATGGTTTTAGAAAGCATAAGGATAGATTGGAAGGAAACAATAAAGATAAACAAAATTCCAATAATGGAAGAGGTGGTCGTGGTGGAGCTTCAAGAGGTGGTGCTCCAAGAGGTGGTGCTCCAAGAGGTGGTGGCCGTGGTGGAGTTAGAGGATCTAATAGAGGTGGCCGTGGTGGTGGTAGAGGAGGAGCATTGGCTAATAATAATTCTAACAATAGAAAACAGTTTATGAATAGGGACAGCCCGAACAAAAAAACTTGGCTTGATTTAGTACAATATTTAAAAAAGAAAGATTTGTTACCAGCAGTGGTTTTCGTTTTCAGCAAGAAAAGATGTGAAGAATACATTGATACTCTAACCTCTATTGATTATACTACTGCCAAAGAAAAATCGGAAATTCATAGATTTTTTGAAGGGGCTTTGTCAAGGTTGAGAAAAGAAGATAGAAACCTACCACAGATTTTGAAAATTAGAGATATGGCCAGTAGAGGTATCGCAGTTCACCATGGTGGATTATTACCAATTATTAAAGAAATCATTGAAATTTTATTCTCAAAATCTTTGGTTAAGGTTTTATTTGCTACCGAAACATTTGCAATGGGTTTGAACTTACCAACTAGAACTGTTGTCTTCAGTGAATTGAGAAAACATGATGGTACAAAATTTAGAAACCTATTACCTGGTGAGTTCACCCAGATGTCTGGGAGAGCTGGTAGAAGAGGTTTGGATAAAATTGGTACAGTTATTGTGATGGCCTACAACTTGCCATTTGATGTGACAAGCTTTAAAGAGGTTACGTTGGGTGTTCCAACGAAACTTTCAAGTCAGTTTAGATTAACGTACAACATGATTTTGAATTTATTGAGAATCGAGGCCCTACGTGTTGAAGAAATGATTAAGCGCTCGTTCAGTGAAAATTCAACCCAATCGATGATGAGCGACCATATGGAGAATGCCAAGAAATTGGAGACTTCAATTGAAAATCTGCAAATTGATACTGGAGACTTTGGTGATGAAAACGCCGCTATTGTACAAGATTTGTTTGCCAAGTTTGCTGAGTACAAGTCTATAATCACTCAAATGATTACCTCTGCAATGGAAAGCCCAGTTCTCAAAAAGAAATTTGCCACTGGTAGAATGATTATTTTTAGGGACCATGCAAATAAACTTAGACCTGGATTCATAACAAAGAATTTTCAGAATGCATTTGCTGTCCTACAGTTTAATATGGGTTCAAGAAGAGAGGGATTTGATGAACGAGGACTTTCCATTCCTTATTTGTCAATGGTTAATGGATTCATTGAAAGTATGGGGTATCCAAAAATAGAATTTGGAGGCCATTTGAAAAGGGTCACAGTATTTTACGACCAAATTGAACTAGTCACAAGAAACAATGCCTCCAAAACCAATGAGGAATTCACTAAAAAATTGGAGTTATTGTTGAAATATCAGAAGGATTGGGGAGAAATAAATTGGGATGGTTTCTTAACTTTATCGATGCATGATCTTATGAAACGAAAGGATGCCATTCTCGATGATCTTCGCCAAAACAGTAAGTTTTTAGAAGTTATGAAAAATGAGAAATTTATCAAGAACTACAAGATTGTTGAGAGACAGCAAAAACTTAGAGATGAGCTTCGTGATATGCAAATGATTATCTCTGGCGAGAACTTGGAATTATTACCAGATTACAATTCTAGACTTGAAGTACTTAAGGATCTTGGTTTTATTGATTTCAATTTAAATGTCCAATTGAAGGGTAGAGTTGCTTGTGAAGTCAATAGCGGCTGGGAGTTAATCGTCACTGAACTTGTTTTAGACAACTTTTTGGGAGAATTTGAACCAGAAGAAATTGTAGCCTTGTTGTCCTGTTTTATTTACGAAGGTAGAGGAAACAATTCGGAAGAGGAAGAACCATTCTTAACACCAAGATTAGAAAAGGGTGAGAAAAGAATCAAGGAGATTGTTGGTAATGTGTTGGACACTTACCAAAAGCATCAAGTGGGGTTGACTTCTGAAGAAGAAAATTTCTTGGAACGTAAAAGATTCTCTCTTGTTAATGTGGTTTATGAATGGGCTCGTGGTATGCCATTTAGCAAAATCATGGAAATGAGTCCTGAAAGTGAAGGTACGATCGTGAGAGTGATTACTCGTCTTGATGAAGTTTGCAGAGAAGTCAAGAATGCTGCGTCAATTATTGGCAATTCCTCTTTGCATGGCAAAATGACCGAATCACAAGAAAAAATCAAGAGAGATATTGTGTTTTGTGCAAGTTTATATCTTTGAAGTTATTAGTCTCTTTTACATTATATTTTACTGAATGAAAATTATAACACATTAATGAGTTAATATCCTATAGAACAGGAAAAAAAAGAAAGAAAAAAAAACTGTAAGAAAATGAATTATACACCAAAAATATAGATAGAATCAAACTGAACCAATTAAAATAACAAAAAAAAAAATCATACCACCAATTCAACATCCACTGAATCCCTAATTACTTTATCCAACTTACCCACTTGACGGTATTTAGCCTTATCAAAGAATTTAGATTGGATTTTTTCTTTTTCCACATTCTTTAATTTTTCATCTTTAACCGTTTGTTCATGTTTTTCGGCTTCTTCCTTTTGGATATTTTGATAATACAATCTAACATTAGTTTTCAATCTGCTGAATGGATTCGAGATGACTTTACCATTGGCAACGGCAATGGCTTCTTTTCTTCTCCGTTCGGAAGCGATTATCTCGGCCTTTCTGATGGCATCTTGGTTTCTTTTTCTATTACGTTCATTGACTCTATCAAGGGTACTCAACAGATTATTTGTTTCCTTGGTCTTTTGTCTGGCATTGTCATATTTGGATAATTCACGCTCAATTTTCTGGATTTCTTGGATGTTGTTACGTTGTCTTGCAACTTCAAGATGGGTTTGTAATTCTGCCCTACGCATCACAGCATTGGCACCAACATATCCTCTATTTAATCGTTGTTTGCTTTCGGAAACTTGCTTGATTTCCTTTGACGTGAGCACTCTTTGGGCCATTTCCTTCAATTGTTTGAATTTCTTTTCGATTTTCTTCACCGAAGGAATATAGTCCAGCTTTTGACAGTATTTGTCAAATTCCTGTTGGGTGAATGGAGAATTACTAAAGAAATCCATACTGACTTTTTTAGTTTGTCCGTCGCTGTTAGTGCACACCGCAAACATGTTGACGTAAGACCCTTCCAATTTGTAAGGTTTTCTGCCGCGCTCAATGGAGACAATCCTCACGATACGATAGCTTGGTCTTCCATCACTCCCGGTACCCACGTTGAAACGTGCCATACAGTCCTTGACAACTTCTCTGAACTCAGGATAGTATAAGTATTTGGCAATTGGCCCTCTTCCAATACGAATCTTATTAATGTCGTCGACGATGGTTTGACGAACCGGTTCTGATTTCTTGGTGCTCCCCCACTCTACACCATCTGGATTATAATCATCTTCTTCATCGTAATAGTCACGCAAGTCATAATCATCATTATCAGCTTCTTCTTCTTCGGCATCTGGTACGTGATATTCGTCATCATCTTCTTCATCACCTTGAGGCCCCTCATCCTCCGAGTATGAATCACCAGCGTCTCTTCTGGCCTTCTTATCTCTCTGTTTCTTCAATTCTGACAATTTGGATGATTTCTTGAATCTTGATGATTCTTTCACTTTCTTGGATCTGCTAGAACGTTCTTGTTGAACTTGGTTCTTTTCTCTAGCGGCTCTTTGAGCCAAATAAAGTCTTTCTTGATACTCATTCATTTTCTGAGCTCTATTATACAAAGTTTCTTCTCTTTCCATTTCGTCCATTTCTTCAATTCTCAATTTATCTTCTTCGTCAATATATTTTCCTTCCAAAGGATATGGGTTTTTCTCTGTAGCATCTTCGTCATCATCCTGGCCGTCGTGTTCGTCTTCGTCGTCCTCAGTACGAGTCTTTCTTTTCTTGGTGGTCGACTTCTTGATGGAAGAGCTTCTTTTTTTTGGGGAGGATTCGCCAGAATCCAATTCATCGACATCAGCCCCGGCAAGAGCCAACAAATCCTCATCTAAATCCACGTCAGACATTATGCTGGTATTATATTATATTATTGAATTGATTATTGTTGAGTATCAGTTGTTGACGTTTTTTGGTTGTTTTGTCGCCTTTTTTTTTCACTCTTTGTTTTTGTCATCGGGAAAACTGGGTCACGTGGAAATATCGTTCCTCTTTATGATTTTTTTCTCTTCATATATTACTGTACAGATGAGGAAGAAAACTAACTTCTGTCTGCCAACCGACAAGTAAGAGGCACTCGCTATTTATCATTATATTCAATTGGCAGTTGGTGACCATAACACAAGATGCTGAGCTTAAAGTTTTGCACGGTATGTGCTTCCAATCAGAATAGGTACGTTGGAGAAACAAAAGGATGATAGGGTTCTATAGATGTATATGAAATGACAAACGATCCTTCATTACATATATATATTATCCTGCCTCTATTTATATATTACTAACAATAGTAGATCAATGGAAGCGCATAAAGTGTTACGAGATGCTGGTTACACTGTTTCGTCCTATGGGACTGGGTCAGCGGTAAGGCTTCCTGGACCTTCTATAGATAAACCAAACACATATGCATTTGGCACGGCTTATGACGATATATATAAAGAGCTTGAAGGTCAAGACTCACGATTATACACCCAGAATGGGGTTCTAAAGATGCTCGATCGTAATCGTCATGTCAAACAAGCACCAGAGAAGTTCCAACAAAACACCAAAGTGTTTGATTTCATCATCACTTGCGAAGAACGTTGTTTCGATGCGGTGATAGATGATTTATACAATAGAGGAGCGATCTTGAATCGAGTCGTTCATGTGATAAATGTTGATATTAAGGATGATACAGAAAGCGCGGCGGTCGGGGGCCAGGCAATTTTGAAATTGGTCAACGCGGTTGCTGCCAAGAAGAAGGAAATCGAGAAAGACAGTGATGATGGCGATTGTTTGGAGGACCATTTAATGGATATCATGACCCAGTGGCAGTTGGAGCACCCACATTTACTTTTATTATATAACGTTGCCTACTACTAAGGTGCGTCTGGAATTAGGAGATGGTGGTTGATTACTTTTCCCTTTTTCATTTTTTTTTTCTTCAATATTTTCATTTTCATCTTTTTCTGTAAAATATAAGGATAGTCATCGAGTATGTTTGTTGTTTGTAATTGTGGTGGTTCATATAACCAATGGATCTAGCCCCCCCTAAGGGTGGAAAATACCATGCAGACTTTCCCAACATGAAACTTTTGGCAGCCGATGGTAGCGTGCGTAACCATGGGATCTACCATGCTTGCTCCTGATGGTATATAAGTCTGCATTTGTGGGCTTAGAAAAACATCAATTATAATTAATAAAATGTAAAATAGCAAGCATACAAATAATTGGTCACATTTACTTATGCTCTCGCGACTTGTTTTATCCACTCTCTTCGCAACTCTTTTCATCAGAGTCCAGGCAATGTCCTCGGTTGTTATCGATGGCAATGCTTTCTGGAAAGATAATAGCAGATTCTATATTCGTGGTGTCGATTATCAACCAGGCGGAAGCTCCAGTGCCACCACCAGTGATCCATTGGCCGATGCAGGCGCTTGTTCAAGAGACGTTAAGAAATTCGTCGATTTAGGAGTCAATACCATCAGAGTTTATTCAGTTGATCCATCCCAAGACCATAGTCTGTGTATGAAAACACTCCGTGATAATGATATTTACTTGATTTTGGATGTCAATAACCCATACCAATCAATCAACCGTGCTGAAGCAGAATGTTCTTATAATGCGTTCTATATGAAGAACGTGTTTGATGTCATCGATGAATTTGCACAATATGACAATGTGTTTGGCTTCTTTGCTGGCAATGAAGTTATAAATGATGAAAAGACTACTGGTAGTGCCAAATATGTGAAAGCAGTGGTTAGAGATATGAAAAAATATATCAAGGCAAGAAGTTATCGTACAATTCCTGTTGGTTACTCTGCTGCGGATATTGAGACCAATAGAAAACAACAAATAGAATATTTCACTTGTGGTGATGATGAGAATGCCCGTGTCGATTTTTGGGGTCATAATGACTACTCATGGTGTGGTGACAGCAACATGCAGACTTCTGGTTATGACAACTTATTGGAAGATTTCAAAGGTTTACCAATTCCAATATTCTTTTCGGAATTCGGTTGTAATTCTCAAGAAGATAGACCTTTCACTGAAATCCAAGCCATTTACTCTACCAAAATGTCTTCGGTGTTGTCTGGTGGCTTGGTTTATGAATACTCTCAAGAAGCTAATGATTACGGTTTGGTGAAGATCAGCAGCGATGAAAGCTCTGTCACCGAGCTTGGAAGCTATACTAACTTGAAGCAACAATATGCTTCGGTTGATGATCCAAGTGGTGATGGTGGAGCATCTTCCAATAATTCCTATCCTTCTTGTCCTTCCACTTCCACAACGTGGCTTTCTGACGATGACTTACCAAGTACTCCATCTGGGGTAGTCGATATGATCAATAATGGTGCTGGATCTATTGTATCGGTGTCTGACCTTGGTTACACTTCTTATAAATGTTATAGCACCTATGATTACCCAACTGGCAGTAGTAACACTACCACAAATGGTACATACAGCTACAATTCTACCAGCAGTGGCTATAACTCGACTAGTAACTTAATCAGTAACACCAGTTATGTTACTTCTCATCAGTATTCCCTTGCTGCACAAGTGTCCTATTCTACTCTATTATCCACTACAACTTCCAAGCATAGCAAGAACACTGAAGCTGGTAAAGAGAAAGATAAAAGTACCTCTAGTAAGAAACATTCTGAAACAAGCTCTTCACATTCAGTTGTTGAAGGTGGGCAAATCAGAGTCGCAGCTATTCCTACAATCTTTGCGATCGCTTACAATTTTATCAACTTATTATAATCGTGCCCTAGATTTTTAGGATTTTCAAAAATTTGAAATTCCTCGCTTTTTTCACTAGATAAATATATAGAATAATAGATTTTCGTTCCTAGCAAAAATCCTAAGTGGATTGTAGATCTACAATGATACACGATATTTCTCTAAAAAATGTCCTTGGGATTAAGGTATATCCTTTATAACAAAAACCTCCAGATAAAAGCAAACAAAAAAAAAAAAGAAAAGAAAGGAAATCAGTAAGAAATTATATTATTAATTAAGGTAAAACGGGACAATTGAAAAACTGTGGTAAACTGGAAAATGCAAAGCCAATAGATAAAAAGTGTTTCAAAATGGAAAACATAAAAAAGAAAGGGCATTAGAATAAAAGGGTATTAAAATAAAATGAAAAAAAAAAAATTATAAGTATATATCAATAAAGTATTCTATAATGCATATATGTGGCTAACGTCTTTTCAATTTTAAAGACTCTTTTTTTCTCTTACTTGAAATATTCAAGTCTGAGCCGCCAGTAGCCAAGGTTATTCCCGGAGATAGTAGTCCTCCGCTAGTCTCCAATGGTCCGGTATTTTTTGGAAGTTCCAATTTTAATGGTCGTCCATTAGCTTTATTCTTAGAGCGAGCTGCTGGTAGCTTCTTTGGTCCACCTGAATTTGGTGGTTTTCCTAGCTCGAAAGAATCCCTGAAAGGTGAAGATAAGGAAAACTGTTGTTGCGTTGACTCGTAGGTAGGAGAAAGTATCCGATTTCCTTGTAGAAGCGGATTATGTGAGTCGATTGGGGTGATTGGGGTCAATGGCATGTTGCTCCCCTGGACCGAACTAGTGTTGACATTTAACGTCGATTTTTGTCCCTGGTTATTATTTATGTAGCTGCTGAGAGCATCATGAATCGAGGCAGTATTAGTAGCCACCGACGAGTTTGGTGGGTTGATTTCCGGCAAGAAGTAGTTGCTAAAGTTGGCGTTGATTGGAGAGAATGTGTGGTTGATAGGCGATAGCTGTGGAGAGGTAAGTTGGTTATTTAGATGTAAGAAACTTTGATTACCCAACCCTGATGAGGCGTTTGCAGGTGTAGGAGAAGTTATTGATAAATTCGCAAATCCCTCATCTATTGAGCTGAAGTTGTGAGGGTTTATTGACAGCAACGATGATACTGAACTATTGCGCACTGGTGGAACCCCGTGGTTTATCGAACTATTGTTAGCATGATTATAGAACCCCATACATATCTCAATCAATTTTTGTCTAATCTGTCCAAGCAAGTTTGAATAAGCCGAAGAAGTGGTTCCCAAATTCTTGTATTTCTTATTGCTTTTTGTGTTCAAATCGATCAAGATATTCTTACTCAATGCTACCTTGAGGGCTTCCTTTGCTACTTTCGATACAATCCCCGCAGGAGGATACCTCCCGCTGAACGGGGTTAATTGTGGATTGGAAGTGTAGTTCTGATAAATGTTCATCAACATGCTTTCGAAATTCTTGGTGAAGGTCATCGTGATACTAACGCCGCCGGTTTTCTTACCAGGGAGACCCAAATACTCGGACGAGCCGGCCACAGATGACCCATTCAAACTGGAATGAGAGTACAACGAGTTGGCCATCTGGTCTTCAAATTCATCGTAGTGGCCATCATCATAGTCATCATCATCACTCAAGATACTCACTCTCGAGTCATTTCTACTGCGACAAGCCTCTCCTAATGGGGCTTGAGGATATTGTTGAGTTGCTCCAGTTTTAGGAAGCGGAGTCAACGGTGTAATAGGAACACCTGCTCCATTTCCATAGCCTGCTGTCTGATACAAGGCAAAGTTGGAAGTGGAGGCCTGCGGAGTCTGATAAGGGTTGTGGGTGATCGGGGTGGTCATCTCGTTATTGTTCATTTGTCCAGCCTTCTTGGCATTGATGGTCAATGAAGGCCTCTGTCTGGCGGTCTTCATCACAACACAGTAAATTATTTGACAACCAACACTAAAATACTGAGCGATATTAACTCTTCAAAATTAGCGTGTGCTCTTAGTTCTTGAAGGAAGGGTTTTTTTTCTGAAACGTTGGGTTTTTCGTTTCTCGGTTATTCTGGTGCCACCGCTGTGGATGTTATATTGCAAACTCAGGAACAAATTAGCGAATGAATGAATGTTCACAGATTGGAGAGAGACCAATTCTGTTTATTTGAAGTTATTATACTTGTCTTTTTTTGTTTCCTTTTTTGTTTTTGTTTTTGTTTTTGTTTTTTTCAGTCACAGGGAACAGCTAGGGTTTAGTAGGATCCTTTTTGTTTATTTGCGTTAGCTGCTAGTGCTGCCGGCAATTGCTTGTTATCTGTTTACGCACTTTTTTCTGGTGCAAACGCAACACGCAAATCGCTCACAGAGGGAATTCGGGAAAAACTACAAATCATCGTTATAATGGTAAGAATAATAATAACATGAAAAATAATTTGTGTGATATGGAATACTAATAGTGAATATAGAGCAATAGTGAACATATAGTAAACATATAGTAATAGTGAATATTCTGTTTCAAAGATTCTAGTAATTCAAAAGAATTTAGGATATAAACGACAAAACCAAATAATGTATTAAAAAAAAAAAAAATGAAAAAAAAAATAATGTAGTTAGCGGAAAATCAGAAGCCCTAACCATGACTATCACTTATTTGATCTAACCCTAACTACATCGTTAAGCAACTTGTCATAAGTTTCATCAACCGCTTTCTCATCATCAAATGACAAGTCGTTCACTCTGTTGGCCATAGAATCAATACTATGGAAACTTTCTGCATCATCATTATCCACTTCATGACTCAAAACTTCGCCGCCATTCGTTACGGATTCTGGTTCCACTTGTTTACCTGTATCTTCAAGCTTCTGATCAATTGTTTGGGTTTGCGCTTGGGCATCGCTTACGGCATTGGCAATGCTCGTCGCAATCAGATTTTCAGTAATTGATGCTTCCGGTGGTGGAACTTTATAAATGTGATGAAGTTGGAATGAATCATGTTCCACTTTGTCAATTAATTCGTTGATGGACTTAATACCCTTTGCCTTAATCACCGCTTTACGAAGTTGTTCACCAGAAATCAAACTGAGTAATCTTGGAGTCACATTAGTCGGAGTACTAGCGCCAGAAGCAACACTGGTGCTAGAGGAGGAGTTGGAACTTGCGCCCTTTGTCTTTAATGAAACACTTCGAGAATCGGACGTAGCGGAGGTAGTAGATGATGAGCTTGCTTGTGTTGCTTGAGGTTGAAGGTTTGGCTTTGTGCTAGGTGATTGTGGAGGTTGAAGACGATTTTGTTGGCCTTGCAATGAGGGAGGCAATGCTGGAGCAGTAGAGGTTTCATCAGGATATAATCTTTTTTGCTGTTGAACAAAGTACCCCCATCTGTGCAATTCACCTTCTTCTTCCTCTTGTTTCTTAGCATTGATAGAAGTTTGAGAAACATTACGGAACAAAACTGGGCGCCCAGTAGTGGTATCAACGGAAATTTCTTGGCCATCCGTTGATTTTTCAATGGCCAATTGATGAGGTAATTCGACTTGCGAAATAAGTGGGATTTGGGCCTGCTGAGGATTGATATATTGGATTTGGGAACTCTGGATTTGATTCAATTCTGGAGAAATTGTTTCATTGGTGTTGATAAGATCCTTTGAAAGGTTGTGCAAATATTCTTCTTCAAAGTTATCATTGATGATATCCTTGCCGGTAACGATGTTAATATTTTCATCATTAGCGACACCTCTGAGTCTGGATGGGGAGTTGTGGCTATCAATAAAGGTATTTTGATTGTCATCATCGACTGTTGCTACAGTCATAATGCTATTAGTGGTATTTGTACGACTAATCTTCGGTGGGCCACCATCTTCGGTACCTTCAAAATAGATATGAACAATTTTCTCAAGAGCAGAGTCAAGCAAACAGAAACGCAACAAGCGTTCCTTTTCTTCAGTTGTCAAACCACCGTTATTACGCTTTTCAAACAATGCATCAATGGTTTGATGGATTTCTTCCCTAATAACCTTGGTTCTATTGACCAAGGATTTCTTAAGCAAACGATTGGAGTAATCTTCGTATTCCGAAGTTTTAGCATTGAGAAATGCTTCAGCAGACTCGGCAATCAAGGAACCATCAAAGATCAACTCATCTTGCAAGTCATCACCCTTAGATGGAATAGATTCTTCACCGTGCAAATTAATTTCCATATTACGCATCAATAGAACCGCAATACGTGAACTGATCAATTCAGGAATAGAATCATAGTCAATATCAAGATTGAAAATCGATCGCGATCCTTTAACGCAGCTGTATAATGAGGCACCGACCCCTTGAACTTCATTGCCAATCAAACTAACGTGGATCAATTTCCGACAATTTTGTAGAATATCAAGGACAGCGGCCAAAGATTTGGCAGACAAGTAATTATAATCCAAGTGAATCCGTTTAAGATTGGGGAATTTTGACAAATAACGTTTCAAATAAGGAATACTTGAAGGAATAATGTTTGGCAAGGAGCTTAAATCCAAGTAGCTCAAGTTTGGTAATTCTGACAAATTTTTAAGGAATACTGAAAACTCCTTCACATCTGAAAGATTGGTAGCATTCAATGACAAAAACAACAACTTGGATTTTGGATTACTGACCTTCAATTTAGACAATTGCTTATTACTTAAATCGTTAAATCCAAAGTCAATGCCTTCACAAGATGAGTTTTCTTTGTTTAACCATTGGCTAATGATTTCACATTTTGTAGCAGAAATATTTGACGAAGCCAACCCCAAACGTTTGGTGCTGATGGCAATACCACTTCCAATTAACTCTTGGAAATCTTCAAGTTTGAAATCAATTCCGGTCAAGATCAATTCTGAAATGCCGCCACGCTTCTTAAGCACGTCGACAAATAATTTCCAATTCATATTGAATCGATAATATTCGGGAGATAAGTCTGAGCGATATTTGGTCTGAGATAAATCCAACTTCAAAAGCTTTTGATTTTTCAACAAAAATTTGCACAAAAATTTCCATGATTCACTATCAATCATCATATTTTTAAGAGACAATTTTTCCAAACTTTGGTTATTCGATAGAGATGTTAACATTACCTTGATCATTTCATTGGTAAGAATCACATTATCAAAAATGATGGTGTTAATTGGTGCGATGGCAATAAAATCAGAAAAAGATAAGATATCGATCAAGGTTGGTTTGGGGTTCAAGAATTTCAACACATGCAATGGTTTAGATTTTCCTTTCAATTGTTTGAGAGTAGCTGGGATTGGTAAGATCTCTCTTAAATGGCAACAGCGCGTGTATAACATGTCTAATGGCACGTCGTGGACAGAGAGATAATTATCTTCATTTTCTGCATCCGCTTCCGGTGGCTTATCGTCGTCAAAGTGATGCTCACGATGATGCATTGGTTTATCAATATCAACATTTTCGGTGTGGAATAAGATCGGCGCATCTTCCTCTACTTGATTCATTGATGGCATAAGATGCCCATTTTTTGAAATTTTGTAGTTGGCCACTTCGTTGGCAATTCTAATGGCTGATGAGTGGGCTTCTTGCGCATGTTTCTTGGCTTCCTCAAGGGCCCTCTTCTGGCTTTCTAATGCCAATAAATATTGTTTTTGGTTGTAGTCCTTCTTTGTTTCAATCTCCGAGATTTTCTTTTCACTGTTTGCAATGCCTACCGAAAGTCTAGGGGTTTCGGCAATAAGATCTTCGGGAATCAACACATTACCTTTCTTTGGCTTTCTTGAAGGAATCTGTTGAGGGGGATCATTTCTAATGGAGTTGATATCAAAGGTGACTCTCTTCATTTTCAAGTTGGTGAGTTGCTCAATAGGAATTTCCACTTTATTTGGGTTCTTATTCAAAATAACTCTTTCGGTTGGCGCTGGGGGTTGCACTGATTTACTAGAAATTCTGGCGCTAACTTTACCACGCAATGATCCAAAACGTTTTTTGTTATCAAGACCAGGAGATTCTTGAGAGGCCACTTTAGGCGATGGGACTTTGAGCACCGGTGATGTCATTGAAGCCGCTGAAGACAAAGTGGCAGGAGAAGAGGTTACCGAGCCAGCGCTGGGAGTGACAGATGTTTTGGATTCTAAACTGGATTCGGCTGGCTTAGCAAGCTCTGTTTTTATTGGATGAACAGGTGGCGGGACACTATTAGCCTTCTTTTTCCCGAATTTCGATGAGATTGAACTGAATAAAGATTTCTTACTTCCACCGCTTGATGTTTGTGATGATGTACGGGTCAAACCATTTCCTGAGCTAGTACTGGCTCCGCTTAGTTTCTTTTCTAATTCATTTTGGGGGATACTTGATAAAGACCTGGTCTCACTGCTGACGGATAACCTTCTCCTAGCGTCATTTGAATCAATGGATCTTCTTGTCAAGGTAGAGGAAAGACTTGATGAGCGGCTCCTAGTCTTCAAGCTCTTATTAAAACCGGAATTCAAAGGGATGGTGCCTGAATGAAGTTCTTTATTATTGCTAGCGGTGAATTTATCATTGAGTCTGCCATTTGCAGTTGAGGCGTGGAGGTCGGAAGGGGTTGTGTTTGATGTGGTGGTGGTTTGCGATGGAGTGGAAGCAGCGGGGGCCCTGGATCCGGAAGCTCTGTTTTCTTTGGATAGCTGTACTGACGTGCTAGAAGTGGCCGAAGTGGCTGGGGGATTAATTGATGTCAAATCGTTAGGTGATGGGATTACTGGGGCCTTGGGCACCTTAATTGAAGCATCATCCGTGGCACCCTTCATATTTTTTTTTATCTTGCCACGGAAAATCCAGTCAACGTCCCCATTGGTAACTCCGGATTCATTATTTTCAAGAGATTTTGACATATTTGGTGTCTGCTATTATTGGTTTTTGTTCTTCTCTTTGGTAACAAGTTTCTCTTAAAATTCTTAATGATGTTTCTGTTGAAGGACAACTCCCAAGGAATGCTTCAATTGCCAAGAAAGGAAAAAGAAAAAAAAAAAAAAAAAGAGAAAGAAAAGGATGGAACTGTCAAAGGGTCATGAATATTTGTAACAATTTTCTCAGGGGAAAAAAAATGCTTTGAAAGAATGTCCTGGTATATTGTTGTGGATTACCAAAAAAAATGATAGATGGCCTATTAAAATGTCGAGGAGTGTCAACCTGTGTGCTCTTTTTTTTTTTTTTTTTTGAAGGGTCGGAAATGGGTTATCCCGTGACATTCTAGTGGATGTTCCGGGGGAGATAAGGACACTAGTCCCACAAGTATGACATAATGATAGCGAATCCAGAGTCCACCGATTGGCTTGTAGATCACCAGCCTCCATCGGCCTTTTAGCGTTTACAGGATGACATCTACAATCGAATAATATGCTAAGCCCACAACCTTCGTTTCTTATAAAAGTATACCTGTCTATATCACCTGATAAGGGTACCGCTGTGTTTCCGGCACTCCCGACTGTCATCCTCATTTAATATGTTCCCAGATTGATTGGCTGTATCGCTTGGTAGCAAGTAGCGGGGGGATATTACAAAATGGTGTACAATTAATTTATAAGTATACTTATATATTTCCGTAGTTTCTTAATGTCATATTTTGGGATTTCTTGACCAAAATGATCACCGAATCTATTTCCCACACACTTCGTCTCATTTGACGGGTCATTAAGACTCTGTTTTTGGACAACTGGCTGAGACTTTTGCGAATTTCAGGATTGACAGCTGTCTAAGGCTTATCATTTTGTTTTTTTTTTTGTTTTTTTTTTTATTTTACTTTACTGCTCTTCTTGTTGTTCATCTTTCTTCTGTATTATTTTATTTTCTTGGTCTGTATCAGACTGTAGTTGGTCACACAAATGTCCCAAAAAGAAGACTTTCAATTATCTCAGTGGTGATAACTACCAGTTGTTACCATGTGTATTATATTTAAAAAAATATAAGGCATATTGCAATAAGAAAGTAAAAAATGGCAAATAGTACCCACCACGTTTAGCTTCGTACGTATTCAATTGGTTTGCCTTACATAGGGATTTTCACAATTTAGACCATATCACACATCTCACTCACATAAGAGGGGCCTACGAGACTTCCACAAAAAAAAAAAAAAAAAAAATCTTATCCTTCTTTCTTCTCCTCGGGGATATACTGGAATAATAAGATAAAGACTTCAGAGGAATAATAATAATAAACAAGACAACGCCTATACTACACTAATTTCGCTGTTTCTCGTGAAACAAAAAAAAAAGGGTCCCATTCTAAAGTGATGCTCCGAAAATAAAAAAAAAATTGTGATTTCAAACAAAACAATGCAATCTCCAAAACTGCCAATTCTCGCCCAAAAACAGGTATATATCAGGATCAAGCGAATAAATGCCGAGATAGCGCAATTGAAAGCAGTTCTAAAGAAGGAGCACGTCTGTGTTTCCAATGCTGGGTACAACATCATCGATTATTGCCTAGCCCACCCTGACTATTATCTCATCACCGAAAACAAGATAGATCCTGGCACCGTGGGCACCAACCCCTATTATTTAGGTACCAAACACCACTTGGGCGACGCCACCGGTGACAGTAATGAGTGCTGTGTGGTTATGTGAGCCTCATTTGGAGCTCATGTATGGTCTATTTTTTTTATTTTTTTTTTTAGCACTTTGCGTGTGCACGATACGCCGATTTTGGAAACTGTTGTCTACATTTGCTTAGTTATAATATAAAACTCTTTAGTTATAATTATTTATTGAAGCATGTAGGATGTCGCTGAAGTCTGAAGATTAGGATAAAAATATCAGATGAAATGTATGATTTTTTTTTTCCGTTCCACAACTGAAAGAAGTTATCGCATTGATGGCATTGTACGAATCCTTAAATACTATTCTACCGTTCTACCGCTATTGTAAATGGCCCTTGGGTTTGGATTTGATTTGATTCTCAATAACTAAGGAAATTTTTATGATTATCAAGTTTCTGGAGGCAAAAGTCTTTTTTTACAGGATATGAGGTGCAATATTTTGCAAAATCAAATAAATTCTTTTTTAAAGGTATTTGGGCCGTATACGGTTACTTATCTAATAAGAAAGAAAGGAAAAAAAAAAAATCATAAAATCATAAAAGTAAAAAAAAAAGCCAAAGAGCAAAAAGGCATTCAAAAAATTTTCTCATAATCATCATAAATAGCAACAAGCTTTGTAGTACGTGGAACTGTACGATCAACATGAAAGTATACTCCACCAAAAACTACAGTGGTAATGCATGGTAAATTCGCCACGACTTCTTCTATCAGTGATGCATATGAATGGATCAAAAGTCTAATCAAGGCGGCGGACTCACTGGATACTTCCTCTTTAAGCCTGCTGTAATCTGAATAATCACAATGGTCGTACAAGAATGTCAAATCTGGTGAGTTGATTGGATACTTCAAAATGTCTAGCCCTGAACTCATGTTATCAAGATAAGCGCTGAATGGGAATCTAGCACGTAATCGGTTTAGAATGCAATAATAATTTGGGGAGTAAACATCTGGCAAGTTCTCAAGATAGCATAATTTGTCCAAACTGTTTTTCAATAGCGACAATTTGCTATGTTTTTTGAAAATTCTTCTGGCTTCGTGACACTCATCACAAGAACAACGGTTTAGCCACCAAATGAAATTATGGTTATCATCGCTCTTATCCAAAGAATTTCTCGAAACTCCCCAATTATAAAAGAAATCTGGAATGATCAAGGTCTGGAGGTTGGTAAGCCGGAAAATCTCATTGAATAATCTTATTTTCTTTTCATCATTAATATTTTGCTGTTGGTGATTTGTTGGGTAACAATCATAAATCTTCAAATAGAGATATTTGAGATTAGTGAAGTAGCGAAGATTATGGAGAGCAAAATGTTCATATTGTGAAAGTTCACGAGAATTCGAGGAATCTCCACAAATTGAAAGCTTTTCAATATTTGCAAAGTTTTTCCTACTAGAAGTATGCTTGGAAAGGCTCACCGCTGATCCAGTTGGAAAATAACAATAAGAACTGGCCGCCAAAGGTCCAAGAACATTGACATGGCTCAGGCTCAGATGATCACTATCGTAACAACAATTACCATCGTAATAATTCTTCCACTCGGAAAAAAAATTATAAAAGCATGAATGACAGCAATAACATTTCAGTTTAATTTCAAAGTTTTTGAGATAATTCAAATCAAAGATGGTGGCAAGATCATGGAAACCAAAATGATGCTCATCATCTATGATGTCATGGAAAATTGTGATTGATAATGTGGTAAGTTTGACTTTTTCTAAGTTATCCAGTTGAAAGATTGTCGATACTTTTTGGAAAAATTCACTAGCAATTGCGGATGAGTTCAAGTAGAGTGAGCTCAAATTGTAAAGAACCCTCAAACCATTATAATTTGGGAGAAACGGTTTCAATGGGTTATAATTATTTCCATAAACGCTGAAAAACGACAATTTGTCAACAGAGAGCGGCAAAACGTTCAAATCATTAAGGTCTAACAATTGGAAAAACCTAAGTCTTTCAGAAATCCCTTCTTTACGTTGGACCAAAGTATTTGGTGTGGCGAGATCAGGCTCATGGCTTCCAAAGACGCCATCAGAAGGGGTTAAGTCAAAAACGTGCTCGGATTTATAGCTGCGTGCCATACGGATTCGAGTAAATGCTAAATAGTTTTGAAACATCTTTACATTGGCAAAATCAAAATTTAGCAAAGTAAGTGGCCGACTTTTGTTGTCTTGAGGATGTCTTGATACTAAATCGTAAATGATTTCAAACATGTTGCCATCACTGTAGCCGTTGAAAGTGTGAGTTTTCTCGCTATTGGTCACAATATCGATTTCCTCGATATAGTAATCGAGTAACTGGAAATTGTTGACAATACTGCGAGCGAAAAGCGTTAACTTGGTAACATCAAGATAGGTGAAGTCATTGGAGATGTAATTAAGGGCTTTCTCTTGATTGGTGATGATTTGGTGGCGGTCAACTATTTGGATTCTCTTGTATAGCCTTTCGGTCACCAAATAGCGGAACAAAGAGCAGGTGCATCCAAGGCTAACCAAGTCAGATTGAGAAGAGACCTGACTAACAATGTTCAGCAATGTGTCCGTGGTTAAAATATCAAGAATTCCGGTATCGGAATCTCCTTCAAGAGGAATAAACTGAGATTTAACATTAGAGACATTAGCAGGCGATGCGAAAAACATCGGGGACGAATACCCAAAGATCTCTCTGAAGGTCTGCTCGTGGGAACCAAGCGATCCTAAAACATCGCTGAGGGTCCCTTGGCTTCTTGGAAGAGTATCGCGAGACAAAACCGACATTATTTACAGATATCGAAATATATTAAAATAATAAAAAACAGTGAAGTCGCCACTTCTGGGACTCTTCTTATTATTAAGATGACAGGAAATACAAACTGTGGGGTGCCGAGCAGTGCCACACCCCCTCGTGAGAAGCGATGACACAAGTCACGCGCCATGTGTTCATTCGCTCACCCATGTTGGATTACCGCCATGATAATTTTATGTGTATGTACATTTTATTTACCTAATCAGTCCATGAACAACGCCCGGATCAGGAGCTTCCCTCGCAGGTGCTTCCACTGATCATTAGCTTCGCGAAAGTTGCTTTCGCGAAGCTCTTTATCGATGATAGCCTTGGTGGAAGCACGGTACTCGTCGTCAGAAAACAATCTGTCAAAATCAACTTTGTATTTGGATTCCAACTTCTCGATTCCTTTGTAATGCTTTAACTTGAAACAAACTTGGTACAAGAATCTAAGAGCCTTGTCATCCAATTTAGGCAATTTGCCTGTAGAGTCATCGATTTGTAAATAATCTGGGTCTTCGGAGTCCTGTGGTTGCTCAAGAGAATTGATCACTTTAAGTTTTCGAGATTCCAATTCATCATTAAACTTCCCATTAATTTTTAACTGCTTGGACATCTCAAATTTGATTATCTCATCAATATCAAAAAATTTGTCATAGATTTTATCAAATCTTTTCCGATCATTATACATGAGCTTGCTTATTTTATTAGATACCTTCATCGCCAAAGGAGAAAGATGCATCACTTCCACTAAATTCAACAACCATTTCAATTGCCGGCGATCTTGAGTAGTTTCCACCTTTCTAAGGTGAGAATGGATTAATGAGATTGGAAAAATGGATTGCAAATCATGATCTTGCATCAGCAAGTTGTTGCCCGCCAAATATTTTTTCGGAAACCTCTGCGGCGAAACATTGATGCGGAGTGTAGAATCCCCTCCAGGAACATATGCCAAAAGAGCAGAATCCAACATGAGCTTGTAAGTTAAAACGTCAACTAAGTCATGATGCCTGAAGAATTCACACCCTTGGATAGCCGCAAGAATAGTGTCAGCGGATATCGTAGTTGCATAACCATATTCTGGGACTTTTTGAACCATAACTTCCGATGTATCCCCATCTTCAGTTAATATTCTAAAATATTGTGGCTTAAAGCGATCACTAAAGAATCTGGGTCTATTATTGACTTCCTGACCCCATAATCCTTTCCACCGAGATATTATCGCGCGAATATCTTTGATCGGAGGTAGTAACTCTTGGCTCTTGAACTGAGTTTTGAATGAAGAGTTACCGTTGGCATTTTTGGAGTCAACCTCATACGTATGGACGTAGTTAATGTAAAGATTATTATTTTCCACCAATCTCCTGAACGAATGAGCGTCCCGGTCATGTAAAGGACATATGATAGATTTAACTAACTTCAAAAACCATGACAGATTTCCCGATTTGCGGGTATGAATTAATAGTTCTTTGAACAATGAATCAGAAACCTGTACGTGATGTTTCAGGGTACAAACTTCGAAAATACATTCTCCATATTGATGCAACCCTAAGGCATTGAAATGTGATAGAAGAAACAATAGATGGATTTCACTGAAATGATAGGCTGGGTGAATCAAGACTTTGATAATGTTTTGTGCCAACCTCTTTTTGGCACCGAGCATGGCAAATTGGTATTCAACAGTCTCTTCCACATTATCTACTTCTTTTTGCTTTAAAACTTCCTTTCTGATTATATCTCTTTCTAATTGAAATTTTTTGAATGGCTTTTTAAGGGCCTGTGTAGTGCTCTCTGGCGATGAATAGCTAGTAATGAAAAATTTCTCGCCTTCAATCATGTCCAAACTTGGAAAACGAAACGAGTTTCTGCTCATGAAGTTTCTATCGATTTTAGAAAACAATTTTCCATAAACTTGAGGTTCTAAACTTTCCAAAATTGTCAGCAATTTTTTCTTTATTTTCTTTCTATCTTCGTTGGTAATAGTACCCTTCTTGACCTTCCAGCCCATGCCGTTGGGGTTGGTAATTTGTATAAGTTCTTGAATCAACAGATCAAGACTGGGCTGCATTTCCAAGATTGTAGAGCCTAGGGCTTTGAATAGTAGTAATACAATATCCACCAGTTCAAGAGTATCGCTCGACCCTTTAGCCACTCCTACAAGTTTCAGTTCTCCCACTAGGGTGATTATGAACTTCTTCAAAAAAAGGTACTTCAAGGTCTCGAGACGTGCATTATGATAATACCCGGGACCAAATCTAGCATTAAGATCAGACCTTGATATTAGTGGTGGCAAAGAGTTTTCATGTCGTGAATGATGATTGTGAATTTGTGATTTGGTGAAGTCTGCTGTAAGTTCATCCAAGGAATCTTCTGAAAGTTTGGCCGGAGCTAATGAAAGAAGACGTCGCTGTTTTCTAAGCTGCTCAAAAACATTACCACCTTTTATTCTGGAAACCTTTCTCACTGGACGTAGCATTAACAATTATTAGTGTTGCAGTAATTAATAAATTACGAACTAGGATCAGTAGGTATTATTATGGATCACCAGATCTTTCGGAGTGAAATAGAAAGAAAAAAAAAAATGTTATGCGCGTATAGCAAAATTTCAAATAACGTCCTCTCCAAGTAGTATACCACTACACTCCAGCGAATTCTAAATCCAATCATTTATATATAACACTGTAAAAACAAAGAAAAGAAATAAAATGAATAAAAAAAAAAAAAAAACTTAACCAAAATAAGACCTTATAAAAAATAAAATAAAATAAATGAAAAAACCAAACTAGAAGATATTGGCAATTTGATTTGATTTTATGGGGTAACCATCCACAAAGCCCAAAACCACCAACCCTTTAAATAAAATAGAAAGTAAAGCAGAAAGTAAAACAGAATATAAAACAAAGAGAAAAAAAAGAGAAAAAAAAGAGAAAAAAAAGAGAAAAAAAGATTGCTGTACACATATAAAATCTCAAACGCACAATTTGGCTCTTGTCATCTATGATAATAAACATATTCATCATAATACTCAGTTTGTTGCGGGGAAAACCCACCTGCGCTTCCAGGCTTGTGATTACTTCCATCTTCATCATCATCATCATCATCATCATCACCTTCTTCTTCTTCTTCTTCTTCCTCGTCTTCATCATCATCTTCGCTATCGATGTCACTATTCATAGGATGCATGATTTCATAGTGCCAACCAGGTATATCTTCCCCACTACAACCTAGTGGACGGTCAACAAATTCATCGTCCTCATAATAACTCCCAGGAGCTCCAGCCCTTATTCTTAACCACGGATGATTCAGGAGTCCACCAGCATCTTCACGATATTTCGGATGGATTTCAAGCATGCGGCCAATGAAATCAGAAATTTCCTGAGCCTCTAGCTTTGAAACATGATGCTTTTCCACAAGGGTTCGATGAATACTAAAGAACTTAACGCGTGGGCCCCTCACTAATCTGGTAACCATTGAGTTAAAGAACCGCTTCCCTAAACCAGAACTAAGATAAAGACTATAAGGAAAAATAAATGGACCGCAGCGATTTCCCTTTGTATTTAAAAAATCATTGGCCGAAGTTCTCATGATTTTCTTAAGATTAAAGCCAGGTGGTGGCGAAGGTAGCGTATCTGGGTCAGGCTTGATGAAATTTGAATCTTCGTCGAAAAAGTAGGAATCATAGAAATCATAACAAGCTTTGCTTTGTCGGAAATTAGCTTCATCAAGTACAGTGCCAATAATCTTGGATAAATGCTCAGAATCACGGTCCATAGATGATGTTTTAGTATTTGGTCGAAATGCAAACAGGCCAGTAATAAGTTCGAACACAATACATCCAGCAGACCAAATATCTGTGGAGCAACCCCAAGGAGCTTGAACAAGAATCTCTGGAGAGCGATACTCTCGGGTTTGAATAGAATCTGTAAAATGATAATCCACAAAGCAAGCATTTCCAAGATCTGCAATTTTGATATTAATATACTCATCTAGCTCTTCAAGCTCGTCTTCAAGAAGTCTAAGATCTTTGAGATTTCCCAAGTCGACATCAAACGGATTTTCCGAAGGTCTAAGTTGGCGGGAAAGGTTGGATATTGAAGGCTCTTCATTCAAATTATTTACGGAAAGTTTACCAAATGAATTACTCATATTTTCGACAGATTCACTAGTAAACCGAAACCTATCAAACGGAGATATACTAGAGTCTGTATCTATTTGCAGCCCTCTAGAATCATTCCTATTGGAAGTGGCAGAATTTTCTTCACCATAGCAGCAAGACCAGATACTTGATTTCCGAAGGATTGGAGAAGGTAATGGTTTGGACGTTCTTATAGGAGTTGAATTGCGACGGGTTGCGGTAGTTAGCCCATCTTGGAACAATGTAGATGAAGATAGGTTGGTAGTGATACTCAATTTCTTCTTATTCGGCGAGGAGCCTATAGAATTTGAGCTTTGGAAACCACTAGCTTGATTATTCTTTTGACAAAATGTTGAGTTGACAGTGGATGTGGTGCTGATTCCTGATAGAGATTTGCTAGAATTCTGACGACGATGGAACCTGATGATCCGTTCTTCTTGACGAACAAGTTCAACGACTCTACCAACATTTCGTATCTCAATAAGAATATTTTCTGGTTTCAAATCAGTGTGAATCAACCCACATTCACGATGTAAATAATCAAGTGCCAAAAGCATCTGTTTTGAAATGCGCTTCACAAGGGATAAGGGGAGACCACCATAATAATCTTTGAACACCTTGTCAAGAGCAAATACATTAGTCGATGCTTCTCCAAAAGACATGGAATCATTCAAACTTAAGGTAGATGCGCTTTCATTCAAAGAAGATGATAGTGATTGGTCTTTTTCCTTGGATGATGATGGCGATGTTGAATCTGTTAAGTCTTTATACTGGGAGTATAGGTCACGGAATTTATAAATCAAGCTCAACATGTTTTCACCTAGCAATTCAAACACCATACAAACATGCTCGCCATTTGGCCCAGCAAGCAAAAAATAATCGAGTAGTTTAACCACATGTTTTTTACCGGGATGATCATCTGAGCCTTGACCTGAGCGTCGGAGAAGCTTAATTTCATCAATAGCAGCACTTTTATACTTATCAGCGCTCTTGATGATCTTGAGAGCAATATATGTCTTTGTAATGGTGTTAGAAGCGAGCCAGACCGTTGAGAAATGACCCCAGCCCAACTTCCGGACAATTTGGTATTGCTGCTTATCACCGCAAACGTCACCAATTTTCGTAGGATGGTAACCTCCAGCGCGATAATCGTCGAGGTCTTCTTCCTTGTTGAAATCTACCTCGTCATCACTATCATCTTCATCATACCCTTCATCCTCTTTTCCATAGTCGTCCTCGGGGGTGGTATGTGAGGGGCTCCAAGTTGTAGACCGTCCAGTACTCGGCGGTTTCCTAACATTTTTATCAGGATCTTTGCCCTCTTCGATAATAACTGAGTTACCAGAAATAAATGGGCGCCTTGGTAGTCTTGTATCGGCAGCCTTGATTGTGTACCGCTGGTCAGTGCTTTGTTGCTGTCTGACGTCCAAGATAGCGTCGGCAACATTATTATGGACTATGCTCATGGTCGATACATCAAGTATTAAATTAGGGGGTAATCGGGGCACAAAGAGACAGCCTTGTATTGATGTGTTTTTTTATTCCGCTATGGGCCGAGGATAATATAAATAACCGAGAAGGGATGGCCTTTGCCTTGTTAAGCGAGTTTCGAAGGAATGAATCAAAGGGAAAAGGATCAGAATCATTCCCCTTTTGGCTGGAGATAAGGTCACGGGGGAGCCACGGGTACGGGCTTGGCTTTCACTTTTTCCTCTCCTTTTTTTCTTATTGAGTGAGGCATCTTATCATAATTATTTATTTATTATGGAGACTATAAATCAGTAGTATATAATGAGCAACCCCCCTCCTTACGCCCCAGTATCCACCAGAGTCTTTCCTTCTCACCACATGGTGAGACAATCCCCGGCACTTTCTAAAGAAATCACGCTAGATGCAACCTCCAGAGAATCCACAGAGGCGCTTTCTGAAATATACTCCATCATCATTGTGCTTGATCTTCTAGAGAAATCGTATCTTAAAGATGGGTTATTTGCAAAAACAAAAGACCCCGATACCAAAGAAGAGGTGACAATAGACACATATACCCCTACTGCGCTTCGTCTTTTGAACCAATACAATTCATTGCTCAAATTACCCGATGTGAAAACCCAATTTATAGATTTAAACACCTTCAAAAAGAATTATGGACTTTCATGCCCATTGGCCAGCGAAAGGATTAGCGCTGGGGTCCCAGCTACTATGGTCTCCTCAATAACTAAGGAGTCTTCATCATCAGACAAAAAGAATACAGGGGTGTCATCCCGTGCTGTTGCAGAGGCCACTGGAAGCTTCATCACTTTGATGGACGCTTTAAAATTAAATTATAAGGCAAAGGACCAATTGTACCCACTTTTGTCGGATCTTGTGACCTCCGTCAATGCTGTATTAAGTGATGGTGATGAAGATAGCAGCGAAAGTGAAACTGATAGTGATGACGAAGAACCAACGTCATCAAAGAAGCTTGATTTTGAAGGGCGCTCCAAGCTTGTAGGCTGGCTAGTCAAACTTAATAATATGAAAGCTGATGAGGAGCTAAATGCAGAAGACACTAGACAGCTTCTTTTCGACCTAGAGACCGCCTACAAGAATTTCTATACTTGTTTGGAATAAGCTGTGTAAAATATGTATTACGAATGACCGTTACTCTGAAAAATTTTTAATATAATGTAAACAAATGATAAAAGAGTAAAAAAAAAAAAAAAATCTTTTGATGCGAAGAAAAAAGAACTAAAATTACAAAAATAAAAGGGAAAAATAGAAAAATGGGGTGCCATCTAATAGCCCTTCTTTTTCTGTTTCTCAATATGGGCTTGCAAAACCTTCTGCTTATCTCTCAATGAACGTCTGGCCTTACCTTGAACTTGTCTCTTGTGAATCATCATAATGAAATTCTTCTTACGAGCCTTTTCACGGTTAGTAGTAGAGTGTGGAGTAGCAATCTTCCCTCTTCTAGAACCAAACTTCTCACGACCTTCACGACCTTCTCTAATAGACTCGATTCTTTCTTCTTTAGTTTGTTTTCTCTTAACTGGACCCACCAAACCATCGGCATCAACTTCTTCTTCATTACGAATACTGCTCTTGATACCCATGAGCTTTTCAACCCCGGCTTCCATCTTCAATTCTTCAAGTTTAGCAAAATCGGCTGGAGTAAGAATACGATTGGCAGCAAGTTTCTTGAAGGATTCCTCGGCATCACCATTGTATTTCTTTTCTTCAGCTTCTTGTATTTCTCTTCTCTTCTTCTTTGCTTTTCTACTAATTGTCTTATTCTTTTTAGTCTTGGCGAAGTTCTTAGATTCGTCATCATCAGACAAATCAAGGTCACTATCACTATCATCGTTTACATCAGCATCAGCCATTTTTTCATCTTCATCTTCTTTATCATCATCACCATCGCTGATTTCGTATTCCTTGTCAGATTCAACAGTAACCCAATCACCATCAATATCATCGGCATCGCTCAAATCTTTCTGCTGTTCTTCCCAGGCAGCCTCTTCATTTTCATCATCAACCGCCAAACCCTGTTCTTCACGCCATTTATCCAAAAGTTCAATACCTGGAATTCCTTGAACAGAACTCTCAACCCCGAATTGCAAACTTTTACCCTTCTTAGATCCTTGCAATTTGATACTAGCTTCCTTACCACGATCTTTACGCATCAACATCTCTGGAGCAACTTCTCTATATAGAGAAATCAATGATTTGGCTGCGATGTTAACGGCCTTCGCTTTAGACTTGCTATAAGCGGTTAAATCTTGCAACAAAGCTTGGTCAATTGCCAATGGAGCACGAGTCAAAATCTCACGAATGGAGTTCATACCGGCAGAACAAACTTCAGTACTGACACCATCACTGACAAACTCATCAGCGATTTTACGAACCACCATATTGATGGCATCTGGAGGCACTAGATCATGAGACGATTGAGCACAGGCCGCCAAAATCTTGGTGACATCTTGTTGTTTTGGAGTCAAATATTTGAGGAAATAAGAGTATAATCCAAGTAATTGTAACTTGTTGACACCGACAATACGACTGATCAAGTTCATGAAGATGATTTTTTGTTCCATGTTGAATTTTCTGGCACTGGTAGTGGCCAATTGTTTGAACAAGTTTTCGGCAAATCCTTGAGGGTCACGCAATAATTGAACAGCGGTGAAATTCAACGCAGTCCCCTTATTTGGGTCCTTATTTTGCTTTTTCTTGATGGTTTTGACGGCGGAATCAAACTTCTTACTTTGTTTCTTTGTCTTCTTGTTGATTTTCATATGATGCTTCAACTGACTGATATCGACTTCATCATCAGAATCATCATTACCTTCTTCGTACAAATCTTTATCAGCACCTAAAAAGAATCTAGCACCGGCAACAGAAACTTTGGCATCCCCGCTAAGAGTCAGCTGGACCATAATTTCCACGGTACGGGAATCGTTCCATATTTGCGAGTACCACAACTTGATAGTAATTTTAGTAACAAACAACGCATTTTCTTTAGTTAAGCCACTAAGAAACAAGTTTTGGACAGTTTTGTTCAATCTCGCGGCTCTAGTTCCGGAATTCAATGATTTCAACAATGTCACAAGGGTATGGAAAATTTGCTTTCTAAGGGCTTTGGAATTAGTTTCTGTGTTGTTATTGACAGCAGAATATTCAGTAAGCAATGGGAAGATAGTTTGAATAAGAGATTCAGCACTAATGATGTCACGGTTTCTCAACATGACAAGACATTGGATAATCTTTTCTCTTAATTCCGGATTCAAATCACGATGGTGCTCGGATAATAAAGTCTTAAGCTCTCCTGGGAACTGTTTGGTTTCTTCTTTGTAACAAGGACACACAGCAGTGATGAAGCCAATCAACTCACGGAGTTCTTCATCGATTCCATTCTCTTTAATCGAAGAGGAGCTGGCCATAAGAATATCACGAAGCGACTCGTAATGAGCATACTGTTGAAGAAATTCTTCACGATAAGACAAAGGATCACGCTTGACAAGATTCTGAAGAAGAATAATGTTGGTAGGCAAAAGAGCCGCTCTCTGTTTACGGGCCATTTTCCTTCTATTGTCCTATGCTTATCTTTAGTGTTGAATGGGAAAGCCTTAATTGAAAGATTTTCAATCAAACAAAAAAAAAAAAAAAAAATTTTTTTGAGATGAGCAGCAGCTTTGGTTATGGGCGATGTGTGGGGGAGATGGATCCGTTATTAAACAACTTTGAAATGGTTATTGGTAGTGAAATCGGGCATTATGATTAATATAGTGATAAAAAATAGTCCATTATAGGTCTCTGTAAAAGCTATTCGACATTATTTCAAGAGAACAAAGCACTATTCACAAAACAAGTCGGCTCATCCACCCATGGTTCTGGTAGATGCGTTCAGCATAGGAAAAAAAAAAAAATTTTTATTTATTTATCTAAGATATCAACAAAACAGGTAAAGTAACAGTTAAAGGAAATACCCCACCAGTAATTGGCATAAAATGACTAGCACTATCAATAAGTCCGCTCTTTTATCCTGGCTTGAAAATAACCAAGCCAAACTCCACCCATCTTTAGAAGTTCGCGAGTCTCCACTTGGCGGGTTAGGAGTTTATGCCACAAAGGATCTTGATCCAGAAACCCTCGTTTATCGTGAAGAAATAGATGGGGACAGTGGAGAAGAAGAATTGGCTCAGCCACTCTCCAGAACTCCTAAGACATCCATCTTTAGTGCAAGAAATTCGTATATTTCGAATGTCCTAGAAGAGCATGATATTCATGGGGTTCTTGGGTTGATCACCGCTTTTATTTATGAATATTATAACTTGAAGGACGAAAGCCCATGGTTTGGCTATTTCCAAAGCTTCAATTTGAAGACATTAGACGTTCCACCATCTTTCTGGGAAGACAAACAGCAAAAATGGCTTAAGGGAACTGAAGCGGAACTATTAGACGTGGTGAATAACGAGGAGATACTCACCGTGATGGATGTATGTGTAGATTTTGCCCAATTGATGAAAGAAGAATTAGAATTAGAAATTCCTTATGTTTTGGATATAAACCAAGAGAACGAAGATGGTGATGAGGATGTTAAACGGTTGGAGCTTTTTGCCAAGATTTCCGTGTTGATTTCTTCTCGTTGCTTCAATATTGATGGATATCACGAATTTGCATTGGTTCCAGCAGCTGATTTGTTCAACCATTCGAGTGATTTGTGCAATTGCCATTTTGAAAGTAATTACGAAGTTTGTGGTATATGTGGTATGGTTGGATGTGATCACATGGATATCAGTGATGATGATGAAGATAGCGAGTGGGAGGAGGGTGAGGAGCTAGATGATGAAGAATTAGATGGTGAAGTGTCTGACAGCGAAGCCTTAGATGGTGAGGAAGCTAACGAAGAATCCCATGAAGATGAGGAAACAGAAGATGAAATTAAAGAATTAGACGATGATTTTATTAAAAAGTTTGAAGAAGAAGAGAAGGCAATGGAAGCTATTTCAGAAACTGAACAAGAACAGAATATGCCTGAGTATTTGAAAGATCATAAGCATGATGATGGTGCTGAAATTTATTCTATAGATTGCTGTGATATTGTACTTCACGATAATATTTCTAAAGGGGAAGAGCTTTATTCTACTTATGGCGATCTTAATAACCCTATATTATTACTTAAGTATCAATTTGCAGAATTGGAGAACCAGAACGATTATGTTTCTTTGGGTGCCCAGGTTATGAAAAATAAAAAATCTCAACCAAAACTTGCAGGCAGATTTAAATGGTGGAGAGAAATTGGGCGTGATGTCTTCAAGGCCTGGTTGAAACAAAATGCCGCAGAAGAAGGTGAAGAAGATAGCGATGAGGATGATGAGGAAGAGGAGGATGAGGAGGATGATGATGAAGATTCCTGGATCAGTGATTTGAAAATCAATTCAGAAGGGGTCTTATCAAATAGTGTTCTGGCTCTTGTGAAGCTCTGTACCCTTAAAGATGAGGAATTTGAGAAATATTTCCAACCAGACCCTGAGCCAAAGAAAAATAAGAATAAAAAACATAAGGCGTCAGATACTGGTGACTCTCAAGAGAAATATTTCATCAAGATTATGTCCAATTTGGGATGCCTAATGGAAACTGATGAGAAGTGTCAGTTGATCTTAAAAACTTTAATTTCTGAAAGATTGGATAAGTTGATGAAAAATGAGCTTGCAAAGATGGGAACAGAAGAATTATTGAAAATTATTAACAATGATGAACAACCGGACAGAAGAAAAGTCTCAGCTGCTATTATTGTTCACAATGAACTTAGTATTTTACAGAGAGCATTGGAGAATGTCAGTGAACAAAATTGATTGGGAGGTTATATATTTTAGCAATAAATTTGGGAGAAACATATGATAATTTTTTAAAGGGATAGCTTATATTAGACTGTGAAAGAGTTATGGTGCTGCTTTTCCTCTTTTGCACAATCCAACCCATTTGCAGGGTAAAACTCCCCACGCATTCACACGATACTCAACAATAAAAATACTATTACCACATTAAAATTCTAGCTCCAATGATTCTACTTATCTTACTTGTCCAGAATTGCGACAAAATCTCGTAAAATTTGAATAATAATAAACTTAGAGTTGATACCCCCTGCGTGCACTTAGTCAACCATTTGCTAATCACTGAGTAATCCTGGCAAAAGAAGTGAATATCCCCATTAAGTGCTGTACAATTTAGTAAAGAAAATGAATGGTATGAAAGTAAATAAACAGTTGGAGTTAGCTGGTATTTTTTCTGACATAAGACCAAGGTACACCAAACTCCTGGTAGCAGAGAGGGAGTAAATGGATGGTGGTACAGGGTGGCACGTTCTGCTGCGGAAATCAAAAAAAAAAAAAAAAAAAAAATGAATCCCACCAATCAATCTGGGATCGCATGTCTTCTCATTCCCTTCAGAGTATCGCCAATATAACAGCAATGGCTCCGCCAGTATTCCCAGACATTTCTAAAAATGCAAATGGTTTGTTAACTAAGGACTTTTACCATTTGTCAAAAGCCTCTTTTGATGTGAAGATTGCTGCGCCAAACGGGGTAGCTGTCACTCTCAAAGGGAAAACCGGTAAAGATGACACTCTTAGCTCCAGCATTGAAACCAAATACTCAGACAAGTCTACTGGTTTGACGTTAACCCAGGGCTGGAATACCGCCAACTCTCTCAATACCAAGGTTGAAATTCCTGATTTATTAGCCCCGGGTTTGAAAGCGGAGATCTTGACCTCGGTGGTGCCAAACAGTGCCAAAAGCGCCAAGGTTAATGTGTACTTTTCCCAGCCAAATGTAAATATTAGAGGGTTTGTTAACTTGTTGAAAGGTCCAAGCTTCAATGGTGACTTCACTGTCGGCCATAATGGCTATATTCTTGGGTCTGAATGCGCCTATGATTTCGGGAAAGGAAAACTTTCTAGATACTCCAGTTCTATTGGTTACATTCATCCAGCTTATTCTGTTGGGATTCATGCCACTAAAAACTTTGATGTTTTTTCCGCTAGTTACTTCCACAAGGTGACTCCTGCCGTAGAAGCAGGTGCCAAAGCCGTATATGATGTGAAAGCCACCGATGAGAAAAAGCCTGTTAGCGTTGAATTTGCTACCAAGTATTCCTTGGATAAAACCTCGTTTTTGAAAGCCAAATTGGCTGATTCTGGTTTGGCTGCCTTCTCTTATAACCAGAAAATGAAACAGGGCGTGTCTTTGGGTGTTGGTGTTAGCTTTGATGCTTTAAGATTGGCGGATCCAGTTCACAAGATTGGTATGTCTGTTTCCTTTGCCCGTTGATTGGTACTCTCTCTGACCTACATTTTCATATCATTCTGTCCCAATATATCTATATTCTTTCGCATGAAATCAATTAGTTCCTTTATATTTCTCTCTCTCTCTCTCTCTCTCTCTGTAGTGGTGGCAGTTCAAAGTTCAGCACGTCAAAAAGAAAGTTTCAACATGCATGTCGACTATGATGATGGTGATTACGAGCAAACGAAATGATTTTAAAAGACATGAAATTATAGAGCGTTACGAAACATTAATGATATATGATAAAAATAAGAATAAGAAAAAATTTAGTGATGGCGAAATTATCAGTTTTCCATGAATGGAGCAGGAAATCTCACCTTTTTTCTCCACCCTTCAGGCTTTTCTAACTTCTGAATATCATAATATAAAGGAGCACAACTGTGTAAGGAGAAAGTGAAATCTTTGGTATAGTCACAAGAACAACGGTTTTCTATAAAGATTTCCTGGTTCATAGGACAGGCGCCGTACGGGTTATGATAGTACCCAAAATCATTAAACAAGTGGATTTGATCTTTTTCCAAAAACAATGATGCGGCAATGGAATGGACTGGAGCGTCACCCCATCTTTCATAAAAGAACCCTTTCTTGGAATCTAAATATTGGAAATAATCCTCATACGTCTGCGATCTGAAAAAATCCATATTGGCAATCTCAAAATTCGACCAGAAATGGCACAAGTTGTAAGTTCTTAGGCCATCTCTAGAAACAAATTGCTGCAAATTGTTTTCTGGAACGTATTCTGGATGTTGCTGAATGAACTCTTTGGTAGTTTTCCATAACGTTGGAATGGTGGCCTCGAACTCTTTAAGGGCCATCACAAATCCGTAGGTCTTATTATTTTCAATCATGAATGTGAATGGGTCATAGTTCACATCGCAATAAATCTTGATATTTGGCTCGACTCTCCAGTACCATTGATAATCCTGGAGTAGTGGATGTTTGTAGAAAAACCCTGAATTATAACGACACATATGTCTATAAGAGTCCAATCCTCCGTAAATTACATTATCATCGACAAGTTTTTGTTTGCTTTGCTCGTATTTTGGAATATCAAGATCATCAGGAAAAGACCATTCGGATCTTGGGATCTTACCGTATTTTGCTTCACCACTAACAAGGTTGGCGGTGACTCTTTTGAACTCATCGGTGAACTCTTCTTCGTTTAAAAACACCCAATCGTAATGATATTTCCCATTGAACCGGTCTTCAACATCACGGATCGAATCAACCATTTTCCAGAGCTCTTCGTTTCGCACCAAAGATACGATGGTGGCATTGGCCCGTGTTTCTTCAGCAACAGCACCGGAGTATCCGAATGATTCAAACTTGTCTTGATACTGTTCATAGAGTGATTTGAGAGAAGCGGAATCGAAAGAACGTTTCATTATTGCAAAATGGTATATTGTGCCGATGAATAGTGGAACAATCAAGAAAATTAAGCCAAGGAATAGCAATGTCGAGCAGAATCCTTTTCTTCTATAACTATTGAAAGAAAACCTATCTTTCCAACTCCGCTGTCTTCCTTTGGCATAGATATTTTCAAAGTCTTCATCAAATGACATATTGGTTATTGTAAATGAGCTCCGATATATAATTATATTTGTGGCAGAAGTTTATAATAAAAAGTTGTAATAAAAGGCTATAATAAAATGTGTTCTGGACACTTGAGAAATGGAAGGGAATATAATGTGCAGCATGCAGCGGATATATATATATATATACAAAAAAGGAAACAGACAGGACCCCCTTCTATCACTTATTTTTCGTAGGGCTTTGATTATAACAGGGCAAAACATCCAATCGAATAATACATATATATCCTTATGTACAAGCCTCTGTTATTGTTTTGTCGAATCTAGGAGGGCTTTGAGACCCCATCGCTGAAACAATAGTGTTTTTCACAGCCTTGGCCGACGACGGTCTAGCCCCTCCACCAGTCCCCGAACGATCCCTGAGAATAAACATTTACAATTGTCACGGTATTGTTTAACATGGTACTGCCCTTGTATCGCATTGTTGTATAAGATAATGTACTGCTTCACTTACTATTATTATTTTGTTGGTAATGGCACAGTTCGCTTTACATTTTTCCCAGCCAAACGGGGCACAGCCAAGCGTTGTGCTTATTGCTTGGCCGATCAGGTACCTGGTTGCATGGCTGATAATTATTTGATTTATTGTTCACGTTTGAGAATACCCTCTTTCCAATCATCATCGGTGTCTATTTTTAATAATATTTCTTACATGAAAATAATATACATATTAGTCCCTGAACTAAAAATCAACTTAATCCAGTTGACACACTTATTTTATTGCAGCACGATATCTAAAAGCACAAACTAACCTCTATAAATAATAATAAAAACAATTAATGGCTATGCTCTTCTTGTGATAATGTTTGTTGGGCTCTGGCTTCTCCGCTGATACCGACAATAATAAGCTTTTCGATAATAGTGTGATTATCCTCATCGTCACCATCAATGAATATACTGAGAGATTTGGTATTTTGAAATTTAACAAACTTTAGCTTAATTTCGTACCAGTTACCTTCTGAAGAAATCTTTGATCCGTCAATTTCTTCAACATGGTCGTAGTTATTGTTTGAGTTGGCATCATCAAAGGAAATTACGCTGGTCAAATTCTTCCAAATCTTCAAGGTCTTTGGGAATTGCAACTCATCAGCTTCGTCTTCATCGACCTCCGAGTCCCCAGAAAACTCCAATTTGTTTCCCGGTTTTAGCTTAACAAGTAGAGAATAAACTTTAACGGTGTTCAAGAACGGCAAGTAGATTATTCCTTGAGAGTCCGCATCAGTTAATACTGTCGAATCCTGAACTTCTTTCCCGTCGTCAACCAATTTAACCAATACTTTAGAATCGCCTTTAGATTTCTTAAATGGGAGGATGTTCAATGCCTCATACCCGCTAAAATCAACAGCCCCATTCAAGATCTCATAATCAGAGCCTGGCAAAAACCCACCAACTTCTTTGTAAATCCCAGTTTTTTTCAATGCTCCACTACTAGCTCCTCCTGTACCATTCCCATTTCTTGTAGCATTAGGTTCGAGTTTACTCAATGAATCAAATTTGCTTTGAATCTCCCCGAGGTTCGCCCCTCTTACTTGGCCATCTTGTTTTTGCTTATGGAAGAAAATCAAAGTTGGCACAGCAGTGATCCCGTACTGCTGGGCCAATTGTTGATTGGAGTCAAGATCTACTTTGGCAACTTCGACATTTGTGTACTTAGAGTATAATTCTTCAACCTTTGGCTTGATGGCTTGACAAGGCCCACACCAAGACGCGGTGAAATAACTGATGAACAATTGATTGGAATTTAAATATGATGTGAAGTCAGCAGCATCTTTGACAAATTGGATTTTATCAACCATATTGAAATCGACAGGAAAGAGGAGATTATGTCGTTGGCTTCAGATATATCATCATCATCATCTGTTCACCTTTTTTTTTTTTTTTTCAAAGTCAATTCATTTTTTGTGAACGCCTCCCACAGTATATAGGGTATTGCACCCCTTGGAGAGCTGTCAAAAATCTACACACACAATCACCAAATAATACCAGAAAATTAATCAATAATTGAAACAAAAAAAGAACTAATAATAAATAAATTCGAACCAGAGAGAATTTTTAAACACAAATCTTAATAACAAGAAAAGAAAAGAGAAAAAAAAAAAAAAAAAAAAACACCATGACATTCTATATTGTGCTGCTGAATTCGGAAAAAAGACTTTTGAGAGAAATTGAAGCTACAATAACATTCCCTTGAATGCCATCATACTCACAATCTTCTTGTTGTCGTTGTAGTAATTCCGTTTCTTCTGTGGACAGATAATCGTTATTTACGGAAGCTTCATTGGCATTTTCCCTATCATTACCAGCATGGGTGACACCATTAACTGATCCATCCGCAGGTACATTCGTAACGGGGTACTTCTTTTTAAAATCATGGGCCGAGGCAAAAGCAACGGCTTGAAGATTGAATATTATCATATCGTACACTACCAACACCCATTTATGACCGGGGGGTCTTTCACCAATAACTTGCAATGTCCACTCCCCAATCAAGAACCCTCCCAGACCATGGTTTGGCAAATCACATACCAAGGAATACGCTAGGCAATATACATTGCATAGTAATAGTAGCAATGTTGAAAATTTTTTTAGGGGCTCAGTGTTGGCAATCATCACCACTTCGGGGTCCATCATCTTTTTTACAGTGCATTGTACAAACAGTCGGAAAAGCAACTTGGAAAGTGACAAGTCTTTGAGGAATTCAAGGATCGCAAACGCAATTAAAAGTGTTCCGAGATTAGAATTGAGATGGGTATGAAAATATTTCTTCCTGTTGACTAACAGCTTGTGAATGAACCTTCGTTCGAATGTTTTTAACATGAATTCTCTAGGTGCCGTGGTTGGGGTTACATGATTATTACCTGGGAATGAGCCTGGTAGTAACGGTTCTCTCGGTGACTGATCATTCATCACATTAACCGGAAAAATAAAATATCAGGGCAATATTTATAACGAATCTAGTGTAATTTTTCTTTAATTGAGGGAAAGAAATGACCCAAAAGTTGGTGTGGAGGGGGAACTCATCGATTTTCTACAAATAAAAAACTTTTGAAAACCACCCCCGTATACTGACACCATTGCTGTGGGTCAATAAAAAGGGCCTTACCCACCGACCGATATATATAAGATAACTTTACAATAAATTGCTTCATAAATTATGATGAGATTCGTTTATAGTAACATTACATTAAAAAAAATAATAAATAACATAGAAGCCGAGAATATTAGATCATTTGAAATGTAAAGTTGCTGATTTAACGGGAGTAAGACCAGACGTTCTTCAACAAACCGTCAGCTTGGGCCAATCTGTTAACGGAGTCGTCAGATTCACCTCTAGATCTGATGAAACCACAAATAGCGTAGGAGATGTTTTCACCTGGGATGACGTGACCTTCTTCATCAACCTTAGCAACGTTGATTTGGACAGAAGCGTGGTCCTTGGCCTTGATGATTCTGTTGGTAGCAGAACACTTTCTTGGAATGTAAAGTTCGACCTAGAGAGTAACTTGTTAGTATGGTCATTCATACCGTTAATTGTTGTTGTTTTTTATTGACTTTCTTGAATTTTGAGGTGTATGGTACGGAATTTATATTTCTAAACACAGTGCTGTATTCGCAAACTATTGTTCTTTTTAGAAAGCTCAACTCTGAATATATTTTTTTAATGTATTCATTTCCTTGTTATCCGCTTTCCCCATTTACGGTTCACCAAAAAAAAAGAAAAAAAATTGACTTCGAGAAATTTCGCTTTCAATGGTTTCCAAACTTTGAAAAGAGATTCCAGTTGATGATAACTTTGAATTAACAATACGCTGGCTGATGTGAATTGAATTGAATTATCTTTATACGACATTCCCATTAACCCTTTCTTTCAACAAGTTGTTCTGATTTTTCAATATTCCACATCCATATCACTTCACATAAAACCCTGAACTTTGAATGCTTGGTTATTTAAAATACGATCATCCTACTCTATATCTTTCTCTTTTTCGTTTTCTTTCTCTTTCTTTCAGTTACTCGCAATACGGTGGATTTCGACATTTCTCCATACTAATTTTGATATTTTCCAGTATATTCTCCCCGTACCATATGTCATTCATTTATATTTCATTGAAGATGATAGTGTCCTATACATACTAATTTACCCTTATCGTTTTCCATTGTGAGTTATTGATATTGAGATGTATGTGGTATCAACAGCAAGTCTGTTCAGGCAACAACTTATTTTTCACCAATTTTTTTTCATTGATTTCTCCCTCAAGGAAAAAAAAAAAAAAAGAAAATTGGGTGTTAGTGCGGGAAAATGATATGCACGTGCATCTTCATAGGGCTTTTGTGACTGAAAATTTTACTTTGGCAAGTTGAGGGGTGCAATACCCTGTGTGTTGTGCATGAGTTATTAGGGCTACAAGTGGGTTAGTTATATGCAAAGCAGTTTCAACATGAATTATAGAAGATTAATTGTGTTAGAAATACAGAACTATTAGTAATAATGTTAAGGTAAAAAAAAAAAAAGAAAAGAAAAATTATAATAGTTCAACTATAATATACAAAGTTTATTCATTTTTTCAAAGAAAGGATGGCAATACTTTCAATGTGGTGGGTTTGTGGGAAAAAATCAAACCCTCTAATACTTTCTATTTGGTATTGAGACCCATTTTCAGTATTGTTGATGAAAAACTCTAAATCTCTGGCTTGGGAGTGGACATTGCATGAAATGTAGACAATCTTCAGAGGGTGGAACTTGGAGAGCTGGGTCAAAAATGGTTCATCACAACCCTTTCTTGGAGGGTCACAAATCACCGATGTCAAAGCTGAAGGGAATTTAATATCATCAAAGATTTGTTCGGCTTTACCGAGAATGAATTTAGCATTTTGAATGTTATTAAGTTTGGCGTTCTCATTAGCGTAAGCAACACTGTCTTTCGACACTTCAACCCCACAAACTTCCTTCACCCCATCAGAACACATGATACTAAATAAACCAGAGCCACAATAAGCATCGACTAAATAACGATCCTCAGATTCAGAATTTTCGAACTTCAAATTATCACGCACGTATTTTGTAACAATTGGTAAAATCGAATTATTATTTTGGAAGAATTCGTTAGCAGAAAATCTAAATTCTCTACCTTCAATGTTTTCCGAGACAATTTGCTTGGAATCGGTGCAGCAGGTTTTGATCAATGTTTCGCCTTCTTTTGAACTTGGCGCCTCGTCGTATACGTTATCCTCGGTATCAGGAATTTTCGATCCGTTTTCTTCATTGATAAATTTCTTTTTCTGTTCTTCATCCAAATCATTCTTCATGGCCCTGGTGTTTTCACGCAACAAAATCGTACCCCCGCGCACTTTAGTTTTATAAATTCTTTTGAAAATTTCTCTTTCATTGGACATAGCCTTGTTCAAGACTGAGGTACCAATGGCACAATCTTCAACGTCTAAAACACTCTTGTTACCTCCTTGGACGGATTCTCTCCAAGTTGGTCTACCCTTGGCTCCGAAACCTAAAGCAGGCATATCGATCATTTCTGGGTTGAATTTCCCTCTTGGAAGATCGAAATGTGGGGTGAGTTTAGTTCTGTAATTGTATTGTAAAGGTGATGGCACGGTGTCACTAATTTTTGGCAAAGCGTTGGCCGCCTTCAAGGTCTTTGCAAAAAAATGATAAGCGTTCTCAATCGTTTTACGCTTCAATTCCAATTGCTTGGTGTATTCGACGTTCTGGAATTGACAACCCGAACATTTCCCATAATATTTACAATTGATCAAATCGTTATCTCTCATTTCCGATCCTTCTCTAACCTTGAGCAAATCTGCTTCTGCGTGGGTTGGGTGGGTTCTGAAGATTCTGATGTCGACAGTTTCCCCGGGATATGCGAATGGAATCACCACTGCCTGGAACCCATCTTCGATCTCTGGGTGAGGAATTAACGCCAATCCATCCCCACTGGATGTCAATTTGGAAACTTTGACTTCTTCCAAGTTACGATTATATTTAGCCAAGAGATCCTCTGAGTTCAACAACAAGTTGATATCGACGGCTCTTTTTTCTTCACTGATGCCGTTTTCGGTGAATAATTCCTCGACTTCCAATAACAATACCCCGAATGGATTGGTTGGATCATAATTCTTTTGAGTATACTTTCTCTTGACTCTACCCTTTTTATTCTTGGTCAATTTTTTAGAGATCTTTCTGCCAGCGGTAGACGAGTCGTTAGCAACGGTTTTCCCATTTTCCAAAGCAGGTTTTTTTGTCAAAGGTTGGAATTCCGAAAAGCTACTTCTTCTTACTTCTTCATCTTGTTTTGAAACACTGGAGGTCATGGCTTTAAAGATATTTGGCAAGCAACGAGTTTGATAACGAGAATGTATTAATGCTGAATTCTTTAGAAGCAGGAACATCAACAATCAAAAAAAGCACACACACACACACACAAATATTGCCACAAAATAGTTACAACTTTTGACGAGTCAAATGAGATAGATGATTGGTTTTACTGATGTGTGTGAGTTGAGGGAACAAAAAAAAAAAAAAAAAAAAAAATTTTTTCTCAGTGTATTTTTTTTTATTTTTTTTTTTTTTTTGTGATGCGCTGAGATAAGATGAGCCAGAATATGATGTTGAATGATACCACATATATGAAGCAGCTATCCATTCATTCATTTGGGTGAATGATGACCATTTGGAATTTTCCTTTTTCTTTCCTTGAGTATATCTTGATGATAATATATAAGTATGAATAGGTATTTTTTCCAAGTTTTGCGAGTCGATTTGATAATTCACCCTGTCCCAAAAACCCAGATATTTGTCACGTCGCCGACCAATGATTTTGCGTAAATTACTAAACATCTCATAATGTCGTTGTTGTTTCCACAATGAAAAAAAAAAAAAAAAATTGATCATTATTGATAAATTTTAAACTCATGATATATTGATAATGCAAATTTAGATAGTCATAACAGATAGTCGTAGCAAATCATCTAGTCGCTAAAAAATGCAAAGGAAAATCAGCCATCCAAACCGATGATAATGCAAATTTTCTTGGACTGGATTGAATATTGAAAAGAAAAAAGAAAAAAGAAAAAAAAAGAAAGCAACAAATTAAAAAGTAGAATAAAAAGATTTAGCAGTAATAAAGAAAAATGAATCATCAACGACTATTCAAATCGGAATCTTATAGCAACAGTTATTTAGTACATCAAAATTGATGAATAGCACAAAAACCGATAAAAAAGCTGGACACAAAAACTGTCATCTCTGGATCTCATTAGGTAAACCCTTTCTAATATTTTTTTTTTTTAGTTGTGTCACTCTTTTGGGTCAGACTCTTCAAAATTATTAGCAATCGCGGCATTATTGTAGCCCATTTTATCATCCAGATAGAATGGTTTCCGTTTGTCAGACATCTTTTCGTGTTCAAGAACTGACGCTTGGGCTAAATTACTTTTAACTTCATTATCAAAAGTATTTAACGAGCTCATATCCATGAATTCGCTTATGACACTTGACAGATCATCGTCATCGTATTCTGCATACTGGTTTGCCAAATCGGATGATGTTGGAGACCCAAAACTATTGATGGAACACGAGGCAAATTCATTGACACTGGTCAAGATCTGCTGCGATTCATGTTTGATATCATTGATGTTTTGAACCGTCATCGCGGTTTCTTGGGCAATGGCAGCTTGATGTGGGTTACTGTAGGTTGGAATACTTTCTGCCAGGACTGGAGATAATGAGGTGATTGAAGGTTTTTTCAAGATGCTTTTCAATGGTTTCAGCGAGCTAGGGGATGGAGGGGAAGGGGCAAGCGGTTTTTTGGATTTGGATCCTCGGCGCTTGGTTGGTTTTGATGGAGTTGAGGTGGTGGTGGTAGTGGGAGTTGCTGTTTGTTGGTTGAAAATTTTGCGAAATTTTGAAGAATGCGACCATTCATGGAGTGAAAAGTCAAAAGAAGAAGTAATGGCATCATAGCTTTTATTTTCAGAAGGATTTGTGAAATCGACATCAAAGGTACGTTCTGGCTCGAATGCATTCAAGTTAGTGGCCGATCCAGGGATCGGGGTGACTGATGAGGAGGAGGAGGAATAAGCACTGACATGCTTCGCCTTCCACTGTCGATTTTTAGCCTCTTTTTCTTTCCGTAACCATTCATCTTTGGCCTTCCGTTCACTGTCCAACCATTCTTGCCTTTCTCTATCTTGTCTTTGTTTGGCATCTTTTTCTTTTCTTAACCAGTTTTCTTGTAGAATCTTCTCATTTTCTAACCATGCAATTTTCTCTTTGGCTTGTTTCTCTTTTCTTAGCCACTCTTCTTCGGCGAGTCTTGTAGCATTTTTCGCTTCAGCCTCTTTTTGCAACCATCCTTCTTTTGCTTGGGCCTCTTTTGACAACCAGTCTTGTCTTTCTTGGTGGGTCTTTTCAAATTCTCTTTGGTTAGTATTCCATTGATATTGGACCCGGTTTCCAACCCTCAACCAAGGGTTTTGGGGCTGCTCTTCACTTTCTATCAATTTTTCATTCGAATTCCGTAAAGATCTTCCGGACTTTTCGTTGGCAATGTCAAGTATTATTTGGGAATTGGCTTTAGTGGTAAACACTCTTGCATTTGTCAACATTCCATTATACGCCTCAACAATCCGTTTATTATGCTTCTTGTTTAATTCCGCATCGCCAGTGCTCCCCATTTTGGCAGCGTTATCGAATGGCAGGGTCTTTGGTGCGCTAGACGACACTCGAAATTTATGAGCTTGAGGTCCCGATTTCACTTCCGATGGATCTTGGAATCTCGGGTTCCATACATCTTTGGAGACCCCGATGCTTTCGAAGTTGGAATATGTATGTGGATCAACCAAAAACGCCATGATTTGGTCACGATTGACACTTGATGGCTTGGAAATCGTAGCATTGTCATAGTATTCCCATGCGCCGGAATTGGCAAAATGTCGTTCAGTATCGTGGACTGGCGGGAACATTATGTTGATGATTTTGGAATCTTCAATAGACAAATTATTATAGGCGTTCTGCAAATCATTTGTGGTAATATTATTATTATTATTATTATTATTATTATTATTATTATTATTATTTGCATGGATACCGTTATCTCGTGGTTGTTGCTCCTCAGAGAAAAAGTGTTCATGATCATCTTGGGAATCCGATTTGTTGGCGTGTTTTTTTCGGTTCAACAATTCTTCTATTGATGGCAAAGGGATTGGTACATGTTGTGCTCCTTCTTCATTATTCAATTGATACAAAGATTGATTGTTAACTTTCCCATTGACATGATAGTCAAGATGATCTCTGTTAAACCCTTGGGCGTTGGCGATTTCTTGGGCGAAATTATTTTCCGGTTCGAATTTCCCGAAATTGAAATCCTGGGGGAAATTATTCAATTCATTGACTTTACATACTGATTGGATATCACAACCGTCATAATTTTCGTGCCATTGTTTCCACCAAAGAAGCACTAATGAATCATAACTCCCGTCGTCACCATTCTTCTCAAGCGTTGATGATGATTCATAATACTGAATAAGGTTATTCCAAGGCTTAATAGATCCAATGAAATGTAACACTTTAATTTCGGAGGAAAACCTCTTGAATGCCGGATTATATTGATACTGTCCGGTTGGTGTGACGTTATAAAGAAATGATAATGGTTTCCAAACTTGTTTCCCCTGGTGATTGAATTTCCCATGCAGGTTGAAATATTCATTGAGCAACCCTTGGTCGGCCCCATCGAAAGAATTGGAAATTGACAGGTCAGAAATGATCCTGAATAGTTCAGAATATGTGCTAATGGCAGGTTTTATCACGAACAATCCTGAATTGAAAATATCAGGCCAGCCGGAATCCGGGACCGCGTAGATTTCATTTTCCTGCACTTCAGTTCGTGGGTCTAATAACAAATTATCAATGTTTTGCAATACCAACATATCACAATCCAAATATACGATCCTCTCAAAACGATCATAGAGCTTGAATACTTGAATTTTCGTCAATGTTTGCACGAGTTCTGGCCGTTTCGTCAATTCGTTCAAGTTGGCAATATCGGTGGCATTGGTCGAGGCAAACACATCGACGGAAATCATTTGATCGAATGCCAGAGACAACACATTTTGCTGGTGATTGGTGAAGATTTTGTCCTTGGGAATCAAGCAAACGAGTTTCCCTGCGATGTTGTGATGTTTTTTAAGAGAATTAGCAAGGACCAATGCCCCAGGAATATACGACGCTGAATAAAGTAATGTGACATAAGCAAATGGTAGTGTCATTATTGCAATGGAAGAACAATCATATGTAGAAAAATCTGCCACAATAGGGATCGAAACCAGTATTGGAAGATAAAGATTACAGAAGATGGAAAAGTGTGAATTTTTTTTTTTTCTTCTTCTTCTTCTTCTTTTTTTTTTTTTTTCTTCACTCTTGATTAAGTTATTGGGAACCACGCATACACAACAACAACAACAACAACAATAAAAAAAAAAAAAAAAAGCTCCGCAGTGAAGACTCTGATTTCAATTTCTCTGAACAAAACCAATCCAGATCGAAGATCAACGATATGATAGGAAGCGATGATCGGAATGATTGAAAAAAAAGCTAGCTAGCAAGCGAGTGAATGGAGATATTTTCCAACCACAGCATTATTTATACAGAGAGGCTGGGAAGAAACACACAAAAAATATGCCAAAAATCGCCGGTCTCGCGCAGCACTATGCGGGTGAATGCGCCTGTCAAAAACAAACAGTCACCAAGCGGATCAAACTTACAATAATCATCATAATGACATAATATAATAATTACAAACCGTACTTTGAAAGACATATATATATATATATATCGCACATACACATCTATATACATTCAAACAGCTTTGCGCTCGAGTAAGAATAGCTCATTATTGGCGGATCTGGTATAGCAAACACGGTCGGCCACCGTGCCGGCAATAATAAACTGTTTGATCCCCCACTCTCCATGGCCATAGATTTCCGGGATTTTCTGGGGCAATGATGGGAAAAACGTCTTATACAATGGATGGTATTCCAAAACGTCTTCTTTGGTAACGACAATCGATTTTGCAACCTGTTTAAACTCGTCAACAATGAATTGTGGTGGTTTGACGCTCGATTTTTCACCGTCGTTGAATAAATTGACACTTCTTACCACCCAAAGAAGAAACACTTGATCGACGATTTTCTGTTTCACAAGAGTGTCGTAAGACGAAACCCCGATGGTGAGTAAAAGTGAATTCATGAACGGTTTATCATTTTTGAGCACCGTCTTGAATGATAATGGCTTGTGTTTCTTCAATAATGATTTCTCAAGCTTGCCGATTTCTTCAAAACAGCTTTGGAAAAGCTTTTTTTGACATAGCATGTAACTTTTCACCACCTTGATCACCGATGGACTGACTTTGGAGGCCATTGAGGTGTTAATCTTCCCCTGAGTTTTGTAAAATTCCACTTTCTGGTTGATGATACTGGCAAGCTGGGTTAAGCCGTCCAATTTCATTCGCAATGTGATCATAGCTTTTTCACTTTTCAACTGTACTAAAAACGCAAAAAAATTCACGAGGTTTTCTGGCAAGCAGTCATTATTAGTGATCAGGAAATTGATCCCAATAGAAGATGCGCCCTCCGGTAATTTGATCCCCAACTGCTTGGCGTCGGTAATTTGCGACTCGTCAACTTTTAGGGTGACAAACGTCTCATCGAATTCGTTATTTTCCAAAACAAACCCGTACCCTAAAAGCAATCCGGTATTTGATTTGTCGCCGTAATTATTGAACAATTCATCTCCGGATTTCAACGATTGTTTCGGGACGAAATTCACTTGATGATCTACATACGACCAACCGACTTTTGCAGTATGTTTATGATTCAATAAATCCAAAATTGGTATGAGACATGCTTGGTTAAGGTCTTTAACATGATCATTGATAATAAAGTACGGAAACGCTCTGGAGGTGAAAATGTTGGCGGCCCAGAGATACGCAGGGAAACTTAACCATGAAGTAACTGTATTTAATTTGTGTTTGGAAGTTGTCAAACCTTGGAGCTTGGCTAACTCGGTGTTGCCAATGGTGGCCCAATTTGGGAATTTCTGGCAAATCACCGTGATGAGGGATTGCCATTCTTGGAGCAATGATTGGTATTGTCTGTTCAAGAGAATCCCGGCATCGGTTCCCTTTAGCAAAGATTTTTCATCCTCATTCCACCAAAATGGGTTGTTTAAAGTTTCTGGCAAGTAGTCAATGTAATGTTTCCATTTTTCCGAGCAATTGACACCGTCTGTGGTCAAGATTGTTGGTTCGTTGGTGTCAAATTTCAATTTCGCCACAAATAGCTGCAACCAACTATTGTTGATATTTGTTGGGTCATTTTCCTTCACGCCGAAATAATCAGTAGCGTAGTCTGGAGTGATTAGGATATTCTTGGACACTTGAATGAGTGAAAATGACTCTTGAACGTCGTCGTTGACAATTGCATGAACTCCCGAAGCTTCGCTATATTTGAATACCACCCGCGAGTCTATCGACGATCCTTGTTGCTTGGACCATTCCACAAGGTTGTTTAATTTGGTTTCTTGATTCCCCAGCATTTCCAATTATTATTATTATTATTATTATTATTATTATTATTATTATTATTATTATTATTATTATACCTGATAAGTAGTACAGTGTGTGTTCTCACTGACTCTGTTTCATATGGTTATTGATGATTGAAGGAGTGAAAATTTGTCCCTCGCCACGCCCACGTGAGGGTCACCCCCGATCGGGGTTGCCCAGGGCGAAATCAATAAGTAAATACCAACTTGAAATTCCAAGACTTTTCGACAATCAATATTCAATGGATGGATGAATGAATGAATGCACTACTGGGGTGGAATAAGCAGGAGAGAGAAAAAAAAAAAAAAAAAAAAAAAAAAAAAAAAAAAAAAAAAAAAAGGTTTAATCTGTGGAAACTTCTCTGGCATTCCATTTGTGCCATTTTTGGACAACAAACTCCCTTCGGGATATTTGGAATGTGGATGGGTGGATATATAGAGCCTGCATTAACGAAGCTTAATCCCTCGTTAATGTTTTTGCCAATTGGGGAGGGGTGGAATTGCAACAAGGTGAGCATCGACGGTACTTTTACTTACGGTGGGATTTAATTCAATGGTAATGTGCTGCTATTATTAATATTATCATCATTATTATTTTTGATGGCTTGAATAGGATTTTTATTTTATTTTATTTTATTTTATTTTATTTCATTTTATTTTATTTTATTTTGTTCTGTCGATGTTCCCCCCCTCCCTCATATATGGCCCATCAATCATCTTTATTATTATTTACGGATGCTGCTGCGGAAGAATTTTTTTAAGCTTCTTTTTGAGTGCGGTAATTATTAACACGGCAAAAAAGGTGCTTTAGTGGCTAATTTTACCTTTGTGTTTCTGATACTTCTTCATGTGGAATGCATGAGTCGTGGAATTTCAGGAACTAATTTTTGTATTCATGTTGGCCGTACTACTGTTAGTATAATATGTCATCATGATCTGATCTGTAGAGAGAGAGAGAGAGAGAGAACTTGTCGTCGTCAAGCTGAATCCAGCAATTTTTCATTCGCAGTCTTGTGGTAACTTGAGTTTATAAATGGAAAAAAAAAAATAAAGAAATAAAGAAATAAAAAAAGTCTGTGATGAGAGATTTTCTAGGTGAATCCCCACTACATATTGGTGCCGAGTATGGTGGTTATCAATAGTCTGGGACACTTACTTTTACTTACTAACTTGGTGGATGTTTTTTGTTTTTGTTTTGTTTGTTTTTTTTGACTCGCTGCCATCGGAGATCAATGGATATATCTGTGCCCATCCAATCCAATCTATTATTAGCCACTTTTCTTTTAATTCCCCTCCCTGACTAAATGTTCTAAATATCCATAAATAAATTGAATGGAATGGTGCTGTGCTGTGCTGTGCTGTGCTATGCTGTGGTTTCTTCTCCCCCGATTGACCGATGTTGTTGTGTCATCTAATGGAGAATCCAAGTTATGCGCAGCACTTAGTAACACTACTAATCAATATAACAAACATTCTTCTATGATTCGATATCTCTTGCTGTTGCATTTGTTAGTGTATATGTACACTAGTGAAGCTTAATGGGACATTTCATTTCATTTCCAAAACAAATATTAAAATAAAAATAAATAAAAAAAAAAAAACAATATCACTATCGCAATCACCACATTGTACTAAGTCACAAAGATCTACAGCTTCACTGAAGAATCTGGTTCATTCATAATTGCATCGGTCCGCAATTAGTCTAGAGAATTTCACCCCCATGGGGTGGATTGGATACTTTGATTTATTTATTTATTTATTGATTTATTGATTTATTAATTTATTTATTAATTTATTTATTTTTTCCATTTAGCTAAAGCCCGAGCTAAATTGATGCTAAACTAAACTAATCTGCATTCCACCACTCTCTTCTTCTTCTTCTTTTTTTTTTTTGCAACTATCCAACCATAATTATGAATTGGGAATGATAATTAAGTGCCTTAATAGTTTCTACTACCATGTGTTTTTAGCTTGTAATTTTTTGTTACGTTTTATCTCCGTTGGCTGATTGTTATTGCCTGCTATTTATTTATTTATTTTACGTCACGGGAATTATAGTTAGTTGTGAGATTGATTGGCGATTGTTAATCCCTGCCAGAGAATCGTAATCTTATGCTTTTAAACAACAATAAATAAATAAATAAATAAATAAAACAAAGGAAATATATTTGATTATGACATGATTTCTTGTGAAGGGTCTTTGGCACAACAGATTGCAATTTAAAACACAATCCCTACCTACTGCCCTCAAAAATAAAAATCTCACTCAAATTTTACGAGATATTATTCATACACAACCAACCCAAACTACAAAAAGTCATTCAGCAATATAGCAAAAAAAAAAATAGCGTAATAATGTCAATAATGATCATTTAAAGTGTTTATAGAAATATTTGCAGAGATATATGTATAATAATATAGTATAATAAATAAACGATCAACACCAAAAATACAATAAGCGGATATGGGAGAAAGAAAAAAAAAACAATCAAAAGACAATCAGACATCAGCAGGACAAAGACCCAAGAAACAAATGAAAAGAACAGAAGATAAAACTACTCAACAAATAAATATCAGTTTCTTTAAAAAAAAAATCGTAACCTAACCTAACCTTTCCATTTTCTATAAAGTGATTATTCGTCATGAAGACTCCCCCCTTTTAAGTTTGGGATCTTGTGAATGTGAATCAGCTTCATTACCGTAAAAATAAGGAAATTGGCGTGGTTCTTGTTTCATCGGTTGAGAGTATGGCGAATTGAAAGATGACGCATATTGATATATTGATGGTCCAGCATAGCCCATCATCTGCTGTGGATTGACTTGATGAGGAGCATTCATCATTTGTGACCCACCCCCAGGAAGGAAATTGGTATACTGTTGTTGCTGCTGCTGTGGTGGTGGTGGTGGTGGTTGCTGTGGATGTGGTTCGTGATATGTTTGTAGTGAAGGTCCCATCAATTGCGGAGATTGTTGAGGAAGATTTGAAACAATAGTTGTGTTTGTGGTAGGCGGAGCAGCAGGGACGCTACCAGAAGAAGGAGAAGAAGAAGAATGATAAGTGGCACCAGCACTTTCTGGAAGGTTAATTGGGGTAAATTTCATAGAGTTGCTGTCCAAAGTTGGAGTATATGGAGCAGAATACGATTGTTGAGATTGTGACGAGCCTAATTGTTGAGAATGTGATCCCAATTGTTGAGGATGTGAACCTAATACTGGGTAGCTATCGTGAGATGGCAGCATTAATGAAGAATCATCATAATCACAACTATATTTATTTAATACCCGATGAATTGCATCACTGAGGCATCCCCAAGGGAAAACTTTGACGTCTTTTTCAATATTTCTTGGTCTTGGTGCCGGGTACTTCATTATCGCGGTGAAGAATTCCAAATAATCTTTTTTAGCTCTGGCAATCGTCAACGGTTTCAAGCCTTGTAAATTTCTTCTGATCCGATTTTTCTCCTCCACTGCAAACCGTTGATTAACAAAGCGCTCCAATAGTTGAATGACATCTACCGAAGTGACAAAATACTGGGTCTTCAAAGAACTGTCTTTTGGTGGGTGATCCCAGTGTAAGCAACTAATAACGGTATCAGCCGGGTCGTAATCAGTTTGATCAATCGGAGTATATTCCACTTGTAAGCTCGAACCTTTTTGAACCCAGTCAAATTTTACCAATCTTCGACCATTCTGAATCTCCTTTGCGGTCCAATTGCGAGTCATGGAATTCAATTCCCCATGAATATGTAACGAGACTCTTGGATACCGGCGAGGGTCGGGATGTGCAGCATAACCACTGGTTCCATTGGTACCAGGGGCTTTGTGAATCGGCAACGATGTTGTTCTCACAAGCCGAGGAACGATGTTATTCATCACCGATACTTGGTGGTTCGCCAAGTCTTGTGAGTAATTTAAAGAAGCATTAGAGCGAAGGGCGCCTGGGAAACTATTTCTTTGTAATGAAGGTTCAGTGGTAGATGTGGTAGATAGGTGGTTATTATGAGAATTGGTTGGGTATCCAAGTCCGTCTCCTGTTGAAGATTGGCCACTTGGTGCTGATTGAGGAGGGCCCATTCTGACAGAGCTTTTGGAGGAAGAGGGATAGCCATAAGAAAAAGAGTTTCTGTATGATCCTTGATCGGGAGTATAAGGTTGAGATGTAGATGATGTTGCCGTAGCTGGTGAAGAGGGATCAATATTATATTTTTGAACTTGAGGGGGGTAAATATAGGGCTGTTGCTGCTGCTGCTGCTGCTGGTGGTGATGTTGATGATGTTGATGATGTTGATGATGTTGATGATGTTGTTGTTGGGAAGGGGGAAGACCAGCAGTATCGGCAACTGCATGTTGGTATTCATTGGTAGCAATAGGGAGAGATTGTGTCACTGGGGGCGATGGGAAGGATACATATTGCGGATAAACTGGAGGAGGTTGTGTTTGAGGGGTCTGTGGATGGCGGACTGGTTGGGAGTCTTGAGGCAGGTATCTGAATGAGTTGTTGTATTGATTGTAAGGGAATTTATTCTTCTCAGAATTCAGCATTTTCATGAAATAATCTATGGAAGTTGAAGTCACAGACAAGCTCATATTAAATCAAATAGTATTTGTGAGATAGTTAACAAAGAAAGAAACAAACAAACAAACAAATATATTCCAAATGAATAATGATAGAGTTGATATCAAAGATTTTTCCTTTCTCCTTATTGATTTATTTTATTTTATTGGGTGGATACGAGATGAGATGCCGGTTAATTGAAAGCTAAATTCTGGTTAGGCTGGGAAATGGAGAAATGATATAATAATAATGATGGTAATAATAATCGAAAACTTTTTTTCTATTTTTATTTTCCTTTGTAGTGGTTATTTTTGGGCGACTATTGGAACATGAAGTGTTTTGGGAAGGAAGAAGTGCCGCAATGCAACAGCATAGACATACACATGTATGATTATAATAGTAAGTATAACAATATCGTTAACAACACACCAATTTGACAAAAAAAAACCAAAAAAAAACTGGGACTTTTGCTTAGCTTTTTATGTGTGGTTCATTTGCCGCCGACGATAGACAAACGCAGGCTTCTTCACACATACGTATCCACACATCTGTGTGCATAGTAAGGCACTGCTGAACACATTGCGTATGCATGCGTGCGTGTGTGTGTGTGAGTATTCCGTTACCTTCTCGTTCTTGCTGCTGCTGTTTGTTGCACTCTTCTCTGGCGGGTGGTTTGTGAGGCGTGGGAACCGGTAGAGCAGGCTGTTGCCAATCTCATGTTTTAGGTTGGGACCGTGCTAGTTTTGCCCACGCACTGTACTGCACCACAACGTGGATGTCGCTAGCAGTGATGAGTGGGAATGAATGAGATGTCATACGATTTTTTTTAGTTTTTGTTTTGTTTGTGTTTTTTCCAGTGATGGCGGTCGTGGGGCAGGCTCATCTAGAATCTTCCCCAATCTATCAGACAGATAGAGATAACACGTATATATATATATCACCGGTCCCAAATAAACGGCGCTTATTGTTTACTTTTTTTTTTTTTTTCCAACGTCTGTACTTGTCATTTCCTAAATTGTACAAAAAAGATTCCAAGATGTCCTTGCTATCCCCAGGTGGTGGGTGGTACGAGGCTTCGCGGAAATACGACAGAGTTGTCGATTGTGGATTACGACCTGCAATACAACGAAGTATTCGTCTAGACTGATCAACCGCCCACCCACACATGGTTAAGTAAATAAAGCACAATTGATCTTCTATCTTTCCATTTCTTTGCTGTTTCAGTGCCATATGCTTTCGTGGTGTCTGCCCAGGGATCTGTTTTCTTACCGCTTTGGGAAAGGCCGCAGGGCTAGTAATCAAGAAAACTCCGGAAACTGGTGGCCATAATAATCAATGGAGAATGATATATTTAATTACAAACACTATTCACATCCTTGTCATCATCACTAGATATTGTAGTCATATCTGTTATAACTATAGCCTGTGGTTTTTTGTTTTCTGTTTTGTTTTTTGTTTTTTTTTTTCATTTCCATTTATGATCATAGTTTGAAACACAGGGGCACTACTTAGGGAAGGCACTGACACTGCTTGCTGACGGTTGTAGATCGATATGTATATATTCTTGAGCGGCAGCTCCAGATGCTGTTTGTTATTTTTGTTATTTCCTGTGTACATTCTTTGTAACACAGAGGTATTGTATTGCCATCGTCGATAATTACGAGAGAAAAAAAAAAAAAACAGAAGACCCACCCCGCTGGGGGGTGCCTGTTTATTTGTATACATATTTCCCCTTTCGATCTTATATTTATGATATAAATATAATTAATTAATTCTGTTGTAATACATAGCACTCTCCAACATATTCCACAAGACAATGCATGTGTACCCTTCTCTTCCACATTATCCGTGTCTAAACCGTAATCACCACTGCTGTTTTAATCATTGGTCTTCCGGGTCATCCACGAGAGTGTTTCATTTCGGCATTATTGACTTCAACAACAACAAGTGGGAAAGAAAGAAAAAGAAAAAAAAAAAGCAGGGCAATAACAGAATAGATGGCGATTCCATTGGACTGGAGAATACCAAGTCATAATGATAAAACAAATAACCAATATTATTGGCTATAGCTAACCGACTCCATTTTCTTAAGGGCGCGAGTGAGCGAGCGGGTGTCTGGTGACAGTTGTTCCATTAGCAATAAACGACTATGATGATACCGTTGTCTTGTCTTGATTGGTCTCGTCTCGTCTCGTCTCGTCTCGTCTGATCCAAATAGTGTCACAATAAGCGTTATTTTGTTGCCTTCGAGGGATTTACTAAAAAGGTTTGGAATAGTGAAAAAACCGCTGACTTCTCCAAGACATTTGCAAAAAAAAAAAAAAAATTGGATGATGGATCGTCGAGATCTAAGCATTCGCTTTCTATTGTTCAAAAGGGCGTTGTTCTATTTTTCTAATCACCGATACCGCATTTTAATAGTGATGATCAGAGATACACTCTGTGATCTCAGATTAGATACAGTCAATGAGAAGATCTAAATCCCTCACTAGTTATTATATTATATTATATTATTCTTCAGTCCCATCCATCCAACCACCCATCCATCCATCCAACCGTCGCACCATCATGTTAGGCAGCCCCGATAGAACCCCGTACAGTTAAAAAAAAAAAAAAAAAAAAAAAAATCTGGGAAAAAATAAAATCTGGATGATGGTGGCGCTCTTAGTATTCAATTAGCAACTAAATATGCCTAGTTTTTGGAAAGAACAATCAAGCAGCGCCGAGGATATGCAAGAAGAAGATATGAATAATTACAATGGGTTACAGTCATTGACAAAACCCGAACTATCGCGATCCAGCTGTTTTTCTTCACAATCAATAAGATCATTCTTGAAAAAATCCCGCCTTTACGCCGATGACACCTTGAGAGAAAAACTCAATTCCCAAAGAAGAAACGATAGAAACGGATGCTCAAACGTCATTAATACCATTTTGATACCTGCTTGGAGTGATCGTTTGGAAATGATCCAGTACTGTGATGAGCAGGCCAAAAAGGTAAAGAAGGAGATTGATGATTATAATATCCATGATGAAGCCAAACAGCATCCCGAATTCAACCTACGGGTGAATCCTTACGCAGAAGAAGATTTTGAAGATCTCAAGAACAAACGTTACGAAAGTGTTTACCGCTTGCAAAACTGGGTCCAGAACGAAATCGTGGTGGAAAAAATTGTCGTTGGGAAGTCCTTGGAGATTTTGAACGATAGATGTCCAAGAGAATCAGTAAAGCAGTTGCAAAATGACTTAAAAAGTGAAAACTTTAGTAAATTGGATCTCTAACCATTTCTATGTGTGTTACTTTTTCAAAAATTCATTTGGTTATACCTTTCTTTGTCATCCCTTTTTAACATCCTGTATATATAGATTTATTGGGTTATTTTTGTGTTTCCGTCACTTCCTAACTTTTAGCAATGGTCTAATTTTAGATTTTCCCAATCTCCACTCATTGATCATTCGCTCTTTCTTATATTTTCCAATGCTAATGCCCCCCATGTCTCACGTTGTGTGACTTTACGTTGTTGTATGTTTGAGAAATTCAAATACCCAAAAGATTGGCACGTAGTGTAACTGTGCCAACACTCATTTTTGGAATTTTTGTTTGTTCATCATTATCATTGATAACTTTTTTTAGACCCTTGGTAAAGCATTAATATGAGGTTACTAACATTTATATTTACCGATAAATCTTTGCAAGGTTTCGATTCCAATGGGGGTTGATTTGTGTGGTCTTATCACGTGCAGTAAATGCGCCAGATCACCAACAACCAGAAAAAAAAAATTACGTTTGTTGTCGCTTTCATTACACACACACACACACACACACACACACATATTCCAATCTCATCAACCAGATCATTATAAATATAACCATCTAAAATATTCAACATGGTAAGTCATTGACGGAATTTTATTTATTCACAATCAGGATATTCTCCATTGGCTCAAGCAAAGTTCCTGCCGTGAGCTCCCTAAGTTTTTGGATACAATAGACGATAATTGATTTTGGAAAATTGGTTCGGCGTTTGATGTTTTTTTGTTGCTGTTGTTTTTTTGTGATGACAGCTGGCGATAAGTGATCCAATACATGGACATATATCCTTGTTTTAATATACAAGAACAATTGTATTTTCTGGATTATTTGGAGGAGTTTATGGTGATGACCTTTCCTCTTTTTTAAGAGAGAGAATTGCGGTAATTTTTGACATAATTCTGTTGAAAGCTTAGTGATTCCGTGAATCATGAAGAATATTATTTTATATTGCTTAATTATTACACTTTATTGAATACCCATCGTACATTTTTTGATATTATCCTAATCGTGAGTTGCCTCAATTGAGCTCCATTACTGACGTGTGTTTCAATTATAGGCCAGACCAGTTCCAAAGACTTTGCAGCAAAGAAAGGCGAATGCCAAATTTTACAAAGATCAAATGAACAAGATGGGTAAACCGAAGGCAAAGGAAGAAGCTGGTATGCCTATCTCCACCGGTTGGTTTGGTGAGTATTACTTATTATTATTTTTATTTTCAATATTGCATTGAATAAAATATAATGCCAATTTGATTGTCACGGCATTTTACTAACCTGGGTATCATTTAGTATTGATTGCTTTCTTGGTTATCGGTGGTGGTCTTTTAGAATTATCCAAACTATTTTTCTAATTGGGGAAAACTTTGATATGAAAACATAATTATGCTTGATGCGATGAAGAAGAAGAAGAAGAGGTTAGTTTTTTTGTTTTTTTTTTTTTTTTAAAAAAAAAGGGTGATTAGTTCTTCATTTGCTCAATTTTCTTATTATTATTATTATCATCATTATTACTTTCCTATCATTCTTTTCGTTTCTTAGGCTTTTAATGCTCTTTATATATTTTACTGTTTTTTGGTTCGTTGTTTCATTTTTATTGTATAATATGATTTATGACTTTGAAGAAAAGAAAAGTGCCATTCAATTGATTCTAATTACCTCATTAGTCGATTGAATTGCGTAGAAAATGGTTGATGAGATACGGAAGCTCTTATATATATATATCCAAACAGCTTGCGGATTCAGTATATTGAACAAAATATGTATTCTGAGGATGGGATGAAATTGTGAGAAATATTATTCTTGTTCTCCTTCTTCAGTTAGGACGAGATCAAATAGAGTTGGAAAGAACCATTGCTTTCCAATAACAACTATGTAGCACCACACAAGAGTGAGAATGTAAAGAAAAAAATATAAATTAAAGTTAGTTATACAACAACTGTAAGAATCAGTATTCTCAAGCATAAAAAAAAGATTCAAAAAGGATTAAAAATGTGATGATAATGTGATAATAATGACGAATGATTATAATGACAAAGATTGACATTTGCTTGAAATTTTTTCTTCATTTTTTTTTTTTTTTTCCTTTTTTTATTGTTATTATTTTCATTTTTTGTTATTTTTTTATTTATTTTTTTTTTGTTTGATATCAACAGACAATACTTCTTGTTATCTGTCTACTCAAGAATATGGACGTATTTCTTCATTTCTCTAACTTGTTTTGGAGTTGGTGGCAAGTCATGAGAATGCAAGTAGTTTCTCAATGGGTAAGTGTAAGTGAACAAATGGTCACTCAAGGATTCTGGGGTCAATCCCAAATCTTTGAACCCGAGAGTTCCTGGGGTGACAACTTGATCCATAAATTGACGTTCAATTTGATCTGGATTTACAAGTGGCCACCAAGCATATTGTAACAATTCGGCAATCTTCAACGCCACAGGTTTTGGCAAGTTGATGTTTCTGTAGTCGATCTTACTGAATGGCTTGATCAATTCTCTGATTTCGTGGATAGAAAAAGTTTCTGGACCGTTCAATTCGTACAATTTACCAGCGGTGGAATCGTCAAACCCAATGAGTTCCATAGCCTTAGCAACATCATGGACGTGGGTTGGAATAACGGTTTCCTTGGAGTGGTTGACGGTAAACAAGTTCTTGGCGTCCCCCAATCTGTTCAACAATTTGTCTTCTCTACCAAACATCACACCTGGTCTGACAATGGTGGTTTCTGGAATGATTTCTCTAACCACTTGTTCACCAATCCCTTTGGTGGCGTAGAAAATACTCTTAGAGTTCACATCGGCACTGTGGGAGGAAACATGGACGTATCTTGGGACTCCGTAATCCTTGACCGCTTGGGCAACTCTTCTGGCCCCTTCAATGTTGACGTCGGCCATGCTGAAATTCTTGGTGTTGGCTTCGGCACCAATACAATTGAACACAATGTCCGAGTGCTTGACAGAGTCTTCGATCGACTTGAGGTTTCTCAAATCGAATTCCACAAAGTTCACCACCCCCAAATCACCACAAACTTTCAAGAATCTTTTCTTCATGTCATCTCTGTATGGAACAACGGTGAGGGTCCCGTGTCTGGCCAATTTCGACACCAAGTAACGACCCAAGAACCCTGATGCCCCGAAAACTGTGGCAGTGTACCCGGTTCTGGAAGATCTCCCGCCGCTACCGACAGTAATATTGGTTTTTCCCGCCTTGGTGATGTTGATATCACTCTTCAAAACATTGGTGTATATGCTTCTTTTCAAAGTGGTGTTCACCGGTTGAACCTTTGAGGCAGATATCGTTCTAAGCATTATATTTATTGATTATTGAATACTCTATATTTTAGAACCCACAACAATGGCCACAGAGCAAAAAAAAAAAAAAAATAAAATAGTTGACAATCGATTAACCTCTAGACACTATCTCCATATATTAGAGGTCTATTCTCTTTTTTTTTTTTTTTCCCTATTATTTTTTGGATTATTTTGGGTGGTTTCTGGTTGGCCAATTTTCACCTTCCAGGGCTGCGTAACACTTTTTTTTTTTTTTTCGACTTTCCAACATACAGAAAAAAGCACGGCTGGGATGATAAATAATTGCCTGTGTTTGGGTGAGATGGAAGTAGAGTAGGTGGTCAAATATGGCAGCTAAAATGTTAATCATAATGGGTGAAGAAAATTTTAATTAACTCTGTATTATTATGCTGAATCCAGTACCAATGACATTCGTAGGTTCGCACTTAATGTAGCTGGATGAAAACTCATTTAAAACATTGAACAGGAATGCTGAAATAATCAAACGTATCTCATCATTGCTAAGAAAATAGTAGTTAAGTGCCATTATCTCAATATGTAGCGTGTAATATGTTATACAACCTCTGGGGTTTTTCTGTTTGCTTATTGTTACACGTCTACTCCTTTTATATCCATTATTCTCTTTTGCTTATATTTTATCATAATGTCAGAATTTTTTGTGAGCCATAATTGTGTTGATTTATCAATATCTTAAGGAATCAAATCCAAGAACTTCTCATTCTCATTAAAGAAATTTTAAGCGAATGGGAAGATATCATCAAATAGTTTTTTAGGGTTTTTTTTAGTCTTTCCTTATTGTGTGTGTGCAATGTCAGAGTCAGGTACGATTTCTCCCATTTTCTATACATTTATATAATTTGATCAAAATCAATCGTAATTTACTCCATATTGATGAAATCTCAGTATCCGTCAAAATTTTTCAATTATCAGGTTTTATTGATATATTAAGACAGAAATATTTGAGTATTTAGTAGTTTGGAATATCACAAAACGATTTTTCAGGGCTGTCCTTTTCTTCTTGTGCATGCCAGACATGTCTCATTTCCTGTATATTCGCTCATATTAGCACATGAAAAAGTCGCTCTCTTTAACCAAAAATTTTCCAATTGTCAGGTATTGTTGATACACCAGTGTAATAGTTAGTAGTAGTTTAATTGTTTAGGCAATGTCAAATACCATCTCTATCTATCCGTCAATAGTTGATAAAATTTTTACCTTCACTTTAGATATCTTATCTGATACTTCGGGAAAAAAAAACTGTTTTATTTTCATACTATATGAATCTACCAAAGATCATCATAAAATATTAATTACACTATCAAAGATTTTTAACTTATTGTTCAGCCTGGCCAAAATAATGTTTTACGCTTGTGGGAAGCGTTAATCAATGAAGTCTCAAGACCACAGAAAATAGAATGACTAACAGTTTTCGGTAGTTGACTTCACAAATTCTTTACTTCTCTATTTATTATCTACTTCTTAATATTTTACTTCTCATCTACCTCTTTGTGATAATGATCTACCTCATTTGTTTAAGATGAAAAAAAAAAAAAAAAAAGAAATACTTCCAACAGGTAAAAAAAAAAAAAGAAGCAGATTTTTCGTTCCAATGAAAAATGTAAAACTTCATGAGGTCCAAAAGAAAATCATTTAAAGAACCCATAGTGATAACAACTATAAATTTTTTTGTGATATATTGTTGCTCTAACATTTTCTATTTACGCGACTCGTTTTTGCCCATGGGTTACGTTACGCGTACGCGCCTCTAAAAAAAAAAAAAAAAGCTATCATCACTATGGGTGTTCCAAGCTACATCATTTTTTAATTAAAAAAGATTCTTTGTTTTAAACGTCAAATATTCTAAAAAAAAAAAAAAAAAAAGAACATTCTAATAAATTAGGTGAATCAGTTAGTTATATACTGTTTCGTGAGAAAAAAACATCTAAAATTCTAGACACATATTTAGCCCAAAGTCGTTGTAAATACTACCGCGATAAACTGTTGGAGGCCAAACTGTGGTATCAGCAAATGACGAAGATATCCCTTCGAGCTCAATTTTGTTATAGCCATACTTTATGAATGGGTGACTGATGATTTCTTTCCCGTTACTAGTTCTAAACTCCACTCCTTCATCATAATGGTTTGCTATCGATGCATCCTTATAAAGCCACGACCTGTATTGAGTTCTGGCAACTTTCCACACTTCAGTCGCATCCCTAAGTTTGATTTCTCCATTAGGAATTCTGTTGGAAATGAATGGGCTTAATTCCACACATGTCAAAGATTCACTGACTTGAAGGAGATCAGATTCTTGAATGGCGTCGACAGTAATATTGGAGTTCCCAGATAAGTTAAGATACTTGATTTTCTGGATTGAACCACTAAGGAATTTCAAGAGCTCACTAATAGAAGCCAGGGATTTGTAAATATGTAAAGATTCCAACGCAATAAAGTGGGTTTTGATAAATTTCAACACCTTATAAGTTACACCCCTTCCATTCAAATTCAAATATTTCAAAGTGGTATTGTGTTTACCTTTCATACGATCTCTATCGGTTTCAATGTCAAAGTTGTGGAAATCCAACACCCGCTGTTGATTCGCCAAGCTTGTGAGGTCTTCGATGGAATTATTTGCCGAAGATCTAATAGACACCGGGGTTGACACGGCATCAGGGATCAAAGAATTGAGAATCGACAATATTTCACGTTCACTCATGTTATTGGTGAGTGAGCTCGATTCCAAGTTCAACCATTGTAACGTTTGTTGTAAGGTATTTTGCTTGATGAAATATTCAAAGATTTCGTGTTTGTCTAAGTTAGAACAGCCTAAAGATAAATGAGTCAAATTGGTAAACACTGGACATTGATAGAGAGTATTGCTGGGGATATTGATGTTTGAAAGGTCCAATCTTTCAATATTGGTCAAATAGGAAAACAAGCGGTACAAAAATTCTTCTGGAATAGAACGAGAATCGTAGAATGATAAGCGCCTCAATTTGGATACGTGAATATCAATGTCATCATTGAACACAGGTAATGATTTGCGGAATACGTTGGCATCGCTAATTCCTGAAATATCGAACAGGGTGATTTTGTTATTGCCAAAGAGAATATGGAAAAGGATGTCTTCATTCAAGCAGTAATCAATGGCGGGGGAGAAATAAACTTGGGACAAATTGTTGCAAGCTTGCAAAAATTTTAACATTGTCCGTGATGAAAGCGCTCCATCGGTATATAGGTGATCGATTGCAAATTGTTGAAGATCCAATATTTTGACATGTTGGGCAATGGAGCTGTGATCATTGGATAGGAGTAAACTGACAAATGAGTTGAAATTGTTTGGGGTTGAGAATACCAACTTGTAGTAAATGTACTGTTTGCTTAAAACGTTGAATTTCTTGTTGATCAAAGGGACGGTTTGGATGAACCACGACAAATGGGATGCGTAAGGGATTTGTAGCAGATCATTGTTAGTAGATGCTGTGAAAGGGGCTGGAGGGTGATAAAGTATTGATAAGATTAAAAGGCATAGTTCGTTTGGCAGAATGACTAATCAGAGTGGCAAGATAGGAGTTGTGATTGATCGATGGTGGCAGAGTTTGACAGGTAGGGGGATTTTGAGTCATCGGCTGCAAGAGAAATTTAATTTACAAACACTCGACTAAATTGATTTGATAAATATATCCGAAGATCACTGGAGTGGAATGATTAGTAACATTGGGGGAAGGTTAATATACTAAAGGAAAAAAAAAAATGAAAATTATTTGCAATATATTAACCTATTCTATAAGGAAAAAGAAAAGAAAAGGTGATGATGTAAAAAAAGAAACAGCAATGAAAAGAAAAGAAAAGATGGAGCCAAAACAGAGGGGAAACAACCCCCGCTGGAACCAGCAAGCACCCTTTGTATATCGGTAACGATCCACCTGAGCATAATAATATCCAACACCAATAACGGATAAACCGCTATTATTCAATAATACCACTGCATTGCAGATACACCAATTGCTGCCGATATGGGGTTTCTGTAGATCTCGTGCCAATCATCGCTTTCTTAAAACCTTCATTAGATATGGATGGATCAATCCAGATATTTTTACAGACGTTGGCCGATCGGAAACACAGAACAGGGTAATAAGCGATATACAAGTCGATTGCGCGTATCACAACATACTGTTTATTGTAATGATAACAACAAGCATCATTTTGTCGGGTTGTGCTGACCGACAATGATATAACATCCAGTTGCCAGTTGCTGAGAATCATTACATGGTTCTGGATTAGATGAAGTATTCATTACAAAGTTGGGTTACTTATTAGTTAGTCTGCTTCCTGGACAAGAGCTAAGGTTCGGATCGTCTGTCTTCATTAACAACAGTTTCTACCTTTCAAGACAATCAGAGGTCCTTTTATACCTATATTCGAGGGAATAGCAACGTAGTAATATACCCGTATACATTGCCAGCCGTGTGTAGCCACTGAGCAGGGTTTAGAACATTGATAATAGATAACAACCAAACCCAAGTATCAATCGCCAAAAAAAGCTGTGATCCTGGTCTGGAGAGCCACCGGCATGATATGCTCTGACATCATTTATATGTGAGATGTAGGATATCCTTCGGGTGGAATAAATAATAGGGATTAAATCCTGTGCCAATCCAGATCAACACTCAAACCGTTAAATTGGTTGCCGCAACATGTTATGCTTGGCCAGTCCAACAATACTAACGGTGTTATTGCGTGGTTATCACAATAAAAAAAATGCAAATTTGTTGTAAAAAGACAAATAACTTGCAGTGGTTCTCCCAATCCATCAAAAGTACCTTGGCCGCACCCACCCCCCCTCTCAGATGGAGAGTTGTTCGCCGATTGCTTAACAGCGTCAAGGATATACTAGTTTCTAATAATGCTGATATATCTTTTGTGTATATTTATTACATTAGCATGTCTGTGGTGAGGGAGATAATAAGGCTGATCAACAGATATTCCTAGGAAAAACATCTTGATATTATGCCCATTAACAATAACAACATAGGAAGTTTCCGGTACCGCAGTTGCGATGCATTGAGGAAAACAATCCTGATAAGAGTAGCCCCTACTTTTTTTCTGTCTATTTTTTATCTTTACTTTTTTTTTTCAGGAAAATTCTGCTGTTCTCTTTTTGTTAGTCCGCATCTCTGTTAGGAAGCCACCAGCACCCTGTGCATGGCATTCTATTGTTGCAATCGCCAATTGGGGGAATTCCCAAGACACCCGTACTTGGCCCTCCCTCCGATATGCGCACCTGACGATAAGCACTTTGGGGGCCTATCCGTTTAGGAGGTTTATCATGACTCATAGCCACCGCAGAATATATTATTCTTATCGCCAGTTCATGTTTTGTGATGCTATACGATTCTGTTTTGCAGAAGTCTCATATCTTCATCTCAGGAATGTGAAGGTAGTAAATATAAACTGTTATTGTATATAATAAATAGATATATCTAAATATCCTACAAGTGAATTCCACAATATAGTAATATTATATCAACAATAATAATACTCTCCAGATTGTCAGAAAGTGGCTGGTAATGAATTTTTTTTCGCTGTTCTTTTTTTTTTGGACCAATGTCAAAAACAGGAAACGATTTTTCGTGCCATGAAGCTACTTTTCTAGATTGCCGCATGGAATATCCAAGCTATTATTTTTTTTGGATCGCAAGAATAAAAAAAAGTAGCACCACTACTCAAACAATCCGCCTTAGTACGTAAATATGAAAAATAGTAGCCAGCATAAGGACGATAATAATAATAATAATAATAATAATACTGTTAGGATCTTCTCTCGATTTATTGTCGGTGCTTATCCAATCTGTTTCAGGGGAAAAATGTAGCCCAGTAATATCTCCTTTTCCCCCCCCCCCCCTTCCCTCTATCACCAAGATAAGTCCTGTGCATTGATTGTCTATTGCATCGATACCAGTGACCATTAGGGGCTAAAGCCAGAAATAAGAGTGCTATTGTAATGATCAAAGACAAGGCTCAACAAATCTTTTCCCCTAAAAGCCTATGGTGCATTGATAAAGATTTTACTTTTGAGGTGCATTGGATCCAACCTGCTGGTGCTGTACATGGACAATCCAGGACAACCACAAATTAAACATATATATTTAGATAGGATTCTCCCTAATATTTCACAGGTAATTACTTTTATCTTTCTAATTCTTAAACAATTCGCCCACAACTTTCACTTCATCAGAAAAAAAAATGCCTACCGTGGCAAACATCGATGCTATCCCTAGCGGGGAGCTTGAAGCTGTTAGATCAAAGGCTATCAGTGAATACAATGAAAAGAAAGGCACTTTTGAAAAGTCCGAAAGCGTTGATAATGACAGTATTGACACTGGCTTGTCTAAACCAGAATTCAAATCCAACAAAGATATCGTCGTCAAGATTATCGACAGTTCCGATGACCCTGAATTGAAGGTCTGGAATGTCAGATCGTTCATTCTCGGTGTCGGTTTGGCTATTTTCGGTGGTGTCTTGCAATGTATTTTCTATTTCAAACCACAAACCATTGTCGTCAATGGTATTTTCTTGATGTTGTTGGCCTATGTCGGGGGTGAAGCCATGTCCATGCTCATTCCAAGAAAAGGTTGGCTCAAATACTTGAATCCTTATCCATTCAACAAGAAAGAACACACTTTGATCACCATCATGGCCTCTTCTGCTGCTAACTGTGCTTTGGCTATCGAAGTCTTGGCCGTCCAAAAGCTTTGGTACACCAACCAAACTGTCAACAAGGCTGTTTCCATTTTCTTCTGTTTGTGTTCTCAATTACTCGGTTACGGTTTGTGTGGTTTGATGAGAAACTCTTTGGTTTACCCAACCGATATGTTTTACCCAAACATTGTCGCCCAAGTTTCCACCATCCACACTTTGCATAACGACAAACAAAAATCTCGTATGCAATTGAAATGGTTCTACCTTTGTTTCGCCGCCATGTTCTTCTATGAAATCGTTCCAGAATGGATGTTCCCATTATTGATTGGATTCTCCCCAGTTTGTATTTCCAAAGCTGGTAAGAACCCTACTGTTTCCAGAATCTTCGGTGGTACCAACGGTAACGAAGGGCTTGGTTTCTTCTCCTTCTGTTTTGATTGGAATTATATTGCTTCCACCGCCAACCCTATGGCCCAACCATTGGTTGCTGTCATGAACAACATTTTCGGTTACATTTTGTGTATCGTTGTGTTCCTTGGTGTCTACTATGGTAACGTCTGGAAAGCTAAGAACTTCCCATTCTTGTCCCAAGATTTGTTCTACGAAGACTCTGCCCCAGGTAACTACTTGGTCTACAACCAAAGTTTGATTTTGGACAGCAAAAACAAGCTTGACCCTCAAGCTTTGCAAGAACAAGGGGTTCCATACATGACTGCCACCTATGTTGTTTACTTGATTGCTACTAACTTGTCTGTCGCTGCCACTTTCACTTACATGTACTTGTTCCACTGGGATAAATTGCAACCAACTTTCAACTGGGTTTTCAGCATCAAGGAAATGGCTATCAACTGGAAGAGCTACATCAAGTTCTGGGAAAAGTCTGAATACGATCAAAGATTGACCATCGATGGTAAGGTCCCAGAAATCTGTGATGATCCTCACTTCAAGGCCTACATGGCTTACGAAGATGTTCCACACTGGTGGTACGGTATCACTTTGTTGTTGTCCTTCGTTGTTGCCATCATTTGTCTTTACAAGGGTGACACTGGTCTTCCATGGTGGATGTTGATCATCGCCATGCTCTTGGCTTTCTTCTTGACTTTGATGCTTGGTGGTTTGGTCGGTATTTTCGGTTTCGGTGGTACTCAAATGCAAACCATTTGTCAATTGATCGGTGCCTACATCAAGCCAGGTTACCCATTGGCCAACATGTACTTCACTTTGTTCGGTTACAACTCTGTTTCCCAAGCTTTCTTGATGTTGCAAGATTTGAAGCAAGCCGAATACATGAAGTTGGCTCCAAAGTCTGCTTTCTTTGCCCAACTTATCGGTACTGCCGTCGGTGCTATCTTCAATTTCATTATGATGGAATCTATCGTCAACTCCAAGGCGGAAATTTTGTTGAGTATTCAAGGTACTGCTATCTGGTCCGGTCAAAACGTCCAACAATACAACACCCAAGGTATTGCTTGGGGTGCTTTGGCCAAGGAAATGTTCTCTTCTGGTAAGACTTACCAAATGGTTCCATACTCCTTGATCATTGGTTTGTTTATCCCAATCCCATTCTACATTCTCCACCGTTTGAGACCAACCTGGCACATCGACAACATCAACATTCCAATCATGATCTGGTACATTGGTTGGTTATGTGTCGGTGTCAACGCTTCTATTTGGAGTTACTTTATCGTTGCTCTTGTGTCGCAATTCTACTGGAGAAAGTACAAGCCAAAGTTCTTCCAAGAATACAACTATATTATCGCTGCTGGTTTGACCGGTGGTGTCCAAGTGGCGGTGTTCATCTTATCTTTCGCAGTTGCCGGTGCCAGTGGTTCCAGTTACAACTTCCCTCAATGGTGGGGTAATTACTCGGCTGATAAGAACGGTAACACTGCCAACTACGATTGGTGTGCCTTCACCAACGATGGTTAGTGGGTTTCAGTAGTTCTTATTCTCTTTCTTTGTCTTTTTTTTTTTTTTTGTTTCTCCTGTCCCTAATTTTTCTACTGCACCTCTCCAGATTTTTCACTTTCTCTATATCCCATAATTTTTTTTATTCTTCGATTGAAGTTTTTGATTTCAAGAAATTTTTCCCGTTGTTTTGCTATAGCCTATCTAGAAGATACACAGAATAATAATAATATTAAAACAATATCTTTTTTAATAGGGCTGAACTGTAGGAGATTGTAGATAACGATGTGGAGTAACCTTGATCGGCGTAGTTGAGTTGCAGAGATGATAGAATTGTGTCAAGTCAGTCCATATGGCTCAACACATGGTGTTTGGTGAGAGTAAAGTTAGACTTGATGATACTTGAAGTTTGAAAACTTCTGGAAACCGCATAATAAAATAAAATAAAATAAAATAAAATCCACCCAAAGTTAAAAAATGGCGATATAATACGTTGCTGCAAAACAAACGCAGGCGAACGAATCGGGAAAACAGCCACGGTGGGAAAAAGTATGTGTGTATCCTTCGAGTTGATTGTTTGTTGTCTTGATTGTCTTCCTATTCGAAGTGTGAAGAATCCAACTCCGTAATATTCTGGATGCAACACTGGTAGATACCAGGTGTGTTAAAAATAAAACAGGATCCTATTATTAGGGCAGATCTCACACGTTTTTAGAGGATCTACACAAATAAATAGCATGAACGATTCTAAAAATATCTCCTGCAAACTAGTCTGATAAGACAGACAGACGTACTAATGCTAATTGGTAAAAACGTAATTAAACATGGGAGAAACAATACTGCCAGGAACAGGTCTATTTATAATTTTTCTGGTTATTAACCATAGGAAACAGCAGCAGATGACAATAGAACCAACAGTTGAGAACTACCTAAGGGGTACGTTGCCCAGCAGGCGTATTACACAACCATTTACAGAAGAATAGGAGAACAGTTTTTTTTTTTTTTTTCTGTAACATTTTTTTCAATTAAGTATTGTTCACTAATTTGCCCGATATAACTGATAATGGTGACAGTTAGCAGATATCACGATTAGTTGTATATCGTTGCTAAGTGTGTGAGAGTCAGTTCCTTTGGAGTAGTCTATTTTTTGTAGCTTACGTTACGGTTAAACAAATGTATATATATATATATTTAGACATTCAGTCCCTCTTATAGTAAACATATCATATCCATCTTACCTCCCCTTCGATGATCATTTTACATGTATCCATGCGTTTTTTTCCATAAAGCGAAAGGCACTAAACTCCCCAAAAAGCAAAAAAAATATAAAAATAAAAAAAAAAAAAAAAAAAAAAAAAAAAAAAGGAAAAAAAAAAAAAAAAAAAAAAAAACGAGTGCTACCTTATACTATTAGTACTATCCATTATCCGCAATCCATAAATTATATCTTTACCTCACTTATCTCCTTCATCATCACACCAATTCCAAGTGCTTCTTTTTCTTGATATTTATTAGTCACACCTCCTTCCACTGCTCCTGAACTATTTTTCATTTGTTTATTTGTTTATTTATTTATTTTTCTTCTTCTGGAATACCGTGGTGCTGGCGAATACAATCATCGTTTACCAGCTAAACCCCCGTGCAAAATATCTGATATATTATAAATATATGTGTATGTGTTTATCAAAATACATATACATATATAACCAATCTGCCCCATTAATATCTCGTTTTCCAAATGTCTTCAGAAGAAAATATAATAAAGCGAAAAATTGTTATCGTTGGCGATGGAGTAGCCGGTAAGACGTCGTTACTCTACGTTTTCACCCTAGGCCAATTCCCTACTGAGTACGTACCCACAGTGTTTGAAAACCTCGTCACTGACTGCCGAGTCGATGGAAAAGCAGTGCAATTAGGTCTTTGGGATACTGCCGGTCAAGAGGAATACGATCGAATGAGACCATTATCTTACTCCAAGGCAAATGTGATTCTTATTGGCTTTGCCCTCGACAACCCTGAATCTCTACGCAACATTAGATATAAGTGGTACGATGAAGTCACCAGATACTGCCCAGGAATCCCGATCATTCTTGTGGGCCTCAAAAAAGATTTGAGATTGGATGGCACTAGCAAATATATCCAGTACAAACAAGGTCTACAAATGGCACAGGCGATCGGTGCAAGAAAATACGTTGAATGTTCCTCATTGACTGGCGAAGGCGTTGATAATGTGTTTGAGGTGGCCACCAGAACAAGTTTGGCTCTACCTCAGGATAATTCCTCGGGGTGTTGTACCATACAGTAACCAAGTTTCCCAAACCATCCTTATTTCTTTTTTCATCATTCTGCTTTATCATCTTCTTCAATTGATTCATATTTCATTCTCGCTTTTTATGTTTATATATCTTATGACCGTGTGTTTTTATGTTTTCTTATTTTTTCTTCATTTCATATTTTTTTTTTTTTCACTCTTCATTAAAATACCCTGCAGTTTAGTTAACTGCCCCCACTCTCTTCATTTCCTTCGTTTCCTTCTGTTCTACTTTCTTTCTTTCTTTCTTTTGATCTTGTCTTTCATGAATAGAAAAAAAAAACAGGAATTCTAAATAATGTTGTTTTTCCTTGTTTACTTTTTTTTTTCTTATTTTGCATTCCTTTATTATCTTCTCAGCATATATACCCCTTTTTTTTTTTTTTTCTTTTTGTTTTCAAACAAATACCTGTCTCTCATTGATTCTCACTTTCCGTCATTTATCCACTAGATTTGTTTCATCTAATTATTATCTTTCCTCTATCTTATGTTTTTCTCTCTCTTGTAATTCTTTGTATCTTTTGTGATTCATCCAACTGAATTAATTCTGAGGTAGAATTTAGTAATTTCTTGTTTGACATTATTTATGGAAGTTTTAGACTAATGAATATATATTATCATTGAAAGTAACTGTTAGGAGTCATATGAGAATCTACATCTACAGATTTATAATGATTATAATTATTATATCAAATGGAAATGGCCCATATTTCATCTCCCTTTTTTTTTTTTGAGGAATTGATATGGAAATGCGATTTCTAGGAATATATATGCCCTGTTCTTTTTTTTAAGATAACTTTCTTGTTCTGATTTTCAAAGACAATTTCTCTTGGAATTAAAAAAATATCGATAACATTAACAAGTTTTTCTAAATACTATATGTTCATCACCGGAAGCTTTTCTTACAAATGAATCCAAAAACAGATCTCTATTCTCAACAAGAACAAAGGCAACAACTACAAATGCAAACTTTAGATCTCCAAAACGAATCTCTAAATATCACGTCGATTTCAAATAATTTGTTCTCTATCCAACAGATTATTTTATCATTTGAAACCAATTCTTTCTCCTCAGAGGAATTATCTAGCGATAAGATCCTCTTTATCATGCCATCTTATAAATTAGAGCAAGCGTTAATTGATATTAATCTGGATCGAGCATGCACTGCTCAAGCTTCGCTTGATAAGTTGGTTGATCCTTTTGGAATATCTGTCAGTTTTATGAGAATCGGATTATTTAGCCACAAATTCTTGGGATCAATGAACTCCTATAATTATGATTTTATGATTTTGGTACGAAATCTGAACCGTTAGTGGTTCTTTTTTTCTTTTTTTTTTTTCTTTTAAAGCTGGAACCCCCGGCGCTTAAAAAAAGAAAGCTTTCACTAACTAAGGAAACTTATCTTCTTTTCTAGTTTTTGCATCATTTTGCAATTGAGAACTCTATTGATTTAATTATATCCACCGAGCTTGCCGATTATTTGTCTGCGAATCCCGATTATTTATCCACGATGTGTCAAAGCGAAGATGTCAATGTATCTTACAAGCTAAATGAATGTGGGATCTCGACTGCTGTTCCAGGAAGACAACTAAAAATTACTACCACTTATACAACTGATTTATTGCATCAAATATTGAGAATTAGGAATTTGGATGCTGGACACTTCTTATTTTCTTCAAAAAAAAAGAAACTCCCTTACAACACATTGCCAGATCTTGAATACTACACTCCTTTGGAAACAATGGTGGATAAATTACCCCAAGAAGGTATTATTAACACCGAAACCTCAAAGAACTTGCCTGATTATGCTAGAAAAACTGAGTCCAAACAATGCTTTAAGATACTTGAGCTCCCAAAGAAACAAATTACTTATCTAATTGGAAAAAAAGGAGCTCGGATAACTGAGTTACGACACAAGTCACAATGCGATATTAAGATCATTGCAACAGACGAGGATAAGGAAAACCAAAATCCCATTGTAACGAATGGTAAAGGCGAGATCATACAATATATTAGACTTGTTGCCAAAGATGAGCAGACCTTGGAAAAATGTCTTGAGATGATTGCCAGTGAATTGTTGATATATAGATGCAGACATGGTTTATGAATGGCTTAGAAATATGGCTCCTTGATCAAGTCTTTTCCAATCTTTTAAGACATAAACTAATTCCGAAGAAGTGCAACTTGCTGAATGAGGAAGCAGTTTCTCGTTAATAATTTTTTTTTTTTTGGAAAAGCTAAAATCAGCTATCAAATCACTTACAAACCAGAGAAGAAGTACTTGAAAACAATACAATCCCCGTCACTGTGTTGTGTTATTTGTTGATCATACAGTGCTCTGTCATGTTGAACCGCTTTCCCCACCACCTTGCAGCACCCTGTGTTTTCCCCCCTAATTTGTGGCTCTTTCTTTTTCTGGGGGTCACCCTCCTATTAAAGCATACTTGGTGTCCGGATGTCGCACAAAATTCAAACACAATCACGTGCGGGATGCCTGGAAAATTTTTTTTTTTTTTTTTTTTTAAATTTTTCAATCTGAAGGATTGGTTCTTCTTGTTCATCATCTTGAAAATATCATCATCAAGTAAAATAATCAAAAATGTCTTACCCAGGTGCTATTGGTATTGGTATGTCTACTTTCATTGATTAGGAATAGATTACTGGGTACAAAATGTGTAATATATGGGTACAAATAGAAGAAAAAAAAATGAAAAAAATTAAAATTGAATCATGAAATACGAGGGGAGCTTATATTTTTTTGAAAAAGCACTCACCCACCAACCCGAATCTTTTCCAACGCTCTATGTAAAACTCTTTGAAATTGTTACTAACAATCTATAGATCTCGGTACTACATACTCATGTGTGGCTACTTACGAATCAACTGCTGAAATTATTGCTAACGGTATGTTCAACTTTTTTTTTTTTCTTTGAAGAAATTTTTTCTCCATTGATTTATATATAGGTGCGTCTACGCACACATCAGGAATTATGAGAGTTTACTAACAAATCTAAAGAATTCGGTTCCCGTGTTACCCCATCTTTCGTTGCTTTCACTCCAGAAGAACGTCTTATTGGTGATGCTGCTAAGAACCAAGCCGCTTTGAACCCAAAGAATACCGTCTTCGATGCCAAGCGTTTGATTGGTAGAAGATTCGACGAAGAATCTGTCCAAAAGGACATCAAGACCTGGCCATTCAAGGTTGTCGACGACAATGGTGCTCCACTCATTGAAGTTGAATACTTGGGTGAAACCAAGACCTTTGCTCCACAAGAAATCTCCTCTATGGTTTTGACCAAGATGAAGGAAATTGCTGAAGCCAAGATTGGTTTGCCAGTTGAAAAGGCTGTTGTCACTGTCCCAGCTTACTTCAACGACGCTCAAAGACAAGCCACCAAGGATGCTGGTGCCATTGCTGGTTTGAACGTTTTGCGTATCATTAACGAACCAACCGCCGCTGCCATTGCTTATGGTTTGGGTGCTGGTAAGTCCGAAAAGGAAAAGCACGTTTTGATTTTCGATTTGGGTGGTGGTACTTTCGATGTCTCTTTGTTGCACCTCGCTGGTGGTGTTTTCACCGTCAAGGCTACCGCTGGTGACACTCACTTGGGTGGTCAAGATTTCGACACCAACTTGTTGGAACACTTCAAGAAGGAATTCCAAAAGAAGACCAAATTGGACATCTCTTCTGACGCCAGAGCTTTGAGAAGATTGAGAACTGCTTGTGAAAGAGCTAAGAGAACTTTGTCTTCTGTTACCCAAACTACCGTCGAAGTTGACTCCTTGTTCGAAGGTGAAGACTTCTCCGCTAACATCACCAGAGCCAGATTCGAAGACATCAACAGCACTCTCTTCAAGTCCACTTTGGACCCAGTTGAACAAGTCTTGAAGGACGCTAAGATCGCCAAGGCTAACGTTGACGAAGTTGTCTTGGTTGGTGGTTCTACCCGTATTCCAAAGGTCCAAAAGTTGTTGTCTGACTTCTTTGAAGGTAAGCAATTGGAAAAATCTATCAACCCAGATGAAGCCGTCGCTTACGGTGCCGCCGTTCAAGGTGCTATCTTGACTGGTCAATCCACCTCTGAAGAAACCAAGGACTTGTTGTTGTTGGATGTTTGTCCATTGTCCCTCGGTGTCGCCATGGAAGGTAACGTTTTCGCCCCAGTCGTCCCAAGAAACACCACTGTCCCAACCATCAAGAGAAGAACCTTCACCACTGTTGCTGACTCTCAAACCACCGTTCAATTCCCAGTTTACCAAGGTGAACGTCCAAACTGTGCCGAAAACACCTTGTTGGGTGAATTTGACTTGAAGGGGATCCCACCTTTGCCAGCTGGTGAACCAGTCTTGGAAGCCATCTTCGAAGTTGACGCTAACGGTATCTTGAAGGTTACCGCCGTTGAAAAATCTACCGGTAGATCTGCTAACATCACCATCTCCAACGCTGTTGGTAGATTGTCTTCTGAAGACATCGAAAAGATGATTGATGATGCTGAAAAGTTCAAGTCCTCCGATGACGCTTTCACCAAGAGACACGAAGCTAAGCAAAGATTGGAATCTTACATTGCTTCTGTTGAAAACACCGTTACTGACCCAGTCTTGTCCCAAAAATTGAAGCGTGGTGCTAAGAACAGAGTTGAATCCGCTTTGTCTGATGCTTTGGCTGCCTTGGAATTGGAAGATTCTACTGCCGACACTTTCAGAAAGGCTGAATTGACCCTTAAACGTACCGTTACCAAGGCCATGTCTTCCCGTTAAGTCATTATTTAGTTAGTTTTGTCATTTCATTATAGTAAAAATTACATGCTAGTTATTTTATATAAATTTGGAACAATCATTGTAATTTTTTTTTTTTTTTTCTTCAAAAAGCGATAAAGTACATCGATCATATATTATTACCATCAGAAGCAACAAGCTTCCATAAATTAAGGTCCGGTAAAATGAATAAATTAACAAGATAAAAGGGACAAAAAAAAACAAGAAAAAGACTGAAACAAAAATAACAACTCTCTAAATTTTCTCCAATAATATACACTAAAAAAACAACTATTTTTCAACTCCACTTTTTTCAGAAACATTTGAAGAAACCGCTGTTAATGGAATAGAAGAAACCGCTGATAAAGGTATGGAAAACACATCATTATTATTAAGATCCGATAACACCGAAACTTCTTCTACCCCTTCGATTTCCCTGACAGTGTTGATCACGCTGTTTTCTCCACAATTGACCCCGTAGACATTTAGGAACTTGAGTTTATTGTTATTCCATTTATTGATCATCGTGGCTCTCTTTTTTTCATAAAACCTTGAGAATTCAAAATCATTGAACGGTAAAAACGCCACGATATCCACCATGAGTTGATGGTTATTCAACACGCTCTTGAAGATCGTTGGCGCCAATGACGCTAAGAAATCCTTTCTTTTAGCACAACAGATCACCACGGTATATTCCTGGCTCTTAAACACAAGACTGGCGTCGTTATAAATCTCGGGATGCGAATTTTCGACGGTTTGTTCGATATCGGAGGCAAAATGTTGAAGTCCCATGACTTCAAAAGTCTCCGAGATGTTACCCAACACGTATAGTAATTGCACATCCAATGGGGTTCCATCAATAGACGGTTGGTTAACCGTATGAATAAAACCCAAGTCCCCGGTCCTCAAGTATTCGAAATCAAACTCTTCCAATTTCCCCCGGAATTGGGATGCCAAAAACCCATTGTTGTCAGATTTACCTTTGCCATTAGTGTAACCTACGGCATTACCTTCGGAAAATACCCAGATCTCCCCGAATTCCCCAGCTTTACAAACCTGTTTAGTTTCGGGGTTAACAATAGCAATTTGGGTGCAGCATAATACCACCCCGGAATCTTGAAGATGGAGAGCATTAGGAGCGCTCAGCGGATCAACCGCCTTGACACACCCGCGTCTAAGAGAATTGGTGTCCAACCACAAGTCCACCGGTTCGAGATTAAGATACGATCTTGCGGTGATGATTGGACTGAATCTATGGGTATAAATGGTGTTGATTGATGATCGTTGCAATTTCGTTGCTTCCATATAATTCTTGACCCTGCCAATGAGGCCAATGTCCGGCCTTCCACCATGACCCACCATCATATTCTGCAATTTATCAAGTTGGAAAGTTTTGGACGCTTTAGACTTAGACATGGCGTGGTTCAACATTGCCGGTGTAACAAACGTGTCTTTGATTTTGTAATTTGCCAAAGCATTGAAAAACGTCATTGGCGAGAAATAGTAAGTAGAAGGGGAAAACAAGTAAGTGGAACAACCGAGATATACCCCGAGTAAAGCAGATTGAACAAGTCCAATACCGGTGACATGACGAACGCTACTAAGAATAGAATTGAAACTGCTCATCTTGAAAGTTTCCTTCAAAATCTTACAAAGGTCCATGAGCACTTTGTGGGTGAACTTCACCCCGGTTCTGATGCCATCAGGGGTCCAATCCAAACACACCATCACCGTGGTATCGGCGCTTCGGAAATCGAATTTCGCTTGGTTGCTGGTAATTCTCGATCTTAGATCCGACATGTTTTTCACATGCTTGACTTTCGTGGTGCTCTTCACCACTATCGGTTTCTTAGAGCCAAACAATAGCTTTAACGCATGGGTGACCGCCTTATTCTTGAACACCATAGACTCGATTTCATTGTTGGTGAACACCATCCGCACACCAAAGTCCTTGATGATTTTGTGATAAGCACCGGTATCTTCATCCACCCGTTTCATGTCAATCGGCATCATTGGAATAGGAACCAAACCCAACATAAAACAGGCGTATAAAGCATAAATATATTCATCACTCAAATTGTACATCAATATGACATAATCGCCAGGCTTCAAGAATGTTTTATCCAAAATATATTGGCAGAGGCACGCCACCTTCTCATCGAATCTTTTCCAGGAAACATCCTTTTTTTGGTCGTTAATAACCGCAAACGCTAAGGAATCCGGTTGGTTCATCACTCGCCATTTCAAAACGTCAACAATGGTTTTGAAATCAGATAATCTGGCATGCGACCTTTCATCAATGGATTCCACACGATTGTCAACCCCGGTGTATTGTCTATCAACATTTTCAGGAATCGAATTTCTTCTCAATGCCGAAGCAAATGGTGACCAGATGCCCCCAAGAACATCAACACCACATGGAATGTTACTTAAAGATGATTTGATGTTGAACTTGAAGTAAGAAACTTTCAAATTTCCTTGAAGAAACTTTGTCTTACAAAGCATGTTGGCAATCTCGGTTCTCCCACTTTTGATGGCTCTTGGCAACCCTTTGATGGTGGTGAATCCACAACAAAACAAACGAACCTTGTGTACTTTTTCCAAAACGCTAAACACTTCGGAAGCCAAGGCGTCCAATCCATTATAGTCAACGGTGTTAGAAGGAATCCGTTTTGCAGCTAATGAAGTCTCAATGATTACTATTGGAACGTATTCCCCATTGATGAAAATATCAAAAGCAGTACACTCGACTTGAGAAACTCTTTTGAAAATCGTGCTAGAAATATGATCGGAATAGTAGTACCGGTAACCGTTATCAAAAACTTCTAATGGTGAAGAAGCGTTTGGTTCACCATCATCATTATCATCATCCCCATCTTCATTTTCTTCTTGGATCCCTTGCAATTGCTTCTTTTCTTTCTTATCGATCCAGGTAACCCTTTGGCGGAATCTATCCTCATAAAGCCCTAAAACGTAAACTTTGCCATAATAAATGAACCCCAAGAGACCAGTTCTTAAGAATTCTGGTTGAAGGTAGCCATCTTGACCTTGACATCTGGCATGGAAAATATTGTTTGTGTCATTGTCAGCATCCCAATAGCCACCAGAGAGACACGGGCTGTCGACCCAAATTTCACCGACTTCCATTTCTGCGGAAAGCACACAAGTTTCTGGATTCACCACCGCGACCGTGGCGTCTAAAAGCGGGAAGCCAAACGCCCCTACTCTAATGTACTTATTATATAATTTGGAATCAAAATTGGCCGATTGTGATGGTGGTCGGTCAGACATAACCTTCACGGTATTGGTGCTGAGAGATTCTTTATCGATTAAAACTTCCGATAAGTCGCTGCTGGAATATGGCTCATTATCATCATCAACAGCATTATCAGTGAAATTTGCAGATAAATTTTCTTCTTTTCCAAGCCAGTCTCTGATTGACACCACCATCCCACCGTACTCACTCAATGATAATGCTGGAGCAATGGCTTCTCTTGCATGTTCACATCCTAATGGCTTCAACCATCTATCAGCAACGATTTCCAAAACTTCATTATTCACGGTTAAGCAATTGACAAGACACCATTTCACACACGAAAGGTCAACATTTCTTTTTTTGTCAAATTTTCTGGTGGAAGCAGGATCGGCTTGATAATTGAACGCCACTGATTTCAATCCTAATAGATCTGATAACAAGATGGTGGTTCTGTACTTGGTGATCAAGTTAGCATACAAACCAGGAACATCCATCTGTGCTGTTGGGGTCCAGACCAACATGGTACCGGTATAAATGGTGAATAATAGACCCATGACTAAACCACTGGAGCAACGGATATCCGAACTACAAAGAATCGAATCCCTCCTAACTCTGTAAACATTTTCTGGCCGGAAGATCGAGGTTCCAAAATTGGGCAGTGACGAGATAATTCTTGTCAAATTGTTCATTTGGTGCATAATTGTCTTATGTGATAATACCACCCCTTTCAATTCAATTGGATATTTGGAAAACTCAATGTATGCCAAGTCAGGTAAGTTGAGAGCCGGTGGATCGTGCTTTTTTGATAGTTGGTAAGTACCCATATCCTCAGTTTTCCAGAAAACCACTCCTTTTGGCCAGTCGATTTTTGTGGCACTATCATTATTCATTTTCTCAAAATTTTTGTACACCGAATCGGAGGTCAAACATAAATGAGATTGGGTTTTTTCCATCACCTGGATAATATCTTTAATAGTTAATTCATTGGAAATTGGAATTGCCACCACCCCCGCTAGTAAGCACCCAAAAAACGCAATGGCAAATTCCACAACCTCGAAATCTTGATAGATTAAGGTGACTCTGTCGCCTTTATATAATCCCGATTTCTTGGTAATTTGCTGGGCGATTTTCTCAGCCTTCAAATATAATTTATCCCAACTGATAGAACGGGTTTCTTTTCCTTTCAAAGAAACTGTAATGATTGCAATATCTTTGGCATAAGCTCTAGAACGCTGTCTTAAAAGCAAGGGCAAACTATCGAATTTCTCAACGGTGTTGATGCTAGATAAGTCTCTAGGGGTTAATGGCAGTTGTAATTTTCTCTGAATTTGCGGAGGAGAAACCATTTCTGATGGTTCGAGGACTTGTAATGATGGTAAGCCTTGTTCGGAATATACTGGTTGAGAGGGATTGCCACCTGGATATGGAGCAGTGTCACCATAATCAATGTGTGCATCATTTCCATAACTTGGCTTGCCATAGGTTATAGGGGATTCATAATTGTACTTATTCTGGCTGTTCAAGTTATTAAAACCATTAGCAGACTCACCGAAACTGACAGCGTTGGTGTGATGATATCTGTTGCTACTGGACGAGGAAAAGCTTGTTCCACCGCCACTAACCACACTGGCGTTGACATTGGTGCTTAAGGTAGTGTTACTTCTTGTTGGCATCAAAGTGTTTCTTGGAGAGGACGCTGGCAGCAACGTGCTGAGTCTATTGGTGGTGGGCGTGGACAATAACCTGTCAGGCTGCTGCTGGTTGATGATCTCACCATACTTTTTGGCATATCCTTTGTCAGTGATCAAGCCTTCTTGATAGTCAGCCTTAAGCTGTTCCAACTTTCTGAGCAAATGAGGGGGCAAGTTATCAATTGCACCACCCGAAGAACTCATTATAATATTCGAGGCGTGCTGTTGTTGCTGCTGCTGCTGCTGCTGCTGCTGCTGCTGCTGCGTATTTTGTTGTTGGTGATTGTTTTATATTAACAACAATTGTTAGAAAAAAAAAGGGTTCCGTTCAAACTGTGTTCTTCTGGGGTGAAAACTTTGTTTTTTGGCTTTTTTAACACCCGATTTTTAGGCGGGCCCAAATAAATTTCTACATACACGCACGCACGCTTCATGGCACCCTTTTATTGTTATATATTAGAAACTTCACTAACTATGCCTACTACCAACAGAGAGAATGACAAATGACTACTCATTGTGTTGATTTTCCTCTTCTTCTTCTTCTTCTTCTTCACTATCACTATCACTATCATCACCATCATCCTCGCCTCCGTCATCACTGCCGTAACTTTCATCAGAATCATCTTCATCTTCCTCTTCACCAATTTGATAGGTCCCATCCTCATCTTCATCATCACTATCATTGGCTGGTTCTTCTTGTAGAATACCAACCACATCCTGTTTAAGAGGATTTTCTAATTCCCTGTTCTTCGATACTAACACTGGTTTAGCCTTCAATTCCTCGGCCATAGAATTATCAACCACCTCCTTAGCCTTGATATAACCATCAATCTTACTGAACTCAGCTTGATCAATCATACTGAACTCGATTCTCTCTTCTGCCACTTCGCCAGTTTCACTATTGTGTTTGCTGACCAATAATGTAATATTAAATGTGATTCTGGTGATCGACGAGTAAGTGATCGACTTGATGTCTTTGGAATCAAACAATAAAATCGGTTTCTTGAACCCAAATATAATGTTCGTAGGTAAGAAATATAGCGTGCCCTCTTTTGTACCTTTATGAGCATCGACGAAAAAAGAATCATGATTAATAAATGGATCATCGATTTTGAACCCGCAAATGCTGGCTTGCCTTATTATTCTGTTCTTGTAATTCTTATCACTAGCACTAAGAACCTTGCTGGTCATCAAGTCTTTGACTAAAGCCTCGTGGTTAAAGTTGAGAATCAAGGGATCATTGTTATATTTGCTACCCAAGTTTTCTTCGTAAAACAATACCAAACATTGTAACTTTGGCTTTTCAGGCACTGGTAAAAACGCAGAAAATCTGATATTGGTAGTGGTTAGATTGGTCAACACTAGTTCTGGGGTTTCATACCCTTCATCTTTGATTATTGCCAACACTGGTTTTTGGGTTGATTTGTTTAGGGAAAACACGAGGTTCAATTTCTTTCTGATGGGCGATTGGAAAGAAAGTTTTGGTAATAAGAGGATTGTCGATTGCTTGTCGATCGTCACAGGATCTGATTCGCCACCCGCTAGTTTTCTTCTTTTATTGGTACCGTCATTGGCAATTGCCGCTTGGGCTTGGACGGCGTGGAAATATAGAGAGTTGAACGCATCAATTGATTCTGGGTTGCTTCCTTTTACACCACCAATGTTAGTAAAATTACCATTACTTGTGACGACATGATCTGTGGATAACTAACACACATACTGATAACGCTGACAATCTTTTCTTTAAGATCAGGCGGTAATGTTTCTAGGAATGACATGGTTTATTAATGATAATAAATGATATCTTCGAGGGATAAATGGGAAATTCTCAGAATAATTAGATAGAGATAGATAGATGATAGAGAGAAAAAAAAAAAAAAAAAAAAAAAAAAGAGCACGAAAAAAAAAACAATAAAAAAATCCACGCCAAATATATATAAACAAGAATGCCATAATAATAAGGTATTATATTATAATCCACTACAAACCAGGGAAGAATCGTTAAGAATAGAAATACATTAAAAACATAATGAGTATATCAGGAGATGACAGGAATGAATGAATGGATGAATGAATGTTAGGTTTGGGTGAGTTTACTGTACAAAGTAAAGAAAGAATATAATTTTTTGTTTTTGAATCTGTTCTTTCATGGTGAATGCAAAAATATCGGGTGTATTTTATTATCTTATGCTTATGGTAATATTATAATGGGGCCCACAAATAATGTAATAATTATCCACAAGATCAGAGAGCTCTTCATTTTCATTTTTTCCCCTTTATATATGTATATCAGGGTTGTTTCATGAATATCATTTATTCAAGGGATTCATTCAATCTCTTAGCTCTGGCATCTAACAAAGTGGCAACTCTTTTTTCCAACAACTTTTCTTGACTTTCCTTGACACTGTAGAAGGCGTAACCAGCACCGACCCAGAAAAGAGCAGAGTAGACGTAGCCCATTGGCTTGTAAGACCATGGTCTTTGTTTAAGACCGATTTGGTATGCTCTGACGGCGGTACCTGGGTTGTGTTAGTAGAATGTCGTTGGCACTGAGAGAAAAGGCAGCAACTAAGAGAATTACGTACCGAACAAGGCCCACCCGGAAAGGGATGCTATAGCTGGCATATTCTGTGTGTTAATTTGATATGTTACAAACGATATCTTGACATCGACTGGCACTCACTGTTTGAAGGGCGGTTTTCTGTAGTTGGTTTTTTTGTAATTGCGGGAAACTGATTGGCCGCCCGGTTACTCAGTGATTAGGTAAGCAAATGATCACGTGTATTACACTCCCCCGCCAGCACCAGCACCAGCACCGGCGGCGGTTAGCTGCCAGTCTCTTGTTGTTGTTGTTGTTGTTGCTGTTGTTGTTGTTGTTGTTTTTGCCATTCTTATCTCATTATACCAACTACTGCCACCAGAACATGGAAGGATCATCACTCAGAAGGCCTTCAAGAACCACCACTACTAACTGGCCTGCCCTATTCGAAAGACTCACACCATCCTTTTCACTTTCCTTTCTTTTCCTTTCCTTTCTTTCTACAGGTCCCAACTGATAATGATCATATACCCATTTTCAAAGCACTGCCGTCCATCCATCCGTATATATGATCATTACCATCTCGCAGTAACTGTGGTACAATTACTGCTGCAAGATGCACATGGCTTACCCTCTTGCAAGATCCACAAAATCTCCCGGGTAACGCGTGTTTTTTTTCCCTCGCATCGCATCCATGGAAAGGAGATTTTCTTTTCACTACGGGTGAGAAATACTTTTGACACCAACAACAGGAGAGCACTCGATATATTAAAAAGCACAATGTTGAAACCCTCATCTAGCATAGGCCCTTTATTGTTACGGTGCATTAGAAGACCTGGCACTCAACTCCCTGCCAGCGTCAAGCTCCAAAATTTCCATACTGAAGTGTTGAAGCAGCAGTTGAAAAATGATGCAGTGATCAATGAAACTTCTGGGGTCATCATGAGCGAACCATCAAATCCAGCAAATATCCCAGAACCTTCGGAAAATATTAATCAAGACAATCAGTTGGACGCCAAGCCTGCCTTGGAATCAACAAACAAGGACGACGATGTACCTTGGTATATGCGTGAAGATGAAGATACCAGCTTTGTCCCAAAGATTGAAAAATTCGAGATGCCGGAACTACCAGAGAACTCCCCACAGTCATTGGAAAATATCGTATCGCATATGGGAGGCACCCTCAGTTTGAGTGATCTTGTAATTATGGATATGACAAAAGTTGATCCAAGCGAGGCCACCGCCGCCCCAGACTTTTCAAGATATATGATCATTGGTTGTGGTAAATCTAGCAAGCATATCATGAAGGCCAGCATTATTTTACGTAAATATTTAAAGAATGAAATGGGGGTGCTATCTAATATTGAAGGTTTGAACTACGAGTCGGCAAAGAAAGCAAACAAAAGAATGAAGAGGAGTGTCAGAAAGCGGAACATGTCGAATGTCAATGATCTTTATGGTGGTGCTGGATCTGTACCAAATTCGTGGGTGATGATCGATACCGATGTTGACGGTATTTATATTCACATCTTAACCCAAGAAAGAAGAGAAGAGTTAAATTTAGAATATTTATGGGCGCCAAAGAACGAAAAGCACAAATATGAAAAGCACCAAAGATTAAGCACCTTGGAAAATGACGATATTTTTGCCGGTATCAGATATTACCATACATTGACGAGAAACTTCCTGCATGGTCAAATCCAAACTCAATTGCAGCAGTATATCAAACAGCACAAAGTTAATTTCAACTCCGCAGCAATTGTCAACCAAGATATTAGTACCACCCCTGCTGATGTAAATATTAATTCCACCATAGATATCCTCAAGACTTTGTCCGACGAAGAATTCTCAACAGTTTTTGAGCGTTCTCAACCAGTCACTAAACCATTTTCATCAGCAGAATTACAATATTATAAAAACCCAAAGGGTCAAAGTATTTCTACGGATATCGTGCAAAAAATTAACTCTTCTCTTGCAGTTTCTCAACTGGAGCTTGACGCATTCTATGAATTCTTTGATTATTTGTTCCAAAAAGACCCTTCAATTGTTGATCCAATAAGTTTGAGAAAGATTATTTCTGCCAAGGTTGAGCCTCTTACGATAAAGGACATCATAAAGCTATCCAACAGTTTTGTAAGATCTTTAAGTCATGCTCACATTGATGGTTTAGTCGTGAAGAAATATGTTACAAGAATTAATGAATTACTAAGGAAATATTCGGAACAAGGCGGGTCATTGGACTTTACCAATGAAGATATTCAGGTATTGTTTCTTGATATTTCCAAAATAGTTTTCCATTCCTCTGCCAATTTTTCACCAGAAAGTTTAGAAACAACAGAAATTCCAAAAACAACTTCGGCAGCTGATAAAGAAGCTGATCCAGCTCATAATGAAGTACCAACTGTTGAAACAACTTCAGTGGAGACCGATGCTGCTAATTTCACAACTTACAAATCTGAGGGGTTGATCGCCATCCTTTCGGATCATACACAACTAACATACGCCAAAATCAACGACAGAGAATCTTTTGAATTATTCCTTGGATTCAAGGAGGAAATTCTTGTTAGAGCAATGCATTTTTACATAATTAACGGATTCATTAGCGATTTCTGGTCGTTGTGGAAAAACCAAAAACTTTGGATAGCCCCAAATCTTTTTCCAGGAGATGAAAATGATTTGAACTTCCAGCACTTTGACTCAAGACCTTGGAAATCTTTCTTACTTTTAGGCTTGACATCTGGCAAATCGCAATTCATGGAACAGTTGTTGAAATATTTTAGCCTTAACTACCACCATAGTAATTTGGAAAGAGACGATGAAGTGCTCGGAACTTTCAAAACAATTATGAAATTAATGGATCCCAAGAGAGAGAAGTATCCCGCAATAAGAGAATTGATGAGAAAAATCCAATAGATCTGATCCTTTGAACCAAAAAGCCATTTGTTAATGTAAATATTAATTGAATTATTATCTTGCTGATAAAGTATTTTTGTATCAATACAATTTGTAAGCTATGCAGCCATTGCATCGCGCGTGAAAAACGTAGAACGAAAAAAAATTATACAAAAGAATTTTTTGAGTATATTGCCGAAATTCATTACAAAGCAACATCCATTATTTTCCTTCTAATCTTGATCAATATCTTGACTTGGGGATCCTGAGGATAAACAATAATAATAATCCCAATTAATCAAATATACAATGGGTCTGGCTTCCAAGTCAGGTAGGGACCATAAGCACTCGGAGCCTGATGAGGCGTTCAATGAGTTATTGAAGCCAGTATACAAGGGCAAAGAATTAACTGATAAAATTGACACTGTTGAAGATAAATGGAATTTATTACCGGCTTTTCTTAAAGTCAAAGGGTTGGTTAAACAACATTTGGATTCGTTCAACTACTTTGTCGACAGAGATTTGAAAAAGATCATCCAGGCCAATCAATTGATTTTATCTGATATCGTTCCGGATTTTTACCTTAAATACACTGATATTAGAGTAGGTCACAAAAGTAATGCCAGTCCAGATGCCCCAATTGAAGTGTTATTACCACCTCATGAATGTCGTTTGAGAGATATCACTTATTCTGCCCCAATTTACGTCGATGTCGAGTACACTAGAGGTAAAAAAATCATTATGCATAGAGATTTGGAAATTGGGAGAATGCCAATTATGTTAAGATCCAATAAATGTATTTTGAACGGCAAAAGTGAAGAAGTGATGGCCAGTCTTAATGAGTGTCCTTTGGATCCTGGTGGATACTTTATTGTTAATGGTACAGAAAAGGTGATTTTGGTCCAAGAACAATTGTCGAAGAATCGTATTATTGTGGAAAGTGACGAGAAAAAAAACATTGTCCAAGCTTCCGTGACTTCTTCTACCCACGAGAGAAAATCTAAGACTTATGTCGTTACTAAAAACGGTAAAATTTATTTGAAGCATAACTCTATTAGTGAAGAAGTTCCTATCGTGATTGCTTTGAAGGCCGCAGGGATCATTTCTGATTTAGAAATTTTACAATTGATTTGTGGCTCTAATCAGAAATATCAAGATATCTTTGCCATCAATTTCGAAGAACCACTTGTCAAACATAATATCCATACCCAAAAAGAAGCGTTATTGTTTATTGGTGAACGTGTGAAAACTATTAGAAGGTTTGGTGCTCCAAAATTATCTAAATTAGAAGAAGGGATTGAAGCGGTTGCCAACACCGTGGTGGCGCATATCACTTGTGAAGATGGTAATGATTTGAAAGAGAAAGGGTTATACTTGGCAATTATGGCCAGAAGAGTGGTCATGGCTATCGAAAATCCAAAAATGGTTGATGATATCGATTATGTTGGTAACAAGAGATTGGAATTAGCGGGTCAGTTGATGTCTTTATTGTTTGAAGATTTGTTCAAGAAATTCAACTCGGAATTCAAGATGAATATTGATAAAACTTTGAAAAAACCAAATAGAGCCAACGAATTCGACGCATTATTGACGATAAATGTTTATTCCAGTCATATCAGTCATGGTTTAGAAAGAGCTATCAGTACCGGGAACTGGTCGTTGAAGAGATTTAAGATGGAAAGAGCTGGTGTCACCCATGTTTTGAGTAGATTGAGTTATATTTCTGCCCTTGGTATGATGACGAGAATTTCGTCGCAATTCGAAAAATCCAGAAAAGTTTCCGGTCCAAGAGCTTTGCAGCCTTCGCAATTTGGGATGTTGTGTACTGCCGATACCCCTGAAGGTGAAGCTTGTGGTTTGGTTAAGAACTTGGCGTTAATGACACATATTACCACCGATGATGAAGAAGCCCCAATTAGACAGATTTGTTACAACTTGGGGGTTGAGGATATCAGATTTGTTGATTTCAGTTCGATTCATGTCGCCAAGAGTTATACGGTTCATTTAAACGGTACCATCATCGGTTTAACCAAATTCCCGGGCAATTTCATGAAACTTTTCAGATTCCTTAGAAGATCGGGGAAAATCTCCCCATTCATTTCGGTATTTGCCAACTCATACCAATCGGCAATTCATATTGCCACCGACGGTGGTAGAATTTGTAGACCATTGATCATTGTGGAAAACGGGATACTGAGAGTCAAAGAAGAGCACTTGCGGAAATTGAAGCTTGGCGAATGGGGATTTGACGATTTCTTGAAAAACGGGCTTGTGGAATATATGGATGTCAATGAAGAAAATGATTCTTATATTGCATTATACGAACCTAACATTGAAAAAACCACCACTCATTTGGAAATCGAACCGTTCACGGTTTTAGGGGCGGTTGCTGGTTTGATTCCGTACCCACATCACAACCAATCTCCAAGAAACACTTATCAATGTGCTATGGGTAAGCAAGCTATTGGTGCTATTGCCTATAACCAGTTTAAGAGAATAGACACTTTATTGTATTTGATGTGTTATCCACAACAACCGATGGTTAAAACCAAGACTATCGAATTGATCGACTACGACAAATTGCCGGCTGGTCAAAACGCTACAGTGGCGGTCATGTCCTACTCCGGTTATGATATTGAAGATGCCTTGGTGTTGAACAAGTCTTCATTGGACAGAGGGTTTGGACGTTGTCAGGTTTTGAAGAAGCATACTGAAGTGTTGAAGAAGTATCCAAACCACACCAAAGATATTGTTAGTGGTATGAAGGTCGATGCAGAAACTGGTGAACCGATTTGGCAGCACGAGTCCTTGGGGCCGGATGGTCTTGGGGAAGTAGGATTGAAAGTCGATAGTGGTCAAGTGTATATCAATAAATGTATCCCAGTCAATGCTGGTGATAGCATGCTTGGTAACAATCCAAATATGCCAAATTACGGTATGGGTAACCATAGGGAAACTCCGGTTTATTACAGAGCTCCAGAACCAAGTTACATTGACCAGGTAATGATGTCTACCAGTAGTAATGATCAATCCTTGATCAAGGTTTTGTTGCGACAAACCAGAAGACCAGAATTGGGGGACAAGTTCAGTTCTAGACACGGTCAGAAGGGGGTTTGTGGTATTATTGTGAATCAAGAGGATTTGCCATTCAACGACAACGGTATCTCACCGGACATCATCATGAATCCTCATGGTTTCCCATCTCGTATGACTGTCGGTAAGATGATTGAGCTTATTAGTGGTAAAGCTGGGGTGTTGAATGGGTCATTAGAATATGGTACCTGTTTTGGTGGTTCTAAGCTCGAAGATATGTCGAAGATTTTGGTCGACAAAGGTTTTAACTACTCTGGTAAAGATATGTTGTACAGTGGTATTACTGGGGAATGTCTACAGGCGTATATTTTCTTTGGTCCGATCTATTATCAAAAGTTGAAGCACATGGTGTTGGACAAGATGCATGCCAGAGCTAGAGGTCCAAGAGCGGTGTTGACTCGTCAACCGACCGAAGGTAGATCGAGAGATGGTGGGTTAAGATTGGGGGAAATGGAAAGAGATTGTGTTATTGCTTATGGGGCGTCGCAGTTGTTGTTGGAAAGATTAATGTTGAGTTCTGATGCGTTTGACGTCGACGTGTGTAACCAATGTGGGTTGATGGGTTTCCACGGCTGGTGTAACAATTGTAAAACTAGTGAAAAAGTCATTGGAATGAAGATTCCTTATGCTGCTAAATTGTTGTTCCAAGAATTGATTTCTATGAACATTGCGCCAAAATTGCGCTTGGGTGATGTGTTTTGAAACGTGTTAATAATAATAATAATAATAATAAAAATTGAAAAAAAAAAACCCCTCCTCATTTGAGTAATTATCTAGAAGATTTTTGCAATATATATTTTATCTTACGAATTATTAATTGAAATTGGCGTACTTCTAAATAAATAACTCATGCATGTGTCTTGGAGGCGCTTTTTTCGGATTGTCAAACTTTTTTTAACCAAATGGTCCCCCGACACATTTGACAGTCTGTGCCATTCTTTTACCTCCTTATAATTTCATTGAGATATTCGACTTACAAAAAGTATTAGGGTGTTTAAATTTCAAGTTTATATAAGCGATTTGCTTTGAGCCCGGCCCCGTTTATACAAACAACATAGAAGAAATAAGTAGAAAAAAAAAAAAAAAAAAAAATGAAATGAAATGAAATGCGATCTTTTGATCTGATGACGTACGATTACCAGAATACTCACACAAATATGACCATGAGTCTTCACCAAAAGGAGAAAATAAAGAAACTCTTGAAAGTTTTGGTGTCAGGATTGATAGTTTTCAATTGCAACCCAGTGCTCAAGCGGTTTCTCACCGCTAACATTTCCAAATACAATGCTCTACTAGCAAAACAGAAAAACTCGATAACTTTCGTATCTCTCTTGACAGTAATATTCAACTCGCTATACTTCGTGTATCCTGATGATTATGGGGAGTATTTGGATAGCGTGTTAGTGTTTTTGTTGTTTAGCATCACCAAGATTCAGTTATTTGAGTTGATGAAGGCCAGTAAGAACCTAAACCACCCCAGATTAAAGGTAATGTGTCAAACCATAACGATGTCTATTGCATTAATGTTCAAATATTCTTCTTTAACAACAACATGCACCAAATTGAAAGGGTTTAGTATCCAGTATCTATCGAAAATCCAGAAGTTGAAAATTTCCCAAAATATTCGGTCTACTTGGCTAATACCGATGGCCGGCTTATTATTATCATTCAACCAGAATCTCTTCAGACTATTATTATCGTCATTAAGCTCGATGACGATTTTTCAAACCATTGATACACATATTAAAGTGAGGAACTCGTGGAGCACGAATCTTTGCAAGATCATGGTTGCCATGGCATCATTCTCAGCCATTTACAGTGGTAACGTTTATCCACAATGGGCCATCAATTGGTCTTTGAAAGAAATCGTATCGCAAATTTTCTACACTATCGTACCGATCCTGTTTAAACAGAAGAATCAAAGACGGTACAAGAAGTTACAAAGCTTTTTGATTTCCGTAATCATCGCCAACATGGTGTTTTATATCGACGGTACTGATATGAAGAATATAGATTTCAATAAGTTCCCGTTATCGAAAATGATCACTAGAGTGGTTTCCACCATCAATACAGGACTAATACCGTTGTCAAAATTTGAGTCATCGCTAACTCCAACAACCAACCCTAAAACTCTAATGATAGAAGACCCAGTGCCTGAGAGAAAGAAGTCCCATAGAAGGAAGCATTCTACCAAGACAAATGATAGAGATATCAAAGTATATGACAATGATTACTCTCTAAGGGTTCAATCATCGGCAAAACTAGTATGAAGTGTTGTAATGTTAATTAACGATATATTTATATAGAGCACATATTTTCAAAAACCCCCCACGATCTTTAAGGGGAGGAGAAGAAAGGTAGAGAAGTTAAGCATGATAAAAATAAGAATCATTATGATTTGAGGAATATTGTAGTTGTTTATTTGTGGTAATCATACTGTAAGAATATTGAAATAAAAAAAGGGGGGGAAATAGTTAAAAATAATCAAGGCTAATCCTGAATTGATAGCAGATCGATCGTCCCGCGTCCAGGATGGAATTGGGGAGGGCAGATCATTTTGAATGATTTACACATACAGCCCGTTTTTCTGGGCCCCCTCCCTCCCCCTATTATTTTCCTCCCTTACGCCAACACTCTGTTTCTCTTTCTTTCCGATCTCTGTTTACCAAACACTTTTCTCCGATTCAGAGACAATATTCCAAAGACTGACTTCTCTTTACAGTGGTGCTCTGTATTTGATGACACCATGTCCGATACCTTATCGCAACCCCTCCCAACGATAGAGAACGAAAATGAAATTATCGCCCTTATCAAACCTAACCCCCGCCAAATTCTAAGAATTTGTTTGAACTTGAAGAAATTAATTGACACCACCATCACCTCCAAAAAATCAATTTCTGATATCAGCAAGCTTGCTAAATCGAAAAAAACTATCCAATTGGCCCTTGAGGCGTGCGGTGGTAAAGGCGATGGCGAACCAAACACCTCATCAAGAAAGTACCGATCTAGCATCGTGTTTTGTTTGTTGGTGGTCACCAACTGGTACAGCAAAATCATGACGATCGACTACAATGAGTACGATACCAGCAGCTCCAGAAAAGATTTCAGTGAATATTTGTCACGGCATTTAATTGAACATTTCATGGCCACCAGGGACGAGACCTATTTGTTTATCAATGTGTTATGCACCAAATTCAGCGTCAATTTGAACGACGTTGACCAACCGGCAAAAAATGCCTTGGAAGTGGCAATTGATCTTCATTCGATCCCGGTGATCACCTCCAATGGATTCCAAAAATGTATCAAGTATTTATGGAGAGGGTGGATCGTCCAGAGCGCGGAAGACGGTAACACTTATCAAGTCGATGTCAATTACAGTAGCTCCGAATTTTTAAGCCACTTCAACCCCAACAGATTGAAGGCTCCGAAATACCAGAATTATTTGGAAATTTTCTTCTCCATCATTTATTTAATTTTGTTCACTTTCATCATTAACTGTGAAGATAAACGAGAGTATTTGTTGTTTGAAATTGGGTTTTATATGATGACGTTCTGCTTCTTGGGTGATGAATTGATCAATGTTTATCACGTTGGCTTGGATTATTTGAAATTCTGGAATTACTTCAATAACACCATGTATATTTTCATCACTGTGGCGTTTATTACCAGAACTCTTCTCCCTACAACCATCTTCGCTGATGGTGATGACAATGAAATCACCGCGTTCAAAATCCTCAGTTGTGTGGCTCCATTTATGTGGACTCGACTCTTGTTTTACTTGGATTGTTTTGAATATATCGGGGTAATCATCGTGGTGATTGCCAAAATGATGAAGGAATCTTTCTTGTTTTTCGTGTTGTTGTCAATCATCGTCATTGGGTTTCTCCAAGGTTTCATTGGGCTCGATACTAGTGATGGGGAAATCGATATGTTCCCAAAGATTCTTCATTCAATGATCAAATCGATTATTGCCGGAGCCCAATTCCCAGTATTTGACTCATTGACCCCACCATACTCGGTTTACATTTATTACGTGTTTCGTTTCTTGATCAATGTCATGCTCATGAAGATCCTTAGTGCGTTGTACAATAATTCTTATAAAGAGACAGTCGGTCATTCGTCAAATGAATATTTGGCATTATTCAGCAGTAAGGTTCTCAGATACATTAGAGCTCCCGATGAGTTTGTTTATATTCCTCCTTTGAACATTGTTGAATGGGTGATGATTTTATTATCTGCGCCATTTGGAGTATCTCGTCAAGCATTTGATATAATAAATTTCTACATTTTACAAGCGATATATTCTCCAGCGTTGTTTCTCATTGCGGTTAGCGAGCTTAAGGAAGCCAGAAGAATCAAGTACAATAGAATGAAGAATCTCAGTGATGATTGCAATGAAACAGATTTGGAATGGGATTTGACCGATGGGTTTAGAGAATTGCAAAATTCCGATGAAACCGATATGAACGATGCTGAATACAACGATACTGTTATTAGACAAGGAGCCAAGTTACAAAGATTGGCAGAAAGAGAAGATCCCGAATTTTTGGTGAATTTGAACGAGTTCAACAAGAAGCTTATCGAAAACGAGGACCCAGTACCAGTCGCTGCCAAACCGGCGGTCCCAAGCGATGGAGCAGATAAAGTTGTTGGGGCCGATATTGCCAATTTGGGGGTGCAAATTACTACCTTGTTATCTTGTGTTGAAAAGATCAGCACTGATAATAAGAAGTTATTCAAGGAGAATGAAGAAATTAAGAAGAAATTGAAGAAATTAGAGGATGCCTAGAGGAAAAAAAGAAAAGACTATATTTTGTTTTAAATTTTGTTTTTGTTTTAAATTTTGTTTTTGTTTAAAATTTTGTTTTGTTTTTTGTTTTTGTGTTGTGTTGTGTTGTGTTGGAAAAGTCTGGGGACCATCTACTCTACAGTGATTGGTTGGTGGTTTATAAGAATATATTTTGAGAGCTTTTTGATTGATTATCATTTATAGCATAAATTTGTAGACAGGATTAAAGACCCAAATGTATGGAACATACTGCGGTTCCCCACCAAACATTTTACATTCGTACCAAGTGAGCAAGGATTAGATCCAGGGAAGATAGATGTATAAATGAGAGTTATATTTTTTCAATTACCTATTTTATCATTGAATGTCTGGCCACCATGGATGCCCCTTCCATACCCACCCTGAACCCCCCCATGGTGATCGCATGATTGATTGTTCGGGAAAAAAAAAAAATTAAAAAAAAAAAAAAAAAACAACTACAAAAAGTGTGAAGGAACGAATGTGGGTCCCGCAACATCATTGCAGAATCAACAATATACCTAATAAACCATGAGTAGTCTACTAAGATGCAATAGATTGGGATCAAAGGGGAGATTTTTCCCCAGTAAACAGTTCTCCACCCTTACAAAAATATCACAACAAGTGGCCCAGGAAAAGGAATCAAAATTAACCGAAGTATCGCAGCGTGAGGCCAAGGCCAAAGCTGAAAAGGAAGCATTGCTTAAGGGGAAGAAATTCGTCAATTTCAACGGTTCTCAACAGGATTTTCTTAATAAAGTGATAAGAGTGGATCAAGCTGGAGAATTGGGGGCCAATTACATTTACCAAGGTCAAATGTTTGCATTGGTTGCCAAATATCCCCATTTAAGACCAGTGTTGAAGCACATGTGGGAACAGGAGGTGTATCATCATAATACTTTTAATGCTTTACAGGTACGTCACAGGGTTAGACCTTCTTTGTTGACGCCGATTTGGAAAGTGGGAGCCATGGGGATTGGGTTTGTGACCGGGGCGATTTCCAAAGAAGCTGCTATGGCATGTACCGTGGCGGTCGAGACGGTTATCGGAGGTCATTATAATGAACAATTGAGAACATTAATGAATGATTATGGCAATATTGATCTTAAGGATATGGCCGCAGGTGGGGCGATCATCGAGAACCAAGGGGGTTTAGTAAGTGACGAGCTTGAACGGTTGAAAGCAACAATCAAGGAGTTCAGAGACCAAGAATTGGAACATTTGGATACTGCTATTGAACATGATGCCGAAAGCGCAGTGCCATACAAGGTGATCACCGAAGTCATCAAGGCAATCTGCCGAGTGTCTATCTGGACTGCGGAGAAACTTTAGGGGACTGGTATTGGGTATGGCATGCGCGTATATTGTTTGTGGTATTTTATCGTCCTTATCCAAATGCCTAGCTGGTGACACAGAGATGGTTCTAGTGTGTGTAAATACTCTGAGGAGGTGGAGAAACCTTTGCGATAATTGGGGGGCATGAAGAGTTATGATGACAATAGTATATATATTTATAAAGCAGTAGCGAAAAAAGGAATTGATTATATTGTCATCTATCGCAATGACCAGATCTGTATCCCAACAGTTCCCCGCCAGTAACAATAACAATAATAATAATAATAATAATAATAATAATAATAATAACAACGATGTTGGAGGTTATGTACCGATCCTTCTTATTCTGTAGAATTAAAGCCGGGTAACGGCCACAGTGTCTCATAACCATAAATCGAAGTGCCTGCAAAGTGTTCGATTCTTCACCGTTTTACCGGTTTAGTCAAGCGGTGAAAACTACTTCTGGCGCCGGTCCTGGACGTTCTATGTGTACCCGCTTACAAACAGACAACTATTCCGTAGTGTCAGTGTCTTTCGCGGGTGGGAAATTCGGTGGATCGTTTGTCACGTAGTCAACGTCAGTTGGCTAACGAGTCTGCTTGCAGACTGCTCTTGAGAGCTCCATAAAGCGGAAGCTTTGGACAGGATCACTAGAAACTACTACCGCTCCGGCGGCAATGGGAGAGGTCTTGTGTGGCAATTGGCTCAAGCGAATGAGCTGTTCAGTACAATACATGGACATTACGAACTCGATACCGGTCATCGTTCAGGACTGGCACCCTAATTCTTTCTTTTTGGTGGTGATTGTGTACGAGAAATGGAAAATGGTCCGAGTTTCGAATCTCTGGAAAGTAGTTTTTTTTTTTTTTTTTTTTTCAATATATATGGGTAAAACTTACAATCATTTTGTGAGTTCTTCTCAATTACAAAGTCTATATCACTCATTAAGGAAATTATCTTTAATAAAAAATACAACAGAGGGATTCTTTTCAAAAAAAAAAAAAAATACTCTAATAAGAACAAGAAAGGTGTAAATAAAAGTATAACAATAGTGAACACACAAAAGAAAGAAAACTAGAAAATAAGGTAAACTGAGAAAGTTGAACAATAACGGAACACAGCAGAGCAGTAAAGAGATATTATGTTTATAAAAAACAACTAAAAACAAAGTAAGGGGGACGAAAAAACGATAAAATGGAGAAGAGCTTGAAAACGGAAATAAGGGGATCGAAATGAAAAAAAAAAACAAAAACAAAAACAAAAAACAGATAATTAGAAATGAAGGGCAACGGAGACTATTTTCAGCTCATGAAATGACGATCAGTGTCTTAGTATTTTCCTTTTTAAATCCAGGTGAAGAGGCATAATAGACTCAATCAAATAGTATGTGAATAAGTAGTGATGAAGTTGAAGTTGAAATCTGTAATTAGGATGGGGGAAAAAATAACATCGGTAATATGATGGATTTACTAAATGAGAATCCTGGTTCTGCTGACTGAAAAAAAACTAAAAATAAAAAAATTGGTTCTGGTCAAACAGCCTTGATCTGTCCTCTTAAAAATAAGAAGAGAAAAATATGTGAAGCGATCATGCCATTTCATACGCTAAAGCATTATTGCCTTTTTTTCCAGCCAAAAAGAGAGCCATAAATACTGGCGATCCCACTGCTAATCCCCAATCCACTTAGTAAACCTTTATTGCCGTTTGCCTGTTTTGGCTTGATTGTTGTGGTAGTAATTTTCCCATTATGACTATTGCTAATCAATGTGGTTGTTGTATTCGTGACTTTCGCCTCGTCAGCCGTATGCTTCTCAACGGTTTCGTTGACTTCTTTGCTAAATTTTAACTTCTCTTCGTTCAATTTTATCTTGCTGAATTGAAATTGGAATTGGAAAGTCTCGATATTATCGTCTGAATCATCCATAATTGTTGTTTCTGCTGGCATGCCTTTCTTAACATTCTGAGTAGTACGAACTTTATCTAACTCCTTGCCAGTTATTTCTCTGTTATTCCGGAAAACCTTCTTGTACGTTATGATTTCCTTGTCTTCGAGTTCGTTTTCGGTTTCTGATGAAACCTCCTCTAGAGTTGGAGGTTTGTGAAGTTCGCTGTTGTTGTTATGAGACACTGAGTTTGTTAAGATAGAGGCATTATCCCTGACACCTCCTTTTCTGGTACTTATTCTGCGAATTAGTTTCCCAGGCAATGATGCTTTGGAGGAGTTATCTAACCCATATATTGAATTACTATGGGTATCGTTAAGTCTGGAAGATAAAGATGAGACAGAACTACTTTTTCTGATTTTCTTGGTTTTGTTTCGAAGTAGAAATATCTTTGATTGCTTGGTCTTGACTAATTTATCATCGATTTTCTTGTGTTCTTCTAAGAATTGGTCAAACTCGTTCAAATTCGCAGAAGTATCCTTATCAAGAGCGTTTGCGGTAGAAGTGTTGAAAGCGGAATCGAGAATATCGACAAAATCTTCATCATCACTAGACTCTTGTGGTTCCTCGATGACGGCTGATCTTCTTTTTTCTATTCTGGATTTAAGTTCGTTCAATTCTCTGGTCACTTGGTCCTTTTTCTGTTGAATCTCATCGATCTTTGGCCTTTTAAGTTTCTTTTTTTCACTCAGTGTGCTGTCCAAATCAAGGGGATGGCTTTTGTCTTGATGGTCTTTGATGACAATATCTCCATCAGCATCTGGAATAGAAGCCATTTCGGATATTGTAACGAATGGATCGAGGGATTTTGTAGATGTTTTTATAGGTCCTGTTTGGATTGATGTGGTGGTTGGAATTTTCCTTATTTTTTCTTTTTTCCTTTTTTTTTTTTTTTTTTTTTTTTTTTTTGAGTCTTCAGGGATCTTCGAGATTTCTGTCAACATAACATCACCGTAAGAGGATATCACGCGATGAAAAAGAAAAGGAATGATGATACGAATAATAATGATAACTACAATGGTAATTGAGTCATAGAATATATGGTACTGATGATGTCAATTTGAGTCACAATGGGGTTGAAATGCATTGTAATCATCTTGAAGCCACTCAAAATGGATACTTCCTGAGAAAGTTAGGAGGAACTTTTGATTGGTATTCTTGGACACCATCTTACAGTTTTTTTGAGATCACAATTCATGCTATTCATATGTTTTGAACAGGTAATGCCTATGAAATAAAATCGACGAATTATGACACCGAATACAAGGACACGCACGGTTGGGTGTAGCGTAGCGTACATGTACATGTAAATGCAAATAAAAAACAGCCAACTGTTGCAAAGAGAACAACACAAAGCTGACTAGACTAGTCCCTGTTCACATTGGCAATCATCCCCCACTACTCTCCCTCCACAGCAACAAACAACGACGGTGGTTAAAAGGGTCAAAGAGTGTGAGAGTCATGATGTGATGGAAGCAAAAAAATATCACATGACAAAACGAGTCGCGGCTTTTTTTTTTCCAATTTGCGTCTCAAAATTGGTCGAATGGTACAAGGAGGAAGATCCATGCAATTGCCATCGATTAATACCCATAATAATGTCTTACAACGGTATAGGATTACCATCTGCTAAAGGATCTTCCACAAGTGGCTTCATCCAAAGGAATTTGGGCAATTTGAAGTCACACTCCAACTCAAAATACAGTGCACAGTCAAATAAATATGAGCATCGCAAACAGTTGAAACTCACCAACGAGAAGAACGAATTGAAACTCAAACAGCGGCTCAATTTCAAAGGCGATGAGGAAATTATAAATCACGAGAAGAAGCGTCTCCTCGAAGTCAAGTGCTTGGAGTATCGAGACAAGCTCGAGGAGGCCGCAGAGTTGCAAGGTGATGAACCAGTAGATGAAGACGCAATCGATGAACAAGTAAATAAATATAGACAACAGTTGCTAAAACTTCTAGATGAAGATCCCGAATATTTGGTCAAAGGAACCGTGAAGAGATCAAGAGATGGCCGGGTTTCAAAAGAGTCTCTACGGAAAAATAATTTTGATCTACACAATATGACAAGGCAAAAAGAATTGGAGAACCAAAGATTCTCAGAAGCCTTCAGACTAGAAAATAATGAGCTGGAAATCCAAAAGCCCAACCCCGATAGGGAATTACAAACCCAAGTTCTGAAAGATGAAACCATCGAACAGGAAAGGAAACCAGTGTACCAGCGAGTGAGTGTCGAAAGAACATACAACAGCACTACCAGTGGTGAAAGGAAGGCTTCCAAGGAGGACATTGACTATTAGAGTCTGGTTATTTGTAGACTCGGAGGATGTGCAATGACGCAGCTAATGATCGCCACACGACACGAAGCTGTCAAAATGAGTTACCACCCAAACCGGAAAGAGGTTGGCTGGGTGTTGGGCAGATAGGTTGGTGGTCATGATGATGTTTCCTGGGGAGTTTTCTTTACACCCTTTTTTTTTATTTTTTGTATATGTAAATCCAGCCTTGCTAGCAACTGGTTATTATAACATTGTGTAACGCCAACAACAGCTAGCTAGCATCAACAATCTTGCTGGGTTGGGCGGAAATCCACAATGCTGGCTCGGGCAAATGACGGGTAAATAGCACCTTTGTGTGGATAGCAACAACAACAACAACAACAACGACAGCAGAAAAAAAAAATTAAAATTTCATCCTTCCAACATTTCTTAATTTAATTTTTTTTTTTTTTCCCTAATTCCCATCCATTGACCCCACCCACCACCAGTATTTCAAAATGGCTAAGAAACCAGATCCTTTTGCGGCCCTTGATACCCCTCAACCTAAGAAAAGATCGTTTTTGTCTTCCTTGTTTGGCGGTAGCAAATCTAAGTCCGCCACCGACAATAAGCAACCGGAAGCTGCCGCTCCAGAAACTTACAGTTCACCTTTTAGAACCGGTGAAGCAAAGAAAGAAAAGCCTTCTGACAGCTTGAAGGATAATTATAATCCGCCAGACTTGCAAAAGAAATCGAAGACTCCAAAAGATTTCACTTCCGGCACTAAATTGACCCAAGATTTGACCGACAAGCCTTCCAAGAGATTTTCCATTAGAAATTTCTTTACCTCTGCTCCAGCACCTGTTGTCGCCAAGGAATCCAAACCAGTTGAAGAAACGTCTGCTGAAACTGAAGGAAAAAGTGTCAAGTCCAAGGAAGAGGAGTCAATCAATGAAGCTGAAGAACAATTGACCGGTGCCGCTGAAAATGTCCCAGCCTCCTCAGAAATTGAACCTTCCCAGCCATCTGTCAAGGACGCTGCCATCGTCAATAAGGAAGTTGAACCAAAAGTAGTAGAAGAAGAAGAGGAAGAAGAGGAAGAGAAGGAGAAGGAAGAAACTGAACCAGTATTAGAAACTCCAGAGGCAAAAGAAGAATCTTCTGAAGAAAAACCAGCCGAAGAAGAAAAAGTCGCCGAGGAAAAGGCTATCGAAGAAACTGAAAAGTTAGAAGAGCCAGTTGAAGATGAAGCACAAGAGGCCGCTGATGAAGTTGAAGAAGTTTCCCCTGAGAAACCAATTACTGAGTCCTCAGAAGTTGTCGATGAACCAAAGGAAGCTAAAGATGAAATTGTCAAAGACGCCGAATCTAAGGCTCCTGAAACTAATGAAAAGGAAAATGAAACCGAAGAACCTGTGGCTTCCGCTTCTGGCAATAAAGACATTGACGTCGGTGCTGGATTAGTGATGAAGCACAAGGATGTTCTTACCATTGCTAAGGCTAAGATTGCCCCAATATTAGTCAAGTTGGATTCCAATGCCAAAAAGCAACAAATGACCGATGAAGAGTATGAAGAATACAAAAAGCAAGAACGTCAAGCCAAACATGACACCAAGTTGCAAAAGTTGAAGGAAAAAAATGACACCAAGTTCATCAAAAAGGAGACCAAGTATAACTCTAAAATTGAAGAATTGAAGAACAAGATTTCTGATTTGGAAGCCAAGATAACTACTGCCAAGGAAGAACATGTCAAGGGTTTGGAAGATGCCAAGAAGCAACATGAAGAAGCATTACAACAAGAAAAGGAAAAATTCGACACTGACAAGGAAAACTTGATCAAGGAACACGAAAGCTTGAAATCTAAAAAAGAGCAAGAAATCGAAGAGCTTGTTTCCAATCAAAAGAAAACCAAATTGAATATTAAAGTGGCGGAAGCTCAAAAGGCAGAATTTGAAACCAAATCAAAGTTGTTGACTGTCAATATTGGGGAATTGGAAAACCAATGGAGTGACAAGAAGAAAGAATTGGCCCAATTAGAAGAGAAGTTGAAAACTCAACAACTGGAACTTGGTGAGCTTAAAAAATCCCATGCTGAGACCGTCGATGCTATTGCTAAAGAATCTTCAAAACAAGCTGAATTGGACGCGATTATTACTGGAACCACCAGCGAAATTGCCAATGCCAAGGAGTCTATCAGAATTTATGAAGGTCAATTGAGTAAATTGAAGGAAGAATCGGCTGAAAGAAAAGGGTTATACGAAAAATTGACCCAAAACTTGAAGGAACAACAGGAATTTGAAGATCAATTGAATGAAACCAAGGCTGAAAAGGAAAAAGAAGTTGATGCGTTGAAGAATGTCGGCAAGAAAGCTAAAGTTGTTGAAACTCCAGAAACTGAAACCAAAGAAACCGTTGCTTCTAAATCAACTGATATTGCACAACTGTCTAATGCTCAAACAAGCGAGCTCAAACCAACTGAAGTTACTACAACTGAAGTTAAACCAACTGAAGTTAAACCAACTGAAATTAAACCAACTGAAGTTAAACCAACTGAAGTTAAGCCAACTGAAATTAAACCAACTGAAGTTGAACCAACTGAAGTTGAACCTATCATTAAAACAACCGAAGCTCCAAAGACAACAATCGAAACAGTTGAAAAAAATACCACTGAGGTTGCTGAACCAAAATTGTTGCCAGAATCCACAAAAACCGAAGCAACAGAATTACCAGAATCAACACCAAAGACTGAAGCTTCTGCTGCTGCTGATGATGAAAGCCAAAAGGCCTCTGCTGAAGCTGATGCTTCAGTTACTGAAGCCGCCGTCAATGATACCATGGCTAGTGAACCAGAAGCAACGGAAGTCCCAAAATCTCCAACCCAGAATGGTGCCAATAAGGGTAAGAACAAGCCAAAGAAAAAGAAGAAAAAGAATGGCAAGAAGAAATAAATGAATGGGTTCGAATTTTTTGGCTAATCGCTACGTCCCGTTATATGTTTTGTTTGTTTGACTTGGTTAAAAACCTCAATTCTTGTATCATCAGTATGAATTTTTTAATTTTTTAATTTTTCCTAATTTTCTCTATTTTATTTCTGTTTTTATTTATTTTCTTTCTCTCTTTAAAAAAAAAAAAAATACTTTTAGTGTCGTAAAAGAATTAATATCTCATTTTCTGAAAGCCTTTTTGCTTTTTTCTAAGAACGAAATTTCTTAAAACAAAGGTACAAAAAATATATGTTTTCCCATAATTAAAATAAAATAAAAGACCAAGAAACCATAACATAACATACGAGTAGATAAATTCAAATTCAAACCTGGGTAAATAAATGAATAAATTAATTAATTAATTAATTAATATATAAAAAGATTATTTAGTTAAAAAATAAAACAAGCCAATAATTATACAACGTGAATGGACGCAAGAAGACAGAAGTAAATGAAGAAGACTACTCAATAAAATAACGCTATCTCCAAAAATCATCGGAAACTTTGTGATTCGCCATTATACAATGAACAGCCATCTTCTCATGGTAGAATAAATTGGTCAACAATTTAGGAGTGATCAAAAAGTATTGCGAGTAATTGCCTTGCTCATCACTTTGACACGCACTTTCCACCATATATTTATGAACAATACTTTCATTCTTTGGATCCATACCTTGATTAATTTCATCCACAACCCTGAATGGAGAACTTGTCAAACCTTGTAAAGACAACATGAAGAAAATAGTCGACACCGCTCTTTCACCACCAGATTGAATAAATGGATCCAACACCCTCAACTCACCTTCATCTCTGAATTTAACCAACAACTCCAATTTCCAATCTTTCAAACCAGTAGCGGCTTTATTCAATATAACTTCACCAGCACTGGCCACCGCCACAAACTTCTTTGAAAAATTCTTGGAAATATTTTGTACCAAGTTATCAAGTCTTTCTTCCCACGGACCTTTAATTTCGTTAATTTGTTTCTCATGCATGGCAAGATTGGCCTTGAGATCTGGGACAATCTTGGCGATCTCTTCCAATTTTCTCTCAATAGTTTGTAATTTATCAATAGAGGAAGAAGAAGCATCTTCAAGCGACCCGATTTCATCCTTTATTGCTTCAATCCTAGCAACAATATATGGCTCTGTTAAATGGTCCTCGGCTTGGTAAACAGCCGCCAATTCACCAATCTGTAGTCTTAATTCCTCAGAGTATTCTGCTGTTATAGCCTTCAACTTCTTGACTTCATTGGATTTTCTTGCAATATCATATTGCTTCGTAGCTTTTTCAACTTCATCCTTAAATCTGGCCTTGAAACCATCCAATTCAGCACCCATCTTAACCATAGAGACCATTTTATTGTGTAATTCAATTTTTTCAAATTCAAGAGAAGTCAATTCATAAGAAAATTTGTTAATCTCCACCACTGGTATCGCCAATTCTTCAATAGCTTCGATTCTTTTCTGAAGAAGAGAAGTAATCTTCCTTTCAACTTTTACAATGGTGGAACTCATATCTTTTTCAGCTTCCTGAATCAAAGCATCACGAGCAGTCTCTTTTCTTTCAAGTTTGTTTTTGAGATTATGAATGCTACTTCTCAACCCATTGATTTTACCATGTTCTTTATTCCAGTGATCATAATCGGCCCTATATTGATCCAGCTGGGATTTCAATTCAGAAAGTCTTTCATTTTGCGGAGAAGCTTCTTGGTTAATTCGCAACAACTGAGCTTTCAAATTATCAATTTCCTTTTCAGCATTATCATTGATATCTTTACTACCAAATAACGGGGATTTAAATATTCTTATTTGCTCAGCAGAACACACAGCTTGCTTTGATCCATATCTAGATCTAGTGATTCTGTAAATTGTATCACCAGCACAGATAATCCCGAACATTGGTTTTCCATTGCTACCGACTTTTTGTGCATTTTCCAATTGCTGTGGTAATATGTCATTCAACCTAACAGGAACATTATACATACTTTCATAAACAGTTTTTATGACTTCTTCCGGACCCTTAATGAAGTCAATTAAATAACCATCAAAGCCCATCTTTTTAATTTGCTCATCTGTGAAATTTCTACCTGAAGTCTTTCCTGGAACTCTCATTGATACATTAATGTCACCAAAAATACTTTTGCTCACTTGATCATTCGTCTCTTGGGATTTAGCAGTGAATGCCAATTTAGTGTTGTTATCAACCAACGCTTCAAAATATTTTACATATCTATCATCAGTAATATTGGTAGACAAAATTGGCGGTTCAAATAATTTGTGAGCCAATTGGGGATTCTGTCTAGCCCGTAGTACTGCGGACTTTGTGTCTCGAAATTGTTTTGACTTGATTCTATCAAGAACACCAATCTTATCATTTGATTTGATTTGTTTTTGCAAATTATAGATTTTATTGTTGATTCTATCAGCCTTGCTCTTAGCATCTCTAATGATGTCTTTCAACTCATTGATTTCAGGAGTCAATTCACCTTGCTTTTCACGGGCTTCGAGTCTCTTTTGGTGAACAGACCTTAACTCTGCTTCATCAACTTCTGGAATATTTTGCAAATCCGTTTTTATTTGAGAAATTTCTTCAATAACTTTCATTAATTCTTCTCTTTTACGCTCAGATCTGCTTTGCAATTTTGATTTTTCTGATTCATACTTTTCAATTGTCCTATCAATATCAGCTTTGAGCTTTGTTTTTTCTTTGAGATCATTCTTCACGTCCAGAACATGGGATTTGAGATTCTCAATTTTTCGTCCTTTCTTATTGATTTCTTTTTCAAGCTGTGAAGTCCGCTCATCCAAAGGATTGGCAAATTTGAGAAATTTTTTGTGTTTGGCTTGCAAAGCATCCCTTCTTTCTTTCAAATTTGCAGCCTTCTTTTTACGATCCCTGACAATCGCATAAGGAAGCAATTTTTCATGAAGGTCTAATTCATCTTTCTTTTGCTTGAACTTCAAAAACTTTTCCGCCTCTTCTTTCAATCTTTCACGGCTGGCTTCAATATTGGCCAAATTCTCTTCATTTCTTTCAAGTTCCTTCTTGATTTCATATCTAGAGGCATCCAATTCAATCAACTTTTCGTGTTGCTCCAATAAATGAGGATCGGTGGCTCTTTCAGTTTCCATTAACAATGCCTCAGGCTTCAAAGCAGCAAATGAAGACACTTTATCCTGGGGTAAGAAACAACATAAGTTGTTCAATTGGAGATTTAGGTGCTTCAAGAGTTTAGCAATAACTCTCTCATCCTTTTTAGCATTGTCAACAAACCACTCAGACTTTTCCTTCGATTTAGCCTTAGGACTTCTAGTCATCTCTCTTCTGATGGTTATAGTTTTCTTATCACGATGATCAAATTTCAAAGTAATTTCAATGAAGCAGAAGTCTTCGCCTTCTTTGATGAAATCCACTGCATATTTTTGTCTGCCCAACAATTCAGGCTTGCCTCCTAAGCCTAGACAAATAGCACAAACAAAGGTGGATTTACCAGTACCATTGGGACCAATAATCATATTCAATGTTGGGGATAGAATGAATTCAGTTTTAGAATAAGTGACGAAATTCTTCAATTTGATTTTAACAATATTACCATCGTTGTATTTGTCCAAATCAATTTCGTCATCATTTTCGTGTCTAGTTTTCATCCTTTTGGTTGTTCTTGAATCAAGTTCATCAATAGATGAACCGTTACGATGATTATATACCGGAGAGACAACAGAAGACATTCTCAATCTTCAATTAAATTCAGCAATCGCGGTTTTGTTCCTGGTTGATTATTGTACCACAAGCATTGATACGCGCGTTTTTTTTTTTAAAAAAAAAAAAAAAGTTGCATTTCGTGGATCATACGCCAAATGGTTGAAAAAGCAAAACAATGCGTAGACCATCAAAATTTATAGCCACATCCGCAGTAGAAAAAAATAAATGACACTATATTAAAATACAAATATATTACACAAGTAATTTTACAGTTATACTAATCATTAGATTCCTCGATCTTGATAGAGCTTGAAGTTCCCAGTACATTAGGATTTGCTGCTGAGTTTGGAGCTTCTGTTGTTGGTGTATTTGAGGTTTCTTGTTCCTTCTTATTTAAGGTCGAGTTTGGTGTTCCTCCAATACCACTAGTCAAAATTGCGGGGACCTGCTTTGGAGCTTTATTATACTTTTTCTTTTCTTTTGCATTTTCAGCATCCATAAGGTTTTTTCTCAACTTTTCTGATATGTTTTCATCTTGTAAACCATCAACAGTGTACCACAAGTAATATGAAGGAGTTTTTATACCATTCGCAATTATTAGTTCCATCTTCTTATAGACTTTTTCCTGGTCGATGAAACTATTCCGAATCAACTCCATGAACCTAGCAGGAACATCCTGGAGCATCACAGTCATAGTGATGTATTTAATAAATTCCTTATTTTTGTCTTCATTATTCCCTGAATTTTCCTCGTTTTCATATCCTTCGGAGGTCTCGTTTTCCGACTCGTCATCTGAATCCGAATCAATAGGATTGTTCTGCTTCTTTTCCTTGGATGCAAGTCTTCTGCTCTTCCTTGGGACAAATCTTTTCTTTGCTTTTCTTCTGCCTGGTTTCTTCTTACCTTTTCCTTTATCTTCATCCTGTTTTTTTTCTCCAGTACTTTTACCATCCACAATTTCTTTGTCGCCTTCTTCATCAGCTTCTTTGTCTTTTTTTTTGTCAACTTCTTCATCATCTTCTTTCAGATCATCCTTTTTGGATTCCTTAATTTCATCCTTTTTGGGATGCTCATTAGCATCCTTCATGTCCTCATCTCTGTCTTGTTCATTCTTCAAAGATTCATTATTATCGTCCACATCTTTAGAAGATGGTGCTTTCGTCTTCTCCAGAATACCTCCAACTTGTTTATCTGCGTTCTTTTCCTCGTTATTCTTTTCGAGTTCCTTCTTGTCATCTTTAACCACATCCTCATTTTCGTTCTTCATCACAACATCTTCATTTTCGTTCTTCATCTTCTTATTTTCATTTTTCATCTTTTCCTCCTCCTCATTTTTCTTTTGTTCTTCCTCCTTCCTAATTTTCTCTTCCTTCTCTTTTTTTTCCTCTATTTCAGTAAGCTCTTTCAAAAGTTCTTTAGACCTCTTGTCTTCAATCATTATAAAAGATATTAAGAGCTTATTTCCTCCTACCTCCTCAATAATAGATTCTTTAGGAATTCTAAATCTTTCAGTTGGAACTTCACTATATTCAAACACTAAATCAGCATCCTTTAAATATCTTTCTTGAAAGGCTGTCAATTTAAGCTCTTTAGACAGTTCGGGTTTTGGTGGTTTTACTTTCTTCACTTTTGGTTCTTTGGGTGGTTTAGGCTCTTTTATTTTCTTCGGACGTCCAACAGGCTTTGGCAGAGATATTGATTGCCCTCGTGATGTTGAAGACCCATTATTTCCTGGCCATAAATTTGCATTATTCAACTTCTTTGATGCTTCTTGTTTAGCTTCTATCTCAATCATTTCAAAAAAAATTCTTGGGTCATCAATACCTCGTCTGCCCATATCTCTAGCCTTTTTTATATAGCCTTGGAATTCATGAATTTGTTGAGGTGAGGACTTGCCAGAAGCCACAATTTTCATCAATGCATCTAAATATGGATCAATTCTCGCAATAGAGTTCAAGTTACGAATCATAATCGTATTTTCCGGGCTTTGCATGATGTCATTGGAAGGTCTAGATTTTGCAACAGGCTGTTTTTGTGGTTTTGGAGCCAAGGATGCGGATGGCTGCGTTTGCAAAGTTTGCGTGCTGGGTTTCACAGGAATATTAGATGTACTATTATTGGATCCATTGGTTATTGGAATGCTCGATGTTTTTGTTGGTGCCTGTGTTGTTGAGCTAACAGTATTGCCAAAACCACTGTTAGCCTTGTTACTTTCACTGGTCTGAGCATTCGATGCAGGAATGAGTTTTATATTGGAAACACCTGTCAAATTTGGGTTCGCTGGTTTGAGTCCATTTGGGCTATCCTTAGTTACCGGGTTAATTGGGCTAGCATCGGCTACTGGTCGGCTAATCTTATCTGCTGTATTTTGCTTTGAGTCACTGTTGCCTACGAACGTTTCTTTTGATTTGTCGCTGTTAGATGATGAGATTTGAAGAGCACTGTTGTTTGCTGTGCTTGGGGTTGAGTTTTTGTTATTATTTGTTGATATTACCTTGGAGCTATTATCATTATTATTTGATGATGGTGTTCCCAGCTCATTATTATCAGATGTGACTGGTTTTGGGTCATTAGCTTTTTCTGTTAATGTTTTAGGAGCATTATTATTTGGCAGTACTATATTCAGCTGACTACCATTTTTAATGACTGGTTTTAGGCCATTATTCGCCACAACAGGTGTTGGATTATTATTAACTGCTGATATTGGTTTCAGATCACTGCTGCCTGTCATTTGTTTTGAATCATTACTAACCGATCCCGTTGGCTTCAAATCATTCTTATTTGCTGGTTGTAAGTTATTCATGTCCCCTGAATCTGGTTTTACTTCCTGGACTGCTTTTAATTGTCGTTCTCTATCTTCCTCTAATTTTTTCTGCTTAAGTTCCAGCTTCTTTTTCATGTCCTCTTCTCTAGCCAATCTTTTTTGAAGTTTTATCTCCTTTTTCTGCTTCATAGATATTTCATATTGCTTTTCAATTTCATCATTTTTTAGAATGAACAATCTAACATCGAATAAATGTGGACCAACAACCATTGAGCAATCGCATAATTTATTCATACGGTCCCTGATGTTCGATCTTTTTTCTTGTTTCGATTCGTCATCTTCTTCTTCATCTTCTTCCTCTTCTTCAACTTTGATTTTTTTATCTGGTTTTCCCTGCTGTGCCTCTATCTTGGAATTGGCGTATTTCTGTTGTCTTTCTTGAGCTTTTGACCAGTATAGTTCAAAGAAGTTTCCCTCTATCCAAAACTGTCTTGATGTTTGCAAGCTAGTATACAAGATTGCGCTATCTTTAATCGATAATGGATTCCTTATCTTACTGTAAATTGGCCTAGAATCAGAGATAGGAAGATTATTGATCAATTTGAAGGGTCTTTTAACTACTTTTTCAATTTCGGCATTGGCATCAATCTCCTCAGTGTCTGCAGCATCTGCTGCTATTTCTTCTTTCCCAGTTTTTGATTCATTAGGTACAGGAGTAGTTGATCTTCTTGATTGAGGCCTTTTTGATGTAGATATTTTTTCATTCGCGGTTTCCATTTCGTCTTTGACGGCAGCGGAACGCCTTCTAGACGTTGTCATTGTATGTAAAGACGCCAAATTCTTGTTCAATTGAAGCTAGATCAAAACATGTATCAATGTATGGAGCGGATGGAAAATGGATTCCCGAGCTCTTTATCTTATACACTAGTAATGTGCAAGTTATTCCAACAGCTTTAAATAATTGATGATTTGAATTGAAAATTGAATAATTGTAAAATAAAAAAAACAGTCTCTATGGTTCTTTTTTGTATATATTTCCCATGAAGTAAACCGGTGCTGCACAACCGAATAAGCGCGCGCGCGCTCACGCTTTTTCGAACGTGACTAGCGCAGGTATTTATCAAAGAGATACTAACTTGAATATATCATGGCCATATCTTGAATAATGAGAAATTAGTATCGCAGTACTATAGTGCAGAGCGTTGTCTGAAGTTATACCTACATATCTTACAAAAAAAAGTCTCAGCAAAAACAGAAAACAACCAAATGAATTATATGTACACGTAAAAACATTGATACAATCTCATTAACAAAAATGAACACAATGTGAGTAAAACAAGTGTTGAAAAAGGGGTCAAACATAATAAATAAAAAAAAAAAAAAGTAGTCGTACAAAGACATCACATTGGTCATGACAATTAGTGTAGCCCAAAAAGGAGTTTAAATTGTGGGGTCTTCTAAATCAAACCTAATTTTAAGCTGGTCTTAGTAAACAAATTTACCATCCAAAGCATTACCATCACGAAGATTAGGCCTTCTTTTCACCTTCAGATTGAGCCTGGGTCTGGGCTTCAAGCATACGTTGTGCGATGACTTCACCCGGGTTAGATCCCTCAAGGTAAGATCCAGCCAAACTGCCTAAGGTGACTTTTTGGTTGGCCATCATAGCATTAGCTCTGGCTTCTTCTGCCTTAATGTTATCCTCAATATACTTCTTAACTCTGACATAGTTTTCTTGGGCACGATCTCTGAAGTTATCAAGTGGCATCTTGGAAGCAGTTTTAGCAGTTGGCAAACCTAATAACTTTGCGGCGAAATTATTACCCTGGGCGTGATCCTTATTCCATTTCTCTCTCAATGCAGCTTCTCTAACAGCAAATTCTTCTGGAATTTTTTCACAGTTATTGAAAGTACTCAAGATTGGTCTGACATCTTTCAAACCACCTAAGCCAGCACAATATTCTAAAAATGGAATGTACTTGATCAAGGTGTCGTCAGGAGATCCATCCCATGGCTTAATTGGCAAGGCATTTTCCGGTTGCAAAGAGTAGTGGTCTGGGTTTGGATCCATAATGACAATTTTTCCCATGTCTCTGTTCATCAATGACAAATCTTTGATGACCTTACCATCTTGCAATTTAGCAGCTTCTTTAGTTAAAACAGCACTGAAATAAGCATTATATGGATCCAATTTTTGAATAGTCTTTTCCACGTACATACTGTAGTTGTCAGAAAACAAAACAATTTCATAGAAACCAGACAAGTACAACAAGAAGTAGTCCAAACCTGGTCTTTTAGCAGTTCTCCAACCCTTCTTTGGGTCCCATTCAGAATGAACCAACAAATCTTCCAAAGAAATAACCAATGTCATTGGTCTTCTGTAAATTTCAGGAGGGGCATCAGGTAATAATTTATCTACGGTTGGTTCAGAAAAGAATAAGAAGATATTATCGAATCTTTTCTTAAAACGTTGGTACATCAATGATGGGGTGTAACCATTTGGAATAGGTTCTTCGCCCAACTTAGTATGTTGGTTTTCATCTTCTTCCCAATCTCTACTCATGTAAGTACAAGAAGCACCAGTGACACCAAACAAAACCAAGTAGAACACATTGGCCCATTTTTCCCTTTTCAAGTCCCCAGAGGTCTTGTTGTTTCTTCTAGTTCTCTTTCTTGGTTTTTCACCCTCTTGGGAATCAGTTGGATTTTCATTAGCAGAGGGTTCTTTGTTCTCTGAACCAATTTTTTTGGTATTTTCTTCTATTTGATCCATATCGAATCCAGCTTTGGCTAATAAATCCTCGCTCAACACTGATGGTTGTGGGTCTGATTTTTTTTCAGCATAGTGACGAGATTGGTTGAGCTTTGCCAACAATGTTGAGTTTCTAGCAACAATACCGGACGGAGTGGCAACTCTGGTGCGAGCAAGGACTCTCGCAGCAGATGTCGAGGCTCTGAAAAGACTCATTGTGTTAAGAAGTCAATGTTGTTTTTGGTGCTGTGACTCTGTGTGTGTGCAAGGCTCGAGTCCGCGGTCTTACCTCATGATAATTATTTTCAGGCGTTGCACCAAAAATTTTCTTTCCCGGTGTGCGGGTGCCATCACTTTGGATTGACACCTGTGCATCACCCATCACTCCAAAAGACAAAAATGGCAAAAATAACAACAATAGTCGGTAACATAAACCGATTTGACATTGTCGTTTTAATAAATTACAGACCATCGAAGAAACCATGGCCTTCAATTTTGCCAAGAGCTTCCAGCTTCCAAAGGAATTCAACGTGGACTTCCAAAAGTTGTCGACTAACCTCACTTCCACAGTCCAAGGATCAATAAAGGAAATTTCTAAGGATGTCAAGGACTTTAGCGAGAACTTCCAACCTTACACTAAGAATGCCATTGACTTGATGAAAGAAACCATTGGATCGGGTATCAGTGGTGACGAAGTCAGCGCTTTACCTCCAGATTATTTATTATTGGAAAGGAAGGCGGACAATCTCAAGGCCATTTACAATCGTTTCTTGGAAGTCACCCAAACTTATGAAATTGAATCATATGATTATCCTCCAAATATCAAGGAATCGATAACTGACCTTTCTAAGACATTTTCTGAAAAATTCCAAGAATTGTCTAGTGCGTCCACTACAAAAGAAGCAGAAAAGATTTTGATCAAGCCATCTAGCAACCAGTCGCCAAAGACATTGGCTCATGCCATCGCTAAAGCTGCTGCCGTTTCCAGAGAGTCTCTTTTGAAGCAAGTCGAGGCTGAAGAACAGGAAGAAGATGAGGAAGAAGACAAAGAAGACTCGTTTGCTAAAGTGTTGTTGAAATTGGCTGATACCCAGAAATCGATTGGCAGTAAGAGACTAGAGCAAGATAGTTTGGTCATCAATAAATTCAACTCTAAGATCAAGGAGATTTTGGATAAGATGTTCAAAGATACCGTCAAGAATAGAAAGCACGTTAATCAATCAAGATATAGATTAGATCATATCAGGTATGAAATCAAAATTGCTGAGGAAGAACAAGAGAAATTGAAGACTAGTGAAGGGGAAGACAAGAAGGAGGAGATTGAGAAGCACACCAAGTATCTCGAGGACTTGAATAGCAAGTTGGAAGCTGCTGAAGACGAGTTAGTCAACAGTACTATTGTTGCTGCCAAGTCGATGAAGAAGTTCTTGAATCCTGTTGAGTCCATTGGATTGATTAAGATTTTGACTACAATTCAAATGAATTACTTCAAGGCTGCTGCTGCTGACCTTGAACTATTATTGAAGGATATTGACGAGATTTCGGAGTCAATTGAAGAAGAGGAAGAAGAAGAGGAAGAAGAACAAGAAGAAGAAGAAGAAGAAGAAGCATAATTTAGGTTTTGTTTCTATAAACTGTTTTTCCCCCTCCCGATAAAATTTTTTTTCACATATCTGTGTTTTCCTATTGATGTTGATAGTCTAGTTATATTATTTATTTGTGTTTTATGTCTTTTCCATTTTCCATTATTGCCATGTTTTCCTGAGAATTTTAATGAGAACTCTTTATTATTTCGGTGTAATTTACTCACGCCCACACTGAGCAAATATTGGGTGCATCCGCTTTGGGTGAAATGTGCTCATGCACTCTGAGGGTACATATAACAGGGCATTTCCCACCTTGTGCAGTGGTGGGTGTAAGTATAGTATTCAACCACAAAGATTTTCAATTACAACCTTTGTTGAGACTTTTGAAAGCTGGATTTTCATTATATCACTCGCTCTATTTTCACAGGCCTTCGGTGTTATATAAACCAAATTGTCCAAGTGAAGAAAAAAAAAAAAAAAAAAAAAGAAAAATTTATAACATACTCAATAGAATATAATTACTACTATACCTACCCGATTTTATCAAAATATCATCACAGATTATCGTTCAATATGGATATGGGTTCAATGAGTTCAACGAGTTCAAGCTCGGCTTCAAGCTCGACTTCGACTTCGAGTAGTATGGACATGAGCGGGATGGACATGAGCGGGATGGATATGAGTAGTATGAATACTTATTTTACAGACAGCTACTTGGATTATCCAATACTTTTCAAAACTTTGAAAGCCAAAGATGAAGGAGCAGCCTTTGGGATTTTTTGCATTTTGTTTTTCGCTGCGTTTGCCCTCAGAGGGTTGAATTTCTTAATCATATATTTGGAACAAAAAGTCTGGAAAACTTCATCGACCGATATCAATATTACCATTGAAGAAGAAGAAAATTGTGCCTGTGACGCCGAAGAGGATATTGGTTCAGATGAAAAGCACTCTCGTGATGAAAGTGAAAAACATGGAGATCAACCGGTGGTCAGCACCACCGCCCCAAATGGCCATGTTACCTTGAATGCAACCACCACCAACAATAAAGCCACTGTCAAGAACGCCCATATCACAAATAATGTTAACAGAAGACAATCTAACAGATCTCCTTTAGCTCAATTGTTTGCTCCAAGCTGGGGAGAAATTTATAAAGATATTATCAGATTAGTGCTTCACTTTCTTAGTGCAATGTTCAGTTTTGCTTTAATGCTTGCAACCATGAGTTTTATTTTGGTATATTTCTTTGCCATTTGTTTGGGAGTGGCATTTGGTGAAGTGTTTTTCAATAGACTTAGAATTGTTTTGGAGATGGATGATAATATGGGCGGAATTTTGTGCAGTGACTTGCACTCATGATTGTATTACCTATACCATAATATTGAGATTAATGATGATTGTTTGTTCTTTATAAAAAAAAAAAAAAAAAAAAAATATTGCCTATGATATTCTTTCCTCTTTTTTAATTTTTCTGTTTATTTATTCTAAAACTTTTTCTTTGTACTTTTCTTCAAGTTTGTAACTACTTTCAGGTTTTATATGTAGAATGGATCGTAGTTAGCGCTTGGAAGAGTTGTCTCGAAGACATGTTGTTATGTTGCCATCCTAACATGGCTATTTTGGCTTCAAACTCGCGATTAACGCTTAGATTGCCTTTCCACATTATAAACGCGTAAACTGCGTTGGCATGAATGATGTCCTCCGTTTCTAAGATGAACTTCGTCATCTTTTTGAAATTGGAGGCTGTCTTCATGTCCATCCTGTAGAGCTTGCTATAGCATTCGGCGATAACTAAAGACGCCGCTTCGTTAGTCAATCCTCCAATATGGAGAAGCTTCTTCAATTCAACTTCCGATGGTTCTGTAGAAAGCCTACTCACAACCTCCCTCATTGATAGCCGTTTTGTCACCACTGGCTCTGCTGATAATCACTTTCACGCCTCATTGATAGCCATTTTGTCACCACTGGCTCTGCTGATAATCACTTTCACGATAGTAGCCGTATCGTATACGTCGTAATACTCTTGGTATAACTTCATCCCAATACGAGCCACTCTGAGCCTGTCTTTGATGTTATCTGGATTCCAGCGTTCAAGTTCCGTTCTAGCTCTTTTGGTTAGCTTGTTTCTATTTTCGTCCATTCTGTATTGAACTTAATGTTTGTTTCCAAAAAAACATTCAAAATCCGATCGGCCCCCATGCAGTGGCTACTAGCAAGTCTGGTATTAAGAATGGATGAATGAATGAATGAATGAATTGTATATTAACGAGTCACAGAGGTTCTAAATAACATGCAAGCCGGGCATTTCATGCCGGTCTTTCTAATAGATAAGTATAATACTATAACTTTCTCACAACCTCACACTCCTTGCTTTAAGAATTAATCACATCACCGGTAAAAAACTCAACAATCAAGATTATTAAGGAAAAAAGGTGCAATGTGAAAATATGAGATGAAGTCACTAGTGAATTACCCATCACTAGGAGCTTCAGAATGGATGCTTCCTTTTGTTCATACTATTCTATATACTTGTAGTGGACCGGAGTCCTCTTTATATAGTCCTCGGTGGGCCACCGGTCTCCCGTTTTGTTTCGGTAATCACGTGGAACAGCGAATAATACCAACAAGGATGAAGGTTATTCCTTATACTGTAATAATACTTATCTTCGCTGATCTCGCGTTAATTATAGTAGTAAGAAAGTCAAATAGCTATCACAGTAATTAGTCTCTAGCTATTTGATGAACCCACAACTCAACGAATGGTTCGGGATATAACAACTTGCTATGATACTGACTTCTGTAGGTATAAACACAGTACGGTATATGATTATTAATATAAATAAAATAGGTGAATAATTAATTGATTCTCATGAGTTAACATAATAAAGGGGTTAATAATTGTCAACAATAAAAATAAGGATAACAAAATAAGATAAAAGTAGAGTGACTATAATGGTGCTATGTACGATAGTACACCCGTCTTCCAGGAGGCTCAACCTACGGCTGCATGGTGTTTCACTGCGGTCGGTATCGGACCTCACCTTGTTACAATAAGCATAATAATATCATAGATGTAATATTTTATAGTAATTCTCTAAAGATTGGCCCTGCGAATCTTTTGGGACTCTTTGGCCTTTTTACCATCCATGATGTCTTTTGCAACAAGTTCATCAGCTTCGACTCTCTTCGGAATATAGTTAATGATCTTGCTCAACCATTCATCATCATAAACGTCACGGCCAACAGGCACTCTGGCAATCCCGTTTTCATCACCAATTATAATGTCTCCGGGATATATGGTCTTATAGGCTTTTCTACTACTTCCCTCTTCATTTTTATTATAATAGTCTTCAACCAACACTTCCACAGGCTCATTAACTGCCACTAGTTTAACCGCTCCTTTTGGAGCACAAATTCCAGTTCCGTAGCTCCATACATTATAATTTAAAGCTCTATGTTCCGAAACGTCTCGAACCCTTCCGAAAACCACAGTTCCTTGGGCCTCCAAGTATTTTGCTCTAGTAGACATTAACCCACCATACAAAGCGTTGGTGATCTTGACATACGGAGCTCCGGGCAATTGGGCGGACCGCGTGAGTCCAATCACGATCATTGACCCCGGAGGAGCCTGGTCAATATACGATACCTGTTTCAATTCCGGCCTAGGATCATCCATAGGGGCATAGGTCACGGTATACGCAACGCCAACAGAGCAAGAGTCGTTCGAAGATACTTGATTCAAATTGGGGAAAAACCCACCATCAGGTAACCCAAACTTCAAGAGAGCATCAGCGACATCACAAGGACTATAATCTTTTAGAGTACTGATTACTTGAGTAAGAAAATCTTGGGAGGGTATTTGCATTATTATTAGTTGTGTATCAAAATATTTTCTAGAGCATATGAACAAATAGCAGAGGAAAAAAAAAAAAAAAAATGTCCCCTTAACGTTTATGTGGGGTCGGTCTACTTTGACGTGAAATTGTCCACGTGAAATGCCCGGGACGCACCGTATATTATCAATTGATAGTGTTTTTGAAATACTTTTTGGGCATATTGAAAGATTATAGTTTTCACCCTTCTTCTTTCCAATCAATGTTACTCGCACATTTTCTAGGAAAGACTACACAGATTCAGAATAAAAGTTCATCAAAGGTTCGTTTCATTTCTTGTATGTATACTATTATTATACATAGGTCTAATCATAAATATATACAACGGCAAATAGAGAGTAGAGATTCAATGAGCCAGGCCAGATCAATATAAAATATTGCATCTATCCATAGACAAAACAAGGGATCAGAAAGCCTTTATTTACCAAAAAAGATATTACTATTTATTATTTTTCTTTTTAGTGACCCCAATTCTCAAATCTCTGAATAGTGTCCATACTGGCACTCTTCTTCACAACTCTAAGCCCATTGTGAAAGTCCTGCATCCCAACTGGCCTAATGTCTTGTTTCGAAGTGGTTATCAAATCATCTCCCAATTGTCTTAACGGTCCCATAGATGCTTCTTTGACTAATCTCAGCATATCATCAATGGAATAACCACTAGTCATCGTAGATAAAATTCGAAAATCCACATCTTTGAGACTATATTGTTGCTGAGTATTGACCAAGTCCTTGAAAAACGCGTTTCTCGTTTCAAAATCTGGAATGGCAATATATTGCTTATTGCCAAACATCTCACATGAAGCTTCATCGATGACCCATGGTTTATTGGTGGTGGCCAATAATAAAACTCTAACATCTTGTTTCCAATCACTACCAATATTGAAATCAGGACTCAATGGAGTACTACTAGAGCTACTAGAGCTACTAGTACCACTTTTTTTGCCGCCCGTATGAAGCCTGAGCATGCGCTTCCATTCTTTGAAAAAACGGGCTTTCACTCGAGCAACTTCCGGCTTCCTTTCAAATAACAAATCAATGTTTTCAAGCACAATTGTTATTGGTGACATTTTTCTGGCTAGCAAAAATAAAGACTTCACAAATTTCTCATGCGTTACTAAAGAAGCAGTATCAATAACTAAAGGGACACACTTGCATTCACGGGCAACCGCTTTTGCTATCATACCTTGTCTATTACCAGGAGGCCCATAAAATAACATGCTCTTGACGGTTTCTGACAATAGCCCGTCAAATAGATCTGGTCTCAAAAATGGGAAAATCAAAGTTTCCTTAAGTGACTTTTTCGTACTAGAGGATACAATGCCCACCAAATCCGTCAAGCTGATTTTATTGTTGTCATTATGTAATGCAATCTTCAATAAAGAGCGACACGTCCTCTCATCAACTTCACCACTGGTATAGTTACTGGTGTCCAGTAACAATTTTTCGATTTTTTCCTTAGTTTTCTTTTTAGTAGAATATGTACTGTACGTGGATTCTCCCCCAGAAGCAGTGACCATTTGGGGTTTTCTGGAGGGATTTTTGATGGTTGATCTCTCCGAAGCAACAAGCAGGGCACCATTAGGAGTTGCTATACCAGAAACTAAAGAGTTTGCAGAAAAGAAGGTCACTATTGGGGAAGTCTTGGCAATTTGGGCCCCATAATTACTCTTTTCGTTAGTTCCATTAAGCCCAAAGACCAATTTCATTCCATTGCCATCTTTTCTGTCCAAATGGTTGAGATATTTGGCTTTTTCTATCTCTAAAGTCTTTTGCATACCTTTAATCACCTGTTGTTTATTGAAATTTTTGGTTTTCTCGGTACGTGGCAATGGTGGTAGATTCAATTTTTGCCTGATAAAAGGACGAGATTTGGACGAATGCGGGGCTGAGGGTTCTTTGAATGAAAAAACGTCACTATTAATCATTGTGTCATTGAATTTGGTAAGAGTGGTACCCAAAGACTGAGCTCCGTCATTATTGATTTTCCCCTTGACAAAGGCATCTTGTGGTGGTTTACCAAACTTTGTGGGATGACTAAATGTTGGAGATATTTGGATGGCCTGCAAACAGGTAGTTTCTAGTTTAACATTAAGAGTAACCCCACTTTTATTCGAGTAATCACTGTTGGAAATAGTATAGCCATTACCAAAATTTTTGTTCCTGCTTACTGGAGTATCATTTGAAATAATTTTCATAACATTTGGAATTCGAGAAAACTCAGTCTTGATCTTTTCCTTCATAAAATCTTGCTCCGGCTTTCTGGATCTCAACATTTCCTTATTCTGTTTACTTTGGCTAGGTAAAGTTGAGCCATTTGTGATCATGCACGCATTTGTCTCAAGCTCATCGTCCCTATTTGTCTGAGGTTGACGATATTCATCCTCAACTTTTTCAATCACACTGGCTGAGAGTACTGATTCAGAATAAGCAGCACTAAATTCCTGTTGCTCCTTCACATCATCTTCAACGGATTCAAAATTATTAATCGTAGCATCCTCAATTGCAATGCGTTTTTCAATTTTTCCAACTTCCATAGTTTGCTTATGGTTTGGAATTTCAGCTGTGGGCCAATTATCAAAAATTTGTTCAGGAATCTCATTAACTTGGAATTCACCTTGCGGAAGGTCACTGAAGGGAATATCTAATAAATTCGCAGTGCTTCCAAAAGTATTTCTATATAAACTACCTTGATAACTGCGAACACTTTTAAGTGTACCTGGTGGTCCATGGATATCCAGCAATATCATACTTGAGTGATTACTGGACTTCAAAAGATCAATAGCAGAAAATTCTTGCTCGATGCCAAAATGACCCATATCAATTCCGATATTGTTGATACATCTATTTGATGAGTTGGTCGCCCTGCTGTTTCTTGGATGTGAATAATTCCTGATATGGGGAGCCGTCAAGGTATCTAACTCTGTGAAAATAGTTGCATTATCTTCCTCATCTTTAAACTCGCCTTTCTCTAAGTGTAACTCATCCATCAATTTCTTTAATGTATCACTGGATCTCTTATGTTCAAGAAGCGTATTCATGCTCAATGGTGCAACAAAATCATGAATGTTGTTTGAGTTATGTACTCCATTCATTATTTCATTGAGCCTATTGCTATTATTTCCTGTTCGATGGTTCATTTCCTTTTCTTCATTCTGTGTTAGCTGCTGTTCACTACCTTCTGGTTCATCACAGAAATCATCGGTTAATAAAGCATTGTATTTGGGGTCTGTTTGATAATGTTCAACAATTCTATGTTCCTCACCTCTTCCTGGGGCTATTTCAAGAATTATATTATTTTTGGCTTGCTCATACAATTGATTATTCCCACATTTTCCATGGGTTTCATTATCTGTACTTGAGTTGGATTCCATGTCATCAACACAACTTGATGCCGAAGACCTAGATAACGAAGAAGAAATAGAAGCAGTGCCTTTATTCTCCTCTTCATAGCTCTCCACCATTGAGACGATATCTCCTAATAAATTCGATTGGGAAGTGTATACTGACAGTACTCTGGCGCTCAAAAGATCACTATCAGACATGGATTTGCGTAACCTGGATTCCCGCAGTTTGTGATAATCCATAGGTGAAAGGTAAACCATTGGCGCGGCTATATCAAAATCTAGTAACCGATTAGGTTGTAGTGTGTTTTTTCCGGAGTATAGAAGATCATCAAATGCCTGCTGTTTTACCTTGTTGTCAAAAATATCAGTATGATATTCTGAGGGAATTGAAAGCCTGAATGCTGAGTGTAAATCTTTATTTGATGGTGTAGGAATACTGTTTCCTTTTGATTCAGTTGAGTGAACAATAGGTTCATTTAGTGATTTTGAGGTTCCATACTGATGAGTTGGCCTTACCGTTGTTGGTTGGTTGTTGATAATTTGTGCGGACTTGACATCGTGCTTAGATATGGTGGCTAGTTGATTAGAATGTGAAATAATAGGTTTTTTATTATTGCCAGGCGGTACTGTTTTCAAAGCAGTGTTAGTAGATCCTGGATGGTGAGTTTGATTGCTTGTAGATTCACTCCTACTATTGATGTTGGAGTTTTCATTAATATCGTGATCTCTTGCGGTGTTGTTGCTCTTTGTTGAAGATGATCCTTCTTCAAAATCTGTATTAAGAGACAGACATATTTCAGAATGAATCGGGGAAGAATCATTCATTTGAAGAGATTTACTTGCGATTATGGAAGCTCCATCTTCTGTAAAGTCATTATTTGATTCATTGTAATTCATCAAGTTAATTCTCGGTTCTGAAAGTAGAGTGATATTCCTGTCAGTGATGGATGCAGGTATGAAGCCTGAATGATTCGAGTTTAGTTGTGTTGAAGTGGCGTTTGTTGAATGGGACTGAGGAGTAAATGTATCATTTTTTTGGCCTGAAAGTGTGGTTGCGGTTGAAATTTGCATTCGTTTATGGTAATCTTTTACTCCACTATTTGCTGGAGTATGATATTTGTTGCTTTCCATATTTTGTGGCTCATGGAAAATCGCTGGGTTATTACCGCCTGAGTAAGTATGATGATGAGCATTACCATCATTCTCTTTGGGAAGTTTGCTTCTGACTATGATTTCAAAACACAAATGGGCGCCGTTAATGGCCTGCTTATCTAGATTTGAAAGGCTTTGGAAAAGGTCGAATTCTATGGGGTCCATGTTTCTTTTAGAATTATCGAGTAGCTTCATTGGGAAATGTTTCTTGAAGGAACTAATGGAGCTGGTGATGAAAGTGTGAAGATTCATCCATTTCTTGTAGGCTTTTTCGTAATCATTCCTTATTTCAAAAAGAACACATTCTTGTGCTAGAGTGTAACAGAGACGGTAGCAGTCATCGATGTTTCTGACAAATGAATATTTTGTGCTTATGGGGAAATTCATGCCTTGATGTTCATATTATCATGTGTCTGTCTATTGTCTCCCGAGAGCTTGTGTAGATATATATATATTTATGTGTGTGTGTGTGTGTGTGTGAAAACAAGATACTGTGATGCCTTGCTAAGAAACAAATTATCCGTCAATATTATTGTATTATTCTTCTGAATTGATTTCAAAGACTGTTTTCGAGGAAAACGGGGATATTTAAGTAAGCATTCCTAGGTCAGACACACAGAAACTCAGTCTTTTCTGGCATCACTCTACTGCAGTAGTATTATTACAATGTCTATGATTTCTGCCAGAAAGAGGACGTCTTTATTTTGCCTGCAAAAATATTTCTTTAATGAGCATTGTCGTATCACAATGGCTGTTGTGGTTGTGGTTGTGGTTATACTTGTGGTTGTCCTTGTGGTTGTATCATCTTTTTTTGTTTTTTGTTTTTTTTCAATAAATTTATTTTGATCCGCGAAAGAAGTAATAATAAAACGTTCACCCCTCAAAGGTTTACTAAAAGGCCCTCTCTATTGGTGTTTTTGTCCCAAAATACTAATGAAACATAGCAGCATCCAATGCTGATAGCATTGGCTAAAACAATAGAGTTGGTTGGGTCGACATCGAATACATGAACGTCACGCCAACTTTAAGTGAGTCTGCCGTCCCTTCCTGCTCATCAGTCTATCAAATTAGCAAATATGCAGAACGTGAGGGTCTGTTTTCTGTAAAGCAGATCTTTTGTATATTAAAATAGAGCAGATTGGGACGCCGTCAATGTTTCATCTATTGACTGCTTTACGCTGGCTGATTGTCGAAAACAGAAACTCCAACGGTTGTGGCTCTCTCTTAGGGAGGGAGGACACTGTATTTATTCTTGGGCACACATCAACAGACATGGAAAGCCCCCCACCTCCTCACTAAGCTCTGAAATTTGCCCATCGAGCAGGCGTATCCCTTAAAAGAGTATGGATTATTACCCTAAATAACCTGTTCCTCCGCGTACTAATAACCGCAGATCTTTCTCTCTCTGCACAAGAAAAAAAAAAAAAGACAATTCTGGAAAACAGTACATTAATTACTGGATCTTTCTGAATATAGACGGTTGCTTTGGAATGTATAAATGAAGGAGGAAAAGAATGAATAGATTATAATTAACCCCCAAAAGGTAGCCAGGAAAATGACGATTTACGTCTGGCTTCAGCAGTTACCCATGAATAATCGGGCTTACATGATCAAAACAATTACATGATTCCAGCCAGATACGGCTTTTTTTTTTTTTTCCGGCAGTTTCAGGCTTATTTTACCGGTCCACAGCACAACCCAATTGGTGGAACAAAAAATTTGGTTCCAAGACCAAGTAATGACTGCTTCAAAAAATAATCAGAAGTGGTATGGCAAACTGCTATCATCCATCTTGATGATTTTGGAGTACATTATTAATTTTTCCAGTGGTTTTCCCTTCAAATGTAGATTATATATGTAATGTAACTTATCAGCACCATCAACGATGCGGTTGACCGAGATTTTGACAAATGCATGCTTTTCAATTAATGTAAGAACACTAGCTGAAATACAAATGTAATTAATTTATTATTATGAAAATGGAAACATTAAATATAAATTGAACTTGAGCTTGAACTTGAAGCAAAGATGATTAATGAATCTCCACATGGTAGAAAAGAAAAGAAAAGTAGTAGGAAGAGATGGCGGCAAGAAGAAAAATCAGAACGAGGACAAAAATGAAGAGGGAAAAAAATACTATGAAGGAAAACAACTAAGAAAGGAAAGAGCTATTCACAAGCAAGAAAAAGAAATTAAAAGGGTGTAGGGCTTATACTGGAAAATCCAGTGGCAAGAAACAAAAAGGTACTATCATGTACTATCATATGCAATTGACACATCTTGTAAGGACATTAAGGAGGAGTCCAATATTTCTGATCCAGAGATTGAAGAAATCATCTTCAAAGACCTTCGTCTTCTAAAAAACCTTTGGAGATCACAAGGGTATCAAAATGAAAAGAATAAATGTATTGAGGTGAACTGAAAAGTATTCTCATTTATTAATGGGGATACCAAACTTGGCAAATGCTTCTGAAGAACCAATAATGGAATCTGGTGTCCCGTTGCAGTCTTTGAAGCGGTTGCCAAGAAGTGGTTCAATTGACACACACAGTAACATCGCTAATGGAAAAGGTTGTAACGCAATTAACTGAGCAATCAGAAATATTCTGTATTTCGGGCTCTCAAATGATTGAAGAGTATGATGAACACTTCTGGTTTTCAAGAATGAAAATTAAAGAGTTGATTTTCAATTTTGATGATTATTTTTCTTGATGGTGCATTTAATTGCTCTAGCAACTTGAATCTAAAGTTACCAATAACTAGTATTTAACTTACGGAAAGATTGGAAGTTGTAACTCACATGTCTCAAAAAAGGAACCACCAAAGAGAACAAAACAGGAAAATCTCAAATTTTGAGTACATGATGGAACATCAAGCTCCAAAAAAAAAAAAAAAAGAAAAAACATACCCAAATAATAGTACCGATGCGTTGAAATTTACCAGCTTATGGATGCATAATTTGCTTAGAAAAATGAACTATGGATCAATATCCATGCCATAACAATGTCTTGCCAAAAATTTTCCAGGAATCTTGCCTCGCAGCAGTTGGAAATTCTTAGGAAGGTTTTTTCCAGATTTTTACGAATAATGATCAACGTTATTGAAGTTTTCAAAGACTTCACCGCTCTCATAATTTTCATCAGAGCCGTATCTACTTTAGGATGTTGTCTATCTGAGTCCTCTGAATTTTGGAACCTAAATTAATATATAGTGCGAAACTGTTCTCTCCTTCCACGAAGTTTTACGGCAAGCAATTGATATGGCAAGAAATGCGATACTATCAACTTGCCCTCATGGTGCTCACAATAATGAGCTACCCCTTTTCCTTACTTGTAAACTTTGAACTATAAATGAAATATTCGACAAGAAGATCTTATACGAGGGGGAAAAAATAACCAAAAACCGAAAGAAAACAAGTAGCCAATAAATAACAATTTCGTGCATCACGCAAAACTCTCTGGTGAACAACTCCACCGAACCCCCGAGAACTTCATTTTGGTTCTTCCAGCTCCCTGGAATCTGTCAAATGATCAATTTTATGGTTTTATTTGCTGGGAGAAAGATTATGGTGTTAATGACTGCTTATTGGATTATATATATATAACTTTTAATTTATAATATATAGGCCAAACAGCAAAAGAGAACGTGTGGCTCATATAAAAAGAACTCATATCCTCCCTTAATTTCAAAGAAATTTTTCCGGACAAAAAATTACGCCGCCTCTTTTCCAATTTTTATATCCTCTTTTGTCATTATTTTCCAGTTACTATCGGAAGCCGTTAATAATCTAAACCGAGACTGGAACCCGGCCCGAGTCTGTCACCGATGGGAGCTGAAGCTCTAACCGTAGAGCCCACTACAAATATAAATGTAGAGCAGTTATCCTTTTCTTGAATATAAATTGAAATTAAAGAATCTAAGTACTGTGTGCATTATGAATTCTACAGTTAGAATTGTAAAATTACAACAGAACTATAGCTGCGGAGCTCAGAGTTCAAAAATCTTGCGAAACAGTGGAAAGGTAACCTTCCCTACAAGGGTTTTTTAAACTGATATTTTAAACTGATTTTTTTTTTTTTTTTATTGCTATATTATTGCTTTTATTATTTATTCTCTTATGATTTTCACGGGTCTCTAGAATCCCAGATGCTAACAATTATCCCAGTAGACTCACGCCTGAGCCACATTTCAAGGGAAGTAAGTGACTGATGGTGAAGATTTGTGCCCAAATCTAGGACACTGCATATTCAATAGGCTAGTAATACTATTCAATTACGATCATTACCCCCATTATGAGCGTAAGATTGTACTTTGCAGAATAAATACTATCGGAAAAACTTAGCAGGAGCCATAATCACGGTAAGCGAAGAAGATGGTTGCCCGGACTGTTTCCGGCTCCGGATGACTAAGCGGATTGGGGAGGGGGAAGCGGAGGACGGGTAAATTGATTTTAATGTATTATCGATATGCATATTTATATAAATGCATATTCACATAAATGTTAAGTGGTTCTGATTTTCTTTTCAATTCAGCCTCATCTGCAAAAAAGTAACCATGGTGTCTTTCGATCCTTCCCTTACCTTCAACCATACCTGTCTCAGGGTTAAAGACCCTAAGGTCAGTATCGAGTTCTACGTCAAGAACTTTGGCCTCGAATTGTTGAAGAAGCTCGATTTCCCAGAAAAGAAGTTTACTCTTTACATTTTGGCCCTCAATTACCCAGGAAACAAGGGCTACAACAAGAATTGGGCTGAGAGAGAAGGGGTATTGGAACTCTGCCACAATTACGGCTCAGAATCCGACCCTAACTTCAAGATCAACAATGGTAATGCCGATCCTCACAGAGGGTTTGGCCACATTTGCTTTACTGTCGACAACATCAACGCTTGCTGTGATGCCTTGGAGTCTTCTGGGGTTAGTTTCAAAAAGAAGTTGACCGATGGTAGACAAAAGGATATTGCTTTTGTTCTTGATCCAGATGGATACTGGGTGGAATTGATCAACAACAAGGCTATCCAACCGGTGGAATACAAGACCGAAATTTCCACTTACAAATTCAACCATACCATGATTAGAGTCAAAGATGCCAAAAAATCCTTAGATTTCTACCAAAACGTTTTGGGGATGTCTCTTGTTGACACTTTGGAATTCCCTGCTGCGAAATTCACTTTGTACTTTTTGGGTTACGAATTTGACGACCATAGTAAAGGTAAACATTTCTCCAGCAGACAATCGCTTTTGGAATTGACTCACAACTGGGGTACTGAGGACGATCCTGATTTCTCTTATCATAACGGTAATGACGAACCAGCCGGGTACGGTCACATTGGGGTTTCTGTCAAGGATCCTGCCAGCATGTGTAAGCAAATCGAAGAAGAATACCCAGAAGTTCAATGGGTGGCCAAATATGGTTCATTTTTCTTGAACAATATTGCTTTTGTTAAAGATCCAGATAACTACTGGATCGAAATTCTCCCACTGAACTTAATGGCAGAAACTCACGATTGCCCGGGTTGTAGTGGTGAATTGAAAGATGAAAACAAATAAATGGTTGACTTAAAATTTTCCTAAAGAGAAGTATAACTCCAGCCATCATTTGTTACATCTGTGTATATGATATTTTTTTATTTTTTTTTGTTGATTTATTTTGTACAATATGACTTTGATTGTAATTTTTCACAATTGATGTGTAGGATTGATTTATCGATATTAAAACTGCTAACATATAAAGTGAGATAAATTCCAATGGTCCCATCAAGTTATTTACTGACTTCCAAAATTGTTTATTATGTTTGATATTTGAAAAGAATGGTGAAATACTTTATATGAGCAAAAGTATGATAATAATAATTTTTTGATAACGGCACCACCTCACGGTACGCGTCGCGTAATTTTTTTTTTTTTTTTTTTCTTTCCTATTTTTCAATTCTTTCTTCTTTTTCACCTGTGTCAGTTATTCTTTGAAGAGATAACCATAATCTTTTTAAATAATGAGTGCTGCTAAGATCGACCTCAAGTTTTCTGATAATGCTGATCAGAATGGCTTCTACAGGAAATACAAGAACCTCGATGATAAGCCATTACAAACCCTCAGAATCAGCGATCGTGGGGAATATTATACCGTATTGGGAGAAGATGATACCAGTTTAGTAGCGGAAATGATCTATAAGACCAGATCGGTGATCAAGGAAAATCAAAATATCCCGTATATTACCATCTCCCCACAAGTGTTCTCGTCGGTTGTCAAGAATTTTGTGATTGATCAAGGGTACAAGATCGAACTATACGATAAACAATGGCGGCTCCTCAAGAATATCAGCCCTGGTAATTTGCAAGATGTTGAAGAGTTGGTGAATTTGTCATCGGCAGATATGACCTCGAACCAAATGATGGGGGCCCTCAAATTCATGGATAAATCCGATGGGAAGTACATTGGTTTAGGGTACGTGGATAATAATTCCAAGATCCTTGGGTACGCCGAGTTCATTGATAATGATTTGTTTTCCAATTTAGAATCGACATTGATCCAATTGAATATCCGCGAAGTGTTGATTTCCGGATTGACCGACGAAAGTCTAAGAAAGGATCGGGTGTTGACGAAATTGGTGCAAGTGATCAACCGGTGTGAAATCACCATCAGTGATGTCAAGCCAAGCATTTTCAGCACCAAGGATATCGACCAGGATTTCAACAAGTTATTGACCGAAGAATCGTTTCTTGCATTTTCCACTCCCGAAGTGCAATCCAAAACTTTGGCCCTTAGTGGGGTGGCGGCGTTAGTGGCATATTTGAACCTTTTGAACGACGATACCGCGTTTGGCGCGTACCATTTAAACAATTACACATTGGGAAAGTACATGAAATTAGACTTGTCGGCAGTCAAAGCCCTTAATTTGTTCCCAACCGTGAGAGATCAAGGTTCGAAGTCTGGCAGTATCTTTGGGATTTTAAACCATTGTAAAAGTGCCGAAGGTACCAGGTTATTGAGTCAATGGATCAAACAACCATTGACCAATTTGGAAGATATCACAAAGAGACATTTGTTAGTGGGTTTCCTTATGGAGGATTCTCAAACTAGAAGTGCTATTCAACAAGATGTGTTATCGTTTGTTCCGGATATCAGAAGACTCACCAGAAAATTTGCCAAGGGTAAATCGACGTTGGAAGATGTGGTGAGAATTTACCAATTATTATTGAAACTTCCTGATTTATTGAATATTTTGGAAATGGGGTTTGAAAATTTGGATGATCAACGGTTCTCGTTCCTTAATGATGGTGAACTACCACAATTGAAAAAATTGGTTAGCGATGAGTGGCTCGAACCTTTAAAACAAACGGTTTCTTCATTATACAAATTGCAAGAATTGGTGGAAACCACCGTGGATTTAGACGCTCTTGATAATCATGAATATGTGATCAAGGCGGAATTCAACGAAGATTTGATGGAAATTAAAGAAAAACTCGACACTTTGCAAAACGAGATCACTCAGTGCCATGTTGATACCGCTGATCAATTGCAGAAAGAAGCAGATAAGAAATTGAAATTAGAAAACCACGCTACTCACGGGTGGTGTATGCGTCTTACCAGAAACGATGCTTCAGTGATTAGAGGATTACCAAAATATCACGAGTTACAAACCGTGAAAGCCGGGGTATTCTTCACTACTTCTCAATTGAAATCGGTGGCTGATCAATACACAAACTTACAAGGTGAATATAACCGCACCCAAACTGCGGTGGTCAGAGAAATCATTGAAATTTGCAGCACTTATTGTCCATTATTGGATAAACTTTCGGGCGAATTAGCTGAAATTGACGTGATTGTTGCCTTTGCCCACGTCTCATCGTATGCCCCAACCTCGTACATCAGACCGAAATTATATACTATGGATGACCCACAAGGAAAAACCATTGTCAAGGACGCCAGGCACCCATGTCTTGAAATGCAAGATGATATTTCGTTCATTGCCAACGATATTGATCTTGCAAAAAACCAATCTGAATTCTTGATCATCACTGGCCCAAACATGGGAGGGAAATCCACTTATATCAAAAGTGTGGGGATTATTAACTTGCTTGCACAAATTGGGTGTTATGTTCCAGCATCCGAAGCGGAAATTTGTTTAGTAGACGCGATCTTGGCCAGAGTTGGGGCAGGGGATTCTCAATTGAAAGGGATTTCCACTTTTATGGCGGAAATGTTGGAAATGTCGAGTATTTTGAAAAGTGCCACCGAACATTCTTTGATTATTATTGATGAATTGGGAAGAGGTACCAGCACTTACGATGGGTTTGGGCTTGCTTATTCAATTAGTGAGCACCTTGCCAAAGAAAAACATTGCTTCACATTATTCGCGACCCACTTCCACGAACTCACGGGATTATCAGAAAAAATCCCTACCGTGAAGAATTTACATGTGGTGGCCCATGTCAGTGAAGAAAAAGCCACTTCTGACGATATCACGTTGCTTTATAAAGTTGAACCGGGGATCTCTGACCAATCATTTGGGATCCACGTTGCCGAAGTGGTGCAGTTCCCTAAGAAGATCATTTCAATGTCGAAACGTAAGGCTTCGGAATTGGAGGATTTGGCAGGTAAAGCTGAAGGATCCGCAGAAGATCCGTACGTGGCGGATAAGAGAACAAAATGTAATCCGGAAGAAATCACTAAAGGGAGTCAGTTATTGAAAACCATTTTGAAAGAATGGAAAACTAAGGTGGATTTGAAGAAGATTAGTGAAACTGACGCCATAAAGGAATTAAATCTTTTGGTTAAGTCAACTTATGGAGATGAAGTGAAGCAGGATAAATTTCTACAAGAAGTGTTGGGATTATGAATATCGCTTTCACTTTTTTTTTTTATTTTTCTTCTACTTCTTTTTGCTTTGTTTTTTCTAAATCGTTTTTGTATTTCGCATTCTTTTAATCCAGGGGTTTTATTGTTATTCTTATGAACAGTAAGCAAAGTAGTAGGACAGCTTCTATTATCAAGGGGCTTGTAAAATATCATTATTGTACTCTAAATCATCAGCGAAGCTATAGCAATCATCAAGTGGGTGGGACTCTATGCCCTTGAAATAAAAAAAAAAAGAAAAAAAGTATGATGGATCCAACATTTTGGCGCGGTCAATGTGCACCGAACACACTTATAAAAATCCCCTCTCCCTCCCTGTATCATTTAAAAATATCTGGATAATTTATATTGAGTAAAGATATCTCTTAGCACTCCCAATTGTTCAAAAATAACTAATGAAAAAGTACTTTCAGAGCATCAACTCAACATCTTCCTCCTCATGTTATACTACCACGTGAGAAAAAATAAAATTGATTTCTGCAGATGGAAAAAAAAAAAAATTCTACATGGAAAGAAACTCTTCTCCCAATGAAATATTTGATTTAATCATCATGGCAAAAGGTAAAGGAAAGAATAAGGAGCGCGAGTCGTCGTCTCGTAGTGCCCATAATCCAAAACACTCTAAGAACAGTAATGGCCATAACTCTCGTAATGCAAAACACCACCATGTTTCCTCGGCCGCCAACACCATTACTTTCCCTACCAAGCTTGCAATGTGGGATTTCAACCATTGTGATCCAAAACGGTGTAGTGGGAAAAAACTTGAAAGGTTAGGGTTGATCCGTGACTTGAGAGTGGGACAAAAGTTCCAAGGGGTGGTGGTGACCCCGACGGGGCAGTCGGTGGTGTGTCCTAACGATCGGGAAATTGTCGAAGAGTTTGGAGTGGCGGTGGTGGAATGTTCATGGGCTCGTTTGGAAGAAATTCCATTTTCAAAGATTGGAGGCAGGAATGAGCGGTTGCTACCGTATTTAGTTGCCGCCAATACTGTGAATTATGGACGTCCGTGGAGATTGAATTGTGTTGAAGCGATAGCGGCATGTCTTGCAATTGTTGGGCATGAAGATTGGGCGTCACAATTGTTGTCACATTTCAGTTGGGGTCAAGGGTTTTTGGAAATTAATGCAGAAGTATTAGAGATTTATAGAGGTTGTACTGATTCCGCTAGCGTGAAGCAAGCAGAAGCCGATTGGTTGGCCAGAATTGATCAAGAACAAAAGGAGAGGAAAGAATGGAAGGATAAAGGAGATGTTGATTTGTTAGAGTTAGGAAGGGGTAATAGAATGATGCCTGTTGATAGTGATGAAGAGGATGAAGATGAAGAGGAGGACGAAGAGGAAGAGAATGTAGAATATGATAATTTGGGTAATGTTATAACCAAGAAGCCATTGCTCCCAGAGGATGAAGATGAAGATGAAGATGAAGATGAAGATGAAGATGAAGATGAAGATGAAGATGAAGATGAAGATGAAGATGAAGATGAAGATGAAGATGAAGATGATATACATGGAAATGTGATCTCTAAGAAACAAAATCCAACTTCTCTACAAGAGGCAATTGAAAAATTGAGTATATCTGCTTGAGTTATATATTGCCTGGGTTGAGATCTGTGTGTTGTTTTTATAGAATTAATTCTAGGATTTGGTGTCCGACATTGTATTATACTGGTACTTCTCTTTTTTAGTAAACGTTGCTAAGAATTGGTAAAACCTATGGAGTTTTTTCGATAAACATTAACTGTAGACTTCTTTGCACACAAATATTAATATATACGCGGTAATCTGACTCAAAAATTGCTATACTCCATGGATAATCGAAAAGCATGACCATCTTTTGGTGGCTTTCCCAACCCATTAATGAGTAGGCCTATCGTCAGGCTCGTAGGACTTCATTCTAGAGCAGGTTACTTATTTAAGGAGCTAGAATTCAGTGTATACTCAAAACCGTAGATAGAAGAAGATAGAAGTCAACGATGGATAATCAACCCTAAAAAGTCCCAGTAATTGTAGTATCTGATAATACGGCCGGCTGTACCTTCAATAACTTATCTGCTGATACAATATTCCTAGAAGAGTACCACAAGACAGCTCGGTTAGCGAACCTAATGTAGCTCAACAGTATTCGCTCTTGTTTTTGCACCGTTTTTCTTTTCAAAAAAAGTATATAATATCGCTCGATTTGTGACAATTGATACCTTTTTTTTTATCGAACTACTCTTTTTATTTATAATATATAACTTTTCGGCAAGAATTGTGGCCCCACCATATCTTACCATAGATAAAAATTTTGTTGCTTTCCAAGACTCAGATATTCTCAATAATTCTGTTAGTGTTCGAGTACCACAATTCCGATACCAGCCAGTGGGAGGATTTGATGATCCGATAAGATTTCCGCGTAATGAGCAAAATCAGATGATGCTAATCAATCCATAATTTCATAATGTTGCTTATATTTTGAAAACCCATTACATGGAGGCGGTGGATCAGGTCTTAATATTCTATTGTTTCGACGCCAATGGTATATTGAGAAATGACTGTGAATGATTTTATTAATTTAGACGAAACCTCAGTCAGATGTCTCATGTCTCACTAAGGATTAGGAATACCAAAAAACGTTAATCTCAATAGACACCATAAAAATTCACGTTGCTGATCACTTGGGCCTTAGGCTTGGGGAATTAATCAAGGCTTCGATTAAGAAAACTCGCTGTAGTAATAGTGCTTCTGAAACGTTAACACAACATATAATCCCCCCCTCCTCCCAAGAAATTTGAGTGGTCAAATACGGGATATTAATATCCTTCCGATACCAATATCAATAAATGAATTTAAAGCTACAAATAACAGAGAGTGTTCCTGATCTATTAGGCCATACGAATCCAAACAAGCCTGTTGCCCTACGCCAATTGGATAATCTAACTGACAATGAAATTAATGGTCTTTTAAGATTTTATAATATCCCATTTGCATGAAGGAGACATACAATGTTTACAAAGATCAGGAAGCTAAAGGCCACTTTAGGCATTAAGAAGTACTAAAGTACACCTCATTAACTGTTATTATTGCAACCAATTATTAAAACCGGAGAAGAAGCATATATAGGTCAATTGGATTTAGGCTGGGGTATGTATTAAACATATGTGTTATAATAAATATTATATATATTTCTGGGGTTTCTATCGAATGTGTATTCTTTTAGAAAGGACAATAAAGTGCCATGGCATGAATTATTTTCTTGCCACCGTTGCGGAGATTTGTGTGCATGAATTAAAACTGGAACCGGTAGTTGCATATTGCTTACAAAAGGGCTTTATGATCATGAAAGTAATGCGGTAAATTAAAAAATAAATTAAAAAAAATAATCGATAAGAGTCATAATAATGTAGTTTTTGTCATAATATATTGAATCAAAAGAAATGTCCGGGTTTTCGGGTGGCGATCAACCACCACTGCAGAGAAACAAATGAATACCGAATCTAATCTTCATCTTCAAATACTTCTCTTGCACTGTCGTTGACTTTCTGGAAGCGCATTTCCCTGACCATGGAGTTACTGCCTCTTCTGCTGCCTCCTTTATTGAGCAACTCTGGGGCTTCACCGGAGTCGATCAATTCGTTCAATTCGTCTTGTTCTGTGCCCCAGTTACCTTTACCAGCGCCGTTCTTCTTGACCTTGTTTGGGGCCTCGTTGAAGTTGCCGTTGTGGGTGAAGTACTTTTCTTCACTGTGGGACCATTTGTGGGTTCTTGTCATTGTTGTAGTAGTAATTGAGGAGTGTGCGAACGAATAAATATTGATGATAATAGAATAAATAAGATATGCACCATAAGAATTCTTTTGAAAAGAAACAGCAGGAAACATCGCCTTTATATATAATATCTATGTAGAGAAAGAGAGAGAGAGATCCCACCGATGAGATCATCCGCAAGAGCAATGCAGGGTGTCCAACCCCCTGTCACCACCCACCCCACAAACGAATAACGTCAAACACCGCCACCGGTCACTGCGGTGTGTGGTGCCACCCACCCACCCACCTACTGTGCTTATTGTACACACCAGCAAGAGCAAAAGCAAGAGCAAGAGCAAGGGAGGTCATGGTCATCCCCCCTGCTGTTTGTGTTTGTGTGGGTGTGGACTGACAAGTTATTACGCCGCCCCCCCTCTCACTGCCATGTAATTATCATCGCCACCCTGTATACCACTAACATTAACAATGCTCTCTCTCTATATATATATATAATATAACAACACTATGCTACATCTACCATTCCATATCCTACACACGCCGTAGCATATATGCCAACAACACTTAACCGCCTCATCGCCGCCCCCTCCCTCTGCTGTCAAATGGAAAAAATATATATTATGTGCCCTGGTGATGACCGATGAGCTTCTTTGTTGATCCCATCATTTTTTCTCCTTCGGTTGTTGTTCTGGCTTTCCCTGACAATCACCGATGTCGTAATATTGTCCCCTCCCAATGGGCTATGACTCACACAATAATCGCAATCCCCGAGTCTTCAAGTTTCAAGAGTTGGTGGACTTCTTCCACAGACTATCCTCAGTGAAAAGAGCAGATAATACCGGGTTCGACGAGTTTGGTAAAGCATCGGTCACCGAAAGACGTCGCATCATCATCAATGAATTCTTGGACAGCTGGAAAGTCTTTTACAAAGACAATGTTCCATTCTATACCATTCTCCGCATGATATTGCCTGATAGAGACCGCGGGAGGTCGTATCATGTCAAGGAAAAATCAATGAGCGTCATGGTTGCCAAAATGACAGGGCTCAGTAAAGACTCCGACGAATACAAAAGATTGTTCAATGGGGATTTGTTTTCAGGCCAAGCCAAACATGGCAAACTTCAAAAGATTGCGTCAATGATGGCGGATATCATTTCCATTAGACAACCAGACGTCAAAGGAGCAAAATATACCGTTCTTGAAATCGACGGAATTTTGAATCAATTAGATCAAAGAAACTCCCCAAGTCAGCAACAACAACAACAAAATACCCAGTCCCAATCAACTCAGAAGTTTCGAAGCCTGCAAGATCAGCAACGGCTCTTGTGGGAAGTGTTCTCCAATATGAATCACCAGGAATTGAAGTATATGATGTTGATTATTTTGAAATCAAGATTCAACGGTCATTCAGAAACCGCAATCTTAAGAGCCTGGCATCCTCAAGCTCCAGAATTTTTTTCCGTCACCAGCAGCTTAGAGGCAGTATGTAACAGACTCTTGGAATCAGTCAAACTATCCACCAAAGAATTGTCAGTGCAATTGATGCAACCGTTTGCTCCAATGTTGGCATCGCATCCAAAGTTATCTTATCAAAAAGTGGTTGAAAGCTATGAAAAATCATTTGACACTTACACAAAATACCTTCAAAAAATCGATTCTAATCGGCCATTGCCTGAGTTTGAAGGGTTTTATATCGAAGAGAAGCTCGATGGTGAGCGTTTACAGATCCATATGAGTAGAATTGAAGGGACTTCGGAATTTGAATTCAAGTTTTTCAGTAGAAGGGCCACAGATTATTCTTCTGATTATGGTACTTCCAATGATACTGGCTCATTGGCAAAATACTTCAAGAAAGTGATTGGTGAAAAGCATTTATCAGCTATCAAAAATCTTATCCTTGATGGAGAAGTTTTAAGTTATGATATGAAGAGAGATGTGGTTTTACCATTAGGTACATTGAAACCCACCAATATTGAAACCATTCATAATAGTGATACTTTCCGGCCGCTTTACGTGATATTTGACATTTTAATGATCAACGATAACCTTGTGTGCAATAAACCATTGAAGATTAGAAAAGATTTGCTTAAAAATTTAATCAAACCATTGCACGGTTACATTGAATTGGTTGACAGCCATGACGGGAGGACTGCTGAAGATATCCAACACGCATTACAAGAGGCGATCGAATCAAATTCTGAAGGGATTGTGTTGAAGGATAAGTACAAAAAATATGAAGTGGACGCCAGAAACGAGAGCTGGGTGAAAGTGAAACCAGAATATTTACAGGAATTCGGGGCAGATATGGATTTATGTATCATTGGTAAAATCCCCCAAATTAAAACCTCCTACGTGTGTGGACTACGAGTCGGTGAAGTTGACGAAATCAATGGTAATGTTTACGAGTCATTTTGCAGTATTGCCAATGGTATATCTTCTGCAGATTATGAAAAAATCGAATCTTTGACAGCGGGGTGTTGGAAAGAATATGAAAAAGAAGTTCCTCCAGAATCGTTACTCCAATTCGCCCTTCCATCAAAAAATGGTCCCGGTAGGGTTCCTAGGTTTTGGATTGACCCAAAGGATTCGGCGGTGCTTCAGATTAAAGCCAGAGATATTGAGTATGGATTGTACGGGAAACGTTATAAAGTAGGATCGACGGTGCTTTCCGGATATATGAAGGCCATCAGAACTGATAAAGATTGGAGATCATCAATGTCTTTAGAAGAGTTTTTGGCGTGGAAAGACCGGTATAAGACCCATGCGAGCAAAGCCAGTGATAAATTACATACGATTGAAGCTAAACGGGCCCGGAAAACTGCCAATAACCGAAAAAAGTTGAAGCTCGACGAGGATTATTTGAAATCCGTTAGTATGGACTCATTTCTTTTTGAAGATATGAAGTTTTACGTTTTAAGTGACTATAACTCCAGAGAAACTGGAAGAGTGGAAATTGACAAGATTCAAGAATTGATCAAGCAAAATGGAGGACAAATCTGCATTACCGAGCAGCCAGATCTATCAAAAGCAGATCGATTCATCCCATTAAGCTCTCGGAATACCCACATTACTAATAGTTTTTATAAACTTGGGTATGATATCATCAGTCCAAGCTGGGTGTTTGATTGTATTGATTCGCATCGGATTCTTCTCCTTGAGCCAAGACATTGTTTTAAAGTTTCGGAAGAAGTGTTGAGTAGTGCCGAAAAAAGAGTAGATAAATATGGAGATAGTTTTATTGGATTATTGACTAATAATCAATATAAGAAAGTATGTATTGCTGGTTTTTTTTTTTTTTTTTTTTTTTTATAATTAGGTGATCGGAATTACTAATTTAAACTAATAGCTTATTGATAATCTCGGACAACACCAGGTTGATGATTCCAAAATCACCATAGAATTCCAAGAGGAAACTGAACATATTGATATTGATGACAAATACCCGGGAGGTTTGCTTCATGATGTGATGGTTCACATTGTTCCGTTAGAGAAACTCCTCCCCACCGAAGAGATCAATTCATTTGAATTCTTAACTAATAATTTAGATTTGAGTTTGGAATGCCTTAAATTGAAATATTTCATGGATATATTTGAAGTTGATAAGATCAAGAGATCTATAAAATCTCACGGGGGAGGGTTTACAGAAGATATCGATACGGCAACTTTGATTGTTGTCCCACAGTATTTGAAGAAATATAATACTGATTTGAATCAGTTTAACGAGTTTAGGGAAGCCATTTTCGAAATTTATGAAAACAATTTGCAAGATGAGATAAAGAGAATACGGAAAGAGATTGCAAAGAGAATCACCCTTGTTGAGGGTGATATTTCGGGAAAAATTCCCAGGGTTGTTAATGAGAAGTACATTTCAAACTCCATTGAAGAAGAGTGTCTTCTTGATGCTGAACGTGAGTATTGTATTTCTATTTTCAATGGCTTTTTTTTTTCGATTTCTATAACCCTTTTTATCCAAGTATACTAACGAAAGTAATTATAGACAAACTATATCAAGTGGGAATGCCATAAAAAAAAGGTATCTACGAGATAGCTATGTAATATATTTATAATATTTATCAAATACTTATATAATTCATAATATATAAAGTATAATACGTATGTGAAACTTGTCTAAATTGTTGTGTAATTAGAGAGATTGATGTTAACATCGCAGGTTATGAGCTGCGAATCGTGTATTTTTCTGCTCTTCTCACTTGTTAAGTCGAAAATTTCACCACCATTTAACAAATCAAGCCTATTTGCATACCCCAGATCCGGCAAAACAATAACACCAATAATACTATTAATAGATATTATAAAATGTCCTTGGCGAATGTCATGAGGTCTCGTCGAGTCATTCAGAGACTTCTCCAGATATCCAGCCAAACAACCGTTAGGACTTTCCAACCGCATCCTTCAAGCCAATTATTACCATTGCCAATAGCATCACAGTCCAGTAGACAATATAGTCTTTTCACTAGATCGAAACCCCTGCCAAAGATTGAAATTTTCGAAGATGAGGCAACAACAACAACAACAACAACAACAACAGAAGTGAAAGGGAATGGAAGTATATTGGAACATCTTAATCATGAGCAGCAAGATATTGTGATGTTATTGAATCAAGCGTTGAGAAACGAAAAGAGTATCTCCCTTGAACATGTGAAATCGCTATTATTGCAGTTCATTGGCCTGTGCGCAGCTCTAAGTTCGAATGATGCTGGCAACAGAATGATCTTGTACGTGGTGGAGTATCTTAATAAACTAAAATACCAATTACCGATCCAGGACGGGAAAGCGGTGACACGGGATGACCCGGTGAAATTGAATGAGATTTTCAATGATGGTGAATTGTATCGATTATTAGCATGGATTCTGGAGGCATTGAACGACGATAAAGGACCATTGTTGAAATCGGTATACGAGGATAAAGTATCGAGATTGATAATTCCCGAATTGTTTATATGTTTGAAAGATAGTAAACGGTTGGCGATAGTCGAGCTAATGAAGGTATACGTTTATTTCAACAAGTTTTTACTATATCATAATTTCTACGACCAGTCGCTTCAATCGATGAAAGAATTCATGGAGCATCCTAATTCGTCAGCATTGAAACCCCAGCTATTGGAGTTATCGATGATTGATCTACGGAAGTTGGCGGTGCGTGATGTGAAGGTGGTATTTGGATTGTTTGAAATGTTCCAAGATGGAGGTAATGAAAGTTTAGTCAGAAAATGGATAGATTATTGCGTAGAATGCTATTCTATTGAAACTACCGAAAAGGCCAATGATTTGAGGTTCATGGAGCAGTTGGAGGACGCTTACATATTACAAAATTTCACCAAAGTAATAATCGGGTACAATTTGCAGCATACCAACGTATACCTTTTAGAAATCTTGAACAAGAATAATCTTGCCAAAGAATCCAAGCCGGTGTTACAAGAAATCTCCAAGTTTCTTAGGGAATCGGTGTTCGATAAACCAACCAATACTTTCTCGCTAGATGAATCATCCTTCAATAGTATATTGTCCAGCGCCCTTGCATTTAAAGACGAATTTTTAATTTGTGAGCCACTTATAAAATATTATACCGCTGCGAAAACTGATGAGGAAATTTCCAAGAAATCATGGGATTTGATTCTATCATGGGAAGTTTTTAAGTCTTCAGGGGATGATTTCACCTTGGATGCGGCGTTGACCGATCTCATCATAAGAATATCAAAAGTTGAAATTGCTCCCGTAGATAACGAAGTTAAAATGAAAGAAGTCGATGGGGAGCTTTATCTTGACTTGTCGGCAGCAGATAACATGGATGGAAATACTACTCGTTTCATCGATGTCGATACCGTGAATTGCCTTATTAGTACGGTGATTCTTGGTGGCCAGTCCATAAATTATGTGGAATCAATGATGGAATTTTTCCAAAACGGAATCCCCGAAGTCACCATCGAATTGAATGCCCGCTCTTATGGGTTATTAATGCAAATGGCCATAGAAAAAGATGACCCCACTGATTTGAACAAATGGTATCAAACAAGTATCAACAACGGGATTGAATGGTCACAAGAATTAAATGAAGCCAACGACAATATTTTATATAAAGCGGTCCAGTACACTTTTCGAAATAGCAATAACCATGAGGAATTAGGGGAAGCGTTCAAGTTTTTAAACAAAGTGAAGAATTTCGTAGAAACTGTTGATACCGATACCACCAACGAGATTCTCAAGAAATTTTTACAATTTGGGTACGTTGGCGACGCGTTGGAATTGCTCAATCGAGAGTTTATTTCCAATGAGGATAATTTCACCCATAAATATTTCGGGAAGGCCAATGAAGAAGATATTTTTGATTTGGAGAATGATTCGTTGAATTCTCGGAAGATCGATTTGAATAATGATTATTCGCACAAGATTTTCATCACCTTGAATGATTATTTTCTCCTGAGCACCGATTACGAGATTTGCTGGAGCATTTATGGTAATATCCACCGGTGTTTTATTAACGTGCCGTACGATACGTTCATGGCGGCCATGAGGAAATTTAACCAATTGAAACGTCCGGATGTGTCGTTATTGATTTTCCAACAAATGAAGAAAATGAATAGATTGTTTGGGTTGCCGCCGCCAAATCGGGACCACTACATCTATCTTTTCAATAGTTTTGGGGAAATGTGTTACGAAAAGGGGATCATTGAACTCCACGCGATGTTAAAGATGGATGTGGTGGTGGATACGAATATTTCGTTGAATAACTCGTTATTGAACGCCTATACCAATTTGCAAGATTTTATTAAAACTAGAGACTTGTTTGAACGGTTCTTGGCGATTCCTACCACCAGTAAGAACGCGATCAATTCCGATACTATCAACATCATGTTGAAGTCGTATACTTACGGGGGACTTGAGCCGGTGAACGCGTTTTGGAACAATTTGAGTCTGATCGATTACATTCCTAATGCATCGAATTATCGACAATTCATCATCAGTAACTGCTACCATCGCCAGTATGAACATGCCATTGATTTGATTGGAGAAATGGAATTCAATGGGATGCAGGTAACCGAGGAAGTGGTTAAGGATATGTATAACTGGACCGAAGATAAGCAGGATAAAGGAAAGATTAAACAATGGTTGTTGAGCAGCGAACACTCAGATTTGTGGGATAAGTTAGAAAATAAAGGGTTATTGATTCATGAGCCTACGGAAACTGAGACCCCAGAACAAAACTTAGATGTGATCTAGTTGAAGAAAAAAAAAAAAAGAAGAAACTCTAGAAGTAATTTTTTTTTTTTTCAAAGATATGATTTGTAATTATGTTGTGTAATATATTTTTGTACGTATGGATCATATTTACTTGTAAGCTGATTTACTAAGACCGACAAAATAAGATAATCTTAAAGCCTCTTTTTTAATTGTTATAGCATTTCCAAGTGAAGCTTCCTGTGTTTCAGAGTGGTTGTTTCATAACTATAAATAGGGTGTCGTTGTTGTTTGTATTTTTAGAAGCCATTATTTTGGGTGTGAGTGTAGGCATGTATGTATGTTGCCTCATTTTGGAGAGATCCTTAATTTTTTCATTTTTTTTTTCCTTTTAAGAAAACGTTCCATCACAGCGATGATCTTTGTTATTTTGCCAAAATGGATGGCTTTTCTTTGTTTCGGTGTTTGCTATTTTTATCACTGCTAGATCTTCCTGAATTTCCTCATCTGTTATAAATAAAGGAGGTTTTTCTGGTGATCTTCAAAGATGCTTTTGATGCTGCTGCAATCACAACCAAACCAACACCATAAAGATAAGATGAAGGGAAATAACCATTCACGGATAATCCATTGTACCGTTACTAATTCATTGGACAAAGGACCGACTGGTAAAATCATGTCCCGGCATTTAAAAGATATTTATTGTGTGCTACTTATCAACCTTAAACTACAAGAAAAATCTTCGATCCCACCACCCACCGCTTCAAAAATGAACAATTTCTTCTCCCTAAGAAAGCTTAATTACCCTTATTCTTTCTATCTACAAGATGCGATTGAGAAAATGCGTATTCTTAGAATTGAGATCCCCAGATCCGGGTTCCAAAAATCGTATTCCTACAGCATCAAGGACGATCTAGCCCTTGAATTGATGCATTGTTTCTTCGAAGCGAAGTTTCTTCATTATCCTGGGGATAGAACTAGAAAGCTTCCAAAATATGATATTCCCCTCCAACCCACTCCCAAAGGGGTGGCGATCCTTCATCAGTTTGTTAAGAAGAATGGTCTTAACAAAGCGTTGTTCCCGCAGATTTTACGCTCGAATTTCAATTCCATGGATCTATTCAATCTAGAAAAAAGTATTAAAACCGATAAGATCTACTTATCGGATTCGTTTGTCGAATTATTGTTTATCAAATGTATGGGGGCCCGGCCAAATGTCTGGAGCACCAATAATGCTGTCGATGCCATTCCTCGTTCCATCATCGAGAACTTGGAAAACAGTGATCCTGAGAATGAAGAAACTAGTATTTTCAACTTCGATAAATTTTCATTCGAGGATCTAATCGTATATGATGAGAAGGAACCCTTGCTTAACCACAATAGCCATCAACCACAAGATGAGGATTTAGTGGGCAGTTCCGAATCCCGGAAATTGTTCAAGCTATCCAATAGACCGAGGCTGCATCTTGCGCCACAATCTTCTGACAGCGAATCCAGCACGATTTCTCCATTTACTCATAAGTTCTTCACCAACCCTGAATCGGATGCCCATACTCAGTACTATGTTTCTAACAAAGGGGTCCGGTTATTCAAGGATAAAAAAATTGGCGATGCTGTGCAATCGATTGATTATTGTTTCAGCGGGAAAGCCCTTTGTCAGTGGATTATGGACTGTTGTGATGTTTTGTACATTCAAGAAGCTTGTTTATTAGGGCAATTTTTCATGAAACTCAAGCTAATCGAGCCGTTGAATCTGCTTACCCAATATCCAGACCGGTTTAAAATCGGTCGTCTGTATCTTTATAAATTGACATCGAATGGCAGAGAGAAATGTCACTGGGATAAGAGTAATGAGGAAATCGTGAGAAATATTAAACGGATTGGGGCAGAAACCAGAAGAGGATCCATGACCTCGATCAATATGGAGTACATGCAATCCAATGAATCGGTGAATGATGATGATGATGATGATAGTTGTTCTTCAGTTGAGAAACTCAATCAAATGATCATTAACAAGATCCCACAGAAAAAAATCATTCTCCGAGATGTTTTGAATGATGCAGGGCTAAGATACTTATTCAGATGTCATTTAGAAAACGAGTATTGTGTGGAGAATTACGATGCTTATCATTTATTACAGGCTTTCAGAAGGGATATGAAAGTTTTGAGGAAGAAATTACACAAAAATAAATCAATGCTTCAAAACAAGCAATATCTCCTCCATACTATTCCTTCCAATATTGATATTGACCAACACCAACAACGTGCTATGAAGAAGCTGATTCGTGGGTGTATCAAACACGCTAATGATTGTTTGGCCAACGCTTACAATATCTTTGGATCATACCTTGTGAGTGGGGCCATCAACGAGGTCAATATCAATTATAATGTCAAAACCCAAATCACTAACGTCATGACCCATCCAAAATCCCCGGTATCGACGGCGTTTTTCACTCCAGCCAGCACCAAATTTTTACTCCAAGGTCTTGAAACTGATTCCATGGTGAGTGTGGAAATTTCTAGTAATGTGGAAGACGATATGGTATTATCGAATGTTAAATCATTATCCAATGGAGAAAATGACAGTGGTGCAATGATATTGGGAGCCAGTATCGAAGATAATGATAGTTTAAGTGATGATCAGTCCACGGTGCTTGCGTCTCCAACTTTAATCAACCATAATATTTTATCCACTACTGATGTCCCCAATGAAGAAATATTTAGCAGTAGCTTGTTTGTGTTGAATAGGATTTATTTATTATTTGATAAAGTGGCCAAAGATTTGTACGTGTTGATGGAAAATGATTCATTACAGAAATTCATCGAGTCGGATATTTATAAACAGTCATCGGAAAAGATGAAAGTTTTCCAAGTTAGAGGCCATTAAGTTTCTTAGAAGGAAGAATTGATGGCTTCAAAGATATCGTGTTATATATTTGTATATTATTTCATTTTATGTCTGTTATATTTCTATTCAAGAAGGGGAGCCTTGTGTAAAATCTATCTAAAACTATAATATCGAACCAAGATGCTCGTATTTTGATATTTTGAATCAACTTCCATCATTTGTAGGAATGATACACCTTCTAGATATTATAGCCATTTCCATCGTTCCAACGGAAAGGATAATACAAGGATGCATGTCCCAGTAGCAAATCATATAGTCTACAAATAACAATACTTCAACAAAAGAACACAAATTTATTAAAGATATTACAGAGCTTTTTTTACTTTTTCTTCTTTTTTTAATTTTTTTTTTATTATTACTATTATTATATTTTTGTAGAAGAGAAAATTTAGGCTTCCAAAACACGACCCTTCTTGATGGTGGCCCAACCAATCAAACGCCAGTGCTTGTCGATTCTTCTAGATAACGCAATCTTTTCATTAACTTCGGTACAAGCTGGGGAACCCAATTGTAATCTTGCCATATCAGCCTTGACCGCAGAAACTCTGGCACCAATGGCACTGGAACCAATGTTGACCATGAGCAATTCATCAACATCCAACTTTCTAACCTTGGCTTGCTTGGAACCTTCGGCCTTGACCCCCAACAATCTTCTCAACAAAAAGTAGTTGATTTCAATATCGACATAAGTGGAAGGCAAGTGACCCTTGGCCCCGACGATTTGCCCCAAAAGTCTATCGGCTCTACATAACGCAGGATCAATTTTGGTACCGACACCAATCAACCCACCAGGCACCGCGAATTTAAGAGAATTGTCTTCGGCATTCAAAGAAACAATCTTGGAAAAAATTGGTTTACATTTGATGGCACCGTTATCTTCCTTAGACACCAAACCTGGTCTAATTTCAATTTCGTCACCCAACTTGAAAACCCCTGACAAAATCGACCCACCAGCAACACCACCCTTTAATTCGTCCACTTCAGAACCTGGCTTGTTGACATCAAAAGATCTAATAACCATAAGACGTGGGGAAGTGGTGAGATCTCTAACTGGCACAGGAATCGACTTTACTATGAATTCATTGACGGCGTCAATATTATATTTCAATTGGGCAGAAATTGGAACAATTGGGGCACCATCGGCAACAGTACCTCTAATGAACTTCTTGATAGATTTTTGATGCTCAAGTGCCGCGTCTTGTCTCATCAAATCCACCTTATTTTGCAAAATGATAATGTGTTTCAACTTCATGATTTCAATGGCGGCCAAATGTTCAGAAGTTTGGGGTTGTGGACAAGATTCATTACCGGCAATCAACAAGAGAGCAGCATCCATAACCGCGGCCCCTGACAACATAGTACTCATCAAAATATCGTGCCCTGGACAATCGACAAACGACACATGTCTGACCAAGTTATAACGACCGTCACAATTTTGACATTTTGGATGTATTTCCTTATCCGAAGAGAAAGATCTGTAACAATCTGGTTCTGGACAGTTTTCACACTTGTAGATCTTGGCGTTGGCGTAACCCAACTTGATGGTGATATTTCTTTCCAATTCGTTCTTGAATCTGACGGTATTCTTAGAGGAAATCGCCTTTACAACGGTGGACTTCCCGTGGGCGACATGACCAATGGTACCAATGTTGATGGTGGCTTGTCTATTGATAATTTCTGGGGATGACGCAGTCAATTGGGTGAAGTCTGGTTCGTCTGGTTGTTCTGGCAATCCACCACCTTCTTCAAATTCTTTTCTGGCACGTTCTTTTTCTTCTTCTTCAGTGCTGATGCCCGAAAACGCTGGTTTTTCGTCAGACACCGGTTCTTGAGGAACTTCTTCTATGATTTCTTCAGGTTCAGGAACATTTTCCTCAGGTTGGCCACCAATGTTGATCACCAAATCTGGAGTGGCATTTTGTAAATCGTCAGACATGATGATGTATGTATCGATATTAATAAAATCAAATGAAAAAATGGAAGTGATCCAACTATAGTACAATGAGTAATATTAAAAACCGATATAACGGGAAATTATACGATCCAAGAGAAAGGTAATATTCAAATTATTTGACAATAACACTCTATAACGTCAAAATGACTGAATTTTTTTTTTTTTTTTCTCTTCACTTTGATTTCTTTGATTTTTCCACCACACAAAAAAAAAATTTTTAATGAGCGAGGCAAAACCAACGCGTTGCCCGGAGAGATGGTAAGAGCTGGAGGCCGGGTGATGCACTCTCCATGGACGGACTCTTATCTTTCACGGCGCTATTTTAATGGTTAACTATTTGCAATAAATATCATGTTTATTGGCTAGTTATTATTCGCAATATTGTTTAATAGTTCCAGTAGTTTAGCAGTCCAACAATAAACAACTAAAGAGATATCAACCATAACATAAAGAATCTTTATTGTGTTAAAAAACTATAATTATACAATGCAATATTTAACAAAATAAAAAAGACCTCCCCTAATTCAATTACGGGCTCTCTTACCACCACCACCTTCTTGTGACATTCCTCTTTTACCGTTCTTGGCAAAATATTCCTTCTTTCTCTCTCTAACCTTCTCAGCCTTTTCTTTCTCGGCCTTCTGTAACTTCTTGATTCTCACTTGATTCTTCTCATCCTTCTTGGCTCTCTTCTTAGAATCCTTTTCCTTCTTGAGGGTATTCAATTGTTGCACCAAAGTTCTCGTTTTCTTTTCCTCACCATTGAGAATCACCGCTCTCTTTTGAAGATAAGTCTTTTTCTTTTGTGGCTTCATTTGTGAGATTTGGGATTTGAATGGCAAGTCACTTTGCACAGCCTTAGGAACGTGTAATGGATTAAACTTGACCTTCTTTCTTTCAATCTTACCATAAGCACTGTTGGCATTAGCTGGGGTCATCAACCCTTTTTCGGCTCTGATTCTCCCAGTAATACGCATCCCTTTCCATTCATTCTTGTCCTTCAAGGCAAGCGAGGTGACAGGATTATAGAATTTCTTAGGTTTGACAGGGTACCAAGTCTTGAGGAAGACAATGTCACTTAATACCACACGATCCTCAAATGTCGCACGATAATGTCCCTCGGATGACGTTAACGCTCTCTTGATTTCACCGCGGATCCCACTGACGGTCTTGATAGCCGCCCCTTCGAATTTCACAACTTCCATGGCTGTAGAAAACATATCCTTGATGAAAGCGGTATTTTTGAAGATCTTGTATGGATACCCAACAAGTTTCAATTTTTTGACAATCTCTACACTACTATTGACTTCTTCAACCACCCCTGAAGCAGCGATACGGAACCCAGTACCGGTATCACTGTCAGCAACAACCTGAGAGGCACAGAAGGTGGTGTTTGGGGTGACCAAAGGACCATAGAATGTGGCTTGACAATAAGCATGCTCTGGAGTATATTTCAACATTCTAGTACGCGTTCTAGAATCGGAAGTGGTGTAGATTGGTAAAGTTTGGAATCTTCTCCAACCAAGCGATAAAATGATCGGATCGTTCGATTTAAGAATCTTCTTGTGCCAACGATGTTTTCTAACACGGACACTCAACATCCCAAAGTCCATTTCGGTTGACAAGAGCCCACCAAGAATAACTGGGTAACATGGATCGAAATTCTCCATGAATTCACATGGTAATGAATGGAAGGTGATCTTCACATAAGTCCCTGCCTTATAACCATCCATCTTGATACGAGTCTCCTCATCAATTTTTTCAAGTTCAAGTTTGTTGATTTCTAATTGTTTGGACATTTTAGCCTTTTGGAATTCATACCATGATTCATATTCATTGAGTTCTTCCTTTTCTTTATATTTGCCACCAAATTCATCATCTTCTGCTTCAAATTGTAATCGAAGCTGTTCCTTCTTTTTAGCAAGACGGGAACGACGTTCTTGAACGCTAAGCTTTTGTTCATCGGATTCCTCTGGAGCATCATAATCACCCTTGGATTCCTCGGCGTCAAAATCGGCAAAATCATCGTCTTTTTCGGTAACTTTTTGATTGTCTTCGTCGCTTTCTTCTTCACTTTCTTCACCATCCACTTGTTTGAGTCTTTCACGAGGTGATAAGAAGAAATATTTCTTTTTCAACTTTGCAAAATTCTCTTCAGCCATGTCCCACTTCTTGGTTAATTCATCCACAGAAGCAAATGAAGGTTTTGAACGATCGATATTATCTTCCACCATTACGGTCTCCTTCTTGGCGAAGAAATCTTCTTCATCATCTTCGTCTTGACTTTCTGGTTCTTCTTCGGAAAATTCACCTTTCCATTTCTCAATGGCTTCTTCTGGGGAGACTTCATCATCGTATAGAAGCTTATTGATATCGTATCTTTTTTTGCCTAAGACACCTTGTAACTTAGCCCCAGTGGCACGCCAATCAGAGAATTTATCATCTTCATCGTCACTCAAGTTAAATTCTGTATCTTCTTGCAATTCAAACTGATCAGTACCATTTTCTGGTTTAGAAGATCTCAACTTATTGATTTTACGTAAGGAGGAACGACCAATGTTGCCACGTTCATTCTCATCTTCTGATAATTCACCCTCGAAATCTGAGAGTAAATCTTCATCATCGTCAACTTCTTCATTATCTTCCTCTTTATCAGAATTATCAGCACCATGAAGCACTTCACCCCCTTCGAATAATTGTAACCCAAATCCAGACGATTTTTGTTCAGTAGTATCATCATTGGATTTTTTGGCCACCAATTCACCAATCAACTTAGTTTCTAATTCTTTATCCTTGGAATCATCAACCAATTTCCCTTCACCATGATGTTTCATACCAACATCAATATAAACTGCATCCTTATCAATTAAAACCCCGCCAACATCAGACATTGGAGCATAAATGATTTTCTGTTTTTCTTCAAGTCTCTTACGTCTATGTTTTCTTGGGGCCACGGCTTCTCCATTAGCAGTAGCTATTTTGGCTTGCTCAATTTCGTATTCAGTAATCTTCTGCTCCATGTATGGAGTTGGCACTGGGTCAGGAAGCTTCTCAACTTTGGAAAGTTTATAATCACCAAGCCCGGCAATGTGCACAGTCGAGTCTTCTTTAAGATTCGAACCATGAACGTAACCGTATACTGCGATTTTCCGATCGATCTTGGTATTGGCAGCAATGTCTTGAGGAGGGGTCAAATCGGTAATTCTATCAACAAGCAAATATGGATGATCATTACGCCATTTTAAAGGACGGAATTTCATGACTGAGATGAACCTAGATAAATTGAGGATTTCACGATCCGGATAACGACCATTGATCACCCCGGAGAGGTAGAAAAGCTTGGCACCTTTGTAAACTTCTGTCCAGAAACGATGTTTGAGTAATTTCTTTTGAGCACGGAGTGCTGATTGGGTCTTGAATAAATCACAATGGGTGACACACCCAATGACTTTTGGCATCCCGTGATGTTGGGCAAGATTGAGGAATTCAAAAGTTTCCATTTCGAGACCATAATTCCCGTCAATCATAAGAAGGACCAAATCAACAATCTTTGCGGCGTCAGTCATACTGTTTAAATCAGGTTTGACCTCAATCACCGTTATACGACGACGTTTACCAGACACCATGGTTATCGGACCTTTGATTTCGGAGATCGAGGTTTTTGTGAATCTTTTAACCAAAGACTTCACAAGGGTAGATTTCCCAACACCAGATGGACCGACGACCCCAACAATCACTGGAGGTTCCTCATCATCAGGAAGCCTATTGACCATTGGCACATGGTACTTCTTTTCGGTGACGTCTGCGGACCTTTGGATCCCTTTTAGCATTTTCCCTGGGGCGGACACGGCGAATGCCTTAGGGTTAGACCCCGAGGCTTTCATCCTGTCCTTGGCGGACTTTCTGGACGTGCTCCTATGAGGTTTATTCTGGGCAGAGTCCATTAATTGATGATGGATGGTATCCTTTGTATTATGAGGGCGCTTATTTCTATGAAAATTTTAGTAGGAGAGATGAGAAAATTTTTTTTTTTTTTTTTTTCCTATTCTGGGGGGCTGCGTAACCAATGAGATGGCCCACTGTAACGGTATATGCACCGTCTGGCGGGATGGGAGAATGAACAGGTGTTTGGGTGTGCATGTTGCGACTAGACAGAGGTGTGTGGGTGTTCCAACTTTTCCGGCAGAAGAAAAATTTTTCTTCCATTTTCTGCACTGTGATGCAGTAATCATGTCGTATATACACTATCATACAGAGTGCCGCGCGGAGGCGGCCTGCAATTGGCTGGATTAGCTGCTGGGCACAACAACCTTCACAAGAATTTCCTCTCTTCACATCTTGTTCAGATATATATAACATCATGATATAACGTGATAGACATCATATATAGAGGCTAGTTCACCACTCTCTTCGGTATACTCCACTCAATATTGATAATTATCATCGTTGTTGTTGTCCCTTTTTTTGGTCCTTCTAATTTATGTGTCATCCCCACATACTAATATCAGTCTAATAATATCTCCACAACATGTCACTTCTACGAGGTCAGATTTCCCACGCAATTCTAGCAAAAAGAGAAGACTCCCCACTATGGACCGCCAAATACGACTTGGGTATCACCGGCTTCATCATCACAGCCTCTGCCATGCTTATCCTCATGATCACTGGTCTTGGGCTCCTTTACTCTGGTCTTGTGCGTCGTAAAAACGGGTTGTCCCTCTTCTTCATTTGTATTGCTAGTTCCTTTGTCGTCACTTTCCAATGGTATTTCTGGGGTTATTCGCTAGCATTTTCATCCACCGCAACCAATGGGTTCATTGGTAACCTCGATTCTTTCGGGTTTAAGAACTTGTTTGAGGCAAGAACTGAGAATGCTGAATATCCAGAACTCTTATTTGCAATCTTTGAAGGGTTTTTCGCCGCGGTTGCCTGCGTCATCACCGTTGGTGCTATTGCCGAACGTGGGAGAATCTTCCCTTCTTTGATTTTCAGCTTTGTTTGGGCCACGGTTGTGTATTGTCCAATAGCTTGCTGGGTCTGGAACACTAATGGTTGGGCATACAAGTACAATGTTCTCGATTACGCCGGCGGTGGGGCGGTGGAAATTGCTTCTGGGTTTTCTGGGTTTGCTTATTCCATCGTTCTTAAATCAAGAGACTTTACAGAACCGGTCCAAAACTTCCGTCCTCATAATAATTCTCTTATCGCGTTGTCCGGGATGTTACTTTGGTGCTCATGGTGTTTTTTCAACGCCGGTACCGCCCTTGCTCCAAACATGAGAGCTATCGTGGCCCTCATTAATACCAATCTTAGTGGGGTTGTCGGGGCGTTAACTTGGTGTTTTCTTGATTGGAGAATTGAAAGAAAATTCTCACTTATTGGTCTTACCTCTGGCCTCATTTGTGGGTTGGTTGCCGCTACTCCATCATCGGCATTTATTCCACCGTGGGCTTCAGTAATTCAAGGTATTGTTTCCGCCGTGGTTTGTAACTTTGCCACTGGTCTTAAGTATCTTATTGGAGTTGATGATGCCCTTGATATTTTGGCAGAACACGGTCTAGCAGGGGTTATTGGTTTATTATTCAATGCAATCTTTGCTGCCGATTACATTATCACTCTTGATGGTGTCACCGAACACGGTGGTGGTTGGATCACCCATAACTACAAGCAATTATATATCCAGGTGGCGTTCATTTGTGCTGCTGCAGGATACTCTTTTGTGGTTTCATTGATAATTTGCTACGTGATAGATATCATCCCTGGTTGTAAATTAAGAGCCTCTAAAGATGGAGAAATGACAGGTATGGACGAAGACCAATTAGGTGAATTTGCTTATGATTATGTTGAAATAAGAAGAGAGTTTTACGATTGGAATAATACTTTGGGCGGACTGTCGCCTGCACCAGAGCCTGAGACAGTTCCAGAACCCAAAGATGGCGATCTTACAAATGCTGGCACAAGTATCGATGAAAGAGAGAAATCAAGCCAAGGTGAATCCTCTGTTGATAAAGAGAAACAAGGCCCAGTAGCTCAGTGAAAAAAAAAACAACAACAACAAAAAAACAACAACAAAAAAAGATCCTAGCCATGGGCCACTAAGCCTTTCTATCTTTATCTATCGTTGCGACTCAAAAACAAAAAAATATTCACTTCCATATCTCAACATTTTATGATTCCTTAATTTGTTATTCTGTTTTGTTTGTCTTTTTGGTGTGTTCTTATTGAAAACTTCAAATTAGGGAATTAAGAAAAATTGACAATAAGCATCGAGTCTCTTGTGCTCTGCTTTTTCTTATTAATCTCAACAGAAATACCATTTTATTTAAGATTTCCAACTTTTTTAATCTTCGATTATATTCATTCATTGATCACCTTTTGGTCTTTTCATTTTTCATTTTTTTTTTTTTTGGTGTTCTTCATTTTTTCTTTCTTTTATTTATTTGCATGGTTTTATTTTTGCTATTACTATTTGATTTATGTTTACGGTGGATATTTTTATATCTCATCTTTTTTTCCCCTCTTCTCCCTAGTTCAGATCTGTTCTTTGTTAGATGAGATTTCCAATTTGTATTGATGCAAATTGCAATTCTAGACTACCTTTCAACCTTTTAGATATGCTCTATGAGCAATTGAAAATAATTTCATTCATAGCTGACCATTGTAAACACTATCTAAGCTATTAGATTTTCTGACAGATCAAACCGTGGAAATAATTTGTTATATCTGAATTTCCCGCAGTAATAACCTTTCCATATTTATTTCACTGTGAATTTTACTACAAAGTTAAACGTATACATTAAAAAACATAATACAAGAACCAGGAGAATATTTATTATACAATTACTGAACTTAATATTTGGCTGGCAACACTTCGGCAAGGAATTGAAACACGGTTTGCATTTCCGGAGCACAAGTAGTATGTGGCATGCCCTCGTATGAGGTAAAGTTTAATTTGGAGAATCCCAAATTCTTGAAAAATTCATAGGTCCTCTTACCTATACTATAAGGAATCACCGGGTCAGCAGTCCCATGGAATTGTAATATTGGGGTATTCTTATTAACCTCGGTGACCTTCTTTTGGATATCATTTGGTATCCCACAGAACCCCGACAACACCACAGTTCCGGCCAATGGATAATTAGTGATGGCGGTGGTAGACAAGGAAATGGCAGCACCTTGGGAGAATCCTCCAATCACTACTCTATTTGATGGGATCCCGGCATCGACTTCCTGTTTGATGAAACCATTAACCAATTCTTCACAAGCGTACAAAAACCCAGAAACGTCTTGTTTTGTATCTGGTCTGGCTCCCAATTCGTAGATATCGAACCAAGCAGGCATCTTGTAACCTCCTTGGAAACTAATTGGCTTTACTGGGGCGTTAGGGAACACAAACTTGATGTGCTTGTACTGGTCTAATTTGTGCAACGAGATGGCGATATCAGCAAATGATTGACCACGATCGCCTAGACCATGGAAGAAAATGAAAGTAGCAGTAGCCTTGTTGCCAGCTGGTGGAGGAAATACCACGGCTTTTGGTAATTTAGAAATGGCAGACATTTGGGATGAAAAAGAAGAAGATGATGATGATTTATTAGCTATGATTTTTGTGGTAAGAGAATAAGAAGAAAGGGAATATAGGAAAATTGCTAGTGATAGGACAAGTAATGCAAAATATTTGAACCCAGACAGAGAACGATTTTCACTAGTTTTATCACTCATAGACATACTCATGAAGCAAACGGGAGATGATTTTTCAGTGCGGGAAGAATATTTTGGTGATGGCTTTTGTATGGTCGCAGAGGGCTCATAACATCACCCGTGGACGGACATAAATTGTCATTACTAACCGATTGGTAAGAGGCGATTTGGCTGATCAGGGGGTTGTGGCTGATTGGTAATGTTTATATAATCTTTTGGTTTTGATGTTATTGGGAAGGGGGGGGGGCGTCGTTTATTCACCGTTATCGATTGATATTACACAGTTCAGTGGGATTCTCTACAAACAGAAACTACGAAATAATAATACAACCAAAATAACTGCCAGCCACAACCATTATTGAAGAAAGAAACCATTCTAACATTTTCTAGTCATTACTGCTGGAAAATATTATCATTACCACCAATTGTCACGAGAATATTGACGAACTCGCCATTCATAGTAATCCTATCATCATCATAATAGGAATATACTCTCACGTGTCGATCAAACAAATAATGAAAGAAAAAAAAAAAAAAAATTGGCGATGAGCATCAAAATGTAAATAACATAAAATACGCACATAAATAAATGATAATTACTCTCTAATCAAAAGGCTATGGCACAGGAAATTATCCTAAAAGCAGTGCTAACCGAGCTCAAGAACCTCACGCCACTTGCCGATGAGTCCATGGCAGAGTTCCTTTTGTCGATCCATGAAGATTCCAAAAATTTGGCCGCTTTCCAACGTAACCTTAAGGAAAATGATGCACCATTTGAAGAGGATTTCATTGAAAAAATAGATAAGGTCATCAATGGGTTTAAAATAAAAAGGGAGGTAAAACAAGAGATCCCTGAAATAAAATTGGAACAGACCACAAAGTATCAAGAACCAAACCAGGAGAAACAAGAACAACAACACGCTTCGGGAGTAAATAAACGCCAAAGGTTTATAAAGGATGAAGATGATGACGTTGACGAATATGGAAGAAATAGGAGAATAAAATATGAACATGATGAAGTCGATGAATATGGAAGAAGTAGGAGAATGAAATATGAAAATGATGAAGTTGATGAATATGGAAGAAAAAGGAGAACGAAACACGAACGTGATAATGATGATCACCACTCTGAAAATCTGACATACCAAGCCAGAGACAATAAAGTTGACGAATATGGAAGGAATCTAAACTCAAAATATGAACGAGATCATCTATCTATCAATAATAACACCAACCAACACCAGCCCAGTCGTTCTGCAAAGCCAGACAAAGAGGCAATTGAAGGAAAAATATACCATGGTCGAGTCACCAAGATTACCAACTATGGCGCCTTCATCCAACTTGATGGGATTGTGTCTCATAGAGGAAGATCTCAAAGTGGTTTATGTCATATTTCTCAATTCTCAAATATTAGAATAGATCATCCTAGTGATGTGGTTAGTGCCAATGAAACGGTATTTGTCAAGATCACGAAAATTGACAACAAGGGCATTAGTTTAACCATGAAGAATATTGACCAAAATACTGGTAACGAAGTCATTGATGAACCGCAGCGTGGAAGGACCACCGAGAAAACTTTCCGGCCAAAGCGAAAACTCACTTCCCCTGAGCGTTGGGAACTTCGTCAATTAGTAGCGTCTGGGGCAATCTCCGCCAAGGAACTCGGAGACGTTGGTGAGGATTTGAACGATTTCATCACTTCGGAAACCGGCGGGAGTTTGAATCTTGCTGATGATGTGGAAATTGATATCGAGGTCCATCAAGACGAACCAAGATTCCTTGAAGCTGAGAAAAATTTTTTGAAAAAAAGTGGCGATAACAGCGATATTGCCAGTCTCAAAATTATACCAAAGCCTGAAGGAAGTTTGAATCGGGCAGCGATGACTGGTAGTCAATTAGCCAAAGACTTGAAAGAAAAGAAATTGAAAGCCCTTAGGGAAAAAAGACTCAAGCAAATAAAGAAAAAAACAGATGATCCATTGCTGAACAAGGACGGAGATGCTAATGATGATGATGATGAATTACTCAGTGAATGGCAGAAGGCAAACAAGAAACTGAAGATTTCTTACGGTAAGAAGAGTGATATGTCCATTGCTGAACAGCGAAAATCATTACCGGTATTCAAAATGCGGTCGCAGCTTTTGGATCTTGTGGACGAAAATCAGTTTTTAGTGATTGTGGGAGAGACTGGGTCTGGTAAGACCACTCAATTGACTCAATATCTCATGGAAGATGGTTATTCACGTCGTGGGGTCATTGGATGTACCCAACCTAGAAGAGTGGCCGCAATTTCTGTTGCTAAAAGAGTTTCTGAAGAGGTTGGGTGTAAACTAGGTCATCAAGTGGGTTATAAAGTTAGGTTCGATGATAAGTATGGCCCAGATACCGAAATCAAATATATGACCGATGGGATGTTACAAAGAGAAGCGCTTATTGACCCTAACATGTCTAAGTATTCGGTTATCATGCTTGATGAAGCCCACGAAAGAACCATCGCCACCGACGTTTTGTTTGCATTATTGAAAAAAGCCGCTAGAAATAGACCGGATTTGAAGATCATTGTAACTTCTGCCACCTTGGATTCTGATAAGTTTTCCAGGTATTTTAATGATTGTCCGGTTTTGAAAATTCCTGGAAGAACCTTCCCGGTAGAAATCATGTATACCAAAGAACCAGAACTTGATTATTTGGCCGCATGTCTTGACACTGTTTTACAAATCCATGTCGTTGAAGGTCCGGGGGACATTCTTGTATTTTTAACGGGTCAAGAGGAAATTGACACTGCTTGTGAAGCGCTTTATGATAAAGTCAAAGCTTTGGGCTCCTCGGTTCCAGAACTTATAATTTTACCGGTTTATTCTTCTTTACCATCGGAAGTCCAGTCAAGAATCTTTGAACCTACTCCTAAAGGTTCCAGAAAATGCGTAATTGCCACCAATATTGCTGAGACTTCTATTACTATTGATGGTATATATTACGTTATTGACCCAGGGTTTGTGAAAATCAATGCATATGATCCTAAACTTGGGATGGACTCTCTAGTTGTTTCTCCAATTTCTCAAGCTCAAGCAAACCAAAGAGCCGGTAGAGCTGGACGTACCGGTCCAGGGAAATGCTATCGATTATTCACGGAAAGTGCGTTCAAGAATGAAATGTCACCAAATACTATTCCAGAAATTCAAAGGCAAAATCTATCCACGACAATTCTTATGTTGAAAGCGATGGGAATTGATGATTTGATAAATTTCGAATTTATGGACCCACCACCGATGCGGACCCTAATGGTTGCGTTAGAAGAATTATTTAATTTGTCAGCCCTTGATCAAGATGGCAACTTGACGAAACTTGGTAACAAAATGGCGGATTTCCCAATGGACCCAGCCCTTGCTAAATCATTGATCGTTTCCAGTGATCTTCATTGTTCCGATGAGCTTACAACCATTGTTGCCATGCTTTCGGTGCAAACTATTTTCTACAGACCTAAACATAAACAACAGCAGGCGGATTTAAAGAAATCGAAATTCCACAGTACCCAAGGTGATCATCTAACATTACTTAACACTTACAATGCCTGGGCGCAAAATGATTATAGTCGAACCTGGTGTGAGGAAAATTACATTCAAGAACGGTCACTCAAAAGAGCAAGGGATGTCCGGAATCAATTGATCAAGATTTTCCTCAAATATAAGCATTCGGTTTCCAGTTGTGGGAGAGACTATGATCGGATCAGGGTGGCGCTTTGTTCAGGATTTTTCAAGAATTCCGCAAAGAGAGATTCTCTGGAACCTGGGGCCTTTAAAACGTTGATTGAAGATACTCCGGTGTATATGCATCCAAGTAGTTGTTTGTTTGGGAAACGCTCGGAGTATGTGATTTATCATACTTTGTTATTGACCACCAAAGAGTATATGCATTGTGTCACAACAATTGAACCACAATGGTTGATCGAAGTGGCGCCAACGTTCTTCAAAGTTGGGGATGGTCAGAAAAAGAAGAGCGGCAAGATTGTTTCTTTAAAAAGGAATGGTCATAAGAGATTAGCTCCTAGATAATGATAATCTCTAATATTATTACAGCATGCTTTGTGAATATATAATAACTTATGCCAAATAGACTGCTTTTTGCTAATAATAATGACTCAAGATATTACGATGTTGGTCTTTTTTTTTGTAACTTAATTCTGAATTTCAATTAGCTTGTTCAGTATCGAATGAATAAATTAATTGTATATTAGCGAGTCGCAGAGGTTTTAGTATCCACGATAACAATGCAATATATTACATTAGCAGATTATTGGTGATTGATTATAGATTTTATCAATAGGGATAATATACGTCAAATAAACCCAAATGATAACTGACTGTTGTAATTTCTGAAAATAACTTGCAAATAAATATATGATACCATATCAATGTAATTCATCGTTGTCCCCACTGGTGGCACAATCCGTTAGATCTGGGGTGTCCTGTCATCTCATCTCCTACAGAAAAATACCAAAAAAAAAAAATATGAAAAAGAAAAAAAATGAGAAAAAGAAAATTTTGAAATCATCATATATAATCAACAGAAAGTATTATAAATAATAATAACAATATGACCAACGAAGATTCTGCTCCTGTTGGAAATACCCAACCATCATCAGATCATCAACAAGCCGCTGCCAAACCAAGAAGACGGTTTGTGGGAGCCAAAAAGATCAGCGCAAAAGGTGATGATAGATCGCTTGTGAAAAAGGGCAATAAGGCCAGAAGTTTCAATAGATTAGTTACCCATATTCCACAAGATATTCTCGAAGATAAAGAACTCAACGAAGCCATCAAGCTCCTTCCTTCTAATTATAACTTTGAAATCCACAAAACAGTATGGAACATTCGTAAAAACCACTCGAAAAAAGTGGCTATCCAAATGCCCGAAGGGCTTCTTGTGTATTCATTAGTGATTTCGGATATTCTTCAAAATTTTTGTGATGTCGAGGTTATTGTCATGGGAGATGTCAGTTACGGGGCCTGTTGTATTGACGATTATACTGCCCGTTCGTTGGACTGTGATTTCATTGTTCATTATGCCCATTCATGTCTTGTACCAATTGACGTGACAAGTATCAAGATCTTATACGTGTTTGTCACCATCGATATTGATATCAATCATTTATACAATACTTTACAGAAAAATTTCGATGAAGGGTGCAAAATTGCCATGTTTGGAACCATTCAGTTCAACCCAACGATCCATCAACTTAAGGCGCGTTTTGAAAGCCAGACAGATCCTAACCTCAAAAAAATGTTTATTATTCCTCCACAAATAATGCCACTATCTAAAGGGGAAGTTTTGGGATGCACTTCGACCAAATTGAATAAAGACGATATTGATTTCATGGTGTATGTTGGTGATGGAAGATTCCACCTTGAAAGTGCGATGATCCATAATCCCGATATTAATGCCTACAGATACGACCCATACTCTCGGAAATTCACCCATGAGTATTACGACACGAAACAGCTAGTGGAAGTGAGATCGTCTGCGGTTGCTCACGCGTCAAAAGCCCAAAAGTTTGGACTTATCCTTGGAGGGTTGGGACGTCAAGGAAGTAACCGGACGGTAGACAATTTGGAACGAGAACTTATTAAGAATGGTAAAGTGGTGGTGAAGATCATTCTTTCGGAAATCTTCCCGTTCAAATTAGCGATGTTTGATGATATTGATTGTTTTGTTCAGGTGGCGTGTCCGAGATTATCAATTGACTGGGGGTATGCTTTCAATAAACCGTTGTTGACCCCGTATGAGACCATGGTGTTATTCAAGCAGGATAAACCATTTGATGAGAACTTTTATCCTATGGATTATTATGCTAAGGATGGGTATGGTAGAGGGTCGGTGCCTGCGAGATCTTGAAGGGAAGTCTGTATTATAAAGTGATGTAAATTTCTGTTATCTGATCTTTGTTTTTTGTGTGTAAGATTGACCAATGAAGATATTCTGTGATAGTCTATAGCATGACACAGTATAAGATAGTATAAGATAGTATAAGATAGCGTAATACAAGAGGGATGTCTGGATGGATGTCCAGGTGTTGCCACCTTCCGTTGCTTTTTTGATCCTCGGCGGTGGTATATTCTCTTAGAAAGAAATTTTCTGGAAATTTCAATGTGGTGTGTGTATCATATTGCAGATCTGTAGTTTATATATATTTCCTTAATTTGCCACTGTATATCTCCAGCTCCACAAAGTCCAAAGTGTACTGGGTACAAAAAACAATCAAGTCAACCATGCACATCCTTCCATTTCTATTGGTATTCCTCTCAACGGTATTTTCTGCCGATTTGGATAATCCATTTATGTCCTCTGATGCCTTGATTAATAATGATCTCGGTGGAGGATTATCATCATCATCATTATCACCACCATCACAACAACAACAACAACAACAACAATACCAAGCCGACCCTGCTCCAGGGTTCATTAATCCTCATCAATGTACCGTCGACGATGGATGTGATGACACCTTCTCTACTATTGATTCCGTCAACCAACAGATCAGACCATCGGTGGTATCTTTAGTCAACAGTGATTTCTTCAAGTACTTCAAATTACAATTATATAAATCATGTCCGTTTTGGCCCGAAAACCCCATGTGTTTCAGTCCATCATGTGCAGTGGAAATCGAGGATGACAACAAATTAGCCGATGATTACGGAATCTTCAATAACAGTGAAAATAATGACGAAGAAAAAGAAGGGGGATCAAAGAAGACCACCCTTGTGGAATACAATTGTGATTATTGCAATACTAGCGAAGAATCTCAAGATGATGCGGTGTATGTTGATTTGACCTTGAACCCTGAGCGGTTCAGCGGATACGGTGGCGAAGAAGCCGGAAGAATTTGGAGTGCGATTTATCAGGAAAATTGCTTCAATAAACCAAAGCTGGAAGAGAATCCTGATAATAACGATGCTTTGTCGTCATCATCATCTGATGATCAATCGCCGGTGCTTCGTTTCAATAATAAATACTTCAATATTTTGGCATCTTGGTCCAACAGACTTCAAAAGAACAAGAATATTGACAATTATCAACTCTTGAATACCTTAATGAACCAAGAAGAAGACAAATGTATTGAAAAAAGAGTTTTTTACAGGCTCGTCAGTGGGATGCACGCATCAATCGGTACTCATTTATCATTCCAATGGTTAAACACCAATAAAAAACACGCGAAATTTGAACCAAATTTGGATCTTTGGATGCAGAGGGTGGGTTATTTCAGCGATAGATTGTCCAACATTTACTTCAACTACTCATTGGTTCTCAAAGCGATTTTGAAACTTGGCGATTACTTGAACCAGATCCAATTTAGCGAGGCCAATATCGAAAAAGATCTTATCAACAATATTGTCGATCTGGTTAGACCTTATGAAAATTCCATCTTCAACGAAAGTTTGCTTTTCAATTATGAGGACGATTTATCTAATCAACTCCTCAAGAATGAATTCAAGGCCAACTTTAAAAATGTGTCTTCTCTCATGGATTGTGTTGGGTGTGAAAGATGTCGTCTTTGGGGTAAAGTCCAAACTTTAGGGTATGGTACTTCTTTGAAGATTTTGTTTGAATTGAATGACAAAACCGAAGATACTTTCGATTTGAAATCTCTTAAGAGATCCGAAATCGTGGCGTTGATCAATACTTTTGATAGATTGAGCAAAAGCGTGGAAATCATCAATTATTTTAGAAACGAATGGAAGCAAACCGAGGAAGGATTGCTTAATGTCGAAGAAGAAGTCAAAGCGACTAATTTCAAAGACAACGAAGATATTCTCAACGAGAATGAAAAAATGGTTTCCTATCAACAAAAAATTTTCAAACATCAAAAACTGACTGCCAGTGCTTCTTCGTCCTCCGCCAGTTCTGTTGAAGCTGCTCCAAAAACTAAAAAATCTCTTCCAAGTTCAGTGAAGATGAAGAATGTCGATGAATCCAAGGCCGATTTAAAGAAAATGTTCCTTGATAAAAAGAAAGAATACAAATCATCATCGGATTCTCGTTGGAACACTGAAGTCGACAGTATTGTTCGCTTGGATAGTGAAACTGATGAGGATATTGAAAATCTTTCTCCAGAAGCCATCAAACACCGTCACATTTTCCGCAACTCTCTTAAATTGCGTTCTTCAAAACCGGAAAAGGACAAGACCTTTAGAGATAATCTCATGGAGAGTATTGAAGAAGTCAAGGATGCTTTCAGATTCTTGTGGGAATCGTACTTATACTTCCCATACAATTTGTACAGGCTTGCAATGGCACGCTTGGAAGTTTATTGGAACTATTATATTGGTAATGAAGAATTCTTCCTCCAACAAAAGAAAGATTTACACTTTTTGGACTCCTATGGTTATTAATATTGAAAGGTGTTTGCTGTCACTTAGGGGATGTATGTGCCTTTTTTTTGAAAACAAAATTAGAGAAAGAAAAAAAAAAAACTAAAAATAAATTAAAAATATACAAATCTTTGATTTCTGTTTTGTTTTATCTTCTTTTTTTGCATTTATTCAATTATTATAAGTTGAAAATTTATCCCTTTCAACTGCTATTATTATTATTATTATTACGATTTATTTTATTTTATTTTTTTTACGGTATATTAGTCTTCAATTCTTAGTTTATAGGTCATTATCTCGTCTCTTTAGAAGATAAATACATTTGTTTTGCATTTGTTTTGAATATTTGAATTTTTACAATTCTTTGGGGTTCATTTGTAAATTTATTTCTTCTTTTCTTCTTCGTCTCAGAAATCATGAACAATTATCTAAGTCTTCTACCAGAAACAATGTTTGTGCAATCAAATCATGTAGTGGGTGTAAAAAAAGCCAGGAGGATCTAATATTGATGGTCAAATTTTCCAGTCATGTCTCAAAATTTCCATTCTTTGAACAAAGTAAAACAAGCTACGGTAAATGATACCTACCAATATATGCTTACACTTGAAATACAATCCCCGGATATTTACGTAATTTGAGTCCAAATTTTTTTTTCTTCTTACAGGGAGAGAGATCAGCAGTTTCTTGTATCACTTTTCATAAGCTTGCTGATTTTAAAGTCCCAAAATAAATATAAAAATTACTAATAATATCCCCCGGTTGTTTCCTTTTTACCGTCAGTATCACAACCTAATGGGTCCCAAGGGGTCAACAGCACCGGAACCGCCCTTCCTAGAGGCAATTCTCTAGAAAAATCATCATCAGATATTGTTTCAACTTTATCAAATGTTAAATTATCATTTTGCACATTAAGCTTGTACCTAAGGTTTTGTAAGTTGACGAGAATATTATTAAAATCGTAAACCAATAATGATGAGCCATTGGAGAATTTTCCACTCCCTGCAGAACTGGTAATTAGTATTTTTTTATAAAATGACGAATTGGAGAGCAATGATTCAAATTCGAGGGATCCTTTTTTAGCAAGATCGGAGTTTGAAGATCCTGCATTCAACTCATTGGAAGCGATAAATTCTGAAGGACCATTATTACTTTGCTTTTTCTTTAGCGAGAATTTTGATTTTAATTTATCACTTTTCAAACTCAACTTATCAATTTTTGAAACTAATACATCATCGCCATTTGAAGCAAATTGGTTTCCAAATCCCTTATTAGCCATTGAGAAGCTATAATTAATCAATGATATGCTTTTTCCAGTTTGATGCTCCTTGATATAAGACTGTAATGATAGATACTTTGCAAGGTATAACTTGACATAAATTTGAAAAACTTTGAGCATTTTGGAGATAGAAGAGAGAATCTTGAAAGAGTTTTTGAGTAATTTCAATTTCTCTTTAGAAATCGCCGTTGATGTTTGGGGATAATCATTTTCTTCATCGTCGGAATCTAACTCGTCTCGTAATTTGCCCAATATACTCTTCAAGCCAGATCTGGTAGCGTGTGCTCTCAAAACCAAGCCTATTAATTCATCTTTAAAACTGTCGGTTTCACCAGTTAAACTTTCTAATTGCTGAAGTACAAAAGCTCCAACTTTTACCAACAAGTAGTAATTATTAGTTTTGTAGAAATCATCATTCAAATCCCCTAGTTCATAATTCATTAATAATCCATCCCCTCGCAAATCATGGGCTAATAGAACCGTCAATCTTTCTGACCAAAACGTGCGGATCAATAGAGATACTAGCTGAAAATTTAAAGACACATAAGTCAACACGAAATTCACAAATTTCAAAGAGGATTCAATCACTGCTGGCTTATTAGAATGAGGGACAGAATTACATTGATCTTGAAGGTAAGTCATTACTCTGACCCCTTTTTTCAAATAATTATTTCCAATCATCACCCATTTCTGTTGTTTTTTCTCAAAGCTTTCCCGGCTCAAGTTTTTCAAGTCAACGGTGTAACAGTCGTTGAAGATCATGTTTAATCCAATTTTGAAAGCAATCAAACTTGAACTGATCATCGATATCAATAATTCATCATATAAGCTCCAGTGGGGTTGAGAGGCGCTCCAATTCGAAGAAGGGCATATAGGAAGATTCCAAGGAATTGGGTGAATGTCCTCACCATCTGGCAGCAATAACAATATTCTATCAGCCATTTCTAACAAATTAGATGAGGTGGTTGCTGGGAACAATTCTGCCACAAACTTGCTCATATCGGCGATATATTCTTCCAAAATGACCATGTAGTGTAGTAAGACATTTTTCGATGAGAGCTGAGACACTTGAGAGTTACAAAGATTTGATCTGGTGTTCCATAATTTACTCTTGAGTGACGTGATAGTAGTTGGTTTATTAAAAGCGGTCCCGGGCAATGGGATCCATGATGATTGATTTCGTAGCGACACAGGGGTGATTGGTGGGAAAATATCCATTTTTTAATTATTTGGTTTTCCTTTTGTTTGATTCTATTGGTAAAGGATGTGAGACTCTAAATGGGTTATGGAAATAAAATCTATCAATACACAGGCTTTGTATTTTTTTCCAGCAGAAATTTGCCGCTGGTTTTGCCGACTCCACGGTTCAGCTTTTTTTCTTCTGTTAATTAATAATAATATGAAGTAATATCGTCTAAAAGATATTGATAAAATTGGTTGAATATATGTGATATTAGTAACATATCTCTACTTTGATATAATTAATATATGTGATAATAATGAGCTGGGCTTTATAAAAAGTGACACTGCAAGATTCAAGAAAGCCAACCACCAAAATGCCAAAGGCACCTTCCAAAGCCTTTGGCTCGAACAAAAAAGGGTAGCTTGATAACTCTACATGGTATTTAAAGAGATCTGAAAAGATAAGAACCCAAATTTGGTCATCTCCAGATACTCTTTTCATGTCGATGTTTTCTGATGGATAGGTCCTTCAGTTTACGTAATATTTTTCGCCGCATTATGTAATATCAACAGCACCAAATGCTAACTTTTGATGCGAGCCTGCTGACATTTTTTTTTTCTTCTCTTGTTTGAAGATCACCACATGTTCACAGTGAGGATTGACTTTATTAGCAAGAAAGAATAACACAACAATTGTTCATATTTTTTACAAGACCATCTATTCAAATATTGCAAGATGACCAAGCCAGATATCAGAATTGACGATTCTAACACCATCACCTCGTACAAATCGGCGACCCATTTAGTGATGCTACCATGTCATGCCATTTACAAAGGGTCAGGAAATGGTAAATCTTTCAAACATTGGTACATGGAAGAGTTTCAGAAGGAAGGTAATGATAACATTGCATGGATGAAGCAGATTGAAACGTGTTTAGATATCTTGACAAATAATAAAGATGCCATAGTAATCATCAGTGGGGGAAAAACTAAGAAAGTCGGGAACATTTCGGAATCCTTCAGTTACCTCAACCTAATTATGCAAAATAAATCCTATTATGAGGAGAAATACCTAGATTTGGAAGGGTTGATTGACAGGATATACTTAGAAGAATACGCCAGGGATTCTTTAGATAACATGTTGTACAGTCTCTATCGATTTAAAGAGATTTGTGGGAGATTTCCTGATCAAACAACGATCGTTGGGTACGAATTCAAAAGGGATAGATTTGTGGAATATCATGCCAAAGCGGTAGGATATAATGATCCCAGTAAAGTGAAATATGTTGGAATAGACCCATGTCCGGACTATCCAAGAGAATCGCCAGAGTTCAAGAAATTTTACAGTGATTTGCAGGTGGCAGAATGGGAACATGCTGTCAAGCACTTCCAAATTGACCCATTGGCGAATGATCCTGATGGGGTGTTGGTGGCAAAGAAGCGGAAGAGGAACCCTTACAACACCAGGGCTCCGTACCATATTATTATGTAATGCATTATGTATTTATAATAACAACTCGCCCGTTTGGCACCTGTCCCCCGATGAGGGAGGTCATGTGCTGGGGGGTAAATGTGGAGAATTGACATGGCGATGATGATGATGATGATGATGATGATGATCTAATTGAAACAATAGATGAATTATCTTGTAGGGCGTTATGTATAAAATGATTATTGGCCCTTTGATTTTTATTTCTTCCAATCGTCAATCTTCTCAATAATAAATAATAGTAATAATTAGTCATGGTGATTCTACAGAGTAGTATGAAAAGCAAGATCCATACCTTACTTAGGCGCTTATTGGAATCAAACAGTTTATTTTCCTCAAGATCTTTGTTGTTTATATTTGTCTCTTCTTTAGCCTCTCTGTCAGCATATGCCGCAATAATCTTTATCAGAAAGCTTATTTACCACTTTAATGAAAAGAGAGAATACCAGAAATTACGCTACTATTACGTCCTCAACGACAAGACTAGATCAGCGGTAGATTTATCTATCAAGAAAAACAAGTCATTGCTCAAGTCAATCAGTTTGGTTGGGTTCAACAGAAATGACTGGGCAGCCACCAGCAATAATGTTGCCGTGAATTTCAAAACAGTTTACATCAAGCAAAAAGAACGAATCAAAAAGATTCTCATCAAAAGAATCGATAACGATGTGTTTGAGCGCAACACTTTGATCTTCAAGAATTTCAAGAGAAGCTTAGTCAATTCCACCAATTCCATTATCAACTTCAAATTCATCAACCAGCTTTTGATCATCTGGAATATTCTCATCCCCAATGTTTTTAATAGAAATAGTTACTTGTTAGTTTGCCAAGTGATTTTTTTGGTGGTCCGCACTTACTTATCGGTGCTTATTACCAAACTTGACGGGCAAATTGTCAAAGATATCATCAACAAAAATTTCAAAAACTTTGTTGCTGATTTGATTTATTGGTTTATAATTGCATTCCCGTCTAGTTATGTGAACAGTGGAATTAAATTCTTTGAGAAAAGATTGTCGTTGAATTTCAGAACCAATTTGGTCAGATATATTCATGATTTATACCTTAATGACCGTATGGTATTTTATAAAATCAATCAGTTTGGAATTGTTGAAACCTCGCCATCAAATTTGAAGCAAAATGATCCAAAAGTCCTTGAGAATATTGATCAATTTATTACTAGTGACATTACAAGGCTTTGTGATTCTATCACCTCATTAATCTCTAATCTTGGTAAACCAATAATCGATGTTGCCATTTTCTCGATGTATTTGCGAGATAATTTGGGAAATGGTGGTATTCTTGGATTATTTGCCAATTTTGCAATTTCTGCTGTTTATTTGAAACTTCATACTCCTGATTTTGGAAAGCTAACCAAAGAGATGCAAAGTATTGAAGGTGAATACTTCAATTATCATTCGAACCTCATCAATAATTCAGAAGAAATTTCGTTTTATAATGGTTTAAAAGTCGAAAAGGAGAAAGTCACTTCAATATTCAACAGGCTTATCAAACATATCTCATTTGTGAATAACGTGAAGATCAATTATAACTTCTTGGAAAATTATATTTTAAAAGTGATTTGGAACTCTTCAGGATACATTTTTGCAGCTTTACCTATCCTTTTGGATAGTGCTGCTTCTTCAAACAAATCCACCAGTATCAAGCAATTTGTTACCAACAAAAGATTAATCTTTTCTTTGGCGGACTCTGCAAGCAGATTGATGTATTCTGCAAAAGATATCTCGACATTATCTGGTTATGTCGATCGGGTTTTCAACTTATTGTCTCTATTGCATCGTTGCCATTCATTGGAATTCAATTTTAATGACCAATATATTAACGATATAAAGGGCACAATACAAAATGATTACAATGGCCTTAGAATGGAAAAGATTTCCATTATTATACCAAGCAGACAAGGGTCTTATAATCCTAAAATCATTAATAAATTGACGTTCCTGATGAAGCAGGGAGAGAATTTATTGATATTGGGTTTCAATGGGTCTGGGAAAACCTCGATTGAGCGAGTAATTGCCGGGCTTTGGCCATTATATCGTGGCTTACTATCCAAACCAAATGATAAGGATATTATTTATCTTCCACAAATTCCTTACTTCCTCCAACATGGAACTTTGAGAGATCAAATTATTTACCCAATGACAGAGATGGAATTTTATGAACAAGGTTATGTTGATGATGACTTGGTAGAGGTTCTCAGACTTGTGAAGTTACAATATTTACTTACCAGAGAGCCTAATTACATTAATGCCACTTATGATTGGTCAAGTGTTCTTAGTGGGGGCGAGAAGCAGCGTATCAATATTGCTCGGGTATTGTTTAAATCCCCAACCTTTGTTATATTGGATGAGTCTACCAATGCCATCAGTACCGATATTGAAGATTATCTTTATGATTTATTGAAGACTAGGGGAATTACATTTATCACCCTAAGTCATCGTCCATTGTTGATGAAATATCATGATTATTTGATTCAAATCTTGAATAAAGAAGGAGAATGGAAATTTGAAACCTTGGGTACTTCGATGGCTATTGAGAGTATCGAGAATGAAATTTCTAGTATCACTAAAGTGTTGGGTGAAGAAACCAAGTTGATAAAGAGGAAGCAAGAAATTGACTTAATGTTAGAGAATGGTGATGATGATACTGACGTTGAAGAGAGTGGCGAGATTTATTATGACATGTATAATTGATAGTTTTTGGTTGTGAGTAAATAGAACATTGATAAATTTATTTTTCTTGTTTTGAAACACCATGTTTTTTTATCCATGCCGGTAATGAGCCTTTTTAATAAGGCAACAAAATATGAGCATCATGTTTTCCATTGCCATAGTATAGGCCTCACAAGGAGTTGGCTCACAGTGTCAGTTACAACTTACATTGAGCCATTGATCGAAACACATTACTCCTATTCGTCGAAGTACGACGCATCTAAAGTATGCCGCACCACATTTGACTCCTTTGTCCCGTCGTATTTAGTTAGAAAACGTCCACGATTCTATTAATATTCCTACGGACTTTTAAGTAGTCGGATTTGTAATAAAATTCTGTTCTGTTTTGCAGGTTTTTGCGATTGGCTCCCACCAATTCTTGCAAAAAAAAAAAAAAAGAATGGTGCCTCTTATGCACCTTTGATGCCACACATTCCTTTCAACATGCCGAGCCCACTGTTGCAAAAGGTCTTGGATGGATATATAAAGCCAAGACTTCTTTCCATTGGCACGAAAAAAAGAGAAAGAGAAATTCTGGAGTATTAGGATAATACAATAATAATAAACAAAAAATAAAATAAAATAAAATAATAAAAAATACAATATGCAACTCAGCTCTTCCATCTTATTTACCGTGCTTGCCTCGTTGGCATCTGCTTATCCGGTCCAAAGAACCCCATTGAAACTTGATTTCAACGTCACCAGAACCGTCACCGGGGATATCAAACCACCTTCTCCTATCGAAGAACCAAACGTCCCAGGGATTTTGGTCAAGCACAGAACCACCAACTCATCCAGAAGTGCCCTAATGCGTATTGAAAACGATTATTCATTATACGTTGCAGAATTCGGTCTTGGTACCCCAGCTCAAACTTTCAAGATTCAAATCGATACCGGATCTTCTGATTTCTTCGTTCCAGCAGTCAACAGTTCTTCTCAATATGGTACTTTCGACCCATCGAAATCCTCAACTTACAACCAAACCAGTAAAGATTTTGAAATCATGTATGGTGATAGAACTTACGCCAAGGGTAAATGGGCTTATGATGATTTAACTTTCGGGAATGTGGAATTGAAAAACATTTTTTTTTCTGCTGCTACTAACCAAACCACTGGTGAAGGGGTTTGTGGAATTGGTTTCCCTACTAATGAGGCCAGCAACTATCCTGGCGGGTTCATGTATGATAACTTACCAGTGCAATTGGTCAACCAAGGTTATATCTCCAAGAACGCTTATTCATTATACTTGAACTCTGAAGAAGCCAGCTCAGGGTCTGTGTTGTTTGGAGCCATTGATCATGCCAAATATCAAGGTGAATTACAAACTTTCGATATTGTTGATATCGATGATGGCGGTGACAAGACTTCTACTCCATACGCTTTCTACATCAACTTGGATAGTGTTTCTGTTAACAATACCACTTATATCAATACTGCTTACCCAGCCTTGTTGGACTCCGGTACCACTTTGCTCTATGCTCCAACTGAAGTTTACAAGAAAGTCGGGGAAACTTACGGTACTTACAGCAATGATGACGAAGGATATGTTACCACTTGTGGAGCCACTGGTCCAAACTTCGATTTCAAATTCAACAATTTAACCATTAGTGTCCCATTCAAGGACTTATTATTCTCTTTGGAGGACAATGGAAGCATGGGGGCCAATGATAAATGTATGATCGGGTTGCAAAATGCGGGATCCTCAACATACATTTTGGGTGATGTTTTCTTGAGATCTGCTTATGTCGTGTACGATTTGACCGATGCGAAGATCTCTATGGCTCAAGTTAAATACACTGCTGAAGAAGATATTTCTTTCATTTGAGAGTGGATGAAGTTGGTATTTTCAATTTGCTATCCTTTTCTTTATGTCGATTCCATTTTTTTTTTTTTTTTTAAAAAGCAAAATTTTCTTTCATCTTATTATTTATGAATTTCAGTTCTCCTCACCTTTTTGGCCTTATTTTTTTGGGGGTCAGTTACATCAGTTATATATAGTCTGGTTACTATTAGTTATAAATAAATTTTCTTATTGAATTCTATAACATCGATATGGGTAGACACAATCACCTCGCCAACTATAAAACAGGAATCTCGCTATAATACACATGGATTTATCCCTCACTAATCATGGACAGTACACACCATTCACAAGTTCAAATCATACCTTTCATTGTACATTTTCAAAAATCTTTGAAATGCCAGGTTTTTTCGCATGGCATTTTTTCTTGTTTGTCCCCAGCGTACTCGATAGAAATGATCTAAGATATTTAAAATCAAATGTTTCCCAGGGTTTCGATAGGTTGGATTATCGGATACCATATTTTGCAATAAATACAAAGTGTTTAATGAGGTTTTCACATTTTCATTACTTATCAAAGAAGGCTTCACCACCAGATCACCTTGAGGAATATGAACGTCTCCAGTGCCATCACTAACAAATTTAGATCGCACGTAACTCTGGTACGAGCTCTTAATGGATTTTTGCTGTGATATGAAAGGAGTTAACCGAATGAATCTTCGATATAGCGTCTTGGACCGTAGTGACGGCGGAATATTTTGTAATTGTTGTGGGGTCACAGTGTACTTCGAAACATCTTTGATGATTGTGGCGGATTTAGTGATTGTTGCCTTGGCAGTTTCTAGAAATGACATTCGTATATGTTATGGTGGTTTAATCCTTGAGGATCTGATAAAGCGTTTGAAATTGCAATATCATCTCCTAAGCTGAACTAAAAAAAATAAGAAGGTGCCAACACTGCGGTTACAATCCAGAATCAGCTTATTGTCAGTGTTGTTCACTCCAACCACTGGAGATATTTTAACAACCCTGGGAAAAGGTACTCCATACCCAATATAGATGGTCAATATCTTGAAAACAAACTATCTTGAATCACTTTCACCATGGGCACAGACTATGCTACAAGCTGGTTATTTTCTGCTCATTAAAGAAATTGATTGGAGTTGGAATACAAAATTGAGAAGATGGTTGAAAGAATGAAAGTATTGAAAAAAAAAAAAAAAAAAAGAGTGAGAAAATAATAAATAAAGACAAAAAATAAATACGAGACAGTGTATGTACTATTGACTATTGGTGGCGCACTAGCTGTTAGCTCGCTAATTATGATCTCAACATGCATATCAATCGGGTTATGGTTCTAGAAATGACAAAAAACTATAATGGTTCTAGAAATGACAAAAAATTATAATGGTTCTAGAAATGACAAAAAATTATAATAGGCTTCTTCTAGTTATTCATGATTCATTAATTCAAGCATTACCAGCTCTGGTCTCACACATATCAAGAGGGAGGATACCATTATCATCAATAATCCATCGAGCAAGTAAATAAAAGCTTCGTGTGAAATAATGAATCCATCGAAACCTTGTCCAAACTCAACAACTCTGACAATACATCTAACGACAATCAAAATGCTTGTGATTATCAAAGTGGCATTTAAATTGTTCCAATTACGCTGGAAAATACCCATGGTGCTGGTTTTGGTGCTCCCATAACTAGCAGTCGTAGGTATTTTGTTGATCAAATACGTGAACTTAATTTCCGATAGAATAAAGAAAAAAAGGAAAATCAATTGTATGATTAAACCAGCAATAACAATTTTTGGCCCAAGATCCTGATTCCCACTTTGAGACATCATTCCACCACCGGCTGATTGGACAAAAAAACTGAAAACGTCCCCAATAACAAAAAAAGTTGTTTGGTACTTGAATTTAATAATTGAGTAGTCTGAAGCATTCAAGTGTCTCATCATTCTGCCAAATATCATGTAGATAGTAGCGGCAATAAAAGAAGGAGCGATCAATAAAAGGATAGACTGTATAATGTAGGGAGTCAACAATTGTTTATTTCCATGAGACAGAGCTCTAGCAAAATAACCAACAGCCTCCATCAAGATACCAATCATCATTGGGATAAACATAGGAAGAATCTGTTTCTTGAAACACGAAACCTGATTCTGTGATAAAGATAAGAGGGATTCATCTTTCTTGTTATATGAGCGTAACCCACCAGTATGGAGATTGACTTTTGAGAGACTTTGGCAAATAATGAAAATATTATATCCCAATAATATGATGAAGGTAACACCATAAATTATGGCACCAGCCATAGTTGGGGTATATTTGTACAACTGGAATTCACCCATTAATATCACGAAAACCTATTGATATTGTTGTATTATTGAATGTATTTTGCACAAAGAACAGTCAAATATGAGAAATTTGTTTAGCTACTTGATATTAATTTATTTCAAAAGATCTTAAATGAAATCCTGATTTATATATAATGAAAAAAAAAAAAGAAAAACAACTTCAACTATGTTTTATGCGAGTTGTATCCACGGAAGTAGGTCTGCATATTCCACGGAACCTACCGAGCTCAGCCTAATTCTGCTCTGGCTGCCATGTGTCTTCGATAAACACTATCCAAAAATGAAGAAAAAAAAAGGAAGGAGAGATATTTTCCTGACTATATCTTTCTTTGATGGACCCATCAGGACTTCACAACTTAGAGTAGGGGCTAATAAAGTGGTTAATATTGACGTTTTGCACGTGCAACCGACTTTTCTTTGAAAATAAAATACGCATTTGATTTCTAATATCTTCCCCACGAGAATTAGCAATAGGAGAAGCAGAAGAGAAAGAATAATAAGAATAATTATAATCATAATATGCTGAAAAAAGTTCCATGATAAACAGGATTTCCAAAGGTCCTCCAAAGAGAACTAGCAGAGCTTACAATTGCTACCGAAGGAAAAAGATCAAATGTAATGGAATGCTCCCTTATATTAATTGTATCAACTACAATATAGTTTGCGTTTATGATTCAAAATCATCTAAAGGTCAAACAAATCATAAAACTTCATCACTAGTCTCTAAGTTACTTTCTAACTTAAGCAAAATTGGTGAGGGCGATATTCAGAAGAATCAATCACTCTTATCTGGTCTTGACACATTGAACACCTTACTTGAGCAATCATTGGATAAGGCTCGATATAATAAAGAGGATGTCAGTTCACCGTTATCTAAGGAAAATATATCATCAAAAAGTCTTAGGAAAAACAGATTTACTAAGACTATAGATGGACAATGTACTGTTAACTCTTTTTTGGGCTATACTCCCCCGTCTTATTGTTTTCGGGCCCTGTTTTATCCTGGTTTATTGACACACTTATGAAACATAACACAGTTTATGACTTGAATATTTTTGGTAAATAAAAAACAACTCAAGAATTTCATGCATTCGCGATTCATGAAGAATTTACAAGATTTTGAAAAATCAAGTGTTATTTGGTCTGAATTTTTAAACCTAAATGATCTATTGGGATTTAACTTAGATGAAAAAGAATTTTCATATCTTATTCAAGAGTATTACTCTCACCCTAATATCAAATGCTATATTTCTTAGTCAGTATTAACTGATATGGTGGATGATTTTTTCAAAGGTAAACAATCGTGCTTTCTCAATAGAAAATTCCTAGTACTATTTTCTTTTATTGTTTCTGCATCATTATTATCATCCAATCTGGATCAAGCATTGGGAACTGATTGTTTTAGAATTTGTACATTTATTATTAAAAATTCAGTTTTCAGCGTTAAGAATAATATTAAATTTCTAATAGGCCTATTACAGCTCTTATCCAGTGGAGAATTAAAATTGTTTCCTGAATGCTTTGGGTCTATTTTTGCAGAAGTAACAGAATACATTTTAAGTTAGTATTTAATAGAAAAGAACTATATGTTGGGTTAACCGAGACTGATGCAGATTTGAGAAGAAGTATTATGTGGGACCTTTGTGCTCTTGACAAGAAAAGATTATTTATTTCAGACTAGAGGGATGTACATATATGATGATGTATCATGCTTATATCAAAACCCCGTGGAAGCAATAATATCTAGTCCTCCATAATCTAGCACCACAATATTGCAGGAAAATCAATTATCAAGCTACATTGAATATTATCAGATGTGTAATGATCTAGACACTTTCTTACTTTTCTTTCTCTTTCTTTCTTTTTATTGTTCTTATCTTTTCTTCTCTCTTCTTTATTTAACTCCATTCCTTATCTCGGACAACCTCCTTATCTCCGACTACCTTTTTATTTTCCTTTGAGTTCCCTTTTAGGTAAGTCTTACTTTCTTTTCTCACCTATAAAAAGCTTACTTCATCTATTCCTTTTAGTTTTTATTCTTCTTTAATATACTTTAACTACTATGTTACCCAACTAAACCATTACAAGATGAAATTGGCGAAAATGGCCTATATGATCCATAATGAATTTTTATCAGCAAGTAGTTCTTTGAAACTGGCTAGCACTGAGGCGCTTAATAAAATCTTGACAGAATTCCAATATTTAAGAGATTCGATGGTGCTGGAATTGAGGCCTGGGTCAAAAATCATGAATGATACTTTTAGTAAACTGGATATCTGGAAGATAAGTTCGCTCCATATAAGTTTCTTCGCTTGTCCATTGTTTTTGATTTCAAGTTTGAAGACACTACCATACAGGGGAAAACCTCAATACTCGGTATATTTTAATAAAACTACTGAATATGCAATGCTGATTTTACAATTATTTTTGGATGTTAGGGATTATAATGAGCAGCAAGTCTTTCCCGAAATTTGTGGGCGACAGTAAGAAGTACTTTTACACCCTTGATTGAAAAAGTTACCCAGAGTCCTTTAGATGCCGAAACCCCGAAAATCATGGAAATATTGTTGAAAGTTAGGAAGCAGTTGTCAAATTTTTCTTCAAGAAATTGGAACTATTTCGGTCAATTCGTTGATTTATTTTTGATACCTACAATGAAAATATTCAAAGAACTTTATAAAGATGGAATAAATAATGAATTGACTACATTAATTGATGACCTTTTGCGAGAAATTTCCGTTGCTGATGGGGTCCAAAGTAACCCAGAAGCTGCTAGCTTGAACAATAATATTTAAAATTTCAAGGAAATTGATTTTAACCACCATTTTCTTGCAATGTTCGACTCTATAGATCCTTTGGTTTTCTTAGAGCCTGGTTTCGAAGGCTAGCACTAAATAGTATAAAATATTTCTTCATAAAAATTTCAGGCATAATCTTCTGCAAAGCTTTTAGCGTTACAGTAATGTAAAATCTCTTTCTCTCCACTTTTTCAATCCCGTGGAACAAACAGGAGCACATAAATAAATATGACCTCACCTTTCATTTCTTTTTACTCTTTTTAGCTTCTCTTCAGTGAGGACAAAATATTCCGAATAATAAATAAAAGTATCATTATGTACAGCGACACTTGTAAAATCAGTGCGATTTTTTGAAATACTTTTCTTGGCTACTGTAGATATTTTATTGTTTCTGTGGTTCTGAAAACAAAAGAAAATAACAACAAAGAAAGGGCTATTCATTTGCTAAAAATCACGCTACAAAATCAAAAGGTCAATAAAACCATCAAGCCCACATAAAATCACTAATTAAGGTGATAGATAATCTTTAAAAATTTAATGCTAGTTCACATTAAAAATTGAAATAAGAAAGCTGAAGATATCATCGTCAAAAATTTTGACTTCCAAACAGTATGCCCATTGTTCACTATACTATCAATTGGGGGAGTCGGATAAGTTGAGGTCGAGGAAGAAGATGTAAAAATCAGAGGTTTCCAAGAAGTGGTAGTAGATGAAGGTTTAGTTGGCTCCCAAGTCGTAGTTGGCTCCCAAGTCGTAGTTTCAGAAGTAGTAGATCCTGGAGTCGTAGATGAAATAGTGGTTCTCGTGGTAGTTGGGGTTCCAGGCTCAGAAGTTGTACTTCCCGTGGTTCTAGAACCTGTAGTAGTTGTAGTGGTTGACCCAGATGTGGTAGATCCTGGAGTCGTAGATGAAATAGTGGTTCTCGTGGTAGTTGGGGTTCCAGGCTCAGAAGTTGTACTTCCCGTGGTTCTAGAACCTGTAGTAGTTGTAGTGGTTGACCCAGATGTGGTAGATCCTGGAGTCGTAGATGAAATAGTGGTTCTCGTGGTAGTTGGGGTTCCAGGCTCAGAAGTTGTACTTCCCGTGGTTCTAGAACCTGTAGTGGTTGTAGTGGTTGACCCAGATGGGGTAGATCCCGACGTACTAGGCTCAGAAGTGGTGCTTCTTGTGGTTGTGGATCCTGTAGTAGTAGAACCTGTAGTGGTGGTGGTGGTAGATGAAATAGTACTTCCTGTAGTGGTTGTAGTGGTTGTAGTGGTTGACCCAGATGGGGTAGATCCCGACGTACTAGGCTCAGAAGTGGTGCTTCTTGTGGTTGTGGATCCTGTAGTAGTAGATCCTGTAGTGGTAGTGGTGGTAGATGAAATGGTACTTCCTGTAGTAGTTGGGGTAGTGGAGCCGGAGCTAGAGCTGGAAGTTGGGGTATTGGAAGTTGAGCTAGAACTAGAAGTTGGGGTAGTGGAGCTGGAGCTAGAGCTGGAAGTTGGGGTAGTGGAGCTGGAGCTAGAGCTGGAAGTTGGGGTAGTGGAGCTGGAAGTTGGGGTAGTGGAGCTGGAGCTAGAACTAGAAGTTGGGGTAGTGGAAGTTGAGCTAGAACTAGAAGTTGGGGTAGTGGAGCTGGAGCTAGAACTAGAAGTTGGGGTAGTGGAAGTTGAGCTAGAACTAGAAGTTGGGGTAGTGGAGCTAGAGCTGGAGCTGGAACTAGATATGGAACTGGTGGTTGAAGTTGATGATGATGAAGATGAAGAAGGGACATAACACTGCAGCTCATCATCAACTGGAGTGCGAAACATATTCAAATATGGATAACCATTTTTTTGGACGTTAAATGAGAAGTAGGTAGTCAGAGACCCAGTATTCACAAATTGAAATATAATTGGATATAAAGCAAGTTGTAAATCAGCTGAGAAAGTGTTCGAGCCTGTTAGACCATTAATGGAAGCTTTTCCGATACCTTGTCCTGAAGTTGAGGCGGTGGGAGTTTCTTCAAGAAGATCATTACAGGCGAATGCATTTTCAGAGCCAAGATAAACAAAAGCCTTTCCACCAGTATTGACAGTAAATGTATGTGTCCCAGCAGAATTAACCCAATAATATGATCTGATGATAACAACCTCATTAGGCTTCAAGGTAATTGAATTACCCCAAGAATTGAAAGAGCCAAAATAAGAAGGACCCCCTGAGTTGGTGCTGCCAGATGGAGTTTGTGGATTGGATATATCATATGTGAAAATGTTCTGACCCTCTTTAAAGCAGTAGCACACATTATCGTAAATACACCCATTGGTGGAGAGTACTGAAGAAATGAAAAATATAAAAAAGTTCAAGATAAATAAAAGAAGCATTTTGAGAAATCAATAGGTACAATCTTCTATTAATTGGTTTGTCATAGTTGTAAACATTTGAAGTAGCCAGGGGTGCTTACTTTTACTTATATATATATGGTCTAAGCCTACTTTAAATTGTCTATTCATTCTGGGTGAGCTTATCTCATTTTGGTTTACAACATCAATAATGTTGCTCTAATAATTTTTGACATTTCATCCAGTTATTTGTGCTTTTTTTTCTATAGATTTTTGTTAACTCTACTCTGTACCCGGTAATTGTATATTCATGCATGTTGCGAAAACTATTTATTGCTATCTTGTTCCATTTAATAAAACTAATAGAAACCAATTACGTTTTTGTTATATAGTAATTTGATATTTTTGACAACTGGAATACATCTTTGCCTAACTAATATCTTTATTTAGCTGGTGTCAAGAGATATGAAGCTACTTTCAAACAGTAACATTGGCAATCGAGCCGTTATTGTGAATGGCAATTTAGTCAAGGCCATCAAGGTCATCATAAAAAGAAAAAGAGTTCCAAATTTATTGTATAGTAAAAGCATTATTATTATGTTATTGCTATATTTCCATGGAATAACCTCAACATTACCATGACTAGATGACAAAAGTTTTGATATCTGGTTACAAAATGGCTATTAAAGAAGCAAACATAGAACTCAGAGCTTTGTAAATCGTATACAGATGTAACAAAAATGAGAATACATCACTCAAGAATGAAGCTGAAGTTACTCATATGAGATCCATGAAGTATTTTGGTTGTCAGTGCTGAAATCTGTTTACATCAACAGGACTTTTTCTTTATAATATATATTATAAATTATAAAAAAAAAGTAGATATATATTATATATCTATATAATACATAGTATATATCCCCAATATTTTCTTTATCAGAAAAACTTCAATTCAACTGCGGTTTGGGATGAATATGAGGAGTTTAAATCTTTTGAATCAGTAAGTAAAAAAAATTGCATTTGTATAGTTCATGTGGTTTAAAGCGTAAAAATATAAAAAATTGCTGTTCTGTTTTGGCGCAGATGGTTCTCTTGTTCTTCGAAGGTATTTTGCTTTTCTTGCTAATGTGAATTTTTTATAAGATCTGAAATGGTTGCTATCAATAATGAATGATGACATAGATTTAGTTTGATATAGAAATACTGAAAATATTATGCTGTGAGCATTTTCCGTGGTAATTGCTAAATATCTAGAAACGTTGCTAGAGGCATTACTTGCGAGGTTGGTGCATTGCTTGTGAAGTTTATACATTGCGAGAACTTTTACTTTTACTGTTCCCAAGAGTTATATTCCCTTGCACATGTTAGTACAATTACAGATAAATTTTGAAATGAGATATTTTCTGTCAAATTGTGAATTGCTCTTAGATATTCTTATATAAGCATCAATCTGCTGAGATCTCTCCCTAAGTATCAAAAGCCATTACCGCATTAATCATGGTTCTAAATAATTGCTTGGGATCTTTTCTCACTTACACATATATTTTTATGTTAGCTTTTGCAAAAGCTGATACATTTGAGTATTTCACAGTTGATACCCAAAATGCTAAATCACTTGGTCTTGATCCGGCTGCTGCTAGATGCTGAATAAAATTGATACTCATTGGATAGCCGGTAAACTCGAGAAAAATCTCGGTCGACGTGTTCCAATAAAAATCAAAATCCTTTAATTAAATTTAAATTATTGCAAACCTACTTATATCGAAAATTATTCTTGTGTTGACTTCTGTTGCTATTCTTCTCAAATCTGGCTCCGCAACTGCCATTTCTTTTTTTAATATCTCTTTTCTAACTTGAATATTAATAGTGTATATACAAGTACTTGCTACAATATTTTATAAGATAATAATTGTTACATTACTTATTCTAAATAAATAATATTGATATTTTCTATTACTTGATACGAAATTATTGATTGATGGGCTACTTGGCTGCTAAGAAATTATTAATGCTGACCAAAAAAACCCTTCAAGATTTAAAATTTCAAGTGACTTTTTCATTCACAAATCAGAATATTTCGAATAGCAACATTATTGAATGAAGTAGCAAATCCTCAGCCACATTGTATATAATAGATCATCTTTAAGCACGCTATCATCTGGAGCATTAAGAGCAATCATCAGAACATCCGGATCCTTTATTTCTGGAAGGACGAAGTAAGAATGCAAATACTGTAATAGAAACAAAAAGTAATTATATTGAGTAATTCGAGAAAATTAAATACACCCTCAAACAATCCTTTTTTTTAAACAGACAAAAAAAAAAAAGGTTTATTTCTTGTTGTTTCCGCAATACATCCAGAAACTTAGACAAAAGGAATCCCTTCTTCCATCAATTGCTCATAAGTGATGTAAGCAAAACTTAGTTCACAATAGTGAAATATTACTTAGGCAAATACTCATTTAGTAGGCATGCAGATAACTGATTTCACCTTCATTATAAGACTTGCATCTCTCATATTTTTAAGTTTAGTCCCGTAAACCTTGAATGGTCGAGAAATAGAGCCAGCTATTAGTGTGAACAAACAAATAATACGTCATCATTGATCAACATGATCTTATGTGTGCCATTATACCTCTTCTGTCAGTCAGATTGCAGATTGGCCACTAAAAGTGCATTTTTTTTTCTTAGAGGCAGTAATAAAAAAAAAATGTTATAATAATTACTTCCCTTATTGAGCCGTATAAATCTTCTACCCCTGACATTCAAAACTGTGGACCAATCTTGTTTTCCTTCTCATATCTTTCATTTTTAATCTTCTCCATTTCCTCAGGACTTATCTGCTTATCTGCTAACTCCTGGATACTCTTTGCAGTATTACTATAACCATCCCATTGCAACTTGACTCTCTTGGTGTCATTGATATCACCAATTTCCTCACCTCTGAGTCTCTTGATGTTTGCAAATACTTCGTTATCAGTGATATTAGAAGGCACCGCATTCTTACGCAAATAGTTTTGCTTTTCTTGTTCATATTTCGGGTCACGGAGCACAATCTTCATATGAAGATCAAACTTATCTTCTGGAATAAGCTCCCCTGTAATTGGACTTTTAACAAGTTTGACATTTGACAAAACTCCGGGTTTCTGCTGTGGCGGTTGTAGACTTTCCTGATTTTGTGATCTATTACCACCCTTCTTCAATCGAGTTTCCCCGGCACTCTTAATTTTCATCCCTCTTCTTGGAGGGGCAATTGGTTTCTGTGATATTGTGTCTACATTTTCTTCTTGCGATGGCGCAGGTTGTGAAGCACTTGATTTTTTGGGGGGTTTAGGAATGTAAGATTCGTCGTTGGTAAAATCAGGAGGCGCTTCTTCAAGTAAACTATTGGCTTTCTTCTGTTGTAGAGACCGGTAAATCAAATCATTCTTATTTATTGGTAACGGTAATTCGCTAAACTTATCAGTTTCTGTGAATTCCACTGTCGTAACGATTTTGAAATCTCCCCAATCAATCATTGCATACTCTAATTTGGCGTTTTCTTCAGCTTGTTTGGCCTTTTGTGCATCATTTTGTAATTTAGAGTTGTGTTCGGCCCGAAGATATGACTTTTCTAAAAGATATCTGGTTAATTTATAATCATCACCATCCACAGAATTCACTTTCTCTATTAATTTTTGAGGGGGATGGATGCAATTTTTGTATTGCTCGACAAATTTTTGGAAAACAGGGTTCAATCTGTGGTTGTCATTGAGGAACTCAAATTGCGGCTGGTTCAATTCAAAGACATGTTTCTTGAAATTCTTGAAATATTCTTCACTATCATTGACAGCACAGGTCAATGCTGATATTTTGATGGTTTCAAGGTCCGAAGCGTTGGCATACGGTAGCTTGAACATGAACTGGAACTCATCTGGGATAGGCGGTTTCTCTTTATTGTCATTGGCAACTTGGTTGGTATCTTTTGCTGGTGCAGCACTCTTATTAGCATTAGTACTGCTATTTTCCCGATAATCTTTTAAACAGAATTGGTAGTAACCAAAGAATGGGTCATCGAGCTTCAAGAAGGAAAACTTATCGCCCGATTCCCGCAACAATCTACTGGCAAACTGCTGGCCATTTCTCGCAATATATCCAGCAGTTTTCTCTATTGTCTCCTTAACCTTAGCGGGAGGGATAATTACACTTTCCGGAATCTCCCCGACTGGCATTTGTTTGTTTTGAGGAGGATGATAACTGCAGTAGAAAATTATTATGTATGTTGAGATTTATTTATCTTGGTGATTTATTTTTTTTTTTTTTTTTAATCTCTTCGCTCTTCATTTACCCGGCGACCGGATGCATGCTAAATTTTTCCTCAGTGATCTGATCCACTCCCCATCAGGAAGCTAAAACTTCTCCCTTTGTTTGTTTTCTAAAACATTATTGAAGAAAGTTTACTAGAAGTTTTTTTTTCTTTACTTGTTTACTGCCCTGAAAAATCAAAATGCACACAAATGGGTTGTCCAATACTCTAAAGAACTTGAAAAGTCTTGGGCCAAAAAGTGACTCAAGTCTTTTCGACATGACTCGCTTATCAAAAAGCCTTCAATTGAATGACTCGAGAAAAAAATCAAAGAAAGCCTCCGGAGACAAAGATCTTCTGTCTAGGAGAGGTAGTGTTCCTGAAAATACCTGCAGTGACACCGATCTTGAAGGTGATTCAGAAGCTGTGGATCTTCTGGAAATCGACTTTCCTGAAGGAGGGATAAAAGCATGGTGCTCGGTGTTGGGATCGTTCCTTGGGTTAACCTGTACTTTTGGAAGTATGAACAGTACTTCTGCCATTGAAACTTACATTTCTCGTAACCAGTTAAGCAACGTATCCGCGTCGGTGGTTGGATGGATTTTCTCGATTTACATGTGTATTGGGTTATTATGTGGGATTTTGACTGGGGATTTTTTCGACCGCAGAGGCCCAAGACCGCCAATCTTCCTTGGTGGTGTGCTTTCATTCATTGGTATGTTTATAACCGGTAGCTGTACTGAGATTTACCAATTTATTCTTGCATTCGGGGTCGTTGCTGGCTTGGGTAGTGCCGTTCAGTTTTCCAGCTTAATCGGGATCATTAGTCATTACTTCAATAAGAAAAGAGGAATTGCTATTGGTATCGCGACTATCGGGGGTTCTGTAGGTGGGGCCATTTTCCCAATCATGTTGAGAAAGTTGTATTCCAACTTAGGTTTTACCTGGGCAATGAGAATCTTTGCCTTTGTGGTTTTGTTCTTGGATATTGGTGCTTTTGTATTTATCACCCCTAGGTTCCCACCGAAGAAAAATACGAAAAAGGGAGCCAGTTTTTCCCAAAAGGTCTCAACCTTCTTCAAGAAGGTCTTGGATGTTGAAGCCTTCAAAGACCCACGATTCTCCTTCTGTGTTCTTGCCGTTACTTTTTCAGAAGTTTTTCTTGTGACCTCTATGACTTATTATGGTTCCTACGCTTTATTCAGAGGAAACTCGGAAGATACCGCATACTTGCTCATTACTGTTATGAATGCCAGTGGGATAGTTGCTAGAATTGCCGCAGGGTACTTATCTGACAAAGTTGGGAAATTCAACCTTATGACAATCATGATATTCCTTTCTTCATTGTTCTGTTTGGTCATTTGGTTACCTTTAGGTCACCTAACTGGTGGGTTATATGCCTTCTCAGTAGTGTATGGGATTTTCTCTTCAGCAGTGTTGAGTTTGACCCCGTTATGTGTGGGACAAATTAGTAGAGTGGAAGATTTTGGTAAAAAATACTCTACCTGTTATTTCGTGGTGGCTCTTGGAACCTTGGTGGGTCTTCCTATCTCTGGTCTTTTCATTGGTAGTAACCCAACTTCCAGAAATTACGATAATTTCATTATTTTCCTATCGGTATTGGGTTTTACAGGGGTGGTCTGCTGGCTTATCTCTCGATGGTATGCCGTCAAGTTCAAGTTGTGTATTTACTAAGGCAATAAACCAACTCCAAATTAAAGTAGAATTCATCAAATTTTAATTGGAATCAACAGAGAATATTACAGAGATGAAATCGACAAGTTTTTAGATTTTGCTGTGGAGAAGCTACCTTCAGGATGAAATACAAGGACTTTAAATATGAATTGTTAAACCCCATTGGTCGAATAATGCATAAGGTAATTTGCAATGATTTGGGCGTATATTCCGTGAATTAAAAAGGTTTTGGTAATATTCTGAATTAATGTAACACAGTAGAGCTCCTAGTGATAGTTTTGTAAATTACATTGAATAGCTGGATCTCATTTTTGCAATGTGATGCCCCATCACATAGAGCATCGCAATAGATGGAAATGATTAGCAGTATAGAAGTAATGTCTAATTTCTTCAGAAATGCTGCTGGGAGTTGTCAACAATAACTGCAGAAGAAGTCATCGACCCAAATCAAATTGTTTCCCAGTATTGAATTATTCCAATTATTTTCACAATTTTTTCTGAGCTGAAGATCTCTGTCTCTTTTGTTCCAATTGGCGACGTTTCTATGTTTATTCTGGATAATGAAGGCTTGAGGGGGGCTGTGAATTAATTTGTGAAACACTAAAATTAAAAATTAATGTGACCTTACCAGCTACAAAAAAACTCTTTCTCTACGGTCATATATTTGAAACGCTAAAACAAAAAAAATATTGATCTTTCACCCTTCAAAAAGCCAGAAGGTTTCATAATTTCTAAAGCTACCTTTAATCCGGAGAAAGAGTTGAACAAGCATATCGATTTTTTTTTTTCTTAATATTTCCTATTACCATTGTGGGAGTGATTCAATTATAGGAACAGTTTAGTATGCCAAAATTACGAGAGACGGTGGGAGGTGCCAACAAATATATTTAATTACCGAAATAATACATATTTTTCTTTCTGAAAGCTCACGATATTTTGATACAATTACTGAATACATCCAATTCATACTCACTATCTTTTAAGGTTTTCTTAACAAGCATATCAAATACTATGCTCATCTATCACTAGTGTACTACAACGTTTCTTTGTGTAATATGTTGCGGCTCCAAAAAATATTCGTTGATGAACATGGAAATGATACTTCTATCTAACAAAAGGCTATCAATAAGTATATACCTGATCCAAAACTAAGATACCATCCTCTAAAGAATTCTTGATGATGTAGGAATACTAGGGCAGTGTACTTTGGTTCGGGATATCTGTCCAATATTTCTGGTCCCTGGCGTTTAAAGAGAGGGGAGTTATCACAAATGTCAAATGGAATGTGGGAACAGAGTGAAAAATTGTGTACTACATGAAAATCATATCCGCAAATATTTGCAAAAAAAAAAAAAAAAAAAAAAATATATATTTACTATGAATGAAGAAAAATAGATAAATGCTTGGTATTCATCTGGGCCTTGAGAAAAGAAATGGAGATCCAGATGTTGGCGGTGGATTAATGCCTGGTTAGGGGCGCTGTGAAGGATAATTCCAAGTGAGAAAAAAAAAAAATTTTCTGCGTGAAGATTTCTAAATGAAATTTTAGAAGACAATCCAAATCATCAGGGAGAAGATAAACACAAGAATAGCCGTTGCTTGTTGTTACTTTCTGTACCATTTATAGAAATAATCAATTGTATAGCGCAAGAAAATTAACCAATAACTCAGGAATAGAATAACAAAATGGCGAAAAGTAAACATATTTCAAAGGAATACATCTCTAGTTCAGATGAAGGCCACAGTTCAGATGAGGAGTTTGTGTTTGAAGCACCTAGATCATATCAGAAAATCAAGAGTTTCAAATCACTTTCTTCGAAGAACTTGAAAGATAAAGAAGTTTGGCTTATCAAGGCTCCAAAAAATTTCAGATTCGATGGGGTCAAATCTTTCCCAATTTCCTTCGATGTTAATGGCACATCAGTGATCGAGAAGGATAATAAGAAATATAAAGTTGCAGAAGATATATTCCAAGAAACACTGATTGTGGCTGGAACTGACAAATCCTCTAAGAAGAAACAGAAAAAAAGCAGCATCAACATTGACAATAAGTACCGTGTTTTGTTACCGGCTGGCTCAAAGCACGGAAGTAGTGATGAATTGAAAGTCTCGGAGATTCCAATCAAAAGATTCTACTCGGTTTCTGAAAATGTCGAGATCCCGGTAATTCAACATAATAAAGTATTTGAAGCAAGAAAGGATGTCGAAAAGACATTGGGTTTGAGAATGAGACACTTTGCTACTGGTTATAACGAGGATGATTTCAAGGGCCAGTTAACAAGAAACTACGATGATTTATTGGATGGGGAAAGTGCCGAAATTCAGCATTCTAGAAAGAAGCAAAAGACTGACGAATCAACTGAACCCCAAGAAAGCACCGAAGTGAAGAAAGAAAAAAAGGAAAAGAAAGAAAAGAAGGAAAAGAAGGACAAGAAAGAAAAGAAAGAAAAGAAGCATAAGAAGGACAAAAAAGATAAGAAGAGCAAACAGGATAAATAATTGCATATCTTTATAAATGGGAAATAATGTTTTTATTATTCTGAGAAAAAAAGTTCTGTATCATTTTATTTTTTTGTTTCTTTTTCTTTTTTGATTTTATCTTCCTCACCATCATGTAATGTCTGTTCATTTTAAATTTTGTCAATACATTTGTACTATATAATAAAGTGTCTTACGATGTAGCCTTATCAATTGAACGTAATAATATTAATGCAAAGAATGAAAAACAAGAAATGACAGGACCAATGAAGGGATTTGTTTACACAGTAAACAGCCTTCCACACAAAATTCATAAGATAGATGTTTGATTAGCAGTTGGAAACATATAGTGAATCCATTTAGAGTACTGCCCTTCAAAAAAAAGAAAAAAAAAAAAAAAGAAAGGAGGTGAAACAAAAAAAAAAGTACAGTCCATCAAGAAGGTTACCTATCATTCTTCAAGAACTCCACATTCTTGTATTCCTTAGCCAAGGTCTTCTTTCTCTTTCTTTCAATCACCTTATCAACTTGTCTCTTCTTCATATGCTTGAACTTCTCTACCTGGATCAATTTCTGTTGATCCGCACGCTTCAAATAATGACCCTTCTTACCTTGTTTGATCTCATCAAAGTATTGGTTCTTCACTCTTCTCTTAACAGACATTGCTAAGTCCTTATTTTTAAGAGAATCCATCCGCGACTTTAGTGATTTCATCTGGTAATCTAAATCTTCCAATTCACCATACTTCAATATTTTTGCTGATTTAGGGTCTTTCAAAATCCCGGAAATCTTCTTGATTTCTTCATGACGATACTTGTCTAAAAATTGGTAATTCTTTCTCACTTCAATGTCATTGGCTTTCCCAAATGCCGGATCAAATCTGATATCCCCATATTTCAGCTCTTTGTATTTTGAAGTGTCAAGTCCCTGGATGCTTCTAATCTTCGGCTGTGGCTCTTTGCACGATGCCTCTGAAGGCGCGTGCTTATTTTTCTTTTTTCTTTCTGGTTGACCCATTTTTTTATTTTTTATTTTAGTGTTAATTTGTAATAAATATAGGTTATTGACCTTTGGAGAGGTTTATATCATGCTATTAAAAAGGGCAATCCATACATATAAATTAATTTATAAAAAAAAAAAATCTTTCATAAAAAAAAAAAAAAAAAAAACAACTATCACGTGGGAGATGAGCTTCTCATATATAGGGCCTTATACCCCTTATATCAAAGAGACGAAATCTGTTGGAACATCTTACTCCTAAAAATAACCAGCATAGTATCACCATAATAATGATAGCAGTAATAATGATTAATAATAAAAATAATAATAGCAATAATAAAATTAACAAAAATCTATCGATTTAAGGAGCTTTGAGAAACAAATATATCCAAAATCTCAAAATGAACTGAACTGACGTTGCGTTATGTGCGAATAACAATAAGAGGTCTAACCACCTTTACTCTTTTCTTCTTTTTCCATTTTCTTTTCCTTCTCACCTTTCCATCCTTTCTTCCTCTGTCTTTCTTCATAAGCTTTTCTATTGTCCAAGATTCTACCAACAATCGATTCCGTAGTAATGTTGTCGAATTTATGGGCACCCACAGTTTGCAAAATCCCTAGTTCTCTTTCTAATCTGTACACATCGTTTTTATCCGATGGTTCTGCTGAGTTATCTTGGGTTTCAAATTCTATCTCGATGGTTGGTCCATGGAACACTTTGATTTCGTCGACCCCAAAGGTAGCTTTCAATTTTGAAAAGTATGACTTGGTATTTATATATGGTGCTCCTAAAACCATGGAGTCAACGTAACGGCACTGTAAAACACAAAGGGATCTCTCAAATAACGACATGATTGGGTAATTCAACCCTTTGTACTTGCTGGCAGTATAATCATCAAGCACACCGACCACCACTTTGGCATTATTTTCCAATGCAAGAGAATGAACGGATTTAAGAAGTTCGATATGACCAGGGTGGAATAAATCAAAGGTTCCCGATAAATAATATATCGACGAAAAGCTAAAGTTAGAAGAAACCGTAGTGCCCTTGACAAAGTGTTTGAGGTCCCCAGAATCGGCAAGATTGACAAACACATCTGAACCAGGATTCAACCCTGATTGATCAGTAGCGTATTGATTATATCTTTCCACACTTTCTGCAGTTAACAAAGGATGACAGTAATCGTCATCAACGTTTTTTTCAAACGATTCGTAGGATTTGCTGTCAATGGTTTTCAAATGGTGGTCTTTGGTCATCAACAACATTCTGCCAACCAAATCGGTGGTACTGATACTAGGGGTTCTTTTAACGACCACGAATCTTCCCAAGTCTTTAACAATCTTATAACAATCTTCTCCATTGGCGTCGGTGGTAATATCGTCACCATGAACCGCATATTTACAATCGAACCCATCCATAAACTCGGGGTCAGTGACGTACGGGGCATCACCGATTGGTAAAGTACACCATTTGCAAGCCTGGACGGCCGAAAGACGCTCGGCAAGATTCATTACTGTTGGACCCTTGTTATGAAGGATTTCTTCGTCCGAATGGACTCCGACATAAAGTTCTTTTCCGATTTGGCGAGCCTGAAGCATCGCACCAGCATGGCCATGGTGGGCGAAGTCAAAGCATCCGTCGATCCAAACTCGGGAAGTTTTGGAGTCTTCTGGGGCAGGAAAAGACATTTAGTACAAAGGAATGTATTTTTGAGGGGGTTTTCTATGGTGGCGGATAGATCTGGAGCGCAGAGACAGGGAGTGTGTGTGTGGTTGGTTACACATGTATTTCCTGTCCTTTTTTTTTTTTTGTTCCACTGCGAGTCACGTTGCCACAGCTGAAAAAGTACCAAAAAGACGGTACTTTCCTTCCTGGCTATCCGCGGCAGCAGCCGAGGCCAGAGGTAATGCAATCTCTACGCTGTCCTTAGCATAAACTCAATTGAAAAAAAATCTATTCGACCCCACAATCAGTGCACTACTACTGTAAAACAGAAAATGAAAAACTTTGAAAGAAAAGCTGAGTAAAAGAAAACGAAATAAAGAAAAATTAGAAAAAAGAAAAAAGAAAAGAAAAAAAAAAAAAAAAAAATGAAAGAACACCAGAATATCCTTCACATCTTATCAAGATGCCTCCTTTTGATCCCCATTCGTAGCTTCTCTTTCAGGCGTCTCATGATCGATATTCTTATCTGCCCCTTTAGTTCGCTCTGGAAAAGTCGGAGTACGATCAGTATCGTGTTTTAGTTTCCCCTCGGCCTTATCCAAATCAGTTCGTAGTCTTCCCAAATAATCAAGGTTCTTTTCCTTTGTCGTCCTCACAAAGTCTTTGAGTCTGCGTTTTATAAGCCGTTGGCGCCCTGTTAGATCAATTATACTCAGCTCATAGGTCAAAATTAGATCGTACTTTCTGTGATTGTAGTTCACGATGTCTTCTCGAATCGCACGGATATGCTCGTCCATGATCTCGTCATTGTCCTTGTCCTGTTGTGGATGTTTGTGCCAAGAAGATGATGATCCAGGATCTGAGTAAGGCCCCGGTGTTGGATCCATGATTTCGGGATTGCGATTGAGGTTGGTAGCAAACGCTTTCTGCGGCTGATGCTGGTTTGGAACTTTGCCTATAGGGATGGTATGTGGGTTGACGTTTTGGTGATGGTTGATTGGGTACTGGCGATAAGCGGCATCAGCATCCATAATGCGGGGATATTTTTCGCCAGGAAAATATCGATGGACATTATTACCGGTGATACTCTCAATTGTTGGCATATTTAATAGGGACGGTATTGGTGGCTTGCCTAGAAGATGGTTTGAAGACGGTCCTGCAGATGACCCACGAGCAGCCGGATAGATGTTGGCATTGGCGCTATTATTTACGATGGGGTGGGAAATCGAAGACACTGGCGGATTGATGGCGCTTCTTCTTCTTTTTATTGGGAGTTGATAATTTTGGGCAGAATTTATTGGCAAATGATCTCTTGGATCATTAGGTTGGTGAAATGAAGGATGGGGGTGATGATGAACGTGATAATGGTGAAAGTGATGCTGCACTTTACCATCGTTGCTGTTGTTATTATTACTATTGCTATTATTTTCGATGTATTGATCGGACAAATTATTGTACTGATAAGGCACTAGTTCAGCTTGTGTCTGAGGTCTTTTCTGTCGTGTGGGTGTTGTGGTTGATGATAATAACGGAGGTGTTATTGCAGAATGATTGGGACGATTAGTCAAGGCGGTGGAAGATGGCTTCGGAGTATTTGGTCCTGGCGCGTGTTTTCTTGTTGGGTATTGCTGTGACATTGCCAACTGTTGTCCCCGAGTTGTACCTTGAGGATATATAGATCTATATATATTTAATAGTTAATTGCCGTAGGAATTGGCCAGGTCGATCGAAACATTTATGGTAAAACAGAAGAAAAAGAAAAAAAGAAAAAGGTCCGGAGAATCTTAGGCCCCCAAAGGCAAACTTTTTGTTTAATTATAACTCACGTGCAAGGCGAGGCAGCACACAAATATTACCGCAAATGATCCTTCCCACTCCAAAAGCCTTCTTTAGTTCAGCAACTGTTATCATTAGTATTATTGCGATGGGCTGTTTCAAAGAGTCTGAATGATTCAAGTTGGTAAGGCTGTAACCAATGTTACCAATATCATCTCGTTGATGATGTTTGTGGTCTTGATGGGTTGCAACAAAAAACACACGATCCTTGCACCACACCCCCATGACTGACTATTCCGTGCAAATTCCTGGCTACGCTTCGGATAACAGGGGGGAAGATACCAATGTTTATTATAATTATTATTATTATATATATATAACAACAGAAAGTAGTAATGATATAATAATAGTAACCATAATAATATTATTCTTAGTAACAACATATAATAACATATAGTAACATGGAACACATACACATGACAAATATAATAAGAATTCTTTGTTTATAAATAAAACAACCTCAATAGTCAGAATGCACCCCTTTTCCATTAGCACACCCTGTGTTCCCAAAGGAGAATTTTCGGCCAAAGAGCGAGCCGCCCTCGGTGTTTCACCGACATCTTCACCAAACTGGGACTTTTAGTTAACGACCTCAACATGAATATGCCGTTTTTGGAGAGGATTGATTCTCAACCATCTTCTCCACTGATTGTATTGCCAAAGGGCTTGTAAATAGATAGATATTCCAATAATGTTCAATAGCTTTCCTCCGCTGATCCACAAAGCAACAGCTAAAAAAAAAAAGGGGGGCGTGTATCATGCTGTCTACGCCGCCGACCCCCTCGTTCCAGCCAATGAAACATCGTCACAATCTTTTTTTTACTAGTACACAGTATATGCTAATGGGTGCAATCACTAATGCCAATCATTCTAGGATCTTCTGCTATTGCCATTCCTTTTTGTTGGGCTACCATTGACAATGATATCAATTCTGTAATTGGTTATAGCTTACTTCAGATCTATGATCATATGAAAAGTTCAATATCAATATTAAAAAAACCTTAGATAACTCAAGTAAATAGTTGTTGTTCTGGTTATAAATATAACAAACACTTCCATCCAATCTTTTGTATTTGAATTTCCTAGCACATATTATCACTGTAAAATAAAACACCTGTGGTAATCGAAATTTGTAGTCTATCTCTCTATTTCCTCTCAATTCTACCATACTTCGTGACAAATCTTAGCCCAACAATTCTGTATCTCTCTCTCTCGCGGTCTCTCTCTCTTTTTTATTTTTTAGTAACCTTCTGTCTCCGCCACGCAGTAGCCATATGCTTTGATTGAATGTAATTGCCTCAGAAGCAATATTCTGCAAGTTCGTAGGCTACTCATAATTGCTGCGAACACCCGTCCACTTATTAAGTATATAAATACCCCCCTCTCCTCTCTTTATTTTGATATCTCTTTATTCTTTTTTTCTCTTTCTTATTATTCATAACAATTATTGTTTTATAACTTTTTATCTTGCTCCTCTTTTCTTTTATCAAAAAACAAACAAAAAAAAATTCCTCTGATTTTTCATTTCATAATGTCTGCTGTTCCTCAAGTCAAAGTTTCTACCAACAAGGCCTCATGGTCTCCTTCCACTTTGAATTCTAAGTTTACTTATGAATCTTCCACTGTCACCAGAGACCTTGCCACGAACTCTTTCAATGTCACTTCAACTGCCATAGATTATGAATTCAAAACCGATTTGAAGGTTGGTAAAACCGGGTTGTTGTTAGTTGGTCTTGGTGGTAACAATGGTTCCACCACTTTGGCGGCAATTTTGGCCAACAAACACCAATTGAGCTTTGAAACTAAAGAAGGCACCGTGAATCCAAATTATTATGGTAGTGTCACTCAGTCGTCTACTGTTAAGATTGGTGTTGATCCAGAAGTCGGTAATGATGTATATGCTCCTTTCAAGTCATTGGTTCCTATGGTTAACCCAAACGATTTGGTCATTGGCGGTTGGGATATTAATAGTGCCAATTTGAAAGACGCCATGAAAAGGGCCAAAGTTTTGGATATCAACTTGCAAGAAAAGTTGGCTCCATACATGGAGCATGTCAAACCTTTAGCATCTGTGTATTATCCAGACTTTATTGCATTGAATCAAGAAGCCAGAGCTGATAATGTTGCTAATGTTGATGCGAATGGTAAAGTCAACACTAATGACAAGTGGAATGATGTTGAAAGGATTAGAAATGATATTCAACAATTCAAGAAACAAAATAATTTGGATAAGGTCATTGTTTTATGGACCGCCAACACTGAACGTTATTGTGATGTTATTCCAGGTGTTCATGATACTGCCGAAAATTTCCTCGCCGCGGTTAAATCTAACCATTCTGAAATCAGTCCATCGTCTGTGTTTGCCACTGCTTGTATTTTGGACAATATTCCTTATATTAATGGGTCTCCTCAAAATACGTTTGTTCCTGGAGTTGTCGAATTAGCTGAGAAACATGGTTCTTTTATTGGTGGGGATGACTTCAAGACTGGGCAAACCAAAATTAAGTCTGTCCTCGCCCAATATTTGGTTGAAGCTGGTATTAAACCAATTTCTATTGCTTCTTATAACCACTTAGGTAACAATGATGGTTACAATTTGTCTTCTCCAAAACAATTCCGTTCCAAAGAAATTTCAAAGCAATCAGTGGTGGATGATGTGGTTCAATCCAATGAGATTTTGTACAATACCTCTTCTGGTAGAGACAAAGTTGATCATTGTATTGTTATCAAATATCTTCCAGCGGTTGGTGATTCTAAAGTAGCTATGGATGAATACTACAGTGAATTGATGTTGGGGGGACACAATAAGATTGCCATCCATAACACTTGTGAAGATTCTTTGTTGGCTGTGCCATTGATTTTGGATTTGGCCATTGTGTGTGAGTTATTGACTAGAGTACAATACAAAAGAGCTGGCACCGGAGAGTTCAAAACCTTCTATTCAGTTTTGAGCTTCTTGTCGTACTGGTTGAAGGCTCCAATGACCAAACCAGGGTTTGATCCAATCAATGGATTGAATAAACAAAGAGCAGCGATTGAAAATCTCATAAAGATACTTGTTGGTTTACCTTTGGGAAATGACTTGAGATTTGAAGAAAGATTGGTGATTTGAGCTCGCTATCAATTCAAAGTCTTGTTCCATATATGTCTTTTTAAACATAGCTGTGAGACTAGTGTTGTCGTTTTCTTTGTTTTGTTATTTTTATTTTTATTTTTATTTTTATTTTTATTCTCATTGATATTGTTCTGTTTATTATCTTGTTAGTTTTGCTTGAGTTAGTCTGTACGAATTTGCGAAATAAATATTCTAAACCAAGTCCACCAATGTATTTATTCACTTAGGAATCTTTGGTCAATTTTAAAACATGATCGCCGAGAAAGTAACGATCCTCTAGTAATTTTTTCTCAAGCCGAGAAAATGCACCCTGGTGATTAGTGCTGATACCACTACGTTTTGACAAGCACCAGAAGTTTAGTTTTGAGGTTTTCATTATATAATTTCTAATTAGACAAAGAATAATCATTTTAATTGAGAACCTCCATGGTCTTTGAAAGACCCATGAATTGGGTGCAGATGAATACAGGGTGTGACACCCGCATATGCAGAATGGACAATCTTCTCGTATACTAAGTTAGGAACAATTGGAAATGATTCAAAAGTTAAATCAAAACAACAACAACAACAACAACAACACTGGGGTCAATGAAATAACCTTTATAGAAATGTTGTTTTTGAAAGAGATCTTTTAACTCTAGGCCTCATATTCAATCCTTAATAACCTTCTCCTCCCTCCCTCCCTCCCCCCCCTTTTTTTTTTTTTTCTTTTTTTCCCTCTTGCCAATCCCACATGATTTGACCTAAATGAATAGGCCATACTGGTTGTGTGGATGACCCTTATCTTCTAATTAATTAACAAGCCTATCTTTATCATATATATATATATATATACCACGGTTCCAATATTAACTATAAGTTAACAACTCATTTACAAAAAGCCTCTAACAGTACAAATAAATACTACTGATAAAAAGACGACACTAATCAGAATTAAGCCCGCTATCAACACACCATTCCCACGGGTCTTATTACTTTCTATTATTTACCTTATTTTGGAGGGTTTGTGTCCAAAATTATCTCATCCTTCTAGTAAAGCTGCCTATTCGACACCATTTAACCACAACAGTAGCTTGCTTACCAAAAACAGCCACTGTCAGCCAAATCTTACCGCCCAGATATTAACAGATCCTCAGCGTGTTTGTGCTTTTTGGTTCAGTATCGTATATCGTTTTTAGATCATCGCTGCTCTCCATTTTGTTGTTGTTATCCGTTGTCGCCTGTCTAGATTAATTTAAAATATTTCAGTTTCATATCCAACAAAATCTAAAATTCCTTTCTCTTGGATATCATTTTCTTGATCTTGTTTTCTATTCTTCTGCTTTGCTGGATTATTTTTAACAGCACCCTTATCTCCCTTCATTCGGCCCGCACATTCTTTACCAGTAAGATAGATGTATTCCAATACTTCTAACAAAAGGTCTTCCATTAATTCTTCTTCAAACTCTTCTTCTTCTAACCTAACCCCTTCTCGCCAATGCCTGTCTTTAACCGATTCTTCGGAAAATCATGTCGATCACGACAATTTGTGCTTGTTGATTAAACAATTTTTTTACAACTCCGCCCATATCATCACTCATCACAGAAGCCCCAATTCTTATTCTACAGCTACTACTGGTGGATCTTGTTTTCAGCACGAAGAGAATCATTTTAATATTAAGGAACTAACGCCCCAATCATTTCCGGACTTAGCACTATGGGAATCCAAAATAGCTGATACTCCATCATCATCTCACGATAAAGAACTACTACCTCCGTTGATCATCGAAGCGTATCTTGACTTACGCAGATTGAACAGCTTGAAACAAAAAGACGGCGAGTATATATTAGTGGTTCAAGATGAACAATTCCAAGAACACCAAATCATGAAGTTCACTGCCGCTGGCCTTAACAACAAGAAACAAAAATCGGAAATTGTTTTAGAAAGGTGGTTGATAGATATATCTTTTCCAGAAGATGATTATATTTTGAATTTACGAAGCAATAATCAAGAAATTTCTCTTCATGATATTTATGAACACAGCTGTCAAGTTTTGCAAAGTTTAACCAAATTTCTTTCTACAAAGAATAGTATCACAGACCTTAAATCCCGGGTTGGATTAAATAGCGACGGGTTATCGTCCTTGATGTCCATCAATTATCGAGTTTTGGAACCTCATGCGAAAATATCTTCGAAAGGAAGGTTTAGTTTGAGCAAATCGTTGATTCCGTCCCATGTCGCGGTATCACCAACGTCTAATGCCAATAGTAACTTTCATTTGGACAAACATGTTTTTGATACTTTATTGACCCCTTTAGGAGATATTACCATTACAGGGTCTTTCAGAAGAGATTGCCAAATTTATTTACAAAAAGCATCTAATCCAACGGTAAATTTATCCCAACAGGCTAAAACCAACGGTCATACGAATGCTAGCCTTCCGAGTGCGTTAGATGGAAATGTCACGTCAAAAAATTCGATCAATTATAATGGAAACCATAACAACTCCTCTTCTTTCTCTTCGTCTTCTTTTTCATTAGCAAGACGTCACCACAGATTATCAAGAAACTTATCGTCGAATTCTGTGTTTTCGTCTTCATTAAACAAAGAAGATATGACTGGCAGGTCAAGGAATAATTCTAGTGTTGCAACAACTCCGGTCAACTCATTCAATAAAATGGCGACGCAAATGAGTGCTTCCCCTCAATATTACCATTACCAACAACAAAAATTCCCGAGCCAAGTGCAAAACAGTAGCTGCCATACTCCTCTATTTTCCACCGGATCATCCACCCCAAACTCAAACTTCAACAGATCGAATTCAAATGTCTCTTTGGCTGCTATTTTGCGAAAATCTCAAAGCAATGGTTTTGGAAGCTCTTCTTTTAGTATTAATAATCCCAATAATAATGGCAATGTTATCGGTATTACAAATAAAAAAAATTCATCTACTAGTTTAAATAAGAATAATGGTCTTACTCAATTAGACTATATCTATACTGGCGGTGCTCTGGACAACAGCAAGACTAATATTGATCGCCTTGTTCCACATACTGGGAAGGGACTAAGATATTCTTCTTCTTTTAGTTCGCGAGAAAGGAGAAAATCTTCAATCGGAACCCCAAACTCTGTCTCCGGAATCAATCCAGGCACTCCAACAAATGGCGTTTTCTTCAAGCAAAATTATAGCATGAAGGTCCAAACTCCACTTCGCTCATCTTTCCGCTCAATTGGATCTTCCCACAGCTCTGGAGCTTGTGAGGACTTACTTTGTGCTCCAGACCATCATCCTACCATAAATAAGGTGGATCTTAGAGATGATGAAGCTGATTTACGAGATTTTATGAATCTTTTAGACACTAGTGTCGGTGAAGGATTTTCTTCATTGAACGAGTTCAAACCTCAAACCAAAAGGCCCTCGATTTTGGTTTCTCCAAAATTTTCAAATAATGAGACAACAACATTCCTTAGTTTGGGTATGCAAAAGGAGAATTATAAATTGCATAATAATAATAGTACCGATTATATTTCGAAATTGGAGAAATATGAAAGCATGAGGAAGCCAAATTCAGCATTAAGTGAGTCATTATTCTCCAGCTTTGCGAAACTTGAACATATAGATCATAAGTATTATAATGATAGTCAAGCTTTGGGTATCCTTCTGCCTGTGATCCCAGTTCCTGGATCTATTGGATCGGGTGACAATAATTCTTATTCTCATACTGCTTCTGTTGTCAAAGCAAACCAGTTTCCATTATCAAATCACCGTGAAGGTTTTTTGTTTAGCCCCGATGGTTATAACCGCTCTGTTTGTGATGGTAGCACTACAGATGCTTATAATAATGTTGATAGTTTACCGTTCACGAAAGCAGTAAAGCAGCATTTATCTCAATTAGAACATCTACCATATTTTTCTAAAGTTTATGGCCAAACACATAACGGCTTTGGAAATTATTATTATTCATCCGACGATCGTGCTAGGCCAAGATCATTGAGTTTTGTTAACTACAGTCTGAAAAAACTTCATTACAATACTTTGTCTTTTCCAGTTTCTGGTGGATCGTCCATAACAGATACGTTACTGAATCCTGGAACTTCACCAACTAAGAATCCAAAAATGACAAGTTCAATTGTTTCGCAGAAATCTTTGGTGTCTCAGCCAGTTATCAAGATGGATGTGGTAAACGTATATGCCAAGCTAGAATTTGGTGTAATAACTGGCTTGGGAAATGGAGATGAGAAAACTGATTCAGGAAAATATGAGTCTGATAATTCCCAAAATATCCATGAGATAACAGCTCAAGAAGATGAATTGATTTTTGAAGATTATTGATCTGTCAACCAATATAGAGGCAGGGACCGATGCAGCTCAATAATTAGACTCTTTTTTTTTTTTTTTTATTAAATATATTCTTTGGTTTTAATTTCTCAGGCTTTGAAGTTATTCTTCAGTACGATCTTATGTCGAAAGCTGTTATTGGTGATAAAAAGAATCAAAAACATGAAAAAAAAAAAAACACCACAAATACTTACATCATATATATAATGCCATATTTCCACAAGGCTTTTCAATTGAATAATAAATTGAATAATAATGCACATAATTATTTTTTATTTACTATCTTTTCTGGTCTTGTAGGCTTTTTTTTTTACTTTTGACAGGCAATGCTAAACCAGTTATGCGCCTGTCTATTATACACACAATTTGAGCATTAATTCCTTAAAGGTTGGGATGAGTAAAGTATATCATTTCCAAGAGAAAAAATATTGGTGACATGAATGGGTGTAAGACCCTTGTGAATACATCCTTATCTTAACAGAGCATTAACGTGGTTTATGTATCCTAAATCTCCCCGGCATGTCCGGTGGCATGGACGATTTCTCCGGGGCATCATCGCCCAACATGAGAGATTTTTGTATAAATATCCCCCCCGGAGAGCACTTCTTTACAAAAGAAAAGAAAAGAAAGTAACAGAAACACCAATCACACACACACACACACACCACTTTCCAAAAAGTCATTCTTCTCTCAAGCAAAAGAAGAAGAAGAAGAAGAAGAAGAAGAAAAAAAATATAAAAAAAAATATATTTTAAATATGTGGGACCCTAGTGAATATTCGACGATCGTTACTAGTGTATGCGACGTTATTCCACCTGGCAACTTATCTGACTCTGTGAACTCCCGAAAGAAAAAATACTTCTTTGATGAATGTCGAACCATTGGGGAGTTAAACGAGCATATGGAAGTGGTTTCCTTGCTCACGGATTTACTCGATGCTAATCGTAGCGACAATCCACGTTCGGAGAAAAATAGCTTGGGTCCAATTAAGATTAATAGCAGCCAGTGGCTTCAAAGTAAAGGAGATAAGGAGTGATGGTGGTGCTGCTCTTGTTGTTACTATATCATTTATATCATTTTTGAGTTCCGTCAAGTGACTTCTGGGCGTGGGTATTGGTTTTGCGTTATTTATTTTCTTTCTTTCTTTCTTATCGGTGATATTTGGGATTATGGGTTACAATTTGCGAGCGATTAGCTGCTTCATTCTTTTTCTTTTCTTTTCACTTTTTATAATTTTTTTTGTTTCTTCTTTGTGTAAAAGTCTCTGCAATTTTATCTTTAGAAATTCTTAATGGAAATGATAATATTCATCACAATTAGCTAAAGTACGTAAAATAAAGAATGAATCAGATTTCTGGGCTTTCCCTTATTCTTATCCAACTAATAATTCTCTTGATAGGGCACAAGCTTGATTAAATATATTGTTATGGCTCCAGCAGTCAGTTCACCGTTGCAAGCGGTTTTCCGGACACTTGCCAACACAAAATTGAGAATTACTGCAGTATCTTCCCGTATCAAATATTATAGAAATTTCCAATACTCATTAGTGAGAAGAGGGTTCATGTACGCTTTTCTTTGGCGGCCCAACGATAACATTTAATTCATTGAAAAGTACCTCATTCCAGCTTCTTCTCCAGTTGAAAACAGTTTGTAAAGGCACTGATATCTTTCTACTTTGCCGCCTTGTAGGTCGGCCTTTACTACTACAACTAATTTGTCAAAATCTCTAGTACATACTTTAATTATGATGTCTATACTATCCTCTAGGTATTCTTTCCCTCAATATCTCCTACATATCTGGTCTAGCCAACACCAGAGTCATCTCCTAGCGCTATTTTACATTCCAAATCATTTCATTGGGATCTGTATAGAACCTACTACCTAATACGTCCGCTAATATCCTGGACCTTTTCAAATCCATACTGAGGTGCTCTCTGCACAAAATGTCACATTACTGTATTACCCGATCTGGGCGTACCCGTTAATTCGTTCCCCTATTCGCCCGAAAATCCCATCACGTGCATTTCATGCCGAAACTGAGTGTACATATTAATTATATATATATAGATAGCTTGCTTCATTTTACTTCTAGTTGGTATGAGTAGTTAAAGTGTATGAGATATATATAAAGATCACAAACGAAATCAATACTCTTTCACATCCACTTTCCTGAGGATCTATTCATATCTTACTTACAATAATAATGGCACATTCTAGTTTCTCAAGTGCACCACTCTGTCAGCGTGTATTATTTCTATTTGCTTGTGTTTTTACATTTTTCGTTAGCTTGTTCCTAATTATTCGCGATGAAAATTACAGTACTTCAATCAGCTATTCAACCACATCGGCAGCTTTATCCTGGGTGCCGTTGAATTCAAATACCACCATAAGTTATCCTGCAAGATACTCGGCATTTTCCCCTACTATTGAAACCGTGACTAGACACAATGGGAGTCTCGGAGTTCACCAATATCGTGGCCAGACATTGTATGTCTCATATGATGCTTGTAATCCAGCTCTTTTAAAAGCCTCATTAGAAGAAGAGCCACTTTACAACACTACCCTGAAGATGTTTGTCCTGGATGATGTCATTCCCATCGTTATCCGTGGAGGTTGTCAGTTTAAAGACAAAGTCATCAACTTACAAGACCTCGGAGCTAAAGCGGTAATTGTTGGAAATGACATGAACCAACCAAAACTAATTGAAATGAGGGCTGATTTCCAACTTAAAGACGTTATCATTCCCGCACTTTTCGTCTCACAAGCCGCTAGGCTAGATTTGCATCAAACAATTTTCAGAAGTGATGATATTATTGAAATAACGTTACTGACCTCCCAAAACGTTCCTTTGAGAGAGCAAAAATTTCTATTCTACATAATGGGGCTCATTTTGATATCCGTTTCTTTTGCTACAGGCTATGGTATTCATCTTGTTCGAGCTGAGTTAAAAAATTCAAAGAAAATTGAATCTGATGTTAACATTGAGCTTATTCCAGATGTGCTGTACAAAGAACAAGAAGCAAACGTCTACAGCAATTCTAATTAGAGTGTTTTTAAACCAATATAAGTTTATATTATTTTTAGATCTTCATGCACTGACCATGAGATCCTGTTTGTAGTACATTTTAATGGAGATATTTTACACTACATTCTTTTTCATTTGTAATAATTTCTTATACACGTTATGTGACTATCATCAAGATATTATGTATAATCATAAGCAGTCAGCATATCTTTACATTAAACTCAGTTTATCCAAAAGAAAAAAAAAAAAAAAAAAAATATTCTATAAGTCCAATCTAATAATCTTTATAAGCCATATCTTCAATATCTTTTAACCTCTTCATCGTCTTAACATCACCTTTAAATCGTTCCTTTAACCGATCCATCAGTTCATTGACCCCAAAATCCTCAAAGATATATGTTTCATAAACCGTATTAGGATAGTAAGTCACCACCTTCCAACAAAGCGAAATGGTTGCCGTGGCTACGGAATCCTCACCCCAAAGATGTCTTATCATAATGACTGATCTGTACGAAGGAACAACCGCTTCTGTCATATTCTCAAAGAACAACTTCACAATTGTGTCATTCTCTCTGTCACGAATCACTTTGTAGAAAAACTGCCAGATGCTCACAGTAAGCAGCAATGGGACGTCTTTGCTTAAAAGTGTCAACATTGGTTTCAAGAAATAATAAGCGGCCCTTGAATCCTTTGATTTATTAGGAGTGTCACCAATGTACTTAGTAACGATGGTAATAATACCTTGGATGACTTGCTCCGCACAAGACTTACTGACTTGGTCAAATGTATCATCATCACAACAAGCCTTGGGCAAACAATCATTAAATAGTCTTAATAAGGTTTTCCAAAAATCATCCATATCGGCTGCAGGAATTTTGGCAAGATCTAATCCTCTCCACAATAAGACAAAGTATTTGATGTTAATTTTATCAACAATCGATGTTGGTGCCGAATTGATAGTTTGAAACGTAATCGAAAAAATATCAATATTCTGCTCAGTGGGGATATCTTTGACACAGATTGGGTGATTATCTAAGATGGTACCAAAGAATTGGCAAAGATACTCTAACATCGAAATATTCTCTGCAAAATTTTTTTGTGCTATCACTGGCTTTAATAATTCTATCACCACAGGAAGAGTCTTAAAAATATTAGCTTTGTATAAACATATACTCTTTGCAGAAACATTGGCTCCAGTTTTATCAAAGTAACCACGAATAAATAGAATGAAATATTTTCGATATCCAGGTCTAGTACAAAAATAATCCACCATCAAGGGAATGGCATTGGTGGCTTCAAATTCTTGTTCAAACCCCCCATTTTTGCCAAGGTTCTCTAGAATAAAGAACACTTTTTCGTGTAAAAAAGATTGGGAATCTTCAAGGACCGGAACGAGCAAAACGTTGAAAAAATCCCATTCTTTCACAATTTCATTCAAGATTTCTCGTTTTTCAGCACCAATAAACATAATAAGAACGTTGAGAACTTTATAGGCATTAAATTTCACATCGTCGTTTTCCGAACTTAACGCCAAAGAATAAATCTCCATTAAAAACGTTGGATGACTGATCAAATGATCCAGCCTTTTAGACTGTATGATGACATTTGCGAGGAACATTAAAATGAGTCTTTTAAATTCATCTTCAGCCCCCGCAAGCAATGTTGAAAAAGTAGAGTAGTATTCTTCATTTAGTTCGAAGCTGGCAAGTGATAATCCCACGCAAGCATTCATCAACCTCATGGCATCCTCATTCTGCAATTCTATGATCTTGGGGACAAAGAAATTGAGATAATCACCGTGGCACAACGTATCATGTAACCTTTTATGTTGCGCAGTAGATTGTCTCAATATATACTGTGATATGAAGAAGAACTCTACTCGGTCCTCTTCACAGAGAATCTGCTCTTTACCATTAGATTTCTGGAGCACGTCCTTTAATTTTTCCATCTTTTTTGCAACATAAAAAAAAAAAACTGTGTCATCAATCATCTTGGAAAACTCATTGTCTGCACAATGAGCACGATAGAAATTGGCTACCGGAAGTTTAAGTTCTTGGTTATCGTTATTTAGAATGATGAATAATTTATTGACCAAAGACCTTTTTTTATTTTGAGGAATCTTTGGCAAACAAAAGTCAAGTAAATCAGTCATGGCCTGCACCTGCTCCTTATTAGTGATATTGGCTGATTTCCAATTATCTAAGAGGTAGTTTATGAATTCCGCGATATCAATTCTTTGGTCAGTACTGTTTTCATCCTCCCCAGATTTCCATACCCGTTGGCGTTCACGAAGATAAAGGAATTCAAAATTCCTAACCACCAAAATATCTTTTGGGTAATCGCTTTGGCGGACCATGGGATCCGTTTGATTTTTATACATATCAAACAATTCTCGGATAATAAAAATATTTGACGCTAATAATTGCCTGACCATCTCCATATTCAAATTTGGATTGGTTATCAAGAAGAAATGGAGAAAGTACTGAAGATGATATTGGATTTCAAAAGAGGAATTGAGTTCTTGGGAAAGGTAGCACACCCAATCCCGTAGTTTTGTAGAGACTTCTATCTCCACAAGAGCTCCAATGGATTCTTTGTGAGCATCAAACAAACATGACAAATACTGTAATACGCCTATGATCACTGGGGTCAGATGGAATGTTGGTTTTGGAGCTTTGGGTTTTTTGAACAAGCCTAATGCCTTAGAGGTTGAGCTAGGATACTTTAAAGATATCGGTTTTAGTAGATCACAAATAATGACAGCTAACTTGGTATCAGGGATAACATTGGAATGCAATTTTGACAAGAGTTCAAAGCAAAGATACATGCTTTGGAGATTGGAGGGATTCTTTAATACTGGAATCATAAATGTTTCAATGATCCACTGGTCAAGGGCATTTGTCCGATAAACTGCATTACCAAAATACAAGTTGAACAATTTTTTGTAAGGACCAATAAGATCAGGATCCTCGTTGGTCATGATACCCCAGAGATATTCGGCAAGTCTATAGTCCTTTAACAATCTCATTTTCCCTTCCAAAGACAACTTTGGATGTAATTTTTCAAACAATAACGTTGCTTCTTTAATATCAAGGTTATCTTGTTTATCGTGAGTGTATAGCCCTTCTAAGTAGACCATCACTTCGTGCAAAAGATTTGACTTGATAATATCATCGGGGCTTGGAGAAGGATTGAAGGAATACAAATCAACCAAGATTGGTAAAGTAGACGAGTATATTTGGGTATCATTGGCGGAGTTTGCAAGAATCAGCAGTAGTCTACCAATACCTTCGGGATGGTTGTCTTTTGAAAGAAGCACAAACTCTTTAACGGCGGATCGGAATGATTGTGTTGTCATGGGTTGGCAGTTGTCGCTGAGCCATCACCGATCAGGAAAATATATACGTAATAGTGATGATAATGATATGTGTTAAGGGACCAATGGGTGCCAGTTTGGGAAGGACGTTGGAGTACTCCAGCACGGATGATATCACTGCCGGTTCGGGGGGAGCACCAGCCATCCGATACGGCAAGGTCGACGGCAACGAATTTGGCCATCCCAGAACCTCAACGCTTTCATCAAATGTAGATTTCGGGGAATGATAAGAATGTTGTCAAGAAGAACTCTACCAAGGCCCTTCTCAGTGATTGATATATATTTAGTGAAGTAGTAGTCAAAACTTTTTTGACGTATGTGAGACAACGCATGAATCATGCGCATATAGCAGAAATAAGAAGAAGAGGAAGAAAAGGAAGTGCGATACCCACGATACTGGATTACAATCCATGTCGATACTCCACCGGCAGTAGGGCAGTGTCATCGTAATATTTCCCAGTAGGAGGTACTGGGAATATTAATGGGAAAAGGGGGAGGGCTGGGCTGCGGGAAGGTCAGGGCAGGGTAACGCACTAATCTCCAGAAGACAACCTGCAGCTGGCCGAAAGCGGAAATTCTGCGACGCTCCATTTGATAATCTTTGGGGGGGAAGCGAGGGGAGGGTGACGACCAACTATCAGACACCCATCACAGATTAGCATGTGGGTGATATAGTGTCTATATCTACTTATAGATATATACATATATATATATACCCCACCAGAAGATAATGAAAATATTAGCACTGTAATGGCTATTTCGTATCGTAGAATCTCCGTAGTTCTCTATTGTCAGTGACTGGGCATCGCCAATCAATCAACCTGGCTTCCGGGAACACTCTAGTATATAGCGTTATCAAACCTTTTTTTTTTTTTTTTTTTTTTTTTCAGTATTAGTGCAGGAAAAATTCCCAAACCTACTCATTCTCTTTCCACCCTTCTCCTTCTTTCCCCAAAGAAAACCAAATACCCTACAATCCACTAAGAATGTCCTCAAATTCTACCGGATGTCCTGTATATTGGAACTCTGCCGAATTCGACTTGACTGCGTGTGGTAGACATATCCTTTTCGATACTGGCTTGCCATTACTTATCTTGGCGTCATCGCTCATTTACCTCTCCCATTACTATATCACGAACTTCAACCACTTCAAGCATCCAACTTTGCTTTTCACCCCTCAAGAAGCCCAACCTTTGCTCGGCAACAATGTTCAAGAATCAGAGTATTACGATGATGCTGACGAAGGTGAGTCTGCCCTGGTTGAACATTACGGGTCCACCACCGATGCGTCAGTGTCTAAAGGCGAATTGATTAAAAGACAACATTTCGATATCCACTCTTTGAAATTCACTAATGAAGATGGCTCTCCTCATGGAAAAACCCTTATGGTATACCGTAACTGTGCTGAGCGTCTGAAACTTATCACTGAAGAATTCATCTTAATTGGGCAATTCTTACTTCATTTAGCCGTGTTTAGCATGTCATCATTAAATTCCGAATGGTCAAATGACAATTCTGCCGCTGTTCGTTTGGGATTCTGGACTTATTTTTTGGCCATTGGTACTCTCAGATTATTGAATATCAATAATACCTGGCTCTTTTATCACAAATACTGTCCAAACTTGTGGGCTAACTCCACTTTTGCTTACACTTTGCTTTTCATTGTCAATATGATTCTCACTCGTTCTTTTGTTGTCAATGATTACGCAAACTCTTTCACTAGCAAATACTACCTTTCTCAGGTCATTATTTCTGTGGCTTTATTCCTCCTCACCTGGACTTCCACCATTGGCGATAAGCCAGTCAAATTATACAAAGTTGGTGACATGATTCCATCTCCTGAAAACAACATTTCTTTGCTTTCTTTTTCCATTTACGACTGGATTGACCCAATGATCATGAAAGCTTATCGCTCAGGTATCACCACTTCAGACATTTGGAGTTTGAGAGATGATGATTATGCTTATGTGGTACTCAAAAAATTCGAAGATTTCAAAACCAGTTCTCGTTTCGCTTTGAAATTATTCAAGTATTTCAAAGGCTTGTTTGGTTTGCAAGCGGCCTTAACCATTCTTGAATCATTCTTGATGTTTGCCCCAACTTATTTCTTGAAAAAACTCTTGGAATACGTTCAAGCTCCAGAAAAAACTCCAACTAACTTGGCTTGGTTTTATTTGTTTTTGATGTTCTTTTTGAGATTGACCAATACTTTGTGCTTTGGGGTAGCTTTGTTCCTTGGTAGAAGAATCTGTATTAGAATGAAGGCCATCATCATTGGGGAAATTTATTCTAAGGGTTTAAGACGTAAAATGGCCGTCAATAACAAGAGTAGCAGTTCATCTAGCAAATCTGACTCTGAGGAAACTGATGACAAGAATAAAGAAGATGCTAAAGGTAAAGAGTCTTTGGACGATGAACAGATTAGAGATATTGGTGGAATTATCAATTTGATGTCTGTCGATGCTTTCAAAGTGTCTGAAATTTGTGGGTACTTGCACTATTTTGTTAGTGGGGCCTTGTCTTCATGTATTTCCATCGTTTTCCTCTATCAATTACTTGGTTGGAGTGCCCTTGTTGGTGCAATTGCCATTGTTGCCCTTTTGCCAGTTAACTATAAGATTTCCTTAAAAGTTGGTGATTTGCAAAAGAAAATTTTAGGGATTACCGATAAGAGAATTCAAAAGTTGAACGAATCTTTGAACTCCATTAGAATCATCAAGTTCTTTACTTGGGAATCTAAATTTTACAATCAAATTCTCGATGTTCGTTCTGAAGAATTGGCTGCATTGAAAACTAGATTGCTTGTGTCTGTCGGTGGTAATTTCTTATCATTCTTAATCCCAACTTTTGTCACCATTTTGTCATTCAGTTGTTACATTTATATCGAAGGTAATGTTTTGACCACCCCTGTGGCCTTCACCTCGTTGTCTCTTTTCAATTTGCTCAGAATTCCTCTTGATGATTTGGCTTACATGTTGTCATTTGTTATTCAATCCAAGGTTTCTCTTGACAGAGTTAATGATTTCTTGGATGAGCCAGAAACTTCTAAATATGAGCAACTTAGTGAACCTCGTGACGCTAATTCTCCAATTACCGGTTTCCAAAATGCCAGTTTTGCCTGGGACGCTAACTCGAGTTCTGATTTCAAATTGAGAGATTTGGACATTGAATTTAAACAATCTAAATTGAATATTATTATCGGTGCTACCGGTTCTGGTAAGACCTCTCTTCTTTTGGCATTGCTTGGGGAAATGGAAAAGATCAAGGGTAAAGTCTTCCTTCCTGGTGCTGCAAACGCTCGTTCTGCCCTTATTCCTGATCCAAAAACCGGTCTCACCGATTCTGTTGCTTATTGTGCCCAAGCTGCTTGGTTATTGAACGATTCTATCAAAAATAACATTTTATTCGCTGCTCCTTATAATGCCAAGCGTTATAAAGCCGTGGTTGCCGCTTGTGGTCTTTCTCGTGATTTTGAAATCTTGGAATACGGTGATGCTACCGAAGTTGGGGAAAAAGGGATTACTTTATCTGGTGGTCAAAAGCAACGTGTGTCCCTCGCCCGTGCTTTGTATTCTTCTTCGAAAACCGTGTTGTTGGATGACTGTCTTTCTGCTGTCGATTCTCATACCGCTCTTTGGGTTTATGAAAACTGTATTACTGGTAAGTTAATGGAAAACAGAACATGTTTGTTGGTCACCCATAATGTGGCATTAAGTGTCAAAAGAGCCCAATGGGTCGTGGTATTGGACAATGGTAAAATTCAACTCCAAGGTACTCCAAAGAAATTATTAGAAGATGGTTACTTTGGTGACGATAAATTGATTGAAGCTGCCATTTTAAACGAAGAAGACACCCATGTGGCCATTGTTGAAGATGTTGAAGAAGAAGATGAAAACGAAGTCACCGCAATTTCTGTTAATTTGGTTTCTAACAGACGTGCATCCCACGTGGCTGGTCCAAGAGGTTCTAGTTTGCCATATGATATTGACAATAATGAAGAAGAACTTCAATTGGAAAGAGTTGTCTCTAAAGTTAGTACCATTGCTACTAGAGTTACTACCACCGCTGATAATGGTGAAACAGACGCTCCAGTACACAATTTGATCAAAGAAGAAGCTAAGGCAGAAGGGGTTGTTAGTTTGGACGTTTATATCTTTTACGCTAAGCGTTTTGGTAGTTATTTCATCTGGGGATTCTTATTGGCGTTGTTTGTCGGTTCTCAAATCGTGAACATTGGTCAATCTTGGTGGGTGCGTCGTTGGGCTTACGATTCCGAATCTGGTAATATCTCCATCAATCTTTTTGGTACCACCAAAGTTTTCAGTACCGGTACTGTGATGGCTGATTTTGTTAGTAATGAAAAATTATGGAAATCTCCAATGGGTTATATTTTGACCGATGACCATGGCGCTTCACTTCACAATACTGCTTTCTACATGACAGTGTACACTGGTATCGGGTTCTGTTTTGCATTCATTTGTTGTTTCAGAGATTACATGGTGTTTGTTCAAGGTATCGAAGCCTCGAATTCCATCTTTGTTGAATTGTTGGATAAAGTGTTCCGCGCCAAGATTAGATTCTTCGATGCCACCCCAATTGGCCGTATCATGAACCGTTTCTCCAGAGATATCGAATCCATTGATCAACAATTGGCGCCAATGGCTCAAGGGGGGTTCATTTCTTTGATTGTCACTGCTTCTACCCTTGTGTTGATTGTTTCCATCACCCCTGCATTCTTTTTGTTCGCGGTGTTCATCATGGGAATGTTTTATTTGATTGCCGTATTTTATTTGACGTTGTCTCGTGAATTGAAACGTTATGAATCAATCTCTAGATCTCCTATCCATCAACATTTCAGCGAAACTTTGATTGGGGTCACCACCATCAGAGCTTATGGTGACGAGCACCGTTTTATGCGTCAAAACTTGGACAAGATTGATAAGAATAATGGACCATTCTTCTACTTGTGGGTGGCTAACCGTTGGTTACATTTAAGAGTTGATACCGCGGGGTCTTTTGTCACTTTTTTCGCTGGGGCATTTGTGATTTTGAGTGTCAATTATCTTGATGCCGGTCTTGCTGGTTTATCTCTTTCTTATGCTATCTCCTTCACCGAATCTGCGTTATGGATTGTTAGACTTTATGCCGAAGTGGAAATGACCATGAATTCTGTTGAAAGATTGCAAGAATACTTGGATATTGAACAAGAACCAGCACAATTCGTTCCAGAAACCCAACCACCAAAGTCGTGGCCAAGCAAGGGGGAAATTGAAGTTAAAGATTTGTCACTTAGATATGCTCCAGAACTACCACAAGTCATCAAGAATGTATCCTTCAATGTGGAAAGTACTTCTAAAGTGGGGATTGTTGGCAGAACCGGGGCTGGTAAATCCACGATTATCACCGCATTATTTAGATTCTTGGATCCTGAAACCGGACACATTAAGATTGACGGGATTGATATCACTAGCATTGGGTTGGACGCTTTACGTCAAGCCATCACCATCATTCCACAAGATCCAACTTTGTTCACTGGTACCATTCGTTCGAACCTTGATCCATTTGACGATAAGACTGATGTAGAAATCTACGAAGCGTTACGTCGTGTCAACTTGATTTCTATGGATGAATTCAATGCTTTACAAACCATTGCCCAATCAACTGTCGATAATAATGAAGATTCCGGAGAAAATGTCAACAAGTTTTTGGATTTGGACAGTAATGTCGAAGAAGGTGGTAAGAACTTGTCACAAGGTCAAAGACAATTAATGTGTTTGGCAAGATCTTTACTCAGAGCTCCAAAGGTGATTTTGTTGGACGAAGCCACCGCATCTATCGATTATAACAGTGATGCCAAGATCCAACAAACCATTAGAAGTGAATTCGGAGGCAGTACGATTTTGACCATCGCTCATAGATTGAGATCGATCATTGATTACGATAAGATTTTGGTGATGGACGCCGGGGAAGTCAAAGAGTACGATGAGCCTTGGAAATTGGTATCTGATCAAAGTACAATCTTCTACAGTATGTGTGCCAATTCTGGGGAATTGGATACTTTATTGGAAGAAGCTAAGGGAGCATATGAAAAGAAGCATGGTTCAGCCTAAGTTTGGTGATCATCAAATCATGTTTTTTTTTTGTTTTTTTTTTTTCTATGCTGTTATTTCTAATATTTTGATTTTCCCTTTGTTCTTTTATTCCTTCTATTTCCATCATTCCCATCACACCTTATTTTATTCCATTCCATCCAATTCATATAATAGATTCCTTTCTGTTTTATCATTTTATTTTCATATTTTTATTATTTTTTTTTAGTGCTGTGTTTTTGTCGTCATGTTTTTTTATTCATAGGTTACATACTAAAACTGAATTTTGCCTTACTGATTGTTGTATTTTCGATTACTTTATCTTTGTCTTTGTCTTCGTCTTTTTTTTAAAAAAAAAAATATTCATATAAATCACAAGTTTAAATTATTAACTCCTAATATTTTTCCTACAATTTATGTCTATATGTAATAAAAGCCCGACGTTAAAAAGATGTTATATATAATACAGTGAGTGTAAAGAAGGCTTCTGCTTGTAGAACCAAGCCTACTAGAAATCTAAAGAAAAACAAACAAGAAAAAAGATCTAATAAAACCCATTATTTGGTGGAGTCTAATGTGACATTGACAGTTCCGTCCAGCGACTGGAGAATCCCATTGTTGATCACCTCGTTCCCGTCATTCTCATCGTAATTTATATCTTGCTGATGTTTCACGATAAAGCTGAATGCTGAGGATTTAATTAAAGTAAATAATAGACCGATCTTGTTCTCCAAGAACCGAAGTTGTTCGATCAATTGTGGTGTTGGCGATTTGTTCAAGGTTTCTAGTTGGTGGTTGATTTTCTTAAGCTGGCGAAGCGCAAGCTGGTATTGTGCTAGTACCTCATACTCTGTGTCGTTTACCTGGGTTCTGTCTATTGATTCTTCCATTAGTAACTATTTCCTTCATCATTATATCAGCATCATCATCATCTCATCTACAGGCGATTTTGTGTGTTTATTATCGCGCCTCCCTCCCTTGCCAGGGCTTCTAAAAGACAAAAAAAAAAAAAAAAAGTGGCAGGTTAGGGGCCCCCCACCTGAAATTGCTAGTTGCTTCAACTGAGAATTGCCTATTATCATTATTCTTTACTACTGTTATATTATATAGGAAACCAGGAAGGATAATCCGTATGTACATCATTGACGATATATGTTAAACCTCATCAGTCACTGATACCATGTCTTCCACAGCTACATCCACCGTCTCGCCTGGTCAAGCAGATGAAAAACTGCGTCTAGAACCACCATTTATCACCAAACCAACAGTATCACCACTGACCGCGAGCACTGGTCAGAATGCCACTGCCAATTTGACTAAAGAATCCGTGGCTTCAAAGTCGGAACAACCAGCACCATACTTGCAAAAAGAAGACTACAAAGAAGCTGAAGCGACTACAACTACCACCACCACCACTTCGACAGAAACTAACCCATTATTCCAAAAACGTAAAATCTTGCAAAAAAAGAAACCAGAACCAAAAAACTACACGAAATTGCTTTGGACTATTGGCCATGTTTTGGCATTGATATCTGGTTTGGTGTTTATCTACATTTATTTTGTACATTTCAAGTCCAGAAGAGGCTTGTATTCGATGATCGCTTATCGGGCATCATTGATCGGGTCAATACTTGCTTATACCATGTCGATTTTCTCAAAGTTTGGTTTAAGCATGCCTAATTTCTTTGCATTAATCACTACGGAAAATTTCCAATACTTGTTGTTATGTGTCGTGTGGGTTTTCACCAGATCGTCAGTGTTCAAGATTGCCCCATACATCATCATCAGTTTCCTTCAATTGAGCAAGCAATTCAATTTGATTGGCAAATACCCAAAAAGCCTTGTTAAAGGATTGGCGATGATGATTTCCTACAATGAATTGATGGTGGTGGCAGTGCTTCTCGTCAACACTTTGATGATGAGAGGTACTTCGGGTTTTGCTCTCGTGACGTTCTTGTTATTCTACTGGTTGAGAATTGTGTATTCCGAATCAACAAAGTTGTTTTTCAAGGATTTTGCAGAAACCGTCGATGCAAGAATTATTTGCAAGTGCCCGCCAGCAGTGCAAGTGCAATTCCACCGGTTTATGATGAGTGCCCAAGTTAAGGGAGAAAAGGTCGAAGAGACTTTCCACTCGATGAAAGAAACTAGTAAAGATATTAAGGCTGCTGCTGATTGTAAAGTGAGCATTGCTAAAGACACTGATAAACAAGAAGTTTTTGAAACTGCTTCAAAAACTACTGGTCGTGGAGATGTCAATATTTCTGCTTCTGAGAAAAAGCCTGACGAGCCAAGCAAATAAAAGGAAAAAAAAAAATTGGTTAGCTATTATATTTTACACTCATTATATTATTATTTATTTCTCAGAAAATGGAGGTATATTATTATATATATGTTTTGTGAGTTGTAGAAGATGAGTAAAGAGTAGTAATGACTGCGAGCACCGCCATTACGTAATCGCCCAAGGCAAAAAATCCGAAAATTTCTCTAAAATTTCGGGATAACTCAGGTGGCCGTTGCACCTACTCAACAATACCTATAATAACAACAACAACAACAACAACAACAACAACAACAAGTGCTACCCATTTTGCTACTAAATATATTAACCCCAGTATCCTCTTGAATTCCCGGCTCCATCTACACTGGTGTTTCTGGCTGTTTTCTTGTTTTTTGTGGATCTGGCATCTTGTCACTAGGTAATATCGACTGATAATGGCCTATTAGCGATGATATTTCTGGTAAGTTTTGTTTTCTACCCTTTTGAACCTATTTAATTGAAAAGGTATATACCTTATCAAATAGGATACTCAAGTGAATTTTTACTAACCTCTATAGAACATTAAAAGTATCTTGAAAAAGAATTCCAACAAACATGTTGCTGGCTCATCTACAAAAAATGGCAATTCCTTAACATCCGGTTACGTCAAGAAGGATAAAAAGAAATCACTGTCGACCAAACAAAAGGAAAAAAAAGTTTCTGAGAGTATCCCTGCAAATGTCCAAGATACCATCACCCAGGCTGCTGTGGTTAAAAAATCGACGACGACAACGACGACGACGGTGCTGTTGACTACTACTCTGACTCCTACTGGCGACACTCTGTACATTGAATTGGCTAATAAATATTCCCTTCTTGAAATTATTGGCGATGGGGCGTTCTCTACGGTTTACAGAGCTATTGATCATAATAATAACGATCGATATGTGGCGATCAAAATCATTGACAAGCATTCGATCAACGAGACCCAGCGGAAAGCGATTCTCAAAGAAATCAACATTATGCAGAAGTTGGACCATAAGAATATCATCAAGCTCTATGACTCGATAGAATCGCAAGATAATTTCTTTTTAATCTTGGAATATTGTGCCGGTGGTGAAATATTCAAACAAATCATCAATTTCACTTATCTTAGTGAAGAGCTTTCTCGACACATCATCATCCAGGTGGTCAACGCTATCAAATATTTACATGAAGAAATCGGAGTAGCACACCGAGACATTAAACCCGAGAATTTGTTGTTCATTCCTTGTGATTATAAACCTCGTACTTCCGCGGAATTTGCAAAATCAAAACGAGAATCCGATGGCGATGATAAACTCGACGAAGGTTATTTTATCAAAGGCATAGGCGGTGGTGGTATAGGGGTGGTGAAATTGGCGGATTTCGGGCTCTCCAAAGTGTTGTGGAATACCACCACCCAAACTCCTTGTGGAACTGCCGGATACACTGCGCCGGAAATTGTGAAAGTTGAAAAATATGATAAATCCGTGGATTTATGGGCCATCGGGTGTGTGTTATACACTTTGCTATGCGGGTTCCCGCCATTCTACGACGATAATAACGATCAAGTCAAATTGTTAAAAAAGAGTTTAAAAGGAGAATACGAGTTCTTGAGCCCGTGGTGGGACGAAATTAGCAACGATGCCAAGTACATGGTGAAGAAATTGTTAAATGTCAACCCTTTGAAAAGATACAGTATTGACCAAATGTTATCTGATCCATGGATAACCAAGGGCAACTTCCAATCGTTGAAAAAATCTTATAGTTACAACGAGAAAAATAATGTGGATTATTTCCCAAATTATAGAAAATTGGTGATTGAACAGAAAGTAGATGACAAAGTGGCCCCTATAGAGCACCAACCTGAAGCCCATGGCAATGATATATCCTTGAATACTCCTAACCGAATCAATCCCAATAGCAGTGAAGGTGGTGTGTTGATCGCTAAAGAAAAGAAATACAAGAGCATATTTAACAAGCACATTGAGATTCAAAGAGAAAACTCTGCGTTATTTACTTCTTGCGAACTGGCCATAAACCACGCCCCATCTCCCTTACAACAATTGAAAGAAGAAGAAGATCGGCAGTCCGCGTCATCGTCGTCGCAAGAATCCACTAATAGAGACTTCATCAAGGATGACAATACCCCTACTGCTACTATATTAACCAGAATTACAAAAGCCGATACCAAACATAAACCCGCACCAATCCTCATTACTGATCTGAATTTCCAGGCATCGCAAATCACTGATCACAAGTCTATTCCCCTGTCGATCAGTATAAATCAAACGAAAATTGAAGTCGACGAAAAATCACATACCAATGTTTCCAGTCTCACTGATAGCCTATTAGCGGTATCATTTTCCAAGAAAAAGAAGAGCTCGTTACCTAGAACTCCTTGTCCAAAAGACGTGAAGTTCTCCCAGTCGTATCATTGTGAGGACGAAGAAGATGAAGAAGAAAACTGCGGAACGTATGATGATGATGACGGATTCGACGACAATGATAGTAGTGATGTTAGTAGCAGCAGAAGCTTCAAAGTACAACAAACACAGCATGAAATTTCATTGAACGTGGGTGGATCAAACTCCCCATTTACACAATCTATCAACGGTGATTCAGCAACTAGACAAAGCTTTGATAGCCAAGTGATAAGCAATTCAATGGAACCATCGCTAAATAATTTTAGTTTAGATTTGAACCATTCGGTGATGTTGGAGAGAAGAAGAAAATCTAATGTTCATAGTATATTAAGCCAAAAGACAATTCCAGCGAGCAGTGCTTCCACTATTAACACTTGAAATCTGGGAATTTTTTCTGTGTCCTTAATATCATGTTGTTTCTTTTTTTTTTTTTTGCTGTTTTTGTTTAGTTTTTATTTTATGAATCCATTTCAATTCTTTTTTTGGGCTTTCTTTATGATATTTTTGGGAATTCTTGTTTAAAAATTTGTCTTTTATTGAAAAGAAAACGTTATCTTGTTTCTCTGATTATGAGTTTTTGTTTTTGTTTATATGTTTTTTGTTTTTTATTGTTTGTTTGTTCATGTTATATTTAAAGAAATTGCATCAATTTATTTTTTGGTTACCTCATGTTTATTCTTGGAAGCATATCAATATAATATACTAATTACTTTGTTTCAAAAAAAAAAAAAAAATATCATTTTATCAATTTTAGTTTCCTACAATAGATAAAGAATGAGAAAAAAAAATAGAGAAATCCGTTCTTGAAAGTCCGATTCTATGATTATTATTAGAAATATACAGGTATAGTACATACGTCATCAAAAATATTTTTGCTTTTTTTTTTCAATCAAGTTATTGTTTGAGTTGTTCTTATCTTTCCCCCATTATTGATCGCCTTAAGTCGGTTAGATAATGACTTTTCATTGGTGTTGTTTCCAAAAGTATTGTCATCATCCTCACTATCGTCTTCAAAATCATCAGAAATCTGAGAGTCATAATCCGACGCGTAAATCTCCACCTGTGGAGCAAGAGGCCGTTTTGTTAAATTCGTGGTTTTGGCAGCCAGTGGAGATTGATTATACCTGGTTCCAAGCTTTGGATGTCTCAGAGGAGTTATGTTGGTGATTTTGATCGGGCCAGAGGACGTGGATGAGTTTTTAGAGATGTCGACTAATGAAGAAGACAAAGAAGAAGAAGAAGAAGTAATTAACCTTGGTGAAGTCTTGGTGAATGATCTTGTTGTTGTTGATGGGGAGAAGTTTGAATTTTCTATTATTGTGGTTGGCTCATTAGAAATTTCGGGATCGTGCTCATCACCGTGATTTTGAGGATTGTCAGATTTATACGATTTTTGGGGCTTATCATTTTGATTCTTGTGTGTTATTATTGTTTGTTCCGACACAGGATCTTCGAGTTTGTTGTGTGTTGTGGTTGTTTGGTTTGGAACATTGTTTTCATTAGGAATATCCATTTCACCAGATTGCCTTGATCCAGATAAAGAAGTTTCTTCCTCATCATCACTCAAAGAATGCTCAAAATCCCCACTTCGTTCACTATTACTGCTTGTGCCGCTTTTTATTGCCCCATCTAAATGATCTAGTAACTTTTTGGGGATTTCAATGGGTCTTGGCGGTCCATGCAATTTCATGATTCTTGTAGGATTTTTCCTCTTCTTTGACCTTCTCTTCGGGGATTCCGATAATCTTCCTGTATTTTTTGTCTTTGGCATTGGTAATCCCACAATTATCCTCGATGTTCTCCGTGATGATTGAAGTCGAGGACCAGAAATTCTCAATAGCTTGGTACTAAGTGGTTCTTCCTCTGTCGCGGGCTTTTTTGTAAGTTTCTTTGTCTTTACCACTGGGGTTGGCAAATTATTTGGTGATAGAGGTTTCATTGGTTTCGATATTATTATCTTATTGTTGTCCAATGGTGTCAAAGGTCGACGACTCATTGTTCTATTATAGAGGTTTCTTGATATCGGTGAGTTCTGCACCCTATTCAAAGAAGGTTTACCCTTTGTCAACCCCACCGGTCTTATTCGCTGTTTCACTGGCATAATATCATCTAATGGACGATTATTAACTGGATGGTCTCGATCCCCTAACTTAGACATGGACCCTGTCTTATTATTATTATTATTATTATCATTATTATTTTGCTGACTTTGTTTAACAAACGCCCCGCTCAAATCACGTTCATGTTCTCCAATAAGCCCCCCAACTTCAATCATATAGCTAGATAAATGGAACTGCTGGCCTTCTTGTATGGTGGTGTCCTTCTTCACAAATTCTTCTGCTAATTTGGCCCCGGTGATCCCATCGATCAATACTACTTTCCGGTTAAAAGTGTAGTATTTGAGAGTCCCGTCGTGCCAGGTCTTGGTTTTTTGGAATTTCTGTTTGGTGAACAATGCCTCATACTCAATCACTCTGGCATTCCTTAGGGACTCCTCGTCCATATTAATGGTGTAGTATAATCTTATATATATGATACGGTACTTGTAGTAGACATCACAAAACTGACGCGTTTTTTAATTATATTTTTCTAACCTGGTGCATGTGACGGGGGAAATTCCTGGCGTAAATAAATAGATGAAGAATAAATAAGGAATGAATAAATATAATTCATTGGGAGAACTGTTTACGGGATTTAATTATAAAAGAAATGGATTTCAAGAAAGAGTTCACCGATATCAAAAAAGCTTCGAATTTGATCAACATCACTCTACAATCCAAAGGGTTTCTCCAAGTTGCTGACGATAATTCAACCAGCGATAAGCTCAATGGCCAAAAACTATTGTTTTGTTCAGTAGACTATCATTCATTAATGGAATTCGATATTGCACCGTTGATGTTTGATAATACTGACCAAGATGAAACCTTGATACGAGACAAATTGAAGAAAACCATGATTTTAAATGAGAAGTTGGTGAATAACGACAAAAACGTCATCAATGTTTTATACTCGTTACTCAAGAATTTGGAAGACTCTAAAGATCAGAAATCCCAGTTTCTCGAAAAACTAAAGGACAAGGACTCGGAGATCAAGAGTTTACAACTGGAAAATCGACATTTGACAAAACAGTTGGCCAAGCAGAAAAGTGTCAATGTCGAAACTCTGGTGAGTTTTCAAGTACAATCACAATTAATGCAAGCTAATAAATTGAGGATCCATGAGGATCTGCTAGAATTGAAGAAACTACAAAATACCATCAAATCATTAAAATCACATCATCAAATTGAACTTAGAAGAAAAGATGTGGAAATCAGTAATTTAAAGGATAAACTACTAGGGAAAGATTTTTCATATTCGGCCAGTAGTAATAACAGTAAAGACAACAATTCTTGCTATACAATGTTATCGCAGGGCACTCCAAACCTTGATTTTGATGACCCGATTCAGGTCCCCGCGACTAACAAATTCTCTCAGAGGCCATTGGTAAATGGGGTATTTGATAAAGAAATGGAAAAATTGATGGTGGATTCTTCGGATTTGATCACCAATCTAACATTAGCCAATGGAGAGAACTTGGAAATTATCACAAAGACCAAAAATTATTTACAAGTTTTGGACAATTATTTGCGATTATTAATTAGCAATTTAAAGAATATGGCCAATAACGATGAAGAAGAAAATGAAATTTTGTCGAGAAACTTGAATCTTACAAAACCATCATCTCCGATAGTATTTTTTGAAGATAAGACTAATGGTGATTCTAGTAATATGACACACCATGACAGTAACACTACCATAGAAGTCACAAATACTTTAATAAATTTAAGTACTATTGGGGAGGTGCAAAACCAATTGATGAACAATTTGACAAGGTTACACGGGACGGTTGAATCATTAATTGAATATAATACTGGAGATACACTGGGGCCAAGTAATTCCAAAAGTAAGGAAGAAGTGGAATCCTTGAAAATAAAGGTTAAGGAATTGAAATCAGAGTTGCTGAAGGTTAAACAGAATTGGCAGAGTGCTATTGATACCATGGAGGATTGGAAGAATTATCGTAATCAGCAGAATAATAATAATAGTAGTAGTAGTATTAGCAGTAGTAATAGTGTAGAATAATGTTAATGATATGATTATAGTTCCCAAAATATCTTTTCTTGAGTTATGCCTGTATTATACGTGTTATCTGTTGCACTCTCAAAACAATATTGTAACTCATCAAGATTAAGTGTTATCTCGGCAATCATCTCATCTCTGCGTTCAGATTATTAGCTTGTTTGTTTTTTTCTTTTGCTTCAGAATATCAATGATAGCTAATGGATTGATCAACATTATCCAAAAAAAGCCCAATTTATTCTTTCACCAATTCAAACGTAATAATCAATAGAGGATCGCCACTTCTAACCCCTTTAATTTCTTCATCAGGATGGACCGCTTTCAACACCCATCTAACACTACCAGCGCCTTCAACTTTATCGATTTTCTTATCCAAATAATACTTCAAATCGATTCCGAATCCTCCTGGCAACATGATCTTGAAATCGTTATTATCGAGCGATAACATATCAGTTTCAAACACAAACACGTAATAATTATTGGGGGATAATTTTGTGGCCTTTAAGTTATCAATATTGGTGAAATATTGCTGTCGGTCCCTAGGGTTTGTAGGGATTTCATTATTGTTTAACAATCCAGTGTGTTCATCGATATTCGTGGAAAATTCGTCGTCATTTTCTATGATCTTCACCTTGTTGAAACTGGACATTGCTCTTCCATAAAGCCAAGGCCCATTTTCATCGTCGTATAAATCACCATCAACACTGGGGTCGACTAAATATTTGAATACTCGCAAGGCGGTACTGGTACCGTAGGGCAAGAACTCTCTAACGGGATAAGAGAAATCGTTGCCGAACAACAAGCGATCAGCGCGGATCGAGACTTTTGGTTTGATTTGGATAACCATCTTCAAATTGTGTTTGTCGGTATTATCGGGATAATTGGCAAAGCTGTGAGATTCATGGTGGGTTGATCCTTGGAAATTCTTGATATACACCGCCAATTTGACGTGAGCCAAAGGTCCATCAAGACTGATGATATCCTTGGGGTTGTTGACGGGGACAATACAAGGGTTTTTAGGGTTGTACTCTGTGGCAGCAGAGATCTTCAAGCGTGTTTTGCTCATGTTTGGTATACTTCTTGTATTGTTATTATATGATTAATGAATACTTCTCTTCTGTTTATCATGATTATCATCGATGAGAAAGTATACCATCACTGCGGGACATTGCGCCGTTTGGGAAGAAAAAAAATGGGGCAAGACGGCACCAGCAGCACTTTCTATTTTAGATCTCTTTCTGTCTTTTTGCCAAAAGGTTTTTCTTAAGAGATGCTCAAGACTTTTGTCAGCAGAACCTTTGCCACCTCCCCAGCAATCACAAACAAAATGGCAGTTCCTCTGTTGCTCCCAGCCCAAATCTTCAATCACAAGAACTGGCTCAAAGATCTCGAGCACAAAAAGTACCCAGCAAAGCAGCATGTATTGAACGTCAAACAACATTTCCTCAAGAAATCCAGCAATTTCAATCCTAACGAGGTGTTCTTCTTTATTAGCGGTGAGCATCTCACATTGTACCCTTACTGTGACCAATCTCCTCCATTCAGACAAAACCGATACTTTTATTACTTGACCGGGGTCAACATCCCAGGGTCTCACGTACTTTTCAACCTCAAAGATGAGAAAACAACCTTGTTTTTACCAGACATTGATAACGATGATGTGATGTGGAGCGGTATGCCAATGGGTCTTAAAGAAGCCCAAGAGACTTTTGACGTTGATGAAGTGAAATATTCCAAAGACTTGGAAGATATTCTCCATAATATCGCAACATTTGGCAATAATACGATCTTGACCACCGATTTGAACGCCGCCAACAACAACTACACCCAATACTTGATGCCTGGTAACCAGGATTTTTTTTACGCTTTAGATGAATCGAGATTGATCAAAGATGAATACGAATTAGCATTGATGAGACACGCTGCCCAAATCACCGATAATTCCCATTTGGCAACCATGAGTGCGGTACCAATTGAAGAAAATGAAGGGCACATTCATGCGGAATTTGTGTATCATTCGATTCGTCAAGGGTCGAAGAGCCAAAGTTACGATCCAATTTGTTGCTCGGGTCCAAATTGTGGGACGTTGCACTATATCAAGAATGATGAAACCATTGGCAATAGAGAAAGCATTTTGATCGATGCGGGGGCAGAATGGAGCTGTTATGCGAGTGATGTCACCAGATGCTGGCCAGTCAATGGTAAATGGTCTGCTGAACATTTGGAAATTTACAATATTGTTCTTGAAATGCAGGCAGAAACCATGAAACTTATCAAGCCAGGACAAAGTTGGGAAGAATTACATTTATTGGCACACAAGATCATGATCAAAAGATTCCTAGGGTTGGGGATTTTTGAAAATGGTACCGAAGAAGAGATTTATGCCAGTGGGATTTCCGGATCATTTTTCCCACATGGGTTGGGTCATTTATTGGGTATGGATACTCATGACGTTGGTGGATACGCCAATTATGACGATCCAAATCCATTACTCAAGTATTTGAGATTGCGTCGTCCATTGAAAGCTGGAATGGTGGTCACTGATGAACCAGGGGTTTACTTCTCGCCATTTTTAATTGAGGATGGACTTAAGGACCCAAAGAAGGCCAAGTTTGTCAACCAAGAAGTATTGGAGAAGTATTGGAAGATTGGAGGAGTGAGAATTGAAGATGATATTATTATCACCAACGATGGATACGATAACATGACCCAAATAACCAAAGACCCGCAAGAAATTTCCAAAATTGTCATGGGTGGGATTCAAAAAGGTCGTTCGTATTTCCATGTTATTGTCTAATAATTAATGCCGTGATTTATTCTAACCTGAGCTTTATTTCTAAATGTAGTCAAACAATTAGTACCATAATTTACTATTATTTGATACTGTGTATATATAACTTACAAAATCAATTTTTGTTTTTAATTAATTTTTTGTATATTAAACTGGAATCTAATAAAGGTATAACTACTATAATAATGTTAGTTTAACAACTCCTTCTTCTTTTTCCTGTTATAAAGATTCCCACAAGTGATCTCCATAAACTCCTGATTTGGAATGGTTGTAATTATTATCAATTGTTATAATAATTGTTCAGAAAGTACCAAAAGTTCTCGACATAGTCTTTTAAGACAGGGATAACTGTAAAAAATAAAACTTCTCATCATTTAAAGGAATAATGAAATCACAACTGGAATAAACAGAAAAAACAGAACAATACCTACATTCTCAGTCACTTGCAATACTATAAAGATAATTAATAGAAATTGTTAAAAGAAGAAATTGAAATTGGCCAAAGTCGCCGCTTTTTATAGTAAAAAAAAAAAAAAAAAAAAACCGAGAAAAAATTGTTCTCCACGTGATGTCCGGGCAACGTTGATATTTTTTTTTTGTTTTTGTTGTTGGCGAAGGAGATCAAATTTCCACCACGTCGTTATTATTATCGCTGTCTGTGTTTCCTTCAACATCAATTGTCATCTCCAAAAACACTGTGGGTCCGTGCGTGTTTAGATTCCTGGATAGTGGAGACTAGAAATAAAAAAAATATATTCTCTGCTCAAATACAGAACCTCCAGGCTCATTGTTGGTTTTGTCTTTTGTTTTTGTTTTGTGCTAATTTGTTCATTATCACCAACACTTTTTGCCGGTTTATCATCCTTGTTGATCCATACCAGATTGCCACTCTTACGTCATAAACAACAACAACAACAACAACAACAATATTTTCCAATTGAATATTTATCATACCAATTCCCAATTTGCTACTGTTTTAAAAGGGCAATATAAATACTAATAATAATAATAATAATAATAATAATATTAATAATAATAATCATTCATCATGGCCATAGTTAGAAGTCCGCTTCTTCGTCAAATACGAAGAAAACCTTTGCATTTCTTGGGTCCCTTCACAGTAATAATCGTTTTGGCATTATTTATTTTATCGCCATCTACTCTCTCATCAATAAGTGGATTTAACAGTACCAAGACAAAATACAATTACACCCCAAAGACTGGATTTTTTGGCTCTTCTTCTAAAAATAAAAACTTCCAAAGCAATTTACCAGGCAATCATATCTCACATTATGACTTGAATAAATTGAAATCCACCCCTCGGGCAGCGTATAACAAAGAACGTATTTTGGTATTATCCCCAATTTCCCGGTTTTATAATGAGTATTGGGCCAACTTGTTGAAATTGACTTATCCAAGAGACGCCATGGAATTGGGTTTCATACTACCAAGAACCGCCGAAGGGGACGAAGCTCTCAAGAAATTGGAAAAGGCCATCAAGATTGTTCAGACCGGCCCAAAAGACGACCGGTTTGCCAAAATCACCATTCTTAGACAAGATAACGATGGGTTAGAATCACAACTTGAAAAAGACCGTCATGAGCTTCTGGTGCAAAAGGAAAGAAGAAAAAACATGGCCATTGCTAGAAACTCACTTCTTTTCACCTCTTTGAGTCCGTACACTTCATGGGTGTTGTGGCTCGATGCCGATATTATCGAAAGTCCTCCAACTTTGATCCAGGATTTGATCAGCCATGATAAACCAGTGATGTCTGCCAACGTTTACCAAAGATACAAGAACGATAAAGGTCAACCAGACATTCGTCCGTACGATTTCAACAACTGGGTCGAATCGGAAGAAGGGTTACGAATTGCCGAAAACATGGCAGACGACGAGATCGTTGTGGAAGGATACGCGGAAATCGCCACTTACAGACCTCTCATGGCCCATTTCTACGATAAGAATGGCGATGTCAATACCGAAATGCAATTGGATGGGGTTGGCGGTGGTGCCGTGATGGTCAAGGCTGACGTCCATAGAGATGGGGCAATGTTCCCGCCTTTCCCATTCTACCACTTGATTGAAACTGAAGGGTTTGCCAAAATGGCCAAAAGATTGGGTTATGAAGTGTTTGGCTTGCCTAATTACTTGGTTTATCATTACAATGAATGAATGAAATTATTTTGATGATTTTTTGGGGAGTGACTTAAGAAAAAAAGCATTTACTTCTTTGTTTTTTGTTATTATTTTATTTATTTTATTATTCAATCTTCAATGGGTTTTCTACAAACTTTTTTTTTTTTTTTTTTATTGTGATCGTTCTCTTTGTTTTTCTTTTCTTTTCAGACCTTTTTTTCCAGTTGAATAAGGGATTCATTTTTCTGCTTCAGTCATCATACACATTATCCAATTCTCTCAATATAAATCAATCATTGTTTATGGTTGTCTTCTGTGATTTTTTATTTTTTTGCATGAAAAAAAAAGAAAAAAAAAGGTTACAACAGGAAAATGAAGTGAAACTTAGAATTCAAATATCACATAATGCATTATTATTATTATTACTATTATTACTACTATTATTTTTATCATCATTTTAATCAACTAAATTTATATTGTTAAAAAAAAAAAATACCGATTGATGATTAAAATAGGTTCGAACATTCTTCTCATAAATACGCTAGTATGCTAGCAGACGAAAAGAAATCATAACATACAAATATATCTTTTTAGGCGGCGAATTCTTTAACAAGTTCACAGACAGCTTCTGATAACTTGATCACTTCTTCTTGGGTCTTTGCTTCAGCATAAACACGAACGGCGTCTTCTGTACCGCTTGCCCTGACAAAAGATCTACCTAATTGCACCTTTTTCACTTCTTGATCAATTTTCTGTTGGAGACCCTTTGGTTCAATCAAAGTTCTTTCAGCATTAGTGGTCTTGAATTCAGTTCTGTCCTTAACTATAACTTTTGCTAATTTATTAGGCAAGTCAGCATAAGCAGAATTCCATTCGGTTGGAGTCAATTGTAAATCAGAAATAATCAACAAAACCGTGATCAAGTCGGATATGGCATCCCCAACAGATTGGTTGATCAATTGAGTGAAGTAGTAAAGCTTCTTGAATGCATGCTCATCACTGCTGGATGAGACTTGTTCGATCAAATTTTCCGAAAACAAAACTGTACCATGACCATTGGCTTCAAAATAAATACCAATATCGAATTTTTGGGCCACATGGTGAAGATGTTTCACCCCGGTAGGAGTGCATTCAACGGCAAGTTTCAAATTTTGTGTCAAGTAATTGGTAGATGATCCATTAGCATAAGCGGTTTGAACCACGCCGACAGAAAGTTTAAGTCCGGTTTGTTCCACCAATTTGATGAAATATCTGGCCAATAAGGTAGAAATTTTATCACCATCTAACAACTGGAACTTATTAGCTGAATTGACAAAATAAAATACCACTCTGTCGGCGTCACCGTCAAATGAGGCATATAATTTATCAGGGATTGCAGAAATCCCTTGTGGTAATTGCTGGTTGGTCTTGACAAAGTCCGCACCACAGTGAGAGTTCAAAGTCTCTGGATGGGTGTATTTATCATTGATGACCTTATAACTATGAATCTTGCCTTTCAAATATTCGTCGAACAATTTTTCAACTTTTGGAGCGCCGATACCATTGGCGGCATCAATGACGATATCAATTGGTGGTTTAGAATCACCATCGATCAACTGGTAAATTTCTTTGAATGCGGTGGAGAAATATTCGTAGTAACTGGTTTCAACTTTTGGTTTGCCAGTATTGTGATTACGGACCAAGAAATGTAATTGAGGAGTCGTCAACACTCCAAATTGTTTGACGTTAGCTTCCATAGCCACTAGCCCATCGACAGCCGCCTGCTGTAATACTGGGCCTGATTCTCTAGAGTCTCTTGCCACAATAACGTTAGATGGGACTTTCAAGTCGATTTTCAAGTTCTGGATCAATTCACGAACCTCTTTGACCAACACTTCTGGGCTGGCGGCGTTGGCCAAAGTGGTGGCGTACGCTTCCCAGTGTTGCTCCAACATTTCACCCATAGGATCAACCAACTTGACCCCATTATCCTGAGGAGGGTTGTGGGAGGCAGTAATCATGATCCCGATGAATTTACCCCCGAGGTACTTCGATCTAAGGGCGGCAAGGATCCCAGTGGTGAACATCACGCTGTCCAAGATGTTAGCGTTCATACGGAACCCTGCGGTACCATATTGATATTTTTTCACCGATTCTGGTTTCTTGTGGTTTTGAGCGGCCTGGAGGATCTTGTCCATTGTCTTGTTTTGTTTTATTGTTTATTGGAACGAGATTGGTTGGTCTGACGTGCCAGAGTTGTAGATAGATAAACAGAGGCGAAAGCGACACTTCATCACAAAACCGTGGGTCCTCTTTTGTATTGTTACCCGGACTAGGCGAGCTACTTACTGGAATTTAGATCTCTGTATTCATATATTATTTATTGTTCTATCTAATATGCTCTCCATATTTATCCACACTATATCATAGTACAAATATATCTTCCCCCCAATGACCACAACAACAATCAAAAAAGACGTCAAAAGGCGAAAACGTTTCACGCACTGGTTAGCAGCGCTGGGTGGGGCGACGGGCGGCCATAAAGGAATGGTTTTTTCGGAGGCTCTAATTCCTCTGGTTACTTATCTTCTCTTTTGGCGGTTTTCGGTAATGCCAAACACAAAATGACAATATCCGCCTATCCTAAGTAGGTATCAAGTCTCTCCCTCTCCACATTTAGCCTTCTTATCGCAATACTAACCCTTATTGTAGGAACATTCGTGCATGTCTTTTTGGTACGTTATTGTCAAACTTTTGTATATATCTCTCTCTTTCAACGAAGTGAGTACTAACCTATCTAGACATGGACGGCACTTTAATCAACTCCGAAGACGTGTATACAGAAACCATCTCTGAAGCTTTGGCAGAATATGGTGCCGGTCCTTTGACTTGGGATCTTAAGATCAAGTTGCAAGGGTTGCCAGGCCTTGTGTCCACCAAATTAGTTCTTGAACACTACAAAATCGCTGACAAAACTACCCCAGAATCATTTTTCAAAAGAACCACCGAGCTTCAGTACTCGAAATTTCCTAATTGTAACTTCTTGCAGGGGGTTCCGGAATTATTGACCCATCTTAAACTGAACAAGGTCCCAATGGCTGTGGCAACTTCTTCTATCAAAGAAACCTTTGATTTGAAGACCTCTAAGCTTAAACCAAATGGTTTTGATTTGTTCGATGTCATCATCACTGGTGATAATGCTGAAATTCCAAAGGGAAGGGGCAAGCCTAACCCAGATATCTATTTGCTTACTTTGAAAAAACTTAATGAGAAATTAGGGTATCATGGTACCGATGAAGAAATTCAACCACATGAATGTTTGGTGTTTGAAGATGGTGTTCCTGGTGTGTTGAGTGGTATTAATGCTGGCTCCTACGTTATTTGGATTGCTGATAAGAGAGCCTTGAAAGTTTTGAATGGTCAAGAAGACGAAATCATCAATTCTAAAGGGGAATTGATCGACAGTTTCGAGACTTTTGACATCACGAAATTTGGGATTTGAAAATATTCTATACATTAGTTACGATAGAAATATCATACGGCCATGATCTGTGAGGGTTAAAACTTAATAATTTTAATTTTATATATTCAAATAATCAGTTCACTCCACAAGGGTTTTTGTAAACAGAAATCAATTCGACAAAATAGTACCTTTCATTTTTCTGATTTTACCACGGATTTCTTCACCAACCTTATTCTTATCAAACACTCTCCCATCGCACAATCTATCCGATTGTAATTGAGAATTGAATTCGGTTAATCGAAAGTTCAAATCGCTCACATAATTGATCGAGTTGTGTTTTGTCAATTTTTTATGGAGATTTTCCAATTTTTCATTCAACTCACCAACGCTCTTCAAAGATTCCGCACAAGTGGTAACATAGCTTGATTTGTTGAATATTGGGTCGTTTCTGATAGCACTGATAGAGTTGTCTGTTTGAACGGTTGCATCACTGTACTGTTTTCCACTGCCGGTGTTGTAGGTCACCAACAAACTCGGCACAACATTAAATTTCCGTGTTAGGGATTGATATAGTTTATTCAAGCTCTTGATATTAGAAAGGTAGAAACTTTGAAGCAAGCGAGATTTGTTTTGGAGCAAAGGTTTAATCACTAACAATGCCACTAAATACGACACTATCGAGGCATATCCAGAGTAATGAAGGAGCCGCGTGATATATATTAGAGTGGGGTGGTTAGGGCTTGTGGACATTTTTATGTATTGAAGGGGCGGCAATAATGGTTTTTGTCTTCTTTCCTTCTTCATAATCATCAGCATACTGTAAATTGCCCCATTTTCTGTGAATAAATCAGATAAAACAAAATACTACGCGCACCATGATGAGCCAGAAAAGAAAAAAAAAAAAAAAAAAGTTTTCAAAGTTAGAAAAGTTATAGATTATATTATATATATTAGCTATAACTCTCCAACAATATGCCCACTTGTCAGAGATGTGAAGAACCAGCGGTTCTTACCTCCAGAAAGCAACCTTTTTGCAAAGACTGTTTTATCAAATTTATCAGGGGAAAGCAAAGGAAAGTGGTTCAGAGTTTGAATATCAAAGATAAGATCGTTGATGTATTAGTTCCTATCAGTTTTGATCTCTCCAACACAAGTTACGTGAGCTTCAATAACGCCATCGTTCTATTGGATATTCTCATCAACTTTTCCAAGTCGTTATATAAAAGTTATTTCAAAATTACCATGCTATTTCTCGTCACTGCAGAAAGCCTGGCCAACATCAAATCGTTCTATACCACCCTCAAGGAAAGATACCAATTCACCAATATAGATATCAAGATCTTGGATCTTATGGCCTTTATAAGAAACAATGAATCGTTATACAATATAAATGTTCATAATAATAGAGCGACAAGCTTTCCAAGTGTTCACAAGTTTGAAAGTTTCGAAGATTACATTTCGTCCATCACCAATACATCTACAAGGGAAGACTTACTTTTCAATATCCACTGGACTGTCATCAAAATATTCGCATACCTTCACAATTTCCCCACCGTATTATACAGTAATTCTATGGGGAATATTGCCACGAAAATTTTGTCAAACATTGTTAAAGGTAAAGGGATTGAAATATCACAAATTTTGGAAGAATCCCAAACATTGGAAATTGCTGATGATGAAAAGAAGCAGTTCAGTTTTCAGGCATTTTATCCTCTCAAAGATGTCTTGAACACCGAAATATTTCAATACATCAAGCTCCTAAACCTCACAGATCTCTTACCATCAGATTTGCAGCGACAATACGAAATCATCAATGATGAGGAGACTGGCAGCAACAACAAAATCCTCAATGTGAAGACTGCTACCCTCAATCAGCTTATAAATGAATACTTCAACGATTTGGAGAAAAACGGATACTCCACAATTGTCTCGACGGTTGTATCGACGGGTTCGAAATTGGCGATACCTAAAGGCGAACTCAAGGAGTGTCCATTATGTGGATTCAAAATGCCTGGTGGGGCAAGCAAATGGTTAGACCATATCACTGTCAACTCACCTTGTGAAGATGGGGAATCACCATCACCGTCATCATCGGAAAACCACAACCCGCAATTATCAGGCAACCCATTGGATATTTGTTATGGCTGTCTTGTTTCCTTTGATACTGCCGGTGAGAAATTTTCCTGGCCGATCGCTGAGCCTGTTTCTATGAGCGAGAAAGAGATCTTGAATGAATATATTATATCTGATGATGATGACGAATAGTTTGATTTTATTATTATTGTATAGAAAAATAATAACATGGCACTGTACCAACTTCGCGGATGTTTCAAAAGATTATTTTTTTTTTTTTTTTTTTTATGTAACAAATACCTTGTCACTGAAATATATAAATATATTGGCAGTTGTATTGTCGATATAGAAATGTTTCGAAGATGTATTTCAAGATCCTTCTTCTCATTACAATTTCAAAGATTCGCCAGCTCCAACATAAACAACATAACTATTAATAGAGCTGATTTACCCCGGTTGAAAGTCACCACTAAAGATTTGCAACAGAATAAGAAGTCCTCCTCCTCGCCTAATGGTAGTGGCACTCTCGACCCGGATAATTGCCCGCCATCATTAAAGGAAATCAGGCTTTATATGAACAAGTACCCGGGAAAAGTGGTGATGACCGAACTTGGGAAATTCTATGAATTGTATTTTGAAAACGCTGATGATTATGGTCCAAAACTAAACTTAAAGGTTACCAAACGAAACTATGCCGCGGCAAAAATTTCTATGGCGGGGTTTCCTACTCAATATTGCTACAAATATATCGATCAATTGATTAATGTTCATAATGTCGGGGTGGTATTGATCAAACAGTACTTGAAAAATCCGTTACTGACCAGTAATGTGAAAAAATTCACCCGAAGGGTTCATCGGATAATCACTCCCGGGACGGTAATTGAAGAAGATATGTTGGATAACGAGAGAAACAATTTCATTTTACTGATTCATTTTCCAAAAGATTTCAATTCAAACCACTCGGTTGACTATAAGGTTGGATTGTGTTGGTGCGATATTTCCACCACGGAATTTTTTGTGCAAGAGTCAAGTCTAAGTAGTTTAATGAATGACTTGTACCGTATCAGGCCTACTGAAATCATTATTAATGATCTCTTTAAAGTCAAGTTGACGGATCATTTGAATTTAATATTCTTGACGCAGTGTAATATAAACTGGGTCCAGGGAAGTGTCGATAAGGTTTATAATCCCCTGAAATATTTCCAGATGTTTAATGAGAGAAACCCAGAGAAGTTTGCCGATTGTTTTGCTAGACTCTCAAGATCTGAAAGAAATTCTGCTTTTTTGTTATTGGATTATATAAAGCAGCAATTCGAAATTAACGAAGCTGAGGAAGATCAAGAAAAAGAGGAGGAAACAGCCATTATTGAAGAGTTTGGTATTCAAGAATCGTCCTTCAACTTTTCATTACCTGTGAGAAACAAATTGGAAAACTTCATGCTTATTGATTCATCTGCTAGAGAGGCCCTTGAGATCACAGAGACCATTAAGGATAGATCTAAAAAGAATACCTTATACAATACCGTTAAACGAACCATAACTCCCTCGGGGGCTAGATTACTAAGATCATGGCTAAACTCACCCCCATACGATTTAAAAGAGCTGAAACGAAGATTGAATTTTGTGAAAATCTTTGCCCATGGAAGCTTTTCCATGCATAAGCACAGAATTCAGGAAAGTTTGAAGAATTTGGCGAATTTCGATCCAATGAGATTATTATTTTCTATAAGTTTCAACTCAAACGCAATTAATGGAAGCGTTGCTGGTAGTGATAATCCAAATATTAGATTGGGTTGGAACTATCTCTGCTTATTGAAGGTGTTGAATAATTTTCTATTCATAAAACGAACCTTAAGTGACTTCAAAGGAACTAAGTCCTTCACTGAATCTCTTGAAAATTTCAACCAAGAACTATCAATCCCCAAAGATTTGGTCACGAAAATTGAGAAACTCATCAATAGGGATAATTTGGAAAAACTTCATGAAACCATTAACGATATTGAGGAAGGTAGCAATGATGACGAGCAACCTATTGGTAATATAAATGAGTTATTTAACAGTATGAAAAAGAGTTCGTTTCCAGATATGACATGGATTATCAATATTGCCAACATTGATGAAAAAGATTCTCAACTTGTGAAAAATCATAAATTATTGCAAGAGTTATTAATGAATAAAAAAAAACTTGAACAGAAAATGGCAAAGGTCGCTGATAAGCTTCAACTAAAGACGCTTGAGCTAAGGATTGATAATGATTTGCCAAATATCTATATTCAATATCCAGTGAAACTAAACCTCACAAGCTCTATACTTCAAGAAACTTTTGAAATCACCAATACATTCAAACAATCTAAGACCAGTCGCAATTTCACCACGGCTGAGTGGAATGAATTGGGGTATAAGATCTCTAAAACCATAAGAAAAATAAGGCTTGAGGAGCTCAAGTTCTTCAAAATTCTTCGATTGGACGTTTTGTTCGTTTTTGAGGAAATCAAATCGACTGCCTTCCTGATAGACTATCTTGACGTTTTGATATCGTTTGCCAATTTGTCCAAAGAATTCAACTTGGTTCATCCTACATTGAACAAAAAAATAGAAATTAATATCGAAAGAGGCAGGCACATCACGGTTGAGAATAACCTTAGAAACAACGTGGTCGAATTCCAGCCCAATGACTGTGCATTATCCTTGGATTCTGACATTGGATATATCATTTCCGGTCCCAATATGGGCGGCAAAAGTACTTATTTACGACAAAATGCTATCATTGTTATATTGGCCCACGTTGGATGTTTTGTACCAGCAAGCAGTGCCACTATAGGATTAGTTGATAAGATTTTCACCAGGATCGGTGCAGCAGATGATATTACCAATAATAGCAGTACCTTTATGACAGAAATGACCGAGACATCTCATGGGTTGAATCACGCTACAAAGCGGTCTCTATTGATATTTGATGAGATTGGTAGGGGAACCTCCAACAATGAGGGAATTGCCGTTGCCTACGGCATATTGAAGTATATGGTGACTAAATTAAAGAGCAGGTTTCTTTTTGCTACCCATTATGCCCCGGAATTGAATTACTTGATTTCGATTAACGATAAGGATAATAGCGATTTTTGTATGAATGACAAAATCTCTTATTATCATACTACGTTGATGAGTGAGTTGTTGAATAAGTATCTTGAAAAAAAAGCTTCCAACGTTATACTGAGTAATATATTTAATGGAAGATTTTTCGATCACAGATTAGTTCCTGGAATCAGTGAGTATTCACATGCTACATCTATTGCGAGCTTGGCAAATATTCCAGAAGATGTGGTTGAGGATGCTAAAATTGCGATAAATATAATGAAACTGAGAGGTAATGAAAAGACGGCGTCGAATTACAAAACAAATTAAAAAAATTTTAATTAAAATGAAGTCAAAATAAATAGCTAATGAATAAATGCGAGTAATGTTTATATTATAAGAATATATCTATGATTGGGAATGGGTCATTGCCTAAATATTGCTGGCAATTTCACCGCAAACTCCAAGTAATGGGGGAAAAAAAAAAAAGAAACAATAATAATACATTATTTGTTACATGATCTCCATACTCTACAATCCTCTGGCAGGATCATACTCATCATGGTTTTGCATATTTCCACCATTTTGTTTTGCCTCCAATGCCTGCTGCACCATCTGAGCAACCTGTGGATTTTTTGTCAATTCGGCAATTAATTGAGATTGGATAGAAGGACCAGTTGCCTGTTGTGATGGGTTATTGAATTGAGGGGCTTGGTGATTTGGTTGTTGTGACCAATGATTCGTTGGGGGCATGTTGTTGTTGTAGTTACTATTTCCATAGTTATCATTGCCGTAGTTATTATTGTTGTAGTTGCTATTGCTGTAATTGTTGTTGTAATTGTTGTTATAATTACCGTTGTAACCATTATTATAGTTATTATTGTAGTTACTATTATTATTATTGTAGCTATTATTGTTCTTGAAGTTATTGTGGTTGAAATTATTGTGGTTGTATCCATTATTATTATTGTAACTGCTATTGGCATTATAGTTATTGGCATTATAATTAGCATTGTTGAAATTGTTGTTATTCGGATTATGGTTGTAATTATTACTATTATTAGCATTGATGCCAGTACTGGCGCTAAACTGTGGGTTAGTAAAGGATTGAGGCCCATTACCTTGGCTGTTGAATTTATCAGGAGCACCATAAGATCCAGCTTGGGTTTGATTGTTTGAGACATACTGAGGAACTAAACCTTGAGCATAAAATTGAGGTACTTGCATTTGGTTATTAGGCTGGTTGTACTGTTGGTTGTTATTACCAGGGAAATTTTGTTGGTGTTGTTGTGGTGCTCTACCATAAGATTGTCTGTTCTGCTGAACAAATGTTTTCCCCCCGTTGGTTCTGAGCGCATCGAAGGCATCATAACTTGCAGGAGCACCTTGGTTATTATTAGTATTGGTATCCTTATTATTCTGTTGACGGTTATGTTGATTTTGGGTCCGACGATTATTATTATTATAAGACGGGACTGGCGGAAGACCAAGTTCTGATTCTGAAGGTTTTGAGTTTGATCTTGGGTGTGATATCAGATATGGTCTGACACCCATATTATCTTTATTATTATCATCGTCATCAGCAGCACTGATTGGAGTGTACGATATCACTTTCGAGCTACCAGAGAATTTCTTAGGAGGAGGAGCACCATCCTTGGAAGCTGAATCTTGTTTTCTTTTCTTCTTATTTTTCTTTGCTTTCTTAAAATTCGCTTCGGCAGCATCATCACTGAATTCTAACTCTTCCTGGGCAAGTTCTTCATCATTACCATTACTGGCATCACAACCTTTGAAAGCCTTGATTTTCTCGGTGAGCTCAAATTCGGCATTGGTCACCACATAATATACTTTTGTACCCTTCAAGTCCTTAAAGCTTTCATGATTCTTCTCATTATCAGTGTTGAACTTGATTCTGTAGAACGGTGCTCTCAAAGGCCCAAAAATTTCAAATATCAAGCCGACTGGAGTTCTGTCTTCAAAACATAAAACTGAATTCTCCTTCAAAACCCTATACTCTGCCGAATTGTTCCCCTTGACAATCAAGTTATTTTCGGAAAAAGCGTGGACCTCCCCAATTAATTCAATTGGGGTTTTTTCGTCAATCTTGAAGTCTTCAGGTAATGAAGAAGCAGCCTCTTCCGGCAATTCATTTTTCGATTTGATTGGTCCATCCAAATTTTCATCGTCTTCAAATTCCAAGTTTTCAACGCTTTTAAGGTCATCGTCTTCATGTCCCTCTTCGTCATCACTATCGCTTTCTGAATCACTCTCTGAGCCGCTACCGCTGATATCATTGTCACTACTGTCTGAATCACTTTCACTCACATCATCTTCATTGGCATCAACCTCATCTGACGAATACTTATCAATGTCAGCCGGTTCAATATTTAGCTTTTGTATAGCAGTGTCTATCTCTTTTTTTCTGTTCTGTTTTAGTGATTCAATTTTTTCTTCATCATTGATGTTTTTAACATTTTGTGGTTTATCTGTCAGGCTTTCAATGTTTGCATCTTGCTTAACTTTCTCTTCAATATTTTCATTCTGATCCTCTTGGTTTTTCTCAATTTTCTCTTCGATATTTTGATCTTGGTCCACTTGATCTTTCTCGGTTTTTTCTTCGATATTTTGATCTTGGGCTGCTTGATCTTCCTCGGTTTTCTTTTCAAGATCGTGATCTTGGTTCAGTTGACCTTTCTCGACTTCTGGATTGTGAATGTCGCTTTTAAGAACTTCATCAAGTTCTTGTGGTTTATTACCTTGAGAAAGTGTGACTTTTTCAGAAATTACATCATATAAATTCTTCTCAGTGTTCATTGTGATATCTTCTGGCTTACTTTCTGAGTGTTCCAATACTCTGGAATTATCGCCTTCATTCATGTCTCCCTTTACTTCTACCTTCTCTTTTGATTCATTGTTCGATAAAAATTCATTCGCAGAATCTTGTAAAATGCCTTCATTTCCCTGTTCGCTCAGTTCATTTTTTAACTCCTCATCTTTATTTTCTTGTGGGATACTTTCGGTGGACGTCATCGTAGTCTTCTGATCTTGCATCTTTGATTCTTCATTCTCTTCACTCATATTAACAACTTCATCAGACACTTCAATTTTTTTAGATACTTCTGGAATATCAGTAGACATATTTTCCTTTTCAATCATCTTGGTAGTTTTTCTGCTATTTTCCAAAGATGTCGTTAAATTTTTTGGCAATATTGTTCTATTTACATCTGGAAAAAGTATAGGGAAGAGAAAAAAAAAAAAAAATTTTTCCTCATCGCTTAGTCAGTGGTCGCTTAATTTTAGTCAGAAGTCATGAAGTATTACGTACCTAGGATGGAGCTGATACTTTTTTGCGACAATCATTCATCTCATTTTTAATCCCCCATCCGCTATCTATTGTAGAGCGAATTCTTAAGAGAAAATCAAGCAAAGATGAGTGTTTTAAACGCCAATCCTACAGTCTATGATGTCAGTCTGCTACCTACGAGACATCAAAAGAGAAACAATGATTTTATGCTCAAAAATGAGGACTTATCACTTTATAAATTATGTTTGAACGATATTGACACTTCCAATGATTTAATGATCAAAAATACACAATATGCCCTTGAGGTGCAGAAGAAGGATCTTTCAGATAACGATACAAGTTCAGTTGAGGAACTATCTTCTGAGGAATCATATTACGATGATGATGACGAAGAGGAGGAGGAGATCGATTCATTGGAAATATATGATTTGATCGCTAGTATTTCCGACCCAGAGCACCCTTTGTCGTTGGCAGCTCTCGGGGTGGTAAACTTGGGTGACATCACTATAAACTATTACGATGAGTCTAAAAAGGGAATTGCGGAAGTTGTCGTGAAGATTACTCCTACAATTAACCATTGTTCGTTGGCCACCTTAATTGGCCTAGGCATCAGAGTCAGACTTGAAAGATGTTTACCACCAAGGTTCAGAATAGTGATCTTATTAAAGGAAGGATCACACCAATCGGAAAACCAGGTGAATAAACAATTGAACGATAAAGAAAGGATTAGTGCTGCGTGCGAAAACGGACAGTTACTTAGTGTCATTTCTACAATGCTTTCTACTTGTGTTTGATTATTGAGAAGGCACTAATAAAACATTAAACGGGAATGGTTTTATTTTTTATTTTGGTTTTTTTCTTATGTATTATAGGTCAATGATAACATTAGTATCTGCTATTATTCATTCTGTAGGTTTCTTTAAGATTTAGCAAATTATGAACTATTTCTGCTGAGATCTCCGGAGAAGGAGCCTCGAAATCATACCGTTTCAATTCCTGAGAATTTTTTCTTTTGGTGATAATTTTGAAGTTGTTAGGGTATTTTCTCGACTGCTTTGCTCTGATCATTTGCGATATATGGAAAGATGATGTCTTAGTTGAATGATAACTCGTACTAGTTTCTGATGGAAGAACATATATGTAGTCACCGTCAATTGTAAGAACTTTTTCATGACGACTGATGAAATTGACTTGTTGCCTTCTCCATACAGTATATCTCTTTATTTTCAATCTTGATAAAGGTTCATTCACTAAATCATAAGTTGCGGGTTTAGAGGAGCTTCTCAATTTTTGCTTGGTTCTATTCAATGAGGAAGACAATAAACCTGAAGCTTTTCTTGGTGATTGCCCAGCCTTTTGTTGGAAGAAATTGCTGAACCCAGAGTTGCTCAAAGCATTGCCTTTCTGATAAGCAGAATCCAAGTAAGGGCTATTTTTGGCAGTTTTCACAGCCTTAATTTGTGGCATTTTAGCATAAGTTTGGGTCTCTTTATTCAATGTTTTCGCAACCTGTTTAGATAATATCTGGACGTCTTGCTCATTGTCCAAACATGATATCAAATCTTGATCGTTGAGTATAAAATTTTCATTCAAGATTTGTACAGAGTATAATTCTTGATTCAAACGCTTCAACGCACAGTAACGCTCAATGATACTCTTCACGGTTGCAGTTGTCTTGAAACTGAGTCTGTCATACTTTGAAGATTCGGGGTATAAGAAAACTCTCAATTCCACTGTTTTCTCACTAGGTACTTCCAACTTCCTATCCATAAAAGTTCTATCGTGGGAAATTATTGATTGTGCCAATGGACTTTGCGTTAAAGTTAGCATATTCAGCATTGGATCTTCGAAATTCTTATCATCATTATTGGCATTAGTGGTCGAAGCAATATTAGCATTATTTGAAGCTTGCTTGTTCCCATCCTCACTGATATCGAATGGCAAAGGAGTTAACAGATTATTCTTTTTAGCCTCTTCATTACCAACTTCGATTATGGAAACTTCATCAGCACCATAAATCTCTATACTTTGAGTTCTGTCCAAAATACCAAAACCTTCATCAATGATTTCACCCTCATCTGATAATTGCAATTTCCATTTATTCAAATTCAAATATTTCTTTTCGCCCTTGGTCTCAGTACTTTCAGTATTTGTATATTTTAATAAAATAAAACCAATCAACTCAATCACTTTGGAGGTTTTCTTCACTTTGATTTTCAATGGACAATCACAAAATCTTTTTGATGAAGGAATATAAACATTAATGGCGGTTGCAACCCTATTGTTTAGATTTTCTCCCGATATGACATCATATCTCTCCAAAGGTGACATACATGATTTCTTTTTGTTTTCGGTCATAATAGAAGATAATTTTGAAACTGGAGGTGAATTCAGAGATCGAATGATCTCAATTTTTCTGAAGGTAATCTTATTGTCGGATGTATTTTCTTGAGACTTATGAAATTTGATTGTCCTATTAGGCACACTTCTATTCAGTTTGGATATTTTGGTTTTTAGCATCGGATGCTTCTCCTGAGTTTCGCTGTTACTTCTTTGTTTTTGTCCAATGGTCATTTCCGGCTTCTTCAAATATAACTTTTTAGATGATTTTGAAGGGGTCACCTGAGAATGGAAACTATTATCTGAATCGCCAAATATTTGTGAGTTAATTGAGTCGGAAATACTAACTCCCGTTCCTTCATTTGTGGGTAATTTGGAATCCCCGGAGGTGGTCAAATAAGTTCCATCTCTATTTATTTTCCATTGTAATGCCGCTCTTTCGAAGGCGATATCCATAATACTGTCAGCCCCGTCATCGTCGTCGGTGAAAGACCCGTCAATGAGTGATTCATCATTGGATAAGGAGTCAAAACTGCTAGTTTCATCAAGATTATCTTCATGATCAATATTTATAAGATCCTCATCCTCATTGACATTCTCTGGATCATCGTTATCATCAACGATCAACTGGCCCATCTGTTCATTTCGCATGGACTTCACGTTGCTACTGTTTAAACTATTAATCTCTTCAGATAATGAATCATCATCTTCATCACTGCTGTCACTATCATCATTGTCATCCCGTTTCTGATTCGTGTTTTTGGTAAAGAACTTCCCAATTGATGAACGGTATGTATTCTTTCTAAGATTTTGGAACCTTGTAATATTCTTAGAATTATTGGGAGTAATTATGGGTGATTGTAATGAGCTGGCTTCATCGTCCTCTGTTTCTTCTTTGATATTGGATATTCTATGTGTCATATCTGGTTTTCGATGCTTGTCAGCTTGGATTGTCACACTTGATCTGGCAGACTCACCACTACTTTTCCGGGATCCAGCCCTACTATTCTTTAATTCGGTTGATAATATGTTACTCTGCTGATTTTTGGTATCTGTTGGACTTATTTGCTGTTTATTGACGTCCAGCTCCAGATCACTCTCACTGCCACTATCATATTTCTTTGATCTATTCCTAATGTTTTGATAAAAATTGGACTGTATAGGTGGAGATTCCGCATTAGAATGTAAATTTTCCATAAATCTTTTGTTTTCCCCAACAATTCGCAAATTCATCATCTCGAACCTCTGGGGATTCTTGGTATTGATCTTAACCATGCCGGGCTGGGAGTAATACATATCTTGAAATTCCGAATGCCCTAGATAAGGCTTCATTATCCTTTTTGACATATCATTGTCATTATCCCTTAAATAACTATCTCGAAGCTTGTTTATGATATAGTTAACATCTTGAGGAAATGCCATGATTATAGCATTATAGTCTATTTCTGACCAAGCTTAACACTTGATCCATAGCAAAAGAAGGGAGCCCTCAAAAACATATTTCTTCTAAGCCAGAACCACCTGTACATATGCCACATCTTAACACCACTGTTATAATGATTTATCGAATACTCACCAGAAAGAGTTATATCTCCTCATTTTCTATTTATGAATAGAAAATAAGTAAAAAATAGCAAACCGGCAACCTAAAGATGTTTTGTCTTAAAAATAATGGTGAATTAGGAAAAAAAAAAAAAGAAAAAAAGATTCCAGAAAATTTCGGTTTGGAAATTTCAAAAAAAAGATGTTCCGATACCGGGAGTCGAACCCGGGTTTGCTCGGTGAAAGCGAACCGTGCTAGCCGTTACACTATATCGGAATTGTTGAATTTGTTATGATAATATAAAACAAAAATATATTGTTTTTATTTTACCGCAGGGCTGGTATATGTTTTATGAAATCTCTATTTTACTCATTGATATTGTGGTTAATTCTGAATAAAATTAGAATGTCCTTATTAATGGAGATCTATTATTATATTTAGCGGTTTAATGTATGTGTATAGTACTTCTGCAGTTCTAAATCCTAAGTTTCTTTTATTACATTTTATTGAATCTGATAGCACTATTGTCATTTTATCTTGCTATTTAAATTCATTCATTCATTTATTTAAAGATACCAACGTCCCCTAATGATTAGCTTTACATATTTTAAATGAGAGCTATGCATTTTGGAAGATATATTAGATTATTTTCTATTTTTTTTTTTTAACAAATACTATTCTGACATCTGCAACTGATGCTGATTTATTTTTCTTGATTCCCGCTTTTACATGATAGGAATATTGAGTATATGTGAAAGTCCTCAACTTTAATAAGAGAAAAATGAAGAGAAAATATTGGGATTTGAGCCTTTTATATTTTTATATAGTTAAGTGTAAGACACCGGATGGCATGCTGATAGAAAAAGAAAAAACTATCGGCAAGCGTAATTGCAATTCAATGAAGCGTAATAGCACCATAAGATTCTAGCAGAATTTACTCAGAAGAATTTCAGTTCTATATATTACCATAATATCTTTATTACATGATTAAACACCTATTTTTTTGTGCTTTATTTTACTCAATATAATTTGTCAACTCTGAAATAAAAAATATGAAATAATGCTAATAATGAGAATAAGACCTTTCATCGTTTTTTTAATATCAAATAAGATCTATATTGATAGAAATTCTTGAATTTTAATTGCAAGAAGCTTTTCAATGTTCCTGATAGAAAACATGTGACAAAAGATAACAAGTGAAGGATGGTCAGTCCTCTTAGTGTTCTACGACTCACGCCTGCACGTTGCGATCTTATTTAAAAAAGAAAGTACCGAAAGCCATAACAGCGATGTGGCTTATCGGATGCTTGTTAAAACTTTTCAAAAATAGATGTTTTTAGTGTTTCTTTTTTTCTTTGTAGTTTTCTGATTTTCATGTCGATCAACAAATGTGTCAACGAGGTTGCGGCATCATGGGGGAATGCACGGATATTCTAAAAAGTGGATACGAAAAACTTCAATATATATATTTCCATCATTTACCAGTTTCATTTCACTTTAGCTAAATGAAAGAAAAAATTTCAGAAGTATACCGTAAACTAAAAAAAATTATTTCGATCATGATATTTGACATCAAATCTGCTACTTTGTTGATTTCTTTCTTATTCTCCACAGCAAAATGTTATGATAATGGCAATTAGTGAGTTTTTTTTTTCTCTCGATATAATCTGGTGAATAAAAATATCTTCTTTTTTACTTGTACATTTCATGTCGATCAACAAGTCTCTCTGGAAGAAAGTACTAACAAATGTGAAATGAATAGTCAAGATTGGCTAAAGACCCAAACCTATGACTTAGGTTTGGCAACTACACTCTTCACATCCACAATTGGTGTTATTTCAAAAGAAGCGGAATGGAATCATTCAGAATGGTTACAAACTCAGACATTCGATTTTGAATACCACACATTGGAGACTCGCGCGTCATCTGTTAGTCATTATGATTGTGAATCAACAACGACTACAGATTTTATTCCAAAGTCCACAGGTGATATTGATAATGAAAATTTTCACTTAGGTGACCACTGCAAAGACGGTAATTTTAAATGTCATTTCGATGGGTCATTAGACAAATGTGACCACGGAAAATGGGTTAACTTCCAATGTGCTGCCGGCACTACCTGTTCTACTACCTTTTCTGATGGTCAAATGGTTACTGGATGCAATGCTGTTCCCGAATGAACGGAATGAGGAAGGTATTTTCGCAGGCCGAAGATATCAAATGTAATTTTTTTCTATATTATCACTATGTATTTTTTGTTTTTATTATATATTATTCAATTTTCGTTGGCAATTCCCGTAAAATAGTGAGATGGCTCACCCGAGATACTGCATGTAAAAGCAATCTTGGGCGTGATGCATGCTTTACTCGGGAGAAAGACGGAGAGGTTTTTTTTTTCTTTTCCCTAAAAAAAAACTCGAATCGCTAATTTTTCACATCCCTAAATTGATCAATCGAATTCCAGGAGGCTCGTCTGTTTGGTTTAGAGAGAATATACATTATATGTTTCTCCTTCTTTAATTTTTGATCGTGTTTCTGATCCTTTTTCGTTCTCTCTCTTTTTGCCTTCACTCATAGTGACACTGCCTGCTTCACTAAATTCATTGTTTCTTTTGATTAATTATAGATTTAATTCTATAAAAAGATAGAAGATTTCCACACTAAACGAAAATAATTATGTCGTCTCTGGGTATGAATAATGATTCTGATCATCGTATGTTTGTTAACTTTTCTTTTTTTTTCTTAATTTGATTCATGACTCTACTTTTGGGATAGATTTCGTCAATTCATAATGATTTTGGTTTTCTACCCGCAAACCATTGATATATAAATATCGTTATTACGCAAAAATTTCAATCAACTAACAGTTATTTTCCCTCTATAGTTATAAGTCGTCTACAATCTCGTGGGTTAGCCAATAACTTATCTCAACCTGCTCCCAATAACACAATCTCGATACCTTCTTTGAAAGCGAAATCCAAGAAAAACTCGGACAATTTTTGTATCAAGACATCAAAAAACTGGGTTCTACCACCTCGCCCGAAGCCTGGTAGAAAACCTTCCTCAAATTCCAATGGTTGCGCTGATTCTAAAAGAAAAGGTAAAAAGAGTATAAATTGTGCCACGAAACAAATAAAGCAGCAGTCAAAGCCACATCCACAGAAACCTGCCAGCAATCACATAAGTCATTGTAGTATAAACAACACCAAGATAAATAGACCCAACACACCCTCGCTACTACATGATACTTCCAAACCTGTTTCAGCTAACAATGTTCGTTCAGTTCAAAGCGTACTTGAGGATGAACTTGACAAGGCCACCCAAGAAAACTCCTTGTTAAAAAATGAGCTTTCTAAGCTTGTGAGTGATTTAAAATCTTTAAGAAAACAAGTCATGATAAGCTCGCCAACAGAAACTGCTGAACCTCAGAACTCTCCTGTTTCAATGACACAATCTTCTTCGATGGCTCTGGAGACTTCTTCTTTCTACTCTCCTGGACTAGTATCGAACTCCAACAATTCGCTACCTGATCATCAATTCATTAACAACAACTATACTAGTAGTCGCATGGTCCAAAATTACAGTAGCCCTATTTCTAATAGTATCGATGATAATGAATTGGAACCGATTAGCAGAAAGAGAACTCATGAATTTGTCGAATCTGAAGACCATGGTCTATCAAGACACCATAGCCACATCAGCCACCCTGGGGTTGATGATCTCCTAGAAGATGAAAATTCAATTGATGAAGAGCATGAGGATAAGCATATGAAATTGTCAAGTACTGGAGGGCTTCATCACCATGTGCTGTTAATCGGTAATGGTTCCATTTCACAAAGCTTAACTTCAAGAACACCATCCCTAATCAATCCACCAAGCACAACTGCTAGCCAACCGACGCCCGCAAAAATTTCTAGTTTCTTTGATGATTTTATTGTCAAGAATGAAGATTCGAAGGCTGATAATGAAATAGATGAGTTTGTAGCTTTCATCAATGATGATAGTGAGATTCCGAAGAAAAACAACTTGCACAAATTCGGTAAAGAAGATTCAGATACTAATAGCTATGCTTTTACTAATTTGGCTTCTGTTCCTTCATTGGTGTCTGGTGCATCAAGTTTGATCTTATCGAAACATAGCACTTTGAATTCAGAGTATGATGATGACTCTGTTAGGAATAGTGGGCAGATCTCTGGCGTGAGATCCGACGATTATTATCATAGGCTTATTGACTTACCTTCGTCTTTGAATATTGTGGACTCATCGCCTTTAGATTCTCAGGTAAATGATGTTGATAAATTAATGACATGTAATGAAGAGGTTGATAAGTTCATTGATTTCTCTTTTTTCAAAGATATTGAGGATTAAAGCAGGTACTATTTGGACTTGGCTTGGTCTTGATGGCAAGTAATGCATACATTTTTTTTTTGGGGAGTTTTGGGGTTATGTCGATTGATTTTGTACTGTTCTTTTTTTCATCAAAAACTTGTTCAGATATATAGAAATCTCTATAAAGCTTCATATAGTCTAAGGAATTTTCATTTTGAATTGAATTTGTAATGATTTACAGATTTGTAATCATAACAGAATATGTAAATAATTTGTCGGCAGACAGGTACTCTCCATGGCAACAGGTGATATTGGCTCAGGTGGTGTACTTTCATACAGAATATAAATAGGGTATTTCCGTCCCATACACCGCTAAATATTCAATCCAGCGATGTATCTAATTATATATAGTATCTAGTAATATAACCACACCAATTGTATTTAACAATCTCACCTGGAGGTATTGCAAGTTGAAATTTGAGGCGTTCAATTTCTGCTACTTCTCCAAGAGTTTCTGCCTTCATTTCTGTATATTATTAATATCACTATTTTTTTTCCTCGTGAGTTTTCTTTTTCTATTTAGCTTAGTATCATTTTTTCTATTTTCAAATGATATATATAATACTGTATGAAGTGTTTAAATGGTTATATATTGGAATAGTGTGTGATTTTGAAAAAGAAGGGAAGTTGAGTATATGCGGGACCTGCATGCGTGTTAACAGAAAACCGTACTAAATATTATTAAACTAGTACGTTAAACTAGAGAGAATAAGAAAGAATTGAATTTAAATAGAAAAAATAGCCATTGAACAAAACGCTTGGCGTCAGTCCTTGAAACCTGTGAAAGAAAAAAATGGAAATCGGCCATTTATAGTGTGGAGAAGAGTATGAAATGGTTAAACTCTATATGAAATCTGAATAATCTGAAAATAGGATACTATAAAAATGAAATTAAGGTTTTAAAATTAATCAGAAAGACTACAAATATCTGGTCGTCTTTGTCCTATGTTAAAAGAAAGTATCAATTATTAACTTCTCAGTAACCGCTATACTACAGGCCACTCCGTTAACAAAGGAACGAATTAACATTAAATGGCCTCTGTGCTGGATAAAATCAAAAAAAAATTGAAGCTCACAGGGGAATATTAGTTATTAGTTTTCAAGTTGCACTACCCAATATATGCTACAATGACAGCCTGCCCTGTTGGATTCTAAACATCGGAACAATAAATAGTATTTATCATTTATTAAATACAAATATTATGAAGAATAAAGAACATAATAATGGCCACTGGAATCCACAAAAAGAAAAGCCAAAGACGAACATATTTCAAATTAAAGAAATAAAAGTGATATTTGGAAATTTTGAGACAATTAACTCATTAAAGAAGGAATATCAATTGTTTTGAACTTTTTGGGGGTGAAATGGGGGTGTAAATAGAGTCTTCATGAAGGATACATGATATAAAAATAATGGTTTCCATCAAGCGTGGATGGTTTAGTGGTAAAATTCAACTTTGCCATAGTTGAGCCCCGGGTTCGATTCCCGGTCTACGCATTTCTTTTTGCACATAACACATCCTGCGTGATTGTGTTTTTCTTTGTGCAGCAATTTATTTACTTCTTGAAGAAAATTCTCTTCATTTATTTTCGAAGAGTGAAGAAATTTTTTTTCTTCTTCTGTCATAGCACAAATTACTATACGCACTAGAATGAAGCTAATCATGCCGAGTAAATATAGAGCCAACTACATATGTTTCAACCAAAATACTGATCAGAAACACTGAGATACATTATTGACAGTCCGAAAAGCAATTAAGAGTTTGTAAATATGTAAGACCCATAGCGTAGAAAAGAAACTTACACAGAAGTTTGAAGAAGCCAAAAAGAAAAATACAAAGGAAATAGAAATACAAATATTATCGAATTCAAAACAAAATAACATTGCTATTATTATTATATTAGTTATCAGTTTTGAAGATCAAAGAAACACCCTCATCACCAGCTGTAATCAACTTATTACCATTGTCTTGGACCACGAAGTCTAAAACACCCATGTTATGACCGGTACCAATAAACAATTCCTTACCTTCTCTAACATCTAATTTATAGATTTTCCCGTTCAAGCAGCTGACAATCAAAATGTGACCCTTGTTAACAAATTCAACTTTGGTGATAGCGTCACTGAACTTTATGGATCTTCTCAATTTCCAGGTCTTTGCATCAAAGAAGAACAAGTCACCAGAAACTAAACCGACTGCCAAGATTGACAATCCAGCACACCAACTTAGGGCCTCAATACTAGCATCAAAGATATCTTGATCTTCCTTTAATTCAATTGCCTTAAAGAAATCGATAATATTACCAGATTTGGTGTTGTAAACAAACAATGACCCATCGCGAGAACCCAAGGCAGCAATATTCAAATCATTTTCGACCGCTATGGACACCCAAGGTGGGACTTCACCTTTATAATCTGTTGATTGGAACTTGAAGGTTTGTTCATTGGCAAAACAGTTCCATTGAATGATACTGGAGTCTTCTGAACATGTAAGTAGCTGTAAGTTATCCATGTCACCGGTGTTAACAAACTTACCACTGGTACATTCAGTGGAATGCGAGAAACCAGACATGATTTGGGTGATTTCTGGGGATATTTGGTATACCCATACTGAACCATCGGTGGCACCAAAGGCGAAAACTGGTTGGGTAGGATGAATATCAATCCAAGTAATTTCTTCAACGGTTTCGACTTCACCGTGTAATTTCCATAATTGTCCCTTTTTGAATGATTTATAGATAATGACTTTCCCAGTCATATCACCCGTTATAACATAATCACCATCATTTGTGAAACCACCGGCAATAACGGATTCTGTATGACCTGTGATGGTACTTATTATCTTTGGAGGTTGTAAGTGGGTAGTCCAGATGTATGCCACATTATCACCACCACCAGTTACTACCACTGGCAATTTAGGATGGCCTGCGATCTTAAAAATCGAGTCTTTGTGGTCATCGAAGTAGGTCCAGGAGTTGTTGGACATGTCAATTTCAATAACATCATTATCATCATCATAATCATCATCATCATCATTTTGGGGGTCAATTTCTTGCACGCCACCTTCAATCATATCATCTTCATCGATTGGTTCTGCACCATCAACGTCTTGGATAACTTCTTCCGCAACTTCATCGGCATTTATGTATTCATCAGCACCCTGTTGTTCTGGATTACTCATTTTTCACTTTTCTTTATTTCTTCTATAGTATATAAAACCAAAATCCAGTTTCGAATTTCCAGGAGAAAATCAAATTAACGGTTGAGATTATTAATATAACCAAAATTTAGGCTAGTAAAATTTTTTTTTTCTTTTTGATATCACACGTGATGATATACCATAACTGCGGGACATTGGACTTTCAAATTTTTTTTTTTTCTTTAAATCATCTAAAATGAGGACAAGTTCTTCATGATCCTGAGGTAGTAGGAAAACAATCAACAAAAGCAAACAAGAATGTCGAGTCGGTTCATGGAGATGAGTGATGGCTCAGATGATGAGTCACAAAAGAAGAACAATAGTATAAATTTCAATTCTACGTTGAATTTGAGTGATGAAGATCAAGACAGTGAATCAGATGATGAAAGAGCTTTAAATACACTTGTACTGAAACTGAAAAAGAACAAAAGAAGTCATTTTGATGCTTTTGAAGAGAGTGACGACGACGAAGAAGAAGAAGAAGAAGTAGAGGATGGTGATGATAAAAACAGTAAGGAAAAGAATACTACGCTGAAAGAGAAGTCAAGTGTACAGAATAATGATAAATTAGAAGAAGAATCTTATAGCATGCTTAATCAAAAGTCATCACTTTACGGAGACCAGAACCTAACAAATTTGTCAAAGGATAAATTATTGAAAATCGAGAAAAAATTGAAGAAGACTGGGGTTGTGTATATTTCCAAAATTCCTCCATATATGAAACCAACAAAGATGCGTCAAATATTGGGACGTTTTGGGAAAGTTGATAGAATATTCCTCAAACCAGAAACCAAAATTCAATATTCCAAAAGAGTAAAGTATGGTGGTAACAAGAAGAGAATGTATGTGGAGGGTTGGGCTGAATTTATGAACAAAAAAGATGGTAAACTCTGTGTGGATACTATGAATGGTCAAAAAATTGGCGGGAAAAAAGGAAGTTTCTATTATGATGATATTTTGAATTTGAAATACTTGAAGAGCTTCAAGTGGATGGACTTGACTTCTCAAATGGCTAAGGAAAATGAAGCTAGACAATCCAAGTTAATGATGGAAATTTCCAATGCAACTAAGTTGAACAAAGAGTTTATTAAGAACGTTGAAAAATCTAAGATGATTGAAAACATCCAGAAAAAGAAACAGAAAAGAGCCCAAGAAGCGGCCGGAGAAAATAAAGAAGATGATTGAGAAAGCCTTACAAATGGTTTATTAGTACTTTAGGATAGGCTATGTGTACATAAATCAAACATAAGAAACAGAAAATATCAAGAACTCAGTAAGTTTATCGAAAATCAAGTAGCTAATATATATGAACATGAATTGTAAAGAGGAGGTATGAAATGTAGCATTTTAAGAACTAAAGTGGGATATAATTAGCGAAAAGAAGGAAAAAAAAAACAATAATAACAGAGTAACAAACACAAAGAAACCCGGAAAATTTGAGCTGAAAGAACAAATATAATTTTTGAAATAAAAAGAAACCATTTCGTGAAATGAGTTCATTGGAAAGCTTTTAGGAATATTAACTTTTTTTTTTTGTTTTTTAATTCACTATTGGTTTGTTCACTTCGATATTGGCAAACATCTGTAAAATACCATAATAGTGACCCAAGATACCACCCAACACAAAAAAGTGCCATATGGAATGAGAAGAGAATACGTAATCGACCCACCACAATGAAGTGAAATTTCCATGATTCTTGGTTTTTTCTGGCTCTGCCAAAAAGTGTCTTTCCAAAAACTTTCTGTTGATCAAATCACTATCACAGGCACAATCTTGGAAGGTCTTGTTCTTCTTGCTTGCCATGAGATCCGCATGGATTGTTTCGTATAAGCAATTAGTATCTGGAAGTTTTTCATCAAGAATCACGTCAGATCTCCATCTTTCTGGGATAAGCAAACTGTAAAAGACAACACCGGTAAGATATGAAGCAAATGACGGGAATAAAGGAGAGAAATACTGGAGTGAGTGAGAAAATCCTTTGTAAAAGCATAGAATAAGGAAGCAAACCGCACCACTTCCTGCCAAAGAAACGAAAAAACAGACTCTAAGAGGTCTACTTTCCGGCCTGTCAAATCTTGGAGACCAATTTAAAAAGAAACCTAGACCGGCCAATACGCAAGTGGCAGTAACGCAAGTAAGTTTAAGCTTTGGGAAGTAATATAAAGTGCTGTACTGAGTAGTGATAATTGATGCGGAAATCAACACAGTGATGCCGGTGTAATCAAGACACACACAACGATTTCTAAAATTCAACACGCTGGTCCCAGCAAATGTATGCCACAAAGTAGAACAAACCAAACAGTTCAAGGACGCAAAAAAAAACAAATAAACACAACCATGATCTAACCAGTGATTAAACTCATTTCTTAGGTAGGCTTCAGTAGTTGGGTAGTGATAAAATGCCAAATATGTGAGGAACAAAGCACCCAGTAAATGACTCCAAATGTTGGCAGATTCATTATGAAATGGGACCGAGAAAATACTTTTCAATAATCTGTGTCTTTCTGGATAGAACCTGTAACCGTGAATAATAAATCTGTTTTCTCTCCATAAAAAGGGTAATTGATAATAATGAAGATGGCCATCATAACCGGTACTCACGGCTTCATCATAATTATAGTAATTGAGATAATCCATATTGAATTTTGGCTGGAAGTTGCCAATGAGCTGATCAATCTTATTGAGCTTTGCTTCAAGGTATTCCAATCCACTAATGATTTGATAATTGATAGTGTTTTCAGAGTCTGAAATGGTTGGCGGTATATCTGTGGATGATGTTGGGTGGATCGGATTTGAGAAAAGCGCACTATAATTGTCGATAAAGAAACTGTTGATAGTTTCCAATTTGGAAGCCGTTGATTCTAGCAAAGAGGATTTCATGAGCTTTAAAGACCCATAAAAGTTCTCCAAATCTTCTTCAAATGAACTGGCGGCATTGGTAACACCATTCTTCACCTTGGTTGGATCAACATTCCTATTCTTAAGAAAGTATTGTTCAAAATTATCTAATTTGTGTTCAAGTTGTTCCAAAAAACTGTCAATATTGTTCAACAAGTTTTCCTCCACAATGTCATCCTGTTTCTGGGTACTTTTTCTTTTTCTGAGCAACGAGCCATCAGTTTCGGGGAGCCTAGTGGACACAACACCTGAACTCATCATCATCATATTATAAAACAAACAAAGTGTAGAAGAACAAGAAAAAGGATAAAAAAAGGAAGCTAGATAATTTATATGAACCCCAATATGACAGTATTAAACAAAGTGTCACTTAGAATGTTGACAAGTATGATAGCGATGGAGTTGTTTTCGATGATTTTCTTGCGGTGATTTTCCTTACTGTAAAAAAAAAGGGCACAGTGATTTTTTTTTTCCCTCTTTTTCTTTTTTTTTGCCGATTACACCCCTTACTTTTCTGTCGCCCAATCAACCGACATTTCTATACTGTCAATCTTATCTTATCGTTAAATCAACAACCGCCCACATTACCAGGTCCTTATTGTTTTCTTACAATCTTCAAAAAAGATGAGGTTTTTTTTTTTTTTTTTTAAATTAGAATATTAATGATCTATAAAAAAAAACATGTCATATCTAAATGTACTTGTATGGGTTTAAAATTCCATTTGGATCATACAAATTCTTCAATTGTTTGATCAATTTGATTTCATTTTCGGACTTGGTGTATCCGATGTAGTTCTTCTTTTGGAAACCCAAGCCATGTTCGGCAGACACAGAACCGTGATGTTGCTGGACCCATTCGTAAACAAAAGGTTCAATGGCTTTTTCAATTTCCTTGGTGTATCTTCTAACAGCAACATTCAAATGGACATTACCATCACCAATGTGACCATAGCCAACAGATGCAATAACTGGAAATTCATCGGTTTCTCCAACTAAGTTGGCGGCCTTCAATTTTTCTTCGACCGCTGGGATCAAATCATAAAGATCCTTCAATGGCAATGAAACATCGTACTTGTAGACCCCACCTTTATGTTGAGAAGCTTCAGGAATAAGTTCTCTCCAGCTCCACAAGTTTGCAAGTTGGGTTTCGTCTTGGGCAACAATACCGTCAGAAACAATTTCTTTTTCCATAACGTCTTCCAAGAATTGTTCCAATTTTTCATCATCATGGTCCTTATTAGAACCAGATGATTCAATCAATACGTAGAAAGGATATGGTTCTTCCAATGGATGATCCAACTTGTTGTAAGTCTTGACCAATTCTTGAGATTTGTTGTCCATGAATTCAAATGCACTCAAAATTTCCCCCAATTGACCCTTTGCTTCAATAAAGGTCTTTTGAACTGCTTCATAACTCTCAAGACCCAAGAATGCCACATTCTTGGCCTTTGGTCTTGGTGGACACAAAATTGAGAACCCGGTGATGACCCCTAAAGTACCTTCGGAACCAATAAACACCTGCTTCATGTCGTAACCGGTGTTATCCTTTCTCAAAGAATGCAAAGAATCAACAATAGTACCATCGACCAACACAGTTTCCAAACCTAACACTGAACCATGCAAAGACCCATATCTCAACAATCTTAAACCACCAGCGTTGGTAGCAATAGTACCCCCAACATGACAAGATCCTTTGGCCCCTAAGTCCAATGGGAAAATATAACCTTTTTCTGCCAAAAAGTTATCAGCGTTTTCCAAAATCAACCCGGCATCAGCCTTGAGGATCCCACTAACCTCATCAAAAGATCTAATCTTATTCAAGCTGCTCAAACTCAACACGATTTCATCAAACACCGGGACAGAACCACCAACCAAACCGGTATTACCACCTTGAGGAACAATGGCCAATTTCTTTTCGTTACAGTATTTTATAATTTCAGAAACTTGTTGGGTAGTCTTTGGTTTTAATACAAGTTTGGATTGTCCCATGTATTTGTGCATATAATCTTCATTATAAAAATCCAAATCTTCTTGGATGACAAGCTTGGAATCACCCAAGATCTCGGTGAAATGAGCAATGTCAGAATCTTCCAATTGCTTGTAGTTTGGATCACGCTTAACGTACGGATAGCTATCTGCTGTCAAGGCAACCTTAGTGGCATAACTTTTAGCAAACTGGCATTGCCCAGCTTTCGTCAAACTTGTGCAACCTCTTGGGGCAACTCTAAGAGCACGAGCACTGGCACGAGAAGCACCAGCGACAGTAAGTTTCAAGAAACGTCTCATTTTCGTTAGGAATAATGGAGGCTTACTGGCAGTGTCCTTACGAGGTGTGAATGATTCACCTTTTTTTTTTTTTTTTTTCTTCTTTTCAATTATTTTTTGCTGCACATGCATGACCCCATTTTTCAAAATATCCAATCAACTACACAGAAATCAAAAATATCGTCTATTGTTTAACAAACATTCTGAGAGAATCCACAAATTAGTTTATATTCTGAGCACTTATTGTCTTGGAAGCTACAGAATGGTGTCCAGAGACTGTTTGCAGCAAATCTCATGCCTGAGAAGAAGAATCTATAGGCCAAGCTTTCTTAAAAAAGTAAGAAAAAGAGCTGCTTTTTTGTTGAGACCTCAGTGTTGTGTTGAATTAGCATTTCTACAGATGTTTAATTTTATAATAATAACGAATTCATAACAGTAAAAATATAATACATAGTGTTTTTGTCACCTTATTTATATGCATTCACTATAGTAAGTGATGAGTTTCTGCTGTGAAGGTTCCAAAGAAAGATAGTGTACCATTTTACTAGCATCTCCACAATTATTTTTGTAGATCTTAAATAACATTGAATAAATCAAAATGGCTTCTTTTCTGATTTCTGCTTCTTCATTGACCAAGTACCTGGTTATAATTTCTTCGATATCAACAAGAAGACCATGCGACTCGCTGAAATCTACTAAATCGATAGAGTTCATTAGTGATTTAGAAATACTATCAAGACGGTATTTATCCTTGATTTTATTACTATTATTTTCCCTAGAATCTTTGAAAGATTTCACGATATTCTTTAGTAATGAGTCTCTGTGGACCACACCCTTTGAGCTTAGCTCATTGACTATATCATTCATTAATGAGATAAGCTTTTCGCTCAAAATAGAACTGTCAACTTTTGCTAAACATAACCCATCAATAATTTTCTCACTTATTAACCAATACTGACCCAATTTATCCGAATCAAATAAGCCATTTGATATGTCCTCTCGATTATTGTCCTCATTGGACAATTTAATTAATAATCTCACAACCATAAAAATTTCAACAAAACATGGATTGAAAATATCAGAAACAGACTTCTTATCAACAAAGTCTGAGATTGACTTGAAAATTTCATCAAATCCTTGCTTCTTACATATCCACTCTCCAATTTGACTAATTGAATTCCCGTTTTGTAAATCTTTGGCCACATTATCAAGAACAAAGATTAACGAGCTGGACTCCTTGAGATACAATGTACCGTTGCTCAAATGCTCCAAGATGACCTTTATATGAGTAATATCAGCCTTCATGAATAAATTGTTCTCCAAACTCTTGTCAAAGATAGAAAGATTGTTATACTTATAATGTATCAATTTATATTTCTTTATTTGGTCTTCAAACAAATTATCATAAATATCATTAATATCATGATGATCTTGGTAAACCGGGATTTTTTTCACGGCCCCACCTATAGATTTTAATGGATCGACTTTTTCAATAATGTCATCGATTTTCGCTGCTTCCTTTGGGGAAAGCTTGATTGCCTCAGGAGCTTTCTCTTCTTGAAAACTGATTTCGTTACCGTCTGCAGATGTTTTGAAAACAGGGACGATTTTGGTCATCTCATTTCTATAGCCTCCTAATTCGTCCTCTTCATCAGCAATCAATAAATCTAGATCATCATCAGCTTTCATGTAGTTAACACCTAAGTCGCTAATCTTTACTGGACTCAAACCATAATCAACATCTTTGAGCGGAGAGAAGGTGAAATTCTGGGTAGCATTTCTATTGGGAGATGTAGGGCTCAGTTTGCCTTCCTCATGTCGAACGTCATCAGTAATATCCTTGGCAGGATCATTGTCCACCGAAATGCTGAAATTAATGTTAGAGCTCGTGTTGACGCTACTATCAATAAAGGTGCTATTACTGGTATTTTGGGCAGCTTTCTCGGATTTTTCACCTAAAGATGATTTCGATTTGAATCTTTTGCCAATAAAACCTCCTAGTTGATATCTGTCCTTATGAATCAACACATTCTTGCTTTTACCGCTTTCCTTCTCAAAATTATCTCTAACGAACAGTTTGAATCCCAGAGCGTATTGGCTTTCCAAAAATACCAAATCATTCTTCACTAATTGGACACCTTCTGAGTTTGATTGAAATTCATGTTGTTCCCATATCATTAGTAAGTTCAAAATAATCTTATCCAAAATAAATTGCTTGTTGGTGGATAATTTGCCCACTTTGTTATCATCTAATAAATATTTTAAATGAGTTAGTCCAAACTTAACAAAGTCCGGATTGCTTTTCATAAGCTTAATAAAATTGTTCACCACCTCATCAAAAGTTAGCAAACTGATCAATTCATTCAAAACATCTGTAATGGAGCCCTTGTGGCTCATATTATAATGACACAACACGCTTAAATAGTCATCCAATTGTATAAGATCAATGACTTTGGGGATAAGCACCAGACTGACCAATGGATATAATAGTTGTGGAGAGGATTTAGATACCTTGTTCAAACTTGTAGTTAAAATTGAATGATCTGATAAAGAAAACTCAATATTTTGTTTCTCAATCAATTCTATGAAAAAGTTTATTCCCTTGGTTTGATCCGCGATGCTATGGGACCTCAACTGACGAGACAATTTATCCACTGCCAGCTCACCGCTGTCAATCATTTGAATATCATTATTATCAGCACTTCCAATTGGTTCTTGACTAACCTTTTCACCGTCTTTCATCGATGTCTCATCTCCTTCATGAGCATTTAACAGCAATTTCTTGGCCATGCTATTGTTGATCTCCGAATCAGTGTCTTCCTTTGAGCTTATATTTTCATCGTCTGATTTTTGCGGAACAAACAATTCAATAGGCTTAATGATGGAATCACCGAAATCCAAAGAGCTACCAGCAGAAGATATTGGTTTATTCTCTAGACTAACGGATCTTTGGGTCGAAAATAATGAGTTGAATCTTGAGCCTAATGAAGAGTGTAATTTCAGTCTCGTATTCTTTGTTGGGTTGTTATTAAGATTTGAAATACTAGTATCAGAGTGTAAAGAGGAACTTGAAGTTTCATGGCTGCTTGGAAAAGCATATGGCTTCCGATTTAACCTGATTGGCTTGCCAATTCCTGGATTTATAGAACCCCCGTTCAAGTTCTCTGGTTTTTCATAAGTAGAGCTTAGAGTATTCGATGTACGTGTTAATGATTGAGATCTCGCGATAGGCATGGACAGATCAGATACACTTCGGGATTTAGCAAGAGCTTTAGATCTATCGGGGCCTAAACCTATATAAGAGGCATGCTTGGAGTCGGTTCTACTGCCAAGCGCAGATTGTGATCTTGAGCTTGGTCTATTAGCGTTTACTCCCAAAACATCCTTAGGCCTAGTTCTATCCAACAACTTTATCACCGATGGGGCCAATCTGTCATGTATCAATTGCGATTCTCTAGGGTAATACTTATATAATATCCAAAAAGTTTTCCTTGAAGTTTCACGAACTAAAGGACTCGGATCACTAAGATTTTTTTCAATAATTTTTTCAACGATTTTGAAGGCGTTACTCTCATTACTAGAAGAAGAAAACGTGCCATGATCATTGAAATTATTCAAATTTAAAGGATGCTTGAGAATGATTATGGACAACCAGTTTGACGAGAATGCCCTTGGTGAGACATTTTTCTCATTAGAATAATCATAAATGAGATTAAGGATTTTGAAGTTGAATGATCTTAATCCAAAAATTTTGTTAAGCATGGCGTATATGACGACGTTGGCATTGTTATTGTTTATTTTTTTGGTAGTGGTGGTCAATTTCATGATATTTTTGAAGATCAATTCAATTGTTGAATTATCAAAATTATTGATGTTAAAAATTTGGAATAACTCTTTAATGAACTTGCAACCTTTGGTGGATAATGTGGTTCTCAAGGAGTTTATGGCTTTATTAACGCCATCAATTAACGAATCTTTGAAAAACATAAGAAAATCTTTTTGGTTATCATTGGAGTTCACAAATAAAGATGAGCGGATCATAGATCGAAGCTTTGTTATATGTTTTTCTCTTTTTGACCAGTTGAACTCTGTTTCTCTTCCCTCAAAATCTTTTTCTAACCCTTTGGTGGAATTTATGAGTGAGTTCACATCTAAGAATTCTGAAGCACTGATCTTTTCAAGACTGTAAGAAGGCAAACTGAACAAAATATCCCTGAGCTCAGAATCTGTGTTAACATTTGTCTTCGTCGAGGGGTGACTGTTGTTGTGTGACTGTTGTTGTTCCTCGGTGACTGAGCGATGAACACTTAATTCATGCCTTGAATCCTTCTGTACTACTAGACCATCATAATCTGAATATTCCTTAGACTTTTCATTGTTGATAAGGTCATCAATAAAATCGTTGTCTAATCCATTTTTGGTTGCCATTTTCCTAAAATTCTGTCTATTGAATTGGTTCTGACGGAAAGAAAACCTTACAAGCCAGTTACAATTTTCAATGGCTTCAATGATGAAAGGATTTTGCCCCATACTACTTCTTTGCCTTAGAAATTGGTATGTTGAACAAAACTGGACATAATACTGACTAATGTCGAATGTTGTTGAGTATTTCTCGCAAATTTCTTTGAAAATCTTGAAGATTTCTCCGAATGCTGGCCAACTACTATAAAGACTGCCATAATTTGAATGTTCACTCATATAATTCCGAAACCAAACTTCCAACTTGACAGGAATAGATAGCCAGAGATCAATTATCCAATTTCTAATTTGCGACTTATATTGGAGTGCTAGTTTTGAAGGATCTGATTTTTCGCAAATATCGATGAAGCATTGGATGGCGTAAGGAAAAGTGGCTAAAGTTACCCCATCGCTCTGAGCTGCCATTCGCTTTACTATATGACCAAGGGCAGAAAATGTTATTATGGTGAGTTCATCTTTGATAAACGGTAACTCCTTCAGTGATAAAGGTTGAAGAATATGGGTTAATGATGTGAGAAATAAGACGCCATCGTCCGGGGATTTAATAACATTCTTCTTGATATAATTCTTGAATTCACTAACAAGATCGTACTTTTCTTGAGGGGTTGTGATTCTAGATACCACAAGCATCTGGTAGAATTCATGGGCATCCATTTTGTCTGCCTCTTGTTGCTGATGGTGCTTTATATCCAAATTTGATGTTTGATCTTGCCTCTTCCCTTTTTTTTTTTTTTTTTTTTTATTTTGTAAACAAACCACTATGACGCGCCCACATCACCAAAAATTTTGCAAACCACGTGAACTAATCAGCATGGATCACTGTAAAGTTATAATCCAACAGTTTTTCAATCCATTTAAACGATTTTTTATCCACTATAGTCTTTTACAGATATGTGATAATAGCTGTGTCGCAGAAATGAAGAATTAATCCTGTCAGCTAGCGGAAATATGAACATATAATGCCAGTTTATGTTGATATATCCTCAACTGTTTGCCTTTTGATCTATCCTACCTATGAATTTACAATGAAAAGTCAGAAGTTACTATTGGTTGAATATCAATAAATAAGTTGTTGTAGTATTTTATTAATTTTTTCTTTCTTTTCTTGGATATTAGAGTAATTAGCAAAATCCGACAGGTTGAACCACTATTTGCGCAGAAGAAGAAATAATATTTAGGATTTGTCATTAAGAGAGGATCGTGAGTTGAAATCAGATTCCATTGAGGAAACAAAAAAAAAAAAAGAAAAAAAAAAAAGTCGAGTCTTTATATTGGGGAAAATAAACAACGTATCATAAATACGAGCCAGATACCTTCAACTTCTTAATACAATAATCTAATGAGAATCTTGTATGGAGTATCGTTCAACTCTTTGTGCAAGCTTTCAATGGAATCAGTACTGACATTAGAAATATCAGCCATAAGGTAAGCAATATCCCCACGAGAGTCGGAAAATTGCTTTTCGATGTTATGGTTACTCAAGATATGGTTAACGGTTTTAAGCACACCTGGAACGTTATGATGGATATAAAGAACTCTGACATAGTTTTCTTGGTCAAGATCAAGCGATCTAAGGGAAACTTCTGGGAAGTTGACTGCACCAATCGAAATACCTTCGTTAACATATTTGGTCAAGGCAGTGGCAACTTCGACACCAATGGCAGATTGAGCTTCTTCTGTGGAACCACCAATGTGAGGGGTAAGAATGATGTTTCTCAAAGACACAAGCTCGCTGGCCCATGGGTTCAATTCATTGCTGAAAAGACCAGCACCATTCTTAGGAGGTTCATGAGGGAAAACATCCAAAGCAGCACCGGCAATCTTTCCAGACTTCATGGCTTTAATTAAAGCAGGGATATCAATGACAGTACCTCTAGAAGCATTGATAAGGTATGAGCCATCCTTCATAATGGAGAATTGAGGGGTGGAAATCAAATTTTTGGTGTCTGCGGTAGCAGGAACATGACAGGTGACGAAATCAGAATTTCTCAACAATTCGTCGAGGGAGCTCACTTGCTTAGAGTTACCCAATGCCATGATGGTGATGACATCATAATACAAGACATTCATACCCAAGGATTCAGCCATAACCGATAATTGAGACCCAATATGACCGTAACCAATAATCCCAAGGGTCTTACCTCTAATTTCCCAACACTTGTTGCTAACCTTGTTCCAGGTACCAGTGTGCATTTCAATGGATCTATCACCGAGTTGTCTGGCCAAGGAAATGATTTCTCCAATGACCAATTCGGCAACGGATCTGGAGTTGGAGAATGGCGAGTTGAACACGGCAATACCTTGTTTGGCAGCATACTCAAGATCAACTTGGTTGGTACCAATACAGAAGCAGCCGACAACAACCAAGTTCTTGGCATGGCTCAAGACCTTTTCGGTCAATTTAGTCTTAGAACGGATACCAATTGCATGAACGTCTTTGATTTTTTCAATGAGCTCATCTTCTGGCAAAGAGGTCTTGTGGAATTCCACTTGGTAACCTTGTTTTTCCAAAATAGAAATGGCAGTAGTGTTAACATTTTCGAGAAGCAAGATCTTGATGTCTCCTTTGATAAAAGGTTTGAGTGGCTTGACTGGCTTAAGAGACTGACGGCGGTTTGAGTTTGAGTGGGAGAGGTTGAGGTAGTTCTGGGTTGGAGAAGTGCTGACAGCATTGTCATTGGTTTCCAAGGATAACTTGTTGAGGGAGATAGGTTGAGGGGAAGACATTGTTCTATAGAATAAATGAAGAAATTCAAGAGAATATGATAGATTCAGAGAAGAATTTTTCAAGAAAGTAGAGAAGAAGCAGAGACGAAATTTTATCAATGAAGAAATGACTATTTTTTCCGTCGGCAAACCATGAGCCCTGATCCAGAGACTCATGACCATCGATCGACGCATGTGCTTTTTGGGCTCTCTCTCATCGGCGCTTAAATAGAGGGATAAGTAGCGGCAGACAAGGGCCAGAGAGTGTTTATGGGAGTAAAATGGTACCTGGGAACTACTGTAATGACGACCATTGTTGTATTGAGAAGACTTTCATTCCTTTTACAAAGACAATACTCCTGGACAGCGCCAATAATAATATATAATCTCATCTCAGCACACCACGCTTAACTCCGAAGTAACCAATTTACTAATAGAAGCTACAAATAGCAAGTAACTAATCAACATTTATAATAATACAGAATAAGCAGAGGAAAGAAAGATAACGGTTTGTCGGTGGCAAAAAGCACGAAAATGCCTATATTTCTATAGATAAATCATATAACAATAAGAAAACTCATAACTATAATGATTAAACCCTCAACACACGAACTGAGGATCATCGGAAGGCAACTCAACCATGATCAAAACTCAAAGAGCCCACTTAATTGTTACTCACCAATTTAAACGATAGGATATCATTCTTTCCTTTGTCAACTACATCTTCTTCACTGATTTTGATGCCCCCCACTCCTTCAATGGCAACAATTGTAACATCTCCCATGATCAGTCTCGCTACCGCCCCTACCTGTGTGCCTCTTTTGACCATTACACAATCTCTGAATACATTGTTCCCGGAAGAGCCAGTGAAAGTGTTCATATTTCTTACAGGGTATACCGGTACCAAATCAAGAATATCCACCGCCGCTTGAAGCACCTGGACCACACCAGTAGATCCAAATCTGTACAATACCAAGTCCCTGATTTTTTCCACTCTTTGAGAGAGTTTCTCATCCATTACTTTGAGAGTGTCAATATCTTCATGGGTATCCACGAATTCCGTACCTTCTTCGTATTGTACATATCCTTGTTTGGCCAACTTTCGAAGGAACACTTCTGTGATAGCAGAAGAAAGAATGATCTTATCGTTTGGATACTTGAGAACAATCTTGGAAATGTTTTTGTCAGCATCAGGATGATCAATTTTGTTGAGGGCTAGAACCGTTGGGAATTTGATTTTAAGGAAACTTTTCACAATCTTGGTAATCATTTCATTATCCCATGTTTCAAGAGGAGGCAAGTTAGTACATTGATAATCCTTATAGTACTGATTTATGGCAAGTTGCACCATATTCATGTTTGCACCATAACCCGAAAATTGTCGTTGCAAAGTTTCCACTGCCATGGATTTTGTAGAAGTATGTCTTCTGACCACCGAGCCCCAATTCTTGGTCAAATTGCCTTGAACCCATTGACGAATTTCTTCTTGTAACCAGTCAATATCATTTAGAGGATCATAGCCTCTAGTGGCTTTACCATTAGAGTCAGTGGTACCACTGACATCCACAACATGAATCAAAGCATCTGCGGTAGACAAATCAAATAAAAACTTGTTTCCCAAACCACGCCCTTCGTGAGCTCCTGGAACCAAACCTGCAACATCCAACAACATGATTGGCACAAAACGAGTCCCTTTTTTGCAGGCCCCGTAGTTTGGTTTACATAGATCTTCTTTCCCGAAGCGAGAACAGGCACAAGGAAGCTGAAGGTAACCGGTTGCTTTATTTGGTTCGATTGTGGTGAAGGGAAAGGCTCCTACTTTTGCACCGGCATCAGTTAGACCTGTATAATTTAGCTGGTTAGTATATAAGGCGATAAAGCAAAAAAATATAAGATCACATAAGTCCGAAAAACATACTGTTCAATCTTTTGGAGGGGTTAGTAAATGGGTCTGGCAAAGAGGTTGAAACAAAAAAAAAGAAACCAAGAAACACTTACGTTGTTGATTTTCCACTCGAAGGTTTCCCAACAATAGCGATAAGCGGCTCACGAGGCATTCTGTCTGGTGGGTGTGGTTTGTTTTATTGCACTATTGAAGTGTGAGCTCGAAATGAGTTGCAGTTTTGGAAAAATAAAATAAAATAAAAAAAAAAAAAAAAAATGAAGCAGAATTTTGGTCTGTGCGCACTTTCCAAAAAAAAAAAAAAGGTTCACCAGTTTTTTTTTGTTGTGGTGACTCTGGCAGAAAAACACGAATCTATATCAGTTTTCAAACACAACAGCTGAATAAAGGACAACTACGACCAAGACAGAAGAGGTGCTTCTTTCCATTACACATCCTCTCATATTCCTTACCTGCGTCTTATTTCGATCAATACAACCGTCGCTTGACACAACACAAAAACAAAACAAATATCAATGTCTCAGAAGCCCAGATACTTGACAGACGCAGAGCGTGAAAAGGTTCTTGAGTTCCAAGACTCTATCCACTACTCACCAAGGTAAGTAACAGCATTCAATTCACAAGAATTTCATTCTAAAAATAGACCTTACTAACATCTACCAGATACTCTGATGACGCATATGAATATAGGTAAGTTGGTTATGTATTCCCATAGATTTTCTGGGTTACTCTTTCTCCACATACATTCCCTTCACTGCAATTTGTTAAAAATCAATGTTTTGGAGAGCTATAAGCCGATTTTATTACTAACTTATCAGACACGTAATGCTTCCAAAGCAGATGCTCAAGATAATCCCTTCAGACTACTTCAACAGTGAGACTGGCACCCTCAGAATCCTCTTGGAAGACGAATGGCGTGGGCTTGGAATAACACAGTCCCTTGGATGGGTTCACTACGAGACTCATGCCCCAGAACCTCATATATTATTGTTCAAAAGACAAAAGAATTGAAAATAAAACCATTAAACTCAAAGCATACCGTCATTTTTTGTCACACATTCTCCATATTTTTTTAATTAGTTAATTCTCGATTATGATAACCCTTATTTTTGAGGCACAAATTGGCCAACAAATCCATTAAAATATACCCGATTTCACCTCTGCTACTTGCAATTAATAAATACCATACCCAAAGGAGTGCATTCAAATAATTGGCTTGATTGGACTATCTTACTGAAATTGAAGGTTTTCAATTTATTCCTCCATATTGTAATGACACTGATTTGTCCATATATTATCTTCTTGTTCATTTATGATAATACAACCGAACTTATATTAGCTTAAATTAATAAAACGTTGCCTTTACGGGTTTTTTCTTACTATCATTAATTTACGTTCTCCAAACAATACCATTTATGTTCTTTTTATTTTATTTTATTTTATTTTATTTTATTTTATTTTATTTTATTTTATTTTATTTTATTTTATTTTGTTTTATTTTATTTTATTTCATTTCTTTTTTGTTGGAAAATAAATTCTTGAGCCTTTCAACGTTTACAATAAAGATCCCATAGTGAAATAGAGGAAAAGAGCGAGTACCGATCTATCTACTCAAGTTGAAAGGGGCTGTCGTCCTTGATGTAGATAAACTCGCATGGATAGTTAATGATTACAGACTCAAGAGATACGGTAATACGGTTTTGTTATTCACGAGGAATCTAATATTTGTTGGTTGATTCATTGGTTTTAACTAAGTCAATTGAATCTTCAACATTCTTCACCCATAATTTGTCCGTCCATGTTTCTACGAATTGTTGGTGCGCATCAGACCGATCACAATAAAGCCAATTATCCGGTATGCATCAGATTGATCACAATAGGGCCAGTTGTTGGTATGCATCAATTAATTATAATAGGCATGATCACACCACTTTTCTTCCAGGGTGCAGGCTTATTTTCTGTTTATTTCAACAAAAATATATATGCATTGATACAAAGAGAATTGCTCTACTCTTTTTTCCCAATCATCAGTTGTGATCTTTCAGGTGTGTATGTATATGCGGAAATTAAGCCTGAACCCCTCAGTAGTGAATGCAACTACATACCAACAACGCCAGGCGTAGATGGGCCTCGCTCAAAAAAAAAATAATCCAATTATAGTTTTCACAGATCAATAAATCTTAATATAAATTGGATTTATTAAAAATGGATGATGTTATGTAATATAAACAGTAGGAGGGACAAGAATATTTTTCTTTACCTCTCTTCCACATTGTACATCCTACACAAGTATGCAACAATTAAATTGACTATTTGCATCCCAATGTAAGTGGTATTAATTTCTTAGATATCTGGAACTTTGACTAAAACGAGAACAAATTAAGTGTCGTCACTCTCGCTATATACTATAACTTCTCACCATTTTGCTAGGAGGGGGCGCAGAAATTGATAATGAGAAAAGTAACGGATGCTCCATAAATACATAATATACTGAAGAATTATTTAATATCGAAAAAGACACGAATACCATATTTTTTGATCAAAATAAGTAAATAGACTGCAATATTATAAGTTTTTCTTTTCGGCTTCGATGATGTAATGAAGGCCAGAGGACTGCATGAATTATCATGAATACTTGCAACGGTGAGTAGGTGTGAAAAACCAAAAACATCAGCCTTCGTATTCATACGAAAAAAAAAATCTTTCGAAAATACCAAACAAGTACTCACATCTATTTTTTTTTTCAATGCGCTATATCTCTTTATTCTTCAACTTCAAAGTTTCAAAAAAGTCACGAACTTTCAGACTATCCTCCTTTGCGCTTCTATACTCCTGAGTTAATTTATCAATTGTCCTGTTTTCGTTCTTGAGGTTTGGAGAAGCACTGTAATTCAAACGTAAAAAATCATTCAACGATAGTGTATCCACTGATGTATCAATAACCTTATCTTCCCTGTTATCGAAAAGTTTCGACTCAGAATTGACGGGACCATTTTTTGCAAAATTTGTCTTGTATTTTTCTAAGATGATCAGATCTTTCCCATCTATCAAATTTTGCCAAGCAGTAGCAAACTCAGCTATATCAAACTCTTCATCCAGAACCAGAATTTTTCCAACAGAGTCGTACCCAAGAGGAATGACTAGCTGATCGAAACTGACTGCATTCGGTACGACTTTATTATCCTTATTATCCCCTCCACTCAGAAAATCACAACTCAAGGATAGTCCCATAACTCCCAACAAAATTTTGTCATCTTTTGACTGGTTTTCCTTCGCAAAAACAATCGAACCCCCATGTTTGAGAGCCACCACTCTAAGTGCTTGTTGAGCATATTCAAAATCCCCTTTGATTCCATCATGGCTCAATTCTGAAGCCCCTACTATATATAGAAGGATCTTACATCCCAAAAGATGGTCACATTCGAACTCTTTAAGAACAATATTGGGGGCCATCGAGATATTCGATCCCAAAAACTTAAGTGAATTAATCTTGAACTGCTCTAGTAATTTAGTGTTCAATTTCTCACCTTCTTCAGTATTGCCAAAAGTTTTATCAAAAATACTGATCCACTTGGCCAAAAAACCAATCCAAGATGAAGCACTATGACAATTGAGAACCGGGATCATCAAAACATCATCCATCCTGAACTTGCTCAAGACAAAAGTCTTCAACATTTCCACAAAATGATTAACATTTCTTTCATTATCATAACCGGTATCGACCACAGTGTGAATATTCAATTTCAATACAAGTTCATCCTGTTGTGTATCCTTTATTTCTTGAAATATGTAACCCCAACCGAAATCATTATTGGTTGATAACGACGTCACTCCAATCCTTTCCAAGAAACGCCGCTGATCTTTGATATTGGAGGTTATTAACACCAAGCACTTTGAACGCAATGATCTTCCAGCGACCTGTCTTCTGAGAATATTTTCCCAAATACCGTTCTGATTCATAACTTATACTGCATTTAGTCCAGTTTCTCAATGATTATGGAAATTGGTGTTTATACTTCTACTATTTTCGAGCCCTTATTTGGTTAAGCAGCCCGTGGAGCGTGCTTTTTTTTGTTGTTGTAAGGAAAAATTCAGTGTAAAAACGTCTAAAGATTCATTTCCTTTTTAGATAACGATCAATTGGACCCCATCTCCATTGGAGTTAACAACTAAAAACAACAACAATAGATTGCAATTAATGAAACTCTATTGCGTGGAATCTCCTCGGACGCTTGTCCTTGTATCATCCACCCATACATTACTTTTCAAAGCAATTCATTCAGACACCAATAAACCTCGATGTGTCGTGGAATTGGTATCTAACGACAAATTGGACTTGAAGTTTTCAAAAAAGCTCTGTGCAACGGAAATCAGCGGATTTCTCGGATTGATACATGTCGATGGACTAATTTTCTTAGTGACCATAACCAGAAAACAGGAGGTTGCCAAACCTTTTGAAGACCAACTGGTGAATAAGATCATCAATGTGGAATTCTTTTGTCTAAATATTAATAAGTGGGATGATTTTCTTTATAGATTGACCGATACGAATGCTGCAAATGGGATTTCTGGTGATACAACTGATAACTCCTTCATGGGTCAGTTTGATGATACCAATAACCCTGCGTCAGCCCACCCATGTTATGACTTGAAGAAGTTGTTAAGCGACGGTTCGTTTTGTTATTCCACCGATTTTGATTTGACTAATAATTTGCAAACCAGAGGGGTTATCGATAACTCATTGATCATTGACACATACCAAGAGGATTACATGTGGAATAACTTCATGATGGAAGAAATGATTCAATTCCGTAACAAGAGCAGCGCCGCAGATCAAACAATTCTTGATGATAATGGGTTTTTAACAACAGTGATTAGAGGCTTTGCTAAAACTAAACCAATTTCTGTATCTAATTCCAGGGCCAGTCTATCTCTTATTTCAAGACAATCTTGCAAGCGTGCGGGTACGAGATTCAATTCTCGCGGGGTCGATGATGATGGTAACGTGGCTAATTTTGTGGAAACCGAAGTTATTCTTAATATTTACGGGAAGATCGTTTGCTCATATAGTGAAATTCGTGGCTCCATTCCTGTTTTTTGGGAACAAGATGCTTCGCAGTTGACGCTTGGGACTCCAAAAGTTCAAATCACTCGTTCAAAAGAGGCCACTAATCCGATTTTTGCTAAACATTTCGACAATCTTATTGATAAATACGGAGCTATCCATGTGGTGAATCTTTTATCCAGAAAGGCTTCCGAAAGAGAATTATCCGATCGCTACAAATCTCATATCCTTGATTATCAAAAGGCATCACATCATGAAAATAATCCATTGTTGACGGAATTTGACTTCCACCTTCAAACCAAAGGAGGAAACTACGCTGCTGCTAAAAACATTCTCAGATACCTCAATGAATCAATTGAAGATTTTGAGTATTTCAGTTATGACTATTCGCAAAAGCTGGTGCTCACCAAACAGACTGGGATTTTCCGGACCAATTGTTTGGATTGCTTAGATCGTACAAATGTCATTCAAACCATAACTTCCCTTAGTATATTCAAACTTATTTTCGCGGACTTCAACCTCTCTGATACTTCCTCGAGCCAAGATTTGAACATGACCCATGATATGCTCTGGGCCGATAATGGAGATCAAATCTCTCAAATTTATACCGGGACAAACGCTTTGAAGTCGTCATTCTCACGTAATGGTGGGAAAATGACTTTAGGGTTATTTTTATCTGATGCTACCAAATCTGTTACTAGAATGTATCAAAATAATTTTGTCGATCAGAAAAAACAAGTCACTATTGACACAATGCTTGGGAGATTGCCAGGTACTGCTTCATCTCCGGTCATATTGTACGATCCAGTTAATGAGAGAGTGGAAAAGAGCTTGAAAAAATTTGAGTCAAAATATGCTTCTGAACTGGTAAAAAGCATGTTCATTGGGACTTTTAACTTGAATGGTCATAATTTCACTAATCAAAATAGAAATGATCTTGAATCCTTGATTAGTTGGTTAGTTCCGGATAAAAACTATTTCTACAGTGAGCAACCAGACATTTATTGTCTTGGATTTCAAGAGGTGGTGGAATTAAATGCAACGTCGTTACTTAATGTTGATTATTCTAAATCCGCAATATGGCAAAAAACCATCAATGGGTTGCTCAATGCCAACGGGGACACTTACACGTTGATCAGATCTGAACAAATGGCATCACTTTTCATTCTCTTCTTTGCGAAGAAATCTATTGCTGATAAGATCACTTCAGTGGAAGGATTTAGCAAAAAGACTGGTCTTGGCGGAATTGCTGGCAACAAGGGTGCAGTCGCTGTCCGGTTCAATGTTGGCGCCACTTCATTTTGTTGTATCAATTCTCATTTGGCTTCGGGATCAAACGCAGTGGCGGAACGTAATGCCGATTACGAATCTATCATGAATGGGATTTACTTCAGTAGAAAAGGTGGGAAAGTCAGTGATCATGATAATATTCTTTGGTTTGGTGATTTGAATTATCGATTAACGAACATTACTGGTGAAGAGGTTCGTGGACAACTCAATATGAACGCTGGTGATAGTGATATGAGTCAACTATTAATGCGTGACCAACTCTTACTAGAAATTCAAAGTAACAGAGCATTTAAAGGATTCAGTGAAGACGAAATCACATTCAGACCAACTTACAAGTATGATAATTATACCAATGTGTACGATACTTCTGAAAAACAAAGAACTCCATCTTGGACTGATAGAATCTTGTTCAGGGGGAAAAGTTTGGTGCCAATGAGAGACAGCTACGATTGTGCCCAGGAGGTGATGTTTTCTGACCACAAGCCGGTATATTGTTTATTTGAGGCCAATGTGACGTTTGTGGATGAGGCTTTAAAAAGAAAAATATATGACAAGCTTTATGAGCAATTCAAGAAAGAACTTCCACAAGACTCCAATAGTGGGTCTCTTTTGGATATAGTCAATGAGAAATCACAGCGGAAAGCGCCATCTAGAGTGAATACATTAGAGTCGATTGAGAGTGGCTCAGAAATATCCTTGAGAACCCCACCTAGAGCAGGGACGCTTTTGGATATTAATAGTGCTCCATTACAAAGTCGTTATGCTCCACCAACATCCTCAAAAAGCTTTATGAATAACCAAAATAGTAGCGCTCCTCAATTAGATTTGTTATCACTTAATGATGATGACTCAAAGCCAAGTCCACCTTTACCAAGACGCCGTATGACCAATCCAATAGAAACCAATAATTCTGTGCTGCAATTGAACAATACTTCAAAAAAGACTAATGTTGCCACTCCACCACCACCTCCAACTTCTAGAAAAGCTGATGTTAAACTGGAGCCTGTTAACGATCAAGCAAATAGTGATGCAATCAATAGTCATCCTCCGGGGTTCTCCAGTAGTGTGCTTCTACCAAAATCCAAGTCTAATGTTCAAAATAGACCACCTGTACCAACACCGCCTAATAAACCGCAAACCCTTGAATCAATGGCAAAGCAACTTGAGATAAATAAAAAGCAAGTGTCATCCCCAACCCCACCACCCACTGGTGTCGCTAGAAACCTCGCAGCATCTCCACCACCAGTGCAGCCACGCACTGCTTCTTCTAGCACGGTTACCAATCTCAACCAAAATTCCAATGGTGCTGGTATGAGTCTCCCACCAGGATTCTCTACAACCTTGATCCCATCCAAGAAGCCTGCAGTAAGCACTCCAGTAACTACATCAAAGAAGTCTCCGGTACCAACTCCTACAACTCCTACTACTAAAAAACCCCCAATTGTTCCAAAGAAACCCCAGAGTTTGGCAGGGGAACCAGTTAAAAAGGATCAGTCGATGAATGATTGGAAGCCATTGGTGCCAAAATGATCATTTGAAATATAAACGGCACTGTATCCGTATAAATAGGACGATTTTTTTTTATAATAATAAGCATTTCAGGGGTCTAATGAACAAGCAAATAATTGAACCAGATGATATAATGATTCTGAAAGACGAAGGGCCCATGATAGAATTATAGTTTTGATCTCATTTTTTCTTTTTCTTTTTTTCCAAAGAAAAACTATTAGGTTTTCCATGCATTTTTCCATGTCATAGCATTTTCAGTATATGTGACTCAAATATTCTTATCTACGAATTTATTCAGTTTTTGTAATCTTCTCGCTCTATAAATCTCATACCAAGAGAATATTTTACTTTTTTCAAGGTTGTCAATCTTAAGCTCTAGGTCTCCAACATACTGAAGTTGAAATACAAAAAGTCTATTAAATATTGTTCGGTTATTAGATCGTGAAGCATTGATGCTTTTAGTAAACACAATATGTCATAAATTATATGGATTCCCATTACTGGTTGATGAAGCTTCGATCATCACACGAATTCAGTAATTTCTTTGCGAATGACAAACGTTTTTCCTCGGGCAAAAAAAAAAAAATTAAAAAAAAAAATAAAACAATTCAGCCAGCCACAAATACCTACAAACTAAAAATCATACAAAAGAAAAATTATATTCAAAGGGAAAATACTAACACTAATACCAATAAACAAATTAATAGCATTTAGAAAAAAAAAGTATGCCCAGGATATCTTTATCGTCATCGCAAAGACGAATTCAATCCTTGGTTCTTATCTGTTCTGTCTTGCCAAAACTTGTTATCGCTTTGCCGACTGCTCTTATAGACTCATGGAATGAATCGGATAGATTTCAGCTGACAAAAAATGCTCCAGTAATAGAGCAGCCGATCACGCTGGCCGAATGGTGGTCTGCTTTTATCCTTTCAATGTTCTTGGTTGTATTAGGGGGGATTTTTGCCGGTTTAACCTTAGCGTTAATGGGACAAGATGAGGTGAATTTGAAGGTTATCGAAAGTTCTGGAGAACTACATGAACGTAAAGCCGCTAGAGTTGTTTTGCGCCTTCTCAATAGAAGTAAGCACTGGGTGCTTGTCACATTATTGCTATCTAATGTCATCACCAACGAAACCTTGCCGATTATTTTGCATAAATGTACCGGCAGTGGGTTTTCTGCAGTATTGAGCTCTACTGTGGCGATTGTTGTCTTTGGTGAAGTTATCCCTCAATCTTTATGCGCTAGATACGGCTTGGAAATCGGGTCATTCTTTGCTCCTTTTGTATTGGGATTGATGTATGTGCTATACCCAGTGGCCTACCCAACAGCATTATTATTGGATAAGGCCCTCGGGGAAGATCACGGAACTGTTTATAAAAAAGCTGGCCTTAAAACATTTGTGACGTTACATCAAACCATGGGGGTTGAAAGATTAAGTACCGATGAAGTCACGATTATTTCCTCGGTTTTGGATTTGAAAGAAAAGAAAGTGGGGGCAATCATGACCCCAATCGATGATGTTTTCACTTTATCTTCGGATAGCGTATTGGATGAAGCTATGGTTGCTAAAATTTTCAACAATGGGTTCAGTAGAATTCCAATACACATTCCCGGACAACCAAGAAATTTTATTGGGATGCTATTGGTGAGAATTTTGATTAATTATGATCCAGAAGACGCTTTGCCAGTTTCAGAATTCCCGTTGGCCACCTTGCCAGAGACCCCTCCAGATACCACTTGTTTGAATATTTTGAATTATTTCCAAGAAGGGAGGTCTCATATGGTTGTTGTCAGTGCTGAACCAGGGAGTGTGGAAGGAGCAATTGGTATATTGACATTGGAAGATGTTATTGAAGAGTTAATTGGAGAAGAAATTGTGGATGAAAGTGATGTATTTATTGATATTCATAATGCTATTAAGAGAAAAAATCCAGGTCCATTGAGTAAGAAGCATGTCACCCAATATTTCCACCGTCTAGTTAACGATAGTTGGAAATTGACTAATGAGGACAATGAACATTTAGTATCTTTAAAGCCTGAGGGAGCCATAAATTACGGAAGCATTGTGCAAGAAAGTGATTTAGAACCGCATGACTCTCAAGCTTTGAAGCACACTGATAGTAATCACATTGTTGTTACTAATGGGGAAGGGGATACTGCAGTGTTGGTGAAAAGACCAAAAGCCAAGATTCAACCAAAAAATTTAGCAAGCAATCCCCTTGGAACCTCAAAGACTTTTGTCACCATTAAAAGAGGTACGACATGATGGCGGCTATTTCATATATTATATAATTGGGTCCGGGATCATGGGATTGCTGTTTTTTTACCAAGCTGAGTTTCTAGTTGTGTTTACATTTCGCTATAAGGATGTTTTAATGTTTTAATTGAACTATATCTATTTATATTATTTTTTTGTTTCTTCTTTTTCTTTTTTCTTGCTTGTTCTGCTATTAACACGAGGCAACTCACATTATTGCAAATAACAGCAGCAATAGTCTTAGGGATATCATCATCAAGCAATTTGAATTTGTTTTATATATATATATATGTGTGGATGCTTATAGAACATGTAATATTATGCAATAATCAGCATATATGGCAGGGGATCCCCCTCTCGAGCCAGCGTGCCGCAGTGGAACGCAGTAAGCTGCACCAATCATGAGCCAGAAATCTCGACGTTTTTTTAGCTTCACAGAGTGACGCGCAACGCCAGAAGACCAAAAAAAAAAGGAGGCACTACTAGTGAGGGTCGAGAACGTCCTTGCAAAGGAAGATGTATATTGCAGAAACTCAGCAAAAAGAGCAGTCCAGACCGGTATCAATGGGTATCTACAGGTGCTTGGACATAGAAAGATCAAAGTGCCTTTGAGACATTCCCAAGGCTGACTCAGAACGTTTCATCTTTGCCGATTGTTTCTCACAAGACACCCCTTTACACCCCTATTTCCGTACTAGAGGCCCTGGGGCAAACATGCCTAATCCTTATTTGTAGGCATTTCTGCCATTTTGAGTACCCAGGAATTGGGCTATTTTATAAAATAGCTTTGGAATTTTTTTTTTTTAATGGTTTTTGTCTATGTACAAACATATCTTTCAAAACATTAAATCAGACTCTATACTCCCAGATAGATCTATAACCGTGTAAATATATGTATATACATATATTTACGTTCCATTCCCTTTCTTCCCGATCTACTTTTCTTTCCTTTGAAGCCTGCGGTGTTTTGATTTGATCCCGTTGTCAACTACAAACGTCAACTAGGAAAACATTTATACAAAAAAATAACACTCTGGAATAGAAGGAAGCAAAACTCAGACGTCCAATCATAATTAACCAATAACAAATGCCCATAACAGCAGCCATTCTCCAAGAGTTGGTAAAGCGAGATTCTGACGCTTCATCGTCAGGATTGGGCACTAGTGGAATTATTGGTTTAGCAGTTGGCGCCCCAATCTTTGTCTTTTTTGTTATTTTATCATTCACTTATTACAAGAATTATCGGATCAACAAACGTGAAGAAAAAGAATTTCGCGCTGATGCAGATTTTGCAGCTGATGAAACTGAATTGCCCGATTATCCTTCTCAGAATTTCTATAAACAAAAGCATGGTATCTTATCCCCTACTTTTGCTAACCAAAGAAAGCCAGATCCCCATATGACAGAAATCAATAACTTATTAACCATGCCTCCAAGAATAGGAGTTAGTGGAGGTAGTATCAGCGACAGCGACAATAGTTCCATTGCTGAAACTATCCATAAGCATCCAGTATTGGACAATATCGCCATTCCATTTGAGGACCAAACGTCGAGCAGCAGTTTGAACCAATACGCCAAGATTTTGGGAACTGATTATAAAGCTTATGACTTCAAGCCATACTATGCTCATTCTAATCTTTCTCATAGTAATTCTTCATTAACTGATGTTTCCAGTAATGGATCTTACAAAGGAAATGCCAAAAAAAATAATGAGAAAAACATCCAACAGAATAGTGATTATGAAAATAGCACTTTGAATGATTTTTCCTCCGGTACTCCATCACCTTCTACCGATTTGTTTTCTCAAAATGAAAGAAATTTAACCCCAAGCCAGCCTAAGTTTCCAAACTCTGTCAGTAATAGTAGATTGAGAAATGAGGTGTTTACCAGTCCTGAGACAAACGATTCAAAGCAGAATTTCTATGAAGCGGAATTCAGACCTTATGAAGCTGACAATAATTTTGAAGATGAAAAGAGAAATGTGATTGATACTCCAGATCATTATGATGAAAGCAATCCTGATAATTATATCGATACCGATCCATATAGCGCTCAGAAAAATGAAGATCCTTATTTAACTGCAAAGTCTGGACCTTCTGACAAATCTAATAATAATCCTGCTGTCAATGAGAATCGTAATTCTCATTATGATGATTATGAAGACGATACAAATTTACCCCCTGAAGAACGTGAAAATTTGCGCCGCATGAAATCAGTTTATCGTGTTTATTTTGATCGTGAAAACTCTACCAAACGGAAATCTGTAGCTCCAGGAACTGCTATGGTGGTGAGCCCAGAAGAAGAGGCTGCCTTACCAAAGGTTTATGATCCAATTTTTGAAAAAACTGATGAAAAGACTGAGAATCATAAAAGAATCACTAACTTCACCGTGGCTTCCTCCAACTATTCTCCAAGAGTGAGAAGATCATTTGCTGATGCAACTTTACCTATACCCCGTGGATTTAACGAAAATGATGAATTCCAGTCCCCTTATCAAAATACTCATCAATTAGAAAATCCTTCGGCACAACAAGAACATGGTCAATTCCAACAATCGCAATATCAATACCAACCACAGGATCAGCAGATAACGGATCCATTCCAAAACGAAATCGCGTCTATTGATAATTACGCATCTCAAACACACTTCGATACCCAACAATATCCTAATGATCAACATTTTTCCCAAAACCAACAGTATGATCAAAATCAACAATATGATCAAAGCCAAGCTCAATATCATCATGATGACTATGCCAGTGCTTCTAATGTGGATAATCCTCAATATCAATATGAACCCCAAAATAATTATCATCCAGACCAAGATCAACATCAAAATCAAAACCAGAATCCACCACCAACTAATCCTCCTAACCCTCTCAGACCACTTCAAAAGCTTCCTACTGCTTCTGAGCTTTCTGACTCTGCCGTGACTTCTGACTTGACTGTTTTTCAGTCTCACAGGCACCCTAAAAAGGCTACTACTCCAACAATGCAAATGAAACCTTTCAACCCACTAGATAATAAAAGTGGATGGACCAAGTCTCCTACCATCGTCACCAATTCACAATTTGATGATCCATCTCATACCATTAGCCAAGTAGCTCCTAAAGCACCTCTGGCATCGGCGGTCGCAAGATCAAGTATTGTGATGTTAAATACCACCGAGCTTGGAGCCAACAAGAAGTTCAAACCTGCAGGCACAAGAAAATTTGTCCCACAGTTGCCATCAGTGAGGGCCGCAGATACTGCCACTAATATAATTGCAACACCTCCTGCTTCTGGTGGAAACTTGGGAGCAAAAAAGAAGAACAACGAAAAGAACTTGAGAAAAGCTTTGGGAGGGGATTCCATGTTTCCATAACATTTGAAACACTTCAACCTTAAAAAGCTCTAATGATTTCAGAGTTCCGTTCCAAGTTATTCTTCCCTTCATAGTTTTTTTTGTTGGGCTATCTCGTCCGTTTTGCAATCCTAATATTTTAGGCTCAATGTGAATTCCTGATTAACCAATAATTGTCACCCTTTCTCTCTCCTGTCATTTTTTCATGGCTTGATGCAGTTTCAAATCCCAACCCCTTCCTTTACTAGCAATTCTATCAACTCCGTATAATACTTGCATTTCTGCATTTTCAACTCTTTATACCCCTTCCTTTTTTTTCCCCTTTTTACTTGTTATTCTTTCTCGAGCTGTGGTATTTGCACTGCATGCCTTTATTTCGTTTTTCTTCTTTTGGGTTTTCTGAACATAGACTGTTTTCCGATTCCTTATTCTGATTTTTACAATTTTTTTTTTCCTGATTGAAAAAATGATCCTTTTTAAGCTTTGCATTATCGTTTTGTTTTTGATTTCATCATTTGAGCTAATTGCTCGCCTTTCATTCTTCAGAAGCATGTGATTATTGAGGTGCTTCATTAATCATGGCAGTTTACAGCAGTTTCACACTATTATTGTCATATTATTGTTCTTTTGTTTATGTTTCTTTCATTCTTATTTTCTGTCAATATTTTAGATCTTTGTCTTATTTTTTCCGTCACGAATTGTAGCACTTCTAGGTGTATCTATTGAAAGCAGCAACTAGGCACCCATTTAATCTTCTAATCAAAGTTGTTACACTACACTGAAATTCTAAGAAGATTAATGCTAAATGCAGCTATTTATTTATTTACCACTATAATATAAGTTTTCAAGTGAGCTGGTCTCACTATATTAGTTTGCAAGTCTAGAAATTATGTACACAAATCATGAAAAGCATTACCTTTTGGTATATGAACAAGTTTCTGTTTTCCATTTGTTGAAAGCCGTTCAATGTTTGTTTAGTACATGTAGAAGTTTCTCCAAGTCTCCTAGGTCATTCAACCGTATGTTATCTAAACTATTGAGTCGGTTCATTAATTTCCCAGGAACAATAGTTTCATTAGCCAATTCTGGAACGTTAAGAATATTGGTTCGTTCTAATGGATCTTTAATATTGACAATTAGACGATTTGAAGGACGACATCTTTTCACAAAGATCGAGCTGATTCTTAGGTCTTCTGGTAGTTGGAGATTATCAGGAGCAACACTTTGCAATGCCGGATTGACGAGACTGTGAATACACGTAGCAAATTCCGGAGAGGTGTACACCACATACAAGTGATCGCGAATAGGGGTCAGTGATTTTGACTTGGTAGAGCTGTTAATATCAATGAATTTTCTGAGTCTCAATAAATTACGGCGCTCTTCCCCATGGGTTATTCGATATGTGTGCGAGCTCGAAGTAATGTCGCAGTATTCGAGCAATGCTCTGGACGCAGACCGTGAATCATCATCAAACTCTTTGAGTTTGGAAGATTCATTGAATTTCTTTATTGTATGGATAAAAGCCATTAGAGAAGGGAATCCCAAAGTGGCGACAAGATCAGTTATCATGGTATGTATTTGAATTGGCGATGATGAGATCGAGTTATTATATTTAGTCAACAACTTTATTGAAGTAGGAGAGAAGTCCTTAGCATGCCCTCTTTTTGCCATATACTCACCAAACCGTTGGTAAAAAGTCTGGGGCTTTCTATGGTTCTTTCTGTCCTTCAACATAACAGTGTCGAGAAATTCATTTAGTTGGTATTTTGAAAAATACGGAGTTAATAATGTGTGTAAATATTGGGTTTTTGTTTCGTGTAACTTGTCAGGCGCATTGTAGTTGAATTCTTTAAAGATGTTATTATATTGGAAAGCAAAGATCTCTTTTGGCGGGAGAACCAAAGAAGGGAAAGAGGCCTTAATATAGTGATACAAATCTGTGGAAATTGGGGGAGATGAGAGGAGTAATTTATCTTCGATCAAGAAATGAAACTTCTTTTTTGACTTTGTTGCCCTAACCAACAGAATTGCCGGTCGTACCAATGATGATGGCGTCTTAACCATTGGGAATGTGATGATAATTGGAGACAGCCAAAGCTAACTAACTAACCGGCTGATATGGTATAATCTCAATCAATTTTTCTCTCTCAATTTTTTTTTTCTTTCTTCGATATATCCAATTTTGGCTAACCGGCACATGGCGTGCGTTTAACCTTTTTTTTTTTTTGGAAAATCAAATAAAATCAAAGACATCGCCAAAATGACGGGCTGATGGACCATCATTTTTTAAACAACGCCAACACCACCATCAACAGACAATCCACGGAGGGATTAGGACAGGGTGTCTCTTATTTAATGCGTCTGTAGAATCACACAATCTTAAGCAAAAAAACGCTGAAGACAATCCGCCACCTGATTTTATTAGCTGTGCTTATTCATCAGTCGCCGTCGCCGCTGCTGCTCATCGCCAAATAAGGAGTAGATCAGCCCCACGTGGAAAGTGGCATCAAAGTCAAATTCAATTTTTTTTTTTTTTTCTGTTTTTCCAGATTTTGCATTTAAACAATACTCATTCTGTTAGTGGGTGAACTTATTAGGAGTATATACCCAAGTATATATAGGACCGTATCCTGGTATTTAGAACCATGAAGTTTGGGAAATATTTGGAGTCAAAGCAATTGGAATTGCCAGAATACTTGGGCCATTTCATTAACTACAAAGGTTTAAAGAAGTTGATCAAGCAGCTAGCTACGATAGATGATAACAATGGTAACGTCAAAATAAAAATAGATTTCGTTAATAATCCAGAAATCCAAAAAATCCTTCAGGATAACAAGTCTACGTTCTTTTTTAGGGTTGAGAGAGAATTGGACAAAGTTAATGAGTTTTATTTGGAAAAACAGGCGGACTTAAAATTGAAGTTAGAAATTTTGGTCACCAAGAAGTTACAGCTATTGAAAAAACATTCTCTGCAATTACTATTAGAGAGCAATGAATCCAATCCAAATGCAAAAAAGAAATCCTCAATCACCTTCCAGACCCTCTACGCAAATTTCAAGCAATTCTCCGTTAAAATTGACGAATTATCCCAGTTCGTTGAATTGAATGAAACAGGCTTCAGAAAAATCCTCAAGAAATGGGACAAAAGATCACAATCTCACTTACAAGAATTATATTTATCAACAACCGTCAATGTCCAACCGGTTTTTCATAGAGAGGAAATTAACCATTTAAATGACTTAGTGGGAAATAGTATAACAGAACTTGAAGCGTTTGCAGATGGGGAGAATGTCGTCATTCAAAACTCCTCTACGATTCCTCATCGTACCTTGGAGTTTGAACCATCAGAAAACACCATCATCGAAGATGAGGATCACCAAACCGATGAGATGTATTCTAAATTTCTCAATATTGCCACGGCTCCAAATAATCAGTTGATTTTGCTTAGCAATTGGTTGAACAAGTTGAAGGGTTTTGAGAATTCAGAAAGATTAACCAAGATATTCTTCTTGTCTATCACTGCACCAATCGAAGACGTTTACCTTCTCAATTTCTATAACTTTTTCAAGAAATATATCGATTTGAAATTTGTGGACGATTACACCAACAAAAATTTCTTGCATCAAATTGCCACCGGTTTATTCCCTGATCATGATGATCAACTGTCATCGAAGCTAAATGATGTAAACTGCAGAGCTAATAGTATCATACAATTGTCAAAAATTGATGAGTCGATATCAAGCAAACAACGTGAAGAGCCTCAACCTCAATCTCAGCCGCAAATTGATCAAAATAGCAAAGTATCTAAATTTACCAGATATTTCTTGGTCAAATATTTATTGTTAGATGATGCATCAAATGAGTTTATTGATCTATTGTCCATGAAGGATAACAACAGCAAAATCCCCCTTCATTATGCTTCTCAGTTTGGTGAATTTGAATTATCAAAACTTTTAGTTGAAAAATGCCCAGAAAGCATTTATTTGTTAGATAATCATACTATGTCACCATTGTTACTTTCGATCAAAAATAATCATTTGGACTGCGTCAGTTACTTGCTCAATAAGCAGAACGAATTGCATTTATCAAATATTACTCCACTGTCTAGTGAAAAGCTGGCTGACACTATGAATGCGCAAATCCCCCCATTAATATATGGCTGCAAGAAGGGAAATCCAGAAATTATTCGAACTCTATTATCTTTTCCATCAATAATTGATACCACCACGCCTAACGTCGAAGGGCTTCTTCCTCTCCATATGGCAGCAAGATTTGGCCACCATCAAATTATTGAACTTTTGATAACAGAGGGCCATTGCGATCCCAATGGAGTCTGTTCACTCAATCACTGGAGCCCAATTTTTTATTCTGCTTACCACGGTCATGCCAGGACCACTAAACAGTTGATCAAGTTTGGTGCAGTGCCAGATATACTGGATGATGAAAACTGTACCCCAATTTATTATGCTGCCTTGAAAGGTCATGTTAATGTACTAAATGTGTTATTCCATTCTGCTGGAATGATGAATCTTAATACTCCTTTTCCTTTGACTACTAGCAATTTATCAAAGGCTAACTTGAATACCATTAAGAGCCCTATTTTGGGAGAAGTGGCTATTGAGAACCCAATGGGGAACATTGGAAACAATAAAAATAGTATTGAAATATTGACTCCTACCACTATTAATAACTTGTTTAAGACCCTACCACAGAAGAAATCGCCGCCTTCAAATATATTGAATTCAACATCAAATAGTATTCCAAGCACAAACTCTAATCCCGCGATGTCTCAGCCAATGAACCATAACCCGAACTCTAATATTAATTTAGATTCAATTCCAAACTTCTCCTTACCGCCTCCTATAATTCCTTTGAGAAAGTATGGACATAATTTCTTGGAAAAAAAGACGTCTTTGCAAATATTTTTCTTGCCAGGTAAGGCATCAATTAAAATGTTCAATCGTGCTGGTCACGGCGCTCATTCAACATCCCATATAAATAATAATTCCATCCAGCAGAGAATGAATTCTTTCCAGAACAATTCGGGTATCCAAGAATTTGAAGATGTTAATGAAGAAGATGACGATGAAGATGATGATCACATTTTCAATGATGATGAAGATAGTTATGATAATGTGAACAGACCATTATTCCCAGGACGTATCACTATAGCTTCTAGCTCCCTTGATGTGGTTCCGCGTAACTTGCTATTACCAATCAACGATAAAGAAAATTCTGTGACTTTCCAACTTGATCTTGACGATTTGCCAGAAAATTTTCTGATTGGCTTTGAATTATATCCAACATTTGGAACCAGATTGATCGCTAAAACCACCGCTCTCGCTGATGTTTTTCTTGGAAAAGCTGTTATAGATGGAGAAGGAACAGTTACTTTACCTTTATTTGACTCAAGAGTCAAAACCGTTGGGGAGTTGACCTTCTCATTCCAAATAATTAGTGCTTATTGTGGGACACCATTAGAAATCACTAAATACGAGACTTACTGGAAATCTACTAAAGATGATGAAGATGTCAATCCAACGGTTTCTAACAATGACACTGGCCATCATATGGCATCGATTTTATCATTTGTGGCCGAGTTTTCATTGAGCGGAGATTACTTGAAACTCAATCTTGTGATGTTGGGTGATGGAACTCCTGTGGTGGTTCCGTCTAGTTTTGTACGCATTGGTGGAATTAAACTATCATTAATGACCTTGAGCTACGAGGAATTGTTGGCGATTGTATCGTCGGATAATTCTATCGATGATATCAAAAATCAATTGATAACATTACAACAGGAATTCAAAAGTGATCCTGAATTAGCCAGTGGCAGCTGTTTAATGAAAAAGAAGAATTTCATTAAGAAGGTCCATTCTCTTCTCTCAAAGCTATACTTACCATTGGATATTGTATTACAAACTTTACCAATAGAAATCTCTGTGAACCTTGATATCTTCTATCCAACAAAGTTTGAACTCGAACATTTTTTCAAGATGATTTCCGTCAACAACAATTCTGATTTCCCGGGACGTTATGGAACTCGGGGTGCTGAACCTACCGGTTTGAATTCTTTTGTTGATCGTATCTTGACCCATGTGTTCAACCATATGAGAACCTGCAAAGCGGCTAAGAGATCTATTGTTTTCTCCTCATATAATCCCCAAGTTTGCAAAGTTTTGAATTGGAAACAGCCTAATTTCCCAGTGTTTTTTGCTATGGGAGGTACAGGATTCGACTACTCGACAAATAGTTTTGAATTGAGAAGTGCCAACGGTTTCACCATCACCAAGAATCTGATTTTGAACCAACTCCACAGATCCGTTGGCAGTGGAGTTGCCATTAATAACATCCATTCCTTAGGAAGTACTACCGTCAGCTCATCAGGTACCGGAGTTAACTTGATTAAAAACATTGAAAATCCGTGTACTAGGTCTATTGATCAGGCCATTGGATTTGCTAGTGCCAATAATTTGATGGGGGTGATATTACCGATTAAGTTGCTACACTGTATTCCTGACTTGAGTAATACTATCAGATCAAGGGGTTTAATTCTAGTAGGGACAAAGGAAGATCCAAAAAAGTTCAGTAATCACTTTTTTGAGAAAGCCAAACCTTTCCAAGAGCTGATGGACGATCATAAGACAGAAACTAAAGAATCTAAAGGAGTCTTTGATACGCTTAAAGATTTTGAGGATATTGAAATCAAAGATTATTCGACGAGTAATGATGGAAACCTTAATGGGGTTAGAATTAACTCAGTTTTAGAGTTCCGTGGGTCTATTGACATGTAAACATTAAATACATGAGAGAATATATAACTCTTAATTCCACTATGCCTGAAGGTGTTTTTATGTAAAATTAAGTATGCTTCTAATAGGCTTGGAGTATTACGGGAAGAAGAAAAATGAATTCATAATATGAGCTATAATACAAAGAGACGTGAAACCATAATAAAATAAAGCACAAAAACAAAAACAAAAACAAATGAAATTCTATAGAAAATAAGCGAAAAATATTAGTGACAAGGGAAAATATTAATTACACAAGCAGTCAAACTTCTTTGCCTGTTGGCAATTGCGCTCTTCATACTCAAAAATGGCGTCAAATAACGCTGAGGGATTTGGCTTCGGGGTAACAACATGACATATAACTCCTTTTTTTTGCAATGCCTCAGATGTGGTAGGACCAATCGACGCGATTTTCAACTGATCATTTTCATGAAGGGCGTTCTGCTTAATTTGATCAATGATCAAATCCACTCCTTGAGTCGAGAAAAATACTACCCAGTCGTTGGTCTTTGACAGTAGTTCCAAATTCTGGAATTTTTCAAGGGTATTTGAGGTCTCTATGGTTCTATAAACAATTTTTTCAATGAATTTCACTCCATTTTCCCCGAGCTTAGTGGGGATGATGTCCTTTCTGATTCGGCCAGTCAAAAACAAAAGGTAATTCAGCTGGTTGGCTTCCGCTTGTATATGCAGAATAAGATCGTCTTGCAAAATTACTTTTACAAGCTCATTGGCATTGCCACTATCTTCGCCTCTTATATCCAGGAACCCATGATTTGATAACATCGATGCGGTCTGCGGACCCACGACGAAAATCGGTTTCGCCAAAATCGTATCAACCACCCAGTCATTCCGGATTCGTGATATTATCTTGACTAATGACTCTACAGCCCTTTGGCTAGTTATAATCAATGCGCTAATCTCTGATAAGTTGTTCAGTAAGCACAAGAACTCTGTCATTTCCTCAATGTTCTCGGCAACATGATCAATCACCTTTAGAAAATGGAGGTTGCACAGGGTGTTGTTATTGGACCGTTCATGGTAAGTAGCATATTTATCATCGACAGTCCTTGATTTCAAGAGAAGGAGTTTCAGACTAGCAGCCATTTAGTATTGTCTTCGCCATCAAACTTTGTCTGACACATCTATCTATCAATTGTTCAAAAATTTTTTTTTTCCAAAGGGAGATCAGATCAGATTGCTAAACGCCACATGGGTGATGATGCATCATCATAATTTCCACTCACCAAGCAGGAGTTTCCCTCACAATTGTTATTAATATTAAGAGTGGTAAACTGCTCTTCATTACAAGTATCCACTGCCAATCGCAACTTGGTGGTTTTCTTGCTCAGGCAACCTCAATGATGCATCGCGTAATCACTATATGACGCGTTACAAAAAAAAAACTATCAGGAAAAAAACAAAAACAAAAAAAAACTGCCATTGAATCTTATCCCATCGAACAACTAGAAAGTTCAAATAATACCTTGGACAATGAATGAAAAAAGCTCAGCAGATATTCCTACCGCTAATAATTATATCCCATATTCCCAGGAAGAGGTATGGCGGCTCACGGAAAAGCTTCTGAAACATCTTGGTCCAGAATACGTATCCAAGCGCTCTAATGGTGCTGCGGGAATGGTATCATACATTGAAGGGTGGAAGGCATTCAATCTTGCCAATCTTGTGTTTGGATTCAATGGATGGAGTAGTGAGCTCAAGAGCACCAGTGTGGATTATGTTGATATCAAAAAGGAGACGAATGCCATATCTGTGGGGTTGAGCGTGGTGGTTCGGGTGACCATTAGAGATGGTACCTACCATGAAGACATTGGTTATGGAAGCGTAGAAAACGGAAGATCCAAATCAGGAGCATTTGAGAAAGCTAAGAAACAGGCGATAACTGACGGCATGAAGCGCTGCTTGCGTTATTTCGGCAACGCTTTAGGGAATTGTTTATATGACAAGGATTACTTGAAGTATATTGCCAAAGCTAAGGTGAAACCAAAGACTTTTAATGAAGATGAACTTCTTAGAGACACAGGGGTTCTTGGAAATAATCCTTTGAAGAAAATTGAAAATAACGCTTTTGTGATACAGGCTAATAATCTTCCTCTTTCTTCTTCTCCTCCTCCTCCTCCTCCTCAGAAACAACTACCACAGCAGCGACCACCGCTACAGAGACAACATGGACAATCACCGCAGCAATACCAAAATATGAAAAACTTACCAATTCAAAAAAAGCCGGCAGCACAAAATCAGCACCCTCAGATCAGAACTCCAACCGCCGTACCAAAAGTATCACCAACCGCTGCTGCCGCAGCGGCTGCTAAGAATGATTTTCTTACCTCATCTATTTTTGATGATTCAATGGACGATGATAATTTTGACGGATTTAATGATCTTGATGATTATGAATTAGCACTTATTGATGCGAATGGAGGGGAATCAAACCATGGATCTAGTGCTAACAGTAGATCTGTTGCTCACTCGAATGATAATCGTATAAATAAGGATGTCAAGGATAGCAAGGCGAGCACCTTGGAAAACAACGTGAGTACTCCTACAGAAGTTCCGATGAATGTAACATTTTTCAGTGCTAAAGCTGCCAATGATGTCCAGTCGAACGTTAATCTTCTGTCAGACAAGTTATTTAAAGTAAATAACCAATCTGGATCATCTTTGAAGCGAACTCTTGATCAGTCCAAATCTACACCTGTTAAAAGAATAGGAATTGACAGACATCCAGTATATCCTCGAAGTAATCATAGCGGGCATAGTGGAGGGATTAAAAAACCTGGGCCCTTGCGATAGACTCAATAGGTTTAATGGTTGATTAAATGACATGGGCTTGACCCAGTGAACCAATTTTGATGTCTGTACTTATAAATTAATGTTTAGTTAATCTAATGGAACGGTTGCAGTGGAATTGAAGGAAATTTATTAGTCATTATGTATCATTAAAAAGATATAACAAAAGTATTGTAAAAAAAAAAAAAAGAAAAAACAGCCTGGAATCAAAATATTCAGAACAAGGGAAGAAAAAGGATATATTTGACAATAGGATGTTCATTCATAATTATCAAAACCTTTCTATTGATCCTGTTCAATAAACCCCGAGGAATTCTTTGTCTTCTCAAAATGTTCGGAAAAATACTTTTAAAAATAAGAAATGTTCCATAGAATAGATTATTCTTTATTCTTTTTCCCTAATCCTCAACTAACAACCTTGTGATATATGTGCCCGTATTACTATGTAAAAAAAAAAATATAAAATTTATGAAGTATCCCCATTTGCTTGAAAAAATAATAATGATAATAATAATAATAACTCATAATTGAAAACTGCTATTACTGCTATCTTCCTTGATGCTATAGTTGTTGTTTTGGTTGTTTTGGCTGTTGCTGATGCTGCTGCTGCTGAACTTGCCAAAGAAGTCTTCTTAGTCGGTTGTCAATTCTTGCCTGCGTAAGACTGTCTTTAGTTTTAGCAGCCGAGTTGGCAGATGAAGAAGATATGGCAGCGGAGTTTGTGGTCATACAAGTTTGTCTGCGACTGACCCCTTCCCAATCATCGAAATTGATTAAAGCTTGCATACAGCCCCATTCGGCAAACTTCTTACCTAACCAAAGTAAATTCACTGGCTTGACCAAAAAATCATTACACCCCGCCGCTAATGCATTGTCTCGATCCTCGGTGAAGGAATTGGCGGTCAAGGCGACAATGATTACTGGCTGCTTGAATTTCAGGACCTCTAGTTTATCTGAGGATGTTTGATCAGTCAATGGATTAGGAGAATCTTCTCTTTTGAGTTCTTCGGCAATGACTGAATCCGTGGTGGTAGCAGGGAAAGTGGAAGAAGAAGAAGAAGAAGAAGATGATGATGAGGATGATGATGATGATGATGGTAGTAGTGGTTTGGATTCTGGAGCCTTAGAGGATTTGCTCGTCTTGGAGTCCAGTGATCCATGTGAGCTGGTTGGTGGTGACAGAGTATTATTGATCATCTTTTGAGCCAAATGATGAATTTCTTTATGATTTGACACCCCAACACCATTTACCGACTCCAATCTTCGAATTTCTTTGGCACAATAAATCCCACTAATAAATGGTAATTGGATATCCATTAGAATTAATTGGTAGCCCCCTTTTCTCCATTCTTTTAAGGCATCTCGACCATTAGAGATCAATGTAAAAGTGATATTATTTTTTCTTAAGAAATTGGACAAAATAATCTGGTTAATAACATTATCTTCGACAACTAGGACTTTAATTTTTGGTAACACATTATTGTTGGGGAAGATTTTTGCTTGAAAGCCTTTTTCCAACGCAGATAAAGATACCTCCTCATTGTATGTTTGGTTCATCATAGTCGAAGTTTTGGAGATCGTGAACGATTTTCTTGCTGATAGTTGGTTGTTGATGGTTGTATTTACTTCTCTAGCCTTACTTTGGCCAATAGCTGATGATAAAGTCGGCGATGTGCTACTGCTACTGCTGCTGTTATTATTATTGTTGTTGGTTTTACCATTGCTGCTGGTAGCGCTGCTACTTTGCGGCGAGCTTAAGTTAGGTGATTTTGTCTTTTGATTGATATTGTCATCTCCTGGATGAATTGTCGGTTCCAGCGCCATATTATTGGTGGATTGTCTTCAATTATTGATAATTTTTGAAATTGATGTTTTTTGGTTGTATTCCAGTAGGAATTGTATAGTTCATACAGCCAAATGAATGTTTATTTTAACAGCTTGTTATTCTTCCTGGTATCTTGGTGTTCTTGTTGTCACCTCCACGTTTCTTGTGTTTGTTATATTCTTCAGTCTCGGTACCTGCTTCCTGTTCGTCTTGTTTTGTTTATCTATTTATCGTTTCCTCTTCTTCCACTGTTTCTCTTCCTCTTCTTTTCCTTCTTTTCAGGGTCTGTTTCTCCTTGAATAGGATTTTGAAAAAAAAAAAATCAAATGAGGTGTGGAAAATGAAAATTAATAGATTTATAATGTGCTTGTCGATGCTTCCCAAAGAAAAGTTTAGTTTAGTGGTTTTTTTTTCCCCTTCAGAAAGTAAAGGCAGCTCTTTGGTTACCCGGGCGTATAAAGGCCATGCGACTATAAAGCAGAGGTTCCCACAACCACGGGAACTTTGACAGATTGTATTTTTAAGCATGCCTGCAAAATAAAAAAAAAAAAAAAAAAAAAACAAGATTATATTTGCGGCGGTTGATAAAAGAATAATAGTTCTCTATTAACCGAGATCTCCGTGTACATCTATTGTTGCTTGTTTCTTTTATTCCGTCGGTTGCTATGAGAACAATAGCATGGAAGAACACACGTGCAGCACGAGAAGTACAGGACGAGGAACAAGACGAAGAAGGAGAAGGCAAAGAAGACGAACAAGAACAGGCAGGAATGAGAGAAAAATAGTTATAGAATGATGATATAGAAGAGAATTTTATCCTGATCATTCGTGTGGGAATGGTCAAAGATATCTGGTCAACTGGTCTATCTGTGTTTTGTGCAACTGATTAGCAGCGCCTTCTTTTTCCTCGTCTTGATCTTCTGCTTCTCGTGCTTCCACAGGCAGGCACTATTAGCGCCTTACTGAGATAACAGTTTCTTACACTATAAAAACACTATAGTGATGTCATGCTCATTTCATATTCATCTACGGAGACATTTATTTTCCGTAGTGCTGGGAAAATCATCCACTATTGTTAGCTTTCTGCCCACCCATCTATCGACCAGTCACGCTTAACAACCACACCCAACAACACCATCATTCATCGGGAATACCATACCTCCCATAGCGCCATCAATTATCGATCCATCGCTGAATAATAATAGAAAAGAAGCGAAGCAGAAATTGTGTCATTAGCCAAGAGTCTCATGTGGGGGTACAGTGATCACTGCAGAAACACCCTCTTATTCGTCAAGCGGGGCTTCTACACTGAGGTGCAGTACTTATACTCCCGAGTTTGCTGGTCCTTTTTTCTTCTTAACATTCCGGATTCTTATTTCTCTATCATTTTCAATTAACTGCTATACAAAAGTAACAAAAAGGAAAGGTCTTTACAGTGCATTCAGTCGCTTATAATTCATTATACAAATAAGCTTTTATTACTGCTGCATAATTACTTTTTTTTTTGCCTTTTTTTACCCCAAGTTATCACCGTTGAAAATTTCCTCTAACAAAGAATCCATCAATCGCACCGAGCATGGTGACCCTCATGCTCATGACTTCAGCAAAGCATCGATCTACGATAATGAGCCTTATCGGTTGAGTGTCGAACAGTGTGTTGAGTTATACCATACTGACCTTGATAATGGGTTGCATGAGTCAAAAATTGACAGCTTGATCCATCAGTATGGCGCTAATAATTTAGGCGATGACCACACTATCTCCTACATGGGGATTCTTGCCCACCAACTTTTCAACGCCATGGTACTTGTATTAATCATCTCTATGGTTATTACCTTTTGCATTAAAGATTGGATTTCCGCTGGGGTTATTGCATTTGTGGTATTCATCAATGTGTTCGTCGGCTTTATCCAAGAAATTAAGGCCGAAAAAACCATGGGGTCCTTGCGCTCATTGAGCTCCCCTTCAGCTACCGTCATTAGAAGTGGAAACACCTGCACCATCAATGCAGAAGAATTGGTTCCTGGTGATATTGTCAAGATTAGCGTGGGTGACACCATTCCAGCGGATTTGCGTTTGGCCAATGGCATAAATTTTGAAACCGATGAGGCTTTGTTAACCGGAGAGTCTTTACCAGTTGCTAAAAATCCTGAAAAAGTTTATATGGGCGAAGAAGCTGTTCCTGTTGGTGATCGCTTAAACATTGCCTATTCTTCTTCAGTGGTTACGAAAGGCCGTGCCACCGGAATTGTCGTGGCCACCGGCTTGCACCAGGAAATTGGGAAGATCGCTGATTCTTTGAAATCATCCGATGAGGATATTATTGTAAAACCATCTGCTGAAATATCTACCTCAAAGGCTTTTGCTAAAACATTCTTAAATATTATCCAAAATGTTTTGGGAACTAACGTGGGAACTCCATTACAACGGAAATTGTCTTGGATGGCAATCCTTCTTTTTTTTGTTGCAGTTGTCTTTGCAATTATTGTCATGGCGTCACATAAGATGGTCGTCAATACCACTGTCGCCATTTATGCCATTTGTGTGGCCTTATCAATGATTCCATCATCCCTTGTTGTGGTTTTGACTATCACTATGGCAGTTGGCGCTGAAGTCATGGTTACCAAAAACGTTATTGTTCGAAAGCTTGATTCTCTTGAAGCATTGGGAGGAATCGATGATATTTGTTCAGATAAAACCGGGACATTGACTTTAGGGAAAATGATTGTGAAAAAAGTTTGGGTCTCCACTGTTGGAACGTATGTGGTGAACGATTGTACCGAAGTTTATGACCCAACGGTTGGCACAGTGGGGTTCCATCCTGCTTCTCCAAAACAAATTGATGAGATGAGCAATAGACCAAAGTTTGATTCCGAAGTGAGTTATCCTAATATTTTTAGAAAATGGATAACTGCTGCAACCTTGGCTAATGTGGCATCAGTTTATAAGATTGAAGACAAATGGGAAGCCCAGGGAGATGCCACAGAAACTGCAATTTGTGTGTTTACCAAGAGATTAGGTTATGAGAGGGCAGAAATTATTGAATCACAAAATTTGGAGCACTTGTCAGAATTTCCTTTTGATTCATCGATCAAGAGAATGTCTTCAGTTTATGGTACTGAAAAGGAAGCGACAGTTTATACTAAGGGTGCAGTGGAACGGATTCTTGAAAGATGTGATAATTGGTACGGTACTGACCCACAACAAGAAACACTTGTGCCATTAACTGCTGATGATAAGGCATTGATTGAAGAAAACATGGACACCCTTTCCAAAGAAGGTCTTAGAGTGTTGGCATTTGCAGAACGCTCAATTGATACCGCAGAATCTCTTGAAGATCGTGACACTGTTGAATCGGGGCTCACATTTCTTGGTTTGGTTGGTATTTATGATCCTCCTCGTCCAGAAACCAAAGATTCGGTTCGTCTTTGCCACAATGCTGGAATCAATGTCCATATGTTGACAGGTGATATGTTGGGTACCGCCAGAGCCATTGCCAAAGAAGTGGGGATTCTCCCATCGAACTTGTACCATTATTCTCAGGAAGTCAAAGATGCTATGTGTATGACAGCCACCCAATTTGATGGACTCTCAAATGATGAAATTGATAGATTACCAGTGTTGCCACTCGTTATTGCTAGATGTGCTCCCCAAACTAAAGTTCGTATGATTGAAGCTTTGCATCGCCGCGGGAAATTTTGTGCCATGACTGGTGATGGGGTGAATGATTCGCCATCCTTGAAGAAAGCTGATGTTGGGATTGCTATGGGTCTCAATGGCTCAGATGTTGCTAAGGATGCTGCTGATCTTGTGTTGACAGATGATAATTTTGCCTCTATCTTGCACGCTATTGAAGAAGGTCGCCGAATGTCCAGTAACATTCAAAAATTTGTTTTACAATTGCTTGCTCAAAATGTTGCCCAAGCGTTGTACTTGCTCGTGGGTTTGGCGTTTGTTGATAGCGAAGGTTACTCAGTATTCCCATTATCACCAGTTGAAGTGCTTTGGATCATTGTTGTGACTTCTTGTTTCCCAGCCATGGGATTGGGGCAAGAACAAGCCAGTGATGATATTCTTGAGTTGCCACCAAACAAGAGAACATTTACCAAAGAGTTGGTGATTGATATGTTTGTTTACGGTGCCTGGATGGCTCTTTGTTGCATGGTTATGTTTGTTTGCGTGATTTATGGCATTGGAAATGGCGATTTGGGCGAAACTTGTAATGTCAACAGTCATGGGTGTGGTTTAGTGTTTGAAGGTCGTTCTACAGCATTTGCCGGATTCACTTGGTGTGCCTTATTATTGGCATGGGAATGCATTCACATGAGATATTCATTCTTCAATATGAGACCCGAATCCGAAGATTCGTGGTATGTTTCCTTGGCAAGAGATCTTTGGGCAAACCAATTTTTGTTATGGTCAATTGTTCTTGCTAGTGTTTCGGTGTTCCCAGTTATTTATATTCCTGTTATCAATGAGAAGGTATTTTTGCATGGGCCAATTGGACGCGAATGGGGGATTGCAGTAGCTCTCACTATTGTATTCCTCGTTGGGTGTGAGGGTTGGAAATGGGCAAAGAGAGTTTACTTCAGAAGAAAAAGTCCAAGAATATATAAGGATAAGGAAAGTATTGACCCATTTTCTGAGTTTTCCAGCATCATGACTAAACTGGGAACTTCCATTCAAATGCAAAGAGATATCGCTTAGATTGATTTATTTTTTACAATTAGTTTTTGATTTTCATATTATGTTTTCTTTTTATCATTACTCCAAACTCCCCAATTAGTTAGTCGCTTTATATTCAGCAATATATTTAAAAACATTTAAACTGTTAGCGTAACACTTTCTACAAGCTGAGATCCAAAAAAAAAAAATGAAGACATTTGAACATTTACTGATTAACTACCAATAACATAAAATACAAAAAACAAAAGAACGCAAGAAAACCACATCATTTTTCTTCGGATTAAAATTCATTAATAAACATTCAATCCAAAGGAAGAATATCAGGAACCGGACCAACAGGGGTGATGCCATGAGGATTGATTTGAGGATGAGATTTGGTATAATGCTTCTTGATGTGATCAAAATTGGTTGTTTCATGGAAGGCTGGGATATTCCAATACAAATAACGAACATATTTGTGCAAATATGGGAAACCATGTCTGATATCCTTGATATTGCACTTGAAATGTTGGACATAAACAGGATCAAATCTGACAAGAGTGGTATATAATCTGACATCAGCCTCGGTTAATTCATCACCCACCAAATAGAAACCATCTTTGTTAGGATCATTGGCAGCATTATACTTGTTTTTCAAAATCGCTTCAACTTTTTCCAAATGTTCAAATAATGTCTTGACGTGGCTTTCGTACACTTCTTGTTTTGTGGCAAACCCTGCCTTGTACACCCCATTGTTAATTGTATCATAAATCCAGTTGTTGAGCTCGTCGATCTCCTTACGAAGTGGAACAGGATAAAGGTCAATGGCCTTTTCTTCCTTGGTCAACACGTCGGAGTCATTAAATGCAGAATTGAAGAATCTAATGATTTCACTACTTTCATTGTTGACAATCGTTTGGTTTTTCTTATCCCACAAAGTTGGCACTGTGAATCTCCCACCATAGTTTTCATCGGCTTTGAAGTACAAGTCAGATAATCTCTTAAACCCGTAATTTGGTTCCTCGTTGGCTCCTGGGCATGACTCGTCAGGAGTCTTGAAGCGCCAGCCTTTAGAGTCCATATGCCAATGAACAACAGAAATATCAATCAATTTGTCCAATCCTTTAAGCTTTCTAGAGATCAAAGTTCTATGGGCCCAAGGACAAGCATAGGAGACGTATAAATGATAACGACCAGCCTCAGGTTCGAACTTCCCGCCTTTCTGTATCACATCTCTAAACAGACTCTGTGGTGATGGTCAGTAACTGATACTAAAAAATGAAATGAAAACACCACTAAGGAAAATAATCAATTATAATACGTACCACTTTTCTCTTATATTCACCGGTATTATCAGCAAACTTTTGAGTGTCAAATTTGATCTGCCATTTTTGTTAGTATGTGACTTCTTTTAGACGCCCAAACAGAATCACCACATACTTTATCGGACATCGCGCGAAAATGATGATTTTGGAATGTTTTTTTAGTATTGTTTCGAATAAACATATATAGAATAGATAGCAAATCAAATAAATAAATAGCTCTATGCTGGGGGGAATCGTGGGCCTTTTATAGTGTTTTGCAAGTTTGCGAAATCCTCATTTACAGTTGTGGGGCGGAACCCCCTGAAAAAGGAAAAATAAAATACACAGCAGGGTTTCCCCCGATTACTAACCACGCCGTAATATGACATGCATGAGGTTCATAATAATTATCAATAGCCATAAGCTTTAGTAATAACAGTTGCGGATGAAAAAAAAAAAAAAAAAAATCAACAATTTGATAAATCACAGTAAATTACAAATTAACGGTTGCCGAAAAATTAATAAGCATAATGAAAAACAGTGCAATTCAATATTGAATACATATTTAATACAATACAATACAAAATAAAGAACAATCATCCAAATCTAGATAATGCCGGGTTCAATAAATCATTCTCTTCATCTTTGAAAGTCCCGTTCTTTTTAGCATGAATCTTTGCTCTAAGTTCCTTTTCTCTCTTCAAATTACTTTCGACTCTCATCTTTCTTTCATCAATCACATTCTTAGACTTCTTTCTCAAATGGCGACGCAATGAACTATTCTTTCCCTTGACCTTTGGTAAAATATCCATCTTTACATCATTGGCTCCAACTTCCCTCTGTTTATTGGTCAATTCTGCCAAGTCCTTAGCAGTCAATCTGGTGGTATTGGCACGCTTATCAATGGTACCAATGACATTTGGATCAAGAGTGATCATATCTGGCTTAAGTTTGTTCACCAAAGTTCTAACTTCGGATTCTTGACGTTGCTTGGCCGATTCGAATGGATTAATTTCCAAAGAGTCAAAGTTAGCTTCACCGGATCCTGGAACAATAATATTCTTGACCCCATTTTCGTGACCGAAACTTAAGATATCTTCGAATGGAATAAACTTATTCATTTCGACCTTTGATCCAGCATTCAAATGATGCATATATAGCTTCACATCTTTGTGGTCGTTAGTGAAGATATCTTTATAGATATTAATATGTGGGCCAAAAGAAACACTGAGAAGATTGGTATCGGAAATATCACAACTCAATCCAGGAGTTGGCAAAGATCTATAATTCAATTCTTTAAACATTCTAATATCCCATACTTTCAAAGTTCTGTCAGTAGAGGTACACGCCATGTAATTACCTGTTCTATCAATAGCAATAGATTTCACCGACCCTCTGGAATTTAAAATCTTCACCAACGGCTTTGACATTGTTGGGCTCCACAATGATACTTGACCATTAGAATGACCTAAATGCACCACAGCATTCCAAGGGTTTTGCTTCATGGATATTGTTGGCCCCATCTTTGTTCGAAGTTCCGATATTAGCACACCAGTAGAGACATCTTGGTATTTAAGGAAACCAGTATTACCGGCAGTAGCTAAAAGATAATGGTATGGCAAGAATTCTAAATGCTTGACCTCAATATGCTGTTTCAATCTGTGCAATTCGGTTCCCAATTTATCGTAGATAAATGTGTATTTCTTTTGTGCTACTGCGAAAAATTGATCATTGTGTAAATGTTTGACAGCATTAACGGTCTCATTCAAATGCAACTCACAATGAAGTTTCCCGTACTGCCAGTCCATAGAGGCAACATGCCCTTTTCTACCTCCGAGCAACAAACTTCTACCATTTCTTGAATAATCAAATACATAAGGACCATATTCTGTAAGTTTCAAATCAATTGCTTTTCTATTCATGCTTTCATCCACGCTATCCTTGATGTCCTTTTGGGTAACCTTGAAAGTCTTTTCCATTTCTGTTTCAGTTTCCATTAAACCTGCAGATTCCTGGAGCAAAATCTCTGTATTTTGTGCCTCTTTGACGGCATTTTTGTAAGAATCATCTAATCTCTTCAACTTGGCACGAACTCGTTTATCCTTTGGGTTCTTGGACGCCTTTGAGACCGTTTTTGGTCTGTCGTATTTGGAAAGTGACATTATGAAAGATCTTTTATAGTTGATATGACAATACTATCGATAGAAATCCTGTCCTTCCACAAAACTCATGAGATAGTGTTCGTGAAAATTAATAGTGCTCTAAAATTTTTTTTCAAAAAAAAAAAAAATCCATCGCTTATGTAATTTTTGAAGCAGTTTTCTATGTAAATTACGTAAGCGTATCTGCGGCCTTTCTTTTTTTGTGTTTTCTCAACATGATCATCCAAAAAAGCATCTCATACATTTCACTTGATATGAGCTCTCTATCTGTCTTTCTTTTTGTTAGTTTTTTGTTTATATGAACAATAACAGCCGCAATAAATTGTTAGTCGCATCAAGTAATAATATTTTGGAAAACAATCCAGATCACTGATTGAAAGATGAAGGAATGTGAACATTTCACAGAAATCAAACCCTCTTCCCCAATAAAGTATGGTAAAGCGACAAATAATTGTAACAATGATAAGCTACAAAATACTTCTGACAATAATAATCAAACGCAGGAACAACCATCAAGATTTAGGCAACGGTTTTGGCAATTGTTTGCAATGACATCTTCAAAAGATCAAGGGCACATCCAGGAAGCAGCAGATCGCAATATAAAGAAAGATGCTGAAAACAGAAAAGTTATTGTAAATCCCACGAGCGGTACATATGATGAAGATGATGATGAGCCTTTTCATGATACCGAAGACTCATTGCAATGTCTTATGGGATATGATGGTAGCGTTCAGCAACACAACATTCCAATTTCCAGACAAATTCTTCGGGAATCTGATTTAGAGAATTTTAATATCCAACTTCAAAGTTCCAAATTGAATACTGGCAACTCATATCCCTTATTATTCTGTTGGAAATACCATGTTTATACTAAATCGGAAAAGCAATATGCTCTCAAATCTATCAGGATTTCATCTAAGCAGCAATTAGAGGAATTGATACTGATTTTTAAAAATGGATTTCCCAATAACCAAATAGATGACAAGATATTTATTTTAATCAAAGATGGTTATAAAATGAAAAACACCAACTCCAAAGTTTTTGCTTTTCAAGTATCAGAAGGTGATGAATATCTTATATTCAAATCAATGGTGCGATTGATTTGTGATGACAACATTGGATATTCCAGTCTCCATAAACGTGATTTTCTTGACATTTTTGCAGTGAGTTTCGGATTTCAAGCTACTTACTGTGTATTGAAGCTTTATTTTCACAACTCAAAGCTCGAGATGGTTGAGAGTTTTATCAAGCATGTTTTGAGAAGTAGACTACCCAAGAACTGTCGATATATTTGTGAATCAGCAAAGAAATTATGAAACTAGTTCATTATTCGATACATAATTCATTTTCAGAAAAGACTGTAATTATCATAGTATCATAGTAAAGATTTTGAATATCATTGCAGCGTGCTTATTAGTTTTTAAAGACATTTGTCTTTGTTAACTGTAAAGTGAAGAAATTCCCAATAATAACTTTATGAGCTAAAAGTCCAATATTGGATTATTCAAATTCCTGATACCAGAAATTACATTCTATTCATTGAAACAACAGCATCGTATAATGTTGTTAGGACATTCTTTATCATGGGGCTCCTTCATTGGTCAGTGTTAGTAAGGTACCATTTCAATATTACGTCAGTAGCCAAATAGTTATTCCTGGAAATGGGAAGGCAAGACTAAATAGTGACTACACCATTATCGTTAAAAATATCCCCTTTATTTTGAGAGATCAACACAGTAACAAAATGCGTAGTTATAAGAAACATATTTAGTAATAATATAACTGGTGCAACCTGTCGAAGAAGGTATGAAGTCTATTGATTTATGTGATTATTATTATAATTATTATTATTATTATTATTATTATTATTATTATTTACAATTTTCTTTTCCCGAATACTAACGGTACGATTTATACATCTAAAAAAGTGTATTAACAAAATGGAGCGCTCAACCATCGAAACCTGATAGCCCCAAAATATTGTCTTGAAATTGCTTTTCAAAAGTAAACCACCCGAGTTAACCTAAATCACCTCCATAAGGCCATCACCACAATATCTGATCCAGCAGAATTCCATGAAATATATAGCAGAAAGAAAAATCCAGAAAGAGAAACTAAGAAAATAAAAATGAAAAAAATCAGAACACAACAAACTAAGACAAAAAAAAAACTTTTAAATGTCCTTTTTCTAAAAAAAAAAAAAAAAATACAAAGGGAAATCTAATTCACCTGAATGTTATCCCTCCATAAATACACGTAAAATGAAGGGTATTTGAAGCTTGGAAACTAAGTATAAGAAGAAGAAAAAAAAAATCACTCTTTTTAAATTTCCCAATTTCTTGTTCCATGTTCCCTTTGAGACAAATCAAAGGCCTCAAATGGGTCTTCTCTAAACACAGGCAAGTCTTCATTTGTTATTTCTGTTGGTTCCTTGCCTTGCTTATAGAAATCTCTAACCTCTCTCCAGTGTAAAGTTATAGCGTCTTTTGCTCTATTGAATTGATCCTGCAAATCACGATTGTTACACGCCCCCGGCAAAGTCAAGTCTCCACGATCGTTGAAACGGCTAACTAAATCCTGGGGTGGGTCAGCACAGATTTCATCAGGCACCCAAATACCAATGTCTGACTGGAAGCTATGGTCAAAACATTTATACTCTTCGAAAGGTCTATCACCGTAGAATCTGTTAAGAATACGTTCCACTTTACGAGGAATGTAGGCTTGCGCGCCTTCGAAAATGGTACGATGTAACGGGAAAAGATCATCTAAAGTGAAGAATTGTAGATGTTTGCAATGGACAGGAAGTTTGTGCTCTGGGTCCTTCTTGATGGCCTTATCGTCTATTCCAAGGTAACTTGGCGGAGGATGGGCATCACCGGTATACCATAGAGCAGAGATATCAATATAAATACCGGTACGAGCGTCAATGAATCTGGCATCAATAAAGTTATTGCCGGCCCCTTGTTGAGAGTAGACGTGGTTAGTTTGAAGCCAAAAGAGACCATTTCCCGATTTAGGGTTTTCAACAATCAAAGAATTATTAAGTTCACGACCAATACGATTAAGATCTTGAATTGATACTTGTACATCTATATCATTATCCCATGGCAAATTTTGGCCATTGAACCACCACCCAATTAAATTACCATAGTTGATCCAAGTGACAATTCCATAATTCTCACAAAATTTGAACCAGGAGCGTACAAGATGATGAATGACAGCGATACGTTCTTCATGAGATATGATGTGACGGATAAAAGGGAAATTATAATGGTGTAATTCTGCATTTCTATCAACCTTAAGACCAGGGAAAGTGAAATAGAAATGTGGTTGTTCCGCATTGTCCTTAGCATACTGAAGAAAATCACGGTACTTCTCGTCAGATTGGGAAAGATAAGGACGAGAATTCAATTCATCGAGCTCACTATCAGGATCCCACTTGAAAGAATCCATTGGTACTGAGCGGTTTGCATCGAGGTGGAGATCTTTTAATTTTCCACCATTCTTTTCAAAGGTGTCTTGGAGTTTTTTTGAAAGTTTATAGTTGTCATCTCTGGTTGGCTTCACATCACCATAAGTTTTTTTCAATGATGCAACATCAGATTTCCGATCCTTAACATTAATTTCAAAATATTGCTTATCAGTCTCAAACACAATTCTTTCGGGGTTTGGGAAATAATATTTTTTCCAAATAGCCGAGCAAATCCCAATACTTTTGATCTGCTCATCGAAGAAAAGATCCCTGTCATACAAATCGTCGTCAACCCATGGATCTTTTTCATCAGCCATTTCATCATAGCAGAACTTGGTCATGAGTTGTCTGAGCTGATCTTCATTAATGGATTTTAGAATATCAGCATGCGCCTTCAAAACCAAATCTGCCGGCGACACATCAACCCAGTCGGCCCAGTCAAAGTTTGCTGTTAACTTTTCATTGATCTTAGAATTGTCAGAATAATGATCAAGGAGCTTTTGTAAGTGCAAATTTATGGAGACCCGGGGGTCCAATAGCGGGGTCTTCGCTTTGGTCGTCTTGACATGAGAAGCAGCAAACACAGGAAGACGAAAGAATGTTCTATCGAGCTTGAGATAGTAGCGAAGGTTTTCCGAGACAGATGAGTATTGCTGGTAGTTGAAAGAAGAACAGTGGTTAATAAGGAAAGTTATGGAGATGAATATCGCTGCAAGAACCATCACCATCAAGGTCCCATTGGAGTGAGGCCGTTGAGGCGCAGATGATGATTTAGGGTTGCTCAAGAGGAAGAGCCTTCTAAGGGCAGAGATGGGTAGATAAAGAGGGCTCAAGATACGCATCTCAGAAGTTATATATTTGTAGATTGTAAGTTATATCTCTGTACAATAAATCAATGAAGGATAAGGGTTCGGCGGAGAAGCGTTTTTTTTTTTATGTATTTTATCAATTACTGAAGGGTAATTCCAGGGACGACATAAGCCACTAGTGGTAGGAGGGCTGTGGGAGTGAGATTCAATGGCAATGTATCTGCCTTATTTTGAATTTGGTTTATTATTATTAGTAAGAGTTTATATTGTTTTTATTTTATGTTATCTTAAGATAATAATTATTTCATTTCATTTTTTTTTTATTTTTTTTTTTCTTCTACTGTTTCCCCTTTTCTTCCTATGGCATTTTTTACACGTTTCATAGGTCCACTTTGAAACTTAATACGACACCAACATTATTATGTTATAACCTCGTCCATTTCTCTTGAATATATGTATCCTTTGATAATTCTCATTGCATTACTAGAAAAGAAGCAGCCACACAATAATGACCACTTTAGACACTTTTCCTCCGGAGTTGATGGAGTTAATATTCCGTTACGTCGGTACGGAGTGTGAATTGTTAATATCATTAAGATCCTCACTCACACCACAATGGCATAGTTACATCGATGCTTTGTTATTTCAAAAATTAATATTCATTGACGATACAGCCCAAGATTGTAGATTCTTCAGCGTATCGAATATCACTGGGATTTATATCCCCGATCACTGCGAATTGATTATTGACTACGATCAGATGCCCAAATTGCTGCCATTTAAGCATTATATTAAAGACCTCCAATTTTCCGGCTTACCCAAGAATGATAGAGATGGGGAAAAAACAGAAGCATTAATGTGTCAAATATCCGATTTTATTGAATCGCTTCCTCATTTGGAGACTCTTCATTCACTGACGCAGATCCCGAGGGTGGATAAGAAGTTGAAGAATTTGTCATTGATGCGAGAATCCACTAACTTGGACAGATTCAATTGTGCAAAATTGGAGTACCTTGGATTGGTAGCAATGAATGATGAGGTGGGAATTGACAAAAACGATTTATCTAGATTGAAATCTTTGTTTGTTAGAGGTAGTTCGGTGGAAATAGATGCCAAGAAGTGGAATTTGAGAAATTTAGAAAGCTTGAGTTTGGAGTATGATAATAACCCCACAGAAATGAATAATTTCCAAGCAGACTATCTTCCAAAACTCGCGTCATTGCAGGTGCGGAATAAATTGGAATCTTTCCCAGATTTATCCCTGTTTGTCAACTTAACCTCTATTAAATTAAATAAGTGTTCGCTATATGAAATTGGTAAGTGGGCCCTCAAGCTTTCTCATTTAAAAAGTATGGATTTAAAATGTAACGACATTGAGGAAATTGAAAATTTGGACAATCTGCGTAAATTGGAGTATTTGGACCTTTCTCAGAATGATATTCAGGTTGTCCAAGGACTTGATAGTTTAGTAAGCTTAAAAACCTTGAACTTGAGTGAAAATAGGCATCTTGAGAAGTTTGAATATTTTCCTAAATCATTAAGTTGCTTAGAAAAGTTGGATTTGCATGAAGTTCCCCTTGATTCAATTTGTGAATTTCAAGATTTTCCAAAGCTCAAGGAGATTGATTTTAAATACACATATGTGCGGGATGTCAAAGGCTTGAGGTCTTTGGAAAGCTTAGAAAAATTCACTGGTGCTCTTCACAAGATTGAACTCTCAGTGAATAAGCTTGAAAACTTGACTTATTTTCACATCATCAGATCGAAACTAGACAAAGAGCAATTACAAACTATATCTCAGTTAAATAATGTGAAATCACTCAAATTGACACAATGTCACTTGGAGGAGATTGGGACATGGATCAGTCCTTTGACGCAATTAAAGTCATTGGAGTTATCACTGAATAGCATTAAGAGGATCACGAATTTGGAACGCCTCCAAGATTTAGAAGAAATTAATTTGAAATGGAATGAAATAGAAGCGCTTGAAGGCGTTGAAAGCTTAAAAAAATTAACGAAATTAATCATCTCTTGCAATAATATTTCAAAAGTTCCGGCTAATTTGTCCAAATTGAGCAGTTTAAAGGAATTAGATCTTTCCAACAATAAGTTGACAACTTGGGAAAATTTGAATGACTTGCCAGCTTTGAAGACATTTAATCTCACCGCAAATGAGGGCCTACTGGTGTTTGATAAGCCGTTGAACTTTCCAAAGCTTATCAAACTTGAATTAGTCAGATGCCCTATTGTGAAACTCGAGAACTTTGTGAATGTGCCATCACTAGAGATTTTTTTGGCCAAACGGACCAAATTTCAGCTGATGGCTGATGTCTTTGATGTCTTCTCGGAAAATAGCCTTAAGAACATGAAATACCTTCAAGTGGATTTGGAGACGACCAAAGAATTTAAACAGATGAAACAGGTCAAGCGCGAGGAGGGTGTTGACCCAATAAAGTTTATGCTTCACGCATACAGCATTGGCATCAAGTTAATGTTTGAAAAGGTTTTCGAGCGGAATGAGAATTTGGTGGTTGCCTGTGAATGGGGGCAGTCTACGAGAACCAAAGAGTTTCGTCGTATCACTGACATGAGAAGATGTTTAGCTCGTAGTGATTGAATGGTGGTATACACAAACTACGAAAAAGGAATGTTTGATTCTTGATCTGTAGGTATTCATTCGTCTGGCGGGTAAAAATATACTTTAGGTTATCCATTTTTAGACCCAAACAACGTGTTTAATGTGAGCATATCTATGTATATAATAACAATAATAATAATAATAATAATAATAATAATGGCTGTGTGTTCTGTAATAAAGGTGGTGGGTGGTGGCTTAGTGCGCGCGGGAGAGTCCGGGTGACCGGTGACCGGTGCCCAAACAACGGGAGGACCCTGGAGTCTCGAATTGGCGTGGTGGTACCGGGCAACCCCACTGCCTAGTTAGTAGGTCCCCTAACGGTGTAAAAGATCTGGCGGAATTTCAGGCGGGAATCTTTGTCGCTCACCACCACCTCACTACATCAGACAGAAGGACCTCCACCCAACTCACCAGAACCTAGCACGGGCTCACGAAACACCATGAGCTTTGATTTCGGTGACACAGGGCCTTTTCCAGGCCAACGTCGTCAAGACCCGCTTGCGAACCCAGGCTTTTATACAAACAACAATGCCAGCTCATCAAAGCAGGGGAATGGTAATTTCCTTAGAAGGAAAAAGAATAACAAGAATCATGGCTTTGCCGATGATGATGAAGGCGATGGAGAGGGCAAGGACGTTGCAATGCCCTCTGATGCTGCCGCAAAGTCCCTAAACTTTACAGAATTGACTCATATTCGTGATAGGGGTCGTTATGGCGGGTTCGATGCGTTGGATACTGCTCCCATTATCCCAATGATGGAAACTCCTCTAGACATTCATGGTAAGAAGAACTCCAATATCGAATATAGAAAAGCAAAGACGTCACAAAAGAAGGCAATGATGAGTAATATCGCTAAAATGAATAACTCCTACCAACACAATCATAACTTGCTCAATCCAATTGGTAGTAATGGCAATGAGAATCCAGCCAATCATTCAGGCTCTTTCAACTCTCACGGTTATGGTAATGACCCGTACGGTAATCAAGGCCCAAGATCAATGAGTTTAGCGACAGGTGCCCAAAAGTACCCACCAAACCGCCAAATGCATCCTCAAAATTTTCAACGTAACCAGGGCCCTCCAAACCAAGGACAGCCACCCCGCTCAATGTCTTTCACCAATAATCCAAGTAACTTAAACCCAATGCGCCAATTTCCGCCACAAGCTCGCCAACCGGGCCCACCAATGTCAAATGACCCAAGAGCCATGAGCTTGAGCGGTGGTCGTCTTCCGCCATTTGCCCCAAAACCTATTCCTCCAAACCAAAGATTTGGTCCTCAAAGTAGAAATAATAGTTTGAATAATATGACAAACCCGATGATGGGTAACCAAATGCAACAAAATATGCCTCCTAGAAATGGAAGCTTGACAAATATGCAAAATCCGTACAATGCACCAAGAAGCCAAACTATGGGTAGCATGAATAATCCATACAATAATTTCCCGAGAAATGGTAATGGTTCAAATATGAATAACATGGGTAATCAACAACAAAAGATGGCTCCAAGAAGTGGAGCTATGACAAATATGCAAAACCTGATGGGTAATGCTGCTCCAAGAAACCAATCGATGTCTAACAACATGCAAAATCCAATGGGCAGCGGAGCACCAAGAAACCAATCAATGTCGAACAATGTGCAAAATCCGTATAATAATGCCCCAAGGAACGGAAGTATGACAAAAATGCAAAACCCTTACAACGGGATGACTGGCAAACCTATGCAAAATAAAAATAGTTCAAGAAATGGTAGTTTGACTAATATGGTAAACCCTATGCAAAATAAAAATAGTTCAAGAAATGGTAGTTTGACTAATATGGCAAACCCTTATAACAACAACAATTCACCTGCCAGGAAGCCCGTTACTAGTACTTCAAGATACCAATCACCGATGTATCAAAATGCAAATAGTAAAAGTAACAACAACAGTAGCGGAAGCCTTGTCGATGCTCCTTCTGCTCCTGCTATATCAAGGAGCGCTACGGCTACCCCACCGCCACCACCAAATAAAGACCATAGCTCACCAGCAACTAAACAAAATAATACTCCAAAAAAGTTGCCAAGAAGCGACAATAACAGCCCTAGAAAGTCTCCATTTAAGTACATCAATGAGGCCTCCGATGATGAAGAGGAAAATCAACAAAAGTATCACCGGTCCTCACTTTCTGAAGAAGTGCTGAAAACTAACAATGCGCGTGGTAATGAAAATGGCCGAGGTAAATTAAAAGAGTTTCTAATGGATGATAACGAGGAAGAGAACCCGAGAACTCTTTCTGGTGGTACTAATCTTGCATCGAAAAATATTACATCTAATCCTTATGCACAGAACGAAAGAAGTACTACAACTCGCGAGGATCAATTTGTTGCGGAAAATAATCCTGGAACAAATTCTTCTGTTAAACCAACTTCTCAAGGAACAAATTTTGATTATAGTGACAATTATATTGATGAAGACGATGATGACGATATGAACTACTCCGCTTATGATGCTGTCACCAAGACAAAACAATCCACCAGTGCATCCTCCAAGCCAAAATCTGGCCTTCGTCGGTTCAACGACAGTTCAGAAGATGAAATAGAAAAAGTTGAAGTCAAGCCGCCTTCCGCTAAAAAACCTTTGCGTCGGAAACCGCCTCAGAACAGTCCAGAACCAGCCAGACCAAAATCACGTCAAGAAACTATTGATACATTGGAAGGTTCGCCGTCCCAATCACGTCGCTCATTCAGTGGCTCCAATAGTTTGTTGTTCAAAAAACGGAGTACTAAAACGGCTCCTGAGGCTAAGAAGAATAATTTTATGGCAAAGCTTGAAGCGTCCATTGATGACTCTATCGGTCAAGTAGATGGTAACAGTAGTACTATTCAGCCGAACGGTACTAGTGGATATGATTATAGTGCTCGTATGTCACGAAGCAACTTTAAGACAATCTTATCACCTGAAATTCCAACGGAAGCAACGTTTGATAACTCCACGATTCCAAGTACTAATTCTAACAACAAGCGGATTAGTGAGGTTCCAAGAGAATCAATCAACCGCAATTCATTCAGTCAAGTGCCTGTGTCAAACAAGACCTCATCAGTTCTTTCTTCTGATTCTGATGCGAAAGATAGCAGTTCAAGCAATAACCGTAACAGTGGTATTGCTGGTGGGTTCCTTAAGAAGTTAGGTCTCAAGAAGAATAGAGATAAGCATCGTTCGAAAGGTGATTCCAAGTTCAATTCTCGAACCTCCTACCAAGGAGGGCCTTCCGCTGATGCCACTAACAAGAACCCCTCTAATGGCTCTGGAAATTTGTTTTCCAGTTTCAATAGCAATAAGGTAGAAGAGACGAGCTACAATCATGATGTTTATAACTTGAAAGAAGAAAAGGCTGCATTATTTTCCAAACCTGAAGCAAAAAAACAATCTTCAAAGCCACTCTCACAAGACGCTTGGAAATCCAGTCCTACTAATAATGATTATGATGACCTAAATGCTCCAAGCTCTTTTGGTGTTGTGGCTGATAGCAAAAGCTCCTCGATTGGAAAGAAAGAAAGTAACTCTAAATTTACATTGGACGATGGTTCTGATTTGCTCAATGAAAAGCTGTTTGGTGATTCTCTTAGTGGAGCATTTGATGACATTGAAAATAAAATAGACCAAGAGATTTTGAATTCTAATCAAAAAATGACTTCTCCAAAGACTGAGAAATTTGATGTTTCTGCTTCAAAGCTTGATAACCATAATAGTTCTAATTTTGGTGGTAGTACTAATCCATTCAGTGTCAATGACAGTGCTAGCTTTAGAGATTCCGAACTTCAGGCTAAAGCAGAAGTTGAAGGTGAATTTATTAGAATGGGCCATAATCTTAGAAAGATCTGTTTAGATGATACTGAAGATTTCAACTATCAAGGTGTTGGTCAAAGCAAACCGAAGGATTTGAATAATGGTGCTAGTATTGAAAGTCCAAAGAAAATGATTCTTTCCAGTAATCGCTTGAATTTGAGCGTTGAGCAAATGGGTATCATGGAGGCAAATCAATCACTTATTAATGAATTACAATTGATGACCAAGGAACTTACTGATTCCATTCAACGTGAAGTAAAGCTTGAAACTGATTTGCGGAACCGCAAGCTTAATCTTGATAATGGGAATGGTGTAGGCGGCACTACCAAAGTTGAAAGTTTAGAGACCGAAGTGCGTGAAAAATCGAAAACTATTGCAAATTTGATGACTGAACTTAATGACGAGCGCAAAAAGCGGAAAATCGCTGAAGAAAATGTTCTTCTTTGGGAATCCACTAATGATGTTGCCCCAAGCTTTTTGAATCTCAGTTATGAGAAGTCCCAACTTCAATCACAGTTGATTGATAAGCAGGAACAGATAAACCAGCACAAACAGCTTATCTACCAGTTCGATGCCGAAAAGCAACAGCTCAGGGAAAAGTATGCAGAATTTGAAGCAGAGAACACCAAGTACAAGAAAAAGGTGGTGCCAGACCTCACCAATGAAATTGAATTATTGCGTAATAATGAGTACCAAATTTCCAAGAAATATCTGGACCAGGCAAATTATTACCAACAAGAACTTCAGTCACTCAAGCTTACGCTCGCAAACTATGAATCTGGAGCTACAAAGGTACCGGGTGCGTCTGCCAATGGGTTGGGTGAAGCAGAAATTGAAGGGCAGCGTGATGCACTCCGTGAAGCTCTCAAGAATTTGAAAGAATCCAAAGAGAAAGAGATCAAGGAGATAACTATGCAATTGCGGGATGCCCAAGATCATAATCAAAATTTGGAAAGCAAGGTGAGTAAGCTATCTCATTTAAATGAGAAATTGCAGGAGAAGTTGTTTGGTTGAAATTTTTTTTTTCTTTTCTTTTCTTTTCTTTTCTTTTCCATTTTTTTTTTCTTTTGTTCAATATTTCTCTTATTGTATAATACTTTTGATAAATCCCCATTAAATTAATTTGATATATACCTATATATATATTACAATTTGCATATAAAGTCTAATTCATTTGTTATTCAAATAGAAATCTATTGGATGTAAAAGTCTGAAACTGAGAGTTTTTTTCTTGTCCACTGAAAAAGATATTTAGAGGAATGAGAAAACAAAAAAAAAAAAAAAAAGAGCGGAAGGGAGGGGGCCCTTATGATCCTTTTCTGTTCCGAAAATATTGCCCTATGTCCCGTCCCTGCTTAGAATATTCTCAAATTTTGTGCTCGCTTTTCATTTGATCTGTTATTGAAAATCTGCCAAATTTTTCAAAAAAAAAAAATGAATATCCTATAACTTCTAAAAAAAAAAAAAAAAAGAAGTATCCCTTGCTAAAAAACCATTAATCCTAAATACTCTCTAATATCTGCTGTACTGCCCACTTGAGCACTTCTTCAATTCCTGTTCCTTCATTCTTTATACTAAACACGTCTATTCCTAAAGTTTCACTGGCCACGCATCTCCCATTTTCCACATCACCTTTGTCAAACATATGCTGGTGTTGTTGGACATAGTTTGGCCAGACAAGTTTTTCAAAATACCCAGGTGGGTCGACCCAAAAAGAATCCTTAGTTTGGTATCCCTCACGCAGTTCTCGACGTTGTTTAAGGAGGGGAAATGTGACTTGTAAAAATAATTTCACGTCCAATACCTCGACGAGCGGGGATCCTTCATGATACAATAAAAATCCATCGAGAAACACTAATCGTAAGTTTTCGTGTCCCACGGCATTGTGAACTTTTTGTTTGAGCTGTTTAATTAGGGCAGGGTCCGCCACCAGAGATGGTGATTCCGGTTGGATCGAGGGTAATTTGGGTTGTGGATCCGCATTGGGATGCTTCAATGATTTCAAATGTTGCAGAAGAAGTGTGATATCAAGGGCCTCGGGACAGTCCCAATTCTGTTCCCCTAGCGCTTCATCCATCGGAATGTCCTTGTCATCCTTATAATAATCATCTTCATGGATCAAGATCGATCCAGGAAATATTCCAGTTAAAAGTCGTGAAACCGTCTATGAACATCCGCTGGTTAGTATAGATAATGTCAACTATAATGAGGTACAGAACCCCTCTGATAATGATTCATATAATTTCTCTGATTTACTCACAGTTTTGCCACTGCTCGATGGTCCACTGATTCCAACAAGCACCACTTTTTCTTCAGATTCTATATTAGAAGGGATGGTCATATTTGAGACACACTTTTTGAAGAGCTGAAATGTTTATACATCAACGTTACGTTACACACAACGTTACCTTGAAAGGTAGAAATCTTTTGGGGAAGGGCAAAGGAAATTTTTTGATAAGGTCTTATGTACAGGGCTACAAATCCGCATCAAAAGAACCCCCGAGGAGCTAGAGATATATCGGCTTAAAATCCTATATTGAAAAAACTCATCTTCTAAATAAAATCAGATTACTCTATGGGGAGGGCGATAATAATGTTCTTAGACTCTAAAATAAATCAACAAAAACCTTTTATAATAATAAAAGGAAAGTTATATATATAGAATAGAAAAATTGTAGTTACTATAAGTCATGGTATTCATAATTTATATAGTCATTTGAATGGACACTGGTTGGTAGTTTAGTTGGAGACGATGTTGCAAAGATCTCTTCTAGTTTAAAATTATTATTAGGTTTATATTTCACTAGATCATGCTCCGCATTGTCTTTCACTAAAGGAGGGATTTTTTTTTCCATGCTTTTATCATAGCTACTTATGAAAGGCCAATCATTTTGCTGTAATATTTGCGAGGCATTTTTGTTATCTTCAATTTCAACGTCAATTCTCCGTAAATTCATCATCATTCCGCTATGGAAAGAAGATGCAAAATCAAGACTATCATTCTCATAAAATGATGCAATAATTGCAACCCCATCTTTATCTTTCTTAATAATATCTCTGCCTCCGTTATCGTAGTCTCGGGACCTTGCTCTTTGAGTGAAATGTGATTCACAATTCTTTATTCCCTGTAAACTGAAATTATTAACTGCTAAAATATCAAAATTTAGAAGTACAGACTCTTCTTTAGATTCACAAAAAGTAGTTTGATGTTCATTTGATTCGGAGAATTTGGAACTAAGACCATTATTCATCTTCGAGGGAATTTCATTTTCTGATTCTAATTTGATTTGAGAATTAATAATAGAGTTAATATTCATTTTTGCTTTTATTTTGGAATTTAAGTTACTGTTCAATCTGTGGTCTTTCCTATCATTTTTAGGCGTGCTGGTGCTGATAACATCAGTAATACTGCGTTCGTTAGTGCATGCTTCAGAAATTATTGGATTCCTTTCTTTTGACATGACATCGAGCAAATTTTTCTTCTCTTTTATGGGCCTTGTTTTTTTGGAATCATTTGTGTCTTTCAAAGATTTAAGCCTTTTCCATTCTTTCGGTGCTTTCAAGGTCTTTGGTGCCTTCGGGGTCTTTTTTGGTTTGGTTACTTTTGTCGCTTTAAGCTTAGATTGCTTTCTTTGTTTCTTATTAGTACTAACTTTGGATCTATCTATCATCAACTGAGGAAGGTGAATTGAGGGTGAGATACATCGTATTGGAGGGTCACTTGTTAGGGTATCAATTGCGGAGGATTCGAATGGAATTTCTTCAGCTTGAGTACCTTGAAATGTTAAAGATCCATGATCATCTTTGAGATTATCTAAGAATAAATTTTCATTAATGGTATCAACATTGCTTTTCTTTTTCTTTGAGGTTTTGGCCATAACTTCGTCAAGTAAAAGGCCTCTATAGTTAGATGGAGATCTACCTCTAATAACTAGGGGAGGAGTTTCTATCTGAGCAATACAAACATTTCTGTCATCCATAGTAATTGCACTCAACTGAACAACCAATTTAAAATGCTTATTTGCTGGAGAAGGTTTTCGAAAATTTATGGATGATGAAAACTGGATTCGCTCGTATCTTGCTACTTTTGAAATTTCATCTTGTGGATAATCAATGATTGCTGAAATATCATCGTGCTCTTCTTTTTCAGAGAGGCGATTACAGTAAAATATCTTATTCAATTTAGTAATTTTATCGTAATTTCTAATATTAGCTGCTTCTCTAACAATTTCATGATTTGGTAGGGCACCGGGAACTGCTGGATAGCTTGGTGGAGGAAATTGCGGGCCTCTGTCTCTTTTTGCGGTATGCTGAACCAAATTGATACACGATTCATCTTCAGAACATTTTGAGATCAAATTTATTGAAAAAAATCTCACCGGATATTCTTTGTGTTTGCTATCGATCACAGTAAATGTCTCTGATAGAAATTCTTTGAAAGGCATTCCAAGGAATTGAAACGCTGCAACCAAGGTGAAATAATTTCTCTTGTAACCAACCCACTCATTATCAATTTTCTCAAACCCTCTATCAATTCTAGAATTGAGAATTGGACAAACTTGAGAACCACTAGATGTCAATAATGTACTAAACAAATGAGTCTCGCCAAACTCAGGGCCGATCTTAAATTGGGCGCTTGATCGAGGGGCAACTTTATTAAACTCTTCACCAGATTTCAATTTCAGGGGATATCGGCACCTATTTTTTTCCCCTTCTGTAAAAACTTTAGGAGAATTAATTTTAACATTATCGATTTCATGTGAAGGCACCGCGGTATATTGAGAACAGTTTTCTCTAATATTGAGTTCTAACATGCTTATAGGGCTTCGTGCCACCCTGTGTATGCTTAATGCAAATACAGTTGAGTTTTTAAGTTCGCGTGAGATACTATGGTTGGCTAATGAGTGATTATTGCTCTTTGAGTAACTGCTGAATAGCCGCTAATAACAATTTCAGAGGTTTAGACAGAGAAGGCGCCATCAATACGTAAGGCAGAACTAATATGGCGCCAGTGAAACACAGAAAGAAAAGGCAAACAGATGGGAAAAATCCAGCACAACAAGGGAAACTAAATTCTAGAATAATGCTCATAATAATATCACCGTCATGAACCAAGAATAAAACAACCAGTTGCAAAGGACACAAAAAGACTCCACAAAAACGCTCTCATGTTGGGAGCGCTGCAGATACCAGTGCAGAGGGTGGGTACGGCCAGGGTAATGGCATCGCCAGTAAGTAAAAAAAAAAAAAAAATTTCAAAAATTTTCACATCAAAGATACATAAGGGTAGAAACATTGGAATTTTGTCTATTTTCTCTTCCATTATCGCCAGATAAAATTTAAAAAATAATGGGGAAGAAAGCCATTGACTTCAGAGTCCCAACTTTGATCAGAAATGGGGTGCAAGAGAAACAAAGAAGTTTCTTTGTTATCGTTGGTGACAAGGCGCGTAACCAATTGCCAAACTTGCACTATTTGATGATGTCTGCCGATTTGAAGATGAATAAATCTGTTTTATGGGCCTACAAGAAAGATTTGCTCGGATTTACTTCGCACAGAAAAAAAAGAGAAAAGAAAATCAAGCAAGAAGTAAAAAGAGGGATCAGAGAAGCTAATGACAAAGACCCATTTGAAGCGTTTGTCACTAATCAACACATCAGATACGTCTATTATAAAGAAACCGAAAAGATTTTGGGGAATACTTATGGGATGTGTATCTTACAGGACTTTGAGGCCGTCACTCCTAATTTGTTAGCAAGAACCATTGAAACAGTTGAAGGTGGTGGGATTGTTGTGATTTTATTGAAATCTATGGATTCTTTGAAACAATTGTATACCATGAATATGGATATCCACTCTCGTTATAGAACTGAAGCTCACAATGATGTTGTGGCTAGATTTAATGAAAGATTTCTTTTATCCTTAGCTTCTTGTGCTAACTGCCTAGTGGTTGATGACGAGCTCAATGTGTTGCCAATATCAGGCGGGAAAAATGTGAAAGCATTGGCGCCAAAGGATGATGAAGAATTGACTAAAGAAGAAGTCGAACTCATAGAGTTAAAAAAAAGCTTGGAAGATGTGCAACCTGCAGGGTCTCTTATTGCTTTAGCTAAGACCGTTAACCAAGCTCAGGCGATCTTGACATTTATAGATTCCATCTCTGAAAAGTCTTTGAGAGATACAGTGGCCTTGACAGCCGGAAGAGGGCGTGGTAAGTCTGCTGCCCTTGGTATTTCCATTGCTGCTGCAGTTTCTCATGGTTATTCTAATATTTTTGTCACTTCTCCAAGTCCAGAAAATTTGAAAACTTTGTTCGAATTTGTATTCAAGGGGTTTGATGCTTTGAATTATACCGAACATGTGGATTATGATATTATTCAGTCTACCAACCCTGATTTCCATAATGCTATTGTCAGAGTAGATATAAAGAGAGCCCATAGACAAACCATCCAATATATTTTGCCTACTGATGCTCATGTTTTAGGCCAGGCTGAATTGTTAATTATTGATGAAGCTGCAGCTATCCCATTACCATTTGTCAAGAACTTGTTGGGTCCATATTTAACATTTATGGCTTCTACTATCAATGGTTATGAAGGTACAGGGAGATCTCTTTCTTTGAAGCTTATCCAAAAATTGAGAGAACAAGCCAATAACACCGTTTCCAATGTTGACAAGGACATGGAAATTATTTCTCGTGATAAGAAATCTATTGACAGCTCAATTCAAGGGAGAAGCTTGAAAGAAGTGACCTTATCGGAACCTATCAGATACGCATCTGGGGATGCTGTTGAAAAATGGTTGAATAAGCTTCTTTGTCTTGATGTTACTGTGACCAAGAATGCATTTGCAACCAAAGGAACTCCACATCCATCTCAATGTGAATTGTACTATGTCAACAGAGATACTTTATTCTCATATCACCCAGTTTCTGAAACTTTCTTGCAAAAGATTATGGGGCTTTATGTGGCCAGTCACTATAAGAACTCGCCTAATGATTTGCAATTGATGAGTGATGCGCCATCTCAACAACTCTTTGTGTTGTTACCTCCAATTGACCCTAAAGATACTAAAATACCTGATCCTCTATGTGTGATTCAATTAGCCTTGGAAGGGCAAATTTCCAGAGACAGTGTACGGAAAGCTTTGGGACGTGGTCAACGTGCAGGTGGGGATCTTATACCATGGGTGGTTTCTCAGCAATTCCAAGATGAAGAATTCGCAGGATTGTCTGGTGGTAGAGTGGTAAGAATTGCTACTAATCCAGATTACAGTGGTATGGGTTATGGTTCTAGAGCTCTTGAATTATTGAAAGATTACTATGAAGGGAAATTCACTGATATTTCTGAGGACGACACCAAGAAATCAAAAGATTATTCATTGAAGAGAGTTGACGACAAACAATTACAAAAGATGAACTTGCGTACCGAACAAATTAAGCTCCGTGAGTCCAAGGCTTTGCCACCATTGTTGCTCAAATTGCATCAACAACCACCATATTACTTACATTATTTGGGGGTCTCATATGGTTTGACTCCTCAGCTCCAAAAATTCTGGAAACGTTCCGGTTATACTCCAGTGTACCTCCGTCAAACTGCCAACGAATTGACTGGTGAACACACTTGTGTAATGATAAATGTTCTTAACGATAGAAATGACAAGTGGTTGAAAGAATTCTCCAAGGATTTCCACCAAAGATTCCTTGCACTTTTATCATACAACTTCCAAAAATTCACTGCAGTGCAAGCATTGAATATCATTGAAAACACCAAAGCTGTAAATCAAGGGGAATCTAGTAATACTAGTGGACCATTGACCAAATCAGAGCTCGACTTCTACTTCACTCCGTTTGATTTGAAGCGTTTGCAATCATATGCCAACAATTTATTGGACTACCACGTTATCTTAGATTTGCTTCCAAAAATCTCTGGTTTGTACTTCACAGGGAAGTTGGACTCATTCTTGAACTTGTCAAGTGTTCAAAGTGCGATTTTGCTTTCTATTGGTTTGCAACATAAGAATATTGAAGAAGTGTCTAAAGAATTGAACTTGCCTGTCAATCAATCGATGGCCATGTTTGCGAAAATTGTCAAGAAAATGTCTTCTGCTTTCAAAGAAATGGTTAGAAAATCTATTGAAGAAACTTTACCAGAAGAAGAAACCGATGTTAGAATTCGTGAAATGAATGGTGAAGAGATTGAGGCTGAAATGGAAGTTGGTGACATCAATAAACAAATGGATAAAGAATTGGAAGAAGAAGGGAGAAAAGTGCTTGAAGGGATGAATGAAACTCAAAAGGAGTTGATTCAATCTTTGGATTTGTCAAAATATGAAATTGATGATAATGTTGCTTGGGACGAAAAAACCGTTAAGAATGCTAGCAAAAACGGCGGGGTAGCAAGTTTGAAAAATAACAAAGTGAAGAGAAAGGCCGAGAAGGCTCAAGATATTTATGATGAGGAGATTAAGAATTCAAAGAAGTCAAAGAAGAGTCACAAGAAGAAATAAGTTGACTGATTAATGAATGGTAATAGAAATGACTTTTAAAAAATTCTGTTGTTTTCTTTTCTTTTCTCTTTATTATTCTTATTTCTGCAAAACCATTATCTAATAAACCTGTTCTGATCTATTATTGAATTGTAAGATTTTTTTTACTCTATCTATCTAGCGTTATACTATAGTTAATATAATATCAAATATTGGTGCTACTACTACTACTATCTGTAATCTTCTTGTTGTTGTGTTTACTGAATTATCCCAAAGCTGAGGCTTTGGATATTCATCATCAATTAATCAATAGTTAAGATTACTAAAATTTCTGTTATTTAATGAAAGCGTCTCTATATACACTATTGCCACTATTAAAAGAGATAAAAAAAAAAATATGGAACGAACCTTGCTAAATATTTATTCAAATAGGTAAAAAATAATTTCATATCTTGGCCTCAACTTTATGCCCCTCAATATATTCCATCAATTTTTTTAACTTTCCAATTTCATTTCTCCGCTGCGGCAAAGCCAGTTTCAATTCACTCAAAATTACCAACGATTCCTCAAATTCTTTCACAATATTTTCATGATCCTTTTTGTTGGCTACTAATGTAACTTTTTCTTCGTTGTTCAACAAACTGTCTTTATTATCGTGATTATTATTTTTATTTTTATTATCATTATCAGCATAAGCACCCTGTTCAGTTTCATTCATCACGGCTTGAGCCTCACCATTTTCATGGTTTTTCATTATATACTCATTGAACTTCTCAAACTGTTGAATATTCCTATTGGCCAAACGATTCACCGATTTTTTGAACCTCAAGGGAATAGTAGATCTTTTCTTGGTAATTGCTGTCGTCAATGCTTCAGCTTCATAGTATCTCTCCCTCAATTTTTCATTGACACCAAAATCAAAAGGCTCAACTTCTATTTCTACATCACTGGCTGGCACACTCTTGCCATTATTCTTGGTAAGTTCTGATCTGAATAATTTCTTATTTAATGATTCCTTGACTCCGAGTTCTTTGTCATCAATTACCACCGAGTACTTGGTTAGTTCAAAGGCCTCATCAATGTATTTCTCAACAAGTTTGCGTACTTTCAATCGTACTACATCTTCTTCCTTGTCTTCTTCTTGCACTTCATTATCAGAATGGATGGCGGATCGACGTCGACTCGAACGTCTTCTCTTATATTTAGATTTTGGATTTGCTGCAGTTTTGGGGAGATGGAGGTCTAGCTTTGCTTTTGAAGCATTTTGAACTTGTTTATGGAGATATCTCGCGTCCTGAGATTGTAAGTATAATTTTTGATGGACTCCGAACATCCTTTTTGGTTTGTTTTTTTTTAAAAAAAATGAACAGCAGAAATCTTTGTTGGGGAGGAGGAAAGCAAAATATTCTAGAAGTCTCCCATTAAAATGTGTTAGTAAATATAAGTTGAGAAATGGTTTGATGTTTTTGTTTATTTGTTTATTGTTTTATTTTATTTATTTATTTGTTGATTTGTTTATTTTTGTTCCTGCTTTTGGACTTAAATCGGGCTCAGAACCATTTTTTTTAGCGTGCGCACTACGGGATATTTGTTAACGTACCCAAACAGTGGATATTTGCAGCAAAAATATAGTATACAAACTTGTTCATTCATCATTTCTTTTTCAATAGCTTCTGCCGGGCTTTTTCAAACGCTTCGTCATCCAATTCTTCATAGACACTCTTCTTCTTTGCTGAACTTTTCTTTGATTTCTTTTTGTCCTTGGTGATTTTATTAGCCCCGTACTTTCTTTCTAACGAGCTAATCATATCATCGAACCCACGATTATTTTTCTTTTGAATCAACGCCTTTAGGTCATCTTCATTCTCCACTTTTCTGTTTATTTTCAATTTTTTCTTCAATTGTTCTGCTTGTTTTGCTTCTTTGGCCATTTTCTTTTGATAATTTTTTCTTGATTTGTCGCGGGTTTGGAGATATTTCCGCCATTTTTTGTAGTCACTGTCAACCTTATTCTCATTGATTGCCTTTTCAATTATAGCAAATACTCTTTCCTCTTCATTGATTGAGAATTCCAAATGGGGGATGACTTCAAAGAGGTTGAGGAAATTGCCTTGATAATAAACGAACGCATCAATGATGTCATCTAATTCCTCCAGGCTGTTTTGGTACTGCTTTTTGTCCTGTTCAATGGCTTGAGGGGTTATCTCTATGTTTTGTTTGACGGTATCAAAGTAATCTTTCCAATTGAAATCATCATCATCTATTGACACCGATAATGACAAAGACCCGGTTTCGTCGTAACGTTTTCTGTTTTTCACATCGCCAACAATGGAATAAGCAAAGGCGATTTTGTCAAAGAATTCCTTTGATTGGGCTTTTTCGGAGTCCAGTTTATTCACCAATTTGTCGGGGTGATGTTGAAGGCATAATTTTCTGTAACTTTTCTTTATATCTGCTGGCGACGCGTCTGATGAGACTCCGATTGTGTGGTAAGGATCTATGTCGGGATAGGGAATGGACGACATGGTGTAATGACAAGAAGAGCGGAAGCTATGATAGTGCAAGTGATCCTAATATATATAATAATAACAATAATAATGATAAATAAAGATATATATATATATATATATTATAATCCAAAACAGTTAAGCGAAAAAAAGCTCGGTCACATGACCAGAAGGTGACCCACCGGCTCAGGATCCGGTGGTTTTTTGCCTGTTGATGGTGGTGGGTGGTGGTGGGTGGTGGGCTGGTAATTATTAGCATGGGATAATCCACGCTTGAAAAGCTGACATCTGTCTATTACTGTTGTTGTTCCACTCTCCAAAGTAGCTACACATTGTTCCTGCCCCTGTTCCTCTCACCGTCATCGTCGACTGCCACCATAATACAGAACAGTAAGGTGACGTTTTTTTTTTTTTTTGCGAAAAAAAAAATAAATTGAAATAAAATAAAACAAAATAAAATAGAAAAACACCCAGGAGCAATATTGAAAACCCTGTTTATTCTGTTCTAGTACACATTGACCCCCATTGATATTGGTACTATTAGCATTATTGTCTCCCAATAATACTTGCGGAAGCCCTTGCTTTACCCAATTTCTTTTTGCTTGCTTGATTGATTTCCTTCCCTTTTATCTTCATTCTGACTTTCTTTCCTTTCATTTATTCAACCGGGCTAGTTCTTGCTATACAGCCCAACAAGCTCCAGCAAAATAACCCTTGTTGCAGTGACCAGATACTCAGGAAATACGCAACCACAATTGCCACATAGAAATACAAAATAATAGCAATGCCATTCAAAGATATTTTTCATCACAAGAAGGACAAGGACGGCAACGCTAAGCCATCAAGACTGTTAACTTCCATTCATCTCACAAACAAGAGCCCTTCGGCCTCATCAGCCTCTTCTAGTGCTTCTACTTCTACCTCCGATCCTTCCTTGATTACTTCCCATTCCCTGGACGCTCTAGAAAGAAAACTTCATTCAACAAAGTCAGCGCTCTCGATATCAAATTTGAAAAAGGCCTCCACTGAGTTAAACCCAAAGAGCCACCGCAAACATTCAGAGAGTATTTCTCTTGGCTCTATCAATCCTTTTTCAAAAGACAAGAGCCGCCGCGCTACTGGGGACTCTGATAGTCACAAACAAATCACAACTCATCATGGGGCTTTGACTCATGCTCCTGGCAAAATAAATTTGATGATGGGTAACCATAACTCACCCCAAGGTGATGAAGCAAATGTAGTCACCCCAACAAAGGACACGCCCATTATCCCTAAAAAACAATCGTCTGTTAATACAACCCCAAAACCATTACCGTCAATTGATTCTGTGCCAAAGAAAAAGGATTCTATCATACAGTATAATCCTTATGGCAGCAATTCCATCCCATCGCATTATCTGTACTCGCTGCGTCCTGCTTCTCAGTATAACACTACCAACCATTTAACTGCCAGAATTAGCACCGCTGCTAGTGTCTCTGAAGATAAACCCAGAGTGTTGCCATTACCAATTGAAAGTCCTAACAGTTTTTTGCCTCAGTTACTTCAGCAACTCCACGTCGACATGTATGATGAATACGTATTGCCAGACTCAGATTCCAGTAAAAATAGAAAGTTGGGTGATGGTGCTTCTGCGTCAGTTCGAGTCGTCTTAGTTAGAGCGGATAAAGTATCTAGAGCGTTGAAGAAATTTGTGATGTTTCCAAGAGAACAACCTAAGTATTTTTATACCAGGTGCAGTAAAGAGTTTGTCATTGCCAAAGCTTTATCGCCTTATGAGCATATTGTTACAACCTACTCACTTGTAAAAGTCCCATCCATTGCTGAAATGACCCGTGGTTGGGGATTTGTGTTAGAATTATGTCCTGGTGGGGATTTGTTCTCTTTAATTGGTCGCAGTGGCTGGAAGTCCACCAGCAACGAAGAAAAATTCTGCATCTTCAAACAAATCTGTTTAGCTGTCAAGTTTATGCATGACAATGACATTGCTCATCGTGATTTGAAACCTGAGAATGTATTACTCACCGACCGTGGTACGGTGAAACTTACAGATTTTGGTGTTTCCTCGTTTGGACATGAAACCCACGGTGATTTCGCATCTCCGATCAAACTTTCTACCGCGTACGTTGGCTCTCCTCCTTATTCTCCACCGGAAGTTATGTACTTTCAATCTTGGAATAAAAAGCAAAAAGACGATCCAAATTTACCAAAATATGATTCCTTTAAAATGGATTGTTGGGCGTTGGGTATGCTTTTGTTTTGTATGGTGTATCAAGGGACACCTTTTCAAGAGGCCTCTTCATCAGATTCATTTTATCGTGAGTTTACCTCGGCCTATGATGCATTCCTCTCCAAGACTCCATCTTTCAAACAACCTGGTAATTATAGCGTAAAGGGACCAGGCGTTGAGTATAAATATGGGCAAGCTTTCAAAGATTCTGGTGCAAGCCGTGTTGCATGGCGTCTTTGTGATCCAGATCCAAAAACTAGGTATACAATGAAGGATTTGTTTAGTGATCCATGGTTCCTCAACCTCGAAATGTGCCATGAAGAATATGATGAGGAGGTGTTGATGACACGTATGAAGTCCCATAGTTGTGATGCTGCTTCTCTATTTGATGATGAAAGCGTTCCAAAATCAGTATTAGAAGCCGAATTGACTCATGGTAGAGAGGTAAAGAGAGAAGTTCCGGCTCAACCTTCAGATCCAAAGAAGTCGATGCTTGATGTTGGGGTATCTTCTGGTAGTACTTCTTCGCTCCCACCACCAGAAACAAAGAAGTCGATACTTAATGTTGGCTCATCCTTGCATACTAATTCTCTTCCTGATATTTCTGAAAAGAATGTTGAATCTAAGCCAATTTCTCCGACTATCACCAAAAAAAATAATAGCCTGGTGACGCACACTTTCGAATCTGCCACTGCCCAAGCACAAGCATCCGCCATGAGCCCAACAAAGGAATTGTTTCCAGTTGTTGAAGATGAGGAAAGAAGTGATAATAAAGATATGGATGAAATTGAAAAGTCGTTGGAGAGAATACCTATTAAGGATAAGAGTGAACCAGAGATTGGAATATCTTCCCAAGGTGAAAGTGAAGCTGAAGGCTCGGCTATAGAATCACCAGCCAAGGCTTGTCCAACAATTGCTGAATTGATCAAAGAGTTGCCAACAAGCAAATACTGTAAAGGCAGAATCAGGAAACATCACCATACTAGTATTTCCGATATTACCCAAAATGCTCTTGGGAGAGGACTGCAAAATTATGCAAATGGTGGATATACTAGTGCTGCGGCCAGTTATTCAGCTGTTGGGACTCACCGTATGTACAGTAAAGTTTGATTCCAAGAATCTTAGTTGGCCAAGGGAAAATAAATAGTACGTTTAAGCTATCTCCTTCAAAACCAATAACTAGTTTCTGCTTTACCTTTTAGTTTGTTTGTTTGTTTGTTTGTTTGTTTGTTTGTTTGTTTGTTTGTTTGTTTCTAGTGGCTCATTTAATATTCTCTATTAATTATTTTTTTTTTTTTTTTTTTTTGCTAGCTTTTATTGAGCTATGCGCATGTTTTAGATTAATTTTAATTTTTTGTTTTAGTTTTTCTTCCTATATATCTTCGGTCATTATTTTACACTCATCTAGTATTCAAAGTTTTTATTTTTTATTTATGTTTATTTTTTGTTGTTGGTTGAAAATAGACTTTGTGATGGTTAAAAATTGGGCCAACGAATGTAGGTAATAGTGGAATGAAAATTGTGGGTAATGGAGCTAACTTCTTGTTCACTTTTGATCCCTGCTTGCCACTGTTATATTCTCTTTTTCTAATAAATAAAAAAAAAATGTCGTTTTTAACAATCTGTTCCTCAATTAATGAAAACTATGGGATCTCTCTGGTTATGATAACAAGGCTAATATTATCACGTGCGACATCACATGTCAGAAACTTTGGACGTGTCAAAAAAAAAGAAATAAAAGAAAAAGAAAAAAAAAATAGGCAGATCTTACTTAATTTGAGAGATGCAAAATATAGAAATACCAACCATATACAGAAATAAAGGTGTGAAGACAAAACAAAAATAGTAATTAAGTCACTGGTCTGGCCTTTTTACTAAAAAAAAATCATTTTATTTCATATATCCTGTTTTTTGTGCTGAGAAAGCATAGATTTATATAATATAATAAGGTGTCGAGAGTTTTGTTAGTTGACAACGGCAAATATGAGTCTTGTGGCCAACCCTAATGCCATTCAGGATCGGACTCTTGAATTCAAGCAATGCGTCACCAATTTCAATAGAATAAACCGCGATAAATTGAAGAGCAAGCTGTCGCCCGCTCCTGCCGTCAATAAATCAGAATTTAGTTCAAGGGCTGGGACGATTGCCAAAGATATTGCTCATGCCACTGAATTATTGGGGAAATTGGCATTACTTGCTAAAAGAAAGCCGTTATTCGACGATCGACCAATCGAGATTGCCGAATTGACCTATGTGATCAAGCAAGATATTTTCAGGGTTGAGAAACAATTGAAAGAATTGCAGCATTATGCCAGCACAGGACAACAGATTTCGTCATCCAATAAGTCACAAATTAGTACATTTTCTAAAAATGTGTTACAGATCCTTAACACCAAGACCAAGAATATGAGTGGGGAATTCAAAAGTGTCCTTGAGATGCGTCAAAAGAACGAAATGGAGAGTAAAGAACGGAAAAACCAATTTCTATCTAAAAGTGCCAACACCTTGGACAATAATGGCAGTGGCAATAATAACGATCCCCTTTTTCGTCAACAATCTTCAATGGGAGGCGCCAGCGAAAATCCATTTTTATCATCACTTGCCACTGATGACCCAGATGTTTCCATCCCAGGGGACTCGCCTTATCTTTCTATTCCGGAACAAACACAGCAAATGGCGCTCCTCGAAGAACAATCGCAAGAGTATTTACAAGAACGTAATAGAGCAGTGGAAACCATTGAGAGCACAATTAACGAGGTTGGGAATTTATTCCAACAATTGGCAACAATGGTGAACGAACAAGGCGAAATGATTCAGAGAATTGATAGTAATGTTGATGACATCGAGATGAATATTCAAGGAGCCCAAAGAGAATTGTTGAAATATTTCAGTAGCATTAGTAATAATCGGTGGTTGTATGTCAAGATATTTGGGATCTTAATCTTCTTCTTTTTGCTTTGGGTGTTGGTCAGTTAGGTATTTTCTTTTATTTTTAACTTTTTTCTTTTCTCTCTATATCATTAATGCATCACTATTAATTAGATTCTGATTATATTATTATCACCTTTTTTCAATAGAATGAAGATTTTGTCATATTATTGATTCGTACTTGTGTATCTTACATCTTATTATGGACAATGGGGATGCTAACAAGTTTTATTTGATGGTAGTCAATAAAAAAAAAATACATAAACAGATTTGAATAAATTAAAGAAAAAAAAAACTGAAAGTGAAAAAGAGTGAGAGAGAGAGAGAGGAAAAAAAAAAGAAAGGGATAAAGTACAAATCAACACAACAAATCATAATCCGAATAGTAGTATTGATATTGTGTAAGGAAAACATAATAACCTTCGATATAACATATAACAAACGATACCTATGTTAATCTAAACAATAACTTTACTCCTGGGCATCCTGGAATGCAACAATCTGGAAGTAAATAATAGCAAAATAATAACTCCAAATGAAACAAAGCCATAATATTTTCGTCACTATAGTCTCCTGTATTAATGAATAAATGAATGAATAATGATCATGATGATAATAATAATAATATTATTAGATTAAAAACAATGCCTGGTGGAACTTAATTGAAACATTTATTGGACATTTAGACAGTTCCTCTAAGGAAATTTTGAACGAAACCATTGTCTTTGATTGTGTTATAACTGATTTCATCGTCAAAGTATTTCATAACGTGTGCCTGTTGTTTCCAGAAATTGATGGTTTCTTGATATTCCATTTGACCCTTCATATACAAGACATTTTGCACAGCCAAGGAGTTAACGAAACGGTTTCTTTCAAATTCTTGTCTGACCTTTGTTCTCATGGCAGAAGTTGGCATATCCAATTCGTACAATTCAATGAAAGTTGGAGAATCACGAATAAATTTACGGTACAAACTAAGCACACGCTTCTTCATTTCAACAGAAGAAGCCGAGCGCTTAGTAGTTTCAGCAAAGGCGGTGGCCATAGTCATCTTGAAGTGGGTATTTTAATCTTAATTCCGGTTACTCTCGTGAGAATCCCAGTTGCACCTTCGCATTTGATGGAGTATTTGGTTTTTTTTTTCTTTGCAATCCTCTGGCTGTGGTTGGCCATCTCCGTTCTCTTACCGGGGCACATAATATATAAATAGTCACGTTCTATATGCATAAAATACACGTGATAAAGATAAGATGCCTGGAGAAGTAGGGGCATAAGGGAAACCCCCAGGATATATAATAAGAAATGCAGAACTTCTCTGCAGTTATTCTGGAAATATAAATGACAAACCAAGATGGAAGAGCAATATCAATGTATTTTTGAGCGTAATTAGGTAACCCAAAAATCTTTTTGGCTTTTGGCTAGTCATCCAGTGCCTCCCTCTACTATAATGATGATCCATAGCTAATGTAGCTAAAACTTTTCCTTTTGGTTTCATGGCTCCGAAGAGAGACAAACCTAGCATAGTAAATTTCTTTTTTTTGTTGTTTTTTTTTTTTTTTTGTTGAATTTTTTAATGACATTGTAATCACTACTTTAAATAACATGCAAATCGATCATTTTATCCATAATGTTCTCGAGCCAAACTTTTTTTTTTTTTTTTTGATTCAAATACATAACTTTCTTGTTCAAAAATTTTGATCACGACATATAGATCACTTGATAACTTCTACAATGAGGGTTTATTTAGGCCACTTTTTCTCAACAATCATAAAACATTTTTCCCACCAATATATGTAGCCATCTTTTTTTAACATCATGCTCTTCAGTTGGTTTTTGCTATAGATCGCCATAAAGGATTCCATTAATGATTCAGCATCCTTTCCGTACTTTTCTGCCCCCACTGCAGATGATACTTATGGTGAAAGTGAACATTGAATTCCATCAGTTCGAAGACCTGCCTATCATCATACTCCAGAATACTTGGTTCAAGAGTGATGGTTAATTGTTGATACATCTTGATCATGTTTTCCCATCATCCTTCAATTTTTGCCTTTTTTGGTTTTGGCTCATCCTTGACCACGGGATGCTCATTTTTTCCTAATGTAGTCAATACGGTTTCAATCGATTGCTTCTCTACATCACCACACATGATGTTTTCAAAATCATCAATGTGGAAAAACGCAATACCAGGTAAAGAGAGATAAGCCCAAAGCTTTACCGATAAAGGAAACGGTTCTTTCTCTTCTTACTCTTCTTACTCTTCTTACTGACTCGGATTAAATTTTATAGGAGTCCATGGTGCTTTTACTTATTTAACCTTTCCAAATCTGGCTTATAATCCTATGAAAATTTTAAATTCAACTCTTTGTTGATAAATTTAAGGCCTGGGTTGGTTAAGGAGCCAAAAAAAAACGACAATTATATAGATTTTTTTTTGGTTAAGAAATTTTTTTTTAGGATTATATTCCTTATTCTTATTTAAAAGAACAGTAAATAAAAAATCCCGTACTATATTTATGCAACCACAGGTCACTTTCTCAACACGAAGCCGATATTTATATATTTCAAGATGATTCTGATAATAACTATCCACCCACTCTTACCCTTATCAAAAAACTAAAACCCACTGTTAGGAAAAACCTATTAATGAAAAATCCATTAACAAAATTAAATGATTCTTTGTGAATTTTAAAGGTTCTCACAGCATGTCACCCCCTTTACACATACAGAGTACCCCCTGCTACGTATAATCTTGTTGTCCCGGGTAACAGCTTTCATCCCCCCATCAACAGCACCATACAAGTTTCACACTCACTTAAAAAAAACAAAAACGAAAATTTACATACATCGAATGCTAGCAACAGGACCTTCCAATATATCATAATTCTTATCATGTATGTTTAAATGGTTCAAGTATAAAGAGAGATAGAGAAGAAGATCGAAGGATATAATGTGGAAAATATGGGGAAGTTGAAAGGGACAGCTTATGGAGAAAGAACAGTGATGATGGCGATAAGCGATAAGAGCCACAATAATGTCTTTGCAAGAAGATGTGTTTTAGAAAGTCTTGGATATTTGTCTTGTTATGGATCTGATGACTGTCATTTACCGCTCCCCTCATTTTCTTTTTTGATTGGACTCATTTGCATAATATTGGATAATGTGTAAATACTAACTTTGATAGGTCCGAACTCAGTGAAGAATACAGTCCGGCATTTGCTCCATTCTTTGGGTTTGCAGGGTACGTAAAATATCTTTCCAATAGAAAACAACTAGTGGATATGAGTAAATTTTTTTTTTTTTTTTTGTGATGGTATATACTGACTTTAAACAGCTGTGCTGCCGCCATGGTCCTTAGTTGTGCTGGTGCTGCTATTGGTACTGCCAAGTCAGGTATCGGTATATCTGGTGTTGGTCTTTACAAACCAGACCTCATTATGAAGTCCCTCATTCCTGTTGTCATGTCCGGTATTCTCTCGGTTTACGGGCTTGTGGTTGCCGTGTTAATTGCTGGTGATTTATCCCCAACTTCAAATTACTCTTTGTTCAATGGGTTTATGCACTTGGCTTGTGGGGTTTCGGTTGGCTTTGCCTGTTTGTCGAGTGGTTATGCCATTGGGATTGTTGGTGATGAAGGGGTAAGACGTTATTTGCATCAGCCTAAGCTTTTTGTGGGTATTGTCTTAATTTTGATTTTTAGTGAAGTGTTGGGATTATACGGGATGATTGTTGCTTTGATCTTGAATACAAAGGGAAGTGGTTGAAATTATAGAGGTTAAAAGAAAAAGAATAATAAATTTGTGTTTTCTTGGATATGCCTACAGAAATCATAAAAGTGATACTAAATTATCGTGATATTCAAGGTTCAATTTGATTCTCATTCTTTTTCTTTTTCGGATGGGAATAAAAACATATAATACGGTCTGGAACTGCAATTTATTGACATGCCAATTTAAATTGTCTTTTTTCTTTTTTTTTTTTAATTATTATCAATCTAATATACGAGTTTATGGAAAATTTAGGAAGTTGTCTTGAAGATGTGAGCTTACTGTATACAGCTTAGTTTTCAGGGAAAACAAAAAGGGCTACGACATTGTAGACAACAATTGTTGATAACAAAACCGCGTATAATAAATTGAAATAAGAGAGAGAAAAGAAAAGTTCTTTTAATAGTATACAAAATCCAACTTAGGCAGAAGTATCCATTGGAACAACCCCACTTCTACTCAATGCCACTGACCCTTTATCATCAATGTATTGGTCTGAAAATTGTTCCAAAAATTGCACCGAACGTCTAGCGTCTAAGAATAAGGTATATGATTTCTTAATATCTTGGATTTCCACAGTAGTCGCTCTTCTTTTAATAGCAATTTGGTTGGACACACTGATCAAATTGGCAGCATATCTTAAACTGGTCTCCTCGGCGATTTTTGTCAACAATGCTAACGAATCATTGGATAATTCCACTTCCTCTTCTTTGGCTCTGATACCAAGAATCGTCTTCATTTCATTGGCATTGTAATTGGAGGTGGAGATAATAATGGAACGATCCAATAAATCCGCTGGTAAGCCATGAGGGGTCTTGTAATTAGTGCCTCTGGTTTGAGAAATACCACGGTTGGTGGCCATCATCACGATTGGTGAAAAGTCATCTTCGAGGGCTTTATTCAAGAATGAAAAACATTCAATGTCTAACATATGAATTTCATCGATGAACAACACCCCTGGAATAATTTCGGCTTTCCCTTCTTCTTTCCATTCGGCAACTTTGATATTGATTTGATCACGAACTTCTTGGCGGATTTCACCAGTGTCACCAGAGAAGAGCGCAAGGAATCCTTGTGATCTAGAATTGATGACATCGATATCATGTAACGAGACAGTATGAACAACATCCGATTTCTTTTGAAGTTCCCCTTCTGGGCATTGAATAAATTTCACGTCTGGTCCCATGGCATCGTAATCACGGGCTCTAGTGTATGAACGTCCCAATCTTGTGATTTTACCACTGGCTTTGTCTATAGAAATAATATCCCCAGCAATAACTTTTTCCTTTGATAAACTATCGATCATCTTGTTACCCAATTCGTAAATGGTTTCCATATCGGTGGTCTTAATTGTCAACTTCCCTTGCTTGTGACCACCAGTTAATGAACGGTCAATTTGGATTTCCACAACCTCCCCTTCAATAATCTCTGTTTCTTCCTTGATTCTTACCCCAATAGATTTACGGAACGCTTGAATCAATGCCTCGGTTTTACTAAGTTCTAAAGAGTAAATTTCTGATGCCGAAAGCACGGTGAATGGCACATCTTTACCCAAGCTGTTAGAAAGACCCATGGCAAGGGCGGTTTTACCAGTGGATGGCGGACCAGCAATCAAAACAGCACGACCAGCAATACTACCTTGTTGAACCATCTTAAGAATGATACCTGCCGCCTTACGGGCGTTCAATTGCCCAACCATCCCTTGGGCCACTTCACGGGGTTGTAGGTTCTCATCAAGCCCAAGCCCCGAGATATGGGAATGTGCAGCAATGAGACTGAGAGCAGGCGCATCAGATTCCTTAACCGTGGAGATAGACATTTCTGATGATTGCAATATTATAATATTATACGGTTGGAGTAAGATTTCCAATGCTGAAGGTGATGGGCCTTTGTTATTTTTTTTTCTCTTATTTTTTTTTTTTTTTCCTTCTTTGCTTACCCGACTGTGCAGTGTGTGCCAAACCCCCTGCTGTTTATCCAAAACGTTCAAAGACGTCAAAAGCATTAGAATGACAGAAGGCGTGAGTAGTAGTGATAGTAAATATACTAACAGAATACAGCAATGGAACTACTCGCAGCCTGTTTTCCTTGTCTCCCTGTTCCTCGCGCTCCAGTCCTTAGGATCAATGGGGGATCATTCAGGATCATCAAACTTCTTGGGGAAGGAGGGTTCTCATATGTGTATTTAGTGGAGCTGAGTGATGGCAATCGCTACGCCCTTAAGAAGATCAGATGTGCTTATGGTGCCGAAAGTATTAAGAACGCAATGAATGAGGTGGCTGCGTACAAGGAATTCAACAGCCCGTACATTATCAAGAGCGTCGATACCAGCATCGTGGAAGAGAAAGACGGGCTGAAGTCTATCTATATTCTTTTACCGTACTACGAACACGGGACACTTCAGGACCTATTAACCGATAATATCATTAAAGGCAACCATATTAATGAAAATGAAGCCATACGATTATTCATTGGTATTTGTCGTGGGTTACAGGTGATGCATCGTCATAAACTTAGCTACGCGCAAAATAGTTCCACCACTAACGATATCGACATGGAGATCCAGCGGATGACAAGAGACTCTCATGATATCACTCCTAGCAACAAGAAAAAAGGCCTTGATGATATCAACAGGGCGTTGGAATCTCGAGAATCCGATGTTTTACTTCTTGATAGTGATGAGGAAGACGACGATCAAGAAATCGACACCGATGCCGATACCCTTATGGGGCTGACCACCGCCCAGAATGTGGCCCACGCGTTAAACGAAGGGGGCTCTTTAACGGGTAACGATAATTTGTTCCTTGAAACCACAGAAATGGGAGAAACGGTGCCGTACGCCCACCGAGACCTCAAACCCGCCAATGTCATGTTATCTGTTGATGGGATCCCTGTGCTCTGTGATTTGGGATCTACTGCAAAAGCCCATATCCATATTAAGAACCGTCAACAGGCTTTGTCTCTTCAAGATCTTGCTGCTGAACATTGTACCTTGCCATATCGTGCCCCAGAACTCTTGGATGTCAGTACCGGGGCATTCATTGATGAAAGAATCGATATTTGGTCTTTAGGTTGTACTTTATACGCTTTGCTTTATGGATCTTCGCCTTTCGAAAGAGCTGAAGCAGAAAGTGGAGCCAGCGTGAGTTTGGCAATCAGTTCTGGTAAATATGAGTTCCCTCGTGATGATGTGTACTCCGATAATATTAAAGATCTTATCAAATTCTGTTTGGTTCTTGATCCCCTGAAAAGACCAACAATAGAACAAGTTCTCTCCAAAGCTTTGACTTTGAGCCAATAGTTTAATTTTGAATAGTTTTTTCTTTTTCTTGTTCTTTTTCATATACATAAATATTATTATAATGAATTTTTCCCGCTATTTTCTTTTTTTCGTTTCGTTTCGCTCCCTTCTTCTTGGTCCTTCTTTCCCTAGACAATTCGTTATAAATACAAACGCACTGAATACGTGAATCAATAAAATATGTAACAAGCAGGAAATATACAATAAATTAAGGCTATACATCGAAATCAAGAACACTAATATATGAAAAAAATAAATACAAAAAAAAAAGAAATGAAAAGAATAAAAAAAAAACCAAAAAAAAGGAACAAATAAATGATTATAACAATAAGCGGTTTCGTTTATACCTTTTAATAATAAGCCCCTTTACAACCCAAGAAAAAAAAATTATCATCACATTTTGGCACATTCTAAAACAACAAAAATTTAACATCATCCTTCTTTTCATCATCATTAACTTTTAATTCATCCTTCTGAACCTCTGCACCTTTGCCCTCCATAACAACTTGTTGAACGTGCTCCTTTTGTTTAGCACGATCTCTCATTCTTTCTTCAATCGTTCCACGCACAACCATACGGTACACTGTGACTTGTTTGGTTTGTCCAAGACGATGGGCACGGTCCATGGCTTGCGAATCAATAGTTGGGTTCCAATCCGAATCATAGAAAATTACAGTATCAGCAGCAGTTAAGTTGATACCCAATCCACCAGCTCTAGTGGAAAGTAAAAAAATAAAAAGCTCGGGCTTAGTTTGCCAGTCATGCACCAAATCACGACGGTCATCAAGTTTCGATGACCCATCAAGACGAATAAACTGGTATTGACGGAAAGTGAGGTACTCCTCCATGAGATCCATCATTTTTGTCATTTGGAAATAAATAAGAACACGATGGTCATTTTTCTGCAAGTCAACCAACATCTCGTCCAACTTGGACAATTTACCAGAATCGGTGATGAAACGATTCATTGACGGAATGCGAATAGTGGAATAACCAATCTTATTATTCATTGGTTGTGGCATCATATTGGTTTGTGGATACTCGGAAATTGGCACCCTTTTCTCAAATAATTCATATTCCTCATTGAGAGACATTGGTAAAAGAGATTTTTTGATCATTGGATTGAATAAAGTATGTTTCTTTTCAATAACAAATGAGCTACTCGAGCACAGTATTTCAATCGATGGAGCGGTGGCCTTTGGCTCAGCAGCTGAGTCCATGACCTGGAAATAATTTTCTTCATAGTATTGATCTTTGACATTCATCAATTTACTTAAAATACTGTCATTGTCATGACCTTTAACGACATGCAATTTTCCAGATTCTGTCTTGCAAGAGTCATTATATGAATGTAAAGAAATAGCCTTTTCCAAAGTGCCCTTTCTCAATTCTTTTGAATTTGGCAAATCAATCATTGAGGTCACATTGCCCATGTCGTGATGTAAATAATCTTCATTCCAAATATTCAATAAATGATTCACAACCTTATTGCGCATCCCTACTGAGTTTTCTTCATTAGGTCTAATCAATTCATTGTAAATTAAGGTAGGCAATGTTGCGCTAATGACATTTCGGTTGGAATAGCGCACATCCAAAATAGATTCATTACTTTCCTTCAGGAATGACACGGTATCGGCGAATGACCCAAAATTGAAACTAGATTTAGTATCAGCTCTTTCAAATAAATCTGGGTGATTACAAACTTTTCTAAATTGCATCACAAGATTGGACAAACTATCATCACCACTATTGTTGCCACCCTTTTTAGTACTCTCAAGAATGTCAATGAGAGATATTTGCGACTTCAAAATCTGGTACAATCTTTGTTGACGGTTTGTCAAATCACAGAAAACATCGATTTCCACTTTATCACCCAATTCCTTTTGGACATTTTTCTTGATACGACGCAACATGAATGGTTTTAAAATCATATGAAGTCTTCGAAGCTGAGCCTCATTCAATTTGGAATTATTAGTGGCATGATTTTCAATATCTTTTGAAAACCATTCACTGAATTCGTCATGACTATCGAACAACGTTGGCATAATAAAATGTAAAAGCGCCCACAATTCTTGCATGGAATTTTGGATCGGAGTACCAGTTAATAACAATCTATTTCTGCACTGCAATCCAAGTAAGATTTTCCATCTAGATGACTGAGATGACTTAATAGCTTGAGCTTCGTCAAGGATCATATATTGCCATTTGATTTTTTGGAAGTATTGAGCATCTGCGACAATCAATTGGTAAGAAGTGACCAAGACATGGAATGGAGAATCACGATTGTAGATGACATTTTTCCTATCCCAAAATTTACGCAACACTTTACGATCTTTAGCATTCCCCCAATATGGTAAGACTTTAAAGTCAGGAACAAATTTTGTGAGTTCTTGTTGCCAATTATGAAGCGTGGATGCTGGAGTGACAACTAAGAATGGGCCCCAAATGTTGTGAGTTTCTGCGAGATACGCAAGGGTGGATATACTTTGAACAGTCTTACCAAGACCCATCTCATCTGCCAAGATACCATTAATACCTTTATCATACAAATTAGCTAACCAATTCAAGCCCTTGAGCTGGTATTCTTTCAAAGTACAAGTTAATAATTTTGGTTGATCAATCTGGATGTCACCAAGGGATGTTGGGTTTTGGAAGTTCATTTCGTTTTCATCATCTTGGTTATTGAATTCATCAGCCTTGGATTTGGCGGCCATAAGAGCGGACTGAGCGTTTTCTGCAGCCTTTCTTTTAAGGGTTTCATCATCTTCATTTTCAAAATCAATATTGGCAATATCATTTTTTGTAGCATTAACTGGCTCTTCAACATCGGCATGTTTGGATCCAGTTTTGAAGTGGTCTTGCAAATTGGAATCTCTATCTGCCCCTTCGATTTCATCAGTTTTGATTTTTTTACCAATAAAATGGGAATACAATTCGGTTTGAGTTAACAAGAAATTCAACTTTCTAGATTGACGTTGAGCTTCTCTTTCTTCTTCTTGCTTTTTGGCCAAATCAATCGCCTCTTTTTCCGCCTTCTTTCTCATATCACGCTCTTCTCTTTCATTCTTTTTCCAGAAGTTGAACATTTCTCTCATAGATCTTCTTGCTTTAGTTTGCAAATCTTTCAAGTTCTTGTTAGTTCTGACTTTCCATTTAGAGGATTCTCTGGCGGCTAATAATGCTGTCTTTCTCAAGTTGATGATCTTGGCTTGTTGAGATTGAACCATCATCCTATGAGTTCTTGGACCGTCTTTTCTCGCCATATCCTTCCAGATATTCAAATACACATTATCATATTGTCTTTTAATGGCCCGTATTTCCTTTTGAGAAAGTTTTGGAGCAGCTGGCGCGGTAACAGCAGGCTTGGTATTAGATTCATCATCAGTACCATTTGAAGGTGATGAGGTTGTTGGGGCTTTTAATTTAAGTTTTATCTTTGGAGTTGGTTGATCAGAATTCTGTTCATTATTTTGTTTAGAAGCAATTTTCCTCTTGGCCCTTTTGCGTTTAACCTTGGTTTCGCCGTCATCAAGTTCGGCATCCGAAAATTCTTCCAACTTTGCGGCACCATTTTTGGCTGTTTTGCTGGCGCCATTCTCACCAGTAGGCATGGCTTCAACTTTTGTAGCAGCAGCACGTCTTCTTCTAGTCTTTTTAACAAGTGGTTGTTGGACGGACTCCAAGTTGTCAGCGCCCAGACTCTTGTTATTAGAGACGAACTCATCAAGGACAATTGATTCATCAAGATGATCGGAAGATGCTCTTCTTTTTCTAGACTGGGCTGGTTGCTGTCCAACACCTGCTTCATCTTTCTTTGTTCTTTTGCCACCACGCTTCTTTGGAACGGTAGTGGCAGCACCATTCGCAGCATCTAGGAGCGGTGTTTTATTAGCATCACCATCATCGCAGAGATCTAGCTTGTTCATTACTTGTTGTTTGAGGACCGGCCTGAATGACTTTGCTTGTTTAGCGAATCTCGCCAAATTTTCATTAATTTCTGCTTGATATATAGAGGCATTTGATGCTTGAAGGGCAATGAGATCAAGGCTAGCAACGCTTGATAGTCTGGTGGTCAAGTGTTGTAGGGCCGTAGATTTTTCGGCGGCGTAGACATCGTCATTAGCTCTGGCTAACTCCATTTGGAGAAGAGCCTTATCTTGAAAAGGCAGATCCATTAATACTGAGTCAGTTGCTGGGTCTTCTGGTCTTGCCATTACAATTGGCTGGTATTTTTTTTGTCTGTGCGTTGGATTTTTTTTTTTTTTTTGCAAAAATGCTGGTTGGTTGTTATATTGTTGTTGTTTTGTTAGATGGTGGTGATTTTATATATGGTGACAATAGGCGATTGTAGTATTTTGGTTGCCAATTGTAGAAGAAGGTGTTTGTAGGAAAGGGGATGATGGGTGGCGTCAGACAACAAACAACGTAAAGAAGGACAGGAAAACCCCAGCAAAAGTTGTTGCGGGAGGAGAGTGGGTGGTGTGCCTTGTGTTGCTTGGTTTGGCCAGAGTTTTTCATTCGTTGACTTTTTATGGTGGTGAAAAATTGCATCGATCGCGCATTGTTTTTTTTTTTTCTCTTCTTTTGTTATTTTGTATCATTATTACGACTATCATTACAGTTTTTTATTATTAATACACTTTTTATTATTAGTACTATACATCATCAAAACCCAGCCTTCTTCTTCTTTCCCTTTTTGGCCTTTGGACCTTGGAACTTCCTGATCTGCTTCTTCTGCTGGTTGCGCTTCACCCCTTTATTCTCCTTTCTAATTTGAAGATTCTCTTCACGAATACGGAGTCTATCTTGAACATTCTTCTTCACGGTATTTTTACGCTCATACCACTGGTTCTCACTTTTCCGCTTCAATCTTTCTTTGTTCTTCAAAGCTTTCTTCAACATCTTTTCATCGTCCTTGACCTTCACACCCTCAGCCTTTTGGAGCATCCTATTCCATTTGTCCTTTTCTTCAGCTTCTTTACGGGAAGTTTCGTCCATTCTGGCATACTTGTCCTTCTTTATTTGAACTTTCTTAAGATGGGCTTTGATGTCTCTATTAGCTGGACCTTTCTTTTTTTTCATTTTTCGAAGCTTTGTAAGATCCGATGTAGTTCTATCACCATCATTGAAGATAATGTTTTGAAATAACACCCCGTTTTCTTCACTCGCTTTTGCTTCTTCATTATCACTATCCACATCACTATCAATCTGGCCCATTGTTTCATCCTCATCCTCCTCATCCTCCTCTTCCTCCTCGTCATCCTCTCTTTTACGTTTCAACAAGTCTCTTTGTTCTTGCTTCTTGCGACGTTCCTCTAAAATCTGCTCTCTGGATTTTGGGGCGCCAGGAGCTTTACTACCAGGAGCCTTTCTTTTCGCCTTCATGGTCTCGATCTTCTGTTGTAATTTGGCTTTCAATTTACTCATATTCTCCTCTTTTTTTTTTTTTTCTTCGGGACTCAATTCCTTCTTACCATTGTTCTTTTTCACCGCTTCATGTTGTTCTTGTTCCTTTGGGGACCCCAATTCAATTTCGTTACCCTCGTCATCGTAAATGATTGTTACATCATCATCATCAGATTTGATCAATTGATCATCATCATCTTCTTCTTCATCTTCATTGTCATCATTCAATGGTTTCAACGCCATTAAACCTGACATAGCAACACTCGGCAACTGGACCGGTTTGGCATCTGCGGCTTTCTTTTTTAAAACGTCGGCAGCGGTCAAACTCTTGTCGTTCTGACTTTCTGGATCAAGCTTCAATTTCTTGTTCTTGCGTAGCTGCTCTTTCGTTTGTTTTTTTTGTCTCCATTGTTCCTGGGTGTCGTCATCGTAGTAATACTTCGATGGAATCAATGAAAGAAGTCCATCGAATGCTGAAGAGTTCTTCTTAAGACGTTCCTTTATTTAAGGGTTAGTAAAGATCCTATAAAATTCAAGAGAACTTCTTCCACTACCAAGAATAGAATAGTCGCATCTATTGATAGTTCTTTAACAAATATACAATTATCAGAAGAAAAGAAAACATACTTCTAGCGTCTCACTCATATCTTTATCAATATTAACTTAGTTTTCTGTGATACTGTGTAAAGATAATAGTTTTCTATCTGGGAGGGAAATTTTTCAGAAGAAAAAAAAAAAAAAAAAAAATTTTAACTGTATCGCAATGTCCTGCAGCCATCACATGGAGGGATGAGCATCGCAGATAGCTAGGCTAGCCTATCCACAAAATATCTCTTTTTTTGAGTATATTATCTGGTGTTGTTGTTCTTTAATGGTAAGCAATTATGGTATCGTCAGTATTATCAAGTATGCACATCAAAGGATGGAAGTCCTTTCCTGGGGGAAGGGGGGTTATCTGGGGCTCTGTTGTTTGTTATGGTAAATGCATTTATTATTTAATATGGCTGTGGAGGAAATTTGATAATCTTAAGTGGGTTCGGAATCTTCCTAGCTCTTCACCATTATATTTATTATATATATCACTCCATCATTAATCGTGCACTAGTGGTTTTTAGCTGTTTGCCGAATCTTCCCCGAGTCATGTGAGTAATGAGGGTAAGCCTTCAATGATCATGCCGCAACTGAATTCCTTAACCATTGCACAAATATACTGAATCATTACATTATAATAGATTATACATTTGCATATCCTGGATACCAATTTAACAGTTTGAATAGTTACTATTGACCAGTCCAAAAAAGAATATTCTTATTCAACAAAACATTTTACAATTACGAAAAAAACAAAGCACGTCAAACATGTCAAACGGTTTCTTCAATGACCCATTTTTCCATGACCCTTTCTTCACTAATGATCCATTCTTTTCACAAATGGGCACCCGTGATAGAAGAAGAATAGATCCAAATCAGAACCATTTCCCTGGTCAAAACCAAATGATTGGACCCACTAATAATCATGGCATGATGATGCTGATGATGCCATCGCCAATGGACCTTCACCAGCAAATGATGTCAACGATGATGGACCACAGTAATGGCATGATTAGTGGATTCCAAAACAATAGTTATTTCTTTGGCGGTAACTCTCCTGGAACAACTAGACCTAGTACCGGACAAATCAAGACCCAAGTGGCCAGGGATCATTATACCCTCACATTGGAAATTTACAACTTGGATAAATCTTCCCTTGATCTTCATGTAGACCCATACTCTAAACAAGTTATGGTTTCGGGATCCGTTAGAAACGAGGTCAATCAGAATGGCTTCCATAGTGTCAGTACCGAACTGTTCCAGCAATCTGTTGGATTGCCGGTGACCGAGCCTAACGAGTTAATTGATGATCAAAACGTTGTGGTGCAGTATGAGAATAATGTATTGACTATTGAAATTCCAAAAGTATCAATGAAGCTGTTACCAGGGAATGATGAACCAGGGAATGATGAACAGTATGATGTTGGTCGCATTGAGGAAATTCCATGAGAAAAACAAAGGACACTCTAAACGATTTTATGAATTTTGAAGGTGTTTTTTTTTTTTTCTTTTGGGGGCACCTTCATCTCTGCTATTCAATGGGGGAAAACAAAGCATAGTATAGGGCATGCTTTTTCGCTGTTTTTTTTTTGTAGTTTTCAAGGTAAATGGTAAAAGATTTGACTGTTTTAATTATCTACGTGGTTTAAAATATATTGGTAGAATTTCGTTGTTTCAAGTATGTAGTCGGTCATGGTATATCACTAATAGATGCTCACTCAATGAAGATCAATTTAGTCAAATATTACACTAGGCAAAACATATAGGGTGAGCATTATCCATATAAAAACAAAAAAATACCACCATAAAAAGCTGTAAAAGAATGTTATTATTACCACTATTCTTCCTCACTAAAGTCATCTTCATCCTCATCGTCGCCTCCAACACCGACCAAATCTCTCAAACTCATAGGTCCCTTAGTGTTTTTACTAACATCCCCAGAATCGGTGGTTATTGATGACTTGATATCTGTATGCTGACCACCCATAGGATTTTCATCGATTTCAAACTCTGAGAATTCCGCATCTTCGTCACCATCATCCCCATTACCATTAAGGTGCCTGTCAGAATCAATATTTATGTCATCTAGCTCATCATCATCACCAAACACCTGTTCTAGTTCATCCTCCAACTCGTCTTCAAATGATGCATCGGCACCCCCATCTTCAGTAGTAGCAATAACCTCAGGTAGTTTCTTCGATGCCACCGAGCTCCTAGCAACGTGAACTGGCTCTGGTTCCGGTTCCGGCTCAGGATCGGGCTCTTCAACATTGGCATAGGATAAATCATCATTAAACTGGTCAAAGTTATCGAAATTAAGTTCATCGTCATCATCGACATTAGTTGGTATCACGGCGACCATCGGTTCCTTCTTTGTTTTTGTTTTCTGTTTTTCAAAATTCAAATTATCCCACTTGTTTCCCGCTCTTCCTCCTCTTGTCTTTGTTGATGAGCTTTGTATCGATACAGGCAATGGTTCTGATGGGGCTTTTAGTTTCTTGGTGGCCCGTTTCTCTTTCTTTGGTGGTACCGTTTCATTCTTGGTGCCAGTATAGAGCTCACGTAAATCGTTGAGTTCTTGGACATTCTTCTTGGTACTTCTTGGTTTGTTGGCCCGTACTATAGACTCCAAAGGACACAATTCCAATGCATTATCGTTATTCAATACCAAAATATATTCGGATTCTTTTGCCCTCAAGGCCGTGGCCTCCAGAATTAATTCTTTGTTATTAGTAGTAGATGACGTAGCAAGCATGTACGACCCACTCCCACCGCCAGCCACTGCAGTTCCTGGTACTCCCAGCGGTCCTGCCGCGTTGGAATCAACTGGAATATCTGACTGACGAGGATATAGTTCGAACTTAGCGTTGGCAAGTAATTCTGCAGGATACTTAGAGAACTTTAGCTGGAAAAGATTGTGGTGGGTGCTTGGAGATGGAGTGTTTGTGCTGGCCGATGGGAATTTCGAGAGGATTTGCGGAGATATTTTAATATCATATTCGCCATCTGGTAGAAAAGCCATGGTTATGGTAGTTGTTGTTGTTTATGATCTGTTCAAGGCGACGGTGATTGGGAGGAAATTTGAAAGAAGGGGAATTTTTAGTCTTCTTTATTAAGATATCTAATGAGTGCGTTTAGGAGTAAAAAGTCACGAGGAGGCCGATAGTATTCTGTCAACTTGATAAATAAAGGATATTTCCATAATTCTAGTAAATTTTGGAGGCGTATGAGTGAGAATAATAGATATCATCTTAATTAAGGGAACTTCTTTATATTTATACTAATTGGTTGCGCGTTTGCTCTCTAACCATAATCGCACTATTAAAATAATGGGGCCATATCAATGGGTTTTTACGCTATCGCGCATATCCCCCACCAACACCCCCAACAGATGAAAACAGAGGACAGGAGACTGGTTGAGGGATACTTGGATGATATACTAACAACTTCATACTATGTTACTGTCGCATGGAAAAAATAACGTCACAAAGGGAAAAAAAGAAAAAGAAAAAACAGCACCACACAGTAGTAGCTATACCTGAAAAGGGTATACCATGTTGACAGGGTAATGCTCTCTTGCTTACAATAATTTTGTCAGCCCAACAGGCAAAGGCCATCGAGGTTGTGGATGGTTTTGCTGTCGCTGTTGACAGTCTACTGTACTGGGATATCTGATTACTTTTCCATGTCATATCAAACAACCGGATGGAACGATTGTCCGCCAATTTTGGATATTGGTTCGGCCAAGAAGCCCGGTAGCAGAAGAAAGAATGCTCTGGGGACCCAAATCAACAATTTGAACAATGGATTTGTGAACAACAAGGAAGAGAGTGCCACGATTCCTACAGCTTGTGAGAGTTCTGGTATGTCAATTTTAATAATATTTTGTTGTTTATTTTGATTAATTTTTTTTTTTTTCAATGGCTAATTGCATTAGCTTTGAGTTAAGTTTGTTTTCCTAACAAGATATGCAGATGAAATTCTTGCAAAATTCGATTCCCTTTTAGGTATTCCCAATAAACTCAACCGAAGAGAGTTTGCCCATTATTCCAAGAAACTCAAAGTCGGATTGTCTGCTGCTCTTGAGGCTCCACAAAATAAGGACCTTGTCTCAAAGGTCGTTAATGATATTTTGCAATTAAAAAACATTGATGAAGCCAAATCTTTGATAGTTAACTTTATGTTGGTGTATCCGGGGGTTCTGGGGTGGGCATTACCTCTCCGGAAAGTTGTGGAAAATATTGATGTAATGATGATGCCATAATACTTTTTGCAATTTTCTTTAATGGCTACAAGTTATATATGGAAGGAGTGAAATAGAATCTGCTAAACAAGATGAAACTTACCTGCCAATAAATGGAACAGGAAAACTTTATTATTATTTTGCTTGTTGTCTTGGTTGATAATGGCTCATATTACATGAGCATGAGCATGAGAATAAATGGCAATAAATGGCAATAAACTTATAATATACCAACAATTTCTTTTGGCTCAATAATTCTCATAGCTATTTAAAGTGGCATAAAGCATTCAATGAAATTATCAAAAACAAGTACATCATTTTTTTGAACAATAGGATTAAAAGTACAACAGCAAGCTAATAAATAGTTCACAATTTTTGAGTAATATTCAATCACTTTTCTAAGGATTCATTTTCAACTACTACTGCAGGAAATCTAATAGAGAATATCTAGATTTTCAAAAAGCCGATAAGAACCTAGGATATACTGAATATGAATAACAATTGATACTTAAGATAAATCAATGTTGATAAATTGGGTAAGAGATGCCAATAATATACAACAATAATGCCTGGTGTCTCACAGGGTAAAACAATAATAAAGAGAGACAGTGTGGGACCCCCAGAATCTTCAGAATTCCTTACACGTGACTGAACTTTCAAATAAAACTAAACAAATCACCATCATCACCATCAATCCCGTAGATACCACCACGAGTGTACCCATATTGTATCCATATTGTATCACCAAATAATGTCCTCCGAAGAGCTTTTTGCCATTCGCAACCAATTCTACTCCAGTCAGTACTCTGAGGTTATCAGCAATCACGATATTGATAATGTCACCACTAACGAAATCAAACAATACATTCTTCGTTCGTACCTTGCCCTTGGACAATACTCCAAGGTCATTGAGCTTGCTAATAACGAACCTGAACTTGCCGGCTTAGTATACTACTCGAAATATTTGTCTGGTGATCAGTCAATCGCTGATGAATTTGTCAGTTATGCGAAATCCAATAAACCTTCATTATTAACCCAGATTCTCGCCGCCATTGTACTTGTCAAGCAATACCAACGCTACGATGACGCTATCGAGCTCTTGACTTCGGATATCAATATGGAAAATCACGATGAGTTGAACTTGGAAGTTTTCTCAGTGATTGTCCAAATTTATTTATTGCAAGACGCATTGCCAAAAGCCAAAAACTTTTTGAAAAAGTTCAGTCATTTGAACATCAATGATTCGGTAGTTTATAACTACAGTGATGCCTTGGTAAGTTTGGTTCAAGGTGGATCTACTGCCACCCAACACGCATTCTACTTCTTCGAGGAAATTTCTCATTCTCTGAGATCATTAAAAAACTTGACGTTCATGATGGTGGTGCATTTGCTTTTGAACCACGTTCCAGAATCTTCGGAGATCATGGAACAGATTGATGAATTGATCGCCAATGATGATTCATTGAAGGCTGACGAACACTACTTGACATATTTAATCAACAAGGCTAAAGTTTTGATCATCAATAACCAGGGCAGCGAGGCTTTGCAATTGATCAATAATGAAATCTTGAGTACCGCAGACCAGAGTCATCCATACGTCGTGGACTATAATGACAAAATCGCATTGTTTGATGGAGTGGTCGACAAATATGCCGCGCAGATATCTAACTAATGGTAATGATTAAGAACGTGCTGTTACCCATTGTCCCTTTTGTATAACTATGTATTTTCTAGTGGCTTTGTAAAGTCTTCATTGACTAAAAACCTTCACGCTTCAATGAAACCAATGGGTTATAATATACTGATGTTTAATTATTTATGATCCAGAAGTTGTTAAACACGACTCACAACAGGATATTGAGGTGCATTTTCTCTTTTAGAATAATACACATCTGATTCTAAAAACTACATATCTTTCTGATTACTCTACACAAGCACATATTGGAAGATCATTTTCAACACATGATACACCAACCAATAAGAATATTATCAATCACAGTAACTAAGTAATAAAACAACAAGCGTGTATTTTGAATCAACAAGAATTATGATTTCAATTATAATATGTACATTTTTAGATAACGATCCTGTTTTTCCAGAATATATACGTGAATATATTCAAACCATGGGAAAACAAAAATGAAAATGGTACCTTCTCCTTTACTAAGTAGCCTATAGTTGCACACTCACTTCAGATATTCTAATCACAGTCTTCTTATGCTTCACCAACGCTCTCTTATTCTTTCTATTTCTTTGCCATGTTGTCAACTTTTCAGCAGCCTTGTTCTTGGTCTTTTCAATGACAGTCCCTTCGATTTTGACCACTTTTTCCAAGACACCTTCGGCGTCATCAGTTGGTGGGTAGAAAACCACATCACGGCTACCAATGTTGACAATATCGTTGAACTTTATCACCGAGCCAATGTCCACGTTTTTCAAGTTGTGTGGTAAGATAACCTTATCACCAGCGGTTACCAAGTATGGCTTGTTGAATATTTTAATAGTGGCGTACAAGTTTGATTGAGGAACTGATTTGAAAGCACTGAGATCATAAGACTTGTTATTGATGGTGATATTTGAGTTTCGAAGAATTCTGGAGCTATGCAAAAAGCGCACCCCCAAATTGGCGCTGCTGAATATCTGCTGTGATGATGGTTTCAAGAAGTTCATTCTTGTAATATTGTTTCGATATATTCTGTAGTATATTTGGAATGTGGTTACAGTATTATGTGCACCATTTCTGTCTTCTTTCACTTTTGGAAAATTTGAGAAATTTCGCAATGCACCGGGTAACATTGTTTTCTTCCTCTTCATTCTCTCTTTCTTCCTTTCTACAAGTTGAGGCATCGTGATGCGGGTAACAAATAAATCCATAAACCATGAGAAGAAGATAAACCGTATGCGTTTCCCTCAGATGTATTTGATTGAATACGGTAGATAAAAAGTTTATGTTTCGCAAATAAACCCTTTATTTTCCAGAGTTATAGACTGTGTGTGATTGTGATTTATTAAAATTAAATTTTCAAAAATTTGTACACTCGGGTAACAAACTTCACTAATGCTTATCCATTAAATAGCTTGATGAGATGCTGAATTCATAAGACACCAATAGATATCCCTCAGAAATATTATATGGAAATATCATAAGCGAATCATGTGTTTTTCTTTGTAGCTTCTCTAGACGAGAGTTTTTACAACTAAGTTAACTTCTTATGTGCTGAAGGTCGAGAGTTGTGTAATTTCAGAAGAAGTCGCTGGTTTGATTGATCAGAATGTCTTTGAATACTACGAAAATAGGAAACACTTCTTTTCACAGCTATCTCAAAGTCTCTCTTGGAGTCTTTCTTTAAGCCTCGCTAGCAACAGAAAACTGATTTTCCGTACCAGATAGTCTTTTTCACCATCACCGCGGCGGTCGCGGGGATGATCCATGACAACATCCGTACACCAGACACACCTCCATCATTTGTCACCTTAAATTAAGAAAAACAACAGCAATAGTGATGGCGTCCGTCAACATCTCTCAATAACCCCTTGGATAAAAATACCAATCACAAAAGACTTTACTTATATTTTTATAGATAATATTATCCGCTATCCTTAAAAATCATAACTGCTCATCCATAAATACTGCAAATTGCGTCTGTGCTGCTAGCTCTATCTCTCTCTCTCGGATCTTCTACCCCTCCAGCGAACTTCACATTTAAACAGCACCATGTCATTGCCTTCAGAATATATCGAGGAATTGAACACCCTAAATAAGAAAATCTCTCAGGATCAACCAAAGGATGTCCTTGAATATTGTGCTGCCTACTTCTCTAACCGTCTTGCTCAAAAGCGTGGTCATTCATTAATGGCAGGCAATTCATCATCTAAACAAGATGCGGAAGCTTTCTCATTTCAAAAAGTCTCCTTCGCCTCAAACGACTCACAAGACCCTCATGCCAGTTATGTTACCGATGACGACCCAGTTTCTACAGTTTCACATCCATTTAACCATGATCATCAAACAATATTCAAGAACAGCTTTGGGTTATCATCCTGCACCACCGATACTGCCGCTGATGCTCATCACAACTTGCCTCCACCAAATTTCATGCCTCTTAGAAGATCATCCGTTTCTGCAGAAGCTCTTAACCCAAAATCCTTTGAAAATGATGATTGGAAGCCTCCATACCATGAGTTGACTGCGGAACAATTATCTCGTCTTAACAAGTCAATTGTTAAAAACTTCTTGTTCAGCAACTTGGAAGATGATGCCATGAACACTGTCTTGCATGCTCTTCAAGAACAATCATTCGCAAGGGGCTCTACTGTCATTCAACAGGGTGACGAAGGGGAATTCTTTTATCTTATTGAAAAGGGTGAAGTTGATTTCTTTGTTGACGGTAACCATGTTGCTAGTGGTGGTCCTGGCTCTTCATTTGGGGAATTGGCACTTATGTATCATGCTCCTCGTGCGGCCACTGTGAAGGCAAAGACAGCCTTAATTGTTTGGGCGCTTGATAGATTGACATTCCGTCGTATTCTTCTTGAAGTCACCGCAAGAAAAAGATTGATGTACGAAGAGTTTCTTAAAGATGTCACTATCTTGGCTGGTCTTTCATCTTACCAACGCTCTAAATTGGCTGATGCCTTGCACACTGAAGTTTATAAGACAGGTGATGTGATCATCAAACAAGGGGATGTTGGAGAGAATTTCTATCTTATTGAACAGGGTGAGGCTGAAATCTTGAAGGATTCCAAGGGTGTTATCGGCAGTATTTCCAAGGGCGATTATTTTGGAGAAATAGCTTTATTGAATGATTTGCCTCGTCAAGCTACGATAAAGGCCAAAACCCAGGTCAAAGTGGCTACTTTGGGAAAAAGTGGGTTCCAAAGATTGCTTGGACCTGTGGTAGAAGTTTTGAAGGCTCAGGATCCAAGAAAACAAGAACAGTAATACAATTTACTATCTAATGATCCACTGACAAAAATAATGAATACGGTTTTAGTGTGTTTTCTTTTTTTTTCTTTTTTTCTTTTTTTCTTTTTTTCTCTATTTTTTGTTCCATTTGTGTTTTATTATTCTATCATTATTAATGCTACTTGCTATCATCATCTTCAGTACTACTAGTACTTTTCATTCATTCATCATCATCATAATCATTGCTTCACCTTTGTGTATTTACTAATGGGAATGGCCTCTGTCCTATCTCTACCGCTTGTTACTTGGGAAACTTGGTGGGAATAAGATAGAAGAAAGAACCGTTCTTGTAAATAATTCAGGAGGAAGGAGTTGCAAACATCGGTTTCCTGAGAATTAAGCTTTTTGTTAATTTCAATTTTTCGTATATTCTATCTAATTCAAATCTGGTACTCTTTTTTATTTTTTATTTTTTTATTTTTATTATATTTGCTTTTTGTTGTGCGTGTTTGTTCATCAATTTTTTGTAATACGCTTGCTTTGAAATTCTATCGATTGTATATATTTTACAATATATTGCAATTCAATTGTTACAATTTCTTATTGAATGATGATAAAATTTATACATTAAAAAAAATAACCGTATGCTGAATAAAAATCGTTTCAAACGATTGAGTTCATTATAAAAAAAAAAAAAAAAACCAACTCTTTGATATATCGGGCCATGTCGTTGCAATATCATAGTTGCTATGAAAACAAACCAAATAGCATTATGAATTTATAAATCTCCTTCTCTAACCCATGAGATTTGAATATACACAAAGAACAAACATAATAACAACAAGATATGATTTAAATTTCAATAGTTTGTCATATTTTTTTTTTTTGTTTTTCAATATTAATATCGATTGGAAACTTAAACTGATGTCATTGTCATTAATAATTCTTCCTTTATAGTATATACAACCCCCACTTTCTTCTCAAACCCAAAAACTTTCAAATCAAATACTCTTAGAGCTTCTGCTTGGCCAATTCAGCTTCAACTTGATCCTTGAACTTGGCTTGGGCAAACTTTAATCCACAATAACCACAGGTGGAAGCTTTAGGTTGGTCCAAATTGATGAAGACCTTTGGGTGCCCTTGATGTCTGCCCTTATTACCATTACACACGGCAACATTTCCGTGCTCAATATATCTGACTGGTTGACGGTGGATCAATTCCATAGCAGAGTAAGCTCTAGGCTGGGATTCAAGGTCATGTTGGACAAATCTTACATCATTGACTAAGTCAGATCTTTCTCTTTGGGATGGAGACCATGGGGTAGCGAAATTTGGAGATTGTTTGGTGAATTCAGAAATATCAACTTCTTCGGACTTTTTGACGGTTTCCACTTTTGACGAGTAGAAGCGGGATCTTGCTAGGGATCTGATAGTATTTGATCTGGTGGTTAAACGGAACATTTTTGGTTGATATGGGTAAATAAGATAATCCTTGAACAATTATTACACCACTATCTATCTGTCTAAGTTTTCCTATTTTTTTTTTCTCTGTGTGGTTTTTTTTTTTGTAATGTTGTTTTTTTCATTGGCTGTTATCCAAACAGGGCACATAACAAGGGACAGCAGCGCTCCCCCAACATCGAGGACGATGACACAAAAACCCATAAACGACAAAAGGATCTCAAAAAAGATACAGTTGTGTTGCTGCTGGAGGAAGTAACAACATAAAATATGGGAAGCAGCTCCAGGAATTCAAGAGCTTTAAGTTTCAGACACGCAGCTTTCCATGTGGTGTTGATGTTATTGTTGTATCTTGTTGCTTTGGCACAGCATCCTTTCGATAAGGTGCTCAATCGATCAATCATTATTCCTCTTGCCTCAGGTTATACAGTATTTTGTGTATGTAACCCAAACTGTTGTAAATTCTAAAAGAGTATTACTAATTTTCATCTTCTTGGGACTCAGAGTTTGACCAGCTCGTTATTTATCGCTTACACGGGGGATATTGTGCCGACTCTTTATACAGTGAGTTTACAATATATGGCCATTGTTTTGGAATTTGTTGGTTTTATATTCAATATTATATCAACGGTGATTATATTCAATACTTATGGTCCACTATATTATGCTGCCAATTCACTGGGTAAACATCCCGGGCCTAAGTGTATGGTGGATATCAGGGCACAGGTGGAGATCACTTGCCCCATCATTATACTACTCGAAATAATAGCATTATTGGTTTTGATTGGATATGTCAAAGAAACTGAAATTTCATTGAACAAGACGAATCTTTCAAAAATGTCCCAAGTTTTAGCAGATTCTGGTTTGGATGAACATCGACAATACTCAGTTTGACAATAGCATTACTGTTTTTTAAAGGCCTTCAAAATTTGATATAGTGCATTTACTTTTGAAGGACTATGTCAATTTAAAAGCATCTTCCCATACTAGTATTATATTATTTAGTATTCTCTTGATTTTCTTTCTTTACCTCATAAAAATTATTTTTCAACCTCCTTTAGGCATTTTACGCAGGATTGTGCTTCCAATGGCAAATATAGTCGTACAAATAGTCAACATTTTCTCCATCCATTTTAATTACAATACTGAGCACATTAATGAAGAAATACAAAAATATGTATTCTAAGACCAATTTTGGCTTTTCATACAATCGAATATCCTACAAGAACCATAATAGTAGTTCCTGAACAAACGGTGCCTGAGAAATGTTGGAAATCCATAATTTTATAGTAATGGTTATTATTATTTGACCACACTTCTTTTCTTCTTAACTGGTTATCACAATGTTTCCCAAATTGCAAACACCAGATTTGATTCCTAGTTAAGTTTTAGGGGAATCAGATGATTGATGCTTTAGTCTTGAAAGAGGTTGAAATTATAGAGGTTTTTCTTGAAAAAAAAAAAAAAAAAAAAGATCCAAAGAAAAAGAATAAGAAACTTCTACTTCCTTTAAAATAGTTCTAGAAATATAAAAAGGAAATTATGTCATCATGATATCATCCCATGGTAATATTCAATATTCAAGTGGATTCTCATCTTTTTTCTTTTCTTTTTCTGATCTGAATCAAAACCTACGATACGATCTGGAACCCTAATTTATTGACATAGCAATTTTGAATTGCTGTTTTTTCCCCTTTTCAATTAAGTTTGACAATAATAAGATTAGTAATGAATTATTTCTAATAAAACCTTTGAGTTTAAGGGAATTTAAGACATTATTTTGAGAATGTGAGCTTTTCGTTGACAACTTATACTTCACGAAAAATAAAACCGGCTACGACGTTGTAGAAATCACAAGAATTGTTAATGATGAAACTGTGTATAATAATTCGAAATGAGAGAAAAAAAAAAGCTCTTTTAATAGTATACAAAATCCACCTCAAGAAGAGGTATCTATTTTCTCAAAATCTTGGACTTCCATAATATTTGCTGTTGTTTTGAAAAAAATTGAATGAATTTGCTAGATGTCTGGTGTAGCCATGCATGGCGTCCTGTAATCACGAGCTCTGGTGTGAAAACCCTCCCAAAAACAAACAGAAATCATCACCAAAAGACACAACTTTTAAATTCGAAGTAGCTTCATAGGTATTTTTATAACAATGGACAGCGCGGAGAAAGTGTATGCTACACAGAATAACAGCATCAGGGCGAAACTTGCTCAGCAGGCAAGCGCTATCGATGAAGCGGAATATGTCAAGAACGATGATCAGCTATCGACAAACATCAAAAGCCTTACACAATTGATTGAAAAACCACTAGATCAAACCCATGTGCTTGAAATTAGTGAATTGTTGATCCAGTCCGAAGAAACCAGAAGTTTGAATTTTCTAATGATAGATTGTGTGGCTGATGAAGTCACCGATAGTGAATATGACAACGCCATAGATCATGGGAAAAACAAGTGGGTAGAAGCAGGGTTAAGAATGTTATCGGTCTATAATAAATTGTCAACGTTAGAATGTGTGACTGATGAGATGAAATGGAATGTCTTTGTGAAAAGTGCCACATTTACCTTGATCAGTCCAATCTTAGAACTTAAAAAGACCAAAGTATTATATTTTCTAAACCAGATTTCCAAAAAATTTACAAATACAAAAGACCATATTCTCGTTAGGGTTTTAAGCAAAATCGGCGACCTCAAGATTATCGATTTCCAGCTTTATAGTGAATATTTAGCATTTATTGTTTCGGAAATCCATCAGCAACACCCTCCAGGACTATTAACATTTTTGAATATCTTGCCACAAAATATTATTCAAAGACACTTGTTTCAATCGATTTTTGAGTATAATGTATTTGCTGCATCGTCAGTATACTCAACGATTACCCTTAATAATTTGTTCAACCGTAATTTCGGATTCGATGAAGCCACAGTATCAACAACAAGAATCTTGGCATTACTTACAAATATGATAATATCTGGTCGTCTACATGCGAAGATTAATCTAAAAGATAACATTTTGTTCTTTGACCTCGAGGATTGGGATCACCACGAGCATGCAAATACTGTGATTATCAATTGGCAAAAATGGTATATGAATGAAGTTTTAGGGAAAGTGGGCCTGATTTCTGACGAAATATCTCAACTTTAGAGTAGATACTGGTATTTTTTTTCTCTCTCTTTGATAATATAATTTATATCCTTTTGTAACAGCTTCTATTTCTTTTGATCAGTTATCATTTATACTCGTGGGGGTTTTTTGTTTCATTTAATTATCTAACGATTTATTTATTTTTCTATGTAGCTTCATAATTGGGCAATTGTTATTATTTCTTCTTCATTTTTCTTTCTTAACATATGGCTTCTATGATCAGATCGATGTTTATATATATATATAGCATTCCTTTCCTATAGGAAAGGAATGCCCAGTATCGTTGGAAGCCCCGTCCGGATTTGACATCACACAAAAATGAAATGGGAAAAAAAAATTTCTACCCGATGAGAAGGGAAATTTTCAGACACTATATTAACGATAAGGAAACTCTTGAAAAGTCTGGAAAGAATCAGTATCATAAGGATTAGTGAAACTGCGGTTAATAGGAAAAAATAATAATAATAACAAAATTAAATAAAGAAGACAGACCTTACAAAAATATAGAAGCGACAAAATGGCGAGTGCTGAAGTGCGAGATTCTCAGGATAAACTTACCGGAAAAACTTTCAGTTTGAACTTAGAAGAAGTCAACAATAATCCTGATGAATTAATTGATATGCGAGGCCAAGGAAGATATTTTGGTAATGCTGACGAGACCATCGATATGGTGTGCCGTAACTGCCATAAAACTGGGCATAAAGCTGCGCATTGTAAAACGGTGATTTGTCTTGCCTGTGGCGCAATTGATGATCATTATTCTGATCAGTGTCCGAGATCCATCACCTGTACGAATTGTGGAGAGAAAGGTCATTATAAGAATGCTTGTACTAAGAGATCTCAAAGAATTTTTTGCACTTTGTGCGAATCCAACAAGCATAATAGGGATAGATGCCCAAGTATATGGAGAAGTTATATTACATTTGGTGATAAGAACGGGAAGCTTTTGTATCCTTTCAGATCGGTGTTTTGTTATAATTGTGCCGCAAAGGGTCATTTCGGGGACGATTGTCCTGGGCCAAGGTCCTCTAGAATTCCAAACTTTGATGGCAGTTCATTTTCCGGGGATAATTTGCCAAGAGATTTAAGAGATCAATATTTCCATTTGCTTAGGAAAAGAAGCTACGAAGACGATGAGAGTGAGGGAAGTAAAAGTAGTAGCAGTAGTAGCTGGGGAGGAAACTTCTTCCATTACGACTACGATAAGGATAATCAGCAACAAGGACTAAGTAAAAATCATCCAAAATTCGAAAAAACCAAAAAAGGTAAAAAAGAGAAGAAGAAGCAGCAGAAACTAGAAAAGAAGAGTAAAAAGGAAAAAGAACTAGAGAATCAAAGAAAAAGAAGAAAAATTGATCATAGTAACTCACAATTATATGATAATGCGCCTAGTTACAATAAAAAGGGCAATGTTATTATCAAGCCAAAGAGATCAGGAAAAATTTCTGCCCCAACTGCTCCATTAAAAAACCTGGCCAGCTACCAAAGGCCTGTGCCAACATTCAATTCGCGCGGGAATATTTATAATCAAGGGTATAATAATAGAAACGATTTTAAACCACAGGGAAGATCGGGATATTTGCCACCAAAGAGACTGAACGATTACGATCAACAGAGGTATTCTGGAGGCAGAACATCATTTAATATTCAACCTTCGAGATCAGGAACATTGGGAAAGGACAACAATAAGAGTAATAACAATAATAGAAAAAGAACAGGAGGAAACAATAACAGAAAGAATTATTATAGAGGGAACATAAATTACTGATTTATATATATATTACTGTATTATACCAAACTCTTTCTTTTCTATTTTTATAATTTCTTTTTCCTATTGGAAAATTTTATTTGTATAATATCTTCAAATAATAATGGTGTTACCACGGAGCTAAAGAAAAAGAAAAAAAAAACTTCTTTACGTAACTTTCCTTATTTTACAAACATGAAAATCAAAAACATCATTTCATTATAAACAATGAGATATGTAAAAATACACAGCTAATACTATTAGATAAAAGCTCAACCTGTTCTCTTTCTTCTACCAACGGCGGCTTGGAAACCGGTTTTAATAGAACTGACAGATCTTGTAGAACCACAACTGTTACAAACCATGAAATACAATCTGTTGGCATTTTCTCTAACCAATTTAGTGTTGATGGATCTGCATGTTTGACAGGTAACATATTCCAAAATATACTTCTTCAACACATATTCCAATTGTTTTTGCATGAATTTACCCTTGATGATCAACTGTTCTTTACCATCAATACTACCAGAGGTACCCAATTCGGCAAACAAATATTGGATGACATGTTCTGGGTCTCTTTGTAATTTCTGAGAAATGTCCTTGACGTTGCTGAAAATTGTCTTCTTTGGTTCTCTGGCAACGATTGGTGGAGGAATCTTCAATCTAACTCCCGATCTCTCACCAGCTAATTCAGGGTTATTAGTTTTGAGGACGGTGAAAAATCTTTCCAAAAGATCTTCATATGATAAGCCAACTTCTGTGGCGATCGTGGATTCGGTATTACTGCTTTCAGCTTCGGCGGTGGTCGATGATAAACCAGCTTTTTCCAATTCTTTATCGAACGAGGAGTCGGCCTTCTTCTTCTTAGTCGACTTCTTCTTCTTTGGACCTAACCCTAAATCTTCAATACCGTCTTCTAATTCTTCAGTACCAGTCTTTTCTTTGGCAGAGTCCTTTGACTTCTTCTTCTTCTTCTTTTTAAGACCACCAAACAAATCATCTTCACCAGTGGCGTCAGTAGAGTCGGTAGTTGGCTCAGAAGTGGTCTTAGACTTCTTCTTCTTTTTGAGGCCGTCCAAGGAAATGTCTTCCACAGTAGGGGTGGTTTCTTCCGCAGACATCACTAAATATCGATGATATTATAAAAACTCCAGGTTTCTTTTTTTGATTTATACAGTTACTGAATTCAAAAATGACTGAAAATTGGAATTTTTTTTTTTCCTTCACAGAGTCCCTTACCCGTCTGAGGAAGGTTTGAATCTATACCAACCCTCTGGGTATATAACTGTCAAAATTATAACATAAAATAATAAAAATATGAAGGAAATCATGATAATAATACTAATAATACTAATAATAATAATAATAATATTGGAAGATTTGTGTATAGATATTTAATTTTGTGTCATTAGTTCGTAAGAATGAGGGGTTGTTAGATCAGATTACACTATAAAGTATCAACATATGCATTTCATGAATTGAATTGATAGATTTAGTTAGATATCTGTGCGGCATATTTGTCGACCACTCCATCAAACAATGCGATTTTGTCATTATAGTCCACGACGTATGGATGACTCTGGTCTGCGGTACTCAAGATTTCATTATTGATCAATTGCAAAGCCTCGCTGCCCTGGTTATTGATGATCAAAACTTTAGCCTTGTTGATTAAATATGTCAAGTAGTGTTCGTCAGCCTTCAATGAATCATCATTGGCGATCAATTCATCAATCTGTTCCATGATCTCCGAAGATTCTGGAACGTGGTTCAAAAGCAAATGCACCACCATCATGAACGTCAAGTTTTTTAATGATCTCAGAGAATGAGAAATTTCCTCGAAGAAGTAGAATGCGTGTTGGGTGGCAGTAGATCCACCTTGAACCAAACTTACCAAGGCATCACTGTAGTTATAAACTACCGAATCATTGATGTTCAAATGACTGAACTTTTTCAAAAAGTTTTTGGCTTTTGGCAATGCGTCTTGCAATAAATAAATTTGGACAATCACTGAGAAAACTTCCAAGTTCAACTCATCGTGATTTTCCATATTGATATCCGAAGTCAAGAGCTCGATAGCGTCATCGTAGCGTTGGTATTGCTTGACAAGTACAATGGCGGCGAGAATCTGGGTTAATAATGAAGGTTTATTGGATTTCGCATAACTGACAAATTCATCAGCGATTGACTGATCACCAGACAAATATTTCGAGTAGTATACTAAGCCGGCAAGTTCAGGTTCGTTATTAGCAAGCTCAATGACCTTGGAGTATTGTCCAAGGGCAAGGTACGAACGAAGAATGTATTGTTTGATTTCGTTAGTGGTGACATTATCAATATCGTGATTGCTGATAACCTCAGAGTACTGACTGGAGTAGAATTGGTTGCGAATGGCAAAAAGCTCTTCGGAGGACATTATTTGGTGATACAATATGGATACAATATGGGTACACTCGTGGTGGTATCTACGGGATTGATGGTGATGATGGTGATTTGTTTAGTTTTATTTGAAAGTTCAGTCACGTGTAAGGAATTCTGAAGATTCTGGGGGTCCCACACGCCATTTCCCTAGGGTACACTGACAACATATCGTCGGCAGGTTTTGGATCCAATTTCCATGTATTTGCAGTATCATGGCATACTGAATTTATTGATTAGTTTTTTGTTTTTTTTTGTTTCGCTATGTTGGAGGGAGGTATGGAAACCGCAAATCTGCGGGAATTTCAATGACAACATGTCTCTGATTGTCGTCATCTCTCATACACAGCACAGACTTATTATTGACAGACAGAATCTATTGTCGATCTGGATGCTGGTCAAATATTGAAAAAATGCTATATTGTATTATCTAACAGTGTGACGAATTATATACTGAGCTAATTGAAGCATCGAATGAGTATGTGGTCCTCACGTGGATGCCAAAAAAGAAAGAAAGAAAGAAAGCAGGATAGAACTATGATGTCAGAGTAGATACGGAAGCACAGGGTATTTTCGATGAATCGCAATAGCAACTATCTGTAAGTAAGTAAGGTTGAGAAAATTCTTTGCACCGATGTCTGCAAAATTTTCCCGTTCTACGTGCTTGTACCGCTTAGTAATGATAAGCAGCGGTAAATCCGTCCTTCAAGCATTTACCGGAAATAACCTTGAAGTGAAAATGTATATTTATACCCTGCGACATCTTTGCCCATCGCCACTTATTCCTTCGAGAAGTAAGATAGCTGTAGCATCTACTAAATTCACCAACCAAACAAACAAACAACAATAAATATGTCAGTTCCAGAGAAATTCGAAGCTATCGGGGTTCAAGATTTCGACAAATGGCTCGAACCAAAACATTTTTCTTATACTCCTCAAGCCATGAGACCAGAAGATGTTGATATCAAGATCGAAGCTTGTGGGATCTGTGGTAGTGATATTCACGCTGCCAATGGTGATTGGGGCCGTCCATATACCCCACTTGCCGTTGGACATGAAATTATTGGGGAAGTGGTGTCTGTTGGTGAGGGAGTAACCAGGTTTAAGGTTGGTGACAGAGTCGGGGTGGGTGCTCAATGCGATTCATGTGGTAAATGTTCTAGATGTAACCAAGATCGTGAACAGTGTTGTAAAGATATGGTCGGCACTTATCTTGGTGTTTACAAAGAAACCGGTCTCCCAACTCAAGGTGGGTATGCCAATTACGTCAGAGTGAATTCTAGATTGGCATTCAAGATTCCAGATAGTATTGATTCAGTTACCGCTGCTCCATTATTATGTGGTGGTATCACTGGGTTCAGACCATTGATGACTGCGGGAGTGAAGAAGGGTACCAGAGTCGGTGTCAACGGTATTGGTGGGATTGGTCATATGGTGATTATGTTTGCCAAAGCCTTGGGGGCCGAAGTTACTGCAATTTCCAGAAGCGATGCCAAAAGGGAGTTGGCCAAAGAAATTGGCGCCGATCATTATATCTCCACCGGTGAAGAAGGTTTCAGTGAAAAATACTGTGATTCATTGGACTTGGTCGTCAATACCGGTTCATCATTTTCTGAAGGTAGTATCAATGGTATCCTTGGTTTAATCAGACCATTTGGTAGTATGATTTTTATTACTGCACCACCATCCAATGAAAATTTGGTCATTGCACCTTTCGACTTACTTCTAAAGAGTATTAGTATTGGTGGTTCAGGTATCGGTTCACCAAAGGATATCGAATACATGTTGGACTTTGTTGCTAAGCATCAAATTAAACCATGGATCGAAACTATTGACATCAGCGAAGAAAATGTCACCACTGCATGGAAAAGAATGGTTAAAGGTGACGTAAAATTTAGATTTGTCTTGACTGGGTACGACAAATACTTTAAATAATAGGCACATTATTATATTAGTCTAATTGGGAGGAGCAGAGTATCTCAACTGGTTTCTAGAGGTATTTTTGATTGTATTTATCAGTTTTGTATTTTTTTGGTTGTATAATACACATTTCATTTCAAGATAAATCTAAACTTCTAATAGTTGTGCTCATCGTATATTGGAATGGCACATTTGTCCTAAAGACCAATATTTATCCAATGGGTCAGCGATTGATGGATGTATTATGCTGTCGATTGCTGTTTTAATCTTATCGCAAAATAACACAAAAATCAAAGTCATGGGATAATATGATTAATGACAGCATCAAATTTTGATTCTAGATGAAGCCACTTCTTCGGTTGCCAAATCAAAATCTTAGTCTTTTTCACCAATGCGGACATTCTCCAAGAAACATGCTCTTCCCTTCTTCCTAAAACTGGCTGATCCAAATGGAATATACAAAATGCACTTAAATCGATACCTTCAATAAGTCTGAAGGGCGGTATTGTTGGAGCCGTCTGTTGTCCAGCGCAACGCCAGACTGTTGTATTTCACCGGGAATACCAGTAGAAGGATCAGACTGATTATCCATTACAAGCAACAGTGGTTGAGGTCGGTAAATAGTAGTATAATGAGATGTTTTAACTTCAATAGATAATTAAATCCTACTACAGATTAAACTACACTATAGTATAGGATCATACGATCCTTATATATATATATAAATAAACTACCTTCCATGATAAGTGAAAGCTCCTTTGATACCCCCGGAAAGGGAATATTCTATAAATAGGAGTATCATATCCAGAGTCAAGGTTTTTACTCTCGTAAGAGATTTACAAGTCAGATAACACCATAAGTTCAGTTAGCAGTTCCAGGGTCACATCAAGTCATTCGTCAAAGGATTAGTTGAGCAATATCTTAATAATCCGTCGATGACTAAGCGAACCAACCTACCACAGGTGTGGTGGTGCCAACAAAAACTTAAGAACTTCTGTTAAACCCTTTTTCTCTCTCTTACATTGTAATTACCGTCGTTTTGGGTCGAAGCAATACCCACGTGCTTTAGCATAAACTGAATATTTTTCTGAGACCTTCTTCATTGATAAGAAGGTGCCATGCCTTTTCTCGATAAAAACAACAAAATGCCACAATATGACAGTAGTGCAGCCATTTCACAGACAAGCTCTGATGAAGGCTTCAATGTTGCTGTTCAGTCACAGGCCGTAGAATCATGGAACCCTGATCATGTGCGAGTTAATAACTTGAGTAGATATTCTACGAGATCATCCCATGTAATTCCCGACGGAAATAAACAAACGGAACGTGAAGACGAGATTGTCGACCCTTTTGAAGTGACTTTTGAAGGTTCTGAAGATTCCGAGAATATTGTTGCCAGAATGTCATATTCCAGAAAGATCTTGATATCGGTGATCTTGGCAGGGGCAGGGTTTTGCGTCACCATGCTTTCTTCAGTATGGTCTTTGTCAATGGATCAAATGATGGCCCATTTCCACGTTAGTAGAGAAGTGGCAACTTTGGGGATCAGTCTCTATATTTTTGGACTAGGTAGTGGTCCAGTATTTTTGTCTCCAATCTCGGAGTTCTACGGCAGAAGAATAGTGTATCTTTCAGGACTCTTACTATGCTTTGCGTTTCAATTCATTACTTGCTTTGCCAACAATTTTGGAGCGATTTTATTCTCGAGGTTTGTTACTGGGTTCTTTGGTAGCGCTTTTATGAGCGTTGCCGGGGGCACTTACTCGGACATTTTCACCAAACAAGAGATTTATTTCCCATTTCAAGGGTTTGTATTGGCGCCATTTTTATCACCGGCGGTGGGGGCATTTTTGAGTGGGATAGTCAATGAATATTCTAACTTCCACTGGTGTTTCTACTTTATGTTAATCTTCACTGGTTGTATGTGTGTGGCGGTCTCTACGATTCCCGAGACTTACAAGCCTTATTTATTGAAACTAAAGGCTCAAAGAATGTGCCAAGAAACTGGAGATGATCGGTACTACGCTCCTTTGGATAAAGTACCCAATAGTTTGCTCGATACCATTGTGTTGTCGTGCCGCCGACCATTTGGGGTATTGTTCTTAGACCCCATGATGTTCACGTTGTGTTTCTACACCGGGTTCACGTTATCAATAATTTATATGTTTTTCATCTGTTTACCGTACGTGCTTTCCACGGTGTATGACTTTGGGGTGGGAGCCCAAGGGTTATGCTTTCTCAGTTTTTGTGTGGGGATGATCGCCACCTTGCCGCTTAATTATTATACCCACACCGTATACGAGAAGAAAGTGGCCAGAAATGGTGGGGTATCGCAACCAGAAATGCGGTTTACCCCGTTGAAATATGGGGTGTTCTTCATTCCTTCAGGACTAATGATCATTGCATGGACCAGCTACCGCCATGTCCATTGGATTGGGGTGCTCTGTGGAGCAGCGACATTTGGTGGAGGGGTATCGTTGGTGTTTTCTGGGGTGTTTACTTACACTGTCGATGGCTACAGGCTCTATTCTGCGTCGGCGTTGGCGGCGAACTCATTTACCAGGTCGCTCATGGCAGGGATTTTCCCGTTGTTTGGGTACTATGTCTACCGAGGGTTGGGAGTCAACTGGGCCAGTTTCTTGATGGCGATGGTCGGGGTGGTAATGATGCCGATGCCGTTTGTGTTTGAGCGATATGGGCCATATTTAAGAAGCAAGAGCCCGTATGCCTGGGTGGATGATGATAATGACGAGCAAGAACTTGACAACGAGAAGGCGTAACTTATATTATTGTATACGGCTATAATTGATTAGATTGTATCCTATTGATTATCGTAAATAAAGGGTCTGTGTGTTACCCGGGGTGTCAACTGTCAACTGCAACAACAAACAATTTTCCCCACCCCCCGGTGCCGTGGAAGGAAATGTAATTGCAGGTTATTAATAGATCCTCCCCGCTGCTTGCTGTCAAAGGGGAAAAAACAACAAACCCCCTATTTTTTCTCACTTACTTACTTTCTTTCTCTTTCTTTGTTTTATTTGGTGGACTGTTTTTTCCTCTTTCTCTCTGTTCTTATTCTCTCTTTTGTCCTTTTTCACTCGTAATTACTACCATCTTGATAACTTTATTTTTAGCAACGGTTGCTGATCCTGCTGCTTATCAAATTACCTTTTATCATGAAAAGCCCCCTTCTCCATCTCCTTCCACTTTTAGTGTCAACGCTTTTCTTCGTATCGTTATCTTCGGCGGACGTATCTATATCCAGCCCCAAAGCAGGCTCCTCTTTCACCGTCTCTGGATCATCTGCCTCCATCACCGTTTCGTGGATCGATTCCGGAACTTCCCCATCAATCGATGATGCAGAAACTTTTACTTTCACCCTTTGTACCGGCCCAAACAGTGATATCTCGGCAGTCACCACCCTAGCCTCGAACCAAAAAATCTCCAGCTCTTCGTTCACCGCGTCCATTCCTGACACCGTGGGCGCGGATGGGGTATATTATATCCAAGTATACGCCGTTTACTCTTCGGGTTACACAATCCATTATACCCGCAGATTCCAGCTCAATGGCATGACTGGGACAATAACTCCTGTTGGCTTGGTGACGGACGCTCCTCCAACCGCCCAAGTGGCGATCAATACTGGCACTACCGAGGCCGCTGCCATCGCCACAATGCTGGTTTCTGCTTCGTTCTCCGTCACCTACACTTTGCAAACTGGGATATATAGATTTGCACCAATGCAAATGCAACCAGGCTCAGTAGTTACCGCCACCACCTGGTCAAGAAAGTACCCAGCTAGTGCCGTCACTTACTACTCAACTAAGGCCACATCTGCCTCCCAAGTTAGCACTCTTACCCCCGGGTGGTCGTATACCAGAACTTCCTTGATAAATTATGTGTCTCCATTAGGCACCCCAACAGCTTTCTACCCAGCATCACAAAAGGTTATAAAGCCAACCATAAAAACCACGTCAAATGTCAAAAGATTCTTTGATCTTGATTGAAGATTTTTTTTTTTTCTTGTTATTATTATTATTCTTCTTGCTCTTAGTATTATTAGGTTTACTATTATGTTTCTACAAATCTTCAAGGGTATTTCAAGTTATTTGGAGATAACTTCCATCTTTTTTCTTTTGAGTTACTTTGTTGTTCATTTTTCGTTTTTGTGACAGTTAAATATTTTTTTTCCGTCTTCATTTTACTTTTAGATACTTACACACAAACTGTTCTTTTCTCATGTCCATTGATTAACAATCAATTTTATAACCAATGCAGGTTCATTTTCTCTTTGGTTGTAGAAATATAGTACAAATCCTCATAATGTAACTCATTCATCAAAAAAATTCATGAATTTCCCAGTTAACGTTAACAGAGTGGTTCTTTTGTGGGGCGGAATTTACAGGCTACCTTGCTCCTTCACAACACTATCGTCCCCTGTGTACTCACCATGACCATGACCATCATCATCGTCATCATCATAATCGTCATCATCGTCATCATCGTCATCATCATAATCGTCATCATCGTCATCATCATCATCATCATCATCATCGTCATTATCACTACTTTCATCGCTTTCTTTTTCATTAATTTTAAATGCATCATAATCAATTCCATCATAATCATCATCATACTCCACAATCCGTTCAGCGTACCTTAACCACCGTCTTCTTCGATACTCAAAACTCCTCTTATTTTGCTGATCAATATCGTATACCCATTTCCCCTCATCATCAATATCCACTATTCCATCAATATAATTTTCTCGAACCCATTCATGCGGCGACAAATCTAGTTTCCAGCCAATTCCACCGAATTTTTCCAGTTCAATAAATCGATAATTCTTTGGGGGAGTAATGAGTTTTAAACTTATGGCGAAATGCAAGGGTTTGACGGTACTCGTTACGGCTTCTTCCCAGGCTTCTTCTGTTGCCGCTGACGTTGACAACAAAGATGATGATTGATTAGAGGTATTATTAGAACCGATTGGATCACTTACATGGTCTTCTTTTTCTCCTCCTCCAACTATGGCATTCATTGCTTCGGCAATGCTGTCGGAAGATATATCTCCCAAATAACTACTCAAAGTGTAATTTGAAGTCAGCGGCGGAATTACTGCTTTCGTAGGACAATCATCATTACTCTTTGGCGGAGAATGTATCACAGAATTCAGGCTTCGTTTAATATGTTCATTTTGATAATCAATTTTTTTCTTCAACTTTATGTTTTGGGCAAAACTTTTTCGGATTTCCGAATTCTTGCTGAAATAATCCTCAGTATAGATTGACACATTCCATTCTTTGGTATTCTTGTCAAACGATTGAAGCTCAAAGATCTCCACCAATTTCAATTTTTCATTTTTAGGGGTGAACATCAAATCTTGATAATATAAATTATAATTAAATTCCGAATTGATAAATCGCAAGTACGATTTCTTCTGTAGCAAGTAGTGAAGGTTACTATAAATTTTCTCCTTGTTTGGTTTAATTTTGCTTTGGATCTTTGTTTTCAAGATATTTGCCCTCAGTGGCCTTCCATTATTGTTTAGAGAGTCGTCAATAATACTATCATCACTCTCGTCAATCACCACATCATTATGGTCGATAACCGAGTCTTCTATTTTGTTTTCTTTTCCTTCTTCTTTTCCTTCATCTTCTGGTCCAAGCTTTTCTCCACTAACATTTCCATCGTTATTATCCTCAGGTATTAAAGACTCTTTACCTTCCATTTTTCTTTCAAGGTATCCATTGATATCCAAAATTTTCAGCAAATTTTCACGATTATTGGGATGGATCATGATCATGAACCCCCAAAGGCCAATGATCGCAAGCACTTTGATCATCGGCATACAAAACACTAGTAATTTGGGCATGATCATCATATTCAAAATTCCAATCAAAAACAAGATCACAAATATGAAATTCGAGAGGGCTTCAAACTTGAAATAAATGAATTTTTGCAAAAAATTATTTATGTAGTCCCAGGCAATGATATAAATCACCATGAAATTTTGAAGATCGGTCATATTGATGAAGAATTCTTTGGAAAATTGACTGCACGGTTTTGCCTTCTCAACTTGATTGATTGGGTAATAAGGTGGGTACGGGAATTGGTCCAATTGGTATTCTAATTGATAATTAAAAGAATCAGGACAATATTTTTCCACATACTGAGGCAACATTATCCCGTACAACAAAAATAGGAATGGGGTGGCCATCAACATCGGCAAAGGGTTCAATATGATATTTGTCAATAAAATCAACACAAAGATATTGAAATTGAAATTATCCCAGTTTAAAATTTTGAAGAAATTGTTCAAAGTGATAAAGGCAATCGACAATCGAGAATTCATATCGATAAAGTTTGTCGACATGATTTGTACCGAAAATTGCGGGCGATTACTCGAGTCATTGATTCGTTGTTGGATATTCGACTCAATAGTTGAAGATTCCGTTGGTAATGCTATCAAAATAAATTTTTCAATAAGCTTATCTGCCAATTGGTTGTTGATGTTCGATTGCTTTGTGGAATTGAGAAATGTCAGAAAGATATTTGTTTGGCCGCCTCCTTGGATTGACGAATTTTGCGGTGGCTGTTCCAGTTTTGGAAGGTCATTGTTCCCATCGGCTTTGTTGCTAATGATAGTAGAGGTACTGTTTTTGCGCTTATTGGATGCTTTAACATTGAGTAATGAGTTTATACTTAGAGCCGAGTTCCGTTTTCCCTGTTGGGTTGTTGTAGTGGTCAGCACCGATGGTTCTTGTGAACGATGATCCTGAGCCTGATCCCAAGAGGTCGACAAAAACTGGGAGACGGTATCCATCTTTTTGATGTTTGAGCTGGCTCTTTTTTTTTTTTTTTTTAACTGGCTATTCTCTCCAGCTTCCTGATAATTGACGTTTGGGAAGGGTTATATGTGACATGTTTAGTTTGTTATTGCTGTCTAAGTACAATAGTATGGTGATGAGATGAGCGGGAATGTCACGTGCCAAATGGGTAAGTTTACTCACACCAAAACACCAAAACACCCAAACATCGTGTATTCTAGATGCCAAAAGTGTGCCGATGCACTATGAAGCATTAGTCATATGATGGCAATTTAAATGCAAGGAAACGCACAAAGAGGCGAGGCGAAAAAGAAAGGAAGAAGAAGAAGAAGAAGAAGAAAAAAATATTCTGAACGACATGGTGGGTGTCATAAAATTCATCTATTTGTAATTATCAACCTCTATTCTCCTCTCGCTCACGTCCTTCCATTTTGTTATCACCAAACGATGGTATTCTTTTTGAAATTTTAAATATCTCGGCCAATTCATTATTATTATTATTTTATCGGAGGAGGTTTTCAGCGACTAGATATTGTACGCAAACATGTACTTTGTCTCCATCATAATATCTTTGTTATTATCAATACTACTATCCACACCCGTAAAAGGTGCTCAGATCAAGACTCATGAGTGTCCAAATGTCAACAGCTCTGATATTTATATGAATTTGCCCTTTCTCGACGCTTATTATGATCCAGATGATACCGGTCTAATATATTATAAAGTCCATGCCCATCTTATGGCTAACAAGATGATACAAAATATTTCAGATATAAATAGTACCACCAACAAATACACCACCTTCCATGTCGAAATCGACTACCCAAATGGTGACCAATTCAGTCAGTATCTTCGACTTTGTCAACATTTGGTACCCGTGAACCCTCCTACACACCCTATGAACCATTCAATGAACCATTCTATAAACCACACTATGCAACCAGAGTATAATGAACAGGCTCCCAACTTCACATACTTATACGATTTAATACAGCAAAACCCTGACAGTGCTATACAAGATTCCGTCACTTCCAATCCAACAGTGTGTCCAATTGTTCCTAATGAACCAGTGGATCTCACCTACATTCAGAATGCCTCTCGTCTTTCTGCTCTCACCTCATTTTCTATCAGATTCTCAGTAATATCAAATCTTGAAAACTCGACGGTCATAGGGTGTTCTGAATCCTATATAACCCCAGAACTCACGTCTTCTGTATATATACCAATGGCGGTTATTGTCCCCGTCGCATACGTGACCATAGTGATTGTTAACCTAATAGGTGAATACTTTAGTCCTTATAAAGAGTCCCGGATGAATTGTTTCTTAAACAAGGTTTCGGCGATTTGCAACAAGCCTTATCTAAATCATCTAAACCCTTCAGCCGCCGATTTTATACAGTATATCCAATTCGCTTTTTTCAACGGAGGTCTAAATTTGCTATACCCAGGATACTATCAGCCTTTCATTAGTCTTATTAACTGGTGTGCACTAATGTCTATTGATTTAGCTGATCTTCACATTAATTATGAATCCAATGTTGATAGTCATTTATATTTGGACTACTATAAGGATGGGTTAAGTGGTATTACGATCTTCACTAGTGATCAGCTTAAAGGGTATGGGTGGCGGTGTTTCATGGTGTGGTCAGCAATAGTAGTAGTACTTGAAATATTACTTTGTTTGACTGTAACGCTGATATGCTGGATTTACCACAAACGAAACCAAAAAGACGGTTGGTTTTTCAACCAATTTTGGTCAAAGACTTTATACTTTATGATTGGAAAAATCCTTTACGTTTATTATTCGCTATTTGCCTTACCATTTTTGGTGCTTTCGCTATATCAATTCTTTTCCTTTTTCCATGACGGAAGACACTTTGAACACCTTCAAGTATTTTCGTCGATCTTTGGATTCATTCTTGTGCTTGTCTGGGTCACAGGGTTAGTGTGGTTCCTCATGAGATTTGTGGTTAATGTCAAACAGTTTTTTGTGCCACGGCCCTATCGTTTGCAACAGAAACACAATGAAATTTATGATTATACCAATGGAATCACTAAACAATCGAAAAAATTGTTCACCTCAGTTAACAATATCAATATGTTTAGTTTTATCTATTATGAATATCGCCCAGACAGGTTACATTATATCTTTTATGAATATTTATTGATGTTTATTAGAGCAGTGGTCATTTCCTGTATCCAAAATTCTGGGATTGCCCAAGTTATCATAATAATTGTCCTCGAGGTGGTGGCGTTGCTTTTAGTACTTATCTGCAATCCATATTATTCATCATCATCTGTATCATCTTACAAGTCACTGGGGAAAATCTTCAATAAAAAATTTATCAATGCGATTATGATTTCCGTTGCCAGGGTTGTGGTGGTGTTCTTGAATATCCCATTCATTGAAACTTTGGATTTCTCTGAAAGAAGTCGGTCATATGTCGGATATGTTCAACTTTCCATCCATGGACTAATCGTTATCTACTTTTGTATTGCCATAATAACCACGCTCATTGAAATCTTGGTATCTCGTCGCAGAAGCTCGGCTACAAGGAAAGCCGATAATAGCCAAGTTTACCAAACTATGGCTGGTAAATATATTGCAGGAAGCAGACAAAGTATCGGTACAAGGCTGAGCAACGTGGAGGTTACCGGAGGTAGTACAACTCTTATTGGTGATTCAAAATATAATTCGAGGGCGATGTCTAGGCAAAGTGGAAGCTTTGTTGACGGATCATTGCTTGATTCGCCTACTTTCTACCGCAACACAACCAAGTACTCTTTGGAAATCGAGGCCCCCTCTCCACTGGCAGGAAATTTCGTCAATAACAACGATAATGACTCTTCATTAGAATTGTTTGAGAATTATAATGATGATCCTTATCCTCCAAAAAAGAATGTCGATTATTCTGTTCGTGAGGCCGATTTCTACAGAAATGGTTTTAGCACAGGGTACCATGGTTCTACTAGCGAAGAAGAACCAGAGCTGGAAATCCAAAATATTTGGAACAAAAGAGATGGTAACCTGAATGCTGTTAATCCGATGAAAAGTGTGGATGGTTCTGACATGGACTTTTCGTCAGTGAACCAAAGCAACCTTGTGAAAAACGTGAAATCTTTTTTCAAAGGATTCGGAGGAACTTTTTGGCACAATTCTCACGAAAAAATTCCACAAGAGTCTGGGTTCCAGGTTAACAGGCCCCGTCAAATTGTGGTTCGAAGTTCGGAAGATGCTGAAAAGGTGCATACACCAAATGGAAGTAAAGTGCAAGATATAGAAGATGATGCTAGTGCCGAGGACAACGATATCTTTGAAGGATATTCTGGCATAGCCAATCCTGCCAATCCATCATCATATATCAGTTTGACAAGAAATTCTTCTAGAGGAAGATTACTTCAAAACAAAGGATACCATAGAACCATTCACGAGGTTCCAGAAGAGTCTATGCATGATTAAAATAGTAACTTAAAAGGTGGATTGTCACTTACACGAAATGTTAAGCAGAAAAAACCAGTTACCCCTCATTTACTGATTTTCAGACTCTCAAAAAGTGAAAGTTATTCTTTTCCTGGCGTAACTCACTCTTTTTTTTTTTTTTTTTTTTTTTTTTTTTTTGCAAATGCTTTTGTTATGCTCTTTTTTTTTTTCATTTATTACACGTTGGATCAGTGTGCTTTGTTTTGCTTAATTTTGTTATATTCTTCTTTCATTTTTTCTTTTTTCCCTCTCTTTCTATTATTCTATTGGATTTATGCTTTTAATAGCCGGTTATAATAATATGTTAGTACTTGTATTTCACTATCCTATCTGGGCGTTGCATCCGCCTCACTGGAGTGGTTGCAGTGCCCTGCGAGCTCTGTAAATTTTTTTTTTTTTTTTTTGTTTTTTGATAGAAGGAAAAAACATTGGGATCTATCAGCCTGGTTTTTTTTAGGCAGTGTTTATAAATTCTATATTTATACTTACTTACAACCCCGCGATTAGGAACTAGTGTGAAATACATCAACATCACTGATTTAACCTGCTCTAATATCTAGCAAGCAAATATGAGCCAGGAGACTAGTGTTAGCGGTGGCAACAAGCGTACAATTGGCGAAGTGGATAGTGTGCTGGAATCGGAGGTTGTTGCTAAAAGCTCAAGATTGGAGAATGGAGAGTCCCAAGAAGTTGTTGCTGCTGATAAAAAAGACCAACAAAACGTACTGAAATCAGAAGAAGAAAATAATGAAGAATCAGTTAGTGGAAGGAAGCTGGGGGACGAAAAAGATGTAGAGGTTGATAAAAATAAACAAACACAGAATGTTACAGAAAGAGCAGAGAATTTGCCTAAAGATGAATTAAACGAAGAACAGGATAAACAGGAAAGTGAACTAGCACATAAAGAAGGTGGTGACGATGATGGTGATGATGATGATGATGATGATAATAATAATAAAGCAGATGACTCGCTAGATATCAAGAAAGAAGACAAACTGATGCTAGATGAGGAATTTGTACCGGATCCATTAGATGAAAGGAATGAATCCGAAAAAAACGAAGAATTGGATAATGAACCATTAGAGGATGATTTGGATCTTGATGTTGACTCTTCCAAGGCTACCAGCACTGAGCCACCGGTGGCCAGCGTCACATCGAATTCAAAGTCAAAAGTACAGTTGAAGGAAAGCGAGACTGGTGATGAGTATGATCTTGAGATTGATGAGAAAGGGGAAGCGAAGATTGACCACGAGGGCAATTTACTTGACGGTAGAACATTTCGGATTCCAACATTCATGATCTCTCACAAAGGTACCAGGAAGTTTATGTTGGCTACCAAAGTGGCTAGAACTTTAAATCTTAGAGACTCTCATAATTTATTCACCAAGTACCCCCAACTTTATAAGATTCCTTTAAACATCAAAGAAAAATTTGAATTAATTGACAGGAAGATGTTGCCAGTGAGTTACAAAAGTCGAGCAGTGAATCTCATTTTCACCAGATCGGTATTCAAAGTATTCGGGTCAAGAGTTATTCTAAATGGGAAAAAAGTCGACGATGATTATTATGAACAAAAGGCTATTGATAGAGGAGAAACTCGCGGGGAACCAGCGTACATAGATTATACTCATTTAGCACAATATCAAGATGTTGGAGGACCAAATATCAATACCATCAATAATGCTCAGCAGCCACTTTCGCAGACCGTTGATATGGCAAGCAAATTCCAAATCAAATCTAACCTTACTAAGACATTAATTACGGAAGAAAATTGGATGTTGAACCATTGTCTTGCCTCGAAGCAATTGGATTATGATTGCAGTTATGATCGGTTCAAACTTTGGAATTTGAAAATGATTGAACGAGATCCTTACACGGGGGTGAAATTTTTTCCAGGAAGAACCCAACCTTCTGTTGCCAATTGGCAAAAGATTAAACTTATTGACGAAGAACAGCGAGAGGTCAAGCCGAATTATATTAAGGATGACCCATCTAGTGGGAAACTAACCTATCGTGCGGTTCTTGACTGTCCTAATATTTTGAAAAGTACGGGCTTACTTAATGTTGATGAAGGAATTTTTGGTGATGTTGTGACGCCAGAGGTAAAAGAAGCCATACTAAGACAAAAAAGGGTTGAGAAAGAGGTTTTGGAGAATAATTATATGGTATGATGTGATGTACTGTGTACTGTGTACTGTGTTATTTGTACTATAGCTTTTTTTTTTTTTAATTTTTTTTTCTATTATCATGTACATTTCCGGTGATTAGTTAAAAACCCATTTATTAATAGATAATAATGATAATTAAGGCAGTGTAATAATAAAGGCAATATAATCATGTGGAGAAGAATTTAATATATAAGGGTATATCATATTGATATGTATTAAAAGAGAAAAAAGAACTGAACTTGAACCAATTTTATGGAATTACTTGAAGCAATTCTTGCCTGAAGAGTTGAATAAATAATGAAATAAGAAAGGAAATAATGGGTTGGCGAGTAAATTATTCTTTTAACATTAGATGAAGACCTTAAGGATGCTTGCTCCTGTGGTCAAGATTGGGGTAACGATGTCATTCATCACAGAGGCAAATGATTTATCTTGGATACCTTCAATAGAGGTAGTATTAAGAGAAGGAGAGTAGACGGTTTCAATTTTCAAACCTTGGGAGCGTAAATAAGTGAGCACTGATTGGATTTTATCATTTGGGATAGAGATAATTGTTGAGTTGGATGAGAAATTTGAAGTGGATTGGCTAATTTCTTGATCTGCATACCCTAAAGGCATGGCGTTGGAAGAGGCAAGAAGTACCGCGGTGACGGCAACGATAGCGAGTCTCATTCTTGTGGTTATTTTGTCGTTTTCGTTTCGATGTGCTGGAAGAAATATCAATGAAATGATGGCAAAAACTTATCGAGGGAGGGATCAGTAATAATTTCAAGGGATATTCGGGACTTTTATATCTGTCAGCTTGGTGCTAATGCATTCCACTAATTGAGATGTAGCCGCACATTCATTCTCCTTGGATGATAATAAAATACGAGTGAGCCAGAAGTATCCCAATTCCTTAAAAATTCCTTACAAATTGAAATACAATGTTCCCTTATTATTAAATGAATCTAAAAATACGCGAATTATAAATGTATATATTAATAATACAATGAAATTATACTGAAGTGAAGAGGAAAAAAAAATATATATAAAGTAAAGTCTAATCGTAACAATAGTGAAATTAAGAGGTAATTCGGATTTGAAAGAATTTCATAAAGAGCCAAAAGTGAGCTAACGAAGCTCACTCACAGCTGAAAGAATTCCCAGCCAGTGATTTTTGAAAAAACTCTCGACCGAAGATTCTATTTTACTAAAAGTTCCCTCGGAAGTTGCAGAGGAAGTGGATGAAGTCGATGATACAGTTGGAGAGGCTGATGGGATTTCCATGGTGGCTGGAACGCTCCTTGTGGCAGTAGGGGTGCTGTAAGTAGAGGTTGAGGAAGTCTCGTCAGCCTTAAGGATAGCAGAAGAAGCATTGGCTGCCAATTCTTCAGCAGTTATGGGTTGAGGAACGGGAATGGCAATGACACAGGTGATCACTGTCAGCAATATGAGAGTGGTTATCTTCATTTCATGAATTTCCAAGATTCTGGCTACACTGGTTGACTTTTTAATTGTGAATGCGATTCATTACATCTAATTGATCGAGGTCAGGGAAGGATGTCAATACTTATATGGCATTATGGTCGGGAGCTACCATGTTTTAATTGAATGTTTTATGGGTGCCAATGTTACAGCCTGCTAGTGCAAGAGAGCTACCGTATTGCTCCCTGAAATCACACAATGGATATAATAGGCTGCCTGCACAACAGTCAGTTAGCTCCGTCTTGCTGGGCGCGCCCATGAAATACCTGGTTGAACGCCCCCTGCACTCTCTCATTCTATGGTAATCCCCCAGTACCATCATTTGCACACGGCTGGTCAAAATGGGAGACCCTTAAACGTCAATCGCCAATATCCCAATCTAGATTTCCAACTAACACATCTATCTCACGGGCTTTCTGCCCTGTTGGAAGCATCCTTTGGATGATAATATATCCCACGCCCTCTGACTCTTCGGGATTACGTGCACGTGATGTTATCGAGGCCTGACTCATATTCAATCAACAAAGCTCTGATCATACATAAGAAGGGTGAAAAATATTTTTTTTTTTTTCTTCTCTTTTCTTATTGCTGGACTTTTGCCCTAACTCATCAAGTAAACAAGGCACTCTGACTTTTCAATGATCTTGAAAGCTCCGCTTCTTGCTTCTCGCACATGGGGCTCCAAAAGCTTGCTCAAGTCTAGCATTAAGTCCTCTTATCAGCAGTTGATAAGAACCCTTGCAACCCCAGCTTACAAGGGCTCGTCAATTCTTTCTGGGTTCAGCGATGAAAATGCTCACAAATTAGTTGATGTCTCTAAGGTCCTTGTCATTGGATCTGGTGGGTTAAGCATTGGCCAGGCCGGTGAATTTGACTACTCTGGTTCCCAAGCTATCAAAGCCCTTAAGGAAGCCAACAAGCAATCGATTTTGATCAACCCAAATATTGCCACTAATCAAACCTCTCATGCTTTGGCTGACGAGGTGTACTACTTACCGGTCACTCCAGAATATATCACCTACATCATTGAAAGAGAAAATCCAGATGGTATTTTACTCACATTTGGTGGTCAAACTGGTCTTAACGTTGGTGTTCAGCTTGATAAAATGGGTGTTTTTGAAAGATATGGTATTAAGGTTCTCGGTACTCCAATCAAGACCCTTGAAACTTCTGAAGATAGAGAATTGTTTGCCAAGGCTCTTAAAGAAATTAATATTCCAATTGCCGAATCTATTGCTGTTGAAACCGTTGATGATGCTCTCAAGGCTGCCGAAGAAGTTGGTTACCCAATCATTGTTCGTTCAGCCTATGCGCTCGGTGGTTTAGGTTCTGGTTTTGCTAATAACGCTGAAGAATTGAAAAACTTGGCTTCTCAGTCACTTTCCCTTGCCCCACAAATTTTGGTTGAAAAATCCCTAAAGGGTTGGAAAGAAGTTGAATATGAAGTTGTTAGAGACAGAGTTGGCAATTGTATTACCGTTTGTAACATGGAAAATTTCGATCCTTTGGGTATTCATACTGGTGATTCCATTGTTGTGGCCCCATCTCAAACTTTGAGTGATGAAGAATATCATATGTTGCGTAGTGCCGCTATCAAGATTATTCGTCATTTGGGTGTTGTTGGGGAATGTAACGTTCAATACGCTTTACAAGCTGACGGTTTGGATTACAGAGTTATCGAAGTCAACGCTAGATTGTCTAGATCTTCTGCTTTGGCTTCCAAGGCTACTGGTTATCCATTGGCTTACACTGCTGCAAAGATTGGTCTTGGTTACACCTTGCCTGAATTATCTAACCCTGTCACTAAGACTACCACCGCTAATTTCGAACCATCCTTGGATTACATTGTCACAAAGATTCCAAGATGGGATTTATCTAAATTCCAACATGTCAAGAGAGACATTGGTTCTGCAATGAAATCAGTTGGTGAAGTTATGGCTATCGGTAGAACTTTTGAAGAAAGTTTTCAAAAGGCCATTAGACAAGTTGATCCATCATTTGTTGGCTTCCAAGGTGATTTATTTGAAAATCTCGATGATACATTGGCTAATCCAACTGATAGAAGATGGTTGGCTGTCGGTCAAGCATTGTTGCATGAAAATTACTCTGTTGAAAAAGTTCATGAATTGAGTAAGATTGACAAATGGTTCCTTTACAAATTGATGAATATTGTTAACATGCAAAGAGAATTAGAAGGTGTTGGCTCTATTAAAAAATTGAACAGAGATATCATTACTAGATCAAAGCAATTGGGCTTCAGTGATAAACAAATTGCCCATGCCGTCAACTCTACTGAACTCGAAGTTAGAGCAAAGAGAAAATCATTTGGGATTGTTCCATTTGTCAAGAAGATTGACACTTTGGCAGCTGAATTTCCAGCAGACACTAACTATCTTTACACCACTTATAATGCTTCTACCAACGATGTTACCTTCGATGAACATGGAACTATTGTTTTAGGTTCTGGTGTTTATCGTATCGGTTCTTCTGTTGAATTCGATTGGTGTGCTGTTTCTACCGCTAGAGCTCTTAGAGAAAGTGGTGAGAGAACTATCATGATTAACTATAACCCAGAAACTGTCTCCACTGATTTCGACGAAGTCGACAGATTGTACTTTGAAGAATTGTCGTTTGAAAGAGTTATGGATATTTACGAACTTGAACAAGCCCAAGGTGTTGTTGTGAGTGTTGGTGGTCAATTACCACAGAACATTGCCTTGCCTTTGCAAAACAATGGTGCTAAGGTTTTGGGTACCAATCCAGAAGATATTGACAAGGCTGAAGACCGTCACAAATTCTCTTCCATTTTGGACTCTATCGGAGTTGACCAGCCAGCTTGGAAAGAGTTGAGTTCTTATGACGATGCCAAATCTTTTGCCAATAAAGTTGGTTTCCCAGTCCTTGTTCGTCCATCTTATGTGTTATCTGGTGCTGCAATGTCTGTGATTAGAAATGAAGGTGAACTTGAAGCTAAACTTTTGAATGCTGCTAAGGTTTCTCCAGACCACCCGGTTGTTATTTCTAAGTTTATTCAAGGTGCTCAAGAAATTGATATTGATGCCGTTGCTTACCAAGGTAAGGTTCTTGTCCATGCTGTTTCTGAACATGTGGAAAACGCTGGTATTCACTCTGGTGATGCCACTTTGGTTTTGCCACCACAAGGTTTGTCTCCAGTTATCATGGGTAGATTGAAGGATATTGCTGATAAGGTTGCTGCTGCTTGGAAGATCACTGGTCCATTCAACATGCAAATCATCAAGAATGATGTCAGTGACAATGATGTGGAAACTGAATTGAAGGTTATCGAATGTAACATTAGAGCTTCTAGATCGTTCCCATTTGTCTCTAAAGTCCTTGGTGTTAACTTCATTGATGTTGCCAGTAAGGCTTTGCTTGGCACCAACGTTCCAGAACCTGTTGACTTAATGCAAAAACAATACAACTATGTTGCTACCAAGGTTCCACAATTCTCTTTCACTAGATTGGCTGGTGCTGACCCATTTTTGGGGGTTGAAATGTCTTCTACTGGTGAAATTGCCTCTTTTGGTAAGGACAAACAAGAAGCCTACTGGACTGCTATGCAAGCTACTATGAACTTCCACTTGCCAATGCCAGGTTCTGGTATCTTGTTTGGTGGTGACTTGACCAATGAAAATCTCGGTAAAGTTGCTGCTAACATTAGCGAATTGGGTTACAAATTCTACACCGCTTCCCAACCAGTTGCTGATTACTTGAAGAAGTATGTCCATGCCGATGAACTGATTCAAGTCATTGAATTCCCTAAGACAGACAAACGTGCCCTTCGTGAAATTTTCCAAAAATTCGAAATTAAATGTGTTTTCAACTTGGCAGCTGCCAGAGCCGAATCTTTGTTGGATGAAGACTACGTTATGAGACGTAATGCCATTGATTTTGCTATCCCTCTTTTTAATGAACCACAAACTTCCTTATTGTTTAGTGAAGCTTTGAACAACCGTATTGGAGAAAAGGTTGCTGCCCAAAAGGGTGGTAAAGTGGTTATCCCATCCGAAGTCAAGAGATGGAGTGAATTCATTGGTGGAAAGCCGGTGTGATTAATAACATGGTTTGACAAAAAAAAAAAAAGGGAAGGGGGTGAAGCCAAAGTTTAGGGAACCATTGCTAATGAATATTTTGTTTAATTTCTGTCTTCATAATTTATTTTAGACCCACAGTAACGATTAGTAGTAGTATTTTGTACACAGGTGCATTTATTACATTATATATTATTATTTTTTCACAGTTTCGATCTTTATTTCTCTTTTGTAATAGAAAATATTATTTATACAAGCGTACGGCGATTAAATATTCATAGTATACTAATTTTTGGTGTAGTGAACTAACCAATTTTCTTGAGATCAGAAGGGAATCTATGTAAAAAAAAAAAAATGTATAATATAGGTAGGCTGGCAGTTTGATAAATCATCAAATTGGGGCCACCACGAAAAATCCCTGAAATAGTGGACGTTGTGGTTCATCTTCTACAACTTCACCCCTGGCCCTTCTTTGTTCATTCTCTCTTCTTCTTCTCCAACGGAAATAAAATGGGATGCCATATACCAACACAAGGAAGCATCCAAATGATGCAAGAATAAATAATTCAGAAGCGGTTAACTCACCTTCTATCTGATCATTACCTTCGTCCATTAGCGTTCCAAGATTATTGTCACTATCGCTTCTTGTAGCATCATCACTTCCTTCCAAAATTTCATTCCAGCCGCGTCTTTGACTAACTAAAGTTTCCCACCAGTCTCCCCAAGTTTTTTTAATTTCCACTTCATCATTTTGGTTGGAAACCTCCCATCCACATAATCCATACAACCACTTCTTAAACCCCAACTTGATCAATGAAAGTTGCACCGGCAAAGATGCTTCTGGATGGTTCACAAGTGCCAAATCATAGTATCTTTTGGCTAGATGGAAGTCCTTCTCTACTCCAATACCATTCTCGTACATATAACCCAAATTCCATGATGCCTGGGATGATTGTTGGAGGGAAGATAATTGATAGAATGCTGCGGCCTTTCCTGGACCATTATCCTCGGTGGATAAGTTGGAAGAGTTCAAAAGGTTATAGTAGTACATGTCACCCAAAAGTACAGAAGAATCAATATTCTGCTGCTGAGACGATTTGGTAAGATAGTTAGCTGCCATATGAAGGCGTGATTCGGCAAGATTTTTTAATAAGGAAGAATTGGAGGCCATACTGCTTTCTGATTCTAATGATTTATCATTCACTGATTCTTCTAAAGCTAATTCGAGAACCCTATCAATGGAACGTTTTGGCTGCCAGAGTAAAGATGCCACCGATGATTGAGCAGTCTCAATACCCATTTCAGCAGCAATGGAATAGCTTAAAATGGCATTTTCATAATCCTCTATTAGTACGCGTTGTAAAGCCCAATCCAAATTGCCAACCTTATTTTCCAATTTTTCCACAAACAGCTTGTAAATCTTCACAATCTCGGTACATGATAATCCACTAGCAAAATCCGCTTCATAAAGTCGGGCCAAGTCATAAAGCGCATTATTTGACCCCAGATACGCTGCTTGTTGTAAGTATGTGATTACCGATACTGGGGAAAGATCATCGCCTTGGACAGATTGATAGACATCCAATGGTTTTTCAAGTACCAGTGATGAAGAAGATTCTTGGTAACTGGTAGAAATTGCCTCATCATTGATGTCATTAGGATACTCCACTTTTGTAGCCAACCGTGGCTCTATCTTCGAAAGATAAACTCTTCCTAAATGATACAGAGCCCCCGAATGGCCCTTTTTTGCAGCCGCTTTATAATATTTCACTCCTCTAGCAGGGTTCTTTTTACCATCCAACATTCCAAACTCGTACATTAAACCAAAATCTACCAAAGTGTCGGCACTCACTCCCACTGTACCAGTACGGGAAAGCCATTGATAAGCTTTATGCGGGTTTCTTTGAACTCCTTCTCCGCGAAATAGCATGTGGCCCACGATACCAATACATTTGTTAGTGATATGGATAGCAAGACTGTTGGGTATTGCGGTTTTTAAGCGCTTGCGCTCCTCCTCTCCGGATTTAGAATCAAAAAATTCACCATATTCAGATAGACCATCATTAGCACACTCAAGAGCGTATTGGTACGCTTTGGTGTAATTTCGTTTATTAATATAGTCACCTTCATAATTAACCAAAACTTCTTGATAATTGTTGACGTACTTGTAATCAGAATAGTCAAGTATTAGTTCATTAAATGCATTTTCTTCTGATAAGTCTCCCACTCGACGAACCACAGAGTTGGGCAATTCAAAAACACCATGGAAATTATTCAAGTTGTTCCCTTGTCCACGGTTTCCCAAAGCATTACGGTTTGAGTCCCAATACCTGAGATTTTTTTTATTGGCACCGTTTAGAAAATCGGCATTGTTAAAATCTTTGATTCTCACTGAAAAGCTTTCCAAGTATGGACCATCAGTGGCTAACTCCGGTAATACGTATTCATCAGTTAAAATCTTTGCGGCCCCAGAATAATAGAACATTGCCAATGAGCAGCTTTTTGATACTCCAATCCCCATCAAGTGACGATATCCTAAGACCATCAATGCCCGCGGATCTTGCAAACTTGCAGCCAGTTTGAAATGTAAAAGCGCTGCTGATTGATCAATGGGTACTATTCCAAACAATCCATTCGAGTATATTATTCCTGTCATGAAATGTGCTTGTGATAGCTGGCCTTGAGTTGATGTGGAATTTTCATCATCGCCCAAGGTCGTGGCAAGTTTGAAATAATGAAGTGCCTTCACACCATCCTTAGGAAATGATTTGTTACCAAACATGTAAATCTCTCCTAGCATCAATGCTGCTCTGAGATGTTTTTTATCATCTGCTAGTATTGACAACGTATTGAGGATTTCTAATTTTGTATTATTTTTGGCAAGCTTTTCCTTTCGGATTTCATTTAGATGATAGCTAAACTCTACCTGATCTTGTGGAACATCGATATTTATTTTGTCCACGCTCTCATATGTCTGCAAAATGTGCGCATCTATAGTACTTTGAGAGTATGAAGGTATTGATTCCCATAGTTCTAAAGCATGATGGAAGCTTTCATTGTTGGAAGAGTGGAAGGTATTCGTTTCATCATCATTCGAAATAGCCGCATCAATAATATTGACCCCTGATGAAAAAACCTGAGAGACTGAAAATGAGACTATTGATATGAATGGTATCCATGGACATCGCATTTTATTTTTTTCATATATATATTAAGTCCTGTTTGATTGTAATTGGAATAATGATAATTTCTGATTAGAAAATAGCTGTTTGGCTGTGTGTGCATTAAATTGATAATATCCCCCCACTATCTCCATTCGAAAAGTCACCTGTTTAGTCACGTTTTAATGTCTTTTCACGTTGTTTTATGCTAAGTTATGCGTGTATCATGTTAGATGATGTCCAAGTATTTAAAGAACTCTTCCCAAATTTGCAAATATACTTCGAATTCGAACAAAGAAAACACATTTAGTAATATAAAAGAGTATAAGAAAGAATAGCAATAAAAAAGATTTCCCAGCAGAATTACAAGGAGAATATTACATCGACATGCCGGAAGAGAGGTCTCATCAAAAAGTTACACCCTCCTCCAAAATATATGACGAAGACGATATCACAGATATTGAAAGTAGTGAAACTGAAGAGCAAAGAGATTTTGAAACTATCAAAGGAGTGGTGTCACAAATTAGACCGAGTAATGCACGGAAGCCAGAAACTGACTCGAGTAAATCTTCGGATCTTGTGAAATGGGCTGGAAGATTGCAATTCCAATCTATTGAGTTACAAGAGCAAAATCAAGCTTTTGTTTTAGAATTGAAAAAGATAAACAAACAGTGGCTGGATATATGGAAAAACACCCAACAGATCAAACAAATTGGGGATGATGTAAAGAAGTTAGAGCATCTGACGAAGCATGTAGAGAGAATGGGAAAGAAGGGGAATGAAATGGAAGAGTTGAGACGCTTGAATAAAGAATTGAAAAAATTGCAAAGTATTGAGAAGAATATAGAGTCTATTAAAAATCTAGGCAATCAGATGGAAGGAATCGCGGCCCAGTTTCATGACACCAAGAATATTAAAACTATGATTCAGTCCCAGTTGCAAAACTTCCAAAACCAGCTCCAAAGTTATTTGCAAATCCAGAATAAGCATCAAGAGATCGATCCAGGAAGCATTACGAGAGGCTTTTTACAGCCTAATGAGTTAGTGTTGACAGATAAGGACTCTCACGGTGGTATTAGGGTTTTCCAAGAATTTGTTTCCCAAAAGCTCGATTTGCATTTTCAAAACTTGATGACATATATGGAGCAGCAGAACCAATCACTGACGAATAAAATTAGTGAGCGAGTTCGGAAAAACATTGTTAAATATCATGAGAAGGGTGGAGAAAGTATCAATAAAAAAATGAATAATTTACTAATCAAGCTAGAAAACATGGAGAAAAGCAATTTGATAATACTTAAAAAACTTGAAATGATTGAAAAATCCACAAGTCACTCCCATGATTTTGATAATCCAAACGTCAAATCTATTAATAAAGTCAAAATTCAACAAATGATCAGTGCTAATGATGCTGATGATACAATCAAGCATTCCAGGACTGTAACCTTAAAAATTCCTAAATCGGTTGCTATTGACAAGAAGAAAGGAAGCGATTCAAAAAAAAATTTCAAAATGGCAAAACCAAATCAAAAGAGCAAAGTTGCAAAACCAAAGCAAAAAGGCAAAAAAGCAAAAATTGATGATCAGGCACAAAGGGTGCAATATGTAAACTTTCAATCTGCTAAACCTTCGCCACGAGCAACGCCAGTGAATTCCTTTTTTGCAGATGGATATCATGAAATATCATGCAATAATCTTCTAGATAGGAAAGCTAAAAGGACCGCAACTGGTATCAAAAATTATAAAGCTCTCGAAAGTTCCAAGCCAAGTTACACCGAAAAGCTAGTTAATGTGAATGACAGCCTGACAGCTGGATATGAAGGCGGCCACCCGCCAAATCATATCGATTATCAATTGGAAAGCCTCAGTGACATAGATGACAGCCAGTCGATCACCTTATTGGACAGCCAGCAATATGAGCAGCAGCTAATGGGGGTGTTTGAAGTTGGTAGCGAGAATACGATTTGAGAGAATCTATCTCGAGGAACATTCCTGAGAGAAAAAGAAATGGCAAAGAGTCTACCAATTCCTGTCAAACTATGATAGCTGAGTCATAATTTTTCTAATAAGATATGCTCTGTTGATCAAGGTCCATTTGTAAGCATGATGTAACTTGTGTGGGACTCTGAAGAATAATAATTTATTAATGGATGACCAATAATCATTTCTAGCATCTTCCAAAATGACAATTACTAAAAGTGTCAATCGCTATTATTAATGCTCCAACGTTCTGGATCGGTGGTGGTTCCGTGTTATCACGTGCTTGCAAATAATTCCTGGTATAAAAACTCGAAGGTTCCCAAACTAATTACGTTCGCTATCAATTTTTCGTCGATTCAGATATACACATCTAGTTTCTTTCAAACAGTTCTTATCATCACATACACAATGGTCAAAGTTCTTAACAACGCCCCAGAATTCGAAACCGCAATCAAAACTGACTCTTTGGTTGTCGTTGATTTCTTTGCTACCTGGTGTGGTCCTTGTAAAATGATTGCTCCACTCCTCGAAAAGTTTGACGAAAAGTTTGCCGCTGCTGCTTTCTACAAGTTGGACATCGATGAAGTCCCATCAATTGCTCAATCCCAAGATATCACTGCCATGCCAACTATTGTTCTCTACAAGGGTGGTAAGGAAGTGAAGAGAGTTGTTGGTGCCAACCCAGCTGCCATTCAACAAGCCATTTCCAGCAACCTCTAATCAATTGATGATATTTAACGTGTTTATTTAATTTTTTCCATACTTATTTTTTCATGACAGGACTGCCCGGTATTTCTTTTGCTTGAAGGGTGTGTATTATCTTTGTGGCCATTTATATATTCATTTATAATATATTGAATGTTTTAATAGGGCAATGTATATATTTGTATCATATTTTGTAAAGTATATTATTGAACATTAATGATTTACAGCTGACAATGATTACTAATTCGGCATCATTTGGCTACTGCTCCACTTTCACACAAGATGATTGAATGATTGTCTTAGAAGCAACTTTGTGCTAACAAACTAGTAAATTCACCCGTCGTGGGGTTGTTACCAAAAAATTCTTAATCATTAATTATCAATTAATGTTTCTTTGAATTATTGCAGTCACATAATCATATTTGATAACGAATGTAAGAGAGAGAGAGAGAGAGAGAGAGAGAGAGAGAGAGAAAGAGAGAGAAAGGAACAAAATCAGTGGGCCATTTTCACCGGACATCAAGGTGTTCCATTACCGGAGGGCATTCCCACCAACCAAAGTTTCCAATTTCGGTTTTTTCCAAATAAGAGCTATTTCTGCATAAAGTTTTCCTGTTACACAATATAAACGATAAATCTTTCTAAGAATTCCGTACAACCAACTCGCTAAAGAAATTTGCTGTGCTGACTGCACTTCTCAACTTATTACATGGCTAATTATGGTATTTTACCTATATCTTAGCTCAAATTGCAAAGATAGTATATGAAAAACATACCCCGAATGCTCCTGAAAATGCTATATGTATTAATGGTTGCCTTTATGATAATTTTTAAAAAACCCTGTCAATTATGCAATCCTAATATTGTAAATCACATATATGGGCACTGTAATCACTGGTTTCGCCGCTTAAAAAAGACAGAGAATTGAAATGATTTTGTCCTTGAAGATACCTCTCCATTTCATTATTAGAATTATATTCATCAATTGCTGGCCCTTAATAAGCATTACTGCTCCTTGAATTATGAAGCCCTGGTTGGGTGCATCACCAAATTTGTGGATTTTTAGCCATCATCACCACCACCAAAGAGCATTCTGAAGTGCAGCATTATTGTTAAGTATGAGCAATCCTACTCTCGAAAATACCACTAAAAAGTTTTCAAAGGAATATATTAATCCATATTTCTTCCTCAACGATGATGCCTCGGCAATTACCACAGATTTCCTGATGTTGACATCTATAAGATACGATCCATCATTAGCCGACTCAAACGATTCCAGCTGTGAATTTTTCTTATTTAATGAACATTTCAACCGTTTGAAATTTCAGTTGGCCTTTTTCAAATGGGATATTGAGCTTATTAGAGAAATTTTACTCCAAAAGTTGATTGAAACTATTGATAACGTGAAGCGGATTGAGCTTGAAAAGCTCATAGTTAATGCTAGAGAAAAGAACATTGACGAGCAATATTTGTCATCAGAGCTAGAAAATCAAAGTTATAAAATGAGAGTGACTATTGACCGCAAAGGTAATGTTACCATCGGGGCTTCAAGAGCTGTTGATCGCCCTAATTTAATGGATGCTTTAGTGGAGTATGTTCCCCACCAATTTCACCACCAATCAAAATTTCCCCAAGGGCCTCAAATTAAAGAATCCAATTCAAATCCTAATCTCAATAATGATCAAGCTGAAAATGATATTTCAATAGATTTTACACCATCTTTTAATCAATTCCCTCCTGATGATCAAAATACACTCTCTATTCCTGCACCGCTTCCACCGCCGGCGATTTTAACTTATTCTCTTTATCTTGATACTCAACCAACACCAATAAGCATGTTCACATCTTTTAAAACCACTTATCGTCCACATTACACCCAAGCTCGCTCCAGAGCTCTTGCCAATCCTAACGATTATTCGATACGTCAAGATGTAATCATGTATAATTCTGCTGGACAGGTCATGGAGACTTCCATTGCAAATTTGGCGTTCAAGAGACAAGGAAAATGGATAACACCGCAGATTAGCTCTGGCGGTCTTTGCGGAGTTGTTCGACAAATGCTCATTACCAAATGTTTAGTTGAGGAAGGAAATGTACTAATGAAAGATGTGCAGATTGGTGAGGAAGTTTTATTCATGAACGGCGTAGTTGGTGTTGCAAGGGGCGTAGTTGCTAGTTCTTAAATGATTGATCAATCTTACAGTATGTTATTTATATATGGAGATGATCAATAGAAAGTTCAGTGCACCCTCTAGTATGTAAACGTAAAAATATAATACATAAATATTTACATTACTCAATGAGGCATCTTTCTGAGTATTTTTTTTTTCTTCTTTTTTCCCGTATTTCAGCAGTAGATAAAGTTAATTATCACAAAACTACAGCATATGATATACACAATAGTGCAAAATGAAACTCCAAATCTCACAAGTTGAATAGATATTAGTCCGTGTTTTTTCCTCGAGGATGATATATCAGTAATAGCCACATGTTTATATAATAAAAGAATAATATAAATTCAATCATAGACATTATTAAATGAGCTATCTTCTTCCATATCCAAAATCAAGCTATCAAAATCCTCAACATATTTCCATTCTTCTAACCAATTAGCCTTCAAATTCAAAAAAGAAGTATCCCTCACAATTCCTTCCACAGGCCACCAATGGCACAACATCAAATACACAATCATCGCAGTTCCGAATCCAACAAAAAAACTAAATTCGTAAATCAAAATAATAGTTTCCATTATCATAGATTTCTCTTCGCCAAATCCACCACAAGCATTCACAAAACCCGGCAAATTGGGCACTATGGCAACTATATAAGCAACATACGCTCTCCAATTGACTTTAAGCTTTTGGTCATAACTATAAATCCCATTAAGTTTATACAATTCAATCAAATTGAGGTAACCCCTTCTAACAATATAATAGTCGGTAATCATGACTCCAGCAATTCCGCTCAAAAACACACTATAGGCGCTCAAGTAAACTGTAAACTTATTAGAACTTTCAAAGAATCTCCAAGGTTGAATAATCAATGAAAACATCGCACAAATGATACCACCTCTCCTAATAGTAATATAATTTGGTAATAAACAAGACAAGCCGGTGGCAGCACCCAAACTGTTGGCAGTATTTGTCCCCACTTGAGCAATAATAAATGAGATTGCAATCAAGAGGACCCCAATTCTGGTGGATAATGTAATAATCCCTTCAGTTTCATCATTGTCCACATCTTTCAAGAATCTATCAAGGACATCCAAAGGAGACCAATAGGCCACCCCGTAAATCTTGCGAGATGCTGAACTGATGAGAATACCAATCAAGGAAGTCAATGTGAAACAGACCGGTACACAAATGATGTTGGTATACTCTATGGATTTTGGAGAATTGGCAAATCTCGAGAAGTCAGAAGCATTGAGAATCAAACTGGAAAAATTCGCCACACTGTTCATGGTCGAAGTGACAAATGTCCAAAATTTGAGATGGTCTTTACTCTCGTGGATTGATGTATGATAATCCGGTTCGACAGGATCAGAAATTTTGGCCTTGAATAATGTCCATCCTAATAATCCAAGTGCGGCAAATGGGACAACGTATGCCTTTAGCGTAAGTAATGGCTTTAATTTGTGAGGCGGGATCAAAATTGCAAAAAACGATACTATCCAAAATATCCCAAATGAAATCATTTCAAAACTAAAATGATCTGACCAATTGCCATGATTATTGCCTTCGTCATCATTGATGTACTCATAGAACATCGATTTCAAAATCAATTGGACACACTGTCCACCAATCCAGCACTGAACGGCATACCAAACCCCACCAACAACTGCTCTATTCAATACAGGCCATATTGCCCCATTCAATCCGAACGATACTTTACATAATATTGGGAAAGAAATGTGATTATAAGTACCGATTCTGGCTGAAATATGAATGAAAACCCCAACTATGGAATATCCAAGTAATATAGAAAGAATCACTTCTTTAGTTGACAACGTGTGATTCAAAAGCCCGGTACTTGCTAGCTGGATGGTGTTGATATTGAAACTATCAGTGATCCAAAAAAATACAAAACTTGTTTTGTCCCAAGTTCGTCTGGCACTTTCTACTGGCATAGCATCTGCTGTCGAATGTTCAAGTCTAAGAAGTTTCAAGGCCCTGGAAAATGGTGTAGTAGAGGACACTTTTTTTTGCCTTTGGCTGTTGTTGGTGGAATCATAATCGATTATCTCAAACTGTTGTTCTTCAGGCGTCTTGCTTCTGCTTATCAATCTGGCATCCTCCCCAGAATTTGTTCTTGTCATGGTTCTTCCCGAGATGAAAAAAAAAAAGCCTAAGACCAAAATGCGTTCTTATCAACAGCTATCTTTGGATTTTATTTATTAACGATTAACCACCATGGTATTATTGTTATCTATGTTTTTTTCACCGTTTGGATCTAAAATCTTCTTATCTTCCGGCATTGCGATTGATAATCAAACTCAATGCATGTACCACCGTGGCGGATTTTTATTGGAAGTAGTTGAGGGGAAATTTCGTCTGTTTATGGCATAAAATTTATTATAAATATATTCAGGTATGCGTAGTATATAAAACTGATTGTAATGATATTTTTAATGATACTAATTTTTTCGATCACACTGCTTTCCTCTATAGTCAGGAAACTCCTGGTTTTGGCATGATGAATTCACCAGATGGCCATGTCAAAACTGCAGCATTAGTATAATCGCCTAGTCTGTAAACCATCGTGGTAGAAGCTCTTGCAACTCTTAAGTATAATTCTAATGGTTTACCATCCATAGCTGCCACAGAAGTCTCCACAAATTCTCTAAAATCAGGGTTCAATTTAATTAGTTCAGGAATGTAGATTGTCGAATTGACCCCTCTATATCTTTCTATATCGTTTATTATTAGGGAGAACCCATCCAATATATTAGGGTTTATGTCATCATAATCTTGCTCCTCGATATTGAACATCGATGCTGATTCGATCCAGGAAAGTGCCTGCAAGTCCCTATCATAATCATTGAATACTGGGGGTCTCAAATCTTCTCTGTAAAAAGGATCATCTCTTCTCAATGATCCATCAGTTTCCACAATCGATGCGAAATCCCATCTTGCAACACCGTTAATGATAAACCCAAGTAAAAGGCCTTGGAATAAAAGGGCAGAAAACCCTCGGGTATATGTTCCTGGGATCAATATTAACCCAAAAATGTAATGGTGAATACGTAATGTAACACCGGGAATTTTATTCAAAAGCACACAGGAAATAATAACTGTGAAATAAAATGACAAATATTTAACCAATTTTCCGGTTCTCCAAACTGCAAATGTCTGAATGAGCACACAGACTATCAAAATTGATCCGATAATGAGCACCGTCAAAATTGAACTGATTTGCCCTTTTAAATCGCTGATCAATAACCGATCAACAGTCAAGTATTTATCGAAAGTTAGATTGTTCATAATAGACACCCAAAAGAGAAAATACCAAAGCAAAATCTTTCCAATTGGTGAAGCATTTTTGTTCAAAGTGCTTTTCACTGCCATTCTCCAAATAGTGTAGAGAACAAACGCTAAAGGTAATAATCTTCTAAAGCCAACACTGAATAAATAGCTTGTAGCCTCTGGGTTAAAATTATCAAGGATAATTGGAGGGTCTAGCGCAAGAATAATATTCCAAAACGCCATTATCGATATAACAACATAATCAATGACCCCTTCATAAAAATACATGAGCGGAATCCCAAATAAAATATTCACCAATGTGATACGCATTCGGTAGTCATAACAGTTCTTCACGATGATTTCAAACCCCGATTCATTTTTTGAGTCTTTCAAAGACTTGAAAATAAAAGAATAAGGGAAAGTACTATTGAACCCCACCGAACTGAAATACTTGCCCTTTTTAGAATCGAAGCTCGTGATTGTTTTATCGTTACTGCTGACAAAGGACATCCTTGCCGAGCCTCCATGGGTGGCAGAAATCAATCCAGCATGAAGAGCAGCGGCACATGGAAAAGAGTCAGCTCTATAAGGATACGTAATCTGTTCACTATGAGTCAAATGTTCATAATTTTCAATATCTTCAATCAATCCCCCACCAACCACATAGCTGATATATTTATGAGTCTCAAGGCCAGTGGTCATTGTAGAATATATTTTACTTTCACTATCGCAAAGCGCCGGGCATTTGATGATGATATCTCTATCATCAACGGTGTAAGGGGAATAGTTTACTAAATCTGCGGTAGTGGTCAGCTCCGTACTAAGGAGCATTGGCTTATCAAACTTCCGAAGGTCTCCAAGACAACAACCAGCATTTAGGCATTTCAGACAGGATTTTCCTTCCCAAATATTATGGAATTGCCGGCAAGATAATTGTACAATATCTGTGTTATTTAGATTAAAATCACTTCGATCAATATTTTTTGTGGTAATCTCTGGTAAGCTGTACAAGTTCTTTAAGATCATGGGCATAACCACGAAGAGCCAAACTATTAGATAAAGTGCCAAAGCAACCATTCTGGTTTTCAAAGAAACAGAGGCATATATCCGGAAAGGAAATCTATCTAGTGCTGCGAATTTGGATGTGATAGTACATTGGTATATTGGGTCAACCTTGACTTGGGGTCCGCTTATAAAAGCTTTATGTAGAAAATTAATGGTGTTATTTATGAACAAGTTTATCCTTTCATTCGAGCTGATGTGCAATTCTGATATGAAAGTTTTATCACTAATGAGAAATTCATCGTTTAATTCACGATGATCTAGTCCAATGTCATCGACCTGTTGGTTCTCGATGTCGAGAAAGCTAATATTGTGGGTATTGTGAAGAAGGCTCTCTGATTGATCGTCTTCAAGTGACGCTATAGAGGATGGCTCACTGTGATAATTAAGACGATCTCCCAGTTGCTCATCCATTATTCTTGTGGTGGTTTTCTATTCTATTGATTCGGGAAGGTCCAACTCACGCGATTAAAATTTCGGTATTTTTCATATCGATAGGGTGTTCCCGTCTGCATGGTGCAGATGTCATTTGGTACCCTTTGAAGTTGTTGGACATTTCATTTTCTTTATCTTGAACATGGTGTTATTGACTTTATCAGATCAATATTTCATCATTCAGTTTTCACTCCTTGGGATGGCAGTATCATCTTTTTTTTTTTTATTCTTCAATGATGGCATCCTACCTGCACCCAATAGGCAAAGCATGCAATTACTACATTCATTCCTCTCAGCACACAATATATATAATTAATTCTTCTTCAAAAAAAAAAAAAAAAAAAAGGGAAATGGGAAAGGAAAAAAGAAAGCCACATATATATATCACTAATTCAAAAGACTGTCTGTCTTGTTTATGACACCACTGAGATCCTTCAAAGCCACGACGTTCTGGTCTAATTGTTTGAGATTCTTAGATAATTGAGCCAATAATGGCGCAATGTCTTCATCTTCATTGGGATCATAGTTTTTAATGTTACCGAAACTCTTGGAAAAGCTTGGCGGGATAACTGAAGATAAAAGCTCCTGAACATCAGTAGATAAGTCCAATGGAGCTAAGGAACCAGCAGATAGTTTTAGATTGATGCCATCACTTGAATTTGTCACATAATCGTTAACAAATTTGCTATTTTCTGGATCTGAATTCATATTTGCAATATCATTTGTTTTCAAAGATCTCAACATATTTTTCTCGGTGTGTGCAAAGGCCTTTTCTTCGCTCCTATAGGTTTTCTGAAGTTTCTCCAAATAGTTTTTGTTGTTCTTATAAATTATTCTTTCTTTGGCCAAAGTTCGCTCAAGCTCAGATACTTGTTCTAAATTCTGAGAGTATGTTTTTTGTAAATAAGATACTCTTTTGACAAGATAATCAAAATTAAAATTCTGATCCTTAAAACCTATGGGTACCAATATGCCGTCGAGTTCAGCTCTTGATCTATTTTCGATAAAAGTTAGAAAATGAAAATTAATATAAAAAAAAAATGTGGTAATAAACAATACTTACTCTTTTATGAGTTTATTGAGGATTCTTCTTCCCTCTTTTTTCTGTTTCTGAGACTTCATAAGCCGTAACGACGGCTCAACAGACAATAATAGCAATTTCATGATTTCTTCAAATGATCCCGGAGAGAGCTCCTCCCATCGCTTTTGAGCAGTGCGTGTCAATATTCTTTTCTTTATGGTTTGTAATTTCAAATCATTTAGAGCCGCCTTGTTAATCAACGACGCGTCTTCTGCAGCCTGGCTTGATTTGCTTATTGCTTTAGCCTTCGATGAGGGTTTTGACGGCAAGAGTGGGCCATTCTTCATTCTTTTCGTAAACACTAGAGGGGCGCTAGGAGACCTAACACTGTTATTATTAATATTATTATCTGTATCATCATTATATATGCCTGATGATTCCATTTCTTCGGAGACCCATTCTGCTTCTTGAGAACCGCCTCTATCGACTGTTGAGACTTTTGGATTGATTTTGCCTTGGATATGCTTCTGCCTCCTACGAGCTATTGGAATTGGCTTCCTCGTATTCTTTGTTGTCTTATTCTTTGTTCTGGCCATGGTTGTTGTATCATATATTTCAACCTTGTATTTTTGATGGTGATCCTAAAACGCGCACAGACTGTCAAAAAAAAAAAAAAAAAAAAAAAAAAAAAAAAAAAAAAAAAAAAAAAAAAAAAAAAGAAAAATGGCGTACAACACCCTTTTTATATCGAGCTCAATAGTTGAGAGAAAAGTCAAAGATAAAGAGAGCCAAAACAATAATTATTAATTAATACAGTATTACTATCTCATATTCTTCTCCAGCAGCCAACAATATGTTCCTTTCTATTTATCCGGGTAACCTTGGTAGCCTAGCCAAAAGCTCAAGAGCAGTTAATCCCATCATCGCTGTACTCTTTATATTCAATCGCCATCGATTACCTTAGTTACCAATGGTATGTCATGTCATTTCCCCTTAAATACCATGGTTTTTTCTGGATTCTCGTTGGAATGAATTACTCACACCAAACAGTCATCTTTATACACCTTTTCTCAAGACACCTTGCAAGGACTAAAGAAGTTCAGTTTCTCGAGCTCTAGAGCGAAGACCATGCAGGCCACTGTTTATGCCATCGACAGAAAGACATATGAAATCAAGAAAGATGAGGGCATTGAGGACATTGTTGAGTCTTTAGAAGAACTCGAGGATGAGTTGCCTGATACTTCCCCAAGATTCGTGGTCCTTTCGTATCCTGTCACCACCAAGGATGGCAGAATGTCTTTCCCGTTTGTTATGTTGTATTATTTGCCTCCAAATGCCAGTCAGAATGATAGAATGTTATATGCTGGTGCCACTGAACTATTTAAGAATAAGGCGAATGTTTCTAGAATGTTAGAAGTTTCTGAATCAGAAGATTTTGAAGAAATCCACGATATTTTGTCCGCGTGATATCGTTCTGTTTCGTTTCTGAGCTTAACTACATCATTGACTATCTCTCGTCCAATTACTCATTCATTTTATTCTGTTTTTTTTTTTTTGCTAAAAAATTTTTTTTCCTTATCAGTTTATAAGAAATGGAAATTACATTATATATTTAATTGGCCCTAGCTAGATAATGGCTAATCAATATCTGAAAAAACATTTTCCATCTGATCCCTTGCAACACCAACATTTTCCAAACTCCTTTCGTATTTTGCCTGTAAAGGTGAAATCAAATTTTTTAACCCATTTTGTGTATGGTTGAATATTTCTTGTATGATTGATCCTGTCCCCAAGCTTTTGGTTCCCGAAAATGGCCCAAAATCCTTCGATATTGCTTGGTCATCAGACTTACTAATATTCACTATAGTCTTTTTTTTGCGAGTTTCTGGGAAAGAGTTTAGTCCTATCTTTAAAAAATGTTTTATTTCATTTAGTTTTCTTTCATTTTCCTTAGTTAATGCCATCTCGGTTTCCAATTCCTCCAATTCATAAATGGCATTATTACAAACTTTAGAACTGTAAATTATTTCTTGTTGGAAATCCTTGACCATTCCAACCAAACATCGGGCCTCCTCATTCTGGGAGATGACCAAGGCTTCTGTTAAAGCAGAAATAATATCTACCAATTTGTACCATTCATCTTTAGATAAGTAGTCCTTATCGTGAGCTAAAGATTTCAAGTATTCTGTTGGAAATGAAGATTGGAAGTATCCAATGCCACCGCTTTTAGACTCTTTGTAGTATTTATTGATAATTGAGTTAACCTCCTCTAATGAAAATGGAGTCAGTTGATCTTGAGGGCTTTCCACTCTCTCGTACCTAAGACTCAAGCCCTTCTGGGGACTTTTGAACTCCTCGTAATAATCAGAATTGTCTCTCATAACTGGTGTATCGTATGCTGCCTTTCTTACAAAGGGCACTTGGTTCTCTTTGTTTTCATCTGGACTTGAAAATGGATCTCTTTTTTTGCGAATAATGCTGTTTTCAGCCCCATGACTACTAAATAAACTCAACAAACCGGATGATTTTGGTTTTGGTGTTATTTTTTGTGATTTTGTACTTGCGTATATGGTTTTGTACTTGTTGGTTGCCTCACCATTAGTTCTTGAAGCAAAGGCTTTTTTGCAGGTGAATGATTTGGTTGGTTGGGCATAACTCGGTAAGGTTCTCTGGTCAAACATTTTTGCCGTTATGCCTTCAACACAATTTATTAGCAATATCAAACGAATGAGTACCTCTTTTTTGTTATTTGTTTTTTGTTTTGTGTTTTGTGTTTTTTGTTTTGTCTGGGTAGTGTTTGTGTCAACGCTTATTTTCATGTTGGGCGTGTTTGTGGATGCATGTTATATATGCTAGTCTATGCATGTATCACAGTAATTCAAAATAAAAAAAAAAAAACATCGAGGAAAATTTTTTGTGATGAGGCCCACTCACAATTCACTATATTAGTCACTGGCGCATTAACTCCTGGGAATTATCCTTCCTTCCTTCCTTGCTTGCTTGCTTCTTTCTATAAACCTCTCTTTTTTCCATTCACAAAAAAAAAAGTTTATGAGGCTTATCAATAGAGTAATTCCAACAAGAAGACTCCTTAGAAATTTTATTCTGCCATCATTAGTGACACCATATATTCGTGGTTACAGATTTCCAAGCATTAAATTATATCATAAAATGACCGAAGTCCAAAACTTGACCAAGCTCATAGGTCAATTGGGTTTTGATGAACCAACTCATCAGCCAGGATCGTATCCGGAATTCAATCCCGTTGATGTTATTAGAAACTATATCACTGAAGAATTGCACAAGCTTTCCAACGTTGACAAATCCATCATCTTCCCAGCCTTGGACTGCCCAAACACCTTGGACAAAGGTGACTTGATTGTTCCAATCCCAAGATTGCGTATCAAGGGCGCCAACCCTGCTAACTTGGCTAAGGAATGGGCTGAAAACTTCCCAAAGGGTAACTATTTAGAAAAAGTTGAGTCTCAAGGTCCATTTATCCAATTTTTCATTTCCAAGAACTACTTGACCAATGTCGTGTTAAAAGATATATTAATCAGAAATGAGCATTACGGTGAACTTCCACTCGGTGAAGGAAAGAAGGTTATTGTTGAATTCTCTTCTCCAAATATTGCTAAGCCTTTCCATGCGGGACATTTGCGTTCAACAATCATTGGTGGCTTCCTTTCTAACCTTTACGAAAAATTGGGCTGGAATGTCTTCAGATTAAACTACTTAGGTGACTGGGGTAAACAATTTGGTGTTTTGGCCGTAGGTTTTGAACGTTATGGTAGCCAAGAAAAATTGAGTACCGATCCAATCAATCATTTATTTGAAGTTTATGTGAAGATTAACAAAGACATCACTGAAGAAAAAGAATCCCTGGGTGAAAGCCAAACAAGTAAGACTGACGATGATGCCAGAGCTTTCTTTAGAAGAATGGAAGATGGTGATCCAGATGCTATTGCCTTGTGGAAAAAATTCAGAGAATTGTCTATTGAAAAATATATCGATACTTATGCTAGATTGAACATTAAATACGATCTTTATGGTGGTGAATCTGTGGTTTCTAAAGATTCCATGGACACGGCTATCGAATCTTTGGAAGCTAAGAAATTAGTCTTTGAAGACAAGGGGGCTAAATTGATCGACTTGAAGCCATTCAATAAAAAATTGGGTAAAGTTCTCGTCGAAAAATCTGATGGTACCAGATTGTATATGAGTAGAGATATTGCTGGTGCCGTTGAACGTTATGAAAAATACAAATTTGACAAGATGATTTATGTTATTGCCTCTCAACAAGATTTGCATACTGCTCAATTCTTTGAAATTTTGAAATTATTGGATTACCCGTGGGCTAAGGATTTGGTACATGTTAACTTTGGTTTGGTTCAAGGGATGTCCACCAGAAAGGGTACAGTGGTTTTCCTTGACACTATCTTAGAAGAAACCCAAAAGGAAATGTTGAAGGTTATGCAAAAGAATGAAGCCAAATACGCTCAAATTGAAGACCCAGAGAAGATTGCTGACTTGATTGGTATTTCTGCTGTCATGATTCAGGATATGAGTGGTAAGAGAATTAATAACTATCACTTTAGTTGGGATAGAATGCTTTCATTTGAAGGTGATACTGGTCCATACTTACAATATGCTCACTCCAGATTATCATCAGTTGCTAGAAATGCGAAGGTTTCCAAGGATAATTTGCAAGAAGCTAATACCGATTTGTTAGTGGAAGATCAAGCCTTCCATTTGATCAGGTTGTTGTCCCAATATCCAGATGTTTTAGCTCGTGCTATTAAGAACCATGAACCATCAACTATCGTGACATACCTTTTCAAACTTACACATGTTGTTTCCTCTTGTTATGATGTCTTATGGGTTGCTGGTCAAGCCGAAGAATTGGCTACTGCCCGTTTGGCTCTTTATGTTGCTACCCGCAATGTTATCAATAATGGTATGAGATTATTGGGTCTTACTCCAGTTGAAAGAATGTGAATGTGAATGCCTTAGAGGTCTTTAGATTTCCTTTTATTATATCTGTATTTTACCAATTCTTTTTGTTATGACCTTTGTATGTTGTGGATATCTTCAAAAAAAAAAAATCAGTTGTATCAAAGTTGTTTTGTAGAGAATTTGTTTTCACACATGCATGACAGAAAAGGTAAAGATGTTTCAATGATAATGCCTAAGTTCATGACAATAGCAGTTTGAAAAGCAACGGCTAGGCCCACTCTGTGCTCATACAGTTGAACCTAAAAACAATTTTCTACAATCATCTCAGTTCTACAATGTGACACTTTAGTTAGATAAATCATTTTCATAATTTTCGTTGATTAATTAAAATCTTGAATATTATACAAAGCTTTAATATTTTGGTGGTTAAAAAATTAAACATAAAGCAATAGATCTAGTTAACCAAAGCAGAAGCGGTGGCAGATTCGTACTTCCAGTTTGGTGGCAAAACAGCAACACTTCTGTAGTAACGAGCCAATCTGTGGATTCTAGATTCGATCAAAATCAATCTGAATTTAGAGTCCTTGTCCTTTCTGTTAGCGTCCAAGTGCTTTCTGACAGCAACGGCCTTCTTGATCAAGAAGTACAAGTCTTCTGGGATTTCTGGAGCCAAACCGTTAGCCTTCAAGATTCTCAACAAAGTAGCACCGGTGATGACGGAGGATTGTGGGACACCGTGAGCATCTCTCAAGATAACACCAATTTGAGATGGAGTGAAACCCTTTCTGGCGTACTTAATAACTTGTTCAATGACAGCTTCTGGGGTAGACTTGAACCAAGATGGAGCTTGTCTAGAATATGGTTTAGCGGAGGAAGAGATACCTTTACCCTGTAACAAGATGTTAGTATGTTTTTCGGACTCAAGTTTCCAAAAAAAAATTAAATGGAAAATATCCTCATATGGGTGAATACGAAACCTTGAAAAATGACCACAAAACCTGGCCCAAGATGGAGCAAATGTCTGGGTCAAAATTTTTAAGACTTCGTCATTCCAAATCAATATAATTTGGTGGAATCGTATAGCATTATGTTAACACATATTCGTGAAATCAATAAAAGGAAAGAAAAGAAAAAATCATCACGATATATTATCATTTCTGGTTCCATTGATTCATAAAACCATAAACGACCCGAATTATATGTACTTTTTAGTAGTTCTTTGAAGTTTGTGAGCTTTTGCTCAAGCCATAGTATCTATCCACATACAGTACTGTGCATACGACCCATTTTGAATGATTATTATTTGATTCCTGACGTTGTTGCTTAACTGAAATGTCTCAAGGTGGGAAGGTTCAATTTCGGTGACTTTGTGGTTTTTTTTTTTATCTCCCTGAGGATTATTTTTTTCTGAAACTTTTTCAGTCACTTACTCATGATTATCACGTGCATAATTATAGGGCACAGAAGATATAGTCTTAATCCATAGAAAGGTAACAGAACTACAGGAAAATGAATATAGATATACGTCTATATAGATATCACTACTATATTGAGGCCAATCCAAAAACATGATAAACTTCTAATGGGATTTAATTCGTGAGAGCGTAGATTCAATTCTTTTTTGCCCAGTAAAGCGCACCCTGCATCACTATCAGCATGCATATAACATGTATTTACCAAAAATCAAAATGTATACATAATGTATGAAATAATAGGTGGGCTAATGTCATGATGATTATCTCTCTTTTTGTCTGCTAATATATAAATAAATTATTTGCTGTGGTTATCAATGCTGCATTAACAATTTCATCAGGATTTATTTGTAGCTTGAAATGTTTGAAAGTCTCATCAGTTGGCAAATCCTCATATGCATTTTATTATAATCATCTAGCCTCTGAAAATGCACCGTGCCATTTATTCACCTATATTTTGGAACTGTTCAAAAGATATACTCGGGAATTTCATTGATTTTTTTCTTTACTGGATAGGCATCATTCTTTAATCCGAACTAAGTGTAAAAACATTTATAAACTTTGCGGATATTAATTTCTCTACAGTCGTTTACTAGTACATGTGCTGGCGTGTTAAATACTGTGACACCAGAAATAACAAAAACTAGTGTCCTCAAACCAAATATGAATGCTATTAGAGAAAAAAAGATCAATGTTGATAGGCAAGTAAGCATTTTGTGCTACGATACTAACCGGAGATTATTTGAAGTCGGTCAAACATTTACACAAACCCAAATTCCTATTGAACAAATAGAGGAACAGATATTTTTGCATTTATTGTAAATTATGTATGATAATTCCATTGTATATAATAATTATAACTACTCAGTTTTTAGATAAACTTTTATAAACCTCTCTTCTGCGATTTTTTAAGCTTCAATTTTTCTTCTGAGATTCGCCGTGGAGTGTAACCATATATGATGGCTTTCGCTCTAAAAACTTCAATTTGCTTCAGAATCGTTTCATCTTTCCCTGTATCTTCCATCTTCCATTCTAATTGCGTAATTATCCTCAAATATAACCTCATCATAATTTCCTTCTTCTTGATGAGCTCCTCTGCAATATCGACATGGCTCAACTTGTTAGGTTGCGCATTTGCTAATAATATGCTTTTTGAAGTACCTAGTGGTTGGATCGTAGTATTTTGTCTTATTTTCTCTGACTGGGGATATGGCTCAATTTTCCTTTCTTTTGGAAACGTTGAGGGTGGCTTGGAAACTTTGTGACTGCCAACATTGATCTGAGTTTTAGATTTATATTCCTCATTCATCAAAGATTGAGTTACCTCATCAGAGAATTTTTGAGAATTTTTCCCTAGGAAGGGTCTTAGCTCCTTAGCCAAATATCTGGCCAACCTGTGTTTGTTAAAATTATTGTTGACTATGGCTAATGTGTACTCAGTTAGCGTGGTGTTATCGTTAGTATTTTGTTTGATCCCATACAATTGGATTTTATTGGATATCCATTTCTTGAGCTGATAACTTTCTCGATCATTTAATTTCATCTTCATATGGGTATATCTAGTGCTTGTTTCTCGATCCACTTTCGTTATCTAATCCAAAACCGCATCTCATCTCATCTCATCTCATTTGCATTCGCATCTGATTAGTTACCACAGAATCGGTATATAACCCGGATAAGGCATGACTCTTCAGCACGTGGTGGGACATTGATAGAGAAAATAGAAAAGTAACGGATGCTTGGAGGATGGGAAAGAAAGAAAAAACAAAAAGGAAAGGTCATTCAGATTCATTGGATTTTTGTTCAAAAGTCCTAAAAGAAACATAAGATTAAAGATTTTTGCTTCCCCCTCCACTTTTATAATCTAAGAGAGAATCATTTCAATAAGTGAAGAATGTCTCTCTATTCAGCCACAATAATCAGTCAAGGCACCTCATATCCAAATGAGCTTACCGGATCCCTATATCAATTCATTGAAGATACCCCGGGGGTATTATTTCACTCAATCCATAACTTAGCTGAAACCAAAGCCATCGATTTTATTGTTCAATTGGAACATGAAGCCGATCAAAAAGAGGTTGTTGCTTCAATCACTCCAAAGTTTAAACAATTTGCTCAAGATTTCAATGCTAAAAAAGAAAAGAAAGATAGAATAGATTTGATTTTGCAGCCACATGAAGGTAGAAAAGATAAGAAGTTATTTATTTTCGATATGGACTCCACATTGATCACTCAGGAAGTCATTGAAATGATTGCTGGTTATGCCGGCGTCGAAGACAAAGTTAGAGAGATCACCGAAGCCGCGATGCGTGGAGAACTTGATTTCAATCAATCTTTAGCCCAGAGGGTGGGCTTACTTAGAGGTATCGAGTCAGAAAAGCTTTGGGATGAATTAGAATCTAGATTGATAGTTACTCCCGGTGCACCAGAATTGACCAAAGGCTTGAAGAAGTTGGGTATTACGTTAGGAGTGTTATCTGGTGGGTTTATTCCATTGGCTAATAGATTGAAGAAGAAATTGGGATTAGATTATGCATTTGCTAATAATTTAAAGGTGGAAACTGACTCTAATACAGGGAAGGAAGTGCTTAGTGGTGAAACATTTGGAGAGATTGTCAATGGCGACAAAAAGGCAGAATTATTGCAAAGGATTGCTAAAGAGAATGGAATTGATGTGAAAAATGCTGTCGCCGTTGGTGATGGTGCTAATGACCTCAAAATGATGGGAGTTGCTGGCTGGGGCATTGCTTGGAATGCCAAGCCGAAAGTCCAGGAAGAAGCACAGTGCGCTTTGAATTCCACCTCTTTGAGAGATGTTTTCTATATTTTGGGATATTCTGATCCGGAAATAGAAGATTTGATCAAATAAGTTCTACCAGCATAAAAATTACTACACTCTAAATTTAAAGATTATAGACATACAAATAGTTAATATCTATTCATTTTGGTTATCTTTGGCCGGCACCACATATAAACCATAGATATATTACAGCCAGTGGATATAGGATAGAAGTAATGTAACCAATGGTCTTTTTAATCTCCCGTGGACCAGTTAGGTTTTCGTAATTACCATATAGATAATGCGAATATAGGACCTCCACTACAGAAAAATAAATGAATATATTGTACAGTAAGTTCGAAATCCCCTTTAAACTGTTCTTGTTACTTTTCTTTTTTTCCTATTTTTAGTGGTTTAGATTCTAGCTTATCCCAAAGTTTTCCCCGGCAGTAAAATAGTAGTCACCGTGTCGGCAATTTCCCGGACATTTGTTTATGACTTCAGTACTTTCAAAGATCATTTGCATGACTTTCCTGTCATCTTGGAATCCATGCCAAATGTAGGGAATATCCATAAATCCATCAGGGGCGCGCACATAACAGACGACCCAACCTCACGACACATTCCTCATTCGTCATCCCGCAACTCTCCTTGATTTGCCGTAAGATACCACGCATTGCCTTACATAGCCGAAACGATCGACGGTGTGCCCAACGGCTATTGTCGGCATTTGACGGATAACAAGGCCGCAAGAACCGTCAATAAGAACCGTAGTGGACGATGCTAGAAAACAGTGGAATATGGGGTATTGACAGGACTGCAGAACCAGATGCATCAAGATGAATCGATGAGCTCCCAACATGAGGTTTCCCATGATCGATGGGGCTCGTCCATAATAATATAGTGGTGTGCCATTGCAAACGCCGAGAGGGCCGCCAGTCGGCAAGCATGTTAGTAAAGTAAAGTCGGGTTATACCACCTGTGTGACTCACACCGCAACCGGTCGCAATAATAGTCTACATTGGGAATGATGAGAATTTCCCTTTAACCTTATTGTCAATGGATAGATAGAAAACAATTCATTTATAGATCTATCTCACTGGTGGTACTTTTTTTAGGAGCCTCTCCTGAGATTCTGGAACTACAACAAGATGAGTAACTTTTGTTAATTTCTTAAAATAGGAAAAGGGTTTAGACCATACCACGCCAAAATTGTAATCTCAACTGCAAAGAATTTCCCTCTGCGATGCTTGTATAAAATTTTTTTTCTTAGCACTTAATTACCGTTATAGGAGACAATGCCCGAAGAGAAAATAAAAAGTGAAAAAGTCGGTAGACTATGTTATCATACTTTTCGATTATTAAAATTGTAGACAAACCAGCAATGTTCGCTCTCAAAAAGGGAAGACGATAGACTATTATTAACGTCCAACCCTCAGTCTCTTTACTATGATTATGACTAACATTTTGGAATTTAGTTGCTATTTTAATTCGTAAAATTAATTGTTATATGCTGTGCATCACAGTGCATTGGCTACAAAAGTATTTAAGCACAGAATATCCCACTCTAACCTCAGATTTTTTTTTTAATCAATTTTATGTACAAAGAGAAATCCTAGTTTATTTCCTGCAAATCAAAATGGAATCAAAGGAAAGTCAAATCAGTTCTTCGATTAATGCTTCTGATATCGAAAAGCGTGAGCAAAATATTGGATTTATTGATGACTCGCTAAAAGATAAACAAGTTGAGCAGCTTGCTCAAGACTTGGGCATTGACCATAAGAAATTGATGTGGAAAATAGATCTCTGTGTCATTCCTCCGTTGTCATTGCTTTACTTTTTGGCATTCTTGGACAGAGTCAACATCTCTAACGCTAAGGTTTATGGTATAACCAAGAGCCTTGGCTTAAAAGGCGATCAGTTCAACACCTGCTTGACCTTATTCTTCGTTCCATATATTTTCTTTGAAATTTTTTCTAACTACGCTCTAAAAACCATAAAACCTCACACCTGGCTTAGTGGATGTATCTTTTTGTTCGGATGCATTACTATTGGTATGGGGTTCACTAAAAATTTCGGTGGTTTAGCTGCTTGTCGTTTTCTCTTGGGTATTTTTGAAAGTGGATCATTCCCTGCAATTTTCTACATTTTATCAACATTCTACTCATCAAAGGAATCCCAAAGAAGATTCTCTGCCTTCTTCAGTTGTACCTGTTTGGCTGGTGGGGCTGGTGGTGCCATTGCTTATAAGATTAAAGAATTGGATGGTCGTTATGGTATTCACAGTTGGCAATGGATCTTCATTGTTGAAGGAACTTTCACTGCAGGTTTGGCATTATTGTTGTATTTTATTGTTCCAGATTTCCCTGAGAATTCACGTTTTTTGAACGAACAGGAAAGAAAATTTATCAAGAAAAAATTGGAGATATATTCTAGTGACTCTGGTTTTGAAATCAAAAACACTTTAGGAGATGTTGCTAGAATGTTCAAGGATCCAATTATCTGGGTTACCGCTTTGGCTTACTTCGGCTTGATTGTTCCAGCTTATGGTTATGCCTACTTTGCCACCTCTATTATTTCATCGATGGGCTACACCGGTTCTGCCGCCAACGAGCGCTCCATTTATCCATGGATTTGTGCTTTTGGTTACACAAACATTATTTCTTTCGCATCAGACTATTATAAGAAGAGAATACATTTCACTATGGTTAACGCTGTAGTTGCTATTGCTGGACTTGCTATTGTTCTTGGATGTCAAAATAATTCTGAAGCACGTTATGCGGGTTGTTTTCTCTCTGCTATCGGGCTTTACTCTGCCATGCCATTATTAATTTGCTGGACCAGTTTGAACTACGGTGGCCATTTGAGAAAAGGTACGGGTACGGCATTCTTTGTTGGGTTTGGTAACATTGGTGGTATTATTTCTACTTATATTTTCTTGGCTGAAGATTCTCCAAGATACGTTAAAGGTTTGAGCATCTGTATTGCTTTCACCGTGTTCTCCATGGTTTTCATGCTCGCGTATTTTGGCGTTCTTTACAAGTCCAACAAAGACAAGCAAACAAAAGAATACCAAGAGAAATTCTTGAACTTGCCTCCAAGAGAGCAAATCTTAAGCGGGGATAAAAATCCTTCTTTCAAGTACTTGTATTAGATTCATGGATCCAAACTCGTTTGTTTTTTTGCCTCTCTTATTTCTTCAATTATTCTAGAGGCGTATTTTTCTGATTTGATTTGCTAATTTCTTTTATTTTTGTTTTCTGACTCCCAAAAGTTTAATATTTTTTTTTTTTTTTTCGATTTATTGCTACGACATTACGACCCGTATTGATTTTCTTTCTGTTCTATAATGATAACTAACAAAAGATCTGAAATTTTATGTTTCTTAAATATCATCAATTATTTAACAGCTGTAAGGTTCAGCATAAAGCATTTATTGACAATTGAAAATAATAAGATATGGAAAATGTATCAAACACCGTTCCATGAGCAGTATAAACTAATATAGAAATGAAATTAGGCCGAGTGAATAACAAAAATGACAAGATAAATAACAAATGAAAATTAAGCGAAAATAGCTTGCACTAAAGAAAGTAAAGATGAACTTTGAAATCGAAAGTTTCAGGAACTAGCACTCCTCCCAAATAACAAAAGTAGAATTTACCTCTTTTCGATGTACTTAAGCTCCAAAGGTCTCAATATTGAATGGATGATAAAAGTGGAAGTGATACAAACCTCCCAGCCAATATCACCACCAGATGGAGGAATATGTCTTGATGCTAAACCTACAAACCAAGTTTGATCCATACCAACAAATGCGAAAAACCAACCAATTAACATTGTAATAAGTCCGGCATAACCCACTCGAACCTCCCGGAAATTGTTTTTCGACTCGTCAAATGTCAAATCATAATTTTTGAAGCTGTTTTTTCTAGCAAAAATATGTTCACTCAAACAAATTCCCAAGTAAATAGAGGTGTTATAACCAATAATGGACAAGAAGTTCTCTAAAGCTGAAGAGAAACTGTAATATGCAGGTATTGAAATTCCCAAAGAAATAGCATTACCAATGATACACCAGATAATACGAGGGATTTTGGCCAATTTAGACCACACTGCTTGGATAGAGAGGGATAATGAATAAGATCCCGGCAAATTATTAGCAATGGTAGACAAAGCAAAAACAACGCAACATATCTTACCAAAAGTCCCCAAAGAATCGGTTACTAGAATACCATAAGTCAAGCCCCCAATTGAAGATTCAGAATAGGCATCACTGAGTCTGGCATTATTGAAAGTACATGCCCCCATTGCTGCACCTAAGATCAAAGTGAAAATTGAAGGTAATGTTAATCCCCAAACCATTGGCCAGAAAACTCTTTCTGGGGATGTATTTGATGGAACATATACTGTGTAATCCGCAGCACTTGGAACCCAGCCAGCACAGAACCCAAAAATAAGGGATATGAAAGTCAAGATATTACCAATTTTGTTTCTATCAGCAGACATATCCCCAGGAACAAAATCTCCTTCGATTTTCAAACGGGCAATAATAATGAAGCAAATAATAACATTTGGAATAGAGGACCATTTTTCGTATAAATGGATGACCTTGTAACCAAATAGCGCCAAAAACATGGTGGATCCGACAATGATGACACATCCAACCGGTGGAGGAATTGGACCAACTGCTTTTAGAAGCTCCACGGCAGCAATTGTGTTCATGGCATTCCAACCGATACAACTAATAACATTAAGTAAAGCAAAGAATCTTGCTGCTGTATTTCCCACAAGGAAACGAGAAAGGATTTGTTGTCTTAATCCAAATTTCATCCCGTACACTGCATAGAGCCCCACAGGCAATGCACCAATGAAAGCGAACACCACAATGAGAATAGTACAAGTCCAGAAATCCAATCCAAAGGCAGCAGTTCCCAAAGCCCCAGTTGATATAGAGCCAATGGAAATATTTGGGGAGAAGAAGATCATGAACGGAGAAAGCCAAGATGTATCAGTCCTTTCATCTTCTGGAACACGTTCAATACCACGAGTTTCAACTTCTCCAAGAAAGCTAAGAAAAGAAAACCAGTTCTTTGACTTTGACTCTGGTGACCCATCTTTAAGGGACTCATCACTGGTACTGCTATAACTATCAACAGGAACTACCTGTGATTCTATGTCTTTGAACTTCTTCTCTACAGACATTTCAGAAATCTCTAACAATATTTGGCTGGGCTGATATAGTCTTCAAAACGTGTAATTTTCTTTTTCAATTTTTTTTTTTGCCTAGAGAGATCAAGATACTTTCACAGATAATTATTAGCAGGGATATTTCTCTAGTTTTATTAGTTCATGAAAGGCTTTGAAGTTTTCTTATCAAAAAGAGACTAATTTATAAAAGACGGATATTTTCTGGATGCATGTCAGAAAAAGCCGTGCATGCAGCCTTGCCTTGCTGCAAAAATTTGTTTTTGTATAATATCAAGTGGAATGGGATATTCCGAAAATGAAAGCTAAAGGAGAAAGAATAACGAGAGTGACAAGAATACCTTTCTTTTTTTTTGTTTTTGGTCTTTCAATATAAAAAATTAAAGCACGTAAGTTATCTATGAATTCAATTACTGTAGTTCCTTTGTTTGGAATCAAAAGACTCATTGGATGAATAAGATTTCGGCCAGGAAAAAACCTAATTTTAATGACATGCAGCAAATCCTTTCGAAATATAATAATAGTTCAACAAATCCTATCCAGAATAATCTACAATTTAAAAAGAACAACAAAGAGAAAACAGCTGATATTTTAAGAAAAAAATTTAAGATGAAGGATCAATTCAAGATATGGTAATCAGATTATAATTGTTAAAAAAAAAGATTTACTCAACTAAAATGATTCTGCATCATCAGATTTTTATATGAAGCTTGTGATATAAACTTGGACTCGTGTTAATCGACGAATTGAGAGTCTTATATTATAATTCGATCTACTAATGGTTATACCGAATGAAACAAAATGAATTGTTAAAGTAAGTATAAATACTGTGTTTAAGCGTGTCCTTTAGTATAGGAATAATAAAATGAAAAAAAAAAGCGAGAAATATCGCTCTATTCAAGTAGTTCGATCTTCTCTTAGAGATATTGCATAGTTCTAGAAGATGATAGAAGATAATAGAAGATATAAGGATATAGTTATCTTATGAAAGAATATAGTTAGAATGTAGAAGACAGGACAAGATAGAATAACCTCGAGCCCAAACAACAACTATCTTAACGTAATGTCTGCTAACTCCTCCACTAATCCTTCCACCAGTGTTCCTGAAGGATCAGTACTAGACGGCCCGACTGGTAATACAGTCTTGTCCCGACGGATAATAGAAGATAATATAAAGTAACAGAATGTAATAGAAAGTAATAGGATATCCTGGCATGTTCAAGAAACCTTAAAAGGGAATTCTTCGAAATGCTGGAATGTTCTACGAAGTATTATTAGTGAACTAATGCATCCTAGAAGTGCATTAGCAATAGTATTATGATACCTTGAGCATTACCTATGCTACAAAGCTTGCAATAGGAACTCATATTTAGTATAATAAATAATACAAAGAGAAATTAATAACAAGGGAAATAAATAATACAAAAGAGAAATAAATAAATAATATAAAAGAGATATAAATACTATAAACGAAGCGAAGTGTTTTCATTGGATTTTCAATCCTACCTGTTTACCTCTCCGTTTTCCTTCGCTTCTTCACCATCTTTTCTTTCGTTCTCCACTCCTACTCTCTCTCCCTTCAATTCTTGGATACTAACAAACCTGTTGTATTGTGTTAATTGCATCAATGGCTGTTTGATTTTTTCCATGTGGTTATATTTCAACTTATTTTTAATCAATTTTCCAGAGTGTTGTAACAATGACTTGATAACCACTTTTTTTAGAAACATTGAGATTTCAAACAATGATAAAATCCTCTGCTGGATGATGACATTTGGTAACTTTATTACGAAATTGTTCACCGATACAATCTTCTGCTTTCCTTCACCTTTGTAAGAAATACATAATACACAAGAATCAAGTTTGAAAGACTCAATATTCATGTTGTTACCTGCTCTTTCCATCATCTCATCAACATCTTTATCCTCACGATCAATGTTAGAATTAATACTTCTCTCATAATTCGAAAGATTCAACGAGCCCTGACTGGTGTTTCGGTAGGTTTTTTGGAAGGGGTTCAAGAGATTTTGATTATTACCATCATTTTTTGTTCTCAAGGAGCTGAAACTTGATTTCTTAGATCTTTTGTTTACTTTAAGTTCATCTGAAAGACTCTCTTCACTGTCCAGAGAAAAATCATCAAAATCAACTTCAGTACTAGCCTCGTCACCTTTTCCCGGGTTCCTTTTTATTGGGGACTTCTTATTAGTATCCCACTTTAATTTCTCATTCTGAAAAATATATTCCAAGATTTGTGATCCAGTTTCCTGATCTAGTTGTAATTTAATCGGTTGCAAAAAAATATAAAAATACTTCAATATTTTGATACCGCCAACAGGCTTCCTCATCGACCATTTTATGGTGATTAAATCTTCTGGCTTCTGTACAGATTCTTTGGGTGCTGCAGTACTTGCTTCATAAAATGGAGTCAACATTTCCTGATAATAAGTATCAGCTGCCAAATTGAATCCTTGAATCATTCCTATTTGCAAAATGTTTTCATTTGACATGTCACTATTTTCTCTCCTCTTAAACCTTGAATTGGATAAGGCAACGTCAATAAATGGCTTTCTTTTAGCTAACAACATATGACAAATAATAGAGTCCGCTCTTATAGACCATTCAACCTGGTCGCCAATATTCTTGTTTTGCGACCCTCCTAAAGCAATAGTTTGCATCGAAGTATATAAATCTTCAAGCAATTCTGATTTCTCCGATTTGACAAGTGATAGTTGTTTTTTCTCCTCGTTATTCAATAAGTTGGATCTAGTAGTAAAGGATTTCTCCAAATTATCAAGAATATTGATATCCTTTTGAATTTGTCTTACCTTTTTTAGCAAGTCTGAAGCATTGTCGAGTGAAATTTTCATGGCTAACTTTTCTAGTTTACTAGACATCTCCTTGAGGCTTGGTTCACTGTAAATTAACAAATCCCAGACTAAAGAATACATCGTGGTGTATTGACGCGAGTCACAATTAATAATAACCTGTGGAACGTTGAAAGTTATGCTATTTCTTCTTTTCTCGGGATCTTCTTCACTTTCAGCTTTTAAAGTATTACCTATAGTATCATATCTCAACATCATTGAAGTTTTTTCAAGCATCATATTGTCTTTCAAGATTGTCCCATTAGTACATAATTCAACTCCTAGCCATGGAGGCCAGTTAGAGTTCTTTGTTCCATAACTGTTCGTAGAAAAGTATAAACTTGAATTTTCAACCACATCCTCTTTATAAAATGCGAAAATATTAGCTTCGTGAATCAAAGACCCAATTCTTGTTTCCACAACATCAGAATATTCCAAAGTCTCCGAATCATCACCTGCTGATTTCAATCTTTTTTGGTTGATGGAAATAACCTTCATTTCTATACTTGGTGCCACAACTAACATACATGCGTCATTGGAATCTTCATCAATCAATTGAATTTGAGGAGATACCAATTTGATGAGATAATCGTCATTGTAAAATAAGTTTGACGAACTGACATATCTAATATCTTCATCAAATGATCCCAAACTTTTCTCACAATACCCAATATCAGTAGATACTTGTTTGGTCAAGGTGTTTTTGAAACCAAAAGATTTCAGTGATGCCAATGACGCAGCAGAAGGATCAAAAAGTTTATTATCAATAATTTCACTCATGCTAGAAATTGCATCATTTGTCATGTAATGAGAAATAGCCTTATGATATTTCAACCAGTGGAAGTACTTGTACAAAAAGTCCCTATTATTACAATTCCATTTCAACAACATGTTATGGATAATGAATCTGTTATTAAAGGCGACCTCATCTCCAGTATTTTGCAACATCACAATTTTCCTAATAGCTTCAGAAGTTGATGAATCATCTGTGCCATTTTTGATTGAGAGCAAAACTTCATAGTTTTTTGCAACTTCTTCTAATATATTCTCAAGGTTATGACCATCTTTATGATTATTGAGCGATTGTTTCTTTAGCTCCTCAATTCTTGTCTTTGTTAACTCAATTTGGGCTTCAATGGAAGAGTTCTTTTTAGATAATACACAATCATGAGATGGCTCGTTACCAAACGGAACTTCACTCTCGCACTCAGATTCTTTGAGTTGCCTGAAATACATCATTCTTGGAGCAAACATCAAAGGCGAGACTCTAATTGAAGGATTCAAACCCTTTATACTGGGAAACCCTAATTCCTCGAAATCATTTAAATCAAACCAGGAGGAATCATCATCAAAAGTTTTCATGTTAACTTTGTCCTTGTTATCAGTATGCTCTTTTGAACTAAATATGGCATTAACGATTCTGACATCCACACCTTCAAGATCAATTTCTCCAATATTGAACTTCATCTTCATAGTTTTCTTGGTGGTATTCAAAATTTCTCTATGAATCACGGTTTGCTGTTTTCGTTGATGTAAGTCTATTTTCAAAGTATCAAACTTACCTTTCAACCCAACAGACTGGGATGAATCTAAGTCCCCATCATGCACATTGTTGTTGTTCAACTCATCACTATATACATGACAAGCATAAACTGGGGATAATAAGAATTGATACTTGATTGTGGACAAATAAACACTGAATTTCTTTGAGGCCTTCGTAGGACCGAAAATTTTACCATGACGAACAGGTAAAGACATGTTCCCACTAAATAATTTCCACCATTTGAAGAAACTAGAAAATACGTTTGGAGATAAATGGACACTATTATAGCACTTTCCCTGACCATCAAGCGATGTTAATGACAAAGCCATGTGGATATAATGGCTTCTGAATCCTTTATAGGCATCATAATTGGGATCTTTGACAAATTTTGGATTTTTGAGTTGAACTGTATAATGTGGAACGAATTGATCCGTTCTACCCAGTCCATCATATGTATTGCGTTCAAACATCACCCCACATTTGAACATTACAGGATTTGTCAGGTCCGCAGATAAATTGATGACAATCTTTTCATAAAATTCTTGAATAACGTCATTAATATTGGAGCCAAATTCTGTTGTACCATCATCTGATAAATAGAAGCCTGACAAGTTATTGATGTTTAAATCCCTTGATGCAGGTAAGAAAACAGAGTCCTTAGAGCTCCTTGACCAGATTAACAAGGGCTCAGAAATAAGATTTGGGGCGACCCATCTGATCTTATTAGACGTAACCACAATAAACTCTTTTGGGTTATCATCCTTATTAACATCAAGGACAACATTGTCCGAGAAAGATAACATGAAGCCTGCATCAGGATTCAACATCTTGTAAGGGTCCCTTGAACCCTTGAACACAATATCCAAAGCATTTAATTTAAAATTAACTCTTCCGTGAATGTTAGCTCTCAATTTGTCCCAAAAACCAACCTTATCAGAGGGGTCGAGTGGAGGTTTAGTGAAACCATCAAAATTCAACATAACTTGTTGGATCGCTGGCTGATAGGATGAACCCCAAGTGAACCTGGTGGATTTATGGGAGTTAACCTCAATGTTTAAATTCATAAAAGTTTTCACTGAAGCGAGAGTTTTTGGAATACTTAGGGAATAATAAGGATCACTATCCGCCTTTTCACAAGAAGGCACTAATGGAGCAAATACCATATTAATATTTTCTTTCTGGTGTACAAATTCTTCCAGAATTACGACATTACCAGTAATTCTGTGTGATATTCCTTCCTTAGAAAAAGGAATGTACACAAAGGGTAAAGGATAATCACGTAGATGAGATCTAAACTCACCAAATTTGAAGTCAATATGCAAAGGTATCATCATTTGATATTGCAGATCAAGAGGAATACCTTTTCCAACACCGTACAAATACTGGGGAAGCTCCAGCATATCAAAGTCAACTGAGGATAAAGTCAAATCAACGTCTTCCACAATAACACTCATTAATGGAGGGCCTAAGAAAAAGCCTTCCCAAATTCTCTTATTGAACTTCTTTGAAAGGCTTTCTGAAGTAACAAGCCTCCATAAATATTCAGAATTTTTCCTTATTTCTTTATTGAACTTCTGGCGATAGGTTTGCACTCTGTTAACCCACGATTTAGAAAAATTCCGTTGAAGAATTTCAAGTTTGGAAAAAGTTTCTTTCAAATGTTGATCATGGTAAGAAACTTGTTTACTGTCGTCGCATTTTGATTTTCTCCAGAGTTTCCCACTATCATAACCGAAAATATTCTCAGAATCGGAAACTTCCAATCCAAAGCAAGAGGTTTTTTTGATGGTATATTCTTTATTAATAAATTTTCTTGCTTTCACATTTTGAACAAAATATTCAAGTTTGGACATCCGTTCGCGCTGCTCGGAGAGCCCGATCTGACAAATATAAGCCAACTGACTCTCAAATGGATCATCATCCATATTCATTAAAAACTTTTGAGTGCTTATTTTTATCTTTGGAAGTACCAGAGGAGTACAAAATTCTGGATTAAGAATATTCTCTGGCGAATTCTTTTTAAACGAGTAATTCAACTGTTTCACAATCTTTTTGAGAATTCCAAAATTATCGAATATTCTATGAATGATGAAGTTGAATGGAATAGTTAGTCTTGCAGATAAAAAATTGACTGCACCGACCAATAATTCATTCATTCCAAGATTACTTTCTCCCTCAACTCTTAATCTATTGAATTCTTTCAAGTTTTTCAAATCCAAATCACAGTCGAATGCGTTTATAATCAATAGCCTCTCCCAATAATTTCTAATGGTTGGTGATTGTACGCAAATCCTAAAAATGCTTGCAGTGATATTACTTTCTTTGAACCGTGAATCGAACTTGATGAGGGTATCTAATGATTGAATTTTCATCTTTAGATCTAAAGGAAAATGAATGATCATATCAAAAGTTTTGACATTAATTTCAGTTACCAACAAATCAGAAAGTTTCGAAACGAAGGATGATTTTTGAACTTTCTTTGGTTTTGGAAAGTGATTCAAATAAGAAAATATAGTATTTCTGACAAGGGAAATGGATGATATAAAAATGAAATGACTAAATCCTGAAAAAATAAAATCAATCTCTTCGATTTCAACCACCAATTTCAAGTAATCATTGGTTGATACCTCTGACACGTTGCAAACTGAAGAAAGGATGCCTTTTACCTTTGGAATTTTTAAGCAGCGAATATTCATCAAATTGTAATTTTTCTTATTCATTGAAGACTTATCCTCTGCAGTTTTGTCGCGATTCCTTTGAAAATTTCTAGGATCACAACAAATTATATCAACGCCAATATTCTGCGCTTTCATTTGCATATTCCAATAGTTGTCAACAGAACCAGTTTTAGCGGACAAATTTTCATCATCTGAATCAGATTCATGTTGCCCTAGAATACTTGACATTTCAACGGAAGACGAGTTTAGGGTGTCTGATGTTGAGCGCAGAGGTCTCCGCTCATCACCAGCAACTTTAGGGGCATTCACAAGTGACAACGACCAAGAATCTAATTCAAAAACAATTTTTCTCAAAGAATTTTTGATGGTCTCATTCTCAGAGACGAATTTAAGTTCATTAATGACCTCTTTTGGTATCAAAACTGAACGAGACCCAAGAATGCAATTACAGTCCGTAACTAAAATTTTTATTTCTTTCAAGTATTCAGGTAGTGGCTGAAAAAAATAAGATTTGGATAATTCTTTCTGCTTTGGAAATTCATCGTCTCTCAAAGACGCGAAAAAGCCCCTATTGCCTAACTGCACACATAATCGGGTATATTTGGCGAGCATTTCTTTATTAAAATGGTTATAATGATTATGTGTGGCATGCATATTATTTAAAATTTCTGATAGGCCTTTAAGCACCACCATATTTGATAAGTCAATGAAAATTGTCTCAATTGAGCAAAATGTGGATAATTTCATATTTTTCAAATCCTCAAGGGAAACTTTGAGCACTAAATATTCCACCAATCCAATTTCCTCACTAAGGTTAACAAAATCAAAATTGGAATCCATTTCATCATCTGTAGCATCAAGTACGACAACCAAATCTTCATCATCAGTTCTAACACATCTTTGTTGATAAGAGACTCTAATTCCAGAAATTTCAAACTTGCTAAATAATGAGCTTTGGATGATTTGACTGTTATGATGGAATGATTTTTTTTTGCTATTGATCTCAAAGCTGATGAAATTCATATTTAGTGATACCGTCCTCATGATGCCGTTTTCGCTATCAATAAATTTCACAAGAAGAATTGTGTCTTCAATAGTCACCTTAAAGAAAATTTGCGGTAAAAACTTGGATATTGAGGAGTAAAAATATTTAATTATGCTATCATTTTTCGATATTGGGGCTTTTTTTTGTTCCTTAGAATTTATGAAGCTCTCACAAATACATTTAATTTGTTTTGTATTTCTCAATAATACACCCAAATAAAAGGAGTTCAATTCAAATGTTGGAGAAGAAGCATGACTAGATGCTTTGACTACTGCTGATGTCATTTTCTTACTCTTCAATAATACCTTCAAAGTTTGAATAGCTGCATTTGTTTGGACTGAGAAGTTGATATTTGGCACTTGAAATAGTTCTAATCTTTTTTCATCGCCGTTAAATTTGTAAAACATTATTAGCTGAAGTTTCATCAATGAAGAAATAAATTGTACAGGTGAATCATTGATAGCAAAAGATAGTTCATAGCCAGGTGATTCTTTGCTTAGTTTGTTGAAGCCTATTGTGAATTTTTGAAGCCTTAATTGAAAATAAATTTGCGTTAAAAGGCACATGTCATCGTCATCAAGCATCTTGAACACCTTGGAGTAATGTTTTTTTTCAAGGAATAAAAAAAACAAATAGAACTGGTCAATGCAAATATTTGATAGCGTAATATTCAATTCATTGAATAAATCACATGAATCAGTAATAGCTTGTAATTTGTGGGTCAAATGGTCGATGAAGTCGTTCAATTTGTCCGATATCATGAAGTCAGCTTGTTTTCCCTTTTCTGTCACAGATTCATAACTTGGATGCAGGAAAAGCATAGGTGAATCTGATTGAATATTACTTTTAGGGATAAAGTCAATGATTAATGCCAAAAATGTATAAATGGGTAACTCTAAACTTTGATTGGCAAAATTTGCATTAATGTTGGATATTTTGAGATCTTTTTGGGAATAAAAGTAATCCAAGTTAATAACAAAATTTTTAAACAAGTCCACAGTCTCAGAGTTTGGCTTAGAAGATTTCACTTGCAAGTTAGATATCAAAAAATAATGATGGATCAACCAACCTGAATCTCCAAGCGTGCCGCGATTTTTGTGAAATTCTGTGTTTATCTTGACTTGTTCTAGCTTAATACGCAATATATCATTGCAGAATTTTGAAGTTATTGTTATTTCAATATCTCGCAAGTATATTGTGAAACCAGGGAAATAGTTCAATAGCAATCTTATAAATCCATGCTTCAGAATCTTTGGAAACAGCCCTTTTGTTGCTTTTTCATCCTTTAAATTCAGTTTCTTTATATCATCAATGTTCAATTGAAACGCTATATTTGAGAAATGAAAGACGAGCAATTTTTGGCTTCTACTGAAACAATTCAAATATGTTCTAAACACTCCTATGGAAACATTTTTCAACTTGATCCAAGACATAAATATGAAAAAAGGAGTGACCGTCCATACAATAACACCCGTGAAGAGGTATACGCACCCCAATGTGCACACGTATATTGCTAGGAGGGCCTCCAACATGAATTCTTATTTCCGTGATAACAAACAAGGGAACGTTGTTTGTTTTGAGGTTATATTTGTGTGTGTGGACCCATCAATTTTGTTTTGGTTTCCTGCACAATTTTGGTTACGCAGCCCTGTTGGCCTCTAGGCAACTGCAAAAAATGGGAATTGCGGCACCCACAGACAGAAGTCCGGAGAACAATATATAATAAGGATGGGACTGGAAACTGAAAATAGAAAACTAAGGGAGGACTACCGGAAGAAAAGAAGAATTGTGCCTGACAATAAACGAAAACGAGCTTTGTTCAGTTGTGATCGGTGCAAGCAGAGAAAGATCAAATGCAATAGAGTCAAAATTTCGGACAGTGGTGAGTTGAATGTCCGATATGACAATACCACCAGCTGTATCAACTGTGTGAAGGCCTCAGCAGAATGCATCACTCAGTTGCCTCGAAAAAAAAGAATGTACTATCATCATGTTGACAAATTGGAGTTTCATTTCCAGATACTAGAGTCTCTTCTCACCGGTCTACATCCAGAAATCGATGTCTCGGACCTTAACCAGTTGATAAAGTTTGGGAATTCCAAAGGAATAGATATGCCTGATTATGAGGAATTTTTATCCAAAAGTGAAAATAGCTTACTTGGGCGTGTCAATAAGACTCCTGTTTCTACTTCTTCAGGTAATACCAAGGCCCCCAAGAACGACATCAAAAATCTTCTCCATCCGGAAAACACACAGGTGATCACCAGCGACAATAGGGATGAAATCTCCGAAAAACTGAACTCTGGAGGGCAGGAAAATAATAGCGCTGTTGAAATCCCCAAGATGAATGATTACGCTGTGGAAAGATTGGTGTATGATATGGAAGGGAATCTGCATTATATAGGTTATGCAAGCTCATTTGCCCTATTCAATGGGGTATGTAGTTTGGTTATGAGAAACTCTAGACAGACTAGATTGACATTTGATAATCACGTCCACACTTACCAAACAGATGAGATCAAGCGATTCCAAAATCGTACCACCTTTATTACCAATAAAGATATTTCTACCACCTGTATCGGGGAAGTCCCGATTTTGTCTATGGCATCTGATCATTTGCCATTGTGGATCAAATTTCCAGGTGTCAGTTTGATCAGTAAAGAGGAGGCCGATTTTTATGTTGAAATCTTTTTCAATAAGATACATCCATATTATTTCATTTTCAGTGAGGATGCTTTTAGAGAAAAATATAAGCAATTTTGGTTGGAAATTGCTCTGTTAGAGAATGCAAATGCAATGTTTGATGATAAGACTTCTGAAAGCGAAAGATATAAAAAAATATTGGAAATTAGAGAAATTTCAAGTAATTGGATTTTTTGTATTTATTTGGTTTGGATCTTAGGGGCAAGATTCAAGCCTTATCCAGGTGGTGAACTAAATGAAAATCTAATTGATATGTTCCTTAATTTAATTAAGTTAGGATTGCCAGGAATTATTCTTAAGTCATCTTTAATGAGTATTCGTGTGTTATATTTATTGGCTATTGATCTTTTCGCTTCTAAGAACAAGAATTCTGCTTGGATTTTGATAGGGTTGGCTTGCCGTCAGGCCATTTCTTTAGGTCTTCACAGAGAGTCAGGAGTTTTGAATTTAAAATATAAGCGACCAATTTCTCTCCGGAAGCAAATATGGTGGTCACTATATATTTTTGAAGTTACTTTGGGAATATCATTTGGTAGACCGTCAATCATTCTCAACAAAGATATTAGTATCAGTTATCCAACCGATCTCTATACCAGGCCAGGAGAAGAAGATTTTTTGAGCTATTACTTGGAAACTATCAAGTTGACGAAATTATTAAACGAAATTTACGAAGTTAGAGGAGTTATCTACAATGAAAAAGATCAGTCACCTTATAGTTTGAAAGTTATCACCAAAACCTTAAGCATCAGAAAGAAGTTGATCGAATTCAAAGAAAATTTGAAGGCAAAAAGAATGTCATTTGAAGCCGTTCTTGAGGATACGAAGAATGAATTTTATCACCAAAAAATTAAATCAACGTATGGAGTAAAAAGATATAGGTTGGATTTGACTATGAATTATCATTGCTACATGGTTATTATGAGCTTGCCGTTCATTTTATATACAGTTAATATGCTCGTTGCCAAGCCGGAGTTTTTGGGTCATTTAGATGAACCAATAATAGCAATTTTGACTAGTGGAATTGAAAGTGCCATTGAATTAAGTAAATGTCTTCACATTTATAATGAGTTAGATTTTTTGGAAGGCAATTTGTTCTCAGATTTGTTTTTTGGTTATACTTCCACAATGGTTTTGGTTCTTGTTTTCCTCATGTTGAGATCATTCAAGATTATTGAAAAAAGAAATATAACTAATATGACGGCAGTTCAATATTTGAGAGATCAATTGAAAATCTATGATAATCAAACCCCGGTAGATAGCAATATTATTTTATCAAGTGTCTATAGGACTAGAGTAGCAATGAACTCGGGAAAAATTAATGTCGGTGAAACCATGCAACGGTCACTCAGTGTCACTGAAGACTTGCTCAGAGATATTGGTCTCGTGAGAATTTTGGATAAGTTGTTCGGCTTAGTTGAGAAGTCAGATCTGGAAATACCAAAGTCTAAGACAAGTGACAACCCCATAGTTGATGAGAAGCCCAATATTGAACACGGAATCTTTGATAATTTGGATATCAATCCTAAATTTTTCACAGATAGAGCAAAAAAATCGAGCTTTCCCAATGACCACTACAATGATATTGTGGAGAATAATTACAAAGACGTTACCAAGTTGAAAGAGGTTCCAGAACCAGTGTCATTAGAAAAAGAAAAAATGAAGAATGCTAATGTTGCGTCATTATTCTTCTCAAAAGAAAATATGGATAAACCCATTGCAGAAGAGGGTTTTAATATTCAACCAATTTCAAACAATTCGACTATTAGAATCCAAAGCGGATTGAGTCCAGTGAGGAATGCTAGTGGAAATACATTGAAAGTTGAAAATTTTGGTAAAACACCAGCACCTGTTGACAAAGCATCAACAGACATTGACAGATTTTTCTCTGAATTAAAATTCGATAATACGGGTCAATTTGGATTTGATAACTGGGACATTTCTATTAAGAATACCTTATTGAACAATATGAATGATCAATTTGATGATGTGGAACTAAATAGCGATGCTGTGGGGGAGTTTTTGCAATCATCTGGAACTCTCGCCCAATTGGGAGGGCCACTAAATAATCAAAACCATTCAAGCGGTAGCAATATGTTCAATGTTCCATACACAAGTGGAATGATGAATGGAACTGTGTCAGATAATTTTCAACCCCAGCTCAATGGATCGGTTGCTAACAATAACTTCAATATTATAAATACTGGGATGCAAATTGATTTCACCGATAGTCAGCTACATGCATTTTTGGATGAATGGAATGAGCAATAATGAGGTAAAAAATGTGGATTTTATAAGTAGCGTATTATATATTGAATTTGTGAGTAATAATATTCAATTTCTCCATATAAATCTTTTGCCATACAAGACTGCATTGGACACTGCCCCTACAGTCAATAGCACTGGCCATACTCTACCATATTTGATAGCATTAATAGTATTTCTGCCATTTGACAACAAATATAATGTAGACCAAGTCATCGTAAATCCTGCGCCGTTAATACAATCATCATCATAAATCATGTATCCACCCAATGCCGATGCTGCACCAAACAATACAACAGATATATTGCTTGGGCCAACTCGTACTAATTTCGCCAAAGACTCGGGGTTTGTCCTACTTGGGAAAAGTCGTGAAGGTGAAAGAACTCCTGGTTTAGCCACGATCTGTGATTTGGCGACTAATGGCGACACAAAAAGTGAGGAAGAAAACAACCACGCAGGATACGGAGTTAAAGTGTATTCGTAAAGACGATTGTAAACAAACATGCCGCTTCCTTCTGTCTTCTGTATGGCTTTTTGAATATCTTCTGGCATTATTTAATCGCGTGTAATGTATTATCGTTAATTCTGGGTGATGGTCTTTTTTGAAATAATATCCTTGACAGCAACCTTATGATATACCTACAGGTATATATATTTAAAAAAAAAACATCACATGACAAAGATTACATTATTTTTTAAGAGACAAAATTGGAATTCCAAACACTAATATACACTATGGAGAAAATAAAAACAAAGCCCATGAAAAAGACGAACGTAACCAAGAAAAGAATAAAACATTAGAAGATTCTTCAGATCAACCACCGAAACCATACAAGGTTCTACCTTGTCTCTTCAAAGCGTAGACGACATCCAACGAAGTGACGGTCTTTCTCTTAGCGTGTTCAGTGTAAGTAACAGCATCTCTGATAACATTTTCCAAGAACGACTTCAAGACAACTCTAACTTCTTCGTAGATCAAGGCAGAAATACGCTTAACACCACCTCTTCTTGCCAATCTTCTGATAGCTGGCTTAGTGATACCTTGAATGTTATCTCTTAAAATTTTTCTGTGACGCTTAGCACCACCTTTACCAAGACCTTTACCACCTTTACCACGACCGGACATTATTTATTATTGATTATTATTTGTTTATTTTATTGTATGATAATAAGAAAGACGTTAAAATGGTGGAAGGAGGTGCCGGCGACCTTATATATACCTGTCTGTAAGGGTGCAATACCCCCATGCTGTCCTATTGCATACTCATGCCGACACATACCCCTCGGACTCGCTGTCTTTTTCACCTGGTCTGGGAACGGGTGAGCTTCCATGCCAACACTTGTCCCCTTGCCCTATTTTTTGACATCCCCCGCTCAATTACTATAAAAGCACATCGATGCCCTAATGGTTTTTTCTTACTGGAATCTCCAAATGAAATAATCAATATAAAACAAGTTTAATAAACAAAATGGCTAGAACCAAGCAAACTGCTAGAAAGTCAACCGGTGGTAAGGCTCCAAGAAAACAATTGGCCTCCAAAGCTGCCAGAAAGTCTGCCCCATCTACCGGGGGTGTTAAGAAGCCACACAGATATAAGCCAGGTACTGTTGCCTTGAGAGAAATTAGAAGATTTCAAAAGTCTACCGAATTGTTGATCAGAAAGTTGCCATTCCAAAGATTGGTTAGAGAAATTGCCCAAGACTTCAAGACTGACTTGAGATTCCAATCGTCTGCTATTGGTGCTTTGCAAGAATCTGTTGAAGCTTACTTGGTCTCTTTGTTTGAAGACACCAATTTGTGTGCTATCCATGCGAAGAGAGTTACTATCCAAAAGAAGGATATCCAATTGGCTAGAAGATTGAGAGGTGAAAGATCCTAATTGTGGGGTATTGCTATTATTTTCGGTTCTGTTTTAATGATTATGGTTTTTAACTTTATTTTTACGGCTTTCTTTAATGTACATTAGAATTATTTTGTTTATTGGTATCTTTTAATGTAGCTATTGATCTTCTTTGCCATAGTGATGTCAACATCGGTAACGGCATTTGCATCATGTGTTTGCAAGATAATCTTCACGTTATTGTAGGTGTATTGAATAGTAGGGTGGTGACCTAAGAGATGTGACCTCAAATTGACTTGATTGATGAAAGAACTGGTGGTCTCAAAATCTTTAAGCTTGATAGATGTTTCGATCGCAGGCACATCATTATGGGACCTAAGACACCATCCTGCTAACTGTTTTTCAAGGATTTCGGTCACCTCCGGGGTTTCCAAAGGTTTGGCAGCTGCTTTAAGGATTCTATTGTACATTGGTTCGGTTGTCTCAGGTTGACATCATCTCCATGTGTTGCGGAGGTGCCTTTTGGTTATTTTTTCCTTCAATAATTATGGGGGTCTCAAACCCCTTTGCACCCAGCCCGCGTAATAACAACAATAACAACAAAGCTTTCCAAAGCTTGAAATAATCTAACAATTATCACTGAGTCATTTCTCTCCAACAATTTCCACGCTCTCTGGTTTCTTGATTAATGAAAATACATATCCTTCCATTTGTGCCTTGATACTGTGATATGTGTTGGTTTTACACGTGACTCGATGCTACCGTTTTTTTTAACAGCATATCGATTCCACTAATGCTCCGAAACCCAGTTTGACAGTTCTCTCTTTAGTATCATAGTTCATATCTCCTCGGGAAATGGTCACGGCAATTACCATTATAAGCCATGAGCTCAACCCTTTAATAACTCGGTTTTATAAGCACAATGATTTTGAAGACGCCCCAATGCTGGAAATTTTAGACAATTTTCGTGACGTCCTCCTTAATAACAATATCAACAGCCTTCCGCCAGTAATACGAATCCAAAGCTATAATTACCTCTATGTTTACTCAAACAACATCATATTGATGATGGTGGTTGCCGATCGTTTCTATGATACCAGCAATATCATGTGCTATTTGGTTTTTCTTAAAAAGTTTGAAGAAATATTGAAAAATTACTTCAAGGCCACGGCATTAGATCAGGACATGATAATAGATAATTTCCTATTATTGTACGAATTGTTTGATGAAATGATTGATTTTGGGTTTGTGCAGATAACAGACTTTAATATCCTCAATGAATACATAAAAATGAAGTTGAATGTATCAGAACCAGAACAAAAGACCAAGGATAACAAGGAACTAGAACATGAGATGAATTCAAGTATATCTAGAATGTCAACAACCCAATTGTCCTGGAGACCAAAAGGGATTTTTTATAAGAAAAACGAGGTTTTCATAGATATTATTGAAAAGATCAATCTCTTGATGGACCCCAACGGGGCAATCAAAAAACAAGTGATCCTGGGTGAAGTTAAAGTAAAGTGCTTCTTATCGGGAATGCCAACTTTAAAATTAGGACTTAATGAGTTCCTAGTTCATGATCGAGATTCAGCATCTACAATTGATTCATTTAAAAGAATACAGTTTGATAATCTCAACTTTCATCAATGTGTGGAGTTATCACAATTCTCCAATGACAATACAATCAGTTTCATTCCACCTGATGGTAAATTCCTGTTATTAAATTATAAGTTACAAGTTCATAAATCGCCATTGCTTAAGGTCATGAATATAGACTTCAAGAAAAGAATCATCTATCGAAAATCGAGAAAGCCTTGTGTTCTGCAATCTCCGAATCCGCTAGCGAGGGCTTCGACCACCTTTCAAGCTTCCCCAATGACCTCAAGAAGACCATCAATCGCCCAGTCTATCAAATCAGGAGAATCAGGTCATTCTTGGAAACCAGACACAATATCCATAAATGAAACTGATGATATTACCAAAGAAACTAAGCTCTTGGTATCTGTTGAATTGGAAACTAAATTCACTAAAAGGCTATCAGCCAGTGATGTTTCTATTGTCATTCCCATAAATTTCAAAAAATTTCACGTTAATTTTAACCAGGTACCAAGATTTAAGACAAAAATTGGAGGAGTGGTTCTTGACTTAGAGAAGCAGTGCATCGTATGGAAGATTTCATCAATAGGAGGAAGCAGAGATTTTCAAATGTCGAGCGAGATAACATTATTAAATGACGAAGATATTCGACAAAAATATGTTGAAAGTGAATTACTCGGGTCAGGTAGTGATGATTATGACTCTTCTGACTCGGAAAATGAAAAAACTTACAACTACTATTATGGAGATAAATCAAAAGGGAATCAGATCAGTGACAAGGCAAAAAAGATAAAAAAAATTTATAAGACTATTCAAAAGGAACAAAAGGCAATTTCACAAACTACCAATTCCCACAGGCTAAGTAGGAATGAGGGGCCAACCTCCCCTAACTTATTAATGGAAACTGATAAAAATCTTGATAATTTGGCCACTATTATTGATTCTCCAAATTTACCGGAAAAACCACACGATATTAATGACAATTTTTACATCAACAAAAATATGGTCAAAGTGAATTTCAAAATTAATAATTTGACCCATTCTGGTCTCAAAGTAACTTATTTGAAACTTAATGAACCTTTGTTGAATTATACATCATTTCCTTGGGTCAAATATGTATGTACAAATGATGAAGAATATGGATTTAAATTTGACTTCAATAGGAAAGGGCCATCAGAAACCATTGTGAAACATTTTAAACAACGAATACCTGGTGATCAACCATCAAAGTTTATTGGGGTCGCAGGAGGAGCTTCACAAAGAAAATCTTGGAAAAAAATATAGATTAATTTCGAATATCATTGATCTATTTCTATTTAGTAGACAAAAATTTTATATGAGAAATATTTGATGTTAATTAACTGTGATTCACCTTTTGACTTTTACTTTCTCTTCATTTTCGTAGTTGCATTCTCTTTCGTGTGCCTCCTTGTACCCTTCTTCTTCTTCTTCTTCTTCTTCTTCTTCTTCTTCTTCTTCTTCTTCTTCTTCTTCTTCTTCTTCTTCTTCTTTTTCATCATCATCATCATCATCATCATCATCATCATCATCATCATTATACGACCCTTCCTTGCTCTCTCTCTTTTTCAAATTGGTTTCAAATTCTGCATTGATTTTCAGTAACCCACCGCTTTCCTTCAAGGCTTCGATTTCTTGCTTCAATTTATCAACATTAAAAAAATTGTATTCCGCATGTGGATCTGATTTACTAGCATTATCTTCAGGTGATTCTTCAACTTGACCGTCACCTTTATCCTTTGAAGTATCATTTTGTACTTGTCCTTCGGCGTACACTTCCCACCATTCCTTCCGTTTTGGTTTGAACCATGACTTCCAACCTTTCTTTTTGGTACTGACTTTTGACTTATCTTTGAGAACTTGTTGGGCATTTTCCTCAAATTCTAGAACCAACTCTCTTTGTCTTTCGGCTTGCTCGGGATCTGGCTCGTCGATTTCCACAAACTCTTCAGATAAAACATCCCAGCCAACCATCGATAACAATCTAGGCATAGCCTTACGATATTCCATATGGCCTGTAACGTGGTGAGTGCAATCAAAATTCTCAATACCTTCGATACCCTCAATTGGCGATAAACCTACCACTCTTCTAATACCGCCACTGGTGGCTCGGAAAAGATAGCCCAAAATCCAATCCTTCTTTGAGTAACCATTGATAAATCGTCCTGAAACCACTGAACGACACAAAGAGAGTTGCTCACTGTTATAAACAAACGGGGCGCCAAATATAATGACATTTTCCACTAAATCATAAGCCCCTTTTTTGGCCAATTCAAGCAAGCATGAATATATCAATCTTGAACCAATTGAAAAGCCAACAAGGGTCACTGGACGAACTCCCAAGTTCCGAGATATTAAAGTATCGGCCAAGATCAAACCAGCTGCCCAGGCTCTATCCAATGAAACATTCCATGGATTATCTAACAAGTAACCTAACTTTGAAAGTGCCATCGGCACTTGTATTGCGGCCATAAATGCAGTTAATACTGTGGCACCTAAAATTTGTTGGACAGATTGGGTCAAAATTTCTGTTGCCAAGATATTAATTGTCTGACCAACAGTAGTTAACATCTCGGGTTCCCATAACAAGGAGTATAAATCTCCCATTACTGGATCAACAGTAGAAAATGGTAATCTGATATCATCGGCAACACTATTCATCCACCCACTGACAGTGATGATCAAGTTAAGCCTTTTATTGCTGTGTAGAGGCTTGAATTCAAATGTCTTTACAGAACCTGTTCTTTTCATCATCCCACTCGCACCAACCTTCGCTCCAATACCTGTTGACACTGTCGTAACTATTGCTGTACCCGCTGTCCCTGCAAGAAACCCCGATGTTCCGGCGATACCAACTGTAGATAGCCCAGCAGCAATACCTGCACCAATTAGGGGGCCCAAAAGTCCACCTGAAACACCAAGAATTAAACTTCCGCCAACACCAGCTAAGCCAATGTAAATCATTCTCTTTCTCTTAGCTCTCTTGGCTCGGTAATTAACAAATTCATTTTCGTTCAATTGTTGTTCAGAACCTTCATCAATTTCAAGTGCATCAGTAATGCGTCTTTCAAATTGACAAATTTCAAAATTTGAAAGTTTTATTGCCTCCCCAAATCTCATCAAAAGGGTACGCGATCTAGAATCATAAACGGAGTCGTAAATAAGGATAAGAAATAAGTCACAAATCACTGTCCAGGCCACATCAATTTCAATTTTTTTTTGATTCATTATGTCCTCAGGCTCTAGGGTTTTTTGAATGTTAATATCGTCTGCTACTGATTGGGAAATGTTTTCTGAAGAGCTCTTATCTGTGTCGTTCGCATGTTCATTTGCATTAACCTCTGTGATCTCTGAATCTAAATTTTCTTCACCATTTGCTCTCATCTGAACAAATTTTGCATCCCTTTTTATCTCCTCATCCTCATAAATTGGATTATCAATTACCTCGGTTTTTGCTAAACTTCTAGCTAAATCGTTAGGCATAACACCATGATTACTCAAATTCTCAATCATCTTCTTCTCTTCTTTAGTAACATCCATGTGGTCATACAAATCCGACATAACCTTTTGAGACCATATCGCTAAGGATGATTGGGATGCACTAAGAATTTTGCTATTTTTGTATTTACTAGTGCTCAATTTAGCCATGTCTGTCGCCATTTCAATCATTATAAGTTTCACTAAACCAACATACGCAAAAATCTCTTCCACTTTAAGCATCTCTTTAGTGGCTTGCATCTGGTCTAATGCTGACCTGGTAGATTCATCAATAAAATCCTCCTCGTGTTCTTCATCATCTGTCTCTTTCTCATTAAAAGCTTGTTCTTTGTTTACTGCTTCCTTACTTCGGAATAAGAAATCAGTCTTTTTGTCAGTTTCCGCATAACTCTCAGCTTGCGATTGTATAGCAATTCTTGTATATCCTTGACTGCCATTCCCACCTTGAAGAGCAGGCTTCAGTTTATGTTCGTTCTTGCTCTTCGGTGTCAACATTTGAGAATTGTGGATCATATGAGCAGTGTCTGTTTCAGTAGAATCATTAATAAGCTCACCCTTATCATTATAAACATCATAGCTATTAGCAACGGTGGGCATTTCCTGCCATTCCCCTTCTTCCTCATCCTCATCTTCATCATCATATTCAAACAATACACTACCATCATCTGATCCCTCTTGATCCCCAAGGATCATTGTATCCTTCACTTCTATTGGAGATAAATTTTCAGTTTCTTCGGTTTCAATTGATACATAATTTGCTTTCGTCTCGAAAGAGGCAATATTTGGCAGGTTCTCCAAGTTCTCGTGATTTGTTTGAACTGATGGTGTGGTGCTTGGTTCTGGCAGTTGATTCTCAAAAGACCTCATAGCGTTATTACTTGTGCGTATATTTGGCATCTCTTGAGGCAAATGCAGAGCCCCTAGGTTGAACTCAACAAAATCTTTACCTGATGATTGGTCTTTACCGTCCAATACATCCTCCTCTTTCTCATGGTCAAATTCGTTGGTTTCGGTAATGTTCGGTAGTCCTGGAAGGTCATGGAGAGTTAGATTATCTTCCCCCTGCGTTGATGGATCATTGGAGGAATTATATTTGTCACTAGGACCTATCGATTCTTCAGACATAATGGCAATCTTGTAGTTATTGGTCTCATCAACAAACAGGAAGGATAATACTTGCTGTACTGTGCGTTGGTAATTTGATCTTCTTGCCAGGGCAGATAACCGGTGTTCCATGGCGCCCAAAAAGCGTGCATATTGTTAATTTTTTAATGCCACCAAGGATTTGTGGGGCTTCATTTAAATCCGTCGCAATTGTGATATTTTAAAAAGCTATCTTTAACACTAAACGTATTGACCAGATCAACATGCTATTTTCAATTATGAGCCAAAAATTGGACGTGTATATTTGCGATATTCTACAATTGTTTATTATGATAAGACTTTTAAAGGCATGATAATTAAACTAGTAGTAGTGAAACATGGGCTGAAAAATTCGTAATTTGTTTTGACAAAATAATACACAAGATTACAATCTTCTACCACGACGACCACCCTTTCTTCTGGTGGAGTCAGATGGAACTGGGGTAACATCTTCAATTCTACCAATTCTCAAACCGGATCTAGCCAAAGCTCTCAAAGCAGATTGACCACCTGGACCTGGGGTCTTGGTCTTGGTACCACCAGTAGCTCTCAATTTGATGTGGACAGCAGTAATACCAACTTCTTTACATTTTTGAGCGGCATCTTGGGAAGCCAACATAGCGGCGTATGGAGTAGATTCATCGTGATCAGCCTTGACCTTCATACCACCAGTGACACGGGCAATAGTTTCCTTACCGGACAAATCAGTGATGTGGACGAAAGTATCGTTGAAGGAAGCGAAGATACGGGCAACACCGAAGACTTCAGCACCGTCATGGGCTTGTGGACCCAAAGTAACATTTTCTAAAACAGTTCGTTAGTAAAAAAATCCATAAAAGTTGTTGACTTAAAACACTAGGCATCCGTATATCAAATTGTACAATACTTTTCTTTAAAATCAGCTATTGAATAATAATACTCTTTAACAAATACATAACACCAATCCATGGGTGTGCAAAACACAAACTAGAGATGCACCTGTTCACATTATGAGATCTAGATCATTAATATCCAACGACTTCAAAAGTTCCCATTATATCTATTAGTTTTTCCTGTTGAAATCATTCCACAAATTACCTAACATGTCTTGAATTAAAAAAAAAAAATACTCAAGCGCATTGGAATCTTTGTAAAGTCTATTAGAAGCTTTGAAAAATCTTTTGAGTTTGGTCATATTCAGTGGGTATAATTGCTTTCATCTCTTCTTGTTTCTCACTATTCAATATGATTGTCTGAGTTGAACTGAAAACTCTTATGAAATAACAGTCATGATCCATAATCCCAATAACGAAAGCCCCATAAAAAGACTCGGTAAATGACAGATTCTTATTGATATTACGGTATTCCTATGTCCCATATTCACTATTAACATACCGTTGGTAGCCATTTTGGATTGTTATTATTTACTGTAATACCTCTTAACTCACTCTATCCAGAGGTGAAAAGGGCGATATATTAAATTTTTTCTTATTTTTTCGAATAGCAGATGAATATTTAGGGTGTAACACCCGCCATTTTGACAAGTCACTTGTAGCCCTACATCTTACACGTGCTTGTAGGGCTCATAAAGGTGATACTTCCTTATGTTTTTTCTTTTTCTTTTCTTTTTTTTTTTTTTGACAGATGGATGATCTGTGATTCACCTATTCTGACAATCTGTAGCCTTTCATATATTTTGGTATATTATTTAGATCAGAGTAGCTGCAGGATTAACACTAATAGAAATCTTATTAAGTCACAAGTTATAGAGACACTCATTTGATATTAAAAAGAAAAAAAAATTAGTCCACTTATGGATCTTCAAAGTACCCAATTTCAGTAAGAACTCATACTCAATGCAATAAATAATGCTGTTATACTTGCTTCATATGACAGGGTGCGGACCATTAAACAGGGCCCATATGGTTAAAAAAAAAAAAGTTCTACATGTTATGAAGAATAAGTATAAATGCTAGAGCTAAAATACATTTTTATTAGGATAGAACATAATTGCAAATTAACTTAGTAAACGAAACCCAAGATCTTACCAGCAACGTGCTTTCTCTTGGCTTCTTCGTGGTCCATAATACCAGCAGAGGTGGTCAAGATAACAAAACCAAATTGTCTGGCTGGCAACAAGTTGTCAGTCCATTTTTCAATGTCATCAATCTTAACGTTGTATCTTGGGGAAATGACACCACACTTGTTCAATCTACCATTCAATTGGACAACAATCTTACCGGATCTGTGGTCATCGATGAGTTCGAATTCACCAATGTAACCGTGCTTTTGCATGACTTGCAAGAACTTGATGATGACCTTAGAGGATGGTCTGATCAAGACTTGTCTCTTACCGGTCTTGGAAGCGTTGTTGATAGCGTTCAAGGCGTCTGCTAAGGCTGAGGCTCTGGTCATTTTGATCTAGAATAATGTTAGTATGTATAAACATTAAACAAATAAAGAATCTAATGGTGCCAAAGAGAAATGAGAATGTAACTTTTTAGTGCATATAATGAATTCACTTAGTTGTGATCTCCCGTGAACGTACATTCTTGTTCTTGAAATATCAAATATTGTGCTTCATTCAATCATGAAGATCGATTTTCTTTTCAAATATCAACTCTCGCGAAAGCTCTGTCTCGCCGAATAGGAAAACTTTGACCTTCTTTTCTTCATCCCGACACGCTTCAAAATTGATAGACAAATGCCCAACTCATAGCTAATTTTATTCCAGAAATATTGTGTTATGATACATCCCAAATTCGCTCTTCAATAAAACACAGTAATCATATTCTCATTTCTTTTGATATCATCCTCTTTTTACACGTACAAGTTATTGTGTCTATTACTTCTTGTGATGAGAGCTCTACTCAAAGAATTTGCTGATGTGCATTTTTGATGAATTTTTTTCTCCAACCTGTGAAAAATAGGGCTTTCTGTTTTGATAGGGCTCATGCATTCTCGTGCATATCATGTGTCTGTGTGATCGGTATTGGCTATTGGAACTTTCAATTTTTTTTTTTTCAGTTACCTATGCCGGGCAATGGAGCTTCTCTGACCTCTACTCATTCTCATTAAAAAAATTTCAACTTTCTTCCTACGGTCGACAAGTAGACGTCATTAAAGAAGATACAACTAATTCAAGATGCCTGTATGTACTAGGTGAAATTATTATAAATGGAAAATACTGTGTTTGTGATTGATGAATGATTTGGGGTTTTTTGGAAATATGAATGTTTCATCTCAGAATATGGTTGATTAGTATATATGGGTTTGAATAATTGAAGTTTTGCCAGAGAAAAAAAAGAGAATGAACAAATTAAGAAGCAACGGAAATATGTTTAATGTTATATGATATTAAATCATCAATATCATGATTTAACTATTAATTAAGCAATAAGCTATCAAAAATAATAATGGATCGGGAATAAATCAGAGGAAGCCCGGAAATGATACATGAAATTATAGATATTCAATCTCTACAGCTCACAAACAGTTCGAGTACTCCATAATCAATATGATCATCTTACTAACTTTCGTCATAGTCTAACAAGTCTTTCAAAATCAAGCAAAAATTGGGCAAGGTTCAAAAGCAAAACAGATCCTTACCACAATGGATCAGATTGAAAACCAACAACACCATCCGTTACAACGCTAAGAGAAGACACTGGAGACGTACTAAGTTGGGTCTCTAAGCAATTATTATGGAACGAATCCTACGTTTTTGCTGCTACTCAATGTTATGTTAGAATTTTTATGGTAGTCATGTCCTAATTCCAAAACTTGAATCCCACAATTAACGCGTCTATTATGATAATTTGAGCTATTTGCTGGTTATTTTTTCACGTTAATATATAATTGGTGTTTTTTTTTGAATTGTAACTATTATTGTGAAATATATTCTTGGTATCACTTTTAAAAAATTTCGATTCTAATGTAGAAAGCTGTGAAAAAGCATCAGCTTTACAGTATATTGTATGGTCAAGGGGGTACCATATGATCTATGATGCGGAAAGTTGCAATTTCAACTCAAATGACATTGATGGTCTGTGTTAAGTGAGCTTAGTGAGCTTCTCGCTTAGGAAATAATGCAGCGCTCATAGTATCTAAAGTTCCAATCAGACGAAGAAAAATAATATCTATTTTTATTATGATATGAAATCTAGAAATCTCATCTTTTGTTAACTTGATACATCTTAACTTTTGAATTATAATTTATATTTTAAATCTTATTATCTCTTGAAAAATAAATATTGAATTTCTACAGCAACTGTCTGTTTTTCATAGGTTAAATAGGATAGCACGGTACTATAACAGATACTTACCCTTACTACATATTCAAAGGTTAATTACTTCTGGATAAAAAAGACACACGTCCAACCTGAGAGCTCGCGAGTTTTGTAGAGCCTATAAAATACACTTTGCTATGGGCACCACTTTTTTCTACTATAATTTTAAGAAAAAATTTGAAAATTTTCCATTCCTCTTTAACCTCATATAAATTAACATTGAATAATTTCACTGGAACATATGGTGTTCTTTCAATTGGTTCTACATGCTTGACATTCAACAATCAGCTTCTTCAAGTGCCGTCATAAGTATTTTTTTTAACTAGTGGCTTTTGAATACGTTGATGGTATGTGAAAGAAACATTATTCATCAATTTTCCAAACAATATGATGATAACCTTGAATTTTAGCTAGATAGTACATGAATTCTTCGGAATTATGAATTTAAAATTCTCGTGGGAATCTCGCTGATAAAGATTTGGAAAATTTTTTGTGTTTGTTATTTTTTGAACAGTATATGTTGGATACTAGTATAAATATACTAACAAAATTGAAAGGCTGTTTAGAGTTAACATAATTCTTAGACAGATATCTTATATATCTAATTAGAAATCTCAGTTTGTTCATATTTTAAAAGTTTTCTATTGTAAGTCATATGAATCTTGTCCCGTACTATTTGGATATTGAAATGAATTGTTCTATTTAAAAGTATGCAGATGTTTTCAATTATTAGTTTGACAGTACATTTAGCTTCCAATTTCAAGATAACACCGTGGATACCCATCCTGAGAAAAGATTCTCTTCTTTCGTTGTAGTTCTCATAATCTGGTGATAATTCTTATATTCTGGAATTGCCTATTTGAAAGCATTGAAAGTAGGAATGTAATGTTCAATTCACAATTCATTGGAACATCTCATTTCTAGCCAATTGAAAGAAAGAAGACGATGGTCTATAGTTTTGGGAATCGATTAGAGACCCCAATAATTTGCGTAACTGGTCTTTACAATACCCTTTGTTTTGAGATTCTTGGAGAGCCATGAAAAAAGATACAGGTATCCTTTCGGAGAATACCACTGCAGTGGCATAATGAGTACGGAAAATCTAGAGAATCTATCAGAAGAAGTTCTTTCTGTAGGATGTTATTTGAGTTTCCATTATCTCAGAAAAGAGAATTTACTATTTAAGGTCTGCTGACAAACCTGGTATATGCCAATCTAAAGATTCAAATGGTGCTTCTCAATAAGTGGGAGATGTCTGACAAAGCCAGTAGATTGAAATTTCATTTCTTACAGACAAGCTCATTTCATGATCATTTTTAGAGTGATTTCTGATAAATACATAAAAAGAAAGTACTATTCTTGGCCCATAATCATCATTGTCATCGCAGAACAATATTATTTCCTACTGACTTCCATTTCAATCCTAATGTCTTTTCAGCGATAGTCTAACCTCATTTTCAGAGGAAACTCTTACTGCTTTCTTCTAATGGATTTATATATTGATTTTATGTCAGAGGTCACTATGATTCTTCATTTAACATAATAATCGCAAGAATTGATCAGGATAGTGTACCACCAGTGGTGCAGTTGAATATCACAGACAGAGTAGTTTCGACTGATTCTCAGAGAAGTATTAGGCTTTGAGTGGCACTTACAAAGCTTTCCAGATATCGATACTTGTGAATATTTCAAGAATTTTTTTATGTTTCAAATTAAAAAAAAAAAAAAAATTATTCCATTATGATCGTGTAAAGGAATATTGTATTTTCAAGACAGTTTTTTTGTCATACTCTTGGTCATTGCCATTCCCAGTAGGGATATCTATGTTTAAATCTAAGCATGTGTGTCCTATATTCTTCAAAATTTTGGAGACAATAGCAGCCGTCATTCCGAAAAACTGGATAATTCAATAGACTCAATATGGTCGGACGACTTCGGTAAAAACACTTGACAAAAAGATAATCATTAAGAGAATGAAAGGTATCTATGCAGATAAATGAATTGAGGGGAAGCCTGAGAGCCTGTACAGTGATAGTTTCATGTGACTATATTTTCAGGGTTGGATTTTTCTATATTATATTTATTATACATTGTAGTATATTTAATAATATATATCCTAAAAAATTTGCCGCGAAGGAAAATAAAGTATAACCAAGTAGTCTTTCCTATAAAATTATATATATAAGGGACTTCATTTTCTCTTTTTAGAGGGAATTTTTTACTAAGATAAGCATGTCAAAAAAAAAAAATAAAAATAAATCGGAAATAGCATGATAAGCTTACAGGCTACTTCGAATAAGAACAAAACAAACTATATTATACATAACAAAAAAAGACACAGTGAAGATGAATGCTTTCTATTTGGTCAATTTTCTGGCCAAAATCAAAAAAAAAAAAAAAATAATAAATGAATGAATGAATGAATGAATGAATGAATGAATGAGTGAATAATTCGCAGCTACTTCAAACTAACGACTAATGAAAAAGCATGGCAATAGAAAGAAATTTGTATAAATAGTATCATAAAATATATACTAATCCCATAGTAATTGATGAATTAGTAATATATTAAAAAAGCTAGTAGAATACCCCCAAAAAAACAGTAGTTCATAATCTTTCCGATGATAAACTATCGTGCTTATTTCGATTCATAAAAAATCTCTTCATATTCAAGACATCCACCATAATATCCACCAGTAGTTAAAATAACGCATTTAATGATTTTAAACTTGTTCCTCAAAGATAGTTTCGATCGGTTTTTCCATAAAAGCGGCGTGAGAAAAGATAGATATACCAGAAGCACCGATCAACCACATCATAGTAGAGATTGGACTGGCCAAGAAACCTAAAGGAATAGCAACACACAATAAACCAGTATACAATTGACTGGTAGTTAATCTACCGAATGGCAAAACCAAATCTTCACCATGTAACTTATTGATTCCAAGAACACCGAGGACCACAAAGATGATAACAAATAATAACAATAAGTTGGTGATCAAGGCATAAACAAAGAATAAGGCAGCAATTAATGCATAATTAGAAGAGAAGTAGCCCAAGTTGTAACCAACTCTACTTTGGATTTCCCCAAAGTTTTCCGGTTTTGAGAGTCTTCTGAAGTCAAAGAACTCTTGAGGAGGTCTGATGCTTCCCATACGGGTGGTCAAGGACCCAGCATCTGACCTGAGACGATCCAAACTCAATCTTTCGGAGAACTGGGAGAATGCAATGTTAGAGAATTGGGAGAGACTCATTGTAGTGTGGAGTATCTGGTATTATTGAAGATGCCAACGTTAACTACACAAATGTATATCAAGCTTGATTTTTTCTTGACCAGTTGGCTTGTTTTTTCGTGTGTGCTTTTCTTTTTTTTTTTTTGCCTTCGCCTCTACAGGGGACAGTATCAGTTTACCCGGATTTACTCCCCAAACATGCTCAATGGTGGTATAGCTCAATCTAATAAGAACTGGGGCAATTCAATACACGTAGAGCATTTTATTATATTTGAACCGTTATCTACTTCTTATTTGACTTGTTTCCCGATCTTTGTTGATGACCCATGACTATCTGCTGTTTCTCCCCACTTGTAGCAGGAAATAACTGGTCGACAGACGGCGAGTCTCCCTCATCCAAATCAGCCATGAGCTTCTTTTCAGCATACTCCGGGTCGACTTTCTCAATTATCATAGGGAGTAATAGAGTCACAGCCATCAAGCATCCACCACCAAGAAGCCAAGGATTACTGATGATGGCCCCCAATTGTCCTGTCGCCGCCAATCCTTTGTTTTTCTGTTCATAATACAATTTTGTAGAATGTTTAGGATGTGGTGAAATCACTAATGGATATTCTATTTCATTAGTGAGATCATGCACTGGATGACCCATTTGATACTCGTAGGCCATAATTGCAGTTTCTTCCTTTAACGTCCCATCGTCTTGCAAAACAGCCTCCTTCTTGATTTCGACATTGATACATGGATATTCCAAAATGTAATTCAACATATCAACTTCAATCAAGTATGAACCTTCACTTAGCCCCACAAACTCAAATGATCCATCCTGTTGTAAAAAACCCTTGGTGATGCGGCGATCCTCTAAATCAGTTAGATGGATGTTGGTGCCAAAGCTCTCCTGAGGTCCCAAAACTGGCACATCTAGTTTCCCTGTAATAGAATGAGAGCTTGCAAGCTGCGATATCAATGATAATATAAAAATAAAACCTCCTAGCATTATTTTTGGTATTAGCTGTTGCTTATAATAATAGCATAGGCATATTTTGTGGTTGCAATTTTGGAATTTTTTGGTGTTTCCGATTACCCAGATTCTGCCATGTACCATTAACAAGGGCCACTGAATTACTTTTTTAAAACCAATCGCCACACGATCTCTTACTAGCTGATAATCATCGATTTGGAAAATCAGCACTCAGTAATATCATCCCACAATGGTAAGAAAAAAGAAATTGCTACCATATATTACTTGAGAAATTAATAATAACTAACTCTTTAGCTTAAATTGAAAAAACTTCAAGAGAAAAAGCGTCAGGAACAACAAATGTTGGAATCCACAACATCGTCATCATCAAGTCTGAGCAGCACTGGCTCTACTAGAGTATTTCCTGCCAAAATAAGAATAGAAAGAGATTTCAAAGAACTCAAATCTTTGCCGAGAACCGTTACCATCACTTTTCCGATCGAAGATGATAAGATGAACTTTAATATTATTGTAAAGCCAAATAGCGGTTTCTATAAAGGCGGGATATTCAAGTTTGCCGTCAACATCAATGACAATTATCCTATTGATCCTCCTAAGGTAAAGTGTGTCCCTAAGATATATCACCCTAATATCGATTTGCAAGGCAATGTTTGCTTGAACATTTTGAGGGAAGAGTGGTCACCAGCTCTTGACATGTACAACGTTATCATGGGTTTGGTTGTATTATTTAACGAACCTAATCCGTCCGATCCCTTGAACAAGGAAGCGGCGAATACATTATCAAAAGATATTTCAAAATTCCAAAGAAACGTCAAAGAATCAATGAAAGGTTACTACGTGCTAGATGAAAAGTATGATGATGTTATACATTATTGAACGATGTGTTATATTATAATGCTTAACTATTTTCGAAAATTGTGATGGTTTAGCGTTAAATGATTGAATTATAATAAATAAGGATGACTATGCAAATTTAATGTAATTAAAAAAAAAAAAAAAATGTAGCTGAGTGGTGCGTTTTCAGGTGTATGTTAAAAATATGCGCTTTGTTTAGCAATTAAAAGAGCGATTATAGTGTTAATTACTCACTGCTTTATCGGCATTTTTCTTCTGGTACTATTCAACTCAGAAATTAAATTATCAATGTTAATAAAGTTACTTGGATCGGTGGCGTAGGCAACATGTTTCCTTGTTTTGCAATGCTTTTGGAAGTCTGAAAAATATGTGTTACAATTTTCACACTTATTCAAGCCTTTTAGTCTGTCGTGATCAATCTTCTTATTTTTATTTTTCTTTTCTTCTCCGGGATTTCGCTGATCTTGCTGTTTTTCAACAATTCTCTTCACTTGAGCAGGCACCTTCTGTCGTTTTGAAAAGTCTCCCCCAGCTATCAATCTCCTCTTCAAATTCTTGTTCTTTGACAAAAATGGATTTATATTCATTCTTCCAGTTACCATGACGCCAGCATTAGTGGAAAGAATAGCAGGTACCGAACTATTGGTAGTAATCCCAGAGGCAATCATATCTGAATACTGAAAATTCAAAACATTATTCGAAAACCCCAGTTTTTCACTTATCGCGGAATCTGCGTTGTTGTCTTCTGAAGCCCCTGCCATTCCATATGCACTCATATCATTAAGTACCATGGATTCTTTTGATTTTATCGGAGATTCCTCATCACTACTTGTTTTAGCATTCATTGGGCTGGACAGAATGTCATCGCTATCTTCAAATCTAGCCTCTCTAATCAAATCACTATCATTCAATGATCTTTCATGATATGCGTAAATTGTATTATCCTCGTTATCGATATCACTATCAATAAAGCAAAGATCTTTTAATCTTTGTCTTTGTGCCTTTAGAATTTTTCCGTGAATTGTTTCTTGTTGTCTCCAATTCTGTAACTTTGATTGACTAAAATTCTTTTTGCTGAACAACGATTTTCCTCTAACTGTCTCCAGCATTTTTGGAAACTCATCATCACCTTTCCACTCTTTAATTGCGATTGCACTGTACTTCTTCAGCAAGTCATAAACATAGAAATACTCATTATTGAAATACACTAGCCCTTCCCCGTAGTCATTCTTCTCCTGTTGTAACAATGTAGACAATGATTTTTCATCTCTCAATTCTGTAACATGACCAATGTATCTCAATATCTTGGCCACTTTTTTGTAACACCAGACTCTTTTTTTGACTCCATCAATGTGATAGAAGATATCATGTTGTGGGTATTTTAATGTCTTATCAAATTCCCTGGCTGATATGATTAGCGTGACTTTCTCGCTGAAGAAAGGTATAAACTTTGCACCGTAAGCTATTAAAGCCTCTTTTATAGCCTGAATTTTCTTTAAAGTTATCGAGGTATTTGGGTATGAGTTATCGATATATATGACACTAGATTGAACAAGCTTCTTATACTCTTGTATTTCCTTGTTTCGCTGCAATTGTATATTGGCCGGATCTCGTTTCGAGAGTACTTGAAGGTTTCTGGCCGCTTGAGGCCTTGAAGATATCTCCTTGGTTAGATTTAGAGGTTTAACAAATATTTGCTTCTCTTTTTGTTGTTGTTGCTGTTGTTGTTTAAAAAGATGGAGTTGAATCTGCTTCTGCTTTAGCTTAACACTAGCCTGGATAGAATTGACATCCTTTTCACCAAGTGGTTTACGCTTGGTCCTTTCTGCTGCATCCATTATAAACTCTCTTCCACCTCTGTTGTATTTTAAGGATATTGTTTATAGACTGAGGCTGGTTATGTCCTGTTTTGTTTATTAAATGAAGCCAGGGATCCTTCCGGGTCGCGCGTTTAGAATTTTTTTTTTTTTTCGCTATTTAAAGGAAGAAAATTTTTTTTTTCATATTTCTTTCCTCCCCGTCTATGATTTCTTTTTAATCGTTAAAATTGTACAAGTTCAAGTATTATTGTAATGATTTGATGACATCTTATAGATTAAACCATTCTACAACTTGAACAAGAAAAACGATATTATGTTTCTTAGCTGGAGTGGGTTTATTGCTGCCCTTCATGGGTGGTCTTGAGACCAATCTCCTTACCAAGATTCAAACATTTCATTTTAATTGACTTGCTATAACCATGGTAGCCATGATCATATTGAAGATTCAACTTTACTGATAACCACCTAAGAAACAAAAACTTTGTAATGGTGAGCTTTTCCTGTAACTATAAGTCCGTATGAACAACCTGTTATCAAGAGTGGCATGAAACATAATACCAGGAAAGGGGGCAACGTACTATTCACCCTATTTACAAAGCACGGTGCATCAAAACTATTTGTTTGGGTGGTTTCCGATTCACTATGTTTGTCTAGATACAGTGCTCGGCGACATCGCCTGTATAGTCGTATGATCTACATTTTTGAATCGGAGTTTCACTGTTAGTGATAACTACAGTAATCCCTGTTTTATCCTCGGCACACCCGGTCGCAGTGGGATTATAATCCTTCGAAGCCAAATATCCAAAATTTTTCTCACTCTCTTTGTTTTATTATCAAGTAAGTTTAAATGTTTTTGATTTGAATTATGGCTATATGAATCACTATTGCAACCAACAAAGACATGCCAATCTAACGCCAAAAAATCAACTTTAATGACTGGTAGTACAGTGTTTTCATTTTTTATTCGTACCAACCACCGGAAATGTTCATACCAGTGGCAAAAAATAATTCATACCGACCCCCGGTATTTTTCGTACCACCGCAGTGGGATTTATTCAGACCATCTAAGAAAAATAGTTCATACTATTGCACTTTAATTATTCATACCAACAGAATATAAAATTCATACTAAATGCATAAAATTCTTATGCTTTCATTAATGTTTTATCTTTGATATTATTAAACATGTTACAGGGGACCCGCACACCCAATAAAGCCCCTTTGCAATACTCATTTACCATTTCAAAGGCTCATAACCAAATTTTGGAGTGGTTTCGTCCTTCCTTAAAATTTTAAATTTTCATCAATTTGTTTTTGAGCTTTGTTGTGTCTTTATGTAATTTTTTTTATAGTTTTTACTTTTTTTTTTTTTTGGTTTGTTTTCTGTATTTTGTTTTCTAATTTTTTTTCTTCATCTTTGGTATTTGTTTTCAAAAGAGCTGCTGTTGTAAACAGAAATCAATATGTCTAGAAGCATGTCTGCAGAATCCCTTGTAACTATCAAGGGAAATATTTTCAGTGGCTTCTTTCACTCTTGGAGTCAATTGCTCCTTCTTGCTCAAGCTTGATCTTTTGACTTTACTGTTACATGCTTACCAGAATTCTTTATAGCATTCAGCCCTGGAGAATAAGGAGGTAAAAACAGTGCCACTAGTAACTGAAGATCACGTCGTTTATGAATGGCAGCATTATCAAGGATCAAATATTTCATACCTTTGAGCTCCTCGTTATTTTCTATTTGCTGGATCACTGACTTTACAAAACTGTAGAAGTGATTAGCTGTAGTACCTTTACTCACTTTGTCAATGGTCGTTTCTGAATCAAGTTTTCTCTTCTTATTGGATGTAGCCACTGGAGTTCTGAGCTTTAATTCAATACAACCTTTGACAGAAATTGCCCCAATGAACGAAATATTAAGCCCTCTAGTTACGGGAACAGTAAGAACTGCTTTTTCATCTACAGCAGACCATCCATACTCACGCCGCATACTGATGTTGAAACCTGCTTCGTCGATGAAAATACAGTTTTGACCAAAGTCGAGCTTGTCTTTATACTCCTCTGCCCACTTGAGTCTTTGTTTCTTCAATTCCTCCAGACTTCTTCTCAAAGCCCATTTAGAAATACGTTTGAGACTAAGCTTACAGACCTTGGTGACGAAGTTATAGATTGTTGTAGCCCTGGCTCTTACATTGGTGAAGGCTTTCTTGAGTCTCTCCAACATAAAATCGAGAGTCACTGTAGCATCCTCCTTTATCAATTTTTGAAGGAATTCTTTATGTTCATCAGTGAGAAGGGGCTTACGACCTCTTTTCCTTGTTGGCTTCGAGATACCATTTAATTCATTAACAAGTATTTTGTTCCAATTTCTTCTCCATGGGTAAGCAGTTTGCAAAGGTATATCTTCTAATTTTGCAGCCTTGTAAGCTGATACACCTTCTTCCATGACCAAGTGCCAAAATCTTTGTTTGACAGCTTGATTATAATACCGGTACGAACCTCTATATCTTCGTTCTTTCATTTCTGTTTCCATCTTAGCATCTTCTTCTTCTTCGAAAATAGGATTAATTTCCATAATACCAGGTTTTTCAAAATGCTTATAGTCACTGTAACTAAAGCAAGCTTCAATTGGTGCTATTTCAGACTCCAAAGTCATTTCTCTAGGTTCGGTGTGGAACCTATTACCTAGGCCATCAACATATCCATCAGTTAGTAACTTGGCTTTCAAGTCCATACTTAGTTTTGGTAGTAAAAGCTTATGCTTTTTTTTGTATGTAATCTGATGATCTATAGAGCCCGAATTAAGCAATAAAAGTGGGAATTGCTCACTTTATATGGAGAACAGCTCTTACCATACATTCGTTCCCTTTTTCTGAAAACCGTTATTACGTGCTACTATTAATATTATTATAGATATCAGGCTTTGTAGAAAGTAGCACAGAATTATGGAAAAAATGAGTATAATTTGATTAAACTAAGTAGCTTAGAGGCTTATAGAGCCATTAACATGAAAAAAAAAAGAATTAATATGAATTTTATATACTGTTGGTATGAATAATTAAAGTGCAATAGTATGAACTATTTTTCTTAGATGGTCTGAATAAATCCCACTGCGGTGGTACGAAAAATACCGGGGGTCGGTATGAATTATTTTTTGCCACTGGTATGAACATTTCCGGTGGTTGGTACGAATTAAAAATGAAAACACTGTACTGGAAAGAATCACAAGTGAAAAAAAAATTTGAGATGGCTGTGCAATGGCTACTAGTGAGTCTGGTACTAAGAATGTATGCTTTCTATTCATACTATACTACTTACTTGTAGTGGACCAGAGTCCTCTTTATATACTTATACGAAAGCCACCAGTATCCTGTGGGACCCTTCTTCCCTTGTGTCTTCTATGGTAACGATGCCTTTCCATGGTACCGACGGATATCACCTTATTACAGGCTGATCTATATAATATAATATATAGCATAATGCCATTTGATTTCCATCGACATTGTGCAATATATACTATCCATAAAAGGCAACATTTGATTTTATTGCATCTTCTACAAACTTTCTTTTCCATTCTGTTGATCCCCTTAAGTAAAAACCTTCACCCAATCATATATTGTTTGCATATCTTGCTGCCTCTGGTGTCATCTATTTAGTCCAGTTGACAAATACCAGGACTCTATTATCTGCAAAAGCTGTATAAGAAATTCTAAGAAAAACGAAAATATAAAAGAAAAAAAAAACCAACAGAAACTAAGAACTCAAAAAACAAAATAGACACCCAAATTAGTGAAATATAGCAGACGCTATCACACCATCTCCGCCTTTTTGATAGAAGATTCTAGGTCTAATGATACATTATCAATGGCAACACTCTCCTCTTCCTGTGATGCCTTCTCACCGTTATTAATGAAATTTTTCTGGTTGGAAACAAATAGCATCGCAATAGTCAAAACACCCATCATCCCTGTCACTAAATACAAAGACTTTTGGAACTTCTGAGCAACGTGGTGCCTTGCAGTTTCATTTCCTTTTTCAAAATCCATATTTCCAATAACACTATTAATCAATGACGTTCCAACACTTGCGCCAATTTGAATAACGGTCTGGCCAAATCCAGAAACAACTCCCTGCAAATGCAAAGGAGTGTTGTGCATCAATCCCCCAAGGAATACCATAAAATACATATTGATAACGTAACCCATTAAAAACTGGCTAGCGAAATTGAATTTCCAGTAATAATTATGAACAGTATAGTCCGTTCGAGAAATCCATAGCGAACAAACAACGCCAATAACTCCAACCATTATCAATGAGCCTCTTAATGTCAACTTTTCAATGATTTTTGGGGTGAAAAGAAGAGAGCCTGCCAAGGTACCTGCGGGAAGTGGCAAAATTTTTATGGAAGCCATAAGAGACGATTGAAATTCAATATACTCGTAATATTCTACCAAGTTAGTTTGTAGGCACACAAAACTAGCATTAACCAAGAAAATCCCGAAAAATAGTTGGTAGAAGTTTGGAATCTTCAAGAGCTCTGCAGGAAATAAAACCTGGAGATTTAGCCTCCAATCTTGTTTCTCTTGACTAGTTTTTTCATCATGGGGAAGGGAATCCTGGAATTTTTTTTTGAACTGTTTTATATAAACAGTCTCAAACAAAAAGAATCCGGTAAGAAATAACAAGCCAACTGGTATAGTGACATAAACGGAAGGTGAGTTCCAAGTTGTGGCAGCTTGTGTTAATCCCACGATGATCAATAATAATGCCGAAGTCATCAAGAATACCCCAAAAAAGTCTAAATGTTTAAAACTTAGGTTTTTATGGCCTTCAGTCTTTTCAACGGGAATAATAACAAAATAAAGCAAAACCCCACTAAGAAATGATACTGCAAAAGTAAAATAGAAAAGCGCTTGATATCCGATTTTGGTTTCATCAAAAGCACCACCAATAACCACACCAAGACCAAGGGCTCCGGTCAGACAAGAGGACAAAATCTTAAGTGCAATGATTCTTTCATGACCCTGAAAATAATTGGCAGCCAAAGCAAACCCAGAAGGGATCAAAGCGGCACCCGCAATTCCCTGAAAAGCTCTAAAAACAATTACTGCATAGATTGATTCGTCAACTGCTGCCGATAATAGGGAAAAGATAGCCATTATGAAAGTACCAACGACAAAAGTATGATGATGGCCAAAAATATCACCTATCTTACCAAATAACACGATGAAAGAGCCCATGGTTAATGCGTAAACAGACAAAACCCATGATACTGTGGCAGTTGATGCATTAAATTTTTGTGAAAGCGAGTAGAAACTAGTAATTGCACCGGTAACGTTAACTTTATCAATCGCCATTGCAAAGTTTACAAGAAAAAATACCAAATATCTTGAACGGTGCTTCATGGGCACCAACGTTTGCCCAGCAGTCAATGCCTTCATTATTCTCGTCATTTTTTACCTTTGTGAATATCTATAGTCATAAACAATATCTATTTCTAAGAAAAATTAAGGAATAGTTTTCATATATATGTCCCTTTATTTTTTATGTGAAAATTTTCAATATTCCAAACAATTGGCACACAGTGTTCGGAAAAGCCGCGGCTCAAAGATATTTTTTCTCAATGGAACACTTCTGGCTGACAACTTGAGGGTACAGACAACTGACACAGTATTTTTATTATCAGTTAAATTAATGCATTTGAGAATAATTTCAGCAAAGCTTGTGGTGATTTATATGAAACTCTTAATCTTTCAGAATTTGTCAGCGACTCTTTTTTTCTAACAAATTTTTCTGCAGCTGACCACTCGGTGTGCCTGACTCAAAAGTGAGAAAACAATTACTCCGAACAGATACCTATCTAAAAATCAATCATTTCTTGGGCTCCAATATTTTATGATCTTTGCCAAAATTCTGTGAAAATCCCCAGTTTTTATGAAAACTCTGTCCTTGCACATATATTCTATTTCTGTACTATTTTCTTAAGCAATCAGCTTATAAAGACAAAGAACAGACGGAGTTGAAACGGATTAGGCTCACAACTCTTATTCAAGTGTATTGATATACGTTTCAGAAACCATCTAAATATTTGAAAATTCTTTCTTAAGGCGATAAATCCAGGTTTCAATACAATATAATGCGAGGGCATTTTTTCTTTTATTGATTAAATGAATATGTACTAAAAAATCAAGTTCGATTATCCAACCTGTTTTTGGGCTTGCTTCGGCGGTTATATCCGCATATATTACCATTTTACCACCTCAAAAGCACATAAAATTGGAAACTATCATTTTAATGGCTATCCCTACACTTCTCTAGCTACCGGGAAAACTGCCTCCAAAATAAGCGACACAAGTGTTTAATATGAGCATTTAAACTATCGATTTGACGAACTTTATGATTTCGCCAGTTAAAGGAGTTTGGCCAGGGAAGAATGCTGATTCATCATGGGTACCGTCAGGTTGACTGTAGACAGTAGCATCTTGCAATTTAGCTAGTTTGATAAATGCCTCAATATCATCACGCAACACCTCTTTCTGTCCAAGAGAGACGAAGATGTTAGAATGTTTTGGTAATATAGCATCCCAATCCACTTTAGAAGCTTTGTAGTGGTTCAATAATTCACTGTCAACCAAATCTGTGTCCGGTTGGAACAATTCCCCCATCTGGCACAAAATTGTGCTGGTCAACAGATCTTGTCCCAAGTATTCTTTATAAGATCCAGAGAAGGTAGGATGAAGATTAACCCAAGGCGAAATGAGTATCAATCCCTTTGGTAAGTTACCTTTGTCAATGACTGGTAATGATTCCTCTGGATAGTGAATATGTCTAACGAGCGACAAACTTGCGTGAGCCCCAGCAGAGTCTCCCATTAACCAAATATTGTTGCTCGTTTTGCATAAAGCATTATAAACTAGAGATGATTCGATCAATTGTTGTGGGTAGACACCGCCACTTCCTGACAAGGTATAGTCAAGAACTAAAATTGATAAACGTGGGTTAGCAGCACCTTCATAAACTAATTGGAGACACTCAAGCATAGAAGGATAGATGCCGAAAGCATAACCACCGCCATGAATATAAATGATGACTGGATCGTTTTCGGTCCGATGTTCTGCTTCCACAAACCAACTGACTTGATCATCCTTCAACCCTGGAATCTTCAAAGGTTTATTGAAATTTGGGAAATCTTTTGCTACAGGGGAAATCATTTCCATAGCACCAGCAATACCAATGTGTGGATCATTTGCGGCAACTTCTGATACGTGGACACCTGCCATAAAGTTTTCCCTCAACCACCCTGCAACCAACATGGTGTACTCAGGGATGGATTGGCCTGGTTTTGGAGGGCCCACTGGGGCAATTTTGGGACTAGTTGAAGAAGGTTCTGTCATTTGGGGATAGAATAGTTAAATTGTGTGAGGAAGAGTTTTTGAGAATTATTTGATATCTACCTGTGCAATACGTGTCCTTCTTATACGTTGTTATAAGTGATGATCAAAGGCATTGTAAAATTTTAGTTAGTGGCTGTTATGCACTGCAGCCTAGTGTGTCATACACGTGACTCATACGTATACGATGGACCCTTTTATTTCTATCTTGGCGAGGTGAACAAAAGTAAATAAATTAAATAATTAATGTGCATCGATAATTATCTTAGCGAGATTCTACAAATACAAGAGAAAGAAAAAAAGTTATAGGAGCTGTCTGGGGATTCTCAGGATTTTTGTTGAATTCCCACCTCGATAGATCACTTTGTTAGCTGGCTACTGAAGATTGGCAAGATCTTCAGACAAGGAAAAGTCTTCGACTAGTCAACAACAATAAACCTTATATTATTCAGGACCACTAACCGGGTTGCAAAGAGGAAATAAATATTCCAATTTTGCGTTTGACGAACATTTCTCTAAAGTAGGTATTTTATTTCTTTTTCTCTTTACTTTATTTCCAAAAGAAAAAAAAAAGAAAAAAAAATAAGAAATAGAGTGTTTAATGTAACTTCAAAAAACGTTGCAAGATTATTAATACTGCAGGATTAGTTCGGCACATCGTGCGTTTTGACCGATTCACTATCTTGCTGGCAGGTAGACACCGTGTAGTGTTTATATATTAGGATCGCAGATATGTAAATTTAGATGTGTTATTAGTGAAAACTATAAACATGGAAAATTTTTACACGGTCAGCTTTAAATACAAAATTTTTATATAGACGGAATCTAGGGTGAGAATATTTTGGGTGGTTACAAATATGATGAAAAACTTGATAAAGATGTACTATTTTCTTATGGACTTGGTTTGTCTTATACTACCTTTGAATTTAGCTCATTGAATGTTACTTTAGACTGGCAAGCCAAGCAATTGGATATCAGCCTGGATGTTGAAAACACTGGTGCTTCAGATGGTAGTGAAGTGGTACAAGTTTATGTTTGCGGTGTTGAAGATTCCTTCATCAAAAGACCAATTAAGGAATTGAATTTCACAAAATCGTTTGTCGAAGCAGGTGAAAAAAAAACCACCAGCTTCACCACTGATTTGAAGAATGCATTTTCTATCTGGGATAGTGCAAAATCCAGATGGTTTATCGAAAAAGGAACATATCAAATTTATGTTGGTAACAGTTCTGACAATGTTCCACTTTCTAAATCTGTTGAAATTGCCGAAAACTATTAGTAGGCTGGATTATAGTTTCAAAATATGGTAAACTAAAACTTTGTGCCAGTGTAGCATATGATTTTGTTAATGATCTCTAACCACTAGAATTCTATTATTTCAACTAGCTTCATTTACTATTATCTTTTTGTTATCTCATCTTTGAATATAGTCATTATCTTACCTTAATATATTCACTTTATCTCAATAGTTACACTCTTTCCTTATAAGATATATCTAAGTTTTTTGCTATTTCTTCTACGGAACATGACTTCCGAAGTAATTAATTCTCTCTTTGATGATATAACCCAGATTTAATATCAAAATGTGGTTTAGTGTAGCACATGTCTTGTTCAATGTATCTTAGATACTGTTTCATCACAACAGAGGTCATTCTAATAAGTACTAATGTTGCAAGATTTGGTAATCATACTACTGTTACTAATGATCTTCTATGATGCAATCGGTCGTTAATAATCCTAAGTAGAACATTTTTTGGAAGAATTCTCAATAATTTTGTAACATCTTCTATTGATTTTTGGAACCATTCAATAGTTCTGAGAAGATCGAACTTGTAAAATAGAGCGATCTTTCTCATTCTCTTATTTTCCTATTTTTATAAAAAGCTACACGCTTTAACCTTTACACAGTATTTGTGATTAATCAAACAATTTTTTTTTTCTATTTGATGCAACCATAAGACTCTCAATCCTTTGGTTAACATGAGACCGAGCTTATATTACAAAAACTTAACTTGGACTATAATTTTATAAAATTGATTATTTTTTCAGGAGCTTCAAATAGTTTAATATTAGATTGTATTCGAAATGATTTTGCTGATCCAATAGTGACTTTCCTTCACTTCAAATTTTGCTTCTAAATTCGTCTTACTGGAATTGCCAATATAAATAGTATAAATACCCTTTTCAGAAGCCCATTTAGATTTCACTTCATCCCAATATGCAGTACAATTTAATGATTCAAGTTCAAAAATAATAGTACAAGACTCTCCTGGCAAAAGTTTTCTCTTTTGGAAAGCTTTCAATTCCTTCAATGGTCTTTTGATCCTGGAACTATCCGCACCGATATATAATTGAATCACATCTGCTCCTTCATATGCACCTGTGTTTTGTAGTTTTACTGACACAGATATTTTTTCAGAATTCGTAACATTGATTTGGAGATCCGATAATTGAAATGTGGTATAGCTCAAACCATGACCAAAGGGAAATAGAACATCTCTTTTCACTTTCTCATAATACCTATAACCCACGTATATGTCTTCTCCATAAAGGACTCTTCCATTATCAGTGGAGTTATTTATAAAACTTGGAGTATCTTCAAATTTTTTTGGAAAACTCAACGGTAGCTTCCCAGAAGGATTTACATCTCCAAATAAAGTATCAGCTATGCCACTACCGGTCTCTGTTCCTCCATATGAGCTCCAGAATATATTACTTACCGAAGATTCCCATGGTAATTCAATGGGAGTTCCTGATTGGATCCAAACAACTGTATTCGAGTTAGCCTCAGTAACCTTTGTGATCAACTCATTGCTGAGTCCAGGAATTGCAAGTTCATTTCTATCTGCACCTTCTGACTCGTAATCTTTATTCAAACCAGTTATAACTACCACCTGGTCAAATTTTTTAGCAGATTCGACAGCTTGTCTGATGGCTTTATCACTATCAATAACAGGAATTCCCCCAAATCTTAATCCACCGCCACCAAGAAACTCCGGATTGATGTTTCTAACAATTTCAGATGTAGCAGCAGAGCCAAATTCAATTCTCAATTGGTATTTTCTACCAGCGACAACATTCAGAGTTCCTCTCTTCTCGGTGGTTCCAAGACCATAAAATGACTCACCTCTTATTTGATTTTCAGAATTATCAATAATCAATACATCATCAATATATAATTTTGCTGTGCCACACACAGCAATTCCAAACTCGTAGACTCCACTGTCAGCTGGGATAAAAACAGAAGTTAGCTCAATATAAAATATTTTGGATTTTAAGTTAAAATTTTTATAGTCATTCATTCTAAAATAGCTAATATCTTTAAAAACTAAAGTTTCAAAAGGTTGGTAATGGAGGTCATCAAAAGACTCGTTTGATATTTTTAAAGTTGCACCAGTTTGACCATTCTCTGTGGAAAGTTGTTCACCCAAAGAAGGTAAATATAAATGATTGTGGGCACCAATCTCATAACAAACATTCTGTTTCCCAATTTTTTTTTGAATAGCACTCAAAGGAGAAATAGTATAATAAGATGTGCTTAAAGAAGAGCCTCCACCAGCGTAGGCAGCATATTTTGCGTTCGGACCGATCACTAGGGTCTTTTTCAGCTTGCTGAATGGTAAAATATTTGAGTCATTTTTCAATAAAACAGAAGCATCAGCAGCAGCTTTTCTTAAAATCTCATAAATATCATTCGGTAGCTTACCATTTTCATCCAATAACAGCTTCTCAAAAATCTGATTTTCACCGTTTAGTTCAGGTAAGTCTTCAAGAATGCCAGCTCTCTCAACTCTTTTAACCAAATTTAAAACATTGCGAGCTCTTTCATCCAATGTTTCCAAACTGACCTTTTTAGAAAATAGAGAATGATTTAAAAAATTACCTCTCCATTTAGGTGGCCCTGGCATTTCCAAATCTAACCCAGCATTGATAGCCTCTGAGGTCGAATACGTTCCAGTCCAATCACTCATTATTAAGCCATCCCAACCCCATTCATTTCTTAATATTTTCTCTAAAAAATAAGGGTTTTCAGAAACATGAATCCCATTAACTTTGTTATAAGATGTCATTATTGACTTAGGGTTAGATTTAGTAATGGCAATCTCAAAAGCTTTCAAATAGATTTCTCTCAAAGCTCTATCTGTAACAATAGAATTACTGGAAAATCTATCATTTTCTTGGTCATTGCATACGAAATGCTTTAACGAAGCTGCTAAACCACTTTCTTGAAACCCATTTATATAAGCAGCTGCCAATTCGCCGGCTAATACGGGATCTTCTGCGAAAGATTCGAATCCTCTTCCTCCGTTTGGAATTCTTTGAATATTCAAAGTTGGGCCAAGAATTACGTGGGCTAATTTCGCACGAGATTCTTTAGCAAGCTTTTGGCCGACTTGAAATATCAATTGGAGGTCCCATGTTGAGCCAAGAGCAGTTTCGACAGGAAAACAAGATGTGGGTGTGCTATTGAAATGGTAGCAGCCCCTGATACCATTGGGACCATCCGAGGTTTTGATAGATGGAACTCCTAATCTATGTATAGGAAAAGTACGCCAATAGTCTATACCAGAAGTAAGGGCGATTTTTTCCTCTTTCGTTAATTGTGGAAGCACTTGCTCCACTTCAAAAGTCATGGCGTGTGGGATTTGTTGTCAAAGAGGAAGAAGAGCAAGATTTTCAGAAACACAGTGTGGTTTAAAAGGATGAAAAAAGTAGAAAACAAATTCACTCGGTTGATTCAGACTCACATGATTAGCGTTTGAAACTGTGGTCCCGAGGTTATTGTTGTTTGGAGTGGGGAAAGAATTTCGCATTATTGCATAATAAGTGGTAAATCCGTTTCGTGGCACACTGACATTTTTGTCTTGACAATCAGGTGGAACAAGGAGTCACCCCAATTAGGAGACGAGGAGTGCCTCCTCGTACTAAAACAATCCATATCTTCGCTGATATCGCGTCACATATAGCGGTAAGGAAGCTATCACAGCGAATAGTCTCAGACTAATTAATGAACACACAGCTCGACAGTCGGCTCGGGACATAACAACTTGCTATAACACTGACCTCTACAGGTCTAAACACAGCAAGATACATTATCATTTAGAATAAATGAAAGATTGAATAACTATTGTTTCATGAATAAACATGAACTTATTGGGAATAAGGGTTGTGACAATACAGTGTTTTCATTTTTTATTCGTACCAACCACCGGAAATGTTCATACCAGTGGCAAAAAATAATTCATACCGACCCCCGGTATTTTTCGTACCACCGCAGCGGGATTTATTCAGACCATCTAAGAAAAATAATTCATACCTTTGCATTTTATTTATTCATACCAACAGGAAATAAAATTCATATCAATTCCTTTCTTTTTTTAAGTGACTGGCTCTATAAGCCTCTAAGCTACTCAGTTTAAACAAATTATACTCATTTTTTCCATAATTCTGTGCTACTTTCTATAAAACCGGATATCTATACAGTGTTTTCATTTTTTATTCGTACCAACCACCGGAAATGTTCATACCAGTGGCAAAAAATAATTCATACCGACCCCCGGTATTTTTCGTACCACCGCAGCGGGATTTATTCAGACCATCTAAGAAAAATAGTTCATACTATTGCACTTCAATTATTCATACCAACAGTATATAAAATTCATATTAATTCCTTTCTTTTTTTAAGTGACTGGCTCTATAAGCCTCTAAGCTACTCAGTTTAATCAAATTATACTCATTTTTTCCATAATTCTGTGCTACTTTCTATAAAACCGGATATCTATAATAATATTAATAGTAGCACGTGATTACGGTTTTCAAGAAATGGGAACGAATGTATGGTAGGAGCTGTTCTCCATTTAAGATGATGAATTCCCACTTTTGACATTCAATTCGGTCTTTATGTGATCACCAGATTACTTACAAAAAAAAGCATAAGATTTTACCATCAAAACTAAGTATGGACTTGAAAGCCAAGCTACTAACTGATGGGTATGTTGATGGCCTAGGTAATAGATTCTATGCTGAACCCAGTGAAATGACTTTAGAGTCTGAAATAGCACCAGTTGAAGCTTGCTTTAGTTACAGTGACTATAAGCATTTTGAAAAACCTGGTATTATGGAAATTGATCCTATTTTCGAAGAAGAAGAAGATGCTAAGATGGAAACAGAAATGAAAGAACGAAGATATAGAGGTTCGTACCGGTATTATAATCAAGCTGTCAAACAAAGATTTTGGCACTTGGTCATGGAAGAAGGTGTATCAGCTTACAAGGCTGCAAAATTAGAAGATATACCTTTGCAAACTGCTTACACATGGAAAAGAAAGTGGAACAAAATACTTGTGAATGAATTAAATGGTATCTCGAAGCCAATAAAGAAAAGAGGTCGTAAACCCCTTCTCACTGATGAACATAAAGAATTCCTTCAAAAATTGATAAAGGAGGATGCTACAGTGACTCTCGATTTTATGTTGGAGAGACTCAAGAAAGCCTTCACCAATGTAAGAGCCAAGGCTACAACAATCTATAACTTTGTAACCAAGGTCTGTAAGCTAAGTCTCAAACGTATTTCTAAATGGGCTTTGAGAAGAAGTCTGGAGGAATTGAAGAAACAGAGACTCGAGTGGGCAGAGAAGTATAAAGACAAGCTCGACTTTAGTCAAAACTGTATTTTCATCGACGAAGCAGGTTTCAATATCAGTATGCGGCGTGAGTATGGATGGTCTGCTGTGGGTGAAAAAGCAGTTCTTACTGTTCCCGTAACCAGAGGGCTTAATATTTCGTTCATTGGGGCAATTTCTGTCAAAGGTTGTATTGAATTAAAGGTCAGAACTCCGGTGGCTACATCCAATAAGAAGAGAAAACTTGATTCAGAAACGACCATTGACAAAGTGAGTAAAGGTACTACAGCTAATCACTTCTACAGTTTTGTAAAGTCAGTGATCCAGCAAATAGAAAATAACGAGGAGCTCAAAGGTATGAAATATTTGATCCTTGATAATGCTGCCATTCATAAACGACGTGATCTTCAGTTACTAGTGGCACTGAGTGGCTTGGAACTTGTGTTTTTACCTCCTTATTCTCCAGGGTTGAATGCTATAGAAGAATTCTGGTCAGTATGTAAGAGTAAAGTCAAAAGATCAAACTTGAGCAAGAAGGAGCAATTAACTCCAAGGGTGAAAGAAGCCACAGAAAATATTTCCCTTGATAGTTACAAGGGATTCTGCAGACATGCTTCTAGACATATTGATCTCTGTTTACAACAGCAGCTCTTTTGAAAACAAATACCGAAGATGAAGAAAAAAAATTAGAAAACAAAATACAGAAAACAAACCAAAAAAAAAAAAGTAAAAACTATAAAAAAAATTACATAAAGACACAACAAAGCTCAAAAACAAATTGATGAAAATTTAAAATTTTAAGGAAGGACGAAACCACTCCAAAATTTGGTTATGAGCCTTTGAAATGGTAAATGAGTATTGCAAAGGGGCTTTATTGGGTGTGCGGGTCCCCTGTAACATGTTTAATAATATCAAAGATAAAATATTAATGAAAGCATAAGAATTTTATGCATTTAGTATGAATTTTATATTCTGTTGGTATGAATAATTAAAGTGCAATAGTATGAACTATTTTTCTTAGATGGTCTGAATAAATCCCGCTGCGGTGGTACGAAAAATACCGGGGGTCGGTATGAATTATTTTTTGCCACTGGTATGAACATTTCCGGTGGGTGGTACGAATAAAAAATGAAAACACTGTAATAATATTAATAGTAGCACGTGATTACGGTTTTCAAGAAATGGGAACGAATGTATGGTAGGAGCTGTTCTCCATTTAAGATGATGAATTCCCACTTTTGACATTCAATTCGGTCTTTATATGATCACCAGATTACTTACAAAAAAAAGCATAAGATTTTACCATCAAAACTAAGTATGGACTTGAAAGCCAAGCTACTAACTGATGGGTATGTTGATGGCCTAGGTAATAGATTCTATGCTGAACCCAGTGAAATGACTTTAGAGTCTGAAATAGCACCAGTTGAAGCTTGCTTTAGTTACAGTGACTATAAGCATTTTGAAAAACCAGGTATCATGGATATCATGGAAATTGATCCTATTTTCGAAGAAGAAGAAGATGCCGAGATGGAAATTGAAATGAAAGAACGAAGATATAGAGGTTCGTACCGGTATTATAATCAAGCTGTCAAACAAAGATTTTGGCACTTGGTCATGGAAGAAGGTGTATCAGCTTACAAGGCTGCAAAATTAGAAGATATACCTTTGCAAACTGCTTACACATGGAAAAGAAAGTGGAACAAAATACTTGTCAATGAATTAAATGGTATCTCGAAGCCAATAAAGAAAAGAGGTCGTAAACCCCTTCTCACTGATGAACATAAGGAATTCCTTCAAAAATTGATAAAGGAAGATGCTACAGTGACTCTCGATTTTATGTTGGAGAGACTCAAGAAAGCCTTCACCAATGTAAGAGCCAAGGCTACAACAATCTATAACTTTGTAACCAAGGTCTGTAAGCTAAGTCTCAAACGTATTTCTAAATGGGCTTTGAGAAGAAGTCTGGAGGAATTGAAGAAACAGAGACTCGAGTGGGCAGAGAAGTATAAAGACAAGCTCGACTTTAGTCAAAACTGTATTTTCATCGACGAAGCAGGTTTCAATATCAGTATGCGGCGTGAGTATGGATGGTCTGCTGTGGGTGAAAAAGCAGTTCTTACTGTTCCCGTAACCAGAGGGCTTAATATTTCGTTCATTGGGGCAATTTCTGTCAAAGGTTGTATTGAATTAAAGGTCAGAACTCCAGTGGCTACATCCAATAAGAAGAGAAAACTTGATTCAGAAACGACCATTGACAAAGTGAGTAAAGGTACTACAGCTAATCACTTCTACAGTTTTGTAAAGTCAGTGATCCAGCAAATAGAAAATAACGAGGAGCTCAAAGGTATGAAATATTTGATCCTTGATAATGCTGCCATTCATAAACGACGTGATCTTCAGTTACTAGTGGCACTGAGTGGCTTGGAACTTGTGTTTTTACCTCCTTATTCTCCAGGGTTGAATGCTATAGAAGAATTCTGGTCAGTGTGTAAGAGTAAAGTCAAAAGATCAAACTTGAGCAAGAAGGAGCAATTAACTCCAAGGGTGAAAGAAGCCACAGAAAATATTTCCCTTGATAGTTACAAGGGATTCTGCAGACATGCTTCTAGACATATTGATCTCTGTTTACAACAGCAGCTCTTTTGAAAACAAATACCAAAGATGAAGAAAAAAAATTAGAAAACAAAATACAGAAAACAAACCAAAAAAAAAAAAGTAAAAACTATAAAAAAAATTACATAAAGACGCAACAAAGCTCCAAAACAAATTAATGAAAATTTAAAATTTTAAGGAAGGACGAAACCACTCCAAAATTTGGTTATGAGCCTTTGAAATGGTAAATGAGTATTGCAAAGGGGCTTTATTGGGTGTGCGGGTCCCCTATAACATGTTTAATAATATCAAAGATAAAATATTAATGAAAGCATAAGAATTTTATGCATTTAGTATGAATTTTGTATTCTGTTGGTATGAATAATTAAAGTGCAATAGTATGAACTATTTTTCTTAGATGGTCTGAATAAATCCCGCTGCGGTGGTACGAAAAATACCGGGGGTCGGTATGAATTATTTTTTGCCACTGGTATGAACATTTCCGGTGGTTGGTACGAATAAAAAATGAAAACACTGTAATCAACGATAAAAAATAATATATAAAGTAGGGTGACCGCCAGAATACCATGTACCACAGTACAACATGTATGCACGCATGGAGTGTTTGTGATGGACGCCCCAATTAAAAATGCATTCTATTGCAGAATCTCATCAAGGAAAATTATTGGTATGTTTTTCATTTTGAATATCCTCCCGTCATTAAACTTCTTGTGTGTAAATCACTTGCACAAAAAAAAAAAAAAATTATTGGCTCGACTGGCTATCTAAGTAAGCCACAGTAGACCAAGATTGGAGGACGAGTTACTTGTCGTCAGTTTTTACACAATTTCTGCTCCACAATTAACGTAATTATTTCCTCTACGTTGATCTGCTACTCTGTAATTCAACAATGCTAAAATTCTTTCTATTGTCATTACTAATCATGATCGCTATTTGTACCCCATTAATCAGTCACAAGTTATGTTTGCAGAGTTTACACACTTGCCAATATCTTGGCTGATCAGAATTGCCTACTTTTGAAGAGACTGTACGTTGGGGAAATTAATTCATAAATACTGGATGCTTCTGTTGTTTTCTTACATAAATAAAATAGAATAATTAAAAAGAAACGTAACAACTAGCTAGGTGAAAATGTCAGAGAAATCCCCAATTGAATATAATGAAAATTCTATCGAGGATTTTTCTATTGAAAAAGAAGTGAAAGAGGCTGTCAGCACAACTGGCTATTACACTTATGCTGAAGAGGCAAAATTGTTAAGAAGAGTTGATTTGCGTATTATGCCTCTTTTAGTATTGCTCTACTTGTGCAAAAATTTAGATGTTAACAATATAAGTTATATTCTAACAATAAACAAACTGGAACCTGGAAATGTATTAGCACAACTAGCTATGACAAAAGATGAATGGGCTTGGACTTCAACAATATATTTTATCCCTTTTGTTATTTTCGAAATACCGTCAACTTTGCTATTAAAAAAGACCACGCCAAGAATTCACCAATTCAGAATCGCCTTTCTCTGGGGGGTTGTTACAGCTTGTCAGTCTGCTGTTAAAAATAAGCAAGGATTATATGCCCTTAGGTTTTTATTAGGTTTTTTCGAAGCTGGAATGTTTCCGGGAATGTTGGCTCACTTGGTTTATTGGTATCGTCCTGACGAGGCTTCAATCAGAATTGCAATTTTAGGGGTACTAGGCTCATTCTCAAGTGTCTTAAGTGCTTTCATCACATATGGTTTCAGCTTTGCAAATGGTAAAGGAGGATTGTCTGGTTGGCAATGGGTATTTTTGGTGGAAGGAATTTTTTCTATTGTTTGTTCTGTTGGTCTATATTTTTGGCTACCAAATTTCCCTAATGATTCCAAGTGGTTAAGTGATCAAGAAAAAGCTTACTTAATAGCTAGATTACCTCCTCAAGCCCCAAAGTCTTCTGATAAAGCCTTTGATATCCAAGGAATTATCAAATCATTACTTAAACCAACGACTTTATTATTTGTTTTTTTGAAATTTTTCCAAGGCGTGGGAACATATGGATTATCGTTTTGGTTGCCGAGTATCATTCAAAGTTTTGGAATTACGTCGTCGACAACCTCTCCTTTAATGACCATTCCCTCATCTGCTGCAGCTGTTTTTTCAGGGATTTTTTTCTCCTATTTAGTGGACTTGGCATGGTACTCACCTGCAACCTTGACAAGCTGTTCAATGATAGTTTCAATTGGTGCCTTTATTGTTTTAGCTGTTGTTACTAATAAAGCTGTTTTATATGCTTTCATAATTATAGCAACTGTTTCAACAAATGCTAATGGTGCCTCTGTTATTTCCTGGATGGCCCACACTTTAGAGGGTTCAAGTCAAGTTGGATTCAATTATGCGTTCACCAATGCCGTGGCTCAATTAGGAGGTATAATTGGACCACAAATATATCGAGAAAAGTATGCACCACGCTATGTTATTTCTTACATTATTTCTTTGATATTCATTGCTGCTGGATTAGTATTGAATGTCGCTCTCTGGTGGCTAACAAGAAATAAAATGTCAGAGGTAATTCAAGACAAAAAGAAAAGATTAAAGCAGAATAAAAATGACCCAAACGATAAACCTGTTTACAACCAAGAATTTGAAAACATCACCGATGTTTAGGGCCTTAAAATATTATTAAGTTAAAACATATTATAATTTCTTTTATTCGAATTGTTGAACTGGTTTGACTACAGGATGGTCAATAGGGGCATTGAAAGAGGGTTTCATCATGGTCAAAATACAGATATCTTTGAGTTCGTTGAAATTCTTGATAGTGACGAATCCAGAGTTGACGTTGGCTTCGTTGTGGGTTGCAATTGGAGCTGACTCGTTAATAGCTTCGTTGGAGGTTGGAATAGTTTCAGGATTCATGATTGGGATAGACGGATAACTAAATGTTGGTTTATAGATATTAATGTAATGATAATAATAATTATAAAGTAAATGTTGTAATGGTTTAGTTGGGTAACATAGTAGTTAAAGTATATTAAAGAAGAATAAAAACTAAAAGGAATAGATGAAGTAAGCTTTTTATAGGTGAGAAAAGAAAGTAAGACTTACCTAAAAGGGAACTCAAAGGGAAATAAAAAGGTAGTCGGAGATAAGGAGGTTGTCCGAGATAAGGAATGGAGTTAAATAAAGAAGAGAGAAGAAAAGATAAGAACAATAAAAAGAAAGAAAGAGAAAGAAAAGTAAGAAAGTGTCTAGATCATTACAAATGTAAACGTTTACAAAGCTTTACAGTCGCGCAATCCGCCGGAATGCCATACATTGCAGCATAATCAGCCGGAATTTTTAAATGATGAATACTCGGTGGAAATGGCTAGTAATGATGCTGTTGAAATCTGGAGAAGATGCTGAGCAAAAATATATAATTTTACCTAGGGATACAGTCGCGCAATCTGCCGGAATGCCATGCATTGCAGCATAATCAGCCGGAATTTTTAAATGATGAATACTTGGTGGAAATGGCTAGTAATGATGCTGTTGAAATCTGGAGAGGATGCTGAGCAAAAATATATAATTTTATCTGAAAGATAATATAATGTGGTAGAGATATTGGCGTTTGAAATTTGCGTTGCACCAACAGGAGAAATTGATTGGCATATAGCTAGATAAAGGCAGCCAGAGCGCAATCGCATACATTTTTGCAGCGAGAGCGCAGCGGGTTTGTATGGGGCGAAAAAATGGTTGTTAGCAGAGTGCAGCGAGAGCGCAATGGGCTAGCAGCGAGAGCGCAATGGCGATTATGGGCACTTTAAGTGGGGATATTTGGGATCTGAGAAGTGGAATGTGGAGTAGAGAAAAATAGTATTTTTTTTAAGTATTTATATTTGGGATATCTTGGATATTGAAAATGGGCAAAGCGGGGGTGCGGGACCCGTTCCGTGGTGGAAATGTACCAGAGCAGCGGGCTGAGCGGGGCCTGAGCTGGATGATTTGTGTGGTAATTAAAAAATAAAAGATGAGTGAAGAGAAAGTGGAGGTGATTTGATATATTATGAGGATATGATGATTGATTAGGGTATTTATATTGAAAATCAGAGCGGTCAGTTGGCGGAGAATTGCGGAGAATTGCGGAGAATTGCGGTGGTGTGTATGATAATATGGTGATGAAAGTTTGAATGTAATGAGAATTATTTTGGGAAATAGAAGATAAGGAAAAAAAGTAAGTATATCATCAATATATTTAGGAGATCTGGAATTGATTGGGTCAAAAAAATGGAGAAAATCGTAGGAAAATGTAGGAAAAATTTTGGTGAAGGTCGGGGATTTTGTATGGGTGTGTGGTTGAGAGATGGGAGGTGAATGTCTATGTAATTTAGAAAAAAAAAGATTTATGAAAAAAGTAAGATCAGTTATGAAATATTTGAGAGATTTTATTATAGATTTGATTCTAAAATATCAGATGGAAAGTAGAATGTGATAGAAAAATGAGGATAATAAGGAATTTTGATGGGATATGTGTAGTAGAGAAGGAGATTATGGGGATGATATTTTGAGAGTATTTTTTATTCAATAGAAAAAGAAAGATTGTTTATGAGATAATTGATTGATTGTAATATAGATATGATTGTTAAGTATGAGATGTAAATGAAAATGTGGGAGAAAAATGAGGATGATGATGATTTTTGATGGGAGTGGGGATGAATGTAGGTAAGAAATAGAGGTCTAGATATTTTTGAAAAAAAGATATTGAAAAAAAAAGGAGGATTGTTGATGGAATATTTGAGAAATTTTAATATAGATATGATTGTTAAGTAGGAGATGGAAATGAAAATGTGGTGGGATATCAGGTTGGATGAATTTTGGTGATGGTCGGGGGTCATGTATGTGTGTGAATTTAAGGGGTCAGGTATTTTTGAAAAAAAAAGTGAGAGAGAAAAAGAAAGATTGTTTATGAAATATTTGGGAAATTTAAATATAGATATGATTGTTAAGTAGGAGATGGAAATGAAAATGTGGTGGGAAATCAGGTTAGATGAATTTTGAGGAAGATCGGGATTATTGTATGTATGAGAAATAGATGTGTAGATATTAATGAAAAAAAAAGAGAGAGAGAAAAAGTAAGATTGTAGATGAAATAATTGAGATCATTTTATGTGGATGAGATCATGATATGGAATATTGAGAAATAATTGAGAGATAAAAATAGGGTATGTTGAATTTGGGTGAAGGTCGGGGGATGATGTATTGTGGAGAAATGAGGGAGATATATTTTGAAGAAAAAGAGAGTGAAAAAAAAGTGAAAAAAAAAGTGAGATTGTTTATGGAATGTTTGAAGGATTTTAATATGATTAAGATTGAAAAGTAGGTGAGGAAAATGAAAATGTTGTGGAAAAATGGGGATGTATGTATGAAGATGAATTGAATGTGTGTGTATTTTAGAAAAAAAAAATTGATGAAAAAAAGTAAGATTGGTTATGAAATAGTTGAGGGATTTTAAAATGAATATGATTAAAAAATGGGAGATGGAAGTGAAAATGTGGTTGAGAAATGATGGAATTATTTGTTAGAGAAGATGTATGAAGATGAATTGAATGATGAGATATTTTGAAAAAAAAGGGAGTGAAAAAAAAAGTGAGATTGTTTGTGGAATATTTAGGGATATTCATTATGATTTTGATTGTTGAATAAGATATTGAGGTTGAAATGTGGTGGAAAAATGGGGATGTCGAATGTTTGATGATGGAAGGTCATATATGAGGATAAGTGAGAATTGAATGTTGGGGTATTTGATGAAAAAAAGGAGTTGAGAAAAAAGTGAAGGAGATATGTTGAAAATGTAGAAGAATTGGTATGGAGAAGAATATAATATGAAATATTGAGGTTGAAATGTGGTGGAAAAATAGGTAGAATGATAATTTTGATGAGATGTGTCTAGTGGTGAAAAGAGGATGTATTCTTTGGTGAAAAAGTGGGAAATGTGTTGAGGAAGTGATTGGAATGTGTAATATGGAAGAAAAGTGATGGTGTGATGATAAGTAGGTAAAGTATGAGGAGATTGTGGGGAGATGTGGAGGATATAAGGTAGAGAAGGTAGTAAAAATAGGGAGAGGGGTGAAGGGGGGTGAAGGGTGGAGAATGGAAAATGGAAAAAATAGGGAGTTGAGAATGATAAATAAGTGGAGATGATGAGGATAAAAAAAGATGAAAGAAAGGATGAAGAGTAGAGAGAGTGGGGGTGATGGAGAATGATGAAGAGTAGAGAGAGTGGGGGTGTTGAGAAGGTAGATGAGGGAAGAGAGATGGAGAAAGAAGATGAGAAAAAGGAAGGAGAATGGAGATGTAGGGGTGTTGGGGAAGATGAGTAGAGGGAGAATGGAGAGAAAGAAGATGATAATGAAGAGTAGGGTGATGGAGAATACCTAGGGATACAGTCGCGCAATCCGCCGGAATGCCATACATTGCAGCACAATCAGCCGGAATTTTTAAATGATGAATACTGGGTGGAAATGGCTAGTAATGATGCTGTTGAAATCTGGAGAGGATGCTGAGCAAAAATATATAATTTTATCTGAAAGATAATATAATGTGGTAGAGATATTGGCGCTTGAAATGTGCGTTGCACAATCAGCCATAATGTTTTGGCATAATCCGCGGAAATATTCAGGGGGTTTGGGACCCCGTTCCACAATCAGCGGAATTCTCTACATATAGCTAGATAAAGGCAGCCAGAGCGCAATCGCATACATTTTTGCAGCGAGAGCGCAGCGGGTTTGTATGGGGCGAAAAAATGGTTGTTAGCAGAGTGCAGCGAGAGCGCAATGGGCTAGCAGCGAGAGCGCAATGGCGATTATGGGCACTTAAAGTGGGGATATTTGGGATCTGAGAAGTGGAATGTGGAGTAGAGAAAAATAGTATTTTTATAATGTCTTTTTATTTGGGATATCTTGGATATTGAAAATGGGCAAAACACCTAGGGATACAGTCGCGCAATCCGCCGGAATGCCATACATTGCAGCACAATCAGCCGGAATTTTTAAATGATGAATACTGGGTGGAAATGGCTAGTAATGATGCTGTTGAAATCTGGAGAAGATGCTGAGCAAAAATATATAATTTTATCTGAAAGATAATATAATGTGGTAGAGATATTGGCGCTTGAAATGTGCGTTGCACAATCAGCCATAATGTTTTGGCATAATCCGCGGAAATATGCAGGGGGTTTGGGACCCCGTTCCACAATCAGCGGAATTCTCTACATCTTCAGCAGAAATCATTTGAGAGCTAACGAGGGTGAGATACCCCTTTGTATTGGGCGAGCAGTATTATGTCTGATATTGAAGAAAGCGAAGGTATGGCGAGGATTGAGATTTGTGTGAGTATTTTGTATGGATTAGAAGAGAATAAACTTTAAATAAAGCATAAAAAATGGAGAAGTATTAAAGAAGATATGTGATTATTGTTGAAGCTAGGATGGATTAAGATGTGTGAATTGTGGAGGTATATGAAGTCAGAAATTGAAGGCAGTGTTATCATTTTCATATTTCAAAGAGTTTGAGATGATTCTGAAAATATTGGAGGATAAGAAGGAGATTTGCGGGAGAAATGTGGTGGAGCATGTTGTGCGGTGCCGTGGGTCATATGAAATTGAGGGATAGAATATTTTTGAGAAA